TTTTATTTTAGTTAGATTTATTAATTTTTTATAAATTTTTAAAGGAATAGTAGGTAGTGGAAATACCTTAAATTTATAAGCAAGAATAAAATATGTAAGATGTGTAATTTTCTTATTAATTATATTAAAGATTTTTATACTATTAGATAGTAAGTCAGCTAATTCAGTATTTAAAATACCTTATATAATTAAGTAATTAGAAAAGCAAGCATCTATAATTAAAAAATTATTTAAGATATATTTATAGAGCTGTTTATCTTTATTAAAAATATAATTAAATAAGCTTATTAAGAATTATAAATTATATCTTAATAAGCTTATTCTTCTGTGTGAAGAAATATATATATTATACACTTTTAATAAGAAATAAATTTAAAAATAAAAATATTTTATTAGATAATTAGCTACTGCAGAAAGCTTCACTATTTAAAAAACTTAATATAATTTTAATATAAGGAAGGAGGTCTCTAAAATTTAAAATATTATATTTATACATCTAATACTTTCTGTAATTAGATTATATATATAAATATCACCACAGTATTCTAATATTATATTTAGAGATATATTAAAAGTAGATATTCTAATTTAATTAATAACTAATTTTTATATAAAAATATAATTATTTTGTTGATAAAGGTTCTAAAATCTTATTTAAAGATGGAAATTAGAGCAAAGGTAGCTATTTATTTATAAAATATATTAATTATAAATTTTTATCTTCTTTAAATATACAGTAGGGGTTTAAAAGTATTTAAATTAAAAAATATATTAAAAATTCTAAAAATAACTGCCTTCTTATCTATACTAAATCACACTATCTAGATCTCACCTACTTAATATTTAATATACTAATTATCTGCAGATAGAATAATCTATATAATAAAATATAATATCTAATAGATTCTATAAAACTCTTTTATCTATAATATGCTAAGCCTCCTCTATTACCTCTATTGAATAATCTAGAGTCTCCTAATTATTAGGTGCATATTTAAACTTAAGATAAAAACTTCTCTTCCTGACCAAACTGACCCCTATATTTAAAGGGTCAGAACCTTTAACCTTATATTATTTAAAGCTCTTACTGAGCTAAACACTTATCTCTATTTTTAACCCTTATTCTATTATCTACCCTTCAAAATCCTTAACAAAAATTATTTAAATCTTTTTTAAAGAGTTTTTTATGCAGTAGGAAGTCTAGCAGGTAGCATAAATTAATTATATAATTATTATTTAGTGGCTAATTATTATATTTATTACTCTACCTATCATACTGCTGAATCACACCACCTCTTATTAAATAAATCTTATCTTAATAAGGGAAAGAATAATTAAATAAAGAACCTATATTAATTACTTTGAATTTAATTCTTATAAGATCTACTAGGTCTATATATAGAGAGAACTACTTAATAGATATCTTCCTTCATCAAAATCCTCTAGGCATTTAATAAATAGATCTAGTCTATATACTGAAAGGTATTGCTCTAAAAATAACTTATTAAATTATTAATTATTTTAAGAATTTAGATAAAGAAATATTTAACTATTATAAATAATAAGATACTGTATTATAATAAAAGATAATAATTCTTAAAGAAATAATCTTAGACTAGGTAAGGCTTAATTTAAATAGTTTTTTTAGATAAGCCTGTCTAAAATTGAAGAAAAAGAGAAAAAAAATATTTTATCTTATATTTATTGTATCTTTTTCTCTAAATTAATAAAAAGGGTAGAGAAGTAAACTATATTTTTAAGCTTATTAAACTAGCTTATTAGTTATTAATCTATATAGATAGGTTAGCTAGGCTAAAGGTAATACTTCTTAATATAAGAGGTATAGGGACCTTCTAAACCCTTATTCTTAATCAAAGAGTGGTTCTTGGCAAGCTCCCTCTGAAAGCTTCATTTGGTTTAGTGATTCCCTATAAAAATCACTATTCAGAATATATCTGAATCACCTACTTCTATTATCCTGTATTCCCTAGTTCTTTTGTACTCAGAAAGAGGAGGATCTTAACCCCCTTTATAGGTCTACCTTTCTTCTTATAAAGAAACTAGACTTTAGGCTAGGGGATGTCCCTAGGTCCCCTACTAGGGAAGATATTTGTCACGGCGCTGCTGCGGATAGCAGCTAGAACCGCTGGCGTAGGACCACACCACCATACCGAGGTATGACAGAGTTGCGGCTAGAGCCTGTTCTGCCTACACTGACCGACCACGTGACCCACAACGAAGTTATCTCTGACTCCCTGCCTTGATCCTGTTTGTAGCTCTTTGAGCTACGTCCTGTCTATCAAGCCCGCCTGTACCAGCCTGCTTGCAACCTGGAGCTGATAGATAGAGATCCTGTAGCTAGCCTGAGTATCAACTACCTAATCTATCTGTTTCTGACCACCTGTGAGCCCGCACATTGACAGGGGTAGTCTTAAGGAAATCAGCTTTAGTCAAAAAGGATTGGACTAGGCCTAAGGCATATAAAATTATCTCTCTCCTAAACTGCCTAGGCAAGGTCTCTGAGAAGATCCTAGCTAGGAGACTAGCCTATCTGATAGAGCTCCTAGGATCTAGACTACTATATTATGATTAGATGGGGGATAAGGTCTAAAAGTCTGCTATAGACACAGTACTATCCCTAGTCTATAATATTCAAATCTTAAAAAGGAAGAAGAGGCTTACCTTTACTCCATTTATTAATGTGAAGGGGGTATTTGACTATATATCATTAAATCAGCTTCTGAGGGCCTGCTTCAAGCTATAGCTACCCTTAGCCTTTATTAGGTGGATTTAGCACTTCCTATCTGATAAAAGTATTTAACTAGCTTTTAATCGTGATACTACTGAAGAGACTCTTATCTCTATAGATATATCTCTTAAGGTTCTCCTATCTCCCCTATCATGTTCCTTATCTATACCAGATACCTATTTGAATATAATGAGGAAATAGATAAGGAGCTTAAGGGCCTATTAGGTTAGGTCAGATTCCTAGGCTATATTGATGATATAGATGATATAGCTCTGATCACCAGCTTTAAATTTCTAGAGCTAAACTGCCAGATCTTGTAGAAGGTGGTTGAAGAGCTATTTAGAAAAAGGGCAGCTCAGTTTATTCAATTTAATTAAGAAAAGATTGACTTGATCCATTTTCATAATAAGAGAAAGATAGATCTAGATCAAATTAAGGTCATATTGAATAATACAGGATTTACCCCTAAGCCTATGGTTAAATGGCTAGAAATCTATCTAGATCAAAAGCTGCTATTCCATAATCATGTAAAGCAGAAGGTAAATGAAGCTACTAAAATATTTTATCAGATTAAAAGGCTCTCTAATATTAAGAGAGGCCTTAGCTTTTATGCTATAAGACAGCTCTATATTGCTTGTATTACCTTAATTACTGATTATATGGTCCTTATATGGTGGAGAGGACAGAGATATATACTAGATAAATATCAGAAACTCTAGAATCAAGCTCTTAAGAAGATCTTAGAGGCTTTTAAGACCTCTCCAATCCAGGCTATGGAAATAAAAGCCTCCCTACCTCCTTCTAAACTTAGGTTTAGGAGAATATGTAGGTCCTATATCCTTAGAACCCTATCCTTCAATCAGAGCCATACAATTAGGACTAGGCTACTAGCCACCTTCACCCCAAATCCAGGAGAATTTTAATTAGACTAAACCAAGGAGCTAGACTAGACTAAACTAGAGAGGCCTTCTTAGGCCTTTAGCTTCTTAAGGTCAAATGATTCTCTTAGAGGGAGTAGGCAGCTTAAGAGGGCCCATCTTAGCTAATTAATCAGGCTACTCTCTTACTATCTATTTCAGGAATGACAGAGGTACTTAGATACATTTATTACTAAGTCCTCCCTATGGTCAGTAGGGCTTAGAAATAGGGTAAAAATATAGTTATCTTCTCTAAATTAAAAAGATAAGCAGCCTTAGATTATCAGTCTCTTATTTATAGCTAGATTTAAGAAGAGATAGGTAATAAGCTTATTATCTATTCTGATAGCTCTTAATTTAGTAAGAGGTCTAATAATATTAATATCTTTATCTTTAATACCTCATTTGCTATATAAGAATCCCAGGTGTGGAATCTAGGAAAAAAAATATAAGATCTTTAATGCAGAGCTTTATACTATCTATTAAATAATCCAGCTAATAAAAGTCAAACTAGCCTATAGCTCTACTATTAGAGAGATATAAGTCTTTTTAAATAGTTAGGCAGCTATCTAAAGGCTTTAGGGGACTGGAAATTACTTTATTAAGATAGTAGCTATCTCTAAGATTATATTAGATTTATTAGATATCTATCTTTCTCTATATTTTCATCTTTACTAGGTCCTTGGTTATTAAGGGATCTATGACAATGAGAAAGCTGATAAAGCAGCTAAATATAGAGCTAATTAGCTAGATCCTATTCCAGAGACCCTTATCCCATATAACTTTATGAAAAGGGACCTTAAGACTAAGACCCTAGCAAAATGGCAGATACCTTATAATCTAGCCAAGACCAAGCTAATAGGCATTTTTCTTAATTTAAGAGCTAGCCTAAATAGAAGCTAAGTTCTTTAAGACTCTTTAAACAGCTCCAGTCCTCCCTCATCTAATTAAGATTAGGATATGGGTACTTTAGGTTTTATTTAGTTAGGCTGCCAGATTATAATACTGAGGACTGCCCCACCTGTCAATACCAGTATAAGTAGGATCCTCATTATCTTATCTTAGGCTGCTTAGCCTATAATTAAGAAAAGGATAATACTATAAATCAGCTTTCTTCTAAGGACAGATCCCTATTCTATCTTTTTACTATTAAGATAGGGTAAGAAGCACTTCTAGCTTTTTTAAAAGCTACAAAGATTGCTATTAGAAGGTGGCTTTTAGGTATATAAAAAATTGCTTTTCTAGGAGTTTGGAGTTAGGTTTAATATATTATCTATATCACTTTCATTATCTCTACTTTTTTTATCCCTATATATATTCCTCTCTTTATCTGGCTATCTTATACCTTCAGTTATATTTATATAGCCATTTCTTTCTATCTTCTCATTCTTTATCCCTTTTTCCTATGTATAAAATATCCCTCCACTCTATGCCTATTTCATATTCCCTACTATTTATCTCTATTCTACTGTCTCTGTGACCCTTGTTATCTGACTCCTATATGGCAAAGCCTATTCATGTCCTTAGCTAGCTGACCCAAACCCTCCTTTAGAAGGGGGTAGACCATGCATAGTCCTAGACTGAAAAATGGTCTATAAAATGGAAGTCATCATCATCATGTTCACCAGCTAAGTTTCATGCTGCTAGTTTCATATAGCAGGCCATGTGTCAACATACAATTATCACACATATCTCAGTGCAAATCTCCCATCATATCCTCATCAAAGTCAAACTCACTTACTTCACCGCCAATGGGCATATCACTATTTCCTTTGGCGCCGTTTTCAACTCGCCTTTGAGTCTTGCGTAAATCCTCAATATGCTCAGAGCTCAACTCCAAAACATGGTTGCTTTGCATGATATTATCCACAAGAACTCTCAACAAATGTGCTTCTTGAAGCAAACGCTTGTGTGCACGAAGTTCTTGCGCAGCAGAAAGCCCCGAGGTCTTCATCAAAAAGCGAAGTGTCGTCTTGCTGGATTTATCGCAGGAATGGAATAACGTAGCATTCATAACCCCAAATGTTATGAGTGATGCAAGGAATGACTCCATCTCCTTAGTGGAAATTGAAGAAAGTGACACATGTGCTGCCACATCTGACACTGTCAGGGCTGCGAAACTCCTACCAAGCCTGAGAATAGCCGCACTGCGAAACTTTTCCATTACTTGGAAAACAAGCCCTGTGTTGTTATCCTGGATGTAACAGTCAATGACCCTTAGTATACATACATGCACGCTGATGACCACATTAAAAAATAAAATAAAAATAAAAATAAAAAAGAGAGAGAAGGGGGAGGTGGCGTACTGTTTGCCATATAGATCTTCCGACATCAATATCAATTTTTAATCTCTCATAGTTGTCTTCATCAAAGGAAGTCGCGAGAGCAATATACGGCCTTGCAAGCGATCGGTAGATCTTCGCCGTCTGAGCAGTGACCACATTCGGCAGGGCAATAGACTGCCAATTGACAGTTATTGTCAGCCAACAGTAGCAAACGCTAGACATACATAATCAACTACATACCTTTTTGTGTTCCAGGAGGCTAACTAAAACCCACTTCTTGTATGCCTCCACCATAACCATGCTGACTGAGTTGACAACGGGAGAGCAAACAACAATACTTAGAAAATGAAGGGCCTTGCTCCATTTTTTGAGAGCCATGTATAGCATTCCTCCGTATAGGAAGTACTGCAAGTGGTCTTTATATGTGAGCTTGGCAGACAACTCCGAGTCGTCAGTGATAAAAGCTGAACTAGACCCATGCTCTGCACATAGTGGCCGGCGAAATTTAGATTGTAGATGCTCATAATTTATGGGAAAATGACAGATATACCTGTCAATGATTGGCAGTGCATGTGTGTATGCTTTCGCATGCAAGCAAAGTCTGACAAAAGCTAGGTGTGTAGATGTGAAAGTAACACACGAAGGATCCAGACGAAGCATTGCATTTCTGACAAGTGGGACTGCAAGAAGTGGCTATTTCATGTTAGTCGAGAATGAGTCGTATAAGCTAATTAGTTAATGTATCTTGCCTTTGAAACTGCTTCCGCGCCCTGAATCACAAGCTCAACAAGCTGACGCCATTCATGGCCTGCATACCTGATTTGAACAGGATCAAACTCGTTCAAAAACAGAGCTGCTCTCGACCAAATGCACCCACCAGGATGCAGGACATCGGGTAAGGTTTTATTGCTGTTATTTTGGATTGCAAGGAAACGCAAACGTAAGATGAACAAATAAGACAGACTGTGTATTGAAGGATCAAGAGCCTACATGTATGCAACTGTCAACCTGGTTCAGACCAAATAACTTCCCAGATGGAACAGAATGATAGAACTTCAGAACGAGTCCACGAAAGATGAGAACCTGGCTTACATCTAGAATCCTGTCACTGTCAGATATGATACTAGAATTCTTATTTGTAAGCAATTGTTTGATATATGTGATGAAATCTCTGATTTCACGGTCATAGGCCTCATCAGATTTATCCTTAAAGGATAAAGATGTGAGGGCCGGAAGAATTGCTGCCATCTCCATGTTTGTATTAGGTATTGGGTGAAATTGAGAGACAATGGAGTCGAGGTAATAAGAAACTACTACCTCCTTGTGCTTCCTCCAGTTATGATCATGATTCTCCTCCCTTTTAAGAAAGAAGGGGAAAAAAGGACAATATGGAGCAAAATGACGTTTCTACTAGCATATGGAGTACAGTGAGGTGTCCCTTATCGGCGCTAGTCCACCGCTCAGCAGTCACCTTTCTATATTGGGTATTATTGGGAGTTTTACTGGAAAATTCATTGTTTCTAGTAGGCGGTGTATGAAGGTGTCATTTTTAATGGCATCTCACTGTAATGTAATCGGACACCGAGAGTCTCCAGTAGAGGTAATTGAGGTAGCTATTGTGGAAAAGGGTTGGTGTCCGATTACGTTAAGAGTAAAATTATTATCTAAGGTGATAAGGTCATGTGATAGATAGTCGGACCTTAGTTTCAGGACCATACAGAACTAATACCTTAAACCAGACGTTGAATTCTTTGACAGTCCCCGAATATGTCGCTCACTGAATCATCTGCTGTTGACGTTGCAAGGGCTGCGTGTGAGGCGTCTCGTCACCTTGCAACGTTATCCGACACCGCCCGTAACGAAGCGCTGACGGCTCTTTTTCATGCTCTTGAGAAAAATAAAGATGCCATTCTCGAAGCAAACCGCAGAGACGTCGAGGCAGCAACTCGTGCAACGAACGATGGCAATCTCAGTAAAAGCATTCTTAAAAGACTTGACTTGGCGAGACCTGGAAAGTATGACGAGATGCTGCAAGGTATCCTGAGCGTGCGGAACTTGCAAGATCCAGGTGTGCCCATAATCATAATCTAAGTCTTGTTTATTTTCATGCTGCTGACCAATATAAAGTTGGGAAGGTGACATTGAGAACCCTTTTAGATGATGGTCTTGTCCTGGAGAGAGTCAGCTGCCCAATTGGCGTGTTGCTGATCATCTTCGAAGCCCGACCGGAAGTTATCGCCAACATCAGTGCCCTGTCTATCAAGTCAGGAAATGCTGCAATCTTGAAAGGTACGCTCCATGATAGACGCTTAGCGGTCGGATATTTATTGATTATTTGGAAGGCGGGAAGGAATCCACGGAATCATTTGCTGCAATTGCGAAAGTTATATCTGAAGCAATTTCTGGTACTCAGGTTCCTAATACGTCAATCCAACTTGTGCAGACACGAGATGCCGTCTCCTCTCTACTGGCGCAGGACTCATTGATCGATTTGGTTATACCACGTGGCTCAAATGATCTTGTCCGTTTTGTGAAAAACAACACCAGGATCCCGGTACTGGGTCATGCCGATGGTCTCTGCTCTGCGTATATCCATCCAGACGCGGACCTGGATGTGGCCGTAAAGGTAATCGTTGATTCAAAAACCGATTATCCGGCTGCATGTAATTCCTTGGAAACATTGCTCGTTCATGAAGATGCTCTGGACAGTATCCTTCCTGTCGTTGCGGAAGCACTCTTCAAGAAGGGTGTCTCGCTCCGTTGTGACTCATTATCGAAAGCTGCGTTGACAAAGAAATTTCGAAATACGCAAGGAAATTTGGTACAGGACTCTGATGAGTCTGATTACGATACAGAATTTTTGGATCTTATTCTTGCTGTTAAAACCATTCCTTCAACCCGTTCTCCGGGATTGGCTGTCGAGAAAGCCATCGCCCATATAAACTCTCACTCGTCTAAGCATACTGACATTATCTTGACCAAGTCAAGGGAATTGGCAGACTTATTCATGAAAGGGGTTGACAGCGCCGGTGTTTTTTGGAATGCCTCGACAAGGCTCGCTGACGGCATGAGATATGGATTTGGCACCGAAGTTGGCATTAGTACGAACAAGATTCATACAAGGGGTCCTGTCGGGTTAACTGGCCTGACAATATACAAGTATCTGATTAGCGGAAATGGCCATGGAGCAGGCGACTATTCTAGTGGGCAAGGAAGTCGAAAGTGGAAGCATGAGAGCCTGCCAATAGATGACGAATAGTTGCATTGGTCACATTCAAATTGAGCTTTTTCTGTCCGGCTAGATACTTAGAATTGACGTAGAAACAGTTGAATCCCTCTCATTTCACGTTTACAATGAAAAGATAGCTTTGGCTACACCCGTCCCTAACTAGCTGCGCAACGCCAGTTCTGTGGGCATAAGGTCAAATGATTGCAAATGCGCAGCGCTTTACAACCGCATGTGTTCCCGAACGGCAAACTACCCATTTCACACACAGCAAACAATAATAGCAGGGCCCTGCTGTTGCAGAAGAGTGACCTAAACCTTGAAACCACGAGACCTTCTCCTACCACGGGCCCTCTCGAATTTCCGAGTCTTGCTGCCCTGTACGTATGGTTTCTGAAAGCAGTCAGTGAATGTCTCAACGAAGGATAATTCGTATAACAAACCTTGTGGCTGTGAGGACCAAAGCCAAAGTGCTTCACGGCCTCCCGCGCATTCTTGGGGCCCCTAAGTAGGAGGGTGTTGGCTCCAGTGGGCGCTCGCAGAGCAAGTTGATCCAGTGTCAACGTCTCCCCGCCAGCGTTCTCAATCCTGGCTCTAGCGGTAGAGGTGAAACGAAGAGCAGCCACAGAAACCTTAGGAATGGTGAGAAGGCGGTTGTCATCTGTAACCGTACCAATGACGACGACCGTTTTGCCCTTATGCGACTCATTGAGGTTTGACACAATACGCGAGAGAGAGACAGGAGGACGGTTGATTCTCGACATGAAGAGCCGGCGGAGAACGACTTTGTTGAAATTGGAATCCGTGCGGCCTGGAAGACATCGCGCTGATCAGTCACCTAACCTCGAACGACTTACGACCTTGGTCAAATATGAATCTCAGGGTGGCCATACGAGCGAGGAAACGGTAGAGTTTCACCAAAACTTGCAAGTAAACATTGTCACTCTTGGGCGCCTTGCGATGGGTGCTGCGCACATGGTGACGGTCCAAGTCGATACCTATATATTTGATTTGATAGTCAGCTCAAGTTCTACCTAGAAATTCCAGTGCCATGGTGTCAATCCATTCTCAAAAAAAAACAATAATAGCCATAATCTGTCTTTGATAATATACATACCCATGCTGGCGTGTGTGACGGCTTCCCTTGGAACTCTAGCTGTCGCTCTGGATGAGAGATTGAAGCTTGCAGGGTATTTTAGTCTACAAATTTTGGGTGGATGGTGTGTGCGGGTTGAGCCCTATCCCACTGCCAGTAAGGACCTTTGACCCACTCTTTGTGCTGGCCACTTAGGAAATAGGCATCTTTCTTACCTAATACAAACATTCCGTATACTATTAGTACAGAACTTGGAATACACTTGTGGTACTTCGGTCTATTTTTAAGTGCCTGTAATAGCTGCATATCAGATCAGAATAGAGCCTGATAGTATCTATTTTATTTTAGATACTACTTAATCCTGACACAAAAACTTCTACTATATACTATGATATTATTTGGTGGTTCTCATGAATACGGAGTAAAGCCTACCTATGTAACATCTAGGTATTACGTATATACTGCTATCATACTAGCTATTTCTACTCCTTCTTTTCATTAATGAACGGATGGAAAAGATGAACAGGATAATTGAACTATTCCTTAATCTTGCCCAGGTAGCCTTCAGACTACAGGGTAATATTGAAATAGTGGATTTCAATGCTATTATCTGGCAAGTCCAACGACCCTAATCCTACGTCTCTCATCAGTGTTCTACCTTCACACGAGCAAGTACCTTCTGTGCTAATAATCCGTATTTCCGTATTGGCAATTTGAACGGTGAACATTTCGATGTTGCTATAGGGGCAATTCCAGGATGGTAATAATTTTACAATAAGTCGAGCAATCTTCTTTGCGCCGGTGTATTGGTAGGAGAGGTTCATATAGTTGAGGTTTTAAGCTGTCGGTAAACAAACCCTGTCTGTAGAGAGTATTGAATTTTATGTCAAATAAGATGTGTTTTGGACTCCGTAACTGTCTGAGTTTCATTCTCAAGGGGATGCGTTAATGATTCCAAATGGCGGCCAATTTGTATTTTCAACTCCTGTTATCGAGCCTGCCCTACTAAATTGGTCTCCAAGATAATCAACTATCAGAATGTACAACTCCCAAGGCTCATTCTCGTTGGATTCTACACGGAACAGGTGATCGTTATATCAATCAGTCCCAAGACCAGACTTTCCAAAAGGGAAAAGTCTGGCATCAGAAAGGACAAGAGTTATGCATATGGATTCCAAAGGAGGATTGCAGGCTCGATTAGGAAGATTCGATAAGACACATCAATTGAAATGATGACCACATGTACCTCCGGTAACTACGTACAATGTTTGTAATATTACATACACTAGGCTAAAGCTAGTTCCTTTCTTCGCTTTTGGCGTGTGCGCTAACCTGTAGCCATTTCTCCTATGCAGATCTTTTCGTTTGCCCTTTTTAAATGTTTCTCAATATCCTCTCCTCGCATCAGCTCAAATTAATCTCATATCCTCTAAATACGGAATACCCACACTCTTCGCATTACCAACCAGCGCAGTCATGTCCAGGCCAGGTACCACTCTTTATGTCACCGGCTTTGGGCACGGGACCCGAGCTCGCGACCTTGCCTACGAATTCGAACGGTACGTGCCGCTCGTCGATATACACGCGCTACCATCGCACGACTTACCCATCCACGCAATTCCCTCCAACCAAGCTTGGAAGCCTTAGCGTCGAATCCGTTCCCCAAAGTTCCCAAGATTATATCGCTTGTTTGCGGCTTTCTGTCTTTCCTACGAATAGTTGCATGGCGGGCCTTCGCCGACAGAATATATCCATCACCACCCATTCATCCATTTTGTTCTTTAAACCTCTTCCTTCCCAGAATTATTTATTTTTGTTTTTATTTTATTTTACAGTCTTGTTTATGTTCTATTCAGAGCCTAACTTTGTTACAGATATGGACGTCTCGTTCGTTGCGACATTCCTGCACCGCGTACGCCTTCCAGCCGTCTGTAAGTTCCGTCTAGCTATTGATTTCCTTGTCTTCTGATCCTAATGATGTGTAGGTTTGCATTTGTAGAGTATGAGAGTCGTCGTGATGCGGACGATGCGTATCATGAAATGCACAACAAGCGCATTGGCCGTGATGATTTGCTGAAAATCGAGGTGAGCCTACTATGTAAACTCCTTTACTTTTCCCTACGTGACGTATAACTAAGCAATGGTTAGTGGGCGCGAACACCTCCATCCGCATCATGGCGTTTTGACTCTGGTCGTGACCGACGACGTGATCGTACCCCTCCTCGCCGTGGCCGTTCGCCATCTCCTCGCCGTGGACGTGGCGATTACTCTCCTCGTAAGGATGATAGGTATGAAAGGGATTATGATCGACACGAGCGGGACTATGACCGCCGTGACCGTGATTATGACCGCCGTGATCGTGACTATGACCGCCGTGATCGTGATCGTTCCCGTGATCGTTCCCGCAGCCCTGATGACAGGGACCGTGATGTCAAGGACGACAGGGAGCGTCGCGAAGATGAACGTGAGAGGCGTGAAGATGAACGTGAAAACGCGCCTAATGGTGAAGATAGAAAGGGTAAGTTGATCTAGCATCATAAGGAAACCTCCATTTATAGCTCACTTTTGATAGTTCCCCTGGATCCTCTCACTTCCGCTCATGATGAGCTTGACACTGCCGAGTAGGTCTGATCGCTGCTGTGCTCATTTAGCGAGTTCTCGCTCTTTTCCCTCGTATGCCGGATACCTGGAAAGAGATCCTACCGCTTCTAGACAATATTTCCTTACGGAAGTGGCCATAGGCAAGTTGAGGGGGGAATTTTGAGCGAGGACTGCAGACCGGTATTTGACATAGTGCTATGCCGACCCTTTCTTTCCTTCTCCCCCCCCCCCTCCCCCCCTCTTCCCCCCTTTCCCCCCTTCGAGTTCGTCTTTATTGCAGTTTGGCTTCGGGATTTTTCTAGCTCTGGCAGTGTCGGTGTCAGATTCGCGACCGCTCGTGCTTAGGGCTATTGTTTGATATTGGTATTTATCTTTTTCGGCAGCTCGAATTCGAACCGAACGAACGTCGGGCATTTTCCTTTTCCCAGCCAGTCATTGTCGTCCTTCATCGCGATGTGTTCCGCCCGTCGTCTCCCTTTAATCGCATGTGTAATATGAAAACGATAAATCATTCCTTTTCCCGCATCCATACGATCCGTCGAACCCTACGAGGCCTGGCATGCCTTGGACATCGATTGTGGCGTTGGTGCAGTAGTTGTAGTAAATCCATAGTACTGGTAGCCCTCTAATGATAATTGATGAAGGAGCTGTAGACGCGTCTGATCGACCATGGAGAAAGAAGTATGTGCTTGGCCTGCAATCCTACTCCATTTCTGATTCCAGCTAGTTTACTCGAGAATGAGCCTGTACTGGCTGACCCTGTGACTTGATTCTTACAATTGTGCCCACACCGCCGTTCCCGTAGCTAATATGACTGATAGTTATGGCACACCCGATCGGATATGGTATTTCAACAGGCAAATGTGGAAGGGTGGTGCTTTTATTATCGAAACTGCAAATGTAAGGAGTATGGAGTAGGTCGACAAATCACACTAATTGCTGCCCCCTGACATTAATATACAGTTCGGGAGTTGTACGGACTCGATTCCCCAATGCCGGCGCGGCCAAAGCTTAAAACATAAATAATGCCATGTTGAATTGGGGTTTCTTCCATCCGTGTCGAATGTATTTGGAATGTTAAAAGGGTTTTCAGCATGTACACAGTTAAAACGGCGCGAGACCCAAAGCAGCAATGTAAGTAGGCAAACCGGAATCACTCTTTAAGACCTGATCGCAGTTTTAAAAACCAACGGTGAGAAGCAAATATATCACCACCACCACATCTCGCGCTAATTCCAACTGCTCCTCACAGCTCTTCTCATTACATTTTTTCATATGTAGCCATCAGAGAACCTGTATTAAATATTAGGTAACTTATGTCTCAACATTGCCCAGTAGAGATTAACTCACCAATGAATGTTGTTACCAATCGTGAGCGAACCTGGCAAATATCTTCTGGCACCAACCAAATAGTTGCACCCAGCTTCCTCGCTATGCTGATGCTCAATTTGGCATTTGCGTAGGCCTCTTCATCAGTCCTTCCCGGGGTTACAAGCTCATAGTCGACATAACTACTCTTCATGCCGTTGAGCACGTCAAGGAGGAAAATTCCCGATCCAATGGACTGGTCCTTGAAACTGCGAATTGTGGATGGCCTGCCGCCCTTTCGGGACATGTCATTTGCCCACCGAACCATCTCCGCATCGGTTATTTCCCGTTTCCCCATTCGCTTTGCTAAGCTAGAAAGCGTGTTCGTTATATCCCTTCGCATTATTTGCCATACCAGTCCCAACGTGAGAGTTCGCTGGCCATCGGTAATATCTGCTCCTTGGACGCCGACGAGAGAGAAACCATTATGCTTTCCAAGCTCAATAGCATAATTTGTGTTCTCCACTGCTTTGAACCGCATCATCTCTCCACCGGATGCCGGGGGCCTGTTCACATGCCTCCAGTTCACACTTCCGGGAATTACCTTATCATAAGCCTGCAGTAAAACAGTGCCATCTCGAAGATCATCGAACAAAGAATTGACCGGCGGCTGCACGTCCAACGAGTTCAACCAAAGAGTGAATACCCTTGCTTCGCGCTCACCTTCAGCGTCGAAATCTTCCACTTCAAGCTTGTCTTCTTCTGTAATTGGGTCAAGTCCCGGATGCGTGTTGAACAGGTTCGCCACGAAGGCAAGATTGAGCTTCGGATTCCCCGCAACTAGCGAGGATGGGGTCAAGAACTTGCGGCAGCCTATTTTTTCTGCATTTGACAAGACCTGTTCAGCTCGGTAGAGGGGTTCCTGGGAGTGCAAGGGATCCAAAGAGCACATGTCAGGTGCCAGTTGATTGAGGAGAACAGTATAGTTTTCACCATCCTTCACATCACTCGAAAAATTCGACACCCTGGATAATGTAAGTTAGTGACTATAGGTAGATGCCCGCTTGGCATTATGGAGTAAGTGAAATAGATAAACAGGGTCAAGAGGCAATTACCTTCTATCCCACCTCGCATTTCTTAGGTGATAATTGAACCAGCGGAGTAAAATCTGCTCTGGGGGCAATCTAAGAAACTGTTCAAGCGTCTCGTCGTCTTCTAGGAGTCTATAAAGTTCAGGGTGAAGCTTGATATCAATTTTTCCCAACAGACCGCGGCGAATAATCTGCCAGATAAGACCAAGGATGAGATGTTCCCGGACTTCAATAATGTCACCACTTCCAATATTCACAACAGAGCAACCAATACCCTTAGCAGAGTTGATAACAATATTGTTATTTTCCGTCATTTGGAAAGTGTTTAGCTCCTTAGTCTTTCTGCCGGACTTGTTTAGGACACGTTCATCAATTGTATCCGGGACGCTGTCGTTTATCAACTTTGCCAGAACCAGGCCATCCTTGCACTCGTCAAACATCTCGAAAGTATCTGTAGGGAATGGGAGCAAATGGCCAATATCTGGGTCACCGGCAAGAACAGCGTTGATGTGCCGTGTAAATTCGGTCCTTTCATCCTCATTGATGGTGTGTGTGACGTTTGCAGAGGAACCTTGAACATGAATCTTTCCGCCGACACTACCTTTTGAGACGTGACGAGGACCAGCGCCATTTCCCTGGCCAGCCGCAATAATACTGGAGGTACCAGGAGGCCTATTCTGCACTGGAGCCGAACGAAGCTTGGAAATGAGCTGTCATAGAAACTAATTTAGTAGGTCTCTAAATGAAGGTTGTAGGAAAATGGAAACCAACATCAACATAGTCTTCGAGCTCCACACGTCGAGAGCTGTCAAGTTCCACTTCCTTCAATGCCTGCCGTACCACATCATAGGGCTGCCGCTCAGATTGCTGAGTAGCCTTGATGACAGCCGACTCCTCCAAATAGCCTTTGTCATCAACGTCCAACTTTCTAAAAGCATCTTGTAGTGCAAAGATTTCGCTCTGGTCGAACTGGGGATACTTCCTAACTTGCCAGAACAGTTGAGTCCGCATACGGTTAGTGGATGAACTAACAAGAAGGATTTTTTGAGATGGGATAATTAAGGAAACAAACCTTTGGAGTTTAAGAACATTCATGATTCTCGTTGGGTATATTACCCCAGTACCAAGGTATGGCTAGGCTGAAGTATGTGTATGAGGGGCGCGGAAGAAGTCGTTATTATCCGTGTAAAGGGGAGGAATAGAAAATGTATTTCAACGGGACTAGAATATGATACTACCTGGTTTCCCTATACAAGATAGAGTCCAGTTGATGGAGACAAGTCTGTAGCAGTAGTTATGGTATATGTTTTGCTGGTCCTCCGGGAAGCAGATGAAGTGGAGGGGGTGAAGGCGGGTGGCAGAATTGGTGGGTTAATATACCTGTATGTCTGCCCGTGTAATGATAGACCCTGTAAGACTAACATGCGGCTGTTTAATTTTGGTAAGTGATGCACATACATCACAGAATGCTATTATGATACAGTGAGTTATTTGGAATACAACATATACAATATCCCACACAGGTGATTGCTGCATTGACGTCACTTTGGTGGTATTACTAAATGATATGAAGTATAGCTGGGGACACAGACAAACACTAGAAACCAATGTGAAACTTGATGGCCACTGGCTTTCTACTCTATTATTAATATAAAACATAAATGGACTTTCATCTAAGGATGGAGCTGGCGATATCGAGAGAGTACTTTGGAACCTTGGAATGGGTCGTAATCCAGAAATAGTCGACAACATCGCTAATGCTACTACATACTGTGTGAGTACGGAGTAGATGTACAGGTATGAAACAGCCTCTTGTGAGACCTGCAGGCTAGGGTACCTAATTTGAGTGCAGCTGCAGCTGCAGCATATATATTTGTAACAGCATTGTTTATCAAAAAGAACCCAAAGGGTCAAAAGACTTGATTGGTGCCTTTACATTTGGATGAGTTAGCAGCTTTCAAGTTGTCACATTGGGTTTCTAGGAATATCTACATAATCAGATAACTATTATTACTCCTTATTCGGCATACGTAGATTGGGTCAGCTTATGCTCTACTTTTATGCCAACCCTAGAGCTGTGCCATGTGCATTGCGCTTTTCTTTATCACCACGAAGTGGCACCTACGGCTATTACATACAACCCATTCCTCTACCTTCTTGCCACATTGTATCATTCATATACTCTATGCTTGGCTACTATGACAATCTAAACATCAATTATTCATTGTTTTTATGTCACAGTCACTTGTTCTAACTTCCATCCTTCCCCCATATTCTCTAACTGGCATCTAATCACAGTTTTAATAGCTGACAGGGCTCATATTTAGAAGCTAAGCATATTGTTGTTGCATCTCTACTCTTTAAGAGGTGAGTTTCAGTCAAGGATCCAATAGTGTAAATTCTGACCCCTGTCTGCATATTTGAGTTATTGTTCTTGGTTACATTATTCACATATTTCACCTCGGCTCAGTTCAGCACTCGATGCCAGGGACAGATCAGAAAGTGTCATTTCTAGGGGTAATTTCTCAATGGGGTATTTCGAGAAACCCGACTTCTGAGCCTACCGCATCCGATCACGGAAAAAGAGATATCCTGCAAAGATCTCAAGGAGAAGACCACACCGTCACTCGGAGGTATAGACTGAACCAGCGCCATTATCCTAAGGATTGTCCAACATTGAGGGTGAGGTGGTTTTATGCAGTTGACTCTCCGAAGCGGAAACCGACACTGTCGGACCACAAGAAAGACAATCAAAAACCTCTCCCTTCCCCTAAAAAATTTGTTCCATTCTCTTCCGGCGATTCCCAGTCTATTGAAATTGCATTCCAAAAGCTTTCTGATCTGGAGGACAGACCTGGGGATGCGCAATTTAGTGAATCCCCCAAAGACATTGGCGATGAACGTGTCCGGGTCCCTGTCAACGAAGATTACCTTTTTGATGTCGATATTGAGCACAGGGAGCTCAGCCCTGCATATTGGGTCGGCCCTGTGTATGAAGTTCGTCGTGGAACATGGTTTTTCCAAGAAGGCTCTACTTTCAAACCCTGTGAGGAGAATCTTGCCACCCAACTGGAAGAAGGATTCTTAAAGGTGAGACCATGGCGGTTCGAGAGTGCCCAAAAGACCTTGTCTCGGGCTACATCTAGTGCGAAAGGGAATGAGCACCATGGACTCAATGTGAGCAATCCCGAGTCAGTGTCTGGTGCGCCTATATCAACAAAGATTACATCTGCCTGCAATAGCCCCGAGGGTTCCGCACCTAATGACGTTACTCCCCTGTCTGCGATAGAGCCCCAGAGTTATCGCCTATTTGGTGCCTACATGAATAGTATAGTAACCTACCAGGATTCCTCAACCGCGTGGTTGACAAGTGACGATTTCATGTCCCGCGTGAGCACTACAGTATACCAGAAACTTGGTGGTGTTCCGGGAACAAAGATCGTTCGGGGTTTCAGTGAGACCAAAAGACTAAAAGAGCCGACAGAGACAAAAAATGCTATTCGAAAGCCCCCGAGGAAATGGAAGATACAGCACGAGACCTTTATTAACACTCAAACAGTCTCTACGAACATCGAGCAAAAAATTGACTCTTGCCCTCCGCGGCCACGTATTCCCAGTGACGGAGGTCCCGAAAATCGGAGTGTCGCGGAGGAAAACCCGAGAACAACACTTGAACGGCAAATGTCGTCTCTTGCAGGGGAGCCGCAGGATATGGCTGATATTGAGGAGCAAGCCCGTAGACAAGAGGAAAAGGAGATGGAAGACTCTAGGGAAGTTGACAATGAAGATAGGGAACGGGAAATTGACCACCTGGTTCTTGTCACGCATGGCATTGGCCAGCGACTTGGGTTGCGGCTAGAAAGTATCAATTTCATACACGACGTGAATTCCCTGCGCAAGACGTTAAAGAGTGTATATAAGGCATCTCCGGGCCTTCAGACACTTAACTCTTCATTTGCAGACAACAAGAGGAATTGCCGCGTCCAGGTTCTACCAGTGTAGGTATTCCCTTAATAAGACCCATTTTTACAAATTTTGTAAACTTTGCTGCTTTGTCTATTTTGTTATCAAGGTAGATTGCATCTTATGCTGATTCGACTTAGATGCTGGCGACATCTGCTCGACTTTCCCTACCGAGGATTTAGGCAGACTCGCAAGGAACATGACCTTGCTGACGCAGATTATTTGGAAGATGATGTGTACCCTACATTAGCGGACGTCACCCTTGAAGGCGTGCCTTCTGTTCGAAACCTCATTTCCGACCTAGCAATGGATGTGCTCCTTTATCAGAGCGCGTATTGTGACCACATTGCCACCATAGTGCAACAAGAATGCAATCGAATTTTCAAACTCTTTAAGAAAAGAAATCCTTCTTTCAAAGGGTCTGTCAGCCTATGTGGTCATTCACTTGGGAGTGCAATCTTCTTTGATATCCTGTGTCACCAGCAGAACAATTCCACCTCTGTTGGGCAGGATGCCAAGGCAGGACACAGGGCTAAGACGCAGACGGCACTAGGGGGGATGGATCTCTACCCACTAGATTTTGAATGCGAGGAACTTTTCTGTTTAGGGTCTCCGATTGCCCTCTTTCAGATGCTAAAAGGGAAAACCATTGCTGGGCGGTCTACACTGGGTTCTAAGAATGGTGGAAACACCATTGATATCCAAAGCCCGGCTGAAATTGTGCACCGGCCCTCTGCTCCACGTCATTCTGTTATTCTGGAAGGGGACCTGAACGACATATCCCCCACTGTGTCTTCTCCAAATTGTCGACGGCTATATAACATTTTCCATCCATCTGATCCGGTAAGCTATCGTATTGAGCCACTCATATCACCCGCAATGGCGGCACTCAAACCACAACCTTTGCCTTCAGTCAAAAAGAGCCTCTGGACTGCCTCGGGCCAAAGTCTTTCGGTAATCGGAACTCGGGTGGGCCAAAGTGTGGGATCTTTATGGACGAACTTTACATCAGGTGTCGCTAGTAGTTTGCTGAACCGCAGCCTGGGGCTGGGTTCAGAAGACGCTCATCAGACTTCGACGAATGTCAATTCGCAACCACAGCAGACGCAACCACCACCAATCACCGATTTGGCTCGCGAGAAACAGAGTCACCCTGCTTCCAATACCAGTGACCAGCAGGAAGATGATAACACTTTGGAGACATCTGTGGATCAAGAATTTGAAACTCTTTATTGCCGCTTCCAGGATTTGAGGAGCGGCCACAGAAGGGGGGATTCGCAGCCCTGTACAGTTGAAGGCACTGCAGATTCTCAGGAGATGGATGATCGTGCAAGAAAATTAAAAATCGAAGATGCCAAAGTGAGGGCACTGAATTCAAATGGACGAGTGGACTATAGCCTGCAGGAGTAGGTCCTACTGCATCCTCATTTGGACGCATACAAGTAACTGATTCGGCTCGGGGCTGACTGGCTTGATAGGGGTACTTTTGACATTTCCTTAATTGCCAGCATTGCGAGCCATCTCTCTTACTGGGCTGATGAAGATGTCAATCATTTCATGCTCTCGCAGATGTTGTCCCGGAAAAATTGGAATAAGAATACAAAGCAAGCATCCAAGGAATGAAGATCTCTCATAGCCCCATTTTATAGCCACACTTACTGTGTCTTGTTTCTTTTTGATGCCCATCTGTGGATACTGCTGAATAATACTATAGTGGCTCAGTTCTGCTACTGTAAGGGCTATGGCGGTGATGGCGTGAAGAGGTAATCAATATACGGTGAATGCAAGTGCGATAGTAAGGAAGCAAATGTAGGGTCCTTGTTGCTTAAGAACTAACCGCTGACTTCGTTATGGTGTTGCGAAGTTCAGCTCCTAAGTGCTATGTACACGTGATCTTGTGTGGCCAGAGGCTGCTGTCTTCTCAGCCTTACAGTTGCATTCAATACTATTTTAAAGCATCTCTGGAATGCTCAAACAATATGTATTTTGTCACTGCAAAATCTAGGTATATGGCTTCGTTGATTATTTACTGTGAGTAGCCAGCAAAGCAATATTTGCTTACTCTTCCTGTTGTTTGCATGTAGCCATGTACAGCAAATACTGCAATGCAATATTACACGTCCATGATACCATTGCAATTAACACTACCAATACACTGTATAATATGTATCATAGGCTTGGAATCGGCCAACTTGTCGGCCCTCCCTCGTAGAACCCGTATGGAGTAGACTGTTAAGCGCCCCTTACACTTCGAGAGACTACAAGGTCACCACTTTCAACGCCTGTAAAAGAAGCGAAAAGACTAATCCTCTAGCTATAGGCTCAACCTGGAGGCAGTCAAAAATCCTCTCCAGCGCTTCCCGGCTGGCGGTAGCACCCATGACACTTATAACAGCTTGAGGCAGTCCTTTTTGAACAAAAATTTTCCGTGCAGTTTCCCTCAGACGTTTCTTCTCCGCATCGGTTCGAGCTGAGGGAGGGAGGTCACAGTCTGCCTGGGTTGGGAAAACAGTCTCGCAGAGTTTTACCAGATATCCCCCAAGGGCTTCGTCCGATGTGTGGGTATCTATCATTGAATTCTGTAGCAGAACGCGAATCGTCTCTAAATGCGGACTCCCAGGGCGTAGGATATATGACTTTGCAGCGTTAAGAATAGTTCGGCGTATGTTCCAGGCAGATGACGAAGAATATAATTCATTGATAACAGCGAATATTAGTTCCACGGCTATTTGCGTCTCTTCACGCGTTATAGGGCTATTCAGCGTCTGTTCAGCGTCCCCTGCGCCAGTCGGGGCACATAAAACTTCGGCTTTGGTCCCAAAAGAAGGCGAATGCGATGGGATGTCCTCCTGTGTCTCACTTTCTCCAGGAGCTTGAAAAGGATCGGGCTCCTCCAGAGTCGCATTAGAACCAATGTCTCGCACGGCTTCTTCATCAAGCATCTCCAAGGTTCTCCCGCGGTCAGAGGATCGGTTTGGCTGTTCCTCTCTGGGAGTCCCAGTATCGCTTGAAGTATTGTCAAAGTGAGAGTTAAAACAAGAGTCTTGAAAGCCATCGGTAATGGGTGACGATGATGAAAGGTTTTTGGTGTCTCTATCAAGCACAACTGTTTTGTGGTGCTGTAGGTCTTTTAATCCAGCATGAGACTTTTCGCTTGGTGCGGGAGAGTTCCTGGAACTTTGGCTGTTACTACCTGCGCTTTGGGAGAAAGGCTTTTTGCCAGTGCCAGCTACGCTTCCAAATACTCCAGACACTCCATCCAGGACAGCTTTGCTCCCCCCAGCAACCCCTTTAGGAGCGCTAGTCAAAACATCAAGAACACTCTTTCCGACATTCTCGAATGCATTTTGACTGGGAAATAGAAACCCAGATTTTGTCGACGCCCCTGTAGATCCAACAGCAAGACTCTCGTCCTTTTCCAGAAATCTCTTCATCTTCCCGCTTTCTGCGAACAGCTCGTATTGAAGAGCGTCCTGCAAATATCTCTCTAAGCTCCGGGCCAAAGCATGTTTCGCTTGGCCTTTCCATGGAGGCAATATAGGGTAGCGATCCGAAAAGCCATGGATTCTGTTTAACCTTGAAATAATGGCCAATGTTTCATGAAGAGATTCGAAATCAGCATATTTCCTGAAAACCATCCAGCCAGAACGATTGGATGACATTGGTTCAATTTGTAGCAGGTAGTCCCAAGAGGGTTTTGACCGGATTATTCCTTTTTCTCCAGGTTCAGAACCATCATCGACTGATACGCTGGCACCGAAAAGAGTCAGCGGTGAGGTTCCATGACTCACGAGCGATCTCAACTGGGATTCTTCGGCAGGCGCAGACCGAATCTGTGACAGCCTTGCATCTACCGGTTCTGGGCGCTTATCAGAAACAAAATTCGAACGAGTGGTTGTTTGTTTTGTGATCCTATTCTCATTGTTGTTCCTTAGCATGCTAATAGAGCAACCAACAGCCTCAGTTTCCGAAAGTGGTTGCGTGGCCACTGGAATTGAATTTGAAGACAGCACTGATATTCGGCGGCTGTCGCGCAGTCCTTGCGTTGAATCTTGCCTGAGAGCATCCTGAGCTGGGATCATGTCGCTTAGTCGTCTGGTTTCAATTGTGGCAACATCTGCTGTCTTATCCTTATGGTCCGGACTTTCTGGCTTCGAAGAAGACTGTTTATCAAACCCATTGTCCTTTCCCAGAAGTGACGTCAGATTGCTTGTGCCATTGGCCGTATTTGATATGGCCGCGCTTTGGTTTCGAGCTCCTTCCACGCCAGCATCAATAGCGTTCATTATCTCGGATTCTCCATCTCTGAGGATATAAATGATCCAGCTGTTGATAGACTCTGGCCTTGAGAGACTGGAGATTGTAGTCTCAAGGACAGCGCCAGAGAAAATCTCACGAAGAAAATCCTTCAATATATAACATCCCGAGACATTCGGGTCTAGGAAATTGGATAATATATCGTTTGCGGCAACGTCAAGCTTCTTTCGCTGCTGCTCGAATTCTAAAACATTGGCTAGGTTACTATCCGGGAAGAGTTCTAAGTACCTTTTGATAGTATATTCCGGTGACGTAGAGTTCCCAAAGCATTCGAACGCTTCCGAGAATTCGTGAAGAAATATAATAAGGATAGACGATGAGTTCGTGAGAAATTGCAGGAATGCATCTGCCGTCCGCTTCCGGGAAAGATGTGATGATACAGAAGTAATGAAGTGAGTCAATGTCTTTTGGCAGGAGAGAGGAAATGTTGGCTCGGAAGGTAAGATTTGCCCATACCAGACCCTGGACTGATGGTAAGTCTAAAGTCTCAAGTCTCCGATTGCGTTATGTAAAGCATAAAACTCACCTGACATAGTTGTCAATTATTGCATCAGTAAGTGACTTCAGTGCTGCAGCTGTTGCTGGCTGAAACGTGGAGTAATCCAGGTCTATTTTCAATATACCAGTGGTCTTCCTAATCGGGAAGCTCCCATTTTCAGTATGGTTCCGTTCGGGCCAGTCAATAAATCTTCTGGGCCTCAACAAAGCCATATTTCTCTTCCTCTCTGTGGTGTTTTGAGCTTCTTGCCATGACGCATGCAGGATGACCCCCAGAGTGAGTCCGATAAGAAGTAATCCAACTCTCCCAAATATGATAAATGTTGCGGCTGTCGAAAAAAGTAAGGTGAGGAATAGAACTTCGTTGCTAGAAGTGGACAGGAAGTTGAGAATGAGATCGAGCAGCGATTGCGCGGTATTAGAGGTGTGGTTTTTGTTGTGATGATTATTTATCCACTTCCCAGAGTCTTCACAAACAGGTTTCTTCTTGCTCTCGAAAATAGCAGCCCCAGAACCATCCATAGTTCCCATTGATGACGATAACCGCTTGTGTTCCAAGAGGCAAGAGGGGAACTGTATCCAGTGACTCGTTCAGCTAAGGAGGTCGCCAGTAAGTAGTATCCCGAGGTGCCTCTGTACGCTGTAATACATCACCATTTCACCACCTGCCAAAATTCGATTATACTCAAAGAATATTGCTCGCGCTTAGACCTAAATCTAGTCCGGTGTAGTCTATAAGCGCAATGGATATGTTTGATTCAAGTCCATTGATAACGCTCCATATATGTCCGCTTATTTTGTCAGTTCAACAATCCCCTGCGGAGTACCCCATACAGGAAAATGCGTGGGTCTCATTGCCAAGAAATGTTGATGGGGCCTAGCTAGTGTTGGATCATGTGGGATTCTGCCGCATAGGTCCGCCCTCGCTGACCCTTTTCACCACGTAGGCCTATCTAGCTAGGGACCAACTAACAATACACCTCCATTAGCTAGGGTCTTTAGTCATATGATAATGACTAATTTTATGTTGGCGGGGGTCAAACTCGCCAAGTTGGTTGATCTAGGGAGACCCGGGTAAACTAACGTAATCCACCACCGAGTGGCTCCGAATTCCACGAATTCTACGAAATCTATGAATCCCATGGATTCCAGCCTTTTTCAACACCACAAACAAGCATATTTTTCATTGAAGACTAAATCTATTTACTAAGACACTGGACCCTAGTATGTCCTAACGTATTGCAATTACTACATGTTGGTGGCCAGCGCTGCCTAGATTGTTGAGCCTCTTCTTGAATCGTATTGTCCCTCTCTTGAATCTTTTCTTTACCTTCAGCAACTGTTAAACTTCCTCTATTCTAAATAAACTATTTGACTTTCTTTTGCCTTCTCTTTCTGTATTAATTTTCTGATTGAAGCTAATTTATTTGATGTTGTAATAAGACAGTATTCTGTATGATTATCTTTACACTTTTAATAATCTTTTAAATTACTTCATCCACTATAGATAGAGATACAACATCTTAAGATTCTTAATACATTTCTTCTGCTTTTGAGCTTATATATGTTTGCTAGTGTTTTCTCTATACCAAAAGACTGATTGCTATAAGATGAGGATAATAGTGTTGATATCTTCAATTGAATCTTAAGTTTTGAAAGTACTCTTTCTGGAGAAAGAGGAATCAGGCTAATTGCTGTAAAGCTACTCTTAATATTTAATAATGATAAAGCTTGCTGATAGACTGTTGGATAGATATAGAGAAAATCCTCTTTCCCAATTGAATAAATCCCTTTCTAAATCAACTCAGATTCTTTGACCATAGAGATTCTTGAATAGTGAGAAACAGCTCGTATTTAATAACTGAAAAAGATAAGAAGAATATAAAGATATATATAATATGATAATTCTTCTTTTTATATAAAATTTATTAAATTTTATTATAGCATAACTACTATACCTATCTATAATTCATAATCTGTATTTGCCAATTGTCTGTAAAACTATTTGAGGCTTAAATATTATTTAAAACTATTCTAATCTTAATACATCTATTGTCTAACTATTCTTACTCACACTGATAACATAATTATGATGATGACTTCCATTTTAGAGACCATTTTTTAGTCTAAGACTATGCATGGTCTACCCCCTTCTGAAGGAGGATTTGGGTCAGCTAGCTAAGGACATATATAGGCTTTGCTGTGTAAGAGTCAGATAATAAGGGTGACAGAGACAGTAGAATAAAGATATATAATAAAGAATATGAGATAAGGATAAGAATAGAATGAAGGGATATTTTGTAGATAGTAAAAAGGTATAATCCGTGTGGCGCTGAAAAAAGATAGCCATTGCCGTATAGCCAATTATCAGCCCATAGACCTTGTTCTGCCAGTATAGACCGCCAACGTGACCCACGAGAGAGATGTCTGACTTTTGTTTTGATCCTGTTGTAGCTCTTTGAGCTACGTCTTGTCCAATGTGCCTGTATATAGCCTGCCTGAGTACCCAGTCCAATCGATACCTGCCTTCTGAACCTGTTTCCCGACCTTCCTGAGCCTGCACCTTGACACCAGTGGTGAAATGTCCCAAGTTAAAACTTCAAATTTGAATTTTCTGTTTAAGCATGAAATTGATTTCAAATATCAGAAAATGGCGGCTTACTAGGGAAATGGTAAGGCTGATAAACAAGCGGTAAAGTGCACTTGCACAAGAGCTTGGCATCAGCTTACTACTGCTGCCCCCCTCATAATGTTTCAAGTGATAATGCACTTATTCTTCACTTTCATCTTCCTCGCTTGTCGCTTCAATATTCTTCTTTGGAGATACAGCACCTTCTTGTTTGCCACCAGACTTTTGAGCCCCAGTACGGCTCTCGTAGCTAGAGTAGTCTGGACGAGGAAGTGATTCTCCAGATTGTTGAAGGGTGGTCTCGATTTCTGGTAACAGTGAGACAAGGGAGGAGAACTGGTCAACTGGCATAGAGATACCCTATATAGTAACATAAGTCCATTAGCACATGTATGAACATAAGCCAAGGATATTAGGTAGTAAATACTAAACAGATATCTCTTTGCCATGTTGTGGGGGCCTACCTTCTTTCCAGGAAGCTCCTTGCCGTCTTTTTCATAATATTCCCTAATGTTGACCAAAGTTTTGCCTCTGAAAGAAGAGACCGTAACGCGGCGCAATTTTGATATCTCCCAGTAGTGGTCTCCGTTTGCATCGACCTTGACACGGGATTTGGAATGGACATGCATAAAATTTTCTTCTGCACCGGGCTTTACCTTTTTGGAGGAAGCCCCGAAATTGGTGTTCTCGACTTCAAAGTCCTCGCTGTCTTCTGCCGCGCGCTTTCGAGATCCGGGAGCCATGTTGTGGTCAAAATAAAGGTGGTACGAGGTTAACAGGTATCAATGTGGCTTATTGTCCCTCAATTAGAGTGTACAAAATCATATAATGAAAAGATTGTGCAATACCCATGCCTAACAGTGCAGTAGAAGATCTCACTTGTGGCCTGAATGGAAGTATTGTGTATATTGTTGGTGGTCCTGTCAGCTCCTTCCCAGTTAAGCATAGCGTTGCTTAATCAGCGTAGTGTAGATAACATAACGTAATCAACCACCGAGCTGCGAATTTCCTGCATTCCCCGCGCCAGTTTCATTCTACCATTTTCAACGCGTCATTTTTTCACCTTCTTCATATAAAATGCCTCCTTCTCAAGAAGCCCACATGCAGATGGCTGTTTCTGCATATAATTCAAAAAAATCAAATCAAAATTGAAAGTTGCCAAGACTTTTGATGTGCCTAAATCTAGCCTTCACTTAAGGTTTGCTGGAGGTACATTATGTACAGAAATTCATGCAAATGGTCATAGACTATCTAGTATTGAAGAAGAAATATTTATCAAGATTTATTAGATACAGATAAAAAAGTTTCTCAATCAGACCACAATTTCTGTATAGAATGGCATAGATTCTACTTTATAAGCATATACAGGATTCAACTGCTACTCTTAGTATTAATTAAATATATAAATTCATCAAATATTATCCAGAGATAAGAACACAATATAACCAAAGAATATCTTATCAGTAAGTAAAGTAGGAGGATCCTAAGGTTATAAAATTATAGTTTAAGATAGTATATGAAGCTATTCAGCAATATAAAATTCATGAAGAAAATATATGGAATTTTGATGAAACTAGCGTAAAGGGGGGTGTACATGTGTTGTTCCCTGCAACAGGAACCAGGTTGTGATTGAGGGATCTCAGGAATGGATATACCAAGGCAATGCTGCTATACCACACGGCACCAAATAATCTTAGCAAGAAAACAATATAATAATAAAAGGAAACACAACAATGAAGGAGCCTCACTCTGCTCTGTACAATGACAATGATACTAGTAAAGCAACCTAGAAACTAAAAGAATGCTCTATTTCTTGTAACTATCTGGGAGGGAACCCTCCATTAAGTACTCTCCGGCCGCGGGCTCCACTATACATTAGTATGTCTGAGTCCGCGGTTCTACGGTGTTCTAAGATAGGAAATATGGGAGATCCAGGGTTTCGCAGTGCCCCCAGCACAGTGTAGAATGCCATGTCTTGCTGTTTCAGGATAGTCTGGCATAGTAGCATGGTCAGCTACCTCCTTCACAGCTATTTATGCTTGGCCATTGGAGCTAATAACAACTTCAAAGTCTTGGATCATGCTCTGTATGTCCTTAGCATCTGCTCTGCATATGCCTGAATATACATACCCTGCTAAGTCCCATTGATAGTGGAAGTTGACCATCATCATTCACTACCTCATCATCTTCATCATCTACTGAGGTAGTAGTATCAGAATCGTATGATGATTGGGCATCCTCATCATTATTTAATGAAACAGTGGCATCCAGAGGAGGGAAGGTATTTGACTGTGAGCCCTATAATAAGTTAGCATCTATTTAAATCATGTATTGTATATGTCTGGCATATGTTTATACTGGTATATTGTGCAGTAATTGTTGAAGTTCTTGAGTTATTTCATCAGCCATCTTAAAAGTATGTTTTGGTAGCTGCTAACAAGTTGGATAGTAATAGGAAGAGACAATTTGATTCTTTCATCATTGAAATTGAGCATACGCGGAGCATACACAATTATGTGTATGTGGCGCGACTGAAATTGATGCGCGACTGATCAGCAACTGTTACGCGATTCATATGCTTAGTGTATGCACTACTGTGATTGCAACCAATGAGCTTTACATAAAAGCTCAGCCCAGGTAGAGATTTTTTAGCTGTGCCGAGCATTTTTCCGTTCCGAAGCCCTACCTGGGGCGAGGTTTCTCCGGGCTGGGCCGAGCTATTAGCCCTTGGAGAGGGAGCCAAGCCGCCATATCACGTGACGCTTTTCCATATCAAATATCTTAAGGGTGTTATATCTCTATCTATTGTGGATGAAGCTGTTCAAAAAGTGATTAAAGGTGCTGAGATAACTATGCAGAATGCTATCTTATTACAACACCAAATCAGTCAGCTTCAATCAGAGATTCAATATAGAAAGAGGAGGCAAAAGAGGACCAAACACTTTATTTAAAATAGAGGAAGTTTGACTGTTGCTGAAGGTAGAGAGAAGATTGAAGGAGAATGGATTCTCCAAGAGGATTGGCAACCTAGGCAGCGTCAGCCACAAACATATAGTAATTGTAATATATTAGGACATATTAGGGTCCAGTGTCCTAGTAAATTGATATAGACTATTTTTCAATGGAAAATATGCTTGTTTTGTGGTGTTGAAAAACATCAAGTTTAGAATGGTGAAATTCGTGGAATTCAGAACCGCTCGGTGGTCGATTAGGTTAGATTTTCCTTTCCATATTAGTCAAATGTTCCAAGGTTGGTGAACACCGTCGATATTGCCTCACAGTCATGATGAGCGCAGCTGTTCTGGGCAGATACTAGGAACCCTAATAATGGATAGGCGCATGTATGGTCATATTACTAGGTAGGCCTGCCTGTGCCGTGAGATAGGTAGCGAGGGCGGTCTAGGACGGCAGTACCTCACGTGTACTAACACCTAATAATAACATCCACGTGATCTTGATGCTATTGTTGGATCACGTGGGATTCTGCCGCATAGGTCCGCCCTCGCTGACCCTTTCCACCACGTAGGCCTATCTAGCTCGTAACCAACCAACGATATACCTCCATTAATAGGTAGGTACATTTATGCTATGAAGTACAATACTGTAGTATTATAAGACGGATGAGGTTATTTTCTCTATACATCCGAAACACTTCCGATGATATCTATCTTGTATAATACAAAAGCTTCTAATGAGTATTGAGGTTCTCGGTAGGAATCTGCTCAAAACCACTTTCACAATGCTAGAACAGGAAAATAGTATGCTGTAATCTACCGTAGATCAGATTACTATATTTTAAATTATGTATATATATGCTGCTGCGACTATATTATCCTGATCATGTCCCCCATCTCTATTTTGTAATTAGTTGAGAATAACGTCTGACTATGATCTAAACAGAGCCAAGCCACCATAGTGCCGCGGCTAATATATCATGCGGAGTACGGACCATGTCGTTGTTACAATTATTATCCTAAATAATTATAGGTATTATTATTACCCCTGATCATGATTACAAGATCTTAAGTCATCATCAGCCAAAAGGCGCGGGCCTATTCTATCAATGCTCTTTATCTTTAGGCTTAGCTCCTTCTCTGGCTCAAATTTCGGGGACTTCTCTTTGCTCATATAAGCCTCAGCTCTCACAAGTGCCTTGCATTCGCATCTGTGTAATCCGCCTACTTAGTACGTGGCCGCAAAGGACGAGGAGGACCCTAGCGACACCAAGGCATGAACACCGGAATGACCTAGATACTCGTGATGATGCATTGAAACGCAACAGAGTCACAGCTCTATATACGAGACACGGTACTACGAACACCCTTCCCGGACGGTCTTCATCAAGCACTTCCCACTGGCTTTTTTACAGTATGGCCGCTGACAACCACAACGTCTCCTTTTGCACAGGCGCTGCTATATCCCACTCCCAACCCGTCTTTACCATTCTTATATATTATATGCTCATCTGGTTTGATATTGCTCCTACCAACAGTCTTGGTAATTCCCTTCAATGACCAAGTCTCAGTGCTGTATTGCACTGAATTGTTTCACGAAACTCGCCCACATACGCAGCTCTCATCTGGACCAGGTAGGGTGTCCAACTGAATGCTCTCCAACAGATACACTATTGACAATATTAAAATTTAGAATTTTTAGGAATTCCATCTGTCAACTCGATCGGTGAAAGATCATACCTCCCGTGGATGCAGGGGACTAGGTACAGCATTTAAGTGCAGACCTTCATCCCCCGTTTAATTAGATTCGCCAGGCTCTTATATTTTGTTATCAAGAAAAATGCTACAGTGCACTAGTCCTGCAGATTCTACCGAAGGACGTCCGGGTCCCACGTCAGAATCCTCTCAAACTAGCATAGGCAACAGAGGCCCCTCGTATTATCCCCACCCTGTTTTACACCGTACAGCTGCCAGTCAATCGATGCGGAGGTCTCCTGGACTGGAGCCCGAAGAAGAAAACTCGACAGCGTCGGAGGCTTCTGGTCAGGGAGATAGCGTCCTGGTATTCGGGAATCCTGGGACCGCCAATAAGGCTCCAGAAGAACTCGATAGTGTGAACTGGTCTCAGTCAACATCATCCAGCAGAACATCCCCCGAGTATACTGTTCACAGTCTAGCCGATTCCTCCAAAAAGGCCGGCACTGGTGACTCTTACTTATTGAAGGTTCCTGTGAGCCCAACGAGGGATATCGCTTTCAACAAACCGGCACAGGGCTGTACCCCCCCGACAGATCACAATGGAACACGGCCGGATAACTACAGCATACAGAACCCGGCTCCAGGATTTGCAGAACAACCAGCCGATATTGGTACAATATCCCCATCCCACGGACCGTTTCGCAGTTCAGACCGATTACTGACTCTACATTCAGCCACTCAGCAAAAAGGTTTTACTCACGAAGGGTCTACTTTTGAAACAGAAAGTGCTAGGCCTTTTGCTATTGACAGCTCGACTGGCTATATTTCAAAACCGACAAATCGAGCTTCTAGCGGACTCGGATTTGTAGGTCGAGAGAGATCACCTTCGCCAACTAATAGAGAAAGAGTACATGGGAAGCAACAGCAGAGTTCTTCCCAGAAGGCAATGCTGTCGAAAGCGCTGCAGAAAGCAAATACCGCGGTACTGCTTGACAATGCAGCGAATTTTGAAGGTGCAATGAAGGCATACGATGATGCTTGCCAATTATTGCAGCTAGTACTGCTGAGTAGCAACGGGAGCCATGACGAGAAGCTAAAGCTGCAGGAGATTGTAGGTCTCCTCGATCTGCTCCTTGAGATGCTAACAGTTATTCAAGAAGCTGACTTGCATAGTGTGACACATACACGATCAGAATTACTGAGCTTCGGCGATTGGATACTTTATTCCAGCAAAATGACATGAAGGCCCTCCCTGCACGTCCTTCCAGTGAGGAGGAGCCTCTGGATGATCTGCTTCTGCCACTTAGTGGTGAGGATGAAGAATTCCTCAGAGAGGACGTGCGCTCTCCAAGAAATGATGACGATTTAAGGGGGATCAAATATGATGAACTGAAGACATTAGCCCCAGAGAAGATTCCTCCACGGCGTCAATCGTTACTACATCCTGCAGTTGACACTACTAATATGCCGGGGTTTGAGCAAAAGCGTCCCAACGCTATGTGTAAATCATCCTGGCAGGTGTCTCAAATCGCTCGTGGGGATGAACGCCTTCTACCTGCTCTTTCCCCACGGAAGCCGCAGCCTCATGATGTGTTGAATGTGGAAGGATATTCTTCGAATTCTTCGCATTTCCCCCTGCTAGACACAGGCTCGATGGAGGCTAACGGCGAGTCAACCTCGTGGCTCGACACTATTGATGAATCTGGCGCATCTTCGCCCTCCACACACTCCAAGATGTCGTCCGTGTATCTACGACGAAAAAGAAGTCGTTCCCTCAGTTATGGCACAGAGGCCGAATTCGACGCCGCCTTAGACGCCGCAGTTGAAGCCGCTTATGATGAAGGTCTTGAGCCAGAAATGGAGGAGAATAGCAATGTCGATGGTGATGCTATTTCGAACTCTCTAGCCAACCTTGAATTAGAAAAGCCTAAAGTACCCGAGGCAAGACGAGAAGCGGACATAGGGATAACCGGAAATCGACAGATGCCGCATATTCAAAACCAGGGTAGGGTCGGATACTCCAGTGACCCTCAATTGGATTATCTCGATGAAGAATCAGAAGAAGAGGAGCGCCTGTTGGAAGAAATGACAAGAGACATCGTCATGGATGGCTTTGAATTTGGCCTACAGTCTAAGTCGACCCAAGCTAAGCAGCCAGGGTCAAAGGAAATTTCTGAAGTATGGAAAGAACCTGCTAGATGCCATGCGATTCAAACGAGGGCAATGGTCTCTTCACTCGCTGAAAATGCTTCACCGCTGCCAAAAATATCGTCCGAACCTGAACTCTTACCCAATTCCCTTCCTGCCTCAACACCGATTCCGCTGTTAGGCGGCCAAAGTGTGCGATCACGAAGATTGTCAGGTCGACTGCCACAGGAGCTGAAAATAGAAACAAGCACTCGTATTGATCCGGTCCCGGACTCCTCGGGGCCAGAGGCGTCATCATTTCAACTGCTTAAGCCGCAGCCACATCCTAGCGACAAGTCCCAAATGAGTTTGGGCATTTCCCTGGGTAATCATTCGACCTCTGGCTCAGCCTTGCCATCTCCCTCGGCCCACCCGAACAACAAAGGTGACTCTGCCAACTTCCCGGTTGAGGACTTATCGGCCAATGTAAACGTCACTAACCTCACGAGTCTTATTCAAGATGGTGATGACTCTGGATTATCGAATAACCAGTCATCTTCGCGCTCAATTGACAAAGTGCATTTAGCATCAAATGGCTGGGATACGAATAGTTCCAGTCTGAGACTATTGCAGTCGAGAAACATATCCGTTTCCACCCCCGATCCTCCTAACTATCCCGGTACACCTTCCAGCGCTGCGTTCCCTAATTTCGATCTCCATAAGAGTGTAGGTACCGGCACCGTTCACGCTCCCCAAACCCAGACTGGCGCAGCTTCGACTCCGAATGGTTTACCAACCGGTGGCTTATATCTCTTCGATAGCGATATTCACTCGGCGACTAGCCCAGGATGTCCGAATCCGATGGCAAATAATGGTCCCATGCCCCTAGAGCCGTGTCCCGAGTCGTTCCTTCTTCGGCCTTTCTGGCTTTTGAGATGCCTTTATCAGACAATTGCTCACCCTTGTGGCGGCTATCTGTCGACGAGATTGTTCGTTCCGCGGGACGCTTGGCATGTCAAAAATGTCAAAATAAAAGCAATAGAGGAAAAGGTGTCAAACTGTGACTTGTTGACAGCCGCGTTGCTAAAGTTGGCTCAGGTAGACACCTACGATGCCGACGCTGTATTGGATGAGATGCAGTCATTAGAAGGAATCCTGGACCAGGTACAGGCCTCTTTATCGAAGAAACTAGGGAACGAGGTTGGATTACAAGGAGCCATGTCTCTTTTCAAATTGGCTCCCACCTCGGAGGATGCTACTGGTATTCCAGATAATCTTCCTTCCAAGAGTTCAGGCGGGCAGGGTAAATCATATTTGTCGTCATGGCGCAAGTTGCGATCGAAAAATTCAGGACTTGTTACAGCAGCCATACCGTCCCAGAGTAGTAAAGACCAGCTAACCATCAACTCCCTTCCCATGACTTCAGCCCCCAGTTTCCGGTTTACCAAACGCACAGTAACACAGCTTCATTTTGATGGACCGAACGCAAATTACATGGGGGCATTGGCGCGGCTTTGTGATGCTGCTCAAGTAGTAGGTGAGTAACTTTAATATCGCATATACTAACAACTAGATCTAACAATTGCTGACTTAAATCAGATCAAATTGCGCGGCAAGTGGAAGACCCAGGGCTAAGGCATTCCTCACAAACTCTTGTTGGCCTAGAACTTAGTACACGTCATGCTGCGGAGTTCTTTGGTTTTTATGTATGCCGCTTTGTTTTGAATGATATTGGTATGATGCTCGATAAATTTATGAAACGAGGCAGTGAGTGGGTTCTTGTTTGATGTCACGATGACTGAAGCGCACTGTTTGTTTCTTTTTTTTGGTCTCACGAGATACCATGAAGTTTCTGGCATATGCCATGGGAGTTTGCATAGTATATATACTCTGAAAAATAATTATTAAGTCTCTTGTGGTATATTGTCTGCTGGAAAGCTTCTACCTAATGCTATCTTATGTCTGATTTGTCTTAATTCAGGATACAGTCAATTGTATCCGCTGTAGTCCGGTCTCGGGACATAGCCAAGGTCGACAATCACTGGTGGGCCGTAACAAAATTTCGGGCCGCATTTTTCTGATTGTCGAACCCTCAAGACACAGCCTCGTTGCTGGTTCTTAACAGTGTCTGAATTACAAATGCTCCTGCTTTACGTGGTGGTATGAGAATTGAATATTGTTGTGTATGGGATAGAGGCTGTGAAGTATTACCGTTCCAGAGACGACGCGCGGCATGACCCTCTAAACCCCAGAAACAGAAAAAGAAAAACAACGCGTCCAATCTTGCCGTGTTTCCCGTCGCGTGGCTTTCTGATATCATCTTGGCACCAAACACTGCCATTTATTGTCGATTTGCCCTTGAATATCATTAAGATGACCTGTTACGTACCCCATTTAAACCCGACTTATTATTGCTAACTGCTAGCTAATAAGGATTCTGCTACGGGGTACCTAATTCCGATAACTACTGCTATCATCAACACTCCTACTCTCTTCAGCGGGCAGCCTGCGCAGGGGCTACCTCAGTATTATGCCGCGACCAGCAGCAAGAAGAAATCGTCCGGTATGGACGGATAATGCAAAATTGGCCGACCAGAATACGACCAAGGCTAGTGGAGGAAGCCGTGAGGTCGACGAGCGTCTTCGATCTGAAGCTAGTACCACACACGGTGTCGGAATTATTGATGGCCTGCAAAGCATTAATTCAATAACCACCTATGCGTCGCCATCAAAAGAGGATAATTGCAGCACCACAGGGTTGGAAATTAGACGACAGAGGAGAAGCTGGACGCCCATCGGACAGACGCAAGAGCAAGTAATCGAATCCTCTCCTATGGGTGAACGTCTAGCCACGAGCAGTAGACCGCCTACACGGGCGCGTGGTTACTCGTCGACTATGTCTCTTGCAGGACGAAGGGGTGACATGAGCTCAAGGATCCCTGGAACACCCGCTTTTGAGAGTTCAATTCTCAGCAATTTTAGGAAGCGGCCCCGACAGCCTAGTATTCTTCAAATGATGCAAGCGGATGATGAATCTTCTGATCTGGATGATGATGACTTTCTTGGTGACGTCAGCCCGCAGGACGAATCAACGCCCTTAGACCGTTCAAAAAGGAACCTATGGCTGTTCGAGTCTATTTCAGTCTCGCCTTTGCAGTCATCACCCTCGAAAACGGAAAATGAACGGCGGGAAGAGGTAGAGCCCCATTCACAACTTGCCGTAGCAGGAGACTCTCTAGGCTTCTCACCAGTCTCTGGGAGTCGTCAGAATAAGTCTTCTGTATATGCGGACATACATGAATTCTCGGAACCATCAGAACCTCTTGGTCGGGCAAGCGCCCCCCCAATGAGTAGTAGCCCGCCTTGGAGCCCTCTCGAAGATGTTTCTGCATTGAGGATGGGACGCCCACCAAAATCCACGGTAGAACGCGTGACAGAGTCAATAACCGAGGTGGCCAAAGAACCAAGCCAACCCGCTGTTCGCCTACCCACTGCAGCACTCCAACAGAGACTGCTTCCTCGACGACGGAGACGGCAACGCAAATACGTTGATGCCACAGATTTTGAGCTTCAGGGCGATGAAAGTGAAAATGATTATCTTCACTCCGGACTAGATGACGATGAACCAAACCAATTGCCTCCAACAAAGATATCAAGGTCGAGAATAAATCTTAGGACAAGGCCAGTCCCATCTACCAAAAGAGCTGGATTGGCTAATCAAGGGAACGAAAAGAAGAGTCGAATGCAAGGTGCTGGTAATGGAAGGAACAACCATCTTAGAACAAAGGCCAGTTCATCCAAGCGGCCCAACCCTGGAGGAAAGGTCACTTACTCTTCACGCTCTCGAGATTTCGGCGTGGACAAAGAGAACCAGGAAATAGATACCTCATCGCCACTGTCTTCCCCTCTCAACTCCGATGCTCTTGATTCTGATTCATTCCGTTCCAATGACACTTCCTCGAAGAAGTTTATCAGCCAAGAGTTGCAGCTGCAGGCAATGAAATTTGCGGAGATTGATCAATGGCAGATGGAATTTGAAGATGTGACTGTACCTGCTAGTCAACCCAGTTCCCTGGAGTAAAGATCTCTCTGGAGCATTTCATACTTTAGAAGCGTCTTGAACTTCCATTTTGGCCACACCCAACCTGTGTCATCTAATGAATATGCGCCTTTCTCAGTGCTCGTTGTGCAGCCCCTTCTTGACTTCACTTTTGATCATGGGTATTGTACAATGTGTCGCTTATTAGTTGATTATTTCACTGTCACCAATCAACAATAATAAGACAGCCCTGGGGTCTATGTACACCGTAGCACATACAGCGTAGTATTTTAATAATTCCGAGGCCCATGCGGTGCATCCCGCCGCTTAACAATCCCCCACTTTGATTCTGATCAACCGCATACACCAAGGCCAACTCCAAATTATCAGAGGGAGTGCGCTGTGAGTTGCTACGGACCTATAATGGCATCTTTGGAATCTATCCTGGCTGGCAAGTATCCGGCCAAAGCCCATGCGCGTCGGGTGGCTGAATATATCCGCACTCGTGGGCACGGAGAATCTGGGATTATCTATCTGGAAGCGCAGAAAACTCGGCTGATCGAAGACAATGATGAGCCAGTGCCTTTTAGGTACAGTATCCTATGGTTTCCATTTTGTTTGGGCTTAAAGAGAACTCACTAGCTGAATACCACAGGCAACGTCGGCCATTCTTCTATCTTTCAGGCTGTCTGCTTCCAGATTCTTCCCTGACATACGAGATCAACGCCGACAAGTTGACTCTTTTTATTCCACCCGTCGATCCGGAGTCCGTCATTTGGTCCGGTCTCCCTCTCACTCCAGACGAAGCTCTAAAATTATACGATGTCGATTGCGTTCTACCTACGACTGAAGTTAATAGTGTTCTCACCTCTATTGCCTCAGATTACGGAGATGAAGCAGTTGCCTTCGCTATTGCAGAACAGATATCTGAAACAACTATCTTTCATGGATTTTCAGAGACCAATACTTCTATTCTGAAGAAGGCCATTGAAACTGTCCGTGTAGTCAAGGACGATTATGAAATTGCTCTTATCAGGAAAGCGAACGATGTCTCTGCAAAGGCACACATCGCCGCCATTAAAGCGGCGAAGACGTCATCGAACGAGCGGGACATAGAAGCCGCTTTTATTGCGACTTGTATTGCCAACGGCTGTCGGGAGCAGGCTTATCATCCGGTAGTCGCTGGCGGCGAAAATGGTGCAACGCTCCATTATGTGAGAAACGACCAAGATCTCTTCGACCCAGTGACGAAGCAGAGGAAAAACAATATACTTATTGATGCCGGTGGGGAGTATCGGACTTACTGCTCTGACGTCACGCGAGTATTTCCTCTAGATGGGAAGTTCACAGTAGAAGCACGCCAAATTTATGAGATCGTCCTGCAAATGCAGACAGATTGCATTGCGATCCTAAAGGAGGGGATACTGTGGGAGGATGTCCATTCGCTCGCGCATCGTATCGCCATTAAGGGGCTGTTAAGGTTGGGTATACTACGTGGTTCAGAAGAGGAGTTGTTTGAGAAAAGAGTCAGTGTGGCCTTTTTCCCCCATGGTTTAGGGCACTACCTGGGTATGGACACCCATGATACCGGGGGCAACGCAAATTATGAAGATAAGGATACCATGTTCAGATATCTCCGTGTGAGGGGCCGGCTTCCTGCAAGTTCAGTTATTACTGTTGAGCCTGGTGTAAGTATCTATCGCCTCCCAATAGCAGAGCCGCTGCGTATGTCTTCTGCTGTTGTCCTTTCACACTGACTTCTCATACCAGATATATTTCTGTCGGTTTATTATCGAACCATTCTTGAATTCACCCGAATTGAACAAGTATATCGATGCCAATGTCCTGGAGCGGTATTGGAGTGTTGGAGGAGTGCGTATTGAGGATAACATCCTCATTACTAAAGAAGGCTATGATAACCTTTCCACCACACCGAAGGCTATTGAAGAGGTGGAAGCCCTAGCTTCATAGGATTTTAGCTGCCTTTGGAACCCCAGACATGGTTGCCTTCACAGAAGTGGCTTTCGATGCTCTCTGCACATTTACTTGCCCAAAGTTCAAGCCCATTCCTCTTCAGGTGTGGATCATGATGCAGGGATACTGGTATCATTAACGTATCCGCACTTTATTTGGAATAAATAACTGTTGGCAGCAAAAATGAAACTTCATTGCGTATAAAAAGCGGGGTATTTTAAAATTACATCGAAACATGCCAGCATGATAGTGACACTCATACTCTGTTTAAAGTTACAAGCCACTCCTTAGCCTTTTTCTACCGCTTCCTTTAGCACTGGATTCAGCCTCTGCTCTCTCTTGAGTACGCTTCTCTTTGTAGTCAAGAACGAGACTAAGGACATCAAATGCAAACTCAGGAACGTCGAGACAAAGCGCCCTGAACTCGTCCTCGGCCTCATGCCGTAGAACTTGGCTCCTACTTGCCCAAAAGCTTGCCACTGGCTTCCGAATAGTAATATCTTCTGCGGGTGTGTTTTGATATACGTAACGTGCGTAAGTCATCTCTCCACGAGCAGTGCTGTTAATGCGGTGGATTTTGGAATGTGCCAGCGTCTTCAGGGCAGGAACGCCCAGCTTTTCTGCAAGGGTATAGACATGTGCGTGGTTGAGTAGTTGTTCACCACTATCATCGATGTCCGCTGTCCGAGTGCCTTGTTCTGGTGTCTGTAGGGGCGAGTAATCTCCAGTGTACAGGAACTGTAGAAAGCACCCAAAGGCATCCACACTTTCGTCAGGAAGATCAATGTGGCGCTGAAGCATTTTAGAGAGGTATTAACATCAGGACTCTTACAAACGGTAGGGAGAGATAGCCGTGAATTCCGGAGGAGTGTGATATGGCTTACACGTCCCGATTCACTGAATTTGGTGACAATTTCAGCCAGGAATGGAGATTCCACCAGCAGCTTCTGGTGAGCTGTTAAAACGCTTTCTTCGTCGCCCCTTCCAACTCTAATTTCCACCGTGGGAGACGTGAGGTATCTGAATGAAGTAAGCTTAGACATGTCTCACTAATTGCGGAATGAAGATGCCACTTGGCGAGTGAGTAGCAGGTAGTACCGTCTGAGTGCCTAGGGAACAATTCTTACTCGAGAAATTTAAGGCCCAGGTCTTTCTTCTCTGTGGCGAATGACTGCTGCGATATCTGCTGGGTCAATGCTGGTGGTGGATCGGATTGCGTTACAAGGTCTTCAGCTGGTTTTGTCTGGGTGCTCTCAACCGCAAGTTCCTGGGTGGTTTGAGCAGTGGTAGTTCTTTGAACACCAGCCATTTCTACATTGGTATTTTCGGCCCCAACCCGTACTTGAGGAGGATCCATTGTGTGAGACCTGAATGAATGTTATGGAGAACCTTTCTCCGAGGGGATTGAAAGGGAAATAGGTGAAACTGGAGAATCCTATACAAGTTGCAGACGCGTTAGGGAGATCTCGAATCTCAATTGAAGGATAAAGGATCAGTTATATAGAAAAAGAAAAAGAACCTATTCAGAATAATATTGAGAATCACGATTCTCAGAGTGTGATTCTCGCATGGCTACCTCAGTCACTGATACGAAATGCTTGACCAAGTATCTACGGATGGAATAATTCGGAATAAACACTACAACAAAAATACGGCTCTTAGTCTTTCAATACCTTAACATAGGAGCTTCCCAACTCAACAAAAGGAGCAAATCTAGACAGACAATTCTAGTTATCTATAGTAACATAGAGAGGGGACATATTCAAATTAAACACACAGATATAATTGCTGTTAGGCAAGCAGTTCTACAGGTGTTGTACCTGTCGATCCAGAAGGACATCAGGTCACATGATACGCTTGCTGCACAGTTATGTCATAGAGAATAGTAATGGCCATTATCTCTATTCTACAACATAGCATACACAGTGGCAGTAGTGGTGCAAGACATGATTTGGAAACTGGTGAGAGGCCCAAATACCAATGTGGGGGTTATGCTCTAGCGAGGGTTGTTCCTTATTATCCCTGTACACCGTCGGAGTAGCTGCGAAAAACGTACCACCTTAGGTAGTATCTACAGTCTGGATACTACCCCTCCAGATCCACGCACACGTACGGATACGCTGTACGGAGAACAGTGTTGTATATATATGACCTTTACGCTCCTGCATTCCTGGCGAGCCAGCTTCCCTCGTGTCTCATTGAATTTTTTGGTTCAAGTCCCCAAGGTTTCACGTCAAATGCGTATGATGGCGACTATCATTAATTCTCCCCGCGATCCTAACACGCTCAGCAATTATAACAATTGGCGCTCTACCCATGTCACTGCCAATTTCGATATACTATTTGACCAGCGGAAGCTGACTGGGAACGTTGTCCATCAATTCAAATCAATCACGGACAGGGAATCGAAGGAAATAATCCTGGATACAAATCACCTAGATATTAGCGATGTGAAAGTCAATGGGGAACCATCCAAGTGGGAGCTTCTCCCTCCTCTTGGGCCCTTTGGCAATGCATTAAAAATCAGCATTGAACATGGCGCCGAGCTTAATGCGACTGTCGAGGTTGATGTACGTGTCTCTAACATCTTACTTATTCTTGATCTCATCTGATGTTGTTTTAGATCTCTCTTGCAACCACTGAAAAATGCACGGCTCTCCAATGGTTGACGCCTGCGCAGACTTCCAATAAGAAGCACCCTTATATGTGTGAGTAATGACTCTGCTTTTGTCTCTTGTTGCTACCATGAATGAAACGATAACCCCTATTAGTTTCCCAATGCCAGGCCATCCATGCTCGCTCCATCTTTCCTTGCCAAGATACTCCTGATGTAAAATCGACATTTGACTTCAACATCACGTCCCCTCTTCCTGTTATTGCCAGTGGGTTACCTGTCCGGAAATCACCACCGATTTCACAGCCTGGGAAACATTTGTATCAATTCCACCAGAAGGTGCCCATCCCAAGCTATCTATTTGCTCTGGCTAGTGGGTGAGTAGCATCTCCGTTTTGCACTGCGCTTATACTAACCTTTGTTAATCTGGAAATAGAGATATTGCAGAAGCGGCTATTGGCCCCCGTAGTGTTGTCGCGACTAGTCCAGACAAACTTCATGAATGCAAATGGGAACTTGAGGCTGACACAGAGAAATTCATCAATGCTATCGAGGTTGGTTGTTGAGTCTTCTGAAATTGACAGTGCCTTTAATGACTTGGAATTCCAGAAAATTATTTACCCCTACGTCTGGGGTGAGTACAATGTGTTGGTTTTACCACCCAGCTTCCCATATGGCGGCATGGAAAATCCAATCTTTACATTTGCAACACCAAGCATTATCTCTAAGGTATGGAATCCAATGCAATATACCGATCCTTCTCTCTCTCTGTGTGTGTGTGTGTATGTATGCGTCTGACTGGAAGCCACATTAGGATCGCGAAAACGTTGATGTCATCGCACATGAACTTTCTCATAGCTGGAGCGGCAATCTTGTTACCAGTGCTTCATGGGAGCATTTCTGGTTGAACGAGGGCTGGACAACTTATCTTGAGAGACGGGTTTGTCCTTCTTTACTATATCCTGTATTTACTCCGTTGTGTCTGAATGTCTTGCTAATTGAATACAGATATTGGCTGCAGTGTGAGTATTCAAGGAATTCCTCATTTTCAAGTCATACTCACTGCTTTTTCGTAGCCACGGCGAGCCATATCGGCATTTTTCGGCCATTATCGGCTGGAAGGCACTCGAGGACTCTATAGAGCACTTTGGCCACGACCATGAGTTCACAAAACTGGTAGTTGATCTCAAGGGAAAGGATCCTGACGATGCTTTTTCAAGCGTTCCATATGAGAAGGGCTTTAATTTCTTGTACCATCTAGAAACCCTCGTGGGCAAGGATAAGTTTGACAAGTTCATTCCTCACGTACGCCGACCCATTTTCTTCGCTCCGGAAACATACACTAAGTGTCTCTTAGTATTTCACAACATTCAAGGGAAAATCACTTGATTCCTATGAATTTAAAACGACCGTGCTGGAATTCTTTGCCTCCGATCCAGAGGCTTCTAACCTTTTAGGTGAACTGGATTGGGAGGCGTGGTTCTACAGACCAGGGTTGCCTCCAAAGCCGTCCTTCGATACTTCGCTTGTTGATGTTGTATATGAGCTTTCTCGGAAGTGGCAATCCCTTCCTGAGTCATCTTTCAAGCCTTCAGAAAGCGACATCGAAGGTTTAACGGCGAATCAGATAGTTGTATTCCTTGAGCAGATCCTTCAATCAGAGCGTCCGCTTACTCCCGAATTGTCAAGGCTTATGGGTGAGGTCTATGGACTTTCAAATAGCCAGAATGTTACTGTTGCCAATCTCTATTTCCAAGTCGGTTTGAAGGCTGGCGACGAGAGCGTTTTCGAGCCGACAGCATCTTTGTTAGGCCAGATTGGGAGAATGAAGTTTGTGCGGCCTTTGTAAGCTCAATCCCATCGCCCTTACAGGTTTCTATATCTTTTATGAGACTAATGTGACTCAGGTACCGAAATCTACTGAAGGCAAACCCTGGCCTTGCTTTTGCAACTTTTGAGAAGTACAGAGATTTCTATCATCCCATTTGCCGAGTCATGGTGGAAAAGGATCTTTTTGGGAAGAAAGATCAATAGGTGAGACTAATACCCGCTTCACCGTGAAAGTCAAGTTGTTTTCAGCTAGATAGACTGAGGGAAATGGTCGAAGGAAGGATATCTTCTGCCTTTGTGTTAAGAGGCCAGAAAAATACTACCTATATATGACTATCCGTAACATTGGCCTCACTTCTTCCTTGACTTCTATATCTGTAAAACAGCCTTCCCAGGTCCTCATCAGGTCTTCATGATTTCATTTCTTTTACTCAACAAGTTTCTTATCCACTTCACGATGCCCAAATATGCCTGGTTTTCCACCACTTCGCCCTAAGGCAAAGACAAGATCAGCCTCATTGACCTTAGAGAGTTCTGACAAAACACGCCGCATGTAAGCCACCACACGCGCGACCTTCGTCCAGTCCAAATCTTTACCGTCGGGGCCCGTATAATTTGCTTTCCATAGATTTCTCCAAATGGCCGCACCTAGTACAGCATCCCCTTTAACAAGGCCCTCATCGTACGCCGCCAAAATTCCTCGCCATTGGATGAATAGGTCTTTAAGATATTTGTTACGGATTCCGCGACTCGTTAGCCCATGGAGAACATCCATGCGATATTCAGCGTTGTGGGAGAAGTGATCGATCAAGTGACGTGAATACGTCCGTAGGCTCTCGCGCGATGGTAGCGCCCGCAATCTAACTGTCAAAAGGTACATATGCAAGAATGTAACCTGCGACCAGGTAGAGAAAGTAGGAAGAAGTCCTAGATCTAGAAGTCGGCGCCAGCTGCAGCGTTAATTTTATGACTTCGAGTAATAGGCATGCAGACAGATAAATTTGAGGAATAGCGATGCAGATTACAATTGTACGAACCTTCATACCACCATCCTTGCCCGATACCAAGATCCTCACCAGTCTCTGTTTTCGGAATCTGCACGCCCTTCTGCGACGCCTGGGGAATTCTGTAGTCGGCTTGGCTGGAACAAGCCTCAAACAATTTCTGTGTTATGCCATATGCGACATAGGTCTCCGCGGTACTCCCAGGATTCAGCGCCAATGATCTCGCTAATCTTGAAGCCGAGCGGTATTGTAAATATGACCCGGGAATGGCCAATTTGTTAACAGGTTGATGCAAAGTAAGCGAAGTGTGAGCAGTAGACCGTGTAGTCGCAACATTTTGGGTAGTAGAATAGTTTGGTAAGGGACAAGGTGAAGAATTTCTCGAAATAGATAAATTCCGGGAATAATAACATTTCTGCATATTCCTGTTAGCATGATCCTTCTACTATCTCTTGTCATAATTTGCAACTCAAAAAAAGAAACAAAAGTTACCTGGGACAGTCGTAGCTCTCTGAGCCAGGAAATTCTCGGGTGTACGTGAGACATTGCTGGTATCATTTTTCACATAAAGGAAAAAGAAAGAGGTAAGTAATACATGAAGAGAAGAAAGAGGAAAGACTTGTGCCCGTCTATATCTTCAGTAACGTCAATTGCAAGTCCGTATTTGACATTGTACCTACTATCCTGTCTACTCCGTACTCCGGAAGGATTATTATCCCAGGTTTGCATTGTTTGTTTGCAAACCCTAAATAACTACGGGATTTGATCTCGTCAACTTCCCACCCTAACCAAGAAACGATGCCAGTTTACCATTGCCGCATGAATCGTGCGGATTATAGTCAACGTAATGATATTGGTTGTACCTTCTAGCCCGAAGCGCGATATTCTCATCCACCGCTCATAGATCTGTACATAGCAGAGGTGGACCGCGTTCGACCAGGTAAATTTGCAACTTGGACTATTCAGGAAGAACCACTCGTTCTAATTTTTTATCCACAAGGGGAAGGATATCCGCAAGATGATTCGGGTCTCTCATAATGGCCTGTATATCGCCTGCATGTGCCAGAGTCTTGGGGTTTGTTAGTAGCCGCAAATAAACCGAAGATATGGGCTCAGGGATACCTGTCGAACTGTTCCATAGTCACATTCTTTAGATTGATATTCTCTCGTCACTTGCCGACTTTCAAAATCAATGTATATCCTAGTATCTCGAAGTCGAAAGAGGACATTATCCAGTCTCATGAAAAATCTTGAAAGAAGTAGCATCCTTGCAGGCATAACGCGAACCTTGCATGATAACATAGAGACGCCATTATCGGCAAGTTCATCTTCATATAGAATAACATTATCAAAGAAAAGAATGGGATCTGGTCGTTTCAGGAGTTCGATAGGTATTGGTTCCGTTGTCATTTCGAATTTATAACCGCTGCTATTAAGCGTCCCCTTATAATCAGTGGTATATGACCAGTCAAAAGGCTTTACAACTTCCTTAATCCCGTCATATGTTCTTTCCCTATTTCTCGCCAGCTCAGCGTCAGCGGGGCACAATCATGCACATGTATATACATGAGGTGGGGACTTTGCTACCTGCTTTTTTGCCACTCTCTCGAATATGCAACTTTGAGCATTGCCTGGCCTGTTTTATCAACGCGATCAAGTGCATCATAAGCGTTAAAGGTGATTCCCCATCCGCTATTTTCGTGTTCGATCGTGACATAATTATCCCCGAATATCATCTCGGGAGGCGCAATTCCCAGTTTTTTGGTCATTTCTTCAATCCCACCAGCCTTAAGAATCGGTAACTGTTGTGTGGTAATCCGGAAACCTCTTATAGAAAAAGAGTTGGGCTTCTTGGTGTCTGGAGACACTGTTGCATTGCCCGTTCTAGAGATCGACGTTGCGTAGCTCCGTGGAGGCATTGTCAGGATCCAGAGATAATGCAGCAAGAGAGCTCAATTCATTGTCTGGCTAAAAGATCAATGAAGATTAATGCGAGGATAGAAGGTTCCTTGTTCTTGCCCTATGCGCCGACTTCGCTGAGAACAAGCATAATACGTAGCTACTCCGCACTAGGGCCGGAGAAAGACGTCGTCCGGTCTGTTGCCAGGACAACCAATTACGACTGGCTCGGTAAACATCATTCTACTAAAACACTCATGCAGCAACCATACTGTTGTTCCTTCTCAGAATCTGAAGAACAACAACTGACTGCGATCGCTTCATCCACTACAGAGACTAATTGATCATGTTTATAACTCCATAAGCCCTTATTATCAAGAGGTCTGCTGATACTTACACCAAACTCTGACATCGTTATCATCTCTCTTCTCTCATCAACACTATGGCCACGAAGACGCTGGAGTCCCGCTTTGAACACTTGTCCGTAAAGGACGAAAATGAGATCGGCGGAGGAAATTATGGTAAACATAAGGTAAAGGCAAAAAAAAATTTACGGAGTTCATCAAGTTGACCTCTATGCAGGGTTCGCTCTCGACAGCTGTGTCTCTTTCCGGTCTCGGGGCGGCAGCACAATTGAACTCAAACCGTCCAAACTTGTTAAAGCTGGCTCTACACAATACAAACGACGCCAGAGTAAACGCAATAAGCACTAGCTCTTCACCCCTTAAAGGATCCCAAGCAACATCATCGGCTACCGGGTCTCGTCATGCAGGGGAGAATGGAGAACAACGCCTATCCACGCCGCTCTACGAACAGCCTCTGGCCCCGAAAAAGCTTCACCTTGGCATGTTTGAAATTGGCAAACCTCTGGGCAAAGGAAAATTTGGCAGGGTCTATCTGGCTAAGGAGCGATCTTCCGGCTTTGTCTGTGCCCTCAAAGTTCTACACAAGTCGGAGCTGCAGCAGGGAGGAGTGCAGAAGCAAGTTAGGCGTGAGATAGAGATACAAAGCAACCTACGCCATCCGAACGTCCTGAGACTCTATGGTCACTTTCACGATAGCAAGCGGATCTTCTTAATCTTGGAATACGCAGGCCGAGGCGAACTGTACAAGCACCTTCGGAAAGAAAATCGGTTTCCGGAGTGGAAGGCAGCTCAATACATTGCCCAAATGGCCGCAGCACTGAAATATTTGCACAAGAAACATGTTATGCATCGCGACATTAAGCCAGAGAATATTCTCGTTGGAATTCACGGCGAAATCAAGATCAGTGACTTTGGATGGAGCGTTCACGCTCCAAATAACAGAAGGCAGACGATGTGCGGAACACTAGACTACTTGCCCCCTGAGATGCTGAAGACTGGATCCCAGGATAACTACTATAATGAGAAGGTCGACTTGTGGAGTTTAGGAGTTTTGATGTACGAATTTTTGGTTGGAGAAGCGCCTTTCGAAGATACACCAGTGATGACGCAAAGACGGATTACCAGAGCAGACATGACAATTCCATCTTTCGTAAGTCCTGAGGCTAAAGATTTGATAAAAAGGGTATGATGAGGCACTCTAGTGGGTAGCTCGTTTACTTACTTTCTACAGTTGCTCGTACTTGACCCCGAAAAGCGGATTCCGCTTGATGATATCCAGAGGCACCCTTGGATTTTAAAGCACTGTATGAAAGATGACAGAGTGAAAAACAATTCTGCCTCTTCAAAAGATGGAAGACCCTGACACGAATGCTCGCACGTCTTATCTTCCGATTAATTTTTCTTCTCTGTCAGTTTTATATGGTGTTCTGGAGTATCTGACCTAGGAGTTTGGGTTTGCTGTGGAGTATTAATTGCTACTCAGAAGCGAAGCGTTCATTTGGGGCATACTATTATAGCATTGAAGACATGTGATAATCAGATACAATTCTTCCGGAGAATTATGAAAGCCTGAAGTTGATTGTGTGCAATATGGTACTATATATCATCGATATATCTCGTCGAAAGGTCGCGTGTCCCTGAAACAACTATCCCAGACTTCATTCACGACTCTTTCCGCGTGGGCTTCATCTTTGCAAGCAGGCCTTGCTCTTACTGACAGAATAGCTCTCCTCCGCACACATTCTTGATGTTGCTGTGTGAATTTCCACTGGCCTCTTCGGAAAAATTCTCGTGCCCATCTGCACTCCCCACTAAGCGAACTTGCTCGGATCTGGGAAACAGGTTAGCCTTTAAGTTTTAAAATGTCCTCCTCCTCACTAGCTTTTACCTCTGTACAGGCGGCATGTCTTAAGTCGGCTGTCCAATCCACTTTGAACCTCAGATGGTCATAGGCATGAACCATCTCATGCGCAAGGGTATCCTCCAGGTGACCCCTGTCTTTCAATTCATTGGCACAGAGTAGTATACCATACTCGGGGTCAAACCCTCCAGCCTTCCTCTTCGTACAGCGGCGGCAGTAAATGTTATGGCTCGAGAGATCGCCTCCGAGTTGTCGAATGTTGTCGCTGAGAAAGCGGATAACCGGACCTGGCACAGCTTTAATAAATAACCAGTGATTTGTAACGATCTGGTATAGAAGAAAGAACGCCATACTGTACTGTAATAGATAATCCCTGTGACCTTCGCAACTCTTGCAGTCTGCAGCTTCATTCCGGATATCTCTTGCGACACGGAACTGTTCCTTCCCTTCGTCGGTCATCTTCCCCGTGAGTATAGCAAAAATATTCCGCCATTGCGTCCACGCATCATCGCCTGGCGTATATCCAGTGCCAGGATTCTGGGCGGTTGGAGCGGTCGCTGGACCAGACGACGATTGCGAATCTGCCATTTTGGAAGCATTATTTACTCCGACAGGGCAAAGTTATCGTTATCAGAAGACATCAGACGGGGATTTCTCCGCAGCCTCGGCGGTGTCTTGCGGCAGAACTGCTGTGACTCAAAAAAAAAAAAGAGTAAAATTCTGGGCAAGTCTTGTTTTGCAAGACGCATTTCCCCTTGACTTTTATACGTCTTCCTTTTTCAAAGAAGTTTGCGCATGCCCTCCAAGTGGGAGTGAAACGGCTTCGGCACTATGACTGCCTCTGAGAGTCTCACAGTTGTGATAAAATTAGGTGCGGGGATATACACGTGGATAGGCTACATACATTGTACACATATTTACTGTCTTTTTTTGCAGGCACGAGCTCTATAGTAGACGAAAAGACTCATGAGCCTAATCTCTCAATACTCACATTAATTGTTGAGGCCGCCGCGAGGCTTCATAAAGATGGACACAGAGTTGTGCTTGTCTCCTCGGGTGCCGTTGGGGTTGGGTTGCGGAGGATGGATGTAGACCGAAGGCCAAAAGAACTACCTCGCATACAGGTACAGATAAAGTCTTTGGATCTTTAAGAGTGCTTTGGATAACCCTGTGGCTAATCCCGATGGATAGGCATTAGCAGCCGTCGGCCAGTGCAGACTCATGAGTCTCTGGGATAGCCTGTTCTCTCATCTCCGTCTCCCTGTTGCGCAAATCCTCCTGACGAGGAATGACATTGCAGATGTAAGGTCCAAATAGCGGCAGGTTCCTTGTCTACTGCTCATGTCTAACACATTTATAGACAACGCAATATATAAATGCCCAAAACACGTTCACTCAATTGTTTGATATGGGAGTGATCCCTATAGTAAACGAAAATGATACCCTAGCTGTTTCTGTATGCTATTCTCTTCTTCCCATATTTGCAGACCAGTTTTAATTTTTAGATCTACAGGAAATCAAGTTCGGCGATAATGACACTTTGTCTGCCATAACAGCGGCGATGGTTAAAGCCGATTACCTCTTTCTGATGACTGATGTTGATTGTCTCTATACTTCCAATCCTCGTACAAATCAAGACGCGCGACCTATTGAGGTCGTTTCAGATATTTCTTCCTTAACAGCTGACGTGTCATCTGCTGGATCGTCTCTGGGAACCGGAGGGATGAGCACTAAGATCGTTGCCGCCAAACTGGCAACCAGCGCTGGCGTAACAACTGTTGTCACCAAAAGCTCGAAACCTGGGAATGTCCATGATATAGTGAAATACCTCCAGAGCATTGAAGGAAATGCCTCGGCGGCCACTACAGGGACAACGTCACCGGGCGCTGAGAATAAAGAATTGGCAGAGACTCAGTCGCCGCCTCTTCACACGCGATTTCTTCGTTCTGAAACCCCGATTCAATCTCGGTCCTTTTGGCTATTGCATGGGCTGAAACCACATGGAACAGTGTTTATCGACCATGGTGCCTACAATGCACTTCAGAACAAAGCGGGTCTCCTTCCAGCCGGGGTTGTGGCCGTCGACGGTCACTTTGCTCAACAGGAAGCAGTGCGATTGATAGTCGTCGGGAAACCTTCTCCGTCTGCTCTCAATGGTGACTTCCCTCATCATGGAGAGGAACCGAAGGAAGTTGGTCGCGCCCTTGTTAACTATGGGAGTGCTGAGATCGCTCGCATAAAGGGCCATAGGAGTACCCAGATCCAATCCTTGTTAGGATATGCTGACAGTGAATATGTCGCCCTACGAGAGAATATCTCTTTCTTCCCCCCTGGTAATAAATGAAAATAAAAAAGTCTTGTGAAACAGACGTACATAGGGAACTTGGATAAAAAACCAAAAAAAAAAAAAAAAAAAAAAAAAACTATTGTACATACAGTTCGGTATAGAAACACGAGATCTAACTGGAGTTCTGAGGCACACGAGAGACTATCACTATTGGATGCTGAAGCACAGCAGGACAGACTACAAGGTAAGGTATGATATCTAGAAAATTGCAAATCCGAAACGCCACGCCCATGCAAAACAAAATAAGACGAATGTGGCGCCTGGGAACCAGCTCCCTGGAGACGCTCAACCATACAACTCCGCATAGAGACAATGAGGTGTTCAATCCTTCCATCTCTCTAAGAACCTTTTCATTTTCGAATCAACAGTAGCTTGCGAAGCGGCAGGGGCCTATGCAAGATAAGGTTGATTAGCGAGCGACCCTGGGCGAAGGAAATAGGGGACCATCAAAGACTGTACGTACCGTGTTCTCAACACTGGAGACGCTGTATGTTGCAGTGGCTGAAAGAGTGGTCTTAATAGTAGCCTCGGCGAGGTAGGTGGTAGCAAGAGCGTAGGCACTCGTCGGATATTGTGGAGCTGTGACTGTCGCAGTGATGGCAGTTCCAGGTCTCTTGGCCATTGGAGCATATCTTGTCAAGCCAGACTGCTGGTCATAAGGAATGGTGTATGCCCCTATATTCTGTCGCTTTCTAAGCTCTTCCCGTTCATGATGCGCTCTGATCATCTGCCCGCTAGGATCCGAGATCGACAGAACATTTTCTTTGATTTTATCTGAAAAGGAACCAGTCGTGTCGGAAATGGTAAAACGGTCCGAGAAATTAATGATAGAAGTCCCTGGCCCGGAAGATACCATCTTGAGGAAACTGTATGAAAAGGAGGTCGGGGTTGTTAGCAAAAAGACTTCAACCAAGCTAATAAGGATGATGACCATACTATGCATTCGCATCGTCCCCACCGACGCTTGGGCTGATCCTGAAAGATACCGAATTACCTCGTTCAAAAACGCCATTCTTTATAAGTAGTTCCGCTTCATCCTACAATGGTAAATCGATCAGTGAATGGAGCAGTGTGTTGGTATCGGTAAGAGGTGACTCACGTAGGAATCTGGTGTATCCCCGCCAGCGCAAAGATAAAGATCATACTGCGCAAGCTCCGAAATGGTAGGATGATTTCCACTTTCCTTCCAGTGTACCGTTATGACATCCCCAGCTTTAATGGTAGAGCCGGCTGGCGGAACGGTGAATTCAACGTCCGCAGAGACAGCGGACAGGAAAGTAAGGAGAAGAGGTAGCGAGCGGATAATCTTCATTTTTAGCACGAAAATGCCGAAGATTTAAAGAAACGACAGAAAACGGCTGGAGGTACAGAGAGCGAATGACCGAAGTGTAGAAGCAGATAGTATGGAGAGTACAACTCGGAGCGATTCCCTTTCAACTGCTACGGAGTAATATTAGCGCCAAGCCATCAATGCCTTTTTCGGTACCGCAGAGCTTCCATTCAACAAAGGAAGCTATTTCCCACCTCCAGCTTCTAGTCGTTGCCTACTACCAGTAGGCTGTTTCTTTCGTCGTTTCTGTGAAGATGGGAAAGCCAGGAGGATGGAACTCGCAGGCTGGTATACTCACGAACCTGCTTGACGGCAACGTCATTGCCATTGTCCTTGCGGTGTTTATCACTTTCAGCGTGCCCCTTCTGTTGCACTACATTTTCTATCGAAGAGTGGTATCGCCAGGCTGCAGTAATTTCCTTCTTCTAGGCCCGAGTGGCGCTGGCAAAACTGCCCTGTTCTCACTGGTGAGATTGTTCATTTTCTGCGTGACACGCGAGTTGGTATTGACAGCTCGGCAGCTCGAGGCCAAAACGTCCCACCTGTCAAAGAGGACTTCGCAATTGACGCATACGTCTCAGACGTCTACAGTAGCCACAATTGCTCTCCCACCTTCAATTCCAACTGCCTCCAATCGCTATCGGTCTGTCAACGACCCCTCGCTGAAGGAAATATCAAGGAACCCGATAAAGTATCGCCTAAAGGATACTCCCGGCCATGGGAAACTACGCGAGAGCCAAGGTCTTTCGCAATTACTGTTAATGTCAAAATCAAAGGAGCCCAACACGAGACTGCGTGGTGTTATTTTCGTGGTTGACACTGCCGCTCTTTCCGAAGATGAGGCTTTGAGAGATACGGCCTCTTATCTTCATGATGTCCTTCTAATCCTTCAGAAGCGGGCTTTAAACAGAGGCAAGTCCTCATCGAAACTGGCAACAGAAATTCCTGTCCTGGTTGCAGCAAACAAGCAGGATCTCTTCACCGCGTTGCCTCCGGGTTCGGTGCGGGAAAAGTTGCAAGCGGAGATTGACAGGATCCGGAAAACCAAGAGTAAGGGATTAATGGATGCTGGGGCCGTCGATACAGAAGAAGACATACTGGGGAATGATGATGGACTGGATAACTTCAGTTTCAAACTGTTGGAGGACGAAGTCGGTGTAACTGTCGATGTCATCGGGGGAGCTGTCAAGGAGGATAACAAGGAGGATCTTGGATCTGGTGTACAGAAATGGGAGGAATGGATTGGTATGTGTCTGTGACCAAATTATCCAAGTAACTTTGGAAATCTCGGTTTCAACTATTGGAGATACATGATACTTAGTTTTCCTTTTGTTTTTTGCCATGATGTTTCTGTTGGGTAACCAGTGAAAGAGAACTGTGCCCTCTCACTGTTCCATCTAATCCTGCGTAGGCTTTTGGCAATGTGCATACTCGCAGCCTGATCTATTGTCCTTGCGTTTTGACGCATGGCATCTGGAAAGAGCTGTGCAAAATATGTATCTATATATATCTAGCAAAAAGGTGAGACTCCTATCGACATAAGAATGCATAGGCTAAATATTATAGAATACGTCTATCTCATTATTCATATTTGCTTGAGTTAAGGGACTCTGTGATAGCCTCCCCTTTCCTATGCCTGCTTGTTTACCCTCATCTGGAAAATTATATGAGTGGTTTCTCCCTTCCGAGTGTTGCCTATATAAGATAAATATACCAGCTTTCTCTATTTGTGCTCTTCCATCTAAAGACTCTAAGGTGGAAAAGAACTTCAAAATGCAGCGGAAAACCGTGTAGACGCAACTTGAATCAAAGTTAAATGGAATGTGAGATAAGAGGCGACGGATTCCAGAAATTGCTAGAAATTGCCGAGGTAGCGCAGTTTTATCATTTTATTTTTCACGTAAGAAAGAAGCAGCAATGGTGTTTCTAACCCACCTGAGGAATTCTGGTTCCAAGGGAGCATAGCAGTATAGTTCGTCAGGGATAGTCAAGAAATCAGATGGTATTTTCATGGGATATTGCTTTCGGAACTAAAGGGGTCGTGGAAGAACACCTATGCGGTGCTCTTAGAGTGGTGGAGCAGCCAGGTGAGTAAGTCAACCTTCGTAGCAACAGCGACAGGTTTAATCACTCCGTGATCATCCCGTTCCGTCACGATTGCAGCACTATTCCACTCGAAGAATCGGTTGAGAATACTTAAAGGAGTATCCATGGTTATCTCGAAGAATTTGCGGCCCTTAGCTTGTGGCTTCAATGACCCTACCCCACTTTCTGTGGTTGGCTGGGAAGCTGGAAAGCCCAAATCTCTTGGGTCAGTTACAACCTCAGAGATCTTTGTGAAGTCAAACATGACATCCGAAACTGGGCTTTCCGCAGTGACCTGTCCATGGGTGAGTCGACTGAGGACGTTCCCTAGAGTAATGAGCCCGACTAGCTTCCTCCCAGCAGGCGCAAGAACAGGGAGTTGGTCGAATCCCTTATCTCGCATGATCTCAATCGCAGCTTTGCATGGCATATTGGAATGAACAGTCGTGACTGGTTTTAATCTGAGGGAATTAACTTTGGCACTGGAAAGAGGATCCGCAGATTCTTTCAGCTCCAGCGGTGAGACTTCAGATGCCGGTAGAAGGTCGTTTGCTGCAAGCCAGTCGTCATCCGCAAACTAAGAGCAGTTAGAATCAATGGACAGAATACCCAAATGACGATAGGGGAAAAACTGTATATTACCTTGGTAAGGTAGCTCCGGATGCTGTCTGGTAGGATCACTACCAACACATCATCCTTACCAAAACCATAGTCCTTAACGGCCTGCACCATCGCGTCAATTGCACTTCCGCTGCTCCCGCCAACGAGAAGTCCTTCTTCAGCAATCAAACGCCTAGCATATTGAAAAGAGGCCTTGTCGCCGGTCTTATACCACTTATCAACAACCTTCTGGTCGAGGACCTCGGGGATAAAGTCATATCCAATACCTTCGACTTTGTAAGGTTGATTGATGCATTCATCATTGAGGGAAGCGGGGAGAGCCAAGATGGATCCGTAAGGATCTGCTGCAATGACTTTAATTTCAGAATTGTGCTTTTTAAGGCCTCGAGCGAGGCCGGTAATGGTTCCACCGGTTCCGGCGCCGGCAACAATTGCCTTGATCTGACCGTTCGTCTGCGTCCAGATCTCTTCTGCCGTGCCAAATTCGTGCGCCAACGGGTTGTTCTCATTCCCATACTGATCTAAGATGTGTGCGTTAGGCAATTCTTTCTCCAGACGGCGGGCGACTCCGATGTGCGATTCTGGAGAATCGTAGGCAGCTTCGGTGGGGGTGCGGATAATTGTTGCATTCAATGAACGTAACACTGCAACCTTCTCGGCAGACATCTTTTCGGGGAGCGTAATGATGGTCTTGTAGCCTTCGCAAAACTGTTATTCAACGAAGCTGGAAAGAAACAAGGGCGGAAGAAGGTAGCTTTATTGACCAACCTTTAACAGCAGCGACAAGCGCCAATCCAATCCCGCTGAACAAAAGAAAAAATCAGATGCCGCAGCTCATCACATACGCGATCGGGGGGATAGTTGAGAGAGGAAACCAACGTATTGCCACTGGTAGGCTCGATGAGTGTATCTCCGGGCTTTATGCGGCCGGATCTCTCTGCCTCCTCGATCATCCGCAGTGCGATTCTGTCTTTGACGCTTCCTCCAGCATTGAAATATTCCAATTTGGCATACACCTGTGCTTCGATTCCGAGAGCACGCGGGAGCTTATTCAAGCGAACAAGAGGAGTATTGCCGATCTGCTGCGTGATCGTGTCGATGACAGCTGGAGGCAATGCGGGGTCTCTCGTAGATGGGGACATTGTGGTTGAGAAGAGTTGCAGTCAGCTCAATACATGGAAATACAAGTAACAACGAGGATTACAAAAGAATTTCCCCGGGTGATGATTCTAGGGTTCATGAAGAGACTGGAAGAAAGGAGGAAGGGAAGAAGAAATGGAAAAACTTCTCTAATGGCGTGAGGCAGAAGGCGGGCACTACTGACATTTCAAGGGTTTGGCCCCGATAATAGCCGCCAAAAACGTGCGGCCACAACAACCTACATAGTAAGAAATTAGAATTGCAGATAATTCGGTGAAGACATCGTACTAATATGATTGCAGCGTTTATTGTCTATGTAACTGACCCCTACGGTAACCTTCGGGGTCAGTTATCTAGTTTGTGGAGTATCCTCTGCAGAGCCAAAGAATGGTTAGCATTTGCTAGACCAGGACCTGGAAGAGAGGGAAGCAAATACCTAGTTATTATTATTATAGTAACTTTTTAACTCAGCCTACTCGTATTATACTTATGGCATATTCCCTTTACTCCTCGAGGGTAAGAAATTAGAATCACACAGCAGAATCCGTAACAGGGCTAGGGCAGATAGTGTGGCTGTGCCGGATGTTGGTGGTGCACCAACTCCAATAGCTGCTATTTTTTGCCCTCCAGCTCCTCACTCGACTTTTTCTCCTGGCACCGTGCCTGCGGTGTGATTTTCGATATTTCGCTATAATGAATGCTCTTCAACCTTGAATTCTTCCAGTTTTATTGATCATGGCAGCAGCTATGATGGCCCAGGTCAATGGCTTCAGGATATCTATCTGCCTGCACGTACATGCCGGCGTCCGCCACGGACAGATTATAATCTCACCTGAGAGAAAGAATCATATAGCTTGATGAATAGGGGCTGGCCACATTGTTGCCAAGCCTTGGCGGGTTTGGAGCTAAAGAATGCTTGTTGGCAACTCGATTATGATCCCTATAATAATAAGCCCTTCAAAGCCCCTGTGCCATGGCCAATTCTGCAGCTCTTTCTTGTTCTATTTTGTGCCGTTGGATGGAACCAGCTCTGCCTCTCGCCATATATATATACGCAATTGAGTTGGTTTGAACAACTTACTAATACTGCTGCATGTTGTTTCCTTTCCGTCAATATTTGTATTGCAAAACGATTGGATATATCGTGCGCACTTCTACTCATTGGGACCCTTGCTCTTAACTCTCGTGTACTGACCTCTGAGGCTCATAACTGACTGTGCTTGCATCTCACACTTTGTGACCTGATCGCAATAAACCCACTGAGCTGGGTTCCTTTTCAACTGCGGGATTTGCCTCTGCAGGACCACTATTATATAAGTTTCAGCCGTGAAAAGAAAGACTGAGATGTCACATTTTACAAAGCTGCATACCCCAGTGCAAGATTCCAATGGTGAAGCAGTTGAAATGTTGCCTACTGCTCGCTCGGCGTATAGAGAAGATGTCTCCTCCGAACTTCCGGTACACAGCAAGAAAAACAGTGACAGCCCACTGTTCAGCATGAATCCTGCCGCGCAAAGTGAGCGGAGTGGATTCAATCCTCTCCATTTTCTCAGAATCTGCTTCAAGAGTACTTGCACTTCTTCAATGATCGTCAATATCCTCTGGCCCTTCGTTCCAGCTGCTATCGCCGTCAGGTTTTCCCGCCCTGATTTGCACGTTTGGATTTTTGCTCTCAATTATATAGCGATGATCCCCTCGGCAAACTTGCTTGGGTTCGCAGGTGGCGAGCTGGCTGAAAAGTTGCCCAAGGTCTTTGGTGTTCTTCTGGAGACCACTTTGGGCTCGGTAGTCGAAATAGTGCTCTTCATGGTTCTGATAGGCAGAGATCACGACGGGAAACTGATTCCTGTCATCCAAGCCGCTATTCTCGGCTCGATCCTAGCAAACCTTCTGCTTTGCCTGGGTTTATGCTTCTTTTTTGGCGGCTTAAGGCGCGATGAGCAGGTATTCCATGAGACCATTGCTGAAGTGGGTTCTGGACTACTGCTAGTTGCTGGTTTTGGCTTGTTGATACCGAGTGCCTTCTACTCGGCCTTGAAGGGAAGCACGAGTTCTACACTTTTCACCCCGGAGAAACTAGTCGACGATGTACTCAAGATCAGTAGATCTACCGCTGTTGTTCTTCTTGTCGCTTTTTTCGTGTAAGTCACTCCGCTACCATACGCAGTTTCGTTGTGACCCGGCATTTTCTCACTTCTTTGTAGTTATCTATGGTTCAATCTCCATAGCCATCATAGCATCTTCGATGAAGTCCTCGAACTGGATGAACATATGGACGAGGACCGACACATCGATCTTATGAGGGAGAGGCTCACTTTCGTAGAATGCCTTATCGCGATACCAATTTCCCTCGCTTTTGTGTGCATGCATTCCGTTTTTCTAGTTGACGAGATACCGCACATTGTTGAGAGAGGCGTCTCGGATAACTTCATGGGTCTGATCCTGGTCCCTCTGGTTGAAAAGGCAGCAGAACACTTGACTGCTGTGGACGAAGCATGGTAAGAGACAGTCTCTCTACTCGGTTTTTTTTTTTTTTTTTGAAGCCTGTCGTTGACTTTCAACAGGGATAATCAAATCAATTTCGCTCTTTTCCACTGTTTGGGCCCTTCTATCCAAACTGCCCTCCTGAACGCGCCCCTTGCAGTTATCGTAGGCTGGGGTTTGGGGAAGGAAATGGATTTGAATTTCGAAATCTTCATGGTAGTACTACTTGTGCTATCCATTTTGGTGGTTGGAAATTTCCTACGGGATGCCAAGTCGAACTACCTCGAAGGTTCGCTCTGCGTACTTGTTTATATCATCATCGCAGTGACCACTTGGTATTACCCCAACCCGGAGGATGTCTTAACAAATCGAGCAGGGGAAGGTAGTGAGGCCTAATGGGCTAGCCTGGTGGCAACTGCGCTGTATAAAGATAGAGTAGATTAAAAGAAGAGAAAATGGAAATTGAAATGAAAGAGGGAACAAAAGAGAACAGGCAATGTGCAGAAAAGTTCTTGGGTCCTTTCGGCCCGCAAACCATAAATCAAACTAACCATTTTACCTCCCGGGCCGCCATTTGATTACTACGTACCTAATTGTAACTAGCATCGTTTCACCTAGCTTACTTCATCCAACCATGGGAGGGCCAGGGGATCCAGCAGACGTTGCTCTAGCTGCATTTGCAGAACGCAATATTCCAATTAAACGAGAGGAACTTGAGTCAATATTTGATAGGGAGCCCAGCAGCGCGAAATGGGTACTGGAACATCTCAGTAATGACACGCTCCTGTCGAAAGAAGAACTCTCACTGTGTGTTCAATTCTTCCTACATGAAAAACTTCACAATAGCTAAGTTCTTTAGGCACTCAAAACTAGGAGGCTCTGGCGCCATAGAAAACCTACTCCGTTGCTCCGATATCAACGCGTCTCGACCATTCTTGGAACAAGACATTCTGACCGCGATCGAATCCTTGGAGACCTCGACTTCTGCGATTGAGAAACAAACAAACATCTTGAACCTACAATGGGATAACCTCGGCAAACAACTTCGCCTTCAGAATGATCGAAAGCAGGCTCGAAGCAGAGATAGCGCACAGCTCCGCAGGAAACACGAATTGGGTAGGCAGAACATTGCAGCCGCAGTAAGTGACGTGACCTTTAGTATAAGCTTATTGCTAAGAGCATACAGTCTGATGATCTGGTTGATGGAATTGAGGTGTGTTTGAGAGATGAAACAGAAAAGGCGACAACGGAGGGTAGAAGCGTGCTCTCTTTGACAGCAGCCAAACTCAGGGATGACGATAAGGCTCTTGGAGCTTTGGAGAGGCTCGCATCCAGTTTGGATTCTGCTGGGGATAGTGCTGCTGCTGTGAGACGCACAACGGAGCTTAGCGCGACCTTTGAAAAATATATCACCGAAGAGATACACTACCGCCTCGATCGATTGTTTCTGGAAAGCATGCATGATGGCCATCTGGATTCCGATGCACCTTCGGGGATAGGCGATGAAGAGGATCTTATCGCTGTGTTGGAAGGAGAGCTGGAATCCTTGTATCCGGAAATCGGGGTCTTGGCTGAAATGTCAACAAGGAAACAATTCAGTGAGCCCATTATCCGAGAACTGCAAAACCGTCATGATAAACTGTGCGTCACCTCCATCGGAAAACTAGAATATGTATGATTTGCCCATGCCGATCCATGCTATTCCACGGCTGACCTGTTGAAAGATTGCAGACAAAATAATCGAGATGACTTCATCTACCGAAAATCTTACGGAACGCCTGCGAGATCGCAAATCCTTCAGGGGGACTCTTGAAGCACTGGCAGACCTCTACCAAACAGAACGGGGCGACCGGTCTTCGGCTAAGCCTGCGAGACGAGAAACCCTGCAGAGATATTCACTTCAAGCACGTATGCTACAAGCGACTCCGAGAAATTCGGCTGTCCCGTTTCCAGAATCATCGGCCCTCGAGAGAATTTTGCGCCGCCTGGGTATATCTTCCGACTCAGCCTTCCAGCCTCCAGAGGAAAATGGAGAGCCCCACATACTCTACGAAAAGAAATATCACATGCTGAACTACCTACACAACATGGGCACCGCTGTCGATTCTCCCCTAATGCCTCAGATGACTCCAATGGACTCCGCATCCCAGCTCCTATCATTCTCCCTCCACGCAGATTCACCATTCAAGCGCTCCCTTTCAAATACCGACCAGGAAAGGAGACTTGGTGCACTGGAGACGCAATTAGGCCAGGTTCAGAAGGGAATTGAGGGTCTCAACCTGGATATTTTCTACCAACGAGATAAAGCCCAAGATAGATTTTTAGAACGGTGGTTGTAGTGGCACGCAGACCGGATGAGCGTAATCTCCAGACACATTCCTACTCAAGTCCAGGGACCTTGGTTATCTGCCTCTCTTGCAAAATAAAATGCTAAGCCTCGTAGCATCCAAGGTGAGAGGGGGCTGTCAGAGAAGCTTCTAGGATGCATCGGGTGTGGCGTAGCATGCTGTTGATGCTTGTTGACCAGGCAGACATTTTGCCCACGCCGCGTTGTATGGATCGACCCTTTTAAGGCTCATAGACCATTTTCCAAACGGAGTTAATTTCTCTGTCTAAATTCATCAGATCATTTTCCCCTTCATAACCAATCCAGTTTGTGTCCAAGGTTGTCATTAACCTCCCCAGTTGACCCGGGTTTCAACCGGCTGACTTCGATTGTGCCCTGTGACCGTGGTTGCACACCCTACTTTCTTATTTTCAGCCCATCCATTATGGGTTATATCGTGGGATTCCTGTGTCTGTGCTGGGAAACTAATGGAAGTAGTAGCACTTTTGTTGGGGATTAAAAGGTTCCTGTTGGCTTGAACAACAAGTAACTAGGCTGATATACCTAACAAGCATAGGCACTGTTGTTCATAGCCATCCCATCAGTGTATATATTCATCTACAGGACTCTTTCTGGGCATTTTCCGATAGCTCAGCTTTCTACATTGAAGTTTTCCTTTTGCCAAGTAGAACTCAGGTTCTCTGCTTCCTCCAGATTGAGCACAGCTTCATGAATATGTATCAGCTGTGGTGAACGCATGACACTGGCCTTCACTTCCCTACAAATGCTACCTTGCATTGTATAATCTTGAGGGGTAGAAACAAGAAATATAGTATGGGATACCTGTTTTGGGAATTCCTTCCATTTCCTTATTATGCATGATACATTTTTCTGGTGTCATTTGAGAATTACATTCATACTAACATGCAATTAATCCCATTGTAAAACAGCCCCCTTACGAGTCCTTCAAACCCTCTTTTCGAACGACAGACCTTTCGTTGACTTAGCAATTTCACCAAGTCTCGATGCCCCAGCAAGTGGAGGGGCTAGAAAAAGAATGTGTCTGATCGAGAAGTTCATCGACGTGTACCCGCAAAAGATCCGAAAGACAGAAATAATCCATAGGTGCCCGCTCAGTGACGGCAGTCGAACTTGCAATCGTACTCGAGTATACAGTTACGGCGAAGTCTACCATAGAAGCCATTTCCGGCCAAGAAATTCGTACGAGAGAGCTCTGAAGTCGCATCAAATAATAGATCCTGCGGACACAATGGAGCCAGAGGATCCTCCAGTCAACGCAAATAGAACGCGAGCGAGAACGAGAGAGAGAAGTAACTATCATGCATTTTCATTTCTGTTTCCATTCAGTAGAAGAAGGAATGGAAGTAGGGACAAGGAGAGAGTTCGAGAAAGACCACCACGTCCGTACGAGGCGCGCTTTCCGGAGGCAAGGACTCATGCAGGTCAAACGATGCAAAAAAGATCTCCTCAAAGAGCTCGGTCCGCACCATCTCGAACGGATGCGGTGACAGAAACAATGCCAGGTCTCGATCGGCAATTCCACACCCCGAACAGACCATCTCCGAGTCAGCAGCAAGAAGCGCTCTCAGGACGACGATGGCAGAGGAAACGGACGACTGTCGAAGAATGCAGGCCTCGTAGGGGAGAGCATCAAAGAGTTCCGGTCCGAATTCACAGTCATCGACCCAATGAAGAGCCTCTTGTGATCTCAAGCTGCAATAGAAACAACCAGAGAAGCTCCCGGGCAGTGTATTATATCACATCCAGAAGCGCATATCAGGGTGACAATAACCATGGAGCATACAGAAATGTCACAAATGAAAGAAGAGAACCAGGCCAAAGCTATAGCCATGCATTTGCTCGCGAAAATTCCGGCCAAGATAATACTTGCGTCAATGAACAGGAGCACACCAACGGTGAGGTAGATCGACAAGAATACTCACATGGACACATACCATGGTATATTTCGCGCCTAGTAAAGCGCAAAGAAGAGCGGCCCAATTGCACAAGGTGGAATCCACGACATGCTCGACCGCAAATCATTCAAGAAGGTCATTGCCAGATGGCAGCTGCAGGAGACAGAGTCTTCACGGAAGCCCAGGAAAGACAAAGCCAAGAGACCATCGTATGTGACTTTCGGCCTAGTCGAAGGCCATGGAACCGCCGGTACGACCACTCTCGAGGGCCCACCTAGGGAGAGAAGAGAAGTGTTCACGGTCGAAGGGACCACTGCAATGGCTGGTGCCTGGTGAGGCGCTCAAAGCAAAAAACATCGGGGCTTTTATCCTTCAATCGGAGAATCAAATCCATAATGCAATTCCCTGACATTACCGGTGTCGATTATTGTCGTTTCGATTATTTTTGATGCGGCTCAAAAGAGAGCAATTGGTGAGTATTGGCTAATGCGCCGATGGTTGAGACACCCGCGGCGGAGTCAGCCACGCCGATACTTAAGCCAGTTCACCACCGCGATGATTAGCCGCCATGTTATGCTCCATATTTCTGATGTAACGGTTTGATTTTCGTTGTTTTTACCATTCTCGATACCACGCGAACATTTCCCAGTCGCTGGCTCGTCCAATCGTTTCGTGTCCTACATACGTGTCCAGCTAGCGCATTTGGCCTGAAGACCTCGAGGTTGAATGCTAACCTTTCACGACAACGGTGGTTAGTGGCTACTACGTGAAGAAGCATACGGACACCTAACTGTTCGTTATCGAGAACTCTTATTACACATATTTTCCCCGTATGTCATTTATTCGTCAACATACGCCCATCTCAAAACTTTGCATACCTACTTGACCAGTATCGTCTCGGCTACCCTCGACACCTGGCGCTGTTTCACGCATCGTCGTGAGCTAAAGCGTTTTTGTTTCAATTGAATACCGCTGGGTATAGGTGAAGGTGGCAGATTTGGCCCTACAATGTTTCTGTTATCCCGCGGGGCAATTGTCACCTGTAGGTTCGGGTGTCTCTTTCACATTATTGCGCTTTGGAAATAACAAGTCTACCGTCTACTGCCTTTCGTGATGAATGAGGAGCACCCAAGTTTTGGGGACGAAGCAGTTAGGAGTACAGTGCTTGAGAACTCAAACCTGACGCATGCTTTACCTTCCTTCGACGGCAATGAAAGCAGCCTGTCCATGCCAAAGACGGGTTCTGACGATGCGAGGGAGCTTTTTGATATCTCGCCAATTGTAGCGCTGGAGCTACTATGCGAAAATATTGATAAACTTGCAAAGTCCGTGGGTGAATTGGCTTCCAACTTATTACTGAGACGTGATTCGGCTTCCGATAGAACAGCACGGAAGGAAAACGAGCCAAACACGGATCAAGGCGCGCCGCCGAAACCCACTGAATTGTATTCCGTTGGAGTAGCAGATCATATGGGAATACAAGCACAGGACGAATACACTCAGCAGAGCATTTTGGTAAGGAGGTTTCTATCGAAAAAGGAACCCCCCATATCGTTGAAAGATTATCTATTGCGGCTCCACCGGTTTTGTCCGATGTCTACAGCTGTCTATCTTGCCACGAGCGTTTACATCACCAAGATCGTGGCTATCGAAAGGATCCTACCGGTTACTCCGAAAATTGTTCACCGTCTGGTTCTCGCTGGTCTCCGCGTTGCCGTGAAGGCACTCGAAGACCTTAGCTACTCACATAGTCGATTTGCGAAGGTTGGCGGAGTCAGTGCGCGCGAACTTTCTAGACTTGAGATTGGCTTCTGTTTCCTGGTTGATTTTGAACTGCGAGTTGATTCCCAAATCTTAATTCACGAAGCAAGATCGATACGAAGCAGTACAGGCTCACGCAGGTATAGCGCTGGCTCTACACATGATTCTGCTTGACAAATTACCGGCACCATTGACGGCGACAATTTGGTTCTCCTTATTGTCGAACCGGCGCAAGTCAGACAACAGCTGTACTGATTATAAATATTTGCATTCATCCCCGAGCGTTTTTGGTTACTATGCATATTGTATTGGAGATTGGGATATGTCTTACTTTCTCTCTTTTCTTTTTTTTGGCATTGATATCGTTTTGTTCTATGCAAATAACGTGGCCATTTCTCAGACTCAAATTTCCCTGGGTCTGTACCACTTGTGCGCATACAACATTATATGCTTGTCTACATAATTGGACCATAATGCAATCGTCAGGTAGTGTTCTCGTGAAGCGATCTATGCATAGGGGTTGTAGGTATCTCGTACGTATATGTCAGTGTTGCCTCGTAGACATTGTTCCCATCTACTCCGAAGATAGCGCGGAATAATGCAACTATCATCGGACGCGGAGGCTAAGGCGTGAGCTGGTTTGTGCTGGGAGATTAGGCCAGCACATCCCATGTTCCTAGCTTATTTTTTTTTGTTTTCTGCACTGCGACTTTTTCTTGGCCTATCTTCTGTCTCTTTTTTCTTGACTCCTTTAGACTCTGTTCAGAGGCTGCGGCAGGCCCTTGCAACTTTTACTCGCGTGCCCACCTGTCAGTTCGCAATGTTTCTCTAATTCGGCGCGTGCAGGCAACGGTTAATTTCACGCTACCTTCGCCCATACAACCGGGATATTCAGAACAGTCGGGATCTGGAGGCGTCGATTTCTTTGTAAAATGTCTTCGATACTGCCTCAAAGCAGCGATTCTGCAAATGCACAGGGGTCGAGTCCAGCCTTTGCGTCGAACGGGAAGGCGTCGGCGGTACTTCCGACAGTTACGCACCAAGCTGTCGAATTGAAGAATATGGCATCTGGCTCACAAGGCGTCAAGGGGTCGATTCCCCTGGGGGAAGATATCATGCAGCTCGCCCGGATAGGAGAAGTCGGCCCTATGCAGAAGCTATTTGAAACCAAGAAGCTCAGCGCGAAATACACGGATGAGGAAGGGATCACACCATTGCATGTTTGTACCCCAGTCATGTCTTTGGAAGGTCAATTATGCGCTGACTCCTGCGAATTTCTACCTTTTTAGTGGGCAGCAATTAACAATCGGTATGCAATGTGCAAATTTCTACTAGACTCCGGTGCCGATGTGAATGCAAAAGGAGGCGAGTCTGTAGCTACGCCAGCGATGTGGGCTGCTCAGCGTTGTCACTACTACATTGTCAACCTTCTACTGCAGCATGGAGCCGATCCTCTCCTTACCGACGCCCAAGGATACACCATTCTACACCTGGCGACCATTGACGGGAATGCATTCTTAGTCGTGCTGCTATTACATCAAGAGATCCCAGTCGACGTTGCCGACCCGCAGGGGCATACAGGGCTTATGTGGGCAGCATATAAAGGATACCCTGCATGTGTAGATCTATTCCTGCGCTGGGGCGCGAACGTGAATGTTGCTGATGACGGTGGTCTTACACCCCTGCATTGGGCGTTGGTGAGGGGGTCACTGCCCTGCATACAAAAACTTATAGAGTATGGCGCAGATCGGTTTGCGAAGACGAATGATGGCAAAACCCCGGCCAAGGTAGCCGAAGAAATGAATACGCTGCCTCTCTGGCTCCGTGCACTCGATGAATGTGGCTATGAGCCCGATGGGAACCTAAGGATCTTTCCTCTAGGCTTGACTGGTTTCCTACGGAGCAAGAGTCTTATGTGGAAATTTTTCTTCTTTTGGCCGTTCTTCATGGTTGCAGCCGGAGCATGGATTTTCAGCAACCTGACAATATTCGTTGCTGTCCCTTTTGCGGCAGTCGTACTGTTCTTACTGCAGTGGGTAGCGCAACAGATTGCCAGTCGAGGCCCAGCAGATTACAGGATACTTCAAAAAACAGTAAGTAAATACTTTAAACTTGTTTCCAAAGCGTAGTCCTTTGGTTTCTAACTCAGGGATGGCTGCAGCCGTATCTATCAGGTATCTTTGCGGGATCGTTGTTTTGGGTCGGCGTCCGATACGTTTTCAAGGTTCTCCCAGGTCAGTTTAATTAACAGATCTCTACTTTTAGAATTGCTTTGACCTAATGTGGTGAGATCCAGTGACATACTCGTTATATCCCATTTTAAATATATTATTTACGACCTTCTTCTGCCTTACGACATTCTTTTTTATCATCTCAATGACTGAAGACCCTGGATTTGTTCCCAAACTTGGCAGCAGGAACCAGGAGGGAACAGTGATCAAGGAACTCTTTGATCTGTGGAAGTTCGACGAGGAAAACTTTTGTGTATATTGTATGATTAGGAGGCCATTGCGAAGCAAGCATTGCAGGCGATGTGGACACTGTGTTGCAAAACATGACCAGTAAGTATTTTCCATTGCAATGTAATTGTGAAATGCCTCAGGGTGCTAACATGAGCTTAGCCACTGCCCTTGGATCGACAATTGCGTGGGAGCAAATAACCTACGCCATTTCGTGTTGTACATTACTTGTCTGGAAATTGGCATCATTCTTTTTGTGCAGTTGACCGTGTCCTGTGAGTATTTAATGCTTGTTGGTTCACAGATGTAAATGATGAATTTTCGACGACTAATGTTTTGTTGGTAGATATCAATGTTCTGCCGCCACCTGAGCAAACTCAGTGTAATGTTATCAATGATACTCTGTGTAGTTGTGTGCTCCGAGATACCTTCACCATCATCCTGGTCATCTGGATAACGCTGCAGCTGGTGTGGGTTACCATGCTGTGCGCTGTCCAACTCATGCAGGTTTCAAGGAACTTGACGACGTACGAGAATATGAGAGGTCAGTCAATTGACAGGGCATATCCAAGCTCGCAAGCCCTCGCCTCTGCTTTGACAGCTGGGACAACGTCACTAGAGGCCGCTGGACTTTCAGCAGCCGGGCAAGGCCCCAATCCCAATGTTTTGCGGGCGGCTGCTCCTTACGCTCATCGCCATGCAGGTCGTGGTTGCTTCCAGCAGCTGAAGACGGTTCTTGGGATCGATGCATTCTTCGCGACGGCACGAGATGGATTCAAAGGTGAAGGGCGCACTGGTCGACCAAAGAACCCGTTCTCCCGCGGCATTATGGGAAACTGTCGCGATTTTTGGTGTGATCCGGCTCCATACTTCGGAAAAAGAGACACGGGTTCGGGTATGCTTGATGGTGAGGTAGTGGACTACTATAGGATGTATGAGGTTCCGCCGCGGCTGCATAGTGGCTACCGCAGTGTGGTGAACGGTGATCCGGAGGAGAATGCCTGAAGTGTTTTTATTATTTCTGTCTTTTCTTTCTCCCTGTCTTCAATACTTTTCCGATCCGTGCCGCCATGGTGCGACTTGATTGGTTTCTAAAGCAAGTTAATGATTTTAATGTTAATGACCTCACGGTATATATCAAAAGGATACAGGTAAATGAGTATTGGGTGACACGGACAGGCCAGCATCTGGAATTGATGGTCTGGTGGTCGTAGAAAAGAGTATGATAACTACGGAGGATATTGCCATCAGATAAAAAAAGCGGGAGCCTTATCTGATGGCGCCATTCCCGAAATGAAATGCGCTAATTTAGCTCCTCCGTTTTCTCTTCAAGAGCTCCACAAATTTCGAAACTCCCTCTCATCTAATTTCTCCCGCTTTTGAATTCTTCTTATGCTACTTTTTGTTTTCCGCATGACCCCGCCCCTGTCTTGCACGGCCCGATGCCCCAAGGTGGGATTTGCTAGTGTACGTACGGAGTACACTTTGAAGTTTGCAGAGCTCCATCTACTGCAGCTTTTCGGTCAAAGTCGCATTTTCCATAAACCAGTGCCCCACTATTGAGACTCTAACTGAAGTGGTATTGAGGACGTCATTAAGAAACCTATCTACAGAGTGGGCTGGTACTGGATCTATTATACGACCTGTTGGAATTGCTCATAGAATGGAATTATAACTATGCATTATACACAGTCATTGGGTTTTCACAACAACAAAAGAAAGAAAGGAGGGAAGAGAGAATGTACCGACTGAATGGACTGAATGCGAGAATGAGTGAAGCACGCAACTCTGTTTTCAGACTTCTGCTGGTATACAAGGTTATAAATACCTTCCTCTGCTCATAGTTGATTCTCCCAGCTAGCTAGCCTGCAAGTTCTGTGGGCCAGAGTAACTTACCAGAGGCTACTTGGTATCTTTTCAGCTCAATACAGTTGAAGACTAGCCTTTGACAGAAACACAGTCATTCGGACGCTCCTCCTTCCTCCCCGCGTCTTCACGATGCTTTTTACCTGACTTGCCTGGATGGTTGCCTGCTCACTCAATCCTTTCCTTGAACCCCCTCGAACATAGCCATACAGATAGAACTGGGGTCTGTTCCATCGTATTACGGTTTCTGCAACGCCATATTTCCAAGATGGAGCCTGCTTGAGACTTATTCGCAATTGATTGTCTTCATTAATGGAACATATAATCCATCAACCTCGACCGAGTGGACCTCTCGTATTGCTGCATCCATGGACCACGTTCTATGAAGATATTCTCACTGAAATTGAAGGCCCTGACTTCAGTGACTCCATCACTCTTACTGACTCTCCTGAAAAATGAACAATTTGCGGTGGGGAATGAGCTTGGTCTCATGTCTCAATTCAATCGGAACGTGAGTGATGCTGTGTCCAAGGCGCTGTCAGTTTCAAATCAACGGAATATCCGTTTTTGGGCCTTTATTTGTCACACAAGCACCACCAGGATCCCCAGTTGTTGCTCTGCTCCCCCAATCCGTCTTTCCAACCTGAATAGAAGGTAAACCAATCACTGTGGGAGCTCAAGATATTCTGGACATTCCCACTCGAAGTCTATCCAGTAACCTCTTCAGTGATGGAAAGACGCCCTCTGGAGCACCCTATAGGTAAGCAAATCCAGTTTTACAGTTGACCCAGAAATGACTGACCGTATAATTGCTAGTCTAGCTTGTGTCTTACATGAGAGCCTGTTTCCTGTCCACATACAAGACCACAGTCTTCGTCAGACGTACCGACAAATATTGCTTTGAGCTCTCACTACCACTTGACGAAAGCTCGACAGATCCCCCAGGACGTGAACATTTTGCTAGTCTTTGGCTCTCGCCGCAGTCGGCAGAATATTTGAAGAGTCCAATCTCAACCCAGCTCTCATAAGTAATTTGATTCCGTTCGACAAGGCTGATAATAATAATAGAGTGTCTCAGTTACATACTCCAAGTCCCACTGCCTCAGCGCAACAAGCTGTCCTCTCTACTGTAGCGATCCAACAAGGCCAAATCTACGAATTGCTGACTTTGGTGTCAAATCTAAGCGCAATTTTTTTTTTTTTTTTTTTTTTTTTTTTTTTTTTTCAGTTACAATGATGTCGCTCGCTCTCATGTGAAAGCTACCAGGTTTTTTGAGTGGATCACCTTCGTCACAAAGGTTGTGATGGAAGTTAAATGGGATGGTGTCAAGGTCATTGCAAAATGTTGGACAAAGGAACACTTTAAAAGGTATAGCCCCGTCCCCAGTATTCCAATATTCCCAGAATGAATACTAACCAGTTCCACTGCAGCTGTGCGCAAGAAGTCAGGGTGTGAATATCTCTACCAGCAAGAACCAGAAGGATTCCCCTTCTTTCCCTCCGTGCTTGGATATGGTGATGTCATATGTCCATCAGTCTTTCCCGTCGGTTATGTTCTTATTATCTCTTTTGTAGAAGGTGAACGACTGAGCAACATCTGGGACCAGTCAGCCGCGGAAAAGCAAGATATTCTCTTAAAATGTCGAGAAGCAGTCACTATGCTTCGCTCCTTAAGGATCCGTGTGCGAGACCCAGGAAAGCATAATGTCCTATATCCCCGTCAATCAAAGAAGGCTACGTTGATTGACGTTGAGAGCGTTGGCCAATGCGGCAGGCAAGACGCGCGCACTCTGGGACGCACCAGAGCTTTTGACGATCTTCGGGAGAGACTCCAGGTCAGCATAGGCCGTCGGTGGTTGATCATTAGCGTTGCGTGAAGCTCAGCATTATCGTCTTTGCTCTGGGGCGCTGTGGGGAAAGAGAAGAAACTGCTATATTTTATTAAAAGAACTTCTTAATTGACAGATCTACTTCTTATAGTTTAATGCTGATTCCCTGATCACTTATGAGTCTAACCAACCAGATACCAAGTGATTATTTACTCTAGACCCAATAGTCAACCCAGATGAGAGGTCTCAAATGTTCAGAGTGATACCAAAAATAGAGTTATAATTAGCCATGCAGTATTATAAAACTGTATCTGTCCACATGCTATGTACAAGCAGACTACTGACTGGTTCCAAAACCAGATGGTTTATAGCTAAACTCACCACGACATATAGCCGATCATAGCTTCTGCGGCCGTCTCTGATGGGGTCTTTTTCCATAGTGGCCATATCCAAATATCGAATTCACCATCTCCTCACTCCGCGTCGCCAGCACAGACAGAAGACTGTCGCTAAGACCGTGGGTGCTCTCGTTGCAACCCTGGAGCCAGATACCGGCTTGCGCACTCACCTTGTTCCGGTCTAATTCCACCCGGTAGTCGCGCGTCAGCTCCCACGCCGTCCGGCCGGTAGGTCGTAGATGCCGCACATCTGCCAGTAGCTTCTCATGCCCGTTTCGGACGTAGCCAGTGCCGATGACGAGCACATCAACCTCCATGATTTCTTTTTTGGCCTGGCTCTGCGCAGCAGCATTTGCAGGCTCAAGATGAATTCGGATCTTCTGCGTACCGGAGTCCGGACGCTCCACCCGGGTGATGTTGCGTGAAGATAGGATGCGGTGCTGCCACTCCGCTTTGTTAGAGTTCTGGACCTTCTGCACGTACATGTCGTGGTAGATCTGCTCGATGAGCTCCGGATTCACGACGCTAATAGTTGGTCCCCCGATAGACCTCGAGGAAGCGTTTACGTTCCTCGGCTGGGAGGTTATAGAAACCGTCCACACGTTCCGGGTTGAAGATCTCGTTGACACTATTGTGGCTGGTTAGTGGATTTGTAAATCCGTGGTTCAGTGGAGTTGTGGGGGTCCACTCACAACGGGGTATCATCGCTCGGCCGGAAAGCCGAGTCTCGCATGATCAGCGTTGTTCGAGAGTTGGGATATTGCTGTTGCAAGTCGTGGAAGATCTCGGCAGCACTCTGTCCGCTTCCAACGATACCAATGCTGTAAGGCTTTGAATGATCGTCCAGCAGGGTTGGCACAACGGTACAATACTGGGAGGAATGAAGGATCCTGGGATCCTGAGGAAAGACAGGAGGCACATTGGCGAATCCACCGATTGCAATGACAACCTTGCGTGCCTTTCTTGAAGTGACTATACCGGTATCGACATTCCGCGAGATCACTGTGAAGAAGTCGACCACGGCATTCTTCTCTCCTACACCCGACTGTCCTGGGATGACCTTGACAACCTCTTCACCGTAGGCGACAAGGTCTTCGAAGCTCTGCGCACACCAGCGCATGTAATCTTCAAACTCCACGCGTGGGGGCAGGAAAGTGCCGAGGTTGGTGAAGTCGATCAGTCGACCCTTGTTATGAAGGTAGTTCAAGAAGGTGAAGCTGCTCCGGGGATCGCGAAGGGTCGCCAGGTCCTTGATGAAGGAGATTTGCATCTTAGACCCCGGAACAAGCATGCCAGAATGCCAGGCGAACCGCTTCTGTTTCTCGATGAAGCCGATCCTGGGCCGCCAACTAGGGCTGGGCGCATTGGGGTTCAGGCGCGGGTCCAGGGCATCATGCAGTGCTATTGCGATGGAAAGGGATGCAGGACCAAACCCCACGCAGAGTAGGTCAAGGATCCCATTCTGGTCCGAGGGAGTCAGTACAGATTGCCTTGAGTTGGACGAGGATACCGCCGCGGGAGATATCATTGTCGAGAGTTGAAAGCCACTACGGTCTCGACAACGCTCAATTTGAGTAAACGAGCAAGCCAGATGGTTAGGAGAGGACACAGGGCGGTAGTAAGATGGTTTTAGGAGGGAAGATAATGCGAGTGTAGAATTTCTGCAAGCAGAAATATCCCAATGGAGGGGCCAACGGGATATATATACATCGAAGCAATTACGGGATACGCCTCGTCTCTAAAACTGTCTTCAAAAAAAAAAAAAAAAAAAAAAAAAAAAAAGAAAAGAAAAGAAAAGAAAAATAACAATAATTAATGATAATAAAAAGCCTATACAATCCGAATCTGCATTCACTAGTATCGCTAGCCTTTTTCCTGTTCTCGTAGCTTGAAAATCGAATCAATAATCAATCATGGCTGCAATACGAGCGTTGCATGCAGGTTCCACCGACACGCAGCAGCGCGTAAGACAGCACTCTGTGTCTGTTCGAAGCACAGGCTTTCCGAGGATCCACCAGTATCAGTCGATGCAGGATGGAGAGGCAGAGATGATAATATTACAATAAAAAAAAGTAAAAGTAAACGAAAAGCATCATCCGATGCCGGGAAGACAGCGATTATCTGATGGATCGTCAGGATCAGATAAAAATCGGTTTCATACTGTAATAGCTATGCGGCAATGATGCTCTGCAGTCCCATCATGCCCTACTCTGTGAGTCCGTTCGTGGCGTGAGAATTTCCACAGCATTCCCAAGGACTCGCCGGACTGTCTCCGATCTCTCCTTTTCCCACCAAGTCGCGACAGTCTGTCGGAGCCGTTCTGGCGCCATGTATCCTGCCTTACTGAGCTGTGCGTATGCCAGTGTTGCTTGTGCCCGTTCCTTTCGGATTGCCTCCACCGAAACATCGACTTTGCATAACAACAGTTCTTCCACCGAGGACTCCAAGGACGTCTGGAACTCGGCTTGTTTGAAAGTGCCATCGCTCTGCGGAATCCACCTGTCCAGCCTCGTCAAGAGCGATTGTAGTCCCTGGAACAATGCGATCTGTACACTTCTGTCACCATTGCCCAATGCCTTATGGACAAGAGAAGTGATTTCCACCAGGTGACCTTCTAAGGCTGCATGCTCTGGGTTAGCTGCTTGTCACTGGAATGGCATGGCACTCAGGGGACTGACTTTCTGCTGGTATAGTAATTTCCGGGTTGATGCACTGCAGAAGGCATTTTACACATGCTGCCAAGGTATCTGAAGGTCTAAGCTCGGAAAAAAATCGTCAAAAGTTGGTCGGCGATCAAACATCCACATAACCTTCGACCAGACTTACCCAGATCTATAACCGCTGCCTGCATCGATATCCATCCGGTCCCCGTCGCTCTCCAGGACTTCATCAAGAACCCCACGCACAATGGTCAGAGAATCCGGCATGAAGTCACAATCATCCCGCAGCTGCGAAATATCACCAAAAGCCGTAAGAGCATGCGGTCGATATGTGGCATTGTTCCGCTTTGCCTCTCGAATCGCAATTGCCTTCACAATATTTGTTAGGGAAAATAGCCAAGGGGAGGAAGAGTTAAACCCACTTTAACTGAATTGCCAATCTTCTCTTCTTGCCACAGACATTTAGCTTGGCTGATAAACTTCACAAAAGCTTTCAGTACAACCTCTTTGCCAACCCAAGTCTTTCCCGCCAGCGCCTTCTCTAGAACCGGCCATACTAGTTTACTGGTAGGAAGATCGAGCTCCTTATCAAGTGACATGACTGTCTTCGCTACCGCAAGCGCTGCCGTGTGCTTGATGTCCCAACGGGGGGAGTCTAAGTTGCCCGAGACCAGATCCACGATCTCCCGGAGATACAGTAATACCGTACGGGTGCCACCTACATTATCTTGCCAGGTTTTCTCAAACACTTCCCTCACATGCTCATCCGTATCATGTTTGCAGACAAAGACAAAAGGCAAAGCCGTGGTGGCAAAGGCCATGAATCGATCATTGGCCAGCTTGGACATTGAATACAGGATTTCTGCTGCAATTGCACGACGAGAAACGTTTTCAGACGTGAAGTAAAGGTCCTTGGTATACTCCATCGTTTTCAAGACTTGATCGTCCGAGGCCAACCGTGTAAGGTACCCCATAGAGGTAGAGTAGGAAGCGCTAACAGTGTCATTGCGGTCGACCACATGTTTGCTCAGCAGCCGGATGAAATGATCCGCATAAGGACGGAAAAGCATGGACTTCATGCTTAGAAGGGCGAGCACACGGCTACATCCCACCTTGGACGGGAGTCCAACTGAGTAACGAAGCACACGTTCGAGTCTCGCTGCGAGGTCCTTCATGTTGCCTTCGTCTAGACTGTCTATTAAGTAGTGCTCAATGGCTTCCATCATAGGAGACGAACGGACGCTCGACAATCTCATCTTGTCAATTTCTTGTCCGGTAAGGCCGTACTTCTCGGCATTAAGGTGAACGTAATTAACCGCTTGGGGTTCCAATGAGCTCAGGGAATTCAGGAAGCTCTCCAATATCTCAGGTACAAATGGACGAAGCAAGCCACCGGGACTCTTTTTGACCATCCGTATCAGGGTGTTAATAGCAAAGGCTTGAGCTTCCTGCACGCTAGATTCAATCCCCTGGTTGCTGAGTAGGAACGGAATGACTTTGCTTAACATAGCACTGGCCCTTTTCAGATTCGTGTCTCCTGCTTCTAAAGTACGCACGATTGCATTGGTGATAGTTTGACAAAGCCCAAGAGCTGCGAGTCGAACGGTCTCTTTGATATCATCCAAAACTCGGAATGCCCTTGTAAGGATTTCATCCACATATTTGGCGTATGTCTCCGGTTGGCGGCCCTGTATCAAGTCTGCGATGGCAGTGCAGCTAGCCTGCCGGACCCTCCATTCTCGTCCTGTCATCATGCTTTTCAATAAGTCATCCATAATCTCGTCAAAATGGGCAGCGATAACCACCGTGGAGTCCTTAACAAGCGCATTCCAGATTGTATTCATGGAACGCTGTACGCTTGGGTTCGGATCGAATCGATAACGGTATAGTTTGGGATAGATCTTAGGATTCTTTGCCAGGTAGCCATTCACGCTAGAGTCAGAGAGAATGTTGCTGATCCCGAATCTTCCAAAGGCTGCACGGTTCGTCCAGATGGCATTGTTGGATGCTAACGACATGAACCTGTACACCAGCGTCGGATCCCCAGCCTCGGCAGCGAGGTTCATTATGTCCTTGTAAGTGTTAACTGATGACCCTTCCCCGGTAGGTAAAGAACCCCGGTCAAAAAGCTCTGTTTCGGCGTTGACCCTGCCTCCCCCGAGGCCAGGACTGCTTGCTGTGAAAGAATTAACCAAGTCCCGCACCAAATCATCTTTGAGTTCCTGATCCCCCATGTCGTAGACAAGCCCGAGTCCCTGGGCTCCGGATTCTTGCACCACTTCATCTCGGTCTCCAAGAAGTCCTGCGAACGTAGCTTGACATTCATGCAGATGTGCCTGCATTTCTTGCATGTGACCACAATTCTTTACCAGAGACAGTAACCATATTGCAGAAGCCTTTCTGAGCGATGGCTTCGACTCGCCACAACCAGATATGACCTTCTCGCACATTTCTGCAAGCACTGCGCTAGGGATGTTTGACATAGGGAAGTCTTCATCCACATCAAATTCCTGGATCAGTGACTTCGAACTCCACCCGATAGCGGCTGTGCTCAATGCCTCACCAACTGAAAACTGAACTTCTGGGCTGCGGATCTCATGTAACTTGTAAATGGAACGTAATACCTCGTTAAATTGTAGCCCGTCGCTGTCACTCTTAGGATAAATTAGGGAAACGAGCCCCAATGTCTTGATAGATATTTCACTTTCTGACTTTGCTTCCTTCACGAGTTTTTCTTTGACCTCTTTCCACTTAGATTCAGGCAACATCGCAGGCGACAAGATACCGAACAGACTGAATTGACTGACCGCCACCTCCGCGCTTCGCCGGAGAAAAGAGTCGCGAACCCTAAGGAGTATAGAAAAGACATTGTCGACAAATTGCTTTCTCTGTACCTCTGATACCTTGTACAGTAAGTTCCGAGCAGCAAGTCTGCTTAGCAGATATGACATTGCAAGGATTGCGCCTCGGACCTTGAATGTGGTCTCGCCAACGGCGACTTCCCACTCCGTACAGCAACAGATCAGATCCGTCACAATCTCCCTCAAGTCATCTCCAGAGAATGATGGATGAGATGCCAAAATTCCAAAGGCCCTTGCTGCCATATTTTGTGTCTCTGGGTCGCTGCAATATATAGGATCCCTCAAAAAAAGCGACCGTGAAGACAATGCCCCAACAATGTCGTTAGAAGCCAGAGAACAAATCTCAACAAAATGAATACCACATTGCCGTGAGCTTTCTCTTTCGCCCCTGACAAGTCCGTCGAATGCGCGATTGAGAAATACCAACAGTGGCTCTTTATCGGATTTCTTGATATATTGTTTTAACGACGCTCGGGCTGCCTCATTCGAGGAAAGAAGCGAGTCAAGCTTACAGCCCCAATCCTGTTCCATTTCAACAGAGACTGCGAAAGAGCTTGAAAATGCCTCCCAAAGAAGGATATTGCGAACAAAGGAAATAGCAGGGGCGAATGCCTTTCGATAGGGCCCCGATAGTTGTCGCGAAACAGTTGAGCCCTGCGAGCTTGGAGCAGAGTCGGATGAGCCAAGAAGAAATCGTGTAGTCTCTGAAAATCCTGGGAGGGTGAACCAAGAATCATCTGCAGATGGTGAATGGGTCAATTTCCGGTCCTTGCTTGGATTGAGTAATCGATACCAGTAAGGATGAAGGCCTTTCCTCCCTTCCTCGACGACCTCTTGTTGTCTTTCTGTGTCACAGGATACGGCCATAAGACCGACCCAACGTGCCACAATATCGCTATAGGGAAGAAATCGATTAGCGAATCGTACAGCGGCGTAATGACAACTTCGGATGATCCTGAACCCCGTCGTCGGATCGTCTTCTCCAGGTCTGTTGCTCATCTTCTCAACTAGAAATGGACGTAGTTGCTCCCGAAAATGGGAGCTTCCACTATCTAGAGAGGAATTGAGGATGCTTCCTAAAGCCTGCTCAATGCTGACAGAGATCTGACTACTTGAATCGTCCGAGCTCAGCGACGTAAACAGCCATCTGATCAATTCGAATTCGAAGTTTTCCTCATGATAAGCCTGCAAACTGAAGTCGATTTTAGGTACCAGGATACCCATGCTTTCGTAGGCAAGGCCCCGTAAACTCAGATCTGTTGAGGGCAACTTCTGTCCGCTCGCCGCTGGACTTGGCCACCCCTGAGACTGGATAAAATCCCTCAAGCCCGCTATGATCTTCGGTGATATGCTCTTCAAATCAGTTGGAGAGCCCATACGCACAACCCACGTTGTGAACGTGAAGATTTGGGTTCTTAGTTTGACGGCCTGTAATCCTTGAGAAGATCTGGCAGAGTCCGATAGGAGTCCATCCTCAATTAACTTGACTATCTTTTGCGTATCGGTGGTCGCTTGAACTGACTTCCCCAGAAGAAGTAAAAGTCTGACCTGCAGCGAGGGCCGTGCCGGGGGGGTCCCGTCTGCCTCTTTGCCAAAATAAAGGTTATACAAGGATTGTACAACATCAGGATTTTCGAGGTCAGGAGTAAACCGTTTTAAGATTTCTTCACCAATGTCAGAAATGCGAGAGTTTACATCGGCAGATGCGATTACAGCAGGCAAGAACCGCTCGAAATCTTCAAAAACGCCGCTGGCCAAAAACCTTAATGCCGTAGCCTTAGTCTCAGTGAGGTTTAAGCCGCCCTCAGCAGCGGGGTTCCATGTTTGGCTTAAAGGTGCATTCTTGTTGAGAAATTTATATTCTGCAGGAGATAAACCGGGGCAAGTCGCCGAATCTTCGCCAGCAGGAGAGAGTAGAAGAAGCTTCCCGAACCATTCAGACAGAAAGTGAGTGTCCTGGTCGGAAAGACCAAGATGATGCTTCAACTGCTTGTCATCCTCCGAACCCTTCTGAGGTAACTTCAACAGGGGCAGCAGCCGTAGGACAAGATTGAAGATGATGGCACTTTCGGTCGTAGAGCTTTCGATCTCGAAGACTCCTTGAAGCAAAGGAATCAAGACCTCGACCCTTGCCGCAGAATCGAGTCGGTCAACACCCAGTTGAATATATCGCAAATCAAAATGCCTAAGAAGCTGAGACTTTTGCTCCTTAAATTGCTTCAGCAAGGCGGCAACGGGAAGTCGAATAGATGGCGATTTGAGCCTTGTGTTGATATGCTGACAAACTGCAATGACCTTGTTGCGCACAGCAAGACTCTCAGAGCAAAGCTTCAACAGCAGAGGAGCCAGGTATGTCTGCAGAAGAGCTTGGAGTTTCTCATCCGAATCAGCGAGAGCAATTCTAAGTTCCACCTTAGAGATTAAGCTCAGCTCACGAGCCTCGAAGCTGGCTGACGTGGAATCTGAGGACATGGCGAGAACAGAACGAGATGTCCCACTGCACACATCAATAGCAAGATATGTATTTGTCTTTCTTCTGCTTCCCCCCCCAGACAGAGACAGCGGCCATCCGTGCTGCCTGGGCTGGAAGCAGAAGCGTCGGAGTGTCAAACGGGCATAGTCTGATTAGTCAGCCTATTCCCCAACCACTAACGTAATCCACAAGCGAGCCGCGCACACAAGCAAGTCGCGCACCTCCCGCATTTTGGCCATGGTCTTAGATACTCATGCAATTCAATCACCAGCTATGCCACCAAAACTGGGTCAAAACTCAAGGAATTCAACTGAGCAGGAGGGAAAGATCTTATTAGCTATTTCAGCTATTAAAAATCAGCAAGTCAAGTCTGTATGACAAGCAGCATATCATTATCAAGTACCTGAATCCACCCTACATGATAGGCTCTGTAGAGTCTCTTTTCACACTGAAAAACATGCAAATGGTCATAAATTGATTCAAAATGAAGAGGAATCACTTATACAATAAATCTTCTCTTTAGACCAACGTGGAGCAGTGTAAGGCACCTAAGTTAGCAGGCCTAAGGCTGCTAACTTAGTCACAGTGTACCTAGAGTATTTAGCAAGGGCTCGCACCGCTGAGTGCGAACCTCAGCGATTAGATCTACAAATAGAGACACCCTACATTCCATCAATTATCTTCACGTACCAACCGGTCCGCCCGTATCTGCTATCTCAGCACGCTGTCGCACACCACCCGCTTACAACATACAGGATGGTTACACGACAGCCAACGGATAAAAGTGATTCCTGCAGGATAAGCTTCACTATATGTGTTGGATCACGTGGGATTCTGCCGCATAGGTCCGCCCTCGCTGACCCTTTTCACCACGGAGGCCTATCTAGCTAGTAACCAACCAACGATACACCTCCATTAATATGCACCAGGAGTCACGTGATCAGTATACCAAGGGAAGGACCATCAAGATGGTATACAGGATGGTATACAGAGTGGTATACCGACAGGGTATTATAAAAGGATCGAACATTACCATGTATCTAGTCATTCCTTACCTCGCGTTCAATCAAGCTAAGTTACTTGGATACACCTCTCGCTACTATACTCAATTCGTACTATTCAACTATAAGGGACACGTCTCTTATAGGCCTGGCCTCCATAATCCTACTTGGGATACACGTTACGAACCCCAGTGAACCCAGAAGGACTGGTGAGTCCTAGTCAACCGAAGCCACTAACGTGTGTGTCAGGATAGGACGGACCCCGGGCGTAACAATTATCTTCAAGGGGAAGGTTTATATAGAGGGATGGTATCAAGATGATGCCTTACCATATGATTGGAGGATTGAAGTTGTAAAGGAGGGCGTACGTGCGTTGTTCCCTGCGACAGGAACCGGGTTGTGATCGAGGGATCTCAGGAATGGACACACTGAACAATCTAGCAAAACGATATAACGATAAAAGGAAACACAACGACGAAGGAGCCTCGCTCCGCTCTATACGACGATAACGATACTAGTGAAGCAACCTAGAAACCAAAAAGAATGCTCAATTTCTCGTAACTATCTGGGAGGGAACCCTCCATTAAGTACTTGCCGGCCGCGGGCTCCACCATACATTAGTATGTCGGAGACCGCGGTTCTACGGTGTTCCAAGATAGGAAATATGGGAGATCCGGGGTTTCGCAGTGCCCCCGGCACAAAGTCAGTGAGAATAGATAGACTATTAATGAAATAGGCCTTTGCTGACTTCAAAAAGTCTTTATTCTAGCAACTGAGGCTTGTACAACTGGAAGATATCATCTACTCATCCTTGATACCTATGGAAGCCATCTAACTCCTAAGTTTAATAAGATATGCAGCTGAAACAACATTATACAAATCTGCATGCCTCCACATTTATCACATCTTTTACAGCCTTTGGATGTTGGCTGTTTCTCCCCTCTAAAATGGGCATATAAGGGGTTGGTTGAGAATAAGGTGCGGCCTAGCTTCAACTATATCGACAAATTTGATTTCCTTAAGGCTTATCCCCATACTTGTACAAGTATTTTTAAGCTAGAAACAATTCAGAATGGCTTTACAGCAACTGGCTTAATCCCATTTAATCTAGAAAGGGTGCTTTCACAACTTAATATACAACTTAAGACACCCACACCACCAGGCAGCTGATCAACCAATTCAGCACCAAAAACAGCATATAATCTTAAGCAACTGGAAAAGCAAGCAACCACAATCAAGGAGCTTCTAAGGCATCATACTAAGAGCCTCCCAAGTCCAACACATACCGCGTTAAATCAGCTTGTTAAGGGGTGTGAGATGGCCATGAATAGTGTCAAGGTGCAGGCTCGGGTAACAGGTATTGATTGGATTGGACACGCAAGCAGGCTACGGGTCAGGCTATGTACAGGTAGATAGACAAGACGTAGCTCGAAGAGCTACAAACAGAATCCGAACAGGAGTTAGAGATGTCTTTCTTGTGGGTCACGTGGTTGGTCAGTACAGGCGGAACAGTAATCCATGATTGGTTGAAATGCCGGGGGCGTGGCCCCCGGACATTTCTCAAGAGGTCATCCTCCAATGATCGAGCCATACAGCCTAAGCACCATGGCATCCAGGCCGCGATTCCACCATACCACTGGTATGGTGGCCCAGCACCATGACAAATAGTGCTATTATTCTTGCCAAAGAGAATCAGGATTTGTGGGCTGTACATAAGAAGCAGCTTCAAAAAAGAAAGTGATATAGGAGGCAGATGGCTACTATAGAGGGTCTATCTATTGGGGAAGGTCAGCAGCTTCTGCAGCATGAGAATGAGGTCCAAGAAGCTCAAATTGCTCAATCTACCGAGCCAGCACCAGCTACAGTTAAGCAGCGTATACAGGCACCACCATGGTGTAGTGATTGCCATATTATTAGGACATAGGCGATTGCAATGTCCTAATCGCTCTAGTATATAAATATATGTGCCTTTGGGGGGACACTGTCCCCTATCCTTCAAGATCATGGTCTAGGGTGCGCGGCTCGCTTGTGGATTACGTTAGTTTAATTTAAGTAAGCAGAAAAAAGATCTTTGGAGAGGGCAGTAATAATGGCACACTACTGCAACCTTCTATCACCGAAAAGAAAGCTAGAAACGTGTCCCTCCGTCTATCTATGTACAAGGAACAGAGTTTCCGTAGCACCTGATACTTAAGCTAAAGGGTATATCATACATATACACAACATATCATGGCGAACTCGCGGCTCTCCTTTCCTCGGCAGCTTCGCCTCTCAGAAACCTTCCAATCTCCTGTTGAGCTTCGAGTTTCTGTTCCTTCTTTGATCTTCTGCTTGCATTTCCGAAAAGACACTCCCATAGATCGTCCTTCTGGACCAGCTCTCCTCCAGATGCACCACCGGCCATCAACTTGGTGAGAGCGGCGTCTTGCATTTCTCTAGAGTTCGCTGAGTCGATGGCTGTCTCAGTGAGACTTTCAGCTATAACATCGCCTTTTGTCCGTGATTTCGAATTTGAAGTACGGCTATCCAAATCCTCTACTTCCTTGACGATATGAGCTAGACGGCGGGAGACGGAAAGATCGTAGATCGATTCTTCGACCGTATCGGTAACAAGGTACATCCAAACCGTAGTCGGACGTTGCTGGCCAATTCGATGCACCCGAGCAATAGCCTGAAGTTCGATCGCGGTATTGACGAGCGGCTCACATAGAAAGACATGAGTCGCGTTGACCAGGTTCAGGCCCGATGAATGAGCCTTTGCGTGTAAGAGAAAGCACTCGATCTATTTCGAAACGGTCAGTAACAGGCCCATAAACTTTGAGGGTCGAAACCGGCATACCGCAGGGTCACTTCTGAACCTCTCGATACCATCTTTATTATCAATGCTAGTATACCCTATCTTAAAGCGAGAGAAGGCGCTTTCCAGAACCCCCAAAAAGTTTTTAAATTGGGAGAAAACAATTGACTTTGCACCAGGGTCATGTTGGCGCAGCCAGAGAATGTGGCGCGACAGGGTGTCGATCTTCGTACCGAAAGAACCGTCAAGGTCAATAGTCTTTATCTCACTCAAGTCGCCTGAACTAATATCCTTATATATAGAGTTCTTTGAATGGCGTCCAGGCTTAGATTTAGAAGCCGCCCTGTCCGACGGCTTCTCCTCTTGCACAACAAGGTCTTGCGGCCTGTACGTGATTTGATGAAGCCCACTGGTCTTTAGATGCGTTTTGCAGCTCGGGCAATTCCGATGCTGGCGCCACCATAGGAGTAGACAATCCCTGCAGTATTTGTGGCCACACACAGTCAAGACGCCTGTGAACCGCGTTAGAAGAGCCTGTACACTCCTACAAGAGAACTGGAGAGCAACTGACCAATTTCGAAGCTCGACTGGCAGATTATGCAGATCCTCGATCCATCGTCCGATTCAGGTTCATCCCTAAGATGGATCAAATAACGGCGCTTCGCTTTCAAACCATAGACTTTCTTCTCTATATGGGCTTCGTCCTGTAGCATTTTTGTGAACAATTGTTCATCGAGGGGTTGCCCGACACTTTCTTCATCATAGGGAGCGACAGTGTCTGAAATCTGCTGCAATTGGCGATAGTACTCAAGACGGTTGTTCATCGTGTCCCGAAACATCTCAATTTCTCTTTCGAGATTCACCAAAGTCTTGCTTCGTTCAGTGGCCATATGGCTTGCATTACTGAGCACCGCATTAATATTCTCAAGTTCGGCACGCGCTCGGGAACTCCCTCCACTTTCTTGCCACTCGAGTGAGGTTGCAAGGCTGCGAAGCTCACCAATTATGCCACGGAGAGGGCCGATTTCAGGGCCAGGTATGAGCTCTCTGCGTGTCCCCATTATCTCAAGGAAAAGTTTTGGAGAAGGCCCCTCGCCTTTTTTGGCCAACGCAATCCCCGTTTTGACTTCGTGATCAATGAGATTATTTCTCTGACCGGTAACCGCATGGGTCAGATCAGCGACCATAGCACGAAGTGCTTCCATATAGACGTACATCTCATCCTGGTGTTTTGTTGACTTTTCATACTCATCTCCCTGGAGCTCCTCGTCTTCTTCTTGGTCCACGAGCGGCTGTAAGAGCAACTTAATCATGATATCACGCCACTCCTGGTACTGGGAGGTAGCAGAGTTCATGGCTGCACAAAAGTCTTCGAACCTGTCCAGCAAAAGCCGGCCCTCAACGCCTTTAGCATAGACGCTAGGCTTCATTGTAGGCATGTTCACAACCATGTTCCTTTTTACCCTATCCTTGATCATTCTCATATGCCGGCCTACCTTCCCGGAAACGTCGGCTAGAATCTCTTTTCGGATAAGCTTTGCGGCTTCATAGGCTTCCACTTCGCGCTTTTCAAGATCCCGAAATTCTGGGGAATCGGGAGCAGTCAGTTTAGGATCAGTCTTGATCTGATAATACGCATTGCCAATGAAAAATGTGCAGATGTGCTGAACTTCAAGAGCAGCCCGGAGCCTATTACGGGAGGTCCCTATGCGGGTATTCTTTTCAATTTCGTCATCATCAACCGGAGTGTCGCCAGTCACCATATCGCCATCAGTTCCAGCAGCGCCTGTTCGGCATCTGTCAAGCTCGGACTGCAGTTGGTCTCTACAGTCTTTCACTATTTCACTCGCACGCTGCAACGCTGCTGTCCAAAGGTCGAGGGCCTCCTTGCGGCGCATAGCATTTTCCAACAACTGCCCACGGCGAAGCTGATACAGTAGAAGAGCGCGCTCTTCCGAGCGTATCTGTGTGTCGTTTTGATCAAGCATTACCTCAAGGACTTCAGCAGCAGAACGAAGCGGATTCTTTTTTGCGCCCAAAATCCGGTCCTTACCTGCCACCATCTCTGGATGAAGACATGTCTGACGGAGTCGCATCAGCCAGCTTCGCATTTTCTCAACAATAGCCGCATCACTGGGGTCCCAGCTATCTTTAAGCGGCGATCCAGTGGCATCAAGGCCACAGTCTTCGCACATTTCATCGTACAGCTGTTGATAATGTTGTTCCTCAACCGCGCTGAAAGGTACGGTTATGACAACTCGTTTCTGAGGTGGTAAGTGGAGCTGGCCACGGATGTTGTCTTTGCTGTGTCTAAGGGCTATTTGATTGATAATATCCGCAAATACTGGCTTGAAATACTGGTGTAACCTATTCCAAATGCCAGATGAATCACAGATCGGCGTATAATTAAGAAAAACAAAGAGGCCGAAAAGGTCACTTATATTGCTTCGAAGCGGAGTCCCTGTCACAGCCCAGGCATTCTGTCGAGGAATCATAAGAGCAACTTTTGCGGCATTGCTGACTCCGCTCTCGACCATCTGAGCTTCATCAAGACAGACGCGCCACCAAAGTATTTGAACAAGGGGCGTCTTCTTTTGTTCAAATTTTTTCTCATGACGTAGATTCCGCTTCGGAGGGTCCACAGAAAAATAAACCTCTCGTGAGAGAACATCATAGGAAGTAAGAACGATATCATGGTCAGAGATCACATCAACTAACTCTTCGTTCGTTAAATCTGGACGATCCCGGAAGCCCGTGTAATGAAAGACACGGAGGCCAGTTGCGTGCCGCTTAATTTCCTGCTTCCATTGCTCCAAAATTGCTGGAGGAGTTATAATTAAGGTTGCCCCTGATTCCCTCAGATCATTAGATGAGACACGCCAGTTTTCCTCCTTTTTCGCTCGCCCTCCTTCTTTTAACCGGTTCAGGCAGATCAAACTAATTATTTCGACAGTTTTTCCAAGTCCCATCTCCTCCGCAAGGATGCCGCCCTTCACGTAATTGGCGGCATCGTTCCAGCCAGAAAGGTCGGTGGTCATGATCGAGTAAAGCTGGCTCGAAAAGCAAGTCCGCCCATTTAAATCTTTTATTTCCACAAAGGAGGCCGGCAGATGATTGCTTTCTGTTTTTTCAATAGGAACAACTCGCCCGTCTGGTTTAAGTTCCATGCCTTCCCTTTGCAGAAGCCATCGTACCGCTCTTCTCTGAAAAGGAAGAAGCTTGGCTCGGATCTGGTTACATTTTATTTCTGACGAAGAAGCAGATGTATCTTCTGGGACGTGCACATTGTCATAAAACTCACGAGGTGACCACTCAACAGGTCGTAGCTTTGGTGCACCACGCGGAAAAAAGTCCAGCTGGGCGTTTGGACGGCCCTGTTCTACAAACTTGTAGTGGGCGAGTCCAATACGGGAAGTTATTTGACTTGGAATCTCAAGCGAATCTTTCCATAGTATTGTCGTTTCTAGGCGGAATGACTTTCTATCGGGTAAGCAATGCAAAGTCGATTGATAACATACAGCCGGTGGAGAATTTGAGCTGTAATTATCGATAGAAACAAGCCAGTCGTGTACATAGAGACGTTTCATAAAATCAATGGTTCTTGGCTCAGAAAATTCGCGTCTAAAAAGAATAGACTTTTCTGGTATCTCCTGCAGCGTTAACGTGAAGGGGACACGTTCATCACTCATTCCAAGGTTTCCGTGGGCGTTTATCGAAGTCAGAATAGGTATATGATGAGGTAGATCAATATATCTGGAAACTGAACCAGGATTTGCAAAATTCTAGTAGAAGGGCAAAAAATCAGTTGTTTGCCCTATAACTATGGCAATTGGCATAGTTTGTTACTAACCAGGCCTAGAGTAAAATGCGCCAAAGGAATATAGCCACCTGGTATGCGTTCACCAGATGCAGTATTTTCCTGTCTGACGGTTACATGCGTCTTGGACAATTTGCGACGCTTATTCGGACATTGTTTTACCTCCTGTTCCTCGTTCCATTTCTCAAGGAGGCTGGACAATGGATAGGGAACAGGGCCTGGATCGCAGAAATAGATAGTCAGCATTCGATTTCAAAGATAAGAGATATTAGAACCAGTAAATACTAACCCGGTAAAGAAACTTCTGCCGTCACAATACTCATCCTGAACCTGCGATGCCTTGCGACGACGCTCTGGAGAGAAGATGAGGGAGACGTGAGACTGTTCGTTATCGATAACTATCTGACAGGTGGCACGGACGCAGTTTGCCTCTTCTTGGCAAAAGCTTTCTTGGGCTAATCCATAAGAAGTAAGTGGATCACGTTATAGATGCACCATAGTGGGTTCTGCCATCTCAAACCGCCCTCGTCTAGTTCGCCCACATTAGTTAGATAGTTCTCCCCTAGCTAGCATTCCAATAGAGAAGGATATACTCCAACACCTTACAGACTCACAGAGTACTGTAAATACGATCAAACGAAATCCATATTAAACTGCATCAATGTTTAAAATAAACGAGACTAGAATTGCCGTGGCTTCCGTGGAAAGAGGTTGGTAATTGCAACCCCAACAACCAGTGCTGTTAAACTGGCTTAGCCTAACAATAGTTCACTTGGCCCTCTTCCCAAGATACTTCTAATACTATCTCTGCCTGGTCCTTGAGACACAACCCTGGGGGTATATCCCTGAGGTAAACCATTGATCTCGATGACGCTGCCATTGGCCGCCCTGACGTGTCTGTGGTAACGTTCTCCGTTCGCGAAGCTCTCAAAGTCATCGATAGTGTCACTATAAGTTCCGGTAGTTTGTTGAAATGCTTCCCCAGATTGCGTTGTATACAGCCATGACGGCCTTGAAGCTAATGTATATGTGGAGATTCCCGGAAGCCCAAAGGCCGAGAAGTGAAGACCTCTCTGCATCGTAGCATGAATAGTAGTAGTACCACCGACGGTCCTATATGTCGTATTAACACGCAAGGGATAGTGGAAAGAGACTTTACTCTGTTCCCCATTGGCCCCGTGTTGCGCCAAATTCTCCCCAGTTGTTATCTGTGTATTTACTTGGCTGATACCTTCCTCCCATAACAGGCCAACATTGGAGTATGTGAGATTCTGACTCCATGAGAAACCAGAAGATGATATCTTGAGTATTCTTTGGGCAGTGACTGAGTATGAGAGCGATTCATTTACTCCTGCCTCGTTTTGGATGAGATCCCGTGTAACCTCAAATCGCGGTGCTGGTGCATCTACTGTGATGGCTTGGCTAGGGTGATTCGGCGCAGAGTCCTTGTCCAGGTAGAGAAAAACAGTCCCAGTGACGACCCAGTATGAACCCACTGAATCTGACAGAGTAGCAGTCCCGTCGCTTGAGACGTTCAGACCAACGGCCCTTATTTCAAACAAATGCTCTTGTCCGTCGGTGAGCACAGGGAGAAACGGCGAAATATCAATCTCTGGCTGCCTAAGATCGAATGCATCAATGCCTACAATGGGCCGCCAAAAGCCAGGAGCAACCCCTCCGGTAAAAATTATGGGAAATGGCCAAACAACGCCTGCGATAGTTCCGTCTATGTAGAGCTGTACTTCACGGAACGGGGAGTAGCCATACAGCGGACCAACTGTGCTGCGAAATGTATTTGTGTCAGACGATAAGACATTCGACCACCAAAATTCTTCTTCCGATTGTCCACATGCAGAAATAGACACAACAGCCCGCGAAGCAGCAGCGGGGATCTTGTATCTAACAGCAGCTTTATCAGACGGTAACGAAAAAGCGCTCGAAGAATTGGATGCGGACTTCCTTGCAGATATTGGCAGGATGACATTTGGGGTTTGAACATTGTTCTCGTATGAGAAGTGTGCCTTCAGAATAACGGAGAAGGATCCGGTGTAGATATCGTTCACAAGGTTACCAAGGTCGAATATGAGCTTCTGCGGTTGCTTCCAAAGCGAAATGTACTGCGATACCTCCTTGACGTATGTCCACAGTATCCCACTAGCAGTAGGTTCAGCAGTAGATGTTCGGAATACTTCAGTATCTCCCAGAAACATCAAGCCCAATCGATCAAACTGGCGACCTTTCGAGGTGACGGTCAATTTGATTCGCACTGTATCAAAATCACACTCAGGAGGCTCATAGATCCCTGGAAAAGATGACCAAATTAGCTTGGAGGCCACCAAATTGCAGGCTTCGCTTTACTTGCCTACAAAAGGTTGACCATAGCTATAGGCAAACTCATGTTCCATAAGAAGAAGAGTTATATTGCAGCGAGCACCATCTTCTGCAAATGGAATAGGCTGATACACCTGGAAGACATCGAGGACTCCAGTTGAATTAGAGGCTAGGTGGTTTTGTTTAGAAATATCCAATGGTGAGCTAAAAGATGATACAGCTTGAGAGAATACAATCAAGAGAATGCAGCAGTAAGCTGCAAATAAGAATATCATGGTGTTTTCTGGTTTGTGTGTGTGTGTGTGCCCCTGGGCAGATAGATACCTGGGAACTATCGAATATGATGTTATGATAATCCCTGGAGAAGATAATGCGTTAACAAGGCATCCTCAGCTGGGCTCTGATAAGCTGAAGTAGCTGCATAGGAGGCGCCTGAAAATGCAACAGTAGTTTCGATCAAAATAGTTCATTTCTATAATAACTTGATACAACCCTAAAACTGTACCCACAAAGTGCCTAAGCACCTCATGAATATTGTACATATCATATTAGCCTGGGCTCACTTTTGTCTTGTTCACTGCTCATTAGTTCACAGTCTATTCTTTTTTTTAAAACACTTTTCAAGATGCCTCTTAAACTTCAAGCCAGAGAGGGTTGTACCCCTGACTAATGCAGATTATAATATCAGTGTATCATCTACTGCAAATCATACATTGTAGAACATCTAATACAATTATACAAGAATAAGGGGTCAGATATAGAGATAGCTTACGTGGCCGTCCGCTATCGCCATTCGCGGATTCGCAATCCAATAGACGTCGATCAAAATTAATTCAAATGCCTCACCAGAAACTGATGGCAATGTGCATTGTATCCAACATGGGCATTGGAAATGCCTCAAGACCCAAGGCCCTGAAGGTGTCCCAGGGAAGACCCCCAGACAAGTGGACTGCTCGAGGAACAAATTGAATCGTAAGAGCCCTCGCTGGTGTATCTGTTTAGGGCAATTACGATACCAGAGCACGTCAGAGTAAGTAGCTCGAAAGTATTAACCGCATAATCCTTTATCTCAAGCGTAGGATATTCCGTGTCCGGTTTAAATTTGCAATTCTCACATAAACAACCTCCAAGCACCGAGGATGAGAGCTGCAGTACCGGTACAAACACCCCTGGTGAAAGAGTTAGTTAAGGAGTAGAGGAGAGCGGAAAGGAAAGGTATTCACGTACATGAGCCATTGTAAAGTAGAGAATTTGACGGCTTCCACACGCTCCCTCAATCCTGCAACTTCCTGTTCAATCCTAGTTTCTGTCTCCTTGATACGCATTTCCTGGCTATTTGCCTCCTCACGGATTCGGCCTTTTTCCAAGTTCAAATCCAAGCGAACAGAGGCTTGTGTGCGCCCAATCTCATCACGAAGGCGTGAATTAAGTTTCGCAAGGTCAGCGGCGATCTTTTCGTGGGAAGAGCGTGTTAACTGAGCTTCAGTCGAATCCGAGTTAAGAAGCTCCGAACGAAGTTTCGCAAAGTCAACTTTCTGAGTATATGTAGATCTTTCTGCATCTGTAGGGAGAAAAATGATGACCCGTAAGTTAAGACTTTCCTGCAATAAAAATAGAAAGAGAAAAAGGTGGAAGCGTTCTTTGGAATTATATCATACACAAATGAGCGACTAGGAGCGGCTAACCTTCCTTCAGGACCATCGTCCTCGTCAGGTTCTGGATCGACTCTTGAATAACATCATTTAGGATTCTCATCATGGCGACAGCCTGCTCCTCGCTGAAGCCCTCACGCTTCAGACGTTCAACAAATTTCAAGGTATCAAAGTGGTGATCGCGACATCGCACAACTGAGGCATGAAATGCACGCTGAGAGGATTTGAAGGCCACAGTGCACACACCATTGCGTCGAATCGGACTGTTTAGAGGATCGATAGACGAACGGGTAATGGGAGTTGCGGATTCGGAGACACGCCGAGCGAGGGGGGTTGCAATACTTGCTTCTCGAACTGTCGAAAAAAGAGGTGTGGCGAAACGGTGTGAGAAGGGTAAGGTACTCAGTAACCTCGTCGAAGTGGAATGCCACGGCTTTCCTGAGGACCGACTGTTCTGTGGTAGAGAAATGGTGGCTCTGGGAGTGGTCAAACGAGCCATGACGGCATGCGGCACCTCAGCGTTATACAGTGGCACCATTGTTATCGTTCATAACAACAGTCACAAACAATGCATTTGCAGTCTGCAGGCTTGATACTGAAAATCTGAATTGGCCAAACAGATATGGATCGTTAGGATAGTCAACCGGGATGATTGAAACTGGATGACTAAAGACCTGTTCAGCCCCAGATCACGGGATCTGTATAGTTCGGTCAAACTTCTTGGGAAGTAATGATATAGATGCGAGAAACACCCCTGTTGTGCCTAAAAGTAAATTTACCAGACAATCAGACCAAATATGAGATAGAGAACTAATTAATGGTGGCAGAGGATTCTTCTGTCTCGCTTTTCTACAATCTGCCTGCCCTTTTTACACGGTAACTAACATCCAACAGAAATACCCTTAAGATCAGGGATATCCCCTGACCACACAAAAGGTCAATCATGAAAAGCAGCGATGAGAGTGGGAAAACAACTCTATCAGATGCTATGGATACAGCTATACTTTTCTATGACAAGCTCAAGTTGGAGGCAGCTGAGACCCCCCGTCGTGGCCTCTCTTCGAAATGGGTCGGATCAACAACATCCAGCTTTGCTAAACGCATGAATGAAACTTGCGGAAACGCGTCATCAGCACTCAAGGTCATAGGTCGAGTCTCATGTGGCACGGTTTATGAGCTTCCAGGTACAGATCGAGCCCTTAAACTTGGTTCTCCAGCTCACAATGATGTTTGGAGAGATTTCCTTGCTATAAACACAGCATACGCTGCTTTTTTTGTATCCGAGTTTTCATTCAAGCTTGTTCGAGATTTCTTTTAAAAACGATGTCTCTATCCCAAGGGTACCTCGTAGGTTTTGAATTCCATACAGATAAAGACGCGACTTTCTGGAGCAACTTGACCAATAGACTCCCAATTGACAAGAGAGCATCACGGGGTGGTTTAATCATGGAAAGGATTCACCCACTTCTGGAAGAAATATAATGAGCCTTGATTAATCAATTCTTCCATCCACGAAAGCGAGCTGCGGCCCTAAAGACCATAAACCAGGAAAACTCAGCTTGTCTCATCCGCTTGTATTTCGGGAAAAATGCTCCTATTGATGCGGAATATGAGTCACTCTAGAATTTCAAGCTCCACCTTGATCAGATAGACCAGCTTAATCTCGAGATCAGCCGTCTTGTTAGGAAGGTCTCCATCGGCCTGTCCTTGGTACACTGGCAAGCGTGTCTTGATGAACGGGATATTGAGTTTGTTTTGGGAACATCTGCTGAGCATCCGACATTTCCACCCGCATTTTTAACATTGACGAACCCTCCGAACCATATGGTGTTGTAGGTATTGATTTCAAACGACGGTCCACGTACATTTAGATACTCGACTTTGACAAGATACGAAGTTTCAATTTGGAGGATACGAACTCGGATATATTGGCAAAGCTCGTCCCCGCGGTTCACGGAAATGACCCATATTATCCAAACCCTATAATCAACAAGGAGCTGTGGGATCTGTTCGCGGATACCTACATAAAGACAAGCATGTTTATCCTGAAAAACAGAGATATGGATGGCACAGCGAGTTATGTAGATGGTTCAACTGCCTACCTATTTCGAACAAGGTTCTATTATTGCGTAATATTATATTTCCCACTGTTTCTATCCATGGAGCATAGCCATTTTGAAATATCCCATCAACATTTTTTATTCCTTGCTCCAGAGCATTGTTTCCGCCGGATGAAACGCCAAGTAGGACATACGACGATAGAAGACAATTTCTATAGATCAAACAGCTCTTTTAACTTCTTCATGGTATCCTCAGGACCCGACACAGAATGTCCTACAGTTCGCGAGTCGGAAAATATCTCGAAATCATTACCTCCAGGGTAACATTTATCTCCAAAGAAATGAATCGTTTTGTACTCAGTGCCAGAGATGTGCTTCTCGGCCTCGACATGACGCAGGCAATAGGTTTTATCCCAGCCTGTTGGAAAAACATCGAAGGAAATTTTACCGCCGATGGAGAATCTAATTGGGAAGAATGGGTGGTTAGACAGTGCATTTCCATGCAAATGGATGGCCATATTGAATTTATCATGGTATCAGGGACTTACGTGAGGCCATAGTCAGGGAATTCTTTCTTCAGTGCCTCTACCATATCCTCCCTGATGTGGTGAATCTTGTCATACCTGTAGATGATTGTCAGTCCAGTCCATCAGTCCTGATAGCAGTCCAGCCCTGCAGGGGGCAAGGATAGCTGCATATGCATATACGAGCCCACTTTCGTGCTGGTAAGAAGACATAAAAACATACTCTTCAAACTCGTTTCTCTCTTGCATGCTTGCATTCCTCCCAATGGGGCTGACATTAACCATCCCATTACGGAATTCAACGAAAGTACCACGCTTCTTCGGCAGCTTCACATTCGCAATGTACTTAAGGCAGAAGTCCACCAGGTTCTGATATTTCTCCTCTCCGAGCCATTGGATAAAGCTAGTAGTGGCAAGAGGCTTTCCCAAGCGGTATGCGATCAAACCATTTTCAGCAAAGCAGAAGTCAAAGAGGGTCGTAACCGGAATCGAAGACGTGCCGAGTTGTTCTTGTTGTTTACTAAAATCGGAGCCACCGACCTGCGACGCATTAGAATTGGAAGCACTGGCCAACGGAAGAAAATGACAGACATAACCAATTGCGCATTTATGCCTCAATTTCGAGAGAAGCTCAAGCATTTCAGGGGAGGCACTCTACGCTCACAGAATTGGATATCGGTTAGCAACAAGTTCCGGCAATTCGCAAAGGATGGAAAATTGAGAGCCGCGAGTGGGTCTAAACATACACTTCTTGCAGGAGTCAGGGTCTCGTCGACGTCAAAAAGGCAAATGGTGCCCTTTACAGGACGGTTTTCCAGGGAGGGGTAGATACTTGCAGCCTCAGTCGCCATAGTTGCAGACTCTCAATTTTTCGCTTGTCTGAGGTAGGTAAGATGGCACAAAAGGGGAACTATAAAGTTGACAAAGAGCAAAATAAAATAAAACCGGGCGAAATTCTTGATGGACGCTGCTGTTGAAGAATGCCCCTGGCGGGGTTGGTCTGATCGACGTGTCCAGTCCCGGTTCTTTGGAAGCCTCAGGCACCAAGGCAAATACGGAGTAATCTTATCGATAAGGGCAGCCGGGGTAGTGGGGTTATGGTCAGTTAAACAGTGCCTTGTTCATGCACACACTATACGGTAGAGATGTCAAGTTGGGACCATATCCTTCTATTGAGGTACGATAGTCCAATGAAACCTCGTATCGCTGCTGATATCCATCAAAGCTTTACATCATCATTCTCAATTGAAAGGGAGTAAAGCCACCAAACAGACATGGGTGGATATAGTGAAATACCGCAGGCACAAGAATAATCGCAGAGTAGAATGGCTGATACCTTTCTATGACGAAACGCTTGACCATATCTAGTGGCCCATTGCTGTTTGAAAGACCTTGGCTGTCAACTCACTCAGGAGCTGGGCCCGATCCTGCTGTGGAAGGTCTAAGAAAACCTCGTATACACTTCGTCCCTTGACATCGCGAATGGCTCCAAGCCTATTACCTGCGACAGCACCAGCCAAAGCACCCGGAACATTTGCTACTATGAACCCTAGGGCACCACCACTTATACCACCGACAATAGACCAGAATCGGGAGGTGGGCTGGGTGTTTCTGCAGCCTTCATTGTCAACGTCGTCGTTCGCAAGTCCCTCCTCACGCAGCATCTCCTCAAAAACGGACCCGAATTGCTCGGAGGCGCGCTGCTCACGATCTGACGTCGAGGAGAACGTAGACCCAAATGCAGACCAGTGGAAGTCATCTGTACTGCTTGGCTGCTCTTCTTCTTCTGCTTCGCTTTCTGTTCCAAGCTTGCGTGTTCTGTTGTATTCACGCCGACGCGAAGGGTCTGAAAGGACGAAATAAGCATCGTTAATGTCCTGGAACTTGCGTGTTCGAGCCGGTCGTTCAGGTGAATCAATAGGAACGCGGTCGGGATGCGATTTCAACGATTCTCTGGTATTAGAGTTACCGACAGGCCAGGAGCGAGAGATAGAGGACTAATCCACACCTCTTGTAGGCGTTGCGAATTTCTTGCTGGGTAGCCCCAGGGGGCACGCCAAGAATTTTGTCTGCATGTCTCGTGGGTAAGCAAACCTTCAGAGATACATATCATTCGAAAGAATAGTTTTTAAAGCGTACAGTAATCTGGTTGCTCTGTAGACACAGGTAATTAGCATGATTCTGATCCGAGTTCCTGACGACTTACTTGGCATGTTCTGGATGGTTAAGGTACAGGTGGGGGTATCTACAGACTAGAAAGTAGGATGTTCAAGACACCAAGGTTTAGTTAGGTAGCAACAATTAATAATTGTAGGGGCTGTCCTCTTCAAATGGATTGACAATTTAACACATGCAGGCTGCAGCGATGACGTTGGCGAGGAATATAAGAGGCCTGAGGCAGAAACCGTTTTCTTTCATGTGAGCCATCATTAATCATTAGGGTTTATGTCTCATTAAAAATAAAAAAAAAATTACGAGGATTGACCATACCAGCCACCGCGGGCTGTTTCATGTCTTGGACTCATGGTGTTATTTTATGCGCGATGTTTCCCCATATTATTACCAAGAGCAGTCATCGCTGCAGCATTATCGCAGACATTGCATTCGAGTCCATTGCACGGTCTGATTGAAATACACCAATTGGTCGCATTGTGCAGATAATCCGATTCAGATTCACAAAACTTCCATCACATTGCGAAGTAGCAGGAGGAAACAGCAGACTGTCAGCCGTTAGATATGACTTGGTTCCCCGGAAGGTCGTCGTCTTCTACCCATTACCACCGTGTCCCCCGACGTCTATCGCCTTCCCGTCGTTCCGTGTACTCGACACGCAGTAGCACACATGCTCCTCGGTCAGTGACAGGATCAGCGGTTTCAGACATCGCGAGTTTGACCGGTCGTGGTAGTAAATCGAGCGCATCTGTCCTGTCGTCATCCTCCTGGTCGCGGCGTGCACGTCCTCGCGATGGCTTCTTTAAGCGCACGCTCCACCGCATAAAACGTTGGTTTCGGCGGGTCTTCCGTTATGCGCGCCATCATCCTTTCAAAGTTCTCCTCCTTATAATCGTGCCACTCCTTATGGCGGGTGTGCTTCAGAAATTGCTGTCCATTGTCGGGGTGCGTAATAATATAAGCTGATCGATCTTCTTACCTGGAAATGTGTCCAATGCTAACGGAGACGGACAGGTTCATTCTCTCGGCGACAATCTAAGAGACGGCATTGCTAAATTAATAGAAGCTGCACAAAAGCTCCTAGGTGGCTAGAGAAAACCTCAAGATTCACCAGATCTTCGTCTCTAGCTGATTGATTGAAGGGTCCAATCCTTGTTCCCCTCGCGACCGTGTCATTTTGATATCCAGCTCCATCCATGGTCCAAATCAAAGGGAACGCAAAAGGATGGGAGTATGAAGGTTGGGGCGAATATCGTTTCAACACCTGAACCCAACACCTTAGCTATGCTCCTGTTGTATTTTTCTATTATTTATGTTATATACTGACGAACGCACTATGGGTGATATGAACAACAAGAAGGGAATTTCGTTTCCCAAGAGATCTATTTCGGGTTATATGAAGGCCTATCTCGCTTTTCCTCATTACTTTTCTTATTCTCCCCGACGTTCCATATACCCTCCCCCTTTCTTTTAACTTTTACACTCTGTTGATGCAATAACGCAATAACACATGGGTTTTCGAAAAAGATAATAACAATATCAACTATGGATGGCGTAGAAGGGAACCCTATAGACAATGAAGGGTCTTTTTCTAATTTCACTGATCCTTTTTCAATGTCAAGACTTCTGTGAATGTTTCCCTTTCCTTCTAGCTGGAGGCCCGTTTGTCGAAGTCGATACTGCGCCGCTGGTACCTTCCGTCTTGTCTAGATTCTCTGAGGCGTTCTCTTCCATGGGGGTCGAATCGTCCCCGCTTAGAAAACGACGAAGAGTCTTCCGGAAACACCAAAGCGGCAGTCTGAAAAGCAGTGTATCACGGACAGTGGGTCGTTGTAGTTCATTGATATCAAGCAAGAACTCTTGCCGCTCACCATCTTCAGTCTCTTCCTCAAGAAATACGTTGCCAATTGAATCGACAATGAGGACTTTTCCATTCTCCGCAATGACACGTTTTCTATTTCCCGATGGACCAACAGCTCCATCTGGATTCATTGATGCACCTGCATTACGGGATGCCGCCTTAGTTCCCTTTTTGTTTTCCTTTCTGCTCTCCTTGTCCATCAAGCGCTTCTGTCGGCGATTTATAGAAACAGAACTCGCGTCACCTCCTGGAGTAGTAACGGGTGAAGTTGTATTTGTCGAGCCTAGCCCGGGAATACCACTTATTCCACTTTCATCTCCCCATGCAGCCCTCCTTGCTTGTCGGATGTATCTGTCCACGAACTCCCGCCGGCGTTTCCACCCGAGGACAAGAGCAGCATAGTGCGCACCACCACCAAAAACGACAAAAAGACCGACGAGCACAGAGCCTAAACCAGGACGGAAGCGCGAATAGTAGTAACCTGTTCCCTTCCATTTGGGGAATCCGTTCTTCAGAAAGTGGTCGTAATGCTCGCGTAACGGACCACGAAGGATGGTGGCTACAGTATTCAGTCGGGCGGAGCGTTCGTGGGCCTCTTTAAGCACAGCATCGATTTCTCGTTTCGACGGACCCCTGGAAACATTGACACCCTGATTGCTGGATTTTGATCTCGATTTACCCTTGGAACTGTTGGCAATGAAGGCACGTTTCACTTTATCCGGATGGATGAGTTTGGATTTCCGGCGGTAGGCCTTGGTCAATTCTTCTTGGTTCGCGTTGGGTTGGACGCCTAAGAAGTCTGTAACGATCTTGTTAGTAAGTCATCTGGGGCAATAAGGAACTAACAAGGGATAAGGAAGAGATGCATGCTATTGCAGGGGAGTCTTCTATACGAACCGTAAAAAGTCACTGTAGGACCTTCCGTCGCCGCAATCTCATCTCGAAGGCGAAAGATCTCATAGTCTATTTCAGACGTCAGCTATGCTTCAATAGTGCATACGCGCATATCATATATTTCAAGCTAGACAGGAGAAGAACAGAATAGCGACCAACCTTCCTTGGTCCAGGCTACGGCGAGAGCGATCAGCACCGCGGACAAGAGCAGCCGGAGCGCGAAATGCTTCATTTTGACGCCCTTTGGCTTTAGAATGTGCAGATTCCGAGGGAAGCAAAAGGTTTAAGTAGAAACTTGACAGGATTGCGGAGTTATTATTCAGCTTTACTCCAGCATCGGTGAAACGCGGACCTGTGGAGGACGGTCTTTGAGAATTGCCTGAAAATTCAAGCAGGAAGAACTAACTGCAGGGGATTATTATTACGCTCATGATATGCGCTGAGACTTGAGACACAGGGAGCCTGTCGATCAGGAATGCTGTTGTCTGTGCTGGCTTATGGCCAGGTAGCAACTAATTAAACTTCATATGTTTTTTCCCTCGTCTGTTTTCTTTCTTCTCTTCCATCACCTCCGTCTGATTCTCCCATCACCATCTACTATTCTCCTCGTATCACCCTCGTCCTGTTCCACGACGTTTCCTCCTGGCCGTTCGGATTTTCTAATTTCTAGCTCCTTTCCCTCTTCCTATCGCTACTCTCCTGCCACTCGTTTCTTCTGACAGTTACCCGTTTCGTGCCCCCTTTATCGTACTCCACCCCGCAATGAGTCCCATCCAGCTTCCCATCAGTGCGATCACCTCCCGTTTTGGTGATCGTTTCAACAGCGTCCGGGCACAGTCCATCTCCTCTCGCTTTGCCAACTTGCGTCCTATCTCGGAGTTTCTAGACGTCAAGCGCATGTCAAAGCCTGCCAACTTCGCCGAGGTTCAAAGCCGCGTGAACTACAACCTGTCCTACTTCTCCAGTAACTATGCGGTTGTCTTTGTTATGCTGGGCATCTACGCCTTGATCACAAACACGAAACTGCTGTTTGCCATTGTCTTTGTGACCGGTGGTCTCTATGGCATCGGTAAGCTGGGTGGCCGCGACCTTGACCTTGGGTTCGCTCGTTTTACAACGTCCCAGCTCTATACAGGTCTGATGGTCGTTGCAATTCCACTAACCTTCTTGGCTGATGCCTTTGGCACTGTTCTCTGGTTGATGGGCGCGAGTGGAGCTACCGTTTTCGGCCACGCTGCCTTGATGGATAAGCCGATTGAGAATGCTTTTTCCGAGGAGGCGGTTTAGGTGGTCGGCCGCGAACTCCTCATGACATGGCCCGACGGGGAAGACTGCCAGGGACACAACCGGAAAGACAACCAAAGAGGGGGCTGGTGCTGGAGGACGGTGGATTCGGGCAAATTAAAGGGAGCGAAAAGGGGAAGGAAAGTGACCGCGGCCAAGGCGTGAAGCAGCCTACGTCAACGGAAAGGCATGGGTGGCTGGGATGGCTACGCAACAATGGTGCTGATAAAGCAGGGGTTGGTACTGGTACGGAAAGCAACATGGAGTTAGCGACGAAGGATGAGGAGGAACAACTGGTCAAGAAGGCACTGGAACGGATACAGCAAGCACATGCTTCGGGGAAGAAAAATATTCGTTTATCAAAGCGTGAGTACGAGGCCCTGGAGAGAAAGCGGCGGCACGGGAGCGATTCGCAGGGCCCTCGACGCTCTACCGAAATGCGGGCAGCCAAACGGAGCCGAGCTGCAGTGAAGGACGTTTCTGGGAACGCGTTGAAACGGCAGAACGAACCTGCTCTGTTGGGGAGACAAATGACCGCACCGCATCTTCAATTCGGTGCACAGGGAAAGTCGGGTGCATCTGTTGATCGCCCATCTCGTGCAGACTTACAGCCATCGAGTTCTTCGGGTGGAAGGGCACAACCGTCTTCCGCCTATTTAGATATACCTCAAAAACCCAGTCTTCCATCCTGGCCTCAGTATCCGCAGGGGTATCCACCAGAACAGTCTGTGTATCCCGGTCAATCGTTTTCTTCACCGTACCAAGCATTTCCCTATCCTGTAGCTGACGGTCCTCATCGGGGGTATGGAAAAATGGATTTCACATCATATCTGGCTGCTCAACCCATGTACCCGTCTTACAACCCAGCAGACGTCTCATACACTCTATGGGATCAGAATATGATATCTTCGGCGATGGTACCTTATGATCCGAGTCAGGTAGTCTCATCTGGTGAACACTACCCTAGCAGCAGTGTGCCGTATTCCCTTTTCAACCAAAACACTCCCGGCTCTCTGGCGGCAGGACTTCTAGGCCACGAGGGCAAGGGGAAAAAAGCTGATGGCGGCGAGGCTACAGCCAGTGGCAGCGCCAGCCAAGGCAGTCGTCAGCGCAAGGGGCGTCGCAAATGATCTGCGTCGGTATGCTTTATTGATGTTGATGCTGTGGTCCTCCTTTTCCCTTGTCGAATTTCTTTCTTTTGTCTCGGACACATCGTGTTGTGGCTTCTGGAGGCGGGATTCATGGTAACGGAGTTTGTCTAGAGGTGTCTGTGGGCTTGTCTCCTTGCTGTTCTTGATTGTCTTGCCTTGTCTTCTTTTTCGTTTCAAAAACCATTTGCGGAGCTCCGTCATACGCATGCTCTTGGCCTTAAGTGTTTTAATAATCAACTGATACCCAAGTTCCGGACAACCAGACGATCATCCACGACAAGCTGTAGATCCCTTGGCATTAGCATAATAATTATTCGGCTGTGGTATGTAGAGTACGGGGGTATGGCGGATGCGGTGGATGATGACGTTGGTCGCGATGCGCATTAGAGAAGCATGAAATCATCTTTCCCGTTTTAGGCCCACATCACTAGACTGATTCCCCGAACTGTCTCCGTGCGCTGCAATAATGGCCTCTCTGGCTCTATCCCATTTGCTCCCCAAGTACGCCTGGCGTATGTACCGATCCTTTCGACACCCTCCTGTGCCCTCCTGTGCCTCTAGAGTTTTGTTTTTCTTATTCTTCATCTCGCCCGCGACTCCATTACTGTACCCTGTACCACGGTTTCCGCACCACCACGGCTTCATACTTCGGCGGCGGCCTTTGATTGCTATTGCTAGCAGTTGTGTTACTCTCGGCTTTTAGGTCCGCGTATTGTTCTGCATGGATCTAGCATAGAGGCAGCAAGCAGAAAGTGACGGTGTTACTATGTGAGTGGCCGAATTCACTTATATCTAGTACGCAGAAACATCCAGATTCGCGTCCTGCGGGAGTTTTAATACTTCCCCACGATATTTAACTATATTAACAGTGCGCAATGGCTAACGGACGGGTCCAATAATAATAATAGCTTCCTTTCTTTCCTTGCTTACCCCTGACTCCACCGTCCAGAGTCCAGTCAGAACTACTCGGAGCAAAGAATTGGCAATTTTCTTCAACGACCGAGACTGCTCGGGACTCGCGGGTCACAGCCTTCGTTGACGTCTCAAGAGCGCGAAGATGTGGCTCATATCGTTCTGGCTCTTTCCGGTCATATCTGCCTTAATGTGGCTTGGTATGTTCTCACTGCGCGAAACTCAGCATTGGGATGATCAGCACTGAGGTGTTCTATCCTGTAGGCATGCTACTGGCAATGATAGGCTCTTGGGGTGCGGAAAATGCACCAGTCTACTCGTTTATGGATCACGGGCAGACAATCGCGTATGTCAAATCGGAAATACGACGCTGTGATGATGGCCTTGGAACAAGGACTGATTTCTAATTCCCTAGTTATGTTTCCGACATTGGTGCAAAGGGGTTAAAGCCTCTCTTCATCACTGGTGGTGCAATCACCGGTGTCTTTCTCACTTTGTCCTTTCTCTGCGAACGATGGTTGCGACATGCTGGTCAGCTGGCACCGAATAAGGGTTTCTTCGACAAGGCCTGTGCCATTGTGTCCATCTTCTTCGGCATCGCCGGTGCCCTGGGCCTCATTTTGTTGGCGGTCTTTGATACACACCGCCATCCAAATAAGCACAGGGGCTTTATAATTATGTTTCTGTGAGTAGTTGATGTCCGATTTCTTGTAATCTGGTGAGATGTTATAGCTGATAGTTGGGTGTCAGTATCGGCTATCTGGTCAGCGCCATCCTCATTTGTTTCGAGTACTTACGGTTGGGTCTCTTCTATCGCTCTCGCCACCGCGTTATAATATATAGTTTTGCCTTAAAGGTCGCTTTCGTTATCATTGAAGTTGCTCTGGCTATTTCATGGGTAGTGCTCGAGGGGCGTAACACTGGCCCGAAGAAAAATACTTCAGCAGTTCTCGAATGGAGTATAGTTGCCCTGATTTAGCATCCTCCCCTTTGAATTTGCCGTATTAACTTCTGCCGCAGTCGTTGCCTTTATTTTCACGTTCTATATTCTCTCTTTTGCCGTGGACCTGTTCCCGTCTGTCCGTACTCGCCGTCGCGTTCCGCAAGGGGAGAAGATGGTCCAGGTGGAGGAAAACATTCCAGCAGCTGCCACCTACGAGCATGATCTTCCGACAGATAACATGGATGAGACTGCGAGCGCTGCTAATGCGTATCGTGGACAACATATGGCATGAGCGATTGGGGTTCCCCCTGTTCACTAGACCGGAAGACAGCCTTGTACCTACTTAATCATCAGCGTTTCTGTATATATGGCATTGTGCATTATTTTGTGGGAAAACAGATGGTTCTCTTCATGGCCATAATTCTGATGAGCTTGGGAGATGCAGTGTGCTCTTTCGTTTGCTTGATTTCTGTTGCTGTTCGGCGTTGCTTTGGGGGCAGTCCTTTCTTTACCTTGCTATGGCGTTGGGTATTAGTCTGTTGCTGTCAAGGCATTTCCCACATCTATTCTGTCTCACATTTCTGAGAATGATAATACTGCTCGCCATCTCGAGTCACCTTATACGTTAAGCTGTCGTGGTAGGTGATCGATGCACTGTATAAGCACTCGTTATTATCTGGAACGGAAGCGGATCAAAAACCTCGGCTCGGATGTTTTCGAAGTTTCAACTCACTCTTCATCTTCGTCTTCCTCTCCTCTCCTGAAAAGAAAGCTACATACAATCTTCGATGGCTGATGTCCAAATTAACGGAACACTAGCAAATAAGCAAGTTTCATGATTGGAATCCACTACAGCAGCCGCCCGTCAGCAAGATGAGCAACACCAGTCTTGGCCCTGTCAACCAGCAATTCGACTTCGACAACATCATCAACTTCCGCGATGTTGGGAAATTCGTAAATAGACTCTGTGGTTCTCAGTATGGGTGATATCCGAAGAGCCCTTTTCTTCCTACGTACATATCTACATAGCTTTGAGGGAAGCCAGCTGATTCGGACGGATCGATCTGCTTTGAAGAATCTTGGAAGAAGGCGTTCTCTTTCGCAGTGCCAGGGTAATTCATCATTTTTATTACCTAGCTCTTCATGCATGTGCTGAGACTGACTATCTCTCAAATTCAAACAGTTAGATGAAGCTTCAGAAAGAGACAGACAACGCCTATCAGATGAGCTACATATTGCTAGTGTCATTGATCTTCGATCTGGGTAATCAACTTTTCATTTCCAATTGCAACGCGCAAGTTGCAGTCCGAAATTTCAAGTCAGATACTAAATCAGCCATTCCCAGCACCGAGCATCGAATGGCAGCAAAGAAGAGGATGACAGAGAAAAGCCGAATAGACGTCCTCAAGGACGCTGTCGACGATGTCGATCCAAACGTGCACTTGGTCCAAATTCCAGGTGCGCGACGATTCCTGATCAGTCTCATCGGAAAGGATTTTGAAAGAGCACTTCTGTGGCGTTTGGGCTGGTGGGATGTCATGTTTGTGATCTCTTCCCCTCCCCCAAAAAAGGCAAAACAAGCTAACATGCCCTCCACAATTCCAGCAAAGCTGCCGCTTGGTCGGCATCAGGATATCGTGATAGTGCTGCCAAACTTGTCGTTCGCGAAGCCATGCAGCCACGCGGCCTGATCGGTCTTTCCAGGGACAAGCTTGATCACAGCGGTTACGAGATGAAAGATACCTTTGACGTTCTTGCGGACTGCAATAATTACCCCGTTGTGATCCACTGTACGCAGGGAAAAGATCGTACTGGTCTCATCGTGCTACTTCTCTTGCTCTTGACCGGGGTCGTGCCCGAGGAGGCAATGTCTGCCGACTACGTCAAGTCTGAGCCGGAACTCCGCGTTGAGTTGCAGGAACGCCTAGAAGAGATGCATGAGCTGGGCCTGTCGGATGACTTTGCTAAGTGTCCGGCTGGTTATGTGGCGGACATGAAGAAGTATATTGACTCCAAATATGGGGGAGTGGAGGCCTATTTACTCTCTATAGGCATCAATCTGAAGAAGCAGGAGACGATCAGGAAGAAGCTCATCGCCTGAGTTTTACTTAGCTTCTAGTTCTACTCTTCATATACCATGGCCGTTTTTGTTCTTGCTTTTTTAGTGTATACGGCACTAAGTCCCAACAATATTATTAGTAGTAATACTATTATTAACCATCATTACACGCATTTCTTGTCATCAACCCCTCCAAGCTTGAAGTTCGGGAATATCCAATTCTTAATAGTAAGCAGACAACCACCATTTGACAAATCGTCCAAGAGTACGTAGACAGCGCAGACAAACAAATCAGAAAGTCATCCAGGGCGTCTGTATCGGGACACAAATAAGAAACTCGGGAAATTAATAGAAACTTATCACGACAGCCACGTATGTACCAAGCAAATAAGAGCATTAAACAAAAGAAACAGTTCATGCTATAATTCCTCCGAAAATCTCGACTCACGGTGACTACCGGCGCTCGTGGACGTCCCAATTGGAAGCGGCACAGGCAAGCCCTGATGGATTGCACTATCACGCAGTGCTTCCTGCTCTACTATGCTGGCCTGGTTAGCGTCGAGAGCGCCCTCGGACCCATTGTGTAGTGCCTTCGCTTCATTTTCGTAAATATCTTTCCTTGATTGCCGTGGTTCACCGTTAGCGGCTGTCTTTTCGAACTTGTGGACATGACCGTTGCTTTGATTTCCATTTTCAAGTCCTTCAATCCCGTTTCTACTCCTGACAGGGTGTGAACCGAGAGGAGCCAGTCGGGCATCACCGTACGGGGCTCCGTCAGCTCCTAGAGGTGTATCAGCTCCCGCTTCGGAAGGCTCTGGAACGCTTTCTGTCTTCTCTTCAGAAGCGGTTTCAACTGCACGGTGCGTCCCACTTGATCGACGTCCTCTGAACCAGGCTCTGATTCTTGATTCCTTTTTGGGGGGTGGTGCTGCTTCCTCCGGGGCGGCTTGCGCTTGGCTGACTTCAGCCTGCTCCCCAGCAGCATCTGAGACGGCGCCAGTAGCACTCTCCTCTTCAGTGTCCCCCTGGCGAGTTGCATCAGATCGTGCTTCATGTGATACTTCAGACGGGACATTTTCTTCTTCCTTGCTTGTCCTCGGGCTGATGATATCTTTTTCGGCAGCAGGTTCCTGCCGGGTCTTCTTCGACTTGCTTCTGCGCAATCGTGACTTCTCTTTCGCCTCCCGTTTCAAAAAATCTGGAATTCTGTTATTAGCCGGTCTTGGTCCTTATTAAGACGTGCCAACAGCAAGAAGCGGGTAATAAGATGATCCTTCAACCCACCTCTCAGTCTTTTCTCTTCGGCTCTTGTATCGGCTTCTCGTTCACGTTCCCTAGTTACTCGGCGTTTCATTTCTTCCCTATCTAAATGTTGTTCGAATTCTTTGGCCTTCTGTTCACTTGTACGGTCTGTGATTTCATCAAGTGTAGGTTGGATCCTCGCTCGGGCAACGGCTTCGACATCTGCTCTGTCCACGTACTGGTCAGCACCGATAAGGACTCTCTCCGAACCGGCGAGCTGGGCCTCCCTCTCAAGCCGCACCCGTTCCTGCGCTGCCTCTTCCCATTCTCTCTGCTGTGCAGGCGTAGGCAGACCTTTCTCGGCATAGACTTTCGTCTCCAAATCATGCATGGTAGCATGTACGTTTCTCCTTGCGACTTCCATCAGTTCGTCACGGTCTTTCTGCCTCTTCTCGTCTTGCTCTATTCGCCTCCTCTCGTCCAGCTTGTCCAATCTAGTTTGCAGGCTTGCCATTTGCCTTCTTATCTCCTTAGATCGTTCATTGTCGACCTTTGAAGCGTCTATGTCGCTCGGTGTCCTTTTCAGACGGATCGACAAGCGAGAGCGGGCAGGTTGCCCTGTCCCGTAGTAGTCGTGGTACAAGTCCTGGTATTGCATTCTCGCCAGCTTCTCGGACGCAATCTTCTGCGCGGCACCCTGCAAATTCAAGGCCCGCTTGAACGCCGCTGACGGGTCCTCTGTGGCAGTAGGCTCATGAGGGCGCATACGATCATGGCCCACCTGAGCAGCACTAACAGCAATAGCGGATCCCCGGTCGGTCTTCTCTACTGATATAGGGTACATCTCACGCGCCATTGAAGTTGCCGCTGCACGCAACACATCATTCCTTCTCACCTCTTCCACTTCAAGTGCAACCGGAGGTGTCGAAGTGTATAACTTAGGGTTGGGATCCGCAACATGTTGGATTCGGCTCGCTTCAACAGCACGGTCGAGATTATCAAACGGCCCCTCGGGCTCCACACGATATTTATGAGACAGACCGGCTGCTGATAGTGCATAAACAGAGTCGGTTGTACGCGCCGGTTTCGTGGGAGCAGAATCAGCTCTTTTCCTGCTGATCGAAAAAGCCCCCGTAGCTGCCCTAAGAGCCCCGCCGTCAGGACTAGGAGTTCGCGACCGTTCTGCAGGCTCCTCCACTTTGGTGAGGTCAGGTCGTACGCCCACCGGTAAGGAAGGTAGACTTGCTAAAGATCTACGGTCTCTGGCAGCGGACAACGCAGCGTGGAATCCTTCCGGGGTTAAAGGCGTTCCATCTCGTATTTCAGAAGCGTAGTAGTCCTGAATATGCTGCGTGGATGAGTACACGCCGGGTTCCTTTCTAATCTCCGAAGGTTCGCGCGCCCGGCTCTTGGTGTGCGCGAGAATAGCAGCAGCACTCGCGGAAGCACGGTTATGGCTTGGGGAAAAGCCGGTACCGCCTGAGCCTTCATTCTCATATGCAACATGTTAGAATCTGTTACAAATATTATACATAGAGATATATATATTTAAATATCTAACAAAGGAGAGGTATATAGGAAAGGAACGTATATAATCCAAGAATAGGCCAATCTCACCGAAAATATCCACATCAGGTTCACGTACAGCGATTCTGCGTTCAGGATGTGTCACATACAGTGCAGCGGAGGCAGCTTTGGTTTTGGTTGGATGGTCAGCGAGGTCAAGAGAGGACGTATAAGAGAGCTGGATAAGAGCTCACCATGATCTGCAGATGGGCCAGTCGAAAGGTCGGTGTCGCAGCAGCGACACCCTCGTTTCGCACATGCACCGGCCATGATGTTAGGACGACGCTCGGATTATCCTGCAGATAGAAAAAAGGAGATGGAAGTGGCCGCAGACATGTCATAATAATCTAGGAGGCAGGAAGGAGAGGGGGATAAAAGGACTTCTGACCAAGGCGGGGGCTGGAGCGTCTGGATGGAAGTCCGGAAGCTTGTTCAAAGTCACCCATAGAATACGTAAGTGGTTGCAAGAAAGAGGCAGAGCCATGGTTATTAGCAGCGATCTTAATCATGCATGATTAGGTTTGCCTTCGGACCTCTGGGAGCCTGTCCTTGGAGATCCGGTAGATCATACTGAAGCTGACGGGAGGACTCAGCCACGCCTGGTGTTGCCACTGCTCGTATGCGTCGTGCATGTAGGCATCGGGCTGAGGCGGATACAAAACAATCGTTGGCTGTGGCTGGATGTTCTGATGCTGCAGGAGAGCATCAGACAATGTCTCTGATGGCAGCGAGAGATCGTCATGTCTTCCCTGTTCGTGAGGTTGAGTCACCTGCTCGCAACGGATGTGTTTGCAGTGTTTGCTCGCCAGCTGCGAGGATATGACGATTTCGCCAACTCAAATCTGTCCAGGAACAGTTGCAGGCACGATCTTCGCAGCCACAGCATAATGCATGGAATGCTGATCTTCTGATGCTGTTGCTCCTGTCTTTTCCTGCGGCATAGTAATAACCACGTGCTAAGGCTAGAGTTGCACAAAGCACGATGCCGATGCATGTAGGATATACAGCGTATACTACTTGAATACTATATATACTACATACAGCTTGAATGGTTGAATCATTTGGACTATTTAACTGCTTTTATATTCCCCAATGCCCCTATTGTTTTGTCAACACCAGGTCCCCGCGTGCTATGATGCCACAAAGCGAGCTGCTGCTTGCTGCCGCTCTTCACGGAGGGTAAGGAAAATCTACCATATGTAAATCAAACATTAGCAACGCAATACTGCCAAAAAAAAAGGCGAAAGTTCATTGGCTGACTTACCCAGAACCAGAACATCGCCTCCAGGAAGCCATAGGTAAAGACTACTCTATTTTTCAAATGATCTAGACCAGAAGTCACTTGTTCCGCAGCTTCTGTGCCATACCCGTCGACCCCCCAAGCCGCGGGCTTGCTCTGGTAGATGAAAAATGACACTGCAAAAAAGAGACAGAAGCGTGATCCCGCGAGAAGAGTCCATATTTCCGAGTAAAGTGTCGCCATACGTGCCACGAGCGGACTCAGTCGAACAGGAGAGGAGGACCGGGACCTGGACCTTGCCGCATCCGCCGCTGCCAGTATCTCGTTCAATTGAGGCACTCGGGTTACAACAATTAGGTCGACGAGGGCATCTGCAACGAGAAGAATGCCGCACAGAGCAAAGGGCGATTGAGGACGTGAGAAAGCGGGAGATACATCCTAATCGCATTAGGGTTGTCGTCAGTGTAATTCGTAGATGTAAGTACTTCGTGAAAACATGCTCAAACGGCAGTCAAGATTCAAACATACTATCTTTGTTGCTTCTCCAAGCATAAACACCACGTCTGAATCCGTAATGACCTCGGGCGATTTGGTTAGGTACACGGCCAGAACGAATAGAAACAAGGCGTGCGCCTGGATGAGCCTCTTGGAGGACAGTAAGGCCATGTTCTCCCGTCTCTTAGGAATTTACCACAACGAAGGAGTAGGAGGGCCCAAGAGGGTCAGAAAAGAAGAAGAATAATAAAAGAAGAAAAAGAAGAAGAAAAACGCGTGTGAGAAAGCCAGTTATTATTGTGACTCTTTTGAGGGAGAACTCCGAGATGTTCTCGACCATCTCTGCGTTCCCGCACCGGCGGGGTCCAAGTTCCGGCAGCTGGCCGCCCGCCAGAAGTTACGGTCAACACCATGCACCATGAAGATCTCATCCCTGCTTGGCGCTAATTCTTTTGATTATTTTAATTTCAAGAAAGAGAAGGGCTGGAAAACTCCGGCCTTACCCTTTAAGTAATGGCCACCGCAGTTTTCAACAAGGATCGCCATATCAAGTACTTCTTACGATGCCTGAAGACCTTCCTTCCGAACGCATATACCGCCAGCGACTCCAATCGCATGCTTCTTGCTTTTCTCACAGTCGCTGGACTAGATCTTTTGGGTGTGTTACAATCTCACACTACTCCTGAGGAGAGGCAAGCATATGCCCAATGGATATATCGCTGCCAGGTCCCTTCAGGGGGATTTCGTGGATTCACAGGGGCAGACTTTGGACTGGATAAACGCACTCCGGAAAATGAATGCTGGGATCCAGCAAATCTTCCCGCCACATTTTTTGCGCTTGTCGTGCTGTTAATACTGGGAGATGATCTATCAAGAGTGAAGAGAAAGAAGTGCCTCCGGTGGCTGCGGACTATGCAGAGAACTGACGGAAGTTTCGGTGAGGTCCTGGGTACAGCTGGGGCAATCGAGGGCAGTCGTGACTTAAGATTCTGCTGCGTTGCTGCTGGTACGCGCTACATACTGCGGGGAAAGGATGACATGGATATCGAGGAGGTGGGAGATATAGATGTCAACAGCTTAGTGGCATTCATCGAATCTTGTCAAGTAAGACTTTTCACCGGCACTGTATTCTGCATAATTGACTGAGATACGGCGTCAAGGCGTATGATGGTGGAATGGGAGAGACCCCCTTCTGCGAGTCTCATGGTATGTCCAAGCTATTTTCCCCTTCCCCTTCCTTTTCTACGGTTACCTATCTTGCTTACCTGCAATCATAGCCGGTCTGACCTACACTGCCATCGGCGCTCTTACATTCCTGAGCCGAACGCCGGGTACTAATATCAAGCCGGCGATTCTTTCTCCGGGATCCGTAGAATTCAAATCTTTGGTCCGGTGGCTCGTTTCAAGACAGACGTCCGAACTAGGTGATGAAGAATACGATGAGAGGCAATCCGATTCTGAAAAGGCTCAAAGTCCGCAGATAACTGTCGAGGGATTGTCTTTGGAAGATAGGCTTGCCTCTTTGTCTGCCATATCACCATTAACGGATGAGTCAATACGATGGGCTGGCTTCAATGGCCGGTGCAACAAAGTTGCCGATACATGCTATTCATTTTGGACTACAGCAACACTCGTGGTAAGGAGCTCCTGGAAACGGGCCCGTACGTAAACTTCTCTGCTAAATCTGGCACAAAGATGATGGACAGGCTACCGTTGGTAGATGCAGATGGCAATCGTCGATATCTTCTCGAGAAGACGCAGCACTGTATTGGTGGCTTCGGAAAGGGAGTCGGAGATCCACCGGGTAAGTTGAGGCATGTTCATCAGCAGGTGGCAGGCTTCTAACAGCTATTACTAGATCTTCTACATTCATATTTTGGAATGGTATCTCTTGCATTTCAAAATGAACCTGGTCTTGTTGATGTGGATCCGAACCTCTGCATTAGTCGGCGTGCAATGCAACATCTACAGTCTCTCCCTTGGTGGAAATGAGATAGTTCCGGCAGAACGAAAAGTTCGTAAGCAGACCGAGAGGCAGAGAGAATATTCCTTCCTTGCGCATACATACCTTGAAATCGCCGTTGAAATGATTGGAAGAATTCATGTATATGGGCTATCTGAAGCGCGACCCATAGCGCGCTTCCATATTAAACCTCCTCAAGGCACACAATATCCCTGCAGGTGCTCGCGTATGTTCTGGAATGGGCCGACATGCTCAGGGAGTCAGACAACAGCCGGGCGTGTCTGGGCTCCGTCAGCGATCGAGTTATGGCATTCTTTCCCAAAGTATGCACAAACAATGCCGACTTCTCTACAGCTTCACCGACTGGTACGGACACTTCGGAACATAGAACCGTAATAATCAGAGAGGCCGAGAATCATCATTGTAAGATAAGAAGAAGTGGACGGTTGGAGTGGAAGGACCCGAATGTCGCTGTACAACCGATATGTTCTCTACTTGCCGCTACTGTAGAAACCGCGCTTTGAAATTCGGCAGTCCGGCAGGAAGTGGTTCAAATTCTAGTAGTCGTCTGGAGAAAAAGATAAATGGAGAGACAAGGAAGAGAGTGTGCGATGCGAGTCGTACAAGGAAGCTCTGGGCGAGTTGCGCCTTAGCTTTGGTCCTTCGCCGTACCACATTTCCTGTTTTGCTTCATCCCAACTTTTTTCTTTTGCGTTCAACTTTCTCTTCATTCTACTCTCTTTTCTTTGAATCTATATCAATTGCAGCTTCCGATCAATCGCCGCCCGAAATCCTGTCGATCGTTCTCCTTGCAAGCGTCATTTGATTCCGCATTGTCTATGCGCTGTCTTATCCACTCGCATCGTCCCAACTCGGATCTGGCAACATCCCCGAAGCCCCCTTGAGTGAGATCTCATCCTGGACCCCAACGAAGCCTCCCGTCTCTCTCGAACCTCGTATACCACATGCCGATATTGACCTCCCTTCTTTGCTCCTATTCGACTCAGAAGCTCCAGGTTTTCGAGCTTGACCACCCTTCAATATCGCCCCCAATCCCGTGCTTCTCCGGATTACTACAGCCACAGGTGTTCAATGGTTTTTGAATCACTGTCTGAACTGGAACTCCATACCACGCCGAAAACAAGAGTCCTTGGGGCTGTTTACAAGGGGCGGATACTATCGTAACACATGCCGCCGGTCAGGAGCAGAGCGGACGTTCAAGCCCAGAAGCAGAAGGAAAAGGTTCGTCGCCAAAACCGACTTTCCTCATACCCCGCCTGTTCGATGACACCCTTTACCATTTCACCTTTGTTTCTCTTTTTTTTTTTCGTTTGTCTCAAGAATGGGAGTTTTGTTTTTATATTTATATTGTTGTGTTGTATGCCGACAGACTATGGGCTAACTTCGAGGCCGTTCATGGCCATGTGCCGCGTCAGCTCGCAAACTCCTATGGTGAACTGCTACAGTAAGTATTGTCTTTTTCTGCTGCCTCACGAAAAATAATCAAATTCGGGCAATAGCTAAGCGTAGTTATTTCTTTTCCCAGAGAATTCTCGTCGAAGGATCTCCGAAGCGTCGGGAACTATACTCTAGGCAGGTTGATTGGGAAAGGCTCCTTTGGCAAGGTTTATCTCGCGACGCATAAGCTCACCAATGGCTCGAAGGTGAGAGCCACTGCATGAATATATATTCAATGTTCATTCAAACCTTTCTAACATTTTGACGGCAGGTCGTGCTTAAGTCCTCGAGCAAGGAGGATACAAACCTCGCCCGTGAGATTCACCACCATCGCCAGTTCATCCATCCTCACATCGCCCGGCTCTACGAAGTCGTGGTGACGGAGAACTTGGTTTGGTTGGTGCTTGAATACTGCCCAGGTGCGATAGTTTGATAGAGCTAGTAGAACATGCGTTCGAGTCATACTAATGGATATGGCCAGGCGATGAATTATATAACTACCTCATCCGCCATGGCCCGCTGCCGGTTGACAAGGCCAAGAGAATTTTCACGCAACTAGTTGGCGCCGTTGCGTATGTCCACAGCAAATCGTGCGTTCATCGAGATCTGAAGCTGGAGAATATCCTGCTTGATAAACAAGAGAATGTCAAACTCTGCGATTTCGGATTTACTCGCGAATACGAAGGCAAAGCAAGCTACCTGCAGACTTTCTGTGGTACTATTTGTTACAGTGCGCCTGAGATGCTCAAGGCTGAAAAGTATGCCGGTGAGAAGGTGGATGTTTGGAGTCTGGGAGTCATTTTATACGCCCTTTTGGCTGGGGAACTGCCATTCGATGAAGACGATGATCAAGTCACAAAGCGTAAAATCTTAACGGAGGATCCGGTTTTCAATGACAAATTCCCAGGAGATGCAAAATCGTTGATCAGCTTGCTTCTATCGAAACGACCTTTGCTTCGACCTAGTCTTCAGGAGATTTTGGCCCATCCATTCCTCTCAGAGCACGCACCTGAGCAGCTTGCGATTCTAAAGATTCCTCAACCACCACCATTCAGCACGCCCTTAGAGAAAGCTACATTACAACGAATGAAAAGCGCGGGAGTCAACATCGACGAAGTTGTTGAAAATGTCCTGGCTCAGAGGTGTGACCCTCTAGCTGGATGGTGGACGCTTTTGATTGAAAAGGAACAACGTAAAGAGAAAAAGAGAGAACGCAGGCGGCGCGAAAGGGAAGCCGAGACGAAGAATTTGCGCCGCCTCAGCGCTGCAAGTAATCGACTCGAGAGAAGGTCTGCAGCCCTCCTAGAGGTCGATGAAGAAGGCCATGCTTCTCAAGACCCCGCCTTTTGGGATCAAGAAAGGAGGGGCAGACGGTGCTTAACTCGTAAGTTGAAATATGTCTCAGAACACTTTAGATTCAATATTATGTCCCTAACAAGATGACTAGCTCAGCCGACATTGCCCGAGCGGTCCGTTCTCTCTGAGCCAGGCACCATACAGTATCAAGGTACTTCCGCGGCACCTCAGATGGCTGATAAAGCATCGATACGGTCTGCAGGTTCTGCGAGGTATCGACCAGTACCACCTCCTAAGGATAAGAGACAGCCACGGCCGAGCACTCTACACATGAGTTCTTCTCAACCAGAGTTAGTACAGCGCAAGGCTATCTCCAAGCGTCGTCCCGGCCGCCGGCACCAGTATCCTATCATAAGCCAACTGGCTTCGTTGAAGCATTGGTTCGTGGAGTCTGCGAAGAGGGCTCGGTCCCCCAACCCCAAAGCAGCCAGTGGCTCGGGGATGCACCGCAAATTTCTCCCAGAAAGATTCAGTCCCGGGAAAGGACCTGAAACAACAAAGGAAGCAACGGCAGATGCCATTCGAGCAACCGCTCATCATTCAGACGAATTAGCAACGCCTACTCAAGTAAAACGGGCATCCTATGCTAGCAGTCTAGCACCAAGCAGCGCATCCTACCCTAATCATCGTCACTCGTATCCTCGTCAGCATCGGTTATCAAACCCCAATGCCTCTAGTCATCGAAGTTCGATGTCACCGTCCCCGCTTACCCCGAGGAATTCTTACCGTCGCTCGTCAGCCGGTTTGCGCGGTCGCAAATCTACCTCGTCTTCTGTCTCCTCCATTCGCAGCATCTACCATACCCACACCCATTCTAAAGCCTCGTCTGTCTCGTCCAACAGTGGTGATACCACATCCACACCGACAGTACGGGCCGCTAGATCTCCGCATGCGTCAGTAAAAGTATTGCCTACGACCCCAGGCGCCTCTGCTCGCTTCCCCAGCAATATCCGTTATGTGAGAGGTCCCGGAGGTGGATTACGTGAAATTCATGGTGATACTGATAGAGCGATGCCATCGGCATTTAACGAAGGAATTCCCGCGCCATTGGCAACCTCCCCCTCCTCGGGACTTGTTTTCGCTCGACGCAAAAGATCTGCATTTAAAGGCCCTATGGCCCATACAGCCAATCTCATGCTGTCAGGCGGCATAGGATCTCCTAGTCTAAACGGAAAGTTGGATACAGAAGATATCTCTGCCACTTCTGGAAGACCTGCAGCTAGAAGGAGCCAGATTATTGTGGAAGAGGAAGATATCGAAGACGAAGACATCGAAGAGGTAGATGCGTTTAGCGGTCCAGAGGATCATACCACGGTTCTTGAAGATGACCAAGACTCGCAAGGCGACCAAGTGAAAGCAGGTTACAATTCAAACGCGGACGGGTCAGGTCTGACTCTATCTCCTGATTCAGGTCAGAGACCTGCCTTAGCACCTTCTCCTGAGCTGGGACCCAGCCCGATCCGCCCTCCACGTTCGTCATCTCTACGAATGTCATCTCAAGCCCATTCCTCTGGAACGAAACCAGAGACCGCTGAATCTCCATCTTAAGATACACCATCCACCAACTGACGCAGATTTTTTTCCGTCATCATTACTATTACTACTATTATTATTTAAAGTCATACCTCTATTTCCTGCGTTTTCTTATTTTACCGTTATACCCCTTTTGCAGAAGTCCGGCTTTCCTCTCTTACGTTCAAACATCTTTCATTATATCCTCTTGTCAGCTTGATTTTTGATTCCCCTCCTTTTCTTTCTCCTTTGTCTCTTATAGATCTCTTGGTAGCGTTCCTAGTGACGGATTTCGTCCCTGCTAGAACGTTTGAATTCTTTTTCTGTATATTCTATTTCCCCATGCAGCTGTCTCAACACGTTGGATGCATTTTGGTTTCACTTACTGTGCATACCCAGTTCTCTGTTCAATTCAAGAAATGTGCCTCTCAGAGCTGGTCCCTCGTTTAGGTACCTCAAATTATTATTGAAGAGCTTGTTCTCCATCCGTTCGCTTCAAATGCTCCTAGATCATAGACTTTCTTCATTCGTTCATTCCCTTGTCTTCCATTTTGTATATATACCATTGTGTCTGGAAAGGAGTTCCATCAACGAGGCCAGGTGGACTTTACTTTCTTTTTGTTTTTGCTTAGCTAATGCTATTGTCACTGTGGTTGCCATTGTTCCGATCCCGCCGATTGATGGAGGTCCTGCTAAGCTATTGTTTGAAGGGACAGAATGAATGCACCTTGGTGAATTACTACACTTTAGGCATATCCTCCAAGCACTGCTGCAATTACAGATGAAGTGGATAGGCTATTTGGAAAAACATCACGGTAAGACTTAATCGTACATGTACCACCGTCTTTCATGTCAATCACCTATATATATTCCTTTAAAAAGAAGCTAAAAAATATCATCCGAGGGAGAATCGCTTCTTCAATTTGACCTTTTCTATACGTAAACTCTTCATAAATAAACATGATGGACAAGTCACTTCAAAATCGCCCGGCCCAAAGACAAAAAGGATCAAAGTGGACTGACTGTCTATCTATAATCGCTCATATAGCTGAAAAACGCAGATCTGTTCTAGTGCTTCTATGCTCTCTTGGACTTGAATGTGGCACCATTCTGCTGTACAGAAGTAGCTGAGGTATTGTAGAGATAACGCTCCACCAATTTGAGAAGTTCGTCGATCACCCTGAGACAGGCCGGGAGTAATTAGTTACAGTTTTTGAAAAGGTATTAACAGTATGTCCGTGCACTTACACAACTGGGGCGCTAATAGCCAATACTGCCTTCCACTCGATCGAGTCCAGAGGCAGGATGGAGAAGAGTCCTTGGAGATATGGGATGTATAGAATCGCAAAATGAAGAACCATTGATAGGATAATGGCGTAAACAAGCATCATATTTTTCCACAGAGGGAGAGTGAGGAGAGATTCACTAGAGGAAAGGGCATTCATGGCGTTCAACATCTCAATGACCACAAGGATGGACAGCGAGACTGTAGATGCTGATTTCGACATGTCATTCGAAAACATCTCGCAACCGATCTCGGGGAATGAGGCAGAGCACTTGTGGAAATGGGACTTGTTGAAAAGGTTAGCTTGGACAGGTACGATGGAATATGACATGAATTGGGCCTTATCGATAGAAATGGCACTTACCAACTGCCAGAAAGAAATCTGGGGTCCCTCAGGGTTATAAATAAACCACCAGGCGTAGCCAAAAACAGTTGCCGCTCCGACGTATGTGCCAATTACCAGGTACCTGAATAGAAGCCAGCCACCAACCAATGGCTCATCGCGCTTCCGAGGAGGACGCCTCATGACATCGTGATCGGCTGGATTGAAGGACAAGGCGGTTGCAGGCAAACCATCCGTGACAAGATTGACCCATAGAAGCTGTACAGGGACGAGGGCTTCTGGCATGCCAAGCGCTGCTGTCAAGAAGATAGATACGACCTCGCCGATGTTTGATGAAATAAGGTACCGAATAAACTGCTGAGTGTTGCTGTAGATTGACCGACCTTCTTCGACAGCAACCGTGATGGTAGCAAAATTGTCGTCGGCAAGCACCATGTCTGCGGCGAGCTTGGCTACGTCCGTGCCACTGCCCATCGCAACGCCAATATCCGACTTCTTTAAAGCTGGTGCATCGTTGACACCGTCTCCAGTCATGGCAACAACATGGCCAAGAGACTGGAGAAGATCTACCAGCTTTGATTTATGACCAGGTTCGGTCCGAGAGAAGAGGGACGCTTTGCTAACGGCTTCAAGCTTCTCACTCTCAGAGAGACTATCAAATTCCCTGCCAGTGAAGCTCTTGCCTTCCAGGTCTTCATGCTCACGGAAGATGCCAATCTGACGACAGATAGACTCAGCGGTACTCCGACTGTCACCGGTGATGACAATGACTCTGATACCAGCCAACCGGCATTTTCTCACGGAATCAATCACTTCAGGTCGGGGTGGGTCAAGCATTCCGACGAGACCGATGAGAGTCATGTTCCGTTCCAACTGGGCATATTCCTCGGGGGTGTTGGCGGTCTTCAGTCGCGGATCGGCCCATACATCGTTAACGCTGGCAATGGCAATAACACGAAGGCCCCGATTGCCATACTGGACAACGGCTTCAGAAAGCAAATCCACATGACTCTTGGTGAGAGGCACTCTCGGTCCATCAGACCCCAGCAATACATGAGAGCAACGCTCGAAGATCGACTCCGGGGCACCTTTAACCAGAAGCTTCTGTGCCTTCCCCTCTCCTACGAGAACGGACATGCTCTTTCGATCACGAGAAAATTCGTAAATTGCTTTCCGCGGGAGACGTGAGGCGTAGTACTCGCTCGCAGCATGTAGCCTTTGGGATGCGGGAAGACTAAAGAGCTTGCTATTAGTGGCCGCATCATCAGTTCCAATCTTCTCGACCAAGGCCCGCAATGCACCTTCCATGGGCTCTCCGATGCAAGAATATGTCTCGGTCTTCACATCATAAGAAAGCGAAGCATCGTTGCAGAGAGCCAGAGCTTCAGCCAACTGTCGGGTTGTCGATGACGAGACAGCAAGGTCCCGCAGTGTCTTGCCATTGCGTTTGAGATCACCTTCTGGAGCGAAGGTCGTGCCTTCAACATCAAATTCCACGACGTCAAGTCCAGATTTGTCCAGGTAAGTAACCTTCTCCACGCTCATCTGGTTGGTGGTCAGAGTCCCCGTCTTGTCCGAACAGATGACACTACAGCTGCCAAGAGTCTCGACCGAAGGGAGAGACCGGACGACTGCATTTTTCTGGGCCATTTTACGGGTTCCAAGAGCGAGACAGGTGGTAATGACCACAGCAAGACCCTCTGGAATAGCAGCGACGCCCAGCGAGACGGCAATCTTCAGATAGTAGATAGCTCCCTTTGCCCAACCACCATGAGACGGATCATTGAAGTGCTCGATGTTGATCACCCACACGAGCACACAGATGACGGTAATCACCTTTGCCAGCATGTCACCAAAATCATTCAGTTTTTGCTTAAGCGGGGTCGGTTCCGAAATCTGGGACACAATGCTCTCATGGATATTTCCGATAGCCGTAGATGTACCAGTCTGGACGACAATTGCGGTGGCGTGGCCATTGACAATGGTCGTGCCAGAGAAGACTAAGTTGGTCTGATCCTGCTTGACAGCCTGCTTATCGTTGACTATGCGGACGTCTTTGGCAACACTTTCACTCTCACCCGTCAGAAGGGCCTGGTCCACGCGAAAACCGTTGCTATGAATGTGGAGCAATCGACAGTCCGCTGGAACGCGGTCACCCACTGCAACATCAACGATATCCCCAGGGACCAGGTCTTCCGCTCTAATGCGTTGTGGCTTCCCATCTCGAATCACCTTGGCTTCATTTGCAGAGTATTCTTGGAGAGCAGCAATTGCCTTCTCGGCACTGCTCTCTTGGGTAACACCGACAACAGCATTGAGAATCAAAATAGTCAGGATCTGATCGTCGCACAAGGCCAAAAGTTAACACCGTTCTTGAAGACAGTCTCGGTGGAGGGCGGGTTGGACTACGTACCACAGCGGGGTCCACGAATGCAGTCCAATCGTCTCCATCTTCAAACAGAGCAAGGACAAAGGAAACTGCCGCGGAACCAAGCAAGATGAGGACCAATTGGTCTTTGAACTGTTCCAACACCAGCTCCCAAAGAGGCGTGGGAGGGTCTTCGGGAAGAGCTGAATGGCAGGGAATAGGTTGTTAGTGGACGTGTCTTCTTCAAGAGGGCTTCGATGCGAAGGGAGTAAACTCGAGACGTCTACTTGCGGGTTACAAACCATTGGGACCGTATTTCTGTTTAGACTTCAGGACCTGCTGTGTTGATAGACCGGTGCTCTCGGAAACACCAAAATACTCCAGGACTTCGGCTGGAGAGCGAAGGAATGAATGCTCCATGCTGTCGAGGGAGACTGCGAAAAGCACGCAGCAGCTGGCACAGAGACGGTTACAACAAGATAAGGAAAGGAAAGGAAGAATTTGGGGAAGCGACGAAAAGAGCGAAACGAGCAACGTAAGCAATTAACTACTACCCAGTGAAAGACATGGGAACGCCAAGGTAGTAGTCCCAGAAAGTTTATACGAGCAGTGGTAGTAGCGAAAGAGATAGATAATAATGATGGAGGCCGGTTCGTCGCCCTGTAAAGTCCGCGCTGGAGAGGATTATTATGTCACTGGGTGTCGGTGGGAGGACGTCCAGATTGAAATAATAACGGCAATGGAGAACGCAACAGCGCGCCTGTCCAAGCTCAACGTGTTCTTTTCTGAGTGTCTACGCTGCGAAACTTTGAAATCTGGGTCTTTTCTTCTATTTCTCCAACATGCAAAAAAGCTGCTTGGCAGGGCTGACCGGCCTGGTCAGGTGCCTCGCTGACTCAGCGACAGAGGCTTCTGGAATTACTTCCTAGTAGTAGTAGTAGTAGTAGTAGTAGTAGTATTTACTAGTAGTAGGTAAAAGATCATTTTCTACAAGTATGATAGAGGACTGTTTCTGCAGCTTGCCATTCCAATAGTCGATTCGTGAACAGGCTGGCAATGACGACGATCGGACAACCTCTCATGCAATCTGTACGGCGTAATAACCCAGTTGGCGGTTGGTTCAAGCAACGATGATCGATCACTGGCGACTGTCCCAATTCTGATCCAAGTAGGATTCCTCGAAGCATTCTTTATATTAACAGATTCGTTCAATCAGTCAATTGTCGATTCATTCACTATTAATTATTTGAGCTGCGGAGTGAAACGACACGATCTGACTTAGGATGTCGCAGAGCAGACTCAAGAGACAAACAGTGAGATACAAGGGAAAGCAGAAAGACAGAGAGAGAACCATTACACAGCATCAAACCTGCGTAGTCTGCGCAACCAGCAGCGCTTTTGCAATGTTGATCGACTGCAGCCGGCAAGACAGTGCGAGGAAATAAATAGAAGTGCGTCGTCCGTCGTAAAAGGGGCGGCCATCAGGTGACCTCACCGAGTACTATGAGAATGCATACGCAGTCCAAGAGGACACCACGAAGACAGAAAGAAGGGAACAGAAGCAGAACAGGTAGACAGATCACATCAGTGTAGATTTCCTCGTTTTTATGCCAGAATAAAGCAGAGGAAAAAAGAAAACAAGCGAGTCGCTAAGCGTTGCCAGTCACCTCACCGGCCCATCACTGCCTGCTGCCACCAATGGCGGCTGCTAGCTCGCGTCTGCCAACTCTGCCCTCCTCCGCCTCCCCCAAATCTCTCTCTGCTCTTCTATCTCGGTATCTGTCTTGTCTCCTTTTCCTCTTCCATTCTCCCTCACCATCCCTGACTGCTTCTGTGAACACCTTCCGTCACTCCTCTTCCCACCTCCTCTTTACTCCCTTCATTTCTCCCTTTCTCCCTATTCACGATGAGCTCTGAGGTACGTGTTGTTCTGTCCCAAACCCCTCCTCCCCTCCCCCCAACATTCCCCCTCCAAATTTGTGTTTGTCTTGAGGCTCTGCCCCAGTACTCACTGCAAAAAGCCTATCTTCTTCCATGCATCTTCTCCTTGCTTGCATCATTTTCTCATTGGCAGAACTCTCTACTGACTCAAGATGCTTGAAATCCAGCGTGAAAAGTAAGAAATTCGCGGCTATCAAAGTCCCCAGTCCTGCGAGGGATTGTAGTACTGACATCCATTCCCCCCTTCCAGCAAGACATTCCTCGCGAGGCTCTGCGAGCAGGCCGAGCGCTACGATGGTAAGCCCTTCTACTGCGTCGGTTCTGGTAGCGGAACAAACTAATATTCTACTTCTCTCCAGAGATGGTCACGTACATGAAGGTGAGTCGTCCTTTACATCTACCGCTACTTTCGGTTATTTCAGTTCAATACTAACTCTCCGTCCAGGAAGTCGCCAACGTATGCATCCTATGAGCCTAGCATTCCTTTTGCCCCCCTCCCTTGCTCGACCTCCTGACTGACATACTCCCAGCTTGGAGGCGAGCTTACCGTCGACGAGCGTAATCTTCTTTCCGTCGCGTACAAGAACGTTGTCGGTACCCGTCGTGCTTCCTGGAGAATCATCTCCTCCATCGAGCAGAAGGAGGAATCCAAGGGCTCTGAGGAACACGTTGCCATCATCCGTGACTACCGCCAGAAGATCGAGAACGAGCTGGAGAAGGTTTGCCAGGATGTTCTCGAGGTCCTCGATCAGTCCCTCATCCCAAAGGCTGAGACTGGCGAGTCCAAGGTCTTCTACTACAAGATGTTAGCGCATTCTTTTTGATGGATCCCAAGCCTTCTTCCTCCGCCCCCTCTATTCCTGTAGACTGCTGACGCCTTAATCTGCGCTACAGGAAGGGTGACTACCACCGTTACCTCGCCGAATTCGCTTCTGGTAACAAGCGCAAGGTCGCTGCTACCGCTGCCCACGAGGCGTACAAGGTATGTCTCAACTGATTGTCTTCGAAGAACCCCTGACTAGCAGGCTTGCTAACACGCTATCAGAACGCTACCGATGTTGCCCAGACCGATCTTACTCCCACTCACCCCATCCGCCTTGGTCTCGCACTCAACTTCTCCGTTTTCTACTATGAGATCTTGAACTCTCCCGACCGTGCCTGCCACCTCGCCAAACAGGCTTTTGACGATGCCATCGCTGAGCTTGACTCTCTCTCTGAGGAGAGCTACCGTGACAGCACCCTTATCATGCAGCTGTTGCGTGACAATCTCACTCTCTGGACCTCTTCCGATGGCAACGAGCCGGAGCCGGCTGCGGCCGCCAAGGAGGACAAGCCAGAGGAATCTGCGCCGGCGCCCGAAGAGAAGACTGAGGAGGCTGCAGCACCTGCACCCGAATCTTAAAGGTTCTGTGTCGACGCCCCTGTTTAGTTGTTCGAATTTGTTCTGGATCTGATACGAGAGTCGTTTCCAGTCGCATTGATGGGAAATGCACCGGTATTAATGTCCAGTGGTTCGGGATTGTGTGGGTTGGCCAGCGGAGTTTGATGTTTGGAGAGCGGAGAAAAGGGGACGAGTGGAATTTATCTCTCTTTTATATTTTCTATTCCCTCCCCGGCAAGCTACACTGTTTTTTCTGCGCTTTTATTGTATCCCTTTTTTTAACTCGATATCTCCCCAATCGTCTTGAAATTGAATGTAGTTGGTTCCTGATCCCTGTTTTGTTTCGTTTCTGCGTCCTGTCATATCCTTCTTGTCTGCCACCCAAGGTAATAGTGCGAACTAACCGCGCGACCAATGGCGAGGCGGACAAGTCTGGACAGACGGCCAAGGAAATCGACAGGTGGGATCCTGTAGGAATCTGATTGTTTAAGAGAAGCATCCCTTTCTTCACCTTGTCTATTTATGTAGCCGGCCTTGCCTGTCTTTCTGCATGTTGTTAATAATAGAACAACACCGTATCTTCCAGAGCCAGCGAAGTTTGACCTGCTAACAGCGTAAGTCGGCCGATATGAAATCTAATTAGAATGAGGAAATGTAGTTTTGAGTCTAGAAAGAAATGCAGAATCTAGTCATTAGTAATTAATGGGAAGGAAATAGATATAGACACAGGGTAACAATAACAGTTTGTCTACACGAGGAAAAGACTCGAAAAGTGAGAAATGCAGAAAAAAAAAAAAGGGCAAAAAATAACAACCCCAAGCAATGCATTCAGATATAGACATGACAATACAAAAGAAAATAAAATATACGCTGACAATGATCTTCCGTCGAAGGGGTCTGGATCTGGGCTTTTTATTCTTTTCTTGTTCAATTCACATAAAGTCATCGTCACCCAGCCCATCATCATCATAGGCTGTAGTGTCCAGATCATTATTCCTGGAGGTGACCAGAGAGACCTTGGTCTTGGCCGCCTTTGTCTTCTTAGACCCCTTGTCTGCCGCGCGTTCTTCCCTCATCTTCTCATTGCTCATGGTGGTAAGGACACTGGAAACCTTCTTAACCTCAGCACTAGGAAGCTCCTTTAGAAGCTGCCTAATGAAATCCTGTGCCCATAGAGAATACGCCGGCTTCTTCGAGTGCACGGTCAACAGGGGAATGAGCGTATTTGTGAGTTTAGTAAACTGGTCCTTGGTAGCAGGCTTAAAGAGCGGCATCGCAGAAAGATCCACAGCCTGCGTGGGATCCCCTGAGTTCTCCACGACGATGGCCCTGGGCGCGCCCCGGTTCCGGGTCCTGTTGAGGTCGATGTCCCCGAACAGATCCTCCGCGTGCTTGAGATCAGAATCCTTCTCCGTCTTCCGCAACCGCGCCTTGCGCTCGGCTTCGTCCTCGTCGGATTCGTCCTCTGATGCCTCGCCCTTGGCCTCTGCCTCTCGTCGTCGTTGCTGCTTGTGCTCTTCTATCCGCTGCGCTTTGCTTTTCTTCTTTGCTGCCGCTTCAGCTTCGGCTTTGGCTTTGGCCGCTGCTGCCGCCGCTTGTTTTTCTCGCTCTACATCCGAGTCCTCGGCAGCGTCCCAGGAGTCAAGGACCTAAGAATTATGATAAACGGTTAGTCTTCATTTAATTTTTTAAAATTTTTTATCCTTTTTTACACGTGCGCTGAAAAGGGGGAATATATCACACAGAAGTGTTGGGGAAGGGAAGGGGCTCACCTCATCTTCCTCCTCATCGTCGAATTTGCGACGATAAGCAGCCGCAACTGGAGGAGGCGAAGAAGGACCAGAGCTTTCCTCCTCGTCGTCTAAAACCAAATAATAAATTAGCAATTTTTCCTCAAACCCGCATCGTCGGGAGTAGACTCGAAATGAAAATGCACATACCCCACTTTGAGGGAGGCATGATGCGCCAAACGCTTTTCAAAGAAAAATTAAAAAAAAAAGAATAAACCTCAAAGACGGTACTCGCTGATGTCTCTCACTCGATCACTCGAGGTGGCAGTGTCTCAGCGATGAAAAGATGCCGTCGAGTATGTTGGTAAAAAAGAAGGCAGGAGATTTTCATAATATTGCAGCCTTTGAAGCGTCAACAGGTACTGTGAGGATGGCGGGGTGTCACGTGGCCTCCTGTATCAGCCCAAGATACTCTAGAAACTTCATCGCTACTGTCAAGTACCTACATATGGAAGACTTGTTTTATTCGAAAAGTAATTTTTTGCTCGCCAGTAGGCTTTCATTCATCACTATAACATTACTAATCTTAAATGGCCTTTACTTCGTGGTCATTCATAAATTGTTCCAAACCTGCCCCCGTGGCCTTCGCTGTCAGTCGGTGCCCAACTATGCCTTGCAAAGGATGCTACCACGGCATGGCAATCATCCACCCTCACGTGGAGACTATCGGGTTGGTAATATAAAGAAGATTTCCCTTGTATTATACCCTCATACCAGCTGCATTTACAGATTAACAGCGTGGCGGAACTTGGTACCCGCGTACACGGCGTTGTCACCGAGCTCCTCCTCGATACGGAGGATCTGGTTTAGCTTAGCTAGACGCTCGGAACGAGCGGGAGCACCAGTCTTGATCTGGCCGGAGCGCAGACCGACGACAATGTCGGCAATGGTGACGTCCTCGGTCTCACCAGAACGGTGGGAGACCATGACACCCCAGTTGTCGGCGTACGAGTCCTTGGCAGCCTGGATGGACTCGGTAAGGGTACCGATCTGGTTGACCTTGAGCAGAAGGGCGTTGCAAGACTTGAGCTCAATAGCCTTCTTGATACGCAAGGGGTTTGTAACGGTCAAGTCATCACTGTTAGGGGAAAGCTTCGTTAGATATTGTATCGAATGAAATATGTGCACCTTGGCAAGGGGGACACCTACCCAACAATCTGGAAGTCAGAGGTCTTGTAGAAGTAGCTCCAGGCCTCCCAGTCGTCCTCAGCGAAGGGATCCTCAATGCTGACAATGGGGTACTTGGCAGCCAGTGACTTGTAGAGGTCGGCCAGCTGCTCGTAGGTGAGCCACTTCGAGGGATCGCTGTCGGGGTTCTTGAAGTCGAGGTCGTACTTCTTAGCGTCGGTTTTGTAGAATTCGCTGGAGGCAACATCCATGGCGATGTGGATCTTGCCAGCGTAGCCGGCCTGTTCGATAGCCTCGCTGATGAGGTCGAGGGCCTCCTCGGCGGTCTGAATATCGGGAGCGACACCACCCTCATCACCAACGTTACCAGCGGATTGGCCATACTTCTTCTTGGCCAGGGACTTCAGCTTCTGGTAGACCTCGGAACCTTGGCGGAGAGCCTCAGTGAAAGTAGGAGCAGTACTGATCAAATCAAATCAATAACGCGGGACTCTTGTCGATTCCAAACTGTCTGTGAAACTTACTCGGGGACAATCATGAACTCCTGGAAGGCCAGGCGGCCACCAGCGTGGCTACCACCGTTGAGGACGTTCATGAAGGGGACAGGGAGGACGTAAGGCTTCTTGGTTCCGGCGAGGTCGGAAACGTGGGCGTAGAGAGGAATGCCCTTCTCGGCAGCACCAGCCTTGGCAACAGCCAAGCTGACACCCAGGATAGCATTAGCACCAAGCTTGCCCTTGTTAGGGGTTCCATCGAGCTTGTTGAGCAAGGCATCGACTGCGGACTGGTCCTTGACATCGACATTCTCCTTGATGAGAGCGGGTCCAAGGATCTCGTTAACGTTCTTAACAGCGGTCAGGACACCTGCAAATCGACCAGTCTGTTAGCCTTCTTTTCTCCAAGAAATGAAAAAGAGTACAATCAATTATACTAACCCTTTCCGCCCCATTTGGACTTGTCACCATCACGGAGCTCAACGGCCTCGTGCTGACCTGAATATCACCGTCAGCATATCTGAGAAGTAGCGAGCCTTACAACAGCTAGATAGATAGATTCAGGACAAGGGAAACAAACCAGTAGAAGCACCAGAGGGAACAATGGCACGGTGCAGACCGGTCTCGGTGACAAGGTCAACCTCAACAGTAGGGTTGCCTCGAGAGTCGTAGACAGAGCGGGCGTGGATCTTAGAGATAGGCATCTTGGGAACAAACTGAGATAGTGGTCAGACAATTGAGAAGTCTAGAGAAAGCTGAGAAGTGTGAACAGGATGAGACCAAGAGAGCAGGGGAGCAGGGAGAGGGACGCTGCTAGATATAAGGGAAAGCTCTTGTTTTGGGGTGACTAACAGAGCTTCACCGAAGCCAAAAAGAGAGATCGGGAGGGGAGCAACAGTGGCGCTGGAAAGGGCAAAAAGCAGTTGATGAGGAGCACCAGATTGATAGCAGGACACGCACGGAGCGCTTACAGACCAATTGGCAGTAGCCAAAGTGTCTTTATAGAGGTTTTGCCTGCTCCTGGCGTGGTATGATGGCAGCGAGCTGGCGATGAAGGGGCAGACCCTGCAACAGCAGAGTGGTGGGATGATGGTGGGGCAATAACGCAGTGATCTCAGAGGGACCGTGTGGTTTATAGATTTCTGCAATGCAAATATATAGAATATACTGAATACTTACCGATCAGGCTGAAGATGTTGTAGATGAGAAGTAGACAACACCACAAAAGGGCAATGTTGAAGTAATGATGTGAAGCGGGGGGATTGCCAGAATGAGGGGCATCTAGACTGGTATTTATATCCACCGGCCCTACGCCTTGTTCTTTCAGTTAACCGTAGACGTGGCTCTCCTCCCGACGCATTCTGCTTCTTCCTCTTGCGCTCTCCGATTCTTTCCAAAGCAGCAGTGGGGCGCGCTGATGCTTCACAGTCTCTCGCTGGACAATCCATGCTTGCATTCCGCCGGCACAGCGACATCTCCCGCGCCCCTCGGGATAATGGCGAGTATTTGCCTGTTCCTGGAGCTATCGGCGATGATGATACTCGTCTATATTAATATGATATTAATCTGGCCTATTCTAATCTTATTGTCACTTGAAATACCGGTTTCTTGTCTACTATTAGTCTACAGGTTAGGATTACAGCGTAGCCTCAGGCCAACCTGCAATCCTCCCGACATACACGTGTATAAAAACGCACTCACACCGTATTTAATCACTCATATTCATGGACGTCATGGCCTGATGGATCGCACGGACTCGTTGCATGATGTGTAGAAAGCCAAAACATCCATCTCTCTCTGGGACATACGCAAAGGGCGCTCTGTATTACTCGAAGTTTCCACCGTCCATTGCGTAATAGACGCACGGATATGCAAACTGTACAAACACCCGATCGATCAGTGATGCCTGGCGTATCTGGCGGCATATATTACACGTGATTAATTGTATTATATAATATATTGATATGATCATGTGATATGGCTGCCAGCATGCTGGAGGAGCTTCCCCAGGCCTGCATCCACGCAGGTAACCAGATATCCTATATCCTCCGGCGAGTCGCCCCCCCCCAGCTCTCTGGCCACGATCTCCCCTGAGATTATCAAACTATATCCAAGCACCTTTCTGTTTTCCTGTCCATCCTCTCCTTCACCGTTGTCATAATCCCCAGATCGCCATGAACGGCGCCGCTGACCCCGAGCGCGAGCAGGCGCTCGAGGATTACAAGAAGAGCTTGCTGGAGTTACGAGAATGGGAATCAAAGCTTAAGTCTTTACGCATGGGCATCAAGGATCTGCAAAGAGAATTCGATGTCTCTGAAGAGAACATCAAAGCATTGCAAAGTGTCGGTCAGATCATCGGGGAGGTCTTGAAACAGCTAGACGAAGAGAGATGTAAGCTTGCTAGCACTTCATCCCCTAATCTAATTTTGACGACGACAACATCTCAAACGCGTGACTAACTTGGCCCAAGTTATCGTCAAGGCATCTTCCGGACCCCGATACGTAGTCGGCTGCCGATCGAAGGTCGACCGATCAAAACTAAAGCAAGGCACCCGTGTCACTCTTGACATGACCACGCTGACTATTATGCGGATGCTTCCTCGAGAAGTTGATCCATTGGTGTACAACATGTCTCTTGAGGACCCTGGCCAGGTCAATTTCGCAGGTATTGGTGGGCTGAACGACCAGATTAGAGAACTACGGGAAGTGATCGAGCTACCGTTGAAGAACCCGGAGCTTTTCCAGAGAGTAGGAATCAAATCTCCTAAGGGCGTGTTGCTCTACGGACCTCCCGGAACTGGAAAGACGCTGCTGGCGCGGGCAGTAGCTAGTTCAATGGAGACAAATTTCCTGAAGGGTATGCATAATCACGAAATCCCGGGATGGTCATAACACGGAGTTACTCACTGAACTGTTCTCAAGTTGTCTCATCCGCGATCGTCGATAAATATATCGGTGAATCGGCGCGACTAATCCGAGAGATGTTTGGCTACGCAAAGGAACACGAACCTTGCATCATCTTTATGGACGAGATAGACGCTATTGGCGGCAGGAGATTCTCGGAGGGCACTTCTGCAGACAGAGAAATCCAGCGGACGTTGATGGAGCTTCTCAACCAACTTGACGGCTTCGACTATCTTGGAAAGACAAAGATCATCATGGCTACGAACCGACCAGACACCCTGGATCCAGCTCTACTTCGAGCGGGTCGACTGGACCGGAAGATCGAGGTTCCCCTTCCCAACGAAGTCGGTCGCTTGGAGATTCTGAAGATTCATACCGCCGGTGTTCAGATAGAGGGTGAGATCGACTTCGAGAGTATTGTGAAGATGAGTGATGGCCTAAATGGAGCTGATCTTCGTAATGTGGTTACCGAAGCGTATGTTTTCTCTTTCCCCTTTCTCATGTCTTTTCCGGGACGTTCTAACAGCAACTGTAGTGGTCTGTTTGCAATCAAGGACTACCGCGAGTCAATTAATCAGGACGACTTTAGCAAAGCTGTCCGAAAGGTTGCAGAGGCGAAGAAATTGGAAGGCAAGCTGGAATACCAGAAACTGTAGCCAAAGACGCTCAATCTATCTTGTCTCATATATGAGCTCTACAATCCACCATCCGTTAGGACATATTCTAGTCACACGGCAAATTAAAGGCGTTGCAACTCGATGCACTACTGGACTTTTTTGCTATTAGATGATAATATAGAGAAGAGGTGACGGGGGGAGACTAAACATCTCTGCAGAATAATCCGCTATCAAAATTCTATTGGCCACAGCAAATTTGTCGCATCTATCCATAATCATTATCCGCAGCGTATGGCACACTTGAAGCAGATGAAACCATTAATGACCCTGAAGACTGCTCCTAGTTCATGGGGTTGCCGCAGTTCTCATGCAAAGCTTAACTCTAGAAGACCCGCGCCAAGAGACAACGCGTCTTATCGAAGCTCCAGGGTCCAAAAGACACTCTGGTCACATCAATGTAATAGGGTCAACATCAGTGAGTACTTGGATATTGGTATGGTTCCCCCGCGTTCTCCTACTCTGTACTTTCCTGCTTCACGTCTATTTCCTGTATTCATCACTGATTTTATAAGGGGCATCTGCCATTCTGCGGCATGAGACACTGCTCTGGCCATGCTATCAACTACTTGAAGGCTGTCTCGTGTGCATTCAAATAACAAGACATCATTGACTGATTGTTCCTTTGAAATGGAAAAATAGATACCGTTATTTCCGCTGTTACTGCTTTCGGTGAGCAATTCGAGAAACGAGCTTGACAGAACAAACCGAATTCCATCCAGCCCTGGGAAGTCCGAGGTGGAACGGGCATTGCACCGCGGCTTTCGAGCCAGTCCAGTCATTATAGGAACTCCCCAGGTACTCTGTGCTATCAGCCAGGGGGCATTGAACAAAAACGACCATGTCCTTCCAACCTCAAAACGTCCCCTCGTTTCCCTCCTCCCAGCGACCTCTTGGAGACGGCCATTGGCGTGCGAATAGAACCCCTGGGAACAGTGGACTGCCTGGATATGGACTCTCGCAGACGGCTTCCGTATCCAATCAACTGAGCGGCTTCTTCGGTGGAAGTCGCACTCTCCCGATGTATAAAGACAAACCATATTTTGCGCCGCGGCGCACAGGCCCGAGGCGTTACCGAAAGATCGTCTATAGTGGTATTGGCCTTTTTGTGCTGGTTATTGTGTGGTATATGACAGGTGGATTCGGAGGCTGGGATACATTGGGATTGAAAAGCTCCGAAGCTACTCGGGATGCGGACCTTTGGAGCTGGATGCAGAGCTTCGGTGGTTCTCTTTCAGAAGGCGGAAAAGTTGGCAAGACGAAGTCTATTGATTGGGAGGCTAGGAGAGAGAAGGTCAGAGATGCCTTCATTGTGAGTTGGGATAGCTATGCCGAACATGGTTGGGGTACGTTTAGACTTTTTTCCATTTCTCCTTCAATGTTTCTGCTGCGCGCGAGAAGACTGATGTATCCCTGCTCTGGTTGCTAGGATACGATGAGTATAATCCGATTTCGAAAAATGGCAGACACATGGTTGAGGGCGGCATGGGCTGGATAATCGTGGACGCTCTTGACACGTTAATGATTATGAACCTCACCTCCCGGGTCCGACATGCACGAAATTGGATCCATAATTCCCTCCATTACAACCAGGATCATGACGTTAATACTTTTGAGACGTCCATTCGCATGCTCGGCGGCTTACTCTCGGCGCATTATCTTTCGACGACTTACCCCGACCTTGCCCCAATATCTGACGATGATGTAGGCTCGCCTGGAGAGGACTTGTACATCGAGAAGGCTACCGACCTCGCAAATCGTTTGCTAGGTGCCTTCGACTCTCCAACTGGCATTCCCTACGCCAGTGTGAACCTAAATAAATCGATGGGCTTGCCGTCTCATGCGGACGGCGGTGCTTCGTCGACCTCCGAGGCTACCACTGTACAGCTGGAGTTCAAGTATCTTGCTAAAGTGACTGGAGAAGCTGAGTACTGGAAGACGGTAGAAAATGTGATGAAGGTTGTGGACGATCAGAATATGGAGGACGGGTTGCTTCCTATCTATCTTTATCCCGAGACGGGTAAATTCAGGAACAATAACATTCGCCTTGGGAGTAGGGGTGACTCGTACTATGGTAAGTTGGATCTGTTCACCTGCGTTTTATTAAACCATATATCTATGCATTGATTCTTGCCCCGCTGATGTTCTCCGCGCGGTTATGTTTTTCAGAATATCTCATCAAGCAATATCTACAGACTTCGGAGCAGGAACCGATCTACAAGGAAATGTGGGATGAATCGTTGATAGGCATCCGAAAGCATCTAATCACATATTCCAAACACGCACAGTTGACAATTCTCGGTGAACGGCCCGATGGTCTTCATGGTACGTTGTTGGGCAAAATGGACCATTTGGTCTGCTTCTTGCCAGGAACTATCGCTCTGGGCACAACAGGGGGCCTGCCGCTGTCCGAGGCGAAGAAGTCACCAGAATGGAGTCTCAGGCGCGATGAGGAAATCTTGCTTGCCAAGGAGCTGATGAAGACTTGCTGGGCGATGTATCTGGCCACGAAGACAGGTCTTGCACCTGAAATCACGTACTTTGAACTGGACAGTCCACCGGTGATGATGGCGGACATGTATCCCGATTCCACCATTCTCAAGGGCGACCAGAAGTCTTCAGGTGAAGACTTGCATTTCAAATCCCAGCCTCTATACCCCCTGGAAGACGAGACCTTACCATGGAGGAAAGACATCGATATCCACTCTCAAGACAAGCACAATCTACAACGGCCTGAAACAGTCGAGTCGCTATTCTACATGTACCGTATAACGGGTGACGAAGTCTACCGGCACTGGGGGTGGGAAATGTTCAAATCCTTCGTGAAGCACACTGCTGTACTCGAGGAGATTGTCGACGACTCCGACTCGACGGCAGAGGGCAAGAAAGTGCCCCGTATCACGGGATTCACATCTCTCTCCAATGCAGACGTAGTCCCAGCTGCCCAGAAAGACAACATGGAGAGCTTCTGGCTCGCGGAGACGTTGAAGTACTTCTATCTCCTGTTTTCAGACAGGCAGTTTATTCCTCTCGAGAAGACGGTGTTCAATACCGAGGCGCATCCGTTCCCCCGGTTTCAACTTGGGGGTGATTTGAAGACTGGGTGGACAAGACAGCCACGGTCGTAGACGAGGTATCTCGGGTTTATTTTTTCCTTTTGATCCTTTCCTCTTTGGCCAGCAGAGATATCCAATGTCCCTTGCTCTTGTTCTATGTGGCTGTTGACATGATTGCGTCTTTGATGAATGCATAGCTGTTGTATATATCCGAATATTTCTTTTCTTAGGATCTGATCTGCGAAGCAAGGAATTTGCTTAGACAAAAAGAATTTGATCTTATTCTGGCTGCTATATACTACTTTGGATGCCATGACTGATATCTACTCTCATAGAATTTCGTTTTGCTGTTTCGCTGCCATTTTTGGCCGCGCATGACGCCGAAAACGGCGGCGTTTCAGCAACTATCACCTGCCACGCTCCCGCACTTTTCTCCCATGCATCACCAACACAATCCTCAGGCAGCATCATGGCTTTCATCATCTGCAACACCATTTACTTCCTATTAAGTTTCACAAGGGTGCGGAAAATGGCCTCCTCAGCACCCCACCAGCTGATGGCTAGCTGGCACCTAGCCATCTGTAAGGCCACAAAGTCAGCAGCCTCAGGCCACACAAGATCACGTGTATTTAGCACTTAGGGAGCTCCGCAACACCATAGCGAAGTCAGCGATTAGTTCTTAACTAGCTCTAGTAGGATTAGCAACTCTACAATACATTGGTTATGCCCTGCCTGAGAGTTGCTTATATTCTGTCTTTGTAGAGACTAAGTACTGCATGCATCAAGCAATTTGCCATCATCAAGTGTCAGGAGATGGACATCAAATGAATTGAGCAATGGGGTAAGCAATCAGGTTGCTCAGTGAGCAAAACGATGCAAGGGATGAGCACCAAAATGTAGGATATCAAGTATTTACATATGCGGATTACCCATAACAATCAATATATATATATAAAGATCTACAACACTCCCACCTAGCATATTTGATTATTTACTACTGCTTCTGGTTCCGCCCCAAGGCGGCATCAATCAACCGACGATAACCCCGGACAGCCTCCTCGAGTTCAGCGACGGTGATAGCCTCATTATCGCCGTGTGCGACATGGATACTGCCGGGACCATACAGGTAACGAGAGACGGTAGCATTGTCGGACGGATGAAGAACAAGATTGGGCACATCAGTCCCGTAGTTGACGGTGGTAATCTCGAACCCCTCGACGTCCGTATCAAGATCCTGGGGTGCATACCCCGCATTAGCAGGGAAAACAACCTGAACATCCGCGTCGCCCTGCGTGGCATCCACGACAGCCTGACGGATAATCCTGCGCGCTTGCTCAGGCGTCCCTGCGGCAAGACGCACAGCAACCTCTGCCTCCGCCGCGGCGGGGACGACATTTGCCGCGACGCCAGCGCGAACGGAGCCGATATTGACGGTGGTCGGACCGAACTTGGGACTAAACGGCAACCCGCCTTCCTCGATGGGGATGTCGCCGAGCCTGTCAACACGGGACAAGGCCGGAAGGATAGCGGAGACAGCACTCCGACCTAACCAGGGATATCCGGAGTGAGCGGCATGGCCGGAAGCGAGGATGTTGAAGCCCACCATGCCCTTGTGGCCGGAGACGAGGGCATGGTCCGTTGGCTCGCCAAAGATGACGGTGTGAAAGCTGGAAGGGGCGGTGTTCAGATTCGAGGCGGAGAAATACTTCATGCCATCTCCGCTGATTTCCTCACCCACGACGAAGAGCAGGGCTAGTGGGGCGTTGGGAGTGTCGGAGAGGGTTTCGAGAGTGGCGAACACTTGCGCCGCGACGCTTGCTTTGGCGTCTACGGTTCCGCGGCCGGAGATGAGGACCGCGTCGCGGTCGATAGTCGTGGTACCGGCATCATAAGAAAGCGAGTAGGGGATAAAAGGCGGGACCGTGTCGATATGGCTTGTGAGGAGGACACCAGGGAATTCGGGGTCAATCACATTGTTATTAGCGGGGTAGGCGTAGATGTTGAAACGAGGGCGAGAGTCGTGGCTCTTCACAGGAAGGGGTTGCTTGAACACGGTGAAATTGCGGGCTTGGAGGAATTCAGTGATGAAGTCACCGACGTCTTGCTCGTTACGAGAGATAGACTCTATCTGGACGATATCGCGATGGAACGAGAGCAATGGGGAGGACTTGACGATGTCTTCCAATCGCGATTGTATGGTGGCGGAGGTAGTGGTGCCTGTTAGAGGACTCTGTCCTTGGCGTGCACTTGCATTTGCGACAGTAGAGCCTGCCAGCAGGGAGGAGAGGAGGAGCAAGAGCTTCATGTTCACCTTCCTCGCCCCTTTTACAATTGAATATATTCAACACCCTCCTGAATCCTGTGGCACTAGAGAAAGTCGGAGGGGCATCCGAAACCGGCGAGTCACGTGCCACGAACCATTGCGTTGAATGCGACCGTTATTGTGCAATTCATCCTTTTCATCTATTCTACGGATAATACAGCTTACGGAGGATGATGCATACACGAGATAACCGGATCAGGATCCGAGACAGCGCGAGCCTCCGGGTTTGAACCGGGCCAGCAGGAATAAGGAACAGGAAATACCAGGCATAATACCTGCCTGCTACTTTTTCTCCGTACGTCCCTGTCAAAAGCTCAAAGCAGAAGGGGAAAACGAACAAACGTTGGAATGTCGACAGTGATCATGCATAGATCTGCAGCTCACTCCTGGAACCTGCCGCATAAAACAGGATGGAAAGGCAACACTGGGCCTTTATCTGAGAGTCAGTGTAATACGTCGTCCGTCATGACGACATCGACGTACATGGCATTGACAGACAATCCTCAGAAGTGTCTACGCTGTACACCACGCTGTATGGCATATGCTGTCTTATCTTGACAGTCGGACAACGGCCGAAAAAGAAAATCAGAATTTCTAGCCATCCATTTATTACCACAAGTACATATACCCCGCTGGCCTCGCTCATTCGTCTCTGTGTATGGCTACCGGATTGTAGCAACCCAAAACTCTGTTTACTTCCGGTTCCAAAGCCGGGCAGACCACGTTTTCCAGTAAGTGATGAAATGTGGTCCGGACTCAGGACTGGACGGTTATTCGCATGAAACTGCGAAATGCTCCATAGAGGCATTCATGGAAGGCCGGAAGGGGTTCCAGAAAGAGTTGGCAGACATACAAATGATGTATGTATGCCTGCAAACAATGGAGTGGTACCGTGGTACCCGGGTAGCTAAGTCAAACGAAACCCTCGTATCTACGGAGTACTCCTAGCCCCCCTCGCTTCTTTCAAGTACCGGATAGCCGGGGAGGGAAGAGGATGGAGTTTGTCGCCCGGTAAGAACTGAGGTTCTTACCCAACAATGGCTGGGATGAGGGAGCTATGGCCACGGGCCGGAAGGTGGTAAGTAACACTGCAGATGGACTGAGAAACCCGGACGGGTAGCAGGTTTAAGTCCATCTTTCAGTAAATACGGATAGATGATAGATCTTTTTGTGGATCCTGGACCTTGTCGATGAAGGCAGTCAGCGGTGAACGGATGAAACAGAGACAAGACAAGTTTCTAGCTCGTCCAATTGGGTCTACTGCTGCCTATGTATACCATACAAGGGTCAATATTCCACAGTTGGCTGGTTGATCTGACGCAGACATATGCTTATGCTGTGGTTGGCACAAACATCCCGGATGTGCAGGCAGATCCTGTTTCTTTCAGATGCATATTTAATAGGCATCATTGTATACACACGACATAGAGATCAACGATAGAATCTGCCTTGGTAGTTGAGGGATTAAGATTCAATCCGAAAAGGCCAAGCCAGGGTGCTACCAATGATCAGCCCTGGACTTGCTTGCAGACAGCCGCCGGGGAAGCGAAGGTTTACATCCAAGAGAGACATGGCGGATGCCGCGTACCGCGTACTGCGTGCTGCATCTTGCCAGACAGAGTATACAGAACTGGACCAGCTTTTCCAACCCGTCCCAAGAGGTGGTCCCTCAGAGGATTTATTGGCCGACCGGGATAAATGACGATGCGAGGAGGTTGGGAGGGGTCATGTAGAACAGACAGCGATTGGCGGGGATGGGCAGCAACAGACCGTATGGTTGCGTCGCGCGCACAACGGACAGAAATGTGGTAGGAGTCTGAAATGGAATGCAGTCTCACTTGACGGCCTCCACAGCCGTGTAGGACCAGGACGGCAGGTCTCACGCTGGCAGCATCATGGACCAGGCCCAACGCGAGGAAAACGGAAGAGACCGGGAAGATCAGGCAGGATTGTCGGCCATTGCGAGCTCAGTGGTCAGTGAGTTGAGGCCTATAAATAGTGGCTGGACAGGACGAGGGAAGATGGTACCGAGCGTTTGGCGAACCATTCAAGAAGCAAAAGGAAGCTCGAGATCCATGGGAAGTGGTTGTTCTCCACGGCCAGAAGGATGCGCACTGGATGACTTCACCTTCTGCACCGTTCTGGACCGGCTTTTTTTTCTATTCTTTTTTTTTTCTCGTGGAACTCTCTCGGACTGAGCTTTTTTTTTTTTTTTTTTTTTTTTTTGTCAGAACACAAAAAACTTTATAATAAAAATAAAATATACACGAAAGAGAAAAATAAGACCTGGACGTGTATTCCGCCAAATAGCCTGCTGCTGCTGACGATGTCGATACTTACTACTTAAATAATTACTATAACTATAGTGATAATATATCATATATCAAATATAAACAATCCAGGATGTACACGCAGAACCCTGTTTGGCAAAAGGAAGCAGAACAGAAGGGAAAGGAACAGCAGCGAAGAGCCCGAATGGGTCGGATCCGCCCAGAACGAGGCCTATTCTGGATTATGGATACTAGATAGAGATGGTAGAATCCTTATTGTAATATTAACAGATAGATCCATCGTCTTTAACGCGAGTTCTCTGCGGGGTTTGTGTAGAATCTTCTTTTCTTCCGATTGTCGTTGCTTGTACAGAACACACAGAGTAGCCTCGTTTGCCCAACATCTACTACAGCAGAGGGAAAGAAAAACTTCGACATAACTCTCTCTACAACATTGGGAAGGCATCCATCCACATCATCTATCCATCTCTATCTCCATCTCTTCCTGAACAGGTGATTCTCTCTGTCCAACACGTCGCCAGCTGTCTCGTCCACGTCTACAACATCCTGCCTTGACGCTGTCATTGGAGCTTCATCCCACCCCATTGCCCTCTCCACTGCTATTTTTTCTCACCTTTCTTCTCTTTTCCATCATGACCGTTGGCTGATCTCTTCTCCTGCTGGACAGACCGGCCTGTGACACCCAAATCGGCGTTGCGCCTGCTTCCCACCAACGAACGCTCCTGCAGGAACGTCCAAGAGCAACGACTACCACAACCGCAACGACAACGACAACGACAACGCCAACGTCGACTGGAACTTTGCTGTCGCTGTGTTTTCCTCCGTCATCCCTCTCCTCTTGCCCTGCCCTTCCCTTCTCCCTCTTGGGCCGTCTTGGTCTCGTCCGTTCTCACCGCCACGTCCTCTAGTGCTGCGGTTCCCGTCCTCAAGCCAATTTCTCCGATCTGCTGGATGATGTCTTTATTGTCTTCATATCCCTGGACTGCCCTTCTTCTTTAATTTTGTTTGTCTCTTCTTTGTTCTTCCTTCTTCCTCCTCCATCCTTTATATTTACTTCCTTCTGTCAAAGGAAAAGAGAAGAGATAAAAAGACCCTTGCCCTGCCAATTACTTCTGCCGTGCCTACGTATATTCCTCTTCAGACCTTTGGCCGACGACGCGCCGACTAAATCACCACCAACTCTCCCTCCACACACCTTCATCATGCTAAAGCTCTCGCAATTGCTTGACGCAAGGCGACGTGATAGCTCCGATACCAATACAGAATCTGCTCAAGCGCGTTTGGTCCCTCAATCACCCCTGACAGTCAATTCCTCTGCCCCCGTGTCTCCTACAGTCTCTCTTTTCTCCGCCAAGGGCCATACCCGCCTCTCCAGTTCCGTCTCCTCTTTGGTCTCTTCCTCCGCCCTCGGTCTCTCTGTCGATAGCCCCTCGAAGGCCCAACTGACGGGCGTCAAGGAAGAAGAACCCATTGCGTATGGCGATGAGCAGCATTGCGAGCCCCCAGATCTGGAAGAGGAATACTTTCGTATGTGGGCCCTTCGATTCTACCTAACTAACTTTGGATCCTCTTGCTGACCTGGGCTTGCATCAAAAAGAGCACTTCGAACAAGGCGCGTCCGTGGCTGATGATTCATATTTTGCTTTCGTGGATAGCTCGGATGGCTATGACCTCACCGATGCAGGCATGGACTTGCGGCAATCAATTAGAACAAGAGGCTCCGACGGTGTGTCCATGAAAGGAATCTCACGCATTAATTCCCAGATTTCCACCCTGTCGTCACGATGGAGGGCGAAACTTTCGGATAGCCCCGTCGGACATCCGCGGTCCCGGGCCAACTCATCCGCCTCCTCCATTGCAATGAACTGTGTGAACCCAATCTGCCGGGTCGATCCGTGTATTCCTCCACCCGCTGCAACCCTGTTTGAAGAGCAACGGATTAGTGTGTCTTCGGAGACAAGGCCAATTAGCATCGATAGAGGGAACACAGACGATGCCGATGACTCTGCGCCGCAGGCAACAACCCCGCTACTGCCACCGTTTATGGGAGATGGTCCGTCCAATACGGTGTCCAAAGTGACCTCGCCTCTACAGTCTCCGTCGGTGGCTGATACCTCGGAGCAAGACCGAGAGAGTGGCATCTTACTTCCCGATCCTCGCTTCCCTGGCCTCCCATCTCCTCCACTGTCCAGCAAGCCTTCGGTTTCGTCTTTTAGCCGCCCGCGGACAAACACGATCCGGGTGTTGTCTGGTGATCCTCCTCCTCCTCTCATATTGTCAGATCCCAAGGACGAGTGGGCCCACAAGCTTGGTCATGCCAACTTTACCATCCAGCCGGAACCATACGTGCCAGAGATCTGCGATGCCGAGTCGTTCCGGCAGCTTCGTGCAGATTGGGACCTTGCCCGGTGTAATTTCGCCCGACACCTGGTCCGCACCGGGGAGCACTATGGCGTCACCTCCAACATCTATAGGCTGACGGAGGATAAGTGGGAGGCCATCAATAAAGAGTGGAAGCAAAACTACGATGCAATGGTCATCCAATTGGACACCAGTGGGTGGGAGGATCTTGGCCTGACCAGGTCCACTCTCCACCCATGCGGGCAAATCAAGCTACCACGTCTTAACGATAACGACAAGTTTCCTGAACTGGGTGATGAGGAGATCGTTGGTCCGATGAGTGTTGCGCCTGCGGGTGGTATGCACAGATCATCTCAGCCCAAATCGCAGAAGAAGCGGGATTTCTTCCGATTCTTCCAGGACCTTGTCTCCAGATCCTAGGCTATGGTTTTTCCTACTATCGAATTTTTGGGGGGAGCTTTCCTGCCTTGATTTTCGACCCGGTGGCGATGCTGGATGATTTTTATTAATGACTAATGTCTTATTCTCTATTGTCCATATTAACGATTCTTATGACCTCATTGAGTTTCGCGCTTATGGCGGAAAGTGCGATTCTACTTTTTCTTTTTCGTGCTGATCGTTCTTGTTACTCCCGTGGCCGATCTTTTCGGGTACTTTTGAACATTGTGCGAATTGCACCCCTTCAGGTGGTGCCATTTTCTTCTCTTGTTTTCTTCTCCTGGGACTATTGACTAGCATTGTATGCTTACAGTGGAAGGTTTTCGTCTGTTTCAACACGCCCTGGAAAGTCGCAAAAGGAAAAAGTGAAAGCGAACAAATTTCTAAAAAAAAGTTTTCAGGGACAATGTCTTTAATGCATGGAAAAGGCTAACAGCGGAAATTGGGGAGGAGAGGAGAACAAAGAGGAGGAGTACAGGAATGGAGTTCTAAAGGTACAGACAGGGTTGATTGAGCATTCGGGCCACTGTTTTTACGGTTCCATTGATGGATATACCCCATGAGCCTGTGAATTTCTGTATCTATAGAGATGTATTACATAATGCATATTAATGACAATGATGCAAATAACGAAATCAAGCGACCCTTGACACTTCATCACCAAGGAGCTATGTATAGTAGTGTCACTTGTAGCCGTTGTGTCGGTGGTAAGTTGCAGGAGAGCCAATACCCTGGTTGTCGGGCAGGCAATAATAATAGCTTGGGTACTGTATGTAGCAGGACGATTCAGCCTTTGTCCGAAATAGGGCAAAAGTAAAGCACACAGAGCTGAAGAAAAGATGTGACGTGACATGAAACAAAGTCCTTTGTTGCAAGATCCACCCAGGACAGTAAGTAGACGAAGACAAAGCGCGGGAGAACAATGAATTTTGAAGGTGTATACATGCATATCCTGGATCTCTTAATCTTAATCCCCTTATTCTCTAGATATAGATATAGATAGCTACATGCATCACAATGGTTGATTATTATATTAGGTACCTATCCATTGTCCAGATATTCATCATATCATGCAATGGACAACGAGCTTTCAACATTTCCCGATATAATTAGATTATTGATTCTGGAAAAAGAAATTCAGAGTATTTATCAGGTACCTGTCACGGAACTCAACTAGACGATGAATAGGATGCTATTCAACTATCTAGGCAGCTATCGACGAGAACTTCAAGCATGGAGAGGAGGGAAAAAGGAAGAGATCTACGTGAAGCTGGACGGCGTATTCCTATCCACGCACCACGCTAATCCAAATAAGGAAACTCACGTGCTCGTCCTGGTCTACATGGCAAGGGCCCTGACAGTACCTAACCCAGGTAGGCACGCGGAACCAAAAATAGAAGTCAAATCAAATCCAGTATTGACTCCATATCTTTCTGGCTGACTCACTCCCCTTGAATCGAAAGGCTACTCGCACGATATCCTGGAATCCCTCGGAGAGAGCTGGTTCTCGGAATCTGCGCGCGAAGTCATGGAATGCTATTCCCGGGAGGGGGGTGCGGGATTCTGGGTTCTTTTGTTTGTCAGCGCTTTATTATTATTTGGCATATTTCAATCAGGTGAAGGGATGTACAGCGGATGCTAGTACTCACCAAGTCTCGATTAGCAGCTCGAACGGCATTGTTGTGTTTGCATAGTTCTGGCGGTGATGTGAAATAGATGCAACGGATTGGGACGTCGAGGTCCCTTGCTAGGTCTGTCCAGTACTTTCTTGTTTCAGGGTCTGCATTTGTGTTGTCTGATGTATTTTAAAAAAGAGTTAGTTGTCCCGAAGAGCAACTAGAACCAGTAAGAGAACACACCAACTGCAACGGATCTCTCGGATGCCAGGTGCTCCCGAGCTACTTTGATGCACTTCTGACGCTGATTTCTAGGTTAAGTTTGGTTTCTTTTCACGGAGCATGCTCGATGTTCACGTACTGTTTTGAGAATGTCCTGATTGACGCGTTCGTATCCCAATGGCTGCAGGTGGTTCCAGTAGAACGTAGACTTGCCTGCTCCGGGGCTACCAACGAAGATAACCAGTTCAACTGGGTTCTTTTTTAAGAATGGTAGGAGTTCTGTAGATCCCAACGGTACAGATCAGTAATTCAAATCCCCCAGAGAAATGTCGTTGACAGGATGTACCAGGAACACCAAGATTGGAAGTGAGGTATGATGCCGGATCGAATGCTGTAGATGGTTCTGGAGCTATGCCGAGAAAGAACTCTTCAGGTGTTTTGAAGGGGATTCCCACGTTTGCTGCAAAACCACTAAGAAATAGTTAGACCATTTTCATCCTGCCTTTTTTTTTTTTTTTTTGCCCTACCGATCTGAACTGGAATGGTCCTTTGGCCGTCCAGCGGCATCTCCAACGAAGAGCGAATTAGGCAAGTCCACCCCGTCGGCATCAAGGTCGTAATCATCCAGAAACTCCTTCCACATTCCTAGACGGGGTTTTCGATTTTCATCATCTTCCGTTGCCGCGTAGACGCTCATGGGGATATCTAGCTGCCGCATTATAGCGCTCACTTTCTCCTTGAAGTTCGCAAGGCTTTTGGAATCGCTCCGGCCCGCTTTGAGTTCCTTTTGTATACTGATTTTCTTCTGGTTGGTCATGATGATGATCTGATATCTGCATATCGAAGGTTTAGATGGTTATTTCCTCAAAATATATGGTCAAAACAAGATATGCTCGAAAGCGAAAAGCGCACCTACATACCCCATAGAATTCAGATCTTTCATCCTAGTTGGCGCGGTGGCATGCCACCATTTCCAATCTGTAGCATCTCTGGCAAAGGTATTACCTGACGCTGTAGAGATTAATGTCGAATCCTTCGCGGATGGCCCGTTAGTCCCCTGTATCTCCGTCTAGTAAGCTTGAGAGAGACAGAGACATACAAGGTCAAATGCTGCGACTCTCTGTTTCCCATTCTCAGTGGTCCTTTGCCTATTATCATCTGGCGCTGGCGCATATTTACCGATCACCAAGCTCCCTCCGACAATACGCCATGTTATATGATCGGACTTCTTCTTGGAGGTGGGAGTGAAAAAGGCCGCGACAGTTTTGCCTGTAATAGTTAGCACAATGTAACAGAGAGCACAAGAAATAAAAAAGAGCCTACTCGTTACCGTTGATTCAACCTTGCGTTTCAGCGGCGGCGGAGAGATGCTGGATGTTAATGACGCTGACCGCTTTGTGCCGGCGGTCATGCTGGGGCTCAGCAGTCGGGAAATTGTGAAGGCTAGAGTCCCAGAGTAGAGACTGGAGAGATTACGAGGATGGTGGAAAGCGAGATGAGCCTTTTGATGACGGCTTCGAGCTCCTAGTCTGGACACGCGGGAACGGAGTCACATGTTTCATGCCGGTTTAAGCTTACATGACGCAACGGTCGTTCCCTTTGCTATGTCTCCGTTCTTTGGCTTTATTTTTTATTTTTTATTCTTAATTGCATAAATTCTTTTAACTTTTGTTCCCTTCTGTGGATGCAGAAGGGTGGGGTATCTATTAATAAAGCACATGAGACTGTACAAGACTACGTCTACTTTGCCCGGGAGTCAAGGGACAATCTGTCTGCTGGTTCAAGGCGTACAGCAGTTCTGAGCCGCTCTCTAAGTCCCAGCAGGTGTTGAGAAGCAGTCTCCATCGTCTCCTGATTGCCGCCGTCCTGGACGGTGATAGCAGCCTGTAGGACATAGCTTCCACTCTTATCCAGCGGGGCCATTTGCTCCAACGATGGTAGCTGGCGCCGCGGCTGCGAGTGTTCCGCCTGGCTAGAAGGGTATTGTAAGACACGGTGCAAGAACAGAACAATGTCGTCGTAGACAAAAATGTCGCCCTCGACAACGTACTCCGTAACAAAGCTGAAGATGCAATCAGTAGAAGGGGTGGGACAAGGGTGAATTCGAAAGGACCGACTAACCTGTAACCCCAGGCGTTCATTGGGGCCATGACGTCCCCACGCGGCAGGCTAGCACTGGACATAAGGCGCGAGGTGACAGCTGACCGAGTCGCCGCTTCGGGAGTGTCTCTAAACTCCAGTCTCCAGGGCTGACGGTCGTAATCGTAATCGTAACGGCCATCGTGATCCACTTGGTTTCCTTCCCCCATGCCAGTCATGGAGATATCCTGGTCCTGGTGCTGGTCCTCGGGCGATGGGCTCGTTGAACCAAAGTCTCCTTCCGACACTGGTCCGGCTAATTGGGTGTAGAAAATGTTTCCGTTGAGCATCTTGTTTAGCCGCTGCATCTCCACAGGTTGCACATCCTGACTGGCGCCAGTACGCAGACTGAACACCCCGGGTTTTCGATAGGCCTTGAAGACTAGGCGCCTCTCTAGACAGTGGCGTGGTTGCATGGCCGTTAAGCCGGCCAACTGCTGAAGAAGCTCATGGTGCTGGTGCAAAGGGACCGAGGCAAATAGGAGCAATTCATGCATCTCCGATCCAGACGATGGAAGAAAAGAAACACGAGAACAGACACGCAATCTGCAGAAAGGACAATTGGATGCAGACGCGGGAAGATCCGGGATACAGAAGACAGTACAGTAGCCAGACGAGGCGATAGTCAAGTCGTAGGCTCGAAAGGCAGCAGCAGATATCAGAAATGAATTGATAATGGGTATTATTATGCCTAGTTAGGACTTGCGGTATGAGAGCATGCCGATGACACACTCAGATGAGATGGAAGTGGCACCACGTTGAGATGCGCGCGGACCAGGAGGGGTTCTGCGACGCCAGAAAGACGATCACAAGAGGGACAGCAGATGCCGATGCCCGACGAACGACGATGATATTAATGATGATTATGAAGATCGATGAAGATGGCGGGGGTTTCCGGAGGGCGTCGACGAAGCAGAGCGAGACGGGGAGACGGCCAGACGGGAAGAAAGTTTTAACAAGAAGAGCACGGACAAAGGCATAGCAAAGATGCAATGCAATGCAGGATTCTGGAAAAGCAAGCAATTCTCGGTGAGCAAAACCGAAGCTGGAGATCGCAGAAGCATCCGAGGCGCTTTGGGCAGCTAGATGCATCTGATCCTGCAGTTATTTATTAATCATATTTATACATGGATATGGGTTACTTACTCCTATAAGTTACAAGATCCTTGGATGAAGAATAGAAAGATCTCGGAGATCGGGTATAATTATTATCTCAAACGCGTGAACGGAGAACGTTGATAGCCGTGCACATTATTACTCTTATTATAAGACATATTATTCCAACCTTCTCCCGCTTCACCTCGCTTCTTCCTCCCTTCTCCCTCAACCATTGTATTCTATCTGCTCTTTATTCTCAATCCTATTCTCTAGCTCTCCAGACCCATCATCACAGCTAGTATACTACATTCGCTATCCATCCTCCCGTCACCGGATCCCAGCAATACATCAGTTCTTCCATCATGCAGGCTACTCGGGCTTTGCGGAACGCCGCTCGCACGCCTCTCATCCACTTCCTCGGCAAGCGTACTCCTCCTAGTATGTCTTCTCTCTCCTCTACACTTGTAGCAGCTTTCATGATGGTTGAACTGTTGGTCTGATTCTTCGTCTCGCTTTCCTCTAGCTGCCGTGGACCACACCCCTCGAGCTCATCCCGCCTCTCCCTCGGGTATTCTTCCGGACTCCTTTGCTGCCTACCGCTCCAAGGCTCAACAACACGGTCCCCTTGGTCGCGCCACTTTTGCTTCTGGTGCCATTGGCGGCTCCCCCGGTGCCTCCCTTGGTCCGGTTGAGCCGAAGCAGGGCGAATACTTCGACCGTAATGAGCTTCCCGAGCGCTTCCACCGATTGCCATGGACCGAAGCAGAAATCGAAGCGATCGAGACTGGCGGTGCCAGCTTGTTCTCCTAAATCCGAATCCATGCCTTTCCGCATAAGACAGGGTCAACGGGTAGAGCATGCGTGGTTAGGTCAGCACAGGAAATGGTCGAATGAATGGCATGCCTGGTGAGGATGAGGGTTAGGTCGGGTCGCGATGATGCTAGCGAAGAGCATACCGATTGGTGATTTTGCTGAGTCCAGTTGATCCTGTGGAAGGGCTGGTGTTCCGGGGACTGGAGCCGCTGTCCGCATGCAGCTCTCGCCAGTAGACTGTCTAGCGATTGGGTTCTCCAGGCAGTTCCCTTCCTCGTTCGCCGTCACTCGTCGTTTATTTTCCCAATTACGGCGTTGGTGGTTGGTCATTTACACCTTTTTTGGGTTTCTTTCCCTGTTGATGTTACGTCTAGGTTCTATTTATACAGTACGCGTGCATGGTTTACCCTTTTGATTTCAGGAAATCAGGCCTTCGAGCGTTCTTTCATTCCTACTTGTTTCACTAGAAGATCGCAAAAGTTAGGCTGCATTAGCTATCAGGATTTCCGACAGTCGTATCTTCGGATGAACTCTTCAATTGTTCTCATTGTACGGAGTAGACAACCCAGTATTTGTAGAAGATGATGACTGTATATGTAGCTGCACGTGCTCTGCCGCTCTGTCCAGCACTTGGGACTTTCACCTTGTTGTCCAACTTCATTTCTTATCTTCCATCGCCCTCAAAAGACCAATTGTCCTAGCAGGTCGGTAACATCATCTCCTACGAATTGGCCAGCTCACCCAGTGGTCCAGACATAATGGCATGCGGTATCAACAACAGAAACGTCATAACCTTGACCGAAACGGATGAGGTCGATTCTCCTACAGCAACTTACGTCTATTCTGAATCAGGTTCTCCACATTCTGGAGTAGGACGAATTGATGTTGTTGTACGTCAACTTTCTATTGAGATTCATAACACGCTTGCTTTCGAAGATCGGCTAACCTCATTCCAGAATTCGTCTTCTTCATCCTTTTCACCATGGTCAAGGACTTCACTTCAGAACCCCCTCGTTAATATATTTCTCCCTGCGGGGTATCCTCACAGCGTCAGCGATGACTATCTTCAGTGAGTCCGTGCCACCATTCATCCAATGTCTTTTCTGGTACATCTGTCCTGGATATGCACCGCAGGACCCAGTAACCTACTGACCAGGGGCTTGTAGATACCAAATATTCGTGAGTGGCCTATGGTTATGCATCATCGGCCTGGTTTAAATATTGCCTTCCATTGCTCCAAAGGCCCTTATGCCGTTCGAATGCACTATTAAATTCCCGGATTTAAACAGCTGATGCAGCTCTCAATGCGCAGGATTCTCTCCAGGCCTTTTGCAGCTCTATCGCCGGCCTTCTATCTTCCAGGGCCGTACTGCAAGGTATGTGTTTGTATTAAACCTGATCACTTCTCATAAGCGTCTCCCAATTCTATCCACTCCTTCATAATCATTATTTTCGTCTGAGATTTGGAACCATTTGCGATTCATCAACCTTGTTGACTAGATCATAGGTGTCGGAGTTGGTAATGCTAGTGCCTCTCCCACATCCGCTCTCCTTCTGCACATTCTTCAGGATACCTCAGGCCGTATAGCAACAATATTCTTCGCACATCGAGTGGGGACTGCTCTTGAGCCGGAGTGCAAGATGTACCGACTGGCAGCTGACGTATTTAATGACCTCGCTATGATATTAGACTGCTTGTCGCCGTTAGCCCCAGCAGGCGTCAGCCGGGTGACTGTCCTCAGTACAGCAGGCGTGCTAAGAGCTCTGTGTGGGGTTGCAGGAGGGAGCTCAAAAGCAAGCCTGAGTGCACATTTCGCTCGATGGGGAAATCTTGCGGAGGTCAACGCCGTGAGTACACCTTCCTTGAATGGAGCGAGTCATCTCTTCACTGAATGAAACGCTGATGTTATATTTTGACAGAAAGATTCCTCGCAAGAGACTATCATTTCCCTCCTAGGAATGCTGGTAAATATGCCTTTCCCCCTTTTCGTCAGCGAATTCGTTCCTAATAATGCCACAGGTGGGCTCATTTGTCGTCTCCCATGTCACCGGCTTTGCAGCAACCTGGGTAGCCTTTCTTGCTCTGCTCTCACTCCATTTGGGCTCTAATTATGCTGCTGTGCGGGCTGTGCATATGACAAGTCTAAACAGGCAGCGGACAAACATAGTCTTTTCAGCGCTGTTCGCATCCGATCAGGATCTCAACTTGGACGACTTGGGAGGACACGGAGCAAGCAAGCGAACCAGCGGGATTGATGAAAAGCAATGGACCGTCTTGAGGCCGGCTGAAGTCGCCAGTCGAGAGAGGATCTTCACAAGAGGCGAGATATTGACTTGGACACCTGTGGATGGCCCTTCATCATCAACAACAGCAACGACATATAAACTGGGATCCTGCCGCATTGGTGTCCCTCTACAGTGTCTCTTGTCAGAACCTCCATTCTTGTCAACATCCATTCCCATCCCGCATTTGATATCTCTGTTCGCATCCGAGTCCTACTTGCTCTTCTTCACGTACAGCTCTAAGGGTACATGGGAGGGAACCATCATCCTGAAAAGTGGATGCACGGCTCCTTCACAGATTAAATCCTGGGCACATGCATTGCTTGCCGCACGGGTCTTACGTGGCTCTTTAACTGCTAGCGGAGAGCATCATCATGATAGTCGGGAGAAACGAGATGACCAGGTCCTTCGTGTCATGTCTCAGACACTAAATTTCCTGAACGAGGGGTACCGATTTGAAAAATACGCACAAGCCTTGATGGGGGCCGGTTGGAATATGGAGTTGGCCGCTCTAGAAACGAAGCCAGGACGAAGGATTCGATCAGACATGGAGTGACAGTTACCACTCGAGACTTTCCTCTTTTAGATGTCATATTATCGTGCGGGTATAAAGCTGTGAACTGGTTGGATCATGTGTGTAAAGCAGCATTTTTATATATCCGTGCTCTCCAGGCCTTCATAGAGGCAACTATAGTCCACGAATTCCTGTCGAGTTATAGAAGGAGAGTTGTAGTGCAGTGTAATGCCAACCGGCTGAAGCTCACGCACAAGAGCGTCTATCTTGTCCCAGGGGATACGCGGCATCCGCGTAAAAGTGGAATTGCACGGTAGGCGTGTACTCGACCTCAATCCGACACAGCGCAGACCCCAGTGCAATAGCTTACCGCCCTAAAGCGCGCAGCCAGTCCTCCTCATTCTGGTCAAAGTGGTCCGGCGTGGTGGCGAGCTGCCGATCCTCACGCATCAGATCCCAGCGGAAGACGCGAAGACGAGGAGCAAGTAGGCCAGCCATGAAGCGCGCATCGGTCCCGGTGGTTGTGTGCGAAAGAGCCAGTTCCTCGAGATTTTCAAAGTCGTGCAGGACACAGCCCCTCCAGGCCCTGTCGATTGATAAAGTGGATCCTGATGGAATGCAAGGTCCTCCTGTGGATAGACAGGATGAGCTGCAACGTGGCTATGGACCATTTTTCTGAACAGGCCCATGGTGACAGTCGTTTTCGAAGATGTGTTGGAGGTCGAACTGGTCCGGTCTTGCGGGCCACCTCACTAGATCTTCGAAGGCGTCCGGAGTGTGGAGGAAATTGGTTAATTTGAGTTGTGTCAATGGGGCTGTTGGTGTTTTTTTCATGCTGCAATAAGCATATTGGTTCAAGAGAGCGTGTGAGTACATGCTTACTTTCAGCCTCGTGTCATGCCTGAGAACTCCATCAGTTCATGAGCACAGAGACTTCCAAACCCACAGTTACTGAGAGCATCCACAATCAGCCGCAGGTTCAGATTATATCCGCCACCAGACGAAGAAGCCAGTCTCGATAATCCGGGTATATACTCCCGCGCCTTCTGAGACCGGTGTTTCATGCCCATGATCCTGAGCGATCTGACGACATTGGACCAGGTGACGAAGTCCGTCGCGACATAGAGAAACCCAATCTGTGATGGGGTACTAGACGGATACAGATTGGGAAGGACACGGTCAGACCGCGACAGAGCGGCCAGAGCGACGGGTTTCGATTGCAGCTCCGATGGAGATGTCTCATGGCCTCATGGGGTATGGTTGTATACTGGCCGTGACTGCTGCAGCGGACGCACAGGTCCCCTTTGAAATAGGAGATGGAAATGGAATTGATTCGACGGAGGAGAGAACTTCTTTTTTCCCTTCTGTAATCTGCCGATGTTCTTTGTCTGCTGTTTGAGGGTTAGTTCCCTGTGTGCATTGAGAGGGGAAACAGAGCTGAATGACTTCAATCAGCATCCCTACTATTATTATTACCTACGAGAAATCTGGTTGTGTCACACGGCCTGTTTGGTGTTCCAACGGACATCATGCTTTATCAGAGACAGCATGTCATAAACCGGCGTCTCCCGCTGCCCTTGTCCTTCAGCTTCAGGTCTAATATATGATACATTCAGCGTGTACTCTTTGTTATCTAGCACGCCAACTGTATAGTATCCTATGACTGTTCCACTCTCTTTGAATGGTGCTTATTCTTCGCTCGATTTCTTTGAGTCGCTGGCAGAAGCCGTTGAAATGTTCGTCTAACCAGTCCATATTGATATTGCCAAGGAGATTAGATAGATAGACACGCGTTACCTTTGAAGAGATGGGAAGGGCCGTGTCGAGGCTGCTCTGCTTGATAGGATCTGGTCTTTATTTATAAGAATTTCGCATTAGTATTTCAGATATCCTTTGTGTACTTATTTATTTGTAGCTGCAAGCAGCTATCTATCTATCTGATGTCTCGGTTAGTCTCCCTTCATGCCCTAATAGATATCTAAATACATCCAGTGTCTACTCCTTGTTAGAAGTTACACTTTGTACCCTTTTAGATCATTGTCTCCTTCTCGGGCATAATTATAATGAAATGAATGAGGAAGACCTTTAAACCCAAGTATTTATATATACAGATAAGACAAAGATAAAACGTAAAAGGTCAGACAGTTCTGCGTTGAAGGACTCATGATAAGTCAGGTTCTGAATGTCTGATGTTAAGAACAGGATTCTACAGCTAGCATGGATACGCTATCCTGTAAATATAGCACTCATTGAAGTGACAGTTGAATCATAACCTGAGCCCAGTTACTGTTCCTCCCAAGACACGTCTATATGTTTTCCATCCCTCATGATCTCAATACACCCAACAGTAGTGACAACAAACGCCTCCCATGCCATGCTATGCTATGCCATGCCGATATCCAATCAAAAGTCAAATTTAAACGCCCAAAGTGAACGCTGATGCAAATGCAAATGCAAGTCAATACAGTGCAACAATCCAGATCAACTCATAGGCCGACAAATCAACAAGACAATGCAAATAATCCCAGGAATCCATCCGAAATGCGTACTTCGAATACAGACAACCAACCAGATAAACAGTCTTTTTTTTTTCCATGTTAATTTTTTTCCGAAAGAAAAGGTATCTCTATAATGCTGAAGCCATGTCATTATCAATTCTGAATAATCGGACCCAAGTCCTGTCGTTTCGGGGGGTATCGCATAAATCAAATCGAATCAAGGATGGTCATATGTATATCATAAGCGGTGACACTGGTGGATCGAGGGCGTAAATCGATGCGTATAGTGAGGTGCAAGAAGGGGAGGAGGGAAATAAAAGAAGAGACAGGATCACCGTTTGAATCCCAGCTTCTTCCCCATTTTCTTCCACGGGAGATCCATGCGGGATTTCGGACTCTGGGATAGACTGGATTGGGCACTAGACGGGGTTGTGGGTGGAGTCATCGGTTCACCCGAGCTCGCATGGGAGTGGAAGCTGCCCGAATCATCGGTCAACACGGGAGAGTTGGAATCGAAATAGGTAGGCGAGACACGACCTGTGATTCGACCACTGGACTTGCCCTTGGTCGTAACGGCAGAGAGGGGGAAGCTCGCACGACTGGAGGAATGGCCGGAGGAGGGCATGGGCGGTGATGCAGCGAGCTCCCTCATGTACGGATCGGGGGAGGGGCGTTTGCCTCTTGTCCGGGTGCGTTTGACAGCGGTACTGTCGCCAAAATCGGGGAAGGGAAAGGATGCTGCGGTGTCATCACCGGCATAGAGAGGAGCAGACAAGGGCAAGACGGAGGCGGAGGCAGAATAGGTATTGAGAAACGGGAGGAAGATAGATTCCTGCATCAAGTCGTAGATGCGGCGCACGGCCGAATCGAGCGTTTCCGGAGGAGGGGGCATGGTCGCATTTGCATGTCGAAGCAGATCGTCACGAACGGCGGAGGGCAGGTTGATCTCACGGGGAGCGCCCGGAGTGACGTAGGCAGACAGCAGACGCTGCCAGAGCATGCGCAGGTGCTGGATCCCCGGGGTGTCGATGACGACGGGAGAGCCTGGCAGCTGACGAGCGAATTCCTGGTAGGATTCTCGGTATCGGCTTGCTTCCATGGTGAACTCGAGGTTCTCCAGGCAGTGATTCTGCGAGAGATAGGCCATGAAGGCACTGAGCGTATAGGGAGGAGGGGCAGTGTCAGCCAACACCTGGTCCAGCGACGGCCGGGGTAAGCAGAAGGCACCCGTGACGCTGAGTGGTCGTGAGCCGGAAGGACGCGGGTCCATTTCCGGGGAGGAAGTTCCCAAGGACAGGGACGATGCAGAAGAAGATGATGAGGAGGAGGAGGAGGATGATGAGGATGAGGTTGTGGATGACGGGGAGGAGACGGGAGAACAGCCGGGGGGAGAAGTGGGCGAGATGAAACTCAGATTCCAATGCCAACAAGGGAAGCGCTGTTTTTTCAGCATTGCGAGCATCTGCCTACGTAGTTGTCCAGGATTATAATAATGTAATAATATTATTATTACCGGGGGAAGAAAAGCATATAAGAGAGTAATAAGAATAAGGATCAAAAGAATAAAGCATCCCAGGGTTGCAGGTGGAGCAGGGAGTCCCGTCGCCCAGAACTTCCAGAAAACAGGGAGAATCTTCTTCTTTTTCTTTTCCTCTTATTATTTATTTATTATAAGAAAAACCCTTTGATCGCCTTAGAGTTTGCAAATCCAAGACAGCCGGATGCAACCCGGCGGGAAAGAAAAGAACCACCAAGTGGAGAGACTCGTCAGGCCACGTATTATTATTCTACATATTATTAACATTATTATCCTCCGTACAATATGCAATATAGTAAATATACAAGTAACTTATATTAATCTAGTACCTTGGGAGTTGCGTTGATCATGGAGGATCAGCGATGCAGCGGAAGCAGCCACATCCATATCCTAGTAATACTAAGTAAGCCTGTCTTTGCTCTTCTTTTTCTTTTCTTTTCTTTTTTTTTTTTTTGTTTTTTTTAAGAAATGAATATTATATATAACCGACCCCTACGGTAACCTTCGGGGTCGCGCGTATTGCGCGACCCTGACAACCACCCGAGCACCCCAGCCACCCGAGCACCAATTTTAGACCCCCCTTCTAGCTTCAATATCTCAACGAATTCTATAGTATTTAACTTCAAAATATATTTAAACTAAAGCTCTACTCTTCAGCTTGGGCCCTAGCATGTCGTTGCCTTCGTATAATAATTCCTCGTCGAATGCATACATCCAGCAGCTCTGGTAGGCAACGCTTATACTTAGTCCTCCACCTCTTTATTTCAGCCTGCTCATTAATATTCGCAGTATTTCGATTTATAGCTTCAAGCTCTGAGCTTGATACTATGCCTCCCTTGCGAATCCTGCGCCTAGAGGCCTGTGATCGAGCTGCGCGGTCCCTAGCAGCTTTAATATACCGGTCAAGCTCAGCTTCGATAGCAGCTGAATATGATGCTAGCATACTACCACCACGAATAAGCAGCTCTAGGCCCTCATTAAATTGATCCTTGTTGATATCATGAATCTCCCATATCCTATCACCAATCTCCCTAAATCGTTCAGCTTTTTTTTGGCGTACTGCCCCAGGAATCAACATCATTGGTATTGGTGGATGAAGAGGATGGACGATGTGGTTGAGGCATTTGATTGAGTACAATTGATGGATTGAATGGTATGATGCCAGTCTTTTGGAATCCATGCTGAATAGTACGCTTTTTGAATGTCTTCTTGCGAATTGCCCCTAAGGCATGAAGGAATTCAACCTTAGTAAATTTACTGCATCCTGAGTAGGTTGCATCTGCAACTGCTTCTGAATGCCAGTGCTTATATGCATGAAAAACACCAACATCCAATGGCTGCAAGAAATGACTTGTATGTGGAGGTAAGAAGAAGGTGATGATATTGGTCTTCTCACAGAATTCAACAAATTCATGTGTTAGATGGGAGCCGTATCCATCACATATAAGAAGGGTATATTGACCCTTCCTATATCTTTTAGTATGCCGATAGAATGACTGAATCCATTGGAAGGCAATTGTATCAGTCATATAACCATTTTCTGATACTCCAATTGAATAGTCTTGTTGAATATCAGCAGCTTCAAACCAATTTGTAAGTATACAGCTACCACTCATGAGAATAAGTGGTGGGCAGGTCCAGCCATCTGCATTGACTGCTTCAACCACAGTAACATATTCACGGTTTGAATTCATCCCAATATGAGGCTTATTAATATTGAAGTCCCTGGTAATAATCCATTGATCACGACCAACACCGATATTGAAGCCAGTCTCATCAAAATTGTAGATATCCTCCTTTAATATCCCATGGTTCTGGATGGTCTGATGGAGCTTCTGAAACCACTCCTGAATAACCTCACGATCCTCTGCACGCTTGCGGTCAAGCTCTATAGCTCTAGAGCGACGTCTTTTATATTCAGGATGCCTTCCTAGCCATCGGTTTAACCATTTCTCGCTGACAGTAGGTGGAGGGGTGTCTAGGCTGGTATGGGTTGATTTCAGAATAGAATTGGCACTTGATTGGATCATTTGTGCAAGTGGCTTTATATTTAATTGCTCTAGAGTATCAACATAGTGACACAGAGCCTTTTCTTGCTCTTCTGATAATCTGGTGTTGGTTGGTGGTCGTTCACATAGATTGGACCGTCCCTTCCACCTTGCGGAGAGGGTTTGCCGTTTAACTCCATATTCACGTGCAGTTTTGGCGATATTTGGGGGATTTTGTGTGCTTAACGCGTCAATAGCTTTGAGCATTCGATCTTCATAATTTTTATTGAATTTGGGCATGGTGGTGGTGGTTGAATTATATGATAAAGTTGATGGGTTGGAATTCTACGAAGTTCTAAAATCGGTGCTCGGGTGGCTGGGGTGCTCGGGTGGTTGTCAGGGTCGCGCAATACGCGCGACCCCGAAGGTTACCGTAGGGGTCGGTTAATAATATTACGAGTCCTTGTCTTACTTGTTTTCGTGTTGCAGCCCTACCGTTCTTCTAGAACTTCGAGACCCTTCCACTGCAATTTATTACTCGAAATTATATGTCATCCGTGTTTTTCCGCGGGAACTTTCCGATGGCTGCCGCACCTGACTCCAGTTACTCAAAAGTCAACACTCCACCATGATCTTCATATCCACAACTTACAAGGCATTCATATACATCATATTAAAATATTCACCTCCTATTCCGGCGCCAAGCGCACCTTGGCCTCGGCGATGTATCCCGGCAGCGGACTGCTCCCATCCTTATCGCCCTCGCGAACTCCGCTTGGTGCGTATCCGCAGTATCGTCGAATACTGCGTCCAGTATGACTTCTGTCCGTTCGCCAGAAACGCCAGCAGCCCCATTCCCGAACGCACCACCGTCAGGAAGATCGCGATCGCACACGCCGTCCACAATATCTTCGCCGTGTACGAGTAGACATTCTGGAAGCTCGTCACCGTCATCTTCACCTCCTTGGGCACATATAGACCCGAAATGTTCGGTTGCAACGTCCTTTCGTTCATCAGGGAAATCGCCGTGTTCCAGAATAACTCCTCAATCGCTTTGCGCAGCCCCCGAGTGTCGTTGCGCGCCATCGACATCGAGTTGTCCGCAAAGAATTGCTCGATGTTCAGCGACGACGACGTCGCTGACATATTGCCCAGAAACGCTAGCTCGTTGGTGTCCAGTAGCACTGTAGACATGATGCTCATATTCGTGTTCGTGAGAGACGATAGGGCAGGGTCCACGTCTGACAGCGAGTTGGCCATTATCCCCACCATCACCCGGCCGAATGCGTCCATGACAGACTCGTAAGCAACCATCTCAACAAACGTCGTGTTGTAACCGTCACTGTGGACTAATGCCCCATTGGCGTTCAATACGCCAATGGGCTCGGCGCCTTCCGCCCAGATAGCCAACCGAGTTCAGTGACGGTAGAAGCACCGACGTGCTTATATTCTGCACTTCATTCACGTAGCTATAGTTGCTCACATACAACGCGTTAAAGAGAGAGCATTGGAAGATGGTCAAGTCCGCGAATGCCGGTGCCTCAAGGGCACAGCTATCCATTAGAAATCCCGTGTCCATGCTGGGAAACACCGCAACCAGGAAGGACAGGGCTGGAAAGGAAGAAGGGTATAGTCCTCCATCGCTTGCATAAAATGCTTCACCCTGGAGCCCCAGCGTGCCGAGACGGAGGGTCAATTTCCCTCCAGCAGTGATGGTCGTGAATGGCAAGAAGCCATCTGGCGACGATGCATCCGGTACCCATGATATGTAACCGTAGGATATGCCGCATGGCGGATCGGTCGAGTTCGTCATGTCGAAGATGTTTTCCCGGATCTGACGATGCCAGGTCGTGTTGACCGGCGCACATTTCACCGCTGGGCCGTGGAAGTCAAGCATCCAAAAGGAACTCGTTTTGGGTAAGCTGATAAGCAATATTTCACCTTGTGTAAGCGTTGCACTGACTACCCTTTGCACGGGATATTGCGGGCCAGCGTGATCAAAAACGGAAGAAGGACCGTTTGCAACAGGTAAGAATGCGAAATTCAGCGACTTGAAGTCTACTTGTGGGACTTCATCGTAGAGACTAGACGGACCGTCAACGTAGCTGGAGTAACGAATGAAGCAACCGGCAGCAACCCTCCTGTTTCCAGCATTTACGATGTCTATCAGACAACGCAGAAAATGATGGCCAATGGCATAATATGCAGAATTTTCCTCTACAAAGTCAAACCGAGGCAATAGAAGTATTGCCAAATAAACCAAACAAACCGTCCAAGGTCCCGACTTTTGCTGACTTAAAATTGATTGCCCTCCAAGCCACCTTCGCAAAAGTTGTCGATACGGCGAAGCCCAGACAGAGCTTTATGAAAAAGGCCAGCACAGTCCCAGCAGAGACGTCGATCTGCTGGCCGGAGATACTGAACGAGCCGATGACGTTATAGCTGGTGTCCGGCGTCGGATTGTTATTCAAACTGTCGTAAAGAAATGATGTCCCAGGGCCAAGGCGATGCCGCAGACAATTCCATACAGCATCGTTGCAGGGGCTGGCCGTAGAACATTGAAGGTGTTGGTATCCCTGAGCGCCATTCTCACGACCGCTCTTCCCGGTTATCACTCAGATGAGGATACGAATCTATAATGGGGAAGAGAAAGACGAGGAAAGTCAACATCGATATATAGACCGGTCCGTCAATAATCATGAGTGTGAGATTAACATAAATAGCAGGGAAAGTTAGGAATGAGCCTGTCAGCTCGTACTGATCAGCCAGTCAAATTAGGGCACCAGGTCCAGTCTGCAAGATATGGCAGTGTGTTGATCGATGGTGATCTGCCAGCTCATTAACCAGTATCCTCAGTTGATCTGCAGTCTGAACAGCGGCCTGGCCTCCATGCTGGCCAAGTCTCAATCTTTTGGCCCCTTTTGGAGTAGACATGTAAATAGGCATCATGTTAGTTCACTCTAGATCCTATGATTATGATCTCTTAGTTATCCCAGATATTTAATAACTTTATCTCGATAACGCCCTACAAGCTTCGGGCAGCAACCATAGTTCAGAAGATGCCAAGAGCGATTTGCTCCTGGAGTCAAGACTGTAATGTAGTGTAATATATTGTTCATTATCAACCAGCCATGGAGGGTTCCACTTAATGCCGGAAAGCATCGAATCAATCGATAACGCAATTGGATTTGCAGCTAACGGAAAGCATCGATAAGAGAGCGGCCCAGTTATCTTCTGAGACTTTGGCCGTATTCGCCTAGAAAGTTCATTAGCATATGCTTGCTTGCTTGCTCGGTGGACAAGTTGGGAGAAGTTGTCCTGCAGATTCCAAACTGTGTACCGCCTGAGCATACCGCCTGTCTCACGTAATCAACAGGCAGAATGTAATCTGCTCTCAATAAATAGTAAGGGAACTACGTTATAATAACAATTACAATAATGAGCATCTGCAGCTAATCCTTGCCTACAGCGGATTATAGCAGCTCAATTGAAATAACTAAAATATGCTAAAATTTCTGATTAAGAACTGGTTCGAGTAGCGCAGATACAATTCGAGATAACTAGATGCGCTTACAGATGCGTGTAAGAATGCAGATTGAAGGGGAAATGTGTATACCAGAAGCTACTATTTCATGAGCATTTGAAGCAGAAAATTGTGAAGCCACCAGAGTCTTTCACCAGATTGAGAGACTATCTAATACTGAAGGGGGTCTTAGCTTTCAAGCTATAAGACAGCTCTATATTGTGTCAGGGCCCTTGCCATGTAGACCAGGACGAGCACGTGAGCTTCCTTACTTGGATTAGCGTGGCGCGTGGATAGGAGTACGTCGTCCAGCTTCACGTAGATCTCTTCCCTTTCTCCTTCCTCTCCATGCTTGAAGTTCTCGTCGATAGCTGCCTAGATAGCTGAATAGCATCCTATTCATCGTCTAGTTGAGCTCCGTGACATATTGCATGCACCACCTCAATTTCTGATTATGGGGTCCCTATATATTGGAAGGGCCAGAAACATCTACTTAATAGGTATCAAAAGCTTCAGAATCAAGCCCTTAGGAAGATTTTAGGAGCTTTGAAAACCCCACCAATTTAGGCCATGGAGACAGAGGCTTCTCTTCCCCCACAAAAAATTAGGTTCAGGAACATATGCAGGTTCCATATGCTTAGGGACCCTATCGTTTAATCGGGAAAATGCAATTAGGACCAGGCTACCTACCACCTCCACCCCAAATCTAGGGATATTTGAACTAGGAGTTCCTGAAATCTCTCTGGTGTAAAGAAGAATCCTTTGGGATTCTCATTACAGTGCTTTGGTAGAAAATAGAGTGCAAGTTAGTGTTAAGCCATGGTGAGAAGCCCAGAAGATAACATTGCTAACCATTTTCATGATGCATGTAATACCCCCCTTGAATGTCTACCAGAAACACCTGGGAGAATGTAGATATTTTAAATTGCTCCTTGAAGGTTACATCTGTAAAGGTTTGAATATAGAATTTGTTGTATGCTAGATACACGAAGAATTCCTTGAGAGAACGAAGAAACAGGAGGTCTTTCGACAGGCAACGGCTTTGGGTACAAGGAAGGAAATAGGCGGGCTGGCAACAAACAGAACAAATGGAACAAACAGGACCAACGCCTGAGTTCGCAATATGCCTGGGCGTAGCCCATGACAGATATATCAAGAGTTACTATCTGGAACAGGCGTGTCAACCCACATTGTTGGGCACTTCCAACTTGTCTGTGAAGAGAGGCCTGTTGGGATGTGAGCAGCGTGAATCTATAGGTGAGGCCATGATATTGCATCAACCGCCCGACTGTAGACAAAATCTCACTTTGAATTTGAGGGTCATAGAGGTCTCAGCCTCCTTGTCCATGACAGGATACAGTAGTGGCAGGGGAGAAGGAAAGCTGGGTTGGCTACAGACAGTGGCATCGATAATCGATTCTGCTGAGCCTGACAATACGCCTGATATGGCTAATGACTCCTGCGACTCTTCAAAGAGACTCGCTTCCGGCGATCAAAAGAAGAAGTGGCATGAGAAAGGGAAGTCTTAAGAGGGAGAGAAGGTATCACTATCGAATCTCAGTGAATGTTAACAGCAAGTCACTAGCTTATGGGGCTATCACGGAACTCAAATCTAAAAAGAATAGAGAATATCATTATCTAGGTAGATATTTGACGAGAACTTCAAGCATGGGAAAAGAGAAAAGAAGAAAGGATCAACGCGAAGCTGAGACGTACTTCTAGTTGTGTGCAATCGATATCACGTGTTTGAATCACGTGCTCATCCAGTGTACCTAATGGAGGTGTATCGTTGGTTGGTGACTAGCTAGATAGGCCTACGTGGTGAAAAGGGTCAGCGAGGGCGGACCTATGCGGCAGAATCCCACGTGATCCAACAGTACCGTCTTGAGCAAATAAAGTAGTCTTGTGCTTCTTGGTGGCGCTAAGTGTCAGACATTAGCCAATCGGACGCGTTCCACGTAGACCAGTGGACGGATAACGCCCCACCACCCCCGGACCTAATGCTGAACGGGACCGTGTAATGGCATAGTATTACCATCTGTTGGAGGATATGCTTGTCCATTGGGAGTGCTAGCTAGGGGAGAACTATCTAACTAACGTGGGCGACCTAAGAGAGGAGGCCTATGCTGGTAGAACCCACTAGGGCGCTAACATTACATGTGACGGCGTGGCAACAAGTACTATATAAGTGAGTGCAGTATCAGGTCTTACGACCTGATATCCTGGTCTTTTGCCGGTAGTGCAGCTGTTTAGTCCTTAGAATGCACTCTAGGAGCTAGTCGTGACATTACATACTGCGCCCATCAGTTCTCCTTCTTTTCTCCCCTTTTTCTTTCACGTCTGGTATTCGTCGAAAATAGTATTGAATAGCATATTGTCACGGAACTCAACTAGACGATGAATAGGATGCTATTCAGCTATCTAGGCAGCTATCGACGAGAACTTCAAGCATGGAGAGGAGGGAAAAAGGAAGAGATCTACGTGAAGCTGGACGACGTATTCCTATCCACGCACCACGCTAATCCAAATAAGGAAACTAACGTGCTCGTCCTGGTCTACATGGCAAGGGCCTTGACACATATATTGCATCTCCCATATCTGTTCATAGTACTAGACATTACAGTGAAAAAGAATCAGGGAGAAGTTACAAATGTGCAAAGGACCAAATCCTGCTCATATATTACTATCAAGTGTCATTGGCAACCTTCATTATGATAAATTCACCATTAATGAAGAGGCATTTCTCCCGTCACCGGGTGGATGCGCACCAAAGGGTGTACAGTGTCGACAGGATCCTCCCGGACCAAACCACCCATCAGGCGAGCATAGGCAATCATTTCTGCTGATGAATGTACTGCCTCAAGGTTATCAAGAAATGATTGAAATTTCGGAGAGAGACGCCTAAGCATTGATATTAGCAGATAAGCCTTTTGTATGTCAATGGAAACCTATATGCAAGATCAGTGGCTGCAAAAACAGTATCACCCCCCACTTTCTGTGACGATCAGCTATAATAGGATGAGAAGAGGAAAGCAACTCGCTATTTGGCCGTACTGTCTAGGAATATCGTACATGAGGAGAAGAAGAAGAAAAGGGAAAAAAAGGTGAAAGACGTGGTGGGGAGGAAATAGGAGGCGAGGGCAGCTGCCTGCCATCAGCCCTAGCCCTGTGCCCTACTTGCTCGATCTGCTGGCACCTTCTAAGACGTGCCAGGGTCACATGCTGACGGTCATACCTTAGGTATGGTCGTCACACCATTGGTATGTCTCCAAAAGATCCATACTGTCACGGTGCTGGTCCTCTACCATACCCGAGCTATGGTAGCAGCCAGAGGCCCTGCTCTGCCAGTACTGACCGCCTGTCCACGCGACCCGCGAGGGAGATATCTCCAACTTCTGTTTTAATCTTGTTGTAGCTCGAAGAGTTACGTCTTGTCTATCTACCTGTACTATAGCTGGACCTGCAGCCTGCCTGCCTGTGTGTCCGATCCAATCAGTATCTGTTTCCCGATCTTCCTGAACCCGCACCCTGACAATCTAACTCAAATCGTAAAGGTTCTCCATACCTCTGTGACTATCACTGTCAGCATCCGGATCAGCCAGTATAGCATATGTTGCATATCCTTCGTCTATCCGTAGTACTAGCCATTACAGTCACAGTGCGACCTCCGGGAGTATTCAGAAGCTTAACCGCTGCACTAAGCAAAAGACTAGGATGTAGAACCGGAGGCTCTACACTGCTCTCTCAATATATATATATCAGGCAGGACAGGACAGGCACCGTAACACATACAATATAATTGGGGAATATACATATCTTCATAAAGCTGCTAATAAACATTTCATGATGCTCATACAAACTAGCTAGGAGATATACCCAATGGAGCTTGTACAAGCTATTTAGGGGATGTCCTCACGGAGCTCTAGGTGATATTATTATTACTGAGTGGTGGGCATATAGAATAAAGAACACTGGTAGGCAGAACAGGCAGCGGTGAAGGATCTTCATCAGAAATTCTAGTTATTGCAATTGGGCCGTTATAATCCGCCGTACCTTGCCGAATGTTGTATATTTCTGTATAGCCGACTTTTAACGTGCACAACAAGAGAAGAAAAAAGAAGACACAGACACGGGTGCAGAGACAGACAAGAAACACAGCAGCCTTCACGCCTGCAACTAACAAAAAACAGTAGATCGCATATCACTTGAAACAACAGGGACCAAAAAAAGTGGGGGGGAAACACGGTTAGAACCCGGGCATGCCAACGGTCTTGTAAACCCCTGAATGGGTTATAAGATCAATGCCACTGAACACGCCCATAAAGTGAAGGTCACGCGGAATGACTCGACCCATTCAAAATATCAGAAAAAAAAAAAAAAAAGACCACTCTAATTCAACAGAACGATGCTACCGTTTCCTTGGGAGAGCTAAGTCCGCGCGCAGTAGTCATAGACCCCCCTGGTTCGATGAACCGGCGAACCGGTGGGATTGCTCCACATGTCCAACCTGCACGTATTCAACCACTTGAAATGACAATAACTTCGCACCGACATGCTACCCATTCAAGAATCAAGGCTCCTTGTCCCATTGCCGAGCCGATTCTTTTCATCATTGGCACCGCCAACAAAGAGCTAGTCAATGAGCACCCCAGTCCAAAGCTAGCAGGTTATTAGGTGTCGAGGAGAATAGTATGAGAACGGACCGAAAAGAAAACAGCCACACGAGGTAATCAGCGGGAAATAGAATTCTAGTATTATAGTCCGCGTCCGAGATTATGGGGAGCGGGGGAAAGAAGGAGGTCAAATGAAATCTGCAAGCTTCGCCGTTCCGAACCAAAACACCGTATGAGCGAGGAGACATCGAAGACAATAGGGCTGCTCTACCGACAGTCGGACCTTTCGAGGTGGGGGGTTATGTTTTTGGTGAGATCCAGCAAAAAAAAAAAAGGCAAGCTGGGGCAATGCAAGCATCAGTGGGTGGGAAAAGAACCGCTTTCACGCAGGTCATGAGACATATGAAAACATGAGACAGTTCCATGACGGCCGTAAGCCTCATTCGCGAGCGAGCCCGAAGAAGAAAGGGGGATTATAGAAAAAGGGGAAACGGAAGAACGGAAGACCCTGGAGAACAAAAAGGAACATGGTATGCTGGTATGCAAGTCTCGTAATAACGAGGCGAACAGAATGATTGATAAGGATTTCCGACCAGAATGTAAGTATAGATGTACAATGGGAATTAAACTGGTCTCAACCTGCAGTCTGGATTTAGCAAGGTGCGCAGACACTTCAGGTTCCTTTGGATCTCCTACCGCAGCATAGAGCCCTCATCACTTTCTGCAAAAAATTGGGTTGGGATTCATTGCTCGCTTGAACGCCCTGCGCCTGCGGGCTGTTTACCATAGGACTGCTTATGCGAGCATGGTGAGTGGCACTCGAATTTGCGAATTGCGCTTGATGAGAGGCTGACGTCGCTGCTCCATCTAGAGCTCCGCTCGAACGTTTCGCTGGCATCCCGCCTGACCCGCTTGGCCGGTCGCGTGTCTTCCCCGGTCCAGGTTTTGCCGGAGATGGTGGTGGGGGTTGTGCAGCGTTTAAACGGTCCGCCGTCACGCCAGCCCGGGGGACGCGCAGCGGGGTCCCGTGCGTGTCGCGGCCAGGGTTAACGAGTGGACTGTTCAGCTGTTGGGAGGAAAAAGACGGCTTGTGTTCCCAACCTCGACCGTTGTTCAGCTTCATCCAGTCGTACTCCCCATCTTCAACTTCCCCTGTGTTCTTCAGGGCCTGAGTGAAGAGGTCTCGCAGATAGTCATAATCGGGAGTGTCCTCGAAACCGAGGTTGCGAACGTAGGTCAGATACTTGTTGAATTCATCTGTAATTTCAGCAGTCAGCAAGGTTCAGAAAGTAGAGGAAGGGAGAAAGGATGTGTACCTGGATAGCCATCGCAGAGATCTTTAATCGCAGTCGTCTGCTTCTTTTCTCCGATTTTCTCGTACTTTTGCTTGTTCGTAGCCGCCTTTAATCCCTGCCATGGGAGACCGCCCCTCAAGAAGTACATAAAAACATGGCCCAGTGCTTCCAAATCATCCCGTCGTGACTGCTCGCGTCCTAAATGAGTATTGATACTCATGTAACGTGCTGTACCCGACAGCGACTTGCGTTCACGGTATGGGATATGCTGTTTGGTCTTGGGGTCTCTATACTGCTTTGCCATGCCAAAATCGACGACATGGATGACATTGGCGGCTTTCGTGCCCGGGCGGCCAATGAGGAAGTTATCTGGCTTGATATCGCGGTAAATGAGATTCTTCTCGTGGATGGTTTGGATGCGGGAAAGCTATTGGGATTAAGTCAGTGACCAGATGTTCTTCTTCTGGGGTATACATAATACGAAAAGCAAACCCACCATCTGCTTGGCCACCATTACGACCGTCTTAATGGTAAACCGTCGATTGCAATGATCGAAGAGATCCTCGAGACTGGGTCCGAGCAAGTCGATGACGAGGATGTTATGCAACCCTTCTTGACCGAAGTAGTAGACGTTGGGAATGCCGGCTACATGGAAGAAGCACAAGTTAGGATGGCTTAGACTCGAACAGTCAGGATCAAAGTGACGGAGTGGCACTCACGGCACCCAACCAGGATCTTGTACGTCCGATATTCATCGCGGAGCTGGGGAGCGTCGCTCTTGCGAGGTTCCTAGTTTCGTCAGCCATAGGACAGACGGAGAATGGTGAGGTTGCAGTCCCCTGGGGAGACAAAGGCCGACGTACAAATTTGATGGCAACCTGCTGGTTATTCAGGAGATTCGTGCCTTCGAAGATGACACCGAACGACCCTTCACCGATTTTCTTCCCCACCCGATAGTGGACGCCCACGACGTTAGACGAAGATGACGCCATTGGACAGACGGAAGGATAGGGAAGTTATGGGAATGACGAGGATAGCTTGTGTCTCCTGCGACCGAGGCAGAGGGTTTGAGGCGACGGATGACGGGATGCAGGGGGGGAAGCGTCAAAAAGTGGCTGTTACTCGGAAACCGTCAGTGAGACAGGACATCGACCATACCACAGTGAACGGTTGAGACTGCCGTGGAAAGAGGCAGGAGCTCATTCGCAGCGGGAGATTATGGTGGAGGGAAAGGGAGGGAAAAGAGAGAGGGAGAGAGGGAGAGGTCGGATGGCACCCACGGGGAAAATATCAGCAGCTGCCGTGCACGAGTTTGGGAAACCACACGAAACGGGCCACCCAGCTAGTAGCGACTAGTAGTAAAGTAGGCAGGAAATCAGGGGGCGGGCAGAGAGCAAACAAAACAAGCAACGCAGAACAAAACAAAACAAAATAAAATAAAATAAACTATGCGTAATGAAAATATAAATTAAATAAAAACAAATCAGGGAAGAAACGGGATGAGGGAACAAGAGCAGATAATAAGAAGGCCTAGACGTCCAGACTGGAGCGAGTTTCTGGTTCAAGTTCCCTTGGGAGAATCGACGGAGACAGCCGCCAGAACAAACAAGCGCCAATGGAACTGCGCACTAATTAGGGGCAAGGAGAAGGGGGGGCCGAGAACGAGAACGGGGGCAGATCGATGGGTTTTTCTGCGGCAATTCGGTGGACCCAAGGAAGCAGACCTGGTCTGGCCAGTGCCACGATCAGTCAACGATGAGTTGGGGACAGAAATATTATTATTATTGTTATGGACAGAGAAAGAGAGAGATACAAAGCAGAAAGAGAACAGCGCAAAAGGCTGGGAAAGCAGGCGAAACTGAAAGCGAAAATGAGGCGGGCACAGACGCCGGGATTAGTCTCGTTGCTAATGCTCGCTACTGCACATAGTCGCTCCAACCGTCTGGAGATCGCAAAGGGACCGACTGGGCACGGAAGAAAGCGCCTGGAGGAGAGTTTCCAGGGTTGATCAACACAGCACTGATGTGGCAGCGCATCATTAGAGAGAGATAGTGTTTCACTGCTATTCTTGTCATACTGTACGGTGTATACCTAGGTAAGCTGGTTATCTACCCGTACAGTCTGTAGAGAACACGCTGGAGATACTCGACTCTTCCACAGCAAAAGGCAAAGACAATTGCCACTATATCCTGGATCCCAGATAAACCGGCCATAGCATTCCTTCCTGTCTGCTTGTGATGTATCACCTCCATGCTTCTATATTTGGTACTACTAGAACAGCCACGCATGAATCCGGGACGTTGACCACAGAACATCCTCATCATCATTGCTCATCTGCCGCTACCTCTTCCGCTTCACTACCAAGTTCGTCCGCCACAAGGTCCCCTTCCTCGTCTTCTTCGTGCTCTCCCTCTCCATCATCTTCCTCGTCTTCGCTGCTGGTGCCACTCCCATCACTGTCCCCATCGCTACCCGGGTCGTAATCATCCTCCTCTTCATCCTCCAAGTCCTCCAGCTCGCGCTCAGCCTTCTGTAGCTCGCTTTCTTCCTCCACTTCCTCCTCCTTCACTGCACCCTCACCACGATGGTCGGGTTTCGTCCCATTGCCCTGGTATTTTTTCGCCCGCCGCGCTTCCGCCAGACTGGCATCCTGCAGGCCGTGTCTCTTGATGTAGGCATCGATGCCACTGTAGTCCGCCTGGTCGATCATCGAGAATTCAAATTCCTGCGTCTCATCCCTGGACCCAGTCGTGGGGCGTGCAACTACATTCAAATTGAAGGTCCTCTGCAGAACGGAAGTGTACGAGATTGATTCGATGTTCTCAAACGCGAAGAATAGCAACGGTTTCTTGAATCCGAAAAATATGCCCGTAGACAGAAAGAATAGGTAGCCTAGAAAGAGGTCTCAGTTAGACTTGACATTTAAAGTGAAAAGAAAAGAGGCGAGAAGAACATGAACGGTGCGCACCTTCTTTGCTCCCACGAAAGGCCTTAACATGATACACCTTCTCTCCCTTTCGATGAGCCTCCGGAATGGCGCTCACAAACTCCCTCTCATCTGGACCAACAACCTTTATCTGCGACAGATTCTCGTTCAAAACCCGCCGGACTAGGCTCTCGGCTTTCTCATCACTGTTGTTGCCAATCTGCTGCCCGGTTCCCGAATACGCGGCCTTCGCAGGTCCATCAGGAATCGTCCACACCATTGATTCCAGCGCTGCTTCGCCTTCCGGCGGTGGATTTATCCCATCGCCATACTGGGGGATCACGCAGAGATTGAACTGCCGCTGGTTCTTTTCCGGTACGGGGAGACAAACGACGTGTTCTACACCGAATAATCAAATCAAACAACGCATTAGAAACAATCTTTCCCAGTAAGGATGAAAAGTAGGTTCCACACTCACGTATCTTGTCGATTGGCACTCCAAACTCAACATCTTTCGACGTTTGATTCCTTGCTCGAAGGTAACCGCGCCCGGCGGTCAGTTCCAGCGTCAGCTTCTTCCGCTGCGGCACGGCGAAAGAGACGTCTTTCATGTAGAACTGCAGTGAGGAATCTGTATTGAGGTCTACCGCTACTGACGCACTGCTTCCTACCGCATCGCCATTCTGCAGTTTTCGTTTCTTCACTGCGGGACCGTCGTTGGCCGCTTCGTGTGCGAGTTGGAGGGATGAGCCTGCATCCCTGGCCAACAATGTACATGTGTATCGAGCGATATCCTCAAAGAGAGGCGCTTGTTGCGGTGTAGAGCCTGTAAAAAATGAAGACAATAGAATGGTCAATGTATTGTCTTTTTTTGGGGGTTTTGTTCTTTTCCTTTTTTTTTCCCTGACAGACTAGTAACGCACCGATCGCATCATAAATACGGCTCTTCAAAGAGGGTTCCGCCGCGAACGCCTCATCAATAGCGGGGATGGCCAGCGCCGATGCATTTATCGCTGAAAATCCCATTTCTCTCAAGGTGATACAGTCCCGGGGGAAATGGGTATGTTCTCGTAGAGCTGCTCGTAAAGTGGATGACGGGAGATGTTTGCGGGTAGGAAGATCAACAAGGGTGAGCTGCTGCTATCTATTACTATGTTTGTTTTATCCCCCAATGTCATAATCTCTGAGCTCTGCATATCTACAAAGAATACAATCTGTCTCTGGTATGCATGGGAAATTTCGGTTGTCAAAACGCAGTTAAAACACAAGCAGCAGATATTCCATACTGGCCCTAGGTCCTATTCTACAATACATTACACGCTGTTCCGCGATAATTCAATTTGATGCCTCGCACCGTGAAATTCCAAGCATGAGGTCTAGCTTTCCTCCTTGACATTTTGCTTCATGAAACGCTCAATAAACCCGACCGTCCGAGGCGACATTATCAGGTTCCCATCAGCATCGCGGCTAGACTTTCTTTCCTCCTCCTTCTTAGCTCGCATCATCATAGAGAATTCCCCTCTCGGGGTTAGCAGAGTCCTGCTTTGGAGGTATTCCTGTCTGAGATCTTCTAATGTCTTCGCCTCAACCCATTCTGGGTCATGTCTTGTTCGGTATTTCGAGTACTTATTCCGCACTTCGTCCATGACACTCGGGGGAAAGGGTGCTTCCAGCAGCGATGGTTGCCAGGTTGGCGTCTCAACTTCCATGCGCAAGGTATCCCACACTTGATCGTCCTGTTTAAGAGTCTGCGAGCGGGGCCAGGGGATTTCGATGTCTAGCCCTGAAATATACCGGGTATGCTTTGGAGTCGACGTTCCCCATTCCCGTTCCATGATCGGCTCTCCGCCGTAGACGTGTTCAACTATGACGTCCCTAGAGCTCCCGGTATCTGGATCGTCAAGAGGAACCACAAGCCGAACGTCATCAACCGGAATCGGTAAAGGCAATATTTGAATGTTTCCTGGGGCCTTGTACGCCTTCATGTAAAAATCGGGAAAGTAGATATTGGCCTGCGCAGAGTAGCTGTCAGATGAAATTGCCGGCTTGATATAGAAAGCCTGAGAACGCTTTCTGTCCAAAGAAAACGTCCCGAAAGGAGAGGCGTACCCGATTGAGAGTTTTGAGAGTGACTGTTTCGGTCTCCATATTAACCCGAACAACCTCATCGATCTTGCCTTTGTCCTTGCCCTTCATAACGCAGACTCTATCACCCGGATGTATGTTGAAGTATCTCCGCCGAAGGTGCTTTGGGATTGGAGGCTGAGAGAGGACGGTCGCGGGCAAAGCACCGTACTGCTTTGCTTCAGTACCAACATCTCGTCGTGGGGCCAATGGTCCTCGCATCCAATCTTCACGGCGTCGTTCTCTCTCAGCACGAACGATGTCATGTTGTATTCGGTCGAAGGAAGCCCGCTGTCTCGATACCGTCAACCATTCTTCACGCTGCTCCTTCTTTTCCGCTCGGATGGCCTTACGCTTGGCCTGGTTCCTTGCCAGCGCGGTCCTCCTGATAACTTTCTGCATCGTGTGGGTTTGTGCAGAACCAACAATGGCTGAAGAGGCCGGCTGCAAAAGCGTTCGGAAGAAGTTGGCATCGGCTGCGAAATTGCATTGGTATCGGTCACGTGGATGAGGTCCACCCGGCATCTCGTACTACGTTGTATCCATCTGCTCGTACGTTTACACATGCTGAAGAACCAGGAATTGGGTTCTACAGCGTACTGAATCTCACAGCAGACTACTTGTTGCCCGAATGGATTACTTTCTGCCATCATCTCAGGCATTCAATTTTGCGTTGCACGTTTGCTAGCAGACCATGGCTACCTTGTGGTTAGGGACCACTGCACGCAATCTACCACTATGCTGTAGATATCTGGTCTACAGCGTGCTCAGTATTACACGAGGCACTGCACCCTTTTGATGCTCGGGCAGAAGCACGCAGAGTTGGTTACCAGAGTACAATGTACCCCGTCGATACTGTGCTGATCCCGATCGTCCTACGTAGGGATACACCGCCACAGGAGAAATTCGATACGGAGTATAGCCCTGTAATAACGGAAATATTTGTCCAGAATCCTTGATGGCGAGTCAAGAACGAAACGAAGATCTTCTTTCCGTATTGAAGCTTGTTGGATGCCGAGTTCAGCCCAGAATCTCGATGGGGGCGATGAGGGTGTAGCTATACGGACTCGGGACTCCGTGCACAAGAGACCTTTTGGGTGGACATAGTAGTGTATCCGAGGTGATAGGCTTCACTATGAAAATTATCATCGACAGCGAGATGCAATTATCGTTCCTCATGGCGACATACAGCTGCGCAGCGTGCCTACTTTAGGTAGGTCCGACAGCGTACTGCTGGGATCAGACGCGTGGACGATCAGCTTGATGGTTGGCAAGTCTTGGCATGACCACTTTGCAAGGCTGGACTTAACCCATTATTTCCAGCTGTAAGCACAGAGAGAGTTTCTTGATAGCGACCATGGTCGTGAAGAAATAACAACTATTAATAGTTAATAGTATTGAGGATCAGCCAACGCGGAGTGTAATACGTAATGTATTATGGATACCATACACCGTACGTACGCGTATTTCCAGCCACACCCCCTGAAGCGGGCGCCACAGGAGAGGGCTGTGCTAGCCGTACGGGGTAATACATCCATACATCAATTAGTACTACTAAAATACATACTTCGTACTTTACTTGCCTCTTCATTATCACGGTGTACGCTGTGCAGCAAGTAGGCTCTCTTCTCTCCTTTTTCTCTCTGGAAATATAACGGAACCCCCAAGACATAATCCGCAGAAAGAAAAAGTCCATTCGGTACAGTCCCTGGCTGGCCAGAGGCTGAAAGAAAGAAACACGATTACCTACCTAACTGACTTATCTAACGGGCCAGCCAACCAGTGCTTCCGCCTCCCAGGTTGAGTTAGCCCGTTGGCCTCCATCCTCCTCCTTCCACCTCCCCCGTCCATCCTCTGCTTCACCTGTTCCATTCCTCTGCGGCTCCTCCTGCTCGTCGTCCATTTCTATTCATTGTCTTCATCCTTCCTTCCACCATCTTTATTCTCATCGGTTGGTGTTTCTCAAAGTCTGACCTCTGACCCTTTTTGCATCGCCTCTCCTTTGCAGTTCCTAAAGCCTTTTTATCTGCTCCTGTTGCGCCTGCTCCTTATAAACAGTACGTGGTGAACTCCCCTTCCCCCCATCCCCCAAAGGCTTTCAACAACCCTTTCCCTGTATGTCGGCTTTCTATCAGCTTCATCGACTGCATCTTTTCCCTCCCCCTCCCCCGGCTGTTCTCCTTTCTTCCCACCTCCCGTCTTCACATGCCTCCCTTCTGGGCTTCGTTTGCTAACTGCTTGGGTCTCCCCTGCGATAAGATGGCCGAACTCCGTCGTAAGCTTGTCATCGTCGGTGACGGTGCCTGCGGTAAGACTTGCCTTCTTATGTAAGTTTCTTCCATCACCATTTATTCCATCTCTGGGGCATTTTCAAGGGATGGGAAATTTTTTGTCTTAACATGCTGACAGAGATTTCATCACAGCGTCTTCTCTAAAGGAACATTCCCTGAGGTTTGTACCCGGTTTTCCTCGATACCTCTCACCTCATGATTTTATACTGCCCCTGCCTTTATTGCCAACATTTCTGGTATTTTCGCTGGGCTTACACGTACCCCCTTTTCCCCCTTTAACTAGGTCTATGTTCCCACTGTCTTCGAGAACTACGTCGCCGATGTCGATGTTGATGGCAAACATGTCGAACTCGCTCTTTGGGATACGGCAGGTCAGGAAGACTATGACCGCCTGCGCCCTCTCTCCTACCCTGATTCTCACGTCATTCTGATCTGCTTTGCGATTGACTCGCCCGACTCTCTCGATAATGTCCAAGAAAAGGTGCGTTTTCTGAGTCTCTGAGGGGACAAGAAGTTCAGTGGTGCATTCCCCCGCATCGGTGACTGACCTGTTGCTTAGTGGATCTCCGAAGTCCTTCACTTCTGCTCAGGCCTCCCTATCATCCTCGTGGGTTGCAAGATGGATCTCCGCCACGACCCCAAGACCATTGAGGAACTGCACAAGACTTCCCAGCAGCCGGTTACCCCTGAGCAGGTATGTCGTCCCTGTTGCGGATACATAGAAACGATCAAACCGAGACAACTAACTCCGACATCTAGGGTGAGGAAGTTCGGAAGAAGATTCAGGCCTATAAGTACTTGGAATGCTCTGCTCGGACCAACGAGGGTGTCCGTGAGGTTTTCGAAGCTGCTACTCGTGCTGCCCTCATGAGGAAGAGCAACGGCCCCAAGAAATCCCACCGGTGCAGTATCTTGTAAAGTAGTCATTTCAAGCAGAGACCATTCTTCATATTCTCCTTTCCCCCTCCCCGCCTTTTAATACAGTGATGAATGTCCTGAACGGACGGTCATTTCAAGGTTGTTACCCTCTGGTGTGTCGCAATATATCTCGAAGCGGTGTGGATAGTGTGAGCTTGGGCGCTTAAGCTCAATGGATTATCTGGTTATTCAATTGGTTGACTCTCTTATTTTTGCAGAATCTGTCTAGGGAGGCGTTGTCTTCATCATATTGTGGGGTTTTTAGCTTTACATGGCCTGGCAATCCGATCCACTAACGGCTAATATCTGTTGCCAACAAGATTCAACACTGCTGGAGCGGTGTAAATCATCAGCAACTGGAAGCCAACAATGATGTGTTAATCTTGTATGCCCGTCGATTACTTCGGCGGGTCATCGAATAAGTTGGCTCATCACCATGTGATAGGCGGTTCCCATTACTCCATGTTTCTCCAGCGAAGACTCGCCTTTGACTTTTGTTGTTTCTTTTTGCACCTTTGTTTCGGTTAAGAGAATGCATGGAAGTATTTTTCTTTTTTTTTTCTTTGTTTTGCGATATCCACCAGCAGCTGGTATTGTAGCTCAACCCTCTGTTGCAAGATAGTACCGTCCAGTCTACTTTGCAAGACACGTGTAGGAAGGTCAGTGGATAGCTTAAGGGCAAAAAAGCACTGAGCCTTTATGATATGTACGGATAAGGTGATGGCAACTGTGTTTCCTGCTATGAGGTAATGTGCACGCTCGGCTGTAAGTCTCGAACTACGTAGGCGATAATAATAGTACATATGTCTTTGCAGATAGTGATGGAAGTCATCACTGGTCAGTAGCAGAAATTGAGTTATGAGCTGTAGGACCCCAACAAACAACTGTTACTGTTCCTGTTCCTATCCTGTTTTGGCCTGCAACACCCATGGCAAATCCAATTCAAACAAAATTCTTCTAATGGAAATACCCACCATTTCCCTCTAATTGAACTATAAATCAAAGCGGAGAAGAAAAAATTTTATCTATTCAAACTGAGTAAACTCTCAATATACCTCCTCGCATCCAGACCCAGTCCCTCCGCAAGTTTCCCGGGGGCCATATCAGCCCTGGAAAACTGAAATCCGGAAAATGACGAAGATGAAGATGCACCGCCAAGATCCCTGAAGAACCGTGCGCTGTTACTTCCCGTGCGATTATGTTGAGACGAAGGGGAGACATAATCACTTGCTTTGCGGACCACGAAGGCCTCCTGGTGGTTATCGTCCCCCGAGACTCGGACCCACACGACCCACCAGCCACGATTGGTTTTGTAGGTCCTTTCGAGCTCGTCCGGGTGCGATCTTGTTTCGATGTACGTGTTCAGGAGTCGGTGGTGGATGTTGACGCTTTCAACGCGTGACCAGGGAGGTGTATTGGGATCGGAGGACTCGGTCTGATGGGAGCCGAGGTCTGGGATGTTCGGGATGGAAGAGCGTATTGTGAGGTTGGACGGGTCGTAGACGAGGTCGTATACCGGATGGATTTTGGTGGAGAAGCGGCTCTTGAAGTCGAACACGCCGTCTGATATGGAAATTCTCGAGACTATGTTTTCGAGAGATGTTGAGGCTAGTAGAGGCTTGTGGAGAGGGCGTAGTTGGTGCTGGATGCTATGGTAGAAAGAGGGCTCGTGGAGAAATGGGGTTTGCGGGTCAAAGATGAAGGTAAACATGAACGGTTGATGCTATTTTGTTTTGTGTTTTTGTCAGTACTGCTTGATATGATGGATAGGAAGGGAGGTTAACATACTGCATAGACCACAACCTGAACCTTCTTTTGTTGATCTTGGAGCACGTTTCACCGTCAGCTTCTGCTACAAGAATACTAAGATGTAGATAGACTGTCTTACCTGTCGTATCACCGGAGGCTGCTAACCATATATGCAGAGTTCGAAGCACGATGCCATCTTTAGGCTTTCCTATGAAGGTGTTATCCTCATATGACCGAGCCCTGAAGCTTCCGGGTTCGTCGCGTAACCCGATGATGAAGCTTCCAAAGGTGTCACTCCTAGCCTTAGCCTGATCGCCTTCGGCTGGCTGGTCTCTTTCCAAATCAGTCCCAGTCGTGGTCGGTGGGTTTTTCTGCTTCGCTTCCTCTTGAGGCCCATCAACATCGTTTTTTAATGCCGAGACACGAGGATGCGACGGAAGCGTTTGCGGCCAGAGGCTCCAGGATGAACCATAGCCCAAAGTAAGATATCTCTTGGCCTTTTCTGTCCCAAATCCAGGCAGAACACTCCACCGCCCACTCCCCGTTGAAGAATTGTCATCATCCGCGTTGGAGTTATCTTTCTGATGAGAGTCCTGAGAAGGTTCGGGTGTTCCTGTGACAAGGGGACGCGGTATTCCCGGTGAGAAGGGCCGGTCAGGGGCTTGACGTGGGGAGCTATCGGCTGTGCGTTCTGTTTTGGCTGGAACGGCACTCGTGTCTCTTGACGGCTGTTTGGCTCTTATTTTGCGATGTCGTCGGCGTCGAGTTGAACTCGGGTCTCCGCCAACTCCATACGCATTGTCGCCATATCTGTATATCCACTCCATCCACTGGGAAATTTGGACTAAAGAGGGCCGTGATACTGCACCTGTACCAGCAAATATAACACCATCCGATGGCTGAGGATATACATCCAAACCAAGCCATTTGAGTTTGCCATCCATTGCATTTGATGAGTTGTTGGATTCCTTTGATAGTGAGGGTTCCTCAATGGGGGCAGGCGCATCACCAAACCTCGAGACAACTAAGTCCACAAGCCCATCGGTTCTTGTTACAAGATCCTCTAGAACGGCCCGCTCCCCGCTTCCCCATTGTTCCTCCCCAACGCCGATGCCAAGCTCACCGCCAGCGGAGAGCTTGATCCCATTAAAGATATCAACCGCAGGATTCCCGCTCAGGAGGATGTCCCAAGTCCACGCAAACTTCTCCCAAAATCGCTCAAGAAGACCACAGAATACGGACCTGCCGACCCGCTGATAGAGGCCATCTAGGGTGAAGTCATGAAGTAGCAGGAATATGGAGTGCGTGCGGATGAGATGTTGGAGCAGTAGCTGTGGAGGGCACATCTCCCTCGAGGAATATTGGAATAAGGCACTTTGCGTCTCATTCTGTGAAGTCGCTTCGCTCCTAGCAGCACTAGTCGGCAGTCGGGTGAGGTCGACAGACTATTAAACATTCTTAATTAGTTACCGCCACCTTGTATGAGCCCGTTAAGCGACGTACAGCCAGAATCCACCAGTTCTTTTCCAATTCATGGAGAACTATACGTGATTTATCCGTCTCCACGTAGTCTACTGCCTTGCCATCTGAGAAATTACTAGAGCCCCGGTATCAGCGTCTTTACATCTGGAAGGGATACTATGCACTTTCGAGATGGGCGACCCCTACCTGGCCAACTTCACCATGCCCTGTGCCAGGCCCACTTGGCGCAGTCTTTCATCCCATTCATTTGTATTCTGTCCATCACCCTTCACAGAAGAGCTATCGTCTCCTCGTAATCGGCTTGACCGGGGGGTATAGAAAACTATCTGGTCGGTTATCGTTTCGTCCGTCGTTGCAAGGAGAGGATTGTAGATGGCGAGGAAGGATAGCTGTGCTGGAACTACTGAAGCAAATCCGCTTTCGGGCATCTCATTACCCACAGGCGCCCCGCAGAATTTAGCAGCAAGGCACAACAGCGAAAGCAATCAAAAGACGGTAATAATGCCGCCATGGCGTTGATGAGATTCATTGATCGTCGGAGGAGGAAAGGACAGTGTAACATCACGTGGTTCATTATCGATAAGACTTCGTCCAGCTCAAGGAAGTCCGAAAAGCTTCCAATTGCCTCGCATCGGCTGAAGCCATGATTCTACAGAAAATCTCCGGCGTTCTCTGTATTTTCAGCAGAGTACAATCTCTTCATGGCCTTTCAAATCGGCCTGCATGCCGATTCTTGGCGACAAAGACCTACGACCCGCTCCGGATCCTATTCTGCGGATCGGATGGATTCAGCATAGCTTCCCTGAAAGCCCTCCATGAAGAGCATCTGAAGTCGCCCGACAGAATTGCTTCAATTGATGTCATCTGTAGACCCGGAAAGCGAGTCGGTAGGGGCCTGAAGAAAATACGGGAAGGTAAGCTTGATGCCTGCTTTTGAGAGCTCTAGCATGCTCATGTAGATCTCTAGTCCCAATCAAATCAACCGCGTTGGACCTATCCCTTCCAATCCATGAGATAGATACATTTAAGGGGTGGACGGTATTATGATTCTCGGAATTTACATCTATGGTTTTGAATTCCACTGACGCGAATAGCCACCGGTCTTGCCGGAGGGCCCAATCAACTTAATCATCGCCGTGTCCTTTGGGCTCTTTGTGCCCCCGCGAATACTGAATGGTGCGAAATATGGAGGGTTAAATGTGCATCCCTCGCTCCTCCCAGAGTATGTGTCTCGTGGTAAACAAGAATAGATTTCTTGTTAGGTGGACTATTCGCTTACCCATGTTGCATCATGTCCCTGCAGTTTCCGTGGCCCTGCACCACTACATCATACTCTCCTCGCCGGTAGAACGAGGACCGGCGTTACTCTTCAGACCCTCCATGATAAACACTTCGACCATGGCACTATTCTAAAACAGACGCCACCCCCCGGGTTTGAGATACCGAACCCCGAATCCTGTACCGTCTCGGAGTTGCTAGACCTGGTTTCTGCGAAGGGGGCTCGAATGCTCATTGACGGTATCAAAAGTGGTGTTTTTGTCCCCCCGCTAGAACATGCAGGTTGGTATCGTGCGGAAGGGGAACAGGACTTGATTCATGCAGCCAAAATAACAACAGAGGATCGACATGTCGATTGGGAGAACTGGACGTGGGCGAAAATCAACAAGCGGAGCCGAGTACTTGGTCCGTTGTGGAGTACGGCTACTACCGTACCAGATGTTCCGGGTGGTGAAACTCGTAGCTTTCAACAAAAGAGAGTCATTCTCGCTTCTATGGAGAGAGTCGAACTGCCCCAGGGCTATGATCCGTCCTCTCTTACTCCTGGCCTACCTTTTGTGGAAGGGACGTCGCCATTTGAGAAGAGACAGGATGGCAAGGGGCTTTACGTCTTCACACGGGATGGCAGTTTGATCCGCATCAAGGAGATGAAGGTGGAAGGAGAGCGAGTTGCAGACGGTTTCCGGGCCGCCCTTAAAGCCCGAATGGTTAGCGACCAGACTTTTTACTTGGGCAGTTCTGATTACACATTCTTCTATGATCGTCTCCGATGATCTTGTGAAGGCGTCAGAAATGCATGTAATTGTATGTACTTTATCAATGATACCCCATACATGTCGTCCAAATGCGCTCCCATTCTCCGACTATACACTCCTGTCGTTTATTTGATGGCAAAGCCACAGTCTATAAAATCAGCCTATATCAATACTTTTAGAATGAGCGAGAAAGGGAAAGTCTTACCGATCTGCAGTGACTGGCCCGTCATAGACGTGTTTTTGGCGATCATAATATACAAGTCGGCCGTGTCTTCCACCTCAGGCTACCGGTTTCAAGAACCTTCCTGTTAGCATGCATTGCAATCGGCAATTTCAAAGAGACATACCGTTTTCTTGAGAACAGCCTTATCTTCATATCCCTTGATCTTCTCCGGGGGGAATCGTTGACCCTATTATATTACATCTTTAGTTCCATGAAACAAAAAGAAAAGCTAGCAGCAACTCGCAAAATACCCATTCAGTAAGCAAAAGCCCCGGAAGCACGGCATTCACCCGGACTTTGGATCCTTGAGTCTGTGCGAGGCATTTCATCAAGTGTAATCCTGGACAAGGTTAGCATTTTATCTCTTCTTTGCCATCTCTTAAAAATATTTACGTACCTGCTGCTTTCGTGACGGAATATGGCAGGCTACTACCACTTACAGTGACAGCCTAGAGTGTTACAGAAAAATATAAGCCAGTAAAACTTGGTACCACGTGTAGAGAAAACAAACATACTGCCGTTGAAGAAGTGATGATGAACACACCCCCTTCTGGATTCGTGTTGAATGTCGGCAGTGCTACCCTGAAAAGGTAAAGGTTTCCCTTGACATTTGTGGACCAGCACTGTTTCTCGGAGGGATGATATCTATTAGCAATTCTGCTGGATATAGAAGGAGGTTGGTTTCATGTGACTATCATACCTTATCCCAGTCTTCATCGGTCATTGCATCCAGATCACCGAATGCGGTTATTTTAGTCCAACCCTGATAGACCGTTAATAATTAGTTTTATCAAGCCTGGGATTACAAGAGAAAAAAAAGGGATGGATGTAACGAACCGCATTCGAAATCACAATGTCCAACCCCCCTAATTGATCAATGGCTGTCTTTACGACCTTGACGCAATCACTTTCAACTCCTCCGTCCTGGATATATTGTCAGAAATATACAGTTTCAAGCAGCAGCAGCAGTAGTAGTAGTATTCACAGGGAGGGGGAGGGGGGAATGTCAGACATACACCCTGCACAATAACCGTCTTCACCTTATATTCAGCCTCAATCTCAGCGGCAACCTTCTCAGCTGCGTCCCGGTTCGAGACATAGTTAATAGCGACATTGGAGCCCTCTGAGGCGAATTTCCGGGCAACCAATGCGCCTAGTCCTCTGTCCAGAATAATTAGCGGGGTTTGAGCTGGCTAGATAGAGGTAAAATGAATATGCATACCTTGATCCTCCAGTGACAAGGACGTTCCGGCCCTGCAACGAATAAGGCATTTCTTTTGTAGATGGGAGATACTATTTAATAACTCTTAGTGCTTGCAGATGTACATACTTCTGAGAGAGCCGTGGACAACAATATAAGCTATATTTATATCGGAGGGACCGACAGCGCTTGTCGCATTTAGTCAGCTGATAAGGTCTCGATGGGAATCCCCCTCTTTTCTAGAAGATGGGGTATACAGTAATGTCTGATGATAGATTTTTTCTATGTTTGCTAAATGCAGACCAAGTAGACCAATATGCCTCCATTCAATCACATATCCTGCGCCCTGCTCCAATGACCTGTATAATAGTAACAGAAAGTACTGGACCAGCCAAGTGACCAACATCGTATCGTACAACGAATATTCTCGGTTATCTGACGCCCAAAAAGGAAATATATATATAGCTCGTATAGTCGTAGTCGTCACTCATGAGCCATAGGGATCTAATGGCTTCATTGGAGACGGTTGTCCGGCTAGACTGTGGTAAGCGCCTACTATCCGTGAATTACAGGATCATTTACTGCAGTACTCCAATAGTAGGTATCTAAGTGCTCACCTTACTGCCGACCAATCTCCTGTCCAAATCCCTTTGCCTCTTCCACCCCTTCAGACCAATAGCGATGAAGAGAACCCCGTTCCAAAATCCCCGTAGGGATCCCATCGCCCCCACAGCGATCATAAGCCCATACGATTGAAATTTGGGGTTGACAAAGGAGGAAACGCGATTGATCGTCGGTACGACCCAGGTCGCTAGCAGGATAAGGAAGAACAAGACCGGCATGAGCAGGTACTGTCGGAGCAACATGGGTGACTGGTCCGGGAGCTTTTGGATCAGCGTAAGACTACTATCGCTGGACTGATGGGTGGCAGAGGGCGAAATGACGGTTTGGATAGAGGGTTCCTTGGCATCACGTGATCTCACCAGATTCAAGGGGTGCGACTGGGACTGGGAATGGGAGTCGACCTGGACAGTCACGGAGATAGCGTTGTTGGACGTCTTTGATGTCAGGACAATGTGATCTTTGCAGATCGACTTGAATTTGCGTTTTAGATTGAAGATTTTGATGCCGACGAGGCAGTAGATGATTGTGATGATGGTGATGATGAACCTGCAAGATAGATGAAAGGTTACAATTAGTAGCAACAACTAGGAATGAGACATACCATATAGGGCCATAATAAAAGATAATGCGGAAGAGAACCCATTCGTGAGAGATTGAACACCACAGCTGTCAGGGATCGATTAGACTTCTATCACCATTATGTTTATATAGCCAACTTCAATTGACTCACATCCACACTGCCATAGAAAGGGCCTTTCTCCGCACTTCGAATAAAGAAGAAGACGATTGCCGGGACTCCGACAAGGAAAGTAATGACGCCCGTATAGTACACTTCTAACTTGCGCAGAGACTCGGCGTCGTATTGGTAAAAGACAACGAGGAGGACGTTGCAAGCGGTAGCAAGGGTGAACAGCACATCTGCGAGGGGGAACCTGCAATACATCAGTATTGGTGTGCAAAAGAAGCAGCAGAGATATCCCCGACGGTCGTACATTTGAAGACAGAAGCCCTGGAACTGACACAAGGCGGAGGCATTCCCCGCCTTGGGACCATCGACGGCGATCATGGTGCCGATGAAGTCGAACAGGTTGTAAAAGGCATTGATAAAGATAAGACGATGGGTCGGATTGCGAAAGTGCTGTGAAGCGAAGAAGGTGATGATGATGGTCAGAACGCCTATGATGGAGAGGACGGAGGAGATACGCTCGACGATGCCTAAGATGCGGGACTGTTCATCTGTGAGCGGCATTGTGTGTCGAACAACACCACAGGTGCCGTCTATACTAGACGAGATAAACAAGCCATGGATGACAAGGTCGTTTTATGTAGGCTGTACAAGGAGGAGCATGGAGGTAACTGAAAGCAGTCTGCATCCTTCGTGGAAGCTTTTGGACATGATCCAGCTTGGCGGAGGATGACGTGATGGCGATGCATGCTTGCATGTACAAAGTGTTATTATTGTCTATTATTATATCTGGAATGCAAGATCAACTGGAAGATGATGGTTTCATAGCGTGCCGCGATTGTGTCATTTAATATAAAACAATGGGATGATTGATCCTGACCCACTGAAGCAAACCCTAATGCAGCTGCAGCAGTAAAGACGGAAGACTTTGCCATGTTGCACGATCCTGATTACCCCCTGTAGATTGCTATTATACAAGTAGCAAATGCGTCTGGAAGAAGCTTGTATGTCGTGGTATTATATAGCAATCCCGTGCTCCGTGGCTAAGCCATGTTAAAGTTGTCACTAGCACTGCTCCTGCAGATGTGAGCTTCTTCCGAGTCCACATCTGCCCGTATTCCATGCTGCATTCTCATCCTATTATGCTCAGGAGTCGCGTGCCTCACTTTATCCGGGAGCGAGAAGGCGGCAATTATTGCAGTCAAGGGTCCTGTAGGAATGGATATCTGATGGAAGAGAAAACCTTGTCAGTAACTATCTACTGTGCAGCGGGTTAGGAGAAATTAACCTTCTTCCAATCAGATATTCAATTGCGAAAGCTAACGCTGTAGTGGATTCTGGGTGGTTTTGCTTCACTTGTTCTAGATCCTCGACTGACATAAAGAGACGGCAGGAATTCCATAATAGGGTATGGAGGATGGCCGTGGCCTTTGAACAAGAAATCCATCATACTCAATCCAACAGGGTATCGACATATTCCGTCTTTCTCATCCCCCTCCAAGCCTGTTTCCCCTCCAGAGCAGGCCACTGGACGAGAAAGCGGTCGACGAAAGGTAACAGAAGCTTCCCCGACAGACTGAGAGTCGTCACACGAGCCCATGATTCCACGAAAATAGTACGCAGCTGAAATGTAAGGGGAGCTTTCACTTCTGAAGAGCTCTCCTTCCGAGCACAGGAAAAAAGAGATAGGAAGCCATACCAGAACCGCAGAAGCTTCGCGGCTAATACGACACACACTGCCGTAGCTGGGCCGTTGGTAAGAATCACGTCTGGATATGGCGAAGAGAGGCTTACAGGACGTTGTCCTTGATCCGGATGGAGACCACGTAGCACGAGCAGGCAGGCCCAGAAGCATTGAAGGGTTGAAAAAGGAGCCGTCAGATAGGATTGATGTACACGGCGCGCGCGTGGCACAGTAACAATAGCGTAAGATGCAGGTAGATGCTCGTCTAGTTTCAAGTCGTCCTGTCTCGCTTTTTTACTCTGAAGACCGGTCTCAAACTCCACTGCTTTCCTGGCACTGAAGTTGTCGCCCGAACTGACAACATAGGTTCGATATGTGTAGACGCTCGGGTCTAGTGGCATACGTCGTAACATGGAGAACATCTCAGCTGTATGTCCACCGCTGCCCAAGACAACCAGGAGATGAGTGGCGGAATGTCTCGGACGGTACTTGGGGACTCTGGCACGCTGGGAGGCTGCGAGAGTACGAGCAAGTACCTGGCATTGCATTGCGCTCAGATCAGTCTGACATCCTGGGAATCCTATTTTCCTTCAGACTCACAAGGGTGGCTGCTATGCCAGTCACAATAGCAAGTGCTAAGGCCCAGCATAAGAGGCTCAACAGAGAAAGCTGCCATGGCGCCATGGACAATAGACTACCAGCCAACACGGGCGATTTAGATCCACCAGACCAGGAGAGAACAATAGGATGGTGAATCGCCTTGTTCTAGTTGTTCCTGGGTAAGGGCGGCGTCATTGTCTGGAATTGAAGCCGTGTCGGACCAACGCCTCCTATCTTGCCAGTGAATGTACTCAGACAAATGTACACAGACAACAGAGAATCTTCGTGCGAATATGGAACTTGTCTCTCTGCTGGCGTGGAGGTAGAAAAGGCTGCCTCGCGATCTGTCTCTTTCTTCTGCAGTTGCTGTGGTCTGTGCGGTTCGGCGATTATTTTCGGTTCTTCTTAACTCCCGCGAGACTTACTATTTTATTTATTTCCTGAAAGAACCAGACATCTCCATCGTTATTTCGCTGGTATGCAATGAAATGGCATCCTTCTTCTCCAGACGACTGAGCTGCTTTTATTGCGGGCAACGCTCTGCTCAGGAAAAGCCAGGCCCCGTCCGCAAATGGCGTTGTAAACATTGCGAAGCCATCAACTATCTTGACGAGGTGCGCTTCTTTCGACTTCCCTGTTTATGTACTCTACTAACCAACTCTCTGGCTGCTGCTGTAGGATGGAAACATCACCGATCCTCCCGCTACAGAGACAAATCCAGCCGCAAACGACCCGGGAACTCCCAGCCGTCCCTTCGACACGGTTGACCTCAAGGACACTGGATTGTTCTGTTCGACCTGCCTTCGCAACCAAAATCTGTTCATGAGCGCTCTGGCATCATGGGTTCCTTCCTCCGATGACCAAGCAAATGCTCTTTACGAACGGGAATATCCCAAATTTCGCCGACACCTTGAGGAGCAATATCCGCAGGTTTGCGCCAAGTGCGAGCCACGAGTTCAGCAGCGCATTGCCCAAACGGGGTACGAGGCAAAAGCAGACAATCTCAGACGCATGATGGAGCGGAGTAAAGAGAGCAGAGTAGCCAGACAGGCCAGGAATCGAAACTGGAGGAGTCTGCTGGTCTCCGCGGGAGCCATCGGTCACTGGGGCAGCATCTCTGGCCAGCTTGCTTGGGATCTGATCAGTGCCATGGAAACCGCACAACCGATACAGAATGGCAGTGATCACGGATTGCTCCCATATACCCTGTCGTATGTGAGACAACTTCTTCCAAACCATGCTTCGGTCGATTTAGCGTCGTATGCAGGCCTGTCTCTTGTCGCTGGCATCCTCTCAATCTGGTGGAATCCAAAGCTGCGACTGAGGGTAGAAGGGATTGGTGGCAGATTTGTTGGTTTGACAGAGTATTATGAAGTACAGTTGATCGTGATTGTGGTCAGATGCGTATTCTGGGCAGTGCTTAAGGACCCTTCGTCGAGTGGTCTGCCATCGACAATGCTTCCGGGCCTGCATATGTTTATGGTTATGTTCACGATCTTGGTGAGTCTTCCCTTCTCCTTCTTTACACTTTGTCGAGTCCTGTTAGAGGACAATGCTTACGGAGTTGCTAGTCTGCTTTGCTGTCTTCTCGCGTTATTCAACATGATACTCGCCCACTTGTAGATTGGTCGAAGCTTGCTTCAGAAACGACTACTACTACAGCTCAGACGATGAAAGCATCCGCTACACAACAGAGTGCTAGTGACTCGCCCTACATGCGTTCCATTGAGAGTACTCCTCGCTATACCGGACGGTTCCCAATTGAGAAATTGGCGACTCCTCGGCCTGAGCCTGAGCCTGAACCGACTCTTCCTTCCACCCCTCGTTCGCCAGAAGTGGACTCTATGGATTGGACACCTTCCCAGCAACATGATTTCCGGCCAACAGTTAGTGTATACCAGCGGAACCAGAAGTCTGTTCTGGATGGCCCTCTCCCTTTCTACGGATCACTACCGTCTGCACCGAAGCCTCCGTCGTGGGCTATTCTTGACCAGGGGGCACAGAAGCCCATCAAACAGGTCGTCGAACGCAATCCATTTCATCATCGCCCAGCTCAGCCAACGTCGTGGCAGCGAAAACCAGAGCAACCTGAAACCGTGTTTGCACCACCAAAATTCTTCCCCCGGAGTGATTACACGGAATCAACTGGCTTAGAAGCTCTGTTCGACAGGGCATTTACTATCAAGTCCCCCGAAGAAGACGGTGAGGAGAACTGGCAGTTCATTTCACATCCGAGTTCTTATCGCTCCACTGTGACGAGGAATTCTTTCCTGTTCCAGTCTCTTCGAGTTGGGCTACTTCTGTCTTCTATTCTTGCTTGGGTGCTTTCACAAATGGATGCCATTTCAATCCCAGGAAATTACATAGAGGTGGCCTCACTAGGCAGTGCCAGTCTTATTTCAGGATTTTCTCTTCTCGAGTGTCTGAAGTGGCCCGTACCGCAATGGAATAGCTTCGTGATTCTGGTCTATATCGCCGAACTCGTGGCAGCTGTCCATTTAGGAGCGAATCTACCACGGGTGTCTTTCGATAGGGCGTATTTCGACCGATATGGAAAATTTCTTTTGACTTTTATGGCCATTCAGGAGACAATGAGCTTACTTGCTTGTTATCGCGCCACGTCAACGACCTCTCCCGCGCTCGAGATGCAAGGGACGCAACCAACGCACCCCGAGCCTACGTCCACTGAAAGTCCGCTCATAAGTTCTGCCACGGAGATGCCCTCCAGTCAGCCCAGAAGTCAAGTATTCAGTTCTCAGTCGCCGCCAGATTCGCCTGCTTCCTCTTCCTCCCATATTACTACTGGCTTTAGTAATCGAAAGCGCGTCAACCAACCCAGCTCGCTGTTTAATTCTCAATCGTCAGTAGCACCTTCATCCTTTTCCTCCTCTATTGTTGGCTCTGGCTTCCCGCTGCAGCTGTCAGACAAGCCCTTAGGTCAAGGCAGTCAAGCATTCTGCTCTCAGTCCTCAGTTCCTCCTCTCTCATTTTCATCGACCATTCCTAGCTCCAGTTTCTCATCTCAGCCCTCCGAGATACCAAACCAGTTTGGGCCTTCCTCTTATAATACCTGTGCTGGTGCGCAAGGAAGCTTCACACTGAATGATCTCAAGGGCTATGACTCGGACGACTCGGGCCTTTTTGGTCACGATTCTGACACGGAGACGACTGCCACGACCGCGACAGCTACTACAAACAACACTATCCGAAACATCCGGTACGGGCGAAACATCGATAACGACGCGTTTTTCTCTCCGGCACGGTCTGGGTTGGGACCGGGAATTACAAGCCTTAGTCTTGAAGACCAACCTTTCCGTCGCGTTACTCGAAGTCAGACTAAACGGCAAAGGGATATGTTTAATAGATATCCTTTGCGCGGAATTAATTGAATTAATACATCGCCGACTCAGCCATCCCAATCCTTTTCATTCCCTCTTTTCATGTTCCTACTTCGACTATGATGTCTTCATTCTCTCCTCTTTTCTTCGCCCTCTTCTCTCTATTTGTTTTACTCGCTCCTTTGAATCATTGCACGGGCTGATATATCCCATTTATTTCTTGTTACCACCCTTTTGTGTACTCTTCTATGCTTTCTTCTTTCTTTTAGCGTCGGTGGAATATCCCAATTGTCCTTACGAGCATGAATGAACCATGACATGTATATAGGTAGCTGATTAGATTTCCTTGTTTATTTGCATCATATGGCTGGGTCAGATCGGATAGGATTTGTTGGGTCGGCTTGGGAGGTGTCATTAATCTAGGTAGATTGCTTGATTGATTGCATTATTTAACATCTGAAAACCTGACTCTAGGTAGGTTTATAGGTGGTGCCAGCCCATGGTAGCTAACTAGGTAATGGAAGTGTATTGTTGGTTGGTTACTAGCTAGATAGGCCTACGTGGTGAAAAGGGTCAGCGAGGGCGGACCTATGCGGCAGAATCCCACGTGATCCAACACCCCCCCACGCACGAGCTGGCCTAAAGACTAATCTAAAGAATTTAAATACAAAAATCGGCCTCTATTCAGGCCTCCAAATGAGAGAGTAAAAGCAAAATTAAGCAGAGAAGTGAGAGGTTCCGCTTTGGCCAATCAGAAGCCGTAAATCAGAATAGAAAGTATAACCAAAATGGGGGAACAAGCGCCGCTTAATGTATGCCGGTGAGTTCCAGGAAATGATTGAATCGTTCAGTTTGGAGAGGTTTTGTCAGGCCATCTGCTGCCTGTTCTTTGGTAGGGCAGGTCTGAAGTTTAACAATGCCGTCTCGGACCTTCTCCCGAACGTAATGGTAGCGTATGTCAATGTGTTTGGATCTCTTGGTGGTGAGCTCGGCTTCAGCCATGGCGTGGGCACCTTGATTATCGATATGAAGAGATATTGGTGGGCATTCAGTTGGGAGCACATTAAGCTCGTTGATGAGATTCCGGAGCCAGAGGGCATCACGGCTGGCTTCGCTTAGAGCCATATACTCAGCTTCGTTGGAGCTAAGGGCAACGGATGTTTGCTTGCGGCTTTTCCAGGCAATTGGGGCTCCGGCAAGCAGAAAGATGTATCCAGAAACTGACCGGCGGTTGCCTGTCAGTTGGCCACCCCAATCAGAGTCGGTATAACATTTTGGCATGAGGAGGTCAGATGTAATGGACTCCGTGGGTTTATGATAGGTAATTTGCCGATTGATGGAGCCTTTAAGATAGCGTATGGCGTGTATAAGGGCACGCCATGCTTTTTGGGTGGGTTTGGCGTTATATTGGGATAGTATGCCAACCGTCTGGCTAAGATCTGGCCGGGTTTTGGTGGCTAGCCAGGTAAGGCAGCCTACACCACGTTGATATTCTTTGGTGTTGACTGTAGGGTCTGGTTCATCATCAATTATTAGGCTAGGATCCATTGGAATCCTAACAGGATGTGCTTGGGCTTGACCAAAAGAGGCAACAACATCTTCAGTGTAGTCGGCTTGAGATAAAGAAGATGAAGTCTCAGACTGGGAGATGGTCATGCCAAGGTATTTGGTAGAGTTTCCAACTTCTTTTATGTCAAATTTGGCGGAGAGAGTCTCCATAAACCAGATGGCATCATTTTCATGTTTAGCATAGACTTTGAAGTCATCCACATGGGTGGTCACATAGAGTTGGGTCCGGGTAGTGTGGATCCATAGACCAGAGTCATATTCAGAGCATTTGAAGCTGATTTGGCGTAGAAAAGCACCCAGAGTATCATACCAGATGCGGGCAGATGGGACCAATCCATAGAGGGATTGAAGGAGTTCACAGACAAGATCTCCAGAACCTTCTTTGAATCCCTGAACTTGGGTCATAAAGACACGTTTGTCCGTGGGCATTTTCCCATTTAGGAAAGCAAGGGTGGCATCAGCTTTTCGGGTATGCCAGCCAAGCAGGGTGGCCAGTGCCGTGAGGGTTCTGGTAGTATTTTCATTTACCACTGGTGCGTAGGATTCCATGAAGTCTTTATCAAGTAGATTGCCACGAATGACCCAGCGGGCTTTAGCCTGATAATCCTCTGAGATAGGTATGCCGGGGATTTCTTTCTTTTTGTATACCCACCGGCCAGGGATGACTTTGGCCCCTGGTGGTAGGTCAGAACGGCGAATGAGTTGCCAGCAGCCTTTCTCTTTGAGTTGGTTGACTTCCTTTTGCATGGCAGCTTGCCATTTAGCAGCATCAGGATGGGATATGGCCTGCTTATAAGAAGTAGGCGTGTTGTCTTCTGATGAAGGAATGGTTGAAGTGGCAAAGTAAGCTAGGGACATGCCTTTGGCAGGTCGGAGCCATATATCTTGGTCATTGAGAGGTTCATCTTCAACTAATTGAGTTGGGTTTTCTTCGGTAGGGGTGCTGGGACCTTTGGGAGTGGTAGTTGTAGGATCTTTGTAATCCTCATCAAATATAACATCATTGGTGACAAAGACGGTGTCAGTTTTAGGGTCCCAAACACGATATTGATGGCTACTAATTTGGCCAATGAGGAAACAGCAGTGAGAACGTGAATCAAGCTTATTTCCAGGTTTATCTGGTCCATGCCGATGGACCCAGGCTGGACACCCCCAACGGCGATATCCGGGGAGTGAAGAAATGGATGAATTAGTCCACGCTGCCAACGGAGCGCGATAAGGGCTGGGGTGTATGTCCTTGTTGATATTCACCCCCCCAGGAATTTGGGAATTGTATAAGATGGTAGATGTAGGGAGCCGATTTGTAAGATCTGTGGCATATTGGAGAGCATCTACCCAAAAGCGTTCTGGTATATATGGGGCATCAAGCATCATAGCTCGGGCCCGTTCAAAAGGATCCGGATGCCACGTTCACTAACGGCATTTTGCCATGGTGAATATGGCGAGCTTGGTTGCCATTCTATGCCTTCCTGACGGTAGGTTTCCATCCATTCAGTGGAGCGGAATTCATTATCAGAGACTAGGTAGGCAGGAGCAGTGAAGCCATGGTTCTTCATATTTTGAAGCCAGTTCTTGAAGGCGGTAATGGCTGCACTTTTTGTCTCAAGGAAGAGGATCCATCGATAATGTGTGGCATCATCGGTAATAAGTAAGACATATTTTGCCCCAATTCGGCCAGTGACAACATCATTAGGGTTGTCAAAATCAAGAGTTTGTCCACCGCCGGCGATATCTAGATGGACTCGGGCAAGGGGTTTGGTAACTCTGGACCTAGGGACCTTGCTATAATAGCGTGTCTGTCTAGCCTGTATACAGACTTCACAAAATGGGAGTTCTTTAGAGCCTTTGATTTCGATGCAAGACTCAGGATCTCGGGCGAGGCGGAGGAGATCGGCTTGATTGAGATGGCATAGGCGTCGGTGCCAGGCCATGATAGGTAGGGATATCTTAGTAGTTCGCGGCTTCCCTAGAACCGGGGTCTCTTTTGGAGTAGGAGCCTCAGCTGGTGTCTTAATTGTGGGAGCCTTTGCAGGTGGCTCTTCTGGGCGGTTAACTTCTTTGCCAGACCGGGTGGTGACAAAGGCATAGGAATTTTCTTCTTCTCCAGGAGATAGACAGTCTTCAAGGAGGTAAACATTGTTTTTGAACAATCGGGCTTGGAATTCAGCTCCAGATGGTGTGGTAATCAGCTTGACTTCACAATCTAGTGTATATTGAAGCCTAAAGCCTTGTCGTACAAGCATGCCTTCTGAAATGAGGTTGGAAGTAAAGGAAGGAACATGGCGGACGTCTCTTAGGATCAGAGATCCGTAACCAATATCTATAATCACGGTGCCAATGCCTTGAGGCATAGAGATATGGCCTTGAGCACCTTCCATATAATCTGTCTCCACCAGATCATGCTTCTGCAAGGCCTTATAGGTTGCAAAAAGTGAACGGTCAGGTGTAGAATGGAAAGAGGCACAGCTGTCAACAAACCATTGATTGGAAAATGAGAGAGTCTTTGCAGACTTCACAATGGCAGATTTGGCATTGGAGAGTTTCTTATGCAAGACAAGTTCCTGTGAAGCAGGGTGATCCTGGTTTGATTGTGGGTTTGCTTCAGATTGTTGCTGAACACGGAGAGCATTAGCCATAGTAGTATAGAACTTGCGTCTATACTCTGGTGCTTTCTCAGGATGTTTAAAATAGCATATAAGTCCATGGCGATTTCCGCAGTGATCACAGTCTATAAGTGTATGACGAGATCTATCTTGGTTATTGGAACGTTGAGGAATTGTGTATTTGGTTCCAGATGCTTGTTTTGAATAACTGCGGTTCTGGGAGTTCTCTTTCTGTTGGTTTGACCGGTCTTGAGAATGAGTATCACGGAATTTAGTGCCGGTTCGAGTAGATAATTGGGTCTGGATAACCTTAAGATCCAGGTTGGTAACCGGAGCACGGCCAGTAGAGTAGACATCATCTAGTTTACTCTTGATAAAGGCGCGGTTCCAGTCCCGGAGACCTATAAAGAAGAGGTCATGTTTGAGATTTTCAAGAGATTCTTCTCCAATAGCGTGTAGGCGGTCAAAGATTCGATTAAAGGATGACTGGTAGGTGAGATAATCGTTATCCTTTATATAGAGCTCTTTGAGCTCCATGGTAAGGGCCATTCGCTCTTCACCGGTGGATTTGCCAAAAAGTGTGGCAGCTCGGTCCCAAAGACCATGGGCAGAGAGGTCATATACGGTGCCTAGTTTATCGGAAGCAGGGGTTGTCATGGCATTGAGCATACGGGCTCTCATGACAATGGCTTTTCTGTGCCAAACTGCAGCATCAAGTGGAGATGATCCAGCAGGAGGAGAGTCCTGGTGAAGAGTTGTAATAGCATTGAGAATACCAGCTTCTTTTTGTATGGCAGAGCTCCATGCATCGTAATTATCCAGTGTCAAGATGACACGGCATCGGTCAGGCAGTAGCGTATCGACATCGGCTTGGACAAGGGCAATAGCATTGCTGATATTTGTGTCTGAGGCATCACGCAGAGGCGGTTGGATATCCATTGGTGTAGTATCTTGGGTTGTATTTGAAGGCAAGGAAGCTTGTGGAGTATTAGACTGGATGATAGATGCCAGTTTTAGCTCCATTCTAGCTTCACGGTCTCGCATATCTTGTTCCATCTGATTCTGGCGAGCAAGCATTTGTCGCATCATATCAGCAAGATCAGGGGTAAGTTCGTTTGTGGAAGCCATGTTGGCGGTATTGGTAGAGCTCAGATTGGCTCCGGAAGGCGTTGGGGTCTCTATCTCTTCAGAGACAACTGATGAGGAGGTCTCGTCTATATTCGAGGACCTGTTTTGGAGATTTCGGCGACGTGATCGTCGTATAGCAGTAGCGGGAGGCGTAGTAGGTTCTCCTGACATGCTCAGGTTCGGACCGTATCTGGGATCCTGGAATTTTTGGAATCTGGGGTATGGAATTTTGGTTCAGCCAATCAGAGGGCTTAAATTGACCACTTATACGGGCCTAAAATAGCTCATATTTCCGAGCAAGAAACGGGCTCATAACCTAATGGAAGTGTATTGTTGGTTGGTTACTAGCTAGATAGGCCTACGTGGTGAAAAGGGTCAGCGAGGGCGGACCTATGCGGCAGAATCCCACGTGATCCAACACTAGGTGTGTCGTGGTCACGTGACTTCTAAGTTAACAAATAGACACAATAAAGATAGGCATCGGGAATCAAGCATTCTACAGCCCGTCTAGTCGTCAGCTCAATATATTGACATTCTCCTTCCATCGTTCTATAAGACTTCTCAGGGCTGAGTGCATTTTATTGAGGCTCCATATTACTAACTACTCAGGTCAGCACTCACCCCTTGCTCAGGGCGTGCTTGGTCAGGTAGAGTAGCTAGTAGCGAGCTCGCACCACCACGATCTCGTGGAAGCAAGCAAGAGCAGCCAATGGAAAGTCTTCGCCCTTCCCGACAAATATTGTTACCACGACCATGGAATCACTGCTTTCCGGAATACTCTTCTGCAGGTGGGAGGTTATGCTGATCTGATGCACAAACTGTGAGTCTTCATGGGAAGGAAACTGGCTGTTCTCCAGAGTTGAGTGACTCTGAGCCATTCTGGGCACTCTTCAGAACAGTGGAAATTCCTCAAGAACTCAACATTGGCCCATGAACTTAGAGACTCCTGTGATCTCAGCGCTCAACTCCCAAGAACCTGGAGGGACATTGACTGGTATCACCAGCTCCTTGAGCACAAACTCCTCTGTGCCATAGGGAGTCTATTCAGCAGTGATATTGACCACTTCGCGAAGATCCCAGGCTTCCAGGTTCCAGATGAATATATCAAAAGTCGGCGAGAATTGAAGCTGGACGATAGATGTGCGGGTGGTAGAAATACTCCAAATTGCACAATTGGACAAAATCGATTGTGGGGAGACTTTCTACCCGTTACTTGTTGAGGAAATCGATATCTAGGACGATCTTGAAACGAATGTAGGGATGAAGATGTTTATATTGCCCAGGAAAGGATAATATACGAATCGAAGCAGCAAGCCACAATGGAATCCCCCTGGCAACTTGATTCAAATGCTTTATACATCTACTATGTCATGGACTGACGCAAATTTACAATGACTATCTTCACCGAGCCTAAATTATGCCTACACGATAGGTACTGCACTCAGCGGTCGCAGTTTTTGTCAGACCACATTACTGTTTTATCCATTGTGAGACATTGCTTTGGTTGTGGACTTGCTTGAAACGGTTCCGATGGCCTGGATGTTGGCCTGAGTAACAAGGTGCAACGCAGGGGACATGGGCATCTTCCCAAGAGATTGTAGGTAGGGAGTGACTAGTTAGACTTTCGACTAGGCGCCAGCCCCCCAGCTGGAGGGTCACTGAGGAAGCCATTTTCGACGCCCTTCTAAACTAGGGAGGAAGCAAATGGTGTTGTGGATAAAAATGGGGTCATTGCCAAAATTGTTGCCTGAGGACATTGTTTTGTGTGGGGGTTGCGTGTATGAAAAGTGCAGTAGTATGGCAGATGATAGTTGCTGGAATGCTGCTGTTTTCAGCATCATGAACGGCCAAAAAAGGCAATGAAACAGCAAAACAAAATTATGAAATGTATGTGCCAACTGGTACAAGACCTTCTTTCTTTTCCGGACTAAGAGTGATATTTTGCGGACCATAAATAACTCCAGAATACCTAATAATAGTGTCGAATCCAATGAATTGATAGATACTGCATGATCTATGCGACATGCGAGCAAAATACTGAAAATGGAGTAAACGTGAATTAACGAAAATGCATATCTTTTGAGAGAGAGAGAGAGAGAGAGAGAGAGAGCTTTCCTCCTTTGTTTTGCTTTTCTTTCCTTTTTAATAGAGAAATAAGCCCAGTGTATATAGTCAAATAGACAGGAGAACTCGCAAAGAAAAAATCATAATCCATCCTTGAACTTTAACGCCCTCAGTTCGAGACTCAAGATGAAGGCGCTGCGGCATTTGCAGGACGAACGGGATTCGTCTTGGGCAGCGGTGGGAGCAGGCTCCTTGCGCTTTCTCGAGAGTACTGGGCCATCAATGCATCCATGATGACGAGGGCGGACATGGCCTCGACGATGGGGACAGCACGCGGGACGACACAGGGGTCGTGGCGGCCCTTCGCCTCGAGGGTACCTTCCTCGAAATCGTAAGCGGCGGTGGTCTGGGCCTGACCAATCGTCGCGGGGGGCTTGAAAGCGACACGGAAATAGATCGATGCACCGTTCGAAATACCTCCTTGGATGCCACCGGAGTTGTTTGTCTTGGTGGTCAGACGCTGCTTGGTGGCTGTGGAGCTTCCAGAGCGCGTTTCGACTTCGGAAACGACGAACGGGTCGTTATGAATGGATCCTGGTACTTCACAACCGCCGAATCCTGACCCGATTTCGAATCCCTTGGTCGCGGGGATGCTCAGCATTGCATGCGCCAGCTTGGCCTCTAGCTTATCGAAGCAAGGCTCGCCCAGTCCAACGGGGACGTTTCGGATAACACAAGTCACTGTGCCTCCAATGCTGTCTTTGTTGTCACGGAACGTCTCGATTACTTTCGACATCCGGTTGCTTGCCTCCTCGTTCGGGCAGCGCACTGGGAGGAAAGAGTCGACGGTCTTCCGGTCAATCGTTTCGACGAGTTTCAAGAATTCCGGGTTTGTTGCTGCGGTTGGATGCTCAGGCGTAGGTGGGAAGAGGTGCTCGTTACCGACCGATGAGACGAAGCTCACGATCTCGACATTATGGGCAAGGCGAAGATATTTCTCTGCAATGGTACCGGCGGCGACACGACCTGGTGGACGAGATTTAGGGTTAGCCTTTCTTTCCTTCTCCCCTCCCTGGTGTAAGGGAAAAAAACAACTAACCAATTGTTTCGCGAGCGCTGCTACGGCCACCGCCACTACTGGCCTTCACTCCATATTTCTCGAGATAGGTAAAATCCGCATGGCTAGGTCGAGGATACAGATCCATTGTGCTGTTTCCGTAGTCCTTGGGTCTCTGGTCCTCATTGCGCACTATCATGGCGATGGGAGTCCCCAGTGTTACTCCAAATTCCGTTCCAGATTGAATCTCTACCCTGTCTTTCTCATTCCGCGGTGTCGTTAGGGCACTCTGGCCTGGGCGTCTGCGGGTCATTTGCGGTTGAATATCGCGTTCTGTGAGCTCCATGCCTGGTGGGCAGCCATCGACGATGCAGCCGACGGAGCGGCAGTGAGATTCACCATAGCTAAAAGTAAGACGTAGAACAATTAGATCGTCTCTTCGAAAATAAAATATACGAATGGGCATCAACTTACGTGGTGACTCGGAAGTATTCTCCCCACGTCGACATCGCGAATGGAGCGTTCTGATGGCGGGGTATTCAGTCGGTTGGTCTTCAGCTGAGCTGTTGCAAGAGGCAGTATGCGCAAACCAGATAAAACCAGATATTCGAAGAAATGAAGAGCCTTGCAGAGGAATGTCTCGTTCAGCGCAGATGTTCGAATTTGAAGACTTGATGAATCCCATTCTTTTGTCCTCGAAATTTGGCGGCTTCTGACTCCAACTTGCCTTTCTAGGACTAGCGCATCCGAACATCGGCGGCGTCTTCAGAAATTCCCAAAAGAGTAATGCTGCGTTTCCCCAGAAAGTCGCGGATGTCTGTCGTCTCGCAGCGCTCCCTGATGCTTCTTCCTCTGCGTCGAGTCCAATGTCACTTGTCTTCGTCGTCAACACGCAGACGGTGCATCAGCGCTTCATCAGCAGTCTTCTGCCGCCGCAATTCGTCTTATCACTTTAGCAAGTTTGCGGAGCTTGCCAGGCGCGAGTCTTCTCGCAATCAGATCTACCAATCCCTCTCGACAGACCCCTATGTAAATCTCTCAATAGAGCATTTTCTGCTTGAGAATGCTCCATCTGACTCGAATGTCCTCTTTCTCTATGTCAATCGACCTTGCGTTGTCATTGGACGAAATCAAAACCCATGGCTCGAAACGAACCTCGGAGCTCTTTATAACGATCGTATGAGGAGCTATAATGACAGCAGGCTATCGCAGTCTTTGTCTTACAATTCTAAAGACGTATTGTATGTTCGCCGTCGATCTGGCGGCGGCGCCGTTTACCACGACGAGGGGAACCTCAACTACAGCGTGACCTCGCCACGGACTAGTTTTACGCGCAACAAACACGCTGAGATGATGGCTCGAGCTCTCCATCGAGTTGGGGCCGTTAATGCGAGAGTCAATGATCGTCATGACATAGTGTTGCCTATTGATTCCCATGAGATGTCGAATGAGGAATCTGCCGCTTCTGCGAATGCTTTGCAACCGCGGAAAATCTCGGGCTCTGCGTTCAAACTGACAAGGCATCGAGCACTTCATCATGGGACATGTTTGCTTGATTCCCCCAATATCCATGGTCTCGGTTCATATTTGAAGTCTCCCGCACGGCCATACGTTAAGGCCAAAGGCGTCGAGAGTGTTCGATCACCTGTTGCGAACGTTTCGTCATTTTTGACGCATTCCTTCGCTCCATTCTCAATCCAGATGGTCATAGGCAGCGTCATTGAGGAATTCATCCGTCTCTATCAAGTTAGCCCTCATGCTTTTCTCCGAGCGCAACGCGCTCATGCGAACGAACCGGGTTTGTACGCGGGAGATGACTGGGTGGTAGGGACTGTCGGGGACTCTGAAGTAGCCGAAGAGCCGGAAATCCAAAACGGAATCAAAGAGCTAAAGGTAGGTGCACAAGGCTAGAGACTCGTGTTTTCGCAAACAAGAGCAGGAGCTGATTCATCTATTCAAACAGTCATTGGAATGGAAATACACCCAAACCCCACAGTTCACTTTTTCTACATTTCCTACTGAAGAGGACCCGCGTGAAAGACCACCATTGCCACCTTCTCTTCCTCCTTCGGTGAGCGGTCATCCTCTACAGATCATTTTGCGTTTATTTTCGTTAATCCTATAGTATCAACTAATCCAAGTTTCTCTAAAAAGACTCAGATCTTTCTCCGTCTGAAGCACGGAGCCGTCATCGAAAGCCACATTTCCACCTCACCAGATTCACCCACAGCATCTGCAGAGGCGGGTCGAATCCACGAGTCTCTGAATGACCGTAGACTCCACGAGCTTTCCCTGTCAAACTGGAGTCAAATTCTCAGCAGACTTGGCAACGAAGATGTTGGGGTTGATACAGTGCAGGAATTGTGCAGGTTTATAGGAGAGAAACTTGCCGCATCTCCCAATTAGTCGATTAATCGGGATTTGTCTGTTAGGATTCGTCATTATAGCATCTGCTTCCATTTTTCTTATGTTACACTGTTTATAGCATGTTAAGTATAGATCATGTATAGTATGCCAGTTTGTTATAGAGACTAGATCAATTTGTACATGCAGTGTATTCAGGCTGTCTATCATCGCTCACAATTTACGACCAAAAACCAGTGTTGTTTCTTACAGGGACGGAAAACTGATGGAGCAGCTAATTTCAACTCAATTCAATCTAGTATAACTGTACGCACAAGATGTATTGCATTGCATTCCATGAAATTCAATAATCCTCCCATATTCTGCAAGATTCCCACCCAGATCGAGAGATAAAAGTTGAACCAAAAGAAAAGAAAGACATCACACGTTACCATCATCACTTTGAAATCACCCTTCGTTCCTCATATCACTTATAAACTGGTGTAGAGAGACATATATGACCAACAGAAGTAGAAGATAAAAAAAAGTAAATAAACGAGAAACACGAATGAGACAAAAAAAAATGAATAATATATACCTACTTATGAAGTCATCCAGCACCACAGAAGCAGGAGTATAAAGACTATCTGCTTATAGACTGGGCCCCTGCACTGGTTCTCCTACTCGGCGATTTCTCCGAGAAATCATCCATGTCCCTAGCGGTTGCATTTACCACTCTCAGCTTCTCCTTGGGGACGGTAAACGTCACTTGTACCCGCCGTCCTTCGGCGGCGGCCTCGACATCCCAGTCTTCGCCATCATCATCGCTGGCCAGCGAGTAGAGCCCATCTAATATAGACTCACCGGGAATGGACCTTGGAATTAGAGTGTGGGATGCGAGAATGTTGTGTTGTCGCCTATTGGTGTTTTTGCTTTCATTGTTATTGGTTGCATCCCAATCTTTCGCCCCTTGTTTGCGTCTGTAAAGCTCTGCAGAAGCACTGACGGCTCTTCGGGGGAGTGTTGACCCGTAAGACGAGGATGATATGAAAACTGTGGGGCTTCGGTCGATGCTTGACATCACAGGCGCAGCACTAGGTGATCTCCAGGAGGGTGTCTTCCTTAGAGAATCGTTGATGGCTCTCCGAACACTTCCAATTAACCCGTACGCCTTTTGTTTCGTGGCGTCGGGTTTATTCTTCGAGGGTGACTCGGGCGAGGTTGGAGAATCGTGAGCTGTTCCAAGGAGGGATTCTCTTTCCGCCTGTCGTAACAAGAACGTAGTGCGAGCAGTGGAAAAGATATCGGCTGAACGATACTTCTCAGCAGAACTCATTCCGTTGCTGGTATTACTGCCGCTTGTAGATGGGGGCGTCAGCTGCTCTTTGGTTGAAAGCATACCTCTTGAAAAGTCAGGATGCCTTTTGAAGTCTTCAACTCGAAAGTTATGGGCACTGAATGTGGATCTCTCCGAAAATGAAGTCGTTGAACTTTCAGATAAGTCGGATGTTGTACGATCACTTTTAACTGGAAAGTGGCTTCCATCTCCATTCTGTGAGCCGGCTCCGGAATGGTCGCGAGGATTTTCCAAGTCTGCAACAGCTTGTGGTTCTAAAAGGAGACCGGACGTGTCATGTAGTCCACCGTTTTGCTGACCTGTTTGCTGGGGTTCGGTGATCAGACTCTCCCTCACGTTCGTTTCGTCTTCATCACGCTCGTCAATGGTATGGATTCCGTCAGGGACTTCCCTCGTCCTGGAACCGCTGTATTGCCGGTGGGGTTTCACGTTCACGGTCTGCCTGCTGTCTGCTGTTGGTCTCAGCAGACCTGTATTTTCTGCAGTTGCTTCTCCATGATCCCGCCAACTGAGATCTCCTTCATTACCTTGATTGCCAGCCCAGGGATAGAGGCTATCTCGAGCAGGATTCCAGGCACTTTGTCCCCTTATACAGAAGCTGCTCGACATGTTAGGATCATCCCAGAAGTGAGATCGTTCGGCTCCTAGAGCTAGGTCGCGAATTACGCTATCCCTCGTCCGATGTGCTCGTCGTTTCCAGATGTTAAACCATGCAAATACCGCAATGGCTGCGACGGCGGGAACCCCCACCCCAATGCCAACCCCTAGCCCAGCCTTTGATGCGGAAGAAAGTTGACCGGGGCTATCCTTTGATACCTTTGATGTTTGCTGGCTTGGATTAGCGTACGACGTGGTCCAGGTGTTGGATGTGATATTGTACAAGAAGACCTGAGAGTTCAATTGCGGCTGAGATGTGGGACGCTTCGAAGAGGTTGGTGGTGGTATAGTGTAACCCCCTGCGATCATCATTACGCCTCCAGGTAACATTGTCGCGCCATGCCCGAAAATCCCGGCTACACCTGGCAGTCCTGAGCCATTCAGAGGCGGCACATTCCAGGCCCATTGTCCCGAACCACCATAGCCTTTCCCTACATCCAAAATGGCGAGCTGAGGCTCGGCAGCAGTACCAGTATCACCAATCCAGCCGCCGAAGATAACCACCTTGGTGCCATCTGGAGAAAGGACAGCAGTGTGGCCAGATCTTGGCTGGACGACTGCATTCTTTTGCGCAGCATTTCCGGGTGTGCCCGAGTCTGGATTCCAGCCAACATCGACGAAACTCCAGCTGCCTTGTGGGAGGGAAAATAATGCTAGCTGAAACATGTCGATGAAGTCATCGTGGTCGTGGCCGCCAATCAAGAGGAAGTTTTGTTGTTGTAGGACGCCGCCTGCCGAAGTAGCCACCGAAGTGCCCAGAAGTGGAGTGATGGTGAAGCCTGCCTGGGGAGATGGTGGTGCTCGTTCGGCAGTCAGCTGCGCTTCGTATGTAATATTAGCGGAAGAGCCAATGGGTTCAACAAGGACCATTGACTGAGAGTAGATCATCGAGTCTTCGTAATCCGAGCCAGTGCTGAACGGACACATTCCACCAAAGGTGTAGATGGAGCTGAAATTAGTATCGGTAGACGCATAAGCGAATCCTGCAGCCATATACTTGGAGCTTTCAAGATTGTCGTTGAGAGAACCATTCTGTGCTAGCGCCACCGAGAGTTCATCCCATGTCCCATTGCCAATCGAACTGTTGTTATCAGAGACAAACTGCCAGACTGAACCCTCACTGGGAGTGGTCTGACAGTCTCCTGCATAGACCTTGATGACCCCCTGCCCGTCCATCACGGGTACAATGGCAGCCTCTCCATGGCCAGTAGTGGAAAACGGAGTCTTCTCGAGCAGAACCGAATACTGGGTGTTTGTAGCGTTGAAGTGGCCGGAGACATCCAGGGAGAGGAACACCGTCTTATTCTCGGTAAGCGAGTCGGATAGAAGTAGATAGACGAGCGAATTGTTGTGTTGAGGTGACGCAAAGATGTAGGAGGGAGTGTATGGTAAGGAGGTGGAAGTGGCACAGACGAACGACACAAAGTGGATGAGCAGATAAACGAAGGCTGCGTTGTTCATTCTGCCCACGCATAGTAGACAGTATCAGGAGCAATGACTGCAGTCCACGTATATTGAATAAAATCAGCAGAATAGGTTTCATTCATCTCATGGCGGGATGGGGAAATGGTGGAGGATCGACCGAGTCCCTGCAGACAAGGAACAGACGGCATGGAGGGCGACGAGTACAAGGAAGTAAACAGTTATGACTTCGAGTCCAGACCATTGTGAATAGCCTTTTGCTCCATACAGCAGCTCCGAATTCCGTGTTGGTCGTCTTCTCCAGGCGAGCGCAAGATCTGATTGACGGTACCGCAGCCAGATGGCGTAAACACGGCGTCGTTGCGCGGCAACAAGAGGTACCTGTCTGTTGAAGCAACTCTGTCTAGACAACCCTGCACATCTCTTCCCGGTCTTCTTGATGGGTGCATTATTCAGCCAGCAAGGACTCGGATATCCTGCACTGATCACATAGGTATCTGGTGTCTAGTTGTTATTCGTCTGCTGTCCAACTGCTGCGTAAGAGTCGGGTGCACTATGACGGGGCTGTCTGCAGGCGAACTGCGACCGAAATAACCGATATTATTTTTTTTCTTTGCTTCTACTTGGATTCCAGGGTGCTGGTTAATAAGAATGGCCCCCAACCTCCATGATACGAATCCTGTAATGTTCGAGGGTGCCATCCCGAGGGGCAGGGCCATTGATTTGCGTTATACTACAAAACGCGATGCGCCGTGCATCGATCGATGCGTACCTTGGATATGACACAGCAGGAGCATTCTGTAGGCGAAGGGCATGCACAGCGCTATCCTCGCGCGTACAGCAGCAGACAAATTGAACTTTTAAGTTTTGTGGAACTGTCTACAATAGCATCACAATGTCTGTGGCCAACCATAAAGAGAGCGTGGTTTTAAAGGATAAATCCTATTTGATCGATCCGGTTTATTGCCACATATGATGTTTCGTATAGCTTCATGTGCGATAAGATGAGCACTGCAACAGATGGGGCCTGCAGGACCTCCTGCAGGATGCTCGCTGGAAGTAAGGTAAAGAAATTAGTCGGTCTAGGCTCTAAGATAGGGCCTCGCGGATCGCGACAGCGCTGCCCAGCTGTAGGATGATAGCGGACATTTTTCAGCAATATTACATTCGCATGCTGTGGTTGAATGCTGTTTGATATTATTACATACTGTCAATCCCCGCCAGGACATTGACCCGCGTGTTTTTAAGTTTGCAAGGAAAGATACTGAATGCATCGTGCCTATACTGTATACGCACAGATAGCTGCCTGTCAGACCAACCAGTTTTTGCCTGAAAGCTAAGCTGAAGTTGCATTTGGAATGACGTAAAAGAGCTGAATCGGCTGTAGATATTGAATCGATGCATTGATTCGGCGAACCAACAGATAGAAGAAGTCTTTTCTTGAATTTTAATAACTGAACGGGACGAGGCGCCTCGGGAGCTAGACTGGTCTATGGGGTCGACATGCAGAGAGATTGCATTCGCCGCCTCCATGATTGACGTATACTCATTCATATATCCGTATATCCATATCCATATCCATAGGAAAGGATTTGATATCATCGCATCTGTCAATAATGTCGGATGAGAAAGCTGGAATCCATGGGTCATGTGTTGGCCACCAGCCAAGCCAGCTCGTTCAATATAGCGAACAGCGTAGAAAACGGCGCATTGAGAAAACACAAAACGACGATACAGCCAAGGCAAATGGTAAAATAGCTACTATTCAGGATAGAGTAATAGTTAATAAGCAATCATTGAATAATAACTAAGAAGGAAGGCTATACCACGTACCTATACCTGTGATAAGCTAACGGTACGCAGTATAGGGAAATTGCCCGCGATAATCGTCTGTGGAGAAGCGGAACTAGCCCATCTCGATTGGGGCAAAACACGTTTAGGAGAAAATACCGAATAATATGCATAGAAAAAGAACAGGATAGAAGATGAAGCAAGCAAAGCTTCGAGCAGAGTGGCCAGCGAGGCCGATGGAAGGCGACTAAATGAGATGACGGAGACGGGGGAATTGCCTGACAACACGTAATGATGGCCACGACGGCAATACCTGGTTGGGAAATCCGCCACTGGGACTATACTCGCGTTGGCAGAGTGATTGCCTGCGACAACTGATGGAAAGCGATGAGATGTTCTTGTTCTTGATATTTTTGAAGACTACCAACTAATCTGCCTAAACACTCTCCAGTAGTAACAGTATCACCCTCGTCTAGGCCGTACTGTACATAGTCATAATGCAGCATACAGTAATATATCTGCAATGCCAAGCCTCCAAAAGCGGCCCACGGACCATCATCGGATGGACGGCCGAGCGCTTCAGCTAGACCAAACACGGTTTAGTGCTGCTAATCTCCACCGCCAAACTGGCCCGTTCTCCGCTTTCCAAAGTTAGACTGGCGGTAATTTATATTTAGGTCTGGGCAGTGACTCGATACGTTGGTACGTCAGTACGTCAATACGACCCTGTCAGTTACGGTATTCCCCCATCCTGTCTATGACTGTAAATACTGTTCTCTGCACCCAACATCGGCCAGTCAGACGGTGCCATGCTTGTCTTAATACGTATTTTATACGTGCATTACATGCTCCCCAGGCCCCTTGAAAAATACCTATTATTATAATTTATCACTGACCCTCTTCCCCCTCCCAAAAGCTGATCGACTATTTTATTATTTCTGTCTCGGTCGTCCTGGATGTTGCCTCCGGGTCTCGTCGCTGTCCCTTCTCCAGCTTCACGTTTTCCTCTTTGGGCTGCTGTCTGTCTTCAGTGAGACATGATCCATTATAGCTGCCTATCCAAGCCCTTTCCCTTGACTCCCTCCGCCGCCCTGATCCCCTCTCGTCTGTCGAGCTAGCGCCGTATTGTCCGACCCAGAAAGCCAAGTTCCAGACAGCTTTAACCTAACCTAACCTTCCATTCCATTCGATTCTCTCTTCCCATGAGCGTTCCATCTTCCAACGGAACCCATTCTCTTTGCATCCCACTATTTTGATTCCTTGCATTTTCGGATTCGCAATCCGCGTCCGTCGTCGGTGTTGTAGCAACTTTGTCGACGAATTTCCGGCAACCCCGATCCTGCGGCCTGCTCGTCATCATCGCTGTCCCCCCCGAGACCGCGAATACATACACGACTACCTTTTACTCTTGAGTTGATCTCAGATGACGAATGCCGGCCCTTTCGTCCGCGTCCGTTGAATTGCTTATATACTGGTGAATCGTTGACCGATTTACTCAAAAGGGAGAAAGAAAAGCAAGCATTTGAATGAGAGACAAACAACCCGATACCTGTCAACCCCCTTCCCCCTTCAACACACTGAACAAGGAACCGAACAAGAGAATGTGCTCCAGAAACCTTAACATAGTAGTTTGTGTGATACCGTAAGGAGTTTGAAAATGACCAGACGGATGCCCTCGCTAGGTAGCCTGGAGGATCCCGGTAGCTCGATTGCTAGGACTGGTCAATGTTCATCTCTTTTCCCATCGCGCATATTGAATCGATCGAGGGAGGATATTTCCAAACGAGTCTCAGAGAGAAGCTGGGGGTCGTCGGAGTCATTGGTTCCTACGGCAATCGAAGAAACCGACGCAGAGCAAGCGCTCGCGAAACCCCCGGCCGCCAAATTACCCCCAATTACTGACGGGGCAGGGAACCAACCGGTCCCTCGTTTCCACCATATATATCACTCCTCTAGCACCTCTAAAGCTTCTTCTACTCGGACATCGTCCAGCTCGCTTCAGGCCTTGAACGAGAACACTGTTGTCGACGCCAGATCCGACTCCAGCCTCCGCACCCGCACCGTTCTCCCCCAGAGAATGGCTCCTCGTCCTGCAAAATCGTCAGAGTCCCGTACCTCCCGCACCAACGTGGACGCTGCCTCCCAAGACTACCCTGTTTACCCTGATCAATCCTACGCCGTTTTGCAGTCGCAGGTGCACCCCACTTACCAACCGCAAAGTCTCCGCTCCCGCAGTTCTTATCCTTCACGTATAGACACATCTAGTTGGTTTTCTTCGGCACGAATTTCTCGCACAGCAGGAAATACCCCTGCATCGAGTCCCGGGCTATTCTCTGTGAGGACACCCGCTTCTGCGACTCCCTCCGGTTCTGAAGACGAGAACCGCATAGGAAGCCCGTATCTGCATCCAACCCATTTACAGCCGCCGAAAGAGTAAGGCTCCCCCTTAAATATGATTCTTCAAGCATCCTATTGGCATTGCAAAACGAATTGACAATCTTCTCTGGCAGGACACATACTGCCGAAGTGGACCGAGACGTCGTGACGGGGAACAAGCTCATCAATCAGTATGAGATCCTGGAGGAGCTGGGGCGTGGCGAACACGGTAAGGTGAAATTAGGCCGACATGTTGTGACTAGACAGCAAGTGGCCATCAAAATTGTCCAGCGTTATTCGAAGCGACGCCGATTGGGAAAACTAGGGAATCCAGAGGATAAGGTCAAGAAGGAAGTCGCTATTTTGAAGAAGGCGCGACATCCCAATGTGGTCAGTCTTCTGGAGGTTATTGACGATCCCAATAGCCAGAAGGTTTATATTGTGCTCGAATACGTCGAAAACGGGGAAATTATCTGGCGCAAGAAGGGTCTGCGGGAAATTGTCCACGTCGACAAGATTAGAATTGAGCGCGAGAAGAGCGGCTTGTCAGACACTCCGGCCTTCGTTGAGGAAAGCCTGCAATATGTGCGAACTGCCCAACATCTTCGTCGTCAGCGGGAGAAGGCGCGCGAGCGGCGTCAGGCACATGCCGCGACTGTCCAGCAGTTTCACATCCCTGCCTGGAGTTTGGAGCACGGTGGGGAATCTGACGATGAACAGGGACCGGAAATATCGATCCCCAACAGACCGGCTAGCCATGCCTTTAGGAATGGTCAGGATGATACCCAGCATTCCCCTAGGCAGTCGTTAGTTGCAAGTAGCTTCGACTCTAGTGAGTATCGGAACGACGACTCCGCTTTGGCCGCCGTCGAAGGTAGCATGTATGGGGCGTATATCGACCCTCCATTTGAAAGACGATTCAGTACGGCTTCGAGTAGCTATGGCTACGCCCCTTCGGAACCCGAATGGCCATCCGACGATGATGATATGTCCTACGTGCCTTGTCTGACCATGTCTGAGGCTCGTAGCGCATTCCGTGATGCCGTGTTAGGGCTTGAATACTTGCATTATCAAGGGATTATTCACCGGGATATCAAACCCGCGAATCTTCTAATGACCAGCAACCACCGTGTGAAGATATCCGACTTTGGAGTCTCCTACCTTGGCCGGCCCATTAGAGGTGATAACGATGAGCAGGATTTGACGGAAAGGGATGCCTCTGAGCTTGATGATGCGCGAGAACTGTCCAAAACGGTTGGTACGCCTGCTTTCTACGCCCCGGAACTCTGTTACACGGGCGATGATTTCGTCGATTCTATTGGGGCAGTGCCGAAAATTACTGGTGCTATAGATGTCTGGTCTCTCGGTGTGACTCTTTACGGCATGATCTTTGGGCGTCTACCATTTCTGTCCGACGATGAATACAGCATGTTTCAAAATATTGTGAAGAAGGATGTCTATATTCCTCGAAAGCGCTTAAAGCCTATCGAGCGGAACGACCAACAGGCTCGAGGTGCCAATAGTGACACGCGACCAGAGGATGTGCTGGACTATGAGGAAGTTGACGACGAATTGTTCGATCTGCTGAAGCGAATTTTGACAAAAGATCCCGTAAAGCGCATCACAATAAAGGAGATCAAGCATCATCCCTGGGTTCTCCGCGGCTTGCCCAACCCTAGGGCATGGGTTGAAGAAACTGATCCCGCCTACCAAAGCAAGGGCAAGAGGATCGAAGTTTCGGAGGAGGAAGTCACTACAGCTGTTAGCAAAGTGCCCTTCATCGAACGAGTTCGTTCCAACGTAGCGAAATGGTCTACTTATCTAACCGGACGGACAAAAGACAAAATCAAAGACAAAGACATCCGTAAGCGAACCCATAGTGCGTCGCCTTCGGCTGATCTGCGTCGCTCCTCCACAAAAAGCTTATGGGAGGGCCGTCGCTTTAGTTTGAAAGGGGACGAGGAGATGACTTGGCGGCCCAAGGCATCAAAAGAAGGAGAGCATCCGCTTGCCCAAAGCGTCACGGCAAGTCCTGTGGAGCAAGAGGAGAAATCTTCTTATTTCGATTCAGATGTTTATCATGGACCACGTCGACAAACCCCACAGACCGGTCCCTCCATTCGTCCAACATCCACATTGTCCACTGCAGAATCCACGAAGACGGTAAGGCCACCCGACTCCGAAGTACCACACAGCATACATCTCCCTACTGGCCCAGTCTCCCCTGGCCTTGGCAGTCTCTTTGGCGGAGCAGGAAACCGGCCAGCAAGAGGACTCCAGACGGGTCAGCCGTATGCCGAAAGGCCACCTTCGGACGAGACAACGTCTCTAAGGGAAAATCGCCACTCTGGGCCCAGCCTTGCCCTAAGCGTGACCCCTGCAGTCGGCCAGGTTGAAAATGCTGCTCTGTGGCGGGAGGGTGAATATCCGCCAATGCAAGCAGCGCTGTCTGCCAAACCGGAATACAAACGTAGTCGGTCCGATCAACCTTCTTGCGAGTCCTCCGCTGAATCATTTTACCTCACCAAGGATGCTTTACTACGCCAAAGACAGCATGACCTGGATTCAAATACTGACGGTGGTAATGTGTCATCCAGAGTTGAAGGCGATATGTATTCAAATGGCATGACCAGCTCACGACGAGTGACACCCAAGGCAGTCGACTGTTCTCCGGCTGGTACACGGTCGGATTCACCCGGTCTTACCACGTCTCCTCCCTCCGCAGCTACCATCTCTTCTTCCTCCATCGATGACTACGCAAGTGGACTATCTCAAAGTGCATCTCATCCAAGTGTGCCCTCAAAGGCCTCGTCCCTTTCAGGTGATTTATGTCATGCATCAGAGCCCAAAGACAGAGAAAAGGATCATGATCCATCCGTCCGGATAGTCACCAACATTCAGATGCGTGAGACTTCTAGAGCCCAAGAATTCTGTCCGGACAGGCAAGGGAAAGATGACGAGTTACGGTACTTCGACGATGACGAAGACGAGTCGGAGGACGAAGGAATCATCATGTTGAGAAAGCGGCCTTCTCATCGCAAAAAGAAACTGAACGCGTGATCTATTTCTTCCTGCTTTGCGGCTCTTTATATTGATATCTCCTTCCGTGGTTGCTATAATCGGACTGTCCATTGTATATATGCGGAATTCGACTCGGGCATGAGACATCGCAAAGCCCTGACATCCCTTAACCGTCGAGCTGTGACTACTTTGTGCCATCCTTGGGCAAGTTTCCATAACCAACCTCCTCTCTCCATCAACCTCCAATCATCTCCGGTTTTCCCGATGTCCTATTTATAGAGGATTGGCGCTATTTCGCTTACGGGTTTATAAGTGGTGTTAAAAGAGGACGCTATTCTCGCTTCTTTATATTTCTCGCTTCCACTACAAGTTTTTAATTACTTCCACTCCCATCCGACTTGAATGCAGAGGCGATAGATTCTATTCGGATCTCGCGGCACTATAGCTCCTAACTACTTGCGACGGGGAATACCATTTCCGGTCGCCATGTGTATCACTTGAGTACTATACTATTATTTGCTTCACCGGCTTCATTTCACCTCGTCAAGGGGAAACAATTGATTTTTTTCGGCTGTTAGACTTTGCGTTGGCATGCATTTATACATTGCCTGTACATATACGCAGTGGCATTGGCGGCTCTTTTATGCGCCTTGCGAGGTGGGTTGTATCTTGAACCAAGGCGTTGGCTAGGTCTTTGGAGCTCTTGGAAGGCGTTTGGCATTGCTTATGTCTCCCCCATGGGGAGTTGATTGTTCTATCATTTTCTTCTGTCATCCAGGCGATCTTCCTCGGAAGCTATACGCAAGGCTTGTTTACCCTTTTCATTTTCCCATTATTAACTATTATTATTACGTTTTTTTTTTTTTTTTTGTTTATTATTTTATTTTCTTTCCCCTCATTTTCGAGTTTGGGTGACTGTATTGTCCGGGATCATATTTCGCTCTCATTCGGCCATGTATGCCATAGCGTTGACGGTTGGCGATGGGGCATTATGTGGCATGATGAACATGGCTAACACGGGCACACCCATGGCGATCTTCTGCTCAGAACCTGGCAAGATGATATAAATAGACTTAATGAGATGCTTCAACTGCCCGGTTTTCTACATAGTTTGGGTTCGCCCAAGATGTCATGTGGCGGACGGTTGATGGCTTCCTGCACACAGCCACTCGCACGTCACTATGCATTGTGTGTATGTATATTTAGATTTATTTATAGAATCAAAGACTAAGAAAGACTAATTAACGTTGGGACGGACGATGCACCCAAGCAGTGACCTGACAGATAATATCTGAATCTCCGACTGGAAACCTTCGGGGGTTCCTGACACCTGTACAGCGCAGTAAGCCCTCATTCCCACGGATCGTGGTGACGGAGAGGCTGTGCCTGAACTGCATACTAAGTACATAGTACACACGACGGGGGATGCACCGCTTGAAGTCCCGAGGGTAACTGAGAAGTCGGTGCGACGCATCTATCTAGCCGTACATGCGTCGAAGACCAGCTCCTATGGGGATGTATGACAGGAACAGCCCATGTGCGTAGTACTCGGTAAACAATGGCCTGTCCATTCAGGAGCATGCATGGCATGGATTCTATTGGAAGCAGCCATGACGATAGATATCCATGATATAATGAGGTATAAATAATAGTTAAGAAAGGCTCTGTCGAAGTCAGCCTTGTGTTTTGCCTGTTTCAAACTTTCCGCAGATCCTGAGAGTCACGTGACTATACAGTATTATTTGACGGCTTCATCTTTTGCTGCTTCTCTTCCCCCTTCAACCAGCCCAGCTCGTCGTCTCGACCTTGCTCTCATCGTTGCCTATCCCCCGTCACTGCCTATTTCCGATGACTCTGCTCCTCCCGGTTCCCTTCACGAGAATCTCCCGCGTTGCAACCCGCTGGTGCCAGGGCTGCAGAGTCTCTCATCTCCGCAAGCTGCGTACGGTACGGTCAGTACGCTGCCCGTACCGGCCTACAGCGGTGGGTAATAATCACATTACTGCACTCTGACCATCCTTTGCGGCCCAAGGCTGATCTGCAAGCTCTGCTCGAGTGAGTTTCAGGTTCTTGTTTGATCCTTTTATTATCAGCTGCTGGCAGTATTGTTCGAAGAACTGGAGCCTGTTGCAAGTTCGCTATTATTTCTACGGCTGTTGGCAACCCCTCCGAATGGGATTCTGCCACTGTTTCCCCCTTAGGTACCTCCTTGTACCTGCGTCAGCTAATTACCACCGCCGCTTTGGGGCCCTGAATTCCCCCTCCCTCAACGCCTCAACCTCTCCTTCTGTCGCCTCCTTGTGGCGTTGGGATTCTGTTCCCATCTGTTCCCACTGACGTAGCCTTCTTGTTTTTATTTTTATTTTTATTTATTTATTTTATTTTTTTTTTCGCACTCTTGTCGACTCTGATCGTCCCGCGATGGCTTCGCAGGATCGGAACCAGGACTCGCGCCCCTCTCCGTCGGGAACCTTTCAAAGCCGCAGCGACAGCGCGTCTCCCCATCCTCAGTATCACCATCACGATGTGCCGTCCGGTCTTGGGTTCGATTTTTCTGCGGCTGCAGGCCAGTTCTCTAACGCTACGCCATTTACCAATCCCGGCGCAGGACCGGCTGGTACCCAGTCCTTCGCTTACCCTCCGGGCTATCCTCCGCAGTCGCTCGCCTCACCCGACCAGTCGTTTCCCCATGGGCAGCCTTTACCACAGCAATTTGATACCAGCTACATGGGTCAACTCGATCAATCGTCAGGTCTACGCCCCTTCTCACAACATGAAAGCTTCTCGAATCTTTTGAACTCGAACCCTACCGATTTTGACCTTTCTATCTATACTTCTGACCCAGCCGTCGCCACGCACCATAATAACCACATGAACAATACCACCGGGGAGTTTGGCTCGCCCATTTTACTCGATACCCATACCCAGATACACCAGCAGCCTCAAACAGCAAATCAGTCGATCAATCCGGTGGATCTGGTCGGTCAAATGGCGTCTCCACACACAACAACTGCTTCGCACTTGTCTCAAGACCAGCAACCGACTTCACATCCACTACAGCAACAGCATTCTTCTCCGGGCCCTTTGTCTCCGCCGACATCTACCCATAGTACTTATTACACACCACAGCATTCTCGTCACTCCTCCTTGGACCCTACTACTGTTGCTTATCTGTCCGGCCAGTCAGACTGGCAATCCGTCCTGCACAACTCTGCATTTCAACACCACCAAAAAGCGCCGTCAGAAATTTCTGATCTTTCGTCGGCTGCCCATTCCCCATATATGTCTCAACATGAATCCTTTGATGCCTCTGAAACCAATGCGTCTCCGCTTTTACCTCCGCAGAACGACCCTGGAGTTTATGACAATGTGTTGGGCATTGAAACCTTCACGCTATCCGAGCAGCAGGCGTTTAGTACCTCTCCAAGTCCATATCTGTCGCCCCAGTTAGTACCACAGCAAGGCGCAGATCTGGGACCCACTATACCTTTTCTCTCCACACAACCACAACCGAATCCCGAGTATCCGACTCCTCCAACGGATATGTACGACAATAGTGGAACTGGAGGTATGATGGATATGACTCAGGCGAGCAGTGGTCTAGGGGATATTGGCCAGGCCTCTCAAATGGCTCCTCCATCGATCAACGTCGAATTGGCACCGCCTTCTAGAGTACCTACTTTTGGGCCAAAGCCTGCGGCGAACATGGACTCGCTGAGTCCTCCAGTTGCACATCCACGTAAGCAATACATGATTGAATATGACCCTCGTTGAACTATCCTCCAGGGTCGCTGTTTATTGTCCTCTATGTTCTTGAAATCTGACGTTTCCCTCAGGTGCAGGCCGCGTCCGCAGTAAATCAGACCCCTATGCTCATCCAACTTCTCGATCACTGTCTCCTGTTTCTCCATCAATTGGCCTCGAGCCATTCCCTTCAGTCAGTCCCAGATCACTCTCGCCGGTTGATAGCAGGCGACAGCCGCTCAGCACACCTGGTTCGCGTGACGTATCCCCTGCCAGGAGGGCTCATAATCGGCGACTCTCCACGTCGTCCATTGACAGCCGGAAGGCGATTCTAGATCTGGCAGATTCACAGCGTCCTGGTGCAGGTTCAAACGATCCTAAACGCGTGCAGAAGCATCCTGCAACATTCCAGTGCAATCTTTGCCCGAAACGCTTCACCCGCGCGTACAATCTACGGTCTCACCTGCGCACGCATACTGATGAGCGACCGTTTGTTTGTACTGTGTGTGGGAAAGCATTTGCACGTCAGCATGACCGTAAAAGGCACGAGGGTCTGCATTCCGGCGAGAAGAAGTTCGTCTGTAAAGGGAACTTGTCAAGCGGAAGACAATGGGGTTGCGGCCGCCGATTCGCTCGTGCTGACGCTCTGGGGCGCCATTTCAGATCAGAAGCGGGCCGGTTGTGCATCAAACCACTTATGGATGAAGAATCTCAAGAGCGCAATCGCTCGCTATCAAACAATCCGCAACAACAGCCATCCAGCCATCTGCAGCCGGTTCATCAGCCCTTTATGGTCCCAGGCATGGATGGGCAACCCACAGGTAGCCTTGTGCTTCCTGCAGCATTGCTTGCTCAGTACCCTGCCCTTCAAACCCTACAATGGGATCAAATACCTGCCACTGCAGACGATCCTACGGATATTGGGGGCCGCAGTAGTTTTGATGCAAGCTCTGGGTGAGAATTTGGCTTCGAGGATGATGACTCGGGTATCAGTAGTGGATACACGAGTAGCCAGGGAAACTTATACGCTGTCAATAATCAGGCCCAATTACTGACGGTTAATACCGGAGACCATAACTATGCGGATTCGGAATGGAAGGGCTGAGTTTTCTCTTCGATGCGGGTTCGACATTTTATGATTTTCCCTTTTACTTTCTTGCTTTCTTCGGATTACCCCCCCCATATGCCTTCTGACGCGAATCTTTTTCATGTTTTCCTCGAGTTTCAAGGTTTCCAGTAACCGAAACTATGCGTGCAGCTGTTGTTTTGGCCCAGTCTACACTATAGAAGGATCTAGGCGTTCAAATACAGGACAGAAAATCCTGCGGCAAGCAGTCCAAGGGCTGGATCTCCTTTCCTTTTACGAACCTCTCCCATTGCCCTTGTTCTGGCTATTTGTATGATCTTTGTTGCTTCGTTTTCTTTTTTTTAACGTCGTGCGTTCAACTACTTAAATACCCCGTGAGACATGTCTTTTATTTTGAATAAATACCCACCCCCACCCCAATGTCTCTTTGTTCTCTGTGATCTCTGGTCATGGTATTTATACTCCGTCATTCGGTTTTCTGGTTTATTTATTTACCATGCCTATATTATTATCGGATTTGGCTTTAAGATATTCTGAATACAACTCTACCGGTCTGTGGCATCATGGGCCTGAAATCCTATCTTCCATTTGCCCTGCAAATCTGTAAAAACCCCTAAGTAACTGGGAGCTACAATTCCTAGGTCAACACGAGACCGGGTTGAGGGGTCATTATCCATCCGAATGGTCACTGCCAACGTAAGTCCAGTGTGGAGATATACGCAGAAGGGATAGAACAGGAATCTCAAGGAGATGGGTAATAGATTCATTCTGTTAGTTGTTAACTGTTCAATTTAAATTAGAACTGAGATGAGAAGAAAGCTGAGCCGACACAAGGTATGATGAAAATGATGCCGAGTAAAATGACAGACAGCGGAACGAGGAAACAAACCTCTTGAGCCTCCCTGAACGATGAGAACAGGATCATCGATAGCCACAGCAGAGATAAACAGAGGACAAATGGATAAAACAAATCACATGCAAGATCCGATCTAATGGTATTTACTGATGATATCCTGATTCAGTCCAAGTATGGTTGGGTTGGGTTTGGTTAGTTGTATTGTATATATATCCAACAGGGACAAAAAAGCGGCGAGGAGCATCAAAGGCGATTATTATTACTACTATTGAACCTCATTATGAGATTCATGCCGTGTCTAGTGGCTGCTTGTTCAGCATACCTACAAGTCTCTCAACTTGTTCGATCCACTTGCGTGAGAACTCCTCCTCTGTGAACCGACGGGCGGATGTCCTGGCACGTTGACGCATTGCGATCCTCTCCTCCCGTGGTAGAGCAAGAGCCGCTTCAAAGGCAGCCGCAAATTCATCTTCCGTAGTGGCGCGGAAACCAGTTGCGCCGTCACCAAGGTCGACGACGATATCCTCGCGCGGCCCACCGGAGTCATGGACGACACTGATCAGGCCAGCAGCTTGGTACTCAACTACGCAGATACCAAAGTGCTCATTCCACATGGCATTGGCACCGATTGATGCCGTAGACAGATGGGAAAGGACGGTTGGCCAGGGAGCGTCGCAGAGGAAGACAGTTTCGTCGCGGATGTGGAGTTCGTGTGCCAGGAGACGGAGGTTGTAGATGTGAGTCTCGTCGGGGCTCGAGTGACGAACAGATCCAATGAGGATAAGTTTCGGGGGTGGTCGCGATGATGCAGCAGGGCTTTTCCTGTTTTCGTTGAGGAAGCGGGCGAAGGACCGCAAGATCAGCGGGTGGTTCTTTTCGGGACGGAATTGCGCAATGTAGAGGATGGTCGGTTGACGAGATTCTTCACTATCTGCGTCTACTGCAATGGAGGATTCCAGCTCCAACACTGCAGTGGGTGGGAAGACAACCGTCGGCTCCTTGTACTTTCGATCTGCCCGCCAGGGATCCCAGAGAGATCGAATATGTCCAGACGTCCAGGAGGAATTACACATAACCACGTCAATGTACCCTCCAACCCATCCATAAAGCCGGGCGAAAGCGAGCCAGTACTTTCGCTTAAGCTGGCCCTTGACCCCTTGACCAGCGCCAGCGTTGGTCCCCTTCCGACCACTCTGGTCGTCGAGAGATTCGAGCATATCTGTCGATATCGTGGGATAGTGAACGTATGCTCCGGTTGAAACGTCCGGAAAAAGAAGTTTGCAGAAGGCAAGGGTAAATGCGTAGCCCATGGTGTCGATGAATACGTCCGGCACAAGGAGGTTGAATGCATCGTATGCAACCACCAGCGATCCCAGTGATTGTCCAAGGAGTGTTAAATGCGGATATCTGTTACTGTCCACATACTTGCGTGTAGATAAATAAAGGAGGACGACAGTCGGCGCATGAAGCTTGATGTTAAATCGGGTCTGGAGAGTTTGGAACGGGGTTGTTGTTAGACCCAGAGCAACCAACGCCATTCCAGAATCGTGGAAGAAAATGATGTCCTACCTCAACTCTCTCCAGCATCGCCGCCTTACCGACATTGGCGTCTCCGGTGTATATGACGCAGATCGCTTTTGGCCAGCGTTTCTGGGTAGCTCGTACGGCCTCCCAGAGAACACGCTCTCCTCCGCCACCTGCATTACTAGAGTTGCGACAACGCGAGTCAGTAAAGGGGAAACGGCGTAACAGCAAGCACAAGATAATATTGGTCATCGAGGGTCACACACCAGTACGGGTGAAAAAAGCCAATGATCCCGTCCCATTTGTTGCCATTCCCAGGTGCTTTACTACTGCCACCAGCGGCGCCTATGGAGGAGCTGTCGACCTTCTCCCAATCGTCATCGTCAGCAGGAACCCGGGGCGACGACTTGACTTGTTTGGACAGAAATTCTTCTTCGTCGGCACGAACGCGAGATCTGACGTATTCCCTGCGAGACCTTGTACGCTTCTGGATGACCCATCCAATAAAGCGAAGCACCCTGCTGAAGATGCGTAAGGGAAGTACTGGAAGGAATACCGCGGTTGCGACTAGGACAAGAAGAGAGACCGCCGCTTTCGACAGGAATGACATGACTGGCCGGTTATGACGAACGTGGAGTTTGACAAAGAGCTAGCTCATAGCAGAAGACAGCAGGGGGGTGGCGCTGCTTCTGCGGTGGTTATGGTTGTCGAAGTTGAGGTCGAAGTCCAAGAAGGTTGATAGCATTACCCAAAAAGCGTAATAAGGTAGCTATCCTCCGCGGTTCTGCCGGTACGTACTGTCATTACATTACTATTACCGATGATCTGTATTGTAATAATCACGTGGAGTTATCACTGACTAAGCTAGCGTCTGCATCCGGGAGCATCATCACCGTTATTTTCTCGACTATCAAGAGACACAATTCCCAGCCTCTCGACCTTTGGCAATTGAATGCCCTGGCCTTTATTCTTTTTACACAAGGTCTGCCTGCTGTCAATTGGACTCTGACTAGCGTCATGAGTTCCCTCCGCCCGCTCAATGGGCTCCGCCTGTCGCGTGCATTCCCACGTCCCAAGTCGACGACGTTCCAGCAGACCCGAAATTTCCATCCTACGAGGCGGTCTCAATACATTGTCAATGATATTATACATTTATCTTCCGACTTTATCCATGGTGTTCATTCGGTCACAGGACTTCCATGGGTCTGCAGCATTCCCCTGACAGCTTTCATCGTTCGGATGGTAGTTGCATTTCCTCTGCAAATATATTCCAGGATACACGCGCAAAGGGAGCGAGATCTGAGTCCCCTCGTACAATCATGGCACAAATACTTCGTGGACCGGATCAGAGATCAAAACCAACGGTCCCAGACGCCGTTATCGCCTCGTGAAGCCTCCTCTATGGTGAAGAAGGAATTGTTTACCGTCCAGCGTTTATTGCGCAAAGAATTCAGAGTCTCTCCATTTTCAAGGCCGGCGAATTTCATGCAACTGCCAGTCTGGATCTCCCTCATGGAAAGTCTCAGGGCCATGTGTGGCAGCTCTCAGGGCCTCGTTCCGTGGCTTTTGTCTTTCTTTTCCCTTACTCGATCTGCCTCGGACTACGTTCCCCCGGCGATCGAGCCGACGCTTGCTTCTGAAGGCGGCCTGTGGTTTCCGGATCTTTTAGCCGGAGACCCGACGGGTTTGCTCCCTATTCTTATGACTGGGACTATCCTGTTGAATATACGGACGGGTTGGCATGTCGCCCCTATATCAGAGCTCGCTAATTTACCACGAAATGCGATGATCCGGGAAGGTTTTTTCCGCGTCATCCGATTATTTGTGCAGGTACTGGCGGTCCATATTGGACTTTCAGCTTATTTTCAAGAAATGCCCTGTGCTTTAATGGTCTATTGGATCAGCAGCACAAATGTGGCCACACTACAGACATTCCTCCTTGAAAAGCACATATTCTCCAACCGCCAACGCAAGCCGTGGAATAGGATGTATATAGCACTTCGGGGAAAAGGCGAACCTAAGGGTCACCTCTTCCCAAAGCTGCCTAAACCATGGAGCAGTTGAGAATGGACTGGAGATCTAAAAGCAAAAAAGCAAGCAGAAAGAAGCACAGAGAAAGGCGAATGGTAACAGAGGATTTCTGCCCAACCTGTGAATTCTTTCCTTCTCTACTGAATCAGCATACCTGACTCACTCCAGTTATGGCCTTCATGACGACGCCTATTGTCGGTCTTCTATCGTGTCTGCAAATTCTATCTAAAGGAATTTCCATTTTCAAAACCGGTATGGGTAGTTCGCCTCCAGAAGTCCTGCTTCCCTAGCATTTTCCTGAGGGCCTGGATGCTTTTATCAGTTGCCGCACGGTTGCCCTCTAGATCGGCGTTACTTTTTGCGACTGTTCATCGTTCGACTCCTGTTGTCCTATGTGGGTTATTCGCCTTGATGAAACGCTTTTTATACCCTCCATATTGCACGTGTCTGTGTTTCTATGTGCTCTAAGAGGAGGAGGTAGGAAATATATTATACCATACTGCGCATGTATGCGCCTGTGTCAACAACCCAATTTGAAAATACATGTCAGTGTCATGTCTTTTCTCTGTACCCGAATCTATGAAGACAATGGGTCTCACGTCTAAAGCCCGAGTGGCTGGACCTTCTAGGAACACAAACGCCAGAACCCTGGCTCTTAGGGGATATTTTGTGAAATAAAAATCAAATCCAAAACCCGTGAAAGAAAATTGTGAAATACATCACCATTCCTGGCCCCGAGACGTAAAGGTGTAAAAAAAAAAATGAGAGGGCAGCTCAAAATGGCAAGAAAATAGGGACAACAGAAACTCCGGATATCCTCAAAGCTTAGCTTTGTACGCTTCCTCAGATGCACTGGCTTCCTCATTTACCGAGATGGTACGCGTGTCGGGGCTTTCACCGAAGAAGATAACTTCGACTGTAACGTCATCACTGTACGAAGAGGATATTAGAACAGATATGTACACACTGGGTCTGTTTAAAAGAATTCTTACCGATATCTTCGTGAATACGGGCTGGGGAGTGTCAATAAAGCACAAACCATATCCCGATCCTTACCACCCATGGCGTTGCGTACAAGGTGGGTAGCAGCATTATTGTCTTCCACGACAAAGCGGTCCGCAGAGCCGGATATGTCATATTGCTGTTGGCGAATAGGCCGTCGTTGACCTTCAGAGATGGCATCTTGGGCCTGCTCCACAGGAAGCCTATTGTTCTCGAAGCCGAACCAACCCTGCAGCCAGGATTTGCTGTTGCTGGATCCTGATTTTTGCTGCTCGATCCATTGGCCCACAAGCCCAACCACTTCTTCGTTGTTCAGCATCTCCCACAGACCGTCCGTGGCCAGAACAAGAAAGTCGCCTTTCGACGGTTCAATTTTGGTGGTGGTGATGATAGGCTCTGCTGTAACATATGGCGGAGTCTGCAAGAGTTTATGGGGTGTTCTTCCGAAAAACTGTCGTTTTATCTTCTCCTGAGTCTCTCTGCTCCACTTGTAGAACGCATCACCAAATGATCGACTAGGCTCCAGTTGGCCTAGAATTCTCCCGTTGCGCACAACATCGGGTTCACCAGGGTGCTCCTGACGCAGGCGTTTTACTTCGGATGGTGTCCCTCCAGTCTGATCTTCAGAAAGTGGCATCGCTATCCACTTTCCACTGGGGCCACGGCGTCCCAAAACCGCTCTGGAGTCGCCAGAACAAGCGACCTTCAAATTTTTCGACTGTGAATCGTAGAAGGTGAGCAGAGCACAAGATCCTGACAGGGCAGGAGCCAGGAGTTCAGCCGCCACTCGCCGAGAATTAGATTTTAAGACCTTGTCAACACTGGCATGTACGATATCGTGATCGAGACGGAGAAATCCCTGCTTGATAGCCGCGTCTACAGCCGCAGAAGAGGGGAAGAGAACAGATGGATCAGCGGCCGCAGCTTTGTATGTAGTATTCAATTCCCGCGCAACGTATGAAATAAGGACATTACGCAATTTCGCAGACGTAGTCCAGCCACTAGCTCTATCGTAAGCAAATTACGACAGGGAGGGTGGTAGTATTTAAAGGGGAAAACTCACGAATGCCCGTCAAATATGGCCCAGAACATCCAGTCGCTGCTATCTTCACCTTCTTTCGTAGCCGCTACGGAAGATGGCACCTCAACTATCTTTTCGGCATGGTCGTCTTCAATCGGTGAGTTGCTAGGCACTTGGACAATATCATATCGAACCACTCCTTTTCCACGATTCACCAAATAGGACTCCTCATTCTTCCGCAGCTTTTGCGTAGCCTGCTCTGGCGTTAACATCTCTAGTACTCGACGGTCTGAGTCATCAGTGAGTTTGGAAAGTGGCTGGTCTCCAGAGAGCGTTGCAGTATAAAATTGGTCGTTATGAACTAACAGAGCACGACGAGTTGACTCTGTGGGATCTTCAGCATGAGCAATAGGAGGTACGCCGGTAGATATGGTTCGTATTTGAGACGGCGATGCCGTGTCCGCCCCAGTTACCACCGTTCCCTGATATGCATACCAAGCGCCAGACGCAATCGCCGTCGAGATAAGAGCAATGGAGAAGTTTCGAAGATGCATGGAAGATTGCAGAGAGGCAGGAATAATGGGAGGATATCTCCCAACGGAGGCTGAACGTCGCAGACCCAGCGCCTGGCTGTTGGAGAAGAACCCAGCCCGCGGCTTTCTACCAGCAACCTTCCATACTGGAGCACGACGGGTAGCACGGAAGGCCTGTACAGCCGCACGACGCATCGGATCTACACGAAGCGAAAGAATCAAGAAGAGGGAGACCAGACGCGGGCTAGATGGCACAGGGACATCGGGGACGGGATAGATTCGGTTATGAATCGAGATAAAGCCGGAACCAAGACGGAGATGCTTCCTGTACAGTCACGTGCGATAACGCCTCTATTATCTGGTCACGTGTAATTTTCCGATAGCGCTATGCCTAGAAAGGCACCGCCGCCGCGTGCTTCTCCATGGTCAAAAGTCTTTGGGTTCATTACCTCATATAAGTACGACCTGGATTGCACATATCTTCCCAGTTTGGGAGCAGTACATATCTTTTATTTTCTTTCAAGTGGTCATCCTATCAAATAGCCTAGCCCTGAATGTCCTCCCGTGCGATCCGCAAGCTGCAAAGGCTGCGTGAACAAGAGTCGCAGCAAGCGTCAGCACAAGAAGAGGATGAGTCCAGTGACGAGGAGCCGGTCATCCAGCCGTCAAAGCCCAAGCTGAATGCCTTTGACATTTTGAGTGCAGCCGACGAAGAAGATGAGGATTCAGGCGACATTGTTGATGACGCCCAGGAGACGCAGACTCAACCCCCCGAACCTATCCCTCAGCCTGCGACCCAAGCCAGTTCCAGCAAGAAGAAGAAGAAGAAGAATAAAAAGTCTTCAAAGCCGGTGGTTCCCAGTGAAGCTATAGGAGCGAAGGTCGATGAGGCCGAGTTGGATGAGATCGATCGAGCACTAAAAGAGTTGGCGGCGAACGAGAACCCTTCCCAAGCGGCCGAATCTCCTGCTGCCACCATAAATACACGGGATCCATCATTCCCAAAGAGCCCGGAGGAACTGCTGGCAATAGAGCCTAAATTCCTAAATGCAACGAATGAGATGCGAAAACTGTTTGGGAACGTCGTGTTGGAAACATTCGACCAGTCCGAAGATGCAAATACAGGTCGGCGAAGGGATAGGCGCGGAGAAATGGTTGATCTTGGTCGAGCTCTGACGGGCAGATACAGTCCTGCGAGTAGGGGCCAAAGCTTGGCGGGCGTCACCTTACGAAAGAATGCCCTCATGGCAGGCAAGGACGAATGGCCGCGAGCTCCCAGCGGTGGTCTAGGAATGGAGGTTGAGGAACGGTTTCCAAATGGGAACACAGTCTACCGTATTGTTCATAACACTGCATATACGGATGTGCAGAGGCAGTTTGAAATGTGCGTGGAGTCGATGGATCCGCAGAGGCTCATTCATCTTCTACAATACAATCCATATCATATCTCAACCCTTCTTCAGGTATCGGAAATCGCAAAGCATCAGGGCGACCATGCAGTATCTGCCGACCTTCTTGAACGCGCTCTTTTCAATATTGGTCGTTCTGCACATTCGTCTTTTGGCAATAAACTCAAGGAGGGACAGGCACAACTTAACTTCATTCATGCAGAGAATCGGGAACTTTGGCTAGTGGGCTGGAGGTATATTGCTAATTTGGGCATGAAAGGAACGTGGAGGACAGCTTATGAATGGGCTAAACTTTTGCTTTCTCTTGACATCGCTGATCCCTATTGCATCAAACTCCTAATCGACCATCTAGCTTTACGGGGAAGAGAATATGCCCACTTTGTCGAGTTATGCACGCAGACCCGGCTCAGCAGGGATTGGGCATCATTTCCTAATATCCAATGCTCTCTGGCGCTAGCATATCTTCGACTTAACAAGCCCAAGGAATGCCGAGAGCGTCTATACCTCGCCATGAGGCGTTATCCATGGTTATTCTGCAGACTCGCCCAAGAGCTGGACATCAGCCCAATGCCGAAACAGATTTGGGGCAAGCTGCCTCCAACGGATGCCCATGAACTATTTACCGAGCTTTACATCGCGCGGGCCAAAGATCTTTGGAATACGCCGGAGGTTGTTTCTCTTATCGTCGAAATTGCCAATACTCTCATGGAAAAGGAAGAGCCAATTGAACCTCCAGAGATTACGTTGGACATTGCACGGCATGTAGTCCTGTCGGACATACCCAAAGTCACCACGCACCTTCCCGGACGCTTCATATCTGGACGTATTTCGGCGTCGGACCCTTTACCTCCCTACGATTCAGAGGCATATCGAGAACAGTCCAATCCCGTACCCTCCTATCTTTCCCGACTCCCCATTGGCCAGCCTCAGTGGCTGCGTGATATTTTGGGCCAAATGATACCTGCAGATCCATCTGCAAATGACAACGAAGAACGGAACGGTAATGCACCCGGAGAGCCCGCGGTTGAGAGGGATCCCTCGGCTGGCCCTGCGCCTGAAATCGACCGGCAAACACTGGAACAATGGCTCTTAGGGGATGGCCTGCAGTCCCTACAAGCTTTCCTTGGCCAAAATGGCGTTGACCGTGGCAACTGGGGAGATGATGTTGACCTTACTCCGTTGACGGACTACGTGAATATTTTGAGCACCATTTTGCCGGATAGCTTCCGGCAGAGCTTATTGAATGGTGCCATAAGAGAAGCGGTGGGTGATATCGTTGTAAACGTGTTGGAAGAAGAGCTTATGTTGCTGCAATATGACACGGATGATGACGATACTCATCCTGTATGACTGTTTTCTTTTCTTTTCCAGGCATTTATTGGCGTTACCTCCTTCATGTATAAGATACCATAAAAAGCCTCATTACAATGTGGTTAAATAGCATCGAATGCCATAGTTGCGCTGTCAAAGAAGATTTTTCTCCTTGTGAGTATGTACTCTCCCCCCAGGATCACGATAGTTGTACCTGTCTACATCTATCGATCTATCAGTAGGTCTCTGATAAATCCAGTAATAATAATAATAATAATAATATGTAACACATTTCTTTTTGTTTATGAGTAGAAATAAATTCAGGTTACAATGAAAGATGAAGTTGAGCTCTCTCGCTTGGTATCTCCCTAGAGCTACTGCGATGCCATTTCACTGCAGGAGGCTCCCTCAGGAATAGGCGATCTTATCCTTTAACAGCTCTAATGCAAATAATAATCCCCAAGAAGCCTGGAAGGGTGCATCTAATGCCTAATCCGGGATTGGCCTGGTGCCTGTCGTATGAGGCTTAGTCATTGCAGGCTGAACACGAAAATGTTGCATTCTGCATCTCTTCCTGCGTGGAACTTGCCGAACACTTCCTAGTAATATTAAATGTCGCCTTCATCTGTCGGGAATTGGCTGTTTCTATTTATCCAGTCCTTTGCGTCCCATCTTTCGCCTCCCCCTGCTTTAAATCCCCTGCTTCGCCCCCGCAGCGTTTCTGTCCCTCTCCCTCATGTGTCCTGAGTCTCTGAACTCGCCGTATCGACCTCTCGCTGTCCCTCCTTAGTTATAATCGCCACCGCAATCAATCCGATTTGGACCTTCGATAGTTCTTTCTACCGTCGCCAGAGGTCTCCAGTGACGGTGTTGAACCCCAATTGACCATGCTGCTGTCGCGCGCTTTGAGTAGTGTCACTCCCGAGGAGCCCGTACCGTTGAACCCTCGAGAGGCTGTCTCGGGCATTCTGGGTTCAATTTCTTTGGCATGCTGGATATTTCTACTGGTACGTTCCATCAGGACTTTTCCTCCGTCAGACTTCCGCAAGGAGCAGCGGGAGGAGGCGGGAGAACCTGGACAAGGGAAATAATGCTGTTTCAAATGGCTAACCCGGCATTAGTTACCACAATTGGTTGAGAACTATCGCAATGGAAGTGCGGAAGCAATCTCTCTGTACTTCCTCTTCGTGTGGTTCGTCGGCGACGTGACGAATTTGATCGGAGGCGCTTGGGCTGGCCTGGTTCCTGTCGTTGTCGCCATCGCCGTTTATTTCTGTATCGCGGACGGCGTCTTGATCGGACAATGTCTGTATTACAAAGCGCGCAACGCGGGTCGCGATGCACGACGGCGTTCCTCGGTAGACACTCCTGATCCGACGACTCCATTATTAGGCCGACCCTCCACTGCTGACAGCCTGGGTCAACCATCCCGACGCAGGTCATCAGCTTCGGCTGGGGACGGCTATGGCTCTGACGCCAGCGACGCCGAGGCGGCACTGGCCAAGATCGTCGAAGAGGGGGAATCTGGTCGCTATGCCTGGTTTAAGAACGCCAGTAGCGTTCTTGCCGTTTGCGTGGTTGGAATTGCCGGCTGGACGATCGCATGGCAGACAGGTGTATGGGCACCTGCTCCGCAGGATCACGATGGCGACGTTCACCAAGCAGTGGGCGCTCAAATTCTGGGTTATTTCAGTGCCGTGTGTTATCTAGGGTGGGGATCTCTACTTCAATAGATTTCCGAAGCAGCTATACTGACTGTCCCATTGCCAGAGCGCGACTCCCTCAGATCTACAAGAATTACTGCAACAAATCATGTGAAGGTAGAACTTTCAACAATACATCAACAGCGAAGACAGTGTGTGCTAACAAATCACAGGGCTTTCCCTTCTATTCTTCATCCTATCCCTTTTAGGAAACCTCACTTACGGTGCAGGGGTATGCGCGTCCTTTCCCCCCCGTCGATTGGAGTAGTTGAACTGGACTAACGGCTACAATAGATACTCAGCCATTCAACGGAAAAGAACTACATCATTAAAAATGTACCCTGGCTCATCGGCTCCCTGGGCACGATGGCTGAGGATATCACTATATTCTGGCAATTCCGGATCTACAAAAACAATTCATACTTTGATCAATGAAACGACAGGGTTCACGGCAAGTCAATTCAACTTCTTGACCCACTAGATTAGCAGCTATTCTACGTAAATAGTTGTCACAACAAAAGTTCTGCCCGTTTCTTACTTCCGACCTTCTAGCTACTTTCAGCGGCATTCTGTGTTAAAAAATTGTCTTTTTCTTTTCCGCGCTGCCTTCACTGAAAGTATTTCTTGAGGAAATAGGGAGTTTCTGGGGTATGTACAGACTGGCAAGGGGATTGGGGATATGGACCGTGTCAAGGTGATTTGAACACGGGAGTTGGCGTCTTATATAGATGGCCGTTGTTAAATTACTTGGGGCTTTTGGTTACGCCATGTCCGCATAACAATATAATGTTTCCTGGCACTGTGCAATTTCAACAGCGTAAAATGGTTAAGGCGTTGTAAGAAGCACCATGTCTAGCAAAAGCATTGCAGGCGGGCCCTCTCTTTTCCACATTTTCGTTGCAGAAAGACAGATGTATTATGAAGTCGAGTCCTGGACGCTCAATGCCAGCTACGAAATATCAGCCAGCAGTAACGTATCGTGAAATCGTGGAATTTCTTCAGGATAATATAATTTCTTTTGCCTTTTTCCCTCCCGATAAAATATGTAACATGCCAAATTACTATCATCCTGGAAAAAAAAAGTTGGATTGGAATCCTAGCGTCATCCGTCTACTGCCTTTCATGACGCAATCATCATGTGAACAAAGCGCCCAGTCTCCATTCCATCGGATACTCTTGTCCTTGTCCGTAGATTCCCCATTGGCGTTTCTCTTTTTCTTTTCTTGGTCTTTGTTCGGCAGCGTAATACGTGGTACAAGGCACTCGATGAGAAAATCCGGTAGCAAAGAAAAACGAGGAAGAAAAGGAGAATGAAACAAGGAACAAACGCTTAGTCGAAAAGACCGAAGCCCATGTCCTCGTCGGATTCCTCTGTAAGACCCAGTCAGTAATCCACCATCTTCTTTTTATTTCTTTTTGATCCTTCGGGAGCTGTACCTTCTTCCTTCTTCTCCTCCTCCTTGGCGGCCTCAGGAGTGGCAGCCTCGGCGGGGGCGGCAGCAGCACCACCGGCAGCTGCGGGGGCACCACCAGAGCCGACGTTGGTCAGGAGGTCCTTGACATCCTTACCCTCAAGAGCCTGGGTTGAAGAAAAGGGTCCGTAAGCAAATGATTCCAGAAGCGATCGTTACCCCGACCATATTCCATCACTTATTTTCGAGGCATTCATGTTGTGTCATAGTATTTACCTTGGCGAAGAGGGAGGTCCAGATAGGCTCAACCTCCTGGACGTTGGCAGCAGACAGAAGAGTCTGGAGCTTGTCGGCCTGTTGAATGAGAACAATTGCTGGTCAGCGCAAATTCCTTACAACTTCCTATCGATCTTTCGTCCCCTATCCTATTTGGGTGTTCATCTTTCTTTTCTCCAATATCATGGTCTTCTTTCACCGGTGTCATTCCACATTGTTGGGTTCTGCTTCCATTGCAGACACAACAGAGTAAGAAAGAGAGGGTCAAGACATGGTACGTACGGTGATATCGACGCCGTCATCGGCGAGGATGAGAGCGGCGTAAGAGACAGCGAGCTCGGCGTGAGACATGGTGACTGAGGAGAGGCTGGCTGGTAGGACTGGGAATGGAAGGAGAAAGGGAAGAGAGCGGCGACGACTTGGTTCTTGAAGGTCGTGTTCGGACTTGGGATCGCAAGTTCGGCAGATCGTCCCAGACAGGCAACTTGTGTGTTTGACGAGAAGCCCTCGCTTAGGGCTGGCCCATGAGCCGCCCGCATCTGGACTAGCGTTGTCGAATTACACGTGATCCTAAGCTAGCCCAAAATGGACAAGCGGCTTTCCGCCTGGCAGGTGATGCCATCATTCTAGCCCTCAGTTGATCGTGACCTGGAATGTTCCTTGTGCTCCCTGCACTTCGCCTTCATCTGCTTCTTCCTTGTCCCCCTGTCACCAGGATCCTATCCTGTCTCTGTTCGAGTTCCCTCTGTCTGCTCTTTTACCTATCTGATCTTCTATCATCCTCCATACCCGTGCCCTTCAGAATATGGACTCCCCCGCCCCTCCTGGACCGGTCGATCCGCAGGAGCAGCCCATTCTTGAAGAACTTCTCCGCATTCGCGACTCTCTCCTATTGTTGAGACAGGATAAATCGTCCTATATTAAGACTCGAGATGTACTTCCCTATTATGAAGCGGTTATTTCCCAGGTGGAAAAGCTCAATGCGGCTCGGAAGGGCCAGGATCGCCGGCTAGTACACCATCGACGTTAGCACTGAGTGGGCCTTGCGCGTGAGGATTATCTATTGTGAGATGGACCTTTGGCTGACGCTTTTCTGTATGCCTCTAGTGGACTATGTGCTGGATGATTGTTTCCAGCTCATCTCGTTGCTGTTTCTCACCGTGGGGAGGAATAACGAAGCCCCTGCTGTGTAGGTTGCCCGTTCGTTCTGCGCCCTTAAGTAGCAGCTAACTGAGACGACTCTCCTTCAGATATTCTCTCATGTCGACTGTTCAGGTGCTGTTATTCTTCCTTCCTGGCTGGAGCTTGCTTTCCTTTCCAATTTTTACGGACGATAACTCTAACATGTCCTCTCTAGCGCCTTCTCGATCACCTATCGGAAGCGGGATTCTATAGCACCAAAGACCTGAATTCAATTTCGACTACCCTTGGAAATATCCGCTCTAATATCGACCGTGGCCGTGAAACTTACTCGCCCGCTCTTCTCAACCTTTTGGAAAGCCGTTTGGAGACATGCAATCTTGCGTTGGAGAAGTTACGGAAAGACCTCGCTGTTTTGGCTCCCGAGCTTCTACCTACCCATGAAACCCTGGTGTCGATTCTACGATCCGCGTCTGCCGTCAACACTAGACTACAGGTGCGCAATTAACACAACCTTGCCAACCCGAGGGCCCATGTGCTGATGACAACTACATATAGTTCTCTGCGGTAGAAGTGAGAGAGCTTCAAGAACAGCTAAAGAAGATCAGGTCATCAATGAAGGATGGGGAGTTTGTGGGCGCCAATGGCGTCCCTCTTGCCGGCCAAGACGCAGTCAAAGACCTGCTGGAGCGCTGCTTGGATTGGTCCAATGTAGTGTTGGAACGGTATGTGACAAGCTATTAAGATATTATTCTGTTGCCGTAGATTTGGAGTTTAGATCAGACTGACGTATGGGATCTTTGACTGGTTTAATCAATAGGAACGGAGAAATCAACCCAGCATTCCAGGATAAATATGATGAGCTGCTCGACATCCGCAACCAGTTGGATCGGTTGTCCGTGACACAGGCTTGGTCTCTTCGTGAGACGGACTTGTTTGGATTCCAACGGAAACTTGATCGGATTGACGAGGGTCGTGTGAACGGTAGCTTTGTGGATGCGCAGGGGCAGCCAGCAGATATCCACACTCAACGAGTACGTTCATAGCTGGCTATTTTTTGTGTTGGCATATCCTGATTCTGACCTGGTTTCTTGTACAGACCCTACTTTACCTGATGCGACGCAGCTATGCGTATATATATGCACTTCTCATTTCGTCGGAACCAGTGTCAGAGGCGTTGTTACCTATATACAATCAGTTGCAGACGTTGCGCCGCTGCCTGCTAGAAGTTCAAGAATCGGGAGGGGTATCATCTTCCCGCGAACTTTATCCGTATAGCATGAAGGTGAGCACTTTCTAGCATAACCCTTCCCCGTGCGTTTTATGTCGGAGTCCGTTTACGTTAGGCATTGGGACACCCAGCTGATAGGTAGTAGCTTAATTCCATTGACGACATGCGAGTCGATGGTAAATTCTTGGTTGGAAATGACATTCCCGAAGGCCAGGGCAGAGTCAATGACTTGCTAGCAGAATGCTACGACATCGTCTGGAGGCTGCGGGCTGCCGTTTCGGAAGTCCAACAAGAGCAAGATGTAGCAGAAGACGCCTCCTAGAAGAATTCCAAGTTCGTTATGCTTTCTGCCTCGATGGGCGTTTTTGCTTCTATCCTCATGACGGGTCGACAGGAGTTGGTACCTGCTTTTCTTCGTACAGAGTTTTTTGCTATGCTATAGGTGGATCGCCTGCTATCTGTCTGAACATTTATCTATGGTTTCTGGATTGCGTCGCGGGGGAGAAGGCGTTCTTTTACTTGGTAAATCAACCACATTTTAATCCTGATGAAATAGCAAGTTCCAGTCATATAGTCTCTTGTCTTTGTTAGCTGTTGAATTGGCGTCTAGAAGCGCCTAAAGGGAAAAACAGCTGGAAACACCGTAGGGTCTAGGGCCCGGGGCTAGGGCTAGGGCTGATAGAACCTGCCGGCATCGGCTTATCAACTGGCCAATCACGGCTGACCTAAAAAGGCGTGACTCCGAGGGCAGACTTTCTGCAGCCCGCCGGGACTTTTCCTACTCCTCGACATCCTCACGCTCGACATCATGGTGAGACAGCTTGTTTGGCAACGGGCCACTGCCTCGCGCAGGGTGAGTACCAGTAATTGGCTTCATCGACCAGTTGGTTTTAACTGTTGTTGACCGCGTGCAGTTAGCGCCAGCATGCCTCTCTCCGCAGCGCCTATTTGCTCGCCGCGGCCTCGCAACCGAAGCGTCGCAATCGCGCATGCCGCCATACCCGAAGACTCTACGAAATTTGGAGCAGGTGCGACGTGTACTAGGGTCATCTCGATCTCTCACCTTGGCGGAAAAGATCCTCTACGCTCACTTGGATAACCCGGAGGAGTCATTGCTGTCAGGAACAGACAATGGACGAGACATTCGCGGCAAGGCCAATCTGAAACTTAAGCCTGATCGCGTTGCCATGCAGGATGCGTCTGCTCAAATGGCTTTGCTACAGTTCATGTCCTGCGGATTGCCGTCAACTGCAGTGCCAGCCAGCATCCATTGTGATCATATGATTGTCGGTGAACGCGGTGCTGATACGGATCTACCAGCATCGATTGAGGGAAACAAGGAAGTCTTCGATTTTCTTGAGAGTGCAGCGAAACGTTATGGGATCGAGTTCTGGCCCCCTGGTGCGGGTATTATCCACCAGAGTGTGCTGGAGAATTACTCGGCCCCAGGCCTGATGATGCTAGGTACGGACAGCCATACACCGAATGCAGGCGGTCTTGGGGCGATTGCCATTGGTGTTGGAGGTGCAGATGCAGTTGATGCGCTGGTTGATGCACCATGGGAACTCAAAGCGCCCCGGATTTTAGGTGTTCGTTTAGAGGGCAAGCTCAATGGCTGGGCATCACCCAAGGACATCATCCTGCACCTGGCTGGTAAACTCACTGTACGTGGCGGTACTGGATTTGTGATCGAGTACCACGGGCCGGGTGTTGACACGCTTAGCTGCACTGGCATGGCGACAATCTGTAACATGGGTGCCGAGGTTGGCGCTACTACCTCTATCTTCCCTTTCTCCCCGAACATGGTGCCTTACCTGGAGGCTACGGGCCGTGGTCATGTTGCCAAGGCGGCTGCAGAGATTGCAGCCTCCGGTCCCCAGAGTCTCCTGCGAGCAGACCCCGAAGCGGAATACGACCAGCTTATCACCATTGACCTGTCAACGTTAGAACCGCACCTCAATGGGCCGTTCACGCCTGACCTGTCAGTACCGCTGTCCCAATTTGCTGACACCGTGCGCCAGAATAAGTGGCCTGAGACGTTCGGTGCTGGCTTGATCGGTAGCTGCACTAACAGCTCATATGCGGACATGACCCGGGCAGAGGACCTAGTCAAGCAAGCATCCGCTGCCGGCCTTAAGCCCAAGGCTGATTTCTTCATCACCCCTGGAAGTGAGCAAATCAGGGCAACACTGGAGCGCGATCAGACGCTGAAGACGTTCTCCGAGGCTGGAGGCATCGTGCTGGCCAATGCGTGTGGGCCTTGCATCGGCCAGTGGAAACGAACAGACGGTGTTCCTAAGGGCGAAGATAATGCTATTTTCACATCGTATAATCGTAACTTCCCTGGCCGTAATGATGGCAACCGGCGGACGATGAACTTCCTCGCATCGCCTGAACTGGTCACGGCCCTGGCCTACTCCGGTCGCACCACGTTTAATCCGATGACGGACACCCTGACAACACCCAGCGGTGAGAGCTTCAAGTTCAGTCCCCCCACTGGCTCTCAGTTGCCTGCAGCTGGTTTTACGGAGGGTAATCCTGCTTTCAAGCCTTCTGCTGCCGTTCCGGATCCTACCTGCGAGGTAATTGTTTCCCCCACGTCAGACCGCCTGGCCTTGTTGGAGCCATTCGATCCTTTCCCTGCTGGTGATCTATCAGGCCTTAAGGTCCTGTACAAGGTTAAGGGTCAATGTACGACGGATACTATCTCCGCTGCCGGTCCCTGGTTGAAGTATAAGGGCCACCTGCCCAACATCTCTGCCAATACACTGATTGGTGCCGTCAACGCGGCAACCGGGGAAACGAACGTGGCATATGATGAGGCCGGCAACAAACACTCCATCCCTGACCTGGCTGCTCAATGGAAGGCTAACGGCATCTCATGGTTGGTCGTTGCCGAGGATAACTACGGTGAGGGCAGTGCCCGCGAGCATGCAGCATTGCAGCCTAGGTACCTAGGCGGGCGCATCATCGTGGCCAAGAGTTTTGCTCGTATTCACGAGACAAACCTTAAGAAGCAGGGTGTGGTGCCTCTGACCTTTGCCGACAAGGCGGATTATGACCGTATTGACGCTTGCGACCAAATTGACACGGTGGGACTGTATGATGTACTCCAGTCGGGCGGCCAGGGCAGCATCCAGCTGCGTGTGACGAAGAAGCAGACGGGCGAGACTATCACAATTCCAGTGCAACACACGCTTAGCAAGGATCAGTGTGCGTTTATACTGGCGGGTAGTGCCTTGAACCTCCTGGCCAAGAAAGCCAGAGGACAGTAGGCGCCAACGAAGGCAAAATAAAATAGGATAAGGATTGGGAAAGGTCCAAAAGGCAAGGATTGAGAGAAAAGCAAAGGATTTTCCTTGGTCCATATTTGTATAAGCGCATACATGTACATTTTCCTTTCTGGTGTTTTGGGATTGTTCCTGTGGGATTAGGGTTGCGTTTGATATCCAAACTGATGAACCTGTTCATTCTTGGCTTCATTCCGGTATTTTCAAGACAAAATCCGTTGATATACTCAACTGAACTCAGCCCTATTACTGTCGATTGTGTTTCCTGATATGGCCCTTTACGGGAGATTTTGAATTGATTTCTATTTCTAATGTGCCAGTCCTTGCATCCCTACATACTTATTACTAATATGAGGTCATCTCTGCCATGTCGACAGAGCACAAGAATTACTGATCGCAGTGCATTGGAAGCAATCTTCTGTAACCACTGCCTCCACTGGAAACTGACTCGTCATGGCTGAGACCCTTCGCCCAGTCTTCTCGGACCGCTTACACCCAAAGCTCTCCTATGGTATCCCCTTCCCAGCTGCCGCAGCGCATCATGTCACCGCAACCTTCCATGCGTCTCGAGTCTATGTTCTGTGTTCTGGCTCATTGGAGCGCAATTCGCACGTACTGGAGCGGTTGACCTCGGCTCTGGGAGCAGATAGAGTGGTCGGCAAACGCATTGGCATGAAAAGCCATACGCTGTGGTCGGAGGTCGTCGAGGTCGTCAACGATGCGCGTCGAGAGCAAGCAGATCTGCTCATGACATTGGGAGCTGGAAGTCTCACGGATGCTGCTAAGATTGCTGCTCTTGTGCGTTCTCATTATCACTTTGCCATTTAAGATATTCATCGGCATAGGATGTTGTTCTTATACGGATACCATTCTGATATATATTTATAATCTTCAACCAGGCTCTCGCAAATGACGTCCAAGACATATCCGACCTTTCAACCCTTTGCGAAGGACCCCGAAAACGTTCCATCATAAACCCTCCCATAGTCCCAATTATCTCCATCCCCACCTCCCTTTCCGCAGGGGAATACTCCAATTTCGCCGGAGGAACCGACAGCACCGGCCAGAAACGCTCATTTTCTTCCCCGACGCGCGGTCCACAACTCGTCATCCTCGACCCGGATCTAGCCTCGACGACACCAGACCGCATCTGGCTAAGCACGGGGGTCCGAGCAGTCGACCACTGCGTCGAAGCTCTGTGTTCCGTCGATGGCCCCACGAAGGAATCAGATGATACATCAGAACAAGCACTCGGCCTCCTGCTACCAGGATTACTAAGATGTGCTGGGGATCCGAACCGGAAGGACAAAGAGGCAAGATTGCAATGCCAGATCGGCTCAGCGAATGCCATGACGGCTGCCACGAGCGGGGTGCAGTTAGGCGCGAGCCATGGAATTGGACACCAGCTGGGTCCCCTTGGTGTTGGCCATGGGGAAACGAGCTGTATCCTTCTCCCGTCCGTGTGCAGATATAACCTAGTACACGATGATGCACGAGGAACCAACCGCGCACGCCAGGAACGTGTGCTGAGGTTCCTGGAATCCAACGCGGTAGTGGCGGGTGTGCTCCGTTCGCGGTCCGTGGATGTCCAGAAAGCCGATCTAGCTGTTGTCTTGGACGCTGTGATTCGCGAATTGGGCATGCCGCGGACTTTGAAAGATGTGGGGGTGTATCTGAATCAGGAGCAGCTTGAGGGGTTGGCCGCGAAGAGTTTGCAGGATCGGTGGTGTCTGACGAACCCTGTTCCGCTGAAGGAGAAGGATCAGGTGTTGGAAATCTTGAGGACAGTTTTAGAATGAATACCTATTCTCCATATCTCATTACATGTTCTATGAAGGATATATAACAGTTACTAAACTAACAAGAGACCTTCATGTCTTCATATCCAAGATGATATGGGAACAGGGACATAAGCATAGTAGATTACTATGTATCATACTTAAATCAAGTTTCCTTTTCGTTGCAATCTGTCGAGATTATATTCCTTGTGTAAGCTCAGTCATGACAAGGGTTGGCTTTTGGTAGCTGTTATTTGCTTCAACACAACAGCACAAATTGCCATTATCCAATTTAGATATCATAGCTCAGAAAACTAACACATTTGACATTATCACATCATCATTCATGAGGGGAAAAGAATGAATAGATAGAAAGAAGAGACGAGACAAGTTTGGACGGGCTAGGCAGTCTGGATCAAAGACCTAAATTATGCCCCAATCAATCAATCAACCTTTACAGGCGTGCAAGATTCAGGAATTGTCCCGGGGCATGATACTCAGGCACTTTCATATCGAGATCAGAACCGGAGTATCCAAGGTCCTCGGCAGTGAGGACGGCGCATTTCTCGCCGATCAACAGGGCCGTCTGAAATCGATTAACATTGAATATGTCCCTCTGAAAAGAAAAAGAAAGGAACTTACGCTGAAAGTATTGCAGCCAACATTGTCTGGGCAAATGGACAAGTCGCATACTTTGAGGCCCTTGACGCCGTGGACGTTCAGGCGCTCGTCTACCACTCCGTGCTTGACGATGGAGTTGCCTTCGCGCGGAGCCATGCTGCATGTTCCCAGGCTGTGCCAGGTTGTTTCGACATGGCGTTGCACTGAGACGGTATTAGTGATGGGTTCACTCCTCTTCTCTGTTGCATGACTCACCCCATTTCTCAATTTCCGCGATATCTTCCTTGCTATATTCAATCGGCTCGTGAGTCCCCTGTTTGTTGGAGTTGAGTATGTTGGCCGATGACGACTTGGCAGGTTTAAGTGGATGAGACCATGAGCCTAACGCCGGTGTTAATAAAAGATCGAATCAGCCCAGAGGGAAGGAAGGTTAAGGCCAGTTCTCACCATGCTGAATGCCAGCGGTGATGTGGTTTGGGCCGGCATATGCAATTGTCGTCTCCAGATCAAGGTCGAATGCGCGCGCGGGGGAGTCATAGGAGAAGTGAGGATGCATGCCAGTTACCTCGCCAGCATACGCATTCATCCGGCGAGCGGTCTCTCGAGATTTGATGTAGCCCCAAACCATGGGGGCCATGTCGCGCTTGTCATTCATAAAGCCGGCGTCGAAGTCTGCGTTTTCGTATGGGTCGGCGGATTTCACATGGATGAATCCACGAGAAAACGGATATTCCTTAAATCGCCCTCGAATCAGAGTAAGGATCAGAAAAACAGCAGGGAATTTGCCCTTACCAAGAAATGGAACATGGTAAAGAACTTCCCAGGAGGCATGAGCATGTGGTCGCCGAACCAGCTGTTTTAAAATCCCTTTAGTCCTGCAAACGTCTGCAAGATCAAAAACTAGGCTTCTGTCCTTACCCGGAGATGATAGAGTAATGCATGACTGGCTTGTCTGGTTTATTCTTGAAATAGCTCTCCCAGCCCTTCACGAACTCAGGCGTGGGCCACTTCTTCATAGTCTCCAGTTCATGAGCAGTAGGTCTGATCTTCACGCCTGCTTCAATACCGTTCGTGGACAAAGGACCAGTGCCTTTGAGGTTCCACTCGTCGAACACCCTCTTCTGCACTTCAGGGTCTCCACGGGCGAAGTCGTCGAATGACTCGACTTCAGGCTTGGCCCTATAGACAGAGAAGGTGAGGTAATGGTCTTGGAAGTTGCAGCCAACCCCGGGCAGATCTACAATGGGTTTGATTCCCACACGACGGAGTTTCTCAGGGTCGCCAATTCCAGACCGCTGGAGGATAAGCGGGGTGCTAAGAGTCCCGCTGCTGACGATTATCTGCTTGCGAGCTCTGTAGACCTTGCGCTGAGGCTCGCCGCCATCCAGGGGCTTTGTCGGAACTGTTACAACGCCAACGGCCCTTCCGTCCTCGATGATGATTCTGTCCACTTTTGTATTGCACTTCAGGTGAAGGTTGGAATGCTTACTCCGGGTGCTATGGACGTATGCGTGAGCGGCATCACTGCGACGGCCTAATCCACAGTAGACAAGATGTCAGCCAGATATTGCTTGGCTTTTTATCTATTCGAGCATGAAACAGCATGTCCATACCGGTATCACGGTTAATCCACTTGAGCCAGTGTTCGGCGCCGTGGCTACAGAAGCAAAGCAGTCAATATTTTCAGTCCAACGGGCTCTTACTCGCGGCATTGGCATTCTTACCCAGTCTCCAGATCCTGTAAGTCATCTGTAACTGGGATTCCCTGGGACTCAGCAGCACGTAGGAAGTCCTGCATGATGGGATATGTGTAATTTCCAAAGGACACCTTAATGGGACCTTCAAAGCCGTGTAGATCTCGGTTATTGCAAGCCCGCTGGTAGGTTTCATGCTTCTTCATCAGTGGGACAAGCTCTTTGGTGGTCCAGCCTTTCGCTTGGAAGTCATCATAATCCGAGGCGGATGCACGGGTATACATCTGTATTTAGCTGGTTAATTGACTAGCTGCGAGAGAATGTGTTATCGGAATGTGCATTACCATGAAGTTAATGGAGCTACCTCCTCCAAGGATATGGGCACAGGGTACAATGGCTTTCCGTCCATCCAACCATTTCGATGCCCGGGACTCGTAGAACGAGGCTGTCTTGGAATCGAGTTTCATGTTCCGAGGATAGATTCCGGGGCGATATACCCTTTTGAAACACAGTCAGTATGCCATGGTTATGGCCCAAATGGAAACTCTTCGCTCTTGCCATGGATTATTCAAGTTGTCTTCGCCTGCCTCAATCAGCAAGACTTGAAGATTGTGATCGAGGTTAGCGAGGCGGCCGGCTGGCACACAGCCTGCGCTGCCACCACCGCAGATGATGATATCGACCTCTTCGGGAATGGTCATCTTGGTGCCAAGTTACAATGGATTAAATAAAATAAAAGAGACCTGGGCTTGGTGAGTATGAATATCAAAATAGACTGGCCTGACGATGGCGATGGTCTATATATATCAAGCCTTCCCCGCATATATCACATAGACTCAAGAGGAACGACCCCGTTCTGCGGGGAGCAGTCGTGAATTTGAAATCAGAAATGCAGCAATAGGTTGGAATTTTCGGTTCCCCGCATAAGGAATGTCTGGAATTCCCCGCGTTGTGGAGACATCTGGGGGAGGTGAAGCGGTGCGTTGAATCAGGAGACTCATCAAGGACAAAGCTGTGACAGGATAGAATGAGTGTAGGGGGAGTATCATAAACCGAATGGGAAATACGCGCTTGTCTGGCGATCCTTCCCCCGCACTCAAGCAAGTAATGAAGGCATTCCAATGTAGAATTGCCGGTGAATGCATGGAGAGATGCTGCGTGGCTAAAAACAGTACGACGTCAACAGGGTAATAGAGCATGATTGATCGCCAATGGGAAATCCCAAATAATATTTCTTGAAGCCTAATTACATGAGCGGGACAGGCCGATTGCAATATTGAAAGCACAGCTCAACGATAACCATAGTTCTGAACTGATGGAGGAAAAGAGACAACGATGCTGATCTTGGCGAAGAAGAGACGGAGCAATGACGTAACACCAGAGACGCTGGCTTATTATGGCATTGAGCCTTCATAACCGCATTCCCGTGATGGCAATGGCTTCGAGAAAGAGTAGAAAGAGCCAGCGATCCCTCTTTGATAGGATGCTATTATTGAACTTCGTCCTGTCGGCAGTCATGGAGATGCGGTTCCAAGGTATCAAGACTGGGGCTTTCCCCGCCCCCCGCACGGAACTCTATTCCAGGTTGCAGAAGTATCGTCAAGATCCCCCAGATTCCATGTCCGGACGGTATGGGCATTCCAATAATTCGCAGTGGACACTCTCATCGCGCGGAGCGCACGGATGACAACGCGCAAGCCAGTTCTGGACTGCACAACCGCAGGCCACCAGCTCTCCGAGTACTGCTCAGCTGTTGCACCACGGTTGGATGGCGGCGGATGCGGCTCCCAGAACTCCCAAGCCATTATACGCCTCGATACGTTTAACTAGCTAATTTGGCAGCCTGCAGGGAAATCAGTAAGATCTGTACAGCATCTCAGGTATGGATGAGGAGCGCCCAAAACCCAACAGTGCTATAACATAGGACGCCGCCACACATTGCCCAGTAGAACAAACAACCAATGTGATATCCAGTCAATGGAAGAAAGAACGGGCAGATCGTTCCCGAGCAATTAGACCATGGTGAGACATGTGGTGGACGAGCAATAAATATCATTGGCGTGAAATTTGTCCGGCAAGCTCTCGTCTCCGTTCCAGGATCTGCATTCGCAGGCCCTCCGCAGCAAGCTCCACGTCTAGAATCGCTCCAACCCCGCGTTTCCAAGTATCCTCCAACCCCGCAAGTTCTCCTTGCCTGGTCTCCTGGGCAATTTTCCTTTGCTTGTTGACAGCCTCCGTTGATTCTTTCACTTGTGTCAATTTCCTCTCAAGGTCTCGTAAAATATCCTCCAATTGCGAGTTGCCGATCAGCCAGGCATTTTTACCATTTTCCTCAAGCAGAGTCAGGTTCTCCTGTCGCATAGACAAATGAGAACTGGACGTGTAAGCCCTCTGAAGCGTTTGGCGCCATTCATCGAGATATGCCCCATAATCTGTCTCCGCATCGGATGCTCGGGAGGGTGGTTCTGGAGCTTCATAACGGGATAGGTCGATCCCGCCAGTTAGTGGTAATCCAGCAGCCTTTCGATCGAGTTCCTGCTGGATGAGCGGGGAGAATCTTGGCTCGGGGACCATGGGGATAGATGGATGAAGCGAGGATGAGGCATTTGCGGGGATTTCAGCGGAGATAAGCTTCTCTGCAGCTGCTCGCGCCTGAGGTGAAGGTTCTGCGTCGATGTCTGGAATCAACGAATCAGTACCGATTTGTAATGCATCGCTCATTTGCAATGAACTTACATGGCAGAGAGTCGTGATATTCACTTATAAGAGGCATTTTCAAAGGCGGCCCTTCCACGGGGAGGTAGAGAAACTTTGCCAAACCAAAGTAAGACTTCAACTTAACGAGGAATTGGGAAAGAAGTTGAAGCTAGAAATTCCAGGCTCACCGCCTTCAGCCTCCTTTAATGACTAAGCCGTTTTGAACAAAATAATCACGTGTTATACCACGTGATATTGCACTTCCCGTTTCATCTACGCTATTGGTTCACCACCAGCAACCGTCCTCCCTGATGGAGCGATCGAGACAAAGGAAGGAAATAAATCAATGACGCCTGGATCTCAGTCGAATGCGATCACTTCCCAATTCTCAGCATTCGGCAGTCGCCTATTGCCCGACTTCCGTGATAGCCAGGGGGACCGCCAGAAACGGTCTCGGGCCAGACGGAGTTGAGAGTGACAATACTACTCTGTATGTTGTTATATCGAACTAGCACTGACTAGATATTTGTCAGAATGAGGATCTTGTATAATATGATTTAGCAAGAAAACAGAATGTTTTCCGATTGCGTGGCCAACCTGGTCGTACGCCAAGGGGCAGTACATATGACGTCTGTCTGACTCTCCACTCAGTATTAATTATCAACCGTGTTGAATGCTGCTCTGGCCTGAAAGCGCTTCTTCCTATTCTTACCCAATTACGAATGAAATGCTCCTTTTGACTTTGACTCAGTTACTTTCATATGTGTACCGTGCAGCATGGTCAGGCAATGGAACGCGTTGGCCACCGGCCCTACTGGCCAGGATATAATGGGCAATTGCAACACTAATCCCCAAAGACGGTCTTGTCTTGTGAGAGGATCAGGATTTAAGGATGACCCCGTAACTGCGGAAGCTGAGAAAAGACGTCGGGAGCTTAAAACCAAAATCCTTGCCGGGGTGAAAGATTTTAATGTCGAGCAGTATCGAAAGACTCATGAGGAGTTGAAATTGATTGAGAACAAGTATATTCGAGCGTTTTACGAAACGCAGAATCTTAAATTGAACGATTGGGCTGAAGTCGATAGCCTTGTCTGCTCCTTAGCTGATGACGTGGTTGATAGCACCAACCCGGATGCAAACCACGATGGAATTTTTGACAGAGATACACCACTTCATCTCACAGGATATGATCTGGAGGCTTTTCTGCCATCTGAAGAGCGAGAGAAGCGCTCTAAAAATAATCGGACTGCAAAAAGAGCTTTGAACGTGAGCTTTTCTTCCCAGTTATTTTGCTTGGCTGACACACATTCTAGATCAACATGCTGGCGAACATCCTTCTTTTGATAGCAAAAATAATTGCAGTGCTGTCTACGCACTCACTTGCTCTAATTGCTTCCCTTACAGATTCTGCTTTAGACCTTTTGTGTACAGTGATTATTTGGACAACAGATCGCCTGGCCAATTGGAAGAAGCAAGCTCTGTATATGAAGTTCCCAGCTGGCCGTCGCCGACTAGAGCCGCTGGGCGTCCTGGTGTTCTCAATTCTTATGGTAGTTTCATTTTTTCAGATACTGCAAGAATCTATCAGCAAGCTCCTCCCATCCGGTGACCACAGCACCCTCAAATTACCAAGGCTTGCTATCTGGGCAATGGTTGGGAATATCGTCGTTAAGGGGCTAGTTGGCCTATATTACTTTAGATTCAAGAGTCCACAGGTACAGGCTTTGGTTCAAGGTCGAGCAAGCCCCCCCTCCCCTGCATTCTGGTTATTCTTTACGGCAAGATTCTGATGGCTTGCAGATTGTAAGACAGATGTTTATTTCAATTTATGTTCTCTCCTCTTCCCTTTGATTGGATATCAATTGGACATGTGGTATCTAGACCCCTCAGGAGCGACACTTCTATCACTCTACGTTATATACGACTGGGCACATACTACACTTTCAACAATTACCAGGTTGACAGGTGCTGCAGTACCGGCCCACGTGGCGAAAAAAATGATGTACCTCGCTTGGCGGTTTTCTCCTGTCATCGGATCTTATAAATCGATGACGGCCTACTACCTCGGAGACGGCATCATTGTTGAGGTCGAAATAACGCTGGATGAGAACACTTCTCTGTGCCAAGCTCACGATATCTGTCAAACAATACAGTACTGCTTCGAAGGTCTCTTCCTTCTCCTTCTTTCTGTCTGGAAGAGGAACTCTTCATATACATGGAAAATTACTGATTCCCATCACAGGACTAGCGGAAGTTGACAGAAGTTTTGTGACGGCAGACTATAGCTCGCTTGGACTTCGGGACCATGCTGCATGACCCCGAAGGCTGCTGGTGTCGCTTGGAGACGTCAAGCTTACATGCTGTTTAACAGGAAGGGCACGTTCAGGTCGTAGGAATATATTCTCTTATCTTGTGAGGGTAGAGGTACCATCGAAAGCGTCACCATCAGAATAGCCATTGATTTTCATTGACCTTCCCAATAGCGAAAGGTTTCAAGAAGTTCACCGATCCATTACTGTCTGCTGGCACCCACCAGATGACTGTAAACATAGTCTCCATGCCGTAGAGATACGCTCACCGACAAAGAGTGGCTCGTAGCAGCTGCCCTGGCTTTGATTGATCGCTGCCACCGAGGCTGACGGAGTAGAGCAGACCGTCTGCAGGTCGAGCGATTTGTCGATGTCTCCATGCATGTCACGTGGACTGTGCGATTGGCTGCCAGGTGAGCGACGCCAACGCCTGAACCTGCAGTGGCGCTATACCTAATGTGGCGATCCAGCGTCACTGCAGCATCTCTTACTCTCCCCCATCTCATCCTCTCATCCTCTGCTTGCTGCCTGTTGCTGCTGCTCGTCCAGCTCATAGCTAGTCCGTATTATCTTGGTATATATGTTGCCCGCTCGTCATCTTACTTTTGTCTATGAGGTGCTGGGTACCTGCCCTTTAGTGAACCATTGTCTCTGCAAGACAGATTCTCAGCTCAAAGTCGATGCCACAACGTCATACTAGTATTCAGCGTCATGACCAATTTCAGACTCGGTGCAGCGCTCGCCGGGGTGTCACTCACAGCCTTCCTGGTGCTGCGGGTGCTGACAATACTTCAAAATTATAGTCAACCCCCTAATATCCAGGTGGAACAAACAGCTCAATGGAGAAATGGATCTGGCAACGCTGTTCTGGATGATGGCACTTATTTGCTTGGAGTCGGTAAAGCCGATATTACAGGGTAAAATTAAACTCTCGTTGCCCGGTTGCCTTCGTCACTAATTTGCCTTCCCTAGGCCTGTTGTGGAGATCGTCTTAAATGGCTATGCGAGCTTGGACCAAGTCGGGACTGGTCTTCGACAGCGGATCTATTCTCGGGCTTTCATCATTGCAGACTCTGATAAGCCGGACAACACGTTTGTCTACCTAGTTGTCGACGCGCAGTCTGGTGATACTGCTGTGAGACATGGTATCCTTCAGGGTCTTGCCGCGCTTGGTGAAGAATATGCGCGGTATGGCGAGCATAACGTAGCGCTGACGGGAACGCACTCCCACTCTGGACCAGGTGCTTGGATGAATTATCTTCTTCCTCAAATTCCCAATAAAGGGTTTAACAAGCAGAGCTACCAGGCGCTGGTCGACGGCGCTCTGCTTTCAATTCAACGTGCTCACGAAAGTTTGGCACCTGGTCGGCTCTCATTTGGTTCAATTAACCTGGAAAATGCCAATATAAACAGGAGTCCATTTGCTTACGATGCCAATCCCGAGGACGAGAAAGCGCGGTACTCATCCAACGTAGACAAGGACCTAACTCTTCTGAGGTTTGATCGGGAGTCCGATAACAAAACTACAGGAATCCTGACGTTCTTCCCGGTCCACGGAACGTCATTGTATAATAATAACACACTCATCACTGGAGACAACAAGGGAGTTGCCGCATGGCTCTTTGAAAGGAGCGTCCAAGAGGATGCAAGATTTGCCGACGGTTTTGTTGCGGGGTTCTCTCAATCAAACGTCGGCGACACGAGCCCGAATACTCTAGGTGCGTGGTGTGAAGATGGCTCTGGTGAGCAATGTCGGTACGAGGATAGTACATGCGGTGGCAAAACAGGACCCTGCCGTGGCCGCGGTCCATTCTTTCGTGAGAACGACGAGGGTGCCAAAAGCTGCTTTGAAATAGGACGGCTCCAGTTCTCAGCTGCGAAGGAACTATATGATCGTATGGACACTGATCCTATTCGAATTCGTGGAAGCTCTGATGTTGCATCTTTCCATGTTTACCATAACCTTTCTGGCTATAGTTTTGAATCGCCATTCGACTCTAGAATCCTCACAACATGTTCTGCTGCACTAGGGTTCTCCTTTGCTGGTGGTACAACTGATGGCCCGGGGAAGTTTGATTTTACGCAAAACGTCTCAGGTCCTGCAGAGAGCAATCCGCTGTGGTATGTCGCACGCGGATTTCTCCACAATCCCTCAGAGGAACAGAAAGCCTGCCAAGCGCCCAAGGAGATCCTCCTAGATGTGGGATCCGTCATGGAACCTTATCCGTGGACCCCAAATATTGTCGATATTCAAGTCTTTCGAGTGGGGCAGCTTTTGATTATTGTCTCGGCGAGCGAAGCCACCACAATGTCTGGCAGACGCTGGAAAGAGGCCGTTGCAAGATCTGCGGAAGACGTGCTGTCGATTGCGGATCCCCTCGTTGTATTAGGGGCCCCTGCCAACAGTTATGCGCACTATATCACTACAGAAGAGGAATACAGTGCACAACGCTACGAGGGTGGTTCTACTCTCTATGGCCCTCATACTCTGGCCGCGTACGTTAATTTGACGCTCACCTATCTGCCGTATCTTGCCGATGCGTCATCCATTTCCAGTTTACCTCCCATTAGCCCTGGGCCATCTCCTCCAGTCAACACAAATGTCTCGCTCAGCTTTATCAGGTCTGTTGTGTATGACGGTACAGAGATTGGGAAGTCATTCGGTGAAGCTGTTTCGTCTCCTCCGCCTGAAATTATCTATAGGCCTGGAAATGTTGTCAATACTACTTTTGTGGGTGCCAATCCACGGAATAATCTCCATTTGGAATCCACATTTGCGGCTGTGGAAAGGCTTAATCCGGATACAGGTATCTGGGAAGTCGTGCGCACAGACAGCGACTGGAATCTTATCTACCGGTGGAAGAGAACGAATACTATTCTAGGTCACAGCGAAGTTACTCTGGAGTGGCAGATAGAAGACGATTATTACAACGTCGGGAATCCACGACCCCTAGAGGATGGGTCATACCGCATGCGCTACTTTGGGGATTTCAGAAACATATTTGGCGGGATTGAATCGTTTGAGGGTGTAGGAGACCGTTTTACTGTGGCGACAGGGTCACCGTGACTTGATACACGCCTTTGAAAGCGGAGGTCGGATGCGGCTGGTAATAAACGTCCCTGTTATTTCCACTTTTCGTTGGCAGAAATTGGTCTTTGCTTTCTTTTCCCCTTTTCGTTCTTGAATATCCATTGACAATGCTCAACGCTTGCACCATTCTTGTTGGAGATTCGAGGGCTGGTTCCTGGCTATGAGAATGATACGCTCTTCATGGGTTATCCTTACTGCTTACAGTAACACGTTGCTATTCTCGGATTACATATGAATAGGAATATCTATTCATGATAAACATGCATGTCATTGTTTACGCCTATGCCAGTGCCATTTGGGAATTTTCGAAGGATTTAATGTCCTGTGGTTGATTATTTGCTCTAAGCATTCCGTGATCGACGTTTCTTTGTCTCGAAGCTTGACTGCTTCTTTTCTCTGGAGGTTGGTGACAAATCTTTTGCTTCTATTATCCTCAGATATTAGATTTGGTCTATTGCGCTTTGGAATCGTCTCTTTGTTTCTGGCCTGTACATTCTATATTGCCGTGTCTGGGCTATTGCCCGGGCCACGACGGGGGGGATTGCTCGGGGGAAAATTGTCAAAGAAAGAGGCCCAAGGTCTGTTCTTCAGACAAGCGGCGAATGAATGAATAATGATTCAACAGGGTCTGATGCCTGATAGGATAATACTCTTTTTATTTTATCTTGCGAATGAGGTGCGACGAAGGGAAAGGAAAAGCCCTTGATCGGTTCCTCGGGGATCCATGTCAACATTAGACTCTCTTTTCTTCGATTTTGTTTTGAGCAATTGCTAAAATTTATTGATGGGCAGATGATACTTATACTTATATATAAGTCAGGTCAAGGCCTTTATCGTTTGCTTTCGTTCAATTCATCGTCTGCTTTGATAGCTGTCACCTACGATCAAGAATCACGGTGTGATCTTCAACAAGATGCGTCTCGCATATCTCAGTGCAACCATTTGGCTCGTCTCAGTCTGCTTGGCTGGCCCGATTACTCCCGGGTCTCTGAAAGTTGTCCAGCATGGAGAAAATGAACTCGAACAACCAGCAGTGGCACTCAAAGAACGGTTTATAGAAACAGTTGATGAACTCGAACAACCAACACCGACGCTCGAAAATCGGTTTATAGAAGCGGTTGGTGAGCCTGAAGAAGAAGAGGAACCGGCTTTCCTGGAAAAAAGAGAACCCATAATACCGACGTTCTTCACTGTTCCCACGGAGCTTCCTCCCCTCCAAACCCTACCTTGTTCACTGCCACCGCTGCCTACATCGCTGTCTGTAGCAGATCCACTGTTATTCCCATTGACGGTCACGTTTGATAATGGCATCACGACCCTCACCGAGACCTTTACGACTCTTCCCTGGCCTACGTGGTTCCACGGATGGAAGAGGGGCCCTATGCCTACAGCAGGCATCGATAAACGTGCCGCCGTATTGCCGAGTTGTACAATCAGCGTCGACCTCATGAGCACGGTCATTGTGACTACGCTCGCACCTACAGCATCCGCTAACCCGCCTCCTTCGACGGTGGAAGAATCGACCACCGCTGTTCCTCCCGCCAAGGTACCAGCTTCTTCTTCATCGTCGTCTTGTCCTCTCGCTACCACGATCACGGAACACGATACGATAACCTCCGTCGCGACTGTTACTGTCACGTCGTATGAATATTTTTCCATGAGTGCTTCTTTATTTACGGACACGATCTCGCCTAAAGTTCCGGTATCCACGGGTGCTTGATGTCTCGTTGGAAATCGAGTCGTTCTTTACTGATAAACACAGTCTCTGATTCGAGACGAACGGCTCTTGAAACCGAGGCAGAATTGCTGCTCGTATATCCAGATAACTAGATAGCTCAGCTGCCAATGCTCTTATCTTTTGTCTAATATGACGGACTTTCTGGAATTATCTTTTTTCGAATCATGGCTAGCCTCGTCACTAATTGTTATTCATGTGGAGACATCCACTGGGAATATAATATAGAGGTCAAATGTAACTGGCCCGTTTCCCAGATCAGGCATGGTCTGGTTATGTGTATATCATGAACAAAGTCAGAGTCCCAGCGTACCGCCCGCATCTGCAAATATCTTCTGGTATTTCTTGATATTGGCCCACTGTCGGAGCTCCTCTTCGTCAATGTTCGGATCGTTAGCATAGCTCATCCCTCTGTTTGCGTTCACAGCTGATTCTGCAGGACCAGTGTTCTCTGGCTGCAAGGGTAAGATGCATTCCAGACGCATCAGTGTATCAATGAAAATCTGCAGGTAAGAGTACGCTTCTTCCAGCGTGAGCAGATAAGGACCTGGTGCGGATACTCCGCGGTTAATGGCCTCGTCTTCGTGGATGATGTTCAGCAACGTAGAGGCGATTTGGCGAATTTTGAAACTCTGGATGAGGGGACCCAGTTATTAGATTATTGTAAAGGCGGAATAGGATGCACGGGAAAACATACAATGCTGGCACCATTCGGCTGCATGTTGATCTTATTCACAGACTGCACCAATAGGAAAAGATCTTTAACCACTTGGCGGCGCTCTTCCGCCATCATCTTTCCAATGTAATCCGTGTCTGCTTGTGCTTGTAGACTACCATCTACTCCCGTATCACCGTTGACGCCACACTCACGTTCACGGTATATCTTATACAACTCGTAGACATTCCAATATTTCTCCACCAAATATGACCTTGTGCTTAGTTGGGTGACACATATATTCGCTTTCTGGATCTCGAACTGAATGGCACGTTGGTCCTGCAACGTGGGAGATCCCAGAAGGATTGCTGGGCTCCTCAGCGCCAGCTCTTGCGGAACATCGCAAAGTGATGCTTTGGCTTTCTGCAAGCATTCCCATATGATGTTCCTTCGACGTTCCCAGTCTTGTGGACCGGCCCCAAAAGCAATTTCCCAAGCTATGATATCGGTTGTTGTCTTGAAGACCCGAACATTTGCATTAAACCCCACGAGCTGGGAAACGGTACCTGCAGGCTGAGGTTCAACGTGGCCTGGGAAAATATACTCATCGTCGACCTCGAGGGGTAGTGGGGGAGGATAGCGCTCGATTACGGTCTCTGGGATAGCAAAATTCTTACCGTCATTGGAGGCTAGCTGTTCCCCTGTCCGATAGGCAACAAAACACAGATAGTATAATCGCCGGCCAAGTTCCTGCTCTATGATATTAACCTGATCGTTCACCGTGCTGCGCAAAGGGCCTTCTGGATGAGACATCAGGGCTTCCGCGTCCGGTGACCGAGGCCGACGGGCCAGATTATATACGTGGATCATTGCCTGGCATTCATTTAGATACATACGAGACCGTTGCACACTGTATACAAAACCCGAAGCAATGCCCAAGTTATAGCTGGCTGCAGCATCGTACACAGTGGAAGGCCGATCTTGGTAACCGACACCTCGGGCTTGAATAGCGACTTCGTAACATCTCTGGATCAACGACATAGAATCCGGAAAGGCTGCCCTTTCGCTTTCCGATTTCAGATGGAGTTTCGGCCGTCGGGGAAACGATGCTACCAGAACAGCCACCATGGACGCCAGAAGCGCCAAAAATGTGCTATCAGTGGTGTCTTGTCGCCGCTCAAAGGCGGCGCGAAATGTAGGCTCATGGGGAACGGGTATGAGAGGATGGATGTAGGTAAAATAGTCGTCTATCAGAAGCCGCAAGGTGGGCAAAGAACATATAGCTTCTGCGGAAGCAGTGGCATTATTGAACGGCAAGTCAATCGACGATGGCCGAGGAGAAAAGGACTCTATCCGATCGGACGAGGCTGAGGAGTCCACAGAGGTCGTGGTAAGCTTCTGTTTCTTAATAATGGCTTCCGCATGGCGGTTAGGAGGGCCACGGCGCCTGCTAGGCCGGGTATAGGTGCAAGGAATACCCAATTTGGCGCATGGTTGACACGGAGGTCCACTCTCATCGCACTGCAATGTTCATAGCATTTAACAAATTAGTGCCAATGGCATCGCAGGAGTTGCGGCGAAAATAACTATGCGTAGCAACCCTACCTTGACCTTGCGGGTATTACAGCCGTCACAGGCCTTCCGCAGTCTTACCCGAGCGTCCATAACGGCTTCCAGGGAAAATCCATGCTTCAAGGCGTAAAATTGGACAATGCAACCGTTGGCATTCGCACCCAGAACTCAGCATGCCATCCTATGGAATAATGATACGAGTATGACAGGCGGCGATCACCTAGGGGCCGGTTTCAAGACGTCGGTAGAACCCCGGCTAAAGCCCGGCTAATCTGGACTCGGTTAGGGGTCTGAAAAATAACGAAGGCAGGCAGAATTCCGGCTAATAATGCAAGATTGGGGTTCCCCTGGTCCACAGTCGAGTGGATATTCGCCGGACGAAATGAAGGCTTCAGAAAAGGATGGCGACGACGGGAAAGTCGGGAAAAGCTGAACTGGCAATCCTGGCACGTGACATGACTCTAGATTAGGCAATGTGTTGATTCCACGACTGTCATTCTAATAATATTAATACCTAGAGGCATTGTTTGGATATCGTTCTGTAAATTACCTAGCTGTCTAAGGCTTTCACATGGCCAGCATTGATTCGAAGGCTGAGGGGAAAATAGGATACGGAATGAGATTGGAGTCCAGTGCCTTGACGGCAACAGAAACAGAGGAAGTATAAGAGGCGAACGAGAAGAGAGGCAAGAAGATCACATTGTTGGGTCATCATGATAGCCACTATCCCTATCCCCGGCCTCGCGGTCTGTCTCCGAAAGACACCGTTTCCGTTCAATGTCAACCGCCCAAAGAGCAGCACCAGCAGCAGTAGTCATCAGGAAGCACATAGACAACACAGGAACTAACTGAAGAAGCAAGGCGACGGTCCCAAAACTGCCAGTTATGGTCAATACGAGAGCTATATGGAGCGCGCCATAAAGATCAAAAAAAAGCATTAAGTAGCACTTACGTGGTATACTGCAACTGACGTCTGCGAATGCTCGCCTTTCTCTCCTTCTTTGACAGACCCAGCAATTTAAAGTATCTCCAGTGATGGAACGGCCCCCCTCGATATCCTGTTAACACGAGAAATATGGGGATCCCAGCCACGGGAACGAAAGTCAGCGGGAGGAGAAGAACAAACTCCACGATCTGACGAAGAGAGAAAGGAGCATAGACAGCGCTTGTAGTAGGCTTTCCCAATTTCTTCGCAGCGTTCTCCGCTTCTGGGTTCAAGAGCCTTGCGGTGCCCACGAGTTCCTCATAGCCCTCATTTACAAACACGGCATCGAAGATATCAACCAGGGTCTCGTCAACAAAAAATGCTTCGAACAGGGCCGCTACTATAGCGGCTCCCTCGCCCAAGACCAAGAAGACACCACTGACCCAAGCACCGCGGCCCTGGAAGATAGCTAGAAACGCTACCTGAGGTAAGTATGCGAAGAGAAAGAGGATCGTGTAGATAAATGCCGACAACAAGAAGATCGGGAGTAGACGGGCACGAAAAAGAGGCCAGAGAAAGTGACGAGACGCAAAATAGTATATGCCCTACAAATGCCGTGGGTCAGTAGGCTTTTCCATGAGCTGAAGCCGATAGAGTACTGGCTAGTAGCAGAGTAGGTTCATGACGTACGTGGAAAGGATATAGCCAGGGAGCTCTGCTGGTATCGCGCAACCTGGACACGACAGCTGAACGCGGCACAGAAAGACGCACCATGGTCAAAATGGCATCCTACGGAGTGTATGATATGATATACTAGAAGACGATGCTCTTGTGTTGGTGTTGCTGCTGCAGGCTGACACCGAAAGGACGAGAAGACGCCAAGCGCTTATCGATAAGCGAATTGCGCATATAAAAACCGCACTTTTTTCCGTCCTTTTTTTCTCTCTTCCTTTCCTTAACATAAAACACACTCCTCTCTATTCACTCCGGCTCCCTACACTTCTCTCGGTGGGTTTCTGGAGGGGAAACGAGAGGACAGATCGACTTCACGCTGCGACTTACCCCAGATCAGCTCTCATCTATCCCATGGAGCATTTGGAAACATTTACAGCGGTACATACTGTGGCTTCACCGTGCCATGGCGGCTCTACGGGTAGAAACTTATTTAGTTTATCTATCGCCCCTAAAAATATTCGCTTTCAATGACTCGATCACACCCACGGTGTCTTCCAGTTGGTGGACTATCACCGTCGGCCGTAGAGAGGGAAGCGTCGCATCCATCCATCCCCGAGCAGCCCGGTCGACCCAGATAGCATTCATCTCCACACTTCGGGCCCCGACGACATCGAACGGGTTGCTGCTGACCAGCCAAATATCCTTCATCTGTGACGGTGTCTTGCCCATCTTCTCCGCGAGATACTTGTAGACAGCCGGTGCGGGCTTGTACTGCTTGACATGGTCAACGGTGATAATGTCGCGAAAAATGCTCGCGTGGGACGACAGGTCCTGCGAGTGAAGCACTGAGTTGGACACCATCGATTGCGTTCCATTGGAGAATACCACGGCTGCAATGCCAGGGGTGGTGGCCAACCGGCTCAACGTGGGATTCACATCAGGGAACGCGGAGAGGTTGTCGTAGGCTTGCAGGAGCCGATCAACGTATTCTTCGTGGAGGTGCGAGCCGTTCTCCATCAGAGAATGGTGCAGGGAGTTTCGCGTAATGTCGGAGAAGGACTCATAACGTCCTGTAGGAAGTAAATATGATGATGAGCCTCTCAACAGTCAAATGCAGCAGCTCTGGAATGGGCATACCCATGCTATTCAATCTCCAGGTGTATTCGAGCTGGTACCGTCTCCATGAAGCCGAGATGGACTGTGCCTTGGCCTGGCCGAAATGCTGCTCGAGTTGCCTCACAATCGAATCAGTAGAGAGCAGCGTACCGTAAAGATCAAAGGCGACAATCGTCTGATCTGTAGTCATGATGGTTATTATGCTTCTTGCTATGCGTTTACCTGCCAACGGTTAAAACGGTCAGATCCAGCGCTTCGCCAGATGATGTCAACCATCAGCCTGGAGTTTCTCCAGCGAACCGAAGTCATTCTTACCGTTTCTCTCTGTCCGTATCCTGAAAAACCATAATACAAATGAACAACCCAGATGCGGACAGAGCCAGCCACAGGGCCAATTACGAAGTGTTCAGAGAATGCATCTCCAGCGCTGTGGTCGAAAAGTCCGAGCAGTCGAAGAACACCGCCTTGAAGTCCATCAGACGACGAGCCCAGAAAGCACGGAGGAGCGTGAAAAGGGACGGCCTAGCAGTCGATAATAGCAGCATAGCTGCGCCCGTAGACAGGGCAGATCCAGAGGAACTGGCTGAGTTTGTCGATGTACGTGTAATGCCACCTGATGAATACCAGCGGGGGTTGTTTACCTGTCTAGGGGCATCGAAGAGGGTTCTTGTAGAAGAAAGGAAGAGGGATATATGAATACTAACGATGTTTGCAACAGTTCATAGCAATAGAATCTTTCTCATCCCTCCCAGAACCGCTCCAAAGCCTCTCCTACAGCACCCTCCAACACTCCCCCCAGCTCCAAGACATCTACTCAACACCTCTATCCACCTCGACCCTGGAAACAATCACCTCGCCAATCCCACTCTCCGTCACAGACTCCCTCACTGTCTACGGCATCATCCCATCCCCCTCCGACCTGCCCCAATTCCTCCGAACCCCGCTGACCGAATACATCGACAGCGTCGCCTCGCCGCCGCCCGTATGGATCACGACGCGTACCAGCGCATGTGAGATCTGCGAGCGCGATTGGATCCCGCTCTCTTATCATCATCTCATTCCGAAAGAGGTGCATGCAAAGGTACTCAAGAAGGGCTGGCATGATGAGTGGATGTTGAACAGCGTCGCCTGGCTGTGTAGGGCGTGTCATAGCTTTGTGCATCGGATGGCGAGTAATGAGGAGTTGGCAAGGGAGTGGTATACAGTCGATCGCATCCTGGAAAGGGACGACGTGCAGGATTGGGCCAGGTGGGTTGGGAGAGTTCGGTGGAAGGCCAAATAGCTGTCAACGACCAAGTGCAAGTTGATCCAGCTCGTCTTCACCGGCCCTTTGATGAATACGTATGAGCGCAGCAAAACTATGCATACATTGATCTGATTGAATTGTTTGACACAGTATATATACAGAGGCCTGCACCAAAACTCCACCATGCCAAGTGATAGAATAAATAATACATGACTTGAAATTTCAGCGCCGATATTGCATGCAACCCACTTTTTCCCAAGGTGATTATGACGATTTTGATGCCAACATGAATACCCTTTGCAAGGTGACGAAAAAGAGCAATTGGCGAGAGAGGAGAGTGTCGTCTATGTCCAAATCCTAGAAATACAGTGACCGAACCCGTTGCCGTCGAAGAGATTAAAAAGAGGTAAGCAAGTAGCAAGACAGTCGAATAAGCAGCAGCAAGACCTCCTTTTCAAAGGTATCTTTTCTCGTAAATCTGTTCATAACACTGGATGCGATCACCGACTGCAAAATCGGACCAGCCGTCAAAGCCAATGCCACATTCCGTGTCTTTGCGCATTTCTGTCACGTCCTTCTTGACGTTCTTGAGGGAAGAGATGGCGCCTGTAGCAATGTAGGTTAGAGATTAGGTATTCACATTCTCGGCAGAAAAGAAAGTGGAAATACTTACCATCGTAAATAACCTCCTGGCCTCTCAAAACACGCACTTGCTTGGACCGGTTTACCGTTCCATTGCGAACCTTACACCCAGCAATGGACGTCTTCGTTCTTCCCTTCACTGTAATCTCGAAGATCTGGCCGATCTCTGCCTCTCCCACCACGCGGTGGGACACGTTCGGGGCCAGGTGCTCACTGAGTGTCGCCTTCACGTCATCTATAAGCTTGTAGATGATATTATGGTCCATAATCTTCACACCATCGAGCTCAGCAATCCGCAAAATACCAGGTTCGATAGGCATGTTGAAAGAAATAATGTGCCCATCCGCTGTGGCTGCATGTTCAATATCGAATTCACTAACGGGCCCTACGCCTGAACGAATAATGTTGGCAAACACTTCGTTGTTGCCAATCGCGGCGACGGAATTCAGGACTGCTTCCGCAGATCCGGAGACATCTGCTTTGATAATAAAATTGATCGGCTTAGGCCCGGTTCGCTGTTCATCCTCGCGAGGAGACTCTGAATCTGCCGCATCCTCCAGTCGACGTTTTTCGAGAAGCTCTCGACGTGCTTGATTGATGGCTGTCATATCTTCACCCAACTTCTCGGTCTCTGTCCTCTCCAACCGTTGTTCAACAACGTCCTTGGCCTTCTGCTCAGTGGGGGCCTCCAGGATCTCAGTTCCGGCGAGCGGCTGCTCTTTCCAACCATCAATCTCTACCGGCATTCCAGGAGTAGCTTCGTCAACAATGACACCGGCTTCGTTTCGAAGAGTACGCACACGGGCCCATGTTGTGCCAGCAACAATAATATCACCAGGCCGCAATGTGCCGCGCCTGATGAGAGCGGTTGCCACACGGCCGTGGCTTTTCGTAGTTGCTTCAAGTACCCATCCTTCTACACTTCCCCTATCATCGGCCCGATGATCGAGCATTTCGGACTGAGCAATGATTGCTTCCTCGAGCTCTAGCATTCCTTGACCGGTTTTTCCACTCACGCAAACAGCCTGGACATCACCCCCATAATCCTCCACGTTGACCCCATGGACTGCCAAGTCCTGTTTGACCTTTTCTGGGTGGACACCCTCCTTGTCAATCTTGCTAATAGCAACAACGATTGGAACTTTGGCTTCTGTGGCGTGCTTGATCGCCTCAATCGTCTGCGGCTTGACGCTGTCGTCGGCAGCAACCACGAGAACAACAATGTCTGTCACGTCCGCACCTCGGCGGCGCATTTCCAGGAAGGCAGAGTGGCCAGGAGTATCTAGGAACGTAATTACTTTCCCAGATGGCATTGCAACAGAGAAAGCTCCGATATGCTGTGTAATACCCCCGTGCTCGGAGGCAGCAATTGATGACTTGCGGAGCCAATCCAGTATGGTAGTTTTACCATGGTCAACGTGACCCATGATGGTCACGACGGGTGGCCTTGGCGGTAGAGCAGACTTGTCTTCTGGTTCAGGGGCAGCGGTCAAGTCATCGATTCCAGTGTCAAATATGGGCTCAAAGTTGAACTCGGCTGCAATCAAGCCAGCAGTCTCTGCATCAAGAATATGGTCATAAGTGACACCCTCGAATCCCATATCCTCCATCTGTCGAACAAATTGTGCTGGCCGCACGCCAATGACATCGGCAAGATTGTTCACACTGATAAATTCAGGCAGATATAGAGGGCTTGGTGCTGAAAGCTTTTCAGCCTGGCGTTGCTCCTTTAGCCGTGCTCTTTCTTTCTTTAAGCGCTTTCTCTCTTCCTTGCGACGGCGTCGCTCCTCCTTTTCCTCGTCAAACTCTTCATCTTCTAATTGAGATTCGCGTTGCTTGCGAGACTCGCGGCGCTTCGACGCCTTCTCGGCCTGAGAATCTTCATCCGTTTTTAACTCCGTCTTAGATGCTTCATTTTCGAGATCGGCTCGATTTTGCGCCCGGAGGAGGGCTTTTTCATCTTCCTTCGAAATCTCTTCCTTCGGAGTCTCTTCCTTCAGGACCGCTTCTTTCCCTGCACTATGAAGCACTTCACCCCAATCCGACAATACTGACCTACTCAGCTTTCTCAATTTGTCGGACTTCTGCGGCTTCTCTCTCAATTTTGGGCTTGCAGAAGATCGGTCTGGCCGTGCATCACCACATTTTGGACACTTGGTATCGCCCTTCGAGCACGTATGGTGGCAACTAGAGCATTGCCAATTGGCCTTTTTATTTTTAAGGTTAAGAGAAGCAAAAACAACATTCGATTTGTCCCATGGAGCAGATATAGAGCGTAGCTCCGGTCGTATAGTGTCACATGATGGACATGCAGCAAACCTTCCATGACAACCATGGCTGCACTCTGGGCAGGTCCAATCTTTGTGCCGCAAGTCCTGGGGAACGGGCGGAGCAAGCAGTGACGGCCTTACAGTCTGGCATGATGGACACCTAGCATGCTTTCCGTAGCAAGAATACCCGCATCCCGGACAGGTCCAATCCATCTTCCGGAGGTAGCCAGGAATGCGAATCGTGTTCACCTGAAGCCGCTGTTGGGGAGGCGGGAGACGTTCATTCTCCAACTTAACACGAGGCGATTTCCGTCTCGTAGTAACAGCTTTTGGGGCAGTACAGTCGGACAAAGAGTTAACGTCCGGCAGGCTCTCCGCCTCCGGGGGCAGGAGAGCTTCCTTTTCTGCCTTTCCCTTGTCCGCCTGGAGTTGCCTTGCTAACAATTCCTCGCGTAGCCGTCGTTCTTCAGGCGTCAAAGCGGAGGGCTTTTGTGTTTGGTTGTTCGTTTTCCATCGAGAACCAAATTTCAATGGCCGCCATGACGGCGGTGTTGGAGCGGCGGCATTTTCTTCTTCCTTGGCTGGGGAAGACGGTGATTTAAACGATTCGCAAGGATGAGGAGATGGATGGAAGTTGCGACGAAAAGTAGACAGAGGAATTGGCGTGAAGGCTGCTGCCCTCCGTTTTACGAAGCAAGGCAAATCAATGCCTTGACGGCGGGAGAGCTGGAAATGAGTGTTAGTTTCGGAATTGCAGCAGCCGCTGCGAGTTCATCCAGCAGAACTCACCTCCAAGACTGCCTGTCTGAGCATAATGGAGGGGACTCTCCGTGGACAAGATACTGGCAGATGTGTCTTTCGAGTTTACTTCGGAGGATGGACGGAGTTTGCAATGTTTAACTTGTATGATACTCCAGCTTTTTCTGCCGCTAGCCCTGGAATGGTAAAGCTCGTAATTTTACCTGACAGGTCCCGTACGGTATCGTAACGCCCATCTGTGTCACGTGCGGCGATGTCGGCAGGGTGGGCCAATGGGAGCGGGGAATGGCGCAGCTCTATCGATAGGCGTCCGAACGCGCGACTGCTCTCCGCTTTGCGCCATCGATCAAAGCACAAAAGATAAGATCCTGCAGGCGTATAAATTTCCCTCCTCCTTCGTAAACTTGGGAAACGCTGCAGCAGCTCCTCTGCATCGCATCGAGGCTTAATACTGTCCCTTAAATTCCATCGCCAGTAGATTCCCCCGTCGAATAGCCCGAAAAGCAGGCTTTCTTACTCCGGAAATCGACTATATATACGCAAAAGGGCCTTAGAAAGGACAGCACAGTCATCATGGAAGAGCTCGAGGCGTACGAGGAATCGACTAAGGCCACCGGCGGAGCGTATCGGGCAATTAAAGACCTGACTGCTGGTGCTGCAGGAGGCATTGCTCAGGTTCTTCTTGGTCGGTCTCTTTTCTTTTCATCTCTATGATTGCGGGGTACAGCAGGAACTACATTACTAACGACTCCTCAACAGGTCAACCCTTCGGTTTGTAAACCCCCTGTCGTGCAAGCAGAAGTCCCAATTTGTCCTGCATCTTAACCAATTGAGTACTGCAGATATCGTCAAAGTGCGATTGCAGACAACGACGCAATACTCGAGCGCATTCGACTGTGCGACCAAGATTCTCAAGAACGAAGGTCCCCTGGCCTTCTACAAGGGAACTCTGACCCCATTGATCGGAATTGGCGCTTGCGTAAGTTTTCTCTTTTTTAGTCTCTCGGAACGCATTTAATCGACCAGTTTCCTAATTGTTCCCCCCGCGTTATATAGGTCAGCGTCCAATTCGGTGCCTTCCACGAGGCACGTAGACGATTCGAGGATCTCAACTGGAAAAAATACGCCAGAAGAGACCTCTCCTACACACAATACTACCTAGCCGGTGGTTTCGCCGGCGTCACCAACTCGGTCCTCTCTGGACCGATCGAACACGTACGTATCCGTCTCCAGACACAGCCTCATGGAGCGGATAGACTATACAATGGGCCGATCGATTGCATCCGCAAGCTCTCTGGACACCAAGGCGTGCTCCGCGGTCTCTTCCGCGGTCAGGTAGTCACTGTGCTTCGTGAAATCCAAGCCTACGGCATCTGGTTCCTCACATTCGAGTTTCTCATGAACGAGGACGCCAGACGCAATAATGTCGCCCGGGACACTATCTCCCATTACAAGGTCGCCGCGTATGGCGGCTTGGCGGGAGAGGCTCTCTGGCTGGCCAGTTACCCCTTCGACGTGGTCAAGAGCAAAATGCAAAGCGACGGGTTCGGCGCCCAGCAGAAATTCAGCAGCATGACCGATTGTTTCCGAAAGACGTATGCTGCGGAAGGATTTCTTGGTTTCTGGCGCGGTCTTGGGCCGACTATGCTGAGAGCTATGCCTGTGTCCGCTGGAACATTTGCAGTGTACGTTTATATTAAATCCCTTTCTTTCATACTCATTTGCGTGTTCCCTGGACAATATAGAAATGAAAGAAAGCTAACTTTATTCGTATTTTAGTGTCGAAATGGCCATGAGAGCACTGGGCTAGGGAGTATGCCTCTTGCTTCCCTGCTGAGTAGGTGTACAGTTAAAAGGGGGAATAAAAGAAAAATTGTTCCATTGATACGACCTTATTTGATTTTGATATCCAAGCTACGCACATACATCCGCACGCATCTGGGAATGATGGAAAAGTATGTCAGTGTGGTGATTTTTTTTATTTTCTTTTTTACGGTTCATACCTATACATCTTTTTTGCATTTCAGATAGAATAACACATCGGCCTCCCATAATGATTCAACATCCTTAAGAAAAAAAGAAAAAAAAAAAAAGCAGACTATATCTGTTGATAATGTCTCCGGGTTTCCAAATACATTCTAAACTTCCGGCAAGAATTACTTATAGAAGAAAAGAAAGTAGTTAATACATCTGAGATACATAAGGATATTAGATGACATTTGAAAAAAGAAGAAGAAGAAGAAGCAATTTTTACAGTTCTCCATACAAGTACACCGCTATAGAAGCCGAATTAAAAAAGCCAAAGCAAAGTAGACTCCATGCCATCATTGTTGACCGGTAAGCGGATCTGATGTGAGTTCTTTCACTGTAATGGGTTCGTATGACAAGACACCATTCCTTGCTGCTTCCAATCTTCTCCGCTGGCCTGCCGCTCCCGCATTACCCAGAATACCGGCAATGACGCTGACGCCACGCAGACTGTCGTCGTTTGCGGGAATGGGATATGTGACTCTTGTCGGATCAGCATCGGTATCAATGATGCCAATCGTGGGAACATTGTTGAGACCACACTCGTGCAGCAAGACGGCATTCTCAATGGGGTTAAAGCAGACGACGAGATCCGGTTTGATGGCCGCCCGGTCCGCCAGGTTCCCCTGGTAGTGTGGAAGTTCCTCATCGAAGGCATTCACGACTTTAGTCTGGCAACGACCCAGGATCTGTTGTCCGTTCGTAAGACTACCGGGGATCCAGCGCTCGAAGACGTGATAGCCCTTAGCCAATTCGGCGGCCCTGACGACGGCGCGTTTCTGGCCGTCTCTCGTGCCGACGAAGAGGATCAGACCGCCTCTCGCTGCGACTTCTTCGACAACCTTTGCCGCGCGTCGGAGGTAGGCGGCCGTCACGTCCAGGGAGATTATATGGATGCCGTCTCGAATACCGAAGATGTATCGGGAATTTTGTGGATTCCATCGAGAGGTAGAATGTCCGAGGTGTGTTTGGGACGCTAGGAGCAGCTCAAGCGTAATATCAGATGGTTGAGGGGGGTAGCGGAGGATATCTTCAGGATTGTATTCCTTCTGCACAGCACTGCCGAGTCCGTGGAATTTATGTTCTGGGAAAAGATACAGAGTACATGGGTAAGCTAAAGCCGCACACATGATAACAAACAAGTCAGGACGACAGATGGCGTACTTTGCACCGTTTTCTTCCTCCAGGCAGCCCTTGCAGACTCCAAGATTGGCTGAGTATTATTTCCCGGTTGACTGGTGGCCTCAGTTTGGATACTCTCGACCTGAATGATCTCCGCTTGGACGGTATTCTCGGACTGAAGGCCCTCGACCTGAGTAGCACCCTCAACTGGACGGACACCCTCAGCCTCTGCTGACGGCGAGCGAGAAGGCGTTTGAACCTCTGTCTTAACGGGTGCATCGATTGAATTGAATCGACTGAAAACGCGAGCCCGATTGAGGGCCAGAAGCTGGCGGCCTGCGCGGCAGAAAACAGAACATGGCAATTTAGCAATTGTCTCACCACTCTTCCCGTTGCGTATATAGCAAAAATTAAGGAAGTAAATACTTACTCTGCCGCACACATAGCTGTCGAACAATCATGGCTGGTGCAGTATCGTCAGGTCCTCGTACAGTTCGTCTGGTGGAATCGTACCTGTATCGTTTCCTGGCGAACTTTTTGATGATAATCGGGGCTTGGCGTATGGCTTTTATGCCTGAGGCACAAATGTCGTTTCTCAGGCCCCAGGCCCGGTTCGGCCGGATGTCTTGTACCAACGGTGCAATACTGTTTCCTTGGGAGGGATTCAGGTACTGGATATGGCCAAGGTAATAGAACAGGTGACAGTTGCATAAGACGAGCTGACCATACAGTACATTTAGTGTATCGCCCAAATGATCATCTGCAGATACCATCAAGTGATGCACGTTGATGGCTTCTCGACTCATTTCTACACGTGAGATGCTAATTGAAGGTCTACAATTCGGACTTGGGCTGGTCATATGGTCTGCGGAGATGCAGCTGATTCCTTGGAAAGGCGAATTCTAGTTGACACTGAACGAGTAGACCATCCCATTCAATTCATTGTACTGGATGCTAGGCACCGAGTGATAAACTAACAAAAAAAGAGAAACCCTCATAAAACCATGTACTTATTCGTGATACCAATAGACAAAGAAGAACATCACAACCATATCGTGCTTGAAAGTCCGACGCGGCGAAAAGGGGGGAAAGGAGTCTTAAACAGCGAGGACGAAGGAGAATCGAACTAGCTCATGACGAGGCCGTTAACAGAACCGAATTCATAATCTACCAGTTGTTGTAGCCAGGAGGCTTCTCCTCCTCCTTGCGCTTGTGCTTCTTGACGGCATCCTCAGCGATGCTTCCCAAGATGGCACCACCAACGGCTCCAAGGAAGCCGTGGTGGTCAGCCTTGTGGCCGGCGAAACCACCGGCTAGACCGCCAGCGAGGGCACCGCCGAGTCCACGTTCGCCCTCCTGAGCGCCGCCAGGGGCATTCTGGTCGTAGGACCTAGGGATATGTGAGCATGGGGGCATGGGGAAAGGAAAAAGAGGAGGGAAAGAGGTGCTTACTGTTGCTGGTTGTAGCCCTGGTCACGGTCACCGTAGCCCTGTCCCTGTCCATAGGATTGCTGCTGGTTATAGCCGCCTTGCTGGCCGTAACCCTGCTGGCCGTAACCCTGCTGGCCGTAACCCTGCTGACCGTAACCCTGTTGACCATAGCCCTGCTGGTCATAACCTTGTTGACCGTAGCCTTGCTGGCCATAGCCTTGCTGGTTGTAACCCTGGTTGTAGTATTCCTGGCCGGACATGATGACGAATGGGAATAGATAGATAGATGGACGGAGGTACGGAGAAAGAGACAAATATGAAGCTTGTCTTGGAGGGTATGGATTTGGAGATGTGATGGTTGATAGTGGATGATGGATGTGAAACGGAAAAGGAAATGAGGACTCCAGGGGTCTTAAATAGTTTTGCAGCACCTGGTCATCCGGCTGGGGATTACGGATCCTCCCTGGAGCATCACGACCCCTCCCCGATGATTAAGGTCGGCCTTTCGCCCTTTGCCTTTGCACCCCACCGCGCAATATGACGTTCTCTGTATGGATATGTATGGATGTGGTACCGCTAGTAACATCTGTTAGTGGGGCTGTGTGGCTGATACTTTCTGCCTGGTGGCGTAGACAGTGTACACCCATGGACTTGCTGCTGAACATTAGTTATTATTTAGTACTGCTGCTTATTATTCTACTAATTACGCGGAACCAGCCACCGTTATCGTGGCTGTGTCAGTCAAAGTGGCTGTGGATACCCTCCAGCTGTATGTATCGGTATTACCATCCACGGAACGCTGTGTACGTCGGCACTTCAGCTTCCGTGTGCCTACGTACGCCCATGATTATTATAGCCTATTGCATCAAATTTCAATGCATCAACCTCAGACAGCCTCGGCCCGCATCTGTTACTAATTCATGGTCACCGATAGTCGAGATTGGAGGGGCGGTCTTGGGGTTGGAAGATGTGGACTTCCAAGCCTTGGAGAGGGGTAGTCTTCCCGGTCTTTGCCGGGAATGGGAAAAAGAAATGCGAATCTAAGATTTAGGGCTGATGATTGTCAGCCGAATTATGCATGTCAGAGTCCTATGCGCGCTGTATTCACTAGGTAGTGTTACTGTATATGGATCAACTAGGTAAATCACGCCGCCCATAGTCCGATGCTCAGCCTTCCAAGGATCCATAGAGTGGCATACACCGCTGGCTTCGCAGAAAACGTCCCGTATCATAAATAGAACTGCCCCTCAATCAGGCTGAAAACCGGTACCTACTATCTGTGGCTTTGCACTTCAACTGATGCAGCCCTACAGCAGTTACAACGTACTACTCTGGTGAGTCATGGCAGCGAATTACCCGATGCGGTATAGCGTTTCTGTTTGATCTAGAGACAGCATCGTTTCGTTCTTGCATAGGAAGCAGGCAGAGACCACTAGGCAGCATTCTTCTATTCCTCGAGTAAACTATCTGAACATCAAGCCGATGGGCCGGGCTAAGATACAAAAAACTACAAAGCAATCTGATTGAACTAGGACAGGATGGCAAAACAAAGACGCCAGAACTCTTCTCGTCCAGAAATGGTCTTCTTGATTCACCATCGGATTGAATCCCTTCCCTGGTGGCTGCGACATAATCGAATGGATCCGGAACAAGCCACAGGAGTACAAGATCTAAATCCTGGACCATTCAGCTTGACAGCCTGTTACCGCTGCCGGGTTGATCACTTGGAGACGGCTGAACAATAAACGGCTTAAGTTCCTCACAAGCTTCCGACCGCGTGCCAGGTACTTGCTTGTACTTATCATTATTATGTACAAGTATTGTGACAGGCTTGGCAATAATCCAGATGGGAATTCAGTAGAGATATTGCGAGATGAAACCAGGAAGCCGAGCTGGGTGGCACCAGGTCGCTATATTAGCAGACACATGCTGGAGGCTCTAGTGGAAGAAATGGGCCGCGAATACGAGCACCTGCTAAGGGCTCCTCAGGCAACAGAAATCGTGATGACAGCCTCCCTCAATATCGACGAAGGTGGCCGCCACACATATCTTCAATAAATGCGTGCGCTATGTACAGTGATCTCATTCTGGCTAAGCCAACTTTTTGCTCCAAATACCACAGACAATCGTGGTAATTCCATTGTCATCCAGAGTTACTCCGTCTTAGGTAAGGAGTAAGTACCAGGTTGCATACATTCTAGTAACCGTCATTTCAACCCGTTATGCGTCAGATCGCGACTATGCTCCGATAGACCAGAGCTGAACGCCAAGACAAACACGCCTAGAGTCTGCGTCTGTGGGTTTGAATTTAGCCGCCTGGAAGACACTTTCCGAGTATTATTGTCGAATTCCGAGACTTTGTGAGACCGAGTTATTATCTTCATTTGGTGAATCCCCAAGGATACCAACGAAACCTAAAGCTGTACTGTATAATGAAGTCCAATCCATTCAAGAATATACATATATATTTGTTAGTGAGAGCCTCAAGTAGGCATGCTGTAAATGTAACTAACTAATATTAAACTGTGGATGGACTAGTATATTGTTGCAGTAGAATATGCTGTACCTGCAGACTGCTCCATCCAGGATCCAGAAACACTGTCTTTAGCACTGCAGAGCGTTCCAAAAGCACAAAACACTGCCTATGCTCTTGTTTTTGCTTCAGCAGTGAATCTGAGAAACGCCAAAGCGGTGAATGATGGACTGTGCCCAGGCGGTGAAGGGCTCCATGCCAAGATTTCACCTCTCCCACCTAAATTTTTCGAGGTATCAAACACGCCTGAGGAGAACGACTGTCTGGCTGCACCTCACAGCCTCCTTAGGTTGCTCAAGTACACCTGTTAATCTATCTAGTTTTATTTTGGTAATTATCGGAATAAGATGGATGACATTGAGGTTCGTCACTGCCCCCTTATGCTTTTGGCACTTTGTGTCTTTTCCACACGACATTGGGGGAAATTGACGGACTTTCTATCAGGAACGGCTGCGAAGCCATGCTCAGGCCTTTGATGGTCTGCTGTCTCTTATTCCTGCTAAATATTACTACGGAGAGGATACCAGTGTACGTATTCTGTTTGTCTTTGATTCGCTTTATTGAATCCCACCTGACGTGAAGTATTCCACAGGACCAATGGCAGCGCAAGAAACAGACCAAGACACAGGCTCGAGAAGCCAAACGGGCCAAATTAGACCCTGATTCCGCCAAGAGCGCCAAAGATGTCATGGAAGAGAATGCCAGGAAGCGTAAGCGGGATGAGGACGGAGACAATTCTCAATCGTCCGACGGGGAACTAGGCTCAGAGCGGCCGCGAGAAGGGTTGAAAAGAGGCGACGCCGTTGCGAAAAAACCAAAGCAATCTGAACATGTTGATGATAAATTGAACGACACATTAGGAAAGCAGACAGAAGATGCAGAAGCCCGACGGAAACAGAAGGAAGTCAAAAAGGCAGAAAAAGCGGCCGCTCGGAAAGAGAAGCAGAAAGCTAAAGAGGCAGCCAAGAAGGAAAAAAGAAAGCCAGCATCAGAAGACCTCGCAGCTACTGAAACCACAACGCAAAAAAAGGAGTCGAATCTCGGCAGTAGTAAGACCGACAAACAGGCCCAGGCTCCCAAGACAGAGGACAATGACAATTTCGATGGGGATGAAGCAGGGATTGTTGCAGAAGGCCTATCTCTTGAATTAAACCCTGAAACGACAGAGAACATCTCATCTGCCTCCTCAGATTCAAACCCACATGAGTTTGATGCATCCAACGCCAACTCCGGCAGCTCGTCTGTATCTTCTATTGTTCCACCTGCAGCGCCTAGCGATACCACCAAGAAACAATCAGGTGAACCGAAACCTTTAAAACACACCCCGGAGGAACTAAAACAGCGCCTACAAAAACGCCTCGAGGAGCTCCGTGCCGCTCGCCATGCAGACGGCCTGAACGGCAAGCCTGCGCGAAACCGCCAAGAACTGATCGAAGCCCGGCGACAGAAAGCAGAACAACGCAAAGCCCACAAGAAACTCCTGAGACAGAAGGCCAAGGAAGAAGAACAACGGCAAAAGGACGAAGCCATGGCACGACGCTTCTCCCCTGGCGGACCAGGCTCGCTCCTCGCATCACCCCGCTCTCCGGTAGATTCAATAGGATCCGGCAACAATTATGCCTTTGGTCGCGTCGTCTTCGCAGATGGCCAGCACACCGATCCCACTCTGTCTAGTATTCGTGATAAGCCCAAACGCCAGGGGCCTCAAGACCCCGCCACGGCGCTCAAAGCAGCAGAAGCGAAGAAGGCCCGTCTGGCTACAATGGACCCTTCGAAGCGCGATGACATCGAAGAAAAAGACATGTGGCTAAATGCCAAGAAGCGCGCACACGGTGAACGAGTCCGCGATGACACATCGCTGCTGAAGAAGGCACTGAAGCGCAAGGAGTCGGCCAAGAAGAAATCCGAGCGGGAGTGGAAGGAGCGCGCAGAAGCCATTGCGAGAGGCAAGGAAATGAGACAAACGAAGCGTGAAGAGAACCTCCGGAAACGGAGAGAAGAAAAACTGAACAAAGGGAAGAAGAAGTCCTCTTCAACCGGCGGGAAACGGAAGGCCAGACCCGGTTTTGAAGGAAGTTTCAAGGCCAAAGTGGGAGGAAAGAAGAAATGAACCAAAAATAAAAGTAAAATAAAAAGGGGAACGAACCTTAATTAAACCGAACAGACAAGAAGAAGAAAAAGCTCTGGTGGCATGAGGTAAACCTGGTTTGGCAACTGGATATATGTTGGTGTTTTTGTGGGTTTATAGGCTGGCTTCTCATTCCTTTTTGTGTTTCTCTTTTCCCTTTTGTTCTCTTTTCTACCCCTTGCTTCATATCATTTTCACTTCCACATTTTTGCCTGCATGTAAGCATACATAGGAAGCGATATTCCTGTTGGCACTTGACGCAAATTCGAAGGGAGTTCGAGGTGTCGATGCACCTAAAAAATTAACCACGCTGATGTGATAGTTTATAGTGAAATAAACAGGTTAAATGGATTGGGGTTTTCTTCAATTGGCTTGTAATTATATATTACAAATTCACCTGCAGTGACGTCTTAGGACATTATATGATAAAGCAGCAGGTAGTAAGCATCCTGTCTGACGAAGGCCAGTAGAGCATATTGGGTATGTATATTTGTATGTACAGGAAAAAAAAAAAAAAAAAAAAGAATAAGCGAAGAAGGTTCGAAGATGGTCTCGTTTACAATATGACAAAGAAAAGACTTGCTTTCATCCTCGAAGGGGGTAAGTAGTTCTCTTGCGGATGGGTTCCCTTTTTATCTTCCCATCCCTCAACCACAGCGTCTGAAATCCAAAGTGGTCAACGTGCTAATAAACAGAATCATCTATTCCGATATATTTTATCGGTAAGGGGCATCAGCTCTGATGGCACCAGCAATCTCCGACTCCCACTTGTCGCCATTCGCCAACAGTTTCTCCTTATTGTACAACAGCTCTTCACGGGTTTCGGTAGCATATTCAGCATTGGGAGCTGCATAGAAGAAGAGGAGAATGGTTATTAAATGATTACGATAAGAAGGAACTGGGAGACAGAAACTCACTTTCAACAATGGCATCCACAGGGCAACTCTCCTGGCAGTATCCACAGTAGATACACTTGGTCATGTCGATATCATATCTGGTCGTGCGACGGCTTCCATCCTCACGCTCTTCGGCCTCGATGGTAATAGCCTGGGCGGGGCAGATGGCTTCGCAAAGCTTGCAGGCGATACAACGTTCTTCACCAGTAGGATAGCGGCGCAGGGCGTGCTCGCCACGGAAGCGCGGAGAGATGGGGCCCTTTTCGAAGGGGTAGTAGATAGTGTAACTATTAAAGAAAGAGGAGTCTCAATGACACGTTTCCTGTCTAACTAATTCAATGACGACAGGATCCATTGACTTACGGTGGTCTGAAGAACTGCTCCAGCACGACATACATGCCGCGGAACATCTCTGCTAGTAGGAAGTATTTGCTGGCACTATCCAACGAGGACTCTGGATTCTGGTCCCATCTCTTTGGAGGGGGCAAACGGAAGCCAGACGGAGGGGGGCCGGCGGGTGTAGCAGCTCTGGATGCCGAGGAGGAGAAGCCGGCGATGGGGCCCAGAGGACGGAGGGAGGAGAAAAGGGAGGGCGCAGCACGACGGTAGGCGATCAGCCTGGAGACAGACACGGGGGACGCCATAACAGACGGACAGTGGGCGAGAGGGGGGAGTATGATGGCAATGGCAGCGGGAGTGAACAGCGTCGACGGGATGGACGGACGTCGATGAGGTTGAGATTGCAGCGCTGCTTAGGTCATTGCTTTCAGCGCGGAGCTGATTGGCGGCAGGGTTTTTGCGGGAGCAACATCTCCAGCGCTGCTTTCGACCGTCCTTCAGCTTCTTCTTCCCAGTGTTCCTCTGCCATTCCCTCCCTGGCTCTCCTCTCTCGCCTCGTCTTCTTGCAGGAACCTGTTAATTCTAATCCTCCCGCGCTCCTCGTGCCTCCTTTCCATCTGCCAATATGTTCCGTTCCGCCGTTGTCCGCTCCTTGAGAGCCTCCGTTCCTCGGGCCGTCAGGTCGACGTCTGCTCCCATCCGCGTCCGCAGCTCTCCTGCTGTTCGCCCAGCTCAATTCCCTTCCTGCGTTGCTTCCCAGGCCATTCGATTTTACTCGGCCCCCGCCGGCCTCGCTAAGGATGAAGTCGAGGGTCGCATAGTGAACCTGCTCAAGAACTTCGACAAGGTTTGTGGACCGTAAAACCGGAGCTGGAAGGCGTGTGGCATAATAGCGGGAAAAAAAAATAAATATACAACATAAATAAGACAACCTGGCTGATCGTGATATTGTTTTACAGGTTTCCGATGCTAGCAAGGTTGGTCCTTTGCTTCCCCATGTCTCTGGGTGATATAAGAACGATTGTCTAAGATGCCGGAAACAGATCACCCCCAACTCTCACTTCACAAATGACCTTGGATTGGACAGCTTGGATACCGTTGAAGTTGTGATGGCCATTGAAGAGGTACTCGGGTTCTCGCCCCCCCTGGAAGATCGATCTGATCCATCTGACGTGTTCGCAACAGGAATTCAGCATTGAGATTCCCGACAAGGAGGCGGATGCTATCCACAGTGGTAAGTATACGAGAAGATATTGTTGTTTTCCCTTGGATATGTTCACTGATTCCCGTTCTTTCCTCGCAAACAGTTGACCAGGCCGTCCAGTACATCCTCTCTCAACCCGATGGTAAGATTCCCCAATCTCCTAAGAGAAATGAATAGAACGCTTCCGGCTTTGCTCACAGTTATCTAGCTCATTAAATGCGGTATTCGGTAATGGCTTGGAGGGTTGGTAGAAAAACGAGAGAGTTATTGGTGTGAATCTACGGTCGGATACAACTTCTAGAATTCGAGTGTCACTGTGACCGTGACACAGTCCTGTACTCTGAAATACATGCCAGTGCTTTCTGTCTCGTATGCAGCGCTGTATATCATATTTGAATGCGATATTTGATATATTTCTAACCTCTTGTCTGAAGATTGGTTATGTCAGGGGGAAATCTTGTTCTAGCTAAATAGAACCTTGGCCAGTAGTTTCATCACTTACATTCAGATAGACGCCCAGTGAATTTGCATATTCCATACGAGGATAAAAGAAAGCAGTCAAAGAACAGTTCCAATCAGACGAAAACTCGCCGCCAAGGGCACTGCCAGCTTGTCTTCTGGCGGGCGCTAAGGACGGTTGACTTGCGAACCTTGGCGAGCCTCCATTCCCGTTCTCGCCCAGATTCAGAACCCCTGGCAGTTTTGGCTCTCAACTGCCTTGGCCATCCTCCTGCGTACCTTTCTACTGGAGTCCTGCATCGTCGAGTCGTCAATCCTTCATTCCTCATCCCTGTTTCGCGTCCACGACGACTCTCGTTCTCCGCTTTCCCCTGACGATTGTCCCACTCCGGCCAACTTTTTCCAACCCCCCCAAACCTTCTATGTCGCTTACCGTTGCCGCGCAGATCGATTTCTGAGGATCCTCCAAGTCTCGAGCCATTAACTTCTCATCCCCAATCCCAGCACACCGTCTTTCCTCGTCCACATGGCCTCAGCCGGGGGCTTGACGCGCCGGAGAGGTGGCGGTCGGGCCGCTGGCGGAGATGACAACGACGACATCAATCGAGTGTCCTCGCCCTTGTCCAGAAGCGGTTCAACATATGGCAACAACACCCCCGAGACGTCATTTACCAGCGGGGATAATGGCCATAAAGTCGTGTTTGATCCCAGGGATATCAGCGAGAGCCACGAGAGAACCAAGCAGCCTAAGCTTACCCTGATGGAAGAAGTGCTACTGCTAGGATTGAAAGATAAACAGGTGGGTTACGAGTGGTGGATTTGAACAACACCATCTACGGGCAGATTGGATGGTGAAATATGCGACAAATCGCTGACGTGGAATCTCTCTTGCAGGGCTACCTGTCTTTTTGGAACGAGAACATCTCCTACGCCTTACGAGGCTGTATTGTTATTGAGCTGGCATTCCGTGGCCGCATAAGCATGCAAAAAGATCCTTCGCGAAGGCGATTCCCGCTGGCCGATCGGATCATTGAAGTTGTCGACGATTCGTTGACGGGCGAGGTATTGTTGGACGAGGCATTGAAAATGATGAAAACGAGCGAGAAAATGAGCGTCAACTCATGGATCGATTTGATGAGCGGTATGGCTGCTCCCCTTAACCTTATTTCATGCGCATTTGGCCCGAGGGAAATATACGCTGACAGAGACGTGGTCTATAATTAGGTGAAACATGGAATCTTATGAAAATCGGCTATCAACTCAAACAAGTGCGCGAGCGCCTCGCGAAGGGTCTCGTTGACAAGGGAATCCTCCGCACCGAAAAGCGCAACTTCCTCCTCTTTGACATGGCGACACACCCTGTTGCGGACGGGGGCGCGAAAGAAGACATATACCGACGAGTACGTAACATATGCAGCAACCGCACTGTGATCATCCCGCCGAGTACCTGGCTCCCCGAAGATGTCGAATTCAGATATCTTCGCACAGTCACCATGGTATGTGCTGCATATGCGGCGAACGTTCTGGAAAATGCACTGGTTACAATGAGCCACGAATCTCGCGAAAGGGCCTTTGCGCAGGTGGACGAGTTGCTTGCCGAGTACTCACAGTGGCCATTTACCAGGAGGACAGGTGGTGCACAGGCAATTGGTGCAAATCTGGCGCAAGCTATCAATGAAGAGGTTAACAGGGCCCCAGAAAAAGAACTTCAACTCGAGGTATGTCTTTTTCCACTGTTTTTTTTTTTTTTTTTTTTTTTTTTTTTTGAACTATCAGTTTTATCCTGACCTTGGTACAGATTGTCGCAGCATGTTTGAGCGTTTTCACCAGACTTGATTCTTTACTTTAGCGGGTATATATTCCACTTTCTCTCTGTTACGTTTTAATCTACACGTTTTATTTTTCTTTTCTTTTCCCTTCCGAATATCATGTTTCCGTCACTCGAGTTTCCCCTGATTTGGAGGGTTAATGAGGGATTTGATTGATTTACCTGACTCTGATTGGGTTTCTTTTCACTTCTTGATGTAGTTTCGCCAGCAACATGGACTGATTGGGACTGGGCGGCACATCATTGACATGAAAACTGCCTTCTCCCCTATTTTCACTCTTTTCTTTTCTTCCCTCCCCCCTTCTCTTCTTTCCTTTGTCATTTGGCAATCGTCTTCTCAGATTCAAATTCTTTCTTCATGCGCGCATACCCCTCGTCTCTACCTATAACCCTGAAGGAGGTACTTCAGGGTTACCTCAAGCAAATGAGGAGTTATGTGTGTATGCATGTGTATGTTATAGAGTGCATGACAGGTGGGTTCATTTCAAGGCATATGAAGCAATGGCTAAGAATCCAGGAAAATGAAAAGCTGATAGTACGTGATTCTCCTGAGCAACGGGTAAAAGATGAAGATGATGGGAATCATTCTATCTACGTGATCCATGCATTATCTATAGTGAACAGTTTCGTAGATGGATCGATCAATAATTTACCCTAAGCACGACCATCCCCCTATTTCTCCCTTTTCTCATCTTATCTCGCTCGCTCTCACCAGCATCAGCAACATTACCTTCAGCAATCTCCAACGCATCCGCTCCAGCCCACAAATCCACCACTCGGCGTACCCGTCCTCGAACAGACCTCTCCTCCACAAGCCTGGTAATACGACCCAATGCATCCCCATCAGGCTGTACATGGATAAACTCACTCTTCAGATCCCGCTGGATTGAATCAGGGCGGATGGAAAGCCCATGTCCATGTGCATGCGGATGCACATGGCCAGGATCATGACCATGATCACAACCCAAAGACCGAGACCCAGACCTGATCTGACTCTGAGAAACAGCAAGAGAAGCCGTATACGGAACCCCCCCACCAACACTGAGAACGACCCCTCCATCCCGCAAGACAGCAGGCGAATGAGCCTGTCTGTATAGTTCCCCTTTCCCCCCTCCGTCGGCGGGACGGGTACAATCCAGGACGAGATCGACGGGTTCCAAACCACGCTCTTGGAAGGAGGCTGTTAGGTCGAAATCTTCGTTTTTGGCCCCGTCTCTGGTGGAGCGGGGGGTTACCACGATTACCTCGTTGACTTTGACGTTTACTTGATTGTTTTTGTTTTGGAGGAGTTCTTGCTTCTGTTCTTCGTTGGAGCAGGTTGCGCAGATCCAGATTGTGTCTGTTCCCGTCTCTGTCACGCTGGGAGGGGAGAGCGCAGACGATCTTAACAAATGCAGACAATGAATCCCTACTTCGCTCTCAATCGCACTGGTAACGAGTACCCTCAATCCACCACGACCACCACTTGCGAACGATGAAGGTTGTTCAAGATCAAGACCCCCTCCATATTCCTTGCTAAAAAGAGCCTGCCACGCCATCAACCCCGGAAGGGGAATACATGCCGCCTCGGCGGCGGTTATATTCTTCGGTTTAAATGCCAATTCATCTTCCGTCACGAGGACATAATCTGCCGCAGCAGCAGCAGAACTATCGCTGTCATCCATCTGTGATAAACGCTCACGAACAAGCCCGTAGACTTCATCGCCAATCTTGAACCGGGGACCGTGCTGGTTCCAGTGATCCTGAGCTGGGGTGGAGATAACGGTTCCACAGAGACTATGTACTGGTGGGATTTTGGGGGTTGTCGTTGTCGCTGTCGATGTGGTTAATGAGGCTTTAGGGCTCGTCGGGGAAGATGACGATGACGAGAGTTGGAGATCGAGATCACCGTCGATGGCTGCTGTTTGTACTTGGATTAGGTACTGTGCCGGGGATGGTTTGGGGGTTGGATAGTCCATGTCGAAGGCTATGCCGCCGTCTTTTGTGTAGAAGAGGGCTCGCATCGTTGGGGGGATGAAGGTTTGGGGGTCCATTGTTGTTGAGTCAGGTTTTGCAGGCTTCATGGTGATATTTGAAGAAAGCGGCCTAATTATGGAGTTTTCGATTTGTTTTAGATGCCAATATGTCTTTGAATTTGTGTAGCTTCCAAGGTGTTGATTAAATTGGGTGTTGTTGCTGTAGTTGTCTAGGCAAATAAGGTCAATGTTAACTTGATGGATTGCAAGTGAACGTTAATTCATTTCATAGACTGTCTGCTATCAATAAGTAATAAAATCATAGCTCTTCCTGAGACTCCGGTATGTACAAGTCGTATCATCCTTGCAAGTTTATTGGAATCTGGTCGATTTTCTAATGTTGACGTAGAACGGGCGTACGTCGATCAACGCCACAGATAACAACCATTCATGAAGGAATATGAACTATCCATGGCGAAATCCTCAATTGGCCTTCGTCTTCAACTCATTGACTAGTTCATGCAGCTCATCCGGGTGTTCAAACACCTTCCACACATCCCTGGGGACATCTTTGAAGGCAGCGTCGAATCTCTCCGCCTTATTCTTTCCATTCATATTCGGTGCATCGGTCACTTTTCTGATGAAGATAGCCCGGATCCAGCCTGGATGTGTCTTGTACATCTCTGCGTACGTTTCGGGGTCTTTCTGAGTCGAGTCACCTACGCAGAGCACCCGTCGCTGCGGGAGCCATTCGTAGATTTTGTTGATCTGGCTGGTTTTAAACTCATATACACCCTTGGTAAGGGATTCATGCAGACCCTGGAGGCTCATCATAGAGTAAGTGCGGAGGAGGAGCGGGCCATGAGGGTAATTGGCATCGACAAATCCCCGTAGGAAGGGGTACAGATTGTACGGCGAAGCTGACACATAGAACCACGTCGGTGCCAGCTGGTCCTTGACATGAGAGTATTGCTGAGGCATTCCCTCAATCGGCTTCGGTTCGTCTGCGAAAGTGGTGCGAAGAATGCCAGTGAGGTCCGGGGTCTGCGTATGCTTGATAGTATCGTCAATGTCGGATATGACAAGCCAACCCTCTGGAGCAGCGAAATTTATGCTCATTGACACCGGGTGATCCCAGTGCTGGAGGGAGGGATGGAGCACGGCTCCATCCTCGACATGGTGTCTACCTATGTGTATATCTTGCGATGACACGCCACTGCTATCGGAGGGGCCAATATGATGCGTTTGAACATGACCGATAGGGACTGGAATCTTCAGTTTGACAATCTTTCCCGGTGCAACCGGATCCAAGAATGGGTGCAGTCGCTCTTCTATGCGTTTCAGCGTCTCCGGATCTCCAGCGCCAGCTTTGCCGTCGAGACCGATTCGGTCCGCGATCTTCGCGACGAGTTCACCCGTGTCCCTTTTCGCATTTGTTACGAACACGCAAGCAACGATTTCTGCATGCCACGGCTGGAGTAGGCCTCGTCCACTTGGAGAATAGTGATACCGATAAGCAGTGGTGTCCAGCAGCCAGACAGTGTGCTGTTGGGGATCTGCTGGCTGTGGTAGATGGGCCGTCTTCCCATGAAGAAAGCCTGTAACATATCGAATGACTTCAGCGAACAGGGTGTAAGGTGAAGGCATGGCTGTAACTGTCTACAGCGTAGGCCGTGGCTGGTGTTGAACCGGCGTCAGATTAGCGCGGCGACCGATTCCAATGGAGAATTAAATAAGATAATCGATACGGTAGCTCCAAAGCTCACAATTGTTCGGATGGTTAAAGAAAATATACAGGATTCAAAAAGACTAGAAGCGTAGGAATAAGTTGATATCTTGGAGTCTGCAACTGGCGATGCAGAGTTGCAGCTGTTCAAGGCGTTGCTGAGGTCGGGCCTGCCTAATCAATGAAGAGACGCAATCTCATCATCGTGCAACGTCGATCTTAATAGTCAGACTCATAAAATGCTTCATCTGGCATGGTGGCAGTGAGAAGAGAAAGAAAGCAAAGAGTCTCCCAATCTATTCAGCTTTGCCTCATACTATGCTTGTCCAAGATTGTAGATGACTGCATGTCTGTCTCAAGGCAGTGCCACCTCACTGGATGCTGATCAAGCTGTTACCTGAAGGGGCAGATGCTGATGGATGAAATTCTTGTGAATTGATGCTGGCTAGATGTGATCTATATAGTTATTTTGCAGGATTTCTGTGCAATCAAGGACTGCTTTCCTAGAGAATTCCCGAAGATCCATATAATTCCACCGGTATATGCTCGCCTCCAGCCTGAGCTATATCCGGCTGACCTCTGTTGCCATGGCCTGTTCTTCCTTCAGCGCGAGACTGCAGCATCTAGCAAATGCCAATCCATGCGATCATCAGGAGACTCCGAAGAAGTCTAGAATTCCCGCTTTCAGGCGAGCCATGTGATTGAGCCTAGAACAATAGTATGCACAGCATGTAGCCATGGAGCCAGCTCAAGGGGGAGTCTCGCCAAAAGAGACCTGCCCCAGGCAAATGGGAGCAATCCGACAGAAAATCCTTCATGTAGTCTTTCACAACATCTGGCTTACTGCTTTTTTGGAACAGAAATCACAGTACGTGAAATAGATGCGCTGAGGGCCTCTTTCCCCCTCCGTTGCTGTACTGCAATGATCCCAGTTCGATCCGTCATGGGTGTGGCGTTGATGATATTGTCAAAGGCCTCATCCTCACTACCGGCCGTTTCAGAACCAGCATCCGAATCTGCATATTCCGGTTCGGGTCGTGAAACTTGTATCTTCTGCGGCTGAGGTTTATCATCGACTGTAGGATTCTGAAACGACTTCGAGTTTAGGATTTTGCGCCGTATCTCCGCCATTTGTTCCTCATCCTCCGAGTCGTCTGAAATGGCATAGGGGTCTTTATCTGCCTCTTCTTCTTCTTCTTCTTCTCCCCCCTCCTTATTCTTCCCGTCTTCTCCGTCATTATCCTCGTCGCTATCGTCATCATCTTCATCCGAATCAGATACCCTCTCTCTGCGATTCGTATTCCCAACTGTCCAGATATCATCGGTATTTCCCGTGCCCGCTCGGTTCTCAGCATACTCTCGCTCGATCTTTGCCAGCCACTCTTCTTCCGTTTTCTTTACATCTTCCTCTGTGGAACAGGCCGCGTAGCGCTTTAGGAGTTGAGAGTTGATATCAAGAAAAGCATCCCCATATCGAAAATGTTTGAGAACCTCCTTTGCCCAGTCTTCGTGACCGCAGATGTAGAAACATGCCGCTATGGCCTCAACACAATTGAGACGCCATGGTCGTCCGTAGTTTACGGTATTCGCGGCGATGAGGTAAGGTACTGTAAGTGGTAAGCGATAGGTACCACGGAAATAGGACACGAAAAGAACAGCATACAAAGTCTTTCACACTTGCCGCCAATGCGAGACCATGGAATCTCCTGCACCCGTACCCATGAGCATTCGACTACGGCCGCTCCGTGTTGTTCGAGGAGTTCCCGGTCGGCGGGGGATATAATTTTCTTTGCGTTTGGGCTGCAGTAGGGATATACAGTTAGTCTCTTATTTCTGGGTAAGTGGTATGAAAGGTTAAAAAAGAAAGGGAAAACGCACGAGATGATAACACCAGGGTACTTCTGCCCGATCGAAAGCTCTCTCATTAGACCCAACTGCATCAATCTCTTGCCCGAGCATCTCTTCGGATCACAGTGACCAAAATCCCAACAGGCCGCCTTGAACGCGGGTCTGGATGAAGCGCCATTCTCGTCGTCATCGTTGGATTGTGTGCGCGGGCGCGGACGAGGGCGGGGTGCAGACGAGTATTTTTTCCCTCGAGGGAAATTGTCTTTCTTGTGCCGAACCATGCTGAGAATACTGTGAGGATAAAATAATATGGATAGATGCTAATAAAAAGAATCAATAAGTTGGTAAGAACTGAATATATTAAGACGGACTCCGCACGTGGAAAGTTACTGCAACTAAAGGAGGGCGAACCACCCGCCGTCTCCAAGTCTCTATGACAAGTCGCATCTTCAATTCCTCCGCTCCCCTGCGCCAGTACATTCATTGCATAAGAGCGTTCACTGCATCTCTGACGGTCTTTTCCTTTTTTTCCTCTTTCCTTTTTGTCCTTTTCTATTTCATCATTATTATTCATCCACCCTGGAGGCTGCGTCGGCACGAATGGCAGCTAGGGACCGTTACGGTGCCTACGCTGACCCGGGACTTTCACCTCTCCAACGAGCTATTCGTGAGTAATCAAAGACTGTCAACAGGCTCGCAGATTTAGCAGAAATGACATGGATAAAAGCTAACAACCCCTCTTGATAGGAAATGCTTGCGATCCTATGAACTACGAGCCCAATCTTGCCCTGAACATCGAAGTCGCCGACCTGATCAATAGCAAGAAAGGCAATGCGTGAGTCTTGGCCTGGATATGTTTGCAGATGGAGGTTATTTCTTCTTTCTTACACCATACAGACCCCGAGAAGCAGCTTTCGAAATTGTTCATCTCGTCAACTCGCGAAATCAGAATGTAGCATTGCTTGCGCTGTCGGTACGTGACTTTTTAGAGTCTGTCCAAATCGACGCGGGGTTGACCACGTAACAGCTTCTGGATATATGCGTCAAGAACTGCGGATACCCCTTTCATCTTCAAATAGCTACGAAGGAATTCCTGAATGAGTTAGTACGAAGATTCCCCGAGAGGCCGCCTCTCCGGCCCTCGAGGATCCAGCATCGCGTGTTGGAATTGATAGAGGAATGGAGACAGACAATCTGTCAGACATCGAGGTACAAGGAAGATTTGGGATTTATTCGGGATATGCATCGTCTACTTCTCTACAAGGGCTACTCTTTTCCCGAAGTTCGCCGTGAAGATGCCGCCGTGTTGAATCCAAGCGACGTATGTGTGGCCATGCCCGTTATCACGACGCGGAATGTCCGACTGACCATCATGTCCAGAACCTTCGCTCGGCAGAGGAGATGGAAGAGGAGGAGAGGGAGGCACAGTCGGCCAAGTTGCAAGAGCTGATCCGAAGAGGCACGCCGTCCGACCTACAAGAAGCCAACAGGCTCATGAAAGTCATGGCGGGTTTCGACAACCGACACAAGACCGACTACCGAGCAAAGGCGGCGGAAGAGGTGGCCAAGGTTCAGCAGAAGGCCAAGCTCCTCGAGGAGATGCTTCAGGGGTTGAAACCTGGAGATAAGGTCGCTGAAGGAGATGTGTTCGAGGTACTGTTAACCGAATCATCGTGCTGTGCTGGACAAAGGAAAAAGGGCCACTCACCAGTTCTCTCTCTATCCAGGAACTTGCAGGCGCACTACAGAGCGCTCACCCGAAGATCCAGAGGATGTGTGAAGAAGAATCTGAAGATCCGGAAGCCGTCAACAAACTTCTAGAGATCAATGACAGCATACACCGTACGATTGAACGGTATAAGCTGATGAAGAAAGGTGACTTTGAGGGGGCGACGAATATCCCCAAGGGCACGCTGGGCACGAAGACGGGGGTGTCGAAGAACGCCAACAATGAATTGTCTCTCATCGACTTCGACCCCGAGCCGGAGGTAGAGGAACATAGCACGGAGCCGGCCGCCCAGACATCCAGCTCACTGGAGAACGATCTAATCGGGCTTTCGTTCCAAGATCAAGCACCAGCAGTGACCAATCGCATTTCATTGGGACAAGGTAAGGTTTTCCTGGGGTCTCCCCGCTCGGGGTTTGGTGTTGCCAAACAGCTGATGGGATTGGCAGTGAATCAGATACCGTCGTTTTCAGGAGGGCTGAGCTCTCCTGCCCCACCTGTGCAGCAGATCCCTGCAGCATCCAGGCCTAGCTTCGACATCCTCTCGTCGTTGAACCAGCCGCGATCGGGGCCTCAGTCTCCATCCATGTCTCCACAGCCGACAGTGACGGCGACGCCTCCACCGCCGGCGGACCCTTTCGCATCGCTAATCTCAGGCAGTCCAAGGGTGTCAAGTCCGTTCCCCGCTAGGGGATCGTCGCAGAGCCAGCGACCAGCAGCGGCACCATCATCGCCTCTCCTGGATCTGGGGGGTCTCAATACTTCGGCACCGGCGACCAGTCGTCCGGAACAGACAGTGGGCCAGGCGGCGGAGGAGGATGAATGGAACTTCGCGTCGTCGCTCCCGGAGAGCAACACACTGCCCAGCATGAACCGGGTGCAGATACTGAACACGGCATTACGGGTTGAGTTCGTCGCGCGTCGACACCCACCGGACGCGCGACAGATACAGGTAGTGGCGCTGTTTTCGAACACGACAAACCAGTTACTCAGTGAGCTACATTTCCAGGTAGCCGTGGAAAAGGCGAGTCTGTCTTTTTTGAGTATGTGTAAAGATGGTTACTGACGGGTCCACCAGGCGTACCGACTGCGACTGCGACCGCAGTCCGGGAGGAACATTGCGGCATTGCAGGCGAACGGGGTACAGCAGGAGATGCTGATTGAGGGAGTGGAGGTGGGCAAGGGCAACCAGGTGAAACTGCGATTCAAGGTGTCGTACAAGGTTGGAGCGGAGGCGAGGGAGGATCAGGGCATGGTACCGCCTCTGGGAATAGTATGAGAATGGAGTATGAGCTGCCAAGGAATACGCACAGCGGATGGAGATGCACAACTGCGTACAGTGTAGTTACTAGGGTAATTATCACAGAAACAGAAAGTGGACATGACTAACCGCATCTGGAAATTGCAGGCTCTGCAGTCTCGAAAGCATACCACCGATGATGCTGATGATGATAGGAATAATAGTAACGATAGCATCGGGTAGCAAAGTAGAACAACAAGTCCGTGATGGCATGGTAGGCATACGCGGATCCGAATTGCCACTCAGGGCGCATCCAGACGTGCAGCGCCAAAGTCTATAGTAATCGTGCCGGGCGAACAGACCATCTGGAACCGCAGTTGGGAATGGGATCCGGAGGACGGAGGAAAGGATCTGAGAGTGAGCCGTGGGACTGCTAGTACTGCATAGTACGCGGCACTAGTAGGATTGCGAGTCAGTACGAATCAGTACGAGTCAGCAGATGCAATGCCGGGTTCCCGTAGAATGCTCTCGCGAAGCAATATTGAAATACAGTGTCCGATGTACTGCAGACTGTAGTGTGTACATATACTCCGTACTGTATGCTGTGTACTATGAGCATTGAGTATGCACAGAAGACAATACGATCTATGATCGGCATCAGTGCGCCAAGCTTATCTCCAGGTCTAGAATCGGCACCGAGTTTTGCCTATTCTATCGTATTTTCCTATTCGAACGGTACACAATGATACCCAGGTAATCGTACAAAACCTGTTCTGTCAGTCCACCGCAGCCAAATGCGGATACGCTGCCCGCCGCACGTGCCCCAAGGTTTGGCCAAGCTTGCGCACCTTGCGCAAAACAGGAAACCTCAGTGGCGTTATCGCTGCTCCGCTATAACGCACCCAGTCTGGGCCCTGCGCCGATCGCTGGGCTGTGGCCATTGCGCTATGCGCACGCCCCGAACCATGGCCGGAGCTGTTGACAGCTGCCTGTAGATACTAACTATATAGTATAGTACTCCGTAGCATGGATACTCCTACTATAATACCCCTCCCTCTCCACACCATCTTCTGATCCCCTCATATATAGCTTCCCCTCCCAATTGCTTCTTACATTCGTATCCTTACCTACATTTATACGCTCTACTCTGGTATCATCCATCGTGGTGATTACCTCCACTATGTCCTCTCCAGACCTCGACCTGGACATCACTTCCGTCCCCCGTTCTCGCGAAGAGAACCAAGAGAGGTACCTGTCCTTTGGTCCAATCCCTTTTTCTTGTGCTACTACTAACCCCAGCAGAGCCTTCATCGCTGCCTCCAGACGCAAGGACCGCAGTTTAGATGCTCGCCTCGAGTCCGCAAACCGTGCCTCCATGCTCCACAAACAACGCACTGGCAAAGCCCTCCACATCACGAAGGAGATCGTCGAGAATGAAGCCATGTATGAGGAGATTGACGAACGGTATCAGGAGAAGCGCATCCGCATGCTGCAGGCTCAGAACCTGCAGATCGAAGAGCAGTTCCGTCGCCATCTCCTCGCTGCCTTTGCTGGAAACAATCCCTTTGTCCACAACAACACCACCAACAACAGCAGCATCCATGCCCGGAGAGCCTCTGCCATGCCCTTGCGCTCCACCGTGCATAACAATGGCGTGAAGAAGTCCAGCATCGATTTGTCGAATCGCCGTTCGTCCATTGCAGGCCCTGTTCCTGCTCAGGTGGATCATGCCTACACCATGCCGACTTCTCCCTCCAGGCACTACTCTCTAAATATGCAGTCATCTTCGTCGTCTCCATCTTCTTATCTGCCTTCGGATTTTTGCCCCAATCTCTCTTTGACACCTTCACCTCTTCAGTCATATATTGCTCAGCCAGAGCCTGTCTGGCAGCAGCAGCAGCAACAACAACAACAACCCTGGTCTGGCCCCAATCAGAGCTATCTGAACTCGGGCATATACCAACACCTACAGCAGCAGCCGCCGCCACCACAATTCATGCAGCAATTAGCGTCTAATGCATCCAGTCAGACACGCCAGTTCCGGGATCGAGTAGGCTCTGCACCCGAGATCAACGTGCAGGGTCTGTTTTCCACCATGACCCCCACCACCCACCACAATCGTATGGCGTCTGAACCCGTTCCAGGACTGCAAGATATGAATATCACTGTTTCCTCCGCGGCAAATACACCAAAGCTGGGCACGCCCTCCACTGACGCCTCTGACAACTATACAACACCGGTCCCCTCCACCCCGACATCGCCCAATGTAACCATCGCCACCGAGGAGGCCAGTGGGAAGGAGAGCGGGCTTATGGTTTCCAACTGCGAAGGATTCGACCCAGATTTCGATGATTTCAGCCGGTTCGCGCTGGGACTTGGGTCCAACATAATAGATACTCCGGCGGAACCCTTTTTTTTTGATGATTTCGTTAGTTTTGATGACTATGCCATGGCGGCATAATTGGGATTGAGCCAGGGATCTTATTCTATCTTTGCTATTTGTATATTTTTTCCCCTTTGTTTTTAATTATTATCACTTTGTTTTCTTTCTGCAGGCAGGAATACCAACTCGGCGAGTTGGCAGGTTGTTCTACGATATCCAGTTGGCAATTGTGTTGCAGGTGATTGTTTCCGTGGTTATGGTATGGTTACAAGGGTGTTTGAAAATTGGAGTTTGGAATTTCCATAGCTTTAGGTGTCGATGTCAATATTGGCTAAGAGTTCTATTCTCAAGATGTGACATGTCTTCTTTATGCAAGGTACTAGGATGGCTGTAAGCAGTGTACTATCATCTATGCTCGTATATTCATTCGTATATCTACGACAAAAAAAGATAAATATATTAACATAAGAATACGACAACTATCAGTGATCAATATTCTATATCATTCAATAATCATTCCATACCACAGCGTAAGATTGTATTGTGGAGTAAGGACAAGTATCGAGTATGGAGGGCAAATATCGGGGGATTTCCGCCCCTCCATGAGGCATTGTACGTCTGCCAAGTATATCCGCTAACAGCATGATTATATTATAGTATTAGTATTATTTATCTACGAGTCTTCTAGACGATTGTAATTATGATTTACAAATAACCTAGGTAGGACGAACGGATTATAGCATGCTATCTACTAGTACCTAATGATATGATATGATGGGTCCCACACTACTTAGTGCTACTCCCGGAGTATACGAGGGAGAAAAGAGTGTCCATCCATATCCACAATGGCGAAAAGATACAACCTTCATGAAAATGATAAAGTCTGATTCGATTTGTTTTGAACCTGCTGTATTATTTAGTCGGAGGGAAATTCTCCGATCTGGATCTTGTCGATCTTGTTCATTCCATTGCATTCATTGCATTACCTTATGGATCCCGGGTTACATCCATTTAAACCAATCTTCATAACTTTCCTAAGGCTGGACCATTGATCTCGGCTTCTTTTTCGGTCTTATTATCTATTGTCGTTGTTTTTGCCTTGTCATCGCCCTGTTTCTTGGCGCTCGCATTTCTTCACTTTAGCCTCAGAATTAGGGCTGCCAAGAGTTGATTTTTTTTTCCAGACGTCTCCTGCATAACACTATCTACAATACCTAATAGTTATGCATTGCTAGTTCATTCATCTAACTATTATTTTCATTTCCATCTATCTACCCCATACACTGATACAGCGTACACAACTCCAATGGATACCGATCCTGTTGACCATGATTACTATTCTGTCCTCTCTACAGACACCCCCAAGGGTGCTCGTATAATATCTACCATAACCTAACCCTTCTTGCCACTTAATATATTTGTTCGCCATTGCATAGCCTGGTTGAATATCCGACGACTATCTTCGGTATTTTCTCTTCACGTTCACTAATGTATATTTAGACTATACTATCAGACTGACACTATTAATGCATGATGAATACATATCGAGAGATATATTGGAGATACATTCGACCCGTTTTCATACTGCACGCTCTAACCTACCCATATCGTGCTAGAAGCTCCTGTCCAAGCTCCCCACTCCGTCGAATACTCACACTCGAACTGCTGCTTCGTCGTCGTCGACTGCGTGATTCCGCCGGATCAGCCGGGCTCAGCCCGCTCGCGCGCGCGTACAGGTTTAGAACATCCGTCAATGTCACCACTCCCACCAGTCCACCAGATAGTCGACTCCCCGGCAGAGCAGACGCCGGGATTGGCGCTTGCGTGAGTGTACATACCTGGGAGGCAGCTGCCGGGGCTCCGATTGGAGAAGTAGGCCGGGAAGAAGGGGATGAGAAGAGAGCTTTGTTAGAACTGGAACTTGTAGGTCGGTAGTTTGGTGCCGATGCCAATGCCGGTGTCGTGCTACCTGCTGTCGGCATGGGGAGATTTCCGGCTGAGTGTGACGGGGCTGGGGACCCTGAAGATGATGGTGAAAGCGGATCCGTCACCCACAGTCTTCAAACTTAGTTAGTTACGCCTGCCTCAGCCCTGTTAGGCAAAACTTGCTTACCGATGGGATCTGGTCGCCACCATCTTGGCCACAATATGGGCCAGGGTCGACGAGGGATTGACATGGAAAACCGGAAACGAATCCTTGCCTTCTACGAGGCCGCGTGTAGACAGGATAACCGATATGAAGTGGATGCATGTGTTACGAAGGAGATTCAATGACGTCGAGCGTGTTAGAAGCTGTATTAAACTGTCAGTCCGTAAACCAGCCAAGTCAGGCAATCGGAACACACCTTGACATCAGCCGTCGAGATATTGCCAATCACGTTGAAATGATTGTCAATGACCGCAACTGATGAGACTCCCTCTTGGTTCATCAGCTGCAACGCTTCACACAGGGGCTTGTCCCCACTGCAATCGTGTTAGAATCTCGCCCAGAACGTCATACAAACTGCAACGGGACAACCGACTTGATCGAGATCACCCTCTGAGACCCTATGCATAAGTCCTTGATACTTTGCGTATACAACCGCTCAATCACAGGGAAGCTACGGCCATTCTCCCAGAGGAACTTCACGAGCCGGAATTGGCTGAAGATGCCTACCACCTCATCTGGATTGTTTTCATTAACCACCACAACACGGTGTATACCACCCCCAAACGCCTCGACCGCGGTCAACACATTAGCCGAGGCCGGGAGCTTGGTCAGCGGTTCCTTCTTTCCCAGATTCTTAACATCTCTCAACGGGATCTTCGTCCCTTCTTTCGCTTTCCGTGCCAGTTCATTGTACCAGCTAAGCTGCTCTTCGTCGGGCTGCGTGTACCCGGACGCAAGAAGAAGATATGCATTCAGATCCGAATAGTCAAACGTAGCCACTGCAGCGGTGTCCTGGGGTGTTTCCCGGACCAACAGGACAGCGACGTCAGATGTGATCAAGATCTAGAATTGGAAACAGCTACACGTCAGCGATCCAGGCATTATTCGTATTGTGGAAGAAAATCTTGGTAATAGTGAAGGAATAGTACACATTCTTACATTCGTAGCTTCCTCAATCCCGGTATCGAGCTCGACAAACTTGAGATCATTCGGACTGACCAGCTCTCCGATTGAGATATGTCGCCAGTCTCGACCGGCAAAAGCAGGATCAGGAGCATTGCGCACAGGCGGGTTATCGATGAGGCTTTGGATCGCGGCCTGCGTCAAGGACGGCTGCCGCCGCGACCGTGGGGATCCGGGGTTAACGCCACGGAGAGTCTCACTGAGGCTGTGACTATGACGGTGATGATGGTTGGACGGGGACATCCGCGAGACGAGCGCAGGTACTTCTCGCACGGAGGGCGAACGATCTACGCTGGGTCGCGGGGACGGGCTGGTTGTCTCATTGGGGTTTGCCGACGCCTCGCGAGGTTGACGTTCCGCCATGGTTGAAGCGGGGGGGGAGACGGTGCTCCCGCACGGTAACGGTGGACAAGAACACGGAAGACACGCACAGCTCAGACAGTACCAAACCGATGCAGAAACAGGAGATGGGCAATGAGATGGAGACGGATGGAGAGCATCGGACGCGGATGGAAGTAACGCTGTCAGGGACTTTCGTCTGGATGTTGCGGGGGAAGTCTGCGTTTATCGATTCTCGGCGGTGAATCTTGCATTAATTATTAAAATAGTTCTATTTTATGTATTCAAAGAAACTCCTCCAAAACCCCCGTCAGGTCCTTTCCTCTGCGATTCTTCATAACGGCCTTCTTCCTTCCGGTATTCTCGCCAAGTCTGGGTCTCTTCAACTCGGGTTCCCGCGGTTCCAATTCCATGGCTTCCCGCCTGAAGAGCACCGTCGGCGGGGATCGCAGGCCACTTTTCCCCAGGCTCCCTCCCATCTGAAAGTCAAGGATCGGAGTATCCCGGCTCAGAGTATACTCAGTGTCGACAGCTAAGAGACTCGCCTTGTAGAGCTCGTACAGCGAATAACTCCAGCTATCATCAGTACCCCTGACCAACTGTGAGAAGGAACCAGCCGCCCAGCCATTCTGCTCAATGCCCTTAGAAAGAGTAATCTTCGGACAATTCTGGATAAGAATAACGCACAGCGCAGGAAAGGACGTGAGATAATGCAAAGCCATGCGCGAGAGATCAGCTTGGTCACGTAGACTGAGTACACGGAGATGCGCAAATGCGCCAGACGACCGCGCAAGTTCACTCCAAGTTCGAACGATCCTGTCACTTAACGTCATCGTCGTCGTCTCTTCATCATTGACATCGTCCGGATCAGTCATGAATCGCAGCTCCTCGGACACAGTACTAATTTCCAACGCAACCAGGTTCTTGGCGACATTAGGAATGTCCACGAGCTCCGGGACCCGCGCAAATGGAGCAGCCAGCGTGATGACGGTAGCCCAGTTCGACGCATCGCCTTGCGTCAAACCCAGATACTTGCGTACGGACATTCTGGGACAGTTGACTTTCATACACTTGTACGGTGCGACCTGGCGGAATTGATCCGGATATACTTTTGCGAGCAGTTTCCACATGTATAGCGTCTGCTTTCCGCTGATTGTTATTTAGAATATTTCCATTCCCAGAAATGAATTGAATCACTCACTAACGCCCAAGACACTCCCACATCTCGCTTGCAAAATGCCAGGGCAGGCCCTGAAAAGACTCCAGGCCCAGATTCCTCTGATCGGCCAGAGCGCATCGCATAGCGATATTCCTTAGTGAAGGAGCTCCGGGTACACCTTTCGCCTTTATACCACACTTTTCATCGTCTGTATCCCACATATGTATAATCGGGGACTCATGAATCCATGATGGTCCCCTTGTGGAGGCCCGATTGTGTTGCATCTGGTGTATTCCTTCGATCTCTTCTCTGGATTGAGCTTTGATGGATGTATAAAGATGAAGTTAGGATGAGAGGTCAAAATGTATGATAGCCCTGCTGTCAATCGTCCTGGATAATTGCAACGTTTATACCGATATATTCCCTGGCATCTCCAGGCTTCTCTGCACATACGGTAGAAGTCAGGATATTGATTGCTTCCTCTGCATTTATTCAAATTGATAGTTGATAGTTAACGTAATCGGTAAGCCAGCTGCGCACCTCTGTATTCCATATAAAATCGAACTTTTTAAGATCTTAATATCTCAACAACGAAGCATCCAGAGTGCGTAGAATTTGAGATACGCAGTAAGCTGACGCTATATTTATATGCATGAAGTAAAGAGATCTTTATAGACACATATTTCTCTTGATAAGATAAATTACTGCTGTATTTTTGGATTATTCTAATGCTCAATACCCCCCCAAAAAAATAAAATAAATAACAGGCATACTTTTAGAATTGACTTAGATATTTATCTTACTGGTATGCTTCTATCCATTGGTGGTGATGATATTAAGGTCCTAAAAAGTGACATTTTATATGGAATACAGTGGCGGTGTCCGATTACGATTATGTTATTCAATGCGCCAAGCCGTATTAATGAGCTGTCAAACAGATCGTCCTTGTTGTCAAGCTGCAGCATGGATTACTTTACAATGGATGAAACAATTGCAACAGATGAGCTTTATATCGACTGCTTCTTAAAGTGCATGGATCTTATTCACATATACGCCCAAATTTTAACCCTCAATCAAACCAACTCATTAGTGAAACCTCGTAAACCCAGATCCTCCAGCAGACTGGTTATCTCCATGGCCCAATGGAGAACATGTAGACACATACCACGAAAGTAGATAATGAATGCATAAAAATGGGGGAAATGAAGAATCAATTTATAGGCGAAAAGTGGACAAAGGAACCGCAGGCGCATATGCACTTGCTCCATCCGCAAGGATGTATGAATCTACATGACGTAAAGGAGGTTGACATCTAGCAAGAACCAGCATGTTAGAAGAATTAAGTATTATTATAGAGCGTCTATTAAAGGACATTGTGACATACCCAAGGGGTGACTCGAGCTCAGCTGTGGCTTCTGAGTGTATTTCGTAGCCAACTCGTCCCGGATGCTGTTCAGCAATTGTACATAGCTCTGCTGAGGATTTTTCTTGAGAGCAGTGATAAAGGCCCATGACATAGCGCCAGTTGCCTGGCCGGCGACGCTGGCATCCTGACTGGTCTGGTCATCCCGGCTGCCAGACCACATGATGACATCCGCCGGACTGGTCTTGGTCTGTTTGGATCGTTGGTAGGCTTGCTCGCCCTTGGTCGCCTTCTTGAAGAAGTCGACGGCAGTGCTGACCACGCTGCCCATGTCACCGCGCGCATAGGCCGAGACCACTCCCAGCAAGCCCTGGCCAGCCTCCTTGGCCAGGTTGGGTTCCTTGAGTAGACCTTGAGTCGAGTAGACGTATGGTAGATCTAATGCAGAACCCGAGTGGCACGAATCGAAGATGGCGGTAAGCCGCACGCCTGGCTGGAGTGGGTTGACCATGATCCGGTGCATTTCGTCATCCGTTATATGACCGGCCTGTCGGAAATCTACGGGGTAGATAACTTCGTCGTAGCCATCCTCTTCGTCTCCGTCCTCATCTGGGGTCTGACCACCATGGCCTAACTCGAGTTCGTCAGATATGCACATTTTACCACCTTTTACCCGTTCATATCCAGAACACTAACCTGAATAGTGGAAGAAAAGTGAGTCGTTCGGTCGAGCATCTTTAACCAGCCAGTGCATCGCCCGCAAGATATTCGCTTTCGTCGGCTGACTCATGGGATTCTGTTGGTCGTCGGTAAGGATAACCATGTCCTCCCGCGCATAGCCAAAGTTCTGGTTCAAGTATGCCGACACGTTCTTCACATCGTTGATGCAGCCACGGAGCTGACCCTTTTGGCCGAAGTAGTTGATTCCGATCAGGAGGGCCTTTCTCTTCCCGGTGCAGCGAGAGTACTGGAAATTATAGCCCTGCGGGGCACCGTGACCGAATGCGACGGGTCCACTTGGAGGAGGAGGGGGAGCACCATGGCCGCGCTGATGGTAGGGGTTCTGATATGCGTTCATGTCTGTCATATGGGTCAGTGGAAGTAGCGCAGATAGTTATTCAGAGGAAACGGACCTTGTTGTCCTTGATACATCGAGCCCCCGTATCGTTGTTGCGGAACCTGACCATATTGATAAGATGGCTGTTGCTGATGGTGGTGATGGTGTTGTGGCGGATAGCCTCCGCCTGGATGTCCACCGTATCCAGACATTTGTCTAAAAGCCCATCGAAATTAGCATGACACATGGCAGATTGCGAGGCGTACAAGAGTAAGAGGGAAAGTGAAACAAAGCAAAACAAGAGAAAGCTCACTCGTATGGTTGTTGGGGGGCATAATTCGGAGGGGGGTATTGCTGCGGAGGTGGGGGATATCCCGGAGGACCATAGTTCACTTGTGGGTTATACCACGACATGATTCAGGTGCTCTCCGTCAGGGGGAGGATTTCTCTTATTTGGGTTCTTTTCTCTCCTTTTTTCGTATGTCTTTCAGAAACGACAGAAATATGACAGGTTGGCAGACAGAGAATGTTTTTGTGAGCGTGTTGAAGCGTGGAGCAAGGAAGAAACCGTGCCTGGAAGGGAGAAGAAAGAAAAGAGAAAGACGCTCGGGACGGATTCGGCCCAAGCCAAAGGAACCGTTAGGTGCCTGAGACATCTGGCATCTATCTCACCTTTCAGCCGCCTGGTCTTCAACGCCAGGATTTCAATAGTACGAGATGATCGATAGATAAACACGGCAGAGAAAATGCAAGTGATCGTGAAAATTAAATATCTGGATTTTATAAGAAACAAAATAATAATAATAACAATAATAGACAGCGAGGAGGATCCAACCGAACAACAGCCCTGCCGAGTATAAGTAAGACGGCGTGCGCGTACTTGAGCGCCTCTCGAGTAATAGGGTCCAGAACCACCCTCCCAACAGTCGAAGGGAACGGCTTCAGTATTTATGCCCACAGCCTATGTAACAGATAAGAAAGGGAGAGGACAGAGCACAGGAGTATATGGGAGTTCATGGCATTGTGCACAAGTGGCCGCGTTAATGTTCATTCTTCTCCCCGATCTGCGCCTCTCCTGCAACCATGGCTCCCACGGCTGAATGAAGAGTTTTCATCGAAGACTCAGCCGCTGTACTTTTTTATTTCGTTGCTGATACGCTGTATTATTATCATTACTGCCGAAGTCTTCTTCCTGCGTGGGCATCTATTGATTATCGAGAATAGATCCAGCTGGCGATTTCCCTTTTCAGCCAGCCCCCGGAATCATGGCAGCCTTTGACCTACTTGGGACTAGCGCAGAACCCTCCAGGCATAGAGCTATGCCGCATGGGGCAAGTGGAGATCAGCTGATCTGTGGCTCAGATGCATGCACTTGCCACTATTTGATCCTGCCAATTAGTAACAAGTTGATATGGGCCATCATAAATCGCCGAGAAAATGCAAAGAGAGGGCTGACCAAAAGACAACACATCTGTGGCATTAAGTTACTCCGTACATCATACACCTATCTAACTGGTTAGATTTTCATGTTCAATCGGCCATGGCGCCTTTTATGTTTTCTCTTTCTCTCTCCTGTCCCTTTACGTTCTTTCCTTCTCCTGCACTATATCAATCAACCTTCATCTCTTTTACCTCCTAGGCATGCCACGTCCCCGGCCTCCTCCGAGTGCCCGTTGCGCTGCACCTGGGGGAAGACCACGGGTTGGTGCTTGCGGTTGGGCTGATTCCTCGTTCTCTGTTCGCAGCGGTACCGCCTGTTAGCTGCTTTGATTGAAGGAAATGCGGAAAGGAATAAAGACAAGACAAGACCATGCGAGGAACTACTCACTTATCGTTTCATCTACCGACAGAATCAAACAAGCAGCCTCAACCGCAGCTTGAATAGCATTGACCTTGACAAGGCTAGGTTCCCAGACGAACGCGGCCATGTTGTCCCGGACACCCTCGTTGTCAAAATCCACGCCAGCCCAGGTGTTGCCCTTGCGGTGCTCAACTCGTAGGCGGTTCAGGATGTCAGTAGCATCGAAGCCGGCGTTGTCGCACAGCTGGCGGGGAATCACTTCGAGAGCCTTCGCAAAGGCCTTAACCACGGCTTGCTGCTTATGCGGGACATTTCGGTCGGCAAAGCCGTGCAGGTAGCTGGACAGTTCCATCTCGCAAGCACCGCCACCGGCGACGATAGTTGTGTTGCGCAGGGCGCGTTTAACAATCATGATGGCGTCGTGCAGACTGCGCTCGACCTCCGCAATGAACTGCTCTGCACCACCACGTAGCACGAGCGTACATGTTTTCGCGCCAGGACACTCCGAGAAGATGTTATAGCGTTCTCCACCAATTTGTCGCTCCTCGAACGAGCCACAGGTTCCCAAATGGCGGTCCTGGATGTCGCTACACGTCGATTGTACTGCTGCACCTGTTGCTAAGCAGACACGGTTCATGTCATCGGAAGCGACACGACCGGCACAGAAGATGTCGCGGTCAGCGAAGTACCTGCAGCAATGCACGTTAGAAAAAAAATCCATCCCACACAGATACCTTAGTAGAGTGGGTAGCAGCATACTGTGTTGCAAGATCTCCAATGGGTAACTTGCTGAGTACAACCTTTGCACCAGTCTTGTAGACAGCTTCAAGCTTATTGAAGATAATCTGCCATTCGGCATCCACGATGGCCTGGTACTCGGACACCTGCTCGACCCGCACCTCTGCGTTGTCCTTCTCACTCTTCAACTCCAATTCCACATTCAAGCACACAATCTTCGGGTTCTTGAACGACTTGGGCTGCTGCTCGAAACCGGCGTAGGAGAAAGTCTTCTTGAAAGCGACACCCTTGACAAAGAGCGAATCCTGAAGGCCACCACCAGTAATCTTCTTTACCCCGATCAGCTTCTCGTTGAGCTCTTCCTGGTCAAGCGAGAGTACGGCATCCACGACCACTACAAGAAAAAGACCTAGTCAGTACCCCGCTGTATCTTTGAATGGTCTAATGTAACCCACTTTTGGTAAAGAAATCCGAGTTCCGTTTGATCAGCTTGCTGTTCATTGCTGTCGCCGCTAATTTCCGTAACGTGTCAATTTTATCCTCTTCAGTACCCGCAGCATGGATCATGTCAACAGCAATTTCCTTGATCTTGTTGACAGCCATAGCGCTGGCTCTCCGCAGACCCTTCACAATGGTTTGAGTGCTAACGCCCTGCTCAACGAGATCCCGAACCTCCTTCAATACCTCGCCAGCCAGAACTACCACGGAGGTAGTTCCGTCACCGACCTCTGCATCTTGGGAACGGGCGATATCGGTGAGAATGCGGGCGGCAGGATGTACAATATCGAGGAGCTATTGTTCATAAGAGAAAAAGACAAGGGGTAAAAATATCAGTATTCCATCATAGTAAAAATCAAGGTGTTCTTTTCGAAAACGCACTTTCATCACTGTCGCTCCATCATTTGTAATAGTTTGCTTGCCATTTCCATCGACGAGCAGGAGATCTCCTCCATATGGACCAAGCGTGCTTTTGATCGTGGACTGTACTGCGACGCAGGCGTTGATGTTCGAAATGACCTGACCCTTTCCCTGAGAGGTATCCGTCCCTGTTTATCAAGGAGAAGTTAAGAACCAGTTAATATTATCCTTTCTTTCTCAATATTAAATAATGGAAAACGAAATGTAACACTGGCGACTGTACGCACCCTCCTTCAACACGACAATTGTGGGTGCTTGGCCGGCGAAGGCCATGGTTGCGGGAGTTAATTTCTGTGGACGAAAGAGAATGTAGCAGTGGAAGATGGAAGAAGGGCGTTCAGGAGGGAGAATAAAGGTGAAAACGAAAGAGAACCAAAAGAGATCCTGTCTTGTTTGTGTTAACGAGGACAACCGCGGGGTTCAGCGTCGACAGCTCCTGATGAACTTGACCAAAATTTCCTGGAGCTTCTGCTTTCCACGCACGGCCAATCATGGCCCGCCTTAGCCCCTCGCAGCCAAGGCGATCCCTCACTCCAACTTCAACGTCTACAGCATATTTACATACTCCTGGATCTTTGATTCTGTGGTTGTGTATGTCTGCCTATTAACTATGTCGTATCTCATGGTCATCTGCACCTCCAGCTTCAACAGGATCCTTTTTTACATGATATCTTCAAAGCATCCAGCAAACCAACAAATGCTAGGAAAAGTCTAGGTCATCTTCGGATCTCGTCACGTATTTGGCTAGAATCTCATGCTCCTGTTGTACTTCGTTTGCTTGCGGGTTGACAAGTCCAAGCGTTTCTCGATGTAATGCCGCCCCAGCCTCTGTATCGGAATCGTCAACCATCATTTGGTAGTCGTTAGTCGCATGCTGCCGTACGTCGACATCAAAGTTAGACGACTGTAATCCGTGGGTATCATGGTCGTAGGGGTCAGGAATAGTGTCATGATGCTGGAATCGTGGCAGGTGTTGGTTGATGTCGATAATTTGCGGATCGAGGGGCATGGCAGTATAGTCGCTCATGGAATCTACGGGTTCTTGAACGCTAGCCGGCGGCACGAAGGGGTTATGGCTATGACTCTGAGAAGAATCAACAGGATTGCCATCCATGAGATGCCCTGTGCCTATCGTGCCTGTTGGTGACAGATTAGTGTCGTTTTCCCTCGGCATGAGCTTATCATCGCCTTTAGCAACCCCATTAAGCATGATCGGTGCTTTCAGTGTCTCCTTGCATTTAGGGCAATCCCGGATGACTCGGCTGACAGTCTCTTTGATCCTGACCCAGTGGTACTTGACCGCGATGGCTGCCGTCGTTTTATTGATTCCTGCATGTTGCTTGACGTGAACGCGTTGGGCAATCTCATATTGCTGCTGCGGATCAGACACAACTTCCTTATCCTTCAACATTAGTTTCTCTGGTTCCCCGTTCGTCCCTCCAACGAGTTTGTAATGTGTGGCTGCACTGCGGAGCCGACTTTTCTCCGCTCTATCAGCGCCCCTAGGATATTTCGAATGCTTGAGGTAGTACCTAATCTTGTCGAAACGGTCCTGTGTCACTGAGTCCTCCCCTTCAGGACCCAGATCCCGACCGTATATGATAGCATCCACAAACTGCCCCGGATAAGAACGCAGCTTACCACCACCGGGAACTTTCCCAATTCGCTTGAATCCCAATGCATCCCATATACGGCAAGAAGCAACATTGTTCTCATATACGAGATTGAAGATAGAGTATGTGAAGCCCTGTTGGAGAGTCAACAAACTATGGTAGTTGATTTAAAAAGACCACATTGAAAACAGCCACCAATGTTTGGGACACGCGGGAACGCAGTACTAACCAGCTTAGGAGCCCATTCAAGATATCCCTCTCCCATCAGTCGTCCTACACCCCTATTTCGAACAGAATCTGTGACGAGAAACATGCCGTTGCAGATGTGACTACTCCGGCCCGGATAATTGGGTCTGATGTTGAAGCTACCCAGACAGATTTTGGCCCAGTCTGTGCCGGCTTTATCCATAGCCTGGGTCTCTTGCACACTCTTAATGTCTCCAAGAAGCATGATGGCACCGAAGTAGGAAAACCAATACGGGCCAAACTGGCTGAATGGGATAGCGTCAATCATAGGATATGTGTCACCCTTTTCTATTTCCTTATTTAACTGATCTGAGAGATACATCAACAGCGATTGAGGCACATCGTCCGCCGAGGAGAAAGGAACCAGGGTTGCAACAGTGACTCGATCTCTGAGAGTAACCTGCCGCGGCGTGATAGTGACCGGAAGCTCTCTGTCAATGGCTATCACTGGCGCTGCTGGATCCTCATGGACGGCAGGCATGGCTGTATCCCCGGCCGGACCAAGCCGGTCACGAGACTGTCTACCGTATTAGTCGAACATTTTGGCCAAACATTGTGACTGATTGAGTAATTGGCAGTAGGGTCTAGATCCTGGTGACCTAGCCTGCTCTAGAGCAGAAAAGAGACGGGGAGACGGCCGCAGATGACCAGGTCTTCTGGGCGCCCGGTGGTAGTCAAAGAGCAGCATGACTGGAGGGCACTAACATTGTGGACGGAAGTGATGTTTCCCCTGCAGAACGAGGCGCATTTATTTAATATGGCAGAAGGCGTTGGTGAGAGCACTTCGAGGACCGCTGAGTATTCTCGAGTCCGGAACGTGGTCAACGCAGCGCGGAAGACGTCGTCCCGCCCCTGCTGACTCATCCGGTGAATTGTTGATCCTGATGATTAACACGCTCTGCCCTGATGTCATAACGTATAGTAATCGGTATGCGAGCCGGCCACGCTGGACCATGGTCTAGGAAGTACGATATAGTTCAACCACCTAAAAGTGTATATATTATGAAAAACTAGTTTCTATTGCAACAGGACATTGTAATCGCCTATGTCCGATAGTATGGCAATCACTACACCGTGGTGGTGCCCGTACATGCTGTCCAACCGCAGCCGGTGCTGGCTCAGTAGATTGAGCATTTTGAGTTTCTTGGACCGCATTATCATGCTGTAGAAGCTGCTGGCCTTCCTCAATAGATAGATCCTCTGTGGTAGCTATCCGTCGCCTAGATCGATTCCTTTTTTGAAGCTGCTTCTCATGTGCAACACGTAGATCATGGACTTCTTTCTTAAGAAGAATGGTCTCATTTAATGCTATTTTAAATCCTTTATACATATTCTCCAACCGTGTCTCAGTGAGAGACGGAGGACTTTATGTATGATCCCAAAGAAGCCTCTTAACATTAGATACCTGTAATTGATGAAGGTTATGAGGTGTTTCTGGTGCTGAATTGGTTAGTCAGCTGCCTGGTGGTGTGGGTAACTATCTTAAGTTGTATATTAAGCTGCAAAAGCACCCTTCCTGGATTAAATAGGATTAAGCCAGTTGCTGTGAAGCCATCGTGAATGATTTCTGGCTTAAATATATCTGTTCAGGCATAGGGATATTATGAGAAGCTCCTCGCTGGAAGGAGCAGTGCAACTCCTTTGGGGCGGCATGCCAGTATGATGGAAACGGTCCTTACAGTGTAGGCTATTAAAGGGTTTGCTAGGGACTCGCTAGTACTTTGAAAGATGGGTTCAGATTGATGAGAGATGATCAGCTTGACCCCTCACCAGGTATTTACTGTTGTGACAAGTTAAACCTTGCTTTGATAATAAAATAATGGCCTTTTCTCAAATGTTGGGAGCTTGGGGGACAGCTCTATGTCAATCCATAAAGAGGATCCATTGTATGAGTGGTTCCTCTTCATTTTATGTGAGTTGGCGTGCTTTCCAAAATGTGTAGTTATATCATGTAGTCAATCTTGAAGGGTAGAAAGAGGCAAACATGAGTTGCTTCACAAATATTTGAGATACCCCTTTTTTTGATAGCAGATATTGCAAGTAAGAGCCTCCCCTAATGCTCACTCAATTTTCGTTTTCTTTTTTTTCTTCTCTTTTGAATTGTTATGAGCTTTTGGAGGTATGATGGGTGGTTCGATTTCAAGTTTTTGGGCATGACCAAAACGCAGCCGGTTCGCTTACCGATTACGTTATCGTCCGCTCCATTGTTTGCAGGACTATGACTATGACTACTAGTGTGCATATGCATTACGCCAGGAAGACGACGTTGCCCTCCGCACGATGCGGAGGGATGGCTATTGGGTTTGGCCGACTCTCCTCGCTCTGGTATAAAGGCCTCCATTCTCTATATTCTCTGTCTTGACTGCTCGTATTAGGCAGTGCTGGTCAAACTCCACATAAGGCTTCTGATTAACCATGTCCTATAAGCACCCTCAGTATTATGAAAATGACCTTCAGCCAGTTCAAATTGATAGGGAGACGTTACTAGAAGCACTTGGACAGTTTCGTTCCGCGACCCTGCGTGGAGTGGATCTAATACAGGCTGGTAGCCCCCCGTTCGGAGAATGGGACCACGGCGGCATGTTCAGTGGCATCCCAGGTACGGATCATGCATTCAGGACGTTGCGAGAATTTATTTCAGATTCAATAAGAGCACAGTATGTCTGATTCTATGTATTAGGGATTGCCCTTGCCTTTCTCCGACTCGCGCGTCAGACCGCGTCATTAACGGAGGAAAATGGAAGTCCGCTGCCGGATTTTCTCAATTTGGCCAAGCAGAGAATCCCACCCCGAGGGCCAGATGTACCTATGCATGCTGCAATGCTCTCCCCCGTTGGATCTTCATCGTGCCTAACTGCAGTCGTACTGCGCATTCTGGCGGTAACTGAAGGAGACGCGAATGGCACTGTCTCCAAGGATGATATTACCTGCCTTGAGAAGGCTGTTGGACTTGCACTTGCGAGTCCACGTATGGTCTCTCACAGAGGTAAGACCATGGGGTGCGATGAAGTCCTATATGGTCGAGCTGGTTTGCTGTGGGCTCTTGTGAATCTACGAGCCCATATGTTTGATCAAGCCACCACGGATGCTTTGGTTCCTATTTTTGAGTCTGTCCCAAAGCTTGTTGATGTTCTTATAAACTCTGGCAGGCAAGGATCAGAAGTTTATATCAAAGAGTATGGGGAGCAAACTGCACTTCCACTGATGTGGGAGTGGATGGAAGGTAGATTCGGTCTTGGAGCGTGAGTCATTCTTGGGTCTTGAAAGAGTTACACAGAGACATATTCCGTACTGACAACTGTGCGTTAAGTGTCCATGGAATTAGTATGTTTACCTCAAAACCGCCATACCAGGACCTGTCCACAAGTGTCGACTAATGTCAAAACAGCTGGCATCCTAACCGTACTTCTTGCGTGCAGGAATGATGAGTTAGATGACGGTGTTTCACGCAACTACCTCCCATGGATAGCAGATACAATCACGGGTATTTCTAGACTTTGTATTGCCAATAAAGGCCATCTTCCTATATCGATCCCCCAACTCGCTTCGTCCCGCCCATCACCACTTGTTCAGATTTGCCATGGGAGCCCTGCAATTCTTGTCCTTCTTGCATGTGCCAAAAGAGATAACCATTTGAGTTTCTACTTCTGGCGGCCGGAGTGGGACGAAGCCATTCGCTTAGCCACCGAGCGTGTATGGGAGCAGGGGCTTCTCTCGAAGGGAGGATGTCTTTGCCACGGAATCGCTGGCAATGCTTGGCCACTACTATTGCTGCATGATTGCTTTGAATATAACAAGGAACTAAGCCAGAGAGCAAAGCGTAACTACAGAGAACGGTCTCACACAACAGACGTCGCACGCGCCGCGGACAGCCTTACGGGTGACTACTTTCTCTCTAGAGCTTTGGCATTCCTCCTCCATGCACGGGAAACGCCCCCTTACAGTCGTCCACCCAATTCATCATTGAAGGACTACCGGATGCCGGACAGCCCCTATTCTCTCTTCGAGGGCCTAGCAGGGACCGTGTGTGCGTGGACAGAGGCTTGTGCTGTCATCCAAACACGACTGCGGAAGATGGAACTGGAAGAAGAACGAGCCGGCTCCCGCACCTCTCCGGAAAATGATGAAGTATTTGAAAAGCTGTCACTCCTGCAGCTGGGGTTCCCTGGTCTTGGGGGTTATGGTCCAAACGGCTTATTTTGAGGATCTGCTCGTATATCAGAGAATCGTATCTGTATACCTTACCAGTTGGGCAATACGCGAATAATAGAATAATTTCCCGGTCCATCGTGTCTTCAGAAGTTAATATAAGGGTATTTGGGGTTAGGATTCATTCATTTAGACGGGCTGCTCTCGTTGATGCTGCCACTAAAAGCTAGTAGAAATTCAGTACATCTGCTTTCCTAGATACAATCTCCCCGTCACCTCCTTATGGTCACCATTGGGCAAAATGTTATCGACAGCAAGTAGACTTGACATTTTCTTTCATGATTTACTCCTGAATGGCCAATTGTGATCGAACACGATCCTGACAGGGGCTTGCGTTGCCCGAGTGCTTGGCGATGATGTCTCGTTTCGACTGCGAGCAGCCGCTTCTCTCGCTATTTCATGCGGCTTGTCGATAGGATGGATGTCATGACCTACTCCATCCATGGCACTTGAATACAGCTGCGATGAGCTGTGTGCTTACAATGGAGGTATCTATTATCCTAGTTATTTAGTTATTACACATTGGCTGAGGCTGATTAATCGTCCGAACCTTGCAGATTACTATCAACGAATATGGAAGACGTCCTACCCTCCTATGCATTTGCGACGACCAGAGATGCCTGGATTATCATTGCCCAGTATATTCCATCTAGTGACCTCTGTGCAGCCTCGTTGGTTTGTCGGAGATGGCACAAATTGCTCATGCCATTCCTCTGGGGTAACCCGGCGTCTCACTTCGGAACAGAGAATGACGCCGTCTACGGTGAGAAGACATGACTTTCCCCCAAATTAGTTCTGATTTTGCTGACGTCGTTGATGATCCTAAGTTGCTCTTACGCGTTTCAGGAGGACGTTGAAATATGCACGACTCGAGGTGCGGATGTTGACCCATACTCTGCACCTGCCGCCCGCGCTCTCGGAGATCTATGATGGCCCACGGCCAGAATGGTTGCGCGAAATTCTCGAATATCTGCCTTGTCTTCAGTCTCTCATAGTCTCAAAGCTGCCTTTCTTTGATCATAACTCTATGATCGCTCTGAGGGGTTTCTCGGGCCATCCTCTGTCCTCTCGCAGGTACCCGAATATCCATCTATTGCTCGCGGAAGGCGAACCAAATTCTACATCGCAGGGGCTTGCGGAGACGCTCTTACGGCTCCCTGCGCTAGTATATCTCGATCTATCGTATACTATGGGAGCTCGAGATCATGCGGTTTTATCTACGTTGTCTGAACTAGAGCACCTCCAAGTCCTTAAGCTTCGTGGCCTCCGCCTAAAAGATAAAGACGCCGAGTTCTTAGCAAACGCCATTGGTACCAAAGTCCGGTTTCTGGACTTGCGAAATAATAAGCTCACAGACATGGCTCTTAGGTCATTGCTGCAAGCTTCTTTCCTTCCCGCTGGTGCTGCCATGAGACAAACACAATCTGCTCATAGTATATCTACTTCTGACTTCCTTAAAAGCCCGGATCTGGATGAACGGTTCTTAGACCTCCTAACACGTCCACTAACAAACTGTTTCTGGGTTACTAATATGCCACATGTGGGAATAACACACTTGTATCTTGCTGATAACCAGATCACTGTTGAAGGTGTAGCAAGCCTCCTGGCTTCAACCAGGCTTCATGCACTTGATGTTGGAACAGTGAATACAGCCGAGCTCTTCATGCGAGTACACCAGGAATCATGCAGTCGAGCGGGTTCCTCGCACTTCCCCGGGGCAGAGAAACTGATACCAGTCCTGGGTTCATGCGCGAAGGATAAATTGACGTATCTACGGGTACACCATGCCGTGGTTACGGAGGACACTCCTATCAAGGATCAATCGTTAAACGCTTTCCTATCCCAGCCCAGGCCTGTTGGGATGGCGGAGCTGGACCCTGTTAATCAAATTCATGAGCTGGCATCAGACGTAGAGTTCAGATTCGAGCTTGCAGATACTTCGATCCAGCGACCTACCACATCACCGTCACGAGATAGACGTCCGATTTATGAAGACGAGCCGTTACCGGAGAATAAAAGGGGTCCTGTTTTCGCCCCGGAAGTACTTCAGCAGGGCCATGATGAGAGCGGCGGCAAACCTGCTCTAGATGCCAGAGAAGCAGGGGCCTCTGGATCCCATCAAGCTGCAAGAAATGAACCGGATCAACCGCTCACTAGCCAATGTACCTCAGATGCCCACGTTCCGGCATCTCCGTCTAGTTTCTTGTCATCAGGCGGTTCTCTTCGAGCTCGAAGGATCCGAGAATTGCTCTCGAAAAGGCCACATAACCAAAGCTTTCCCCTGCGAGACGGTGGCTTCCCCTATTTGCATCCATCCCATGTCCCACATCTCGAAACCCTGGTTCTGACAGACGTTCCATCTCATGTACCGGAGAACTCCCGGATACTTACCTCTTTGATTCGTTTTATCACGGCTTGTTCAGATGAATCCCTACTAGCAACCCTCCAGGCAAAATCGGACTACTCGTTGCCTCCGGGCCGATCTCGACTAAGAGCTGAACAGCAGCAATCCAGAGCGCTTTTTGCTCTGAGTCGCCTAGTTCTTGAAATCGCACCCACATCGAAGGAGCTGCCGAAGTTGACTCCATGGACTCCCCTCAGTTATCGAGATGGCCCCTTCAGGTCTTCTGGAGGGGATCGAGACTCCGAGGCTCTTTGGTCCGCTGCTATAAATGATTTCAGTTTCTTTGGCGAAGAAGAATGCGGAATCCCCGAGAATGACCCCGGGAAGTACTTCCCCATGGCTGCCCTAAACGAGAAGGTCACTCTGGTGCCAGAGGATGACGGTCCTGGAATCCCGGAGCTCGCAGCTACTGAAGCAGGGCACCAAACGCTTTCCTCCGCAAGTGGCAGTAGCGCAACGAGTTCAACTACCAACGAAAAGGGACCAAAACAGAAGCAGGTTCCAGAAGTAGATCTGGTCGCCGAACTAGCAGCATTCCGCCGCGCGAAGAAAGCTCAATACGAAGAATTAATCTGGAGAGATCGAGAGAACCGACGACGAAATACAAATGCCAGCGCCGGCGACGTTGGATCGCCATTATCAGCAACAGCTCTCCTCTCACCTATCTCTCCTGTGTCGGCGTCAGCTTTGGCTTCATCATTGCAGCCACCGTCACCAAGTTCAACCACATCTTCTATGTCTTCTTTCTTTCCGATGACGCATTACGTGGAGGGCCATTGGAAGGGAGAGGTAAATGTCATCCGTAATGCGACACCAAAGGGCAGAAGTGGAATGGTGGATATGTATGGGAACTACTTTGAGAAAGGGTATTTGTACCCTTGAACGTAGTAGCAATTATAATTCAAGTCTACTGTAGAAAATGCTTACAAGGAATTTTTTGGTCAATAAAAGTGGATTCTTTCCCCCTTTCATTTTTCTGTTCTTTTCATGCATAATGCCATGCCATGGCTGCAAGGGAAGGAAAGACAAAAAGACGAAAATCGCTCGCAATTTCATCATGCGGAATCTTCTTCGATTTGATTCCCCGACAATCTGTCGGATCCCTAATTCCATTCCTTTTGGGTTTAAATTTTTTTCTCCCTCGTCGCCATGGTAAAAGACATTATCGTTGAACCCTTATTTTATTTGCTGACAACCCGACCATTTGGGGTTCATCAACCATCTTTGCGCGTATTGATCACCATGCATGCCTTCCACCTCGCATAAAAAAAACAGAAACCTACTGAAGCGAGAGAAATGAAAAGGAAAAAGAAGAAATATAAAAGGAAAGGTCCGGAAAAAGGAAGCCCAGCCGAAGTAATCCAATTCATTTCATTTCTTTTTCTCTTTCAAACTTCTCTTACAGAGCCTTAGCGGTCTGGGTGGGAGTCAATCTCTTGCCATCCTTGTTGTACCTGATCCTTGGGGGAGGGGCACGGTTACGGCGACCTTCCCGGGAGCGGACGCTATAAAAAGAAAAGAAAATTGGGTCAGCTATGTTGTTTCTTTAATAATTCCCATCGGAAGCACATATGATCGAAATGGTCCTTGCATGTGCGTGTTTAAAGTATGGGGGGACAAGCGTACCGAACAATCTTGCCGTGGATAGCGCAGGAGACGCAGTATTGGAGCTTCAGGTACATCTTAGGAACGGCGTAGTCCGTGAAGACGGAGGCATCAGAGATATCACCTGCATGGAGAAGACGCCGGTTAGTCCGAATTGCTCTTCAGAATAGACGGTTCTCCCTCCTCAATCCCATGGCAACTTGTCTCCCATTCAATTCTCATTCTTCTTAATCTTTTTCTCTCATATCACACAATCCCCCGATTCCATTGTTCACCATTTCATTGCCATATCTTGCCACGTTTGTAATCGGGGTATAAATGTTCAAACGTACGGATAGCAGCAGACTCTACCATGTTGCGAATGGTGAATCTCTTGATCGCCTTGTCCTTAGGACAGCAACGAGCGCAGTTGGAGCAGCGGACGGGCTTGACGTGGCCGCGGCCCTTCTTGTTGCGGCCGCTGTAGAGGAAAAGAACATGTCAGTTTGCGGACCCCCAATTCTTGAGTTTCAATTCTGTTTACAACGAAGCCCTCGCAATTGCCGACCATAGCGGAGTACTTCCCCGGGACAACGCTAGGAAGCCGGATTCAAGGCAGTGTTGGGGAGGAGGGTGTTGTTCTTACTTGTTCGCCCTCTTCTTGACCATTTTGACGGATTTCTCTGCGACGAAGGGTCAGAGGAAGAGTGGGAGTATGTTGGAGGGAGGGGCGGAGATTGTCGCGTACTTGGCTGTCGGGTTTGGTTGTCGAAGGCACTGGCACGCTCCTGAAGTGGTAGAGCGGTTTGTGGGCGGGAAGCCCTATGCCCTTAAGCGAGGACTCCCGTGACTGTTTATGCCTCAGGCCTAATATAGTTGCCTGAGTAACCAGGCACTAATTGGCAGCCACCCGTCCTCGTGACCACGTCATGTCGGGGCGGTCAGGCCACATGGGCGGATTCCCGGACCTGGCAGTATTAACTATCAACGGCTCGTCCTTGAACGCTTTCCGAGTCCGACGAAAACAGAAGAACTGGTCACTTTTTCCCCAGTCGGGTGTTCTCGCGCGTCCTGTTGGCACAAATTAGACCAATCTCCTCTCTATGCCCTGATCACCCTCTGGCACTATAACTAGATTCTCCATTTCTCTTTTCCCGTTTTTGTTCTTGCTCCCCCCTATTCTCGGCCTAGAACTCGGTATCTCTCCCTTTCCGCTCCATTGACCACTCCCTTTTAAGCTTTTGCTGATCCAGCCTTTCCTAGTCGTTGGTAATGTCTGCAGCCGGAGGAACCATTCGCGGGACCACTAGCAACAGGACTGTTGGAAGAGGCAGGCTCCCTGATTTTGATAACGCTACGTCGCACATCCCACGTCCAAAGAACGAGCCGGCTTCTGTAAACAACCCTGGTAGCGACGTCGGCAGCAACGCTATGAGCACCGCGAGCAGACAAAGGCAGAACCAGTCGAAGCGCGATGAGGTACTGTACTGAACGCATTTCTGATCCCAAATCCACCACAATTGAGCCCCGTTGCAATGCTGCGTAGCATTGCTGGAACCCTCATTGGACGTTCTTTAGCTGACATTTTTGCGGGGGTAACCCTGGTCCAGGCGATTCGACGGAAATTGGAGGCCGACCTCAACAAGAAGAAACAGCCAACGAAGAAGCCCAATCGCACCCGCAGGGCTCCTCCGGGGTCTGTGCTTGCTTTAAAGCCCACGCAGGCGCTGCAAATCAAGCCCGGGACCACCGTTGCCGAGGCTGCTCAAATGATGGCTGCGAAGAGGGAAGACTGCGTCCTGGTGACCGACGATGAAGACAGAATCTCCGGTATTTTCACCGCCAAGGATCTGGCATTCCGCGTTGTCGGGGCTGGCATAAAAGCTCGGGATGTGACTGTTGCGGATATCATGACCCAGAACCCCCTGTGCGCGAGGACCGATACCAGTGCGACGGACGCGCTCGATCTCATGGTTAGGAAAGGATTCAGACACCTGCCGGTTATGGATGAGAACCAGGATATTTCAGGTGTTCTAGACATTACGAGATGCTTCTATGATGCAATGGAGAAGCTGGAGCGCGCCTACAGCTCGTCCCGCAAGCTGTACGATGCGTTGGAGGGTGTGCAGACCGAGCTCGGCTCTAGCCAGCCCGAGCAGATTATTCAGTATGTTGAAGCATTGAGGCATAAAATGTCCGGTCCAACTCTCGAAACCGTGTTGGACGGTTTGCCCCCAGTGACTGTTTCGGTACGCACGTCTGTCAAGGACGCTGCGGCTGTTATGAGGGAGAACCACACAACTGCCTTGCTTGTGCAAGACCATGATTCGGTCACCGGCATTTTCACGAGCAAGGATATTGTCCTCCGAGTCATTGCCCCTGGCCTTGATCCTGCCACTTGCAGCGTCGTTAGAGTGATGACCCCACACCCAGACTTTGCTTCGACGGATATGACCATTCAGGTTGCTCTTCGCAAGATGCATGGTCAGTATAATAACAAACCGCTACTCTGAAGTGCTGGGTAATTGGTAGCTAATCAGCATTTCTGAACTAGACGGTCACTATTTGAATTTACCTGTGATGAACGAGAGCGGGGAGATTGTGGGCATGGTGGATGTTCTCAAGCTCACATACGCCACTCTTGAACAGGTATGTCCCGTACGTCCCCTTTCTGGTACTGCGTAGCATTACATAACTAAATCTTCTCTTCATCAGATCAACACAATGCAAAACAACCAGGATGATGAGGGCCCTGCGTGGAACAAATTCTGGCTGTCAATGGACCACGACACGGACTCGTTGCTTTCTGGAAGCCAAACCCGTACTGCCAATCGCTCTCATCTTAGCCCCGACTTGTCTAGACACGGATTTGAAGGAGGCAGAGACAGTGTATTACCTAACGAGTCCGCATCGCATAACGGAGAATCACACTCAGAATTTATAATTGAACATCAACATGAAGAGCTCGCGCCATTTCCTTTCAAATTCAAGGCTCCTAGTGGTCGGGTGCATCGAGTCAACGTCTTCCCAGGCTCCGGAGTTGTCGATCTGGTCGATCAAGTAACGGCCAAGCTCGGGCCGGAGGTTGAGGCTGTTGGCGGTGCTCCTGTCTTCGAAGACGAGAAACTCAGCAGCACTGGTTATGCTCTGAGCTACCTGGATAACGAGGGCGACACCGTCTCGATCACCACTGACCAGGATATGAGGGATGCCGTAAAACTCGCACGACAGTCGCGCCGTGACAAGGTTGATATGTTCGTCCATGATCCCACTCAGCCTCCTGTCCCTCCTCCAGTTGAAAAGGCCCCGGAAGACAAGAATGTCACCTTGGTCGACGAACAACAGGCCGAAGATGCACTCAAGACAAGAGCCGCGTACCAGGGTCCTCCAGAGGAGTTTATCTCAGGCGTGCCTAACGAGCTGCTGCTCCCTGGTGCGATTGTGACCTTGGCTGCAGTTATCGCTGTGGTGTTTACATTGAACCGCATTGGTAGCAACAGGTAATTGTTCTAGTGTTATTTGTATATTGACTTCTTTCTCCCACTCGGGGGTCGCCTTATATCTTCCGATGGCACTGGTGATTGATGCCGCTTGTCCTTTCGGACTGTACAGGTTGTCTTCTGTCGGTTTACAGCGTCTATTCTTCCTCTTGTAACACTTGTGTCCCTCTTTTGCATTTACTTTCATTTGTTCCTATTACTCAAGTCTCTTTGAACAGTTGAATTCATTATTCGTGTACCGCTGTTTGTTGCTATCATCACTATTGCAGATTTAGGGCTCAATGCACAAGTATCCTCCATGGCAAAAGCAGGATGTTGATGTAATACTAGACAAATAAAAATAGCACACTGCGCTGTAATATAATATGAGGAGGGAAGTAGGAGAAAGAAAGGGATGCGTAAAAGGATACCTTAGGTACCTAATAGCAGATCAGCCTGATTGGGTCTAGCGCCGAGTTTGCACAGGTTCGCCGAATTTGTCTTTTCTTTGGCCTCAATCCAACACTGTTTTCTCCCCCTCCAGAGATCCATTTTTTCTCCTCCAGGTCCTCGGCTGCTGCTCTTCACTTAGATGGCATGTTGAGCCTTTTACTGGGCTGTGTTGGTCTGTGAGAAAATTCAACCTTCATCTCTTCGCCATTCGTCACCAGCACACTACCAAAAAAAAGTTCCCTCATACCCCGCTACGTTCAAAACTTCGGTCTCCTGGCGTTCTTATCAACTCTCCTTGTCAACTACCTAGTCTGGTTCTCTTGCTTAAAAATTACTTTGCGAATCAACTCTAGCCAGATTGTCTGCGACAACCTCAGAAGGCAAAATGTCGTTACTACCTCCCGAAGTTCACGCCGCGCTGTCACAGTTGCTGCGCGCGTTGACCACTCCCGACAACACTGTCCGGTCTCAGGCAGAAGAACAACTGAACAATGACTGGATACAGGAACGTCCGGACGTTCTTTTGATGGGGCTGGTAGAGCAAATACACGGTGCAGAGGATTCCAGGGTAAGTCGGTGAGACGAAGAGGGTGAAGGTTGGGACCAGTTAGTCTCATCTTCTACTCCGGTTGGCAGCTGAGGGCAATGGCTTCTTCTTTCTGACAGTTTCAATGTTTTATAGACGCGTTCGTTTGCCGCAGTGCTTTTCCGACGGATAGCTACCCGGACAAGGAAGGATCCCGCTACCAACGAAGTCAAAGAGCTTTTCTCAACCCTCAAACCGGAACAGAGATTGGTTATCAGGCAAAAATTGGTGGATTGCTTGACCAGCGAGTCCCTTACTGAAGTCAGGAAGAAGACCGGTGACTGCGTTGCGGAGGTTGCGCGGCAATACACGGACAATGGTATGCAACATGCCCCGTTCTACGCAGAATGAAGGATGTCGTTATCTGATAGATATTTTCCTTTTCTCTTCTTATTTCTTTAGGAGAGCAATGGCCCGAACTCCTTTCAATTCTCTTCCAGGCCAGCCAGTCCCCCGAGGCTGGTCTCCGCGAATCAGCGTTTCGAATTTTCTCGACCACCCCCGGCATTATCGAGAAACAACATGGGGATGCCGTTCTTGGTGTATTTTCCAAGGGCTTTAAGGATGATGACATCGCTGTAGGTGGTCGCAACTTGCCTCATCTGAAGTATATATTGACCGCGCCGTAGGTGCGCATCGCATCCATGGAAGCATTCGCCGCATTCTTCCGGTCTATCCCTAAGAAATCACAGTCCAAGTTCTTCCCTCTCATTCCTGATGTCCTCAACATTCTTCCACCTCTGAAAGAGGCGTCTGAGAGTGATCAGCTATCTTCGGCATTCCTAGCTCTGATCGAGCTTGCTGAGCTCTGTCCGAAGATGTTCAAGAGCTTGTTCAACAACTTGCTCAAGTTCAGTGTCAGCGTCGTTGCCGATAAGGACCTCAGTGACCAGGTCAGGCAGAATGCTTTGGAACTAATGGCCACCTTTGCCGATTATGCACCCAACATGTGCAAGAAGGACCCCGATTTCGCCAACGAGATGGTGACACAGTGCCTCAGCTTGATGACAGACATTGGTGTTGACGACGACGATGCATCAGAGTGGAATGCTTCCGACGATGTAAGTCTGCTTCCGTTGGCTTTAGCCGCACTTAAGGAACTGGGTTTTAACACCATTGTAGCTTGACATTGAAGATAGCGATCAGAATCATGTCGCTGGTGAGCAGTGCATGGATCGTCTGGCAAATAAACTCGGCGGTCAGGTCATTCTACCTGCCGCATTCACCTGGATCCCACAGATGATGTCGTCGTCTTCTTGGCGGGATCGTCATGCAGCGCTCATGGCAATCTCTGCCATATCTGAAGGCTGCCGCGATCTTATGGTTGGTGAGCTCGATCAGGTATTGAGGTTGGTCGGCCCAGCTCTTCAGAACCCGCATCCTCGAGTCCGGTATGCCGGCTGTAACGCTCTTGGTCAGATGAGCACGGATTTCGCCGGAACAATGCAAGAGAAGTACCATGCTCTTGTCCTGAACAACATCATCCCGGTGCTTGAGTCTCCGGAACCCCGTGTCCAAGCTCACGCCGCCGCTGCGCTCGTCAACTTCTGCGAAGAGGCAGATAGGAAGATCCTTGAGCCGTATCTCGGGAATCTCCTGCAGCACCTTGCGCGACTCCTGCAGAGCCCGAAACGCTACGTTCAGGAGCAGGCTCTTTCTACCATTGCAACTATTGCAGACTCTGCCGAAGCAGCATTCAGCCAGTATTACGACTCCCTGATGCCCTGGCTTTTCAAGGTCTTGCAGGAGGAGCAATCCAAAGAATACCGACTCCTACGTGCCAAGGCAATGGAATGCGCGACTCTCGTTGCTTTGGCCGTTGGCCATGAGAAGATGGGACAAGACGCTCTGGCCCTAGTACAACTTCTAGGCAGTATTCAACAGAACATTGTCGATGCAGACGATCCACAGTCGCAGTATCTTCTTCATTGTTGGGGCCGCATGTGCCGCGTCCTGGGAACCGACTTTGTTCCCTTTTTACCAGGCGTCATGCCGCCGCTTCTCTCAGTCGCGGCAGCCAAGGCTGATATCCAGCTGCTGGATGACGAAGATCAAATCGAGCAAGTCGAGCATGATGAAGGCTGGGAGCTCGTTCCTCTGAAGGGGAAGATAATTGGCATCAAGACAAGTGCGCTTGAAGATAAGAACACGGCCATTGAGTTAATCACCATTTACGCTCAAATCCTGGAGGCAGCGTTCGAACCCTACGTGTTGGAAACCATGGAGAAAATAGCTGTTCCTGGACTGGCCTTCTTCTTCCACGATCCTGTCCGAGTTTCTTCAGCCAAACTGATACCACAACTTTTGAACTCGTATAAGAAAGCACATGGTGGACAATCACCAGGCTTCGCGGAGATGTGGAATAAGGTTGCAGAGAAGATCATCGAGGTTCTAAGCGCTGAACCTACAGTAGATACTCTAGCGGAGATGTATCAATGTTTCTACGAGTCAGTGGAGGTGGCTGGCAAGAACTCCCTCAGCCCACAGCACATGCAGGCCTTCATTGAATCGGCTAAATCAACACTGGAGGATTACCAGACCCGCGTGAAGCTCCGTCTAGATGAAAAAGCCGATGCGGAAGATGGTGATGAGGAAGATTTGGATTATGAATACGCAATCGAGGATGACCAGAATTTGCTCAGCGATATGAACAAGGCTTTCCACACGATTTTCAAGAACCAGGGAACTTCATTCTTGCCTGCCTGGCAACAACTTCTTCCCTTCTACGATGCTTTCATTACTAGCCAAGATCCCACCCAGCGGCAATGGGCTTTGTGTGTCATGGATGACGTGTTGGAGTTCTGTGGTCCAGAGTCATGGACCTACAAGGACCACATCATGCGGCCTCTCGCTGCTGGATTGCTGGATGAAAATGCAGCAAACCGCCAGGCGGCTGCATACGGGGTGGGTGTCGCTGCTCAGAAGGGAGGGCCTGCCTGGAGTGATTTCGTCGCTGCTAGCATCCCCAGTCTCTTCCAGGTGACACATCATCCCCAGGCAAGATCTGAGGAGCATATCTTCGCAACAGAGAATGCTGCGGCCAGTATCTCTAAGATCCTTCACTATAACCCGTCCAAGGTGCAAAACCCACAAGAGATTGTGGTGAATTGGATTAACACCCTACCGATCACGAATGATGAGGAGGCCGCTCCTTACGCATATTCCTTCATTGCACAACTCATTGACCAGTAAGTTCTTTTAATAACGTGTTCTAAACCGTGATACTAAACTTTTACTTACAGACACAATCCCGCTGTGTTTTCCAATGCGGCCAAGGTCTTCGGATATATAGTTCAGGCTCTGGATGCCGAGACTTTACAAGGCCAAACGGCCCAACGAGTAGCTAACTCGGCGAAGCAACTTGTTGTAGCTGCCACAGGAGTGAATGCCGAACAGATTCTCGCAGGGGTGAACCCTGACAACCAGGCCGCTGTGCGGAGCTATTTCCAGTAGAGAAGCAAGATGATAGAACCCTGGTGGTGGATCATGTGTTGGAATGATTTCTGTGGTTTCTACAATGAGTGGCAGCCGTTTCTTCCCTTTCTTCACTTTTAATCGATGCCTTTGTATTTGCAATTTGACCTTGACAGCCTTTACGTACATTTGTTCTCGGTCACCCATTCCGCTTAGTCGCCTTAGTTTCATTGTGTGTGTGCTGTCGTCCAAGGGGGCCTTCTTGTCGATTTTCTCTAGTATCATCTTGAATTGAATATGGCCCTAGAAATTAGCCCGGTGAGATATCGATATTGCAGCTGGGATTCTGTTATGTCGTTCCATATATCCATAACCAGCCTAGTCGGACACAGGCTTGTAACCTATTGATGGATGTTTAAGTAATAAGCTAGTAAGCAGCCATGAATACTCAGTCAAGCATTGTTTCTCGCGTGTATACGATTCCAACTGTGTCACCGATTCCACTCCTCAACCTTCTCACACATACCATCCAAGCTCGTGAAGGGGGGCGAGTATCCCAACCATCCATCGTCGGGCCTCTTCCTGGCCCTAAAATTATCTGCAATAACAAATGTTGCTGTGCCTGAACAACCCCCGTCTCAAATAATCCCCCGTCACACTTGATGTGGAGGTAGAAAAAAGCCACTCCCAGCTTCGATGTGATAATGGCGTTTCCCAGCGGGATGGCTGCCATCCTACCTTCTTTCTCGGTAGATCACTGGAGATGAATCATATATAATCAACCCCCCCAGGGAAGGTTGTTGCTGTTGCTGCTGTCTCCTTCATGGTGGAACTGCAAGTTAAGATTTGCTCACATTGACCCACTACACTGTGACTGAACTCTGCTCTAGGTTGTGGACATATATTACCCTTGAACGAAACATCTAGTTAATTAGATAGTGCTTATGTACGGAGGCCAAATGTATGCCGCGAGAAGTTTGGGTTGTCCCATCATGTCCCATTCACGTGTCCTGGAGGAGCAACCCGACACGCCGGGAGAACGCCCAAGCAACGCTTTCAACATCCATGGACACTTCCAACAGACAGCAATGTATCGCGTTAACTTGTTAATCCTAACCCAGTAGGTGTTGGTGGATGCTATCATCGGCTATGATCACTTTCGAGTCGTTTCGATAGATAATACTCCATACTGACCATCTCTCTGACAGGACTGAGGTTAATAAATTAATACGCGGAGTAACGCCCTCGCTCCGTACTCGGCAAACCGGCACGAGTTCCAGATCGTCCTGGGCAAATCGGGTTGCTTTGAGGATGGAGACTGGCCTTAATTCAATCAGATCCCACAGTTACAGCCGTAAGATGATGTCTACCTAATCTCCTCTCCCTCTGGAGTCTGGGGGTCAAAATGCAAGGAATCCATCGCAATTCATCGTGCAGGAATAATACGAATCTCAGCTTCGTCATCGGAACTCAATCATTCTTAACTACCGTGTGCCGCGATAAGGCAACACCGATCCTTGGGTCTCTTTGCTACTTTTGGATGATGCGATTATGATTAGGGCTCTTTCCGGCACGCAAGCAGCCGGCGTTATTGCCGATGTCATAGTCTCTTCCCAAGATTATGCCAATTCCCTCCCCTTCGGCCTTTCGCAGATGTCCGAGGTTGGGGGCTTTCTTCCTGTTCCCCAATAAATAACAAGCCAAGTGCGGAATTCTTGCGCTACCGATCTCGACATCGGCAGCCATTTGCTGCTTGTGACTCACTGGGTCTGTGTTAAATGCAGCTTGTAACCTTCCATGAAGGGACAAGTAATAACTGACCGCAGGATACCAGGATTTTGTCCCCGTTGGCTGTGACCACTAATTGCATGGACGATCCTACTAATATATTCACCCAGTCCCGGGATCTCGCTTCCCATTCTGTTCCCGTTTATACGTTTATATATAAACAGCGTTCTACGGCCCACACACCTTTTCAGGCATAAATTTCTACACTGGCCGATTGCGACTCGTTATATCCGTAAAGGATCCTACTTTTTTCCTTCAATGCTTCGGATCCACCGGTTACATGACCTTGCAGGTAATCTGGCTCTGGGTAGCGAGGCTGGTTTAGTCGAACTGTAGGTTGCCAGCGTTGACGACCACCGCTGAACATCTCGACAACAATGTCTCCTTCATCGCAGAACGCCACTCCAGGAGGTGAAGCGTTTCTGGAAGCCAACCATGGTCGTGGATCTGCAAATACATGCTCAGATTCTATCGTGGAGACTATTTCCTCGGAGGAAACCCTAGAAGATGTTGGTGCTCTGGAGACGAAGCTGTCGGGACGAATCTCTCAGATGTCCGATCCTTATTTGGCCCGCGAACTCACATCTGGCACTGGTGATCCCGAATTCGAAGTAGATTGGGAGAGTGACGAAGATCCTGCCAACCCCAGAAACTGGTCGTTGGCCTACAAGAGCTTGATGGTCTTCTTCATTTCGTGGAATACCCTGATTGTGTAGGCCCCCAAAGCACCAGGATTAGTTGCGCTCTTGTTACTAACAGTTATCGCCTGTTCTTTTCTCTTAAAACCAGCGTCCTATACTCCACATCATACACCCCTGCCGTTTCCGAACTTACTACTTACTTTGGAACCTCTGAGACTATCATGACCCTGGGACTCACTTTTTACCTTCTGGGTCTAGCCTTTGGCTCTTTGGTCATGGCCCCTCTAAGCGAAATGTATGGTCGAAAGCCCGTTTGCGTGCCTAGTCTGTTCCTCTTCGCGGTTCTCATTATCCCATGCGCTCGCGCTACGTCTGTGGCAGAGATTATGGTCGTCCGATTTCTTTCGGCCTTTTTTGGGAGCGTCATGGTTTCTGCTGCTCCGGGACTCGTCGCAGATGTGGTCAATGATGAACATCGGTCTCTGGCAATCTCTATTTGGAGTATCGGGCCGATGAATGGACCAGGTATGTGCTGGATGTTTCTTGATACTTCCCAACCGCTTTGTCTGGCTGTAGATATTGGTAACTCTGGATACCAACTAGTATTTTATAGTTCTGGGTCCAATAATTGGAGGGTTCGTGACACAGTATCTAAGCTGGAGATGGATGGATTGGATCACTCTGATGTTAGCAGGTGTTGCGCTATTCTTTGCTTGTATAATGAGGGAAACATATGCTCCCATCATACTTCAGAGGAAGGCTGCTCGACTACGTAAAGAAACAGGGGACTCACGCTGGTGGAGTCAGTATGACAATAAAATGAGTCTATTTGAACTATTGAAAATAAGTCTCATGAGACCATTCGGCATGATCGTTTCGGAACCTATTTGGTAAGGATTCCAGGAATATTGAAACCAAATAGTTTCACTGACCCGCGGCTGCATCCATATAGCATCTTTTGGAATCTCTACGTCGGAGTAGTGTACGGAATCCTCTACCTCTGTTTCGTGGCCTACCCGATTGTCTTCCGCGAAATTCGAGGTTGGTCCCTTGGTATCTCGGGCCTTGGCTTCCTCGGGATAGGGATTGGAATCTTCATCACCATCGCCTGTGAACCCCTGATCCGCCGCATGGTCAATGCACACAAATCGGACCCAGAAACCGGGAAACCCCCTCCGGAGGCAATGGTGTCCATAATTTGTATCTCCTCAATTCTAATCCCTGTCGGAGAACTATGGTTTGCCTGGACCTGCTCCCCAAAGTCGATACACTGGATCGTTCCCATTCTCGCAGGCGTTCCCTTTGGAGCTGGGAACACAGGCGTCTTCATCTACAGCGCCAGCTATCTTGCTGGTAGCTATCGGATCTACTCTGCGTCCGCGCTGGCAGCGAATTCGGTGGTCCGGAGCATTCTTGGTGGGGTCATGCCCCTCGCAGGTTCGCCCATGTATTCTCGGTTGGATGCGAATTGGGCCGGGACCCTTCTGGGCTTGCTGGAAGTCATTCTCATACCGATTCCGTTTGTTTTCTGGAAGTATGGGCACAAGATCCGGATGAAGAGCCCGGTCATCATGAAAATGGAGGAAGATGAAAGGAAGGCGAAGTTAAAGAGGGAAAACAGATGGCGCAGGCAAGGGATTAATGTGGGAGATTCGGAGAAGCAAAAGGAGACTGTCTAAGTCTACAACCCTCTCTCCAACATATATCCCTGTGGAAGCATGAAAAGAAGAAAGGGCTCTTTGTTTGCTGATATTCTTGGTAACAGCCAGTATTATCTCGGTCTCGTCAATTCTTGTCTATGCTTACCGTTGTGGATGAGAGAAAAGGCATCAGAAAATGGCATCACCACCAATAATGCATTGAAGGAGCAAGAGATGATGGAAATGATATTCACTAAATATAGCATAAAGCATAGTCAGAACATATTCGAGTAAAAGTTAATATGATATTCCTAATCAGCACCTAGAGATATATCCTAGACATGCACCCAGACTGTATGAAGATAAAACGAACAGACAATCCATGTAGTAATAGTCAACAAATAGGGCACGCCTCATTTATTTGTACGAACATAATCACTCTGATCGCCCGAAGGTCTTCTCAACAACCTGGAGATCCTTCAATATGCGCTCGTACTCCCCAATCTCGACCGAACCGGCGGGGAAAACCATAACGGCATCAACGTATACTGAATGGGTAATGGTGGGACCAGCTTCGTTCTGAGGCGGTTCCTGCTGCCGCTGCCGCTGTTTTGGTGGAGGTTGAGACTGCCAAACTTGACGTTGGTGTCTTACGTATCCCAACACGTTAAGCCATGCACCGACGGATAGGTCCTCAGACCTCATAGTTTCAAGAGTAGCATTGATATCAACCGGTACAGAACAGGCCGATTCAGTTGCTCCTGTACCATTCCCGTGTTTGGGTCGAGGATAGTTGTGTTCTAGGTATAAATGGCCTTTAGAGACGTCGTAGGTTTTTACGCTGTTTATTTTGCGAATTAGCAATTATTTTCACATGTTCCTTCTTCTGTTTTGCTTTATTCATTCCCTCCTTATTTCACGAATAATTTATGGACATTTTTTATCTATCTCCAAGTTAATGTGTACCACGTACCATCCGAGAAATCGGACCTTCGAGTCAGCAGGGAGATGCAGGAGGTCAGAGAGGAATGCCCGTCTTGAGGGAAGCGGACCATTATTCATCCCTCAATGATTTCGATCGCTTTGGAGGCAGCAAGAGTAAAGGAGAAGAAGAGTGAGTGATGCTTTTGCTGAATATCAATAAAGGACATGTCGACACGTGACCTGTACCCTGCGATAGGCTTAGCGTGGATGTCATAGGTAAGCCCCTCCTCCGACGGTGATTTATCTTCAGGCAACGTCAAACTGAAGCAGCGCCTCCTTGTGTCTCTAGATATCACGCAGGAAGATAGCCTCCATTACCATCTGCAGAGGTAGGTATCCTCTTGAGATGTCATTTTGGCTGTTGAAAATATGCCTTGTGACTGACGTTATCTCTTTTCCAGCTCGACTTCTATCTAACCACCCCAATCGCCCACCACACTCTTCTCTCCCCTTTGCCTAGGAGAAACATACCGTGGGCACCAAAGACGCTCTCATTTATTTTCGAGAAGGAGTTGGTACCGACTCCTCGGTTATTCGGAGGGATTCCACCCGAGAAATACCTTCCTTAGAAGACCTCGTCCTGTTGTTGATTGTCGAGAGAAAATGTGGTCCTGGTTCGGTGGCGCATCGGCCGCGCAGAAGCGAAAGGATGCCCCCAAGAATGCCATATTGCTGCTCCGAGAGCAGCTAGATATGCTGCAGAAGAGGGAGAAGCATTTGGAGAATCAGATGGCCGAGCAGGATGCAGTGGCAAGGAAGAATGTCTCGACAAATAAGAACGGTATGGCTCTGACCATGAGAATCGCTCGGCTGCATTTTCAAAGAGGTACAGAATTCTAACGTCAATGTTGTTGTTGCAGCTGCCAAGGCCGCTCTGAGACGAAAAAAGGGCTACGAGAAGAACCTAGAACAGACCACTGCCCAGATCACTCAGTTAGAACAGCAGATATACTCGATTGAGGCCGCAAATATCAACCAGGAAACTCTGCATGCCATGAAGGTCGCAAGCGCTGCCATGTCACAGATCCACAAGGGATTGACTATTGATAAAGTGGATGAGACTATGTATTTCTTCCTTCTTCTGGGGAACATCACGTGTTTTTGTTTGGGGGAGCTTCTCTGACGCTAGTTCTTGTAGGGATCAAATTCAACAACAGCATCAACTCAGCGAAGAAATTGCCCAGGCTATCGCATCCAATACTATTGGTGAAGTGCCTGACGAGACCGAGCTCGAGGAGGAATTGGAGAGCATGGAACAAGAAGCTATGGACAAGCGCATGCTTACTCCTGGCACTGTTCCAGTCGCAGATAAAATCAGCGCGTTACCGTCCGCGGCAAATGGGGAGCGTATGTTCTTGTTTCCCTTACAGCCTGTCCCTTTCCATTCCGTTTCTTGTCAACTCAGTCTGACGCTCTTCTTTCTATTATATAGTCAAAGCCAAGCACGAAGTGGAAGACGACGAGGAAGCAGAGTTGGAAAAGCTCCGTGCGGAGATGGCCATGGGATGAATGTTCCTTGAGTCTGCTCCCTGTTAGGCTTAATCGTTGCTTCTCATCCCCCCCAACCAACCAATTTAAAATCCTTTTCGAAGCAACAATCTCAAGCGGCTGACTCGACGGGTTTATTTATTGTATGAATGAAACGCCGAATGTCCCTTCATTGCGCGTCCTCTTTTCTGTGTAATTTTGTCCCCTCTTCTCGCTATTAGCAGCCGAACAAGCCTTCTAATTTTTTTTATCATCTGCTTGTCTTGTCGTCTCGTCGGCGTATCTTGGTTCTTTTATTATCATAATTCCATTCGGTCCGGTTCTGGTTCTGGGGGTTCTTTTTGTGGTTTCTGTCTGTCTTTTTTTTTTTTTTTTTTTTGTGCCGTTTCTCTTGCCTACTGCTATAAACATACATACCTACGGAGTACTTACATACATTTCTATTGCCGTTTCCAATTCTTTCAACTCATGCCTAATCGGTCACTCTCTGTACGGAGTAAGCACATAGACTGAATATATCGAAACTTCCGCCTCCCTACTATACTACACTGAGCTGGAGAGCCCTGCATCTACTGAAAAACAGCAAACGTAGGGATGCTTCGGTTTTCTCATTCGACATATCTATGATAGCTATTTAAGATAGGACAGAGACCGGAGTATACAGATACAATACGAGCATTCGTATATTCTGCAATAATATCATGCGGGAACTCCGTCTAAATTTCAACAATATGGCACGGGCCAATACATAAAAGTTCAAAAGAAATAAAACGAAAACAGGAGGATTGAAACTAAAATTAAAAAGAAAAACCGGTAGGGTACCTGTAACTCCGGAACACCCGCTTTCCCAGACCATTCTGGACTGACTGCTCCACCGACCAACCTTCATAGTGATGATAGATAGATATTCTAGAAGATAAGAGAAAAGAAAACGGCCCCGGACCATTACCGAGTCGTACGATGCTAGTAAATAATAATCAAGGGAACCAAGCGTAGCTTTTCAGAGGACTCGTCCTGGATCCGTGAGTGGCTTCATTTTGCCATTTGGTTTTCCATTCCCACTCTCGCGCGGCGGCCTCGACGAGGGCTTCTTTGCATTCTGGTGGGAGCTCTGCGAGGATGTCTGGTCCCACGAATTCGGGGTGCATGGGGTTGGCGATGGAGATTAGGCCATTAGAGCCGAGGTCGTGCACGTCACCGTCCGGGCCGGGGATTCCCATATTGGAGTACGGTGGGGATTCGTAGTAAACATCGTGGATGGCGAAACGGCGAGAGAACGCCGGTGGAACGCTGGAGAAGACAGTGGCGTGGTTGACGTTCTCGTCGGCCTGGGTGTCATCGTTGGCAGTGGGGATAACATCATGAGGTTCATCGTGATGGTCAGGAAATTGCTTCTCGCTGTCGTTGTCCTTGTCATCGCCTGTCAGACGTAGGGTCGACATTCCTTTCATCAGCTTCGCTGTCGTTTGGGGATCGGGAGGAGGTAGTCGCTCCCAGCGAACATGCGAAGGTTGCATAATTTTGGGATATTGAATGGCATTGGTGTGGATATCGTAGATCCCTTGGAGATTCTGACGGCGGACGTTTAAAATGGCAGAGTTGAAATTACTGGAAAGTAAAATCGGAATATTAGTATGTTTAGAAGCTAAAAGAAAAAGATAGGTCTGCAAACTTACCTGGCTTCCCTTGCATGCTCGACCATCCAATTGTCACCAGTAACCGTGACCCTGCGCTTCTTGGGGTCGCCTACCTTACCTATTGGTATTGGGACTGAAGGGGCTCCAGTGTGGTAGACGCTGCTGGCCCCATGCCATGCCACATACTGGTTTCTGTTATAGGGTTCACCCGGAGGAGGTAGCTTATCCTCCGGAACAGCAAGCTCGCCCTCGACGTCTCCTCGCTCTCGGGCCTCTTTGACGCTGTAATCATCAATAATCTTTCTTCCACCGACAATGATTTTGGCGCCGAATTCTCGGAACACAGATCGCGCCGTCACAACACCAATAGCTCTTCCCTTGTAGGAGTGAGGAATAATGTCCCTGGTGATTAGGTCGCGTTTAGCATCGTCGTCGATGATGATTTTGTAGAGAAGCTTATGCTTCTGGAAAAACAGATAGGAGTCGCGGAATCCAATACAACGCGCGGGTTCTGTCGACAGCATGTATAGTCTGTCCCCACGGTTTAAGATGGTAAATGTGCGAACACGATATTCTCTGCCTTCCTGAAGTACACCATTTTTATCTACTTTGGTCTCACCCTCCGGATCATCTGGAAGAACCACCTCATCATTCACCACATCCAATACATTCCCTTCCTTATCGATGGGGACCTGGGTAACGTGAGACGGTCCTCTATTTCGACCCCAGCGTCCACCGCTGGCAGCAGGACGGCCGCGTCGCCTCTTGGCGGGTGTGCCGGTGTGAGTTGGTGTCTGCGGAGTGCTAGTATCCTGCGCATCCCAGTCGGGCGGTCGATTCTTCGGGGGACGACCAATACGTCTTTTCCGTGGGATTGCTGAAACTCGTCCGCCCCGCGAAGGTGAACCTCCTCGCGACGGCGTATTGGAAGCATCCACGGGCGATTGTGCAGCGTCTTCCTCCTCCTGGCTTGGCTCGGGTTGCGGTTCGACATCCGGGTCTTTCTCTGACGTGTTGTCCCCGCCATCCACCGGCTGCGAGGGTTCGCGCGACTGAGGCGCATCGGCCATCTCCTCATCTGAAGCATCGGGAACGGGGGGAGGAGCATTCTCTATGATTGATTGGTCAGTAATGTCAGGAACTGCTTGTATCAACCAGTTAACGGGAGAAAGGTGGGAACGCACTCAAGGATTGTGCAGCTGCCTGGGCAGCAGCTCTGAGCTTTCTTGCCATACCGATGCGACGCGTTTGGAGATGGGAAAATGAAGGCCAGCGACGACTGTTTTGGGAAAGCCGTGGAAATTGCGCTGCATGGTTCGTCGGTGATACATTTACCCGATGAGGGCATAATCCACGTGACATTATATATCACATGGCTTGTTATAACCCCGATTGACAAGCCCTATAGGATCTAGAATGCCCTAGGGCATTAGGGCACTAGAGGGCAAGGGCCATATGATGTCATGCATCCCCACCTACTGCATGCCACCCTTTGGCCTTGACACGGTTCGCCACAGACACCAACCCCCTGTCCCAGCTTTTTGCAATGGACGTCGAGGTCTGGGTGGCTGATGTGATGGAGGCAGAGAAGCTACTCCTCAAGGTTTACCCGAGACTCACCGATACTGCTACACAGGGAAGGAGTCGAGCTTGTACGGCTTGCCGTACTAATAGTCTGCAGACGACTGGCGATTTTACAGTTTTACCTGGAAACTCTGTTGCCAGACCCGCAGTATTTCCCATCGCTCCTGATCAACACTGGTTGATCAACCGAGGGGTAACTAAAGTAGTTCATGTACGATGAGCTCATCGTGCTGGGTGACAAGAGCAGAGACAATGGACAGGTAATAATTGATCAGGCAAGACGTCTCCAATCATAATAACAGAGGGCCCGTTTCTACTGGCGCACTGAGATGCGATGATGGCGCGCGAGTGAATCTCTACCATCTGTTCGTTATCGGCCGTGGTGAGCTGGAGGATGGATCCGATCCAAGAGTTGGCGTGTGCACCCAGCACTGTGGGTGAGTGATGCCCGATAAAACTGATCTCAAGGTGCATGGACCGTATTCGCTTGCAGAGATGGCAGAATTTGCGGGATGATTCTAATATGGCGAGATACAGGGTAAGCACCGCATACTACCTGAAGAGGTATCCTAGACGGCTGTGGTTTGATCGGTGGTGTCCGGATGTCCGTTGATCTGTATGCATTGCTATCCTCGATAATAATGCTCTCGATCATGTCTTGTACGGAGATAATCCGAAGGGCCTGTGAAATGGCGTCCCGTAAAGATGAGGATGGGATGAGGATTATTATGGGGCCCCTCCTTTTTGACACGGAGGCATGGACGGACGCTGTTACACTTACAGCGTCGATGCCAGATGGTCGCATACCCGCTGTATCCTGCATGAGGATCTTCTCCGTCCAGATGAGATGATGTTAGGACGCCAGATAAAAATAATAATATTATTATTGATATTAAAGAAATTATTATTGACAGTGAAGATATCCTTTTTTTTTTTCTTTTTTTACTTTTTTGCAGAGATTCGGTTCGGATGACTTCAGGGTTTGTCAGACCGGTCGCATGTCCCGACTTTTCAGTCCACCTCCTGCTTCTCAGCCTCTCAGCCCTTCGAGTTGGCAGTCAGCATATAATATCAGGTATCTTTATTCAATCATCATACGCTCGCAGCAGAGTGGCTCTTCTGCCAGCGTAGCCACTCCGCCACTGCAGCTGTTACAGTACTAATACGCCTGCTGTACGGGACAGATACGGCGCTAGGCCTAATACAGTAATTCTCACCCAGGGATTCGGCGAAGCCACACTCATCGCACAGCGTAGACAAGAGCATATATTATTGTCATCTATGTTATCCCCTTCACGGCGTCCGCTCCTGGCTCGAGGAACCTCCTATCCCGTGTGTCCAAACACATCCGCTCCACCGTTAATATCCTGATTATCGTTGCCGCCGTGGTTGGCCTGTCCGTACCTCTTCACCCCTCCTCCCCTTGGTTGTGGCTGGCACCCGAAGCCGGTCCCTCGATCCCGTCATAACCCGGCAGCACATCCAACGGTTCTTTTCGCTCGACTCCGCACAGCTTTTGGTGGTATTTCTGGTATTCTTAATATTGCTGCGTTTCATCCTTCCTTTCGTCCCTTTCTCGTCTGATCTCTTTCCTCCCCCCTTCTTACGCCGTCTGTCGCGTTCTCCTACTTCCCGCTACGTCTGCCAACAGTTGTCACCCTCTTCTCGATCACTGTCCTTACCATTCGTCGCTGCTGCGGAACTGCGTCACAACGGCTGCATCACGCTCGTCTCCTTTCTTGGTGGAGGGAATTTAGTGGATGGAACCACAGCCATGGCTGCTCAAAGTGGAACAGAGACGCGCGGAGATACAGACTTGCTGAAGCGGCCCGCCCTGCAGAAGTGAGTCAAGCCCTTTTCGTTCAGACATCTTTGTTGGTCTGGCGCCAGATCGTCACTGGAGGCATGACGTTCTCTCCTAGAACGAATGGATGGAGGGGGAACGGAGCTGGATAAAGGAAAGGACAAAGCAAATAAAAACGTACAGCTTGCCATATGGTTTACTGTTGGGGTTCTGCAGATTTGAGGCGGCCGCTGTCAAGCTGAACCGGGGAGGGTTTTGGGAACCACCCATCGGTGAACTGGTTCTTTCTCTTCGCCTCACCTTGGCAACTTGTCCCAGCTCTGTTCCCCCTTCACTGCCTGTGGGGATTTCCAGCATAGAGATCTCTCTGATACCGTCCCCTCATCATTTTTAGCCCCTCTGCTCTTCAACTGATGCAGTGAATCCTCAATACCTATATTCCCGTCAGATGGCTAACTAATCCAACTAGCAATGGTTCACAGGGTACAGAAGACAGTCTGAGTTCTGGCCATATTGGCTCCAGTACTCCCTCACCTTCGGGGATCTCCACTCCACAGCCCGACCCCGCAGATAAACGGCAGCCTTCTATAGTACCCAGCTACTTCCAGGTTGGTTCCTCTCCCTCTGGCTCTAAACTCAACTCCCTTGATTTGTGGTTCTCTGGCTTGAAGAATTCTTCCACTGTGGACAAACCCCGAACGGGGAGCCAGGGCAAGGCAACACGGGACGCGGAAGGCTTGAATTGTAATTCCTCTTCATTCGAGTCCTTGGGCATGGCCTCCAAGGCCAACTCTTCGGCTCTCCCGGATGGGAAGCTCGAAACAGAGGAACTGCCGCTGGTCTTGAAGAATCCTACCAATCTCCCTACTCCTCCCCTCAGCGATCCTTGCTCCCTTTTGCAGAAAGAGTCGGATGAAACAGATACTGGAGCTTCTAGTCAAGAAAAGGGCGTGGGCTCCATTTTCACGGCGTTAAGAGACTATCTTTCCCCTCGAAACACATTTTCTGAACCCCAGTCGCTACGTCACACGTCGCCTTCCGTGTCTGGGATCTCTAGCGACCCAGTTCTTGCTTCTGACTTCTCCAGTCCCACCCTTCCTCAGACTCAAGACGTGTTTTCTTCCTCACCAGTTCCCCTCTTGGATCACGAAAAGCCACCTGCTCCTTCACCCTCCTGTGAAAACCTTGCAAGGCTAACTGGAAACGTACCCGATGGGTCGCGTCTAAAGAATACTCCTCCTCTCACCCCACGAGCTATGTCCAACGAAAAAACTCAAGCCGATGAGCAACCGGACTCTGGATCGCCATTACCACCATCTTCTGATGCGGCACCCGAGAAGCAGACGGACAATGTAGCGAGTATTGCGGACGACATTGCGGGGAGGCTTGATAAGGCTTTTCCTCCTCAAGAACCAAACGTCTCAACACAAGGAGCCTCGTCACAGGGAGGTCCTCCTGTTGGACCTCTAAAGGGTAAACTTATTGTCAGGATCTCCGAAGCTAGGGGACTACGCCCATCCTTCGATCCATATGTAGTCTGCGTTTTCGAGTGGAACGAATTTGTCTCCAATGGCGCTCAAAGCGAAGAGGAAACCGCTCTGGAGCGACGAAGAGTAAAGAAGGAGCTGGAGCCGGATGCTGGCCGACCGATGGCAATCCCAATGAAAAGCCGACAGAGCAGCAGCAACAGCCTACACTCTCTTGAACACAAGTCGAAGAAAACAGTCACAGACCCTCACTGGAATCTTGAGGCTGCTTTGTATGTTTATATTCCTTTTCCCTTCTCCCCCCCTTAGCAAGACTTTCTTTTTTCTTCTCCTTCCTATTCCGCTTTTCATTTGGGAGGGGAAGAGGAAAGGTATAAGTCGCTGACAGTTGACGTATCCAGTGACGTTCTTGGAGAGCAGTCCGAGATTGATATTTCGGTTTATGACCGCTACAACCAAGAAGAGTTTCTGGGCCATACACGACTCTGTATAAACCTGAGACAGGATCATAGTCGGCTGGAGGGATGGTTCCCGCTGGCCATGCGTGGAGCAGGGGATCATCAGATATCCGGAGAAATCCATCTCGAAATCACATTTGAGAAGACCGACCAGAAGCAAGTCGGACCAAACGACTTCAAGATCCTCAAACTAATCGGAAAGGGCACGTTTGGTCAAGTCTACCAAGTAAAAAAGAAGGACACGCGACGGATCTACGCAATGAAGGTGCTGTCGAAGAAGGTGATCATTCAGAAGAAAGAAGTGGCTCACACTCTGGGGGAGCGGAACATCTTGGTGCGGACTGCTATGGCAGCATCTCCATTCATTGTTGGGCTCAAATTCTCATTCCAAACGCCCACGGATCTGTACCTAGTCACCGACTACATGTCCGGCGGCGAGTTGTTTTGGCATTTGCAGAAGGAGGGTCGGTTTCCGGAGGCCCGTGCGAAGTTCTACATAGCGGAGTTGATTCTGGCTCTGCAGCATCTCCATGACCATGACATTGTGTACCGTGATCTCAAACCAGAGAATATCCTGCTGGATGCCAATGGCCACATAGCACTCTGCGACTTTGGCCTCTCCAAAGCCAATCTCACGCAAGGCGATACGACAAATACCTTCTGCGGAACCACCGAGTATCTCGCGCCTGAGGTATTACTTGACGAGCAAGGATACACCAAGATGGTTGACTTCTGGTCCCTTGGAGTTCTAGTATTCGAAATGTGCTGTGGCTGGAGTCCATTCTACGCCGAGGATACGCAACAAATGTACAAGAACATCGCCTTCGGCAAGGTTCGATTCCCCCGTGATGCGCTTAGCACCGAAGGAAGGAATTTCGTTAAGGGTCTTCTCAATCGAAATCCCAAGCATCGATTGGGAGCCAAGGGTGATGCCAAGGAGCTAATAGCACATCCTTTCTTCCACGACGTGGACTGGGAGGCTCTGAGCCGCAAGGAGGTCGTTCCCCCGTTCAAGCCAAAACTCAAATCCGACACCGACACATCCAACTTCGATCCTGAATTCACAAACGCCCTTGATATTTCAGCGTCTCTCAACGACCGTGCCGCCGCCCTAGCAAATAACTTGATGGGAGCCTCGACGCCGCTTTCCCCTGGCATGCAGGCCAATTTCAAGGGATTTACTTTCGTCAACGAGAGCTCTGTTGAGCAACATTTGAAGAATGTCTCAACCGACCGCGCGGAAGAAGATAGTATAAAGGACGAAGACCTATGGCAACGATCTCACCGTTCTGGACATTCTGTCGGCGGTGCCAAACCTAGTGATCCCGAAGCCGGTGTCTTCCATGTTGACGAGAACTTTGATATGTGACGATGTCACCTTTTGCATGGTAATGGAGTCTGCTTGCATATGTCCCGTTTCTTTTTCTTTTTCGTCTTGTACATGTCTCGAATGAATGGGGTTCACAGTTCCGCCTTCTTTCTGTCCAGTTCATTCCCCCGTTTGTTGACGTTTGTTGAAACTCTTCACACGACATGAGTTTTTCTTTTGCCGCTGGGTTATCTTTAGCTATGATGGAACAAATGTTCCAGTATCTTTATTCTCTACTTGTGCACATTCATGAGCATCATTGTACTTCTCTCCCTTCTTATTTAAGGCGAAGGGACTGATTTCTGTTGTCGGTGTTTCCTATGGGGTTTCTGCTACTCCAGCTGGCTTATGTACCTGACATTCCTATTGACGCCTGTCCTAACGACTTGGGGCTTTCTCTTTTCTTTCTTGTTATTTTTACCTTTTCCAACCTTTTTTTTGAAGCCATTCAAACGAGTTACTTGGTGGCCAGGTCTTTCATCTATCCAACTCTTTAGAACCGGCTTGGTATGGCTCGTTTGCCATACAGGCTGACTAGTCTTCGGGCCGCATTAACCCTCCTTGCTTGATGTTGTCTAAAATTGCCTAGCTGTACCGGGAAAGAGCCGATTCAGCCAGAGTTTACGTGTGCTGGGGGCGATAAAGAGTAAAGAAGGCGTTGATTCCCATTGATGGCGGCATTCATTCCGGATGAGGTGGCGCACGGGGTGGTTCGACTGAGAATTGAGAGACGAGCATCCTTGCCGTGGCAGCAGAGAGATCACCATTGGCAGTCGGATCTAATGCTATAATTAATGCTCTGATAAAATACGATCCATGGCTTGGGGCGACCGGACATGCCGGTTCCCTTTATAGTTATCGTAATTCCGGAGCGGCCTCCTTAGCCGATCTCCCTATGCAACTTAGGACGGATCAGTCGGTATTAATATGATCGAATGACAATACATTAATAATAGAATAGAGGGCGCCGCTGATGATGCTGCGTCTGTGCAGAGCAGGACATTGGACAATGCACAGACAACCAAAGTGATCACCAACCCTGTTGATCCCCCTCTCTGCCCCTTTTCCCAGGGCAATTTGCAAACTCAATGAGACTGGGCTTAACCAAAGACAGTATATGTACAGTAGTAACCGATCATGCATGGCAACAGCCCCTATCCATGTGCTTGCTGCGTGGATTGTAACCGTGGGGTGTGCAGGCGAGAAGAGAAGCTGACGCCGTGCAAGATGTTGCTAAAAATGGAAACCAGAACGTGATCGGAGTATCGCCAAACATAGTTTAGCCCCCAGTGAAGAAGAGCTCGGCTAGTCCTAGGATGGGTTAGTGTAGATGCCCTGTTTTGGAGGTGTCGAGGGGTTCGAGGAACTCCGTAATAGTATACGTGCTATGATGGACGCTGTACAGCATCTAGTGAAACATCTCTGTATGGATCAATGAACATGCATTACCTATAGACATATATATACACCTATACCTATATATAGCCCAGCAAACATCCAGCTGCTCTCTCCTGCTTACGGAGCTCCGCCATGAACCATGACCCTTTTCTTATGCTCGAGGCTCATGCAAGGCGGGAACAAGGCTGCTTCGCGGCAACGGCGGCTCTAGTCCCTTTTGGGCTTAGCCTGGGCGCTTCCCTTCTGGATATGCTTTTCTTCAATCTCCCGTGTCTCCCGCGCTTCTCTCTCTCTGTGTCCCTCTCCTGTTCTTGTTATTATCCCTCTTCTCGATCCTCATTGTCCTTCCTCATATCCTATGCCCATCAAATGCCCCCCCTTTCACCATGAGCGTGGTTGCCAGTAGTCGACCCGACACGGCTGCTGTGCCCTACGGTTCCATGCCCCAGGACGCCCATGTTCCTCACTATCATCCAACCTCCCCTTACGTCGCTCCCGCCCGTTCGGTCTCCAGTCGATTCTCCTCCACCTCGTCCATCAATTCCATTAATACAACCTTTTCTGTCTCCTCAGCTCCCGCCTCCTTCTCTCCCATATCCCCTACTCCTCCCTTTCTCCCGTACAGCACTGCCTCCCGCCTCCCCCATACTGCGGAGTCGCCCTTCAGACGTCTGCCGCCCAATGTCTACGCCAGCATCTTAAACCACTTGGAATATCTGCATACGGGCCCACGCCAGGCCGGTTGTATAACATGTTTCCAACGAGATCTTCACTCCCTCTCCCTGACCTGCCGGTCCTGGGAGAAGGCGGTCAGGGCTAAGCTGTGAGTTCAACTGCTCCATAATGCCTACCCAGCTTGCTAATAACCCTCGCAAGTTATAATCGCATTCACATTCTCGGAAATGATTCCCCATACCAACTGAAGAAATACCGTCTAAAAAGAGGCAGTCGGTTGAAACTACTGCGACGGACCCTGCGTGAGAGGAAATTGCTGGCCAATCTCGTCTTGGAACTCCGGGTCCCGCAGGTGGACATGCTGGTGGGAAAGGGCACCCAGTGGCAGGAATATCGAGACTTGGTGGCTTCCGTGGTCATGGTCTGCCCCAACCTGGAACGGCTGCTGGGCTTGAGTATTCCGTACAACCACGAATTCGATCGTTTGACATACGCGCTGTCAACGCGGAAGAAGCTCAGGGAACACACTTGGATTCTGGGGGAGCCCTCGGAGATATCCGAGGGCTCACCTCGGAGTAGCTCGTGCCCGGGTAGCCTCGGCCCCCTGGAGATGTTCGAGTTCCTCAACTACCACGTCGCCTGGATGAATCTGCAGACCCTGATGCTCTATGCCATCAATGAAAGAAGCGCCTTGGAGCCCAGTGTCTTTCTTCGCATGTTCAACCTCTTGCCCTCGCTCCGTAATCTTTGCATATCGTCTTTTAATGCCGATGCATTCGGGGATAGCACCTTGGTTTGCCTGCCTCCGTTGGAATCGCTTAGGCTGGAGCATCTTCCGGGAGTAACCGACTCAGGATTGTCGCAGTACTCGTCCTGTTCGGAAGCACATTCACTGAAGTCGTTGACTCTCATCGAACTAAGCATTGACTCCTTACTGGTAATATCTAAGATGCTGGCGTCTCTGCCACAATTGGAACGGTTCACTATAGTTCAATCCAACAAATCCCCGACTTTACCTGATGGCGAATTGGTCTTCCAGCCGCTTCTGGCGTCGTCAAGCCTCAAGCATTTGCATTGGGACATCTCCAGCCCCCGGTCCACCATTGCGCTCAGCAAGTTCGACCCCACTAGCCTGCTAAAGTCCCCAAGACATTCCGATTCTCCAAACTCTCACCTTGCTCAAAGCATCCTGGCTGGTGGCTTCCCTTGTATCGAGACTCTTCGTGCTCCGTCAGATATTGAGCCACTAGGTGCACTCCAGAACGTCTGCCAGCCTATCCCAAAAGGACAGGCTATCTTACCGTCTGACCGCTACAGCCTCCCTCGGAGTTCCCACGGGTCAGTCAGCACACGAGGATCGGCTCTTCCTGCCGGAAATAACTTGACCTCTGCCCGCATTCGTGCCCAAACGTTGATTGAGATGGCTGCAAAAGACACAGAGGCCGGCGTGGAAGTTGTGATCACGGATTATTCAGATTCTTATGTCCCGGACATATCTCCTGATGATGCGTCTTCTATCGATGAGGACGAGTCGGAAGTGGGCATAGATGAACTTGGGGGTGTTGCTTCTCAGCCACAACCAAAAGCCAGCGACTCGCGCTCCGAAGGTGTTGAGGGTCCTGTCATCTTGCACGAATTCAGGTTGCCTGCATTCATGGGCAGAGTGGGAGTAAAAGATGTGCAGAATCTGCCTATTCCACGCTTCATCCTTCATCCGGATATCCCTGGTGCAGATGTGGATGGTGGTCTTGTCAGATGGAGGCATTTATTGAGCTCAAACCAGTCCCTAACATATGCCGCTGGAATTGGTACCAATTGCTTCGCAAACAGAAGCACCTCGAGTTTTTCACCGATTGAAGAGCCGCCGCCTTCGCCCGCCTCCTCTCGGTTTGGATGGGGTTCTATCGGTAGCCGGTCAACCGTGGCAAGCAGCCCTGTCACCTCCACTTCACCTTCTACTCCCATAAGTATGCCATCACCCATTGTCCCTCCTTGGGACAGAGACACCTGCACTGGCTCGTGGAATTCCCGTCACAAGAATGGCAGAGATTGGTGGTACCACATAGAGCGGGATCGACCTGGGAGTGTGGAGATTATTGATCTTCAGCAATTCTTCTGAGTTGTATGCCATTTATATATATATATATATCTTTCCCTCCCTCTTGGATTTTATTATTTCCCATCAAAGTATACCCAATTGCAGTTTCATTTGTTTCCATTTTGCTTGAAATTGTACCAAATCCCGGGTTGGTATTACTTTCTTTGGCGTTATTACAGTGGCTATTATTTATCCTGTTTCCCTTCTGATCCGATTCTCACGGTATATGCCCATGGAAACGATGGCGTAACGGACTGGGCTTGTTGGAAACGGTTTCTTTCATTTCCTTTTTTTTTTTTTTTTTTTTACGGTGCGTTGTCACTTTCACGCCCTCATAGGCTCTATGCATTTAAGGTTGATTATTCCTGGATATTTCGGGTTTGCTTTGCATTGCAGGTTCAACCTCTAATTATCTACTCTGTCTATACTTCAAGTTCGACATCGATGCCCATACAGCATACCCGTACATACGTCTGGGCTACTACTAATTCTGTATGCAGCTGGTTTGTGTGATCTTTCAAAAGCGAAGACGGGTGAGATAGGCGAAATAGCACATATACTACTGTTAATATGCTGTGTTTCTTTTTTTTTTTTTTTTTTTTTTTTTTTTTTGATGTGTGTAAACAGTAATATAAACGAAGAACAAGATCCCAATACCGACTATACATAATCCTACCGAGTATACCGATTTCGCGAAGAGAAAGAAAACAATGGATATCTAATGGATGAGGCTGAAGTAAAATCATTAATCAAAGATGATGAATGAATATGATTGATTAAGACAAAAAAAAAAAAAAAAACAGAGAGAACACCACGACAAATGTCGCATATCCATAAGACTAAATAAAATAAATAATCTTCTTTAGACATAGATGCCCACGTTCGTATCCTTCTTCTTAGCCTGGACTTCAGCAATGGCATCGACATAATGCTCATGGCCAACTTTAGTCATTCCCTTCCGGAGCGCAATCATACCAGCTTCGACACAGACGGCCTTCAGCTGTGCACCACCAAACTCGTCCGTGCTGCGCGCAAGCTCACCCCAGTTGACACGATCGTCGACTGTCATCTTACGCGAGTGGATCTGTAGGATGTTCGCGCGAGACTCTTCGTTCGGTAGAGGGAACTCGATCTTGCGGTCCAAACGGCCAGATCGGAGGAGAGCAGGGTCCAGTACGTCAACGCGGTTCGTCGCGGCGAGTACTTTGATGCGGTCGTCGGACGCGAAACCGTCGAGTTGGTTGAGAAGTTCAAGCATCGTCCGTTGTACTTCACGGTCACCGGACTTCTCCGAGTCGAAACGTTTTGTGCCCACGGCATCGAGTTCGTCGATGAAGATGATCGAAGGTGCCTTCTCTTTTGCCAGGGCGAAGCAGTCCCGGACGAGCTTGGCTCCATCACCGATAAACATCTGCACGAGTTGTGGACCGGCAAGTTTGAGGAAGGTGGCGTTTGTCTCGGCGGCACAGGCACGGGCAAGTAGAGTCTTACCGGTACCGGGAGGACCATACATCAGAGCACCTGGAATAATTATTTAAATTATAAGTATATGGGAAGAGAAAGATAATATGGCAATGAGGATGCTTGAGTAGGAAGAAGACAAACCTTTCGGGGCCTTGATACCCATTTTCTTGAATCTCTCCGCCTCCTTCATCGGCCATACGATTGCCTCAACAACCTCCTCGATCTGTTTATCTAAACCTCCAATATCCGAGTATTTCTCTGTGGGCTTCTCATCAACTTCCATCGCCTTGACCCTGTTATCATACTCCGCTGGTAGTGTGTCCAAGATCAGATATGAATCCTTGTTCACACCGATCAGGTCACCAGGCTTGAGCTTCTCGTGATCCACGAGACCTATGAGAGGAAGGAAGATTGTCTGACGGGTCGACGTTTTGATGACAGCAGACTTTCCGACTCGAGTCGCGTCAAGATCGATATTGGCTCCTTCTTCAGCGGCTTCAGCTTCGACATCAAGGTCCAATAACTCGACAACATTCCCGACGAGATATGGTAGCTGCCTGCAATAAAAGGAAGAATTGTCGACAAAAAGTCAGCCAAATACTCTTTATCGACCCAATCGTACGCCTTGGAGTCGGCGCATCAGGAAGAAACTCCCAGAGGGCGAAAGAGGACAGTACCTGTTATTTTCAATCTTCTCTTGATTATCCTTGACCTTCTCCCGCATCGTGCTTTGTTCATGCATCAGCCGCTGGTATTCGCTCTTCATGATACGCAGCTCGTTCTCCAGCATCCGCCTTCGCTTGACGATGTCGGCGGTACTTGATCGAAGGATCTCCTCATCCAGCAAGTCATCTTCTTCAGACTTCTTGCTTGATTCTGAATCTTTCATTTCAGAGTCCGCACCGCCGTCGGGTTTCTTGCCGTCTCCATCTCCATCCTTCTGGTCCCTCTTCTCGTTCTGTTCACGCTCAAGGTCGTCGAGGTCTTCGAGAGTGGACATATTGTAAGTTCTCGTGAAAGGCGGGTGTATAAGCTATTGTGGAGGTATAACGGAATATTAGCAGCTCGGACAAGGAGCAGGCAAGATGGGTGAAAGGATGGCGCGTGTTGAGATGTTGACGGGGAGAGAGAGAGCTTGTCTGGGAACGACGAGTGAGCTCCGGCCATACAGCTGACGTTGTTCCGTCTATGGGTCACGTGAATTAATCTCTTACTAAGCATCTCAGGCTCGCAGCATTTAACTATAGCTGTAGCTGCCAAGGGGAAAAGTCTAGAGAAAGAACAAAATAAAATGAAAGGAATTTATCCTGTTTCTTTATTATCCAAGTGTCGTGTTGAGCGACACCCATGCTATCTCCAGATACAATGCACAGATAAGGCTTTTCAACGAAGTGACAGTAAGACTTCAACTGACAACTAGGTCAAGGAATTTCCGTCAGATCCATATGTTCGGGTTCTGACGCTTCAATGTGGTATTTCCAATGTTATTCAGAACGCTTTCGCGACCGAATTTGAGAAGACGCAGTCGTGATAAGAAGTCATCGTTGTTGACTGATAATCGATCAGTATTATTGCAAAAAGCAAAACAGAATCCAAGTTCACTGCAGAAGGTAAAATATAAGATCAGAAAGGGGGAAGATGAAGGTCTTATACGTACTGTAGCCACCACACATCCTTCGTTTTCCAGTGAATGCCGTACGACCGTGGAGCATTCTCCAGTTATCGAAAACTAGTGGAGGCGAACGTTAGACAACCCTATAAAATTGCGGCGCATATGCCTGGACAGTATTACAATAAAAAGAAAAGCGTGCACATACTGAGGGCTGTTCCAGGTTCAAGTTGCATCCACCTCTCTAATTCCGGACGCTGAATAATACTGTTCCAATACCGCGCTGCCTCATACCACCGTTGCTGTTGATCGTACGTCCAGTCTGTCTTCGCTGCTCGATCATAGTTGTTCCAACGAATCTGATACAGCTGTCTGGTGCCAGGTCTGACACTGAGAACAGGGGCTTGGGATAAAGGTGTGATGCAAACATCCTCGTTACCACTGGCATGAAATGGCTGCGGGACTTTGGTTAGTGAGTGCAGGAGGTGCGGTTTCTCCTTCAGCATAGTCTTTGCAGCCAAGAAGCCGTCGACGAGTAAGCTAGCTCCGCCTTCCCCTTCTGTGTGGGATAGAAGATGGAACATCTGGAGTCTCGACGGATCCGTGAAGTACGTATTATCCGTATGAGCACCTATGGCATCTGTTGTATACGCAGTGTCCTTGAAGGTCATATCCGCAGTGAAGTCATAAAATCCACCTCCATAAAATCGTCAGTACAAATAGAGATGCCACTGAGTCGTATATCATACCATAATGAGTCTCTCTGATGAAGGCTATTTTCTCTAAAAGAGCCTTGGTTGACTCCGGGTTGACGGGAACATCTTTGACAAGACAGAAACCCCAGAGGTGCTTTGTAAAAAAAGGTTTAGCTCCAGACGGACAAGTTTCCAATATTAAACATAGGTCTTACTATGGTTTCAAGCCATACGCGCACACCCTGATCCCCTGCCATTATCTGGTCATAGTAGACGGTGGGATAAGGGCTTCCATCATCGCGCAGCATTCTGCATGGCCTGCGTCAAATCATAAGCAGGGAGCCCGAGGAACAAAATTAGACAATAAATAAGCCAAAAAACAACTCACCTAATTGTCAACGGCAAGCCGCCAGTCGCTTGTTTAAGGGGACGCCGACGGGTTCTGAGCCATTCCATCGGATACGTGCTATGATGTCCGTCGTCCCCTAGCGGACAGTTAGCAGGCAAATAAAATGGAAAAAATCAGTCCAGATGGAGGTGAGTTCTACATTCAATTTCAATTGTTGTGTTGCCTTTGTACTCGATGTTCGTGGGCATAATGGTGCTAGGGATCTACGGAAATAATGAGTCCAAAGAAAAGCTCGCGAACAAACATAATATCAGGGGCTTACAGAGAATGTGTCCACCTGCCTTTGCTTGGTGTCTGGATGAATGCATTTCGGGCACTGACAATTGTCTCTGATTGACATTGAAAGATGAGCATTGAACCGCTCCATCGAAGGAGGCAAATGATCTGTTTACGGTACCAACCTAAGCCAAAGGGGCGTGCTGCGACTGAGGTGAGCGGCGCTTCACCCAAGATAACAATGAATCTCTGGCGTGACTTACAAATATTCATTGACCAGGTTTGCGCCAATACGCAAAGGGATGATCCGTCCTTGGTACGGCTTAGTTCCCGTTGAGAAGCGAAGAGCGGACGACTTGGTCCTACAAATTGCTAGAGAATCGCAAGGGCTTACACCCTAGGGGGAAGAAAATAAATAAATAAGACACGTCTGATCCGGATTCTGGAACTGTAATTCTTATATTCTAGTACGTACTTGAGCAACACGGGACCATTGCGAACCGCGGCTGACGAAGCTTGTTAGTCAGAACCGTCCACCATTGGGGATGGGGATCCCTACTTGACATGCTTCAGGGAATTGAATATGTTGGAAGAAAGAACCCTGGGGGTGTTCATGTTGTTCAATACAGAGAGACTACGCTGTAACCGAGGGAAGACTTCGTGGAGAACCCGAGAACATGTTGCTAAAGTTATATTTCTCCGCACTGCTCACGTGCAGCGCGGGAGGTCACGTGTGCGCTAACTATGGACACAAGTACGGTCTCCTCCGAGGTGTCCCTGTCTCCCGAGGTGAGTCGACATAACAGCTAATAATTACACGGGCTTGGCCGGACATCCGGCTGGTTCACAGCTTGCTCTTGGGCGCAGCAATTCTCACCAAGGCCCGGCCATTGCTCAACACAACCTTGCCGTTGTCATTCTTCGCGACGAACCGGACCTCCTCAAAGCCATCCTCGACAGCTCCTGTTCGCCAGATCTCCGTTGTAAGCCTGTCCCCTGGTTTTACGGGGGAAGCAAAACGCGCTTGGAACTCCCTGAGATTATCAGGATTGCTGCCTCCAAGCTCTCTTAACACACCGTGGGCGGCAGAATTCCAGCTGAACAAGCCGTGGATTATAGCTCCTCCGAACCCCATCTTTTGCCCTGGCTCCGGAGTGGCATGGAGAGGGTTGTAGTCGCCATTGAGACTAGTTTATAAGGAGTCAGCACCGTATATCCAAATTGAGAGACTGGTAGACCGAATCTCACCGATAGAGGTGGGCTGTTTCTGGTGTTGTTTGAACAACATAGACTGCGTCCGGATTCTTTCCCCGGGGGGGCGGATAACTAGCACTGCTGGGCCCTGAAGAAATCATCTCCGTAAGACTAACGGCTCTCGCTGTCCAAAGGATGAAAGAGAAGAAAACCATACCTTTTGGACCACCCCAGTTACCCTGGCCAACGAAGAATGCGGTGCTCACAGTCTTCGAGTATACTTCTCCAGTCTCCTTATCCACAATCGACTGCTCAGATTCGACCACACTTCCAGCCTTGCCTTTATCATAAACCCCAACGACCTTGTTCCGTAATTCAAATTTCCTACCCGTGCTGGCCGTTGGGAGGGGCTTCAAAACGGTCAGTTTCCGCTGTCCATCAACCACGCGGCGAGAATCGAAGGCTGGAACACCAGGGATAGGGTTAGATTTTTGGCGGGAATAGAAATCGGTGACTTCTTGGTCGGTGAGTTTGAAAGCTGCCGTCGAAATAGAAACGAAGTCAGTCTTTTTCGCATTTCAATTAATAGAGCAGCTAGCTGATTGGCAAGCACTTACGCAGAATCAGGGGATAAGTTGGAAAAACAGCAAAGTTAGGATGAAGCTCCTGAAATGTGAATAAACTTTAGAACTCGGAACGATGGTAGGTATATTCTTCATTGACTATTAAATGACACAATGCCTCTGAACTGGGTTGGATGCAACACACGTAAAGAAAATGTAGCTCGTCAGCTTTGCAGCCGATGCTGTTGGCGAACAGTAGGACATCGCGCTTTTGCCAGGAAACCGCCTGAGGAGGGAATTCGTGACCAGCTCCTGGTGATGACATGAGGATGTGGAGTACTAGTAATGCTGCAGCTTCGGTTTATTATGCTCTCGAAGGGATTCGAGGATTGCTTATCGCTAATATATCGGATGATTATTGTTGCTTGCTTTGAAGCTCCAAGTCACGCGAGCTAATATGTCCGCGGGGTTGAACCGAGGCTTGATCTACGCCGCGGATGTACGCCGTATATTTTTATAACCACCTACAGTATGTACCGGCAGATTTATGTGCAATGGAATCCAACCCCAAAGGGGCTGCTACGGATCTCCCAATGGGAATACCTGAGACCAGAGGTGAAAGATGAAAGCCAAACGTCCGGAGATGACCAGACTGAGCGTCGACTCGGGGTATCTATCTACTTGGGAATTCGAGGAGCTTCGTCATTAACGTCTGTTGAAATCATCTCGCCATATCGCGCCAAATGATGCTGTCTCCGAGAACGCCGAGATCAAAATAACAAGAGAAAGACAAAGACTGGTCAACCGTCGCAGAGCCCACTCAAGTCGATCTATGCCCATGCAATCCTGCGAATAGCGATATAAGTGCCTTCGACATAGTCAACCGTTCATAAATCCATGGGAACAACGAAAACTCTCAAATGAAATGGACCAGATGCAACGAATATGAGGGCGATCAACACCTGATATAAGTCAGCATTCAGTTCACGCAGACTTGGAAATGCCCAATACCTACATCCTGTAAAAGCAGCTGCCCTCCGCGTATCGGACCGGGTCTTCGGTTTCAAACTTGTACGAGATAGTGATATCAAGGTCGCGTTTGTTTTTGTCATTTGGCTTGTTTTCCAAATAACCATGCACAACCTCGCCCTCTTCCACAGTGAGAACATCGCGTAAGTAAAAGACGGTCTGTTTCCAGTGCGTATACTTAGCGTGCGGGCCGGTAGAAAAGGTAATCGGTTTGTGGCACGCAGTGAACTCGATATCGAACCAAGAGATCAGCGCATGGATGAAGTCGCTACGCTTGGCAGTGAGCGAATAAGGGACCTTGAAACTCAAATCCGCGGAGGTAACAGTGTAGAGGTCAAGGCTGATAATCGCATACGGGTCGGTGACAAGAGCTTTCAGCTCAACAGTATCGACCAGTGGTTCGGTAAGAGCGATCTCTTTCATCGGGCTGTAGTTGAATCCGTAGACATTATCCCAGACTAGAAGGTATATTTAGTATCATGCAAGGAGCCCGTTGTTAGGCGGAGACAATTCTTACATCCAATCTTCTCCTCCTTGTATTCCCCATCCTCAATCGCAGCCACGTACATAGTGGCTTTGTCAGGGAAGATTTTGCCTCCGGGGACTAGATACCTGTCACGAGCATAGAGAACAGTGTCCAACATGCTCTCATAGAGGAGGAAATATCCCATCCACTCTGAGATGATGATGTCAACTTTGGGGAATGGAAGAACGACTTCCTCCATCTTTCCCTGAAGCAAAGTGATCTTGCTCGTCATGCCATTTACCTCGACTATCTCCCGCGCCTTTTCGATGATGGATGACATGTCCACACCGATTACGTGCTTCGCGCCAGCTCGGACGGCAAACCTTTGGAATCCAGCTAGTCAGCTCACCGTTGATCAGCGCTTCCCATATTCCTTATACGTACATGCTGAGAATGCCAGTTCCACATCCTACATCGAGGACGACCTTATCCTTGAAGATATGGCGATTTTGGTAGATAGCATCGCGATAAGATCGTGTGCGAACATCATCTTTCTGCAGTGTAGAAAAATACAATCAGCAAATGTGAGGGAAATAACTTCGACTGACTACTTACCAGCATTTCCTCATGAATACCTGAAAGGAATTGGCAAGATTAGCTCATCATGCAGAGGTCAGAACAAATCGGTCAGAATTTACCATGATGATCATAGCTGCAATAGACGTCAGCAAGACAAGAAGCCAGCGAGGTTGAGGGTGGACAGTCTTACCTCGTAAAGTATCGCACTTCAGCATGATCCATACCAACCATGCGATCCGCGCTGCTTGAGATCTGAGCACTTTGTTGGTCCATGGCCACTGATCCGAACTATTATTCGAAATAGAACAAAGGTGGAGAAATAAGAGATGGTTGGGAAAGAGGCACGCGATTTAAATAGGAAAGGAGAGAAATAGTACGACACAAATTTACAATCCCAAGCTAGAAGCAAACAAGGGCAGGAAAAGAAAGAAAATAGATGTTCACTGGGATGGAGGGGAAAAAGTCGTTTAAAGCTTGAATAGCTGCGGACTTTTTTGTTGCTATTTTTTTTTTTCTTTTTGGACTACTGATAGGCACTCGAATTCAGCATGAATATTCTTACGCGCTAGTCCGTATATGGAAGTATACACGTGAGATAAAAGCCCTCGTGTTCTTAGGGCTAATTTCTTGCCGGGAAGACAACTTCACCCGTAACAAAGAGGCTATGTATGATACGCAGTGTACGGAGTATATCATCCGGGTACAGAAGTAGATGTATGGTCTCAATTCATTTTCATTCTTTAACAAGGCAGATGGAGTCTGAGGCAGTGAGAAGATCCTCTCCTGAAACCGTCGAGTTACGCACCAGATATCAGTGTTCAGCGCAATCGGTAATTCAATATTGTATCAACACAGAGTTAAGACATCCTTGAACTCGAAAGATAAGCAGATGTCATCTCGAAGCAGATATGATGCGTTTATCCAGCCTAGATCGTAACGCCAAGAACGTGGATGTCTGTGTTGCCATTCTCCGCTCCCCCTAAATCCGCGGTAATTATTCCGAGAGGGGGTCGCATCGCAATCTCTTCGGCACTTGCTTTCAGTGCTCCCTTGAACCGCAATCACTATATCATCATGGTTTGGGGCGCCGCAAAGGCGTGTCTTTACGCCTTCCTTACTCTCCTTTTCCTTGCGACTCTCTTTGGAACGTCCAATGCGTCTTTAGGAGACCACCTCCCTGAGTTCAAGGAGTGTGTTAAGGTGCGCATCCACCAACCATTGGGCTGGCTGCACTCCTCCTTCGGGCAGTCATCTAACAGCTGGGCGACAGGTCTGTCAGGAAGAGAACTGCCAACATGGCAATGCCGTTATACGTAAGTTCGCATGCATCCTTCCCTTAATACATGTTTTCCTCCCGGCTAACCCGCGGATGTTGTTTCACATAGCATTCCACCTTCGCCTTATGTTCTGGACGTGTCCTGCTGAATGCGATTACACCTGCCAACATGTTGTGACAGATCGTCGATTATCTCGAGACCCTCCAATGATTAGCCCGGTGTTGCAGTTTCATGGGAAATGGCCGTTCCACAGGATCATGGGCATGCAGGAGCCGTTCTCCGTCCTTTTCTCCCTCTTTAATTTTCTCGCGCATTGGAACGGCCTTGCTCGAATCAGGGAGTCGATCCCAGAGTGGTATTCTCTGCGGAAATATTACCTTGGGTTTGGATACGTGGGGCTCGCAAGCTGGACGTTTAGCATGCTCTTTCACACAAGGGATTTTCCCTTGACGGAGAAATTGGACTACTTTGCCGCCGGCGCTAACGTTCTCTATGGTCTTTTCCTATCTGTCGTCCGGATACTGCGCCTTGACCAAGAAGAACCCCCATACAAGCCGACCGTACGACGGCTTTGGATAGCAATCTGTGCCATCCTTTATGCCATGCACGTCTCGTACCTCAGTTTCTGGTCCTGGGACTATACTTATAACATGATAGCCAATGTTGTGGTTGGGATTATTCAAAACCTACTGTGGACAGCCTTCAGCGTGGTCCGGTATCAAAAGTACCTGAAATCGTGGACTGCCTGGCCAGGCATGATCGTTGCTTGGATTGTTCTGGCGATGAGTCTCGAACTTCTAGATTTCCCGCCTTGGAATGGATTAATTGATGCCCATAGTCTATGGCATCTGGGTACGGTGGTTCCCACGGTCTGGTGGTATTCGTAAGTCTTTTTCCTAGTTCGACAAATTCTTTCATTCAGGATCGGATCAGATTCAGGATTGGATAGGACACTGACCGTCACTTGTTAGCTTCCTCATCAAAGATACCCTGGATGATATGGCAGGAGAGAGATATAAGGCGTGATTTCTTTTCTTTTGCTTCCTTCTCATTATGCTCTTCGGTGGCTCCTTGCTCTAGTTCAATGGGGATCCTGTGAAGCCTGTATAACCTGTATTTGTACGTCAACGCCAGATATCTAGATAGCTAGCTCAAATGAAGTGTACTATGCTTTCTTTATAGATAGTAGCAAAATCCAACAGTAAAGATAAAATGAATCCAGACTCGGAAAGGTCCCGGAGTACTTATTTTGATCCTATAACCAATTCCTTCCTGCCATTCTACTAAGGATATACCGTGGGCGTACCCTATCAGCTCAGCTGGTCTCAGGTTTTGCATGATGAACGATACTTCTACGACCGGAGAACAATACGCCGTACAGATACAGTGTATTACTTGCTTTTCAGCCAGGTTTAATGATTTAGGTAATTAGGATACACTCGGCTCTATTGGACTTAGCATGGTATGCCTACGTTTCATTACCTTTGTGACTGACTGACTCTTTCTTTTTATTAACTACGACTACAACTAGCGCAATATTCCCAATACTTGCACTATGACCGAGTTCTCTTCGTTTTGCCCAAGGATATAGAGATGGTAATATTTTGTTTTGAAATAGCAATCCTGTCTGAAGAATCAGGCAAGTTGTGGCGGATTCTTGCTTTTCCGAGATAATATGCCTTGTCTATTCATAACTTGAACCGACACTCCATGTCGATATTTTGCTGTCATTCTCTTGTCTGAGACGATAAGCTTATTTTGTGGGGAAATGCGGGACCGGAAAGTGGGCCAGTGAGTAGTTCTAGAATTTTTGACTTTCGTGCCTCTCACTCCGTCTGCACTGTCAGCATGTGGTGAGCACTGACCTAAGTGGTGAGTAATATGTAGCCTCAATAAAAGTGTACCCAGCTCTAGGGTCTTGACCACATCATTCTTCCAGTTCCTGCCCAAACAGAAGACCAGTCAAGCATTAGATGTCAGCCATGTTGATCAACTGCGTCAGCTCATTTCCACACATCACAACCTGGGCAAAACACAACCGGTGATTACATTCTTTTTTGAGCCCACTGTCTTTGTTCATACATCTATGAACAGTTTTTGCTCCCAGTAATCCTAGTCCATCTATCTTTACCATTCAACACTGAAAGCTGTTACTGTTTTATGTGAATCGCCCCAGACTGGGAGCAGCACAATTCGTTCAATAGCTTTCCCATGCATCGGATATAACATTGGGCCAAAACCTCAAGGCGAGGATACAGGGTAGCGTCTAGGCTGAAAGATACATACTAATGCCCACTGGTTGAGCCAGAGATTTGCGTTATCAGCAGGAGATTGATAATATTGGCAACGGTCGATGGGATCGTGAGCAGATTCGTGATAAATTTAACCCAACCGCATGAAGAGTCAGTGTAAGGTATGTCCCAGGGGGTGACTGTGGCACATATGCGAGTAATCCGATACAGTAGATAGGCCAAAGGTTGTAGTCGTCAATGCATGCCACAGTCTTCGAGGCGTAATGGCTTGCGGAGTTGCGCATGTTGTCCTTGAAAGGGTCGTCATGTAGGATGCGGTTTACCACAATCGCAATCTCGCGATCAATGAACCAACCTTTTGGTCGGAACCATGTCTTCATCTGGCATCACGAAGAATAAAGCAGACCCAACGCTCAGAGTGATAAGTCCCTCAACGGGGAACAGCCATTAACTCCTTCAAGATGAAAGATGGCAAAGGCAAGCAGAGATGTGAAGATTGATGTTACAGAAAGTGAAGTCCAAAAGAAACTTGATGGCATTGTTAGCAATCTACCAATAATATACACACTAGGGTTTACAGCGCAGACAATACCTTAGATGGACTGGTAGTTCTCGAGAGGTATAAAAGTACGATAGCCAGAGGATAATATCAGGAATGAAACCGCCCTACAAACAAGATGTTAGCACGACAGATACGCTCTTTCTGACAGGAAATGGTGGGAACTAGCCTCGAGGACGCCCAGGCGGGAATGGGTGGCCAGAAATGTACCTCGACCAGTCAATTTGCACTGGCATATAGCCACTATTGGCCATAGTATCATCTGTATAGGAATCCATCTATCAGGTTCAATTTTCTTGGACACCAGCTGAGACGGAAGCTCTGCCAAGAGGAATGAGACTTTCAAGACAGTTGCCGTAGCTGTAGTCTAGGCCGGCTCTTCGCTATTATTGTACAGCCCCGTTTCATGGAAATATCCTTGTCTGGGAAATTGGCCGTTTGGATGTTTCCAGCTTCATTGTGTTCCTATGTTCGCAGGTTGTAACAGCTGCACGATCCTACTTTGGCAACCTTCGCAAGTAGTATGTATTATTCTTGTTTTTATCTCCCAGTGCGCTTGCCATTGATTGTCCTTATGGGCGCCTTTATGTTCTCCATGGCCCTGCACTACATCCAGACGGCAAGGATGAAGTCACATTTAACCGGCAATTGATGCAATTAACATGTTCAACAGCGTATATTTGGAGCGCTAACTGAGGGTAAATTGCAGATATTATTTAAACCGGTGCTGGTTGGTTTAATGCAATAGCCCGTCTTCGCTCTTTTAATGTCAACGCTGGATTGCGTGCTTCAAGCTTCATCAAGAGAGCCTATGAAGCTTCAGTCCATCCTGGAACAGGAAGGTTACTTTGTTCTATCATTTGGTAGAATCTGCTGAGGTCGAGAATGGTTCCTCTTTGCCGATATAGGAATATTTGGTGGTATGTTGGAAGCATGCCATATTCACCTGGAGGGCTCTATTTGGCTTCGGATCTCGAGCTATCGATAATTCAGTGGTAATACTTTAGTTAGCTTTTATGAGAGTGATATCTCTGCCGGATTGACTTCAGGCCAAGTCTTCCTCATGTGAGTGGCACTGAGTACAAGTCTTGTGGGACAGACTCATCTTATTAATCCCATATGCCTTGCAGTCAAGGCAATTGTTTTAGCTGCAAACCTGTGGCGAGCAGAAATGTTTATCAATTACGGGTTCTCTTTGCACGAGTGATGTTTTACCACAGCCATTCTGTTTCAATCAAGTTCATGCCTGAATGGCATGACTAAATACAGGACAATTCCCTGTCCTGGTCCCTTGGTTCCAAGGTCTTTCAGAAGGTTTCATTGTTATGAACAATGTCTTTCATCCATAGAAAAGAATAAAGCACGGAAAACAAGGCATGGGCTCAGCTGCAGCAATTGTTATTTGCTTTGGTATTGAACCTCTTTGTGTAGGTCTCACTATATATGACTGGCAAACACACTGCTTATTTACCAGGCAACGTCTATGCCATGGATCGCACAGCTGACAAGGAAGTACAGTCTCTCATAGACATGCTCGATACGGCTATAAACGAAATCAGGTTGGATCAAATGCAAGACAAGAATAGTAAGCTTATTGCTAGAAACCCAGGGGTCTCTCGCAAACCCGTGAAGATTCAAAATCGGCTGGGCAACCAGCGAGCTGGGACAGCGAGTATAAAAGAAGAAGATATTGCTGCCCTACGTCGAGTAAGTGCGAGACTGGACAGAAAGGTTACTACGCCACGATTAAGAAGTGCCATATTTCGTGCAATTAGAAACAGGTTCCTCAGCACATTCCGCCGCAACCAGCTCCAGATGCATACGGCAGGAGTCCAACAGCCGATTAACGGGGGCAATCCCATGGTAGCTCATGAGGGAAACTGTGTGGCTGATGCATACCTATACAAAATCGGACAGAGAAAGGACGCTGCAACCTTTATCGAGCTATATGGAATTCCACCTCAGGTTGTATCATCGCTTAGTGAGTCCTCGAAGTGCCCCTGCAAGCAAATTCTGCTATGCTAACATTCCCCAGATTCACAGAAGCATACACTGGCCATCGAAACCATCAATGATTACGGGACATATAGGTCGAAGGCGCATGTACCTATACGTCTGAAACTGGCATATGACGGCTTCATAAGTGCTCTCATTTGGAACATGGATCCAGGACATCTTGAGGATGTCCATACGAAAGTTGGTAGGCGCTATCAGGAATTCCTGTCCGCCAAAAATAAATACGGGGGATCTTGAGGATCCTCTTCCAATGTCCGCAAGCGCTCGTATACACTGTTTCTGGGGACACCACATTTTGAACAAGGAACTGCTTTTATACCTTCTGTGAGCCTCTATACCCCATATCTAGATTTTCTTCGCTTTCTTGCTAGAATGACATTATAAATAATGAAGTGGTCCCCGTCGACGAATATAGCAGAGAGAAGTAATGGTGGAAGTTCTTAGTTCTTCGTATCAGATTTTGACCAAGCGCATTCGGGCCCTCGTGAATCTGTTAGTGGCGCTGGGCAGATGGTCAGTCTCTATGTCCATGACTTGCATGGCTGATCAGGTCTGTCAAACAAGGCTTACTCTGTAGTCATACAGCGTGGCAGTGTTGCAGCGTCATACATAGTAGCTAATTAGCAGGAGTGAGCATGGATGGACGCGATGGATCATTTAGGGGGGTTGTTTCATGATGTTGTATTGTTATTTTAGGACATTACTCTCGTAAGCATCAGAACCAATTAAGGCACCAATTCAGCTGGTATTTGTATAATATTTTACGGCACGTGGTATGTTTACATACGTACCATACAGCCTAAAACACATCCATCAGGAACATTCGCCCCGCGGTGGTTGAATGTCTCACACCATCCCACTCTCCCGTTGTCTTTTCCCTCCCCGACCTGTCTTACCCCTTTCTTTTCTTCCTCTCCATCTGTTTTCTAGCTTCGGCACTCCTGGAGGAACATCTCTCGCCGGGTTTGGCGCTGATTTTACCGGCTATTCTGCCATTCTATACGCCAAAATGGCGTCCCCCGCTCTTAAGAAAGCCATCTCCGAGGCGGCATTGACCTATATCAAGCCAGAAGGCAAAGTATTCCAATATGGCACTGCAGGAGTACGTTTTCGGCTACCAGAATGGAATTACTTGAGAAATAATGGCTAACCCCATTGATTGACTGCAGTTTCGTATGAAGGCGTAAGTCCTCCCGAATGATATGAAAGCTCCCCCGGCCGTCGGTCCTGACCAACGCGCTCGCGCAGTGAACTTCTCAATACCGTGGTTTTTGCAGTCGGGCTGCTCGCAGGGCTCCGGTCAAAAAAGCTGAGTGGTCAATGGATCGGTGTTATGGTGACGGCGAGTCATAACCCGGCTGAGGATAATGGTGTCAAGCTGGTCGATCCGATGGTGCGTTGACAGGAACTCAGATTCCAACTCCCGCATACTATTGTGGCTGACAATTTACGCAATTCTAGGGCGAGATGTTGGAAGTAAGCGCTCTTCAAAAAGCCCTCTTCTCTGGTTCAACGGTGGCACTCCGGCTCATCTCAAATTCAACAGGCTGAATGGGAAGCGTATGCAACGAGACTCGCCAATGCCCCGCTCGAGAAGATCGCGGACGTTTACGATGAACTTATCAAGGAAATCGATGTAAAAATGGATAACCCTGCTCGCGTTGTTTATGCTCGAGATACCCGTGCATCTGGTTCACGCCTTGTTGGCATTTTGAACTCCGCTCTCACCGTCACCGAGACCGAATTCCAAGATCTGAAATTCATGACTACTCCTCAGCTCCATTACGTCGTCCGTTGCAAGAATACCTTGGGCACCCAGTATGAATACGGGGAGCCTTCTGAACAGGGCTACTACGAGAAACTTGCCGAAGCGTTTAAGAGAGTCATGAAGGGCGTCAAGGTCAAAGGCGGTCTTACTGTTGACTGCGCAAACGGTGTTGGCGGCCCGAAACTGAGGGAACTCGTCAAGTATTTGCCCAGCGCTGAAGCAGGTGGGGTGAACATCAAGGTTGTCAATGACGATGTCATCAATCCGGATAGACTGAACTTCGAGGTGTGTACACTCAGTGGAGTCTCCCTTGTATAATTACATACTGATGCTTTCGTTAGTGCGGTGCAGACTTTGTCAAGACAAAGCAGCGTGCTCCACCATCGTCCAAGGCTGGCGTTCTCGACCGTTGTGCCTCCTTGGATGGCGACGCTGACCGTCTTATCTACTACTTCATCGATGAGAGTAATGTCTTCAGGATGCTCGACGGTGACCGTATTTCGACACTCGCGGCTTCATTCATTGGCGACCTAGCTCGGAATGCTGGTATTGCGCAAAAGCTCAAGATCGGTGTCGTTCAGACCGCTTATGCCAATGGCTCCAGCACAGACTACATCGAAAAGGTTCTCAAGCTCCCTGTGATTTGCACTAACACTGGTGTCAAACACCTTCATCATGCAGCTCTGCGCTTTGACGTTGGCGTTTACTTCGAGGCCAACGGACACGGAACTGTGACATTTTCAGAGAACGCCCTGAAGGTCATCAAGAGCACTGAGCCCCAGTCTCCGGCTCAACAGCGCGCCCTTGAATGCCTCAATGCACTTACAGAACTCATCAATCAAGCTGTTGGAGACGCCCTTTCAGACATGCTTCTGGTCGAGGCTATCCTTGCCCATAAGAACTGGACTCCTCAGGAATGGCTTGCTACATATACGGATCTTCCCTCGCGTCTCGTTCGTGTCGAAGTCGGTGACCGCTCTCTCTTCAAAGCTTATGATGCTGAACGCAAACTCGAGTCGCCCGCCGGACTACAGACGAAGATCGATGCCCTTCAGTCTCGTTACAATAAGGGACGGAGCTTTGCCCGTGCTAGCGGTACGGAAGATGCAGTCCGCGTATATGCAGAGGCAGCGAGCCGTTCGGAAGCAGACGATCTCGCTACACGCGTCGCAAATGCTGTTCGTGATGCTGGTACGGTTAAGAACGTCCTGCAGTCTTCCTGAGCTTCTACAGCGTTGGGTAATCCGATTTGACATTAAGCCAGCTTAGTGTGGTCCTAACTGGTCGAGAAATTACCCCATCCCAATTATCTTCATTCTCTTTGAAATTTGACTTGGGGGCCAAAAAAAAAAAAAAAAAAAAAAATTCAAGGAAAGGTTTCCAAAAAGGGTCAGCAATGCCAGGAAACGAAGTCTTGCCTTCTTGTCGGAAAACTAAATAATAGGTACATCTGTGATATCCCAAAAAGAAGATCGTTATTTGCACTGGATTTTATAGTAGGCGGGCTTTTTTAACGAACAACGACATGAAAATGATTCCCCTAGCTTTCCTTCTTACGTTTTAGTCAACCGGTCTTGGTGATGTTCTTACCCTAAACTTCCAGGGACCAAAGTAGCATAACTAGAGTTTGCTTCGATAGATATCAGAATAAACCTTACAATCGATGAAAATAACCCCCCTCTATAAAAAAGCAATTTAGCCCTCTTCCTGATCCATCTCATCTCTCGACCGCTTTGACCGCTTCCCAAACTTCTTAGCACCCTTGCTCCCCTTCTTCTCATCATAATTCTTCATCTCCGTTATAGCCTGTCTCTGAGCCTCTCCGACCCGTTCCGCCAGAACCATCACCTCATCCTTCTGAACATCATATTCGTCCAATTGCTTGCCTAGAGCCCCCTCGATACGGTACCAGATCTCAAGGTCATACTGCGTCACGAAACTAATTGCCACACCGCTCTTCCCCGCACGCGCCGTTCGCCCGACTCGGTGGATGTACGTCTTGCTATCTGTGGGGAGGTCGAAGTTCAGCACAACATCGACGGAGGGGATATCGAGACCTCGTGCAGCGACGTCTGTCGCGACGAGGATATCTCTGCTGCGAGAACGGAATTTGCCTAGCGCGCCCAGTCGGGCTGACTGTGATAATTGGCCGTGGAGGGGGATAGCGCCGAAGCCCAGTGCGCGGAGGAGGAAGGCGAGACGTTGCGTCTCGTGGACAGTTCGTGTGAATATAATGGCCGATTGGCCGACAAATTCGTTTAAGAGGTATATGAGGTAGAGGTCCTTGTACTTCTGGGGGATGAAGACGTAGGATTGGAGGAGCGTGGAGACGGTTTGGTATTTGTTGGAGCTTACGGAGACGCGCAGGGGATTCGAGAGCGATGCTCGTTGGAGAGATTCGACTTTCGAGCTCATGGTTGCGGAGAAGAGACAAGTGCGGCGTTCCCGGGGGAGTACTTTAAGGATCTTGTCCAGGATCGGACCAAAGTCCATATCTAGTAATCGATCCGCCTCATCCATGACTAGGTATTTGAGGTTGCGGAGAGAGAAACCCTTGGTGTTTTCCAGGTGGTCCAGCAATCTACCGGGCGTAGCGACGATGATGTGTGGCTTCTTGCCCAGGGCAATGGATTGAGGTACCATGTCCATTCCACCAACAATAACTGCTGTGCGGACAGCAATCGTCGATCCAAGGAGGTCAAACGCTTGGGAGATTTGGTATGCCAGTTCTCGAGTTGGGGCTAGGATGAGTCCGAAGAAGGGTTGAGGTTTATCCATTAAAGCTATTTGAACAACATTAGTCTTGATCCATAGAACATTGAGCTTCAGAAAAACTTCTAATTTGCAAAAAAAAAAATTATATTTATACCTTGCAACATAGGCAAAGCGAAGGCCGCGGTTTTCCCGCTCCCCGTCTCTGCCAGACCGATCACATCACGGTCTTGGAGAGCCAACGGAATCGACTCTGCCTGGATTGGAGTAGGCGCTTTATACCCCAATGCCTCACAGGCTTCACATAGCTGGTCGATGATTCCTAGCTCTTTGAATGTTTTGGGATATGGCTTTGTTTCCGCGGGGCCTTGGCCCTGCTCTTCCTGATCATTCTCTCGCTCCGGTTTGGATGGTGAAATGGAAGATTCGACATCTTTACTTCCCTGCGATATTTCATGGGCAATCTTCTGTTTTTTAATCGCTGGCATATTGAAATTAAAAAAAAAGGGTCTGTTGATATAACAGAAATAAAAATCATCGACTGTAAAATGCGATCAAATTGGAAAATAATTGCGCTCCGCTAAAACTATTTATCCGATGATCCTCCGCGGATTTGCTCCGCGAAGGCTAAAAAAGTTCGCTGCCAGTCAGACATCCTGCAGCATTACGCAGGTCTCTATTGAAGATACTTGGTTTTCTTTCTTTTCTTTTTAAAAAGCTATAGAAAGGGAAGAAAATGGCAAAAGCACGAGTCAAGAAGCGCACCCATGTCGGTGCCAAAAATGGCCCTGCCAATGCAAAAAATACTGCTTCTTCGATGTCAAAAACGCCCAAATCCATGGTAATTCGAGTTGGCGGTTCACAGGTTGGTACAAGTGTGAGCCAACTGGTCAAGGATGTACGGTTGATGATGGAGCCTGATACAGCTGTGCGATTGAAGGTGAGTTGTGCACATTGAAGTTCATGTTCATCCTTTTTTTTTTCTATCCGAATTAACTTCTATTTCCCCAGGAACGAAAATCTAACAGACTGAGGGATTACACAACCATGGCTGGACCCCTTGGTGTTACGCATCTACTTCTCTTTTCAAAGTCGAGCACTGGAAATACGAATCTGCGTATAGCTCTGACACCCCGTGGACCGACACTGCACTTCAAGGTGGAAAACTATTCGTTATGCAGAGATGTGGAACAGGCATTGAAGCGTCCGCGAGGTGGAGGACAGGACCACAAAACGCCTCCACTACTCGTGATGAACAACTTTAACTCGCCCAATGCAGATGAAAACTCCAAAATCCCCAAGCGTCTCGAGTCGCTGACCACAACAATCTTCCAATCCCTCTTCCCTCCTATCAATCCACAAGCTATACCTCTTTCTTCAATCCGTCGCGTCATGCTTCTGAATCGGGAGATGTCTTCAAAGCCGGACGCTGAAGAAGACCCGTACATCTTAAACCTAAGACACTACGCTATCACAACAAAGAAGACAGGTATCCCGAAACGGATCCGTCGACTAGATCCCAAGGAGATACGCCATATGGACAAGAAGTCGTCTGCTATTCCTAATCTAGGGAAACTGGAGGATGCCGCGGATTATCTACTTGATCCGTCCGCGGCGGGATATACATCAGCGAGCGAAACTGAGCTGGATACAGATGCCGAAGTCGAAGTCGCGGAGAGCACTACCAGGAAGGTTTTGAACAGACGGGAAATGCAACGTATGAACGCTGGGAAAAGTTCACAGAAATCAACAGGCGCTTCCCAGGCTGAGAAACGGGCCGTTAAGCTGGTTGAATTGGGGCCACGGATGAGACTCAGGCTGATCAAGGTTGAGGAAGGCTTGTGTGAAGGGAAAGTGATGTGGCACGATTTCGTGAACAAATCGGAGAAGGAGATCAGTGAGCTTGACAAGAGTTGGGACCAGAGGAGAAAGGAGAAGGAGGAAAGAAAGAAGAAACAAAAGGAGAATGTCGAGAGGAAACGACAGGAGAAGGGCAAGGCGAATGCAGATGGGGAAGATGGAACGGATAATGAAGATGAGGATGAGGACATCGATATGGATGAAGAGTGGTTGAGTGACGATTTTGATGATGAGGATGGCGAGGAGCAGGAGGATAATTCTGATGAGTCCATGGAGGATTGAACGCGTGCTTGAGGACGTTTAATTCGGCACGATGTTCGCCTATGGGTCAACGGCTTCTGTGTGTCCTGAGATGTACTCAAGCACCCGTCTATCATCATGGTATGTGAAGGGCTCCGATATACTACATACAACAACTTGATATGATGGCTTTTGTGGTGTCCGAAGAAGAGGCGTTTTCAGTGCATTTAAGGGATATGACATTCCAACAAAAGTTAAATGTCGATTTTGATAATATAGAACTATACCCGAAAGGTTCGTCTGGTTTATAGTGAAAAGGAATTGAATATCGAATCTGAAGCTTTCCTTATTTCGTTTATATTGATTTGCACGATTACAGGTAGAAAATTGGTCATAGCATCGTTCCATAAAAAGAGTAAAAAGATAGCTACCTTTTGAGCTTTTCTTCCACAATCCTTCCAACCATTTTCTCAAGCACTGCAAAATCCCCTCCAGAGACCCCCCCAAGGTATGCGTTGACACTCTTTTCCACGTACTTACCGACGAGATCAATCTCAACGTTCACATAGTCCCCTGGCTTCTTGGTTGCGGTCACGACCTTCTCCTGCGTGTAGGCAATGAGCATCACCTCCCAGAACCCATCATCCCCATCAACGACCTTGGTAACAGTCAAACTGGCCCCATCGATCGTAATGAATCCCTTCTCCACGATATACCTCAATACATCTTTCTCTCGAGGTTGAAAACGGAAGGTGAGCGCATTGCCGTCGGGGGTAACAGAAAGGATCTTAGCAACGGTATCGACATGGCCCTGCACAACGTGGCCGCCCAGTCGGGTATTCGCCGAGACTGCGCGTTCAAGATTCACTTTATCGTTTTGCTTGAGAGAACCGAGGTTGGTGCGGCGGAGAGTCTCGGGGGCAACGCCGACTTTGAAGCTCTTCTCGTCGAACTCTGTGACGGTGAGGCATGTTCCTTTTGTACCCAGGCGTGTTAGACATATTTAAAACAATGTACGATCTGGATATATAGTATTCATACCATTAACGCTTATACTGTCGCCCAAATGCGCATCTGTAAGGATCACATTGCAATCCGATATCGTCAACGAGGTTCCCCCGCCCCCGCTCGATGAGCGATCGAGGTCCTCCAGAGACGTCACGGCTAGAGAACAGGGGAATTAGAACCAAGATTCTGCTTAAATGAGAACACCGACATCACTTACTCCCTACTGCTTCAACGAGGCCTGTGAACATGTTGAACAAGAACTACCGATTGATGATGGTGCTGAGCTGCGGGCAAAGTGGTTACTTTTGGCAAAAATAAGCGTCCCGTCTTTTCCAACGCGGCCCGGGCCTCGGGCATTTGGCCGGCGTCGGTAGTTTCTCGTATATTTTCCCATGGGCTTCAAGTGACTTGATTTACTTCAAAGCTTTAATTCATCCTGAGGATAATAACTCTGTCTTTCTTTCACTCACAAGGGATCGATTCAATTCCGCGCATATTTCGCATGATGGTGCTCTTTAACCTCGTCTGCCGATCGGGACGGTTCTGGCCCTCAAGCCGTGCGGGCATTCCCCAGCACGCAGCGCAATTGCAATGGCGCTATTATTCTAGCCAAGTCGCGGGACAGGATGGGACTCTTCCTTTGCAGGGTATACGGGTGCTTGATATGACGAGGGTTCTGGCTGGGGTGAGTCCCGAGTTTTATGGATTCAACTCTATTCCATCCATGCATGCTTGCTGAAAGATCCTTGGGGTGATTGCAGCCGTATTGTACTCAGATTCTTGGAGATTTAGGGTATGCATACTTCTGTTAATATTTCTACTGAGTGATAATATCCACTGACAATACTGATTTCTTAATAGAGCTGAGATTATTAAAGTCGAGCATCCAGTCCGCGGAGACGATACCCGCGCCTGGGGGCCTCCATATGCGAAATACAAAGATACACCGACGGATAAGGGTCCAGGTGAAAGTGCTTACTTTCTTGCTGTATGAACAGAGTAAACTTATTCTGCCAAACTCGTAACCGGAATTGACTCTTTTGGTATAGGTCAACCGGAATAAGAAATCAATTGGCATCTCCTTCGCCCATAAACAAGGTGTGGAGATCCTGCACAAGCTGGCCAAGGAATGTGATGTCTTGGTCGAGAATTACCTTCCGGGAAACCTCAAAAAGTACGGCATGGACTACGAAACGCTGAGTGCCCTCAATCCCAAGTTGATATACGCCAGTATCACGGGATATGGGCAGACAGGGCCATACAGTAACCGCGCCGGGTACGACGTTATGGTCGAGGCAGAAATGGGGTTGATGCATATCACAGGATCAAGGGATGGACCGCCAGTCAAGGTCGGAGTCGCAGTCACAGACCTTACAACCGGTCTCTACACGTCGAATGCCATCATGGCCGCATTGCTTGCACGTGCGAGGACGGGCAAGGGACAACATATTGACTCCTCTCTCAGCGATTGCCAAGTCGCGACCCTCTCCAACCTGGCCAGCTCAGCCCTAATCAGTGGAGAGAAGGATTCGGGGCGATGGGGAACCGCACACCGTAAGTAGATACATACACATTGTTCTGTGCAGATATAGTCGCGTGAACTAATCGCATATTTCAGCATCCATTGTGCCGTATCGAAGCTACAAAACCCTTGACGGCGATATTCTTTTCGGAGGAGGAAACGACCGGCTATTTGGAGTATTGTGCGACAGGCTAGGCTTCCCGGAGTGGAAGACAGACGCCCGCTTCATCACAAACCGAGACCGGGTAAAGCACCGACATGATATTGACGGAATGATTGAAGGGATAACCAAGACAAAAACCACACAAGAGTGGCTGGAGATATTTGAGGGTAGTGGTATGCCGTATGCGGCAGTCAATGATATCCAAGGAACGCTGAACCATTCCCATGGTGAGTCGCACCCACTTTCCTGCCATCTATCCTTCTCTGATAATGCATTTCTGGTAGATGGAGGATTTTCTAACATTCGCGCATAGTTCTCGCTCGAGGGATGGTCCAGGAAGTTGAACATCCCTCCTGTGGCCCCATCAAGCTAGTCAACACGCCTGTCAAGTATTCCCACGCAAAACCAGGGATCAGGACTCCTCCTCCGACTCTTGGCCAGCACACCGATGAAATCCTCGGGGGGATGCTCGGACTCCCGGAAGAAGATATTTCTCGATTAAAGCAAGGGGGAGTTGTGTCGTAGATTCCATCACATTATTGTTGATTGGTCGGGAGATCTGTATTTCTCCTTCCTTGCATATATAAGCAATAAGTTGGACTGTTAGTATACTAGAGAGCGACAATGATGAGTTGCAGTGGCTAGCCACCAGCATCCATGGACGGAAATAAAGCAGAAGCTCTGGCGACAAAGAGAGAAGCGGGAACTCTGTGCGTCACGTGGCTCTCTATAGACCTTGATCCGTTCCAGCTCGACTTCGGCTTCAAGTCACTCTGCTTGCGGATCGAATGTTGGTTTCGTATTGATGAGAAAGCCTTGTTTCTTTTTCTTTTTCTTTTTGTTTTGATACCCACAATACGTTTTTTGCTCTCCTCAGTCAGACCAGGGGAATGCCAGAGCGAGAGGATGCTTCAGGCGGTCTCTCCGTGAGGCCCCTGCCGCCGTCATCCTTAACGCCAGCCAGCGCTTCGGCTATATATCCATCGCCGGACTCTCTCCAGGAGAACTCTTCTGCTCACATTGACTCAACTGGAAAATCTCGGACGACTTCGAATTTATCATCGAGTAGCTCTTCCAACAATCCTCGGATTCCGAAACTCTCCGCCTCCACCACCGAGCTCCTGGCACGAGTGAATGGCTATATGAAAGGAGGCAATGCTAGTTGGCTAGGCTATAATCATGATAATCGTAATGGTGTTACGGGTTTAAACTTGTATGGTTCTTTGAGCTCGAGTTCTACGCATCTGAACAAGATGAAGACCTCATCCGCTATTATAGAACTCCCAACGGCACCCTTTGAGTGCTCGAGAACCGCCGCTGCTACTCCCGTGGCCTCCAGCGTCACTGTCTCCAAGGAGGATCATACTAAACCGCTACAACATCAGCCAACCCAACCAGCAAGGCTCGTTGCGATTGCTCCTAAACTGATAGGAGCACAGACCACTTGCCCGCAGGCCCAAGAGCCAACGATACCGGCGGGCGTGACAGCGACCCCCGCTGCATCCTCGATAGCCTCCCCCAAACGGGTGAAATCATCTGCAGCGTCTCGTAATCGCAGAAGTGCAACCAACGGTGGTAGGCGTTCTAGGAAACGGCATCGCGGTGGCGACAGCGATGGCGAGGACATTATCAGAGCAGGCGACTCGAGCTCTAGTGAGTCCGACGTGACGCCGACTGCCACGCGGACGAAATCCGGCCGCCAAGTTCATCGGCCATCGGTATATGTACCACCTTCCTCCACCTCATCAACTGGTAAGGGGAGTGCCGGTCCCATGAATGCATCGGATGGCCAGGCTGCTACCTCTGGCGCTGCCGCATCTCCGCGGAAACGACGGCGTGTCTATCGCAAAGGGAAGGACGTGAATATCAGCTGCTGTCATTGTCAGAGGGGCCACAGCCCATCGACAAATGCCATTGTGTTCTGTGATATATGCAACGATGCCTGGCATCAATTATGCCATGATCCTCCCATCGACAGCGAGGTTATCATTGTGAAAGAGAAGAAATGGTTCTGCAGGGAGTGCAAGCCTGTGCCGTATCAGGTCATCCAACCAACTGTTGTCAGAAGTGATCCTGATAAGTCTATCGCATCAGTTCAGCCTCCGCCTGTTATTCCCAAGCTTGAAGTTGGAGGCGTTAATTTTTCCGCAGCAGAACGCCGTGGCTATCTATCTAATCTATCCCATGCGACTCTCGTCGAGCTCTTGGTCACCCTGTCAGATCGTCATCCTTCTTTAGAGATCTTCCCTGCCAACTTGAGCAGCTTGCAGTTATCCAAATTCTCATCCCAACGGAATACGTGGACCACTCAACCTGAGTCGCTCACAAACAACGCCACTATGACTGATTCAAATGGAGAGAAACACCATGAGGAAACCCCCGATATGGGACAGTCATCCTCCGAGCCATCGAACCGGAAGACACATGGCTCGGTGTCCGATGATTCGGACTTCGAAGAATTCCAGGAACACCGTTTGTATCCACGGGCAGGGAATGGATTCCGCCTGTCTCTCAATGCAGACGACCTGGATATACTCCGGGAAGACCCTAGATGTCCTACATTCAGCTACGAACTTCATGGACCTGCCAAGTCTCGAATGGAGGCGAACGAAGCCGTTCCTATGTGGGGCGCCGCTTGATGAACTAGGCGACTAATCTTGCAAAAGTTTCAGCAGCTTTATCGAACAAGGAATATTGCTACTTTCGCTATCAGATAGGTATTATTCGAGAGGGTTGTTTGAATGCATTTTTTACAATCGCCAAGCAAGTATCACTCTGCATACACAATAGCCGTGCTTGGAGCAGACCGCACCCTTTCAGCCGCCATGGGCTTGACCACCAGTCGACCTCCTGTGATTACATCCCTGCTGGAAATCGACGGTGGATCCCAGACGACCTCCGCAACACTGCCTCTGCACCTGGCCATACCGCACCCTGTCTCGTCCACATTGTAAAGAAGCAGGAAATTCGCGGGATCGCCTTCCTTCAACGCCAACGTGGAATCGGTATTCGTAGCACCCGAATTGCCAATACTGATTGCTTCCCGTGCTCGCGTGGAGATGCACTCATAGAGCAACTCAGTGTCCTTTTGCGCACCGGCCTGGTATACCCCAACCCCAAAACAAGCAAGAGACAGCGGATCCGGAGATCCCCAGGGCGTAAAAGCATTCCCAACATTGTTGGCCCCGATCACGGCATCAAGGCCATTATTGTGGATCATATCTAGGACATTGAGGGTGCCTCGTTGCTTCACGTGTGGTGGTGAGATATGCGCAGAGACCGGAGGTGAAGCCATATAAAGGTCGCTAGTAGGCAGACCGACAAAGGAAACAGGAAGATTATTGCTGTTAATGGCAAGCGCAAGTCTCTTCCATTCCTTTTCTTCGAACAGCGTCAATCTTGTACAATGTCCCAACATTACCCTTTTATGGTCATTTCTGCCTGTCCAACCACCCCGCCCCAAAGCATGCAGAACATCCCACACCATGGCCTCCTTGCTAGAATCCAGATGATAGTCTAAATGAAAGTCCAAATGCAATCCCGAAGCCATGGCAGTCTGCACCGCCCAGTTCACATTTCTCTTGGCATTTTCCTCGCAATCCTCCACGTACGGCGTTGTGCCCAGCACACCTATATCTCCCACAGCATAATCACCTCCAAAGAGAACCTTCTCGATAACCCCCCTATTCTCGTCACCTACGGGTCCGGAGAAAACGGGATCTTGCGCAAAACACACAATCTGGACCTCGCACACACCAGCCCATTTTCTTTTCAACTCAATCCCCACATCGAGACAGGTCGTGTTGACCGTCGAATCTACCTCGACGAACGCGCGGATACTCGTAACACCCGAGGCAACGGACTCAGCGAGAAGCCATTCTCCACGTTTGAGAAGGTCTGAACGGCTGAAACAGGATTTTGCCTGCGTGGTGTGCGAGAGGGCTTCGCTGAAGGACCCTGTGCGGGGGTAGATATGCGCGTAGTCTGGGTTGTTATGGATAAAGGCCTTGTCTAGGTGGATGTGAGGGTGGGTGAGTGCTGGGAGGAGGAGAGGAGAGCAAAGATAATAGCCACTTCCACTGTCATGATCGTAGGGATGTTCGCTATGAGGAGTGATGGTGGTTATGATCCCATTTGGTGCCTCCGGGGGGTATCCGATTGTGACGTCCCAGGTAGTGTTGGTGTTGGAGGGGTTGTTTCTTCCTGGGATACGCACTGAGAGTATTGATTTGATGGGCTTGGAGAGTTGAGGGCGCATTACTTATGGGATATTCTTGTTGGTTGTTTTTAGGATCTTCCGTGGATTTATTGCAATTGAACCGAAACATGCTTGTTCCATTGCTCAGATCAATATATATAGCTAGGTAGCTCTATCTACCCCGCATGGTCCTGTCCAATTAAGTGGATGTTGACATGAATTTCGACATTCCCAGTAAAGCAATTCGTTATTCTGTTGTTTTTTATTGCTCATGAATATATGCAGATAGAAGGGGCACATCCATGCAAGCTTTGGCGCTTAAAACAATACACGCAACACTTTTCCTGGCAGTCCTAGTCCCATCACATCCATCATACCATTTGTCCTCCCTCTTCCAGCTCCTCCAGTTCACTATCTGAATATTAAACAAGAACGCAAAGCGAACTGTCAGAAAAGCATTTAAATCGAAGCAGATCACCAATTCTTCTCCTCAATTGAACACCAGACCAAGGCGTTAAGTTAAAACCGCAACTCACCTAACAATGCCAACAACGCCAAAAAACTCCCGACAACCACAACCACCATCCTCACACTCAAAATGGCACACCCATTTAACCCTCGACCTCCTCCTCAAAACAATGAACTACACAATCCTCCACCCCTGGTTCGGGTGGATGTTCGTCCTTACTCTCCGCGCCCAGATGACACCGTACACATCCACCTACTTCATTACCTCCGCGATGTACGCGACTATCCTGACACTTCTCTTCGTGGGACGGGTGATCAATCAGGGCGTCGCGTACGGGAAACCGCGGGAGGTTGATTTGGGGGAGGAGGTTGTTGTGATTACGGGTGGTGCGTCGGGGTTGGGGTTGTTAATCGCGCAGATTTATGGGATTAGGGGGGTCAGCGTGGCCGTTTTGGATGTTAAAGGTCCTGAAACAAAAGATGGGGATGAAGATATTCTTGCTTCGGATGGGTTGTCAGGGTTGGAGAGTGTTGAGTGTTACCGGTGTGATGTTGGGAACAAGGAAGAGGTGGAGGATGTATTGAGACGGGTTGACAAGGATGTTGGTTTATCCTCATTGTTATTTCTATTTACAGGATACGATTATTTATTCTAACGTTTTTCTCAGTTAGGTACTCCCACTGTGCTCATCAATTGCGCCGCTGCCAGCATCAATGGCCAGCCCATCCTGTCTTTACCGGCTGAGTCCTTCCAGAGAACCATCCAGATCAATTTACTTGGTGTCTTCAATACCTGCCAGGTTATCTTACCGGGCATGTTATCCGCTGACAACGGGGGTACAGTTGTTACCGTGAGTTCTGTCCTCGGCCATCTTACTCCGGCCTGTCTCTCAGACTACTCCGCGAGTAAAGCTGGATTGAGTGCCCTTCACAGAACGCTGGAGGCTGAGCTCCGCGCGTCAGGTCACAGCAACAAGGTGAAAACGATCTTGGTTGAAACGGGACAGATGTCAACGCCGCTCTTCGAGAAAATCAAAACGCCCAGCAATTTCTTCGCCCCCGTCCTTGAGCCAGTCCAGGTCGCCCAGGAGATCGTATCTGCAATCGATAGTGGAAGAGGCGGTGTCATCAGATTGCCCACCTTTGCTGCCGTCGTAAGTTGGTATGCTGTTTTGCCTGCCGCTCTCCAACGAATCGCTCGATACCTAAGTGGTATTGATTTTGCCGTAGCGAAGGCGACCCCCCAAGGGTCAATCAGCGAATAGAAATGTCAAGTAGCGTGCACAGACTGGGTGTTGATTGAAAAGCGGCGTTTGACTATGGCTATAGGGCCTATGATGAGTCGTGCTTTGCCAGGAAACTTTAGTTTCAGGGGCGGTATATTGGTATGCCTTATCCAAAGTCATATGCAACAGCATCGGCAGAAAGGATCAGAACTGGTCTTCGACCCTCTACTGTTCGGTAGCCAAGATAATCTTCTCGCGCTCAGCTCGTCTTGATGGTAGAGCGCCCTTCTTCGTGTGCTTCCGGATGTTTTCTTCGCGTCTCTTAATGGCTGCTAGCTCCTCCTTCTTAATTTCGCCGGCCTTCTTTACTGCCTTCGGTACATGGCGATGACGTCTGATTCTTCGGATCTCCGGCATGTGCGAGTACCTCTGAATAAGAGCCTGGTCATATTCCAACTTCGCCCTTTGACGAGCATTCGTAATTCCGCTGCGGTCCGACGCATTTGCACGCCAGAGGCGGATATTTCCATCGTCTGACCCGGAAAGCACATACTTATTGTCAGGCGTAAACTTGGCCGAGAAGACACTGCATGGATAGTTAGAGATTCGAATCTTCAGGGGGAGCAAATTTCCTTCCAAACGTACCGTTGCATTCTCTTCGTGTGATAGATGTCTCGTGAATGGCCCCTCGATCTGTCCCACAGCCGTACTGTACGATCGTACGAGGCTGTTACCAGTTCCTCACCCGTAGGGCTGAACTCTACGTCCATAACGGCGGAGACGTGATCCTTAAGCACATTCAGGGCACGATCCAGCTTCCTCATGTCGAAGATGTAGGCATTGTGATCTTCATTCGCGACTGCAAAGTTGAATGCTTCCATTGGATTCCACGAAATAGCATTTGATGCAAACTGCAGAACAGCCTTGGTGACCGGCGACGACGTACGAAGGTCGTATAAGACGACTGAGCGATCCATAGCCGTGGATCCGAGAATTGACGTTTCCGTTTGGTTGAACGCGACTGACGTGATGGTGTCGACGCTAGTTGGCCAGTGCAAGGTCTGGGAAGGAGTCGACGAAGGCCGTGAAAGGTCATAAATTGAGATAGCAGAAGACGACACAGCGAATGATGGGATACTCCTGTGGTGGGAAATACTAGTGAAGGCACCTTGTCCCAGGTATGTCGCCAAGGGAGGTGTTTCAGAGGATGAATTGTACGGATCAAACAGTTTGACAGTTTTGTCACTGGCACAGGACAGTAACTTTTGATCTGGGGTCCAGCAGATTCCTTTGACAATGTTTTCATGTGCCTGAGTATTCCACACTTCATGGCGACTAGTCAAATCCCATACTTTCACTACGCCATCACCGCTTCCACTGGCAAAATGTTCGAGGGAGTTTGGATCTTTGGCCATGGAGTACACTCCATCAACATGACCATCGCCCATTTGGCCCAGGAAAGGGGCCGCAAACATGCGTTCCAATTTGGTAGCAGTGAGAGCTCTGGTATATTCCCGAGCCCGTTCAAAAGGATGCTGTGAAGGATCGAGATTTCGGGGTTGTCGAACGACAGAGGTTCCCGGAGCCTGCTGCGAGGCCACGGGCCGTGAAAGGGCTTTTATTTTCTAGGAGATTGTTGGTTCTAAACGTGGTATAATTGGGAAAGGGGTAACTATTAAATCAATGGAACTTACCATGGTGTTCTGGTTATCTTTTGCGGAGGATGAGAGTAGAAGATGCGTAAATTTTCGAGCAGCCTTTTTTTTCTTTTTTTAATTCCGACCGCGGGCGGTGAGCAGAGAGCTTCCGCAGCTACGCAACCTCCGACGACGATTTGGTCAACACAGCTACTGCCTACACCATTCTGCTTTCCGTTCGATCTCCAATCCATCACTTTCCGAGCCTGTTTCCTTTGATCCTCCTTCGTTTCGAACACAACTTCACCCGGTATTAGCTTCAAATATGGCCCCTTCCTCGACTGCCTCCCAACGGATAGAGGAGGCTCGGGCTTTCGCGACGACCAATCCCCCTACGGCGGAGAACATTTATAAAGAGATTCTCTCTCAAGGTCCAGGTTCGACAGAGGCATCATCGCGTGACTATGAGACAGCCTTGGTTGAACTCGGAAAGCTATATCGAGATGGAAGGAAAGCGCAGGAGATGGCAGAGCTCATCAAAACAAGCCGTGATTCCTTCTCGTCATTTGCCAAAGCAAAGACAGCTAAACTAGGTAAGTATTTATCAAGTCTGTTGCGCAATCAAACGGTCGCTGATCGGACCATTTGATAGTCCGCCAGCTCTTGGACCTGTTCAGCGAGATTCCCAACACTCTGGACATCCAAGTCGCTGTCATCCGATCCTGCATTGAGTGGGCAGTCTCCGAGCGGCGGTCCTTCCTCCGACAGAACCTGGAAACCCGACTTGTTGCCATTTACATGCAGAAGCAGTCCTACTATGATGCTCTCACTCTCATCAATCCCCTTCTTCGCGAGCTGAAACGCCTAGATGATAAGCTTATGTTGGTCGAGGTGCAGCTTCTGGAGTCACGTATCTACCATGCTTTGGGTAACCAAGCCAAAGCACGCGCTTCTTTGACAGCTTCTCGGACGTCGGCGGCATCTGTTTACACCCCCCCCAATCTGCAGGCTGGGTTGGATATGCAAAGTGGGATGCTACACGCCGAAGACAAGGACTTCAACACTGCATACTCGTATTTCATCGAAGCGTTGGAGGGCTACAGTTCTCTTGACGAGGGAGAGAAGGCGACGGCGGCTCTTCAGTACATGCTGCTTTGCAAGATCATGTTAAACTTGGGGGATGACGTAACGAATTTGCTGGCCTCGAAGCAGGCCCAGAAGTACGCGAGCCCACGGCTCGAAGCTATGAAGGCCGTGGCGCGGGCTCACGCCAACCGCTCCCTTGAAGAATATGAGAAGGCCTTGTCGGACTATCGGTATGAGCTAGGAAGTGATACCTTTATCCGGAACCACCTTCGTCGACTGTACGATGCCATGTTGGAACAAAACCTCATCAAGGTCATTGAGCCATTCAGCCGAGTCGAGCTTGACCACGTTGCAAAAATGGTTGGGCTGGACACACAGCAGGTCGAGAGAAAGCTATCACAGATGATTCTGGATAAAGTGATCATCGGAGTATTGGACCAGGGTGCTGGCTGTCTGATTGTCTACAATGAAACGGAGCGGGATCAAGCCTACGATGCTGCTCTAGCGACAATCGAGAAGTTGAGCAATGTGGTTGAAGTGCTATACACCAACAAGGCTTCCTTGTTGGAGTAGAAAGCTCTCTTTTCTTCATTCTCTCCCTTTCTGCTACGATCCCTGGGGAAACGCTATGTGACTAGAGTGGATATTATTTGCAATATACACTATGGCAAGCTCATGACTTTGTGGATAGAAATCTTAATCCTTCAAGATCTTCCATAAAGATCTGTCTTGTCTTTGCCTTTCCACATTATCCTTTATGTTATTCTGCACTTCTATATATTAGAAAGTAATCTCATGCTTTAGCAAGCAGGCAGGTCTATGTATCTACGTGCCGTACATGATGCCGAAAAGGGTAAAGCGCGAGCGCGGCAAAGACATCGCGACCTTTGGTCAAACCTCAGGATTCATTCCTCTCCATCGAGACTTTCGTGCAAGCAGCCCGTGCGCGCCTCAAACATCAACTGTGAACTGCTCATCGAATATCTCTGGGTTTGATAGCCCATCCCACTGACAACATGAATACCCCCATCCATCCAGGCTATGCCCGCGGCTTCCCACAGGCCACCGTCCAACGCAACCCTGCCACACCTCGTCGCGGACACCCAGCAGCAGGTTAGTTTGTCCCCAGACCTGCCCTCAGTTTGGTTGACCTTGCTTGCTTTCTTTCTTTCTAACTTTATGTCGCGCTTTTATTAGCCCCAGCGATGCCAGTCCCGATGCAACAAGCGGCCGTGAATGTCCCGTACATGGCAACACAGCGCAACCATCTCGCGCATTCTTCCGAAGCCGCGCTCCGTCGCAGTCGCAAGCCCACGGACAAGAACCTTCCAGATGGCATCGAAGATATTGTGATCGGAGAAGGGGTTCAACAGTACAAGAGCCTTCGCGAGCTTGAGAAGCGACTAGACGCCGCCGTCGTTCGCAAGAGACTGGACATTCAGGATTCCATCAGCAAAACAGTCAAGAAATACCGGACTATGCGTATTTGGATTTCCAATACGGTTGAAAACCAGCCGTGGCAGAATGACGCGGCCGCATTGAATGGCATCTCCGCTCCAGGTGCCACCCCGGGCTCCGGGCGCTACAAGGTAAGAATAGAAGGAAGACTGTTGGAAGACGGTAGCGATCCTACTGAGCCGGAGGAAAGTGAGGAGGATAACAGCGGGGAGACCGGTGGCGATGATCCTGCAAAGAAAGATGAAACTGCAAGTAGTGGGAATAAACTATCCGGCCATAAACGGACAAAGCAGCGCTTTTCTCACTTTTTCAAATCGATCACTGTCGATTTTGACAAACCATCTTTGGCAAAGCCAGAAGAATTCAAGCCGATTGTTTGGAATAAGCCACAGCTGCCGCCGAATACGGTTTCGCTCCCTCCCAGCGCGGACTTTGACTCGTTGCAGTTTTCTCGGTCTTCGCAAGAGAACCTGAATGTTACAGTCAGTCTGGTGAGGGATGAGACGCCGGAACGGTACAAGCTCAGCAAAGAACTTGCGGACCTTCTTGACGTCGATGAGGAAGATCGGAGCGGAATTGTTCTTGGTATCTGGGACTACATTCGAGCCATGGAGCTACATGGGGACGAAGAGAAGCGAGTGGTGCGCTGTGATGACCGCTTGCGAACGGTATGTAGTTGATATTAATTATTTCTTTGAAAACAGACGAACACTGACACAGGATGTCTCCCTTTACAGATCTTCGGTCGGGAGCAGATGTACTTTCCTCAAATCCCAGATGCCATAGGTCCTCACACGAGTCCCCTGGACCCTATAAAACTCCCCTACACCATCCGGGTCGATGAGGAGTTTCACAGAGACCCGACTCCAACCATATATGACATCCGCGTTGCTGTCGAAGACCCTCTTCGCACAAAAATGCTCGCCTTGACCCAGAACCCGCACTACGCTTCAGGTCTCCGCCAGATTGCTCTGCTAGATGACCAACTGGCCCTCATCATTCAGGCCCTGACTCACTCTCGAGCCAGACACGCCTTCTTCACCGCCCTGAGTAAAGACCCTGCCACCTTCCTGCGCAGATGGATCAATTCCCAGCGCAGGGATTTAGAGACCATCATGGGCGAAGCCACGAGGGGTGGTGGTGAGGATGGTAGTGGACCCGAGTTCAGACGTGGAGGTCAGGATAGTGCTTGGGACACGGTTGTTGCCAGGGAGGCAGTGAGATACATGCTTGCTAAACCAGAAGCCGCAGCTGTGAGGTAGGAGGAAGCTTCATATTTTTTTACCCTTCTTCTTTCCCCGTCCCTTGTATTGTAGATTATCCTTCTGTTTTGTGCGTCTTAGTTTGTTTTATTCTGGGCATTTGAATTCTGGAAAAAAACTCCGGCGTCTATCTACTTATGTGCGAAGCAGGGTGATATTTCATTTCATTCTAGAGCTTAAACGAGAATGAGCAGGAATTAAAGAGCTTTACTTGCAATTGTTACTCTAGTCTACTTCTTTGAGCTTTATTATTAACAAAGCACAGAAGAAGACGGAGCTAATCTAATAAACTACCGAAAGTTCATTGGAATGAAAACAAAGATGTAAGAAGTATGGAGTAGATAGAAATAGATGGCCCTCTAATTGTAACTCCTTCCTTTCCTTGACAACACCCATGGTACGGAGAACATAATAAACAAGTCAAGAAAGAAATAAAGTGAGTAAAATAACCCAGGTTCCAAAAAGAAACGAAGCATCTCTCAAAAAAGTAGAATATATCCTGCGTCTTGTCAACAATAGCGTAGGGCGAGGAACGTCAGTCATCGCCAAAAAGAAAAAAAGGTCCCTATTGTATTACGCTGCACCTAGGTAATCTCCACTTATTTGCTTCTCCATCTAGACCAACAGCGATTCCTAAGATCATGAGGTAGGCACCTCAATTCTCCTGTTCCGGAGTTGCTTCCCGGTAAAACCTGTGTCTAAACCGGTAGAAGATTTCGTATCTACGGAGCCTTTCCCGTCCGCCTTCTTCTCGTTCCCGTTCTCATTTCCAGGCCCAGTAAGGCAGGCATCTTCCTCCTTCTCCAGCCGGGAAGCAGTCTCCAGGACTGCATCCCGGAGTTCCTCGGCGGGCTGTTCCTTGATTTCGGATGCGCGCGTCCGGAACCGTTTCAGTACGGCATCGATCATCTTCGAGAACCAGTAGTAATTGAGTGAGTTGAGGACAAGGTTGGAAGCCACGTAGGTTACAACGAGCCAGGTAGGAACACCGCCGGCCGTGTATCGGCCGAATTTGGATATTTCGGCATTAGCCTCGGCGCATCCCTTGTCGAAACACAGGACACTGGACCGGTCGCGGAAGACCTGAGCACTGATGTCGACTGGTTCCAGCAATGAGGAAGCGTCCCAGGTCTGTCGCAAGGCACCAAACATGTCCCGGTACACGAGGACGGACTGCCAAGTCCCCCAGACGAGACGGCAGGAGAAAAAGACGAACAGCAATGCCATACCATTATACCACTGGGCAGTGCTGCCGGTCATATCGACCTTATCCAGGAACCAGTGGATATTGAGGAAGGGGCTGGAGAGTTCGTAGAGAAGGAAATTCGGGCCGTAGAAAGTGAGGAACGGTCTCTATATGATGACAAAAGAGGAAATGATTAAAAAGGAAACCAGCATCAGAGACAGGAGAGATTTCCTGAATTTTTTTTCAAAAAAAAAAAGCTATAGTAGTGAGGTTACTTACGAATCCAAAACTGAACACCCACAATGCACTGATGGCATGGAACAGCATCCCGACTCCGAATATCTTAATATAAACCGTGCAGATAATCAGGTCATAGAGAAAATATCCCGCCGCAAGTGCTTGGATGAGCCCCCCAGCACCCGTATACCCGTACACCCGCTCTCCGGCGTTCATGGACTTGCGTTCCTTGTCAAACAGGATAAACCATAGTGACACAGCGTTTATCAACGTGCTCTGTACAAAGGAGACCACATGCGTATCCCAGTTGAGCTTGGTGCGGCGGTTGAATTTGGGGTAAAACCGGGGGAGAAGTCGCGAGGAGAGCCAAGGGGAGAGGTAGAAGTGGATGAATTGGTAAGATACAAAGGCAATCAGTGCCTCGTGGATATGGTCCGGGAGGGTGGGTACGTTCAAAGAGAGAGCCCAGGGCTCAACCGCATCCCTCAGCCATCCAGGCGGACCCGGAAAGGGATCTAACATGAGCGCGTCGAGTTACGGGGAATGGTGATGAGAAGGTAGTAGCGTAGACAATACAGCGTCCAATCAACCAGGTTATTGTCTTTTCTCCGTATCTCTGGCGAAATTCCAAAGGGTCGAAATTAGTCTCAGCACTGCAACCGCTAGGCTGGCCTCTTCGCAACGCAGGACTAGAGCATGACGGGAGATAGATGCAAGATATAATGTGAGATCAGAGATCGGAGTCGAGAACAGCGACTTCAGTCACGAGCCGGCCGATCATGTGATAGCGGCCTGAAAACAGCCGATTCTCGTAATTTCATGCCTCAGGCGTAAAATACACGTGCAAAGAGTTGGGGAAGGGCGCTTTTGTTGGGAATCAGACGATTTCAGAGCAGAGAATCTATCTACAGTCTTTTGCAACTCAGTAGATAGAGTCGTAGCAGATTGAACTTCATAAAATCATTTACAAACACACAGGAAGGACGCGATGCGAGTCTCCAGGCAGTCATGTCAGGGCAAAAACGCAGTGGTATACGATGCGGAAACAAGACAAAGTAACAAGAAAGGCCAAAAGAAAAGATTAAAAGACGAAACATAACAAAGGAAAGTCGTTCCACTCTCAGTCCCCTTCGAAAGACAGCTAGCACATATACCATTATGGACCGTAAGATCTCCGCCTTAGACAGCTGGAGCCGCGACCTCACTACCTAAGCCGCTGTCACTAGGAGGCCCGTAGAGAACCATATTCTTCTCCAAGTTGGCGTCTTCGACATCCCCATCGTCCTCAAGAGTGGCTTGATGGCTATCCACATTCTCCCGCTCCTCTGCCTGGGCGTCATGGTCCGGCTCGGATCCAGCGTCTTCTTCTGTGTGCTCTCCCTCCTGTCTGGCCTCCTCTTCAGGCTGGTCCACTATGCTACTCACGGCGCTCACCCGTCGTATGTTGTCTGTGAACTTTCCCGCATAGCTGGTCCTACGCTCCGTACCTGTATCACTCTCGTCCCCAGTCTGGTGCTCTTCCTCTTCGGGGAATACCTCGTTCTCTTTGTTTGCCACGGAACTTACACCACCCCAGGATGTCTTGCGTAAAACTGAGTTGGATTTGACCGAATGGCTTCGCTTCAAGTTCGCAAACCCGCTATTGGCTACCCCTTGCCGGTCTACCGCGCCCTTGTTGCCTGTGACATTACTCAAACTGAGGATCCTGCGTTCCTTACCAGCGTTGGAGGTGGTTGATCCAGGGTTTGATGCAGTCGGTGATCGCCGTTTCAGCGCAATGCCAATTCCATTGCCCAGAATGTTACGGGCGTCTTTTGTCGTGCTGGTGGTGCTGGCGCCGCTGTTCTTCCGGGCCCTAACACTGCGTACTCTCTTCAGATTGTGCATGCCACCCGGCCGGCTGAGGAGTACGCTTCGTGCATGGTCGAGCACACCCTCCAAGATCCGTTTCTCGAGGCTGTCTGCCCGCTCCTCCATTAATTGCATCTCTTCGTGGCGGATCTCAAGCGCGGTCTCGAGGCTAGACAGTTCCTTGCTGTATTTCGTGTTCTGTTTCACAAGTTCGTCCCTCTCCGACTTCAGAGTACTGATGATCTTCAAGAGAGACTCTTTCTCATCATTCAGGCCCTGAATTTCAGACTCCACCTGCTCCTTCTGTGCGGTTCTCCTCTCAAGAGCAATGGCGGCTTCTTCTGCCTCCCGTCGCTTCGTTTCACTGTCTTCGGCAATCATCGCAGCCTGAGCAGCGAAGAATTCGTTCATCCTTCGAGATGTTTCCATAATATCCTTATGCATCTCGTCGAGTTTCATCATCTGTGTAACAGATACTTCATTCTTCGTTGCATGGTCGATGAGCGTGTCTAGTTTTTCATTAACGTGATTGTCTGCGGCTTGTTCAAGGAGGACATCCAGCTTCCCGTGAACCTCGTTGTCTGTCGATCGTTCGAGGATCTCATTTAGCTTTTCATGTACCTGGCTGTTTGTGCTGGTTGCATGGTCAAGCAGGCCATCAAGCTTCTCATGGAGCTGGTCATGCGTCGAGCGTTCAAGTAGGGTGTTCAGCATCTCTTGAAACTGGCTGTTTCTACTGGCTGTATGGTCGAGAAGATTATCAAGCTTCTCATGTACTTGTTCATTTGTAGACCGTTCCAGGATTTCATTCAGCCTGTCGTGAACCTGGCCATTGGTGCTGGTAGCGTGATCTAAGAGATTGTTGATCTTCTCATGGAGCTGTTCATTAGTCGAACGCTCAAGAAGGGTGCTCAGGATTTCATGGAATGCACCATGTGCATTCCCATCACGGTCTAAAATGCTATCAAGCTTGTCATGAATCTCTCTGTCCGCAGTATGTTCAAGGAGCGAGTCGAGTTTTCTATGGACCGGGTCGTTCGTGGACCGTTCAAGCAGGGTCTTCAACATCTCTTGAACCTGACCATTATTCACAGTGTATTCCAATAGGCTGTTGAGTTTCTCCTGTACCTGACTGTCATCATATTTCTCTTCAGGAGGCGGTAGTGCTGGAAGGAGAGGAGTGATAGCAGAAGGAAGAGAGGACACTTCCATTCGGAACTCCTGTGCAGTCTTCTGCGACTGCTCATAATGCTTATCAACGAGAGAAAGGATCTGTTGAATGGATTCCAGAAGCTGGGGGTGGAATTCATGGAGTTGCGCCTCCACGCGGTCTGTGGCAGCTACTGCTCTCTCAAAGTCTGCTCGGTTCTGTTCCTGATGCGACTTCGTTTCGTTGTGCATCTCTTCCATCTTGTTGCATGACTCGCCAATTTTCTCCAGGAAGGATGCTGTGTCGGCATTGATACGATCGCATGTCTCGTTAATACTGTTGCCCATGGACCCGATTACGAGCTTGATATCTTCCGCGATCGATTTGACATCCGTGACAGCGTCGAGGTTTGCAATGTCACGGCCCTCGGTCTCGGAGAACTTGGAATCTATTGCATTCTGGACCTCTTCGTACTTGGCCATGACCTCAGCCAGTTTCTCGTCGATCTTCGCTCCCAGCTCGACTATAATAGCAGCACGGCTCTCATCTTGTTTTACCAAGGCAGTAGCATCACGTTCTTCAGTCTCCAATTTTGCAGCATCCTGCTCGCCTCTGGCGCGCTCGAATTCCCGGTTTATGAGGTCTGTCAGCTCTTTGACGCTTTCAACTGTAGTAAAATTTTCCGAAGAAGCCATGAGGCCTGCGACGAGATTTTTAAGCTCGGAGAGGCCCTCGTTGCTGCCATCTAGTCTGCTCTTGAATTCCTCTCCAAGCTCGCCGACAACCGTCTTGACCTCATCAACCTTTTCGGCAAGGCCACCATGCTCAAGTTTCCGAGCCTCAAACGCCTGGCCCGCGAGTTCATTGTCGGCATCCATTTTCTCTTTGAAGTCAGTGACAAGCGCCGACAACTCTTGCAGGTCGGCCTTTTGTGGCAACGTTTCTATATTTGGGAGCTTGAGTTCTTCAATCTGGGTTTTGACGTCAAAAATCATGGCCTCCACGGTCTGCAGGTCGGACTTCATCAGTTTGTCACTGTCCTCCCCGTCTGGCTTTTCCTTATTCTTTATCTCTTCAAGGGAAACGAAAACCTCCCTGAGAAGACCTTCCAGAGTGCCCAATTCCGACTTCGTAGGCCCTTCGTCCTGCAATCTGGTAGAGAGCTCGGATATGATTTCCTTTGTTTCCTTCATGACAGTTTCTACAGCAGCTAGGTGGTCTGCCTTAGCGATCTCCTCAGGTGCAGGAAATGCTAAATCATCAAGCTGGGCCTTCGCGTTCCGAAGCAACGTCTCGATTGCATCTGTATCCTCCTTGCTGGCTAGTCCCGATGATGTATCCGGTGGAATCTCACGAGATGCACCCGCAGCTACGGAAGCCTGAACTTCACGCAATCCTTCCAGAACTTCGTCAAGGTGTTCCTTCTTCAAAGAATCTTCTGGGGGGGTTGTGACTGGTGGGCTCGGCTCGAAAGCTTCGACCTTGCTCTGAAGCTGAGTAATGAGACTCCTGAGACTATCGTTGCCATCATCGTTGCCAGCTTCACCAGCAAGCATGACCTCCCGTCCACGAGCAGAGTTCGTGTCCACTAAGTCTCTCTGTGATTGCCGCAAAGTTTCCATATCGGCTTTCAGGCTCTCAAGGCCGTCTTTTATCGTTTCCAGGATCCCAGTTGTATCAGGCGTCGGAGGCTTATTTAATATCTTCTCCAAGTCCGCACGTATTGAATCCACGCCATCGTTGAATGCATCAAGGAGCTCGCTGGTTGTAGATAGGACACTTTCACCGCCGTCTCTGCGCAAAATACTTTCATCTCGTAGGCTTTCAAATCCCTCTCGTAGCGCCGCAATAACCTCGTCTCTATCGTTAGTCGACCCTACAGGAGCAATGCTCATGTTCACTGTATCACGCAGGCTCTCAAATTGTTCTTTGATGAGCGCAGTAACATCTGTATCCTTGCTGGAAGTCTTCTGAGCTTCAGTGATATCACGGATAGCGTCCAGTATCTCATCCTTATCGCTCGATACGTTACTGCGGATTAATAGACTGCTTATGGTCTGCCTGAGGTGTTCGAATTCTTTCTCCATGGCATCAAGGAGCTCGGGTGTGTTAGGATTGCGGTGGTTAGCCGCCGCAATGGCAGCCTCAGCAACTGTCTTTTCTATATTGGCTTGCAATAGCCCGAGACCTTCTTTGACGGTATCCATGATTTCATCTTTCCCGGAAATGTCTGAGGCAGCCGTGGTATAGTTTGCAATCTCCTTAAGGATAACATGTAGGCCATCCTTAATCGCATCAAGCACTTGCTCTGTATCTTTTCCATTGGCAGCAGAATATTGTTTGAATTCTTCTTTTATACCATCAAGAAGATCCTGAAGGCGTTCAAGCACTTTGGCACCGGCCCCAAAGTTGTCAGAAGCAACGGCCTCTTGCAGGCCAGCTGAAATAGCTTCCATGAGGTCGTCCCTGCTAAGCTCGATCTCTCTTGTACCCTGGTTTTCCAAGGCTTCATTGATTACACTCAATATTTCGTCACGGGAAAGAGTTGGCTGCGCATCTCTGGGTATGAGCGCTGAGTTCTGAGCTGAGAACGCGTCGTTAACAGCGCTTATTACATCCTCCTTGGTAACATGTGCTTCGCTATCCGGACCAAGGGCTGATTGTTGTGCTGCGAATGCATCATTAACCGCTTCCACGACGTCTCCCCTGGTGATCTGAGGTTGGATATTCGTGATAATGGCAGATTGCTGCGCAGCAAAGGCATCATTGACCGCATTTAAAACATCCTCTTTGGTCACCTGCGGTCCGTCTGCTTCCCTGACTGCAGCAAAGTGTGCCATGAGCCCATCCGTGACGGCATTGAATATTGCATCGCGACTGACGCCAGCCTCGAGAGCAGATTTAATTCCAGATTCAAGCTCTCCTCGAACTTCAGAGCCAATTGCCTCTCTGGTGGCTGTGTCTTTGGACGCTACGGCTTCCGTGACAGCCCGCAGCACTTCGTCCCGAATGACGCGAAGTTGTTCCTCCTCGATGGAGGGCGGAACCATTTCAAAACTTTCGAGACATTCGCGAATGGTCAGGATTATCTCGTCCCTGCTGATCATTGGGGGAAGCTGGATAGGAGGAGGGGCAAAGTTCTGCATTCCTTCCTGGACAGCAGCCAGGACCTGATCGTAAGTAAGAGCCTCCTCGTGTTTAGGTTGATAAGCCTTGAGCCCTTCAGTTAAACACTCCAGAATTTCGTCCCGCTCGAGGCCAAAGTTCTGTAGCTCGATTTCAGGCTTGTATGTCTCCCAGGCCTCTCGCACAGTTTCAAGGATGTCTTCCTTTTCCATCGTGACTCCCCGGGGTTCGGGCTGCGGGAAAGGAAATTCGTTCAAGGCCCTCATCACCATTCCATATAGTTCCGAGCCGTTCATTGCCTTTCGGAACTCTGACAGTGCTGCTGTATGATGACGGTTTTCGTTGGATATCGCAGCCATTTGTTTTTGCAGCTCCTGCAGACTGCTGTCGACGATGGCCGCAATTTCCTCTTTGCCGGGGGCAGCAGGCTTGTCGTCCTGGGCGGACCGGTAAGCTTCAGCTTCCTCAAACTTTCGAGCAATGTTCCTTCCCATGCCTAGAACCTCGCCGCGTAGCTCTCGGACTAGTGCTTTGACTTCGTTCGTCAGCCCACCACCTTCAATGACGCTGTTCTTGACCCTGTTCATCGTAGACAACATCTCATTCGTGAATGCATTGGCAACATTGGCTGGCTGCAACGCAGAACGATTGGCGCCATCATCGTTCTCCACGTCAGAAGCCGACATTTCCTTCCGTGGATCCATAAAATTGCCATCATGCTCAGAAGGTTGACCGGCAGCACCCCCTACTGTCCTTGAGTGTACTAAAGCCTTGCTTGTAGAGTGGTCTTTCACAATATTGAGGATCTCCTCCAGCATCTTGGTAATAGTGCCGTCAGTATCCTTATCAGAGGTGCTATTAGACGTCGGTCGAGATTTCAGTTCATCAACTAGTTCCAGTAACTTCTTCTGTCCTTCCTTGGTGGCCATTTCGCGTAGTACCTTCTCCAGCAGTGCAATGCTTGCGGAACCATCGGATATAGGCGTAGGAGAACCACAGAGTTCTCTCTCAATTGCCATTGCAAAGCTGCTTGGGCTAGACATTCGAGGCGCTGAGTAGCTTTTCTTCGAACACGGTGAACTGTCCGATTCCCTGTGGTCAATACCATCCCCAGAGCCCATGAAAGTACCAAGTCCAAACCTTGATAATCCGTCTCCATCCATGAACTTCGACGCCAGATTTGAAGAGAGCTCGCGGAGGCTCTTTCTTATATCTTCGTCACGGGCATTTGTCGCGGCTTTGAGGCTGATTAGATCGGTGGCATTGTCTTTACTCCGGCGACTCAACTGAGCCATTTCGCGTTGCAAGTTGCTCGTCATGTTCGTAAGACTGAGGATCTGGGACGATAAAGTTTCAAAGCTATTACCTGAAGGAGCAGGTTCCGGAGTGGATTTGGAGTTGGATGGCGAGGGAGTTTCAGGGAGCTGCATGTTTTGAATAGCCAGCATTGTGGCAGAAGGAGGAGTGCTTTCGCCCAGAATGGGCTTTGAAAGATAACGGCTTGACACTATATATGGAGGGATCTCTCGTTCTGAGTCTCGATTGCTGGATGAAGAATTGGCGGGCTTTGTAGGGCTCTCGGGCTGCTTAGTTCCTGGGTCCAATACTGTTGCCCGTAGAGGCCGTTCAGGAGACCTTCTTTCGAGATAACTAAGAAATTCAGCGCGAGGATCTGTATTTGGGAAACTCTGCATGCGCTTATGATAATGTCCTTTAATCAGGGACTTCTCGGGAGATGATTTCGGCGGCATGGGATTGGTTGTATATGAACTAGGTGAATTCTCCTGCATCTTGTCCTTGAAGCTATTGGCCACGGCTTGAATGTGAGGTGAGACATTCCCCTTTGTTACGGGGCTTGTGGTCCCAGGGTTCATAGGAAGAGGTGGAGGTGCCCGCTCTGGATCTGAGCTGTCCCACCTTCAGATTCCGCAAACTCCAATGTCAGCTGCATGTCGAACTTGGGCCGGAGGAATACATAGGAGGATTGGACAATGAACCCTCACTTACATGGGTATAGCAGGCCTGTGGCTTTCTGACCTGACCACCAGTTCGCGGTCCAGGGAGCCAGCGCGCTCGTGGGCGGGCATCACCAAAAAGGAAACTACACAAAGGTATATTCAAACAAGGAAATTCGCAAGTAAACAGGGAAAATAAAACGCGCACTAGGCAGGAGACGAAGAGGAGAATGGAGCTGATTCTCGTTGCAGTCGAGGTCGTCAGGGCATAACAAGTCGTGAAAACGAGAAGACAAACGGCAGGGTATCGGGAACAAGCTGGTAGTGGTACGAAATGCAAATAAAAGACAACCGATGCGCTCACTTCCAAAACGAAACAGGAAAACAACGGGGCAATTGGACAATGGACCCGCGGGCAAGAAAACAAGGAGGAACAGGTAGATAATAAGGAAGTATGGTAGCTCATGGGGCAGATCGAGGTTTCCGGCCCAATCTGGCAGCGTACACAATGCGGCCGGCATAGCAACCGCCCACCCGCCGTTGCCTGGTAAACAGCACGGCCAATGCGCCAGGCGGTGAGGGTTTCTCCGGGCGGGCGCTAGTCCTCTTGGAGAATCTTTCCCAAAACACTCTAGCATGCTACGCATCGGTAAATGCACCAATCACGCGCAGCCACACAAATCCTCTTGCCCTGTTCCCTCCGGTCGCTCGCTCACAACCGAAAAAAGACGTCTTCCTCAACGACCGAAGCACTTCGACAACAACCCCATCGACCTTGCTGCCGCTCACCGGGACTTTCGCAATGAAGTGTTAGTGGACTTACCTGGAGAACAACACTCCTCCCTCTAATCATTCTTTCCATTCGAATCGACACTAATGAGGATGCTACAACAGTCATGAAAGTGGGCCGTGTGGCCATCATCACCCGTGGCCGTTACGCTGGTAAGAAGGTACGACGAATTTCTTTTCCTTTGATATATAGAGAGGCTGCGAGATGAGTGGGATTTGTTCTTGTTTTCCATCGGACGTGAAATGGGCGAGGATGAATGATACGAAGACCAAGAATTCGGATGGTGGAAAGAGGATCCGATCACCTTGGGAAGGAAAAAAAAAAAAAAAAGAAAAAAGAAAGAAAAGAAAAAGAGAAGGACTTGGAGTTGTCGATGCTTGAATTGTCTATTTTTTTTTTTTTTTGAGCCGTTTCGGTATATTTGCAGGAAATACTGATGGGCCCCTTCGATGCAAATAGGCCGTCATTGTCCAGCCTTATGACAATGGCTCCAAGTCGCACCCCTTCCCCTACGCCCTTGTCGCCGGTATCGAGCGCTACCCCCGGAAGGTCACCCGTCGCATGGGCTCCAAGCTCGTTCAGCGCCGCACTCGCATCAAGCCTTTCATTAAGGTTATCAACTACAACCACTTGATGCCTACCCGTTACACTCTGGAGCTCGATGGTCTCAAGGGTGTCATCACCCCCGAGACCTTCAAGGAAGTCTCCCAGCGTGAGGAGGCTAACAAGACCATCAAGAAGGCTTTCGAGGACCGATACACCAGCGGCAAGAACCGGTGGTTCTTTACTCCTTTGCGTAAGTATTTGCCCTTGAATGATGGATGGTAATATGGCAAATATCTGACCTTTCACTCAGGTTTCTAAACGGGGTTATACTGGGGTTTTGTCTTTCTTCAGCGCGGGTGATGCAATGGGATGGAAGGAAGGAAAAAAAGAGCATCGACAACATTCAATTCATGACGAGCATGGGGTACAAAAAGGAATATACCATAGCTGGAAGCAGAATTGGGAATGTATCGATGAAACCAAGTCCCGGACTTGGTCATGTTTCTTTTTAATCTTTATGAAGGGCGGCCACATTTAGGATTCGGCGTCCGTCTGGAAATGAAACAACGGAAAACATGAGAATCCATAACAATTTCCTTACTGAATTGGCACACGTTTCGACTTGAGGTAGGACCCGTGGTCAATTCAAGCTTTCCATTGCTCGAGCTTCCTCTTGGGCCTTCGCACCTTTCTTATGCCCATTATTTTGAAAATACCCACGACTGCAAGGGGATGGTGTATATTCCCTAGCTGACCTGGACTGGCCGTTGTTCCGGATATGCTGTAGAAAGAGCCCCAGTGCCGACCATGAAGGTTTTGCGGCTTGATCTGTATCTGTGGGCTGTCCTGGATACGAAAGAAATAATACTGTCACGACACGCCGGCCTTTCATTCTGTAGCCGTCCCCTGCAGCCGGATTTCCTACACATGTCATATAGTCACCATGCTACGGAGTACACATGCAATTACTGCTGCAGCATAAGCAGGACCTCATTCCCTAGCCAGGCTACACTGAACACTGAACAGATGAACAGATGTTGTGCTCATCACATGAAACATGTCTAGATCCTGGAGAAATGCGGAGAGGAGCGGGGTATGGGAGCATATATTATACTATATACAGATTTACATACTTCAAATCATATAGATTATTAGATACACCTTGCAAGGGACCGGACAGGCATCCATCAAAATCCTGTTTCTATTTATCTTGGCCCAGACATCTTGTGGAAGACGTACAGTACAGATAATATGGCTCGGAACAAGACCATGAACCTTATGCAGACGCGAACGGGGAAGATACGTGATGACCGGGCATTATGATTGATGCATGCGACAGGAGGCATTAATATTACTACCTAGATATTATTCCCAGTCGAGGGACGAGAATCTAGACTCCTTGGACACTAACAGTGGGTATAATACTAAGTACTAAGTACACTCCGGACGGCGCATGTCCTCCGTACCGGCGACTAAAATACTAACAAAAACAGGGCATAATGACGTTGGAAGTTTAATTCAAGCTCCCAAAGTCTGAGATTGTTGGGATAACATAATGATAATAATAATAGAAAGGGTCTTGAGTCTGGCATTCCCGTATGCCCAATCCTGGACGGAGACCCGGATCCAATTATTCTCAGCGTCCCATAATCCGTTTGCTTGGACATCCCGGATGGACAAAAGGTACAGCGCAGGCGCAGACAGGACGCTCAGGCCCAGTTGCGTGAGAAGATCTCAAGCCGTGGCAGGCCGAATCGCGAAGTTCGGGACGGAAGTTGTTATCAGGAAGGATTGGATTGTTAATTATTATCGTGGACGATACAGGAGAGGCCCGAGTGTTTGCAGGTATACCCATGTATCCTTTCCACTGAAGTAGGACGGAGCTGGTGAGTTAGAGTATACGTGTACGATAGTGCTGGACGAGGACCTCAGGCATGGCATGGGGATAAATGGGAATGAAGTGTGCCGTGGGCATCAGGACTTTAGTATCATAGATGATCGATGACAGTCTAGTTCGTCTTTCTGGATCCACTGGAGCTGCAGCATCACATGCTTGAAGTCAATCATTATAATCATCAGAATAATAATCGTTGCCGCAAGAGCTTCATTTTGCATTGGCAATCTTTGCTGGGGCCTAGAGAAAGAGTCGCAACAGGCAAACAGATTCTTCTTCTCCTTCCTTTTTCTTTTACACTGCAGATATCGATAAATGAGGCCCGCTTTCACATGCTGCTGGCATCGATGACGTTGCATTCATGCTCTCGTCTGTCGCACACAGTCACAGACTCTACAATTCCCTGCGTAATAATAGAAACAATTATATTATAATCCAGCATGAATCGCTCCAGCAGACGATTGCAACATGTTCTCCGACTCCGTAATCCCGCCACCACTACTGGCACTGCTTGCTTCGCTGTTATCTTGGCCATAATATCCTATCCCGCCCCCCTCGCCTCCCCTCCGTCATCCTTCTTTTTACTTTCTGCTGTCTGTCCAGTGCTTTGTGCAACGCTCTGTTTCGTACCGTTCTCTGGCGGGTAGCCCTCTAGGTATGTCCCTGCTCTCTCTCTATGGCCATTGCTGTTTGCCTCAATGCTGTAATTGAGCGCAAGTATATTGGCCTGATGATCGGGACCGGACAGGGCGAGGAATACTGGACAATATCTCCCTGGCTGACTTCGATGTTTATAGATCAGTACCAGTTTATCCTTCACGCAGACACAGGGAAACTATGGGTGAACCAACGGTCAACGGAGATAAGGTCCATTCTCAGTTCCTTGATGTAAGTCATGCCTCCCATCTATCACTATCACCCATCTGGCGTTCAGTCATGTGTGGGCTAACCAGCTTGAATCTATTTTATTTTAGCACCTGTCCTCTTATCCCTTCGTCTCAGACTCCATTGCGATCTTCAAGGGTAATAAGTACGGTGCAAAGTCGCTGGAGTATGCAGACCAGGGCCTGAATCTAGCCAAACCCGTCTTCCCCTACCTATCCAAGCCCTACGCCTATATCGCCCCCTACGTCGCCAAAGCGGACACCCTGGGTGACCAAGGACTGTCCAAGATCGACACCAGGTTCCCCTTCGTCAAGGAAAACACCGAGAAGGTTAAGGGAGTCGTCTATGACAATGCATATCTCCCGGTGAAGATCGTCAGCGATGTTAGGCAACACATCTGGGATGTTTATAGCGAGGCGTACAAGAACTCCGGCGGCGGCGGTGTCGTGGCGTCCAGCAAGGCTCTCATTACGGCCGGCTTTGTCCTGTCCCAGGAGTCGTTGGCCTGGCTTGGTTCCTTCCTGCAGACGAGGAAAGAACAGGCCAGAAATGCCGTCAATGAGAAGACGAGCAGCTAGCGGACTGCACCGACGGTTAAACCACTGGAAGCCATGAGCTATGCGGTTGCTTTCTTGTTTCAGCGAGTCTCTTGTCCTGCTTCTTCCTTTTTTTTGGATTAAGTCATTGGTTGTCCGGCAGGCTAGTCTTAGGATGGATATTATTAGTTCCCAAATTCCGCTTCACTTCAGGTTACACGAATGTCAACTCTTCTCCGGTACTTTTGCAGGTGATGGATCTGGAATGTATTGGTTGCATATATGATTTTCCTGTTTGTGCATATACAGGCTTTTCATTCCACAACTACGGAGACTTTCCTCTCTTCTAGATACTACTACTTTAGTGAGTAATCAGGGCCTTGATCAGTAAGTATTTCGCATCATGGGGTGAGAGGCACTTACCTGAGCAGATAGGCCTACTTAGTGAGCTGTCACATGGAGCCCTGAGCAACACACTGGTCCTTTATTCTGTGAGTGTATAAAAATCCTATATGTTGCCTAAACACCATAGAATGCGGTTTGTGATAAAATCACGCTATAATATTTCCTCTTCGGGTAATTGACTCGCGTCTGATCGCGTCTGTTCTTAGCTCCTCCAAAAATTGTATTCTCGATTGATGAAAGACGAATCATCTAAACAGACAATTCAACTGATATATACTATTCATATTGGGACATAATATCGATAAAAATTGAAAGACATCACTTCCGGGTCAAAATAAAACTTGCCTCTTACCTACACAACCAACGCGATAATGCCTCTCATCCGCAAACGTCGAGCAGTACGTATCACCCATATGGTTATATCCTAGGATAACGTTCTATTTGAGCTCACAACCAACTTGGTAATCAGCACGCTGAATCTGACCAAGCAAGCGACTACTCTGAACAACCAGGCCCGTCCCCAGCACCGGTCCCTCACCGTCGAAGGCGCATACAAGATGACTCCCCCGAATCCAACGATGACGACGACGACGACGATGATGATGATGAAGTCCCCAAAACACAAATACAGGCACCGAGCAGTACGGACGTCATGATTAAGAAGCTCGTGCGACTTGCCTTAGCTAGCGAGTACTCACGGCAAGCGATCCGGAGAACAGACATCAGCGCCAAGGTGCTGGGGGAGCACGGCGCAAGGCAATTCAAAACCGTCTTTGAAGGGGCACAGAAGGCATTACGGGCGAGATTTGGAATGGAATTGGTTGAATTACCAGCTAAGGAGAAAGTTACCATTAGGGAACGGAGGGGTGAGTTATCTCTTCCCTTAATGTGATGTTTTACCAGAAGAAAAAAAAAAAAAAAAAGCTAACGCTCAAAAAAGCGGCCCAGAAAGTCGAAAGACCCTCATTATCAAATAAGGCATGGATCCTAACGTCCACTTTACCCGCGGCATATCGAACCTCTTCGATCCTCACACCGACTAAAGCCCCCTCTTCCGCACTCGAAAGCACGTATACAGGCCTCTACACGTTCATTATCTCAGTCATAATGCTGAATGGGGGTACACTCCCGGAAGCGAAATTGGAGCGGTACTTGAGACGCGCCAATGCCGAAACGTACACGCCCGTTGACCGCACGGATCGTTTACTCCAACGCCTCTGTAAGGAAGGGTACCTGGTCCGGAACAGGGAGATGGATGGTGGAGAGGAAGTGATCGAGTATATGGTCGGTCCTCGTGGGAAGGTCGAGGTGGGCGTAAACGGTGTAGCCGGATTAGTGAGGGAGGTATATGGGCGTCCAGCACCGGACGGCGTAGAGGCTGCTAGGGAAGATGGTGATGATCTCACTGCCGCTGAAGGGGAAGAGATGGAGCTATTTGAGAGACGATTACGAAGAAGTCTGGGGATCAATGAGAGGGTGCGGCCGGGTGATGGTGGTGAAGTTGACAATGGGGAAGGTGCTAGGAGACGAGGCAATGCACGATCAGGAAGAGACGAAGAAGAAGAAGAGGAAGAAGATAATGATGATGATGATTGACTGATCATTGGCTATGGCAGTTTGATGTCTTGTTTTTATTTTGAGGTTTTTCTCCCTAACCGCCATCACCACCATCACGATGGGGAACGCGTACGCAGTATAGACAGTCCCATTAGAACCGGATACCTGACATATAAGAAAACAGGCGTATCGTGATTGTTTACGGAATGTCAAGTGCTACGAGTATCACATATCGAGGATATGCATAAGCAAGACCAGATCTACGACTACGACAGAAACTTGGCATCCGCTCCATCGAATCATGGCATTCCATTTTCCACCTCAACGAACTAGTTGCAACCTGCAAACTTGTAGCAACAACCTCAACCCCAACCATCCATCTTCAACGATCAGTCTGTCTTCAACCCAATATACAAGAGCAATTTTAATTTTGCTTTCTATCAACCTCCATCGTGATGTCCCGAAAAGCACAAAGCAAACGCAAAAGCATAAAGCAGGTTTGAATCTCCACCGAAAACCCATTCTCGAAGACCATTGGGGGAAAAAAAAAAGATTCCAACCGTGATTCTTTCCCTCCGAAAAAACGTAATGTGTCGTGGCATGATGCTGTCGAATCGCTGAACAAGAACGAAACCGCCCCAGGACCTGATGATCAGACTCCTTAGGCCTATTCACCGGAGCTGCTGTTCGCAATCTGTTCGCGCTCTTCCTCGGTGAGATCGTTGTAAGGATCGTAATCGCTCTCTCTGAAATCGTCCAGTGGATCGTGCGGGTAGTAGTGAGTATTGTTCTGTCCGTGTTGTTCGTGGAGCTCGTTAAGTTCGTTGTGGTGTTCGACCTCAGTCTCGCCAGCAGGCTGCTGTATCTCATGGCTCATGGACATGGCTGTGATCTGCCGTCTCCAAGCAATCCAGTCAGGTTGACGGGTCCTCCACCGGACTGCCTGGTGGAGTTCGATGATCCTCTGTTGAATTCTGTGCTGGAGATACTCGAGGCCTCTGATCGCCTGGCTCATTTGATCCACGTCATTCGCATCAATTTTGACGCCCATTCCGAGGATCAGGTGCTGGACCTCGCGACTCAGAGAAGGAGATGAGGTGGCTGCCTCTGTCTCCAAGGAATGCTCGATCTGAACGGATTCCGCGTCGCCGTCGCTGTTGGACGCGTTGTCATCCTGAGCGTGGGCGGGAGCGACGTCTTCGTTATCAACAGACATAGCGTCGTCCTCTTGAACAGAAAGCTGGTTGCCGTTAGAGTCGTGGTTTGGACCCTGCTCGTTGACGGGGAGGGGATTGGCGACGTCGTTGTCGTTATGATGGGCCACTGCAGACAAATTAATCCAAGCCAGGCAAGAGAGGAGCAAGGACATATACTTACCGAAGGAACAGCGATTGCCCCGCCCCCCCCAATGGCAGTTTGAACACTGCCCTCCGTAGGCGGGTTGTCCGTTTGCCTCTCTTATCACCACGCATGCAGTGAATGGCCCCCAGCCAGCATCGCAATGCTGGCAGGGGGTACTGGCGATCTTTCCTCGCTCCTGTATTATCGCCGCAATGATTTCCTCCGCTCTTTTGAGCGGTTTTACCAGCGTCCGTCCATTCACATTGACCCTCCAATCCAACTTTCTCCTCGCTGGAAGTCCATTGAAGCGCTTCGTCTGGGCTGTTCTATTTCTGGTGACCTCTATGACGTTCAGAAATCCCTGGACGTTCATAGAACCTAGGCAAATTGGATTAGCTTCTTGCTTTTTACTTGTTTCTTTGCTGGTAGTCTGGGGACAAGGGGACTTACGGGCAGGCATATCTCCAACTATCAGCCCCAGGGGGAGAGATAAGCCTTGGGATATGGGGGAGAACTATGGTGAACAAAGTATTTGTCTTGACTGTCGTCGAAACAGAGCCACCAGACAAAGAGAGTAGAAAGGAAGCCTTGAGAATCAATGATAGTGAACTGTTCTCTTTGATCCTTTGGGGAATACCAGCAAAGAATGAGATGGTGAGCGAGAAGAAGATGACGGTTTTAGAACAATGAGCTCCTTGATCCTTAGCCACAAGGACAAAACGAGGCGATACAACGAGCAAAAAAAGGAGATTCTGAAGAGGAAACGGCAACGAAACAGGTTCTTTGACTCTTCAGTGAGAAAGACAAACAAGTAATGAGGAAATACAAGCAAAAAGAGAGAAGCTGAGGACGAACGAACAACAAAAGCCGCTTTTTGATTCCACAACGGCAAAACAAAACGGGCAGAACAGCAAGGAACGAGAGAAAGCGAGAGACAAAGCAGATGCTCCGTGGGGGTGCTATTCGAAAGAGCGGCGTTAGTACTATGGGGGATTGTCAGAGAGACATAAAGACAAGCGAGCAGAGGCTTTGGGGGGGAAGAAGAGAGAAAATGACCTCACTCCTCTGCTGAGGTATTTATACAGGCCAAAGCGGAGACACAGTGACAAAATGTGCATCATCTCTGCAGCCAGCTTTGTTTATCATACTTGGGAGGTCGCCATGGCGAGCATGACGATGCTCAGCGGGTATGGTGGTGGGAATGGCAGCTGGGAGGACAAAGGATTCATGTTATGTTGTCCGCTGCATCTGTGCAAGTTGCATTATGGGAATGGGACTGTATAAAGGGACCATCCGGATACTGATTCAATTATCAATCTACTTCAGACGGAGAGACATCATTGATATTCCACGGCAGCAGGTATTCCAGTTATACATCTACGAAGATCTACGTCCTCACAATCTATGATACTATGGCATGAACGGTGGCTCTTATAGATCATCGAATTGGATATCGGGGACGGATATCTTCATATCAGCAATCAAAGTGTTCACTTCCTGAGGTTCCTAGGGCAGATCAACCGGTAGTACTACTCAAATCGTAATCAGACATACGGAATATCCTACGGACAAGGAAGAAATCCATGAAGACAAACCGTAGGACTTGCTGACGGGTATAGACAATGCATTTTGAAAGAAAGGACAGTACAGTGACCCCCTTTTAGTAATATGCCGTGTCTATGCCGTTATCTGTTATAGGGTTAACCTAAATACCCTTCATTTACCTACTGCGGAGGTAACCCTTAATGAGTATGGAATACAGATCATAGGAAGAGGACAGTTAGGTAGGTAGAATATTCTATACGGAGTAATACCTTGTTAACCATCCTTTATCTGATTAAGGTACGGGGTTAGCATGAGTCTTTTCGGGGAACCAACTAATCATCAGCTCTGCTAGGTTGTATTATAGGCAGTCGTATAGATGATTAGATGATATGCTTAGCTAGGGATTAAGTTCTATTCTGTACGGAGTATTGTGTACGATTCGATTCTCATTCTCCTATGGAAAAGCTGTTCGAAGCAGGCTGACCAAGTCACCCAGTATCAGACAGCGTCCATATCTACAGTGGATCTTATAACAAGACAGAGCCCGGATGAATAAACGGCGTTGCATTCTATTATTGTCGTAAGACATTTGAGAAACAGACGATATGTCTAGACTGTTCTAGTAGTAACTCCAGATACTAACTCCGTAGTACGTAGAGAAACAGTGACTTTTTTTTCTACGGTGAATTGAGGGACTATCGTGGAAGAATAAGCACTTGCTAGCTGAAGTGAATCTCATGAGTGGAGTTCGAGTTCCAGTTCCAGTTCGTGAAGGATAGAAAGCGATACTACCTAGTAGTATCATCTGTCGTGAGTAGTCAAGATCGATAATATTCCAATATTTAGAAGACATCGACTGCTAGTAGTATCCATTTGTCCGCTCAGTCCAGATCAACCAAAGATATTGTATTATAGACATTGCTGTCGCTCAGCATGTAAATCAACCGTATGTATAGACAGTATGAACAAAACAATCCTCAATGCCAGTGTAAGTGACCCGTTCGCCTGCTTCCTATTTATTCCATTCCATTCCCCTGGGATTTGATTTTCAGGTTCCTAATCCGGTAGAATCCAACGCAGTCTAGTCCCAACCATGAACTCCAGCATGAGCACCGGGTATAAAGAAACAAAACGAAGAATCAACTAGAAGCATCCACATCGATATTAAAAGAACAATGTTTATACAAGGACGTAAAGAGTGCACATCTATCGGAGTCAGCGTACACAAATATTTCCATGCGGAGAAGAGAAGGGAGAGGCTCACCATCGCAAGACCCAGTATCATCGAATACCAGAAAAGAACATTCTGCGATATTGTCAGATTGGTTTCATAAAGCCACCAGCAGAAGGTTGGAGGTGAAGCTACCTTCATCGTCTTATGCCCCCTAAAAATCTTCGACTTCTGTATCGACGTAATGGGCAACTGGCACATCATGAGGGAAAATCCGTACCAGCGCATTTTATGCGTGATACAGCTCATGACGAGCTCGTGAGCAACGGAGCTGAGGAAGAAAGTGACGAACATGGCAACTGGCTTGGAGAAGTGGATTTTCGTCGGGAAGTATACATGTCGCCGGAGGAAGTGGTGGACGGGGATGTTCCATTCGCTGGAGAATTCGAGCCTATTTTTGGAATCAGAATTGACTGCCCAACCGTTGCAAACAGTCTCGGAGAGAAAGAAACGAACCAATCGCATGAATTCCACCAGTCCGAGTAAAATTTCCGATCAGCGAACCGAGTAATCTCCGCAAAGGCCCCAAGGACATATTCGAAGATGACGAGGAAAACGAGAAGGAAGGCAATCATAAAGGGAAACATCAGCATGCTGATAGTCTCGGCGAGGATCAAGGCAGTCTCCGAGGGGCTTCTCGCTTCACGGATTTCCAACTGGGCATCGATCAGGACGGGCGTGATGAACTCTCCGCTGAGAAGGATGAGGAAGAAGATGCATCCGAAGACCGCGAGGACCTTGATGGCCACTTCGGACCAGCTCCGGCCTTCGCTGCGGGGGTACTCGATCTCGTAGCAGATGGTCGGACAGAACGCGTAGTCCAAGTAATTAAGCCAGGTGAGGTTCTGGGGGTATGTGACGCGGCCAAGCGGCGAGGTCAGTTCCATGGCCAGATCTTCACGAAGCTGGGCGAGGAAGTCGCCGTCATGATGGCAGTTGTCGTGGTGTTTCTCTTTCGGCGGTCGGGTTCCGCTGGCTGTTTCGGGGTAGCGGACGGCAGCACTCATGGACGTGGTTTTTGGATTGGGCTTGTCGAGATCGGCAAGACGACGCTGGGATTCGCTCAGGTGGCCGTTGTAGAAGGCGTAGGAATGCATTTTCATGAGAAACGTGAGGGTGTGGAGCATGAAGAAGACTTGAGCGGTCCAGGTCCATTGGAGCATGAATGGCCAGCTGTATCAAGTCAGTCTGTTTTCCTCGAAGAGTTGGGAGGGAGGGAGAGAAAGAAAGAAAAAAAAAAAAAAAAAAAAAATCATGGAGTCAACTCACTTCACCCATAGAATAAACCAGCCCAATTCATACAAGCTCTGCACGACTATGCCGCCACGCGACCACCGAAGCCACCCGTTACTGTTCCGGTAAAGACGATGCAGCGGCAAAGACAAGGCCGTGGTAGAGACCATAGCCAGGTCGCTGAGAGCCAGCGACCAGATATTGGCGACCAACAGAGACCACGGGCCGGTCAGCAGCATATTTCCGGTCTCCTTGTAGTTCCTCGCGACCTTTGTGAAGAACATGATGGGCAAGCCGATCCAGAAGAGGTTGAAGAAGCCACCGAATTTGTGATAATCGCTCCTGGGGTCGAGATAGGAGACGCGGGGGGTATAGTCGATCGAGTAGAAGATCCTCCGGGCTCGGGTCTGTTTCCTAGCCTGGGACAAGACGTGAGCTGAAGGGGGGGCGTCATCGGGAACGGGTGTGGATTGGCCACTGATGGCTGTCAGCAGAGAGCAGAGGAGAAAACACGCAATCCGACGGGGAGTCGTACCTTGAGCTGGGGGTTTTCGTCGGTTCCTGGTTCTCCTTGAACTCCTTCTTGGTGGCACGCGGGCGCAGCACAGGGGAACCGGTGGGATGAGAGACGGCAGTGGACATGGCTGGAAAGCCGGAAAGCAGGAGAGCAGGAGAGCAGGAGAGCAGGAAACGAGGCGACAAGAGAGTTGGGAAGCAACGGGCAGGTGGAGAATGGATCAGAATTCACATCTGGTCTGAGAGAAAGTGACGAACGACAGGTTGGACAAGGCCGCGGCACTATGTTAATATACGACGATCCGGGGACAGTGCCTGGAATGGCCGAAACGGGAACACAGCAAGCTTTTGACGTCAGGTATTCTTCTTATTAATATGACTCGGCTGCAGCCCTGGGACATTTGGAAATCCGACCTCCGCGCCTCGGGCTTCGGATGGCGCTCAGCCGCGCGAATAACGAAGGAAATGTCGAATCCGTTCTGCTCCGCGCGCAGATGACCGTTTTCTTCTCCTTTCTTTTCTTCTCTGGCGTCTCCGAATGCCGAGGCGCGGCGAGGATGATGCAGAGGTCCGTCATTTCCTGTACATTTATGCATCTAGTCGCCGTGAAACGGTTCTATTATTATTAAATATCACCCTTAGTGTTTAATCCGAATCCCGAATACGCATACGGAGATCGTTATCGGCATATTGTAGACGTCATTATACAAGAGGAAGATAAAGAGACATTCACTGACCCCACAGTGAATGAAACAAACGAAGGCCAGGCATCTATATAACTCCCTCTAGTCTCTTCTTGTCTTCTTCCCTCCCTATCCTCACCCGTGAATTCCCGGACACTGTTCGCTCCTATGGGAATTCTTTACTGATCCCCACTATGCTCATCGGTGAGGGAAAGGGCAACCCCAAAGCCATGCGGGAGTAATGAACAACCATTATCCTCCCCCAGGATTACTGTTACTGTCTTGATTCATTTTGATGCAGGTTAGTACATCTGTCTACTATTTGAAGATCACATTTGACTGGTGATGATGATGATGAAACAAACACAAATCAGAGCGAAGACAAACAGATATATATGCCCGTGGCCTACGCGTGTATCATGCAAGACTCTCCAAACCAAGAAACCAAGTCTAGATCAAGAAAGCGAAAAGGTAATCCAAACGTCCTCTACCTGGTATATACTGTACCAAGCATGGGGAGGTCGGCAACGACATCATGTAGCAACTACTCGGTAGAGAGCATCCAATTGCTGGCCACAGGCCGACAGCCGTACACCGACCAAGTCAATGCACGCCCTTAATCAGATATGTTCAATCGGTTCCTCCGGTAGTATCTCCTGCTCAGGCTCGGAGGGAAGACACGATTTCAAAGGCGGTCTGATGACATCGTTGAACAGAAATGTGCCATACACGAGCAATGCGAATCCGGCCACCTGCAGCCACTTGAACGTCTCCCAACCAAGGCCAAGGGAGACAAGCCAGATGAAGAGTGTGCGAGAGGTATCGATAGTACTGCGTGAGGTTGCAGAGACGGTGCGAGTGACTGAGAGGCCGAAGAAGTTGAAGCCTCTGTATTTGATAAGCCATATTGTTAAATAAGAACCGAAGGAAAAAGAGGGAGGCATACCCAATGCTGAACATGATCAGAATACTAGAAACAGTAATGGCTCGATTACTGGTAATCTGCCTCCAGCCCTCCTTGATATCAAAGTATCCGTATCGACCAGCGTCGGTTCTCCCAACGGTAAAATATAATATAATCATGCCGATAATGGTAACGATAAATCCAAATGTCCCTTCCCAACCTACAACCTGCAACGGATCCATGGCATAATGCTCCAGGATCCACTCCTCGAGCACAAACTGCGAGGCCGTAAAAACCTGAGCTGCAGCAATGAGAAGAACGCCGATTATGGCCCGTACTGCCTGAGGGGTCTTCGCCACAGCCCGCGCGTGAAGCGTGACAGCGGCAGCTGCAGAGCGCGCAGCATTATGCGTGTCGCCATGATGATCGCCGCTAAACAGCGCGCCCGCGAGTCCAACCAGAGCAACACCAAGGACAACTGCGAATAATGCAAACCACTGGTAAAGGTGCAACTTGCGATGGAGGAAGAGGACGCTGAACAGACCAACGAAGAGCACGAGCGCACCGCGTGTCATTTGGTAGATGCTGGCCGCGACGAACAGCAGACCGACGTTCATAAGCGTCGTACCCGCAATGTCACAGCACGCCGGCGCAGCTAGAAGTAGAATCTTCCATCCGCGTAGCTTTATACGTATATCATCAATAGATGGTTTGCGGCCACCACGCGCAGCATCTGGTCCGTTAATAGTATCATCTTCCTCATCTTCTCGGTCCTCAGTATCAACGGGCCGGTAGCCTCCAGCAAGGAGGGGCGACGCGCTCCATGACGTGCGAGGATATATGTATTGGCGGTATATGTAAGAACTAAAAATTACTAGCCAGCAGCCCATTTCACCGACAAACATCTGCGCTCTGTAGATAGCGTTCGTTATAGCCGTTAGCTTCCAATCTCGTCAGAGGGGAATCGACAAGAACCTACGTCTGGACAACAGGTTGCTCGAATAGTTTCCGATTCTTAGGATCCGGGGAATCGCAGTTTCGAACACATTGCATATCCTTTTGTCCACCGAACCCGTTATCAGTAAGAGTTTCTGGACAAGGGTCGGGCAACGAATACTGAAATATCAACGACCAGCGCGGTACGTACCTGATATTTGTTCAAAATCGTGTTACAGACACCTGTCAGGAGCATCATCCCAACGAGAAACGGAATGACGGCTTTATTCGACATCGTGTGAATCGACAAGGTAGCTGCAATACTGATAACACTGTGGGAAAAGATATACGTAGCAAGAGTGACAGGCCCCCCAAAATGAATGATGGCCCTCAGAACAGGAAATTTAATATTGTAGACCCCAACGCCTATCTGATCCAGAGCACAAAGAGGGATGACAGGAGTGAAGTTGCAAGGATGGAAGGATGCACGGCGTCCAGCGAGGCTGGTCGTTATCAGTATCAACACATGACCTGTACATGATGCATTATGTCATTGACGCCTGGCACGTGCGGAATCAGGATCGAGCGAAGCCGGAATGGATTGGTTGTTTTACAGCAAGACAGCAGCATGCTGTGCTGGAGAAATGCATAGATAAAATTAATACAACTGCTAGCAAGAGCTGTGGAGGTATCACCATATTATCAGTATCCCATGGAAAGCACAAAACACAACTCCATCCGTGAAGAGCAATCCAAAGAGCCGCCTTGGAGCCCATATAACCAGCCGAACCACCATAAGCTAAGTCTTTTCCACAGAAACGCCATCGCTGGCCAAAATAGCCAATGTGTAGATAGGGGCCTTCGAGAGTAGAAGAGGGAAGGCCCAGCAAAGGGGAAATGGGAAGAACAAGGAAAGATAAGACCGGGACCCCATGCTCCAGTAACAAAAGTGATATACACAGCAGTACATATGTGCATAAAAGAAATAAGAAAAGAAACAAGATCAAATCGACATCATCCCATTAGTTCATTTAGATCATAACAGACATCCTTATATGATCCGCAACCATCCTTCTCTCTCTACCTACACCGCGAAGACGGGGATACCGCCATCGTCGAAGGTAATATCTCCGTCTTTGCGGTCCATCGACTCCCAGTCGATGTCGTCCCATGAGTTGCTCATGAGACCGCCCTCAAACCGACTGGGAACATTTACCCAGTCGGCGGGGACCCAGCTGTCGTCGGAGACACCCTCAATTTTAACATCGACGTCTCCCTTTGACGCCTGGGTATCCCTTGGCGTTCTAGTAGCCATTCCCGTGCTGTCAACGGAGTCCGGGGTATCCTTTGACTGCGCATTTACAAACATCTCTGGGTTCAGGAATTCGTCCATGGGATCGAAACCCAACCCCTGCAAGCCATCATCTCGGAAATCCGTGAACGCATCGTGAATTGCGTCCAGAGAGACAGCGCTATCCGCCCAAGAATCTTTCATTACCACATCTTCGGCAGACGGCTCTTGTTCCCCAGGTTTTCCGGCCTCCTTCTTTCCGTCTTTGCTCATGGTGGGTTTCAGCGCGGAGGGGGTAAGTGCCTTACCGGCAGATTGTCGAGGAGTCAATTGCTGATTGGACGCCGGCGGCGTCAACTTGGGTCCAAGCTGACTGGGTCCGCGAACCATTGGCGTCGTCCCATCCTTCATAAGAGGCATGGTTGTGGCGGGTTTGTTAAGGCCCTGCTGAATATCTGCGGTAGCTGTAGGGGTTTTCTTTAGCTCGGGGCTTTCAACCTTTTCATTATCTTTGACGAGACTAGTGCGGAAACTCTCCAGTGCGAAGTCGAGTGCATTCTCGATTGGTTCCTCAGTTTTATGATTTTCTTGGACATGCTTGTCCAGTAGAGTCTGCGTCGGAAAACCGTGATAGTGGTGCTGGCATTCAACTACGCCGCATTTGAAGGGACCGCCGACGATGGGGGCAGTCGGCTTAGCCTGCACCGCTTGCTGTTTGGGTGCCTGGGGCTTGGAAGCTGAAATCCCGGGCCCTTGCGCTTGGGCTGGAGTAGCAGGATGTGACTGCTTCCGTTTCTTGTTCGGAGGTATCTTCAGCTTTTCCGGCGTAAAGCCCCCAGGGCCATATGCATGTGGAACACCAGACGGTGACGGAGCCCCAAATGGCGCCGGAGGAATTGCACTGGACACTGAACCAGCCTGGCTTGACGCACGTCGTGCCTGCTGCAATGCTTCTTCCTCTTGTTGAAGCTGCTGTAGATTCTGCGCGTTGAGAGCCGAGGGGTTCGCCGAACCCGTCTGCTGCAAGGCAACTGCACCCTGAGACACACTTGGCCGTTGCGCAGAAGGCTGGTTTTGATGTTGATGGACTCGGTCAATCATATTCCGGAAGAGCCTCTTCACGTAGTTTATTATGCCTAAGAGATATTCAGGAGAAATTGTGAAGTCTTCGTTAAGAGCCCACTCTGGGGTAGGCTTGAATTGCCTCATCAGTTGCACACGCTGTAGGGATGTTAGATAAAAGGGTCATTAAAAAAAAAGCATGAGCTACGAGGCTCAGAAAATAGGAGGGCTGGTTAGATAGGAAACGTACTATTGTCAATAGACTCCTAACCGTCCTTTCTTGGTTAGGGAACCTGACGAACCACTGGACCAAAGTATCCATCCTAGCAAGCATATCTGTGCATTCACGAAGCTGCTGAGCCATAGCAGCCTTTTGTTCCGGCGAGACAGAAATGGGATCTGCAGCTGGCACATTCTTTTGAATGTCACCATATAGTTGTTTAATCTTCTCTGGAAGGTGACTCCAGGTCTCTTCCGCTAAAGCCCTACTGATGGGCCCGCGTTGCTGCTTTCGCACTTGGGCGTCTAGCGGGCCACGCTTGGGGAGCATTTGATCCCCCCGGGTGGGCGGTGCGTTAGGCCGCGCAGGAGCAGTACTAGTTATATTGGGTTGGACTAATGGCTGAGTGGTTGTCTGGATAGCAGGATTCGGCGCATCCGCCGGTTCATCACTGCGCGGCCGCTTCTTTGGAGCTTGCTTTCCAGTTGAGGTAGCCTTCGTGCCCTTCGCAGGTGCTGGGACTTGAATGGACGGTGACTGCTGGCCTGGTCGCGAGGTCGGCGGCTGTGGCGTGCTTTGTTGTTTTGATTGGGACGTGTTTTGTGCCTGGGTAGGAATTTGAGACTGTTGAGCCTGGAGGGCATGCTGGCCTTGGCTTGCCATATTCTGCGCCGCAGACTCCCGTGCCACCCGCGCTTGCATAATCCTTAGCGGACTCCGTTGCAGGATTTTTCGAAGTTGATCATCGTTGTAGTTCTGTGATTGTGGACCGAGTCGCTGGCGAAGTATCTGAATTTCTTGCGGCGTGATCGGTCGCATACTCAGCAGGTTCATAGGATGGGGCTGCTGGCCAGACGGAAGATTCGAAGGATTCATGAATGGTCGTGCAGGCCCTTGGAAAGGGAACATGGGAATCCCATTGCCTTGACCGTTCTGGCCAGGGTTACGATTTCCGCCGTCTTTTCCTTGAGCGAGCCTCTGGGCGAGGTGGCGTGTTTGAAGAGCGATCAACTTTGAGAGATCCAAGACCTGTGGGTTCGCAGTTGCCCAGTGCTTCAGTTGACCCCAGGTTGTGATATTTTTCGGAATAGGAGGGCTCATGTTCGGATTCATGTTGAGAATCGCTGGCGGGAAAGGCAATTGATCCATCTCCCTCACTTGATCCGGGGTCATTTCAAAGCCACTTTGACGAAGAAGCTGCAACTTGTAAAAATCATCGTGACGTTGCTGGGCTTGCTGTTGCTGCAACGTCAGTTGCGGTGCGGGTTGTTGACGTTGTTGTTGCTGGCCACCTTGAAGCATCTGGTTTTGGGCCTGGGGTCCGCCGATTCCCGGGATCGGCTGCTGAAGACCCATAGCAGCCATCAGGTTCTGGTTATTGCTCATCTGGCCGCTCCCAGTCTGCTGTCCTTGGCCTGCCACGGAAACGTTCTGCTGCATGCCCCTCTGGTTGGCCAGCGCACGCTGATGTTGGGTCATCAGAAAGGCCTTTAGTTGGTCAGGGTTTAGTTGAGCCAGATGTTCCTGCAGAGCTGGTGGGAGTCCAGGAGGAATCTGAGGCCGGCCTGGAAGTGTAGGCTGGCCCGCGAAGGACTGAACATTAATAGGCTGTTGTGGCATGGCTGGAGGTCTCGACGGAGGCCGCACATGAGACTGCGCCGGAGAAATTTGCGCCGAGGACATCGGCCGATTCAACATTGACATAGCAGGACTCTGTGGAGGAATCTGCGAGGCTAGTTGGGGATTTGTTTGTCCAGCCTGCGATGACATGGCCATTTGAGCTTTTTGAGCAGCTTCCATTCGTGCATGTGCCTGCGACTGTGCTTGAAGTTGTGCTCTATCTGGCTGCACCCCAGCCGCATTTGGAAGGTGCTGTTGGGTGAGAAATTGAGGGCTCATGCTGGCACCGGTAATGTTTGGCTGGCCGTTTTGGGGGAGCGGTTGCCCAACCTGAAAGACTCCTTGAGGGTTCGGAAACGGCTGCTGGTTCATCTGTGATGAGCTGGCTGGTACAACAAGTTGTCCAGCTTCCTGCGAACGCAGGCCGTCTGCCTGCTGGCCCTGTATATTCTCAACATTGCCCATAAAGGAGGGATCGAAATTTTGCTGGCCACCAACCGGAAATGCCGAATTGCGCTGGAGGCTCATCATGTTCTGGACCATCTGGCGCTGTTGGGGATTCATCATAGGATCTCCCATCATCGCACCGTTGGGATCGACGCCGACATTCTGCGCGCGAGCCATTTCTCTACGGGTCCGTTTATGTCGCCTCAATCGATCGAGCGCTTGTACTCGGAAGAAATAGGTGATTGGCTCGAGGTTTTTACGCGAAAGATACTGTCTTTGCTCCGGCGACATGTCCTGGAGATTCATTTTAATCCGCTCCATATGCTCTGGGGAGGTGTTCGCAAGCATTTGGTTGGCTAGTCGACAAACGTGTTCATACTCCTGGGGAGACAGTGAATTGAAATCATCCGGGAGGGCTAGCCCGTTTGCAGGTCGAGGCGGTTGCCGTGATTGTTGCATAATATTCTGTGCTGTCTGTTGCTGAGGCTGGGACTGCTGTTGCTGTTGGTGGTTCGGTTCGGCGATAACCGCAGGCATGGGCTGCTGATCTTGGAGAGGGGAAGCTTGCACCGGGCGATTCATCTGCTGGAAAGGGGTCTGGCCTTGGTTCTGTCCCATACCAGGCATTCCTGCTGCTGGCGGCGCGCCTTGTGGCATCATGCCACCCTGCATGACAGCAGCCTGCCTGACTCGAGTGTCGCGAATTTGGATAATTTTATCGGTGTATTCTTTTTCGTAATCGGCCTGGGAAAAGCGCCGGCATTAGAATCATGTCAAGGACGGGAATATAACAAGGGGGGAAGACCGCACCTTCTCTCTAGCCTCTTTAAATGCCTTATGTTCAAAGGACATAGCAAACTGAGCTGCACTCTGAAGACCAATCTGCGGTTGAATAAGTCGAAGAGAAGTCATCCTTGAGAAAGGGAGGTAAGTACCGAGCAAGGAAGAGGAAAGGGTATCTAGAAGAACACATACAATTGGTAGACCTTGACGGCCCTGTCCTTGACCGAGACTTCGGATCTCCAGCCGGTAAACGGGGGCTGATTCTGCAGGATTTGTGCGATATGAGCCATGATCATATGGGTATTCTCGTTCTTCAAGGGGCCTTGAACCTGGCCATGAGGCCTGGCCACGGCAGGCATGGCCCCGCCGACGTTGGGGATGTTTGCCGGATTCATATCCGCAGCCCCAGCAATGGGGAGTTGGGGATCAATCCGCGAGAGACCTTGTTTGACGCAAGCATTCGCTGAAGGCACTGACCACGTGCAAACAAGTACTGGCGCTGCTGTTCGGTTGAAGAGACACGAAGTGATGTGGGACTTAGCTAGTAAAGTATACACACGGTCGGGGAAGAGAAACGTGGGAGAGGAGGGAGGAGACAGGGAGATTGCGTTAAAGTGGGGCGCAAGCTAGACTCGAAGGTGAAGCGACGCGGCGGTGAATATCGATCACGAGGCGTTACAAGTGAAGTGAAGTGGTCTGTATGATAGGTGGGTGTCGTTTGACGCAACCCGAGAGGAAGAGAGACAACGCAGAGAAGCACGATCCAGCCGGGGAAATCAGGGCGTTTCGGGCAGCAGAGGCGGTTGTCAGAAGGTTCAAGATAGACGGGAAGCCTGAACAAGAATCGAACAATGCGTGGCTTGGACGATAACAGTGATAATAATAAAAAGAGGGAAGTAATGGTATTATTATGGCAATCCTATTGATTGAACGGGCGGGAGGTTGAAGAAGGGGCAGGGATGCAGCAGGCGAATAAAGCGGTATGAGGCCAATCGAAGGTCGCACTGGCACCCGTCAAGGTCGAACAGAGTCAGCGGCAGATAGTGGCGGCTGAACGGAGGAGACGGGCAGGGGCTAGCAGAAAGAATTGTCCGTCAGCATGGAATGGGATATGGAAGAAAAGGAATGACGGCAGTGGTAGGGAGACAGCAGGCGTTGTTGTTGTGTTTCTGGAGGCAAGACAGGAACGGTCGGAGATGGGAGAAGCGCATACGGAGGAAGTTGAGGAACTTCTGCAGGCAGAGATGGTGGGGTGAGGCGGCTGGGAGGCATCAACGTCCGGCAGAGGACAAAGGGCGCGAAGGGACCGCAACGAGACGAGACAAAGGGAGGGACAAAGATGGGACATGAAACTGGCAGGACGGAGGAGAGAGAGATGTGAAAGGAGAGACAGAAGAAGGCCACGAGGGACAATTTTCCTGGTTGACACGGATGATCGCCTGCTAGTGGACAACGCGAGGCTGATGGCGTGGTGATAATCTCACTAGCAGACGCTATATCCACACGAGCTCAACCTCTGCACTGTCCTAGTATTACCTGCCATGGCTACGTTTCTACATACGAGGTACTAGGTAGTCAATTCCCTTATCCCTACAGAGTACTCCGGCAACATCGCAGCTTTTCAGAAAAACGAATTCTGCCCATCGAGCTACCATTGTTTGTGCTCAAGGCAAGCAGCCAGAGTTTCAGGCTTTCAGCAGCCGCGCTTCTTCCGGTGATGCATCAACTCACCCCTAGCCACATCCACCAGTTTCCATGTCCTTGCGCGTTTGTGGCTGCACATCTCGCTTTCATTTCTCGGACATGTTGGAGTATTATATATCATCTGGAGTACCGACTACAGACTACACTGAAGCCTGCCGGGCAACGAGAATATCGAAGTCTGGTTTCTACACGCACACGGGATATTAATATCAACGGAGATCGACGGGATGCCTCTCCTTATCTTATACGGCAGTCTCTATATTGATTACTATATTAGCATACATATTATGACCGTTGCGCATCCGAAGACTCTTGGCACACGCAAACGCTGTCAATGGCATCGTCTCGTGTAAATGAATCGGTTCCTATCATTCTTGGATACGGAGTAGTAGGTACCTAGGTATGCTATGCTGCATAGATCAGCAGGGTTTCTGCAATACGCTGTAGATCTGGATGATGAGGTCCTGCATACTTTTTCTCCCTCCCCAGACTTGGCGTCTACGGCTATATATACGAGACATAAGGAGAATCGCCCTGCTCCCGGACAAGTTCCGGTTAAGGAACAAGGACTGCAACCTGTAGCAATAGTGACGTGAGTGACTCCAGGAAGGATTGATCGATCGATCGTAAAAGTTGGTCATGGAATCACCCAGAGTAAATACTGGCCAAGTGACTCCATGGCCAACATCTACTATTACCGCTGTACAGATTCCAGTGTAATCTGGGACTATCAGCATAGCATAATAATAAGTTAAATTAAGTACACTGTAAGTAGCCAACTAATAGTTAGTTAACTAATAAGAGTGGAAACGGATGACTACACGGCACTGCGAGTTACGCAAGCTTCCCGAACAACCTCCTCTCGCAACCATCGCCTATCTCATCTCCCCTTCACCTGCTTCGGTCGCAGAAGAAAAAGAGACGCCTTTTACCTCTTCTTCAATATCGCCATGCTCGGGTCCATCCTATCGTTCATCCATCACTAATCTCAATCGCAACATCATGGTCTCGATGTCCTCAGTCCCCGTCGGCTCGAGCGTCTTCTTTTCTCTGACGCTCTTCTCCATCTCCGTCTTCGTCCTGCTGCTTCTCCGTCGCTTTCTGACCTTGCGTGCTACTCCTGCCTATCTCATCCTGCCTGTATTTCTTGCTCTCGCCCTTCCCGCCAGTGTCGTGCTGCTCTTACCCATCGATTTAGCCTCAAGCTCGCGGGATGGCAGAGCGGCCAAGGGCATATGGCTCCCTGATCGGGTGGTCTTGGTGTCGTGGAGAATTGCCTACTGGTTGATCTTTGTCTTGACATGGTACGTATATCCCTCTGCACTTACTCAAATCACCTCGTATGCTCATCGTTGTCCCCTTGCCCCCCACAGGGTTATCCTTCCCCTACTCGGAGAATACATCGATTCTGGGTATCGTGAGCCAAAAGCCCGACTCATGTACTCCCTCCGTTCCAATGCTCGCTATCAGCTGACAGTTTTGTGTTGTGCAACCGTTGGGCTTGTCTACGTTTCCATCCAAAATGGGTTCGAATTTACATCGATCAAGGCGCTCGTCATGGCCCTTGCGTACGTCTGGGGTCTCGTCCTTGCAATTTACCTCATGGGTCACGGCCTCGTCTCCATACCGCGTCGCTTCATTCGCAGCGCCAACGTCAGTGGCTCGTTACGGAGACTTCAATCTCATGCCCCCAGAATCCATGACCGTCTACTTGATGCGGTTAATGATCTCGAGAGCCTCGAAGCTCAAGTCGCTCAGCTACAGCAGCGCAAGAGCGGTAGTGCGCTCGAGTTCCGGGAGTGGATCGAGGAACTGGCCGAGCCATCCAGCTCGCCCGAATCGCGCCCCATGCTCGCTCAGGCTCCCGATGTATCCAGCAGAGTTCCTCCGGTGATCACGGCACGCTATTTAGCGGATTTAACTAGGCGTCTCCAACGTGCGCGACACCAGAAAGCCCGATTCGTTGATGAGTGGGCCCGCCTGATCCGATCTGCGGCCGACCTCCAAGCCATTATCAACTCGTCTGCTTCCAAGAAACTGCAGTTCAGCCCCTTATCTTCCGGTTCATCATCTTTTCCTCGTGTCACTCTTTTGACTCCCTACACGCGTTATCTTGTTTATGTGAAGGTGCTCCCGACCGTGCGCCTTTTCCTTGGAACCGCGTTTGCTGTTGCGTCCGTGTTGGTTATATGGTCTGAATTGATCAAATCCTTCGCGCAAAAATTGTCTGTCGTCAGTCTCACTGTGGTCCCCAATCTGCAGAACCCAGGTCCGATAGGTTTTGGTGGGCAAGTTACTGCGTCTGCTTGGCTGCTTTATATGTGTGCGGCGGCGCTGGCGGGCATTCACGATGCACAGATTTGGGGCAATCGCGCCTTGGTTCGTCGCAACACCTACGGTGAAAGTGCGTGCTGGTATGCCGGGCAGGTGGCAAGACTGACCGTGCCCATTGCCTACAATTTTCTGACCTTCCTACCGAAGGCTACCATACAGAGCACCACATTTTATCATTTTCTGGGCCGGCTCATTGACCTCACGCCGCTTGGCAAGGGGTTTGATTATTTCTTCCCTGTCCTCATCCTCCTGCCAGTGTTTGCTACTCTGTTTAACTTCTATGGCAAGGTCAAGACTATCTTCGGTTTTGATCTTCCGGAGGGCGGCGAGGACGATATGAACGACCCTTCTGGGTACGGATTAGGCGGCTGGAGAGAAGGTCGTGATCTCATTGATCAGGAATTCAACGGCCTTGGCCCCTTAGCGTTTGCCTCCGGGGCTGGCCGATCGGCCCGGTTGCAAAGTGGTCGGGTGGAGGGTGAGTCTCACGCTTCCTCCACTTCTACCCTACCACTTTCGTCTCCTGAGGGAGTCCGACCAACCCGGTCCGCACGCGGAGCAGCTGTTTATTCCACTACTGCTTTGGACGAAGATGAAGAGGAGACCTTCCTCCAGTCCTTTGTGCACCGTGTGAAGAACACATTTGAGACCACGAATAAGCCTCAGTGGCTTCAAGGAGAAGGATTTCGACTGCCGAAGTGGATGAGCAGCGACAGTAATGAACGGAGCGGAGGGCTGACGGGATTCTTTGGTGGTCGTCAGCCCGCCGATGGTCGAGTACGCCTTGGATAATTGTTCTTCTATATGTTGTGTCTTACATCTGCATTGGCGAGGCGTTTTCATCGGGTTTTCATGTCTTATAGACCAACGGAGTATATAATTAATGATCGGTTTTCTATCCGTAGGGGACTTGGTTTTCTGTGAGTTTTTGGGATCACCAGACGATCACGTGTTTTGTATCCGACTTCGATTTCCATGGACTGCGATATAAGACCTCTCTTTCGTTCAATGAATACCTTCTCCATGTCTCGTTGATCTCTACCAGTATCTCCAACCTCTTTAGAACCTACGGATCCTGCTACTACGAGGTTGCTGCAGCGGCGGCGATCCCGGTGCGGCACCTGTGGCGTCCGCGTTGTTCGCCTTGGCCTTTTGGACCAACTGAGACAGCAGGGAAGTTCATTGTTATCACTTCACACTCTACCCCCGCTGTCTCATCCACTCCTGTTTTTCAATCCTGTTGATCCATGAGTCTACTGTCGTCAACCCTGGCTCAGTCAACCTTGGCCAAGAAGGGTTCGGTTTACCTGGATTCTGTTGCCAACAACCTTCTCGCGTCGCTCCACAGTCTACAGGAACAACTTGCCCCCCTCTCGTCAACCAAGTTTCCCTCCCAAATTAGCTCTCTTGCACGACATTTTCATCTAGAACAGCTCGTCACAGTCTCTCCGGTGACCTTCCTTCTCACTGTTATCACCTGTATATCCACCTTCATCGCCATCATGAGCTGGCGCAGCCCGTTTGGTATCTTCCGCCGCTCCCCATACAGCAACTTCACGGCGGTGCCACAAGTCAGCGACCGGGACTTCAGTTACATTACGCCCGACGAGCTTATCAATCCCCCTTCGCGCGAATACCGAGAAGAATACCCAGCAACCGGTGATGCGGGGCCGGATATTCTCTTACTCAAGCATCGCGGGACCACGTACCCGTTACACTTCCCCGCGTATGCGATTGATGATGGAGCGCTCACTGTCGGAGAACTGAGACGGCGTGCTGCGGAGGCGACTGGCTCACTGGACCTGAATCGCGTCAAGCTACTCTACAAGGGAAGGCTGCTAATGGACGATTCCCGACCGTGCAAGACAGAGGGACTGAAGCAGCAATCGAAGGTGCTCTGTGTGGTGTCGGAAGTGGACCCAGGAGAGAGCACAGCGAGTGAGGTCTCTGACAGTGAGCTAGAGAGGGCCAGCGACGCATCTGAGAAGAATGGTCGCCAGACGGAAACCATCACTGACAGCAACATCGGCAAGACGCAGAATAAAAAGAGGAACAGGAACAGGAATAGGAACAGGAACAAGAAGAACAAGAACAGACAAGCAGTAGAGGTATCCGCAGTCCAATCGACTCCCTCGTCGGGTGGAACAGGCTGTTCATCCCTACCACCTCCGAGTCCCAATCTGAAAGACTTCAGCACGCCTCTCGAGCAAGTCAATGCCCTGGTATCATACTTTCGGAGCGTACTATTACCCCTCTGCAATGAATACGTTGCCAACCCCCCGCCGCTTGGGAAGGTGCGGGATTTTGAGTACAAGAAGTTGAGTGAGACTGTTCTGGCTCAGGTCATCTTAAAGGCAGACGGCATTGATCCGAGTGGTCATGAAGAAACTCGGACTGCGCGCCGAGCACTTATCAAAGAGGTCCAGGCAAGCCTCAATTCTCTTGATCAAGTTCCAAGAGAATGAGTCCACTAGCTGGATCCTGCTGCAACGGCCTAATCCTGAGTGGGAGGGTCTCTGGAATGCATTCGTCCTTCAGTCTAGTCTTTTTTTTTTCTTCCTGTAAACTTTTTTTTAATCATGGTGCATGTACAGGGCTTTTCATATTTCTTGGAGATATGGGAGGGTAGTGCATGGTGGGCTGACGGGGCTTTGGGAAACATCGATAGACCTTAAAGCATGGATACAGGGAAACAAGATGTTGCAGGATAGTCTACGATCCTAGTATGAAAAGTGATAGAGAGTAGGTCTATACATATCGCATTTCTGTAGATGAAGGGTGATCCAGCTTGTCACCAGCAGTATAAGCAGTAGACGAAGCAGGGAAAATTGACGATGTTCGCGGTGGAAACAAGCAGCGTAAAGCAGTGAGCAACAGGATTTCGTCGGGAGCATTATCCTAAGATACCAGGCTGAATAGTGGGGAGAACTGGCCAACCCACAGTTTCAAGCGACGATATTTAATAATAATAATAACAGCAGCAGCGAGGCTAGGAGTTGAGGCTAGACCGAACCGTTGCACTGATCCGCAGCGTCGTCTTCCTCGCTTCTTCCGTCTCCTCTTCCTCTCACCACCGCCTTTTTCCCGCTGCATCCATTGCTTGCATGGTCTCCATCCAGCTCCATCCCCATCATACTACGATCTACTAATAATAGCTAATTATATTTCTTCTCGTCTTCCGGGCTCGTTTCATCCCTTCGGCCTTTCTTCTTCTTTTTTTCTAGTTCGTCTCTGGCAAGTCGTGTACCCCTGTACGAGGATCGATTTACTGTCACATTCATCCGCTCCCTTCCTTTCTTTTTTTTTTTGTTCATTATCTTCTCTTCTTGACTACCGTTTTTTTTTTCTCTGCCTTTTTTTATTTCTTCTTCGCCTCTTGAATCCTTCGATTTCCCCGCACGACACGATTTTACCTTGGTATACGGTATTTCCGCCCCTCGTAACCCAAGTACCGTCCTCTTCGAACCCAATTCGAACGAAATCGATCAATCCGTTTTATATACGAGTCTCGGCTAAAGAGACAAGGGGGAAAGAGTAAATAGAAGAACGGAAGGAAGAGGGGGAAAAAAGAGGGCACAGAGACAAAGAGGGATCACGGGTATTATTGTTCTCGAATTGGTTCCACTACCATCCCGACGATCCTCTACGACTTTCCAAGGTACCGTGCTGTTCCCGTTCGGTTGCCGTCTTCATCACGTCACTTGCGTGGGACAAGAGTTGGAGACGTGAATAATCCAACAGATTCTCACATTCAAAAAAAAAAAAAGAAGAAGATAGGAAAGAAGGAAAGAAGGAAAGAAAGGGCAAAGGAAGGGAAAAGCACAGTGAGATCAACAATAATAATCCGGCCTCGCAATTGTCCATTTTGTTGGTTATCTCCCATCTCATCCTTTGTTGATTTCCCCTCTTGAGAAACTTGTTTCTTCGCTTCCCTCTTGTATCCCTCCTCCTGCTTGGCCCCTTTGCTCTGAACCAACGGCGGAACCGGCGTCCGCGCTGTTATATCCTGGTTGTGTCTATACTGTTTGCTGTGTGCAGTTCTGCAAATTTGCCTTCTTCGTGCCATTCCCATTGGTAGGGATTTAATACCGCCTGCTTCTCTGGTTCTGGGATGGCCTGGGGGCCGGCTGAATAACCTGCATGATCCGATTCACAATTCATTCAACTATCTATTGGCTTCCCCTACTTGCCCAGTTGGTCCGTCATTGAAGTTGCGCTCCAGCTGGTCTGGCCATTTTATTTTATTTTTCCCCCTGATTTTGCGAAGAGGCTTTGGATCTTGCATCTGCTACTGCTGCTGGGATGGTTGGACCGACTGCAGTCTATTCCGGTGATACCCCGACATCCCCTATTGAAAATCATAGTCAATGGGAGTATGCCGTTCCTCTGGTGCGCGATGTGAGTAATATGTCTTTGTTCGATGCTTTTACTCCTTGAAAATACCCTGCTTTGTCTTGTCTTTCGCGGCCAGCTGTGATACCACTTCCTGTATTCTCAGTGGAATGTCCCAAGCTATTCACGACGTCGAAGCTAATGACATGTTTCCTCCAGAGTGTCGACAACTATACGAAGTCTCTGTCCTCCCGCGACTCCAATTCCTTGCAAGGGAAATTCACCAAGGATCGTACCTCTGACTTATCTCAGGGATCTTTGCTATCTAAAAAACCATCAAAGAACTTGGGATCAATTCGTGGGCGGAGAGACTACACTCTCAACCAAAATGGAGGTGAAATAGGAAGCATACGGGGCGTCTATGGAACGGAAACGAATGCCTGGAGTGACAATATAAGGAAGTCATGGGATAGTAATCGGTTTCGGACGTCCTTCGAGAAAGGGGACACAGCTGTGGATAACGTGAGCCTGTCCGAGAAGGATGATCCCGACAGCGCACATTGGATCCACCGGGACAAACTGGCCCGTATTGAAAGTGAGGAGTTGCACCAGGCCGCCATTCTGTATCAACGGCGGTTCAGGTCTGAGAAGAGACGCACGGGCAGTCGCGAAAGGGGTCATGAATCCCGGGGCAGCAGTGTTAATGGTTCATCTGTGGCTCCGCTGGCGCTGGCTGATCAAATGGAGCCATGGCCAAGTCTAAGTGAAGAGCAGCAGGAATATAGTGAACCTATGGTGCTGCCCGCGGACCGTGTTAATGGCGAGCCTGCACCAGAGGACCAGCAGAATTGGGATCTTCAGGACAAGCCTTTCGAAAACGCCGCAGAGGAACGCCCTCAAGAAGATGGTGCGTCGGGCGTATACCGCAATCCGGGTCTTCGAAAAAGCTCCTCGCGCATCCCTATTGCAACTCCGAGTCGCCTACCTGTGTCATCTGGGCGACTTGGACGGGATACCCCTACGCAACGTGATCGTACTTCCACTAGTGAGTCTGATACCGGCACATCATCCACAAAACCCCGTAGATCCAGTGAGCCGCTTTCATTAGACCCTGCGGAGAGCTCGAAGACCTCGTCTTCTGCGCCTTCGGGAGGAAGCAGACCCGGTAGTCGTGGTATGCAGAGCCAAAATTCCCCGGCAAAGAAACCGTCACCAAAGAATGGCAATGCCGCTACGCCCAATTCTACGAACCGCAAAGCTTCAGCTACCACAGGAAACCGAAGGGTCTCGTCGAGAACAAGAACTGCTTCTGGCAGCAATGGCCAATCGCTGTCACGCCCTGCAACAAGGTCTGGCGACCGGATTATTAATCGCCCAGAGGGTGACCCTCCATGGCTTGCCACGATGTACAAACCGGACCCACGTCTCCCTCCGGAACAACAGATCCTCCCGACACATGCGCGACGGATGCAGCAAGAGAAATGGGAGAGGGAGGGCAGGACTCCCATCACGTATGATCGTGAGTTTGCTCCATTGGCAATCACACAAGATGAAGGAAAACCGATCAAGAACGAGACCGAGGCCAAGACGGTAGCGGAGGAGAAGACAGAGCCCGAGGAACCAAAGGAGAAGCAGGAGAAGCAGGAACAGCCTTCCTCTGCATCAGCACCGCCATTCAGTGAAACGTCCCAAGCCCCCAAGAGCCCTGATCCGAACTCTCGACCGACCACGAGCAGCGGCTACAGGACTATTCCCAGATTGCAGAGCACGCCTACGCCAGCAATGGGGCGTATTCCAAGTCGGAATCCCAACGTTACAACACCAGTACAGGCACCAGTTCAAGATGAGGGTGAAAACGAGAAGAAGAAATCGAAGGATGGATGCGGTTGTTGCATTGTGATGTGATGCCTCTCCAGCCTTGCGACTCACAGTGGTTTGTGACTTGGTTCTTGTCGTTCATTCTGGTGTTTGTTTCCCTTTGTATTTTCTTTCTCACACCTTCACCCTTAGCATTCTACTTTGGCTTCTAAGTTTGATGTTTCATTCAAGATACCTTCTTCGTTGTGGATATTGCTCATTCTTATTACTTTATTTTATCTTCGGTTCATTCAGCGTTTTGAGTCCAGGAGCTTCGGTTAGTGCTTTTTCTCCCTTTCTCCCTTTTCTCTGATTCTTTCCTGAGCTCTCTTTTTTCTTCTTGCTCTACTGCTCTACCGCTCCGCATCTCTTGCACTTCTCTTCTATAATTTGTCAGATTTTGGACAGGGGTCTTGTGGCGTCATTACCATTACCAGGTGGATCTCTTGCTGTCTTTCTGTCCTTGACCCTGAAAAGCAGATGTAGCTTAAGAGCTGGATACAGCACCGATACCTGCTACAGCACTAGATACATTCCTTCAATAATGACATTGATGATAGAGGGGTACGGAGTAGAGGCTTGAAAGACATAAGTAATGGATAGGCGCATGTATGGTCATATTACTAGGTAGGCCTGCCTGTGCCGTGAGATAGGTAGCGAGGGCGGTCTAGGACGGCAGAACCTCACGTGTACTAACAATAAGAAAGGACGATCAGCTGACTACACGTGACATGTCGTCACGCGTAGCACGCCATCTGCTTCTGCATTACAACTTCCCCGCCATCTCATCGGCCTCAGTGTAATCTGACGTATAAAAAAGCGTGCAGCGCCTCCCGCCATCTTATCCCTCTCCCTTTCCCGGAATACCAAAGCAACAGTTGCCCACCATATCGTCCCTATTCTCGCGCCTTTTCGGCTCTTTCGCCGGATTCTCTACATCTGCCTCTTCCACGATGTCGGCCGCCGCAACGGGTAAGGTTCAGAATATCATTAATGAGAATGGAGTTGGTGAGTTGTCCTTTATACATGCATGCATATATGCTATATGTATTTACTATAATTATGCGTCTACGTGTCATGCTGATGAGTCAACCAAAAAAAAGTCGTCTTCTCCAAGTCCTACTGCCCCTACTGCCGCGCGAGTAAGGATCTGCTGAATCAATTGGGTGCCAAGTATTACGCCCTCGAATTAGATCAGATTGGTTAGTATCTGCCTCTGTTTTCTATTTGCTGTTTTCTTGTTTTGTTTTGGGCTGTTTATTTGTGTGTACATTCTGCTGACACCTTTGTAGAAGACGGCAGTGATATTCAGTCTGCCCTCGCGAGCCTCACTTCTCAGCGGACCGTGCCTAATATTTTCATCAACAAAGTTCATATTGGTGGGAACTCGGATTTGCAGGCTAAGAAATCGCAGTTGCGGGGTTTGTTGGAGGAGGCTGGTGCTGTTTAGGCTTAGGTACAGACGTTGAATTAGCGTTGATAGATACCAGGGCGGATACGAACTCTGGATTTTGGAATACAATCATTTATAGATACAGATACAGTATACGTGTGTCAGCGTTTAAAGGTCAAACAGTCCCAACAGGCCTCTCCACCACTCCCATCACGCCCTCTACGACACTCTGTCTCGCTGCCTCACTTGCCACGGTCTTCCCGCCAAGGTAATGTAGCCAGACTAACCGGCTGATTCGCTCGTCATGTACTCTGCCCATCCACCTCAAGGGCTGTGCAGGATCAGGCTCGTAAAGCGCATCAAATACTCCGTGTGTGTTTCGATGAAGCAACAGCGGCTGTCCCTTGGGAACGCTCTTGCGTAGACCCCCACCGAAGACAGTCTTGAAATCATTCAGTGCAGTCCCGAAGGACTCATCCTGGAACTCCGGATTCTGTGCCTTCTGCGCTGCAGACGCGCGCGCGGTGATTCCACGCACCCACCCATCGCGGAGATGCATGAAATCCGTATTCCTCGTAGGAACAATCCGGAGGACGGTCCGGATACCCTCATCCTGTTTCTTCTGGCTCTTCTTGAAAATCTCGTTCCACGCCTCATTGCTCTGCTCCGGGTCCAGCAGGAGATCCTTCAATTGCTGTCTCTCCCCGGGGACCAACGAAGTCGCCGCATCAGCAATGAAGGCATCCGTATTCGTCTTCTCCTGACCCGGCGGCCGGATAGCGGTGCGGACGAGCAGTTTCTGGAGTTCTGGGATATCGGACTTGGCGACGTACAACCCCACGGCGTAGACCTGGATCTTCAAGAACGATACGGTGCGAATACCCAGACCTAGAAGCTGGTACTCCTCTTCATCCCGCGAGGAAGTCGGTACCTCCTCTCCGGGTTTAAGATTTAGTTCTTCCGCAGGTGAATCCGATGCCAACGTCCGCGGAAGTCTGATGGTGGTCGGAAAGAAGGGGACCGAGCTATTCCCTGTCGGCACCTGTTGCAGGGCATCATCCTGACCCGGTATCCGAATCACAGAAGTACCTGGAAATGAGGTGCTGGAGCCGGGGCCATCTAACCGGACTGTGCCGATGTCCGTCTTTTCATCTTTTCTCTTGTCTTTCGAATCCTGCTTCGCTAGCGAGGCACCGAAAACATCCGTCTTGATAACACCGTACATTCCCACAGCGCACACGACGATTCCGACCGCGGAGACGAGCATGGATCGTCGGTATTGCGCGATCTCCTGTTCCCTCGCATGGCTGCTTTGGGAGGAGCGGAGGGGATTTTTTGCTGCCGGCGCGGAGGAGCGGAGCGGGGACGACGTGTTCAGGAATCGTTGGTGATATCGGGGAATGCGTGGTGGGTGGCGGAGACATTGCGAGCAGGATCGAAAGGGCAGGTTGTATGCGGACGATGGTAATGCCATTTTTGTAGCCATTGTGGTTTTTGTCTGTGATGATCAAGGTTACGTTGATCTTGAATGACGCGGGTTTCCTGTCGGAGATGGAGTCCGGGGTATCTTGCACGTGACTCTACTGCCCTATATCTTGCGTCGATGCAGCCTATAGTCTTAAGCAATTAATATAATATTCCATCAAAAGGCATCCATAAAATCGATGATATCATTCTTTCAGACTTCTATTTTTCATCGACAGGAATGGTTCGAGTGCCGGATGAGCCGTTCGAGTCAACGTGCAATGATGATGCCTTGCGTCTGCAGGTACGTATGTTGACGTCTTGGATTCCCCAATGGGCATCGGTTCTCCCCTGGCTAAGTTTTGCATCTGGAGCATTTACACAGTTCGTTATATTCAGAAGACATATTCTGAGTTTAAAATCTCCGGGATATTTTCTCCATACCCTGGATACCACATGTGCTGTTGACATCTTCGACTTTATTAATGCTGGCGTTTCCCTGGATGACCTCCGCGCTCCCACGGTTCTAAAGAACCTGAGGACTATGTATAGGAGCACATTACTACTCACTTCCTCTATAGTTTCATCGGTTCTATGGCTATGTAGAGAGATGCTGCTAGCCAGCAGCTTTACCTGTCTTCCTCTCGCTCGTTTCTCTTGTTTCTTCTTATCCGTCCTCCTCTTGCACTTTCTCTCTTATTTTATCGGCTATATACGACTAATTTTCTCTTTTATTGAGCTCTCCCGATCGAAAGACAGCCAGCTTTTATTGGTATACTTGAAATCCGCTGAATTCGATACTTGGACCGAAGAACGCCACTGTCCCCCATGCCGACCAAACTCATGAACGCCGTCGAATGCTCCCTCCTGAAGCTGGAGGGATGCATGCAGAGAGCAAAGACGCTCGTTAAGCGTCGTCAAAACAATACTGACGCTGTTATCGACACTGAAACAACCAGAGGCGAGAACTTGTCGTCGTCCGAGACGACCATCAACAGGAGCACTAGCACCAGTGCCATCAGCAACAACAACACCAACACCAGCAGCAATAGCAATAACAACTACAACACCTATTGCACCGTCAATAATAATAGCTGCACTCCCAGCTGTGGCCTCAGCATTGGCACACACAGCATCAAAAACAGTCCCCACAAGAGCAACGTCAACACCGGCAGCAAAATCAACAGTACCGAACAAAGCTTCATCGAAAACAACCCCCGCCATCCAGGGAAGTTTAATATTCCAAACCGGTGCTGCGTAATCTGCTCGAAACCAATCGGACATCACTCCTTTGACCCGAAGAAGAAATGCAACACGATTGTCTGCAGCTCCTGCATCGCAGAGGTGCTCCTACTCACTCCCAAAGAAGGTTTGGAAGACAACAATGGCAATAACAATAACGGGTCTGGCCGCTCTCGCACCTGCGACTGTAAAATAAACAATACCCGGAAGAGCTCAGCCGGTATGTCAACATCACCTACCAAGGACGACAACAACGACAACAGTGATGTCGTCCTACAAACTGTCCCTGTATCCGTTGCGGCCACGAAGACTGTCAAGGAAAACAACACCCACTCTCCATGTGCCGCGGAGATTATCGACGGCGACAACGATGTTGAAATATACGAAGACGCGTCTGAGGAATCACAGTCCGACTGCAATGACTCGGACAACGAGGGTTCAGATTCAGACATGGGGCCCCTTTGTGCAGACACCGATAGTGAGGGGAACTACGACAGTGACGGTTCAGATATCGGGCCTCTCTATAGAGACGACGACGACAGCTACAATGATAAGGTCGAATACGGCACCAGCCCGGCATACTGCCTGTCCCCTTGTCCTCGACGCCCCGGGCCCCAATGGGTCGCTGATGAAAATATCATCCTCAAGAACGACGACAACAACAACTTCACCTACCGAAAACGGCAAATCAAGCGGGAAAAGCATTATGTCGCGAGATTTTATAAAATGCCAAACTATATTTTATGAATTCACGTCCGAGGATGCCAGGTGAGCTACAAAGGGAATAACAAGTCAACCCCGATTCGAACTATTCGAGCCGAGAGCCGGTCCAAGAAATGTAACGACAAGGATGACGGATAGGAATTAACAAAGGGAATAGAATCCAAGTATCCATAAAGGATCTTGACTAGAGAGAAGAACAAACGGGAAATCGAAGCCAATTGGGATTTCCCAAGTCCGGGGGTTTTTAATCCAGCAAGTATCCATGAAGGATCTTGCACGGTTTTCCTCCGTTGAATATATATGAAGAATGAAGAATCGATTATCTATGAGGGATCTTGACTATATATATACACATTGAACAGCAATACTAGCTTTCATTCCATATGGAGTGAAAAGGTTGAGTGGTGGAAATAATTCAATTAATTCAATCGACTGTCAAACACGATTGCTCAGTCAAATCATCGTAGGGTTCTATATTCGTTATACGACGATATCTGTGGTCAGTACAAAAGCATTACGATATAACCTCTTGGTCTCCATCTACACCATGTTTGCGCTTGAATGTAGATTTCTGCTACTTGTTTTTACAACAGCTTCGTTTAAATATCTGCTTAGTTCATCATCATCTGGCAATGACTCATTAGTACACAGGTATCTCTGCAGTATCCACTCACTTTTAACGATCAGCTTAAACTTCTACATTTGTTGGAGGAGCAGATGGATTGTATCTGCGCACATGATCCATGTATATGTTTACGTAGTAGATACGCAGTTTGTGATATACTGATATGTTGAGTCAAAGAGGTTCGTGGTAGGCGTGTAATATATTTATCCCACAGTAAAGATTACAATCGGGAGCTTGGTGTCCTCCCGTCCTGTATTTCCTATTTAGGTAATTCCTTCAGCTTCATTTCTGTCTTTAGTTGGCTGATATTTAGCCTAGTCATTGTTACTACTTCAACTGTCAACGAACTAATTAGCTAGCTGTTAGTACTAGTTGAATTGCTCTTCGGCTCTCTGTACTCCGTCTGCCGAGCACCGGATACAAGCCACACTTCATTGCAATTCTAATAATACCCGAACAACCAGAATGGAGCACAACGTGAGGAAACCCTGGATAGAGACCCCGTTGATTGAGTCTACTGCGCTCTCGAAAGTGGCAGGATGGTATGTACTATCTGTGAAAAACAATACCTATACATGTCAAAACTGAATACTAACCAACTGCAGTAGAATATTCCTGAAACTCGAACTTCTCCAACCCAGCGGCTCCTTCAAGTCACGGTGAGCAACTCTCTCCCTCCAGTATATTTCTAGATCTAATCCCCGCGGCCTAACCAAAACAACCAGCGGAATCGGAAACCTAATCCTCTCGTCTCTAACGGATCCAGCAAATACCAACAAGGAGATCCACTTCTACAGCTCCTCCGGCGGTAATGCAGGATTAGCTGCTGTTGTCGCAGCCCGGGATATCGGACGGCCCTGTACGGTCGTCGTCCCGCTCTCCACGCCGGCGATGATGGTTGCCAAGTTGCGTACTGCGGGGGCGGAAGAGGTTATCCAGCATGGAGCGAGTTGGTTCGAGGCTGATACGTATCTGCGGGAGAAGTTTATTAATAACCAGGATGATGATGACGATAGAAGGAATATTTACATTCCCCCGTTTGATCATCCCGAGATCTGGAAGGGGGCCAGTACCATGGTTCCTGAGATTGCGACGCAGTTACCCCCTCGCGACGACCCGGAGGGGTCTTCTTTATTCCCTGCTGACGCGATTGTCTGTAGTGTTGGCGGTGGGGGACTGTTCAATGGTATCGTCGAGGGACTCGGGGAATATCTGCAGCTGCAGTCCTCTAGGGAGGAAGAACTCGAGGAAAAGAGGAAACCCGTCCACGTCCTGGCGGTCGAAACGCAGGGAACGGCATCTCTCGCCCTCTCTCTCCAGAAAGGATCCCTGCAGTCCCTTCCTGCGATAACGTCCCTGGCGACGTCTCTGGGTGCGCTGCAGGTGGCGCCTCAGACGCTGAAGCATGCGCAATCACCCCCCGCCGGGGTTGTGGTGACTAGTGTCGCGGGCTCGGATGCTGAAGCTGCTAGAGGCGTGGTCAGATTGGCTGATGAGATGCGGTTGCTGGTTGAATTGGCTTGTGGGATCAGTGTAGATGTCGCTGGGCAACGATTGAAGGAGGTGGCTAAGGATCTGACTCCTGATAGCCGTGTGGTGGTTATTGTTTGTGGGGGGAGCAATATCACTGCTGAGAAGGTTGCTGAGTATCGGCAGCGGTTGAAGGACGGATGGGAATAGTAGAATAGAATACATGCATCGTCTAGACACTTTTGTGGATAAAAGGACCTTTTTATTGCTACTCCGATGATACTCGGGCCTATTGTACAATGATAATAGCTGGAGTCCATCCAGATCTGGCAGTATTGCCAAGAAGTAGTATCCATGATAGCTGGCTTCTATTCATAGGACATCCTCGACATGTAGAACCTACAAGAGTGCTTTCTATTCAGAAAGTCCAAAGAAGCATCATCAGTCAATACCATATATCTACTCACTGGTATGGAAAAGAAAAGGGAACAGCAGTGTTGAAACGCGAAATAAGCTCCGACGGAATGACGCTTCTCCTGCTGTTTTACTGATTGATCTCTATATCGAAAACTTAGTCGCTGTCACTGGCGCTACCATCCGATCCTTCCTCCGCATCAACCCTCACGCCCTCTGTTAGAATATATTCCACCTGCTGCAGAGCCGCCTTGAGGTCCTTATTTTGATAGACAAGATCGATGGGCTTTTGGCCATGCTTGTTCTTGACGCGTGGGTCACATCCGGCCTCGCACATCATCTTGACCATCTCCAGACCTAAAGTGGGATCCTTCTCGTTGGCATAGCGCACAGCAGTGTGAAGGGGGGTATCTCTATCGACACGTGTAAGGGGGTCGCATTCGAAGTGCTGAATGTCAAACAAGTAGTCCATGACGTCGTCTGCAAATACAAAGATTCATTTTATTAGCAGGATTCCGGTAAATATACCTATTAGCATTTACTTGCGCATGACTTACAGCTCCCATACATGGCACAGATATGCAGCGCATAGTTGCCTAATGAATCTGTTACGGAATTGAAGAATTCCGCTACCTCTTCATCCTTCTTCCCTTCCATGTCTCGGAGCACTTGTTCGATAAGGTGAGGTTGGTCCCGCCGGCAGGCCTCTACCACCAATTCGCGGGGAGATGCGCCCTAATCGGAGCCTATATATTAGTATCCAGTGGAGCCTTAGGAAAGGAGGTCGGAACGAGGGACAGCCTTACCTCGTCGTCAGTCATGGCTCAAGATATCCGCCCGGAGGGTTATGTAGGTTATCAGCAATATTCCGGATGTTCGCGTCTTGGGAGCCAGCTGCTCAGGAACCCGATTGAGAGCTGGGGATGTAGATAGGATGTTGATTTGTAGCAGCGTAGTAACACGGACAGAAGAGAAGAGGGGTCAGACGTGGATAGACAGTCGCAAACACAGCCTGTAGTGGATTATATATGAGAACATAAAAAAAAGGTGTATGAAGAATCCTTCCGCACTTCCACTATCAAGCGGTATATTGAACAAGCGCCTGCCAAAGCTCCTCGATGAGTTTCCAGCACAGCATCAATCTCATAGAATAATATCGGATGCCCGTCACCACCCGCAATCCATCCCGCAGCGGCTCAGTCAGCAGCGACACCTTTCCCCTTACGGATAAGCGCTCGGGGGATATGATTTTCCCCTTAGCCGCGCGCTAAACGAGGCTCTGCCGACGATCCTGAACCGACGCCGATAAGGGACCGCCAGTCGGATGCAGACCAGAGGAAAGTTAACAGCGGACGGTGCATTGCTCTACGGTTTTCACCCTTTATGCAGGGTTGTCACAGAATATAAATCGAATCCAGCTGATAGGTCTTTTCTTTTGCATGCGTCCTGTGAAGCTCACGTAGATGAGCCCCTCTTCAAAATGTCATTAACGTGTACGTCATTGTCCTGATCAACCTGTTCTGTCTTCCGTTCCAAACAAGAACTTGGGCTTATATCAATCACTGATTCCTATATGCATAGTCTGTCCTCACTGCAGCAATGCACTAACCATCTCCCGCGCGGAACCTTCTTCAAGATACCCCCTAGGCGTCAATCGGTTTGAGTGCCGCACCTGCCCCTACCAGTATATCATGGACAAGAAATACTACGAGAAGGTACCCATGAAAGGGAAGGAGGTTGAAGATGTCTTTGGGGGCAGCAAGGAATTCGAGAATGCAGATACTGTGGCCAGTGAGTTCAGCTGTTTCTTTTTTTTTCCCCTTTATAATGGCTCACGATATTTTCTCGTTTTACAGCTCAATGTCCTGCCGAAAACTGCGGTGGAGACCGCGCGTACTTTTTCCAACTACAGATTCGGAGTGCAGACGAGCCTATGACTACGTTTCTCAAGGTGTGTTTCTTTTCCATTACGGTTGGATTATAGCAGGAGACTGATTGAACCGACAGTGTACCAAGTGCGGGGCTCGGTGGAGAGAAAATTGAGTATTCTCTATCTGTCGATGTTGGTTTACATTGCATTTGCATTTGCATTTTCGGTCTCCCTGCTTCGGGAGTGTAGATATGCATGTTGGAGTTATCTTGTCTGGACTGTGTCCTGCATAGGCGTGTTGGGCTGTTGAAGATTAGGTAGCTATCCTTGAAGATACCCCACTACTGCTAGTTAAGATTTGAGCGTCAAACAAAGAAAAGTGATTATTTTTACCGGACAACGCCACACTGTACCCTGTCGTCAGTCCGCCAAGTATTTTTCTGTGATATCCTGGATGTGCTATCTGAATTTCCTTTTTTTTTCCCGGCATCTGAATGGCGACTATCGAATACGGTGTAGTTTCTAGGTGCCAGGTTGTCTGATGTGCTTACGATCTGCGGCCGGCTGCTGTGGCAATAAGAGAATCCACGGAGCAGGCAAAGAAGCACGAAAATCCTTTGGAATGGGGCGTTTCAGACAGCCGAATGATTAATATTTGCCGCCTGGTTGATACCAAGAGATTCCTGGTGGACCTTGCAAAGTGTGCCATCGCCCTTCGCCGCCAAATAGGGGCAGCCGTGCACCGCGGGGTTGCGATGCAAACTGGGCAAACACATGCTGATATGCAGCCGACGGTGGCAGGACATCTTTGCGTTGCTGCCCAGCTTGAGTCATCGGGCCCGACGGCGATGATTGGCATAGGTATCTGGATAAAGAAGAAAAAATTTTCAAGTGGGTACGGCCAGCGTGTCGCATCTGGAGGAAATTCAGTAAAAATTTTTATTCCTCTGCTGCACCGTAGGAAGAGCGATAAATAAAGGACAAAAATATGGACAAAATAAAAATTCTGCGTTTGGCCCCGCCCAACACAGTGGGGCGACCGGGCGCGTACGGCCAATGGTGTTCCCGCGCCACAGAAGGGCTTTAACCTGGCTGCTTAGTCGCGCGCTCGCTTGCCCCTCCATAAAAGGCCTCCCCCTCCTCCCCTCCCACAAATTTTTTTCTTCCCTTCCCTCTCTTGTCCGCCTCAGTATGTATAACTACCCTCCCCTCCATCCACTCTTTCATCTCTGATCCATCTCTCTAACTTTCTCTGGCTCAGCACCTCTACGCGTTCGGCCGTAGTATCTGAGCATTCTCTAGAATCCTTCTAGTATCTTACAAAGAACTACAAGAATTCACACCACCTAACCGCCAAAATGGGGTATGTTGATACATTCATCGAGTCTTCCCATCGCCTCTCTGCCAAAGGACAGGCCTTCCAATAGCAATGCTAACTGTATGCACTACAGTAAGGAAGACAAGACTCACATCAACATCGTCGTTATCGGCCACGTCGATTCCGGCAAGTCGACCACCACTGGTAAGGCGACCCCGTCCCCTGACTAGGAGTCTTCCACGACACAATGCTTACATACTTGGACAGGTCACTTGATCTACAAGTGCGGTGGTATCGACTCTCGTACCATCGAGAAGTTCGAGAAGGTATGGACACTAACACAGCCTTGACACTGGAAGTGATGCTAACGACTACACAGGAAGCCGCTGAGATGGGCAAGGGTTCCTTCAAGTACGCCTGGGTTCTTGACAAGCTCAAGGCTGAGCGTGAGCGTGGTATCACCATCGATATCGCTCTCTGGAAGTTCCAGACCTCTAAGTACGAGGTTACCGTCATTGGTATGTTCTCATCAACACTTCTAACTAGCACATGGTCTAACTGTTCTCAGATGCCCCTGGTCACCGTGACTTCATCAAGAACATGATCACTGGTACCTCCCAGGCTGACTGCGCCATTCTCATCATTGCCTCCGGTACTGGTGAATTCGAGGCTGGTATCTCCAAGGATGGCCAGACCCGTGAGCACGCTCTGCTTGCCTTCACCCTCGGTGTCAGGCAGCTCATCGTCGCCCTTAACAAGATGGACACTTGCAAGTGGTCCGAGGATCGTTACAACGAAATTGTTAAGGAAACCTCCAACTTCATCAAGAAGGTCGGCTACAACCCCAAGTCCGTTCCCTTCGTCCCCGTTTCCGGTTTCAACGGTGACAACATGATCGAGCCCTCCACCAACTGCCCCTGGTACAAGGGTTGGGAGAAGGAGACCAAGGCCGGCAAGACCACTGGTAAGACCCTCCTCGAGGCCATCGACGCCATTGAGCCTCCCGTCCGTCCTGTCAACAAGCCCCTCCGTCTTCCCCTCCAGGATGTCTACAAGATCTCCGGTATCGGAACTGTGCCTGTCGGCCGTATCGAGACTGGTGTCCTCACCCCTGGCATGGTTGTCACCTTCGCTCCTGCCAACGTCACCACTGAAGTCAAGTCCGTTGAGATGCACCACCAGCAGCTCAAGGAGGGTGTCCCCGGTGACAACGTCGGCTTCAACGTCAAGAACGTTTCCGTCAAGGATATCCGCCGTGGCAACGTCTGCGGTGACTCCAAGAACGACCCCCCTGCTGGCGCTGACAGCTTCACTGCTCAGGTCATCGTCCTGAACCACCCTGGCCAGGTTGGCGCTGGTTACGCCCCTGTCCTTGACTGCCACACTGCCCACATTGCTTGCAAGTTTGCCGAGCTCGTTGAGAAGATTGACCGCCGTACCGGAAAGTCTGTCGAGAGCAACCCCAAGTTCATCAAGTCCGGTGACGCTGCCATCGTCAAGATGATTCCCTCCAAGCCCATGTGCGTTGAGACCTTCACTGAGTACCCTCCTCTCGGTCGTTTCGCCGTCCGTGACATGCGCCAGACCGTTGCTGTCGGTGTTATCAAGGGTGTTGAGAAGAACAAGGGTGGTGCCGGCAAGGTCACCAAGGCCGCCCAGAAGGCCGGCAAGAAATAAATGCCATAATTGTTGTGGTTTTGAAGTTGAGCATGATTAATTATGAAAACATAACATGCTACGACCTAGAGTAGAAATTTTCAATGAAAAATGGCTTATGACGTTCTACTTCTGTCTCCCGTAGTTTGTGAATTTGAATTGTAGGAGTAAATGAATCATTGTGCGTGCAAGAGTTCAGACGCCCTATCAGCACACTGTATGCCTCGGGAGTTGGATGATTCGAGTTGATTACCACGTGACTTCATTGGTTTACCCGTCATCACCGTTTTAAAACAATGTTCCTAGCTTCATTTGCAATGTTTCCTTTTAAGTTTTCCATCGAGCTATGGGTTCCGGCAACTGGCCAGCTGCTGCGAGTACTCTCCATTTCCAAAGCATTCACTGGCGGGCAATTTGTTATCGAGCTGGAATAGATTCCAAACCCCAGATTTGCGATGCAGGGGTTTGCTACAGCCGCCAACGGCCGGCTCTGTGTACTAGGGCTCACAATGGTAGAATCGAAGAATCGTCACCCAATGCTTCATAGTTACCGTCTTGAAAGGCGAGATAATCTCATGGCTCTCCGGTTTGCATGAATTTCTATTCATAGCACGGGCAGCAGCACGAGGACCATACGGCGTTATTGTCCAGCAGTGAAGTATGCATGGGATATATGCCTGGTTATTGATCACTCATTCGGTGCATTGAGATACGCACCTGAAACTGATGTACAATTCCATGGATGCCACAAGGCTCAAGTCATGCCCCGATTTCCGATCAATTCCAGCGCGTAGTTGGACGTGCTAGCCGAGGAATTTGCTATCGCTTTAGCGGCTACAGTCATCAAGCACTTGCTAGAAACCCACGGCCGCGAGAAGCTCACGGTGAAACTTGTGTTGTGGTGGCTCCACATGCTGACACCGAAAGCGTCCGCATCGCAACGGGACGGAGCCTAAGGGAGGCCCGGAGGGTTCCATCTTTACTGACAGGCCTCGCACGGATCCTTGACACCACCTCTAGGGAGCCCACCAAGATCACGGGAAGATTCTCCCACAACACAACCTCAGCATAGTACCGTGAGCTGTTGCACATCCCCTATGCAGTCCAGGTGCGGGCGGTTTCTTTCCTCTTCCTCGGCCTCTCTCGGTTTCTGAAGCTCTTCTGCTCGTTCTATTTGCTCCCTGTAGTGGTCATTCAACCAGCCCTCGATAACGCTTCCATTTTTAATGGACACCTCCCAAGTCGTTATGTATTCGTCGAAACACTTAAAGTATTCTCTTCGGCTTGCGTTAGACCACTACCGCTTGGGATATGGGTATGTCCGCACGTGCCCCAAGTCAATGAAGAACGAACCGCGATAATTTTCCGGTTTCACACCTTTTGCATGCAGCCGGGCTCTGCGTGCATCGTCCCCATCTTGTGTCAGATCTCGAGCACATCAGTGATGGCTACAGGGCCAGGAAGGTAGTGTTTTGATTATGGCCCAGCGGGAGCACTTGTGTCGATGGATAGGATGATACTGCTCAACGGAGTGAGCCACCCGTGACATCTCACAGCTCACGGTGTTGAGACGCGCGAAGGGCGTGTGCTTCTTGGGAGACGAGGTACGTATAATGCTTATGGCGTTCGTAGGACCAGGACCATCTTTGAACTGTTAATCTCAATCATCAGTTGAGAAGCCCATCAATCCTCAGGCTCTCGTGTATATGGATGGAGTACCTACGATTTCCTCACTCAAACGCGGAGGATCGCCTCATAGCTTCATAGCATATTCATTTCCACAACTTCTATCAAAAAGATCAGCGCTTCAGGGCCCCTTCTGATGGGCTTCACAGACCTGATTGGCTTGTTGTAGTTGATGAAGCGACGCAGCTGGAGCTTCGATCACGACTAACGCGCTGGATCCCCCAATGGTTGAGAACCAGGCACGATCATGTTGTCGTCCGTTTTTTGATATACCATGCAAGACAGCGACCGAGTGTGAGGTTTGTTCTGCCTCATTGGGTCATGACAGTTTCGTTAGTCACATGCAAGACCATCCGAGTCAGTGAGGTCTACATTCACCCCCTCTACTCTATCCTAATCCCTCTCGATCATCTATTTCCTGTCCTATCTCAAATTCTCGTTTCAAAGACAATGTCTTTTTCGCTATTCGCAGATCGTATCCGCCAAACTGTACAAAGTCTGCAACGCGCGAATGTCATACGCATGGGCACTTACCTGCCGTACTCTAGACTCCTCAGCAGGATTTCCCAACAGGAAGAAATCGTCCTCTGACGGTACGAGGGTCTTGTTAGGTGCGGTCGCCTACCCCCTCATGCTACAAGCTGGTCCGGGTATTACTCTTTTACAAGTTCCTGCAGGGTATCTAAGGAGACTAATTAATAAAATAGCAAAAGTGCTCGTTTTTTCAAAACTTCGAAGGACCTCTCATTGACGTAAACCATGTTCAAATTGATGAGATAAAGACTCATCAACCTTCAAAGAGGGGTTCTTGCTGCCACAGGACATTAGAAAGCTGAGCTTCGAGCCAGCGACAGCACACAACTACAAGAATTCCTTTCGCTAAGTGGTGGATGAAAGATTCCACCGGAGTTAAAAGAAGTCGTGACCGCATCTTCGCGATAGACTTCCACCTTACGAGACATCTGCCATTGTTTGTGATTTTCCTGGCAACACGCCTTCCTTACGTTCCGTCTCCCTGTCTATTCTGTCTGATCGCATCATGGCAAGTTCCACAAAATACCAAGAAAGAAACCACACTAGAATCGTGGGAATAGGTGGTTTCTTTTAAAGTTGTGTTATCGCTATAATACTTCACGAGTGCAAAACCTATTTTGTGCCGAAGGAAAATACAGCAACGCTGGTTATGGATTGAGCTCACACAAGGAATATAATCCTTGTCTATCACCCCTGGGAATTTAAAAAAAAAAAAAAAAAAAAAAAAAAAACCGGCAATCCAAAAATTACCGCTATTCCCTATTCCCAACCTATAATTTTGCTCTCTCCTGCGGTTGTAGCTCTCTCCTAGCCGGTCCATCTTGACTTCCGTCACCTAGGAATGCATCCTTCCTCTTCTCATGATCTTTCTGGGATCGCCACTTCTGCGCCAGATTCCGCGGGAGGTCATTTTTGAGGGCGAGCGACATATATTTGCCTAATACAGGCAGGAACTTGAATGCGCTATAACATCTGCATCAGCAGTGGTTTCTTCCGCATTCACTGTTTTTATTTTGTTTTTGGATGATGGCATTTTACTGTCCACTGCCTCCTCCGATAAACAAATTCTTATAGTCTGGATGAAAGTCCATGATAAATCCGTCGGGGTATCCATATACCAGCACATGGCCACCTTTTCAAAAGGACGATTTGCCAATTCCGGCAGGACCTCATGCAGGCCGTCTCTCAGTCCGCCTTCTGCATCGGCCGGCGCAAATTGGGACGCTCCCGACGAGGAAGCACAGGAGGCGAGGGACCATTGGTATACTTGATGATGGAACGTTCCGTCTCGCTGGGAGTACGGGTGTAACCCATCCGTGGATTGCTATCTTCAGCATCTCTGTGTCCTCATGAGGCGGGAAGTTAAACCACCCCGTCATGCAATTCATGTATATCGGCAGGCCCTTGTACTTCTCTATCTCCGACTCGGTGAGGCGGATGCATTCCAGCACCTGTGAAGTGGACAGGGTGGAATTGTACACAGGGACCAACCCTGATCCTCAACTATCAGATCTACCAGAACCCAGGGAAGCCCCAGATTGCCCTCTGAGTGCTCCCTTACTACCACCTCTTCCCTCCGGATGCAATGAAAGCTATCACCCGGACTTCCTCAATCCAGAAGAGACGATTGAAGACTTCAGCATCAATGCCTACTATATCGGGCTGATCTCAGTCTGGGGAAAGATCGCCTTTTATCTGCATGAGATACAATCCGGGAAAGTCGAGATACCCTGAACATCGGATTCAACGCACGCAAGGCTCAATGTGAAGATACACGAATGCCACGCTCATCTCCCCCAGAATCATCTCCTCCGAAACGTCTTCTTCTCGAAGCGATCGCCTGCCGAAATCCTCGAGCAGAGGGAGTACTGGAATCCCTGGATCTCGATGCAGGCCCTTTCCCATGCATCTATGGCGATTCTCAATCATCCGTTTATTCGCCTGGTTGTTCTGAGTGGTTATAATCGTGTCCTTCCGCAATCGCGTTTGTTTCTCCAGCAAACTGTCGAACAAGCATTGTTTCGCTCCGGATGGGTATTCCATCGCATACAGACCTGTGAAGATCTTGGGTTTGAAATCAAGGACCCTTTGATCGGGCACTTAGTTGCTGCCACGGCTACCATATCGTGGATCTTCAGTTTGCAAAGGACGACAGAGCTTCCAGAAGAGCGAAGGAAGATCTGCGCAAATTTGGGAGGCTATTGAGCCGTATGCCAAATACATGGCTTCATATCTCGCAAAATGTATATATATAACAGCTTTGGATGGTTGATTACTGCATTTCATACCTGACCCTCTTCATGCTATCAGCTCAACGTCATCAGAACCCTCCAATCATCCATGGATGACAAAATCCAAGAAACAGCCAACAAAGCTACAACAGCTACAGCAGCAGCCGTCAGGCTTTCATATGGCCAGCACGGCTGATGCGCTTTTTCCGGGTCCAGAGGGCCTGGAGCAGTTGTCTATGGATGAGTTTGTTTGCTCACTTTCCTTTGGATGATGATTTTAACTGCTTACCTGTCTATGGTAGATGGCATATCTTGAAGAGAAATGTACTGAGTTTCTTCGGGGATGAGCAGTAAACAGAGAGCTTCCCGTGTTCTCAACCCGTGGCAGTCCGGTACGTGCACATTGCAATAATAACCATAAAACAGGGCTTCCGGCTAATGGACAACTATCTACAGGCATATACACTTGTCCAACCAGACTGCGCAATATCCAGGAGATCTCAAACACGACCCAATCAAAGAAATCAAACTTATATAACTATACATTATCTCTATTTCGCACTCCGGTCCCCCTTCACCCACTCTCGAAGAACATTCTTCTTGAGCTTCCCCGTGCTAGTCTTGGGGAGTTCGTCCACAATCTCAACCTCCCGAGGGACCATGAACTTGCTGATCCCGCTCACATGCTTGGCCCATTCGATTACATCTTTGCCCTCGAGTTTCTTTCCATATTTCACCGTGATGAAGGCCTTGGGGCGTTCGCCCCAGTGGGAGTCCGCGACGGCGACAACACCGGCTTCCAGGATATCAGGGTGCTCGGCTAGCATGGATTCCAGGGCGACGGAGGAGATGTTTTCGCCGCCTGAGTTTAGAGTCAGTGATTGTGCCTCGTCTGAGCCAGGATAGATTTTGGTATGCATGTAAAATCTACATACCACTGATAATAATATCCTTGGATCGATCCAATATCTGAATCGCCCCGTCGGGGTGCCAAACGGCCAAATCACCCGAGTGAAGCACTCCTCCCGCAAAGAGCTTGCGAGTAGCCTCGACATCTTTATAGTACCCCTTCGAACAGATATTACCCGTGAAAGCAATCTCACCGATCTCCTTCCCGTCCTGTTTAACATCCACGATAACACCCTCAGGGACATCAGTCTTGATCACCCGCGCAGGAAGACTGGTGATGAACCCGTGTCCCTGCCGGGCCATCCTCCGATACTTCTCATGTGGAGACAGCGTGTCCCATTCGGCAAGATAGTAGCCCTTGGTGATGGGTCCGTAGGTTTCCGTTAGCCCGTAGGCGTGCACGGGGTGTAAGTTGAGGTTCGTCATTTGCTCAAAGAGATGGGGAGTCGGCGGGCTGGCTGCGACCGTGACTCGAACTGGTTCGGGGAGTTTCTCGGCCTCTGCCGCGTTGCAGAGGAGCGTGTTGACTGTTGGTGCGGCGTTGAAGTGGGTTATGTGTTCTTGTTTCAGCAATCGCCAGATCTCGGGGTAGTCGATCTTGCGGAGGCAGTAATGCGTTCCTCGGACGGCTGTGACGGACCAGGGGAATGTCCAGCCTGGAAATTGTCAGTTGTATCTATTTCATAAATGATAATAGAGAGTATATACCAATTGCATGAAACATAGGCAGCGTCCACAGATACCGACAACGCTTATGTTGAAAATTAAGCCCTGACTCAATGATATTCGCCAACGCGGCAAGATAGCAACCACGATAGGTATATTCGACGCCCTTTGGCCGTGCAGTTGTCCCACTCGTATACGGGAGAGCAATTATTGCATTCTCGTCAGCAGGATGGACGTTGAGTCCATCCCACCCCTTCCCACCGGTCACCGTGTCATACGTCAACCCCTCGAGCACGGCATCGTCAAACGGACCCGACAATTCCCCTTGGACAGCATCCGTGTCCGTGTCGACGATTATAGGGATATGCGGTTTGTCCAGTCTGAAGGCGTCGAGGAGGTTCAGGAACTCTTCGTCGGCGATGATGACGTCCACTTCGGCGTGGGTGAAGATATAGGCGACGTCTTCTGGCTTCAGGCGATAGTTGACGGCTTTAAATTACCAGTCAGTCAGGCTTGGCTTAAGTCTTATGCAAACGGGGCTGGGTTTCTTACGGACAATAATCCCCCCAGCGGCAGGGACAGCGAAGATGGTCTCCAGGAATGCAGGCGTGTTCGGACTCAGGATCCCGACTCTCTTTAACCCGTGTTTCTTGAGGTAATATGCGAGGCCCCGGGCACGGTCTGCGGTCTCGATGTATGTTCTCCGAAGGACTTTCTTGTTTGCCGTTATATGGTAGATGGCGGGTGCCTTTTACCAGATGTTCGTTAGGGTTAGTTCGACTCACATCGAAGGCAAAAACATGCAATGTAACAAGCAATAACTCACATCAGGCTCGATACTAGCCGCACGCTGCAGGAAAAACGTAGGCGACACATTGTGTCTATTGAAATTATGAATAAGCTGGCCCGAGGCATCTGTACTTTCAGCGTGAGGCCCCGGGCGAAGATGGCCGAGCAAGGCCGACAAACGGGTCTTTGTAGAGGACATGAATGATACGATATGATATCGGACTTTCTATAGGATGAAAGAAAAAGAAGGAAAAGAAGGAACAAACTCTACTGATATCATACTACTACGCAGGTACAAAAGACCGAGGTCTTCTGCATCCCCTTATATACTGCCATGCGGTTCTGGCGAAACCGCGGAGAACAACGCGGGGGAAACATGCTTTATTAACGCTACTGGCCAATTGCCTCGATGTTAATGTTTAACCTTGGGCCGAAGTTCCAGCAGGGAAACTTCAGGCGTGGAGAAGAACGGACCGAGCTCTCTTTGGCGACGGAGATCGGACCGGGCGCACATTGCTGAAACTCATCATCCTATGCAGACAGTAAGGATCATTCTTGATACGCTGTTGATAATAATAGTAATCCTGCATGCCTTACAGTCGTTGATCTACATGAAGCGGATAGTCCCATTAGACCGAATCGATGCGCTGTTGTGTTCATTCTTTTTTTGGTTTGAATTGCTGCGTCGGACTCGAATGCGCAGACATCTCTAAGGGTTTTTTGTGGAAGAAAAAAAAGACAAAAAGGCCACAATGAAAACAGTTGGTGATGAAAATCATAAATCCTTCCTGAATTGCGAACATGAATTTCTTTGAATTAACCCGCCACGGCGCGAGAGAACGGCCAGCTACTTTTGAACCCTTTCATTCCAAATGACTCCGTAATTTTCTTTTTTTCAAGAACACAAGTCTTCCCAGCCCTCCTATACCCGTTACCACATGACCGTGTTGTCCGCAATATCAGGGGACAGGAAATTGTGAAAATCAAAGGTTGGCCTCGGCTTGCCGTTCAGTGCGCTGAAAATTGAAAATCCGTCCGCGATCCCAGTCCTAGTCCCTTCATTGACACAAGCAACCAACCGCATTAACAGGTATCTAATATCCGTATTGAGCCAGCTGGGTCTTGGTCTCGGAAGCAACGCCCGCCGTCTTCTGGGCCTGGGCAAGCTGGCGTCGGGCAGCCTTCTTGCGCTCGTAGTATGCAGCACTCTTAACCTTTCTCCGCTCCTCAAGTCTGTGTTGTCTCTGTTAGCCATAGCTACCCTCTCTCATATAGAGTCCGGTCTGTAGTATCGGAATAGAACCCACCTGGCAACAACGTCCTGGTATTTCCAGCCGACCTCGTGGCTGAGTCTACCGACAGTGCAGTACTTGCGGCCGGGACGGAGTCTGAGAATACGCAGGGCCTGGGGGACAACCACACGCTTCTTCTTGTCGTACGGGGGAGGAACACCCTCGAAAACCTTCAGCCTTTCCATCGCAGCAGCACCACGGGCGGTCTTGTGGGGGATCATTCCGCGGACGGCCTTGTAGAAAATGCGAGAGGGAGCACGGAAGTGGAAGGGACCTGAAATAGTCAGTTTCAACCACCGGGCTAGACAATCAATTTGTCTCATGTAGTCTCACCTCCGCGAGTGGGGTTGAAACGAGTCATCTTGCGAAGGTAAGCATGGTACTTCACTGTATCACCGAAATGTCGAATTAGCCCATCTGCATGTATATCAAATATCGCGACCCGTATCCTTTGCCATCATGTATATATATATCTCCCTCCACCCTCCATTCTTCCACCTCCAAATATACTGGAATAGGCGCCAGATCAAACCAGGGTGATAACGTACACTTCGCGCGGAAGAACTCGCCGGAGATGTTAAGGGCTTCGCATCTCACGACGACTATCCGCTGGCCACTGAGCAACTGCTTGGCGACAACGCTGGCGAGGCGACCAAGAAGGTGTCCCTTGCCGTCAATGACGACCTATGAAGGAAACGGACAATTAGTCCACCAATGCATAAATACAGGGGTCTGACACTCGGGGAGCACGTACAACTGAATCGAAGGTGGACATCCTGCTCTGGCACCGGGGGTTAGAATGGAGAAATATCCAGCGGAAAAGGGCGAGCGCTGCTCTAGGATATGTTGTCGGCGGTTGTTGTCGTTGAGAATCAGGTCGGTTCAACGCACACACAACCAACTCAAGGATGCGTTTCGGCTGGGAGGAGCCTGCCTAAGCGAGCCGCGCCGCTAATTTGTGTCGTCGAGGGCCACAGCCCTAATACCGCCAATCATATTTTACAGGTCACGTGTGTTGAAGCAACGTCACTGGAACCTCAACTTCGTCGAGTTCAACGATCGTAACCATCGTCTACAGCATCCTGCTCGACGCATCTGCTCCTCGTACAGCATGTCGGATGGGAACTCTGCATGCTGACGTGGCTGGTGGTGCACTGCATATCTCTATGCAAGGCAGCTTTGACAACACGATGATTGAACGGGTCTCTCGGGATGACAGCACTTGCCTGAATTTTTCCAGAAAGGACTGATCAACAAGGGTTTCACTAGCCATTCGTGCTTCAATCCTCCTTCCTGTAGACATTTAATCACTCGGGAAGTCGAGCAGAGGTCCAGACTGCTGACTAAGTTGGCTTTATCCCCGCGGTCCGCTTGTCGTGCCTTTTAAAGGCATCCAAGATTAAGGGGCTTTCTGGACCGTCTAACCATCTCAATTTTAGACGGACCTTATCGAGGATTGAAAATGCAGCGAAAGACACGCTTCGTCTGTGTTTCGGACACCCATGCCCACAGCCCGGCTGATGGCTGCTTTAAGCTACCCGCAGGGGACGTTCTGATCCATGCAGGAGACTTGACTAAACAAGGATCTCTGTCTGAGCTTCGAAGAACAATGGACTGGATATGCAAGGCTGATTTTGAAGTGGTAATCGTGATTGCGGGTTAGTCATCTGGGTTTCCTTAACAGCCTTGCCTGATCAAAGTACTCCACAGTGCATGAATGAAACCGGGTTGATCGTTTCTGTCGTCAGGCCTGTCAAGCATGTCATTACTGAAATGATGAACTTCTCTGCTCTTTTTCTACCAGGAAATCATGATATTACTTTAGACGCAGACTTCTACGCCAAGCACGGCTCCAGCTTCCACTGGCAAAACACCCAGGACCCCAATGAATGTATTCAAGTGGTCACACGGTCTTCTCCGTCTGTTGTGTTCTTACAGCATCAGACGGCAATTGTCCGATTGACAAGAGCAACTGGTCCCAGAACAATCTTCAAGATCTTCGGATCACCCTTTTCCCAATTCAAGGGAAACTGGGCCTTTGGGTACGACTCCGCTGATGCCCGTGCCCTTTGGAGCCAAATTCCGCACGATGCGGATATTGTCGTGACGCATACACCGCCATATTCTCATTGTGATAGAAATGCCGATGGCCATCCGGTAGGGTGTAAGGTACTGCGCATGGCCCTGGGCAACGTCAAGCCACTGCTAGCTGTTTGTGGCCATATCCATGAGTCGCGAGGCTACGAGAGAATCCGGTGGGGTTCGTCATCCCCTGGAAATGGAAACCAGCATCCACTAGAACTCCAAACCACTCCCGGAACTCTCCCTCCCATGGGAAGTAAAAAGCAAAACCTCATCGACCTGACAGGGAAAAAAGGTGAAGGACTGGACAACGACGGGTTTGCCATCCGCAATGTCCCAGGTGTTCTGTTCTCTTTAGAGTCGCCATCTCAGAGCATTCTGATCCTTCCATCTGCAAGCTCTCAATCTTCTGCATCCCCGGATGACAAAGATGAAGTACAGAGTCGACAGAATGGCTGTATAAATAACCCCATGCAGCAAGAAATCCAGTCCCGCAGACGAGAAACTTGTCTCGTCAACGCAGCAATCATGGCAACCAGCTGGCCATTTAAAGGTGGGAAGAGATTCAATGCACCAATTGTTGTCGACCTAAACCTTCCGGTCTGGGGGGAAGTCAATGGGGGGTGACTTTCAAGGTAATCCTGCTGAGTAGTAAAAATAATGCATTATTCTTTTTTTAATTCGGGCTGGTGTCCTACCTGGATTATTCAGAATTCTAGTCATAACACCCGTTCCTTTTTAACGAGACTTGGCAGCGATATCGAGGTCGCAATAAGTTAGAGTACTTGGAGCAAACGACTTCATTTGATATGACGTTGATATCAGTATCAATGCGATATTAAGCTTTAGGGCTAGGGCTCAGGGCTAGACTTTAGATGATAAATATAGACACTCCACACATTATCAACTACGGAGTAAACCAGCACCTGAATTGATTTAATCTTACCAAATAATATGCACGACTATATTTTATTTCATCCATTTACATATCTTCAGGGTAAGGATATAATTTTGGTAACAGGCAATGCCAGGGGGGAATATACGGGCATGATGGCTAGTAGATACACCATCACAACATAGAACCAAAGAGCCAACCTCTAAACAGATAGATAGATACTATCAAGATCAAAGCGTAATGAATCAAGCGCAGTAAAGGGTATAAAACGACGGAAAACCTCATCCACTTGTACATCTCATCAGTCAGTCAGTCAGTTCCTCGCCTCTACATCAGACATGAAGCTGCTCCTCGTCTCCCTGCATCTGCTGCAACTCCGTCGCTTCCTGTCAGTCCGACGGAAGAAGACACGCTTAGCCCATTTCCAGGCTTCAATCCCGAGGAAGAACAGAACGGTCTCAACGAAGACAATCCCCCATTCCCATGAAATGCCGCTATGCTTGAACACTGAGTGGTTGATGACGGGGATATAGAGGATTGGGAAGATAGTGACAAAGCCAGCCACGACAGCCCAGAAGAGGAATTTGTTGTGCCATACGTCGTATATCCATTGGGTGAGATACTTGGAAGTGCATGGGCGCAAGCGGAAGAATGAGCGGCGCAGATTGATCATCTCCCAGGCCAGGAAGAGGGCGAACCAGGTCAGGCAGACAAATGTCGTGGCGCGGGCACGGAAGACTAGATCGCACTCGGGGGAGTAGCCACGGTTACAACCACGAGCTAGGTTGCCGTCGCCAAATCCCCAGACCATCAAGGAGAAGGAGGTAAGGCATAGAGCTGCGTTCCAGAGGCCGTATACGAGGATGTCGATCGTCACCTCCCATGTAAAGATACCTTGTTTGCTTTGCGGTGGACGGTCCATGATGTCTGGGGCTGCGACTTCCATGCCCAGTCCCATTTCGGGAAAGCTGGACGTGATCATGATAATCCACATAATCTCTACAGGTGCCAGTGGGAATACCGATTGACCTTCTTCATCCTTGAATGCAAGGCCGATGAGCAAAGTACATGCCTGGGCAATGTTCTCGGAGAGCAAATGAAGTACAAATTTCTGAATGTTATCAAAGATTCGGCGGCCTTCTTCGATCGCATTGAGAATGGATGCGAAATTGTCATCGGTTAGGACTATGTCTGAGGCATCCTTGGCTACATCAGATCCAGTCTGCCCCATGGCAATGCCTACATCTGCATGCTTTAGGGACGGGGAGTCATTGACTCCATCACCTGTCATGGCAACAAAGCAACCACGCCGGTGAAGGGCATCAATCATGCGCACTTTTGTCTGAGGAGCACAGCGCGCAACAACCAGGGGAAGCGTGGGAAGGGAATCAATCTCCTCTTCCGAGAGATTGTCAAACTGGCTGGCAGTCATAACCATAGCATTTGCAACATCAGCAGCTACTTTGCTGAAGTCAGCCGGTACGATGCCGATCTGCTGCGCGATGGCTTTGGCAGTTCCAGGGTGGTCTCCGGTAACCATGTGCACAACGATACCGGCCTTGCAGCAGGATCCAATTGCCCCTGCAGTCTCTGGTCGAGGTGGATCGTACAAACCAATCAGTCCCAGGAAGCAAAGATCCTTTTCAATCTCGTCCCGGTTGAGGTCCGAGTCTTCGAGAAACACGGTGTTTGTGGTATACAGTTTGTGTGCTAGTGCTAACACCCGAAGTCCCTGTTTGGCAAGTTCCTCCATGTTCTCAAGGATCAAATTGCGATATTCCTCAGTTATTGCCACGGGCGTTGTTGAATCCCGGTCCCAGACGACAGTCGTGCACGCATCAAGAATACGCTCGACAGCACCTTTCGTGAACACCATGGATCGCTCCTCTTGACCCGTCCTCTTAGTAAAAATGACAGACATCTTCTTGACAGTCGAGTCGAAAGGGAACTCGGCTCTTTGGTGCCACACTGCTCTCTCACCCTTAGTCCACCGACCATAGTTCCAATTGAACCTCGAAGCGAATACTTGGATTGCAATCTCAGTCGGCTCTCCCCGAGCGTGCCATTCTCCCTGGTCAGACTTGTAGACGCGAGCCAGGTTAGCCATAGCTGCAACGTCGAGAAAGTCTTCCAACGAGCGGTTATCATTGACCAATTCTTCAGCGTTGGAGACAGCTTCCCTGTCTTTTTCCTCATTGAACTGCAAGGGAGAGACGGGGCAGAAACTGACGTCGCCAACAGTCGGGTTGAATGGCTCATTTGTTGTTCCCACGGAATAGGTGCCACGAGAAGGAATCCAAGCTTTCTTTACCACCATCTTGCCCTGCGTCAATGTCCCGGTCTTATCAGAACAGATGTCCGTGACGGCTCCCAAAGCCTCTAAGGAGTCCAGCTTGCGTACGATGACGTTCCGTTCTACCATACGCTTGGTCCCCACAGCCATCGTGATAGTGAGAACAACTACCAAGCAGGCAGGAATCATACTCAACCCTGTGCCCACGGCATACAGAATAACCTCATTGTTATCGCTCCAGCTATTGGCACTCATCACGATGATGGCAAAGATAACCGCCACGCCAAAAAGTAGGACGGCCAGTCTTGACAACTTTCTCTGTAACGGAGTCCCAACGTTGACGCCAAGAAAGCGGCCAACAGCGTCATACCCGGTTAAGGTCCAGGCCTGGAGATAAGACCTCTTTCTGGCCTTGCCATCTAGACCACGTTTTACGGGGCGGCGCTTGCTGTCGTTGGCGCGGAGTGCCGCAGCGATAGACCCGATCTCAGTGGCCATTCCAGTTGCAATAGCAACGCCGCGTGCGCGACCTCGAGTAACAGTGCTAGAGCTGAAGGCTATATTCAAGCGGTCTCCAGGGCCGGTGTCCGCTTTGAAGGTAGCATCGCAGTCCTTCTGGACTGGCAGAGATTCACCCGTTAATAAAGCTTCGTCAGTCTCGAAATTAACAGCTTCAACTAGTCTAGAGGCAGTTAGCCAATTGATTACATTACAAATGTCCTACTTTCTTGTCCCTACCTGAGATCTGCGGGCACCGTGTCACCGGTTTTTAGTTCAACCATATCGCCTGGAACAATATTCACTGATGGAATCGAATGGGTCATCCCATTTCGGGAGACAACACCTGTAGGCGAACTCAGCGAATGCAGGGACTCCATCGTCTTCTCTGCCGCATATTCCTGGAAGAATCCAACAACGATATTGATAGCGATCACGGCAGATATCACGCCCCCTTCAATCCAGGACTGTACGCCAAAGCTAACGGCCATAGCCATAATCAGGATCTATATACGAGAAAAGGGAACGTGTTAGTCCTATCCACTTTTGGAAAAGTCATCAACAATTACTCACAAGCATCATCGCATTCGCCACCTGGCGGACGAGTATATTAACAACAGATACACCCTCGCCTTCATCCAACTTGTTAGGTCCATACTGCTGAAGACGGCAGCTCGCTTCTTCGGCCGTGAGTCCCTCGTTGATATCGGTGTTGAGCTCCTTAAGCACGATCTCGTAAGGTAGGGCATGGGCGGGCTGTGATAGCGGTCCTATACCGGAATCCAGGGATTCAGAGTGCTTCTTACCCATCGTTCGGAACGGCTAAGTGGTGAAGCTCTTTGATATATTTTCTTGGTGAGCAACCTTGGAATTTAAAGGAAAAGTCGGTCTATTCTTTCACAATTGACATGGACCTGGCCAGATTGAAAACCAGAAGAAACCACAAGAATCACCCCGGGAAAGACCAGCTATTTATGAATCCCAATCCAGGCAGACAAGAGCGATCGGCACAGTGGCCAAGACCAGAGCAGACGGAGGGACTCATTGGATTCCCACTCTATCCGCAATAGACCAGTGAAGAAGACTTCCATATGCTGCTATTTGCCAACCATGGCAAGAGAAGAGCTCTTGGCATCTTAGGCCGCGAATAACACGGGCGGGGATACGACGAGATAGACGGAGACGGATGTCATATCTTCATAAAACCAAGGGATATGTCATGCACACGGGCCTATACTCGCCGAAGGTTCGGAGGGTCGTCTATTCCATCTCCATTCCATACCAAGACTCCCATTGCCAAGAAAGATGCCAAGTATTCCTCCGCCGGTGATACCTGGTGAAGGAACGAATCCGGGACAAGTTATCCACCACCGCGGCTCTGGGCGCATGTCTGGGCGCAATCGGCAGCAGCCTCCAGTGATATATACAAATCAGGAGTTGTCCTCGGACAGTACAGGCAGCACAGAGTCATTGCATCACGGGATGTTGGCAACTTTGTCCACCGGTCAACACAGCTCCCCGCCCAATGAGGGTGCATTGGCTCCGCAAACTGTCCACGATTGTCTTGGACAGAGGTGCCCAGACTACCCGAGGTCGGCTAATAAATGGAATGCGGTGGAATTAGATAGGCAATGTTGCAATATGACTGCTCCCTTGATTCTAGGCGGGTGATATCAAGAGTAGATGTAGAAGTCGCGGACTACTCCGTACGCTGTAAACGCGGCGGTAATTCTTGGCGCGGAGGAGGGCAATGCCGTTCACGTGATACCAATGGGTGACTCCAGCGTCCGTACTTCCGCCGATAGTTCTGTCGTTCGCCCCTCTACTCTGTACGTCCATGGATGCTATGTTTAGTTGATGGTTTGCCATTTGTCCAGTCATTTGTTATAGCAACTCCGAATGTCATATTTAACGAGGGTATTTTGGGTAAATTGACCAAGGCGTATTGCTCCCTATATTTATAAATAAAGAACAGTGTGAAAAGGCGGCTTCGGAGAGACGCTTGTCGTTCTTTTCCTTTCTATACTTGTTTCCAGTAATAAATCATAACGAAGTCTCCATAGTCTAGTGGTCAGGACGGCGGTCTCATACTAAGTTATGACCATTCCCATCTAAAGGAATTGGCAATCCGCAAGCACGAGTTCGATTCTCGTTGGAGGCAAGAAGATCTCTTTTTTTTTTGTCTTTCCGCCTTTTTACGGCGACGGCGAAAGTCGCAATTTTGAAGGGCTAAAAGCAAGGTTTAAAAAAGAATCTGACTAGGGCCAGATTCTATCTACCAAAAAGCTTAGAGAAGGAAGAACTCGTGTTGTTCGATGACACGTGTAGATGAAACTCTGGACTGTTAGTACACGTGAGGTTCTGCCGTCCTAGACCGCCCTCGCTACCTATCTCACGGCACAGGCAGGCCTACCTAGTATGTTGGATCACGTGGGATTCTGCCGCATAGGTCCGCCCTCGCTGACCCTTTTCACCACGTAGGCCTATCTAGCTAGTGACCAACCAACAATACACCTCCATTATAGTAATACGACCATACATGCGCCTATCCATTATGGACACGTGGACACACGTGATTCCTGGCGGGCTCTGGTCCGTTACAGCAATCACATACCTACCTATCTTCTCCATTAAATGGACTAAGATTGTTGACATTTAAAAAAAAGAAAAAACTGGACAAGACAGCCCTTTTAATCAGAGTAGGGAACGTTTTCCTGAAGGCAAATTCAGAACGAACGGAAAAAAAATTAGATAAGACTTATTTGCTTGCCTCCAACGAGAATCGAACTCGTGCTTGCGGATTGCCAATTCCTTTAGATGGGAATGGTCATAACTTAGTATGAGACCGCCGTCCTGACCACTAGACTATAGAGACTTCGTTGGTGAGAGGTGTTGTATTTAGTAGAAAAAGCAAATCATAGTATCGTGGCAAACGTTCAAGAAACATCGCCTCTGGTCCTCCGAATTGTATACCGAATTATTCACGGGGGCCGGCTGTAAACAAAAATGAAATATCAGCAAGCGCCCTACATTTGAAACTATGGCCTACGATGCAGCAACCGCCATCGGCCCAGGGCCACGCTGATGGCGACCACGGGTTTTGTTCCTTCAACCCCCCTTGCTCATATCAGCACAATGTTCTCCAGTTTTGGGGAGATCACAGAAATTAACAACCGTACCGATCCTATTACCGGAAGATTTCTTGGGATATGCTCTATTAAATACAATGATAGCCCGTTGTTTCGATGCTGCGGTCCTCTCCTTGCAAGCAGTGCTGCGAGGCGAGCTTATTATGAGTGTAGGAAGGAAGACCGCATTGAAACACGCAGAATCAGGGTCAGCTGTCGAGTAAGATGTGGTCACGCTAAAATACTCGCCAGGATACTAATAGCAGTGCGGGTTAATTTATTATGGTGTGCCTGACATGGAATGATGAAAATACCCATTGGGTATGGCTATGCTGACACGTACTATTATTATTCAGGCTCTTGTATTTCTCCCGGTGTCCCAATCTGCAACCACCTTCATGGGCACGGATGATCAATGGAAGCTGCATCTAAGAACAGGTCGGCCCAAATCACAGATAGGGTTCACCATGTGCAAGTCTGCGGTTAATACCTTCTATGGGTCTCTGGATCCAATGCTGGTCATTAGGACAGGATATGGCATGTTAGGTGCAATGAATAGAAGTCCAGACGACATCAATACACCAGCACACCGCCACGTTGCCCTCCGTCCTAGCACTAGGGGAGAGGACAAATACACACACCTGTTCTACCCCCAGACATTTGAGGCACTTTCTAAGATTTTCCGCTTGGAACATGGATACTGCGTGTTAATTTCTCTGGTTCCCTTGTCTGGTTTCTAACCTGCCTGTCTGTGGAAGAGTCTGCCTTTGACGAACATGAGGCGAAATTTGAGGGGGTATTGGACCTAGCAGAGAGAGTGCTCTGTCACAAAACAGGAAGTAAAACGTTTGGTCCGCTTTTTTATTGATACTTGGTTCCTTCCATCGCTGCATTTCACAGCTACTGGTCCTCGTAATCCAACACTGCCACAGATGCCATATGGCTCCTATCAAACTCTCCAGGGAACGAAGTGGTGTGTGACGCGGTAGATGTCAAGATTGCTGTACTGATCGTGGAATGGGAAGAAGTCGCGACATCTTCCATTTAAGCAGAGTGCCTGTGGAGCAAGACCGTATCAATGTGGCATTGGTAGACTGAGATGCCCCTGAATCCATGTCCGTCGTTTTGATTCAGAAGCCATGGGGTCCATGGCGTCATTAGCAGTGCAAGATGAGGTATGTCAGTTGGACTCCGGCTAACAACTGTTGCGGGCGATGGTGAAGGGATAACTGTAGTCTCTCGGTGTCTCTTCTATGGGAAATTGCCGTGATTGACTCGGGTTTTAGCTGATCCGATCTTCGGGGCTGGGCTTGCTTCGGAATACCATGCTCAATAGACCATTTTCACAGACATATTGGCTATCTTTGGGGAAGGAGAGGTTTTGATGATGAGTGCTAAGCCAGTTGGAAACTGCAAGGTCGGAAACTGGCTGCCAACTGTTCCTAGTCTTCCCTAGCCTCCAGGACCGTCCCCAACAGCGCACGAGTTTCTTTCATACCAGGCCAGAGAAGATTGTCTGTAAGCGTCCTAAGAGCAAATGATAATTATTGTTGTATCTTCTGGGTTTGGAGCAGGCTGTCCTACTGCCTCAATATCGAGCTTTATCTGGCCTAGTAGCCATGGCCAGGGACCATGTCGTGGTTGACATCAAGCGACTTGGCATTGGCGACGCCGTTCTCCAACCAGACTTTCTTCGCGAGGAAGGCAGTAGAGATGAATTGTCGCTCAGAAGTTGCGTGTCAGGACTGAAATTTGCGACCCAATCCGCAATTATTTTGTCGGCAGGATAACGGTTGGGGTTTTCTATGCCGTTTTGGATGCAGGTGTCAATGGAGGTGAGCGATCCAGATGAGTCGGACATATAGTTCTATAAGAGAAAGCCGTGCGAACTATTTCGGCGCATGGGTTTATCACAGGCTCCATGGGTGTATAATCGGCGGGAAGGTCGCTTGACCGCGCCATATGCTTTGGGGTATAGGAGTGGCTACCGAGGAGGGCCATGGCTATTGTCGGAAGCGGTCCAGGACTATTAGCAGGCTCAAGCGAGCCAGTGTTGTCCTATGAACCTTTGGTTTAGGGAATAGAACGGCGTGTTTTGCTGCTGTGGTATGGGACTCGGGTCAGCCTTGCGGTTCATAATGTCCAGTCGTGATGGGACGGATGGATGCAGGTCATAGTCCAGGAGCAGAGGGTAAAGCAAAATAGAGGAGCGTCGAGACAAGGATGTATCCGGACCTACGCGGTCGTGCCCATGGGGAATCATACTCATGTGTCTGGTTGGGCAGTTCGTCGTTATCCAGCTGTGTGTGGTCGGGATTATTGGCAGGGGGTGTAACACGAAATGGAGCGGAAGCTTGTCCAGTCGAATCGCCCGTCATGTTGGGCAGATGGGGGTCTGCCGGCGTTGTGTGTGTTTAAATATGCTGAGGTAGGGCGAAGCCGTCTATGATTTCCATGCGGGCGGTTGCCCAGAATATATAACGAGGCATACCTCTCTACCCTACCTATACTACACCGTCGGAAGTTGACCGCGGAGGACGTAGATGGGATTCAGCCTTACATTCAGTTCCATTGCCAATGACCGACGTTCGCTGTTATTAACTCCATGCAGCCCTGTGCATATGAGGGGTTAGCAGGCCTACGTGGGTGAGTGGGATAGAAAATGGGCGTGCTAAGCTACCCCTGTCCACCGGCAATTAAATACGGCCTAGCAAGACTACATGGATCGGTGATATATCTTCCCTTAAAATAGCTCATTTTCGTTCTAGGCAGGATTCTTAAATGCCGTCATTGTGGCCATATCCATGGACGGTTTGCTCAAGGCCCATCCGGTTGCTCCAACTTCCTTGACACTGATTCACCCTAATGCTGCTTTCCAGACCCTTGCATATGACCCCGAGATGATCAGTAATCGGACGTACTAGGATCCTCTATCGGAGCGCCTCATAAGACTGCTCAACCTGACTCGATCCTCTTCCAGTGCGCCAGATATACCCTACGGTGTGATCCCGGGTAACTTGAGCGACAGTGACTGGGATATCCTTCTAGGCGATGAGACACCGTGAGTACTTCCCAAAAAGAATATGAGAAGAGAGGTAAACAAATACGCGTGGTAGAGACCTGCCAACTAACACCGCACCAGTGCGGGAGGGCTCTGCTCATCCGCAAAAGACATGACTGCCGGAGCTCGGGCCATTCTTAACAGCCCGGCAGTCACTCGACGATGGATAGGGCCAGTCGTGCACGCATACTTCATCAATCCATTCAGCTGCCGGAGCCCCGTGGAAGCCCCGTGGTGAAATATACTTGTTCGAGAACTTCCGCGTCATCGACCTGTACACCAAAACAGGCGCCATAGACCAGTACCCATCGATGACCTCACTCGTTGGCTTCGGATTACATCTCAACTGTCTTGATCCTGGCACCTGAAAGAGTCGCCAAGGAACAGACACTCCAGAGCTTCATGGGTGAATATGCACCGAGAACTTCCGACGCAAACTCCTCAATCATCATCACCAATACAGATGATGGTCCCGGGCCGGGTGTCCATGCGTTGGTATATGGAAATGTGAGAATTGAAGAGTTCGTCTTTGACTGGTTGAGAAGGAAAAGGGCGTCCGTCTGTCCCCTAGTACAATGCGATTAATCTAACCAAGACCTGAGTCTGCGTTTTGACCCAAGTTTGGTGTCATAATGCTCTGTGGTGAGACCCGTACAAATGTCTGTAGATGCTTGCATAGCTTCTTGCCTTAGGAATCAACAACGTGACCCACGTAATTTATCCCACCGCCCTCAGCGCATTAAGCCTGTCCCGGCCTAGCGGCCCAGACCACAGGAGGCGTGCCAAGACCTAAGACGGAGGGAGCAAGCCTTCCAGGTGTTCTTGTCTGCAAGCAGCCCAATAATTAATTTGCGACTGCATTCGACGTCGCCTGTGTCACGGTCATTTCTCTTCCTTTTTTTCGAGCTTCACGCCTCTCCTTCCTTTTCCTTTTCTTTTCCGATTCTTTTTGTTGATCCCACGTTCTGACTGTTACCCCCTTGGGGGTACACTCGCGACCCGCCATGGCCTCTCGTGAGTACCCATTCTCCCCCCTTCCATCTCCGTGGCCTCTTTCCGTATATTCGTTGCTAACTACGTGTCCCATCCAAAACAGTCAAGCAATTTATTCGAAATGTCCGATCTGCGAAGACGATTGCCGATGAACGAGCAGTAATCCAGAAGGAGAGCGCAGCGATTCGTGCATCTTTCAGGGAGGAGAGCAACGACTCTGGAATACGGTTAGCCTCAGACCTGGTCGACCATTAGTGCATACCGTGCCCTGTCTCATACAATTTGCCAGGAGAAATAATGTGGCTAAACTTCTCTATCTGTTCACGCTCGGAGAGCGCACGCATTTTGGCCAAATCGAATGCTTAAAGCTATTAGCGTCACACCGTTTCGCCGATAAGCGACTGGGATATCTGGGTACCATGTTGCTTCTTGATGAAAACCAGGAGGTTCTGACATTGGTGACAAATTCATTGCAGAAGTCTGTCATCCTCTGGATATCTCCTTTTCTTTGTAGATACGCTTGCTAACAGGGGAAACAGTGACCTCAACCATTCCAATCAATATGTCGTCGGACTTGCCCTATGTGCACTGGGCAACATAGCCTCCGTTGAAATGTCAAGGGATCTTTTCACAGAGGTCGAATCTCTCCTCTCCACTGCCAATCCTTACATTCGAAGAAAAGCCGCCCTTTGTGCAATGCGCATATCCCGCAAGGTTCCCGATCTCCAAGAGCATTTCTTAGAGAAGGCCAAGTTGCTGTTGAACGATCGAAACCATGGCGTCTTGCTATGCGGCCTGACATTGGCGATAGACATGTGCGAAGCGGAGGAGGCGGAGGAGGGTCAAGAAGGGGTCATCGAGTCGTTCCGTCCCGCGGTCGGTGGTCTTGTCCGCTCCCTGAAGGGGCTGACTACATCTGGCTACTCTCCGGAACACGACGTGTCGGGGATCTGTGATCCTTTCCTTCAGGTTAAGATACTGCGGTTCTTAAGGGTTTTGGCCAGAGGGGATGCTGCGACGAGCGAATTAATCAACGACATTTTGGCCCAGGTGGCCACTAACACCGACTCTTTGAAGAATGTAGGCAATTCTATTCTATATGAGGCTGTCCTCACTATCCTCGATATTGAGGCGGACTCTGGACTGAGGGTCTTGGGTGTCAACATTCTCGGAAAGTTCCTCACAAATAAGGACAACAATATCCGCTATGTCGCTCTGAACACGCTCAACAAGGTTGTGGCGATTGAACCAAATGCTGTTCAGAGACATCGGAACACGATTCTGGAGTGTCTGCGTGATCCGGATATCAGCATCCGCAGGCGGGCCCTCGACCTCAGTTTCATGTTAATCAACGAGGGCAACGTACGGGTCCTCATCAGAGAGCTGCTCGCTTTCCTGGAAGTAGCCGATGTTGAGTTCAAGCCTCTGATGACGACACAAATCGGCATTGCTGCGGATCGTTTTGCACCCAATAAGCGCTGGCACATTGATACGATCCTCCGGATTCTCAAGTTGGCAGGTAACTACGTCAAGGAGCAGATCCTGTCGTCGTTTGTGCGTCTCGTTGCCACTACACCGGAACTGCAGACCTATTGCGTACAGAAACTTTACGCGGCGCTGAAGGAAGACATCTCACAAGAAGGTCTCACCCTTGCTGCAGCGTGGATGATTGGCGAATACGGTGATAATCTACTCCGTGGCGGCCAGTATGAGGAAGAGGAACTCGTCAAGGAGGTCAAAGAGAGTGATATTGTTGATCTTCTCACCAACGTGCTCAACAGTACATACGCTTCGCAGACCGTGACGGAGTACATTATCACGGCTTCGATGAAGCTTACTGTACGGATGTCGGATCCTGCTCAGGTCGAACGTCTACGCCGCCTGTTTGTCAGTCGGAACGCCGACCTGAGCGTCGAAATCCAACAGCGTGCCGTCGAATACACCAACTTGTTTGGTTATGAGCAGATTCGCCGAGGCGTCCTGGAGCGGATGCCTCCCCCTGAGATCCGTGAGGAGCAACGGGTCCTGGGGGCTCCTACGAAGAAACGCCAGAGCCGGCTGCTCAAGGACAAGACGAAGAAGCCTCCCAAGCAGGCCGAAGAGGATCTCCTTCTCGACCTTATCGGTGGCTCTGATGCCCCTGCAACCAGCCCTACTGTGAATGGTTCACAGAATACAGCAAGCTTACTGGGTGATATCCTCGGCGACGGTGGCCTCTCAACCCCTTCTCCTCAACCAGCTTCGAAACCAGCAGCGTCTGTCAATACCAGCGCCATTATGGATCTCTTCGGTCCAAACGGAAATATCCCATCCCCTGTGCCAGCTCAATCGGCGGTATCATCGGGCTCAATGGATCTATTGGCAGGCCTGGGAGGCGCAGCTCCAGCTCCTTCACCTCCTGCACCCGCAGTACACACGGCATACAACAAGGACGGCCTCACACTCACATTTCAGATTCAACGGAACGGCGGGGGAGACGCTCAAATTCAGGCTCGTTTCCGCAACAATTCCAACTTCGACAGCTTCTCCAACGTCGGATTACAGGCTGCGGTACCTAAGAGCCAGCGACTTCAATTGAGTGCCATTAATAAACCAGATCTTAATGCGGGGGAGGAAGGCACTCAAATTCTGAAAGTGGCCGCCTTGAACGGGGTAAGTTTATGATATGTGATGTGAATCTCAGATTCATCTTGCTGACGCACTTCTCTCCTGGTAGACACTTCCTCCAAGACTTCGCCTTCGTCTTCGAATTACGTTCAGCAAGGCTGGAACTGCCCCTGTGACGGAGCAAGTCGACTGGAGCGAGCCTTGATGGCTTGAGCCAAAGATATCCACACGATCGCTTTCCCATTCATGAACAGCTCGCATTGTTATTGATAGAACTCCTTCATATCACCCCTTTCCCCATCTTGAACGAGCCAGCCGCTTTTGGAGGAATCTATTATTTATTCATTTTCTTCTCAGCCACATTTTACAGCTCGGGGGCGAGCTGTTCTATGTTATGATCCATAGTCCAAAAAAATGAATGGTTCATTGTTCACATGTACAAGACATACCCAGTTTGTTGGTTTGCTGCTTTTTTCTTTGCTTTTCTTTGCTGCATGCCTCGTATTCTTCTATGTGTTTAAGGTAGGGAAGACGGGTTGCATGTAGTGGAATACAACTGGATCGTTGGTGCTCGCATTGATACCGTTGTTGAGTTGACTTTCTTTTTACAGGTGTAGTATGGAAGATCTTTCTAAGAATTCCTGTTGAACGTAAGACACTAGTTTGAACGACCCTCGAATCTCGAGCAATAACCCAAATTGAACTATCTTCATTCAATCATTTAGAGCACCGATTTCCCCTTAGCAGGCAACTCCCTTATCCCCTCAGGCGTAACAAAAATCTCCTCCCACAGCTCCTCAGAAACATTAACTTGATTCCTCTCCTTCCAATCCAGCAAAGCCTGAAAATCGCGACACTTACGTAGGACGTTGAAGTCCGCAAACGGCCCCGGCGTCCCCTGCACTTTATTAAACGTGACAACGCCCACATCGGCGTGACACGTAATAAACTCCATGAGGACATACGCGCAATGATCCAGATATACCTCGTGGGGAAACAAGATAGCAGGATTAAAATACACCTGCTGACCAGAGTGTGAATGGGAGTGGGCATGTTTGTGCGTCGTAGCCCCGTGCGCAGCGCGCCGAAGATGATTCAAACAATGCAGATGGTGCGACACGTCCAGGATGCCCATGTAGGCTTCGGGTCCGTATCCGTAGGATTCAGGATACCTGTAGAGCTTTGTGGGGTCTTTGCCCATTTTCAGGATCTCGGCTTTGGAGAGGACGAAGCCGTGGGTGTCTGCTATGCGGTCCCAAGAGGCGTCTACTTCGGGGCTTGGGGGCAGGTGGAAGATTGAAGGGGGTTTTGGGGCCAGAAGGAGCCATTCATCGTGGTTAGTTTGAGGGGGATGGGGAGTTTGTCGAAAATTGGGGCTGTTGTAGGACCCATTCATTAGTATCATGATCATATGCGTTCATATGTATATGCGTCTTGGAGAGAGATGCTTACAGTAGACTGATGTCTGGCGGAGTAGACGGTTGTCCACATTGAGAGTCAGAGATTGAATCTGGTACAGGGAGAACCCAAGGACGGCGAGAGAGAAAAGGAAGAACACTAGATTGCAGAGGATGAAGGCGACAGAGAAATGATAGATTTGGAGTCGAGGCCGGAATGACTGGCGTCTTCCAGGTTGATGGACGGACGATGGGCCAGCTTCCTCGTCATTCAGCAAGGCTTCTTTCGCCTCCATTTTTCCAGGTAGACTAGCCATTTTGCTTCAATGAGAAGTGTCTTGTCTTGTCTTTTATAACGGATGGATTGATGGCTAGCAGCTGTGAAGGGGAGTTGGTTAGGGATGTTTCTTGTGGGATTACAGGCTGGTTGGTGACTGCAGACGGTGAGATACTTTGTTTTGCATCCACTCAAGAAGAAGAAAAAGAAGAAGCATATACTGATATCCTTTTCAAATGCAATTGAAGATGATATGTCATAGCCAAGTTGCTCCACATAGTTATTTAATTTAAGTAAATTCGAGTTATTCACAGCCATGTCTGCACATCTGCCTCATACCAGGGCCCACGAGCACCACAGAACCCCCCTTGTCTGGAATTCTCTTGCCAATTACTACTGGAAAAGACATTATCCATACATTCTGTCTCTATACATATCAAAAATAGTCGGAAAGAAACATACTAAGCTAAAGGTGGTGGATTTAAGCTTATTCTCGGCTTATTTTTGGTCCAAAGCTTGTACAAGGAACTCTCTCTATGACCAGGTTTCCCAAGCAATGGAACAGGAAACAGAGACAGGAAGAAATAAGAGAATAGAAAGGGATTTATGCTGTAGTAACTCATAGAAAGCTCCACAGCATGCAGTATGAGGGGAATATCAGCACTGCAGGAGACAACTGCCCTCATTCACTCCCTCTCTCTGCCTCACCGGCACGGATATTGTCACTTCCGGAATGAGGTATAAAAGAGGCATTTGCTATTCTTAGATGTGCTCTTCTTCTTCTTCCTCCTCTTCTCTCTCTTCCTCTCATTACTCTTCATCTTCACTCTCTTGTTCATTCTGCTCACAACTTCATCTCAACTCCCTGTCTCCTTTCAGCTGTCTTTCTCACTCTATCCTCCTGTTACAAGCTTCTACCCTCTATTAGAACACAATGATATTCTCTTGCATTCTTGTTGTCTTTGCAGCAAGCTTGGCCACTGGCCTTGCTCTGCCTGCTGGCACCAAGACCAGTGAGCTGTCTAATGTCCAGCCCAATGGTTATATCAGTGGTGGTGGTAGGTGTTCTTTCCCCTTTAAACATCCATCTGGCATAATGATCGTTTCTCTAACCTGAGGACAGGTGTGTCGATTCTCGACCGCGATGTCGACAATGATATTGAGTCAGCGCCGTACGTTGGCGATGCTGGTAAGCCGCTCTGGCCTGTGGTCATTCGTTATAGGACAGACACATACGATTCAAATTGGCAGTTATTCTAATCAACATGCAGGACATCATTTGATTGACAAGAGAGACGATGCCGCAACTGTCTACAAAGGCATGTTCAATCCCTTCCACTCATAATGATGAAACAATCGTGGTCCTAATTTTCTCACAGCTGTCCTGCTAAACGAGGAGGACTGGATGGCCGCCCTGGAAAAGTCTTCGGCTTGAATGTCTAGAGAAAGTGGTAAGTTTCTCGATGATTATCCAGGCTTTCTTACTCTCTTTTTTACTCTGATCTATACTCATCTCACTCTGAACAATGCCGAGGATGGTTCTAATACACTAAGGCTGCAAGCGGACTGTTTATTTATTCTGAAACGAACTATCTCGCCAAGCGCATCACCGTCGCAGACAATATCTCATTTTAACGAACTCTACATTTGAAATGTGGTGATTAGAGCTTATTATGCTTGATTAATCTGCTGGTTTCAGTTTTCTTTTCTTTTCTTTTCTCTTCTCTTGAAGTTTTCTTTTCACTTATCCTAGGTTGAGTCCTCATAATACTCTGCCTTTACCGAGTTCGACCTAGAGATGATTTAACGTGACAATGATTTAACCTGTTTCGTTTTCATCAATATCTCTTGAAGTATAGTATTTGGCAAGTTGAAAGCTCTTAATGGTTTAACAAGAAAGACGTCTTTCGTCGAGTATCAGCCTCCGTGTCTAGCTCAACAGACCTGTAGCAGCATGTCGGTCTCTGAACAATTCATATCATAGTTTCATTGGCAGAGGCCCAATTAGACATCGATACATGAAAGTGATACCTGGATCTTATTTACAAAATAGAAGAGCTTGTCTTAGCTTCGAAGGCCCATGAAGAAGGGCTACTACTCACCAACACTGCCTAGAAGTGCAAGCTCATCCCTGATGCACCACGAAGACCGAAGTCACCGTGGTGCCCCCCATCGGGGTTAAAGGTTGCCCCCTAGCCCCTCGGAGATGCGAACACTCCAAGAACCACAAGCACAGGAATGGTACACGGCACAAACATGGTGGCCTGGCAAAAGTGCGTCCAGGCTCGCGAGGTGGTAAAGGCACAATTCATTGCTGAATATAATTTCTAAAATGAGAAGGAGCGATAGCAGTTTGAATGGTCCATTTAGCTAACATTGTAAGTGCTCGCTACTTGCCGAATCAAGTAAAAAGGTAACCCTCAACTTGGATATACGCAGGGCTTGAGCAGCTGAATAGCAAAGAATACCCGACTACTTTCACGCATCTAAAATAGCATCTAAGCAGCATTCCAAACTCGTCTTCTGCCTTTTTCATTAGATATGTGTCATGCCATTACCACAAAGGCAATTACTTCCCTTGATCCAGGATCCAAGTGTCGGCATAGTAATGGTCCAATTCCTTCGTGCAGCGTTTCCCAACCAAGTACGACTCATTCCGGTTTTGTAACATCAGACAATGATGACCCCCCTGCATTCTGGAACAAGTTCCTGATTTCTCCCGTGGCTGACACAATGCCCAGATCTGATGTACGCATACTACTAATCTTGGCATGTGCTTTCCACTTGGGGTCATCCAGATCCATTCCCGTCTCAAGGTCCAGTCATCTGGTTATGGTGAGTGCAATTCCCTCTTGATCACAGTCCCAGACACTTAGATGGAACTCCATCCTGTAGTATGGGCACTGGAGAAGATTACAGGCTTTGCTAGCCACCTGTTCCGCCCTGAGATTCCGCAAAAGAGCCTTGAGACGCCATACCTCTCTCCTGGTCTCTCGGTTCAAAATGGGAGCAGATCCGGATGAACCACACTTGCTCGATGATTTCATTATACGGGCTGATAGAAGATTCTAAAGCCCCGGAGAAATTTTTTTTCGCCGTACAATTCTGCAGTTGGTCCTATGATTGTAAATCTATCAATCCACGGATGGATATAATATATGGTTTTCTAAATGGGAAAATTAGGGTTAGGTCACATCATGTCACCCGCGGACTGCAATCTTTCGTCCAAGTCCATCTCATTCTTCTCTCTTCACTTTCTCTTGCCTTTGCTTCACCCATGTCTCTGTCATTCCACATCAAATCAGCTAGTATTCTTGTCTCGATGTTCCGTGGAGAGATGAGCTCGATAAGCCGGAGGTCAGGTCTTGATATAATTACACATTACTACAGATCGCGACCAATGCGCCGCGTCCCATGTGTCGGCAGCACCGCTCCTTCGGCTTTATCGCTACGCATTGGGTATAATACAGCAATGATAGGCAAAGCCAAGGACCCCGTCGGATACCCGGACAGACATTGATAATGGAATAAATATAAATAACGAGCATAAGTCCAATAATCCCAGAATTTCCATTCCAATCTGATTTCCATCCTCCGTTAACTTCCTAGTGCCTTAAAGCAATGACTACCAAAAGCGTTGAGAGAATACCAGAAAGCCCACCTGCACCATCGTGGCAAGCAATAGCCGAAAAGAAACGAAAAGAACGAGGATCCAAAATCCCCAAGGAATGGATCCTCCAGCAGATCCCAGACTCAGGCACGCCCATATCCATTCTCAGATCGTGTGGCGTACTCAATGAAGACGAACTCGGGATAACAGACCCATCTGAGCACGATGCGACCGCCCTTCTCCAGAAAATCGCTGCAAGGGAAATGTCGAGCACCCAGCTTGTCCGGACATTCTGCAAGCGTGCCGCTGTTGCGCACCAGCTGACCAACTGCCTCACTGAGATACTTTTCGACCAAGCCATCGCTCGTGCGGAATGGCTGGACAGGCAGTACCAGATGACTGGAAAGGTAGTGGGGCCTCTACACGGCCTTCCCATCACAGTGAAGGATTGCTTCCATGTTAAGGGTTATGATACGTCTATCGGGATTTCATCACTGTGCTACAAACCGGCAGAAAGAGATAGCCTGCTGGTGGAGATTCTCTCGTGTTACGGTGCTGTGATTATCGCAAAGACTACTGTTCCACAGACCATGCTTAATGCTGATACCGACTCGATCGTCTTTGGACGCACACTGAACCCGTACAATAGGTCATTCGCCGTGGCCGGCTCCAGTGGGGGAGAGGGAGCGCTTCTCGCGATGGGTGGCACATCCTTTGGTCTTGGTACCGACGGCGCAGGCTCTGTAAGGATGCCAGCCGCAGTTAACGGGGTGATAGGATACAAGCCCAGTGGGTACAGAATGCCTCTGGATGGAATAGCTGTGATGGGGCCCGGCGTGGTTGGTACGACATCTATGGGGCCTGTGACCGTCGCCGGTGTGCTGGCTCGGTCAGCCCGTGATGTAAAGCTTGTAGCCCAACTGGTGGCTGAAGCAAAGCCATGGACAATGAACCCATTCCTCTATCCGCACCCATGGCAAGGATCGAAAAACCCAACACCAAAAGATCTACGAATTGGGGTGTGGTCATCTAACGGATATGTTCACCTGCATGCGCCTGTGGAAAGGGGCTTTCAAACAGCCCAGCGGCGGCTTCGAGAAGCAGCGGTTGAACTTGTGGACTTCAAAGGCCCGGATATCAGTGACGTGTGGAACTTGCAAAAGGCATGGGCCGATGTCCAGGGCCTATCTTTCCTCCGTGAATGCCTGTCAAAGGAGCCACATACAGAAATTGTCAAAGCCACTGGGATCATTGACCCGAAAGACAAAAGGCCGGAACTCAACATGGAATACCTACACTCACTGAATGTCCGAATAAGCACACTGGTACGCCAGATGCACGCCGCATGGAGTCCCGATGGAAAACCCATAGATGCTCTGCTCTGGGTTACTGCTCCGCATACGGCTGTGCCATTTGATAAGTACACCTATCTTGGACTGACGGCGATATTCAATATTATTGATTGGCCAGCAATGGCGCTTCCACTCAACATGTTTGTCGACGCCGGGATTGATAAAGCAGCCAATGTAAAACCATTCAATTCCCTCGATGAGGAGATCCAGGCACTGTATGATCCTGCGGCCTTCCACGGCCTTCCATTGAGCGTTCAGCTCGTTGGTCGAAGGTTTGAAGATGAGAAGCTTTTGGCGATCACACAGGTTGTTCATGACATTATCAAGGCTTGTTAGCTATTTCCACTTGAATTATATAAGGATAGAATTAGACCATTTATCCGTTAGAGTTTCGAGAATGTTGAATCATGACGAGACTATTCTTACTGCCCTTGTATATACTTATGCTCGGCCGAGCTGATAACGAGGCACCGATAAGCGCCCAGAAACCAATGAAGAATCGATGAAGAGGCTTCGGCCGTTGCATATTACTATCAAAATCCACACCAGCGCAGAACTCCTCCAGAATTCGAGCAGACGGTCGACGGATTGAAACATCCGATGCAGCAGTCAACGGTGTCATGATATTACCACTGGTGGATCTGTTATTAATAGTTCACCTCAGTTGCCGGCATGCATAGACCCATCCAGCGAAAACGACTGGCCTGTGCCGAATGTACGCGACGCAAGATCAGATGTGACAAGGTCCTGCCGTGTAGAAACTGTGTTAGAAGGCAAGTCAGTACCTTCAGAGATTTGGTTGTTCCGCTGGGAATGGCTGGAATGACTGCAATGACGGATGCTGACTAGATGTCCAGGGGCAGCGTCTGTTCCCGTAACGTTGAGCATCGTCCGCAGAAACTACACTCGCTCACACCTTCGACAATTGCCAGCGCCGATGATGGCTCCAGTCGGAACTCAAGCGCGCCAGAGTTGGTAGAACGTCTCACCGCACGCGTCAAGGAGTTGGAAGCCACTCTGCGGGAATTTCAGTCGATGCGACAAGCAGCCTCGTTGAGTCCGGTGGAGAGGAGCCAGGACGGCGATGCGGCGGCAGCGAGGATTTCTCCCGTTCAAAGTGCAGAATTATCGCCACCATCTTCTGAACAAAGTGATCCCGTGACAATCACTGAAGCCTCCCCGTCGAGAACGTTGGTGAATTCGGAGATCGAAAATGCGGCTACGATTCTTGAATTTCTGGCATGGGGTCGCAGGAAAGACCCAGACTACAATGAAGTCGTTAACAAGGAGGACAATAGCGTTGGCCTGAACCAGTCTCCAGGTGATGTTGGGCCCGGTACCGCATGGGAAGAGTGGTCGTCAGAGGAGAACAGCTTTCTGTCAGGATCCAAGACCTCGTCCCTACGGTTCCTTCAGTTTTTGCTTCCCAGTCGGCGCCAGTTGACTCAGATCATTAACTACCACAGAGAGTGTCTCTTGTGGTATCACGGCGTGTTCCACTCTCTAGTCTTTGCTGCAGAGGTGGATGACTTTCTAACCCGCCATAACGGCTGTGTCGAGAACCCCGATGTCGATCTCCAGTGGATAGCGATGCTCTTCGCTGTTTTAACTGGTAGTATGGCCTGCGCTCCGCGACCAGTGGCCCATTCGTGGGGTTTCAAAGAGGCAGAGCAGATAACGCTGGCCAACCGCTGGTTTGAAGCCACTACCGTGTGTTTAAACATTGCTGATTACACTGCCCGCCACTCTATATACTCTGTCCAAGCCATAGCAGTCCTGACTATTCCCGCTCATCTGCTGGGTCACTCCAATCGCCAATCCGTGTTGTTGGCATCGGCTGTCCGGGTCGCCCAGAACCTAGGACTCCATCGACTAGGCGAGGAAATGGAAGAAGAGTCGCCGGACCTCGTAAAGCGTGAGCTCGGCCGGCGCGTCTGGTGGCAGCTATGCACACAGGACTGGTTCTCCATCCCGTTCTCCGAGAGCTATTTGATCCATAGCACATGCTTTGATACGGGGAAACCGCGAAATTGTTATGAGGAGGATATGCGCTCCTTGCCGGATGACATACCCACGATTATGAGCTACAGTCGATTCTTCTATAAGGTCGCTGCCGTCATGCCGCAGCTTCAAGATGGCTTGACATCGTCCAATACCTTATATACTAAGTATGAGCAGGTGCTGCAGAGTGACACCCAGATGCGGGCGTTGGCCACGCAGCATGTTCCCCACTACATCCGGAGCGTTCCCCTGGATGATCGGTGGCCCTGCCATGTCCCATGGGCCCGGAAAAGCGTTGCAATTAGTCTTTCACACAAGATAATTATGATCCATCGCAAGTTTCTCGGCCTGAGCTTCTCCAATCCGGCTTTTCAATTCACCCGCAAAACCTGCGTTGCAGCCTCCAAGACTATCATTAAGGAACAGAAGCAAATGGTCAAAGATAATGGTCCAGTGCTGTGGATTTACCACGCTTTCAGCGTGGCGGCCGGTGTACGTTGCGACCTGCTTGTGTTTTCTCTGCTTCTTTTTGTTTGTTTTTTGACTTCCGCCTCCAATTAACAGATAGACACCAGATCATCCTCTGCCTGGATATATTGCACCGCTCCCCGTCGGACAAGGAATATATAGAGCACCGAATACTGGTCGAGGATGTGATCGATGTTCTCTCGCGCTTTGAAATCAGCATGATTGCCAAGCGTGGCATTGTGATACTCAGGGCTTTGCTGACAAAGGAGCGAACCGAAAGAGTCCGCAAGCTGGATATACCCGAACTAATCCAAAGCTTCTGCGAACAGGAACGTCGGAGCCCCTCTCGTCGTCAGACAGGTAGAAACCTTCAACCGGGGTGGCCGCCCAGTGCACCGGACGCGAATAGCACGAATGGCCAAGAGGCATCTGAATCCTTGGATAATTTAGGGATCATGTCAACTGCAAGCATGCCTGTGACGTCTACAGCGTCAAATAGCGCGCACTCTGTTCCTTTAGGAGCGCATTCATTCGGGCACAGGCACTCCGGGGAGGAGTCGTTCCCGGATTTAATGGCACTGCAATTTGCGGACTTCACTACTACATCCCATTCTTTGGAGGACATCTTGTTTCTTGCGCAGAATTATCGGGGCTGAACCCAATGACTGGATTTTCTTGCTGTGTACATAGAGATTTATTAGACGGATAATCCCATGTGTTTCTACTGACGTTTTCCGTCCAGGAAACTGGGAAGATGGAAGCTTCTATGCCGTCATATGTAACTAGAAGGATAAGAAAATAATAAGAGCAGCGGGAATAGCCATTAAGCATCTTTGTCAAAGAATCTCTGTCCATCTTATTGTGAATATGAGACACTGCAGGTGCAGAAGCAGAAGCAGCGGACTGACACAGGCGATATCTTATTGCCACTCAACGTGATTGCGCCCCCTTCACCTTCACCTCCATCTTCTCCTTCACGCTTTCCTCTTCACTGCCTGTCATCATCCTCTGCATCGTATATAGATCTGGTACGTTCTTTCACCCTTCTGTTGCTGCTGCTCATCCTTCCTCTATGCGCAGTTGAACCGCCAGATACATTGTTGGCAATTAACTGATCAATCAAATCAGTCTGACAAATTACGCTGATCCAACACTGTGAGCTGCCTTGTTGCCTCAACTTAATCACTTCCGTCCTTTCCTCTCTCTACTCTCTCTCTCTCTCTTTGTCTTCCACTGCCTCTGCATATCATTGCGCGTGGCTCCTGACCGGCTTCTACCCGACTCAAATACGCTGTGCATGGGACGTCCCGGGTGATGCCCCGCGATCCGATCGAGAGATCGACCCGGTTTCTTTCTCCGAAACGCTTACGATTTGCCCAGTCCTCACGTCTCCGCTGGTCGTCAGACGCCCTCGCAGCTACTACCTACATCCTACAATCTTGATAGTTCCGCTTTTCTGAGTGAGCCTTTCATTGTGCTACTGTGGGCTTGCTCTTTGTCGACGACCACCGTCCTATTTCACAAGCCACACCCCTATTCGGCGGTTCTTCCGGGTCTTGTTGGGGGCTGCCTTGCACCTCAAACGCCAAAAAAAAAAAAAAAAAAAAAAGAAAAGAAAAGAAAAAAGAAAAGAGAGGAGGAACGGGCCGTTGGTGTTCTTTTCATAACCAGGGAAGGAGGGCTGTGATTGCTTGTGGGTGATTCATTGCACTAATTGTCCCACGCGACTCGGTGCTCTGTTTATTGGAGGGTTTGCTGTGGCAGTGATCAATTAATATAGGCGCCGCCCATGCCATTGGCTTTCCTTCTATGAAAGAAAAAGAAAGGAAGAAGACAAAAGGTAAATTTCGTGTTCACGTTTCCATAGCCGCCGGCTCTCGTTTCCTCATGCCCATCTCCCGATCACGGCACGCGGCTCGGTTTTCGAGCGAGGCGCCGTCCGAGTCGTCTTCATCATCGTCGCCCGATCGTGTTTGCGACGATGACACCGAGATTGTCATGGGGATGTCAAATGACTCCCAGTCGTCTGTGGGTTCCAACCTCCGCGATCTCGATGTCGACAATGTGCGAACGCTCGCGCCTATTGCACGCCTCCCGCCAGAGTTACTTATCTCCATCTTCTCGAAACTCAGCTCACCATCGGATCTGTTAAATTGCATGTTGGTGTGTAGGGGCTGGGCTGCGAACTGCGTGGCGATACTATGGCATCGGCCGTCATGCAACAACTGGGATGACCTAAAGAGCGTTGCAACAGCGGTGGGGAAGCCTGATAGGCTTTTCTCGTATTCGGACCTCATTAGGAGGCTGAATCTTTCCGCATTGACAGAAAAAGTGAGCGATGGGACCGTTGTTCCTTTCACACACTGCAAGCGGATTGAACGCCTCACGTTGACCAACTGCTCCCAACTCACGGACAAGGGTGTTTCGGATCTGGTCGAGAGCAACCACCACCTGCAAGCTCTGGATGTTTCCGAGCTGGATTCACTCACGGACCATACAATATATACTATTTCTCGGAATTGCCCCCGACTCCAGGGACTCAATATCACCGGTTGTATCAAGGTGACCGATGACTCACTAGTAGTCGTGTCCGAGAAGTGTCGGCATCTGAAGAGGGTATGTTTCATTTATTCGATTCCGCTTATGTGCGTGAGGACTAACCGCAGAATAGTTGAAATTGAACGGCGTCAACCAAATAACGGACCGCTCCGTCTTGTCCTTTGCTAAGAACTGCCCGGCTATCCTCGAGATAGATTTGCACGAGTGCAGGCTTATTACGAGTTTGTCGGTGACCTCACTCTTGATGACTCTTCGGAATTTACGAGAGTTACGGCTGGCGTTCTGTGTAGATATTAATGACTCGGCATTCTTGCGATTGCCGCCAAATATGACCTTTGACAGCCTTCGGGTTCTCGATCTCACGGCATGCGAGAACGTTAGAGATGCTGCAATCGAGCATATGATAAATTCGGCGCCCCGGTTACGAAATCTTGTCCTTAACAAGTGCAAATTTATTACTGATCGCTCAGTGTTGGCTATTTGCAGACTGGGGAAGAACCTACATTATGTCCATTTGGGCCACTGCTCCAACATCAGCGATAACGCGGTGATGCAGCTTGTTAAATCCTGCAATAGAATCAGATACATTGACCTGGCTTGTTGCGAGCGATTAACAGATGCAAGTGTACAGCAGCTAGCGACTCTACCGAAACTAAGAAGAATCGGTCTAGTCAAGTGCCGGTCTATCACCGATAGGAGTATCCTAGCATTGGCACGGCCAAAGATCTCATCGCACCCGGTGTCTATCAGCAGTCTGGAACGTGTGCATCTTAGCTACTGTATTCACCTGACAATGGATGTGAGTATCATATATATATTTTAAATGTTTGACCCAGAAACTGGCAGAAGCGCTGACTGCTGACCTCTACTAGGGGATTCACGCTTTGCTCAATCATTGTCCAAAGCTCACCCATCTCAGTCTTACTGGAGTTCAAGCATTTCTTCGCCCGGAACTTACAGCCTTCTGCCGCGAAGCACCGCGTGAGTTCACAGATCAGCAACGGGAGCTGTTCTGTGTCTTTAGTGGCGAAGGTGTTAGCCGACTTCGCGAATTTTTGAATCGAACCAGTCCTTCCTTGCAGGAGGGAACGGAGGCTACGATGTATGATGATGACGAAGAGTTGGACGAAGAAGAAGGCCAGATGGCCGGCCTTATGCATGCAACCGCGATTAATGACGAGGAATACGTCGACGTCGAGAATCCCCATGGTTGAGTTGATACCCCCTCTGCTCTAGCGTGTCTATCCTTTTTTTCTTTTTCAGCACTGTGGTCTGCATATCGGATCTCCAGGAGATGCCGGATTCTGTTCAAAGCAAGCGAAACGGCCTATTTGACATTTTTTTCTATTACACAAGCAATGTATTTAGGGGCATTGTTTAACCTGTGTTTCTTTTCACATATATCTTGGGGTTGCATTAAGGTATCGAACAGGTTCTGGGTTGTCTTTTATCTAAGATTATGATCAAGCATACATATAGGATTCATAGCTGTAATCAATGTCTTCCATGAGCTCACCAAGCTACAATAGATGATAGGGGCTTGAGTATTTTAGACCAGCAGGATGATCGTACTGTCTGACCATGTACCTACTAGTAGTAATGAATTGCCATAGATAGCTTGATCCATGATCCCGAGCCGATGCCCTGTCTGGGAGTCTACAATGGTACTTCTTTCGAGGACAAGATGGTCGAATTCTGCAGTAGGAATACAACAAGGTTGTTCCATTGACAATTGATACTCCTTTTCTGACCTTGTATTCCGGGTGTAGTGCTAGAGAGGGAAATGTTGGATTTCCAACTCGTCTTTGAAGGATCCTGAAACCTCAACAGGAACCATCACTCGTCCTGACGAAGGAGCCATGAGAACGAGCGCATGGCATCCTGTACCGTACGCTTCGACGACTCTAGAAATGGCAACCAGAGGCTATGACCATGCGGGACCTGTCATGCTGTCAGTGAGACTTGAATGATAAGTTATATTGTCATCGTCCAAACTTACACCAGGATACACATCCAATTTCGTCTCGACACCATTCGCTCTCAGGATACGTTCGTATATCAAACCATCATCACGCAATGGGTCTATGCCACAAACATTTATATAGACCCTGACGCCCTGCTCGGCAAGTTTCCATGGAGTTTTGGAATTCATAGGACTAGCGAGGGGGCTCTGGGGGTCGGGCCTGTTGTAAAGAACCACGAACTCAATTGCAGAGGTGCTCAGGAAGTCTGCATCCTTATTCTGTTCCCGAGAAAGAAAGACGTCACGGAATTCCTCAGGGACTTGTACTATACCACTAAAGATAGACGGGATGCCCAACCAGAGTCCGACAAGCTTGAATTTGGATAATGAAGGATCTTCATCTACCCAATGCTGTCCGATCGAGCAGCTATATTCCCACCGGAGCTGGCACCGCATAGCACAAAGCCTGCGGAGGGATCAACAACGGCGGCAAGCTCCGGTGCTGATTTGGCGTGTTCAGATATCCAAATCAGCGTGTCCCAGGTGTCATTTTGCGCGACGGGGAACGGATGCTCAGGTGACAGACGGTAGGAAGGTAGTACGACCGTCGCACCGTACTGGACACTCAACACCGCCGCCATAGGTGCCATTTGGCGATTATCGCCCATCATGAAGCCGCCGCCGAAGAGTATCACAATGAGCGGCTTCGGGGAAGCGGGGGGGTTTTGCGGCTTGTATACCCTCGTGGGAGAAAGATAGCCATCACGCATGGGGATGGAGAACTCCATTCCCGGATTTGAGAGGGCATCGAAGGTGGGCTTGGTAATTTCTTCATAGCCTGCGCGTAGAAGCGCGGGTTGGTTCCATGGGATGTTGGGGATAGGGTTTGCTGCTTTCCAGCTGGCATATTCCGGGCTTATGGGAGGTGTTAGCCAACATTATGTTTCACTCTGGAGGCAAAAAAGGCCGAGATATACATACTCAGGATCTGCCAAAGCTAGGATTTGTTCCTTGGTGGTGTATTCTTTTGGGGCCATGGTGGGTTTGCTTTGTGTCTTGTCTGAGATGCAGCTGTGAGGAACATCATGGCAATTGCGTTCTTATATGCATTTCTTATATATATGATGAAAAGGCTGGTCAGAATTGTTTAAGATAATACTCCGTAGTAACGTCTGCTAATAATCAATACAAGGCAAATGCAACTTGAATGTGAGACTTGGTGAGTGGTCACATGTTACCAGATCGGGAAATAATGGAGGTATATCGTTGGTTGGTTACTAGCTAGATAGGCCTACGAGGGTCAGCGAGGGCGGACCTATGCGGCAGAATACCACGTGATCCAACAGGAAATCGCGGGGTAAGATTCAGATTCGGGACTAGCACCTTTTTATATGACCGCCTTCCTGATGAGGAAGACTGTATACTGCCCCCGCACGCCGCCTTTCCTCGAACGACTTAAAGTCACACCTCTCTGTATTACTATTATTCCTGCTACGCTGGCGTCTGTCTCCATCGTATCTGCCCTTAGAAAATCTATCGATGGCTCCATCTGAGTCGCGATTGTTGAAGCCCTTTACGTTTACTCCCTGGCCGGTGACCCTTCTGACCTCCATCGTATATGCCGCGCTTGTGGTTCCGTTGCTGGTCATTCACCATGTTGTTCCCACCGCACCCAGCACGAGCCCCAAGGGTCTGAATCTGTCGGAAGCATGGCATGATCTTCAGATTCTCACGAATGGATACCATCCCTTTAACTCTCATCGAAATGATGAAGTTCACCGTTGGTTGCTGGACCGGGTCAACGGTATCCTCGCGACAAGCGCCTCCGAAGATGAGTACCTCTCTGTCGGCGAGGAGAAACCCGACGTGTTTGTCTTCGATGATACACTTTCAAATCTGACCTTTTCTGATGGAGCGGTCGATCGTGCATCTACTGGTGTATATTTCGAGAGCACCAACATCATTGTTTACATTCGCGGCTGGGAAGATGACAAGGAGGCTTGGTGGGAGATCCCTGACGGAAACCCCACAGGAACTGGCGGAGTTCTTGTCAATTCTCATTATGATAGCGTGTCAACTGGATTTGGTGCCACCGATGATGGGGTGGGAGTGATCACTTGCCTGCAGCTCGTCAAGTATTTCACGACTCCTGGCCATGCGCCGAGGAGGGGGCTGGTTGTGCTTTTTAACAATGGAGAGGAGGATTTCCTTAATGGGGCTCGTGTGTATGGTCAGCACCCTATGTCAAAATTCGCACATACTTTTTTGAATCTGGAGGGTGCTGGTGCCGGCGGTCGAGCTACGTTGTTTCGAAGCACCGATGCTGAAGTGACGGGCTTCTATGGCAGGTCGGAACACCCCTTCGGGTCCGTGCTAGCTGCCAATGGGTTTGAAATGATTCGCAGTCAGACGGATTACATCGTTTTTAACGGGCAGTTGGGTCTGCGGGGGTTGGACGTTGCATTCTTTGAACCTAGGGCTAGGTACCATACAGATCAGGACGACGCGAGGCATACCAGCAAGGATTCTTTGTGGCATATGCTGTCGGCGGCAGTTGCAACAGTCGAAGGCCTTGTTTCCGATTCAAGTAGTCGATTTTCCGGAGAACCTCGCGATGATGGCAAGGTCTCTAGTGGGTCGGGAACTCGGGGAGTCTGGTTTGATCTTTTTGGAGACTCATTCGTCGTCTTCCGTCTTCATACGCTGTTTGCTCTGTCTGTCACTCTTCTCATAGTGGCACCTCTTACTATCCTTTTCACAAGCCTTGCGCTTGTCAAGGTGGATAAGATGTACCTGTTCAGATCGTCGGTGAAATTGGATACTGACGAGCGAGTCCCGCTGTACGGGCTTCGGGGATTCTTCAGGTTCCCTTTTCTCTTTGTCATACCCACAGGTGTCACTATTTCTCTGGCGTACCTCCTGACGAAGGTCAACCCTTTAATTGTCCACAGCAGCGAGTATGCTGTTTGGAGCATGATGATTTCTGCATGGATATTCCTGTCTTGGTTTGTGTCCCGCGTGGCTGACTCCTCTCGTCCATCGGCCCTGCACAGGGTATACACGTTTACTTGGATGTTTGTCCTCATGTGGATTCTTCTTGTCATCGCTACCGTCTACGAAAATCAGTTGCACCTGGCAGGCGTCTATTTCATCTTTTTCTATTTTCTGGGCATATTCCTTGCGACGTGGATCTCATACTTGGAGCTGTTTTCTCTGCCGCGGAAATCTGAGTATGCGAGCCAATTCACGTTTAGCTCGAGAAGACCAAGCGCCTTTAGTAGCCGCCCAAGTGCGTCTTCTGGCGGAGAGGAAGATGAGGATGAACAAGCCGAGGAAGAGCCCACGGAATCGACATCTCTCTTGCGTAATAGTCAACGGACTACGTTCGCAAACTATGTACGGGTAGTCGGGGACAATACAGATTCCGCGATAGAAGGAGACTCGAATGTGTACGGACATGAGCAACCGTGGAGCTCCGAAATGCCCCGATGGACATGGTTGCTGCAACTTCTTATCGTCATACCTTTTCTTCTCACATTACTCGTACCACTTGGCTTACTGGCCACGAGTGCGCTTCACCAGACCAGTCAGGACGGGAATCCCGCGCTTCCTATTTACCTATGTATGGCCACTTTCGTGGTTCTTACATTTTTCCCAGTTTTGCCATTTATCCATCGGTTTACCCATCACATCCCGCTCTTTTTGCTCCTTGTCTTCATTGGCACACTCATCTATAATCTTGTTGCATTCCCATTTTCGGCGTCAAATCGCGTAAAGATTTACTTTATGCAGGAAGTCGACCTCGATACTGGTGTTAATCGAGCTTCCTTAACGGGCATACCTCCCTTCGTGAACGACGTTGTTAGGTCCATCCCCAGCGCCGCTGGACAAGACGTCGCCTGCGACTGGTATAGAGAGAGATTGCGATGCTACTGGGATGGCCTGGCCCCTCAAGTTGCCGGTCCTTCGAACAGTGATGACTGGGTGGCCTTCAATTTCTCGCGGCGGGGAGACAGCCTCCAAGCTCGATTGGAAGTTTCGGGAAAGAACACGCGGGCGTGTAAAGTAATCTTCGACTCACCGGTTTCAGACTTCAATGTCATCGACTCCGCTCTTGATCCCCAACGCTTCCCGTACATCTCTCCTGAGGGCGCCAAGGAAATCTCCCTGTGGAGTCGTGAGTGGGAGCATACTTGGGAGATTGACGTGGAATGGCCGGAGGGCTCTCTCACCGGTAGAGTTGGCTGTATATGGAGCGATAATAACCAGGACGGTATTATCCCTGCACTGGACGAAGTGAGGAGATATAGTCCTGACTGGGTCGCTGTGACGAAGCTTGCGGATGGATTGGTTGAGGCGAGTCGGAGATTTGAAATTTAGGCCTTTAAGATTGCATGTATCTATCTTCATTGCCTATCTATTTTGTCTATTTTGTAACTGCCCTAGTGTAGGCTATTTGAGTATTTTATATTTCCAGATTGGGTATAGAATAGCAAACTGAATACCAGGTTCTCTTCCTTTCATCCATACCCTCAAAGACCCTTCACTGATGTTTGCCTTTGTTCAGGTCACTCACTACAGTGCTGATACTAGGCTCAGATCATTTCAGTCTACTCGACTTTTATCATAGTAGCGGACAGGCCTGATGCGCCACTTCTTTCTACACGGAAATGTTTCCGTGTCAGGTGTACTACCAAACCCTGTGTTAGTGAGAGAGAAAAGCCACTCCATGCATTCTAGACGGTCCCACATGTGGCTATTTAATGGCCCCAACGCCACAAGTAACGGCTCGCCTGTTTGACCCCCGCATCTCGGCTTTTGAACTCCCCAGCTCCCCGTGGGGTTGCGTTGTGGGGAACTGTCACTGTCACGGAATGCTTCCGCGACAAGGACAATATCCGGGATATATATAAATAATATCTCTTTGCCATAAAGAGCCAGTTGTATCCTATCCTGGTATTACTCTCAGAATTAATCTAGTTGTATGCAGGCGCAGTTGCATCCATCATTTTCAAGGCTCACTTTCAAAACGCGGCCACATGGTACATACTATACCATGGCGGACCCTGAACACATAGTACTCTCGGGTACAGTTACAGATCTGGTTGAGGTTGAACTTATCCCAGGAACTGAGGTTATGAAAGACACAGAAGTGTTTCATCCAGTTCATGGCAAACATAATATCATGTAAGCGTCAAGGTTTCCTGCCTGGGAGGAATCCAAGACCTGATCTGAATGACCTGTGTGCAGTCTGATTCCTGCTCCATCAAAAGATCCCGCGGATCCATTAAACTGGACCAAGACATGGAAGTGTACGGGTGATGCCTCTTGTTTCTCTGCTGGGAGTTCTTCCTAACAAAAAGCAGTTGCTGCCGTCATGATCGTTGCATTGTACACCTGCTTCCAGGCCGTTGCCGTCCTGTCTATGGCGCCTCTGTTCCCTTTACTCGAGAAGGAATGGAACCTCAAAAACAGTAACCAGTTAACCATGATAACCGGTAGCTCTGTTCTCGTTCTCGGATATGGAAACTTCGTTGTGATTCCGTTTTCGAACGTCTTTGGGCGTCGTGCCACGGTTCTCATCTTCGGTGTGCTGTTCCTTGCATGCCAGATCTGGCAGGCTCTCGCCAAGTCGTATGGGAGTTTTATTGGTGCAAGGAGCCTCGTTGGTCTTGCTGCATCGCCGAGCGAGACTATCGTTGTCCAAGTAGTCGCTGATATCTTCTTTCTGCACGAGAGGGGTGCATGGGTTGGTTTCTCCATGTAAGTCCGTCCTTCTTACGTAGCGTTATAACCATACTGACAATGTGGGCATATAGGCTGGCTGCATTCTTGGGCACGTTCCTGGGTCCTGTTATTGCCGGTGCAATGGCTGAACAGTAAGTGCATGTTGTTTTCGTATTTGACCTCTAAATAACCTAGTGCGATAGTCACGGCTGGAGAAGCTTCTTCTGGCTCTCTCTCGGGATTTTTGCATTCATCATGGTGCTGATAGTAGTCTTGTTTCCGGAAACGAAATATCGCCGCAAACTTAACGAAGCTTCCACCATGGGCACTGTGGTCTTGGAAGATACATCAAAGCCATCAGTCCAACACGTCGATACAAGCGAACAAAGTGCAGTCGTTGCGCCTACTGGCGGCGGTCGGCCCAGTATGAGGCAGTATCTCCCCATACAGAGATCAGATAATCGCTGGAAAGCATTCCTCATCCGAGACTTCTTCTCTCCCTTCCGCATCGTTGTGTACCCCATCATCCTCTGGGCGGCACTCTGTCTCACCGGGCCGGCCGATCTCACTCTCTACTACAATCTGACCGAATCGACAATTCTCAGCGCCTCGCCATATAATATGCACCCGATAGACGTTGGATATACGAATTTTGCCTTTGCAATTGGATCTGTGGTTGGCGTCCTGACCGCCGGCCCTTTCTCGGATTGGATGATCAAGCGTGCAACGATCAGAAACAACGGGATTCGCGAAGCGGAGATGCGCTTACCGGCGCTCATCCCGTTCGGTATTGCGCTGGCTGTGGGAATGGCCCTTACCGCCGCAGCAACACAGTACAGGTGGCCTTGGCCAGTTCTTGTGGTCTTGGGATACGGCAGTGCAGGGCTGGGCATTACAAGTGTTCCCACCATTGGAATCGCTTATGCCGTCGACTGCTATAAGCCTGTCAGTGGAGAGCTCATGGTCATCGCTACGGTTATGAAGAATACCTCTGGCTTCGCCATGTCATATTGGGTTCCCAGTTTGGGCGAAGCACATGGCTTGATGGTGCCGCTCATGGTCTGGTTCACGTTCACAATGCTACCGCTCTTCCTGGCCATACCTCTCTGGATTTGGGGGAAACGGTTACGCCGGTGGACCAAGGATGCGTGCGTGCATAAATATGAGGAGCTCCTGTAGACCTGCTGGCATTTGCTCTGATTCTTTCTCTCAACCACAATCCGTGCCCTCCCGCGTCGTTTTAACGGTTGACGTTCTTGACGTTCAGAGAAGCAGTTATATTGCCGGTTCCAAAGCAGATATCTCTAAGAATTAGATTAGATAGATCATGAATAATAGGTCAGTTGATGGTACCACGTGCCCGTGACAGTTGACAGCGCTGCAGGAAAACCTGGAAGGGCTTGGAGAGCGTAATATGTCAATGTGTGGGCTTAACTCATGATTATAGCCTTGAGTATCTTTAGTCAAAGCCCAAGAATGTAACAGAGGTATTTTCTATCTTCACCATCAAGTGACGTGCATCGTATTGACGCTGCTGAAGTGGTTATTGCTCTAGGTTCAGCTCTCAAGCTAGATACACGTGGTTTGGAATTGGTATGATGCAGTGCCCCTTCCTCCTTTCAGGAAGACGGAAACTATCACCTTTCTTAGTTGTTCCGGCACCTGTAGGACCCCTGAGGCCCTGGAAGGTACCTTGCTGCAATCGACAAACCAGCAGCGAGCAGGAACAGGAATATCCAGATAGCGTAGCCCCCCGCCAGCTGTGTCCTCGCCCCTAGTGCGAAGAGGCTGGTGAAGAGGGCCGGGCAGAAGGCCCTCAGACCGCTGACGCCGGTTAAGGCCAACGCGTTCAGCGTACCTAGGACCCTCGGTGAAGGTGCAATGTCGTTCAGGGCGAGCTGGATCGCTGTGAAGCTCATGCTAACTCCGCAGCCGATGACCAGCATCGTGGGCGCGAAGACCCAGAAAGCTTTAACGGATGCCTCGGTCCCTAGCCGCAGGAGGACATTGCCAAGGGGGCAGAACAGGAAGAACCACGGATAGGCAAAGGCGCAGAAGCGTATCACCCCGTTCGACCCGATCCTCTGCTGCAACGGGGGGAAGACCAAGAGGAGCCACGCGGCCTGGGCAGCGCCGCTCAGACCCATCATCAGCGAAATTTGCAGGGGGGTAAAGCCGTATCCCCCGAGGTGCGTGGGGGTGAACCAAAAGACGGGGACAATGGCTGTGTAAGCAAAGGCGAGGACCATGATGTGCCCGTACGTGTAGATGACTATCCCCACCCCCGGTGATCTGAGAAGCTGCCACGTCGAGAGGTCGCCGCTATGGGCTGGCGCGTCGGATACGGCCTCCTCGTTATCGCGGTCCGCCGCAGCCGGCTCCTTCTTCAACGTCTCGCTAACAAAGCAGGCGCTGGTCACGGCAGCGGTGGCTCCCACCAGTGCCACCACCAGGCTCGAGAGCGCGTAGGGATAGTCCTCGAAGAAGCGGAGGGCTCCGAAGGCGCTCGGGTACTGGTGTACCGGGTCGGCAAGGGCACCGCCCAACAGAGGCCCCAGGAAGATGCCCAGATTTCCGCTGAAGGCGAACCAGCTGAATGCCCGGGCCTGAGTCCTGGCTGTGCTGTGCTCGGCCACCATGGTGCGGATGGTGACGATAGTCCCAGCAAAGACGCCGGCAAGGCACCTGAACAGGATCATTTGCGCGATGGTCTTTGCCAGCCCGAAGAGGCCCGTCGCCACGGTCACGCCGAGCAAAGAGAAGACCAGGACGGGCTTGCGCCCGATGCTATCGGCTGCTCGGCCCCAGAATATCATGACGATGGCCTGTGTTAGGGAGAATAATGACTCGATGAGCCCGCTGTAGAAGCCGACATCCGAGTCCGCAACGCCCCCATTGTCCTGGACCATCTGGTTGATGTAAGGGAAGATGGAGAAGAAGGCCAGGGGCTCTATCACCCGGGCATAGCAGAGCAGCAGGACCTGAAGCTTAGGCAGAGGCTTTTCGTCTCCAGAGCCATCTGGCGCTGACAGACCGTCTGTGCCGGACGGTAGAAGAGCTGTAGTTTCATCGACATGATCTCTTTCCTCGCCAAGTCCGGCCGCCAATTTTCTGCCTGTCGTCGGCGTGGTGGCGACCATGTCTGGATGTAGTGTCTGTCTATCTTGTAGGTGGAAGAATATTGCCTGAGGTGGGCAGCGAGGAAGATAATGTTGATGGGGTTGTTCTAGTTAGCAAGGGAGGCCCGTTTGCTAACTAAGCAGAGCTAAGCCTAACCAGCTAACTAGGAGTGAACCACCAACAATGATGTGGATCAGGTGTGCGGCGTCTGGATACCAGATACTAAAGGATACCATAGGATTCGTAGGGATTGCGGTGAACGCTCTATATCGATATACTGCCGTCTCTAGTACATCGTGAAGCTCTTATATACAGGATCCAGGATACTCGGGTATGGCCATCTTTCTTCCCGGAACATATATACTCCGTGTCCCGGGACCGGATTATTAGATAATCCACCTGTCCGAAATAGTATATCCTCATCAAACAATAATCTGACTGCTGTATCATATGAGATACCCTCAACACTAATGGAGGTATAACTATATCGTTGGTTACTAGCTGGATAGGCCTACGTGGTGGAAAGGGTCAGAGAGGGCGGACCTATGCGGCAGAATCCCACGTGATCCAACAAACACGCCCTCAGTTCCCTATTTGGGAAATTGTGAAGTTACTCGTAGTCCTAGCTTTTCCATGAAATCCCTGAATTCCACCCTTCCGGGGTCTGTAGCCGATCATATTTAGCCTAAGAGCAGCATGTATAGCACTATGTCATCCCTGGTCTCCTTCCTCTCTTTGCCGAAGTGGAGAGGACAAATATCCTAGTGACATCATGGCCACGCATCGACAAACTGGCATCACTGAGACGCTCTCACTCACTTCATCTCTCCAACTCTTCATATAGAGACACTAAATAAAATGCCTGACAGAGTGGAAAAAGTAAAGGCCTCCGAGCTGGACGAAGGAACCGGTAAGCCTGTCATGACATCCCTCCAGAAGAACGAAAAGGCATACTAAAAAAGCCTTGAACAGGCGGACATACGGACGGCATGGTTCGAAAAGGGGCAATTGTTGGCAAGTCAGACAGAATATGTTCCACAGGTTTAGTCTAATCCTTTTCAGCATCATCCATGTTTCACAGCACAGCAGCTAACTCTGCCCTTCAAAGTCATGTTGGCTCCTCCCCATTCCTCTTCTGCCGTTCACCACCATGGCGAGCAGGATACAATTGTTTATGCAGTCCGTGGCCAAGGCGCGCTGGTCTTCGATGGCGGCCGGCAACACAAAGATCTCTCACCGGGAGATTTTGCCCTGATCCCTGCGTAAGTTGAGTGCTCCCAACTTCATTCTAGTACATGTTCTTAATTACTTGGCAACCATGTAAAAACAGCTACACAAAACACCAGGAAGCCAATGGATCAGACCAGGAGGTTGAATGGGTCATCATACGAACAGGGCCAAAGCCAATCACAGTCAATTTTGATGGATGGGACGAAGGATTACCTAGTCTTCCATAATTAAGTCCTGTTGATCAGAGTGGAAAGGGAAGGAGATGAAGCGTTCTGGAAGTTCCAATCCATATGTGCTAATTTAAATTACAAAAATGCAGTATAGGAAGCTCTGCTCTGTATATCAATGAGAAATGCAGGTTACGTGCAGACTTTTGGAGATACCCAAAAAAGTAAAAAACCAAAAAGGTTATGTATGGCAGGGGAAGAAGGAATGTACAAGTAAAAGAGGGAAGGAAAAGGAACTCCATCGCTAATAACCCAAGGGAATTGAACATAGGGGGTATATAAACCAAGAAAAAAAAAAAAAAAAAAAAAGACATAGGGAGTATAAAACACAATGGGCATGATATGACATGACGAGGAGAAGAAGAGAAAAGAAAAGAAACCTATATACTGCTCATCCTCACTGCGCATTCATCATCAACTCGCTCAAATATGTCCGAGTTTGCTGAGAAGCATCTTGCATTCGTTAACCGGCATATTGGAAACTCCCAATGCCCGGACTTGTGTCCCTCCACGGAGACGCTGTAGTCCAATGGGCACTTTCCATCCTTCGTTTTCCTGTATGACAAAGACGTATTTCTTTCCTTCCTGGTCCCGGAGACTGGCTCGCAGTACGTGGAGGTTCTGTTCCGAGTACCCGTTATCCCCAGGCGAATATTCTGAACGGCACCGATTCTTGCATACTTTCAGCAGGTTTGCGAGGCACGCTTCGGATTCTTCAGCGGTGGGAATGCCGTGTGACATGCCTCGTCTAAAGTGAGATTTATTGGGGCTCTGACGGGCGGATGCAGGCGACATTCCAACTTGGGGACACCAAACCTCGAAAAGTTTCATGGTCCAAGCCTTGACGTCCCATTCTCGTTGAGGAACTCCGCGGACATCGTCATCGATAAAGAGGCCTTCTGTAGTGATGCGTAGGACCAGACCATCTGTTACCATTCCCAGGCCGGAAACCAACTGTGCGTAAGGATTCTGCATGTACGTGTTATTGAAGGCGAACACGCCCCTGATGACAATCTTGTCAGGATCCTTGGTCGAATAAGTACCTCGGACGGATGGGGGAGGCGACGTCTGGGCTGTCGACTGAGAAGGTGCATACGATGACTCTGAGACGACCGAAGACGCGTAGGTACCAGCGTACGGTCGTCTAGGTCGGTCATATGGCTTAAACGAGTATGAATCTTCGTCATTTGTAGCACTAGTAGAATACTGCGGCTTCTTTGGCGACGGCGTCCGGGGCGCAGTATAACTGCTTGCAGGGCTTTTGGGGATTGAAGAGCTAGCAGGTCCTTTCGTGGAGTTTGCTTTCTCGGCTGCTTCTTTTGCAGCCGCTGCATCCCTTGCTTTCTTCTCCGCGTATTTCTTGGCTGCAGCCTCCTTGAGAGCTGCGAATTTGGCGTCTGCTTCTTTCTTTGCAGCTGCTTTCGCGGCTGCTTCCTTTTCAGCGGCTTCCTTCTCTGCCTTGGCCTTCGCCTCAGCCGCCTCTCTCTCTGCCTTCTCTTTAGCTTCAGCCGCCTCTTTCTCTGCTTTCGCTTTGGCCGCAGCAGCGGCCCGCATTTCCCTCAGCTTTGCTTCGACGGCCTCCCTTTGAGATTTTGCTCGAATTTCCGCGGCTTCACGTTCTGCTTTTGCTTTAGCTTCTGCAGCTTCTTTCTCAGCCTTCGCTTTAGCCTCAGCAGCTTCTCTTTCGACCTTAGCCTTAGCTTCTGCCGCTTCCTTCTCTGCTTTTTCGCGTGCTGCCTTTGCTGCCTCTGCCATTTCTCGTTCGAGTTGCTCTCTTCGTTCCCTCAGTTCCCTCTCTATTCCTTCCTCCTCCCTCTTTCGCCTTTGCGCTTCCATTTTACGCCGGTACTCCTCACGCCGTTGTACCTCCTCCTCTTTCTTGCGTCGTCGTTCCTCTTCGCGTCGTCGTTCCTCTTCGCGCCTTTTTTCCTCTTCGCGTCGTCGTTCCTCTTCGCGTCGTCGTTCCTCTTCGCGCCTTTTTTCCTCTTCGCGTCTTTTTTCCTCTTCGCGTCGTTTTTCCTCTTCGCGTCGTTTTTCCTCTTCGCGTCGTTTTTCCCCTTCACGTCGTCGTTCTTCACGTTCCTTTTCCCAGTCCGGGGGTCTCGATTCGGGAGGAGGACCTGCATTAGGTGAAGGGCCATTGGACCTGTATTGATTACCGTCAGGACGTGATGAACCCCAACCACCACCAAATTGGCCACCAAAATTTTGTCCCTCTGAGCGGTTTCCTGTCCCGAAATTGGGACCTTTGGAGTAGTTCCCATTTGTGCTTGAAAAGCCGCCCTGTGAATTACCACCCCCAGAGCCTGATCCAGGCCAAAAACCGCCGAAACCCGGTCGGCCGCCGCCTCCTTGAGAGGCACCGTTGCCTGCTTGTGTTTGCGACATGCCAAACGCCCATCCTGCAACCCCAACGGCAACAACTAAGGAGCCAATTGCTAATCCATTGCCACTAGCTACTATCGACGAGGTCCATGTCTTCAGGTAAGGCGAGATGATGTTCCATATGTAAGTTGACGCTAGTGTAACCAGACAGCCCGCAAGAAAGCTGTTGCGATGGCATTGTAGTGATGGGAGGTAGATGAATCCCGAGCCCGAAGAGTGCGGAGGGATGATAAATATATCGTAATTCCCCGGTGGGAGGTTAGATGCCTTCCGATACTCGCCCTCTGTTGTGTTGGGATTTTCACCATGCGGAGGTGGTGGGGGAGGGCCATCCATTGTTTGCGGTCACTCGAGCAAGTACCAAGGAAGGGGTTTGAACTGAAGAAAGAGAACTGTACGCAGTTCTCTATGCTGTTGACTATGGATGCGCTTATGTTGGACCCAACTGTCTCCCAGCTTCTAGTTCTTCCCTTCTTCTGGAGAGTGACACGGTAGTTGTAGCGGTAGAAGTGATGGTGATAATGTTAATGCAGTCATGTTCATATCCTTATAACACATGTAAATTGACTGGGGTCGCAACTGAAAAGGTTGAAGGGCACATATGATGTTTATTTTGATTCCTTCAACAGAAGTTTAAAAAGAGGGGAAGGATTAGGATTGACAGTCAATCAATCCACACAGATGGCGGATGTTTGGGGGCCGCCGTTCACAACGACAGATGGCTGGTTGGGAGCCAGCTGAGACCAGGTCAGGCAATATAAATAAATGAGTCCACACAGCACAGCCGGCGCCTAGGGAACGGTAGTACGGAGGCTGTGAGCGGATCTTACTGGACGATCTCTTTAGCAACGAAGACCGATAAAAAGTTCGATACGAAGACCGTTGTACGGGGGTAGAGCGTAATCATACGCCAACCCCTCCGATTCCTGTAATAATAATAATAATAACGACAATGTCGAACAGGTTGAGTTTATCGGTATGGGTGAGTTGGCAGCTTGGCATGTGTCTGGTGTCGAACAGGCAGACATTCAAGGGTGACAGTTGATCTGTCACGGACTGGTGCCTGGAGGCAGAGCAGGAGTCCACAGAGCATTGCCAAGGGCCACGTACCCGCGTACGTCAGAAGATGACAGCGCTGCAATAGAGCAAGCAAGATTGACGCTCGACAGAACAATCAATCAAGGCGGTTGTTTACTCCAGGGGCTGCACGTGATGCAAATGGACGTTGTCACGGGAACTGCGTTACTCGATAGTCACCTGACCTAAATGGGAGCCGCATGTTCTTGTCTGCCTGAGGCAATAGTAATAACCAGTGCTTCCTGCGGTCTCACTGCCGACGGGAGGAGTAGATATTATCATCTCTTGATGAAACGTAGTCCACATATTGATTGGCCTGTGCATGCCAATGGGTGGATAGATATCGCAGTATGGAGTAGAGCACAGCGTAAGGAACACGGCGTCCGCAGCAGTCCAATGCCGTCCCTGCAGCAAACACGTAACCGCATCTTTGCCTTGCGATGAGCAATTTGAGAGAGCAATCGAGCAGATAAGCTCAAGGATAATAATAATGTTGCACAGCGTACGAAGTATATAGCCATAATAATATAAGATGCCAGTTGCCAGTTGCCTTCGCCCTGCCGGAAGGGGATTAGTCATGTGCCGGCGGCCAACCACGACCCAAAAAGGACATCTCGTCTTCTCCAGCTTCAACATCGCCGCCGCCGCTGCTGCCTCGGGTCTCTACTCTCTCCATCGCCCTGCGTCTGCGGCCCGATCGTCATTGTTATTCAGTCCTGGTTGACGCTTCTTCTTCTCCTTCTTCTCCTTCTTCCTGCTGTTTGTCCCTGTCACAATCTAACGCATCGCTGCATTCGTCCTTGTCATCATTCCGACCCTGATTCGCTGTATTACTACCCTACCTCCTCCTGCTTTGACTTTCGTGCTTCGTAGGTGACTTCCAGTCAACCAACAACCTCATCAATCCTCATTCCCTCTATGCAGTTCCTATAGCTTGCTATCGTCGCTTTGCCAGTTCACAGGCCTCTCGAGGCCTCGCATACCCCCGCCATGTCCTCGCATACCCCCGCCATGTCCTCCTACCATTCGCAATCCCATTCCTACCACGGCCATGTTGCCCAGACTTCGGCGTATAATCCGATAGCTGCATTGCAAGCTCCTGCCGGTACCTTTCTGCCCGGTACCAAGGTTCAGGTCGGCAATCATCGCGTGGTAGTCGAGAAGTATCTCTCGGAGGGTGGATTTGCACACGTCTATCTCGTGCGGCTTCCTCAGCCCGTGGATCACTCGGAGGTTGCCGTGTTGAAGCGGGTTGCGGTTCCGGACAAGATTGAACTCGCCAATATGCGCACCGAAGTAGAAACTATGAAAAAGCTCCGGGGACACCGGCATATCGTCAAGTATATCGACTCCCATGCCTCGCAACTTCAGGGTGGTGGGTACGAGGTGTTTCTGCTCATGGAATACTGCTCCGGTGGAGGCTTGATTGACTTCATGAACACGCGCTTGCAGAATCGTCTCACCGAACCCGAGATCATCAAGATCTTCTCCGACGTCACCGAGGGCGTCGCCTGCATGCACTATCTAAAACCTCCGCTGTTGCATAGGGATCTCAAGGTTGAGAATGTTTTGATCTCCCGCTCCGGCAGCGGGGTCTGCTACAAGCTATGCGACTTTGGTTCCGCCGCACCTCCACGGCCAGCCGCCAAAACGGCTGCCGAAGGCAGACTGATCGAGGAAGACATTCAGAGACACACGACACTGCAGTACAGAAGCCCCGAGATGATCGATGTATATAGGAAACACCCGATTGATGAGAAGAGCGATATATGGGCCCTAGGCGTGCTTTTGTACAAGCTATGCTACTATACAACTCCTTTTGAAGACGCCGGCCAAATGGCCATCCTCAATGCGAGCTTCAAATTTCCTGCGTATCCGCCATTTAGCGATCGGCTGAAGTTGCTTATTGGTAAGGACTTTTTCGAACCGCCGTTTGTTGAACGGTTTCCTCACTAATCACTCTTTTTCATTAGCGTCAATGCTGCGGGAAGATCCGCAGAAGCGTCCTAGTATCTACGAGATCCTGAACGCCGTGTGTAAAATGCAAGGCAAGGAGACTCCGATCAGAGACGTGAGTATCCTTATCTGGTTTTCCCGCCACTTTCTTTCTTATAACCCGTCTGTAGATATACTCCAGTCGCTCCACTTCTGAAGCCCACCGATATCAGGAACTGCCGAAGCCTCCGGCAGAAACAGCTCGAGTTGGTGCGGTGTTTTCCCCGCCTGTTCAGGAGACGCAAATTATTCCAGATATCGCTCCCATGCGGAGAGGACGTCCAGCAAAGCCTACTTCGCAGCATAACTCGACTAGGCCAAGCCCTTCGCCCTTCCGCGGTCCATCTGCAGATCCATTTGCGGCTCTCGATGGAGGACGAGCGAGATCTAGGAATACTGACGAGCTCTCTCACCGGTTTCCAACCTTAGACCAATTCCAAATCCTGCATGAAACGGGAGGTAAATTCGATTTCGAGCCAGCCGTTGCTGCCGAAAGCAAGCCAGAGGATGAGGATCTTGCGCGAAGGCTGACTAATGCGTTGGCTGATGATGCCTTTGTGAAACGGCGGGAGCCGGTGCGTGAGCCGGTTATGCAGTCGAAAGGCCCTCCAGGCTCGTCGGTGGATACGAAACCTAGGGAATCTCCAAGACCTCCAGAGGAACGCTCTCAACAGCAGACTCCACTGTACCAACCGATTCCAACGAAGCCGACCATGGTGTCAACTGGCACAATGACGTCGCCCCCTGCCACCCCTGGAGTACCAGAAATAAAGACATCCAACCGTTCAGTATATAAGTATGCACCCCAGGAATCTGACCATCAGCCCTCCAGTCAGCCACGGACGGCCGAAAATGAAAGAAAACAATTTGGCCAAATAAATAACAGCAGTACCAACAGCAATAATAGTAATATTAATAACCACCACGACGTGCTATCTTCTCATACCACAGCCTCCTTCAAGACCCAACCAGCACCAAGACCTTCGTCTGAAGGAATATCTCATGTCCCTGCTTCGTCAAGACCTTCACTGGAAGGCCTACGACCCTCGCACGCAGAGCTCGATCCCTCAGTCGTCCGGTCCAAGTCAGTGATCTCCCGGACCCGCCCTCTATCCGTCTACGCTACGTCGAAACATGATTTCCCCGATCGCGTTGAGAGCGCACGCGCTTCTCTTGACTTGCCTCGCCCTAAGTACGACGGAGGAGCGATGCTGAAGCCGGTGCGTAGTGACATTGGTCGAGAGTACGACCCATCGAACATCTCTTCGGATGTGGACTACCTGCGTGCAAAGGAAGAAGAGATGCACCGGAAGCGCGAGAAGCGCCCTGGCACTAGTGCGAAGCATACCAAACGGCCTAGTCTGTCGAAGTCAATCCCAGGCACGAAGTTGCTAACCGGTCGGTTCGGCGACGCATTCCGCCGATTTGAAAGTCATGGTAGTGACCATAAACATCGGCATGCTCTACCTCCGTCCGAGAAGCCTGCGCAGATGACCCTGATTACCAATTCCGAAGTCATGCAGTCTTCTGAGGATGCGCTCGATGATGCTGAAGAAGATGATGCTGACATCTCCCCGGAGATGCGTCGTGAGCTTGAGCGCCGGCGATTGTTGCAGGAGGAAAAGCGAGTGGCTAGCGCGGCAGCGGAATACCGCCGTCTGGTTGCCGAACGAGGGCAGGGGCGCTGGAAAGCTGGGACAGATAATCCCAGATCAGCTGCCATCCAAAGCAAGATGCAGTCCTTACTGCAGGAGAATAATAGGGTTCCTTCCACGAGGACAGCCTCGGGTTATGGACGGTATACAGACTCTAACACGACCGCTTTGCAGGCAAAGCCGTCAGAGTCACGCCCGGAGCAAAATCCTAGCACTTCGCGAACTGCTGGCCCCGCGTATGGTACCCACAGTGGGCGGGCGTCACCCTCTAGAGAGAATAGAGATGAACGGGGCATTTCTTCCGGTGTTCCTATTCAACACCCAACACAGACGGGTTGTGTTACCGCTGCTGTTTCTCAACCGCAGCGCACAGGACCGCGTCCGGTCCCTCCTCCTCGGCCGGTGGCGCCTCCGAAGCCCAAGAATCTTAGAGTCGGTACTACGCAAGACATCTCACCACCCTCTAGCCGTGAAAGCAATGGGGCTCTCAAGTCGCCGGCTAATGTTGACGATTGGGAGTCTAGCTTCAGCAGACGGTTCCCAAGTCTGTCGAGGCTTGAGATGGTTGAGACTGAGATCGAAGTCCCTAGGATGTCCAGCCTGAGAACCAAGGAGGTTTGAAGAGAAAGTGATATTTGTTGGTTACTATAGCACTGGTTTGCATTAGCGAGCGGCCCGTTCTGTTGTAGCCTTTGTTTAGTGTTTAGTGTTGGTCGTTCCCTCATGATGTGTGATAGAGATTCTGGCATCTACATAGCTTCTTTCCTTTGCATATAATACACCAGCGTGCTGTGTTATTGACTTGGTTCCATGCAGAGTACTCCTATCTATAGACTCTAAAGTAACAGATAGTACAGCATAGATTCTTAAAGAGCACCATTTTATATGGAAATACAGAGCTGGACCACTCGCTTGTGGACTTCGTTATTCTGCCTATTCGTCCCCAGTTCCAAATTAGGAAACAGACAGGAAATACTTATGAAGTATGAACATACTCCCTATATGTCAATGGGATCCATCATGCATTTCTTCATGGTGTTAGGCAGTCACATAGGAAATTATTTGTCTTTCCAGTAACGAATCATTCATCTATGTTAGACTCCAACGTGCCTATTTTATCTCTTTATTTCTTCCCTGTCTTATCCTCCTGTCCCCTATTCCTTGAAAATTGAAATATATATATAATAAAAATAGGACAATGACAACGACAACTTGGCATGTCATCCACCATTTCGACTGCAAGCAGAATCCCATCCACCACGCGCGATTCAAACACGGAAATGGCCTTTACTTCTCTGGCTCTCGCCCTAACTGCTCATTTCCAGAACGTCAAAGAATGTTTTACAGATGACCGCCATTTCAGCTAGGAAATCAAGTCTGCATAGCGGCATAGATGCGGTGGTGTTGCTGCCTAAGGCGTTCGAATCCTAATTGGGTTAGTCTGGCTGTCACGGGGAACGGGGAAGCTCAGCTGCAGCTCTCTTTGACTTCAATTCAATTCCAAGCCCATTTCCACCTGTTCCTCCCTACCAAACAGTCTGGCATCCGGTCCTCTGCGCAGAAACTATATGGCAATTCCAACCTTGAGCACAGTTGATAGTCAGTACACGTCTGATTCACGTTGGATGCGTATTGGCACAAGCTAATGCGCGCTACATGCAGATGACCTAAAAGATGTAATCCAGCACCTTTTCGAGATTCAGTCTGCTGTCCATGGCTATCTGGGTCCTGAAACGCAGCAGGAACTTGTGCGAAAGATGTATGTTCATCTCATGTCTCTGTTGGTGTTAATTCACTCACCAACGTTTGATGCTTGATGAAAAACAGCAAGAATCTCACCATAGCACTCTCAACGCTATCCACGCACACCGATCTCGATCATCAACGACCAGACACACAGGAAGCTACAGCGGAATCGTCGCCTGGGAACAATGCCTTTCCCTCTGATCCCCCACTGTCGTCCATCCACCTCCCTCCTGAGATAATCGACTACGTTGAGGCAGCTAGGAACCCAGATATCTACACGCGAGAGTTCGTCGAGTTAGTGCAGCGTGGCAATCAGGATCTTCATGGGAAGAAGCTTGCTTTTGCGGGGTTCCGGGATGTGCTCGCGAGGGAGATGAGGAGCGCCATGCCGGAATGTAGGGAGGAGGTCGATAGAGTTGTTGCTGCTACTGGCGGTGCTAGTGGTGAGACGAAACCGGGGGAGTGATTTCGGATGCTCAATCTTTGGTTTTAGCGGTGCTAATCACTCACCTGGATGGCATCTTTGTCGATATCCCCTCTCCGGGCCCTGCCCGAGACGCGCGCCGGCAGAGGCGAATTCCGCGGGCGAGATTGATCTACCGATCTAGTCGTTTGTAGACACGGTGGGAAGGGTGCCTCTGAGCACCTTGATACTTGGGAGGATTCGGTCGGAATTACTCTTCGAGGATATTGTGGACTGTCATCGATTCCTCGCCTTGATGTCATCGACGGCAGGGGATTGAGAAGACGCCATCCGAGGGATCTATGATGGAGAGCCAGGAACATAGGATTGCCCATAATCCCCCCGGGTCCATTCGATGGTGGCTTAAATGACGTATGTGAGCTGAATGCTTTGCAGTGCTGTTCCTTTGCATACGGTATCTGTCCTCGGAATAAGGAATCAATCAGATTCTTATGCTTCTGCCAGGCATCAAAATACTTGTAATCACCCAATCCCTGCCGTAAAGCCTGATTCTATACGATGTATCTTCTATCGGTGCATGTACGAGTTGTCAGACTTGCCGACTTCCCGTCATCCTGAAATGCTTCTGCCTACAGGACAGCCTTGTTTTATTAACTCGAAATCAGCCTTGTCTTCTGCATTTCATATATCCAGGTACAGTGTGTGCACATCGTACCCCTAGTCCCTCCAATAAATAAATCCAACCTATCGAACTTGCCAGGAATCAAACTATGCCATCCATCTCCCGCAAATACGAGACGTCCTCCGAAACAGACTCGGAGAGCGTCCCCATCTACACCCCTTCCAGGGGGTCATCGCATGCCGATGTGCTTGAACTGGAGTCCTCCCCACTTCTTCCGGAGGATGAGAAATCTAGTCTCTGCCATCAGGGCACGGAGACATCAAAGATGGGTGGAGTTTCTGGTGGAGAGGATGCTGATGCTGCAGCAGGTTCTGGGGGCGGTCGTGGGCATTGGTGCAAGCATCGCAGCCATAGCGGCGCCTTGCTAAGAACTCGGCGACGACGACATAAGCACATCCTGGCTTTTGCTGGGTTTAAGGTGCTTATGCTCGCTGCTGTGCTTGTGTTCTTCCTGACGACGGGGGATTGGAATTGGAAATTGGTATGTTTGTCTGTTATAGACATGGTACTGAGGATTGATCCTGATCTTTGTCTAGTCCAGCTGGCATCCCTGGCATCGGTGCCACCATCAGGGACACCATGATACTGAACAGGCGGATTATTCATCTCTGCTCAGTGATGGGAAACGTGAAATCGTCGTCGACAACGGCCCAAGGTCCATCTGGGGCAACTATCCCCTGTTGGACCTGTTATCTCTCACTACAACTTCCGGCAGTGTCGCGATAGCCATCACGCCCCAACCAGCAGACCCCAAGAAACCAGATGAACCGGCCAGAGTGCGCATCAGGACGGGCTCTGGGAGCATCGCCGTCTCCTTCAAGGCGCCGCATGATGCAGCAGTGACGGTTGGAGCGGATAATGAATATGATGAACACGACGGACACAATGAGGGCGAAACGCATAAAAAGGACAAGAACAAGAACAAAGACCTCAACACCCTCCCTCACCGTCCATACGAGATATACATCCACTCCGACACGGGCTCGATTACGGGCCGCTTCGTCTTCTCCTCCTCCGCAAGTATCTCCACGGTTCGGGGGTCAATCAGCGCCCTTCTCGTCCCGATTAGGTACGACACCGACAGCGAAAAGCAACCATCCCTACATACATCTACGGAACAGGGAAGCCAAAACATCCGCTTCGCAGAACCCATCATTCTCCCTGTTGCTGCTTCAGAGAAGGAAGAAACCGCCGCTGTGAATCTGAACTATCATAATATCCCTCAAGCCACACACACCAGTACCCAAGGCTCGATTAATATCCATTACCCCGAACACTGGGCGGGAGAAGTCCATGCCAAGTCGTCGGATGGACGGATCTGTCTTGATGGAAAGGGGTTGAGGGTTAATAAGTCCGGGGACGGGTATGCGGATGGGTTCAAGGAGGCTGAGGATGGTGATGAGGGATATGCCTGGTGGGGAGGGAAGGGGGATATGAATGTTTCTTTGGCGACGAGGGAGGGGTCGATTGTTTTCTTTGTTGGATAGGATGGAGCGTATCGGTCATGCCATATGTAATGGTTTCTAGGTAGAGGTAACGTTAGCGTGTAGGACTTGGGGATTAGTCACAAGTAGTATACCAAATTGAATATCCTAGCACTAACACCTACATCGACATTCATGTTTTTCCTCGCAATTGGCATCAATCGATGAATACTGAGGCATTATTAAGCATATAGGTCCCAATTAGATACCACCGGCAAAAGCAGCGTGTATGTACTATGCAGGATCTGAGATTCCTTCTGTCCGGGGACAGGAATCATGCCATATCATATTATGACCAGACCAAATCATATGCGATGGAGAGGGGAATGCACGTATCGAGTCTCGTTGAATCATTCCCCGCGAGGATCATATGTACTCCATAGTCGGTGCTTTTGCAGATGCAGATGCAGGCAGCTCGCATATTAAATATCGGTGGCTGGGTGAATGGCGTTCATTGATCGGGTAATCATTAGAGATGAAAATAGAGAATTGCATACAAACTACAGACTTTTGCTCTCCACATGCTAGATCTACCCCATAACGATAAATTTAACCAGATACATAGTAAACATTAAACAGTACACAGCCGGAACGCCGTATCCAGCTACATCATATCATACCATACCCAAGACCAGACCAGACGGGTCATGGATACAATGATATGATCAGCTCCTCAAAACTAGAATAAGACGCACGTTCTTTCTGGGATTCTCCTCCAGCCTCCTGTCTGGGGATATGACATCGAAATTGACATGGGCGTTGACGTTGACGTTGACGCTGATCAATGCATGATCGAACTCGAGCACGAAAAAAGTGCAAAAATAAATAACAAAACCGTACCGAACAGAGGGAAAAAAAAAAAAAAAAAAAACTCTCTATCTGGACCGTGCTCCCGGACAGGGGATGGGATGACGAAGTATGAGCAAGAAACTGGAAAGAAAGGGAAGAAAAAAAAAAGAACATAATAAAAAGAAAGAAAAAGATCAATCATCATCTCTATAGCGCATCTTCTGTGGCGAAAACACAGGCATCAGAGACATAAGATCAGGGGTATACACAGAAAAAGGAGAATGGGAAGAATTAACCAAGCATGGACATGAAAAGAAGCAGACATCCAAAACACACAAGGCCCAGCTAGATGTAATGCGGCAAGATGAATCGAACAGCCCCCCGTTGGTATGGGAATAAAAGAAGAGGAAAAATCGTACAGAAACGTTTGAGGCTGTTCTTTTTCTCGCTTTTCGCTCCACACTCAAGGAAACCCTCTAGAATGGAAATCCGCCTGGAAATCCACCCCCAGCTCGGGCGTTGCCAAAGGGCGATCCTCCAGCGTGTGCGAATCCGCCACCACCGCCGTTCATCATGTTGAATAGCACGCTCGGGTCGATGTTGATGTGCGTAGCACCACCCATTCCACCCATTCCACCCATTCCGCCCATTCCGCCCATGTTGAAGCCGTGCCCACCGAACATATCGGCGGGGTCGATGAGGTCGTCTCCATTGTCATATGAAGCTCGTTTCCTGGAATAGAATGAGTAAAAGAAATCTACATGGATATACAGGCTGAAACTTACTGAGGATCGATCAGAGTCTCGTACGCTTCTCCGATCTCTTTGAACTTCTCGTCGCCAGCCTCCCCATCACGATTCTTGTCAGGGTGGTACTTGATGGCCAGCTTCCGGTATGCCTTCTTAATATCCTGTTCCGATGCGTCCTTGGGAACTCCGAGGATCTTGTAGTAGTCCTTCCGCTGGGCCTTCTTCTGCTCCAGTTCTGCGCGGCGGATATCTTCCTGGATTCCTGGCTCGGACGGGTTACTTTCAGCCACCTTCTTGTAGTCCCGGATGGCGTCCTCCCACTTCTCCGCACCAGCGTACGCCTTGGCACGGATCTTCATGGCCTTGACGTAGGACGGGTCGAGACGAAGGGCCTCGGTACAGTCACCAATGGCATGTTCATAATCTTTGATCGCGATGTAAGCTTGGGCACGGTTCTGGAGGACCTTGGAATTGATATCCTTGTTGTTAGGGTCGAGTCCCAGAGCAGCGGAGTACAGCTCGATAGCTCTCTGGTAGTCTCTGGCCTTGAACGCCGCGTTTCCTTCCTCCTTTGTCCGGACGAGTTTCTGGACGTTGCGCAGCAGCCGGATGGCCGGCTTGGAATCCGGATCCAACGACAGACACATTCTCAGATGCTTCAGAGCCTGATCGGTGTCGCCGGTCCCGAGGAAAGCGCGGGCACGAATGAAGAGAGCATCCGGGTCCTGGTTGTTCTCACGGAGCATCGACATGGCAATATCCTGCGCTTTCCCCAAGGAGTTGTCGTTATTCATCTTCAGCTGGGCTTCCGCGGTCAGTAGGGTCCACTTGCGCGGTTCCTTGACGCCCTTCCCAAGACCCAGCCGGGCCTGATCCAGGCAGAACAACACCATCGACACGCCGCGTTCCTGTTTCAGAGTCTCTTCCGCCTGTGTAACGAATCGCAGCATCTTCTCTGCAGGGGCCCTGTCAGTGGCCGTGGCGGGGGGCTGGATGCGAGACAGAACATTCAACGCCTCTACGGGGCGTCCTAGATTCGTCAAGATACGCGCCAAGCGGTGCATGATCTTGGGGTTTCCAGGATCGAGCTGATTGGCACGCTCCGCATCCTCCAGGGCAGCGAGGTATCGGTTGGCGGAGAGATTCGCAGCGGCACGGTTGGAAAGATAAATGGAAGAATTCGGGCACAATTCAAGAGCTGCAAAATCAGTCAGTAGGATAGAACGAGGGGGGGAAAGCCGAGGAAGAGAAAAACCCCACCCTTGTTATACTCCAGAATAGCGTTATTATAGTCGCCAGCCTTGAAAGCTTTGTTCCCCGCTAATTTGAACGAATCAGCTTCGGCAGTGGTCGGGTTCGACTTATGAGGCGGAGGAGTCGGACTCCTCTGTCCCTTTTGTGACCCGTTGACACCGTTACTGGTGTGGTTGGGCGTGTTTGAATTTTTCCGCACGAAGGACGGAGCAGGAGCAGGAGCCGGGGAGGAGCGAGCATCCTTGTCGATGTCCATCGACGCACGCGGGCTATCTCTAGCGGCGGCCATGGCGGAAAGACGGCGCAGTTCGTCCGGGTGGAGATTCAGAGGGTGTAGGTCGGGGTCCCGATCGCGGGCGTGGTGATGACGGGAGCTGAAGCTGTATCTGGACGAGGAGGTGGCGGCAGAGGACGAGCGGCTGTGGGAGAGGCGAGAGCGAGAAACCGAAGCCGATTTGGACGGGGAGTGGTGTTTTCTCGGAGAAGACGAACCAGGGCCAGGACGAGGGGACTAAGAAGACGGCGGGTTGCGAGGATGGGGAGAACTTGAGGGTGATGGCGTGTCTTTGCCTTTGCCTGTGCCTGTGCCTGTGCCTGTGCCTGCACCTGTGCACTGGCCTGATAAGCGGTCGCGGCTCACTGACGGAGAAACAGTAGGGACCGATGGAGGAGGATTGGGGAGGTCTTTTTTCGCTTTGTCCTTGTTCTTGGCCTTATTCTTGTCCTTGGAGAAGAACTGGGTGAGAACCATTGAGGGAGAGGTGATTTTTTTTCCCTGGTCTTTTTTATCGAAGAACAACGAAGGCGGTGGAATTCTTTAATAAGCTGGGAGTTAGAATCCGGTTCCAGGTGCTGTACGGAGTATATATATATATATATATATATATAAGCTGCTCTCAACAGAACCAGTCGACGCACGAGAGAAATCCGTTCAATCGTGCTTTTCAGGGGAGTCCTTTAACTGCGTCCAGCCATGGCAAGGTATATATAACGAAAAGTGGAGGGTCGTTGCAGGAGGGTCGTTGCAGGAGGAAGCGGACGAGAAACGCGCAGGAGAACAAGATCAAAAACCCCAAGGCTCATGAGATCGCACGGATTCCAAACGGTCGAGTCTGGCAGCCGTTGCAGTGCTTCCTCTGGCGGCGATGGATCATAAGTATGCCTCTGCTGGCGATATTTCCGGAGGCTGGAGAAGGCATGCAGCGTTGGTCTGTGTTAGCGTGCGCTTCCTGTGGAATCTCGTCGATTCTTCTGCCAATGTAAGATATGCGTATTGTATTTGTCTGTTCCGGTAGTATTAATTAGGTATACTCATGGAGTAATATTCATGGAGCAGACAGACGTGATGTTGATGTCCTAGGTACCGTGTACTCTGTCACGGTTTACTCGATACTTCACAATAACACACCACCGAAATTACTAACACCCCTGCTACAGCCATTCTAGGCTTACGCTCTTCTGCAATTATACCACTCTTCTGTACTGCTTGATTGACGCTTAATTCGATTGACTGCATTATCCGGTTTCCTACCTAGGCGCTGCACGCCAAAAAATGCTTGCTGTACGGCACCAGACAGAGCAGCCAACCGAGCGTCCACCATGTCTCAAAACAAATCCCACCAAAACAACGTCTGCACTAGATCTTCCGGAGGATGGGCCCTTTCGCTGCCAATATCGCCTGCTGCTAAGAAACGCCTGGTCTTTCAGCGAATATCTTCTCAGTGATAACTCTTTCCCCGCCTGAGCTTTAATCTTGATGTGATCCTCGGAAATCTTGGAATCTGGGGCGCGACGATAGTCTCCTCGAGCTTTGCAAATCCACACACCCGGGCTTCCCCTTTCTTGAAACCACGAAGTTGGTGCTATGCGCCCGAGGGCATGCAGAGTACCGCCAGGTCTTTCCCAGGTTTGCAGGTATCCAGGCACTCCATCTCCATGGTTGCGGATGCTGTCTGTTCTTGTTGATTTCCATCCTGGTCTCCGAGGGCCTCTTCGTCAAGCTCTCGCGCAAGGTAGGTAAAATCGTGCCTAGTCTCTCCCTTCGTGTAGTTGCCCCTGACTAGTATGCATTTTTGCACGATACCGCTTCTGGTCTGCCCGTATGCTGGTGGGATACTTCACGCTGAGACCACCATACAACTCAGACAGACGTCGCGCGCAAGTAATCCGCATGAGCCTTCAAGTCCGATACTGGCTATTTGTTAGTATAACAAGTTCGCGAACCACTGTAAACCGGACGTTCAGAAGACAACTAAATGGCAACTTACGCGCAGACTGTCCTTCCCAAACGCGCTGATGACTGCTCGTACCCAGAACCTCATCCGTATCGGTAACTATATCATATTGGATCTAGCGCCAAATGAGTCGTTGTAATACCGTACATCTCCAATGCTTTAGGCGATCTTGCCAGATTGCCACCGGTCGTCTTCGCAGCCTTCGTAACTATTACTCTTCGAGAGCAAGAATCATGGCACGTCTGTTGGATCTTCCAGATGAATTGATTCTAGCTATCGTCGACTACCTACAAATGGACACAAAGCAGGTCCAATTGCCATTCTATCGACTTGGAGATGCTTACCGCTACGCGATCGACCATGATCCTTCACCAAGAGTTAAACACCTTCATTCTTTGCTACTTACCTCTTATCGCCTGAGTGGTCTTCTGCGGCCAATATTTTATCGTGACATCTTTGTCCGCGAATATTGTCGCGTTGGCGAGGAGGCTCCGCTGCAGCAGCTGAAGTGGAGTCTTGAGAAGAACCCGAGTCTCCAGGAACACATCATTTCGGCGACCGTTCCATGTAGGAGCTCCTGGTGTGGTGACCACTCTATCCATGATATCTTTCAATTTTTTTGGTTCACCAACATCCAGACCCTTACCATTCACAAATTTATCGATTGGGAGCCCCTGGAATTTGAAAACAACTCACATATTGGCACTTCGCCTGTGAAATGTCTAAGGCTGATTGATTGTGGGGCGCATGAGGAGGCTTTGGCCGCTGTATTAAGTTGGCCAGCAGCTTTAAAAATACTTCACTATGATGCCGACCAAGGCGAGTGGGAGGGCGTTCGTGGAAATGAGCCACTCGAAGGCTGGACATGTGCGGCTTTTGTGCGTACACTGCAATCACAAAAGAGATCATTGGAAGAACTTACAATGACACGGCCGTGGCTGGACCATGAAGGACTGGGGGATGGACCTCGCATTGATCTGAGCGAGTTCACGTCCCTTACCACTTTACGCATCTACCACGTCTTTCTCTGCGGGTGGGATGATCGGTATGGGGTCTGGAAATGCTTACCTCGCAGTCTGGAGGTGCTAGAGGTCTTTTACGATGATCATGACCTCACTCCATTTTTATGTGAGACCGACGATGGGTATGATACTTTTGTTTTTGATTTGATTAGGCATAAGAGGGCGCACCTCCCACATTTACGCACAGTGACCATCTACTCGCTTGAAGTAGTCCATGATCATGAAACAGAGGAGAACCTGCCTGCGGGGCTCTGGAGGTTGCCATCTTCACTTGCGCGCGAAGCAAAATCCGCTGGTATAAAGCTGAATGTGTTGCTGGGATACCCGGATGCTCCAAGTTTCGAGGAAGCCGACGTCTTCGGGTCACCGAAAACCAGCTAAGCCGGACAGTCTATTCTATTCGACTCACGCAAGAGTGGCAGCTATAAGAGGGAGCAATGTATCATGATGCAAAAGGATAAAGTTTGTTTAGGCTACACTATATGGTAATGGTGGTAGTTAGCGCTGGCATGACCTGTGCAGATGCTTGACTGTGATAGCCAGCCCAGGATGAGAGGACTACCTTGTGAGCTTCTGCTCAGGGAGAGTCGCATCAGAGCTGAGTATGATTGTCATCAGATATTGCAAAGAAATAGACAAAGGCTGAAGAGGAATGGGTCGTCATGGATGGTTGGCGTTGGCGCTGTTTAGAGACAGTTTCCAACGGAAACAGGACACGAGAAGAAGCATTGAGACGCCTACAGATCAGATGCTAAGAGAAGATGTAATTGAAAGTGTAGAATGAGCCGGGAAACCCTCACATTGAATAGTCAGACAGACAGATGGACTCGTCCGAAAGCATCCCACAAGGATTGATTCTAATGTTGGAAACGCTCAACGAGGCAAAACAAGCTGGGAGTGCAAATGCGGCCAAAAAAAAAAAATAATTTATTTTCCGGAAAAGACAGCAGACAGGATCCAATGCAAATGGAAGTAAACATGACTCCGTGCTCAGAGAAAAGAAAGCGCTATGCCATTATAGATGATGCTCTTTGTATCCAGAGGGGAGGATATCTCTTTCAAACCCTTCATATGCGTATGTACAGTGTACACTAGACCTAATTAATAGGTCCGAATGATTAAATATCCACAAAGAAAACGAAAACAAAGAAAACCAATCATACATTCCATTCAGCTGATGAAGAACTCCCGACTCGCCTTGCAAGCGCCATCCACCTTGATCCTTGGACGGATTCCGATTGGGGACGTGGATGCGGACGTGAGCGTGAGCGTGAACATGGACTTGCACCGAAAATAGTCTCGTACGACGGCGGCGGTTCATCGGGCACATTATTGTCCTCCATGCTCGGTTGCAGCAGCTGTTGCTGTTGTCGATGTCCAAGGTAATAGTGATGGCTTTCAGCCTGTAAACGCGAGGAGACGTGAGCTTTAACCCACACCTTCTGGTCCTCGAGCCATATAAGCTGGTAGGAATTCTGGCCCCGTCTCCTCTGTCCTGATGACGGATACTCGTAACATTGATATTGATATTGGGGATCTGCGGGGGGCAGGAAACATGACGATCCTCGAGGCGGACTGGAGGAGCTCCGGGGCTGCTCGAAGCCCATGTCCATGTTGTTATTATGGAGAGTATGTCCTAGGGAAGGGCTGTGCGAATGGGCCTGTCCCGCTCCAGCCTCTTCGAACATGCTTCTCGGTCTGGTGAGTCTGGGCGGGTCATAACGGAGCAAGGACGGTGAGGTTTCCACGACACTATGATTATTATTATTCCTATTCTGCGCCGAGGTGGTCCTATCTTGATGTCTGGGTGCAGATGTGCGGATAGTAGCAGCAGCATCAGCAGTGGCTCCTGGTTTTCGGAGTGGGCGGCCGTTGGCAAGAGAGTTCCCGGTTGTTGTGCAACGATCAAGCCGGATACGAGGGAGATTCCTATGATGGGGACGAATGGTGAATCGGGCATCATAAATGGGGGGTCCTTCTAGAAGAGACAGATCCATCTGGTCTATGATGGGGTTTAACGGAGAGGAATCCGGGAGGATGGGACCGTGAAACCAAGCCCCGGAAACAAGCCTTGGATATAGAGGAGTTTTAAATCAAGGGTGATACAAACACAGAAAGGAGTGTATAAATATACAAGATAAAGATCCGACAGAAAGAAATCCGCCATCAAGCCCCCCTGTATCGACCGGGGCGTTGACACACAGGCAATGCAATTTGCCATGTTGCTGCGCTTCTATGCCAACAGCTGCAGCTGCAGCGCAGGATGAATGCGCACAGGAAACATCGGGAGGCAAGAAAAAAAAAAAAGAGGAAGAGGCAGTGCAACAATCTCGCGGCATATATTACAGGCGTCAGGTCAGGGCCTCCCCTCCCAGGTGGCGCTGAACTACTCGCACCCAGTAGAAAAGCAAGTGGTGACATACCACAGGACCACAGGAGTCTTTCTTCCTCTAGCTGAATGGAGTGTGCAGCGAGCCAGGGCTGAATACAACACTTCATGTGGTGTGGGAGTAGGTAGAATGCCACCGTAGCTGTGACTGACTACCGGGATACAACTCACCTCCTCCAAACCGGGAATACATTAGTAGAAGTAAAACTGCAGCAAGGACTGGACAATGAAAGGGGCACGTATCTAGCCTGTCTGGGATCAGTTGAAGGGACGAATTAGCAGCCGTAATTCCCATGCACTGCATGAATGCTACAGCTGTACAGCGGCACAAGCGCTGAGAACCGGGACAGTATGGTTCGACAAGTACGATAATAATGCCATTATCCGATGCCGAATCTGGCCTGTGCCATTTGATTTTATATGTCTTGGCTTGCTCGAATGTTCTTTTTTTCGGGAGGAAATAGTGGTAATACTATTTTTGGCTGTTCGCAGGACCGTGGCATTGCCATGCTATCTGTACATAGTTACACTCCACACTTTTGCCTAAGTACTAGTAGGAATACTAGGTAGTAGGCGGCTAGGACGAATCTAGCAGTAGCAGGGTTGTGATTATTTGAGGGTAGTGCACCAACAATAGCGGCAGTATAAGGACTACTACTACTACTCCATGGCACGGACATGTACACAGCATCTACTGCGCTGAGACAGAGACCGAAGATCCGCTCAGGGCAGCCGGTTACATGAAACCAGATATGTACAACATTACAGCGATAGGGAACAGACGTACAGCAGTGCGCATACACCATACATATTATACCCAGACACCGGAGAGAAGCAAATGAAAAAGAAAAGAGCATTGGCTCGTAAGAAGCGAAATAAGCGTCACGCATGACACTCCGCCCGATGCTCCGAGCAGCAGCATCAAGGCGTCCCAGAGGAGAGAAACGAAAAACGGAATGCTATTATTTCTCCAAACGAAAGAGAACTAAATTAAACAAATGACCCAATTCCTCCATAAACCAATTCCAATCCCAGTGGAAGCTTGACGAGGCGGGAGTAGATCCAGTCCAGGGCACACGCTCCGAGGCGATCACGCCGGATCCATTACGCAGGATTCCCTTTAAGCCAAGAAGAGGGCAGCAGCGGCAGCCAGGCCGGCAGCGACGAAGGAGCTGCCGAAGGAGCTAGCAGCACCGTTGGACAGAGGGAAGGGGCTGGGGCTGGAGCTGGAGACCGGGCTGACACTGGAGATAGGGTTAGCTTTTAGGGCAAGGCGGTGTGGAGATGGGGGCTGGAACTTACGCAGGGCTGGGAGTGGCGCTGCCAGAGGGGCTGCCAGCGACGGGAGCGACGCCGCTGGGAGTGGAAGAAGGCTGGATGGTGATGGTGGAGTAGGTGACGGTGGGAATGCAGGTGGTCACAGGGATGACCGTGACGCTGGCAGCGGGAGTCGAAGCAGTGGTGACGAAGGAGCCGATAGGAGCCACGGAGGGAGACACGGGGGGCACGACCGGGGAGACGCCAGAGGGAGACGAGCTGGAAGAGCTGGAGCTGGAGGTGACCACAGGAGACACAGCGGGAGCAGTGCTGGTGGCAGCGACAGCAGGGACAGTGGTGCTGGAGTGGCGGCCCGGGCAGTTGGTCACGGTGGGAGCGCAAGAGATGATGGTGACATCCTCGGTGCTGTAGACCGTCTCGGTGGCAGCGGCGAGACCCGCGAAGAAAGCGACAGCGGCAGTGGTGAAACGCATTCTGACGAAGGAGATCAAAGGTTTATTTGGAAAGAAGCCCGTCGAGGGTGATTCTGGAGTATAGAAAGAGTGAACTTGGGGGTGCTGAGAGAGCGTGTGTAGTTGGGATTGGGGTGGAAAAGAACGGCTGACCGAAGTCGAGAGCGTGAAAGATGGCAGACAAAGAACAGTATTGCTTGGGAAGAGAAAGGAAAGAAAAGAAGAGGGCGACCGAGAGGGAGCGCCAGGGGCTTTGTACGGGCTGGGAGATTACGATGCGCCTGGAGATCGTCTGTGCATGGAGGCCGAGGGAAAAGGGGGACGGCTGTGTTTCGTTTACTGCTATTTAGCCGGTATTGTCTCCATTAACAATAACGGGAATAGTTGGGCTGATCCTGCTGATCTTTGCACTCGAGTCTATAAAGTATAGACATACCAATGTGTACGGTCTACGCGGTAGAGACTTGTCTCTGTGTCTCTCTGTACTCCGGAACCAAAGACTCCAGGGATGAGAGAATGAAAGAATGAAAGAATGGAAGAACATGCCCAGAGCATCGCGTGTTTCAGGACAGTCAACAAGGTGCAGCTAAACAGCTTCATCCTCTCCACCTCGTTTGAGGCCCCACGTGCATTTATTTGTCTGCCGTGTATCACTGCTCATTTGCCGGCATCATCTCTTCCCTCAGTTCCCTTTTCATCTTGCATCTTGCTCTAAGCAGATCCAATTGCTCAAGTTCCAGTCTCCCTTCCCCAGACCGTCAGCACCTTCGAGCATTGTCTGTGCTGTATGGCGCTGCTCCACCGATCAACAGGGGAATCACAGCGTACAGCGCGTTGCAGCAGGGGATCATCGCCCTCATTCAGCCAGTCTCAGGGGTCCGCGCACCCAATTACCTTTTCCACTCTGCAGCCTTAATCCTCATTGACCCATCGTCGTCGCATAATTCATGGCCGTGGGAGTGTATTATTAGAACACGACCATTACAATCTACCGTTGTGCTCATCATAAAGAAGCATTGGCTGAGTTCAACGGTCTGGCTTGACTGGTCTTGACCCATGTCTCGTTCGCACTTCTATTCATATCGTACATTTAACATTAACGGCTGAATCCATGGTACTCCAAATAACCCGCTCCACTGCCCTATCGGTGGCTCTGTGTCCGGAAAGGGGCCGTCGTAAGATGCACGGTCCTGGGCACTTGAACTCCCAGGAGTTCCTGTCCCTGGATGACTGATAGCTGTTCCGTGGCTATGGACTCTCCATCTTACCAGACTCCAGAGACGGCATACAGCGCTGCATAATCCATGCGTCGCACTGTCCATTCGTCATGCTCAGCCGCGTGTCTTCCCGTTTGCTTGATTGCCTTCGGATCTACACTGCCGTTATTCGCCACAGGATAGGACCAGTTCTCCCGGATCGTCGCAATGCTCGGAACGGCCGCTGAATTCCCATCTGGGGAACACCGCGCATAGCTAACTTCGCTGCCAATATGCCGGAGACTCGCGAAACCCTGATACATCGCCTCGGAATGCATCCAGACCTGTGGGAAGAAGGGCATTGACCTGTCCGCGGTGGAATACCATGTCCAACGTGTACTTTTTCCTCGCCGTGGACAAGGCTCTGCTCCCTCCATGAGTCTCAGGGCTGGACTGGATATCTGCCGGTTTCTCCAGACCAGTTCAATTCACGGATGAACTTCCCGGATCCATGCCAGAGGTATACCGGTGCTAGCTCTAGTGAGATCACTCCGAGCCATGCACGATTGTGGTTGAAATGGCCCTGTTACATGCAAACTTGTATGAGTTATAGGCTGCTTCATCTGTTTTCGGAGAGATACGGCACTGTAGACAAGACACGGGAAACCAGCTCATGTAAAGCGTCTCAATGCCCTGTTTATAAGAAAGTAGACAACCGCTGGTGGGTGATTTGGATGCCTTTGCCAGTCACGAGACACAATTCGCTTAGTAAAGTATCTAAGATTCTGGACATCTCTCGACGCTGTTCTCCATCAAGCCCATCTCAAGATTCATCCTTCACGCGAGATTCATCGGCGGTACTCCGTATTCTACGCTGTTGCCCGGCGACTGCTTTCTCCAAGAGAGACACAGCCTTCTCACCATCATCCAAGCATGGAAGATGGCGGATCCTTCACTCGATGGAGCTCTACCGGAGAATGTCCGCTATCCAGCTGGCAAGGTTACATGCGATATATACATCCCCCGCTTATGGAGAAGCCATGGCTCGACAGTGATTCCTATCTCAATCCATTCATCAATCGACCACGCGATGCCGTTAGGTAAGTAGCGAGCAGCTTCTTCAACTTCTTCTGCTTTTTACTGACGCTAGTTCAAGCTCGCTGCAACCCGGTCCCAGTGCCGGCGGAAGTCCTGCGGTGACGGTGCACGGAGGCCGTGATGATTCGCCATGTTTAACCGCCATATCGCTATCGTACTGGCCCATCTCCCGCCTGGCTTACGACAAGCATTCTGCTCCAAGGCTTGATTGTCAGGAGGCACCAATGGCCCCGCCGCGTCGCAGGCGCTGACAGAGCAGAACGCCGCACGGAATACACAAAGAATCATTCTAGTAATTCTTACCCTGGCACCCCTGCCGGGTGATCCGTCTATCGAGCCATTTTCTTTGTCTCTATCTCAGATCGCCTACTGACCTGCCTTTTCTGGTGATAATGCAACATGCAACAAGATCGTATTACTCCTGCCATGCAATCTCCGCAAATGCAACCTTGGCTGCTCCGTGACTGGCTCCCTGGACAGGCCGTCGATGTTGTGCTATCGGGCATATCGAAGCAAATCGCAGCTGGGGGGATCCTATATGATATCTGCAGTTCCACCATGCCTTCTTTTCTCTTTTCTCTTTTCTTTTTCTTTTTCTTTTTCTTTTTTTCCTGGTCAACCGAACCGAGGACCAAACCGCCTTCTGCACGGCTTCAGGTTAATCATTCATCATGTCTGTTCGGTCTATTATCCGTGCTGGCCTCCTCTACCAGCTTGCCCTTCCTGCTCTGGGTGCCGTTCATGAGCAATTGGCCGCCGTTCCCAATGGATGGACCAAGGTCCAGGATGCTGATGACTCAACCACCATCTCCCTGACCGTCGCTCTAAATTACCAGAATCTTGATCAGCTCGAGTCCAAGTTGATTTCTGTCTCCACCCCGGGGCATCCCGAGTACGGAAAGCACTTGGACCTGAACGACATCAATGCCTTGTTCCCCCCCGCCAGCGATTCGTCGGTCGTTTCCTGGCTGAAAGACGCCGGTGTCTCTCAGATCCACACTACCGGTAGCTCCGTCAATTTCGCTACCACCGTCGGTACGGCTAACAAACTCCTCAACACCAACTTTGCCTACTACTCTGATGGAGCTGGTCAGAAGCTGCGTACGACGCAGTATTCCATCCCGGATCACCTCGCCGGCGATATCGACTTGATCTCGCCCACAACCTACTTCGGAAAGACAACCGCCGTCCGTAGCGTTGTGTCTATTGCCAACACAGGCGTAAAATCCATTGATGTGGATGCGTCTTGCAACAAATCGATCACCCCTTCTTGCCTGAAGGAACTGTACGGCGTCGGTGACTATGTGCCAGACCCCGCATCTGGGAGCCGGGTTGCCTTTAGCAGCTTCCTGAACCAATCAGCTACCTACGCGGACCTGAACGATTACGAAGCGAAGTTCGGCATTCCCTCGCAGAGTTTCAGTGTCGAGTTGATCAACGGGGGCGTCAATGACCAAAACCCAGTCACTGCTCAGAACGGTGAAGCGAACTTGGATGTGCAGAACATCATCGGAGTCAGCCATCCGCTCCCCGTTACGGAGTATATCACTGCTGGATCACCGTGAGTTCCCCTGCCGGGAGTTGCGATTCCCTTGCTTGTAACGAGACCGAAAGTTGACTTCTATTTCACAGCCCTTTTGTTCCCAATGTGGATGAGCCCACGCCCGCGGATAACCAGAATGAGCCATACCTGCCATACTATGAGTATCTTCTGTCGAAGCCCAACTCGGAGCTTCCTCAGGTGATCTCCAACTCGTATGGTGATCCTGAAGAGGTACGTTGCGAGCGGAGGACTCTGGGATTGACAGTGTTTGGCTAACGGCAACCAGACCGTGCCTGAGTATTACGCTAAGAGGGTGTGCAACTTGATTGGCCTGATGGGTCTCCGTGGTATCTCGGTTCTGGAGTCTTCTGGCGATCTTGGTATGTTGCATCCCCCCATTCTTGTCCGTTTGGAGGCCTCGTTACCTTTGTACGTATTCTAATCGAGGTCCAAACAGGTGTCGGCGCTGGCTGCCAGTCCAACGACGGAACAAAGAGCCCCAGATTCACACCAGTTTTCCCAGGCACCTGCCCTTATATCACTGCTGTGGGCGGCACGCAAGCTGTCGCCCCAGAGGTCGCATGGGTTGCCAGCTCCGGCGGATTCAGCGACTACTTCCCCCGTCCATGGTACCAGGAAGCCGCCATTGGCACCTACCTGTCGGCATTCGTTGCACCCGAGACGATTGATTATTATTCCAAGTTTGCCAACTTTAGCGGTCGTGGATTCCCCGATATTTCCGCCCACAGTTTGACTCCTGAGTAAGTAGTGTTCCTATAATATCCGGCCGTCGATACATGGACAAGTCCTCTAACAGCTGCTCTTATCTAGCTACGCTATCTACTACAACGGTACCCTATCTCGCTCCGGAGGTACCTCAGCAGCCTCCCCGACCGTTGCGGCCATCCTGGCCCTACTCAACGATGCCCGTTTCCGCGCCGGAAAACCGGCGCTGGGATTCGTGAACCCTCTCCTCTACACCATTGGCTGGGTAGGCCTCAATGATATCACGCTCGGGGCCTCCGATGGCTGCAACGGAGAAGACCTACAGACGGGACAACCCGTACCAGGAGCCAGCGTTATTCCCGGAGCGCACTGGAATGCGACTATCGGATGGGACCCGGTGACTGGGCTGGGAACGCCTAACTTCGAGAAGCTGAAGGAGATTGTATTGGCTCTGTAGATTTCTTGGATGGAATATGTATTACTATGAGTAGGTGATCTGGCTGTATATAGTATATACACGTACATACACGCGCATTGGATAGTGATAATCCACACACGCACGCGACCCCCGCCGCACGATGTTCGCAGTTTTGAAAAGGGAAGAAAAGAAGCGAGGCTTCCAAAAAAGAAGAAAACAAACGAAAGAAAGAAAAAGAAAAAAGAAAGAGAGAAAAGAAAAAAAGGAAGCTGACGACGGCCTTGAAGTCGATGGACCAGGCCCTGTAATATTACAGGCGCGGAAACCCAAACATCAGCCTTTCCGGCTCAGTTCCCTCAAGACTTTCCTGAAACACGGCGATGTCCACCTCGCCAGCACAAGCCCCAATCATGGAGCGTAGCAGGAAGGATGATGTGTACAGCGTCCAGACGGTGGATAAGGCTGAATCGAGGATGGGCGGTCGTTCGTGGTTAAAGCCAGCCGCCGGAGATGTTCCCTTTTTCCCCTCTTTCTCTGCCGTCTGACCATCTCCATCTCTCTATCTCCTGGTTGTACATGCATGTCGCTCGCTAACTGGATCCGTTCTGAATCCGTCCGTCGTCTTTGTTCGCTCCGTTGAAAAGAAGCCTCACAGGACCAACCTGCAAGCTGGCTTCGTTAACGGACCCCAACGAATTATTCCTGCCTGGGGACAGGCAGGGCTCTCCCCCGACCACTCCCCCGACCACGAAGACCTCCCTCACACCGACCGATCTGGATTCTAGCAGTTCTGCTCTTCCTGCTGCCTCCCCGTCCATAATGTCGCCGCCGCTACCGCCGCCGTCATCGTCTTCATCATCAATCTCAACGGCGGCTGCTCCTGCTGCCCCGCTCCTCAGACCCCCGATTCCAGGCGCCCGCAATGACAAGAGCAATGGATCCTCGAGAGCACCTCCAAAGCTTACACTGGGCATTCCCCCGTTACCGAATAGCAGGCTAGTCTCCCCGTATGATCCTACTGGCAATGGCAGTGGCACCGTTGCCTCCACCCTCTCAACCTCCTCCGTCGATCCCATCCCTCTCCCTCTTTCTCTCCCTCAGCAGCAACAGCATCAACGACCTGCGGGCCGTCCAGCACCCCCGAAACTCCGTCTCGCTACTCCCATGGGAGGGAGTAAGAATGTTACTCCGTCTGAATCCCTCCCCAGCAATAACGGCAGACCTGTTCTCCCCGCCCTCATGACGGGGCCTGAATTAAATGCGCACGCGACATCAGGGGGGCTCAATCATTTCGACGGCCGTGGGAGCGGTCCCGGTTCAGTGGCGTCTTCGAATTACTCCACTCTGTCGTTTGCTATGGGGCTTCGTCAACCACACGGAGGTACTCCGGATCCCTCGTCTTCTATCAGCTCGGTGTATTCCGACCGGGATGGCGGGCTGGATCAGGATGGTGGCGGTGTGAATGGGCTTCTGCCGGATTTGGATAAATTGAGTCTAGAGAAAGGGCGGCCGCTCGATGTAGAGGATCTGGATGATGAGGGCTGGCTGGCTGCTAGTGAACAGAAGAAGATCGTGGAGTTGGGGAGCTTGGGAGAGGGTGCTGGAGGTGCGGTGACAAAGTGTATGCTCAAGGGTGGGAAGTCAGTCTTTGCTCTCAAGGTATGTATTCTACTAGGTTCACGGTTCATGGAGGTCTACGATGCTGATTGAATCCTGTGCGATTCATACAGATTATCACTACCGATCCAAATCCGGATGTCAAAAAGCAGATCGTCCGGGAGCTCAACTTCAACAAGGACTGCGCATCGGAGCATATCTGTCGCTACTACGGGGCCTTTATGGACAAGTCTACGGGTACTATTTCGATTGTGATGGAGTTCTGTGAGGGAGGCAGTCTAGATGGCATATACAAGGAAGTCAAGAAACTCGGTGGTCGAACAGGGGAGAAAGTATTGGGCAAGGTCGCAGAAGGTGTTTTGAACGGGTTGACGTATCTTCACAGCAGGAAGATTATCCACCGGGGTATGGCTCTTGCAAAATCCTTTTCTTTACTGCCAGCCAGGCTTTCTTGCTGATCCGATCTGTCCCATGCAGATATCAAACCTTCGAACATCCTTCTCTGCCGAGATGGCCAGGTCAAACTATGCGACTTTGGCGTCAGTGGAGAATTCGGCACAAAAGGTGACGCGAACACCTTCATCGGCACTTCGTATTATATGGCTCCTGAACGTATCACCGGTCAATCCTACACGATCACTTCCGACGTATGGTCCCTCGGTGTGACATTGCTCGAAGTCGCGCAGCATCGGTTCCCATTCCCTGCAGACGGGACAGAGATGCAACCCCGTGCTGGCCTGATAGACCTCCTAACATACATTGTGCGTCAGCCTATCCCAAAACTGAAAGACGAGCCGGAGAACAAGGTTCGCTGGTCTGATAATTTCAAGTACTTCATTGAATGCTGGTATGTCCTCGATTCGCACATGTGTATTATGGCCACAACTGCTAACTATTTTTTACCCGTCAAGTCTCGAGAAAGAACCACCTCGAAGAGCAACGCCGTGGCGGATGCTGGAACATCCCTGGATGCTGGACATCAAAAACAAGAAAGTGAACATGGCCGCCTTCCTGAGGCAAGTATGGGGCTGGACCGACTAGAGCAACGAAACGAAGAGTCAAACGCACATCATTTATTAGTATATACAAACAACATGGTGCCAGGAAACAAATGGGCACAATTATACCACACCCGTCCTGTTCAGATTGGTTTGTTTGGTTTGCTTTCCTTTTAGTTCATTCATTCATTCATGGGGGTTTCTGACATGCATTTCTTGACTCTTTCTTATGTACATGATGGATGCCTTTCATTTTAATTTTCACTGAAGCATGATCATATCTCATCATCCCTTGTCTTGTCCTATCGCATCTCATATGTTCATACCATACCATACCATATTATATCATGTCATGTCATGCCATGTCAGTACGGTACCAGATCTACCCTACCTACAGGACGGCATAAGCGGCCGGACCATTTCATTGAGGTCGATTTGGGTGATTTATCTGGATGCAGGTTGGGATATGAATTGAACCGGAATATATTATTCTCTTCTCTTTACTTTATTTTTATTTCCTCTCTTTCGGTGATGACTATAATATTGATTGACTGGTTACTATTATGATATTTATTTGATCTGGTCTACCAAAATAGCGGTAGTTTCCAGTTAGTATGAGCTGAGCAAGATATGGCGGGCTGGTTAATTATGTTATTGGTAAAAATAGGATCATAGGGCTTTTTTTTTTCTCCTTTCTTCTAAATTGCTATGTATTTATTCCAATTTTATGTCTCTCGGTTTGGTTGATATCGTCTGTTGTGTTATGTTTTCTAGTTATTAGCTGCGATGTAGTTGGTAGTTGTAGTTGTAGCTTTGTTCAGTCGGAATAAGTATATTTATTATATGAATGGGATGCAATAAAGCCCAGAATAAGTATCAGTAATATTCTCTCATTTTTGAGAAGTATGCTACCATCATCATCATAACTGAACTAACCATGTTAATGCTCTCTGTGATTGACAGGTTGAGCACCCAGGACCCATCCAATACCGCTGACCAATCCGCCCGTAACCATGTTACTGACGACGTCTCGTTTGCGGACTCTGCCTTCTTCAGGTCGTTGTTGCTGCTGCTGCTGCTGGCCTTCGAAGATACTTGTAGCAGGTGTACCGCTGTCTATAGATGATCTTGCGGATGCGGCATCGTGGAGGGGGAATGCGTTCTTCCGGAATGCCATAGCTGCACCTCGAGCGACTTCGAAGAGTCCCATTGGCGCTTCTTCCTCGCCGTCATCACGGTGGGAATAGGAGCCCGATCGTCTGGCGCGTGCGCGTTTAGCACGCTGTTGTTCTGTTTCGAATGCGTCCCGTTCGTGGTCTGAGGGGCCGAATCCTCCCGGAATCGTTGTGAGAGCGTCTCCCTTTGTGTCCCAGGTGTCTGACTCTTCCGCTTCACGGGCCTGGAGGACGCTCATTTCCTCGTCGCAACGTCGCCATGCACCTAGGATTTCGGGTAGCGGGTCCGGGGTCGGGGCAAGAACTAGAGCGAGGGAGAGGAGCTCCATGCGTTGCGAGAGGTGGCTGATCTGCGATTGTAATCTGGCTGTTGCTGATGATAGTGTCGGAGACCGGTACCGGCCTGCATTGTACACTGCTCGCCACGATATATCATCTTTGACAGGGGCAAGGCTTGTGGATGCTGACGTAGTAGGAAGGAGGGATGGGGGCGTGAGGCGGGTCAGGATGTAGGAGTACGCGGTACCGAAATCGTTGGCAGAGAGAGCTGACGAAATGGATAGGGATATAATGCGCCTTTCTACCGTGGCAGACGCATCATCGCCCTGCAGAGGGGTAAGAAGCTGTTCATTATGGGCGTCACCGATGGATGATGGATAGATAGGGAGCCCAGCCGCAGCCAGACTTCTCCCTATGGACAAGAGGTCGTCGAGTTTCGTGTAGCTTTTCTGGTTCTGATCCAGCACTTTTTCGATCAAGGAAAGGGGATCTGGATGCACGCGTATGCTGACAGGCTGGAAGGGAACGCCATGCTGTAAAGTGAGGGAGTAGAAAGAGAGGGCGTGAGTGGCCGAGATCAAAGCCTGGATCTGCCTGAAAGACGGGGAATTTGGAAAATGAGGCTGAAAGGTCTGAAGGCTGTTGAAGAAATGAATCATCAACCAGGTCTTCTCGTACAATGGTTCAGAGTCCAAAAAACCTTACATATCATATGCCTTCTTCATTCCGCCTCGTGTTCTATTCCCGTTGCTCGCATTGTCATATGCCACGAAAATCGCATCTCTGACAGCCGTTTCCACCTGTTCAGGGTTAAGAGGAGCAGGCTTTGTGTTCACGTAGATGTCCACTGCCAATTTGTACTCTTGAGAGCTGTCAGCATTGAGACTACCCAAAACCATGTATATGCACCTTACCTCTAACAGCCAGTAACGTTTTTAAGATCTCTGTTTCCACAGTTTCCAGCGGTACCTTCCAAAAAAGACCATGGTAGTCTTTTGCGTCCGCCAATTGATCTACACGCCAACCTCTGAGCCAGAGTAGCCGTTGACGGATCTTACTCCAGTCACGAATTTGCTTGGTTTGCTTGGTGATAGATGCAACAATGTTTCGCAACTCCAGCAACTGCGTATCCTCATTACTATGAAGGCACATGCTTGTAGCTAGCCTGCAGGGAATGGAGTGACCCAGTTCACCAGCGACTTTTAGAGAAGCAAGTACGGCTCTGAGGAAAGAAATCGACGACGTCGAAGGGTGTGTCAAGGGGTTTGAAGGGACGAGCAGCGCATTCTGCAGTAGAGACGCTCTTGAGCTTGAAGAGATAGCAGCCACATCAAAGCTTAGAGAAGGGAGGCCCTGACCACCCGGAAAGGTCGAAAACTCCTCAAGGTCGAGCAGCTTAGCCACCCGTGAGACTATTTGAATCGCGCCATCCAGAGCAGCTTTGCTAGTATCCGAATTCGCGTATACAATAGCCAGTCCGGTCTGACCGTATCGGGTCCGTAAATCTGCGCGTTCATTATCTGACACCTGCTGATGGCCATCCTCGTAGCCTCCCAGGTCCACATCTTCTGGTCCATCCCAGTTGGCGAATGCGCCTGTGACGGTTCCATAGTCAACAAGGCTCCGCGACAGTAGCCACTCGTCGACAGTCTCCCAGCCCGACTGGCCCAGTACTTGCGATGTAGTTTCGTCTTGAGGAAAGGAAAGAGAATTACGTCGTGTAGTCTCGCTAAGCTTCCGTCTTTTCAATCGCTTGCTGCCATACATCCTGGGACCAACGAGTCCACGCAAATTCTTGACCAAATCGGTGCTATCTTTACGCGGTCCCGTCATCGACAAGAGTACGTTGATAGCGGTGTTCTCATCCATAGATTCTAGTACATCCAAAGATAGTGTTTCATCGTTGTTGGGGTAGTATTCATAATTCAAACGAAACAACGGCAGCAGACTAGAGATCAGCCATGTCCGAATTATCGGTAATCGCTCGTAAAACGGAGCCAGGAGGCCAAGTATTAACGGCTGCAGAGAGGTTTCGGAATCGATTCGATGCGCCCGGTGGATCAGAAACTGGGTCAGAGGATCTGTATCATCTTCCTCTTCCCCGAAGGGATACTTCAGAGGAAGTAAATGAAGCTTTCGTACTCGTTTCCTCGCAACTGCCTCAGACAGATCTTCCACGGAAGAAACATCGACATCCCCATCCAACAACTGAGACTGGACACCATCTGCAAGTACCTGAACTACTGTCGTATAATGTTGAGGCTCCGTGCTTTCAGGGAGGAAGGTCAGTATGATGCGCAAGAGGCGCTCCAACGGGAGACATTCTGGGAACTGGGCGTGCAGTCGTGGCAAGGCTGTGACATTACCGCTGGCGCAGAGATGAGTTGCCAGGAGAATCGCGCGGGCATGGGAGAGACCTTCCAGATCAGCCATTCTCGACAAGTTCCATACCAGGAGCACTGAAACTGGAGCGTGTTGTCGTAGTCGTAGCCAGTCATCGCCGAAGTCGTCTGGTTGTACGTCAAGCAAAGCTCGGACCACCCGCTGGAACCACACGCCCAGCGTCGCTGCAGCTGCGCCTGTTTCCTCCACATCGTCAACGAGCCTCCCAGCACCCTCCATCTTGCTCCAGACATCAACATGGCTTCAGGTTACGGTGTCAAAGGCGGTATGTACCCTGCTAGAGCCACCAGGCTCACTTTTCTTTGTTCAATTGGGCCTTGTTCCCGTCCCCTCACCCTCCCGATAGTCTTCCTCCGCTAACCTCCAGCGACTCGCCAGGTCCCTCCCGCTGCTTTCCCTTCTGGCAGGAAGTCCTCGGTTGCTACGTTGTGAATTCCGGAGACGGTGACGAGGGGAAGAAGAAGTGCGGGGCTGCTCTGGAAGACTACTACGAGTGCCTGCACCACCGGAAAGAAGTAAATAACTTCCCCCTCTCCAGTATCCCCAGCCAGATCGAAAACAGATCGGTGAAAAGGACAATCGGGCATTGAACAACTATTCTGACGACTTGACCTGACAGGCTCTACGGACGATGAAGCTGCAAGCTGCATATCGAAAGGCCGAAGCGGCACACCCTCGTGAACTGGAACCCAAGCCGGAGCAGATTCGGAGTTTGGGCTTATTATCCAAAGAAGCCGAAGCGGCTGCGCAATAATAAGCATTGTTATAAGCGTTATCAGCGAGACAAATGGCAGTTGTGTGGTTTTTTCAGTTTGATATGCCTGATGTGGGAGGGTCCTATTACCGTTACCACGGCGCAACCTAAGGCTGAGTGTACACTGTACAGAAATGAACGACATTATTGATCTACTCGGTTGCATTCTGTTTCAGAATGATTTTCTCCGAACTCTTCTTGCCTCTGATGACTTGTATGAGATAGGGGATTTCCATCACTACTACTGCCTCTGTAGAGACTACGGAGTTCACTTGCAATGCCAGCCAGTGCGCATGTCACTTGAGCGATATATATCTAATAGAAAAGAAGCATCGGCAGAGCAAGAGAACCTATGTAGCCGTAGCCGTAACCCCCGGAAGACCAGCATTTCAGCCTGGAAGGGCATCCGCGTCAGCAACTCCAAGCTGACAGGAGGGTGTAATTTCCCACCAGAACCATGGATACGCGAGATCACCGTCAGCGATAGTCCGTCGCTCGATAGATAAATAGATGCGCCGGTTTGATGGCTATAGGTAATTGCAGGCTGCCATTGACCGGCAGATCCGAGCAGGTCATTCACGTGACTTCTTAAAAAAACTTTACGCGGCGGATGGAGCTAATCTGAAAATCGCCTAGCGCTGGAAGTCAAACATGGGCGCCAAAGATGTCCCAATGATATAAACCGCCGGCGTGACCTCGAGGATTTACCGCGTATATTTATTACTCCTGCTTCTCTCCACCGGATACCGTACGCTTCGGATTCATCCTTGCTGGTGATAAAGCTCCGGTTTACACTTTATTCCTGGCGTCATTTTTTTTAATTGTTTTTTTTTTTTTAATACTTTATTCTTTGTCCTTATTATTTATTATATTTATTTATACTTTGTTTCCTGCTTCCTTTCTTCATGACTGTCTTGAAGCGTCCCAAACTCTAATACTCTTTCCCTCCCTTCACTTTCCTGTCACCTTGACCTCTTGAACGCGACCCTCCCAAGTCTGTGCTGCTTTCTACGCGTCGCGCTGCAGTGCATAATAATAATACTACCTAACTAGCGACGGGCTGTCCAAGCGCCATGACTTCCAGGTAAACGCGATCTGCCAATCCTGTTGCGTCCCCTTCTGCCGTGCGACTCCGCTAACCGTTTCGCGTCTAGACTCGACCGTCTGGTCACGTGAGTAACCACTGCCCCGAAGCTGTCCGGAAACGGAAACCATGACGCTCTTGGAATACTGACCTCCCACGTGATGCAGACTGCTGGAGACAGGGAGCACACCGGTCATCAGGAACACAGCCGCACAGCAGCTGGCGGATGTCCAGAAGCAGCATCCAGACGAGCTCTTCAACCTCCTCGGCCGTATTCTCCCGTATCTCAGATCAAAATCATGGGATACCAGGACAGCGGCTGCCAAAGCCATCGGTCTTATCGTTACTAACGCAGAAGTCTACAATCCCAACAGTGAGGACGGCCAAGGCATCAAGAAACCAGAAGATGAAGAAGAAGAAGAAGAACGAAATGGACATGTCAAGATCAAGTCTGAGGGAGATCAGTCCCTCACATCCGACAGTCTGCTGAGTCTAGACTCCCTCGATATCACGTCTATCTTGAAGTATGGTAAGAGGCTACTCGGCAGCGGTGGCAAGGAATACGAGTATTCCCTTGCTGGCATGGATCCCGCGACAAGGTTGCAGCATCAGAAGAAAACATTGACCGCTCGCTTGGGTCTTGCCGGGGAGTACATCGAGGATGACTTAATCGATGATAGTGACCTGATCTCAAAACCAACGTTAAAGCACGAACCATCTGCCCCGTTGAGTCGGCAAAGTAGTGTAAAAGCTGCCGAGTCGCCCGTCGAACATACGAACGGAGAGGAAGCGGGTCTAAGTAAGCGACAGCTGAATCAACTCAAGCGGAAAAATAAACAGAACGCCAGGGTCGGTGCCAACAAAGTCCATGTTGTTGATCTGTCTTCTCGACGGACCTCAGAAGCTGTATCAACACCGACAGCCGCTACCCCGTACCCCATCAAAACCGAGAATGGCAATGGTGACGTGAAACAAGATTACTTCTCTCTTGATCGAGCTGGCGGAGACGATGAATCGAAGCTCGTCACTGAGTTCAAAGGCCCTGCTGCCCCAGAAAACCCCATCATTGAACCGGATGTCGAGGAAAAGGGCTTGGAATGGCCCTTTGAGCACATGTGCGAAATTCTCACAGTTGACCTTTTTGATCCGAACTGGGAAGTCCGTCATGGAGCGGCAATGGCGTTGAGGGAGGTGATTCGTGTCCAAGGCGCGGGTTCTGGGCGTTTGAAGGACAAGACTAGAGCCGAGAACAATGCCTTGAATTGTAAATGGCTAGATGATCTAGCTTGCCGTCTTCTGTGTGTCTTGATTCTAGATCGCTTTGGTGACTACATATCCGACAATGTCGTCGCCCCCATTAGAGAAACCGTGGGCCAGACACTGGGAGCGCTGCTTGCACGGCTACCTTCCAAGTCTGTCATCTTGGTCTATCGGTGCCTCTACCGCATCATTATGCAAACAGACCTCGGCCTCGACCGTCCGGTTTGGGAGGTTTGCCATGGTGGTATGATTGGACTCAGGTATCTGGTCGCGGTGCGGAAGGACCTGCTTATCAAGGAATCCAGCCTAATGGATGGGGTGCTGGAGGCTGTTATGAAGGGTCTATGTGACTTTGACGATGATGTCCGGTCCGTGAGCGCGGCTACCCTTATTCCCATTACAGAAGAGCTCGTCATCTCTCGAACCGGGACCCTTGGCACTCTAATGAACATAGTCTGGGACTGTCTTTCGAACCTGCAGGATGATCTCAGCGCTAGCACTGGGTCTGTCATGGATCTTCTCGCGAAACTTTGCACTTCTTCCCAGGTTCTTGATGCCATGAAAGCAAATGCTGCAAGTGATTCTGAGTCTTCCTTTGGCAATTTAGTGCCACGCCTATACCCCTTCCTACGACACACGATCACTGGTGTTCGGTCCGCGGTCCTACGGGCTCTCATGACGTTCCTGCGGTTAGAAGGCGAAGGAACAAATGACTGGGTAGATGGCCGGGCGGCGCGTCTGGTGTTCCAGAATTTGCTGGTGGAGCGGAATGAGGACGTGCTGAAGCTCTCTCTTCAAGTTTGGTCAGAATTGCTCAAGGCTCTGGAGAATCGCGGATTGTTTAAATCCCAAACCGATCTATTAGGAAATATTCAACCGCTCCTCACCTTGACCATGAATCCGTTTGGTGTGCCCCGTTACCCTATACCTATGGACGCCTCACTCTTCATCAAGCCGTCCGGCATGCCCTACTCTATGAGTGCAGCCGCTCCTGCCAAATCCTCGCCTACTACTGTATCTGATGCGCCCAAGGGACGCAGGGGGCGAAAATCCGAGAAAAAGGAAGCACCGCCTCCACCTTCGGCTCACAATGTGGATGGGCATATGCTCCAGGGAGATATTGACTTAGTCGGCGCCGATACCTTCGTGAGGTCAAAAATATACGCTGCCAGGGCGCTTGGTGAACTGCTTCACTATTGGGACAGACATGAACTCCCCAGCCTTTGGCAATCCATTCTCCAAGGTCTCAGCCTCCCTGCTTCAACTTCTCAGCTGTCTTCGGCAATGGTGGTTGAGGAGTATGCTAAGCTTTCTGGACCCAATGGCAAATACACCTCCTCTCTGTGTGCGTCCGTGCGTCCTATCATCGAGGGGGAGCGCCCATCATGGTACAGTGATATCGCGTGCTATCTCCATGTTGCTCGCGCTCAGTGTCACTCGTTGCTCAATGCGTTCAGAGATCATGCGCATGTCTCTAGACTGCCCGCCCTCGCTGTCATAGTCCAAGGTGATCCCGAAGCAGGGCCAAGTGCGTTTTCCCTCGCTGACGCCGAGCGAATTGTGGGCTCTGAATTCGAGAGGCTGAAGAAGAGCCTAACTCCGGCTCAGCGTGTCACCGCTTTGCAGGTTCTGAACGACACGCGCACAACTGCCGAAACAGCTATAGAGGAGGCAAGGTCTGTGAGGGAGCAGAGAGACATGCGTATTCGGGCTGCAGCTTCAGGCGCTCTGGTCGCTTTGCACGACGTACCTAAAAAGCCAAGTCATATTATAAAGGGCATGATGGATAGCATCAAGAAAGAAGAGAATGCCGAACTTCAACAGCGCTCTGCCACTGCAATCACTACGCTAATCGAATACTACACGGCTTCTGCCAAGCGCGGTCCGGTGGATAAAGTCATTGGGAACCTGGTAAAGTATTGCTGCATTGACACGTCTGAGACGCCTGAGTTCCATCACCACGCCAGCTTGAAAAAGTCCATTCTATCGCTCCGCAAAGAAGAAGACCGGCGAGATCATCCTGATGCAGCCAAGTTTGAGAAGGAGGCCAAAGAAGCGAGAATCATGCGTCGAGGTGCCAAGGATGCTCTCGAGCAACTAGCTGTCAAGTTCGGCCCTCAGCTTCTAGAGAAGGTTCCTAACCTTGCATCCCTAATCGAGAGACCGTTAAGAGACGCTCTTGCTGGAGATCTTCCAGAGAACATCCACGATCCTGACAATGAACTGGGTCAAGAGATCGTAGACGGATTGTCCACGCTGCGCGCTCTGCTACCCAAATTCGACCCCGGCCTTTATCCTTGGGTCATCAGCTTCATGCCTATCGTCGCCAAGGGGCTTCAATGTGAACTTTCTGTCATTCGGTACGCAGCGGCAAAATGTTTTGCTACTATCTGCAGTGTCATAACCGTTGAGGGCATGACAATGTTGGTGGAGAAGGTACTGCCTACGATTAATAATGCATTAGACGTCCATCAGCGGCAAGGAGCTGTCGAATGCATCTATCATCTCATCCATGTGATGGAAGATGGAATTCTGCCTTATGTTATTTTCTTGGTCGTACCGGTCCTTGGGAGGATGAGTGATTCTGACAATGACGTACGACTCCTTGCAACGACTTCATTTGCAACCCTCGTCAAACTGGTCCCGCTTGAGGCGGGCATTCCTGATCCACCTGGATTTTCGGAGGAGCTTTTGAAGGGGCGTGATCGAGAGAGGAAATTCATGTCCCAGATGTTGGATGTCCGCAAGGTGGAACCATTTCAGATTCCTGTTGCAATCAAAGCAGAGCTTAGGCCCTACCAGCAAGAGGGTGTCAACTGGCTTGCATTCCTCAACCGCTATAATCTTCATGGAATTCTATGTGATGATATGGGTCTCGGAAAAACTCTCCAAACGATTTGCATTGTCGCTAGCGACCATCATTTGAGGGCCGAGGAATTCGCCTCCACTCACGCGCCAGAGGCTAGGAAGCTTCCCTCTTTGATTGTCTGCCCGCCATCGGTTTCTGGACATTGGCAGCAAGAGATGAAGCAATACGCTCCTTTCCTCTCCACCGTCGCCTATGTCGGCCCCCCGGCGGAGCGCTCAAGGCTACAAAGTACCCTAGAGTCGGCGGATATTGTCATCACGTCCTATGACATCTGTCGAAATGACAATGATTTTCTTTCTGCGATGAACTGGAATTATTGTGTACTAGATGAGGGCCATCTCATCAAGAACCCAAAGGCGAAGATTACAATAGCTGTGAAACGTCTTATTAGCAACCATCGGTTGATCCTGTCCGGAACTCCTATCCAGAACAACGTGCTAGAACTGTGGTCACTTTTTGATTTCCTGATGCCTGGTTTCCTTGGTACGGAGAAGGTCTTCTTGGATCGCTTCGCGAAGCCGATCGCAGCAAGCCGTTTTGGAAAGTCGTCCTCCAAGGAGCAGGAAGCCGGGGCATTGGCAATTGAGGCGCTGCATAAGCAGGTGCTCCCATTCCTACTTCGGCGTTTAAAAGAGGAAGTCCTGAACGATTTGCCACCTAAGATTATCCAGAACTACTACTGTGACCCGAGCGAGCTGCAGAAGAGACTGTTCGAGGACTTTACCAGGAAGGAGCAGAAGGATCTCGCCGAGAAGATAGGCAGTTCAGAGAAGTCAGACAAAGAGCATATCTTCCAGGCTCTTCAGTACATGCGTCGTCTTTGCAATTCGCCAGCCTTGGTGGTCAAGGAAGGACACCGACAATTTCGAGAAGTTCAGAGTTATCTTGCCACAAAACATTCCTCGATACGCGACGTGGCTCATGCTCCCAAGCTCACTGCGCTACGTGACCTACTCCTCGATTGTGGCATCGGGTTTGATCCTTCGGCACAGGGCGAACTCGATACGGGCGCGAGCTATGTTAGTCCTCACAGAGCCCTTATTTTTTGCCAGATGAAAGAGATGTTGGACATAGTACAGAACGATGTTCTGAAACGACTACTTCCGTCCGTCCAGTACCTCCGTCTGGATGGCGGTGTGGAAGCCTCTAAGCGCCAGGATATTGTCAACCGCTTCAACAGCGATCCCAGCTATGATGTCTTGCTCTTGACTACCAGTGTCGGTGGTCTTGGACTTAACCTTACGGGTGCTGACACAGTCATCTTCGTGGAGCACGATTGGAATCCGCAGAAGGATATACAGGCTATGGATCGCGCACATCGCATTGGGCAAAAGAGGGTTGTTAATGTGTATCGGTTGATCACAAGAGGTACTCTGGAGGAGAAGATTTTGAAGTAAGTTTTTTCGTTCTCCCTGACACCGTAGGTATCACTTTGAATAATGCCTAACTCTACTTCTTCACAGCCTCCAACGCTTCAAAGTCGATGTTGCATCCACAGTGGTCAATCAACAGAACGCTGGTTTAGGCACCATGGACACAGACCAGCTACTGGACCTCTTCAGTCTCGGAGAAACCGCAGATACGGCAGAGAAGCCTGGAGACCATCAAGTCGCCGGAAACGAAGTGGACATGGTGGATATCGATGGCGAGGTTAAAGAGAAAGGGAAGAAGGGCTGGCTGGATGATCTGGGCGAGCTATGGGATGATAGGCAGTACCAGGAAGAGTATAATCTGGATGCATTCCTGGCGTCAATGAAGGGTTAGCTGGAGCCGGTGGTTGCTTCTCCTTGGAAGACCGGGATCTTCCAAGTGATGTTCTTTATTCTTGTACTTCTGATTTTCATTTAGCAGGACCAGGACCGGCGTTGAGATGGATTGAACTGGCTGTACGAGTAGAAGATTATGGGAAAACGTCCGTCGATTCACAGATTTCTTTATATTAACCTTGTATACTTTTCTGTATACTATGTAGGCAACAAGGCCCTTACTTTCATGAATTGGATGTTATTTATTTACATGCAAGACTTGAACTCATGAACAGCCCTGCCTAGTTGCCAGTATTCCGATAATGCTTCTTGTAGAACTCGGCAGCTCCATCCCCTGCTATCCGTCCAAAGACAACACACTCCAGCAACGACGACCCTCCCAACCGATTATTCCCATGCAAACCACCGGTGATCTCGCCCGCAGCCCAGAGTCCCTTGATCGGAACGCCCCTTGTGTCCAGGACCTGGCTGTGCTCGTCGATCGCCACGCCGCCCATGGTGAAATGTACGACCGGCGTCACTTTGCCGATATACACGACCGAGTCCGCCGTTATATCTTTCTCCTTGTCTCCTCCTTTGCCCAGGGACCAGCTGCCAAAGGCTGGACGGCCCAGCGGATCAGGCTTCTCGCCTGATACGATGTCTGCGTAGGCGCGGATGGTCTCGAGGGCCGCAGGGCCCAGTTCGCCGATGGTGGTCTTCTTCACCAGGCCCTTCCACTTGTAGAAGCCCAGATGTGACGAGGTGGCTTCGGCGGTGCTTTCGTCCAGCACGAGAGTCACGTCCCATTGTCTCGTGGCGGAACCCGTTGCTGTCGTTTCGTCCTTGGTTAAGGATTTCGCAGAGCGCAAGACAGCATCGGTGACTTTGTCGCGAGTATCCAGCTCGTTCACGAACCGCTTCCCTTCCCCCGTCAGGAGAATACCCCCTTCCCCCCTCAGCATCTCGGCGGCGAGAATCTTCGCCAACGCCCACGAGTCATTGGGATCGATAAATCCCGTCGGATGCACCTGCACGCGATCCATATCCAGCAGATCCGCCCCGACCCCCGTAAGAAGCGGCTGCGATCCCTCCCTTGCTTCGTTCGTCGTCGGAAACCCAGCCAGATCCGGTCGATACTGCGCCAGCATGCCATGCGCATCACCCGCAAAGCCACCGCTGGCAAACACAACCGGTCCCTTCAGCGACTCCTTTTGCTTCTCTTTCCCATCCTCCCCGACGCTCCTCTCGTACTCAACGCCCAGCACCTCATCGCTCTCCCTCAACACCCGCGTAACTCTCGACCCAGTCCGCAGCGTAAAGTACGGACTCTTCCCCAGTAACTCCAACAATGACCCGACAATCGACGCCCCCGGCGGTTTCTGCCCAGGACCCCCCCGATGCGTCCGCGGAACACTATGCCCACCCAACTGTGCGACTTTACTCAGATCAATCCCCTTCTCGTCTGTAAGCCAGTAGACTGCGTCCGCAGAGGAATTAGTAAGTGTGGAAATGAGCCGCTCGCGCCGTGCTCGCTCCTCCGCCGCGGCACTAGCCAGCGCGCTTCCCGCTGATTTCACCGTGTCCGAGTAAAACGCCACGTCGTTGCTGACGGGTTGGAATCGTGTGGGCGCGCCGTTGATGCCAGAGGATGCTTTGATCGAGTTCCCGCCGGGTTTGGGCGCGCGCTCGAGTAGTTGGACGGGGATGTTATGTGAGATGAGCTGTGAGGCTGCTGCGAGGCCGGCTAGGCCTGATCCCACCACTATCACTGGTGGGGTTTGGGAGAGTAGTACCGATGGCGTAGTCATTGCTGTTGTTACTGTGATTCTGTTGCTGTGACGTCTGACCTCGGAGGCTAGATATGCGATGAGGACTGTCAGGAGAAGTACGAATAGCAGGTAGCTCCGCATTCAATTCGACTTCAGGTTACCCCGCGATGGTTATAGCTGCTCGTATACACAGACTGCATGGTGCCTTGCGTAGGTTATATATTACACAATCCACCGATGAATTGCAACCAGGGGCAAAGACGTGTTGGCTGATGCAATGTGGGCTGATCAGGATCAACCGTCCCGTACGACTCGTCATTATTAATCATGAAGCCAGAAGGACCTTGGTATATCGCACACGTTCTATGAAGGCTACCAGAGCTCGACTATCATTACAGTCCGGTCATTGCATTGCTGAGAAACAATCAAAAGCCATGGTGGCATCCCGATGGCAACGCCAAATGCACTCCTCCCTAAAGCGCCAGCACTCCAAGAGAAACAGGGGGAAAAACTTGTACAGCATGATTCTTGACTTGAGAAATCCCGGAAACAGAAATAAGTGGGACAGTTTGTCGTATCTATCAAGGCAGACCTCTTCGTAAGCTCTAGATGCATCTTCATCCATGATTCTCGAGAGGGGTATAAACCAATTTCCAATCCATCCATTAACTTCAACGACGTTCCTTTGGCTTAGCAAGCATGTTCAGCCGGCTCATGCTTAGGACCGGCTTGCTCTTCGGTCCCGCGCTGGCAGGGCTTCCAAAGCGGACAGGAGTGTGACTAGGAGTTGCCCTGCCGGGAGTACGACCCACTGCGGTAGAACGGCGTTTTACGGGGCTGGGAGTGGTAACTTTCTCAGGAGAGGCAGAAGTCATCCTGATCTTCTTTGTCAGGCGAAGGTTGGGTGTGGCATCCGTCGGAGGAACGTTCTCTATATCCGTGTCATCTTCTGTTTCCTCACGACGTCTCTTCCTGTTTTGAATTCCATGGGGGACGGCGAGCAGCCTCTCAAGTGGAGGTGCATTCATCGCAACACCTGACGGCCGAACTGGACGGATAGTCGGCACCTTGTCCTTGCATGTGACCGGAGTAGCAGACGTCGATTCCTTTTCAGGTGTCAAAGCTGGCAAGGTAGGGTAGACGACGTCGGACATCATGGTGCGTGCTTGTACAGTCGGAATCTTGGACGGCGAAGGAGACGGCTGAGATAGCTCTTCATGGGATTCACTATCCAAGGTAAACTCGACGCGTTTCTTAGGGGAAGGAGTCTCGACAGGGTCCGGAACACTAGTTCTTTCGCGGGAAGCACCGAGCAACATATTGGAGCTGAAATCCGGCGCGGCAAGATGCGTTCCAGCAGCAATCTTCGTGGGATCTCTTGAAAACAACGGTTGATGACGGCGGAGAATGGACTTGAGATTGCCAAAGGTCGGCAGATTACTCTTTAGTTTAGGGTTGAACTCGGTCTGGGGGGCATGTGGAGTGGCAAAAGCTTTTGATGCAGACGATTCCGCGAGGGAAGGAATCTTCGAAGGCCTGTGGGGCCTGACACTGGAAGAACGTGCAATGGTCGGTTTTACTGGGGTCCGAAGAAGATTATGGGCTGCGGTTCGGGGATACGGGTCCACGGATTTCGCAGAAGCAGGGCCTTCATTAGATTCAGATCGGTGAGTTGAAGCATCGTCGGTTAAAACATGCTTGACACGCTTTGCACGGCTATCAGTCACCGCTGGTGACGGCATAGATTTGCGAACAGGGGTTGATTCAGACGGCTTCGGGGTCTTCTCGGTTTCCTCATCCAGGCGAGCCTTGGAGGGTGTCCTCTTGAGAGTTTTGATGACCGGCTGGAAACGACCAGGCGCCGCTCTGAAAGCAGAGGGATGGCCGGCAATAGAATCCATCTTCTTAAACTGGGCCATGTGAGCAGCACTGAAACGGCCAGCTATGCCCTTTGGCTTGGCGATCTTCCTATCTCCCTGAAAATTCTCAGTATCCTCCCCATTGTGCATCTTACTGTTCTTTTCCGCAACCATCTGCGCCTTTATTCTACCGACGTCTTCACGAACACTTTCCATGAGTCTCTTGGCGTCCTCGCTGAGCTGGGCATCTTGAGAGGCGAATGAAAACTCAAAAGTAGGAGTACCGAGCTGGTTCGTCCGAGGACCCTTTGCCTTGGTAGGAGTATTTTCAACCGGCCCTTCTTTAATAACATTTCCATTTTCATCCTTCTTAACAGGCTTGAAGCCTAGAACCAAGCCCGAGTCCGCTTGCTTGGTCGTACTCTGATGCACTTTACTCGGGTGCATCTCTTCGTGGGACGGACGAACCCTTCCCGTGCTAGTAGGTGTCTTTGCATAGGTGGGGGGTTTCTTATGGGTGGCAGGATCATGGTCAGGAGTCTTGGGGACGGACGCAAATGGTGAGGCGATAGCGGTAGTTTCGACGTTAGACTGGGCATCAATGACGCGAGTTTCATCGCGTTCCGTAACGGAGGACAGCTTCTCAGGAGCTCTAGAATGAGAATTTGGAGTCTGGATCTAGAATAACACGTTCGTCAGCGCTTATCCCAAGTGTAGCATACCCTGGAACGGTACGGGCGTTGCTGGGCAGTAGCGGGACAAGGTTACCTCGGCGGAGGACTGACGCTCCCTGATGCGAGCGGAGCGGCGGACCGCCATTTTGGGAGATATCAGAATACGGAGTTGATGACAGACAAGTAGGTATGGGGAAGGTAGTGACAGATGGGACTGCAGAGGGATTGCAGAGGGATGGGATGGATCGTGGGAGAAGAAAGTGGGCGAACTCGAGGACGAGTCGAAAAAGTAAACAAACATGTCCCAAACAGGAAACCCCGTGACGTCAGTCTCGTGACCAGTCATGCGCGTGTCACATGACCTGTCACTGAAGTGCGACAGCTTCGAATTGCAGCAACTTTTTGTATTCATATTATTCAGACAAAACGAGTTATGATTTTTACAGCATGCTATAATGGAGACTTTACAATCCAAATGGATACGTCTCGTCCAGTCCAAGCGGCGTCTTGGGCTGGATCCGCTCCAACGGCCTCACAGCATTGGTGCGGTCGAACCAGATATACGCATCCATCTGCTTATGTAGGAAGGCCTGCGAGTAATGCGAGATTCTCTCAGTATCAGGACGATATATGACTCCGATGAACCGTTCGAGACGCAGATTTTCCGCAGCCATCGCATTGCGGAGCTCGGGATTGATCTTGTTGCGACGAAGATCGAGCACAAATGAGGGAACACCGGTGTTGTGAGCCACCATCTCCCAGCTGTCATTGCGCGAGGGGCGCACGTTCATGACCTCCATGTCATCGTCCCACTCGTGCGCAGCAGCAACGGTCCCCGTGTGCGTGCCGCATCCCAGAATGGCGACGTTGTCGGCCCCAAAGTTCTCACGGCAGAGCTGTCCGATGTTCAGCTCGTTCCGCCGGCTGCCCATGGACGTGTACCTCGCGTCGCCGACATGAGAGTTATGCGCCCACACGATGGCCTTGGAGCCTTCGGGCTTGCTGCGGAAAAGCCGTGCCAGCGTCTGGAACATGTGCGTGTCCCGCATCGTCCAGGAGGAAGCGGAGCTGTAGTACATGGCCTTGTAGTACTGTTCCGCATCCCGGACGACCCAGGCGTTCTGCTCGCTGCTATGGAACTCCTCCCCGTCTTTCCGATTCTGTCGCAGGTACTCGAGCCTCTTCTCGAGCAGATCGCGCAACATCTGCACCACGCCACTCTCACAGTTCGCTAACCCCCGCAACGATGCAAGCCCATACGTGGTCGGATCATCCACCCACGGTTCCAGACAGCCATAGCGTCTCCTCGCCTCCTTAGCCGCTTGAGGATCGACTTTATCCAAGTACTCGATGACCGACTTGATGGACGCACCCATACTGTACAGATCCAGTCCGTAGAACCCAACGCGTCTCTCCATGGGCAGCTTGGAGTTGCGATCCCGCATCCACTCGACTAGGTCTTGCATCTCCCGATTCCTCCACATCCATGTCGGAAAACGTGAAAACGGTACGAACGATGCGGACCCGCTAGTCTTCCCTTCAATGCTGGCCTTGGGGCCAGGACGTTGCCGCACGTACCGGTCCACTTCTTCGGCGTCGGGCCAATCCGCCTCCACAGCGACCATCGTGAATCCATGCTGCTCGATTAGCCGTTTCGTGATCTCGGCACGAGCATGGTAGAATTCAGACGTGCCGTGGCTGCCATCACCGAGGAGAACGACTTTGTAGTCCCCGAAGCTGTCGAACTGCGAACCGAAGCTTGGATCTTCGATAGCGGGCAACGGACGCACCGCATCGTTGAAGAGTTCCTGGAGCCGCGCCATAGATGGGGAGATGAACTTGTGGATCGTAGATGTAAATGGTAATTGTGGTAGTCGCAGTGGCATGGGAGTTTTCAGTTAGAACTACTTTTGTATACAAGATCCATCCAGAAAAGCTACAGATATGGAAAACAGAGATCTATTCTATTCGTATCATGCGATGCGTGCGGCAACAAGATGAGATCACATACTTGTAAGGCGAGTTCCATCATGATGACTTCACGAATGGAAACAAGGACATCAATTTGCAAAAAAAGATCATGAGGGAAATATCAATCGAAATAAACAGAAAAAAATAAACAGAAAGAAGGGGAAAGGAAAAAGAGAGTAATGCACCTCCTCCGCCGAATATACACCACCCAAAAACCGCGAACCCTAAAAGCATCAACGTCAGCATCAACAACAATGACAACCCCAGCAACATCCTCCGTCCTCGAAACCCCTTCCTCCCACCTCCTCCGCTTTCAAGAAGCCCTCGAATCCGTTTATGGCTCCATCTCCACAATCAAAAACCCAGAAACATGGACCCCACCTCCCAACTCCGGCGGCCACAGAGGCCGCTACCTCTGGACAGACGCCTTCGGAGTCCTAAACCTGATAACCCTCTCCCGGGCCCAGGAGCAGCTAAAGATCAAAGAATCACAGATGCAATCGCAGTCAGACGCGCAGCCTTCATCACGCGCACAGCTCCCATCAAACTACTTCGCTGAATCGGACAAGTACCTCACCCTCGCGCGACGACTGGTGGAGACGGTCCATGACGTCCTGGGTTGGACGAGGGATGGGAGGTCCCGGCTTCCGGGGGCGACGGATTCGAACCCCTTAGGCGGCGGGTTAAGGATCGGGAAGATGGATGAACGTGGACCAGATGGTGATGGGCAGTACCATCATTACTTGACTATTTGGATGTTTGCGCTAAATCGGCTCTCCCTGGCCACGAAAGATCCGAAATATAATCGACAGGCTGTGGAGTTGGCGAAGGCGATTCATCCGCGTTTCTTTGTAAATCGGAAGTCGGATCGGCCCAGGATGGTCTGGAAGATGAAGATGGATCTCTCTGCTCCCCTGGTTGCTAGTGAGGGTAATCTGGATCCGATTGATGGTTATGTTATTTTTCGGCTTTTGCAAGCCACCGCTGCGGCGCAGAGTATCAGTGATGGTGTCGGTGCTGCCGATGGTCTTGGCCAGGACGGCGAAGGAGGTGTCCTTCAAGAGGAAATATCAGACTATAAACGCGTGATGCAAAGGAAAGGGGAACACTTCGTCTCGACCGATCCATTAGACCTGGGAATGACGCTGTGGACGGTGCATTGGTTCTCTGAAAGGGAGGAATGGGCCGCCAGGATTGCCGGGAGATGTTTCGAGCAGATTTGTATTCCCCCTTTTTGTTTTCGTGCAAGAGGGCCCAGTACTGACATTGTATTCAGATAACCTCATGGAGATAAACCGCTTCCTAGAACGCCCCATCAAATACCGTCTGGCATTCCGCGAGTTTGGCACCTGTCTAGGCATCCTCTGCCATTCCGAGCAGGAGTCGACAAAGCAACGTGCGATTGACCTCAAGGTCTACGCGGATGCCATCATCCGCGCCTGGGATCCGTATATGGATCTCTCTTTATCCTCAGGCTTGACAGACGATGACCTTAGACCAATCAATAGGGTTATGTATGCATCTGCTTTGATTCCGGGAGGTAAGTCGATAGGCCCCTAGGATGATGGACACAGGAACACAGGGAGCAAGGAATCAGCTAACAGCAGCAGCATTCCGACGCGGATATCTTGGTCCTGAGCCACAGGCGATGGCAAAATGAAATGCACAGACAGGGAGACAGATGAAGTAAAAGTAGATATGCATAAGCAATTCAAAGAGGGTTCATGAACAAACATCTATTTCGCAGTTCTATGCATGAAATATACTCCAACAAGAGAAGAGATCAGTAGCAGCAACATCACCGTATGTCTATACACCAGGGATTCCCACTATATTCCTCCAAGGAACAAGAGTCCTAGGGAGGAAGTAGATGATATACGCCGTTCCCAGGGCAATCAGAAGGCCGGACCACTAAACACGTCAGTAAGCAAGATGAAAGATGAAAAAAGAGAAAATTAAAGGAAACTAACCTTCTCCAACCAAGTATGAAACCAAATAGCAGTCATTAGAAGCATCCACCAACTCAAGCCAATAACCCCGCAAACAAACCTCAACGCCCAGACCCTCAAAATACTCTCTTCAAACGGATCTTCTCTTTTAGTCTGATCCGACGATTGCGTAATGGCATCACCATCCTCCTTCTCTTTCCTATTCAACTCCCCAAGAGAAGCATCACCCAAACTGACACCAACAGCCTCAAAACCCAAAAATACCATCGCAAGAACCAACAGGAAAACATGTCCGCTAACATCATACCCACCCCTCCAATCACCCCCGGCAGCCTTGCAGGAAGCAGCGGTAAAAAACGTCCCGAAATGATGATGGTGATGTTCCCCAGACAATGAAGCCGAAAGACGGCTCTCACATTTCCCACCAGTAAAGATAAATCCGCGATCGATAATCGGCGGCCCGAAGAACCACTGCGTAGTAAGATACCAAACCAAAGTAGCCAGCGCGTACCGGATCAACGCCTGGAAAATTCTTCGAAGGCGTCGCTGGTTGTTCGCGGATTGTTGTCGCAGCCTGAACGCAGGCTGGGAAACGAGCAAGATAAAAAACGCGAACGTCGTCCAGGCCCAGCCCAATTTCACAAAGTACTGATTAAAGATGTTGTTCTTTCGGGCGAAGTAGTTGATCGGGTGCGCTGGGGGGTCGAGGTTGAGGTCTGCTGCTATTGTGGGTGCGAGGGGGTCGATGTGATGACGCGGAGGTCTTGCCGTAGGCGAGATGACCGAGAATAGCAATCCGACGAACAATGTCACTGGGTATATGAGGAGGACTGCTGGGGGGAGCTGAATTGGAGGACGTGTTATCGTTGTTGTCACCGTCGTGGCTGGGGTTGGCGTCGATAGTGAGGAAGGTGATTCTCTCCGTTGACGGCTGCTCGGTGAATCCATGTTTCTGCTTTGCTAACGTGGAACAGTCATATGCAAGTAAAAGAATAAGAAGAAGAGTTAATCAGAAAGAAAAAGAATTGGGCAGAGGATGGGTTTTAATAGCAATGCCTTGTTGCCATCGTGATGATTCTCGCAGGTGCAGTGTAATGGGCGCAGATGCAGATCATGAGAAGACGTCACTTGCGTGTCCAAGTCAGCGTTCACCAGAACAGGACGGTGTACGGAATGCTGATGCCCCCAAGAGCTCCTGGGGAGAGTCCTTTATTTGATAACAAGATCCTTCGCTTGCTTCTAGTTGCTTCTCGAGGCGAAATTCAAACAAAACTCGAGTCGATGAGGACACATGGCAAAGCCACAATCAGCCACAGACACGTGCAATCAGCTGACCTAGAAGCCCTTCTCTCCTTCGCTACTCCATGAAGCTCATATTGAAACTGGATTATTCCCATACAATGCCAATTAATAGTATGAAGTTATGAAGACTACCTTGAGTACAGTTCAATCGTGGTCCTCAAAAAGAAAAAGAGCCAATTTCCAAATCCACTTTTTCGCTCATCCACTATGCAGATCCTATGGATAGCTGTCAAGGTACGATGCGCGTGTTACGCGGTGTGAGAGAGAAGAAGCTGTACATTGATGTATATTGCCCTAAGCGGTTGTACATCCCCCGCGACGTATGAGATGTGCTAACTAAGGTGACCTAGTAATGACAATAGCCTAAAGAGGCAACGTCGCATTAAGAGGCAGATTCCGAGAAGAGCTCCCGACGTATACTGTCTTGGGGTACTTGCTTATATACCAATTCTGGGTCTCAGGGTCCCAGTTGGAGAGATCGCGCCTGGTCAAGCTTGCTGTCCATACGGCCTGCTGTCCGGGGCCAAGTGTGTACCGGTTGAAGCCGCGGAGGACTACCTTGGGTTCGTCAGGGCCACCGAGGGAAACGTACTGTGAAACAATGTGCATGTTAGCATATGCGTCAGATTTTCAAAAACGTCTGGGGGTGAAGGGGGTGTACCAGTTGCGGTACCTCATCACCAATCACGTCCCCCGTGTTGGTGATGGTTGCGGAGACCCAGAAGAGTTCGTCATAGAGACCAGGATTCCCGCCCGGTCCGCCGCCGGCAGGGAGAATAGGCTGAGGGGACCCGTCACTCGCACCGGCGGGGATATACACCAAGGTATCAAGGCCGTAGTCGGGGTCTCCCGATGATGCCTTGAGGTCGGTAGAGTTCAGCCATGGGTAAATGTATTTGGCGACCTTCCGCAGTCCACTAGGATACAGATCATCCGAGGCTTTCCCTGCGCTTCCTAGTGAAGGTGCGGGACCAGTCTTGCCAGTAACAGGCTTGTAAGGCAAGGGGTTCAGGGCTTGGACCTGGAGGTTGGAATAAGAGAACGTGGTGTAGCTTAGACCATAGCCAAACTCATAGATGGGAGTCTCATCGTTCTTGTCAAAGTGTCGGTAGTCGATGAAGACGCCCTCAGTAAAGTCGTCTTGAGGTGCGCCAACGCCGTTATTAGGTTCCACAAGCAGAGATTCTCCGTACGCCTCACGCGTCTTTCCCCAGGTGAACGGGGTCTTCGCTCCAGTGCTTACCTTTCCATACAGAACATCGACCAGGGAATTGCCACTCTCCTGGCCAGGAACACCAGCCCAAAGGATAGCAGTGACGTTCGGATGGTCATACCACTCGCCGATCAGCACGGGTCCCACGCTGTGAATGACCACAACAGTGTTATTGCAGTTCGCAGTCACGTTCTTGATGACAGCCTCGCCGTTCTTCCAGAGCGTAAGGTTCTTCCGGTCACCTTCGTTGCCATCGACGTTGATATACCCTTCTCCGGAGTCGGCATTGACGAAAACAAGTGAGACGCTGGGGTATAGTCAGTTGATAGTGATAAAGGGAGGGACGATGGGACGTGAAAGCTCACCTGGCTTGAGAAGCAAGATCGACCATCTGCTTGATGGCACCATTATCGGTAACAGCATATACTTCACCTTCCCCTAGCCCGTTCTGAATAACCTGGTTCTGAATAGCTTGCTCGGGAGTAACCAGGTACGGGAAATTGGTCGTGCCACTGCCCCAACCCATAGCTAGGGTACCATTGTCGCACCCACGGTCATCGCAGCCATTGGCACCGTAGGCGTTGGATCCTGCGTCCTCGCCTAGAACAGCGACAAACCTCTCCTTTCCAGTCAATGGGAGAGCGCCATTGTTCTTCAGGAGGACGGTGCTAGACGAGCCGATTGCGCGGATCACTTGTGCATGCTGGCCTCGTACATTGACTCGCTCGTTGACCTTGCCCCAGCCATATTCAGGGCCAGCTTGTGCATGCAGAGGGCCAAATTCGGCAGTGGTCCAGGAATTAAAGTTGGGAGGTGTGCGAACAGCATCACGACCGACTTTGTAAAAGGCAGACATGATGCGGACGGCCATGTCGTCAATACGCCACTCGGGGATTGTGCCATTCAGAACAGCCGCAGTCAGGTTTGTTCCCCAGAAGGAAGTACCACTGCCGAAGGCCACGTCGCCGGGCATGGGCATGTCCAAGCCAGCGAATGCAGTGCTAACGCCACCGTGGTGGGCGCCCCAGTCGGTCATGACAAAGCCCTGGAAGCCAAGCTCAGCCTTGAGGACCTTGTTTAGCAGGTAACTGTTGGAGCAGGAATAGCTGTTGTTGACCTGGTTGTAGGAGCACATGACGGAACCCACTCCAGCACGAACAGCATCAGCGAAGGGCCTAGATCGCGTTAGAATGGGTGTGATCTTGGGAAATGAAGATGGGGCACCCACCAAAGATAGAGCTCGTGGAGCGTCTTGTCATCAATATTCGAGCTCACACTCTCCGTGATATTGTACCCGTAGCCCTGGGCTTCGGAGGACTGACGGAAATGCTCCTGCTCATTGCCGATGAAATGCTTTGCGCACGCAATGACTCCAGCGTCCTGGATTCCCTTGATCGTCTCCGCCATCATGACACCAGTCAGAACGGGATCGGGAGAAAATCCCTCCCAGTTTCTGCCACCATCCGGGTGCCTGCCAAGAGGACCAGCAACGGGTCCCAACTGGACATCCACACCCTTGTCACGGTGCTCCTCGCCCATGGCCCTGCCGCGGAGGTAGGCGAGACTCCTGTCCCAGGTAGCGGCTACATTGACGCCGGCGGGGAAAGCAGAAACGTAGTCGCCTGGTTATGCTGTTAGCTTCGTCCTTCGCCGTTAGATAGAACCGACTGGAAAACAATGCATACCGAAACGAACACCCAATGGAGAGTCCTGCGTGCAAATACCCCAGAATCCAAGTCTGCAAGCACATGGTCAGATCGCATAGCAGAAACTATGACGGAAAAGACCAGGATTTTACCTTGGAATACTCCCCGACTCACCAACGCAGCTCTCCTCCTGCCAACTATAGCGCAAGTTAGTGTCAGGGTCCACCCAGGGGCATGTGTGTGATCTTCTATCGTCCCATGGTTAGCACCAACTTACCCAACACCAGTTGTTAGATTGACCTTCTCGGCCAGAGTCAAATTGGAGACGAATTCGACGGCTCTCTGATGGGCAACAGCCCATTCTCCTTGGCCCGATGCCCATGGGGACGGGTAGAAAGGGGGGGAATAAGCTAGGTCGGCCTGCGCATGCAGCAGATATTAGTGTCCAATTTTCCTTCACGAATTTCGGTATATGGAGACAATTGGCTCACTTTGACAGCACTGGCAGCCCCAATAGCGACCAATCCAGGCCATCCGGGCCACATGGCGAAGCTAGATGTGAATCTTAATGCAGATGCAAGAGGTAATGGTATAAAGTAAGGACAAGAGGATGAAATAAGGTAGGAAATAAATAATAACAGAAGGAAAGAACCCCGACGACTATTAACAGACCGCAGGCCTTATGCGGCAGATCCCTTGTCGATGAAGGACCAGGATAAATAAAGGTATTATCTACTCTGCATAAGTAGTGCTTAATAGAACAGCATAGCGAGGGATGATCAACAGGAGCTCAACCAGATCGCAGAGTCCAGACAGGACAGAGCGGATCTTGAATATTTATATCTGTCTACAAGCAGTGTATACATCCACGTCAGCTGTAAGGCGAGAACAGCGGAGCTGCAGCAAGCTCATTTCCTGTCCTCGGTGGATTGAAGATCACCGAAAGGCTGTGGTTATTTTATTTTTCACCCATGGGATGAATAATATGATCGAGCACGTCCCAGGAACAAGACAAAAGGCCAATAAAGTCGTTATTGGGGGATTAATTTCTTTTAAAAAAAATAAATAAATAAATAAACAAACAGAAAATGGGCAATCCCATAGCTGATGTTGTCTAGGCACAGAGTACTGCAGGGCATTGGACGCGGATCGCATATTATATTGGGTCTGACCACTACATGGTAAAAGATCAGCTTGTTGACCAGTCGGTCGGCGGGCTGCAGGTGTTCTTGACCCTGTGCGCCCAACGTAGCTACTTCTCGTAACTTGTAACTTGTAACTTGTACCGTGCAGGCAGGCAATCAATGACTCTCAGGCGAATTGAGTATGGAGTATGGAGTATGGAGTATTTACGCTGTATGCTTAACCCCGCAACCGCGGCACCGCTACTCCGTGCCGAATCCATAATTTCTCCATAGGCCCCTTAACCTTCATGCCGGGGACGTTGGACTTTGTGGGGTTCGCACAATATCTACTCATCTAGCGATTGAGTTTCCTCTTGGGCTTCCGATGTTACATGCGGCATGGCAGTGTTGCATTCGGCTCCCTCGTTTCCCTCGTTAGATGCACCGGCTGTGTGTAGCCATACATACATACATACCCACGGACATGGTCCGACCGAAGTGCTCCAGTCCAGTCATGAATCCCATTTTTGCGTTTGTCCGCATGTTATAGTACACTGGTTGAATATGGTAACATGGTAGCCATCCAACATCATATACACACCAAGAATCTCATTATGGGCCCAATACTCCGTATAGTACAGAAAAATAACTCCTTGGGTCGGCTTTGGAGCCGACTCACCCGCAACAATACCTAGAGCCGCTAGAGAGGAGATAGGTCTTCAGGGGGAAGAAAGAAGGCCTCTCGAATGACATAGGAAAATTTCTTCCCAGGCTGTTTCAGCGAAATCGCACGAGCCTTGGAATATCGCACGGGTTGACATCACGCGTAACTTTCAGGCCTTTCGGATGACCTCCGCTGCACTTACTGAGTAATAGTAATGCAAGCTGCGTGGCCCGCGACCTTCCCACCGGTCCTCGGACTTTCCACCCGTCATCGTAGTTTATGTACTTATTTTGAATCTACGGGTTTGAGAACGCCATTGTCGTCATATCGCGCCTCTGTTGTTCACCAGTCAGTAACTGAGAACCGTACAACCAAAGACGGAATCCAATATCTTACTGAAAAATGTATAGGACAGCGTAATAGTATCAATGCCCTTCATGGCCGGGTCCTTCGCAAAATCGGGGTCGATAAAGAAGAAAACCGGCATATCCACCGACTCCCCAGCGTTGAGCTTCTGCTCCTCGAAACAGAAACATTGAATCTTGCTGAAGTACGGCGCTACCTGACCCGGAGTCACACTGTAGGTCGCAACGCCTATGATGTCCGCGGGGCCCTTGTTGGTCGCCGTGTAGAATGCAAGCGCAGTCTCTCCGGGAAGAACACGGACCTCTCGCTGCTGCGGGGTGAACTTCCAGGGTAAAACATCGGAAACCGAGCCATTGAATGTTATCCGGAGTCGACGCGAGTCGGTCACTGGTTTGAGCCGGGACGCCGTATCGCCCTCTCCGCCTTTATGCGTAAGAACCGGTTGACCGTTCCAGCCGGTCTGTTGGCATATCTGCAAAGGAACAGAACCCAGCACGTCAGTTTCCAACCGTGGCGTCCATGATCCCAAATATTAATTGAATCGGTATCTCTGACGTACATACCATCTTATATAGAGGAACAGAGCCATAGGCAAGACCAACGGTTCCGATGATGAGACTTATCGTATAATATCTTCAAAGAAATATTAGAATGGCCGAAGACAAGCGAAATCGGTTAAAAGGGGGCGCAAGAAGAAAAACAGAAAAGGGAATATGATATCCAATAATAAAACCGAACCGATAATTGAAGCATTGTCTTACAATGTGGACGTATTTCGTTTTTGAGACTGCGGATTATCGTAGGCTGCGGAAGGAGTCACGGCACGTAGAATCGAGTTCCTCGAGAAACATCTTTTGCAATTATTGGCGTATTCCGTCGCCGTGTATGTTGATAGCCGGGTGGTAGCTCTTGACAATGGACATCGAGCCCATGATGCGAGAAATCGAGACATTGCGGTGATAATTGAACTGAGAGAAGCCCGAGCGACCGGGAGCAGCTCAGTGACTTGTCAAAGCCCGGGGAAAGTTCTCCCGGCACGTGGTGATGTCTTGGCGCGCTCAACCGCCCATACTAAAGGAGACATGGCTACGCATTGCAACTCAGATGTGTTTTCCAGGCCATTTATTAGATTGGATTTGAATACTTTTGGCAGAGAATGGGCTACTCCTGCTCCAATATTCAGATGAGTAATCATACAAACATAAAACTACTATATATGTAGACAGTCGTGAAGGAGAATAAGATCCAGATGAGTATTGCGGCGAAGGCATTGGAGATGCCAGCCGGCTCATGCAATGAGTCGCGCTCCAATCTTTCTAAAGAAACCCCTGACCATCTCCGGTCTTTCTTGGAGGCAAGTTGAAAGGATAGCTGCACAGACGGCGAAGGCAATACGCTCCCGGTGTTGGTACTACAAGACATTGATGTTAGTAATTGTACTATCTGGAAGAACGATGAGGGGTTCGACAATGGGGAAAACGTGTAACTACTGCTCAGAATCCGAGCAAGCGTACCGGGCATGAGTCGTACCTGTTTGTCATAGACCCGTGGCAACAGAGTCGCCGCTGCCCTGGGTGCCACGAATAATGAAAGCTCTCGTCTCCTGGAAGCCTTCTCGACAAGAACGCTCCATCCGCACATGAGACACCCAGCACCGACACACAGACCAGAATCCCACATCATCGGTGTGACTTTATTCTTATCAAAAACTTTCGGGCCAAGTCGGGTTCGGGCAAGACAGACAGAGTAATAGAAAAGTGTCACAAACAAGGCGAGAAACGCAGATGACCGGGATGCATCAAATGCAATCCGAACGAGTGTGCGCATTGATCTCAGCCCCCGAGCACGGAGGGCAGCCTGCAGAGGAAAGTATGTCCAAAAACCGAACTTGAACGTTTTCAGGAAGCGACGAGCTGCATATATCTCACAATTAGGGCCATAGCCCATGTGCACCACTTCACAGGGCAGCGGAATCGTCTTGGCAGGATCTCCCCATACCATTGGCCATCCATAGTCTTTACACATGGTCTGGAGGAAGGGGGCTTGGCCAGTATCCTTGCCATACACAAATTCCCCTCTCCTTGCGCGACGGAGCACTTCAATCAAGCGTGCGTCGACTTGCGCAGCTTCGTCGATCCATCTCCCGTAGGACCTCGGAAGTCTCTCCGGAAGGTAAAACCAAGCCCACATTATGACCGCCGAGCTAAGCACGAAGATACCCGCATCCGCGACTTTAGGAGCGACAGATTCGGCAAGTGTCCACCGGTTGCGAGTCATGCGCCAGGCACGCCAGCGTGCCCATCCTATGCAAGCCACCGCATCTGCTGCTCTGGTGGCAACCAGCACGGTAAGGTCAAGTGTGCTTCCAGCAAACTCCGGGCTTCTTCGCTGCCGCTGCTCAATTGAATCAGTCGGATCAGATGCACTCTGCTTTTCCGATGCATCCTCGATCTGTCCGCCATAATGTCTCTGCAAACGGTCATGTCTCCGATTTAAAATCCGGAAACAGAACCACGCGGACAGAAGTGCAGAGATAAACCGAGTAAGACGTACAAAAGCGGAAGAGGTGATGACATCGCGCCTCAAACGAAATCTAGTAGCGATAGACGCAGCAAGCCGTTGAGCCAGTACGGGAATTATTGTTGAGCCGCCGACTAATAGAGCAAGAAAAGATGGGAAAGCATGGAAGCGGGTATCTTTGATAAGAAGCTCGGCCAACTATGGACACAGTTTAGCTTGAGCCGGATGCGCAAAAAGATTTTTCAAAGCAACTCACCTCTTCAAACCTCCGCTTCTGACCTACTTTGTTTTTTCGGGAACGTGTCAAATAGGATACAAGTCTGGGAGCAGTGGAGGAAAGATAGCCCACCGCAAAAGCTCGTAGAGGGCTAGGAGAATACAGAGAAGCCAATTCAGTTGACGCGGACTCGTCTGGTACAATCGCGCAGAGTGGATGTACTTACGGCTTGAGGATTCGGATATCGATCTTCCCGTCTCCTGGAATAGGGGCAATGGCACCTCGCATGATGGGAGAGTGAGAGGGAGAGAGCGCTCCGTTCAATTCATGATCAGCGTGGGTACAAGGTAAACCTCGTATACTAAGAGCCGTAGACACTTGGAGCTGTCTGCGGAGCCAGGCACGGCTCAGGGAGAGTTCATGGAGCGAGAGATCCAATCAGGAAGCAGCTATTAGAGGGATTTCAGTGAGAAAGCAGAAATAAGGCCGATGCAGCTATCGTACGAGTGACGGGGATCAGGATGGCGAAGGACAGTGTGGAACAGGAAGGTTGATTGACGAGATTAATGATGATCGTTGGTCTTATTGTTACCGTACGTACTGCAGATACAGGGAGCGGGCGCCGCTCTGTGTTCGTTGATGAAACCGCTGTGCAACTTTCTAGGACTCCAATCTAGATTTAATATATCGTTTCCTGCTTTCTTTCCTGTGCGCAGTACTCCGCATTAATATATACAATATAAATACATTTTATCGCTTTGACCTCGGTTTCTGCGTGAACTTTGAAGGAAGGCAGTAATAACTCAGGGGGTCATGAATGATAATATGATTACGGAGTACTAGGTAGATACATACGAACTGCGGACCAGGATGGCTGGCGTTAGAGCGTGTTTATTACTAGCTCATCGAGTCTTGGAGATCTCCCGAGGGAGCATGCGGCCGGTGGCTTGAGGGATCAGAGATGGCGAGGGAGCTGGACGAACTTGAGTCTTGGAGCTTGCAGTCGACCTTGTCATCTCCAGACTACTGGAGTAATAATGTTAGCTTTCTATTTATTACTACTTTATTGCACTATTTCCTCCAAGTATAAACCCCTAGACTCTGGAGTAGATGGATCACCTGCCTTGTTTTGGGAAACTCCCCCGGCGCTTGTATGGCGTCCGATTCGGGCTGTAACGAGAATTACGGCAGCAAGACGCGGGGGTCACACACAGTGCCAGGCAGAAGCAGGTAAGATTGGTAATACGGTGACCAAGGAGCCGAGCAGTGGACTGTTGCATGTGATCGTGACTGCAACTCTGCCCCGTTTAATCTTACTTTTACAGACTTATCCTTCTGCCTTCCACAACTCCGAGAAGTTAGAACAGAGTCAATCACCAGGCCGTGCTGTAAGGTTTACCACGACTTCCTCTGTTCGACGCTCCAGCATCCCCTCGGATGGAGATTCATATCCGTCTTCTCGGGGTAACCACTCGATTCGATCCTAGGAAACCGTTCCGCATCACCCCGGATTGCCATTAATTAATTTCCATTGATTAAATCTTCACTCGCCGCCTCCTTGCCTGTACCATGTATCCCTCCACATCTGCCCTCTAGTTGAAGCTATATGTCGCCACGGTTCCCCGGAGATGCACTTCTGGCTCAGCTTATATATTAACATCTCTTCAATCTACATCGCGCACGCCGCTCCGATCACCACGTCCGCTTTTTATTAAGTTTTATTTTACTCCATACCCCGCGTGCCCAAACAGTCCATCGGGCGATCAGTTCTCTGGTGTTTAGACCCTGATCCTCACCCCCTTTTGATTGAAAACATAATCTTTCTGATTGTCCCGACATCATCACAACACTGGGTCTCCTGGCTTAGTTGAGGAATTCATGTCGCCTTGATTTGCGCATTTAAGCCTACAACCCTCACCATATCCTAGTCTACCTGCTCTTTTTTTTTTCCCCCCTTCCCATCCTTATCATCATGGATACCCGCGGACCTGAAGTCCTCGCTGGGACTTCTACTCCTCAGCATGCATTTGGCTGTAAGTCCTATCCAGATCAATTGACTGATCTCTTTCTCTCCTGCCTTTTTTTAATTTTAAAAAAAAAAAAAAAAAAAAAAAAAACTTATTGATTGATCTTTCCTTTGTAGACTTCCTGTCATGCATAGACTCGCCCTACGAGCCTGCTCCCGCACCTCCCCCAGGTCCCGCTCTCCTTGACGATAATGAGTCGAACATGCTCGATAATTTCTTCACAACTTTAAACTCCAATCACCTCGATACTACTGATTTTTGGATGGGTGGCCACCAGAACAAATCTATGGGAACGGCATTCAACTTTGAATGGGCGGACGAGCTCCCTCCCACGTTTAAGGGATCCACGACATCGCTTTCACAACCGCTTCCTCGCCATACACTGGATGGTAAAAACAGCTTCGGCTTGCTGAACAGTGATGATGTGGTCGCAGCCACCTCTGTCATTTACTCCAACGATGGAGCACATGGGGATTTTGGTTCCTCCATGGCCCATCAACACTTTCTCGGGCCTGCCGTATCTGGTGCTTACAAGTACTGCTCCGGCAAGCAGACTAAGAATGCGCAACAAACGAGTCACGATGCACCTAAGGATTCTCGCATGAGCGTTCCACGTGGCTTTCACGCACCAGAGATGCTCTTTGATGAGCACCGACCGAGTCTCGCAGACCAGCAGGCCAAGAAAATAAGAACTCTTCAATGGGGTTCCGATATAAGCTTCATGAACCAGGTTTACGTGCCACCACCGGACAGCGGGGACGAAACGTCCCACCTGCTTGAATACATGCGGTGTTTGGAACCACAGGCGAGTGTTCCCAACACCCGACAACCCAGCCCTGAGAGGCCAAGCTCTCCCCGCGCCTCGCACTCCGCGTGGAATATATCTAATGACACTACTCGGATCCACCGCTCACGAGTCGAAAACGAGAACCAAGAGGATGATGGGACCCAGCCGCGTAAGCGGCAAAAGCTTTCTCTAAAGCGTGAAGACGACGAAGACTCGGACACAAGTAGCCCGAGACCAAGAAGAAAATCACAAAGCTCGAATACCATCAAGGCTAGGCGGGCTTCGAATGATGCGTCATCCCGGAAATCTAGGCAGTCGAACAGCGTAAAGCCTGCGCGGGAAAACCTGACGGAAGAACAGAAACGAACCAACCACATTCTGTCGGAACAGAAACGACGCAATCTCATCAGGCAAGGCTTTGATGAGCTGTGTTCGTTAGTACCCGGCTTAAAGGGTGGGGGGTTCAGCAAAAGTGCCATGCTTATTCAAACTGCCGACTGGTTAGAAGAGGTCTTACGTGGCAACGAGATGCTCCGAGAACAGCTAGCTGAGATGAAAACTATGAACGGTCTGGTTATGCCACGATAATCCTTCTTTCTAATATACGACCATGTCCCTTTGCGTTTACCCAACGTCGCGGACTACAGCGCAGGAATTGGTTACGTTTATGGATTTTACGACTACATATGGTTTGACCATTTGGATTTGGACATGTGCACAAAAAAGGCGTTCCTATGCTGCAAATATCCTTATATCCCAACCGGGCACATGTTTTATTTTCTGTTTCTTGGAGTACAGGGACTGGGTCTTTCCTCATACAGAATTTTTGTCTTCCCCTTTTCCCCATTTTCCAAGGATCTCTCTCCTTCTTTCTTCATTTATATCCTTACGCTCTATCGCCTCTCCAAGAGTGATTTCTTAGACCTTAATTTCGTTGGTTACCTCAGCGGATGGTGTGACCCACGGTGTTCAGATGCAGATGCAGATAATCAGATCATTGGTGAAATGATCTCATGACTTATGAGAATCAGAATTTCCTGTTTTCATTGCCTATTATGATCCTTCAAAACTCTTAAGAGTATCCGGTTGATGCGAAAGCGATCACAGCGACTTTGGAAATGCATTAGCCCCATCGGTAAGAGCAGACCCCACGCTAAAGGCCAGCACAACGGCTCATCGACATGCCCAGCCCTATCATCCACTGCTGCCTAGCTAAAGGTTGTCGCCTTGGCGTCTGCATGTGATACCGCACGTATGTGTCATCCGACATTCTGCACTTGGAAGATGACCATGACTTTTCAGGTAGCATATTTACGATCGCGCCAATAGTATGGCATTGGAGCTATGCAAAAGGGTATCATGTATTATACGGAACGTTAATATAATTTGCAGCATAGAGCACAGCGTATGACTATGACGGGACTGAAGCCATGATCAAGGCCAATTCAATTGAAGACATTCTGCCGGGCGGTGACAATACTAGCTATCAAGCATGTGATTCCGAGCTGTGCGTTTGCCGTAGCTTGCATATATCTATCTACGCTGTACTATCAACACCAGAAGCTTGACGAACAACATTTAATGCTCCTACTGATGTAATAGCCGCAATAGATCTTAAACTTGTTATATCACTTGCATTTACTGTTCAGCTTCACCCATTTTGACCGTGATGGCATCCAAACGGAAGCGTTCCAACGATGCCGACGAGAAGGAAAGAGACAGCACGCGTAACAAGCGCTTTGCATATCTACAACCGCGCGTTCGACGCATCTCCGAAAGAACAATCAAGTCTAGATGGACTACCTTGCCTGATTCTGCGCAGGCAAAGATCCGCGACATGCTCAGTTCTCTCGAACGGCCGGTTATCATGAGGCAGCGCAATGATCGCAAACGCGTGGGGACGCAGGCTGCCGTTCAAGCTGTTGTTAGGAAGTATGTTTGTATATTCTTTATGTTTTTGCTTTTTGAATTAAAGGAGCATGGAACACGGATTAGACGAGGGCTGACATGTCTCCTTCCCTCCTTTTCTTAGTCTAGGGAAGCGGCTCTCTAGAGTGCCATTTCCTCCGGTTACCAAGGATTCAAATTTCGAATACGAAGCTGTACTTGATGAGCATGTATGGTTTTTTTAATCGTTTGCTACTTCGACAACCCCATGTCGCTAATGCCGTGGCCTTACCAGCGTTCCTTGAAAACACAGCTAGCTACAGTCACGGACAGCATTGACCTTCTGAAAGCGGAAATTGAGAGGGAAGAGGCGTTGCTCGCCAATGAGACTAGGCAGTTTCAGGACTTGGAGAAAAATGCCAAAGCGACAGAGACCGAAAGAAAACGGCAAATGAAGAACGTGAGAGCCCACGGGTTCTGGCTAGTGCGGCTTATGGAGCAGTTTCCGCTAATAGCTCTTCTCTTCCTCAGGAACATCCTGTACTCCAACGGCTCGACGATCTAGCTCGAGATAGCCAGGATCAGAATCCCCCGGCTGCATATGTCGTTGCAAATACTAAAAATAGCCCGATGACCCTTTCTGAGGTAAGTGCTTGCTACGTCCGCTAAAATCGGATATTTTATCTAATCGGCGAACTTCTACTTTGCTTTGCTCCTCCAGCTTGGGGATGATCCGGACATTACAAGGTTGATCACCCAATTACAAGACCATCTGCAATCAATGCAGAGGAACGCAGCTCCCCTTAGCGGTCTCAGGAATGCCATTGCACGATCGCAGGCGGCATTAAACCTGTTTGAAATGTCCGAAGACTGAACGTTCTTCCGAACGAGGGCCTAGAATAGGCACGGAACCCAATTGCTTCTCGGAATCGTCAAGACTCCGCTCAAAGCTACATTTCCGGGTTAAGAACCGGGTGTTACGTACTCGACCCGAAAACGAAAGTTCGCCGTCCTTTCAGGATCTCCGCGTGATCAGAGGAAGACGTAGTTGCCGGTTGAGGGAAGACACTCTTGGCGACAGTTGCACCGCACCAGATGGCGTGGTTGACAGCGGTTGTGTGGTTTAGCGCGTGGCGCCCGGGAAATTCATGTGGGAATCCACGTGGAGTGCCTATTACCCAGAACGATTGATTGATATCATCGCGTCTCGAGTCTGGGATCTGCAGGGGAGCAAGTCCCCTGTTTCTACGACGTTAGCTTTGTTTGAAGCTTCCCCTTTCCTGTACATAGCCACTGTCAGCAGGATAGTCAGCCTAGAGTTAGAGGCTGTAATCACAATAATCTTGCGAAGAAAAAGGACTTCGCGATCATACGAGGCTCGCACGGCCGCCACGCAGCCCAAGAAAGTCACGTGTGCCGGGCGAGTGGCACTCCCGAGGTTACTGGCGTTAAACAGCACGGTAGAAGTCCGTCGAGAGAGCTCTCGTATCCGCTTGCAGGGAATACTAATGGGTCCGATGATATGATGCGTCCCCTCGTCCGGCTCTTGGGCCTCGAGATCCGTCTGGACTGCAGCTTCTGGTGATTCCGAAGGGAGCATCCCCTACTGTAGCAGTAATCGTTATAATAAATCTCAATGCGGAGGAAGCTCGGGAAATGAATCAACCTTGTTTCGCACTGCGGCGGGGACTTTATTCGCGCATCATCGCTTTCCACCTGCGTTTTGTTCTTCTCCATGATTTTATTTCGCTGGAGCTTTACCGATCTACCGTTGATTTTTTTGCCTCGATTTTTTCCCTCGCTTTATTATTTACCTCCTCCTACGCCTCGTGATTGCCCTCTCAGTCGATGTCTGCAGCTCTTCAACTCCATCATCCTACAAGTGACGAGCTGGAACCCTGCGCACTGGGTCTGCGGTTAGAACTCCATGACCGGGAACCCTGCAGCGCAAGCAAGCGCGCCCCCGGAGAGCCAGATTAGCAATGGGATGCTGGGCAAGATGAACGTGAGTCCATCCGAATCAGTCGCCACGAGAGATACTCCGCGAACCTCGTCTTCAAAGCCGGACAATCCTTCCGGTGGGCACGCGAGCGCAAAGAAGCGTCGCAAAGTTAATCATGGTAAGTTCCGTGCCGTCGATGTTGCTCCCGCCTGCATGAGGCTTCTTTCTTGTACTGCGTGTATCAGCATCGCTGTTGTTTATTTTCCTTGTCCTGTCTTTTTAATCTCTGTTTTTTATTTTTATTTGTTTATTTATTCCTCTTCTTTTCTTTCATTTTTTTATCTTTTTACCCCCTGTTCCCCCATATTGCATGATTCACTGATTCAGTGACTATTGCTGACAACATGCCACCCATGCAGCCTGCGTCTACTGCCGGCGATCGGTAAGAGTCCCTCTTCCCCTCCATCCTGGGGGCCATTCCATCTCAATGCCCATGATATTCCATCATGCGCTTGTTTTCTTGCATTAGCTTTTGATCGGAAGAGGACCTATTCGCTGACAAAAAGGGTATACGTTGGACAGCATATGACATGCGATTCGGTACGACCTCTTTCCCTTTTGGTTTACCAGCTTTAAAAGCTCCCCTTCCTGCAAATACGTCTTGCGTCAAGTCCATGATCATTCTCTTTTTATCCATCGCCTCTACTGACTCACTTTCGTGCATCTCAAAAGGAACGGCCATGCACACGATGCATCAAGCGTAATATTGGCCACTTGTGCCATGACGAGCCACGAGAACCTTCCAAACGCGCACGCAGCGAACAAGACAGAAACTCCGTCATAGACGAAGAAGCTCCATCAAACAATGAATTGTCAAATGTCCAAGGTATGCCTAGGAATGCCGATGTCAAAAATGTTGCTGCCGGTCAGCAAATTCTCCCCAATGGTACCATGAGCATGCCCCCGCAATCATCGTCATCACCACCGTCTTCATCATCCTTCGTGAACCCCATGCAGAGCAAGAGTGCGTCTTTTCTCTCTCTCTCCCTCCTTGGGCCCCAGTGTCGGAGCAAACCGTAAGCACCGCTGCGATGAGGGAAATAAGCAATATTTGGGTTCTTTAGATAAAGGCTGAGAAAGCTGACTGTTGTTGAACAGCTCTGGGTTATAGTGACTGGCTTGGAGGACAGAGTCAATTCCAGGATATGCACTCCTTTCATCCTTCATATATGTTCAACGCACCCGAATTCACAAACGAATACAACCTGCTCGGTGACTTCCTCAGCAACAGTCTGCTAGACGACGGGACTATGTATGGCAACGACGGTCTTTACTCTGATCCGAGTTTGATAAACAACATGCCCAGTCTGAGTGACGCCGGGCTACTACAGCAGCCGCAGTTTGAACCGCCAACCCACAGTCAGCTCACCGCCAGTGACTCAATCCAACGCCCTACCACGTCTGTCGGAAATGATAAAGCGCGAGAAACGTATTACATGACTGCGGCTGATCCATCCGGGTCCGATCCTCCGGAAGAGCGCATGAACAAACTCCTCAAAGCCAAGTACGAGGCTGGTCTGTTGAGGCCATTTAACTATGTCAACGGATATGCGAGATTGAACCGGTACATGGAAAGACACATGCAACCGGCATCGCGGCATAAGATCCTTCGACAGTTAGACAGATTCCGCCCTAAATTCCGAGAACGGATGCAGAAACTCACGGATGTCGAGCTTATCCTCGTCGAAATGTGGTTTGAGCGGAGCCTGATGGAATACGACCGCGTCTTTGCCAGTATGGCGATTCCAGCTTGCTGTTGGAGACGTACGGGTGAGATTTTTCGGGGAAATAAAGAGATGGCCAAGCTGATCGGCGTCCCAATTGAAAGTCTTCGAGATGTAAGCTCAGGCCTAAAGCGATGTTTCCGTTTATTTGCGGTAAGAGAATGTTGCTAACTCTTGTTTTCCTCTTCGCAGGGGAAACTGGCCATACACGAGATTATTGTAGAGGATCAGCTTGTGAGCTATTGGGAGAAGTTTGGCGCTATTGCCTTTGACAGCACCCAGAAAGCGATGCTCACGAGTTGTACTCTGAAAAGTCCGAATTCCAGTTCAGCTACTGACGGAATCCGCTGTTGTTTTTCTTTCACGATCAGACGAGATACACATAATATGTGAGTTGACAAGTAACAGTTGATGTGGAAATGAAACCTAAGCTGACTTTTCCTTCTAGCCCGTCGCTTATTGTGGGAAATTTCCTCCCAATGCAAAGGCGAAAGTCCTAAACTTTCAGACATGCAATTAACGAACAGCGATGAGTATGGTCTGGCTTCAATGGCGAATCGGTTGTTGCGTCGGCTGGGAGTTATTACGGTGGTCCTTCGTTTCTTCTTTCACCTCATGGCACAGGATACTTCTTGGACATACCCCTTATTTCATCATCCTCTCCTTCACCTGCTCCAGCCTGGCTCCTTGAGCTAAGTTCCTGGAGATTCCTTATTCCCACTTCTTGGTCTGAAAATACTGTCTGTATGTATGTATGTATGTACTATAGCCTCTTTTCCTTCCCATCCTCTTGGCAGGGCTATCTCTGCTGGACCATTGCAAGAAAAAAATTAAAATATCTTTTCTGTTCCCGTGCTTGAGTGCTATTAAGGGATGAATCGCTCTACGTGCCTACTAGCAGGTACTGGCCTTTGGATATCAATATGGAATAGCTCGCCAGGTCAGGTGAACGAGGATCTCTACAACACTTCCACTCTCGACAGAATTCCAATCCAGTATACTGTTCCATGGACAAGCCGTGGTCCGCGGAATATTCTTCTATAGTCATTCATCAAGCTCCAAAGCAACTTCAACGAAGCAATCAAATAAACATCCAGAAACAGCATCAAAGAGGACTAACAACAGAACAATGGCATCAACCAACCCACAAAAGAACCACATAGCAGAAATAAAAGGTAAGCCATATCATGTATACTCCTGAATGAGAAAAAAAGGTCTAGACTTAGACCCCTTCAAATCCTATCCTGACATGACATGACATATTATAATAGCCCTCGCCTCAGAACTACAATCCCAAATCTCAACCGCCACCATCCCTCCCCACTCTCTATCCTTGGGTGCCGATTTGTGTTGCAGATTGGATAAATACCTTAGCAACCCGCTTCTGCTATCCAGAGCAGGAGCAGCTTCCTCGCTTTCGTCTCGTCGGGAGCTTGATTCATGCGGGACGGGGTTGTGGAATGCGTGTATGCGGTTGAGATCGATTATCCCAAAGAGCGAGTTGGGATTGCTGAATAGAGGTTTGTTTGTTTATCTCTTCGGTTTTTGATTTAGTCTTTGTCTGGTATGGTGCCATTTATTTATTTATTATCCCTGGGTACAGTGAGTAATTTTGCTTTTGCAATGTTGGACTGTGCTGCAGGAAATCAAGGTAAAGAAACGAGTTATCTTGCTTTAATGAGGAAGTATACTCATATTGAGCTCCTGTTTAGGTCACTCCAGGATCCTGAAGGTAGCGTTGAAGGCGGCCAAGGCCTGTATAGGTTTCGTTTTCCCGTGTTTTCTATATATTGCTCCGGTGCACTCATTTGCTAACATGAAACAGAGAATGACCAACTGGACCTCGGGCTAGATACTCTTGGAACGGCAGCAGCTAGGCTTAATGCACTCGAGAAATCCGAGAGTGGCGTTGAAACACAGTCCCTTGCTACGGAATATTACATGCTTAGGGTTTTCCTGGTATTCATAGAACACAACATGATCTAAACTTCAAATAGCATGGCATAGCTAACCGATATATTTCCCCAGTCCTCACTTCAGGGAAGACCTGATATTGCTGAGCATATGTTTTCCAAAGTGGCAGAACCAAAGTTGGAGGAGGACCGAAAGATCATCCTTGAGATATGCTGCAATGTAGGCACCTGGGCCATGGCGTGCGGGCAATATGGTATGGCTTCGAAATGGCTGGAAAGAGCAGTCGGATTGAATGGGCTTTTGGGTCGTGGTTTTCGACATGCCAGTCGTGGTCTGGATGTGAGATTGATCGTTTTGCACACGCTTGGTAAGTTGACTATTCAGACTCGCGCGGACTGTCATTTTAATGAATTTGCAGCTCGTGCTTATCTTCAAGTTGACACGACGGATTCATGGAATCGACTATTAAAAATACTGAAGGTGCTGGAGGCTGTAAGTATGCTTCACCAGCGACGTTATGGTAACTTCTGAAGTGTCGAAAAGGAGTATGGAGGCCATTTTGCCATATTATTGCTACGGACTGAGGTTCTCAGCAGACAAGCACAACCAAATATCCACGAATACTATGGCTGTAAGTTACTCTCATATAATTTTAAAAATGGCTTACACATTTAGGTCTAGGTGCTGCTCTCCAAGTTATGGACCTTACGGATGGGAGTATAAATGCGTGGGTTATCGAGTTCCCTTATACCGCTCCAGATTCTATTTTGGACTAAGTGTGGAAACGCAGAATGTTCGTCTACATTTTAAAGCTCAAAGACTGGAGGTAATGCCAGTTCTCCACCATTGCATTTCTATTTTCAGGGAAGAAGAAAAGAGCTGATCTCTGTGATAGTCTGGAGCTTACTTCACAATCACTGCAGCGACTCCTCCTCCACGTTCATTTCAACAAGAGAATTTGGACAGAGCGAATATTTGTCACCTTCGTGTGGACGCTGACAGATCTAGCTTTTTGCTCTCAGGATGGTCTGGATCGTCTCGAAGATACATTAGCTCAATCGAGCACGCGGTGGCAGAGCCCGTTGAGCATAGAAGCCTGCCATGCCTGTTTGATTGTGGGCTTTCTCCCATCATACTGCACCGTCTCCGGCATAGTTTCAACTAACAATGACATCCACAGTTGATTTGGAGGAAAGTCGACGCTGTGATGTCTCAGGGCAATTATTACATTGCAGAACGATGGTGTCAATTTGTACTCGGTCATTCAGCCTTTCAAAACTGTTCCTTTGCTAATAAAGCTAAGTTTCAGAGGTCAATGCTATATATTACACTCGTCATCTCACTTTTTCTAATACTAACATAAAACAGGAGATTGATTATTTGTGCTTGGGAGAATTCGAATTATATCCTAGCACGCGAGACATTGAATCGTATGTCCGACGATTGCAAATCTCATCCGTTAACGCTTTATATGAGGTATAAACTAGCTTTGGTGGACGAAGATATTGATACAGGTAAGAAGAATTGATATTTCTAGTAACTAGTTAAGATATTCCTTATTGACTAACCAAAAAAAAGCAATTATATACCAGCAACTACCCCAACTAGGCAAGTCTGGAACGGCCTACATGCTGGCGTGTGTAGCAGAAGCTCGGAGAATGGGCAAGACGGAGCAGGTCACTCAGGGACTTCAGCATACTGTCGAAAGACTAGACAATGGATTCCCTGAAAGTATTTTCAATATTCCAGGTCTTTTTCAGTATGCTTTTGTCTCTCTGATCTGTTCCTTCCAGTGCTGATTTAATTTTTTACAGATCCACCCTGCACCTTCTGTCAATGGAGCTGGAAAATTACAAACCGGATAAAGCTCAAAGCATGATAATCGAACAAATTCTCAGGGTATTCGAAGCAGGTACGTTTTAGGTATAATCGACATGCCAGATGAAAGACTCAAAAAGACTGAACAAGCCCCAGCTCTGAGGGAGGCAAACAGAGCAGAGGAGAAGAGTGCAGCGTTTTTGCCAACAGAGCTTGAATGGTTCTTTATCAATAGCTACAATTCAGCTTTGCAATCACTAAAATTCGCCTCTTCTAAAACGGCTGTGTCGTTACTTGACATCTCTATAAATGCAAGTGCCGTTCTTAGGGCTAAATTGCCTGTCTTACTAACCAGACAACGTCCAAATAGTTCGCCGAACTATATCAGCAAAAAGAACATTCAAATAATGGAATAGATGTGCATCGACATTTCCTGCTGTGTGATTTTCACAAATCAACCGCGTTACTCTCCGAGGCACGTATGGAGGATGATCCTCTCATCAGAGTTTGTCTTGTCCCCTTTCCCCAAGGTCCCAAATACCCAGCTAAAATAACCCAGGAAACATACTATCGTAGTCTAAGAAGTTCCTCACATAACTTCCGTACCCGTATCCACTCACATCTAGCGAAAAGCCCAGGAACTGAAACTGAACAACTCTACTGGACAAGGAAATATAGAGCAGTTATCGCGTTCGACGTTGAAGCCACCGTATCCTTGAAGCAGTGGAGTGACATCGTCTCTATTATCGAGGAAGCAAGAGAAATGGAAATAGTGGATGATTGGCTTTTATCGGTATTCATGGACTGCATATTATCCTCTTCTTCTGTACCGGGTGAAGAGACACTGCGGATTATCGAGGTACGTCATGCCATCTGCCCAACACCATCAGTATAGTTTACTCTACTCCAGTTCGGTTCAGCTAACAATACACATTCTCAGTTAATCCTATCTATACTAGTACCATCAGCAAACCCCAACCCCAGTTACAAAGACCAACCCCGCTACATCCACTCCCTCTTCCACCTCTGCATATCCACACCAACAGAACAAACAAACCACTCAAAAACAAAACTAGCCGAATCAATCCTATTCCACGCTCTAACCTTAGCCAGACAGGCCCGAAACGCTTCCACAACCATAACTAGTACTGATACTACTTCTCCTACTACTACTGCTGCTGCTGCCACGACTACCACCGGACCAGACCCATACCCCGACGAAGAACTCGAATGGCTCGCAACAGTCACGTTCAATCGCGCCGTGGATTTTTATCTCACCTTCGCTGAAGAAGATTGTAAACGGTGGGCTGGGAGGGCGATTGAGCTGGCTGATTTGTTAGATGATGATGGGGCTTTGGGGCGGTTATTACGGGTTAATCTTGCGAGGTTGGGAGTTGATATGCAGGTTTGATTGACTATATGCAAGACACGCTTGACGTAGGGCGGGTGGGAATAGTATTATTATGAATGTATTATGTGGATCTTAAATGCGACTTGAATCCCCTACGAAACGATGCAATTTCAATTAGAATACTACTAGATGCTATCTTTCCACCAGTAGGCTCCGAAAAACCATACAAATCGGGTATCATTTGAAAATATTAGCTGCTTAAAATGCCATTTAAGAATGCCATAGAGATGGGACAAATGGAATAAGCATGGAAGAAAGGGTATAATAAGAAAGAAACCCGGTAAAGGTGAAAATGCAGACATTGCAAACGCTTGAGACTCCGCCAACACCAACGAAGTATGCAATATCCATCCTTTTATAAGGGAAACGCTCGGTAATACAGAGGAAGAAGAGCATAAACCAAAGAAAAGACCATTCAGAAACGGAGAAAGATACCGTTGGCAACCTTGCAAATCTCCGAGTCTCTTCCCCTAATGAACACAGGGATATGATATAGTGTATGAGGTAGCCTGGGGGTAGTCAGAGAAGAAAAGATAACATGCAGCGTCAAGCATGCATGGTTCAAAGGCAACCAAAAGAAGGAACCGAGAATTTTAAGTATAATGTACAACATGAGGAGGAACCCTAGGGGATGGAGTAATTGACATCATGGAAATGCCCAGATAACAGAACTATTCTAACGAGGGAGAAGTTTGGAATAGGGGAAGTAAAGGAGATAGAGAGTGAAAAGGGAACAGTGTTCCAAAGGATTTTAAGTGAACCGGCCAGGCAGTCTAAACGCTGCCCTCTCTTCCAACAGACCGTGACCTCGAAAAATTTCTCGACCCCATTCTGCTCAAGTTTGGAGTCGACGGGGCTCGCCGGGGAGTGCGCGGCCTCTTGTTCTCGCTGCTAGGAACAGGCGGGGGAATTAATAGCCTCCCGTTTTCCTTGCCGCTGCTATCAGTTTCGGTTGTCTCAGAAGCTTCTTCCGTATTTTTAACACGGGAGGTTAGGGTTCGCAGGGTAAGATTCAATTCACGCTCCAGCTCCTTTGCGCAGTCGATCCTTTCAGTAGAGATACTGAGTTTCTTTCTGTAAGTTCTTAACGTACGGCATATCTGTTCGGTGGAAGAAGTCAAACTCCCCGGGTCGTTCTTTCCGGAGTTCCTGATGCGACTTCGAACGTCCACCGATGAATTGCGAGAGCGATAATGATTTTCAGAGTGGAGTCTTCTCGTCGATCTTGTCTTCGGACTGAGAGGAGAGGGCGATCTGCCATCCCTGTCTATTGAAGTGGAAGTTGAGGAGCGACAAGGAGCAGGTATGGGAGGAGGGGGCGTGATCGAGGTTCCATTACCTGTTCTCAATGAAGAGGACACCAGAGACTGCTTTGACATTTTCCGACGTATTACAAGAGATGGCTCACGTATAAATGTGGGTGACGATGTCGTTTGCTGAAAACTAGCAAGCTCGGATCTGGACAAGATCCGACGTAGGGGGGCTTTGGCGGCTATCGATCCTTTTGAGGGGGTGTCGTCGTCTTCTCGTGGGTTATCCTGAAAAGGTTCCTGAACAGACTGCAGCTGGAGTTGCACGGAGAGTTTCCATATGATGACGATTCCATCAATACCAGCACTAATCAATAGTCGTTTTCCAGGACTCTCCGGGGTTGCCGGTCGACTTTCCAGAAAGTACAAAGCGCTCACTCCTTCAGTATGACCGAATTCTCCCGTGAGAAGCGTTTCCCGCTCCAAATCGTACACCCGTATCGATTTATCCGTGCTGGAGACTCCAACAAGCAGCTTGGGACTCTGTCCAGGGATTCCAGTGGATACCGTCAAAGAGTTCATGACAACGGCATCGCTTGCTTCCTGGTCAGATGATCGGAATGAGCGAATATGCCGCCCTGTTTCTAAACTGTACAGCTGTATACAGCGGTCGATGGTAGAGAACACCAGGGTATCTGGATCATCGGGCATCACGGTCATCGATACCGGAGACGACTTCAACGTAATGACCTTGGAGATAATGTAGGCAAGGACTTCCATTCCATCAACTTCCCGGATCACACGATCTCTTACAAGGATTGTGCGGTCGGCAGAACAAGACAACAGCTTTTCTCCATTGTTGAGGAAAAGAAGCTGTCCCACAGCACCGACGTGATCTTCCATAGTTTGGATCAACTCGAACCCTACTTCGTCCTTCCTGAACAGCTGCACCATACGGTCACGGCCACAGCTAGCGACGAGAAAGCAGCCTTGGCTCAACTCGTGTATAGCAATATCCGTAATCTCACCCCCATGAGCTCGAACTTCTTGAATGTTTTCCCAAGGCTGTCCTGATAACACCCTGGATAATGTTAAGGTCAGCAAGTCGGTCCTACTAGACTCTATTATAAAAGACAACTAGAGAAGATTATACCTCAAAACACCAAATTTGTCACCCGAAATAAAGAAGTCCATACTGTCGGTGGTGCGAACTATTTTCAGCTCATTTGTGATGTCCTCATCAGCGCGCGAGAGCTGTTCCAGATCGATCTTTTGCGAATCATGGCATCTTCCGCCTGTGTCCCAGAAATTTACAGTGCCCTCACACGACCAAGTGTAAAACTCGGCTCCTCGGTCGTTTGGTACCTTGAGGGGACCAATACCAAGAACGGCGTCCCTGTGGGCAGGTAGCAGTGCCTCTGAATGGTCCTGTTGGCCATCCTCATCCAAACTTTCAGTGGCGTAAATGTGAATGGCCCGTCTGGAATCGAGTGTGACCAGATGTGACGAGAGGAATCCCATGGATGTAACAGCGGGTCCTTTGGTGTGATGCTCCGCCGGAGTCCTTTGTGTTGATACCGGAGACGAAGGTGCAGAGACTGTCAAATTCCGCAAATCTTCAAAAGTGAGCCGTTGTATCCGGACACCACGGCCTCCAAGCCATACAGATTCCCCGTCTGAATCGACCGCTAAAGACGCGATACCAAACTCGACAATTTTGACCAATGACAGTTTTGGAGACCCATCACTGCCATCAAGATAGCATACGGCACCTGCATCAGTGCCTAAAACAGCCTCATGGTCCGATATGCTGGCTACACAGGTGAAGATCTGACTGCCTAACCCTCCTAGAATGCAGTTTCTCCCAGATAGTGCCTTTGGTGCCGAGTTCGCGGGACTGGAATTCGGGTCCACATTCGAAGGAGTTTTGGACGGGGACGCGGGTCGCACATCGGGAAGTCTCCAAACTTTAACATGCCGCACGCCAGCCCTATAAACGATTTAGTTCGAGCCGAAAAAAAAAAAAAAGGAAAGGAACTCCGCGCAATCCATACGTAATTAAAGTCTGCCCCATCCAACATATGCTCTTGACGAAGGATGTGCATTTATTCGCTGAATGAAGCCTGGCGGACCCGTTGCTAAGACTCACAGCCCACACAAAAAGAAACCCGTCATTGACATCTCCAAGCGTGGCCAGATATTGCGAATCAGTGCTAAAGGCGAGGCTGCGAACACCAAAGGTGTGTTCATTCAAAATCGTCAGAGGAACATCGGGCGACGAGCCTTTCGTAGTAGAAAAGATCAATACCCTGGGATTATAACCGGTCTGAGAATCATCAGCAACGAACATTGTGGTTTTACCCAATACGAGCCTGTTACTCACCTCCCCAAAAGCCAGCAGTCTACCATTCGGGCTAACTGAGACACAAGTGACAGCTTTAACCCTTTCCCTGGATGACCAGGGCCGCGTATTGACGGCATCTGCCCAGTCGGTTGTTGGTGAGCTATTGTAGCTGCTACCGCCAACCCCATTCGCATTGGCTTTTACAACGGACAGAGATCGTGACTTTGGTTCAGGCGTAGCTGGGGTAGAATTCTGGTTATAGAACGAAGCAACGGGGTTGATGCTGGTTGCCGAAGGACGCGCCCGGAAGAACCTTTGGCTGATGTTATTCTCATCGTCCAGCTCGGCTAAGACGGCGGTGGATCCAGCACACAGGGCAAAAGAGTTTGATTGTTCGTGCACAGACAAGCCATTTGGTGTTGTTATTGTCGTCCCAATGACTGTCTGAAGAGACAGGTTCGATTGATAGGTTGGCTTCTGGGGAGATCGAGCCGGAGGCCTCAGGGCAGGTGAATTGGAGGGGGTAGTTCTCATGGGCGAACCGGCGGTTGCAGCTTTGCTTTTAATGGTGAAAGGAGGGTTATATGCCATAACCTCGAGGGACAGAGATCAACTAAGGCGGTTCAGTGTCCCTGGGGAATATCAGGCTCCTTTTCATCGCAGTATTGCAGCCGCACCGACAGAAGGGAACGGAACTCGTTATGGGGATTGTGATTTCGGGAGTATTCGACTTGACACTTTTTGAGCATCGGAAGAAAGGATTCAGGGAAGAAGTTGACGTCCGGTTCGGTCGTGCTGGGGGGAGGCAGCTGCTCAATATTGGGACAGGGTCTTCTGTTCTGATAAGCTCTCAAGAAGCAAGGACGACAGGAAGCAAAGGAAAGTGCACGTCCGCTGGAGAAGGAGAAGAGCGACAAAAGAGCGACTGAGGAGGACAAGAAGGAGGAAAGAAAGAAGAAACGAAGGGACTGAATAGGACAACTGAGAGTCTCAAGATCCAGCACGACGATTATTTCCGTGATAAAACAAGAGAAAGAGATGAGATCAGCGAGTGGCCCGTGATCTGCGTGGAGCCGGTATAAATTCACGAACTCCTCTCGAACCCGCCCCCGATGTTCGACTCTGGACGGTTTCTACAATGTAGGCGCCCAACAGTTTCTGTATCACGATTCTTTTCGAGGCTGCAGGTCGCAGCAGCGTTGGGGTTCGTGGCCGGTAAATTTCAACGGTCCAACCTCGAGAATCAGCCAACACGACATGCTTCTCGTACCTGCTTACGGGAAGGATGCTGAGTTCTTCTCTTCTATCATTGTTGGACTAAGAATCCAGTTCTGATAATAGTAGCAGTAGTAATAATAATGTGTAGCATCAAGGATCGCTATCAGCGTAAATATTTAACTCGATGTAGCACCACGTGACCCAGCGGCTGGAGATTTTCCTTTTCCTGCGCCTTCAAAAGCTTCAACAGACGCATCTTCCTGCGCGAACCTTCTTCCGAAATGTCACAGTTTTGCGCTGCATCGTCCAGGCTATCGCTTGGCGCCGTTCTGCACAGCGTTTTCCGTGCTGAGCTCGCCTCCCTCAATGAATATCCCAGTCGCCTCTTCTACCGTGGACCATCTTCCCTCTCTCGTTCGTTAAGAACCAGGCGATGTTTTAATTCCTTTTCTCGTCTCCAAAACTCGCACAGCAAAAAAGTCGAGTCTGGATCTCAGGGCTTAACAACTACTGCTGATGCAACCTCGAATGCTGGAAACCAGCATAGCACACCAAGGGATACAACGGATACAACTACTGGGAGCAATCATGACACCGTTTCCGAGGCCCCGAGCCCTGCGAAGGGGGACTTGAAGCTGGGAGGAAGCAATGATCAAAATCACTCCAGTGGAAAGTCAACTGCAGCTAAGAAGAGTTCGCAGAAAGACAAGGACAGGAAGGTCACCAGGCCTAAGCAAAAAGAAAAGAAGCCAGAGGGATGGCAAATTCAGAAGGCAGCTCTGAAAGAGAAGTTCAAGGAAGGCTGGAACCCGCCAAAGAAACTCTCTCCGGACGCGATTGAAGGAATTCGGCACCTGCATGCGACGGCCCCTGACAAATTCACAACCCCTGTTCTCGCGGAAGAATTTAAAGTGTCCCCCGAAGCTATCCGACGGATCTTGAAGAGCAAATGGCGGGCTTCAGGAGAGGAAATGGAAGAACGGCAAAAGCGGTGGCAAAGGAGATATGACAGGATCTGGAGTCAGATGGCCGAACTGGGTCTGAGGCCCAAGCGGAAGCGTACTGAGGCAGTTTCAGACATCAAGGTATTGTATGGCGACAAGAAAGCACCATGAGAGGTGCCAGACAGCATTCTAAGACATGGCGCTGGTTCATCCATTGCCATAGTCAGCGTCCACCGGAGCACTGAAGATGGGCTCGAGAACACTGTGTACCGAGATAATAGTCGGCTACACTCTGGTCGGTGCAATTGTATTTATATTATTATTATTGTTATTATTATTTAGAATTAATTTGTCGAGAAAGAGCACGTTGCAGTTATGATGAATACCACCTGTAGATATATTGTTAACATCAGGGGCGCGTGCAGGGGCTTCTCCGCCAAAGCATCATGACGGCAATTCCACCAGTCCATATCGCTCCTTGTGGGGTTGATGAGAACTGAGCGTTTCCTGCAACCTCGACAATGCAGCATTGATCCTCACTCCCCCCCCCCGATCCTGACGGTGCGCCTTACTAACATGGCGAATGTCCTCGCGGCGGCGTTTAACTCGACGATAACGACATCCTAAGTCTACACACTACACGCTCCCGCGCTTCCTTCGAGTTCTCTTCCGACGATCCTATATGGTGGCCGTGTGTCGCTCGCCATGTCATCGGACATCAGAGTCTTTGTGAGATGGAAAGACCAGACAATATTCGCAGGAGAAGATGTGGAATGCACTATCACCTTCAAGAACGTGGCGGAGAGTAGCAGTGAATCCAACAATCCCAATGGATCCATGCATCAGAGAAGGCCATCGCGGCCGGCTACGGCAAACGCCAAATCGGGATCGTATTTCTCATTGAAATCTCCCGCCGGCCTCTTTTCCCATCAGAATCGACGCTCCTATCCTCTCAGCCCTCGAAAGATACCTACGGACCATTCTCACCGTGTGTCCTCATCATTGAGCTCCCCCTTCGGCGCCCCTTCGCATAGCTTCCCTCCGGCTCATTCTCCCCCTACTTCTCGCAATTGGCAGTTGCCGAATCACAAACATAAACGGTCCGTTTCTATCCTTTCGATAGAGAGCGATGGAGGGAGCGAGAAGACCGCGGCGTCCTCTCCGTTCAGTCGATATAGACCCACAAGGTATCATGGGCGTTCTGCTAGCCTGCATGTCCTTCCAAGGAGGAATGATGAGGACAGCCCTGTGAAAGGTACTCTCGAGCTTTGCGGTACAACATCAGTTGCCAAGTTGTATGTTTAGCTAATGGTATCTTGATTGTCCTAGCTGGCCGATACAATACACAACAAGGCTTTCCGCCTTTCGATTCTTCTGTTGATCGCCCTGTGAAAGCTAACCCTGCGGCACCTGGGATATCGAGCCCTGGGGGGTTGGCTGAGCCATCGCATCCAACCGCCCGAAGGCCTATTCCACCCGCCCAGGATTTCAAATTCCCGCCGGCCCCTCCAGCTGCGAATGGCGAAACTGTATTGTCTCCTTTACCAGGCAAATCTCCCGCCAGGGAGGCCTTGGCTCCGCCCGTACCTCGATTTACTCGAATAATCTCCAGCTCAAGTCAAAATGGTAGCAATAGGAGCAGCGGAGAGTTTTACTCAATGAGCGGCAACTCTACTGAAACCCTTGAATCAGAATATACAAACTATTCGTCAGCTGGTCCGCGCCCCAAACCTACCACCCGTCACACACGCGGCTTTTCCACTGTGGAACCTCCCGGGAAGTTCATCAAAAGCCAGGCATTACTTATGGGGTATGCACAGATAAGCGCCTCGTTTACTGTTGATGGCTCGTTAGTCAACCAGTCCGCTTTTGAAGAAGTCAAGCGGAAAGCGGTAGTTGGCACTCAAGGGAGCGGCGGGGTCTCCAGAAATGGAGATTCTGGCGGTCACGGCAAATCTCGCAAAAGTGGTGGGCTTTGGGGCGCCTTAGGATTGGATAGCATCGAAGAGTCCATCAGTAGTCTCCTTTCTAAGAACAGCCTAGATGGCTTGAGGGATATGCGCGGAGTTTCATCTTCGAGGTCTATACCGCTGCTCTCGACAAACCAGTCACTTCTCTTCGTGGATCTTCGTCTAGCACCTGGAGAAGAACAGTCTTATATGTTTACGTTCACTCTACCCCGAGGTCTGCCGGCCAGTCACAAAGGGAAAGCCATTAAAATATCCTACAATCTTATCATTGGCACACAGCGACCTAGCGGTCCTAATGAGCCTCAGCGCGTCAACCGAATAAATATACCATTCCGCGTGTTCAGCGGGGTTAATGGTAAGCCACTCGCAGCAGATATCTTTGTTAAGACAAATACTCACACCTTTCAGGGCAAGGAGAAATCCTTGGTCATGATCTCATGGCCCCCTATACGATCCTTCACGGCGAAGCGAAAGTACAAAAAGTCGGACCGTCTAGTACGCCATATAGTGCGAAACAAAAAAGCATCAGCGGACCACAGTGGAAATCAGCTCCAGAATTCCTATCATACGTGGATGAAATCCTGGAAGGTCATCCCCTCTATGAAAAAGCGCTGATTTCCCCTGACTCCAAATCGGTAAGACGATTGAACAGCAATGACACCCTTGCAACCCCTCTTTCCTGCAAGGATGCGATAGACCTGGCCATTCTTCGAAGCAATCATGTGCAATCAGCACGCAGTCCGAACCGGTTCGAGATTTCTCGAAACGGCCGCCGCGTCGCTGTTGTGGTGCTAAATCGCCCTGCTCATCGCCTGGGTGAAACAGTTCTCGCGACGGTAGATTTTGAGGGCGCTTCACTTCCCTGCTACGCTCTCCGTGCCATGCTGGAATCCTCAGAGAAGGTCGCCCCAACCTTGGCTGTCCGGTCAGAAGCCAGCATCTATCGAACCACCCGGAAGGTCCATGCATCATGTTTCGAGAATACCCTATATTCCACCCGAGTCGTGTTTACCCCTGCCATCCCCATTTCCGCAACGCCTACCATATTAACCTCCGGAGTGAAGCTGAAGTGGGAATTACGCTTCGAATTCATCACTAGTTCTAATAATACCACTTTGCATGAAGACAGAGGTTTCGAACCCCCCACTACTGCTTCCGGCGCGGGCCTCCTAGAACCCATCTCCAGCAATGATCGAGGCACTATTCTGGCCGCCCTGGAGAACCTGCCGTGCGAGTCCTTTGAGATCTCCATTCCCCTTACCGTTTACGGTGAAACCGTGAGAGAGCTATTACCAGAAGAGAACGACGGGTATCCTATATAATTGAATGAAAGCCGAGGGTGTGTCATGTGTATGACTTTTTTTTCTTCACCCCCCTTTTTTGAATTCTTCCCAGAAGTGTAGCTGGAGCTGGGGCGTTGTCTTCCATTTTCTTCCAAGGTTCCAAGTTACCTGAAAAATATCGGTAACTGATTGGTGTTTTGGGTGTCAGTCAATCAAAATTAAGATCCGCTTTCATTTGTTCAAATATGTTTCTTCCTTTTTTCTTATCTTTTTTTTGTTGGACATTCCTTCTTGTCTAATGTGTGTAGATATCAAAATCTGCCCCTGTATTGTATGTAGATGGAGAGAGGACGACAAAAAGAAAGGGCATAGCTTACATGAGATTTGGAATGGACTGCAGTGGGATATGATATGTGAACAAGACATACTAATGCTTCTTTGTCTCCCTCAAGGGAGACAATGTTATTATATCCATTGTTTTATGGAGTATTTCCCGGGGTACTGATTGTTGCTGGTCCGCGTAATGTATGGAATACATCGTGCGACGCTACCACTACGAGATTTTACACCTTATACAGATATCCTTCAATGGATACAGTTACCATATATATTTATCAGAAAGATAGAAAAAGAAAAAAGAAATAGGGCAGGTAAACAATGCTCCTCCAAACCCCAAGAATCAATTGGGGACTCAAAAGAAACAAGAAACAACCCTTCTCATTCCTCACATCGTACAAGGGCTTTTGCTCTTAATTCTCTATTTACAAAGCGTCCGTGAGGGTCTTGTTGAACTTGGCAAGCTTGGACGAGACGCTGAGGTCCACAGTGCGGTCGCCGATCTCGACGATAAGTCCACCAACGATTTCGGGGTTGACCTGGATAGAACACACGTTAGCATGCAGGATATGAATACCTTGGATGATGATCAAACGCACCTTGGTGACGACCTTGAGCTTCTTGCCCTGGCTGAACTCGGACTTGGCGACGGCCTTTTCAAGACGGGAGATGGTCTTGTTGTCGAGCTCCTATTGTCCCAATTAGTATTCAAGTCTACCCAATTTCCAAACACCAAATAAACAAAATCAATACACACCTGGGCGCTGGTAATGTTAAGCTCAATCTCACCACGATGGGCGCTCATGAGAGTCGCGAACTTCTCGCTGACATCAGCAAGCAGTCCCAATCGGTTGTTCTCCGCGAGGGTCTGCAGGAAGTTCTTAATAATCTCGTTCGATTCACTGCCGGTCACCTTCTCCAATTCCGCGATGATCTGTTCTTTGTCGCTAGCAGAGAGGGTGGGGGCGCCGATGATGGTCTTGAGCTTGGGGTCCTGGTGGAAGACATTGCCCAGGCTAGCGATGGCCTTAGAGGTCTGGTCGAGGCTAGAGGTCTTGACCGAGGCAGTGTACTAAATTTTTTTTCAATCGAGTCGGGTTAGCTTATTTGTTTATCTTTTCTCTTTTCCATCACTTGTTGGTTCCTCGGGATCGGGATTTTTGTCCCTTCCTTTTCCCCCTTCAAAGCTTCTGGGTAAAAAGGCAAAAGTACAAGGGTCCAATTCGGATGGCATACCAAAGCAGTGGCATAGGTGCCGTCAACGCCGAAGAGGGCCACAGGAGGCTGGACATCCTTGGCAGGGGTGGCATAGGTCCTCAAGCCATTGAGGGCGGCAGTGCGAGGAACGGAGAATTGCTGGGCGATGGCACGGAGGCCGGCGCGGGCAAGTCGAGCGGAGAGCATGGTGGCAGAGATGGCGATAAGGCCTCGAAGGAGTGGAGGATAGAAGTTGCGAGACGCGAGGGAACTCAATGGCCGCTGCGAAACGATTCCTGGCGGAGGTTGAAGCGAGTTCGAACTTCGGCTTCCTGTGGAGTCACGTGGCAGCCCGTTCCGCAAGCGCCGAAATCCGCATTTCTTTTCCGGCTTCATCCTTTCACTTGAAGACTTGGAGTTATGGCTATCTGCTATTACTTCATCCTCTCATTTTATGATATAAACGCCTCTATAACACCTAGAGAACACTAACATCAAGTCTGATTCAAACTCCCAACGCCGTTGCTCCGTCTCGATTTTACACAGGCACTGTGTGAGCATGAAACATGAGCTAATCACTCCGCAACATACTGTCCACCAAGTCACCCAATGGCCCCCAGAAGTCTTTCCCAATTGCCAACCGATGCTCGTCAACAAACAAGACATAGTGCTTGAAGCTCGTGTTGAGATGCGGCTCGAGCCCCAGGTGGACGACAACGGGATAGTGATGGCAGTAGATGTGCGCATACACGCGGTACAGACGCTTAAAGATCTGGCGAAGCAAACTAGGGAACGCCTTAGGGAAAGGGACACCTGTTTTGGTCGGAACAATCAGTCAAAATGCCATCAAAATCGAACAGTGCTTTAGTCCTGCCACGTACCAATCCTGCTGGGAAACATCTGCTCGTTATCAATGTTGCTTTGAACCCAGCTCATGAGGTGTTCGATGTAGTCCGGGGCGGACATCTTTGTGGGCCTCTTGAAGTTCTCTGAGTCCTGCCAGAGGTACTCAAACCTGATTCTCATTAGCTGCAGTTTTTTCCTCCCTTAGATAGCCCAGATAAACCTACTCGTCTGTCGCTTTCATCTCCGGGCATGACTGTGGTGAACAGAACTCGGTGATCGAGCCGTAGAGAAGGTTGATCTGGTTGTAGAAATCGACAACTATTGTCTATCAGCCATCCGTCTCGGTAGATGTCTATTGAAAGAACCAGCACAGAGCCTACCATTGACAGCCAGCCATTCATTCAGATCCTCGCCCTCGGGTAGTCTCACTGCCTTTCTGAGACTACCGCTCCCAAGCGTTGCCTCTGCGAACTGCCTCAGTTGGTAGCTACTTGTCCCCTTGGCGGCGGAACGGGGCTTGAACGGGGCTCTTGACCGCGCATTACTAGTAAGTGTCAGTCCAGCAAACCCTTCCCTGACAGTACAAGTAACAAACAAAAAATGGACAGGGATTCAAAAGGTTGGAATCGGTGGTCGATCGGCGCAGGCAGGGACAAGGGCAATGTGGCAGTGGTGGGGAACGTACATCGTGAACGATGCCATTGCAGTAGATACTAGATAGTGTCTGACAGTGCGAAAGTGATATAGACAGGTCAAGGTCGTTGCGCGTTTACCGATCGCGAAGCGCCTGCAACCCGATAAGAGGGCGAGTCAGCACGGAGTTCAAGTTCATAGGATGCTGCGTACTGCCACTGGGACAATCGGGAGCCTTACAAAACGTGAAGAAGGCCCGGCGAAGGATCAGACGAAGAAAGAGGGTCGATGAGAAAGGAACGGATGCTGTTGTGACGCCATTCGATCAGTTGTTCTCCACGATTGCGCCCCGCTGAGGCGTCTGGATCGCGATGTGCCGCCGGGCGGGTTGCCAGAGCGACGACGAGGATATAAATCTACGCTGGAGAGTACTGAGTATACTAGTAACTACTCTTCAAGAAGCCCATACGATAGTTAATTGAAAGGTCTATAATATCTAGAGCTGCGATGGGCATGCTTCGTGCCCTTGTTCTACCGTATGCTGACGGTACATCGGCTCCAGTGGAGGCCTACAGTGATTCCACAACCAGCATTCTAATGGAAGTGTATTGTTGGTTGGTTACTAGCTAGATAGGCCTACGTGGTGAAAAGGGTCAGCGAGGGCGGACCTATGCGGCAGAATCCCACGTGATCCAACACATTCACTGACATGATGGAGGCGTAAGATGCCCTCTACAAACAGAGAAGCGACTCTCGACCATTACACTGCCCTGCAAGAGTGAGAAAAGCATGAGTGGAACCGACATAAGCGTTGACAATCCACCCCACCCCCCTTTCATCTCTTCAGCAGGAAGATCATCCTGCGCTGATCTCTTTCTGCTGCAATCCGTTCTCTCCTTCTCAGAAGCAATCATCGTCTCCTCGCGATGAAGTCCGTCTGCGGTGGCCTTTGGACACATGCCAGGTTCTCATGCAATCGTTGGAACTCTCGCAGACGCATCCTGTCACTGCTCGTTCTTGTCACCGTGTACTGCTTCCTTTCCAGCTCTCTTGCAACCCTATATGGAAGGAAGGCCAAGAATAGGATTCATGTTCATGCAAGCCAGGTCACAGCCGGTTCTGGAGCAAATGAACAAGTCAAACCGCGTTTCCTGTCCACGTCGTCTGCCAGAGATCACCAGCATCTTGAATATGAGGCCAAATTGGATGCTGCGATGCAGGACCTCGAGCGCAGAGCTCTCGCGGCCAATGGTCACATCCAAGCAAACAACACAATCTGGCAGATTATACTGGGAAAATTCACTGATATGAACCCGGTGTCTGTCGAGTTTGAGCGTCGAAATGCTGGATGGGAGTACTCGGTATGTTTGATTTGGTTTGGTTTGAATGCCACGCTGCGTACACCGCATAGAGGCAGGTGAACAAACAAATGCTAAGATGATATTGATCCAGCTCGTCACAAGCGCGTGGGCTACAGACTTCGTCACTAGCGTCTTCAGCACGATCCCAGACCTGATCAATCTGTACCAGTCCTACCCCTACGACGTCCTCCGCGCAGATCTCCTCCGCTACCTCCTTCTCTGGTACTACGGCGGCTTCTATGCAGATCTAGACGTTTACCCAGCGCGACCCATCAGATCCTGTCCATCTCTGGAACCTCTCTTCTCGCCTTCTCTTTCAACCCCAATCCCGGCATCATCCCTCAATGTCTCCTTCGTCGTAGGCATCGAACTCGACGAGCCCTACGCCTCTCCACAGACCATCAAAGAATGGCACTGGACGCGAACCTACAGCTTTATACAATGGACTATGTATGCCCCGCACAGATTCAGCCCGTTCCTCCGTAAAATCGTCGTGCGGGTCCTCGCGCACACGAAACAGGATAACTCATTCGGCCTTCTGTGGAGGTTGACAAGTACCTCTGACTCGGTCCTGTCCATCACGGGGCCGGGCATCTTCACGGAATCCATCCTGGATCTGCTTTCGGAGTCCTTGCCGGATACGCACCCGTTGATCACGGCTTCCGTGGAGGCGGATAGGGAGATTGGTGATCTCGTCGTCACTTCATCTTCAGGTAATAACCAGACCCAGCCCCGTGTGACGTGGGCACCGTTCCATAGGCTTCAGGATCCGCTGTGGGTAGATGCTTCGGAGGGTAATGGGATGGGCGGGATAGGTATCTTGCCTGTTCATGTTTGGGGGAATGGGCAGAGACATAGCGGGGCGGAGAACTTTCAGAGTGTTCATGCTTGTGTTAATCACTATTTTAAGGGGACTTGGAAGAAGTGGTGGTGGCAGAGGCTGTTTGATTGAGGATGAAGTACGGAATAATGAGTTTTAATATGTACCCATAGATTCATTCCATTTTACTATGTTAGGATACCTTATTACCCATGTACAATCACCCTTATGGCATCTATTTCCCAATATTACATTGCCCACTATATCAAACTGTATTCCATACTAACTGTTCGAACGCCAGTGACTACCGAGAACCAGAATCAGCCCCATCAGGCTCCGCCTTAAACTCATCCTCATAAGCCCCAATAGACCCCTGCCGTCTAACGCGCTGCACCTGACTTTCAATATAATGGTTAACATGCTCATCGGCAAATTCAGACGCAGCATCACCAAACCCTCGTCGGCTGTACTGCTCGTCTTCGTCGAGAACAGCCTCGACGCCGTTAGGCGACAGACCGAAGTCGCTGCGATTGCCGATGGAGCGGCTGGTCGAGGAGTGGCGGATTCTGGGCGTCTCGGAGCCGATACTTTGTGGTCTTGTTGGGCGGGAGAAGATGTCGTCGAAGTAGTGGGCTGCTGCTGTGAATGGGGATCGGGGGGTTTGGGGGAGGCGGCAGTTTAGACTATGATAGTTAGCATGAAAACACGCACCAAAAAAAAAAAAGAAAGGAAGGGAAAACGTACCCCGTATCATGAATAACTTTGGCAATCAAGCCGGTCCAACCGCACTGGTGGGAGGCTCCAAGACCACGACCGGTGTCTCCGTCAAAGAACTCGTGAAACCAGAGGTAATCCTTCCAGTGTTCGTCGAAATCGAGGAGGTCTGCGCCGTTATTAGCTGCTCTGCGACCTTCGTCATTCCGAGCGAAGAGATGCTGCAATCGGTGTTGGATTTCCTCCGCAATATTTCCTAGATGCATATAATCCCCCGAGCCAGTCGGACATTCAATCTGGAGCGAGTCACCGTAGAACATGTAGAAGCGGAGCAAGGACTCGACGAGGAGGAAGTTCACGCAGAGCCAGATTGGACCGCGCCAGTTACTGTTTCCTCCGAAGAGCCCGCTATCTGAGTCGCCTGGGACGTAGCCCACCGTGAAGACTTGGCCGTTAACTTCCATGGAATACGGATGTTTGTCGTGGTACTTAGACATGGAGCGGATACCATGGTCGGCTAGGAACTCTGTTTCATCGAGCATCCTCTTCAGGATCTTGACGAGACGCTCCTTGCTCACGAGGGCGAGAAGAAGTCTGTCGTCCTTCCCGCGCCGTTTCATGCTGGCAATGTTACGCTCCGCCACGTCTTGTTTGTTCTCGATGAACCAATCCATACGCCGCTTGAATGAAGGAAATCGGTTGATCAGTTCCGGCTCCAGCGTGAGTACAGCGTAGAGAGGGATCAAGCCGACCAGGGATCTGACTGGAAGTTGCTGGATCCAGGGGCCGCCGTAGGAGATTGCATCGTAGTAGAAACTTTGTCTGTTAGCTATTCCAATTGAGATAAGGGAGACATATGGTTTCTCTTCCATACCCATCTTCTTCATTCCAGAGAGATTTCTCTATGTCTCCCTCTCTGAAAGTCATCGCATCGCTAATAAGGATAAAATGCTCAAAGAATTTCGACGCAACTATACCAGTCATCAGTACAGAGTATATAGGATCCTCGGGGACATCCAGCCCAAACCAAAACTTACTGTCTTCGTATGTTCGTCGATACTTAGCCAATTCAAGGGCAATATTAAGCATGCTGATGCAGTAAAAAGCCATCCACCCAGTGCTGTCGGCCTGCTCCAAAACTCCTCCTGTGGGAAGCGGTTCAGACCGATTAAACAATCCAATATTATCCAACCCGAGGAAACCCCCTTCGAAAACATTCTTGCCGTACAAATCCTTCCGATTAACCCACCACGTGAAATTCAGCAATAGTTTCTGGAAGACACGTTCCAGGAAGTCGAGGTCTTGTCGGCCGTACATCTTCCGCTCGATCTTAAATGTCCTGAACACAGCCCAGGCGTGCACGGGCGGGTTGACATCGCTGAAATTCCATTCATAGGCCGGGAGCTGTCCGTTGGGATGCATGTACCATTCCCTCGTGAGAATGTCCAATTGTTTCTTCGCGAAATCAGGGTCAATCATGGCCAGAGGGATGCAATGGAATGCAGTATCCCATGCAGCAAAGAAAGGGTATTCCCAAGCGTCCGGCATTGACAACACATCGTCAATATACAGATGTCGCCAATGCTGGTTGCGGACGTCCTTTCTCCCCGGGGGTGGAGGGATGGTGGCAGGATCACCGTTCGCCCATTGGTCCCAGACAAAATGGTAGAATTGTTTTGTCCACAACATACCGGCAAATGCCTGTCTCTGAATGTTCCTCAGGTCATCACTCACTGGAAGGGGGTTAATGCGATAATAGAAATCATCTGCGTCGGCTTTGCGCTGTTCGATTATATTATCAAGCAACTCTTCATCGACGTATTGGTTTGGTTTCCGGGACAGCCTGAAGCGAACAACAGCGCATTCGCCTGGAGGAACGCCATCGCCCTCGTCAAATGCATACCAGGCAGCGAATTTTGTGCCCTGGTTTTGCGGGTTGACGGCGTCTTTCTCTTCGTCAACAATGAAGCGATGAAACGCATCCTTTACGTACGGTTGTGGGTTCTTCGTGCCCCAGAGGACTTCATTGTTCGACTCGTTTTCCGTGAACAACATTCGGGGTAAGATATCCTCCTCACTTGTACCGACAGCCGGCGAAGGCGAGAGTTGCACATACCTATCACCTATCTTCCAGTGCTTCGATTTGGCAGTAAGAGGACCAACTTTTTCGATGGATGGCTTGCCAGGTGTGTCATAACCCCAGGCCCAGGTGTTCCTGAACCACACATGAGGGATGATATGCAGAGGAGCCGGTTCGGGTCCCCGATTATAAGCAATGACTCGGAATAGTAATTCCTCCTCGTCATCATCCTCTTTGGCGGTTTCAATAAAGATGTCCCAGTACCGGTTGTCGTCGAATACACCAGTGTCTAGGATCTGGTATTCGCGATCTTTCCTCCCACGTCTGGCATTTTCCTCCACAAGATCCTCATAGGGGAATTTCCTCTGAGGATACTTGTAAAGATATTTCATGTACGAGTGCTAGAGTAAGAGGTGTGAGTAGTCCGGATGGCATGTTCGATTCCCAATGCAATGTATCTCTCACCGAAGGTGTATTGTCAAGGTGAAAATGTGCCTCTTTAATGCTCTCTCCATGGTTTCCTTGAGGATTGGAGAGTCCAAACAGACGCTCCTTGAGAAAGTCACTACACTAAATTAGTGATATGGGTCTATGAAGCAAGCAGGGGAAGCAAGGGAAGCAAGAAAGTCCCGATCAAGCATACTCTTTCTCGTTCCAAAAAGCAAATGCTATGTTCTGAAGGGAATGCGTGTCTGAGACACCAGCAATACCATCTTCGCCCCAGCGAAAGACCCTGGATCGTGCATGATCATGCGAGAAGTCTGGAATAGATGGTCAGTGTTCAGAGCCCCATATGCATCCATACTGGGTAGCAAGTTGCAACTAGACTTACAACTCCAGGCATCTCCATTCTCGCTGATTCATCACTAGGTCAGCAACAATTACTCGGTTACATTGAAAATAAAGAAAACATACGAATAATCCTCTCGAACTGGATAATTGAACAACACGTTAGCACTTGCAAGTATTTTCAAGAACGATCCTGAAAAAAAAAAAAAAAAAAAGGAAATATCTCACCAGTTGCCCATTGTCTCTCTGCAACATAGGGCCCCCAGCGCTTCCAATATCTGGTACGTTCGCGATCTTCTTTCAAGCGCTTTTCCTCTTTGGTTAGGTATTCATGCTTATCGATGAGGACCATGGTTCGACCGAGCGGAGCAAGAGGAGAATGGGGGTTTAATAATCAAGGAGACGATAACAGAATGGGAGCTGGACACAGTGGACAGTGCAAGAAAGAAGAAGAGAAGAGAAGAAGAGAAATATAAGTCTTGAGTTCCTCTGGATGAGATGAAGAAGGTTGAAGAGGGGCAAACGCGAAGATCGCCGTATCAGGGCTCGCAACCAGGTTTGGGAAGCCAACCGTACAACAATGCCACTTACGAACCGCCTCGTGGAGCTTGGAAGCGCGGGAATCTATTAGATCTAGTATTGAGATGCGATCGACGAGCAAACTGGCTTTCTGACTCGCGCAAATCCGAGCCCGAAGAAGGTCCAGGCCGTGTGTTGTCGTCGACAGCTCAGAAAAAAATCGCCACTTACAGGGTAGACGCAGAGCTTGTACATGTTTAGTCAGGGAATGATAATCAACATGAAGCATATTATGATAATTATTATTACATCGCGTACGCCCACAATTTCGGCCAGGTAGAACACGAAAGGCGGCGGTTGCCAGAAACGCGCAACCGTCGCAGCGAAATAGACAGAGCCGACATCGTCCTGCGTGCGGGCCACGACGCTCAAAGAACCAGTCCCTACTCGCGAGTCCGTACACATAAGCTGGCATGAACGATCCTGGACTCACACGGCGGAGTCAGGCATGCGTGCGGTGGAATTTCTTCCGTGCTTTATCGTCTCCGTGGGCATTCCGGGGAGGTCCATTGGACATGGCTTCAGATGTGGATGAGACGGAGGAACCTTGCACGTTTGTCTTGCTGTTAGACTGCCACGAAGCCTGTACCGGTTTGTCATGATTGAAGTCGTTGTCCTCACCAGAAGTTCTGTAGTCCCGCTTGGAATCTTTCCTGTGCTCGGTAGCAGCCTGTTGCGCCCGCAGACGCTCTTCAGCTTCACGGATCCTCGCCTGCAGGGCCTCTAATTCGCGGCTTTGCATCATCACCATGTACTTTCTGGACAATCCCCGTCAGTAAGACCGGATCCCTTTCTTTTCCGAAGCTGGAGATGGATGGGTGTTGCATCTCTTTTTCCCAGGCAACAAGACAAGTATTTCAACCAAGTACATACTTCTGATCAACGGTTTGGCAGAGATGATCCACTTCGGAATCCATGTTAAAAAGACTATCTAGCTCAGAGGAAAATGCCTGTGCCATCATCCTGCCATCTTTCGTGTCAGCTCCCTTGGGTTACAGGAAAGAATATAGAGTTGTTGGGGCGTCACGATGGGGGAGACGAACGACTGAGGCCGACGGCTAGCTTGCCATTCCTGCTCTGTGTCCGACATGATTGTTTCTCGGGCTATAACCGATGTACGGGGGATACAATGGATGGGCTGGCAGTCTAGCACACTGTAGCCGAGGACAACGAAACAGGTTCGTCTGGTTGACGGCGGTAGAGAGGGGGGAGGGTTACAGCGTCTTCCAACCGGGGGAGAAGTAAAAAAGAGGAATATTGGTACAGGGAATATGTATCGAAATCAGGACCAGCTGAGAATGCGAGCGAGTTATCGCGATGGAAAGGATTAAAATCGGGCCAAAAGGTGGAATTGTTCGCGACCGCAGAATCGAGAGGAGCAAATCGGGAGATGCGATCAGCAAATTCAGACAAGACAAGAAGGAGGCTGTTTGAGTGAGCTAAAGGGAAGGAGGAATAGAGACAGAGACAGATCGATTGAAACTGAAATGAAAGGGAGGGAACTTGATGTCTACGAAGGGGAGGGTATGTAAGATGATTAATAGCTACTGACAGACGAGACGAGCCAACACTCCACAGCGCTCAGAATATTTAATTATTAGGATAAAATGAAGGTAATCAAATCGATCGATCAATCCCATTAATGAACCACGCGCCACGCCGCGATCAGAGGCCGCCAGGGGAAGGAAAGGGAGGAATAACACCCATCTTCAGGGAGTTATCAGGAGATAGTTTGATTAGCCTAGAACCTACGGCGCTGCAGCTCTGCCTCTGACAGGACGAGCGCATCCACCGTGGAACTGCCTTGAGACGGTTGGCGTTGATGGAGCAATGATCAGCATCCCTTCTGCCAGAGATTCATAGCTTCACGCAGCGCATGCACGATGGAGGCTGTAATGGATATAGGCTGGTCTCTCGTAGCCAGTTGCTAAAATGGGTTTGTCTACCGGGAATGAACGACCTGGAAGAACGGCAGCAATGATGATGATCCCTGGATGCCTCAAACCCCACTGAACCACCAACAACCATCTCCACAGTGCTGAGTGAGCCATCCATACTCGCACTCAAAAGCCCCTCTCATCCTCCCATCTCATGGGTGCCAATCTCTGGATTCTCGTCTGGGTCGGGGAACCGCTGGACTACCCAAAATACCGACACACCGCGATATACGTCGAGTTTGACGACCACGAAAACAAAAACAGAAACAACGGCACCCTATTCCACGTCATCGGCGCACTGGGCCTCTTCGAGTTTCGCGAGAACCCAGACTATAATCCCGCAGGGGACTCGAACCTCCGCAAGAAGGTCGAGGTGGGACGTGTGCCGGACCAGGTGTCATCACCTACACTACGGTCCGTCCTTGCGGCCACCAATGTGCGGAATAGCAACCAGGACGCTGATTGGAATTGTCAGAACTGGGTGGGCGATGCGCTCCGGCGATTAGTTGGTCTGGGTTGGCTGAGCACTGAGCAGATGGATGTCGCGCTTGATGCGATGGTGGACGCCTGTCTAGAGGCTGAGGATACGGAGTATTGAAGCGCCAGGCAGGCAGGTAGAGTAGTCGGTAGGCTGCCTCTAATTGGAATCATAAGACATCTTTGAATATTGCTATGGACATTATGCAGTTTGGTAATATTCAGGTGAAGGTATTAATAAGCGACAAAACTTTTTCAGACGTTCCTGAACAGATTATACAAGCTGCTCAATTGACCAAAGATTATCAAACGTCCATGCCGCCGGGTCTCCAAAATAAAACTCATCTGATGCTGGGTCTGTCTGCAGAAACGCCGCCTTTTTGAGTTAATACCGACAGTAGTGAACAATAATGACGCAAAGTTGAAAGAGCTTCCTACCTGTGACATGCTTCCATCCAGTAGCGGCAGCTCAGAAAACTGCATCTGATCTTCCGTTGCATTCACCTAGAATACAATGAGCAGGATATTCATTCCTAACAAGCATAGAAGATGAGATGCCTTCTGTAACCTACCTTACTGAGACCAATCGAGAGAATGCCCTCCTTTGCTTTAAGGAAATCTTCCTGTGCCCCTAGTATGCGATAATACTGCCTGGAAACTCTATCAATCGCTTGCTGTTTCTGCACCGTTGACTCCGCGGGTGATAGTGTTGATCGAAGGAGAGCGCATGCTGCGGATATGTACCAGTAATGTGTGTATCCTGTTCCATGTAGCGTGATCCTGTCCTCTAGCATAGTAAGGGCGTCCTCGACATATTGAATGAATAAGCTACTATTCGAGCTGAGAACGAGATTGTCTGTTCGATTCGATGCATAAGCAAATATAAAATGAGAGGTAGATAGTCAAAGACATACTTTGAATAGTAATGGAAGTATACAAATTATGACAGATAATTAGAGCTGCCCTGTAGCAGTCTTGTCGGAGGAGCAATGGCAGTAGATCGCCCGATTTGGTGAGCTGGGAATACTGGTCGAGGATACTAGCAGCAGCATTGAGACAAACCATTCTTGACACTGCGTTTCGGGGGTTGTTGCTCTTCTGTCGTGCAAATGGAGCATGCAATAAGATCAAGAACTGTCGAAGCTGAAGGTCTAGCAGTGTTCTTGCCATTGCCGACATACCTTTCTGCCCTGGATCTTGATTTTCATCCGCTTCAACTCGTGGAGGGAGCCTTTGAAGTTCTTTCATGATCATTTCCTCATAGTCCAGCACTTCCTCGTACTGCAAAGGAGAGCTCGGATCGTTCACGCGAGAATTCAGGGTAACTCGTAAGGAGAAGCTGGCACTCGAGATATGGAGAAACGAGCTTGATGTGTACTCTTCCCACGGCTTCGAAACTGGAGTACTGCCGCCCTCTGTTGGAAGGTCTTCATCATCAATGTTGAGAACCGTCTCATTGTCTGAGGGAATCATCGCGGACCCAGAAGGCATTCCCCTATCAATGGAAATAAGCAACTCCATCTCAGTGATTGTTGTCCACAATCTCCGCCTCATCTCCTTGTCAAAAAAAGTCACCTTTCCTGCAAGTAGGAATGGATCACGGTGAAAACCTGCAGACATGGCTTCTCTCAGAAGTGTACCTGCTACCGTCCAAGTTCGTTTCTTCTTCACAATATTCACCTGCTTTGCCAGAAGCAATAGACAGCGGATCTGCCATATCGTCACGTAGACGTGCTTCTGGCTTTGACGCCCTAGCCACCATTCAGAGGCTTCAATCCACAGCACTGCGCGCTCCCGAGAGAGCGCGCTGTCTCCAATGTACTTATGCGAATCTGCACCAGAGACGCAACTGACCGTGGCCATTGTCAGCAGCAAAAGAACGATGAATGCGGGTTTTACCGCCTGTCGGTCCTCCCAGAATAAACGGTACTCTTCCCAAAAGCTTGGAGCGTGTAGAATGCGATACATAGTTTCAAAGGTATCAAAATAGAAGCGCACCAGGCGATCTACAATATCCCGATCAGGGACAAGATGAAGGAGCTCCGAGTCCGTCAAAGGCAACCCAGCAGCCTTGGCGGCTTTCCATCTGACCCATGACGCTTTCAACTCCCGTTGAACACGCGGCAGAGATGTGTGCTGCATGATGGTGTCTTTCATAAAAGATCGGAGTTCCGGGAACTATGGTCATCGGTCAGTTGAAGAGTGGACAAAAGACACCTAACCAGAGACGAGACCAGACTTGGATGGTTCATACATGGGCAACGATGCTGGTCGGATTACTGCTGCCGTAGTACTGGGTTCTGAAGTTTTTGCCTCGGAAGACTGCTGTCTCTGGCGACGCAGAGTCCTGTTGTTTAGACGCCAGGAACTCCTCCACATCAGCTTGCAAGGCAGGCCGTTCTCCGTTGTGCTTGGAGGAAGAATCCATTTTAGCACCGTGCAGTTGCCAGGTTCCAACATTTTGATCTCCCTCCAGGGTACGCGGTCTGCGCTCTGTCGAAGTAAACCCGCCCAGCGCTGGGGAGCCAGACCAGCCCACTGAAGGAACGAAGGGACTTCTTTTACCAGTATCCTGCTTAGACGCGGGCCTGGGATGTGATACAGGCTGTGCAGATCGTCCGTCATAAAAACAACTGTCTGCTTGTCCAGCATTTCGACAACGGCCGCATGCGGGTTGCACACGGTCACACCTCACTTTACGGCGTTGGCAAGTGTAGCATGCGAGCGTCTTTCTCTTTCGTCTGGCAGTTTCGGGCGCATCTGCCTTCGAAAATGCGGGAATATGAACACGGATACCTGCAGAAGACATTCTCAGAGATGGCCGATGGATAAAGGCGAAGACCGAGAGCTGCATACCAACAGTTTGCGATGCTCGGAGATAGCGGACGTCCCGCGGAGATCGCGGAGTTGGGCATCTTCTCCGAGGCGAGCAGTTGCATAGAAAGTGTTACTCTTAGTGGTGAATTATTATACTGGGAAACCTATGTCTTCTGGCATATCTGAGAGGGATTGCTGATTATTCAGGCTTATGACGTGCAATTTGTACAGAAATAGGGATGCGTTGGACTCGTAATCACTTCACAACCGCCATCAAAAAGCCGTCGTGGCCTTTCTTCCCAACAGTCTGCATCAGCACTGCATCGACTCTGCCATCCTCTCCTACTTTCTCTATCAAGGGAACGATCCCCTTTTGCCTCAGGTCAGCACCCATGGTGCCTGTATAGAATAACGCCTGCACCGTATTATCCACGCAAATCACACTCCCCTTCCCCTTGGACAGATTCACCCCGTAATCAAAATATTTCCACTTATTCATCCAGTCGGCATCAATAAACACAAAGTCGAATCTTTCCCTATCGCCCCGTTCAATCTCAGCTTCCACCTTTGGGAGGATGTCCAAGGCAGCTCCCAGCAACACCTCCACTTCATCCGGGACCTTCACGCCAGCGAGTTGCAAGTTCTTGATCGCATTTTTGTGTCTGTCACTATCAATCTCAATGGTAGTGACCTTCCCCTTTCTTTCTCTGACTGCCTTGGAAAACCAGATACTCGAGTAGCCGCCTAGCGTGCCAATTTCTAGAACATTTCGGGCACTGCTCATGGTACCGAGCAGGGAGAAAAACTTCCCTTGAGTAGGGGTCAGGGCTATTTCACTCTCGACCGTATTTTCATGCGCATGCACAAGCCCCGGTTCGGTGGGAATGAGATGAGTCTCCGCGTAAGACTCTACCTTTGTGGCATACTCGACGTTTCCCAGTGACATCCTGGCTGCGATGGAGAGAGACCTATTATAGGACGGCTTGATGGAAAGGTATGTTCCCTTTCTGGTTGATAAATAAAGGCGGTTCATTTGGGTTAGTTCGGAGGAGTAAAAAGGATAAAGCAAGAAGGATGTAGAAGGAATATATGTGTGTTCATGTTGCTGTCTATGACATGTCCGACCTTCGGTTTCCAACGTCCGTACCGAACACCAAGGCCGAGAGCTTGTCCCAACTCCGAGGACAAGGAAAAGCAAAGGACCCCGGAGATCGGTGAATAAAGATCGTCGTTTGTCTTATCTGATGATAGCATCAATGGCCCATGTTGTAGTAGGAAGGTCGGTTTGTATTCTTGTTAGAAAGCACCCAATTCCAGCGCTGTACTCCGTATAACTGCGTGCTAAATCCTATTTTCCTTTCAGCATCATCCTATTCTTAAAGATATTCTTACAGGAGACACGCAGTCTCTTGGCGTTAAGCCAAGTGCTCAGATGGGGAGCTACGTGCCTGCTTTGAGAGAGGACTGGTTGACATGCCATGTTCATCAGCAAGAACACTCCGTGCTGCTAGGTCGCTGTTAGTGAAAAGGGCTTCATAGATGCCCTGAACATAGTTTGACAATATACTGCCACAGCAATAGACTGTTGCTGCATACCTAGGTAGTTCCAGGTTTATGGATCTCGAAAACAGTAGTGTTTCACGTGCCGAGCCACAGCGGTTATTCGTCACGTGATGCGGCCCTTTGCGACGAGCGAAAAGAAGACGGAGACGAGCATCATCGAATTCTCCTCCATCAAAAGACATCCCTGACAGCCTGTTTCCATCAAAGCCAGCCTGCGCGTCGTTATCTATCCCCCTCTACCATCCTAGCAGCACGTCTCTTCATCTGGTCCGGACTACCGAACTGCACTCCGCTCTCCATTCCTCATTGTCAATGAACTAATTCATGGACCGTCTAGATGCGTAGCTGGCCTCAGGCTTTCACTATTCCCCGGTAGCGTTTCCCATTTGCCCTCCACGAACGTCTTAGCCACCACTCTCCTCCGTCCACACAAAACTCAACCACGACCGTCGCTCTCACTCTGGCTCCAATCACAGAATCGTCATACCTTGGTGGCCAAGGACACGAACGATGGGGGATGCCTCCGCTGTCGGCTTACACTCCGCTTGAATCCCTGCTGTTTGTCCAATCCCTGGCTGCGCTCGATTCGCGCCCGACCAGTTTTGCCTCCATATCCAACGTCTTGCGCAACAATCCGTTTATTCGCCAGAATGTCGATTTCAATGCGGAGCGGCTCAGTCCCGAGGCGTTGGAGGAATTATACGCTGCACTAATGCGCGATGGCCTGGCACCCGATGGAGCCCATCGCGTGTCCAGTGTGGATCTTAATGGCCATCCTACAGATAGTCCGGAGTCTAACAGCCCTAAGAGGCGCAAGATCTCCAGTCCACGATCAGATGGATTGGCCGATGATGTCTCTCATACGGCATTCGTACCGAAGCTGGTGTCGCGTTTTTACGCTACGTACAAAGAGCTCGTTACAAAGGAGATTAGAAGCGAAGAAAAGAGATATGACGAGATCAGACGTGAGATTGAACAGCTACAGCGGGAAGAACGCGAGGTTCCTAGGCAAGCGGCTGTGGAACCGCCTGCTGAACAGGCTCCGGGCTCCGCTAGCCTAGCTGCAACGAAACTGGAACCAGCGCCAGAGCCGATGGATGTAGATGTCAAGGAAGACAAGCCGGTTCCACAACCTACCAAGGAAATCACCACATCTCCTCCAGTAGACCAAGTGCTAGGAGTGGGCGCTGGCGAACCTCAAGAAGAGAGAGGCAAAGAAATAAATGTGGCACAGCAACCTGCACAGGCTGTTGGAGCACCACCGACGCCATCATTACCGACGCAAGGTCTGAAGTACCCCGCTACGCATCCTTTAGGGCTGCCGGACCAGGCTGCGGCTGTTCAACCATCTCATCCTATCTCTGTGCCTTTCAATGGAAATAGCGATTTACCTTCGCAGCCCATTTCTGATCGCCAGCATACGCCTGCAAACAGGGAGGCACCTAAGATATCGCCTGTCAGCCAAGTGCAATCTCCCACGGTGCCATATGCTGCTCCTTCACTAACCCCAACGGTTGCTCATCCACAACCAGCACAAGTGTCTACCAAAACCACCGTTCAGCCGTCAACGCCAAGAGGTAAGCTTGCTCGCAAGGAAGGTCCATTGGCGGTCACTCCCGTCACAGCTCCTCTCTACCCTCATGGGCAGCCAAGTTTCCACCAGTGGAACTTGAACCAACCTCCTCAGGCACCGTACCCACAAACTTCTCCGTATCCGGCGACACCACAACCGAACAGACCCTTTCCAGGGCAGCCTTCCATTTCACCTTATCCCCCGCAAACCGCACAACCTCAGGTTGGGAAGGTGTATCCTGGCCAGTATCATCCTCCGATACTGCCTGCTACCCCTGTACAAGTACCTGGGGCGGTGCAACATCCACTTTCTGGTGCCCAGCGATATGAAACACCGATTGTAACTGGTCAGGCCATACCCGTCTTCGATTCGCGCGAACGACCATCGCAACCCTTTACCCCCGTATCAGGCACCCTTACCCCGTGGAAGAAGCTCCCACGCCTGAGTATCCCAGAATCTCCTCGGTCCCCACCCAGACCACGACCTGAGGATATTAGTCCCATAAGTGAAAGGGCGCCATCGCCGATTGGAATTCCAGAAGTAACATCTGAGAAAGTCGAGGCTTGGAAGCGTCGTTCTGTGGAGCCCAAGGGGCGCAAGAGGAGCAGGGTGCGAAGTGCGAAAACTCCTGATGTGGACAGCAGGTTGACCGTGAATGTAAAGCCTGAAAAGCCCTCATCTCTCAGAAAAAGACGGGATGGCAGCACACCTTCCTCGAGATCCGTTGCGTCGCGGGATGGAAAGTCACCAGGCCCCGCCTCTCACGGCAGGATTAAGTATGAGGCCGTAAATCCAGACGATAACGAACCTGAACCTCGAGTCGTGGGCCGTCGCAGAGGCCCCATGATTTCAGCACCTGCAGCTGATCAGCCAGCAAGAGGGAGGCCCAAGCGCAAACGTGGAGCCAGCGAAGAACCAGAGGCCGAACACGTTCAGACCGAATCAAATCGCCCTGACGCATCGTGTGCACCTGGATACGTGCTATGTACACGCAATTTCCCTAGGACCGGTGCGCCTATCATGAACGACGTCGCGACTCACAAGCACGCGTCTATATTCACCAAGCCGTTGACAGAACGAGACGCACCTGGTTACCGTGACCTCATTTATCGACCACAAGATATGAAATCAATTAAATCGGCCATCCATCATGGGAGTAAAGCGGTGGCTGCCGCAACTGAAGCAGCCAGTACACCAGTAACAGATGGTGAATCTCCTGCTCCATCCGCGGGTGCGACGCCCTCGAAAAATGCGGTGCTTATGCTCCAGAAGACGGAGGATATAATTCCGCCTAAGGGCATCGTCAACTCGTCACAGCTCGAAAAGGAATTGATACGCATGTTCGCTAATGCGGTCATGTTCAACCCCATTCCACAACGTGGATTTGGACCGGCATTCCCGATGACAAGTGACCATGGACCAGGGCGCCATTATTACCCCCAGGCGAGTCCGGAAGTGGAAGAAGGCGGCATCATCAAAGATACAGTGGAGATGTTTAATGATGTCGAAGAGGCAGTGACGAAATGGCGCGCCGCAGAACGCACTGCAGAAGAGCTGGCGAATAAAAGTATCGTTTCGATCAGAAAGGGAAGCGTTGGCGATCTCAACGCTGATAGTGCCGATGAAGTGAATGGATGATATGATGATTCTTGCTAGCCTGTCGCGCAATCGGGGTATTTTGTATGAATAATTCTAGGTTAGAAAAGAAAACCATACAATTTAATGGCCATACAAGGGCGCAACAGCGACTGCCTTCCACCTTCCTATTGTTGAAATATTTACCAAGTAGGGCATATTGTGAGAAGATAAGCAGCGCCTGGAAGCCCTTGATTCCAACAAAAAAAAGAGACAGCTCAAGCGGTACCGCGCAAGGTCTGTTCAGGACGTATTCTTCCCAATCCCTCCTTTGCGTAAAAGTCCATCGGATACACTCCGCGATTCGCGGTCTCCCAGTCTTCTTTAATACCTAGAGCAATCAACGCCTCGTAAGGCGTCAATAGTGGTCTCGGAAATGCGTACCCCCAATCAATACTCAGCCGAGGACAAGCAATCTGCACCCAACACTCGACGTCCGCCATTGACGCAAGCTTCCCAGGAAAGATCTCACTGAGCAAGAGATTAACGAAGGGAATGTCACGATCACGCAAATAGTTCTCGATCATGGCCATGGTGTTTGGGTTCCCCTGCCTACCCAGGGAACCAAGAATGATGCCCCATTTCCGAGCTTTTTTGGCGGAATTAATGGCGTCGCGGCGCAGAGAGTGCATTTCGTCATGGTCGTACGTCTCCCTGGACAATTTCCGGGAATACGGGTCATAGCGATATGCAGGAATGGAAGGATTATGGATCATGGCAGACTCGAGATGGAAGCGGCCGTCGCCAAGATATAGTATAAGATCGACATTCTGGTCTTTGTCGGCGAGATTGGGGGATGTGCATCCCAGGATTTCTCCCTTGGAAAGTGGCATTATTTGGGGAACGACGACATTGAAACCCTTCCGTTCGAGAACTGGTTTCAGGCCGTGCAGCGTTGCATTGAACTGGATTGTTCCAACCGTGGCGATCGTCTTGCCCGGTTGAAAATTTCGTTCCAGCGTAGCGAGCAAATGGGAGGTGTCGATGCTGATATCCACGAATATATAAAGGGTCTTGATAGTTGTTACGTCCACGGGAATAAGGCAGCTATGTGCATAATGAACTAGAAGATCACATCCTAATGCTCGTGCAGTATAATCGTCTATACAGCATGCTCCGTACGTCACGTCTCCCATTATCAGTGTCTCTGTGCCGGGACAGAACTGCGTCAGGATGTCGGAGATGGTAGTTGCGAAAATTAGAAGTCCCTCTGGAAACTGAAGAGCCACTCGCTTTGCACCTAGGGACCTTATTCTGTGGATCGTCTTGGGGACTTCGAAGGAATAGTTCCTCGGGAGCAGGTCTATGGCGGCTTGGATTTCGGGGTCTTCGAGAATTTCGGGAGGGACTTGGTTGAGAGTTCGGGGGTTCCTTCTCATCGGAGCTGTTCAGTTATGTTAGATTTTTATTTCTTTGTCCAGAAAACGGTGAAAATATAAGTGCTTACCCTTCTGGATAACTGTCGACTCGACATCTTTAGGGTCCGGACCTGTCTCCTTCTGCGCCTGAGCAGTGCGTCGTCCAACAAATCTCTTTTTCGGTTGTCGCAAATGACTTGCAGACGGAGGAATAGAAGCTTGTTCTGCCATATTTGCTTGTCCGATGTATGATTTGAGTTTATTGTGCGGCTTCACAGCAAGCTGCTTGGTTGTTGCAGAGAACGAAGATAGCGGATAGAAATCTGCAGATGGTGGGGTCACCTGCCATTACTACTTCCGGGGTTTCTCCGCATTCCTTTGAGCTTCAGATCTGCTTCGACTCTCCATGCTTCGTGGATCATTTACAGGGCTGTAACCAATCCTGCTCTTTCATTGTTCTGAAATTCAAATCGATCATCATGGCTCTTCGTCCTAGACTACGTTTGTTCTCCATCCTACGACCTGCTGGAGTACAGCCTGTCCGCCGCCTAGCTACAGAGTCGCGGTTAACTTCGGACCATGTCCGTATCGTCGAAGTAGGACCTCGAGACGGATTGCAAAATGAGAAGAAGTCGATACCGTTGAAGACGAAGTTGGAGCTCATTGACAGGCTTGCAAATACTGGCGTGACTACTATCGAGGCTGGTTCATTCGTCTCTCCGAAATGGGTACCACAGGTACGGAACCCCCAACCTTCACCCCTGGGAATATGCGTCGCAGGAGCCTGGATATTTTATGAGAGCGTTGTTCGTCTGAAAGTTGTCTCTCGAGCTTCTTAGATGGAAAGTACTGCCGACATCTTTGAGCGTCTTCTCCAGTCGCCACCGCAATCGAATCATGCCATTGCATACAACTACCTAGTTCCTAATATCAAGGGAATGGAGAACCTTGTCAAAGTTATGGGCGATGTAGGTATTTCAACCGAGACTTTAGGGTCACCTTCGAAACCAGCCACGATAACGGAGATCTCTGTCTTTACGGCGGCAACCGAATCTTTCACTAAAGCAAATACCAACTGCACCATTGGGGAGTCGTTGGAGCGAATAAAGCCCATCGTGGAGCTGGCAAAGACAAAAAATATCAGGGTTCGAGGCTATGTATCTGTCGCATTAGGTTGTCCTTATGAAGGCCCGGATGTCTCACCGTCCAAGGTCGCAGAGATCACCGCTTCTCTCCTCGAAATGGGCGCTGATGAGGTTTCCGTTGCCGATACAACAGGCATGGGAACCGCTCCCAGCACTCTGAAGCTGCTTCAGACTCTTCGAGCAGCGGGGATTGCTAGTACTGACATTGCACTGCACTTCCATGATACATATGGCCAAGCACTGGTCAATACCATTGTGGGTCTGGAGCATGGCATAAGGATTTTTGATAGCAGTGTGGGTGGTCTTGGAGGTTGCCCTTACTCCAAGGGTGCAACAGGGAATGTCTCGACGGAGGATCTTGTTCACACCCTTCACAGTGTGGGGATGCATACTGGTGTCAACCTGGAAGAGATGTCGAAGATTGGGTCTTGGATTAGTGGTGAGCTGGGCCGCGTCAATCAAAGCCGGGCTGGAAAAGCCACCCTTGCAAGACTCCAAGGGTAGGGCAGTGAGCTTCCCTTTCACGTAGTCGCAAATCTTCCCTGATCAACCAGGGTACAAGGCTGTGCTTGTGGACTTTCTTGATGTTGATCTTATTGTTCATACTGCATGCTGCACCTTTCTATCCTCTACTCTTCTGTGAAAAGCAACCAGGATTTATGAATAATATCATTTGCATATAAACTGGAGTTAGACTTCCCACAAAACGTGTAGCCCGACATCCTTATGTATCCAAAGTATGATATGAACATGTGCGCAGCCAATATGGAAATCTTCCCGGACCATTTCAGGAATTTCAACGAAACCTGAACCTAGATAATAACTAACGCCAAACTCTGCCAACATATCATCTTCATAATGAGTATACTCAATACACGATCTTCTTTAAAAATCCGTAACCCGCCCCCCATAGCTCCAATCCCCCTCCGCACCCCAGCGTAAAGGCTCATTCTTCGGACCCCCAATCTCCCCAGTCTTCGGGTTCTTCTCCCCTTCGAATTCCGGCTTCAACCCAGGATTGAAATCACGATGCAGTCCCTCACTTTTGTTTCCGGACGCCTGGACCTGTGCATCTCCCTCCGAATTCGGGGACTGGTTGACCTTGGGAGTGCTGAAAGCGCCCGTAGATTCCCGTTGGAGTTTTTCGAAGATTTCCTGTTCTTCTTTTGGGAGTCTGAAGGGAGCGGGAGAGTTTGCAAAGGGTATTGAGGCTTTTTTATTATCATATTTGTCGTCTGCTGCTCTGCGGCTGGTGGTTGAGAGCGCTCGGAAGGGATGGATGATGAGGAATCGGGATGTGGTGGATGGAGTGGAAAGAAGTGTTCGGCGATATGCTAGGAAGGACGCCATCTTGAAGTCTCGGCTTTTCTTTCCCTCTCTTGGGATTGTTTTTGGGTCTGTAGGTAGCAAAGGGAATGTCAATAGTCGCGGAATGATGCTACGGAGTATTAAAGTATTAATGAATGGAAGCGGAGTGGCGGCCCGAGGTTCGAAGGAATGGCTATTTGATGGACTCAATGCTATTTTTGCTTGGTGAACGCAAAATAACGCCAATGAGGACTCGAGTATGGGCTTGTAGCTCAGTGGTAGAGCGTTCCTTTCGCGTTAACTAACATAGGAAATGTCGGGGTTTCGATTACTCCCAAGTCCATTAAGTATTTTTTTTTTTAGTCCTCGTCAGCAATTTTTGTTAGGTGGAAATTTATGTTTTTTTTTATGACTAATCCACGTGACTAGAACCTTATCGGGTAAGGTCACAGAGCGATATCGGGATGGTATGTATAATAGGCACACCTTGGGTATCGACTAAACCTTAATCTGAGTTAGTGGTAGACAGAAAGTACAGTCATTGTCAGTCAAAGTTTACTAGCGGATTAGTGTGTCCACTTATAGATGACCGTGTTGCCGCCTATCGCCGCCTTTTCCCCGTTTATCATGTATGAGTCTTTTTCTTCCCCCCGTCATCTCTCTGGAAAACAGCTCATTCTGCTTGCTGTCGGGGATCAATTGACAGTCTCGTCTATTCTCTCATCTACTCTCATCCACTTTGTCCCCCTACCATGGCAGCTCTGCGTGTATCCTCGCGACGACTGCTTCTCGCAAGGAGCCCAGTCTCTAGATTCGAGTCATCTCTCCCGAGACGATTCGCTTCAACATCGCAGGCTCCTCAAGATGGGAAAGCAAAGGTATGTCATTAGAATCTAGTTCTAGTTCTGCTATCACTCTCGCTCTGACTTGCCCACTAATTGCTGTGCTTCAGAAAGATGCCTCCCTTCCCAATCCTGATCCTTCAGCCGACTCCGTAACAGTGGCATTCATCAACGACCGCGCTCCCTTTATGGTTCCTACATATGTTCGACCCGCTCCGACGATGCTCAAGGGGAAGGGATGCTATCTATGGGATATGGAGAATCATCGATATCTTGATTTGACTGCAGGTATTGCAGTCAACTCTCTGGGACATTGCGATCCAGAAATTTCCAAAATCATTTCTGAGCAGGTGTGTTCCTCTCCCTCTCTTGTCCTCTATTCCGCATTCATTATTCTGACTCTCCTGTTTTTTTCTCATCAGGCAGAGACCCTAATCCATGCCTCAAACCTATACCACAATGCATGGACCGGCGCCCTAAGCAAACTCCTCGTCACCGAGACATTGAAATCGGGAGCAATGCGCGACGCATCCCAAGTATTCATTTCGAACTCAGGAACAGAGGCCAACGAAGCCGCCATCAAGTTCGCCCGTAAAGTGGGTCGATCTCTTGATCCCTCCGGCGCAAAGCACGAGTTCGTCTCCTTCCACAATTCCTTCCACGGCCGCTCCATGGGCGCCCTCTCCGCCACCCCGAACCCTAAATACCAAACCCCCTTCTCGCCCATGGTCCCGGGTTTCAAATACGGCACGTACAATGACATCGAACAGCTCCCATCTCTTATCACAGAGAACACCTGCGGTGTCATCGTCGAGCCGATCCAGGGAGAGGGCGGAGTCAACACCGCCACTCCCGAGTTCCTCACGGCCCTCCGCAAACGCTGCGACGAAGTCAACGCAGTCCTCATCTTCGACGAAATCCAATGTGGTCTCTCCCGTACTGGCTCCTTCTGGGCACACGCTCATTCCTCCCTCGCCCCCGCCAACGGTGAACAAGCCGCTCACCCGGACATCATCACCACCGCCAAAGCCCTAGGAAACGGCATCCCCATCGGCGCAACCATCGTCTCCTCCAAAACTGTAGCCCCCTACATCAAAACGGGCGATCACGGAACTACATTCGGCGGAAACCCCCTCGCCTGTCGCGTGGCACATCATATCGTCGAACGCCTCGCTTCCCCCGAACTGCAAGCCGCTGTCGACGCTAGGTCCGCACAGTTCGTCTCCGGTTTCCAGGAGCTGCAGAAGAATTTCCCGGATACTATTGCTGAGATTCGTGGTAGGGGTCTTATCTTGGGTGTCCAGCTCTCCGATGCTGTCAAGTCCAAGGCTTCCGATTTGATCACTGCTGCTCGGGAGAGGGGTTTGTTGATCATCACAGCTGGTGATGGATGCCTTCGTTTCGTTCCTCCTCTTACTATTACTGAGGATCAGGTGGAGACTGCGTTGGGCATTTTGGAAAAGGCCTTCGAGGCTACTTTTGGAAAGCCCTGAGAACAGCTTTGTTACTGACGAAGGAAATACGAGAGGAGAATAATATTTAGACGAATAAAGAAGGAGGCAAAGAAAAAGTCTAGGACTGATTTATATACGTTTTGCGCTTTTACTTATTGCATGTTGGAAGACCTAGCTGTATAGATAGATACACGTATACCACGATTCGTTATAATTACCGTTTTCGGTTCAAGTCTCTTCGACCTTCATAAACAATATTCGTGTACATAAATAACCTTTGTGTCCATGTTCTCTCTAGCTTTGAAACCAGTCAATACTATCAAAATTCATGGTGTCCTTGCTCCCTCTCCAATCCCGTTTAAACCTCCCGCAAGTCCATTCATTCTCCTTCCTAGCAAATCCTCCTCACTAGGAAGACTGATAAGACTTCCTTTCCTCTTCCGGAATTCCATCTTTCTTCCTTCAGGTGTGGCAGTAGGACTGGCTACGCCTTCATCTTCGTCATCGGCAGCATCACCACTACCATTTATCTCGGGTGAGCTTCGAAGTAAAGAAAGTCTTAAGGAATTTATCAGCTCACGTCTGCGCCTTGCTAGCGCTCTGGGACGGTTGCCGTTTGTGTTATCTGTATTAGTAAAAGAAGGAGTACTTTCTTCTCGTTTTCCAGGGTCTTTGACCATTGCGCAATCAGAATTGGCTTCCCTTTCAGCCTCGGTTTTTTCAAGATAGCCCGCGCTTCCCTTCATGTTCATGCCAATAGCTCCGTCCTCTTTCTGGTTGACATCCTTGGAAAATAGAGGGGTCATCTTCCCAATACTCATTTCTAGAGGTCTGTCCTCATCTGCCGAGGATTCACCAGTTAGGCTTCGACTGTGATGTCGCGAGTTCTCATTTGTGAGTTCTGATTTGCTTCCGGATACTAATTTCGTTTTCCAGTCAACATGACCATTGATGATACTGCCTTGGGACGATCGCAGAAGTAGAGCTGAGGAGGACTTTCTTGTTTCTGCCATAATGAATAGATCCTGTATCCAATTCGCGCAGCGATTGATATGCTTCCATGCATCAGGGAAGAAACCGGCCATTTGCAAAAATCCGTGGGAAATACCGGGAATCAATGACACTTCTACGTGGTCCTTTTCTTGGAAAACCTTTTGCGATTTCTCGAGGCCTAGTTCTTGCCTCTCTCGAAACTGGTGCAGTTTAGCTTGTCGCAGTCGGCCGGCGAATATGACAGTATCATCCACAAGAGGATCTCGCTCTCCTGTCAAAAAATATGTCTTGGGAAACCTAGCCAGCAGTGCTTCCGGGGCCAGGACAGGCGATAGAAGGAAGTCTGTGCTGAAATCTGGACGGTTGAACGGGCCGATGTACAGGATAATCATGGCCCTCATCATCTCAGGGGTCAAGATGCGGTCATTGGTGTACGCCATCACTGAGGAGACGGCCAGTCGAGTCTGGATCTGCCTCTGTTGATGCTCGGCCAGTGCAGCTGTTTGAGTGGTGAGGTCTTTTGATTTTGATTTCCTTGAAATGGCATCAGACGGCTCCCCTGCCAATTCGGGTATATCTGGATAGAAACAGTCACCTCGATTTTGGAGGTCATCTAGTGCTTCGTCTGACGGACCAGGAGTGGTTGAGGGAGTAAGCTTGTAATAATACTCCCTCTTCTCATCGATGACTTTCTGGTTCATTTCCCGGGTGCCCCGGTCTTGGATCAAGGCCAGTTGTTCTTCAGTCATCCAACTTTCCACCTTGACATTCAATGCAGGGTAAGTCAAAACTAGGCCATCTGGCCGTGGAAGCCGCTCCTCGCCTTGCCACCTCCGTGTACCAGTACCCCCAGATTGCAGAGCCATCAAAGTCAGGCCAACAGCGAGGTTTCCACCCGCACTATCTCCTGTGAGGACTATCCGCGGACGCGTATGCCCACTTAACCCAAGACAGCGACCCTGAGTAGCTACGATAGTATGGTAAACGTCAAAACATTCATTTAAAGCGTACGGATAGGGGTATTCAGGGGCCTTTTTGTAATCAAGGCTCAATATTGGCAGCTTTGTCCTGCCAGCCCAGGCAAGAAGTTTATCTTCGCTCGTCCGGGGATTCATGGCAACAAATCCGCCACCAGGGATATCCAAGACGATGCATGTCTGCTCCCGCAACACACTCAGCGGTCCGTCGAAATAAAGCCACGCAGCCACAGGATCCTTGTAAACCGACTGTCTAGGACGCGGAATCCTGATCGCGCGCGGTGCATATTTAGTGAGTCGTGGGCGCATCAGACTAGCAAGCACCCAAAGATACGGGCTCGTTGCCTTGTTCCATGATACTCGAAGGTGGTCCACCGTGAGTGTAGCTCGAAAACGATGAACTTTCTCGTCTGCTTGCTCCGCCGCAAACAGATAGTACACCGTGAATACCAATGAAGCTATATCCCTTAGCCACTTGGGTTTTATTTTCATCGCAGTCCAGAAACCGGCATCCAGTGCAGTGGTGATCCATGTTGCACGGAAGAAGGAGCGCGAGTAGAGATTGGCCAGAGGTTCTGGGCATTCGAGACCAACGATCTTAGCAAAATTCCGACTGAGATAGAGCCATAAAAAGACGATGACTGTCGTCCGCCAGACGGTCAATTTGCTGGAGAGCCGTGCAGAAAGCGTGCGAATAACTGGAGGGCCATGCCTATTGCCTCTATTCGGATACAGAAGAAGTGTCAGCGCTCTGTAAAAAGTAGAGCAGTTAGAGGAAAAATCTGTAATTCGTCCTACCGTAGGAGATACGATGACCAAAACAACACTACTATGAAGACCTGGAGCTTGCGAAACTTGGTTGAAGGCCTCCCTAAGACGTGGTCTGCGGTAGATTGTTAACCATCACACCGTCCACTCTAGGGCAACTGGGAATCGAGAGCACTTGCACGCTCACATACCTATCATTTCCCACGAAATAATCCAAAAAGTAATGAATTCTCGATGATCTGTTGATACTGAAGTGGTCTCTGCCTGTCTCTGAATTGCAGGCGCTTTATTGGTCTTCTGGGCATGTACAAAGACAAAAACAAGTCTACATGTACAATTGGCGGCAGGAAAAGAAGATAAAAGACGGATTACATATACAGACAAGTGGGAAAGCCCACCACGGGCGATAGAAAAGGTCAAGCGCGAGCGTGAAGGAGGGCAGGAGAGAAGCCCAGGAGACTGCCCTTTCCCGACAAGTCCGGGCGAATAATGAAAGCAAAACAGAGAGAAGAGCGGCTAATACAGCCAGCGAGAGAAGAGGTCATTCTGGTGATTCGCAGGCCAGAAGGCGAATGCCGTTTGGAAGCGCAGCGCAGCAGCAATAGAGAGGGTCGAATCAAGGGAGAAGCAAAACAGGACGGGAGCGAAGCATGTGAAAGTCCCCGCCGCCATCAGCAACAGACAACAAGGAACGCCCTGCGGAACCTCGTTCTACCCATTTTCAGCCAACTATATTCTTTATTAGACTACAGGCCTTGGCTTGCCTCAGTCTCACATGTCACAGCCCCATGACGTCGGTTCTGCAGGCCGATCGGTTGCTTTGCGGGAGCCTACAATACAGATCCGGCATGTGTGAGTGAAGTGCGAAGCCCGCTGCGTTGAAAGATATAGACAATAAGATTCAAGAGAAGACGTCTCGTCAACAGCATTACTTATATCTTCCGACAGTAATCCCGGCCGTGTGTATCCTGGTAATTACACAGCCAGACCTCAATGGCCATGCTGAGGAACCCAGCAATGCAGATACCACCCGAGTCGCTGACGGTCGTTGCTCCGAGCGAGAACTCCCGGTCCTCTTTCGGTACACGATCGCCAATTTCAGCAAAGGTGTTGACGTACACAAGCCCTCCCAGTAGCCCCTCCCAGAATATAATCACAAAGATGATGTACACGTTCGGAATGAAGTTCAAGAGTGCATGCAGCATCAACAGGACTAGATTAATAACTTGCAGCAAAGACGGCAAGTAGAGATGATGCACCCGGATAAAGGGTGTCGATGAACGGGATATAAAGACGCCAACTTGGTAGATGGCATTATACGCCGGGTAGAACGCGCGGAACTGGCTGAACGGCGACTCACTGAGCGGGAATAGGAGGTTCGGTGCCACCCCCTGGTTAATAGTATACTCCGCAATGTAGACGAGGAGCAAAGGAAGCATACTAACGGTCTGGTGAGCACAGTATCCAACATCAAACTCATGAACTGAGGGTACCTACAAAGGAAAGAAAAGCCCCCGAACACGCCGCAGATTCGCTTTGAAACTCTGCCACCCCAGAGTTCCATCGCCTGAATGCGTGGACTTACGATCTTCGTTTGAATGGCGGGAAGAATTAAGCAGTAAATCGTTTTCTTCACCAACCGGATTGAGATCCTCTCCACCGATATCGCGCTCTTCCACCAATCCATCCTCAATTCGCTCATATTCATTAATTACCGGCAAAAGGTTCCGCAGGGGCTCCCTGGGCAAGATGGCAAAGAAGCTCACCACCATGACGGCGGGCAAGCAAGCAGACGCCAAGATCGTAGTCTTGACGCTGAAACCCAGAGACGTAGTCGCAAGAGCATAGGCACCTGCTCCCACCAGTCCCGCTGCGCCAGTGCCGCTTCCCCAGGATGCCAAGCTGAAAGGACCGTAGTAATGTGTTAGTCCCAAGAAGCTCAGCTCCCCACCTCCGCTGGACAAACTAGCCAAAATGATACCTGCGATCTTGGTCGTTATGGTACCACCTTGCGCGTACGATGGACTCGCGGCTATCAAAAGCATGCCAGCTGCGGAGAGCACGACGAATATCAGGATTCGGACGGGATACGGCACAACATGTATGAAGTACGGGGCGACGAGCTTCGTCGCGAAGGAGGGTATGACATCTGCGAGGAGAACAACACCCTTTGGAACATCAGGGCCGACAAGATCGAGAGCGGCAGACAAGATAATAACATATAGGACATTATTTATCAGACCTACGAAAAGGGCGTAAAAGTGTTAGCCGTCGAAACAGCTGCGGTTCTAGGTCCACACAACCAGAACACAACACCTACCAAATAGCCAGAAGGAGATGCAAACCCTGAGATTAGCACCGCTAAACATAGACTTGACCCGCTGGTTAAAAAGGGCCCATGACGAAGATGGGGCCCCGGGAAGGGGTAGCATTGGGCGGACCCGGTCGTCTTCTGTTTCGGCTGTAGGCATAACAAGAGCACCGTCTGTTGGACAGTCAGAGAGAAAGGGCATCTATAGGATTTACGGATCTGACTCTGAGATAAGATGCTTCATATTGCTAGCTCTATAGCATCAAGAGAGAAGCAATTGGCAGCCGGATTGCGCACTGCGAGGACGATGGAAGTTGCAATTTGGCGAGATAGCAGATAGATCACGTGGATGGGCTGGAGATCGTCCATCGCTCGGGTTAGACTTCAACCAACTTTTTATTCATCTTCGTGAAGCCTTGCAGAGGCTAGGGATAGTCAACTGAGTTCTAACAGCCAGTTGTTTACTGGTCGTCTATTGAACCGGAGGCCTCTGTCTTAAGATGTCGGGATCATCCTCCTGTCAACATACTGGAGTATACCGCTCGAATGAGGTCGTCTACAGCAGTCTCCTTTATTCCAGCGACACTGGAGTGTTCCCTTAAGTTGGAATTTATAAATTTTTCAATGAAACTGCCTCTGTCTAAAGAATTCTCTCCTTACAGTGCCCAGAAGAGGGGGTGAGGATCTGATCTCGACTCCATCAAACACAACAAGACTCCATATCAATGTTTGTCCATTCATTGTGCCATTCGCCAAGATACTCGCTTTTGTCTGCTGCTGGATTCATTCTCCATGTTTTCAGCAATGCCCTATATTTGCCTGTCTTTTGTCGTTCATTGTCCGATGTTTTACATGGTGCAAAGGAAATGCGGGTCCAAGACCATAGAAGACATATACGGGCGTTCTCAAATTCAGGAAATATAAATACCATGCCCTGAACATTGGATTGGATTCATCATCATCCCTATTCTCATCCTTCTACATCCATCTTAGCGTTTCCTTCTTGACCAGTCGTCGAGGCCCTCATCCCGTCTACCTCCTTTGCACAGCTCCATTGCTAATCACTATCTTCACTATTTGTTAACATTGACCGAAAGCATCAGAGAATTTACCGGTATTATCTATTTCAGAAATTATTAAAAAAGATTAAAAAAGAAAAATTCAAAATGCCTCACCATTGGTATGTACTACTTATCTCATCTCGGGCTCATACAGAGCTATAACTAACCATGTAATTTAGTGACAAGTGCAAACAGATCGCCACCACAAACTGCCTGCGCCTCGGGCATGTTTTTCAATGTCTGTGCGGTCAGGCATTTTCTGCATATCACAAGGAGTGTCCGCATTGTGCCAATGCCCTCCAGAAGCGCCGCCAGCGAAAGGAAAAAGAGGCTCGTGAGAAGGCCCAGAAAGAGGATAAAAAGAGCCGTAGGGATCGGCTTGGGGATAAAGTCCCTCGGTAATTTGCTGAGAAGTAAGTATTGCCAACCGTGGGATACTATACTAACCAAAGTCCTCTTGCCTCAGCCTCCTATTACCCGGACTGCTGCTTTCTTACAGGTATACAGGTCTCACCGAGTCCGTTGTGCTGTGACGGGTAAGTGGTCCCAGTCTATACTCTTTGCCTTTACTAGTTTGTTTTTTTTTTTTTTTTTTTTTTTTTTTTTTTTTTTTTGTCAGTTCGCTGTCTTGAGGGAAGTTTTGGTTATCGCCATGCGAAGTCCCATAAATTTGAGAAGTCTGTTTTAGACTTTGCTGTTTATTATCTTGCATAAGTACGGTGTTATACCACTGTCCTAGCAATGAATTAATCATGATCCTTTTTATCTATTGCCTATCTTTCCCATAAAGAATCACCCATCCTACCCAGTAGGTGCGCTGAGCTCATTATTGTCACAAGCCTGATCAGAACAAACCGTGGAGTAACCAACAGCCAACAGTCTATGACCAGTAAGACAGATAAGCACCTTAATCAGCAGTTGTAACGTTCAGCCTATTTCTTCCCTTTGCCCCTTCCCGTCAACCCAGAAGGTAGCAGGTACACTGACAAGAAATACCAACCGTACAAGGTAAACTGACAAACAGAGCAAGCACCTCAATAGCATTCAATCCATTGTCCATTTGGCGACGTGTGATAGGCAACGTAAAACCTTTTAAACAAGGAACCGTCTCTCAGGCAATAGGCACGATACACAGACTGTTCCAGGGGAAAGCAACGATGGAATTCCTCAGACATTGGGCTTGGAATACCGCTGGGAAAGGAACGGTACCATTCATCCTGATCCCAGGTATTCACCACTGGAGGAAGACTAGAGGGCATAAGGACTGGTGTGATGGTTTCTGCTCCGTCTGGTATGGTTTTTTCCGCATCAAATGACCTGATGTGATGGTACAAGGCGACCAGTGATTGGTGCCAAAGTTTCAAAACACGTCGGAAGGGGTCAAGTTGGTAGATGAGGTCGGGGTATGTTTCAATGATGTGTATCATATAGTCCTCGTATCCGGATGAAGTGCCATTCTGACTGTCTGGGAACCATTTACTGAATCTCTCCAGACGTACCATGTTTGCTGTCCTTCCTCGACGGCACATTGCTAGTTGCTGGTCGATCAAGATGAAATAGCTGGCCGCACACCAGCGAGGATCCCGGGCTGCCGACTCTAACGTAGTGTCTTGCAGGCTCGTCATGCCAAGATTTCGAAACAGTTTCTTCGTGGTAAAAGTGAGTTTGGTCCAGTCCAGTGCGTTCTTGAGCGTCATGGAATGAGCCTGGACTCTGAGCTGATGTACTTGGCTGCGCAGGATGCGAAATGGGACGAAAATCATATCATGGTCATATCCGGGCTGGGCAACTGAACCAGGGGAATACCAGTCGAGGCTCCTCTTCGCTTTCTTGTTATCATGCCAGTCCTTATGTTCCATTTTCTGAAACCGGATAACCAAGCGTCGGACAATTGACTTGCTATTTCCGACACACAGTGAGAATGCCATAACCTTTTGGAACAGCAAGATAAATTGGCCGGGATCTATGGTGTCAGGGGGGAAGAGGCTGACAACCGTATCGACCCTGTCGTACGGGAGGGTGTGAAAGCCTCTCAATTTCAAGTCCGATTCGTCTCGCAATATCCACGCTGTACGTTCCTCGTAGAGCTTGGCTTTGGGGTGTTGGTAGCGGACTATCAGCCACGATCTGGGTATGTAAATCGGTGAGAAGTCGAAGTAAAGGACGAGGTTTGAGTACAAATTGGCCGATATTTCTTCATATAGCTGTCGACTGGCTCGGAGGATGCTGAGATCAGTTTTCTGGACGCGCGTAGAATCCGTGTCTGCACCATCTGGGAGAAAATGCTGCCAGATTTGCAGACGGATTTCTGGAGCAAGCCATGCGAAAAGACCAAGACCTGGATTGTCTTTCATCAGGGCCAGCTGCGCTGGACGCTCTGGTGGAGATACTGCTCGATCCATGGACGGCTGAAGCATTCAGGAGATATCAGATACTGGCATGATTCCTGCGAAATGGAAGATAGATCCACAGGATAGGCTGGGGCAAGGATATCCTGGGATGAGAAGAGTGTGTCTTGATGGCAAAAGCCATCTTGTATTCACTCGTTGACCATATTGGGAAATTATCTCTCATTCGCTGAGTTCACTTCTCCCAGCAGACACATTTCCAGGAGCATGACCTGGCGGAAGCTCCCATTTATATCTCTACTGAATAAGTGCTTTATTCCGGGTTATGGATGAACATATAATCAAATTAGATACGAGGCTTACCATTCTTATTGCAATCTAGGGCTGTCCTCCTGCATGAGGGTCGACGACTTTGCATCAACACCATTACGTGCAGAGCATACATGCTTCAGAAGGGCATAGATAGTTCCCTCAGTCTGAAAATAAACCATCGGGTCCCAGATGATAGTTAATTACTATGTCGCAGTCTGCATCAGATGAGGACGTTGTCGGGGAAAATGCGGGGAGAAATTGAGAACAGACGATCGAAAATAAATTCGATCCTACAAATAACCTTTTTGCTCCCACCTGCTCATACTTCATACAACTCTCTAAAATGCGAACAAAAGAAGACGAAATCTCACTCTTCCAATCGATCCCCTGGATCTCCAACCTCCTCCGCGATGACTCGTTCGAGACCATCGCGACTCCATCTCGGCAGCCCAAGCCGACAACCGAGGACAGCTTCTTCTCCAACACCCTGAACTCTCCCACCACCATCTCCGCATGCCTGACACAATACCGCAAGCCGCAATCCCCGCAATCATCCTCCACGGCAAATGTAGAGGAACTCCGAACTTTCTGCACCCTCGGCCAGGACGTCAATGGGTACCCCGGAACATTGCATGGAGGGGTTGTGGCCGCCCTCTTGGACGAGACTATGGGTCTTTTAATCATGATTCGAGGTGAGGGGGGTGATGCCTCGACGCGTGATTCGAATTTATCCCAGACACCTGTGACGGCGTATCTGAATATCCGCTTTCTGAGACCGATTGCGACTCCCGGGACGATTGTGGTTTCTGCGCAGTTGAAGGAGGCCATTGAGGATCGTAAATGGACGATTGAAGCTGCTATTCGCGATGAGAAGGGACGGACTTTGGCTACGGGGGAATGTCTTTTTGTGAGGATTCGTTCGAGGCTTTAGATCATTATGGGAATCACACGAGTGCTTTATAGACGTTACTCGTATGGATACATACTGAACTACTACAGCTGTCGGATTAAATGCCTACGAAGATACAGTGTAATTCTATCAGTTCACTGGAGGGGGTTAAGCTTAGATTAAGAGCCATGAGAAATAATTCCTTCTACAGGTTGGAAAGCCTCCTTGTGTCTGATGTCTCAAAGATAAATTCCCGGATGAGATTGACAGCTTCCTTTGCCAAACCATAACTCAGAATGTACCCACCACCAAATATCTCCGTTTCATCGGTATTAGCAACATGGGAAAATATGCAACCAAACTCGTGGGGCTAAAGAGACTTACCATATGCTTGAACCACATTCTGTCCACCAACGGTCTCTTTTTTTGACCGCAAGTCCTGTATCTCGTGGTTGAATACCTGCTATATCTTGGATGGCTTCGAATTCAGACGCCTTGGCAGAAAACCCGTCAGGAAGATTCTCGTGGGCTCGTCTTAAAATCTAGCATGATATGGCACTATCAGCTTTACCGGTAAGTTTCCTGTGATTTTGGTGTTTATATGCGTACATCATTTTTGCTATCCTCATCAATATGCGTTCTCCTGGAGCTTTGAATGGCCTGGTATCATGGCAGTTCGGTGTATATTCCAGGACGACCTACCTGGACCCGTATTCTCGAATCTCGCCCAGGATGACCGTGCCGTTCAGACGAGGGATGATATAAGCATAATTGGAGGTAACTATATCCTTTTCCATGGGGAATGTATACCCTGTCATACGGGCTCTTGACCAGCACTGCTGGCTTCGCATCTCAAGTACTTGTCCCGCACATCTTTCAGGTAGCAGGATCCTGTCTAGTAAAATTAATCAGCACAAGGGTCTCATACCCATCAGATCAACGAGTAATCGAACATCCTGCGAATAGATTTGACTCTCTGTTTTTCGTGCCCCTTTCGAACCCAATTTACGAAGACCTGTGGTTGAAGAACGACAGTTTTATCTGGGTTTCTCATCAGCATCCCCATCCGCATAGCAAGTATGCAACATTATTACTACAGTTAATACCAAACGAAGCCCCGGGAGGGAGCTCACTTTTCGCGATCTCATCGAACTTATATGCCAACGTTAATTAATAGCGCAACGAACATCTGAAATCTTAGGCTTTCGGGAGCATGTCCGCAATGGCCAAGGCGGTGATGCTGCATTCCATGGGCCTTTACAGCGATGGAGGACATGGCAACATGAGCTTACCCAGAGCCCATAATGGTAACTTTGGTCATTTGCCGTCTCCTTCCTGGGTACAATACCTCGGATGCTTCTCTGTGGGGACGAGTAATTAGTGGCAGCGATGGGACTTCAATATGATGAATGGATCTCCCACTTGGCACGCGCCCTAGCTGACCCTCATGGGTAATAAGCGATGCTGCAGATCTACCTCGGAATTATATACAGAATATCGCTCATACTTCGCTCCGCGCACCAAACATGCGGCATAACCCTCCACATTCTCGTCCGAATAATCTGCAGTGTCGTAAATGCCGGTAGATTGATATCCTATAGGACTTTTTTGGTTCCCCTTTCGTGAATCTATCTAACAGCAGCTCGGGAATATGAATCCATGCTGAGCAACAGGGCATGACATCGATTTAGACTTTCGATATTGTAATAATACAAGGCCAACGGCTTTCTAAGATTGGCGTACCTTTTCTGTCTTATCAATCGATGATCCTAACGTATCATCATCCAATAAGGTCGCGTAGCTCAGTCGGTTAGAGCGTCACACTAATAATGTGAAGGTCGCGAGTTCGACCCTCGTCGTGACCATTTCTTTTTGCTTTTTTCCCTCTGTCATAAAGACACCATATGGAAACATTCCATATACAATGGATAGTTTTTATCAGCCGCATCGTCATTCTATTGTCTTGTTATATTGAGAATTCATTCTCGCATGTCATATTTTTCACCGTTAGGTGTTCTTCGCTACATGATGGAAATTTTCTGGGCCTATCCTCTTCAATGTTCATGTTGGAAAACAGGCTTCATTGTGAATCTTAGAGCGTACTGTGCCTCGGATATTCATCTTTTGGTGTTCAAGTGGTCTGTTATTCGCCGGGTTAATTCTGTTCTTTGCTGTACAAGCCTGGTGAGTATGGTCAATTTAAAATAATGTTGGTCCCAACAGACTTAAGAGGTATTGTCCATAGCGCATCGGCAGGGTTGCTAGTTGCTACCAGTGCCCTTGCAGGTTCCCCAGTAGATCAAACGGAATACTACAGGATGGGATGGTAATGGTTGGCCAGACCGTTTAGTATTTGGTGATATGATACTGACTTCCAAGGTACCTGGCGATGCTTGAGTGTATACAATACACCGCGAAGCTGCAGCGGGTGGTGTGGGAAATATATATTGACGCACACAATTTCCTACTTAACCTAAAAAGCCAACATTTGCTGGCCTTCTAATTAGTATGTAAGTTATGTAGGACGGAGATATATACTATACAGCATGATCCTAGTGGTGAACTTGGTAGCGTGTAATTACAGGTGGCAGAACATACATACCTAAAGGGATACATGAGAAAAAGCCCAACGATTTGTATGTGGCCTTGCCGGAGGTAATGCATATATCTTTATTTATATAGCTTTAATATGAGGCTCTTAACATCTAAGAAGGTCGCGTAGCTCAGTCGGTTAGAGCGTCACACTAATAATGTGAAGGTCGCGAGTTCGACCCTCGTCGTGACCATCTTTTTTTGACAATTTTTTTTTTCCCTCTTCAATCTACCCCATTGAGAACGGAAGCGGATACGGCATCGGTAGTATTTGCACCACCCCAGGGACCATAATACCTATCAAGGCATGTATATTACGTGCAAGGTCCTTGCTTGGTCTGCGTGGAATTGATCGACACCCTTGACGGACAATTGATGATTCTGTTCTGGAGGCCCTTCTAATCAGCCTAGCTAGACTGCAGGAGGGGTTTCATTACTGGTGGCTATGGACCTACATAGTAGTATGTGTTTCACCTAAAACCTCAGCAAGGCAGCAATCAACGAGCGAGCTTAACCAGCAACCAACTTGTACTGCAGAATCCACCATTGTCTACCCTCCTCTACTCACTGTCGTTTTTCTACGCAGTAATGTCTCCCTTCGCCTTCATTCATTCCCTCATGTCTGGGTGTTCAGCGCACTGCCCTTAAGGAGCCATATTACATAGCCAAAAACCACACCGACAACTTCATCTCACCAGGTGTATTCCAGCATACCATGCGTCTACTGACACTGACTCCTTCTGATACCAGTTCAGGCATTACCGCCACTCTTGACCCAGCAGTTTTCTCCAACCCTCTTCCTGAAATCCCTTTACTGCAACAGTATCCCAAGAACCTAGCCGTGCCACAGGCTCGGGAGGAAATAGAAGCCCCTGGGGGAAGGTAATGAATAAAGAACACCAATTAATGGCAGGCATCAATAGGTCCGACCTGCAAATCTGGATGCAGATCCGAATTCCATGCCCGCGGTTGCATTTTCAAATGGAAGCCCCAAGGAAGGGAACGAGGAAGAGCCTGGAATCCGTCGGTTGTATCCATTATCCCACCTTCAGCAAAGCATGCGCAATCGCTGCTGGTGACATTCCCAGGCCAATAATCAGTACCGTTTTAACATGGGTGATTATTGGGAGCCAGAAATCATTACTGGTATGACAAATCAAACTCGGTCTGGGTTTGGGGTGGAAGACTTATTCACACTGACTCTAAAGTGTCCACATATTAAAGTCTCTATGTATCTATCTACCATTCAGTTCAGGGAAACCCAGACTACCTGCTGCGTGGAGGAACCATGGCGATTACTGCTGCAACGTGCTCACGCCCGAGGCTAGTTAGTATCTCTTCAAAGGCATCTTGTTATCCCATAAGTTCTTATTTATTTATGTCTTTGATAGCAATACACCGACATCCCATGTCTCCACTAGGTCTGGCACGAAAGAATTGCCATAATGAACCCTGCATGAGAAAATACCCGATGAGCACAACGCATGGCATTTCACAGTGCTTCCCTTGTCTGGCTTACGAGTGCGAGTGCAGCTTACGGCTATATTGGTCCAAGCGACACGCATTCCTAGAACGAGCTTTCGCGGTTTAAAATCAATGCCTTGGCAGCCATATCAATGTTTATTCTGGACCAAGGTGCTCTAACCCATGTAACCCGTATGTATTCCCGTCTAAGAATCCAGTCGATGCTGCATATGATGCAGCGGCAAAATCGATTAAAATTGGCAAGAAATTTCGGGGACTTGTTGGGTACACCAGGATAGTAGGGAGGGAATAAATAAGAATAGGAATAAAAATAAATAAAAAATAAAAAATAAATATCAAGAGCCAAAAAAAAAAGAAAATGAAAAAATGCCAAAAAGAAATGGTCACGACGAGGGTCGAACTCGCGACCTTCACATTATTAGTGTGACGCTCTAACCGACTGAGCTACGCGACCTTCTTAGATGTTAAGTGTCTTAAAGCTTTGATATAAAAAGAAATACAATTCCGATATTTATTGGTGGAGAATTTGATTTGCACAGCTTCCCTCTTATTATTGTTATCCCAGCAATCTCTATTGTTTTCGGTTATACATATGAAATGGGATACCATCCTTTCCTTCTAAAAATGATGTAACTTATGATCTCCTCGTCTCACTTGCTATGGTTATGTCCCTCATAAATGCCTGCTATAACTCAGTACGCTCTCGTCTCGGGTCACTCACCTACCCCTGTGCCAATCAAAAAGTAAGCTTGATTTCTGTGATATTCATAAGGTTACTGGGCTTAGGATTACAGACCATGTCATTCAAGTCCTTTCCTAGATAGCCGCTGAAATCTCTGTGCTGTTAAGATACTATGTTAGTGCTGGCCCTCTAGGGCTAATGCATATCTTATGCCACCTACGTAAGAAGCACAATGCTTGGGCACGTATGAAATATGCAACAGTCTCATATTGGGTGTATAAACTAATCCTGGTTATCTAATTGCTATTAAACTGTAATGTACTTGCAGTACTTGTTAAGATAACATGGGTACCGGTTGAAGTTGTGGTTGACATTGTGTCTGGTGGAAATGTCATGAAAACTATCTGTAATAATATTTTTGCTTTTGTTCCCCGGCTTCTCGCACTTGTAACAACAGTGGACACATGTCGTGAAGGCCTGTACCAGTTTGGCTCCCCCGGGCAAGATATACGTACTCTGTAGAACAGAACTTGTCATCAAAGGAGATAATGGACCTGAAGCGGATGATTCTCCATACCTCCCTATATCCGTCGGAACTAAGGAATTTCAGGACATACAGCGCCGTAGAGTTAGAGCTATGTGTCCCCGATGAATCACCGTCATTGATGATGGAGCATTGCTCGTATGCATCGTGTGAAGCTGGACCTTCACCATCGGGATGCTCGGGACCAGTCGGCCCGCAGAACCCGACTCTACATCATTCGCAGAAACTCGGAGTTGTGGCTCACAGTAACAAGCTTTGAACAGGCGCACTCAGCTGCCTATGCTCCGAGATTCCCCCGACTGTGGAACCGAAGGCTGGGACGATGACCTCGTAAACTCCCTAACCTGGCGTTCTGTGATTTCCGTTAACACATATCCCGAGTATATCCGTGGAACGTAGAGAGAAGGAACAGTCAAATAATGACAAATCTCGCACATACCTAGTTCACGAATGCGTTGTCTCAGGATCTGATTCTCTCGCGTCAGCATTGCGGCCTCTGCCTGGTAGAAAGCAGTCTCGTCCCTGCTGCTACGTCTAGTTGAGGTCTCACTGGTGCCAGGAGCCCACTCATAGCCTTCCAGGCTGCGCGACAGCGGCCGCAGATTTGGTGAGCTCGTCAGACTAGATGGCTGTGACGAGCGCCAGTTAGACAGGGATGAAGAGATCTGAGGAGATGCTCGAGCTGCCGGCGCAGGAAGAGGAGGTATTTGGGGCAGCGAGATTAACTGCTCGGAGGGAGGGGTTTGCTCCTCCGGAACAGTCGTGCCTGACTCTAGAGGCTGTAGCTGTTGCAGCTGGAGTTGTTGGAGCTGCAACTGTTGACTGCGAATCGTCTGTAAAAGCCGATTCTACTTCCCCGATCAGTCAGTCCATCACTACATAATGTGTGCAATTAACGTGCTTCCCGTGTAGGACATCAGACAACGGGATGCAATATATAATAATAATTAACAGATTAGAGCAAGTCATACCACTTGTGCCTCTTGTTCTTGTTCTAATTCCTGATGGAGCTCCCCCAATGACGGTGTACGATGGTGGTGATGCGGATCACCAATCGCAGCAGGTGAGCTTCCAACACTAGAGGGACTGGCAGTGCGGATGGCATGGCCCACAGTCCCCGAGCGTTCGGGAGTCGGAACATGCCCGGGGCCATTGGCAGACCGATGTTGCTCAGAGACAGACACCCGAGCGGCGCGCGTTGAGGCAAGCGGAGACCGAGCCGAGGCATGTGGCGGCGGCGGCTGGGATTGTGGGGGATGGGGTTGGACTAGATCACCGAACGGGGGCTGACCATCCCGATGCTGGGAAGGGGAAGACGAGGAAGGATTCTGGGGGGAAAGGGAGTTGAGATCAGGAGGCATGGAGGCGTCGTATAGCGCGCAGTCTGATGCTAGTATGAGTGTATGAGTGGTGGAAGAGGAGGAGGAGGAAGACGGGGTGGCATCGCAGTGGCATCGGCCAAGTCCAGAATATCACGGGGACTGCGACGGTTGCAGTAAAAATTACCGAACCGGCGACGATCCGGTAAAACGCCGGTATCGCAACACGTGACATACCGAAGCATGAAATACCGGAATTTGCGGGCCATTGCAAGCCGCAACTGGCAAAACGCGTGGCCGACCGTGCGAAACTTTTGCCTGCGTTATTCGATCTTCTCTCTTCTCTTCCCCACTGCGGTACCCGTCGCCGACTTCATCCCTCTGGGGTCGGATTGCCATCCCCAAACCTCCCCAAAACCCCGAAATCCCCGTGGGATCGTCGCCCTTCAATGCGTCCCCGCCGATCACTTGTCATTCACGGCACCGAGAGGCCTTAACTCGGAATTTATTTTCTGTGTGGGATGTACATGCTGTCAGCCTTCATTCCAACTCTCCCGAGTTTCTTCGTGTATTCTTTCTCTTTTCCATTCCGATGGCAGATGGACCTATCACCACGTAACCTGAGGCGTTCGTCGGAACCGCTCCGTGCCGGCGAATTGAACGAGTGAGTTTCTGTTGCTCGACAAGCCTTCAGTACACACCAATCACCAAAGCAAGGGTCATGAGAGGAACTGAAAACAAGACGGTACCTCGTCGTCTGGACTTTCTTGGCCTTGCTATGTCTTGACTTTCCGATCCACCATAACCATGGCACCAAGACCGGCTTGTTCGGCTAAAATCCAATCCCACTCTTTTTATTCGACAGACCAAGGACAAGCAAATCATGAAAAAGGCAAATGGTCAGGAGCGAAAGAAGTTTCAAGAAGTCGCGCTTAGAAGACTTTCGCTCTGTGGAGCGATAATTTTCAGCATTCAGCATAGTAAGCCAGAGGGAAAGAAATTTCACCTAGTAACCGTTAAAATGAACTCTACCATACATAAACCAGCAGACACCTACATGCAGATACATTGGAACAATTCTCCTGTATTAGGACGGAGTAAAAAATAACCTGACGGCGATCGTCTGTGGAGCGAGAGCACCTTGACGTCACAGGCCATCCGACAAACCTTAGCATGTCAAATCCGTGAGGTTGAGCCCATCCCATAGCGCCCGACCGCTGATCGCAGTAGAATGAGATGCAGAATGCGTAGCAACATTGCCAGCGCAGTGAGCGCACAGTCCTACGGTGCACCCCGTCTCTGGGCTGACCTCAAGGGACTCTACGCGAACTCGTCTGTTTCCTCGAAGATCCAGACAACCATGCACAATAGGAATAATAATACAAATAATAAAAACCGGAACGATAAATCAAACCCCATCCTTCTCCGGAGTGGAGAAGGATTGGCTCCAACCCGCGGAGGAATCCTTCGCCACTACCCGACTAGTCCCTTCGAGCATCCATCGGATGACGGGCGTTTCTCTCGGTCTCTTCCCCCTTCATGCCTCATCTCGTCTTGCGTACTGTCCATGTCGATTCCTGGGGTGCCATCCCCAGGGGTGAAACCGAGATCTTATAGGTGTTTCTTCTTTCGGCATGTGTGATCCGGTACCTCGCCAAGTTAGGTTCCAGATGTTGCCGAGACAGGAAGGACAGAAACCTACAGGGTACGACTCGGCATCCCGTAGGATTGCTGATTGGGCCTTTCCCACGGGGCAGCCCCGTGGGTGGCGCCAAAAATTTTCAATTTCGCTGCAAAGCCGGCATGGGGAAGAAGGATGATTCGGCGGACCGAGTGATATCACACTCTGGAGAGCGCAATCTGGAGTAGACAACGAGGCTTGGAAATTGGCCATGGTACGATCCACTATTATTATTTGCTTACAGTGGTGGGGAAGGGAAGAAAACTGAGTCTGTAGGAGTATAAATAATAATGTCATTGACCATCACATCGTGGGGAAACAGACTTCCCCCCATAAAGCCTCGTTCTGGCAGGCCCTCTGGACATCTGCACATCTGCGTTTCTATCTGCTACTGCTTCTGCAGCTGTCAACCCTTCCTTCCTATTTGGGCCTCTTTACGCTAAGCCTCTTTCTGACAGGCAAGGCCCAGTGAATGTAGACAAGTGCCCTCCTTCCTGTTTTGTCAGTTTGTCTGCCTCTGGTCTTCTCTTACCCCCCCCATCCTCCCCTCCCCTCTGTCTGTCTCAAAACGCGTCTCTCTTCCTCCCCCTACCTCCTCAAGAAACTCCTCAATCCATCTATCAACTGAAGAAAGGGTATCATTCCTCACTGAAGCTGCCTTCCTCTTAATAACCTCCCATCTCTCTTCTTTTCCGTCCTGCTAAAGTAGGTTTTGCCCTTCCCTAACCTTTATTGTGTCCTTTTGTCGCGTCTTCTCTGTGAAGCACTAAACTTGGATATCTATTTCTAGTAAAAGAGTTCACTGACCTTATTAGGACTGCAATCTAAGCTTGTGCACCAGCTTTCTTAGTCACAGTATACTTTTCTTTTTCATATGCGGTTCTGGTTATCGATTATTGTCAACTGAACCATGTACACCTCTTCAGCGTCCACACCTGTCAACCAGGACGAAAAGGTGCATGAATTTGAAGGATCATCTGGCACTCATGCTGAGGATGTACCAACCCATACGGAGAAGATCGACCTTCCCCACCCAACCCGTCATCCCCACTGGCAAACAGGACCAGAAGGCCTCGTGTCAGAAGAGGAAAATGCTGATGACCGAATTTTGATCACCGAGGAAGACTGCTACGACGAGCTGGGGTACTCGTTCCCTTCCTGGAAGAAGTGGCTGATTATCTCCATCATCTTCATCGTGCAGACATCTATGAACTTCAACACCAGTCTGTATTCGAATGCCATTGGCGGTATCTCAGAAGAATTCGGGGTCAGTAAGCAGGCTGCGCGATGTGGCGCCATGATTTTCTTAATTTTGTACGCCTTTGGTTGTGAGCTGTGGGCGCCTTGGAGCGAGGAACTTGGTCGCAAACCAATTCTTCAGCTCAGTCTGTTTCTAGTCAATATCTGGCAACTCCCCGTCGCCCTCGCACCTAACTTCGCGTCTATCATGGTTGGTCGTGCCCTGGGAGGTCTGTCCTCTGCTGGTGGCTCCGTCACTCTGGGTATGATTGCCGACATGTGGGAACCCGAGGATCAGCAATATGCCGTGGCCGCCGTCGTCTTCTCATCTGTGGGTGGCTCTGTCCTCGGTCCTGTTATCGGTGGCTTTTCTGAGGCTTTCCTGGATTGGCGCTGGAGTATCTGGATTCAACTTATCTTCGGGGGGTTTGCGCAGGCGGTACACCTCTTGTTCGTCCCCGAGACTAGAACTACAGTTCTGATGGATAAAATTGCCAAGAGAAGACGGAAATCTGGAGAGAACCCAAAGCTCTACGGACCTAACGAATTAGTGCCGTTTAGTGAGCGATTCTCCATGCGTGAGGTTTTGATCACCTGGATTCGTCCCTTCAGGATGTTCCTGACCGAGCCTATCGTCATGACCCTCTCTCTGCTGAGTGGTTTCAGTGATGCCCTTATCTTCATGTTCATCCAGTCATTCTCCTTGGTGTATGGTCAATGGGGATTCAGTACCGTTGCTCTGGGTCTATCGTTCATTCCTATCCTTGTCGGTTATCTCATTGGCTGGTTCTCGTGGTTCCCCATCATTAAACGCAATGTCGAGGAACGACGCCGAAAGCCGGATGATGAGAGAGCCCAGTATGAGTCCCGTCTTTGGTGGCTCCTGTACACGGCGCCGTGTTTGCCTATTGGTTTGATCGGTTTCGCATGGACTAGCCTGCCCCAAACCCACTGGATCGGGTCCATGATATTTGCCGCCATCGTCGGTGTTGCCAACTACGCTATCTATATGGCCACCATTGACTATATGATCTGTGCCTATGGTCCTTACTCCGCCTCGGCAACCGGTGGTAACGGGTGGTCCAGAGACTTTCTGGCCGGTGTTCTTACCGTCCCAGCAACACCCTTCTTTGAAAGTGAGTGTGACATCAAATTCGTCAAGCATTTTCCTTTGTGGCGCTGTCAGACGGTACTGACTGTAAACTGTTAGACATCGGTGGCAAGTATCACCTTGAATACGCATCTACGATCTTGTGTAAGTCCCACCACTTCCCAGCCCACTCCGGGGTCCAAAACTGACAGCCTTCTGTTCCATAGTCTGCATCTCGTTCGTTCTCGTGCTCGCTGTGTATGTCATTTACTGGTATGGACCGGCCCTCCGGAAGAGGTCGCCATTCGCCCAACAGCTTTCCGATGCACGGAAGGAAATAAACGCTCGACCTCAGATCTCTGCTCTTCAATCCTCGAGGGTCAGCTCGTACGCAAGATCGCAGCAGAGCCTTCGTGTCCATCAGGCCTTTGGAAGCCGCCAAGGTAGCTACATCGCCTCGCGGGGGAACTCTAGAGTAAACTCTCGAGCCAACTCCCGAGTGAACTCGGCAACTAATTCCCGGGCGAACTCGCGTCGGAACAGTCTCGAGACTTCCTAACCGGTCTATATCATGACCTGTATTGCTGCTGAAAGGATAGCCTAAGCCGAAGGGGATTTCGTGTACTAATTAATCCAGCTGGAAGGAGAGGGAAGGCTGTATAGGCAGGTAGTTTGGCGGAGACGCCGGCAATGAAATTCAGGAGCAGTTCTGCAACATAGTCATACATTGTAGACTATAAAACAGGCAATCATGTCAGTATGCTTCGAAGCCGTACGATTACACGTCCTCAGATAGCTGCACGCTCCGGATTCATTGATTCGAAATCTTCCTTTGCGAGCTCCTGTTTTGGCGGAGGAAGGGCGCCCCTTAGCATAGAAAAGAGATTTGGAAGTTCTTTGTCAAGCTCTTCTGTTGGACACAAAGCCTCCCTTGTTTGGGAGATACCGCGCCATGTTCGCCCTGCCCAAATATAGACATTACATGACCCAGCGGACTCCGGCCCTGTCTTCTCACGTGTAGTCAGTCTCTTCTATGCGCCACTCGCTACCTGGCTGGTCTATTCCACATCCATAGTTCCTGGCCGCATAGCGAATATAAATAGGCCGTAACGGTGGAAAGCGCCACAGGTTACCTTTTCAAGTTTCCACACCCATAATGCCCTATCCTGGAGAAACTTCGGTTACTATTGACACCGTTGAACAGCTTTTCTTTGCCCGAAACAGCAATGCACATGAAATAACCAGCAAGCTGCTACCATTCAGGGGGAGGAAGTGCTAAGGTGAAAAATAACCTGCGCAATGGTCCAAAACCCTTTTCTTTCGTGATAATGGGGCAAAGATAGGTCAGCGTGTCGAGGGGTGTATCACGATGTCGGCCCGGAGGCCCCGTTCTGCCAGTATAGACCATAAGGGAGATATCCCCGACTTGTGTTTAATCCTATTGTAGCGCTTCAAGCTACGTCTTGTCCATTTGTCAGTATATAGCCTGACCTGTAGCCTGCCTGAGTGTCCAATCCAATCTATACCAGTTACCCGGACCATCTTTTAGTATTTAGGTTCCCTGCTTGACGCCTCACTAGGGAGAGGCCGAGCTGATCTTCTCCCATTAACCTAAACCTATCCTTTGAGGCACTAGTGATTTCATACTGAACCATTTTTGTGGCCTATCCTGCAAGGATCGTTTATATCCTAACGGCATGCCGCCACGAAGGAGTCGCTCTGTTCCGCCCAACGAGGAACTGGCGCCTCTCACATGCAGCTGGTGAACTGCCAGCTTCATAGAGACTAAAAATCCGAGTCTTATATAGCTCCAAATTTATAACTGGACGAAGCATTTTATAATGGGAGACCGTGAGAGAGAGCAAGGTAGTGTAATAAATATTGTACAGAGCAGTAGGGAAAGGATTCAGGGTCAATCACGCATAGATAAATCACACTAGTGGGCGGACCTACCAGCGATGAGGGGTGTCAGTCGTCAAATTTAGTTATTGGAATATGATCGCTATCGCCTGCCGTAAGCTGTAGTGTGCTTAGATAGTTATATTCCTAGAACATAGTTACAGCTGCGGATGTGGGAGAATGGGTAACAAGGCTAGTGCCGGTGGATAGATGGAATGCGCTTCTGGCACGATGAAGTAATGGCGAGGTCTTTTGTTCCACAGATGGAGAGTACAGACCCATAGTGCTTCCTTGCAGGGATATTATTGTAGATGGAAGAGTTGTCGGCGTTGACAGTGCAGCGTCAAGATTCCAGTAGATGAAGGATTGGTCTCTGTCGGCTCCCGTAGTCGTAGCCATCGCGATGTCAAGGCATTCGCGCAGTTGATATCTATTCCCTTCTATTCTGAACCCTCCATTCCTGAGCGAATTGGTACTTGTTCTGTGATCACCGCGGCAGACATGGCTCTACGTGTCCCGCATCGACTCTTCCCCGCTGCAGCTCCCAAGAGTATTATTACTCCCGCCACGGCTGTCTCAGTGAACCAAATCCAAGGATTGCCCTCATTGCACTCACCCGCATTGCGATATCCTACCACTCGTGCCGCATCCTCCTTCTCTGCCTCATCTCTTCGTTTCCGTTGTTCTTGTTCTGGACCTACACAGAAGTCCCAGACACGGCAGAAGCTGCAGTGGCAATCACTATCACAGTTGCAGTCACAGGCGCGGACACGGCTGGAATCACACCGGCGGACTATGGCGACGACATCGACGTCAGCACCTGCACCTGCAGCTGCATCTACCCCAATCGTCCCCACCGACGTTCCGATCAAATATGCAGAAGGGGAGGACGTGAGACAGTTATCGTCTGAGGTGAAGGCGTTAGTTGACAATGGATGGAGGGTCGACGAGGAAGGGATGGGAGTGAAGAAAACGTTTTATTTCAAGGGATATTTCAAGGCCGTGGTATGAGTATGAAGTTTATTTTACGGAGTATTTTATTATTTTGGCACGGCTGATGAGGAAGGATAGAGTTTCGTCAATTTTGTTGCAGCGGAGAGTGCGGCGAAGAAGCATCACGCTGTTATGACCGTTGTGAGTTTCTTTGCTTCCTCCAGGCTCCTGATAAATACTAACAATGAGTAGAGAATAGGATCCGTCGATGTCTACTGGACAACACATCACCCGCGAGGCCTTACCCACAAGGACACATCCTTGGCGAGACACTGCGATAAGGGCGCAGAGCTGATGGGGTCAGTGGAAGAGGGACAGGGACAAAAATGCGGACCAGGACCTGGACAGGCATAGGCCGTGCGCAGTCAGTCTCCTAGGTTAATTGAGCTTGTTTGTGATTCTGCTGCGTGGTTATGCGGTGCAGCAGCGGACAGTGTACAGCGTAGATGGCTTTGCGCGATTCACATGCTGGATCGAGTGCCTAGTCAGATTTTAGAGCGAGGTAAAAGTGCTCCATGGATATTTTTATGACCGGCTGGCCTCGATCACCGCAGACCCCTTTTGCAACGAGTATGATCGATGCACATCCCTGGTCGTCCTGACTAGTGCAGTGGGGAGGCTCGGGCTGATGGACGCTCCTGTTGGCTCGCAGACGGTGGATTCGGGAAGGTGGAAAAAAAAAACGCAGGGGAAAGATTGAAACATTCAACGGTTTTCCCATTCTGGACCTGGTTGTTGACAGGGCATGGCTGTTGATGTCGATGGTCTGGAGGAGCATGCAATACAGCCTTCATCCACGATCAAGAGCAGACCAGCACGCGCCAGTTTCAACGGGACATCAACAGTCCTCATCATCATGAAGTTATGGATCCATCTCAGCACGCGCCACCAGAGACGACACACAGACCGGTCGATATGAGCTAAATCCAGATTATTCCCCGCCGTTGCTGGCTTTGTGGACCGGATTCCTGGATGCTGGGAGAGAGACGGGATAATCCTCCAGCCCTGGACTAGCCTGGACAATTAATATGAGCAATTCGGTGATTATCATCGACCAGACGGCCAATAATAATACTATCGCAGAGTATCCTTTTGATGATCAGGAGGTGATTATAAAATTTAATACTCCTGAAATGAGTTTAGATCGATGTGCATGGCATGACTTCTTTCTGTCTGGCCATCGGCCTTCCTGTCTCTCTTCCTCTGCCCTTCTTCTCACACCCCTTTCTGAGTCTTGCATCTGTGGATACTTCTCGTATCTACTACGGAGTACTATTACTATTATTACCCTGCAGGGCAAAACACCGTTCCTGACGGCGTTCATCTTGATAGCCCGTTCCGTTCCGTGCATACGTCCAGTTCCGTCCCCTACTCGGCCTTCCCCCTTTGTTGCCCTCGTCACTGCATTGTGCATTGAATTCCCCTCGACAATGATAATCGATCTTTGTCTCTATCGCTCCTTGTCCTGCTAGTTAATTCTCATTCTCACGGCTGACTGGTCTTCCAGACCCGTGTCTTCCCTCTCGCGCGTCTCACTGTCTTGATAATCTTGCTATGACGTGACGTGAACGTTTCTGTTTCTCTCACTCCTTGCATTCTTGACCCTTCCCCAAGTCCATGATCGGTTTCTCTGCTGAATATCTGTCCTCGTCGGAAACTGGATAATTGCTAATTGATTCCCATCCTCTTGCCTTGTCTTGTCTTGTCTGACTTCGTGGTCCAATGCTCTCGTTCCAACGCAAATTGCCTGAAGGGAAAAAGAACGGTTAAAAAAAAAAAATATCACTGAGCTCGGATTAATTCAGCCTTGTCAGGTGCCTTTAGAATGGCCTCAGCAACTTCGCCAGCTGTTCATGAGCGCAGAGGACGCCATCTGCCACCCATCCAGACCAACTTCAGTCGTCCAACTGCTCATCTGGATAAGATCCCCCGCCCCCACCGCGTGCGGCCCCCGAATGATACCCAAACCACCAATGGCAAAGTTGGCGAAAAGGACCAGGGTCCGCCGTCAGGACTGCCGACCAAGCGGCAGAGCTCGCGGACTGGCTTGCGCAGTTTCTTTGGGTTCGAGAAATCTCTCCGCAGGCCGAAGAGTGACAGCAAGCTCACACAGGTGGATGAGATTGCGTCGCGGAAACCAGGACGGCCCGCCGGTCAGAGCACCGAAACACCCTTATTATCACCAAGTACCTGTGCCACACCGAAGACGACCCTCTCTGCACCGTCGCTCGCCGCCTCCCCCCCCAATGGTGTCGGCCCGAATCGCACCCCCAAGATCCCGCCCAAGGCTCCTCGCAGGAGACCGGCTACTAATAAGCCATCGGAAGATAGATCTTACTGGAGACCACCGCCACTCTTCCAGGTCTATCCGCAAGCTATCAAGCATGGTTGTCTTCCGCTCCCGGCACCGGCATCTTTGGCGGAGTCCATTCTACGCATCAACGGTTCTGGACCCAAAGCTCCAGCCAAGGATACAGAGAATAACGACGGCAACCAGCTGCTGAACCCCGACTCTTTTGATTCCAATGGGGCCATTCATCGAAAGAAGAGAGAGCCAAGGCATCAGCCCTCCTCGTCGTCCGGGAACATGAACAAGATGGAATGGACGCAGAAGATCTACGTCCTGGCTACATCTGGTTACCTCCTCCAGTATGCTGGAGAGGGGAAATTCGACAGACTACCGGAGAAGATGATGAAGCTGGGTCCCAAGTCCGTTGCATTTGCCAGTGATGCTATTCCTGGCAAACACTGGGTTCTACAGGTTACCCAGCACTTTGATGAAGAGGCTACTACTAGTACCGTGACTGTGGACGGTGGTAGGCCTCTGTTCTCGCGGTTTGGATTTCGCCCCCTAGGTCCACGTATGGCGCGGACCCTTCTTCTTGTCTTTGACAACCCCGAGGAGATGCATTCGTGGCTGGTAGCCGTGAGAGCGGAGATCGAAGCCCGAGGAGGCAAGAAATATGTCTCTGAATGGTTCACAGGAGAACACGAAGACAACGAGGAAGAAAAGGACACGGAGCGCCAGAATAATCGGAATATCCGGCGCCCAGTCAAGGGGGGCATAAACCAATTGTCAGAACTGCGTCGACGGTCTCAACGAGGACCAATATTATGGGAGAATGGGGCTGGAGTGGACTATCAATCCCGCAGGGCTTCGTATCAATCTGTAAATCGCCGATCTGTGGTTTCTATTTCGGGTTCTACATCGGCAGCTCCATCGGAGGGGGAGCTACATGGTCCCGGAACACCTGCTGCTTCTCTCAAACGGTTTACTTCCGCCGGGGACAGCTCAAACTCGCTTTCCCCTACTGAAATCCCTAAAGCATTTCAGCGGCAGGATATTCCAAATCTTGCCAGCTCACAGGCATTTTCGACGCCTTCTTCGCCGGAGTGGAGGCCCGAGCCGGTGCACAAGTACTCTCAAGCAGCCCATGCTACTGGAAATGGCTCGAAGTTGCCACGGCCGCCTTCATTCATACAAGAACCGACTGCACGGTCCTCGTCTCCAGCTCCCAACTTTAGTGTTCCGTCCTTCAGCAAGAAATTCGCTACGAAGCCGGGGCAACCGGCTCCCGGCACACAGCTACCGCAGCCGCCAAGCACATATTCCTCGTCGACGAGAAAGACAATGCCAGTACCAGTGCCTTCGCGAACCAGTAGCATCCCCCGCGCAGACCGGATGGATTATTCCTCCACCGTCGCCGCATTTCCTACCCCGCCTCAATCGCCAACCCCAAGGGTTGCCAGCCCTGTCCGATCCGACTCTAACGATAAGCTGTCATGCACTTCGCGCGAATCCTCCATCGGGAGACAGGTATCATCTTCGACATCGATAGATTCGATAGCAGAAATTGTCCAACGAAATGCCAATGCATCTGATGGCCCTGCTGAGGCTAAAGCCCAGCAGACCCTCTCCCGTTTACCCCGGGCCAACGTATCGGCGGCTTCGATTTCACATCGAATCAGCATGACGAACATATCTTTGCCAGCAACTCCAGCAAGTGCATCTGCCCGTGGAGCTATCCAGCGCAAGAGAATCTCCTCTATACCCTACCAGAACGATCCCGTGTTATCGACCTTCACACCCTCATCCTTCTCTACATCGGTGATATCACACCGAAAGAGCTTACCTGGGCTGTCAATTGGACCTCCCGTAGCGCCCCCTCCTAATTGTCCCTTACCGAAGATTCCTTCTCTCATAGACCCTGGTCCGGGAACATCATTGCCTAATGGGCGTCCCTCCTTCCGCGAGATTTTCTAAGTCTCCGCCTCCCAGTGTGCAAGGGATTCGGAAGGGCTCTACCGGGTCCATTGCATTTGACGGGAGTATGAGGGTTTCAGGGATTCGAAGACCGAGCATCCAGAGTATGAATATGGTGAACGGGGCGTGATTGGTTCTTTTCTAATATCTAGATGCATTTCTACATGTAACATACCCTCGCAGCAGTGTACACCTGCATACGAATACGTACGCTCTCACACACTCCCTCACCATCCTCCCATTTTTACCTCTTTATGTCAACTCACCTTCTTTCTACATGATCCTATCCTACCCACAACGTTCCATCAACATCTCTTCTGTCTTGACCTTCCGATACACCTGTGCCGTCATAATAACCTCCTTGGAAAGGATCTTTCGGGATTAAAAAGTTAGGTATTTGTAAGCGTGCGCAATCAAAATTCAATCATTTAATAGCTTCATTCTCTATTCTTGGGAAGTTCTCAAGGTAGCAAAAGTCTACTTTGTCAATACCGTGTATCCGTATATACCAAATTAAAAGAGAGATCAAGATCGCCGTATCTAATTACTATATAGGCCAGCCTGGTGGATCCAACGTCTATCCGGATTTCTATTTCTTCTGACTTCATAATGCACGTCCAGTCTTGGCATGTTGACTGCCTAGATGCATAACTATTATTATTATCTTCCAACAACTCCCAACTTCTTCATTCAACTCTATCTGATAAAGTATTGCCTCCATTCAGATACTCAGAATCACATCTATCTATAGATTCTCATGCCACAACCCAGACGCACAACCTAGATACCATGCTGCGGAACATAAAGCAGAGATACGCCACCGTCACAGGCTCCGAGTCCGCCGCGCGGGACGGCGGCGGCGGTGGTGGTGGTAGTGGTCAAGACCTGGTGTCTATCCTTGATCGGTCGCAGCGGGCTGATTTGATTGTTCTTATTACTCTTATTATAGAGTCGATGAGGGGGGTTATTGTTGATAATTTTCGGTTGGGGGTTTCCGAGTTGCAGGAGCGTGTTGATGAAGTGTGTCAACATCAATATCGACACCAAGAGAAAGAGGATGAAGAAGATGAAGACGGAAATCTAAGGCAAACGGAGCATTCTGATGATGTGCTAGTTCCGCAGCATTCAGAAGAGTCGGTTCCAGATTCCGCTATTAAGGGAGATGGTAGTTCTACTACTACTGCCTCTAGCACTTCTGCTGTTAACACACCCCATCCTACGGCAGCTCTTCTACGAGCAGAGGCGGATACCCTCACCCATTTCGCGGATTGGACGGAATCCGTCCTTCTCCGGATCGGTAATGTCGTGAACAGCGACGCTGATGAGCACAAAATGCAGCAAAAGCCATCTCAGACTGATGTCGGTTCAGAGGAAACGTTAACAACAACATCATTGAAGAAAGATGAAGAGACCCCTGCTGCTCTCCATCACATCTACCCTCCCGTGGAGACACCGCTTCTTCAGCTTCCCCGAGCGAAAAGATTGCTTATTCTCCATTCGCTGCTTCTTCTGCTTTTGAGCCTGGAGCACTATAATGCATACTCGCGCGTATTTATGCTGCGTCTGACGTCGAGTTTGGGGCTGAGCTTGAAGGACTTGAACGGTGATGAGTCTAGAGTCGCTCGAGGCTTACTCGATGCCGCGGTGGCGCTCTCCGGGCGCGAGCAGCAGCAGACTAAGAAGAGTGATCCTTCGAGGAAGTGGAAAGTCGGAGTTGCGTCTGTGGCGGGGGCTGCTTTGATTGGGATCACGGGGGGACTTGCCGCTCCTCTCGTTGCTGCCGGGCTTGGGACGGTGCTGGGGGGTCTGGGACTCGGTGCAACGGCCGCAGCTGGGTATCTGGGAGCGCTTGCTGGGAGTAGTGTAATTGTTGGTGGGCTCTTTGGGGCATACGGAGGCCGGATGACCGGTCGGATGATGGATAAATACGCTCGTGAGGTTGAAGATTTCGCCTTCGTTCCTATACGCGGTCGTCGCCAGAGAATTGAAAACGAGAGAGAAGCTGCTCAGCAGGACCATCGACTGCGCGTCACGATTGGCATCACCGGCTGGGTCACGGAGGAAGATAACTTTGTCATCCCATGGCGGGTTATTGGGGCTGATACGGAGGTTTTCGGTCTCCGCTGGGAACTGGAGGTGCTGATGAATCTTGGAAATTCCATCAGCGCCCTGGTGACCAGTGCAGCGTGGTCAGTTGCCGGGCGAGAGGTACTGTCGCATACTATCTTCTCGACACTGATGAGCGCCGTCATGCTCCCCCTGGGTCTTTTGAAAGTTGCCCGCGTGGTCGATAACCCCTTCAGCGTAGCCAAGGCCCGAGCGGACAAGGCTGGACGAGTGCTCGCTGACGTACTGATCAACAAGGCACAGGGAGAACGCCCAGTGACACTCATCGGCTACTCATTGGGTTCTCGCGTCATCTACTCCTGTCTACAGAGCCTGGCCTCGCAACGAGCATATGGGCTAGTGGAATCCGCTATTCTAATGGGCTCCCCGACCCCGTCAGACACAGGTGACTGGCGCATGATGCGCAGCGTTGTCAGCGGACGACTGGTCAACGTTTTCTCCGAGAACGACGCGGTCCTTGCATTCCTGTACCGAACCAGCAGTCTTCAACTTGGCATCGCGGGTCTCCAGCCAGTCCAGGGCTTATCTGGGGTAGAGAATGTAAACGTGAGCGACCTGATTAGCGGCCACCTACGCTATCAGTATCTCATCGGGAAGATCCTCACCGTGATTGGGCTGGAGGATATTGATGTCCGGGAGGCGGCGCGTGAAGAAGCAGCGCTGGCAGCTCGGGATCATGAACAAGAGCAGGAACGAAGACAGAATGAATGCCAGGCTGGGGTGGAGGGTCAGAAGCCTCCTAAGAGTATCAATGCGGAGACTAATATCGACAAAGCCATGGATGATGAAGGAGATAGGCTCCAGAGACAGGTTGAAAGGAAGACACAGGAGCATCTTATGTACCGCAAGGTTGAGCAATGGGATACGACTAGACATGACTGATTGTTATTACAGAATGCCTATAGCTGTTTCTGGAACTCTGTAAATACACATTAATGATAAATATCTCACTTCATCTACTGGAAATACATATGGGGTATAAAACATGGCATTACTAATAAATTAATATACAGGCGAAGACAATTGAAGCAGCAGGCAACTCAATATCAACAACTCATGGCAACTGCACAGGAAGCTCCTCATTTCCCTCGATAGCAGCATTGATGAAAAACATCTGCCTCCCATGGGAACAATTCCACCAATATACTGAAGCCAAGCGACCATAAATACGCGGCGTTGAAAGTCCACACAATTACAAAAGTTCCCTGGAAAGCGACGCACGGAACTTGCAGTATACGAGCATCTTTGCAAGATCAACTCAGCCCATCTAGACCAGGGATATATCCGCGAACTATACAATAGTTTCAAGATCTCCGGTCCTCATGGTAATCATAAATGTCTAGTCCAAAAATCTATGCACCTGAGCATACTGGATATGCAAGGTTCAAATTGTACACCCCTCAGTGCGGCGCTCTTGAAAGAGGTATTGAAGCATCTTCCGAAAGCCTTGGACTTTCTTCACACAGAAGCTAATGTTATCCATACCAGTAAGTATCCTTTACAGAATCATGCAACAGAACATGTCTCACAGTATGGGGTTATATAGTGCTATGAGACTTTGGGGAGGCTAGAATTGGGAGAGTTCAAAAAACCGGTCCTTTTGTCCAACTGCATATCTTCATGTTGATAACAGACGGCTGCATTCTTTATGCAACAAACAAACCTGTAGATCTTTGTACTCATCAGGTATGATGCAGCTGGATGTGAGAGATGGTGAAAAGGGGATAAATAGATTTGTTTCTCTTTTCCTTTCTCTTTCTCTCTCTCCCTCTTTCCCTTTCCGCTCCCTACTGTCACATATATATATATATATCCATATTCTCCATTTTTGATGCCTTTGTGACAGTCCATCTCATGACATGATACCAAATACCTGAGGTACAGGAAGAGTGATCCTTTTTCCCAGGTCTGATGCCTGCGTTGTTCAACCACCTCGCGACGGCCCAGCCGCGTCACGTGCCATATACGTGACCACACTTGTTTATAATGGATAGGCGCATGTATGGTCGTATTACTAGGTAGGCCTGCCTGTGCCGTGAGATAGGTAGCGAGGGCGGTCTAGGACGGCAGAACCTCACGTGTACTAACACCCCCCCACGCACGAGCAGCCTACAAACTATGGAATCAATCTAAATACAGAAATCGGCCTCTATTCGGGCCTTCAAATGAGTGAATATATGCAAAAATAAACAGAGGAATGAAGGTTCTGCTTTAGCCAATCGAATGCCGTATATCAAAATAGAAAATATATCCAAAATGGGGGAGATATACGCGGCTTAGCTTATGCCAGTGAGTTGTAGGAAATGATCAAATTGTTCAGTTCGGAGAGGTTTGGTCAGGCCGTCTGCTGCTTGTTCTTTGGTAGGGCAGGCCTGGAGTTTAACAATACCGTCTTGGATCTTCTCCCGAACGTAATGGTAACGTATATCGATGTGTTTGGATCTCTTGGTGGTGAGCTCAGCTTCAGCCATGGCGTGTGCACCTTGATTATCGATATAGAGAGTAATTGGCGGGCATTCAGTAGGGAGCACGTTGAGCTCGTTGATGAGGTTCCGGAGCCAAAGGGCATCTCGGCTGGCTTCACTTAGAGCCATATACTCAGCTTCGTTGGAGCTAAGTGCAACGGACGTTTGCTTGCGGCTTTTCCAGGCAATTGGGGCCCCGGCAAGCAGAAATATATATCCAGATACTGACCGGCGATTGCCTGTCAGTTGACCACCCCAATCAGAATCAGTATAACATCTGGGCATGAGGAGGTCAGATGTAATGGGTTCCGTGGCCTTATGGTAGGTAATTTGTCGGTTAATGGAGCCTTTAAGGTAGCGTATAGCGTGTATAAGGGCACGCCATGCCTTTTGGGTAGGTTTGGCGTGATATTGGGATAGTACGCCAACTGTCCGGCTAAGATCAGGTCGGGTTTTGGTGGCTAGCCAAGTAAGGCAGCCTACACCACGTTGATATTCTTTGATGTTCACTGTAGGGTCTGGGTCATCATCAATTATTAAACTAGGATCCATGGGGATCCCAACAGGGTGTGCTTGTGCTTGGCCAAAAGAGGCAACCACGTCTTCAGCATAATTGGCCTGGGAGAGAGTATATGTGGTCTTGGATTGAGAGGTGGCCATGCCAAGGTATTTGGTAGAGTTTCCAACTTCTTTTATGTCAAATTTAGCAGAAAGAGACTCCATAAACCAAGTGGCATCGTTCTCATGCTTAGCATAGACTTTGAAGTCATCCACATGGGTAGTCACATAGAGTTGGGTCCGGGTGGTATGGATCCAGAGACCAGAGTCGTATTCGGAGCTTTTGAAGCCAATTTGTCGTAAGAAAGCATTTAGTGTATCATACCAGATACGGGCAGATGGGATTAGTCCATAGAGGGACTGGCGGAGTTCACAAACCAGGTCTCCAGAGCCTTCTTTGAATCCCTGAACTTGGGTCATAAAGACACGTTTATCTGTGGGCATTTTTCCATTTAGGAAAGCAAGGATGGCATCTGCCTTTCGAGTATGCCAGCCAAGTAGAGTGGCCAGTGCTGTAAGGGTTCTAGTGGTATTTTCATCTACCACTGGGGCGTATGATTCCATGAAGTCCTTGTCAAGTAGATTTCCACGGATCACCCAGCGAGCTTTAGCTTGGTAGTCCCTTGTAATAGGGGTACCAGGGATTTCTTTCTTTTTGTATACCCACCGGCCAGGGATGACCTTGGTCCCTGGTGGTAGGTCAGAGCGGCGGATAAGTTGCCAGCAGCCTTTTTCTTTGAGTTGGTTGACTTCTTTTTGCATGGCTGCTTGCCACTTGGTGGCATCAGGATGAGATATAGCCTGCTTATAGGAAGTAGGCGTGTCATCTTCAGATGAAGGAGTGGTTGAAGCGGTGAGATAGGCTAGGGACATGCCTTTGGCGGGTCGAAGCCATATTTCCTGGTCTTCATCTTCAACGGGTTGGTTTGTATCTTCTTTATTAGGAGTACTTGGATCTTCAGGAACAGTAGCTTGTGGAGGTGTAGTTGTGGGATCCTCATATTCTTCATCAAATATAGTGTCATTGGTTGAAAAAATGGCGTCTGTTTTAGGGTCCCACACTCTGTATTGTTGGCTACTGATTTGGCCGATCATGAAGCAGCATTTAGAATGGGAATCGAACTTGTTTATAGGCTTATCTGAGCCATGTCGATGAACCCAGACAGGGCAGCCCCAACGTCGGTATTTGTTGATACTAGTTGGTGAGTTGGTCCAGGCAGCCAGAGGCGATTTATATGGGCTTGGGCTGATTTTGGTGTTGGTATTGACCCCCCCAGGGATAGGTGAATTGAATAGGACTGTGGATGTTGGGAGGCGGTTTGTTATATCTGATGCATATTTTAAAGCATCAACCCAAAATCGCTGTGGTATATGGGGAGCGTCAAGCATTAATGTCCGGGCACGGTCAAAGAGTATGCGTATGCTGCGCTCACTGACACCGTTTTGCCAAGGGGAATATGGAGAACTTGGTTGCCATTCAATGCCTTCCTGACGGTAGGTTTTCTGCCATTCAGCTGAACAGAATTCATTGTCAGAGACAATATAGGCTGGGGCAGGGAAATGGTGATTCTTCATTTGTTGTAGCCAACCCCGAAATGCATCAATTGCAGCAGATCTTTCAGTTAGGTAGTGGATCCAACGGTAACGTGTAGCGTCATCAGTAATAAGCATCACATATTTGGCTCCTGTACGTGAAGGTAGAGGCGTATCTAGCTTCTCTATATCTAGTGTTCGGCCGCCACCAGCAAGGTCTATGTGGACTCGGGCTAGTGGTGCAGTCATACGGGATCTTGGTGTTTTGCTGTATTGGCGAGTTTGCTTGCCCTGGATGCAGGCTTCACAAAGTGGTAGTTCTTTGGAACCTTTGATTTCAATGTCTGATGTAGGATCTGCGGCAAGGCGTAAAAGATCCTGCTGGTTTAAATGGCATAGACGGCGATGCCATGTCATAATTGGTAGAGCTGTTTTGGAGCTCTTAGTCTTTGGGGATGTTGTAGGTTTCTTTCTGGGAGGGTCCCCTGGTCGGTTGGCCTCTTTGCCAGACCGGGTGGTGACAAAGGCATAGGAGCTCTCGTCGGGAGAAATGCAATCTGATAGGATGAATACATTGTTGGTATTCAAAATGGCTTCAAATTCTGCACCAGAAGAGGTTGTGATTTGTGCTACTTGAGAGCTGGAAGGGAATTCGATACGAAAACCTTGTTTGAGAAGCATTCCCATGGAGATTAAGTTGGAATTGAAGGATGGAACATGTCGTACATCCCTAAGGATCAAGGATCCGGTTCCAATATCAATGACGACGGTGCCAATACCATGAGGTTTGGAAATCTTCCCTTGAGCATCTTCAATATAATCCGCTGGAGTAAGGTCCTCCTTTCTCAATGTTTTATAGGACGTGAAGAAAGCTTGATGGGGTGTAACATGGAATGAAGCACAGCTATCAAGATACCATGAAGCTTGGAGAGATTGGGCTGATTTAGCAATGGCTGTTTTTGCAGCTGAAGAAGTCCATGGTACCAGTTCATTGGTTTCTGCTTCAGAGAATGAAGCAGTGGAAGATTCTTTAGCAGTGTGTAAAGCACGAATAGCTTCAATAGTATTTTTATTGGCTCGGTGCCAATGCTCAGAGGCTTTCTCAGGGTTCTTGTAGAGGCAAGGCATTGGGTGGAAATGACCACACCAATCACAACGGGTCTTTGGTTTGCGTGAGTCCTGGTCCTGAGGTTTATATTTAGTGTTGGAACTTGAGGCGGAAGAGCTAGCAATGGGGTTAGATGCTTGTTTGGAATAGCTTCGTCCGGATAGATTCTCTCGTCGTCCTCCGTGTTGGGAGCAGGGATTCACGGGCTTGGGTGCCCATACGGATAGAGAGTTGAGCTTGAATGGTAGGTAGGTCCAGATTGATGACAGGGCCTTGTCCAGTTGAGTATACTTCATCAAGTTTACTCTTAATGAATGCTTTGTTCCATTCGCGGAGGCCTATAAAAAATAGGTCGTGAATAAGGTTGTCAAATGATGCTTCTTTTATAGCATGAAGGCGGTCTACTATCCTAGTAAACGCAGATTGGTAGGATAGGTAGTCATTGTCTTTTATATAGAGCTCCTTGAGCTCTTTTATGAGAAGCATTCGTTCTTCACCAGTAGAACGTCCGAAAAAGGTAGCAGTTCGGTCCCATAAACCATGGGCTGATAGGTCATATGTGTTGCCCAATTTGTCAATGGCTTGGGCAGTCATAGCATGAAGCATTCGGGCTCTCATGACAGTGGCTTTGCAATGCCATACTTCAGCATCATAAGCTGAGTATCCTGCTGGAGGTATATCCTGATGCAAGACTGTACTAGCGTTCAGGACATTGGCTTCTCTTTGAATGGCTGAACTCCAGAGGTCGTAATTATCATGAGACAGTGTGATTCGGCATCGGTCTGGTAGGAGCGCTTTAACTTGAGCTTGTACATGATCAAAAGGGTCTTTTTGTACTGGATTTGAGGCTGGAATAGCCGTATTATTTTGAATATGATTGTAGGGAGTAGCGTTATGCCGGACTGTAGGAGTGGAGGATTGGGATTGATGGTGTTCAAGGGCATTAAAACGAGTCATGAACTGGTCCATCTGCTTCTGCATTTGTTCCTGCATTTGTTCCTGCATCTGCTGGAACAGAGCTGTGATGTCTGGTGTGGATGCCATGGTGTTGGCTGTAGTAGAGCTTTGAGCTCTAGGGGCAGTTGGGGTGTCCATTTCTTCAGAGATTACTGAGGAGGCGGAGGAGCCTATATCTGATGAAGGATCTGTGGATTCTGGCTGACGACGGTGACGTCTAGCGGTGGTAGGGGGCGTTCGAGGCACCACCATTTTGGATGGGATCGATCGAAGGATCCTGGGGTTCAGGGGCCGATTGTTGGCGGTCCTGGTGTTCAGAGTCGCTTAGAAGCGCTCGATTTCTGGTTTGACCAATGAGAGGTCACAATTTAGCCTATCTGAAAGGCTTTTTTTTTAAGCTCAATATCGTAGAGCTAAAACGGGCTCATAACCTAATGGATAGGCGCATGTATGGTCGTATTACTAGGTAGGCCTGCCTGTGCCGTGAGATAGGTAGCGAGGGCGGTCTAGGACGGCAGAACCTCACGTGTACTAACAGTTTACATACTGCATTCGCGCGTCCATCAGTCCTTTCTTTTTTCATCTCTCATGTCTGCCAGGGTATTCGTTGGAATTAGTACTGAATAGCATGTGTTGCATCTCCTACATCTATTTGTAGTATTGGCCATCATACCTTTTGCATCCATGTTTTCCTCTCTTTCTATACTATCCAGGTGGTTCCTGCCAATGATATATAATCCTGCATGTTGGTATCTGAAATCCTAATGTGTCTGATCTGCCTGGACAGATAGGACAACCAAATGGAAGGTAATGAACGCATATCAGCAAAAGAGACGCGGTATAACTTCAATAAAGTGGCTGACTGACTGGCTCTGAAGGTGGTCCCGGAGTCACTTGATAATATTTATATTCCCAGAAAACGTATTATTCGATATATACCACACCCACATAGCATGATCCATCTACGAAGGTCTATCTCTTCTTTGATCAAGACCATCTCGCAACTTGTTCCGTGTTCTACCAGGCCCGATGAAACTATCACAGTCTGATATGCTAGAGCAAAGACAATGAAACCGAAATCCTATCCATCATCAATGAGAAGTCTGGCGAAGAAGTGGCCGAATCCTAGGACCAATGGGGCTCTTTCATTCTTTGCCAGCATCTCGCATCTAATTGTCGTCAGACACAATTGTGTTTGTTGACTCAAAGAACATTGGCGTTGCTTTCTCTTCCACGCATATACACTGTCGATACCAGGACTATAAGGCTTCACTCGGAAGCGCAGGTGGTGACCAAAGTCAAAGTCTCACTAAGGGAAGACCTGGCTAGTTGAAGATGCGTTGAAGCAAAATAAGCTAACGGCAAAACCAACGCGGGTTATGGACTGAGTTTACGCAAGGAATATAACCCCGACGAAATATAAGTGCGATGTGGATATTCCAGAAAGGAAAAGAGACAAGCAGGGAGGAATCCGAATTATGTCGTGGTGGATTCAAACACAGATGTGACGAAGCAGTTGAAATAGAGAATTGCACCTCAATTGGTGATGCAGATGCATCAATAAGAAACACCTCATTACGTCCATGCGAATATCTACGAAATATGACTTCAACAACATCAGACAACTGCAAATGCCATCGAAGACAAACTGGACTGACTCTGGGTTCCGGTAGAATCTGTTCCAAATAACGTCTGTCCGGCACACCACTCGATATTCCATATGGCCCTGGTTTTTATTAGTGTAGTGGATTCCTGCTTTGAGATTCCGTCTTTAATACCACGAAGGATCCAGGATCCATGGATCTCAGTGGAATTCGCATTCTTCTTGCTCCCGCGCTGGCCCATGTAGAGTTATCTGATTGCCTAAAGACTGTGCGGATATTATTATACATGAAAATATGGAGTACTCCAATTGCAAGCTGGATAAGTTATAACCCTGAGTCAGTGGAACCACAGTACGGTAGCAAGATGAGACAGGGTAATCTGGCAGGGACTACCGGCAAATATGGAGTTCAGTTAGGACTGTACGTAACAGATTAACGTCCGGTAGTATCCTTGAGTCAATATGCAGATTAATTTATTTATTTACTATGTATTATAGATCCTTATAATTGCCACGGGGTCCACTGTACAGCCGACGTAGCCCTAATTATTTAACTATTTAACGCTAGGGATATCTTTTTCTTGGTAAATGATCCCATATTACGGAGTATTCGCCGAGTATTCAAATTTCATGCATTATTGATATTTTGAGCAATGGGTTCTCCGGAGTAACGATACATACCCTTCTCTATACATGCATAAATGAGATCCGGAAAGGGAGATAGATAGCATGGCCTGACACAAGCATTTTTACTTTACTTTTTATGTGCACTGTGCAATGTGCGCCGAGACGTGTTAATAATAATATGTCAAGTTGTCGATCGCTTTAACTGCATAACGGAGATTATACCCGATTCTGATAACGGTCGTATATGCATCTAGGACATACAGTGAATTTTTTTTCCCCCTTTATTTGTTTCTAGTCGGTTTCTGGCTGTTTCTAGTTATTCTACAATTACATTATCATGAATCATCCATCATAGGCTCCAGCTTTAAGCTTGTCATCGTGAAGGATTTTTATATATTAGGTATAACCTGGTATATAACCATCAATATCATCATGTCCCATACCAAAGTATTAAAAAAGAGAGAGGCGAAAAGAAGAAAAAAAAATCAGATCACCGGAATCCACCCTTCCCATCCTTAGGAAGGACTGGATCCGTCGACTCCACAGATACACTCTCGTAAGGCTCATGGGTGACTTCAATCGTCGTCTCTTGGTACACACCGTAGCCGTGAAAATCCGCCAACTCAGTGTCGCGTATTCTAACAAAATCTTCCGTCGAACTCGAGTTCTCCCGGGGATATCGCGAGAATCCATGACGGATCCGAGACGCGATGGCGAGACCCTTTTTCCCGTCCGTCTCGGTCGTGGTGGTATTAGCGCTAATTCCTTTCCCGGCTGTGATGCTGATGCGAGTCCCAGTCTGGTACGGGTCATCATTCGCCTCCACGTTGGGATTGTGGGCCGAATGCGGATCTGTTACGCTCAAGTCGGTCTCGAGTAGCAAGTGTTTGCGAGTAAGGGTGTAGACGAGGACGTCCATAAAACCGGAAAATGCCATCAGGGAACCGGCCACGGCAAAGTAGTTGAGGCTGGGGAAGGTTTTCCCCTCGGATGCCATGCACCCAGCAGCAAGAGGGAGCGACAGCACCAGGTAGACGAGCGGGTAGATGAGCATGTATATGACGACGCGGTTGAGACGCTTCAGGGATGCGGTATTATTGCGCCGCAGGGCTTTGGCGTTTGCCATTTTCCTGCGGAGAAAGAAAAACACGACGGTGTAGAGAGTGACGGTGCCGAATTCAGCAATGAAAATCCAGATGTAGTGACACCAGAGGCGGGCGGATTCGTATTCTCGACCCATCCAGCACTGGATGATGGTTAGCAATCATACGAGCACTTTCCCATGGAGACTGCCTACCCAGCCGGCCTCAGACACCATAAAGGCTCGACGATGGTACAAGCCCACTGGGATGATACCCAGGACGATGATAAAGGTCCACAGGCCTACGATGCAGGCGACGAACAGCCAATACGGCAGTTGTCGTCCTCGAATCACGCCCGCCCATGTGTGGATAGCGATCGCCAGGATGAACAGACCGCTACCGGGATCCGAGATCTGCACCCACCATCCTTGCATGATACAAGCGGCTGAATTGTATGTTGCCTTTTCCCGTGAAACCCAATACAGACATAGCACGAACCCGAGGCCCTGCTGCAGGTCTGCCAGAAGGAGGTTGTAGATCAGGATGATGTACTGGTTGTGGGAGACGGGGTTTCGGTAGTATGCCTTCCAGAAGAGAAACCGGTAGGTCAGGAAGAGGATGAGGGTGAAGGTCGCGACGACGGACAGGATGGCCATGACCCCGATGGAGATGAAGCCGCTTCTGATGGAGCCATGCACCCCCAAGTCCTTCAACTCGGGGTCGTAGGCTTCGGAGTGGCGAGGGACGAGGAGTCCATGAGAGGAGCTTGAAGCATCGTTGCGGTGGAGGTGTATTAAAAGCAGCAGGCGGGCAAGAGAAGCCATGCTTCTCAGAGAAGGGTAACCTTTTGCTACCTGGAGCTAGGAGCATGGAATCCTGAGTCTTATATAGAGACCAGACATTTATTATCCCCAGAGAGGACAGGCCCAGCCCAGCCCCTTATGAACGAATACAGACTGCGTAGCAGCAGTCTAGCGAATCGTCCATCGTTTTGCCCCAGCTCTCTGGTACGGCGGCCGTCAACAGGATTGGCTGAGGGCCCGCAGCAGACGGGACATAAGTTTGGGCTAACTTCTTAAGCTTCCAGAAGGATTCATCTCCTGACCGAATTCTCTGTGAATTCGGATGCACGCATGCTGTCTTCAAAGCTCTCGGAGCTGGTTCGGGGGACGCTGTAGATGCTAGACATCCTCTATCGATACTATTGCCCTGATCTTCGACATTAGTAGCGATTAAGTGCGAAGTTGAAATAAATTAATATATTAGACCGAAAATGACATTCCCGCACTGACAGAAAGTGAGGCTGCAAAGGCCGGTAAAAGGGGAATCCGCATCCGCACCCGCACATAATCATGGATCATATCATTCTTATGTCTCCTGCATGACGCCGTTGCCAACTTTATTCGGGACTGCCAATGACTTTCTATCCTCACTCGCAAGACTGAGAAACGACTTGACCGCAACCCGAGGCAGTGTGCGGTTTTCTCAGAATCTCGTGTCCCGGATGGAGTAGGGAATCGGATAGCGTATTCGAAGGACCTCTCTCGGAGTCTCTGCTCCAGAAAGGTTGTCAATTTAATCTATTAAGCCTTGCCCGGATTGCGGGAGAAACGCTGGTCTGCCTGGTGGAATTGACCGAGTAAATGTCGTTGTGTTACTATTTCCATTGTGCGCTTAACACACATCACTTTTAAGGAAAATGGACCAATTTGAAAATTTGAACAATGCAGGCCTAGCTTTTTCCCAGAAAGGAAAGGCCTAGGTCTTCTTTTCTGCATGGAAGGGTTGAAGTGCATGAATAGCTATCATGGGTTGCCACAGTAAAAGGAAGATCTTCTCCATAAAAAATTTCCCCAAGAAACGTCTGCTGTCTACTGATTGTAGGACCCAGCAAGACAGCAGGATCTGAATTCCCAGACGTTCCACAGCCCTGGAGGGGAGAAGAGGGAAGCGAGGTTCTACAGGTATGATGACTATGAGGCAGAGAACACTGTCCTTGGGGTTCTGATAATCCCAAGTCGTCTCTGGCTAACCCGACGAGCTGGCAATCATGAATCGTACAGAGGATGAAACTGGAAATTCACCATTCCAATCACGCCACGAGAGCAAGGACTATTCGGCCCTTCTTGGAATTTTTGTCAAAATGAATATTGTGTTGATCCATGAACGTCAGCTCCGCCGGTCCTTTCCATGCAATAACAAGGCTCTCACCGGCGTCGAGGCAAAGAACAGAAATGTACGCTGTCATGGAGGCCAAGCACGTCCCTGTGGAAACTGGGGATGGGAGCGTGGATCGTAAGGTACGGACCGTGATGATGGTGAACCCATTGAAGCAGAGGGCGCAAACAAAAGACCCTGCGTCTTTACAGTGCTCTTATACCCGGATCAGGGTTGAATTCCCACGACTTTTGGGACAGGCCATTATGATATCACAGCACCGCCATGGGGTTTCCCTGACCATAGCGGAATAAAAAGTCCCCAGAAAGGAAGCACTGATTCAGGCACAATTCAGTCCCAAAACCTAAATTGCTACGAGCACTGGACATCTTTCCAGCCTAGAACGTCCGAGACGTGCCCCATTATGGATCCTGCATGCAATACGTGGCGCTGCTGACAACGGGGCATGCCAATAATTGAACATGGGGTTCCGACGGAGAATAGAGCGTCGGTTAACAGTTAGGGGCATTCCTAACACACCCTGTTTCCAAAAAAAGGTACTCAAGTCCCTCAGTCCCCGATGGACTGACCTGACAAAATCCCGCAGAGCCCGACCGCTTATGTGATGATCAGTGCGTGCATACTAACCATGAACTATCGAAACCAAAGCAAATAAATGCAACTAGAACGTGCTGCAATGGAGATGATGGTAAGACATTCCATTCTGGGGAATGCTTGGTTTGGTTGGCTGTAAAGATGACTGTCCAGCTCTTCGGGTAAAGAGGAATGAGCGAGTGAGACAGCGAGACAGCATCTATAATCATCAAGGCAATGACCATGCCAGTAGATTGATCTTCGCAGCCAGCAGAATACCGCGTCGGTAGGTTAAGGAAGGGACATATGTCAAGCGGTGGACGGCTTACGCCGCAACTGTATGGATTGTTGGCCAGAACTGGAAGTTGAGTCTCGAACCTCGATGTCCTTTTCAGGAACGGTAGCAGGATACAAATTTGCATAACCATGAAGCAGGAAATAATAAAGAGCCCTGGAAGATTGATTTAGCGAGGCAAACAGTTGTTGTACATACGGAGCAAAGAGCATCAGCAATTGAAGCTGGAGGTGAGATTGCCTGGTCCTATTCGTAGCATTCGACAGCAGTAATGCTGACAGTCGATCAGACACGGACAGAAACCAGGCAAATCAAGGACAGAATGATGATGAAAGCTGGAAGAGACCAGGAACAGAACAAGAACAGAAGATGAACAGGTTAACAGGTTGCAGGGTGGTTGCATCGAGGACGCACAGTGCTTACATAATGAATTAGATAAGCGTATAACTAAAAAAGGCAGCCCTGAGTAAGCGCAAACCCTAACTACGAATACTCTAGTATACAGGCTACATACTCATAGTAATACTAATTACTACAGTGTACAATGTACAATTATCAATATACAGGGAAATATAAATAGATTTGCAGACAAAAATCGCCAAGAATCACTACGTCAGGCCGAGCACAGCGGTATGCAGCCAGCATGCGGCTGTCGATCCACCTGAGACTTGCCCCAAGAAACATGGCCAGTGATCTTCTGCAAGACTGCAGGTCGCTGATCAGTTTCCCTCTTGGAAGAGTAAGAGGGATGCAGCTGGCATCTTGTTATCCTGCGCGTGCTGTGTTTTTGTCTCTTGATGGTTTTCCCCTCTGTGTGCAGTCCGCACCTGCGCGGCGCGGCGAACTGCAGTACATATGACCATGGAATAAATAAAATGCAGGTAGGGCTCAACCTGTCTCACCAAGCCTCATAGGATGGGAAGACTTGGAGTCCAAGAGCCCCCATTGATCCGGTTTCTGTATACACGGGAACCCATCCTCTGGGCCTGCCTTTGGTTGGCGCAGTTGCTGTCGAAAGCTGTCTGTTGATTATTTATTACATTTGCTATGACCCGTTCATAGAATCCGTGAGATACCGGTTTCTGCTTGAAGTGGAGATGTCTGATCGCTTTTCTCAAGCCTGAGAGGTGGAATGCAGATGCTATGATGCTGCAGAAGGGCTCACTTGATGTTTGCTGTCTTAGTTCTGCTCTGCCTCATCTCACCACCCGCCATAATCTTATTTTTACTCTCGTCAGATGCGCTAATAATAGCATAGGAAATGGGGATAACTCTTGGGATTGTATGATCAGATTCAGAATGGAGATGCAACTGAGGCATATCGAAGACGGGGTATATCAAGGGCAGACAATCTCCCTTGAAGACGAGATAAATTAGGACCAAGCAAGAAAGCAAGCAAGGAATCAAACAAACCTCAAAGCCAACTCCAATTAAACAAATCATTCTTAAACATATCTTAGTCGATCCAGCAAAGATGAAGGCCTCATTCCTGCTCGCTCTTATCCCCTTCACTGCTCTCTCCGGAGCATCCGCCATTCCCGACACCAGCAAACGCCAGGCGCAAACCGTCTCCGTCTCCTGGGACAACAACTACGACATCGCATCCAGCTCGACGAACACCGTCGCCTGCGGCGCAAGCCTCTCCTCGAAATACCCTACACTCGGCTCCTTCCCCAGCTTCCCCAACCTCGGAGGTGCCCTGACCATCCCTGACGGCACCAGCTCGAACTGTGGGAAATGCTACCAGCTCTCCTACTCCTCGGGCACTATCCAGGGCTCCGTCACTATCACTGCTATTGATACCTCGACTAGTGGTTTCAACATCGGCTTGACTGCTATGAATACCTTGACTGATGGCAATGCGGAGCGGCTGGGTCGTGTCGAGGCTACCTACGTCGAGGTTGACTGCGGGTATTAAGTTTTCAAACCTGAAGTGGGGATGTTCGGATAGATCCGTGGAGAATCGAATACGAGATGCAGATGCTATGGGGATAACAAGGTTTTTATTATTTAGTGTTGAATTTCGGGGTTATTATCAACATCTTGTTTTTTTCTTGATCCTGTCGCATATACACGGCGGAATGTCGCTCCTTGATCATGTCTACTGCACTATTCATGGTGTGGAAAAGTTCGTTCCTTACTGCATTGACGACCTTCGGAAATACGAAAATGTTCTACTCTTAAGGTTCATGGTGATGATTCATCCAGAGCATATACAAAAGGCAAAATTTATATACAGCCAAGGCCAATCATGACAGTGCTCCTAGCATCTCTTCCACACTTCCAAACTTCTCGCGTAGCTTGCCTTTCTGCTTCCCCCGCTCCCGCTCCGCTGCATCGATCAAGGCCCAGTCTCTCCAGTCCGTTGGATGGAGGCCTCTTCTCTCAGCCTCAGGCCGTACGCCTTCCCACCCAAGACCGCTGCTCTGACCAGGTGCGTTCAGCAGCGAAGGCGAAGCGTGATCAGCCCCTTGGGCTTTGTAATTTGCCAAATCAGCGGCAATGGTATCCGCAGTGGTGAATGCGTCTGTCATCGTAGACGCAATAACCCCAGTTGGTCCCCGCTTGACCCACCCGGCACAGTACAGGCCTGGAAGATAGGAAAGTAGCGAACCGTCAGGAAGCTTGCTTCCACTGCCTGTCCCAGCTGGTCCGGTAACTCGTCCAAACCCGTCGTTTGGAATCACCCCTCGTCTGGAGTCGAATTGGATCCCTAAATCCTCCATCCCTGGCAGGGGCAGCGACTTGTACCCAACGCTACGGAATAGTATGTTGGCCGGGATATCAACTTGTTCCTGCTCACCGTTGGGGAGGTATTTCGGCATGATAGTCGAAGTATGCTTAAATGGATCGGATGGATCCAGTTCGTTTCGGGAAAACTTCACGTAGGACAGGCGCTGGGGATCTGTTGTGTTACAGTGGAGGGATGTTGGGGACAAGAGAAAGTCCAGGGACCAAGATTTCGTTGCTGCACCTGGGTCATTTGTTGAACCCTTGGCGAGAAGCTGGATCAATCGCTTCTGAGCTCGAGGGAGAGACGAAATAACCGATTCCGGCGGGAAAAGTTCCGGCGGGATCGAATCGAATGAGACCGATGGAAGTTGCAGTAACTCACGGACTTCCTTGATAGTAAACGCAGCCTATTGTGTTTGAAAAGTTAACTTCCCGTTTTCTTTTCATCGATCAACTCGCCCAACTTGCAAACCTACCTGCAAGGGCCCCCGACGGCCGATGACTCTGACTCGCTTGACCTTACTCCTGGCCAGTGTTTCAATCGCGTAATCCGTTATATCAGTTTTACGCAGAGCATCAACATCTGTCAATAGAATCCGGGCTACATCAAGGGCCACGTTGCCCTGTCCGATCACCACGGCCTCTTCTCCGGCAGTGAGGTCCGGGGCGAGATCGCGATGCTCCGGCAAACCATTGTACCATCCTACAAATTCCCGAGCCGAGTAAATCCCTCTAGAGACCGTCTCCCCGGGGATGCCGAGTACCTTGTCTTTTGAAGCGCCGTAGGTGAAGAGAATAACGTCATAGTGTGGCTTGATGGTCTGCAGAGGAAGGGTGTTGCCAATGTCGACGTTTCCGATGAAATTGAAACGAGGCGAGCCGGCAACTTCGGTAAATTTCTCCTCACAGTTCTGGAAACAGATGGTCGTATGTCTGTCAGCGCTGACGTTGATGCGACAATTGGAGGCCTCATACCTTGACTTCCGGATGATCGGGCGCGACGCCGTACCTCACCAGTCCGAACGGCACAGGTAGCTTCTCATACATGTCAACCACTGTATCTTCAACCTTCGTAAGCAGACGATAGGCTGTATAGAACCCAGCTGGTCCCGATCCCACAACGGCAACCCGGAATGGCCGATTATTCTGGATGGCTTGACTGTTATGTCTCCGCTGTGCAGTGAGGTGGGAAACCCACAAACCGCCACCATTGCGGAAACATGTTCTCGCATGCCGGACAGAGCATTGCGAGCATATATACGGCATCTGTCTGAGATTCATTGTTCCCTCTCGTTCGTTCTGCGATGAGAACTCGATGACTCTGAATCGGCGATGACGATAACGGCACGTGACTCTATCGCGACGTTGCCGGGTCGACTATCGCTTCAGCTTCAGTTCAACATGCGACGGTCAACAACGTCCGTTCTCATTGGAATACCAGTCCCTTTTCCTCCAGTCTGTCCCCGCTGCTGCTCTTCCCGTCTCTACCGTGACGTTTCCATGGTCCTGTACCTTTGACTTTCCCCGTGCCAGTGCTAGGCGTCGTCACCGAGGGCATCCCCACGCCGTTCGCATGTCAAGCTCTCCTGTCAATCGCTAAGCAGAGTTCTGAGCCTCCTAACGCAGCAGCAATCATGGGAACGTCACCCCCATTCCTTTATGACCGTCCTTCCACCTATTCATTCTACGGGCCAACGGAACGTCCTTTCAATCCAAAGGTCGTCACACAAGCGAGCTGGACTCGCGAGAAGCCGAAGCCCAAGCCAAATGGACCGTTGCTTCATGTCGACCGCTCAGTATGTACTTGCTACCTCCCTCACCAATGAGATGTCAGCGCGCTGATTGAATCTCCAGTATCTTTCAGATAGCAAGTCTAAATGGACCCCGATGAGTCCGAGAACGAAAGGAAGGGTGAAGTATGCACGGCTGACACAGCTCATCTTCCGAGTGCTGGCTCTGCTCGGGGCTCTGGGATCTCTGTTTTGTGGCATTGTCATTAAGAATGCCTCAACTGCTGTCATATGGATTATGAGGATTGTGGTAGGTTTCCCCAGTTGGTACGAGGGAAGACGGGGAAGACAACTCTAATCGCTGTATTGTCTAGCCCGCTGTTGCAATCCTGCATACAATTTACGGCGTCTACCATCTTTCTCGTTCCCCAGTCACCAGACCAGCTGCTTCCCAAGCTAGCTACATGCTATTTGCTTCTGCACTTGATGCAGCTTTTACACCTTTCTACGCATTTATTGCTTTCGTCGGCTACCAACAATATACCCAGAATTTGTATCATTGGGACTCCTTTTTTGCGAATGCTGAAACGACCCATCAGGTTGCCCAGGTTGCCTTTATTTGCAGCGTCGTGAATGCTGGATTACATGGACTCTCTCTCATCCTTGCAATATCCTTAGCAGTTATCTTCCGTCAGATTTCGAGACTGCCGCCTGATATGAATCCTCTGGAGGACAATCTGACAGCTCGCCCTCACAAGAGAACCAAATCTGAAATTACCGAAAAGCACACTAGTCAATCGTCCGTGGACTCTACCGACCCATTGATAGGACCGCCGCGCACCATCCCTTTCATGAACACAAGGACCAATTCCTCCGGCACTGAACCAAGAAAGTCAGAAGAAACGCGGAAGTCACGAGTTACAGTGGCTTTGCATCGCTTGTCCCATGCCGTGAATTCAAGCCCAGAAATGCCTGCAGAGGAAGAACCGAACAAGTCATGTTCTCGCGTGCCACAAATATCAGCAGACAGTAACTATATACCAGCCCGTCCACTCGAAGCAATGTTTCCCAATTCTTTGGAGCACGAAACGCGACCTGATGTTCCTGATAGGGATGCATGCTTGAGTCCTGATTCAGAAAACTGGGTTATCTATCCGTCTCGGTCACCTTCGCCTGTGAATGTCGTCGCGAGTGAGAACGTCGCTCGTCGCAACCCGTCTTCTACATATAGCAGGAGCAATACAACGGCCTCTACTGCGAGCAGCATGAGAGATTGGCTTACATCGGCCCAGAGATATGGCAACACAAGTACTCGTGGAGGATACACATCACTCACTACTACGCACGAGGATTATGGAAATGATGAGATCGACGATATCTCGCGGCAGACTACATTGTACGATGACATTGAGCAGGACCTGGGAGAGCGTCATTTTGGCGCATTCCTTGACGATAATCAGCACGAAGACAGATCTACACTTTCATTTAACCCGCTTGTAATGAACCCGCCCACTCCACAACCCCCCACGCTGCAACTGCCAACGGATGAAGCCTCCTACCATGACACTCCAAGTAGGCGTCGCATCGCCCTCAGTGACATCCCCAATGTTCCCAACAATCAGCCATTGTCAATTCCTCCACTTAACAGTATCGAAAAGAAAGCGCGGTTCTACGGACAACCCCAGGAGAATATTACGGGACAAGCTGCCAATATCGAAGAAGAGCCCCGTGCCCTCGAAGTAGGCAAACGAAGAAATAGACTCGCCAAAAGAGCATCTGGCAAGCCTAGCACCTATAACGTTCTCAGCCAAGATGACGATGAGAATACCGAAAACATACCAGCCAATCCTTCCACGATTGAAGGTGACCGCAAGGGCCGCGTCGTGAGCAACTCCGGTGCCGACATCGGGTCATCATCGACGCCGTATGGAAGCTACATTGCTGGCCTTGGAGTGGGAAGAAGACGTGATGTCAGTGGGAAAATAGCCGAAGAAGGCAGAAGTGGCTCTAAACCGGCTTTTAACAACAGTAATGGACAGCCCGCATCCATTCGAGCTGCTGGATGGGCACGCTTTGCTGGGTTATGAAAATGATTTTTGAAAAAAAGAACAAACAAAAAAATTCGAATAAAAACTTAAAAAAGAAGGAAAAAAATAATATTTAAGGAAAGGAGTTTTTGACGATGTGGGATGGATTAAATGATTGGATGAATGGCCTCTTGACATTTTTTTTTTTATATTTGAGCTCCGTTTCCGATTTCTTTCATGCTTCTTAGGTCCTCACCAGTTGGTGATGTGTATGGATATAGTGGGCATTTTCTCTTTTGCTTTTGTTGTTATCTTGCGTGTTATTCTCCGTTCAACCGCTTGAGTTGTTCAACAAAGTACTTAGGTAGTCAGTAGACTAATGAGTTGGATGAATGGAATGCATTTACGGGTATGTGACAATGGAATTCGAGCTATTTGCCCTGTACGGGAGACCTGTTCATCACGATAATCAAATGGTCCGTTAATTGATTACATTAGAAGACTTGGAACATATATTCTATCATCTAAATTATCCAGATTTCCAGTACGAATTCAATAACCAAAAAGTGGGCCAAAAAGAGTAGATATCTGATCAAGACGGAACTCCCTCGTAGTCCCAACCCCTGATCACTTTCTTCCGTTTTCGCGAATTTCTCCGGTTGGCATTGCATTTGACGAAAAGGGTTAAGGCCGTGATGATACAGATAATGATACTAGCCACGGCGGCTACCACGACGGTTTTCCGTTCGAGTTCCTTAGGATCGACATTGTACGGACAGGAAGCATCCAGGCCCTCGGTTATCCAGCAAGAGAGAACATCTCGACAGTTATAGTTCAGCCATACTTCGCGCTTCGTCGCATTATCAGAGGATGGATCTATAGTGTCCGTTGAGCGTGAAAGTAAATGATGGTACAGATACATGTTCTCCAGACCAGTTCGCGGGATTGAGAATGAGCTGTTGTCAGGGCACGAATCTGAAGCATCAGAGAAAGAGACCTGCTTGTCAGATAACGTCCAAGCGAAAGGCATATCGTCAATCCGGCATGCAACTAAGCGCTTCTCATCGCAGTTCGCCGCACGCCAATGGCCTGTCAACGACATGTCCATGAGTGCACAGCGGTGGGTTTCTGATTCCGAATTCTTGCCAGATACGTTTGCACCTCTAGGTTCTCCCACAGCCCAACTCCATGTGGCGGCACGAGATATGTTACCGTACCAATCCAAGGCGTTATCTGCTGTTGTGTTGAGTAATGTATTATTGAAAGTTGGGGACAGTCCACATGCAGTTGAATTGCGAACCAGATGCGACAATAACTCTAACGTCTGGGAGATATCTGAACTGCCTGAGTAGGGTATGGGTCTATATTCGGCCCATGAAGAGTTAACCTCGGAAACTTCAGAAGCACCGGGTTGATACAAACATCCAGACTGTAATCCGCTATCCGTGGTAGAGACTTGTATGTTGGAAGTTAGATAGCCTGGGGAGAACAGCACGTCATCGCTGGTCGGATCGTAATCCTGCAGTTGAGGATCTATAGATCCGTATCCAACTAGCAGACGTCGTTGACTCGCATATTGAACGTACTTGGAACATGGCCAACCGTCGGGGGTGATGTGGTTGCCATAATCATCTTTATGAATTGTGAAGTACTCTGTGATAGGTCTATACTTATCCGGCACTTTAAACCAAGACTTGTCCAAATTACCCCGATCTTCCGCAAGGTCAGAGCGAGTGTAAATGTAGGTGCCAAGTGCATCAGATATCAAGGAGCCAAGAGATTCTGAAGATGTCGGTGATTGTGTTCCAGAAACTACCGAAGCCGGCTGGTCAGGAGAAGATGCATTTGCTGCTACATGAAGATTGAAAATGACGTAAGTCATGTGGACATCTAAATCAGAGGTGCTCTGCTGAAAGTAGTCACCGAAGATGTCGAAAAAGTTAGATAATTCGAGACTGTCTGTACATAAAGAAGCATCTTGCTGATGGACAGATGGCCCAGATGAGCTTGCGTTGGAAGTGCTTTTTCTGGCGCCGGAAGGACCAGTGCGACTGGTGTCACGCGAAGGAATAGCTACAGGGCAAAAGGTCCATTGTCGCCGTTCCGAAGACCAGTAGAGATCAACTAGGAATCGACGATATCCAGTAGCGAGTAAATTAGACACGCAGTTTGTAGCGGAGTCTTCCGCAAATATTCGATTGCCAAAACAAGCGGTCGTCACAGACACCCCAGGTACGGTAACGAAATTAATCGGGACCTGATCAGCAACATCTCTCTCACTCTAATAAGAAGATGACAAGTTAGCACAGGGTATCTGATGGTGAAATAAGGCCACTTAGGTAGACAACTAGACGCACAAGCAAAACCGTTGCCCACGTAGGATTCTCATGGAAGCTATCTGGATCATAGTTTGGGGACATAGAGCCGGGTCAAAGATAATAGAACCATCTATGTTGGTAGACGCATCATAAAGATAAGCGATCCTGTTGGCAGATCATTTGCAAGAGAGAGAGAGAGGATGGTTGAAGATGAATTAGTTGCAGCTGTCGAGGATCTGCGGAGTTGCGACGAGGAACCTTGCCGTCTTGGGACAACTGATCTGGCCACTTTCACTTCTACTCTTTACTTTCACCAGGCCCTTCCACCCAACGCAAATTACATTTCTCTGCTGATTTTTCCTTCTTTGCTCTTTATTTCTTTTCGTCTGCCATCCTTTGTATTGTACATATATACTTCTCACCAGAATGGCGGCCCCCAGTCCGCAGCAGATCGCTGCCATTCAGCAGCATATCGCAGCAGAAGCCGCCAAGCGAGGACTCACTCCTGAAGAATTCGCCAAGCAACAAAGAGAACAACTGGCAGCAGATGCTGCAAAAGCCGGATTGACGACTGAACAATATGTTGCACAGCTGAGAATGCGAGCCGTAGCAGCACAACAGGCCCAACGACAGGCCCAAGGCCAAGCGCAGCAACAACCTGCACAGCAACAAACTACAACACAAGTTCCTGTGAATGCATCAAATCCTCCTAATCCAAAGGCTATTGCAGTAGCAAAATTTTTACATTCCCAGGATCTGAAGACTAGGACTTGTATTTTGGATGGACAGAGAAAGGACCTATTCAAAGGTGCCCATTGCTATCCCCATGCGCATGCGGCATTGGTCTTGTGAGTTCTCTGACTATCTCCGCAGTAAAACGTGCTATTCGAGCTCTTGAGTCTCCTGCCTATGCAAAAGCTGCAAAGAAAAACCCCTTGCTTCCACCGGTGACGGACCGCGCATCAGCGGAGAACGTCTTCAAGCTCCTCCCGCTCTCTCTCCTCGCGTTACGGGTTTCAAAGGTTGACCCGCATGCTGGCCACAACCATGCTAAACCGAAGAATCGTGTCAAGGGACTTTGGACTGTCAAGATCGAGCAACATCAGGACACGGATCCCATGGTACACTATGTCTGGCTTTACGAGGGATCCCAGTGGAAGCAGAAACTTATGGCAGGCGCGGTTGTTGCGGCTATTTTTGCCGTTGTCCTGTTCCCTTTGTGGCCCAGAATGCTCAGACAGGGAGTCTGGTACCTGAGTGTTGGCATGCTGGGTCTCCTGGGGTTGTTCTTCGCTATGTCTATCTTCCGTCTCATACTATTTTGCGTCACCGTATTCGTCGTGCCTCCGGGACTTTGGCTCTTCCCCAATCTGTTTGAGGACGTCGGATTCGTTGACAGCTTTAAACCATTGTGGGGATGGCAAGAGGTATGTTGCGATGCGATTTTCTTGATGGATAAGCGGCTTATTGTTTTCCTTTGCAGAGCAAGAAAAAGAAGAAGTCCAAGAAAGCCAAGGGCGATGCATCTCAGTCTCCTCAGGGCACTGCAGCAGACACTGCTTCGTCGGCACCCAAGTCTATGGGCGATATCAAACGCGATTTAACCCCTCGAGTTGAGGAAGTCCAGGAATAAATAGTGTGTCTATGATGATATCTCTTATGTTCCTTATGGCCCCTGCAAAATTATTTTCCGGCTTGTTTCGAACTGCCTTCCGTCCAGGTCTTGACGGTGCAGGGATGGTTATGTATCAGTATTCTTTTCTGCCATGGGCTATTCTATTTACATTGGCTTATGGCCCCAAGGAAATGGGGTTATCTTATAGTACTTTGCGTGTACAAATGAGGGAGGTTGATTTTCCCGATATGACCTGAAAGGGTTTAATTGACCCCAATAATCACCATTCTATCTTCACTTCTCGATTGTTGGGCCTTCCCGTTTTAGAAACCCGTATTGAAAGCACGAGTTCCCTAGCTGCCAATAGTGAGCTGCCCGAAAATATATGGAGCCAGCAGGCTTTCTTCAGGGGTATACCTGCGATTCTAGGTAGCTCAAAGCCACTGAACCTAGAAAGATGGGATCCTAGTTCAAGACCAGAACAGAAACATAGAGCCGTACCTTTCGTTCCATTAAACAGGTAGGCTGGAAAGGAAGTGCAGTTCATTATATGATCCGAACCAAAATGGCAAGCTTTGGTTCCAAAGCATGCAGCATTGTAATCCAAGTTGGTATGTACTAGTACGGCCGTTTCGGATTCGACCTTAGAAAAGCGTTGGTGACATAGAGGGGAATAGAAATTGACTTTCCCCAAATCCAGAGAGGAGGATATCAATTGCCCGACTCGACGACAAAGAACCTTCCCTTCGTTTTCGATGCGTAACCCAGAGCATTGCCATCCCAGGCGTCACCATCTGGATGCTCATTCTTCTCCGCCTGAATGCGCTGTACTCTCTTTCGCCGTCCAATAACCCGCTCTTTGGACATAGCCTCTTTGAGGCGATCCAATCCGATTGTGTTCTCCTTCACTGCCTCCGGCGTTTCGTCGCGGATACTTTGAAGCGGCTCTACACCACTGGCATCAACGCGCTGGATTTCTTTCACAAAGTGGATCTGGGACTCGAGAGTGTCAATCATGGCCTTTTCTTCTTCTTTGCTTGCAGGCTGTGGAAGAGCGGACAGACGGAGGAGATGGTGGAGCTGCTCGGGCGTGACTGCTGGTGGCGATTTCGTGGTTTCATCGGGGAGTAAAGATCTGACGGACCAACTGGGTTTTGAAAGAATGGCTTTGATGTCCGTGATGCTCGCAATGTCGGATTTCGAGGAAGAATAGAACCGATAGTGCTGTGCCAAGCGTCGAATGTGTAATGCTGGCCGCGAAAGCTGGCGCGGACTGATGCGCAGACAAGCCATTGCCATTCAATAAATAGCTGGAGAGGGGAAACCTGTAGCTTGTATTGTCAAGATAATACTGGAAGTAATGAGCAAATGTCTCCTTAGAGGAGTAGAGGTTGAGCATGCATCCAATCTGGAAGATCAACAGTAGAATGATGATGAATGATGGTTTTGCGCGGAGAAGGATGCCTCTCCACCGCCCTGGCATCATCCATCGTTGCTGACCTCACTTCCGGCATTCGTCTGCTTCCCTATCCCACTCTTTTCTATTTTGGTCCTTTCCTACGAAGTCTACCCTTTTACTGTCCATCCTTTACATCGCAAGATAATATACCCGCTGCAGTTTTCGCCATGGGCCAAGACCCCCGGGTTCTACTTCAGAAAGTCAGTTCTACCCCTCACCCCGCTGGCCACCACTCAATGAGAATACTCTCGAACTGACACTCTATACGTCTATTAGGCCGACAAAGCGTTAAGCGGCGCATCTAGTGGCTTCAGCTTTTTCGGTGGACGTGCAGAGAAATATGAAAATGCGGCAGATCTATATACACAGGCTGCAAACGCCTTTAGGGTCCAGAAAATGAGTACGTTTAGAAATACATGGCGGAATGCTTTTACATCAAGTCGAGGACATATGTCATTGATACTTCTTGTATTTATCAGACAAGGAAGCCGGGTTAGCATTTGAAAAGGCTGCTACCATCCAAAATCAGAACCTCAACGAACCCGATGACGCTGCCAACACATTGAACGAAGCATTCAAGGTGTACCGCAAATCCGATCCCGAGGATGCCGTCCGGGTGCTCTCCAGTGCAATCCAACACTACGTATTGAAGGGAAATCTTAGACGTGCCGCAACTCAGCAGCAATATCTGGCGGAAGTATATGAGGTGGAACTAGGTGATATGAAGCGGGCTCTCGATGCGTACGAAAAGGCTGCAGACTGGTTTGAGGGAGATAATGCCGAAGCGTATGCATTTACCATCCCCGCCCTCTCTCTGTCTTCTTCTTAGTTGCATATTGCGGAAATCTTTCTTTTTTGCTGACTGCTTTTCTTCGCTGTGACTACTAGTCTCGCAAACAAGCATTACCTCAAAGTAGCCGATTTGGCCGCTCTCGAAGGCGATTATTACAAGGCAATTCAGCACTATGAGAGAATAGGACGCTCTTCGATCAACAATAATTTGATGAAGTGGTCCGTGAAAGATTATTTCTTGAAAGCCGGCATCTGTCATCTAGCCACGAAAGTATGCGACTTCTTCTTTTCTGTTCAGACCCTCTGGTAACAAGGCTAAATTAACTCGTCAACTCCCAGGATCTCGTCGCTACAAACCGCGCACTCGAAAGTTATCGGGACATCGACCCGACCTTTGCCTCTACCAGGGAACACCAGCTCCTGATCGACCTGGTCCAGACCGTTGAGCAGGGTGACCAGGAGGCCTTCGCCGATAGACTCTTCCAGTATGACCAACTCAGCAAGCTGGATAAGTGGAAGACCACTGTACTATTGCGCATCAAAAACAATATTGAAGAGGCAGTGGAGGATTTCTCATAAGGCCTACCTCAATTGCGATTTGGAAATTCTTTCTCGTCTTGGATCCTCAGTTCTTTTTCTGATTCACTATGGTATCGTGAGGGATTAGAGATCTCCCGCTGTCGCTCGGTATTTCCATGGATGGTAGTTATCGTGCTAAATTCCCCCCACTATGCTCTCTTCTTAGATATTATGCACCTGTTCATATCGGTGTCTCGTCTCTTACACATTAACGAAGACACGAAAATGATAATTGATTACCCAGTGATTTACTTCACTGTAGCCCTTCGAATTCGCAAAGATTACGTAGTCAATAATGGTATCCGAGGGGAAGACAGATGTGAATCATAACTCGTTAAAAAGACCTAAGCTACCCTCTTCCGTCTACATAAAGATTTTGTTTTGAATGCTTTTCGACGTATCAAACAGATTCAATAACAAAAAGATAATTTTGTAGATAAGATGGAAATTCCATAAATCCATGCAAGTGGTATCGTATCATAAGATTCTCCCCAACAACGACAGACGACTTCCAAGACCTAATGGCACAACACAAAAGCAAGAGAACGGTACGCCGATAGTTTCAAGAATATAAGAAAACCACCTTCCGCTCAAGCAGCGACAAGATCTTCCAATAACCTCGCCTTCCGAGGAAAGACCCGTTTATACAAACTGATCCCCACGGTATCCTGGGGATTAAGCTTGCCATCGAACGTAGCCTTGAAGTAACCATGTGTACCGAGACTCTCCTTGATATATCCACTGCGACCGCGCTTGGTCCACAATTGAAGGGCTTTGAACCAGTTGACATCCTCGGCATTGAAGAACATGTACCGGATCGTGACAACCTTCTTGTGGATTTTGAACGGGTGGCCTGTGAGAATCACACGCTTTGCAACAACTCGAGAATGATCGGGTGCGACGACGGTGCCAGTTCCGATCAGTTCTAGTCGACTCTGAGTTGGTTGGTTATCAGCTGAGTCGAGAATTTCAGGGTCCTGGATGGGTTGGTTCTTGAAGACTAGGACCGGTACGGCGCCCCATGTCAGAGGGCCAATCCATGTTGCGATGGTGCTGCGGCCTGGGTGCAGGAAGCGGTTGAATTTGTGGACGTTGTTGGGGGTAACGTCGTCGGCGGAGAAGAGTGGGTTGACGACGAAACGCCGCGGGCCACATTGGACAATGAGTTCTTCCTTTGATTTCAAGGGTTCTTCGACATTGGAAGTCAAAGACATGCTGACATTCACGACGGTGTGTTTGTGCTCGTGTCGAAGGAGCGAGAAGAGCGATAGAGGCTGTGGGCGACTACGCATGGATGATGGTACGGCCCGGAGATGGACGTTAACACGAGCCCCAGGGCTGGCACCGCCGACCAGGGCTTCCCGGATGGCTTTGCTCTTGGAGCCCTTGTAATCAACAAACTGAAGGAGCCGACGCCAATCCTCTGGTTCATGGGGTCGATCCTCTGATGTCTCCCAACTGCTTGTTTTGAAGTTCTTCAGTCCCCTATATCGCGCCAGTCGTTCTCTTGCAAGCACGTTAGGATGTAGTTCAATTTCGTCAGGGAATTCAAGGTCATCGCTCGCTTCCTTCCTGCGGCTAGCTCGATATTCTTCTAGTTGCTGCGCCTCGTCTTCAGGAGATGGATCAAGGAACATTTCCGACTGTGGATACTCGGAAGGTCCAGCTTCCGTCATGGCGTCCCGGTTGTCTGGGAATATCCCATCTTCGGGAGCTCCGCTAGTATCCATTTCAATATCCTCTTCTTCATCCGCGTCCATGAGATCGGATCCCGAGTCGGAAACGTCATCCAGATACCAAGCTGCCTGATACTCCGAAGTTCCCTTAGGTAGCCTCTTCGGTTTTGGTAGCGCGTAAGAGCCATCTTCATCCTCATCTGAGAAGTAGTGGTGGTCGTCAAGGAGAACACCTTTTCGTTCCGTTTCAGGAAGGGAAACCATATCGTCGTCCATTTCAATCTCCTCCGGGGAAACTGTTGCCATATCGTCGCGATCGGCCGTTGGAGAATCCAGAACTTTGGGAGATTCAGTACCGTCCACATTCATGGCATCGTCACGCTTGCTGCGTGCATTGGGTAGCGGCGCAGCGGTGATGGAGTCGATCTGGAAATCGCCCCAACCAGGGATATGTGCTATACGGTCGGCCTTCAAGCCCTTTCCGCGAACGACGCCGGTTAGGACAACATCATCAACCACATCAGAGCCAGACTCTGGCCACTGGATGTTCTCGATAAGCATCCAGCTGCGGTCGTCGCGCCAATGTATTCCCTTGGGTGCTGCCGTGCAAATGGATCGAACGACATTCGATGATTCCTGTCTGGAATCGAGAGAAAGAACCTTTTCGATCGACGGGAAGAAGTGATTGGCGAAGGATTTCCGAGAAGCTGCTACCTGGGGTCGCTTCTTCGGGGGATCGACCTTGTTGAGGTTCTGATGCCAAACAAGGATCACCGTCAGTCATACTTATCTGAAAAAGATTCAAAATTCTGGAAACTATAGCATACCTGAACAACAGCAAGGACATTAGAGATACCCTGACTCTCAATCGATTTCAGTAACAGTTCTCCGTCCTCCTCCACCTCTGTTTCAGCAGGCAGCACGAGTACAACGAAATCCGCAACTCGACACACATCTAGCGCATTAACCAGGTCATATTTTGCGGGGATGTACAACACATTTTGCCGGAAACGGTCAATCCGAACACGCGAGGCACCCTCCAAGGTGAGATCGTCGGCAATATCAACACTCTCATTCAAGGAGCGGATTGCGGAGGGGACATCAATGTCTGCGGAGAGCGGTACGATAGCAACATGACGCGGGGCACCGTTTTGGCCGGAGAAGATGCTAACGGTCTGAGCTCTGCTCTGTTGCTTCAATTGCTGTCTTTGACGAGCCTGGTTCCTCCGATCGAGTTTTGATTTGAGCTGCTGATGAGGCGTCTTACGGGTGCCCCTCTCATGTTCGACTTTGCCTGTGATTGTCACAAATTAACTATACATCCAGACCCAGAGTGGTACCCGAAATAAGCACCATCTTAAGTACCTTTGGCTTGGTCTTTCAATGCACTCTTGGAGGCATGTCTGCTCTTGAAAGGCTTGTGTGTGGTCTTGGTGGTCGAACGGTGGTGGTGAACCGTCTGGGTGATGGGCGCCATATTGGCACCGCTGGACCCTTTGAAACGGAAGGGAAGAGAGGCCAGCGTTGTTTCTTCCCTGTAAATCTCAAGGAATGAAGTATGATGCGAACTATGCCGGATTGAATGTCAAGAACTTGTAAATATTCTGCTCCAGAACTCTGATAGGGAAAAGATTAAAAAAAGTAGATTGTGGATAAGCGAGCGTCGGAAATCTTGGCATGAATTTTGCTTGGGTCCGCGCCAGAGTTGTCTCTCGTCCGGCTTCTCTTCTTCCATAACAGCTTGTTGCCTTTTGTCTTTTATATTTTCTTATTTCCACTTGCGCGCTCTTCATATAAAAAGTCTGTTTGATCAGCTCTCTACCGTGCAGACGCGCCGAATCGCACAAGATGGCCGAACCAGCACCAACACAGGTCGTCGCGAGGCCGATGCATGCCGGCAACGTCGCAAATCGTGGAGAAAAAAAGAGACTTGCAGAAGCACAGAAGAAGTACGGGCGTGGTGGTCCTATTAGGATGCATACTGTGAAGGACAAGAAGCTACGACATAATCTGAAAACCCTTGAATCGAAGTACAAGACGGCCGCTCTCAAGGCAAAAGATGCGGAGATCCTTCTCGAACATGAAGCGGGCTTCCTCGAACCCGAAGGGGAGCTGGAAAGAACATACAAAGTTCGACAGGATGAGATTCAGCAGAATGTTGGTATCGAGACGGCGAAGAAGGGGTTCGAGCTGAAACTGGAGGAGCTAGGCCCGTATCGGGCTGATTATACAAGGAACGGTCGGAGCTTGCTCCTAGCAGGGCGAAAGGGTCATATAGCGACCATGGATTGGCGGAAGGGCAAGCTGGGCTGTGAAATCCAACTGGGAGAGACCGTCAGAGATGCGAGGTGGTTGCATAACGATCAGTACTTTGCCGTTGCGCAGAAGAAATATGTTTACATCTACGACCAGAACGGTGTGGAGTTGCATTGTCTCAGCAAGCACGTTGAGCCTCTATATCTCGAGTTTCTTCCTTATCACTTCTTGCTCGCAAGTGCTGTAAGTGGCCTCCCTTCAGAGAAGATGAAAATCTTCCATGTTTCGCTGACATCCTAGCGCAGCAAATGAGCGGCCACCTCAAATATACAGATACATCGACCGGCCAGATGGTGGCGGAATTGCCCACTCGTCTTGGTTGCCCAACGTCCCTCTGTCAGAACCCGTGGAATGCCATTCTCCACGTTGGACATCAAAACGGAACCGTTACATTATGGTCACCAAACTCCCAGACGGCTCTCGTGAAAGCCCTTGTCCACCGCGGTCCCGTGCGGTCACTTGCGGTCGACAAATCAGGCCGTTACATGGTCTCCACAGGACAAGACCTGAAGATGAACGTGTGGGATGTTCGAATGTTTAGGGAAGTGCACTCGTACTCATGTTTCCAGCCCGGGTCCTCTGTTGCGATCAGCGACCGAGGTCTTACGGCGGTTGGCTGGGGCACTCAAGTCAGCATGTGGCGTGGTCTCTTCGACGCCGCTCTTGCAGACCAAGGCAAGGTCAAAAGCCCTTATATGGCCTGGGGTGGTGATGGACATCGTATCGAGAACCTCCGTTGGTGCCCCTATGAAGATGTCTTGGGGGTGACCCACGACAAGGGCTTCTCTAGCATCCTTGTTCCTGGAGCGGGAGAACCCAACTTCGACGCTCTAGAAGCGAACCCGTATGAAAACACGAAACAACGCCAAGAGGCCGAAGTCAAGGCCCTGTTGAACAAGCTGCAACCAGAAATGATCTCGCTGGACCCCGACTTTGTGGGCCGGCTGGATACGATCAGCGACAAGAAGCGCCAGGAGGAGCGCGACCTTGACAGAAAACCCGAAGATCCGATGGAGAAGTTGAAAAACCGCGGTCGTGGTCGCAACAGCGCGCTGCGGAAGTACCTTCGCAAGAAGGGCCGAGGCAATGTTATTGACGAGAAACGGCTGAGGGCCGAAGCTCTCCGGAAAGAGCGTGCGTCCCGGACAAAGGAAAGACTTCAACAAGAACGGGAAGAACTGGGCCCTGCATTGGGCCGGTTTGCCAAGAAAGAAATATGATTTGGTCGTTGCTGTTTTCTCATATTTCTCCCGTTCTCCATGGAGGGGAAAGCCAAAAGAAAAGTTGTCCAGATACCCTTTGTCTAAAATGTTTATTTGCTCTGCATTTCGAGGCGTTGGTATTCGGTCACTACTCAAGCTACTGTGTATTATTATAGGAAGGGGTTTGAAAAATCGTCGTGTCTGCAATGAATATATAGACCTTGTTATTACGAAAAGAGGACAAGAAGGAGAAATTAAAACGACTCTATACGCACGGAAATATTTACATAGGAAGCGAGCCTAACTTACTCCCCAACACTCCCTGACCCCCTTGGTGCACCCTCCTTCCACCTCTGCAAGCTCGCCTCATAAGCACCACTGGCCTTCCAGGCACTCAGAATCAAATCCACAATACTATCCACCCCCTTCTTATTATCCTTGACGACGGCGAAAATTGTCGGACCCCCCTCCCTCATCTTCGCCGCATCGCGTTCCATAACACTCAAATCTGCACCCACAGCCTCCGCAAGATCAATCTTGTTCACAACCAACAGGTCGGAGCCCGTAATCCCCGGACCACCCTTGCGAGGCACCTTATCCCCGCCCGCGACATCAATAACGTAGATGATGAAATCAGCCAGCTCGCGAGAGTAGTTCGCGGCGAGATTATCGCCTCCCGACTCGATGAGGAGGAGGTCCGTCTGGTATTGTTTCTGAAGGGATTGGAGAGCGAGGAGGTTTGCGGAGATGTCTTCCCGGACAGCAGCGTGCGGACAGCCACCTGTTTCGATGGCGCGGATTCGAGATGGAGAGAGGGCTTTATGCCTGGTTAGGAATTCTGCGTCTTCTCTGTTTTGTTTTCGGACTAAATTAGCCATCCATGTTAATCGACCGTCTTTGCGCAAACATATTCCTTACCTCGTGAAGATATCATTTGTAACGGCTGCAATGTTGTATTCGTCACGTAGCTTCAGACACAACGCAAGCATGAGAGCCGTCTTTCCGGACCCGACTGGTCTATTTTGTAATTGTATATATTCTCAGTTCACGATGGACCATCCGAGAGGAAAATTCGATTTGAAAGGATGACTTTACCCTCCGATTCCAATAGTAAATGCACGGTCTTTCCAGTCCCGGCCTTCAATCAATGGCAACTCCCGGTTTAAATACGAACCTGGTCCATCTAGGATCTCATGCGAGTGACCATGTCCTCCGAACGGATCATCATGGGAATGGGTATGACCTAGCTCGTTCCCGTGGGAGTGGGAGTGTGTATGTGACATATTGTGAGAAATTGAAATGCGCAAAGTACACAGCTGCAGAATGGATGCGAGCTTTGCTCTACTGGATGATATGTGAAGTGGTGGAAGACTGACGGCGGGGTTAAAAAGCCAAGTTTCTTATCGCGGGGCTCGAGCAGAACGCATATAATTTTAACTAGTAATAATATCACAGTAGTATCACAATTCTATCAAGACTTACTGCACCAGAAAAACACGTCAAAAAAGATGATGGTATATGACAGGATGTGGCACATTCAAACAACAAACAACAGAACGCACGACAGTTCAACCCTGCAAAAGACAAGTTAAGCAATGTTACTCTACCCCGTTGGGAATCAAGGAAGCGGAGAAAATAAAAACGAAATCACTTCCAGGAAAAAAGAAAGCATGACAAAACCAAACGCCAAACACGTCTTCTGCTGTTTAATACATGGATATCAATGGATCGAAATCGGACCAGCCCTCTGTAAGTAAGTGCCCCTTGTCGAAACTCAACAGTGAGATGCCGGGGGTATCGGCTCCTGTAGAATAGGTCGAGATCCTGACCGTATCCTGTAGAATAGGTTGAGATCCTGACCGTATCCCATGCCACAAAAGCGCGGAGTGGGACGTATCTTCCAGGATGAATCACAGGGAATGGTCGACGGGACATTAAGCGAGATAAATTGGTCTTAGGCACCTTCCTTCGGCATCGGTTCCTTGTTCGCAACGAAAAGGTGAAAGGCGAATGGACGAGACGAACCGCAACGGGAATATAAAATAGAAGCAGAAACCATATAATAAAACCGGTATCAACAGATACAGAGGCGAAATGGGCCTTAGCTGGAGTCACCTTCCAGCAAGCACTCCAGGAAAATAAGCAATGCGAAGCGATACGAAAACGGCACATATCGATCGCACTTCAATGGCATAATCACTGCGACGTTATAGAGAGATAATAAGCGGAGAAAAGCACGAGCAAAGAACCTTCCGATATATCCAATGGATAAAAAAACCTCAAATCCAGAAGAAAAGCCTCGAAGCCCCATAATACGCCTGTTCCCTGTCTTGGTATGAAAAGGATCCGGGAAAACAAGAACGCCAGAAACGCGGGGAAAAGAGAAAAGAAGTCATTCGTTCCTTTTGGCCGATTTCAAGCGGTGCCCTTTTGTCTTTTACCGCCCGTTCTAGGGCTAGCCTTAACTTTGGGTGCGGCTCCATTCATCTCTGCATTACCGTTGCCCTCGTCGCCTTCCATCTTAATAGTACTAGCGCGACGCCGTTTATTAGTGGTGACATGAGGACTCGTAGCTGGGTTTGCACCCTGAGTCCCAGTCACATTCGACGGGTTTTGTTGGACCATAATTGGGGCAGCGAGATGACCTGGGGCTGGACTAGCGTGTGCCGAGCCACCGATATGGGGCGACCCTTGTACGCCGGGCAGGCCCAGATGAGCTACAGCAGGAGAACCAAATTGAGGGGGGCCATTCATATTGGGTCCTCGCGGCATCTGGTTTTGCATTTGCATAGCTGGATTCATAGGGCTCGGTACGAATCCGATATTGGGACCTTGCGTTTGGAGGGCGTTGACAAGGTGTCGTAGTGCTTCTGGGGGTGATAGTTGGGGATGCTGTTGCGAATATTGAAACAGCATCTGCATCTGTGAGATCGTCTCGGTCACCTGGAGGAGAAATAAGCATGTGGGCTAATCTGGCACCGTGAAGAGCAGTAGATTCTTACCTCCAGGAAACCCATAACTGCTGTGGGAACGCCATCGGCTGTCACCATAGATTCAGGTACAGATATAGAGGGCGGGTTTTGTTGTAGCTTCTGCTGAGCTCGTTTTCCCGTACCCTTGACCACCTTAGGGCTCTGCTTCTGGTCGGCGCTTTCTGCTGCCTGTAACATGTTTCTGGGAATATATTCATTGTGCTCCATGACAACGACGTCAAGCATTTCGATTTTGTTGCTTGTATCAAAATAGGCTCGTAATGTCCCCTTGGAGAAAAGCTGAGAGTTCTTATGTTAGCGAGTCCGGGGTGAATCAGGTACGGTGAAAGCGACGAACATGGCAATTATTTGTAAACCAATAGACGAAAGATGTTCTTCCGCTTTCCACAATGTGGCCACCATTGAGTGAATCTCTCTCTCGTGCTCCCTCTACAATCATCTGGATACGCCGGATGCCGCTGGTAAATTGGGTTAAATAGTACCGTGCCAGAGCCGGTGTCGATATTTCAAATTGTTTCGAGCCGGATTGGTGATTGTATACGCCTTGCCGTAAAACACCATTGGGAGAATAAAATTTTTCGACGAAAGAGTTCCAATAAGATAGATCCTCAGCTTCCCCTCGGCTCTGTGAAACATTAGTAGTCTGCAAAACGCACATTCCTTATGAAGGACTGGGAAAGCCTACAATAAAATTGCCTAGATGTTCTGCGTAGGCATTGAGACACAAAATCGACGCTCCCTTCATAGCCATTCTCTGTTGCATCATCAAAGCAGCAGGATTTTGGTGTTGCTGGACTCTCATTTGAGCTTCCTGAGTGCTCATTTGTTGTTGGTGCTGCTGATTCTGCTGTTGACCTTGGTGCTGGGGTTGTTGGGACTGAGGTTGAGGTTGACCCTGTAGTAACTGTGGCTGTTGTGGTTGCGACTGCGGCTGCTGGTGCTGGTGCTGCTGATGATGATGATGATGTTGTTGTTGTTGTTGTTGGGCGGCTTGCGGAGCTTGTGGAAGGTGCGGCTGTTGCAAGTTGGGGGTCAGGTGCGGTTGAGGGGTGCCAACTTGCTGTTGCTGAGGCTGGGACGAAGGTGGTTGCTGTGACTGGTTTGACTGCTGTTGCGGTGTATTTCCCCCTTGCGGCGGCGGTCCAGGTTGAGGTTGCGGGGTTACGCTATGAGACTCATGTACATTTTGGGACTGTACTGCCGCACGTTGCTGCGGAGTGTGCTGGCCCGGTTGGCCTGCAGCATTGGGCTGCTGAACAGGTTGTACTTGCGGTACAGGTTGCACTTGCTGTGCCTGATGTGCCTGTTGCGCCTGTTGCGCCTGAGCCTGAGCCTGCTGCATAGCAAAAAGCTGCTGTTGCTGTTGGTGCTGCTGTTGAATACTCTGCGCCTGTCCATGGGGCATTTGTTGAAGGTGCATCATCGGCCGCATACCCGGGTTAGCCTGCATGGCAATCTGCGCTGCATTCAACCCTTGACCGCCATTGGGCAATGAAACAGGAATACCATGCTGCTGAGCCGCTTGTTGTTGGAACATCATACGTTGCTTAAGGAATTGTTGCTGTTGGTGTTGTTGGAGAAGCTGGGGATTGTTGGCAACTATGATAATGAATGCGCGTCAGTAACATGTCTCATTCATGGAATCTGCATTTTGGCTATGTTCCGCGTGATTGGATACGTGCATGGCCCTGTTATCAAAATCTTTGAATAGGCGCAGTAGACATGAAAGCAGGGTGGAAAACGATAAAGAGAGCGATGATGGGGGGGAGAGAGCATGAAATAACATACAGGTCTGCGCGAACTGCGGCTGTTGGAACAGATGGGCTTGCGCTGGACCCAAATGCGAAAGGGCATGCGCGTTTGCCATAGGGCCACCAGGACCAGTAGTTCCAGCTCCCGGGGGCATTCCTAGCATGGGGCCTGCCTGGCTGACATGGGGCCCTCCTGGCGCAGACACGCCAGGATGCATTTGCTGAACCATTCCTCCGGGAGGTGCAGCATTTGGATGATGGCCAGGACCCATTGGATGCGGAGGCAGGCCGGGGTGCTGTGGGATGCCTTGAGGGGCAGGGAACGGCTGCTGGGCCATCATCATCGCTATGTTCTATCTAAAGCCTCCGACGACGGGACGCGAACCAGGTGTGTCTAAAGCAAAGGGGTGTTGGAGATGGGATCGGGCGTCGTCGAGAAGCGCGCTGGACGTGGAGCAGGTTCGGAGCGGGAGCCCAAGGCGCCGAGACCGCAGCAGCAGGCAGCTAAGCCCGCGTCGATATGATCCAGAGCCCGCGAGGGTTGAAGCATGAATCGATCCTGGCCTAATCTCCTGCAGCGGCCAGGTCGGTCGACTTCGACTTCTGGATATTAATTAGGTGGCGGGTGTTCAAGGCTCGGAGCGCGGAAGAGAAAGTTAATCGGAGAAGGACTGAGGTGGAATCTAGGAGGACGGGAGGCTGTGGGTTGTTGAGGGGCCCGACAAAGGGAGGCGTGTTGGCGATCGCCAGTCAATCGAACAAACAGACTTCGCGCCGGCAACCAGGACGAACACACCGCGGAAATGGGATCAGAATCGAGAAGGATGCAAGCAGAAACAGACAGACGAAACTGACAGGTATGATGAGGGATGCCGGGGCAGTCTGGGCTGGCGAAGAGTCCTCGCGAGAATGAGGCTTTTCGTCTTTCGTCGTGAAGTCGGACGGGCAGCACGCGCTAGCCTGTTATGGCAATGATCACGTGAGCTTTTTTTTTTTTTTTTTCTCTCCCTTCGCTTCGCTTCTTCTTCCCTTTTCTTTTCTTCTCTTTCCCTACTGTGGTTCTCTATGCCACTGCTACTGCTACTATCCAACAATGCCTGGATCTCATGCAGTCTATATATATGTCGCATCTGCACATCAGTATCATCTATAAAGGTCAGTACGTTGTTCCCTTTTTTCAGTCATACATTCTCGAAGATGACATACCTTTTTTTTCTTCTTTACCTTCTGAATCGCCCTTGAAGAGATAATCCGGACCTTCCCTTTTCCCGGTTGGTCTGCTACTTGCCAGTATACTTTGTCTGAGAGAATATCTTGAACCGTTTAGTAGCTGTCATTTGGGTTTACAGAACGTCGACTGACTTTTCTCTTCAGTTTGCACACAGGATTGGTTACTCAGCGAGGAATACCCGGATACGAGTTGTAATACTCCGTACTTCACTTTCAATAATGCAAATCGTTTTTCTGATATTCACACCCTACACTCCGTTCTATAAGCCGTACTGTTCTTGACAGCCGTAGGAATATACATCGTAGGCATTTAAGTATTCCACGAGGCCTATCCAGTACCTCATGTAGCTAGAGCTGTCGCCGGTAATGCGTTCTGGGCATGCTTCATGGCCTCGTCAATTGCGAACAGAAAGCTGCAGAACTGCGCTCTAGGTCGCTGCGGTCTGCTGGATATCCATTAGTCATCAAGTCCCAAACAGGAAAGCCAACAGGGCATTGACTTGATCTGTCAAAATAATAATCGCAGCATATACTACGCCACCCCTTCCACCACCTCTTCGCACGATACTTAATATACCGGCTGATGCGTACGGGCTCTCCCCCTCGCATCGGCAGCTTGTGCATTCGCTAATCCAGGCGGCACCGTTTGCCCCGGATGTATCATTCAATGCCACGACGGTTGCTCTTGTCCTCGGCACGGCCTTGTCGTTTCATCGCCCGCCGCCGTTATCCTCCAGCTGCAGTTGGCTTCTCGCGCCAATTCCATATTTCGCGAACATGGCTCTCATCCGTACCACCTGACCCGCATGGTACAGCAGATTCGCCGTCCGGAACCTTTACTAATGATGCCTCGCCGTTTAATGCGGAGGAACATCTACCAGAGCATGTTTCGCCAAATAGGACACCGACCGCCGAAGGAGAGGCAAAAAAGGAACATGGCCCCTATGGCTCAGGTGTGCGCAGGGCAATGAGGAATAAACGGCCATCAAGGAACTGGACTCCTCCAACTGCCACCATTCCGGATTGGTTTCACGAGCGGAATACAATCGTCAACAGCGATGGGCAGCGTATTGTGCCGCTGCAACAGGTTAGGATAGATGATTCACAGACAGGCCCGGATCAAGCCGCGGAGGAGGGATTGGCATATGGGGCGGGTTCTGATGGGGGAGAGCAACCTGGGTCTGGCGAACAACCCGAGTCGGAACATCGGTATGCATTAACGGAAGCCGTATGGGAGGAATTGCGCGCATCCGTCAAAGCCGGGTTGAGACTACCGCCTTCAAAGTATGCGAATGAACCTTCAGCTCTGAAGTCACACCTTGTCCTTCACTACCCGGGGAATGATGGTATTCTGTTTCTTGATGCCGTCGTCAAGCGGCTGGCAAACGAGATTGGGCTGGATATAGTGACACTCAATGCGCAGGATATCACTCAGCTGTGTAGTGAGCAAGACCTGGCGGATAATGGCATGTCTTCATCCATCAGATCTTTGAGCTATGAAGTGTATCGGCCTTCATTGCCCGCCACATTGCAGGAGTTTGATGACAGTATCGGAGAGGGAGAAGATGATGCCGATGTAATAGATACGCGAAACGTTCGGTCTGAAGTCAGTACCCCAAAATTCATCACGATCGAAAGTTCTCGAGACTTAGGCGAAGTGCCGCTCCCGACTTGGCTCGGCTTGAGGTCCCTGGTATCCTCCGTCGGCACAAACGGCTCTGCCGGAAGGGGCACGAGCAACAGGATAGAACATAGCTGGCTTCGACTCATCAATGAGCTTATTTCGTCCTCCGGCAAAGGGTCGAAGCTGCCTTCAAGACGGGAGGAATCGTCTGCAGAAGCCCAGTTAACCGGAACCCGGAAGACTGGACAAGCCCGGGATCTCATAATACAAGTTCAAGATTGCAGAGATATTCAAGCGACACGCGAAGGTTCCAAGTTCATTTCTTTACTACAGCAAGCCATTCAAAGCCGGAGGCAAGAAGGCTCGCGGGTGCTATTGATTGGGACAGTTGCAAAAGAAATAAATAATCTCACATCCCAGGATGCCTCATTAGACGACGATTTCTCCAAAACACTCATCATCACACCTGCTGCGGGATTGCATGTAGCAGGGGCTTTTGTGGAAGATCGAAAGCGGCGTACGATGGATATCAACATTCGACATCTACAGAATATGCTGCGTACTCGACTCAGTGAGCAGTCTTCAGCCATCGACGAAAATATTCTCACTAGCCGTGACTGGCCTCTCAGCACATCCATAGTGAAGGAATCCGGACTTGACGAGCGGTATTGGTCATATAATCAGATCCACTGGGTTGCCACTCTGGCGCTGGGATGCGCAGAGCCGGAGGAACGGCTTGGTTTCGCTCATATCCAGCGCGGGATTGAGGTGATGCAGAGGGCGGATAGCATCAAGAATAGTTGGCTGCAGGAAACGTCCCCCAAGGCTCAAGCCTCGGAGATGGGAAACGACAGAGAACGATTACTCAAGTCGTTGCGCAAGACATGCAATACACACGAAAAGAAACTCTTGAATGGAGTTGTCGATGCCAAGAGCATCCATACGACTTTTGCCGATGTCCATGTAGCTCCCGAGACCATCGAAACCTTGAAGACGCTCACTACCCTTTCACTCATTCGCCCCGAAGCTTTCACATACGGTGTGCTGGCTCGAGACAAGATTCCCGGCCTACTTCTCTATGGACCACCCGGTACTGGTAAGACTCTTCTCGCGAAAGCGGTAGCGCACGAGAGTGGTGCAACCGTACTCGAAGTCAGCGGATCGGAGGTCTATGATATGTACGTTGGTGAAGGGGAGAAGAATGTCAAAGCCATCTTTACGTTGGCCAAAAAGCTCAGTCCATGTGTCGTGTTCATTGATGAAGCGGATGCCATTTTCTGTTCACGGACAGGAGCAAGCAACCGCACGTCACATCGCGAACTCATCAACCAATTCCTTCGGGAATGGGATGGTATGAACAACCTGTCTGCCTTCATTATGGTGGCCACCAACAGACCGTTCGATCTTGATGACGCTGTTCTCCGACGCCTCCCCAGAAGACTTCTCGTGGACCTGCCAACTGAACAGGACCGCTTAGCTATCCTCAAGATCCACCTGAAGGACGAGGATCTCGATGCTTCTGTCGATCTGCCCGAGCTAAGTCGTCGCACACCTTTCTATTCCGGCTCCGATCTAAAGAACCTGTGCGTTGCGGCTGCATTGGCATGCGTACGTCAGGAGAACAACTTGGCGGCGCAGCACCAAGGAGAAGAACCATACCAGTATCCATCCAAGCGCACTCTGACTTGGGAGCACTTTGAGCGCGGTATGGAAGAGATTAGTGCGTCGATTAGCGAGGACATGGCGTCACTGTCAGCCATCCGGAAATTCGATGAACAGTATGGAGATCGCAAAGGTCGGCGCAAGAGGGGACCTGGATGGGGATTCGTACCGTCCAATGCTGTCAGCCCTAGCGCAGATACGGTGCGTGTACGAACTTGAGGCCTTTATTTGGTTTTATTTTTTGGTTGATGATTGCATTGTACTTTGTTTTCTCTCTTGATATCTCTATAGAGTCTGGAATGGGTTGGTAATGGGACAACCTGGTGTAACATTAGCGGTATATGGGTAGGTAGACTTGCACTGTACCAACAGCAAGTGAGGCATATTATTATATCCTAGTTTCTTTCTTTTCCTTTTTATTCCCTTTTTTTTATATAAACGGGCTCTATCGGATGGACAGGCTTCGTTGCGGACTGCAGTGTATACATCCATCTCCTGCCGTCTTGGCTTCGGACCGTCTTCGATAAATACATCATCGAATAATTAATGCCATGGCCTGATCCTGGCATGCTTGGTTCTTTTTTCCAGCGGAAGCATCCACCAAAACGAGGATTGGCGCATGTACTATGGATAGCAGAACCGATGATGGCAGACTTTGACTTCGTCATCGCTGGCCACAACCACCGGAATTCCAGACCACTCCACCACACATATCCCTTCCCCTCCTCTTTGTCCTCCTTTTGTCCTCCAGAGCTCCTCTTCTGATTCCTCCGCCATCATAATCATCCCAGGAAAGATAAAGCGAAAGCATAGCATCCCCAAAAAAATGCCTCCGTCATCTTCCCTCGACGCACGCGACGCAGCTATCAAGCAGGCAAAACGCTACCTCCGCGACGCTGTCCGAAACGACTGGTCTTTTGAAAATGATACATTCCAGTCGCATCCACATTCAGCTCTGGGGCCGCAGGATGTCCGCGAATGGCGACAGAGAGAATGCGATAGTTCGTCGTCAGAGTTGGAAGCGCATGGTGCTTCCGTGACGGTGGAGGGGATCAGTGTTCAGAATCATGCCTCCGGTCGTGACAGTGCTATCGCCGAGTCGGAGATGGGTTTGTCGCCCGCGGAGAAGAAAGAAAAACGGCGAAGGGAAAGGGAGGAAGAAATAACGTGGAACAAGGGGTTGAAAATTTGGACTGCAAGACGGGATGCATGGACTGGTGCTCTAAGACGGCGGGATATTTACAAGGACGGGGATAAGGATGAGGATGAGGAGTCGTCCCAGCTTGAGCGTTCCAAGGAATACCAGGAAAATGGATCTGAGCAGCAGCAGCAGGACGTCGCGTGTATATCGGCGCCCAGTACTCCTACGTCTCCTTCATCAAGCAACCCACACTACGACAACCTGACGACCAGGACGGAGACGCAGCTGTCAATCTCCGAAAAGGGCCATGAGCCAGAAAAGCGATCCACGGACACAGGCATCACAGAGCCAGAGCCCTCTTCGTCCACGGCTTCAGCATCCAAAACCCAGGATTCAAATTCACATCCGACCTCCCCAGAGAATGGGCTCCTTATCCCCATCGCCCCTCCCATACTCCCTACCGATCATCCTATCCGAGCATCAATAAACCCCTCCCTCTACCCTTCTATTTACAGCAAGGTCGTTGTCCAGGGCCTCACGCCCACAGTCCCCATCAACCTCTCCGACATGACCCATGCCTTGGTCCAGGGCTGGAAAGCTGATGGGCAGTGGCCTCCCCGTTCAACACCCATGCCTGCTCCTACTCTGGGGATTCGTCGCGATCGAAATCGAGGACTAAACATCACAACCACTGTCACTGCCACCACTACATCCCCCAAGTCTTCTACACCGTTCAATACCGGCGCTGGCGCCGGGAATGACGTCCCCTCATCCCCAGAAAGCAGGAAACGATCCACTGTCGCTAGCGCCGTGAAGAAGGTACTCCATTTTTCGGGCCTTCATCGCCGGAATCCAAGTCATGGGAATGCAAATGTGGATCATCGTACTGAACGGCAGGCAAGCATCCCTGTTGTTGAAGAGGGGGGTCATTTATGATGTGATGTTTTGTTCCTTTCTTTTCTTTCTCGTCATAATATTATCCATATCTGGGAAAGATGAATCTAATGAGACGATGCCCGTCTGGGTCGGTGATGATGGCAAATGCTGATGAATTCATACATAATGCAATCAGTCGAATTGTCTGATACGGTGTTGTTTATTATTACTCACAGCCAGACATGCAGACTCAACTTTTTCACTGAACCTCTTTTTTTCTTTCCTTTTGTTTTTCCTGGACTGTGACTGAATTGTTTCTTGTTGCTGCAAGGAGTACGAGGGATCTGATATGGAATCTAGGTCGGAAATGGGGGATGTCCAATGCATTATCGTTCATAGCATGTGTATTTTTATATCATGACTGGTTTTCGCCATTATACTTCATGAAAGCACTCTTTTCAGGTATCTCCGAGCATCTCTCTTCGCGGATCCCCACCGAAATAGATGCAGCACAGACCACAAAAACCATCATAGGAAAAAGAATACGCCTTGCTTCAGTATTACTGGTACCATCAATCGTCCTCACAAACCAATCCCAGATCTTCCACCGTAGCCAAAAAGACCCCAACACTATCCTTAAAATCCGTCTCAGGAGAACCCTCCAGCCTTGAAGCAAAGGATGGATCAATCTCAACCTCCTGCGGCTGATGACAACCACGTCGAGTAAAGTAGTATTTGTCTTCATGCCTTGACCAGTTCTCATGCACATATGCCTGCAGTTCACGGGACGCGAGATGACGAGCTTCCTGGAAGAAAGCAGGGGCTGTACCTGTTCTCGTGTCCAATTTGAAGAAGGCGTCCGAATATTGGGCCAAAGAGAAGTTCTCACATTTGGCTTCCGTGAATTTGATTCCCAGTTGTGACAGGGTGAACAGGGCAAATTGTTGGAAAGCCTGAATTTGTGAAATGACTCTCTGGCCTGCATTGGTAATTCGATCGACATAGTCAATTACAGGCAAGGCGCATGTCATCATTTCCATGAAAGATGAGGCAATGAGTAGCACCGTAGGCTCTTTGAGCAAACCTGGATCATCCGTGATGAAGTGTAGGGCTTGGTAAACTGCCTGGAAGATCGAATAGATGATGCTCGTGACAGATTGCACGCAGCTCAGGTCTGTCGTATCCATGTTGAAAAGCAAGTCCTTGAAAGCAAGAGAGACAGTCTGCAGAATAGGCCGGCTTAATATCCACGCTGCTGCACTTCTGAACGTCATTTCGACATATGCTGGGAATATGCATTGCAGAAAGGTGGCACGCAAAGTTGGTCGGCTCGGGTTCCCACCTTCATAGGTGTCTGCCATGGACGCGCACAGTTGGTCAACAAGATAGACTTGCTGGCCGTCAATGGCAGCTCGTTCTGAAACACCCTGGATGAAAATTATTAAGGTTCTCACAACCTTCTCCACGCATAACTTGGGCTCATAGCTCTTCAATCTGGCCACTATGTATGTAGGGTCAGTCGAGGGGAGAGGGAATGTCGTAGGATCTGTGAAAAACGGATCGATGGGGACTATATCCCTGGCATGCTGCTGCAAGAATCCAACCACACACTGAACAAAGTCAACATATGCTCCTTGCGCAGTCTCGGCGGGACCACCCAGTTCCTGGTAGTTTGCCTTCATTGATCGCATCAGTCTCTCAACAAATTCCTTATACTCTTGTTTCATTCTTAGGAATTCACGAAGCCTTTCCGCATCTTCGATCTCTTCAAGATGTTTGCGCATATTGGACAGAAGAGACGAAATAAGTGATAGCCTACGCTGGCTGAGATCCTGCAGAGAGACGGTGATGCGCCCGCTCCTCCGATCTCTCAAGAAAGGGAGGTCTTTGAAAAGTGGGTTTTCGGGATCCTGGTTCAGCAGCGCTTCTGTTAAAACGTGTTGGAATTTCAACATTGAGGACCTTTCCACCAAGGACGACATCCACATGCACAGCACCTGAGCTTTACATTCAGACAGGAAACCAGCATCCCTGCCAATGCAACTAGCAAGAAACTGCGGTGTGAATTTCCTAGTCTGTACAGTTCCTCGAAGCATTAACCAGGAATTTGCATCATAGTCGCTAACATAGCTATCCCAGTACCGAAGACCATGCTTAACAAGAGCATGCGCAACGGAAGTCCAGCAATCCACAGCCCCCAGCAGAATCGCATCATCTGGGCATTGGTCCTCGCCGAAGCAATCAGAGACAAGACGAGAGACAGCAGGATGGAACACCTTCTCGATATGATCAACTCCTGGATTTGAGAGTGACGGTTCGTTGCCATATATCGCTTCAATAGCGCTCCAATCCCCATATTCCTGACTATCTTCATCTATTAAAGCTTGGGACCCTGGGGAAGCAGAAGGACTATCTTTCTCAAGATAGGATAATATGATCTGCAGCGCTTTCAGAACAACATTATTGAGTCGAGCAATTTTCGGGTTAAACAGCCCTAAGACTGCCTTGATGGGCAGCTTAGAAACCAGTATCCGGGCATGCTCCAGATTTGGGGCCAGTTGGATTGCGGTTTTCAATCCCTCTAGGGCAGTATTCAGTAGAGACTCAATCTGCCGCTGATTTTGAGAAATTGTACTCTCAATCATCTTGCGGGAGAACAGACTGTCTATATTGCTTTGAGTCTCAACCTCAGTCCGGGCAAGGGAATGCTGTTTCAGTAGCTCGACCATAAAATAACTGTGCCAATCAGCGAACGGATCCAACCCAGAAACATTCTCTCCTGTTGACAACTTGAATCGGACAAGTCTTGACCATGACCGTAAGCTTATGTTGCATGTTTCCCGATGAGAGGATGCAGGATGCACAAGATTCCTTATTGCCTCAAGCCGAGGTCGGCATGCTTCGGGAACGGCCCAGTAAAGGGTACAAAGAAGATCATGGTGGTTCCTCAGTGCGTCTAGATCCTCATGTCGAAGGGGCTTTTCTTTAGGATAAACCCGACCATGGTTTGGCAGAAGACGCCAGGCAAAGTTTCGGATTTTCTTTTCGTTATAGGTCTTGGACAGAAAGCGTAATCCACTTCCCACTATTTTCAGAAAAATATGGAAGCATGGCTCCCCCGGTCTGGTCTCCAGAGTTGGTTCGCGATCAAGTTCCTCAAGGAAGGCTGGCGAGCCGAACGCCTCTTCATGGTCGAGGTTGTAGAGGCCATTCTTGGCAAAAAAGTCGAACAGTGTTTCCAAGATAAACTTGCAGTCCCTCCAGCCCCAGCAATTAACAAGATTAAAACATCTATGGAAAAGTGCCCGGCAGTAGTTATTAAAGGAAATGGGCTGCCTGGAAGGATTGGCGTTGTAACTGTCCAGCACCGGGCACAGAAGTCGCTTAACAGTCGACCAGTTGTCATGACGCTCCCGAAACCGCGATCCAATCCTAGTTATTCCAAACTGATCTATTTCATTGAGAGGCAGAGTTGAAAAGATTCCATGCCATCCATTTTCCAGGCGCGGCACATCCATCGGGCTGGTCAGATAGCCAGTATAGTCTGAGATGGTATCGGCAATAGACGCTTCGAAACATACCTTCAATTCATCTGTGCTGTGAAGTACATGGCGGGTAACCACGTATGCTTCCACAGAGAAATTGCTAGCATGAAGGCCCACCCCGCGGTGTTCGGGATGCTTATTATCTTCGAGGAACTGTTGGATATCCTTCAGTCCTGCTTGGCTCACAACGTGTCCAATTAGTTGCCTGGAAGTGGCCTTGATGAGCTCCAACGCTTCACTTGCAATAGCTAAGTTGACAAGATCGTATGATGCAATTTGACGGGCCTGGTTCGAAAAGATGAGGTTATAGCAAGCAATCTTCACAAAGCATCCTCTATTGTCTCCAGCATTTAGAGCAGATTCCGTCAAACGCTCTTTCAGCCTCCAAATGAGGCCCAGGACCCTTTCCACAAATCCTATTCTGTCCACAGGATCAATGAAGTATAAGGTATGGGTGACGTATTTGATCAACGACTCATATATAGTGCATGCTTGGCGAGCATGAATATCAGGATTTGCTTGCATTGAAGTGTGTGAGCTCTTTTCAACGCAATCGGCTATCACTTCGAAAGCCATGCCCAATTCTGATGACACGGCATCATCCCATGAGCCCCAGCGTAGATTTAGGTCCCTAACCTCAATAATTGACACTCCTGCATTCTTATCCAGATCACGAGCGAGAACGTCAAGGGAACGCGCAAATTCGCCACTTCCTACAAATGTAGACTCATGAAAAAAAGTACCAGCACGCAGGGGAACGATTTTGAAGTCGCGAGTATACGAGAGTTGAAATGAAGTCAATTCTCTTGGTCGATAATCAGGACGTGCGCTTTCCGATTGCGCAAATGAGGAAGGCTCTGAATCTCGATGAGATGAGATCTCTAACGCCTGTTCATAATTGGCCACGTCTGCGTTTAGATCTAGTCGCTTAGGCGGGCGCTTCCTCAATTTCCGAGTCCGCGGTTCTGCTCGGGTCCTAGCGGCGTTGTTTGATTCGCGGGATCCGTTAATTGAGGCTGCCGGCCAGCTGGATGCAATCTCCAGAGGAATATTGTCTGACAGGAACCGATCTAGGGTTAGGCTGTAGTTACGTCGTTGAAACCCCTTTGGACGACAGTAATCTTGGTTAAGCAATGATAGTGATTGTTTAAACAATGATGGTAATGCGATGCTGGTTCCACCGATATCGCCTACCTCCGGCTCTGCAGATCGAAGGACGTTCCTTTTCAAAGAAGAGACGGCAAAGTTTCTACGGATGACCCATTTGTTTCCTCGTTGCTCGTGATGCACATGGGGTGTTCTGTCAGTGACATTGACTCTCGCAATTTGAGTTTGGGCAGAAATGTCCAGGTGTGAGGCTTCTTTTCTGTTGATATCTTTATCTGCTGGTAAAGGGGGCACAAAATCTCGAGGGCCGTTCGCACCTGATTCCTGAGGGTCGACACTTTCGGACACATCTCGCGTGTTCGTAGAAAGATCTATCAGCGGCTGGCGTACCCGAGGCACGGGGTGCGCTTCTGTAGGTTTTGCCTGGAGAATTGCACCCCTTCGCCATTCGCGCAAATACGCATTCGCATCTTCTGTATCTCTTTTTGAGGAAAGGCTAACGAACTTGCGAGTAGGGCTATGTCTCCCTCTGTCCCGACGAGATCGTGCCTTTCGCGCGGCAATTCTGATGAATTGCGGCTGCTCCTGTCGAGGCTTTTCAGCAACATCCGGGGCATCCAGTATACCAAGACCGGGCGGCTTGGGAGATGACCATCTCGGCTTCCATCCTCCACGCATAGAGTCGGTGATCCTAGATTGCCGTTTCATGCGGGGTCGCTTCCAGGGTCCTGCAACGCTAGTCCCGTATTTTTGGGGCTTTCGTCGTTTTACTCCCTGTCTTTCTCCGCTGGGTGACGTCGTGCCCCTAGGGACAGGCGGGAACATGTTATCAATACGATTATCTTCCGGAATATCATCGTCGTCCAGCACTTCATTTTGAAATGGTTCATCAAACCGAACTGCCGTAGTCAATTCTCTCTGCCAGTCGCTTTTGGAAGTAGCATCATCTGTGCCATCCTCTTCCTCTTGGCTATCATTATCAAAATCAAGAAGGCGCATCGGGGTGTGCCGTCTGGGACTTTGCAACGCCCTGGAATTAGTCTTTGTTATCTTCCTGGCAACTCCCTTAACATTCTCCGGCCTATGCGGAAATGCTGTGTCACGATTTTGTTGGCTAGACTTTGTGCGTTTCACTTGCTGTTCCAAGTCAAGTCGGAGCCACGAGGCTGGAAGAACTCCTTTTATCCTACGTTGCAATTTCTTAAGAATGGCCTCTGAACCACCTGGCTCATCCTCTGCGTCGAGGCTCGGCTCCGACTCCGATGATGTGGAATCAACAACAATAGGGTCCTGACCATCTTGTGCAACTGACAAATCCATACTTTGCAACTCATCAACATTCTCGGTATTTTCGACTCTCGGCGTGGGTTCTGTAATAGGCGTAGTCATCACCGGTGGCGTGAAGCCACGAGGGAATCGGAATCCAGAGAAATGCGTACTTTGGGTTGAGGAGGAACTTCCCCGTCGACTTGGGGTAGGGGGGATATCCCAAATTGAGTCATTTGCAACTTCCGCTGGGGATGCTGTGTGGGTAATAACCATATGAGGTCTGGGTGAATGCTCCCATTGCCGGCCGTTTCCATTGTCCTCTTGGTAAAGCAATTTTCGTCTCTTTGCCCTAGGAACAGGAGCTGTAGTGGGGCTGTGTTGTTCGGCCTGACGCCTAGTAGTGAGGTGACGCTGCCTTTGTCTAATTACTGTTCGGACCGGGGGAGAGGAAGGTGGAAACTGGAAGTCCATCACGGAACTGCTCGGAGGGGAATTAACAGCATTAACGGATTCTTGCCCTTGGCTGTCATCCACCAGTGTACGCGTCCCGTCGGGTAGATGCTTAAAGACTTGCACTGGTTTTACCCCCCCGGCCTGCATAAGACGTCGATACCGGGCGTCTTCGAGGAGGTACGGGTGCAATTGAATGGGATTGCGCTCTCTCAGGGATCTCCGCATTGGCTGATCTAATTCTCGTAGTATATCCTCGTCGACTTCCAGTGGAGGAAGCAGTTTTTCCAGATCGTTATTGGAATGTTGTACCGCTGCTTCGTCACCATCTGGACTTGAACGTAAAAGATCAAGAGATGAAGGTGGAGATGACAGAGGAGAAGAGTCACCATTAGCATCCAGCAACTCTCCACGGGAGTTGCCTCCCTCACCGGTTCGCACGGAATCATTCGATATGTGATGATTAAGTTGGAGAACGTCAGGAGAAGAACTTGGAAATTCGAATATGTCAATCGGTTGTTTCGCCAGAGGTGTCGAGGGCAGGTTCGCATCCGGAATAGGGGGCAATTCAGGAGATGTTGAAGGATGCCCTGCACCATCTGCATGAGTAGCATGGGCTTCTGGCCTTTCTTCCTCATCCATAATATTCCTCTGTGACTCCACTGTGTTTCCACGGTGACCCTGGCCTGCCTCCTTGTCACTTGAATTGCACTTGTCGACATCATGACCATTTTTGACAACAGATGGTTTAGAAATGACACCTCCCAGACGATCCGGATTATCATTCTCAGAAGAAACTACCCCATCCTTCTGCCCACCATCTTTCGAAGCCACGGTACTATCTCCCACATCAGACGCTCCTTCGCCGCCATCTCCAGGCGCCAGATGATCTTCAGCCCGATCGTCCTTACTGGATCTCCTTGAATTCTGGCTATCGAACACTTCCTCCTCGTCTGAGTCCGGTACAAATCCTCGCTCCCGCCATGGTTCCATTGGTGCCGTAGGTGCTGATGGCCCATTTCATGTTCTTCTTTTAAGAGTGCATAACTTTACTTGGCTGTAGCAAAGGGACTCTGTAAACAAAATGTTAGAAACCATCAATAAGATACACGAGAAGACGCATAGATAATATGCCAGATGGGTCAGATTTGAAGCCAGCTGCAGTTGGAGATATTATCTGCTTGCAAGTCGAACGCGTCAGAATCCGCATCACGTGGGAAGACGCGACGCAGGCCAAATGCTATGCTTATGTAACCATGATGACCATCATCAGCGCATCACGGCGACGATGATGTACACCCAAGACAGTTCTTCATAAGGACGAGTCACTGTGATTGTACAATTGACCGAGATAGCCTGCTCTGTTCCTTCTTTCACCAATCAACCATGAGTCGCAATTTCATCGCGCCGGCTTTGGCTCTCGTATCTGGTGTTTTCGTAGGTAAGTCAAGGAGCTTCTCTGTATATCTATTCCACCAAAATACCTAGCTGTCTAACATTGACCTATAATTCCAACAAGGATACTACACATTCCAACCTGCATTACGGGACTATGCCGAAAAATCAAGCCACCCGCCGTACGTTCATCCTTCTCTACTCCAAAACCTGGACGTCTAATATATGCCCTTGGAAAATACAGCGTGCTCCAGGAGTCCCAAAAAGAACATATGGATAAACATGTGGAAAGAAAAGACCAGCCCCTTTCTCCGGGCCCCGTCACTATCGTCGATCCCGGAGCTCCATCTTCAAGCTCGTGGAGTCAGAGACTTGGGGCGTCCGGCAACCGGACTTCCAGTAGTGATGCAGCTAATCAGACGAAATAGCTAGTATCAGAGCCCATTAGTGAGGATTCCAGAGAAGTTGAGGGTTGATGGAGAACTTGGGTCTAATTTTTCCAGGTTAGATGGCAACCGAAAGAGATCGAGGGAGCCGCGAACACTTGAATATTAACCTTGTTCAATGCTATCGGTGGGTTGGCTGTTGAATCGACAAGACAGACCTTCAATACCAGGAGACTAGCTTGTGACCTGGTTCTTGTGTTCATTATACCTCCCTGGAGCCACACAGATTTGCTGAAGTGTATCTTGCGTCGGGAGAGCTGCGTGTGTCAAATGATGAGTTCATTATTGAACTACTTCGGGAAATTCTTCGACTAGATAGCATACACTTATATGCACTTCTGCCTCCACCCAAAACCGCTTATGCATGTATGGGCTTACTTTCCATCTCCTAGGTCCTGTCATTATATAGGCCACTATATAAAATGGAATTTCTAGAACCACATTGACTTTCCCCTTCTGGATGCCCATGCTTTCATGAGGATGCTCTGAGTGCTCACTGAGTATTTTACATCACAGGTGAGCAGTCACATGTTCCCCTTGGACGCTCTATTTTGTGGGGCAAAAGCCCCTGGAGCTGGCAGTCTGTCAGCAAGCTGGATAGTTAGTTATGGACTATAAACTTGATTAATAATAATAATAATAAAGGAGAATAGAGAACTTGAAAAAGTCTGAATAAGTGCAATATCGATGCTAACTGTCACGGAACTCAACTAGACGATGAATAGGATGCTATTCAGCTATCTAGGCAGCTATCGACGAGAACTTCAAGCATGGAGAGGAAGGAAAAAGGGAAGAGATCTACGTGAAGCTGGACGACGTACTCCTATCCACGCGCCACGCTAATCCAAGTAAGGAAGTTCACGTGCTCGTCCTGGTCTACATGGCAAGGGCCCTGACAACATCAAGGGTCACAAATTTTACACCTCTGGCTGAGTATGATCCAAGTCTAAGGAACCCTAATCCAACAAAATTGTTTGAGCCTATATACTGTATTAGGACATTTGATGTGTTCTCTGATGCAAAGTATGAGGGCCTTAAGGCAAGCTATGAAATACCTGAGGGGAAATATGAAGCGATTAAGTTGTTGTGTAAATTTGGCTGGCCCTTGTGGGGATCTCTGCTGAATCATGGGTGTTCTCCAGATGATTTGGTTAAGATAGTAGATGCTAAGCTTGGCCCTAACCCATCTGAAGATCCAAATCACCACTTAGTGTTGATGTCATGTCAGATTGGCTTCTATGTTTCCAACTATTCATTGGCAGAGCATATGGTGGCTAAATGCATGCGGTATATCTTTTACATCAATGAGACACGTACTTTCCTATCGACCATGTCAGCAAGTGAACCCATCCATAGTGTCCTTGTGTGCGGCAAAGCACATGAGGCAACCTTCTGATAAGCTTGCATGTCTTCAGAATCTACTCCCTTCATTTTTCACAGGTTCCATTGTAAAGGGGGGCGTACGTGCGTTGTTCCCTGCGACAGGAACCGGTTTGTGATTGAGGGATCTCAGGAATGGACACACTGAACAATCTAGCAAAATGATATAACGATAAAAGGAAACACAACGACGAAGGAGCCTCGCTCCGCTCTGTACAATGACAACGATACTAGTGAAGCAACCTAGAAACTAAAAGAATGCTCAATTTCTCGTAACTATCTGGGAGGGAACCCTCCATTAAGTACTCGCCGGCCGCGGGCTCCACCATACATTAGTATGTCGGAGACCACGGCTCTACGGTGTTCTAAGATAGGAAATATGGGAGATCCGGGGTTTCGCAGTGCCCCTGGCACGCCATTAATTTAGGAGACATTGGTGAAATAGTTGCTGCTATGGTGCTGTTATTCTCAATGGATTCAACACAAGGTGACTGTTCAAAACAGAGAGCCAACCCTACAGCTGTGAAAGTTTCACAATTTTTCCATATCCTCTTTGGGGTTGAAAATGCTGAGATGATCTCAGATGTTCTCATGTGGAAGTCCCCTGCACACAGTGAAGATAATGATCTTAATGGAGATGTTTGAATGAGTGATTAATAAAAGATATGGCTAATTTTCTATGATGAATACTAGTATGACAACCTAATCTACATGCATCCATTACGAGTTAGTGTCAGGGCCCTTGCCATGTAGACCAGGACGAGCACGTGAACTTCCTTACTTGGATTAGCGTGGCGCGTGGATAGGAGTACGTCGTCCAGCTTCACGTAGATCTCTTCCCTTTTTCCTTCCTCTCCATGCTTGAAGTTCTCGTCGATAGCTGCCTAGATAGCTGAATAGCATCCTATTCATCGTCTAGTTGAGTTCCGTGACAATGCCCTTTTTATGAGGTGAGCACCAAAACGGATAGGTAAGGCCTTGAATGCGTCTAGAAATTCCAAGATATATGAGCTCATACTGGCTGTTCCAGATTCTGACCTCTCACTACAAATTGGAGCACTCATGTTGGATTCTATAGCATTGAATATTAAATTAAGTAGGAAGAATCAGACTAGTAGTGCAAAAAATGTATTCGGTTGAATTTTTTGCATGGTCCCTGAAATGTACTATAGCAAAATCTACTGCTCTCTTTACGAGACAATAATCTTGCCAGTCCCAGCCTTCTCTGCCTCATTATTCAGAGCGTCAATCTCTGCCTGGACGTATGGAATTCCTGTCTGCAATCTTTTCTCATGTATCATCTGCTCGATTTCGCCCGGATAATATATTCTCTCCACGCCAGCCATCCTTTCCGACCCGACAACTCGTTGATAGAGATAATCCATCCGGTTCTTGAAATCCTCAAGATCTATGAACAGATCCGGTTTCAAAGCAATTAAAAAATGCCCCACGTCTGCTGGTCGCGACGGATCGTACGGATTAGTTACATGCCCGGCAAATGCAGAACCAGACAACACCCCGGAGAAGACATCCATCATGATAGCAAGGGCCGACCCCTTGGGGCCTCCCATGGGAAGCATGACACCTTTGAGCGCTTTCTCTGGATTCTCAGTAGGTTTCCCTTCAGCATCCAGAGCCCAGTCTGGGGGGATCTTCTCTCCACGGCGAGCAGCTTTATATATCTTCCCCCTCGCAGCGATGGACGGTGCCATGTCCAAAATAAACGGCCTTTCACGTCCAGCTGGAGCTCCGCATGCAATAGGTGACACGCCCATGAGTTTCTCCTTCCCGCCCCAGACCGGCAGGGCAGGAGATGAGTTCGTGAACACCAGACTCATCATCCCGGCATCCAATGCCTGTTGGACGACCCACGCAGACATACCGAAATGATTCGAGTGTTTCACTGACACAAAGCCAATTCCAAATTCCTGGGCCATTTCAATAGCACGCGCCATCCCCTTATGCGCCGCTACGAACCCGAACCCGTTCTTGCCATCGACTTGCGCGACGACGGGGGTGATCTGAGTTATCGTCGGGATTGCTGCTGCATCCAGCACGCCTTGTCGGATTCTCTCCATATAAGATGGAATACGGTTGATTCCGTGGGTGTCTACGCCTCGTAGATCGGCGAGGACTAGACTATTGGCCACGATTGAAGCATGGTCCGGTGGAGTGCCATTGGCTGTTAAGATGGATTCTGTGAAGCTCTTTGCATTGGAAGAGGTGACATATAACCTTTCCTTTGACTGTTCCATTGGTTTCGATGCTTTAGAAGGTTGGTGGATGTTACTTTGTAACTGGGGAACGTTGCTTATTTAAATTCAACCCCGCATGTTCCCCTCGTCTATGAAGATCTGGATCATCTAAATCATCACATTGACTTAAACTAAGAATAGAATTGAGAAAACAATACGAAACACAAAAACCTAGATAAACAAGATATGATATCATGATATTGCTTTGTTAAGCTACCCTCTGATCAACCAACGTATATATGCCTGACATAAAATGGAATTTCTAGAGCCACATTGACTTTCCCCTTCTGGATGCCCGCGCTTTCATGAGAGCGCTCAGAGGAGTGCTCACTGAGTATTTTGCATCACAGGTGAACAAGTCACGTGTTGCCCATGAGCTGCTCACCCTTCTATTTTGTGCGGGTAGTTCAATAATGATGCCCAGTTCACCATATCTAGGTATGGTGGACCAACATCGTGACAGGGCTTAATTTCGTAGCAGCATCTGCCCACATGGACCGGCGCTCTTTTGTATCTAATTGCCCCTAGTTCGAAGAGATATCGATGTCCATGTTGCAGGAAGCTTTTCCAAGAACGTCGCTATATTGAAGATCGTCTTAAGAACCGGTGCATAACGCGACGCAGGAGCCAATTTAACGACCGTTTTGGTACCATTTGCTATTTTCTGTCTTCAATTATGCCCTTCTAATATTTCTCTTTTTACCTCAGGACAGCCCATATGTTTTCCGGCTCCCTCGACCCAAAACCCCCCGGGTAAGCTGACGCTGGGTGGCACTCAAGGGTTAGCCTGTGACGGCCAAATCACCCCGGCGGGTCAACCTGGTATGTTGGAGTGCCAGTCGTGTCAGACAGGTCAATAGTATTGCAAACTATAGGGCCTATTTATGGGACGATTAATCGGACAGCGGATCCTGATTTCCCATCGTGTGTATTACACTTGAAGCAATGGCCACGATTAGATCGGAGCATGCCGCCCGGTCCACAAAACAAGATTCAAGTTGTTCGGGAACTCATCTGGACGCAGCTCGGTCGACTTGGTGCATAACGCCGCTGTCCAATTCCCAATCCGATCCGAATGCAAACATGGTTTCGGTAACTTTCTGAACGAAATGTGCTGGTGGCAGACTGGATGGCCTACGTGCCATTTGAGTCCCGGGATGATATGAGCCGGGCCGCTTTAACATTTCCCGCTCCCTTACGATGTAGAATGAGGTGGTCCGGATAGTCATTTGACGGAGGATGATTTCTCTGCTGTCGTGAAGGAATGTCCATGCACAGTCTTTCATGTACAGTATTCCATTTGTTCTACCCAGTTTTCCTGGGGCGTGGGAACTTTCCCCGTCTTCTTGATCATATTGGCCTTCCCGATCCCATCGAAAATGCAATCCTATCTCCAGTACAGGCAGCTGCGACGTGCTGTCAACAGACAGCTCGAAACGAGCCCCTTCAAGGTGCAACGGCGCGTGGAAGCTTCCCCGACCGATGGGTCTGAAACGCCACATCTGATTCACTCAGCGCAGAGACACAGCAAAAGCGCCTAGAGGACCCAGAGAAGGCACCTTCGGAGAATAGCACGCATGACATCGAGTCCTTGCGAGGTAGGGTCCGCTCCGATATTTGGAACATCGGGACATCATCCAGTGGTGGGTCAAGGCGCAGTGGTAGTTCGTTGCACTCATCCAAGATATATGTAGATAGACATCAACCGTAAAGCCAATATACCGCAGCATAGTCAACTTCGAAAATGGACGGTTGACCAGCACAAGAAGGTGGAGAGCCATCATCGGTGTTGACACGGTAGATCTCCTGATATAATGCATATCCAGTTTAATATATTGAAAGGAAACTGTAGACATAACGCGTGCTTGCTTGCCAGAAAATGATGCATGCATACCTTGACGCCTTGTCCCTCTTTTACTACAAGTTTCAACCACGCTTGCGCTCTGGCTCGTTGCTCCATTTGAAAGTCAAAAAAGGGCTCATTTTGGCCGGTGAAGTAATGCTGTCTTATGATAAGGCTATGCGAATTCTGTGCGTGATCTGGCCCAGAGCAATCGCTAGAAATGACAAGGCATTAAGAGGGATTTTGCTGGCAGCCGTCGGGAGTTCATAGGATATGTTCGGGTACTGTGCTGCAACACAAGAGGCATCAAAAAGGGTCGCCCATGCACCGATGGCTACTGGTGCAGTTACTCTATTAGAGCCGGCACAGGTGTAATTTTGAGTTCCTCGGCCTAGAGCAACGTATTTGAGGCCCAGGCCTGGGGATGGGCAAGGGAGTGTAGGTCGAGTGGCATGTAAGGATAGAGAAGCTTTGATATGGGCAAGGAGCAGTTTGCAGGTTGAATGACGTCGAGGTCAGAGGCGATCTAAGCGAAGGCTTCGGTAGAAGGTCCACCTATTCTGTTGATGGCATATGCCGTAATCGTCGCTGTAGCAATGCAATGTACAAGCAATAGTATACGGGAAAACATATTGATTTGTAGATGTGGAGTATATATCAGATATTCACCGCAAAACTGCTTCATAGAATCATATGTGAGAGAATTGCTGTTCAGTGGATCAGTAGACCAGAAAGAACCATGAGTGTTTGAAGCTGATGACAATTCGAGGAATACTAGTAGGTATATATGCATGAGAAATGAGATCCTCGAGAAGACGATTCATCTTCCCTTGAAAAAAAAAAAAAAAAAAAAAAAAAAAGAGAGAGAGAGAGAGAGCATTCAATAGATGCCTGACCACTGCATGACATGTAAGTGGTGAACGGCGCTTAAATGCATATCATACACAACTTAGCTGCTGGAATCGAATACGGGATAAAAACACACATTTTTTCAGCAGTATAAGGAGAGACCCAAGAACCAGATTGAAAAGCGCGTTGTTCCAGTAGAATTCGTGGTAATGGAACTTTGAAGACAGGAGTTTGAAGGCTCATGTTTACCCCAATGCGGCTAGCCATTTTTTATACTAGCACGTGATTTTTAATTAGTCAGCCCGATCTCCCCAATTCGCCTTCGAAAGACTTCAAAACTTCTCCATGAGACGCATCCATCATCAGTGAGCCACATACTCATCGACTTTCATTGCATCGAGCCGGATGTAGTTCTTGCTACCCCTTCTGCGGGATTTTTCTGGTGTCAACTTACGTCGCAAATCCAATCTTGCTGCCATAATGTCTGACGGTAAGTCTGTTTACGTGTATCATCAGTCAAACTGGCCACTGACCATATATAGCCGACTTTGAAGCCGTCCGGAAGCTCCAAGCCGAGCGCAATGCCGCTGCAGCTGGAAAAAAAGGTTCAAAGACCTTTGATGCGTCTAACCAACGCACTGACGTTTCGACAAAGGCCTCCCTCACCGAAAACTTCGATACGACCCTGTATGACCGTGACGGCGCAGATAAGTTTGCTGGCTACAGCACTTCGATCGCAGTTGATGGCGAAGATGAAGAGATGGAGGATGTGGATGGAGGGCACCGTCTTGTCGGACAGTATACCGCAACAAGAGCCCAGATAGACGAGATGGCCCATGGTAATGGTGTCGAAGAAGAGGATATACTCCTTGGACGCGAGAAAGCGGCAAGGATTGCAGACCGTGAGACTGACTATCAGAAGCGGCGGTTCAACCGCGGACCTTTGACGCCGACTAGGGCCGATCCCTTCGCCGCGAATGCCCATGCGAATGTGGAAGCCGAAGGCCAGACTTACCGTGAAGTTATGGCCCTCCGCGAGCTTGAGAAAGAGGAAGAACGTGTAAGAAAACTCATTGAAGAGAAACAGGCTCGTGGAGCAAACGGCGTCGAGCATCACGAAGCTACCTTAAAGTTGGAGGAAAGCGACAAGGAAAATGCCGAGTCGGGAGCTACCGTTACGGTTGCGACCGGCCGCAAGAGGAAACAGAGGTGGGACGTTTCTTCTGAGCCCACCCCTTCACCTGCTGCCGCTGAAGTTTCTCAGCCTACCGAGACAAAACCTAAGAGGTCCCGTTGGGATCAAACTCCCGCTCCAGCGCCTCCAGTGGAAGCCCCCAAACGTCGTTCAAGATGGGATCAAGCGCCTGCCCTTGGGGCAGCTACGCCTGTCGGCAATGCTGGCCTCGCAACTCCCATGCATCCTTCTCAAGTAGGTGCGCCTGTAATGCCAACTAGCTTTGGGACTGATATCTCGAACCGCAATGCCCCCTTGACGGACGAGGAACTTGATATGATGCTCCCTTCGGAAGGCTACAAGATTCTCGAGCCTCCTCCGGGCTATGCTCCAATCCGAACTCCTGCAAGGAAGCTCATGGCAACTCCAGCTCCTGTTTCCACCTCCGCTGGAGTAGGCGGATTCATGATGCAGGAACCCGAGAGCGCTCGCGTTCTTGGAAAACAGCTCCCGACTGATATCCCGGGAGTTGGTGATCTTCAGTTTTTTAAGCCGGAAGACATGGCTTATTTTGGCAAGTTGATGGACGGGGGCGATGAAAGCGTGATGTCTGTCGAAGAGTTGAAAGAGAGGAAAATCATGAGACTGCTCTTGAAAGTCAAGAACGGCACACCACCCATGAGAAAGACGGCTTTGCGTCAACTCACAGATAATGCGCGGCAATTTGGAGCGGGGGCCCTCTTCAATCAGATCCTTCCTCTACTTATGGAAAAGTCGCTCGAGGATCAGGAGCGTCACTTGCTGGTCAAGGTTATCGACCGTGTGCTTTATAAGCTTGACGACCTCGTTCGGCCCTATGTTCATAAAATTCTTGTTGTCATTGAGCCTTTGCTCATTGACCAGGACTATTATGCCCGTGTCGAAGGTCGTGAGATAATCTCCAACCTTGCTAAGGCAGCCGGTCTTGCTACCATGATCAGTACGATGCGGCCGGATATTGACCACGTTGATGAGTATGTCCGAAACACCACCGCTCGAGCCTTTGCCGTGGTTGCCTCGGCACTTGGTATTCCAGCTCTACTACCTTTCCTCCGTGCTGTCTGTCGCAGCAAGAAGTCTTGGCAGGCAAGACATACTGGGGTTAAGATTGTCCAGCAGATACCCATTCTAATGGGTTGCGCTATCCTTCCTCATCTCAAAGGCCTGGTCGATTGCATTTCCGACAACCTCAGTGATGAGCAGGCAAAGGTAAGGACTGTCACGGCCTTGGCTGTGGCAGCGTTAGCTGAAGCTGCTAATCCGTATGGTATTGAAAGCTTTGATGAAATTCTAAACCCTCTTTGGACCGGGGCCCGAAAGCAGCGAGGCAAGGGTCTCGCTGCGTTCCTTAAGGCAGTGGGCTACATTATCCCTCTTATGGATGAAGAATATGCCAATTACTATACAAGCCAGATTATGGAGATCCTGCTCAGGGAGTTTTCATCCCCTGATGAGGAGATGAAGAAGGTCGTCCTCAAAGTGGTATCACAGTGCGCTAGTACAGACGGGGTGACAGCTAGTTATCTCAAGGAACACGTCCTTTCTGATTTCTTTAAGAGCTTCTGGGTGCGGCGGATGGCCCTCGACAGAAGGAATTACCGCCAAGTCGTGGACACTACTGTCGACCTAGGACAAAAAGTAGGAGTGGGCGAGATTTTGGAACGCATTGTAAACAATCTGAAAGATGAAAGTGAACCTTACCGGAAGATGACGGTGGAAACGGTGGAGAAGCTGGTGGCGGCTCTGGGAGCGGCGGATATCTCAGAAAGATTGGAGGAACGACTAATCGACGGCGTTCTTTATGCTTTCCAGGAGCAAAGCATTGAAGACATTGTCATCTTGAACGGGTTCGGTACTGTGGTGAATGCACTTAGCACACGATGCAAGCCATACCTTCCGCAGATCGTCAGTACCATCCTATGGAGGCTGAACAATAAATCGGCCACTGTCCGCCAGCAGGCTGCGGACCTCATCTCGCGCATTGCCATGGTTATGAAACAATGCGGCGAAGATGCACTAATGGGAAAACTTGGTATTGTCCTTTATGAATATTTGGGTGAAGAATACCCCGAGGTTCTCGGATCCATTCTGGGTGCGTTACGGTCCATTGTCACTGTGGTCGGTATTAACCAGATGCAACCACCGATCCGAGACCTCCTCCCTCGTCTCACTCCCATCCTCCGCAATCGTCATGAGAAGGTGCAAGAGAACACTATCGACCTGGTCGGCCGTATTGCCGATCGTGGTCCCGAGTCAGTCAACGCTCGAGAGTGGATGCGTATCTGCTTTGAACTTCTAGATATGCTCAAGGCCCATAAGAAAGGCATTCGCCGGGCTGCCAATAACACGTTTGGTTTCATTGCTAAGGCTATCGGACCGCAAGATGTTTTGGCAACATTGCTCAACAACCTCCGTGTGCAAGAACGTCAATCCCGTGTGTGCACCGCAGTTGCCATTGGTATTGTGGCTGAAACTTGTGCGCCTTTCACCGTTCTTCCAGCTCTCATGAACGAATACCGCGTTCCGGAGCTCAACGTGCAGAACGGTGTCTTGAAGGCTATGTCATTCCTGTTTGAATACATTGGCGAGATGGCTAAGGACTACGTCTATGCTGTCACGCCGCTCCTCGAGGACGCGCTTATCGATCGGGACCAAGTTCACCGCCAAACAGCAGCCAGTGTCGTCAAGCATATCGCCCTTGGTGTCGTTGGTCTTGGATGCGAAGACGCAATGGTCCATCTTTTGAACCTCGTATTCCCCAACATCTTCGAGACAAGCCCTCATGTCATCGATCGTGTGATCGAGGCCATTGACGCGATTCGCATGGCTGTAGGCACAGGAGTGGTGATGAACTACGTCTGGGCAGGACTGTTCCATCCGGCTCGCAAGGTCCGGACCCCATATTGGCGGCTGTACAATGATGCCTACGTACACAATGCGGACGCCATGGTGCCGTATTATCCCGACCTGGAGGATGATGGGCTGGCTAGACTGGAGCTGGCGATTGTACTTTGATAAGTCTTTCTGCGGGTTTTCTCTATTCTACTTGTCTAATCGTTCTTATTTCTGATGCGGTGTTGTTGTTGATATTGGGCGTAGGGGTTATAGCTGTATTCTGTATCTATTACTGGCCTCTTGTAGCAAAGGTCGAATGGCAATATGCTTCTCATGGATTACAGCGTACACAATTAATAAATACGGATTTGCTCAGTAATCAAAACGAGTCTTGGATTGGTCGTGAAATGTACCTGTCCCAAGGGTTGTCTTCGTAAACCGCCGCGGCGTCCGGCAAGCCATTGATATCTGCCAAGACCAAACCCGGACACGAACAAGCAACGGAAGTGAAGAATCAGAAAAAGAGAACGGCAAGTAACCAAAGGTTTACCCTTAATTATTTGCAAGGAATTCAATCACAACAGCTTGCTGTTAAACCGCGTCCGCAGGGCTATCGAGATGACCTCATCAAGGCTTTTCCGAATCGGGCCTTAGCTCATATTTCCTGCCGTTGTCAACCTCGCACATCCCGTCTGGAGGATCTGCTCAACACTACACCCATGTTAACGACGAGATCGTCTTCTGCGCTGATCGTTCTCCGGTACCTGGCATGGATCTTCAAATTGTTTCCTTGCCATTCTATTGGGTCCTGCCAGTCTACGTCACTAATTGATTAATCCAGGGAATGTTTGGAATGTTGACGACATCACTAGAGCAACGAGGCATCCTATCGCTGAATGATTAATACGGCAAACTCGACGACCGGGAGATTTTATTATTACGTCTTGATTCGTCTTTTTTTTTAAAAAAAAAAAATGTGATGCTGAGAGAGAGAAAAGAGAGACTACCTGATTCACGGACCGAGTGTTGTCTTTGCATCCCCGAAAACTCCCGAGCCCTATAACACTGTCATGGGTATAACAGCTATTACCCAATATCAGGGTCACCATCACCCGACGGGGCGAGCAAGAAATACATTCTTCTTGCTGCATCAGATGATTTTTGCAGTGAGCTGTTGTTCAGTTACATGCCCAGAGGGTTTGATTGATTGCTGCAGCCATTACTCATGCATTGAGGAAATGAGACAGATAACAACCAGCCAGGTAGCCCGACCGACGTGCGTTGCTTCCTTGCTTGCTCAAGAAAGGTTCTTTGGCCACCTTAATATCGAGGCAATTTCTGCTTACGCCAAGCATCGTTAGTGCGATCTTGAATAATATATTGTTTATTGACTCCGAAGATAGGAGGCCCGGAAAAAAAAAAAAAAAAAAAAAAAAAAAAAAAAGGAAAAAGAGGGATCTCGAGGGCTTTCGAGCGCTCAGCATGCACATGTGGCAGGTCAAAATGACTAATAATGCGTGCGTCAAGTCAGATTGCAGCTTGCAGGTTGAAGAACTTGGAAGCATATCCTGCCAAGATCCGGATTGGCTTTTCAGACAGCCATTGATCTCAATGCTGACGAGTCGTTCATGGTCTCTCTCGAGTCTCGAGGCTCCGTGAAGTCGTGAGAAGTTAAAACAGTCAGGGAACAGACTGTATGCCGAGAGTAATCCGAATGCTGTCCAGCGTAACCGTGCGTTGGATGGAGAGCATTGTCTCCTGAATCATTCGATCTGGATAGAGTCCAGGTTGTTATGAGTACTATGAGGGATTATTATACTAGCTAACCAATGGGAATAGAAAGGAACTGACTGCCCTGAAGCAATTCCCGCACCACAGTGCCGGGGCATATGCTGGGGACTTGGAGCGCTCTGCGCGGCAGACGTTCAGATCTAGAAGAGCCGCACGTTGATTATTGTAGCGGTACATTGTTAGTGCTATGACGCTATGTATCACACTTTCGGGGACTTGTTGCTCAAGCGGGATTCTCGATACTCGGCGTCCATGCAGAGGCAAACGGAGTGATCCCGGCAGCTGGCGTACACTTATCCACCTATGATGCCGCGCATGGATGCTGCCAGGAGGCAGTCAGGTTATCAGCTCAGTGCGATCGTCAAGGGGGGATTAATATGCAGCAAGTCTGGCTCGCAGTGTGGCAGTGTTTGCTGGGTAGGAGTCCAGAGTGCTGCTACGCTGGATGCAGCCTAGGTACCGTCCTCGGCACAGTGACACGTGCACAAGCAATGCCCAAGCATGACGGGTGAGAAGTGCGGACAGCACGCTGATTGGCCAGACGGCCAACGGGACGCGTCAGCAGTTAGAATTGGGTTAGTCACGTGTGGAGATAGTGGGGCAAGATTTAGCGTATTACTATTCTAAATGCGGGAGCTAGCCTGATGCGGAAGCCATGTCTTGCCTGAGGTTCCGTCCGTATTGTCCATGCTGTATTAACGCTGTATTTAATATTACAGCCCTCCTTATGCAGTGGCAAATCTCGGCATCACCGAAACAGTAACGCTCATGATAGTAATTCATACGAGCTCAATCTGGCCATGCCGTCTTCACATGGCGATGGACCCTTACAAGACCCATTTACCGGTTCTGTTTTATCTATCCTTCTGAAGAGCCATATATATTTATTCTCATCTCCTCCTGACTAGAGCAATTTACAACTGTACGGCGATATTAAATATTGAATTCCCACTGTCAACAGATATCTATCTTAATTTAATATATATTATATTATATGATAACTATAGTTCTACAATTAATAATTATATTATTCATACTAATTATTCATCGCCCTGTCCAGTGCCCACAACTCCGTGGAATACCTAGCTGAAACTGGCTAATTGGGATTTACAAAGATCTACAGGGCCACCCTACCTTATAGAGGAACCATCCATTGCAATTGGCGATTTACGCATTTAAGCAAAAGATTTTCCAATTTAAGCTAGGTCCGATCACCTGGGCATCGTTTTTTTTTTTTTCTTTATTTTTTTAATAATAAGATCTAAGTACGGAGCTTTTTGATACATGTGCAGTTCAGCACCGTCGATGTGGTTGATGGCCGTTCAGTTGTTGCAGATCCGGGTTCTGGCAGGGAGATCATCGCTGCTTGATTGAACGACAGTTTTTCTACAGTGAGCTAGCTAGATACAAATGTATATATTATAATCGTGAATTTATAGATAGAATCAATTGCCCCAATGCGAGAGCTGGATAATATCTCGATTTGGAAAATTTCCTGTTTTGTCGCTAACTCTCTTAAATAGCGTACCATGTCTGTAGAGTCCTCCGTATTGCTGAGAAATGATACTTCCATCCCGTCTGAGTCCCATAAAAACCAAAAAAAGCAACGGATAGAGCATTTGCCGGGAACGGAATAGTGACGATAACTCGAAACATGGACGCGTGGAAGTTCTTGTCCCGTCTCTTCCTCGTTATTCATGATTTGTCCGTATGATATTTAAGATCCTTTGGATGGATTAAGTATCTTTTTCTACGAAGTATAGTGTATGCCATGTATGCTTTCAATAGTGGAAATATTTAAAATGTACCTAAGCAGAGGTTTTTCTTTTTCTTCCCGTCTTAATAATCTTTCGGCAGGAATAATAAATAACGGATGAACGGGATTATCGGAAGTCTTCCATTTCTCCACCCCGTGACACTTTATGTATCCTCAGGCCATTCGTTTTTTTTTTTTTTGTTGTTGTTGTTGTTCCAAAGTATCTGCATGGTAAGGTTTGCTAAGTTTTGGTAAATGCAATGCACCCGTTGTTCGTTTTCCTGGCATAGCATTACTAGTACAACTACATATGCCACTATCGAGTCAGTGTCCACAAGCATGTCTGAAGATTGACAATCATTCGTCCCTGACAATCATTTAGTACCTAGTATCATATCATATCGGTCATTTCTCCAGACTGCGGTATGGTTATGGTTATGGTTCTAACCGTCCATGGACCAGTGAACCGGGGGACTGGAAAAAATGGGGTGTGCGGAGTACAGGATGAGGACTGTATAGTTAGGTATACACCACCCGACAACACCACCATTCTATAATCCATCCTCCGTAATAGCCACTTAAGGAGGGAAAGGATATGGCTCTTTCATAAAATAAATTCAGCCATGTGGCGTGTGAAACGTCCGAATAAGGAAATTTTCATTTTTGCTGCAGTCTGTATATGCTTATACCACGGACAACACGCAACACAACAGTGGTAAATTGTAATAATGTGATTCCACATGCAGGAGGGAGTTGGATGGGGGGAAAGACACAATACACAGCAGTCGGGCGCTATTTAGCTTGGTAAGCGCAACGCCACTTTGCTGACTTTGGGAATGATGATGGCTCCGGTGTGTCTGTGTGTTCCGGTTGGGGCAGTATTGATAAATGATAATAAATGATTAGTATGTACGGAGTAAAGCGTATTACCTATTGTCCCTGACTGCGAGGTACTTGCTACTTGGTGCGCAGTAGTACTACCTAAGTAGGTACAGACGATACAGAGGACTGTATTGTAAAAACCCAGCATGATGCCGCTATGACATCAGAGGGCATGGTATATTCACGTGACCAAAACAGGGCGAAAGGAGAAGGGCAAAAGCAAAAGGAAAAGGCGGGAAACTCTAGTGGCAGACATCATTTTCCACGGGGAATGACCGAAATAATGACCGTGATCGGCGCTATGATGGCACGGAGTTTTGTCATTGTACTTTGGGCAAGGGCAACATAACACTACCGAGGTGCAGGGTGAGAAACAGTTCAACGCCAAACTGTAATGACTTGATTTCACGATGGCTTATGTCTGTGTGGACTCAAGCCAGTTGCATCCCCCCTATTAAGCCACCTATGTCGGTATCCTGTCATTGCCGCTACTTCATTAAGGGGATTTGACGATGATGATGATGTTGTTGTTGTTGTTGAGCCCTGAGGATCTGAGCACAGGATGAAGCAGATTAGGTTTCATGAGTTAGTTAGTAGTTACAGTGTACGTAGTTAGGTTGTTTAACTCCGTGTTTAACAGCTGTAAGTGTGGAGTGGATGAGGGTATGAGGTAACCGTGATGATGGAGGCTTGCAAATAATGGAGATAAAACCCCCTTCTGCATGAATCATGGGCAAAGGTGTTGGTAACATGATGCATTCAATGCAATGCAGACAAGATGCAGCAGTCTTACCATAGGCACTACACATACAATAGCACTGTACAGAGTACATAATTCTACACTGTAACCACAAACTATAAGGCTGAATCTTGAACATCACCAAACCACCAAACACCTCGTATTCACGCAGCCATGAGGTTACAAACGTAGATAGGGGGAGTGTAGCCCATGCCTTATCGATCAGGAGCTACTAATAGAGTACTAAGAATACTAATCATTATTGACCCATGACTCCATCGAGCTACTGCGTACCCAATACGCCCGACGGGTGTCGTATAAATTGTGCTTGCGCAAGTGCCAAGAGAGGTCCCACCAGCCCAAGCTTTAAGGATTTGTCCTTTGCATCTACAGGCAGCGCAAGAACAAGAAAAGGAGAAAAGGTTAAATGTAGGTGGCGTACTTTCTTTCTTTTTTTTTTTTTTTTTTTCCTTATTTTTTACAATTCCTGCTTATATTGTTTATTACCATTATCATTATCATTTTTTTTATTTATTATTGTTTATTTATTTAACTATAGATGTATCGAGGATGACTGATAATATGCAACGAGGAGTACGTACCCCTTTTGCAAAGGGAGCCGTAGAGAAGGCGGCGATGCAATTAGGCTTTTAGGCTCTTTGGCATTTGCACACCTTTTGACCCCGATCACGGCACTCCGCGTGACGGGGACGCCGAACAGGCAAGGCTGTAATACGGTTACCAGCCCGTACAGTAAGGATTAGGATAAGGATCAAGGGTAGTCCCACTAGCTTGAAACACGTCCATGAAGGATCCTGGATTAGCGCCTGGTTAGCGCGGACTTAGTGCATCTGCGGCTGGCGGTGGCGTCCAATAAGGCAAGTGGTTCCGCAGATAGAGAGAAGCCCATGGAGGACCGTATCCACACTCCATGCCTTCTGGGATAACATGCACCAGCCCCTTTTGGGATGTCCTCCACCGCTCTTCGGTCCTTTGCTTGGTACGCACGCAGTAGTCCTAATATCTCGTAGTGCCTACTAAAGTACTCAGGGGCGGGCTTTGATGCGTACTGTGGCAGTGGGGCAATAATTCGCTCTGAATCCGGTCGGCAGAACAAATATCACCTGAAGATGAAAAATAAATGGGTCCGTGGGGAACGGCCAATGCCAACGCCCAAACCCAAAAGGCAGTCAGCTCTCAAGACATCTGGTTGGGCTGCAGAGAGGATCTGCCAGCGTCTCCGAACGGCACGTCATCAGTGTTATTACAGTATTTAAAAATATATATAATACATATAAAATAAATCAAATAATAATATATAAATAAAAAAATATGTAATTGCCAAGAGCCCCATCCTGTCCCTGCCGTCACCGTATCGGCTGTCTGTCCACTCCGCGACTGACATCCCGTATTTTTCTTCTTAAGCTACGCCGATCCCCAATTCCCCAGACTGCCCTCTCTCTCTTCTTCCTCTTCTCTTCTCTCACTCTTGTCCTGCCTTCATCATCTCCCTCCGATGATCGATTCTCTCTTCCGCTTCATCTCGCGTCCTGTTCCTATATCTTACCATCCCGTCTGAGTTCTCTTCTGCTTCCTGCAAATCCTTCTCCATGACCACGGTCATCGAAAACCAGAACCGTCAATACGGCGGCATGGCCTTCGACAATGTCTACCACCATAACATCCCCCATCATAATCCTCACTTCACAGATCCGTGGACTGCTGCTCACACATCCGCACACACGCCCTCTTCCATCTACGCAACCTCCATCAGCTCCAACCAGCTGGCCATGAACCCCGTCAAGCACGAAGAAGTCTCGCGACCGACCGCTATGTCCATGCCGTACCCCAGCATCTCCGTGTCCGCGCCGTCTTTGGTTCCGGGTGCCAGCTACCCAACCGCCGGTTACGAGAGTCCCGAAGTCATGGGTATGCCGCACGGCATCCCTCGAACCACCTTTGAACAAGCTCCCGCCTATCCGGCCTCGTCCATCGCCAATTTCCCCCCAAGCCACGCGCCACTGAACTACTCGCAGTCTCTGCACCCTCAATCGCAGGAGGCCCGCCGGATGTCCAATCCGTAAGCATTCCTACTCACCCGCTCTCGGCCTCCTTCCCCCCCCCCCTTCTCCCTTCCTGCTTTTCCTGCATCGCGCGCACCGAAAGGATTAAACAAGGAAGCAAAAAAAAAGGGGCCCAGCTGACACAATGTTCCTGTAGCGATGCTCGAGCCAGCCAACCACAAGCTCCATTGGCTCCGACATTTGGTGACGCACTGGATGCGAGTCGTGGCATGGTCGCTCTGAGCCAGGACCTGACTCCTCGAAACCTCTATCCCCGCAATTCTCAGGGTTCCGCCGATTCGTATGGCTTCCCGTCTGCTCACTCCTCTGCTTCGTCTGCGTCCTCGGGGGCAAGCTACCCTTACTACAGCGCTTCAGTGGGTTCTGTGGAGTCTTCCGTAACGGATTACAGCTCTGCGTCCGAATCCTACGACAACCTCACTTCGAGGACTCTACCACGTCCACCAAGCCTTCTGGCTGCCAGTACCCCGCCAGCGCCACAGGCCATGATGGCTCGGTTCAGCTCGAAGATGCCATCCAACACGCAAAAGAAGCACAAGTGCAAGGTGTGCGACAAGCGGTTTACGCGTCCTTCGTCTTTGCAAACGCACATGTATAGCCACACGGGTGAAAAACGTGAGTCTCTCAACAACAACAATGACGACCTCTGTCGTAGTGCGAGACGCTAACAGGTTCGCGATCACAGCATTCAAATGCGAAGTAGAAGGTTGCGGCCGTCATTTCTCAGTCGTATCCAATTTACGTCGACACCAGAAGGTCCACAAGACCGGCCGGGAAAATGCCTCTGGTGAGGACGAATAATTTACGTTATCAAGCCGATGGCATAATACGTTTCGAATTTTTTTTTTTTTTTTTTTTTTGTTTTTCATCGGGTTTCTCACCTACTTCCTTGCCTTTGATCTCGGTCGCACGTTCGTTTTATTGCTGTTGTCGTTCTGTTCGGATGGTCGATTCAGGATATTCACCGATACGCCCGGAAGGGCGCACATTTGGTGTCTTATTACATACGATCCGATTTTTTCCCTTTCCCCCCTTGCTCGGCTTCGTGTTCTTGTACAACAGTTTCCGTGTTTTCTCCCGTTTTTAACTTTTTTTTTTTCTTTCATCTTTGTTGATTGGGCAGAGGAGTTGATACCCAACCGGTTTTTGTCACGGATGCACTGCGAGGGCTAAAAAGGGGATTTCCTATTGATCCTTTCCTTATAATTATTAACGACTACATATAGAGGGGGCCGGTTGTTTTATTTGTTTTCTGCATATTCGTTCGCTGATACAAGGGATCCCCTTTCTTATTTGGCTTTTCCTGCCTTGTTTTGTGGAATATATTTTCAACATACATGCTTGTCTGTTTATCTGTTTAATGATGTTATTGTCGGATACCATCTGGGTTGTTATAAGTGCGGGTTGTGTTATGTTTTCTGTCTGATTGTGGCATGCATTTATTTTTATTTGGTGGAAAAATCTTCAACGAGGGTCTCCGCCTTTTATGGTTCTTGTTGGCAGTTACCCATCTTCACTTTCATTCCGTCTCTTTTTCTTGTTTTCTCTTCTGGTTCTGGGAAAGATATGGGAGCGGCCAACATAGAATGGACTAACATAACATTAACATATCATATACATTGTGTATAATTTGTGAAGTTTGAACAGGCTCAGAGACCCGGAAAATGGACCTCGGAACTGTCGCTACCTTCATTTATTATATTATCTAATGCTTATACAAAATGAATCAAGCATGCATGAAAAATAATTTTAATCGCTGTAGACATCAGTGTTCTAACTTCGTAATAATGAATGGATGGAATTATTGATGCTGACAAACATGAAGGATCATGCCCACCGACGGGCATCCATTTTCCTATTCGGGATATTCGACTGGGAACCTTAGTTTACTAGTTTTACTACCGTCTACAATATATGCTGTATTTAACGATGTGACGGTTATCTGGCGGCCATTTTCGGCCGCAGTCGACGCCATTTTACGAGTCTCTCTTCCCAGCTCCCGCCTTGGCATCACGTGTGCCAATGCCCACGGCCACGGGCACTTCGGTGCACGCAACGCCACGGTTTTCTGTGCCTGGCGCTAGTGCAGCAGCCGCTGAGCATGTTCAACATCGCCGACCAGGTCCTCTCGCTGAGGAGGGGAGCCGTTTTTGGCTCTCCTGAGGACCATCAGTTTCTCTCTGTTTCGAAATCCTACTTATCATGCCGACCGTCACCTCTTCTCCCCCCATCCGCCCTCTGGCATCACCCATCGTTTTCCATCCCATTCCCCGCCCTCATCGTCGTCGTTCGTCATCGTACACCGCGATATCCTTCGTTTTAATCCATTCGTTCGACCTTTCCTTTCCGATCCCCTGTCTCGACAATGACGCCTCATGCCCAACCGGCTGGACCTAACAAGAGTGAGGGTCAGTTTGAGAGCGACTCCAGCTCTGCCGTCAGCAAGATATTCTTGGATAATGGGTCTGATAATGACTCAACCAGCGACCCAGAAGACAGCGATGAGTCTAGTGACAATGATGAGCAGGATGAGGAGTCCGTCATTAACAAGGGCGAGTTGCCTATAGAGCATTATGGGGCCCAAGCAGAGAGCCTAGATATCTCTCAGCTCTGGCAGAAGTGGTACAGCAACACCACACAAGAGAAGTTAGATGAGACATGTGTCTATTGGGATATGTGTCACGGAACTCAACTAGACGATGAATAGGATGCTATTCAACTATCTAGGCAGCTATCGATGAGAACTTCAAGCATGGAGAGGAGGGAAAAAGGAAGAGATCTACGTGAAGCTGGACGACGTATTCCTATCCACACACCACGCTAATCCAAATAAGGAAGCTCACGTGCTCGTCCTGGTCTACATGGAATGGGCCCTGACAACAGTTAGCGCAACCTTACCTTACAACCATAGGCTTTCTTAACATAACCTTCCAGCTTCTCTATGCACTTATTGAACTAATAGTTAATAAGGTCATCATTCCCTCTGCAACCCTGTTCCTAGACTTGAGACTGTTGGATCCCCTGTACTCTGCAATATCTGAAAATGACTCTATTTAAGGCTAGGGCTCTTTTCATATTATTATCTCTATGTTGGAAGTAGTACCTATCCATAGCCGTTCATCAACGCCCATTATAGCTTACTACTGTCTCATTTCTGCCTAGTATTCTCACAGTCATTCCTTTCTCTCCCCTTATCGACCTGATAGGCTGTTCCAAGGCCAGGGATCCTTCATTCCCAACCTTTTTCGTATGGCGTATGCATACAATCTTACAGATATCACACATAGTCACCGCCGCTCGACTCTACTGGTCCAATCGGAAAGACCGTTATGAAGCCGGCGTCCAACGCGCCTCAATACGGAACGTCCAGCGTTGGATGAGTGTGTTCCTTTCATGCATGATCACTCCTACATGGACGTGGGTCTGCAACCAATCATAGATTTCAGAGCGATGTCAAATGCCAAGTGCTGCCGTAGGCCCGTTGCCCATATGTGACATTAAGATCTACTGATCGACTACTATACCAAGCCGTTCGAGCCGCATGGCCACGGAAGTATTGTTGTGCCAATACAACACACCGTACACGCTCAGTCTGTAACCTTCCACCCCCCAGGCCTTCTGAATAGCCATAAATAGGGACTGGTTCCCCAGTGTATTTCCCTTTCTCCCACGCATCACTTTTCGCTGCACTGCATTCCTAGTCGACTTATACGTTCAATCCACCTAGACGCATACTTCATGTCCATCGTTGACATTCTTCCCCCGAGGACCATTCCTGGTCTCTATGATCCCCCATCGAAAGAAGATCTAATTATGTCCCAGGCTATGTAAGCTGGTACTTATGATTTGAACTGCATATACTGACCTGAGGCTGGGATATCTAGATACAAGTCTTCTTCATCCCCAAGAACAGCCGGATATTTATCCTTCAGACTCGTCAGAAGGAGGCGTAGTAGGTTCTCCTGACATGCTCAGGTTCAGACCGTATCTGGGATCCTGGAGTTTTTGGAATCTGGGGTATAGAATTTTGATTCAGCCAATCAGAGGGCTTAAATTAACCACTTATACGGGCCTAAAAATAGCTCATATGTCCGAGCAAGAAATGGGCTCATAACCTAATGGAGGTGTATCGTTGGTTGGTGACTAGCTAGATCGGCCTACGTGGTGAAAAGGGTCAGCGAGGGCGGACCTATGCGGCAGAATCCCACGTGATCCAACATAATCTCCACTAGCGTCGACATTACTCTGGCATGGTGTTTCGGACTCGGAAAGGCAATATTTCTATCTTCATCGCTAAGGGTCGCACAGGCTTTCAATGAGCATGGACGGTTCCTCTCCGTGGACTCAGCAAGCTATTGACAAGTTCTTCGCGGCCCGAGAATATCCTACTCGATCAGAGTGCGATGACCATGCCTGCAAGATCACTGGTGCCACCGCAGTCCAGCAAGTTGCCGTTCCAGGCTCACTGAGCTACACAGTCCACTGCAGAGATTTCCCTTACGAAGAGCGTGATTTGGTTGTGTCCTTTTGACAAGCCGAGTCATCCCTAGATCATGGTGTCCTTAAGTTGGCAAGATCTATCCATGGCGCACTAATCCCAGAGCCTGTCTTCCATGGCGAAATGCGTAATTCAAAACTTCCCCTTCTGGTCTATACGATGCCCTGTCTGCCAGGCATCCCTTGCCTCGAGGCTCTCGGCAGCAAAACTGAGTTGAGCCTCAAAGAGGAGAGCAGACATATATGTTTTGCCAAGCATCTAGCCAGGTATTCCTTTTTTTTTCCCCTTTCTCCTCTGTTTTAGGAGTAGAACAAAAGGGAATATTGATACTCCTATCCAGGTACTTTGCCCGGTGTTGGTTAAGTCCACAGCCGGTTGACCCTGAAGCGCAAGCAGACTTCCGCAAGAGAGTCTATCGCCAACTCATGAAAATCAAAACTTCAGCCCCCTCCACACTTTCCTGTACGCAAATCATTGACCTAGAATGCAGCCTTCCAATTCTCTTCGGCCAGGCCTACCCACAAGTCCTCACACACAATGACCTTTCTCAAACAAATGTCTTAATAAACGAGGAGACTTTTGAGATCACGGGTATTGTTGATTGGTCCTTAGCCGAAGTGCAACCCTTTGGCATGGAACTAGACTCCCTTCTATTAGCGACTGGCTATATGGATCTCAACGGCTGGCACAATTACACATGCCGATTGCAAATGCTTAATGCTTTTTGGGACGAGTTCTGGGTTCGCTGCCAAATTCACGACGATAGATGCCAGCGAGAGATCCGTGCCTCTGCGATGCAGGCCGCCAAAATCGGCGCAGTGTTGCACTACGCATTCCAACGTAACGCCAATGGCTCCCCGTCTGAGGAGCTGACGACTTCTAAATGGGCCTTGAAAACTCTGAGTGCTTTGCTTATGGGCTAGTCATTGTGGGTGCCCAGATGGGTCGCCGGAGCATTTCCTTGGACTTGAAATATTGATTCGTCCCACATCCCGGGTCGTTATCTGTATGTTCATCGTGAACTTGAGTGTTGAAATAGAGCGAAAACATTTGATGCGTTCCTGACTACGAATGCAGAAGCTCCATTGGGTCCACTCATAATTTTTGCATCTTCCTCCATCTTGGCGGTCAGTACACAAATTACCACACCTATGTAGAGATAACCATGCTCTCTGTGTCTGTGTTCGCTATCTGCATTCTCTTTCGATCCGTTACTACGCGCTTTTCTATGCGATACAAGAGACTACAACTACAATGGATTACAGTAAATCTCTCGACCTTCTACACATGGCTGAAGAGACCGTTGGGGAACCTGAAACATGGACTTGGGCTGATAACATTAGGCGATTGGGCTCACGGCCTCCAATCCACTAGACGATACTTTGAATACGTCAACAACAAAGACTGGCAGCGGCTCTTGCTTCAACCAAACCCAATCGCGAACGACGAGTGGGACTTCGAAGAGGAAGAGGCCCCAACGGCTACCGATCGCTACTTCAAATGTCTCGTGATCTTCATACGCGTACTTGAGGAGGAAGAGACAAGGATGACAGGAAGTAGCCAGAGAGAACTCACCGAGTTGGTCAAATGGTCCAGAGACATAGGCGCTATGTGGCTCCATATGCTCCTTTCCACTGGGTTCTTTGACGATCTGACCTTTCCTTATATGCAGCTCCGAAATCACAAGGGCGTGCAGTGGTAGGATAAGCGCATGGACGACCATGGGGTTACAGAGGAGGTCGAAAAATTTGTCGCGGATAAGATGAAGGACCAGGCAACGTATGATGAGATCAAAGATAAGGTCGAACACCACAAGGTCCTCGGATAACGAGGAGATGTCCGCAGAGGGTTTCATTTCCAATGTGTCCTCCATTCTCGGCTCTGATAGATAGCTCTGCCCAGGTTCGAAGAGGGTTTGAAGACCCAAGAGAGTTGATACTGGGATACTCGAGGAGATCAAATGCCTTCATCAAATGGTTTTTACTCGGCAGTCAATACCCAGCAGAACATGGCCGTCGGCCGCTGCATGCATGGCTCTATCATTCTACAACTACTACTGTATCGTACAATGTAGATTGGGAAACACAAAGAAAAACGCAAGCGATGAAATGCATTCTCGATCAATGCGCTCTTTCCTCGAGGCTCATACTCTGAAACACTTGATCGGAGCCCTGGCTCCGGCCTGGAGACTGGTCCGAAAATCATTCTGTTACCTTTTGCCACGTTGTTTCTCGTACCCCCTAGCCTTTGAAGAAGTTTCACTTCTTCAGGCGAACAAGGCACACATTTTCTGGAGCTGACACGCGGCTCGCTACTCTTGGACCATTCAGATAGGCGATTTGCTGGCCGCGCGTCTTCGTTCCCAGATGACGCAGATCTATCGCCTCCCACAGCCCCTCATCTGCATCTGCGGGAACCAAAGGGTTGATGGAAGGGCCTTTAATGCACCAGGCGCACTGTTGACCATTGGGGCACCTGCCGGAGGCGCGCTTCTTTGGGCTCTAGCAAAGAGTCACCTTTTGAAATGTACCCAGGATTTTGAGACTTCGAAGAGTATGTAGGCATCGTTCTGCTTCTAGTCTAGGGCGTCGATGATGGCGCGGAATACACAGGTGAAGTGCCGGAGAATGGTCTCCGTGCACGTCGAGTTGCTGGAGCATCACCTCGGGGTACTCCATCTTCGAAGCTACCGCCATCAAACCCCGATAGATTGGCATGTAGCTTCGCGTGGCCCGGAGATAACTTGGGCTCGACGTCGCACCGTCCTCATGATCGTTCCAGGGAGAGGGCCGATCATCAGGAGTGTTGGACACCTTATTTGCCAAGGTCATACCATCTTCTCCCGGGACCCCAGGCTCAAGAAGCCTGGGGTCGATGAGGTTAAGGCCAGGAGTCGTGCACGCAGAGCTGAGCGGCGAAGTCAGAGTTCTCTGTTTGGAGATCGGGAATAATTCGAGATTCTTGGTTGTCCCACAAGGCCACGCCTTGATGGCTCGCTTCGTTGTCCACCCAACAGCTGCTTCCCAAGCGTTATGCGGCGGGTGGGCCACATCTACGACTTTGCTCTTCTACAACTTTGTACGGTACAAAATCAAAGGGCGGGCAGGCATACCGTGTTAAAGTGCTCTGTTCTTGCCATAGCATACTTGAAGTGAGCCCTGGCTCCGGCCCGGAAACCGGATCGAGAACAACCTTGCCACCTCAGACCAAGATCGGTTCTCGTCTGAGGTGGTCCCGCTCTTCAGACGAATACCGCATACCTCTGCGGGAGTTCCCATGAGGTTTCGCGGGATCAGTCAACTGAGCCAAATAATGTGCTGGCTGTGCTATGCTTTCGGATACTTCTGGATCAGATTAGAGTATATAACATGACAGTGCGCCTTCGAACAGCTAAGGAAGAAATTGAAACTTTTCATCAAGTAATGCACATGTGAATTGATCACAAAAAGCAATGAGGACAAATTCTTTGTTGAGGTGATTGCAGAAGACTTTCTGACCCATTTGCACAGCTCCGGTTGGCTTTTTTATATAACTTTCAATGGCAAATGACTTCCAGGTTTGCCTGTATTTTCATGTTGATATCCTATAATTTGCCCATTACATCTTAGACATGAATTATCCTGAGTACACAATGCATAACATATCCAAACTACGACCTGAATGAAGTTGGATATAATAATGGCTAGAGACAGTCATCACAACAGAAAATGTAACATTCTCCGAACTAAATATCACTCTTGCCGGTCTCATTTTCAATGATTCATAACCCAAGACAAATCCATTCAAAGCACCATACCCATGCCAACTCCCATAATGGCAGAATAATCAACCACAAAATATGTTCCAGGAGATAGATGAAAGGACAAAGATGAGTAAATGCAAGCATGCATAATGGATGCTGTTTTCAATGAAAAGAATATAATAGGTATGGTGAAAGACAACACCAAATGCAACGCTTTAGTACATATCGTGTCTCAAAAGTTCAGCTCCTTCCGAATGTCCAGCTTCGGAAGAAACGGAGCAGAATGGAATTAACTCGTCCTGATACGGCTGGAAGTATACGATGAAAAACCCCTTTCATCCTCGCTGTCACTGTCGTCCATCTGGTCCAGTAAGCGGTCTATCTCGTCGCCAGCCTGGGTTTCGAGATTGGGTAATAACATGGTGGAATTGCTCTTCCTTGCCCAGTTTCCCTGCGACTGCTCACTTTGTGAGCCTTGCTGCGTCTGACTACCCATCGCATTCGACCAGGTCTCCGTTGAACCGTTGGTGTTGATGCGCATGGTGTCCCGATCCTGGGAACTAGGATGACACCCGGAATTTCCCGGACTAGACATGAAGAGTAATGTCTCAATTGCATCTTGCTCCATCAAAGCATTTTGAGAACGGGAACGTCGCTTGTAATCCGTATTGTTTTTTGCCTCAGACTGGAATACAGGATCTGGAGACGGTCCAAGAAGCGGCGTCTCGGGCACTAAAGACACTAGGTTCGATACGCTAAATTCTTGTTGAGAATAATAACGTCTATGGCGGGGACTCGGATTATACGTCCGTGAGATATGCAATGGCTCATTAGGGTTAGGAAGCTGATGCCGATGACACTGCTCACTGGATGTGGTGGTATTCGGTGGTGGTACTAATTTAGACATCTGTAGCAGACCCGTAGGCGAACTGCGGGAAGGGCGAAGTGCCCATTGCGGGTTGGAATAAGACGAAGAAATGCGCGGAGATACCCGTACCGAGCCATTATGAAGCCGAGGATGGGATGTAGGTGAGCCTGGAGCAGACACACTAACATCCCCCAGGGAGTCCTTACTATGGCTCATTAGTCGTGGGCTCGACCCTTCTATAGCCCCGGAGTTTAACGTCTTCCTCGGAACTTCTATCGGGGAAGAAGAACTTTGCATTAACGGCAACAAGTTTTTACCATGAAGCCCGCGGGACTGCCAGCTTTTCTCTACCTGAGCGGCGGCATACGACAATCGCGCGCGCAGATGTACGGACAGCTGGGTCGAGAAAATCAGCAATCTTAATTATAGAAACAATCAGCCTACAAAGGATCAAATTCACCTCTGCAATCCTGTTTCCCTGACATGCCGAGTCGATAGTCCGCGAACGGTGCCTCCCAACGACGTGAGGTGTTACAACAGGGGATGAAGGGGATTTTATATCGCCAGCAGCAGTTCTTTTCTGACCCGAGACCAATCCGGTATAAGCTTCCGGATTCCATTGGGGCGGCCTCAAAGGGCGAGGTGTGGACAGGGAGCCATCTTTTTGGACGTCCAGATCGATTCGTTGATTATCACTTAAATTGGCATTGCCCGCTTTCGTAGAACTCGTAGAGCGAGGTGGCTCGCGCGGTAACGAGCCAGAATTGCAGTACACCTGCGAGATTTCCTGTACCTGTGACGTCGACGCGGTCTCCGAAGAGGCAGACACCCTTGTCGGTGGCGATAACGATTGCACCTCCGACACTTTATCGCTTCGTGAAAGATCGCTGCTGTTCTGTGCCGAACTACCTGTATAGTCCTCCTCCCTTGTCAAGTCACCTCCATTGAGATCTGTCACCGGGACAAGTTTCATCGGCATTAAGGATCTCGAGCCCGAACAGCGGCGTGCAGATGGGTTCTGATCCTGACACCCCTGTCCCTGTTGATGTCCATTTTCTAGCGCGATTGTGGTTAGGGTAGGCGATGCAGGAACGGGAACCTGCGCAATGTTATGTGGCTGCGATGGCAGCTGTTCCCCACCATTATTAACCGGTCCCGAATGCGACACTTCGCGTTCCGACGGGATCCTGCTGAAAGTCGTATTCATAATCCTTGAGAGGTTTTGGGGGGGACGGGGGCTACTAATTGACCCCGGTCCAGCGTGATGCCGCTTTGATCCCACCTGCCTGTGCGGAGTGAAGAGAGCGTATGCCGTGGGGCAACGCTGCAAGGACTCTTAAAACGTTCTCTGCTTTGCAATCGCGCGCGACGTGATAATAATAAAGCGGGCGAAACCGCCAGAATCAGTCAGCAACCGCTATCTCCACACGGCGGCGAGACCACGGTGGAGTTGTGGACATGGATATTGCAATGGGTCGTCTCACAGGGTACAGAATTGGCCTGGCATGTACCGGAAAGACGAGACGGAGAGGGAACGCAGAGAAAGGAAGGCTTGGAGCTTGTCTTTGGACATGAATGCGTCTCGACCTTGTCCGTTGCGAAACCGACGCGTCCGCAGCGCGATCACGTGTATCTTTTGCCTGAATGACAGGGCCGCAATCAGGCATCGTTCCTTCGTCGAGACGCTCAAGAATATACAACTTCTGAATTCGCATATGCTATCATTATAACAGAAATAGATAGACTTTCTTTCATATTGGTATCCGGATATAGCAACAAAGAGGCGGCCTGGGTTAATGTCATGCGCGCCACAATGAGCGGAAACTCAACGCCATCTAGATGCAACAGGCCATAGACAAGTCTGTACAAGCACAGAACACTTAATATAGCAGTAGCAATTATAATAGTCACTTTCTTTTCTTCCCACCTCCGCCGCTCTCGCCATCAGGGTTCTTCCGTTTCTTGCCCTCTCGTCTCCAGAACTCGTCACGCTCCCTCTTCTCCCGCTCCGCCTTCTTCTCCAGACCCTCCGCAACTTTGGCACGGTAAGCTTGTCTTCGTTCCTCCTGTTTAGCTGCTCTCTTAGCCAGCTTCTCACTGCGCATCGTCGTGAGCTTCTGCATGAGATCCCGCGCCTTCTTCTCCTCCCCTCCGAGGACGACGGCTCGTTTCTGGAGATACGTCTGCTCCTTGCGGGGTCGCATCTGTGTAATCTGGGATTTGAAGGGAAGTTCTGCAGCCAGCTGTCGTGGCACGCGGAGAGGATTGAAGTGCCGTGTAGGTCGTTCAATGGTGTGATATGCAGAGTCCTTGTTCTTGGGCGTGGGGATGCCTTCTGCGCGGCGCACTTCGCCGGTAAGTCGCATTCCTTGCCATCCGCTGTCACCGGAATTGCCATCCTCCATATCCAGGAGATTTGTCACAGGGTTATAGAAGCGGTGAGGTTTGATAGGATACCAAGCTCTGAGGAACACAATGTCACTCATGAGGATCTTATCTTCAAAGGTTGCACGGAAGCAACCCTCAGGCTTGCTTAGAGCCCGCTTGATCTGTCCCCGTATACCGGACACAGTTCGAATTCCAGCACCTTCGAACTTGGCAACTTCAAGGGAAGAGTTGAACATGTTCTTGATGAACGCTGTGTTCTTGAAGATCTTGTAAGGGAAACCAGTTAGTTTCAGCTTCTTCACGATCTCCGTATGCTCATCGACACTGAGAACAACACCCGTTGCGGCAATCCGGAAACCGGGATTCTTGTTCGAAAAGGACTGAACGCAACAGAAACCAGTGTTGGGTGCGACGAGAGGGCCGTAAAAGGTACCAAAACAATGCATATGCTCTGGAGTGTATTTTAGCAGCCGGTTTCTTGTCCGGCTGTCTGAGGTGCTATAGATGGGCAGGGTCTGGAAGCGACGCCAACCTAGGGAGAAGATGAGAGGGTCGTTGGTCTTCAGGATCTTCTTGTGCCAACGATGTCTCTTTATCCGAATCTGCACGAAGCCAAACCGGTCTTCAGTCGGAGCCAAACCGCCGATGATGACGGGGAAGCGAGGATTGAATTTGGCGACAAATTCGTAAGGTACTTTTTCCAGAACAACACGAGCATAGGTACCAGCTCTGTACCCTTCTGCCCTTGTCCTAGAGATAGGGTCAAGCGTATCGAATTCAGCCCGGTTGATATCTAGCTGCTTTTGCATTTTGGCCTTTTGCAGCTCGTACCACTGGTCTTCGCCGAATTCTTCGCCCGCTTCTCCAGCCTGGCGTGAGCCATCCTTTGCATTTGCGAACCCTTCCCTATCTTCTTCTTCGAAACGCAGCCTTAATTCCTCCTTTTTCTTTGCATTGCGCTCGCGCTCAGCCTCCAAATCCAATTCTCCCTCTTCGCCGTCTTCCTCACCGTCGCCCTCTTCATCCTCTTCATCCTCATCTTCTTGCACACCGTTGAACGCTTCGCCAGTTTCTAGATCCTCGAACTCGCCGTCGCCTTCATCATCGTCGTCAGAGAAGGCGCCGTCAAGATCCGAGTCATCTGCGTCGCTATCCCCACCTCCTGATAGCTTGGCGGTGACAAAGCGACGTCTCAAAGATTCGATCATCTCTTCGTCTCGCCACTTCTTCTCCAGTTCCTCATAGTCATAATCCGGAACGGCACGATAGTCATGTTCGTTCTCCTTCTCGGCATTAGTCTTCTTGAAGAAGTCATCTTCTTCATCGTCCGCTTCTTCAGACTCCATATCTTGCTCCTCATCCTCATCTCCACGCCATCTTCGAACAACATCAACTGGTGAAATAGACTCGTCGTACATCATCCGAGACAAATCCGTGACGCGGAATGCTGGACGCTTTCCATGTAAGGCTCGAGCATTGGCCAGCATGTTGTCCTTCCACCGGAGCGCACCATCATCTTCGTCTTCATCAATGTCGTCGTCCTCCATGTCCTCATCATCCTCCGGACCACTCTCTAACCCTTGATCCTCCGCGGATGAGATGGATCCAAGATCGGAATCGCTATCCGCAAATGCGAATTCTCCATTCTCCTCCTTATGAGTGTCTCCGTTCTGTCTTGCCTTGAATCTTTCCTCAAAGTCGGCCGGAGCAGATACATCGGCTTCTTCATCTTCGTCCTGATCGGATTCTTCTTCTTCGCTTCCGTTCTCATCATCGGATAAGCCCTGATAGTCTTGATCACCATCCGCAATCCTCACTCTGCGCCTCTGTTTCCTGCCTTCAACACCATCTCCATCGTCTGCGTTATTTATGGCCTCGGCGCCGTGGAACAGACGAACACCAGTGTCAACTTCGCCTAGAAGCTTCCGTTCTCCCTGCAAGCCGACAACCAACTGCTCTCCGAGACCACGTTCTTCACCATCGTCGTTCTCGTCCTTGTTGAACGTAGAAGTCTTAATATCAACATAGACGGCATCCTTGTCGACTAAGACACCACCGACATCTGACATTGGGGCGAATAGTAGTTTCTGTTTCTCTCCTAGCCTGCGTCTCCCAGCACTACCAGTTGCTTTGGCAATCTGCTGGTCCATGTAGGGGGTAGGGCACGGATCAGGAAGAGCCTCGATGCCAGAGACCGTGAGGTCACCCACACCAGGAACATGAACCCGCGCTCCTTGCGCAGGGAAGTTCGTGCCTCGTAGATATCCATAGAGGGCCACTGTCCGATCACACTTAGGGTTCTCCTCGATTTGAGTAGGTGGCGTAATATCCAAAAATCTGTCTGCAAGAGCATACGGGTGGGAGTTACGCCAGATCAGAGGGCGTGGATTTTTCATGATGGACAGAAAACGCGATAGGTTGTGCACCTCACGATCGGGATACCGTCCATTGATGACACCTGAAAGATAGAAAAGCTTTGCGCCTTGGTACAGCTCGCTCCAAAATCGGTGCTTTAGTCGCTTTTTTGCTGCACGCAAGGTGCTTTGCTTTCTAAATAGATCCAGGTGTGTCAGGATACCGAATACGTTTCCCGGCATGCCACTCGAGGCCAGCGCGTTCAAGAATTCCATTGTCTCCATTTCGAAGCCATAGTTTCCATCTATCATAAGGAGAACGATGTCTGCGATTTTTGAGACATCGATCATACTCGCGAGGGAGTCGGAAGGGCATTCAAGAAACGTAAGTCGTCGCCGTTTCGACGTGACGACGGTCAAGGGACCCTTCGGTGTGCTGAGCGTCTGCTTTGTGTATCGCCGAATTAACGATTTTATAAGAGTCGTCTTTCCAACCTGTAGAAAGAACAGAGAATTGTCAGGTCTTTTTCTTTTTTTGCTGCTAGGAGAGCTATCATGTCTCCGCGAGGGAATAGAGAAAACATACTCCTGGAGGTCCAACAACGGCAACTACAAGCGGAGGAGCCTCCTCTGGAAGGCGATCGACGAGAGGCACATGCAATCGCTTTTCCTTAACCTGAACAAGCAATACTGATCAGAATCATGGGGTCATGCACCACAATGGTGGATTCGGGACAGTATGAAAACATACATCGTGAGATCGGGCCGCCTGCCTTTTCAACTTCCCAGGATTTGAAAAAGCAAAAGCTTTTGGATTCGGGCCTTTCAAGACACAAAGAGGCGGTACATCAGCATTTTCAATTCAGAAACCATCTTGAATGTTTTTGAAGGACTAATTTCACTTACCATCATACTTTTTCTTCTCCTTGGATGGCCTATGCGCCCGGTTTGTCTGTTGCTCCATTTTTGGGAACAGAGAAGCCAGGCCTCTTCGAAACAGCCTCCCCTTCTAAAAAGGAAGATTTGGCAGCGAAATCAGATCCTGCTGCTGTTCGCGTATGGCGATCTTGTTTCGGTCAAAAATTATAATAATTTCCTTTTCCGCCTCGGAGCGGAGTTTCTAAATTGCCGATAGAAACCTTTTTGGTTTAGCGCGACTTTCCTATTCAGGGACGATTTCCTTATCTGGGAAGAAGATAAGGGCCGGCCCTAACGATTAATTAATATGCCGGCCCGAACGAGTCATCCTTGGAATGTCTCCGGAATTTGGCTTTGGATTTGGATTAAGTAAAGGTTTCAAGACAGGTCCAGTCCCCCGGGCCGACGTACATGCTAGGTACTTGATTATCCTATCTATCCTAGAAGGTAATTTCCAAGTGTCATAAAATCTAAGCGGAGTAGGGAGGAGGAAGAACTCCGTACTTCGGTATGCATTCCCGACAATAAATAGTCTCAGTCCCATCCATGAATTGAGTCTTTTCTCCTCACGCACGTTACTGAGGAAACGTTTTCATCGACTTGTGTGGCTGTTATCGTTATAATTCCAACATAGATCCTATTATGTCTACCTCACGACGGCCTCCCCCCGCATATACGGCACCACCAGACTCAAATGTCCAAGCTACGTCCCAGCTTTACAGATCAATTTCGGAAACAGCTTCGGACTCCTCTGCTCGAGTGTTAGAATCGTCTTTTACGATCCGTCCATGCTCCGGCCAGGCATGGGTGGTTCCAGCTGGACATGTCTGCCGATTGACTACGCCCAAGGGACCCCAGGTTGGTGACCTAAACATTTGGAACGCGAACAATCCTCGCGAGCGTCTCTGGGCCGCTCGCACCCGTCAAATCCATGCCTCTCACGTCTCTGTCAGTGACAGGTTGTGGTCGAACCTGCCCTATCTGCGACCTCTCATCACCATTACCGGTGACTCTCTCGGCGGTGGACAGTTACATGAGGTTCTGGGACCAGACGGGAAGAGGAAGAAGGAGGTCGAATTCGGAACGACACAGTGGGGTGGACGTGTTCACGACCTTCTCGGCACCAGATGTGACCCTTACGTTAATCTGGTGATGGGTGGAGAGCCATTCGACTTTCACTGCCACTCGAACCTTACGCGGGCAGTGGCATCTTTTGGATTGACGGAACTGGATATCCATGATGTTCTGAACGTGTTCCAGGTAACGGGATTGGATGAGGAGGGAAAGTACTTTATGGAAACATCGCCAGCCAAGCCAGGAGAGTATTTTGAATTCTTTGCCGAGGTTGACGTGCTCTGTGCATTGTCTGCGTGTCCAGGCGGTGTGTATACCCTACTAAATGGAGGTTAACGCCGTAGAGTTGTCATTGATACTAACGTCATTTTTTCTTAGGTGACCTTTCCAACTGGGGCTGGGAGGATAAGGAAGCAGACATGGGTGCGACTAGGCGCCCTCTTGGTGTTGAAGTGTACCGGCTAGCAGATCCCAAGATTCTGGAAGGATGGAAACAGCCCGAAAGTCCCAAATACACGGGAATGCATGGGCTGAGGCTACCGCCTCGAGACACGTCTGATGGCTATGTTGGGCTATAGTGTAGAACAAACATTACTGCAGGTATTATCTGATCATGCCATGAGCGAAGGAATCACGGCAAGCAGCGGTCAATATCTCCACGTGACCGACCCCGCCCCCACCTTCCTGTTGATCCTACAGTAATAGTTATACAGGCTGGCGGCTGCGACTGCAGCACCCCTACCGCACAAAAGAATACTTTTGACACTATAGTCAGGACGGTCAGTTGCTGCCATAATACTGTCATAGTAATTTCTTAGCTACGAAAAGAGTGTGATGACCTGCATGCTGGGATTGCGATCTGCAGAGACGGTGCGTCATGGCTGAAGAATGAGGATGCCTGAGCCATGGCATATCACGGGATCAGCAGGGCGGCATGGCGTCAGTCTGCAATGGACAGCAGGCAGCCTACAATGCGACAGAACCCCTCCTAGCATTGATAACCCATATAAATATATTGCCCATCTGCAGCGCTGTCATCTACCGTGCCATACCGTTATCAGCTCGCTAGCTAGTACAAATAGCTTCTGTCATTTCATTGAGTCACCCATAGTCCTCTTAAGTACCTTGATACTGCAGACCCCACCCATTTGATTCACCCTCCCAGCTTACGCCCTAGCAACGCCTCTTTCTTCCTTCATCCATCTTCGCCAGCATATCTTGCACTTCTCTTCCACCTTCTCACTCGTCTCCTGTCACCATTCGCCGCTACTTTCCTGTCTATTTCAGGAATCTTCATTGCTTCGACGCTCCATTATCCGTCAGACCACGCAAGATGCCTCTCTTTAATGTTCGTCTTGCATAACTATCTTCCTCTTGATAACTGCATTTCAGGTTTAACGGGTGTTTATTCTAGGTCACCCTAAAGGCAGATGCTCCTGCTGCAGAGCTTGAAAAGTGCGCCACTTCATCCTCTCGCTGTTGATAGGGTGATAGACCGCTAACCCTCTCTTCTTCATCTAGAGCCAAGGAACAAGCCAAGGCCAACGGAGGAACAATCAGGCATGAGTACACTCTAATCAAGGGGTTTACGTAAGTGATTCTGCTTTATTATTGTTTTTGCGCATCCTGTGCATCTCTTCCCAGCTGCTCTCACCCTCATTTTGATACTTCCCCTTTGTTGCTCAGTGTCAGCCTCCAGCTTCTATGTCGAGTGCCTAGCTGACTGGTCTCGGAACTTAGTGTCGAATACCCAGAAGACCATGCCGGTGTTCTCGAGACGAACGAACACGTCCATGTAGAGCGAGATGGCGAGGTCAGAACGCAGTGAACAAGAACGCCCGCGGATGTTCTGGTCATCCGTATAGAAACGCTGCATAATATGACGTTGGATCAGCGGAATGAATTTCTGCTGGGGTGGAATCCAGATGGTTTGAGGACACAGGAGGGTTATCTATGTTTGTATTCATGAATCACGATAAGGTTATTTTCTTTTCTGCGCTATGAGTCATGCCACTTGAAATAGCTGGATGTTCAGATTGGCCTACTAGTCAATGCTAGCAATATAGCGAATTTCAAGGTCAGACTATACCAACCAAATACCATCTCTTCCATTCTACAAAGCATATGTCATTCTCATGGTTTTTGAATACCTATTTGGAATATTGGACATCTTGCATAATCAAGCAACAAGATAGTTATTACCGAAACAGGGATAGAGAAGCTAAGCCTTAGCATAAGGCGTAAACCAAGTGCCACAAGCCAATTATTGTCCTTGGATATTACCAGTTGTCTTCACATATGTCTGTTTTTTTTTTTTTTTTTTTGTTTTTGTTTATGCTCTTTCCTTTTCCTAGTACCGTGCCAGTGACCACGCGTTGCTCTCTCTCATCTAAGTGGCTTCCTCTCGGTTAGGCGGATGCTCTCACCGACTGCTGTGGCACGCATGCCCTGCCAAAATAATCTAGTACTATTATCAGTCAACGTAAGTAACTACCATCTAATTACAAGTGTGCATGAGGGAGGAAGGGACATCAGCGTATCTTCGAAAATTTAGAAAGCCTCATTTGTGGGTCCAGCGACAGAAAGGTTTCATAAGAACTTCCTGCATGTCATTTGGAGGCGTACGTTGAGCATTGAATAGGTGGGAGATTCGAGACTTCCTTCTAAAACGCAAGGCAATCGACCAACCATTTCCGCCTAGGTGTTTTATAGTAGCGTTAGGCGTCCCGGGAGGCTTCTCGTGCTGGATTTGTTCGAGGAGCTTGTCAACTGTCATAAGGGGCGCCCCAGACTGATATAGACTCATCGCAGCCCAGGACTCCTGAGCCAAGCTTTCTCGTTCCTCCCGCATGTAGCGAGAACCTGGCTCACTCTACCTTAGTTCTCGAAGTATTAGCCAATTAAATAAGTAGTATAGCTCGGTGTTCCGAAGCTTGGCATAATGCAGACCTGTTGGTCACGTGGAAGACGCGCCTGCTTTTATTTCACCACTTGCAATTGACAATGCAATGTCGCCTAGAATTCTGCCGAGGAAGGTTTGTGAGTTAAGGTGCAGTGTCCTTGGATTAGTCAAGTACCTTAGTCCAGTGTTGGATGCTACAACCTGAAAGGAGCGATCGGTGTTAAGCAGCCGTACGGGTCGCGTTGGAGAGTGGCTTCGGCCTCATTGTTGTCTAATAATAATAATAAGATGCTCGATCCTTCAGGGTTTCTGACAATTGCAGAGTCTGGGCTGTGGGATATATCGCAGGCTTGGAACAATTCATTCCATTTACTTTAACCCAAGAAGGCTGTACACAGTGATACATGGCAGCTGTGTTTTCCTTTGATAGCAAGCTTGTGACTATCAACACCTTGAGTATAAGTGTAGTACTCCTAAGTGTGGAGACAGGAGGATTCTCTCCCGACCAGAAGCTAGCAGCCTTTTCAAATGCTCGCACTCCTCCCATGAGACAATTCAGCTATTAGATATGTTAATTTTAAGAGGACATGTATCATCTGTAAAACGACAACGTTCTCACCTCATGATGGGCTGGTTGTATCTGGATCTTCGTAAGGTACGGCCAGTCTGGGATAGCAAATATATATTCGAAGGCCATTCAGGAGCCATGACAATAATATCTTCCTCCACAGCAGGCTAGTAGCCTCCGGATCCTACGACTGCACAGTTCGCCTCCGGGATATGGCATTATCCTAGTCGCCTGATGGAAGGTCATTGGCATCGGCTTCTAAAATACAGGCTAGGTTTTGGATACGAGACCATGGTACTCAAACAGCTGATTCATTGGAAGAAATTGCAGTGTATAGGCACATACAACAAAAGATAGACCAAACAGTCAGCTGTGAACCTCGGGAAATGCCGATACCCCTCACCGCCTTGTTGCCTGACTATCATGTCATGCCATTGAAGTTATTCTTCCATGAGTCAAATATCCATGTTCTCTCGCACAAGAACAAGCTCTTGCTGATGGTAGACTGCGAGCAGAATGGACAGGATCTACTATGGCTATACCAAGAACTCTCCAGGTCACATCTATGAGGTGTAGACCGCAGTACAATGTGGCTCTGTCATGCAAATCCTTCAGCTGCACACGCCATTCTTCAACGACGACGACGACCTTGCCGAAACATAGCTGGTCACTTCATCCATCAAGTGCAGATATAGCTAATGATGAAGTTGCACGGCTTGCAGCTAGTCGTCGAAAGCCCCTGACGCTTGCAGATTTACTCAAGTGAGTTCAACTGGTGGTGATTCTAATGGAGTCCCTGTTGACGCTGGCTCTTATTTATCTAGGCACGGGCGTCCTCCATTGTCCAAGGACTCGCTTCTTGCTTCTGCAAATTTTACCCTTTCCCTTCTTCCTGCTAGATTAGCTTCTCGAATCCAAGCGCTCCGAAACCTTCCGTTTATTGTCGTGTCGAATCCGCACGTCTCGAAGATATACGGCAATTACCTACATTCCTTGTCAACCCTTCTCCCGTACCAGAAGAGGCAGATTACAAACTTGGAAGAGGAGGAACAATTCTCAAAAGTGTTGGCGGATCTGGTTCATACGCACACGAACACCATCCCCATACTCGCGCGCGGATTCCTCGAGTGCAAGAAATACATCAGCCCAGTGGAGGTGACTCAATTCTTGGACACACATTTACGAGCAAGGATTGGTACTAGGTTGATAGCCGAACAGCACCTGGCGCTTCATTTTTCTTCGCAACCGGTCTGTGACAAAGGCGGAAGCGCGGCAGTCAATGAGTCAGCTCCATCCAACTACGTTGGCGTAATTGACACGGCCTTGCAGCCGGCTCGTATCATCAAGATATGTGAAGACTTTGTTGGGGAGATCTGCGAGCTGAAATATGGTGTCCGTCCGCGAGTACAAATCGGTGGTCAGACTGACGCCGTGTTCGCGCACGTTCCGGTGCATGTCGAATATATAATTACAGAACTGCTGAAAAACTCTTTTCGAGCGGTGGTCGAGTCTGGAAATGACTACGAGCCTATCGAGGTGACTATTGCGGCAGCACCAGATGTACCGGGCAACCACGTATGGGAGTTTTTCGACCAGCCCCAAGGCACTCAGACCGGATCAAATGATACAGACGTCGGTTTCCAGATCCACAATGAGAACGGGACAACAGAATCGACCCGGGACTCTCTCCGCTACTCGACGCCTTCCTCGCAGAGTATTACGATCAGAATCCGAGACCGAGGTGGTGGGATCCCGCCGGAGATATTGCCGCATATATGGTCGTATAGCTTTACTACGTTTTCCGAAGACCACTTGTCGAATTCTGAGAACAATTATATTGATGCTTTGAACGCCATTTCAGCTAGCGGTGGCCAGTTGAGCAGCATCGCGGGCCTGGGGTACGGCCTTCCGCTGAGCAGAGCTTATGCGGAGTATTTTGGGGGTAGCATCGTTGTGCAGAGTCTTTGGGGCTGGGGCACGGATGTGTATTTGACCCTACAAGGAGTTGGAAAGATCGAGTAATTACTTAATGTTGGCTATCGAGCTATTGAATATCATACCTGTTCACATTCATGATTGCTATTTATTTCCTGCAGATTTGGCATGGAGCTAATACATTAATACTGCGCGCGCACAATGTGTATGTACGTATCTTATGGACCTATACCACAGCACAATATTATGCCATTTTGGCCATCAAACTCGTAGATGATGGAATATATCCAGGAAACCACTGAATCCCGAGAGAATTAATTACCCCACAACTGGCCCCGCATCGGCCTTTGCCCCGATAAGTATCAAGAAGACGGGTCATTTCATCGGCAGGAATAGTGATACTTTTCTAGGTTCTCTTAAATAGCTGGGCTACACACATCCTGGAGGCTTTAGGGCTTATTCTGCCACGGTTTACTCTTTTATTTACCTAATTTCCTATTAATCAATTGCATTCATCAATCTTGAAAATGTATGTACTGGGATATTCTATCTATCGCCGCGATTAGACACATTTATCCAGGTACCTATCGAGGGTTAATCATGGTCATTCAACAGGGTCTATACCGCATCTTTCGCCTTCTTCGAGGCTCTCTGGGAGGTTTGTAAATCTTTCTTGAATATTCAGTTACAATGCAATGCATTTTTGTGTCTGATATAACTAACCGGTGCATACCGCTAGGCGGGAGTCACGCATGTCTTCGTCAATCTGGGATCCGACCATCCCTCCATTCTGGAGGCCATGGCGAGGGGCCAAAAGGAGAAGAAGGAGGATGAGTTTCCCCAGATCATTACTTGTCCGAATGAGGTGTGTACATACCGTGCAACAGATAGATGCATCCCATGCTTTGGAAAGCGGATATCATCAGACTAACTACATTTTACCCCTTACGGCAGATGGTTGCGCTCTCCATGGCAGACGGCTATGCCAGACTCACGGGGAAGCCGCAGTGCGTGATTGTGCATGTCGATGTTGGTACGCAGGGCCTTGCGGCGGCCGTGCATAACGCCTCATGCGGTCGGGCGCCGGTTTTGATCTTTGCGGGTTTATCGCCCTTCACGATTGAAGGGGAAATGCGCGGTTCGCGGACAGAATACATCCATTGGATCCAGGATGTACCGGACCAGAAACAGATTGTTGCACAGTACTGTCGGTATACGGGTGAAATCAAGTCGGGGAAGAATGTGAAACAGATGGTTAATCGCGCGCTTCAGTTTGCGACTAGTGACCCCAAGGGACCGGTGTATCTGGTTGGTGCGAGGGAGATCATGGAAGAGGACATTGAACCGTACAAACTCAACCAGAGTGTCTGGAAGCCCGTGTCGCCTGCCGCTTTGCCGTCTGAGGGTGTTGAGTTGATTGCGTCGGAGCTTGTTGCGGCTAAAGAACCATTGCTCATCACAGGCTATTCCGGTCGAGAGGTACAGGCTGTGAAAGAGCTGGTTACCCTGGCAGATTTGATTACTGGACTCCGTGTCTTGGACACCGGTGGCAGTGACATGTGCTTCCCTGCGGATCACCCGGCGTGGCTAGGGCTGCGTTATGGCTCCCATGAGGCTGTCGAGACCGCCGATTTTATTCTGGTCGTCGACTGTGACGTTCCCTGGATACCGACGCAGGGCAAGCCTTCCGAATCGGCTAAAGTCATCCATATTGACGTCGACCCGCTCAAGCAACAGATTCCCGTCTTCTACATTCCCTCCATCGCGACTTTCCGAGTAGATTCGGCGACCGCACTGAAGCAGATCAACGAGTACATCTCGTCGAGCCAGTCATTGAAGAAGATTGCCACTTCCAAGGAGTTTGCATTCCGTTCTGAACGTCGTAAGGAGGACTACAACAAGAGACGGCAAGGCATTGCCGACCTTGCCATCACACCCTCGGGAGGCGACCGGGCCTTCCTCAACGTATCGTACCTCATGTCGCAGGTCCGAAAACGGTGTCCTGCAGATACCATCTGGGCCATTGAAGCCGTCACCCTGACGCATTTCGTCGCAGATCAGATAGCCGCTACACTGCCCAAGTCTTTCATCAACTGCGGCGGCGGCGGTCTGGGATGGTCTGGCGGCGGTGCACTCGGCATTAAACTTGCATCGGACGCTGAAAATGGCGGGCCTGGCAAGGGGAAATTCGTGTGTCAGATCGTGGGTGACGGAACCTACCTCTTCTCCGTGCCTGGTTCCGTGTACTGGATATCGCGCCGGTACAAGATCCCGGTGTTGACCATTGTCTTGAATAACAAGGGGTGGAACGCGCCGCGACGCAGCATGCTACTGGTCCATCCCTCTGGATATGGCTCGCAGGCTAGTAATGAGGAGCTCAATATTTCTTTCTCCCCGACCCCGGATTATGCGGGTATAGCTAAGGCGGCTGCTGGGGGAGAGTTGTGGGCGGGTCGCGCAGGAACTGTTGGGGAACTGAGCAAGCTATTGCCCGAGGCGATCCAGAGCGTGCTCAGTGGGAAGGGGGCTGTCTTGGAGGCGCAGCTTGACGGTACAGATGGGAAGTATGCACCTAGGTAGAGTGAGGCCTACATGTACTATGTAGTATGTACCATGCTGTAGAGATTGTAGATGACGGTCCCTGCAGGGAAATTACAGCCGATGTCGGCAGTAGCCGACCTTAGCCTTATCTATGCGCGTCTTCAATCCCGAGCATCGCATTATTTTTATGATAGATGATAGCTGTTCCTGTCAACAGGACACTGTTGACAATGGATGGCCTCAATGTATGCTAGAAGTGTATAAATAGTATTCATATTCGCATAGAAGCATGTTCAGTTATTCAGCTCTGTTCTGGGACCACTCGATCCACCACCGGACTCCGTAGCCACGCCCTTGTTTTGACAAGCGTGCGGAGGGATGGGATTGCAAAGATAAGATTGCACGCGTTGACGGAAGAAGCCAGGAAGATGGATAGATCAAAATAGATGACTCACCTGGGATACAATTACATAGTGTTACTGGATGTCTTATTTAAACGGCTGGCCCGCTTCTTGCGGACTTCTTTTCTTTCCTCCCCGTTCCCGCACACAAGGAACCGGGAACAGTCGAAGGGACCCAGGAACGCTTTCTCCCATCAGTTTTCACCTTGACTCGTAAAGCCACCACCAAAGAAACAGAAAACAGACTGCGGGCTTCTCGTACGTGCTCCTCATCTTCGCCTCTTCGCCCCCCCCCCCCTCCAAAACCCACTTTGACGTAGTGGGGTTGGCCTCTACCGACAAAGTTTGCCCATCTCGGAGTTAGAACTTAGGTACCTTTTCTTACTGACTCGCATGCTGCAGAGAACGCAGATCCCTCGAGCATTTTCTCCTCCGTGAGCAGTCAATCTCAGCAAGGCCAACAAGGCTCGCACCTGTATACTTCATCATCGCGAAAATGAGTCCCCCCGCACCTCTGGATGTTGATCTCAGAGGGGACTCCGACACCTCCTCGGTCCCCTTTCCGGATCCCTTGACGGTTGACAGCGTCCTCCCGTTGAGGGCCAAGGCGCCTAAAATCCCTCTCGGTGTTGCTGCGGCATCGTCCAGTGACATGTTTAAGAGCCCGGTATGTTGGATTGGATGTGACACGTTGCCCTGCACTCTCGTCGCACTTGTGCGGCGGACGCTGTACAACAGACCACAGGGCTAATGCTGTGTTTCCTGTTGAACTAGGCTACGCATTCCAAGCCCAAGGCCAAACGCTGGGATCGTAAGCTCCCCGGATCCTGCTGAATTGCCCGGCAGTATTGTGTGGATAGCTCTTCTTTAGCTAACTCATACCGACGCAGATCGTATTTCCCTCGAAAGTAAATCTCGGAAGGTTCGGAGCAATTGGAGTAGTTTCCCTCCAGATTCTACAAGATGCTAAATGTTTGTGGTTCTCTAGGCCTCGTCGCTCAAGGGCGCTGCTCGCTTTTTGAAGAATCCTGATATGATCTCATTGGGTGGCGGTCTTCCTTCTCCCGAGTATTTCCCATTCGAGGAGCTTGACATCAAGGTTCCCACGCCGCCTGGCTTCTCCCCGGAAGCTGTCAAAGAGTCGGGAGCCACATTGAAGTCTACTAAATCCGATATCAGGGAAGGGAAGAGTGTCTACGGTCAGTTACATTCGAACCATTTGAGAAGAAACAACATATGCTCATGGGTTTCTTAGATCTCGAAATCGCTCTCAACTATGGTCAGGCGACGGGCTCTGCTCCATTGCTTCGCTTCGTCACAGAGCATACGGAGGTGAGTTGGAAACGATTGGAGCGTTGGATGTCTTCTGTTAACATGGATTAGATCATCCACAACCCGCCGTACGCAGATTGGCAATGTTGCTTGACTCCTGGCAGTACGCTTTCCTGGGATAACGCCCTGCGGTTGTTCTGCGAGAGGGGCGACTATATTCTGATGGAAGAATATACTTTTGCAAGCGCTGTCGAGACTGCGCTGCCGTTGGGAATCAAGGCCCAACCTGTGAGAATCGATGAACAGGGTCTCCTCCCAGAGTCCCTGGACGAAATCCTGACTAATTGGGATGAATCGGTCAAACGTGCCCGCAAGCCTTTCCTGCTTTACACTATCCCTACTGGCCAGAATCCCACCGGTGCTACCCAATCAGTCGAGCGTCGTAGAGAGGTGTACAAGGTTGCACAGAAGCACGATGTTTACATCATCGAAGATGAGCCCTACTACTTCCTGCAGATGCAGCCGTACGCAGGAGCAGATGGCAAGGCGGCCCCGCCACCTGCATCCCACGATGAATTCATAAAGTCCCTCGTTCCTTCGTACCTGAGCCTAGATGTAGACGGTCGTGTCTGTCGTTTTGAGTCTTTCTCCAAGGTCGTCGCTCCTGGAACCAGAACCGGCTGGATCGTCGCCTCGGAACAGATCATTGAGCGCTTTGTCAGGCATTTTGAAACCTCTGTCCAGAACCCTAGTGGTATCTCACAGCTTGCTCTCTATAAGCTTCTGGATGAACACTGGGGACACTCCGGCTATCTGGACTGGTTGATTAATTTGCGTCTGCAGTACACGAAGCGCAGAGATATCATGCTGAAGGCCTGCGAGAAGTTCCTTCCCCGGGAAATTGCCAGCTGGGCTCCCCCTGCTGCAGGGATGTTTGTAAGTTACATTATATTTTCATTTCTCCATCTTAAATTCAAAAGTATGAAAGAAAGAAGATGCTAACAAATATTCAGCACTGGATTGAAGTTGATTGGCGCAAACACCCTAAGGCCTCCAGCGGAGCGTACGAGGCAATTGAAGAGGAGATATTCCAAGCTGCGATCGACAAGGGTGTTCTGGTCTCCCGCGGGAGCTGGTTCAACATCAGCGAATCGCAGGCGAATCCAAAGATGTTCTTCCGTGCCACCTTTGCGGCTGCTTCGGAAGAAAAGATCCAGGAGGCTATATCTAGATTCGCGGACGCTTTGCGCGCGCAGTTTTCTCTCTGATTTCCACAAGTTTTTGTTTCTGCAAAAGGACATCTTTTCCCGGGTGGGTGATTGTGGGAGGCCCTCGTATACATAGTTGATTGGACATAGGATTACTACTCCCGTACATAGCTGCTAAATTACATAGACAAGCATGTGAACTTACGCTAGGAAAGTGTTTCTTGTTTCTTTACTATCAACATGTATGCCTTTTGCTGTTTGTAATTGACACGAACCTGAATAATTAGGCATTTCTGCATGGTTGTTCTCAGATCGGCAGTAACGTGATCCAATCCATATTATGGACGCAACTTTAATCTGACGTCGTAGCTTGGTTTCGGAGGTTTTATCGGTATCGACGACCACGACGACGACGAAGCAGACGAGATCGGAATACGTTCCTGTATATTGCACAGTTCCCATACCGTTCTTTTAAGTACCCACGTTATGCATATTCGTCCTTGATTACTAGTTGGGTTGTCTTTTTCTTCAAAAAAATTTTTTTTTTCTTTCCCAGCTCCTTTGGAGAACATTTTCGGCCGATATTTCTTGTTGGTAGACAATTATTGTAAGTTGAACCCGATTTCTCCTTACGTCTCATCTGCTCCATGAGCTCCTGTCGAGGTGCTGTTGCTGTTGCGGGGGATTTCTTTTTCTTCAGACGAGTCGTCGGGTTCTCCGTGCAACCCAGCGTGGACATGGCCCGCTTCCTTTGCCTTGGCTAGATGCGACTGGCGAATGGCGTATAGCTCGCTTCTTTGCCGTATACATTCCATAATCCAGTTTCATAACGTATATTTGGCAATGTATCCTGCTTTTGGCTTCCGCTGCCATATTCGTCTTGCTCATATCCCTCCATTTATCCGTCCACCCCGTGTTCAAATTGAGTTTGTGCTGATTGTGAACCTGTAGATTGTGGATATATCCTCAGTCAACTCCCCTGAACATTGTCTGTACAGTATACCTGCCAGAGACACAGTACTTAGACTCATATTAGCAGGTGACTTCCTTTCGAGCCTGGATTCCCAGGAACAGCTCTGGCTTCTCACATAACAGATATATCACTCATTCACATTAGGACCCATCTGTGTTTTACATCCAGCCAGTCACAGCAGCCAGCACTCTACTAGCATCATCACGCTAGTTTAGCACCCGTGTTTAGCGTGATTCGTGTCAACCCTCCTGATCTGGCTGTCTAGACAACACTCAAACAGAACTTCCCGTTTATTTCAACACTGCTGAAGGGAACATCTTGCAGCACGAGGACTAAACGACATGGGTGTGTAATTCTCGGCAAGCAGAGTCGTAGTTTCCGTCCTTTTGCCTGCTTCTGCCGGGTCAACTGCGGCACGGCGCCGTGTAAAACCATTCCTCGAGATCCCTAAGCCCGATGGGAGAGGCTCTGCTTTGAGGCTGTCCTCAATCGACATCGAGTTTCCAGCAGTGTGATCTAGACGGGGCTCTTCTGTCTCTATCCACACACACATACACAATAAATTCACGTAAGTATTTTGGAAAAACATTTCCTCCCCTTCCCTTCTCTTCTCTCCAGGTCTGGGGTCAACACTGAGAGTGATGGCACTTTCATGCCATTCTCTGCTTCCTTCCTTTTGTTTTATTTCCTCTTTCGTTGTTCCTTTCTCGTCATCTCCTGCGATTTGAGTTCATTGGCTGTCTTGTTTTAACCCAAGGCGCCAAAATGGATGGTTGCGTACCGCGGCTGGATGGACGTAGACCTGCTTTTGGGTTTGAACTTCCCCTATTTGACTTTCAGATTTTGTGAGAAATATGTACTGATATTCATTGTTTACTTCAGTGGGCCTTCTCAACGACGACTCGTCAGCGAGCCGTGGGCTAGTCCCAATCTAGCCGGGCTGAACGGTAGTCAACCTCGCTCTCTTGGCCAGAGAAGTGTCTCTGAGAGCATATCTCGGTATCTTGAACTGGGATCCAAGCAGGTCGGGGCAGAGGCCTCGTCAGAACTTCTCCCAGAGCCTATCAACTGGCGCGTCCAGGAGGCTGCTGTCTCGGTTGACGACGCGTCTCTGAGAGATAACACCCTTGGCTCAGACCGTAAAGTCTTTGTATGCAGGTAAGTATCTGTGTTCAACGCGTATATCAACCTTGGGGAGATGTAACTGACCTGTGATTGGGGTATTAGTGTTTGTAGACGAACTGAGATCGTAAGACGAAACACTCGGCCGTCTCCAGAAGATCAAGAGGAGGAACTTCCGGTTTCTGAAATACATCTTTCAGGTAGTTCTTGGGGTCGTGCTGTCCAAGAGTTAGAAAGTTATCTTGCTGAAATAACTAACCATCCTGTTTCGGTCCCTTACCCTGAGGAGGAGGATTGCCCATACGACTATTCAGACGAGCTTCCCGCTGCTTTTGATTTCTTGCAGGAACCTCTTAACTTCCCCGGTGAATTGCTAAGGAAGAGCAGATTAGGTACAGACACACCGTCGTGTTATCTGAGCTCCACCTCCGACGGGAGACGAAGAGTGACCTGGTCTAACGACTGTCAGGAACCCTCTATTGCTCCTCTCAGACGAGGAGACTCGTTTATATACTCCCATCCAAAGAGGGGCGAACGAGAATTGCAGCTGGACGATAGGTATTTTGAAAGTTTCGGTGGAGATTGTGCATCAGAGAGTGAGTGGTCTCAGATCCCCCTTGAGCGCCCTGATGGCTGTCCTGAACTGGCGCTCCCGCGCAACATCGCGCTATCCGAAATCCACCTCCCTCCCCCTTCTGCCCCTCCTCACATCTCCCTGCAATACCACACTTCGTGTCCCGTTCCACCTCCTGCCCCCTCACCAGTCCTTAGCCCCCGCCGGCACCATTCTAACACCTACACTGGACTGGGCCCTAAAAAAAGACGCAGAAGCAGGTCCCTTAGGATCACTTCTGGCGGTATAACCTCTGCCATAAAGAGTATCTTTCATGATAGCCCCATCAACTCGTTCAAGAGGAGCGCAGGTAGTGGTGACTTGGGGTCCCTCAACCCTGCTGACATAGCGCACAATTTCAGGTTCGAAGCAGTACCACGCCGGAAGAATACGTCTCAATCTAAATCCAGAAAGTACCCCAGGAGGCTCTATTCTTCGGATCAGATCCATTTGAGACAGTCAGGATTCCCCATAGAGCATTGGCTGGAACCCGGTTCTGACAGCGATCCAGGTACTCGTGAGGAACCCACTTCCGTTTCCGTGGAGACCCCGGCGACCCCCGTCGTTCCCCCCAACCATCCCCCCTATTTACGTTTTACCCCCTCTGTCTTATACGACCGGCAAACCTCTCTTGGGGCCTCTGATCTGAGTGTTCCTCGAGACGAGGTTCCAGCTCCCAAGGCGAGTGGAAGTCGACCCATGTTCCCGTCCACTTCTCGAGAAACCCCCCCTTCAGCTATCGATGAGGATTGCGACAGCAACGCCATGAACTCCGATCGTGCCTCTGGGTTTCTCAACCCTGCGACGGCAATGGCCGCCGTCACCAGACACAAGGCAGAAGCAATAAAGCTAGCCAAGGAGCAAGGTTCCGCAGTTAGGGAAATGTGTCGTCGCAGCAAGATAGATCCCCCCTTACGAGTTTGAAGAACTGATCGGAAAGGGCGCGTATGGCCGTGTTTACAAAGGCCGCCAGCTTTCGACACGCCAGCTTGTAGCGATCAAAGTCATGGACATTGACGCTATCGACTACAAGGCCCTGCGTGATTTCAGGGATGAGTCTATCAAGGATTTCGTCCATGAAACAAAAGTCCTGACACAGGTCAAGGACGCTGGTGCGAAGAATGTCAATGAATTGATAGAAACCATTTCTATTCATACGCAGCTCTGGCTGGTTTGCGAGTATTGTCCTGGTGGAAGTGTTAGAACTTTGGTGGGTCTCCTTGCCTTCCCTTTCACCCTCTCTACCCCCTTCTCAGAGTTACATTGTCTTTCACGCTACGATCTCTGTTTTAGACGTGTTGACCTGCTGACATCGACCTCCAGATGCGCGCTACGGGAGACAGACTCGAAGAGAGGTTTATCATACCCATCGCGCGCGAATTAGCTGAGGGTCTACGCGCTATCCACGCTGCTGGTGTTATTCACCGAGATGTCAAGGGTAAGGACTCCCTTGCATTGCCTTCTGGATTCGAAGACGGGGCAATACTAATCTATCCTCAACAGCCGCAAATATCCTCATTCATGAAGAAGGAAGGTTGCAGATCTGCGACTTTGGCGTTGCTGGTGTTCTGCAATCCCAATTGGATAAACGGTCGACATGGATTGGGACTCCTCACTGGATGCCTCCCGAGATGTTTTCCACTCGCGGTGAAGCCCATCATTATGGCAGCGAGGTATGTCGAAGAAGCTTCTTTCACTGCCGTTTTAAGGACCCGCTAACGGTTTTAGGTCGATGTTTGGGCATATGGATGTACCCTATTCGAATTTGCTACGGGCAGCCCGCCGAACTCAAACCTCCGTGAGCGAATGCAGATCGGTAGACAGCTTTCTCGGACTACTCCGAAGCTCGACGGTGAATCGTATAGCCAAGCGTTGAAAGACATTGTGACTTATACGCTTGACTCCAACCCAGCTAGTCGGCCAGCAATGGTCGACATCATAAGTCACCCATACATCGCTGGCTCTGAACAGGAGTATCCTACTTCCTCACTCAGCGAGCTTGTCCGCATCTATTACCAGTGGTCTCAAGCCGGTGGGCAGCGGGCATCTCTCTTCCACCCTGGAGGTGCAGTGGCCGCCCAGTTGCCGAGCTTAGATGATGCGCTTAGCGAAGACTGGAGCTTCAGCACTACGGATAACTTTGAGCGAAGGTATTCCGTTCTTGACCTTGATCAACTGGCTGCATCTCTCGCCGAGCTAGAGGCAGAACTCGATCCTACACACGATAACACTGAAACTGCCGATGATGAGCCTGTCGGACTCTCTGGGTCTGCTGAACCCGTTGAAACTGCCCGTGTCGAGTCCGATTCCGATACGGAGATGACTCCTGAACAGCGCGCAAATTTCGAGGAACGCGTCAGGAGGGGTGCAGAGGCGTTGGCAGGGCTCTTTGATGAGAGCAAACCCAGCTACAATTATGTGACTAAAAACGATTTCGTGCCGATTGAGCAGAGACAAGGGTATTCCGATCTCCCTCTTCGCAGTGTAACTGACAGGTCATCTGTTACGTCCACGTTCATTGACATCGACATTGGCGCGTTTGATTCTGCGCACTATGCCGCTGGGTCAGCATCCACACAGCCATTCCAGCTTGTGGATGCGGACACCATCCGTGCAACCCGGTCCAGTGGCCGCACGAATCGTAACTCAAATGAGGAGCGTTCCAGTTCTTCACTTGCCTCGTCTTTTGAACCGGAACATGACATCGACTCGCAGGACGTCGTCTATGAGACTCCAAGTGGCCCTCGCCCTCCGACTATGGAGTGGAGTTTCCCTGCTTTTATGAAGCCTCCAGGCGAAGAGAATGCTGAAACTGAAGGTGAGCCGTCGCAGCCGACTCCTCAGGGGATAGAGACTTATCAGAGCGATAAACGTGCCACTATGGAATGGACGTTTCCCGTCATGTCGGAAGACACTGGCGTCAGTGATGCCGATAAAAGTAATTTCAGTACTCTTAGGGCACCTATTGCTCCGGAGTTCCAGGAGTCAACCATTAGACCTCACGAGGACATTGGAGAACCCGGTGACTCGCGTCCGTCCACCGCTGGATCTGGGTCTATAGCCTCGGGGGCGGAGTATGACCCTTTCCGCTATGACCAGCCCCAGACGCCTCCTGGCAACGGGACCTTCTTCAACAATCTGTCAGAGACCCCGGAATCGACAGGACCTGACAGCTATGAGCAGTCTCCGATTATTCTCGATGGACCAGGCCCGGATGAAGAAGACAGCAATGTCATGGAGATGCACCCCGCTTCTTCTGAAACGCCCGAACTGTTCCCAACTGCCATTCCGGCGAACGGTCGTCTTGAGGTCGTCCACACTGATCGCTCTCCTTCTCTGTCTGTTTCTATGGAACAACATGCCAACATTCACAGCGCTTTGCCAACCGCCAGACATCAGGTGCAGCCAACTGCTACCAAGACTGCCAGAGATCTCAGCAGTGCTAAGAATGGTATAGAGCCAATTCAGTTCCCCAACCTGACTCCTCCTAGCTTGGAAAGCTTGGTGGAAAGCGCAGATGCCAGTATAATAACGGCCGAATTAGACAGACTGCTCGGAGACTTTCTGGGTGCTCTGTCTGCGACCGGTGATGCACTGTCTCGTGTCAAGATCGGACCTGAGAACCCGACTTAATGATGACCCTACTTTATTATTTGAATTCACAAGGTTTTATTCTTTTTCTGTTTTTTTTTTTTTTTTTTTTTTTTTTGCAGATGAGCATGATGAGAGAATATGGATGACTTGACTGGATCCAGTGCTTTGAATACGGATCATCTTTACGCTGTGCGTGGAATGTTTCGTCCGATATTTAACAGCATCAAACCTAATGGCTATTGTCTTAGTTCGAGTTGTCCGTCTTCTTCTCTTCTGGCTCGTTTTGCAATCCCCAGTTTTCGGTTTCAGTTTCGTGCAATATGCTCACTTTACGAGTGGTGATTTTTACGATCTGTTACGGCCATCCTTTGATTTCCCTGTTCCTTCTTCCTCCTATTCCAAAAAGAAAAAAGGAAAAGAAAAGAAGAAAGTGCTGTACTACGACCGGCTATCGTTTTCAATATTCTTTATGTGCTTAGGCATTGCCGGCTTCTTTTTCTTGTTTGTTACCATTGTGAGTCTCGCGATTGCGTTAAATGAAACTGCTGATCTAGAAGTTAGTTATTAGGTGGTTGAAAAGAAAAAATGGAAAAAGGATAGCTCTAGATGTCACTGATCGATGTAATATTAATAGTTAGTAGTAATACTCCATCACTCCATGATGGTAAAAATTCCCAGCAAGCCCAGATGATCCGTAACCCACATCTCCTCCCCGTCCTCTTCATCCTCTTCATCATCGTCCTCATACTTGGGATATTCAACCCATACTTTCAAACCACCGCCCACCCTCACCAACTCCTCCGCTCTAACCCCCCCACAAAACAACATCTTGTCCATACGACTACACCCGAATTTCTTCTGCAGTTGTTTGGAAACCTGTTGACCCCACGTAAAACTCTCTTCAGCGCCGTCCTTACCACCCAAAATGAGGAATGTGTCTTCCAATCCGCATTCAACCGGTGCCGTGAGATCTTCTGGTGCGAAAGCGTTGAGGTCGCCTGCTAGTATTGCAGCGTGTGGTTTGGAGGTATATTGTTTGTAGGATTCAGTATCACTGCTACCGTCCCAGTTCCGGTTCCGGCCATGCATGAATTCAGAAGCGAGCTTCAGCTGTCCCGGTCGACGAGGCGGGATGGACGTGAGGCTTTCGAGGTGGGTGTTGCAGAGTCTTAGTAATAGTGCTTTTGTTTTGCGCACATCTTCATCTTCACTTCCATGATGAAGATCAATGTCAACGAATAATCCATCTCTATTCATCCTCGAACATCCATAATGCACACGGAATACCCTTTGCACGACCAGTCGCTTCTCGACTAACGTCGTGGTCCCGTAGGACGAACCCATCCAATGCGCACCGTCTAGATCGGTTATGTAGAACCTATCGCGAACCCACGGCGCGGCCTGGATGAGATCTAGATCAGATGCCTCCATTTCCTGGAGGAATATAACTGATGGGATTGTATATGTATCCCTATCTGTTTGGCCCTCTTCACTGACGCCCTTGTTGATGGGGGCTTGCTGGGGTGACTCTGACTCTGACGGTAGCAGTTCGAAAAGGTATTCCAATGCAGCACGCATCCGTTGCGATTTGGCAGGTTGCTGGAAGTCGATGTTCCATGTTATCAGTCTTATTTTATAAGAGGTTGTTTCTTGTTGTTTATTCTTGAGTTTGCGTTCGTGCTTGGGGGCTGTTATTGGGGGTGGGTTGGTAACGATCACTTCTTCCCATTCCCTGCTGGTGTGGTTGAAGTGGTAGAATGGCTGCGGGGTTAGGATGTCCTTGTTTGGGGGGTTCATCGTAGTCCAGGACATGTTATTTCTTACTGGACTTCCTCTTCTCGTACTGTTGGTAGAGATATCTGGACAAGTACTTGCGTTGGTGATGATGGGTTAGATGATGTAGGTGGAGGACGTCAACATCTACCTAAATTATCAACGCCGCCATCTCACGGAGAATAAGAGACCTTACTCTGCTGAGGTCACAACGTCTTTTGCTAAATGTCCTCCCTCAATCGCGCAAGGCCGAGATCACAGCTAGAAAACCTGTTGTTGGGTTAAAATATTTACCCATGGTTTCTCACGTCGACTCCTTTAATACAGACTGAAGCTGGTTAGATAGATTGTAGGTCATGCATACTACTGGTTTCAATGAGATCATGGATGGAATAAAAGAGGATAGAGATGTTTGATGTTAACGTACTACTTGATATCTTTCGAAGCTGCCTGAAAATGCTAAGTGAGTGCAACAGGGTTTCCTGGAAGCTCCCTCTTGATGCAGTGGGGATTCCCTCTATTATATCGTGCAACGCGTCTCCATCGAGTCAACCCCCAACACGTCTGTGTTGAGACTTCATAGCCTTTAACTTCTCTTCTCTCTTTACTTTCTATTAGCCTATTTGTACTGATATCAGCATTAGACGCGAATCAGTCCCAGTGTCCTTGCAATGGCTGATGCTCTCAACTAGAATCCATCAGAATATCCAACTATCAACATGCCTACGCGCTCACAGAGGTTGTTGGCAACCTCTTTGGTCTTCGAGTCTTCATCGCCTCCAAGAACAACAGCCCAATGGAAGCGTGTACTCTCCGGGGTCAAGCTGCTCTATATCCAGCGCCAATATAAGCAATGTGCTGCATGTTGTGCTGAGATCCTTCAGACTGCAAGAGAACCAGTAAGTATAGTATCCTAGCCACGATTCTTCAGATAGAGCAGACACACACAAACAGAGAGAGAGAGAGAGGTATTAATAGACCGGATCCATAGGTTCATCCCATCCATAAGACCTTCCTCTATTTTTACAGTGCCATATCCTATGAGATTCTTGGTCGATCAGCTCATAACTATTCCAGCAATAAGATCCCATTCCTTCAGCAGGCGTTGGACTATTTCATGACCTGCAATGAGGTTTTATCGTTCGCTCTTCCTGTCTCAGAGACCGTCCAGGCTGCTTCTCACGACGAGAGCCCTCCTTCGATGGGAGACGTTTCTTCTCTGTCCGGGTCGTCTGGAACCCCGTCCTCTGTGGGGAGTCTTGTGCATAGCATCACACGTATCATTGAGAAGTCAATCGACAGCCCTGGAGAAGACCCTTTCGTTTCTGACCGCGAGGAAGTCCCAACCACTCCTACCCCTGCATCTTTCCAAGTTGCAATGTACTCGGATGATGATAAGGAGAATGTGGCACCTGGCCTCATGCCGCCTCCGCTTCGGATTCGAAAATCGTCCGGGGATCTTGCGTTGGCCGCGGCAGGCTGCCGAGTTGACAATGACATTGTGAAAGTGAAACCTACAAAAAGCGGTATTCCTCCTCGTGGCCAGCAAAGGACTCGCCGACCTCCGCCGCTCCCTCTCCAAATAATTCCTGCGCGGGAAAGAAGAAAGAAGAAAGCATTGGCGATGGAAAACAGAGAAGAAGAACATTGCACACCGTCTAGCTGCTCTTCTTCCAAGACGGTGATTGTTCATCGCGATAAGTGCATGCCCACTTCAGTGACACCTATCTGTCCACCAACGAGCAGGCGTTATAGCAACAGCATCTGCGCCCTGCTGTCACAAGTCAAGTCGAATATCTCAGCGATATACTCCCTGATTGATGATGTGACAGAGGCACAGCGCATCCGCAGAGCCTGTAAGATCCGACGTTCAGCCTCGTTCTGGAGTTTCAGCCCAGCGAAAGACGACTCGCGCACTCAACAAGGCCGGAATGGTACATCCTCCCGTTCCGGATCGGATGCCATGGGGATTGAAAATAAAGAGCAACGGATTGCACGGCTGCGTGCTGAGGGTTGGAAAACAGTTGGGTTGAAATCTGGAAGGCGTGGTTGGAAGGGGGTTGAGTACTATCGCGCTTACTGTGAGTCCGTTTTGAACGAGTTGTATTTGGATGCCTAAATGAAGGTGTTTGGGATCACCTCCTCACTTGGATATCCCTGGCCTTTGCTTCCTTCATTTTGGAGTGTGTTCGAGTCAAACGAGGAGAGAGAGAGATGTTGAAAGCAATCTAATTAATGGTGCAATGCCGGCTTGTTCGGTTCTCTTCCGACAAATGAACAGTATCCACCGAAAGAACTCCGCTACATTCTTGAACGTTAATAGGGAAACTCCCATAGTGCCTCGGCTCCCTCATATAAGGAAGCCATCCTTTTGCAGCCTCAATGGTGGCTGATCTCGGTTCGTTTGTAAAGCTGCGATGCACCGCCGCAACACTCAATTAGACTTTTAGATAATACTAATAATAATATATTAAATATATAGGGTCAAATTGCTGGACAATCCCCGCTCTGCTCCCCCCTGTGGCTGTGCTGTATCTCGTCTTACGCGGTGAGTCGAGATCTCGACAACGCACCCTCGCGCCAATAAATAATATATCTGCCTGTGTTGCTGTTTTCTTCTGCCTTCCATCCTGACTATAACACCTGCTGTCAGCCACTGCAATTGTTGTCGACGCAGAGAAAACAATTAGCAGCCTCGGTTCTGCTGTTTAGTATCAGGTAAGGCTGGCGTGGCTGCATTCAGCTGCTGTCTCTCAGCCTGAAAAGCGCTGCGCTCCCCCCTTTATTGCAGCGGATTTTCCTGGATGTCTTTGATGTTAATTGATCTCTCTGTAGAATTGAAACCCATTTATCTAGCTATTACCGAAATACCTTTCCTGGAACACTTCGTTCTCACCTTCCCCTTCACCTATACCCCGCGCGCCCCCTTCGCATCCTCCATTGCGGGGTCATTCTCGCCTGTGTGGCCTTTTTTTTTTTAAAAAAAAACTATTATTATATTTATTTTCACTCGAAAATTGTGAGACACTAGGACTACCTTTCCTAGTCCCTCACAGACACCATGAGTTGTGAGTTGAGGAATTTCCCTTTTTCTTTGTTGGACGACCATTCTCGATCGAGAGTAATTGGCTATCTACCTATTACTGCGTGCTGGAGCGATAGCTCTTTCCAGACCCTGAATTCGCAATGGTCCTGGTCACTGTCCTTTGCGTCCTTCTGAGCCAAGCCGCAAGCGTCTGGTTTTACGGTCTGAGGAATTCTTGTATTGACTGCATTGATCCCCCGCTGACTGCTTGTTTTCTCTTCCTCTAGTCGCAACTATGATAAATAAGCTGTCTGGACAGCCGCCAAGCTACGAAAAGAAGTACGGATTCGCTGTTCCTTCCATTCCCCTCTGCTGTTCATCTCCGCGTGAGACGGTTACATAGCCTTTGCTCATCGTGTATAGAGCATTGTACAAGTTCGGAAAGACTCTGGGTGCCGGCACGTATGGTATTGTCCGCGAAGCAGACAGCGCTTCCGGAAAGGTTGCCGTCAAGATTATCTTGAAGAAAAACGTCAGAGGCAACGAGCAGATGGTCTACGATGAACTCGAGTTACTGCAGGCCCTCAATCACCCACACATCGTTCACTTTGTTGATTGGTTCGAGTCCAAGGTTCGCTTTGCTTGTGACATGTGGCAAGTTCATCCGTTCTTGTTTTCTGATGCATGTTCTCGATTAGGATAAATTCTACATTGTCACCCAGCTAGCAACCGGCGGCGAGTTGTTCGACAGAATCTGTGAATATGGCAAGTTCACAGAGAAGGATGCGTCTCAGACCATCCGTCAGGTGCTCGATGCTGTCAATTATCTGCACGAGCGAAATATTGTGCACCGAGGTTTGCCCCCATCGTGTTCCCGTATCATTCCTTTGGCAGAGCATAGACCGCTGACCTGGAAGGTGTCGAAAGACCTCAAACCTGAAAACCTTCTCTATCTCACCCCATCCTTCGATTCTCCCCTCGTATTGGCGGATTTCGGTATTGCCAAGATGTTGGAGAGCCCCTCTGAAGTCCTCACCAGCATGGCTGGATCGTTTGGCTACGCAGCACCAGAAGTGATGCTCAGACAAGGCCACGGCAAGGCTGTCGACCTATGGTCCCTGGGTGTTATCACGTACACCTTGTTATGTGGATATTCACCATTCCGTTCAGAATCCGTGTCAGATTTGATGGAAGAGTGCCGAAGCGGACGCATTATTTTCCATGAACGCTACTGGAAGGGAGTCTCTAAGGATGCCAAGGACTTCATCCTTGAACTCCTTCAGCCGGACCCGGCAAAACGCCCCACTTCCGAAGTTGCCCTGAAGCATCCTTGGCTGAAGGGTGAGTCTGCTAGCGACCGTGACTTGCTGCCTGAGATCAGAGCCTACACTGCCAGGGCCCGTCTCAGGCGCGGTATTGAGATTGTGAAGCTTGCGAATCGCATTGAGGCGCTCAAAATGCAAGAGGACGATGATGATATTCCTAGCACGGAAGAGCTGGGAACTGGGTCAGAGAAGGCCGATACCACAATAGCTGAATCCAAGGCGACGGAGGATGCGCCGGAAGCGACCAAGAGGCCAAGTTTGAGCAAAGTTGCTCGTGGGGATATCTTCCGGGAGGTTGTTCTGGCCAAAGTGAGAGAGATGAAAGACAACGAGGAACGGGAGAAATTCGAGCGGGAAGCTCGAGAAAGGGCTGAGAAGGCCACTTCTACTCCTTCGTGATCATCGTCTTCGGCTCTCCGGGGTTTAGTTTTACAATCTTCTGTTTATACCTGTTTCTCTCCCGTTCCTTTCTCTTTTCCATGCTCTATTCATATTTCTGCTTCCGCGTTTTGCTGGGCTACAGCCCATGGCCTATTTAATTCCCCTGGGCAATCGAAATCAGATTTAGCTGGATATTTAGCTGGAGATTTGGTTTGACTGCTGCTTTCTTCGCTTTGTTCACGTCGATTTCTATTTGCTTCCGATTAGCACCCCTTTTGACTGTACGTACATCCTTGTCACTCTCTGCGATTGTACCTAGTGGTCACCAGTACAAAAAGAGATCATGAGAGCGACTGCAGCTGAAGAAGAACCTGCCGAGTAATAGCATGCACGCGTTGTTCGATGTATGCAACACGTGACCAGGACAGCCGGGTGACCGCATCATGGACAACTGTTCGTCCATCGCTGGAGGGACTTAAATAGCACCACTCCCTCCGCTTCATACTCCCGCATCCTCAATAGCCTTTATAGACCATTCAGTCCCCCCTCCTCTGCAGGTCTTCCTTTTTGCTTCCTTCCAGTGTTTCCCATTAAGTCCTTTGAAGGTCGCTCCGTCCACCAGCAAACTGGTCACCCCACCTTCTAAAACGTCATACATGAACTTGCCCGCCTTCGTTACATAGCGCCGTTCCTTGCCTCTATTCACTCCCATCAAGATTGGAATAGGATCAAAATGTTCGCGGGAAAGCGTCTGAGCAAGGTATATATATATATACATGCTTCTATCATGCGCCATTTACTCTGTAATTATTTGGATATGAGGCTGACATGACTATTCTGCGCAATGAAGGAGCTCCAGAAGGTAATTATTACCAATTAAACCCCTCGTCGCATTGTCCTACACAGATGACTCTTTTCACTCAGAGTCTTCATTTTTGACAAGTTTTTCTACCTTCAAGAAGTGTTCGATGGATCAGTGATCCGACAATACAGGAGAGAGTGAAAGTGGCTGATTGATATCCATTTTGGCTTGTCTCTGGCAGATGCACGAACATCTTCCACCGGGAATCGCAATTGTCACGGCGGAGAATTTCGAAGAGTGGCAGATGGATATCAAGGTGTTAGACGACAACCCTCTCTACAAGGGCGAGACCTATCGGCTTAAGTTCACATTCTCGAGCAAATACCCCATCGGTCGGTGTTCCTTTTCTGGAGGTGACTATAATCAACTACATTTGAATTAGTCTCTGACAAGGTCTTGATTACAGAACCGCCAGAAGTCCAATTCATAGAATGCCCCGCAGCCTCCGAATCCCCCCGCCCAATCCCGATCCATCCGCACATCTACAGCAACGGTATCATCTGTCTGGACTTATTAAGCTCCGCAGGCTGGTCACCGATACAGACGGTTGAAAGCGTCTGCATGAGCATTCAGAGCATGCTGACAGCTAATAGTCGGAACGAGCGACCCCCAGGCGACAAAGAATTTGTATCGTACAATCGCCGACGGCCCCGGGATATCAATTTCTTCTACGATGATGATAATGTATAATGGCCTGGAGCTCTTCTTTGTATATATAATATATTTTCCCTTTTGCCTTGGAGAGAAAGAAAGAGAGAAAAAGAAAACAAGGATGACTTACTGTACGGCCTGTTCACGTTTTGCATCTGCGCTGGCGCCAATTTGTCATGGATGTGGGAGTTCTTGGAGGGAAAGTTTCATATTTGTGCTTTTGGGAAGTACCTGTTTGAAGAGTGAGGGGCATTATATTCTTCCTATTCTTATGATTAACAGGTTTCTTCTCCCTTTGCTTCGTCATTCTTACTCGGTCAATTGGGCTGGCTTCTTTTTTTTGGGTAGTTTACCTATTCATTACATTGTCTACCTGCAGACAGACCATTCTCTTTTACGCTTTTCTGTTATATGGCAGGTGCCTATTGATAGTCTTGCGCCTAGCATGCAGTTATTCTATTATATTCCTGTGCAGAGCGTATTGCACTGTTAGAGGATGATCAATCCCCCCAAGTACCAGCATCGTCAAATAATGTTAATAAAAGAAATAGATAAGTAAAAATTAAAAGTCTTGCATTGCATCCACCCCCTTGCTTAGAAGCAACTTCTATTCATGCTACCATAGAACACGTCTGTACATAGTACAAAATATGACTAGCAAAGAGACAAAAAAACGCAAGGAAGAGGGAAAGGAAAAAGACAGAGATGGTATGTAATCAAGGATAGAGAAGAAAGCAATGTAGGCAGGTTAGGTTAGGTTAGGTATTGGAAAACGCCATCAGTAGGGAAAACAGGTGTGGCACAGGCATGGCTTAAGGTCCGCTGCTCTGGACCCATTCATTTGGTTAACACTGCACGCGGCTAAGGTTTTCTGGTTTATTTAGTTTTTTATGGATCCTGGGTTTGTTTTGTTTCTTTCTTCATTTCATTTGATTGCATTTTTGTCATTGTTCCTGACAAGAATGCACATCCATATCATAGTATTTACCGATCAACTTCGCCGAACACGAGATCCATTGTACCTAAGAGAAGAAAGTTAGCCTGGCTTTCTAATACCAAAGCTTTGCTGGGATAGCAAGGGGGAAGTCTACCAATAATTGCAACAGCGTCTGCCAGAAGATGACCACGAGCAACTTGGTCGAAACCACCCAAGTGAGCAAATCCGGGAGCACGGATCTTGCACCGGTAGGGTCTCTCACTTCCATCACTAACCAGGAACACACCCATCTCACCCTTGGGAGCCTCGATGGCGCTGTAAGTTTCACCGGGAGGAACAGCATAGCCCTTGGTAAAGAGAAGGAAGTGGTGGATCAGGGCCTCCATGTTCTCCTTCATGGATGCCCGAGGAGGCGGCATGATCTTATAATCCTCGACACGAACAGGGCCGGCTGGCATCTGGTTCAGGCATTGATGGATGATGCGAAGAGACTGGCGGAACTCCTCCATACGGCAGAGGTAACGGTCGTAGCAGTCACCGTTGACACCCACTGGCACGTCGAATTCGACCTTGTCATAGGCATCGTAGGGCTGTGACTTGCGGATGTCCCATGGGACACCAGAGCCACGAAGCATAACACCAGTGAAACTCATGTTCAGCGCATCAGCAGCCTTGACGACACCAACACCCTGGGTTCTGGCCTTCCAGATGCGGTTATCTGTGAGCAATTCCTCCGTCTCGTCAATTCGGTCACCGAATTGCGTGGCCCACTGGTAAATATCGTCAAGAAGACCAAGAGGAAGGTCCTGGGACACACCACCAGGGCGAACATAGGCAGCGTGGAGACGCGCACCAGAAACTCGTTCGTAAAATTCCTATTCGCAAATAAAACAAAACCTCTGTGTCAGCGGTGCCCAATTGCTCATGCTAATCATTTTTGGGTAAAGCGCGTACCATCAACTTCTCTCGTTCTTCGAAACCCCACAAAAAAGGAGTCAGAGCACCAACGTCCATAGCATGGGACAAAACGGACATGAGGTGGTTGAGAATTCGAGTAATCTCGCCAAACATGGTTCGGATGTACTTAGCCCGCTCTGGGATCTCAATGTTCAGGAGCTTCTCCACGGCCAGAGAATAGCATTGCTCGTTTGTCATCATGGAGACGTAGTCCAATCGGTCGAAGTAAGGCAGAGCCTGCATATACGTCTTGTACTCGATCAACTTCTCGGTACCCCGGTGAAGCAGTCCCACATGAGGATCTGCACGGACAATTTCCTCTCCATTAAGTTCCAAAATCAATCGCAACACGCCGTGGGCAGCAGGATGCTGAGGACCAAAGTTGACGGTATAATGGCGGATTTTGCGGTTCACACCCTCAACCTCGGACTCGAGCCCAGCGGCAGTTTCAGGAGCCGCAGACGCTTGGAATGCCGCATCAGCGGGGATGAGTCTTGTGGCCTGATAGCTGGTAGACTCAGCATGACGTGGAAGAGAGGTTGCTATCGAGCGGGATCTGAGGATGGGGGTATTTCTCGAAAAAGCCGAGTGCCGGAGGCAGAGCCTTTTGGGCGCATTGCCCGCGAGGCGGGTGAATGAGACAGCCATGCGGAACAACGAAGAGAGGACACGGGGGGAGCAGTGACTGACTGTCCTCAAGCAGGACGCATTCAATTGGGAGGAGAAGCAACGCCGGGGTCGCGGACAGGAAGAGGTTCAGCCAGCGATTCATCGTTTCCGTGCTCGGTCACGTGCCTCTCCCGGCGGGAGCGCTGGTCATCAGATCCCCTCTGGTTGGCTGTGGGGCCCGTCTATAGCCAAGACGAACTAAGAGAAAAGGCAGCTAAAAGAGGACTAGTGTGATTGTAATTCTGTGTTGCCTTTGACTAGCGCGTTTTGGAATAAGTAGCACCTTGTCTCCGCCTGGAAGCATGAAAAAAATACTGCCGGCCCAGCCAAATTCAAGAAATTACTGCTATCAAACTGCATGTCCTCCCCCCGCTACAGCCTACCAAAATGGCACCCCTCATCCCGTCGCAGGAAGAGCTAGAACGCAGAAGAGTGCGTATATGTCTTGGCCTTGGTTATTGGCTGCCATTACTGACGCTTCCTGTTTCTGTACTCCTAGATTGTCGGTATCAATGCAGAGACAGTAACGGATATTTCTGCCACTGATTTCCCAGGGCACTGGCCCGGTGAATCCCATGAATGGGCAGTAGAAAAGTTCAAAAGGGTGCGTCGCTTGTTCTGCGCTGAATCAGACATTTCGATCTTTTTTTCTTACTCTTTGCGCATCAACAGGATTTCCGCGTCGAATTCCACCGTAACGAACGATTCGAAGCGTCGTTCTCCTTGATCGGTGTCGATGCAGCGATTGCGAATGCCTTCCGTCGTATTCTCATAGCTGAGGTCCCTACGCTTGCCATCGAATTCGTTTTCGTACACAACAACACCTCCGTGATCCAGGACGAGGTTCTCGCCCAACGACTAGGCTTGATCCCTCTCAAGGGTTCCGTAGAAGGTCTTAACTGGATGCGTTGGTTTAAAAAACCGACGGACGAAGAGCCAGGGTCCGACCCAAGTGACTTCAACACCGTCGTCCTCCGCCTGGACGTGGAATGTACCAGGAACCCTAACGCTGCGCCCGGAGAAGATGATCCCAGGAAACTCTACAACCATGCGCATGTATACGCAAAGGATATCACGTTCCATCCTGTTGGACGTCAGGAGCATTTTTTCAAGGGCGATGATGCCATTCAGCCCGTTAATCCGGATATCCTCGTCGCCAAGCTTCGTCCGGGGCAGAAAATAGAGATGGAGCTGCACTGTATCAAGGGTATTGGGGCTGATCACGCAAAGTTTTCCCCAGTGGCCACCGCAACCTACAGACTCTTGCCTGACATTAAAATTCTTCGTCCCATTCTCGGCGAGGATGCGAAGAAATTTGCCAAATGCTTCCCCAAGGGTGTGATCGGTCTGAAGACGGTCACAAAGGAAGAAGCTGCGCAGAAGGGAAGCGGCTATGAGGGCTACGCTGGCGAGACGAAGGCAGTAGTTATTGATCCTTTCAAGGACACTGTCAGCAGAGAATGCTTGAGACACGACGAGTTCAAGGACAAGGTTAAACTGGGACGAGTGCGGGATCATTTCATTTTCAATGTGGAAAGCACAGGCCAGTTTGAAAGTGATGTGCTCTTCCTGGAAAGTGTCAAGGTGCTGAAGCTGAAATGTGCAAGGTGGAAGAGAGGCTTGACCGACCTCATGCGGTAATATTCTGAGTCCTTACAATATCTAATGCATCGCTGGCGTTGGTTGTCTTTTTTCCGTCTTATGTACTTCTACGCAAAAGTTTGGCTGGAGACTTTCTTTTTCTATTTTAAAAATACCGGGGAGTTGGGACTGGGAAACCGTGATAGAACTTTATGAATGCGAAATTTGGTTTCTATAATACTTGGTTCCTTGCTGAAAATAGCCCGGGAGTTTAGAAATCATTCAGTCATGGCACCATCATACCTCAATGTAGAACTGGCATCAATGAGAGAACACTCATTTAAACACCAACTTGAAGCGGAAATCAATCGTATACGCGGGATCGCTGACGGCAACTTCTTGTCCATCTTCCACAAGATCCTTGATCTTAAGCTTCAAGTTAGGTCTCGTGTGCTCTTCCAGCTGAGGTGGGAAACGCTGATATAATGTCTTTTCTTCAGTGCGCATGCTAGGCTTCCTCAACTGTGCCTCAGCCCGCTCCCCAAGATTCTCGATAAACGACTCCAGAGTAGCATTTGGATCCACTAAGATTGTCCGCGCGAGGGCACCACACACAGGACAGTCTGGTTTTTTCTCTGCTTCGAAGGTGTATGTGTAAACACCTTCTTCACCAGCATACATCATGTAATTCTCCAGGTAAGGGTTGCAAGACGTTGCAATCTTCAGCGCCTCAGAGGTCGTAGAAGCCGCAATGACAGCATTAGTGGAAGCAATAGCCGGTATAATGTTCTTCACCACACCTTGTGCCATCTGAAAGGTAATACCATGGATATGGAATTGGTCCGCCCTTTCGAGGGCTTTTTGGTAAATCCAAGAGATATGTTCTAGGTTGTCACTGTCAAAAGGCTCATCTTTGCGTTGTTCCTGCCACGCAATCTGGTGCGCCCATTCGATACAATGCTGGGGTTGTCGTGGAATAGTTGCAATAGTGCAAAGAGGCACAGCAGGTCGAGGAGCATGCATATCAAGCTGACATTCAATGCACGACGAAAGTGTCGGCAAAATAACACGTGCTTGACCCTTGAAACCTATTTTCTTTATATCAGTATAACTATTGCTACCAACCTGGGAGGGAATCTTTGTATATACCTTCCGTTCCACCATCGATCAGGGGTTTAAGGCTTTCAGGATCTTCGGGATCAACCATCCCAATGAGCGTTGAGTTGATCCACCGACGGGCCTCAATACTATCCAGACCGCATACGATAATCTTAAATTGCATGTAATAATCTTCATCCTTATCCTGGATCTTGCCCACATACGGAGTAATCTTTACTCCTTTGACTCGTTTCTCTACAAAGGCAGCAGCGACCTCTGCTTTGGGCTTTCCAATGTCAGATTGGCGAAATAGGAACTGTCTATTGAGGTTTGAGATATCAATGGTGTCTGTTCATAGATCATGTTAGATGAACTCGGCCTTTTCCAGAGCGGTAGACTTACCCATATCAATTACATGAATGTCTTTGAAGCCTGAAAGGGCGAGATTCTTCAAAATCTCGCATCCTAGTCCTCCTGCACCGCTAGACCACGTTAGCATATTCCTCGTTCGAAAGAAAGACTTCCCAGACGAACATTACCCTAAAATCCAAGTCAGCGATAACGTCAGCAGTGAGATAGTGGCTTCCCTTGTCGTATTCTTACAAGATCTTCGATGATTCCAGGGCATCGATGGTCTCTGGGCCAGGAACCCAATCTTCATCACTGAAAGGGCCAGGTCTGCTCAGTAGCTTATATAGATTTGCCCTATAGTTTGTTAGTCCCAGCGGCAAATATGGCGGGGATTTGGGTGCTTCTACCATCGAGCCGTCGCCGCTCCTGCACCCGCCATTGTCAGGTCGATCGTCTTCGCAATGATCGACTGAGAGCTGCACTTTTATGATACAGTGATGGGGAGAACCGTGGATGCTCAACGAGACTGTGCAGCTCCAGGAGATATGTAAGACTCAGCAATGAGCAAGACACTACCTCGATGTTAAGATGCTAATAGATACAGAGTGGTCGAAGACTGGAGATGTTCCGAGCGCGATTACTCGAGAATTGCACGTGACCTTCGAGTCTTCCAACATGCGTTTTTATTTCCAGACGGTGAACTCTTTCATGGCACACTTGAGCAAATGCTGATACCAACTATCAGTTCAGAATGGATGGACTACTTACAGCTGTGAAAACCGTTACGCGGGATTCCAGAATATCTCTTGAACCCGCAGGGGAGTCTCGTCTTCCGACTGAGCGAAAGACTCTGGCTGAGCATGACGTCGCTTCTCCCGAGCATATTCTAAGTGCTCTAAAATCGAAGCCAGATCACGAGCAGCTTTTTGAAATACTGTCCAAACTGGACCCTGCGAGTGAAAAAACGAAAATCAAACATTTTGACATCAGGGTCCCTTCCCCAATAACGGCTCAAATCCTACAAGTCTTAGCCAGCACGACGATCCCTGATCACTGGAGCAGCACTCTGAACGCGAGCTCCAAGGGGACTGGGACAAGGTACAAAGCAAGAGCTGCATTATTGAGAAGCCTCAGTAGCGTCGCTGGTCTCAACTCTTTAGTGGCGCAGTTACGTTCCTTGATTGTCGTCTCTCGCTCAACATCTCGACAACTTCAAAGTTCTGGTAGCAAGCTTCACATTCAAGCATTACTCTCAGTTCTTTCTGCTCTGTTGAAACCTGGAAATTTTATTTCACGACTACACACGGATATGTTGGCCATTTGTGATAATGACACACAAAAGCAAATCACTTGGAGGGAACTAATTTCCCTCGTTGCTGCTAGTAGAGTCCTCTCAACTGCAGCAGAAGCACTTACATCAATTAGGGAGCCAAACTATTTGAGCCCAATTTCATGGATTGGAGAAGGCTTTCATTATGCGTCCTGGCTGGGCGGTAATATTTGCCACATGGCTTCAAAAATCGATCTGTATAACGAGCTTGGCTGGGAGTCAGCTGCGCTTCTAGCAGGAAGAGCTTTAAGTCTTGGATATTCAGGTAATGACTGTCAAATGCTGCTGTGTTAACGAAAAACTGAACTTTATTTCCAGATCAATTAGTAAGGGAGATCTATACTGGGCTCCTCGTCGACCGCATTCTCCCTGAAAAGTTCAGCTTGCTTCTGGACCATTTGAGGCCAACGGAACAGCTAGCAATACTGGAGGCCATCTTCCGTGATATTGAAAAGAAGCATTTCTCGGAAGAACTTTCTGGAGTGCAAGAAGACACTGCGAGCGAAACAATAAATGACATTGCAGCATTATGTGCTGCTGTCATCGGTAACAGACCATATTTAGAAGCCCGTGTTTTAGAGTGGCTTTCAAAAGGCCAAGGCGGCTCCATTAACACAGCTGGGTTACGAAGAGCGATATTGGCTGTCTTTTCGCCTCACAAGGGTAAGCTGGATAAGAGAATCTGTAGGACGTAATAGGCTAATATTAGAAGAATAGATGTATTGACTTCTCTGCTTACAAAGTGTCTTGAACAATTTGGGGACAAGTTTTACATCAAGCATGCGCCTATCCGGGCTCAGAATGGTTCGTACGGCATACTATCCTAATAAAACTTCCACTAACATGATTTAGCGAATGCGCAAATTGTCCTCCTATCTGCAGGTTATGTCTACAGGCTTGATGCCGCTTTCGTAGAACAGATAGGACGCTCGAGTATTTTCCTCAACTCCATTTCGAACCGCTTGGCAGCAGCCTCCCCCAGATCACGGTTTCTTGGAATGGCTGTGGGAATGGCGTTATCCCAGCTGACAGAGCCACCGGGAAAAGCCATGAGATTTGATCACGAAGAAATGGAGAGTGATGAGGCGGTTTGGTATATGAGCCTTGTCAGAATGAAGGATACTGTCGGCTCGTTGGGGTCTATTGCTTCTAAAACGAAGACAACGAAAAGCTTGCCAAAGTCAAGAAACGACGCAGAATCTGCGTCGACTTCTCGCTCTCGAGGCCGAAATAACCCACAATCTGTCAAAATTGTGTCCATAGAGGAAATGGATAGCGGGGAGGACGAAGAGGACGACCTGGTTCCTTATGAGAAGCCCGATGCTGACCCTTCAGATTCCGAGGATGACCCGACTTTAATCCAGCGCGGAAAGCCGACAGCGCCTGTGTAAGTACTTATTGGTGAATGCTCTTGTTGGCACGACTAACAATAGGACTAGGTACATTCGTGACCTTGTATCATATCTGCGCGATCCCGATAATACAGACCGATATGAACTAAGTGTCATCAGCGCTCCTGCTTTGATTCGACGTAAAACCGGGTTTGGCACAGAAATCGCTGAATATGCAGAAGACCTGGCACTCTCTCTTATCGGTTTACAGGAGAAGAATGGTATTTCAAACTTCCACGAGCTTAAATTGCAGAGCATGGTTGCGCTCATTGTCGCCCAACCGTTGAAAATGGGAAGATGGTTCTCGGGAATGTTCTTCGATGGGGATATTTCTCAGTCTCAACGATCAGCTATTCTCACAGCCCTTGGTCTCAGTGCTCGTGAGCTGGCTGGGTACGGAAAGGAAGATGCGCAGAATCTTGGACTTCCGACTATACCAGACACTTCTTTTCCGTCAAAGAAGTTATCACCGAATCTGGAAACGATGTATCTGGCAGATGATTCCCCCATTGCAAGCCTGACCAGGCAGATCTCCCAGACATCTCTTCAGCCCCTAGTAGCTAATGCGGCGGATACTCTTTCTGGACCCAATGCGCTCAAAGTGCGAACATTCTCCTCACGCATGGAAGTTGAGAAGAGACGCCAACAACGGGAGGCGCAGAGGCAGAAATCAACTTTGAAAGATCGCTATAAGGTGCTGTCAGAGGGCTTCTTTTACCCATTAAAGGGCCGATTTGAGATCATGATGATGCAGTACTCATCGTAAGTTTTCCCCATCAACTCTGTTTCTTATCATGACATGACATCCATGCCAATATGCGACAAACCTACCCCACAAAAGAATCATGTAACTGACGATAATTACCAGGTCAACGGCACCCTCGCACAATCCCTTTTTAATACCTCATTTATTCTGTCTCTTCTTCCAAACCCTGACCCTCATCCTCTCTACCATGGGCCCACACAACCCCTTTCTTCCCTCTTACACACAAGAAACACTCACCCTTCTCCTTTCTGTCCACTCAAACCCAGTCGCAAGTGAACCTACCGTCCTCGCTTCTCTCCTCTCTCTCTTCCTGGTCGTGGTGGATCTGAACGTGGAATCAGGCTCCTCTGGCGAAGAACGGCTCGTGACCGACTTTGCAACACAAGTGGTAGAGCTACGCGAGTGGGCCAATGAGATGTTTAATCGAATCCCTGCAGCTACAGGGGCTCCAAATGATGCCAAAGATGATCCCCAGGAGCAGGCGAGAGTTTTCGCGGCGGGAGTCATTGTGAAGCTCGGTGAGGTCATGGAGAGGTATCAGGGACGGTTAATGGGTGTCAATGTCGGATTCAAATATTGACTGTATCTTCCTTGAAGGAAGTGACTGTTAAGAAGTAGACTATGCAAATCATCCATATATATGTCACTATATAAAATGGGCTTTACCTTCTGGATGCCCATGCTTTCACAAGGGCGCTCAGAGGAGTGCCCACTTAGAATTTCATTTTGCTGTTTCGCTGCCTTTTTTTTTTTTTTTTTTTTTTTTTTTTTTTTTTTTTTTTTTTTTGTTTTTACAATTAGTTTGGCCATTTTCATTTCTGAGCATGGGGCGTAAATAACGCATGGAAGAACTCACCAAAATTTCCAGACTCCTCCAGAGTAATCTGTGGTGAAAAGCCTGCAAAGAGGGCCGTGTAAGCCCCATAGCGAGGCGGATACAGGAGAGTCTTCTGAAGGATGCAAGTCATCATGGCGCCTTGGGTGCGCCAAAAGTCTGAGTCAAGATTGCCAGGGTTCAGTGGTACCGATACAACACCATCAGCCTTGTAGGGAGTGGAAAACTCAGTGGCATGTTGGTAATTACCCAACTTGCTGACACAGTATTGTTCCAAGGCTCCCCTATTCTCAATATTGGTTAAGTTTCTCAATGTAGCCTTTGGGAGCAATGGCTTCAGCAGCAGAGGATGAGACCCAGACCACGCGGATGGAGTTGGGTGGTGAGGTTTTAGCAGTTGAGACAAGTGTTGGGGTTAGATGCTTGGTGAATGCAAATGTTCCAATACAGTTTACACCAAGCTGCAGGTCATAGGCCCTGTTGCGTCTTGCTGCCTTTGAGGGGATACCCAACACCAGCATTGTTGAAGAGGACATGGAGCTTGGATTCCTTGTGAAGGAATTTCTCAGCGGAGGCCTTGACGCTCCAGAGATTTGCAGGGTCAAGAGGAATGAGATCAATTCCCCACTGGACATTGGAACAGTAGCCTTGATACTGTTGATTGCTTTCTGGGTCTTTTCCTTGGAACGCGCCATCATGTAGACCTTGGCATTCTTGGAGTAGAGGATCTGGGCTATCTCCTTGCCAAGACCGGTGTCTGAACCGGTGACAATCGTGACCTGGTAATAGCTTGTTCAGCAGGTGCACTGGTGCAGACAGGTTTTGTCAAGTAGATATACCGTGCCCTTCAAGTCAGGGACATTGCTCTCTGTGAACTGTGGTTTCCCAGGGAAGGATTGCTGCATGAAACTGATGGTGCCTGGCATTGTGAAGGATACTGATGCGAGTTGGATATGATAGAGTCAAACAAAGGAGGGTCGACCAGATAGGATTTTGAAAGTATAAGAAAGGACTGTCTATTCAGTGATTAGGGTTTATTTAACCCCGCGACGGCGGCCAGCGGGCCGAACCCCTGAGCAAAGCAGTGGGGTTAGTGACGGGGGTTAGTGGACTTAAAAGGAAATACGGAGTCATTTTAAACAGCTGTAGTCCCACAAACCCTATGAATCCTACGGTTTCCTTTTAGTATTTGATATCCGGACGCCACATTCTTCATCAACTTCACTCATCCCTGACCGCAGGCCTTTACGAAGACCAGCGGTAAGCCCTGAATCAAGGCTACACGCACGTTTCCCCTTCATTCCGCATCCTCACGCGCATTGTAGGCGCATCTAGTTGTCTCAGCCCGTATCTGTCATGGGCTACGCCCAGCATATTGTAAACTCAGGGCCAATGCCTGAGTACTCTGCTTATTCTGCTTGCTCTGTTTGCTCTGTTTGCTCTGTTTGCTCTGTTTGTTCTGTTTGTTCTGTTTGTTACTGGGCTCGCCTATTTCCTTGTACACAACTTGTACACAAAGCCGTCATCAACGCCTCCTGTTCTCTTCCTTGGCCCAAGGAATTCTTCGTGTATCTACTCGGTTAATGAATTCTATATTAAACCCTCATCAACTACAATGTCCACACCAGGATAATGCAACGTTAAATTGTCATTCTCCTTGTTTTCTTTTTTGATTATTCGCAGAATCACAGCCGCGTTCATTGTCGTACTTGAAGCATTCACTTGCTTGGGCTGGCTACTTTACATATCTGCACTGTTTCTCGAGCCCTACGATGACGCCGTAAACCACACCAAGTGTATCTGATCACCTAACTAGTCCCGAACACCGTGTTTCAAAAAGGACTCATAGAACCGTAGGGGACATGCGTGTTGTTTCAGTGCCTTCAGTTTCTAACAGATGACGGAAATACCACGATCGATCCGCCACCATCAGCTTTGGCAGCCCTCCGAGGACCACAGAAAGCTACTGTGTAGTGAGTCCAAGGGTACAAAATTGCGGTATAAAGTTCTGAAAATCTCCATTTTCTCTTTGCTGTGAAGAGTAAAGACACTGTTGGGAATGCTACAAGGGTACACATCTCAAAGTCGTCTAATACACAGGTCCATAGCAAGACTGTATTAGGGGGCCATTGCCTGTTCTGGAAAAACATCAATGCCAAGAGTATATGTGCATGAATAACAGAAAGAGATAGCCTTTCTGAATATAAGACATCTCACTTATAAGTTATATCCTCGAAGTCCTTCCTATCCTACCTAAGACACGGCATCAATGTGTAACAGGGCAAACCAAATCATATTAAGGCTCTTTAAGAGCTGGATGGTGGTGACGGCGTGAAGAGGCAATCGATATACGGAGAATGCTAGGCACGAGAGTAGGGAGGAAACGTAGGGACGGCTGAGCTCAACTTTCAAATGACGTCCTACCAGGTCCTACGATCTCAACACCCATCCTCATTCTCAGCATTCGCCGCGCGAGACACGGATTCTTGGGGTCCTGGGACGCCATGCTTATTGCCTTCAATTGATCTACTGGACCTACAAGCCGTTCACTCATACCCCAACAACCCGGTAGCGCAACTCCAAAGCCCCATTGCAGAATTACAGGCATGAGTCACTACCTAGACTGCTATGATTAACAGGTCAGTCAAACCGGACAGTGTCAGATCGTCAGAGCATCACAACACAGCCCATAGAACGTATGAAGAACCCCCAGGATTGGAGCATATGAACCTGTTGTCGCTGTCAACAACAACAGGACCTGTTCCACGATTCCGGCAAGGGACACGATGCAAAACCCTGGACCACAATCTAGTCACCACAGCAATTGCACACACCTAAACCCGGATGAAAGCACATCAATCACCATCAATCACAAGTCATGCCAGACTTGCGACGGTTTCATATGGTGAGACCGCGACAGCCGCCATGGCCGGTATCGCCAAAAGTCTACCGCAGTCAAACTAAATTATCCGCAACCACTGTCACTACCAGGGAATGCCAACGCCTGAGGGCCGCTACGTGACCAAGAATTCAACCACCTTCACATTTGACAACGCTAGTAAAATTATATACATGTTCTCGAGTTGTGTGATACAGAACCTCCTCAATGAGAGCCTGACGTCTATTTATAACGCACAATAGACTTAACTTGACAGTACTCAACCAACCCCATGATCCCATACTCAACACCCATCCCACTCTCCTTATGTCCAGAAAAAGCCACCCGTGGATCAGGCCGACTAGGACCATTAATAAAAACGGTCCCTACATCTAGCTGACCTGCAATCCTCTGCGCAGCATCAATGGAACCAGACCACACGCTCGCACTCAGCCCCGCCGGCGTATCATTGACCGCCGCTACTACAGCATCTTCGTTCGAAAAGGGCACGCACGGAATTATAGGGCCTTGACTGTCAGCTACACTGTTCACCCAGGTATGCCACGATGTCAGGTCGAATGGCATTCGACTCACCGAACTGCTCCTCCATAACCAGAGCCGACTCGGCCGGCGGATCATCAACGATCATGGGCCAAAGGAAAAAGCCCGCATCCAAAGATTGTCGGACGAGATCATCACGTCCGCCGTCAGGTTCATCAAGCGCAAAGACATATCCACGCTCACGACAATCTGCAATCAGCCCCTTAAGTTTCATGAATTGCATCTCATTCTGCACGGGGCCCATCACCGGGCCGCCTCCTCCACCAGATCCACACCCCACGGAAATAGACTTGGTGAATTTGACGAGAGCATCCAGGAACCCCTCGTAGATATCCTTATGGATATACAAACGCTTTGTCGCAATGCAGGATTGGCCAGAATTCCACCACGCGCCCATGGCGACTTCGGGGACAATCCTCTGGATTTCCACGTCTGGCATTATGATCGATGCGTCGTTTCCACCCCTAGTTCTGTTAGCGGTTCTTGATCGTCTTCAAGAGGGATTGAGCAACAGACAGTTCAAGCGTGACTTTCTTCATCGTCTTTGCTGCAGCTTCCATTACTTTCTTCCCTGCTGCCGTGGAGCCCGTGAATGAGATTTGCTGGATCCCCGGATGATTGACTAGAACTGGGCCTAGGTTGCCATCGTCGGCGAGGACCTGGAGGACACCAGACGGGAAGATCGACTGTGCCAGTTCAATGAACTTTAGGGTTGTGTACGGGGTAAATGGTCTATCTTGTTAGACGTGTTTTATGCTCAGGCGTGGGGTCGGGTTCGTACGATGGTTTGACAATGACGCAGTTGCCTACTGCGAGGGCAGGCGCGAGTTTCCCGAAGGCTGTCCGGAGTCAGACGGTTATTGTTCCAGCTGGCTGGAGGTATTCAAGTACCTAGCATGATCGGGTCTGTGGAGCTGTATGAGTGGACATATTTGATGCAGTGGGTAGGGATGAGCCTCACAATTCCAAGGGCAGATCGCAGCCACAACGCCCCGGGCTTCATAATGGATGGTCACAACTTTATCATCGTCATCGAACACCTGGTGAGGAAGTGTACAAGACCCTGCAAAACGTCAGTTTAGGGGGCACCTAGTCAATGGGCACCGGATGTTACCTGGATAGCGAAGCCAAAGAGGCGACCAGTGGACTTCAATCTGTGCAACACCTTCCTGAGTTGGAATCAGCCGCGAGGAACAAAACCGCAGGCAACTATGTATGCCAAATAATCATTTTCCCGTTGATCTATATCGAGGTAATCTAACCGTTCGTCCAGTTTCTGCTTGCAGTAAAGCCGTGAACTGTGGAGCCAACTTCAAGAAAGCATCGGCGAATTGACTCAGCAGTTTGACGCGCTCGCTATACTGCAGGCCCGACCATGCCGGAAATGCCTTTCGAGAGGCATCCACTGCATCGTCGACGTCGTCTACTGTTGCAACTGGAACATTCCATAAGGGCTTGCCTGTGGTTGGGTCCACACCGTGATGAAGCTTGCTTGACCCCCGAGGCTTGCCAGCTACGATGTTGTGAAAAACATCGAACGACAGTTCAGGCAACTCAGACATCGTGATATTCGTCCGAATCCTGAACCATCATGGTCTCGATGAGTTGAAGCATTCATATAGTGGCAATGGCGCCGCAGCCCAAAACATCGGCGAGTTTCGGGCAGTTCGGCGAAGACCCATCGAGGAGGGCAAATCTCGCTTGCGTGAGCTGAAAACTATCTGGTCCCATTAATCTAGATCTCGTGTGAGCCACGGCACTGACAGAAACATATGGCCAACGGTTGTTGCACTATAAGTAGCAATGGCAAGAACATTAACATGAAGTAGACAATACATCGGTCTTTCAGCCCCCCATCGCTTCAAAATGAAAGCACCTGTGGATCTCCCACTGGGAGTCGTGTCCTTCCTCCTCCTTGCAAGCACGGTGCTTGGCAGCAGCAGCAGAATAAACAATCATACAAGACCGACAGCGGCAAAAGTGTCCGTCCCCATGCAATCAAGCCCCCTGGGTCCTCTCTTCAACATCACGCTTGGCACACCGCCGCAGCCCTTGACCATGCTAAGCGACTGGACGTGGATGTCGCTTTTTGCACGTTCTGCAAACTGCTTGGGATCGTACAATATCTCAAAATGCATCCCATCCGGCCAAGAATACTTCGATGAGAGGAGATCACGAACATTCGCTACGACCAATCTTTCCGCAACTGGATGGGAAAGAACTAGCTTCCTACCCGGATACGAATTCGCCGTGACGTACGATCGGGACAAAGTCTGCATCGGAGACATCTGCGACAACGGGGTGGTCTTCCAGCTTTCGGATTTCGATATTGCCGTTGACGAGGCGGTTCCGTTTGGTGGAATCTTTGGCCTCTCGCCTGTTTTCCCTTCGGAAAATGTCACATTCTACCCGGCTTCTTATCAGGCCTACCTTGGGGGTCAGCTGGGTCCAAAAGTGGGATTCCATTCCTGTGCAGCGTTGACTTCCAAGTCCACCTGCGGCGGAGGTGATATGCAGACTGTTTTCGGTGGTACGGCCGGCAGTGACGGTTTTGATCCCACCGATGTTGTTCGCTTTGACGTGGATGTCGGGAGCTGCCTCTCTGAGAGTTCTCCGCTGAATGTCACTCCTTCTCGAAACAATTTCTGGGCGATTGAGTGGACGGGGATGTGGATCGGATCGGAGAAGGTGGACCTTAATCGAGAGACCGTGCTCACCGGATGCGCTGATGGGACACCAAGAGCTGTCTTCGATGAGGGCTCGGAGGGTTATGGTGCTCCGGTGCCACTGAATGCACTTGCTGATTTTCTGCTTGCGACCAATGCCACCGAATCTGGCCCAGGCTCAGCGGTATCGTATTTACTGCCAGGAGTCGACGATCTTGATAGGCTTCCGACTCTCACTTATGAGTTCGAGGGAAAGCAGAATTACACCGTCTCACCGAGGACCTACGTGAGTTGTTCCGGGGGAAACTGCACGCTAAACATCAAGACGTGGGATTTTTACTCAAATGGTCCTATGGCACTTTTTGGACAGACTTTCTTCGAGACTCTTTACGTGATCTTGGACTTTGAAAGTCTTCAAGTGGGACTGGCACCTTTGAAGAAGAGCTTGATAGCTTCGGGGAAATGAAGCGGCTGTGGGGTTGATTCTCAAGTATGTGAAACGACTAGAAAGAAAAAAAAAAAAAAAAAAAAAAAAAAACATATCTAAATCCTGACCAGCTTGACGTAAATAAATGAGCATGCCACTTTCTCATCCAGATGCTCCTTGAGGAAAAGCGTTTTAGTCAAAGAGCTCCATGCTTCCAAGGAGGCACTCTGAGCTGCTGGATCATGCACTCCCGCGATCTGCAATGCCTTCACAAAGTATCCGGAGATCACAGCCATCATCCAGTCCACCACGCTGTTGGCATAATGAATGCTTGCCTTTTTTGGTGAATCCGAGTCAGGCTGAGCGGCACGAAGGGTCTCGTATGCAGGGTGCACAATCTCTTCTTCGAATAGGTGTTCCGCCGTCCACACATCTTGGACAGTTTTGAGCGAGTTCTCGACATCCTCCAACGTTCGATCGTATGTTGGGACTCTGAATGCGCTGGCCACTCCGGTTGGAACACGGCCCTCCATCACAAGATTTACCATGGCTTGTCGACACGAGTCCACTAGACCGGGGTAATTAGGGGCTCCTGTTGATGACTGGCCCACCAACGATAGAACCAGAGATCCGCTTGATCGGATTTCCTTGGCTCTCAGACGGAGAAATTGGCATAGGTCATGATCGGCTTGCTCTTTGAGCAGAGCCTGTTCCTCGGTTGACTCGGATCCTTCCTTCCCATCAGACGCAGGAAGAGTGGGATGTCGTTCCAGGTGATGAAGGGTGGCCAGAGAGAATCCTACATCGACGGATTGACTAGGAACGACCTGTTGGTAGAAGCTTCGCGCCACCATGGATGTGAAGATTTCCGGACCGCGTCTGCTAGTCGGGAGCCACTGAGTGTTGCTTATCGTGTTTGCCACGGTGGTGAAGTCGTTCCCAACGCGATCAGTGAAAACTAGACTCACTTCGCCGCCAGCCGTGTCGGTGGCTGGCTTCTGGAAATGCGTTGTGCTTAAGATGTGTCGAAATGGCTCGATTCTTTTGTCGAAATCAGTATTGACAGAATGATAGATGGATCCATCATCAAGTTTTCGCTGTGACTTACGAGTTTACGCCCTGGGCGCATCCGTATTCTACCACTGAAAATACTCTCGGGGTCGCCTCTGCTATCGAGATTGAATCGAACAGCGGTAGAGCTCTCTGCATCGCGGCATACTGCAGCTCTGAATTCTTGTTGTAAAATCCATCACCCTGCATAGGCACATCATTGTCGAGAACTTCCGGGCGTTCCACCGGTTGATCTGCCGGTTCCTGGGGAGAGCGTGAGCAAACGCATCCTTCCAAAGCAGTCACGGGCTGCTGAACTAAAGGCATTGTGCTCTGATAGAGCGTCGTCGGTTTTAGCATACACTGAGGTTTGCCGGGGGACCTCTGCTTATATTATATTCGGCGGGTTTCTACGCCAATTCTTGACCACACCAGCAAAGCGCTCCCCGAGACAGAATTTTAAGAGAAAGGAAATGTATTCGAATTGCAGATTAGACCATCAGCCCGTGGACCGTCTCGTTCACAGGTGAATTGCAGAAAGTACGGCGCCCAGGAAACTCATCCAAGCCGGCAAATCCGCAACCAAAACCCGAATGCGATGAATATCGATCCACCGCTTCAAATCCTTAGTGCTCTTCCCCTGGGAGCGATTTTCCATAATGTCACGAATTGGATAAGCGATAAGAGGCACAAACAAAAAGTGACAAGCAGTGAAACCCAGGCCAGCCCAGTACCATCTCGAAGATCGGAGACGGTCCAGTACCGGGCGATCGGTCAGCAGATTGGCGATTGACGTGGAGACGGTGAGGGTGTTGAGGCCGGCAATGATAAAGATACCCTGCTCGAAGAAGCGACGGAAGTAACTCGGGAGAATCGTCTCAGTCTCGGGCTTGTGCTCTGAGCGCAGAAAGCCCGACAGGTACCAGTGCTCATCCCAAGCATAGACCAGCGCCGACGTGGTGGTGAGAAGTGGGGCAACGCGGAGAAGCTTGAGCGGGTCGAAGAAAAGCCCGGACGCCATGATGTTTCCGGTCTTATTCAATTGGAGATTCGGAGACGGTAATCTAGTGGGAGTAGGGGTCGTGGTATCGTGGTATTCAGATTGCGAGTTGGCCGGGAAGAAGAAAGGGAGGCCTGAAGGGCCACAAACAAAGTTATGGCTGGAACGGGCCGAACAGAACCCGCCCAAAACCCGCAAAACCCGCAAAACCCACCGAATCGACGCCGAAGTTCGATGTTTTGGGCATCGTTCAATACCCACCGAATTGGGGCGAAGTAAGGAGCCGGAAAAGCGGCTAGACAGGCACCTACAAACATAGTCCCGCTCCCGCCACGATTTCTAGGGCTGAACTTTTAGCTCGGCGGACCTAGAAAAATGAAACTTTGTCAACGACCGCAACTATCAGGAATCTAGGGGAGTTAGAGTTTTGGCGAGTGAGGCAGTTTAGGACTTGGGGCTTAGAGAGCTCTCACGTCTTTTTTTTTCTTCTTCTTTTTTTCTTTTTGTTTTTTTTCTTTCTTTTTTTCCCTAGGGATAGTTAGGGCTTAGGGCTTTAAAGTGCTCGCGGCACCTCGAGATTTCTAGGGCTGAGGCGAGATTTTCTAGGCGCTCGTTATTACACATATAGGTTTATTATTATTATTTAATTATTATTTTATTGTATTTCTTGGTACGACTCTAGGGTTAGAACCACAGAGCTACCTAATTGAAGAAAGCAATTGCCAAGATTCTCAAAAGACCCTAAGCCATTACCGCGGGTTGCTTCTCATCGCGATCCGTATTTTCCACCATGCCAAAATCCGTGTTCAGCTCGTCCCGGAGGTGAAGCCCCTTGATCAAAAATGCCAGGGGGAAGCCAATCCCCGCGAATGCGATTGACACATACCAAATCAAGCGCAGACTATCTACATAAACACGGATTATATCCGTTTTGAGGGGCGAGCCATCATACGAGCGAAGGAACGCGGCAGTAGCATGTTCGTAAGCTCCGCCGTTACCCAGGAGCGCTCTGGTAGCCGCATCGGGAATGGAGGCGACGAGCTTGTTTACGTGGGAATTGAATATCGCCGAAGGGATAGCAGTGCCCCACACAGACCCGAAGCTCCTCAGGAATGTCCACGTCGCGGTGGCCCTGGCCACTTCAGACTCGGGCAAGGCGGCGAGGATGGCCGGTAGACAACTGGTAAAGATGAAGCCGGCGCCCACACCAAACAAGATCTGGAAGCCTACCCAGTCGCCTGTGGTTGAATGCTCGTCAAGAAGACTGAAGAGTCCACATGCGACGGCCATCAGGGCGAAGCCCAGGAAATGGAAAATGCGATAGTGGCCGGTGACCGTGATCAGAATGCCAGCCATCACGCCAAACGGCGCGGTTGTTGTTGCGATGGGAAAGAGCATGATCCCGGACCGTGTGGGTGAAGCCCCTAGCACGGCTTGAAAGTAGACCGGCAAGAAGTAGCACGCCCAGTACAGGAGGATTCCATGCAAGAAGCTCAATATGTATGTGGTGGCAGAGGTGCGATTCGTGAAGAGAATCATCGGCATGGTGGCCTCCTTGACAGCCGGAGAAGCTTCATAGACCAAGAACCCAACGAGACCGACCAGCCCGAGAACCAACGGGACAATTGTACGCCACGAGGACCAGGCATGCACAGTCCCACCCCAGGTAAGAGCCAGCAGAACGGATATCACCGCAAGGATGAGAATGGTGTTGCCCAGGTAGTCTACTCGCTTGAGGCGGTCGATGATCGTACCCTCACGACGGTAATGCAGATGCAGGAACGGAGCCAACAGAGCAAGGGCGACACCCGACAGTGGAAGATTGATGTAGAAGATCCACCTCCAGGTGGCATGCTGAGAAAAGGCACCGCCGATGATGGGGCCAACAACCGATCCAATCGCCCACATCGAACCGATCATTCCCACATACTTTCCTCGTTCGCGGAGCGAGACCAGATCACACACCACAATTTCGACCATGACATTGATGCCGCCTCCGCCGATGCCCTGAACGGTCCGTCCTGCAATCATCATGGCTGTGTTATGTGCACCGCCAGCAATGCCGCTACCGAGAGCAAACAGCGCCACCGAGAGAAGGGTGAGGTATCGTCGGCCAAAAATGTCGGCCGCCTGTCCGAACAGTGGCTGGACGGCCGTCGAGGCGAGCAGGTAAGACGTGATTGTCCAGACATAGAGCGTCTCCGAGTTGAGTGCTGCAGCGATGGTGGGCAACGCGGTCGAGATGATCGATGTATCGAGAGCCGCTAAAAACGCAGTCATACACAGGGCTGAGAAGATGACCGCAAAGCGCCAGCCCTTCTTGGGGCTGGAACCGGTGGTGTCTGGCTCGGCCATGATGGAATGATGGAGAGCCGAAAGGTTCACGTCAAAGGGAGAGGGAGCGGCATGGGCCAATATTTAGAAAATAGATGAGATGTGGAATTGGACCGACACATTCGGTGGGTTCTTTTGGCCGGCGAGACGAAGCTCTGACGGGATATTAAGGGAAACATGCCCACGGTCCCCTCCCCCATGGGATCGGGATCACCTTGCATTTACCGTTCGATTACCATTCTGGACGATGGCATTGGCTTCCGCAGTGAAGTGCATTTCTGATGTGGGCGTGACCTTTCGCAATGTCTCGCTGGCCATCCTTCTGTGCTTCATTGCCCCCCGCATATGGAAGGTATTTCTGCTCCTAGTACCTATTCCTGGCGACGAGAAAGGAAGAGTTCGGCTGATTCCAAAGCCAGATTCTTGTCAACTCAACCGCAGTCCTTAACCGGATCCCCGGCCCTGTTAAACACAAGCTGTCCGAATGGCCGCTGGTGATCGCCATCACAAAAGGCAAAAGCCATGTCACCATGCAAGACCTGCACCGCCAGTACGGCCCGATTGTCGTGCTGGCCCCTGGAATGATTGGAGTCTCCGACCCGGAAGCAATTCGCCGCATTCTTGTCACCGAGGACTGGCCGAAGTCCCACGCGATCTACGCGAACTTTCGACAAGACCCTGAGCGCCCGACACTCCTGGCATTCACGGATAAAAAGGCCTACTCGCGGCGCAAGAGATTGGTGTCGTCCAGCTTCGGCATTCGATATATCAGAGGAATGGAGCCGATCATGAGAGAATGTGTGGCCGTGGCCATCGATCAAGTCTCGGCCGCCTGTGACAACAGCCAAGGTGCAGCAGTGATTGACGTGCACCGCCTCATCCGCGCGTTGGCAGTCGACATAATCGGAGCCACGGTGTTTGGAGAGACGTTCAATGTCGTCCAGCAGGGGAGCCACCCGCTGCCTTTGAAAATCGAGCGCAGCTTGGTTCTCTCTGGTATCTTTCAGTTCCTTCCGTGGCTGAAGGGACTTCCCTGGTTTCCCACGCGCGACCCGTACATTGATCAGTTCACCCTGGGGATTGTCAATCGAAGACGGACTACCATGACGGATGATCCTCGGCAAGACCTTCTGCAGAAGCTTGTTGAGGCTGTCGATGACCGGCCTGGCTCTCTATTCCGCACGTCGGATCTGCAAGACGAGGCCGTTGTCTTGTTGACCGCAGGCAGCGAAACCACTGCCAATGCGGAAATATTCTTGCTGATGTTGCTGGCCAAAAACCCCGAAAAACTGGAAAAGTTGCACGCCGAAATCGACAGATGCTATCCGGATGCCAGGCAAGAAACTACAGCAGAATCGTCCCCGGAGATGCCATATCTACAGGCATGCATCGATGAGACTATGCGACTATACGCGGCTATGGCAAGCGGCAGTCCACGAGAGACTGTCGAGGATACAGAGATACTGGGATACCAAGTTCCCCGGGGGACTACAGTGTTCCCAACGACAGCCACGCTCCATTTGGATCCCTCCGTATGGACTGCGCCAGAAGAGTTTATTCCCGAGCGTTGGATCGAGTCGAGCCCCGATGGTCCAAAACAGCCACGTGTGCCGTTCTATCCATTCTCCGCAGGAAGTCGGGTCTGCATTGGAAAGCACTTTGCCTTGCAGGAAATCTTCCTGTCCATCGTGACCTTGCTCAGAAAGTTCACATTGGAGTATGTCCCGGGACAGGACGAATCGACTGTCTTCAGGGTGGCGTTGCAGCTCCAGGCTGGAAAGTACATGATGAAGGTTCGGCGTCGATAGCTTTGCTCAATGGTTGTATTTATAAAAATTGGACAATTTGCCATTTCTTAATGTTCAATCCGCTCGTCAATGAATGTAGCCTCCTGGAAAATAGACTGCACATCCTCCCATGCGATGAGCCGTTGATACAGCTGGGTAACCAAGGGAAACTCAGCACGCATCTTCGCATCGATGACCTGCATAAAGCCCCAGTAACATGCGCCAGCCAAAGTGAAATCTGCCAAGCTTGGTTCATCCCCGGTAGCCAGCCACTTTCGCCCAGCCAAGTAGCGTTCCAAGCAGCCCAGTCCTCGGCGAAGAGTCACCATGGCCTTCTCCTCCACAGATGCATCGAATGGCACCATTCCGACTCGCCACATTACCAATTGCGTAACTGGGCCCATGATTTCATGATCCGAAAAGCAAATCCACTGCCGGATCGTGGCCCTTTCAACGGCATCTCTGCCCAGGAGCTTGTCACGGAAGGGGCCACTCTCAGCCACATACTGTGCAATTGCGTCGGATTCAAATACCAGAGTGCCGTCCGAGCCTTCGAATGCTGGAACTTTGCCCAAGGGGAATTTGGCCAGGAACTCGGGAGATTGGTTCGTGATGCCCATCTGAAACTCCCGGGAAACATTAATTTCCAATCCGTTCACCCGGGCAGCTGCCAGGATCTAGTTCAACTCAAGTGTTAACGGGAAATTACACGTAGCAAGTTGAGTGTAGGGGCGGATATACCTTGAGAACCCGCGCATTGGGAGTGTATGTGTATAGTGTACCGAAAGCCATGGCTGGCTGACAAGGGGCAATCCAAACCGGGTCCTACGCGTATTCTTTGGTTCAAGAAGAAGAATGGGATTGATAATGTATCGAAGCTAATGAAACCGGGATAAGCTATGGGAAATCCGCAGCTCGCAATGATCCCAACCGGCGGGTTTTGGTCATCGGCGAATTTCCAACTGTTGATCCAGCCACGCAAACATACGCTGCTGTTTCATGCCAATTGCGCCAATCTTTGCTTGTAGGCCCCCGAGGTCCACACCCGTGGGCACCCACAGGTCTTTCCGGTGTTCAGGTAAATGGTCGAGGCGGGCGAAGATTCGGCGCGCATTCAGATCAGGCGTGAAGTACATGGTGTCCTGCGCCCCAGTAACAAGGACCGCCCCACGGATCTTATGGAGAAACTCCGAGCCGTCTGACTGCTTTAGAGTGAATGTCTGCATGGTGCGCATTACATCCGCTGGCGTGGCATCTCCATAGACCCACATGCTGTGTCCGAACTCCCAGGCCAGTTGGAAGCTTTGACGGGACAACACGGCCACAACCGAATTGAAGACGGAGTCACTCATCCATCCTGATATCCAGCTATTGATGAACCAGGAAGGCATGCGCGTCCGAGTAATGTCGAACATATCGTAGAATCCATCGCAGGAAACGCATGCTTTGATCCGAGAGTCGGCTGCTCCACGTAGCGCCAGATAACCGCCCATTGATGCCCCGAAGATCGCAATGCGGTCGATATCAATCCGGTAGGCTGATGGGATGGCGCCCCCAGTCACATAGTCAAGAACACGGGAGATCACAACTTCCCAGTCAGGCCGGAAACGGCGTTTCTGCTGACGCAAAACAGCCCCCTGACCCGGCCCGTCGAATATGAGAACGGCGTAGCCCCGGTTGGTCGCTCCGGAAGCAACATAGAAGTAGAGCTCCTCGCCGATGGAATCAAATCCACCGGTGTGGATCAGAAGTGGTGTGCCACCAGGGAGTTGCTTATGCGCCGGTGGGAGGAAGAGGTAGCCAGGCAAGACCATGTCCTCGAAAGGAATTTCCAGAAGCGGAACTTCTCCGTCGAATAGCTTGATCGCCTGTCGGAAACTTGCCACGCTCTTCTCGAAGACTTCGCAGATTTTCGGATCGGTGGGATTGCAGTGCAGGAAGAACTCACTTGCTCTCCAGTAGTTTGAAGCTCGAAGAAAGGCCCATCGAGCTGCTTCGTGATCCTTGACTTCTAGGGCTTGGGCTCCGAGGCTGTCTGCCATTTTGCCAAATCTAACCCATGTTTCATGCCAGCTGTCGATATTGCCATCTTGGATGCAAGATTTGGCAGCTAGGCATTCACCTATCTCGGCCCCTTGTACAGGGGCAGTGCCGATGACTCGGAGGAACTCAAAGTCAAAGAACTCGGATCGAAAGAACCAACCCATTGCAATAGGATATCTTTTCTTTTTTGGCCTGGGAATAGGAATAGTGAATTCTGAACAATGCTTCCAACGGCGCCAGCGTTAGGAAGAGCGGCGTTCAAGAGCAGAAGTTTAAACTCCTTATAATTCGGTGGATTTCAGTTCCACGAGGGCCAACCAAGCTCTATGGGGCCATCGGATTGCCCTATGCTATCTTCTGTCGGATATTTGATCCCAGGTCCTATCCATATACTGTGTTATTAGCCATCTCTTGGGCCATTCATGGTGTTTTGCCCTGCACTTTTCACCGATACATTGTACTATACCTAAACAACAAAAGGCCAGGGCTCATCCAGCCTGCAATATACCATGGCACGGTCACAATATACCACGGAGCCCATCGTGGTTGTCGGCACTGGCTGTCGTTTTCCGGGAGGCATCAACAGCCCGTCCAAGCTCTGGGATGCCATTTGTTCACAGCGTGACCTTCTCTCGCCAATTCCCCCTTCTCGGTTCAATCCAAAGGGGTTCTATCATTCCAATGGCGAGCGCCACGGAAGCACCAATGTCGACAGAGCATATCTTCTCGAAGGAGATATCAGCGCTTTCGATGCCGCATTCTTCGGCATCAACCCACGCGAGGCCGAAGCAATCGACCCACAACACCGAATGCTTCTCGAGACCGTGTACGAGGCCATGGAAGATGCAGGTCTCACAGTAAACCAGATGAAAGGCTCTAACACTGCAGTCTATGTTGGTCTGATGACTGGAGACTATCACGAACTGCAAATCCGAGACCCGGAAAATATGCCCGTGTATATGGCAACGGGCACAGCGCGCAGTATTCTGTCCAACCGACTGTCATATTTCTTCGACTGGAAAGGCCCATCCATGACCATTGACACGGCATGCTCGTCGAGTCTGGTGGCGTTACACCATGCCGTGCAATCACTCCGCTCCGGGGAGTGCCAGGTTGCTGTGGCCGCTGGTGCCAATCTCATCCTGGGACCGGAGATGATGATAGCCGAATCGAACCTGCACATGCTGTCCCCCACGGGACGGTCACGTATGTGGGATACTGCAGCCGATGGATATGCTCGTGGAGAAGGTTTCTCTGCGGTGATGCTGAAAACGCTCTCCCAAGCCATCGCCGACGGTGATCAAATTGACTATATCATTCGCGAGACCGGTGTGAACCAGGATGGCCGCACTCAAGGAATCACCATGCCCAGCTCTTCGTCCCAGACAGCGCTTATTCGCCAAACGTACCGTAAGGCTGGTCTTGATTGCACTCGTGTGGAGGATCGGTGCCAATTCTTCGAGGCTCACGGCACCGGAACCCCTCGCGGCGATCCGATAGAAGCCCAGGCCATTCATGATGCATTTTTTGCATCCAAGTCGCCGGAGAATTGCGGCATCTATGTTGGTTCCGTCAAAACCGTCATCGGTCACTTGGAGGGGTGCGCTGGCTTGGCCGGCCTGGTCAAGGCAGGAGAAGCAGTCCGCAGAGGAGAAATCCCTCCCAATATGCATTTCAATCACATGAACCCTGAAATTATTCCCATCTCGCATGGCATGACTGTTCCAACGCAAACTCTTCCGTGGCCCAGCTCGAGCGGCGTCCGACGGGCCAGTGTGAACTCCTTTGGATTCGGAGGCACCAACGCCCATGCGATTATCGAGAGCTATGACCAGTCTCCAAAGGAACCACCTACACCAAGCATCTGCTTGCCATTGCCTTTCACATTCTCTACTTCAAGTGAGAGCTCGCTAGTTCAGAGCATTCGCAACTTTGTGGAATTCCTTGAATCAAACGATACTTTGGAGCTGAATGATGTTGCGTCGGCATTGTCAACCCAACGCTCCCAGCTCCCAGTCCGAGTTGCATTCTCAGGGACTTCGAAGGAGCTTTTGCTTGAGAAAATGAAGGATTCTCTGGGTGCAACTTCACTGGGTGAACGTAAGCAAAACACGACCGGAACCGCCAAGATTCTTGGAGTCTTCACTGGCCAGGGTGCACAATGGCCTCGAATGGGAGGGGAACTTGTCAAATTCTCGCCTCTGGCCCGGCGCACGCTGCTGAAAATGCAGCACTCCCTTGATTCCCTTCCTGACGGACCTTCTTGGTCAATCGAAGATCGGCTCCTCAACATGGAAGACCCATCGCAGATTCAAGAGGCCGCATTATCTCAGCCACTATGCACCGCTGTGCAGGTCATGCTTGTGGAGCTATTGCGCACTGCTGGAATCTCTTTCGACGTCGTTGTGGGCCACTCCTCCGGCGAAATTGGCGCTGCCTATGCTGCCAGGCTGCTCTCGGCAGAGGACGCTATTCGCATTGCCTATTATCGGGGACTCTTTGCTAGGTTGGCAGGCAGTGCAACCGGTGGATCGGGTAGCATGATGGCAGCAGGTTTGTCATTTGACGAGGCCAAAACTTTCATTTCAGAAAATGGGTTTCAGGGACGAGTTTGCATCGCAGCTAGCAATTCTCCTCAGTCGGTGACACTCTCTGGCGATGAAGATGCCATCGTGGAGGCCAAAGTCGTGCTGGACAAACAGCAGACTTTCTGCCGTCTGCTCAAGGTTGACACGGCTTACCATTCTCACCATATGATTCCGTGTCTTGAGTCCTACTGCGCAGCACTCCGCGCTTGTGAGATCTCTCCCCTGCCACCCATAGAAGGATGTTCCTGGGTCTCCAGTGTTCATGGGCGTCTGATGACAACCGCGGAAGAACATCAATCTTTGACAGAGGCTTACTGGCGGGATAACATGGCACAAACTGTTCTTTTCTCACAGGCTGTACAAGCAGCCCATGCAATGTATGGGCCATTCGATATTGGACTGGAGGTCGGGCCTCATCCAGCTTTGAAAGGCCCTACCACCCAGGCAATCAAGGCAGAGAGTAACCGGGCTCTCCCTTACAGCGGTACTCTCGCCCGCTTCGGCAATGACATCGAGGCAATGGCCGATACCTTGGGCTTTATTTGGAAAGAATCGGGTGCCCAAGCCGTTGATTTTGTTGGATATAGCCAATACGCCTTCAACATATCCACCGGCAAGCTGCCACGCCAGTCACTTCCCCCTTACCCTTGGGACCACAGCCAGAGCTTTTGGAAAGAGTCGGTCATGTCGCAAAACTACCGCCTTCGATCGCTGAATCGCCATGATCTTCTCGGTGCTCGCTGCCCAGATGACCATCCTCATGACATGCGCTGGCGAAACACTATTCGTGTCTCCGAGGTGCCTTGGCTATCTGGGCACAAGGTGCAAGGACAGATCATTTTCCCGGCCGCTGGTTATTTGGTCATGGCCCTAGAGGCCGCGAAGGAACTGTCTGACGACAGGCAAGTTGCGATGGTTGAGCTTCAAAATGTCGAGATATCCAGAGCCATTGCCCTGTCCGAGGATAGCGCTGTGGATGTAATGTTCCATCTCAAACCGGCCATGGGTGCTTCTCGTCGGATGGCAGAGTTCTCATGCTATTCAGCAACACCTGGTAAGAATGGCGCAACATGGCATCGCAATGCGTCCGGGCAGGTCAAAGTGCACCTCTCCGATGAGGGCCAGTTGGATCTTCCCCAGCGACAAGAGCCCCCCGCCTCCCTCGTCCCAGTCAACATGGAGTATTTCTACTCGTCTCTCACCGATATTGGATTAGAATATACCGGGCTCTTCCAGCGTCTTGATAAGATCCAGCGGCGCGCTGGCCATGCTATTGGACATGCCGAAGACATTCCCGTTGATAGTGAAATGCCTGTTATGATTCACCCTGCTCTGCTCGATGCCTCGTTCCAGACCATCTTTGCTGCTTTTTGCTGGCCTGGAGACGGTAGTCTGCATAGCCCATATGTCCCGACATTCTTGAAATCTCTCCGGGTAGTCCCTGCACGGGTCGATTCTGGCGCAGAGAAGATGGTGGTCGACTGCACGATCACCGAGTCCAAGGCACAGACAGTCTCAGCGGATGTGGATATTTTCTCTCCCACTCGGCCTCGTGTTCAGCTGGAAGGCTTGACTTGTACCCTCCTTGGGCAGCCTGCCTCTGCCAACGACTGCGAGCTCTTTGCCGAGACAGTCTGGAAGGCAGATGTGGATTCCGGACTGGAAGATCTGAAGCTTACCACGGATAGCGCGAGCGATGTCGATCTGGTTGATCTCTGCGAGCGCTTGTCATATTCCTATCTTCGGGAGCTCAACTCCGTGGTCCATCGTGAAGACGTGAAGACATTTGTCTGGCACCACCAGCGGATCTTTGAATTCATAGATTACCTCTTCCCACTGATCCAGAGCGGCAATCACCCCACGATCCGCAAGGAATGGGCTAATGATTCGCATGCTTGGCTTCTGTCGGAGGCCGCGAAGCATCCTGGCCAAGTTGATCTCCAGCTCATCTCAGCTGTTGGCAAGAATCTTGCCGCTGTGGTTTACGGCAAAACCACCATGCTAGAACACATGATTGAAAATGATGTCCTCGATCGATTTTACAAATACGGCCTCGGCTTCCAAAGAGCAAATGGGGCGCTAAGCCGTCTCGCCCGCCAGATCTCTCATCGCTATCCAAGAATGAACGTCCTCGAGGTAGGCGCTGGTACTGGTGGTGCTACGAAGGGAGTCCTTGAGCAGCTTTCGGGAACTTTCTCAAACTACACTTTCACCGACACTTCCACCGGTTTCTTTGAGAAGGCACAGGAGCAGTTCCAGAAATGGTCTTCTAAGATGACCTACAAGGCGTTGAATATCGAGGGGGATGTTGCTGCGCAGGGCTTCGAGGATGGAAGCTTTGATCTCATCATTGCCTCCAATGTACTGCACGCTACCCAAAATTTGGAATTCACCATGCAGAATGTGCGGCGGCTTCTGAAACCCGGTGGCTATTTGCTGCTTTTGGAAGTGACAAGCGATATCTTGAGAGTGAAGTTGATGATGTCTGGTCTTCAGGGCTGGTGGCTAGGAGACTCGGACGGCCGTCGTTTCGCTCCTACCATCTCTCATACGCAGTGGGATGATCTGCTGCGCAAGACTGGCTTCTCTGGGATTCAACAGCGTGTCACAGACTTTGAAGATACCACCAAGCACATGACCTCGGTGATGTTGTCCCAGGCTGTCAACGACGTTGTTTCTCTGCTGAAGCACCCATTGGAACACACAACTCCCAACCTCCCTGTCAACCGGATCGCGGTCATTGGAGGTCATTCTCCAGCAACAAAAGTCCTCGCCGATGATGTCGCATCGCTCTTATCCCCATGGAGCACGGCCTCGCCTCTGCGTTTGGACACCTTCGAAGAAATTCTTCGCCACCCTAACGCTGGAATCACCTCCATTGTGTCCCTGGCGGACTTGGATGAGCCGCTGTTCATGAATGTCCACCGAGGAAAATTGAGCGGAATTCAGAGTGCCCTGGAGGGGTGTCGCCAAGTCCTTTGGGTGACCTCTGGTGCACGTGCTCGGAACCCGTACGCCAACATGACGATTGGACTCGGTCGGTCTCTTCTCTACGAGTATCCCCATATCCGGATGCAGTTCATGGACATTGAACATGATGTCCAGAACAAATCTACACATGTGGCAGCCTCACTCGCGCGTCTTCTTATCGCGGACAAGCATGACCTCCCTTCAACGGAGACGCTGTGGAGTGTGGAGCCAGAAGTTGCACTCGAGGGAGACAGGACCATGATTCCTCGAATACTTCCCAATGAGCGTTTGAACAATCGCCTCAATGCAGGAATTCGGCAGATTACCGAGCCGACTTTCCCGGCAGATTCCTGCATTCTGGTCTCCTGTGATGATCGGGCTGTTTCTCTCCGTGCCAGAGAGAAGCCTGCTTTCTCGACCTTAGACGCTATTTCGATCCGCGTGAGATACTCGTTGCTGCACGAGATCCAGATCACGGGTACGATAAAATCATACATCGTCAGTGGTGTTGTTGAGCATCCAGGCTCCAGTAAAGACTTTGCTGCAGGAAACAATGTCGTCGCATTGGCAGACTGCAATGCTTCACATGTCCAAGTCTCCCCTGAGCGGGCTATCTTGATTGACACTCTTGATCCGGGAAGACTGCTGCAAGTGGCCCTTGCTCTTATTGCAAAGAGCATTTTGAGCGCGGTCAAGCCGCGTGGAAATGTTCTTTTGATTGACCCGAATCCGACTTTGCAGCGCTTTATCGAGACCGAGGCTGTTGAAACGGATATCACGGTGACGGTGGCCTCCTCAAACCGCCAGGATCCAAATGCTGTTCACATTTCTCCATTTTTGGCTCAACGACAGCTTGAAGCGCTCTTCCCATCGAAGATTGACCTCGTCTTCGACTGCTCTTCTCAACAGACTCATTCGGTCAGAGGATTCTTCGCCCGGCATCACACAGTCACAATGGCAGATCTCTTCTCTTTGAAGCCTGCCGTGAAGCCAAATTCCCTTGTTGGAAGCGCGAACTGCCAAAAGAACTTGCTAAAGGCAAGACATGCCATCCGCAGTGACTTCCCGGCTGTCGGTGATTGCATTGACCTCGTATCATTGAGTGATTTGACGAAACTGCCGCTCAATACTGCCAGCTATTTGTCAGTCATTGATTTTGCCTCTGAAGCGGTCATCCAAACGGTAGTTGAGCCTATCCAGCCTCAGGATCTGTTCCGAGCGGACCGTTCCTACCTTCTTGTCGGCTGCACCGGTGGATTAGGACAGTCACTCACCCGCTGGATGGTGAAAAATGGCGCTCGATACCTTGTCTTAACCAGTCGTCAAGCCAGCAAAGTTGACCGCAGATGGTTAGATGAGTTGAGTCAGATGGGTGCCGAGATAAAGCTCCATGAACTCGATATCTCCAACAAACAGGCGCTTCTTGCCATGCACGCTGAGCTGCAAGATTCATTCCCACCCATTGCAGGCGTGGCAAATGCGGCCATGGTACTTTCTGACCGCTTGTTTAGTGACATGACCGTGGAACATTTGAACATGGTCTTAGAGCCCAAAGTCACCGGTACCGCCAATCTCGATGAGATATTCTCAACTCCAACTCTCGACTTCTTCGTCTTGTTCTCGTCCTTGGCAAGCATTGTCGGTAATCGTGGCCAGTCCAACTACGGTGCTGCCAACCTGTTCATGACCAGCCTGGCAGCTCAGCGCAAGCGCAAGGGCTTGGTCGGCTCTGTTCTGGACATTGGCATGGTGTTAGGTATTGGATACGTTTCGCAAAACGGCATTTACGAATCAACCCTTCGAAAGTTCAACTACATGCCTATCTCTGAACCCAAGTTTCATGTGATGTTCACCGAGGCTATCGCCGCTGGTCAGCCGGAGAGCGAAACACAAGCCGAGATCATCACTGGCCTCCATCGTATTGCCGAGTCCGGTGATAGTGACGAAAAGGCGTTCTGGTCAGGAAACCCCCGGTTCTCGCACTACACTATCCAGGACAACCGGGACCAGGAGAAAATTTCCACTACTGTTGTCTGCCTCCGAAAGCAGCTGGCCGATGTGAAAGAGCTTGAGCAGGCCTCGGAAATCGTTCTGGACGGCTTCCTCTACAAGCTCGAGCGTGTTCTGCAGGTACCCGCAGCTAACATAAATCCTGCTCAGCCACTCGTCAATCTTGGAGTCGACTCATTGATGGCTGTTGAGGTTCGATCCTGGTTTGTCAAAGAGGTCAACACTGACATCCCGGTTCTTCGCATTTTGGGAGGTGCGTCCTCGGCTGAGTTGTGTACGGACGCAGCACAAACATATATCGCGACGAACCTGCCGACGCCTCCAAACGATCGCCCAAGTGAGAGCTCCTCGTCCACATCCGAGGCCAGCTTCAGTCACGGAAATGATCAGTCACAAGTGATGAGCTCTACTACTTCCGACACTGGGTCGATTTCCAAAAATGACGATGACAAGAAAGAGGATCAACCGAGGAAGGAAATCGACGTCCAAGACTCCATTCCTTCTGCTTCAAGGATCGATCGCATGTCTTTCGCACAGGAGCGATTATGGTTCCTCCGCTTGTTTTTGGACGATCCATCAGCCTACAATGTCACAATGATGTACCGTGTCAATGGCCCCAGCGCCATGGCTATGTGCAACGCAATGAACCTTGTTCTGACTCGGCATCAATCTCTACGAACTGCATTTTTCTCCGATCGCAAAACTGGTGTCCCTAGTCAGTATGTCCTTCCGAGGCCAAGCGCATCGGTGAAACAGCAGTCGCTCAAGAATGATCGCGCTGCATACGAGGAGTTTGACCGGCTACGCCACCATACATACGACCTTGAAAATGGCGAAACGGTGGCTGCCACTCTACTTTCGCAAGCGGAGACTGATCATATACTGATCCTTGGGTTTCACCACATCGTGTTCGACGGCTTCAGTGCTCAAATCTTCATCAAGGATCTTGCATCTGTGATCGCAGGAAAATCCCTACCTCCTGTCCAGCATCAATACATGGAATTTGCCAACCGGCAACGGCAACTCGTGCAATCCACTATGGAGCCAGATATAGAATTCTGGAAATCCCGGTTTGCAGAATTACCGACTCCATTGCCATTGTTTGATTTCTGTTTAGTGAAGTCCCGCAAGCCCTTGACTGCTTACAATATGCATGGTGCCCAGCACACAATCCCGTCAAGCACTGCCGCTGCTTTCAAGCAAAGGATCCGCGGGCTTAACGCCACTCCATTCTACGGACACCTTGCGATTCTTCAAATTCTTCTCCATCGCTTCTTGAATCTGGACGACCTATGCATTGGAATTACGGATAGCAACCGCACCGACACCGACTTTCTTGACACGATCGGCTTTTTTGTCAATCTACTCCCGTTGCGGTTCACTCTCGATGGCAAGTCATCGTTTGAGAAACTGCTCGGACAGACACTTCACGTCGCATCCGAGGCACTTGAACACTCATGTGTGCCTTTTGACGTGTTGCTTGACTCTTTGAATATGCCCCGATCTACGACGCAGAGTCCACTGTTCCAAGTGCTGTTGAACTATAAGATGGGATCAACAAGCAAGATCAAGATGCCCGGCCTTCAAGCCGAGTTGATGGGCTTTGAAGATGCCTGCAATCCATATGATTTGGTTTTTGATATTGAAGAGCAACCGGATGGCACTACTCTGGTTGGTCTCAAGTCGCAGTCCTATCTTTACAGTCAGAGGGACCTGGGTATGATTCTGGGGGCTTATAGTTGCGTGCTCGAGTCGTGCATCTCACATCCGGAGCTTGCTATCAATCAACATGAGCTCTATCACCTGGAAGATGCCGTGGCTGCGCTTCCCCTTGCGAAGGGGCCCCGTTTAGACTTTGACGACTCAGTCACCTTATCTTCTCGTATTGAAGACGTTGCAGCCTCCTATGGCAGCGAAGTCGCGATCAAGGACAGTGAGGGCTCTAGTCTCACTTATCAGTCTATGGACAAGCGAGTCCAGTATATTGCAGCCACTCTCCAGGTCGAGGGCATAGGTGGTGGGGATTTTGTCGCAGTATACTGTGAGCCATCAATCAACTCTGTCTGCTATTTGCTGGCGATCTGGCGACTGAATGCCGTCTATGTTCCCCTCGACCCACAGAATCCAGTGGAGCGTTTGCAGACGATTTTAGATGATTGCCGGCCGGCTGCAATCATCTACGACGAACGCACCAAAAGCAACACCGGACAGCTCATTCTCGGAGCGACCAAACCGGTCACCTTCTCAAGCTTTGACTCATTCTCCTCTGTTCCTATCACAAGCAGAGCCCAATCATCTTCTCCAGCTTGTGCTTTATATACAAGCGGTTCCACCGGAAAGCCTAAAGGCATCGTTCTAACCCACAGAAACCTCGTCAACCAGATCATGGGTATCAAGAAGACATTCGGTCTTGTAAAAGAGAATGTTCTCCAACAGAGCTCCCTCGGTTTTGACGTCTCCATTGACCAGATGATGCAACCTTTGACCTCTTGTGGTACGCTCGTCGTTGCATCCCGGCATCTTCGAGGTGATGCATTGGAACTTACACGTCTAATGCTCGCTGAAAAGATTACGTACACCTATGCAACGCCTTCTGAGTATGCCTCCTGGCTACGCTATGGATCTGATAACCTCCATGAATTGACTTGCTGGAAGACTGCGATCGTTGGAGGCGAAGCTCTTCCCGCTCATTTGATCCGTCGATTCCAGCAGCTAGGTCTACCCGGTCAACGCTTGATCAACAGATACGGCCCGACAGAAATCACTGTTTCAAGCTCTTGTATGGCGTTCGATATTTCAGACTCTACCGTTGCCGACCTACCAGCTGTCAGCATTGGGACGACACTCCCGAACTATTCAACCTACATTCTTGCCCCCGATGGGTCCCCTGTCCCTGTCGGTTTTGTGGGAGAAATCGTTGTGGGAGGCAGTGGTGTTGCTTCGGGCTACCTTGGGCGAGATGAGCTGACTTGTCAACGTTTTGTGCCCGATCCTTTCGCCAGCAAAGCAGACATTGATCGCGGGTTTACAACCATGTACCATACCGGGGACAAGGGTAGGCTGCTACCAAGTGGTGAGCTTTTCTATCTCGGTCGCATGGATGGGGACAATCAAATCAAACTGCGAGGATTCCGCGTTGAGCTGGATGAGATCGCCAATACCGTCTTGCGCCAAGCAAAGGGTCGCCTTGCTGAGGCTGTCGTCTCAGTCCGAGGAACCCACGATGAAGAGGGAGACCGACGATACCTCGTCGCTTGGATTATTCCTTCCCCTGGAACCTGCGCCGCTGACGATCTACAAGAGTTTATTTCTGTACTTCCTTCCCGTCTGCCTCTTCCTTCTTACATGATACCTCGTATCTACGTGACCGTGGAGGACTTCCCTCGAAACCCCAACGGCAAGCTCGATAGGCGGGCCTTGGACCAGCTGGAACTTCCCAAGAATGAGGATCATGGTAGTAGCTTTGACTTCTCTGCGCAGGAACTGGGTATGATCGAAATTTGGAAGACCTGTCTCGATGAATCTGCTCTCCCGTCCACCTGGAGTCGCTCGACGGACTTTTTTCAGCTCGGTGGTAACTCACTCTTGATGATCCGATTAAAAGCGCTCATCCGTGAGAATCTTGGATTTGACCTCCCTCTGACTTCACTTTTCCAATCTTCTACTATCGAGGGAATGGCTGCGCAGTGCGTCTCCGAGACAACCAAGTCGCCTACATTGAGAATTGACTGGGCTGCCGAAACAAGGCTTGGAGAAGAAGAGCACAAGTCGGCTTGCTCCAAAGCTTCAACGCCGACACCCAATACAAATGGCACAAAAGAAGGTCTGGAAGTCTGTCTGACTGGGGCAACTGGATTCTTGGGCTCGGCCATCTTGCAACAATTGGCGGCCAACGATCAGATCTCACGCATTCACTGTGTCGCGATCCGGCCATCCAAAAATGAAGCCGCTCCTCGTGAACTCGCAGTCAAGTCAGCAAAGGTCATTCGGTATGCCGGTGATTTGAGCTCGCCTAGGTTTGGGCTCGACCCAGAAGCTTGGGAATCTCTCGGAAACACCATTGATGTGATCATTCACAACGGTGCCGATGTCTCATTCCTAAAGTCATATCAGTCTCTTCGAGCCGCAAACTTGCAATCGACCCGCCAGCTGGCCTGTCTGGCACTTGAACGATCCATTCCTCTTCACTTCGTCTCCACCGGTGGAGTTTCACAGCTCGTAGGAGCTGAAGCATTATCACCACAATCCGTCTCCGAGGTCACTCCCCCAGTCGACGGCTCCAAAGGATATGTTGCCTCGAAATGGGCGGCCGAGGCATACCTGGAAGCCTGCGCGTCCCGGTACAATCTCCGGTGTACAATCCATCGGCCATCCAACATCGTTGGAGAGGGGGTGCCAGCTACCGACCTCATGCAGAACATTCTGAAAATCTCCGTTGACCTAGGCGTCGTACCAACCACCGATGGGTGGACAGGAGCTTTTGACTTTGTTCCGGTTGCAGACGTTGCTACTGGCATTTGCAATGCCATACTCAAGAGGGAAGATACGGTGCCTGGCCGAGTACACATTTTACACCACTGTGGGGATGAGAAAATCCCTGTTAGTGATGTCAAAGCCTTCCTTGAACATCAATTTGGAGTCGAACTTCGGACAGTTGACGTGAATACCTGGATGGAAGAAGCGCATCAAGCCAATCTACCCGAAGTTCTGGAGAGTCTAATTGGAGCTACTCTCAGGATTGAGAACGGGCAAGTAGTGCCTTACTTGTCTCGGTCATAAGCTCTTGGGTACTTGACTTTTATGTGTATTGGACATCTAAGAATTTATCATGTTCAAATTTTTAAGTTTGAAGAACAAGGTCTTTCCATTGTTTTTATTTTTTTTTTTAAAAAAAAAAAAATAAAAATAGAAAAAGAGGGAGGGAAAAAGACCACGGCCATGACTAACTATACATGAAGCAATTGGATTCAACAAAAGCGGTTTGCACATTGACTGCTCCTCAGGGATACTGCCATGCTACCTATTCGGCAGACGGCAAGTCTTCCGAAATTCGATACGTGGCTCTTGCTACTATGGAGATTGGGGTCCACACTGGAAGGAACGCATATGCAGGGGTGATGCGGGATTTCGACAGGGTTGAAATAAGAATCATGTGTCCGTAACGTGCCGGATGCATTTGAGTGGAAGCTGCCGATCTAACACCTCTTGGTGGGTATGGTGTAACAGTGCTCACGCCTATTGTCCCATCAGAGATATACTTTCAGGCCCCACCATAATCAATCGGGGTTCGGTGCATGATTTAATTCCATTGGGTAAAGAAGGATGCAATCTACATGGAACTGCCTACACGGAACTGTGCCTACACGTTATACCCACCAATAGTGGGCCTCCGCCCCCACGTGTGCTTGAACGGTAGATGTGCTCTTTCTACAGAGATCACGGGTGGATGGCATCCTTCTTTACCTGATGGAATTAAATCATGCACCGAACCCCGATTGATTATGGTGGGTGTAAATACCCTTTAACCTAAGGGTTCACCTTCCATATACAGTCAAGTAGATTCAGACATAGCTCAGGTGATAAGACTTGACAGATGACTGATACCATTCTGCATCAAGCCTATTAAGCCGTGGTGTATCAGTCGGGCATTTTCTACCTTTGCTAATCGCCTTCCACGGGCTTTTTTTCTTTTCTTTTCTTTTGGTTTTTTTTATTTATTTTATTTATTTTTTTTTTTTTTTTTTTTTTTTTCTGTTCTATATAATGGCCTCGACCGTGTCGTCTCCGCCTCAACCGAGTAAGCGTTTAGCTTGCACACGATGTCACCAACAGAAACTGCGTTGCCATCGGAATCCACTCCCTGGACGACCATGCGCTCGTTGTGCGAATGCAGGAACAGAATGCAGATTCGAGCCTCCCTTACGCCCGGGTAGACCTAGTTCGCGAGCTAAAAGTCAGAGTCAGCAATCATCTGCCAAAGACACAGCAAATGCAATTGCAATCAACCACAAACTAACATATGGTTCGGGCCGTCAAAGCTCTTCTGAGGAGCGACAGGACGTGGTAATGGGCACTGAAGGCTTGGAGAATTCAACCAGATGTGATAACCCGGAAACGGGAGGTCAGTGTTCGCGTTTGCAATAATTTCACCTCAGGCCCTCTTTCTTTAACACAATCCTGAGGCCAGCAGCCATCGATCCCATGTCTCTATTGTACGGCTCCCCAGATGTCGCGACCGATCCAGCTCTACTCTTTGACGACTTACCTACAAATCACGACTGGATGCAACTCCCCATCTCAGAGCCAAGTGTTCACCAAGCCCAAGCACATCCTACGCCTCCTTCGTCCGGCCCTGCAAGGACATCCACGTCTCCGCCTCAGTCCGCTACAGCCGTGCCTGACGGCGCAGTATATCGTCTAGTGGAGCTCACCAGGACACTCCATGAGTGCTATTCAGCTCTGCCACAACAGTCACCAGATGCTGCGGGGGCTGCCGAGAGTACATATACAGAGCAAGGACGAGACCCGACGCTAGTTGATCTGACACCTCGAATCGACAAAATCCTTTCCCTAACCCAGTCATTAACCGAAATTCTCAGCAGCATGCTCAATTACCGCCCCTATACCAGCGCCAACTGCAACCAAAACACTAAACTCGGGGATTCATCGACGCTACATTCTTCAAAGCCAGACACGCCAGCCATCCTCATGACCCTCGCTTGTTATCTCCAACTTCTGCAGATCTACAGCTCGCTCTTCAAGTCCGCCAAAACGTCAAAGGCCTTTCAACCTCCTTCAAGTAACCGGTCGCCGGCAATATGTCCTGAGCCAATTCAGAACACGCTTCACTTCCAGATCGGATGTTTCTCCGCATCCGGTGCACCATCAACGTCTCTTTTAGCTTGTCTGAGCGCCCATCTGCTGGAAAATCTCGAAACGGCCCTCGGCAGCCTGGCATCTTATGCAGCACAATCTTCAGAGGTCCGAGCGCCGCAATGGGAGACGGAGAGTGGTCCGGCAGCGAGTGTCGCCATTCTTGCAAAGACAGCTGTTTCAGAGGCACGATCAGTGCAGGTAGACCTACGACAGCAGTTGCAGGCTGCGAGTAGTGCGGGCCTGTTTTCACCTCCCGTTCCTCGTTGGGGGTGAGGCAAGCATCAAAATGTTATGGTGAAGCGGCAAGGTACGGGCTGGGCTTGAGCTTGGTGTATAACTATTGTTATTTCCATAGGAGATCTTGTGCCAGGCACACACATGAAGATAGAGATAGACCGGGGTCCGCCCAGGGCCGTCCGCAGTTTGGGCAATCACCCGTGCAAACCTGTTGATAAGCTTTGTCCATGCCCTGTAACGTAGTCAGTCATTGGCGCAGTTGTTTATTAGCTCATCAATGCAATCCAGAGACTGACTGAGCAGTGCATGCTTCTCTTTCTTTTTGTTCGGCACGCAGCGGTGGGCCGCCAATTTGCGGACTAGGTTTATAAGGTGGAAACCCTTATTCTTGCTTTCTCCCTCCCCACAAATTTCTTGTCTATGGTTCCCTCTACTCTATGCTTGAAGTTCTCGTCGATAGCTGCCTGGACAGTCGAATAGCATCCCGTTTACCATCTAGCTGACCTCTGTGACACTGGGCAATCTCCACAGAAATGACCTCAAGGTTGCTGTTCAATGACGTAGCTCATCAGCTACAAGCTGGGCCCCTGAATACGTAGCCGTAGCTTCCAAATTAATTTTTTGCTTATGAGCTGTATGGAGATAATTGGACGCGCGTCATTTGGTCATACAGGCAAACGGGCAAAACGGGCAAATGCCGGGCTTTTTGGGTGAGAGAGAAACTGAGACAATGACGTGGTCAAAAGCCCTAGAGCTGGGTGCATTTTATTGAGGCTACATCTTACCCGCTGCTCACTCCAGCACCCCATGCTCAGAGCATGCTCATCAGGTAAACCAGGCACTCTGGCTTTGCCCAGGGCAACCAGCAAATATACCATCTGATCTGCCCCCCTTCGATTCTCTTCCACAACTGCCATAACCATTGAGCTCACACCCGCTGTGAGCCAGTGAGCTTTTGGAGATATGCAAGTGAACCTTGATCAAATAGAGTTCTACTATGGCCCCAGCCCCAAGCAGCCCCAAAGCACATTGGCCTCTACCAGTGAAAGGCAGCAAGCCCTAGCCCATGTTCCACAGCCCTTTCAGCATTCTTTCTTTTCCACTCAGACTGTCTTGATCCGAAACACACCAGCACCGACAAGTATAGCAGACTCTTCTGCACCCTTAACACGTGAATGGTCCTCAACTGGTATCACAAAGCCACGGAATGCGTTTGATGTCGCGATATCCAATTGAAGTCTCATCACTTTTGTCCAGACTGCAACGTCTATTATGATTCTGTTGAGCAACTGCAAGAACATGACATTACCCAGCACCACCTTTGCGTCAAATGTGGTGACTACTCAGAGTCAATGACTCCATGGAGTACTGTTGTATGCACTGGGAGCAAAGGGCAAGTGTCAGTTGTAAGGCTCAATGCAATCGCGATTTCTTCCCTGAAACATCACCTTCATGGCTCAAGGCATCATCTAACATGGACAAGGAATCAACTCATTTTCTTCCTTCTTCATCACTTAATGGTGATAATGAGAGTATCCTCAGCATCTTCATCAAACCGAGCAGTTGAGCCGGGTGGTGAGCAGGGACGTTCTCTGCCTCTTCCTCCAGATGAACAGGCTGGCGATGAAGAAAGTGATGATCTTCAATGGGAAGTAGAATCATCTATTGATGATGAGGCAAACGAGGATGATGATCTTCCCTGATGTATTCGTTGAGACTTGGAGATCCTAGTTTTGAAGGGTACATAGCTTTCCTGTTATCTAGCACTTCTAATTCAGGTACTTTCGTACGTTCGAATTTTAGTAAGATTTGGGATATCATTTTCTGCCGCTTCCTGTAACGAACGCTGTTCCGTCTGGTAATATCTATACCTTATCATCACGTGGTGATATGAGGGAGTTTACTGGATCAACTTGCTTGTATTGTATCTATCTAGGTTGGTCTATTTAGTGTGTCAGGCCAAGCGAGGGCGGTCTACTGTGGCAGATATCACGTGACCTCCAACAGTTACTATTTCGGACAGGTGGATTATCTAATAATCCTTTCCCGGGATACGGAGTATATATGTTCCGGGGGAAAAGATGACCATACCCGAGTATCCCGGAAGAGGAGCCTGAGCGAGCTCAAGAAAGCACCCCTTCCTGGAAATGGCGTGGACTTTTCTGAGGAGGTGGGGTGCTCCTGCAATCAAACAAATCCCTTCGCAGGATACCAAGAAACTCTTGAAGGATGACGTGCTTACTCAAGCAATGGATATGCTTCTCCCACACAACATGGAGACAAAGAGTTACAGTAGGTACTATAAGGGTGATCAGTGTGCAATTTGAATCCAAAATGATTATCAGATACTCGAAGAGGTAGTATTAAAATTTATCGTATAGTAAATATTAACACATATAGACAACCCTACTAAGAGCTTGTCCTGTGGGTTTAAAGATGCTGCAACTACTCCGTCTTCGTAAAAGTCCCTTTCTCAATTGCAGCTTCCATCATCCGGTTGCCGTTAATGATGCCTGTGGTGCAGATCACGATCTTTCGTCGTGGCGCCTCTTGCCTCGCAATGAAGCGTAATGCAGCGATCTCGGTGAAAGTGATCCCACCCAAGAAGAAAACATAGACGGTTTTGGTAGCATTGTTTCCGCTAAGCGTCTGCCGTGCGCGGATGGCCTTGTCATCACCCTTTTGAATAATACTGAATGTCGCGCCGCGGGCACTTTTCACCACATCCTCGAAGCCAAGCCAGCCAGGAGACGCAGTACTGGCCGTGTTCAATGCAGCAGAGACCGATCCACCCTTGACAAGGGAAAGGATGTATGGCTTTTGCAAAATACACTGAACAAGCCGGACACTGAGGGGCGCAAAACCGCTGTAGACATACGAGATGTCCTTGGGGTCCTTTTCACTCACCTCCTCTATCACTAGTTGAAGGTTCTTCCGTAGGTAAGAATAATTAGTTTTAGTTGCTGCCTGGGCACCAGTGGTTGGAAGTAACATAGCTGTTCCAGACGATCGAGGCTGAAGGAGTTCCATCTTCTCCAAAGCATTGATGGTTAGTATGTGTTGATGTCCGTACGCTTGCACAATCTGTTTTTTGAAATTATCGTAATCTCGTGGGCGTAGTCCTCCAGACATGCATGACTCGAGACAGAGCAAACGGAGGACATCGTTGAGAGGTACGTCACGGGCGATGAGTTCCTCTATTGAATCATGCTGGTATGTGGGATCAGCACCAGCAGCATTGCTCTGCTGAACTTCTAAAATCTTCCGGAAGATGTCCGAGCGGGTGTACCTCATGATCTCTTCCGCAAGATTTGTATGGACGCGAAGGCTTTGATGCTCCAATTGATATCCTGGTAATTTGTTCACGAACTCGCGGAGTTCCGATGTAGTCTTAGCCGTATGACGGCTTTCATAGTCGCTCTCTAACCGACGCGCTACCTTATTCAGGATATCGCCTACAATAGCGAAATTTGAATCCCGTAACTGGCTGAAGAGAGGATCAGAGGAATCCAGTTGAATTTTCCGTTTAAGACCTTGCTTTGAGGTTTGTTGAGGACTCTTGGAAGACGACTCTTGGGGCTGTGGCGCGAAGGCGGCTCCAACAATGGACGTATCAACGTCTGCCTGGTTGTTTTTGATGCCCACGGTCTCGTCAATCAGTCCCTCGTAGGTGAGTTGAGTGAGAAGAACTGTACCAAAATCCACCTGTCGGTCGATAATGATCAAATTCTCCGTTTCCGCACTTGGCAACAGTCCTCTGACGGACAAATCAGCCAAGCCTGAGCTTTCTTCGGCATCAAGTTCTTTCCTCATCCGCAGCAGAAGATCGGCGAGGCGCCGAGCATGATCGCCTTTACCAACGATGCGAGGGAAGTAGCCATGTCTCCGTTGGATGTCCATGAGCGCCTTGGCAGCCAGAAAGATGCAGCCGGGATCCTTGTTCTAAGAGAAGTCAGTCATCCGGCCTACAGGCATTTTTGACTCCACACTCTTACCAAATACAGGTCACTGAAGGAATCCTCTAGTTCCAATGAAAGTACATCTTGTTCCAACGGTAGAAAGTGCATGGAAAATTGAGCAATGTTCACATCCCCAATAATGCCTGCCTCTTCCAAAATCGTATTGCTTACGAGAGTCCGCCTTGGAACCCAGAAAATAGAGAACTCATGTTCCACGTTACTGTTCTGCTGCAGGCGCTTTATTTGCTCTGAACGGGGAAATGTCAGCTCATTCTGATGGCATTCAGTCGGAGAGAAACAAGAAAGAAAGCCTTAGGGATGAGCTTCGAGAGACGCATTCATGTAGTATGCATCAATGAAAATCAATATAGGGAACTTGACTGATTACGTAGAGGAGGAAGAAGTCTGCGTAATCTACTGTTGTCCCATCGACATGATCGAGCACGAAAATAACTACTAAGAGGCAGGAAGACTCTTGAAAATCCTAAAAATGACATACCTGCCACCATCCGTACTTGCCGTATCTTTTCGGCACGGACTAGGAATACGACATTCCGTTGAGATGAGTCCACGTTGGCATTTTCGAGTAAAAAGACACGGTCTACACCATATTGCTGAAGCACAGAGAATTTGACGAAAAGCCCGACTGGACCAGCCAGATCCTGGCTGATGACGATGTTCTTCTTACCGCGAACCTGCACCCATGTTTCAGCCTAAGGAAGCGCCGGGAGTGTGAAGAAGATAGGTGCCTTGCTCACGGCTTCGAGTAGAGTCAATAGGTCCCTACGCGCCTTATCTCTGAAATAGTCAGCATCAGAAGTGGGATGCAGCGCCATGGCTGCCGTGAATAAAAGCGGCAGATGCGCTGTTTTGGATGAAGATCAATGAAGATGGACGAAGTAAAAGTAAAAGTGAAAATGAAGTTGAGGCTTTCCGCTCGAGGTTCGTATATTAGGTAATCATATAACTGAGTAACTAACTAACCAAACCAGGCTAGTATAACACAGCCGCTCCAGCCACAACCCAGTGTGTATTGGTATTGTCACGCACAGCCACTCCCGCCTCCCACGCCATAGTACCCCGCCAAATACGCTTGTCTTTTGAGTACCGTATTACGGCCGCCTTCTGCTGCGGCCCCTTCTTACAGAGTAATCGACTTGGGCTCTATTTTAAGCCATCACTCCCCTGAAACAGCCAGACTCCTTTTAATCTGCTGGTTCCCTTTTCCTTCCTTCTGCATCTCCCCTGCTAACTGCTTCCTCAGTTTTATCCTCTTTTTTGGTACACGGTTGGCTGATTTCGTTGAAACAATCATGAAGAAGTTCGGATTCAAGAAGTCTGGGGATGGCGACGACCACGACTCGAACAGACGGGCACTCTTTGGCTCCAGATCGAAAAACAAGACCCCACCGGCTGCAAATCCTTACGCAGCACCCATTCATACCGATCCTTATGCCAGAGCAAAGATAAGCGCAGGAGTGGCACCACCGCCACCTGGAATGGAACATCTTGCTCGTTCTCCTCAGGCAGCCAACCCTCCCGCTGGCTATGCGCCTAACAATTTTGGCAATCAGGGGGGATATGGAAGCAATAGGTTTGGCAGCGGTAGCGGCCCGGGCACACGGTATGGTGCTGGCGGTTACGGAGGCTTGGGTAGCGCGGACCCCAACGACCCTGCGGACTCCAATCGCGATGCACTTTTCGGAGGTGCAAGAGAACGAGTGCAGCAGCAGCAGCCTGGAGCCCCTCCGCCGTACTCAGAGCAGTCTGGTACCAATGCTGGTGGTGCAGGCGATGGTTACAATACCGCTCTTTATCAAGAACGGCAACTCACCGCAGAGGAGGAGGAGGAGGAAGAAATCAAGGCAATCAAACAAGATTTGAAGTTCATCAAGCAAGGAGATGTTTCGTCTACTCGTAATGCTCTCCGAGCTGCTGCCCAAGCAGAAGAAGTCAGCCGCAATACGCTCGCGCGGCTGGGAGCCCAAGGAGAGCGAATCCATGATACCGAGAAGAGCTTGGATGCTGCGGCCATTGAAACCCGAATCGCCGAAGAAAAGGCAAGGGAGCTCAGAACACTCAACAAGAGTATGTTTGCTGTTCATGTGTCAAACCCATTCACCAGCGCCCAGCGACGTCGAGAGCGTGACTTGAATATCCTTAATACGAACCGGGAAGATCGTGAAAATCGTGAGAATACCCGGCTTGAAGCTTTCATGGCAAATCAGCGAATGGACCGTAACTTCAGAGACATTGAAAAACAATCTGGTGCAACTGGAACCTATAAGAAGAATTTACTAGAGCGGAAGAAATACCAATTCGAGGCTGACAGCGAGGATGATGCGATGGAGGACGAAATCGAACAGAACCTGACTCTTCTAAGTGGCGCTGCCGGCCGGTTGAACGGTCTCGCCCGCGCAACGAATCGTGAACTGGACGAGCAGAACAGACATTTGGAGCGGATTATGGGAAAGGTGAGTCCTAGGCTGCTGCTCATCACAGTATTTATCGGATCCTCGGAGAAGCTAACATTTTGCTGCAGAGCGACATGGTGGACGACCGGATTGCCCTGAACCGCGCCAGGCTGGACCGTATTCATTAGACGAACCGGCCTGTTGCTCCTTGTCTATAATCTCGCTAATTGAGCTATGGACCGCCCGGTGCTGTCGAGCTCAGCATTGTCCTGGTTTCTTTTATTGCACACGCACACACACGGCTTCGTATTCCATATTTGGCGTTTGAGCGTTGATCCATCGTTTTACTTACTGCTGTGTTCTTAACCGTCTGCCCTGAACTGTATCGCAAGCGGTGAGAAAGGAAGGCCAGAACATAATAGTAGACCTAGTAGTTTGGCATATATCATTACGAACTTGTAGCCTCCAGTATTATTATTAATCTTTGTATTTTTAATAGTTTTCCTTGATATTCGTTACCTTTCCAGCCAAAGATATTCTGTCTACCATGCCATACAGTTGAGTCTCTTTCCGGGCCATCAATTCATTCAAATCGAAATAAAGAATAGGAATACATGTTAATCTTTGCTTTGCTTTGCCGTGCATGCATGCAGCTACTGTCGAAGCCAATATACCTCCCTCAAACCCTACCTACGCAGCAGTATAGCCCCCATCAACCAACACCGTATGGCCAGTAACAAAGGAAGCATCCTGAGACGCCAAAAACACCGCAGCACCAGCGATCTCCTCTGGCTCTCCCAGACGTGACCCAAGCGGCTGTCTTCGGCAGATTTCTTCGAGGCCAGCCTTGATCAGTTCGGGCGGGGTATCTGGGTCTTGAAGCGCGCCCATCAGGGGTGTTTGAATGAATCCGGGGGCAAGGGCATTGGCGTGGCTGTTTCGGTTATTGATTCAGTATTCTACTGCTTCAACGGAGATAATATAATGCCAGGAAAGAAAGGAAGGGATAACTCACATTCTATCACCGCCATATTCAAGAGCCAATGTCCGAGTACAAGATTGACAATGTCAGTGTTCAATAATAAGCAAATTGGTAGGGATAATCAACGCACCAGGTTGACCACGGCTCCCTTTGAGGTCGTATATTCACTGCCTCCAACAAAACCCACGAAACTGAGGATAGAAGCGACGTTTATTACCCAACCGCGATCTCCGCTGAGGTGAGGTGGTTGGGCGAGCATTTGTGCGATTGTATATTCTGTCAATGATGTTAGCTCTGTCAGATATATCTATATGGGGCAACAAGGGAAGGAAAGAAAAACATACTAAAGCCCAGCCAAACACCCTTCAAGTTGACACTGATTAACTGATCAAATGCCTCCACGGGGACTTAGTGAGTGCGGGAAGTAAGATGTCTCCCTTTGCCCGCAGCAATGCCGGCATTGTTGACGATTCTGACATGCATCAGCATCACATACAATTAGTGCCCAAAAAAAATAAAAATAAAAATAAAAAAAAAATAAAAAAATAAAAAAATAAAAATACTCACATATCCAGTCTGCCAAATACCTTGACGGTCTCCTGAATCAGATTCTCCACGTCTTTAGGTTGGGACACGTCGGTCTTCACGAAAATGGCCCTCTGCTTGAATGGAATTTATACTCTGTTGTCCTCCCTTGTCTGCGCGTGAGGAGCCTCGGCTATGAGGACTACGCTGTCTGGAGTGCTAAGAACCACAGCAAGCGGGGACATGGAGGATGTGAGACGTCATTTGCTGCCATGTCACGATGATTGTATATGAATGGATTCATGGCCTGACTTTGGCAATTTGGAGTTCGTCGTCTGGTAATGCAGGCAACGCAGCGGAATTAAGGGAGGGGGAGCCTGATATGGGGGAGTTCCGAAGGATACAAGACATGGAGTTTGTTGTGAATAACTTAATTATAGTTATTGGGTATCATTACGTATTGCTCCTATATTAATATCATGGGGTATGTACTCTACAATTTATTTATAATAACTGCTCTATTTAACGAGACAGTTAGCAGGCAGCCAAAAACGGCAGCACACGACGCAGGCTCACCTCACTTTTCAAGAGAGTGCTCAAAACAGCTCTTACATCCCAGCACCCCCCGTTCTCTCTCAAAACTGCTTCGAGGACTCGAAATATTTCTCCTTCACTAAAAGTATTCCTTCACTCCCTGTCAAAGTTGGCCATTCTCAGACGTTGCCACTTCAACACGGTAAGCTGGGTGAGTCAGGTGGTCACATCACGCTGATATAGGGAATAGGCAGCGGTGGGGGCATCTGATGGCTGACAGGATTGGAATTGCATAATAGCATCAGCTGCCAATTGGAGTGGCATGCCATAGTTGATCTTGTTGCCAGAAGCTATCTCCAGGAAAAGGGAGTGGTAATGCCTAGAAGCAAGTTATTGATAAGCAACACAGGGTAACGAGCAGAATATGCACCTACCAATGGTGAATTTAACTTGAAAATACACAGCGGACATCATTACTTGCATTCTCTGCATGGAGCCACACGTTGCGCCAAATGTTCTCCAAGAGCTTGCTTCAATTCCTCATTCTCAGACCCAAAGTGAGACTCATAAATCCCATTGTGAGCAACAGCCATCTTGAAGACCCTGGCTGTGGCACTATGCTGTAATATCTGTGACGGAGGTAGGCCTCTAGTAAACAGGCAACCACTAATGCATTTGAAGAACGTCAAAAAGGTTGACTGAAGAGGACCTTTCTTGGTCAGCCAAGCAATTGAGACATATCCCGCAAAAGGTCATGAAGTTCCTATTATAGAAAGATTATTTGGGTGATAGTAGTTCTCGTAGTTGTTCTCTTGCGATGCCTAAGGGCCTGCGCAGATCGCTCACTTGGCCGTCAGATTACATCGCCATTTCTTGCGGAAGTTATGATTTTTTTGGAGGGTAGTTATTGATGGGGGAATACCCTTGCAGTGAAAGGAAAAGTGATAGAACATGGGGAGGTCTATTACCCAGTTGGGTCTGCAGTCTGTCTTGGGCTACCAGTGATCCCAATCCGAGTCCAACTCCGGGTTCCACATGCTGTCCACTACCAGGTGCTTTATCCACATTATTATTCTTCGGGCTTGCCATGGCGCATGGGAATTGTCATTGAGATTGATGAAAAGGTCATAATCTTCCGAGTTCAACAATGGTGATATGTCGAACGCAGGGTGAGCTGTAACTATTTGGGAACGGGTCACTGACTGTTGGATCACGTGGTATTCTGCCGCATAAGTCCGCCCTCGCTGACCCTTTTCACCACGTAGGCCTATCTAGCTAGTAACCAACCAACGATATACCTCCATTACTGACAGTACTTGATCACGTGAATGGCTAAATATTAATCCCTTCCGGAATGACCGAGAGGTCTAAGGAGCAAGAATATAGCTTCATATACGGAGTAGAGCGGCTTTAGATCCGCTTTAGCTATCAAATAGATCTTATTATTTTCCTGAATTTAAACCTCCCGTATTTACTGTGATATACCGACTTCGTCTGATACTTTATCGCTCATTTTTGCTCCTATTCACTACTTCGATACTCCCCTAGACTAAACGTCTTCTGCCGGTCAGTTGACGGAAACTTAGATCTATAAACTTGTCCATTGGTGTTGAAACAGAGCATATTGAAGACTGGCTTAAGTCAGGAACAACAGCCAGCGGTCGACATAAGTCAACTAACACTGAAATACTGTACACATACAGAAGATATGGTTGAAGAACAGACGAAATAGGCCCTGTATAGTATATGCGCAACAAACCCTGTCTATTAAATCCCCCAATTATCATCCTCCTCGGCAACGTCGTAATCGACCTCATGATTTCCACTTCCGTCCTTGTGTGCGTCTAGCTGACCCGACGACAGAAGACGAGAGTCTGCCACTGTATCCATAACCCCCTCTTCCTCATCACCACCGCTACTTTTGGTGTCCATGACATCTGCAGCCGGCGTAGTGGCAGCAGTAGGTGGGTTTGGGAGCCAGGAAAGTTCCACGTTGCCTACGGATGGTATCGACCGTGTGCCATACATGAATTTTTCCGCCATGTAGCGCTCCTTGAAGGTGACGATCAAAGAATCCGTCTGTTCTGGATTAGGCTCAATCGATTCGTATTCACCAATACCCTGTGACAGGTCAGCGAGGGAGTTATACAATCGTCAGACTTCAACATCTTTCAACTTACTACCAAGTACTGTCTCAGAGCTTCGTCTTGCTCCGAATTTAACGCGACACCCGAGATCGCAATTCTTCTTGGTCTATTATCGAGACGGAGGACACTAGCACCTCGACCACGAGGCGCTCCCCTACCGCGATATCCACCACGGTAAGAAGGGTCATATCCGCGGCCACGCGGTGGGCATCCGCCTCTGCCACGGTAATAAGGTGGATACCCTCTTCCCCGTCCACGATAGGAGTATGACGGGCCGGTCTCAGTGTTATGAGGGTCGATCCCAAGATTCTTCGCTTCTTCTTCGAGGGCTGCCAACTGTGCTCGGAGCTGTTTTGTTTGCTCACTGGCTCCCTCATCTGCTGCGGGTGACGCATGGCCATTGGGAGAATCTGTCCCATTTCCACTAGGTGTTGCTCCCAGTTTCTGCAGAAGTTTGGCCTTCTCTTCTTGCTGTTTCTTCTGAAGCTCCTCCCGCTGTCTCTCCAAGGCCTGCTTCGCTTCTTCCATCTCCTTTCGTTTCTTCATCTTCTCTTCGTATGTCTTCTGTGCCTCTTGTTGGTGTCTTTCGAATTCCTCTTTATCGAAGACCGTGCCATCACCAGGGGCTTCTCCCGCGGCTGGTTCACCGTTCCTGTCTGCCTTCTCCTTGGGTTTGTGCCAATAGACTTTCACAAAGCGATTGTCGAAAATTACTTTAGGACTAGACCATGCTGCCTTCGCTGCGGCATAAGTGTCGTACTTGACCAAAGCAAAATTTTTGTAAGACTGCAGCGTGATATCGACAATGTCGCCATATTGAGAAAAGAACTCCCGGATTGATTGTTCGTTGAACTTGTCGTCGGGGATCTGTTCCACCACAATCGTCGTGATCGACTGGTCCTCATTGGGTCCAAGCGCGGAGAATTCAGACCGACCTCGTCCTCGAAAGCCACCTCTATCTCCTCCACGCCCTCGACCACGACCTCTATCGCCACGCGTAGCTGATTTCGCTCTACTGAAGTCCATCACTACATTGGGCGTTTTTGGGTCATACTCTTGAAATTATGTTAGCGGCAGTGTCCACAATATTTCACGCGACAATATGATTCTTCTTACCATCCTCGTTCAAGGGTGCAGCCTCCAGGCCATGTTGGTAGGGGCAAGTAGCCCCTAAATAGCAAATACCTTGAGTGTCATAGAAGGGGCAGCGTTGCATTATCTTCCCAGCTTGCTGGTCAGGAGCTCCTCCAGATGTGGGGATAGGCAAGGGTGGCATTCCGGGCATTTGAGGGAACCCCATACCCTGGAGTGCCATCATAGCAGCCATTGGATCATTCTGGTCAAACGGAGGGAAGGCAGGCGGCATAACCGGAAGCCCACCTGCATGAGGCGGAGGATATTGTCCAACAGCTCCTGGGGCAGTTCGGCCATCCCTTCCCATCCAGTCTCCTCTGCTACCTCCGCGGCCCCGACGTGGGGTTTTGAATGATCGATTATGCGGAGCATCCTGGAGCTCCTGATCAGCTTGGAATCCCTCCTGGTAGGTGCGTTTCCGAGTGAAATTCGAGTTATCCAACCCGCCTTGAGCCTCCAGCACTCCAGCCATCGGCTGCTGCCCATAAACACCCTTCAGAGGTCCCGAAGGCGTACCAAATGGGACAGACTGTTGAGAGGCTGCTATCCCGGAGTGTGCGATCTCATGTGGAAGCTGCGGCCGGGTTTGCGAATGTGAAACTGGCGGAGGCGTCTGCTTTTCCTTGGGACCAAATGTTGTGAACAGCTCATCGACGAATTTAGTCGTGTCTGGATATGGGTTTCTCGGTTAGAAACAACCCCACCAACATAGAAAATAAACAGTACCAGACCAGCCAAAAGGGAAAAGATGGTCTATGGGTAAACTAACGCTCTCTTAAGAAATCTTCCAAGTTCTCCACAGATGCCCTCCTGATCTCATCATCTGGCGCATCTGTTCTGATAAGCGCAAGTACGTAGTCGGCCAGCACATCGGAATCAGCATCGGAACTATAAGCAATTGCAAAGGATTAGTCTAATTGCGGCAAAAGGGCTTTGTGAAAAAGGGGGAGGGGTACTCGAGTCTCCTAGGTTGAGGTAGTAATTCAAAACTGTAGACTCCAAACGTACATATCTTCTAGCTTCCTCACCACCCATTTCTTCACTTCAGCTGCTTCTTCCTCTGAGAACCGCATTTTCGGTAGACTGATTAGCCCTTCCCGCGCTAATGAAGAAAAGTTTGATGGTAGTTTTAACAGGTCTCACTGCAGCCGAGCTAAAAACCGGCTGAAGAATAAATGGCAAGAAGTCCCAAGTTGGACAAAATCTTGCCTCTCAGATGGAGACCTAAAGAACGGGCGGAAGCGCACGAGGGAACAGAATGTGATGGAAAAGAAGGCGGGAAAAGGAAAATGAATACCGAGCAAGAGAAAAAAAAGGCTGGCACTAATCCTATGCCAGCACACAAGTGATGGGAGACAGAACGGCAACCAAAAGCCATCGACCTCAGTTGAGAAACGCGACAGCCGTGAATAATCATATTATCACGTGACTTGCATGAGGCACTAGACGCTCACCATGAAGGCACTGAGCACTTGTTCCAGCATGATATTATCTACTGCAGAACATTACAAGGATCATAAGCTAGAGAGGAAAACTGCTTGATTTTCATCTCCAAACTAGAGAAACTAGAGAATAGCAAATATGGGAAAAGCTGACAGTCATCAACATAACAATCAAAACAAAGGAAAGCAAAGCCCAATTCCAATATTCACAGACTGTGAATCTACTTCTCTAAGCTGGGCATCCAGATAGGACCGATTAAAGCGCGACAAAGACCCAGGAGTGGGTAAAATTTTCTTTTCTAGAGCCAAGTAAAGGTCAAGGGACTTCTGGTCCGTCGGGCGCTGCCCCATCAGCACCAAGGCCCCGTGGAAGGTTGTCGCACAAGGGTCTCGCTCGTCAGGTCATCTATGTACTTTCATTGCTTTTATTAACCTGGACATTGCATTGCGTTCGTCAATTTCATGAGGAAAATATCCAAGAAATCATGGATGGGACATCGATCCGGCTCGAATTTAACACTTTTACAGCTTGTCGTAGTACTGTTGGAGGTAATTGTCAGTATCATACCAGATTGGTAATGCCGCACATGGAAACATGGGAACTTACGTTGTCGTAGCCAGGAACTTGCTCCTTGAGACCCTTGCGCTTACGCATCTCAGCAACGACTTGGCCAGGCTTAGAGGTGGGGTCAAGAGGAGATCCACCAGGAAGGACAGACCAGTGGTCGAAGACGGACTGAGGGAAGGCCTGACCACCGGTAGCGGCACGGAGATCGCCAGGGAAACCGAAGGACTCGGCGACGGGCAGATAAGCCTTGACGTTGAACAGAGGGGTACCGGGTCTCTGCTCCTCGGCGTAGACGTGACCACGACGGCGGGTGAGGACACCGTAGATGCCACCCATGGCCTGCTCGGGAACCTGGATCTCGACGTTGAAGATGGGCTCGAGAAGGCCAGGATCGGCAAGGAGAGTGGCCGCGTACAGGACACGACGAGCAGTGGGGATGATCTGACCACCACCACGGTGGATGGCATCAGCGTGAAGCGTGACATCCAGAATGTTGAAGCGAATAGCACGCATGGGCTCTTCGGCAACAGGACCCTCACGGGTAGCCCACTGGAAACCGGAGACGAAGGAATCCTTGATTTCGTTCAAGTACTGGACGGCCTTGGTCTGGTCGACAAGCAAGTTGGCACCCGTGGTGTCGGGACCGAAGCACCAGATCTTACGAGCATCGGTGACATCCCAGCCGTACTCATCAGCGAGGATACGGGCACGAGCCTTGAAATCGTCACGAGGGCTGATCTTGCCGTTCTCGATAGCAAGGCAGACCTCCTCGTCAATAGGCTGTGCGGTGACGTACAGACGGTTGTGCTTGTTGGGAGACTTAGACAAGGCAGTCATGCTGGACTCACCGCTGACAGTCTCACGGTAGGAGACGACAGGGTCGGAGATACGGAGAGGAACACCAGCATGGTCCTCCTCGAGATCCTTCAGACAAATCTCAAGGTGAAGTTCACCAGCACCAGCAACGACGTGCTCACCAGACTCGTTGATGTAGGTCAGGACGCAAGGGTCAGACTTGGACAGACGCTTAAGACCCTCGACCAGCTTGGGAAGGTCGGAAGCATTCTTGACCTCGACGGAACGCTGCACGACGGGAGAAACGGAGAACTTCATAACCTTCAGGTTGTGGGCAGTCTCATCGGTGGTGATAGTACCAGACTTGAGAAGGAACTGGTCGACACCGACCAAACCGACAATGTTACCAGCCGGGACATCATCGATGGGCTCGACGAAACGACCCATCATAAGGATGGTACGCTGGATAGCCTTGATGAACAGGTCCTCCTTCTTGCCGGGAACGTAGTTGGGACCTTGGATGCGGACCTTGAGACCGGACCTGACGATACCAGAGAAGACACGACCGAAAGCATAGAAACGACCCTTATCAGAGGTGGGAACCATCTTGGAGACGTAGAGCATGAGAGGACCCTTGGGGTCACAGTCGCGGATACCAGAGAAGGCAGCATCGTCCTGAGGACCCTCGTACAAGGTCTCTGCACGGTATCTCTGGGCAGTCACAGGAGAGGGGAGGTGGATACAGATCATCTCCAAAAGAGCGTCAGCAGCAGGCAGGAATTTCTTCATAACGGCCTTGAGCAGAGCCTTGCCCTCGAGCTCCTTCTCGCTGCTGGGAAGGGTGATCTCAAGCTTTTCAAGGACGGTAGCAATCTCTTCCTTCTTGTTGTGGGTAATGGCATTGAAGATCCTGAAGATGGGATCCAAGATGAACATGTTGAAAGAACGCTCGAGAGTCTTGCCATCATGCTCAGCGTTCTTGGACCACTTCTTGGTCTTGGGGTTGAAGTAGTTATCGCCCTATATCGCAGTTAGTTATCTCCGTCCGTAGCCAGGCAAGATGGGGAAGAAAAAACTCACCCAAAGACGCTCAAGCATCTTCTTGCGGTCGACACCGAACTTCTTGGAGTACTTGACAGCGAACTGGCGGACAGTGAAAGCCCAGCCGTGGAGACCGGAACCGAAAGCAACGGTACCCTTCTCAGGGTAGACCTGGACATCACCAAGAGTCTTGTCGAAGTAGGTGGCGATGATGACGTTGACGGACTCGACAGTACGAGCGAAGGACTGGTACAGGTCCTCCTTGGAGACCTGGAGCTCGAGAAGAGCACGGTCAACCTTGTTGATGATGCAGACGGGCTTGATACGCTCAGTCAAAGCCTGACGCAAGACAGTTTCCGTCTGGACACAGACACCGGAAACACAGTCGACGACGACCAAGGCACCGTCAGTGACACGGAGAGCGGCAGTGACCTCAGAAGAGAAGTCAACGTGACCAGGGGAATCGATCAAGTTGACCAAGAATTCATTTCCGTCGACCTTCTGGGGGATCTCCTTCAGGTCCTCCTCGTCGTTCAGTTGAGCGTACAGGGAAATGGCAGTGGACTTGATGGTAATACACCGGTCCTGCTCATCGGGACGAGTATCCATGAAACGAGTCTCACCAGCCTTGGCAGCGGAAATGATACCGGCACGCTGGACCAGGGAGTCGGACAGAGTGGACTTTCCGTGATCGACTGTTGAGAGAAAAAGTATTAGAAATCAATAGATGCAAATACTCCTCAGAATTGTTCAGGACATACCGTGGGCAATGACGGACATGTTCCGGATGTTGGCCGGACGGTCCATCAAGGACCGGATCTGCTCACTGTTAGCTATGATTTATCCTGTGTGTAGTTGTAGTATCGCAGTCCTCTGAGGTGACAGTTTTTGACAGAAGGGGCCGGGACAAAAAACGGACCTCCTCGATAGTGAACCTATTGAGATCATCGTCAGTAAGCCACAAAAAGCAAGACACAGAAGCAGTATGAAATGCGAATTATGTGATCACTACTGGAAGTGATAGGATGACTTACTTAACCATTTTGACGGTTTTCTTTCGCTTTGTTTGCGAGTAAAAAAAAAAGGCCTTGGAGGCGGGGTTGTGCGATAAAAGGCAACGGAAAAGACAAGCAACCAGAAGCGCAAGTTACTGGAAGAAAGACGTCAGGATCGAGAGCTAGCTCGACCTGAATGGGAGATATGAGATGGAAGAAGACCTATGGGCACAGCGCGAAGAGGCTGAGAGGCTTCACGGAGAGGTGAAGAAGAAAGAGTTTTCGGGGGAGAGAAGAAGGGAAGAGGGGGAGGTCAGGTTGTGGTGGGGACGGGCATTATTTGGGCAATTTTCCCGATTTCAAATCCAGTGTGCGCCCGCTCGTTAGATAGCCTGATGAGATATGCCGCCACTTCAGCACTCGAACACCAGACAGCTCCCGTCCAGTCTGTTATTACACTTTCTACAGAGTATGAAACCTTGAACGAGTCGGTCAGTCGCTGCCTGTTTTAATCTGCAAGTAACCCTTGGGAAGCGCATTGCCCAGATGCGTCGAAGCAGGGCAAGGGAAAGTGGGCGGATTATTATTAATGCTGCTGTGTTTTCTATGTACTCGGAGTTAAGACTTAAAACTTCTACTAACTGAATAAAAACATAAAAAAATCATGATGATGACCCCAGAATCTTCCCGTATGCATCCTCAACCTCTTTCGCAACCTCCAGCAATGTCACAATTATCATCTGGTGCGTGACATTGGGCAGCTTATCGCGTTGTAGCCCAATCCATTCCAATGGCGGTGTTGCTTCGCCCATGTCCCGTAGCTGCGGTGTCTGAATCACCGGCGGCACCAATGCCGTATATGTATATTTGGACTGCGGCACGTTGACCACAGCTGTGATCTTTTCCTGCTGCTCCGGCGTTCCACTGTCTCCTTCGGAGCTCGGTACACCTCCAGTGATCCGTACTGCCAACGGCTGCACTGGCTTTCCCAGTCGGGACGCCAGAGCTCGAGAGTGGCTCTCCCACATGTCACGGATGAAGCTGATACGCGAGTAATTCCATCCGACGTCGACCTTACCTTCAAACGTGCTCGTGAAGGTGTAATCGATCTGCGGGGACCCAGGCGCCTGCCATGTCTCCATGCTGGCTACCAGTCGGGGAACCTTCAGGATCGTTCCGCCACGGGCATTAGTGGCACGATTGACGACATCGTGAACGGTCAATTCCTCTAGGTTCTCAGAGGAAATGCGAGAAGTATGGGAGAGTGCAACGCTGAGCCGTCCAAGTGTGAGACCAAGCGCACTATGGAGCCTGCACCCTTCAAAGGACACAGCAAAACGAGCTTGTGCGTCGAATGCTTCCAGTTTAAATATCTGTTTGTCAAAAAAGGTGCTCGGGAAAACTCCAGCGTCAAAGGTCTTAATCGTGACGACCACACTGGTCTGTAGAGAGATGGGTGCCTTTTCCACTTTGCCATCTACTTTCTTATTCACTTCACTTGCCCGTAGATCTGACTTCCCGCTCACAGCGGAAGACTTGCGGCGCAGAAACCTGTCAACCTCTCTCAACGAGGCATCGTATGCGGCCTGCTTATCCTGCGCCAAACGCTGCCAGGCTTGGAATAGGGCCATTGATTGGGAAGCAGTCAATGTGGTACAGTAAACGAGAACCTTTTCTCCATCTAAGATACTAAACAGCCGTTCTTTTTCGGCTCCGGATGTTCCCTGGACATTGTACATCAGGAACTCAAACATGGCTATATCCACTACCAGGAATGGTTGGTAATCGAAAGAAGCCTTGCCCTGTAGTGCGTCAAACTGAATTGAAGCCTGTATAAGCGGCCGTCTTCCTGAGTTGGGTGTCTCATCCGGCCAGTGGATGGACGTTCGCACTCTGAGGTTCTTGAGCTCGGCTGATCCACTTGCCCTGCCTTTGCTTTCCGCCCCGAGAGTATCGAAATTGACGTAAAGTGTCTGCTCCCAATCAGACGTCTTCTTCGACGACAGCCAGAAGTTGTGTATTTCGAAATATGATTTCCCCAGTGTAGACCCTAGGTCGAGTTGGACTTCCAATTTCTCTATGGCAATCGCAGAGTTCCATGGAAACGCCGGAGCTGATGCGACTTGCTGATAACGTTGCACCATATGAGCCTGAGTTTCTGCCGTATTAGAGGGAGTTTGGAATGCGGCTGGGGAAGAATCTGGCTCATCGGCCGATGGCAACCAGATTTCCCGGAATAGCAAAAAGTCTTGAACTTGTCTCGCATTGATAGCCATTGTTACTGGGCTCACTTTAAGGACCACATAAGCACCGCTCGTACTGCCTAGATGCTTGTTATTCATGAGAGACATAGCAATGGACCTGACGTCAAGGCTTGCGGTCGATTCGTTCGAATAGACGTGCTTGACTGAGGCTTGTAGGGAATTGAATGTAGCTAAAAGAGAAACGAAGCGCTCATGTTCGCCTGACTGCACCGTATTCACAGTCGCATAAATACTGTCGAACTTAGCCGTGGCTGTCACTCTGGCGGCAGGTTGGCAGCTTAAGCTAAACTCTTGTTTACGAATCAGTAAACCCACGTTGATTTTGCAGTTCCCAATAATTGAATCCGCACTATTGCCAGGGCGTGATTTATCCTGCATTACTCTCGGTGGCTGTAACTTCATCGTCACCGTTGGCTTGGCTGAGTGGCGTTCTTCCAGAACGTCTTTGAGGGTTGCAGTTAACTGTCTTATCAAAGGCACAAGCGTCGGATAGACCACATTGGTTGATGCATCGATCTTTAGCTCTGCATTGAGAGCTGGGTCAGCGTCTCCCTTGTCCTCAAATTGAACTTTTAATGCTACTCCAGGAGCTCGGAAAGTCGCCGTCGCGGCTGCATCTCCTTGCACATATTGGCCATACTTCGCTCCGAACATTCGGCTCTCTTTCATCCTGGCCGTGAATGCTGTCTGCTGATCATCGCTGCGTTTACCCTGAAGTGAAACGATTGCTCCGGCAAAATCAAGATCCATCAGCACAGACCGTAGGCGCTTGCTTCTGAACGGCTTCCGCTGCTTGTTACTGTCCAGAGATGACTTTCCGAAAAATAAGGGATCTGCCTGATGGAGAGTCTTGATAGCAGAATAAACAGACTTTTGAAGCAGACTTCCCGGAAGCATGAAGTCGGACGTCAACCTGAGATCCAGTGATTTACCAGCCGCTTGGAAAGCCACCCTAACTTCCTGACCTGTTGTAAAACACGCCACGTTAAAGATCAATTCCGGAGAAAGGAGTGAATTGAGGGAGCGTCTTTGCCTATCCGTAGAGGCGGGTACCATCTGGAGTTGCATGTCTTGAATTCGAAGCTTGGCAGTATTCTTCTTCTTGCTAGAAAGGTCAAGATGTTTAATGGAGAATACTAAATCTTCTGGTTTGTAACCGGACGTGGTTGGTGGCGCGGCAGCCATGTTCCACGCAACATGGATATTCTCGAATCCTAACGAGAAGAGAGCACTGAAGAGATCTTGCGACTCTGGGCCGTCGCTGACCTTGATATCTGGAGTCATCAACTGTTCTGCTTTGCTATCAGACTGGCCATGCCGCCGTAGCCTTCTGAAGCGTTTGACCTCACGCGATAAACCCATCGTCTTAATCCGCTCCTGTAGATAGGATGCAATGTCGACAATCAACACAGCCGTCTCTGCAAAGAGCTCGATGCCGAGCTCCTTGCTGCTTATATGGTAAGCCCGCGAGATATCTCCATTTTCGAGTTGCGCAGAAGTCCCGACAATTCTAGCGTCGATAGCGAATCTACCGTACGATCGGTTTCTTGATTTCCCACGTTTGCTCAAGTCAAAGAGAATCTGGGATATCTCGACACTAAACTGTGGATATTTCATGGGTACGTCTTGCTCCAAGCCATTATCAAGATGTATTTGCGTCATCCCGAGGCTCAGACCCATATCTGCGAAGTAATTGTTTCTATTGGCCCCAGGCGCCGTGACATGTACTTCCATTCCTGCCATAGTAAGACGTGCTTTGTAGAGAATTTCGCGGCCGGCTAGTGGCTCTTTGGGCTGTGATGGCTTATTGGAACCGAGGACATCATCAAGGTGTAGCTGAAGCACTTCGACGTTTTCCTTAACATCAGAAATCATATGAGACAATGCAGGACCCGTTAGAACAGGAATAAGGCTTCTTAAGGCGCTGGCTTCCAGTCGGATAAGCTCAATCGTAGTATCAACCTCGATGTTGATACGATTCTGCGACTGCCTCGCTAAGATGCGACCATTAATTGGAGGGATCTCTAAAACCGAAAGCGGTCGCAATTTGTCGTTCTTTTCTGACAAAAAGGTGTGAAAGTTCTGCTTCACGTCAAAGTCAACTTCCATCGTCGAAGACTTTGCAGGTCCAAGCGACAACCTCGCCACATAGCCCGATATGCTATAGACCAAAGATGGAAGAAGATGGAAGCTGATCCTGTAATCGTCCAGAAAGAGCGCAACACGAAATTGGTTTTTTCGGGTAGGCCTTTTTTCTGCGGAATCTCTCCCAGGTTGGCATGTTGGTGAATTGAAGTCATTCAAAAGTTGGCGAATATGTCGAACTTCGTCTTCTATTAATCGATCAGCCGTGTAGGTCAGGCTTAATAGATCCTCTCTCACGTCGTATCGCAACTGTTTGCACGCTCCGGCGATCTTCCAATCATTGGCCAGCTCCCCTTTACTCTCCTTTGAGGTCTTCGCGCAATAAACATACGGGTCCCAAACTCTCCAGAGCATGAGCACCCTAGAGAGGCTGGAAAATTCAGATGAGCCTGATCCGGCACTGAATAGTACGCTAAAATCGTTAATTCTTTCTGGAGGATGCAATCTGTGAATCACGGAACCTCTGATCGCCTTTCCGACCAAGGCTAGCTTGACATTGATGCCGTCAAGGTTGATAGAACCGACATCAGTCCCGACCACAATCTGCAACTCGCTCGATTGTTCTTTATCGTTGCTAACAGAGTGTTTGGACGACGTCTTCGATTCCAACGTCACGTTTGACATGGTCCGAGCGATCCCTTCGACAAGACCAAGCATTTCCCACCTCAGCCGTAAAGCTATAGAGGAACAATAAGACCGTAAGGTGAGCACTTTCTTTGATTGTTCGCTCTCTATTGAGGATTCACTTTTCCGTGACCTAGTGGATATTGCAGTCGACATATCTTCGATTAAGAAATCGCCCTTGTTCGCTCCCGGGCCTATAGAGAACCTAAAATACCTCACGGTCGTTGACAAAGATACTGACGCTGGATCGACGACTCGCGGAGATTCAAATGAGTTCCAGATTCTCTGCATTGCATAACTTTTCTCAACATGTGCTAGATCCCAAGTCCGCCACTGATCGAATACAGAGAGCACAGTTGACTTGGCATCTGTCGGCAGCGACAGATCGTTCCTCAGGCATTTAGACACTAGCTCCTGCTGTTTCTCAGATGGCAGACTGTTGTAAACATTCCGGAGTCGAGAGATAATCTTCCAGGAATCATGTTGTCGTAAGTGACTTGGTGCGAGTCTGAGTACTGACGATATGCGGGTCAAAAAGGTTGGATCGGGAATACCGCTAGCTGATAAGGTGAGCCAGTAGACAAGCATACGAAGGCGCTCACTATCAAGAGGTGACCGAAGTTGGAAAGACGATGTAATGGAATCGACTGTCGTTGTCGTGCGGCGAACAAGAAATGCAAGATGCTCCACAGACTTGGTTGACGTTACTGCATCGAAGGTTCTTATCTGAAGATGAGACTGGACAGCTGGAGCAGTTGCGAGCCAGAAATTCATATCTCCAAATTGGCATTTGAAATCGGCTTTGTCCTGTGAAGCATCAGATCCGCTTCCCTCCACAGACATTGACAGACTCTTTGCCTCCGCATGGAGAGTGAAGCTTTGCTGGTAAGTATCCCGACGACCATCGTTTTGCCCTCTAACCTTCGTTCGAAATTCAGTTTTGAGATTGGAAACCCCAAAATTGTATTCGTCTCGGAAATTGGCGTTTATGTCATTTTGTGAATCTGGAATATTCACAAGCTTCAAGAAGATCGAAGGAACTCGGATTGCGATACTCGCCGTTTTGTCAGGGTCATCCATGGCCTTTTTCTGTTGCAAAATGTGAGAGAAAATATCCTTCTGGAGGGAATCAATTATTTCAACTGGATGGGTTTGTTGAAACCTTTCGATCAAAAGTGAAATAGCAACAAGGAATTTGGGCGTACAGAACCCTCTAACTCCTGAAGGAAACTCGCAAGAGAAGTTCGTCTGTGTTGTCTGATCATTTTCGAAAGGTGAACGAATTACACTGAGATTTTCGCCGACGGTGTTTGTGTTCCAATACTCATCGTAAGTCTGTTGCGAAGGAAGTTGTGACGTATCCAGAACCATCTTATACAGCGAGAACTGAGGAATAGTCCAAGGATTTGAATCTCCTTCTACAGTCGCTGAAGGTTTTTCTGTTTGGCTTCGTAGATGACTTTCATGATTCTTTGATTGGTGTGTCATCTCTGGCCTTGTTGAGAGACCTAGTGAAGCTGATTCCCGGATTCGTTCAGCATCCAAGACTCGAACTGGTGTGACCGTTGCAGCACCGTGAGCTGCCTGTTTCTGGACACTTCTCAGACTCGAAGTATCTGAGGATATAATGAATCCCTTAGAACTTGCATTGCTCCCAGTTTCCAAAGAATACCTTGAATGAGTGCCCATAAAACTGTAATGCCTTGAAATAGGCGCTGGCATTGGCGGTACAGCCATGTTCGGAGAATGTGGAGTGCCCCTGTTTATAGGAAAAGACATTGGCTCTACATCATCCCCATCAAAAAGGAGCCAGTCTGTCCTGTTGGTAGTCTCGTCATGAACTTTGATGTGACCCTGTTGCAGTTTTCGATGTTCGGTAATGTTGCGCTTCCTTTGGGCCATTTTCAGCTCTATTGTCGTTTGGAAAAGTGCCTGAGGGGTCATCATCGTCTGGAAAGGCCCCTGAGTCTGAACAGCCAACTGTCTCTCAACTGCAGCAACAGATACATCTAGAACAACGAGACTGAGGCGTTTCGAAAATTTCGAATCAGCCCAATCGTTAAATTTAGTAGATATCGCGCCAGAGCTCAGAATAAAGGCGGTTTCGTCTAGAAGAACAGAAATGTGGACTGAGTCAACAAAAGCTCGTAAGAAAGTTACGTCGTGTAGGATGATAGGCTTTGGTGGTGGAAGTGCATTTTCATGGTTATCGAAAGAAAGGTCAAAGCTCTGAAAGGCTGCAATCATGCTACTCAGAAATTGAGTCGAGCATTCGCCAATGATTCGCCCTATGTTGAAGTCCCAATTGCAGACATATGTCGGTTCTGCAGGTGGCAAACCAAATAAGCGATGGCCGTAGATTGAAAGACCGTCGATGAATAGCTGGGTCCCGGACACCACAGGCTCGTGGAGCTGATGCGACTCCAAAGATGCTTTCAGAGGGCTGGTTGACAATTGAAAGTCCATATAGTAATTTGTGAACCTCAAGTCAGCTTCTATGGAGGCAGCACTGAGCTGTATGCTTTTTAAATGATCATAAATATTTTCAGGCAGAAGAACACAGGGATTATCGACGGTGACCTGTACAATCACATCAAGGCCATTTGACTTCTTGTTCGGATTGATGCCGCCGTGTGTCGTAGGTCCTTCCTCGTTGTATGCCTCCTCTTGAAACTCTTCGAGTGTCTTGAAATGCACATCATCGCCGAAATAGTTTCCTCTGATAATCATGAAGCTTCGAATCAAGAATCCGAATACAAGAAGTTTTGGCGAAGATCCATTGACGTTAAGCACCAAGGTGTCTGTCAATTCTGATGACGTGGAAAGATAATAGCTGTAAGTCCCATTAATAAGAAGACCATCGAGTGTCGCAGCTGACTTTTCTTGCATGAAAGTATGAAGAGTGTCCCATAAAGGCGTTAAAGCATCTATGCCACCATCGTGAAGGTCAACCGTGAAATCCACAGCATTTCGTTCGGGCCGATACTTGTTCAGGGGAATTGAGACCTCAGACGTCAATCTTTTGCCTTTGACTATCAGGAAACGGTTGTCGTCGAGATCAGAAGGATTGCTGATAATGTTCAAGTCGTTGACATTCACAAAGATTTTAAAATTGCTGAATAGCAGGCTTATGTTGTAGATGTATGGAACAAAGGCATAGTAATCAGGAGGAGGCCCAGAGGTCCAATCACTGACAAGATCTGTTATCAAAAATATGTGGTCCCTGAGTAGGAACAGTTCCATATCTTGACTTTCGACTTTGAATTTCCATTTGCGAAGGCTATTCCAAGAGAAAGAATTTGGCAGGTCACAAGTGACCTGTTGTCGTGGGCATTGCCATAAGAGTCCATGATTGACACTAGATGACACCTTCGAATCTCGAAAATCGCAAGACAGACGATTATGATAGCCAGACTCTGACCCTACCATATCGATGTTGCAAGAAATGGTCGAGTCACGAGCAACACGAAGGGAGAGCCACCCGAAGGGACGAATGTCAAGACCGAGAGAGCCCTTCTCTCCCTTCTTCTTTCGGCCTTGACGCCCTTGCCGTTTCTGTTTCAACTTTGACGCACCCCTTATCGCATCTGCCCGGCCTTTCCATTGCCAATCTTTTGATGGCTCTCGCGTTGGTATTCGCAAACTCGTTTCTTGACTGAACTCCACGTTTATTTTAAAACATGTGCTTTGCCTCAAATTTCCAAGAGGCAACGGCTTTGCCGCTTGTGAATTTCGATATGAATTTGGAAAGAAGACGTTTTGTAGCCCAACTCTTTCTCGATCAGCCCAGGGTCCGTAATCTATAGAACCGCCTTCAACTTTAAGGTCAAGGCCCCATTCAGGGGGTGGAGCTCCATTGATGTCCTGTGGGGAGTTAGGGTCAGACGAAGACACTGTAGCCTGCCGAGGCAATACTAAGCCTGGAATATCCCAGTAGTAGGTCAATTTCAGACTAGGGCTGTCTAAGATGGTAGAATATCTTCCATATTCGACAGCAGTCCAACCTTCGTGCTCGTCTTGGACGCTATCATCTAGGTATCGGGAAAGGCCAACCCAACGGGTATCATGGGAAAATCCAGCTTGAGACTTCGACCTCGCCCCCGAGTCATTGCGGGGATGGACGTGAAGCGATTCCACAGAAGACTGAAAGTACGGGAACAGCTCGCGGATGCCATGCCAAATCCTCCGCCTTCGGAACTTATAGTCAAAGGAAAGACCTTTCCTGCGCTTCCTTTCAATATCCTCTTGTCTGATCGTGCTTAAGCTCTTCGCGGCTGAGAGTTGATTCTGTTTGAAGTCTGGGTTTGGCCGTAGCTGGATAACCGGATGGTGAAATTGGAAAGACAGTATTTGCCGATACAAATCGAACGGCCCAGCAGGATTAGCTTCAACTACTCCAGTTGCGCTATCGAAGGTTGCGGCCAAATTCGACCTCGTATTCTCATTTCCGACGACAATAGCCCCCTTGGTACACGCCAGTTCGACTGGTAATAATTGAAGGAGCTTTGATGAGGTCTTTCCAACTTCGCGACCAGGACCCTTTGCATCTTGCAAATCGAACTCCTTGCTATGACCATTCCTGCGTTCGGAGAAAGATCCTGAAGCTTTCGTGCGATCGGGAGACGATCTGGTTGCGGAGGAAGCACTTGTTTGTCTGATGGAAAAATCCCATTGATCCTCCTTTCCGGCTTTCCCAGAGTCCGACTTCGCGGAACTTGATGCGGGTGGATTGTCACTCCCATCGCCAGGAGAGAGATCCTCGTGAATGGAGTGGCCAAAGCCGGATAGGATGCTCTCATATGCCGCAGTTCTGTTATATATAAACCATTCCAAACCATAGCATCGAATAGCTATTCGACTAGAAAGTGATTTAGTCCTTCTTGTGTCCCCTTTATCCGCTACACCATCGCCTTTGTCACCGTCATTCCCCCTTAAAGGATCATTCTCATATTGGCCACCTAGTGCCGACGAACTGCCATTTTGTTTGAAGCCAGACAGTCTTGTCTGCTTCACATTCGGCTTCCAGTAACGCCACGATATAAATCCCCCATGTATGAAGATGGACTCGTTCACTCCGTGGTAACGAACGCCTTTGAAGAAAATCCGGCCCCCGAGGAGGGAAATCTGGAGCGCATGGATATCGACATATGCGCGATAGTAGTGCCACGTATACGCGCGGATTCCGTACGATATGAGAGTTCCAAAAAGACGGTTGAAGTAGAACAAGAAGAACAGCGTCCTATATACATCGTTAGTGTGATCCATGCCACCAGCAGTTGATAGTTCCTTTCAACGTACAAAATGCCAGATACGATCAGATCAAGAAGAAAGAACCTGTCATATCATCAGCCACGTTCCCATATACGCGGGTTCTGGGACCTACCAGTTGAAAGAAGGGTTAGGAGGTGTCAAGAATGAGTGTGTAGAGTGTGCGGCGTCCGCTGTCAAGCTACCGACGGCCATCTCTTTATCCTTAAAGGCCGCAGCCCGTGGCCATTGCGACCAGAGGGAAAGACAGTCTCCCGTTGGATCAACGTCCGATGCGAGCAGTGATGAGATCCATCGACAGCCTGCATACCTGGTGTTCGCGGTCGCTGAGGAATAATGCACTGATCTTGGGACGTGACGAAGCTGCTGCCCATTATGGGTGGCCAAGAGGCAATTGGAAGGCGGTCTGGCGGGCTCTTATCAGTGCGGAGAGATCTCGGAGAATGTCGTCCTGCAGATGCTCCCAGAAGCATATTACAGGAATAACCTGTCTGCCTACGCAACTAGCTTCGAGGTTCATCGTATCGCAATGCATGGCCTTTCTCCTTTTGTTCCTGTTCTCTGAGGGTATTCCAGCGTCTATACAGTCGGTTTTCGGATAGCCATGCCCTGCTATTTTTAGGGGCGACCACGGTTCGCGATTCCCAACACATGCAGCACAGCACGCAAAGCATGCCGTCTCAGAACCCTCAGTACATTTCAATGATGGTTGCGGATGCTCCATCCGGCGGCACAGGCTCCAGTCTTGGACGAGCAGTCGTTATCGGTACTGGAGTCTCGTCCCTAGTAGCCTCGTTGTTGTCTGTGGTGTAAGACACCGTCTGCCCCCCCTGTTCCTCGCTCTACCGGGCCCAAGCTGACCTGTGAACCACCGCATAGCTCCATATGGCTTCAAGCGTACGATTATATCCTTTTGATTTCCAATTCCTAGCCGGAAGCTAATTGATGCTCGAAGTAAAAACTATCGAAAGCCCCTCCTCCAACGATACGTCGTCCGCATATTGTTGATGTTAGTATTGACTTCTGCGCATAACAGACGTCGCAGTAGAACTAACCATACCAGGGTTCCGATATATGCAGTATCCTCCTGGACGAGTATTGTCTCACTTAGGGCTGCCCAATTTCTCGATCCCATCCGGGATGTTTATGAAGTAAGCCCTTCAGTTAAAAACTGGCATGGTCGCTGTTGACGGTTCTGTTTACGAGTTTTTCATATATATAGGCTTTCACAATATACACCTTCTTTCAACTACTCATCAACTTTCTAGGTGGAGAGAGAAATTTAATTATTATGACACATGGCCGCCCTCCTGTCCAGCATGCCTGGCCGCTCAATCGCCTCCTTCCAAAGGTCGATATATCGGACCCGCATACATTTTTAGCAGTTAAACTGGGTGTTCTTCAGTATGCATGGTTAAAGCCCATCCTAGGGCTTGCCTCTATAATCATGAAAGCGACCGGGACCTACAAGGAAGGATACCTGGGTGTGACATCCGGTTATCTCTGGTCCGGAATCGTGTACAATATCAGTGTTACCCTAAGCCTTTATTCTCTTGCTATGTTCTGGGTTTGCTTGCATGATGATCTGGTCCCATACAGACCCGTCCCGAAGTTCCTTTGCGTCAAACTCATCATTTTTGCCTCGTATTGGCAGGGATTTTTCTTGTCGATCTTGCAGTGGCTGGGGGCTTTATCTAATGGGGTTGCGGGTTACACGCCAGATAATGCCGCCGCTGCGATTCAAGACGGACTGATTTGCTTCGAGATGCCGATCTTTGCAATAGCTCACTGGTACGGCTTTTCATGGCACGACTATGCAAATGCAGGGATTTCGGCGGCTCGAATGCCAGTAAAATATGCCCTTCGTGATGCTTTTGGTTGCAGGGATCTTATTGAAGACACAAAATTGACACTACGCGGTGGAAGCTACGAGTACCGACTATTTGATTCCGTGCACCACGTTATCCCACACGCAGAGTCGAATTCGCGTGTGAAGAGGGTGATGGACGGCATGAGATATGAGAGGGGAGGGAAAGCAAAATATTGGATCCCGCGACCAGGTGAGATCAACAGCCGTACTCCCTTGCTGGCTGGGACAGACTCTGGGAGATACGATCGTAGCCAAAGAAGAGGAAGCGCGTTAGAGCGATTCCGTCCTTACACCGACATCGAGGAGACCACTCTTGATGAAGAAGATGAACGATTATTTGCAAACGCGCGAGCTTTGGAGTTTGGTGATTGGAATGTAAGTTATAGGCACCGGCATTCGCAGGGCTGAGACGTTAACAGCTCGCAGTATCCAGTAATCACCGCGAACCAGGTACCATGGGACCAACGCCTGGCTCCTACCAGATCCTACCAGAGCCCTCGCATAGCGGAGCCTGTTAGGAAGAGCCGGAAACACAAGAAACAGCGCCAGGATGGTAGGGAAGATATACGCCAAAGCGATAACTCCAGCACCACTAGCCCTCGAAGTAGGGATTCTGGGAATCCGAACTCCTTACGACATGCAACAAGAGCCACTCCTGCTGACACTCCCCGCAAGAGCCAGCTTGCTGACCTAGTTGCTAGAGATAGAGAGGCCGAGGCGCATCAACGTGCCCGAACTCGAAGAGAGGTTGATCTGGAGCGTCGGCATTTCCATGTACCTAACTCTACCACAGCCAATGAAGGGGAGGACAAGGCAATCTGCCATCCCAGAACTCCGTCCGGTAAACCAGTTGAATCCCTCCAAGACCTTGGCCAAGAACGGCACAGTGGAGTCCCGAGCCCTGACAATGCGGAGTCGTCCCACGGGAACGAGGAAGATGAAGGTCCCAGCCCTAGAGCACCCCCTTGGGACTACGGCGCTCTGGATGAAGGCAATGTATGGAAAATAGATGCTTAAACCTAACTCTGTGGCGCAGCTTCTTCGTCACTCGTCCATTTCAGACGCTTTTTCTTTCCAATTCTCCCATATTCCCTTGGGGATTCTCTTCGTTGACTGCGATAGCGGATTTTATTCATTTTCGGATGTTTCTTTTCGGAGACATACTATTTATTATCATTTATTTGACTAGCAATCAATGTAAATGAAGTCCGGACGGGAAGATATCTATTATTCTGTGGTTTAATATCTCTCCTGGTCATGCCATGACTGGCAATTCCACACGGCGAACTCGTAGCCCTTCCGTCAGAGACCAGGCGTCGATCAATGACGGGACGGGAAAGAGGATGTTGCCACTCTGCAGGTGTAACAGCGCCGCTGATTGGGGATGGTAAGCGCCCGTCTGCCTTTCGTGGTGGTGAGGTGCAGAGTGAAGCTCTGCTGTTGGCCAGACAGCGGGGCATCTCGCTGCCTGAGCTGCTTCTCTGCGATGATAACCAACACACCATCGCCGTGCAGCGCCCATGCGTCCCGGCCTCGCCGTGCCCTGACTGGCGATAATAATAGATTAGCTATCGCTGGTCTCCCTCTCCCGTTCGTCAGCGGGGTTGGCGCGCTGGTCACAAGGACGAGTTGGTTGATGGAGTCCCCTGGCCAAGCGTTCTCTCATCTTTGCATCGACTTTAAGGGCCTTGTTCCCCCCCCCACAGCATGAGATATGTCATTATGTTGTTTTGCTTCTGCTTCTACCTTATTTTGGACAATGAGGTATCGAGTAGGCCGACAGTTTTAAGCGCTGGCAGCGATGGAGCTGGCAATTGAACAAGCAGGACTGAGGTTTACTGGCTGGATCTCGTCCTGCTTGTTTTGTCTATCATCACCCGCGGATAATAACAGTCCTCATGCTGTCGATTATAAAGGTCGAAGAGGTAAGGCACATTATTCTGCGTGGTAATGGTCTTCTCTCGCTGTCTGATCTAACTGGTTTTCCTCTTCAGGACACGAACAAAGGAAGGGGCTATGCTACCATCAGCCACACCCTGTTCCCGCCATGACGCCGGTCTCCCGCAATGACCTCTCTGCTGCTAACATCAATTCTCCTCGTGCCGCATCTTCATCGCTACAGACAATGGAGGGCAAGGACCTAATGTTGAATGCGCGGAGGGCATCAAGGGCTTCGAACCGGTTAAGCGGCCTCTCCTTCAAAAGGAAATCCTCCAGGCCTTTGACTATTAGCGCGCCGACGGATTTTAGAAACGTGGAATCGTTCTCGCAGTGCTTTTCCTCGGAGCAGTTCCAGTTCCAGCCTCTGGAGCTGAACATCCACCGTCCTGGGAATCGGTTATCGGATCTCCCTACGTTTGAGAGTTTTCAGCCAGGAAACGAGTCGTCTCTTCGTCTACCTCCCAGAGCTCTCTCTATGTCTTACGATATTTCACGCTCATTAGAGTATTATTGTCCCGACCACTTCAGGGTTCCCCGTAAACCTGTTGGCTCGGGGCCCAGACGAGCCTCAGTTGCTAGCCCACTTGAACTGTCCCTGGAGAAACGGGCATCTATAAGTGCCACCAGTCCCTTAATCCCACATTTCTCAACACTGGTTTCCCAGAGGATCTCGGTGTTCGGGGATGCTTTCGCACTATTGCCGCAGACTGCTTCCACCGAGTTGGAGCTGGACGGCAGACGCGGTCACGAGCAAGCGCTGAAAAACGACCAGTATAGCAACATCGCACGCGCAAAACTATCCGTAAACCTGCAGGGCAGGTCTTCCAATCCTACAACACCCCCAGGACGTTTCTCGTCTACTATTGCTTCTCCAGTAGTCGCTGAAAGGGTACATACACCTCCATCACCTAAGACTCCCTGCCCCAGCCCTTTCGCAAAGTGGTTGTCTACAAGCGAGGACTCTTCCATTCCCTTAATGACGACTAAAGAAAGCATTGATTATCCTAATCATGACCGATTGCGAACTCTAAGTGGGTCCACTTTATCTCCGAGTTTGACGGAAGGGATAGAAGCGGTTCGCTCGCGTGGCAGCACGACAGCAGTGCAAGCTACTCTTCTGGAAGCCCATGCGGAAAAGACTGTTGAGCTGATGGACATTTGGCCTCATCCCTTACCCCTAATCTCAAGGCGGGATTTTTCTTCAATTTCTGATGAACCGGTTCACCCTACCATGCACAAGGGGAAGCAGCAGGAGGGCTACAGTTATAGTCATAATTCCTATGCATCTCATCGGGAATCGCCCATTGGTTTGGCATTTTAAGCAGTCTTCGTTTGCTATTTCGCTTTCCTTTGCTATGGACCCTTTTTTATTCTGCTCCGTCTCTGCATGAGACGAGGTTTGCCTGGCGCTATTTACCTAGGTACTTTTCTTTATTCCATTGTTAGAACAGCAGGCTGTCACCCAATTATATTGCTGTCCGTTTGAACCATTCTCCAGCGCTGATCCCCATGAGGCTTTTTCAAATTCCAGGAGCATAAGCGGGGAAAGACGATCTCTGAAAGCTTGGCCGCAAAGAGTTACGTGACCCTCGGCGAAGGGCGAACAGGCCAGTGAGGACGCTATGAAGGATTTTCGTATTGCTAGTACGACAACGGCGCCGCAGCCACAAAAGCTTAGGGCTTCTAATTTGGCCGTTCCAGAGTGTTTCTGGAGACTGATCAACTCCAGGATTGCCGCAATCTCACGTTAGACCGAATCTGCCTGAGCTGGCACTGGACAATAATAATGATGCGTGTTAAGGCGTAGCGATGCGCGAAAAAAAAAAAAAAAAAAAAAAAAAAAAAAAACCAGCATAACTCCGACCCCTGCGCCCTGTCAGCAAACAACTCATTTGTGGTTCTGCCCGTCTAATAATAATAATAATAGTAAATAATGGATCTTAAATAATCACTAGTAGTGTCTAATTTCGCATGGGTTCCTTCCTTCGCTGATTCTCTCCTGCTTGTCGGGGGTTCCGTATGTCTGTCCTCCCTTGGCAAGGCATCAACATCCTTTCTCTCCATGGGAGCATCTTCCACCATGGCAGCTAATGGCAGGCTCCATGATTGCAAGGGCTTCATCCTCCGTTTGATCAGATCCCCAGGTCTGTATTTCGACCAGGGCTGGGAAGCCTCACGCCTGTACTGGTTCTCCCTCTTCTTCGTCGCCGTCTTCTCCGCCAAACTCCTCCATATCTACTCCCATCTGAGCTCCCTCCCGTTGAAACAGTTTCTGGTCTGGGGCTTGACCTTCTTCGTCCAAGATGTCCTCTGCATTGTCGTCGCATGGGGCCTGACTCGACATTGGCATGGGAAATGGGCACGCATCATGGCGGCCCTGGTGGTCATCCCCATGAGGTAGACTGGTTAATCGCAATTCAAGATATAACAGAATATCAGGCTAAATTTTTTTATTTCCCTTTTTCTAGTTTGATTGTCTCGGGCATGGCCGCCGCCAATATTTCTTTCTATGCCAGCACCGGGGCAGAAATACACTGGCGACAAGCGCGCACTTTCCACCGCGACGCTGCCTCCGTCAAGACCCTTCTCAGCGGCCTGACAGGCCTTTTGATCGTTGAGATCCTGTTCATCGTAGTATCATGGTTCGCAACGCCTTTCCTGTTCAATTGGATTGGAGGAGTCCTTAGAATCTTGAGCTCGTCTGTGACTTCTGTATGCTGCTGCTGCAGGAGGAGGAAGAAGCCTGCGCTGGATCCGGAGGGCTACGAACCAGTGGTCTTGGACGACTACGACGAAGACAAGAATGACCTAGAGTCGAGTCCGTCGATGGGGATTTTCCAGAAGATGTTACAGGAGACTAATCAGTCTCCGCTGAAGCTCCTTTTGATACTCCTTCCCACGGCCACAGTCATCATCCTGAGCTGCATTCGTCCATCCGACCCTGCATACTGTTTTCTCTCCCAAACACTGATCCTCACCCCTTTCAGTGAACCAAGGGCCTACAACGGAAATGTCTTGCTCGATATTCCCAGGTTGCAAGGCGATTACAGCTGGCTCGGTAACCGTACAGCCTTGGACACGCCCCCCAAGTTTAACTGGCTACCGTCCAGAAAGTTAGATGGGTTCAGAGACTGGTATACGAGCCCAAATGCGAGCGAGACGTATATGCATTACAATCCAGCAAAGGACCCGCTGCATATTTCGAATCTGCAGGGTGAAGTCATCGAGCCCTTGCGTGAAGTCCTCCACAACGGCAAGGTTAAGATCAAACACGTCTTCGTGCTCAAACTGGAAAGCACTCGAGAAGATGTTTTCCCCCTTCGCAAGGAGTCCTACATGCACAACCGCGTTCGACAGACCTACAGCAACGGCCGGATCCCTGATCATGTTGAAAAAAGACTAGCCAATCTGACCCGTACAGCAGAGAGGTTAGCTGGGATCCCATCTGGATGGGACAGTGAAGGGACGGCTCCCAAACCGTACGGCGGCATTCGTGCGGCCAACGCGTACACCAGCAGCACATTCACCCTCAAGAGCTTGACGGGCACTTTGTGTGGTGTTTCGCCGCTGGTTGTCGACTTCAATCGCGAGTATCTGCATCACATTTATCAACCCTGCATACCCCAAATTCTTGACGCACTGAACCCCCAATCCAATGGCACCAACAGCACTGACGACTTTACTTCCTGGCCATGGCATTCTGCCTTCATGCAGTCTATCACTGATTCTTATGACAACCAGAACTATCTGACGCCGGTTTTGGGCTACAAGCATTCGGTGACGGTGGACACGATTGTTCAGGATCGTATGGAAAACCCCTCCCCCGACGACGAGCCGGTTAATTTCTGGGGATATCCAGACAACGAATTGCGCGGCTATTTCCGCAATGCCATCAACAAGGCTGAACAGGACAAGGAGCGTCTGTTCATCAGCCATATCACTGGCATCACACATCATCCTTGGAACATGCCACACAATAAGTTTGAGGAGATGTCTGGTCCCGGCTGGTTTAAGCACAACACGAAGTTGAATCGCTATCTGAACACTATTGGCTTCGCAGACCGATGGCTTGCGGAGATTCTAGAGATCCTCGAGGACACTGGAATTGCCAATGAGACTCTCCTTGTGGTAGTTGGTGACCAGTAAGCCTACATGAGTAGTCGGCTTTTTTTTTTGAATGACTTGACTGACCTTCCCAACAGTGGCATTTCCCTCCCCGAAGACAACGGCGTCACGCCAAATGATAATCCCCATGTGTCGAATTTCCATGTCCCCTTAGTCTTTGCCCACCCTCACCTGCCTCCTATTGAAATCAGCTCCGCAGTCACTTCCAAGCAGATTCTCCCCACGCTCCTCGACTTGCTAAAGGAGTCGTCATCCCTAGATGACCACTCCAAGCACATCGTCGAAGACCTGCTCCCCATGTACGAGGGCCAGTCGATGATCCGACCTCTCATACCCGAGCTCAACGGGGTACAAGACTGGCAATTCACTGTGATGAACACCGGAGGGACCTGGCTTTCCCTACGATCTGCTGCAAACCCCTATCGCTTGGTTGTACCCCTCGTCCCAGACGTGGAGTGGCGATTCACCGATGTCGAGACAGATCCGTCCGAGCTCCATCACCTCATGGCATTTGACCTGTTAAATCTTATGGAACTCGTGCGTGCAAAGCATGGGTCTGAAGCTGTCCAGTGGATCAATGATGCAGCACATGTTGCTCAATGGTGGGTTTCGGAAAATTGGCGTCGTTATGAATATACCCCATGACGTAGAAACAGAAAAGCATTGGAAACTCGGAACTCATCACTTGCTCTTTCCCAATGTTCATTCATTTCCGGCCTGTCTATCTGGTTAGAGCGGCCCTGAAGTTGGTACGGTTGTTGGTTATTGTTATTACTGCATTGGGTCTCATATTGGAGTACTAGGCTTTTCTTTTTCTACATGGTATGCATTACTAGCATCAGAATGATATTGCATATGGAGTACATACCTTTTATAATTTACTCAATCAAGAGCTTACTTGGGCGTTATACATACAGGCCCAGCTTTTTCTAGAGAAGCGGGTTATTTCTGGAACAGACCTGATTAGGGCTTTATAACTACCGCAAGTAATATCGTAAAAAGGGTATCTAACTATAACTAGTTAACTAACTATAGCTATATTACCTAATTATTCAATCCATACGCCCTGGCGATAAATTATAATGATCAATGAGAGATACACAAACTATATGTAAACAAGTGTTCAAAAGAAAGGATTGACAAGGCATTCATTCAGTCGTCTTCGACGATTTCCACCCCGTCATCGATGACATGTTTGGGGCGACCGTCGGCTTGGGTATCTTTCTTCAATATGTCCAGCATCTGCCAAGCACGATTAATGACTCCATGTCCCAAGACACCGTAGGGGGTCTGGGAGCCCCTATAACCGTTGAGGGCACTCTGCTGGAGATGGAAAACAGCTTTCCCTCTTTGCACTTCCGCGAGTCTATCCTGCTCCCGTTCGCGGCTGACGACGTCATTCTTCCATTCAACCCAGCGCTCGTAGTCTTCTCGTTGCCGGAGGACTTGGTACCGGAGTCTAGATTTCGAGGGGCGCCAGGCCACGCGGTTGTTCTTCTCTTGCGAGCTTGCTGACTTTAGGTCGTAAACGTGGGATTTCTCCGTCAATTTAAGCAGATGCGAGAAGACATCTCTTGTTTCGAGGGCTGTCTGTTGTATCGCTTCGCACTGGGGGCTCTTCTGTGTCAGCGGCGCGTTGAGCCAGGAGTGAATATCCGCTGATCGATGAAGAGTGTACGGGTCAAGCAGGTTGGCACGGCGGTTCTCTTCACGGAGGAAGCGGACGGCTGCTTGGAGGCTGTGGACTTCGGCTCGCAGGGCTTCGTTCTCGCGCATTGTAGCCAGAGACATGGCGCTATCAACGACGACGCCTTCCGCCGTAGTGGCGACACCGGTGGTGCCGGAGGCTCTTTTCATTCTCTCAAGACGTGTCTTGTAATCCTCCCGTTCAGTCTCTAGTGTCTGTAAATCTTGTCTTTGCTTCTCTACAGTTCCCGATAGCTCCAGCTCCTTTGCTTGTAGCTCTTCGATCTTCGATTCAAGATCTTTTACCATGGATGCCTTCTTGTTCGCTTCACGCATCCTCGATTCAAGAAGTTCTACTTTAATGGCCTGCTCCTCAAGAGTTTTGTCTTTGACCCCCAGTGCCGTGGATGCCTCGTGGATTTCATTCTTCAGCCGGTGAATAATCTCATCGGCATCGGCAGATACGGTCTTATTCGACTTGAGTTCCTCCGCTCTCGCGAGCCAGGGAGCATGGCGCTTTTCAAATTCCGTTGTACGGGAAATGTTTGATGAGAGCGAGTCAAGATCTTCTAGATAACCACCGAAATTCCGCAGCATATGGCTGAGCAAGGTTAGGCCATCATCGCTATCGTTTGCAATGCTTGAGGATCGAGCAAAGGATTCTGCTGTCTGCGACATGTTCTTCAATACTTCCGGGAGAGTATAGGGTTCGACACGTCCCTCTTCGCCGAGAAGAACCAAGGCATTTTCTCCTAAAGATCTTGCTAGCTTTGAAATTTTCGCGGCAGCGTTCTCGGTCTGCTCAAAGGGTTCGCTGGCATCATTTGGAGGAGCAAGCGACCGCGATTTCAAGTCATCGAGTAGGCGATAGATCTTTCCCATCGCAACTTTCAACCCACGAGCTTGCGTCACAAACGTATCCATCTTGTTGAAGAAAAATGCGCCTTCCTCATCGTCCTCCGTCGGTGCACTGAGTTTAGATTGCATCACCGATTTCAGGTACGATATTGATGATGCAGCTTGTTCCAAGTATGCCTGCGTCAATATTGACCGCATGCATATCTCGTCTGCAAAGATCTCCAGATTGGGTGGGAGAAGCGTCTCTGCAAGGTGCGTTAGCACACTAATAGATCTGTGCAACTCGTCGACACATTTTCTCGCGTTGAAATCATTTCCCTTTAGACTTTCGATCCATGAGTTCAGTGTTCGTTCCACTGGTTCCAGTTCGTAGAAGGCACCTTCAACCCTACTAAAGTCTTCGGTAGAGCAACCGGATATGTAATTTATAAACCGGTCACAGATAGATGATATCCACAAGAGCTTTCCGATAGCATCGTGAGCCGCAAAGAATTCTTCCGGTATGACCGAAATAGAATGCTGATCAGAAAGCCGTTCGCGGATACTATTGCTCATCAAGGAAGCCTTGAAGGCGACCCGCTTGAACCTCAGAAACGCAAGTACAGAATTTCGCTCTCCATTGAAATATTCAGGGAGGTACAGCTTGAGAATTGACAAATGCTCCGCTGCTTCTTCAGCCTCCAAGCGACCAAGTTCCACGTCAATCGTCTTCGTCTGGGCCTTCGAGATAGAGGCTTGAAGTTTGATATTAAGGTCCATCATAGCTCGAGACCGCGTCGTGAGCTCATTAGACTCGGTTTCTGAAATCTGTTTGGACGCCCGCATGTCCTCCAAGTCGCTTTGCAAGTTTGAGACAAGCTCCCGAAAGCGAACGAGGGTATATTCAAGATCCTCAATAGTCTCCTCTTGCTGGGAGATCTTTCGACACTGCTCGTTATAAACGCTCTCCCTGTGTTCAAGTTCTTCTTGCAGTTGCTTTTCCGTCTCGATATGGTTGTATTCGAGCTCGTCGTTTATTTCCTTCAATGCCTCCAAGTCCTCAATCGCAGCCTTGAGTTCATTGATCTCTTCTTGGTACCGCATGTTCTTGTCTGCAAGCTCTTCAATCATTTCTTCGGCGCCGAGTGCCGTTTCCAACTGCTGTTTTAGATCTTCTACATTGTTCTCGGACGCCAGTAGTTTTTCCTTCGCAGATTCGTATTGGGCTTTAATGTTGGAATATTCTTCCAAATCCTGCTGGAGTTCTTTTATCTGGTCCTTAAGCTCCGCTTCCTGTTGTTGGGTCATGTCACGCAGACGGATAAGCGCTTCGCGCAGACGTTCATTTGTTTTCTCCATTTGCAACCACCCTTGGCTAGCCCTTTCCTCTGGGCTCATGGTCTGACCGAGTTCTTCATTTTCTTGTTGTAGGACATCGACCTCCAGTTGGAGTTCTTCGACCTTTTGCCTCAGGATCTCACATTCATGCTTGAAAGCATCCGCTGTTTCTTCCGCCATGTCGCGGTCGAGAGCTGCCATTTCAAGGGCCGTCTCATTCTCAGCTTGTAATTGTTCTAGTTCTTCCAACTTTAACACCTTTTCTTTTAGTGCTTTCCGTAGCTCTCCTATCTCGACCTGCTGCGGTTGGTACTTTGCCTGCAATTTCTGGATGATTCCCTCAAATTTATCGCGTTCGGATTTGAGCCTTTCGAGATCTTTGAGTTTCTCTCGGTCTTCTGCGCGCTTGTTCTCCATCACTTTCAGCTTCGTTTTAAGTCCTTCAATCTCCCTTGCTGTCTCTGCGCTATTTTGCTGCTGTCGTGGTGAAGATATAGATGGCTTCGAAGGAGCGGCTCTCCGGAGGAGACCTGGAGACCTCGCAGTTGCTTGAGGAGTTGAACTTCCACCGCGCGAGACCCTGTTTTCTTCAGCGTCATGGGATTCAGCACCATCACGATGGTCTGACCGACCATGTGCTCTGTTATCAGTTTCCGCTGGCATCTTCTTAGGGGGTGGCCGGACAGGCGGCCGCTGCCTAGATGCCAAATTCGAAGATGCTGCACTAGGAAGACCAGGTCTCGCCGATTTATTCGCTGTTCCCGATAACGAAGGTCGCGCGGTTCTCGAGATGGCCGTTGAGGGCTGCGGAGGGCCCATAGAGGACCTGGTACCGGCAGTCGGCCGCGATCTGGCTGCTGCAGAGGTATGTGTATCGGTGCTCACGGGGGATCGTGTGGAGGATCGGGTAGAAGATCGAACAGCACGGGTAGCCAATTGCTTTGTAGGTGACTTCGCAGGAGACTATATAAATAACTGAATCAGTAAGATGGATGGAAGCATCTCAAGATTACGCAGCATACTTGCGGTGATGACGCTTTTGGCTGTAAGGACGGACTAGAAGCAGTACCGGTGCTGTGCCTTTGGGTGGAGAGTGTGCTGGCTCTTCTCAATCCTGCAGTACCTGAGACAATGCTACTTTGGGGTCGCCCTTTGTTGACCGTCTCCCTTGCCGTTTGCTTGTCTGCACGTCCGGGATGTTCGAGAACTCTAGCGATTCCCACTGGTCGAAGAAACATGCCATGCAGCGGCTTGCATTCAAAATACCGTTCTCCCGCGACTGAGCCATCATTTTTCCCGTTGGGGCCATCTAGCTCGACGCCAACCCAGATCCCCTCTGCGAATCGTGTGGTACCAACATAGCGAACGATAGCTCGCTGTCGCTGTTCATCCTTCAAGGCCACTATCTGGCCAGGGCATATATCGGCCATGGCGGAAGAAAGGTGAGACAGCAGTTCCTCCTTAAAGCCACGTCAAGGGAAGGGAGATGTGATGGCTGAGACAAAATAGCCAGCAAGCTAGCCTCCATTATATGGAGAAGGGGGGAAGGTTGGCTTCGCGTTTCGGGACAATGACGATCTGCGGCCTGAGGCATCAATCAGTCCTTGGACTTCCACTCCAAAAAATCTCAAGAATTAATCGCAAATGGAGAAACAAGCCAATAATAGGAATGGGGGCAGCTAAGTCTTTGTATTTCGAATCGTCTTTGGTTTTCAGTGCCTATACTAGTTTGTGTCTTGGGCTACTCCAGCAAAATATATATATCTCCAGCTGTCGAGTATGGATTTGCAAATGAGCGCATTGCCTTGTGGTCATGATATTCATCTAGAACTCTATATCTAATGTGAATGCCTGATAAGGGGGAGAGGCATTAATAAAATGCACGGGAATAGAGATACCATGTTTTATATCTACAAGAATCGACTACTTCATTAGGAGACTGTTATTCCAGGTCTCATTTCGTAACATCTATGAACATGATTCTATGCGTATGTAGCAGTCCTTATCGTGCCTATGAAAAGCAGACTCACACCCACTCGGCATTATGGTTTAAAGAAACCGGGGAAGATGGTTCTCAATTCCTCAAGATTTCGTATCAGGTATCTAGACGCTGGTATGCGTGGTTCAGGAAGACCCGGTTCCACGAGATGAGCAGTGGTCCAGCCACGAGCCTGGGCATGTTTACAGTTCAAATGGGAATCGTCTGCATAGTCGACTGAATGTCAGAATTTGGACGCTGCATCCGACCGGAGAATAAAAGGAAGACAAAAGGAAAACGTACCGACAAAATAACAATGACTCGTACTCGGTGCACCAGCTTCTCTCTCGGCCTTCTCGTACATTTCCTGACGGGGTTTACACACCAAAGGTAGGTGACCATAGTCACAGTAGGTTACCCCCTCAAACAGATCCTCCACATTCAGCAACTTTATTACCCTCTTGGCATGGTTGATATATGCATTCGTCAAGAGCCATAGCTTCACCTTCGTCGTGTCTATACTCTCGAGCAGTTCCCGCAGCATCGGGTCTGGACGCAGGAGCTTCTCTAGGGGCAAGGCGTCATCCACCTCACGGTTGAACTCAAGGGGATCGATTGTATGATGGCGCGTGAGACCTTCAATAGCAAGGCCATATTCCTTGTAGTATTTGGCATGGAGAGCAGTGGCCTCATGGGGACTGAGCTCCAGATGAGTGACGAAGAACTTGTCTGTGATAGATCTCGGAGCGTCAGAAAATAGAACGGCGCCGCGACTGTCGTGACCAGAAGAAAGAAGAAAGCATTATCAAAGACCGACTTATCAGAACTTTCATTGCATCGTGCACGTTGGCCTCTGTAGGTGTCGAGGGCGTCAGCGTTGCCGTCATTTCCCGTCATTTCCTATTGAAGCAACGGTGGCTTTCTCACTTCTGGAATAGAGCTTTGCCATTCCCACGAGTCAGTATGATGAAGTCAAAGAAGCAAGGATATCTGATAGATCAGTGGCATATGCACATACACAATTGTCAATATCGAAGAAGAAAACGACCCTGTTGTCGACAGGCCAGTTGGCCATGCCGTCATGTGTGCTGCTGTGGACCGTCATGGTCTGAGGGCTTGATGGCATCTACACTGTAAACCAGAGGACCACAGTTGTCCAGGATGAGCAACCAGACAGAGCTAGATGCAGGATTTACAAGCAGGAAGATGTAAATAAGCAGCAACAGTTGCTGTTGTCACTGACTCACCTTCATTCTGCACGGGACGCTAAACTTACCTACCAACGCGTCATTCCCCAGATGGGTTAGCGTCAGACCCCAAGCGAGGCTAGAAGTTCACAGGGCGTGACATTCACGAAGCTTGCTCTCTCCGTCTCTTGTCTCCCTCCCCTTTTCACATCCCTTTTGGACTGGCATTAAGTCTTGAGGTGACCAGGTTAATTTGGTGTGACAGCTGCTTGCCCTATTGGGTGCTGAAATGCTGAATTTGCTACATCCCATGGTTTGAAAGCAGTTCTTGTGGTTAACAAAAATTACTGGGCAGGTTATTCGCAGCCATGACAGCTCCAGAGGCCACTCAGGCTCCAACTGCTAGTACTCCTGCTCCATTGACTACAGATCAATGTGTTCAGGAATATGAGAAGATTCTGAGAATAAGTGATGAAGTTTTTGCTGGAACCCATCCAAGGTTGAAAGTTCCTCAGCAGTTTGTGCGCAAAGTCCCCCCTCGAAGTTCTCAGAAAGCGTCCATCGCACCAGCTCAGGTAGCCACATCTGGACCCTCGGGAGCTGTTTCAGAGAAAAAATCGCAGCACGAATCGGTGGCTACAGGCCCTGCGCCTTCGCAGGCTGCGTATTCGGCCAATGGCGCTGCTGTTGAAACCCCAACGACGGCCCCGACTTCTACTGCGCATATCGTTCCAAAGCCTACGTCAGAGATTGACCCTATTTTCTTGACAAAGTCGGATGATCTGGTGAGGGCAGAGTTGCAATTACAACGACAGAGAGTGGAAAGAGTGTTGCGTGAACAGCTGGAACAGAAGAGGCTCGAGTCTCGATACAAAGCTTCTCTTATGGATTCGAAGCCCGATTTTGACGTCTCTGATGTTTTGAATAGGGCTCTTGAGATTGTCAAACCCATTGGCCCAGATGACGTACACAAGCCCAATGGAACTGCCCTACCTAGTGATTCTCTTGACGGGAATTCTTTCTACTCTAGTAGAGCTCCTGACTCTCCGCAGCATCGCGAGCCGCAGAAGCCGTCTCCAGAGTCGGAGCGGCATGCTCTTCCTTCAACCTCAGACGAAGTTGCCACTGACGTTCCAGTAGACCAGTACTCAGATGAGTTGCGGCGTCTTGAAGCCCTTAACCCGAGTGGATCGGACCAAGAGATGCGGGACACTTTCTCCGTTGCTGACCAGCATTTACCCCATCAGAGACAGGCACATGCTGGACAGGTCGACTCTTTCACAGAGCGGCCTCGTGCTGTCCAGCAACACGCGGAAGTTCTTGAAGAATCTGAATATTCCCCGCCGGCCCCAGATGTACCTCCAATGGCGAAAGGAGATAGCCGTGAGTATCATAAGGGACTGCCCAACAACGCAAGGCAGCGTGCACCTGGTCGAGGCCATCGTACTCGCAGATCGTTGTCGCCTGCGAGTGACGTGAGAATTGTTCGGAACCATATAACATCTCCTGCAGCTCCGCAGCCGTCTAGAGTATCCCCATTGGCCATATCTACGGGTCCGTCCTCACAGCAGCCCAGATATTCACGGCCGGAGTACACACGCCGGGAACCAGCTTCAGGCCGTGCCAGTCCCGATATTCCGGCTCAGCAGTTGATGCCCAGGAAACGTAGACGTGTGCATGATGAGAGAGATCACCCAGTCTTTTACAGAAGGCCAGCGGTTGACTCTTCTGGAACTTACATTAAGGAAGAACCAGTGTCGCCGCCGCCGTTTGCCGATACCCCTCCTGCCCCCAGAACCAGACCTGCCCCCGAGCGGCCGATTTACATTGACATCGCGTCTCCACGATATACTCCTGTGGCGGATAGAAGGGAAGCACCGGTGAGGGAGCCAGTATATGAATATGATCCTTATACACGTGCCCCAGAGAATGAAATTCACGTCGAACCTGCTATCCCACGTGCAGTTTCCAGGGTTAGTACTAGAAGGCCTATGCGCGATGATCAAGATCTCCGAAGAGTCGCCAGTTTGAATCAATTAAGGCAGCCGGAGCTGTCTCGCGACTACGTTGACTATCCTGCTCCGGGTTCTATGCGCGCCTCGTCTTATGCCGTGGTTGAACGTCCGGCGCCGGAGAGGGCCAGATATTACGAGGAACCAGCTCCAGTCTATACCCGACGTTACATTCCTGTGGATGAGCCGTCGTTGCCCCCAAGATACCGTGAGACGTACATCGAGGAGGAACTTCCTGCTCCTATCATGGGCCCTCCACAACGTCGGATTGTGGTAGACGAGCATGGAAACCAGTACTACGAGACAGTGCATGCGCCACCGAGACTCCAACCGGTGTCTCGTCCTGCCACTCAAATCACGAAGCCTGAAGTTTACGACGATCGCGTTCCCACCCGTGCCGCAAGTGTACGGGCCGCTTCAATTGTGGAAGACGCATACGGTGAAAGAAGATACGTTCAGGAAATGCCACCACCGCCTCCGCAAGTGACCTATCGCCGTGCCGCCGACTATACACAGCCTGCTCTAGGTGAACGACGTGGTTATGCTCCAGCAATCGATGGACGAGAAGCGTTTCCTCGCAGTGCTAGTGTCCAAGTGGCAGATTACCCTCGACGCACTGCGTACGTGGAAGAGCCCGAGGTCCCACGGGAAAGACTGGTACGGATGTCCAGTGTGCGGCCCGTTCACACCAGGTACGACGAACCGCGGGAAGTTGGCGTCTACGTGGATGATGATGCTCGACGACCGCGCGACTACGTTGAACGACCGGTATATGTTTCCACAACCCGGCCTATGAGGGAGGAACGATACTACGAGGACGGCAACCCCGATCGTATGGTTATTGACGGGGGCAGACCTGACGTAGCACAAGCTCAGAGAGTTCCCCCACGCTACTGAACCCCTTTCTTCCTCCATGAAGGACTTGTTGCATATATGTATGTGTTTGATAGTCTTCTCCCCCCGCCGATTGCCAATGAAGGTCTTGGGGTATTTGGTGGTGAAACTGACACTGTCTTGCACACTTTTGATGATTGATGGGGTGTTTATCTATTTCTTTTGTTTCTTGTTTCCCTTCCCCCAATTTTTTAATGCATGTGTATCTATTGCAAACAAAATTTACCATATCCAATCAATGTACACATCATTGAATTCATTGAATGAATGTACAGTGACAAATGATTCTCTGGGCATGAACTGAAAATATCAAATATACTTGGGAGGCAGGCTTAGCATAAATATTACTAAGAAGTCCTAGACACTGCATAACTAGAGACGATTATGAGATATAATTGTCTGTTCAGAAGAATGCTCCTCTACAGCTGTGACTTTCAGGAATAAACATGACATATGACATTGGTTTTCTTCTTGACCTAGAAAACCGTAAGAGATGCCGGCAAGGCTTTGCATTCAACGTCAGGGGACTTAAAGTACACTCGGATTTTAGTCCATCGTCGCTGGCCAACTTTGAATGACTTGGCCTATTCAAGGGCTAGAAAGGCCGGATAAATGCGCCATGACGGGGGACAAGCGCCAAACCCATATGATGCAGATTCTTAATTGAAGGATGCGACAACCCGAAACCGAAATCTCGGGCTGAAGTTTCTTTTCAGTCCGTCATTGACGGAGGATCCTCCTGCAGAAGGACTCGACCCCAGGATTGGGGTTAAGTTAACTGGGCAATCCATTAGTCACTGACTGGCAGACTGGCAGTTAGGTTAGTTCAGGAGGGCGAAAAGGGAACTGCAAGAGCTCTTGCTACGTATGAGGCGCTGTTAAGGGGGCCAGTGCAAGCAAGTAAGCGCCCGGGAATTGTCTCTCAAGTCTCCAGCTGAACCCTGTCTGGTCTTGATTATGAAACGCACATATAATTGACCCCCTATGATAGCGAGTCAGGCAACCGTTCGATGGTGTATTTCCCCCTTGCGACTTTCATGATCGGCACGCCAGGGATTTTACGCAAACGCCGACATAGATCCTTGTCGTTCGTACCGACGATGTAGATCCTGTGTTTCGATACCTACAATTTTATCGAAAAAAAATCTCGATTAGTACATCTGGTAGACCAAGAAGAGACAATAAACCAACTCACCCTATCGACTATGCAATCGTCCGCATACGTGCCGGCATGGGAACATCGGAGCCTTTCCCATCTGGTATCCTTAGCGACTCTAAGTGCTAGGCGGAATTTATCGCCCATCTTCTCGAGTTCTGCAATCGTGCAATCCGTGAAAGTCGGGATACATTTTGCGTAAAGCCTGAATTAAAAAAAAAAAAAAAAAGAAAAACGCGTGAGTAAGATCCCAGAAAAGAAAAGCGCATTCATTCCATTCCACATACAGATCCATCATCGCAGCGAGCAGATCGACTTTCGCCCGAATGGAGTGGAAAACGAAGTTGGTATCCACGATCACATGGTAGGGTGGTCCAAGAGCCGTGTTCGCGGCAAAGAACAGATTCGATGGAGCCCTTGGGATATGTCGAGTCAATTCATCATTGTCATTTTTCTGTGGTTTCTCGCGCTTGAGAACAGCACTCCCTGCGGATTGCTTCAATCGTTCATCTCGCTTGCTGAGGGTTCGTTTGACCTGGGAAATTTTGCGATTCGGGTCAGTTTGCGCCGTGGCTACGGAGTAATAGAATAGGCGTTATGTCCCATCTCGCCATTCTTCTCTCCGGGGAGAGGATAAGCTTCTTACCTGGGCGAACTTCCTGGTTCTTTTCGCCACGCCCATTTTGAAGAAAAAGTGTACTCGAAGTAGCAATCCAGCGTATTTGGTGTGCAGGGCAGAAACTGTCAATTCCAATCTAAATCTGAAATTCTTCTGCGGTCCGACATTTTGCCGAGGATGAACAGGTATGTGTCACGTGATACGTCACACTGGGAACGTACTTGAGAAAGCATCTCCGTACGTTGTACAATCCTGCTCTTTGCTAAACGCTCCTTCTAGATGGATATAAAGCCTTGACTTGAACTAGCCTAAGCTATAATAGGTACACAGTATGAAAAAGCTCGGGATCATGATAACGGATGCAGTAATTTGTGAGCTAGGGGCCAAGAAAACCGAAGATGCTGTTAACTTTTAAGCCCTGCAATTCTTCTGGCCCACCAGATTCCTGAATAGGAGATTATCCAGTAGATGAACCACGAGAAAGGCCGTCTCTAAAAACAGCCATCCTGACTCACTTTAGTTTTACAGCGTACAGAACCATGCGATTCCCGAACTATGCATGCGCGGAGCACAGGCCTCCCAAAAAAAAAGAGACTGTCTGACCCACCGAGCGAGATGTTAACTTGGAATGACGTTGATACTGTCGAATGCGTACGTACTAGATTACTTTTTGGAGAACCCAAAGCCTCCAATGATACGCGAGTATAGAGCGTTTCCTATCAGTGGACAATTCGGCTTGGAATACTGTGAAATTTGAATGGTTCGTCAATTTGATATCAGCTGCAGGGTGTGTCCCATGCGCACCAAAAAAAGAAAAAGGGGATAGTGGGCAGGAATTCCTCTAACTCAGGGGCTGCCGTTGCGTCGTTGGCGATTGAGAACGGCACGCTACCCCGTTAAATAGTTGCCTGTCTGTCTTTTGTCTATGTTTCCCTGAACAGGTAGATACCTAGGTAGATACTGGAACCCTCGGGGCGGGGCGGGCGGAGCGATGAGAATGACGCAAGGTGAGCGGGATTGGCAAGGTCATGGTTTAATAACCATGATATTCGGAGACAAGGGACAAGGAAGAGCGTGTCCAAAGGATAGCAGTGGTCTTGTCATGAGATGGTTTCCATAACAACGATACAGGTGGCCAAGGCAAGAAGAGCGAAACTGTCCGCTGTCCAGAGTACCTGTCCATATCTCCATGCTGTGCAGCAGTCCTATTGATGGACCAGTCAGGGTTCGACATATCGAGCCAGGTAAGGTCAATCGATATCGATTATGGAGTTATGGACTGGTCGAAACTCGTGGAGGATGATCGGACCAAGTATCCGGACCAGCCGGCAGAGTAAGTTGGCAACCAAGGCCAGGGATATGATAGATAGGATACAGTTTTCTGTCCTTTTTTTTATTTATTTATTTTCCGTTTTGGAAACGGCCGAAAGCTAATTCAAATAGCTAGCGAGACGAAGCAACCTGATCCCTGATCTAGGCTTGGGGGGAATGAGGCCGTTCCCGTGACGCGAGACACGTGACCTAGTGGTTGAAACAGGTTTAGCCACTCTTCGCTTCAGCAACCGGAAGGGGAATAGCGCGGGCTGTGCATCGAACGGTGCGTCTTTTCTTTCTATGACGCCGATGACCTCAATCAGCAATATGAATACCTATGATTATGGATTATGGACGCTGTAATTACCAGAGCTCCGTAGAAGAAGATCGGATATTCCATTGCCTCTGCGTACAGAGCTCTCTCGTTCTCAAAGGCATTCCTTCGTACACAGGATATTATCTGTCGACTACAAGCCGCATGTTGATCCTGCAGTTCTCGCCACAGCCATCACCCGACGTGTACGCGCAGTACGCTGTATGTAATAAATCATGCGAAGGTTCCAGGCTTCCGGGCTGAAGACGACGTATTTTCCGTGCTGTGGATGACATCGGCAGGGAGGAATTAGTGGTTGCTACTAGTAGTGTTAGCAGAAGGATCGTGAAGAGCCTGGTAATCATAGTCATAATAATAATATTACTGGAAATAAAGTAGACACAATAATATTAGCAGATCCTGGTCTCTCCCCGCCGCGCTCTCCGTCTCGCTCAGGAAGACCGCAAATCTTCCTCCATCCATCCAGCCCTTCGTATGCAAGTCTGTCTTCCTCGCCCTTTATTTCCCTTCCTTTCTTTCCCTCATTTATCCTTGGTTTATTTCGTGTTATTTTATTCTTTTCTTTCCCTTTTCCTTTTTTTATTTACATTTTCTTCCTTTTTTGGCCAATTCAGAATCACTCCAGAACTAACCCATCTCCAAATTGATCCTTCCGCAGGGCTGATCGAACTGAACGAACGCATCTCAAGTCACGCACGGCTTACTGTCCCCTGCTGCAGAGCCTCGACCCCCCTTGGCCTCTCTCCGTCGTCCACCTGTCCATTTTCTCGTGTTTTCTCTCCCTCCTCATCCTTGGGCATCGATTCCCACTGTTCCGGTGGGTTGACCCTTCTGGTCACACATTCATCCAAATCGATCATCCTCGAATCGCTCTCGACATCTCCAAGTGTCCATCATCTGAATCCAGCTGTTCTCGATCCGCTATTTTCTCCCCATCCACCATTCCTCTCGAACCCCCTCGACTTGCTCAAGGGGCCCGAGAGATCCGTCCTCGCCCTTGCCATGCACAAGATATCCAACTTCACGGGCCAGGCCCGTCATGGCTGGGAGCGAATGACGCCTACCTTCGGCATGTCCCGGCCTCATACTGATATGTCTTCCCACTCCTTCCGACGACCGCATGGCGCTCCTCCTATGACTCCTCCCACGGGAATCGATCCTACGATCAATCTGTCCTTCAATGTGCCCTTCTCCTCAAATCTGGCCGGTCCCGAAGTCGAGGATATACTTCATGCAAGTCCCGGTGCTCTTCAGCGCTGGACGTTCCCCGAAGGCACTCCAGACGGCACTCCCGTGCACATGCTGCCGGTACACGTTAGCAATGTCGAAGCTTTGCGGGTCTTATGTCGCCGGATAACGGAGACCAGCGGAGGAAGAATCGAGGCCGCCGTAACCTCCTCAGAGCCAAAGGCTGTCCCATCCTTACAACGGCGGCCCCAGGGTTTGGTGACCAACGTTTGCGTGACGGCCGATGGCGAGACAGCGCGAAAGATCCGGGCAAGGGTCCTTAACGAGACCCCCATTCTACTGGTATGTTGATCATATTCTGCTGGGACTGCTCATCTAGATGCCGCGGAACATTGTATTACCTCCTTTCCATTCCCTTCTGCTAACCTGTTGAAAACCGATTAGCGGTGTGCGACCGTCGATGTAGATGTGCATCTCATAATGGATAGTTCGACCAAGGGCATCCGGACCACCGTACTGGAGCATCTGGACACTCTGGCTGCCTACACAGGCGCTGATATCTTCCTCCTGACACCGAAGCTCCATGAAACGGATAGCGCCGTCGTGTCATCATACGGCTACGCGTCTGATAATGGCCTGGACGACCGCTTCCGCGTGGCGATCTACGGGGATATGGAAAGCGTCGAACACGCGAAGACGAGAGTCTTGATCATGATTGATCAAATTGTAGGCACCTGTCCCTTCCGACCGATTTTTTTTTTTTGCCTCCTCCCCCTTTCTTTCCCCATCCTCTATTCTCCTTCCATAGCCACAGCTAATCTCTTGGCTACCTAGCTTAAACGTCACGTCGATGCCATGAAGCTGGAATTGACCATGCACACCTTGGTCTGTGGTCGGACTCGCAAAAATATCAAGCTCATTGAAGCGGCCACCGGTACTGCTATTTACTTTCCGCCACCTTTCCCTCGTATCTTCGGTTATACCCCCCCGGGCGCTCATCGTCGCAGCGAGGATGAAGTGTATATCACGGGTGATACACAGGAACAGATCTCCCGTGCCAAGCGGAAACTGCGAGAACTCGTCATGGGCGTGAAGATCTATGTTAAAGATGTAATTGTCAATTCGAACAAAATCGACAACATCCTGCTTGATCGTCTTGACAAGGTTCGCAAGGTCATGGAAATGAACTGCTCTTATGTTCTTTTCCCTCAGCTCGGAAGCCAGAGAGGCCTCGTTCGCATCCAAGGCTCGGAAGTTTTACATGTCGAACGAACGGTCAGGGAAATAATGGCTCTGGTAAGTGAGCAGTTGGAGGCCCTTGTTAACCAGAGCTCATTACCAATGTAATAACTTCTGCGATATAGGCTGGCCAATTCTATAGTGCGTCCTGGTGGATTATCATACCAGACCCTGCGCAGGGTGGTTTCCGTGCTCCTTCCCCCCCCGAAGTTCGTACTATGCTCTCCGACATCTGTACCAACTCTGGCGCGGAGGTTAGCTTTGACAATTTGACATTCACTATAAACGGCTCCGATGATGCCGTCAAGGCAGCAATGATGGTGATCAACCAGATCCCATTTGTCAAGCGCAGTCAGTATCAGATGCGGGTAAAGATAGAGCTTGCGAATGAACATAAGGAGTTTGTGAGCGGAAAGAAGAACGGCAAGATCAATAAGATCATGGGGCAGAGTGAGTTGTCCCATCCAGGAGTGCTACGCTGCATGGAACTAACCTGGGGAACAGGCAATGTGCAAATCATCTTTGATGGCTTTAATGAGTACAACTTCTACATTGATGTCTGCGGGAACCAGTACGAGTCCACGAAAAACGGCCTGGATCTTGTGGAGCAGGAGATGCCAGCTTCCATCTCGTTTCACGTTCCCGATCAGTATCACAAGCGAATTATCGGCATCGGGGGCCAACATATCCAACGTATCATGAAAAAGTACTCTGTTTTCGTCAAGTTTTCCAACGCCATGGATCGCGGCGGTATGGGCAAGGAGGAGGATGACGTCAAGGTTGACAACGTCATCTGCAGGACCCCAGCCCGTAATGCGCAGAGTCTAGACCTTGTCAAGCAGGAGATCATGGATATGGTCGAGAAAGTGGTATGCATCTTGTGACTCCTGCATCGTATCAAAGTATTTGTGGCTCACGTTTGTATAGGATGCCGAGTACGTCTCCGAGAGGGTTGCTATCAACCGTTTATACCACCGTGAACTCCTTGCACGTATTTCAGAAATTGACGAGCTTGAGAAGAAATGGAACTGCAAGATTGAGTTCCCCAGTACTGAGCTTGCTAGTGATATTGTCACGGTCTCTGGGCCCGAGTACCAGGTCCCGCAGGCCGTTGATGCTCTTCTTGTATGTCTTCCCCTTTCCTTTGTTGCTATACCCACGCGAGCTGTTTCCTCCTGAACGGACCTGACGATTATGTAGGGGATGGTACCCGAGAGTCATGAGCTACTCTTCCAAAGCTCTCCGGAACTGCGCGAGTTCTTCAAATCTGCCGAATTCGTCAATGACGTCAGTGCCAAGCTTAAAACTCAGTACGAAGTTGACACGACGGTTGATATGAGTCCCGACCTCCCAGTCGTTGATGAAGATGTACCTTCTCCGACTACCCCTCCCGAAGACCGTGTCATCCTTGGATACACACGGAACAATGCAGGCGGGTTAAAGGATGCGATAGACTTCTTGATTTCAAGACTTGTCGCCCATGGACTCGATGCGACCACCGTTAAGGGCGCTATCCCGCGCCCCAAGTCCGACTCCTTCGAGGAGTCACTACCCTTCTTCGACTCAAAGTTGTTGCAGCACGCACCTGCTCCTCTCGTGACCGAATCTCCCTCCCGGCCCAGTTTCTCCGATGAAACTAGCGAGCGGGGATCCATTTTTGAAAGGCTCCGGAAGCCAGGTAGCATCTCTTCCTTCTCCTCCTTTATCGGTCGTAAGAATCAGTCTGCGTCGCCAGGCTCCTTCTTTAAACATGCCTCCAGCAATGCATCCAAAGCGTCTCTTGTTTCAATGGAGTCTCGGGATAGCGGTTACCGCAACCCATGGAATGACTCTGGCGTGAATCTTCCAGATGATGACCTGCCTGTTCTGGGCAGTTCCCACAGCCATAGTAGCAGCAATGGCTGGCCAGCGCGATTTGATATGAAGTTCCCTTTCGGTACAACACCTGGGGATGTGACTGTGAAACATGATCCTCGAGCATCTTTTGATAGTGGTCGTCCTAGCACTTCGAATTCTACTTCTGGATACCCGGCCCCGATTGGGCCACCGCGTTAAAAATGAAAAATAAAAATTCTTTCCCCCGGGGGGCAAAGAAGTTTATCAATTTGAAGCAGTATACCCCACGGAAATCTGTTTGTTCATTTTTTTTTTTTCAGCGTTCTTTTCGTATTGATTCTCTTGACTATGTGCGTGCCTCTGGTCGTGCTTTGTTATCTTCTTGATACCACTCCAAGCAAGCAAACTTGAAAGATGTCTTCAGTTGACCAAAAAAAAAGAAAAAGAAAAAGAAAAAAAGAAAAAGAAAAAGAAAAAAAGAAAAAGAAAAAGAAAAAAAGAAAAAGAAAAAGAGGGCAGTAAGAGAAACGGGGAAGTGGTTACTGGAACAAAGCGGCGAAATATCGGTATCTATGCAGAATGCAGAATATGGTCTGTCTGCCTGCAGAGAAGGCAAAAACAAACGATTTGACAAATTTCTATCGAACGTTTGTATTATCCACAGCAATTTGATTTTTCTCTCTTCCTCCTGGTGAGACCAGATGTCCTCGTTTTCCTCCTTGTGGTGCGAGGGGCATGCAAGGGCTTCGGGGCAGACAGATTTGTGACTCTTTTTGCTTTACCCCTCTGTTTGTATGTCTGCTTGCTTGCTTGATTGACTCTTCGAAGAACATCCTCATATCCGACATGATACCAGATCAGGTCAGATGAGAGAATGATGGAGATAATGTGATGGGAAATGACGGCGCATACTGTGTTCTGCTGCTGCTGTTTGTGCTACTTCTGTTCCAACCTTTTTCGTCCCCCCATCTATCCAATCTGGATGGGATAGTACGCACGTCTTGGGTTTTTTTAATACCATTTTCTTCTCTGTTCTGTTCCTTTTCTTACTGTCATCCTCTTCCCCCCCTTTTTTTTTTTATCATTTTGGAATTTGGATCATGGTCTTTGTTTTGTTGTTTTTTTTTTTTTTTTTTCTTTTCTATATACCATACGAACACTGATATCCCGGGTGCGCGAAGTCGTGAGTTATAGTAGATGGAACAGGAATTGGAATGAGAATTTCTTTGAAATATCTTGTTTTTAAAAAGGAGTAGAGAAGGTTCATATTCCATTGGTTACATTTTCTGTCTAATTTTACGTATGAAAGTGGTTGATGCTATCCTATCTATCCTACATGAAGCATTTCATGAATTTCCATAACTTATGGCAGCCAGCCAATCTCAATCTCAATCAAATTGCAAACGATAAATGAAACTGGTCACTCCCATCACAATTACCCCAATTATGTATGGACTTCAACCAACATAGACGCAAGATAGATAGATAGATGCAGACAAATGGCGAACGTTGGTCATTTCACAAAAAAAGGAACCTTGACAATTCCCTGGAGACTTTCTGAGAACTAGACCCAACCAGACGTGCCTCAATATGCCAGATAAGCATCGAATGCAATTAATAGAACAATGAACATATCAACCAACCAAAAAAGCCCCCACTATATAGCAATTTTTGACAAGGCCATGAAACGAATAGCCGAGAGAGAGTAGGTAAGTAGTAGGTACCAAGGAGAATTATAAACCACTATATTCCAATCCCAGTAAGAAGAAACAAAAAATAATAGATGGAAAAATAAAATAAAAAAAGAGAAAACCCCGCTCCCATGTATGCATTACTAAATACTAAGTCAAAGAAGACCAGCCAGAACGGCTTCGGTAGCTTTAATCGGTTCAGGTTAGCAGAAGTTCACAGACGGGATTATGGAGGGAAAACAAGTGCAAGTCTTACCTGAATTGATATACGCCTTCCTAGCATCCAAGTTGACACCGAAGCGCCTCTCCAGCTCCTGCTTGACGCTCTTCTTCGTAACGGTCATCAAATCTGCCGTGCTGAGAATAACGCGTATCTCAGCGAGAATGGCATCTTCGCCCGGCAAGTTCGAGAGATCTGACATTTCCATGTCTGCATTCCGGCCCAACATCTCCGATGGTGCGAAGGACATGCGTGACCCATAGTGAGGCATGTCAAGATGAGACATCGGTCGAGAGCCAGGGTATCCATACTCTGACTGTGCTGCATGGTATGACTTGGTAGCATACGAGTACCCAGAGAATTCTGACCGGTCATCGCGCTGTGTTTGAGCCTCCCACAGTTCCGCTTGGTATTCTTCCCACCTCTTCTTCGGAATAGAGGCAGGGTCAAACTTGCCTTCGTCTGTTATGACGAGCTTTTGACCTTGTTCTCCCGTGATAACACGAGTGTTACCCCAAGAGAAATCATCCATGTGCCAAAAAGAGTATAGGGGAAGTGCAAGCGAATATACAGGAAGGGCAAGAATGTAAACGATCATCCAACCTATCATGTCCCACTTACGACGAAGGATGAAGACAATTGCCTGCAGACCGTAGACTGCTCCAAGAATGACGAAGGATGTCCACGGAATCACGTCCGTATCAATGGAAAGCCAAACGATGAGATATATGATGTAGGCAAGTGTGACAGGCTGGATGACTGTACTTAAGAGGTCGAGGATGACAATAAATCTCATGCTAAAGCAGCAGAAACCACACAATTGCTGAAGCGGGACCAGTTCAATGAGATTGTGGACGGTAGAGTTGATCCATCGACGGCGTTGTGATAAGAAAACTGCGAAACTGTCAGGGGCAATAGTCCAAGCATGGGCATTGAAGACAAATTTGGTCTTGAATCTTGGGTGATATTTCAGAAGAAGTGTTGTCAGATAACGATCCTCTCCAAGGTGCAGCAGATTCTTCATGTGAAGGGTGTCAACTCTGATTTCCGAGTAGCTGTCGATGATTTCTTTGCTGACGAACAGTGGTTTTCCAGTATCGGCCGAGCGGATACGATACATAGTGAAACACCCTGGTAAACAGGTAACGGACCCGAAAAGACTCTCAAACGCCTTGATGAGGTTATGGGATATGAAATACTCATACACCTGCATCATTGTCACTGCAGACTGCTTAGCATTACCCAAAGAAGTCTCTCCACAGACTCCAATCACGCGAACATCAGAAAGCATTGCTCCAACAAATCGAGTTGCGGAGTCCTGGGCGACAATGGTATCGGCATCAACCTGCAAGATATACTCATAGAATGCAGGGTTGACACCAATGACGTTCCGTATCTGATGATACATCTCAAGTTCCATAGGAGCCATAGGGAGGTTGTAATGGACCCGGTTCAAGAAGCGCATAACGACCATCTGGGAATCACGTTTTCCTCGGTTACCAGGGCGTGATACCTCTGATGGCTTCCCCACTTTGACAATGACCAGGAAAGGAACGATATGGCCCTGTACTTCATACAGACCAGAGTAGACCTTTCCCATATTGTGTTGTTTCATGCCTTCTCCCAAACTCTCGAAGCTGAGGGGCTCGGGATCAATGGTCTCTGGAACACCCAAGATATCTAGAACAATTCTCGGCGTAGGACGGTCATTGCCTTGGCCAATGATCATACCATCACAGATCACTACCAGTAGCTTGCGTTTGTCATCATACTTCATTCGAGCCATTGAGTCGATTGCACGGCGAATGGATTCCTCATCCTCCGTGTAGGCGGGAACTTGACATATAATAAATTTATCAAGGTCCTCAGGGATGTTCTTCCTGCCGAACTGAAGAGCAGCAAAGAACTTGAAGAGGATGACGGAACATACAAAAATAGATATTGCGAGAATAAAGTAGCGAGCAAACAGGCATCGTGCTGAGTTTCGGGTGTCGAGATGACCAACAAAGAACAGATTGTCTAGACATAGTTGCATGCGCTGGCGCAGCTCCGCGTCGATTGGAAGTCTATCCCAATATTTTGTTATATCTTGCCCAGGGCGCTGTTGGAAAAGATCGACGACCCTATCGTCCATGAAATCAACATCGACATTGGAAGGGACTTTCTTTCCCGGTGGCGCCTTGGTTAGGCGTCCTCCAGCGATGTAGTTGGTAAGATCGTAGATCTTGCCGTTAATGTTGGCGATATTCTGTGACTTGTCCGCCAGCGTGTTCAAGTAGTCAGGGGCGTAACCGATATAGCCTTTCATGTAATTGCCTTTGAGATACACCATCTGCTCGTAGAACCAATCTGGACGTGAATCATTGGTGAAGTATCTGAAGTCATGGTACACCGAATTGGGATCCGTACTGCTAATCTTCGTGGCCGATCCGGAGACGTTGGTAGGCTTGTAATCCAAGAGCACGCTTGGATCAACATGCCCATTTTTACCGGGACATAAAGCTGATACCTGGACCGGAAAGAGATCCGTAGCGTCAAGACCTGCGTATTTCTTCAACGCTGATTGCGGTACGATCTTCGGATAATGGTTGGGCATAAATTCACCAAGATTAAAAACAACGCCTCTGATGGAAACGTAAGAGTTATGGCCATCCTTCCCGTTGTGTGACGTAAGTTCTGCCGCCGAGTATACGTGTTGCGTAGGACAAATCAAGGGAGGGAAGCCACACACTATGAAAACCGCAATACCACAGGACAACCAGATGAGCAGGTTGATCGCAAATTTTTCGCGCCAGGCAATCTGAACGTCCTTCCTCTTCATGCGGCCAACGGTCCGAATAAGAAAATTGGGAATGTAGAACGTCAGCATCCAGACGATTGCGAGCCAGCGCTTGCGGCTGCCTGAAACAGGGATCTCTTCCACTTCCTCCATTTTCTTCTCGTTACCCTTTTCCAGCATCTGTTCCCGTGTCTCAAAATTTCGGAACATGTCGCCAGAGTTGAACGCAGACGCCCCGGCATCGGATCGCGCGTCCATCTCGCGACTGCCAAAGTATCCCTTCGTGTCGTCACCATAGCCGTAAGGAGACTGCTCTCCCGAGTTGATAAGCCGGACTTTGGAATCATTGTACGCCATACCCTGTGGACGAAGCAGACCATCCGTACTATCACCTGCCTCCCTTGAAGAATAAACTGGGATAACCCGATCGCCAACTTTCGCCAGCTCAGCCCAGCATCGTTCACTCAAAAAGACTCCGGTGCTCCCAACTCTTGCTTCGTTGCCAGGCCACCGCTTTTCGTCCAAAAAGACTTCGGATTTTTCTTTGTCGCTACCAACGACGATGTTCCCAATTTCAGCCAGCCCCAGGAACTCAGCAAACGGGAGGAAGACGCTGAAATCGGCATTGCGTAGCCTTTGGCTAATCTCGGCTATGCCCAGAGTCTGTACCTGCGAGCGTACGCATTTGCTATCGAATTGGTTGGCAATACGTCGATCGTTGGGTTTCAGACAGAAGACGAAATAGCTATTCACGTTGGGAGTCGTCAAAGACTTATTGACAATATCCAGTGAAGCGAGGAACTGGCCGGCCGCACCTTGGCCAGTGCCAACGCGCAGCGCGCTTCTCGATTTGGTTTTCTTCGTGCTTCCTGCTTTGGACTCGTATTCGTCCGGATCCTCGGTGCTCGTATTCGATGCGAGACCCCTGTGTTTCAGCGCCTGGCTGGGATTACGTCTCGCCATGCTGGGCATTCGCAAAGGTTTCGAGCTTATTTGTGCCTGCATGATAGTCGTTTTCTCCCTTGGATGGGCGATGGTTTGCAAAGCGTCCTGTCCAAAGAGCTCCCTCACAAAATCACTTCTGGTGGATTTCACGAGATTCATCAGATCGGCCGACACGATCTCGCCATTTTCCTCGATTAATCCATCCACAGAGTAGTCAACTTCACCGGCATAATGTTTGATTGTAAACGTTCGACCGGAACCCTGTGAGAGGTAGTTGCCGGATGAGTCCGAGTTGCCGACGACGATGGCAGTGGATTTCTTCTCGAAGCGCTTTTTGAGACTTTCAATGAACTGGGCATCCGTTCTCCCACGTCTCATCTGATCATCCAGTATGCTCAAAAGCCCATTTCCGTGCTTCAGTAACACCCGTACAGCATCGGTATTATCAAAGTAGCTGGTTGCCGCGACTGTCACCTCTTCACGTTCCAACATATCAGCTTTCAGGTCGAAGAACGTCTGCAAACAATAGTGGTACAGCGATTCATTCGCAGCATTGTTGAGGAGTTGATCCAAGGTAGATCCGGTGGAAGCGACTGGGGCAAAGCCGGGAAAATCGACAATCGAAATTGTATTAGAAACGCTATCCTCCGCTGCGCAAATCTTCTGGTTGACCATCTCAATCACGTACGTGACAAGAAGCGAGTAGATCGTACGGGCAAGCGAGTCGGCGTTTTGCTGTGCACCCTTGGGATCGAGCATGACAGTCACACGCTCGCGGCCGATAGTCTTGGTACTGTAACCAAGGCTGGTTTCCAGCTGTTCCACACCCAGACCCAGAAAGGCAGCGATAATGGAGAGAACATCCTTATTCTTCACAACAGTGACAGTTTCACCGCCATCGCGGGAATATCCACCACTCTCATCTGCGACAGTGGCGGTGGCCTGTCCGGTTGCAAACTCTAGCTGGCCGATATGAAGAATAGTAGCCAAGATCTGACAGATCTCGGCAATATCACTGCGTGTAAATTCCAACTTCCTCAAGGCTGTTTTGAAATGCTGGAAGCCTTCTGCATCATTGATGCCGACTTTCAATTGCGTTGGATGTCCCAGATATCTCCATCGTTTAGCGTTCTGTCCTGAGATGATCTTACCTCCGGACTGGATGTTGATGGAAGTGTCAAACCCCAGGTGAGACTTTTCTGCGGCACTAGTCCCGGCTAGGAGGTAGTAAAGGACATGGAAACTCCGTTCACCGGTTGGCACTGATGCGATCCGACTGCGTTCTAGCCTGTGGTCGATGATCTTACCACCGATCAAGGTAGGATTGACTGAGGATGCGTCATACTGTAATTCGTAAAACAGGCCTGCCTTTGAAGCCGTTGGAGTGGTCAATGACTTTGTGGTCGTCAGGGTGTCGAAGACAAAGGCAGCGTAGGACAGCTTCGCCGACAGAGGAGTCGATGAATACGCAAGGAAAGATGACAACAGGTGCGAGCGAACGGTGGTTTTTCCAGAACCACTCTCTCCTCTATGTAATTCGTTAGCCAGTCAGGGTGCTGACCTAGCCAAGGGTCAGACGGAATGGTACTTACAAGAACACGACGGCCTGGTTCTCCCCACGCGCACCCAATCGAGTAAATGCGCGCTTGGCTAGATCTTCCGCCTCCCCAAGGGCACTCCCTTCCTTCCCACCATCGGGACCTCTTGACGAGGAAGTGAAGGTATTGAGACTTATGAGGGCTTGGGAGGAAAGACGAGCTGTTGGCAATCCGACATGAAACCTGGTTCAAGCTGAGTCAGCTACCTCATTATAGACGATATAATTGTGTGTGATAAGAGGGTCATCGAATAGTACCTGCTTGCTAGATGTGCCGTTAGGTGTGTGTCTGATTGCAAATGAGCTGGTAACGACGGTAGGGATGACTGCGCGTGGGCAGGAGTGAATCCTAGCTGCCCAGCCATCGTGTCGGGATGTAGCCCCTCGACACCGAGGTGTTATGTTCGATATTCGATGTTGCCCGCTAGAGCGAAACTAGTTCGCCGGAGTGTTAACTATATAGCGTAGTAATGATATCGCGATGGCTCGTGAAGGTACTTGGTGAAGCTGCGAGCGCTATGGATGATGTCGAAGTGTATTCCTAGATATAGCGATGCAGACTGGAAAGTCGAAGGCTTCAATAGGGAAATGAAAGCGAGTGCAAGCTGATCATCAAGTAACTAGGCTTGAAGAACACGATACAATGTGAGCAGAGCTGAAGCGCGGGACAAAGCGAGGGTGGCTATTATTGAGAGTGGAAGTGATGCTGAAAGTGGATGCAGGGCGGTATGTGGTACAAAATAGCCCGCAATGAACTCTCATGCAGCTTATTTGACGGGCAAAAGCGAGCGTAAAAGATGCATGCAGAAGTTCGACGGAAAAGAATGATAGACAGAGGAGGACGAGACGGCAGTGAAGGTGAGGAATAAGATAGTCCTTTTTTTTTGCAGGGCCGCAGCAGGAGAGAGACGGAGAGACAAGACAGAACAAGGATCGATGGGCCCGACCGTACGGTATGGAGATACGAGTTGTACCCGATAATGATGTCCATTATTACCTAGGTACGCTGTACAGTACTGATAGGGTCCCCATCGTGACACAGGTCTACTATTTTTATATTGCTTACAGTGTACATCTTGCTTGTCCTACGGGAAAGCAGTGCACATACCACAGTGTGTCTCTGGAAGGCTGATGGTTCGTCGAGCTGGGAATTTCAAGCTGAGGCACCGGCAGAGCTGGCGGAGAACAACAGCGACAACTTGAAGCTGCAATTGAATTTGGCATTTCCACGGATCCAAGCTGGCCGTATCGTACGGTCCACACTTATTACCCCGTACATGCGTACCGTACATACATACAGTACGGTATGGTACGTAGCTCCCGGATTCAAAAGGAACACGGCCCAAGTCCCTTGTTGCCATCGCCATGATACCTACATTAGGTACCTAGGTAAAGATCACCGCATATAAGCACTTTATGGCAGCGATCAACGGGGCATCATGCTAAGGGAGAGTCCAACATCTCACCATCATTATTCTTGTGATTACATCTTGCAATAAATAGTACACGACATCGTCAGCTGCATTTCGAGAGTCAGACAAGGCAGCCCCGTCGTCTATCTGGAGTATCGCATGGGATTGTTGGATGGGATGCGACACATCCGCCACAGCTTTTTTTGAGGGTCTATTTATAGCAGCGCGGGCCTGTTGTCTGCATCTAAGAAAAGGGGCAACCCTCCATCCCCGCCGCCAGTGTTATTATTATTCAGAACTCAATCTGAGTGTTTTCCCAATTTCCCAAACGCTGACTATAGGGTAATAATGCTGTTGACCATACGGGTCTTGTTTATTCTTACTTGGTGATTATGATGATTATTGACAACAGTCCTTGCTTTGTAATTTATTTATTTTACACTACAATACTCTTAGGTAGATACCTAGGCACTGATAAAAGGATGATCTACAGCCAAACAATGGAGTAAAATACAGTCTATCTGATTCTACGGATGGTAAAAATAACAATCGCAACTGAGACTGGTTGCATGACTTGCTGCCAGCGCATGTGAAGCGTAAACAACATGCTTCGGTTGGTCGATCTCCCATGGCAGATGGTGGGTAACCTGAGACACTATGTTGTAAGTGTAGTCCGTACAGCATAGCATGTACAGCATATGCCATTCTTGCATTGGCATCACCATCCATGCTTGCAGTGAGACAGGAAATGGACGCAATGCTGTACATAATAACATCTCTAGCATGCCTTGACTCGTTACATTTGGATAGCATCAATCAACCACCTGCCTTGCAATATTATTACCAGGTACTCTGTAGTCTGCACAGTACCTCGTATGTAGTTAGGTAATCAATCTCGGTGGCGAGGGCAACCGCCTTAGCTTGGAGTTAGCTTGTTTACACCGTACGGAAACCCACCCCTGTATTTACGCCGTATGCGATGCCGCACTAAAGATACGTCTCTTGTCACGATAATACACACGATACTGTCCAACAATCCGGCCTTCAAGCTGCTTCTGCCAACTCTTCCGATTCTTAATTATTATTCTTCCTTTCTGTTCATCCAGAACTCCATCGCTTCTCTAGTCAGCCTCCTTTCTTTTTTAATCCTAATCCTAGGTACTGTCTGTTGTTGCTGTGCATGTTCCCTCTGTTGTCCGCTAACCGCTCTTCCAAGTTCCCCTTTGACACTCGTTCTCCATAATTAATATTATCTATCATCTTTCCAGCCTCCTCTCGGAAAAAGTCCCTCGCTTGAACCCCGTGAACGAATCGTCTAGCGTTATCCCGGCAAACTACCTGACATTTGCGCTGTTCCTATTTCAAATTCATCTCTCGTTTGTCCCTACCATCCGCTACAGGGAGCTAGCTACTCTGGACTCTGCTCCCTAAAGCAAGGTGGACGAAGACGAAGAAAGAGACAACAATCCTGCTACTTGCATCGTCAAGCTAATGTTCTGACTCGCCTCGCCTGTCACCCTCTTTGCACCTGCTTGGTCGTGTGTGGTAAACGCCAGCTTGTAAGGGGAAGTACTTCAGACACTGTCAGACATGGCGAATCGCTATTCTACCTACTCCAATCCTACTGGTCCTGCTCCAGCTCATCCGGGTCAGGTATCAACAACTACCCTCCTTAACGCTCTACATTCGTTCTATACGACTGGCCACCCTTATCAACTTGATGCGGGGACCAGTCTCGTCGTCAATACCTGGGTTACTGCAGAAGCCCCAGATGGCACTAGCAGTGGAACCATTGACCGTGACTTGGCTGTAAGAGCTTGGGAGCATGCAAGAAGAAGAGCAGAGGATGGATGCATTGTTCTATGGTTAGTTCACTTTCTCTCTCTATGAGTCTTCCCAAATCATCACTGATTGCTAACGTATACAAGCTCCACTCATCATTCCACGCCATCCTTATTAGCACCTTTCCTCTCTGCCCTGCCTCTGCCAACTCCGAGGGCTGCTTTCTCTGCGCTATCTGTTCTGCGTCCTTTCCTTTCTGCTGTCACGGGCTTTAACCCTAGCTACTCTCTCTATTCAGCTCTCGCAGCCTCCTACACCTTTACATTACACGGTAATGTCGTTGGCCTAACCTTCGCTTTGTCCACCTCTGGAATCAACGTCCGTAAAGGTCTCCTGGACATCCCTCATGAAAAGGGATACCGTGCATTCGACGTGTTCTATTATCTCCTGACCTCTGCCTCAACGCCTGCCGAGCGGCAATTCCTCGATCTGAAAGACATTTCGCATTATGCCTTACTTAACAAATCCGGCACCTTTACCCCTCCATCGTATCTTCCAGCTGCGGATGATGACGCAGCTGCCGAGGATTTCAGGAATTCCCTCAAGGCCATCGGCATCAAGGGTGCCGCCCAGCGGAGTCTATTATCCGTCCTAGCCGGTCTTTTAAAACTAGGCAACGCCACGGGCTTCTTAGTCGACCAGGAAGATCTTGAGGAGGTTTGTGAAGATGTTGGAGGTCTGCTTGGACTGGACCCGGAGATACTACTCCAGAAATGTTCCACAGATGATCGGGAGGTGTTGATCGCAGGTGTCTATGAGGCACTGGTCGATTGGGTCATAACCAAAGCCAACGAGGCGATCTCCAGCGAGATTCAGAACAGCTCAGAGGACGGATCCAATAACGGTGGCCAGCAGTGGTCGAATGATGATACTGTAAGCCTTACCGTCATCGATATCCCCAAACCGGCCCTCGGAAAGGCCGTGGCAATGAGAAGCATCTTCGATGACAGCCTGGGCATCAACGCTGAGATGGCGGAGGATGGAGTGGAACTCTCACCGGTCGGCCATTCCGTCATGACTGAGATGAAAGATGCGGTTGCCCAAGTCGAGGCCGACCTAGGAGCCTCTGAGGGTCCTGCATCCCGTGAGCGAGATTACGAAATAGACAAGAGGCAGGAGATTCTTGAAAAAGTCGGAGTTGAGCTCGAATCAGATTCATCCCTCCGCCAGATCTTGTTTCCTGTTGAGAGTGAAGGTATCGCTGTCGGTAGGAGGGGGCGTTTTGATCTGGCATCTACTTTAGATAGCAGCAGAGCCTGGTATCATATTTCGATTCACCCGACAGACGATTCTCCCGAGTCCCTCAGCCTGTCGTCCCCAGCTCTGGCATGGTCTGCAGGGACCGTCTCCCGCCAACTGCGCGACTGGAGATTCCCCGAGTGGGCAAACCGTCGTCTTCGCCGCCTTGACTTCACCGCCGATTTTGACGTGGAGGAGTTTGTCAGTCGTTACTCCCGCCTGGGTTGCTCCGAAGGCAGAGACGGTGTCGAGAATTGGATTCTTGAAAGGGGGTGGAGCAACGGTGACGCGATCCTTGGCCGTCAGCGCATCTGGATGAGAGAAAACGCTTGGTGGGATGCCGAAACTATGTTGGACCTTAAGCCTGAGGAGCAACCGACAAATCCATTTGCTGGCGGCAATCCGTACGAAAGTACCTATGCAGGAAATGTCGAAACTCCCATGGTCGATTCATCGAGTTTTATGGGCAGCCGGGATGATCTCCTCAACCCGAAACATGCGTCTATGGCACCAAGTTATGCTGGTAGAGCTAAGTCAATTTCTCCAAGCGCGCGTCAAACTACTTCCAGCATGCCAGGCGACTATGGACTGGGCCCTGGCGATTATGGTTTGGGTCCGAAGGGGGATACCAAAAAGGGGGCGTACTATGAAGGTGGATTTGGCCAATATATCGGCGAACTTGACCCCGAATTCGGCGAACCCAAGCACATTGAGAAGAAGGAAATCACCAAAGTTCGACGTGCTTGGGCGTCTTTTGTTTGGGCCTTGACATTCTGGATCCCGTCGCCTCTACTCCGTTACGTTGGCCGCATGAAGCGCCCGGACGTGCGGATGGCTTGGAGGGAGAAAATTGTCATCGTTTTCCTTATCCTTCTTCTCAATGCTTTCGTCTGCTTTTGGATCATTGCTCTCGAAGACGTGCTTTGCCCCGACAAGAACAAAGTGTGGAATGAAAAGGAAGTCGGCTGGCATGAAGGCGACAACGACTTCTATGTCAGCATTCATGGTTATGTTTACGACATCAGCAAATTCTGGAGACTCCAACACAGTGATACTTCCATCAAGACGACTTCTTCTAACATGAAGCCATTTGCTGGACAGGTCCTTGACGCCTACTTCCCTCCTCCACTTACTCAGGCATGCCGGCCGTTTGTGACAGACCAGTCTATTGCACTGCAGAACAACAACACAGATGCTGTAGAGTATCCGCAAGCCTTACACAATTGCGGTCCTCGGAATCAACCCAACCCGAATACTGCACTAAATAAAATTACATGGTACCAGGACGTTTTTCAGCCGAAGATCAAGGAGTACTATAAGGGCCATCTGGTCTGGACAAAGAAGACGATTCAGAACCAAGCGAACAATGACCAGCGATATTGGGTTATCATAAACGATGGCGTATACGACCTGACGAATTACTTCTATACACTGGACCAGATGAACGATATAGACAGCTATAACTTTCTGCCGAAAGGTGTAACGGATCTGTTCAAGGACAACCCAGGTACCGATATCACCGACAAATGGGAAAATACAGTAGAGTTTCAAAATGCTTTGAACTGCCTCAACAACGTCTTTTATGTCGGAAAGGTTGACTTCCGACAGGGTGCCAGGTGCACGGCGAACAACTGGATCCTTTTGGCTTTTACCGTTATTATCTGCATCGTTATCGTTGTGAAATTTCTTGCGGCCCTACAGCTGGGATCCAAACGCACACCCGTACCTCAGGACAAATTCGTCGTGTGCCTCGTTCCAGCATATACAGAAGGCGAAGATGCACTTCGAAAAGGCCTTGATTCGCTGACTGCTCTTCAGTATGATAACAAGAGGAAGCTCATCTGTGTTATCTGTGACGGTGTTATTGTAGGTGGTGGTAATGATCGCCCAACACCTAAGATTGTCTTGGATATTCTTGGAGTAGATCCCAAGATTGATCCCCCTGCATTACCTTTCCTGTCCGTCGGACAAGGGAGTGACCAGTTGAACTATGGAAAGGTCTACTCTGGCCTTTATGAGTACGAGGGTAACGTCGTCCCGTATATCGTGGTCGTTAAAGTCGGGAAGGAGTCTGAGCAGTCCAAGTCTAAACCTGGAAACAGGGGTAAGCGTGACACACAAATTCTCCTGCTTAGATTCCTTAACCGGGTGCATCATCGTGCCCCAATGTCACCACTCGAGCTGGAGATGTTTCACCAGATCAATAATATCATCGGCGTTGACCCTGAACTTTACGAATACTGCTTCATGGTGGATGCCGATACAAGTGTCAAAGAGGACTCCCTCAATCGCTTGGTTGCAGCTTGTGCCAACGATGCAAAGATTGCTGGAATTTGCGGTGAGACCAGTCTACAGAATGAACAGAGGAGTTGGTGGACTATGATTCAGGTGTACGAATACTACATATCTCACCACTTGGCCAAGGCATTTGAATCCCTTTTTGGCAGCGTCACCTGTCTTCCTGGATGGTAAGTTTTTCTTCTCTCATCTCCCGTCGGGTTGCCTTTCGTCCCCCCTTCTGGAATCTGACAATGGATGTAGTTTCTGCATGTACCGTCTTCGAACTGCGGACAAGGGTCGTCCCCTCATCATATCAGATAAGCTGATTGAAGAATATTCCGACAACGACGTTGATACTCTTCATAAGAAGAACCTTCTCTCTTTGGGTGAGGACCGTTACTTGACAACTCTGATGACAAAGCATTTCCCATCCATGTCCTACAAGTTCATCCCTGATGCCTACGCAAGTACAGCTGCCCCAGAGACGTGGAGTGTCCTAATGTCTCAGAGACGCCGCTGGATTAACTCCACTGTTCATAACCTTGTCGAATTGTCTAGGTTGGATGATCTCTGTGGCTTCTGCTGCTTTGGTATGCGCTTTGTTGTTCTGGTCGACCTCATTGGAACTATTGTTCTTCCTTCTACTTGTGTATACCTGGTCTACTTGATATACCGGTGTAGCGCCCACGATGGCCCAATTCCCTATATCTCGCTTGCTATTATAGGTGGCGTTTATGGCCTGCAGGCCGTTATCTTCATCGTTAAGCGGCAGTGGCAGCACGTTGGGTGGATGATCATCTACCTCTGTGGCTTCGTGATGTACAGTTTTATTCTGCCACTGTATTCGTTCTGGAATATGGATGACTTCAGCTGGGGTAATACTCGCGTTGTTATCGGCGAGAAAGGAGACAAGCGCGTTGTGGCAGTTGAGGATGAGGCATTCGATCCCCGCAGCATTCCTCTCCAGCGTTGGGATGATTACGCTCTCGCCAACAACCTTCCTGGGCGTCGGGGAGACTATGGCCTCAGCCAAGAGAAGCTCTACGGCGGTGCCTACAGTGATGAAGCAGCCATGGAGATGGATGACATGCATTCCATGTATTCTTCTGTCAAGCCTGCATCGACCATCTTGACAGGTTTCCCCGGCCGACACACTAGCGCCTATATGCCGCCAGGTTCTCCGGCACCGTTCGCTGGTAACTCTCCAGGGAATAGAAACTCACGTATGTCTAGTTTCACGAGGTATACGGACAATCCGCAGCACCATATGTCTATGGGCAACCTCAGTGCCTACCAGGATAGTCCGATGAATGCCAGCCGATATAGCATGGGTCTAGGACAGAGCTCAGAGAACCTACTCGGTCCCTCTTCCAGACCAATCTCTCGGAGTCCGCTTGGCGGATATGGTTCCCGGCCTGCTAGCACAGTTCTCGATTTCCGAGGCGGACCAATGGGGCCTGATGAGCCTACTATCGCCGAGGCGGTTCGGAATTGTCTGGCTGAGGTTGATCTGGACCGGGTGACCAAGAAGCAAGGTTAGTTTTCTTAGACTTCTTTTTAGGGTTTAATGAGTATCACGATAGAGGCTAACGGAAGGAAATATTTACACAGTCCGCGTTCTCGTTGAACAACGACTCCAGACAACCCTGACCGGAGAGAAGAGAGCCTTCCTCGACCAGCAGATTGACCATGAACTAGCGAACATGTGAGCTGCGTGTTCCAACCTATATAGAACACCTTCCTGGGTAATTATTTGTTTATTTTCTTTCATGGAGCTACAATATAGCAGCGCTCTTTTGGTTTCTTGTTTTTTCTTGTTCAAAAGCACCATAATCCGCTTTAATGTTCCCTGTCCCCGTCAATTCAGGTGTGGACTGGACGGGTGAGAAGACCGGCTATAATTTTGTTGATGGAATCTCTGGCTATATTTTGTGCAGCATACTCGGCGTTTTTTGATTGATTTGATTTCAAGGCCTGCTTGGGATCTAGTATTAGTATGCATTTGTGTTGGTGGTATATAGCTAGCCTTGTGATGATATGTAATTGTTGGCGATTCTGGTCTCTTCTTTTTGATATCTTGTGTAGCTAGTAGTAACTATTCTATGATATATTAATATCAGCATGCATGCAGCAAGGCGGGGTATGACAGACAAGACCCCTCTGATGGAAACATAGAATTATCCATTATCCATTATCTATTATCTATTATTTATCTCTGTACTTTGTAAACAATCAAGAACACAGCCATTAAACATCCATATCATATATACATTATCATTCGAAAGGAACCTACACAAAATAAAACAAAACAAGAAAGAAAAATGACCTCCCCACCCCAACTCCAACAAACCCAACAGCAACAACAGCAACAACAACGCCGCACGGAAGAAGCCAAAACTGCCTTCACGGCAACCCTAACCTCCGTCTCGCAAAATCTCGACAGTGAGCTCATCGAACGCACGAAAATCCTCCACTCGAACGCCTCCGCGCTGGGAAAACAGACGGAGGACGTACGTCGGGCGACGGCCGATCTGGGTCGGCGCAATGATGAGTTGGAGAAGGTTGTTGATGAGGGGTGGGCTGGGCTGAAGGAAATTGGAGATGTGCAGAATTGGGCGGAGTTGATTGAGAGGGATTTGTTGGTTCTTGAGGAGACGCTGAGGCTGGTTGAGAGTCATCATCAGGATCATGGTGATGATGGTGATTATGATGGGGACGAGGAGCGGGAGCATGATCAAAATCAGGATCGGGATCAGATTAAATGGGATGGGAAGGATAAAGGGAAACGGACTTCGTGGATGAAGTGGTGGTAGATTTTGTATTTACATTATAATTAGTTTTTTGATCCAGATGCAACGACAGTCTCGGAGTATATAATGACCATATCCTATGTTAATAACCCATGTTCTATCCAGGACCATCTTCGCTGTCCTGCTCTTCCTCAGATTCGTCCAGTTCATCCGCTTCTCTAAAATATCTCCGCCAGATACCAAGTCCGTCACCATCACCATCGTCATCGTCATCGCCATCCCCAGATTCACTCCACTCATCCCATTCCCTCCACTCCCCCAAACTAACCAAATGCCTCATCGTAGGTCGTCCATGCGGACAATTCCACGGCTTGTCAATCGTCCCCATATTCCTAACCACCTTCTCCATCTGCTTGTGCGTCAACGTCTTCCCGATCATAATACTCGACCGGCATGCACGCATCGCAAACATCTTCTGCACTTTACTCGGTCGAGGGGTATAGGCGTTGTTGGAAGCAGACTGGGTTGCAGTAGAAGGCGTCTCAGACAGTAAGACGATCAACTCCTCCAAATCACGAATGCCAAAGACTACCTCCTTGCTAAGAGGTAGGGAGACGAGTTTACATCGTTGCCCAATGGGCACGTCTCCGCTGTCATTGATTTGCACGACGAACCCGTTCTTTTCCAGTGCCGCTTGGTTCTCCAGGACGATCTCCTCTTCCACGGCCGTGAGGTCAAGGGTTTTAGGCTGGACGAGTCGCTGGTTCTGGATTATGGTTTCTGTCTGGAAACGCTCGAAGTTGAACTTCTCGTCTGATGCGTGCTGGTCGATGATGAAGAGCTCGTCCTGACCTTTTGTACTTTCCGCTGGCCGTGTGGCAAGGATGAAACCCAAGTTGAATTGCCCGATGATGCGCATTCGGTCAAAATCTTGTTTCGTGACCGTAAGAGAGAGACGATCTTCCGCTGTTCCCTGGGCGAGCATCGCCCCATCTGCCTCATTTTCACTCCCGCATTTGCCCATGGAATATGAGTGGAGGCTATCCCGCAGTTCTTCCAACTGGCGCTCAATCCTAGAAACCGACCCGTCCACAGTGCTGATCAGGTTAACCGTGGAATCACGGTGAATAGCACCTTTGTTGAGTTTATTCACACGGCTCATGCTGTTATCCTGTGATAATACGGCAGTCTGCTCGGCATCGTAAATAAGTTTCTGGACTCTTGCCTCTTCCTCAGCCCTTTTCTCCTCCTCGTTGATGTCGTTTGCATCTGGAGCAGCAGTCGCTTGCTTCGTATCATCCGTTTCTATTTCATCACCACCTTCGAAATTGTTAAGTGGGCCTCTGTCCTGCGTAACATCGTGTGAAGGGCTACCTGGTACACCCGACGATGACTGAGACACAGAACTCTCAGCCTCGTCCTCGTCCTCGATTTCATCCATTTCCTCAGCATCACTGTTCAAAGCCTCCGCCAACTGTGATCCCGGGGCTGCAAACGCCTTCATATGCTGACCAAATATATTTGGACGAGACGGCGTATGTATTCGTCGTTTCGGCGGTCGAGTCCCACTGGCAGGAGAGCCACTAGATCCTACATCCCTCTTCCTAGGGATACCGCTCCCAACGATGGAGGTAACAGTTCGGTTACCAACGGTGATGGTGGCAACTTCAGCTGGTACCCGCCTAGGCCGCATCCGATCAAATGCATTCTGAATGGTATTTGGTGTTTCCGCAGGACTGCTCGTTTCAAGAGAACGAATCCGCTGTTCGTCGGGAGTGGAACTCGGGGGACTCCTGCTGGAAGAAGCAGGGAGAGTGTCTACCTCTGCCACACTCTCCGCGGGTATTTCTTCATTTCTCTCTGTTTCAGGATCTGCGCCATTGCTTGAGGGGATGATCTGACGACTTGACTCGGCCACCTCAGATGTCTGAATGGGAGCCGCCGATGATGTATCCCGCACGTCTTGAGTCGATAAGCTGCTAGGAGCGGGAGAGGAAGATGCTTCTGCATGGCTGCTGAGTCCACTCAAGAAGCTTGCCAGTTTTCCCCGGGGACGTGGCATTGTTGTCTTCTCTTCATTAATGGAAGAGGGGCCCCCTTCTGGTTCTTCATCTGCATCTAATCCTGAACCCTTCTCGGTAGACGACATGCGGACCTGGAGTCCGTCTCGAAAATGCTGCTTAATCCCGGGTTGTTTCGATGCCAAAACTTGCGATTGAGGAACGGTCTGGTCCGCATTTTCAAACAGTCGTGTAAGAGATTCTTTGAGCGACTCAATCAAAGCTCCAGCATCATGTAGCAAAATCGTCCGCTTGTCCGGCGACACATTGACATCATACGCGTTAGTATCCATATGAAAGTCTGCAAATATGAACGGAGACTGCGAGACGTTATATGATTTGTAAACCTCATTGAATGCCTTCGCAATTTGCGGCAAGCTGCACGGCCGAGAATTCACGAAGAACATCTGGCGGTCAGGCGTCTGTCTTCCTTCTCCGAATACAGGCCGCGATATATGGCCCCGGACGAGGATCTTATTGGACTCATCGTCCTCACCCCCAGCGGCCCTCTTCACTGTCACTGGGGAAGGATCAAACCTCAAAGTCAAGTCAAGAGGTATCAACGCCGACAAAGTCTTCGCGCCGTATACATTTGCAATATTCTCTTTGGTAGTCTGGTTTCTATTTGTCGCGAAAACGACAACATTCCGGTTTTTCCCCAAGGTACTTTTGGCGCTGAATCGAATACCAGTACTAATGCAAGCGTACGCATGCAGCAGGTTCAAGACCTTCCCGTATTCCCGCTTGATATTCTTTTCCAGCTCCTTCCGTCGAACCGGGAGTCTTTTGAAGAGACCTTCCACGGACGCTGTTGTACCCTTCTGTCCCGCGACGACATGTGTGCTTTTCAGCTTCCCCGATGTTTCAAATTCCAGTCTATTCGCCTTTGGTACCTGGTGAGCTTGGGCAGTGACGATACGGAATTCGGAGAGTGCGCAAAGCGAAGAAAGCGCTTCGCCTCGAAACCCAAACGTCTGAAGTCGAGAAAGGTCATCGAACGAGGAGAGTTTAGAGGTGTAATGTTTAAGTGCTGTTCAACAATAATTGAAAATAATCCAAATCAGCCCCAAATAATTCGCAGATAATATCAGGGTTCCTCTGTATCTTGAAGCTCACCGACGTTCTCATAATTATCCGGAGCAATCCCACTCCCATTATCTTGTACCTCGATCAAGTCCAGTCCATTATTTTTAAACCGAACATCTGCACACGACGAAGTCAGAGAGCTGACCACCTCCCGCGTATGAAGAAAAAAAAAAGGGTAAAAAAGGTACCTATCGAAGTCGCGCCGGCATCGAGACTATTCTCCACAAGCTCCTTCACGACAGAGCAGAGATCAACAATAACCTGGCCTGACTGAATTTGATGAACCTGCAGAGGAAGGATAGGTTAGACGACAACAATGTATGGAGATAGTCCAAGTATGCCGATAGATCCAAGGTATACCATACCGAACGGGCCTCTATGGCCTTGATGGTAGCCATATTCATTCCATGGTGGTTAGGAAGGTCGTGACACCGGCGGAACTTTGCGCGTTCATAAATCACTTTACGCGTCGTTATCAAGGCAAGGTCCGGGTTCCAAGCCGAGGACGTTTTGGAAGGATCCCGTCGTATTCGACTGCAGTATATATAGCAACGACTATGTTCTATTTAATATTTATACGGTAAATTGATAATAAATAATAACAGAGAAATAATGACAATTAATTATTTCATACCTTGAGGAGGCAGAATAATGCTGACTGACCGCCCAGCAGAGCTATGAAAATCATCGAAAGGCAACTTTCTTTCATAAAAAGTGCTATGATAACAGTTTCCCAAGGAGCATTGCATTACAAAAACGAAAGACAGTCGCTGTAGTTATACGAATCTAGGAAAACCCAAAAGTGCTTCCCAAACCAAACGCCACGGACTCCTGAGGGGATCCCATTACAATAATGGCAATCCTAATATGCACCAAAGCGATCAGGCAAAAGGACAGGTGCAATCAGAGTCCACAGGTAGATGGCATAGCACACCCAAGCGCTGATGATCTTCACCCAGCTAGCCCAGTAAGTACGGCCGACGGGCGCAAAGTCGTCCGTTGCCTCAGGATCCAGCCTCTGCGTCAGTAGCGTGGCCACCCAGGTAGTGGCCAAGAAGAAAATTATGTGGAACAGGGAGTAGTTGTATTGAGTCGCCCCCCGCTCGTCGTCCTTGGTGTCATAGTCGTCAGATTCATCGTCACTGTCATCCAGGGCACTGGCAGGTAAGCTACCACTCTCGACGGCAGCCCGCAGAGCCTCTGCACGCATCTCACGGCGGCTTGTCGGCTGCTGAGTTACAAGGCCATGCTCATTGTCCTCAGATCCCAGTGGTGAGTAGCTATGTCCACCTTTCGACCCAAGTGCAATGCCCTGGGTGGCAGATCGAGTAGTGGTGTAAGCGATCGTCGCCATTGTAACAATAGCACCCAAGACAACGCTTGCAGTTCGGGTTCCCCGGGCACGAATCAAGGGGTTGCAATGGCGGTCGTCGGGCTCCATCGATACGGCCGACATGGTGAGATAGGTGCAATACACGGTTACCATGGCTGCCTGAGCCAACCCTGCTCTCGGATTGGCTTCTTGGACCGCTGGTTGTACGGAAACCATCGATATGATCAGGAAGACAATGAGATTGACCTATACAATTAGCATGGGAATACTCACCGGTCTGTTTTGCGAGTAACACTTACCGTGATTGCGGCTTGGTTCATGGAACATCCACTCGATGCGAAGAACACATACATCAAAACTGTCATGGCAATCGACGCAAGGTACATGCCAAGCGTCGAGCCGATAAGCAACCAGCGCCACAGGCGCGAGTCGTGATCCTCGATCTTTTGCAGGCACATCTCCGCCCAGGAGTGTGCGAGATCCACGAGAAGAATAAGGCCAAGTAGGAGGAAGAGCATGGCGCAAGTAAAAGCAATATAATGGCCGTAAACGAAGAAGAACGACTCCGGAATGAAGAACGACATCACCACGAACAAAATCCACAGAATGATTTTGGGACCCCAGAACCCATTTTGTAACACAGCTCTGCCGTTTTTGGTTGAACGAACGCCGATAAGCATGAAAGCAAGGAGCAGATGGAAAAGACCGAGGCCAAAATTAATGCGATGCACGGCCACCCAGCCATAGCACTCTTTCCCGTCACACCGGATTTTCATATAATCTAGGGTCAAGTGCTGAAGTTTCTTGAGTGCCCATGGTGTAAGCATAATCCAGGAAACGATGGAGTTTATTAAAAGGATAAAGGCGTAAGCGATCCTCGTGGCCATGCTATTGTTGCAGTCGGTGTCAGAAATCGAGTCATCTGATGAAGAACAGTAAGGGCATCCTACCTGTTTTGGAACTTCCCACATGCACTGCAGACGGCAGAGCACGTTGCAGCACCGCAGCAGGATGTCGCAAGGGTGACCAGCTAGAAAGAAAAGCCCTCGGGTTAGCAGAGAACTGGGAAACGATATGAAGGGGGGGGCATATGTTCACGCACCGTGCTGGCGCTGGGCAACGCCAGGAGGGGGAGAGACAGTATGCCACCCATCCTGACGGTGTGTGCTGTTCGACTGGTATCGATGGATAGTGCTATTGTCTTGATGATTGCAAGCCGAAGGCGAGTGCGAGAGACGAGAAAAGCGCCGTGATGGAGAACTCCCAAGACTCCAGACTCGAAACATCGCCGCCTTCCGTCATGGGTTACCTAAGCCAAGCACTGCATGGCGCGATAAGCCGCGCAAGACCTAAGGCCAGCAGAAACCCGTTAAATGAGACAGAATATCCAGCTATCGGCTCTAGAATTATTGCCTTTCGCCTTCATCCCTGCTGGGGATTGCTATAATACCTGCCTCCTCCCGTGTTTCTCTTCCCCTGCTTCTCTTCCCCGGCGATATCGCCAGAACTACTACCGAGATCCGTCCCTATATATGGCTTATCGATCGATCGCCTGGATAATCAGTCAATTACACGCCAACTGTCCTCATTTTATGTTAATCCACGACCCCGAGAGTGACTGGTGCAGAGGCACCGTGGACCTTCGCCATGCCGGGCTCAGTTCATAAAACCCAGCGGATTGTATCCGTCGTGGCAGCAACCCTGGTTGCTCTGGCCTGCGGAACAAATGTATGTACAGAGGCCCGGTTTTCCATGGTTGTTAGGAGGCGGGAATAATGCAGTTGAAGAATGGCACAGATTCAATCTATTGACTTCATATCGCAGTACGCATATTCAGCATGGGCACCTCAATTCGCACAGAAAATGAGACTTTCCTCCACTGAAAGCAACCTGATCGTGAGCATTCTCCTTAACGGAAAGAGATGCACGCGCATCGCATGCTAACCTGTTCTCTTCAGGGTGTCGCGGGGAATCTGGGCATGTACTCATCGGGGATTCCTCTAGGGTTGTTGACGGATTCCAAGGGTCCACGTATCTCGACTTTCCTGGGCTCGGTAACATTGATTACAGGGTATTATCCTATCTACTTAGGTTTGTCTTGACGACTCGGCTATCGCCCTTCTGGACATTTGAACTGACTCGCTTGTTTCCAATCTGGTCAGCGTACGAAAGGGGACCGGGGTCGCTTGGAATCTTCCTCCTGTGTCTTTTCGCTTTCCTCACTGGTCTTGGAGGCTCCTCTGCATTTTCAGCATCCATCAAGACATGTACGTTAAGACAAGAAGGGAGCTTCCGGCCGTATCAATGGCTAACTTACAAGCATAGCCGCCGCGAACTTCCCCAATCATCGTGGGTCAGCAACCGCATTTCCCCTTGCAGCCTTCGGCCTTAGTGCTCTCTTCTGGTCCACCGTGTCGACAATCGTCTTCAAAGGCGACACAGGCCGATTTCTCTTGCTATTGGCACTGGGAACCTGTTTCTTGACCTTTGCGTCAATCCCGTTCCTCCGTATCCTTCCCCTCAATGATTCATACCTTCCTGTATCACGACGCTTTTCAGGAGAACATGTTCCGCCCGAACCGTCACATCGGGCGACAGGATCCTCTGATCTCCAACACATTGACTTTGAGATCGAGGAGGAGTCTGATGAACCAGGTACGCAGAGCACTACTTCTGAACCACGGTCTCTGGCACATGCCAAGACGCAATCACAAGCTTCGAGTCCATCCGCCCCATCCATCCACAGTCGCGGTCTCGATGAAACCTCGCCTTTGGTGATCAAAAAGGCCGGATCGAGATCGTCTGATGGCCCCTTCCCCGATAACATGCCTGGCGTCGGCTCTGGCTCACCACATTCAGATGTTCGAGGGTTGGCTATGCTTCCTAAAATAGAATTCTGGCAGCTTTTCCTAACCATGGCGCTGCTGTCTGGGATTGGACTGATGACTATAAAGTATGTTCTCTTTCGGACCCGGCGCTGTTTGTATAACCCACTAACCCGTTTTATCAGTAACATCGGCAATAGTGTAAGGACACTCCTCGGTTGTCATTTTCCCCTTTCGCGGAGTCAATCTCTTACACTTTACAGGCTCGAGCACTTTGGAAACACAAAGATAATCAATCGACCCCCCAATTCATACAGCAAAAGCAAGTTGTGCTTGTGTCGGTGCTGTCATTCGGCAACTTCATCGGTCGCCTATGTAGCGGTATGCATTACCCCCCCAAGCCCTCTCTCTCTCTCTGTTACGATTAGATGTAGTAATTATTCATTCTATAGGAATCGGTTCGGACGTGATGGTCAAAAAGCTCAGCCTTTCCCGCTTCTGGTGCTTATTCGCCTCTTCGGTCGTATTCACAATGACCCAGCTAGCAGGCTCCGCGATCTCAGATCCACACAAACTGACCCTCGTAGCTGGACTGACGGGACTTGCATACGGTTTCCTCTTCGGAGTCTTCCCATCCCTAGTGGCACACACGTTCGGCATCGGCGGTCTCTCTCAGAACTTCGGCGTGATGACTCTTGCCCCCATTTTCAGCGGCAACATCTTCAATATCCTCTACGGCACCATTTACGACAGACATTCTGTCGTCGACCCGACTGGTGTCCGTGACTGTCCGTATGGTCTGGCCTGCTACCAGACCGCGTACTATACAACGTTCTTCTCCGGTGTGACTGGGATGGTGGTTTGTTTCTTGAGCATCATGCGTGAGAGACAGATTCATGGGTCATTTCGAAAAATAGAGCACAGCCGTCTTGCATAAATTGCGGCTGTCTGTTGTGCCGTGTTGTGTCGTGTGCAGTGCACGCTAGCTTAGGTTAGTTTGTACAGTTATTATTGTCCGGTTGGTTTCGGTCCTGGTTAGATTTTTTGTTTCCTTGGCAGTTGATAGACAATCGGCATTATTTTCTTTCTTTATTTACTCTGTTCTGGATTTGGGGTAGAGGTGGTGGGTAACTTAGCCCTAATTGCGTCGCTCTGGTTGAAAGATATGGATAAGACCTGCATATCTTCTTAAACCCAATATGAGGAGGTAGAGATGCCCCTATCTAGGGGGAGGTTTTAAAAGCTCCTAAAATCTTCTTCAGAGCCTGATTCTGAAGCTTTTGATATCTATCAAGTAGATTATTTTGACCCTTCCACCATATAGGGACCCCATAGTCGGCCCAATAGCAATACTACTATACTTATGGAGTCAGTGGTCAAAGTACAAAGCTTTAGGACTCAGGTGATTAGCGGTATTACATTTGCGGCGGAAAAGACATGGGATTTTTCCAAGCAGCACTTCACTCCATTTCAAACCAAAGTAGAGTGTTTAGTGACTGGGGCACTATATGTATGACCACTTTACATGGATAGTAAAGCTGAATACTTTGGTTCAAAGTTTTTGAAAGTAGACACATATCTCTATAAACATCGTAGTGAAAGCAACCGCAGGCCAGTTATTTATAATGCGCACTTGTACACCCATACTTTATACGAGATCCATCCTCAACCAAACAACCGTCCATCAACCCGCTGGTTTACTGGTGGCCATTGTCGCCTCTGCAAGTGCAACCCAAACCCTGTGCTTTCAAGTTGACCAGCACACTCTCAACATGGGGGCGGAAACTTGCCAGCTCGTTGCCATATAAACGTGCTTGTTGAAGATCTGGTGCCGTCCTGATGCGCTCGAGGAAGTGCTGTTGCGCCGATGCCGACTGCTCCATCGTAGTCGGTACGCCAGTTGGGAAGAGCGATGCTAGACCTTTACTCTGGTCGAAGGTCGTCTGGCTAGGGGCTGAATTCCCGGATCTAGCAAGGTTGGGCAATTTGACTGCCAAAGAATTCTGGATCCAACCGAAAAGAGCTTGCATGCACTCGGCCGGGATGCCAGCAATTGGCGGCTGTATGATTCTATTTGGATTTAATAGTAGTATGTTAGTAGCTAGACTTGGGAATGTATGAATTCTGTACAACTACTGAAGAAGGGTCCATAGGGACAAAGCCATATATAGCAGATGCGGTGACCCACGCAGGAAACCTCTGAACAGTGTCCGAAAATGCCTTTATGGACTCTGCATCAAGCGAAGACAGCTGAAAGACTAAAATCTCGGCCAAGTCAGGTTGAGTTCGGATGGTGGCTTCCCGCAGATCTATTCAACCGACTTGAAGTGGACGGACGAGAAATGCCCCGAAATCTGTAAACAGGGACTGGACAGTAAAATTGTTGGGGCTGCTGGTCTGAGTGGCAGCAAAGAATGCATCTTGCCTGGCTTTCTCGGTCCAGGCTAGCCATTTATGCATCAGCTACTGAACGTACACGCATGGAGGTCTAAAAGAACTCATGAAGTAGTATTTCAATCACATGACCTGAATCCTGTCGGGGCCCAAAATAGAAGCGAAAGTGTTGCTTCGCTAGCACACCATGGATTCTTTTCCAGGTGCCAGCAACTTCGCTGGATCCATCATCAATATTGATTTCAGGTCGCAGAAACAACTGTAGACGATTAAGGGAGAAATAACTGCTCCCTGTCCCGACAAGATGCGCGTTGGTGGAGAACATAGTGGTCGTCTGTCTGTCCAGTTTGCTTGCACGAAACGAATGATGCTAACGACCTATCGTCAAAGACAGGCATTTCTGAAATTCATATGCTCTCTGGAGCGGTACAGGTAACTTCAGCAGTGGCTAAGTTTGACTCCAAGCAACAGAACAACAAGGCACATCGAGTCTGTCGACAGTGGTTAATCCTGATATGAATAAATGTAGTCACCTGTGAGAAGGGAGATCGGCATCAGCAATATTAGGCAAGCATCAAATGAAATCAAACGTATTTTAAGTGCCATTTTCATGCGTATGAAGCCTAACTACACGGCTTCAGTTCAAAGGGAAAAAAAAAAGGAAATTGATTTCAAAGGTATTAGTTAATAGAGCACATAGAATGGGAAATAAAATCAAAAATTTTCTCTTCCCCGTTCCTTGATTCCCTGGTTGGCTGGCTCTCCATCAAACATCCAGCCACAGTTCCCCATGTCAACGTACACCACAAGACGCGATAATTCGTATGCAAGGAATTCGAAAAGCACACAGAAGGAAAAGAGCTCATTTTCGAAAGTCCAAAGTATGGTTTGTTGTATAGCCCGCTTCGTTCTTAGCCAGTGATGAGTTTGTCGTAAGGGTATCAAAAAGACCATAAACACATGACCAAGTCAGCCAAGCGGGTGGAATATAGTAAACGGTAGCTCGGGTTGGCTGGAAACTACACGATTGGCAAAGGAAGGCATGGCCGCAGCGGTGCAACCCGCAGCTAGATGCTCTTGGGCGACTCGAATTTGGAAGGGGCAGAGGATGATTGTTCCACTACGTCTGCCAGCCTGATCTTCTTGGCTAAAGGCTCTGTAGGGTTGCCGTTGCCGAGCGGGTTGTTGGAGCCGTTGTGCTCGAGCAACTGGCGCTCGAGCTCGCTTATCCGACACTTGAGTTCCTCCTCCTGTCGGCGCGCATCCTCCAGAGACCGTCGAAGGCGTACTTCGGAATCTCGGGCAATCATCTCCGATCTGCGAGCACTTGCATCGCTCTGTTCGAGTTCTGCAACGCGGCCCCTGTACAGTTCGTTGATCACCTCAAGCTCACTGACGCGAGTTTTCAAACGCGTGTTTGCGGCGAGAAGACCCTCGTAGGTTTGTGGTGCTTCGAGATGACGGTCTGCGGCAGACGAAGACGAAGTTGGGGAAGGCTGACGCAACTGGAGGGAATGAAGCGAACCCGCAGGGTTCAGACTATGGTCGGAGAGGGTGACACTGTCAAACATGTGTTGCGGCGCAATGTTAGAATTATGCTGCGGCGTAGATGATATGGCAGGAGTCTCCGTTCGCGACACGGGAGAGTTAGATCTATCCGAATGGCCCGGCGAGGCTTTACGCGATGCACGACGATATCCATGGGAACCAAGGGGAGGCGTCCCCGCTTCGGATCTGACTGCGGAGAGGCCATTCGCGTCCACGGCATTGCTGGACTGGAATGCGACACGATTTAGTATCTACGCTCAAGACGGATATCGAAAGGGACAGTGAAGGGACGGGAGAAAGAAATTTTGCCCGGGGGCGCTTACCTTGCGTTTGGGACCCTGGCCGGCGGTTTTGACCCTATTCCGACTTTTGATGACGTCTGTCTTCAAGCTGATGGGACGAGGTCGGCCATGGAGTTTTAGGAACAGACCACAGGCGTTGCAGAGAACGGAGCCGAGTTCATCCCTGCGCCAGAGGGGGGTGGTGGAGGTGCCACAATTCTGACAGACGGGCTGTAATTGGGGGCGCTTCTGGTCAGCCAGGGCGGTTGCCATCATGTATCATCAAAAATGTGCAGGAGAGGGAGAGAGGAGGAGGAAGGGAGGGATGGGAGCGACAAGATACGGGGTTGCCGATAGTGGATGAGAGGGAGTGCGATGTTGATAAGATCGGGAGAGATTGAGATTTGAGATGGGTCTGTAGCGTCTGGCACGATAAGAAAACCTGCACAGGGCGGGCGATGTGCGCCAAGCCCGCGTCGGCTGGCTGATAACAGCAAACCTCCTCGCCCCGGCACTGTGCGTCTTCATTGGCAGACTCCAGCAACCAGCCCAACCTCGCGATAAGCATTCATGAAGTCAAACTCACTGGATTGCTCCCCTGGCCGCCCGTCGTCGCTGCGGGGGACGACGACATCGAGTATGTCATATTCACCATGTTCGCATTCGCATTGCTGCTCGAGGATCTGCACACGTAGGTAAGTGTCAGCGAGTCAGCCCATTCGTACGTTTTAATACAATATTATAGCGTTATACGCTGTGTATAAAAGTAACGGCGCAGGCCAATCACGCACGGCCCTGGAAAATTGTGCGAGAAATAGATAGAAAAAAAGAAAGCAAAAAAGGCACCCCTCTTAGGAGCCACCCATCTACAATCCATTGTTACGATAGGGGCCCTTGTTCTCTCACACGTACCGCAGATTTGAAGTCGGAGCAGATGCAACGGATGCTAGAGCCGACAACCCAGGAAGGGATTGTGGTATAGAACTGCACCCCGGAAAGCCCCCGCTACCGTTGCCGTTGGATTTCACTCCACTGCCCAAGTCAGGTAGTGAACCTGAGTATTCCGTAGACGCTGCCACTGTCGAAGAGATGCCTGTCACTGGACTCGTTATCGTCTGGCGAGACACCGATTGCGGATCGACTGGAGAAGCCGTACTGTTGTAATCGGAGAGCTCGCGCGACTTGGGAGCGGACGAGGTTGAATGCAGAGCAGGGTCGATGGGCGACGCCCGGAACAGAACGGAAGCCACCGTGGAAGCCGTGTTGGAAGAAATCGTAGAAATTCGGCCGATCGCGACCGAATGAAAGGAAGGATAACGGTGATAGAATGGAGCTGCAACAAACAATTGGAGTCGCAGAAATGCGTATTTCAATTTTTCTTTCTCCCGCAGCTGGACGTAATCGATAAGGTTTCAAACGATCCCCGGGATCACGTCGAGAAGTAAGACAGTTCGCTGACGCGTCATTCGAAGACCCCAAGATTCTTCTGGGATTGAAAAGATTTGTGTTTCTGGATCAGTAAGCTGTTGATAAGGAGGAGGAAGCAGGAATGAGCGAACGATCGCAACGAGATCAGTGAAAGTAGGAGGGAAAGAAATCATACGATGACAGCGACAAGCAAAAGGAATGGCCAGAATGACGGTTCTTGCGAGAAACGCGATAGAAACTGGAAGATGAAGTCCGTGAAGAGGCCCTTACGCTGTGCTGTACACACGATCCGAGAAGAGGAAGATGAAAGCAGGAGAGGAGACGGTTAGATGCGCGTGATGAGCATTGCTATTATTATAGATTTTCATTATCTGGTATCTGATCACTATCTAATATCTGCTATCGCGTTGTATTCCCGACTTGGATTATTCCCCGGCTGAACTTCCCAGAATCCGTTCCAGCTGGCGTTGTAGTCTGCTCGCGTAGATCCTGCGTTTCCTGGGAGCAGACATCTGATTCTTCATGACCTTCAGCGTAGCTCATCAGGCATCGAGGAGTTCCGGGCTACAGTTTCACTGCATCTGGACCTGCTCCAAGTGCTTGCATTCTGGTCTCTACGTCTTTTTTTTTTTTTTTTTTTTTTTTTTTTTTTTTTTTTTTGACAGACAATAGGTTCTTGGAGTTTCAACTTTCCTTGAACACATTGAGATGTGTTTTCTGTGAGAGCACTGCGATCAACTGTGCAGAGAATTCATTCAGAGCTCTGGCCTCAGAGAGGCTCCAGACACCACGTCCATGCAGAGCTCTTCGCAAATGAGCTGTATCTCGAAGCCAATCGCTTTGAATCCTTTTAAGGTCCCTGAACTTTTTTAACCTGAAGATAATCATGATTTAGTTAGCATCGATAATCCGTACCAGTATTTTGAAGAAAACTGATAACCAGTGCGCGGATTCTACCAGTTAACGCCAAAACATCCGTATAATTAAAGGTCCTGTAGAGACGAATATCCTGTCGATCCTCTTTTACGGCGCCGACGCTGTGGATTGTTTCAAGCCTTCAGGAGAACTAGAAGGCCCAAGTACACTGTGGCGTGGCTGATGCTAGGAGGGCGCCACTGCTCCGCCCGAAGACAAAACCAGGCTGTACATAATCCCGAAGTCACCGCTTTTGTCTTCGAACCTCATGGCTGTCATGAGGTAAATCCTCCACAGGTTCCCTGTTGCATCGTCTTCCTTCTTGATTCTGTTCGATTCTTACCTCTTAATTTGGTAATGTCTTAAGTGTTGTGTTTCTTTTGCCTTTGTTTGTTCTTCATTCCTTTCCTTGTCCTCTGTTCTCCTTGGACGGATTGCCATCTATTACTAAACCAACTAAACACCATGCCGAAGCCGCGGCCTGCCACATCGGGATACGCCCGTCTTGCGCAGGAGGAAGAAGAGAGAAGCCTAGGATTTCACGATGACTCCGAAGACGATGGCCTGTACGCACCTACGTCGGTATCGCACTCCGGCCCCAGATACGTCCCTGTTTCGACTCGAGCCCAGGCGTCGAATCTCACATCCTCGTCTGACCATCGACGGAAAGCCAGTCGGTACACTGGCAGGCGACCGCGCAGCAACTCTGCCGTGGACATCAAGGCCATCAATGCGCGACTCGAGCGCTGGGCGGAGGAGATCGCCTCCAAGTTCAAGATATCCAAGGTCAGGGGTAAGACCATGGAAGAGGAAAAGCTTGAGATCTATCATTCCGTTTTTCAGCCTCCAGATGGCGTTCGACCTCTTACGGCTGAATCGTTGGAATCAGAGGAAATGGAAAGTGCTGCGCGAAGAGCTCGACAGGAGTTTGAGGACATTGTGGAGAGTGTTCGTGTCGCGATTGAGCTTGGAGTGCACCCTCGGATGATCTCTCAGGGCAGCTCGGGCAGTTATTTCGCACGCAACGCGGACGGGAAAATTGTAGGTGTCTTCAAGCCTAAGGACGAGGAACCTTACGCCTCGCGAAACCCCAAGTGGACCAAATGGATTCATAGAAACCTTTTCCCATGCTTCTTCGGTCGAGCTTGCCTTATCCCCAACCTCTCATATGTCTCTGAAGCGGCGGCATATGTTCTCGATTTTCGATTAAGAACAAATCTTGTTCCGTTTACCGACATAGTGTGGCTATCCTCTAAATCATTCTACTACGATTTTTGGGACAGAAGGAAGGCATGGACAGGGAAAAGGCCTCTTCCGCCTAAAGTTGGCAGTTTCCAGGTTTTCCTGAAGGGATATAAAGATGCAAACATCTTTTTGCGTGAGCATCCTTGGCCCGACCAGACAAATTCTGGCTTCCGCGCCCAGGACGCCCCAAAACGCAAGCGCCGGCCATGGAATGAGGCATGTCGACCTTCGGGGGCAGTGTCTGATGATGAAGGGGAAGAAAGTTATGAGAATGGATACACTGCTACTTCAGCACCACGAGATGCGAGCGCCGAGCGGCGATTTCGCTGGACTGAAAACCTCAAACAGGCTTTCAGGGAAGAGCTGGAGAAATTGGTGATTTTGGACTATATCATGAGGAATACGGACCGCGGCCTGGATAATTGGATGATCAAGGTCGACACGCAAACTGAGGAAGTGTCTATCATAGCGGATCCCCCTAAGCAGGACCGGAACGTTGAGGAAGGTGACGAACACATGCCGCCCGCCAGGCCTGTTTCGGTCAATTCTAACTCGACACCCACTTCGTCTAATGGTTATAGACGGCACGAGGCCATGAGTGCGACGAGTCGCTCTGGGACGCCAAGTTCGCAAGAGACGCAAACTACCATTAAAGTTGGAGCCATTGATAACAGTTTATCCTGGCCCTGGAAACATCCTGACGCTGTAAGTCTAGTCTTGCATCTGTTCTAGCTGCATCACTTACTAATAATCCATCTGAAGTGGCGAAGTTTTCCTTTTGGTTGGCTGTTCCTTCCTGTTTCCCTAATTGGACAACCGTTCTCTCAGCGAACAAGAGATCACTTCTTACCGCTGCTCACTTCGACGGCATGGTGGAGCGGTACTCAGATGGCTCTACGGCGAGTTTTCTCGCAAGACGATGATTTCAAGGAGAGCATGTTTGCAAGACAGATTGCGGTCATGAAGGGCCAGGCCTGGAATGTAGTGGAAACATTGAAGCAGCCAGACCATGGTCCTTTGGAATTGACCAGGAGAACGCGGGTTTGCGTGTGGGATGATTTAGTGGATGTTCCTATCGCTATTCCCCTCCGCGTTGCTTCTATGGACACGCAAAGACGCGCTAGGAATTATGATGAGGAGGAAGAGATGGATATTGGGGCTACTGCCTCTTCAAAACCCGGGCCAGAAGCAGACCTTTTGGGCCTTACCTCTCCTTTCAACGAGCTACCCCATCCCGGAAAATTTGAGCTCTCTCGAGGCCGCAACTCTGGGGAGATGAGTCGGTTGAGAGCAGGAGCAGGTAGTCCCTTGAGTCTACCCGAACATGAAATAGACCGTGGGAGTCTTGACGGAGTGACCTATCGGAGAGACCTAGATAAGGGCTGGACTACCAATGGAGTTGACCACCACAAGCAAGCTTCCACATCCAGTGGACGCGGTTTTATTTGGGACGGAGATGACCTCGAGGGTGATCTCGGTTATGCAGCCGCCCAAGATATGGAAGGGAACCAGCGGAAAGTCATTGTTGAACGGCTGGAAGCAGTGAAGAGCAAAAACCCTGTCTTCACGTGGTGCTGAGCTCTATATCTTCTGTATACTTCTTTTTCTTATTGATATCTTACCCTTCTTGTTTTCTCCCTTGCTCCCTTCTCTCTTCATCCACCCTGCGTAGGGGGTCCTTTTATTGATTTAGCGTGTTTATGGGAGATTTATCACTTACGCTGCTAGAATGCAATGCAGCGACGGGTGATGGGCAAATTTACACCTATATTTGCATATAGATGTTATGCGCTGGTTTAATATCTTTTGTTGGGTCTAAACGGGCGCGTTGATGAACTGAAGCTTGTTATCATACGATGAAAGACTAATCTGATACCTTTCTTTGTCTGCTTGGTTTGCTTTCTACAGCAGCCTGTGGCTGTACAGGATGCTCTGTTCAACTTGTCGATTGATGCTGAAAGAAGAAGAAAAAAAAAAAAAAAAAAAAGGAAAAAGGAAAACCCGGTAAAACTTATGATCTATTTCTCACTGCGATGTTTCTGCCTAAAACAGATCAATACTTTCTCTTTTCCCTTCTGCAACGCCATTACTGGATCTACTTCTGCTGTGGAGTGGATTAGATTAATTGGCTGTTAATGATTCTTCATACCTTTTCTTAACCAAACGGGCTGATTCTCTTCCACGTATTGCCGGTTCTGAAATAGACCGATCTATACATCGACTGGACATTAGTAGATATTTTCTTTTCTCTTTTTGGATTTCTGAGGCTAGCCCGAGCATCTTCCGTTGTATTATGTTAGAAAAGACTCGCGAGTTTCACCGAGGTTCTTCTATGTGAGGGGGACATCGGATTGAACAGTAGCCCCAAACAGTGCTCATATCTCATATTAAACCGATCTTATCCCATAGACGCATGGGATATATCTCATCATTCTATTATCCCAATAAACGTTTTTTTCCGTCTTGCTTCCTTTCACCATGCCTGCAGACCCGAAACTCGCCTTGGCGGAAATACGTCATGGATGGAGCCGGCCTGGTACAAAACCCTGGATTCCCTTACTACAATGAATCCCACCGCAGGCTTCGCGATAATATCCACCACTATGTTGATACATGGACTGGGAGGCGAAGGGAGACGTACCTCGGGAAGAAGCGTTACGCTATGCTCAGTCGGGGATCCCCTTTAATGATGTTCCTGATGCCTATCGGCCCTCATACATCCCCAAATTAGCCGGTATACCCTATGAGAGGATTGGCGTATTTCATCTTCTGGTATCAATGGATGAGCTGGCCCGCGTAGAAGGCAGTGTTACTATCGCGCTCGGTGGTGCATCGGTGATTGGGGTTCCCCAGTCATTCACTATGGGACAGAGGAGCAAAAAGCTAAATGGCCTCCAGGGCTCTTCTCTGGCCGACCAGCTTCTGTTTGAGGGTGACAGAGCCCAACGGGGGCTCGGATATGGCCAACATCAAGACGACGGCAAAGAAATCTGCTGATGGAAAGTCCTACGTTGTGAATGGTGTGAAGAAATAGATTACTGGTGCGCCCTGGGCTACGCATATGACGACCACCGTCCGTACAGGGCCCAAAGATCAGGCATGCGTGGGATCTCGGTGTTTGTCATTCCCCTGAATGCCAGGGGGCCTCACTGGAGAAGATCTACAACAGTGGCCAGAACGCTGGAGGATCATTGTTTGTAGACCTGGAGGATGTGGAGGTTCCCGGGGAGAAGAACAAAGGGTTTCCGATCATCATGAAGAACTTCAACAACGAAAGATTCATCATGGTTGTCCAGTGCAACCGGAAGAGCCATAGCTACCTTTCTCTGGCAAAGAAGCAAGGGAAACTTTAATATACATATATAAATGGATAACATGGGCAACCTTGCAAGAGAGTCCGAGTGATGTCTGGGACCTCAGGCTTATAAGTCGATTAGTCATCCCAAAACCTCAGACAGCCAGGCACGGGCTCCCTTCACACTTTCGCGAACATCAGCTCCTCTTCAGTGACTTGCGAATTGCATCAAGCGGTCAAGCGTAGTCTGTATCTGGGTCCAATGCCACCTTGCTTAAGCCACCGGAAATCGGTGAATGGATGCCGTCGGTGCAAGAGCCGAAAAGTCAAGGTATGCTTCTTACCATCTGTTCAGGCCTGGCGATTTCACGGCACCAACGAACAGGCAGTGCGATGAAAATCGTCCGAAATGCCACCACTGTTCGCGACAAGGAGTTTCCTGCGAGTATCCGCCAGTTCAAACCCGCCCTTTTAATCCCAGCCAAGGTGCGCCGTCCAAAGGCGCAAAGATGAAGAGTATTGTTGCAACAGCACCTAGGCCTGGACTGCCCTCTCCCGAGTTAGGATCGATGCCGACCCTCGAGCTGTGTCTCATGCATCAATATGTCACCGAGACGGCTGGCACGATGAATTGTGCTCAGATCCCACTGGTTCGCGATATGTGGAATTTGTCTGTCCCCCAAATGGCCTTCGAATATAAACCACTCCTGCACACATTGCTCGCTGTTGCCGCCGTTCACCGTGCTACTCTGCTTCCTAATGATGCGAACCACCTGCGGCGGGTCTATTATAGCCACATCGACTCTGCTCTCCAGCAACACCGGGCCGCAATCAACGACCTCAATGGCTCCGTCAACGAACCGATGTGCATGAACGCCATATTGATCTCATTCTACACGCTGACCCTACGGTCAGAGGCGTCCACAGATCCATATGAATTACCACTGCTATGGCTATCTCTTGCACATGGCATAAGAACAGTGCTACATACCGTCTATCGTCGGCTCACCCGCATCCACCACTTAGTTATGACTCCGCCGGTGATAGATGAATTCACACACGAGTATATTACCTGTACGCCATTCCAGTTTCTTCTCCATTACCATTATGATAAGGAGCAAATGGATGGATCATTAATAAAAGCGTACTATGACGCTGTCGTGTATCTGGAGACCATGTTCATGTCCGCGAGGCGCGGCGCATCTGACTTCGAGATCCGCAAGCAATTTACTGCCTTCCCACCCATGATGCCAAGGTGCTTTCTTCAGCTAATTGCGGAGAAGCAACCACGCGCCCTTGTTATTCTGGCCTATTTGTTCGCGTTAGTGAAAAATGCTGACAATGTTTGGTGGCTGCGCGGTATCCCTGAGCGAGAAGTGTATGGCATTCACAGTATCGTCCCTCAAGAATGGAAGTGGACCTTGGACTGGCCATTGCACGTCATTTCGGCCAGATCAGGGGCAAAAGCAGAGGATCTACCTGTGCCCATGGTTGGCCCTGGGCCGTCTTTGACATTAACATTTCCCTGGAGCTAGCTTATGGCCTGGGATGAAATGCAGGGTATCGTGAAATTTGGCACTCAATGGCACCATAATACACCCATTCAGTTCCATCTATCTCTAACTGACATGTAAAAAAGGAAATATTAGAAAACCTACACCTGCGTGTCTCCCCGGTCCGCTTCCTTGACCTGTCCCTCTGCAGGTTTGTATTTCACCTCAGGACGGTTCCGAGCCAGAAATCGGGTCTGAATCCCAAATGCCACATATTCGAGCATTATCAGAAACTCTGGGACGGTGCCTAACACGGTACGAACTGCTATACTTCCCCCCTCGATGTTCGAACTGGTAAAGGCCACTGCGACTTCATAGACAATGCGGATTCCAATCAGTGGCATAGCGATGGAGACAGCGAGAAGTATCTGTTCCATGATTTAGTCAGCCAAGCGTGCATTCTTCTTACCACCGATATATGAGATCTCATCTGCGATAGCACCTTTTTTTCGTCTTTATCCCGGCGGGGATGGCCGCGCGCTCTATAGGATAACCACACAAAGCCCACAACAAAAATCCAGCCGACCATGAACATTATGAGTCCTATGCGCAGATGCGACTGCTTTCCATTGCTGCTCGCAGCAAGACCAATTCCCGCGGCGATCACCATATGGATTATGATATTCCCTCTAATCCCTAGGGGCTCGGATAAGCTACGCTGGATGGAGTGGTTTCTGTAAGAGAGACATAGATGCTTGGTCAATTGGTCGAATAAGGATATTAACTAGAGAATCAGCGGATGGAGTAACTTACGCCTCATGGAGCAGCCCTAGAGCAGCCATCAGGAGCGGCGACAGCCCAACTCCATTTAGGATAGAGGCCACTTTGTTGACCGTGCCATCCGAGACCATGGCATGGAATGCAATTGCATTGCCGACTATGCGGAGCAGGCACATGGCAACCGCGTACATCCAGCCCAGCAATCCATGTCGTCCATGGACAATCAAGCAGTAGAAAGTGGGAAAGATGATTATGGCATAGAAGACTAATTGCGCCAAGTCGAGACCTTCGGCGGACGCTACCATGTTCTTTTTCTTTTTTTTTTTTTTTTTAAAAAAAAAAAAAAACTCGTCTTTCTCAAGGCTTCGGACGGTGTGGAAGAACAACGATTTATGAAAAATAATTGGCAACTGTCAAGACTCCAAGAACTCATGAAGAAGGGGAAAGAAAAGAGCCATTTTATATTCCTCTTCATACTCAATCTAGTCCCGCAGCAGCGCAGACACAGCCATATCCAGATCAACAAGTGATGAACACTTTGTGATAGTTTTTTGTTTTTTAAAACCAGCCAATCTGCTATGTTAGACTACCTGTCGGTCGCTTCGACAGGGATTATAGTAAGCTTGCTAAGTTGCTACGGCTTACATCTGCAGTCGTAACGCGGAACCGCTGCCTATCATTGTTGTTCTGATTCTCCACACATGCACCTCCGCCGTTGCTTGCTGATCAAGCTTTACCGAAGAAAGTCACCGACCCGAAACCGACGGTATATAGCAATCTTTCAGGCTTCAGCTTGGACATAGCTTTGGCTTGAGCCGCTTGATAGAGAGCAGCTACGTACAATAAGGGGAATGGGTAAAATTAGACGGGGCAGATCAGCCTTTTCTTACATGATCTAGCTGTAGATCGGTTATATTCCGGAGTTCGTAGTAGGGTAATAATAACATCTGCATTATTAACTGACCGAATTCATCCAAACCGAAGGACTTCTGTCTTTGAACAGTGTCAAGTATATATAGTAAAAATGAAGACAGTTTTTCCTTTTCCGGAAACAAGTACGATGGCACGTGCCTTCTCACCTGACGGTGTCACATGCCGGGATCGAGTCCATCTTATCAGTTCTTGGCGACCTCGAGATGCTGCCCTCAGTCAGACTTCATGCCGTCATGAGTCGGCGGCCCCTCTGGACCAAGAACTGTCGCGTTTTCGGACGTCCTCTTTTTTTTCACGCGATATGGGAGATTGCAGCAGCTTTCCCTCATTTTTCTGTCACACGTCTCGGTTTTGGCATCACTACGGAGTATTCCCCAACAGTCTCGCCACTTATATACCTAGTTTCGACAATCCCCTCACTTGCAGGGTGTCCAGCTTACTTTTCTCTTTGTCTTGACCGACGGCATTTAGTGCCTGCTGACATATACCCGATTTTGGACTTTACCCTGAAGTATTCTGTGCAGGAACTATTTCGGCTGTTTCTCGAATACCCGCGCTTGCGATACGCCAACCATGGCATCCAACGCCGCATTGCTCTTGGACCCTCGAGCTTACAAGAAACGACTTGAGGAGAGAGGTAAGGAAGCATATATCCTCTCTTTAATCTCCCTGTTTTGAAACAAGTGGAGCTTGCCACTGTCACTTGACTTTCGCTCCTCATAGTTCCTTTGTCTTAAGTCGTGATAGTTCATTCGCTTACCGGCTCTGGCATTCAAACAGGCCAGCAAAACATAAATAGATTATCACACGATAGCGCATCTTCTGCTACCCCGGCTGCCGCTCACCTCCTACTCAATCCTCGAAGTTACCCGCCGTCTTCGCAAACCAGTAACAAGTCGTGGTCACAGTCGGGGTCGAGAAGCCCAATGGCTAACACTGCACCACCACAGCCTAATGCGAAGCCCTTTTCTGATTTAGACGTCGAGTTCTTCAGTACATGTATCGATGGTGACAACGGTGGGAAGCGGGGCTTTGAGCAGCTTGACAATGATGCGGCCAAAGCAAATCATGGCCGTCTTATAGAAGATATATATGGTGTGGAGGGGCGCGAAAGGCATCCATACAAGAGGATAAAAATGGATGGTACTTTGGCCGAGAACCCCAAGTCCACGAAGAAGACAGCCTATTCTTCTAGTGGAGATAGCGGGCTAGGGAAGTGGATGAAGGAGGGCCATGGGAAGTTGAATACTTTGTCTTCCACCAAACTGGATATCGTAGATCTCACCAGCAGTAAAGATGGTACGTATAGGTATTTATCACTACTCTGAAATCACTTGCTAATCGCCTGCTACAGATACCCATGGCAGCTCAAATGATGATGACGACCTGCAAGTAACGGGATTCAATGACCTCAGTAATCAAAAGGTCTGCTACGGGAAGCTTGAGAACGCAATGGTACAGGCATTTATGGTTCCAAAACCTGGCGCCAATATTTTCGGGGATTCAATGCATGACTGGCCATCTTTGAAGCTAGGTGTGCGTCGACAGCCTGGTCCAGGGAGTAAAATCGACCTTTCAGATCCCCATGGTAAGGTTTTTGGCGCAGTCGACGCTAAGACCGCCTCAGTGCTTGCCCCACTACTTGATTCGCCTGCTTTGCGGGTTGAGATTACTGCTCGCTTAGATGTTCGGAAAAGGCTGCCAGGTGAACAGCCGTGGGCTAATTGCTCTGCTTTTTATCGGGCCTCTATCAATCTTTATGGCCTAAGAAAAGATGCCGAACTAGTGGGTAAACACCTAGGCCATCACAATGTTTGGTTGGGAACTCCTCATGCTGTTGAACAAGGAACCTCTGTTTTCAACCCCCATGCAGAGTTGAGGCGAGCCCAGAAGTCGTTTTCGCCGGCAAGCAACTCCCACAGTCGGCAGAGTGTCAGTTACGAAGTCCGGACCGCAGAGGAAGTCAATGATGCCGTGATGAAGATGTTCGATCAACTTCAGAGTGCTGACAACATACCTGAAATGGAGCCCTCGCCACTTCTGTCAACACCTCTACTTCGCCATCAAAAGCAGGCCTTGTGGTTTATGACTGAAAAAGAGAAACCACGCAAATTTGGTCCTAGTGAACGGGAAAACAACTCGCTTTGGAGAGTTGAATCTTTGCGGAATGGGAAGAAACGGTTTCGTGAAATTATCAGTGGCACCATCCTCGATTATGAGCCACCCCAGACCTTAGGTGGTCTTCTGGCAGACATGATGGGCCTTGGAAAGACGCTCAGCATCCTTTCTCTCGTTGTGGCTTTCCTCAGAGAATCTTATGAATGGGCCAACATGATACCTCATCCGGAGCTCGTTCGGAACTCTCCAGGTATCCGCAACACCAAGACGACGCTTCTAGTAGTCCCTCTTAGTGCCGTCAATAATTGGGTGATGCAGATCAAGGAGCACCTCAAGGAGAATGCTATTTCCTATTATGTCTTCCATGGTCCTTCTCGAACGGCTGATGTTGATGAACTTTCTAAATACGATCTGGTGATTACTACTTACAGTATCGTTCTCAGCGAGCTCTCCGGAAGAGGCTCGAAGCGAGGCGTGAGTCCGCTGACAAAGATGAATATGTTCCGGATTGTTTTAGACGAGGCACACACGATAAGGGAGCAGAGTGCTGCACAGACACAGGCGATATTAAAACTGAATGCCAACCGCCGCTGGGCAGTAACAGGTACTCCCATTCAGAATCGCCTGGAAGATTTATATTCTATCACCAAGTTCCTGGGGCTTTTCCCCTACGATGACAGAACTCGATTTGGTATGCATATTCTGAGTCGGTTCAAATCCGGAGACCCCGGTGTATTGGCAAGCTTGCGCGTGCTTGTGGACTCTTTTACCTTACGTCGAGTCAAGGATAAGATTAATCTCCCTCCCCGGCATGATAAAATCATTTCCCTTACATTCTCCGAAAAGGAGAAGCAATTGCATGAGTTTTTCCGGAACGAATCCAATGCCATGATGAGTGTGATCGCGGGAGACAGCAGGAAAAAGATAGGCGGCCGGATGTATCACCATGTGTTAAAGGCTATGATGATACTACGACAAGTCTGTGCCCATGGGAAGGAGCTTCTCGACAAGGAAGATAGGGATAGGGCAAAAGGCATGAGTGTACAGGACGCTATTGATCTGGACGACGGGGAGGAAACCCAGAAGCCATCAGATGTTGTTGATAAGAAGGCGTATGAGATGTTCACTCTAATGCAGGATTCTTCAGCAGATTCGTGTGCCTTGTGCGCTAAACGCCTGGAAGAGCAGTACACCGACGCTGATGTTGTTGATAAGAAAGCAATCTTAGCCATAGTGCTTCCTTGCTTTGATGTTCTCTGTCCCGATTGCTTCTCTGGTTGGAAGCAAGCCTTTGACACAACCCAAAATGGTGCATCATCTCATGAAATCAAATGCCAGGCTTGTGATGGTTGGATACCTGTTGCATACACCACTATAACCTCTGCTGGTCTTCAAGAGTACCAGATAAACCAAGCGCGAGCGAAACAAAGTCGCAGACAAGCCAAGACCCTTGGAGAGTACGAAGGACCACACACGAAGACGAACGCGCTTACATCTCATCTTCTGGCGTCTGCAGCTGAGAGCAAGAAGCTCAAGGATGAACGTCCGATAAAAAGCGTCGTCTTTTCCTCTTGGACTTCACACCTCGATTTGATTGAGATCGCACTCAAAGATAACGGCCTCACGGGCTATACTCGATTGGATGGGACCATGACCCTTTCCGCACGGAAAAAAGCCCTAGACACGTTTCGCGACGATGACGGAATCACTATCCTTCTGGCAACCATTGGCGCCGGTGGTGTTGGACTTAATCTTACGTCTGCGTCGAATGTCTACATCATGGAGCCACAGTACAACCCCGCTGCCGTTGCGCAGGCCGTTGATCGTGTCCATCGACTGGGGCAGACGCGCGAGGTCACCACTGTCCAGTTCATTATGAAGGGCAGTATCGAGGAGAAAATCCTTGAACTAGCCCGTAAGAAGCAGCAATTGGCGGATATGAGCATGAACAGGGGCAAGCTCGGTAAGAAGGAAATTCAGGAACAGCGGATGAGGGAATACCGGAGTTTATTCAAGTGATCATTTTTGTCTTATTTGTCTTTACCCTTCTTTTCTTTCTCGTACATACGATTTTGTCAATTACCCTCTCCGACTCTTTTTCTCTTCACAGCCTTGCCTGGAGTTTCGGTTGTGATGCCTCTGGTATATCTGGCCGTCTGGTTGCATAGATCGTTATTTCTTTCCCGCTTCATATCCGTTTGATACCCGTGGCAATTTGGATTTGATTTTTTTTTTTTCAACCCCTTCTGCTATTGCGGTTTAACATCTCGCATTTGCACTGTGGATTTCACCAATGCCATGCGTGGTGTAGAACGGGTTCTTTTTCTCTCTACATGACATCTGTTCGCAAGCAGTACTAGGTAGATACTTGGTAGCATGCATCTTCTCGTTGTTTCTCTCCTGTCCCATTATTGATGTCAATAGAGATAATAGCACTCTCATGAAATAGACATAAGAAAAGGAAACAAAGCTCTATCGGGTATCTCACTTTATTTATTTTTCATTTCCTGTGAACCTCCCACGATCACCATAAATCCCAACCTGAACAGCCTCCAACATCCTCTCTAACCTCCTCCTCAGAACCCTCAATTCCCTCGCCTTTTCCTCCTTCTCCCCCTCGACCCTCCTCAACTCTTTCCCCAACTCACGAATCCGGTTCTCTTGCTCCGCCTCTGATGACCCAATCCCCGGAAGCACAGAAATCAGATACTCAATCTGCTGTTCCTTGATGATCAGGTCACGCGCCAGTTCACGCTGTCTCCGCGCAAAGGTCTGCGGCGAGTCTGGCTCGGGCGGGACGTTTGGGTCTGATACTGCCCCTGCGCTTGCACCTGCGCCGGTACCTGTGTCTTGTTGCTGTCGCTGTCCGTCTTTTCGCTCTTCTTGTTGTTGTTGCTGTTGCTGTTTCTGCGACTGTCCCGTACCAAGGGCTTGCTGCTGAGCTGATAAGGGTGCCGAGGCGGGAACGGGAGGCGCGGAGGAAGTTTTGGAGATCTTCGCGAGAGCTGGGGCAGTGTCTGGGACGTCTGGTGGTGTTGCGGGTGCGTTGTCGTGGTATGTTGTTAGGTAGCAGAGGGTTGCGTAGAATTGAGTTGCTAGCTATGGGTGAACAAGGGTATTTAGTTTATTATCATTTTGTGTTGAATGAATTCGGGCTTGGTGGAGGAGATGGTGGTGGTGGGTGGTGTTTTCTTACCTGGTCTAGACAGGTCTGGAGTTGGGTTAGGATGTCGGCCATAATGGGTGACCGCTGGGATTATGACGTAGAAAGAAAAGGGATGAAGGAATGAGTATATGTCTAGAAGGGACTTCGCTTTGGCTTTTTGTGCCCTTTGTAGAGAGGGATGATACAGCGTAGGATGCCGCACGCAGTATGCAGGTCCAAAGTCAATGTCGATTAAAAGTTGCACGTGGATTTGGGGATGGCGGCCTTCTTTTTCTTTTCTTGTCTGGGCTGGATGGCCCGTTGGCTCTGCTTTGTCCTGCTGGCTATGAAATTCGACTCAGATCCTCACAATTGCTGCAGTGCTGTACTTTGTTGATCTGATCTGATACAATAGAGTTGTTGCGGAGAACAACAACCGGCGGGCGCCAAAAAGATCTCCTTCCGTGCTCTCTTATTATTGAACATCATTCCCGACTCAACACTGACATGAAACACTATTATCGAGCTCACGTCCATAAAATATTTCCTACGCGAATACAGCTCCGCAGATTCTCACAATTCCCGGCTCGCCTCGATCTAACCCCCTTCACGCGCCGATTATTGAAGCTTCCAGCACCTCCATCACCACCATCTCAAAACCACAATGACCTCCCCTCCTTCCTATCCTACGCAGAGCGGACCTCTCTCCCCGAAACAACAACAACATACGTCGGCACGCACTACGAATACACAGTCCTACTAAGCTTGCGACAATTCGCATTCACCCTCGACCGAGTCGGGGGACGAGAGGATGCCGGAGTCGACCTCATCGGCACCTGGCACCTACCGCAGAGGGAGCGGCATGCCCTGCGGGTATTCATTCAGTGCAAGGCACTAAAGGCGAAACTGGGCCCGAATCTGGTCCGTGAGTTGGAAGGTACGTTTCGCAATTCCCCGGTCGGATGGAGGACGGGAGAGAAAGTCGGGATTCTAGTCAGCACGCGGGAAGCTACGAAGGGGGTTCGGGATGCGATGGCAAGGAGCGCATATCCACTACTGTGGATGATGATGGAACGTGATGGGACGCTTCGGCAGGCTCTGTGGAATGCGAAGGTAGAGGAATTGGGACTTGGGCCGTTGGGCGTAGAAACTAGATACGGATGTCGGCCTGACAGGTCCGAGGAGAAGAGTATTGTCTTGACCTGGGATGGTGAGGATTTACCCGATATGGATCAAGTCGAGAAGAGGATCTCCGAGCTTGAGACCGAATGGTTAGCATCGTGGGGTGCGCGTGGTTTATCCGACGCTGGCAAGCTCGAGTTGTTGGATATTGTAGAGAAGTCCTTTCCTGATGTTGGGATAGGAGGGGGATGCAGTACATTATCTGACGAAGATCGGACCAAGGTGCTGCAGGTATTGAATGCCAGGTTTCATGGGCCTGCGCAAGACACGGAGGGCAGATGACTTCACTGCATAGGGCCTTGGGAGAAGAGGTAATAAGTGAAACAAAACTATAATTGAATGGGTATATCCAAATCCTAGATAGATAGGTGACGCAGAATCGTCATCCCCCAAACCTAACGCCTAACACCCCAGTAAACCTCCCTAGAAATTGGCGAATAGAGTATTATCCTTGCATTGTTGACCAGAAGTACTTCGCATAGAAGAACTGAGAAAATTTGGGGTCGATGTTCACGACATGGACGTCGCCCTTCCTGCTGTTTCGAATAATAGCCCTCTTAAAGTTCCCGGCTTCATCAGGTTCAATATCGATCCCCAGAGAGCGGTAGATTTTCAAACGGAGTCTAAGCGAAATGCAAGAATCAGTGAGCTGTTTTCGAATAATAAGTAGCAAAAGCAAGAGGGGAAAAGTGTACATCGTTGAGTCCTCTGCTTCCCTCTCGCGCCTCGTCGTCTCGTCCCCCTCCAATCCCTGTGCCTCCAGATCTGCCAGTCTCTCCTTTAGCATCTCCAGTTCACTTTCGAGTCGTTCACTTTCAATCTCCAGTTCCGAGGCCGCCTTCGCAATTCGGAACTTCTTCGTATCTAGCTCGACAATCTCGCCGGCGTGTTTGGTTGAGTCATGTACGGCGACTGCCTCCTCATACTGCGCATTTATCGCATTCAAGTTCCTGGCTAATTTACGCAAGGCCGATTCCGCTTCACGGATCTGGAGGTCGCGTGATTGTTGGAGGGCGGATAGGGAGTCGTTGATGCGGGTTACGGCCTGCTTGTCAGGTTGGATGTTGAAGTTCCCGATTGTGTGGTGAATGAGCTAGGATGAGGGCGTAAATGTTAGCAGAGTCACTTTTCTTAAACGCGAAGAGGGCAGTTGTAAGTGGAGAGTAATGGGATTGAACATACTGTCGCAGGGTCCTCGTCGAGCAACATCTTGCGATAGTGTTTCTGGGATTGATAGAGGAGATATAAGATAGACGTTCAGAGTGCGAATCTGATACTTAGTTGCTGTCAGTTCAACGTATGCTAATTACTCCATACGAAGACTAGATGTTGACATTTGGCGGTTGGGGGAGCAACAGCCACAGCGCCGACATGCGCCACACATGACCCTCCGCATTAACAGCTCGCAGGTGGCGCCAGGCAGAGAGGATGATCTCCAGTCCATCTCCATTCTGATGCTTTCCAGCAAGAGTTGCTGTAGATTCAAGTTCATAAGCATTGAGTATCATTTCTGTCCTTTGCCTCAAGCTCCAGTCACACTCAGAAACGATGGGGTCCAACCTACCATGTACGCCGTCCTCTCGTTCCCATCACCCCGCCTGTTGACTTCCTACTAACAGTGTTTTTTTTTTTTTCCTAGATGCTGCTGATGCGGAAAGGTCGGTTTAATCGCTATATTTATACAGGGTTTTATGTGATTGACGAGGATTTACGTTCGTTGTATTATCTAGTCCGTTGAAGCCAGCGGAACTCCAGGTCCTCCGGGCGCAATACTTGAAGGAGGGTGATTATGTTGGAGTCCAGACCAAATTCAATTATGCATGGGTATGGTCTCTATTTCTGGGCTTGCAATTTCCCCTCGAGAAAAAGCTGACGTGATATTCCCCGTCATCTGGGGATGGTTTCCAAACAGGGCCTCATCAAATCCAACGCCCGATCAGAGCAGCAAGAAGGCGTGCGACTGTTGTCGGACATCTTCCGAAGCGCCCCCGAGCGACGACGAGAATGTCTGTACTACCTAGCTCTTGGCAATTACAAGCTAGGAAACTATGGAGAAGCCCGTCGATACAACGAGCTCCTTCTTGACCACGAGCCCGCCAATATGCAGGCAGCAAGTTTAAGGACGTTGATAGACGACAAGGTTGCGAAGGAGGGCATGGTTGGATTTGCGATTGTTGGTGGTCTAGCCCTTGCGGCAGGTATCGTGGGCGGTCTTATGTTCAAGGGATCGCAGAGGCACTAAGGCGAAGAAGGCCATCGTTGTGATCTCTTGCTTTATTCTCCGAGGCTTGACACTACCGGCTTTTTTGCTGGTTGATATGCTGTTGCGTATATATAAGCGTTTTTGGCTTGTTGCAACTGCCTTTGTCGCATTTCTATGGCGTTTTCATGTTTTCTCTTTGATCCAGCTTGTGGCAGCACAGATGATGATTTCCATATTGTTACCAGAGTCTATTTTTAATGCTAGGATGAGTTCCAATGAGATGCCTTTTTATCTGTGTACACTTGTTTGCTAGGGAGTGAATAAGCAAGAGTTCACAGAGGCATATATAAACTATAAACTATATGAACTTGATGAAGGAAAATACTAGCTGTCATAAGGCATTATCCAGAGTACATCTGCGGACACATTCACTGCGCCACTGCAACTGCGCATCTGCCCGTAACGTCATCTCAAGTTCCGCCCGCTTTCCACTTACACTTAACCTTTCTCCTCCGCGACATCTTCCTCCTTTCTCCAACAGTTATCTCTTGATGCCTATGTCTTGTTTCTTTTCTGTGTAGTCCCTATGGCACCAGCAGTAGCCATCTGGATGTTCTAGTTTGGCCTCTAGCCTGACGCGCTGTCTTCGATGTCTTCGAAAAAAATGACTCTTAGCTACCCTGACCAACTTATCTTGGTTTCCGACCCTTCGACTTGCTTCGACGGCATCAACTTCCTTTATTCCATCCCCTCATTTACACGTCTCTCCCTGTGATTCTCCTTTGATCATCTTGTACTAGGGACCTTCGCATATCTCGTCATGGCGGATAACAGCGATCGAATGTTCTGCCATGCTTGTGGCGGGGTATGGCTTAGAAATGACCATGGGCTGACATGCCCTCACTGTCAGTCCGATTTTACAGAGATCGTAAGTGATCGTATGAAATATGGAGTCTTGGAATTGACTTCTGACAAGAAAATGGGCTTGCAGATTGAAATCCCTCCAGATACTACTCCAGAGCCGTCCTCCCATGTCGATAGACCGTCTCGGGTGGGGATTAATCCTTGGGAAGATCAGAACCCCTGGGCAGAAGAAGGCCCCGCTGATACCGATAGATTTCTGGGCGGTCCTGGTTTCTCTCGTCATACGTACAGATCTCCTGATGGCCGGTTCACCTTTTCAACTACAACATATTCCGGCGGCTTTCCTGGGGGCTTCTTGGGCCAACCCACAAGTCCTGGAGGCCCTCTACCTGAAGATCCCTTGATGCCGGTGATGCGAAGTTTGGACACGATTTTCAATGGTTTAGCGAATACCTATCGTCAGCAGGGCGGTGGAGAAACTCGAGCGGCGAGCGAGGGCCCTCAGAATCAGGGGGACGAGAGCCGTGAGGGGACTCCAGCATTTGCTGCCACAGGAAGGTTATTCCCGCGTGATGCGGAAGGACCGCAACCCATGAACCGATCTGTGGATAGCCTGAACGAGTACGTGGCCCTTTCTTTTCCCATGATACCCGTCCACGGCGGTTATAGCTTGAATATATGCTAACAGCTTCTATAGTATTCTTGAACTCTTCCGGACTGATTTTGGTGGACCTGGCAGGCCAGCTGGAGGTGGTGGGGTTCGAGTCATGACTGGACCGAACCCTCTTGCGATCCTTTCGAGTCTCTTAAATTTTGACCGGCAGGGTGATGCAGTCTATTCTCAAGAAGAATTTGACCGCATAATATCCCAGTTGATCGAACAGAACGTCAATGGGAATGCCCCGCCTCCAGCTCCGGAAAATGCAATCCGAGCCCTGCCGAAGAAGACCGTTGAACCGGAAATGCTGGGCCCTGAAGGCAAGGCGGAATGCTCAATCTGCATGGATCCTGTTGAATTGGGCTCTGAAGTGACGGTTCTTCCTTGCAAGCATTGGTTCCATGGCAATTGCATTGAAATGTGGCTTAGCCAACATAACACTTGCCCTCATTGCCGGCGGCCTATCAATGATTCTTCAAGGCCGTAAGTAACATCTCAAATTATCTCTTAGAATATTAACCAGGGTTGCTGATCGCAAAATGCTATAGTGACAGAATGCGACCCGAAGGGACTAGTGAGAATCCTGTTGTAATCAATGACAGCCCTGAAAGAACTCCTCGCCGTCGTTCCAGCGCCGCAATGAACAATTTTGGTACTGTAGCCTCTCCGTCCGATCTCAGAAGTCGAGCATCTTCTGATTCGGAATCTGCTGGTCAGAGCTCGAGGAGCTCCAGCCGAAATGATTGGGGTAGTGGTATCACCGGCTGGTTTAGGAACCACCTCGGAGGCGGGACAAGCTGAAAACTTACCATTAGGCATACCAGCTTCACCTTTTCAAGGGAACAGTTCCTCTCTTAACTCCTATTGAATTCTTACCAGGTCTGATTTTTGACCGGCCTTGGTCCGTGTTTTCGGGTATTCTTTTTTGGTGTGCATACAATTTTGTGCATCTGTCTCTTCATAGACGGATATACGTTCAATGGGTGATGATCATTCTTCATAATCCATTTACTGTCGGACGCTTTTGCCCATTACTCCGTTTTCATCTTTCGGACACTCATCTGGTTGACTGGTTTGTTTTTCTCTCGCAGGCTCTTGTTTAATTTCCTGCGTCTCTTCCATCCACTTGATGTGTATGTAAAGCCGATTGAATTGAATGACTAATGACATATTTCAGCCACTACCTGTTTTTATTTCCTTACTCTGCTTTGTTTGCTGGGCAGTTTTCCAAAATACGCCATGACACTCTTATGTACTTTTATGAAAGTTCCCCAGGACCTTCTGTGACTAATTACTAGGAAATATAATGGGCCGACTGGATTGTTGTCTGTCTACTCTCCACAAAACCCCTGAAATTGCTAAAGCTTCCTGCAGATTAGGAAAGGGAGTGTATATATTCACAAAAGAAAAGCATCACTTCAGATCTACCTCCCTCTTCCCAACCGTCTCACAAAGCTCCTTCAGGACTCCAGCCAACCACTCGAAATCGCTGTTCTCCAGATAAATCTGCGCACTTAACCTGGTCCACAGCGCACTTCCATGCAAGAAAACAGGCACAAACGTCCCGTATTTCTCAGTCATCCGAGTCTCCATCCAGCTTATGATAGACGGTAGCTCATCCTTCTTGAACGGCTTATATGGAGATGGGTACATGGAAGAGCCATCCTCCCTTGCAAGGACCAAGGGGAGCCTGACCGTAGTCATGGCGCATCGTCTCAACTTACTCACCTCTCCAGGCTTTAAGTTCCTCTCCTGCATCACCTCCGTGCCGAGCGCGGAGGCGACGATATCTGCACCTGAATTAGCGAGTCGCTCGAGGTACTCGAAGATACGCTCGTCGCCCCCGCAGACCTCGTTTCGGAACTTGATTGCTTCCGGAATGCAGACGTAGGGGGTGTCGTCGCTTGTGGCGACGAATTCAAACAATGTCTCGAACGCAGATTTATTCTTGTCTTGCGGCAAGGTCGAGGCGGGTGTTTCCGCGGAGGAAGGGGAAGGGATGAACCCCCACGACGTTGGAATAGTGGTGCGGATAAGATGTTGGTTTCTGACAGGGACGTAGAGAACTGCGCAGCCACGAGGAGCGTAGAGCCATCTTAAGCATTCATTAGGGTTGTTGTTATACTCCAATTCGCCAACGAGGGAGACAGAGAGACAGAGAGAATACTCACTTATGACAATTGCTTGTAAAAAAGTCCGGATTCAACCTCCCCAAATCCAACGGGACCATCCCAATCCCATGCGCCCCATCAACGACACTCAAGATACCCTCCTCCCGACAAACCTCCGTCAAGCGCTCAAACGGAAACCTAACGCCGGGGTTACTAACCATGACGTCGAAAACGGCAATTTTAACATTCAACCCCTCCGCTCTCGCATCACGGACCGTCCGCAGAAACCTTTCCACTAACTCCTCATGGTCCGCGATACAAGACAGATCGTAACCCGCAACCTTCCGCGCGGAGAGCGGGGTGGTCTCCGTAAGCGAGACGATAGTCTTCTCGATGGCCCCGTAGATAGTCTCGAAGTAGACGATCACATCGCCCTGCTGGAAAGTCAAGTTGCGGAGGACCGTATTGATGCCCGTCGTCGCGTTGTGGACAAGGACGCATTCATTAGTGGGTACGGAGAGTAGACGGGCTACTGCTTTGCGGGATTCGTCGACCAGTTTGGGCCGCGTGTACCGGATGAATAGGTCTGGACGGGCTTCCGTCTCCGCTTGATATTTGTGTAGGGCTGTCCGGACGGGTGAGGGGTATGTGCCGAAGGAGCCTGGGTTATTCCTCGTTAGTTGTCTGCTTGTATATATGTTGGCTGTCGTTGGACTTGCCGTGATTGAGGTTCTTATAGTTCTTGTCGAAAAGGAAGTATTTCGACATGGGAGCTCCGAAGGGAGTCGGCGAGATGGGCAACGATGACATCACGACTTTCCTGAACAGCTATACTTTGGCTCTTTACGAAACTCGTCAGTTGATAGATAAGGAGGGATATATATGCCACTATATAAAACTGGAAATTCTAGAACACATTGACTTTCCCCTTCTGGATGCGTGAGCAGTCACATGTTCCCCTTGGACCCTCTCTATTTTGAGTTCAATAATGGTGCCTAGTTAACCACCTCCAAATCACCCATGCTGTTGACATGCCCATCACAAAATAACACAAGTAGAAACCTAAGTGTATATTGAACAACCATTGAGTGGTGTCATGGGCATATTGCAACTTAGGGCCAATGCTTGAGTACCCTCCTTGTCCTATTTGTACCATTTGTTCTGTCTGTTGCCAGCTCGCCTATTTCCTTCCTTGTACCCAAAGTCGTTGCCTGTCGAAAAGACCTCCTGTTCTTTTCCTTCTCTCAAGGAATTCTTCGTGAATTTAGCGCAAATGAATTTTATATTCAAACCATTACACAAGCATGGGGATTATAACACCAGACCTCATTTCAGGTCTTATGCTCAAAACAACTGAGCATTCAGGTACATACCTGAGAGCAAGAACACTCACAGGCAACGATAATGATGCCTACAGAGTCCTAAGAGACCTGTGGATGAGATTTATGCTGCTGGCATCTAGACATCCCAATGCCTAGGCTCATGGTCATGGCAGCCATGGAGACCAAAACAGCTTATTATGCGGACCCAACAGAACCAATAGTCGACCTCTTGTGTAAAGCTCAGGCACAGGACCCAGGGCTGAGCAAGGGTGCCGCAGATACTGGTGAAGATGGGACGCATAAGCTGAGTAACTCGCCTTGGAGCAGATTCAAAGATGGACCGATCAGGGTTAAAAATTGTCTTCCATCCTTTTTTGGAACAAAAAGGATTGATGTGCCCGCAGGACTCACGTGAGGGTCTAATCCAACCTTTCTCTAGGTACGCCTCTAAATATTCCAAAATCAAAAGCTTGATTTCTATCATCTGCAACAGTTTGGTATCTTCAATCATACAAATACTTGCAAGAGTCATTATGCATAATACAAATACACACTTTAAAGTGACACTTATTCGCTGTAACGTCTCCATCAATTGGCATGTGTTAAGGTGGGTGTTTCTATCCCTAGCCTAAGCAGCTACTACTTTGTTGCCTTTTTGGCACAGCGGCTTAATAGCATGGCTGGCATGCTAGGTCTCTGACATCATCACTCCGTTGCTGCCCGTAAAGGGTCGCAACCTACTGGTAGCAGTGTTGTAGGGGTCTTGGGCATTCTTGGTTCAATACTCATCGACGCAACCCACAAGGAACGTGTAAATATTCAAGTGACAGGCTTCCAATTTTATAATTATGAATAGAATAGCCCTGTTAACCTTTCAGAAGGATCTTTGGAATCATACAACCACTATCAATGGCTTTCATAATCTCATTAAGGGCATCCGCAATCTCATCTGTCATCGTTTCACCGTTGAGAGTTCTTGAGCCAACAAGATTCACAACTTTAATCGCGGAAAAATTCTGCGACTCCAGTAACAACGTTTGATGATCAGTATCACTATTGACATCCAAGTTAGAAGCATGTATATAATTAATGGAGGTGTACGGAGTATATTGGTTGGTAACTAGCTAGGTCCGCCCTCGCAGCCCCTTTTCACCACGTAGGCAGGCCTATCTAGCTAGTAACCAACCAACGATACACCTCCATTAAGATTTATCAGCAGACGTATATATCACGTGATCCAATGAGCACACTTTTAGCAACGCAGGGCTCTGGCCCATTACAACTTCTGGATCTTCCCACCTCAGCTCTGCCAATGGCTTGATTGCTTTGATCTAATAGTCATTAGCAGCAAGTCTGTGAGTTAATGATCTGTCATATTATCCCACTCAGGCTAAAACCCAGCTGGTGCATACCGTCACTTACCATGCCCAGCAATCTGTCAAACAGAGTTGGAGTCTTTTGGTATTTTAAATGGGACGTACGTGCGTTATTAACACCCTCTGAAAGCAACCGGGTTGTGATTGAGGGATCTTGGGGATGTATGTACTGAAACGAAGCCGCAATACAACACGGCGAAGGACGTTTTAATAAGGAAACAATATAACAAAAGAAAAGATGCAACGATCATGGAGCTGAGCTCCGTACTATACAACGACGATAACGATACAAGTGAAGCAAACTCGAAAACAAAAAGTATGCCTGGTTCTTCTAAACTATCTAGGAGGCTCGCCTTAAGTATCCTTCCGTCGCATAGACAGAAAAGACCAGAAATACCATGATTCACTACACGTAGATAATTCCACTTTATCCTATAGATCACCATATCCTGCCGAAGTGGCATGCATATGCAGACTTATCAACAAGCAAAATAAAACTCATTCCAGGCATATTCAAACATTTCCCCTTTAGATCTACCTCTTGCCCTTCTTTCTGGGAGCAACCACCTTGAATGCTGCATTGCTGTTATCCTCATCCTTGTGCGCATTATAAGATCCCTTCTTGGCCACCTCACTCCAGCCTCCCGAATTGTTCTGGTCTCCAAATGCGCTGACACTAACCGGATCGGCGATGCCCTTGTCAGCGAGCTTACGGCGACGGATGAACTCCTCCGCAAACCGTCGGCCATCGAGAGTCTGGGAGTTGGCGTATACGGAATCCGAGATAATTTCAGCTTCGGCAGGCAAAAGTAGTAGCTGTTGAACAAAATCATCAACTATTTCGAAACTCGTTAGTAGCTAGCTACACGTAAGCAGTTGTAGGTAATGGTCGGACTCACCATTGATTCCGCTATTTAGACCCTTGCCCAGAGTCAGCTTGGCCCATTTAGTGAACTCCTCCAGGGCGCGGTTCGGGTTGGGAGTTGAAGATGACACGGCCGCAGCAGTTGTCGCTTTGGGTGCTACCACTGCTTTTGGCTTTGTAGCAACTGCGGTGACCGGAACATTTCCACTGCTCGAACGTGGTCCACTGGGGGCGGCAGGTGGTACCTTTACCTTGCCGCCCGCACCGACTGTCGTCCAAGCACCAGTATTTGCACTTGCAGGGGATGCAGCAGGTGCAGGAGCCTTGCCGGCCAGATCTGCATATCGTTTGACCGTAGGAGTTGTTGGAGCCGGGCTTGTGGCTGCGTTCTGTGCGGCACTGGCAGCAGCAGCCGCAGCCATGCGTTGTTTGCGGGCTTCTTCTTCCTTCTGAATCTGAGCAAGAGTTTTCTTGGCTGGGCCGCCGGCACCAGCGCCCTGGCCCTTATTGTTCCAGACAGAACCACTCGATGTCGGGGTAGGGGTGCCAGCGCTGGCCCAGTTAGCCGTCGAAGGGAGGCCTGGAGTCTGTGCCTGGGCCTGGCTGAGGCGTTCCTGCTCCGCGAGAAGCTGAGCACGACGGGCCGCGGCAGCAAGCTCCTCTCTTTGAGCAGCACTACGTGCCTCTGCTTCCTGAATCTCCTTCAGAGATGGCCCCTTGGGAATTTCGATCGGCTCCCTTGCCCATGGAGCGATGGACGTGGTAGGTGCTTCAACCGGAGTCTGTGTTTGGGATCTGGAGCCTGCTGCAAGTGACTCGGCGACGTTTTGACGATTGCGCTGCGCTGCAGGTGCTGGCAAAGGAGATACAGAAGGAGCTGGAGGGAACGCCTGAGGCACACCGCTGTCAACCTTTGAAGTCACTACCGACTCATCCTGAGTATCTTTCTGCCTCTGCTTCTGCTGTTCTTGTTCCTGTTGTTGCCTCTGAGCAGATGCGGCCTTTTTAACTTGCTGAGAAAGCGTAAGGGCAGGCTCATTGCTAGCAGGAGAGGGCTGAGCAACATTTTCCTCGGGCGTCTGCATATCCTGTTCGCTCGGCTGGGAAGGAGCAGTAGGGGGATGAGAAGGAAGGCCCTCGGCATTCCGCATCCCAAATTCTCCGTCCTGTGCCCTCAATGCGTGGAACTGACGAAGTCGCTCTTCACGGACTTGTTGATCAAATATGTTATCGGCGTGGGTATTGTCATATTGCTCCTGTTCCTTTTGAAGCCGAGTCCGGTCCTGTAGTATGGAAGTAACTTGCTGTGAGTGAAGAAAGCTATCTGCTTGGCGTGTAGCAAAAGGTGAACTAGGACTGCCAAACGCGAATGGATCCGCCCGGCCCACATTCAGGCGTTCAAGAAGAGCCGGAAGCTGATCCTGGCCGCCCATTAGATCGGTACCAAGCTGAGGAAGTGCACTAGGCAACGCCGTCTGCCTTACAGGTGTTGTCGCATCCAAGAAAGGTATGGATTGTGGCTGCTGAATAGGACCCTGGATAGGAGATGGCTGGTAGACGCCTGGAGAGGTAATACTTCCAAAGCTGGGTTGGCTGTGAAGGCTGTGTCCACTGGAATGGTGCTGAAGCTGGGGAGGATGAATGGCATGAGGGAGACCTTGCAATTGCATCTGTTTCATTAGAGCCTGTTGCTGGGCGAGATGCTCCTTTTGTCTGGCCATCAGATATTGCTCTTCTTGTTTCCTCCTCTCCAGTGCATTTTGTTGTTCCGCCGTCAACGTCGTACCAAAACTCGGGAAACTACCGGGGAACGGTGGTTGGGCGGTGCCCGACGAGCTTCCTGACCAGGGAGCGGCGGCAGGGTCAGGCCCATGAGGAATGCCAATCTGCGGGACGAGGAACGGTTCACGCGAGTTTCCAATTCGTCGCACAAGTTGCGCCAGAGGCTCAAATTCCGGGTCCTCGAGCTTCTTGATCTGCAAGTCTGGACTGAAGAATCCTGCCTTGAACCAGTCGTGCATCTCCAAACCCGTCCAAGGTCCTTGAATGTTGCCCTGTGGGTCACGGTAGATCCAGCGCATACGGTCCGGCATGACCATAGTGCGTTGCTGAGCAGGGGGGACGGAACTAGACGTCATGTTGCTAATAGAATGGCCAGGATTTTGACTTGGTTGAGGCATATCTAGAGAGGACGCTAATGTAGCCGGGATCGATCCAACGGCAGAAACCGGAGTCTGCGTGGCAGGAGTGGATACAGGTTGGCCTAGTTGGTTCTGTTTATCTGATTGTTGAGGATCTTGTCCACACGTCAGCAGGCTTCCAAAATATATATATATATATATATATATATTTATCATCCAGTGCAGGAAGGCGGCATTTATGAGGGAAACAGGCCTTTGTCTTCGCCAACACTTTTAAGAGAGCTTTGGATTAACTCACCTGCTTGCATAGTTCCATCATCCAGGCCACCAGCGTCGGGTCTCGCTTGGTCATTTTGCATCTGCTCTTGCATCGCAGTGGGGAAGAGAGAACCCAGCTTGCTAGATCTACCAATACTACCTGTTCCCGTTACGCCGGCATGCGGGCTGAAAAGGCCGCCACCTCCTAAAGTAGACAAGCTTGGAGACTGTAGGTCGGCCATAGAGCCGAAAATAGGATCACCGAATCCAGTGGAGAAAGGAGGTCTTTCCCGGCTCGGTGTGCCCACTGTGGCATTCGATGGCCACCCAGTTGAACCTCCCAGACTAGTAAGACCACCAAGACCACCAAGACTCGGGAAACCCCGGTTAGTCCCGACACTAGACGTTTGGCTGCGATCAACAGAAGGCAGATCCACTCCTGACCCGATCCTTTGGAGGGAACCAAAGGGTCCGGATGCATCACGGAGACCACTGATACCCGGATGGTGAGACTGCTGAATGTCAGAGCCATCGGTATCGACATCGTCGACGTCTGTTTTATCCCCATGCGGGCTTTGGTAAGGGTTTGTATTGGTAGGACTAGCGGGTTCGTGGCCTTGAAGATGGCTCGGGGTTGGGTTACGAGATCCTTCGTGGCTTTGCAGCAATTCACGGAAACCAGTAAGGGTTGCAGTTCTTCCGAACGCTGATAATCCAAGCGGATCGGCGCTCTGAGATGGGGGCACAACAACCTGGGAGCCTCCGAGAGCGGCACTCCCACTGCGTAACTCATCTGAAAACGGATTTGTCTCGCTTCGATTAGCGCGCGTCTTGACAGGTTCACCCCAAGGCGAACGAGAGCGGGTATCACCGCCATCCTCCGGCAAGCGTTCCAGATTGCTAAGGGAAGACTTCTCCTTAACAGACGCTCCAATATCCTCGGAACTGTCCTTGGAAAGTAATCCCTTGAATCTGCTTTCTCCCCGTAGACTACCAAATCCCGCCTTCTTTTCTGATGTCGGGGTCTGGGAAGTATTGGGTCCGAAAGAGAACGCGCCAAAAGCCCCCATCGGTGAGAAGCTCGCACTTTGAGATGCAGACTGCCACGGCGAGCTGGGTCCAGTCAGCCCTGTATTCAAGGGGTTTGTGATACTGCGCTTCAGAGAGCCAAATGGGGAAGCCGTATCCGTGCCTCCCTCCCGACTGGAAATGTCCTTGTCTCGATCATCCTGTTTAGGATTAGACGAAGCATCTCGGATGTCGGTTTTACGGCGCAGCAGGGAAGGTGTCGACGAGATGGGATCGTCACGGGAAAAGCGAGAACTGCTAGTTGTGGGAGACATCGCGTTCGCTGCAGAATCACCCGTCTCCCGGCGTCTGGGAGTTGGCCGTCCTGCACCAGGTGATGAATTAAACGTGTTCAAATGGTTCTGCGAATGGGAGAAGGACGCCTTTCGACCTGCAACGCCGCCGCTCGGATTCTCTTTGGAGATGTTGGTCGGGGGAGGCTTTAAAGGAGAGTTGACTGACACAGAAAACAACTGCACCTAGTTAGCACCACCATCAACGATATCACACCACCCGAGTGACGAACACGAACCTCCTTCTCGTCATCGGTCATGCCAGTTAATCCCAACGGCTCCATCTGTCCGCCATGATCCCAACAGACCTCCGGGCCAGAATGGTTATCTTTGTGATGGGGGTGAGGATGGTTATTGCGCTGGTCATCTCGCTTCCCCCAAGCCCCATTTGCGGTGGGTGTCGCCACGTGAGGGTCCCAGTCTGCCACGAAGTAGTCTGCAAGGTTCCTACCCAAAGTACCCGACTCCCGCAGTGTTTTGTAGAGTTCCAAAAGCTGTTCCTTCGAATAGCGACTTTCACTGGCTGCACCGTTGCGCGTGCCACTGGACTGATAATTCGAGGATGCATGTGGAGGGACATAGGCACTGGTGGTAGGAGTCGAAGTAGCTTGGCTAGTATCTCGATTATGAGAAGGGTTTGTAGCGAGAGATGGACGGCGGAAAGTCTGCGTAGCTCCATTCTTTCGAATTCGAGGCCTAATGATGCCAGCAGGGTAGAAGTGTCAGCACTGAGCTGTCTGTGCGGAGATTAAACGAACGAAAGTCAAAAATCCGCTGGTGACAACCAGAGGCCACAGGAACAAAACTACGACAGCGCATGGACCATAGAAGAAGAAATGGCAAGGGAAAGTAATTAATATGCATACCATTCTCCACCAGCAGCTCTGGTAGAGGAATCCTGGGTATTGCCAGCAGCTGCTGAAGCAAAACTAGAAGGGAGCGGCGTAGGCATTATTGTCCGAGTACGATGGATACGGCTCAGATATGCAGCAAGAGACGCACGGGAGCTATAGGGAGCTTCGTCGCGGGGAGTCTGGTATGGAGTTTAAAGGTTGGTGAAAGGAGTAAATTCTTTCTGGGATGAGTTTTGTTTGGGGAGTTTAATTAAGGAAGATGAGAGGCAGGACACGAGATTCGCGTATTAGCTTGCCGTGGTAATTCACTGGGGTCTTCGTGTAGACTATCTCCAAGTGAATGAAACAGCAGCAAGTGAGGCGGTGGAAGTGTGGATGTGGCAGGTATGACCAACAACAAGCAACGCGAGAGCTGGAAAACAATTGAAAGCGAGTTCTCAAGGGAGTTGGATTTGAAAATGAAGTCGAGGTTGAAAAAGAAGAAAATTCCCCGTCGTGGAAACAGCTGTGCCGGAATATTCGCACGCACGCACAAACGCCGTCCACGCAGTTCGCCTTTCCCGACCCTGACAGATCTATCACTGCAAAGCTTGCATTTTCTGTCACTTCTGCAATAAATGATACACTCTTGGTTGGTCCTGGCTTTATGGAGTGCAAACTCTCAATGTCGTTTCCCACTGTCTTTGTTCCCAAGTCGAATAGCTCGAAGTATACGGCCGTGGCAACAGGACAAAAGTTTGGCCTATTGCCACATCCGGCTCTCCGGGACTGTCTGCAAACAGTTGTACTTTTGGCTACCTACCGGTAGGCTTTGCTGACGAATAGTTCTCTATTTTTTTTTAATTTTTTATACTAGGGTCTGTTTGTTGTGGGAGAGTGTGATTGCGAACTGATCAGCATATATACGTTGTCATGGGCTTCCTGTCCAGGAACCCAGCATAGAACCTGCAGGTACATCAACTGTTGTCGTAAGATAACATTTCATTATCTATCAATCTACTGTCACTATGCATTGGCCTAGTTGCTACAAGGGATAATAGCCTGGGATATCTCTGCTACATGTGTTTCCTACTGCCTATTGCCCAGCTAGCTATGCATGGAGTGATGAGGTGGACAAAGCAATGCCAGTACGCTCCGGCATGTTTGCCTGTCTTCTCCCACCTGTTGAGGAGATATTATCTGAAAGACAAATGTCTATGATGTAAATTTGTGCTTCTTTGATGGAAGTGCTTGCTTGGTTTTGAAATACATATATACATGTCTCATGGCAAAGATACTCCTCATGCAGGCAGAATGATATCTACCTTTCCTTTCCTCCAACGTTTTGAGGCTGCATTTTATCCATCAAAAGCTAGGCTGAAAGAGGACTTTCTTCTTCTATATCTCTGTGTATATACTGTATACCTGTCCCTTCTCTTACTTCCCGCTCCTGTTACTCTTCTACGTCGGTCCCCCAAAAAATCATGCCTCTTTTCTGGAGCTCAAGACGAAATGGAAGCAGCGATATCCCCTTCGCTTGGTACTGGAAAGGCAAACCACTACGAAAAGGCCGTGATATGGGCGATATAATCAGACCAGTCCGGGTCCGCCCGTATACGCTGGAAGGAGACGAGACTCTCTTCGATTCAACTCAGAGCTCATCTCTGCCATCAGACACTTGCATCTCACATTTGAGCGGCGACACGCACGCTCAGAATGTGCACGAGGGCCAGCGTCGATGCAGTCAACGGAGAGCAGGTAGCTTTGAGCGATATGTGACGGAGAGTCATTGCAGCTCCCTCAAAAGTGGCAGTGGTACGATGACAGAATATTCTTCAAGGGGACGATGCAGCCTTATGCGCTCTACCCATACACCAGGTCATCATAGTAACACTGTTTTTCCGGGTCGTCATTTCCGCAGCCTCCCTACCGACGGTGAATCTTCAAGTTCATACTCCCAGTCATCTTTTGACTATTCGCGAAATCCTTCATTCAGACAAATTCGGTATAGAGATGATGACAACTTCAGTTTGCGCTCCTGTGCATCTCCTTGTGGCCCTAGTCTTGGGCCTCCTCTCAGGCAATGCTCCCACAGTTGTGATACTCTATCAACAAATAGGCGTCGTCGGCTAAGTGATGGGTCGACAGGCACGAGTTCTCATGTATCGTTGTCTGCAAGTAGCTGTCAGTGGTCTACTACTTGCGTCTGCCCATCACCCTTTAAAGGAGGAAGCTCTTGCTCAAGGCGCTCATCGTTGGACGCTCATTGTCCGTGTGACAGCGAACATATTTCGTCCGGGTTTAACGCTGTTGAAAGTGAAGAAAGTTCTGATTATAGCAACAGTGAGGTGTATTGGGAAGCGGTGTCATGTCAATGATATTTAGTGAAAGCAGACATGACTTGACTATGTATTTCAAGAAACGAGTGCGCTTGCTGTGGATGTGCGAAGGGTGCATGTAAATATATTGTATCTAGTTGAATGATGCTCGATCTGTGCAATACCATAGCCAATAGGCATATCCCATTTAACTTTTTTCGAAAAATGGGCATCTTTGCACGGCTATGAGAAGATACGATATGCCGAGTACATACATAACTCACTTAGTTGACCAGAACGTATGCAGTTTTGCAGTTGTTGTTGAGCAGTTTCTCCCGGACCTCGGCTGTCGATAAGGTGAAGTCCCCCGCACGAGCCTTCAGACTAAGCTCAGCACCAGCTGGGGGCTCACAATTGATCAAGAACCACAGTAATTGTTGATGTAGATATTTAAAATCTACTGCTCTCTCTTCTATCATCCTTATTTTACCTCAAGAATCAGAATAGTACATAACACCACCCAGAGCAGCCTCACTGACAATGTCCAAGGCAATCTTCCTCTCCACCATCGACGGCAAACCTGGCAAGCCAGGCCAAGTCTATTATCCACTCACAGTAAAGACATTGCCCAAACCGAGCCCTAAGGGCCGAGAGCTCCTCATAAAAATGACAGCAGCATCGTTGAACCATCGAGACGTCTTCTCACGCCAGCATCTCTACCCGGGCATTTCTTTCGACGTCCCCATGGGCTCAGACGGAGTCGGGATCGTGGTATCCGCAGGCCCCGGCGTGAGCTCTCCGCAGAAATGGCTAGACAAGAGAGTCATCCTGTGTCCCCTTACGGGATGGAAGGATTCGCCGGACGGACCCGAAGATATCAGAGGGCCAAGGATTCTGGGAGGCACGAAAGCCTATGAGAATGGGACATTGCAGGAATTCGTTGTCATTGATGAGGAGGAGGTTGAGGAGGCACCGGCACATCTCTCTGATGCGGAAGCGGCGGCATTACCCTTGGCAGCGTTGACTGGGTGGAGGGCGCTGGTGACAAAGGCAGGAGAGAAGAATTCAGGGAAGGGCTCTACGGTTTTGGTTACGGGCATCGGTGGTGGTGTCGCGTTGATTGTGCTCTTGCTTGCAGTTGCGAGGGGTGCGGACGTGTACGTGACGAGTTCGAACGAGGAGAAGATTCAAAAGGCAGTCGAATTGGGTGCCAGGGGTGGTGTGAATTACAAGGAACTCGGGTGGGAAAAGAAGCTGCTGGGTCTGCTTTCTCCAGGAAAGACTTCTTTCGATGCCATCATCGATGGTGCTGGTGGGGATTCTATCGAGAAGTCGGTCAAGTTGCTCAAGGTAAGCAATTTCAACCTTCTCAGTTGGTCTTCTTCGTCTGTGCCACAGACAAGTCTACAGTATATTCTTCTGATCAGAGTCAGACGGGTGGTGTACTCTCCATCTACGGTATGACTGTATCCCCCAAGATGCCTTTCACCATGGCGGCTGTTCTCAAGAATATCGACGTCCGCGGTTCTACGATGGGTTCTCGAAAGGAATTCAAGGAGGTTGTCGACTACGTGAATGCACATAAGATCCACCCAGTTGTGTCGCGCGTTATACATTGTCCTCTGGATGACATCGCAAGTCTCAATTCTCTTTTCGAAGACATGAAGCAGGGCAAGCAGTTTGGCAAGCTGGTGATAGAGTTTGGCAAGTTTACGACGGATAGTAAGCTCTGAGCATCAGCACGTCCTGGGTATATACTTCACCCTGGTACCTATTGTAAAGTACAATCTTCCTGGTTGAGATGAAGGACCGCAGTTGCTTCATCACTAATGAAAAGATAACTATTCTTGCTGTGTTCTGGCTGTTCCTGCCGGACGATGGTGTCCTTCAAGCAAAATGGCTCTTTCCTCACCAGCTCTGGCAGCTTTAAGTGCACCTCCGCTCGGCTTCATCTGTTCAATTTGCTCGCTTAGGCCGCGCGACTCGTTTCAGGTACATGGGAAGCGAGACTTATCCATTCTTTAGCCAAGGCAAATCATTTGTTATAGGCATCCCAATAAACGAGGTCCCATTCCACTCACTGAATGTCTTTGAGCGGACGAACCCTATCCACACAGTGAACCTCGCAATCAATTCATGAACAGCATGGATTTCGATACTCTCCAGCAGATCTATGGACCGGGGATGTCCTTTTATCTTTCCGACTTGCAGTCCAAATCCACAGAGTCGTCTTCCATTACGGGGGCGACAATATCTACGCCTTCTACCGTTCCCACTGATTCCACGACTTCTGCAGCCTCCACAATATACACCCCTTCCACAACATCACTTTCGGTATGTTGAAAAGCCATCATCTAATGATATATTTCCTGTATGGAAGATATCATGCAGTAACCGTCATTCATTGCTCTCAGAACTACTCTGCTTCTCTCGCAGCCCTTCAAACTAGCAACGAAGATCTAGAAAACAAAGTATCCAAACTCTGTTCCACTACATCCGGGCTGAACCGCGACCTTCTCAAACTCCGTCGACATGTTGACTCCTTTCACCATGAATGCCTTTCAACGTGGCAGGCTGATGTCCTAACCCGACTCATTGAAGTGGTTTATCTGAAGCAGCGCCGCAAGTTGCCATGGGGAGTTGTCGTTGGGGAGCACGAGGCCCAGGGCTGGGATGTTGTCTCTCGTGCATACGTGACTGCTGCGAACAGAATCAGTAGGAAGGTGCTCGAGCAGAAGCTGGGTCTAGGAGCCAAATACCATGAGGCGTTAAAGAAGTATAGCGAGGTGAGCAGATTGCGTTACACCTTCTTCGGTCCTGTCCTTTCTGTTTCTTTCTTTTTCCCCCATCAATTCTAAACATGACCTCTGCGGAGTAATGTCTAGATTGTCGAGTTTCGCAGCTCAAATCCTTATCGAAGCGAGAAGCCCTTCGCCCAGTTCCTGGTATCGGGGAAAGAAAACAATACCAATTTATATGCATTCTGGGCAAAGCTATTTCCCTTGTGCTACGGGAAGGCGGTAGAAGAGAGCTCTGAGGTGTATTGAATGCTATCGATATTGTTTGGAAGGATATCGTTTGGAGTTGAGGATGAACGAATAGGAGTCACTATCGTTTGGTACTTTTCATAGATTTGCGGCTCATCTGTACACTCGTTCGCAGGATTTCTGCTATCCTATCCCAGGGAATAGTCTGCACGGTTGGGTTATTAATATTACTATGGTATATGTTGCATAGAAGGCCATTCCATCCTACAAGACAGTTGATAGAAGAGCTAGTCAGCATTAGCAACGTCTCAGAAAGAGGAAAGCTCGTATCTACTCCGTACAACAATAGACAACATGGAATCAAGAGCTATCCAGCAATGCAGTCTATCAAAGACAGACGGCCTCTTAAGCTTAACCCCTTGACTTGACACCTGCAGAAGCCACAGATCCTACCCTGAAAGGAAGTCCCAACAAACGACCAGCCACTGCCAAGCAAGCAAAGCGAGACAGGAACAAGGTACAGTGTCAGTGTCAGGCCATGCCCAGTCATTTAGTTTGATAGGTACAGCACACCGCCTTCGGAAGAGGAGATGGGGAGCCGTATGGCTGTTATACCGTAATTCCAGACCTACGGACATAGAACCTTGATTCTGACTTGTTCCTGTAAGGATTTACTTGCCATGGACGAATCATTGCTCGTATATACAGAATCATACTTCAAGGGGCTTTTGGTTTGTCTTGGGCTTTCTTGGAATGGCTCAAGGGGAGGGAATAATAATAGGTAGTTATTCAATATGAATAAGTAATGAGGGGATGCTATGGTTGTTGGGGAGGGAATCGAGCTTGATGAGGATATAGTTTACTATTTCGGACATGTGGATTATCTAATAATCCGGGATCCGGAATATATATGTTCCGGAGGAAAGATGCCTACACCCGAGTATCCCGAATTCTGTATATAGGAGTTCAAGCAAGTAATTGAGCATTAAGCGTGTCAATTAGAGCTTCACGATGTACTAGAGACGACAGTATATCGGTATAGAGCGTTCACCACGATCCCTACGAATCCTACGGTATCCTTTTAGTACTTGATATCCAGACGCCGCACCCCTGATCACATCAGAGCTCAATGGTATGCACGTGGTTTGCTGTACAGAGGTACCTTTTACTGCCAAACTTTTTTTGGCCGTATTGTTGTGAAGAAAATTCGATTCTTTCCCTGCATAATTGAGAAAGACGGTCGTAGGCTGCGCAAGCTGGGCAATTAGATCGAACAATTTAGCCGAACAAACCGCCACAGGATGGAGTTTCATGAACCATGATCGGCGCAGACCATCTGCATGTCAGGAAAAAGAATTAAAAAAAAGAATAAGGCCCCATACGGAGGACTTTGTAATCCGCATCCGACGGTGTGGGTAATTTACTGGTTCTCGCAAATATTGCCGAAATGGGAAATCAGCTCGGCTCCAGCGCCAAAAATCCTTCAGCATTTTCAAATACGCCAGTGGCAATAGTAGCGCCTTCCAGAAGCTGCTGGCTTTCGATTAGACAGTTTGTATTAATTAACATCTAACTAGCTGGAGTCTGGGAGTAGATTTATTTTTCTCCTCCTTCAACGCCACGGGATTCAATCAAGTGATGTTCTTGCGATCTACCGGCAATAGTTTACTACTACTAAGATAACGGAAGGCAGCAATAATCATCCTGGATTTTGAAAAATAAAAAAAATAAAAAAAATAAATAAATAAAACTACGGAGTACTTCGTAATTAATTAATTAATCATTCAAGGCTTGGTTTGTCCTGTCACAGATTTGCGACCGGAGCTTGCTTAGCCTCAAAACAAGGATTAATGACATCATGAGTCAGGGACGGCTCCCCACATAATCCATCCTGAATTGTGCCAGTACCTGGCCCTTCGGGACAATCCTTTCCTCTCAATTGGTTCAAACAGACCTCAAAAACCAGGGCTTGCAACCTAAGCAGGAACCAAAAAGGATTGGGTAGGAGCACCGTGTACCGAATCATAGATGTCCTTCACTTTCCGGTCCTGTTCTGCAGGTTATGATTATTCTTCTATCCAGCACGGGGCTCATTGGGGAGTGGGAAACCGGGAAGTATGCGGTATAATTATCCATGCTGTAACCTACTAGCATGCCGACTCATTCCCGAAGCACGGTACCTACTAGTTAATAGGCTCGGTGTCTATTGAATCGATCACTGCTTATCTTTTCTTTCTAACCGGAATGACCTGGAATTGCTTACTTGGAGATCTACAAGGGAAACATCCGTCACCGTCGTTTCAGCATTGAGATCCACGGCACGAGTGATAGGTATTTATTTCATTCCTGTCTCTCCATTTGCTTAGCAACAACTGGGTAAGTACAGTGATGATGATTTTTACTCGCAAGCCGGCGTTATGATCCTGTAAAGCAGCAGGACCTTTTTTAGGGTTGCTGTGCTGTTCGAGTTACATTCTCAGCTGGATTATGTGGTTCCGGTCGGTGATGGGATAGCTCGTGCCGACCGCCTACTTGGTTGGTGTACTCCGTTGGATAGCAAGCTCTGTAGATAATAATACCGGCCAATGGAAATGGAATGGGTTTCTTACTCAATCTAGCATTAAGCTATCTTTAGCAACACCATGGTAACTATACTGCGAAATATCAGTAATCAATAATAAATATATTACTCCGGAGGATGGACGTAGTATCTCAGAGATGTACCGCGAAGATGTGACGTTGAAGCTGACAACTAGGGTCCTTTTATCTGTGGAAAAGCGGAGTCCGCGGGACAAAGCGAGTCAATTCTCTCGTTGCTGTCCAAGGTTATGAATAGTTTGGGACTCCGAGCCCCCTTGGGTCCAATGAAAAAAGCAACCAACATGCGTCCTGACTCGCTCCATATGCTACCGGCGGATGTTCGGTAAGGCTGTTGCTATGTTTAGAACCATCCTTGCTCTCGGGGACAAACATCATGTCATAGGCTTGGCTTCGGATTGCTGTCAAAACGGAGGAAGAAAGTTGATTCAAAAGTAATACATTCGATATCGTTCCTGGTACCCAAGACTGCTGCTCTCGTCCTTGGGACCGAAACCTCGGGTTCTTCTACCTGCTATTTGATCTGATTCCTTGAGATGCCCGGAAGATGTAGATATCTGGTGGTCAGTTCGATGCTCTATTGATGGTGGGCCAATTTTCTGCTATTTGTGGGCATAGCTCTGACAAGGGATCATGCGAATTGTCAACCAGACTAGCTGTAGAGGAAGAGGAGCACGCACTGCTGCTTGTAGTAGTATGTACGGGAGCATGTTATCATAGATATCGGATTGCGAGAGCCGAGAGAGTGCGGATGAGCATGGAGGACTTTGTGTTTTGCCGTGATTGCTTTCCGGCGTCTGTCCATTGGGCACGGGAGAACTGGGGCGGAACCTATTACATATTGCCCTGTATCTTTCAGCCCTCCACAGTGCTGTACCAGACCTAGGTATAATTCTGCATTTAGCATCGACGGTGGGGAGGGAATCGAACAGTTTAGGGCATGAACGCCGCGGTCCGAGGACGACGGACTAAGGTTAGCAGCATTGTCAAGCCACCGTACAGGCTTCCGTGGCCCAATTGAGTGATTAATTATCGTCGAGATGGATCCCCCAGAGCAAAGAAAGAAGAGACGATAAGACGAAAAATAATGAAAGAAAAATAAACATAAACACAATGAGGCGGTGCAGTCCGTCCGAGGACATGCAGACTAAGATATCCTGATTCTTCCCTCCTTTACCGGTCCACCAGGATGACTATAGCATCCCTCACGGTCCGTGCAGTGGGCAGTTCCAGTGGCAATAACCATTAATCATCGTTATTTCTCTCTGTTCCTTCGCTGGGAAATATGGAAAATAAACGGCTGGGAACTGAGAACTGGGTGTGGTCTGTCGTGGCCATGTCTATGGATGGACTTGTCATCGGAAATCCCGCCCCTCCGTGTCATTCAACAAGTCATCAGCGGGCAGCCAGCAGGACCAGATACCCAGCAAGTTGGTCAGAGTTTGGTTGCTGCTGCTGAGGAGAACGATCATCACCAGGATTATTTTCATCATCTTCATCCCTTTGATCACCCCGTGTGTCCACCACCACTGCTACCATAGCGTGCCTTTGCATCGTTATCCTTACTGTCGCAGCATGAAGTACTACCGGATAAAGTACCTGCTATGCAGTTTACACTGTATCCCATACCATAACGCTGAAAAATAAAATAAATAATAAATAGATACCTAATAATAATAATACGATGTCATGATCCGATCCCTTGGTGAAAGAGCATATGAGAGCGCCTCGTTCTCTCACCATGGATGACCACAGGATCATAATCAAGGACGATGGCTCCTATAGGCCTCCCTCGTCTCTTGGCTACGAAAAAGAAGAGAATAAAAAAAGAAGCGATGGAGGAAGAGGGAAAAGAGGGAGAAGAAGGCCCTCTGGCCATGGTTCCTTTCGGCCCTATGGTTATTTATGCGCTGTTATTTATTACTAGCGACCACCTCTACCCCGTACAAGTATTAATTATTACTATTATTATTCTTTCTCTTTCGCCTCTTATCCATCGCTTTTCCCACCCCCCTCCTCTTCTTATTCTCCTCTCCTCATTCCTGGCTCGTCTGTGGGATCATTTCCTTTTAATCAGACGATGTCTTGAGGCCACTTCTCTATCCGTCCCCTCATCTTTCCGTTCGCTCTTCCAACACTCGCTTAGTACGCTCGCTATTATTATTATAGAAGGCTTCACCACATTCGCTACGTTTGCTAGTTGGTTCCGGAGGCGAAAAGAAAAGAAAGTGGATCGTTTCCTCCCCGAATTGCATACGACTATTTCCCATTCTAAATATCTAATTGAATCGCCACGGAAATATCCCCGTTATCCCTGTTGGGCTTGGATTGTTCGTCGACATTTATCCATTCGATTTCTTCTCTTCTGTTTTCTTTCATTCTTGTTCCTTACTCCCCTCCTGCGCGAAGTCAGGTGGACTTTGGAACTTAGGAATCCCTGAGGCTGAAAGAAGAATACGGAAAAGAAAAAAAAAAAAAAAAAGAATATCGGTTAAAATTAAAGCGAAACAGACGGGGTGGAAAAAGGACCCAGAAAACACCGTCAGCTCCGCACTTTGCCTACTCATCCCCGCGCATCAATTGACCTCCCGCGTTTGCCAATATCGAGGATCACATAGTGTAGAGCGATCCCGTAACAGCCGTTTGCTCAACCAAGCTCTGTTCCTGTTCTTCGGCTGCGGATCTGACGGTCTTCTGTCTATCTCGTCGCGGCTGGCAATTGCCATTCCGGCTTCAATTCACCAGTTGAACCAGTCAAAGAAACGGAGGTCGTTGGTGTCTTTTTTTTTTTTTTTTGTTTCTTTTTTTTATCTCGTTGCTCATTCCGGCATTGTCTCGGGGGGAGACAAGCACACTCGTTACCGAACTAGCAGCGATCCGAAGATCAATCAGGAAATCACTACACCTACGCTCTCCGTCAATCCAAGGTTCGTGAAATCTCATTTCCACCTCTCCATAGTCCTCCGCTACGCATGGATCATGGATCATGGATCATAGATCATGATTCTTACTGCTCCTTTCCCTGCCCATATCTCCGATTTCATCGTCCGTTGGTACGCTACTCCTTGCTTCCTCAACTACCTATAAGGTTGTGGATGTGAGACTGGGGCCAGTCAATTCCCCCGTTTCATTGCTGATCTGATCTACCGTGCTTTCGTCTGCGTTTCGTCTTGTCTTTGGCATTCTTTATGTTCGCAGCTAACCTCGTCTCTACCGTTTCTTCAGCCGCTTTTTCTGATCTTTTCTTCGGAGCTTCCCGTAGCTCTCCCCAGAACTGCTTTGCATTGATTAGCTGCATCTTTGTTCTGCATCTCGGTAAGTGCTGCTAGTCTATGCAAAGAGCCGACTTCCGGGGCTTAGGAGCTCATACTCAATGACTTGAGAACAGTTTCGTGTTTCTTCACCTTCAAAGCTACTCTGGAATCCTAGCCTGCTTTGGACCCTTTCCGAAACGCGGTTCAATAAAGGGGGGGAAGAAATAGCAAAACATTGCCATCTCGGAGAGCTTCCCGGGAGACATTTTACGGGTATCACCTACAATCCCGTCTGGGATCTGCTCTACTCATCTCCGCGCCGTTATCAGACGCCATTAGTCTGCCTGTCTTTGCCCTGAATCATCCGTCGGCACGCTGTCTCGAAACTGGTCCCGATCTGCAACTAACCTATATTGGTTTCGGGCCTGCTCTTTCGCTTTATGTTCATTCGAAGCTTTTCATCCCGCGCCTTGTGTGTTCAGACTGGCAACAACTTCCTATCGTCACTCTTTTTTCTGTCTCGGACGGTTCCGTTGTGGACTGTCCGACGCGCGGTCGTTTTCAAGAATAAATTCGCTGTCGTTCGCTTCCAAGTGTCCTGTCGTGTTGCAGTTACTGCAACATCTTCAAACTGGCTTACTCAAAGACGAACGGTGCTATAGTGAGATTCATCCCTGCAATCGTTTCCCTTCCGTTTCCGTCGTACCGTCGACTCTTCATCTGAACTCCCGAGTTCAGTGTAGAAGCAGTCGGGATCCCTTTGGAGTCTGCTTGACTGATGGTTCTCTTTTCTTGTAGTTCGATCCAGATTTTCAAACGCCGGTGATTCTAGACGAGTCATTCTCTTTTTCGAACCCCGAAGAGTCGCAGTTTGTTGGAGAGTTTTCAGACGGCCTCTGGGCCAAGTCTGAACCCATTTTGTCTATGTCTGCCTTTCAGAAACCCCCACAGGCTGCGCTGCTAGGCAAGTACCGTCTCCCTTCATCTTGCCATATTATCCTGGAGGAGCCATTGTTCTGACCAACTTGTGTAGATTACGGTTCGACACGGCCTTTGCACGATGTCGTTCCCTATTCTACGTATAGTCAACCTCCTTATATGGCGACACAGCTCGCCCCGTCCCCAATGGCAGACCAGACGAGCCAAGTTCCCGATTGCGTCCCATATTTGGCGAATCAAGATTACGCAGGTTCCTACGAAGGACCTCGCTCTGCCCGTCAGGTTCCAGAGATTGTGACCTATGCTCCACAGAGAGGGTATGAAGGCACGAGGGTCTTCGTGCAGCTCCTGTCTCCTTACGATCTTCACACGTCTTCTTACGCCTCATTGTATCTTTGCTTCGGTTCCAAGAAATGCGAATGCGTTCCGCATTTCATCGGTTTCCAGTATTCTGCCTTTCAGTACGCCCTGTATGTCGATGCTCCTTCCTTTCTTTCGACCGGCTCCTCCTCGTTCGCGGTACCCTTGCAGGTAACTATTGTTACCCAGGAACAATGCAACGCAATAGTGCTTCAGGTTGGTATCTATACATACGAACAGGCAGCTCATCCTTCACCCCCCGATGAATCGCGGAAACGACGAATCTCCTCGTTTTCGGAGACTTCCGGTCCCAGGCCGGTGAAGAAGTCCTCGGGCCAGAACTTGCAAATGAAGGAACAGGCGGATGGCTATACGTACCAAGATCAGCGATCAGCATCCTATTCGCCTTACGTGCAACCGCTCCCCGCAATGAACGGCTACATGGCTCCCTATAACGCGGCTTCTTCACCAAGGGCTGGCACAGTCCAGTACCCAGGAGTATCCAGCACACCACCCTCAACTATCCGAGCACATTCTCCTCTCACTCCTTCATGGAGCCCGTCCTTTGCGTCATTGAACAATGATGGCAGAACTCCAGGCCTTGCGAATTACCAGGGGCTCCATCAGCAAAAGGCTCCCTCGCCAGCCGGAGCTTCCAACCCAACTTTGATCCGTACCTCAACGTTACAACAGGCCAGCGGTTTAGGTCATGTGCAAGCATTTAATCCTTATGCCATCTATCCTTCGAAGGCTACCCTGAAGTTGAACGGCGACCTTGATGCAATGGCCGAGAATTGGACCAAAGAGGAACGCGACGCGAAACGTCGCCTTGTCCAGTTTAACCGTATGCAGAGCGGTAGTACAATTCACGCAGATTTCAGACCTGTTGCGCCTGAGGACCGTGCTCCGAATAGCATTTGCATCAGTTGCATACACTGGGATGGGAAGGATGAGTGTTTTGTCACCAGTGTGGATACAATCTACCTGCTTGAATCACTCGTTGGAGTGCGTTTCACCGTTGAGGAGAAGAATCGTATTCGCAGGAACCTGGAAGGCTTCCGGCCTCTCACTGTTTCGAAGGCTAAGCCGGATAGCGAAGACTTCTTCAAGGTTATCATGGGCTTTCCTGCGCCGAAGCCTCGCAATATTGAGAAGGATGTCAAAGTCTTTCCCTGGAAAATCCTTGGCCACGCGCTAAAGAAGATCATTGGGAAATACGTAAGTTGTCCTTCAAACCCGCTTTCTCCCCCGATCAGGTCTCCAGATTTCTTCGTTCTTATATGCACGGACAGCTAATCTTTGCTTTGCCTTTTCAGTCGGCCAGCTATTCTTCCACGGCTGGAGCACTTCCGTCTCCTGCTGGACCGGGTTTCGCTAGCAGTACAGCAACCCCGGCTTCTGACTCTGGGGGCGAAACTCAAAATGCTGGGTCTCCTCAGTCCGCAGAATCGACTCCATCCACAACTTACGGTGTTACTGTGATGGCAGCAGCCTATCCGCCTCAGATGGAGCAGACTGGGATACCATTATCAGGCCCTCCTGAGCTGCGAACCATCTTAAATAATTCTGGCCAGCCGTATTCTTCTATGGCCGCACCATTTTCATACCCGGCCATTTGTCAGCCACAGAGTCATCACGGAAATACTGCTCACGTTCACAGACGTTCCTGGGATGTGAGTACTCTGGCTGCGAGCACCCCCATCACAGCCCCCTCGTCTAGCACATCTGGATACGATGGTATTGTCTCGATGACATACTCTCTTCCCGAATCAGCAAACGGCCCATAGTTCGTAACGGAATTGATACTGATTACTGGATCTCGATTGATAATACCCATCGTTCTCGAGGCGAGCCTTGTGGTCTCTTATTCTACTATGATCTTCTCGATTTCGTGGGCTCTATATGTTCGATCCGTGATTGTGACTCGCGAGTCTTTGGCGTCTGCATTTGTCGGCGTTGTTCGGTTTCCTGTCATTGTCTCTTTGTTTCTTGCTGAATGGGTTGGCCCGTCTTCACCCATCTGGGGCAACTTACCAAGCTTATCTCGCTCCCACCCACCTTGTCTTTGCGAATGGCCTTTTACGAATTTCTTTCAGACATTCTTTGATACACTCGGGAGAAGTTATGACACTCCTTATACGAATATTCACGCTGAGCAATGTCACCTGCCTGCGAATGTTTCACTCATTACGTCTTGTGATAGTTTCACATACGTCTTTCCTTTTCGGTCACTGAATGCCCCTGAACTCGTTTTCTGTCCTTGTCTTTCCCACTATTTTGGTGATCACGTTTTGGAGTCATGCATATTAGATGGTTACTGTCATTCCTTTATATGGAGCTTGCATTACACACACGGAGGGGCATTTGGGTTCCATTCCTTTTTTGGATAAAAGTTACGTTTTTTTGAACAGCATAGCGTTGGCGCTGCGGTCATTCCTTTTCCATCTTGGCAGGTCTTGTGAGTTGGTTGGTTATGTTGGGATATAAAGAAATTCAACGGGTTGGCGAGGGAAAGCTAAAAGTGAGAAAGCGTTTATTTCTTCTGCACTGTACGATTTGACATGGGAGGGACATGGGAGGGACATGAGGGTCTTATTTGTCTTTTTTTTGGTTTTTTTTTTTTTTTTTTTTCTTTCATCTTTGTCCTGGAGAATGCTGGGATGTTAGTCGAAAGCAATACTCATAGTCATTACTGTGGTGTGTTTGTTTCTGCATAGCTCTGGCGTTTTGTGGAAATGGGATATGGCTGGGTCAGATACACTCTGATATTGTTAATTTATTTGGTTTATTTACAGACAGATGAATATCCAGACAAATAATCCAGTCTTCTTACTCCATGTCACCCCCAACATCTAGCTGTGCTGAAGCCTTGAGCGTTGAAGTGAGGGTTATTTGCCATACATGCCTGAAACAGCATTTCTGCCTCAGGCCAATAATCCTCACCGCCCTGTGAGTCACGATTTGCCCCTGCGAAATCGGCGAGTTCCCGCTGAAAAGTTCCAGCTTCCATTCCTTCTCCGCCGTTAATTGCCTTCCATCTGGAGATATCCTCCTTCGTATATAAAAGCTCAAAGGCACTTTCTTTCCAGGGGACCCCACTCCATCTTCCTTTCTTCCCTATCCTTTCCAATTGAGGGACGTTGTCTCTCCTCCAATCTCCCCCGCCACCGCCAAAACCCCACATCCAGCATGGATTTGATAAAGCAGACCTTTGCCAAGTGCAAGCAGGAGAAGCGCGCGGCACTTGTCGCTTATGTCACTGCAGGCTTTCCGAGACTTGAGGATACAGTGGATATCCTACTCGGTCTGGAAAACGGTGGTGCTGGTATGTGATTGTTCCCCCACATTCCTCTGTTCCCCCCTCATTTCCCCCGACATGTCTAAAGCCCCTGTTTACTAACTGTAGTAATCCCTCACAGATATAATTGAGCTTGGAATCCCTTTCACAGATCCCATTGCTGATGGACCTACTATTCAAAAGGCCAATACCAAGGCCCTCGAAAATGGAGTTACAATCGCGGCAGTCCTCGACATGGCTCGTACTGCTAGGAGGAAGGGTCTCAAGGCCCCTCTTTTGCTGATGGGCTATTACAATCCGGTTCTTCAATATGGTGATGAGCGTATGCTTAAGGATTGCAAGGCGGCTGGCGTCAACGGGTTCATTATGGTCGACATACCACCCGAGGAGGCTGTTAAATTCAGAGACCTCTGTACCAGTACTGGGTAAGACGGATATATACCCTGAATTCTTTTTCACCCCCTCAGAATATGAGAATATATCACGGCTGGGTATGGCTGACACTTGTTTTCTGCAATAGACTGTCATATGTGCCGCTTATCGCTCCTTCCACGACAGAGTCCCGCATGAAGCTTCTCTGCAAGATCGCCGATTCGTTTATCTATGTCGTCTCTCGTATGGGTGTTACGGGTGCTACAGGAACCTTGAGCTCAGGTATTTCGGACCTGCTCTCTAGGGTTCACAATTACTCAGGAAATGTTCCGGCTGCATTGGGTTTCGGTGTCAGCACTCGCGAGCATTTCTTGGAGGTCCAGAAACTTGCAGAGGGTGTGGTTATTGGTAGCCAGATTATAAGCATTCTGGGTCAAGCTCCTGCAGGTAAGGCAGCTCAGCAGGCTGAAGAATACCTTTCCAGCGTCACAGGTCGAAAGCTAGAGAGGGATGCCCAAGGGGTTATCGTGAGAGAGATCAAGGTTCTCGACCCGGTGGAGAAGATATCTGAGGCTACCAAAGTCATCACGGAGGTTCAACCCACATCGGAAGCTGGCATAGGAGACCAGCTGGACGCGCTCAATAACGATGGCAACTCATCTGCGATTCCATCGCGTTTCGGTGAATTTGGAGGACAGTATGTTCCTGAGATTCTAATGAACTGCCTGACGGAACTAGAGAGAGGATTCCAGTCAGCCTTGAATGACCCCAAGTTCTGGGAGGAATACCGTTCATACTACCCGTACATGGGTCGACCTAGCAGCCTCCATCTCGCCTCGCGGCTGACGGAACACGCTGGCGGCGCTAACATCTGGCTCAAGCGTGAGGACCTCAATCACACCGGTAGCCACAAGATCAATAACGCCTTGGGCCAAATTCTCCTTGCCAGGAGACTGGGAAAGACTAAGATCATTGCCGAGACTGGAGCAGGCCAGCATGGTGTCGCGACAGCGACCGTCTGCGCCAAATTTGGCATGCAATGCACCGTGTACATGGGCGCTGAGGACGTCCGGCGTCAAGCGTTGAATGTCTTCCGAATGAAGCTTCTGGGAGCATCCGTCGTGGCTGTTGAGCTGGGAACGCGAACTCTACGAGATGCCGTTAACGAGGCTTTCCGCGCCTGGGTCACTCAGTTGGATACTACACATTACATTGTTGGATCTGCCATCGGCCCTCACCCCTTCCCCACCATCGTCCGCACTTTCCAGTCTGTCATCGGTAACGAGACAAAGGAACAAATGAAACAGCTCATCGGCAAACTTCCCGACGCAGTCGTCGCTTGCGTCGGCGGCGGCAGTAACGCAGTTGGCATGTTCTATCCATTCTCAAGCGAACCAAGCGTCAAGCTTCTTGGTGTCGAGGCTGGCGGTGATGGCATCGACACAGCTAGACACTCGGCCACCCTAACTGGCGGTAGTAAGGGCATCTTACACGGTGTCCGCACCTACGTCCTCCAGGACGAACATGGCCAGATCTCAGAGACGCACTCCATCTCCGCAGGTCTCGACTACCCCGGTGTAGGACCTGAACTGAGTTCGTGGAAAGACAACGGCCGAGCCCGCTTCATCGCTGCCAGCGATGCCGAGGCACTCACCGGCTTCCGCCTCCTGAGTCAACTTGAAGGCATCATCCCCGCCTTGGAGTCATCACACGCCGTTTTCGGTGCTATTGAACTAGCAAAGACTATGAAGAAGGGTGAAAATATTGTCCTGAACCTGAGCGGGCGCGGTGACAAGGATGTCCAGAGCGTTGCTGATGCACTTCCGACATTGGGACCTAAGATTGGTTGGGATTTGAGGTTTTAGGCTCTTTTTTTTTTTGGCTTTTTCTGTTCTTCTCAATTAATTTCCCCTTCTCGTTGGTTGTCTTTGTGGGATGAATGAATGAGTGAAATGGTCAGCTAACTTGCCTTGCCGTCTTCATATCCGGGTGTTTGAATTTGGCCAAAAATGTAAAAAAATATGGTTTGGCTGGTCAGTTAGCTAGGTAGATAAAAATCCATCATGGATGTGGCATAGTAGTATAATACCGCTTGTACGTTTGAATGAGCTACTCTGTAGATAGAGAGCCCGTCGTCCATGAAGGAGGCTATAGTTATTAGTTACCAAAAAGAACAATAAATAGTACGTGATAATTGCAGTATACTATACTCTGCATGAAAAGAAAACCAACAGTCTACAAGAGGTACATATGAAAACGCAAGCGGAAAGAAACAGAAAGACAAAAAAAGGAAGCATACCCAAGCCTGTGAAAGCAGGCAGTTGCAACAACGAACCAGGATAGAAAAGCATGGACAAGGTTATATATTGTCTCTCACATCTTTTCCATCCAGCTTCCACCAAATAATAAATAAAAAACACAAAAAGTCCACCAAATTAGGTCTCAATTAGATTGGCAGTCTGTTGTGCCTGAGTCTGGAACTGCTCCCCGGAATGATCTCTCGTATCCTTATTCGGGATCTTACGGGCAGAGCGAGCATAGAATTCGTCCAAGACTCTCTTGGGAATACGGTTCAGCAGCTCCTTCGGGTAGATACGGAGCAGGTTCCAGGCAATATCCAGTGATTCGTAGATGCTCCTGTTTTCGTATGGGGACTGGCTGATGAAAGTGCGCTCGAACTTCTCGAGGAATTCGAGAGACAGCTTGTCCTCTGAGGACAGAGCCTCCTCACCGACGACGGCTTTCATGGCGGCTGGTACACGTTAGATTCCATGTTAAAGACTCAACTTTAAAAGAAGGAAACGGAAAGACTTGAAATTCCATATACTGACCGGCATCCCGTCCAATGGCATATTTGGCATAAAGTTGGTTAGACACATCCGAGTGATCTTTGCGAGTGCGGCCCTCGCCAATAGCAGATTTCATTAGACGCGACAGAGACGGGAGGACGTTGATCGGTGGGTAGACACCCTTGTTGTAAAGCTGACGGTCAACGAAGATCTGGCCCTCAGTAATGTAGCCAGTCAAATCAGGGATGGGGTGTGTAATATCTAGTAGAAGAGAGAGAGAAAAAAAAAAAAAGATCAATAAGCTGTCCAAATCCAGGGTATCAAAGTAAACGGTAAACTAACCATCGTTAGGCATAGTCAAAATGGGAATCTGGGTAATAGAACCGTTGCGGCCTTGAACTCGTCCAGCACGCTCATAGATGGTCGACAAATCAGTGTACATGTAACCGGGATAACCACGACGACCGGGAACTTCTTCTCGTGCAGCAGAAACCTCACGAAGAGCATCACAGTAGGCCGACAGATCAGTCATGATAACCAGAACGTGCTTCTCCAACTGGTATGCATAGTATTCGGCCGTGGTCAATGCAAGTCGAGGAGTAATGATACGTTCAATCCTGCAGCAACATTAGCTAATTTGCCCATGGCAAATTCACCATTGTCGCCAGAAACATACGTAGGATCATTCGCCAGGTTTAGGAAGAGAGTAACACGCTCCATACTACCATTCTCCTCGAAGTCGCGAGTAAAGAATCGGCTGGTTTCCATGTTGACACCCATAGCAGCGAACACAATGGAGAAGTTCTCTTCATGACCATCGTGAACATCCTTTGTTGGTCTCTTAACCAGGCCGGCCTGACGACAGATTTGCGCGGCAATTTCATTATGCGGAAGACCGGCAGCCGAGAAGATGGGAATCTTCTGCCCTCGGGCAATGGAGTTCATGGTGTCAATGGCGGAGATACCAGTCGAGATCATTTCTTCAGGGTAGACCTTTAATTAATTTCATCCTATCAGTCCATCGACGCATCCTTTTCCTAGTCCAAACGACCTTCGGCGATTGCGGGGAACAAAACGTACTCGTGAATAAGGATTGATAGGTTGACCGTTGATATCCAGATAATCCTCCGCCAGCACCTTAGGTCCCTTGTCAATCGCACGTCCCGAGCCATCGAAGACACGCCCAAGCATATCCTCGGAAACGCCAAGCTTCAAGCTGTGGCCAGTAAACTCGACTCTCGTCTATGCATGGTGGAACAGTAAGACATTAGAACATTTGTCGCAACAGTCATTCAATTCACCCATCACTCCACTTTTCTTTTCCCCATACCTTTTTGACATCAATACCTGGAGTTCCTTCGAACACCTAGCAATAACGAAATCGCATCAATATCATTCATTCATTTATCTATGTTATTGCACAGGACTAAACCTGAGTGCAAGAACTGATTGTAGCCTGACCGCACCTGAACGACTGCTCTGTTCCCTATAGCGCAAAATATATGAGTAACACATTTCGATATAATCGGGGCATTCAATGGAGGGGGTAAGGGTGAAGCCCACGCACCTCTAGCCTCCAAAACCTGGCCCGATCGTTCTGACCCATCAGGGAGCTCCAGGGACACGATCTCATTATATCTGGGAAATTTCACCTATAGAATTCACTGTCAATTACCAATCCGAGCTTGATAAAGCGTATGATGCTAGCCATGAAAGCAACTCCGCAGAGACAGACATACATTATCAAGAATGACCAGAGGGCCGTTAACGCCGCCGATAGTATTGTAGCGAATGCGAGGCTTGATGGATGTCATCCGAGGATCGAGAGTCTCCGATGCCATGGTTATGTGGTCCTCCAGTGGACAAAAAGAAAGCGAGGAGGGACAAGGTGTTGGGAGCGAGGACGGTTGCGGGAGAGGTGGTTGGAACTCGGCGATGACTTCCAACGTAGCTCTGGCTGAGGTGACGGTCGCCTGCCCAAACCGGTATAGCGTCGTCCTATGGTACATCTACAACCACCAGCTCGAGCAGGGAATGGAATCATTCAGCTTTGCACGTCTCTTCAGTAAAATGGGCCATTACGTTTTTTTTTTTTTTTTTTTTTTTTTTTTTTTTTTTTTTTGCCTTGCGAGATTCTGATTCTAACTACACCTCTTTGTCTTTCTGAAAACCCATCCTCTCCCTCCAAGGTTGACTTGAGACCCATATTGACAAATGCTAAAACAGAGAATTGGCCCTTTTTTTTCTTGCTCTGCTTTTGCTCATTCATTGAGAAATTTTGTCGCTTCTTAAGAAGAAGGAAGGCAGCACAAGAGGTGTTCTGTATGGAGAGGAATGACTTGCCTACTGCTGAAGCAATGAGATGTGAGGAAAGCTGGAAAGAAAAAAAAAAAAATACCCGATTTGCAAGAAGAACAAAGGAAATATCAATCTTGTATGGGCAGGGGTATCAAATCATACAGTTACAGAACAGAAAATGTCGAAAATGTGGTATCCCAATGGAATGAGAATACACTGCCTGGTGTTGCAGCAAGCTGGAGTCTCGAGATCGTGGGACAGAGCTGTAGCCGCTAATCTACTTTTGCTTCTGGCAGTCCCCTTGGAGCTATCAGGTTGTTTGCGAAGCGAATATTCGCCTTGTGCTTAGAGTGTCCCTTCCGTGCGACCGTAACAGGAACAGATGATTTAGTCACGAGATAGTTTGAGAATGAACCCAAAAGAACACTGCATGGGCCATTAGCATCCTCAAATAAAGGCATTTCAAAAATTCATCAAGCGGTTCTGCAGTGGCGTACTAACCCTCGCAGCGCGCTTCGGTCTCTGGCTCCGACAACAACAAGAGATGGTTCCAGTTCATCGATCTAGAATTGCAAAGAGTCAGCCAATTCAACTGAGATCCCAAGCTTCAGACAATAAGGGCTTACAGCTTCAGTGATCATATGCTTGGGGCTCTTGCAGTGTATTACTTCGACGGCAATCCGCACTTGAAGCAAGGTCTTCCTCAGCAACCTGAGACACGTCTGGGTAATGGTGTCAACAGCATGGGTGCGTTCCAACTCCATCTTGGATGAGCCATGAGAATATTCGAAAGAGCTTGTCTTGTTGTCTTGATGAGACGCACCGCCAAAGCGACCAAAAAAGGCACGAGGTAGATAGGCGGCTTGGGGGTCGTTGCTAGCTGACTCGTCCTCTGTCTGAGAGCCACCGTCTTGGCTGGTCCTAGCAGATTCGACATCAGTATCTCTGCCGCTTTCTTTTTCCTCATTGGTGGCGTAAACAGCAAACATAGTATCGCCGTCCCTAAGAATGCTACCTATGGTGCATTCCAAAGCATACACAGATTCCTCAGTGAGGTCGGTAGCTACCAGGCACTTGCGCTGTTTGCGATCACCATCTTCTGATTCCTTGGCGATTCGATGGAAGTCACCACGGACAATTGTCCTGACGGATCTATTGGGAATGGAACTATCAATCGCAGACATTTGGATGGTGAGCTGCTGGGCACGTCTGATGTCTGAGAGATCTGCCTCGTCATCGGATCCAAATGGCGTATTCACAGTTGAAGTAGAGCATTCAAAACTTGAGCGTCGACGCCCATTGGACTTTTTCGAGGCTTTTTCCCTCTCTGCACTAGCCAGAACTGCCTTTAACGGGCCATGCTCTATAGGCGATATATCTTCTTGTTTATCCTCGATAGTTTTGTCTATAGAAGCATGTGAGCAATATTGCAAACGCGGTAGGCCAAATCACACAGGCTTGCACGTACTCTCTGAAGAGATCTTAGAAGGGTCAGCCTCACTGTCTGATTTCTTTTCAGAGTCGGAAGCTGCCGCCTTGCCATCGCTAGAGGCTATGAGGCCAGCCCCTTCTTCTTTGCTAGACTCTATTGGACTATTCTCGTTGGCGTCAAGATCCTTTGGAAGACAGCCATCCCCTTGGGAGTTAGTCGGACTAGCAAGCGCATCATCTGAGGGGTGCTTATGCTCGCTGTCCATGTCGGTTGCTTTACCCTTGTCAATGATTGTTTTACCTGGTTTTGAACCGAGACCGAAGGGATTAGAGTGGAGCCAACGGTTTAGTGGTGAAAGGGGGCGTCCAAGGCCGGCGGGAGACTGAGAATCCAGAGACGTGCCGCGAGCCGACTTGCTGCGTCGTACGGAATCCCTCCCTCTGGCAAAACCGGAGATAACCATCGATCGTCTATTCTGCCCCGCCTTGGGCTTTTCCATGGTTCGCTCCTGCAAATCAGCGTTTGGAACATTGGATTCCATGTAATCCCACTGGATATCCAATGCTCGCAGCCTGTCTACAGGTTGTCCCTCGCTGAGCGCGGACTCTATGCCATCTGACTCCCTATCGGCATGGCCCATATCGGCAGAAGGAACGTCTTCGGGAGATGAAGAATCCGCAGATGAGCTCATGCGCAAAGGAGACGATGGCAGGCGTGCATGTCCTCGACCAGAATACGGAGGAGGGATACCCACAGTAGTTCCAACACTCGAACCATGCCGTGAGTGCCGCGACGAGGGAAGGTCTAATAGACTCCTTACGCGAAAAGTCGAACTCACGTTCTTGTCCGCTTGGTGGCTTGAGGTAGCACGGCGAGGGTCAGGAGTATCTACGACTTCCCGCCGCTCCCCCTCTAGCACCTGCTCTGGAGACGTTCTAGACGGGTTCCTAGTGTGACGCGAGATGCAGCCCGACATATCTAGCCCTGGGACTAAGACAACGGCCGACTCCTAGGCTGTGGACCAGGGGTACCATCTGTGTCTTCGGTGAATATTGTGATTGTGATTCGCCACGGGCGTGGAACAAAGTACGCGTACTGTACAGCGTATGTTCCGTGCACTGTCTCAAGGTCCGTCAGTACGAAGTTGCAGCACGTCTAAGCCGGGAGCCACTGAAGGTCTACCTAAGGATGTAGGATGCTACAATTGACTGCTGTCCACTTGAATTGCTTTCTGGATCCCCCTGGTAGAGACAGGGATACCCCCAGTACGGAAGCCGGAGGTCAGATCTCCCAGAAAGGATAGCCGGATTGGTAGAAGAAGACAAAGTGATAATTGATAAAAAGAACAGCGATTCAAAGAAAAGATGTTACAGAGAAGCCCAACCAGGAAGCAAATCACATAACATGAAATGCTTTGGAAGGGAAACTCACCAATCTGGAATCCTGCTGGACAAAGACAGATGGACCAGAAGGTGGATGCGTTCAATCCTGGGAGAAGAAGTGATTAGGAACGAAGTGTGTCCTTTTAGGCAGTCACTTTCTGTGGGCTAGGGAAAGTGCTGGAACCTACAGCTCGCCATCTCGGCGCTGAAGAAGGGGGGGGGTTTGTTGTTAACCCATGTTAAAAGATGTGTTTTTCTTTGCTGGAGCTGGATATCTTCCTCATTCCCATTCCTAGGATTGTCTGTCTTTGTCTCAACTAGCTGTGCAAAGTAGCCAAGTGCCACAAGCACAGCTAGCGGCATCTTGATACTGGTAAGCTCGCAGCCAGGAGGATTATTAGATAGAGAGTTATGAAAAGATGGCCTTCGTCTTCTGGCCGTATTTGGATAGTATACCTACAAGCAGACCCAGTATATGGTCGTTCGCTTATCGAAAGTCTATGCCGCCTAGGGATGACGCTGGAGACTTCGCTTGAAGAACTGTCATAGTAACTCGACGGTTGCTATGAATAGGTTGAAGCAAAAAAAAAAAAAAAAAAAATACATCGGTAGAACGTGCATCAAGTAGAATATGAACCCTCGAATCCCGGAAAGTCCCATGCCTGTCACCATTGAAATGCCAAAGTTAAACATATCTATCCCTTTTCCCAAGAACAGAAAACAGGGGAGAAAAAGAGAAAACGGGGAAGAAAACGAGAATCAAAAGTAGACAAATCCTGCAAATCGCCAGACTCCTAGCCAGAGTATTCCCGTAAAGATGGTAGACACGACAAGAGATTGTGTCAAGTTTTGGCCTTCTTCTTTTTGCTGGCTGCCATCCGAGCAGCTGTAGCTTGGAATGCTTCTTCCGGAGGCTCTTCACGCCCAGCTGGCCGTTTCTTGCCCTTCCCCGAGCCCTTAGTTGACTGCGCATACTTTGCTTCCAGCTGATCTAAAAAGTCGGCTGCTCGATTGCTCTGTCGCTTCTGAATCAACGCCGCAAGGTCATTCATATCCGAAGTTGCGGCCTTCTTTTTCTTCTTTCCCTTCGACTCTAGCTCTTTCGCCAACTGTTCGGCTTCCTTCGCCTCGGCTTGAGCCCGTTTCAATCTCTGCTCCTTCTTCTGGTCGGATTCTTCAGTGTACTTCTTCCATTTCTTCACCTTCCCTTCAGCGATAGCACTGTCAATAATCGCACAGAAACGTGCATCGTCATCAAGCACGTTGCTAAGCATAACAGTCTCGTAGACTTGATCCATGTTTCCTTTGCATTTGTCAAATGCGGCGAGCAGGTCATTCTGCTCCTCCTCGGAGCCCTGATATTCCTTCTTAATTTTCTCAATGGCATCTGTATCCACCATGCTCGAAAATTGCTCTCTGTAGAAATCTACCCAGTCGAAATCGTCATCCTCGAGATCGAGCGTCTCCGCCGTGCTGCCTGTCAGGTCGTAACGTCGTCGTCGTCGCTCGTCCGACAAAATGGCGTATGCAAAGGCAATCTCTTGGAATTTCTTGTTCGCTTCATCTTTCAGCTCTGGTGGCGATTTGTCTATTTTGAGGTTGTTAGTATCATGGTAACCCAGGTAAAAGATATTGAGGCGCTACATAAATCGAGAAGAACAGAAGATGGAAAAAAAAACCATACCCGGATGGTGTTTCAGCGCCTTCTTCCTGTACGCATATTTTATCGCATCTGCAGTTGCTTTCTCTTCTACGCCAAGAACCCCGTATGGGTTAATCGATGCAGGAGGTTCTTGCGCAAGATCTTCGTTGCGTGTCATGCTGGAAGTGAAGAAAAAGAAACGGGCACAGACAAAATCTAGGAAAACTGCAAGCGGTAGAAGAAAAGAAAATGTTTAGAGAATGAGAAAAGCAGAAAAAAAAATTCAGAGATTATATGTAGCCATCAAGCCGAAGCTGGGCTGCTCTTCATGGAAACGCGAAACTGACGCGACGGGAACCATCATTCATGATGGTTCGGCAGACTGCCGTCATAGCTCGGCCGCTCTGCAGCTCTCTCCAGAAAAGACCTCGATATCTGCACGGAAACACAGCTCTACAAAACTTTGGGATTCTCCCCTTGCTGCGCATATTATCAATATTCTGTTCTACACAGTACGCAATAATCCATAATGACCACACTAGGTCCCAACATGCCCTCCATCCCCGCCAACGAATCCCCCCACATCACCTACCTACGAGAATGCATCTCCCTAGCTGAAAAGTCACCACCGCGCCCTACGAACTTCCGAGTTGGTGCCATCCTCGTGTCGCGCAGTGAGAGCAACTCCGGTTTAACTGACGACCGGATCCTTTCAACGGGCTACACAATGGAGCTAGCGGGCAACACACACGCCGAGCAATGCTGTCTCTCAAACTACGCTGCCGTGCACTCCATCCCAGACGAGCGTGTAGGCGAAGTACTCCCCGACGAGCCAGGAAGGAAACTGGTTATGTATGTAACCATGGAGCCGTGCGGGAAGAGACTATCTGGGAATCTACCGTGTGTGAAAAGGATCATTGCAACTCGCGCAGGGAAAAGGCGGGGGGTCCAGAAGGTTTATTTCGGGGTGAAAGAGCCAGGGACTTTTGTAGGACAGTCTGAAGGGTGTAAGATGTTGACTGAGGCTGGAGTGGAATGGCAGCTTGTCTCGGGATTGGAGAGAGAGATCCTGGCTGTGGCTTTTGCTGGACATGAGAATAAGGAAGAGAAGGTAAAGACGGCTCTGGGAGAGGCAGAGACGAACATTAACGATATCAGCGATGATGAGAGAAGAAGACAGGAGCAGCTACCCCGGAATCCCAAGAAAAGGATGATGGAGGGCGGCAGGTGAGTCGTCTTTGTTGAATGAAATGAATATATAAAAAGATACGAGTCAAGAATAGTATTCAACGTAAAGACGCCCATCACTGTGATGGAGCATAGTAGTAAACTGAAAGCATTTGCGGATTGTGTTTATTATGTCAGTTTCTCCAGGTCTCCGCCTCCGTTCCTAATAAATAATCTTGGAGATAATCAAAAACAACTCGCCATGGTCTAATTATTATTTTCTCACACCAAAAAAAAAAAAAAAAAAAAAAAAAATCACCGGATGAAAAGAGAAAATACGTACATCGAAACCAGAGAAACAATGTCCCCATGGCAGTCCCTGTCGAGAATAAGAAAGACGACTTCGTCTTCTATCCAGCCTTCTGCTTCAAGGCGTCCCCAACCCATTTCAGCTGGGTGAAAATGACAGCTACAGACATGCAGAGACTTGTAAAAATAAAAGGATTTGAAGGTAATTCGATCTAAAACATCTGTTAAAGCTCTTTTTTTTACGCTACTTCGACCATTACCTGCTTAAATACCCTACTTACGTGCTGGTCCAATAGGTCAAAATACCTTCTTCTACAACAACCATCCCATCCGCTTCGTAACCCTCGTCGGCCTCATAGTCGCCAGAACAGAAGCCTACCGCCGCACGATCCTAACGCTAGATGATAGCAGTGGCGCAACAGTCGACATTGTTGTCCTGAGGGCCGAGAATCCAGTAGACGCTCCCACAACGGCAGCAGCAACGGAAACTGCTGAAACTGCGATGGCACCCTCTCATCTAACAGCGACGGCAAAAACACCCCTGGACATCGCCTCCCTGGTCCCCGGGGCCCTGGTGAAAGTGAAGGGGACCCTCTCGACCTTCCGCGCTGTGACGCAGGTACAGCTAGAACGCTTCTTCCCCGTCCCGAACACGAAGGCAGAGATGCAGTTCCTACGTGACCGGGTCCAGTATCTCGTTGATATACTTTCCGTGCCATGGGTGTTAACGGATGAGGAGGTGGAGCAGTTGCGTCTCGAGGCGGATGAGGAGGGGAGGGAGGCTGAGGAGGCCAGAATCCGGCGGGAACAGAGGGCGAGAAGACGAGTCGAGCGGGAGGAGAAGGATCGGAGGCGCATTCGGAAGATGTATGAGCTTGAGGAACGGGCTAGGGAAAAAGAGGCGAGGCGTTGTCGGGAGGCTGGGAGGAAGTTGATGTTAGATATTAAATGGAGAAGTAGAAGGGAGGAGACATGAGAGGATTTAATTTGGTTTAACTGGCATTCTTAGGGGTTATTCCACGTATGTAAAGACTTGCTGGATATGTATGTATCAGCAATAACCGGGTAGTTCCTTTACATGGATATACAGCGCATGAGCCCTCCAGACAACAACATTAGCATACAAGACAAGCAAAGACAAAGCAGAAATAGTACAGAATCATCAATCATATCGATCATCCATCATTACTTTACATCATCATCATCACCAGGATAGCTCATTCCCGGCATCAGAAAAAGGCCATCGAAGCACCAAAGGGGGAAAACACCAAGAAGAAGACGTAGAATTCAGACCTCTCAGTATCGAATCCGATCATTTGTAAGTATACGTCTTATATTCATACCCATTCCCTGAACCGACCGGACTATTACCCTGCCCACCAAGCACGCCACGATAGTAGTCCTCATCAGCTGCCCAACTCGACCGTGCATGCGGGTGGTGTTCATGCCGGTGCCTGCTCTTCTCCCGTTCCCTTTCTCTTTCACGAAGGAGATTATGGATCCTCACATCCTCTAACTCACGATCGGATGAGTCCCGGTATGATGAAATTCGACTAGGAGTATCCCCGATGATGTCGTCTGCCACGGAGGAAGGTGGTTGACTTGGGTAGTCGTCTGCGTATCGAAATCCATGGCCGAGCAGGTCACTTTCCGAGTGTCTGTAATTGTAATCCCTGGGTGCATAGAGTGAGGAGCTTCGTGCATGTCCATGTCCGTGAGTTGCATGGTATGAACCTGGGCTAACTGTGTGGTGATGATGGTCCGGGTAATGGCCCGATGGAGGCAAGTTCGAGGAGGCCTCATCCAGCTTTGCTGTCGTCGTCCCTGGTTCATCGTATACTTTCCCGCCACCAGGTTGGGTGATATATGGCTTTCTTTCTCGTTCAATGGGGTGTGCTGAGCCCGGCCTTGATCTTGATCCTCTCTCAACCTCCTCATCATCGTTAATTACTTCGGCTGAACGAGGGCGACGGTCCTGATCACCGAATGAAACGGGTTCTTCGAAGGATAAAGCCGGACTGTCGGAGGCTTTATCAGAAGAGGCGGGAGGACCCCGTACAGAAGAAGCTTTTGCGCGCTCCTCAAGAGTTATCATAGGCAAGTCGACGGCACAATGTGTTGTAATGAATTCATCCAACTGCGCTCTTAATTTCAAGTCCGGCTTGCCAGGGAATAGCCTTCTCGAAATCTCCTTGGGGAATCTCTCCTTCTTGTCATCAGGGTTACTGATGGGCATTTCCAATACCGCTTTTGCTAGGCGTTCGTATTCTTTCTCCGGATGGGCCAGGATCATCAGAGACTCCCATCGCTGGAATCCACGGGGCGTCAATCCCGGGATATCAGGCCGTTCACTCAAACTCTCCTGGACAAGGTGATGCTCCGCCTTCACATCTCGATAGAGCCTCGAAATCGAAGATGTGCGATCGTCGAAGATATCTATAAGTGATTGACGTTAAAACGGCAGACCTTGCAAAAAGACGTACAGTATATATGACGAAACACACCTTGCCATGGATAAGGGTCCGACGGAATGTTGGTGTCACGGTAGAACTGCTGCATTTTCTCCGGGACCACAACGATCGTATTTCCCGGTGGGTAATTCTTTATCTAGGTAAAGAGTTAACAACTAAGCAAATTTGTGACATAACTTAAATTTGCACCATGCGCTTACCAGGTGAACCGCAATTCCGCGTAGGAACTGGCCAAGTCTCTCCGTTGGCTGTCCATTCTCAAACAGTTTTCCCCATATTTTCTCCAGCGTTGTCAACTCCGTCGCGTGCCTAACAAGTGGGGGCGGCCGGTCCTTCAAACTACGCTCGACTCCCTGGGTGGAGGAAGATGCCATTCTATCTGATGGAAGACTAGGGGAGGGCCCGGGGCTGGTTTTATCGTTGTTCGGAAAGCTGTTTTGCTTCGAGGGTTGCTGATACTTGACGCTTTCATTGGCGATGCTAGGAGAGGGAGTCGGTGCCGTAGGCTGTGGAGCTGGGCGCGACGAAGGCTCCGGATAGGCATGCGTCAAACTAGGGGCCGTGGGCATCCATGGTTGCTGCTCTCGACGCTGCTGTGTATTTCCTTGCGGATTATCCAGCCCCGAGAGCCGGAGCTGCTGGACAACGTTTGCAGTGATCTGGGCTATTAGGTCCGGGGGGAGATAGGACATATCCGCCCTGTGAAATGCCGAGTTGACGGCATCGTTCAGGTTTCCTGGCGCTGGTTGTTGAGGTGGCACGAATGTATTCCGATGGAGTTCAGGATTCACGCTGGAGGATGGAGGCGGCGGCATCTGGGGCTGGGGCATACTGATCTGCTCCGGGGTATATTGAATCGGATAGGGGGGCGCATGTGATACCGGATGAGCGTCATTGTTGTTAACGCTAATATCAGGATGGACGTTCTCGTTCGCGCTGGTTGTCTGGCTCATATTCCCCGTCTGATCGTACTGGCTGAAGCGATAGCCATCGTACGCCATGAATGTTCGACGCTGTAGAAGAAGTTGTCCCTGGTCTTTGTGTCCGATGATATTCTGCTGATAGTTGACAGAGTATAACCTGGGGCAAAGAAAGAAGCTATAATTTATAATTATAATTATAACAGCTGCAGATTTCTGCGCGCAGGTGACAAGGCAAAGCCGCAAGGAGTGGAAGGGGCACGGGATTCCAGCACTTGCGCCCACTCTGGCCTCAAGCTGCTCCGCAAGGAATTCTTGTTATAATTGTGAGATGAGGCTGCAAGGCAACTTATCTGGTAATACCAGAAGCTTTGTCGCAATGACGATGCTGCACTGTGGTGGATAGCGAGGCGCATGGAGAAGACATGGAGGATCTTCGCCCTACGTCACTTTGCAATCCAACCGTCCGTTGCCCCAGCGGGGAATTTCTCATTGCCTATGCTCATCACACGCTTCCAGCTCAGCTCCGATGTGCATGGTTTTTGAAACAGCATCAATAATCCTCCTTTTAACTCGACCCTGGCTCAACCAGGTTAAGGGTCTCTGGAAATCGGGAGTCGGGATGGCAACGGTGGCAATTCCACGGTTCCCTCTTAACTGGTAATACTCTGCTCATCGGTCATACGAGGGAATTTATTAATAGAAACGTGGCCGGAAGTTCTACTGCCTCTGGAGGCACAGAGTGGGCAAGTGATTACTATTCTGCAGAATGTAATTGACGCGAGGTGCGATTTTCGACTCGGAGAAGGGCTTAGACAACCACCTATTCAGTACCAGTTGCATTATGGAGCGTATTGTTCTCGAGCCTTGCATGGAGCTGCAGTGGGGGAAACGATAACGAGATTCACGTAGCCTTTGTGCTTCTCGATTGGCGTATGCTTTCCCAGTGGATGCCTGACAGTCAGATCAGAGGTAGTCCTCAATGTCGCCATCAGAATCCTCGTCGTCAGTGTGGGCAGTCTCCACGGCAGGCTCGGGTTCCCTCCTCATAATGGGGATTTCTTCCCTTGGGGGTTTGTACTGCTTATAGTTAGTAGCTAGCCTAAATTCTGCACTGTCAGATTCTTCCACGTACGGCGCGAATTTTGGCGAACCTCGGTTCCTTCTTCTCTAGCTGCCTACGAGGATTCGAAGGGCTTCCGAGGCTTCCAAGCTTAATTCCCCAAGAATCCCAGCCGCTGTGGATAGTTCTAGGTTCTGTCTCAGAAATGGAAGCCCTGCGGGTGTGCGCCGCTCCATACTGGTCAAAGGCAGTGAACATGCGTCCTTTTCCTTTTCCTTTGTCGACATCGGCATCGGCGTGGCGCTTGTCGTCTCGCTCTCCCTCGAGCCAGACTCCTCCGCCAATGGACTCGTCCTCATCACCTTCGTCGCCGTACACAGAGCTAGCACGGATGTCTTTGAAATAGTCATTGTTCGATTCATCCGCTTCTTCCCCAATCTAAACATAAATCAGCAACCACCTTATAAATATCTCCACATGTTCCTGATACTTGCCTTGGTATCCTTGTCCTGCTCCTCGCCTTGAATCATCTTGGCTTTATTGACGATGGGCTCTATTTCAGTGTGAAGCTGAACACAAGCCAGACATCTCTATTTCCATTAACTAGCCGTTAGCAACTCTTTAATCCTTACTGGAATGTATCACGCAGAACTCACAGCCATCTCACGGTTATGCCTCTGAGCCTTAGCAAACTGGTCGAGACCTTTCACCTGGTCACAGACACTGCATCTCATTTCAACAGCCTGGCCACCGACGCAGTTCCGACATCTCGCGTAGCCAGGGCTGTTGATGGCTTTAGTGCCCTTCTTAGAAATGGCGTTGCGAAGGATATCGAGCTGCCTCTTGGAGAAAGCGTTCTGCATGCGAATTTTTTTGCAGGTCTCGCACTTGATCCTAGCCGCTGTCAGTGATATCAAGAAACAGTATCAGGAGTTTTTGACATACTTGTCGGGGAGAGTCACGCTTTCCAATCTGCTCAAGATTATTGGTATCTGATTAGCAACTCCCAGAATAACCGAGTGATGGTGTGCCATGCTCACTGTCTCTTGATCCCGTCGCTGTAACCGCCAGCGTAGGGACTGCGAAAGGGAGCCATTTCTTCCTAAACTTTACTGGACCGTTAGGCGTAGAGGGTGAAGGTCAGCAGAACTCAAGCCTGTGGCGTGTGAATTTGCCACCACGGACTCCAGCGAGCCCGAAAGAGAGAGAGGAACTAGACTGACATGCAGGCAGAACAATTGTAGAAAAGCTGGATGGCTGCCCCTTTCTGTCCTGCAGAGGACGTCAGCCTGGGGTGATGAAGAAGAGGGCGGACGTGACACGCGATGACTGCATATAAGACAGTCCAAGGCGGGGCAGAAGCAACGAGAACAGTCATTATACCTCTTACGCGGAAATTGGACGTGATGTGTCCACCCAGAGCTGAGACCGAAGAGATATCCTCCAGTGAAGGATGCCCGTCTAGTGAATGATATCCTCAGAGCGCCTCCCCTCACCAGAGGCAGGTTCGAAAATGTCCAACAGAAATGCAGAGAAGCGGTGGATAAGAGGGTCAAACGGAGCAAATTCAAAGCCTTCCCCTGTAGAGTTCCCAGAGAGAAGCTAAATAGAAGAGGGGGAACTCAACTGGGTCGCTTGGGTCTTTGTTATCTACAAATGCGTCATTAGATGGGACATCAAGCGGAGAACTCAGCAGCAAATATCATACCTTCATGCCTATGGGATGGGTGACGACAGGTCCAGATTTTCTCTTGGGAGCCAGGTGCTTCTTTTTAACCCAGGCTTTTGATCCTGTATGTTACAGTACTCAGTAGAGCTGAGGGGTCTACTGTCTGACTTTGTCTGTCCAAGACATGACGTGAAAGCAAACAGTAGCTTCCTGTCAAACGGCATAGAGTATAGATCATTTTATCCTTGCAAGCACTTGCATCTTAAGCACATAATATGCATCACAAGTGCAGGTAAGTGCAGCAGTACTTTGATAACAGACTGTCAGCAAATATCACATCCTCATTCAGTAAAGGTGGGAACACTTTTAAGTCTAAGAGTTGGGTAGAGGTCGTGAAATAGTTAATGGTATGGGCATCGGGATAACAGAATACCCGGAGGACACCACTATGTCTCATTACTATTGTTCCTCTGACAAGGGCTAGCATAGCTGCTACTGATCACATTGAGAATAAAAGTGATACATATTTTCATATAAGATCAGATATTGCTGTAATATGTCCCATCATTTCTAAGTATGTTGTTTTGCCAAAGTTATATCCATGAACTGCGAGGAGGATATCCGTCATGGAGATGCTGCGTGCCCTCTCGATGCGGAGGTTAGAATACCTGACATTAAATTAGCAATCCTACAGTTCTCAGTAGCTGCAAAAGGAAGAAATCTGCTGCCAATACTGTTCAAAATTGGAAGTTAATCACGCTGGCTTTGTAGAACATGCTGCCGTGCCTCGAGGGAAGGTCCATGGGAGTGTAGCAGTCCAGCAGAGCTCTCGTACAACCCTCAGACAGAATACAATGGGACGCTGAGACTTTCAGCTTCTGCACAGCGAACAATATGCTACATAAGAAGCATGGTTGCATGTCTAGATGTTTCTCGATATCGCTGTACCCCGTGGCATTGATCCCTTAAAGTCTTGGAATCGGGAATGAGGGCCTGTGTTAGCTAGCTGTCACTCGGTTTACGTGCAGCTTTCAAAGCGAACTGGCCATCCGACCTTCTCCATTTCAAGTGCTAGCCACTCTAGCGACTCGCGATCGTCCAGCGAAGTGGTCATCAGATACAGCTACGGCGTCAAGTGATGGAGTGTTGCAGCATGTGGTGTGACTTGGGGATCAAAGGGTAGTGCGTGCTTCAGCCAGCTTCTTGTTCTATGTGAAGATAGACTATTAGTATTAATCACTGACTCGTAGATCTGGACGACATAGGATTTCTGTTACGTAGAAAGTGAACCCATCTGAGCTTCACCGCTAGATGGCATACTGAGTCCTGACATGGAAGCTCGCAACAGAGGACGTCGGCGTCGTCCGGTCTACCAGGAGCTACGGAGAATTTACTCCCCACTGAGTCCCCAGAACAGAGCTCAAAAGAAAAACATATTTCTAAAATGGGATTCAGACCTAAATGATGCCGGTCAGTAATAGTGACATTATTAATGCAATCCACCCCAATCTTCCAGAAGCTCCTTTTCTTTCTTTTCGAATTGCCGGTTGCTATTCCGTGTGCAATATTATTATTAATGACCCGAAGTTGCATTTCCTGGGAATTGCTTACAGCTTAGCTCCAAGGCGATCGTGTAGTGACATGGCTGATCCACCGTGCATGACAGTTGCTTTGGTCTCCATGGAACATAATGGTACGCTTCTAGAAGCCCGTCACCCTCCGTGCTATGGGCCGTACTATACTCTTGTGGGCGAAATTGCGTTGCCCGGTAATCCTGATGAAGGATGAGCAAGGTAGCAGTAGAGGGACCCGCTATGTGCAACACCTCTCAATAATCAGCACCAGGCCAACGGGTTTGGTTTGATTATGGGTGGATGTTCTCCATACGGTACATTCAATAATATTGAATAATCATGTCTAATATTAGTCTATCGGAGCACAATGCTGTGGTCAGTGACGTATGCCATATGATTATAGATATAAATTATGGAACTCCGAGTCCCCGACTATGTATGACCCGCCAGTTGCCATCGATACTAAGGCGTTTCAACGACAATAGGAATAATAATAATGAAGACTAACAGATATTGATAATTGCTCAGGACGAAAGGTGGAGGAATGGGGGAACGTTGGAGTCGGCAACTTGGGAAATTGAACAGGACCCGTCTAATATCGGTACTCTGTAAGTCTGTGATATCTAGAAGACAGGAATGCCGAAGATTTATCATTATCATCATGAATAATCAACGGTCATCAACAGAGCACGGAGTACTCCGTAATATCATTTAACCCATATCAACCACCGACCACGCGTTGGGCAAAAAAAGACGGCGCGTCGCACCAAGTGGACACCCGCGCATTCCGCGAGGGCCGTTCCCAAATTTCTGAACTTCGAGACTATCAACGCATATCCCAAAGAGGATGGATTTACCCGGCTGGACGGAACCAATATCCACGGAGCGGATACGCGGACTGCGAAGAGAACAGTATGACTGGGTGAAGACAGAGTTATGGGAAAGTTTTTGGTACGCCAGGGACAAGAGAGCGGGAGGCGGGAATGAACCCATGGATCAACGTCCTTCATACCCGGGAAGGGGAATCGTGGTAGAAAATTTTTATTTTTTTTTGCTTCTTTATTATTGCTTTCGAATATTAATAAACGGCAATAAAAAAAGTAATTAAAACCATCCCGCGTGAGTATTATTACCATCCAGTTGTGGTTTTGCAGGCCATTTACACTCAAGGATTGCGCCTGAAGTGGCTGATTCATACAAATGCCGTGAAGCACTCCGTAATAATGGATAATGTCCGGAAATATATCCAATAATGCTCGATACGAAAAGGAGATAATTACGGTGGCAACCCGAAATTGGAAATGAGCCTAGCTGGCCATCCCCGTGCTTTGTGCGGAGTAACGTACGGAGTACATAGAGCATATGCGAGCCGCAAGGACTAAGTAACAAATATCGAATATTATGGCAATGGCCTAGAGCTGTTCGGAATAAGATTATGAAGGTATCATACTTATCATATGTGTCAGTGTACGCTAAAAGCTGTGGCAAATCGCAAGTGACATATGCTGCATCGGAATGTACGATACAAGTAGAATCGATACTTTGTATCTGTCAACATGATTAAGGATATGCACAGCCGTATGATACTGGACGCGTTTGGATCGCTACAAAGACAACAGCATGATCATGATATGTCAATGCATGATAGACAGACCAGAGGCAAGGGCCATGCTGGTATCGAGTTCATTAAATGCAATCCTCCATGTTGCACGCTTACTCGGTGCGGTGCTTTAACCCACCACGTGAACACCCGCATTTCGACCTTGACTCCTGTTGGGGGGAAAGGGGGGTTGACCCTTCGTCCATTCATCCATTTATCTGTTTCTGCTCATTTCCGAAGAGATAAAGAAATAGGAAGGGTTTATCTTCATCTAGTCCAATCTGATATTGCATTTAGATCAATATGCTGTAGAATAATGTACACCCCTTGCAGAGTACAGCGTACTTTGTGTTACTCGATCTCTGGAAACCGCTGGTGCGGTTGGCAGATCGCAGTCGAGTAAGCTACTAATCGAGCCGACCCGTCATATCTAGGGTACGTTCATTTATGCCACGCAGGTGCATGCGCTGCTATTGCATACATACATACTACGGCATACCTAAGTAAAATAGAGAGTCATTGCGTCTATTCGCAGATTGAGCTATGACGATTACATTTGGTAGCATTCTTTTTCTCTTACTTTTAACAGGAAAAGAAAAAAGAATTCTGCATTGACACCCAAGGCCCCCATGCAGCCCTGTCATTTCCGTGCCGATAAAGCCAATAATAATACGGCCATTGTTTGAACTTTGGGGCGAAGGATTCCCGACAGCGAAGAAAATGCGGAAAATGAACATCCCACTTGGTCGGGTGATTCTGCCAATCATAGCGGGCTACATGTCGCAATTTTGAAGGTTAAAAAAACGAAGGCAGAATAGCGGTAAATAACAGTCCATCAATCATAATAAACAAATAATACGCGGTAGTAAATGAATAATAAATGAATAACAATAACAATAATCCGCATCAGGGATTGGGTTTAGCCGCTAAGTATCTTAGGAGTGCTCTACATGTAGTGTCCCTTTTCCCTTTTCGACTTCTTTTTTTACCTGCTGCATCTGACGACCAGCACCGTATTTTCGAGTGGACCTCTGTGCCTTACGATCTAGTAGCATCCCATCTGCCTTAGACTTCGACCGTCCTGTGGCGTCTGGCCGTCGTTGGCCGGGAGTGACAAGCCGTCGCACCTCTAGCTTTCTTGGTTCCTATCCAAAGTGGAGGCTGTTCGTTCTAACCGTGCTGAGTTTGATCAACGTCGCCGTCCTTCGACCCGGTCCAGTCCACGTTGTATGCGCTGTCCAGCCTGTCTGTCTCATTCCTGTCGCGTCCAACCCGCGCGCCCTCCCGTATTCACTGACCTTGCCTTACCTTGCCCTGCCCTTCTTCCTGCACGCTCGTTCTCTTGCTCATGCTTCAATCCTTTTCCTGCTGAGTTCGTTCCGATCCTTCATCCTCCTCCTCTCCTTCTTCTTCTTCTTCATCCTCCTCGTTTCCACGGCCATTTTCTTATCATCCCTCACTTCCCGGCCTCATTTCACTCCCATCCGGCCACTCATATCGTGACCCTGGGCCAAGCTCGAATCGCTTCAGCATCAGATATTATTATTACCGTGACCCAATTCGTTTTTTCTGCGATCTGCGCCTCCATTGACTACTAAGTCCTTCCGCATTCCGCTAAGTCACCGACCGCATTCCCCGAACTCCACGGCCCCGTCGTCTGGTTTTCAGGACTATTCTTGAGCTCCAACGGGGCATGATTCACCGCATCAGGGGCTCCAACGGTCTCCCTCTTTTCTTTCTCTTTCCGGTATCCGTCCAGGACCGTCTCCTGCCTAGTTGCAAATAGTCCTGTCACTATAGTGATCGAGTTCCCAAACCGCTGGGTCTTCTGTCTCGTTTCCAGATCTTCTTCTTCTTCATCTTCCCTCCACTTCCGCTCTTTTTCAGCAACTGACCGCATCAAACTACACCGACGGACCTTCCCCCCCTTTCCCCTCAATTGTTCTTTTCGTTTCCTTGAATAATAATCCATCTAACTCGCATCTACCACCGCTACTCTCGTTTCCTTCGATGGAAAGCTGCTTTTCCTTACCTACCGGGCTCGACTAGTTTCCGAATAATGAACGCCTAGTTGAATCGCGTCTATCTATCACATATTCCTGTACGGTACATCATCTCGGTGAGTTCGGTTCCCCGCGATCTCCATTTACCCGCTAACTTGGTTGGCAGTGGTCATACTCCGTTGCTTTCTCTTTATCGATATCTGCTGGCAGACGCAAAGAGAGGGGGAAATAAGACACCATGGCCATCTCCTACGAATATCCCACGCGGGGCTCACAGACCTCGGTGGCTACCTTGGAGGATCGATTTGAAGTTCTTAAAGACATTGGAGATGGGAGTTTCGGCAGCGTCGCCGTCGCGCGCGTGCGGACAGCTGGCTCGAACATAGCCCGTCGAGGGACACTGGTAAGGACTGAACTTCACAATTGGGAATCTAACTCTATCGACATCTACTGACACTCCACGTATAGGTGGCGATTAAAACCATGAAGAAGACATTCGAATCCTTGACTCCCTGTTTGGAGCTTAGAGAGGTGGTCTTCCTGCGCATGCTGCCCACCCACCCTCATCTCGTTCCAGCTCTTGATATTTTCCTCGACCCCTTCACTCGCAAGCTGCACATCTGCATGGAGTACATGGATGGTAATCTATACCAGTTGATGAAGTCACGGGACCACAAACCCCTAGATGGGAAAGTTGTGAAAAGCATTCTCTATCAGATCCTGTCTGGACTGGATCATATTCATGCCCATCACTTTTTCCATCGTGACATCAAACCCGAAAACATCCTTGTGTCAGCTTCGTCGTCCAGTGACTCCACTTTCAGCCGATACTCCAGCCTAGTCACACCTCCCTCGACCCCTTCCAGCTACACCGTCAAGATCGCTGATTTTGGTCTTGCACGAGAAACGCACTCGAAGCAGCCTTATACTACCTACGTATCTACCCGTTGGTATCGTGCCCCGGAGGTTCTCCTGCGCGCTGGAGAATACTCGTCTCCTGTGGATATGTGGGCCATTGGTGCCATGGCAGTTGAGATTGCTACCTTGAAGCCTTTGTTCCCCGGGGGGAATGAGGTTGATCAAGTTTGGCGGGTTTGCGAGATTATGGGTAGCCCTGGCAACTGGTATACCAAATCCGGCTCAAAGGTCGGCGGTGGGGAGTGGAGAGACGGTACTCGGTTGGCCCAGAAGTTAGGGTTCACCTTTCCGAAGATGGCACCGCATGCTATGGAAAGTATTTTGAACCCTTCTCAGTGGCCTACGTCACTCAGCAACTTCGTGACTTGGTGTCTGATGTGGGACCCAAAGAACCGACCGACTACTACGCAGGCGCTGAGCCATGAGTACTTTTCTGATGCTGTTGACCCGTTGCGTCCCAAGTCTTCAGCCTCGCGTTTACTCGGTCGGAAGCTCTCGGACAAGAGTTTCAAATCCCTACCAAAGGACACCAGCGAGTCTCCTACGCTTTCGTCGAAAGCCTCTTGGTTTAGGAGGTCCCTCATCGGGCGATCGGAAAGCCCAGCAACCGTTGAAGTCGACCACACCCCTGGACAACCGGTCGCGGCCCACAACACGACAGAGGCTGCAAAGGCCAAGTCGACCCACAAGCGTGCTACATGGGCCAATGGGGCTCCAATGCCCATATTACCATCGATTCGCCCTGTATCACCTTTATCAAATGCAGTGACTGCGCAAGCCAACCAAACGCTGGGTCGCGGAAGCACAAAGGCAGATGTTGAGAAAGCTAGCAAGATTGGCCGGCAGCTGTCTCTCAATTCCAATGGCAACCACTACTCTGATATCCATAGGCAAGAGGCAGAGAGAGCTCTAAATGGGGGCAACATTACAACAGCCGGTTCCAAAGAGAGCTTCTTCTCTCATCTACGCAAGAGGGCTCGCAGATTGTCCGGTCGCAATCAAACTGCCGCTAGCGGTGATAGTGCCGAGGCTGGATGTATGCCGTGGTCCAATCGTTCGTCTTTAGTACTGGATACTACGAACATTGGCGAACCTAGACAGCACACCGACGCTTCTGACCAGGACAATACGAAATACGTTCTCGACTCATCGGCGTCTGGCAATGTTCCCGTCCAACTCACCTCTCCTGTGGAGAGCACGTATAAGCGTTCGTCTCTGCCTATGGGCTCTATCCGTTCGGTATCAGACGGCCCAATTTCGATGAATTCCGTCAAACGACCTGGTTCCAGTCGAACCCGGCGTGCGTTGCAGATGACTAGTCATCCCGTCCATCGTTACGAAACCCCTGAGGAGGAGGACGAGCTACTGGACGAGGCGTTGCGCTCTGCAGACAAAGCTGCGAAGAGCCTTGCCAAGGCCTATTTCGCGAATGACTCGTCAAATCACGTACGTCAGTCAATGATAGGAAACGATAGTTCGCGTCCGCTTCCGAGCCCATATCCTACGCCGTCGCCATCTGCTAAATGTGACGGTGTTTTCTTCGGTCAGAACAGCGATACGCCCTGCAAAGGAATGCCGGACTTGAAGATGCAAAACGAGAACCCAACTCGTCAGTGGCCCACGCCTCCTTACGAGGAGGATGAGTGGAGAAACTCCCAATCTACCGGCGTTTTCTCTACGGGATCCAACTACAGGTAGCCTCTCTCTACAGCCAGGGTCCACCAATCTCCTGAAATTTATTTGTCGACTTCTTTTCTACGATCATATTCGGTTTATTTATCTATTACTATTTTTATTACTATTTCATCTCTGTTTCAAAGACAGTGAGTTTGACTCGGGGGTTTACAATGGGGAAAATAACAGAGCAAGGCGTACCGGGATATGGTGTCTTCTCCTTTTCCTTTTCCTTTTTCTTTTTTTTCCCCTCTATTTACTTGTTATCTGGGTGGAGCATATTGTGGTATTCTCATTTTACTTGACTTCATACCCCCTATTTATAGAGATTTCTGGCCTTGCAAACTTGTTCTCAAAATACCTTCTGTCAACTTTCCTTTATGCTTCCTTACATACCAGTGTTCATTCACTTGTTTCCATCTATATCATCAATTGGACCTGTGCAAGCCATGGGCCATGTGTCACTCCTTATATAAGAAACAGCCAACATGTCATTGCCTACCCTTGCCACTCATTTCTTTTGTTGGACGCGTTTTTCCCATCACTTCTTTGTTTTGTACATCAGCTGGGAGTTCAATTGTCTCCTGTCACTCCTTTTCCTTGCTTGTTTGCATGTTAGGACTACCAGGGGTGGATTTGTTGTTTCCAGGTTTTCAACTCTGACTTTGCATGGGAAGGGCCGCAGGGGGAGGCCATTTCCTTGTTTATACAAAATTTGTAATATAGCTTGCCCTCAGCATGTCATTGCATATACATAACCTACATCTATACCTACACATACCATACAAATCATAATATATTGACCGGCCTTTTGGCCGAATTATCAGCGTGGTTATCGTACAGTGGTAAATACAGTCCTCGTAAATAGCATTATCCTACATAGTACAGCATGATACGGACGAGGAACAATGGTTAATCCGTAAAGAATAATTATTTCCCAATCCAGCAAGTCCGCGAAGCGCCCTTTTTTTGTCGAGCAGACCTATCCTTCTCTCCAAATCGAGCGACTCCTTATTTTTTGTGAAAAGAAACTGTTCATGGTTACAGTTGACTCAGATTCACCTGTCATTAAGGGGCTACATTTCAGCGTGAGCAGCGTTTTGCGAGGATAAAAAACACAAGACAAGCCCGCCGTCACCACAATAATCGCAGAAGCCAGACCGCGAAAGCAGCACTAGAGGAAGCTTTTGGCATAATTCGATCAAACCCTCTGTTCTTGTCTTGTCCGATAACCGAATGGCGTCTCAACGCCAGGCCGTATCGGCCTCACAAACTCCAAACTTCTCCCCCGCAGAGCTTTCCTACCTCTACACATCACTCGCCCTCCCCAACAATCCTATCCGACCAGATGGACGCTCGCCTACCCAATTCCGACCCCTAACAGCAGAGACGGCAATCCTACCGGGTACCAATGGGAGCGCGCGCATCGGGTTCGGTGACGGCACACAGGCGATTGTAGGCGTCAAGGCAGAGGTCGAGAGGACGGTCCTGGGCACGGATGCGTCTGCTGATGCTGTACCGTCGCGAGAGGAATTTGCAGATGGGGTTCTGGAAAGGAAAGATGATGGTTCTGGTTCTGTGGCTGCGGTTGCGGGTCAGGGTTCCTGGGTGCAGATGTCTATTGAGATTCCTGGGTTTCGGGATGACGATGCCTTGCCTGTGTTCTTGTCGGAGATGATGAGGGAGTCCTTGATTGGGTCTGTATCTTCTGGTTCTGGTTCTGCGAGTGAGGATTCTTCTGGGATGGTTGATAGTCTTAAGGGGAGGTTGGTAATTAATCGGCGGTGGCATTGGAGGTTGTATATTGATGTATGTGACATTTCTTCTCGTCTTTCCTCCTCTGCTAATTCCGGGAAAAACAAAACAGGTTCTCCTTCTCTCCCAACCATTATCCTACCCACTTCCTCTTCTTTCCCTTACTACTCATCTAGCGCTTTTGTCGACGAAGCTCCCCAAGCTGAAATCTCAAGGCGAGGAAGATCCGCTATTCGATGACGACTGGGGTGTCGCGGAGTATCTATATGCTCGCCCCCAGGGTGCAGGCTATGCTCGCATTCCACCTCTTTCACAGGTTCGACCACCCGTGACCCTCCTCGTCATCTCGGTAGGAGAAAATATCATCTTTGACCCAAGCGGCGAGGAAATCGCCGTGGCAGATGCCGTCGTCGCCATCTCTATTACTCGGAATAGCGACGACGCAAACAGCGGCCTACGACTACTTTCCATCCGTACAATCGACCCGCCATCCCGTCTCACGCAGCCTGGCGTCCCTAATTCGGAGAACGTGGCTACCGTGGGCTCTACGGCTGCTGCTGAGCAGGCTGCCATTTTGAACCCGTCTACGGACGAAGGGGAAGTCCCTGGGGTTTGGAGACCGCGACGTGGTGGAGTGAAGAGGAATGTGATTGCGGAGATGGTGAAGATGGTCTTGAAGAAGGGGGGTGTGGGTGAGGATGTCTTAGAGGGACTGGAGAGGGTTGAGGTTGGTTGATCGGTATGATTCTGATAGCGATTATATCCTTTTACAATCGCGGGATTTCTTTTCCCCTCTAAGAGTCTTGCATTATTTGCATTTCGAGGGTCTTCGTTGTCGTTGAGACCCTTCATGCTCTACGGTTCCGGTGGGTGACTACCAGGTAGCTAGCTGGAGTTCTACGGTATTGTTGGAGATACCCGGGTCAGGCTTCTGACAAAAGACCCGTCATACTACGATCTGTGGTAGGGATTAAAAATATTGATATTGCCGCCATTGATGATGACCATGCAGTTGGAAGAGAGAGGACATTTGACAGAAATATTGTACAATATAGCAAATAGGTAGATATAAAAACCGTCAGCCATAGGGCGCATCCCAGTTCTGCATCCGATCCCAACAGAAAGCCCAAACGTCTAGACACAATGACTGATTAAATCACCATATGCCAAACCACTTCTTAACAGGCCTTTTCTTCCCCTCCCAATCGACATACTCACCCTGCACCTCCTCCGACGAGCCAGGAGTAGGAAGCGCCTCCACAGCAACAGGCGACTGATCGTCACCCTCAACGACATCTGCAGCTGCCTCACTTTTTCCCTTGGCAGCATCTTCCACCGAATCCTCCTCCAACCCATGCGCAATCCGATATCTTCTCCTCTTCTCCGCATCCTCAACCCGTCTCTGTCGATGCTCCCTTGCCACGAGAGACGTATGCTGCACATGCATCTTATAAACCGAAACAACCTGCGAAACAGTGTCAATCGGATGCGAAAGCAGCGCCGACCAAGGCGGCAGCAGATGCGCATAGGGAGAAGAATGCTTAAATGTCGTCGTAAACGTAAACGTCGCCAAGGAAGTAAGAACACCCAATGCAATCCAGACGTGGATCCATCTATTTGTTAGGAACTTGTACATCAGCGTTCCCTCTGGTGGAAACATGTGTGGGTACTGTCGGCGTTTGGCTTCTTCGATTTCCTTTTCTGAGAGTTTCGGACCCGGGTAGTTGATGGGATCGCGGGGGATGGTTCGGCCATTGCGGGTTTGGACGACGCGGCGGGATGGGTGAGAGGGGGGACGAAATTTGTCTGGCTTTTCGAGGAGGTGGTGTTTGGAGCCTTCTGGTTGTTTTTGGGGTTGTCTGGTGGATGAGAGAGTGCGTTTTTGCGTTGTGCGGAGGGTGCGCAGGAGGGTTGCTGTTGTTGTTGGGATGCCTCGGGGGAGGAGGAATTGGGGGATTGTTCTTGTTGATGAAGCCATTGTTCTTATATTATTTCTTTTGTAGCTTTTTTTTTTGTATGTGTTGGCTGTGGTGGTGGAATTGGAGAAGTTCTTCTGCTGGTACTCTGTAGATGAACTTTTTGATGTTCTTTTCTTTTTCCCGTCAGGGGTCATGTGACTTCGATAGAGACCTTTCAGGCTCATAGTACTACATACTACTACTCTTCCAACTATTCATGGCACCCCTGCTCGACTGAAGGTAGCCAAAGCAGGTTCCTCACCTTTAGAAGTCCAGGCCAGGGTAGCGCCTGGTGCTTCTTCCACTCTTTTCCAACACATAGTGTCCAGCTTTGTTGCTTCAAGCATGTATTTATTTTAGTGAGTCTTTGCTTAGGTAGCACGTCCGGATGCCCCTTGGGAGGCCGCGGGTCACGTGTGCCACGTGATCCGCCGAGTGACGTTAAATAGTAATCAAATCAAAATCAAAAAATCTTCCAACTATTCCTGTCCTCTCACTCATCATCATTGCATTATTGCTATCAGGAGAATATATCGCACAGCACTTTATTAATGTTATCTACGCAATACCTGAGCTGTCCACACAAAGTTATCTGATCAGATCAGCATGTCAATGCTCAATCCAGATAATACAAGCTGTGGTGCATATACAGTAGAGCAGCCTCAGGCCATATCGGACAATGGCCGGGGCAACGGACGAATGTCGGGGAATGGGGCCAGGGAACAAATGACAGGATGGCAATTTCCAAGCGGATGGAGCCGTATCCATGGAAGTACGGAGTGGAGTTCTCATATTATGATGACGCCCAGGAATGAAGTCATGATGTTGCTGTGGCCAGGACCAGCAATGATTACAGCAATGGATAACTAGACCTCTATGGAGTATGATCATATCCTAATAACGCTTGAGTATCCTCATGATCATTAGTATACAGTAATACTAGTAATAGTAATAGGTAGGTAGAATCGGATTAAGAGAAAGAAAACCTGTCCCGGGCGCGCCCGTGAAGGCCTGAATCATCCGCGCGCTGATTGGCGGCGGGTCACGGGAGGGGAGCGGCGGTGATGCTACAAATTCCGCCCGGGTTTCGCGCCGCAAAAGCGAAAATTTCCCTGCTTCTTCTCTTCCTCCCAGCTTGCTGCTGCTCGTCTCGCCGTCTCTCTACCAATTTTCGCTGTACAGTCTTCGGGTTTCTTCCTCTTTTTTTTTCTCCTCTCACACCTATTCTCTCCTCTCAACTTCACAATGGGCAAGGACGCTGGTTTCGCTCCCGGTAGGTTGCTTTGTTGCTTATTCCCGGCTGTTGCACTGCGGTGTTTATGGATGTGCCAGTCTGCCTGCTTGGTTTAAAAGAGAGAATACATCTGGTCTTGAGCACTCTTCTAAATTGGAGATGATGAATGTGGCAAGATGTCCTCTTTGTTCTCCATGTGGTGGAAGAGCTTTCACTGCCATTGATCGCCTGCTCGCTGGCCCTGTTTCTATAAGTAATCGCTTGCTTGGACCACACAGAATTGTTTTTTCCGTGAGCTGGCGGGCAATTGGGATATCTACATCATTTCCCACTTTATCTGGGGGCAATGAAGGCTAACATGGCATTCGCCACAGGTGACGCCTCCAAGGGTGCCAACCTCTTCAAGGTGAGTTGAACATCAAAATAGCAGTAAAGCTCGTTAGTCTCCTGGAACAAAATGCTAATTAATCTCCCAGACTCGCTGCGCTCAGTGCCACACCGTCGAGGCTGGTGGCGCCAACAAGGTCGGCCCTGCTCTCCACGGTCTGTTCGGCCGTTCCACCGGTTCCGTTGAGGGATACTCCTACACCGATGCCAACAAGAAGGCCGGTGTTACCTGGGATGAGAACACCCTGGTATGCGCTGACGCTGCCCATCAACCCTGATTGCGCGCGACTCCCGTGACTAACCCCGCCTGCTTCTGCAGTTCGCCTACCTCGAGAACCCCAAGAAGTACATTCCTGGCACCAAGATGGCCTTCGGTGGTCTGAAGAAGGCCAAGGACAGGAACGACCTGATCACGTATGCTAGCTGCCCGGTTCCCTGTTGATGCCCTAGTTCAGAGCGCTGACCTATCTTTCCACAACAGCTTCCTCAAGGAGGAGACCAGCAAATAAATGCTGCTGCCAAATTGATGACTGCCTTTACGACCCTGCCGCTGGATTTGTCGCGTCGGATGCTATGAGCACGCAAGCAGGCTTAGACAGACGGGGCATGTAATATTATTAACATTTTTTCTTCTACTGGTAATAGACGCATTCTGGTGATCCTTACCCTGGTGCTGTGGAACATTTTGGACTTCGTATAGATGTCATGTTTCCTACGCGGGTGTATATTTTTCTTTCTGCTACCCCTTTTTCTTTGGATGTTGATGTCCAATTCTTGTGATGTATCAGTAACGAATGATCAATCTCCTCTCCGTTTATTCTTGTCTCATGTGTTCTAGGCAGATGCTGGAAGCTCTCCCCCGTGCGTCATTTTTAGTCATATGAGGGCCTCAGGCATAAAGCCCCGGATGGAAGTGTCACATGATTGATGCCAGCGAGACTAGGAGTATGGCTTAGGTGTATATGCCTTAGGTATACTCTCCGGTTGGAACTGATACAGCGCTGAATTCGATTCGTCCACGACTGCTCCTGCCGGTCCTATGAGGCACGGCGATAGCATTTACCTTCGGGACTATTATTTGGACGGAGAGAACAACTCACGACAGGGGCGGGACGGCAGTCCACGGGTATCGATCTTCCCCAGGAGAATTGGCAAAGTCTAACCAGGGAGCCTCGTGGCTGGATCGGGCTCGTCTGGAGCAGATGTGATAGATCACCATGTCGCTCTTTGATGAAATCACCCTGAAGATATTATTAACATGCCCATACTGGGGATGGATGGTTGGAAGAGAGAAGCGCAACGGGTGATCGATGGGGCACATGACGGAGGGCTGTGGGCGCCTATGATTGGCGAGTTTGGGTTACCCGTACCCGTACGGTACAGACAGTACGACTACGGGCTGCACAAGCACTACCATTGGCCCAGCCACTGTGCAGGTGCGTATGTATCGGTTTCCGTACAGAGCGCGTACAGTACGTGGTATGGAGGGGTACAGCCCCGATATCTAAGTACTCCGTACTTTCTGCAGACTCCGGAGCAGCCAGCATCATCACAGTCCTAATTCCTTGCGCACTCATGGAAAGACCCAAAAGAGGCCCCCATAAAGGACAGAAAAATAGTCGCAAGCTCTCTCTCTCACTAGCTAATCTTATTTGCACCTCAGCGCTTGCTCCTCTCACTGCCTACAGCCCCACAAGCTTACGTGGGTAAGGAGTTCTGTCGCATTCTTGACCGTTTAGGTCAAGTGAATTGCTCTCCGTCTAACCAGGTGAATGCTACTAGTATCTTGCTATCTATATAAGAGCTGCTGAGGCCTTCGTATGAGCAGCCTCACTCAGATGATCTCCATCTTCTCTCAGTCTCCTGTGCCTGTAACGTCTGATCTACAGCGCTTGCCCACGACCCTGATCTTCCTCTACTACTCTCTCCTTCCGGACAAGGGGCCCAGCGCAAAGACGAGAGACAAGCCGATCGCTTACTTCTAGCACTTTTGCTCAACCAATACAAATTTAATCTTACTGCTTATACTTACTCCTCCACCTCATTGACCAGGGCTTGGTGCCTTAATAGTCGCTACCACTGGATCGACGTCTTCTTCCGCGCAAGCGGCGCCGAACTCCGTCAAGAATCATGGACGAACTAGATGATGTCTTCGATGATCACCCTTCGTTGGATGTATCCCTGGAGGACTTTGAGCGCGCGGAAAGCCCTCAAAGCCACCATGCTTCCCCACCGCTCGAGATTCCCTCTCAGCATTCTGGCTTCAGAGAGGACGCTTCTGATAATGGAACCGATATTACCGAGGAAGAAGGGCCCCAGCCGCGCTGGTCGCCTCCTGGATTCAGGCACGACTATGTTAATGGCAGCTCCTGGTACCGCCACCAGCCTTATATGAAAGGTGAACCTGGCAGAATGGAGCTGGTACCGGCCGGCACGTTCAGTGCGAACCAGTCGCGCGAAGTTACACCTCAATTTGAGGATGCAGCAGAGACGCCAGCGGTCAAAAGTGAGACCGACACTGGAGAACTAACTGTTCCAGCAACTTCCCCGGTTCTCGCAGAGAACATCGTCCTGGAAAAAAGGTCGCAAAGCCCGACTCCAACTGACAGAACATGCGATGATGATGGTCTTGTTTCTGGAAGCAGTCCGATTAGTAACTGTAGGCTCTCTTACATAACCAATCCCTGTCTCAACAACAGCAGCATACTGATATGTTGCAGACATTCGCTTTGTTTTTCGAGCGGAATTCCAGCATTGCGAACCGTTTACTGCATTCTTGAACTATTTGCGCAGGAACATCGACCGTGCGACGAGCTCCAAGTCGAACGCTCTCATGTCTGTTTTTGTTGGAATGATATGCATTGCATTCATGCGCGCTCTATTTTTGCCGGGCACCCCGCCTGGGATCCCCGATTTGGTCAAATTATCTAGTTTCGCACGCTCTTTTGAACCATTGATTTACTACTCGGAAAACGGGGTGCAGCAGATTGGGACTCTTCAGGAGACCGGCGTTGCGGTGTGGGACTTGAGTGAGTCGCTCAGAGGATCCAATATGACCAGCGCTCCGATCATTGTGGGCCAGCTTGATGAACTTTCAGAATCGCTCAAGTCGCTGTCGCTCGAGCTGACTCGCTTTTTCGCCGATGTTGACGCGGACATTGACTCGATTCTGATAGTCATGGACTGGGCAAAACGGGAGCTGGAAACTTTATCCTCACAGCCTCCCAATAGTCTCCCTTCCATCGCATATGACAATTTCCATCTGATGCTGTCGCGACTCGGTGCGCTTGAGCGAGCCTCTGGTAGTCAAGATACTGGAGGCGGTGAACTCATGACTGTCCCGACGACGTTTGGAAATATCGTCACGGCGATCTTCGGACCGACTTCTTCGCAGCGCATGCGGTCTGCGCTCACACGGACCTTCACAGAGTTCCTCTCAGTCCTCGAAGAGTCCATTAACAGCGAATTGACCCATTCGACAGCTCTGTTTGCACTGTTCGAATCCATTGATCGCCAGTTCTTGAATCTTCAACGCACAGTTGTCCGTGAATCCGACGCGCAGGAAAGAGCAGAAGGCGAGATGCTTAGTTCTCTCTGGACACGAGTCTTGGGACCCGACGCCGCCATGGTGCGCAAATACGAGAAAAACAGGCGTCTACTTGCCAGCGTTCGCAGCAGGACGGTTGCGAACAAACATCTCCTTATGGACCATCGCAGCCGCCTCTTAACTTTAAAAGTCAATCTTGAAACTCTGCGCCGCAAACTTGTCAGTCCATTGGTGCGACGGAATGATTCTGTTACGTTCGGAGGCGCGATCGAGCCGAGTAACAGCAGGCGCGGAAATCGTGGCGGGCTCCTAGGTCCAGTTGAGTCTGTCATCGAGGGGCAAATCCGCGGACTTGCCGGCAGCCAGGAATACTTGCGATCCGTCCGAGAAAAACAGAAAGCGAAACTCATGGAACTTGTTTACGGAAGTGGTCGCAAATTGCCTTCTCAAGCGATTGTATCCGAAGAGCCTGAAGGCGATGAACTAATTGGGGTACATTAGACGGGGATGGAGTTGCGGTTCAGATGGGAAGGAAAAAGACCTTGACAATTTTTTCTTTTCTTTTTTTTGATTTCCCTCATCACATCTTGCTATCAACTCCTCCCTTCTCTTGTCTTCTTTATCATCCGTCGGCGTTCAATGAATCATTTACGCACGCGAAGCGAAAGACATCGGTTTCATTCTTGCTTTCTGCATTATCCGCCTTGAGAGAGGTCATGGTCATGGATACGGTGTTCAAGGGAGTCAGTCGGGCATACCCGTACATAACATACATCTGGTCCGGTCAGGTGGTCTGGTCTAGTCTTTTGATTCTTATCCTGGCGTCTTGCGTCCCGGGCTCTCGGACTCAGCGGTTATCTTTTTATGGTTTTCTTTAACGGCATTACGCTCATAGAGTCAGTTCTACAGTTCCAGTTATGGGATCCCTTGCTTTTTATGATTATGAGGTAAGGTCAGCAGCGGCTGGTTGTTTGGGTGGATTGTGCTCGGACTGGATTTGGTGGAACGGAATGGAATTTGGCGCAGGAAAGAGACTTCAAGGGAATTACATTACTGCGTTTTCTAGGTGTTGAGTACTTGACTGGGATCTTTATCTTGTTGAAGTTGGCTGGCTGCTCGTGGTCATTTATCTATGTTATTTCTTTGTGTCATTTATTTGGTTGGGTTTTTGGTTTGATTTGATTTCTGTTTGGATGGGATATGTCCACGCCTACCTACCTACTTGTACCTTAGGTACATTGAGTTATTTTAGGAATGGCAGTTTGGTTCGTAGGTTGGGTTGAACTGGATTGTCTCCGTGGATTTCCAATTGTATATCTGTTTACTTGCCTGGTCTGTCATTATTGCGCTGGACTGTCAACAGAACTAGACTGTGACCATGGATGGGATGGATGGATAGGGTTTGATTCTACCTCGAGATGACGTACATCCAAGTTGGATTTCAATCCATTACAGTTCATCATACCAAATTAATATATTTCCCTCTTTATCAATCAATATTTTTTTTTAAAAAAAAATTCCGATTTGTATCCCGTGGAGAGCAAGAAAGGCAAAAAGAGCAAACACCCGCCATGGAGAAAATGTGCTAGTATACTATACAGTCGAGAGGAGAGGTTCATTCCAAAAAGGATAAACAAAAAACAGAAACAAAGAAATCATGAGACAAGGAAGAAAAGTGCATCATACATGATGATTCATGGACATAAAGACAGTAAGTAGAAGCAAACTGCAGAAACATTGTCAGATGAAATGAAATCCTATGCCCACGCTCCGCATATCGAAATCTTTTACTTTTTAGTGCCAAGCAATATGCCCCCTGTCATAACAGTTTGCTCCCTATATTATACAGTGCGGGTGAAGATCAAGATGGAAGATAGAAGGGTTAAAAAATTAGAGAGGTTGGAAAATTTTCGAAGCGGTATGACAATACAAGGGATTTGTCTAATTATTCTTGACGACGCCGACCTTGGCAGCCTGGAAAAGACACAATTAGGATGAATGGTTTAAGGAAAGGAAAGAAAGAGAGCTTACCCTGAGTATGCGCCCATTGAGCTTGAAGCCCTTGCTCTGAGTGTACATGATATCACCATCTTCCATACCCTCGGCCTTGGACATGAATGTGGCCTCATGCACATTGGGGTCGAACTTCTGCGGCTTGCCGTTCTCAGCCGGCTCGCTGGGGTCGAATCTTTCCAGTCCATGCTTCTGCAGGGTATTCATCAAGATGTGCTGGGTCATCTTCAAGCCGGATACAAGATCCACGAATTCCTTATTCTCGTCGGACTGGGGAGAGTCAATCTTCTCATTTGGCACGGCCAGGAGAGCCCGATCAAAGTTGTCAATACTCTCCAGGAGGTCGACGGCAAATCGTTGGATAGCAAAGTTACGGGCATTTTCCATATCACGTTTCGTGCGTTCCTGGAGGTTGAGGAAATCCGCAACGGAACGAACATATTTATCCTAGTGATCGAGTCAATTCTTATACATTTTGGAGAAATTCCCAGCTAGAAATTGGTAAATTAAATCACCTTCAGATCAACAATTTCCTTTTCCTTCTTTTCAAGCTCCTTGCGGAGGCCTTCCTCAGCGGAGAGTTCCTCAGCAAGTTCAGAGCCCCCCGATTTCTCCGCATCAGGTTTCTCATTCTTCTCAGTCGGTTTCTCTGTCGAGTAGCATCTATACGCTTGCTGGGGAGCTAGTGGTCGGATGTTCTGGAAAGCTCGTGGTTGCAATTGTGACGTGCGTCTGAGAGCCGATGGAGCTGCGGAAGAGCAGCGGGAGACCGCAGACCGGGCAGCCAGGCCTTGTCTAAGGAGTAATCTCTGGAGCATGGTGGGGGTTGGGGCTTAGGAAGAGATTATCTGAGGGAAAAGAGAAAGGTATTAAAAAATAAAAAAGAGAAACCGTGTTAATTGAAGGAGTTGCAGAGGAGAGACATCATCGGAGTCGGCACCCAAAACAGAACTTTCGTGGTCACATGACTATTGGGGATGCCGGTTCTCGGTATTATATAATACGCAATTTGTCACGTGGAGATCTATGGCAAGGGCATAGAGTATAGGTACAGGCCGACCATGTAGGAAACTGCATTTAATTAATAGCAACTGCTGTGAGGATACAATCACTTTCATATAACTAGAATAATGCAAGAAAATAAAGAACGATTTCCACAGTAAGGTAGGGATGGGGCTTCTTGGTAACCTCCGCCACAGAGAATAGTTTTACCTGAATGTCTAGATGACTCTAGTTGTGTCTGAACATTTCCAAGAGATCGCATTGTTCTCTGCTTGCATGCTACTAGCTATTCATAGTCACCCACACACACTTGTATATGTTGAATGGAGATAGGACTGATAACTCCGGTTCAGCATGTCCAGAGGCTAAGGCCGATATGTCCACTAGCTGGCAGGCATATTTGGTCGCTGGTCTGTACGCTCACTGTCTGTATATGAATAGGGTCAATCTACTGCATATTTTGAGCAGAACTGCATGGAATACCTGTCATATCTTAACCAAGAACAGCCATGGCTGGAGGATATGCTAAAGACCAGCCTGATGGTTTTCACCAACCGCATTGAAAAGGTGTCCGGGTTGCCCGCGTAGACTACAGCAGTGACGAGAACGCGGCACTAGTAGAGGTTCTTTGGGGACAGTAGGTGTAATCATCACCATGTCCATAGTAGCACATGACCTTATCACAAAGCTCCAAGCTCGTGCGTGCAGCCGCCAAAGCCGGCATACCATACATCCTGCTCAACTGGTTCGGTCACAACGCCGCAAATGATCTGCTGTGCAATGATAGCTTACTTAGCCACAGTCGCAATAGCATCTGCATGCTGAGGTTGAGAAACTTGGCATAAGCTCGCACCTGATGTTGGTCTGCAACTTCTGGTACGAGTTTAGCCTGGGTGGCGGTCCGGATCGCTACGGGTTTGATTCCAAGAAGCGCTCCTTGGCCTTGTTCGATCACAGTATCACGGTAATGAGGCTATCAACACCAGCACTTGGCCTCAGCGCGGCCGAGTCATTGCCAATCTATTGAGCCTGAAAGAGTTCCCAGAGGACGAGGAGGACCAGCAGCCCTGTGTCGCAGTTCCGTGGCAGCTCGATGTACATACCGAACTTCTCACTTAGCCAGCGTGATATGTTTTGAGAGTGTCAAAACGCATCACGGCAATACCAATGCGGATTGGACGACCATGCATGAGTCCGCTGAACAGCGCTGGGAGCATGGCCAGGCTGCCTTGAAGAAGGGCAAAATGGCGGCTTTCACAAAGATGATGTACAGCCGTGTGTTCTTCACAAATGGCGATGGCGACTACCAGTCCCGCCGAGAACTCCACAACGGCTTGCCTGGCCTGTCCATTGAAGACCTGGATGACTCCACAGCCATTGCCGTCCGCATGAAGAGAACGAGGAGCCACCATCACATTAGAAGAAGGGTGTACTTTTAGAGAGCATCCTGTAGGTATCCCTTCTCTGGCGGGAATCTTAGAATTCAGATGCTGTCTCGTGGCAGTGGCTTTCCTTGAAATGCACTCCGTAATAAGGACCCCAGCAGGTCGATGGCGAATGCAGAACAAGTTTGACCAAATGGGTCTCAGGAAGCGGGAAACCGGGCTATGCCAATGGTCCCTGTTTAAGAAATTGATGTTGGCCTCGTTGTAATTAGCCTGTAGATCGCCAGCTGCAGATGTACCTGCAGGCAGTGCTCGCTCAGTGCTCTTGGGGAGTTTGTCGACGCAGCAGAAAGGGCGGAGTCAGCTGACTTCTCTCGCTGCGCCTCAGTCTCAGCCACGAGAACTATTGAAACATCGAGGCAACGCTGTTTCTGCTTTCAGTTTCTGCAGTACTTAAGACCTCGTCTGCTTGCTCTTGCTCGTTCCTCCTTTCAAGGCAGCTTGAATTCACGGTTGTGGGAGCAATAGAAGTGGTTCAGAAAAGTCAGCCACTGGACAGCGCATATTCGCCCCCCGGAGTCATTGACGCTCTTATCTCTCTCTCTCTCTTCTCATACGAGACCACCTATTCACTCGAATAAAGACAGAAAAAGGAACACCATCGCATTCAGCCATCATGTCCGAAACAGCCAATTCACCTCCTCAATCTCTCCCTTCCTCACCATCATTCAGCGCCAACCGATCATCCTCCAAACCACAACTCACCCTGGACCTATCCAACCTCCCGCCCCTATCGAAACCAACACCACCATCAAACACCCTCCTCATAACCGACCTGCACGACCTGTACCTCTTCCAACCGTCCTCCCTAGCGGAGATCCGCACGCAAATCACAGCAGTCGCCCCCCTAAACTCCTTCTCCCCACTACCCTCTCTCCGCCGAATTGTCTGCTCCTTCTACTCTCCCGACGACGCCATCCGCGTCCGCCAGACCCTAGAAAGCCAGCGTCTGTTGGACCGCAATGTCCGCATGAAGATCTACTTCGGTGAACCCACCCCCATCATGGACGACGAGGAGGCTCGTCCCAGGCTCCTCGAAGCCCCACAGGTGGATAAGCTGTTCTTTATCAGTCCGCCCCCCAGTCCGCCACACGGGTGGGTGTTGAGGAACGAGGACCCGCCGAATAAGGAGGTGCATGCCGATGATCTCGTAGAGGCGTTGTCCAAGTTGAAGACCAGGACGGATACGTTTTCTTCTTTCCCTTCGTCGTCTAGTGAGGTTGCTGAACCCCCCACCCCGGCATCAGTGTCCGGGAAGCAACAGAAAACTCAGCGGAGCAGGAGTAGTACCATTATTTACAATCCAGAGGATCATGGGGGTAGTCCCGGTCTTCCCGCTGTCATGGTTGAGGATACGAGCTTTGGCTTGGAGTTAGATTTCTCCGATATGGAGATGAGTCCTGTCGAGATGGATGCGAAGAAGGTCTTCCAGCGGACTACGCGGCCCCCTGTGGAATTGATGGAGTGAGATTCCTGAATTCCTAAGTTACAGTTTTTTTTTGTTTTTTCTTTTTTGTGGGTCGTCCTTTAAATAAAAACATATTGGACGGACTTTCTCATTGAGATTGCATTTCATACGTCGCTGTCACTACTTGCATGGCGTTCTTGGGATAGGGTTTGGTTTTTGTGTACGTCCATTTTCCTTTCACTTTTCCCCTTTCTGGAGCCTAAGACTCGAGGTTTAGATGTTACGCGTCTAAGAAGATCCGGCGTTACTTATATATTTATACGTGCATGTATACATACGTTTAGGGGAGAGATAGAAGATGATAATAGCGATAATCAGAATGGTCATGCAAATGGATTCTCTCGAGTGAAGTAGATTTGTTTCCCAGAATCAGGACAATGTATAACAAGGACTTCATTTGGAAGACTCATCATTCAAAATGAGGGTAGATAGTTAGAAAAGTGGATGATGGTATGAGTATTCGCAAGAACGGCACATAATGCGTCATTAACTTGAGGACTATATAAATACGTGGCTACTTTCCCATCAGTCGAACAGCACGACGGCACTTTCTTTGACCACACTAGGACCAAGAACGGCGGCGAGTTCCGCAACGATCCCTTTAACGGATTGGGGATTTTGAATAGGCATTCGTTCCCATCCAACAAGGTCCTCAAATGAAATCATTAGACAATATTCGTGTTAAAAGAGCGTCAGACGCATCACTTACAATCATATGAACAAGGGTACCATGGACGAGAAGCAGCCAGTGATCAAGATCTAGCGCCTCGACTTCTTCAAGCGTCATGACACCAGGCATATGGAGATCGAAGATGGACAGGTCTTCATCATTCTCGTCAGGGTCAGGCTGGGCTGTTGATTCCTTTTCCGGTGCAGACTCTGACACCGTCTGGGCAGCCAGTCGTCGGTCCCTGGACAGAGACACATAAGGACGCACATCGAGCTTCCGGGTCAGTTCCCCGTCGAGGGGATCCCAGGTACCACTCTCCGGATCTTGTCTAATGCGTCAGAACCCTGCCTTACTGGAGGTAAAAGAAGCCACTGACCTAAAATGAACTGCGGTCGATAGGCTGCCTTGTAGCGCATTTTCTGACACGAATGTATGTAGTAGCCTGGGTAATAATTAAGGGTCAGAGACGGCTGTTTCTAAGAGTGAATGGAACAGCGTTGAGGCCTTCTTACCCATGTAGTAATAGTGATAGGAATCTTCCAGAGCTAGGGCTACCTCCCTCAGTGCACTAAGCTTTCCAAACTCCCACTTTTCATAGCCGGGGTCATAACTGAGGACATTGTTAGCTCCAGGGATCTCCAGCTGCGGCAGGAAGTCAAATTCCTTACAACAGATAGACTGAGCTCACACCGTTGGGCATGAGATCCAGAACACCGACGGCTATCAACTTCCCGTCGAGGCGATAGCATTGGTGCCAGGATCCTAGCTTGCGTTCTTTGGGGCCGTTTTTAACAGTCGACCGCTTGAGGCCCGAACAGAGGAAGCGAGTGAAGTCTTTGGTCTTCCATCTGGACAGGTCTTCTCTGTGGATTGTGGCCTGGTACTTGCGGAAGAGATCAAATCTGCGTGTGGACGGTTGGATAAGTTAACACTGTTGAGTTAACAGTCCCACGGGCCTGTAGTTCCTTCATACGTACTTTGCCTGAGAAACAGAATCTCCCTCAATGACTACTTCAAACCGATGAGCTGGCTCCAGAGGCCGTTTGGTCTCTGGGTCAATGGGCCGTTTGACATTGGCGTATTCGGCCTCATGGACCGCGGTGAGGAGGTCAAAGTGGCATTTTCGGTGCTTCTTCTCTCTGGACAGCAGGACAGTGAGATTCTGGCATCGTAAAAGGAGAGAAAGGCAGAAAAAAGCTCAAGCCACAGAGCGTCTCCAAGGAGTCCCTGAGTAGGTCCACATACTCTCTAGTCTTTGGGCACAGGCGTGCGGCTTTACGGATGTATTCGGGGCCCAGGACAAACTTGTTCCAGCGGTTGATGGCTTTTCGCTGGTCCTTCCTGGGCTTGAAGGCGGACGCTTCTAGTCTGCAGCAGGCCCCGCGGAGATGAGTGGGAGATATTAGCAAGAGAAATTCAGCAAGTGGGATTGAGTAGTCGAAGGAGTGGGTTTGTACCTAAGGGTATAGTGCGGACAGCACGACCTCTGCAGGTTCTGTTTGTAATAGAGGGTTCCCGATCTGTTCTCGAGGTCAGCATTGTTTGATGGCAGCTGCAGCTAGCGATGGCTGCAGAAAGCCCGAGGACAACCTTCTCCAACCGCCGTTGACGAGCAGCTCGTAATGCTCTGGGAGGACAGCGACCGAACTGGCGTAGTAGGAGGCGGCTGAGCGTGTTAGCCCTGTAGTATACATTCATTGTACGACTATGTGGTAATATAGACTCACATCCGTTATCGGATTTGCAGTAACCACACGAGTTGCGCTGATAACCTGGTGACGGTCAGTTCTGCGGCCAGTCGAGCGAGCACGAGGGGAAGGGCGCGGATGTGACTGGCTGCATACCCAGAGGGCGGAAGAGCGACAGTTTCCTCGCCGTCTCGGCGTCCACGACGGACGGGCTGTCCATGAGGATAATTAACTCGATCAAATGATGCCGGCCGGGGGGATATGGAATGCAATGCAGCGCAGTGGATGGGAAACCAACGACAGGCGGGATACTAATAGAAAAGGAGCCCGTCTCGTACCACCAGGTAGAGAAGTGGAAAAATAAAGAAAAGAGGTCGTGATCTAGAAAAGCAGGCTGCTCAGAAGATGCCCCGTCCAATATTGTCTGTCAGGTTGCTGTAAAGTATCCTGAACTAGTTTAGTTGTAAGCGTCGCACATCCCAGGCGTCGCCTTCTGGTCTCCAGGCTGTCTATCTAGCACCGCTTTTCCTGCATGAGCCTCATTCCATTCGTGTTTTCAGACTGCCCGTACCTGACAACCTGCCACTGCTGATGATGTCAAGCGGTGCTTTACGTGGTGGTGACTGGTTGGTATATGTATATGTAAATAATAAAATAAGCATGGAGAAGCATAAGCATGGCCTCAGTGTCTCGTATCACGTGCATACCGTACCGTACGTGACGGGGGATCTGCAGCACAGCATTGCTTCGTATAAAAGACCCGATCACAACCCAATCGCCACCTACACCTCTATCGACCAGGCAGAATAATAGGCGTCTAAGCGAGGATTGACTGTGAGCAAGCTCAGGCCTCCGCAGCAACCGCCTTTGCCGTAGGATGCAGCAAGGACAGCACTGCATTCCGCCCGATCGGAGATCTATGACCATCTCCACATTCGACCGAAAGTACATAGAAGTTAGAGATCAGGAGAGCTCCTTCTGGCGCGTTGCACGCCGTTGCCTTGGAACGTTCCCGGGCCATCGTGATTCATCATTCTGGATCATGTTGCCGAAGATGAGAATCGCCCATGCTGTTTTCGCCGAAGCGTGGTGGGAATCGGGAGAACGAGCATGTTCCACATCCTAACTCCGGGATTGCGAGGAGACCGGTGGACCGCTGGAAGCATGCTAACTTGCATTCCGTCAATTTCGAATGCCATTCTAGGTTTCATTTTACGATACATACCGAGATAGCAGTCTGCTGTTGACAAGCAAGAAGAGCATGGATGAAGACTAAATGGTTTCCTTTGTATCGTACCATACCAAGTATTACGGACCTAGGGTAAGCTCCATCGCAAAAATGCCGGCACCACAGATACGATGAAACAAAGGCCACAGAAAAGCACCGTTTTTTGCTTTTTTTTCGAGACCAGGCAGATCCACAGGCAACCGCGCACTGATCAGAATAAGCAGACAGCTTGACCGGAAAGGATGGCATTAATAATGTGAATTACTACTGTTTAAGGTTGGTGCTTCCATGGCTCCCAGTGTCTTGAGACTGTGACCGTATTTCCATACGTACCATACGCCTTCCTGCCAGCAAAACAGACGACCCTTACCGTACGGAAACGCCGCCCGCCCCAGGAACCAGCAGATGCTGTAAGTTTGTACTAAGTATTAAGCCATACTAATTATTGCCTGCCGGATCGCGCCGCGCAGCATTGCCTGCAGCCAGAGCTGTTGCTCGCTATCCTGTCCTTCCCGTCTCCCCTCGCTGTCCGTCTCCAGCTTTTTTTCCCCTTCCCCCCTTCCATCTTTTCGTTCCCTGAAACTTCGTTTAAAATGCTGATCTACACCCTCTTCCCTTCATTGCTATCCCCGCCCGTTGCGGGACTGCACGGGCATACCTAGTTTTTCTCGCTTCCTCTCCGCAGTTAAACTACCCTTTCTGTCCTCAATTTTTTTTTTCTTTCTTTGCCCCCATCCCATCTCCCGGAACATCTTCCAAACCCTCTTGCAACCTACCTCATCCTCTCCCCTTCCCGCGGTGGTCTAGGGAAAACCACCCCCAGAGGCCTGAATTCAGGCGTCGCGGACTTGCTGCAAATCATCCATCCGAACGCGATCTCGAACCCTGTTCTCCGGGCTTTGCCACCCTTGGAATTCCACCCTCGTGCTGCGTCGCCGGCTTCGGGTTACCTGTGTTTCTCTTTATCTGATTCTTCTTTTTTGTCTTTCTCGTGTCCTCGCGTCATAGTTCGAAGGGCACGTTGGACCTATTTATACCAAGAGCCTCTTCATTGTAAAATATCCGGCATCCCGGTGTTCCATCCTTCTTTCATTTGAGACTCCCTTTCCATGATGATGGCCCAAGTCCGGTCGATGGAGTCCCGCACGGGGCGGAAAAACCAACGTGAGTGATCCTAATTGCAAGAAAAAGAAAAGAAAATCCCTCCCCTTTTCGGTGCGTGGGTCTCTGTCAAGACTCTGGAGTTTCTAGTCCCAATTGGCTTGCGCACCTGGATAATCTAGCTCGGATTGTACTAAATTTGGTTCTCTGTAGGGTACGGATCCAAGGGCGAAAGACTCGTTGCCGGTGTGGTTCCTCTGTCGGCGGATAAAACAAAGGTGCTTATGATACAGTCAAGTGGACCTGGGGGTTGGGTCCTTCCCAAGGGTGGGTGGGAGACAGACGAGGAGACGGCCCAGGATGCAGCTTGCAGAGAGGCTTGGGAGGAGGCCGGTGTGATTTGCACCGTACAGAGGGATCTGGGGTTAATCCCGGATATGCGTCCTCCCCACCTGCTGTCGGCCAGTGCGCCTAAAGCTTCGTACCAGTTCTTCGAGGTGACGGTGGATCGTGAGGAGAGCCGCTGGCCAGAGATGCACAAGCGGAAACGTCAGTGGGTTCCGTACGCCCAAGCTGCGTCCATTCTTGCAAGGCGCCCAGAGCTTCTAGAGGCGTTAAATCGCAGCTCATTGAAGCGATAACGAGCTTTTTTATTTATTATTTTTTTTTCTTTTAATATGGCTTGGAAGATTCGATTCGTCACTTTGATCTTCTTGCTTTACGACTCGATACGACTGACCCTCGCCCCCGAAAAAAGCTTTTTCCTTTCTCCCTTCGCGCTACATTTCAGCTTCCCTTTTCGAAAAGAAAAAGAAAAAGAAAAAGAAAAAGAAAATGTTTCTGGATATTGCGTGGATACGCCGCATTTGAACCCTACCTTGCCATCTTCACCTATGATCGCTTGATACAGACGTCGACTATCGCCTGACGACCGTTGTGCGTGACACCATTTTCGCTATAAACTATCTTTTTGACGCTTGTTAAAATAGAGGCAGGCCTGGATGGAATCCCTGGGCCATCGCGGATAAACTGTGAGAGGGACAAGGCTGCCTGGATTTGGCCACGTCTCTTGGAGAGAATTATCCGACGCTATGCTCCTGGAACGGCATATCGATGCACGTGGTCTCATCTTTGCTAAAAAAAAAAAAAGCTGAAAACAAACCTTTCTATCACTTTTCCTTTTGTCTTCTCTAATGGGGTAGCTCGGTGAACGGCGCAACTTCATAAGGCATTATTTCTCTTCGAAGTTTCGGAGGAATTCTAGAGCATGACAACGTCCTACTTCACCATGCTGTCTGATCTTATGCATGGTATATCTCTTCAAACACGAAGCTACGCACTCATATTCATAGGACAGATGATTGTGCTCGTGCACATGCTCAGCTCCCCGTCCCAAGTCGTTGGCAGCTGCCCATCAGCCATATAGAAAATTTGCTTTTACTGTAGATACTGTTGCATTATTAGACTATATATATAAAAAAGCCCCAGGTGCACCAATCTTAATAATATACTCGAAAGGGAAGTTTATCTATGAGACATTGTCTTAAGTTGCTTGTATTTCCTGGATGTCAGTGCTGTAGCTATAGGAAACTCTGAGCTGGTGAATCTGTGATAAAACGATATTTGACCGTATTGGGTAAAGCGCGAAATTCCCCGACGGTGGAAGTCGCTGAGGCCGATCAAAGTCTCCAAACATCAAAGACTTATCTATCTTCACACAAGGCACACCGTTCCATCAACTCGATCAGTCCTAGTATCGCTTCGATCTGATTACACCCCCCTCTTTTGTACCTAATCTGTGGCCAGAGTGTAAGTCTCGCGGCGACTCAACCAGGTGGCGGCGACTCGGCCGCGCTTTCTGTACCTTTTCGCATCATGGATTACGAGATGGACATCGAGCCCACAGGGCCCCAAGTTACAGTACGAGAGGTAAGATCCGGCCACTTCAAGTTTCTCGATAACTAAGGATTCTGACTAAACCACTACGACAATCTAGGCGGAACCATACCGTGTCGACTTCAAACTGAGCTCCGTTGACCTGGCCTTCGCCAACTCCCTCAGACGAGTAATGCTCTCCGAGATCCCAACAATGGCAATCGACATTGTGGAAGTAGAAAAAAACACATCTGTCCTTCCGGACGAGTTCCTCGCCCACCGTCTGGGTATGATCCCGCTCAACTCGAAAAACTGCGACCAGGACGTCCAGTACACGCGCGACTGTGATTGTGAGAACCACTGCGCAAACTGCAGCGTTACACTCCTCTTGCATGCGCGGTGTTCGGGTGATGATATCATGCATGTGTACGCTCGCGATCTGGTGGTTTCGGGGGACCGTGTGAATGAGTGGGTGGGCGACCCCGTCATTACGGATCCCGAAGGGAAGGGTCCGTTGATCTGTAAATTGCGTCGGGGGCAGGAGCTCAAGATGACTTGCATTGCTAAGAAGGGGATTGCGAAGGAGCATGCCAAGTGGGCGCCTACGGCTGCCATTGGGTTCGAGTATGATCCGCATAATAATCTAAGGCATTTGGATTATTGGTATGAAGAGGATCCGGCCAAAGAGTGGTATGTTCCCTTGTTCGATATATGTTTTTTTCCTTTCGTATTTTAAGAGTACTTATTGATATACTCAATGCAGGCCTCTCTCCCAAAACGCCGTCTGGGAACCTGCTGCTCCTCCAGACCAACCCTTCAATTACGACGCTCAGCCTGATAACTTCTACGTCGACGTCGAAAGCATCGGTACTCTTGATCCAGACATGATCATCCAGCAAGGCATCTCCGTGTTGCAACGCAAGCTCGCAACCGTCATCTCGGCACTCTCCGGCGCGGGAGCAGAACGCAATGGTTATGCCGAGGACGAGGATCTGCTGGGCGTGCGAAGCCCGGATGCCTACGAGCCTCCCGAGGGTATGGATGGAGGCTTTACAGCATATGCGAATGGGGGCCAAAGTGCCTGGGGAGCAAGCGCTGCGACTCCGTACGGAGCTACACCGTATGGGGGTGGTGGGTTCGGGTTCTGATATGGTCGATACTGGTCGGGGAGGGGAGTTGAAAAGATATTAAACAAAAAAGAAGATTGATATCAACGCATGTGGACGGAGTTTTTCCCTTCTTTTTTTTGCAGTTTGTCATATTGGGTTTAATTCTTCTTTGCTGGGAAATAAGAACGAATAGCGGCGCATTATTCTAGGGATATTATTGTTATTGTCATTTTCTTTCTTTTATTCTCTTTCAAATGCTGTGAATGGCGGCGGCTCCTGAAAAAAGAAAAAGAAAAGAAAAGAAAATCCGTATCATAGTTGATATTACGCTGTTAATAGATAGTGGAGGTTAACTAGATGAAAAATGAAAAAGAGGGGAGACAATATATGTCCATTTAAACTATTTACAGATTCAGATGTTCAAAGACGGCCACAACTAATATACAAGCTCAACAACCCTGCAGAATATATATATCACCTCAATTCAACCCCAAACTCAGCAACGAGTTTCTGACGAATCCTATCATGCAACTCATTAGCCTCATCATTCGTCAACGTCCTCTCCAAACTCCGATAATTGATACGGTAACAGAGACTCTTCCTCCCGGACTTGGGATGCACAAAAGCATCGATAAGCCGTACATCCTCGACAAGATCACCGCCCACAACGCGGACAATCTCCATGACATCATTCTCGTGGATAACAGGTCCAATGCGCCCACCAGCAGCTGTGGCGGTGGTATCTGCCGCCGATGCAGAAGTAGGGAGCCAAAAGGCCACATCCTTGTAGCAGGAGGGGTACTTGGAGAAGGGTTCGAAGCGAGAGATTTTGCCTGCGCGGAACTGCGAGAGGAAGCGCGGGTCCTTGGACCAGAAGAGACGGATATCAGGGATGTTGAAGAGGAGCATGGCGATACGTTCGAGGCCGAGACCGAACGCCCAGCCTATGCGGTGGGGTACGTCGGAGGAGAACAGGATGTCCTGTTTGATTATTCCGCAGCCTAGGATCTCGAGCCAGTCGCCTTGCCAGAAGACTTCTAGTTCCCAGGATGGGCTGGTGAAGGGGAAGTAGGCCTCTACCCAGCGGACCTTGAGAGGTTCCTGGTCCTGGTCCTGATCTGGGGAGGAAGCGGCGGCTGCTTTGCTGGCTTCAGTGAAGATTTTAATGACCATTCGTTCTAGAGAGCGTTTTAGATGCGCCGCGATGGCTTCGACTTCTTCGCCGTGGTGTGCTGTTTGTAGCGGGTTTCGCTCCGGGTGGATGGTGGGGTTGGGGTCATCGACGACGACATCGTGGCGAGGAATACTGTCCACGTCCTTCATAATAGCTGCCGCTGTTTCTGCAGCGTGGTCTAATGGGTTATTCTCCGGACGCTTCCATAGTCTTGCACCCTCCATCTGGTGGAAAACAGGGTAATGACTCCGGTCAATGGCATCGCGGCGGTACACGTCTGCGACAACCGTGTATCCCACTTCTTCCGGACGGGTATGTTCATTCCGATTGATCTGTTGAAAGTACGCCTGCTGGTGTGCAGAGGTATGTGTGCGTAGAACGGTCTTGTCGTTGATATAATACGTGTCCGTGCGGCTGCGGCCGGGATGGTCTAGAGGGAAGCCCAGGACATCGAAGTTCTGGGCCGTCGACACAACGGGGTCTTTTTCGGAGTAATTCCCATAAACGGGACCGGGAAATTGGCTCTCAATCAGCTTCCGGGTGATCGCTAGAGGATGATTGTCGTCTAGGTACAGACGGCGTCCGATGTGGGATAGGATAGTCCCGGGAGTGTTGGTCCATTGATCTGTTCGGTAGGATCGGCCTCCAATTGCAATGGGTTTCTGCGTAGAGGGCGGCTGTGATGGAGGTGCAACTGCAGCTGCAGTACTTTCTTCTATCCTGCGCGAGGCTGTACTGCTCCAGTCCCTGCTGGAAGAGGAAGGTGAATCCCGGAGATGGGGCGTGAGAGGAATTCGGACGCGCGGGCGAGACGGCGCGATTGACCACCTGCCACAGCCTGCGCGGAGGGCTCTGCTGGTGGCTAGTAGGCGCATTTTTTGTCGGCTGGCGCCAATTGAATGGGTGATGCAGATTCAATCTGCAAGACTGTCTTGAATCTTCAAAGTTGAGCTTCGAATATCTCCGGATCGGGTTAATGAGCTACCGGTCTCGGGAGTTACCGTTTTGCAAACATGTCCACGATCTACCGTGTCTGTTGACTCTGTTCAGCATCATCATTGTTATTATTCTGTACTCGGACAAGCTATTGCAACTGATCAGAGAATGTCGGGCATGATAGCTGTTACTCGCATTCCGAAACAGAAGACTGGCAGTGGTCACATGGGTATTAACACACTAGTACGGAGTATCTGAATTCATATATGTTACGGCTTCGCACCACCTTTCTCAAGTTTCCTAGCCATCGATCCTCCAGGTGCTCAGGATATTTCAAATTAAGTGAAGCCAATGGCCCAAGTCCCCAGGAGCCCCCATCCACCACCTGAACCGCGCCATTGACAAAGTTCCCAGCATCGCTAAACAGATATACTGTAGCATCTGCAATTTCCTTCTTGTGTCCCCAACGGCCAACAGGCACAGTATGCTTTGCCTTGCTTTCACTTTCTTTATTCGAAAGCCTCTCCATGTCCTCAGTCTCCGAAATGGATCCGAGGGTGATCACGTTCGATGTGATTCCCATTGGACTCTCAGTCAACGGGTTTAAGTCTGTTATTGACATCGATCTCCTCGGATCATCTTCATCTCTGCAATGTTTCACTACAGAGGAACTCCATTTCAGGCTCATGTGGGAGCTGGAAAAGCTGGCGTTGATCCCCCCTCTGCATCTATTGCCGTCGAATATGCCCGCTGCTCCTGCTCTGTTTTATCGTAGATAGATGAGTAGATGGAGTTGCAGCAGAATGAATAGCCGCTCACATCACAAAGTTGATATCCCCCAGTTCCTCCACACATCTGACCGCCGCCGTAGCGATGCTTTCAGGCTTCCTAACATCCGTGGACCCAATCCCGAGACTTCGCTATGTTTGCTGTACGCTCGGCGTTGCGGCCGACAAAGCTGCATTTGCACCCAGAATAACCAGGGCACGGACTTGGACACTGCAAATAGAGCCGGCACCTCCAGTGCAGAAGATTACCTTTCCGTCTTTTTTTGCATACGAAGTAGTAGTAATATGTATGCGTTAGTGATGCAAAACGGGCCGAGAGAGGAAACCGGCTTCGTGCCGGGGGTTTACATACCGAAGATGCCATCTTTCCATGCAGGGCCCAGGATTTAAAATCTTGGTAGGGGCATTATTATGAGGCGATGATGTGACTAGTCAGCTCAGATAGACAGACGCAAGTCTATCTCTGTCGGGATAGATTGCAATTCTGGAGTACAATGGCCAGTTCTTATGTGCATGGAGTAACTGTGCATACTTCGGAGACCAAGGCACTCCCGGTAGTATTGGTAACAGACTTCTATGAAGGAGTACATAGACCTGAGGCATGAGACTCCGTAGGATTCGTATCTATAAGCTTTAGCGAACGCTGTACAGTTCCGCTGGCACTTATCCAGTGGAAGTCCTGCCGGCTAGATACTGCCATGACCTGAAATATATTCATAAGGCATCCCAATGGAATAGTTATACCCTGGATTCTAACTATACGAGCATATTCAGTCTATACATTGTACGCCGTAGAAAGCTCAAATTAAATAAAGGATATCTGCCAAATCATACATGGCATTGGCCACAGAACCTTGAGATTATAGCCCAGTATTTCCACGGATATTGCCCCATGTGTGCTACATGCTTCGCTTCCTGTACATGAGATCTGACGTCTTCAGCTCCAACCAGTGGGTCCGAGTTCGAACATATATCCAGTCGTTCGCTGCTTGTCGGTATGAGGCCAGGAGAATTGATGGCGCTCCTACAGTGAGAAGCGACTATTTACCGAGAAGTGACAGCAGCTCATAGAACAGGATCACGATAACAGAGGCAGTTAGTTTAGCCACAAACCTGGGGACAAAGCATGTGCCCTATTGATTCCAAATAGAACCTCCCGATTTGCATCATGAGGAGGCAGTAACTAGTCACAAGTTAGAAGGCTTTTATTGTAACGAAAAAGTTCTCTGCGAGACAATTTCATGGCTTGACCCCGATGTTCAAGGGAGGCAATTTTAAGTCCTGTTTCTGCTCAGTGTCATTCAGAAATCGAAGTAGATGAAAGGCCAAGTCGGCGCGGAAATGCATCCGAGTATGCCGTGCGAGAGATTTGATGGACCGGGATAGACCATGTGTCGCTAAGGTCTCCGAGGATCTCGGGGGCATCACCAAGTATTCCACCATAGGGAAGCCCGATGCAGGAACCTGGAAGGAGTCTCCACCGTGGAGTCCGAATGGGAATGAGAAAAGTTATCCTTGTTCTTTGGTTGCTGTTTTACATAGAGCCGGACATGATCATGTCTCCTACTCTCCGAGGAATACTGTTGAACGAAGGACAGACATTTCTGACCTCTCGACTAGGGTTTCGGAAGGCATCAGAAATGATGAAACGATGATCTTGATGGAAATATATCACTTCCAGCGTTATTGGCGGTCGGTTGTGCTCCGAGTTGATTATCGTCAGAAGAAGAATGCCGCTGTCGCTGACTGGCTCGGAGGCAGAACTATCTCCGACCTAAGGCAGAAAAAAGAGTCAAACGCGTCTCTCCTCTTCATGGCTCTTCCATAGTCTCTCACCTCGACAAGATGGCCGCTGTAAACAAGTTGGACAGCAGCACACATGTCGGCAGCACGCCTGTTGCGCCGCCAAAGAAAAAGGTGCATTATCCGTTCTGGTTTGGAGGGTCTGCCTCGTGCTGTGCTGCTGCTGTAACCCATCCTCTGGATCTTGGTAAGGCGCCCGTTGGAGTTCTTCCCTATCATCTATTCCTTTTATCGAAACTGATGCTGACATTCTGGGATCTCCAGTCAAGGTACAATCCAAATCTTGTTCTACCTAGGTATCTGCTCCATGAAAAGAGTTCCTGGCGCTGACAGTCGTCCCACGGTCGAAGGTTCGCTTACAAACGCGAGCTCCAAATGCCCCGAAGACTATGCTGGGCACATTTGCCCATATCTTTAAAGAGAATGGCTTCCTTGCATTGTACAATGGTGTATGTATTTGGTGGAATATAAATCAGAAATCTCCATGAATTTCCACCCCTCCCCACCCTGAAAGAGATACCTTTTGATTGTTTCTTTGTGCTCTTCAGTTCGCTCACAATTGCCCTTCTCTTTTGCTCGTTTTCGTATTATTTAGCTCTCTGCTTCCATCCTCCGTCAATTGACATACTCCACCACGCGATTCGGAATATATGAAGAGCTCAAGAACTCGTTCACATCCCCTACGCAGCCCGCGAGCCTATTCACCCTTCTCGCCATGGCTTGCGGCTCGGGTTTCATTGGCGGTATTGCTGGGAATCCAGCCGACGTGGTCAATGTCCGCATGCAGTCAGACCTGGGACTGCCTCCGTCGCAACGTCGGAATTACAAGCATGCTGTCGACGGCCTGCACCAGATGGTCCGAAACGAAGGTCCCAAGAGCTTGTTCCGGGGCGTCTGGCCAAACTCCATGAGAGCTGTGCTTATGACTGCCTCGCAGTTGACAACATACGATGTCTTCAAAAGGATCTGTCTTCAAGATCTCGGGATGAAGGATAATCTGTCTACACATTTTACGTCGTCGTTCCTGGCGGGTTTCGTCGCCACGACTGTCTGCAGTCCCGTTGACGTGATCAAGACGCGAGTCATGTCTGCTCCGCATACTCATGACCATACTATTCTCCAGACACTGACAGACATCATTCGCAAGGAGGGTCTGTCTTGGGCCTTCCGCGGTTGGGTGCCTAGCTTCATTCGCTTGGGTCCTCATACCATTGCGACGTTTTTGTTTTTGGAAGAGCATAAGAAGATCTATCGCTATCTCAAGGGAATTCCGGAGCAGATATAAGCGTAAGAAACCTATCTTTGTTATTTATTCCCCCTCTATCTCTTGGCATTTTTGCTCCCCTTTTCTTTAAGCTATCTGCATTGCCTTTGACTTCACGACTCTTTCTGGATAGACGACATATAGATTAGAGCAGGTCTGCGTATAGACTCTCTTCTAGTTTTTCTATTACTTCACTTTTCATTCTATGTCGTCATTGCTTGCTTGATCTCGAGAACTGAAGTCTAGCTGTCCACGCCGTGGTAGCAACCCACAATACATTTTCTTTTGGTCCGTTCTATATGAAATCGGATTGAGTTGCACATACAACACAATATGCATTTATCTTAAGATTTATTTACCTGTTTTTTGGTGATTCTCGGGATCATGGAAGTAGATTTATGTTCGCGGGATTTCCCGAGTGACAGACTAGGGCCCCGATTCACAACGCACCTATGCACTACAAAAGGAATATAAAATGACAAATGCTTTACTGAAATATCATGTTTGGCATGCGCACTTCTCAAAATATAGCGAGTATATACAGCGCTCGCTTCAGCTCCCAGAAGACCCGTCCGCCAAGATAGAGTACACGTTGAGTTGTCGACAAAGGAAACTTGATAGTCAAACAACGAGACTTGGTTATCTAATCCAATTTGGCAGGGAAGTTTCCAGACTCTACAATTTCATGTCAGAATGGTTTGCTATGGAGCGAACTGACAATCAAGGCGACTTACCGCGCTGAGTATCCCACCGGTCAGTCCAGGCCTTAGGGCAGAGAGAACGGAAGGCGTAGTAGAACTGCGAGCAAAATAATCAGCTTAACAGCGCCCTAGACGAATGGACCGTATTTTTTCGCTATCCGCCCTAGATAGCGAAAAATAAAAATAAAAAATAACTTCACGAAAATCAGGAGCCGGGTCGCGGCTAAGTACCTGACGACATGGGCGGAAGTCTTCGCCCTTGGCATTGACACACTTGTGGTAGTCAACGTAGTTCTGCCAGCAGTGCTTGGTCCTGGAGGTGCAATTGTCAGTGACGGGTTTCTCCCTTCGTACGGTGAGAAAAACGGAGTATTTGAGCGGGAACGTACTGGTTCTGTTGAGGGAAACGGGCATCATAGCCTGTGATCCAGCAAAACTTGTCAACAAACATGCATCATCATCCACGAAGAGTCAAGCTCCACAGAGACGCTCGTGAGCAGTAAAACGGAGAGAAACCCTAAAGTGCACATACCAGCTAGAGCAGAGTCAGCAATTGAGTCCAACAGAAGGCCATTGGGCATGTCAATTCCCTGAAAAGAGGGAGGAGGGGAAGCTCACCAGTCACGAACTTGAAGGGCTTGGTCTCTAAAGGCTCATCGGGATCGGCCTCGGGGATGTTGCGGGGCATTTTGACGGCGTGCAAGAAGAGACCTTCGAAGGAACAGATAATCAAAGATATGAAAACGCGTGGAGTTGGGACTGGTCGAAGGAGAGGAGATTGATCGAGAGAGATGGATGAGGTTGGATGAGATGAGTGGAATGACCCGTGAAGCTGCAAAGCCGGATTGGCCGCGGGCGGTCTAGCGAGCCACTCAAACGGCAACATTTCCTAAACATCCGAATCCCAGCATTATTACGCCAGCGACTCTCTTTCCACAGCGTAACCTGCTTGCTGACCCTAACTCTCTGCTCTGCCTGGACTACTCTACTCTTCTTCGCCGTTTGGTTGTTTGGCCCTTTAATCTCGGCATGTATCCTTCTCGTGTGATGAGAATGCAGCCCTCCCGGGTTCTGTTCTACGCGAACTCCGTGAGTTCCCCCCCGCCACACCCTGACGACTCTCTCGCCTCGTCTCGAGTGATGATGTATGTGTGCTAACTGGAGATGTCTCTGCTCTAGAAGGAGCCTCATCGTGGTATGCTGCTGTCTGATAATACACCCGTGTGGACAATTACGGTCTTCTATTTGAGCAACCGAGGTAGCTAACAAATGGGCTTTAGCTCACACCATCTCTCAGCGCCTGCGCTCCTTGAAGAAGATCCCCCCGGAACTCATCCCTCTTGGTATGTCACATCTTCTATAATCCGTCTTACTCCAGGAAAATAATAGTTCTTGACTTTATCTAACTACGGTACTTTGTACGTGCAATAGGCGTGGTTCTTGGGTATGTTCTAGACTTCGCTGGTCACAGGCCATGTCTTTCCTTCCCTTATCCCGCTGTCCCGATTCCTCTGCTGACTTGATATTTTCAGTGTCGCTGTTGGTGCCGCTATTTACTCCAGCACGAAGAAGCTTTTTACCGACAAGACTCTGCGTCTCCACCGCAACTCTCCCCAGGATCACTAAAAATATAGCGCCTCGTTCTTCTGGTTTCCTTCAGTCGTGAGAGATCCATGTGCACAGTTTGAATGTGATGGAGGGGCTTTGATGGACTTTGATGGCCGATAGGAGAACCGGTGCGGTTGGAGGATGCAAATTGTTGCTCGCGATTGTGGGAAGTGTCTGTATGTAGTATAGCCTCAAATTGAAGGGTTTTCCGTTCGTAGTATCGTTGTTCCATAACCACTGTGCGTGGCTTTAATATTTGCTTCACCTTGCAGATCCCTGTCTTTTTTCACTCCGGTTTGGGCCCTGCAACATCCAGTTCTTCAAGTCCCTGCATTGGGTCCTGGGGCCGGCTGTCTGCTGCCATCTTGGCCTGCTCTGCCGCTAGCCTATCCTCCTCACTAACAGCGTATTTGGCCAAGTAGCCCTCCTATAAAAGTCCTACAGTTAGTAAAAAAAAAAAAAAGACGGACGCCAAGAGAAACAATAAAGTCTCCTGGGCCGTTGCATACCTGCTCCCAAATAGCCGTCTTGCTCCCAAGTCCCTCATTGCTATCCTTCTGCGGCTTAGCAGCAGCGACCTTTATCGTTCGTCCATATAGCTCGCTTCCATCCATGTTGTCGATTGCTTCTTTTGCATCCTGTGCCAATTCGAATTCCACGTAACCAAATCCTCGGTGAAGCTCCCCTGAAGATGGAATATCAGGTTTTGGGAGCGTGATATCAGCAATTTCACCGAAGGGAATAAAGGCCTCCGCTAGAGTGTGTATGGTGACGGCCTGATCAAGGCCTCCAACATAGACTGTGCTTTTTAAGCGAGTTGTTTCGCTCATCCCGTGTGATTTCTTTTAATACTTCACACCTTATCGTAAAGATATGTACCTTTGCACGAGCGCAGCGAACAGTGTACGGCAGAGAGTGAAGACTCTAGTGCGGAGCTTCGCTACTCCGCTGTATATCTATATCACGTGCCCAGTGCGGTGTCGGGAGGACACTTGGTTAAGTCGAGGATCATCGAGAACATTGTCCGCTTCTCGACCTCTGTGGACCAACTTCCTTGTTACGTGGAATACCTTGATCGAGGTGCGGGAACCTGGACTTGGGATCCTAATTATTTATTCTTTACAGAACCCCTTTCCACGACATCGGATTCTGTCACATCCTGTTGGTTCTGATCTGATTTCCCCCTAAAGGCTTACTCAGTTCTATCAGTATGGTGCGCCTGCGGGAGATCCCCCGGACGGCCACCTTCGCTTGGTCTCCCGGAGCTGCTTCTCCATTAATTGCGACGGGAACTCGAGCTGGTGCTGTAGATGTCGATTTTTCAAATGAAACATGCCTGGAGCTTTGGGATCTGGGCCTTGACCGCCAAGGTCCTACTCAGGAGCCACAACCAATAGCCAAGTTTGACACAGATTCAGGGTAGGTGCCAGTTACCTATTGATTCTTGGTTGGGATATGGCTATTCCGTTGCTAATTGGGGTTTTCCTGCAGCTTCAATGACCTTGCGTGGGCCGAATCTGACCACAATTCTCGGGGTGTCATAGCAGGTGCTTTGGACAATGGTTCTTTAAGTTTATGGGATGCCGACAAGCTGCTTAACGGAGCAAGGTCTGTCTTTTGGACAATAAGAAGTTGGCTCCTCTTACTGACTTATGGAAAGCGATGCATTGACGTCGAAGACATCCAAGCATTCAGGAGCGATTAAAGCCCTCCAGTTCAATCCTCGACATTCCAACCTGTTGGCATCTGGAGGAGCAAAAGGAGAGGTATATTCCTCCATCTATGCCATACACATGTTTCTCTGTTCGAAGCCACTGATTCCCTTCTCAGCTTTACGTTTCGGATCTCAGCAATATTGAAAATCCATTCCGCCTTGGGGGAACTGCCGCTCGAGCCGACGACATCGAATGCCTAGACTGGAATAAGAGGGTCGCACATATCTTGGTGACTGGCAGCAGCGCAGGATTTGTGACTGTGTGGGACGTCAAGACGAGGAAAGAGAGTTTGACCTTGAATAATATGGGCCGGAAGGCTGTCAGCGCTGTCGCCTGGGATCCTGAACGGGTAAGGTGCTATGATTTGAGATGCTGGATTGTTTCTGACCATCAGCAGCCTACGAAACTTATCACCTCGACCCCTCTAGAATCCGACCCCTTGATCCTGGTTTGGGATCTTCGGAATTCACATGCCCCAGAAAGGGTAAGCTCCAGTGTTTTAGGCTTGGAATAATAGTACCGGAGTAACTGACGGTTTTCAGACTCTAAGGGGCCATGAATCGGGGGTCTTGTCGCTGTCCTGGTGTGCCCAGGATCCAGACCTTCTTCTTTCTTCCGGCATGGACAACCGCACAATTTGCTGGAATCCACAGACCGGACAGGCATACGGAGAATTTCCCGTCGTCACCAACTGGACATTCCAGACTCGTTGGAATCCTCACAATCCCAATTTCTTTGCCACTGCTTCCTTCGATGGGAAGGTTTCTGTCCAGACTATTCAAAATACGAGCACCGAGACAGCAAAGGCCATCGCTGATGAAACCCAGGCCCTTGATGGTGAAGATTTCTTTACCAAGGCTCAGAGCCAACCTCAAGTTTCCAGCTTCTCGTTACCGAAGGCCCCTCGCTGGCTTGAACGGCCTTGCAGTGCTTCGTTCGGCTTCGGAGGGAGAGTGGTGTCCATTGGATTGGTCGAGAAGGGGAAGCGTATATCCAAGATCAAGATTACCCCATTCGAGGTCGATGAGACGGTTGCAAATGATACCGAGAGCTTTGAAAAGGCACTGAAAGAGGGTGACCTCCGAAGCATCTGCGAGTCAAGGGCGACAAGTGCGGTAAGCGATGAAGAGAAGGCGAACTGGAAGGTTATTGAAGCTTTAATATCTGAAGATCCCAGAAAGAGTCTCGTTGACTATCTCGGCTTCAATGGCCAAGCTGGCGAGGCCACCGATGGACTGGCTAAGCTTGATCTGAACAAAGAAGCTGAGGGGGAGGTCAACGGGAAACTAGAGCAGGACAAACTAAGCCCACCAAAGGTCAAGAAGCATAAACGCTTGCAATCTATGTTCGATGCAAGCGCCGAAGCGGATGACTTCTTGTCTGACTTGGCTGCTTCGAAAGGTGCCAAGACCTATGATCCTTTTCAGATTCTTACCGGTTCTGAAACCGAGGCAGAGAAACAAATCACTAGGGCCCTGCTTTTGGGTCAATTTGAAAAGGCTCTTGATGTCGCTCTGAAAGAGGACCGCATGTCGGATGCGTTCATGATTGCGATCTGTGGGGGTCAAAAATGTATTGAAAAAGCGCAGGAGTTCTACCTGTCAAAGCAGGCTGATGGGCCTAACTATGTGCGCTTGCTCGCATCTATTGCTGGGAAGAATCTCTGGGATATCGTGCATAATGCCGACTTGTCCAACTGGAAGGAGGCTATGGCGACTCTATGTACCTTTGCCGATGAAAAGGAGTTCCCAGATCTTTGCGACGCTCTCGGTGACCGGATAGAGGAGCAAGTCCGCAGCACAGGTGATAAAACTGCCCGCAAAGATGCCTCCTTCTGCTACCTTGCCGGTTCTAAACTGGAAAAGGTTGTCGGCATCTGGCTTGAGGAGCTTGCAGAAAACGAGCAGAAGGGTATTGAAACAGCCGTTGACAATTCCATTTTCTCCATCCATGTGCATGCTTTGCAAGCCTTGATCGAAAAAGTGACGGTCTTCCGACAGGTTACCAACTTTAAGGACACAGAACAGACTAAAGAATCGGACTGGAAACTCAGTGCACTCTATGACAAATACATCGAGTACGCTGATGTCGTCGCAACTCATGGGCGGCTACAGATTGCACAGAAGTATCTTGACCTGGTTCCAGAGAAGCATCCCGAGGCTGAAGTCGCAAGGAACCGTATCAAATTGGCCATGAGGCAGGCTACTCCTCAGAAGCCGCAGACGACTACAACCAGGACCGCCCCGGCTCCCAGCAACAAGCCTTTACCACCACAGCCCAGTGCCTATCAACCTCAACTGAACTTCGCTACGAGTGCACCAGTACCTACGGTGCAGAACCCTTACGCTCCTCCAACTGCTGCGTCACCACCACCAGCAAGCGCTTATGCACCACCGACAGTTCCTGCAGCACCTCTAGCAAACCCATACGCACCTCAAGCAGGAGGCCTTTCACAACCAGCGAACCCCTATGCTGCCATTGCTAACAGTGGCTACAACCCCACGGGTTACCAGTCTCCGCAACAAATGAGACCTACAGCCGTTCCGCCACCCCCAGCAGCTGGTGTTCCTCCTCCTCCTCGTGCATCCACTCGTTCGCCGGCTACAGTCACAACGTACACCACTGCCAAAAACCTTCCCGCCTGGAACGATTTACCAGAAGATTTTGCAAAGCCTCCGATGGCACGCAGAGGAACTCCCAGCGCAGTAGCTGCGCCCATCAGTTCACCGTTCTATAACTCAAGCCCAGTAACGGGAGGGCCTCCGCCCCCTGGACTTCCAGTCGGTGGACAGCGAGCGCCGTCGGTTCCTCCTCCGCCTAAAGGCGTAGCACCACCACCGCGTGTGACTTCACCTGCAACTAGTCGACAGGGGTCTGTCTCAGGAGTTGCTCCGCCTCCCAATCCTTATTCTCATTTGCACCAATCTCCCCAAACCGTCTCTGCAATGGGAGTCCCACCACCGATTGCTCGGGGGCCTTCTCCGTACACTGCACCCCCATCCGTACCGCCACCAACTAGCAGATATGCTCCGAGCCCAGCGCCTCAGCCCGCGAGCCCAATCTTGCAGAGTCGGGCTCCTATTCCGCCACCACCTCAAGCCTCTGCCTCACCCTATGCACCGCATCATGTTCAGCAATCTTCTGTAGGAAGTCATAACGCTGTTGGCAGCCCTCCACCAGTTCACCAGTCCTTGCCTACTCCTCAGGGTTCTCGGCCGAGCACCGCGCAGTCGCAGCGACCAGTTGCCCCTGCCCCTGCACCCGCGGCCGCGAAATACCGTAAGTTTGCATGCTGATGATAGTACTAGCAGTTATTTACTGACTATTCTTTGAAGCTCCGGGTGACCGCTCTCACATCTCATCCGACGCACTTCCTATTTTCGAGATTCTTTCAGCAGAGATGCAGCGCGTGAAGGGTCGTGCCCCATCGTCTTTCAAGGTGCAAGTTCAGGATGCAGAGCGACGCCTGAACATTCTTTTCGACCACCTCAACAACGAAGACCTACTTAAGCCAAATACCGTGGTGGATATGGTGGAGTTGGCGCGCGCAATTCAAGTGCGGGACTATGAGACTGCCCGAACCATTCACCTTGATATTATGATGAATAGAACAGATGAATGTGGCCACTGGATGGTGAGTATCAGACCACTTAACACAAGTGTCTCCCTAGGACCATTTCACGTATACTAATTTCCTGGTTACGTACAGGTTGGTGTAAAGAGGCTTATTAGCATGAGCAGAGCAACGCCTTGATTGGTTGTGATGTTGGACTCTCTATGATCAATCAATGGGTTTGTATAGAGCATGCTAATAAGAATACCTCCTTCATGTGAGCTATGCTTCTGCTTGAAGCGTATGTTTATTTTCTCTGCTATTTTATTTTGCGATCGCCTATCCGAGACTTGTTGGCAGCGCTTGCCAGCGTTTCATATCGAGTTAGCTTAGGTTCTGTTTTCTTTTTAAACTTCTTTTTGTACTATTGGTTTGTGATGAATTTGCGGGACGTACTCTCCTAGTTGTAATCTCATGAAACTAGTCTATAAATAAAAGCAGATGTTCTGTATGGGAGAAACTTGTGAGCCCATAAGAGCGGTCCTGGAGGCAGTGAGCGCAGCCTAGCCGACACCTAGACCAATGCCACACACGACACAAGGGCCTCGAACGAAGAACTTGACACCAACAATTCTTGTTGAAAGCTATCTATCTATGCGGGCCTAGAAGTCTATTTAATGCCAGTAGAGCTGAAACATTGAAACAGGGAAACGAAATGCCTGAACTTTTCCGGTGTTCCCCCGGTATATTACATATCTAGAACGAGACTACAGTAGTCACTACTACTCTTCAGGCTGACCCTAACATGATAGAAATGAATAGATGATCCATAATCTGCATCCCAACCCTTGAATATATATATACACTACAGCCCCGGGAGATTGAAGATTTCATCAAAAAAAAAAAAAAAAAAAAGCCTGAACTTGTACATTCTATACCCTCACCTCCCGATAGAGACACCAACACCGCTCCTCCTCGCACCACCTGAAGGGAAATTCCTTGCACTCAACATGGCTCCCTTGAAACCACGAATCTCGGACCTAAAATTAGAAATCGCATCCTCCTCACTCTTAGGAAGGCCTACAGAAGAACTCCCGAAACTGTCGATCCCAGGAGACGTGAAGACGCCGTACCCGGTCGTCGCACCATAAGAAGGAGCACTATATGCCAAACCATCCAGGTAAGAGCGCATATCTGCGATACGGTTCCTGGCAGCGTCCTCGTGGGAGTCGGACAACTTTTCCGATTTGAGGAAGTCCTGGAGACACGAGTTGATGGCTTCGATTTTCTGCACGTGAGCCTTTACCTTTTCTGCCGGGTCGATGGTCGAAGGTGGTGTATTTGCAAGATTCTCAGTGGAAGAAGAAGAAAGAGCGTCCGGGGACGTTTGTGTGGCGGCATCTCTGTGCCAGAGCTCGGTTGGGTCGGAGGTTATGGAATCGGAGTCACCTCCTTCTTCTTCTCCTTCCTGGTCACCCTTGGAGTGGTGGGAAGAGAGAGATAGCTGCGGAGGGATAACCGAGACGTTATCTTCTAATTTCTTGTTGAGGGTTTTGAGGTTCTCGTGGGCTGACTCTGCGAGCTCGCGTCGCGCGTTTGCCAGGGTGGCCAACATGGCCTTCACCAGGTATTCACTCGCGGCGTATAGACCTGTACCTAGCGCGGCTGTACTGTAGATAGTGTAGAGAACGCTGCGAATCGAGACCAGTGGCGGTGGTTTCAAGGGCTGGAAGAGAAACTCTGGATAGGTGATTATAGGAGGGATGTCGCGATTTGCCGAGGGCTGTGAAGAGGGGGAGGATGAAGATGGAAAGGGAGATGGTGACGACGTTGATGATATAGCGACATCAGGCTGATGTCCATTATTATTGTCTGTTGACGGTGTCGGAGAAGAAGACAAAGCTTGGGAGGCATCCTCGGTCGCGGCTGTGCTGGTAGCAGGTGTATCTGTGCTCGTCGAGGCGCCCAGGACGCTCTGAATTTCATCGTCGCTAAGTCCCTTGGTCTTTAAGAATGCCACTTTGTGCTCCGTAGACTCTTTTGAGATAGAATCATCTTGTAGGAACTTGCTTGCCTGATTCAAAAGCGCAGCTCGCTGGGGAGCCGCAGGCACAGCGGCGTTCTCCTCGGGGCTCGGGGCCGGCTGTGCAGCTTTCTGCTGCCACTGCGTGATGGAGGCCTTCTTGGAACCGGAGTCCGTCATGCTTAGCTCCTTCAGTGCCGGAGGTCAGGAGTATGAAGTTCGGTGTGAACTTGAACTGGCGATGGATGAGGGATCCGGGGGGTCTGCGGAGAAGGCCCATGTGACTTGAGACCTCGGCTGTGTTTGGAACAGGTCACGTGGTATTATCGAACAGTGCTCCCCAGGCAGCGTCCATGCATGATGCATCTAAGTATCTGTTCGCAGAATAGTTGGGATATTTCGAGCCAATTGAGGAGAATACTACATTCCATCAACCGCTTCTTACTGCGCTAGCTCTGCGGGGGTCTGGGCTGGAAATGAAGCGAAGGAGTTGGCAATCTTGATGCCACACCGCCTGCCGGCAGAATGACGAAGGGCAAAAAGTGAGAATTGCAGCGATTCCTCCGGCCGACTTGAATGCTCTGGAGATCGCAGTCTATTGCTATTTATATATCAAATCGAACGCGGAGGACAAGCAAGACGCTGCACATAGCTCTGCCTGTCAATCAGCGCCAGCTCTCGGCCAGTAAGCCCGAGACGGACATCCGCTGCGTGGCCTGGATGCCGTCGCGCCCGTCGCAAACTCCCAGGTACGTGAGTGAGAGTATCAGCCGGCTATTATTTCTCTTGGGATAATGCATGTCGCTGCCGTCTTATCTTCCAAGATGGCTTGTTCTTTGTTTTATTTATCTTTTGACTTTTTTTTCGGCTTTTTTTTTATTTTCTCTGTTACCCCTTTTCCCTGAGTTTCCTCGGGGTTCGTCAAAGCATACTTCCATGGCCCCCAACCACCGCGAGGCATCAGGAGTGTCCAACTCACGAAGAGCATCTGCGTCTTCCTTGCAATTTGACTTTCATGTGTCATTTCGGGTCGTCCTGTGTATGGTCGGATCCTGTTCAGTCAATGATCGGTGCCTTTAGACTTTCTCCACGATCACAAACGATGTCGGACTACTGACGTTGTTTGATCTTGCACTATTCCGATCGTATTCACTGTGCCACATGCTGGGAATCAGAATCTCCCACAGGCCTACCTTCTTTGTCAGCTGCCAGGTCTCCCACCTTCAAGAGGAGAGGAGAACAAGACAAGACAGGTCCTGATGCTTCTGGTCCCTCATATCTTGTCACACTCCTTTCGCATTTGTTTCTCTACTTTTATCATTCTATCGTTCTTGGTTCACCCTCAAGGCACTTCGATTCTAGCCAGCCTTTAGCCCACTGCATCTCACCTTCTATTCTTCTTCCCATGTCTTCACGTCGCTCCCTTCGGTCTCGCCCTATGCGGGCTGATCCAGTGAATGTGGCCTCTAACGCAAGCACGAGATCTACTAGATTTTCCGATTCTGTCGCTACTTCTGATCCAGTGACCCTTTCTCGATCTACGTCAGACTCATCAGAAGACCCCAAAAGGTCATTTCGTCTCACCTTGAGGATGCCTTCAAACAAACTCCGTGAAGTCAGCGGTCGTGGCAAGGCAGACTTGGCTGCTGTGGGGAAACGCAACATATTCACCGAGAACCCTATCATCACTGGACCGCGGAACAGCAGATCCAAAAAGAAGATTGTCGAAGTGGACACTAGCGACGATGAAGATGACATAGAAGACCAGGAGGAAGACGAACTCGATGAAGATGAAATGGATGTCGATGGCGATGCAGACGTAGATGATGCTCCACCTCGGCAACCTGTGTCCAAAAGGAACACCAAGGCTTCAGCACCCTCTGGAAAGGCGGCTAAGAGCGTTGAAATGAAAGAGATGGATGTAGCGGAAGAAGAAGACGAGGAGCTGTCGGAGCTGGAATCAGACGCTGGAAGAGATGCTGAAGAGCAAGAGGAAAGCGGGGCCGCCAATGGAGTCGCAGATGACGATGGGTTGGAAGAGGAAGATGAGGAAGACGAGGAAGACGAAGATGAAGATGAAGATGTCGATACCGACCAAGCGACCCCTGCCAGTAGAACAAGCACGCCGGACTTCAACAGGTTGACCAAGCGGCAAAGAGGCTCTTTGGGTAATGACTTTTTGCAGCTTCCCATGGGTGAGTTCTAGTTCTTTCTAGTTTACTGTGTTTATATAATCTTTTGGCTACTAGCTCACACATCGACAGAGCCCCAAGTCAAGAAGCATCTAACGGCGGAGGAGCGCGCTATGCGTCGCGCTGAAATGGCACGACGAAGGAAAAATCTTAGTGAGAAGCGCAACGAGGAAGAAAAGGTACACATCCTAGGGTTGTTTTGCGGGAACGCTCCCTGTCTTCCTCCTTGTTCTCCTTCTCCCCTTCCATATATAGGTAATGCTTACTAACTTCGTACAATTAATAGATGGATACAATCAACAGGCTTCTGAGAAAACAAGCCCCAAAGCGGCGCGGCAGGATGTCCGCCGTCGAAGCGCCAGATGCTATCCCTGGAGAACAGGAGCAGCCGGAGATAGAGAAACCGGACCCAACCATGATTCGATGGATCAGCGATCGCGATGGATGCAAGGTTGGAGTTCCGCAGGAATGGCTTGGTACTTCTGCAGGACGTATGTTCGGAAGCAACACTTCCGGGGACAATCAGACCCGGAAGCTCGTCGAAGAAGTATGAGCATGCATGGATTATGAGGATGTCATGTCAAGGGGGGAATTGTGCATTTAATAAAGACTGTATGATTTTATACCGATCCGGGAAATGTGACGAATTACGGTAACAGGGATTACTGGCGAGTTATGGGACTGTTTATTTGAGAAGTTAAAACGAGTTTGCACTATACCTATCCTAAGCCGTTTTAGAAATTGAATTAGAAAGGGATAAAAGAACTAGCCTTCTACAAATTCCGTAATACTTACTCATTACGGGCAACCTTCACATTATTGGTATGCAGACGGATGGACTGAAAGTACACAACCTTCACAACTCCAGCAAGTACTCCCAGCACAGTCAATCCCTCAATATACCCTTTCAGCAACATTCCCACTATATTCCAGATATTCCACCCCAAAACCAAATCACCCTCCTCCATGGCCATCAGAATACGAGTGCCTTCACACGTAAAACCCACCCAACAGAGAAGCAACCCCAAGAATCCAGCATTGACAGACTGCACCCTTCCCATGTGTCCTTGCCCCGCATAATCATGTTGCTCACAGCACGTTCCTTGCCAGCCTTGAGGGAGCGCTGCTTGGTGGAGGAGAAACAGGAGGGGAAGGAAGAGAAGTTGGTGGTTCCATTGCCTTTTTTGAGATGGAAGATGAATGGGGTGTCGAACAGTGGATAGCACCTACTTAATGGGATAATCATCAGCATGAATCCCGTATATGAGATGCCATACGGTGAGATATCCACACGGCACATAGCACCGCTCGTGGCACTGACAATTGGGAAACAGGAATAGATGTGTGCTATCTACATAACACTCATTAAAGCAGCAGCATCTTGCAAAAGATTCAAATAGAATATTAATTATCGCGATGCTTCAATCTCCCTAAAAGGTAACCTGCCCTGTAGGTGGAAGAAGATATAATATGTAAATATGTGAAACGAAGAGTACTGCTGAATCGAAACAACCAATCCAAAGCATGCAACTTGCTAGAAGCCAAAAAAAGATAAGAAAGGAGGGAGATAGCAATGGTATAAAACGGAGCTGAAACGAGGAAGCAGGATAATCATCATCGTAGCTTGTTCGTGTCACAATGCACTGCATGAAGAACATACCACCCGGAATCATATCGTTCAGATGTGCAAGGCACAATTGCGTTGCCGCGAGACTTCTATGAGGATAGATATAGAGCCTGGAGTCTCTCAGTGAGTTATACTATATCGTCTTTCTTGGCCGTTGAAAATTCAACAGAAATAAATCGCAGCAGATGCAAACCAGACCAAATCAAGACAGCAAAACATTATATCGAAGCATTGATAACTGGTGGTGAGAATAAAACCAGCACCATTGGAGAATAAAAATTAGAGCACTATAAGTATGTAAGAGAAACGCTCTTTCATGGAATCATTATCGTCTCTCATCATCATCATGAGTTCGTATGGGCATAGGGTGTGCTGAGATGTATAAAAAAAGCATTCGAATAGTAACATCACAGCTGTTACACACTTGCTGTTCGTCGTGGGACTTCGCTTGGTTTCTGTGCATATGCAATTAACAGTCTGAAACCCGTCCCTTGCTGTTGACATTCGCGAAGTAGCTTCTTGTCAACCCAGATGCTATGATCAAGGTCACCATTAGGAAGAATGGGGATTTCGTAGCATCGCGTGTACCACCACCGGCCGACTCTGGCCACGATATTTGCGATCCACTCATCGTTTGCTGGAGAAGGTGATGGGTCGGACAGTAGATCTCCAAGCGATACTTCCGAACTGGCAAACGGAGAGCTTAAGTTAGCACGAGCGCCTTTCCTTGTCTCCGGACGGAGTGATGGACCATTCGACAGTTTCGTAGTGGCCGAAGCAGAGGCAGTACCAGCAGAGGTCGTAGCATTTGAGACTGAAGAACGGTCCGAAGAAGAGGATTCAGAAGACCTGACCCTCCCCACGACGGGAACTCGAACCATGCATCGCCGGAGATTGTCGAACCCGTGCTTTCCAAGGAGTCGTTGGATACTGTCGCTTACTGGTTTCAGACTGATACTGGCATCAGCCATACATGTCTTCTCCTTGAGTTTTCTGACAGCCCTCCTCGTCCGGATTCCCATACTGATCATATCCAAGTCCAACAGGCTCATTTCCAGGTAACCCCCGGATCGAAGTACGCGTTTGCACTCCGATATCACATTACTCTGAGCCTTCTCTGAGCAAGATGAGGGAAAGCGCAAGATGGTAGCAGCGAAGTATCCTTTTGGGAAAGGAAACAGACTCTCCAAGGACGAGTGGCGAATCGTATAATGGTTCGTAAGAGGTTGCAAGGAAGGGGGCTGAGTGAACCCGGTAGGAGAAGGGTCAACATTGAGACTGAATATTTCCGCGGTGGGATAAGTTAGGGCGCAGTAGAACGACCAGTCATCATTTCCCAGACCATCAATGACGAGAATCCGCTCTCGTTCCCTGGATGTGACATGGCTATGAGCAGGACTGAATAGCACTCTCCCAAAGGAGAGCCAGCGGCTAGTCATGAGTGACCCTGACCGGATGTTAGTTTGAGCCGTGGTTCCTTCACGTTCACGCTCCGCAAGATCAACGAGAATAGTATTTCGGCGTCGAGATGTCTCGAAATCTTGACACGGGCTAAACGATGATGAGCTCTGTTGTTGATCAGGCGTAATGGAAGCTGACGTGTCGTTGAACTGTATAGCCTCTGAAGAATCTGCAGTATTATCATCGCGGTCAACTTTCGGATCATCACAGGATTTCCGAATCGATAGATCCGGTGATGGACGCAAAGCTGACGCGATCATGGAGTAGCTAAGTCGGACAGAGCTACAACTTGATCGAATCGACTCCGGTTTATGTTCCGCAGACTGAGGTCGCATGAGAATAGGAGAAGCGCAGGCATCCGGATCGGAATTCAAGTGATCTTGAAGAGTCTCGCTGGCGGTATTTGCCATCACAAACCGTTCTTCCATGCCTGGCTTCTTCTGTCCACAGGATCTTGAATGATGGAGAGCAAACTGCTCGATAAGATCGTCATACTCACCCCAAATCTCATCCTCAGTAGGTGCCGAACCCGGTTCTGGAATAACAGCCGTAACGGCAGCAAAGCTAGAGTTTGTGCCTTCTGAGCCACTCGATGACGATAGCATTGAGTCTTTCCTCGGAGACAAAGCCAGAAACTCATTACCCGCGTAACTTCCAGAAATAAAATCCATAAGACTTCTTTGTGCAGGAGGATCACTGAGTGACTGTGTCGGCTGAGGATCTACCATGATTGGCTTGCTAGGTTGGGCATCCGTCCGCGTAACGTTGGTAGAATGACTTGGAGGATTGTAATCGCAAGCCTGGCTCGCTGCTAGAGCAGTTGAAGGAGTTGGCTCAGGAACACCAAAGGGTCTGGAAAAGGACTGCAGGGGCGGTTTATGCTCTCTGTCTCGCTTCGAGACAACTCGTGGTATGCGGCCGACTGATGCCAGCCGACTTTGGGGCTTGTTGACTTCTGGTTGCTTTGAAATTCTCGAAGGGTACTGCAAGATCTCATTGGAAAGGACTTGGGACAATGATTCCCCATTATCACGAGACTTATCTTCCAATTTGGGAAGCGGAGGCAGCGATTCTGGCCTGCCATAATCATCCATGAAATTCAAACCCACAGGAACTTGACCTGGGGCGCTAGTCTCATCTTTGGTCGCTGGGGACTCATTAACTTGACGAAAAACCTCATCCAGAGAATCCAAATCAGTGTCCACGAGAGCATAATGCGCTACAGGCCGTTGGATTGCCACAGGTGAAACCGTTGCACAGAGCTCAGAAGTAGATTGAGAAGGCAGTGTTGGAATTGCATCTCTGCTTGCTGCACCCTGGCTTCGTTGGAAAAAGTTCCACTTGAAACCTTTCCGTTTTCCCAAGACCCGCTCCTTTTCCAGAGACGGTCTAGGCCCTGCAGTATAGTTCGATCTAGGTAATGAAGCAATACTTGAGTTGTAGCTATCGAAAGACGGGCGCGGAATTGCAGTCTCTGATTTAGTTCGGGGGCCTTGGGAATTCAGCGAGGCCGGTTTCCCATGAGTCTGAACTGGACTGGTAGCAATCGTGGCATTTTCTTCAAGGCTGTCTCGTGCCTTCGGGCGACGGCTCGTACTGGGAAGGCCGCATCTACCATATTCAGCTGACATCCCAACTGACGAAGCTAGCGACTCAGTCGAATGTCCAGCCGATGGTACAACCCTGGAGGGGTTTCCAAGACTGACAGCAGAAGAAAGACTAAGATTGCTCGTACTCTGTTCACTTCGCGTACGCGCGAGATCAGCTCCATCCGAGCCTCTGCCGTTTATGACAACGGGTTCAAGACGGTGAAGAAGAAATTCATCGAGGTCCAAATCCGGTCGACTTTTGATGTTCCCCTTGTTGCTGGAGACAGACCGGCTACTGCTGCTACTAGCGCTCGGCCTTCGACCAGGGTGAGCATACTTTCCATAACCTTCATGCCCCGTTCCAGCAGCCGGGCCTTTGCGGGTTGGCAGCCTTTGATCCGAGTTAGCCTCCGGTTTAGACTTCCTTGTGAAAAGACGCAATCTCCTCGCGGTTGTCTTTTTTGTATCTTTGGTTTCCTCTGGTTTCTCCAGTGTCATTGTGGGTCTCCACTGAAACAAGGACGGCGTTGCAGTTCGAGATGTGTCCGAATGGACCGAGTTAGCTGGCCCGGCTGTTGTATGAGCATGCCTCAGAGTCTGTCGACTGGGAATGTCGAGCTTCTCTGAAGACTCGCGACGTTTATGCCCTGTTGTTTTAAAAGACCCCAGATTGCTTTGGATCACGGGTGACGGTTGCAACTCCAATTGATGTGTACCTTCTCTGCTAGGACGTGACGGAGAATGTACATGCTCGGCGGCTGTACTCTCCGTTCTTGTCAGTTCTTTACTAAGGGGATCGAATAACTGTCTTTCCGCGACCTCCTCCTGTTTCCGGCATGTCTTCATATCCAGATCGTCCTGCTTTCTCGCGGCAAACTTCATAGATGACTTCCGGGGCGGAGTTTTTCTTGGAAGCCCAGGTGCCTTCGAATGGCCAGTTTGATTTAAAGTCTTCCCTCGTTCATCTTTAGTAGATGGCGCATTAGGGCCCGCTAACTTGGTCGCATTTCGTGGGCTAGGGTTTTTCGGTTCAGCACGGGCAGATTGAGGGCTAGAATTCAGTGAGGGAGAGGACACCGGTAATCTAGTACGGGAAGGGCTTGAGGCGAACTTGGCCGAAGAAACAATTCCCGGAGAGTATGACGACAATGAAGTTGGGGTCGACGTCCTGCTCCATATTCCAGGAGACTCTGAATACCTTGTCGAGGGACTGCTTGTTGAGGCAAAAAAAGGTGTGGGTGCAGGAGGTGGCAGTGGTGGTAAGTTCTGAGTACTTATTGTAGTCGTCCTCAGACTCGCAAGCTCCCTGGGACCATGGGTTGCTGGAAGCCCTACACCCTCGCTCGTAGTCTTTCGATATGGCACGTACAACGAGGATGATTGCTGGACCGACAGTGGCAGGTCAAAACGAAGCTGCTGAGCATCACCGGGAATTTGGCTATTACCAATAGTTGGAATGACCTCTCTCAGATTCTCTGGCTGTGAAATCTCCTTCTGAAATGCTCCCCTCTCGCGCTGTCCTATTGTCGGAGCCTTCCTACGCAGAACATTCCGTGGACGACTGCTGGCGGGTGCAGTCTGGACCACCAGAGGCGAAGGATTTATCGGTGTCAGAAGTGAAGGTGAAGGCTGTGTGGTTCGGCTAGGGATCCCGGAACTGGTAGAAGGGAGGCGGGGTATTCCAGGAGACGATGCCTGACTTCTCGGTCTAGGAAGTAGTGACGGACGAGAGTCATCACTGTGTGAGAGCCTAAAAGGACCTGAAGAGACAAGGACTGGCCGACTCTGTTCCGCGCCAGAGAAAGATGCTGCCCGCATCATTCTAGGCTGAGGTTTCGTCGGCCGTGGAACCTGAGAGCACGAAAATTGCGAAATCGACGTACTGGAAGAACTCAACGAAGGTGATGTCCCTAGAACCGTTGTATTTCCATTTTGAGGAATATCCCTCGGCCTTGGTATTCGACTCCCGTCCGGCTTATACGACCGCATCGTGAGATTTTGGCTTGGGTTCCGCATTCCAGCATAAGAGCCAAGAATATAATAGTGAATATAAAATTTCCAAGTTTGAAACCATCCCGCCTAAGAGACGAATGTCCGAATCGACTGAAGGAGTGGGGGCTGCTGTAGATATGGCCTCTATAAGCCTCCGTCTTCAGATATAATCGCCACAAGGCGCAAAGATCATCAGTCTCACCATATAAGCTTTAAGAAAACAGCCACGGAAGTGAAGGATTCGGGAAATGCTCATTCAGAGGCGAGAGAAGAGATCATTGTATACAGGAGAGAGTCCGTGAATCCTTTGAAGACGTAGGAGGGTATCAAGCCGGACAAGCGAGATAAAAGAAATATCTATGTAGAGCGGATTCTAATTTAGGATCGAATGAACAAAAAAAAAAAAAACCAAGATATTAATGGCAGGGCCGAAAAGTCAAATATCTTGCGCAGTCATGAGTATGCTGGATCTCTATGCACCGACTTCGCCACAGCGTGGAGTAGCTGGCAGTGGCTTATGCCTGCACGACCACGTCACAGAGCTTTCCAGAGAGAAGCCCAGCATATGCTATGGTTAATAAGAATACATTAAAAAAATTAGGATCGGGAAGAAAGATACCCATGACGGCTGAAGGCCTCGAAGCGAGGAACTTAGGGACTTTTTGAAGCCACGCCCGGAACCCCTGTAAATGTGCATAACCGCGTCAAGTGGAGATGGATATGAAGGCACTCGGGCAATACGGCTCATAGCGTAGGTTAAGTTGGTTTGAACACTCGACTCAGGCCCTGTTTTGAAGGAACTCCAGTGATAGTGGATATTATTGGCGAGCAGAGACGGGTTGTCAACGAGTCAAGACTGTGTGGATCGGGACGGCAAGCGGGTCGGAAAGAGGCAAAACCGGTAAATCGCAAGAAGATTCGATCTCCCAGGACTCAGCAGGGAGGATAGGAGTCAACGGCAGTATGGAGAGACGGGTAGGCGTTGGACGTTAAGGCGAACTTGGTGGACCAAGCGGCATCGTCGAAGGCGTTGGGAGAATCCCGACTGTCCAGCCGTGGCGGATCACTCACAGTGCGCCAGTAGCCTTGCCCAGTTCATTGGGGCAGTCGACCTGCATGAGCTGAGACGTGATTATTGCGGGTGGAACGTTCGACGATGGCCGTCTTCCTTGTTCTGTTGGCCCTCTTCCCTGACGGCGATCACGAGACCTGAACTCGATTGACGCTGGATGACAATTCCTGGAACTTCAAACTCCTTACATCCCCCATGCGACTCGCCATCGTTAACCTTCTCATCCCTGATGTAGCCAGTCATGACGGAGAGAAGCCCCACGGCGCTCGCATTCGAACATTTTAGGTTTCTGGAACGTGCTTCTTCGACCCGTTCTATTCCCAGTCTGGTTCAGATGCACTCGCAGATAAGCGCCCTATTTCGAGCCCCTCCAGACTCTATTCTACGAGATATCAAAAGCTGCTGGATACTCCGCTGTGCGGCGCAGATCTGTTGTTTATCTTGCTCATCGAGGCATCTGATCTGCACGGACTCCAGACGGTGCCAGGCACTAACGCAAGTTTCAGCTACCGTCTTCGCTGCTATGATTACCACGTCATTCACGGATTCGCGGAACTGCTATTACCTATGTGCGGTGGCACACCGATGTCCAATCCAGGTTTCATTGTTTTTCCTTGGTTGAATGCTAACGGTTACTCCACACTATACAGAGGTAGTTAGGACGGCGGAAGCTCCAGTCTTCCATTGGACTAACATTGAGATTAAGGCCGCATCTTAAGAGTGTCGAATGACAGGCTCGCAGCTCAGGTAGAGAATAACAAAGCCCCCAAACCAGCAGAGGTGGAATTCAAAGTAGAATAAAAGATATCCTCAATTATATCATATCTCTCTATAACGCCCATAACGAAGTATCTTAAACCCACAGTCTCATGCAGAGCAACAGGAACTGGAGAAGTTCCTGTAGAGACTACTCACGCGGCAGTCGCAAATCTCTTCTTCCTAGCCTCCATGGCAAGAGAATCTTTCTCGCTCCAGGCTGGCTGCCCACTGGATTTCCCAACGTTCTGATCGTTTCGGTTTCCATTTCCGTTACGATTGTTCCCCCGACGCCTGTTCCTGTTCCGTCCAAAGTCACGTCTCTTTCCTCCTCGCCCTCCCTGGTCGTTGTCATTGCGGTTCCGTTTCCGAAGGCGTCCTTCAGGGAGAGCTTCATCTAATCCCTTGACACCAATAGCAGCGGCACCCTCAGTAGCTCCAGTCCCAAACCGCTTAGCTCTCTGCAGTTGTTTCTCGGCTTCCGAAAGTGCAGTTTGCGAGTCCTCAACGATGCCGAATTTCTCCGCACGAGCCTTGCGCTTCTTCAATTCCTCCTCCATTTCGGAAATAGGCAGTCCCTTGGTGTAATCAACTGCAGGCTTCTCTTCAGCCTTGGCCGTTTCTACTTCCGCACTCTCAGGCTTCTCAGATGGCACCGCGCCAACCGATTCAACCTTGAGGTCGTCGTTGGTGGCGGGATTTTCACCTAGCTCCTGGTTGGGAACAGATACCGGGTTGTTGACCGCGCCCTTGCCTCCCGCCGCAAGAGTAGCCGCGCCAGCTTCCGACGATATTTTTCCCGCAGTAGGTTCCTCAACAGCAGCATCATCATCCCAGTCAATGACATCGTCTGCGGTGTCTGCCTTTCCAGAATCGGTGGTAGTAGCAGCGGCGGCGGGGGCAGTAGGTTCGGCCTTGGCCTTGTCCTCGTCGTCTTTGTTTAGGCGAGCGACCAGCTCCGCCTTCTTGCCATTGTAAGAAAGAGATCGAGATTTGAGGATCTCCTGCAGTTCAGCAACGGTCTTCTTGTTGTAGTCTGTAGCCATTATCCCCGAATATACGAGTGGGATTGATTCTCTTTTGCGTAGATCAGCGGTTACGGATCGAGAGCGCCACGGGCAACAGGTCAAGGATGGGTAGAAGAGTTGTGTATAGATGGGAGGCGTGGTGGCTGGGAGAATTCAAGTCAATTCAAGACAATGAGCATAATTCACTGAGTATTGGCAAATGAAAGTAAGGAATAAAAAGGATGAGTGGGATTGAATAACAGGAGAAGCAGGATATGATGAATGCGACCAGGCGTCAAAAGACGCGTTGCCGTCGGGGCTAGATCACGTGAATGACATAGTTAACTAGTTAATTACGCTGGATTATGTCAGCCAAGTCTTCTTGCCTTAGGCATGCAGGCCATCAAGGGAGAAGCATACAGCTTTCGGGCTTTACTTATGAGCTGGCCGTTTGCATCAATCAAAAATGTCACTATTTCTGGTGATAAAAATGTGGCTCTCCCTGCTTGGAGCAATGCACCGACCTATGGAGATATTTTAAGTATCTTGCTTGCATCCTGCCTCTAGAGAGAGGATCGTATGGGAGTACAGCTGTAATTTATGCCGTAGATAACCTAATACTAGCCACAGCCACAGCCACAGCCCTAAATATTCTGAATACTGTGGGCCGTGGCGGGCGGAACCGTGGCTGTGTGGGATAACACTATGATGCCTGAGGACCCAACCGGAAGAATTTCTGTCTCAGGCCCAGACATGTATCTTCAAGTGAATTCCTTGTCCTCTTGCAACTCTGCGGCCAAGTAAAGAATGGGAAGTGAACACAGTGGGAGACCTCGGGGTAAAATCAAAGGAGCTCCAGACTACGACGATGCATCATTCTGGGATACCAAATTTGCAACCGGCCAGGACGTCGGTGAATGGCTGAACTCTGGCCAAGTGCTTCTCAAACCTGTTTTATCAGCTCTGGAGCAACGACAGCATGGACACACACCTTCAGTATTGCATCTTGGACCAGGAGTCTCAAAGCTGGGCACCAAGCTCTGCGACGCATTCTCCAGCCGCGGATGGACATCAGATGGTATCGTGGTGAGCTTTGAACGACAACATCCCCGTGTCAACCAGCGACACAGCAGCTTACCACAGACATGAAATATTATGACAGAACATCGACTTCTCGTCCGAGGCTGTACGCCTGGGCAGAGAATCCTCAAGAAAACAGGCTTTCACCCAAGCCATGCACTGGCTACAAGCTGATCTCTGCTCGTGGGATGAGCTCATACAGCTCTCCCGATTCCCTCCCTTTGATGTGATCCTTGATAAGAGCACCAGTGATGCCATTGCGACATCTGAATCCCGAAAGTTTACTTCCACGGAGCGGCAGAATATGTGTCCTATAGTACTCCAGATCGTGGAGAAATCGGGCGAGATCACCCTGTCCCCAGTGGAGTTGTTGGCATTACATTTGGTTCCATGGACGCAGCCAGGGACTACTTGGGTTGTGCTTTCATATTCCTCTTCGAGGTTTGACAACCTCTCTCACCTTGCAGATTACTGGAGTATTCTGTCACGTACGCCGGTGCAGGCGCCATCGGGCCAGGCCTCTTCGTCCTCTGCACATGTTCCTCAGGTCTTCCATTGGATCTATGTTCTTCAACGCAAATAGCCTGTATTGTATCCCTTAAGGATCGTGTTTATCCAAGGAGACAACTAGATATGGATACTGTGAGCAAAAGCTTGGAGTTACCCGCTTTTCGGGAGATTGTTATAGAAGACGACAAACAAAAGTTTATACATAAATACGAAACACCAGGTGCGGCTTGATATCTGCCATTGTTGGAAACATAGATCAATGTGCAGATATCTTCCGTTAGATGAGAATAAGATATCTTCTACTCGCCCCAGGCTCCTTGAAAGTTCCAGAACCTACTCACGGTAAATAGCATAGGAATCCAAACCTCTACTAGGTTCTTTTTGATAATATAACTCCCTCCAGCAAGGCATTTGCCCTGAGCTCTACCCTAGTCCTGGGATGCGTTTGCATCCCTGCAACCATAGGATCCATGGCATTCACGGTCTTAGAGATTGTCTCCCTTTTCATTCACTGTGCATACCTACTGTTCTATTTGGCTTCCCTAACGGGTATAAATATTGTCCCATGCCCCAGTATCTCTTCTTCTTCCCTCACCCCCTGTCCTCATTAGTTATTGACCTGAGTAGCATTCTATGAAATAGTATGGTACCATGGTATTCGATTATCGAACTACTTGTATTGATTATACTCTTTCTCTTTGTACTCTGTCCATTTTGACAACCTTTTCAGTTCATTACCCTGGTGAATATGAAGCCTGGCATCCGTCGCAGATATACATCTTTGGGAAACCTTCGACTACTAGAGCTATCCTCAAAGCTATAGAGCGATCAGAAAAGTTTTCTCCACTATCTCTTCAGCAATATCGAACGAGCCTACTCAGCACAATGTCCTCACATGTTGCCGCAGTAAACACCTCGTCCCGTCTTATAGACGCTCTAGACGATGCGTTCAAGACGTAGAAGTGAACGACAAGATGCCCAGCTTGAGGGAGTGTCAGGAGGAGTTTGCCAAGGCTCTCACAGTACATCGGGACACCGTGCCAAAGGACGTGTTGGCGCACGCTATAGGCTCTTCAGGAGAAGGCGCGTCTTCCAAGACAGCAGGCCTACAGAATGGGAAAGCAGGGTCCCATGGTCAAAGAAGCCGCAGTCTTTGGGTAACTCTTCCAGGATGTCTACTGTGTCAGAAGAACACGAAGGAATTGAACCAGCAGGGGGAAATGGCTATGAGGCTCCTAGTTCAGAACGAAGCTCTCAATGAGAATGGAAGTCAGATGACACCTACACACGCCTCCAAATTGTTCAATGAGGTCAACCGCCTGTTGCAGCACGAAATCGGTCTTGCAACGGACCAGGTGCCGCCTCGCTACCAAGGTAAACCTGTGGTCTACACACCGGCAAATCAGTCTACCTTTGGGCCAGACCGGCAGCAGCGACACAGCGATATCAATGGAAATTTGTGGGATTCGACGGGACATATATCGAACCTCCCTATATTTGGTTCTACCACTGGATATTCGGAATCGATGGATTATGGTCCTCTCGTGAAGAAGTTGTTGACCACGCATGCAAACTACTTATCCAAAGAGTCGTTGGTCTTCGCTTATAACCCATGGCATGGGCTATGCTAACCTGCAGCACCATGCCATGAAGACTGCTATCCCATTGTGTCATGGAAACCTTTTCAGTCCATTATATCATCTGGGGCCCTTACTCCTGCCATCTTTCGCGATATTTTAATTAGAATGGACGTCGAATACTAACCGGGACAAAATGAAATAATTTTGGTATGGCAACTTACAGTCTCTTTGTAGACAGAGTACCTCCCTGATTGCAAAAAGTAATTTTTGGTTCACTCTCCCCATTCTTACTGGAGAGGAGTAGCAAGTAAGGCGCGCCTCTTGTTCGTCTACGGAACCTCTTGCTACCTATCTCCGCATTGACGAATGTTCGAAAGAGAACATTTTCATCCTCTTCTCTGGCATCCTCTTGCTCAACAGTTATCCAGCGGCCGTTTTTCAAACTGGAAAGGAATTCTCCACGGGTCTCCAGTCTCTGCTCTTCTGGCTGTAGATCTTCCCATATTTCTAGGTTCTGCTCCTCGAGACGTGGACGGTCGGGTACGTCTGACGGGCCAAAATGATCAAATTCTTCCCTTTATCCCTTACTAACTCATTAGACAAACTGTCTATATTGAGACGAACACATTGACCATGTTCCTTACATCGGACAGGTCGGAAATTAGCTTTCTGTTCTCATCTACTAGAAGGTCCGGTGAAGTGTCATCTCTTAAGACAACGTCATATAAAATATAAGACGCCTTCAGGAGGTCCACATAGGCTTGATGGGTTGTAGTTCGTGACTCACTGATGGGCTCATACCATTTGGTCTTTCCCCATTAGAAAGTACCGTCCGAGCCTAGAACGGATATTAGCAATGCCGTCTCTTGGTTACATACAAACGAATGAGGTAAAGAGACCTTCAGCAGCCATCAAACCCCGACACGTAACCAATCTCGTATATTAAGGCGCCTCACGGTTAGCTCGAGGCAAGCCGAGGCATCGAATCTCATTTTGAGATCAGCATTTGGCCGATGAAAGTTATCTTGTGGCTCAATTCGCAGTGGTCTGAGTAGTTGCTCCTGTATTCGAACCTGTTGTGCTCGGATCCTGGCGTTTGCAAGAGCCTGGATGAGATTGGAATGGTCAAGATCAGCGCTTGAGGTATCCCTGCTCATAATTGACGTCTGTTCAGTTGATGACCCCGAATAACTATCCCCTTGTCCAAATTCAGAACTGAAAATTTTAGAAACAATATCCCTGAACAAGCCGGGGGAAGCTGCCTGGGACATTGCGGTATGTCTTGTTCGTGGAGGTACTGAGGGAGAGGTGATATGTGTTGACGTTTCAGATTGCTCAGAAACCCTAGATTCCGAAGAAATAGAAACTTGCCGGGGATTACTCTGGTTAATTCCGCCAGGTTCATATTGCGAACTTGTTCTGCGATGAGGGTTTACGTTGCTGGTCTCGCGCATCTCCCCAAATTCGACTGCTGGGGCAGACATCATTAATGGTGATACTTGCTGCTCCGAGTCTCGCGGCTGGGGCGCTACAGAAGCCCATTGAGAGCGTTCCCATTCTAGAGCTACTGTCAACGAGTTCTCGGTCCTTTCAAACGACGAGCTGGAAAAGTAAGAACAATGTTTGCGCCCAGTCATAGTAGGAACTTGCGAAGAGAACTCATGCATAAAGGCAGGCAACAGCAGTGGACCATTACTTCCGATTTGAGCAGTTCAATGCGCCCCCTCTGTGTTGTCCACTTCATCCTCCGCCAAAACTGCTTGCCATCAAATATTCCCATGTCTCTATAAGCGGCCATCAGGTCTTCTAATCGTTGAAGAGTATCGAAACAAAGGTCTAGGCGTCGATAAAAGTTTTTCTTGCGACTATTATCTAGTCCTCTAATAGGGTCATATTTGAGCTCACGTCATCACGGAAAGTGCGAAGTGCAGCCTGCAAAGAATCAAGTTCTCTGACTAGCTGCCTGAGCCCATCAGGAGTATATCTTGAAGCACGGTCACAACTGAGATATACATCCGATGCCAGCCTCGTGATGGTACAAATGTTAACCGGCCCGGTGTCGGCAGCAATGCTAGACATGGTTTCCAAAGGTGACATGATGAGGAGTACGTGTGGACTTCACGATAACAAGTGAAAGATTTAGCGACGAGGTCTCAGGGATAGATATATATGTTTGGTCAAACATTCCTCAGAGTGCATTGTCCGAGGGAAAAGAGAGGTGGAAAAGCGAGGCCTTCGAGCATGAAAGGTCCAACATTAATACGGCGGGAAAAGCAAATATTCCAAAGAACAATAAAAATTATCGCCAATCGTCTTTGACTCGGGTGACTGGGAGATCTGGACCATTTACGAAGGCTTGCGAAGAAGAACCACGAATCTCAGCAGCACTCACCACAGAGATAGAAGCGGGAAGCTGTAAAACATTTGTTAAAAGAGAGAAAGACAATAGATGTTAGTCTCCACTTGAAGAACCCAGGAACAAGAGCTATCGGAACCTGGATAATTCGGAACCGAGGGAGCAGTAGCCAAGAGCCTCGTATGAAAATGAACTGGGAATTGCATGCTAGTAACAGCTCACGAGCCCGTCAATAACGGCATCGTAATAGTATTGATAGCCAGCTGGGACGTCATTGATGCTATCCCGGAAGCTTTGACCACAGAGGATCTCGCTAGCTCTCAATCCGGGGTTCTCTCGATCGTCGGATCTCATGCATTAAAAGAAAGGAAACGGGTGATGCGGCTTTTCAAGACCAATCTCAGCATAAAACAGCGCATTTCACTCCCTAATCGTGTTAATACGCTTGAATTCGAGATGCATCGTGACAGTTGTCAGCCTATCACGACTTCTAGCGGAGGAAACGCATTTACGAATGATCATCAATCCTTCAAGGGATGTTGTCCAGTATGTTTCCACACAATGCGCATGATGTGTCCAGCCACATTGGGGAATCCAATCGTTGTCCTTGAAGAGGCGAGGCTGACTGCGCGGGAGACGCCACGCCCGGGTAGAGTACCCGGGGATGGAGATGGTAATTATTCTAGTTAGAGCATTATTCTTAGAAACACAAAGCGCAGTAACAGTAGATGGACTTACAAAGAGATGAGAAATAATAATAACCAAGGAACAGACGAATGCGGACTTCAACTGGGAAGGGAATGGGAGATGATTCCTGAGTCGAGTTGAAATGCCAAAGAAGGGCGATGTCGTGAAAGAAGTTTGTGCCTGAGGCTGCAGGGCATCTACTCCCCTTTGAAGCGTTCCGTTTATTCTCGCGTCGTCGACCGTAGAAGCAAATCTTTATTTAATCCTCCACACACCCATGCCCACGTCTTGCTTATCATCATGAGCAGGCAAGCCTTATCTTCGTTGGTGCGCGATTTAGTCGATTCCACGCTGAAGGGGGTTTCCATCAGTACAGGAAAAGTCCTGAACACAATGCCTTCGTCCGTTGCAGGCGTAGAGCTCTCAACGATCCTCTGTTTTATTGCTTGCTTTTCCCTCTTTCCAGCTGCATACTTCCTCAGCGAACGGTTCGCCCGCACTGCCAATGCCAGGTACCGTCTGCTGTTCTTTTGGCACGCGTTTGACGCCCTTATACACATTCTTATCGAGGGCTCTTTCCTCTACGAATGCTTCTTCAGCTACGCCAACGCATACGGGCCCCAGCCATATTTTCTCGGACACAAGGGTCGGATATACGGAGCATCATTTGGTAGAGGGCCCACCGCCATCCTGTGGCGGGAATATGCAAAGGCAGACCATCGTTGGGCCATTGCTGAGCCCACCATCGTCTCAATTGAGCTGCTGACAGTTCTTCTGGGCGGCCCGGCTGCGGCGTACGCTTGCTATCTCCTGTGGAAAATGCACTCCCATCGGTTGAGGGACGGCAAAAAGATGGGTATTGTCTTGGGCCAGTTCTGGTTTCTGGCGACGGTACTGGCTACGGCGGAGCTCTATGGTGGATTCATGACCTTTGTGCCCGAATTTTTGACGGGGTGCTCGCAACTGGAAACGGGGAATTTGGCATACGTTGTGTTGCATTTGGCTTTCTTCAATGGGGTTTGGGTTGTTGTTCCCGTCTGGGTTCTAATGGAGGCATACAAGGAGTTCATTTCGACCTCTATATCTCATCAAGCGCAACGCAGCAAGCGGTGATAGATTCCATGCCTGTGAGTGGTATAAAAAGTAAGAGGAGGGAAGAAAAGAATATGCACTGCAATGCCAGCTGCATACGTACTTAACGCATTGCTACATTTTTATTGGCGTATAGAAGATATTGACTGCCAAGTATATAATCTGCGTTATGCACATCACGAAGCAAAATCAATGCTACAGGTATATCATGATATCTCTCAGTCCTTATTAGAATTATATCTAAGTGGACTTATCAGCAATCTTTAGCACCCATAGTCAAAAGACTATCTCTAATGGCACTGGCTTTTTAGGGGTTGCAGAACTGCTTCTGAGATTTTAAAAACAAAATAGCAGAAGAAATACAAATAGAACGGATTGGAGAGCAAAAAGCCATCGATTAGCCTCAGAAGTCCAACGGCCCCGCCCAACGCTTCATCCTCTTCCCCCAAAGCTGCATGACCAAAACAACCAGAAACACCCCAAAGCAGATACCAGCCTGTGTCCCGAAACTCTTCTCATTACCCAAGTCCTCTGCCTACCGTACCTGGAAATAGCTCACGATAAATCCGCCGGTGGTTCTCGCAAAATTCAACCAAGCAGAAACCTCACCAGAGCCTTCAGGATACGAGTCCAGGTTGTACGAGGTTATGGCCACGGTCGTGATCATGATGCCGAAGACGTGAAGGCCCCATCCCAGAACCGTGAGCATGTAATGGTATCGGCGTTGGAGGGCAAAACCGAGGAGAACAAGGCCAGCGATGATAAAAGGGGTGGAAATCCAGATGGCAATGAGACGGGCCTCGGGCTCCAAGCGGCCTGGGTGGCGTCTTATGTAGAGAAGAGCAATGATATGGTGGAGCCAGTGACCGGCGAATTCACCCAGGATGGCGGCAACGATGAGAGTAAAATAGAAATATCCTAGTTCTTTCGGCACAAGGATGAAATGCACCGTTTAGCGAGAAAAGAAAAACTGACCTATTTGAAGCGGACCAAAATCGTACAACGGCGTCACGAAAATGGACAGGGTGGTATTGATCCCCACGACCCAGGCGAATGTGCACATGTAATAGAACCAGCTCAGTAGGAGAGTTGGTTTCATGATGACCTTCACAAGCCGCAGGACTGCCTCGAGCAAGGTGCCACGCTGTGAGCGCGACCGCCATTGCTCGACGCCAAACAGTCGGAGAAGCCGTTATTTACGCTCCGGTTGCCCTTCTACTGGGATATTGCGGTTATAGTATGTCTCCTCTCCAAAGAAGATGACCGCCAGGAAACATAGGTCGGTTTCGATCGTGTAGACATCGAAGGCCCACTGCCATTTCTGGGTGGAGGTGATGAAGGCTGCCAACAGTGGACCGAAATAAGGGGAGAGCACGCAAAAGAAGGTCCAGCTGTTGATTTTGTGGCTATTATAGCATTAGTCGTGTATATCAAGTAGTGAAATGTACGGTTTTCGTTCAACTTACGCATGTTCGTGGAAGAAAGGCACAGGCCGAAGCTACAAGGAGGATGACATGCTTCTTGACCTGGCTCCAACTCAGAGGATCAGTTGGGTCATCACTAGGGTGTGGGATGAGTATTGTTTTACCATCCTGAGCGAGCTTGAGGTTTGCTTCGGCTTGGTCTTCTAGGTGGAAGGTGTTGGCAGAGAGGACATAACCTTCTGTCTCCCCCAAGCGATCAAGATCAAGATCCTGCGCATGGAGTTTTGGAGAGACATGTGCAGTAGAGGGTTTCTCGATATCTTCGTGGGAAGAAGACATATTTGCTGGCGGTTGTGTTCGTATACCAGCTCGTGGGAAAAGCAAGAAGACGTCTTTTTACGTCCATTGCAACGCATTAAATATGAGCACAGCCAGAATACGAGAAATACAAGAATGTATAATTCAGCGCTACCTGGAGCATCTAGCGCCTCGGTGGAGATGCTCTTCAGTCGAATATAGTAATGGTCGGTGCGCCAGGAGAGAATCCGGGGTGAATCTGGGGAAAATCCGGGGACAGTGTGGATTGCGGACCCACTACCATGGAAATTACTTCATTGTCCTTGTATGGTCCTGCTCGTATCTGTAATGTCGTTGTCAGAGGGTCGGCAGTTGGAGATTGCACACTTGCCGAGTTGCCTCCTTTTCATGCTGGGCCCTGGCAATTGTCGAGTCTTCATCTGCCGGGCCTCATTCAACCACCACGAGATAATTGGTTCTGCGATGCCAATAGACCCAGTCCAGTGCCACAGTCTTGCGGAGACTTCATATCCATAGATTGCATAGGTATCTGAAGAACAGCCATGATCAACTTGTATTTGCTGGCGAGAGTAAGCGCTGCAGTATACGAGTAGAATGTTGGGTGACGACGAGCACAATTGCTGCAGCATGATAAACAGAGTGATCCACATACCGACGGGGTATAAATGTCCTGACACTTCATCTGCTTTTCTCACATTTCATGGCGGACTATTTCTGATATTCAATAAAAGAAGCCTTGTTAGAGACCATGGCATCAAGCATTTCCCACCTAGCCCTCTACCTGGCGCCTTTGGCTGCCATCTTATATCTTGTCCATCAGTACTTCTACAAAGGACTGAACAAGTATCCCGGCCCCTTTCTGGCCAGGGTAACTCATCTATGGCGATTCTGGGACGTCTACAAGCGCCGACCAGATATGACGCACATCCGTCTGCATAAGAAGTATGGAGACATCGTTCGACTTGGACCGAATACACTTTCCTTTGCGGACCCAAGCGCAATAAAGGTGATCTACGGGTTGAACAAGGGCTTTGTGAAGGTACATTACCCACCCTTTCTCATCATCTTACTCCAGCCCTACTAATGCAATGCCTTGACAAACAAATTAAAGTCGGAGTTCTACCCTGTGCAAATGTCCATCTCAAAAGGGGAACCGCTCCCTTCACTCTTTTCTGCAGTTAATGAGCGTTTCCATGCCAAATTGCGTCGGGCTGTCAATAATGCATTTGCCATGAGTTCGCTCGTCCAGTACGAGCCGATGGTGGACGAAACTACCAAGATCTTCCTCGATCAGACTGAACGGCTATTCGCGCAAGAAGACAAAGTCTGTAACTTTTCCCAATGGCTCCAGTTCTATGCGTTTGATGTTATCGGAGCTGTTACGTACAGCAAGCGTCATGGGTTCATCGAGAGGAACAAAGATGTAGATGGCATCGTGGCGCAACTGGCGAAGATATTTGATTATGCTGGCCCGGTAAGAACATAACATAACTCATATAATTCACATCGATATGTCTGAATCAGTTAATGACGATCTGCTCACCTTTAGATCGGCCAAATGCCCTGGCTGGATAAAATATTCTGGAAAAATCCCATCTTCAGCTACCTCACCAAGCTGGGGCTAATTGACAACTCCTTCGCTGTGTCAATCTTTGCCAGGGCCCGAATGAGCGAACGCCTCTGTTCAGGCCCAGACTCCAAAACCAAGCAACAGCCGCTCCAGAAAAGCAGACGCGGTGACCTCCTTTCCATGTTTCTCGCTGCCCAAGAAAAGAACCCCGACTTCATGAACGACAAGCGTGTCCTGACCATGGCGACGTCGATGGCATTTGCCGGTTCCGAAACAACCGCCATCAGTCTCGCATCTGTCTTCTATTTCACCCTCAAGCATCCCCAATGCCTGCAGAAGGTCCGAGAAGAGATCGATTCCGCCATCCGGGACGGGCTGATTGTCGATCGCCCCTCGGGACTCGTCTCCTGGCCAGAATCGCAGAAACTTCCCTATCTAGACGCTTGTATCAAGGAGGCATTCAGACTGCATCCGGCGGCAGGTCTGCCACTTGAACGTGTGACCCCGCCTCAAGGAATAGAGATCTGTGGAGAGAAAATCCCCGGGGGGGTGACCGTAGGCTGCAATGCGTGGGTGATCCATCGCCGTCCTGAGATCTTCGGCGAGGATGTAGATGTCTATCGCCCCGAACGGTGGTTACATGCCAGCCCCGAGCAATTGAAGAGTATGAATGCCACCATGTTCCAATTTGGTGCTGGTGCTAGGACGTGTATTGGGAAGAACCTTAGCCTCATGGAGATCTATAAACTGGTCCCCAGCTTTTTGAGGAGGTTTGAAGTGAGCTTTGTCAACCCCCCAAGAGGAGTTCATGTCGTATACTAACACGGTGCTCTATAGATCAGTTTGGCGAATCCTGGAGAGGAGTGGAAATTGCACAATGCATGGTTTGTAAAGCAGCTGAATTTCGACACCAAGTTCAAGGTGAGGCTTTAAAGATGGATTTGAATAAATACATGTCTTCCGTATAAACTGAAAAGATATACAAATAAATCAACATTTGTTGTACTCTCTGAAGAGACCTATTGCCATTGACAGACCTTCACATACCATTATGTTTAGGCATAACTACGCACTAACTGTTCGTAGTCAGCAAAGTTGTTTGCTGATGGTGGCAGTGGGCATTGGTTCTTGGAATTTATTAATATTTAATTCACTATTATTATGACGAATATTTCCAAGAATATCCGCGTCATCAAAGCATGCCCAGAGAAACTGCCAAACCTTAACGCGACACAGCCTTGTCTGCCTACAACAACTGCGCCACGACGTTACAGGCAAATTCGGCAGCTATCCACCCTCTCGTACTTAAAAAGTGTCCGGAGTCCTTCGTTTTGGTTTTCTCCATTCCTGTATCATCACCGCGATCTTGTCCCCAACTGCCTCAATTCATCATGTCTCACTATCCGCGTAAGACTCCGTCATCGATCTTATCAGCTTTCGCATTCTGCTGACTGTCAATAGAACCGCCGTATAATCCATACGGACAACCGCCTCCAGCTCAAGGCTATCATCAGCCTCCATATCCACCACAGGCTGGATTCAACACTGGTCCTCCTCATCCCCCTCCTCAGGGATACCACCCCCCTCCCAATAGTCAGTACAATCGACCGGCCCCTCCCCCTCCTTCCCATCCCCCCTCTTACCCCGCCGCCCACGGCGGCTACTACGGGGGCGGCCCACCACCTCCATCTCCCTACGGCCACCAGCCATATCCTCCCCCACCGGGGCCTCCAATGGGTGGCTATCCTCATCCAGCAGGCCAGTACCCTCCGCAACAACATCCCCCTCAGGGACCGCCTTCCATGCCCTCCCCGGGATATGTCCCGGGCCAGCTCGCACCAGGCGATTACCGCCCGCAAGCCGATCAACTCCGCAAAGCGATGAAAGGATTCGGTACGGATGAAAAGGCTCTGATCCAGGTTCTTGCACGGCTAGATCCCCTCCAGATGGCTGCTGTGAGATCAACGTACTCAAGCCATATCGGCCGTGATCTGTACAAGGATATCAAGTCCGAAACAGGCGGCTATCTGGAGCAGGGTCTTCTCGCTATCGTTGACGGCCCGCTTGCTCTTGATGTCACACTCGTGCGCGAAGCAGTCAAGGGTGCCGGCACCAAGGAATGGATTCTCAACGACGTGCTCCTGGGCCGCTCCAATGCGGATCTCAACGCGATCAAATCCGCCTACCAGCTCAAATACAACCGTTCTCTGTCCAAGGATGTGGAAGATGACCTCTCATTTAAGACGCAGACGCTCTTCCGAGTCATTCTCTCCGCCACGAGACACGAGGAATGGTACACGGTCCCATCCGCGCAAGCGGAAGCGGAAGCGCGAACCATCCACGACTCTACGTCTGCTCGACTCGTCAATGACGTTACTGAGGTGTGTTCGATTTTCGCACATGCCTCGGATAACGAGCTGCGTGCCATCAACCACGCCTTCCAGGCGAGGTATCATACGTCTCTGGAGAAGCATATCGCCAAAGAGTTCTCGGGCCACATGAAGGATGCACTGTTGAGAATGCTGCAGACGGCTACTGATCCGGCCATGCGCGATGCGGAGGCCCTTGAGGATTGCATGAAGGGCGCAGGAACCAAGGACGAGAAGCTTCTCACTCGGATTGTCCGGCTGCATTGGAATCGTGGCCATGTGAACCAGGTCAAGGGAGCCTATCGTGTGAAGTATGGGAAGGATTTGATCCAGCGGGTGAAGGGAGAGACCAGTGGGGATTATGAACGATTGGTGGTTGCCATGTTGGAGTAAACGTATTACTTCTCGACATTATTACGTGCTTTTCTTTTCCATGGATCTAGATTCGGGTTATGGTCAAGGTTAGGAGGCCTTTTTTGTATTTTTATTGATCTGTGATATCCCCCACACTGCTGATTTGTGATTACTTGCATTTCTAAATATTACTTCATGCATAAAGAGGAATGGTCTTGAGTCAACTTTGGCAATGCCTTGTCACGGATCCAATAGCTGTTTCCCTTCCGGCCAGATGAAACAGACTGCAGATAAGCAGACAATGGATTCTGCCAGCAAGAGGAATAGTCACTTTATACTGAGTTGTAACTTAGCCAGCCCTCCATACACCCAAAGTGGAATTCCCCTGTACACTCCTCGCAGTTGAGATACACAACATCTTCTGAGTGAGGTTCACAGTGGGTGCCACATTCCACATCAGACATGTCATGGCCTTTTTACAACTAGCGAAGAACAATGGTACAGCTGGTATCTATGCCCACCTTTTGAACTGATTGTGCACATTGCGCATCCTCTCATGACATATTTGGCTTTCCCTTGTCAATAGGGTCCACTTTGAACTCATTTCACCCGAAGAAAAGAAGAACCTTAAAACAAAGAGAGTGGAAGAGGAAAGGGAAGGAAAGACCTCTTTCAGGTTCACTCTGCTCTGACTGAGCGTGTGATCTGCGCTGCGGTCCCTGCTTAGATGCCGCGGCATGTCGGCAAAAGTTAAGGTTTACTATATTGGGACCGGTCCCATAAACTAGCGTGTGTCGATCATAGTTAACCTTATCGACTTCCAATGTGTATAATACAATAATTAATGATCTATGTAGGCGTGCAAAAGACATCATGACACTACTGATCTTGTCTTCCTCCGTATCTATGTATTCATGGCTTTTGACAAGTAAGAACCGCTGAATCAGTGGCCCCCCTGCTTGCGTCTGCCTTAGGGACGGACTCCCCAACACATCCTAACAAAGGGCACTATATAATCCCACTCCAAAAGAATACTCTTCAACCGGGGATTAGCCAGATGCCACAGTGGTCGAGCTGCATGCAGCCGCTACATAGTGGTGTCCGGACCATCTTGGGATGGCTTGCCACCCAATGATGGAATTCCATCTATGCAGAAGGTGATGTACGCATCTCGCCCATTTGCAGGTGTCTGGTTCGAATCCCCCCTGGGGCCCCCCCTTTTTTTTTGTTCAACTTCATCCCTTGACAGCATTAGTCGCCGAGTGCCCAGCCAGCTATATACCTACCTACCCCCAAGAGCTTCTTCCCTCAGTCATACCCCACTAGAAGAACTATGCCATCGAATATATCGGACAGACTTCGTAACACGAGACTGATGCTTACAAACTGCCAATTTCAACAGTAATCCTTGTACACAACAGTACCGACATTGCTCTTCCATGTTCTTCAGCGGTTCTACCCATCGAGGTAGAATCCTTTATGATTCCACCATGTTGTCTGTTTATTGTAGGATACCTTCTCATTGACAAGGCATTTGTAGATACTGATGAAGATGTCACAGAAGCTACTGAAGTAAAGAGGGAAGAATAAAAAAAGGATAGTGCGAAGACTAGTTCAACGTCGAGATAAACATAAAAGACGTCTTCCATGGAGTGCGAAAGCCGACCTTGAGTCATAACGAACTCGCTGGGTTATGTATATCGCATCGATAATTAAAGCGAAATCTATAATGGTACCGACACCCCAGATAAAATCCAGCCTGAATGATTCTGCAATACGTATTATACTCGTTCATGATGCATTTCATTTCATTTCATGCCTTATTACTACTATTGTCATCTTCGTCATGTTCGTCATAATCATTAGCATGGGTAACATATCTCGTAGCCACCGCTCTAATCAGAGATTAAAAAAAGCCATCAAACAACCTCGCCCACAACGACAACATGCGCCCCCGGAAACAACCCAGTGACACCAGCGTAACAGCCCCAGAACCAGTCGTCATTGATATTCTCCGCCTCAGTGATCTCTGCGCCACGAGGGAACATCAATTCATCTTTGATGTCTTCTTCGGGAAACCAAGACCAGCGGGCATGGACGATTAATCCTATCCCACCGTCGGGCGGTGGACGGCGAGAATGGGGCGATGAGAAGAAAGTAGGACTGGCTGGAGAAGAGGTCGAGTCGGTATTATTGTTATTATGGTTATTGTTAATGATGATGCTGTTATTAGTGTTGTTATTATTACCGCTTAACGCTGAGCGAACGCGAGAGGCCTTCTTCCTTCTCTCAGGTCCTTCTTTCCAGCTCCAGTCTCCAGAACCGATCTCCGGCGATGGAATAACTGTATTGCTTCCCGAAAATGTAGCAGAGGTAGGAGTCGACGCGTGTTGCTGTTGCTGTTGTTGATGAAGGGCATATTCGTCTCGTAGAGCATGTCCACCGACAAGACCACGAACAACCACCCTTTTCTGACCTTCCTCGTGGGTTTCGAAGCCGACCACAACCATACGATGACCTCTGAGACATCGGCGCCAGCCATTATGACCGTTTTCCTTGCTTATTTTCCCCCAAGCGACCAGTTTGAAGTAGCAGTTTGCGCAGATGTCATAGTCACCTTCGTTGCATTCGAGGCAGTGGAATCTAGTCATGGAAGTAGGGATCGGATAGGCACAGATATCGCATTTGGTGGAGATTGAAAGGGTCTTATATATTGTATTACTTTCTCTCGAGGTGGGAGCTGCAGGTTGTGTTGGTCCGTCGCGAGTCACACAGCAAATGGGAAGAAGTGGATGAGTGCAGCATTTCCCTTGATTCACACAGTGCCCACAGAATCCCCAGTCTCCTTCATTGCACTGTGCACATTTCCAGAAACAATCGTTCGCGGATGATTGGCATATGTCACAGAACAGCCCAGCCTGGAGTCTGCGAGCTGGGTCTTCATTAGTCATCTGCTTGCCCTCGCTTACCGTACGACGGGCTATCCCAGAGGGACGTTGATATCGAAACGATAGAAGGGTGTGAGGAGGTTCCTGTGCGGACGATGACTGGGCCTGTGGAGAGGGTCTTCTCTTCTCATACTCTCTTCGCGCGGAGGTACCAAATCCTGACCATCGTAGACAGCCCCTTCCCAGGCGGTGACAGCGAAGGCAAATATTGTAGTTTCCATCCTTGCATCTTGAACAGTTCTTGTAGACTTCGTACTGGATGTTTGTTTTCCCGCACCGTTCACACGATATCGACGGTTCGGGGTAGAGGGCCGTAGGAGTACGAGGGGAACGTGAAGAAGACGTTGAACGCCCATCTCGATGAGTCATAGAAAGATCCAAGGTCGTCTGAGAGGCAGGAATGGGCAGAGTAACCTCTGAACGGGATGGCGCAAAGGTGCGGTACGGGCTTCGAAGCTGGGCAGTTGTCGAAGAACTAGTCGAGGGTCTGCTGGTTGTCTGTGCGCGCTCTCTGGTTCCCGCGAGAAACATATTCGGCGTGACTTGCTCAGATTCAGTCGCTCGTCGGGACCTTCTTGCAGGCCGGTCTCCTGCTTCCACTCTACGAAGTTGCGAAGTTTGAACCCGATCAGAGGTCATATCACTGGCGGATCGCGCAGCAGGTCTAAGATCCACTGCTGACGAGGATGCATGATGAGTCGCCAATGGAGACGGCCTGCGACGTCTCCCTCCCTGATCAGATAAATTCCTTTGATGATCCGAGTCCCTGGAGCGGCTCAATGGTAACCCAAGCAACGGGGAGCTGTCGCTGGCTGCATGATTTCTAGTTGCCGTTGTCTCATGGGGAGCGGCAGCTGTTGCTGGAACCTGTGCTTGCGCTGATTGCGACGAAGCGCGGGAACGTGATGATCGTCCTTGGGCAGGCTGCGTCGATTCCTGTGTTCGCTGGGAGCGCGAACGCAGTCGATGCCGTTGACGGTACGCGTCGGCGATCCGTTCACTAAGCTCCTCCTCTTGGGCAGGCGAAAGATGATCCAGATCAATGCCATCCAGCAACCCGTCTTCGATAATCTGCCGCAGGATTTCTTCTTCCATGGTTTCCACGTCCGACAAACTCAGCAATGACCTCAAGCTCGATTGATGTCTTGCACGCCTAGATGACTCCAAGGCATCCTCGGCAGAAGCTGCAGCGCGCTGTGCCCGCTGTCGAGCCTGTCTCCTCGCTTCACGCTCTTCCGCAGGTCGCCGTCTCAAGCGCCCATCTTCTGTATCAGAACCCCGTGCATGACCAGACGCAGACGACTGCTGCCGCTCGCGGTAATTAAGACGTCTCCCTGAATTCCTGCTCTCCTGGAGACTCAAATGTCGGACTTCCTCGACCACTTCCGAGTCAGGTTCCTCGGTATCTGAGGAACTAGACTCGGAAGGGATAACAGAATCACCCGGCTTATACCGCTTTGCAACCTCCTCTTTTTCCGCGTCAGACTTCACGCGATCAGGGTTCGTCGCCAAGAACATATCCAGCAAGGTCGTAACGGTAGCGTTCGGTCTGGTGCCACGCACCATTGCACGACATGACGGGCAAGTGTATCGTACAGACGATTGAGATGATCGTCGGCGCGAATGCTGCACAGAGAACCATTCCTTTAAACACGATCCGCAAAAGGTATGGAGGCAGTCGAGGAGGGTGAGAGGCTGGTACAGAAGCTCGGTGCAGATCTACCCATGAAACGAATCAGATAATTAGTACGGGGGAATGAACAAGTTGACAACTCGCGAAAAGAGGTGAGATCGATCGACCGGAGCTGACATCATAGTGCGATACGTACCGAGCAAACGAGTTCCTTTTCAAGATCCTCCACCAGTCTGGGAGGGTCCCCTGGTTTGGGTGCCATAGGAGGGTAACGCGATTTGGATGGGTCGGCGGACTTGCTGTCCACGGTTTTGCAAAAGGGAGAACCGGGGATCGAGTGGAGGGGGCTGAGGAAATGTGAAGATTGAAGCCGCAGTTCGGAGAAGTTGATTATTCCGATGTTCCTGGGAATGCACGTGCACTGCTTGCCCTATATGAATCTGTTCACCACAATGCAACAACGGGTAGGTGAAGAGGGATGAAGTCGCAAGCAGCGGATTTCTGTCTCTAATCTCATTTTATAGGCAACTATCAACATGTCAGATGATTCTACATGCTAGGAATTGATAGGATAACATGTCTTGGTGTGTGCCACCTATGCTGTGCAAGGTATGTCCCGTCAAGTCTACGAAGTAAATCCCTGGCATTTTATGAGCTACAGAAGCAGTTGTGGATACAAATTGTATCCAATAATTACAGCATGCGAATCCAGTGATTTTTCGGTCAATAGAGTGGTACGGGATACTTTCCACCTGGATCCATTCCATCCTAAGCCAGAGATTCACCAAAACAGCCCACCTCCTAGGAAAAAGACAGCCAGCACAAAGGCAAAATTGAGGATTAAAATGCCATCCTACTCTGCAGAGGTGCAGTCACTATCAGCCCCAGGGCAAATATATTCATCAAGAGGCTTGGGAACTCAGATTCAAACATGAGCATATTGGTAGCTTTGTAGTCACCTAATCTGTGCAATGCCATTGTCTTCCGCAACATAAACCACTATCCAGGTGCAGGGGCTTTATTGTTTCATGGCGAGTAGAGTCTCCGCTTGGTATCCGCATCACTCTCAAATTTGCTCATTTCTTCACCTTCAAGTGCGGCTTAGCTGTTGTAGATTCACCTCATGCCAGCAGGAAACTCAGTGAAAGTGTCTGGCATCTCTGTCTATAAAATCCCCCCCAAGCTCTCCAGCTGGATTTGAAGCTGTCTTCTTCCAACAGCATCTCAGCACCCATCTTCCTTGCTTTCTGTACTTCATCTCACATTCTTCTGAAAATCTCACTTCTCTGACTCGTTCTCGCTCGAAATAATATTGCTCCAGGGCGCACCAGGATCTATTTCTCCTTTCGCTCAGGAGACCCAAAATGAGCAGTGAGAGAAGGGAAAAGCTCTTTCGTCCCCCCGAGAAAATCAACTCTCTGTTTCCCACGGATCTGGAGGCCGAGGACGACGGGGCTCCTAGACCTTCTTCTTCTTCGTCTCGAATCAAGACTACTCCCGCTCCCGAGAGCACCAAGAAACAGACGGCAGGCAAGGCAGCTTGTCGTGCTGGATATGGTATTGTCGCTGGACAGAAACGCGCGGCTTCTGATGCCCACCCAGGGACCCCTCCCGTTCCCGCAAAGAAAAATGGTAAGGGTAAGGCTAAAGAGAACGTGGGAATGGATGCGGGAGAAAACAGCCCCGATAATCCCATCAACAAGCTCCTAAATGAGCCTCAGAATTCGCAGCCAAGCGCCCCAGGAAAATCCTCTGGAGGAAAATCTCCGGCAAAGGCCCCAAAGGAGTCAGCCGCTACCCAGGAGTCCTCTGCGCAGCCTACCCCTAAGAAACAGAGGACCATAAGGGGCCCCCCGGCAGGTTCTAGCCCCCTCGAAAGGTCCAGATATTGGGTGAAGCATGTGGAAAATGTGCTGGAGATGTATCTTCGGCATCATCCTAAAGACTATGGTTTGGAACCAGTGATTCTTCAGATACGCTACTACAGAGAACTCGTCAACGAGGGCCAAGAGCTCACTCTCGCCCAGATGGAGAAATGCCGAGACACTGCTCGTCAGGTCGACCGACGAGTTGTCGTAGTCGAAGCCGAATACTTCGCTGGCCAGGCAACTGAGAACCAACGTCAGCGCAAACAGCAGGGTGTTGTTTTCGATGGTCTTCAGTGTTTGAAGGCCAATCCGGCCAACGTATCCAAGGTGGCAGATATCCAGGAAGGGGACTCCAACAAGGTTGATGCCGTCCTAACCCCAGCTGAACGACAGGCGAGGAATCTAGAGGCCACTCTAGCCAGACCTCCGGCCGCCAAGGGCATCCTGAGCGACCAGTATATTAAGAAAAAGGCGAGGGTTAGCGGTAAAAAGGTTGCGGTGAAGACTGATACCTCCGGGCCTCTGGCCAGCCCTGTCGAGAACCAGTCCAGTAACAGCCCCGCTGTCGGTACACCCTCTGTCCCCACCCAGTTCAATCCAGATATAACTGAGGAATGCTCGGAGATTAAGCCTGAGATGCCGGACGATTTTGGAGAGGGCAAGTTTGAGCTGGATAACTCCTGGTGTGATGCTAGAGGCATGGACTTCATGGGCAACGACGCTTTCGAAACTGTTCCTGGGGCGACGGAGAAAGCGTAAGCAGAGTGATCAGTGAAGAATTTCCGAAGGGAATCCAAAGGGTGTGCTACTAATACGGTCATGTCTGGGGATGGAGAGTGATGGTTTCGTGTTCGCTCCTTTGCTTTTCTCGAGTGGCTTCGCTTGATATTCAACACATTTTGATTTGTGGGTCGACAGGAAGATGGAAGATGGAAGATGGAAGATGGAAGATGGAAGGTCAGAGAATGGCGGAGATCTCTCTCTTCGTCAGTATGACTCTACGTGGTTCTGGGTCTGAAGTCGGTGCAGGCCAGTCGGGGGGAGATAGTCGCGGACTGCGCAGTTTATCCAAGAACAGAAAAGACAGAAAATTATACTTCGGTAGATCTTGGTAGTAGGCTTTGATTCCTGACCTGCGCGTCCAAGATCAGTGTATCTCGTAGAAGTCCTCTCTCAGCAGATGCGGTTACCCTACCCCGTCCGTAGTAACACAGGGATACAAGACGCCGACAGAAAGCGGCTATCCAAGTCTCTACAAGAAAGTACAGCGAAGCACGTAATATCATTCAAGTTCCGTCCACGACCATGAGTATGGCCACCCCGGATGTCATTATCCACTACATGTACCCACTTCCCCATAAAGGAAAAAAAAAGAGACCAAACATCATGAATCCCAGAAACCTTAGCGTACCCAGGTCCAAGGACAAAGGTCCAGAGGCTCGGTAGTTTATGCCATGTAGTTCGAGTTAGGTCAAATCGCGTCGTACGGGATGCTTTGCTGACAGACAGAGAGGCTCTTTTTGAATTTGCGGGGAAGCAATGCAAGGGAGAAGGTAAGACAGGACAAGAACAAAAAGAAAGGAGTGTTTCTTTTCGGGGAGATCAGCCCGTCTCACCAGGACTAGGTAAGTATCCTCTGGTGGCAATATGGGGAAATTGGGCCTTGATCGGGGGTTTGTTTTAAACTAGATGTGGCAGAAGTGACAGGTGCGAAACCATGGATAGAACATTAAGCAATGATAAACAGCAGCAAAGAAGAAGAACCGATGACACATCATCTCCCCAAAACTCCATAGTCAATCCATCCAAGAACCACTCAGCCGTTGCAAGCATGAAGAGCCATTGGACCCCATAACCGGTGTTTTTTTCCTCCTGCACTTCCGAAATAGGTCACACAACTGCAAAGTTGGTCTCAGACTCGGACTCACGCCAATCAGCGCCGTCAGATCTCCCGTATTCTACAGGGAGGAGAACCTTAAGCTGGTGTGAGCCTGAGCATGGTCTGTCTAGGTACACTGTACGCTGGAAAGTGGACAGCTGGACGGATGCGCTGCACCCCGCAAGAATTGGACCCCCAGGAAAAAAAAGGGTTTGCCCACTTGAATTCTGGACTGAAATAGTCCGGGGAAGGAAATTCCACTTTCGGCGTGATAACGATGGTAATATCATGTCTGTTTCGGGCAATACGGGGTTGGAGGCTAGACTTCACCGGGGTCGATAATTGGGGATAGCATGGGGTGGGATGTATCTGACTCATTTGTGAACTCAACACGGTTGACCGAGAGAACACTATCCGATAACAGCTATAGCTATGGTATACATCTTACCACCTGATATTATACTCCGTAACCGGCAGGAAATAGCATATGCCGACATGCAGGATATTAATCTCTCCCAAGTTCAACCCTTGTCAGGGATGCAGCGAAGATGCATATCCCACAACGCAACTGATAATCAGCTGTCCATACAATGCGTGCATGCATCCGTCCGTCCACAGATGCAGATACGCCCGTAAGCACACGGCGTGGCATGTATCAGGACATGGCTGGATGGTATAGTATCATTAGTATCATCTATAAAAAATACCCAAAAGCGCGACACGATACGGAAGATCCGAAACATCTTTCCTGGGCGATTGGATAGACCTTGACCGCTTCTTTTTCCTTTTTTTTTTTTTTTTTTTTTTTCCCTTCTTCTTTGTTTTCTGGAATTCCAGCAGGACAGTCCCCGGGGAATGAAAATTCAAGATAGCTATCTCGTGAGCGGGGTGACTGGGCGGGACAACATGGCATGCATGGGCGAGCAGAGGACCTGATACCACCACCGCATGCGGCGCATGTCTACGGAGCCAGTGGAGCACCCTTCTTTCAAATGGCCGGGCGTCGGGAGGACTCCCAGCATTGCGGATGGGCTATCAAATGCACGTAACCAGCTGTTGTCGGTCTGCAAGCAAGAAGACGGACAGGAACCGGCGTCCGAGCAGCAGCTTCCTTCAGTATCAATCATATCGTATCATATCAATTCCAGGAGAATCTACGCTGGGACAGTGCGTCGTATCTCAGATTCCTCTGAAGAAAAGAAAAGAGAAAGGATTTGCGGATATCTCTGCCAAAGCGGCTTGTGCCCCATGCAATCCCCAACGTCCACGCGTTCGCGGGGAGAGTGAAGGCGACGGTGGAAGTAAACGCATTGCATTATGCAGGAGAAGTACCCGTGATCGATATGCAGCATGAAGGGGCTGAGCTCAGTACATTGTGCTGTATGCTGTATCTGAGCTCCAGGCAAGATGGGAAGAGTACTTGCGCATGGACGTTGATATTCATGTGCGGTATGTAGTAAACTCGGATGGACGTCTGTTCTCCGTGCCTAAAATAAAACGGGTAGCTGAATCTGTCAGATAGGCGTTGCAGGAAGCAACTCGGAATATTTGTTGGGGAAAGGAAAAAGGACAATGCAGATCTATCCAGCACGTTCAACCATTTGGACAGAGCGCTCTGGAGGCAATGCAGAAACTGACATAGCCGATAATGAATGGCGTGACAGCTAAGCCGGGGCGAGAGCAGGGATTCATGATTCAGGAGCCGTGCTGGAGGTAGCAACAGTGTGTGGAGGGTCCAGATCATCCAGCATGCGCCGTCCGAGGAGAAAAATCGTATGGTTTAGAGTTGGGCATGGAGAATCCGGGTCCGTGGGCTGCTTAGCACTTACCATGTATAGTAATAATAAGTAGATGGATACGCACACATCCATCCACTGCATTCTTCACTCATGCATGGCAGTACCAGTACATTGCGCGGCATGGAGGTCATGGCTCGAGGTTCTACTCTGTAACGTGCTAACTCCAGTGGCGACCGTCGCACTGATGCGCTGCCCTCGGTGCACGATCTTTAGTACCTGCAAAGGAACCACCGTGTTTCATTGATAAGAGATCGATGGCAATAATGTCGAGTCGTGGCAAGAACCGTGGAGTTGCTCCGGCCGTGCACATTCTGTGCGTCGCTCCGTCTCCACGCCCCGGACGATGCAGGAGGGAGATTGCAATGTCAACGTACTCCTGACATCATTTCGACAATTAATCTGATGAAATTCTCCCATTTATTGTCCCATTTACCATATTCCGTACGGAGCAGAGAATGTGGGATGACAACCGGCCGAAGACAGGCCGGGGCAGCGATGCCGAGTCATGGATGTCCGAACGGACGGATTATTATATTAGTTGTAGTATTAATATTATACCACTCCTACCGCTAATCATAATGCAGCAATCAGGATATCGTAAGACGACAGAAGGGTTTTGCATCGGCGCAGCAAGGTTTTCCGAGTGGCGAAAAGGGAAACCAAGTCGATGTTCATGAGAATGGTCAGGACATGACTCGTAGGATGCAATGACGATGATTAATGCATGTTTCGCATTGTGTACGGACTCCGGGGATGCTCTTGATATTAATTCAACCGTCTGGTATGATACGATCCTTCCAAACGGAGTGTTCTTCCTCGATTGATGCCAGCGGAGGTGTTCAATCCATCCAAATCCATCCAAATCAATCGGGTGGGTCGGGTCTTCCCCAGACCTGCGTCTAGAAGGGAGATAGCCTCGATAATCTGTTAATAATCCTATAATAATACTTTACTATATGCATGGCCACAGCGGTTGGGTTTCGAGTCCGGCAAACCTGATTAGCCGGCACGATGAGACCAGTCCGAAGTTAAACAGGAATAGATTAAAAATAAAAAATTCAGATGGCATCAACCACGGTTCTGGACTGTGCTATTCCGGATGTCTCTGTTCCAGCGCCAGCGCTTGCGTCCGTGATGGAAGCTTTGGGACGAGCGTTGTGATAGAGGACTTGTCCTCGAAGAATATGCTATGTACATTGACGAGAATACCGTGCGTTCGATTCCTGTATTCTGTACGCATCAGAAGTAGATGTCCTCACTCTGTCGTACGTCTTGGATCAAACCATCGAGTGAGACCGGCGCGTCCCAGCACGGAGGACGAGCGGCACAGGCGATCCGAGTGCTACCTAGACTGGTCGATTGCCGTGCGCATCGCCGTCGTCATTGGAGTCTGTTATCTTGATTCTCCCGTAGACTTTGATATCACGGTGGCCAGGGCTGCTGCCAATGACCCGGGCGACTGTCCATCCATCGGCCGGCTGCCATGGACCCTGTTTTGCCGTCTTCTCCCCAGACTATTACACATTATTTACTGAGTTAATTAGTATTAGTATAATCATGATCCGACCAGCTCCCGGTTCCGGTTTGTTCTTCTTAAACTTCCTTACTTGCATACGCTGCTCCCGGCTGTTTCCCCTCATCTCCTCCATCAGCTTCTCCATCAGACGTCAATCGTCCAACGGTGGCATTTCCGTCCTTTTATTACTGACGGCCTCTCCCATTGCCTCCTGCTCCAGGAATATTATTGCCTGAGTTTTCTTCTTCTTCTTCTTCTTCTTCTTCTTCTTCTTCTTCTTCTTCTCCTTCTCTACTTGTTTTTGCTTCTCCTTCTCTAGATGTCCCTGTCAGAAGGTAAGCCAAACATTTCCTTCCGCTCCAACTTTTTTTTCTGGTTTTCTTTTTTGTTCCGTGCGACTTCGGAGCCAGGCTTTCACTGGTTAACAGATGAGAAGGAGCATCCTTACCATGCTCTCCTCTCTTGTGTCACCTGGTCACAAGATGTCTCCATTTCGCCTGTCCAACGGAGCATTTCCCCCTCCCCAGCAGCCTCATATTCTACATCACCCCAGCATTTCCACTGACTGAAATAGGCTCTATTCCTCGACAATCCTCTCGCGATCCAGTGCGGCTGTGAACTGTACGCCGTTCATTCTGCTTTCGCCATACTGGTCTCTCTCTCTGTTTCTCTCTCTCTCTCTCTCTCTTCACCTCAAGAGCATACTTCATCCCCTTCAATCTGTTCTGATTGCATCATCCAAGACGGCCGAATGCCATACACTGCACCTTCACAGTCATCGCCTCCAGCGCACCACTTCGAGCATTCTCCCACCCACCATGACTCCCGTGCTGCTTTAGGATCTCCCCACGCTCGCCCCGACTGGCTATTTCGAAGTCGGCCCTATTCTTCGACCTCCTATGTCCGCAAGCATCGTAGGACTCCATCGACTAGCAAGGCTATCCTCCACCCGGACGCCCCCCACTCTCAACATGCGGGCCCTCGTCCGTCATCCTCCCCGGTAACTAATCCGGACATTCCTCGGGGGCCCATCTCCCCGCCGGATAGCTCTGCAAGTTCTAGTGATGAGGAATCGCCGAGTCCCAAACGCGAGAGCCTGAGACTGGAGGAGCTGGAGGCTGCCGTGAGGTCTATTGAGCAGAATCGGGGGTCTTCGCCAGAGAGAAAACTCGGAGCGTCCGCCCTGCCACTTTCGGATGAGGCTCGCGAGATTTCCCATTCGCGTTCGCTGACGGAGCCGTCGGCTGTCCAGAGGCCGGAGGGGTCCGCCTGCATTTCCCCGGATTCCAGCGACCGAGAAGAGGAGAGGATGACGCCCAGGGTCCGCAAGAAGTCGGGAGAGCTGGTGAGGCCCGCGCTGCGTCCACCCTCTCGACGACGACCCTCGAGTGTGCCGGGAACCCCGACCTACTCGAAGGCGGTGCATTTCGACTCGCAGCTGGAACATATCCGTCACTTCTTACGGCTGGACAAACCCTTGGCGGTCAGTGCCGACACATCGCCAGCTGATGAGCACAGAACCGAGACGGAGTATCCTTGCACTTTCGAGGGTCCGTCCTTTGGATGGGAACTGCGCCTCCCAAACTTTCCCAAGGACCAGTCGGCCCGAGCCCATCAGCCTGTCCGCCTTGAAAGGGTATACCTTTCATCAGACAAGAGCACACTTGTCGGCGTGGTAGCAGTGGCTAATCTTGCATTCCAGAAGCTCGTGGTGGCTCGTTTCACCTTCGACTACTGGAAGACCGTCTCCGAGGTTGGAGCCGATTACAGCGCCGACGTGCGTCGAAAGCAAGTACACGATGGCTATGACCGGTTCACCTTTGGCATCAAGCTCTCTGATCAGACTAATCTCGAAAAGAAGACCATGTTCATCTGCATCCGCTACTCAGTCAACGGCCAGGAGTTTTGGGATAACAACAACTATACGAACTACCAGGTCGACTTTATCAAGACTCCCAGGTCCGGTTCCAAGGAAGAAGGGTCGACGATCAGACCTGCAGCGTCTCTCCCTCGGAGCAGAAGCTCCACTAACATCCATGATATCCGGCATCGCTCGCTACCTGCGTCGTTTGACGACTTCTCGGAACGTGACCAATACCAGTATCTGTCGTTTGACCCCTTGCCCAAACCGGCCAAGAAAGAGTCCTTACCCAAACAAGACCCGTCGGAAGACCTGGTTTCCGATACCCCCAAGCGTCGTGACTCCCAAACCCGCCAGGCCTTTGGAAATCGCTATGACTTTGGGGCGTCTTTGTCGGCTGCCATGCGCACTAAGCCCACCGAGGACCGAACTACGTTGACGGCCAAAGCAAAATCGGAAGACAAATCGAAATCCGAATCATGGAAACAGGAAAAGGAGAAAAAGAAGCAGGGCTTGTTCATTGATACAGCCTTGCCCACCACCGATGTCAATCGACAGGAGGCTCGCCCCGAAAAGCCTCAGCCCTCGGCGCTCGTGTCAGGAAAGCCGCATCTGGATTCGTCTGTGTATAAAGAGTTGGTTGACAAGTACTGCTTTGTAGGTAAACATGCTTAGCCAAGGCTTTTATTTGTATTTTATTTTATTTTTTCGAGGCTGCATCTCACTGACAGATTCCCAGTACGCGTCTAAGGGTTCAACAGCTGCAAAGCATGGCCCATCGACCGTGAATGAAGTGTCCACCTCCCGCTCAGATTCCACGAAAGATGTGCCTTTTCCTTCGACCCTAACACGCACTTCATCGTCGCCCGATCAGTCTCTCCACACAAACTCATCTTCCAATGCAAGACCACGGCTACCTCATGCAGCGTCTATGTCGTCTGTTGGTCTGGGCTCCCACCCGTCGTCATCACCCGTTGCTTTTGGATATCCATATCAATCTGCACAAAGGCGTTTTCTGACAGAATCTCAGACTCCGGCGGTCATCAAGGGATGATTGGAGCGCCCCTATGATCACCTGGAAGTCTAGCCCCGCTAAATCTTCGATTCGCGATGTCGGCAATCAGTTAATCGATTCCGCCGCCCTTCTTTCCTCGCTTTTCCTCGAAGTGGATAAAACACTGCATTTCGCTCTTTCTTTTCGCGTTATCGACCATTTCTGTCATTTCCCTCTCCAAACGGAGGAACACCACCACCTTCGATTGTGGGCGTCTTCCATGTTCTGGCTATTTCATATCTGGGGCCAAGGCCCTCTTCGAACGATCCCCTTCGCGATGTGTAATAAACCGCAGGGTGGCTTACTCGAAGTGTTGATATCCCGATCGCTACTCTCTGGGGAAAATTTATTGGTGGCAGGGACTGTTCCACCGTGTTTTTGAGCATGGTTTTGTTGTTTTCGCGATTTTTTCTTTTCTTTTCTGACAATTCATTGCATCGGCGTTTGATTGAAAGAGTTATGACGTTATGAGATTACTGTCTTCATCGAAGACTATTTTCTCTTTGATTTTCTTTTCTCTGTTTATTATTGAGGGACATTTCCAGGGCTTGGGATTTCATTGCTGTTTCAAAAGTTTGCGTTTTGCTTCTGTTCCAGTCAGCCAGTCAAGTCAATCACTCGCATGGTGTTCTAAGGCGTTTCTTTCTTTTCTGCTGTGCGTGGGCTGGGTTTCTTGCATGCTCTCGTTTTATTCAGTGAGGTTTCAGCTACAGGAGTATGGCAATATGGACTTGAAGAGTTGCCGAAGAAGTAATTACTCTTATGTAGCAGTGCAGCGGAAGACTATAGGATAATCACGTGATTGATTCAAATAAGCTGTCCTGCCAAGCCGCTAGTGGTCCACGTGACATATAGAGGCGGCATTCTGGCTCGGGCAGAAAACAGTGCGGGCGGTGCGTGTCCCAGCGCTCGCCCAAATCCCGCCCTTCATAACGCTCTTTTTTGCTGCCGCGGTGCGCCAATCACTGCGCTGCGTTGCCTTCATTTACACCTCAGCACTCTCTCCTTCCTGACAACCGGCTTAGTCATTCTCTGCTCTGTCGCAGCTATTTAAGCCGCGCCCATTGCCCCCCTCTTTCTGTCCTTCTCATTTCCTCCCCTTTTTGCAACCCGCTGACAAACAATCCCATCTCATCGGACGCGTCGGTTCAACCACCAACGTCCGTCGATCATCGTCTTTTCATCCTTTTCCATCTATCATCCATCTGACTCTATCAACACCTAACTTCTTTCGAATAACAATATGACTGGACGTAAGTATATTCCGATGCGTGTTATGTTGCGCGTCGTCGTCCCTCCATCACGTGATTATATCGTCCGACACGTGTCTACGAAGCTTCAAGCAGTCACAGGACTAACATTCTCTTTTTCTTTCATCTCTATAGGTGGCAAAGGCGGCAAGGGTCTCGGCAAGGGTGGCGCCAAGCGTCACCGTAAGATCTTGCGCGACAACATCCAGGGTATCACCAAGCCCGCCATCCGCCGTCTCGCTCGCCGTGGTGGTGTCAAGCGTATCTCCGCCATGATCTACGAGGAGACCCGTGGTGTCCTGAAATCCTTCCTTGAGTCCGTCATCCGTGATGCCGTCACGTACACCGAGCATGCCAAGCGCAAGACTGTCACCTCGCTTGATGTCGTCTATGCCCTGAAGCGCCAGGGACGTACCCTTTATGGTTTCGGTGGTTAGAGAGGGGAATTTTCCCTCCTCCGATTCTGTCTCTCCCCTTCCGTTTGTCGTCGTTTTTAAATCACTTACGTTTTGCGGGTTGGGAAGGGGATAATTCTGGGATAACGGAGATAAAGCGATGGATAAATACGGCTATTCTAATGGGTTGACGCTTCTTTTCTTTTCCTTTCTTTTTTTGTCGCTGTTTCCACTTGGGTACGGGGTTTGGGATAGTTTGGATTATTCTTTTTTGTCCGGTATGAACGGATTGTCCGTTTTGCCAAGGGCAGCTTTTGTTACATTCAATGAAGCAATTCAATAACAGTTTTCGGTCAGATTTGGTTTGAGCAGATCGAATGGAGATGTAGGTAAATATTTGCGGAGGGACAGAAGATCTCCCCGAGTATCCGCCCAGTTCCCCTCTACCCCGATCCGAGGCAGTCAGTTGGATCACCCCCTGAAGTCTAGATCCCCTACCCTCATCTCCTGATTATAGGTTTTAACAGGGGGAGTAAGTAATATAATCATCGTATCATCGTACAGCCCGCGTATCACGTGCGCCGTTCTCCCGACAAACGGTGAAACGTATGACGTTATCTATTCCATTTCTCCCCGACTTCCTCCTTGCGCCGGGGCCATTGTTATTGTGTGTGGCAGGATGTAGGGTAATGAGGCATCGATCGATCGATTCCTTTTCGAATATGGTCAGCCGATGAAAATTAATTAGGTGAACTTTTTTATAGGAAAGGAAAATTTTTCTTGTGAACGGAAGTAGGGTGCTGAGGTTCCGGTTTGTAGGAACTGGAGTATAAATCCTGATCCCAGTTCATGATTGTTCTACATTATCGGTTACTATTACTGCTACTGCTACTACTGCTACTCTATTATCATTTATCTGTACTAGGTGTGGGCTACAGAATTATTCCAATTATTATCTACCTATCTACCCTAGGGTTGAACAACCATGGCTGATGATGAGTTGCTGGTTCGTACCGTCTCCATGTTCTCTCTGGCTTCCCCGCTGATGAATTAATCTCTCTTCTCACAGGAGTCCCTCCAGCTATACTACCTCTACAACGATGGCCGACAAATATCCAAAGTCGGTCACATTGACCGAAATGGTTTAAAACCAACAACACTCCCCGGTCCAGCATTGCCGGTTCTGGGGAACGCCGTGGCTGGTGCCGTGGGAGCAGCCGTTTCGAATGCCTTGACGTACCCGCTCAGTCTGGTCGTTGCCAGGTTGCAGGCGCAGAACGCGAGGTTAAATTCAAGCCTTACCCGCAAAGATGGCAGGGAAAAGCACGTCTCTGCTGATGGATACAAATATACCGGTATTCTTGATGCTCTCCGGAAAATCTACGCTACGGAAGGCCGGTCAGGTCTCTATTCTGGTCTGGCGCAGGATACGATCAAGACCGTTACGGACTCCTTTCTGTTTTTCTTGGCATATACGGTGCTGCGACAGCGGAGTATCAGGGCGCGGTTTGGTGAGGGTTTCCGCGGTAGACGGAAGAATATCGTTCTGCCCGTTCTGGATGAATTGGGGATTGGTATCCTGGCGGGGGCGTTTGCTAGGCTCTTTACGACTCCCTTGGGGAATATTGTGACGAGGAAGCAGGTTTCTTCATCGTCATCGTCGGAACAATCTCCATCCACAAGGCAGATCGCCGCGCAGATCCTCCGCGAGAAGGGCCTGACGGGGTTTTGGTCCGGGTACTCGGCGACACTTCTCATGACGCTCAACCCGTCCATTACTCTTTTCCTGAACGAGTTGCTCCATTACCTGGTGCTTCGGCAGGTTCTGAAGCGGACCAAATCGTCTGCGCTGCTGACATTCCTCTTAGCGGCGCTAAGCAAGGCTGCGGCGTCGACGATAATGTATCCATTCGCCGTGGCTAAAACGAGGACTCAAGCAGGCTCTTCCAATGAAACTGCCGATTCAAATTCCGAGCGAGACGAAATCGAAGATGAAAATGAAATCGAAATCGATACTCTCACCCCCTCCCTCATCCCACCAATCCTCTCCACCATCCTCACCATAGCCGAGACAGAAGGCATCTCCGCTCTATATTCCGGCCTCTCCGCCGAAGTCCTAAAGGGTTTCTTCTCCGCGGGCTTCACCATGCTCACCAAAGACGCCATGTACGCCTCTATCGTCCGCGCCTATTACCTCTTCCTCGTCCTACTGCACCGATACCCCGCTCCAGAGGCACTGATCCAACAAGCCCGCGAACAAGCAGATGAATACGAATATGCCGAAGGCGCAAGAGGTTTAATAGAGGGGAGGAATCGCCAGCATGCCCATTTCTCTGTCTCCGTGCACCCGGAGTTCTCGCCTGATCATCACCATATACATGTCATGCATGGTGGACCGGTTGGAGGGGAGGATGATTCGAACGCGACAGCTGAGATGGTTGGGGAGTATGTGGAGGATGATACGGAGGGGTGGAGGAGTTTGTATCATTGGTTTTGGGAGGTTATTGAGCGTTAGTTATTTTTTTTTCCCCTTCGTTGCACTTTGGCTGGGTTTATACTTTTAATGTACTTTGTATTTTGTGTGCTATGATGTTATGTCTGCTTTGTCACCGGCTGTGAGTGCTGGTTTGGTCTGGGGGCTTGGTGGTTGCATTTGTCTATTATGAATTAATGCTGTGGTGTCTTACATACAGCATATGAGAAATAAAGAAAAATACATTAACTAATGTCACCTATGACTTATTATCTGTAAGTAAACAAACCGGAATCGAGCATCCGAGTATTCACCTCAGTTATTAACAGGAGTCGGGAGTACTAGGGCATGACACGTAGGGCAACTGACATCATGCGGAGGTAGACCACATGAGCGGAGCCTCATGACGCGGGGCAGATAAGGTAACAACCAATGGATACACGGTACTGGTGACACGCGGGTCCATTCTGGAAGGCAGCTAGAATGTCTGATCCACTGCCGGGTGCCCTGTATCATTACAAAATATGATACTGTATTTATTACGAGTATGTACAATGATAGTTGCTGTTGACTCGTCTTGCATGAAGGTTGAAACTCATGTTTCATAAATATATGAAAGTTCAAGTAAGGAGTATTATAGACAAAATCTGATGTGTTCACTTCCCACAGCATGCTGATTGCAGAATAATAACCCAAGTAAAGTAAAACGAAGCGAAGCGGTCAACATGCACTCTTGCGATGATCCCATGCTCCGTACATAGGGAAAAAGAAACCGCAAATCCTAATCGTACCCATTTGGTTGGTTAGATGTGAGATTTCCCGGTCTAAACACACCGTAGTTTTAAGCTGGTTTGGCACTATGGTGGGGCCGGCTTGTGTTGTCCCTAATTGTAATATGTTCTGTTGCATTAGTGCTAGGATTGAGTTTGGCTACTGTTGTTTTGGAGGTGTAAGCCCTGTAGGGCGCGAGGGGTAAAGTATGTATGCTGTTATTATTATGATCGGGCACGGGAATGGGACTGGCCTCCTTGTGTTCTCTGAGACATAAATAGGAGGGATTTCCTCTTCTTTCTTTTTTCCTGTTCGTGTCCAGAGTATTCGGTTTTATAATCTTTCCTATATTTATTACCATTCAAGACAAACAAAGAACCAAATTGACATTCGAGAATAAACACGGTCGCAAACACGAAAATGAATATGAACATGTTACCTAAATCCCTCGCCCTCACCCGCGGATCTGACTCCCGCTCCCGCTCAACAACAACATCCTCCTTCTCCAGCTCTCATTCCCATTCTTATTCTCATTCCCGAAAGTCCACCGATGATTTTGTGAACCATTACGGCCGACACTCAAATGATTGGCTTTTTGGTGGGTTTAGCTTACGGGATACCTTGAGGGATGGCGTGGAGAGGTTGAAGCATTTGAAGGAGGATTGAACAATTCGAACAACCAACAATTCATGATACTGTTTCGAACAAGAATAACTATTTACGATGCTCACGCTTCACCATCGTCTCGAAACGGGTCCGGGTCCAGTTTCTCTTATGGAAGGATACATACAATCCATCGATGTTTCTTCTCGGGAACGACGGTTCGGGATCTCGCTGGTCTCTCACGGCAGAGGCGAGGATATACTCGATAGTGGACACAAACGATCTCGCACCGAGTCAGCCTATCCAATTCATTGGCACGAGGAAGGGGATTGGAGTATTACGGTTAATGTAACAGTTATGATGGGATGGATCTGTCGTTGACTTGCCTGAGATATTACCAAGCATTCTTGCGTCTGGAACGCTACAGTGTATTCTCATGTCATGATGAGAACTTTAGTATATACCAATGCAAGTGCTGAATAGAATTATGCTGGAAGAAAGTCACACAGGAATCCATAGTACTCCGAGAGCTTGCATGGGGTAAGATGTTTCTGGAGCTATTTCATGAAGTGGCGTTTCCCATACACCTCAAGTTCAAGTTTCTAGAAATAATAGCATAATTGAAACCGCCCAAATTCTATGAATTCACTGTTTATCTCCATTGTCTCCATTGTCTCCATTGTCTCAAACCACAATATCGCTAACACAGCAGCGAGATCCCATGCCTCTCTTTTAGCGGCTGTCGAAATGACACTTGACTGGCCGGATTGGTCTTAGACAAAATTCTCTATAGAAAAGTAAATCGACCTCTGAACGCATTTTCAATGTACCGAAGGCTAAGGACGGTAATGAAGGTAGCTTCGCTGAGGGTAGCGCAACGCCTTATTACCAAGGGACTGATAAGTTGGCCAACACCTAAGTAGTTCGATAACCCAATCCCAATTGGTCTGGGAAATAGTCTCCACATCACAGCCAAGGGAAAATAAGTACAAAGCATCTGACCCAGAAAACTCACTTGCTTTACCTTTCTTCTCCCATCAGTTTCAATACTTTCAGTTTCTTGCACTCTTGCTATAATCTCTCCCTGGGCTCATGATGGGATTTTCATTACTACTCCGTTGCTTCATGCCGGATTTTACCTGGCCAAACCACGTCTCACATACAACGACTGGTCAAATACAATACCCGAAGCCCCCCGCGCGACACATCCACAGTTACGCCGATTATGGGGCATTCTCCACAGATATCTGAGACGGTTCTCTCGATCTTATTGTAGCTGGGTTGGGGCTACCTACGATAATCAGATTGCTCAGCTTCCATTCGGGCTGATTCTGAAGTGGTCTGATGGTACCCGGTTAGAGGAAGTCTTGACTATGGAGGTTGCCAGAAGGGCAGGTCTCCCAGTTCCGAGGGTGATCTGCTATGGAGAACATCCAGATAGTCCGCATGCTCCAGTATCGATTCTGATGACTCGCATCCCTGGCGATGAACTCGGCCAAGTTTACGAGGTGCTCAGCGACGCAGAACGAACCTCAATCCAATTGCAATTAAAAGGTTATCTGGAAACGATGCGAAGATGGAAAAATCCATGGGGGGGGAACAGAATTTGCTCTTTGTTAGGCACAGCTGTCAGGAGTGTCCGCATACCTAACCATCTCGCTGGCCCTTTTGAGTCGGAACAAGAGTTCAACGAGTACCTCCTGAGGCCTGCTTGGTCAGGCGGCTTCCCATCGGAAACAGAATACAACAACGCACTTGATTGTGCCAAGAAAATGCATGCGATGTCCCATCATATTGTTTTCACGCACGGCGACCTCAAACACCATAACATCCTTGTGAGAAAGGGGCAAATTACGGGGTTTTTGGACTGGGAGTCGGCAGGCTGGTACCCTGAGTATTGGGACTTCACCACAGCGCTCAGGTTCGCTCAGGAAGATTTCTGGTGGTATAACTTTGTGATAAGGCTCGGGGGAGGCCAGTACTTGGCAGAACTGGATTGTGAACGCGCGTTGACTTCTTTAACGAGCTCTTCATATTACTGGTAACATAGGGTTGGAAAAGGATACAGCCCCCATTTCAGTAACTTCTTGATGTGTGATAACTGCCTTGATTCAGATGAGCTCAAGTTTGACTACAACTTCCATCTGATCAAGCGCGACGACGGCCCTATCAGCACGCGCATTGACTACACCAATCTGCTTCCATACTGGGACGAGGTGACGAACTCCGACCCCGCTGCGAAGAAGAGATCTGTCCATGAAAGATTGTCCCAGATGAGTGGAAGTCCCTCATCAGGGATGCTAAGAAGAGATCCACCTCAGCCGGTCGCTCGGTTAAGGTGGGATCTGGCAATACTGACATGATGGAGAGATCGGATGCTGGGTTAGAGAAACGGTGGTTCGGCAAATTCCTCGACTGGCTGAAGAAGATGAACACTGTTGAAGCTGGAAATGATGGCTTCCTCAGCATGGCCTTCCAAAAGAGCTTTCTCCTTTATCGAGCTGCCAAAGGGTGAGTATTTTCTCTTTCCTATCTCAGGTTCCGAGTGTTCGTCGTTTGACTGACATGTCATTCAGATGCCCCCGCCGAAGTTTCTATGAAGAGATGAAAATGTATTTGGATGCTGATGTCCAAATGGACGCCACCTATGCATACTATCTCTCAGGGACGATTGTGCCTATGAAGGTGGCCGACACCTATGGGTACTTGGGGGTGGAACCAAGCGCCTATCTCGGGTTGCGCGTCGAAGGAAACGCCATCCTGACCTACACCTCGGAGTGGAAGAAGCTCATTGACACGCTTGCCTATCCTTGGTTGAGCATCAAGGGTATCGCAACTGTTGGTCCCAGCCTGGACATCTACGGTCGGGTAAGCTGTACAAACACAAGATCTGGCGAAGAGGCTTGCTAACTTGTCAAATTCTGAAGATCCGCGGTAGTGTCTCTCTGAGCGCAATTTCACATTCGGTCTGGCGTACGCGACGAGTCTCAGCGACACGCCCGATCAATGGGGCAGATTTGCATTCGATAATTTCGAGATGGGCACTACTACAGGCAAGACACCATCGCATGTTTTCTGTGCGGTTAAATCTGTTCAATCAACCGGATGTCTATCGGTTTGGATCTTTTAACGGGTACTGCTACGATCCGCAGATAAGGCGGTCTTGGCCTGGTAAGATATTGACTTTTTCTCTCTCTCTATATGAATAGATGGAGTAAGCTGGCGCATTGTCGCTCACAGGTTTCGGAGTTCGCCCAGCATATACTAAGTGCAAGGCCAACTTTGTTGGCAGTCAGTTCAGCGACCATCCGTCTCCGGCGAGATGGAGCAAGCGTGGTGATGGTCAGGAGGAGCTGATCAACGAAGACGGAGGATGGGAGATTGACAGTATGTCGGTAGTTTGCTCTTTCTCTAGAACCAGGCTAATCGTCATATCCTTTCTAGGTATTGAAATGGATCTGGATGAGGATGCGTGATGGCCTCTTCCGGAAGATATGGATTGGGAGGCCCTGCTAGGGTCGTCGAATGGGGGAGACGCGAAGTAAGCCTCTGGGCAGTGTGCTTGTACAGACACATCAACGGCTTCAGTTGATAGTCACACCGTTTAGCGTTTTCTTTTGTGCTATAAGTTACATTCATTTTCTTTCAAGAGATCCACAAAGGAAGAAGGAGAAGTACGTACCCCCCAACTAACCCTACTAAGCCCACTAACCAGCATAGATACACCCTCGCCAGCGCAGCCAAGGCGGTGTGACTGGGACCTTTGACCGTTACAATTATGACCAACTGGTCTCTGAGCCCAAGGCGACTCCATCTGTGGCAAATTTCATACTACGAAACGGCCTGCTGGGCCAATTCCGGGCAGTAGACACACATGAATATGAGAAAGGCACAAGCCAGCAGATATGACAGCAGGGGAAGACGCTGGGTAGTTAACTAAGTAGTTGACACCTTATCCCTCCCCCCCGAGTTCCCGTTCCCCCTACTGGTTTAAAACCCTGCTCTGTTCTACCATATTGTGCCTGCCGTATCTGTACCTTGCTCTCTATTTGCCTCTCATAATCATTACTGTAACCTAACTGAAATCTGAATCAATTCCACCGACATCTCAAGATGCACAACTTCCGTGATGCCCTGTTGAGCCCATCGCCAAAAGACTTCCTTGAACCTGACGAGAGATACGACGCCTTGAAAGACCAGGAGACTATACGGGAGTCTATCACTCAGGGAAACCTTGAGGAGCTGCGGGCCGTGGCCTTCTTTAATCGAACCTGGATCATCAGCTCCCGATACTGCAGTGTTGGAGATGGTGTGGATTTCCTTGAAGGCTACCTTCATTCCCTGTGGTATATTTACTACCAGCTCAGCTGGAATACATCATGTGAAACGTCCGACCATGATCGTATAGTCCTTGATATCCTCCGCATCCAGGGAATGGGGCCGGGTGCAGCGGAATAGCAAGACGAAATTCTATGGTAGAATCGAAAATACATATGGATATGGTCATTACTGAAGTTGGGTCGACACAAGCTTTATTTCACCTCAGGGCTGTGAGAAATACAGAAAATGTTGCTTTAATTGTTAACCATAGCCATAAATCGTCAAAATATAAATCGAAATTACTACATTCTACGATACACCAAGTACGTACCATTGAATACAATATCATCTGATTCACAAACGTTACTACTGTTACCCGGGCCTCCATATGTGAAAGCTTAGACTGACAGAAAAAAGAATTCGAATATTTCCTCTTCTACACCGTGTATATCTAGATATATACCACTATACAGGCTATTTATTCTATCATCACAGAGACTTTTCCCTTCCAGATGCCACCACTTTCATGAGGGTACTCAGTGGGATACTCAGTGCGTTTTGTGTGGGTAGTTCGACAATGGTGTCCGATTAACCATTCAAGGAGCGCCGATGCTCTACCTAACCCAAGGGGTATATCTATTTATCAAATTGACATGGAGTGGGAAAGACAAGTCCTACGTATAGATTTGTAAGGTCTCAATACAGCCCGGAAATATGCGTAACTGCCATCACTGCACATAGAAACCAAAGGGAGAAAATGCAACCTGTCATCGTCTATTATTTATCTATGAAATAGGTATATGCACAAAAAGTTCATTTCATGTATTTCCTGTGGCATCGCACATACCGAAGCTGATCATATCGTCAAGAGACTCTAAGTATATGAGAGAAATGAGTAGCTGCGCCTTGGAAATGCGTAACGCCAGAAGTAGATTCAAACCAGGTCCCAACCAGAAAACAAATGCCAGCATGACATGGCAGAATGTAGCCCCAGATTTAACCGATCTAGGTATTTATATAGATCTATTTACTTCCGCTTCCTCGATGACTCGGAAACAAGGCGCTTCTTCACATGCTTCGGCATCTTCTTGGAACGCTGTTCACGCTTTTCAGCCTTGACTTGACGCTTATGTTCGCGCTTGGCGTCTTTGTCCTCGAAGCGTTTTCCGCGCGGAGGTTTCTTTGCAAATGGGTCCTTGGCTTCCCTTTCCGCATCCTCTGACTCAGAGCCGGAAATAGAGACACCGCCGCTGACGTCGGAGTCTTCATCTTCGTCTTCGTCTTCATCGCCATCGACACCATCCTCTGCGGCTGGTTTCTTGTCTGCAAGGAGATCTCGGTATACGAGGTCCGAACCCTGGCCTGCACGGACCTTCTCGGCATCGCGTTCAAAATCGTACACTTGTTCCAGTGTTTGAGGGATATACTGTTGTCGAAAAACAGCAGTATCAACATCATGAGCTCCCGCAGCTTCGTGCCCGTCATCAAAGTTGTCGGTTCGAGAAGCAAAGAGTTTCTCAATTGCATCGAACATTTGTTCGTTTCCTTCCGTGATGGACGTGGGCCCATCAACGGCGACGATAAATTCGAAGATAGTCCGCTCAGGTAGCGTGTGGACACCTTTCCGGCGGAAGAAGTCCGTGACGTTCTTGATGTCCATGCGCAGAAATTCCAAGCTGCGTGGATGGTCATGCTCCACACTCTGACTAACGTCGATAATGTATTGCTTGCCCTTGTGATAGAGGATGTTGTACTCGCTAAGATCGGCGTGGACTAGTCGACACGTTTGGTACATGATGCGCATGTAGCCCAACAGTTCCATGTACAACGAACGCCATTTCGCCTCCGGGTCTGGGACATCAAACTCGACATCTTTTAGACGAGGGGCCGGTACTCCCTTAGCATTACCAATAAATCCCATAACAAGGACGTGCAGTCGAAGATGAATAGGTTCCGGACAGGGAATACCGGAGGTATAGATCCTTCGCAGATTCCGCATCTCCTTCTCTGCCCATACCTTCACCATAGCTCGATTGTTGCTCTTGTTGTAACCCCTCCTAAATCGGAACTCTCCTTCGACATACTTTTGTCTGTCCTTGAAAACCAAAATACTGGTCTTGTAGACTTTAATGGCTCGGTGTTGGGGGGCAGCATCGCTATTGTCTTCTGGAACTGAAATGGCATCATACACGTTCGCTTCTTTACCAGTTGACAAACAGCCGTGAATCTCCGATACAATGTTGCGATTGATCATCTGCAGAAGGATCATCCGCGTTCGGGGATCCAACACCTGCTCAGAAGTAGCCCGGTCGGACTTGTCCGTACCACGATCGCCACGAGTCGCCAATCCCGACTGTAGACTATCAAGTTTAATCTTCGCTGCATGGCGGGTCAGAGACTTTATCTGATCATCGACAGAGGCATGCGTATTGACTGTGGGCTTCTGTGTATTCGTTTTGGGATATGTCCATTTGGGGGCGTTAGGGTCCGCTGCAAGCTCGTTCAGCCGGCGTTGGCGATTATATGCTTTCGTCAGATCAGCAGGGTCGGACGACTTGAAGTCCTCTTCGCCTAAGTCCTCTTCTTCCTCAAAAATGTCATCGTAGTACTCGTCGTCTTCATCATCTTGTTCAGTAACGTCCTGTTCCGCAGTGGTGACGTCTTCAGTGTGCTCTTCATCCTTTTTAGGAATATCTGCATGAGCAGGTGCTGATATATTAGCTACAGCTGTCTTTAGATTAGCAGCCATGGCTAAATCCAAATCAACCAACTTGAACAGGAAAGAAATGAATATGACAGAGGGGAAGGCCTAAGGCGACTTTCAAAAAAATTGTGGGATGCTGCATCTCACCGCCCGGCAGAAACCCCGCGGGTCCTGAGAGCCAAAACGCGTAAAGCGTCTGCGCGTAGACTCATCCCCGTCTGCTGCGAAAAGTCCTTCCCTACTCAAAATCTGTCGTTTTGCCATCATCTCGGTTCCTTCACTCCATAAGGTGTGGCTGGTTTTCTATTTCTGACTACGCTGATTGCGTGATGCTGCGATTGCTCTAAGTGACATTTTCGCGTCGCGCGTTTCAAGATGCATATCAAGCAAATCATCATCCAAGGCTTCAAAAGGTAAATCCTTCCTGTTGAGATGCCACTTTATTTTTTACCGTATGATGATGTCTTATACTAATATTATTGCGTGAATAGCTACAAGGATCAGACCGTGATTGAGCCTTTCTCCCCCAAACATAATGTCATTGTCGGCCGCAACGGTTCTGGTAAGAGTAACTTTTTCGCGGCTATTCGCTTCGTTCTTAGCGATGCCTACACGCATATGGGGAGGGAAGAGCGACAGGCCCTGCTCCATGTAAGTTGTATCTTCTCAGCTGTGGTTCGTCCGGTTACTTACTTTGAGCAGGAAGGGTCTGGCTCAGCCGTCATGTCGGCCTACGTCGAAATCATCTTCGACAATTCGGACGATCGATTTCCAACGGGAAAACCGGAACTAGTTCTCCGTCGTACTATAGGGTTGAAGAAAGATGAATATACTTTGGATCGCAAAAATGCAACGAAGGCTGACGTGATGAATCTTTTGGAGTCAGCTGGTTTCTCACGATCAAACCCTTATTATATCGTCCCCCAGGGCCGAGTTACTGCGCTGACCAATATGAAAGACTCGGAACGTCTTAATCTTCTCAAGGAAGTGGCTGGAACACAAGTATATGAAGCGCGCAGGGCGGAGTCGTTGAAGATCATGCACGAAACCAACAGCAAGCGAACGAAGATCGATGAGCTCTTAGATTTCATCAATGAACGGTTATATGAGCTGGAAGAGGAGAAGGATGAGCTCAAAAACTATCAGGAAAAGGACAAGGAGAGGAGGTGCCTGGAATACACCATCTACTCTCGTGAACAACAGGAGATAGCTAGCGCGTTGGAAAATCTCGAGGAGCAAAGACAGACCGGCGTCGAGGATACGGATCTCAACCGCGATCGCTTCATTGAAGGAGAGAAGGACATGGCAGATATTGATGCGGAAATCGCAGAATGCAAGCAGCAGATTGAGTTCCTCAGGGTGGATAAGTCCCAACTTGAAGATGAACGCCGCGAGACTTCCAAAACACTTGCGCAGATCGAACTCCAAGCAAAGTCACTTTCAGATAACCAGTCGGCTGCTCAATCTGCGAAGGCGCGCCGTGATGCAGGTTTGAAGTCGGTTCAAACTGCAATTCAGGAGCGCGAGGCCGAACTGAAGGAACTGGCCCCTAGCTTTAAAGCCGCAAAAGAGCAGGAAGATAGTGTGAGAATGCAACTAGACGAAGCAGAGACGTCTCGTCAACGATTATATGCCAAGCAGGGTCGCAACTCGCGATTCAGAAACAAATCGGAGCGTGATCGATGGTTGCAGGCGGAAGTTAAAAATAATCACGTATCCATCTCCACAGCCCAAGCGGTAGTCGCGCAGACGCAAGAGGACATCAAGGAGCTCGAAAGTGAAATCGCTCTTCTCGAGCCTGAGGGTGAGCGCTTGCAGAAACAAATTGATGGTAGGGGAGACGCCATGCAGACTCTGGAGCAGCAAATCCAAGGCGCAAGAGATGAGAGGGATCGGTTAATGGACCAGAGAAAGTGGGTTTCGCCTTACCCTTTACCTTTTCCCATCCACTAACCATTCTACAGAGAGCTCTGGAGAGAAGAAGCGAAGCTCGACTCCATATTGTCAAATGCCTCAAGGGAAGTCGAACGAGCGGAGCGCAACCTTTCTCACATGATGGATCATAATACGAATCGCGGAATTGCAGCTGTCCGCAGGATCAAACGTCAATATAATATTGACGGCGTATACGGGACACTAGCTGAACTTTTCGAAGTGAATGACAGATATCGCACTGCTGTCGAAGTTACAGCTGGACAGAGTCTATTCCATTACGTGGTTGACACGGATGAAACCGCTACCAAGGTTCTGGAAATTTTGCAGAAAGAGAAGGCCGGAAGGGTTACCTTCATGCCTTTGAATCGCCTGAGAAGCAAGCCTGTCAATATGCCCAGAGCCAGCGACACAATACCTATGGTCGAGAAGCTCCAATATGACCCTGCATATGAAAAGGCTTTTATGCACGTGTTTGGAAAAACAATCATTTGCCCGAACTTGCAGGTTGCCTCTCAGTACGCACGCAGTCATGGCGTTAATGCCATTACGCCCGACGGTGACAGATCAGACAAACGAGGTGCCCTAACAGGAGGTTTCCACGATGCTCGCCAATCACGCCTTGACGCAGTTAAGAAATTAGCTAAATGGCGCGACGAATTCGAATCTAAGAAAGCCCGTGGAGTGGAGATTCGGAGAGAGCTAGAGCAGCTTGATCAAGTCATCACTAAGGCCGTAGGAGAGCTTCAGAAACTCGAACAGCAGAGGCACCAAGTGCAAAATAGCAATGGACCACTGCGACAGGAGCTAAGAAGCAAGCGTGAATTACTTATGAAGAGGAACGACGATCTTGAAGCTAAGCGGCGTGCTCTCCGAAAAATTGAGGCAAACTTGGCGTCTCTGGGCGATCAGGTCAGCGCTTTTGAGGCCGAGCTGTCCTCCCCATTCCGGAAGTCGCTAAGTGGTGAGGAGGAAGCTCGCCTTGAGACCCTTTGCACTACCGTCCAAGAGTTACGGAAACAGTACCATGACCTCTCCAGCAGGCGTAGCGAGCTGGAGGCGCGCAAGTCTGTTCTGGAGGTCGAACTTCGAGAGAACCTGTGTCCCCATCTTGATCAACTTCTTGGCCAAGATGTTGATGGGGATGAGGATTCGTCTCAAGGAAATCTCAAGGATACTGAGCGAGAGCTTAAACGCCTTGGCAAGGCGTTGGACAAACTGAGCGACCGCGTCCGGCAAGTTGACGAATCTATCGAGCAGGCGAACAGCAGAGTGGCCGAACTAGATCAACGAAAGTCGGATATGCGCCGGGAGTTAGAGGACCTGGCCAGGTCCATTGAGAAACACCAACGCCGTATGGAGAAGAGTATGCAGAAGAAGGCTGCTCTAACAAAGCAGGCGGCTGAATGTGCAGCCAACATCCGCGACTTGGGAGTGCTCCCGGACGAGGCCTTCACCAAATACAAGAACACAGACTCCAACACGGTAGTAAAGAAACTACACAAAGTGAACGAAGGGTTGAAGAAATACTCCCATGTCAACAAGAAGGCGTTTGAGCAATACAACAGCTTCACGAAACAACGTGAGACGCTGATCACCCGACGAGAGGAGCTAGACGCATCCCAGAAGTCCATCGACGACCTCATTATGGTTCTTGATCAGAGAAAAGACGAGGCTATCGAGCGTACCTTCAAGCAAGTATCGCGCGAGTTTGCCAACGTTTTCGAGAAACTTGTTCCCGCTGGCCGTGGACGCTTGATCATTCAACGGAAAACAGACCGTGCTCCTCGGCCCGATGAAGAGGTCGACTCGGACGATGAGACTCGTCAAAGCGTCGAGAACTACATTGGAGTAAGCATCAGTGTCAGCTTCAACAGTAAGCATGATGAGCAACAACGGATCCAGCAACTCAGCGGAGGCCAGAAGAGTAAGTCACCCGTTTCCGTTCCGTATTACCTTGAGTATGCCGTTGCTGATAATCCGAGTTAGGTCTTTGTGCCCTTGCCCTCGTATTCGCCATCCAGGCCTGCGACCCCGCTCCATTCTACCTTTTCGACGAAATCGACGCCAACCTTGACGCCCAGTACCGGACGGCGGTGGCTCAAATGCTGAAGTCGATCTCGGACTCGACGAACGGGCAGTTTATCTGCACCACCTTCCGGCCGGAGATGTTGCATGTGGCCGAGAAATGCTATGGTGTCAGCTTTCGACACAAGGCCAGCTCCGTTAATGTTGTGTCGAGGGAAGAGGCACTGAAGTTTGTCGAGGAGCAGAAGACTTGATTAGAGGTTCTGCAGAGAACGTGGGGGATTGTCAAGTATGTTCTGCTTGGGTCGTTTAAATGAGATGGGGTAACGGGCGTATTCTTCGTGGATCTTTCTTATCAGCTTGATTTCCAGTTGATTACCCTTTTGCTTTTGTACTTATGGAGTCTATCATAATCTAACGAATTTCTTTGGCCATAGTCCCTGGAGGAATGTAGGTGGGCCTTCTGCTGTTGATATAAATTACAGCCTGAAAGAGCACAATTGTAAAATGCATTCAATGCATTTGTATCTATGACGGAATGAAGAAAATGTATCATGAAGGGTATCGTTGCAGGTGAACTCCCTGCCCTTAGACATCAGTTTGGAAGGCTCATATCTTGCTTGGAAAGCGGCTCTCCCGTCCATTCAAGCAGAACTTCCTCCGGTACGTCTCTGACGAGGATATGCACATGGTCGAGGGCCCTGACACTCTGCAGCGCAGTCCAGTTCTTAAACCACAACACACGCTCCACAGGGTCCGGACATATACCATTCAGTCTCATCACGAACGTCCGCTGCACAAAATCCTCGACCAACGCCCGAGATTCCTCCGTCATGTCCCCGCCTTCTTCCTTGACAGGGATGGGAGTCTGGAGCCAGACGACCAGATGCGAAATGCCCGGGGAGACGCCATAGGGCCAGTCGTTGCGGAGGATCTTATAGTCTGCGGGATCGGCGAAGGGAACAGGGTTCCTAAAGGTGAACGGAGGCTCCCAGCCCAATCGACGCTGGCAGACGTAGTTGGTTACGGAGCCATATTGAGCCTTGATTTCCGTAGACCATCTGATATAGCGGACCAAATCGGAGGGCTTCCTTTTCAGAGACCCGAGGTCATTGCGCGCTGTTTTCGTGAGAAGCAGATGTTAGAAGATATCCAGATCCATATGTTTCCGGTTATAGTCATGCTCTGCGGGGTAAATGCATGAGGGGAGGGAGAGGAGAGCTGGGGATTCTTTGGAGAGAGATGTGATATTACATTCGTACCGATGATGTTCTTGAGATCCTCCCAGTCGTGCAGGACAAACTCGTCGTCTGTCTGGGCCAGGACTTGGCGGTCCGTTTCGGTGAGGGAGAAGGGGGTTTGTTCTAGAGATGGAAGAGACATTTGGACAAGTATGTCAGAGCATCGACCAAGAGTGGGAGAGTGGATGTAGAGTAGAGAGCAAGGGACATTCTCTCCCGAAACGGTTGGGAAATGCGGAGTTTTCCGGTCTCCGAAGTAGATTTATCTCCAACTCCCCTCGCTCTCCTCATCTTCATTCTTTTCCCTCCCCTCTGTTCACCTGTCTGTCTCTCCCCGTTCTGTCCACGAGGACGCCTGTCAAGATGAGGTTCGTTAACCCCTGGTCTACTAATATCCTAATTCTATAGTACTGTTCTGACCCATCCAGCGCCTTCACCGCCAAGAAGTTTCTGTCGGCCTATATCCCCTCCGTCCTCCTCGTGGCTGGGACGTTCTTCGCCAAAGAGGAATGGCTTCCTTATGCTGCGACTATTGCTACTCTCTATACTGGATATACGCTCTTCAGTGGCAGTACGTTGCCCGTTTCATATTGAGTTGCGCTTCATGAATGCACGCGACACTGACCATTTGCCTCCTCTCCAGGGCCCAGGAAAGTCCTTGATCCCGCCAAATTCCAGGAATTCAGGTTAGAGAAGAAGACAGAGGTTTCGCACAATGTAACCATCTACCGTTTCGCTCTGCCTCGTCCCACCGACATCTTGGGTCTGCCTATCGGCCAGCATATCTCCCTCGCCGCAAACATCCCCGGCCAGCCCAAGGAAGTTGTGCGCTCTTACACTCCCATCTCTTCGGACAACGACTCTGGCTATTTTGACCTTCTCGTCAAAGCTTACCCTCAGGGTAACATTTCCAAGTACCTGACAACCCTGGAGGTCGGCGATAACATGAAGGTCCGCGGTCCCAAGGGCGCCTTCGTCTACACCCCCAACATGTGCCGCCGCATTGGAATGATTGCGGGTGGCACAGGTGTCACTCCCATGCTGCAGGTTGTCAAGGCTATTATCCGCAACAGGCCCAGGAATGGCGGTAAGGACACCACCCAGGTGGATCTGATCTTCGCCAACGTCAACCCGGAGGATATCCTGCTCAAGGATGAGTTGGAGCGCCTGGCAAAGGAAGATGACGGATTCCGTATCTACTATGTTCTCAACAACCCTCCCTCTGGCTGGACAGGTGGTGTTGGCTTCGTTACCGCGGATATGATCAAGGTTAGTCCTTCGCACCAGAGCTTGCTGCGCGCAAGGCCCTCGCCTCGCTACTTGCTAATACGTGTCTTTCATAGGAACGTCTTCCTGCTCCGGCAAGCGACATCAAGATCCTCATCTGCGGACCTCCTCCTATGGTCAGCGCCATGAAGAAGGCTACTGAATCTCTGGGTTACACCAAGGCTCGCCCTGTCAGCAAGCTTGATGACCAGGTCTTCTGCTTCTAAACCTAGACTTGGATTAAATACTTCTGGTGTGAAGTTGCGACTCGATGTATATATTATCGCTGATCGCTGAGTCGCCGTTTTGAGATACCTTGCAACGGTCCTTGCTTGTTAGACTTCAGAGGGCCTAGCATGATTCCCAGTTTCGAAAAGGAAAGTTTTCAGGGAAAAAAAAAAAACATGTGTTATGCTAGATAGTGAGGAAGGGATTTGTTTATAGACGATTGAATGAGAGGGCTTTAGCTCATGATCATATTCTGGCATCTATATATTCCTAAGACAACGTCCTGCCTCACCATTTGTATCATCCGCTCTTGTCACTAGTATTAATATCCTCGTGTACTTCCACTAGATCGTCTACTAATTGGAGGAATTTCTGTCGATAATCCTCCACGGACGTGGTAACGGTCATGGGCCCTCTCTGCTCGACAACATTAAAAGCATCAACGGCCCCAGTCAATACCTGCGTACGCAGATTATGCTTGGACCAGAAAAAATCCAAAGTCGCAAACCGATACTTCCACAACCCATCAGCAGAAACTAGCCCACTGCGAAAGCGACTCCTTCTCCTCCCAATGACCCTCGGATCAGATGATGCTGGAAACCTAATTAGAAATAAAGAATAATCAACTGTATCTGCCGACTCAAGAAACATCGTATCTTCCTCCATAGTCCGCCTGAGTTCCTCGTACTCCCCTCTTGTGATCCGGATCTTATCTTTGAACACGTTGAGGGTTTTCTTGAGCACCGTTTCCGTTACGAGTGGAGAGGGGAGAAGGTCGCGCTGCGGGTAGAAATACTGGAGCGGTTTCAGGTCATATGCTTCCCACTTATCCTTTTCTGGGTCCGATGGCTTGCCGTATTGGAGGTTCTCCATGATAATGTGGTTGGAAGGGGTGAGTTTGAGGATGTTTCCAAGGGTTGGATAGGGTGCGTAGACGTAGTCTGTAATGCGGACGAGAAGGGAGTCCGGATGGGACGCCATGTAGTCATAGTAGGGCTTTATGAGATCTGCCTCAAAAAACCTGTGTTCGAAATGTCGTGGGAGGCTTTTCACGAGGAATTTGGAGTCTGCCGTTCTGAAGAAGGTCTGTAATCATTGTTGAATTAGTATCAATATTGTTGAACAATTAACTACTATGTTCTGCAAAAGTCTAATTCAAATACTAACAGATCCTGAATATCCCAGGTCCCCCATTGCTTTGAGGGAATTCTTGTCCCCTCTGCACTTCCTGGTGAAGCTTGCTTTATACTCGTCCTCGTCGATCTCCCAGGTCTCGTGGCGGAGTTTTTCAAAAGCAACATTATTATCATAACGTACTAGGGTAATATTTAAGACGGTAAAGAATGCTGTTATGTAACCGATGATGTTCTTATGGGCTCCATTTGGGTCCTTGATAACAGCGCCCTCGATGGATTTGCTAAGGGCTTCCACCCGATGCTGCTTGCGATTACCCATATTTGAGCATCAGATAATCAGATTCCGTGGCTGCAACGCAGTATCTCTTAATATCAAGGAGCAGGACATGGCGCATGGTAGAAATAGGTGTATTATGGCTTCCCGTGTATGAGGTACTGAGTAGATGTAGATGAATGTTGAAAGGACTGACATCATTGCACAGTTAGGGCGGCAGCTAGGGCATTTGCCATCAGCTGACCTAGTGCTTTACCGCCCCGGCAGAACCACACTTACCCGATTGAGTCACAATTTTCCTGTCGAGCCCCTCCGTCCAGGCTTTTCCTCTCCATGCATGGGTCTTCCGCGACTGTTCTGCGTCCGGCGATTTTCAAGCGCCTTCTCCCAGACTCCCAGATTCTATAATCCTCCGTCCAGTCCGTCGACTGCTTACATATCCACAAGGCATCAATTGCAAGCCATCCCATCCGTCTTGTCTTTGTCACGGCGCGCATTCTATACCAAGGCATCTTTGCGAGTGAACCAGACTCGGCGTAATTTCGCAACCATGGCGTCCACCGGAGAAGTCCCTGTCAACATTCAGTCGTTGTCCATCCACTCGACGACAGAGCAGTCGAAGTTTCCTAACTGCTTCCCATCGTTGAACCCGGTCGATATCTACCGTGAGCATATCGCAGAGAAGTTGGGAGAGGCTACAGGGATTGAGCCGGAGAAGATTTATACCCGACTTCTGTGGACGAATACTTTAGATAAGGGCGACTTGGTTCTGCCGGTATGCAGTTGTCCATCATGATGTTATCACTGCAAATATCTAACCCTGTTTCGTCTGTCCCAGGTTGCATCTTTGCAAATCAAGAAGAACCCCCAGGAGCTGTGCAAGGAACTTGCGGCAAAGTTCCCCGAGTCCGATCTTATCCTCCCTCCTAATCCCTTCGGTGCTCATCTGCAGTTCTTTTTCAAGCCTGGGCTTCTTACCCACACTGTCATCGGACGTATCTTGAAAGAGAAGGCCAGCTTCGGTTCCAATGGGAACCTGGGTCTTCGCGATCCCAAGGATCCTTCCAAGGGTCAGAAGAGGCTGATCGTCGAGTTTTCCTCGCCTAACATTGCTAAACCCTTCCACGCTGGGCACCTGCGGAGTACCATTATTGGAGGCTTCCTGGCCAACCTCTACACTGTCATGGGTTGGGATGTCATCAAGATGAACTACCTCGGTGATTGGGGTAAGCAGTACGGTTTGCTTGCTAATGGGTATAAGAAATTTGGCAACGAAGAGCAACTTCTCAGGGATCCGATCAACCATCTTTTTGATGTCTACGTGAAGGTCAACGGCATTGTGGCCCAGGAGGAAGGCCCCATTAAGGAGCTCAAGGAGCAGATCAAGGCGAAGAAGGAGAAAAATGAAGATGTCTCTGAACTGCAGAAGGAGCTTGACAAGCTCGTTGATGCCAGCGAGGACGAGAAAGCCCGCCGATACTTCAAGAGCATGGAAGACGGCGACCCGGAGGCTCTCGCTCTGTGGAAGCGATTCCGTGATCTCAGTATCCAGAAGTACAAGCAAACATATGCTCGTCTCAACATTGATTTCGATGTCTACTCCGGAGAGTCTCAAGTCAAGTCCGAGAGCATGACATCTGCCTATTCCATCATGGAGAAGGCTGGCGTCTCAGAGCACTCTGAGGGTGCTGTGATTGTTGATTTTACCAAGCACGGAGCCAAGAAGCTTGGAAAGGCCATCATCATTCGGAAAGATGGCACCCCGCTGTATCTGACCCGCGACATCGGCGCCATTCTGGAGCGTGATGCAAAGTATCACTTCGACAAGATGATCTACGTTGTTGCCGCGCAGCAGGATCTCCATCTGGCTCAGCTCTTCAAGATCACCGAGCTGATGGGCTACAAAGATCTGGCCAGCCGCTGCCAACACATCAACTTCGGTATGGTCCGCGGCATGAGCACGCGTAAGGGTACTGTTAAGTTCTTGGATGACATCCTTCGAGATGTTGGTGACAAGATGCATGAGGTCATGAAGAAGAACGCCGAAAAATACGAGCAAGTTCAGGACCCTGTCAAGACGGCCGATACCCTTGGTATCACTTCCGTTATGGTCCAGGACATGACTGGCAAGCGGTATGTTTTTTTTTCCCTCCACATGAAATGAATTGGCATATTCTTATCAAACCATGCAGTGTCAACGGCTACGACTTCAACCTAGACGCCATGACCTCCTTCGAAGGCGACACTGGCCCATACCTTCAGTACGCACATGCTCGTCTGTGCTCTATTATCCGCAAATCCCAAATGAACACAGCGGAACTAGACACAGCCAACCTGACCCTTCTCACGGAGACACACGCTGTGGACCTCGTCCGTCTCCTGGCTCAATGGCCTGACGTCCTCCTGAACACTCTGAAGACCCTGGAACCTACCACGGTCCTGAACTATCTGTTTCGCATGACACATATTCTCAGCTCCAGCTACGACGTGCTCAAGGTCATCGGTAGTGAGCCTGATGTGAAGAAGGCGCGCATGGCCCTATACGAGGCCGCGCGACAGGTGCTGAATAACGGCATGCGGGTATTAGGTCTGAGTCCTGTTGAGCGGTATGTATCCATACATATTTTTTCCCTCATCATTTTATGGGGATAAATTTGCTAACTGTGAGCATCTTTTAGGATGTAAATCGAGTACCTCCCTTTGTTTATTATTTTGAATAAATACATACCCGTGGATTTTCTGCGGGATGCATGGATAGCGATTTAAAAGTCAGTATAATCTCGTTCAGTTCTTGGCTCGTAGGGTTTTCGGATTCGTAGATGAAAGACCGCTTCTCGCCATTCTTTGTAGTTTTTAGTGGCCATGCTTCAATTTAATCCGATCAATGAAGCCTATGTCATTAGAATGATACAACCCTATGCATTATTTACATGCCCATCCAGCAAAGAGTCGCGTAATCCATCCATACCATCCATAGCATACATAACATACCCTAATATAAACATGCTTTGAAAAAGGACCAGTCATTCCATGCATAAAATCATTTCAATCCATCCATCCATCCCATATCCCAGTCTCGGAAAGAGTAAGCAGAAAGAAAAAGAAAAAGGTAAAGCTCAATCAATCACTATCATCCAAACTGTCCCTCCGCCTCCTCCCACCACCATCACGCCGATACCCCTTGGTCAAGCCCGGAATAGGGTGATGGTAGCTCTTCGTCCCCGTGCCATCATCCATGTCGACGCTGGAATACTGATACTCGGATCGGGATTGAGTCGAGGAAAAGTCTAACGGCTCCGAATAATGGCCCGGGACGGATCTGCGATCGCGCTTGCGAGGACTGGGTTCGCGGTCGTGTTCTCTTTCTCTTTCACGATCTCGTTCTCGTTGCATAGCTCTCTCACGGGCCATTTCTCTTCTGCGCTCTCTTTCGCGACGACGGTTATTCCTCCACGGTGGAGATGAAGGGTGTTCGTGATCATGCTCGTGCAATCTCTGTGTCTCCGATGGGATCTGACTAGCGATATCCTCACTTTCAGGCGCGAAGGAGAAATCCCTCCTCTGAGACTGAGAATGACCATGGCTGCGATGACTCTGCGAACGAGCAGTCTGACCAGCGGGATATGCATAGTCCCGACGTTCCGTCATCTCACTCTGAGTCTGACTCTGGCTGAAATAACTCGAATCATAATCACTCCCATGATACGTCCCCTCAAACTGCCTATTCATCCCACCAACCTGAGCAGGCTTCTCATTCCGATAAGCCCTAACATCCTCATCAACAACATCCTTCTCCCCCCACGGCTGATGCTCCTCCTCATCCCGATTCCGCCTCCTCATGAACTTCTGTCTGGCCGTCTCACGCAGTCTCTGCTTCCACCCTTTCCCCTCTGTACCAGCGGCCTGCGACCGTTTCTCATGCTCGTGATCGTTCCCCACAGTCCCCGTCTCATCCGTATAAGTGTAGGTATAGCTATACCCCAGACTTTCCCCATCATGATCCGGAAAATCATCCCGAAACCGCCGATCAACAATAGACCCCCCGCCTAGATCCGTCGATTTCGTCGCATTACTTAAAGTCCGTCCGTCTGGCCCCTTCCGTCGCAGAACGGTAGACTTGTATTCCTCCCAATCACCCTTGCGCCAGACGAACCCGCCATTCCTGGCCCAAAAAAAGAACCAGATCGATGCGATGACGAAGGCTGCGCCGAGAAGTGCAAAGAGCGCCATCAGGCCGCCATTGTGGATTGATTCGGGGTTTATCGAGCCTTCGCCGGGGTTGTAGGTTTTTGTGGGGGCGCGCGCGACGAGGGTTTTCGGGGTGTCCGGGTTGAGATCGGGCGTAATTGGGCTGGGGATTGCAGATGGAGGTTCAGGTTGAGGTTGTACTTCCATGTTGAGGGCAGAGATAAAATCTCCTTCTTCTCCGTTGAGGGGAGGCATGCTTTATGTTTCTTCTTTCCTAGCTCGTGGTAGAAGTATGGTTCTAGGTTGTCGAGAGCATGTAGCTCAGGACGGACCTCTGCGATGACTTGCTCGTAGGAAGTCCCTAGATTGCATCAATGGGAAAGAATAGGAAGAGACAGCCTGACGAAATGGAAATGAGAAGGCTGGACGTCTTCCCAGTCCTCGACGGCGTCGACATCGAATATCGGGAGGCTGGGAGTGACTGCTTTGTTTACACCGTGGCTGTCACGGTAACGTTATGCTGATTAGTCATGTGCATAACTTGTTGGATCAACTTGCTTGTATTGTATGTATCTAGGTTGGCCTAGCTATTTTAGTGTGTCAGGCCAAGCGAGGGCGGTCTAATATGGCAGAATACACGTGACCTCTAACATAATGTTCCAGGCCAGTAACGTAATCAACTGCTGAACCGCCAATTTTCGACAACACCAGTCGTAACACTCTGCAGCAGATCTACCTCCTCCAGGCCCATGAGAGTAGTTTCTCCTTTTGCCCCATATCCTGCAGTGCCGCAGTGGTACGCAGTGGTTGTCCACTTCCTCAGGCGATGGATCCTATGGGCCAATGAAACACCACCCTCAGCGTCCTTTCAAGAAATTTAATTCACCACAATTGAACAGGTCATACCTCAAGACTGTCCGTCATCACTGTCAGCCTCCACTGGCACATCTTCAGCTAGCTCAAACGGAACATCTATATCCAGAATGAGTGCCTTTCACTCGCCGCTGCCGATAATCAGCCTCCAGTTCCACTCCGTTCCCAAGCGATGTGGGTGATGATGTATCATTGAAACGGTCTTCCCTGTTCGAACATCTTCAAAATTATATGATAGCAGATGTTCATTATGATGTGTTTGCAGCCTCACGAAGGGGCCTGCGGTGATGCTCGTGTGATCGTCAAGCCTGTATTTGCGAAGGCACCATGAGCGAAGCTCAGTCGCGGCAGCCAAACATGTCTTCCAAGTATCGTAATCGACAAACTCTAGAATCCGACTGAGCAGTTCTATCGGGAGAGAAGCACCTGTTTTTGACTTGGAAGCTGCACGGTTACTAAAGCTACCTAAATGAAGCTATCCTGATCCTCTGATTCCTTAGTTATCCACGCCTTGAATCCCTATTTCGAAGGTTGAGCTTCAGACGGATTCGGATTCGAATTTATTCATATGCCGTTCCAGCCAATTATACCCATGGCTACTCAGGAACTGTTCCGCCACCGCTTGGCAGTCAGTGCAATTGTTCCCCTTCAGCCAACTCTCCTCATTCCTCCTTTCCCACTAGTGACCTTTGTCAAGGCCTGGTCATAACAATCTCAAAGCACACGCAGCCTCCTATTGACTCAGAATGAAAATCAGACAAATTGCCTAGGCTGAGACCTTACAGCACTGGGATTGAATTATTCCCAATCAACCACTCAGGGTGCCATTCTCACTACTCTCTTTTTCTCGCCCCAGTCTCTACAACCCTCCAACATAACGGTGCGAAAGGACATTCTACCATTGAGGGATGTATTGGCACGAATCATTCTTCAAGTAAGTCAAACCACTCCGGAATCTCCTTGATGAGAGACCACATGTACTTCTCCAGCCTCGCTGCACACTTGGCATATACCGATTTGGCATCATTATACTGCCACAATTACTGAAAATCAATTTGAGATCGCTGACGAGGTCTTTTGGAGTGGTATAAAGGTCATGTTCCAATTTTTCTTCCATAGTCGACAGATCCATTGGTGATGTAATGACATCGTAATAATCGGGGACTTCATCTTTGTTGACTGGATTGAGGAAGGGCCATGCTTGTTTGTGGCTTTGGATTTGAAACAGAAAACGTCGAAGTTCATTGAAATGAGGTCCATGGCGTGGTTCTCGTGCTAACTTGTCCATGTCTGGAGACCAGCCAGTTTCCTGAATAGCAGGGATAGAGAGTGGATCGATTGGAGTAACAATGCCATTTGCCCATTGCTGAGGCGGTTGATGGATGATGTGGCCTCTGCTAAAGGAACGAATTTTTGCTTGTACGGTTTCCTTCTGCTTGCGAAGCATACGGCCAACTTCGAGATAACGTATTTGGGGAAGCATGGTGCATTGCATGAGTGTCCCTCCTTCATAATCCTTAATATACCCCATCCAGACAGACTTGTCGAGAGTAATCTCTTTCGTAAAACCTTGCTTTTGAAAATACCCGGTGGCAAAATTATCAGCGTAAGTTAGAAAATGCATCACTGGGGAAGTAGCTCTGACATAATCCTTCAAATGGGCCATGAGATGCGCTCCATATCCTTTCACCTGCTGCTCAGATGAGACTGCACAAAAAACGATTTCAGTAAACTTGCGGTCTTGGAATTCTCGGAATGTTATTCCGCCAATGACCTCCAGAGGCATTTTGACGATCGCGATAGACAAATGAGCGCGATCATAGACGAGACGTGCGATGTAATCTTTGGGCATTTTCGGAAGTTGCTTTTGAAACAGGCATTTGAGACCTGTAAGAACAATCCAATTTTCTCTGGTGCCATCATTGTTAACGACTCGGAATTCAATCTCGCCATTTCGTTCTTCTAAAACTGCAGGCTTTAGAACAGTCAGAATGTTTCTGACATTTAATGGTAAAAAGCATACCTTCTCCGGGAAAAGAACCGTCCGGGCAATAGGTGGAGATTGACCATCATGAAGGCTTTTGATTCTTTTGGTATCTGGGACGGTATTCAGATTTTCGGAAGCCGTGCGCTTTGCAACGAGATTTTGCCCGCGGTCTACTGAAAATGATTGCGACTCTGCTTCGTCCATCTGCGTTGAATGCCCGGCGAACTTGAACTTAGATAGGTAATATTCAAACTAGTGCAGATTAGCCTCGGGCTCTCTAAAATTATCGCAGTCCTTACTCTTGAACGATGGAAATGCTTAGTTTAATTTGTTGGGTAACGTATTCCACAGGCGAGCGGCAACCATCAAATATTCAGCCTTCTAAGACGTGCCAGTGCCAGGGTCACATGCTGACGGTCATACCTCAGGTATGGTCGTCACAGTAGCTCTTGATATTCATCAAATGCCAACTCCTTGTATTTCTCAATTGCTTCCCAGCAATCCTGAAAAGCCAGTTGCTCCTTCATTGCACCGAACCAGTATCTAGAATTCTCTGACTTTAATAGCTCAATCGTGAACTGATAGATCTTCCCAACTTTAGGAATGTCATCAATCCCTTCAATCTTTGATGACCTGGCCCTCTTAGCCTCTGACCCTCCTTCAGTTCCCATTGTGGCGACCGTACCTGAGGTATGACCGTCAGCATGTGACCCTGGCACGTCTTAGAAGGTGCCAGCAGATTGAGCAAGTAGGGCACAGGGCTAGGGCTGAGGGCAGGCAGCTGCCCTCACCTCCTATTTCCTCCCCACCACGTCTTTCACCTTTTTTCCTTTCCTTCTTCTTCTCCTCGTGTACGATATTCCTAGACAGTACGGCCAAATAGCGAGTTGCTTTCCTCTTCTCATCCTATTATAGCTGATCGTCACACCCATTCCTTTCTGGTTTCTTGGGGCCTTTATCCTGATTTCTGATTTACTAGAGCTATCCCTCAGCTCATTCTCATGGTAATCCACAAAGCTCGACATACACTCCTTCCTGACAGAATCACAACCCGTGCACAATGTTGATGTTTTATGGTACCAGTGTAAATGAAGGCATATGGTCTTGAGGGTGACACTCACAGGTATAGTCCTGTCTGCTTGCCTTGAACTGACAGCTAGTCTAGTTCAAAACACCAAGATACTGAGAGGTTGTTAAGCTGCTTCAGTAGCCCAGGCTCATAACCTATGAAGCAGATTCGGCTCCACATGCGCAGGGGAAATGGTGATAACAGACAATCTTATACACGCTTCATCAGGGTAGGAGATATATGGAAGTAAACAAGATAGTTCTCTATCTTAAAACTTGATACCTGAATGCTTGAATACCTTCAACTCTGTTGAGGTTCAGGAGCCGTGTCCTAGTTAATTAACGTAATTCCCAGCCGAGCGGATCACCAACCCCCATTAGAAAATTTCAAGATCGATTATCTGAACCAGCACCCATTAATTCAACTAAATATAGCGATTCTTACATGTATTTATTTATCTTGTGGCCAATCTCCCTACACCCACTACACCTCGGCGGAGCCCTAGTAGCCGGCTGATTTGGCTGCATAGGTAATTCGCCCTGCGCATGCGATTCTATCTCATCACCTTCCACTAGCTGGTTTAGCTGTTCAACTAGCTGTAGGCCCTCTTCGACCGTCAAACCCTCTTCGCAGGGTAGCTGCCTAGTTGGCCGATTGCGCTTCTTCCTAGTCTTCTTGTTTGCAGCGTGTAAATTCGCATTTTCCTGCGCTAGTAATGCGACACCATGAAAAGCTAGATAGCCGCCCTTGATAAGTTGATCTAGCGCGGTTTTTGATGGGCTTGGTGGGCTGTTTGACCGTTGTTTTAGTAGTTCCTTAAGAATTGAAGCTTGCTTTTGGAGCTGTAGAACGGTTCTAGGCGTTTTTGGTGTGAATTGGCTAGATCTGCTGCTTGGCTGGCTGTAGGATAGGCCGCTGACTGTAGTAATCTGCTTGGGTAACTACCTTCTGTGAAGATATAAGACCCATTGCAAATCCTGTCTCATCAAAGTTGTAGATATCCTCCGCTTGTATACCGTTCCCATCGATAACGCGTTGTACGGTAGTAAACCACTCTCGTAGCAATTTTGGGTCTTCATTTAGTGCGCGCTGGTAGTCGTAACGCCTAGAGAAGCGTGATCGAATCTCTTCACGTCGATTTATAAAGGTTGATAGCCAATTCTTGCCAACCGTAGGCGAAGGGTAGCTACCGCGCGCAGCTAGTAGGATATTAGCCATTTCTCACACAGTAGCCGGCCTAGGCGCTGCTCCACGCGTATCCATAGAAATTATCCATTCAGCAAGCGAATCCCCCTCCAATTGGGTTAGTTTATAGCCATTTGGGCGTGTATCACCGCGTGAGATTCGGCCACCGGCGCGCGCATGTAGTGTAGTATAGCATATTTCGTATAGCTTTGCTGCTGCGCGGAGAGATTTGATGCGGCATTTTTAATATCATCAAGGGCTAATAAGATCTTGCCCTCCTAATTGGCCGATTTTGGCTGAGATTCAGAGCGAATCGGTGGCATGGTAGGTGGTTGAAGTTGGTATATGTAGGTAGAAAGACGTGATGTTGGATGGGGTGATCCATCCGCTCGGCTGGGAATTACGTTAGTTACAGTGCAACTTACAGATACAGGACTTCTGGCGTTATTATTATTATTTATGATATTGTTTATATGAACAGAATAATACTCAATTGGACAAGCCTCCAGCAAAGTTCATCGAACAGTCACTAACCAGTACATGTACAAAACTGAGCGCAGAACAGGAACAAGGACAATCCACGAAATCAACGTCAAAGCCAAAGGGTATATAAGCGGATCATATCTCTTGCGTGGAACCCATGTCTAATAACTTCACGCACCGAAAAAACCAATTCAAGAAAAGACAAAAGACAGCAGAGCATAGAAACGAAGAAGAGGTATAGTCATCCACACATTGTACATGACGTACACATACAGACATTAGGTAGAATGAGGGAGCGAAAAACAAAGCCGACCAAAGATAGCAGACATGGAGACAGGTGGAATTAACCAAGACAAAGAAGATCGATCATTGCAGGTCATCGAATCGTACAATCATGTCACCGTGATGGACGCGATCGGTCGAAGTCATGTAACCCGCCCTTCTTCTTCCTCCCCAAAAGAAAAGCGTACAGGTAAATAGATCAAACGAAACAGAAAAAAGCCTCCCTTTGCAAAAACATGACTTTTGTCATGGTGTTCTGTAACACCCTTCCCAACTTTTCGACGAAGCTGACAAGACTCGAGCACTCACTAGAAGCTCAGGGTATCACTTCTTGAAACAAACTGTTTTTCCCCTTTCCCAAATCCCTTTTTTCCCAGCAGAGAAGCCGACCCTAAAAAAAAACCAAAACTTTTCTTTTTGACTTTGCTTCTCTTTTCCCTTATGGACCAAGCTCTTTCCATCATTGTTCTTGCGGGAGAAGCGATAACTCCAGAGAGAGGCAGAAAAAAAGCAAGGTGAAACGAAATGAAACGAACCGAAAACAATAATGTCTAATGGGGGAAAATGCAAAGAGAAAAAAAAAAAAAAGAAAAAAAGAAAAAAGACAAAAGCGGCGCGTCTCATTCGTAAAATCCCCTGGATCCATAGGTTGATCGGCTGGAACGTCTGCTGGCACGGTCAGACCGTCGATCATCCCGGGAACGTCTCGCTTCGCTGCCGCCGCTGTAATCAGAGCGAGAGGGCAGGTACTTCTTCGGTCGCTTGCCCTCAAAATTCAGTTCCACGGCACCGGCATCGCCCGTGCGAACGCTGATCGTCTTGCCGCCCACGGCTTCCTGAGTGAAGCTCATGGTCACACCGTTCATAGTCATCACGATGTTGTTTTCATCGTCCGCCTTAGAACCGGCTGCACTGCCGCTTTGGGTACGAGCGTCGCTGCCGCGGCTGGAACGGCTCTTCTGACTCCCACTATCGCTCTCGATTGCGTGCGTGGCCTTGGCATTCACCAGGGCATCCGTGGTAAGAGGCATGGGCCTGCCAGACCGGACGGCCTGGTATTCTTCTGCCTCGCGTTGCTTTTCATCCATGTCGGACGAGCCAGAGTAGTTATAGTATACCTGTGGCCGACGCCGGCGGCGGGGATTTTCCACGGTCATCCTGGACGCTCGGGGAGATCCATAGTAGGCGGTGGACCGTCTGCTCTCGTTCGTACTGCGGCTGCGTTCCGGTAGCACGGCCTCGCGTGCCAGTCGTCGAACCCTGTGGTCTGGCAAAGCGGCATCCATCTCGGAGAGGTCGAAAGTCTTGGACGAACTGCGCTCACGGGGGATGGGCGTAGACGTCTGCGATTTATGGGGCAGATCCGGTCGCTTCTGGATGATGCGTGGTGCGGGATTCTCCTTCCGGGAAGTCGGGCGTGACGGCGGTGGCATGCGATAATAATCCTCGTCGACTTCGTAGTGCGACGAACGAGAGGGACGACGGGCCCTGGCGGCCCTGGGTTCGCGGGAAGCCCGTCGCTGCAGCGGTTCCTCATCATCCTCGATGGCTGGAGAAGGGTCGTGCTCGAGCATAGGGGGTCCGTAAGCGGATGATCTCCGTTGTCGCGTCCGCGACGCCGAGTGCTCACGGGGCTGCTCCACGTAGTCGGGCCGGTAGTGGCGGGACTGAGGATAGGCGTATTGAGCAGGCATGACATAGGGCGACGGAGGGTTGGTGTAAGCCGACGACGACGGAGGGGGGCCATGCTCATAGTGGTTCATGGGAGGCACGCCGTAGACCATGCTGCCCATGCCGGGCATCATGCCGTGGAAACTCACGGGGCGTTGATCGGCGTAGTACGAACTGGAGCGACTGGATCGACGTGGACGGCTGCTGCGGGATACGTTGATATCTTCGATGACGGCCTGAGGATAGCGAGGAGTCGAGGGAGACGGGGGAGGAGGGAACTCGTGGACAGGAGTCGGCTGTTGCGGAGAAGCGTGGTAGGGGTAGTCGACGGCAAGGGTTTCGACGGGCGTTGAGGCGTGGTAGAGACCCTGCTCGCATTCCCAGCAGGTACCTGGATAGTGTCGTACATAGGCCGTTTCGCGTTCACGTCTTCTGGATCTGGAGGCAGAGGCCGGTGACTGCAAGGGGGGCGGCGGTGGGAGATGACCGGAGGCAGGATAGGTTCCGACCTGCATTTTATCCTGGCGCGCCGGACGGGCGGACCGGTCCTTGACACGATCCTTGCGGGCGGCAGAAGAGGTTTTCAGTGTCGGGGGTCGTGGCTGGTCGAGGACGAGATCCTTGGAGCGGGCGCTGGCCTTGAGCGTGGTGTCGAGTTTATGAAGGACGGGGCTTGTCCGGCCCGACGGGGCAGATTGGGCAGGATTGGGTGCGGCAGCAGTGCGACTGGAGAACGCAGAGTCCGTTCCTCGACCAATGAGCCCCGTAACGGCGGCTTTGAGATCGGGCCTGGAGCGCCTGGCCGTGATGTTGGCGACGCGACGGGTCTCGGGGATGACATCGTGCTTGTCCTCGTCCCACTCCTCGCAGAAGGCGGCGTGAGGCACCTTACTCGCCATAGCTGGTGAAGCGAGAGGAGATCAGAGCAGGATGATCTCGAGGGCGAGAACGATGGCCCAAGCGAAGGATGCTATTATTATGATGGCGGGCTGTGGAAACGTGTGGTGCTCCCACAGGACTGCACGGTAACCGGTTCAACGCAGCCACCGACGAGCGTCTCACTTCATACGATGAGTCAAGGCAAGGGAAACCAAAAGCGCTGAAAAGCAGGGAAATAAAAAAATTAATTGCAAAAAAGAGGGTTAGGTTCGGTAGTCTGCAGACAGCCGAAGCGACTCTGCAGGCCGAAAGGGCTGGTCAGCAGCAAACGACGAATGCGAGGGGAGGAGTCCACGGCCACAGTTTCTCCATCGAAGAACGCGAGGCAGCGAAAAGGGTGGAGGAAAACGAGGGCAGTGACAGGAGCCAGGTGGATGGAAGAGCGAGGCAAAGGACTTTTCTGGCAGTCTGTGAATGGCCGGAGAAAAGCGATGCAGGCGCACTGCAGGCACAGTTGGGCGAAAAGGGAGATGGAAGCCCGACGGTGGGGTTAACGACCAGAAGAGAGATTATTATAAGGATAAGAATAACAATACTCGTTCAGTCCGAAGGAAGTCAGAATCAATAAATAAATAGAGAGAGACAAGGACATCCAAGAAACGCGGCAAGAAAAAATCAAATCACTGCGAAAACGATGTTTGGACGCCATCGCCGAGTCCGAGAATTATCTTCTTCCTACTCTTCTTTTTTTTTATTTTTATCATTTTATCTTTCAGAAAACATGCTCCTCGAGTCAAATTAATCTCTAATAATAATCCGTGTCGCACAGAACAATCCACGACGGGAGTTTATCTGGATCAGAGCAGCATGGCATACAGTAGCACAAGCACCAGCAGCACCATCCCCCGACCGATGGAGCCCTCTGGAGCATTCCGGAATGGGGGAAATTGATGCCCAAAATGCGGGCTGGGATGATGATGACTGCGACGGCGAGCTGGTCTTCTCATTTGACATGACCCCCCTGCGGACGTCTCTTGCGGCCCAATGGCGATACTACTGTTCTCGCCTCCCAGTCTAGATACGCTTTCGAACGTGGAAGAATATGCAGTCAGTGAGAATGAGTCAAAGGGAATCGGAGTTATCTGCTCGTCCTCGGGAGGAGAGGCTGCGCACTTGCAGACGTGCATCCCGTACATGCACAACACATTATTAATATAGAATACAACAACAATAATATAGAAAGAAAATTTGAAACACACTAGAAACAGCGGAAACAGCAGAAAGACCCTGATTCCCCAAGCAAACCAAGCGTTTGGCGCTTCTTGTCCTCGACCTGTCCCACCGTCGCACTGTGTCTATACTACCTACATAATATACAAATTGTATGTACTGGATGCAGTTACTCATGGTTCCTCGTCATCCATGATTCCAGTCCAGACTGGAATTCTTCGGAATCCATCCGGGAAGTTTGCTGCTTCGATCCATGGGTCTGTCGAGGTTACCCGCAAAGCTAAATAGCACGTTCAGATATGATGATCATATTAAAATACACAAACATACGAAGGCGACAATAATAAATCCGTGACACATGCAATGCCTGCTGGTTGTAATCACAATCTTCTGCGTCTTATCCTTCTTCCATCCACGGCCATGCATCCCGAGATAACCCCGAAAATGTGATAAGTAATACACGTGTAGAATCGAACCCGAGACTTGAAAACAAACAAAGAAAGAAAGAAAGAAAGAAGGAAAGAAAAGGAGAGAGAGATAAAAATATATAAAAGAAAGTGAGAGCGACAAACAAAGGAAAAGGTAGCAGACCAAATCAATGCATACCAACAATTCGTCTCACTTCAGTGTCGCTGTTGGAGGCACGGAGTGGCTTGGGTAGTGCTGGAAACTCCGCCTCACGCACCTCCCCGATGCTGTATTGAAGATCATCCCGCACTATTTCCACCCAAATTTTCCTGTCGATATGCAGGTGCGCTTGAGGAGAAAACCGATAATGCTTGTCGGTCAATTTTATATGGATTCCTCTTTTATTCCGCCTGTCCCAGGACGAGAAAGCCGATATTTGCAACGGGACCCGCCGATGGGTTATCCAAACGGACCACAATGTGGAAATCGGTAGCCGGGGGTCGAGTGATGTGGGGCGACGTAGAACAGGGCTACAGAATGGTCAGGGGATGTAAATCAGCAGGAAGAAGCTTCCATTGTCCTTACTAGCAGCGGTAAACATCAGCAGCCCGGTTAGACTCCACGATCACCGGGAACTCGTCATCTTCTATGTTGAGGCTTGATCGGAAGACATAGAGGTTTCGGGAATGCTCCAGTCCAGAGGGAATGGAGTTCCGCTTCACGAGAAAAACCTGGAAGGAGAGCTTAGCATACTGGGATCAAGGGACTACAAAGGAAACCTACCCTGCCCACAGGAGATGTCGAAGCTACCGGTACATCCTGATAAATAGCACTGCAGGAACGATGCTGGTCTGGATTTGCAGAACTGAGAAATCCCCGGGGTTTCTCAGATATTGGATCCGTACTACTCCTCTCAAACATTAGACCTTGCGAGCTACTTTTTCTGGGGAGGTTTTCTTGCACATCGCCTTCCGGGACACCCGCCGTTGACAACCGGATGTTACCATTTATGGCAGGATGCTGCGGTGTTTCTTCTTCCATGGAGCCATTCTTTGTTGGCAACGGGACCGGCCCCTGCTTTTCCGAATGACTTGTAGATGGCCTGCTTTGCCCAATCTTCTCAGGTTGTTTTTCTTGTTGCAAGGCATAGCCTAACTCCACTCCATGCTTGGCCGCACTGCCTCTCTGACTGTCCGCCTCATCTTCCGTCGGCATGGCCAATTTCTCTGTAGATGTGCCGGGCAGCAACTGGTATGGGATATTCTCGTCTCTTCCCGACAGAGAATTGGACAGTAACTGGTACGGAGTATTCCCATTTCTCCCTGGTGAAGAAACTTCCAGCTCGTGACTCAATTCGACATCAAAGCCTGTCGGGATTTTATCTAGTTCCGGCGCCATCCTGCTCCAAATGCCCCATGCCTGAAGAAACAATTCGGAACCTTGTCCGTCTTCTGATAGTTGTATGTTTTGCTCTTCCTCAGAATCTAGTATCCTGCTTGACAACTCTGGTGATGGCAAGTGTGATGGTTGTCTCGGATCCTTCTGCGCATACTTCTCCAACGCGAATTCGGGATCCTTCCGGATAAAAGGCTTGGGTCCCACAAAAGAATGTTGCCCAAAATATCCATCACTGCGGCTATATGCGGCTTGGGTTGTTGAAGGTGGATCAGTTGCCTGAGCAGTGGTGAGTCTTTCGTTTCCTTGTCCGTTGCTGAGGAAAGGGGCTGTCGGGCAGGTGAAGGTAGACGGCTTCATAGCCGCCAGTATCGGAGGCAAGGATTCTTCAGAGTAAAGTGAGGTCAGTGGGGATGTGTGTTGAGATGGGCAGCTATAAAATGTAGAGTCGTTGTCCTGAGACCAAGTCTGTATGACCCAGAATGACCAGGAATCCACGTCCAGATGGATCTTGGTAATCCCAGCTTCTGACTCCGCCAGGAAATTTAAATAGAGCCTCCTGATTTCCCATTCCGAGACGTGAAGCGTGTGTAGAAGCCATCGGTCAACTCGTTCCTTGGTGCTCTGGAAATTGGTGATGAGGTTGTGTAGGATGCCATCTCCGTTTCCGACTATGAACAAAGGTGGGAAAACTTCAAACACTGTAACCGAAAGAGGAAAGAGCTCTTCCGTTGTATTTGGATAGGATGGTGGAGGGGTTTGTTGTATACCATGGTTGATCTTATTTGATCTAGAGAAGGGCAGCGCACCGATGGCTGTTCCATACCCAAAATTCAACTCATATGGATCACCCCCAAAAGACATATAATCATCCGGATATGGTGGCATAGGAGGTAGAGATAGTCTATCGCTTTCGATGGACAGGGACTTGTTGAATGCAGATGGAACAGGACCCTCTGGTCGGCACAGCTGGTCGTAAACTCTATGCTCATATTCTGCGAGGCTGTACTCCAACCCATTCAGCTCATCCTCAAGTTCACAGTAGTGTCTCTTCTCTATCATATAGCGTCCAAGCAGTTTGTCTAAGAGTTTAGTCTCAGAAGATAGATCATGGAGGTGGCTGGCCTCCAGCAACGGCTGCAGTTGTTGGAAATAAGCTCCCAAGGAACCCAGGGCCGTGGTAAGCTCATTCAAGGCAAACTGCAAATATCTCCTTCCCTCGCCTACATCCACTCTCTTCTTTCCAACCTCGTCGCGAATTTCTGAGATGTGCAGGAAGGCCCTGGGAATCTCCCCTGTTGCGTTGCCCGGTGGGTTTGCGGGATGGAAGTATTCTGTTCCCACATCCATCCTGGAAGGGAAGAAAACGTGTCATTGACGCCCGGTTACTTTTAAACCAAATCTTGTGGAGTTAGGACACGACGTATGCCAAAGGACAATGAAACACACTATTCAAAGATGGATGACTTACTGGTTTCCCTTGCGAGGGTATTATGCATTCTCTTTTCAGCCGCAGCCGGGGGCGACGATCCACGCGGTGAGCTAACACTGCGCAATTGAACTGATCCTTCCTGTCATGTACCAAGGTTAAGTGTGAAGCAGATAAATTGTGATGACCTGAAGGACTGCGGGGGCATTTGCATGCAGCCCAAGCGACGTGGAGGAAAATAAAAACAACGAAATTGACACGCAGCCTCACCAGTAGCGAGCCAACATTCAAAAACCAGCCACAATCCGGTTTTTATTACGACGAACACAGATCCTTGTCACTTAAAGCAGGGGGAAGTGGTTACCAAACAGAAGCTCCTGATGAGTCACATTGTCCACCGTACTTTCACAAGACAGGAGAAACCCCAGAGTCCGTGGCGGGAATGAACGGCATCCGTTAAGGTTGATATCATCATAACAATACAGAGGATGTGCCATGATGGCCTCACTCATCCAATACGCTCTGTTCCAGGGAGCATCCGGTCATCCGTTGGCTATACTAATATCTTACTAGCAGCCCTGCTGCGCAAGCCAATCTCCCGCTCACGTCCTGTTCAATCAGCGGTTTTACTAGACCACCACTGTCACATTTTATGATAACATCCCTGCTCACCTCGGCCATCCGCCTTTGCCAGCTTTCCGACTGATCCTAATCCTTATGCAAATCAACGTTCATGTCGGGTATCGACGGCGCTGCCCGATCGCGATCGAGATGTACCAGTGAAAAGAGCCTCAACTGCGTGGTGGGAGATAAATAGTTCCTTGTGTCTGTTAGAATGTGGGTGCTGGATACCTTTGATCATTCCTCCATGGGGCTTCGGATCAGCACATCGCAATGGCTCAAGATCGCAGGAGCAGGACTAACCGCTACTTCGAGGATGGATACCGTTCTTATCGCTCTGGCAGGGATGAACCAAGCTCTATAAGCGAACAGATGCAAAGTTGTACCACCATTACCTACAGTTGCCTAGATCCTAAGCCTTGCTAATGATAAACAACAGACACACACATCTCAAGGAACGAGCAACCGCATTCTAGGTATAGAGACGCGCATTCGAAGTAAGCCCACTTAGTTTTCTACCATGCCAATTCATCCATGCAGTTTACTTACCGCAACTAGCCGTTCGGCGATACATGGGGTCGAGAAACGACTTCCTAATGGCGTTGTTATCCGTCTCGGGAGCGTTATACACATGCGCATGAGCGAGCTGTTTGGCAGCAACGGAAGGAGGTTGGGGGTAGCTTCGAGCCAAAACTCAGGTTCACGAATCCCAATTCCCAATTCAGATGAAGAGGTTTTTACTGGATATCGCCGCTATGTAGTAGTAGACATTAATTTTCTACACTGTATTGGAGTGTGAGTAACGGCCCTACCATGGACTCGGCACGACCTGCTATTAACAGAATCCCAAGACCAATTACTAGCTACAGTGGCCGAGGAGTGGCAAAGCCAGGCATCAATGTCTTCGATCACGCAATTATAGCTGATGAAAGAAATGACGCTGTGCTTCTTCAGGGTGAGCCAGAGATGTCCAAAGATCCCATCTTTGTGAGGTGGCTCAGTAAGAGACGGCATACGTTAACGCCAGATTCACGAGTCAACTTTGGCGCACCATATTCGATCCAGTATAACAACACCAGCATCGAATTAGTGGGCCAGGTCCGTCACGCGGATATATATAAGCTCATACAATATTCGCCCAGACTTCCAAAACCATTTGCCCAGGACCAATTTGAATCCCAAGGCCATGCCTCGCATTCCTTTGGAAATCCAGTGACTTCAGCCTTGTCATACTCAAACAGAGGCGAATATTCTCTGACCCAGGCCGAATTTGAAAGCGAGCCCCAAAGTGGTCGTATGAATACACCACGAAACCTGGGCACTGGTGTCGCACCAACGCCTCAATCCTACGTATATGGAGCAGAGGGCTATTCTGCTCCAAATGAGGACTCGCAGACTTATCCTCCCCAGCCCCATCAATCATATGCAAATTATTCGCAGGAGCAATATTATCAGGCTCCGTGGGACGGATGATACAGAAAGACCTGATGGTCTATCATGGCGAAATGCCACCTTTACATGAATTACGACAGTACTCACATTTTTGCCATAAATAGGTCGTCTTTACAAGACCTCTCGACTCAACGACCTGAATACGCTATTTCATACGCCGGCTCTTCCTGTTTCCAGGATTGCCTTCTCTTTCTTTCTTGTTTTCTTCTTTTTCGCTTGATTTATTCCTCTCCGCTCCCTTTCTTTTTTCTTTTTTTTTTTTTTTTTTTTTTTTTTTTTTTTTTTTTTTTTGCTTTGCTTTTGGGTGAGATTCCCACTGTCTTTACGGGTGGTGGATTACTTTGGGGGCTTATCGCGCAGGTAAGTGAGAATGGCCCCACAACTTACGACAAGATATGGCCCGGCAGACTTGGGCGTCAAGCGGCTGTACGCATTTGTGCTTAATGAAATGGGATGTTTACTTTAATATCTACGATGTGATGGACCTTTGGTAAAAACTGATAGTTCGGCTGGAGATACAGTTGAGTGGGATACGGGAGAATGCAGTCTCATTTTCGCTTTGACGTAAATTGAATGGAATGTGATTTTCAGGCTTGCTTTTTTATTGTCCTCTACGAAGTAACCATATAGTAGTCGACTGGGTCTGATTATGCTGCTGATACCAATGTATGTCATCAGTGACTGTTCTATACTCACGCTAATGGAGGTATATATCGTTGGTTACTAGCTAGATAGGCCTACGTGGTGAAAAGGGTCAGCGAGGGCGGACCTATGCGGCATAATCCCACGTGATTCAACAACAGCACGGGTATATCATGTGACATTGCAGTGTGACCCACAAGGGCTGTGCCCTTAGCGACCTCACAACCCAAAATGGACGGTCGATCGATCTTTCTCTTAAGCTTAAAATTAGACCCAGTTGTTTAAAATAAGAGTTCACGCCAAACTTTGGGATCTGTGGAACCTTCCAAGCAAAAAGGCTATTCCGAATTAGGTTAAAAAGCTAGTATCCACGTTTTCAACAGTATTAAATTCAGCCTCACCGAAATCCTACATACCAATTTTCCCCCAAGGTCTCATAACATACTCGCTGGATTCAGTCTACTCCTGCGCTACTTTTGTATTGGTTACTGAAATCATCATCTATACGCCAATTTCCCCTCTGAAGCGTAGGCCTCAACCCGCTTATTGTGCCATAATTCGAGAAGAATAATCCCCAGTTCAAGATGGACTGTCTTGTGGTGTTTGTGGATTTTCTGGAAGCAGTTGATGGGTAAGTGAATTCCAGTCGGATGAGCAGTTGAGGGATAGCTGTTACTCATGCTATCGCTGTTGGAGGTAATTGCTTCCGCGTGAAGTATAGGACCCTGCTGGTGAATGGCGAGACTAGCCATGATGTAGAATATAGCTGCATTATGGAGGAGGCGATATTGAATGCGAGTTCCATGCGCTGCATGGGATTCCGGGAACATCTATATGTCTGAGTCGCTCTTCGTGAAGCCGATTCAAGTATCGCTCTCCTCTCCCACTGGCTTGCATGTCTGATTTTGCGTGACTTATCTGTCTCCTCATCAAAACCTCTTATACGCTTTTTTAGGTCCTCTTTCTAAAATTCAAACTTGACTTCCTGGTGAACTCATATCACGCATCTCTCACGGGATGTGCTGCAATCAGTACCGTGAGATCCTGTTAACCAGATTGATCAGTTCCTATTCCTGCTGAAGTATGTAACTCGATATAAGCAGTGTGCCAGTGATTGAGCCGACAGACCTATAATGTCTGCAGCAATCCTAGCCAAGATTTCTTCACATTTAGTTATGGCCCTATGGTAAGGAAGGTAGCTTTCTCCAAGATTTTCCTGTATGGCTTGGGCAATTTCATCGTCCCGGAATAGGGTTGAATTCGGCTGACTGAATAGAGTATTGACCTCTTCAGATTTAAGTTTTGTCTCCTTAGAGATGACATACTTGAGATTAAACCCAATTACTTCTGCTCATTCAGTCCGGGTGAGGTCCGTGATATAACCGTCTCTATACCTGAAGAACCTTATGCGTTTTCTAGTGGTTCTGTATTTCTCGATAGCCAATACAATCAAAGATATTGCACCTAAAACAACACCGGCAACATCCAAACAGCTCACTTTGAAGAGGGAATACAGTGACTTATTTCTACAAAATGAAGCTGGTGACGAAGTCAGGAAAGACGTACACGCTTAGCACTTAGGGGAAGGATAGCCCAAACGAACTGTTAATCATAGTTGGCCAGCCTCGTCGGGTATTAATGAATCGGGTTTTTGGAAGTCAGCATACATTAACATCCCCATAGAGGGGTTAAAGGTGTGTGGCATACCCGGAAAGAATACAATTTAAGCCATCCACATCCCAAATCTGTTAGTCTCGGTTACTTAAGGTCGCCAGGGGTGAAGGAGAAATGGACGAAAAGGGTTGCCATAGTACCTTAATGGTCCCTACAGTATTGCCCTAATTTCTTTTAATCTCTTCTAGCCCGTAGTTGGTTACCCCAGTGAATGATTTGCAAAGGTTGAAGATAGCAGTTGATCACCCAGAACCCGCCGAGCCACTGACCACCATCAGCATAAGGGCTAGTAACCTGCTCTCCAGGCTGGCAGAGCAAATCGATCCTAACGATAACTGCAAGAGTGCATTGGTAAACGAATTATGGATATTTGAATTGTGGGCAGTGAACCTGGGGGTCTACCATTGCGGTCATAGCTCTCTGGATTACAGATTTCGAGACTCGCCGCATTTGTTTAACTATATCTGCAGATCGATATATCGCCGTGTGTCATTTGGTCCAGTTCCAATCGAAGCGGGCTGTTTGTATCCTGCAGTCGGCGACCCCTTAAGCATACATTCTGCGTCTACATCCGAGAATAGAGATCTGGATGATTGATGGGACTTCAGGCCGATCATACCTACGGAGGAATGGGGGTAGCAAAAAGAGCTGTTGAGCTATCTGAGCACGCTGTAATCCATATAGAAGGCCAGCAATCCCTCGTTTCCCCTGATGAGCCCAGGATAGAGAAGATGCCTCTGGTTGTTAGGCCAGGCCAGTCTCAGCTGATATCTCGTTGGAGCCGATGCCGCGACTGAACTTTGGCAAATCTATACTGTCGAACACAACGTGAAGGTACACACGATTGAAAAATCACAGAGGCATCCATGCAACATTTCCATATATATGCCGAGGAAACGGCAGGACGGCTCTTGAGTATTGGAATTCCTCCGCGAGCAGAACCAACAAGCCTGGTTTTCTTCCCTACCCGGTCCACGATTGATATCAACGTTGGCGAAATCTAACCAGCAGACGATGCTTAAGCTGTGAATGCCATATGTATTTCCAGAGGGATCTTTTGCGAAATATATATGCATACGCATTTGTTGGCATTCAATGACAGTACTAACTGATGGAATTGCATTGGTTGAAACGTGCAGAATGTGATCTTTCAGTCCCAGGGTTCAACTTCACGGTGAATTCCTTTCCTTGAACATATACAGCAGAACTGACTAAATAGATTATGGGAATCTTAACATCTGCTTCATCTGTGCACTATGATGATATCGACAAAACGACCTTTGTATGAATTTGACTGCCGTTTCTTTCCTTTGTATCCCTACATATCCCCTTGTTTCTGTCTAACGTTGATGGAAGAATCCCAGTTGAGCAATCCAAAGGCAGGAATTAATCGGAATAGCTCGCCTTCTGAATGATGGTGACATTATTCCTGATTTATGCGTATGCGCTTTGAATGAACTGCAATTTCATCTCCCTTGGTGCCTTGGAAGTTGAATAGGTAGACCGTAAAGGCGGTGAGTAGGCGTCAGAAAAATTATCTCACCGCCCGACGGAGATATCCAGCTTTATTTTTTTTTGAATGCCATCGCTCCCTACCACACCTTGCTTTTCCGGATCTTATACCACCAATCTGCCGCAATGAAGAGGAAGCTCGATGCCAATGATGTTCCTTCGACTGAGGTCGCAGAAGGAAGTGACTCTCATGATAACGGTTTCGAAAGCCTCAACCTAGATCCGCGGCTGCGCCAAGCCCTGATAAAAGAGAAATTTACAAAGCCCACCCTCGTTCAATCCAAGGCTATTCCTCTAGCTCTTGAAGGAAAGGATATTCTAGGTGTGTTTGCGCATGGATATTTGTCCTATTATTCGTTTTATTTATGATCGAGAGGAGATACTAATGAGATCAGCGCGTGCGAAAACCGGCTCTGGCAAAACTGCTTCTTATGTCCTCCCCATACTACAGACGATACTTCAGAAAAAAGCTGTTCGTTAATCTCATAGATTGGCTTGCTTTTTATGCTTTGTCCTGGGAAGTGTAGTCACTGATGCTGTGATTCCGGACAGGCAAACCCTTCCCTCAAGGCGACTGCTGGCCTTATCCTCGTCCCAACCCGAGAACTTGCCGAACAGGTCCAGAATGTCGTTACTACATTTGCATCGTTCTGTGGAAAGGATTTCCGTTCAGTGAACCTTACCCTCAAGGTATCCGATGCGGTTCAACGTTCCATGCTCGCCGATTTCCCTGACTTGGTTGTCTCTACACCTGCTCGAGTTCTAACGAACGTCAACAATTCTGCCCTTTCCTTGGAGAATCTATGTCATCTTGTGATTGATGAGGCTGATTTGGTTCTTTCATATGGATACGACGAAGATATCCACGCTTTAGCAAAGGCAATTCCCCGGGGCGTCCAGACATTTCTTATGAGTGCCACCCTTACGCCCGAAGTGGATGTTTTGAAGGGCCTGTTCTGTCGAAGCCCCGTTATCTTGAAACTGGAGGAAGAAGAGGATAAAGGTTCTGGTATCAGCCAGTTCGTCGTCAGGTAAGGAACGGTTTGAGTTTGTGCGCAGTCGAAGATAGTTCAATTTGCTAATATGCATGCTATCTTTAACAGATGTGCTGAAGATGAAAAGTTCCTTTTGACATATGTGATTTTCAAACTTCAATTAATAAAGGGGAAGTGTCTGATTTTTGTCGGAGACGTGGATCGATGCTACCGCCTTAAGCTGTTCCTGGAGCAATTTGGGATCAAAAGCTGCGTTCTTAACTCAGAGCTACCGGTTAACTCCCGGATACACGTTGTTCAGGAATTTAACAAGGGCGTTTATGATGTTATCATTGCTGCCGACGACCAAGAAGTTTTGGGGAACCGCAAGCCGTCTAAATCCAGCAAACCCGAGGAAGCAGCCTCTAGCGAAGACGAAGATCAAGGAGATGGAGATGAAGAGAACAACAATGCCTCCCACTCAGATAAACGCCGCAAGCTCACCACAAAACAAAAAGACTACGGAATCTCTCGCGGCATCGACTTCCAGAACGTCGCCTGCGTGCTTAACTTCGACTTGCCGACCACCTCCAAATCCTACACACACCGCATCGGGCGCACAGGACGAGCCGGAAAGACAGGCATGGCACTCTCCTTTGTCATCCCCTCCGACCAGTTTGGAAAGCACAAACCCACCAGCTTCCCCCCATCCAAACACGACGAAGCCGTCCTGGCAAAGATAGTCAAACGCCAAGCCAAACTCGGCAACGAAGTGAAACCCTACCACTTCGAAATGAAACAAGTCGACGCCTTCCGCTACCGCATGACTGACGCCCTCCGCGCCATTACCCGTCTCGCGGTCCAGGAGGCCCGAGCCCGTGAAATCCGCCAGGAACTCGTCAAGAGCGAGAAGCTCAAACGCCATTTCGAGGAGAACCCGGATGAACTGCGTCATCTGCGACATGACGGTGAACTTCGCGCAGCGCGCGTCCAGCCTCATTTGAAGCATGTACCTGATTACCTGCTTCCTGCTAAGGGGAAGAAGGGCATTACGAGTTCTGATATCGGGTATGTGGGATTTAGCAAGGCGAATGATAACCGGATTCGAAAATCAAGAGACAAGCATCGTGGTAGAGGGAGGGGGAAGGCACCCGGTGGTAAGGTTGATCCGTTGAAGATGTTTAATAGGAGAAAAAAGTGATTTGAGGTTACATCCTGTATGTACTGTCTATAATGATACCATTGTTATACTCGAATATACAGTGTACAGTGGCATTCCCTGATGCGTACATGTTCGAAATACCCAGGGCTACTAGGTGGTAAAGGATAAAGTGCATGTTGCTACTAAATGTCTATAAATCTATACATATCGATGCTTAAAAGACGAGATTTCTATAAGACAGACGAGACGCTATGTAAATTATCTGCACGTCGCATTGTAAATTTTTTTTTCTCGACACCTCTTGAGGTCTCCCTCCCCCTTCCATTTTAGTGCCCAGGTTTTGGCGCTTTTTGCTCACTGAGTATATCTGAGCACACCCTGGCTGGAGCTGCTCCCTAAAGATGGGTGTGAGTTTCCTCCAGATCTGAGGAATAAGCTCTAGACCCCCAGGGACATATTTGCTCCTAGGGATGGTGCCCAGACCTTCCAGGATGTCTTCGAGGCTATTACTGGCATCCAATGATCAAGTTCTGTTTTGGATTGCACGATGATCATACTGTCGATGGTGGTGAACTCGCTGAGTTGGTTGACGTGGCTAGGGAGGCCTCAGGCAAACTATCTACGCTAGTTATCTAAGGAACTGACCATAGGAGAAGCACCAACAGAATATAACCGAGTTATTCCCAGTGGGAACAGGACTAAGGATGACAAATATTACCTATTTCTCTTCTGGCTCAGCATGGGAGCCTTTTATTATGTTCTGGATGTCTCCCCTCTTGCTCAGGAGAAGCTGGCCACTGAGGGTATCCTTTAGTCTGATGGCTAGCCCCGTAGGGATGTGCTGCACCTCCTGAACGGTTTGGGCATATATAAGGTCAATTTGGGCTCATAGGAGCTGTAGGATGGTGTAGGGGCTGCCCTGACATGTAGTGTGGTCTTCTGGGAGCTAGAGGAAGAGTTGGGGGGTTGTTCCTGTTTAGGGCTAGGCTTCTTCAGAGTTGTATGTGGCCTTAAGGGTATAGCTGCTTAGGCTATTGCAGCATAGGTTCTTGGAGTGCTATCTGTAGTCAGTCCTTTCTTAGTACTGTGGTTGAGGAAGTAGTTCTGGATAAAAGCCTGCATTGCCACACCAAAGCTACTGCTTGTGGCCTGTTGTGTTTTTCCTTGAAGGCCCCTATCTGCTTGTCAAGTAGGGCTGCAAGCTCCAGCATGTCATTATGCTGTCTCAATGGTGTGAGTTGGCCCTGGACCTGGCGTTCTGGGGAAATGCTTTAAGAGGTGGTACTCTCATGAGGCGCGGGGCTGCTGCTGATTTGGGACATGATGCTGGTTGTGTCTGACCCCGTGGTGAGGGGATTTGGGGACGGAGAGGACAGAAGAGATGGAGATTGGTATCTGTTGGGCGTCCAAGAGGGTGGTGGTGCCAGCCGATGAGCTGTAACTGCACAGTCCTAGTAGCTGATACAATATACTGAAAAATATGAACAGATTTATTTCATACTAGTATGCAAAGGATACTGTAATAGTTAGTATAAAGGTGAGCTAACCTGTGCCAAGAGCAAAAAAATAGACCGTCACACTAGTAAGGTCAGCTGACCCACGGTCTAGAATTGCCGAGGATCTAAAGAACCAGAACGCCACTGACAAAGAAACCACCATGATGAATGAATATACAAATGACTTCATTTAACTAACCTACTCTTCATCTGTCTTCAATTCTGTAACCGTTCTTAAGAGCCCTGTAATACCGCGGGGGTGTATTGGGGGAACTTCGGCAGTTTTATTCTTTCATTTTTTTCGGAATGGGTATTCTAGTTAGATTTTCAGTTGCTTCCCAGATTCGGGCCTGGGCCTCTGCGGGGGCCAAATAAATTGATTGCTAATAGTTCTATCTCTATGCACACGATAGAGTAAATGAAAAAGAAATAAAAAAATTGGTCCCGACGAGGGTCGAACTCGCGACCTTCACATGGCAAGTTGGTAACTGCTGCTACCGCCTATTAGTGTGACGCTCTAACCGACTGAGCTACGGGACCATTGGTGAAAATTGTTCAAGCAAAACCGCTAGAGAAGCCCTGTCCAAGTAACCTCTCAACGAGCCGTTCATTAACACCTTCGAAACCCAGCGAAAAACGTACCCACTTCCCGCGCCCTTCTCTCCTAGCTTGCAAAATATGTCGAGAGATATCTCTCGTGTCGTCGACGAGAATGCGGAACCGTTCCGCCTCCTTGGCATGTCGGTATTTGATGCGCTCAACTTCCACGTCCCAGGGGAGATCATCAACATTCGCTCCATTATCATTACCGGGAGCATGAATGGAAGAAGCTAGAGATCGAGAGTTACTTGGTCCGGACGAGATGCTTGATCCATCTCCATGGGAGGGACTAAGTTCAGCATCTTCCAGCTGCAATGGAATCCAACCAGGTCCCAGACCAACCCATTCGATATCCCTCCACGGACCGTTCCAGATGTGGTCCGTTGAGCCATACGGTTCACCGTCCGGACCAACTCCTTCCCAGCACAATGCGCGGATCCAGTCCCCGCAGCCTTCTAGGTCGAGCCATTTCAGACAGTAAGTGACTCTGGACAGTTTGCGGAGAACAACAGCTGCCTCAGCCCAGTTATTCTCCATTGCAGAGTAGGAGTCTGTGCCGCTGTAGGAGAACGAGAGGGATTTGTGCGTTGGGTGTCGGATAGAGGCGTTTTTGGCATTGGGTGTTAGGGTCGGGACGGGCCAGTGAGCCAGAGAGAGATGGGTGATCGTTGACACAGAAGACAAGAGATTGATGAGAGAGTTCCAGTTTGCGGTTGCCGGGTTTGGATGCGCGAGAGAAAGGAATCGAAGGTTGCCAAAGCGGAAGGTTGGATTTAGAGTAAATGGTGAGGGGATCTCAGGAGTTTCGTACCCCGATTCTTCTTCATCCCAGGACGTTGGAACGGCGTCTTCAGGCTTGAGCTGCAGGGAACGAGTCTCAGTTCGAACCTTGGCCTTGGGTGAGGTGACAAGTTCACTCGTGAGCTGTTTAAACGTCAACCATCTCCCAAGGGCACTGCCAAGATCCAGACGAGACACTTCGGAATCAGCGTCAACTTGAAGCTGGGTTCCATCACCGTCGCTCCCTTGATCCTGAATACCGTCTGGCTGTTTCAGGAACAACGGACTTAGCCCCCGCATCAACCCCTCCAGGTGCGCGTCTCGAGCATAGACAGCGATATAGCTAAGCAGGAGCATTTTAACCCGACAAGGCAAACGAGCCAAGAACAATCCATCATATTCAACATGCCAGGCCCAATTCATCGCCATAGCCTTGAGAACCATATGTACCAGCCCATCTTTCCTCGGAAATGCAACACCGGGCAGCCGTTCCAGACGGTAAATAACTCTCCTCTTATCCGCATCAGTGAGGGCAAGGTCACCGTCTCGATGACGCTCCGCAGCAGAAGCACTACCTAGAACCCAGCTTTCAGGCGGCGGCGGGCCAGGCGTTACTCGTAGTCGGCGTGCGCCAATACTCACCCGAGACGCATTGGGGCGGGGTCGTGGCGGCGGCGTCTCAGGAAGCTCGAAGAGGTTACGTAGCGATGGGTGCACGGTTCGGGGGACGCGAGTGATGGCCAGTCTAGACAGACTTGCGCTGCTATCTTCGGGCGATGAGACGGACACCTGTGTGCGACGGAGGTGGCTGATCAGGTCGTTCACTGATTGTTGCTCTGATGACGCCCTGGGGCTAGCATTTCGGCTGCGAAGGGAACTGGAGGAGAGAAGGGAGTGATGGACAGTGTTGGCTGGTTTTGCAAATCTGGGGTTGCGATGCTTTTTGGGCATCGAGGGTCAGTTTAAGGTCGAACGGTGGGATGGTTTGTGGCCGTTGAGATGGAGTCGCAGAGCTGTTTATATATGATATGATGTCTTGGGTCGCCTCCTTACTCATCAGACTAGATTTGGAAAAGAACTCATAAGCAATGACTCATATGGATATGTACACGAAAACACAGCAACTTTTTTTTTCTGAGCGAATTGCTCTAGACATGAAAACTCCCGCAGCTCTCTATTGTGGCATAAAATTCCCTGATCGAACCAGTTTTGTACATAATTAACCATTCATTCCTCCCGAACCCAGGAATCATCCAGCATCTTGCCTTCTCGCTTGGGGCCCTCTCGTATCCATGTATCCGCAAGGCTATGCTTCGGGTCCTCATCGGGAAGGCCTCTCGAGCGTCTGACTTCGAGGACGAGTTCTCTGACTTTGAAGGTGACTTCCTTTCGCAACTCGACTGCCTCTTTACCATGGAGAAGCTCCTCATTCAGAACCCCAACAGGGAGATCTGCAGTTCCCGGTGCTTTCTTTTCAGCTTTCGCCTTGATCTCTTGCCAGCGTTTTCGCATATCCCCGAATATAGCCTCGGAATCCACCTTGGACCCAAACGTGATGCTCACATTCTTGAATGGCCGGGGAAGAAAGCGTGGGAAGCCACGATCCTCATGCATGATCTGGTCGAAACCCTCGATCCAAATAGGTACGATATCCGGACATTCACTCGACTCGAGAATGAGGCGTGCTACGCCCCATTTGAAGTATCGCATAGTCTTCTCTTTCGCCTGGTGGATCATGCCTTCGGGGAAAATATGGATCCATGAATATGAGTTGCAAGCGTAGGCAGAGGGAGCCAGGTGAGCATCTTCCCCGTTCGTAGTGTATGCAGTCGGAAGATCCGAAAAGGGATCAACGCAGACATTCCGTAAGCTCCAGCGTTGGCGTTCGGCGAGTTGGGGGTCAGCGGGGAAGGGGCCCTTGGACAATAGTCGAATGGCCTGGGTCACCGCGGGCTGTGCGAGGCCACCATAAGGAGAATGCGCAAGTCTATGAGTCGGTAGAACCTGGCCCATGGTGAAGAATAGCGACAAGGGCCTACCGAGGCGCTCCGTTAGGGAAAAGAACTCAGAAGAGAATCACCCGCGCAACGGCCCAGGACAACCCATACCTAGTCTTATAGCAGATATCATGGCTTCCAAACGACCATCTCCTATCAGAGGATGGAAGCCCAAAATGCCATTTCATAGGGAGAGAACCCCACATCAACGGATCATCCATGCTGCACAAAACGCAAAGACCCAGGTCAGTCGTTGGCTATTGAATTTTGGCCCTTATTTCATTCCGATATATCTCATACGTACGTACACGCTGGTATGGTTCGAAACTGTAGCCATTGGAGGGAATATTTTAGCATTTTGAACTGTAAAAAGTTTACAGTCATTACCCAGTACTTACCTGTAATCAAGCCTTTGGTCCTTTTGGACAGATCCCGTCTGGACTCGAGCAGCTGCAAGAAAGACTCCAGACCGTTGATCTCGACGTTGCATAACGCGAATAGAAAAGCCCGAGACAACGCGCCGACTTCAAACATGATTGTTGAGGACAGAGTCCTCCACGGCCCCGAAGGCGAATCGCCGGTTGCTCCAAGAGCCATTGCGTGTGGTTAAGGGTCAAGGGGCATGCCATAGGACAGAGTGCAAAGAGAGGAGAGGAAGGAGGGGAGATTCTCCCTGTGAAAAGAAAAAAATAATAAAGAGAAAGAGGACATGGCTATTATTAACTGCTTTAAAAGGCCTTGAAACGGTTGACAGCCGGCATGGAAGATCTCGGGGAGCTGATTGGACACACAGACCACCCGAAGGCTTCATCTTTCTCTCTTAGGTATTTTGGTAACCCTCTCGACATCCCCTACCTCTCCCTCCATCACTGCAACCATGTTCAAGCCTACGTCTCCTCTCTTTTCGGGTCTCCTCTGGTACGTACCGAACAGTCGACAGCTCAATCCCCGCCAATCCCCAATCCCTACTCTTCCCCGAACCATCCCGCAAAGATTGAACTATTTCTCCCTCCCCCAAACCCCCAACAAAGCTGACCGGCTTCTTTCTCGATTACAGGAAAATCCCATGGCGCATCTCCCGCCACCAGAAAGCCCGCCAAAGGAAGCGTCTCCGCGCTGTTGACCGCGTCGTCGATACCGTCAGCGCCGCCCTCCAGCGGAACGGACAGAGCACCAAGGCCATCGATCGGTGGTACCAGGAGATGCCTCGTGAGGAGGAAATGCTGTCCAAGGACAAGTATACTATTTTTGATAAGAAAGAGAAGAATTATCGGAAGGGGATTCATAGTATGTTTTACTCTCACGTTTTAGCGCTTTTTTATCTTGCTTTTTGCGCGGAACGAGATCCCTATGTGCCATTTGGGCCGTCTTTGAAAAGGACTGGCCGGCTCGCAGATAGGAATATGCCCAATACGGCAGTTCGATTCAGCTTTGCGCACTGTTACTAAAGAATTTGCCTTCTTTCTAGAACTCCCCAAGTGGACACGAGTCAGCCAGCGAGTGAATCCCCCGGGTTTCTAAACTATTGAAATCTACACGGGACTACCGGAAATGCGAGAACAAAGGAGTGGGATACTATGTTTTACTTGGCGCACCGATTATCTCTTGACTTTTCTTTCTTTTCGACGGCGAACATCACCTGCATCACTACCTGTACCATATACCACAACGGACCCGTTCCAGCTGTATTTCCCATGGAGAAGCTGGGATACTGCAAGAAGATTTACGAGGGTTAAACGGAGTTATTCTTTTTGGAAATTATATTACTCATTCAATAATCCTTTTTTCTTCAGGCCTAACATGATTCGACCAGAAGAATCTGGACCTTATCAAGCTTCGGTCCGGAGAATAAGAATGTCGCGTCCAAAGCACAGAAATAGCCACCAGAGAGTGTTGGATACGCTGATAAAGATATGGCAGGGACGTGAGGATCTCAACGTATCTCTTTTTCAGAGATTATGAAACTCCCCAAATGCAGCCGGTCTGTGAGTCACTGATATAGACCTTCGGTCTTTGTTCAGCATCGAATCCTTCTGTGGGAGGTACAAATATGTAAGTGGTAAAGAGTGTCCCTGTTGAATGAACCGGATTTCTCGATTCTCAATCATGCCGGGTCCATATTTTCCTTCATTTATTCTTCTGGAAATGGCTGCTTTCTTGAAATTTTGGCGGAAGCAACACGGTAGTATTTGGTAATCCCGGCCGCAATCTCCTTTGCTCTGTTCCTATTAACTTTGCCTTCATGGACTGCCTTGTGAATCCGGTATCGACAATCAACCTTCTGCCAATCTCCGAGCTTTTCCTGCCAGCCTGCACCACCTTCGTAGAATGCATTCTTCTGCTTCGTCGACATTCCAAATCCCTGCGGAGGCTTCCTCAGAATCCAGCAAGCAGGGTCAACTTTCCCGTCTGGAGGCTCATCGGCAGAACTGTCGAATAGCTCCACGGCTCGTATGACATCATTGAGCCCTGCTTCTTTTCGCTGTCGGTTGACGGCAACTCTCCACGAATCTATTCGTGGTGTCCTGGCCCGTCTTCGAACACGCATGGAGTACTTCGGCCTTGGTGCATATGTTGGCTCTGGATATGGAACGTTGAATCTCGGATCACCCCGTTCTCGTTTTGAATCATGATTAATGCGCGAGGAGGGATCGGTAACAACCCAGCATTTCCTGTTCAACCAGTGATTTGCGAGGGTTGGGAAATGAAATGGTTTTCGGCCTGGATCGACCTCATTGAGGAGCCACTCCAACTTCCGGTCCAGACTGTGCATCAGCTGCACCTCCCAATCGCTCAGGCCTCCACATGGAGTTGAACCGCGGAGTGTACTCCAAGATTCAGCGTGGTTAGTGATCTGTTGGTTCAGCGTTGCGCGTGCTCTCTGCAGGTCTTTAATGTCACGGTTTTCCAGTGAAGAAATTAAATGTTCTATATCTCGAAAAGCCCGCAATCTGGGTTTTCTAAGTGGAAATGTTTTGGCCATCGACGGGGAGTAATCCTGGCCGAGGGGAGAGTCTATGAGGCTACATTGATCGTCACTCTCTGCGGTTCGCTGTCTGGAATAACCCCGTTTCAATCTCACCGAAATGTGGTTATTTGGCTCAAACGAAAATGTTCCAATAATCCCTCTTTTCAATCCTCGAAATATTTTGACAGACGTGTTTTCTTCCGATGAGAAGCTTGCCAAGAGTTCTGTTATGGGACTCCCTGGCGGCCCTTGCGACTGGTGCGGCCGACGACGGACCAGCTTGCAGGTCTGCACTTGCATCCGCGTCGACCAAGCTCTGTATTTGAGCGAGAGGTGTGACTTAGAGACTGTTGCAGGATTTTCATAGTCTCCACTGTTCTCATTTTCCCATGATGAGTCGGATAATACGCGGTACCCTCCCTGTCGCTGTCTTCCGTTGACAAGGCACGGAAGGGAAACCGCTCGACTTAGCCTTGGTCGTTTTCGTGTCAAACGAGGTAGACTTGTATATTTGCCTCTATATGAGCTTGTTTGGCTTCCACGATAGAGAAAGATGTTGCTTTGATCGGGCTTTGAATCTCGCACGGGCAGCTTTCTTCTTCGCACAGAACTGTAGTCGTAGGAGTCCTGCTTGACTGCTGGTATCGCAGATGATTCATCCGATCTGAAGAGCTCGTGCCCAGATCTCCTGCTTTTTGGCTTTGATCTTCTTGAGAGCGATTGCAGGCCGCCCGACATCAAAGGCCGTCCATTGCGCAATGACGAAGTCCCCGTCGCATTCATCGAATCCTTTTCTTCGAAAGTCGTAAAACGATATCCACGCGGGGGTCCAGAATTCCAGATAACATCCGCAGGGGTACATTCATAACTCCTTAAAAAAGTTGGTAACCATCGCAGCGGCCTCTTGCTCCGGTTATACTTCTCAAGCTCCTTCTGCCCAGGATCCCACCAGATCCAACGATAATTCGCTCTCGACGATTTCCAGGCCGTCCACTCGCGGATTCTGCCGAAGCACCTCCTAAACACCTCCTTGTTGGCCTCGTGACGGGTTAAAGGGACCCAACCGTACCACGTCCTTGCGTATCGAGTAGTGGTTGTCTTCCCTTCCCCAAGAACCCTATTCCGAGTGATGAACCGCAGAAACCGGCCAATTTTCCAGAAAAATACGCCCGCGAAGAATATGACGAATGTCCCTGCGAACAGCTGAAAGAATGTTTTGAGACTGATGAAGGTCGTGACTAGCACCGGTGTTGCTGGTGGGCCTTTTGCAGCCCCCGGGTGAGCGAGCGAGTGGAACTGTCGTGGATGGACGGGCGCCATCGAGGATATATGTTATTCTGCACGATTGGATACCCATAAACGAAGGATTTGTGTGCCTCGTGCAGTCCACGCAGCAAGCATGGCGGTTGCATTGAAGTGGACGTTCCTCGATTATCGACATCACTGGGTGATGCCGAATCAGGAAAGTGCGAAGCAATGAGCCATCACCAGGAAGACCGTATCTACACGGGTTCATGACAGGGCGATACACAGTCAATCGAGCCTTGGTGGCAGAGGAATACAGCGCTATTTATTGCTCCAGAAGCATATTTAGCGACGGAAAATTAGGCTACATTGGACACTAGAAGACAATTATCTGTATGAGAAAGAAGCTGAGCTAGGAGAGGAGAGAAGATATGACACTGGAGGCTAGAAGCATATAGATGTATAACCATGAATGCCATGAATGATCACGGCTTGGACCTCACTTTCACTGGCACAATTGCCATTCCGCTCATCGTGCTATTTTTGCAGGCAGTCCAGATATAACAGTGTCCCCTCAGACCATGTGCTGGACTTGGCCCACTTCCTTTCTCCCGAGAATTAGTGATGCTGGTCGCCTTGTTGTATGAATTGGAAGTATCCCAGTGTGCAGCCCGCCAGTGTTAAGTAGGAATGGTACCCATTTCAAGATCTCTTCTGTGTGTAGTTCCTCTGCCTGTGTGTGACCTTGATAGTTGCATGTTCGTGATCTTAAGTGCCAAAGCAGGCACCCATAATATTCTGTATATTATTCTAATAGGGTGGAATAAAAAGTCTGTATAGGGACGTATAACACTAACACAATGCTCTACACTACACTACGATGACATATTCTTTGGACTGGGAAAAAAAAAAAAAAAAAAACATATATTTGATACTAGCAGTAAAGCATCCAGACCCATCAGCGCTCTCTTTGATTATAAACCTCATTCATTTGCCGCCTCGAGCCAGGACACATAAAGTCAGATCTGTAGTGCTTACGTTTTGTCGGGGCAAAAGTATGCATCTACTGATTCGACTTTATGCTAGCAGTTATACGAGAACTGGCAGGTCGGTCATTTGTAAGTTCATCATTTGGGTCAGGATTACGGAAGAGCTGAGTCTGGCCAAGGATACGTCCCGAATCATGGACTAGGAAAAGAAACAATATACCAAGGATGCAGGCCACTCTTCGTAACGAATTAGTGCGATGTGATATGTCGACTGCTCCAGCTCTTACCGTAGCACAATAACTTTGCAGTTCACATTAGACACCCGGCAGACCGCATGCCCATGTAGGCAATGTTCTGTGGTTCATTGGTTAGAAATATAGCTGCTACCGTCTTGTTCGTGCATTGAGACGTGCGAGCGATTGTTCAATAACGTGTCGAGGCAGGTCAGGAATGACCTCACCACCGTCGGTATGTTCGGCAGCGATTCGACCACGTGGTTGCTGTTTTGTGTCGACTGCCGCAGTCCCTCCATCGCCTGCATGCGTTGTAGGAGCAGCGGCAAAATTGCCGGATGTGCGTAGAAATTCTACTCGCATGGGCTCTCCGCTGACACCAGGCCAGATGTCAGACGGTAGGTAGTCACCCTGTTCTACGCGGAAGGCCTCACGGGCGTTGACATCCTCTTCATACAGTTGGTCCAATTTCTGTCTAGTCTCCCGGAGGATTTTCTCCACGCGCTGCCGCACATGTTTTCGCCTGGCTACTTCCAGGATGAGACCGTCGTACGCATCCAAGAATCCCTCATATAAGGAGTGAAGGTCTGATAGGTCAGCGAGGCCGGCATTAATACGATCATGTTCCTCATTCCAGATGCGGCTAAAATTGTGTGCCTGGGCTATGCATCCGGGAAGACCTGTCGATGCCAGAGAAGACAAGTGCTGGAAAATATCAACCGTGGCGTGGTAGACTGAGAGAAGAGAATCCCGTTGAGTAAGCACGTTTTCCAGGATGGATTCCATCTCGCCAATACGATCTTGAATCTCCAAGACAACGTCTTCTGCCTCTGCAGCGTCCTTCATTATAACATTTTTCATCTCCTGATACTCGGAGTGAGACAGGGGCTCCAGAGGCGCATTTGCGTCTTCTAGATTTGGTCCACCGGGGTTATTGACGTTAACCCCAGGAGGCATATCACCAGTGATTGACCGGGCGGCGGCTCCTCCGCCTTCAGTGTGCTTGACAGCGGTGACACAGAGGTCGAAATGCCGCACTAAAGATTCCAGGAGATTGGCGACTTCCTGCGCATGCATTTCAAGCGAGCTCAGCATCGACGGCATTAAGGAAAGGGGGGGCAAGCTGGAATTCGACGCGGATGCCGCAGATGAAGATGAGGAGGTCGGGGAGGCAGTAGCTGGCATTGTTGCAGCCCGATAGTGTCCTAGAGCTTGCTTGATAGAGCGGAGTTGGTCATCAAAGGCGGAGTTGGATGTATCCAATTCCGCCCGTGCAGCATTGGTGCGGTCGATTGAGACTTTCAAGGAAGCATTCAGATCCTCTACAGCACGTTCATCCACAAAGTCATGTAGACTCTTCGGTTCCTCGCCTTCCGGGCGGAAACCCGCATGAACAATCGTCTCCCTCAACAGATCCAGTGTCTTCCTCAACCGAGCATCAGCGGCATCCAGGTCCTTCAATACGCCGGAGAATTCCGCTCTGCCCCGACGGGAGACTTCTTCGACCTCGTTCCGGACGCTATAGAGCAGCCGGAGCTGATTATTCAGACCGTGGCGCAGGAAGCCGGTGCGGGAGTAAGCTACCACGCTTTCCTCCAAGGCCGAGCGGGCGGCGGTAACGATCTCATTGGCACGCCAGACATGATGGATGGATGAGAGAGACCGTTTTGCGGCCACGAGGTGCGAGATGAGCGTTTCCAGCTCGGGTTCCGGGTGTTCCAGGCCCTGATCAGGATGGGATTGGGGAGCGGAATGGACGCTGCTGGAGGAAGAAGGAGATGACGCCATGGTCTCGCGACATCGGAGGAGGATATGTTGAAATCTGAATTAATGATGCGAAGGGAGCATTATTCTGCAGTTGACCGACAGAAACAGGATCCTGGTCAGCGAGATGAGCACATAATGCGGATGATCAGTTCTGTCGGTGTAATTATTATTAATATATGGAAACACAAAATCGAGGCAATTGCACCATCAGGGTCCTCGGGAGACACTGGAGAGAACTCACTAAGAATAGATAGTAGCGTAGAAGAGAGCAGCAATATTAGTGTTACTACACCGTAAGGAGACGTCGTCATTCCCGAATAGGAAGAGATGAGGTGCTCGGCCCCAGGAATGGCGCGCATCACGTGGGAGTTACCACAATGGGACTAGCGTTGTGGGCCGGCGATCACGACAGCGGCAGGGCTGCGTTGCGTGATGATCTTTATCATTCTTTATCTTTCACTTCAACTTCTGTCTCTATCCTCGTCTCATCCAGGGTTCTTGCTTTCCTCTCTATATCTATCTCCCTCTCTCCGTCCATCTCTACCCCCCTTTGTCGTCCCTTCTATGTCCTCACCTTCTCCCCCCCTCGGACAACTGCAGAGATAGCCTCCGTCCCAGCATTGCTCTGCCTGATTCCCATCCATCCACCATGTCCTCCCGCACCTCTGCCAGATCTGTCTTCGGCCCTTGCGAAGATGTCGATGTGAAGACAGAGCCCGACAAGTTTGCCCATGATAACAGAGAAGTCGCCAAGATCTCCAACGACAGCATCGCTCCGTTCCTCATGCGTCACATCCCCGGGCAGTACGCCCCGCTAGGTTCTCAGCCAGACCGTCCCTCCCACCCCAGCAATGCAAACTCGAAATTCTGCTATCGCCACAGGCCCGATCTGAAATGTAGACGACAGGCAGATGAACCATCCATGGAAAAATTACAGGAGGTGCGTGCACATTTACCCCTCGCCTTCACATCATTGTCCGATGGTGCTGACCGGACAAGGACCTCCAAACTCTCCCTCAGGGCGATCAACAGGGCATTGCCCATGTTTGGTCGCTTTTCTCTGCCGCTCCTGCAAAACACAGGAAACTCATGTTGCAGGGAATCCTGCAGCAATGTTGCTTTTCACAACTTTCCTTTCTGTCCGCTTCCGTTCGTGATCTCATCCGCATCGACTTCATCAGTACCCTTCCGCCAGAAATTTCCTTTAAAATATTGTGCTACCTAGATACCGCCTCCCTCTGCAAAGCTGCACAGGTCTCCACGCGCTGGAAGGCACTAGCAGACGATGACGTCGTCTGGCATCGCATGTGTGAGCAACATATCCATCGCAAGTGTAAGAAATGTGGCTGGGGTCTCCCTCTCCTCGAGCGCAGAAGGTTGCGCGAGGCAAAGCCGGAGATAGAGCTTCGTGCCTCAACGTGGAAAGCCGAGGGGTCGACTACCGACCGGACCTCTGCAGAGAATAAAGATGCGGCCTGTGCGCCTGCCAAGCGGAAGGCCGGGCCGACTGACGAGGAGGCCACGGTCTGGAAACGCCAACGGGTGTTGCCATCGTCTCAGCCAGACGATGAGGATGGCTTCTTCAAGACCCGCTACAGACCGTGGAAGGAGGTCTACAAGGATCGGTTCAAAGTGGGTACGAACTGGAAATATGGACGATGCTCTATCAAGGTGTTCAAGGGTCATACCAATGGCGTTATGTGTCTCCAATTCGAAGACAACATCCTGGCTACCGGTTCCTACGATACGACGATTAAGATCTGGGATACGGAGACTGGCGAGGAGCTCCGCACCCTCCACGGCCATGAATCCGCCATCCGTTGTCTCCAGTTCGATGACACGAAACTGATAAGCGGAAGTATGGACCGAACCATCAAGATATGGAACTGGCGTACGGGTGAGTGTATCTCCACGTACACTGGTCATCGCGGTGGTGTGATTGGACTGCATTTCGATGCGACCATTCTTGCCTCGGCCTCCGTCGATAAGTCGGTGAAGATTTGGAATTTCGAGGACAAATCGACGTTCCTCCTTCGTGGACATACGGATTGGGTCAACGCGGTCAGGGTTGATACGGCATCTCGCACGGTGTTCTCCGCATCGGATGATTGCACCGCCAGGCTCTGGGACTTGGACACCAAACGGTGTCTCCGGACATTCTACGGCCATGTGGGACAGGTGCAGCAGGTTATCCCTCTACCAAGAGAGTTTGAGTTCGAGGAGCATGATGCTGAATGCGAGAATGACGACGTTAGCTTAATCTCCGGGGAAAGCGACTCCGTCTCCCATCAGCTGAACTTGGGGTTGGAACCGACTTCTGCTCCCTTCGGTCCCTCCTTTGAGGACGGCCGTCCACATCCTCCTCGCTATTTTGTCACCAGTGCATTGGACTCGACCATCCGACTATGGGAGACGAATACCGGCAGGTGCTTACGCACCTTTTTCGGTCACCTGGAGGGCGTCTGGGCGTTGGCCGCTGATACCCTTCGCATCGTGACCGGAGCTGAGGACCGCATGGTCAAGATCTGGGATCCGAGAACCGGGAAATGCGAGCGTACATTCACCGGCCATTCGGGTCCTGTGACCTGTATCGGCCTTGCTGACAGCCGTTTCGCTACTGGAAGCGAGGATTGCGAAGTTCGCATGTACAGTTTCCGCAGCTAAAGGCCCGGAAGTCCCGTTTCATTTCAGCGATAAGTACATTTCATAATGTTTTTTGCGGTCCACCACGACCTACTTCATGTTGTTTGTTTTGGTCCTGTTTGAGCCGATACCCTTGACTGTATATCTGGGAATTTATCTTTGCGCAAGGACTCGTGGGCAGGATCCCGGGATAAAACTACTTTCTATTTGAGCTAAATGCGCGGCACTACGGCCATGAAGGTTAATACGTTGTTTGGCGTCAGGGCTCTGGTTTGTCTTTTGTACATATAGCGCGTCATAATGGGAACTGACTGAAAAAGAGTGCCTTTCAGCATGGGAAGAACAAAAAATAGAACTTTCTTTTTTTTCCTGACTTTGGTTCTTTTGTCTGCACCGTTACCTTGAGTGAATGGGATGTAACCATTCCGTCTGGTCTTTTGGCTTGATGCGTTTTCCTCCTCCCTTGGTCTCCATTTCCGTTTCGTCCCTTTTGTCTGACCTTTCACCCTTTATCCTCTTCTTCCTTTGGCATCCTCAAAATTCCTCTAGCTTCTCAGCCTGAAGCTGCTTCCGGAGCCACTCGTTGCCCTTTTGCTCGAGGGCATAATGGAAACAAAGATACCTTTGCTATTTGTTGCCCTGAACAATGTCCAAGTCTGAGGATAGGCACAATGAATCCGCCTTCAAGTACGAGTTCATTGTCCCCCGAGTCTAGCTAGTGACATATATAAGCCATGAAGCTTGTCCTAACAGAGCAACTTCGTCTCTTCAACAAGCATTTCAAGTCTGGAATCACTTCATACTTTCACAGCTACATCACCTAGAAACCATCTCGACACTGAATACCGCTCGTTCATCTGTTTATCCCATCACGTAGAAACCGTCCCCGTCACTAATAGAGCAATCAGCATCATGTCCTCGAGACGCTCTGCATATGGAGGATTCCAGTGGGCGCGCCCCTCCTCCTGGCGCGACGAATTCCGCTATTATGATGACGATCCGAGAGCCGCTACTGGTACCATGGCACCGATGCCCAAGTATTACCGTGACTTGAGTGGTCGAAAGGTCCACGTTGCCCACGAAGTCGAGGAGCCAGATGACACAAAGAGCGTGGGATCATCATCATCTTCCCGGCCTCGTCCTCACCCGTCAGAAGCCGGCAGTAGATCTTCACGAAGCTATTATGATGATGATATTAGGAGTATGAAATCATCTTCATCCTTCCGGCCTCGTCCTCCTCCATCCGAAGTCGGCAGCAGGTCTTCACGAAGCTCCTATGCTGCCCCAGATTCCCCCAGGGCCCACATCGCCCGTATGCAATCCAAATCACCCCGATCTGGCAGGTCTGATGCTTTTAGCTTCGACAGCTTCGAAGAGGCTTTAGGAGAGGACAATATTTCCAGGAGTTCTCGGAGCCATCGTCGTCATCATCGCTCTTCCTCCCCTAGCACCACCTCTTACTATGATGACGAATACGACGACTATCCTTCCAGCTATCGATCATCGTCCCGATCCCATCGGTACCCTAGAACCCCTATGGAGTCTTCTCTCGTCAGCTATTCTTCTCGGGACCGTCATCGTCCCTTCCGCTCGTATGAGTACGTATATATGGACATGCACAAGCCGAGTGCGGTCCGCTGTGTCCACATCCAGGACTATCCCGTGTATGAGAAGCCTAGGTCTCGGAGAGCGCTGAAAGCGTCGTGCTGTTCTCCTGATTGCTTTTGTGGGTGTTCTCCTGAAAATCCGTGTATGTAGGTATTATTAATGAAGTTGGAGATTGGAAGGGTTATAGATGAGTTATTTGATTTGACCTGGAAACATGGATAGGGCATGGTACTGTATTATAATCATTTGGTGGTACATCTTCTTGGAAACGATGGAGTAATGTCAATAGTAGGGTTTGGTACCTAGCAACTCTTTTGCTGCCTATTGCAAGTCTCCTGTTTACCGGGATGCAGTGGACTTGGATCGGATATCGGCATTGCAGCTTTTCGGGTTGAACATCGGCCATCCCGCTGCGCGAGGATGTATCTCATGCTGGGTCGTCACTCTGTCGGACACTGAGGGCCTTGCATATCAGACAGTCTGGATGCGAAGACAGTCATCACACTGTCCGACTCGGAAAGTCTCAATACAAACATCGAGACATCACCGTCGAAGAACGAACGAAGCAAGCCCACAACGAGCCCCTCCACCCAACTCCGCACTCCCTTCGACTTCGAAGCCGCATATGCCAGCCTCGTCCATGCTGATGCGTCAGTTTGGAGGCGATCTGGCCAAGTCTGTGGGTGGTAATGAACGGGGAGACAGTGAAGATGACTTTGGATGCAGAGCTGATGATGTGTATCTCTTGCTGGGGAGCGGCCTTTATCGATTTTAGTGCTGGGTTAGTTATTTTTCCCGCTTTCAAGCGTGTCCTTGCCTCCTTGCTTCTTCTTGGTTAGATGACGAAGACAAATTTACTTAATATGTCCTGGAATGTGGTCTTCGTTCCCAAGCAAGGTTTTGAATAAGTCCTAATTGGCACCTAGACAGTCCACTTGAAACCTGGAGCACATAATAAATAATATTAAGTTCACCTGGCGAGAACCACCCGCATACAATTCACAATCAGTCCCGCAAAAATCGGAGACCTCTATATTTACAGGGAAAAAAAGAAACAACAAGAAGACCATTATCATACCCAGTCCCGAACACACGGATGATGCGATATGCGGATCTTTTGAGCGCCGGAGTGAGGAGAGTTGCCCAGTGAAACCAGAAATCGTTCTAATACAGAAGAAGAAAGAAGGAAGCGGTCACAAAACGCCGACCGCTCGCTGAAACAAAGTGCGGAGGATATGAATTTCGGGGCAATCAGTGTACTATTCAACACTTGGCCGATCCGAGTGAGGGCACAGGAGAGCGTTCACAGAAAGGCTTTTCTCGTAACCTAGAACGTTGTCAGCGGACAAATACCAAGCGCTAATAAAAAAAAAGCAATACATACAGCCCAAGCACCAGCAATACTAGCGACAATACCGCCCGAGACCATCATAGGCTTCAATCCCCTGGTACTCTTGAACACCATTCCACTAATCGCACCAGCGGCGATGCTATTGGCTGAATCGTGCTTCCCGCGCATATATCCTAGACCCGAGTTCAAACCATTGTACAACATAGCCACCACTCCGGCAGAGTTTCCGAGAAAGGGTCCTCTCCGTGTGACCGAGTTCAGAACCGCGTTCAACCGGATCTTCGGCGGCGCCGTGACAGGAGTCCGCTGTAGACCCTCAGAGAGACCCCATACACCTCCAATAGTTAGTGCTGCAAGATAGGTCGTTCCAGTGCCATAGCACAGGTCGTCTGACCATCCTCTGGACGGTAGAACTGACCGCGAACCGGGCAGTTGGTCGAGTGCGGAATCTTCGAGGACAAGGTAGTCAAGCGTATCCTGATTCAGGCCGGCTAATGGATGAAGCTGGGAAGGGTCTGCCAAAGCGGCCTCTGAGAGAAATGAAGTGGCATCTTGAGACTCGAACTGGTCTGCGGTTTTGGACTGCTTACGCCCGGAGAGCGAGTCCCAGATAGACATTGTGAAAGGGGGAGGGAAATAATATTAATGACAGATCCGGAGTGAATAATATACAGGTTCCTTCCCGACAGAGCCGGAAACAATGATCCTCGTCGAAAGGGTTGATGCCAGGAAAGCTCGTCGTCGCCAGGAACAAAAACTTCGTCGGCAAAGAGCAGAAGTCACGGGGTTGTCACGCCGGACCGCCTCGGATGAATGTTCCGCCGAGTCTAAACTAGATGGGGCAATTGAATTCTGCTTCATCTGACCGCCTTAATCTACTCCGACTTTACGAAAGCAAGAAATGAACCTCTTGTTGTCTCAAGTATTTCAAAACTAATAGACTGTAAAGCCATACAATCATCCCCTTAAAGAAACTCACCCGTACTGACACCCAATACCTGAACCCAGGATCTCTCTCTCCATCAATCAATTCGTCCTGAGGTGTATCCTGCGCGCGCAACTTTTGCCGCACGGCCCTATCCCGCTTTGCATTCTGCATACGGAAATAGACCCCAGTCCTGCGGAGATAAGGATGGTGAGCCCTTGGATTCTGGCTGTAGCATCCAAGACCTGGAGATACAATGGAGCCTGGCTATTTAGAACAACTGGGCCGATATGATGCCTCCAACTGAGGAAAAGGCCACCATGACGCCGGTGATGAGGGGTGACATACCAGCGTAACATGCCCCGGTCTGGGTATATGGATCCAGAACACCAGTCATAATGTAGCCTATCATTGTGAATTTTAAGCCAAGGCATAAGAAGAATCCTCGTTCCTTGAAATGGTCGCTGAGAAAGGCAAGGGATTATGATCAGGGGCCCCAGCTGTGTGATAATGTGGGGGAAGGACCCGGTGTGGAGGAAATGGAGCATTCGATGTTCATGCCAGTATCGAAGGGGCTCAATTTCTCCTAACTAGGAAGCCATCAAAGCATCCAGTCAATCGTCAAAAAATAACAAGGATACAGTTCGCTGTATGGTATTGACGACCTATCCTTGTTGAATTAGGGTTTACTCGGTGCTGACTGCCAAAGCCACTGATAAGCCTGGACTATATCAGCGTCCAGCATTCTCGGCCGCTGATGAAGGCATTTCAGGCCAATAAAACTGATATATATCCCTCGTCGATGGTTATCTCAAACAAAGACGGGGGTGTTTTTCATATCGGCTTCTGTAGGCGTCATGGATGGTTTCTTTGGCTTAGGGTTGCAGGGAGAGTGTCCTTTTTAAACTGGCACAGCATCCCTGGATCCTGGTTAGTATAAGATTCACTTGATTGTTTATTTCATTAGCAGGTTTCTAGAAACCATTTACCAGTGTTGCGTATATCAGATAACATAATTCTCCCCGTTGACCCTGTCCCACGTTCTTGTTCTTGCATGAGGCAATTACCACTGGTGAGCATGTTCCCTTGAGGCTGAGTATAACCTACCCCAAGCAACCCGTGACTGTATGAAGATGATTTCAAGTTGGTACAGGAAGAATGTAATGGGCGACTATAAATAGAAACGAGCATTTGTTTGTTGGTCTTATTATGCCGACACGGTGGCATCTAAAGTATCTCGTCGCCTAGTGTCTGTGTCCTTGGGACAGTCCATCATGACATTCCCTTCCAGGCAACCCCAAATCCATCCAAATGTTTGCCTAAAACATGTAGATGGGTTTCCTTCCGGTAGCCGAGTCAATCACGTGGCTACGTGAAAAAAAATTAAGCAGCATTTGACAAGAGCGAGGTTCGAACTCGCGCCTCTTTCGAGAGAGCAGCTTTCCCACCAGAAGCAGGTGGCTTAAATGCTCCGCCTTAACCACTCGGCCATCTTGCCATTTTTCCATCAAAATTATAGAGACATCTATTTCAAATAGTTTTCACTTGCTGGTATGAATCCACGCAATTTTAATCATATAACTCGTCAAGCACTTAACTTACAAAGGTAGACAGACAGACTTTCATTGAAAACCTCTTTGTCTGGCAAGCTAGCTGACGCAGATCCTGTGGTGTCAGTTTTGATCAGGTTGCTTGGATGACGGAAGATTATCTTTTCCCTCAGTCTATTTCCGCTTCCGCTGCCGGGCTTGGGCGGATGTAATGAAGGCAAATGTACGGCGTACTTTCCGGCAATTCTGGCATTATAGCTCCTGCAGAGTTCCTCCATCTGAGATGAGGAATGTATGTCATTGATTGACCTGACATGTAGACTTATCAAATATAGCTAGCCATCATGACTGACCACTTGTACAAAGGATCTCATGGCAGGATGAAGGACTTCATCTTCCTTCCTTTCCGTTTCCAGAAGTCCCACTTTATTCTTTGTCTTTCGGGTTGTTGTTCCCTGTGGGCTATCCTACTGAATTTGACCCTCGGGAACTGGATCTTGGTGCCAGCAAAGAGGGACGGAGTAAAATAACACAGGTAGAAAAGAGAAATGCATATTCTTTATTTCGCTAAAAAAAACTTTCTTCAACCAAAGAAGTCCGAAACATGGGTGAGTAGTGAGTGCACACGGTGCAAAAAATCATTTTCCGGAAATTATCAGGTCACGTGGATATTGCTCAATATGAGCGAAAAAAGATATTGACAAGAGCGAGATTCGAACTCGCGCCTCTTTCGAGAGAGCATATCTCCCCTTTTCGGGGAAGGTGTAATACCTTGAGTGCTCCGCCTTGGACCGCTCGGCCATCTTGCCTTGTTGAAGGGATACTCTGTATAAGGTATAATAATCCAATGAAAGTAAGATGGTTTGGGTGTTTCCTTCCTGTGCTTTTGAGTATTGAAAATTAGACACTAGGCCTTGGCACTTCGGCCTTCTGCTCCCTTCAGAAGTCTGCCTTCTGGTCTGCTTGCTCAGAAAACGACAGAGGGTATTAAATATGAGTCGTGGATATTCATCAGTTCCTAGCTTGCTATATACATATACTTCTGAGCACGTTGATAGATTTAACAGTTCACCAGTTCTCCTCTACGTCCTGGATAGGGTCATAGCGGAAAAGCCATTCCCCAACGCCGTAGCGACGCCATACCAGGGGGTCTTCTCCATCTTTCAGAGTACTGGGAAGAGGGTTTCTATTTCCACCTTGCCATGCCTTTTCAATGTCTTCAAACGCACGCATCTTTTTGTCCCTTTCCTGTTGCTCGGGCCCATCATCCAGATGGTTCAGGTCTTGTTGGATCGTGCCACGCTGTACCACTGTTTCTGTTCGTAGTTTCCGACACTTCTCATACACGGCGAGTGCTTTTTTCTTCTCTGTTGCGGACTTGGACTCAATCCTGTCCAGGCATTGGCCTAGGACCGCTCCGTCCTCGAAAGTGATGCCTGCACCGCTAGCTAGGTAGGGGAGTGTCGCGTGCGCAGAGTCGCCTAGTAATGCAAAGCAGCCGCTTGGATGGACCCATGAATCAATACTTTTCCGGATGCATAGTCTCCATCTGAGCACGGAGGGACACATTGCTAGCAATTTCCCAATCCTGTGGCATGTTAGCGGGTTGGGCTGCCGCATATATATATCATGTGTGACTCGGTGTGACTCGGTGTGACCACGTACCTTGGATCCCAATCGCGGAACAAGCCCTGCATTTCATCGACATAGCCTTGGAGAGTTGAGGGTCCTTCTTCGGGCATATTATCCGGGACCAGCAGAACCATATTCAACAACGATGAGTTCCTAAGGGGATATGTCACTGGCACATATCCGAGTCAACAACCAGTGAAAGAAATGGACATGGTATCTTAGGCATTCAACTTGTCCTTACCTACATGCGCTCCAGGGCCATACCAGTAATTGACGGCTTTGCCATCCACGTAGGTGGCTAGTTCGGGATCTTTCCGGATCTCATTCGCATCCAACAATAGCCTATACGCCATATCACCGGTTCTGTGAGGCGGTTCTTTTCTCCCAAGAAGAATCTCACGACACCGTGAATTTATCCCATCCGCACCGATGACAAGATCGGCCGTCTGGTCCTCCTGGTTCTTGATGATTACCCTCGCCACACTGCTCTCCTCATCAAATGACATATCCACCACTTCAGATTTTGTACGAATCTCCGCACCCAGCTCAAGTGCCCGCTCATATAGAACTCCATGGAGATCGGCTCGATGGAAATCATAAAACGGAGACCCGTACTCTTCAGCTGCCTGGCTAAAAGCATAGCTGGAGATCAGTTCTCCTTTCCAGCCGATGATATTGCACGTCTCTGTGTGCGATGCCGCCTTCTCCAATGCACCGTGGATATCCCATGACTGGAGAATGCGAGTGCTATTGGGGAGACATTGGATTCCTGCGCCGACTTCACCTATTTCTCGCGCGGATTCGAGGATCACGACTTCATGGCCGGCCAGGCGAAGGGCAATCGCAGCGCCGAGACCACCCAGACCGGCACCGACGATAATGATCTGTATTTTTGAGGGGTTATCGGATCAGTGACAACTATCTTTTCTTTGTACTGGTTTCTTTGCGGGTTCCGGTGTACCTTTAAAGTTGAGTCCACACCGCGGTCTCTCGGGTTCGTCCGCACTCGGAGATTCTTCGTCATAGACATTGTGGCCAGGGTTTACACCAGTAAACAATTGACTAACTCCTGTCTACTGACATTGCTGGGTTTTATTTCCACGGAGGATCTGGGTGCAAAGGTGGGGGAGGTAGGTGAGGGGATCCAATATCTGATGTTCCCTTGGAAATAGTAGGTCTTTGAGGACTAGATAGACAGTTATTCATCTCCCCGAGGATGGGGGATTACGTCCTGGTCGAATAGAAGTCCATTTATGCCGAAGATATTCTGCATTTCCGGCATATGTGACCTGATAAGTATCGATGGGCGTAAGTCCGGACCCTGAATGAAGATAAGCACGGGGATCTCTGCAGATATATACCCCACTTTGTACCCTACTGTCCTGCTTCTACTTCGTACCCCCCCTTGAACTGTCGAGGTGAAACATCTGAAGCCTAGAGAAAAAGAAAGACATCAGAAAAATAGAGGAGAGTTGAAGATATTGTCAACATGTCAGCTCAGAAATTGCATCATAGTTGGTAGAGGTAGCAAATAGCATTGCTACTGTATTAGCACTATCCCCACATGGAAGATGAAAGGGACATATAAAGCTGAAGATGGTAATGGTTAAAGAATGTTAAACGATGCTGTGCATGCTAAAGCTAATAAGTTCTTGGGGTGCTTCTAGCGCTGCCCTTGCTTGATACAGCTTTGAGCAGGTCAGGGCCCGTCGAGAGAATAAGGGTTCAAAGTTGCATGTTCTTTGATGCTGACGATCATCTATTAATGCCTACACAATGCCACCCCGAAACGGAATATATACAATCTCGACCTCGAGCTTTCAGGGTTAAAGTGTGTTACATACAACGGGCATATCAAACAGTGGCCCTTTCGACATGCTCCACGGCCCCTACCTTCTCCGATACATCCAGTGCCTCCTGATCCTTTGACTCGGCGTCCCGATTTCCATACAGCCCGATCTTGTACCACGGCAGCTCGAACAGCCGGTCCATGCTCTCCAGGCTGCGTCCCGCCGTCTCGGGCACGCTCACCCACACCCAGACGCCACCGATAATCGTCACGGCGCTGAAGAACCAAAACGTGCCCAACGGAGTGATCCCCCCTTGGTCCGCAGGAAGTAGCATATTGGGCACGGCCCGTGAATTCCCATACTGGTTCGCGAAGTGCAACGTCATGGCCAGCGAGGTGGATAGGGCGCGGATGCGCAACGGGAACAGCTCTGCCGTCAACAGGTACTGCATGGAGTTCCAGCCCAGTGCCCAGCCGATGCCGGAGACGTACATCATGGCGATGGCGCCGCGGCTCACGCCGTCCTTGGAGCCGGGAAGCGTGTAGTTTGGATCTACGCCGAGGTCGGGAACCGAGCTGAGGAAGCTGGCTATGTAGATCATGGAGATGGCCTGCAGGGTGATGCCCGCCAGAAGTGCTCTCTTGCGCCCGATCACGTCCACGAGAAACAGCGCGCATGCTACCGCCGCGACCAGCTTGACGATGCCGAAGACGCCCGTCACCAGCAGCCCCTCACTTTTGCCCGTGATGCCCAGCAGTTTGAACAGGTCTGGCGCGTACAGCGTGATAGAACCTGCACCGGACCATTGCGACAGGATCTGCGCCATGCAGGTGAGATACAACCGGTATAGATTTCCGGGGACGAGGAAGGTCTCCTTGACAGCTCCCAGCCAGCCGGCGCCCATGGTGGCCTCCATCTCGGTCTGATGCGCAGCTTGGATGGCCACGAGTTCGCGCACGACGTACTCATCGTCGACCGGGAGGTTTCGCACGCGTGACAGCGTGGACACAGCTTTCTCGTCTTTACCCTTTTTGACGAGATAGCGGGGAGACTCGTGTTGGAAGATGGAGAGAATGATGATGAGGCCGGCGAAGATGATGTGGAGGCTGGTAGGGACTTCCTGGACGACTGTCAGCGGTTGATCGGGATTCGTATTGCGTATGCGCAACCTTACCCATCGCTTGTGTGTGTTGTCACCCATGTTCACCTCACAGCCGTAATTGGTGAAATAGGCTAGGACAATACCCAGGTAGACGAAGCCCGTGAAGACGCAGGTGCAGAGACCGCGGATGGACGGGGGAGCCTAGGTACATATTTAGTTCCGTAAATCTAGACATTTGTAATGATAAAATTTCTTGAGACATACTATCTCAGCAAGATACACAGGCCCAACAACCGTGGTCTGACCCACGCCCAGTCCGGCGATGAATCGACCAGCGTAGATAGCGCCCAGGTTGCCATGAGCGCCCATGAAGATGGCGATACCGACAATCCACAATACGCACAGCTGCCGCGTTGCCCAGATGCGGCCGATGCGGTCGCAGACGAGGAATGCGCTGGGATCGAGAGTTTAGCAGACAGTATTGTATTATAGTATCAATCAGGGGGCTTCTTACAACAACGCGCCCCCAACCGACCCGATCTGAACCATGGCCGACACATTACCCTTGATGTTCGTCTGCTCGACGGACGAATACGAATCGAAACGGATCGTCCGCTGAAAGTCCTTGGAATTGAACGCGCCGGATATCAGGCCCTCGTCGACACCGCGCGCGGCGCCCATGAGACCGAACGAGATCACGGCGAACCAGAGGCGCCAGTTGAAGACCTCTCTTGGTTCAGGGAGGTTCCTGAGGCGGAAGATATTGACTGGTTTCTTAGAGCCGGCCATGTAATCTCAGATGATTTCGAATCTCGACCGATGTGTCCCTTATGCGTTAAGTATGTAGACACAGTGGAAGGTCATACACAGACCGGCCAACTCCTTGTAGGACGGGGTTAGCTGTGCCCTTTTAAATCTCGGTCCAGTCCACTGCCATCCTTCACATGCATTCGCCATTCGCCATGCCTGTCCTTGGCTCCTTAGCTGTTCCCGTGTCCCTGTCCTGTTTCTATCCCCTCGTCCCCACGCCCGTCCCCGCGGGGAAAAGCCAAAGCCCATAGTATAACGTGGGGGAAGACGTGACAGCATGATACGACAGGGGAGACAAGCGTCGGACCTTCTCCGGTCACAGAAACGCGGATGTCTTGGCAGTGCTTGGCTGCAGAATCGAGGAAGACAATTGGAGTGAGTGGCGATAAGGGGAAGCTTGTGACTGTCAGCAAGTGCTCCGGGGGGAAACCATCCATGGCGCCAGGTCAAGAATCAACGCTCACGATGAGCACGTTCCGCCTCGCTGATAGGCTTTGATTCGAACAAACAGGACAGTCCACCTGCTGTTGGATGCGGAGATGAAAATGAGAAGCGCAGCGTCTCGTATCCATGAGCTCGGCTAAGGCTTCTACGTTCAAATCAGGCGCGTCCACCGTGTACATCAAACTGATGCATTCAGGAAAGCTTCCATGTTGTCCAACGGTGCTTCATGCTCGACACTCTTCCATATTCCATTGATTCTCTCGACAACCTTGTCCAACGACCTGTGCTTCAGCCCGTCCAGCCTCTGCCGCAGCTGCTCAAACCCACGATATGGAAGTTTGGTGCGGGGGATGCTCAGTCCTTTGAGGTCTGACTCCACGTGTCTAGCACAGCTAAGAATAGGAAAATATCATCTTTTGTATGATATTTAAACCCTGCCGTAGTAATTTGTAGCTGGCACACAATCACAATCAACTTCTGTAGACAAAGCAACCTCCCTCATAGCCTCAAAATAGAGCTGCGAGTTTGCTGTCCATGCCCACTGTCCAGAGATGGAACAGGGACAGATATAAATGTTCTGGGATGATATACTGGAGTATTAACGGACTTAAAGGCGCAATTCCTGCCATCTTCATAGCGTTGCAGTCGAAGCTTGTGTGTCAGAGTATATCGGACATAAAGCATAACTCCTAATGGCACTAAATTTCCAAGCTGTTATTATCATGATATTAGTGCAGTCAATCCCTCATCAAAATGGCCCTTATATTTGAACATAAATGCTATGGTCAAGAGCATTTGAGCCTTGAGATGTTCACTCCACATTTCTGAGAAGATTGTTACCTTGCTTGCAATAAGCTCCATGGATGAATTAATTACCCCTTTCGGCGTAGCGTAGATGTTATCCATCACGTGATAATATAACCCAATTAGAGGATAGCGTCTGCCACTGTTGACCGCTTTCGCTTACCTTGTGCACGTGCCAACACAGCAGCGTGGCTACCCGAATAGGAAAGATCGCCACGTGCCTCCTACAAAATCTACGACCCGCGGGGAGCCTCTGGACCACCGGCAGATCAGATAACCTAGAATTTGTCGAAAGAACACCTGGTTTCTTCCAAGGAAATGCTGGATGTACATAAGGATGGAATCTAAAGCAGCTTTACCTCCCTCGGAGGACGGAAAATGGGCAGAAATGGAGCCCGTCTTTGAGCATATACATGTCGTGTCCGAGGAAACACTTGATCGGATCTCGAGAGGCTCGCTGGGGAAATTCACCCTTGAATGTGAAGATGATCAGTATGGTTAACTCGCCTCCAAACCTTACAAGAATCCAAAGACAATGGTCTGACTTTGCAAAGGAAGGTGGACCGGGCATTTCGGAGTCTGCTGGAGACATTCTCAGAAGAGACTACTTCCCAAATGCATACAGCGGCAGCGTCCAATGCCTTGAGTGCATTTCTTGAAGCTGGCCTGGTTTCTAAAAATGAGAAGACAAGGCAGCTTGTTCTCTCAAGTGAAACGTGGTTGGCCGTTTTCGAGGTCTTTTTGAGTCGTTTCGAATATACGAAACCGAGGCCAATGAAGCAAGTTTTACTCTCTTTGGCGAAGCTCTTGGCCAGACAGGGTGAAGAAACCCAAACTAGTTTCATTAAGAGAAAAATTGGAGATGCGACTATCCCCAGTATCGTCCTCGGCGAGCCGCGTTCGCGGTTGAGAGCGTCACTTGTCTCCTGGGAGATTTTTATTCGCAAGAAGATTTTCTCGCCTGGCCACTTAATTTCTATTGTCCGCAGCTGGCTTTTTGAACATCATGAGATGTGGCTACCGATATTCCACGAGGATTGCGAGGCCCTCGGTATAAATGACTCTCAATTTATTAACCAGGTTCCGAGGAACAATACCATCGACACCCGGCTTGATGATGCTGTTATCAAGGTTCTTCTACAAGGACTTCTAACCCATTCAAAAAACATGGACATTGCTTCGTTAACAGGTGCAATGATTGCTGCTCTTTTGCAAAAGATCAAAACCGATTTACCCGTTGAATATTCTAGCTCGAATGATTCCACTTTCTCACTACTCTGGGTGACGCCAGTAAAGCGAATCATGCTCCAAAATCTGGACGCTCTAGATACTTTCTCTAATTATGTTCTTGATCGTCTTTTTGCTGTTGATCCCAGCGGGTTCAAAGTCTTCATAGGCCAACTACCTCTGAAGAGTCTTCTCACAGGTGACATGTCTGATGCTCCACCTGAAGAGTTTGTCGTTCTCTTTGCAGCATTGCAGGTTGGCAAGAAAAATGGCCTAGTCCATGAAGACCGTAAGTCGTTGATACTTGGCATACCAATGCTCATTCCAGGGCTTGCAGACTTACTTAGTATTAGATTACCTCCCCAAAACCGGCTCTTCTAAGAAGGATGCTGGTGAGCCATTTGTACTGAATAGCGAGATAATTGGCAAATTTCTCCTCCATAGGGAGCCTAGCATCAGAGTAGCAGCACTCTCTCTGTTGATTATGGCACCGTCAACGACGAAACCCCTGACCCCATCGGCAATATCTGCGATTATCAACGGTCTTCCGACGATGCATGCAGATCCCGATCCTTACTACCGAGGTGAAATATTGTATTTGACACGCAAACTCATCCTCCGTCTCAAAGGAGGGGGTGTCTTGAAGAACCTGGAAACACCACCAGCAGGCACGAAGACAACGGTTGAGCGAAGTGACCAGGAGACTCAATTTTACCTCAAGACCTATATTAACTCCCTGAGCGCTGAGTTACGGCCGACCGCTTCCTACCAGCGTCACATAACAGCACTTAAAGCCTTAAGTTTGATACTGGAATCGGGATTGGATTCTCGAGTCAAAACTGAAAATCCGGATAAAGCAGAGAAAGATGTGCGGTGGAAGTTTAGTATGGACATCTTTCACCCTAGACTGCTCAGGTCACTCATAGACCTTCTGCTTGACCCCTTCGATGACGTGCGAGCAACTTCGTTGTCCATTTTGAACAGTTGTCCACAAGAAACTTTAATGAAGGGTCTTTCGGAGATCGAAGGCCAAGTGACATTGACAGATGCCCTGGAAAAGGCCGAGAATATAGCGAGCAAAACCAGCAGAGCTGACCACGCGGACACTGTTGCTCGCTTATACCATATCCTTTTCACTTCAGCCGAACTAGGCCGTTGGGATGAAAAGAATGGAAATTGGTGGTCAAGCAAGGCAGGAATCGTCAACACTATTTTGACAAAAGTAGAGCAGAAATTGTCACTACCAGGTGGACTTTTCAACTCTTCCATGCGAGATGCACCTCTCCATGGTTATCTCTCGGGCCTTAGGTTTGTTTTCAATCTCTAGATAAAAACTCTTTCAACTGACGTATGCAGATACATTGTGATGACGCCTAAATTCTATTCGCTGATCTGTGAACAATCGAGCCAGACCTATAGTACATGGCGCTCCACACATCTTAGAATACAGTCGATCTGCAACAAGATTTGGCTCGAAGTGAAGCCCGTCCTTTGCGTTGATTCACCTGAAGGTCACACGGATGAACCGGTCGAGGACTTGGCTGTCGGACCAAAGGATATCCTTTCTTATTCGTGGCGCGCGCTGCGTGAGTCGAGGTCTGTGTCTGTCTCATAAATGTTTTGTAACCCCGACTGATTGTTGAGTTAGCCTCTTACTCCATGCAACGCTTGCCAATTCCGCGTATGGACCAAAGGGGGAGACTGGTCTAACTAGAGCCGAATACGAAAATATCGGCACCGCGAGCTTTATTCAGCTGGCTGAGCTGCGACACAGGGGAGCATTTTCGACTGTTTCTCAAACTTTCGCCACTTGTTGCCAAAGATGCAGCCAATCCAGTGATCCAACCATCTCCTCACTGCCTCAGGGATGGTATGAGGTAAGTTGAACAGTTCACAGTGTGTTATCCAGAAAGCACAACTAAGACAATACAGGAAGCGAGGAAGCTCATATATGCGACTGCCTCGAAACTCACACGACGGTCAGCTGGTCTGCCTGCCTTGATCACTGGTATCCTCTTGTCTAATCCCGGAGGACCTCTATTTCAACGCGTCATGACTGAACTTCAAGAGATATCCCGCATGCCAGCAAAGAACGATAGCAGCACCCAGAATATTGAACTGCCTCAAGTGCATGCAATGAATTGTCTCAAGGATATTTTTGCTAATAACAAGCTTGGCCCTCAAACTAAGCCGTTTATTATCCCCTCTCTGACTCTATCAGTTGACCGTATAGGATCACCCATGTAAGTACCTCGCTTCCAAATTCCGCTTTTCATTCGATTAAGAGAATTCAGGCATTGATATGTTGTTCTAGTTGGAATCTTCGCAATGCCGGACTGATGCTATTCCGAGCTTTGCTGGGCCGGATGTGTCGATCAATTTCTGGGTCAAGCTTTGGTTTTGGTGGCAGCTCAGGTTCGGAACCGGGCGCAAGAGTTTCATTCCAAAAGTATCCCGACCTTCCACAGCTGCTGTCTCGTCTTCTCGCGCCATCCAGCAAAGAAACTGAAATCGGAGACAATGCGTCAGTGACTGAGCGAGTCTTCCCAGCCCTCGAACTGATCGGCGAAAAGGTTCCATTTCCTGGCGACGATACCACCGTTCTTCGTAAATTGGTTTTGCAGCAACTCAACAGTCCGGTTTGGGCGATTAGAGAACATTCAGCTCGGGTGTATGCGTCACTATTGAGTCGGTCCGATATCCTGACAGAGATACAGTCTCTTCTTGATATCGAAAGAGATCAGACAGCCCAGAACTATCTGCATGGGAAGTCTCTCTGCATTCGATACGCTTTGAGTAGATTTGCATCTGCTCCGGTTGTGCTCTGGAAGGGTTCGTGCTCTCTTTATTTCCCTGGCGAGTATTATCTAATATCATTCAGGAAATATTGGAAAAATAATGTCCACCGTAAGGCACTCATTTGCGGCCTTATTTCCTTCCGCCAAATCTCCAGTCGTTGCGGCGTCCTTGATCGAGATCTTAAATGACGTGGTTGAAAAGAGTATAGCGTCTGGGGAAGCAGGTATGTCCACTGTTATTCTGAGTTACACCCAATTGCTAAGATGTTGCAGGGAATATCACTTCACTCCTTGAGCATGTGTTCGAGGAATATGGTTTTGATGATATTCTGGACTACTTGTTCAACTCGTCAGACCCATCCTGGAGATCTTCCAGTACAACCCGTGCTTCTTCTCTGCTGCGCAGAGCGCTATCGTGGGCCGCCATTTTTAGAATGTTCGTTTCAAACAAATTGGATGAGTTGGAGCCATTCTTGCGCAGTGTCTCGGCTTTTGACCCCAATGCAGGCCGTTGGCTTCTGGAGCGAATGCCAGATGTCTTTGGAGAAGACGAGTCCCACAAGGGAGCTTTATTCAAGCTTTACTCGTCAATTATTCTAAGCAGTTCTTCGGATCTTGTGAAGGCAGCAGCTATTTCGAACCTGGCCTCTTTTTTGGAAGCGTTCCTGGATTTTCACCACGGTATTACCAATGTTCCCGATCTCCCTTGGGAAGACCTAGAAAGACAGATCGAACCCGGAACAGCTGTCGAGACATGGAATAGAGAGATGACCGATGCGGCATTACGTCTCCAAGGCTGCCTTCTCGCCGTGAAAGCCATCTCTCATCAGTGGCAGTCTCCTTCGGCGGAATTTGAGCTGGAGCTTCGACAGTGGACGATAAAGCTGCGATGTGCACTTCAAGAAGAAACAGTGAGTTTTTTTCCCCGCGACTCTCCCGGGTCTAAGTTGACAGCAGAACTTACCAAATATAGGAATTTACTACTAGACATGCCGCTGTAGCCTCATCATCGGCTTTCGGACGTGCTTTGCGACCTCCAGGCAGTTCTGCCCGAGTCGATAATGTCTTCCTTGATATTTATCTCATTTTGTACGACATGCTTAACGATGACGATGAAGAACTCCGTGATATGGCCGCAGCCACAGCTTCTTGGGTTCTTTCGTATTCATCAATTAACCATTCTAAAGCTGTTTCCCTGGCTCCTTTGAATGCGAGTGAGCTCCTTGCGGAGTTCATCAGCACCAACTACTCGACATCGCAGCTCCTTTGCAGTAAGATCTTCCATTATATTCTAGGTCAGGTGCCCAGGGTCAGCGATCGCCTTGGAAAAGTGAACCTCACGCCGGTTTCGGACCTTATCTCAGAATATCGAAAAGAGAGTACCGTCTTATTTGTGGAGGAGAAGCAGAACCTCTTCATCGATGATGTTCGCGAGGCTGAACTGTGGTCCAAGTCCATTCATCTGCTAGCGGAAGCATCCTACAATGATGGCCGTACTCTTAATGAAGTCTTCACATGGGTATCAGAAGGATTGGCCTATCTGTCTACGATTACGGCTGACGGGGCTGGTAAAGATGGGCCTCTCGGCTGGACTTCAAAGCCTGAGATATTCACCCTGGGCGTGCGGGTGATTAGCATTGCAGGGGCCCTGGTATCGCCTAGATTCCCCGCACAGAAGCTTTTGGGACATGACTATCAACAAACGCTGAAAGAGAAGCTGCAATTGCTGCAGAGACATGGGCTTGCTGCATCCATGAATGGTGACTGGCTTTTGAGGATACAGGCTGCTTTGGAAAATTCGTGATGTTATAGACATGATAGATTGGAATAGAGCATTTGCATAGTAGATATAGATTATGTTGTGAAAAAGAAAGTTGTGATCCGGTCATTCACTTTCATCTGGCCTAATTTTCTCCTGAAGAGAGGGTAGTGCCCCCAGCTTGTCCTCTTGCAACAGCGTATGCCACGTACAAATCACTCGCCAACGTTTTCTCCCTAGAAACCGAGAGATAGACAAAGGGCAGGTACGAGAAAGCAAAATTCTACGAAGTATATCGAATCCAGGAAGCCTTACTGAGGTTTATATCATACACTGACTAGTTTCTCCAGGGCGCATGTCGAAAACGAAAATGCCCTCCACCAACCTGACAATTTTCATCATCATAATTGTCGTCGCAGTAATCTCCATCTTAGTTTGGGGTTTCTACCGAAGCTGGCCCGCGCGTATCAATAAACATCTACGAGATAGAAACCGAGACGAACTACCCAGCACAACCAGACGCGGGAATGTATATCGAATCGAGAGACGGCAACAGAATACTGCTACTGCTCCCGCAACTATAATAGAGCAGCAACCCTCCAGATTAGAGGTGCAGCTTACCTCACTGCTCACGACTGCTGAAGAGTTCATCAAGAGGAGAGACAGAGATAGATTCCGGGCACACAGACCGGGTTCCACTCGAACCACGACTGAAGAGATCGACTGGAAGAGATATAGAGATAGAAGCCGGGCATGCAGACGAAGTTCCAGACGAAGTTCAACCAGAAGCTCCAGCCGATATTCCAGACGAAGATCCAGACGAAGCCCCAGACGAAGCCCCAGACGAAGCCCCAGACGAAGCCCCAGACGAAGACACACTTCGCGGGCCAGTCGTGCTGGGGATCCACGCAGACGGCGCAATTCAGATCCACAGAACAATAATGATAATGGCAATAGCCGAACTCAATCCGTCGCGCAGAATAATTCTATTCAGGATGAATGGGGAAATGGGAATGGTGGTTGGAATAACAATGCTGGGTCAACGAGAGGGCAAAATGACATCGGTCCAGGCCCGCAGGCTGCCAACGCTATTGCTGCTGAATACAGCAACAATGCCGATAACAATGATGGAAACAATGGAGGAGGATGGAAGGCTGCTGATGCTCTGGCTACTGAATACAACAACAATAACAATGCTGGAAATAATGGGGGAGAATGGCAGCCTGCTGATGGGCTTGGGGGAGCAGATTCCTCGCCGGTGATGGAGATGAACAATGACTATGACCAGGGGACATTTAATTCAGACGCAGGAGGTGCTCCAGAGGGCAACTGGTAATGTAAGTAGACCAGGATATATTGGAATCAGGAGGTTGCGTGCTTGATAGATTTGGGAGATGTTTGAAGCTCTCGCAGAGAGAGAAGCTTTAGTCAGCAGTTTCAGTGACGTTTGAGTTTCCCCGCGGAACTTCCAGCTCCTTGTTCCTTGTTCCTCAGAAGGTCCCAGTGCCCTTGCTGCTTCTCCATCATCTCCTGTTCTCACATTGACTGGCATTATCTGATCTGGAGGAGGGTGTGTCTGCATTAAGATCGCATTGCCTGTGCCCTCATTCTGGACATCATCCTCTTCTCTGAGCGTCGACAAAGCGCCTGAGGCTGCAACGATCATGTGGAACGACGAGGACAACAATCCGTACGGCGCGTTTGAACACAACGAGTCTCATTTCTCTGATTCCTTGCACTCAGCATCAATCTCCCCTAGTGAGTATTGTGTATTGTGCCACGATTGCATCGGAATAGTGCGTTCGCGACTCCGTCTTTAACCTACTTTCAGCTCTTATCGACCGCGAATCCAGCCCGTCTCCGAGCGCACACTACAGCGATGACCCCCCTGATTACGTTACAAATGAACCCGATCTTAGCGACGAAGATGGTCCAGCATATGGTGCTCAGCACGCTCCTGGATACCGCCGGAAGAGTGTCTATGACAGTCGCATAGAGCAGATCCTCTACGAAAACCTGGACATGCCGATCCTTATCACCGACGCCGGGAAGAACCATGAAGGTGGTGGGAGTTTCATCGTCTATACCATACGGACCGGTGTATGTTCTCATCGACAACCTTACTGTGAGAGACAAGTTACAGCTGACGGGTATGCGGTGATAGGATCTAGAAGTCCGACGGCGATACTCGGAATTCGCTTCTCTTCGACAGACACTGGTCAGCCTTCATCCGACTCTCATCATTCCTCCGATTCCCGAGAAGCATACGATGGCGGATTATGCGGCTAAGCCCACGAAGGCAAAGGAAGATACATCTATCATCGAGCTCCGGAAACGAATGTTGGCTGTCTTTCTGAACAGATGCCGCCGCATGAAGGAGGTCCGGGAAGATGGTGTGTGGTGGAGATTTTTGGATCCTAACGTTAGTTGGGTACGTGGGTGAAATGAAATAAATCCTACATGGATGGGAATAGGTTATGCTGACGGTAGAACCAGAATGAGGTTCTCCATTCTTATCCCGCGTCGTCGGTACCTAAGAACAACTTGAAAGCGCCCCCGCTGGATCCTGCGAACCCAACGCCAGCACATGCCTGGTTGCCAGTTCCCTCTTCATCCGCAAAGCTCAAGTCAGGTGCTGCACCCTCCGGTGACGACGTCGCACCGTCAAGTACAGCTGGCTCCCAGATTCTGCCGCGTTTCCCACCTGACTCGCGTCAGCTGAGTGAAAAGGAGCTGGATCCTTATTTCATCAATTTTGAGGCGGCCACTCGGGAGATGGAGTTGCTCCTACAGGGTAGTTTAGAGAAGGTGAACCGTCGGACATTGGCGCACCTGTCGTCTCTGTCTGCGGACTTGATGGAACTTGGAGCGCGATATAATGGCTTTTCCCTTTCCGAGCAATCGCCGACCGTAGCTGCAGCAATTGAACGCATCGGCCAGGCAGCGGATACGTCGTACATTGAGACAGAGGAGTTGTCTGGTTCTCTGAGCGCGAGTTTCGCAGAGCCAATGCGGGAAAGCGCGCAATTCGCTAGCGTCGTTCGAAGTGTTCTCCGGTATCGGGTTCTGAAGCGGGTGCAGGAAGACATGACTCGCGATGAATTGGCTAAGAAAAGAACATTGCTTGATTCTCTCGAAAAGAGTGAAATGGAAGCAAAACGGATCGAGCAGTATCTGAACCGCACAGCTCCTCAGCCTGCAAGGAGGAGCCAACGCTCATTATCTACCTCGTCTGCCGTTACCAGCGGCGATCATGAGACTGAAGCTCGCCCAGGTAGCACAGAAGATACTGCATCGATTGACTCGGATTTCCCGCCGACGCATGGGGAGAATGCGACCATACCGCCACTCGCGTCCCAGGTTACAGTGCCAAAAAGGACAGACCCATCTGCATCGGCTCATGCCCACCGAAAAACTTCCAGTGGTACCTTCATGACCAACAAAATATTCGGCCGGATCAGCCACGCTGTTCATGGCTTCGTGGACGTCGATCCGGAACGGACGCGTCGCGACCAGATCGGAAAGACAAAAGAGAGTCTGGTACATTTAGAGCAGGCGCTGGAAGTATCAGAGAAGGACGTCAAGGATGCTAGCGCAGGGGTCTTGCGTGATCTGAAACGGTTCCAGAAGGACAAGGAGGCCGATCTTCGACGATACATGGTTAGTACCGTTTGATGCTATTTCTGACAAGTTCCAGCAAGGAGATGACGATGTACTGATAATGGTTCTTCCTGTCATTAGGTTGCATATGCCCGATGCCATCTCGACTGGGCCCGGAAGAATCTGGAGACATGGACAGAAGCGAAAGATGAAGTAGATAAGATCGTTGTCCGATAGGCATATAGGGGATTCGGTTGCAACTTCTTATGTGACATGGCTCTAATCTGGGAGTTTGGAGTTCGACGATGGTGGTTCACTTGTTTTATTTCGATTGATGGCACCGCCCTTTCTTCCCGGTTTCATGAATGCTTCCTTTATGGAATTGGGTCCTGGTAGGCTAGGTGAATGTTCACTTCTCACTTAGACAGCTTATGTCCCCTGTCTACTTGGAGGTCATGGTACTGTCGTCTTGCGATTCATCTATGCGGGAGGTCTATAGAGGATATCTATTCAACATCTTACCTTTTGAATTGTCTTTATATCTTGTTTCATGCTTTCCATTTACTCAAGAGTCTTCTCATCAGCAGATGACATGATCAGTAACTAGTACTGCTGGTGAGATTTGAATATCTATCTCTATGAACGAACAGTGATAATGGGCAATTAGTACTTGGTATGCATTAATGATATGATACATGGTAATATGTAGGGCAAATTATGAAAAAAAACGTTTAATCAAAATAGACGACTGGATTTGCATTCGATATTTCCTCCAGAGACAGGGGCTGGCATCCAGATACGAACACTGCTGAGATGCATCTCAACCCCCTGCCCAAGAACCGATAGGATATTTAATTAGACCCGGTGACTGGGCTTACGGAGACCTGATATGTGCATGGTCCCCAGAGCCCTTCTCTCCCTGCTGATGCCGATCATCCTTCAACAAACTGGGGCCGATATCAAGCACGCTGATTTCACTCTCGCTCATGACGGTACAGCGTCGTCTTCTCGGGTTCAGCGAAGCAGAAGCAGCAATAGTAAGCAGGCCTTCTGCATTTGTTGTACTTGCTCTGTTTTGATCCTTGTTCAGATGACGCTCCTTGTTCTGCTGCTGAGTCCTCTTGACGCCAATCTCCTCGTCACTGCTCGACGGTGTCTCGTGTTTAGAGCAGGAACCAGACATCCTCAACCGACCCGAAAAGTTGTTCCAGACATCCGATATCTTCTCTCTCTGCGGAGGAGACCTGGGTTCCAGGATAGCGGACTCGATCATCCTTCTATCTTCGTCTGAGTCGCTGGGGCTGGTATTGGGATTCTTGTAGTTCGATGAAGGGGTCACGATGATGTCTGTGTCTAGTTGGATGAGGACTCGTTTTGGACGGCGGATATCGATGGGTTGTGAGCGCTTGCAAAGGGCTGAGGGGAGTTTGAAGGATGTATTTGACGTCGTTGAGGATGGGGAGATGGGTGTTGATGGGGAGAGTGTATCTGGTGTAGTGGATGTGGAGGTCGACCTCCCTTCTAATGTAATTCCATCACCGTCCCCGGGTCGAGCTAAAGATTCCCTTGTTGGCGATCTTGAAGCTCTCTGGTTAGCCCCGTTATATGCTCGTCCGAACACCATATCGTCGTCACCGTCGTCGTAGCTGTCAGCTCTTCGGCGTAGAGCCGGAGGATTCCCAGCGCTACTCTCCGAGTAGAAGGGGAATCGACCCCACAGTTCTTCCCAAGTGCTTTCCTCGAGCTCATTCTCGTTCTTTTGTGGATGTGACGAGCAAGGACTTTCATTTCTCTTGCCTCCAACGTTCATTTTGTGGAGGCGATTCGTGTTGAGCTTGGTCAATATCGTTCACTCCTACAAAGTCCTGGAGCTATGGATGCCCGGTGTGAGTATCTGCGAGGCTGCTATAGACCCTATTACTGGACGAGAGAGTAAATGCAGCGCTGATAAATGAACGAGGCAGTAAAGTAGATCTATCCTGTGCAGTACCTGCATGAAAGCCGACAGTGCAATCTGGTACATGTACAAAGAGATAGTTGTATCCCGGTATACATTAAATATTAAACCATAACAGGTCAGCCGAAAAGGACACATTTACTGTCTTGCCAAAGTCTCCTGGACTCCGTCGTAGGCAACAGCCAACGATGGATGACCTCCTCAGAGCCTTGTGATGCCTGGATGCTATTATTGGAACGGAAGAAACGGTCATCTGCTCCCATGGTTTCTAAGCCACTTTAGCAGGAGTAAGAATGGAGTCCAAGAATATTATAAAGCGAGGTAATAGTAGGTCATAGTAGACTCCTGTCTGGGGCTGCGAATAAGGCAGGGCAGGGCGTGCTCGTATCCTTCGTATGGACAGGCACAGATGACCTCTCATGGCAGATCAATCCGGAGAGATCATTCTGGTCTCCTCTGTATATAATAAAGGATAGCACTCATTCCAACTCTGATTATTGATGCTATGCCTGGTCGAGCCCTAATTCCGTTAACCACTGCAGGCCACGCTGCAGGCCACGCTGCCATGCATGAACCGGGGGTCAAAGCATGAAGTTTGGCTCCATTGACTAGATCAATGCTGTATTTCAAGGATATTCCCCGCGGACAGGATGCTTTCAAGAGCTATACTCTATCTGCAGCTTCTATATGATAAATGCCCCTACAAACGAGACACCTCGAGCTGCCCACCAGAGATACCGTGGCGTTTTAAACCGGCTCAGACTCGCTCGTAGCCATTCGAGCAGCCCTTCATCCGCTGGGATAGTATGGCCTTTTTCCAATTCAACGAACGCCGCCAACTCCTCCCCAGCCTTGTCACTCACTGCGGAATTGTCCCCTTCATCCTCGTCATGTCTGGATAGAAACCCCAAACGCCATGGAAACGGGATGGGTGCCGAAGGGCCATGGATGATGGAGAGCTGGTTTGGGGGCATTCTGCGGTCCTTGGTTTCCTGAAGAACAGAATTACATGGATTAAGTCTACCCCAATTAGATCACCTTCCCCTCATTTTGACAAAGCTCGGTAGGATCTGAGGCGCTATCCGACACGGTCCAAGGAGTTTATACCAAAGGGCCAAGGTGCCTGGCTGGTTGGACGCCTCGATTGTATGCGAATGCGCAGGCTGCGTATCCTGAGAAGCACGGAAAGAAGGGAGCACGACCAGAGCACCTTGCAGCTATCGCCTCTATTCTTGATTCTTTCCTCCAGAGCTGGATAGGGTATTCAATAACCTTTCTTAGCCTTGACCAACCCCGCAAATTCCCCGCGTGGGGTAAGAAAGCGGGGACAGGGGGTATTGAATTAGTTAACAATGGCCCTCGGACGCTCAGCCGGTATGTCAGTGCCTTATTGGATCCGGATCCGGCATTGTTTCTACCCCACAGCCTGAGAATAATGGAGAGAAAAAGCATCAAAGTCGAAGAACAACCTCGGAATGCGCTGGATCTTTGGCAGTATGCGGATCCTCCGGGGTTGGAGACGATTCAAGCGCTGGAAAATGGCCGTCATGGAGGCGTAGCGCCTCTGTCGATGGCGCGCAGTAACTCTCTCATTTCCAACGCGGCTGTTGCGCTCTCGCAACTGCATTTGGCCAAGTTTTCGTCGACGACGGAGCGTCATCGTGCTCCTCACGTTACGAGGAACGGGCAGCATCTTGCGCGGTATCTGTGTATTTTCGCGAAGGACTCGTTGAGCGACAGGTCGGATGTGCCTAAAGAAGCATTCGGATGAGAACCATGTCCATGAAAGTCGAAAGCCTTCTCCCCTCATACATATAAGCCATTTCCACTTCCCGTCCAGTCTGCAGTCCCGGACGTGAGTATAGCAATACATCCACGGCGGATCCATGAAGCGTTATGCGCAGTATCCGTGCAGCACCGATTCCACGACGTCAGCAAAGGCCCATTCTATCGGCCGGGTCATAAGAGAATGCCGAGAAAAGTGATAAGCCAGCAGCGTCTATTTGGTGCAGTACTCCACGTCTCCATCCGGCCAAAGCGTCTCTTATCTCCAGTCGACTCCATCAGAGATGATAATGAACCTTGCTGTGACTCCGCAGTGATAGGCACCTCCTGATTGCAAGTAATAGCACCCGGCACATGTCCCCGTGTTAGCAGCCATCGCGCCGACGACACTCATGGCGGGAGACACACCGCGTGTTGCCAAACGATCTCCAAATGCGTATGTGGACGAAAACCGGGGAAACGCAAAGCCACCCGGGAATCATAATCGCTGACCTTCCGCAGCTGCGTTCGATGCCGGAGGCAGAAGATCAAGTGCTCGGGATCGCAGCCGTGTGATGGCTGCAGCAAGCGCAAGCTCTCCTGCGTTTTCAACGAGCGAGACCAGAAGATCTTGGTGACCCGGGGGTGAGTCTGCGCCCCTTCTGGAAGGAGAGGGAACGAGGAAAAGACTCATGATCGCCCAGGTACATCCTCGACCTGCAGGAGAAGATCTCCCGTATGGAGCGGGGTGAGAACGAGCAGGCAGACCCCGGCCCTTTCAGCTCAGATTATAACCGCCAGTCTCTTGGTCAGTCCGTCCTTCGGGCCATGGGAGCCGGGAGCAGTCCTAATGAGTTGTCTTGTTAGACCCGAAGGATAGCGAGGCTGCGCCTGGCCTTGCCAGGCACAGCCCTCCACCCGATGACCACGACGGCTCGCATGAGTTGGAGGATCCAGAGTCCAGCCTGGCCAATCCGTTGTCATCAGGACCGCCGGCTTTCACCTCCGGTGCAAATGGGAGAACGTGTGCGTCAATGCCTGTCTGCAGAAAGCCGGACGTGCTGTGCTCTCTGACCTGACCATCCGTGCGTGTAGTCTACATGGGAACCTCTTCCAACTGGTCGTTCACCCGGCGAGTCCTCAGCATGACGCATGCGCATCTGTATCATGAACCCCTGCCATCGGAGGCTCTGCTTTTTGACGGAACCACGTACGACCTGGGGTGGGATGGTTCACGAACAACGCCGGATCCCGACGTTCCAGTTCTCCCGACCTACGACCATGCGTTGTACCTGATCAATGCCGTGAAATTTCGCTGCGGGCAGATGTACCACCTGTTCGACGACGACGACTTCATGGCCTGCTTGCATCGATTCTATTCCGAGCCCCGAGGCACGGCGACGGCGAGCCTGTGGTATATCCACTTCCACCTTGTCCTGGCATTCGGAAAGGGCTTCGTTCAACAGAAGAGCCAGGGCAAAAGACCCCCGGGGTCAGAGTTCTTCAGTAAAGCGCTTCGACTGCTCCCAGACCCCTGTTCTCTGTGGTACAATCCCATCGAATCGACGGAGATTCTCTGCTGCATCTCGCTTTACTACCAGTCCCTCGACTGCCGGCAAGCGGCGCACAGTTATGTATGTCCCTCCCCCCAATTACGGACCGGTCAAGCTGATCCACGTTTCCAGATCGGCCAGGCCATGCGGTTGGCCATGGCACAGGGAATGCACACCCGCATGCCGGCCGAATCCCTCGGAGAGAACATGGTCCAACGGTGTCGCAAAATCTGGTGGACGATCTACATCCTGGACCGAGAGATGACTTCCCTGATGGGCCTGCCGCAGTCTATCAACGATGACCATGTGCATACGGACCTACCGGTGTTCCCGGGCTCGGTTCTGAAGACGGCGTCCCTCCACATGCATATCAAGCTGTCGCGCATCACCGCGGAGATCAACAGCAGTAAGTCATGGTGGCGGGTTGATTTCGACCGAGACCGTCTCTAAGAACAGAAAACAGCGGTATATGCCTTTGGCGGACGGCTCAATCGGACCTTTCTGCTCAGCACCAAGGCTGCTTTGGCGAACATTGCAGGGCTGGCAGACGAGCTCCGAGACTCGTTTCCCCTACATCTCGACCCGGCCGTCAGCGGTGTCTCGAGGATATCCGCATACCTGCATCTGCTGTATCACCAGGTCCGTGTGCCTTGTTTGCGGGATACCTCCTTGCGGAGATGGCTAGCCAAGCTGACCACGTAAACGGAGCTCTCCAGTGCATCGTTCTCGCCATCAGACCCCTCCTGTTCTGCTTTCTCAAGATCCGGTTCGAATCCCCCGGCAAATGCCAGGAAACGCTGGATTCCTCGCGCAGCGTCCGCAATCTCATGCAGACGTGCATGGACTCTGCCCAGCAGATCGTCGGCATCCTGCACAGTCTTCAAGCCCAAGGGCTCCTGGGTGAGACGAGAGCCTCTGCGCATGCGTCCGGGCTCACGCTGACTTCACATCTTCACGTAGAGACATTCCTCCCCTTCGACCTGGACTCCGCTTTCGCATCCACCGTCGTCCTCCTCATGGGCCCGGCAATCGAACCCCGTCGGCTGGAACCCCATACCGCCTGGATAGACAAGGCGCACTCGGTCTTCGAAGAGATGATCGAGGGCGGCAATCTGATCGCGCGGTTGCTGCTGTCCGAGCTACAGAAACTCGACGAAATGCTCTGCTGTATTTCCGGGGGGCGGGCAGCGCCGCGCTCGTTGCAGCAGCAGGGACCTGCCGTCGTGGCCCCGCGTACCCCAATGACTAGCTCTATGTCAACGACGACGACCGCGACACGGCGTCTAAGTGACGCGATCCCGCCTGCGCCGGACTACGTGATTGAGGATGAGTATGCTGCGACTGGACTGACCGCGGCCGATATCATGGCTCTGGCCGATTCGATCGAGAGCTACGATACGGAGTGGATGTCGAATGCTATCAGCGAGCATCGGATTTGGTAGGCAGACGTCTGTCTTGGGAGGAGGGAAATGAAGGTGCATGGCAGGTCCATTGCACTTTATGATGCAGTTACGGTTCGCGGTTGCTGGAGCGTTCTTGTATATGATCATTTATGCTGCGGTTGCTTCCTAGTCACTCAACGCTCACGTATCCACGTATCCGTGTATCCATGTATCCATATATCCACGTATCCATGGACTCTGAAGGTGCTGTCTCTCTGCATGCCAGTGACACGCCAGCTACCGGCGAGTTCCCGACTGTTGTTTGAAACATCGGAAGACATTCCGCAGCAGATGGTACCGCATAATGGGCTCCATTCGCCAGTAGACGTGATGCTCAGTCCAATGCCGGGTCGTGGGCATCTACCCTTCACGGAACACGAAAGAAAGAACCTAACCTAATGCCTCGTATCATTTACATGGCCGGCCTTGCCCATGAGCCTAGCCAAAGTAACCGCCTCCCGCAACGCACGCCCAACATGTCCCCGAACCCCATTCTCCTCCATGACCATCAACCCGCAGATCACAGCGAAGAAGGCGGGTGTTGAGCCGCCGACTGCCGTGGCGACGGGCATGAGGCCTGGTTTGAGGTGGACTGTGCGTCCGATCTGGTCGAAGATTGCTGTTGTTGCGTTTAGGTAGCTTTCCGGTAGGGCTGGCTCGGACAGCTCGATTGCCGTGATTGACTGGGAGACTTGGGCGGCGATGTTGGGGAGCGTGCAGATTACCCATGCTCGCCTATCCCGCGCGTTGTCTCCTGCTGCTGGCGTTGTTTCGCCGTATAACGCCGTTTCGAGCTGCTGTCTCGTCCAGCCCGCCGCGACACTTATGAGGAGCTTGTTCCCCAGTGCCTCGCGCACACCCGGCTGGGTTAGGACTGCCTTGATATCGGCCGGGTCGACGGCGACCATCGCTGCGTCAGCATGCTCAACGGCGTTCACGTTGTCCCCGCGGGAGATGGCTAGCCTGTCTGTGTGCTCGGAGAAGCGTTGGCGCAGTTTCTCTTCCGCGGCTTGGCTGCGCACGCAGGCGAGGAAGCGGGCGAACGATCCGGTATGAAGGTGCGAGAAATAGGCGCAGTCCCCGATGCTCAATGTGCGCACCATGGCCGCCAGAGAACGATGCCAGACAGCGATTGCTGCGTACCGTCCGGAAGGACGTCCAGAAGGCCATGGACGGCCAGCGGGGATGCGTGCCATCGGCGGCTAAGCACGATGAGAAGACTGCCGTATCTTGGCATTTCCAAGCAATCTCTGTAATGGTTATGTGATTTCTTTACGTGAAAGAAAGCAGTTTGCGGGGGCAACTGTTTTCACGGAGGAATGTAAGTTAGATCCTGGGCTTGGATGGTTAGAACCACACGACAAATAATGCAGAGTAAGACAACCAGAACGAGCAAAAGAGACATACGAGCGGCTTAGCGGGCAAGGTACTGGGCCTGATCTACAGTCAATACGAGCAACACAGCAGAAACCCAATTCCCGGAAAACCTGGTGTGCACGCAGACCCTCGGGCACGCCCCCCACAACGCCTAGGTATCATGTTACGTTGTCTGAGACCCCGAGTCGTACGATTGACACTCCGGGGTGCATCGCCATGCGGGGGGATCTACGGGGTTCTCACTGGCGGATAAACCGGGAAACAGCATGGAGGAGCATCAGGGAGGGGATGCAACCTAAGCCATGGTCAGATCATCGCCATTGGAGGTTGGCATTATGGAACGAAAGAGGTCAGGGCACAGGGTAGTATCCTTTACGTATGATTCTATGTCTTCTATTCCATGAATGCAGCTAGGTCCAAAAAAAAAAGAGACAGAAGCCGATCTAATACCCATAACACAGACAAGAAATGAATTGCCCTTGAACACTAATGCATGCCAGATCATCCCGGATGTTAGAGACCGGATAGACGTGAAGATAGATTCTCATGGTGCAAAGTCAAGCAAGCAAACCACCTCACGAAGAGTTCGAGTTGTCCGCGCAGGACCACGCGGACGTACCCCCGGACTCATTGTACGAGTCGATAATAGCAACAACAGACCCATAGGTGCCGGCAACGGTCAAGAAACACCCAGAGACAATAACAAAGATACTCCAGCAGACCATGAACATCCACCGGGGCGTTTTCTTGGTCTGGCCCTTGCTCCAGTTATCGTGCAGCCACATGAAGCCCATTGGCTGGAAGCACATGAGGGTGCCGAGTAAGGCGCCGATCAGGGAGACGAGGCTGTTGAAGACGGGGATGGCGCTGGCGATGATGTATGAAATGAGTGTCGTGCCGAAGGTGCAGCCGAACCAGGAGGCCCAGTGGATGAACGTGTTGGCCGTCAGATGGCGGGAGCCTCGGAGGACACGGATGAAGATGTATTTCCCGGGTAACTGGCGATGTGTTAGAAGGCACCTGCGTCCAATGGGTTTCCCAGGGGGGGGGGGAGAAGAACATACGTGGACGAAAATGGTCGTGGAGACGATCAATCCCGGCAGAGCGAAGCCGTAGCTGACTTTCTTCATGATCGTGCCCGCAGAACCCAGGGCAGGAGACGCGACATACGAGCCGCAGTAGCAGTAGACGACACAGCCGATAGTAATGTAGATGGCCGTCACCAAAGACTGGCAGATCGTGACGGACCGAGCGTAATGGCGCGGCTCACGCATCTCGGACACGATGGAGAAGAACCCGGGGGTGCCGGAGAAGGCGAAGACGAGCGAGGACACAGCAGAGATGGCATCCGAAAATTTCGGGTTCTTGACAGCGACGTAGTCGGAGACCCAGGGACCCGTTTGCGGTGCATCAGCCGGGCGATCCTCGACTCCAACGGCGATCGTAACGGAAAAGACTGCGCGGAAGGGTTACTTGCGGTCCGAAGAGACAGGCACTTGGAAGGGAGACGCACTTGCAGTCAGAATAGACACCAGACCGATCCAGGCGAGGAAACTGATACGCCCAAGGGTCTGGATGCTGCCAAAACCGAATCCCAGGATGGCGGCCACGAAGACAAAGACGGCCGTGCAGGTGCCGTGAGCAGACACGGCGTTCAAGGCGATCGAGATGGTGAGCATACCGGAGCCTGCCACGAAGATCCAGTCTGGTTATTCGGTCAGAACGAGGGGGATTCGCGTCTTCCGGCAGTAGAAACCCTTACACAGGCAAAATGCCGCGCCGAGAAATTCACGACCAACCCGGCCGAACATGATCCCACCAGCATCGTCGATCCCGTAGACTTCACGATGGTTCAGCTTGAACACACCGACCATGTAGTCCGACCATGTGGTGATAACGGCAATGGCGATTAGACAAATGAGACCGGGAGCCATGCCTAGGGTGTCGAAGACGGCCGGGATTGAGAGCACGCCAAGGCCAATCTGGGTCTTCATCATGAGGGCGACTGTTCCGATCCATCCTACCTAGTTGAATTGTCAGTCGGGGGTTGAAGAGCGAGATGCTGGATGAAGGCACGCACATTGCGGTAGTTGGGGCCGCCTTCAGTGATCTCTCCAAACACTGCATCTTGAACTTCGCCGACCTGATGGGAAGGGACGTGGTTGAGGTCCTCGAGGGCGTCTTTCTTCTCCTGCATTCTGGACAGTATTGATGTTGAACGGATAGCACGATGAAGGAGGAGCAAGGGTAGGACTGGGAGGGTCCGTCTGGGGACCATGGAACGTTTTTAACCCATGGCATCTATCCCTGACCAGCTAGCTCTCCCACGACTACCGGTTAGCAGACCGATGGGGGCAGACGACTTAGACGAAGCTTAGGCAGTGGCTCTGGCCAAGACCGGCAGGCATTGCAAGCCCTGGAATGCCGGCTGATATGGGGGGATCAGCATGCGACAGATCATTCCACGCCATCCCATTCACGCACGCCGCGTCCATTCCCGACGCCCCAGCGTCCCAGAACGGTAAAGGAATGAATGAACGGCTTATCACAGGCGGATTGCCATGACCGATTTCGTGGGGTCAGCCAGAAACTCTGAAACGTCCCTCCAATAGTGGAATTGGGGATTAAGGGGGGGCTTGTTTCCCGGCCGCGGTTTCGCCACTATTGCTTTGCCCCGTCTGCAAGATAAGACGCCGGTAGCCCTGCCGCTATCGTCCTGGAAGCTATCTCGTCTGGATAGATATGAGGACGGGAATGCTGCCGTGGGTTTGTGCTCGGACTCTCATAGGGTGATCCTGAAAACGCGGCCCTTCCGGCTTGCTTTTTGCAGCGGCGAATTACTGGCAGCCGGGAATATTCAGTCCACCGCCACATCCGGGAGATCTGTGTTCGAAAGAAAGACGCAGGCCGTTGGCCATCGTTGGCCATGGGCATATGCATCGTGCCGGAACATTGCCGGCTGCAGGAGGCGGAACTGAAAGCCCCAACCCAGCCGGCTTTTGCTTATCTCGTTATCTCGCGAGACAATAGGATGACATAAAGATCAAGCCATATCATTATGAATATGAATATGAGGGCGAGGATCGCTGGGGGCTTGCTAAACAAGCCCACCCGCCACTGCCGACGCTCCTCCCCCTTGGCTTGACGCCTGGGAATGTTGGAAGCTGAAAGATAGTTCAACGAACTACGTAAAGGAAACTGATATCTCGTGAGGAGACAAGGCAGAAAAGACAACAAGGGGCTGGTGGTCTCGGCCAATTGGATCGGCAGAGAAATAAGTCGGCGCGAGGTTATACATGTAACTCCAGCAGGGGGAATGTAATCAGTCGAACGAGTCCAGACACATTCGCGTCAGTCATGTCTCGTCTTGTCTTGGAGCTGTTCGCCTTGTTGGCTCGTGGACCGAAGGGGACACTGGTTGCTTCATCCTCAAAGGGAATAAATATCCCAAGGGGGAAATTCACCCGGGAGAAAATGGAGCCCGGGGTTACTTGGACAAGGAAGCTCTCCTCGATCAATTAGCTTTGCCATCAAAAGCAAAGCAAAGCATGATAAAGGAATAGAGTTGGACAAGGATTCGGATTGAGTTGAGGCTTTACTTTAATACGCGAGATTCGGGAGAGCATCCGCATTGTCGATTTATCTCTGGTTTCTGGTTGCTGGTACGGATCTCGCTCCGTCAGCCTTATAGCGACGAGCCGTATCCCTGCTCCAGTGTGTCCAGATGGAATCCGAGTTGTGGACAGGGCTTCAGACATCATGAATGGTCCCAGCACAGCGCCTGGGACGTCCTTCTCAACTCGAACCCTAGCACCCAAGCTACGTGATGAATATCTGCCCTCATTAGACTGGACCCTTGGAGGCATTGCACCATACGGGGAATTATACATACTGCTTGCCACGGCTACTTGGGTCGTTGGGGGATATATAAGAAGCAGAGAGAGCGTTCGAGGGTTATATATGCCTGGGCTCGCAATGGCGCTATTCCCTATGTGGCCTAGAGGAGCACCTGACATCTGCATTTCTCCAGCGTCCATCAAGTTCGACAATTGTATACTCCGGACGTACCTACAGAGACCTTGGAGACCCTTGCCAATGCTGCCTTCCAACCCCAGAGTTTCGTGTTAGATACTCAAAGAGTTCCGTCGGGAAGCTGTAGCATTAACGTATTTCCCGGTCGAGCGGGCCACCTCCTGCTAATTCCTGCCCGCGGGCTAAATACTAGAGCCTCTACCAGCCAAACAATTGCATTTTTATACAAAAACTAATTGCTAAGGGGATTGGGACATCTAACTCTAGTATGTCCCCGAATATGACAATTAGAACACTGTGGTGGAGCTCATACGCGTGGTCCAACTGCAGAAAGTGCTGGATCTCTAGAAAGCATATCTTGACCTTCAACAACCTCATTCTCATGCTGAAATTGCTCTAAACCCTCCTGAATTGCTGAGCCCTCTGGAATAGCTAGCTGCCTAGTAGAGCGCTTTTGCTTTTGACCTTTCCATTCATTATTAGCGCAAAATTTGCGTATTTCTTCACGTGCAAGAACAAGCTCATTAAGTGTCAATTCATGACCTTTAATAATCTTGTCTAATCGCAATTCTAGCAAAGGTAAAGGGCTATGAGCATGTTCCCTAAGCAGTTTCTTTGCAGCTAATGCCTGCTTCTCCAGCTGCCTAGTAGTATATGGTGTTTTAGGTGCTGAATTAGTTGACTGACTAGGTGGTGGTGTAGGAGTCTTTAGTCAGATGTCTAACTTGCTAAACACCCTATCTGGGTCAAATGGAACTAATCCAGCACCTGCAAAGCTATTTTGAATAGTCTCTGCTTGAAAAGCACATTTGTGAGCATGTGGAAAGGCCTCTAAGAAATTAAGCTTATCAATATGATTGATTCCTAAGCGTGCTTTCTGCTCCACCAAGGTCCCATATGCCTTTTTTAAAGGCGCAAAACAGCCCACATCCAAAGGTTGAAGCTTGTGGGAAGAATGAGCAGGCATACAGATAGGAATAATATTATTCTCACTGCATATCTGATCAAATTGAGGTGTAAGATGGCTGCCATGGCCATCCATGACTAGAAGACGGTATTTCCCAGTCATATGACTAGAAGTAGCAGGAATGAAGAGATTTTTAAGCCAGCAAAGGCCTATCTCATCAGAGGTCCATCCATTAGGACTAACTTCAATTCTGCTATCACGCGGGAGCTTGAAATCTTGATACCAACCCTCTATATGGACCTTCCCCTTGAAGATAATGCATGGAGGAAGTGCCCAGCCAGTAGAGTTGATACACTCAATTGAAGTAACCCATTCCCGATTGCCTGGCTGTACAAGAGAGGCTTTTCCATAATAATCAGCTCTAGTAACTACTCAAGCAGTAGCTACTAGGCCCATAGCAAAGCCAGTCTCATCAAAATTGTAGATATCCTCCTGTACAATCCCATGTTGCATTATAATGATTTGTACATGATCAAACCACTCCTTGATGATTTTAGGATCTTCACATTTCGCTCATTGATAATCATAGCATTGAGAATAGCGTGTTTTCATTTCATCACACCATTTAATGAAGCTAGAGACCCAATTCTTTCCAATTGATTGGATAGGTGTTGTACCACGCTCTGCAAGAAGAATATTGGCCATTTCTTGTATTTGGGATGGTCAGGGGCCTGCTCCACGTTGATCTAGCGATAAAATCCATCGTACAAAGGATTCCTCTTCATTTTGAGTCAATTTATGGCCATTGGCGCGTGTTTCTGCGCGTGAAGTGATTCCATTAAGTTGTCGCTGGAGGGTTGTACGAGGGATATTATAAACACGTGCCGCTTCGCGAATATTGCAAATTTCCTGCTTTTCTAAAGCAGAAATAGCAAGTAAGATCTTTCCCTCTTTCTCAGCTGAATTTCTTGAATTTTGACGCACTTTTGGAGGCATGGTTGGTGGTTGAATTAGTTGAAGCAGTAAAACGCGTAGAAATTTGATGAGGTGGCCCGCTCGACCGGGAAATACGTTATGTCGGTATGCTTATCTAATTATTGTAGTGACAATTTAGATAATTTCCCATTTGAATTGGACTTGTTCACTCGGCTCACCACCTGCAATTAGAGCAGCACCTATATCTATGCTTGTGAATGTATTAGACAGAGATCAATGCTGTATGCTTTATAGTCGTCTAGAGAAAGGAAGTAGGCAGAAAAGCAATAAATGCATTGAATTTTCGGTGACGCGGTGCGACACTCTTCTAAAGAACACAGTCGGTCGGTCTTATACCGACAAACAACGCCATAAAAAAAAGTTTTTCCTATTTCCAAAAAAAAAAAAAAGAAAAAAGACTGACAAAGACTGCAGAAATAAGACACAGATAAACCTCCGAGCCGTTCCGGCTAATCAATCAGAGACGATCTTATCTTCGTCGTTCACTCGTAATTCCACAACAGGAAGCTCATCATCATCATCATTCAACGGCGGAGGAATATCTTGGATCGGAGTGTCGTCAAAGGACGTCCTTGGGTACTCGGTACCTGTACCGTCGGGGCTGTCGTCGAGGGCAGCGAGACGGAGATCGGAATCACTAAGGTCCCCTCCGCCGTCTGCTTTGTTGCTCGCGACATCGTCGAAGAGATCATCATCTACTCCTTCAGAGTAGGATCCCGGAGGTGCTACCATCATCTGCGAAGCGCCGTGAGCATCCATGACTCGGTCGAATGACCATGAGGGACCGCTGGAGAAGCGAAACGGATTGGAGTTCGTCTCTGCCCCGCTTTCATCGAAGTCCATACCTTCCTGTCGATCTGTCTTCACCAGGCTTCGCTCCCCAGACGAAGGATCATGGGAGTAGTCTGGAGGCAACTCCTCATCATTGTTGCCCTGGGTCCTCGCCTGAGCCCCGATTCGCAAACCACCAACTCCCGCTTGGTGAGCTGCTCCGACTCCGGTTAAAGCGCTCGACGACCCATTGCGGGAGGAGCCGCCGAGACGCCGCCCTTCCCCCGAGGGGGCTGACGCAGATGATCCCCCCTGGGACTCATCCTGTGAGTCCGCGCTGTCTGTCATCGCTCGGGTGCTTGATTCTGTGATCTCTTGGAGAATCCTGCCACCCAGAGGATGTTCGGAACGACGACGGTAAAATAGCAGGTAAGCGGCAGAGGTAACCACACTCTGAGGATCGGTCACCTTGGAAACCAAAGAATCTATGGTACGGTCAGTGAACGGGTGCGCGGAACGAAGAAAGGACAAAGGCAGAGTAACGGTGAAGGATGGAAAAGTCATACCATTATATTCGTACCAGTCGTTTGTGATAAAATTCTTCGCATATGCGGTGTAGTGGCCACCCCCCAGACCACCGTAATGATTGTCTACCGCGAAGAGGTCATAAACCAGACTCTTACCTTCCTCGGGGGCCTCCACCCTGCCGGTCAGATCTAATCCCTCAACTGGGAAATCCACCAGAACGTCGATCTTGTCTCGGAAACCGCGGCTAGCGCTGAACCTTTTCAGGTGCATAACGAGAATGTCGGGCGTCTTCCATAGCTCGAATTTCTTGCTTGCTCTGCGGTGTTCCTTGCAACGAGGACAATACCACGCATCATTCTCGGACAGGATCTCTTCTTTGTTAAATTCGTCAAGACACTCGTTCAGACTGACACCCCTCTTCTTCTTGTTCATACGGAGCGCTCGTCGTCTGCTCAACTCAGGGTCTGGGACATGCTCAACTCCGACCCATGTGGGTGTTCCGCGGAGGGAATCATTGCGTTTCGCATCCCCTCCAAAGAGAGCGTCATGTGCTTCCTCAGTCCAGTCAAGCAGGATACCCTCACCAGGACGGACCAGTGGCTCTTCGGACCTTGTCATACTTTTCTGACCCCTTCCGTTGGGTCGAGCTTGATCGACATCAGAGTACATATCAGAATCACTGTCAGATCCGCTTCCTCGGCGGCTCTGACTCCTGTCTCCATCCGAGTCGTCGCTGGTCTTCATCTCATTCACGTTGACCTGCGTGGTGGCCTGAAGCTCATCCTCGCTGCTAACCGGACTAGCTCGAGCAGCCGTAAATCGGCCCTTCTTTGTCTTATTACGCTTACGCTCGGCAACAGGCTTGCGCTTTAAACGGGAAGATATTGATGGATAATTCTTTGTCTCTTCAATTGCGGACCAGCCAGTTGGAACGACCTCATTGGATCGTATTATCTTCATTTCGAAAAGATTGCGGAGACCTGGTGGGATAACGGAACCCGTATGTGTGGCAGGGGTGCTGCCAGCATTAACATCATCCGACGCATCGCGCATGGAGATATCGACGAGTCCATCTTCATCCTCCACGGATGAGGTCTTGATCTTCGAATCAGCGGACTGGGCATCATCGTCATTCATGATCACCGTATCCGAGTCCTCGGTACCGGCGTCATGATTGTCTCTCATCAAACCTCCTTCATTGAGGAGATCCCGAGTAGTCAACCTGTCAACTTCGGACAAAACTTTGGAGAGAATCCCGTCATAATCTTTCGCCTCTTCCCGAGTGATGATCGTGTACGACGGTGCACCGAAAAGTTGCCTTTGGGTGTATTTGTTGCTGCTCTTCGGGTGCAAAACCCGGTGAAATATTGGCACAAGCATTCGATCTGCTTTGGGAGAATCGAAGCTAGGGATTTCCTCTGCTGCGGGACTGAACGTGAGCGCCGATACGTTCCGCTTAGGCTTGTCTGAGTCATAGTTGGTGGGAACAGACTCCACCTCGAAGATGGCAACTTCATCGTTCGCATGAATCTGACAATCGGCAATCGAAGAAGAGTTGTCAAACATCCTGTAGAACTTGCACTTATAGATCTCGGACATAATAAGTTTCTGGAGGTCAGATCCCATCTTCTTCGCCACTATTTCCTTGAGGGACTTGATGCTGGCATTCTTGTCAATCTCAACACTAACGATGACCGGTTTCTCGTGCAGGGGGAAATAAAAGATCTCCTTGCTCCAGATATTCTCGATTGGGATCTGGAGAGTCAAATTGTTGAAGGGATCGAAAATGATGCTGACCTTTTCGCAGACGGGGCAGACCAGTGTTGACTTGTACATGCCAGCGAAAAGATCGGTAATTACGGAGTCATTGCGTGCCTTGTAGATGTCCCAGCATCTATCGGCAAATTCGCTCAGAGCCTTTTTATCATGAACCATTTCATCCGTAGAGTCCGGCTTTTCGATATACGGCTTCTTCTGAATCCTATTCAAGTCCTCCTGCAGTCCATCAAGAAGGAACAGGAGGAACTCCTGGGAGTCTTGCTGCCCGTATCCAGAGAAGGCCGACCCGTAACGGCCGACCGTCTGTTTGAGCTGGCGCGGAGAGAAGGAGGATTGGCCGGCTTCGTCATAAATCATGTGCAAAAGGTTTGCGTATGCCTTTGCCACATCTCCATTGTGGGAAAGTGGATTGCTAGGATTGAGATCTCTCTTGTAAACATTATCTGCAAGACTCCATGGTCAGCACGGATGTTACCAGACACAGTACAAGGCGAATACGAACTAAGGAAATAATAGGAGAGTTCCTCCACGCTCCGTACGCACTGTAAGGCGGAGTTCATATAGCAGGTATTCCCCAGGTTGCTCAGCCCAGTGCAGCCTCTAGGCTTTCCATCCTTACGTCTACCTCTTATAGGCTCCATAACAGGCGACGAACGACCGCTGGCAGTGGGACTCTTGGATTTCAGCTTGCCCGAGACCCCATTTTTCATGTTGCCGACAGGAACGCCGAGACGGTTGAGCGTCTGCTTGGAGGCATCGGACACCCACTGCCCATCTCCAGTGCGTTCTTCGAGGACAATAACGTCACTTCCCCCAAGACCGGCCAGTTCCAGAGTCATCCGACCGTTGTAGTTGGGATTGGCAGTCTGATCCTTAGCTTCCTCTAGAAGCTCCCGTTGGGGGCCCTCGGAAAGAGAGAGAAAAGTGTTTGGGTCCAACACAAGGCTGCCCCCGGCGCTTGCAACCATAGAGGCAGCCGGTGCGGGCGAGCGGTTCCTCGACGCAGCAGGGGTGGCGACTGCACTGCCTAGACCGCCCAAAATCCTCCAAACGCGGACCTTAGTCGAAATGTCAATATTGGCCAGTTCTTTGGCTTCTTTCAACCATTTCTGGAAGTTCGTATGCCTGCTCGCTAAGACCTTGACAGGCTGCGCGTTTTTATCCTTCAGAGTCTGCGGAGTCATCCCCGAGGCTGGATTGGAAAGCTTGAGGATGGTGAAAATCGGAGGGTTGACCTCGTATTGGATATTCTCCGCCTGTCCGCCCACATTCGTATTGTGTGCATAACGAACAATGGCCGTGGACTGTTTCGCCAAGCCATACCACTTCATTATCAAATCCCATCCTTCCTCCGGCACAATCTCATAATCTTCGCCAATCTGTAAGCCGGGACGCAAGGGAACGAAGGGCTGGCCTCCTTCGTCCTTGAAGGATGTGGAAGGATCGGTGTCGAGAACAAGGTCCGAGTTATCCACGGGACCGATTTCCCCCTCAGCAGCCGTCTTATCCACTTTATCCCCGTGTGTAGAGCTCCGAGAGAGCACCCTTGTTAGCCAGGATGACGACACCAGATAGCCCTTCTGCTTCTCCTGTAAAGGCAGCATCATGTAGCGAGTAACATGTGCGACCTGGTCGTCAATAGAGGGGAGGTCGTGCGACGGGCGGGATTCGTGGAGCTGAGAATTTTTCTCGCTCGATGCAGAGGTGGAAGAAGTCGGAGCGGTACCGTCGGCCTTGATCGTGTCTTCGTTCTGTGAGGGGCCGAGATCCATATCTACATCTTGCTCGGACGTTGTCGCTTCTGTCCGGTTGACAGTCGACGAGGATGGTCGTTCGTTTTCCGCACCGGACATACCTGGGCCAGGATCACTCGACAGGCTGAGTCCTGCGTATGCAGCGGAGGAAGATTCGACGCTCGAGTTGGATTCCGGAGTAGGAGAACGGGGCTTGGGTCTGGTTCCTAGAACTTCGTCCTGCAGGTGGGCGGGTACGTAGCGGGGGGAGAGGGAGGCGGACGAACTCCTGCTCCAGTTTGCGTCCGAGTTGGAAGGCAAAGTGGAGGAGGGAGCGTATTGGTGGTGATGGAGGTCGGAGCCGTGACGTCTTCCGGCGTGTCTGGCCTGCTGCGAAGCAACCGACGACGAACCCGGAAGGGTTGTCCCTGGTTTGCGAGACTCTGCAACCCTACGGCGCTTTGTGGAAGACGTCGTGACGGTGAGCTGCACACGTCTTGTGGCAGCTCTCGACAACACGGTGGGAGGAGGGAGATCCGATCCGAGGAAACAGCCTGGAAGAGCGAGGGAAAAAAAATGAAAGAAGACAAAAGGAGACAGAAAGCGAGGACCGGGAAAAGAGAAAGGGGCAACAAGGGCCAAGCGATGCTGTCTTTTCCTCTGTCTTTTCGCTCTGATTTGCCTCTGCTCTTTTTCTTCCGTCTTTTTCTTTTCTCTGCCTGCGGCGTCCTTAGTCAGATTCGGTCGAGTGGGCCGCAAAGCGATTTGCTGGTTGGAGAACAGACATCAGCCAAGCTGAGGCTGGCGGTTAATTAATTTTGTGCGAACGTCGTGTGCAGTTCTGATGGAGAAGAAAATGGCGATGGCGATGGAGGAGATGGAGAGAGGGAAGTTCTTGGGAAGGATGGAAGGAAGGGAAAGATCGTCCTTCCTCTCTCTTCACCCAGTGAATTCATCCCCTACCAGTCTTTCCTTCGAACAGTGAATGTCTTTATCATTTTGTATCAGCGACAGCTGTTCTTTGGACAAGTCTCGACAGGTTTGAAGGTTGTCCTTCCCCTATTTTCCAACATTCTCATTCCCTTTGCTGATCAATGTGAGTTCCTCTTCTAGTCACTGAAATCCGCCTTTGCGAACCCAATCCATCCAGACTCACGATACAAATATCGCTTACCCAGAGAATACGACAAGATTTAAGGACTGAAATCCACTCTGCGAACAATCTCGTTGGGGCATGCGACGAAGGATCCATCGCAATGCGCATCCCTGTGGCTACATGGGCGTTAAGAACAGACTGAGGTGCTGTTTGACGCGGTACACCAAGCTCAGTTCGATGTGAATGGTCCTTGGGCTCCGGCAGTGTTTGGGTCCAAGATAATCACCATACATGGCAATTGTGCTGAAGTCAGCCCCAATCTCCACTCTTGAGACTGGTGGTGGCGCTCCTCAAGATGCTAAGAAGTAGGAAGTGAATTTTCCTGGAATAACTAACCCTCCAGCAGTATGGGCGGCCTGGAGAACAGCGATTGTAAAAGCCGGCTGCGAAAACTCGTGCTGGTGGTTGTCGACTGTCGTCCTGACTATTTGCTGCCAGCCCGTGAAAGCAAATACTTCTAACTGCCCCCTCGCTATGGAGTATCCCGAGGCTTTGATGCTCACGTAGTATCCTATCATCTATTGATTGTAGGCCTACCGAGAAGATCAACGGAGTGCTAGACCATCAGGTAAGTTGGCTGGACTGAGTTTAGTTCGGTCTACTCGAAACCTCTGGTTTAATGAAGAAACAGCTTCTCTACAAGATAATATCTGATTCTTCAACGGCCCTGGGATCTTTAGATACGTCCACATCTCATGAGCGCCCCATGTCTCAAACCATTGTAACAGTCCTCGGACATCGTCTCCGAGTAGCCCACAATCCAATCGACGCGATAAAACTAGTTCCAGCGAAGGCGACCAAGGCCCGAAATTGCGTATTGTAACTCCTACTCTACGCTTGTCGAATCCGGATTACATCCGACTGCGCTAAGTTCATAACCATAAACGGCGGGAACGACATGCACCGCCGTCGTCGAGAGATTACCAAGCAATGCAATCCCGACAACCGTCAATGCAGAACCGAAAAGGAGCAATGTGTTCTGCACTCTTGGGCATTTTGAAAAACGTTACGCTGCAGATGATCGAGCAGAATGGAGACATGGGCGTGAAGGGAAACAGGTCGATTCCAACTCTTACCGCTGATATCCCGGCGACGGCTTCGAAACACTGAGGCCGCCCATGGTGAACATTTTTCTAGCAGTTATCAGAAGATGTAAGCAGTTCCGTTATAGCCAGAGACAAGAAGAGGCGTGGCATGAAACACGCATTATATTTAGTGATAGGACCGGTCCCATAGGAGTCGGATAGGAAATATCGGCTCCTGTTTAGAGACTCGTTCCACCCATGTTTCATACAGAGAAAACGCAATTAGACCGATACTACTGCCAACACGAGTGCCAATTATCACATTGCTCTTCCACGGGCGTTGCTGACTGCTTCCTGGAGTGCAAACACTGGCATCGTAGGCCAGGCCAGGGAAAGGAGGCTTCCGATAGTATCAACTCGTTTTAGCTCCTCTTTCTCAATGAGCTTCTCATCGAGGTTAGGAATAGCCAGGATGCCGAAGAGAAGAGAAATGACGATTGCAGGACACTTGAATCCCTTTGTCAGGAAAATATTAAAAAATATTTGGCACACCTAAACATTATTATGGCTGCTTCTGTCCTTACTTGAGAAAGAAGACCCATCGCCAGGTTATGTTATCCACAATGACTTCTCCAAGAATGGGTCCGATGAGACTGGCCCAGGGTGAAAACTGAACTCAAGATTCCTGTATAGAGTCCAATCTTCTCCACGGTGACTACCTTTCCGATAATCACGAACACGATGGAATAGATCCCCAAGCCGCCGATGCTCTGTAGGGCACGGAATATAATTCTGCTCGAGAACAACGGGTATCGATTAATAAACTCTTTAAAACCGAATCCATAAAAAATTGTGGTGGGCTAGCTGATGTGCTGAGGGGGCTTGTTCCTACAGCTCAGTAACGGTCTGCGCTTGACCGCACGCCATCGAAAACACCATGAATATCAACAGCCAATATCAGCAGACTTTCTTGGCCGAAAATATCTGTCAGCGTGGTGGAAATGAGAAGAAACCCTGATACCTGACTAGCTGTGCTCTGTTACGGCAGCATAATCCATCTCCCCTATATAGGAGGATAATCGAAATTCATCACCATCATAAGTCAACAGATCAGCGACAACAATCCAAATCGACTGGCCCAGACCGTTGAGGTCGTCCGAGATATGATGAAGGGCTGTAACAGTGATCGTGGTTTCCAAGGTGGAAAGAAAAAGACTTATCCAGAGACTGCCGGTACAGCATCAGCGACTGTTCATCAAACAGATCCATATGAAAGGCACCGTATAATAAAACAAACCTGGCAACAACGAAACCCATGTGCAAAGACCCAATGGTAGAAGCATCTAGGGCATGCGCCCTCTGTATTGAATCGACCCGGCTCTCTACCGCAGAAGTTGCCATTTCCCATGAACAAGCGAGTATCGCATCCTAACAAACCATGCGTAAGGGTACGACGAATTAGGGATAATTTTGCGTTGGATAGAGAAAACTATCATAGAGTATCACTGGTCTCGAGACGGCTCTGATGATCAGTTAAGCCTGAGTAATTCTTCCTCAGTGCACCATCATCTATATCAACAAGGCAATGATATTGCCCTAGAAGAATAAGTAAAGCGGAACAGGGAAACTCGCCGACAAATGGTCCGTTCGAGCTTTCGTTCATTGATCCAGCTAGCAATACGCATGGCTGTCTCATCTCTGCCGTCATCCCCATAAAAAGGTGCTTGTTGGAGAATACGTGTGTTCAATGTGATAATATGTACTAGATTTTACGTGCATTTGCATCACTGTCCCTGTAAAGACTGGAAGGGAAGGCCTGTTTAACGCTAACGCGAGCAGGAGACATTTTCCAATCCCTTTCAATATGCACGAAGCCTGTGGAAGCAATCACATTGCTGACCCCCAGGGCATGTTCATGTTCTCGGTTGCCGTAGAAGCTTTCCTGCCTCCGCCATGAGTTCTTCAGTGGCGGATTTCAATTCTGCCGTGGTGGCTACAAACAGATCATGCGAAATGCCCATATTCGGAGCCCGCATGTGAATACCCTGGTAGTCCTGAAGAGCACGGTTCAGCTGGGCCAGCTGGTGGTTGATGACTGTTGCGATAAGGATGAGTTGCAGAGGATAGTCTAGACTCATGTCTCCGAATTTCAAGTTCAAACATTCAGGGATTGTCGAGACATCTGCCTGGGTCCCGTGCTCGGAGTTCGAGGGAGCTGCTCGTTGTTGCGCGCCAGGGAAGAAACTGGTCATATTTTGCGGTTGGTTAAGGGCCGTGGCAATTTCTCGTAACATCTCGCCATAGCTCGATAGCAGGAGCGACATTGGCGATACCACCAGAGGCAGAAGGGTTGCCCTGTCAGGGAACGATGAGGGATGCGCTAGGCCATGGTATGTCTTGTAATATTCTTCAAATATCCGCCGAATCATATCTAACAATACTTGGCCTGGCTTGAGAACCGCATCAACGGGGTTGGTCGAATTTTGCCAAGAGGAGCTTGGTTGGTCATTTGATGGAGTACTACCAGGTCTACTAGATGTGCTGCTACGGCTGGCTCTTCGAAACTCGAGTAGCTCGCGTTGCAATCGTAGAAGTGTTTGCGTGACTTCGACGGCACTGCTACAATTGCTGGGCTGGGATAGGCTGATTTGATTCGATATCAACGGCTGAGCTGAAGGGGGATTCTCCGGGCTACTGTCGGTGCTCGTTTTCCCACCACCTTCACTCAAGGGCCTTTCCGGACCATTACCGTGGAGGGATTGTCCTTCGTCCATCAACAGATCGAGCCAGCCAGTGCCTGTGTGACCCATTGACGAAGCTAGCACGGGGCTCCTTGAAGTTTCTGTCCAAGCGAAGAGACCGTTGGCTGTAACAACACATAATCAGAATATAGACTTCAGAGAACCCGGAGAGAGGGTATGCTTGTTCGGCGCAAGGGAGATAGAAGCCCATACGGTTATTCATCATGTCCAGACCCATTCCCAATTGTGACAGATACGGAAAAAAGGCCGGCGACTGTTCAAAATTCATGCCGCCGGATGCACTGTTGTTATTATCGAAAGGCGTGGAGCTCGGAAGAGATGCCTCAGCTGATCGTTCTGGACGGTTGTTTTCAGTGGCCACGGAGGCTTTCTTCGGCCGTCCAGGCTTCAACGGTGCACTATAACAACAGTCGGTGCCATCCTGCATACAGCGACTGCACATTGTCATGGATCTATCTCTCACGCAGCGCATTTTGCGAGCATGGCAGCGGTCGCAGGCGAGGCGTTTTTGGGCGGCCATTCTGGGTCGGCCACGCTGGTCCATCCTCTCTTTCTGATTTTGAGGAATTGAGACTGTTTCCACTCTTTTATCTTCTGCTTATTCAAGATGCCAATTAGATATCAATTGACCATAGTAGTGCCCTATATCTAGGGTGTAGAGCAATCGTGATGCCAAGGTTGACTGAGTTAACCCCCCATTGGCATGTCTATGCGCATATGGCCGTCTAAACGTGATCAGACATGAAAGGCGTGTTTCGGTAAGATCGAGTCAAGCATAAACTCGTAAGCAGCATCTGGAAAAGGCAGACAGCGTGAGGAGTCGTCGAGTCGGCGAGTTTTTGGACTGCATGCAGGGCGGTCTGGGAAGGCAGTATGCACGTGATATTAAGGTTGCAGGACTCTCGACATTCGTTTATTTGATTGATTAATTGATTGATTCCTGATGAAATGATAATAATAATAGCACTCTGTATATGATCATTAAACTTCAAATTATATTTATTAGTCTTGGCCATTATCCAAAAATAATAGCGTTCATCGTTGTATCTGAACACCACGTGACTGGGCAGGTTCCTGGGAAATCCTCCGCTTCGGCGGATTACAGCCTACATCAAGAAACCCGCGTCTGTTCGATTACAGCTCCGTAAGACGAGTGAGACGCCTTGAATATAAGAACTGGGCCAGGATGGACGACTATCTGGGCGCAAACTCATCTGGTAGTTGACCTTGAATATTAAAACCGCGAGGTTAAAGCAAGGAGATATTTTGCCAACATCATCGAGGATGACTGAGTCCATAGCACATCCTTCGCGGAAGATCCTGCTCGTGGTGACAACGGGAGGTTTTACTCATGCTGGTGAGGATGCTGAATGAGTTGTTTTATCTCACAAGCTGACTGATAATTTTGGACAATGCGCAGCCCCAGTATTGGAAATAGGCAGAGTCCTTTCTGAGAGGGGTCACACCATTGAATTTGCGACCCTCGACGGGCAAGAGCACTGGATTAAAGGATATGAGTTCATCACCACCGTGCATCTTCTGGGTCCAGGCCCGACAGAGGAGCAACTGGATGCCCATTACCGGCAGTCGCAGAAATGGGACATGTCTCAGAGTCTCGGCGGCCAGATGGGATCCAAGTACCTGTTTGATTCTTTCTGGCCGCAAACATACCGGCGGTTGAAGGAGATCATGGACAATCCTTCCACCAGACCGAGTATGATGGTTGCAGATGTCTTTGCTGATGCTGTCAAGGACATCCATGTCGAGTATGACTTTCCCATTGCCATGGTCGGGCCTACCTTTCCGTACCTGATGATGCCTTGCTCGTACATTCCGGGTGAGCCTGGCTTTCAGCTCGAGGGTACACTTACATCAGAACATGCTTCGATGTGGCTCCGTATCAAGAACGAGCTTGTTATCGTCTCGGGTCTACCGGCAATCCTGAAATGGATCCTATGGACGAAACGGATGCGGCGTCGTGACGGTGTCTATCGTCCACCACATTTGCCCAAGAAGCCTGATTACCTGGTGTTTGTCAACACATTCTTTGGCATGGAAATCCCGCGAGATGTGCCACCTCTATGTGCGGTTGTAGGACCGTTGCTGGGTGATACATATCCCCCGCTGGATGCAGACTGTTTGAGGTTCTTGTCCCAACACAAAAAGGTCATTTACATTGCCCTTGGGACGCACATTATCTTGCCAAACCAGGATGTGACCAAAATTGTCTATGGCCTTCTCCGCTTGTTCGAGGATGGCTTGATCGATGGGGTAATCTGGGCAGTCGGAGAGAGCGGCCGTCAAGATCTAGACCCCAACCAGGAATTCAAGACTTCGAAAGGCACACTGAAACTGCAGGATTTACTGAACGGTAATCACCCAGACTGGTTGTTCTCATATTTCGCCCCGCAGCGGGCGATTCTAGACCACGCGTCGACGAAGCTCTACTTCACACACGGGGGCGGATCGAGCGCCAACGAGGGTGCCTTCCACGGCAAATGCATGCTATCGATGGGCTTTTTCTTTGACCAAGTCTCTAACACGACACGCTTGGTGGCGGCCGGCGTGGCCGAGTCCCTGAACAAGTTCCAATTCACGCCCGGGGAGCTCTACACGAAGGCAAAATTAATTCTCGAAGATAAGCAAGGTACATACCACCGCAATGCACTTCGGTTAATGCGCATTGCTCGGGTGGGGGCGCGCCGGAAATACCACGCAGCGGATCTGGTCGAAGAAGTGCTGTATGATGACGAGTTGCGACACATCGACGGAAAGGTATTACTCCCGATGCATCTCCAGACAGCGGATATGCGCATGCCCGCGTTCAAGGCGAAGAACTGGGATTTGATGGCCATCTCTGCCGTGGCGTTGACCAGCTTTGCTGGTTTGGCTGGGTTTGCAGGGAGGTTGCTCTGGACTCATCGGGCATTTGTGACGAGGCCGATTCAGCCATTCCTAGCAACCCAGGGATGGTTCAATAGCATGCTAGGACGCTCATGAGTTGGAAGTTGTATGGAATGTTACTTTATTTAAAAAATGATTGTCCATGGCCATTGTGAACTAGTGAGTATATATAACATCACTAACCATAGTGTAGAGCAATCACCGTCACGAAGAGAGGCAGGGATAATACCAGAGCATCCCAATGTCCTCTGTGTTAATTATCAACCTCATCCCATTTCCTAGTGGCTGCCCCGTCCATCTCAACGCCAGCGTGTTTCCAGACTTTGCGTCTGACCATAGTACTACTATTAATGAATATATGTACATGTACGGTGTACCACGCCCTAATAACGATCTTTGAACTTCATCAAGGCCTAGATAGTAACACAGTACAACACGCTTCCATGAGTATGCTGCGGTGTCCAGGCAGGAATGGCTCACTGAGAGCTAATGAGGGGACGCTGACCACCTATTAGCTCTTCAGTATAAGACACAATGCCAGCTCGTTGACTTCTGCTAGGGAAGGGTGGCTTCCTGCACCTTGTTGGCTTTCATGGCAAATTGGATGTGGATACTACAAACTGAACAAGGCTGCAGGATTTGCGACCACCGTGAAGACAGGCTACATTCATTAACGACATAAGATGAGGCCTTACTGGCCTACAGATAATGCTCCTAGCTAAGATGTTCATGAGGTAACTCAGTTGGATCCTCAGGGATACGCGGTAAAGCATACTCATACATTGGTCAATGAAAGTCCAGCCTCGCCACTCTTCGAGGCCACTTTCCCAACAATTCAGTCATTTCTTGCTAGAATGATATGACTGGAGGAGGAGAACAGGAGGAATTTCGAGAGACAACGGCTTTGTGTACAAGGAAGGAAATAGGCGAGCCGGCAACAAACAGAACAAATACAACAAACGGGACAAATAGGACAGAGTACTCAGTTGCAGATGGGGGGGCATGGGATACTCTCCCGTCCCAGTTGTGGGCGACAGTAAAGGGCAAGAAACCGAGCAGGGAAAGAGCAAAGGAAGCCTCCAGTCAAGGTAGTCGCGTTAGTTAGCCTACAGTTTATTAGCCATATACATACTTCTAGTTGGTGGCCCGAAGGAGTTCAGTGTTTTCAAGGTAGAAGCCGTTTTTGATAGAGACTATAGTAGACAAGAAGAGTTTTCATACAACTTCTGTACTGTAAGTATCTGGATGAGTAACATCATTTTGCAAGCTCCTGTACAGCTTGATTCGGGAGCAGATGAGAAAGACGAATTATCTGCATAGGCCAATACCAGGCGTAGGCTATACTGTATAAGATGCTGTTGAATGCAAGGACACTAATTACTGGAAAGATGGGTGGAGGCAGTATACCTGCAGCTATGCCTGGCATTGATTTATGCTTAAGGTATGCTCAGAACATGCTCAAATATACTCAGTGAGCAAAAGGTGCCAAGTCCCGAGCATTAAAACGGAAAGGGAAATGAGTCTACAGATGCATATAGTTAAGCTTGAAGTCATTGTAGAACGTAATATTTTTGGTGATTGAACCTGATGGCTGGTTTGCTTAATGCTTCTTAGGGTTGATGAGCACCTACTTATATGTAAAAGTTCAAGAAGCACTACAATTAAACTTTTGGGAATTGCTCTCATTAGGAAAGGCATAGGGAACTAGACATTTACTCGAGAATAAGCATATTTGAGTCGGAATCATCCATTGAGCTTTATGTACCAAATTAAATCACAGGCCATGTTTCATTTCTAACCTCCAGCCGATCTGTCTTTACTTCATTACGGATCGTTTTTCTTGGTTTAGTAGTCGTTGTTATCCCTGTTCTTCGAATGCAGGAAGTCTGGAATCAAGGTTCATCAGTACAATGCTTCTCCAAGCCGGACTCAAGGACGTTCAGAGCAACTGCTTACCTTGGGCCTTGTTTAGAATACCTCCCAGTCCGCTGCTCTGGTTGGATCCAGAGTTGCCATAGCTGGAGTCATTTCCGCTGCTGCCATAGGAGTCGTTGTTGTTTCCACCATAGCCGCTGCTCCCGCTACCCCCGTAGGAGTCATTCTTGCTTCCATAAGAGTCATTGCCTGAGCTACCTCCGTAGGAGTCATCGTTCCCGCTGCTGCCGTAGGAGTCGTTGTTGTTCTTGCTTCCATAGGAGTCGTTTCCACTGCTGCCGTAGGAAGAGTTGTTGTTGTCTCCGTAAGAGTCACTGCTTCCGTAGGAGTCATTCTTCTTGGAACGACCGCTTCCGTAGGAGTCGTCGTTATCGTTGCTACCGTAGGAAGAGTTGTTGTTCCCACCGTAGGAGCTGTCGTTGTTGCCTCCGTAGGAGTCATTGTTGTTCTTGCTTCCATAGGAGTCGTTTCCACTGCTGCCGTAGGAAGAGTTGTTGTTGTCTCCGTAAGAGTCACTGCTTCCGTAGGAGTCATTCTTCTTGGAACGGCCGCTTCCGTAGGAGTCGTCGTTATCGTTGCTACCGTAGGAAGAGTTGTTGTTCCCACCGTAGGAACTGTCGTTGTTACCTCCGTAGGAGTCGTTCTTGTTGGAACGACCACTTCCGTAAGAGTCGTCGTTCCCACTGTTGCCGTAGGATGAGTTGTTGTTTCCTCCGTAAGAGTCGCTGTTTCCATAGGAGTCATTGCCACCGAAGGAAGAATTGTTGTTACCTCCGTAGCTAGAATCGTTTCCGGATCCGCCGAAGCCGCTGTTGTTGCCGCGGCTTCCTCCGTAGGAGTCTCCTCCATAGGAGTCATCGCCGTATCCGCGAGAAGACCGATCGTTATCGTAGGACATCTTGGAGGTGTTGGATGTGTTCAGGTAATCTGTACACAGCTTCGAGGAAGGAGTTGTCAGAAGAAGGGGTATCTTAGATTGTGAAGTGGATGAGAAACTGGAAAGCACAACCCACAGGCGAGGGAATCGTCCCGTATTTATAAGGTCAGGATGAAGCTCAGCCGTTCCTACCCCTCATTGTGTCCCACTCTCTCTTCACAATACAGAGTCCCTTAGCTTGCGTTGAATACGAATTATGCCATTCTGTGGAGACGGCGCAAACAGAGCACACTGCATAACCCCTCACCTGCGTCACCGAGGTCCCCGAGTGCAGCGGTGGATGGCACTATGAGGGACTGCCATAGGTCCGATTCAAACCCCACTAGGATCTCGACTTTCACCTCGTCTCGAGATCGGCCAGCACTAAGTATAGATCTGTGAAGATCGCGCGTATCTTCATGCAGCTCAATGTTCAGCTGCACTCACGGGACCAATGTGCTTCCATGGTATCGGATAGTAGACAAGTTGAGAATCGGATTGCTGGCAGACAAGCCATTGGCCCATATCGGCGAAGTGGGATGACTTCAACATGGGAGAAGTGGACGGGCGTCGATAGTTCGACGGAAAGTTCGAGTCTATGATGGCCGTCATCAGCCACGGCGGGGTCAATGACGTACCAGCCACAGCACGGCGACGTTCATTGCACGCGGCGATCCAAAGCTGAAAACAAGCTGAAAAACAAGCCCCTGGAAACAGCGCAGTAGTACGAAGTGTGTGTCCTTTCGCGTGCGCGATTTTGTTGTGCCATTTCCGATTAGGGTTAGCGCTAGATACGGTGGATGGTGTTCAGCACAGCCACATCTATAACGCCATACACAGCCACCACCATCTTCTCTTAGTATCTCGTAGTCACTATTTACAACGTCGCTATAGCTAGAGCTAGTTACTCTATCAACAAAACTAGCAAGAATAGTCATGACTGACGTTATCATTATTAATCATTATGGCCCCCTGAATCCCATTGAAAATATCCGAAAATAGGCCTGTCGTACCCGCAGGCACTGTTAGGACGACGATCCCAAGGATCCACCGCTTCTTCCAGATTCTCGTCGGAAAAATAATAATTATGCAAGATCAAGCTGCTCAGCGCTCAGTGCTCACTAATAGTCATATCCGATCTGAAATGCAAGCTTCATGCATGCTGTCCTCCAGCAGATGATCAGCCTTACATGTCTCTCGAGCACGACCTCCGACAACCTCACTGCATTGTTGGTGTTGATCAACCCCTCCTTGCCGCGGAATGACCGTGGAACATTCCTTGGGAACCTATCTCTCGCCGACTATGGTTCCGGCTCCCCGCTGTTCTGCATTTTCTCTGGTTGAGCTTCGGGTCTGAAGCTTATCCATACAGCATGAACGTGAGCTCCTTGAGCAGAGATGCGGTGAACATTGATCGAGCTCTCCGGGCTGCTACACACTAACCCATCTATCGGAAACCCTTGGCTACAACGCAGAATTACGCTGGGCTGGGATTTCATGATGCCAGGATATGCATATCGGACACCGGCTTAACGCCTCTTTTATCCTTGATAGACTTGGGAATACGATTCTATCCATGGAGTATACCGGAGGAGATTAAGGGGTCTTATCATTCTGTATGGTGCGTGGATTCATGATGTAAAGAGGGTATCAGGGGCGGATGGTCATCGATTTGGTAACTAAAGAAAAGGTACCTGTACCTTAGATTGATCAGTCGCCAGATGCTTCGACATTATGGACATCTTCATCGACGTTCAGTACTTGGGCTCCCGTATATGCTCTGTACACGGAATGATTCTGAGATTGCACCATCCCTACAACCTCACGCATCATTGTTCCACTCAAACATCCAGGGATGATACCAAAACACCGGGGACCCTTATCATTGTGTGATATGTTTGATTAAAACTCTCGGCATCAGCGATAACCCACCAAAACGGCAAAGTCACCCCGCGCCATTGCTGGCAATACTGCTGATCCGCCGGCTATCCGTTAGAATGAGGTGGCATCCAAGACATCAGGGAATCACAATTTATGATCATTCAGGATATACAATGTTCAACGCAGATGGCCCCAGCTCAATCCTATTTATCGATAAGTAAGTTTGTTTCCCCCCTTTTCACGTTGCTCCGGCTTGATTTATTCTTGACCTCGGCTTCCCAGCTTCGTCTGTTCCACTGCACCCGTTTGGATCGATCTGTAGTAGGATCTCTGGTATTCTGAAAGAGACGAGCATTATGCGGCTCTTTCGTGCTCTGGGTGCGGCCGTTTCGCTGGCGTGCGCCGCGAACGCGGTGTCCGAACCTATCCTCCACGATAAACGGTCGTTTGTCGAACGCGATGGAGTCAATTATACGGTCTTCGAGCACGCGGCAACCGGTGCACGGTTGGAATTCGTTAAGAATTCGGGTATCTGTGAAACGACGCCCGGGGTTAATCAGTATTCCGGGTACTTGTCTGTTGGGACGAATATGAACATGTGGTTCTGGTACGGTCCTGCATCGTGCTCCGTAACATCGCTTGCCTCTGCTGACAGTTATTGTTGTCGCCTAGGTTCTTCGAATCGCGTAGCAACCCTTCTACGGACCCGCTGGTCGCTTGGTTCAATGGCGGCCCTGGCTGTTCGTCGATGATCGGTCTGTTTCAGGAGAACGGGCCGTGCCGTTTCGTCAATAACGAGACCACTCCGTCATTGAACCCATATAGCTTTAATGAAGTTGCGAACGTCGTGTATATTGATCAGCCCATTGGAGTTGGTTTCTCCTACGGCACCGATACTGTGACGAGTACGGATTCGGCGGCTCCGTATGTGTGGAAGCTGCTGCAGGCGTTCTTCACACGGTTCCCGGAGTATGAGAGTCGGGAGTTCGCCATCTTTACCGAGGTATATCACCCGTGGAAATCGGTTCTGTTTAATTCTATCATATGTATTGGTCATTTCTAACCGCATTTGGCAGTCGTATGGTGGGCACTACGGTCCAGAATTTGCACACTACATCCAGCAGCAGAATGAGGGCATCAAAAGGGGCTTGGTCAAGGGCGAAGAGATCAACCTGGTTGCGCTGGGCATCAACAACGGCTGGTTCGATTCGGGCATCCAGGAGAAGGCCTACGCCGATTTCGCCTACAACAATAACTATCGGAGACTGATCAACGAGTCGCAGTACGAGTCGTTCCTCGCGGCATACTATACCAAATGTTTACCGGCAGTTCAATTGTGCAATCTCCTGCGCACCAACGAGGCGTGCGAGAACGCGGATAACATTTGCGGAAGCAATATCGACAACCCGATCAGCGAAGCGGCCGACTTTGATGTCTATGATGTTCGCTCGCCTGCTGAAGATCCGAACCCGCCCAGCACATATTCATCCTACCTGCAGCAGGAGGGGGTGGTGAAAGCCATTGGTGCGAGGGTACAGTACCAGGAATGTCCTGATGCTCCTTACGATAAATTCAGCAAGACGGGAGACAGTATGTTCCCTCTCCCCTTTTCCTCGGGAACTATATGTCCTCTTCTAACCATGCTGACTTTATTCCGTTAGACTCCCGTACCTTCTTGCCGACTCTTTCACAAGTTGTGCGAACCGGTATCCAGGTGCTCATCTGGGCGGGCGACGCAGACTGGATCTGCAACTGGCTCGGCGTGCAAGATGTTGTTAACGCCGTTGCGTTCCCCGGTACGCTAGAATTCCGCAGAAAACCGTTAGTCCCGTACACGGTCGGCGGAGAGGCGAAGGGTACCTTTAAGGCTGTGGACAATCTCAGCTTCCTAAGAGTGTTCGAAGCGGGCCATGAAGTTCCATTTTACCGTACGTTTTGACCCATCCCTTGGTCAGAGCATGCCGCTAACGGATCGTAGAACCGGAGCTTTCTCTGCAGGTGTTCAACCAGACACTCAGCAAGAAGGCAATTTTCTCTACTTGAGATGCATGCCCCGTTTCAGACGGTAGAATGTTGGGAGAGACTGTACGTACACTGTATGAAAACTCTATGTACATAGTAGAGTCGCAATGGTGATAAGGTAGCGATGGTACCGTTGTATCGAACAATCCAAGCAGCTAATACTAATGTCTTGGCGCTGCCGTGAACCATGGATGCTTGGCGCCCCGATAGATAATATCCCGGTGTCCTACGGACTACGGCGTAATAAGGATAAACAGAAGATGGAAGGAAACTGCTATCGATCGTATCGCGGCTGGCGCTTACCTGATCGGGCCTAGAGGCACGCCACGGTGAGAAGTCAATCCTTCAAACTTAATCAACATCTGCCCCTGCAGTTGCAGTTTCTCGCGTGTCCCTGAATGATTCCGAATAGGACATATATATCATGAGAGCAACAGCAGATGTCTGCTGTGCTTTATCATCTCTCTGCAAACTGCAGACGTCCGAGAACAACGTAAAGATCGGCGATGGATCCTGCAAAACGTGGTAGCGATTGCCGGATGTGGCGTAGCGCCAGTTAGCCGCGCTAATCCTAAAACGGCGAAGCGGGACGAGACTGGGCCAATAATATGATGCGGCTGGGTCAGCTGACAGCGCTTGGCGCCTGGTTGACGCAGGCGCGAAGCTCTGCGGGCGATTAATTTCACTTGCGCTGCTTGACGACGATGATTATTGCTTGTGATTATTATTATTGCTGGGAACATCGACCCCGGACCCGAAATGAAATGAAACCTGCAGGATTTGCAGTCTCTCCGCTGCAGGCCCTACGCGCTTCTGCCTCCGTCGCTCCTTCTCTCCGTCGCTCCTTCTCCCCTTCCTGCATTTGCATTTGCCACCTTTCTGGCTCTCGTCCTGCCTACATATTCAGCGCTTCTTCTCGCTGCCTCGTTCTCTCATCCAGATACACCAACAAGACACCAAGCTTTGCCTTATCCTCTCCCGCATACACTGATTGGGCGCCTTATCCCGCGAACTGCCTGAGCACACCCTTCGATCCCCACGCTGCAAACGGGTTTGCATACCCTCTTCATCCTCTATCGCGCTTCAACAGCGAATTCATAACCAGACTTGCCGGCGGGAGGAGCGAATAGGGCAGTCAGGAAGTCCACGCTGCAGAGTTATCGTCGTTCGATGATTGAGCAGGGTTCCTCCCAACCGACCGACGGGTCAGGACCTCCCGCCAATCGAACCTCTTCATCTCTCCACGCCGACTCGTCCGCATGCAGCGACAATGACGCCTCCAACGTCTGCCCGGATCCCGGACAAAGGCGCTTCGCGTCGTCCATTCAACAACCATCATGCCTCCCGATCCTGGTCCATGGTGCGGCTCGCCCGCTAGCTTCGTCCCAACCTCCTCCGTCGCTGCATATCCGCACCGATTTCTCCGCCGACCCCGCTGACTCCGCCATGGCCGGGGAATCCGCTGATTCCTGTGTTCATCATAGCCTGTCTACCGCTAGCATCCCGAGACGCACTCCCAGTGTTCGTGCTGGCGCTTTGTCTCCTGCGTCCGCTTTCCCATCGCCTCAGCTGGCGGCCATGGGCGACATAACGCCCTTGCCGTCTCCCATCGTTGGTCCGACCCTGTCTTGGAAGCTGGATCCGCGCGAGTCCCTGTCACGATCGAGAACACCTTCTGCGGCTTCCAACCTGAGCTGGAAAGCCAGCGAGTCCTCTCAACCGCCAGCATCGATCAACAGGTCACGCTCCAAGCAATATCCAGGGTTGAGCGCGCTGGAAGAGGGAGCTCCTAAACCGGTGAGGAAACACGGTCTCGTCTCTTCGTCTTCTCCGATACAGCACACCAGGAACCGGAGTCTGAGCGACTATGTCCCCCCTCCGCAGGGTGTTTACCTCCTGCCTCGTCCCGTTGCCGTCTCGGGAACAAGCCATGCGCCTCCAAGTACTGACTCCAAGTCCAACATCCTGCATCGTGAGAACTACCTAGCCGTGGATCGAGGCATTGTACTGCCTACGGTTCGCCCGCCGACCCCGCCGCGCAGTTCCGGTGGTGAGCACACTGGTCCCAACGATCAGCCGGTCCTGGCGAATATTTCGTACGAAGATGTCCCTCATGAGATATATTTCGTCCGATCTATTCGGACACAACAGCTTCGGAAATACCGCAAGCTCCGGGAACTGGGCCATGGGACGTTCAGCCAAGTAAGTCTGGCGGTGCGCGTGGAGACGGGCAACGGTGATGGGATCCGTCGTTACTCCAGTTTGCACGGCGCAACATCTGCGTCCCAGAAGCTGGTTGCGGTCAAGATCGTTGAGTATGGTCCGGCTGGTGGAGCCGACGAGGACCGCGTTGAGGTTTCACTCAAACGGGAAGTGGATATCCTGAAGTCGATCAACCATCCGTCTCTGGTGCAGCTGAAAGCGTTTGGTAGCGATGAGAAACGTGCATTGCTTGTTCTTGACTACTGTCCCGGAGGTGACTTGTTCGACTTCGTTTCCTCTCCCATGAACAGCCTGGCCCCCAAGCTTATCCGGCGTATTTTTGCGGAACTGGTCGACGCCGTGCGTTATCTACACCGGAATTTCATCGTGCATCGGGACATCAAGCTAGAAAGTGAGTGTATTCTTTGCTAAGATAATTTTGAACGACTCGCTGATTTTCGTAGATGTCCTGGTGAACATGCCCGCTTCGACAATGGAATCTATTACCGATTGGGAAACCTATGATCGGGCCGTGGTGACCCTGACTGACTTGGGCCTCTCGCGACGTATTCCGGAGCCCCCAGAAAGCCCCCTTCTTCACACGCGATGCGGAAGCGAGGACTACGCGGCACCGGAGATTCTCATAGGACAGCCCTACGACGGGCGGTCGACCGACGCTTGGGCACTGGGCGTGCTTCTCTACGCCATGATGGAAGGTCGACTGCCATTCGACGCCCTGCCTGGCACTCGAGGCGACCCGGCCAAGCTTCGTGCACGAACACCACACCGCATTGCGCGATGCGAATGGTCGTGGTACCGGTATGCTGACAGTGATGGGGAGTGGGACCCCGTGAAAGGCAGGGACCTCGAGGGCGCACGCGAGTGCGTGGAGGCGCTTCTGAAGAGGAATACGAGGCGAAAGACCCTGGACGAGATTTCCACCTTTACCTGGATTAGGGATGCGATTAATGCGCCCGATGGATTAAAGAGAGGGGATAAAGAGGTGCCGTAGAGCTGGTCTCTATTATTGGCTTCTGGTTGTTACGTGATGGCATTCGTTTCTTCCGAGTCGGCTTATATCTTACGTGTTTGCTGCACGGCTCGTTCTCTTCCTCTATTAATATTTTACGCATTGGCCCGTGGCTGTATCATTATTCTGGCATTATGACTTCGATGTCTCCCCTTACCCTTCGAATACTCTGAGCTGGAGCGTCCATGCACGTGTGCTCTGCTCTTCATTTTTCTTCAGTTTCCATTATTACCCCCATGTTCGTCATGGACGCTGTGCACGTTTCTATTCTCCTTTTATTCCTAAAATATTTCTTACCTATTCGTGCTCGAGCCGGTGGTTTTGCCACTGTAGGCTGAAGTCATTATTAAGGCAGAGGATACCTAGAAGTAAAAATAGCCGGCCGATTGGCCGTGTGTTGCAACAGACATGGGAACATTCCTCCTCAACACCTACGTAGCAAGATAGCCAGCTTTGCCGCTCTAGCCATCGACTCACTCCGACAGGCTTCGAAAACAGGGACAGCGATGGGTCCCTGCATCCGGGTACCTATTATTGGCCCTCTCCCGGGCAAAATAGAAAGGGCATTTGCTCAATGTGAACCCGTGCTGTCCGAAAGGCTTCTGTCCCCATAATCATCATCATCACCAGTCCCTCAGAATTCTAGACGAATTCGGCAACGCATAGGGAAATGCCCCACGGACACCCGGAGCCTCCCTTGCCGGCAGCCACTCTCTCCCAACTTGAAAATATCCATATGTCATTGGCATCCGGAAACGGACATGTTGTGTCATGCATGCGGGATCTGCCGGACCCTGCGTTAGGGTGTATTATACTATATCCTAATGCTACCTAGGTATATGCTATATGCAGGAGGATCGTGCATGTAACCGGGCTGGTGGGTGGATTTACTAATTTACAGCACTCTACATAATAAGAAGTAGGGAGGAGATTCGTCTATTTGCTCTATAGCCTCTGAGCGATGATATTCACGTCGAATGCGCAGGTGAAGAGTCGGAAGAGTGCGAGTCCGACTCCTCATTCTTATTCTGATTCTTCTGATCATCATCACCATCATAATCACCATGATGACCATTCGCATGGGTCTTCCCGGAGAGATACGGCTGCTCTCGAGGACTCGCGCCATCCGCGACGGTCGGGGGATTGTCATGATGAGAAGCAGAGGAAGTATGCCGATGGTGACCGTGACTATCATGCGTACGGATGTGAATATAGGTATTCGATGAACGAGCCGAGTCCTCATCGTCGAGCTCAGCAGTCCGGACTGTCCGGACAGTATGGCTACGATGATGGAAAATCGGGCCCCCCAGTCCATGCAACATACCACCAGCACTCTCCGTATAGACACAAGCATCGACATCAGAAGAACCCGAATACTACGTACCCATCCTGGAAATCATCACAGTCGCAGCCTTGGTTCGCGGGGTCTATATCTGCACCGTACACGGATCGATCGCGACCAGTTCCCCCAAATACAACGACAACAACAACTACAACCACCACAACGACGACGACTACAACTACGACTGCTGGACCGTCGGCTTCGGACATTCAGCTGGATTTCTGGGGACAGGCATGGGATTATTCCTGTTTCAAGGGGGAGGTGGTGGGTAGGTACCAGATGACACATGAGCAGGAACGTATTTGGGAGAGGTTTGAGAGGATACTGGAGTTACTGGGCGGTGGTTACGTGGATGAGGATGGTGTCAGCGATGAAGATGGTGAGTCTCCTTTTTATTCATGGCTTTTATTTGTCTTTTCGTCTAACAGCTCAGTTTCCGATGCCCATCAAGGAGAGAGAAGACGGCTGCGGCATCGAGAAGCCAGGAATAGAGAGCAGGATAAGAACAGGTCTAGCAAGTTACTGGCTCGGAGGGCGAATTATTTCAGAAAGGTATATTCATATTCCAATTCGAGGTTATCTTTTTCTTTACCTCCGTTGAAATTGTAAGTCAGTTATCTATCTGTTTGATTTACAGCAAACCCTAACGAGCAACCCAGATACCTCCCAACCTACCCCCTTCTCTGCCTCGCAGCACAATACTCCAGATTAGTCTACGACAAGCACGAATCCTCTCCAAACTACATCTCCCCAGACTGGCGCACCGGCACAAAAGCCACAGTCATCCAATCCGTCCCCCTAGACGACGTCCAGACCATCGTCCTCGCCATCCGCGGCACCCAAACCATCCGGGACTGGACGATAAACCTGCGCACCGGCCCCAAAAGCCCCCGGGAGTTTCTCGACGACCCGTCTAATCTATGCCACTCGGGATTTCTATCAGTCGCGAAGAAAATGGTCCGTCCCGTCGCGGCACGACTGAGAGCTCTCCTCGAAGAACGTCCAGGTCGCGCATCCTACTCTCTCCTTCTAACGGGCCACTCGGCTGGAGGTGCCGTAGCAAGTCTGCTGTACTGCCACATGCTCTCTGAAAGAGATGAAGCAGCCTCCGAACTAACACATCTCCGAGCCTTCTTCAAACGCATCCACTGCATCACGTTCGGCGCTCCGCCTATATCCATCAAGCCGCTACAGAAACCCGCCAGAACGCAGTATAGGAAGTTCGTCTTTTTCTCGTTTATTAACGAGGGAGATCCTGTTCCACGCGCGGAAAAGACGTACGTTCGCTCATTGCTGGATTTGTACCTGTCCCCTCTACCGGCGCCAGCCAGTCAACAACAACGACCAGGTAAGGATAAACACAAAACGAAAATGATCTGGCCAATCCCACTCCCGACCCTCTCACCGGCCGGACGACTGGTCCTTCTCCGCGCGCGGGAGATGGAGCGAACCGCAGGTCTAGGGATTCGCGGTGCTCTATCCACTCACGCCCGACAGAGCATCGAGTCAGCCGTGAATAGGGAGGAAGATGTCGAGGCGTACGGGGTTACCAATGGACAGTTGCAGGATGCGGTTTTTGGGGATCCGTTGATGCATGTTATGGATTTGTATGCGAGGCGGATTGAGATTTTAGCGGTTGCTGCTGTTACTGTCCGGGTTTGAGGGTTTGAGCATTATGGGCTGGTTTATGATCGCGGAATATTGCATAGCGTGTGTTCTATACCTGGTTTGTTTGTATTTATCTGCGTGTATAGCTCTTCTAATGTACTATGCATTCCACTAGGTATTGTATGTAGTCTATTGTCCAGAATCTCCAGCTCCAGGTCAGTACCGTACGATTAGCGCGGGGAGTCCAAAGGCAAGAATAGGACTGGAGATCTAGTGGAAATATCTCATCAGCTAACATTGTCTCAAGACCAACCCTGGAAATTTCCGATATCAAAAATGGATGTTCTTGGCCCTTGCTGCCAGTGTACTGGATGCGCAGGGCTTAGTTTCTGTGCAATATGGACCAGATGCCTAATCCCTGACGATGCCCCCAAATTTGCACATGTGAAGCAACGTAGTTCCAATGATCCATCCATTATTAAGCTCAAACACTTACTGTAAAAAACGACACGACACATGGTATGATCGTCGACGAAAACCTGCTTTCCCACGCTTCGCCGGCTAGGGCTCGGAAGTCGGGAAGTTTATTCAACAGTTTATGCACGTACTTTACTTCCCTACTGCACCACTGTCGACGTCAGAACTCAGCATGTGATGCGATTAAGCTGTTCTGGAACTGGCCCCATACATGGAATCCTGTTTGGGGCATAAGCTTGTTATTTTGATTCTTTTCGTTGATGCGTTGAAGTTAAGTTACACTGGTCCGTGTGCCGAGGTTAGGGTTGTTGCAGGCATGTTACCATATGCGGATATCATTATCAACTGCTGCATCCCTGTTTCCTCGTGGTGAGGTGCGTTTTCTAGCAGAATCCATGGTACTAGTAATTAGTCAACTGATAGATCTCTATCGCACCCACTGCCGTGCCAGGTTTTGAACTCCGTTCGGATCTTCTGTAGTTATATCGTGGCTGGATACCAGTTCCGATAGGATGGTCTGTTCTCAGCATGGCCTTCTTTCGTTTATTACTAATTAAGAACAATCCTGGTGAATTGAGTAATGTTCGGCATCACCAGATGATGCATTGGGCTCAGCTCATGGCATAATATCCCCCTGTTTGTGTTGACCTCGGCTCGAGCAAAAGTGGTAGGTATCTCGCAAGTTTCCCTGGTTCGATTGTCCTGCAGTCATCTATGGAAACTGAGACCGGCTCGGTTGAGTGATCCTCGGATCAAACCTCATAACCTTCTTTGGCAACAGACCTAAGCCTCAAGTCCGGCTCCATCTCTGTGCTGTCCAGTCCATCAAGAGGCACTGAAAGTAGAACTGGGGAGAGCACCCACCTGCGCTCGCGGTGGACAGGGGTTACAGCCCTGTCCATGGGGATAGACCTGGAACTGTGACCGGGGTTTCCCTGGTTCCGGCTGCGAAGAAGCTAGGGGGTGGGCAAAGGCGTCCCAGCTACCGCAAGGAGTGTCCGGCGGTGGCAGAGGGGGCCCTCGATTGAGGGAGCCCTAATAGAAATGTAGTGTGGCGCCCATGAGCAAACCACGTCTCATCCATGTTCGTAATTCACCGGCCGTAGTTGCATTGAATCCACAGGCTCTTGTGCTCCATGCTTTATGCTCCAGTGGGAATACTGTCTCGGTTGTTGATGTCGACGTGGAGGCCGACCAGGATACACCGTGGGAGATGATGCAGTGGAACCCGGAGTGGGACAAGACATGTGGCTCAATGCCGTTCTGTCGTAAGGAGCAATTTCTATTCCAGTATATGCAGATTTCATCAAACCTTTCGTAGTCTTCATTCAGAGATGCAGTTCGGAGGACTATATCGAGGTATGGCCGAGGTTCTTCCTAGATAGGGTTAGCACTGATTAATCAGCAATCTTTGGATGGCACGACTTGGGTAGACAGTAGAGTTTTCCACCACAGGGCTAATCGGAAAATACAATGGGACTGACCCATCGACATGGTATAACGCCGTCGACACATTTACGGAGAACAGGATATTAACGTGTGTAAGGACAATCTGCGCCATGCTTCGGCCTACCCTGCGGTTTCTCGGGAAACTCTGGAGATCCCGGCTCGTGAAATGGGTCCTACGCCTTGTGATCTTCTTGACGTTGCTGGAACTGTGCCTCGATTCTCTAGCTTTCTTCGGTGTAATAGACCTGGAGAGCTGGCTTGAGAATCTCGAGATAGACGATGACCTTCCGTACGATGCTAATCGGGCCGGTACCAACCCCTACCGAGATCTGCCCGCTAACCAAGCAGTCCTCGATACGATCAAAGAAGGTAGACTACCCGTCCAAGGACGTGTCTAGAATGGCAAGCTGATATCCACCAGTCGCGTACATCTCGGACATTCTAAGAGATACGTTTCTTCCGACATCTTTGCCGGATGATGACTACGCCCTGTGCTCTAGCTACCTACGAAGTCTTGAGACGCGCACTGACATCTCATGGCTCATCCTGGAAGAGACGGGTATTGATCAAACAGTCTCCGCCATATCCAACCGTGGGTCGCGGAGAAAGCCTATTCCAGATGAGCCCTTTTCACTACACGAGCGCTTCAAGGAGCTGGACCGGCACTGGCAGGCTCTTCAGCTCGGTCCGGGAAGGCCGGAGAGGTGGGAGAAGTGGTTCGACGAAACGTATCTTCCCCCACTGCTCAAATCAAAGCCATTGGAAGGCACGCAGGACAGCGAGCCGTTCCGAATTCAGTTCACCCCTGAGCAACAGGCTGATGCAGACGCCCAGTTTGCTAAATATCTCAAAGACCGGGAGCGGAAAGTATCGTATTTCAAGGTCCATCCGCCGAGACCGTTAGGCTTCGCCCCGGTGTCGAGTGGTGATAATGATGATGGAAGGTTGCGTCGTGCCTGGGGGACTCTTTTCTCAGACGGTGTTATAGAAGCGGGACGGTCGATTTCATCAGGCTTGTTTACCCAAAACCCGACTTTTAGGCCTATTTATGGATCTTTAGCGACGGAATTGGTTCCGTTTGGCTGGGTCAGTCCTGCAGAGAAAGATAAGCCAGCAAAGAGTGACGAAGATCGCGAGAGAGAAATAGATGAGATACTAGCTAAGATGGACAAACGGGAAGAAGAAAGAGCTCGCCGGGAGGAGTTTCAGCAGTGGTTGGTTAAGGAGAATGAACGGAAAGAGAAGGAAAGGGCAAATGCTGAGGGACGTTCTCTTAACGATGAACTCTGAGGATCAAAGACGTATATTCATCTTCAGGTCTTTATATTTAGAAGAGTATCCGAAACAAGCGATTGGTATTATGCAAAATGCCTCTTATCACTAACTTGCAGCAGGTGGTGATGGGCCTTGCTGAGGTCCTCAAAACGTTTCAAGAGCTTCTTGATGGTCCAGATAGCAGGAAACTATCAACTTCAGGGGCATTGGTCACCCATATCCCCAACTGTTATTCATTGCTGGATACCTTGAAGAAGGATATTAGTCTAGGGCGGAGGCAGAAGGCATGGAAGAAACTTCACCTTCAGTCTCTGATATGGCCGCCGAAACATGAGGATGTGGAAGGACTAAGGGGACTTGAGAGATATAAATCACTGTTTTTGGATGCCCTGTAAATTGATCAAATGTATGGATCTGGATTTTGCGCTGTTCTTCCTCAGCAGCTAACATTTCATATAGGACAACCCTTGGCAAAGTTGACCGAAATATCATCCTAGAAAAGCTGCCAACTGCGCATGATGCAGTGTTCTTCAACTCATACACAGCGACAGGACATACCCGGCTTCCAACAGATCAACAGATGTTGATGGGGCTGCACTCGCCGAGTTGGTTGATCTGGCTAGAAGACCCTGAGAAGGGAAGTTATGTGAGGCCGCGAATATCGCAGCCTAAAGGATCAGGCTGCCAACCAGCCGCCAAACAAGATCACGTGTACGTCACATTTGTACGAAGTGACCCCCCACGTTCGAACGGCACGACTCCTTCGTGGTGGCTGCTGGTAGGATGGAAATGGCCCTTACACGGTTTGCTAGGGAATCACTGGTGCTTTGAAAGATGGGTTCGGGCAGATGGGAGACGATCAGCTTGACCTCTCCCTGGTGGGGTCTAGTGAGGGTCTAGTGAGGATCCAATGCTCGAAGGCTTCGGCGTGTTGGGTAGGCATTGGGCCAGCTCGGCGCTTAGAGCTTCGCCGGCTTTTCGCGGCCGTGACAAAGGGAAAGTCTCTGTGATGATAGAATAGAAAGTCTGTATAGTATCATATGTACATGACATCTGGAAAACATGTTAGACTAACAGGGATGTTGGTAGATTTCTTCGCCTTGAATGACCATATAGGAGCAATGACCACTGTGGCTAGAATAATGAATTCTGGGCAATTAGTAGAGGAATATTGTAGGACCTATGGCAAACAGGGACTATACAAGAGCTTCCGCTCTATAGAATCTAGTCACTCGTTAAAAATATACATAAGAAATATACCCAAAAAAAGAAAGAAAGAAGACTATGGCTGTGGATTATACCAAACTGGCAACACCTGAGAGCACCTCTCCGACTGATCCTCGGGGACAGTCTCCATATGAGTATCATTAGTCCTAATAAAAAGCCGACTATAATTAGACCCCCAAGGATCCCACTGCGGCGACCCCGGAGCACGGTATGTATTTGGGTTAAAGTCCCGAATGAAGCTGGTCCAGTATCCCTGCATGAGTGGCACAATGGGCGCATTGACGGTGCTATACGAGGCTGGTGAGGTCGTACTAAGATATCCCGGTCCCCAGATCGCGTTGATCTCAATTGTATGGATAGTTCCCATGCCGCTCTGGTTAGCCGGTGGATCTATAACGGCGTAGTGGTAGTTCCAGTTCGACTGGGCTGTTGTAGGATCAGAATTATACGCTGATGAGTATGTAATGCCCGCGCAGATGTACTTGATCTCGCCAAATGCGTTTGACGCGCCTTGCCAGTACTGGCCTGCGTCTGGGTAGACGGGGTCATCGGGGTGGGCCATGTAGATAGAGTTGATTTGGGCGATTTGAGAGTCATTGATGGATTGGATGTTGGATCTGAGGAAGTTATCTGCATCTTGGACTGTGTTTGTTGATTTGTGCACGAACATGGTGCCTTCATTCGTGTCGTCACCAAAGATGACGGGGATCTTCATGAATTTGCCCTGTTGGATCAGGTTCTGCGTGTAGTCTGGTACCAGGTCGCCGTCGATGGTGGGCAGGTAGGAGTTTCCTGGGTTTATGGGCGTGTCAGGGTCATGATAGCCTTTGTTGGCCTTCTGTAGAGTGTTGACATCCAGTCTCCGCAGACAGTCGATGGGGTCGAATTCTGTTGCACAGCCGGTCTTGTTGACAAGCTCATCATATGCGTAAGCATTGTCGAAGATGTTCCTCTCATTTCCAAAGGAGGAGGACTCGGCCGCTGCAGCGTGGAAAAGATTGTCCAGTGTGCCATCAGCACCATACGCAGTGAGGAGCAGACTGACAACATATGCTCCAGCACTGTCTCCTCCGATCGTGACATGATTGGGATCGCCGCCGAACTGGGTATAATCAGCCTTTCGAAGAGAAAGCTGGAAACAGCGAGGAATCATACCGCAGAAATATGCTGGTTCACCCATCGCAAACCCTGAATAATATCCTTCAACCCATTATTGAGACCGGCACCATTCTCAACGACCTCAGGCGCAGCAAGAAACCCATACGGTCCAACGCGATAATTGATGCTGACGACAACAATATTGTTCCCAGATGCTTCAACTAACCCGCTGCCATTATAGTTCGGATTCGAATTGGCATTGAAGGCGCCTCCCTGGATGAAGAAGTAGACAGGCAGATTGGAGCCATTCGTAGGCGCAAACACATCGACCATTAAACAGTCCTCGCCATGCGTCGATGAGATGGGATACACGCCAGTAGCGATGCAAAGGGGGCCGAACTGGGCAGGGTTGTTAGAGGGGACAGAAGAGGCTTGGGTAGTAGACATAGACGTACTTCAGTCGCATTCACGATCCCTTCCTGCACAGGAGGATCCTGAGGCTCTGCAAAACGAAGGTTTCCCAGGGGAGCAGCAGCATATCGCATCCCCAGCCAGTACGAGATGCCATTGTCCTGCACAACGCCGCGGTAGTTCGCATAGCCCAGATTCTTGACGTTTCCCTGAACCTGGCCCTGGACCAGCACCGGGGCCAGAAGAAGTGTGAACAACGCCGTCACAAGAGGAAGTATCTTCGCCATGTCCTACCTGTACTACAGGTTAGGTGTTTACTATTATTATCGATCGTCCACCCTTTGATTCCAAAGGGGGACAGACAAAGACGGTTGTTGTTTCCTTTTTACTCTGTACAAGCTCCCTCCATGTGTTCTTAGAGAGCATCTATCACGGAGTCCGCCATGCTCGAGAAGACAATCGAATTGAATGCTACGTCGCTTGCAGAATAGTACATACCTCCACAGGGACACGGAAATTGTCCGGGTTGAAAAACGAATCAGAGTGCTGTTTCTGCAGGTTCCTGTCGATCATCGTACCGTTGTCATCTCAGATCTTGCAATCATGCATTGTCCTTGGGAATACAATTAGAATTTCCGCTGCTGCGGTGGCCCAATCGCACTAGAATGCTTGTCTGGCCTTATTTTGTAACTGGTTTCATGTTGTCGGGCTGAACAAGTGGCCTTGGGCGAACCTTGGAGACTTGGCGAGATTTTAACGTTGCATTGTGTGTGTTTCGAATTATGCATGTTGATATGATGCATTTTCTGCTTTGATAATAGTGTTGACTCTATCCTGGAGCCATATTATGATACGTCGAGACATTTCATGGTTATCATTATTGTCTGAGTGCATTCAACATGGGCGACAGGGAGAAAAGCTCACAAAATAGCTTTTCAGACATACGTCGTGTAGAATGGGGGAGGCTCCATACAATAATCTACAGACCCGAGCAACAGTCCTGGGCTGATCTCTCATGGACATATATCACAGGAACTCAAGACTTTGAAGGTCTGATATCCCAAATTCAGGTATATCGATGAGATTGCTTACATCAAAGTCCTAGGATCATGCATTTTAGCCAACATTCCAAATAAGCAAGAAATAAGGAAGAATAGTGAGTAGCCTACGAGGAAAAAACTTTCGTCCAGCGATGTCGCTGGCGTTCGCAGCATCTCCCCCTGTCCTTTCCCTGCATAAGTCCCGTCTGGTTCATTATTGACAACGCCGGGCTTTAGTCCACAGCAATTGAATATCAGCGATGCAATGCTTTCATGGAAATGGAATGCATGCGATGCCTCACCTGAAAAGTACAATTATCCACATCATGCTTAAGTTCAACCCAGGAGGCGCCGCCCAATAAGGCCTTGTTCTGCATTATCCCTCTTATGCAGACGGCTTGGAAATAAGGAATGACCTGCGTGGCTGGGTGGAAAAGCCGGCGCTTGGCCGACGCTAATGCAAGACATAGAAAAAGAAAACTCTTGCCTCCCTCCTTGTCCCGTTGGATCTTATTTGCGAAATAGTCAATAGTGCTTTCGACAGCCCGAATCATGATTTCCCGTTGAGAATCCGTGAATTCGCCGAATGACGTTCGGATCATGTTTCCGTCCGATGGGAGGGCCGGCAAGCCAATGTCATCAGTAGCCGACTTAAGCTCGAGACAGATTGTAAGCGCTGCATGCAACAATTCCTCTTGAAGCATTCTGCCTTTCAGGCGCAGGATCTGGGGAGAGAATCGAGGGAAATCAGGAGCCACAGAGGTGAGGGGTGCCAGTAGCGCCAGGCAAGACTCCGTGCAGATTTTCCGAGAGTAGAAGAACCGCGCTGGACCTCCCCGGCCTTTGGAAGATCCAAACGCAAACGGCCGATGGAGGACTAGTAGAGACTGGTGTATCACAAGGCGGAGGAGAGAGATTGGAAAAGTGAAACTATTAGGGACGCCATGGAGAGATTTGATATTCCCGTCATCCCGAAAATAAAATGGCACTGTATGCAGTTTCTCGATAAGAGCTTGGCTCAACTCCAAAGCTTCGTCGTAGTCCAAGTCAAACTTCATGGCGTTGACTAGTTTCGAAATTCGCGTTCGAATTGGAAACGATTGGGCCAGAATGAGCTGAAAGGACGTCCTAGTAAAATTAGTAGCGAGATCGGTCGGAACAGGATCGTCGACCATTGTCTCGGATAATTTTTCATCATCTATATTGACAGGCAACACTGTATCGTAGCTGTCAAGGGAGATGGAAGGGGGCATTCCATTTCGAAGAGCGGCCTGCATATCCAATTCGACAATCGTAGTCCAAAGACGCCGGCGGATCTCCGCATAGTACTTGGAGACCTTTGGGAAATGACAGGGGTCCCGATGCAGACCCATCATCATCGCATTTCTCACCAGAGAACCAGATGAAACCCATCCCAATTCTCCTTCGAACCCATTGGCCTCGCCGGCAATTCGAAGAAGACACTGGATCTGTACCGTGTCTATATTGATCCGCTCCTTACCCAGCGTAGAAAAGACCCACGACTGCACCGCCAATGCCCATCCATGGGCTGTCTTGTTCAGCGACACTTCCGCCTCTAGACTTTCTCCATCACCGGGATTGTAAAAGCAAGTGCTACATGCCATTAAGGCTAAGAGCTTAGCGGTAAACGCGCCATTTGCCTCTTGCGATCCCGCCCAGTAAGCATTATACTCTTCGAGAAACTTGGGAACATGCAAGACACGATAGGTAGTTTCAAAAGTGGACAGGTACAGATGGAGCAACTGATCTGCAATCTCGCGCCCCGGAAGAATTTCATGCAGCCGGAAAGCCTGCAAATGCGACGGTAACTGATACTCTTGCCGCTCTTTGGAAGAGATCTCAGCCTTGAGCTGCTTCAACTTGCGATACTCTGATTGAGATTCTCCGGCGGATTTCCGCTTCGTCTGATGGACAAATTCCAAGAACTCCCGTACATCATGAAACTACCAGAAAAAAATACGTTAAGGTATGCTTCGGCGCTGAAACGCGCGGGAATCAAAAAATCCAGCTGCACCGAGAGAAACACAAAAAGCACTTACATGCGACATGGTCAATATCCAATGGGATCTACCATAGAAACGAGTCTTGCCATTCTTCCTGCGAAAGCAGTTCTCCGCGAGAGGTTGGATATCATCATCATCCCGATTTTCCTCTTCACGATCCACACCCGGACCGCATTGGCGACTAAAAGATCCCGACGCGGACGTAGCCAACGCACTCTCCAAAGCCCGGACTCTATCTCTCAAGGCTTTAATTTCAGAATCCTCCCCCCGCACCGGAGCAGGGGCAGCCTCAGGTGCACCGGTAGATGGTTTGGCATCAAAGACAAACATGCCATTCTCATGACTCTTCCCAGAAGAAGAGACCCCTTGACGGCGATTTTCGACACACGACGTTGAACGCATAGACAAAGCAGACACTTCGTCTCTACTTCTGACACCGTCACTCCCAATGCGCGACAAAGCTGAAGCCGCATAGTGACATATTTGGCTCTTGTTTGTGTTGATGCATTGGTTGCAGGGTAATAGTCTATCGCATTTTAGTTTCCGCCTTCTGCATTCGAAGCAAGATAGTGGAGTTCTTCGTCTCCGACGGAATGATGACGGGGCGTCTGGGGGACTAGTAGTGTCACCCGCCATCTTCCTGGAATCAAAAAAAAAAATTAAGCAAGGGATAATCGTCGAGAAGCGGCGGCAGATGGGGTAGGGGAATGTATCCGATGAAACAGGTAAATGATTTTCATTTTGGATGAGAGGAAAGTCGAGATGGCGAGTGATAGTACGGAGTAAGAATTGAGGCTTCTCGGACAAACGCTGGCCGAGATGCCGAATCGGGGAATTCGGGCCCGACTTTGCGGAATATTCCTAATCGGGAAGTAGAACTGGAGGCATAGCCCTAAGAGAACCGTTGTATTTGTTCATACTGGAGGGCTTCAGCTTTTATAAGTATGAATATACAAAATATTCCAGATGGGATAACCCTCAGAAAGACCAGTCTATAATTCCCTATAAGGCAGACTTCCCTGCCGGATTTAATCAACACAATACAATACATACAAATCTCCCCTACCACGTCCGTCGTGTTCTGCTCCACATCCGAACAAAGTCCTTCTTTTCCTGAACCCCCAACCCGACGCGTCGGACTCTACCCAGTCGTGCCAGAGACTCACCTACATAATCCAGCAAAGCCTTTTCTGGAGCGGATAAATTTTCCTCTCCAATGCCGACCTTCCGGTTCTGTTCTAGAGCAGACGTCCGAGATGCTGATCCACCTGATGCATAACCATTGCTGCCGCTGATCACACATTCCGCGATGCGCGCCCTAATACAATGCGTAGGCTTTCCAAGCAGATTCCAGAGGAAGCTAAGGTAACTCCCGGGTAACGGAGTCACAGCGTCCATCGGGGTATACCGCAGACTGATAGGGAAGATCTTCGTGTTGGGCGGCACATTCAGTAATGAGTAACTGAGAGGCAAAATTCCACGGCCATTCGTAGTCGTGCATTCGGGAAACATGACCACCGGTCGATTGGGATATTTCTTCAACAGGGTCGAGACATCGACCATCCGTGCACCCGGGCGAGGTTCCGTCTCAGGCATGGAAAACGCGCGAAGGATAGCCTGGAAAAGAGAAATGTGCTCCACTTGTCTGTTATTCGGGTAGGATGCGGTAAAGATGGGGTCAAAGATAGCTGCGAGATATAGGGCATCAATGGGAGAGGTGAAGGAGGAGGCGATGACGGACCCGGGGACAGGAAGGCGGGCATTCTGCTGTCTGGAAAGGGAGCTATTAAACCCTGTTAGCTGCCATCATCGCATTACAATGTACATAATAACTCCATGTAGATAGCTGAGAACGAACCCCTTCCTCACCCCATCCACTTGAAGGTCAATCCACCACACGCTTGGGATACCAAGTATACACCACAGGGACGCCTTCTTGGCCAAGGACCCAATAGGCAGCCATTGTAGAATAAGAAAGTAGCTAGCGCTAGCGAAGAAAAATAAGGGAAGGCGAATGCAAAAGAGGAATATATTCAGAGGGAGCTGCAAGCCCGACGGCTGAGAAGGAATGGGGAGGAAGGGCGCGATGCCCGAGCCTGGCAGTACCAAATATCGATTAGCATATGGGCGCTATAATTCATACACACAAATGAGTCACACCTCGATCCCGGAATTGTGAAAATTTCTCCATGTATAGCTTGAGCGGCGGTGGGATGTTGGGACTAAAGTTTGACAGCTAGGCCATATGTCTATAGCGTTGCGAATGCGGTTAGTGCGAAAAGCTCCGCGGAAAGGAGAGGCAAAAAAGGACAGCTGAACTGATTTAAGTCAAAGCTTGAAATACACTCCGAGCAGGTGGGGAGATGGTGCTCCAAGAGAGAATCGTTGAATGTCGTGGATTTGTTCTCGCTCGCTGCTATCACATGTCGCTCCGAGGCTAGACTATCATGTGACCCTGGGCCATGCACTTAGGGCTGTGGACTAGGGCTTTCATCGAGCAGAGTCCAGACGTTGAATGACGTAAACGATCTCAAACAGGATAAATGGATCTTATAGATGCCATGATGATACTGTTGGGGATGTATTCGTAAACCAGGTCTATTCAAATACACAATGTGAACGGATGCCAAATTCATATAGAAATACATATACCACATTGTCAAAAAAAAAAAAAAAAAAAAAAAAAAGGAGGGACAAAAAAGACGAATGCAATCTATGCAGAACTCCAACAAGACCCTGAGCACAGTGAGTATATACTGTCGAGTCATGGTGCCACCTCCGCCATATCCATATTTACATCTTCATCCGCGTCGTGACGCGCCGATGAAGGCAATCGGAATCGGTAAATAGCGACGCCCACCATGCAAAACAGACTGCTGGTGGTCATCCAGGCCAGGCCGATCCAAAAGCCGCCCATTTCAATCCCAAGCCGAAAGACGTTGGTGATAGACAAGCTGGCAATGACGCTCCCCACTGCCTGAATGACTTCGATGACAGTATAAAGCCTGGCCGTCTCATCCCGATTCACCAAGGAGGTGATCAAGGAACGGATGAAAAAGACAAACCCTGCACCGCACGTCTGAAAAATCAAACTGGGAATTACCATGGCTATCGATGGCGACAGGCCGATTCCCAAAGTGCCCAGCGTCAGGCAGACGATGCTTATACGGGCGAGGCGAATATCCTTCTCGCCAGGACTCATGTAGCGGACCAGCCGCCGCGAGATAGCAGGAAGAATGAACAAAAAAAGAGGTACAGTCAGTGCCGGTTTAAACGATATGAGCAGATTCGCGTTGGCAATGGTCCAACTGTATCTGGTTGAGATGTACTGGACCAGGAACCAAGAAGAACCACGGCTGAGGCGGTAGACCAGGAATGCTGTGAGGAGGAGAACAATTTGCTTATTGCGGAATATGAACATGTAAGGGGTTATAGAGGACCGGTACTGCTTGATCATTCGTCCAATAAACCGAAGGAGCTTTGTGACGCGGTAGGTGGGTGGAACGGTAGCCGGCCCGTGGACATCATCAATCGAATGTCTACTGTGCGAACCATTGTGTTCCTCTTCCCGGTCTTTATATTCATTCCCCGTGCTGTTTTCGCCTTCCGCCGGGAGATGGTTGAGCTCAACCATCGATTCGGCGGATTGTTCCGTTGAAACATGCATGGTTTCTGGGAGGCCAAGAGCCAGAAGCACTCCTGTGAATGTAATACCCATGCCAATCAACATAGGGATCCAGGGGTTCATGGACATTAGCAAGGAGCTAACTCCGGTTGAAACAAAGTCGGCCACCATGCCGGTTACGGCAAATTGAAAGAATATCGATGCTCTAGACGCCACAACGTTAATGGTGCACTCAATTAGAGCAGGCAATATGCTCCAAAGAAGAAAAAGAAAACCGACCTTTCGGCCTCCTCGGTGACGTCAGCCATCATGGTCCAGATAATGGCAAAAGCGACGACGGGCCCGCCACCAAACAGCCAAGACAGACACGACAGCCACACGGTCCGCAACGGTAAGACGTCGGAAAACCACAGCACCGCAAGCCAAACCGCAGAATTTAAAGCAAACCCGGGGATATTGAGAAGAATGGTCTGTTTTCGCCCGTAACGATCTGCCAGAAGACCGTAGGGAATAGCGAGGAAAGCACCTAGTCATGAACCGCCGCGTGTGAGCACTCTCATACAACCATACAACTCCTTTTCCTCTTTGCAGGAGCGAGAAAAGGATGCGCATACTCAGCAATCCATCGAAGAACTCCATGTATCCCGTAACAGCAGCCAACTCCGTCTGCACTTCCTTCACCTTGCACAATTCCTCCGCCACCTGCCCATCCTCACCGATCTTAGTCGGGTCGTAGCCCAGGTAGTACTGCCGACAAGCAATGGATTCAAAGATGCGGGTCGCGGGGCCATTGCTCATGGCAAACCCGGTCTCGACAGCGATTACCATCGCGAACAAAGTCACCAGCAGTCGGACACGGGGCTTCCGGGACGGTCCGGAAGGGGAGGCGTTCTGTCGGTGCTTGTAGACGTCATCATCGTCGGAACTGCTTCTGTGATCGGAGGAGGAGGATAGGAATGGGGCGCGTTCATGAAGATCGAAGGCCTCGTCGCGGTCATCGAGGCGATCCTGATCAGGTACAGACATCGTTGGCGTGGAGCTGGCAATGGCGCATTTCCTCCACGTGACGGGGATGTTATATATATAGAAACAGTTGAAATGGGAAGGAGGGAAAAGGAGAGGGTGAAATGAGTGCAAGGAAATGGGAGAAATGAAGGTGAGATATGCAGGTGAGAACGAATGACGAGCCACTGCCAGGCGATTCCCAGGGAAAGGGAGATGGCAGTTAATAATTCGAAGGAAACGAACGGATCACTGCCGCCTCCACACTCGAATCTCATCCAGCTAGTATTATTCTTGGACCGACCATGTTCCTTGGGTGTTCCACTGTTTCTAGTGATAATAATAATAATAGTCCTGCGGAGTGAAAAGACATAAAAATGGATAATCATGCAGAATCACGCTTGCACCAATCAGCATCCACAGAGGGCATGCACGTGCTTTATCAGCCCAATCAGATACTGGGAATTGGGAGTTCATCGCAGCTATGGTTTCAGCCCGCAAAATTGGCAGTGCAGAGTCATAGCCCCTATGGACACACTGTCCTCAAAGACATGACGTTGATTTCTATCGACTCTTGCCAGCTTGTCGTCACACGGGATATAAATGGAGTCAGCTTTCTGACTCCGGTGGGCTTAGTTATGCTTACTACGATTACTTAAGCCCTGGATGCATCAGCAAGCAGCCGTAGAATCGGCGCACGATGGAAAGGGAACAAGGCCACTGCCATGGCCCCAGAACGAATAGAGAAGGGGAGAAAGCTTTGACTCCTTCTGGCCGTTCAAACACGAACCCGATGATTGGATTTTGCGTATATCTGTCTACGCATAACCATCCACCGGAATGTGTCTCTATATAGCAGACATGGTTTAACAATTGCCCGCGTTTTCAGGCTGTTGTGGTATAACTTGGGCATTATACTCGGGATATGCAAGCCATGCACAGCCTGTATCCATGGGCTTCGGTGCCTTTTCAAGGACGAGGTCTGACTTACGGACGATCGGCGGGAGGACCTTGGTCGCCTCGAGCAAGCTGATATTCTTGCCAATGCATGTTCGCGCCGCTCCGAACTAGGTGAGTACAATAAGCAACGTTGGTGTACGGTGACTACAGCGTAGTTGCTGTCTCCTCAATATGGATGGCTGGCGAACCGAGGGCAGCATAGATAATACGATGCTAAGCCGCTTCTGCTTCTTCCTTTTTTAGGCAACAATGAATGCTGCAATCTCCAGGATATCCTCCAGTGGTCATCTGTGTTCGATTGCTGTACAGTTATTCTTGTTCACTATGCTGGACATGGCAGAGGGGTGAATTACAATTACTGATAGAACTGGCAAGTGTACTTTCAATGTTGAAAGCATACTTCTGGGTTCCGTGAAGGCTACATGAAAAATAAACATAAATCGAAGAGACTCTCATACGCCCACTGGGCACAGGTCATCCTGAGCACTTATGAGCACTTTGGGAGGAGTGGAGAAGCTGAGAAATGGAGAAATGGAAAAATACTATGATCCTGAATTTGTGGAAGGCAATCTTGATGCCTTGTCCCAGTCAGTCAATGCTATTTCATTTCAATTCGTGCTTCAATCACTTCAATCGCTTAGCTACAAGGGTCGTGTCTTTCTCCGGTAGAGTCTTGAACTGATAGTGCTACTACTATCTTTCTGGTACCTCACCAAGATCAGGCATGGCGAGAGGCTTTTTTGCCTAGGCAGGCTTGCTCACCATGCTTTCTTATTTTCTGCCACGGTTCCCTTGTCCAACGTAGGTACCTACCGGTTGAAACATCCCTGATCGAAGAAATAGTACGAAAGTGCAGTAAATGAGTCCGTACCTAATATGCTAGACGGTAGATATATATATATATGCATCCTATGCACCAAACCTAGTGATACATGTACAAGATTATATTAAATCTGTTTCCCCCCCCCTAGCCTTATCTCAATCTCTAGGAATCATTCACCTCTTCAACAATACCCGGATACCCAGCTTCCTCGAACAAGTTACCCCTAACCTGCACGACGGCCGTGAGTTCCAGCAAAAACTCATAAAGAATGACCACGTTGGTCAAGACGTGGCCAAGTGTAGCTGTTTCCATTTCGGGTCGACCACCTAGTGTCTCGGTTTGATCCACACTGTCTGGGGGATCAGTTTGGGATGATGCTGGTTCCTCGACGACGGCAGTCTCTCTACTAGGCTGAGTGACCGGGAATGGCATCGAGAGTCGTTTCCGAAGTTCTTCTGCGGCTGCGGCGCGTGAGGTGGAGGAGCCGCGAGACGGTGGTTGTTGGGCTGGTGATCCTGGCGGAGGGGAGCCAAGGTAGCTAGATCCCTGTGGAGAGGGCCGTTCATCTGAAAATATGTCCCGTGGGATCGGGAAGGGGCCGCGCGGTGATTCTTGGTGTGCCGAGGAGACATCAGTTTGTTGGCGAGACGGAGTAGGTGCGGTGGGAGCTTCGTCTTCTTGGTGTAGGAGATCGCGTCGGGCGGCGACTAAGATGTCGAAGTTGGGAATGTCCTTTCGCCATTTTTCGACTTGTTGGACGAGCTTTTGTAGCATGACTGTGAGAACGGGAGCATCAGTGCTGGACCAGGATGGTTCTTCGTATGCAAGGCGGATCTGCCTCAAGGCTTCCATGGCAGGTGTCTGTTCAAGTGAAAATGAATTCGCCAGTGACTCTGTCGCATATTTGTATTTAGACGGATCCACCAGCAGCCAGCCATCAAGGGATACGAGATGTGAGGAGGCAATGCTGACTAGGATTTCCGTCAGGGAGAGGTTGACAATGACACTGTTTGTAAAGAAGGTTTCTAAGCATCCTAACAGCTCCCGCATAATCGGGTCATCTTCGCGGAGCTCTAACGGCTCACGGCTATCTTCAGTGGCGTAATCTCCCTCCGTTGATAATTGGACGCCGAAAAGAGACTCGACCGTTTCCAACGCATCTTTGAGATAGTTTTCGTAGGAAACATCGACCGTGGGATCATCCATGACCGACGTTGCCATCGACAGAAACTGTTGAAGCTCGGCATTGAACGCCCCTACAGCCCTCTCTTTGGCCTGTCGACCAGGGATGGTTTGAATCAGCAGATTCGCAAAGGAAGGATGACGCTGTAGGATGACTGTGAGAAGCCGCAGTGTTGCGAGGACGGTCTGCTCGTTCGTCGACTGGAGACCTAACAAAGCAAGATCGCGCAGATTGAACAGAGACGGCGATGGATTTGCGGCTACTTCTGCCATGGCAGTCAGAGCATCCAATGATTTCCGCCGGCTAAGAGATATCTTCGTCTCTTGTTTCGAAGAAGGCATTGCCGAGTCAGTGTCGGAGGGTGATGCGAGCAGGAAATGGAGAATACTATAGACCAAGTCAGATTGGTCTATAGACTCTAGAATCCGGCATAAGTAGGTCAGCACGGTAGATGTCGAGCCGCCTTCGACGTCCGAAGACTCAAGTAAAGAGGGATATCTGGAAGGTCAGGCTAATTAGTTTCAACAATGCCGAATGAAATAATCTCCTTCGACTTACAGGAGTTGCTCCAGAAATAATACCTGGAAGTGATCCAACAACGTGCCATGGACCTCGGCCGACCTGCAGTGGTCAATAGTATCTTGCCAAAACAGAAGGTAGGACATGAATGCGTCCATAGCGGTACCAAGGTGAGGTTGAACAGCACTTCCATGCCGACTATAGTCAGACAAGGCGATGATTTTAGGAAGATCTGTGTCTGGCGCCGCAAATGGTAGGCTTCATCCGAGAATATCAGCAACGAATGTTCAATCCAGCAAAAAAAAAAAAAAAAAAAAAAAAAGGTCAAGATATCCTCACCTTCCTAGTTGGCTATAGAGAGCACCCAGCCCCGTAGCCATAAGAGCCGCCAGATCACTCTCTATCAACCACTTCTCTAGAATCTCTGATCTCGATGCCGTCTCGATGATATAAAGCAATCCCGTACGGGCGAAATCCCCCGCGCGGCCCTCCCGATGGACATGATCCAGCAGCAGATAGAACAAGGGAAAGTCATCCTTCCGCGTGGCACCAGCAAAGATCTTCCGACTGTCACTGCTAGTGCTAGGACGATTTCCGCCATCAGACGACCTGGGATTAAACCACGCAGGCAAGATAGCTGGTTGCAAACGAATGCTGTTGGCGACAGCGAACAAGAGCTCAACCAGTCTTCCCTCGACCTCTTCTGTCCGCGGTTCCGCTCGACGAACCAGGTCCACAAGAGCCCTAGCGAACAGCCGATTATCCACAACGCTATCCACCTCTGAGTCAATGAGGGTGCTGAAGAAAACGGCAGCGCATCGGAGCATTCCCGGGTCGTAGGACGAGAGCGCAAGCTTGGTCACGGTGACGTATATCTGGGAGGTGGCGGCATAGGCGACGCAGGGGTGAGGAGCTGGACCGCGAGACTCATCGCTGAGCACTGAATTAAGGCGTTCGATGCAGTTGCGCGCGTGGGTCGTCACGGAGGTCTCTCCGGTCGGGGTGCTGTTTGTGCGCCATATTTGCTATCGTATAGGTTAGAAAGAAACAGTCCCGTGGGAAAGAAAAATATGCCTTGAAAGCAGTCGACTCACTTGAAGGGTATTGCACGTCCTTTTGAAGGCAGCGAGTCGCTCAACCGGAGTGGTTGTTCGGAGGCTCTTGGAGGACAGCGAACGGGAGCCGCCGATGAGACGAGACCACTGTATGCTGTCAGTATTGCAGGTTTCGAAAGAAGGGAGAGAGACAAGGGAAACAAGACACGTACAAAGTCCATGTTTCGGTGACGAAAGCATAATTCTGTCGCAACGGCTACAACGGTCGTCGTGGTATAGTAATCGATCGGCACAGTGGAGGGACAGGGAGCTGCACGGATGTTCCTGAGGCCACCAAAAGTCCCTGCGCGTACCTACAGCGCACATGTCGCACACACCAACGCTACATACAGCAATACTAATGGCCACAGAATTCGATGCTCTATCCACTACTTTTTACTTGAAATATGCAACCAGAACACGGACCGAGGACGAGATTAAATGGAATATCTTCCGGGTAGAACGTAGCGAAGAGAAAGAAAAAAGCAGTATCCAGATGGAAAATGCAAACCCAGCAGAGAGCCGTCCCTACAAACGCCACGACATATGCGCCCGCTCCCCTTCCAGATCTAATATGCCCAACCATCAATTCGTTCAAAGGGTGCTAGAAAAATGAAGTAACGAAGAAAACAGCAGATCAATCACTCTCCTCCTTTGGTCGTCTACCACCTCGTTTTCTCCTGCCTTCGTTATGGTCACTCCCATCGTCCTCGTGTTTCCGCGCACTCGCGGGATGATCCGGGACCTTGGCGATGATGTCGGCCAGGAAGTCCAATACTTCGTCCTTGGCCACGGCTTGTTTCAAGTGCACGGCCGTGACGCGTTTTGAACTGCGGTCTTTGGCCTCCTTGGCAGCCTTTGTAACGAGGGAGATCATGAATAGTTCTAGAGCCTTGGCTGTGGACGAAGAGGGAAATTAGTCAGTTTTAGGTGTCGACGACAAGAGGGGGAGAATGAGAATACGTAATACGTACAGACAGCAATTGGGGTCACCTGCGCGACTTTGCCGACATCCTCATCTGCCTGCATGATACGCTTGATGCGCGCGACGGGAAACTTGGTCTTGACTTCTATATTGGGAGCGGGAAATTTTTCCGGCTCTTGCGATGGGACAACAGTTGTTGTTTGTATTGTATTAGCAGGAGGAGGAGCGAGAGAAGGAGGCGCTGGAGAGGTATATTTCATGTCTGGTATGGAGGCGGATGCCGGTCCTGGTACAGGTGCAACGACAGCGGGTTCGGCGGCCGAACGCGCGGAGAGACGAGCGGATCGACGAGCCATGTCGTCGCTGGAGTCGATGGGAGCAAATTGGGGCACGTATTGCTGGGAAGGCACGGCAGACGAGCGTTGGTACTGCGGAGAGAAGAATGGGGAGGCGTCGTAGGAAGCGCGATGTTCTAGCGGGCTGGGGAGTGGGTAGGGCGAGAAGGGACCGTTGTGGAGAGGGTTGCCGGGGCTGAAGGACGGGGGGGAGAAAGCGGGCTGGAAGGAAGAGAAGTCGGGCGATCGGGGTCTGTAATATGAGCTGTCTTGGTCTGTCATTGCTGTGGGGAGCTGTCAGTATGCATATAATAATAACTGTATAGGTATCGATATGGAAAGACGCTATTGAAGACAGCCGCCCAAACAGGCAAGTCACGGGAACGTTGACAACGGCGTACCTTGGCAAATGTCAATCGCTGGGGAACAAAGGAGAAGATCGGGAGCAGCATGCCCAATCCGAGCTCGATGACACGCAGAGACAACAGTAGACTGTTTATCGCGTGTACTTGGTAGAACGTACAGAGTATGATATAAAGTAGATGCGGAGTGTGGCCCAAGCTCCCCCAGGGCGTGCGCAGAAGGCGTGTACGGAGCAGCGGGGGGAGAGAGTCAGAGGGGTGCGTGGCAATACGCGGCGGGAGGAAGAGGAGGAAACAGGCGGATTCTGGCCGGGCAGCAGCCGCCCTTTTTAAGCCTTGCCTCGCGCGCTAATTCGGGCGGGTTTTTTCTGTTGTTTTTTTTTTTTTGTTTGTGTTCGGATCACTTTTTTATTACTATTATTACGGATATCACCATCCTTCTGATCTTCTCGGATCATTCCTTTCTTCCTTCTTACTGCTCACGCTGCCTCCTTGCTCTTCCCATCGCTGCCTCTTCCTGTCCGTCTTACCCATCCCTTTCTCCCTTTCTATCTCTCCCCCTGATGTCGTCATCTTCCTCCCTGTATACTTTCTTAGTCCGCAGTAACCAACCGGATCGTGCTCCTTGGCCTCCTTTTCATTGCCACTTTACATCTGGACGTGTCGGTACACCAATCACCGACGCGGCATTCATGCGACCGCGTTATGCCAGGCTGGTCGATGCATCCACGGATCTTTGTTTCTGCAACAGTCCCGTCTTCTCTGTTCTTATTTTTTTAGCTTCCCTTATTATGCTTTTCTCGGTATCAACCGTCAACTCAATCCATCGCTGCGTGATGATACAAGAGCTCCGGAGATGCCCAGAGTCCAACTGTCAGGCTGAAACCAGAGATCTGCCTCATGGTATCGCCTGCCCGTGCATCGACTGGGCATCGGTGAGGGCGAATTTTACTTGATCTAATCTGATAGCGTGGGATCCCTTTACTCCATACTTAGTGAAAAGGAAATTAAAAAGTAATCAGTCAGCCAGAGATGGAATGTATTGGTTCGTCAGAGATGCATCTATTCCTTAACCCCTGCGTCATGGTATCCTGAGGCTGCTACAGGGAGTTAGAATATTTGCACCTATTGTAGCCAGTGCACTCACAGCGGCACGTTCCAGACACACAAAGCCCATTGTAGCCATGCATGACTTAACAAAATGGAAAAACCCAGCTAGAAATCAAACTGGATTCTTCCTCAAGAAGACTCTTCACTGTGCAGGTATTCATTGAAGCTGCAGAAAAAAAGCCCGGATCAACATGTTTTCCCGTTCCGCCATCTGCCACCAAATTTGGTTAAAAGTCAGCCATGCGACCAGCTCTCAACTCTCCTCTCTATTATTTTTACGTTCATCATCCAGCCAGGCGGCCATTCCAATGGATGCGAATCTCTGTTGATGGCCAATCTAGTCATGGTTGCCGCTTTCTTATTTCCTATCTTTACCCGTGTCTTGTCGTGAGACTGGTTCCCGCAGCTACCTTTCGACTTCGGCACGCCCCGACGCTCTTTTTATTCTCGAATCCATGGCTGCGACGGACCAGCCTTCGGGCTTGATGGACATTGCGAGGTAAGGATCCTCTCCTTTCTCCGACTGTTTATTCTCGATCTTCCTGGCTGATTTATCCGTCCTTTCAGCACCCTCACCCAAGATGAAATCCCTTTCAAACTGCGCTGCGCCATTTGCAACAAGCTCGCCGTAAATGCGTTTCGGCTACCCTGCTGCGAGCAGGCAATATGCGAAAACTGTGAGTCTTGCTGGGGTTTCTTCTGGTGGATGGTTTGTCCTGTTTGTGAAAGACGGAAGATTGACTTGAATAGGCCAGGCTTCACTTCCAGAAACATGTCCCGTCTGCGCACACACACCTCTATCCTCCGACCTATGCAAGCCCAACAAAGCTCTTCGCACCACTCTCAAGGCTTTCCTCCGCACCGAAGAAAAGAAACGTGAGAGGGATCGTCCTACCGCATCCGCCACCCCCGCTCCCGTGACTCCTGTCGATGGAACTCCCGCGCAGCCAGAGACTCCGGCAAAGGTTGATGCGTCAGAGGGTGGTGTCGCGAACGATTCGGCAGAACCTGGTCCTGGTTCAAATGAACCGACCGAGCCTTTTCCGGAAACGACAAAACCCGTGGATGCCCCTACCCAGGATGTGACGGAAACGGATCTCTCTACTGCAGCTGATGCCCCTATCCAGGTGAGTGTAGCTTTCTCATGCCACCGACACCATGAAGGATTCTAACAAAGCTTCTCAATAGAGCACCGATGGAGTTGCCACGAACGGAACAGTTGAAGGGACCGAGCCGACAGAGCAAACAACGCAGACCGTAGCCGGCGAGGGAGACGAGGTTGCAGATGGCAACCAGGGAACAACACCCGTCTCTGGCCCTGCTCAGGCTCTTCAGAACCCTATGGGCTTTGATGGAAATGTTGGAGGTTTCCCTAACATGCCTTGGAGTGGTGTGGGAGACTTCAATCCAATGGCGCAGTTCATGGCGAACGGCATGTTCAATACCTTTCAGAATCCCATGGGTACGTTTGAAGGCAAACCACATATCTTTTTGGACTTTTAAGAGTAACCCTTCTAATCCTTCTTTTTACAGGAATGCCAGGTATGGCAATGGACCCGATGGCTGCTGCGAGTCAGGGAATGTTTGGGGGTTTTGGGATGAACATGAATGGCATGAACAGTGGTATGAATATGGGGATGAATTTCGACGCTAGTCAGGGAATGTATGGGGGCTGGGACAGCGCACAAAACAATACCTGGAATGGAACCCAAGATAAATTCAATCCAAATGCTTTCGCAAATGGTATGGGTCCTCAGTATGGCGGCCCCTCTGGATTTGGCGGATATAATATGTCTCAACCCAACGGAAATTATGCTCAAATGCAGCAACCACTGCAATTCCCTAATCCAGATTTCCAGAATGGATTCCAAGGTTACGGCAGAGGCGGTTTTCGTGGCCGCGGTCAAGGCTTTTTCCCTGGTGGCCGCGGCCGGGGCGGATACTCCAACTATGCGCAAACTAATTACCCCCCTAATGCTGACTATGCAGCACCTCAGGGTCAGGGCTCTCCTATGAACCAAGAGAAGCTAACGCAGCCCATGGATGGTGTATCTGCTCGCGTACCAGAGACAGACCCAAACACCGCTGAGAATAAGAACCCCAACGAGGAACCCACCCCTGGACATGAGAATGAAACCGCTGATGACACATCAAAGGAGGCTACTGCTGCTGCAGGTACTAAGGATGTATCCATGGAAGGCAAACCCGCAGATGCGGCTGTCGATAGCGCTCCTACTCAGGATACGCAGCTGCGTGGCATACCGACCATCGATAGCATTGACAAGGCTAATGCCGCTCAGGCGACTTACAATAGGCCCCTACCAATGCCCGCGTATATGGGACCGTCTTTTGGGAGAGGTGGATACATGCGTGGGCCGTTCCAAGGGGGTCGCGGAGGTGGCTTTCCCGGCAGACAGCCTAATGGCGTGAATGAGGCACCAGGACCGGGTGTTGTAGGCGCCCCAGCTGCTCCTAGAGCCATGAGAGAGGGGCTGCCTAACACCAGTATTCTGCGCCAGCGAGGATTCCAGATGGCAGCGCGGGCATCAGCCTCGTCCGGCAGGCCTTCGGAGAGCTTACCAAGGTAATCAATCCTTTTATCCCCATCCTTATCCTATTATAACTTTAACTAATGATCATTCCCAGCGCGACACCTGGAACTCCACAGAACGACCAGCCATCACGGTCCAAGTCGAGGGCTCGATCAACCTCCAGAGCAAGGACTAGGTCGCGGTCAGCATCTCATTCACGACATGCTAGCCACCGCCGCCACCGCTACCGTTCCGAAAGCGCCCACACCAGCGAAGACGACCGCGAGCGAAAGCGCGATAGGGAGAAGAGAAAATCCCGTCGAGATGCAAAGGACAATGAGCTGACGCAAACCGAAGAAGATGCGCGCTCTCGTTCTCGATCCCGTTCTCTCGAGTCATCCAGAAGGACTTCGCATCGTCGAGACCGGGACAGGGACCGGCGCGGCAACCGTCGGTCTCACAGGTCACACCGCCACTATAGCCGCAGTCGCAGCCGCAGCCGCAGCCGTAGCCCTAGCCGCAACGGGGAGTCTCGCCGTGTTGAGCGTCCTTCTGCTGTGCCTGAAGACTACGGTACGGACACTGGCAGCAAAACGCTCGAATCCAGCGAGGGATTGGAGCCATCGAATCGGGTCAGCTCCAGCCATCGCTCGTCGAGAAAGGAGCGCTCCAGTTATCGCGAAGGAGATAGAGAGAGAGATAGAGAGAGTAAACGTCGGGATAGAGATAGGGACAGAGACAGGGAGAGGGATCGTGTGCGCGACCGCGACCGCGACCGCGATCGTGACCGTGACCGGGACCGGGACCGGGATCGGGATCGGGATCGGGATCGGGAGAAGCGCAGAGATCGAGACCGCGAACGTCGTGAAAAGGATAGAACAAGGGATCGAAAGCGCTCCCACCGCGATCGATCCGAGTCGCCACATAGCGATTACTCTTCTCTCCACCGTTCACACCGGTCCAAACGCGCGCGCGAAGACGAACCCCGCACCGAAGACAAAGAAAAGCTTGTCTCTAAAGTCACTACTACTGAATCCGAAAAGGATCCACATACATTGGAACGCGAGGCCCGCGATCGCGAACGCCTCCTTAAGGAGCAACAGCGACGACAGGCCGTGAATGCCGATCTGGATGGGAAGAGTAGTCGTCGTCGGGAGAGCAGGCAGGACAGGACCTTATCTGGCGGGCGACGGTTGAGTTACAAGTATGAGGATGATGAGAGCGATGGTGCCCGAGCCACGCGAGTCGAAAGGGAACGTGAAGCCAGCCGATGGGCGTAGATATCGTATCGTTAATTACTTTTCTCTGGCTGTCCTGTTTCGACGCGGTGCGTCTTCGGCAGGAAGGATCAGTCTCATTTCACATATGTAGAAGGGGAAATGAAGAGAATAAATGAATATCCTACTGGCTTAGCGAAACCAAGGTTGGTTTGGTTTCCCCATGTTGATAGTAGATCCACAGAGCAATGGAGTTAATGATCTAGGGAAAATGTCTCCAGGACTCGCGAGGATTACTGAAGAGGAATAATATGATCTATGTCACGTCAGATATTCTCATTATTCCCCTAGTTCTAAAGTCTAGAATTGTGCCTTGGCATAATGCGTAATAGAAAGCATGCCCTGTCCCCTTTCATCCCGTCAGTGTTCAATCCGGCTTCAACAAGAGTGACCTAGTGTTACCTCTACGCTCACTCGCGATGTACCGCAAAAGGAGATGGAGAAGTCGAATGCTGTCTGGAGGGGGGGAAGCCACTCATGTCTCTACTTCTATTTAGTATTTGGATACTCATGTCGACAAGGTCAGTTCAGAGTGACGAGAAAAGACAAGCTGGAGTAAACTTTGACCTATGGCATACATTTTGTACAATAGATTCATGCCTCCAGAATATAACTATGTCTATCTTCTCATTTACAACATCAGGACTGTTGATTTTTTTTTCTCATCCCATTTCCAGAGAAGCCCTCTATGAAACCAAATCGTTGCAAAGAATCACGTAACATGATGACATTTGCTTGTTCCCATAAAACGCCAGCGGAAAAGTTGTAAGCCGCGCAAGTCGTCAACAGGACGAACCAAATTTTAGTCTGAAATCTGAACATCAATGCATCCTCCCGTCAAGAACCCCCGTCAAGCTTTTTTCGGCAATTCCGGTGGAATTCGTCGGTAGCATACCAAGATCACTGGGATAGAAGGAGTGTTTCAACTTCCCTTCGTTGATCCAGTGAAAACCACCATATTAATTTAGATATTATAGTTGGTAGCCTTAGATCGTAATCTCAGCAACGCCATTTGCCAAATCACTTTCCGTCATCTTCGTCCGTTGCGTAATTTCATCCAGACAACCAGAAGCGGCAGCCACAAATCCAAGATACGGCTTGCTAGGCGCAAGAACACGCGACAGGTACTCGGGATGGAACTGCACACCCACATACCAGGGGTGATCCTTGAGTTCGATTATCTCCATCCGCTCACCCCTGTCGTCTTTGCCGACGAAGTTCAAGCCAGCATCCTGCAATCGGTCAACGTAGTCGGGGTTCACCTCGTAGCGGTGGCGATGGCGTTCGTCAATGGAGGTGCGATTGGGGTACAAGGCGCGAAGTTTCGACCATTCCGAGCCCTCCTGGAATAGTGTGGGTCTGAGCCCTAAGCGCATAGTGCCTCCAAGATTGACCCTGTCAATTTCAGGCATGAAGACGATAACCGGGTCTGGGGTCTGCGAGTCCAGCTCGATCGAACCGGCTCCGCTGATGCCGCAAACATTACGAGCAAACTCAATCACTGCGACTTGCATTCCAAGGCAGATACCCAGATAGGGCTTGGGCTTTGTACGAGCCCAGTTGGCGGCCGCGATCATACCTTCGGTACCACGGTGCCCGAACCCGCCGGGAACCAGAATACCGTCAGCCGTGCAGACTTCGTGCCAGGCTTTGTGATATATCTCAGGATTCGAGACGGAAGTGGCTTTCTCGAGATGAGACGCATCGACCCAGATAAGGTTGAGTTTCCTCTGGCAAGCCATAGCACAGTGCTCCAGAGACTTGACGACAGATAGATAAGAGTCGTGAAGATTGACATACTTTCCAACAAGTGCAATGGTGACAGAGTCGAACAGCCGCTCTTGAGAAGTGGTCAGGGCCTTCCACTGGCGCCATGTCCGCTGCCCCTTATCCACAAGCGATTGCGGGATCGTCATGCGATCGATTTTCAGAATTTCTCTCAACAGTGAAATCAGACCCTCATTCTCCAGGAGAAGCGGCACGTGGTAGGTCGTGGTGACATCATGGACACCAACAACCTGTTCCGGCTCAACCTGACAGAACATGGCAATCTTGTCCGTCGTAGCCTTGTCCAAGGTCTTCTCGCAGCGGCATGCGATCAGGTCAGGACTCAACCCAGCAGAGCGCACTTCACGGATTGCCTGCTGGGTAGGCTTGGTCTTCAGCTCGCCATGAATAACAGGCACCAAGGACACGTGGATCTGAAGGAAATTGTCCTTCCCCGCGCGGCGACGCAGCTGGCGCATGGCCTCGATAAAGGGAGCGCTCTCGATATCTCCCACCGTTCCACCAAGCTCGATGATGCACACATCCGGCTCTTCGTTTGTATCATCGACCGGGATCTTGGCCACGCGCTCAATCCAATCCTGGATAGCATCCGTCAAGTGAGGGACAATCTGCACAGTACGGCCAAGATAGTCACCACGACGTTCCTTCTCGATGACATGCTTGTAGATCTTGCCCGTGGTGATGTTGTTATCCCTGGTGAGCTTGATACTGAGATATCGCTCGTAATTCCCCAGGTCAAGATCGACCTCTCCACCATCGTCAAGGACGAACACCTCGCCGTGTCTATTGGGCCATCAGCTGGCGTTCCGGTGCCACAGGAGACAATAGAGAGAATAAAAGGGGGGAAACATTGCACGTACTCAGTAGGTGCCATTGTTCCTGCATCGACATTCATGTAGGGATCGACCTTGATCGAAGAAACGTGCAAAGACGGTCAGTACCAGGAATATTCCCTTCGGACAATCCCGCAAAGGAGGGTGATTGAAAAGAGAAAGAGGGTACTAATCTTTAACCCGATCGTCTTCAGCAGCAAACCCGTGGAAGAGGCTGCAGAAAAATTTCCCCATCATGTCAGAAACCAAGGCTCCTTCCCTCGACGCATAGGACCACAACGGTCTACTTCAGATTGAAGGAGGGTTCATACCTATTACGCCCTTCCCGATGCCACTGATGACACCTGAATAAATACTATCAGTAGGTATTCAACCTTGGTGTTTTATGTGTTTAGGTACCATACCTCCAGAGACGAGAACGTACTTCATTGTCGACGGTAGAAAAGCAATGAACTCTGGTGTGATGAAAAAAAGGAAATGTATTAAAGGAAATAAATCTAAAAGAGATATGCTTAAATGAAATGTAGGGGTGCCCTTCCCGGCGTCTGCCAGGGGGGAGGGAGGAAAAGAAAGAGAAAAGAAAAAAAAGGTCTGAAGCAGGATTATCCTGTTTGGTGGGACACGAATTTCCCCGTCCGAATCGGGAAAGGGCAGAGATTTACAGCCAATCAGTATGGTAACATCACGTGTAATTAGATTATCCATGCACGTGATATTATCTTATCGGGAGATAGGGCTGAGCTTGGCTTCACTTTTGCAGAACAGCATCGATGTGTTTGCCATGTAAAGCTCTACATGGAGAGGGAGAAGATGGGATCAGGCTGAATATAGTTGTTAGGTCTAGCTACATGTCTGATTCTATTATGGCTTCACATGTGACTATGTGTGGTTGCAAACAGTGCATACTGCACAAAAAAGATAAGGGAACATATAGAGAACGGATTCTTAAATTGATGTTGATGGATGTTTCATCACGCTTTCCCATTCTTCACTTCCCCCAATTATCTACTCGAAAAACTCCACAGTCTGGACAGCATGGAATTCGGATCCTGACCTTTAAAGCATCAGTTCGCGTTGATGCCACACTTCATGCGTCAGCAGTTGATGAGGATGCATGGCCCAAATATGGGCATCGACAGTCTGTCAAACAAGCCGAGAATATTATCGTATTGACTTAAATAGCCAGAGTTATACAAGACAGAATATACCAGGAGTGCATCCTGCAGCACCATATACTCCCCGAAGAAACAGGCATCTTCTGAGTCCAGCAAAGGGAAACGGAAAATGAAAGACATTGGCAGTCTTGCTTCCGAAACGATACCCGCTGCACGTGAAAGCATGAATCAGCCTTGTCTCTGGACACAAGATCCCGTTTCCGAGACCCCTGGAACCGGAGATGGTGGCGATGACTCTGGTGTACCAAGCGACAGGGTGGTGGACGACAAAGACGAAACCATCGTGGTGACAGCGCTGGTCGTGTTGTTGGATGCACTCAGAGAACCTGTGCCTCGTGCTAAGGTAGAATGGGACCCAAAGCATATATGCTTCAGCCAAAAAGTTGGAAAGTTAGATTTGAGACTCTGTATGATTACCGGATGAGCATTAGAGGTCGTAAACTGGCAGGAATGAGGAGGTACGCTCCATACTCTCGGTATCAAACTGTCGCTTATTTGGTACTATGGAGCCAGAGCTTCAAGTATTCTATTGGCTAGTGAGTGGTAACTACATTATAAACACAAGATTTTCCATCTTAATATCCACGTGGGGTCGTGGTTTAGTGGTATAACGCTCGCTTAGCATGCGAGAGGTCCGGGGTTCGATTCCCCGCGACTCCAACTTTTTTGATTTTAATTTTTGATTCCATTCTGCAATGGACATGTTGGTTAAATTTCAGTGCCTACTGTTATGTTAGTAATAATGGTTGGCTTTGTTCACAAGGTGTTGTTGGTGTATGAGAACTGCATGAAAACTATATATAATCGTATCTCACATTAGAACGTGTCACATGTCCAAGGCACATAAGTAGAGTTAGTTTAGCTTCATAAAATCATGTTCATCATCATGCTCATCATGCTCATCATGCTCATCTTGAGCTCCTTTATCCTTTTGCTTCCCACATAGCTACCACTCCATGACAAAAGGCCAATTTCAATAATCCACTCCACATTATGCCAATTCTCCCATCATTCCCCCAGTCTAACATTCAGGCATACCGTATAAGTTCCCTGTCCTCTCGGTCAAGGTGTCATCGGTGTGACCGGCGTCATCGGATGAACGAGAGTGCTTGTATCAGACATGACCCTAGAGTGGCTACTGGTAGGATTCTCGGTACCATTCGCCACTGCACCATTCTTCTCGACATCATCAGCATCCTGTCCTGGATTGACGGTTTGATACTGGAATAACCGCAGGAAGGCGTAGAAACTGGACGCCAGCAACGAGCCGAGGAGCGGGCCGACCCAATAGATCCAGTGGTAGCCGGGGAAGTCGGTGTTGATAACATCGGGACCGAGGGAACGAGCTGGGTTCAGGGAGCCCCCGGTATAGTAGTCACCTAGTTGTTCATCATCAGGGTTAGCAATCCATTGGACTGGGCAGATATCTTGATTGGTGCTGATAGAAGCCCACATACCAACCAGCTGCGTCACGAAGAACGTTAAACCGATTCCAACGGGGGCAAGAAAGGTGGATTTGTGCTTGACCACAGCCAACATGATAATGACAAAGACGAGCTGTGCCGTGAGGAACATCTCGATAAACAAACCCTGAGATATCGACGCTCCTCCCCCGAGTCTTGTGCCGAAGTTCGCGGGGCCAGGAAACAGGCATCCTACAACACCGGCCGCAGCAATGCCGGCAATGAGTTGTGTAGGGAACACAAGTAAAGTTCGAAGCGGTGACATTCCTCCGACGAGAAACAGTGCCAGGGTTACCTGTCTATTGTTTAGTATTCTATCATTCCTTCAACACCAGTGTCCTGTCTTGGGGCTCTCGAAATCCTTACAGCAGGGTTGAACAGGCCACCGGTCACACGGAAGAAAGCCCAAACGTTCGCTGTCAAGGCAAACCCAAAGCATAGAGCCGAGTAGAGAAGGTTGGACGTGTTAGGAGGGGATCCATCAGCCGGCTTGGGTGTATTAGAGACTTGGGTTCCGGCAAAGGAAAAGAAAAGGAAGAGAAAGGTGCCGACGAATTCGCCTGCTACCGCAACGAGATTGTTTCTCATGGTATCAGGGAGCTGTAGCATGGGTAGCTGGGTCTTCGACAACACCTGTGGCACATCTCGTACGCTGCGTCTGAAGGGCATTCTGGGTCTCATCATGGTGTATGGTAGGTAGGTCGGTAGGCAGGTAGATAGATAGATAGATGCTGGTCTGTATGACTTCTCTTTCTCTCTGTGTGTTCAAAGCAAAGAACAGAAGAAGGATGCTCTCTGGCAAGACATGAACAGAAGCAATCGCCCAATTTATATCTCTTTCCCCTGAGGACTCGCATCGACAAAAACGAACAGCAGTACTTGTTCACACGTCATGGCTGCTGAAGAGTCTCATCTGTTGAACTCTTTTCCACGGAGATTTAATTAATTAATCATGCCTATACTGTCTACCTACATGATCTCCTTTACCTATGTCCATATGTAGATGTTCCCAGCCCCAGTAACTGCTTCTAAGAAGAGTGATGACTGGTGTCTCGAATTTCATCCCAGGAATCTCTCCGGGTCTTCCCACCTAGATTTAATTAATGATGTTCATACTGCCTCACTGTATATTCCCATCTGCCCCTGATTCCATGTAGGTATGCCCAACCTCGATGTATGATTACAAATTCAACCGCTAATTACACTCTAACACAGTGTATCTATAATTAAAGTTAATCAACAGATGCAGATGCAGTTTAAAGAAACCACATATCCAGCCACCTACGGCATATTGCAGTGGAGATACCTGAACTCAAGTAAACAAGTTGTTGAATATAAAATCAGACGTTGACGGTGGGCAGATGTTGACTCTGGAGGAGGCTGGATGTATCTACTATAAGGCGAGGGTAGCGGTGACGGTGTGAAGAGACAATCAATATACGGAAACGGCTAAGCACAGACACAAAGTAATAGGTGGTGGCTGCGAAGGTAGTCTACTTAATACTTTTTAATAACTGAGAAACAACTGATCGCCGGTGTCGGCGTGTTGCTGAGGAATGTCGAAGATCCTTCGTTGTCCTGTCAATCTATATTACTCCATACTCTCATATCATGCCTATTTTAGTTTAGCGTGGCCTAGTCAGCATCATATATCTATGCAGGGGCTTCTAGCCACTAATTATCCGAGACTTCCAACTTCAGCCAGTTCACCTCATCAACATAATGATAAACTTGTCTCCATGGGAGTATGGGTAGGGAACGTGCCGGTGTAGTAGGTATGTGCCCACGATTAGGCTTCATTGCCAATTCCGGCGATACGAGCAGCAGTATAACCTCCAACCGCTCTAGACACAAGACGAAATCCTAAATCTGCACTCCATGTCAAGGTTTCTCGGGCAGCTCACACGAGGTCGGAACCCGAGAGGCTCAATTAGACGAAGACGAGGAAAGTTGGCTTTTTGACTTGGAGAGATCCGGTTCGGTTGACATTTCCGCAGCAGAGATGACAGGGATCTAGTGTCCATGGTACTCAAGGCGGTGATCGCTCCCCGTATCCTCTTATAAACAGGTTGGAGGAAATCCAAAACACCATCGTTTATTCAATCTATAGTATTGCCATTTTCTCTTTTCGTCTACCTCCCTGCTTGACCGGTGGCGTTCAGGATCGGATACTCTATGATAATCGGTCTTCATTACTATATGCAACTCGCACGGATGCCAGCTTGGCTAGCTCAACTATAAAAATGAAATAAGAGAGGAGAAAAATTCAAGTCAAGGTCGGTTTTGTACTTCACAGGGTGGTAGTGGCAAGTGTATAGAGAATGATGCAAGCCAAGGGATCAGAAATAGTGGTAGCAAGTAATACAGGACTGCGCCAACGTCAAATCGCATAGAAAGAGCACCTGCGCGTCAAGGAATTATGATGAAGAATCCAGGAGAACCAAAAGGGATATGAAAGTAGACTCCATGGCTAGCCTAGTTTGGCCTTGAGGGACTCGACTTCAGCTGCAAGGGTTTGCATATGCTGCGCTTGCGCCGTAATCGTCTTGGTCTGTTCCGCGATGAGAGCTTTGATGGTCTCAATTTCCCGCTGGACCGCATCGGCCACGACAGCGGCACCCGTTGACACGGCTGACTCTACATTGCCGGCTGCTATGGAGATGACGGGAGAAGCGGCAGCGGGGGATGAAGATTCAGGTGTCGATTGCGAGATAGAGGTCTGCCCGGCAAAGTCAGCATCGAAATTGGTGGAGAAAGTAATGTGTAATCTTGACTCGAAATGGGCAATGTCTTACCTGTAGCTTGCTATCCACCTTCTGCTGTGCCGTAGGTGTCTCGACGACAGGCGAACGAACACGGGGTTCCGTCGGATTGGAGACCTCTTCGAAACTCGAGTTCTCGTCTTCCTCAGACTCCTCTTCCTTGTCTGCAAATTTCGAAACCATCGCGGCCATTGAGGCTCCCTGCTCCTTCATGGACGGCGCTGGTCGTACCACAAGAGGTGTTGATTCAGGGGCAGGCTCAGGGGCCTTCTTTACAGTCGCGGGCTCAGCAGGCTTCGGCTCCGGGGCAGTCGAGGTTGGCGTAGGCTTTTCTTGAACACCAGTTACCTCCTTAAGTCCTTCACCGTCGTAGAGACTAGCCATTGAGATCTTGGGTGGGATGGCCTCCTTCCCAGCGAACCATTCTGCAGGGCCCATGGCGGGCTTGAGACCAGTTGTGGGCGGGTAAATGTCATCTTGGAAAAGCTCCGAGCGGCGAGGAACAATAAAGGAAATAGGTTCAATGTACGTGTCATTCACTGTCTTAAAGGCACGCGTGACCTCGTTCTCATGAATGTTAACACCGCGTTTTGGCATGAAGGCGATACCACGCTGGGGTTCGCTGGACTTGTACTCGGAGAGGTATTCGAATTTGTCGTTCTCCAGTTCGAAGTAGCGAATATTACCATCACTGGATTTGATCAGACAAGGCACTAGGGCAAAGCAATGAATAGAATAGACTCCTGCTTACCCTCGTCCAGCAAGATACAAGCATTGTGTACCCTCATCCCAGAAGGGCATGCACACGCCAGAGATCGAATCAAGGGTCTTGAAGCCATTGATAGGCTCGCGAGGTGCGCGGATATCCCACAGAGCTAATTGACGATCACTCATTTTCGAGAAGCCGGTGGTTGCAACCCGATCGCGCTCGCCCAACCACACTGCACGACTATTTTTCGCACCTGAGTGGCCTGCTGTTTCATGCGCAGGACGTTCTTGGCGCACGTCCCAAAACCGGAGCTTCTTGTCCCGGGACGTTGTAACCAGAAGAGAGCCATTGGCACTCCAAGACTCCGATTGTACCATATCACCCACTTTCAGGGTCAGCTTAGCCTTTCCAGCTTCGATATCCCAAATCTTGACGGTGAAATCGCCAGAAGCTGTTGCTAGAATGTTTTCTGCGGCTGGGTTGAAGATCACATGTCCGATTTTTCTGTCTCGAGTTTAGCTGACATCTTTTTCGGGATGTCTCGAGGAAGGTAGACTCACTTAGGATGACCGCTTAACGTTCCCACGGGAGCAATGTCCTGGATTTCATCCGGGCTGGCGTTGGGACGGACGGTGAAGTCCTCGGGCACCCGCCAGAGGAAGGCCTAGAATCACATCAGCACAGAACACAGCGCATAGGGACAAGAAGATGGGAATACCTTGCCATCATCGGAACCAGAAGCGATCAGGTTATCGTTAAAAGGATTCCTAAGAAAATTAGTGCTTGCGCCTCCTGGAAAGAGGTTGCTTGAGGCTGTAAGCAGTGCTCACCAGTCGGTGTCCAGAACAACGGCCTTGTGACCGCGGAACAGAGGAATCTTCTCTGGCAATTTCCCTCGCTCGTGAAGGGGTATCACAGCAAATGCACCTCCACCACCGGCCTCCCAATTTACCGCAAGATATTTCGGATTGACCTAGGGGCGATGTCAGATGTGATTGCGGAGGGAGGATAAGGGATGAGGGGCTCAAGCAGGCGGACCTTGACCAGATTCGTATCCCAGGCATTTGTTGAGACTCGGAGATTATCATAGCATTGATCCTAATGAAATCATGAGCATTTAGAAACGTGTTCGATGTTTCTATGGGCGAAGTTGACGGCGATGCGAACCTTTCTTGTCGGCCGCCCGAAGACGTGTCCTAACAGTCGGGGAAGAAAGCTGTCAGCAGGCTTCGAGATTCAGGGAGGAGAGAAGGGAGATACTCACGATATTTCGAAGAACGCACGAAACGGCCAGACATGGTTCGCAACTGTGTGAGGGGGAGGAAACTACAATAAAAGGGATGGAGGATTAAGGATTAAGGAATAACACCAGACACACGACTAGATATGTGTCTATCGGAGCTCAGCCTGCGACGGGACGGGATGCGGGCAGTTAGCGCCAACGCTGAAACACTCTGACAGTCCCTGTATCAGCCACGGCGCCATGTCCAGAAGCCCTGGGATGGGCGTAGATTGCTTCAATTGAACAGGAGTATAGAGCAGGTAAATGCCCAGAGAGTGACACTCTTGAATTCCTTGATTGATGAAGATGAATGCCTCCTGAGAGAGCAGAGAGCGCGCTGATCCTGTACAGACTGTGTACTGTCGAAGGGAGCAATACGGTGTAATTACGCCGTTGGGAACAACGTCACATGAAATCACGTGCTAACCATTCCCAAACAGGACTAGCTTGTATGAGGACTAAGCAGAGTTTATTTACCGCTTTTGGTCTCTCGGGAAACCACCAGGAATTGCTGCTTTGGACTTCCCGCAACACTCCAGCTGCCTCTGGGCCGTATATGATCCTGTCAACTTTCTGTTTCTCGATTGTCTCTTCGTGTTATTGTTTGCTTACACGCCCTCATCCCATCGCCAGTCGGGTGTGAGTGTCCCTGGACGACTCTATTTTCACGCCATGCAGGACGAAAACATGCTGGAGGTAATATCCCCACGGCGCATTACAGGTTCATTGCAGCTCCAATTCATACTCACAATGCCATTAGGCTCCCTCCGGGGTGCCCCAAACGGGTAGCATCCACGCTCGAAGTCATTTAAAGGAGATGACCCAGGCTGCTGCCAACGGGAGGTCCCTGATTCCGCAGCCACGTAGGTGACTTGAGGCGGGTATGTCTGCTTATATACTAACAAAAACAGAGAAATCTCGAGCGCAATGCGCCCCGTCGTCCCCAGAGCGCAGGAGGGTGGCATCGATATCAACGTCGCGCCCCACAAAGAGCTCAGTGAAGGGCCATAGCAGGGTCAACACTTTCTCGGCTTCGTCACGCACACAACCTAGCGCATCCTTTTCTTCGACAGTTGGACCCGGTGCGCGGCCTCCCTCCTATCCCGCGAAGCGACCACACTCGTCCCTATCTGAGTCCCGGAAAAGGATCAACCCGTCTATTTCCCGACCTGCAACTTCGCTGGATACCCATGAAGAGGAAACGGCTGGGCATGGAAAGAAGCATAATGGTAGGCAATACCTTCATCGATCTGCTTCCTGTATTTTACCCCGAGAATGGTCGTCTAGGGGACGTGGTAATGGTTTTCTGAAGAGCCCCGGTATTCAGGCGCGGCTTCGTCGAGGAGTAACGCATGCCACTGGTGGTGAGGAGCCAGAATTGTCTGCTACCCTACACAATCAGACTTTCAGCCCGACTCCCCTTAAATATATGGATCCCCTATCCCCATTGCCCACCCATTATGGACCTCCCAAACAGTCCCCATCAAAGATTCCCAAATCTTCTACCCCTTCCAAGCAGGCTAGAAGTAGGCCACCATCTGTCCCTTCCAAACGCTCGTCACAAACCCCCACCTTACCACCCTTTCTCAACAAGTATTCATCGATCAGATCGTTTAACTGTTCTGCAGGAAACAGCTGGGATATAGACACGAAAATGAAATCAATGGAGAGCTTTATGGAGACCCTAATGTCACAAATGAATCAGGCTGGACAATCGTCGTCTGTCATGAAAGAGACAGTGGAACTGTATAAATCGCAAGGTTGGTAAACCGGATAGTTGTTGCAGCAAGTCAGGTCTGACAGGGACGAACAGTCAGCGAGTTGAAGACGGCAAACAATGAACTCACTGAGTCGAACTTGTCCTTTCGCGTGGAACTTGAGACAATAAAAGCCCATCTGGCCAACACGGAAAATGCTCTTAAAGCTGCCGCTAGGGATCATGAGATTGCCGTGGACGATGCTGAACGACGTCACCGCGGTGAATTAGAAACTGCAAGGCAGGAAAGCAAGAAGGAGTTGGAAGCAGAAATATCCCGCCAACAGGAAGAGGCCCGTGAGCTCAGGCGCCGCTTTGAGCGTGAACTAGAAGACGAGAAGGCGATGCGACAAAGAGAAGCCAACCAGGTAACCTCGCAATATACTATGGATATCCGACGTTTGCAAATGGAGCTGGATGGAAGAGATCAACAGATTGCCAAGCTGCAGAACGAATTGAAGGCTTTTAGAGATGACGTCGAGCGAGAAAGGAATAGAAACCGGGATCTTCGACAAAACCTGGACACCGCAAGTAATAATAGCGTCACCCTTGAATCGACTATCCGCGCCCTCAAGGCACGAATTGAATTCCTTGAATCGGGCCGAGAAGAGCAGTCTCAGGCTTTTGAGCGAATCAACCAACAGATGCTGGATGCAGTTGCCGAAACAAATGCAACAAAGGAGAAACTGCGACAGGAAGAGACGCTGAGACGAAAACTCCACAACCAGGTCCAAGAACTCAAAGGCAACATCCGTGTCTTCTGTCGAGTGCGTCCACCGCTGGACCATGAATCAGAAACACACGTGGCTGAAATCCAGTATCCAGACCAGTCGGAAGAAGCAAAAGAGATATCCATCCTAGGACCTGAGGAACGGAACACTTTTGGTGCGGTCTCGAGAAAGAACAATGTATTTTCGTTTGATCGTGTGTTTGAGCCATCTGCACAAAATGCTGAAGTGTTTGAGGAAATCAGCCAGCTCGTCCAAAGCGCGCTGGATGGTTATAATGTCTGCATATTCTGTTACGGGCAGACTGGAAGCGGCAAGACATTCACTATGTCTTCTCAAGATGGCATGATTCCCCGGACCATTCTTCAGATCTACGATACTGCCAAGAGTCTAGAGGACAAGGGATGGAAGTACACTATGGAGGGCAATTTTGTCGAGGTCTATAATGAGAACCTGAACGACCTCCTCGGGAGAGCTGAGGAATTGGACAAGAAGAAGCATGAGATCAGACATGACTTGCAGAGATGCAAGACTACCATCACCGATATCACCACGGTGCGACTCGATTCACCAGAAATGGTCGATTCTATCCTCCGTCGGGCGGCTGCCAATCGTACTGTGGCCGCCACTAGGGCCAACGAACGATCTTCGCGATCACACTCGGTCTTCATCCTCAAATTGATTGGAGAAAATGCCTTCACTGGAGAGCGTAGCGAGGGAACCCTGAACCTGGTGGATCTGGCAGGCAGCGAACGCTTGAGCCACAGCGGAGTCACGGGAGATAGACTGAAGGAGACACAAAATATCAACCGCAGCCTAAGTTGCCTGGGCGATGTGATCGCAGCCCTGGGACAAGGGAAGGAAGGCGGACACATCCCTTATCGGAACAGCAAGGTACGTAATGCATGAAACATGCGTGGATGAAGGCTTACAATATGATTCCAGCTCACTTATCTGCTTCAATTCTCCCTGGGTGGAAACTCCAAGACCCTCATGTTCGTGATGGTCAGTCCTCTCCAGCAGCATCTTTCAGAGACTTTGACGAGTCTCAAGTTCGCCACGAAAGTGCACAACACACATATTGGAACGGCCAAGCGGCAGGCCCGGGTCCGTGATTGTTAAATAATGATGATATGATTCTTTTGCGCTGTTTACGATTTCTATTTTGTGTCTCTCTTCTTATTGTTCCAAGATCCACCCCTTGAACATAGGATCGGTTTCCCTGAAATTTTGGAGTTGCTACTTGTTCTCTGTTCCTCCTTGGCGCGATTGAAGGTATTTCAAGGTTGTTTTTATTGGTCAGTCTATAATGCCTGTAGATAGGTTGTTACTTATTAATAAGATGGACCAGATTGAATTTGTTGGATGTGTTTCAATGTGTTGAGTATCCATGGACAAATATTGCCAACTCTTAAAACATAAGGGGCTCGAATTGAACGAATTGAATTTGTGTGTCACACTTTGGCTTCACAATGCATACTTTCTGTTATTCCAATATGAACGGGAATTATATCTACAACCCCCCAAACATTCTGCTGACGCCGGCATCAATCTGCTTCGATTTAGTCTCAATGGCACTGGTATCGAGAATCCCATCTTCGCAAATAATAGTATTGATCAGCCTCAACGGCACCCACTCGAAATAGATATTCTTGATGTGGACGGTAATATTGCCGTCCTCGTGGTGAGATAGATAGGGCTCGAGAACATCTATGCCCTTGACGTGACCCGTGCGCCAACTGGCGGTGACTTCCCTAGGATCATTCTCTTCCAGAAGAATCTCGTCGGCGGGGCTGATCTTATCGGTCTCAGTGAGAACGACGACGTCCAGATTGGGCCAGGTGTATGTTGCGCCGAGGACGGCGGGGAGGGAGCCGATCTTGTTGCATACGCCGCCCGAGGAGGAGATGCGGTCTGCGCCGAGGAGAAGGACGCCAGCTTTGTCTGCTGCTGTGACGGCGGAGGCGTCTGTGTAGAGGGATATCTGGAGTTTCTTGTCTGACGGGAGTTGTGAGGATTGGATGCGAGATTTGAACTGGGAGACGAGGGAGGCGGCGAGGGCGGCGCCTTCATAGAGAGGGCGGGATTCCAGGATGCGGAGGTCGAGAATTTCGGCGTCTAAGTCAGCAAAGGCGTCGAGGATTGTGTCGTGGATGGTGGAGCTGGAGGAGACGGTGAGGATTCGGACGCTATTCCTGTCTTCGTCGGCGGAGAAGGACTTGGAGCGGAGGTAGTTTGCAAGAAAGTTTTTGATGCGTTGCGTCATGCCGGCGCGGTTCGCGATGTGTCTGTCGATGATGGAGAGGATGGTGGTGAACTTCTCCTTGTCGTCTGTGTTTTGCTTGACAGTTTCTTCGAGCTCGTCGAGGATGGTCAGCAGTCCGTTCAGGATGGCTGCGCTCATGGACGGACGGCCGTTCTTAGAGAGATGCCATGCTCCCATTCGGACTGTGTCCCACCATTTCTCATCCACCTTATTGTCCGGCATCTGGCTGATGAATTCCTTGAATATCTGGAGGGCAATAGTTGTCAACTGCCTCGAGCCGCTCACGTGGTCATCCATCAGCGTGCGTAGCCCCTTCGCCAATGCCCTCGCCGCGGGCTCGGAGAAGTCTTTCTCGAAATACACGCGTCTCAGCGTATCGACCAGTCTGGGGACACCGGGAAAAGAAGGGTCATCCACGATATCGGCCGGATCATGCCACTGCCATCCTTCATGTTCCCAATCAATACGAAGGCCCTGTTCGCCTTTGCCCCCTTCCTCGAGCGTCTTCAACCGAAACGCGAAGGGATGCACCGTCCATTCGCGCTGCACGGATTCATCGCTAAAGGTAAACGCCTTCCCGGTTCGCCACAGTGCTAATGATTGCGACGTCAACGTTGTTTCTTCTCGAAGCTCGCGCCATGCTGCCTCGATAGCAGTTTCGTGATTCTCGATACTACCGGATATAGGGGCGAGGTGGTGACTGGCATGAATGGTGATTCGAGTCAGCGACAGGTCCTCGGGGGGAATTGAAAAATTAACACTTTTAAGCAGTCCTGAGCGCTCACCGGTACGTGCTCACTTTATCACTCCGCCTGAACAGCGCCACTTGGGGCCTTTCGAGATCGCCGTGGGGGAACCGGAAGATCAACGAGGAAACGACCGCTCGTCTCTTGAGGGGCTGGCTTGCCATTGTCCTATCGTGCTATCTACTTATGACATGTGGTAGATGAGATGAACGATAACTCTGTGATTGAATAGCTGTATATGCCTGTTAATATACATGTTTTTGTTCTTCAGAGAGACAGTTACTCGAGACATTCGACAGTTGATGATGCCATCATGAGACAACCATCAGCTGATTAGGGTGTAGCCCTATATGTTCCATCAACTCCATCATTGACACCCCGCAGTTTCTAACGCTCTCGACGAGCCTACCGAGATATCCGGGTATTGGAAAGAGTAGGATGGACTAGGCTGCGTAGTGTTCGTTTCGATACAGCTTCGAGAAATCCGACGCAGGAACGGCCTCCTATCTACGGATCGTAAGCAGCTTGTTTGAAAACTCGATTGCGGATTACTTCCCCGCATTTGATGAATTTATGGATTAACCAACTAGTTAGCTAGATTCTAGACATGCTTATTAATATGTAAAGGTGTCGATGTGCGTCCACAAATATGTATGCTGAATCTGCTCTGATCAGGGATAGAGCATATTGATTACTGATATTTTCTTTCCTCCGTCCTCCATAAACTGTTTTGTCGTCGCGAACCGATGACATCATCATGAAGTCCTCTTGAGGAATGGCGGTACCACGCCGGCAATGCATCAATGCCAGACAATAATGAACAAAAAAAGAAAAAATAAAAAAGAAAAAAAGAAAAGAAACTCATGACTCCATATAATCCCATTGGGCCCGTCCCAGTGCTGTGTGTTCAACAGCGACTTTCCTGCAACGGCGCTGGTCGTTGTTCCTGCAGCGAAGACTGCAGCTGTAGGTCCTTGGCCCTTTTTCTAGATACCCGGAGGGGTTCCACATAGAAACACAACAACTGCTCATGAAGACAGTTGGAACAACGCGGCAGGGACCGGTCACATTCGACTTTCCGCATGCGACAAGTTCGACAAGGGAAGGTCTCATGGTCTTTGTGTGCATTATCTGTCGCGTGTGAGCCGTCTTGCGAGTTTCCGATTACACCAATCGTAGACTGTCCAGAGACGCGTATGGAGGTTTCAGCAGACGCCGAGACAATGCTGTCATTGTTGTCGACCGTGGTCGATGTTGTTCCCGCAGTCGTCCATCCAGAACGTAGCCATTGGGAAAAGCGTCTCAGGGGGGTAATGTTGGATTCGGGGACTTGTGGAGTGCCTCCCTCAGGCAGTAGACAATGCGCTTGATGAATATTCATGTTTATAGTCAGGTTTCTGGTTATGTCGCGTCGCCTTATGTTTGAATTGGTGACTGTGTATGTGTGTGCCTTGGAAATTTGGTGTTCAAGCAATCTGAACTACAAAGTAGTGGCAGTGAACAGCCTGAAATTCAACTCTGCATAAGGAGATAGAAAGAGTTCACTTATGAGCCAGTCAGCATGTCATATGTAGGTAACAATGACAATAACGAGTGGTCAAATGGGATGCCTCAGGACAAACCTCGCAATGACCGAGTGCTTGAGTCGAATACCCAAATAATAGTTCAAAAGACTGCATTTGCTTGAAGTTTGAATTTAGAAAGTAGAAAGTAGAAAAGTCCAGTTGAGAAGCCGAAGGCGCGTCGAAGACAACTGTCAAGGCACAACAGGCACACGGTTCCACACCCGTTGCGCCTCCACGTATGGCAAACTTCACAAAGGACCCTGTTAGAGGAGGGATTAAAAGCCGCAGGGCCTCTGATTCACAATATACTGTCTATTGATGAATCAGTGATGAATGTGCGAGGGGAAGCAAACTGACGTGGGCAGAGGACGTGCACTGTATAGAGAGGGCTCGGATCATCAAGCTCCCCACGGCACCAAGTAGACAGGTCATCCTTTCAGGCAACCATCGTTCCTTCTGCTGTTGTTATTCACTAATAAATTATCTTACATCCATCAGGTTGCAATTCACTGGTTTAAGCACCCCTAGTTGACTCTCACTCACTTTTATATCCACCTATTCAGGCCTGTCTGTGAGGGTATCTTTGGTCCACAGTAAGGAGATTTCTACTCCATACCAGTTGAAGGAACAATCCAAACAGATACAGTCTTGATGAGATTGATTTATCTCAGCCATGAAAAGGATCTTCAGACGGTCTTGTTAATAGTCGATCGAAGATGCTGATCGAAGCAGCATGTACGAACAATGAAATCACCGACACCCTCGCAAATGACGCAACTCTTATGTCCCGATATATTACTGAGATGCAGTGAGAGAACCTCGATATTTCCAATATAATGACTTTTCTAGTTCAGAATTGCCTGGTCTAACCCTATGAACCCGCGACAATGGGCCCCATGCGCATATCCGACCGCATCAAGCAAGACCACCGTGAGATCGAGTCGTTGTACCAGAAAATCATCCAATCCTCAGATACGCATGAACTCGTCCGACTCCAGAACATGTTTACGTGGGAACTGGCCCGCCATGCAGTCGGAGAGGAGCTCGTTCTATATCCTGCGTTCGAGAAGTACATGAGAGACGGCAAGGATTCGGCAGACAAGGATCGTCGTGAGCACAAAGTGGTGTGTGTTAAGACGATATTTCATCCTGGAGCGTGGCCTAACATAAATCTCCCAGATAAAAGACAAGCTCAGACAATTCCAAGAATTGCTCGTCTCGGACGCACGCTTTCATCCGTACATCACATCGTTGATGGAAGATCTGAGCAAACATATCCAAGAAGAGGAGGAAATCGATCTGGTCAGACTGGAGCAGGCTATTACGGACACTGAAAGCGAGAAGCTTTCCAAGTCCTTCAGCAGAACTAAGATCTTTGTTCCCACTCGTTCCCATCCTGGTGCGCCAGATAAACCGCCGTTTGAGACGGCCGTGGGTCTTTTGATGGCGCCTATAGATCGTCTGCAGAATATCTTCAGGAAGTGGCCAAGTGGTGAAGTCACCCCAGATCCGTCGATGTAGTCGTTTCAGTGGATACACAAATCTAGTGTGTGTGTGTGGTGTTGAAATGATATATATACACTGGTATCACCAAGTTCAATTACAGTGCATTTCTTCTATCCATATAAATAAACACAATATCCCTGTCTATACACAGCTAAACAGCAACACGATCCATTCATGAACTCTCCTCCGACTGTCTACTCATTTCATCCAACTTTTCCCCAGCCCTCTGCTTACCCCGTTCACTATTCCGGGGATTTTTCTGAGCTCTAATTCGATCCAGGTTAGTTTCACTCCCATAAAACCAAGGAAACATAGCCTCCGAACTCACGCTTTCAACCCAGCCGCAACGCGGAACCCGACTTTATTAGGATCGCCTCTAGCAGAATACAGATCCTGCCGCGGCTTATCGCCCTGGAGCTCATTGTCCAGAACATCTTGGGCATGCTGTTTAGCTTGATCAGACACGCGGGGATTATGGAGAGTCCTGATAATTCAATTAGTACATGAAAATATATGTATCTTTATCAGCTCCCGGCTGAGAACTTACGCCTTATATCCGCGAACAGCATTCACGCGGTCCTCGGTCGAGGCTGAGACGTCGTTGTCTTCTCTCGAGTTGGACATGGTTTATTATTTTATTCCCTGACTGATTTTGATATGGATTCGCGTAGTTCGACTGACTTGTGCGTAGTTACCATGGGAAGCAAGTGTCACAGATACGTTTTAATATAAAATGTTCCTGAAGAGAAGGAAGGGTCGATTGAATGCCTTTCTTTTCGAATAGATGGAGCGAGGCGACTCTTTCTCTTATTTCAGCCTTATGTATATATGATGCCATTTGACTTGCATTTCTTGCCTCGATCTCAATGCGGCTACATAAGGTTGATATAAGTATGCTGTCATGCATGTTGCCGCTACTAAGACGTATGGCGAATTTATGGCAAATTGAGAGCGGTTTTAGATTATATTTTCTTTCTGTTCCTTTGTATCAACGTGAGTGATGTTGTTGGATAATATAAAATGTCTAATTTGTATCAAGGCGTGCTTGTACACAGCTGGATGCTACTCTGAGCGGTGGTATCATCGAAACAACCCCAGGAGTCCACGATTATGTCTATGCCAGGGTTCTCTCTCTCATAAGATCGCTATTTAAGCCAGCAAGGCCGTATCGAGTACATGTAGTGGAAGACACGTTCGCCCCATGACGAACGGGTGAAGTCTCGGCATGACACGCCCTAAAGGGACAGCAAATAATGAAGACCGGCTGATGTCAAAATGGCGTAGGAAAAGGCAAAGTAATCCACATTTCGAAAAACGGGGTATCTGAGGGATAGATATATCGGATATGTGGCCTGGCCTGCAGTCATTGCTGCATCACTGTTTCGCTGAATCTTACCTTCTTCCATTGCCCCTCCAGAGCGCATTTTCTATGAAAGACGAAAGTATACCAGAATACTTTTTTCTCCAAAAGAAACAGAAACCGAAACAAGCAACATAAGCATCATGTCGAACAGAGAGGAAAGAGAAGCCGAAGACAACTACGAGGCGGAGAATGACGCCTCCCCGGTCACCGGCGATATTACAGACAACTCATATCTCAGGGAAACCCGCGGGGTGCTGAGAGCCGACGACCAGTTGCCCGTTATTCCTGACCAGGCCGACTATGATGATCCGATGCAGCCTCCGTATTCGAATTCCAATGAACAGTTGGGTATGTATATGCGTTTTGTGCAGTTGCGCCTTTTGTCTCCACTCGCTTTCGCTGTCTTGAGCAGGTCTGCTGGGTAGGAAGTGCTAATGATACCAATAGCGGACGATGAGAGAGAGGCGATTGATCAGAACAATATTCTCCCCGGTGACAGGCTGAGACATGCGAAGGCTCGAACACAGAATGCATACAATGAGGGACCTGATGAGAGTGATCTCCCTACTGACGTCCGCGAGGGGAACCAGGGAAGATCTGGTACCAAGAGGATTACATAAAGTGTTTGATACTGCTGTGATGTACTTATGATGAGAACGTAAATCAGATCACCAGATATAGTTTCCAATGTTGATGGATAGATTGCACGTGTACTATACACCTTCTCAGTTATTATTATCTCTAGGCGATATTATCTCCAACAGACATGTCAGAGGACAAGTGGTAATTCTGCACGCGATCGAGTCGCTCGGACCTCCGGTCTCGCCAAAACAGTAACTAGGTTACGAATCCGTCTTGATGAAAACCTTCCCGATCAATGGTCCAGTTCGCTGTAGACAAGTCATAGACCTGCCTCACTTGTGTTGGTGACAGACGAAGAGCGCGGCCGTCGACAAGACTAGACTAGAAGATCGTCATGGCACGAGAGTATTTTATAAAAGACTTTACCATTACCCACGGAAGCTGCTGTTTCACAAACGCTGATCAACTCTCGATGCTGCCCGATCCTCCACTTGCAGTGCAACCCGATAGACGTGGCTCTCATCGTAGAAATAGCCTTTGATCGCCGAGGTTAACAGTCTTGGGAACCGGGATTGAGATCGGCGGGGTAATTGACTGCTCACAACAAGTTCCACAGAACGGTCTATGCAGACCGCTGAAGCAGGGATACCGAGCAATATTACTATTATGTTTTCGGCGAAGCAATTGTTGACATTGCAGTGGAAGTTGAGAGTGAAGAAGGTGAAGAAGTCTGGAGGGAGACGAGGCAAGCCACCGCTAGCCAGATCCGGCTCCACCAGCCACCGTGCCTGAAAATCACATGAAACGCGCTGTGGCTGTACAGGGCTAGCCCTATTGGGGCAAGCGCTGTTTCCATCTCTGCCTGTCTCTTCTTCTTCTCCATCCCATTCTTCTCCTTGCAAATACAACCCCTGAGCATCGACGTGGACATCCAATTATCATGGAGGCAAACCGTCTCATCGATCCACGATCAGAGCATCCATGGGCTGACGGACTTTTCCGTTCCAGCCTCTTCCCGGGGTGCGTGGCCGCCCCCACCGGTGTCTAGACTTCCTTAGCCTCGAAGTCTCTTCACCACTTGTGCCTTATCAACATAGACGGTGCAGCATACAGTGCCCATGCCATGACTTGCATATCGGGAAATGCAATCGACGCTGCAAGGATATTAATCCAGGTGTGATTGCGGAATTGTTCGGAAATCCTGCAATGTGCAGTTTATTGGCATATTCTCATTACGCTCATCTATGATCCGAGTAAGTTACTAGTTATTCTCCGGAGTCCGAATAATGTAAAGGAGATGTTAATGTATCATGTTTCAGATGATGCCGTCCACTCGCCACATTGATCCACACCGTGTTCCGGCCAATGTCTGTGCGGCAAGAGCTGATAACCGCTGGATGTCTAGCCCTCTGTGTACTGCGCCCTCTGCACCATCTGGGCCAGGGACGGCACAGTTCTACGCCCAGTCATACTGCGACAGCTGGGCTGCCCCTTACGCAAGTCTGGTTACAGCTCAAACATGCCTCCTCCAATAAGACAATCTACCCGTGGATAATAATAACCTTTCGAATCCAAGCTTTCAAGGCAGCCCTGCCGTCTTCGTTCTCGCGCGAGTCTTTGACACATTCCTTACATACTTCACTTCTCTCCCATTTCTTTCACTTTGTCTTCGTCTCTTTCTTTGTCTCTTAGAATTCCCCCTGTCGCTCTTTAGCTAATCGGGTACATCATTCTGCCCGCATACATCTTTACGTTGTGACAACCTAGACGGCGTCCCTTCTTTGTGGGCCTTTTGGACCATCTTCTGTCCCTTCTTGATCACTCTCTCTTTGTCCTTCACCTGCCATATTATCTTCATTCCCTCTCTTTGAAGGCTCGATTTTTATTCTCGATTCCTCTACCAAGGATGCCGTCTTCATCGCTCTTGCTGAGCGTTGCTACGCTTGCCATCTCCACCTTGGTCTCTCCCAGTTCAGCTAGCTCCGTTTTTCGACGCGCAGGCGCTTCGTACCAGCTTGTTGAGTCATGGCAAGGGGAGAGTTTCTTTGACTACTTTGATTTCTTCACGGAGACTGATCCTACTCACGGCTTTGTCACCTACCTTGACCAGAGTAGCGCAGAATCCTCCGGGCTTGTCAACGTCACTTCGAGCGGTAGTGTCTACTTGGGCGTCGATCACACTACTGTCCTGCAGGACAATGGCCCAGGCCGAAACTCTGTTCGTATCAGCAGCAAGAAGTATTATGAACAGGGACTCTTCATTGCCGACATCCAGCACATGCCCGGGAGTATTTGTGGTGTCTGGCCCGCGCTCTGGACTGTTGGCAAGGACTGGCCCCAAGATGGTGAGCTTGATATCATCGAGGGTGTCAACCAACAACAAGTGGATGAAATTGTTGCACACACAGGGGGCGAGTGCACCCTCACCAACACTGGTATGACGGGCCAGGTCACCGCCTCCGACTGCAGTTTACAAGGTGGCACATCAGGTTGCACCGCCAATGCTGGGCCTGGTTCTTACGGCAACTCCTTCAATGAAAACCAGGGCGGTGTATATGCCATCGAATGGACCTCGGATTTCATCAAGATCTGGATCTTCCCTCGCAGCTCAATTCCCGAGTCCATCACCAGTGGTAACCCCGACGTCTCGACCTTTGGAACCCCTGTCTTCAGGTTGGAGGATTCTTGCAAGGTCTCAGAGCAATTCTTGTCTCAGCAATTCATTATCGACACCACTTTCTGTGGCGACTGGGCCGGTGGGGTTTTCCTCAACTCGGGCTGCCCGCTGAGCAATCCCAACGATGCTACCCAAAGCTGTGTGAACTATGTTGCCAGCAACCCTTCGGCCTTCACTGAAGCATACTGGGAGATCAACTACATCAAAGTGTATCAGAATACTACCGGACAGGCATCCTCGTCTGTAGCTGTTCCCAGTTCATCTTCTGTGGTGCCGGCGTCCGAGTCTACTCCTGCTCCTGTTGCTACTTCTAGTGTCCCTGGCGACCCCCCGTCCGGAAGCACTCTGCCTTCCCCGGCGGACACTCCTGGTGCCACGGTTCCTTCCGCCACCACGGAGCTTGTTGTTCTCACAACTACCATTTGCCCAGAATCTCTTGCCACTTCCACGACTCTCGTTGGTGGATCCAGCGTCGCTCCCATTGCCTTGAGTGTTGTCGAGAGTCCTAGCCCTGAGTCTCCTGCTCCCGAAATTTCTACTCCTAATGCCCCTGGCCCGGCCCCCACCAGTCCTGGTTTCTCGGCTGCCTCGCCTCTCTCGTCCACGTTGGCCATTTCACCCTCTCCGTCGGTGACTCCTGTCATCCCCAGTGGCGCGTCTCCGGCACCCTCCAGCTTCGTTCCTGTGGAGTCCTCCTACCTTGCACCCCCCGCCAGCTCAACTGTTTCTGGGAGCTCTTATCTTCCACCTGGCGCTTCCTCGGCATTCCCTCTTGCCACTGGTGCTGCGAACAAAGCCTCCTTCGGGATGCCAGGTGTCATTGGAGCCGTGGCCATTGCACTTCTCGTGTAACAATGACCCTGTGGGGCTTGTATTGATGGTGGATATTTGAAGTATGTCTTGTCCCGTGAGATCGTCTGTTCGTTTCATTGTAGAATTACGTTCGAACTGAGTTTTGGCCTTGTTATCCTGGGCAAGAGTCCGAATTTTTAGTTAAATACTTTTTTTACCCACCTAATGTGCTTTCACTCCACTTGATTGGAACCGACGGGTGTTTCAGTCTAGAATAGAACAGTAGTGTAGCATTATTTACTCTTAATCCACTGGAATAATTAACAACGTTGCCATCGCACAATTCCTCAGTCATGTCCACCTCTCCAACCAGTCCTTTACATAGTTCTCCAATATCCCACCCCGAATAACATCCATCTCTGCTCCGCGCAATGTCTCACTTTCCCTCTCTGCCCGATCTGTTCGGAACTTGAGCTTGAGCGTATTACCAGAGTACATAGCGTCGTAGTGCTCGATTAGCTTGACGGCAGGATTGGCATGTTCTTCCCCCCTTTTCTCGCTTTCTCGGAGCAGCGCAAGCCATGTCTCGAAGGGGACTGCGGTAAAGGCGAGTCCCTGGTTACGGAGAAGAGCTAGAAGGAAGGACCAAGGGAATGTTTTCGGGTTGCAGATGTTGTAGACTGTGTCGTCTTTTTCGTTCTCATTTTTACTGTTAGTATCGTTTTCTTTGTTTGGGTAGTCCTCCTTTCGGTCATCCGTAGACGTAGACGTAGATGTAGAAGAATCTAGTCTCGACCGCGCAATTTCAATTATCACCTTCCCCAGTATATCAACCGGTATCCAGGAACAAGTCTCGTTGAGAACTGGTAATACGCGCATCGTCAAAGCAGACCGGATCATGAGTGGGACTGCTTCGGAGTCGTTCCATAGTCCCCTTGATGAATTCCCTGATACCTGTCCGATGCGGAGGGAGTAGGTCCTCGCGTTCGCTGAGGACCGGGCTATGCTTATTATTCTCTCGCCGATGAGCTTGGATTGTGCGTAGCCCATGTGTAGGGCTGGACTGGGGTCTTTCAAGAGTTGTTCTGGGATTTCCATTTCCATTCCCGCTGGTACGCCATGGTTGTGGCCCATCCTCATAGCTGTAGAAATAGAAGAACAGAACATGAGAACGGCCGGATCTGGCATCTCGACATCCAATGAGAATTGAATCAAATGGCACAATCCTTTGATCTGTTCCTCGAATGTTCGTAGCGGGAGTTGGAAGTTCACGGGCCACGCGGTGTGGATGATCAGTGAGACAGTCTGCCGCATTTCATGGAGGATTTGTTCATTTTTTCCTCCTCCCAGACCTAGATCCAGGGTGCCGAGGTTGGATTTTAGGGCGATGATTTTTTGTTTTGAGGATTCGGAGATGGTCAGGGTTTTGTTTTGAAGGGCTTCCAGGATTGAGGCCAGGGGGTTCTCGCGGCGGGTTAGGCAGTAGACTTTTTCGATAGTGTCGTCTTTTAGAAGTTCCACGAGAGTGTGGATGCCAATTGATCCAGTTGCGCCGGTGAGAATCTGTGTCTTGTTAAATGGTGTCTTTGTTTTGATATTGGGCTGGGGCACTTACAACGCTCTTCTTGCTGTCTCCTGTAGTCTTCTGACGAGGAACATGTTTGCGGAAAGTCGCATATTTGGAAATGAGCCTCGAAATGAGTTGCAGTTCATCTTCAGCTTTATTCTCACCATCCAGATGGATATCAACGCTCTGGTTTCCATTTTGTAGCATGAATATCCTCTCTGCCAAGCGAGACACAGTCGCCGTCTCGAAGACAATATTCTGTCCGAGTTCTTTGCCATGACTCACATCAAAGTCCCGCAAAAGTAATCTCCGGAGATGAATGGCTTTGAGACTGTCCACACCAGCAGCGAAAAAGTCTGTATTTACACTGGAGACTTTCAGCCCCAGCTCTTCGTTGCAGAGCTTCAGAATGTGGGCTTCAGTATCGTCAAGACTCAGCCTCAGTGTCCCATTCCCACGTTGACCAAACTTTGCGTAAATACCATCAATCACATCAGCAAATCGATTGTAAACCTGTTCTCGGATTACGGATCCCTTGTCTGTGCGAAGACCAGGGAATGACGCCTCGTAAGGCAAGACAGCAACGGTATCTCGGGAAAGTTGGCTGAATTTCTCCGCTTTGGAGTTCACCTCTTCAACTACCGGCCAGATGGCATCTAGGTACTCCTCGCCTGAGAGGTCATTCTGACTTGCTTTCTCGGATTGGAAAACGAGCAATCCTGGCACGGCGCGGTTGACTCCTACCACGACCGCGTCATGGATCAGCGGGTGTTGCTTTATGAGCCCTTCTATTGGGAGAGGGAGGACTTTCTCGCCATTTGTTAGTGTAATCCGATCATCTAGTCTAGTCACATATTTCCAGCGTCCTGGGATAGCTGGATGGGGAGTGAAAACGTCTTTAGAGTGAAAGGATCCAGGTGGTTGGTCAGAGTTGGAAGTTGTCAGGGCTTGGTGGCCCGGGAGAAAAACACATTCGTATAGAGAGTTGGAGTTGAAGTTGGCAGAGTCCACGGTGCCATTTTCCTCGCCAAGTGGCTTCATCCAGACATATGGCTGAATGTTGTCGAAGAAGCGTAAGTAGTTCCAGAATGGATCATCTGGTGGACGAGAAATCGATTCGGCAGTGAGCCCTGCTTCGGTTCTTGACAATCATATGTTAGCTCTTCATCTCCCTCCAACAACAAGCTAATATAAAATTGAAAAAGCAAGAGTACTTACGATCCAAAGGATCCTCCGAATCTCACCCCTTCCCTAACCAGTCTGTCTCCCAACTCGTCTGGACAAGCAGCACCACCATACGTGACCAATTTGCATTTCTTCAATTCTGCTATCCCTCCATCCGTATCAGCAAGCAACTGTAGCACATATGGGACAGCATGCACGGACTCAGGTCTAGCCTGCTTCAGAGCCTTGACCAAATTATCACCTGTCACAGGTAACGAGGCATCCCACATGAAAGCGGTCTTGCGCATCCACATCGCCTGGAAGGCAGTGGAAAGACCGTGGAGATGATACCAGGGAAGCGAGTTGAAGGATGTCAATTCAGGTCCACGGAGAGGATGTGTCATGATCGCCCTATGGCTTAGATAGAGAGGTTTCGGCATCCCTGTTGTCCCGGACGAATGTAAAATGAGGGCGATTCTGTCAGGATCGGGGTTCTTGTCATGTTCAAAAGTGACTCTTGCTGTTGCGCTGTTTGAATCCGAAGACAAAGAGACCCCCATACGACAGATGGGTTGAGAGTGTACTCGCTTTAACTGCGATATTTCATCCATCGTGGTCTGGATACTGGCCGTCTGGCCATGGAGGATATTATCACATCCAACTGTATCGAGAAGAGCTACACAGGCCGTTGCAGATAGACGGGGAGAAAGCATCATGACTGTATATCCCATTCTGCTCAGGGCAAAGAAAATGGCCACCATACTGAGATCCGAGGGGGTAAGAAGAGCCACGATGGAGTGCGAGTTCTGGTTGGACTTGTCAGAGCAACATTCTTGTTGTTTTATTGATTGCACTTGACCTACCGGCTTGAATCCATGGTCCAGGAGAGCATGGACAGCATCATCTACCATCCTATCTAGATGCTGACCGGTGAGGTAGTCGTAAGAGAAACCATCCTTTTCAGAGGATGGATAGGCCAAAATAGGAACCTGGATCTCATCGGCAGCTCGAAGACGGACCAGGTCGTCCAGCATCCTCAGCTTGCCAAATCTGCGTATCAGATCTCCCGCCGACACTGGCTTGGATGGCTCTGATGCTGATGTCGCTGCCATGTTGCTGTCGTCTCGGGTGGTGCTGAGGTGTGGTGTATAGGAAGGAATCTCGGAAAGTGAAGCAGCCTGGACACGCTGAAGCTATATATATATATACATATCCATTCAGGCAAGATCCATTCACTGCTTCTAAGGAGAATTCCGAATTCCGCGATGCGCCCATGCCATGGATCCGCCCATCCCGCGTAGCATTGACAGCAATTCCCTGCGGACAAAGGCGGACCAACAAAAAATTTTGTTCATGTGAATTGCGAGAGGCAAAAGGGAAGCATTGTGGTTGTGGCTCCCTCACGCAAAAAAATGATACGACGATCCATTGTCTCTTTCAGCCTGAGCGCACAATTGCTGGGCATTTGATCCATACATGCCTAACGGGGTAATTGGAAACAAGCTGAGCAAACTGTGTCAGCAATGGATTCTAATACCTACACTGGATGTCCTAAGTCCTTACTCTTGGGTGTAAACATCGACCTCAGCCATGCCCTGCATGGATGCTGCTGTAGTTACAATAACGTAACGGTGGCAATCCTGCAGCGTCGTAACGCGACAAGATGCTGCATGCTAGCCGCAAATAGACCCAGCTGGCCTCCATCGAAACGTGAAAATTTTCTACAGCGCAAGTGTGTTCAGCTCAGCCCTGCAAATACCATAGCTAACTAGTAGCAGTAAGTAAGCAGTAAGAAGTGAGGCTGGAAGAGCACCTTCCTGTTCGGGAAATGGGCTGTCCCGCAGCGGGCACTTTCGGGCCGTCGCGGTTTCCGAACTAACGTAATCGACCTTAACTGTTTAATGAAGGTATGTCGTGTGGTATTGGTCATCTATCTAGGTAGGGTCAGCGAGGGCGGACCTATGCGGCAGAATACCACGTGATCCAACATGTTGACTTAGAAGTCACGCCTCTACACCTCCCTACCTAGTTAGTTGAGCATCGCTCCGCCTACCCCTTTTAGAAATCAACCATCTTCCTACTAGTCGTCATGGGCATGCCCCAAATCTTGAGACATTTCAACCCACCAGGCCACCAACAACACGTACAAACTTGAATAATTCAGCTGAGGAGGGAAGAGTCTTGCAATGTCAGATATCAGGAATAAAGAGATAGGCTCTATTTGTGGAGCTGCACGTGTTTCTAAAGTCTCATACCATCTGTCATGAGCTACGCCCGGGTATATTGCAAAACTCAGGCCAACGCTTGAGTACTCTGTCTGTGCCATTTGTTCTGTTTGTTGCTTGCCTATTTCCTTGTGCACAGAGGCCGCTGTCTCTTGAAAAAATCCCTCCTTGTTCTCTTCCTTCTCCAGGAATTGCTGTGTATCCAGAATACCGTTGAATTCTATATTCAGACTCTTCTTTTATCAAAGCAAGGCTCAACTGTTGGTGAGAAATGGGTGTACACCTTTGTTAACTGAGGTGATGTGCTCAAAACAAGATATTTGTCAAGATGCAGGTTTGGGGGGTCAGTGTGACGACTAGTACTACAAATACTACAAATAGATGAAGAAAAAGCAACATGCGCTATTGAGTACTATTGACATCCAGTCTTTCTTCTTTTCTCCTTTCTCCTCTCATGTCTGGTATTCGCTGAAAATAGTACTAAATAGCGCATGTTGCTTTTTCTTCATCTATTTGTAGTATTTGTAGTACTAGTCGTCACAGTTACTAAAGCTGAAATGTTTGGTAAGCTTCTTCTTATACAATGAGGCAATTGGGAATGGGTCACAACAATTAAGTGTATCAATTCTACTAGATGGGCACTTCCACCTAGGATAAAGCCTTACTACATGATTGAAGGATGGAAGCCAGTGAGAACGGATGGACAACTGATGAGATTGTGGTCCACTGGCTTAAAAGTGTCTTTATCCTATCCACTGAGGCATATACAACTGGGGCACATATATCACCGTCAGGGTGTAGGGAAGTGATTCCTTGGGAGGAAGAAGGGAGACAACGGCATGCCAGTAACAAACAGAACAAATAGAACAAACAAAACAGATGAAACAAAAGAGACAGACAGAACAAATGGTACAAACAGGGCAAGCAAAGTACTCAGGCGTTGGATCTGAGTTGCCATAATGCCTGGGCGTAGCTCATGACACAGGGTGCAGGTTCGGGACGGTCAGGAAACGGATCCAGAAAACAGATATCAATTGGATCGGACACACGGGCAGCCAGGCTGCAGGTCAAGCTATAGTACAGGCAGATAGACAAGATGTATCTCGAAGAGCTACTACAGGATCAAAACAGAAGTTGGAGATATTTCCCTCGCGGGTCACGCGTACAGACGGTGCCATTGTGCTTCATTTCAACAAGCAGATGGTATGAATTTGATTATTGGCGTTAAGCGATCAGGGTACAATGAATTTAGGGTAAATGCTGGATATATAGATTCACAGTTTGTCGAGGCTAATGAAAAAGGCAGAATCTCATCCAAGTTCTGCGCTGAATCTTCTGTATGGTTCTGAAGAAAGCTCAACTCATACATATGCATATAATATCCCGAAAAACGCTTTGATATAAAGAGATAGGAATCAAATCGACGTCCATAGCAATGCAGGCATCATGACTACCCATTTTCCATTCCTAGCGAAGAAATCGGACACCGTCGGGTCTCAAGTTGAGACCAGCCCCACATGTAGATCATGAATTTTGAAACATGGATGATGATCTTGAACCCGTTCAAGCCACCCACGAGCCCTACATGCCATGCCTCCTACGATATCTCCCCACATGTTTCATTGCAGGTAAGCTCCTGCTAAAGACCGCCATGGACCCGTCCAATGGCGGCAAAGCGGGCGTGAGAACCTTGCCCTTATTCGGAGGACCAACCCAGTTGTTATTGCTGCAATTGTCGTCGATATCATGGCATTTGGTATCCCAGATTTTGCAATGAGGATAGTCGACCGGAGAGTTGATGTCCCAACAAGCTTTGCTTTGATTCCAGCATGCGGAGGAGGACTATTTAACTAACAGGTTAGTTGTGAACGTAATGGAAGGGAAACAAGAGCGGTGGACTCCGGAAGGGTAATTAGATTGGAAGTCAACTTGCCTGCCAACAGCCGTCTTGGGTGGTGTAGTCGGGAACTTCAAAGGCACACCAGTTGTCTCGCTGGAGAATGCAACCGGCAGGCTCCAGGCCCACTTTTTGCACTTGCTCGCCGCGTCTTTCGAGTCCCGAATCGTTATCGTTAGATCTCTTGGCCGCCGGCAGACTGCAAGCTGGCAATTCTGTAGCTGCAACTGCAGCATTCGCTGAAGACGTTGCACTGGGACTGGCGGTCGGCGTGTAAACGGGAGGACCATACATAGGATAAGGCAGAGCGAGAGGTGTAGCGTAAATATTATAGGTCATTCCGGGAATACTCAAGTTATACGTCCCTTCATCAATGGATACAGTAGGAGGTTGCGCAGTACCCGATGATTGAAGAAAGATCTGAGCACAACCCACGTAGAACTGTGGGTCCGGAGGATTATTCTGCGCAGCGTGAAGAGCCAGAAGCTCAGGGCGAACCAAGTAATACCCGCCTTGGATGCCTTGGGGAATCTTCACGGAGATATGGCCATTGTTATCGATCATTTTCTCGGTACACCATTTCCCGGCGTTGTCGTCGTAGGTGGACTCCCAGATTTTGAACCAGCCATCACCAGCGGCGTTATTGGAGGCGGCGGCATCGTCGACTTTCTTCATGTAGACTGCACAGGGACCCTTGTGGCTAGGATCAATGGATCCAGGACGGGAGCCATCGGCATGTTCCCGGAACTCGAAGGTTAGAATGGAGTCCTCCTTCGCTGGACAAACACGGGCTACGCCTCGTTCGCCCTCATAGCCTACAGCCTGTACATTATTATCGGATCGATGTCTATTGAGAAGCTGCACGTACCGCAAACGATGTCCTTGCTGGACAGGGGTTCAATTGGGAAGTTGGTGTTAGAAGAATTCCGGTTCATCCGAACACAAACGCCGTCACCCTGGTTGGTGCCGTCGACATAGAGGGTTGTGAAGGCAGTGTGAGCGCAGACGACAGCCCCGAGCAGAGGAGCCAAAAGGGCTGATTTGAACATATATGCGAACATCTCAGAAGTACCTGCTGCCAGCTTATGCGTTATATAGAAAACGAAACCAAAATGACGAGGCAGAAAGATTGATTGATAACTGCAACTCCTAAAGCATAAAGAGCGTCGAGAAGTGAACAAAGAAAGTAGCTTGCGTCAAGCAGGGTAATGAAGAGAAATGAAAGGATAGATGGTGAAGAAGCATGATGCACTCCGGCATTGCAAGGGAAACAGGCTCCCTTTAATAGTAGAGATGGGGATCGACTTGCGTGGATCTGATCTCTCATGCATGCGACATGAATTGGTTCAGACCAAGACAAGCCAAGACCGTAGTATCCAGCCTGAGGACGGCGGCCGACGGACACCGACGATCCAATGCATCTCAGAGATGTTGCCCCATCTGAGATGCAGGAGAAATGATGCGCTGTTAAATGAGCTGTGTTTCATGGTGTTTCACTTAAGTTGCCTCTTGGGAGAGAGATGTCACGAGTGTCGCCAGCCCTGGCACTGAGCCCTAACCCTGCCTAAGTCATGTGATATTGCTGTTATTTCTTTCCTTCTAATGCTCAATTTCGAGATGCTCGACAGATCCAGCTCAACTGACCCTGTAAATGCTGTTCTTTTCATAAAAAATTAACAGTTTCCGAGGAAGACTCGCTATCTCTTGTCTTGCCGCCGGATTTAGACTTGGACTGTTCTTCTCTGCCCAACAGCTGCAGGATGAAGAGTAGCCGCGCGGCTGGATATTGGACACTCACGGGATAGTTAGCGCTTTCAATATTCCCAATGGATCTCTGCCGGGAAGACTTGATGCTCGTTTCATCTCGATTCGTGGCAAGACTTGAGATCTGTGCCCGGATACCCGGCCTTGTCTGCATCCAGCTTAAGCAAGGTCTCTGTGGGTATTGTTAGGGGCAGTCTTAATAGCTGTTATTTGGCTCCTGCAGTCTGGTATACAATGGCTTTCCATATAACCGATGTTCCTTGCATTGAAAGAGGATGCGCTTGGTGATACCCACGGCTGTAGACTGACTGGCTGCAAAGATAACCCTGTTGTCTGTGCATTGTTTATTTGCTTTATTCCTTGTATCTTGTCTGTCTCTGTATCCTCGTAACAGATGTTGGCTATTCTGTAAATGGTATTCCTTGCAGGAGTCGAGGATATGAAGGCCTTCCGCATTCGACAGTTGGCCATTTCTATCTCATCGTATCCAATTTATCACTTGAGCTATACCCCTGACCATCTGCTCGTATTCCGGGGTATATTGCTATATCCGGCCGCGCCTGAATGAGCTGGACAGGAAGACGCCTTCGATGGCACTCCAGCAGTAACTACGCTGGGGTGCTTACCAAAACCCAGAGACAGCACTTTGCTGAATCGAGAGCTACAACTCTGAAAGGCTCTCGCCATGTTTCTCCGCCGGGGATACTCAGGCGGGTCGAAAAGACGCTCAAAGATCCCAATGAGGACGAGATACAAACACAGGGGGGTCCTGAACTAAACAGAATAGGTCCAGGGTACTTTCGACAGGTGGGAGGGATATTCCATAAAGAGATTATCGTTGATAATTAGATGATATATGGGATGTTAGACGTTCCATTTTGAACTCGAGTCTTGCTATCTCTTTTAAAAATCCAATTTCCCTGATACTCATCGCTAGACTGACAATTCAGTGTCAAAACTGCCATGCCAAAGTGGCTTTATCTCCTACGAGCAATTGCAAATCGCCGCGGAAACATGCCGGACTTCGCAGTATAAAACATCGACTTCTCAAGAAAATCGACTGGGCTGCAGCTTCAGCTCTTCGTCCTCTGGGCATAGCTTTACTCCTGTGGAAGAGTTGGAAAAGTTTGGGAAACGATGTGCATTGACGGATGACGACCGCAAAAGACTCGCATCAAAAATAAGCAGCCGTGCATATCCGAATTTGGAAACTTTCGTAGAAGGAAACGAAAAGGTGCAGATTCCCCATTTTAGCCAGTCAAAATATAGATATCAGGGTAAATGCACGTCTCTCCAATGCGCGAGAAATGGAGAGAAAGTCGTCCCAATCAATGCTCCTGGGAAATGAAGAATCGGTTCAAGGGGATAGGGCTCAGCGGTCATGGAGTCCCACGAGAAGAAAGGGAACACCAAAGGAGTCCTTACTTCAGTATTCCAATAGACCATCTAATACTAACCGTCCAAGACTAGAAACATCACAATATCAATCTTCGACAATTGAGCCCCTCACTATGGGAGGATCCAGTCCAGATGGTTAACTGCAGAAAGAGGAAGTGAGCATCACTCGGAATCCATGTTTGCGGTTCGCCTTTTCAGCTGCCTGACGCCCCAATACAGAGACGTTTTACGGTAGACGACCAAGTGCTTGCTGAGAGAAATGGTATGCTCCATCTTGGCTCAAATGGAATGGAACAACGAGATTTCCACGCGAAGAGACAAGACGAAGGACTATTCGACAGTCACTCAGGGTTCTTCCCATCAGTGCAGCGACGGACGATCAAGAGTATACCAGGGATTACCGCAAGTGGTGATACTTTCTCGTCGAGTAATCAGAATTCCTCTGGCTCCCAGAGCCCAGGTGCCGCATCCAAAGATCCTTGAAAGCAAAAGCAACCGCGGGTTCATGGGAATCCCCTGGCTTATTTAGCTTATCACAACATGACAGTTCAATCTCCCATACTCAAAGGGATTCCAGAAATCCGCATTTCCCATGAAGATATACGGACAGTCAGCTCAGTTCTAGTCGGAGGCCTGTGATAAGGCCGGATTTCGTTCCAGGGTACACGACCGGATCGATGTATGAATAGGTATTTCAGAAGATACAATGCGAGGGACATGTATCTGTCTTTCATATGGTAGTATTTCTTTGTCGTCTCTGGTCTGGTGGTTGGAGGGTATCGAGGAGGGGGAGGTCTGTTCCAGTCAAAGAGTTAGCTGTCCTGACCGTCGTACGCTGAGCTACTTTGTTTCCCCTTCACAGTGATAAACAAACCTTTAGGACGGACTGTTGAGAAGATAAAGAAGCTTGCGGTCCCATATTGGATAGTCATTTTATATTCCTACCATACTCATAGTGTATGTGTATGTGGATCTACAGTGGTCTAAAAATAGACTATGCCGAATTCGGTATACTAGAATCTCATTACAGCCTATTCCATCCAACATCCCGCTGCCTTTCTACTTGTTTCTGGTCAAACAAACATACATGACTTATTAAACAGTCCTGACCATAATCCTAGACACCCATGCTTTACCTGACCAGCATCCTCTCTTTGCTTACCGCGTCCGCCTTCTCCGCCGCTGTCCCCGGCCTTCCTCCTACCACCACCGCATCATCACCATCAACAGCAACAACCACCCCTCTCCCACTTCTAATCTGGCACGGCCTAGGAGATGACTTCTCCCGAGACGGCCTCAAGGAAGCCGCTGCGCTCGCTGAATCCGTAAACCCAGGCACCTATGTCCACCTCATAAGCCTCTCCTCCACCCCCTCCGGCGATCGCCAAGCCACCTTCCTAGGCAACCTAACGACCCAAATCGCAGACGTCTGCGACCAGCTCTCCTCAGATCCAATCCTCCGCACCGCGCCCGCCGTGAACGCCCTGGGTTTCTCACAGGGTGGCCAGTTCCTCCGCGCCTACGTCGAGCGCTGCAATTTCCCCCGCGTGCATAACCTAGTCACCTTCGGCAGCCCGCATAACGGCATCGCGGAATTCTACGACTGCGCACCCACAGACTGGCTCTGTCGATCTGGCGAGTCATTGTTACGATTCGGTCTGTGGTCGGACTTCGTGCAGTCGCGGCTCGTTCCTGCGCAGTACTTCCGGGACCCTGAGGAACTGGATGATTATCTCCTCCATAGCAATTTTCTGGCGGATATTAATAATGAGCGGGATGTGAAGAACGTTACGTATCGGGAGAATATGGTGGGCTTGAATCGGTTTGCTATGTTTATGTTTGAGGAGGATCAGACGGTTAATCCGAAGGAGAGTTCGTGGTTTGCGGAGGTTAATGCTACCAGTGGGAGGGTGATGATGTTGAATGAACGGCCGCTCTATACAGAGGATTGGATTGGGTTGCGCTCGTTGGACGAGAGGGGGAAGCTGGACTTTCTCACTGTTCCTGGTAGTCATATGCAGCTGACGGATTCGCTGCTGGAGGAGACATACAGGAAATTTTTCGGCCCTGTTGATGTTGAGCTTCTGGGGCATCATCGGGTTGGTGACGATGATACGGGCTTCTCTTTCGTTAAGCAGGGCTAATTAGTCTCAATCCGGAATCTGTATCTATGAAGCATTATTATTCAGGTGTTATGGAATGGAATGTATAAAATTTCATTTTATAGGAGTTATTTATTGTCAACAGATTTAAAGACAAAGACGGGGCAAGAAGAGAAATAAAAAACGCCTTGCTCTTCAACTGCAGAAAATATTAGAACAATAGTATACATAAAACATCCCACAAAAAAATCCAAGAAAATAAGATTCTTAAAATTCTCAAACAAATATCGCAATGTTTGTAAACTGTTGAAGTTAATAAGGCGGTCTCCCAATGCCGCCTCCTTGCCCTCTGCCACGGAATCCCAGGTGTTGAGGCACGGGCAAATACGCAGAATCACCATTCGTTGTTCCGTTCGAACGAGGAGATAAGAATCCGTTCAGGAGTTTTTGAAGCTCGTCCCGCTCTCTGGGTTCCAAGGTGCCTTCACCCTCTCCCTGGAGACCGTTTGGTGGGGAGGTGACATCGGCTTCATTATCGGTAGCAGTCACTTTAGTGCTCGACAGACTTCTGCGTTTGCTCAAAGTGGTAGGGCGAGGAGTGGAAAGGCCGCTCAGCTTTCCTTTCATGGAAGACCTAGAGGGGCGTCTTTGATGGGCAGGAGATGGTGCAGTCACAGGACGGCCCATGTATGACTGAGGTAGACCAGTGTCACTGGGGTAACCGCCAGGAATGTTGGTGAGGGAGGCTGGTATTGGTGGCACCGGCGGGATATCGTCTTCTGAATCAATATCATTTGTGAACTGATCCGCTTGGGTTCCATTTGATGGAAGTCTTATTGCCGACGCTTTTGGGGTTTCACCATCTTCCAGGGACTGCGTTTCACCGAGTTCGGATAACGAGTAGGCACCACTGACCATGCTCTCACTGCTTGATGAAATAATACTCTTGGTCGAAGGATCAAGTCGGCCTCGTAAGGGACTCAGTCGTCGAGGCTTAGAATCCCTGTTCACTGCGAGAGCACGCCTTAACTCATCGAAGCGAACTGGGGAGTCCCTGCTGGAACTATAGGTCAGTGAGCCAGAGTCGTTAGGTAAACTCATACGCCGCGAGTTACGACGGCCATTCGCAGTATCAGACACATAGACTCCCGGAACGCTTCTGTGAGATGACATTCTGGAGCTTATGCTACCATTCATGGCTCCATTCTCTTGAGCGCGGTTTCTGATAGTCAACGTTTCGTTTCTGGAACCACTCTTTGTTGTCGTGCTGTCGCTTTCAATAGCTGCCATACAGGCTTCTTTTGACCAGCTCGATAGCATCTGTTCTTTAATGGCCGCAGGGAAACCACGCGTTTCATTTCCCGTGACCGCACGACTCAGTATCGGAGCAGTAGAATCTCTTCTAGAGGAACCGGACGGGCTTTGAGAGCCGCGTGTTCCTGAGACGTACGCTTGCTCCATTTGACGGACAAGTTCATCGGCAGACCGAAATGGCGTTAATGTATTCGCGTTGCCTGGGGCAGAACCATTGATCTGTGTCTCAACACCAGGTACAATTTTGTCCAGAGAGAGTGGAGGCAGATGAATTTCTTCGAGCCAAACGCCTTTCCTCTTTCTTTTCTCGATTTCGTTGTTAATCTCCATGCCGATCCTCGAGTGATTGAGCTCGAACCTCTCACATAAAGCCAAGAGGTATCCGTAGACCAGGCTTCCTATGTTGACGATAGCGGCAAGTGTACCCACGGAAGCCATATCATCCTGCAGTCGGAGAATCATGGGAAGTCCGAATCTTATGGCATTCACGCCAAGGTGCTCTATAAGGCCTACCAAAACAAGGTGAAGGAGTGCAAATTCGGAGGCCTTTGTCGGCGACTCCAGTGCCACTTCGTAGATGGTCAGGTGGAACAGGCGAAGGCAGTTAGCTTGTGCCTTCTCTGGATTTGCTGGCACAGCTCGCGTCCCTGGCGTCTCCATAATATCTGACATCTCGCGCTTGCGTAACAATTTGGGATGTTTCTCCATATCAGTCTTCAGCAGCCTTGTGTCGTTCTTCGTTTCAAGGTTCAACCAGGTCAAGAACGCATCAACGTAGGCATAACGAACATCTTGGTCCGAAACGTGCAACAACCATTGTGTACCTTCCCATACATAGACGCCAACCCTTTTCCTGGATTCAACCCCCCCTGCGACCACAAACCTTCTCAGATTGGCAACAACAAGGATGTTCTTGACAGCCTTAAGGGCCGTGACTCTCGCAGAGGGGAAGTTGAATCTGCTCTCTTTTTGGATGATCGTAGCGCTGTTGCTGCCTGTTTCAAGAGAGCCGGGTTGCGCATCCGGTGTAGATGTTGGTGGACTTTCGGGGCTCCCGGGATTTTGAACACGGACTAGGATAGCTCTGATCATATCTGCAACTTGATCGCCATAGTAAATATGCGTTGCAAGACTCCCGATACACTGTTCAAGAAGAGCGAGTAGTTGACTTTGAGCGGCACCTGGGCTCCGATACTTTTCGGAGACATGGCCATTCATGGATTGCTGCGGTTTTAGTTGACGCAGCGTAAATTGCAGAAGACCGAGCAAGACATCCATGACGCTGAGTCCAATCATGTTCACAGGGGATTTTAACAGCCAGTCGACCATACAGGCCAGGGTAGACGACCGTTCTAGGTCCGCAGGGTCGGTGTTCAGCAGCTCTTCCATGGCGGTGACTCCAATCACAAACCGGATTTGGACGGGACACCATTTAGCGACGAGCTCGATAAGTGAAGTGGCCCAGTTACCCCTTGAGTTCAACTCTGGGGCCAGGCCACGGTCACCATCTGGAAGGGGACTCTTGCTTGTTATGAATTGCAGTACAATGGTGGTCACGGCGCGAATTTGACCCCGGGTGCTGCCCGAAACGACGATCCGCTCCAGGCAGCGCAGAGCGAGAAGCCTAGCCTCCATGTCTGCCTTTCTGTCGGCATCAGCCGCGGTCTGCGACGCGAGAGCGGGATCGCCATCAGGCTTTTCTGCGGGTGGCGATGATGTAGAGCTCTTTCTGAGCTGCTGCACCTCATCAAACTCCTTATTTTCTAAGCTTTGCAGCTGTAACTGAAGGGAAACAAGGATATCATCCTCGCCAGTGTACAGGTTCTTCAGAATAACTGGCAGAACGATCCTCAACAAATCCTCTCCGTCGCTTAGACCTCCAGGGCCGACCACGCCCATTATGGCCCTTAGCCCTGCATTCCTCCAGCGTATGGCGACTTGGGGGCTTAATGGTGCCCGTGCTTGGACTGATGGGTTGGGATCCGCGAATTCCGCGTACAGCTGTACAACTTCGCGGTAGTGAGTTGCAAAGTCCCCTTCAGCCGCCAGGGAAGCTGTATCCTGGTACCGACAGAACGTCTCGAATGTCGAAATCGAGTCTTCCACTATGGATATCTCATTGGAACGAAGAACGCTCTCGATAACTGTCAGGACGGATCGTGCGTAGATGGGCAAGTCACGCGGTACTTTTTCAATAAGAGCGGAGAGGATCTGAAGCGTAACTTGAACGTTCCTAGAGGAAGAGAAATTCGACATGTCAGTCGAAGAAAGCCACAGTGTGCTAGTATGCTATAGTGGAGATAGCTTTGTCACTTACCCCAGTCGCCGTCTCCAGACATCCCTTGCCGCTCTCTTCTCCAGGAAAGCGCCGACCTTGGTCAGCTTACTACGGCGCGTACTAGCATAGTAGAGCAAGTAAGAAAGTTCACTAGAGTTCGGTTTGACTTCCTGGACACCCTTCTGGTACTTGGGATAACATTTAAGGATTAGGACCTGGTGTTTTGGCCGGCAAGACTGACGCATGGTGTCCATAATAAGGAGAGGAAGGAACAAGGAGAATCGTGTGATGGATTTCACGGCACCACGAGGCCCAACCCACAAACTTCAGACCCAACGAGGCCAGAGTTCATCAAGCCAGTGACGGCGTCTGGAAGGCGGACAAGGCAGGATTCAGAACGGGATATGTTAACTGACGTCTGTGTTAGGATCGGGGGTGCGGTGTAGATGGCGTAGGGGACGGCCAGCAGGTCTCACTCACCAGGCGGGGGATTGGTCCTGGGCCATTGGTCCATCGGTGCTGGTTGATATGGGCTCTAGCGGCAGGATGTGCTGTCTCGACGAAGAATGGAGGTCAAGCACCGCGTCTGGCGCCGAGAAGACGGAGATTAATGAAGGGGAAGAAGAGAGATCGTGGAGGCGATTTAATGCAAGATATGTTGCAGTACGGGTGTCCACAGAGTCACGTTCAGCGTGGCATTAATTATTATCTCCGATAATCAAGACTACGCAAGCTATGGGGTTTAATATATTTAATCTTTTTCTTTCTACTTTTGAACTGCGGCATATACGTCCGCAGGAAGGATTCTGCTCACGAATTGATCCCAGCTGTGTGCTAATACTGGGTAGGCACAAAGTGGTATCCTTGGCATATCGAGCAAGTTATGCAACGGAACACGGACTAAACAGCCCTTGACTCAATGCCAGCCTCTCTGGATGAGGAAGAGGGGAATCGAGAAAATGGTCATGAATGCTTGTTCCTTAATTCTTGGTCGGTGAATACATAAGGCAATGGAGTGCTTATTCAATGCCATGTAGGTTTGGCCAGGACTCGGAATTCCACCAAATCACCGTTAGACTGCCCCATAGGCGCGATAAATCATCCACTCGATTTAGATACATATAGGAATAGTATATTATCAACAGAGGACAGTTCTAGGTTGGCTTAGACCTCCCGCACGGTCCCAGGAAATCCCCGGCATTCCCCGCGGGGGCCTGAAATGTGGTTGTGATGGAATGGTTCGTTGTGTCATGTATGCAGTCGATTTCGCGAATTCAAACCTCCTCGTGGGCAGTACCCGTCTGTATGCTTTTCACACCTGTCTCTGCTGGTAGAACATGATCGGTCGAGGGCGATCAGCAGTGCGATACCTCGGTCGCACATGCTCCTGCTGTAGAGCCGAAGGCACACCTGTATCCAGTATTACATGCACCCACAGATGGACAATGCAGGAGAATCGAGATGACAAGGGGGCAGGCAATCTGCCCCATTGCGCATAGCAGTCTCCGCAGAAACAAAAGCCAAGCATGTTATGATATCAATGCCACCCTCGTCCCCGGAACTGCAAGGAAGCATAGATGATTGCTTACGAGCAAAACTCCCGCACGCGACCACCAAGATCATATCATGTCTTCGGATTTTCCTTTCCAGCTCCTTCCAGTCGCCCCGCATTTCCCGCCTCATGTTGTCCTTCCATCGTCTCGGTGGATTGTTGTCCGCTCTGATTATCAATACCGACACCGGCCAACGCTTCGATGACCTGTGGTCGGATAATGTCACGGCGGAAAGTCTCTTCTTGAAGCAGACGTAGCGCACGTAAGGTTGCACCCGGGTGCGTCAGGAACTGTGCATACTCGGGCGTCTTCCAGTAGGAGTAAAGGTAGGCAAGGTACGCGGCGAAAGCTTGTGCGTCAGGGGACGAGGTTGTCTCCGCATCGCTGTCGTCCTCAGATCGAGAGATTCCAAGCAAGTTTGGATAGGTCACTGCTAGATGAGATAGGTAGTAAGGATTTGCGAGAGAGCAGACGAATTCCAGCTCAAGGGTAAAGCGTGGGTTGGTGAGAGTAGGTGGAGGCTGTTGGGAGTGGTCGGGCAGCGGAGATTGTTGAGCCATAGTCAAGGTAGGGATAATAGCTGGTAAGGCCTGTGTGTAGAATCACTCTTTATAGAAGAGAAGAGCATGAAGGGAAAGAGAATGTGGTGGTCCTGTTTCAAGTGAACTGACAGCTCAAGAGTTGCAGCTTGTCGCTTGGGGAAACTTGGAAGCCGACAACGCGGAGATGCCAGACCGCGAACCGCCCAACAAACAAGCTGGAATCTCCACTGCAACCGACCATGCCCCATTGCCAATACCCTCTGTCGTGTCCAGACCTTGGCCAGACTTACCATTTACGATCTCGACTATTACACGACAGCCATGTTCTTTGATTGGGGAGAGTCCGGCAACATGCTACCGGCTAGGCAGAACTATAGCCGAAGCCGTACTCAGCCTTACCCCTCTCCTCAGCCTCAATGGCGAATGAGTTGGCCATAATTTGGACTTTGATCCACGACGACATTGAGGTATTCCGCTGGTATTTGCCTGTTCCCAGACAGCAATCAGGCCTACGACGACTACGCGACCATCGCAACTATGTCCAGCATTCCGAAAGCCAAAAAGAGCAACATCAGCGGCCTGGTAGTAGTCCCAGACACCTGGGATGCATACCCCGAGGTTGAACGCTCCACGCTAAATACAGTCCGATTCGAGAATCTTACGTCGGACACTCGCATTACACATTCTAATTTAAATGGTGTTACCATCAAGGAAGGCGGGAGAGAGTATGAATTTGAAGATAGCAGAAGCACTGAGGTCCAACGTTCTGAATTGACGGCCTGCACTGTAGCAGGATCTTGCATCTACCGGTCCACACTGACCAGCTCTGAGGCCACCGATACTGAACGTATAGAACGATCGAGAGCTCATAATGCAAAGTTCATAAATGTGCACAATGCTGAAAGAAGTGACTTTGAAGGGAGTGTTCTGGCCGGTGAAAGTGACGTGGAGAGAAGTACCGTTAAAGATTCTGCTCTTATGGGCCCATGCCGGATCAAACGAAGCCAACTGGATGGTGTCATGATGACCAAAAGTCAAGTGTCGAAGTCTGTCTTGAGGGATTGCGAGGTGGTGCAGTGCGAAATCATCAACACCAATTTTACAGGGAAGACTCTGAAGTATGGGATCTGGGAGAATGGGGATCTGGTGGGAAGAACCAGTGAAGAACACGAGGTTGTTGTCGTGCAAATGCTTAACGGCACAAGATCTCTGATTGAATCCGCCTGGATGGTGAGTAGGATGAGTGGACCCTCAGTCACGCACATGCGAATATACTATTTAACAATTACTGACCCATGGATGCTTTTTCAGGCATTCCATACCCACAAGCCCGGCGAACGAGTGTCCACTTTGGAACCGAAGAGGAGCCAGGATGGGCCGTCGAATCCAACAAAGGAAACCCTTGCAGCAAGCGGGACGGACGAGATAGATGAGGCCGATGCACCCCCTCCGTACGACTCTCACTTCGCCTAGCTGATCGCTTCTCTTCAGTCTCTGCAGAGCTCACTCTCAAAATATAAGTCTAAGTTGGCCGATGATGTATATATTTAAGTTTTCAGCTGTACAAATGCGTCATTGATTGCAAGAATGCTACAGATCCATGGTTCTGAACGGGAGCAAAGATGACTTCCGAATCCGGAAATTCGGGCCAGTGGGGTCAGGTGACTGCGACGGGCCAATCGGATGTGGCAGTCTTGGCCGTCTCCGCACGTGATTAGCACGTGCAGAGTCGAAAGTGAACGACTTCAACATGTCTTTTCTGGCCATGTTGAAGAGCAGAAAACAGGGCAAACCAGGGACAGACAAGCAGACGTAGAGATAGAAATAGGCTCCATCTTGCCATGCAATGCAAGCTCCCCTGCAGGCAGCGCGGTGGAGATTGCCTAGTTCCAACGCCCACGGTTATTAGCTGGCCCCTGAAAGCGGGGAGAAACCGCTCATTTCCCAACGGGATTCTTATTACCGATCAATTGCATCTGGCTTTTGCTTTAAACCTAGGTTAGGATTATTATTGGCATTATTGGCGCTGGCAAGAAACGAGATTAAGAAGGCCTTCTGCCGCTGAGAAATAATCGGACACAAGTGCCCCTCTTGGCCGTACATCCGTCCCGCGGGGCCTACCGACCGTTCCTTTTCGGGCATCCGTTGGCTGTGGCGATTGCCCAGGTTTGATCCTTCCGGTCTTCATATTCGTTCTCTCAATCTCGTGCGAAAAAAATTCTCCCTTGTCCCATCGGTAGGAGCGTGTACGAGTGTAGGAAGATCAGGAGAAGAAAACAGCACTTGCTGGATTTTAAGAGGAAGGCTGCTGGGCCGATCAAACGCTTCGTCATCGGTCCTTCCCCCGAATCCCTGACGGGCGAAGGAAAGAAACGAAGGCATCGTTGTTTCAGCCGGTCTTCAAAGTTCACCCTGCGAAACAGGCTCTGCGCCGGTCGATTCACCTTATCTTCCAAAAAGGCTTACTGCTGTCGGCTATCCGCCCTTGCATGTTTGAGTTTCACCGGCTTGACGCAGCTCTTGAATATAGTGGATGCTCCGTTGATTCGAAATTCACTCCTCCTGGCCCCTCTTATTTGCCGCTCCCAGTGAATTCGTCTCATCCTTATCAAGATGAATGTCTCCCAACAGTCGCCGTTCGTGTCGGACCCCTTTGGCGCAGGTACGTAATCCATATCTTTGTCCTACCCAGTCGCTGGTGGGGGTTTTTCTCTCCCTTGCTTCCCGACACTGCTCCTTCCCTTCGTTGCTGTGTTTTTGCCGCTGGGATACATTCGCTGGAAGAGACTACCCTGGCCTGCAGTCTTCCCCAACCCTTTTTAATAGCCCGAGTAATCCCTCTCTGCATTCACTCGCGTTTTGTTTCCTGGAGAAGTTGCAAGAGAAACTGACGTCCGATCCTTTTGTCTTGTCGTTTAGGTCGCCAACCTTCCCCTCATCAATCCATCAACTTCAAGTCCAACAATCCCTTCAGGAATCGTGCCTTGTCCCCCGCCGCCACTTCTCCTGCATTCGCTCCCCGTCCCGAGCGTCCCTTGTCTACCAACCCCTTTATTGACAATACCGAGGCGCTCTCCTTCCAGTCTGCCCGTCAATCCTTGGTGCCAGTAGTGCCGTCGACTACGAGGCCGGACTTCACGAACCAAGCGCGTGAACTCTTTGTATGTTCATCTGTTGTTATTTTTTTTTTTTTTCCTTTTGGGCCCCTTTACTTGATGACACCCGTCATCTAACCTGCCCGCTCATCGAATAGGGCAATCTTTCGATCAGTTCTCCCTCCCAGGTGAATGACTACCCCGCATCAAATAACCCGTTCGAAAACCCACGACGCGTAAGCCGTGTACCTCCGCAACTAGAACGCGAGAAAGGACTCGTGGACATTTTCGCGGATCCTCCAAAGCCTGTTAACAGTGAACGGTCTCGAGAGAGAAGAAGACCTCGTCGTCGAAACTCGGAATCCTCCATCATGGATAAGCCTTCCAAGTTCTTCGATGCTAGTGATGAGGAGCGCCGCCGAAGGGAGAGAAAGGATCGCGAACGGGATGGTCATCCTAAAGACCGGAAGCACCATTCGTCGAAGAAGACTCAGTACCAACTTGACATCATTGACAAGCTGGATGTCACCAGTATCTACGGGACTGGCAGTAAGTTGTGCTCTATTTTAGGGTAATTCATGCTTTCCGCTTACGACTGACGTTTACCACCTAGTGTTCCATCATGACGGCCCGTTTGATGCCTGTAATCCTAACCGAAACCGCAAGGGAATGCGTGCCACACCGATGCAGGCCTTCCCGAAAGATTCGGCCAATATGGCGCTAGGTGGTGCAGGCCCTGTCAACTCCAAAATGGATTATGACTTATTCCATGGCATCACTACGGAAGCGCACACCGACTTCTCTTCGACTGGGCTATCTGATTCCCGTAAGAATGATGGTCATTTTGATACTAGGAATCGCGTGGACCCCGTTCACGGGGTAGAAAGCTTGGGACTTGGGACCAGCACGTTTCTCGAGGGAACTCCCGCAAGCCGTGCAGCTATTGAGCGACGCCAGAGTGAAACTGAGGCACAGACTTCCCAGGGCGGGTTGCAGCGGAAGAAGAGTCTTGCCCAGAGACTCCGTGGTATCAACAACAGGAACCCTGGCGGCCGGGTTGCATCCCCGGAGTTTTCCCAGAACGGGGGTTCCATCTCGAGCCACATTGGCACAATTCCGGTGAACGGAAAGAGTCCCTTCTTCCAGGATTATGATGACGCTTGGGAGAGGAAGGGTGCCAGGATCCAGCAGGCCGATGAGCTGCGACCTTCTGAATCCGGAAGAAGTCGCTCTGTTAGTGCATCCCGAACGTTTGACGAACCAACCCGCAGGTCAAACGAACGATCTTTCTCTGGCTTAGAGGATGGCAAACCCAATGCAGGTGGTGGCCTAATCAGTCGGATGAAGAGTTTGAGGAAGCCCAAACCAGAAAGACGGATGACCGATGACTAAACGATCCAAGTTGACTCAATCTCCTCTGAATGAAGCATGAAAAGAGAAGCTCTGAAGAGCGGGGAAGTTCGGCGAGTTTTTATCAATACATGATGGAAGGATAAATTGATTTCAGTGTTCCTTCGCTGGTGCTATCGCGTCTGTTTCCGTCTATGGGGGATATCTCTTACTTTGCAACAGTGTAATCGAAGGGGGAGGAGAATGGAAAAAAAAAAATAAAAAATAAAAAAAAATAAAATAAAAAGAGTAACAGTGGATTGGCAACCCTGCGGGCTGTCAACGGTCTGCGGATGGTTATTGATGTCTCCTCTCGGGGGCCTGTTGTCCTCATTCTCGAGTGATACCAGCCGCTGTATACAGGGGATTGGCGTTTAATGATGTTTAAATTCACCATCAGGAATGGGAAATGGGAATGATACTGTTTTACTGGGCAAGTCTTTTCTTTTTCATGCTGTTGCGGCGGCAGTATTATCCTTCTTTACATGTGTTTTTCTGTCTTGTCAACTGTCGCTGGCGTTTTCAGAACTGCGCTACATACGAACTCCTGTTTATTATCATTGACTTGGTCCGTATTTAATATGCGCCTATTTGCAGTGTCTGCAAAACTCCGTCTTATTGTCATTATTTCCCTGCCCAGACACGATTATCGCTATGCAGGCCGTTTAATAATAGCAATGTTCGTTATGCTGAAGCCACTTGTATCTACGAGTCAGAGGCAACGAGTTTTTCACCTAGAAACCACGTAGAATACCAAGAAGTACTTGCGTACGTTTGAGAAATAATAATACCCAATAAAGTAGGAAGAAGACCATTCACGATATGAAATGAATCAAATTTATCCTATCCGAGCAACTCCTATAGACAAAACCCAGTAGATATCCACCTTAACCCATTGAACATGTCGATAGTAAACAAACGAAGAAAAAGAAAGGAATAAACAAATATTAATGGCCGCGTAATGGAACACTTGGAAACCTTCATACATTATTTCGATTCATTGCTTTTTTTTTTCTTTTTCATATCTTCCGAGTTTAGAATTCATCGCACAGTAGCACGCTGTTGTTGCAGTTGTCTCCGACTTCTATAAGGGTTCGGGACAGGAATGCCTGCTCTCCGATGAGACTGGGGCTTTGGTCTGGAGAGGGTATACCTGGTAATAATGATTAGCATCCTCTTCATATTTGAGATTCGATTTGGGGGTTGAACATACTTGGCGAAAGCCCTAGAAAGAGCCTTCTTACAGCTAACTTTTTGACTGGCTATAAATGAATCGACAGTGACCGCAATGGCACGATCGATATCCTGCGAGGAGCAGTATTCTGACAGACGCATTTTACAGAATGCTTCTGCGATACGCATGATGGCTTCGAGATGGCGGACCGTGATGGGATAGGCGCCAGTCGCCAGGGACTCGCGTCTCATGTCGGCGAAGAGTCTGGCGATCTTGTCTTGATCGATCTGGTAGAGCTTCGGCTGGCATCTCTCTCGCGCGTAGAGGATATATTTCCTTAGAAGTTCCTGGGGGATCTCGCCTTCTTTCTCCTCTTCTTGCGCTTGCTGCTCCGCTTCACGTTTTTGAATCTCCTCTGGCCTCAGAGGGAGGCGATTTCCCTTCTTGTCAATACGGTAGCCTTCGTCATCGATGCGTTCGCCGTCGGCGTTGACCAGTTCCCCGTCTTGGTTGCGCTGTGGTCGGGTAGGGTTGGCGCGGTGGTGGGACTCGACAACAAATTTGGCCAGGCGTTCATCTTCGTTAGTATCAACCATATCCCGGACGACGCAGAGGATATCAAAACGAGATAGAATAGGCTCCGTGAGTTCGACATTCTGGGCGAAGGGGATTGTACTATTGTAGCGGCCTCCGACGGGGTTTGCGGCGGCGATGACAGCGCAGCGGGCCTGCAGTGTTGTGACAATACCAGCCTTTGAGATTGAAATGGTTTGCTGCTCCATTGCTTCGTGAATAGAGGTGCGATCTTGGTCATTCATCTTGTCGAATTCGTCGATTAAGCATGTTCCGCGATCAGCCAGGACCAGGGCACCACCCTCAAGCGTCCACTCAGAGGTCAAGGGATCGCGACGGACGCTGGCTGTGAGACCGACAGCACTGGCACCTTGACCTGTTGCGAAAACGGCTCTGTGGGCCGTATTTTCAACGTATTTCAATATCTGGGACTTGGCCGTACCCGGATCACCTAGGAGAAGTACGTTGATGTCTCCGCGAATGGACATCTTACCCTGTGCTTCCTTGCTGACGCCGCCAAAGAGCGACAGGGCCACTGCCGTCTTGACATCCTCATGGCCGTAGATGCTCGGGGCAATAGATCGGATGATCTTGTCAACAATCTCAGGGTCTCTAGATAAGGCACGAATCTCCCGCTCATCCTCCTCTGTCAATTGGAAACCAGCCAGCTGGTCGTGAGATTTGATGACATAATTTGCCTCTAAAATAGTAGCGAAGACCGGAAATCCGTTTTTGTTGTTCAGCTGGGCATCATAGCTGTTGCGGTAGATACCCGTCACTTCGATCTCATCGCCTGGCTTGGCCGTATCGATCAAGTCGGCAAGGAGGATGACTTCTCGCTGTCGAGGGAGTCGTCCAGACGGGACAGAGCCAGGCGACTCCTGCAACGTTAGCTTCTGATAGTTCCGATAAACGGTCTTTTCCGAGTTGACGGTAAACGGTCCCCTAGACTGACAGTTCTGGCAGAAAGAGATCTTCACTTCCGCGCTGGCTTCCTGCTGGAACGGACCCAGGGTAGCCCCGCACTTCTGGCAAAGGAACATAACATATTTCAGCTGGGGGAATACACCAGTGCGTCGAGTAACCACACCGCTGACACGGACAAGACAGTTGAGGTGCGACTGCCGTAACTGCCGTAATGTGTACACAATCGGTAAGTCTGTGATTCGAACATGAATCTCATTGTGGATATCATGGTACTGAGGGTAGTGAAACAAAGTGACATCCAGAGCCACTTGGTCAAAAACTTTCAGAACTTCAGTTGGCTCATTCGCCAGGAAATAAGACAGGGCGGCCTTTGCCTCGCTTAGGTGTAGGTAGGAGACCTCGAGAGATGCCGAGTTCACCTCACCCAGCGTTTTAATTCTGTTTCCATAAACAGACGTACCGGCTTCATCGGTAAACTCCGTTAGGAAGGCTTTGAATTCTCTGTAAATAGAACGAAGAACTTGAGGCTGCACAATCCAGTCTGTGATGTTGGAAGCTTTGACGTCGGCCAGTTCCTCCAGGGACAGCTCTTCCAAGGCATCATCTACCATCTCAATATCCCCATTTTCTTCATCATAATGGTGTCGTCGACGGCGAGGTTGACGCGTGAGATCCAGATCTCCGTCGTCGTCATCTTGTAAGAAGGCCGCAGGCATACGGCGGCGGCGCTCAAGCTCACGATCTCTTCTGTTCAATCGGGCTTCTAGCTCTCGACGGGCACCTAGATCAAGTTCATTGTGATCCTCTTCGTCATCAATGTAGTTCCCTCGGTAGTGATCGTCTGTGTGTTCCCGGTAGTCTCTCTCGAAATTGTCTGCGAACAGATCAATCCCATCCTCATCCTCCGCCATCTCCTCGATGTCGTCGATATCCCCAAGGAGTTCATCTTCTTCATCTCTGTCATTATCATCGTCAAATGGAAGCATAGGAGGTGAAGAAGGAGGAGCTATCAGGGACGTCAGCCAACCATTTCCATTCCGTTGATAAAAACACCGGTGTCGCGATCGACTTACGGCTGGAGGGAGGCGCTACCGACGAGGTTTCATCATCGGGCTCTCTGGATCGCTTGCGACGACTGAGGTTGCCTAAGCCGCGATTCGCAGCGGAGTAGTTGGGACGAAGAGGTGAGCTGCGCAGACAGAATAAAACAGTCAGTCTTTAGAGCCAGGAAACAGAAATTTCTTTAGACTGTGCTCAGCCAACTCACCTCATGGCGTGATGTAAACACAATTTCCCTTTCTTTAAATTATTAATAGGAGGTTTTGCAGAAGACTGGAAGGTAGTTGAATAGATGTAGGTCAATCAATGCAGAGCTGATAGAGAAATGGGAAGAAGGGAGACTTGTGTGCGGATTTCGAGCTTGGCGCGAAGAACGCGTCGAGACGCGACGCGCGCCGCATATCAGATATCAATTAATTCCCGATTGGGAAAACTTATATATGTGCAAAAAATGCAAACATGCGCGCCCGCGCGTGCTTATCTAACACGCGGCTGGGGATACTCTGCTATTCCTGAGTCTCCATGCTGTCGGACACGCTTCATGCCCAAGGAAGACTCTAACATCTCTTCCATCATTAGTTGAATCATATCTCGTTTACACTCATTGAATAAACGGGATGTCCGGTTCGGAGGTTGGAGAGTCTTCAAGCCAACAGACAGGCCGGCAAAATGGCGCGCAAGAGGCTACTGAACGACGACAGAGCCTGGTCTCAGAGAGTTCGCAGACTGCGAGAGAGTAAGACAATTGTTTGTCGCATTATCGTACTGCTATTCTAATGCGCTCTGATATGCAGATACATTGAGTCTCAACTACAACTCGAAGCCGATGCGCGCCAAGCGCTTCCTTACGTATGCTCACTTACCCCAGTTATCTATCCAACTGGAAAATGGATTTAGTAACTGACCATCCAAGTCATTTGATTCTTGCACGCAACCTCTAGGTCCGTTGCGCCAGACCCTCTTTGCCTGCCTAACATGCAACCCTCCTTCGACCAACCCCGATGAGCCGTCTCGTTCCGCTGCCGTGTGCTACTCCTGCTCTATCTCCTGCCACGGCGAACATACATTGGTGGAACTTTTCAATAAAAGAAATTTTGTATGCGACTGTGGGACTACTCGTTTGCCTTCAACTGCGCCATGTACTCTCCGAAGTGATCCCCAGACGGGCGAAAAGGCGGTTCATTCGCAGGAACCCGCGCCGGGAAATAGATACAACAAAAATTTCCAGAACAGGTTTTGCGGGTGCGGCGAGCTTTACGATGCGGATAAGGAAAAGGGTACTATGTATCAATGTCTTGGGCTGGGAACGACTGAAACGGGTGGTTGCGGAGAAGACTGGTGGCATCCCGAATGTCTGATCGGCCTGCCTCGGGACTGGAACGAAACAGTCAATGGGCAGGCAGCCAACGATGGGGAAAAAGAAATCGAAGAGAACGGAAATGGCAAGGACGATGGTGATGACAATGCAGCAGAAGAAGAAACTCCTCTGCCTCCTGGCTTCCCTGAGGAAGATGACTTCGCGGCCTTCATATGCTACAAATGTGTGGAGTCAAACCCTTGGCTTAAGCGCTACGCAGGAACACCAGGATTTCTTCCTCCTGTCTTTAAGGGTGGAGGATTAGCCAACAAAACCTCTGCTCCTAGTGGTGACACGGCAGCCACAGATGAACGGCCGATCTCAAAAAAGCGCAAAGCAGATGAAGACCAAGATCCAGAAGACGAACAGGTATCCAAGAGGCCCAAAGCTGAAAACTCAGACGCTCAGCCTGATTCATCCAACGAAACCAAATCTGATCCCGGAAACCCAGGCGGACCAAAATACAAACACGAATTCCTCCCCTCCACCGCCCCCTCAGGCGTCTTCTCCCTATTCCTCAAAGAAGACTTCCGCGACCACCTCTGTCGCTGCCCTACCTGCTTCCCAAACCTCGCCAGCCACCCCCAACTTCGCGAAGAAGAAGACACCTACGAACCCCCACTATCCGACGACGGCAATGAGCCCAACGGCGGCGGGAGCACAGGGACTGGAAGCCTTCTCGAGCGTGGCGAAGCGGCACTGAGCAATATAGACCGTATCCGAGCCATTGAGGGTGCAATGGTCTACAACCATCTCCGGGATAAGGTGAAGGAGTTCCTCAAGCCGTACGCGGAAAGCGGCAAGCCTGTCAGTGCGGAGGATATCAAGTCTTATTTTGAGCAGCTTCGTGGTGATTATCAGGAGATTAGTAAGGCTGGTAATGACGGTAATGAATGAGTGGATGAATTAATGAATGCTGCTGCCGGTTGTTGGTAGCAGGTGAAAATGAAATGGTGTTTTTGTTGCTGCTGCTAAGGTTCAGAATAGGCAGCTTTCATTGTTTACATGGGTCGGATCTTTGGTATGGGAAACAGCGCAATTAATCGTTTTAAATAATAATGGTCTTTATGCTGGAGGATACCATAAAATTGTTTGACGGTTTCTATGAGTGGAGGTGCGTTTGGTTGTTTTTAGGCGTACTCTAATTGATATTCGGGTTATAGGATGGTTATACTACCAATGTTGAAGGCCTTCCCTTTCCGTTTTAGTGCTCAGGTCTTGGCATCTTTGCTCACTGAGTAGATCTGATGCCCTGAGGTGAAGGCGACAAGTGGGCTATACCGACCAATTTTCTTGAAAGAGTACCTGCTCCAAGGTATTATCTCTGTTGAACACCTCGGCCTCACAAAACCCAAACAGTGGCATGGGGCTCCAGCTGGAATATTGCGAGGAGGTATTCCAGCCCTTGGGAGTGCTAGGATCACCTCTCTTGATGAGGCGACTGTCACTCAACTAGGATCCTGTCAGACCTCGCAGGTTTGGCATCGTGATCTAACCTTGTAGCCGAAGAGACTACATATGAGAGTGGAGGCTCTATTGAAGATCACTTGAGCCCGCACATTAGACATAAAAGTCAACAATCAATTCTGTTCCTCTAAATCAATCCTATAAGCCTGGGTTGCCTATTCCGGAAGGTCCGACCCTTGTCAATTCCACAGTTCCGCTAGTTATAAGACGCCTGGGCAAACCCCCATGTTGTCTTCTTTTGATACAGCGCCACGGGCATACGGGGATGGTGGAACAGCTCGGAATGGATCCGCTTGATGGCTTTGCAATGATGTATTGTTATTATTGACAGCATGGCGGTTATCAGAGGCCATGTAATTGTGCCCACTCATCCTACTTAGCATGACTTTGCATGTGACTGTATCCTAGCGCTTGCAGAGTCTTACCCTAAAAAACAGTCGACAAACCTCCTGTAATCCAACACGGATCCACTCAGCAGACTATTGGTTCATAGTTCACTGTGATCCAAGAGTGTCTCACTGTCTGGACGGAGAACTCCACTCAATATGTCTATTGCGAGACATGGTAACCTCGGGTATATAGATTCCTTACATGATGAGTTTTCCCAGGAGGGCTTTAATCACTGGGACTTACCTCGAATCATCTTAAACCTTTGCCTTAACACTGAGGGTACCTGAGTGTCCTGGTGGAGACTGCGATGGCACAACTGTTCTATATCAGACAACCCAGAATTCATAAACAAACCATATGGTGACTTTGATGATGTCCACGCTGGATTCCATAGGCGCGACTATGATCCTGCCCAAATAGTTTTCTTTACCACCCGCCAGGACGGCCACCAACTGAATCTCACAGCCCTCAGCAGTGGAGACGATTATGATAAGACCCAGAGCCTCATTTTTGATGTCAAGGATTACTTGCCTGTTCCACCATCCCTAGATGGTGGTGGTATGACGTCCTGCGCGCAGCTTGCCGCTGCCATTCCCAGTCCGACTCCAGCCAGTTTGGACCCCGATACTGCCTCAAGCATCATGGTCAGCCTGACCCGCGCCGAATGCTACGCTACAGCCCCTGCCAAGCCGCACGGATATGGATCACTATGGCTTGCGCCTGGCTACTTCTAAGTGCCATTGTATACTAGTCGACCTTCTAGGAGTCTCCTACCTACAGAATCGCATGCGTTCAATGAATTGGTTTTTTCAATCTGTCTCTAAGTGGTCAATCCTGTAGGTGTATGTTCGAATGCGATTTCATAGCAGTAATTATAACAAGAAACTTACCTGTGCCAAGCGCGCCTCCACGTCTCTCCCCGTGTAGGTGCGCCGCATCCCAACACGAAAAATTCCAATACATTCAACTTCAAATTCAAATTACAACTCAACGCCAGTAGTATCAACTAAACAAAGTAGACCAGCATTTTCTGGGGCATTCAAACCAGGTATCTCCCCAATTTAAGCGTGAACAGAGGGGTTTGGGGCAATCATTTGCTGCCCCTCCTTCTCTGCCTTCTTTTTATCTTGCTCAACCTGACGAAGAGATTTTTGAATAGCCTCAATCTTACCTAGTTCCATCTGCTGATTACCATCCTTCATTGCCAGAGTACCTTTATTCTGTAACCTCTTCCTTAAGGGCTCTATGGCGTCGGTTGGCCTATATTAGTTGCTCAACCTCAACTGCTCGTTGAGCATTTAGCTCTGCCTGTATAAGACTTCCCTTAAAGATGCGATTTAGCCGTCATTCCAGACTATCTATGCCTTGCAGCTAGTCTTCAGCTAAGTTTATCATAGCTTCTTTTGCTTTCTGGATAGATCCCCGGAGTTTGGTGGCAGTGGTTGGTGGTGAGACTGATGAAGATAAGTTGTCACTGTATTATCACGTGATACACTGTCCTTTCCTAATAGAGATTAGTGCGTGTCACGATTAGGAGTACGCCGACCAGCCTCTAGTAAGGTGGCATTTTGTATGCCTGCCTCCACGGCGGAAGTGACATGGCCAGGCAAAAAGGGAGGGAGCCATTTCTGGCATTATTTTGGCATGAGTGGAAATGGGGAGAACAACTTGTTCAAGTTGAGCGCCTACATTAACCAGCTCAGGATGGTGACTAAACATTCTTGGCAGGTGCAGAATAGTGGTGCTACACAGATGCTGGGTAGTCAAGCAGCGGCTCATTGCTGGAAGTTACGGGTGGAAAGGTAGCCGTTTCTGGCCTCGGTAGCCGTCATTTTCGGCGTCGTCCCCACAGGTCTTCATATTTCTATATGTAAAACGCGCAACTGGCTAGGGTATAAATGGAAACACATATCACAACTGATGGATTTGCCTGCAGAAGCGACTAAGATCACAAACAAGGCAAACAATATCGACAATAAAGGGAATAAATGATAATCCGGAATAGCCCCAAACGCCGTGGCTATCGAACCATAGAGACAAAACGGAGGGCAACCAGGTTGCCCTTGACTGGACGGGCACATCCCCATTACTCCTTCAAGCGCTTCGAAGCTCTGCCTAACAGCCCATCATCCGGGATACCACTTCGCTTGGTACCGGGTAGGCTACCCGTGCGAATATCGTTGTCTTCCTGAGTAACGCGACGGTGCGGATACTTGCCCTCAAAGCCCTCAAAGCAATTGGCGCTGATAGGCCCGCCATTCTTAAAGTAAGGATGTTCCAACGCCTCTCTGGCCGTAATGCGTTTGATGGGATCGTACTCGAGCAGTCTCGATAGTAGATCGTAGCCATCTGCGCCTGGTGTACCGGCCGGAGTGCCGGCAGCATAGCCATTGTTTTTCAGGCAGCTTTGGTACCACCCGTCTAGATTTGGAACCTTGCTGAAATAGCCCAAAGAACGGGAAAGTGACAAGGATTGCAGCTGGGGGTATTCCGGCATGGAGACCAGGCCGGGCCAGGTCTCCTTTTTAGGGAAGCCTAGAATATCGATGATCTTTGTCATCTGATTTCGCTGGAAAGGGACGGTCTTTTTGCTGTCCATTTTGGCTTCCTCGCCTTTGAATATGGGTCGGAGAGCGAGTAGCTCTGCAAAGATACAGCCCACAGCCCAGAGGTCAACGGCGGGAGTGTAATGCCGGCTTCCCAGCAAGAGTTCCGGGGCCCGATACCAGATAGTCACGACGACCTTGTCTCCAGAGAAGAGAGAGTTGAGGGGTTTGTAGAACAGACGAGCAAGGCCCAAATCCCCTATGCGAACGGCACCACATGAAGTGACTAGAATGTTTGCCGGTTTCAAGTCGCGATGTAACACCCAGTTCGTATGAAGATAGAGTAAACCGTTTAACAGTTGGAAGAGGATGGATCTGACCATAGGCGCTGGAATGGGACGCCTCTGTGGCTGTGTGTGGTGGTGAATAATCTGAAGCAGGTCATGCTCGGTGTACTCAAAAACCATGAAAATGCATTTATCCTCCAGGATGATCTCCTCTAGCCGGACTACGTTGGCATGCGATAGTTCAGAGCAGAGACTCATCTCCCGAATGGCTGACTGTGAGAGGCCAGTATACTGAATGGACTCCCCTTCTTTGTCGGGTTTGAATCTGGGAAACTGGTTAGTGATGCTCAAACAGAAATCGATGTCGTATAGGGGGTTGCTGCGGTCAACTTTTTGATAGCGAATTCTCCTTTCTTGCCATTTTTCCCTATGGCTTTGTAGACGCGACCGTAGGTACCGCTGCTGATGAAACCCACGATATGATACCGATCCCGCACACGAACTTTACTAGTGTAGCCAATCCCCGGCGGTCTTCTTGTATCTCTGTAATCTGGAGGGAGAGGGGGCTAGTTAGCATGGCGATAGCCTTTTCAATGACGTTCGATGTTGATGACTGGGTCACATGATCTCCATGAGGACAGATATTTTTAATACAGAGATAACCACGCCGTGTGTGCGCGCTCTGCGACTGAACATGCAGCAATCAAGGGACCATCATGTAGAGAGAAATAGCGGTGGAAGGACAGCAACACAGCGTCGGGAACAGCACCCCACACATGTTGATATGCACCAGTGGAAGAATGGTGGGTTCTAGAGGGAAAGCTAATTACCACGTGCATAAAAGCCTCCGATAGGGTTTGCAAATGGAAAATTCCTTCCAAACATGGTGGAATAAAACAGATGTGGAAAAGGGAGAAGACAGGCGTCGCGGTGGTTCCTGAACCTCGGCGAAGGGATGCTTCTTATTTGGGTCAAGCAGACAAGAGAAGATGACCAAGCGACGACCAGTCGTCTTTTGAATCAAAAGGACATGATCATGGGCTTAAAGTAAAAGAACCAAGTCAAAGTAGGAAGTAAATATAACAAAGGATGTGGCACGTATTACCATCGGCAGCAGCCCGCACATTCCATTTCTGAGACAGACTCTGACTGACGAGCTTCGAGGTAGCAGCTGGTGGGCCTGCGGACGCCGAGGACGGTTGGTTTGTCCGACTCATTGAGACGAGGATAGAACGTCTCCTGAGAAGGCGGCGAGCATTTAATCCGGTTATGTTAATAATAGCCCGCAGAACATGCGGAGAGTGGGTACGGCCGTGGGACAAGGCAGTGGGATGGATGCATGAGTCAACGCAGGAATCAGGGATTGTCTGTTCGAGCTGGCCGTCCGTAGGAGTTCCGTCCAGCGTGCAGATGTACTTCTGAGAAGTCCACGATACAATATTATTGGAATGTGCAGCAGGGAAGATGAAGCATAATATTGCCCAGAATAGAACGCATTATTCTTCTTCCGATACTAGTCACGTGCAAGTCCTCCATTGAATATTCCCTCTGCTATGCTCCGCACATTGCTATTATTATTGTACATGCATTAATCACTATTGTATGGGAGCACCAGAGGAGCATCCACTGGGCCATCGATGCTGGTTCACTGAACTGCCCAAGGAAGTCAGCTTTGACAGCACTGGACTTGCTTGACGCGACACCTTATCTGGCGGACACTCGGGCGTTGTGCAATCTACAACGTCATACTTATATGTTCTCTCCACCCCCCCGATCACTTCAATAATTGACATCCATCTCCTAGATCTTCTTTCTTACATTGGCTGCCATCCTAAATTGTCAGGCCTATAGAGAGACCTTCCACTGCTAGAAAATCCACCTGCTATCCACTATGGCCCTTGGAGAGACTCGGTCGAGCGTCACTCCGTACCTGGTCTGTCTCGTACTGATCACCACATTGGGACCGCTTCAGTTCGGATACCACTTGGTATGTATGGAATATATGGATGCGTGAATATACATCTGTTATTAACTATGCCCTTCTATAACAGGCTGAACTCAATGCTCCCCAAGCTGTGATCACTTGCGAAAAGAGAGGCAGCAAGTCATCCTCCGACCTGCCTCAATGCATTCCCATGAGTCCATCTCAATTCGGCCTGGTGTCCTCTATATACACTCTAGGCGGCCTATTGGGCGCTCTGGCGGCTGGACCGATTTCGACGAAGCTTGGTCGTCAGATCACCCTACGGCTAACAACCATTTTCTTTATCATGGGCCCGATTGCAGAAGCGCTCGCGTACAACATTTTTATTTTGAGCTTCGGTAGAATCTTCTCCGGGGTCGGAGCCGGTGCTTCCATCGTCGTCGGGCCCATATTCATCTCGGAGATCGCCCCGTCCGGCTCCAGGGGCTTTTTCGGAGCCTTCACCCAGGTGATGACCAATGTTGGTATCCTGTTGGCGCAGCTCCTGGGTTATTTCCTCAGCGAGGACAGCCTGTGGAGGGTTATCCTTGCGGTTGCTGGTGGCCTCGGGGCCCTTCAGCTGGTCGTCCTTTTCCTGGTCCCTGAGAGTCCTACTTGGCTTACCGAACACGGGCAGGTGAATCTGGCCCGTCAGGTTCTGCAACGGATCCGCGGAGTTGACGCGGATATCGAAAACGAGGTGGAATCCTGGAAAGCGATACCAGGTGAATCCGCTGAAGAAGAATCTCTTCTTGCCCCTCCGCCAGGAACAGTCCGACCCAAGCAACCCCAGGTCACCATGCTGCGAGTCATCACTGATCGTGCTTACCGCCCCGCAATTGTCGCCGTCGTGGGCGTGATGATCGCCCAACAGTTCACCGGCGTCAACAGCATTATTATGTACAGCGTGTCTCTTCTGCAGACCATCCTTCCCACGACCGCAGGACTTCTTGCCGTGGGGATTTCGGTGGTCAACCTCGTCATCACGCTGGCTTGTACTCCTCTACCGGACAAGATCGGGCGGAGAACCTGCCTCCTCTCCAGTGTTACAGGGATGGGCACCAGTGCCGCGCTATTGGCTCTAGGAATATTCTACAACTGGAAGGTTCTCTCGGGATTGGCCTCCCTGCTGTTCGTGGCTGCTTTTGCCGTGGGTCTGGGTCCTGTGCCGTTCATTTTGGCCTCGGAATTGGTCGGACCAGAAGCCGTGGGGGCAGCGCAGAGTTGGGCGTTGGCGGCCAATTGGATATCGACCTTTATTGTCGCACAGTTCTTCCCCATGTTGAACAATGCATTGGGCGGCCGGGGCCGGATCTACTGGCTGTTTGCCGCCGTGTCTGGGGTGATGGGGGTGTTTATCTACTGGTGGGTGCCGGAGACCAAGGGCAAGGCCAATCTGGATGAAGTCTGGGGAAGAAATCGGAGAAGGGATTAATTTGGTGGTGTTGTGTTGCGTGGCTGCCCAAGATTCACATTCATATTATGCGCTCTATAGCCCTTCTAATATCGCAGGATGTGCTTGACGACAGTGTTTTTCTCCACGCAGCTTCTGGTTCGAGAATGGTTCTAGTGATATGTACTGGGTGGGTGTCCGTGTCTACGGCTGTGGCCGCACATAAGCTTTGCGGAAAGCACGCATTAATAAAAATGCCGCGGAATAAATAATCCAGCCTCAGCCCTGCTGTCTGACGAGCAGGCTGCAGCGTTTCCTGCTCACGTTGCAGCGATCGTCCTTGCAGACATCCCATCAGATGACGGGGATGCAAGGACAAATAATCATAATATAGTCATAGCCATATACAGAGCAATTAATAATACGGTCAGGGATGAATCCTGATCCTGATGAGGGATTTCCCCCCTCCCCCTCCCTTTTCCACAGCCACAAGTGTCGCGAGGCTTGGCTTCTGTGACGTGGCTTGACGGCATCCTTCGTTCTCGCCCTTCTTGATTGCTTCTGATGCAGCACATGTTTCCTGCGTGCTACAGCCGCCCTGGTAGTGTTCTGCATCTTCGTGCGCCCGTCCCACGCTGGGGTATGAAAGATGGGAAGATGGAAACACATCCTCCGCGCTAATGGCAACGGCGCCCCAACGGCCATCCTTCTATTTATTTCTCTGCCGTGGCTGCTCGCTTCTTTTTAGTTTAAGGTTCTCCTCCATTCGTAAATAATAATAAGAATAGCTTCTCTCGCTCACCCTCTCTTTCTTCGTTTCGTGTTCTTCTCATTCTCCCTCGGCTCTGTCCCTTACTCCCTGGGAAGGTCGCAGCAACCGTCCTTCTGTCAATTGTCCCCTTAGATCTCGCTCTCGACCCAATTGTCTCCGCTGGAGTGGCCCCGTCAGACCCGTCCGAACCGTCCAGGATCATCCGGGACTGGGACTGGTCTGGAGATCCATCCCATTGTCTATTGCTCCGTCCATCCTTCGGGGGACAGGCCGGTTCTAGACTGTCCCGTTCCGTCATCGTCGAGTCCTTGCGATAATCATCCCTCGACCTCGGAACACCTGCAATCCACCAGCCTTCAGACTCACCAACTTCTTTTTTTTTTTTTTTTTTTTTTTTTAATTATAACAACCCTTCTCGGGGGAGCGTGTTCGACTGCTTCCCGACGAGAAGGCGACGTCGACCCTGCCTGGCGCATCCGAGCTGAGCTCTCTCTCCCTTGTGCCTCCCGCACCTCACCTCCCTCCCATCATGGTCCGACTACAGCTCCCCCAACGCTTCGGCTCCCGCTTAGCTGCTGGGAGTAATGCTTCGACTCCCGGCCAGAGTAGAAGCTCTAGTCCAATGAAGACTCCTGATTTTAAGCCCTTGTTGCTCAGGATATCTGTCATAAAAGTGAGAAGGCTCCCGTATGAACTTAGAGAATGAACCCCCTTTCCCCAAGTTCTCTCTTTTTTCACGCGCACACATGCCCTCGTTACAGGAACTAACTACAGCCTTGCAATTGCTAGGGTCGAAATCTTGCGGCTAAAGATCGGAGCGGTACCAGTGATCCGGTATGCTTTTCACCATAGCGCCTATTCCTGGCCAGTCCTTCCTCCCAATCCTTCCAGAGCTGATAGTAATTGCTCCCTTTCAGTATCTAGTCATCACGTTCGGAGATGCGCGACAATCAACTCCCACAATACCCAAGACGCTCAACCCGGAATGGAATGTTACCTTCGATATGCCGGTCATCGGAGTACCCCTGTTGGAGTGCGTTTGCTGGGATCACGATAAATTCCGTAAGGACTATATGGGCGAGTTTGACATTCCCCTGGAAGATGTTTTCGCGGACGGTGAAGTCAAACAAGAGGTAGGTGCTTCCTGTTGGACTCCCTAGCATCTGCCTGAGAATCGCTGCTGAGATCAAATGGCTCCAGCCGAAATGGTATACACTGTCGTCCAAACGGAAAGGTACCAAGAAAAAGGACAACACGGTCTCGGGGGAGATCCTTCTACAGTTTTCACTATCCGATTCGTCCAACCCTGCGGCAACCCCAAGGGAAATCTACCAGAAATTTAAGACTCAAGTTTCCTCCGGTGACGACGACGAATACTTCCCAGGCCACGATTTAGATGATGGGGATGGGGATGGGGATGAGGAAGTTTCCGAAGAAGCAGAAGACCTTAGCAAGTCAGAAGTAGTAGAAAGACGGAGAAGGCGACTTCGCCTTGCTCGCCTCAAACGCAAGTCCCTAGCAGCCAGGGCTTACCAGTTCTCGGGTTCTGGAACCGGAGTACAGGGAATTGTGTTCATGGAAATCATCAAGGTTACGGATCTCCCTCCCGAGAAAAATGGTATGAGAGCTTCATCGGAAACTATCTGGGCGGCCATGATCTTCTTTGGCTAACTGACAAACAGTGACTCGTACGTCGTTTGACATGGACCCATTTGTTGTGACTTCACTGGGAAGAAAGACTCTACGGACCCCTGTAGTTCGCCACAATTTGAATCCGATATACAACGAGAAGATGGTTTTTCAGGTCATGAAGCATGAACAATCGTACACCATCAGCTTTACGGTCATGGATAGAGACAAGTTCTCCGGCAACGATTTCGTTGCCTCGGCCGGTTTTCCTCTGCAGACTCTGATCCAGGCTGCACCCGAAGCAGATCCGGAGACTGGCTTGTATCGATTCCCAGAGTTCTCCTCATCTCCCAGCCTGCCTCCTACCAAACCAAGCAGGCTAGGCATGAGCCGGACTCCATCATCCACCAGTTTGACCAAGGTGTCCAGGCCCATATTAAGGCCCAAACGCTCTTCCGCCTCAATATCAGGCCAGTCCCAGCAGCAACAAGAGCCACAGATAACAGTTCACCCGTCGAGTGTCCCGGAAGGACTAACTTGTGATACCCCTTCTGTCACCAGTTCCAGTAATTGCGCCATGGATGCGGATGGCTTTAAAATATACGTAATACCACTTTCCTTGAGAAACAAGGAGCGATGGGAAGATAAACATCTCCCCGAACTCTACGTCAAGGCTAAATACGTGCCGTATCGTGCTCTAAGACAGCATTTCTGGAGACTAATGCTCAAGCAATACGATGCCGATGACAGTGGCCGCATCGACAAGGTCGAAATGACAACGATGCTTGACACCCTTGGTTCGACATTGAAGGAGTCGACCATTGACGGGTTTTTCACTAGATTCAGCGCCGAGAATGAGCCCAGTGAGACGATGGATCTGACCTTCGATCAGGCGGTGATGTGTCTCGAGGACACATTACAGGCGTTGCAGAAAAGCGCCGGAGCCGTCCCCAGCGCTCTCTCAACTGGAAGCGAGGACCAATCGAGCAGTGATGAGCTCACCGTGGAGACTGGTGAATCCGTACCGTCGAATACCCAACCCGATACCACGGCTGTGCCGACGCTGTCTACTGAAGAACAGCCCAGTCCCACGGGCGAAGATCTTTGTCCGGATGATCTGGGCGATGACATGGATGAGGAGCATGTCGTCGAGATTCGAGAATGCCCGCTATGCCACCAGCCGAGACTGTCAAAGCGGTCGGACGCGGATATCATCACACACATCGCGACGTGTGCCAGCCAGGACTGGCGGCAGGTTGACAATCTCGTGATGGGTGGCTTCGTCACGTCTAGTCAGGCGCAGAGGAAGTGGTACACCAAAGTCATCACGAAGATTTCATATGGTGGATATAAGCTGGGAGCCAATTCTGCAAACATTCTCGTTCAGGATCGAATTACCGGACAGATCAATGAGGAGCGCATGAGCGTTTACGTCCGTCTAGGTATTCGGCTACTATATAAAGGACTCAAGAGCAGGGATATGGAGAAGAAGCGAAGTAATATTTTCCATTCCACATTTTCTGTAATGAAGTCTATAGATTTTGAAATACTGACTTGAGCATGACAGTCCGCAAGATACTCAAATCGATGAGTATCAAGCAAGGCAAGAAGTATGACGATCCGGCTTCCGCGAGCCAGATTCGGGACTTCATCAACTTCCACATGCTTGACATGTCAGAAGTTTTGTTACCCGTAGACGAATTCAAAACTTTTAACGAGTTCTTTTACCGGGCGTTGAAGCCCGGTTCTCGACCTTGTTCAGCCCCTGATAACCCCAAGATTGTCGTGTCTCCTGCCGACTGTCGCGCTGTTGTTTTCGATCGTATCGATGACGCAACCAGGATTTGGGTCAAGGGCAGGGAATTCTCCATTGAAAGACTGCTTGGAAATGCCTATCCGGAAGACGTCACGCGTTACAAGAGCGGAGCACTGGGGGTTTTCCGACTGGCTCCTCAGGACTACCATCGTTTCCACATCCCAGTAGACGGGGTCTTGGGAACACCCAAGACTATCGAAGGCGAGTACTACACTGTGAACCCCATGGCTATCCGCTCTGCGCTGGACGTGTACGGCGAGAACGTGAGGGTTCTGGTGCCGATCGACTCGGTTGCCCACGGTCGGGTTATGGTCGTCTGTGTTGGGGCAATGATGGTTGGAAGTACAGTCATCACCCGGCAACCCGGAGAGAAGGTGTCCCGGAGTGAAGAGCTTGGGTACTTTAAATTTGGTGGAAGTACTATTCTACTTCTGTTCGAGGAAGGCGTGGTGAATTTTGACCAGGATCTGGTGAACAATTCAAACGGCCCTCTTGAGACTTTGGTAGGATTACCCATGCATACTGGCGCCACACCCCATTTTGGAGCTCACCTGTTTTTGCTGACATGAATTTGGTTTTCTCTTCAGATCCGAGTAGGCATGTCGGTGGGCCACAGCCCCGATGTACCGCAGTTTGAGCCCGACATGCCCAAGAAGACCGAAGAAGTCTCGATGGAGGAGATGCAGCATGCTAAGCGAAAGATCGAGGGCAGTCTGGCGCCTCCGGCCGAAGCGTCTCCGGCCGAACAGCTTTGAGCAGGCTTGTGGCATTATTTGACTTTCCTCTCTTCTCTCATGAGTTGGGCAGGAGAAATCCATTCAGTTGTTTTTATCACGGCATTTTCTTAGCATCATCATCCACTTGGGCATTGCATTGATGAGGAGCGACGATTGGACATTGTATCACCATGTGTACATAGTTATTAGTAGATACTAAGACCATCTTGTGCAAAGAGAGTGTGTCGATGACTGAATCAGTTTGGGCTAATCCCGAACCGGCCTAGCGCCATACGTCTCCACGCGCCAAATCAAAACAACCGCGTGCAGAGAAACACTCCCTCGATGACCAGAACGACATGTCCTGTCCCCCCGGCCCCGTCTTGCGGTCCTTGCAGAGAAGAGAAATAGGCGGAATATAGGCTCCATCTCAGCAATTGCTCCACCCACGAACAACACCCGATCGATGCGGTCGTTGATTTTGCGCGACCCGGATTGATTGAATAATAGGTCCGGGACTACCAAAGCCCGACAGACACACGTATGTACGACCGCGCCGCCCACCCATTTGGCATTCGACACCGATTAAACGACACATACTTGCATATTTCGGATATTTACAGTTTGAGATAGTTGACACATCACCCGTTCAAGGAGACCAGGCATCCGCGATATACCTTCCTCTTCATCTTCGACAACCGACGCCGACTCTTAACTCCTCGTTTTGCGCGCTCTGAAGCCTCCCGCTAGCTCATAATACGCCCCCGTCGCTTGGCTCTCTTGACATGACCCTCACTGTTGTGGCGACTTCCAGGATCGAAACCGAGACGAAGCATCGTTATCCTCTCAGGCCGATTGATATGGCCACGTCCAAAATGCAGGCGCGTGCGGGCGCGCCGGGGCCAGCCGATACATCTGGTGCTGGTGCGGGGAGGGGGAGACGGACGCGATTGAGTATCAATAATCATATGATTGATGAAGGTGATCGTCAGCAGGTGAATAGGGGGGAGAAGAAGAAGAGGAAAGCAGGTGAGTTGTATGCATGCATTGGACCTTTTAAAAAAATTAAATACATGAATAAATAAAGCGGGTTGAGCCGCTTACTGATCCCCTTCCCGTGTGGAAATGCAGGATCTTTTCATGAGGATGTTGGGGGTTTCCAGTTTACGCGCATTGCGACCAAGAAGCCGCGACCGTCTGTAGATGCTATTCCTGAAGTTCAGGGGGATGCAGATTCAGCTACGGCTACAGCTACGGTGCCTGAAAATACGGCTCTGCAGCAGCAGAAGAAGTCGCCGAGGAGGGGAAGGCCGCCGAAGAAACGGGCGGAGACGAACGTGGGTACGATGAATAAAGGTGCAGCCGTGGAGACGGAAGCGACGACAACAATGGCCATGTCTACAGCTGAAACAACCGGGAGGAGAATGCGACGGAGCTCAAATATGGCATCATCATCAACAGCGGCGGCGGCGGCTGTACCCGAAACACGGTTTGAACGGGGGAGTCCACTACGGTCAACGCGATCAGCCACGCGAAAACATGAGCATTCACCTCCGCCAGCAGATCTTCCACCGGTAGAAAAAAAGCGCAAGAAAGGTCGGCCGGCCAAGGCTAAAGCTGGAGGGGTACAAGAAAAGGCAGAAGAAAGGAATGGATTTCGGTCGCCTGATGTGCAGACGATTGGTACATCGAAGATTGCGCTGCCGATGGCCGATACTCCTGTTATACAGCGAAATAAGGAGATACGAGAGGGAAAGTCGGGAAAGGCCCCAAAGAGGCGAAGTAGTTTAGGGATGAGAGGGAGACGGGCGAGTTCTCTGATTGATTCGGGTGTCTCGAACGGTGAGTAGGGATCAATTCCCTCTGTGTCTTATGATATATATTATTATTGTGTGTTATTAACGTGTTGGTATCTTTTTTCAGCCTTGCCTCATAAGGAAGTGGATACGGCGGATTTCTACAAACACATCGCAAGTGACGGTTTATCGGAGCCGCGGAGAATGCGACAACTTCTGATCTGGTGCGCCACGCGAGCATTGGGGGAGAAATCTTCCGGGTCACGATCAGAGGATGAAAGCGCTCGATTAGCAGGTCTGTTGATTGATCCGGCAATTATTGTGCACGGATGTCCATGCTGACTTCCACCATAGCGCGCGTGATTCAAGAAGAACTACTCAAGGACTTTGCGAATAATTCAGAGCTCTCCGACTGGTTTGGGAGAGAAGATGCGAATCCGCCGTCCGTTGTCGTGAGGAAACCGAATCCGAAGAATGTGCAGAATGCAGAGAAGATCAAGGAATTAGAGGAACAGATACAACGGTATGTCGTGGAATCCAAGGCAGCGGGATATCAAACTGACAATTTTGTGGAATGAAGATTACAAAGAGAGAGACATGCTCTGAACGCTCTCCTCAAACAACCGTCCATCCCACGCATCAAATCTTTGTCATCAAAACGAGAAAAGCCATCAGAAGCTCCATTGAGCGATCAAACATCACAACCTACACCGATCTCGACAGAACCCTCCCCAGAACCCCAGTCCATCGACAAGTCCCTGCTAGACCCATCACAGCAAGCCATTCTCGAATTTCTAGATCCCTCGAAAACCTCTCAACCTGAACAGTCGATGAAACAAGAACACAAACATGAAGAACAGGAAAACGCCCCCTCTTCAACAACAACCCATCACCATATCCCGCCACTAATCCCTTCAGAAATCTCCTCACGTCTCTCCCATATCCGAACACGCCTAACACCAACAATCGACTCCTTTGCCGCCGGGATCCACGACGTAGAGCTCTACCGTTCCACAGCAGATAAAGTATCTTCTCGAGTCCTCCGCATCTGCTCCCAGCGTCTGGAGGAGCGTGATGCGCGGAACGCCCTGCGCAGGCTCACCATCGCCAGTGACCAAGATACTGAACAAGGGGGTACAGCCAAATCCATGCAGCCTGGGCAAGTACCAAGGGAAGACCTTGGGATTATTCTGAGTGCATTGAGTCGTGTTGAGCGATGATAGGGATGTTGTTTATAGCGTCGTGTACACACATATAGTTTAAGTCCGCAATTGATGCCTTTCTCTTCCAGTTTTAGTGCTCTTGCTCATTGGAATCTTAGCGGCATAACTTGGTGTACTCTGTTTAACCCAGCAGTCCATCCCAGTCAGCCTGTAATTCCAATTAGGGCGCGGACAGAAAGACTACAGTACTAAATCAACAACATAATATGATGTACAAAGCAACCAGGAATAGATACTCACCCAGCAAGCTACACCTGATCCATAACGCCGAACACCCACTCCGTCACCACCTCCGGCTACTAACAACCGGACAATGACCAGGCCCGGATAGTCATCACATCAATCATCCGCCCACTCTCCCTCTCCATCATGGCGATGGATGCCTTCTGTAACCTAACCGGGATGCACAGGTCATCTTCACATGAAAGATAAGACACGGGAATACCCCTGTACCTGGCATAAGACAGCGCACTGGGGGAGTTTCCTTGCCCAGTACTCGCCTTGTTCGCGTGGTGGGATGTCGGTGTGGTAGAGCCAGCTATTTTCCTGTTTCCCGTGAGCTCTAGAATAAAACAGTCACATCCCAAGAAAGAGAGCGTGTAAGGGGAAGGGGAGGACAGACGTCCAACCCCAACTCCACCATCTCTCCCTTGGAGAGCTCATCCGTCACCCCAACCAGCAATACAACACAAGTCATATACGCCAACCGTACAATCCCACCTGTCTTCCCTTGTGCTGCTCTCTCGCTCTTGCTTAATCCCTTCGTGCACTGGGTACTATTCGTGGTTCACCGAGTACGAGGGTTGGAATGGATGGATCTAGGTATTTTAGGTATGGTCCAGTTGCTACTGCAGATATTATGGTCATCTATATATTGAGTAGTCTGTATCTATAAACCCATGCAGACTACAAATCGATAATAACATCACACTCCTCTACAGATCCCAGCCCGAAAGCTTTCCTCCCTCCACGCCAACTGCCCGCGAGAGCCTGCCGCGCGAACACCCGCAGGGCGTCCTCATAGTCGTTCACCAACGCAGAAATCTCGTCGATACCAATGCTGCTATTCACGTTCAGACCAGCATCAGAATCAGTCTTAGCGGAGCAATCGAGCTTAGCCCAAAGCTCAGCTACCCGACGAGCTAGATCTTCTGCGTCTCGCAGGGCGGTATTCACACCCATCCCCCCGGTAGGAGGCATGACGTGAATCGCATCACCCAGGAGTGTCATGCGCGGCGAAGAAGGCGAAGGCTCCCAATCTGGGAGATCGGGTTTCATGGATGAAATCCGCAGCGTTGATGTTTGGGTCGTGCTTTGTGCCTCGAACAACACGCGTAGGGATGGGTGCCATTTCTCCGTCAGCGTCAGGGAGAGGGCTACGGATTGTTCGTGGTTAAGGCGTAGTGTCTCCTCGTCCCGGAGGGGGATGGAGGAGCGGTTTGTAGTGAGGACCCAGTATATGTAGTCCTGGGGAATATGGACGTGGGTCTGCGATTGCGCGCGTGCTGTCGGAGGGAATCTGATGGGTTCGAGTAGAAGTGTCTTTGGTGCTATTTGGTCGTTTTCAAACACGAGTGACATTCCACGGAGGAGTTCTTGGGGAAGTTGCCTCTCGACTTGTTCGGATAGAACAGTCTTGCCGTATATGATGCGTATTCCTGTGTCGAGGATGGGGTAATCTGGGAGACGCTGCTTTCGGACGCGAGAGCGCAAACCATCCGCCCCGATAAGCAGGGCGCCCTCTTCGACTGTGCCATCGGTGAAATATGCTCGGACTCGATCAGGATCCGCTTCGTAGTGGGTGAATTGTTTCCCGAAGATAACCCGTCCCTGGAGCCCTGTTAGGAGGACATCGCGGAAGACAGTTCGGTCGACGGTGAGAGGCTCCAATCTTCCTTGGAAAGATGGAGGGCCGCCGCCTAGCACCGACGCTCCTAGTGGAATTGCCGCCACGGCATCGAGTCGGCCAGATGGGGAGGACGAGTGGAACTCGACGCAGGTCTCCTTGAGGAGATCCCACACTGCTGGAGTAAGGGAGTACTGTAATGCGCGGATACCTTCTTCACCAATACGGAGTCGATACCCCTGCGCACGGAGGTCATGTTTCGCGTCCTTTTCAAACACTTTGAAAGGGATGTTGTGTTTTTGGAGGGCATGGGCAAGGCAAAGACCACCCAGCCCGGCGCCAATGATCAAGACCGTCGCCATGAGATGTTTGTAGCTGAACAAATGATGTTGGAGAGCACGAGAAGACGTGAAAGTGACCGAGGAGATGCAGCAACTTATAGGCAGCCATCTCTGTAGACCTGACTGGGTTGAATCGGTCATCGGTCGTAGCAACACCGACGCTGCATAGCATTGTCGGAAACAGCGGATGAGATATGGAAATAGTAAGATCGTTTCAGATTCCTAACCGCTGCTTGAGAAAATGAGTATGGGGGACAGCTACTCCATGCTCCGTTCTTCAGCATGTAAGCACAGGTTGCTTCAGGTATGTTGTCTCAAGCTCACGCTCCGGTCACAAGTTATAAGTTCAACAATTGTTCGATCTCCATGAATATAGGCCTACTTACTTTATTGCTATAATGAAGTTGTGTAGATAGAAATGCAGGGTGGGATAGTGATAGCATTGCTATCCTACGCATCTTGGTTACTTGCTATCGATGCTAAACGCTGTAAAGGAGAGACAGTGGATGATATTCAGATAGCTTGCGTTATAATTATCCATTCCAACCTGAGCGCGAAAGATTAAAGGAATGTCAGTCCCTGTAGACTAGAATAGTAAAAAAGTTTCACAGAAAATAAAATAGTAGAAGAGCAAGCTCTCCCACACCAAATTTCGATCGCATCCGCATTAAGTCCTCAATCAACATCATGACATTCACATTACATTATCATAGTCTTACGCTTTTCAGCGCTCGACAAGACAAGCATGGGAGTCTTCCGCCTTTCCGAACCGTGGCCCACCGTCCTCTGGCCTGCGACGACAGCAGCTGTAGAAGGCATCACCCCCGTAGGAAAAGTGACACGATCCAGGCTAAGCTCGGAAAACTTCGACCCAATAAATGCACCATCATCGCTAGCTGGGGTCCCTGACCTGTACGTGTCCAGGGAGTTTCGCTCCCGAGATGATCTCTCCTTCCTCTCGGATCCGATTGCCCCATTGGCTGCAGCACGAAGACTGCCCAGGCTTGGCTTGCTCGAGAGACTACCGCTGCGTGCAGTAGCATCGTCGTCAGAAAAGGCAAATTCTTTCTCACTCGCCGGAGTGTTCGTGCCTCCGCTGCTGTGATGTCCGAAGCTTCGAGATTCTCCACGACGTTCGATTCCAGCACGGACAAGGCTGTGGACCGCACGGCGGCGCTGACGGGTTGCAAAGTTCTTGCTTCCTTCGAACCTGGACGTGGGCTTGGCAATAAGATCTTCGAGGGATGGTGGCCCACGAGGCTGGCGAACAGGATGTTCTCCAGCCCGGCCTTGGCCGGGTCCAAACATGCCAGTCATTGGGGTTGGTGGCAATGCAGCAGACCTAGGGGCACCACTAATCGCGCTGTTGTTTGCCTTTGACGGGTCAATGGTGGGTTTGTTGAGGCATGGCATGAAGGATGAGCTCTTTCTATGACCTCTACGGAACGCGTTAGCCGACGGCGGCGGCAAAGGAGCGACGTCGTGAGGCGGCGAAGGACTGGAACTAGGAGGGGACACCGGATGCGAAACATGAACTGGAGACTGAGCCGATTCCGGTGGTGGAGAGACCTCGGCTCGGAAAGTTGGGACCTGCGACTGAGGTGGCTGAATTTCCTCTTGAACTGCCAGGGGAGACGAGCTTCTTTGCTCAGCAGTGTTGTCAAAGATGTAATTCTGCTGACCAGTCAGAGGGTTGTACACTAAGTAGAGGCCAGGCTGTCCGAGAACCGGCTGAACGACTGGCTGCACCCCTTGCTGAAGTTGCTGTTGGTAGAAGCTCATAGAAGGAACGGAAGGAGAGGCGAACTGCTGTCCCAGAGGCGTTCCCAAGCTCAGGCCCTGGAACTGCTGTGCAGCTGCAGTTACGTTGATCAGCTGCTGCTGAAGACGTTGTTGCTGAGCAGCCAAGAACAGGTTAGTCGACATCAGTTCGGCGTATAGTGTGTCATCCATGGGCATGTCGCCACCAAAATCAATCGACGGAGGTGCAAGGACCTGCTCCGGAAGAGTATACATTGGGTGACGGCCCGGGTTCATACCCGAATTCATCCCCTGGTTCATAGCGAATGAATGCTGGGGGAATCCAGCTCCCGTGGCAGTCTGCGGCACACGTTCGCCAGCACGGTTTGGAAGGCTTGCATATCTGCTGCCTTCAAGACCAACGTGCTGCTGGCGGTGCGCAGCTGAAGGCACTGTGGCCGACTTAGGGGCAGTTCGGAGACCAGCTAGAAGATGAGAACGGCTGGTGCGTGGTGTTGGAACAGCATCGGAATGATGGGATCCGTCGAGGGCGGAAAAATGAGCGGGGGAGACGCTCAAGCGTTTAATATGGGCACCTTTTCCCCGGGAAGCAAAGCCGGCAGTTGGAACACCAAGAGTGCCTCCATTGAAAGAAGAATTGTAAGTCATCTGAGTAAGACCGCCAGCGTCCATACTCGGATGTTTTGTTAGGTGGTACTAGAATATGTGCAATAGCCTTCGATAAAAGTAGCTTCTGAAAATTCCAGCAATAACACTCGACAGGCGGTTCCCAGGCTCTGGAATTAACGATGTGATCAACCGCAGATATTGTCAGGGATTAGAAGAATTAAGAGGTGTGTAGACAAAGGATGAAGCTCCAGATATATCCAAGAATAGGTGAATATCCAAAGAGTGGAAGATGAGCTATTCACTAAAGTCCCAATATCGTCAGTCAAGGCTAAAGTCACCAATGTCGAAGATCAAACCCACCTGAGTAGACAAAACAGCAAGTGGAGGTAGCCGGAAAGAACGCGCGTGAAAGGGAATAACAACAGAGCAATAGGGAAATTAACAAGATATACAGCGAATAGATGGCCACACGGACTGCGAGCTCCCCCAGGAGACCAGGTGGGAAAAAAAAAAAGAAGCCAGGGATGGCCGACGCGACCGGACGTCAAGAAAGTGAGAAGAGGCTGAAGAAGAATGAACTAGTGGGAGATGCTCTGCAACAATCCCACCAGAACGATTTTCGATTCGACGGTATTAGACGAGGACCGAGGTTGGTCTAGAGACGAAAGGATATAACAACACACTACGGAGCACTCCGCAGTTGATGGATCAACGATGTATCGAGAGGCAGACAGATAAGCCTTCGATGATGAGCGAAGACCAACCGTCTGCAGGAAGACGAAACAGACGTCTCGAGTTGTCGATCAGAAACGAGCCGGGATGATGCGCTTTTTTCAAAAGCTCAGGGGAGGGGGGTTTGGGAGGTGGGATATCCTTTTCCGATGCTTCCTTTATTTTTTAAATTTTTATTTTTAAATTTTCTAAAAGAGAATAAAACTTTTCCCGTTAAAAAAAAGGACAACTGCAAAGAATGAAGGAATGCACAGAGAGAGAGGTTGAGGGAACGGAGAACCGAAGAGATGGAAAGGTGGAAAAGGAAGTTGACGGAGAGGAAGAAAGGAAGACGAGGCCAAATAAAACACACTAAGCCCGTCTTGGGCGACGGCTGCTTGGCGCGCGCTAGTAGACGCGCCACCAGTCGCTGACTAAGCCATCTTCGGGCCATCCGTCCTGTCGTCTGCTCGCGCTGTTCTCGGTGCAGGCAGGCGTTTCATGAATATTAATAATTCAGCCCGCGAACCGCAAGCTCGGATGTCACAAGGTGATGTAAGCCGTCCCTCTGCGCGCGGCATCAGTGCCTAAGGTGCATAGGCGGGGTCGACGTCCAAAATGAGGCGTCCATTGCAGAGCGTGCAACGCGCAGAAAGCGCTATACAGCGTGGCACTTGCTACTGTCGATAGGATTTCAATGCTGTCAAGAATGCCTCCTGAATGGTGGATTGGGGAAATTACCGGTAAGCAGATCGACTCGCCAAGCTAGTGGGCCTGGAACCTGCCCTGCATGTAGGGACATGCTATTTACACATGCATGTACTGTACTATGTACATCGGCTCATCACATCTCGTTTCGTCGAATCTCATTAACCCTGCGCGCTTCTCTCTATCTTTTCTCCCTGCTCGGCTGAACAAACAACATCATCAAGGCACTCAAAAGGTAAGGGGTATCTGCTGGCAGAGTAGCACCTTCACGTGTAACGCCAGACGAGGAAATGGTCGGTGCCAATTACAAGGGACGTATGTGCATAGCGGACAAAAGACAGAACCTGATTTTCAACATCTTATTGAAATCGGATCCAGTCCTTTTGTAAAAAATGAAACGGAAAAACCAAAACAAGGTCTGCAAAGATTCTTGCAAAGATTCTCGCAAAGGACCACACAAGTGAAAATAAAATGACATAAGTAGCGACCTGGGCCAGTAGAATATGGAATGCTCAGGTGGTGTAGAAATGTTTTGACGATTTCGATGATTCTTCTTTCCTCACGCGTCAACCGACACCGTTGGTCCGGATGGTACAGCAAGGGACGTAGATTCCTTGCGCAATAGTTGCCGCTGGCGGTCTGGTTCTGGTGATTCGGCGCTGGAGCCCTTCCCATTCATTCGCTCAAATTCCAGGGTCTCTGCCAGTTCTGCAGACATGGGGTCTAGCTCTTCCTCTTTCAGACCGGTCGCCAGAGACACGAGTTTGCGGTGCACATCAAACTTAGTACTGACGCCAGCGTCCGCCGTCTGTTGAATCAGGTCTTTGATGGCAGCCCGGCGGGCCTTCTGCGCTGAACATAGTTGTCGAGATAGTTGATAGATGGCGACTAGGTCATTGTTTGCCGAAGGAGGCGACCTGGGCTTGTCCGTCACTGGTGGGGCCATCGACATCATACGCTCTGCAAGGTGAGCATGTTGGATTTGCTCCAGGAGGGACTCGTAACTCCTCCTCAGCTGCTCGTAACGTCCAAGTTGCGTCTCAACAGGCTCAGACGCGGCTTCCTTTGCTACCAAGGAACTAGTTTGTCTTTGGATATTCCGTCGATCCGACTCCAATTGCTCGTATAGAGCTTCAGGATTTGCAACATCACCGGACTCTGGCTGGTTTGCCCGCGAATTCCCGTATGTCGCTGCGAGTTTCTTGTTTGCCTCTGCCATGATCGATTCGATTTTTGATGTTAATGCAGATGTTGCGAGAGACACACTGGGGGGCTGAATGGCCAGCTGGTGGTCAGAGCTGGTAGGTCGGGCGCCGTCACCGTCCATTTGGTCATTACCTATGACAACCGAAGATGGTGGAGGTGGGATCTCCCGCTCAGGATAGTGTGCCCGTGCGAGGATGCCCGCGGCCGTTTCACCCTTTTTATTTACTAGATCTCCAGCTCGCGGGCAGTACATTAGGAGTATGTTAACCAGACGAAATGCACCGTTGCGAGCTGCAACAAGTGCAGCAGTGTCCCCATTCGAGTCTTGACATGACAACAGCAAATCAATTTCCTCTTGGGAGCACGTACTACGCAAAGTTTCCAGTAGCACTTCGCAATAGTACCGTGAACTTTTCCACTTTCCCTTACTCCTTGTCGTCTCCGCAATGTGATGGAAAATAGTAGCCCCGAACCAATCTCTGAAAGAGATAGTGTCGAGGAGAAGCTCCAGCAATTCCGGGAATGTCCTCTTTTCGTAGTTGTTCGTAAACAGAACAGCCCGTACCAGCGGCGTTTCCTCATGGACAGACAAAGCCTTCACATCAGCGCCTCTCACTAGAAGGTCTCTGACAATCTCCAGGTCGCCCATGGCACAAGCCCAGTGGAGTGCTGTATTTCCAGAGTCGTCAATAGGTCGGTCAACTTGAAAGTTTACAGGAGGTTCTGGAGGTGGAATCCTCCTTGCTTCCGGAGCATCCCCTACTGTCATGAAGTAATCCAGAAGCTGATCACCATAAAGGATGTGTTCTTGCTCTCTAATCGACATCGCAGTGGCATCGTTCATCCCACGTTTACGCTTGCGCAAGTATGTTCCATGCTGGGACATGGGCAACGCATCCTCATCTGCCATCATGGAAGATGATTCGAGTGTTGTCTGCTCAATTGATTCATCTTCATCCATAGCAGGATTCACGTCATACTGTTCAAGATGAAAGCTTGGTGGGCCCATGCTCATATGCGGCTTAACTGCATTAAATGAAGTTTCATGGCTAGCCTCCTTGCGAGTGTGAACAGCGCCCCTAGAGGCCCTCGGTCTTGAAGAGGTGGAATGCTTCGGCGCTGGAGGAGGACTGCGGTCGCCAGCGACATAATCGAAAATGGGGCGTAGCTTGTCAATAATGTTATTGCGCTCCGCGAGCATACGGCCATCCTGAAGGGGGATCCATGTCCCTAATATTTGATTTAGCAAAGGTACGGCCCACCGCAGACTCTTCCGCATCTTTGGACCTTACCCTGGTATTTACCATAACCACCTTGCACCTTCTCGTGGACACCCTTTTGGACCTCGCGTTCTAGAATGCGTGTTCTCGCGGGCTTGTCAAATCCAGCAGCTTTGAGAATGTGCGTGGCATTTATCCAATCATCTGCCCTTCTCCGCATGATACTTTCGCCATCGATTTTGAATTCGTACACTGGAACCTGGAGAACAAGTCAGACGTACGTTGTAGCCTTCAAATTGGCATGATTCGCTGTTCTGAAATAGAGAATCTCATCGGACGAATACAATTGGAATAATACCCACATTACTGTACGTAGCAGAGTAAATTCCGGGGTCAGTAATGCCCGCCATGATGCGGTTGTCCGTCGGGCACTTATGTCGACTAGGTTTCCGAAGCACGGGGGAGTTGGACGCGGTTCAAGTGTAAGGCTTAAAAACATCAACTACACAGAGCAGCTGCAAGACATGGTAGACAATGTGAAGCAGAAGGTGACGACAGGCAGGAGGTCAGCCACTCGTGGCTCGTTCAGCAGTATGTCCGCTGTACGCTGTATGTCTGGCAACGCGCAAGGTTGACGAGAGACGCGCCAGGGAGAAGACCGCGTAAAGTGGATAATCAGCGCTAGTCCCTATCTGGAAGTACGATCACGTGGTATCAGCTGATCATATCGGAAGGAAGGAAACAAGTTCAAGAGCCGCCAGGAAGCTGTCTGTTGTCCATCCATCCCCCAATTGTCGCACCGCACAGCATCTCAACGCAATATGACAGTGGCTGAGTCTATTAAGAGTGCCGTTGGCGCTACAGGCAGCACCAGTATGTGTTCTTCCGCACTGGCAACCAGCAACCGGGACTGAGACATGAGTCGAGCTTGATCGAATGTTGACCTCTACCTATATAGCTGCCACTAGACAGGAAATGTCCGATGCTCGTATCCCGCTCGCATACCGAGATTCTTGCGCACACCTCCTGATCCCGTTGAACCGGTGCCGTTACCAAGAGTACTACCTTCCCTGGAAGTGCGAGGTACGATCTTGAGGGTCGAAATCCAAACGGAGCCATTGCAATTGGCTTGTCCCCTATGGGAGTTACATATGTTAACCCACTCTTTTTGCTACTCTAGGACGAGAGGCATAGCTACGAGAAGTGCCAATACGAGGAATTCAAGAAGCGGGTTGCCAAGATGGATGAACTCCGAGCTGCAAAGGGCGGTGCTCGAAGCAACTAAATGATTGCGGATTATGAAACCATCGGCAGCGAGGATTCAAGACAGACGGGAGCGGCAGGTTATGTACATAAGAACTACGAGACTGCGTGTTCATGAAGACGATATGGCATTGGGATTCTCTTGGAGACGTCGCCTGCCAGGAACCATTTCCATATTGAAACCCTGACCCGTTCAATGCCGGTCTTCTGTCCATAGCAGTATCCTGGCAGCCCTGCATTTTTCTCTTGCTCCCCTTGTTCGGATATAACGTGTTGCTCCAGAAGGACTGGCCGACTTCGGTCTGAAGATACGAAATATGTATTAGACACGCAGGCCGTCACTATAGTGTGGGGTTCTTACCAACAGCATGAAGTGGATTTGTAAGCAGATGGACTTCTTTTCCCGATGATGATTCTCCTTGGGATGCGGAAGGCACTCCGTAGGCCCATTAATTATTATTCTTTTCTATTATTAATCGTCGAGGCTGCTCTCATCAGGATATCATGATGCGACAAGCGGTCCGCAAATAGCATGAGTAAACGAAGCTGCTAGTGAAGCCAGCCAATGAGTACCAGACGCCGGACGTTGTAGATGCACTGAAGGCACGGCGAAACATACAATCAGCCTGCGTGGGAGGATTGCGTGCTCATAGTACTTTCGCGAGTAGAAATGCCTGACCCCATTTCAAGCGCGAACTGCGTCTTAAGTTCCGTGATAATTGTATGGAATGCTCGATATGTTTTCTACGAAGGAATGCCCCGCAGGCACTCTTCACGAACCCCACTTACAGAGCGTCGATAAACTCGACAAAAGGGACATCCCGAACCGGGAAAAAAGAAATATAAAAAGAAAAAAAAAAATAGACCATAATCAGCTCCGAAATGTGGATGAGATCTATATAAAGGCGGCCATGCCTCGTCTCCTGTCCATATTGATACTGATACTGCGGTCCCCTTCCGAGCCATATTTAGCTCGACGTCACTTGCAAGTTGCCACTGGATGTTTTTTTTTTCCACTTCTTATTACTCTGCCTTATTCGAAGCAGATCTTCTCCAATTCCAACTCTCTCAATTCCCCTTATCTTGTGGGGTTCTCAGGTCGACTGCTGAAGTTGATGCCGGAAATCCCTGCCTCATCTCACTCTCAAGCCTTCAGGGATTTCTGAAGCCAAGCGCTGACAGCACAATACCATGGGCCTCTTGTACGGGAAACCAGGTCCCCTCCCTTGTTTATATCCCATCAAGCATGGCTTCATCTTATCTACAGAGATTATTGATGCCTAACTGCTTCCCAGAGCGCTCGGAACTGCATTAGACTGGCCTGAAGCCAAAAAGAGAGCCGACCAGGTGCGCAAATGGGGAATAGAGGTAATAACTTATAGTCATCCATTTGCAGTCTATTTGTGATCCAAATCTGCTCGTCCTTGTCCCAGCTGACCAGATAAAGCAATTGCTGGCGAATTGGCGCAGGGCAAAGTCAAAGGAGCGTGATGCTCTACTCTGGGGTGATGAGGTGGGTTCCCTTTTTTTTTTTTTTTTTTTGCTTGGATCATCGAGCTAATTTATGAAATGCCAATAGGTCGAATATCTAGTTGTCGCCCTTGACGATGAAGCTAAGAAGGCCCAATTATCCCTCGCACAGGCGGAAATTCTCCAATCACTTGCAGTGGATGAAGCGCTATGGAAGGCAGGAGGCGCTCATACCCAAACTCACCATGCGGGACAGTGAGTTGGATACATACTGAACCATGAGAGAATGATAATTCTAACTCTCTCGTAGTGAAGGTGAGAGACCGCCACATTTTCACCCAGAATTTGGCCGTTTCATGTTGGAAGCTACGCCAGGAAGGCCCTGGGGCATTGACTTCAAAGACCTGTTGAAGGTCGAGTCAGATATGAAATGGAGGTAAGTTTGGCTGTTTCGGAAAGTAAATCATAACCCTTCTCTAAAATCATGTCCAAGGCGGGTCATTGCCAAAGCTCATATGAAACCAAATGAGTATCCCATCACCCTCACAACGTTTCCTCGTCTAGGTTTGGGGGACTACATTCAGCCGTACTATCCTCCATCCGGGCCGGCATTACGCTCTCAGTTCGTTCCCGACAAAATCGCCAATCCCCATATACGATTCCCGACTCTAGCGGCCAATATCAGGTCGAGGAGGGGACGAAAGGTTGAGATAAATGTTCCGGTATTCAAGGACACCAATACTCTTGAGCCTTTTAATGACCCAACTGTGAACTATGATCTTCACAACTGGCCTGAAGATGATGATGTCAGGAATGGTGCAGTTAAGGAAGGGCACGTCTACATGGACGCCATGGCGTTTGGGATGGGGAGTTGCTGCCTTCAGATTACATTCCAGGCTAAAAACATGACGGAAGGACGAAAGCTATACGACCAATTGAGCCCACTGGGACCGATTCTACTGGCATTGACTGCCGCAACGCCAATTTATAAAGGATTCCTCGTCGACACAGATGTCCGGTGGAATCAAATCAGCCGGGCTGTTGATGATAGGACCCGGGAAGAACTTGGTGAAGTTGTGAGTTTTTTGTAACCGCACCCTCCTTTGAATATATAACATTCTCATGCCATGACAGCCCCTCAAAGAGGACAGGTGGAGAATTCCAAAGTCCAGATACGCCTCGAACTCGACCTATATCTCCCAAGATCCCCGACTTCGAAAGGAATACCTAGATCCGGATTTGGTGGTGGACGAAGAAATCAAAAAGCGCCTAACGGACGAAGGCATGGATGATCTTCTGGCAACACACTTTGCGCATCTCTTCATTCGGGATCCCCTGGTTATCTTCTCCGAGGATTTAGACGAACTGGACTTGACGAAAGCGGATCATTTTGAAAACCTGCAGTCAACAAATTGGCAGCATATGCGTTTCAAACCCCCGCCACCCGAAAAGCCAGAGATTGGTTGGAGAGTCGAGTTTCGATCAATGGAAGTACAGATGACCGATTTCGAGAATGCCGCATTTAGTATCTTCATTGTGCTTGTAACCCGTGCTATTTTGAGCTTTGATTTGAACTTTTACATTCCCATCCCGCGAACGACGGAGAACATGGAAACGGCACACGCGCGCGATGCTATACACACGCGGAAGTTCTACTTCCGCAAGGATCCTTTCCCTCGTCCTGCCCAGAGACGCCAAAATCAGTCACCGAACGGCGTTAGCACCCCGCCGCCTTCGCCTCCATCCGGACCGGTAGAACTGGAATATGGTCAGATGACGATATCGGAGATCATAAATGGGTCGACTGAAGGATTCCCTGGTCTCATCCCTCTTGTCCAGTCGTATCTGAACAGCGTTAATGTAGACGTTGAGACACGCTGTGCACTGGAACGCTACCTCGCCTTGATTCGCAAACGGGCTGACGGAACCCTGTGGACTGGATCTCGATGGATCCGCGAATTCGTGGCGTCCCATCCAGAATACAAACATGACAGTGTGGTCTCAGAAAGAATCTGCTACGACCTTGTGAAGGCGGTTGAGGAAATGACAACGAAGGAAGGTAAAGATGGTTCCGTCGGATGGGAACTCCTCAGGGGTAAGGAATGAATGAGACGAATAATACATTATTTCTCGGATATTTGACGTGGGCGCAGCGAATTTCTTTGTTTAGATGGCTGTTTTCTGTTTGCTTTCTGCGTCTTATAACATGTTATACTGACAGGCATAGAGTCAGTGTGTTATGTCCAAATGGTTTCGCATATAAAATGGCATTCGTGAAATGTCAGACCTCACTGGATTATCCATACTCGTTCCAACTCAGATACACAAAACTCATAGAAAAAGATAAAATGCTTTCAAACCCCCCATTTTAGACCAACACCAATCTCTCTTCGTCTGTTGGCTGCCGGCATGAATCAGCTAACCCGGTTACTTTCCACTCTCCATTGATTTTATGAAGCACAAACAGCTCCACGCCGACATGGTCCACGATGCCGTTGATCTTCGCCCTAAATGGAGCCCACACGGCGGCCAGGTTCCCTTCTTCATACACCTTCACTTCTGGATCCCAGAACCTTTCGTTGATATCGTCTTGTATGGAAGATATCCGCTCCACGAACGAGCCGATGGTGCAGAAACGAAGAGGGCTAGACGATGAAGAGGGTGGGGAGAGCGACATTCCTCCGGCACGCACGCAGAGCTTTTCGAACCCGGCTCGAGACTTTGCGCTTAACGCCGTCAGAAACCCTTTTGCAACGGCAATGATCTTGTCGACTTCGTCGGAGGGATCTGGTGGGATGGGAGTTCGGACTCGCCATCTTAAGCACATTGTTGTGAAAGCAGTGAGATTGTCTCCTTTGTGGCTTTTCCTCCACTTTTTTTTTCTGTCTTTTTTCCCTTCCTCTTTCTTCCCCTATAACAACGATGGTTAGAGGAGAACTAATTCTTAATTCTCTCTCACATGCTTAGGATGTTTCCCGGCTCCATACGGACTCAGAGAAATAGGTCAGGCAGGATCTTCAGAACAGAATGAAATAAGAACAGGAACGGTTGATGAGAAGAGAAAAAAAAGACTGTATCACCTCTTAAATCTACCGTTACTCGTCCAGTGACACTATCAGTGCAATAATCGTACATGGACAACAAAAGGACCCTTTTTATCTTTTATATTTCTTCCCCAGAATCGGCGTGTTCTGGGGTTGACCTTGTCTCGATACGTCCAACACATCAACAACAATGACGCCCATCTCAGTTACTCGTCCGCGAACAACCATGAGATCCATCATATACTCACCCGCAACATCAGCATTGGGATCAGGAGCAATAAAAGAAGAGTGCAAGCTAATTGTTACCCGCGCATTCCGCGGCTTGATGTCTCATCTGCCTCGAACTCCTGACCAATTTCAACGCAACGCCAATATGCCAAATATTCACCCCATGACGTCTCCACATCATAAGGAACCCCAGTTCTGTTACTCAAGCCTGGTCGAGGCCCTCTGCCCTCTTGAAGTTGTTTCACAAGTATGACACAGCATCCGACGGATATGATGTTTTGCATGGAGGTTGTACTTGCATGATTCTGTTGTAATATGTGCCACAGCAACAAATAACAACAGGACAGGGTTGTCCAAGGCTCAAAGTTGAGGATACATTTTCGCAATGCGATACTCCTCATTTTTGGTCTAGGCCATGGCAAACAATGTTGTTGTATATAACTGCTATTGTTTTTATTGGATTATGCGCGGTAACACCCCCTTGCAGATAAAATCAAAATCAGAACACCCCAGGCTTTTTCCATAAGTAGACATGTAAACGGCTGTTGGAGTAAAAACGGAAAATGCGTCGTTTATTGTTTTCCTTTTTTTAAGGGAAAAAAAAAATCGTTCTCGCGTTGTGTTGTGTTCTGGCTGGCCTTGGTGATGTTTGGCGTCATGGCATTTATATACGTCGTGAATGTCGACCGTATCAAGAATAGATACATAGATGCATATTTCAAAGATTCATTTTTAACATCCCATTCAGTCACGGAAGTTCATTGTAACTTGTTCTTCCGCTTGATGGATTTTGGGTGGTAATAGAAATAACGAGTCATCCTAGAAAACAGGCATAACTATCATTTTCTACTGGGAAAGAATTATAACTAGTTACCTGTATAGAATATTAGGTAACTAATTCATTGATCTGAAATCATAAGTATTATACATGTAATCTGGGGGTGTATCGAGGTAAGCTCTTTCTTCGGAGAACTGGTAGTTCATCGTATATATAAAGAAAAAAAGGCTTCAGGCTTCACGCATACCAGCCATAAAACGTATCTAGAAATTTCTCATCAAACGTCTATTACGAGGTATACAGGTTGCCAGACGGATACACAGTCGAATCAATATACCTTTGCTCGGGTAGATGTCTACATGCAAGAGCAGTCAGATCCAGATAGGCATTTAGAATAATAAATAAATAATATATAGCACAGACTGGCCCCCTTCGCTATGTACATAGGCCAAATGAACAATAAGCAAAGTGAAATGCGAACTGACACTGACTTTAGGTATATATATCATAAGATTGAAGTGTAATTCATACATTGAATATGCATGGTTATGCAGCGAGTGGCACTGTACTGTGAACCCTAAACCAACCCAAACTGTGTATGTACTATGCAGAATGCCATCTATCGTATCTACCTGTCTACGGCCGTAGGTATGTAGCTCCATATGGAATATATTCACGCTGCATAAGTACCCATGAGTCTGGATGATGTTCTTTTTCTTTGTCTGGCCAGGCCGTGTTTTATCTGCTTCCATGGCGTTCTAGTAGTACCTTGGTACAGTATTATCCACGGGAAAGAGACAGCGAAAAGGTGAAATGGATTCTGATGCCAATGGGAGATTCGAAGTCAAATAGAGATGAGGAAGGTTTGTTAGTTCTGCTGATTGTCAGGGATTGATGCATGCTGTACTCCGTACCCCCGTAGAAAGTTGCCCAGTTTCGAAAGACGAAGGAGGATATTTGTTCATCATGTCCATCCGCTCTACGCGTGAATCCGTACGCTTGTAACAGCACCTGACAGACCGACTTAGACGTACCGGATGCGGTCCGAGTCGGGGCCGAGGATAACGACTAGCAACTAGCAATAATTAGCTGCTCTGTACAAATAGGGACAAGAGTCAGACTTGGTTTGGTTCCTGTGCTGCGCAAACAACCAGACTAATATTCCGTGGACTTGTAGATCATGGCCATTGGTTGATGCTGGGATCAACCTGCACGCCATTGAAAGCACACAACCTTAAAAAAAAAGTCAATTGACAATCCCAAATATGCTTCGGGGTCGCGCGTATTGCGCGACCCTGACAACCACCCGAGCACCCCAGCCACCCGAGCACCGATTTTAGAACTTCGTAGAATTCCAACCCATCAACTTTATCATATAATTCAACCACCACCACCATGCCCAAATTCAATAAAAATTATGAAGATCGAATGCTCAAAGCTATTGACGCGTTAAGCACACAAAATCCCCCAAATATCGCCAAAACTGCACGTGAATATGGAGTTAAACGGCAAACCCTCTCCGCAAGGTGGAAGGGACGGTCCAATCTATGTGAACGACCACCAACCAACACCAGATTATCAGAAGAGCAAGAAAAGGCTCTGTGTCACTATGTTGATACTCTAGAGCAATTAAATATAAAGCCACTTGCACAAATGATCCAATTGAGTGCCAATTCTATTCTGAAATCAACCCATACCAGCCTAGACACCCCTCCACCTACTGTCAGCGAGAAATGGTTAAACCGATGGCTAGGAAGGCATCCTGAATATAAAAGACGTCGCTCTAGAGCTATAGAGCTTGACCGCAAGCGTGCAGAGGATCGTGAGGTTATTCAGGAGTGGTTTCAGAAGCTCCATCAGACCATCCAGAACCATGGGATATTAAAGGAGGATATCTACAATTTTGATGAGACTGGCTTCAATATCGGTGTTGGTCGTGATCAATGGATTATTACCAGGGACTTCAATATTAATAAGCCTCATATTAGGATGAATTTAAACCGTGAATATGTTACTGTGGTTGAAGCAGTCAATGCAGATGGCTGGACCTGCCCACCACTTATTCTCATGAGTGGTAGCTGTATACTTACAAATTGGTTTGAAGCTGCTGATATTCAACAAGACTATTCAATTGGAGTATCAGAAAATGGCTATATGACTGATACAATTGCCTTCCAATGGATTCAGTCATTCTATCGGCATACTAAAAGATATAGGAAGGGTCAATATACCCTTCTTATATGTGATGGATACGGCTCCCATCTAACACATGAATTTGTTGAATTCTGTGAGAAGACCAATATCATCACCTTCTTCTTACCTCCACATACAAGTCATTTCTTGCAGCCATTGGATGTTGGTGTTTTTCATGCATATAAGCACTGGCATTCAGAAGCAGTTGCAGATGCAACCTACTCAGGATGCAGTAAATTTACTAAGGTTGAATTCCTTCATGCCTTAGGAGCAATTCGCAAGAAGACATTCAAAAAGCGTACTATTCGGCATGGATTCCAAAAAGACTGGCATCATACCATTCAATCCATCAATTGTACTCAATCAAATGCCTCAACCACATCGTCCATCCTCTTCATCCACCAATACCAATGATGTTGATTCCTGGGGCAGTACGCCAAAAAAAAGCTGAACGATTTAGGGAGATTGGTGATAGGATATGGGAGATTCATGATATCAACAAGGATCAATTTAATGAGGGCCTAGAGCTGCTTATTCGTGGTGGTAGTATGCTAGCATCATATTCAGCTGCTATCGAAGCTGAGCTTGACCGGTATATTAAAGCTGCTAGGGACCGCGCAGCTCGATCACAGGCCTCTAGGCGCAGGATTCGCAAGGGAGGCATAGTATCAAGCTCAGAGCTTGAAGCTATAAATCGAAATACTGCGAATATTAATGAGCAGGCTGAAATAAAGAGGTGGAGGACTAAGTATAAGCGTTGCCTACCAGAGCTGCTGGATGTATGCATTCGACGAGGAATTATTATACGAAGGCAACGACATGCTAGGGCCCAAGCTGAAGAGTAGAGCTTTAGTTTAAATATATTTTGAAGTTAAATACTATAGAATTCGTTGAGATATTGAAGCTAGAAGGGGGTCTAAAATTGGTGCTCGGGTGGCTGGGGTGCTCGGGTGGTTGTCAGGGTCGCGCAATACGCGCGACCCCGAAGGTTACCGTAGGGGTCGGTTAGTACGTACATACCGTGCTCCGTACAATCAAGGAAATGCCGCCCGTTGCGCTCAATCACATGACTGGATAAATAAGCCACAAAAGTTAACTACCTAAAAAGGCTGTGGCTGGATAGACGACCCAGGTTCACGCTATGATCGCATGCGGCAATTATATCCAGGCAAAATCCAACCGCGGCGCGGGAGCCCGTCTCCACTTCTATTCATGACAGTGTGGCTCGGCCCATGCTCATAGGCCTATCGAAGACCATGATTGACGCCAAGGAGTCTCCTGCCCGATCAGGAAAGATAACCGAAAATTGGTGCCCCACTTGGGAAAATTACGATCTACGGGGCGAACTCCGTAACTCCGTGCGTACTATCCCTGTTTAGATATCGGAAGGGAGTTACGGAATACCACCTAGATACCTAGGTACCTTCCTATGCGGTATGGTATGCGCTGTACCTTGTACTGTACGGAACATTGGAGTGCTGATTCGATGGGTAGTAGATCGCGATGCTTATGGAAATAAGATCGCAACTCGGGGTAGTTACGAGACATGGGCTACGGACTATTATGGCAAAAGAAAAAACGAAAAAAGGGAAAAACTGCTAAATCATGCAACTCTCCCTATTCCATGGATTTGGGTACCGCTATCCGGACATAGTAGGTAGTATCGTTGATTTATCTCCGGGATGGCGCCGTTGCGTTCAATCGTTGCAGAAAAAAATTCAAATCAAATGTGGGACGACACTGTTTTGGGGTGTACTGTTTTTTGATGACGCCATTCTAATTTCACTAGTTATTCCACTCCGTAAGGAGGAAAAGAGAAAAAGGGGGAAATTAGAGAATTGTGGACAAACGTGCGGGGTGCTGAAATGAAAGAGACTAAAACAGGTATGGGCTGTACCTGGCCTTATTTTAGTGTGAGAATGGCAGAGCACTATCAATGTTAGTATCGAGGACTAACAGACATGGTGAGTGCCACCAGATCTCGATGTTTATTCAATTTTATTTATTATTTTATTTTTTATCCTTTTTCTTCTTATTGAAGAAAAAAGACAAAATACGAGTTGACAGAATGCATTGTATCACACTCCACTGGACGATAACGCGGGGTCCAGCCAGCATTAGATCCCTCGGATCTTCAGTCTGTGCTTCCCCGGTGATCCTGGAATCGATCCTCCAAATGAAATGGGCTGTGTAGATTGTAGAAGCATCGCCACGACATTCCCCGTTCGGGCCCAACGTGGTCAATGTGCAAGTGTAGACTCATAGAGGTGCGACGTAGCTTGTTTCGTGGATATGCAGCTAGAAGATATAGCCGGTGTCTAGATGCAGAATAACATGCTCTAGAGAAATTTCATTGTTACGATCCAATCAAACTTAAATCCAGCCATCCACGGTAGAAGTAGACATTCTGCTGGGTTTCAAGTGGACCTGGATGTCAGCGACAGCAGTGGCAGTGGGGTAATCTCATCTCCCGTCATGATACCTCCAGTATTATTCTTCTACACACCTTTCTCTCGAGCCTAGAGGAGTATCTAGATACTCTGGAGTAATGCATTGTCTGCGATCAGTCAAACAGATCCTGGTGGCGCCACTCATGGACCATACGCCCGAGAGGAAGCGCGAAGACAGGAAAAATACCATATACAATACGGTTTCAGCCACATTCAGTTTGTCTGGAGGCGCTCACCGTCCTATAGTCTAGGTACAGAGCAGATAGCAATCCATCTCATTCCCATGCAGCAAGTGGATTACCGCTCCAATGGAAGCCTGCAGGGTTAGAACCCGCTGCAGCACGGCCGAGCCTTTCTCATCGAATCGAACGGGCGATTCTTCCTAATCGCCCGGCTGCGATCTCCCCTGTACAGTATCTGACCTCGATGCAACATGCAGCAACATGCAGCTTCGCCCAGACACTGCCGCGGCGGTAGGCCATCATGAGTGGTCCGACGCCGAGGCTTGTATGGCGTATACGAAGTATTTTCCACGAGTCCGTGACTCCCGTGCTTTGAGTGGCCATGGCCGGGGTCGAGAGACAGATCTCCGATCTTATCGAGACTTGTCACGAGCGTGACCTTATCTGCGGGTGGCTTTCAGCATTGGATTTAATATTGGTGGCCTCATGCACTGCTGAAAGTGTTGAACCGGATACTGTGCAGTGCAGAATCGGCGAAGGAAGAGAGGCTCGGCCTCACACCACTTCGGCGTGCGTCTGCAACGAGAATCACCCGTCCCTTGCACACAATTAATAATGGCGATGGTAATTAATCCCCAGGAGTTACGGAGCGGTTATTATCGCTGGAATCCATATTACTCCATCGTATGTACTCCATAACCATACGATGTGCCGTGCAAACTTGCCAGCGACCGCAGAAGAAGAAAAGAAAAAGGCAAAAGGGGGGGGCGTTGATCTCAGATCTCAACCCACATCGGTGATCCCGTCGCATCCGATCTCCCCCTGACAACTGCCAGCCATGTTCATAATAATAACAATAGTGATAGTAATAGCATCCATGGCCAGAGCCCCGGGACTGGCAACGTCGGGGCTGGCCGTTTCTAGAATCGCGGTCGTTGCGCGGGCTATGATCTCAACCATGGGCGGATGGATCATGGATCTCTCCCCACAGCACGCTAGCTAGTGGCAGCACTAGCGAGTGTTTTTACGATTCAGACTCTCCACTTGCACACGGCTAAGGTTGCAGGCTCAGTGCGGATCCTGGCTGTGCACTGAACAGTGTACGTACTCCGCCGTCAGTCACGGAGGCGGACTCTGTTTGTCAGGTGCGTTCCGACTTCCAGGCATCTTCCAGGGAACGGATAAGAATATAATCAATATAATCCCAACCGCACCCATCGTTCCCAGCAAGCAAGACGCTGAATGACGTACAACGTGGGACGGAAACGTCCAGCGCCGGCAGGGACCGGTACAGCCGACGTACTAACGGTGACAGTCTACGTAAGTAGGCAGCAAGCAGATCTTGCTCCCAGGCCGCTTCACAAATTAATCTCCAACCTTCAAGGCAGATCCACAGTTCCCTCCGGTGGGCGTTATTTGCAAGCGGCGTATTACTTCTTAACTTTTTGAGTTCGACACGACACCTGGCCGATCCCCTTGGACCAGTTGCGCAGTGAGTGGGCCGTTCTTATTAATCATGTTCGCTGCCCTTGTTTTATTTTTCTATTTGCTTTTTCTCCCTTCCTCGCCCGTTCTTCAGGTCTTCCATCCGCCTCCGTCCGTTGGGATCATTATTATTAATAGGATCAGTCGCCTGTGGAGATCGGATCTGTGGTTAGCCTACGGTTAATATTAAATTTATTATCATAATATGATTATTTCGCATATCACTGCCAGTATTATGCCCTTTGCGTCCGGATGTAGATACTTGCTGCTAGTAGGTTATAGGAATGCTGTGACTCCGTACGTAGACTCTCCTATTCCTTCCTCTTCCTCGCAACTTTGTCTCTCTCGCCTCTTCCACATTATTGCTGCCTTTTTGCCATTATTTCCGGCCAGTCCTTCTCCCATCTCAATCTCCCTCCTCCCATCACCCCTTGTCGGGCACTAAATAAATAATACACCGTACCATCCTCATCATTCCCAAGAGCAAGGACACCCGCCACACGCCAGCACGCGAGGCACAGCCATCCTCCATCCCTTGCATCACCCGTGGCACCTGCTCTCCCCTCTCTTTTATCTCTTGAATCTCTCGAGTCAGGAGCATTTATTAAAAAAATACCTTTTTTTCCCTTCTAAAAATAACAACAACAACAACAAACCCAAAAAAAAGACGCTTGAACGTTGGCCCATGAAACCGCGAGACCCAAGGCTGTTCTGACCCAAACCTACCGCAAATCTGGGATATCCGCACGCACCGCGCTCGTGGATCTTTCAACCCTGTCCGTTACTACTATTGACCGATCAAATCCGCCAAAACTTGCGGCACCACGGAACGGTCCCAATCGATCTCGCGAAATTATCGGGAATTTTCTGGGCTCTCTCTGTGTTTTGGGGCGGCCGCAAAACAAAGTGCCTGATCCGGCGCCACTGCTCTCATCTTGTGACCGCCCAATCAGCTCCCCACGCGCTCGAGTCCGCTCTCTGCTGGGGTTTCTTCTCTTTACTTGAGCATCGCAGCGCCCTCTGCTCTGCTTGTCTCCATTCCCGCTCTCCTTTTATCCTTTTTGTTTTTCTTCTTACCCTCCTTGTCCGAAGCAGGACTCGACTGCGGCAAAAAAAAAAAGGGAAGAGTGGAGTTACCCTGCAAGGAAAGACTCCGGGTGCATTGCATCGGATTACAGAATACATCACAACCCTCTCTGGATTTCCTTGCCTCGTTCCACTGTCGATCCCTCTTTTCTGACTCGCCTCGTCGATCACCGTACCAAATCTTCTCACACCCTTGACTTCGCGGAAATAATTATACGGTCGCATCCGCCTTGGTAGAAACCCCCGAGACACACCTACGACGCGCCGAGTTCAACCTAAGTTGGTGGATGAGGAACTGTACGCGCTTCGGAACACTATTTACGGTCAGATTGGCGTGATGGGGTCGTTGGAGGCCGAATCTAGGCATACGTTTGTTTCCCCTCGCCTTTCCTGCCCCTTTGCACTGCAATCAATCCCATGCGCTGACCGATTCTTCTCCTCCCGTACAGCCGTAGAGACCACCTCCCCTCTCTGAACGTCGCTTTCAAGGACGCTGCTGGCTACCCGCAGAAGAACCTCTTTATTGCGCCGGTCGCTGGAGTGCCATCGACTCCTCTGATCAGTCCGAAGTCGACAATGTACCCGGGGCAGTACCCTTATCCCACGCCAACCACAACCAGCGGCAGCGCAGGGCCTACGCAAGCAGGATATTTCTCCTTGGTGGATCATCATAGAGCGATGGATGACAGGGAGAAACAGTTGCAGATGCAACAACCACCGAGACAGTCCTTACCTTCGATCCACGAAGCTCTCGGAAGCGAGAATACCCTGTCACTGTATCCCGGTGCTCCCACCTTTGGCCAACAGTCGCAATCTACCCACCATGCCACTCCGCCCTCCCTTTCATCCAACCTGGCCGCACGTGCAAACGGAGAAGGCCTGCCAGGACCACCCAACCCGTTTTCGAGCACCTCGTCTGCCGGTTCTTTGTTGCGGGAACCCTCCTTTTCCCAGCCCGGACCGCTACCAGCGGATGTCTCAAGGTCGAGTCTCACATCGGTCAGCAGTCAAGGCTCTAGGAATGCTTCGCTCAACTCCCCTACCCAAAGTGCACGGACCGGTATAACATCCATTGCCGGTTCCCAGACATCTGCTTACGAATATGGTCCGCGCACATCCGCGAGCAGCGCTGCCTCTACCAGTGGCTACGGCCCGTTTTCCCAGTCTTTCTCCTTCCAGCCCCAACAGGCGCCAGCATACCCCCTGGCAACTTACGAGGCTCGACCCCATGCAGGTGGACCTTGGAAGCCGGGCGCGGCTGATCAGGCCTCGCGCCCTGGCGATCAAAAGGGGGAAGTTACCGGGGTTGCAGGTCAACCTCACAGCGACTCCACAAAGCGGCCGCTAGATGTTTACGACGTGGAGGCACCGCTTAGCGAGGTAGGTTTATCCAATCGGTGATCCCCCAGTTGGAGCAACGAATGGACACTAATGAGCTCTAGATCTCTGACATCAGCACGCGGACTCTCGACTTCTCACGGCATTATGCCAACAGAGTACACCAGAGTCAACGCTCCGGGTCGGTAGCAGGGACCCTTCCTTCTCTGAATGAGATCGAGGAGATGCTGCATTTGCAGCGACGGAATCAGGAAGCATTGCTCCGCTTGCGTGCGGCTGTGGTCAATCAGGAACATGCATTGGCGGAGCAGCGCATGGCACAAACGAAGGTGCTCAAGCCAACTGGGCCTGATGACGGCCACATGATGGTATATCAGGAAGAGTACAAGGGTAGCAGTGGTGGGTTCACTGGCCCCGAATCAAAGAAGCGGCGAGGGGTGGGTTCCCTTCATATCCTTACATCTCCCTTGTTTCCCCCAATCGCTGGATGCCATGCTCTGCGGAATAAATGCTGACAGACTCTGCGTGTATAGAAGGCAGCGCCTCCTGGCCGTTGTCACAGTTGCAACCGAGAAGAAACCCCTGAGTGGCGGCGTGGCCCAGATGGCGCCCGAACTCTTTGCAATGCGTGCGGCTTACACTACGCCAAACTTACTCGTAAGATGGGTGCGGATAAAGCGTCTTTCTTGGTTTCGAATTTGCGGCCCAAGGAAACGATCGACACCCCGTCACCGAGGAGCCAGTAATACTGGCTTGCTCAGGTGCTCTTCGCCTCAATTTTTTTTTTTTCTTTTTTTTTCTTTTTTTCTTTCTGAGTCGTTTCCGTGCGGCGTTCAAAACGGCCTGGTTTAGAAGTGAAGGAGGCGTTCGATGCCTTATCGCGGTTGTTGTTGTTACAAAAGAAACAAAAAACATCCCTTTCCCCACTGGGTTCATTGTCTTCTATTTACAAAGTGCAGGGCTCTGTTGCACATTGGATTTGTCAGGGGATTTCTTTCGGTACGGACGTCCTAGGGGTCTCATTTATCTTGACCAGTCCATCTCTTGAGTTTTTTTTTTCTTGTCCTTGGATACCCTTGCAACTTTTGAGAGACGCAGAATTGGAATAGATTCCCCAACTTGTTTGTACATGGTGACTTTTATGAGATCTTTTGTCATTTCCTATGGAACTGAACTGATGTGGAGTAAATAGGCCTTTTCAGGAGTGTTTTTCCCTCTCCCCACATTCGCTTTGCATTTGTCGCATGTTTCTTATATGTGAATCTGATCCTTTTGTTCATGCCTTGTATTACCTTTGAAATATTGTTTGTTCCCAGTTTGTGTCTTGCTGATTTCTTACCATTTATACCCCCCGATTTGTCTTTTCTTCTTGTCCCTCCCCCTTTGCACACTTGTTTATAACCCTTGGTCCCCCTCATATATATGCCAGAATCGTGAATTCAACCTGCCTTATGAGTTTTGCCTGACTGCCACAGCAGATCTAAAAGGGCATATACAGATGCATCATATCGTGTTATATACATGTGTGTGCGCTATGTATGTAAATGATCTGATTACTGTTACGATACAGCTGTTACGATACAGACATTCTTGAAGACTGTTTCTGCTTATACCTGTCCCTTCAAATAACATGTCATAATGTTTTGAATAGTCTAGAACTCGAAGCAGGTGAGAGTGAATCTGACTGGAATTTTTTGCCCCCGATTTATTTTCAAGCTGTCTGCTCTGCTCAATGTGATGCCTGTTTTCTCAGGCACTGCAGCGGAATTCATTCCAGGGATGCATGACATCACCGAGTTTTTGCCGGTGAAGAAGATTCTGTTCTGGCTGTGGCTTAATAATAATCTGTAATAGAAGCAGCATTATCCATATACGAGCAGCAGTCACAATAGCGTGCTCTTAAATATAAGATAGCCTGTCTCTTGCGGGTCCCCAGCAAATTTTAGTTGCCTTTGCCACGCCTAGACTCGAGTTGTTAAGCTTTTGCAGTGGCCCTGCTCCGTACTGCTTCTACTCAACAACTACCTAGCGCGACCTCAAGCTGACCCCGTGTAAGCCATGTTGGACAGGGAGAAAGAAGAGGAGCGGGACTTGGAGCTGCAGCTGGAGCGGACCAAGTCCGTCAGCACGGCCGTCCAGTCCTTCTCGCCCTTCCGCGAGTTCCTCTTCGTGACGGTCGTGTGCATGTCGCAGTTCATGACCCAGGCGGCTCTGGGAGCCTGCCTGTCGCCGCTGGACATCATCGGGGACAGCTTCCACATCACGAACCCGGGCATCCTGAGCTGGCTGATAGCTGGCTACTCGCTGACGGTGGGCACGTTCATCCTGTTCTTCGGCCGTTGCGGCGACATCTTCGGCTACCGGATTCTCACGACCGTCGGCTGGTTTTGGTTCGCCATCTGGTCCATGGTTGCTGGTGTCAGCGTCTACTCGAACTATATTCTCTTCATCTTTGCGCGGACTCTGCAGGGCATCGGGCCCGCGATGCTGTTGCCCAACGGCTTGGCCTTGCTCGGTGCAACGTACCGGCCTGGCAAGAAGAAGTTCATGGTCTTCTCGCTGTTCGGGGCGACGGCGCCGAATGGGTCCATCATCACGTCGGTCTTTGCGGCGCTGTTCTCGCAGCTTGCCTGGTGGCCGTGGACGTGGTGGTCCATGGCTATCTGCTGTTTTATCTGTGGCGTACTGGGCATGGTGGTCATCCCGCCGACTCCCTCGGCGGCCAGGGGGATGGGCCTGTTAGAACTCATTTTCGAGCTGGACGTTATCGGTGCCACGCTGGGTGTATCGGGCTTGGTCCTTGTCAACATCGCGTGGAATCAAGGCCCCGTCGTAGGCTGGGAACAGCCGTACGTCTACATCCTCCTGATCATCGGCGCGGTCATCCTGGCCGCGTTCTTCGCCTACGAGATCAAATTCGCAACGCATCCGCTCATCCCCTTCCACGTTCTGAACGCCAATGTCTCCTTCATCCTCATCTGCGTCGCCTGCGGCTGGGCCAGTTTCGGCATCTGGATCTACTACAACTGGCGCTTCCTCGAAGTCATCCGCAAGCACACCCCGCTTCTCGCGTCCGCCGAATTCGTGCCCCCGACTATCGTGGGCCTCATCGCCGCCTTCACGACGGGTTTCCTCATGCAGAAGGTGAAGCCGAGCTGGATCATGCTCGTCTCCATGCTAGCATTTACCCTTGGCAATATCTTCTGCGCTATCGCCCCCGTCCACCAGACCTACTGGGCTCTTACCTTTGTCACCTTGCTGGTTATTCCATGGGGCATGGATATGTCCTTCCCCGCTGCGACTGTTATCCTGTCCAATGCCGTCGGTGTCCGCCACCAGGGCATGGCGGCGTCCCTGGTCACGACCGTTGTCAATTACAGTATCTCCATCGGACTTGGCATCGCCGGTACCGTCGAGGTACATGTGAATAACGGCGGACACAATCCGCGCGATATCCTAAAGGGATACCGTGGGGCTCTCTACGTGGCTATCGGACTTGCTGGGCTTGGGTCTGTGTCGAGTGTTGCCTATTTGATTAAGACCAGGGGACAGTCTGTGCAGGAGGAGGATGAAACCAGTGCGGAAATCGAGGCGGATTTTGAAAGGGATGCCAGAGGGGAAGGAGGTGGTGATAAGGAAATCGAGACAAGTTCTGGTGAGAGGGATTGATGTACAGCCATGGGGTTGCATGTCATCCTGTAGAAAAGTGAAATTGGTCGTTTGCATAGACAAAAGTGGATATGCATTTGTTGTACCTACATTAGATCTAACTAGAATTACTTATAATTAATAATCTATGAACCTCTTCCCAAGTATACTGCAGGTAGACAGTATCAATCCTATTCGAGCATCATCAGTTCCATCCTCATTATATTTTGAATAAGAGAGAAGAGAAAAGAACATGCCACCTCTTCAACCCTTGCTAATCCCTTCTTCCCCCAGTATGAACAGCCCTACACGCGATGACACTCTGCACCCGACTCCTCTCCCCTTGCTCATGTTCATTGCTCCCAGAATCCCCAGCACCCTCCCGCCAAACATGTCCCACGCCCCCTAAGGCTCCACCATCCCCAGCAAAGACGATGAAAGCGCACTCCCCACCGCACGTGGGATGTAGTCGCGGTGCACGTACAATGACAGCTCCTCCAGAGATGCTTGTACGGTGTAACGCTGTATTGCTCATTTCTAGATTGATTGATAAGATAAGGCGATCAAATGACGTCACGTGCGCGGTGACGAGCCGCTTCCGGAAATTGGGCTGCTCTCGTCTTACCTGGGTATATGTACTGTTCTTCTTTCGATGTCTGCTCGCGATGTGATGAATTCGGCTTACTGATACCAACGCCGTCGGTTTTCATTGTTTTTTGTTATTTTTTCCACAGCTAGCATGTCGATTCTTTAATGTCGTCTACTTAAATTGTCACAAGCCATACGTTGTTCTATCGAGGCCAGGATTCTTTCTTCCCCTTCGCGTCACCTAACCAACCGACACCATGTCCTCCCTCACCCCCCTCTCTCAAATCCCAACCATCTCTCTCCTCTACAAAATCAAACGCCTAGCCCCCGTGGCCAAACCCCTCACCACCCCCTCGCAACTCCACAACGACACCATCGCCCTCATCCGCACCGACATCACAAAGCTCCAAGTGGACTGTATCGTCAACGCAGCCAATGAATCCCTCCTGGGCGGCGGCGGCGTCGACGGCGCTATCCACCGCGCCGCGGGTCCGGAGCTGTTAGAAGAATGTCGCACCCTCAACGGCTGCAGGACCGGCGATGCGAAGATCACGGCTGCCTATAAGCTCCCCTGCAGGAGAATCATCCATACGGTTGGACCGGTGTATTATCGTGAGAAGCGGCCGGAGGCGCTCTTGCGGAGTTGCTATCGTCGCAGTCTTGAGTTGGCTGTTGAAAATGGGCTGAAGAGTATTGCTTTTTCTGCTATTAGTACCGGTGTTTATGGATACCCGAGTCCAGAAGCGGCGAGGACAGTCGTGGATGAGGTTAGGAAGTTCCTCGATGAGCCGGGGCATATTGGGAAGTTGGAGAGGGTTATATTTTGTAACTTTGAGGTGAAGGATGAGGTTGCTTATGAGGAGGCCATTCCGTAAGTTTCCCTCTCTCTATCTGTGTGTGTGTGTGTGTGTGTGTCTCAATACTGCAGGCATATGCTGACAACTCAATGCAGATACCACTTCCCCCCTACACCCCAGGATCTCCCGCAGTCAAGTACTGCCGACGAGTCCCAGCAAAAACCATCCGGTGAGTCCCCGCCGTCATCCGAGATTCTCGCTGCAAATCTCCCCGATCCTCCCGCCACGGACCCCTCTTCAGAATTGGATGGACAGTCGGCGGCTAAGAAGCAGAAGACAAATAACTCAGATGATCATGGCCCTAATCGCGGCCTTGAGGAAAGCTTCGCGAGTGTCCATGGCACTGAAGCGAGAAGCGAGGATGGATGGGAGGATGTCGACGGCTCAATTGAGAGGCTGGATGATGATCCGGTTGAAGTTGACAAGGAGCCTTCGATTGCTGATGTGCAAAGTGTACGATCCAGCAGTGTTGACGATGTGCATTCCGTGGACAATTTGCTTGAGAAGGATTGGTAGTTAATACGATGATATCTCATCTGTTTTGTTTTAATAGACTATTCTTGTTGTAGATGACTCCAACAACACTGAAGGAGTCAGTGGAACGAAGGTTCACTTGATTGAGGCTGCATAAATATTGAATTGAAGGCATTATTTGAACACCGGATCTGACAAGGGGATGTAGCCCGAACCCTATACAGTAATGCAAATGATGCAAACCCGGAGCAATGTGATGGATATCGGATGTCGACCGGAAAAGCTTCAAGTCTGCCATTTGAGGAAAGGAAAGAAAGCTCCTCGGCCAAGTTCAATACTCACCCTATTCTCAACAATAAAGTGCAATTATAACGTTCTCTTATTATTATGCTAAATTTCATTCTCCGCAATCACAACAATACACGATAAAACCACCAAGCAGTCACAATGCCTCAACCAAGACCCCTTCCCAAATTCCGCCAAAAACCTATAGTCCGACTACGAACACCACTGAACCCGAAACTTCCCACCCCCTCCGAAGGAACCGTATCACAATCACCCTCAATCGACGAGCTCACAGTCAACAAGACCAGCGCATGGTCATTCCCATGGCGACGCTCACAAGAGCCACTCTCACCACCACCACGACCCCGGATCTTCACCCGCATCTTTTCTTTCCTCCCAATCATCCCCACACCAGTTCGCAGAATCCTCCGCGTCATCCGCATCCTAGCCCCCATCATCCCCATGGGCATCTTCTTCTCCGAGCACATCGCCCAGATAATGTGGGTGCGCGGGCCGTCAATGACACCCTACCTGAACGAGGGGTACGAGCAGACCAATACCAATAGCGATATGGTGCTTGTGAATTTGTTTCCGTTCAGTGCCGGGATTAGGTCGATGGGGAAGAAGAGGACGAGGTTGGAGAGAGGGATGATTGTTACGTTTCGGTTTGTTTACCCTTCCTTTTAAAAAGAGGCGTTCGCTGATTTCTGCTAGATCACCGGCAAATCCCAACCATATCGCTATAAAACGCATCATAGGTCTTCCTGGGGACCGCATTACAACGAGAGAACCCTGTCTCAAGCCTACACAGATTGTCCCCTTTAATCATATCTGGGTTGAAGGGGATGCAGAGGATCCGGGCAAGTCGCTTGATAGTAATACATATGGGCCTGTAAGTGTGAATCTCATTACGGGTCGTGTTGAAGCGGTACTGTGGCCGCGGCCGAGGTGGTTGAGGTGGACGGATTGGGAGAATGGCGCCAACACCGACGCCGATGACCATTATAGGGAGGAGGTGAGAAAGAGGGTTGTGAAAGAGGCTGTGAAATTACAGTCTCCGGCAATATAAAAATATAAAAAAGCTACAGGCTGGTTCCTTTGTTCTTGTTTGCCCTGGGTTCGTTTTGCATTTTGTATATAAACATGTATTATAGATTATACAGACCGTATGATGTATACCTATCTGCGCTTGGATCTGCCGTATTCTCAATAAGCGATTGAAGAGGGAGAACACTGCAATAGTTATGGCTTATTATGTATTATCATCCAAGTGGACTCCTAAGGCGGGACTATTCGAATCTCCCCTTGCCTATCCTCTTGCAGTCGATCAATCTCGGCAGCGATGCTCATCACCCAGCGATCCTTTTCCACCCGACTCCGTGCCTTGAAAACCACAGTTCGTCCGTGAACGCCCAGTGTTGTAACAGGCCGGACAGTCTGTTGAGCCTGTCCTTGTGCACTAGCTTCTTCTGCTCGGAAGTAGTTCTTCTGTAGGGGTCGCCAAACCACAAAGCTGATAGCCGTATCATCGTCGCGACTCGTGGAAATGTCCGATGAATGATAAATGCGTGGAAGAGCATGATGACCCGGCCGACTGCTATCGAACGTGTGCTCTCCGTACAGAAGATCAGAGTCCACGACCAGGCCGGAATAGATGTAGCAATCTCGAAGATCCAGAGCCCCCTCTAGCTGCTGGTGAACATGCAGCATGTCTACACCTGTCCGATTTCGCATTGCGCTCCGAAAAAAGAGCAGTTTTCCAGCGGTGAGGATTGCATTGTGCCTTTTGAAAGTTGCGCGGCGTCGAGGCTTTATATAAAGTTGACCGGATATCTTTATTTGCTGTCAACGGGGGTGAAGACAGGAATGGGATGGTAAGTCCAACGTACCTTTATAGTCCGACACCCTGACAAGACACACATATTGTGTAGGTGCGGAGACGCTTCAGCCTTCTTTACCTCCCACTTCCTAGCATATTGTCCCATCAGCGATTCCATCTCTTCATCAATACGCAAAACCTCAAGGTTATGCTGCTTGACAGATTTGGCCTCCATTGTATCAGCAGCGATGCGTTCTTTCCAGTATTTCACTAGAGCGGTCAATCGCCCCATCCATTCTGCTTTAGTGACGCTATTGTAGGCTTGCAGGCGGACCACAAGTCCATTTACTAGCAATATCTCAAAAGTATTGTCGTTCTGAAAGCGCACCGTGGTACCATCATCCTGGTCTCCACGATCCTGCTGATCATGGAATTCGACGCCCGGGCCTTCCTGAATATTGGAATCAGCAGGGGAACTACCGCGTTGGACATGCCGCACTTCCTGGACTTGGCAAAGATCGATGTATCCATCCGCCTGGGTGAGGTTGTGAATGTTCCTTTGCAGCTCAGCGTACGCTTCCTCGTCATGCCTCTTGACGTATTCTGGATTGCCGCTAGAGAGCCACTCAATTTCATTGTCCTTGATTGGAAATGGGTTGACGTCGTACGCAAGTGGTAGCGCATTCAAAATCTCCTGTGACGAGGGTATCCCAGAGTTACCGAGTGACTGGAGCCTAGGGGGCTGCGGTGGTAGGGCCTTTGGTGGTTTGCAAAATAGCAAAAAGTGGTCTTGAGTGAAGAAATACAAACGTTTAAAAAACATCATTTTCCGTCGTTGGTGTACGCCCCTCTGAGATGTAAGCCGGATGAGGAAGCCCTCTATTGGCGGAGGCTCCTCATTATTCGTGTTCCCATGCTTTACTGCTGTTGGATAGTGATACCTTGGTCGTAATTCGAGGTCATGGGATGTCTGCATCGCTAATGCCCCAAACATATTTTCCTCGTTGACGCCGTATATCCATTCTAACCTGTCGTAGCGCTTCCACGCAAGACCCATCTTCTCGGTCCTGGACCAGGTCTTCAAAACATCCGCCCATTCGGCGCAATCTTCCAACATCTCCATGCAGCTCTGCAGGATTACGGTAGCTGCAAAGCGCTCAGGGGCTGACGAATGGTCTGGGACACTAGCATGCTGTCTGTGTTCATCCGCAGGACGTGATCCCGTCTTTAACCGCCCAAAAGGGTTCTTGAGGACAAGAGTCACATCAAAATCGGGAGCATAGATTCTAAGAGAAGAAGGTCGACGCCATCCTAGAGCCTGACGAAGGAAAGTATACCACTCAACCGAGTGAGCGGCTGACCTTGCGCGTAAGATATAAATCCGAGTTCCATGCCTGCAGGCATGCCACATCGCGAGAGTCTTGTCAAGAGGTGAATAAAGATTCACCCTGGTATCCCTGCGGTCGAGGAGTATCTCATAATGAGGCGGCCTTGTGGAGCCAGGCCGATGTATTGCAGGGATGACATGTGTCCTATACATTTGGAGTATGAGCGACGGGTTGTCTCCAAAGCTTCTCCGACACACCACGAGATATTCCTGCCACTTGCTCACTATCCTCGCATCCATTCGCGGACTCTCATTTTCCGTATAGTCATCTGGAAGCCGTCCCTGTGCAGTCTCCTCAACTCGCACAAGCATGACCTCTGCCTTGATAATCTCACTTTCGCGCGAGATTTGCCGTCGTTGATGATGTGACATCACACTATCCTGTCTTGCTGAAATCCGAGCCTTGAGACGCTGTCGTTTGTTAAAGAAGTTGTCATCTAATCCGTATCGGCCAATCCTGTCAAGCAGAGGAGCCAGGACACCGTGCTGTCTATCTGAATCTTGTTCTTCACCAGACTCTTCAGCTTGTGGGTCTCTCTGTGCAAGATCCAGAGTGGAAAATGTGTTGCTCTTCTTTTTGAGTCTTGATCTGGGGAGCAAAAGTGGCCTACGTGAATCCGTGTCGCTCTCTGAAGTTATTGAGCCCTGGTTATTATTGTCAGGCTGCGGAAGAATCGAACTGCGATTTTGCTCGTGCCGCTTCCTGTTCCTCTCTTGACCATCCGCTTGATCTGGGAGGTCTTCTCTTGCCGTAAAGTAGACCGACTTAGTTGTCTTGCGAGTCCTTAGTGTATCCTTGGAGCCATTTCCAGGAGAATCTGGACTAGGTCCTGCGGCAGAGAGCTGCGAAGCCTCTCCGGACTCGGTAGGCAGTTGGGATATGGTCCTTAGCGGTTCAGAAGACTGCGCTGGCTCTGCACCATCTGATACACCATCAGATTGTATCACTATACCATTATTTGCAGCAATCTCCTCATGAGACGGAATCTGTTCTGGTCCTGGAACCGATAGCCTACCCAGATCGGATGTTCGTTTGCGGTAATTAGCAACAGGGTCAGCGGAGAAGGTGACAGTGTGAGAGGTATAGTTTCTGAACTTGAGTCTCCCTCTATACCATGATTTACGGTGATTCTGTAGCCATCCAGCAGGAATTGGCCCTATGAAGAATCGACGGCTCGTGTTGTGCAGATGCTGTGCGGAGGCATGGCGCTTTGAAAGAATCGATTAGCTATTGGATGTAGATACGGGGCAAGCAGAATTACCAATTTCTGATTTGTATATGACTCTGCCTCTACCCCATGATGGTGCTCATAATAAAGACCTAGTGGATCAGTCTCAGGGCTGTCGCTACCGTTCTCCTGGTTCTGTTGGCTGCTCATTGCACCTTTGGAACTTCAGCAATGTCAAGTCAGAGTTCTGAGCGCCCGCCAACCAAAGACAATTCCTAGCGGTTCAAGGTGAACAGAGCCAGCTCATTGTCAACTCGACAACACCTGCAGGATGCCCAAGCTACCAAACACTGTAACTAGAGAGCTCTTGGAGATGAAGTTAGTGGCGATCATGACGTATCGGGTTACCTCGTGATCTGTTGCTGTTTGCCTGGTTTGTGCTGTTTGGTTCATTTGATAGGTTTGCTGCGTTTGGACCGGTCTATTATTGGCTTGCAGCTTGCGCGGCCTGCTACACCGCCCCCGCATTGCGAGCTCCCCTTGTTCGATAACAACTGGCCTCCTTATCTCCCCTGGCTGTATCCCCTCTTGTCACTCTGCTCTCTTTACCCCCTCTAAAACCATAGTTGTCTGTCAAGGAGCTTTCAAACATGTCTTCCGCAGCCGTCATTCCGCCAGGTGGCACCTGGTTTGATACTATGAAGAAGTCCTTCGCCGATGTCCCCATTGACACCGCGAATGACAATGGAATTGCTACCACCGAATTCCTTGAGGCTGCTGAGTCCTTGACAACCCTGTTCGGTATGCTGTTATTTATATGGTCCCATTGGATATGCTAGAATCTAACATCGGATGACTGCGTAGATGTCCTTGGATCCAAGGCTTTCCTCCCAGTGAAGAGTGATCTCCTTGGTAACATTAAGGTGCGTACCTTTTCCCTCTTCCATCATTCACAGCAATCAACAGCAATCAATTCTGATAACTATAGTAGAAGCTCAACGACAGACAACTTGCCGCTCCAGCTGAGTCTGAGACCCTTCAGCAATTGGTTCTCAATGAGTTGAAAACCAAGAAGCACACCGCTACAGAGGGGTTGCTTTGGCTAGTCCGGTATGTCCAAGCACCTGATCTCTCAAGAGGCTGCAAATAACGTCTCTCCGATATTGAAAGCTAATTCTTCTTCTGCTTGAAAACTAGTGGCCTAGACTTTACTGCTCAATCCCTCCGTCATAACATTGACAACTCCTCATCTGAGCTCTCGACATCCTTCCGCGAAGCCTATGGCAGCACACTCAAACCCCACCACTCGATGTTTATCAAGCCAATTTTCAGTGCCGCCATGTCTGCAACTCCGTACCGGAAAGATTTCTACGCTAAGCTGGGCACAGACCCAGCGCAGGTCAACGCTGCGCTGGAGCGAGAGGTGGCGGCGCTGGAGAAGGTGGTTACAATCCTGAAATCCTTCCAGGAGCGCAAGGAGGCAAAGTGGTAGATTAATATATATATATATAGAAGAGTGACCCTTTGTGACGGACCTTCCTGTGTTAGAATTCGGTGACTGCATTATTTCCGCAGCGCAGAGCGCGCTGGTTGAACATAGATTTGGAGTGTTTGGAGTACCGTCTATCAGTAAAATTGCATATGGAAAATTTGACACGTTTCCATCATTAATCAGTAGCGATACATGCCGTTGTAGGACCAGGACAACCACCGCTTTTGGTAGTGTACGCTGTAACTAACAGACGGCTAAGCTTGTCTCGAGTGTTATGAGTATCTGATGCAAACAGGACAAACGCCGTCTGTGATCAAGACGACCGGTTTCTTTATCAACACAAGGTGTTGCTACGGATCACTTTTTGCAACGATTGTCGAATGCAGGCTACTGTCCTTCATATCGCAATGCAGAGAAAGGACGAATTTCTATAATCTATATTCATGATTTGATTGATGAACGCGTCTCCTATCAGGGAGTTCCATAGAGCAAGCAAACCCAACGCAGTATAGCTCAATCGGCCGGCAATATGTTCACATTCACGCCCCTTCTTGGGGCACAGTTCTTATCATCAAAGGCGTCGCAGTCGATTTTGGAACTCGATGGTGGAGTTAAGATCTTGGTGGACGTTGGCTGGGACGAAACGTTTGACACGTTAGACCTGGTGCAGTTGGAGAAGTAAGCTTGTTCCATTTGTGGTTTTTCAATGAGTATCCCATGAGTGCTAATTTTTTTATTTTCGTCCTAAATAGACATATTCCGACTCTGTCTCTCATCCTATTGACGCATGCGACTCCCGAACATATTGGCGCCTTCGCGCATTGTTGTAAGGTCTTTCCACTCTTTACTCAGATCCCTGTTTACGCCACGGGGCCCGTCATCGCATTTGGACGCACTCTCCTGCAGGACATGTATGCTTCCGCACCGCTTGCTGCGACATTTTTGCCGAAAGCATCGATTTCAGAGCCTGGAGGGTCTACGTCCGCCGCGTCCGCTGCAGCATCTGTGGTCGGGGCGGAGGGAAGCACGGAGGGTGGAAATTCTGGGCGTATTCTACTTCAACCTCCCACAGCAGAAGAGATAGCAAGGTACTTCTCCTTGATTCACCCACTCAAGTACTCGCAACCGCACCAGCCTCTTCCCTCGCCGTTCTCGCCACCTTTGAATGGACTTACACTCACTGCATACAACGCTGGGCATACAGTCGGAGGGACAATATGGCATATACAACATGGAATGGAGTCGATCGTGTACGCGGTCGATTGGAACCAGGCTCGCGAGAGTGTGGTAGCCGGTGCCGCGTGGTTTGGCGGCTCTGGAGCCAGTGGGACGGAGGTCATAGAGCAACTGCGTAAGCCCACAGCATTGGTGTGCAGTACTACGGGAGGTGACAAATTTGCACTTCCTGGGGGACGGAAAAAGCGCGATGATCTGCTTCTAGATATGATTCGGAGTAGCCTTGCGAAAGGTGGCTCTGTTCTTATCCCTACTGATACAAGTGCGCGCGTTCTCGAGATGGCGTACGCGCTCGAACATGCGTGGCGTGATGCGGCAGAGGATAGTGACGGCGACAATATGCTCAAGGAGGTTGGGCTATATTTGGCCGATCGCAAGGCCAATACAACAATGAGACTAGCTAGAAGTATGCTGGAGTGGATGGATGAGAATATCGCCCGTGAGTTTGAAGCAGCCGAGGGTGTGGATGCAGCTGCTACCCAGGCTCAAACTAAATCCGATACCCAGAGAAGCGGAGGAGCACAGAAGAGCCAAGCAACAAAAGCTGCCGGTCCTTTCACTTTTAAGCACCTGAAAATAGTCGAGAAGAGAAAGAGCCTCGAGAAAATATTGGCAGATCAGAAGCCCAAGGTTATTCTTGCATCTGATTCCTCCTTGGACTGGGGATTTGCGAAGGAGTCTCTTCGAGTGTTAGGGGAAGGCCCAAACAATCTATTGCTGCTTACCGAGTCTCTTCACGGAGTAAAGGTTCCCGAAGATGCGCAAGTATCCAAGCGGATGACTCTTGGCCATATGATATGGCAGTGGTACGAAGAGCGAAAGGATGGTGTGGCGTTGGAGAAAGCTTCGGACGGCGAGTTACTCGAGCAGGTGCATGGTGGTGGACGCGAACTTTCGTGGATGGATGTGCAACGTGCACCTCTTGACTCTGGAGAACAGTTGCTCTACCAACAATATCTTGCTACCAAGAGGCAGCTCGACAACACAACCCAGGCCAGAGGACAGGAGGGACTCGACAATACGGCTGATGCACTCGATGATCGTTCCAGCTCAACGACGTCCGAAGATTCAGAGTCTGAGCAGCAGGGAAGAGTTCTTAATTTCTCGACTTCGCTAGCCCATTCTAATCGGAACAAACTTGGCCTTAGTGATGAGGATCTTGGCGTTAACGTTCTTCTGCGACGAAAGAATGTCCATGACTACGATGTCAGGGGAAAGAGAGGTCGTGAGCGAATGTTCCCGTATGTGGCTCCCAGGAAGCGTGGGGATGAGTATGGTGAATTTATTCGCCCCGAAGAGTACCTACGTGCGGAGGAACGTGAGGAGATTGAAATGCAACAACGTAGATCCGAAGCCCAGACAAAGCTTGGTCAAAAGCGGCGGTGGGATGAATCTGCACCAAATGGGCGGAGGCTTTCTGGCGATAAATCAAAACGGCGACAGCTCTCTCGAGATGGACAGGACGCAACGAGCGCGGTGGATGACCTGAGTCTTGCGGACGATGCGGATGCTGCTTCTTCTGAGGATGATGATGCGGACGGACACTCCTTTGAGGGACCTTCCAAGGTCGTCTACACCAAGTCGACAATCACCGTGAATGCCCGAATAGCATTTGTCGATTTTATGGGCCTCCACGATAAGCGAAGTTTGGAGATGCTTATCCCACTCATCCAGCCGCGAAAGTTGATCCTCCTTGGCGGAATGAAGGAGGTCACCACTACACTTGCATCCGAGTGCAAGAAACTTCTAGCAGCAAAAGCTGGAGTTGACATTTCCTCAGCGGATGCAGCAGTCATCTTCACACCGGCCAACGGAGAGGTGGTGGATGCTAGTGTCGACACCAACGCCTGGATGGTCAAATTGAGCAATGGCTTGGTCAGGAGGCTCAAATGGCAGCACGTCCGCAATTTAGGTGTCGTGGCTCTAACAGCACAGCTAAGAGGGCCTGAATTGACTCCTCCTGAGGACGAGAGCTCGTCCGAATCGGCCAACAAAAAGCAGAAACTCCTAAAGGAGGAATCGAGTTCCGCTCTTTCCACGTCCACAGCAGACGGGGTGAAACCATCTGCTGACAAATCGGACGTTTTCCCTATGCTCGACGTTCTACCTGCCAACATGGCTGCAGGCACCAGATCGATGGCTCGACCCCTTCACGTCGGTGATATGAGATTGGCTGATCTCCGCAAGATCATGCAGACAGCCGGCCACAAGGCAGAATTCCGGGGCGAGGGTACATTGCTTATCGATGGGCTGGTGGCAGTGAGGAAATCTGGGACCGGGAAAATCGAGATCGAAGCTACCGCCCAGACAGCGGCGAGCAACGTGTTGAACGCTGCGGGAGGAGCAGGGAGCTTTCTTGCCGTCAAAAGAAAGATCTACGAAGGCCTTGCTGTTGTCGCGGGGACTTAGCAAGGAGAGTAGCTTGCAAATAGGATGGTTAGTCCCCGGCTTTTACGTGTTCAATTCAGGTGCGGAATGTGGTGTGTACATTATCCAGGGATATTCTGGGATATTTTGCGACTTCTTTGCATCTGCATAGATATGTATTATTTTATGTTCGTCGGGCTTCGAGCATCAGACTGTTAGTTTAGTCTATTTAACTCTCATCGCTGCCTTCAATACACATCCTCCATCGCGCATTGCATCAATGCAGCTTAGACAGGGATCACATGTAAGTGGCTTGACTGCTAGTTGGCTGTTCTAACATGCATGATAACGCAATGTGTTTCTGTGCAGGTACTCTCAGGGTACCTGTCACTGGCATACATCTTCTTGCAGATCAGATAGTATTATGACACCCGCATAATATAATAGTTCGGGAAAAAAGGGAAATAACTCGGATCTTGAGCATGAATCAGTACGTCGTATTCTATACGCCATGGATATCATATTTCTCCATCTCCATGTCCTCCATGTGGAGCAGCACCTATTGATGGCGGCCGGTCGGATAGGCGAGTGCAAGGTCCTTATGATCATCATAATCGCCGTTTGGGAAAATTCTATTCCCCTTGAGCTTCTCCGGAGTCTCTCGCAAGACCTTGTTTTGCTTCCCTTTGTCGTCCGTCGGAACAGGGTTTTCCGGCCGCTATTATTGTGTGTATCAACATATTCTCCTGAATTATGAGCTTGCCGACTGGCATTACGTGCTCCTTGCCTAGGTAGCCAGATGCAGAGAGAACCCCGCCGAGGACGTTCAAGCTGATGGCTTCCCTTAAGCTGCATTGCTAGTGCCAACACACGAACTTCTGATAGGTGTAACTCGTGCAGCGTACATGCATTCGGTAGCTTAGCTCCCCTGAAGCTGAGGGGCCACGCCGATGCAGGTTGATAAGGCCATTATTAACTTCTTATTATGAATATATGAGCTGCTTGGCTGCGGACTGCGTTATCTATCCACGGCTGACTTTCCCTTTCCCACGGAGAGATTGTCAAAGACTGGCCGGCGCACGCAGCAGGTTTGCGCGTCTCTGCCAACCAAAGACCCCGGAAAACCATCCTGGCCCTTCTGGCACCTCATTCCGTCCGGATAACGGGCGGGGTTTCCCATAGCTAGTCGCCGGAGCGGCTGGTCTCGACTTGACTCGAATATCCCGAGTTCTAGCGCTAGAGGTGCGGCTTGCTGGCTCGCATCCCACTACCAACCTCGACTCTGAGCTAACCAGGGGAAGGCAAAGAGACCAGGATCAGGGTCTGCGGTGTCTTGATTGTATTTGATTCTGCATTATTTCCCATGGAAGCGAGAAGGACAATCCTTGTCGGATGTCCACCCGTACTACACGAGTCGAGATATCTGTAGATATGTAAGTAGACAGCCCACTTTTCTTCTTAACCCTGACTCAGTTATGAAAATAAAGATTCACATTGCTTTTTCTACCCTTTTCCCTTTCTCCCTATCCTCCGATCAATCGGCGGAATTCTTGGCATTTGGCTTCTTATCTCGGGGAGACAAACAAACATGGACCTAACTTCGCAGCCAGTACCACCAGAGCCGTGCTTGCTCAAGAATCCATCAAAAGTTACCGTCGAAGCTGTGGGGAACGGTGCCCGGATGGCTTCCATTCAGGATGATGATGAGCTCTTGCTGGCTCGCATTGGGTATAAACAGGTAAAACAAACCTTTTATTTTGTTTTCGAACAAGATGGGAGCAGAAGAAGTGGAATTTGTCGAAGAAAGAAAACGCCATGCACTCGGCGCTGATTAATTACCTCCTCCGGTCAGGAACTGAGACGAGAGTTTTCCAAATGGTCGACCGTGTCTTATGCCATCTCTATCCTGGGCGTGTTGGGATCGGTCCCTGCGACCTTTGGGTCCCCATTGGCAGCGGGAGGGCCGGCCACAGCCGTGTGGTGCTGGTTTTTCGGCTCCTGCATGGCCATGTGTATAGGTAGTTCGGTGGCAGAGCTGGTGTCGGCGTACCCTACAGCAGGAGGGATGTATTTTGTCACCAAGCATGTTGTCCCAGAGGATCAGGTCCCCATCTTCTCGTGGGTGCAGGGCTGGTGTAACCTCCTGGGACAGACTGCTGGCGTGTCCAGCGTCGCATATACCGTCAGCCAGATGCTGCTTGCCTGCGCCAGCATGAATTCAGATCTCCTGGGTGATGAGTATTCGTACTCACCGTAAGTGGGAATTCGCGTTTTGCGGTCTTCTTCATCTTCGGTCTTGGGTTTCTGACAACAGCTATAGCACTGCGTTGCAGACCGTGCTGGTCGCCATATTGATGCTGTGCATCATGGGCGTGATATGCTCCTTGACCACCAAGACACTGCATCGGATCATCCTCTGGTTCGCGCCGATTAACAGTATGTGTAGTCGTTGGTCGGGACGGGAGAGCCAGGAGACTGACAGCGTGGATAGTTTGCGCGACCATCTGCATCTGCATCGTGCTGCTGTGTCTTACTCCGGACAAGCAGCCGGCCAGCTGGGTCTTCACTCATGTCACTGATGGATCGGGATACGGATCGAAAGTGTTCTCATTCTTCCTTGGATTCCTGTCTGTCGCGTGGACTATGACGGATTACGATGGCACAACGCAGTAAGTAAGCCCTCATTTTCCTAGGTCTGGCTTGGCTTGGCTTGCTAATACATTTTATGCCTTCAGCATGTCCGAGGAGACCCACGACGCTGCTGTCCGAGGACCAGTTGCCATCCAGACAGCTGTCTTGGTGTCTGGAGTCTTTGGCTGGTTTCTGACCGTGACCATGTGCTTCTGCTTGACTGATTTCGATGGCATCCTGAACTCGCCCACCGGGCTCCCTGCAGCCCAGATCTTCCTCAATGCTGGCGGAAAGAAAGGAGGCACAGTGATGTGGGCATTTGCCATTCTGGTCCAGTTCTTTACAGGCTGTTCCGCGATGCTTGCAGACACAAGGATGGCGTACGCTTTTGCTCGTGATGACGCGCTGCCGTTTTCCACGTAGGTCCCCCCTTTCCTGATAGAAAGCTCTCAATGAATGAAATGGACTGACATATCATCTCCAGTTTCTTCGCCAAAGTGAATAGATACACTCACTCCCCGGTTAACGCGGTCTGGTTTGTGGTATTCTTCAGCGTCTGCCTCAATTGCGTCGCTATTGGATCCACACAGACCGCAACGGCCATCTTCAACATCACAACTCCCGCGCTGGATATCTCTTATGTATCGGTAATTTTCGCGCATCAGATTTACAAATCGAAAGTTCGATTCATCGAGGGCCCCTTCACACTGGGCAGATGGGGGACCCCCGTCAATATCGTGGCTATCGTCTGGGTCGCTTTCATCAGCACTGTGCTTTTCTTTCCTCCTCAGGTTCCGGTTACAGCGGCGAACATGTATGTTTCTCTTTCCTTCAGAGAGCATGCCAGGAATATTAGGTTATTAATTCGCGGTTAGGAATTATGCGATTTGTGTCGCGGCGTTCATTGCAGTCTTTGCGCTGGTCTGGTGGTGGATCTCCGGTCGTGGGTAAGTAGCATCACAAAATCCCCCCCCTTGACGATCCATGACGAAGAACGCATTTAACTCCTTTCTCCCTTTTTCTTGCAGCAAATACACGGGCCCTCGAACTAGCGACATCATCCGGGAGATCCCCACATCGGACTTTGGACACGATTATGGTACTATGGACGTGTAGAGACATCCCAAGAAACGAGAAGTATGACAGATTTGATCGTTTTTCGCTACTACTACTGTTATGAGACCATTGTGACGGCGATACTACGAAAAGGAAGAAAGGAACACGCCAAGCGAACCCACAGTTACGTGCATCTTCCTCGTGCATGAACGAAGTGTCCCCCATGCGGTCTTCCACCAGCTGGTCAACCACTACACCATGGTCTAGGTATCTAGGTCGTCACAACTCTGACGGCTATGTTTGGATACCCTGGGTATGTTATGGATGGTGATGGAGTCGGGTTCGGTATTGTCGCTCCCATTCATTCTCAGTTGGTTCCTATTACTTCAATTTTTACATTAGCACGCTGCGTCTCAGCCCCAAGTTTGATATTATGGAGATGAACAAGGGGGGAATATAATAATATATCAAGGATATTTTCATTATTAGTGCAAAGACATGGAACAGCAAGTCAAGTAAGATTCCTACGCGACAAGCGACAGAGCCTCGGATTGTTGCCCATAAAAATGACCGATATCGTTGGACGACTTGGGGCCTGGTGGTGCTTGCGGAGAGAACTCGGGTCTGGGAAGGGCTTGCTGTACGGTCTTGCCAACAGAGGATATTTCTGAGGAGCCAGACGCGTCTTCTGAGATCGATAAGTATTGACACGTCTTCTTGTCGAAAGTTTCGCCTTTTTCCAAGCCTCCCTCACCTGGACTCTGATGTCGGAGTGCACAATCACGTGTTGGTTACATAAGTGACCTAAGCGGCGCTCTCAAGAGTCTCAGAACAATGGTCAAATGTCCCCCACGATGCCCACAGCCAACTGGCCAACTTCTACACCACGGTCTAGGCCTAGCTCGTATCTGCGAGCACCAAGGTACCCCGTCCAAGCGCTGCAGGCGGGCAAGGATCTCGATCTGGTGGTATGACTCGGACAAGATAGAGATCCAAGTTCCAACAGCGTGGGCAACTTACGCACTGGCAGCATTGCATAGTCTCATCTTCATGCGGGGGAGGATTCAGGAAGAAGAGCTCTTGACGAGGTTCATAATCGTATGATGGTAATGGAGGTATATCGTTCGTTGGTTACTGGCTGGATAGGCCTACGTGGTGGAAAGGGTCAGCGAGGGCGGACCTATGCGGCAGAATCCCACGTGATCCAACAGATGGCTAATGGATAGGCGCATGTATGGTCGTATTACTAGGTAGGCCTGCCTGTGCCGTGAGATAGGTAGCGAGGGCGGTCTAGGACGGCAGAACCTCACGTGTACTAACACCCCCCCACGCACGAGCAGCCTACAAACTATGGAATCAATCTAAATACAGAAATCGGCCTCTATTCGGGCCTTCAAATGAGTGAATATATGCAAAAATAAACAGAGGAATGAAGGTTCTGCTTTAGCCAATCGAATGCCGTATATCAAAATAGAAAATATATCCAAAATGGGGGAGATATACGCGGCTTAGCTTATGCCAGTGAGTTGTAGGAAATGATCAAATTGTTCAGTTCGGAGAGGTTTGGTCAGGCCGTCTGCTGCTTGTTCTTTGGTAGGGCAGGCCTGGAGTTTAACAATACCGTCTTGGATCTTCTCCCGAACGTAATGGTAACGTATATCGATGTGTTTGGATCTCTTGGTGGTGAGCTCAGCTTCAGCCATGGCGTGTGCACCTTGATTATCGATATAGAGAGTAATTGGCGGGCATTCAGTAGGGAGCACGTTGAGCTCGTTGATGAGGTTCCGGAGCCAAAGGGCATCTCGGCTGGCTTCACTTAGAGCCATATACTCAGCTTCGTTGGAGCTAAGTGCAACGGACGTTTGCTTGCGGCTTTTCCAGGCAATTGGGGCCCCGGCAAGCAGAAATATATATCCAGATACTGACCGGCGATTGCCTGTCAGTTGACCACCCCAATCAGAATCAGTATAACATCTGGGCATGAGGAGGTCAGATGTAATGGGTTCCGTGGCCTTATGGTAGGTAATTTGTCGGTTAATGGAGCCTTTAAGGTAGCGTATAGCGTGTATAAGGGCACGCCATGCCTTTTGGGTAGGTTTGGCGTGATATTGGGATAGTACGCCAACTGTCCGGCTAAGATCAGGTCGGGTTTTGGTGGCTAGCCAAGTAAGGCAGCCTACACCACGTTGATATTCTTTGATGTTCACTGTAGGGTCTGGGTCATCATCAATTATTAAACTAGGATCCATGGGGATCCCAACAGGGTGTGCTTGTGCTTGGCCAAAAGAGGCAACCACGTCTTCAGCATAATTGGCCTGGGAGAGAGTATATGTGGTCTTGGATTGAGAGGTGGCCATGCCAAGGTATTTGGTAGAGTTTCCAACTTCTTTTATGTCAAATTTAGCAGAAAGAGACTCCATAAACCAAGTGGCATCGTTCTCATGCTTAGCATAGACTTTGAAGTCATCCACATGGGTAGTCACATAGAGTTGGGTCTGGGTGGTATGGATCCAGAGACCAGAGTCGTATTCGGAGCTTTTGAAGCCAATTTGTCGTAAGAAAGCATTTAGTGTATCATACCAGATACGGGCAGATGGGATTAGTCCATAGAGGGACTGGCGGAGTTCACAAACCAGGTCTCCAGAGCCTTCTTTGAATCCCTGAACTTGGGTCATAAAGACACGTTTATCTGTGGGCATTTTTCCATTTAGGAAAGCAAGGATGGCATCTGCCTTTCGAGTATGCCAGCCAAGTAGAGTGGCCAGTGCTGTAAGGGTTCTAGTGGTATTTTCATCTACCACTGGGGCGTATGATTCCATGAAGTCCTTGTCAAGTAGATTTCCACGGATCACCCAGCGAGCTTTAGCTTGGTAGTCCCTTGTAATAGGGGTACCAGGGATTTCTTTCTTTTTGTATACCCACCGGCCAGGGATGACCTTGGTCCCTGGTGGTAGGTCAGAGCGGCGGATAAGTTGCCAGCAGCCTTTTTCTTTGAGTTGGTTGACTTCTTTTTGCATGGCTGCTTGCCACTTGGTGGCATCAGGATGAGATATAGCCTGCTTATAGGAAGTAGGCGTGTCATCTTCAGATGAAGGAGTGGTTGAAGCGGTGAGATAGGCTAGGGACATGCCTTTGGCGGGTCGAAGCCATATTTCCTGGTCTTCATCTTCAACGGGTTGGTTTGTATCTTCTTTATTAGGAGTACTTGGATCTTCAGGAACAGTAGCTTGTGGAGGTGTAGTTGTGGGATCCTCATATTCTTCATCAAATATAGTGTCATTGGTTGAAAAAATGGCGTCTGTTTTAGGGTCCCACACTCTGTATTGTTGGCTACTGATTTGGCCGATCATGAAGCAGCATTTAGAATGGGAATCGAACTTGTTTATAGGCTTATCTGAGCCATGTCGATGAACCCAGACAGGGCAGCCCCAACGTCGGTATTTGTTGATACTAGTTGGTGAGTTGGTCCAGGCAGCCAGAGGCGATTTATATGGGCTTGGGCTGATTTTTGTGTTGGTATTGACCCCCCCAGGGATAGGTGAATTGAATAGGATTGTGGATGTTGGGAGGCGGTTTGTTATATCTGATGCATATTTTAAAGCATCAACCCAAAATCGCTGTGGTATATGGGGAGCGTCAAGCATTAATGTCCGAGCACGGTCAAAGAGTATGCGTATGCTGCGCTCACTGACACCGTTTTGCCAAGGGGAATATGGAGAACTTGGTTGCCATTCAATGCCTTCCTGACGGTAGGTTTTCTGCCATTCAGCTGAACAGAATTCATTGTCAGAGACAATATAGGCTGGGGCAGGGAAATGGTGATTCTTCATCTGTTGTAGCCAACCCCGAAATGCATCAATTGCAGCAGATCTTTCAGTTAGGTAGTGGACCCAACGGTAACGTGTAGCGTCATCAGTAATAAGCATCACATATTTGGCTCCTGTACGTGAAGGTAGAGGCATATCTAGCTTCTCTATATCTAGTGTTCGGCCGCCACCAGCAAGGTCTATGTGGACTCGGGCTAGTGGTGCAGTCATACGGGATCTTGGTGTTTTGCTGTATTGGCGAGTTTGCTTGCCCTGGATGCAGGCTTCACAAAGTGGTAGTTCTTTGGAACCTTTGATTTCAATGTCTGATGTAGGATCTGCGGCAAGGCGTAAAAGATCCTGCTGGTTTAAATGGCATAGACGGCGATGCCATGTCATAATTGGTAGAGCTGTTTTGGAGCTCTTAGTCTTTGGGGATGTTGTAGGTTTCTTTCTGGGAGGGTCCCCTGGTCGGTTGGCCTCTTTGCCAGACCGGGTGGTGACAAAGGCATAGGAGCTCTCGTCGGGAGAAATGCAATCTGATAGGATGAATACATTGTTGGTATTCAAAATGGCTTCAAATTCTGCACCAGAAGAGGTTGTGATTTGTGCTACTTGAGAGCTGGAAGGGAATTCGATACGAAAACCTTGTTTGAGAAGCATTCCCATGGAGATTAAGTTGGAATTGAAGGATGGAACATGTCGTACATCCCTAAGGATCAAGGATCCGGTTCCAATATCAATGACGACGGTGCCAATACCATGAGGTTTGGAAATCTTCCCTTGAGCATCTTCAATATAATCCGCTGGAGTAAGGTCCTCCTTTCTCAATGTTTTATAGGACGTGAAGAAAGCTTGATGGGGTGTAACATGGAATGAAGCACAGCTATCAAGATACCATGAAGCTTGGAGAGATTGGGCTGATTTAGCAATGGCTGTTTTTGCAGCTGAAGAAGTCCATGGTACCAGTTCATTGGTTTCTGCTTCAGAGAATGAAGCAGTGGAAGATTCTTTAGCAGTGTGTAAAGCACGAATAGCTTCAATAGTATTTTTATTGGCTCGGCGCCAATGCTCAGAGGCTTTCTCAGGGTTCTTGTAGAGGCAAGGCATTGGGTGGAAATGACCACACCAATCACAACGGGTCTTTGGTTTGCGTGAGTCCTGGTCCTGAGGTTTATATTTAGTGTTGGAACTTGAGGCGGAAGAGCTAGCAATGGGGTTAGATGCTTGTTTGGAATAGCTTCGTCCGGATAGATTCTCTCGTCGTCCTCCGTGTTGGGAGCGGGATTCACGGGCTTGGGTGCCCATACGGATAGAGAGTTGAGCTTGAATGGTAGGTAGGTCCAGATTGATGACAGGGCCTTGTCCAGTTGAGTATACTTCATCAAGTTTACTCTTAATGAATGCTTTGTTCCATTCGCGGAGGCCTATAAAAAATAGGTCGTGAATAAGGTTGTCAAATGATGCTTCTTTTATAGCATGAAGGCGGTCTACTATCCTAGTAAACGCAGATTGGTAGGATAGGTAGTCATTGTCTTTTATATAGAGCTCCTTGAGCTCTTTTATGAGAAGCATTCGTTCTTCACCAGTAGAACGTCCGAAAAAGGTAGCAGTTCGGTCCCATAAACCATGGGCTGATAGGTCATATGTGTTGCCCAATTTGTCAATGGCTTGGGCAGTCATAGCATGAAGCATTCGGGCTCTCATGACAGTGGCTTTGCAATGCCATACTTCAGCATCATAAGCTGAGTATCCTACTGGAGGTATATCCTGATGCAAGACTGTACTAGCGTTCAGGACATTGGCTTCTCTTTGAATGGCTGAACTCCAGAGGTCGTAATTATCATGAGACAGTGTGATTCGGCATCGGTCTGGTAGGAGCGCTTTAACTTGAGCTTGTACATGATCAAAAGGATCTTTTTGTACTGGATTTGAGGCTGGAATAGCCGTATTATTTTGAATATGATTGTAGGGAGTAGCGTTATGCCGGACTGTAGGAGTGGAGGATTGGGATTGATGGTGTTCAAGGGCATTAAAACGAGTCATGAACTGGTCCATCTGCTTCTGCATTTGTTCCTGCATTTGTTCCTGCATCTGCTGGAACAGAGCTGTGATGTCTGGTGTGGATGCCATGGTGTTGGCTGTAGTAGAGCTTTGAGCTCTAGGGGCAGTTGGGGTGTCCATTTCTTCAGAGATTACTGAGGAGGCGGAGGAGCCTATATCTGATGAAGGATCTGTGGATTCTGGCTGACGACGGTGACGTCTAGCGGTGGTAGGGGGCGTTCGAGGCACCACCATTTTGGATGGGATCGATCGAAGGATCCTGGGGTTCAGGGGCCGATTGTTGGCGGTCCTGGTGTTCAGAGTCGCTTAGAAGCGCTCGATTTCTGGTTTGACCAATGAGAGGTCACAATTTAGCCTATCTGAAAGGCTTTTTTAAGCTCAATATCGTAGAGCTAAAACGGGCTCATAACCTAATGGATAGGCGCATGTATGGTCGTATTACTAGGTAGGCCTGCCTGTGCCGTGAGATAGGTAGCGAGGGCGGTCTAGGACGGCAGAACCTCACGTGTACTAACAATGGCCATGAGCAGTCACGGGATGGCGCTGGACCCTGAGCGCCACGTGACGCACCAGCCCGCATACCTTTTCCCTTTTCCTCTTTTTCTTTTTTAGGAACCGGAGTCGCGTAGATGGAGTGGGGACAGAGGCGGGCGGAAGACGGAGTAGACGGGGCAGATCAACGATGAAGCAGTGCAGTGAGTCTTGAGGAATAGGGAGCATAGGAATAGGACAGTGAGGCAAGCAGAGCATCGCGGCATTTCTTTTCCACTACCAGGACGCGTTCGGCATTTCCGGAAGAGGCGATTATTATTTCTGGTGTAAATAGTTCGCATGCATGGACCCGTGGCTGCAGCTGAGCTCCCAACTCAATTACCATTACTCCGTGAGCAGCTAAAATTAATCATGAACAAAACACCTCCCGAAGAAACAGTCGGCATTTGCATCATATACGCTGCCATAACAGTCCTGCCGTCGTCCAGCCATCCCCTCGACTCGAGCACACGATTATTATTGGCGCCAATGTGTTCTCACAGCAGATCTCTCTCCCTGGCGTGTTTCACGCTGCGTGGCTTCTAGCCCCCAAATTAGCCAATTTACTGGCCTAATAGTGCCGGGCGCCGGCAATAATCCTAAACCCAATCTCGCGCCAACCACTCTTCCATCTGGCGGTGCGCCACGGAGAGACCCTAGGAGAAAAGGGGACCGGAGTTTTCCCTCGAGCAAATCGCCTTGCAGCGACGTTTCACCCCCGACTGTGGAGTAACCCGACCCTGTTATTAGTAGTGATCACTTATTACTTATTACTTATTAGTAGTAGTGCTTGCTGCCCGTATGCGCGTTTAAAAGGCGGGGCCTTCGCTGCCCTGAAATCACTGGCTTCTCTGTGTATTTTTTTCTCTTCTTGGCCGTCGCGTTGCCCCCGGCTATCCTCTCTTTTTCTTTTTTGTTTTTCTTTCTTTTTGATTTTTTTACCGGCCCAGTTGCCCCTTCATTTGTCCGGTGTCGTGTCTGTCTGTAGGTAGGCTGTGTGTATGTTGGATGCTCTGCCCTCTGCTGTCTCCCGCCGAGCACCCGGAGAACACCCCGTGACTAATTAGACATCCATCGGCAGTGATCGGATTCCGATTACCCCTCGACATCATGCGGCCGACAGAACTCTTCGTGGGTTCCATCGTCCAGGGAACGACCGAGTCCAAGTTTGTTGTCGTCAATCGTCTCGGGGAATCCGTTGCCTCGCATCAAGTCCCGATTACCCAGTATTACCCACGACCAGGGTGAGTCCGTTTTGATTTGGTTATTTGGTTTGATCTTCGAATCTCATCGCTGACCGATCCATAGATGGCACGAGCTGGACCCGCTGGAACTGGTTTCCTCCGTCGAACACTGCATCGATAAGGCCATCAAGAAATACGAAGACAAGGGCCTCGTCCTAAACAACATCAAGGGGATTGGCATTGCAAACCAGCGGGAGACGACCGTGGTCTGGGATTCTGTGACCGGAGAGCCTCTCTACAATGCCATTGCCTGGTCCGACACCCGGTCCATCGACATCGTCCGCGAGTTGAAGCAGAAACCCGAAGCCGGACAATTGCAGCAGATCTCCGGCCTGCCTCTCTCAACATACCCTTCCGCCAGCAAGCTTCTGTGGCTGCTTGCCAACGTCCCAAAGGTCAAGGAGGCGTATGAGCAAGGCTCGCTGGCCTTTGGCACCGTGGACACATGGCTCGTGTTCCGTCTGAACGGCGGCCCGAAAGCGAATGTCTTCGTGACGGACTCGACAAATGCCTCTCGCACCATGTTTATGAATCTGAAGAAGCTGGAATATGACGATTTTCTTCTCAATTTCTTCGACATTAAGGGCAAGGTCCATCTCCCCCGGATTGCCCCTTCATCCGATCTCAATGCCTACGGCAGCATCACCTCCGGTATTCTTGCCGGCACTCCCATCTTGAGTTGTTTGGGAGACCAGTCGGCATCCTTGGTTGGTCAGATGGGCTTCTCTCCCGGAATGGCTAAGAACAGCTATGGAATGGGAAGCTTCACGCTCTACAATGTCGGTTACAAGCCCGTCGTCTCCCAGAACGGTCTCCTAGGTACTGTGGCCTACCAATTCGATGGCAAGGCTGTATATGCGTTGGAAGGCAGCGTGGCAGTGGCTGGATCGGCCATCGAATTCCTCCAGAGCAACTTCGAATTCATCAAGCACCCCGAAGACATTAATGCCCTAGCCCAAACTGTGGACGACAATGGTGGCGTCGTCTTCGTCACCGGCTTCAGCGGTCTCTATGCCCCGTACTGGGTTCATGACGCGAAGGGCACTCTGCGTAAGACTTTCAGATCCCTTCTTCTTCTTCTTATTATTATTATTTGTCTATACAGATTTGCTGACCGTGGTTTACCCCAGTCGGACTCACCCTTTCCACCAAGAAAGGCCACATTGCGCGAGCCGCTTTGGAAGCCGTCTGCTTCCAGACAAAGGCCATCCTGGAGGCCATGGAGCTAGACAGTGGACACAAACTCTCCGAGTTGGCTGTCGATGGAGACATGGCTGCCTCAGATCTTGCTATGCAGGTATGGTGATCCGTTACTTTGCGGATAATCCAGTGACCATATCCCTTCTAAGCTGACACCCCCCATCCACTAGATCCAAGCGGACTTGATCAACATCCCCGTGCACCGCACTAAATCGCCTGAAATTGTCGCCCTTGGCGCCGCCATTGCTGCTGGATTGGCTTTTGGTTTATGGCGCAACTTCGAGGAAATGCAAGGAATCAACCACGCCGGAAAGTCCACCTTTGAACCGCGCCTCACTCGAGGACAGAGTGCCGAACAGTTCTCCCAGTGGGACAAGGCTGTGCGGATGATCAAGACGTGGTCCGAGGATAAGACTCCGGTACACGTCCACATCCCGCCTGAGAGAGAGGAGGGAGATGATGAAAGCGCATCCAACGCCAACAGCTCAAGGGTAACCGAGGATATCATCGGAATGAATACGCATGAAGTTGGTCTCTCGAGCGACTTTGACGACCTTGCTGAAGACGACGAGGATGACCTGATGATGGAGATCCGGAAGATCGAGATCATGCAGAAGCTGAAGAAAATGAAGAAGGGTAAAGCCCAGTCTCCTTTTGTTATTTGAGCGATTCGATTGTTTATGACGTTGTATTTCCCCCCCCTTCTTCATCCACTTTCAACACCTTTACGCCCAATTTCCTCGATACCTTTCCTCATCCTTCTTGGTCTTCCTCTTTCCTCGCCTCGTGCATGTATGTATGGGTCTACAGCACATACACTGCCTCGTATATATATGCCCAAGCAACTTGAACATTTCTTTTTCTTTAACCCGTATAGCCCTTTCGGACTATTCACATTTACCCTTTGTCTTTCTGCCTGGATATGGATATATTCTACGCACCCCCTGTCTTGAGGATACATTCAATTTTGGGCCTGACCATGTCGTCCGCGAGGATGCCCATATGAAGTTGTCACTGTCACGCCTGGTAATGCGATGGGAAAATAAAATAAAATACAGTACATTGGTTGTCTCGGTAGATCTGATACGCAGAAATTAAATTGGAAATATTAATTATCTATCGGCGTCAGATGAAACACTAGTCATCCATGCTTTTGGATATTATTATGTATTGATTTCGCCTAAAATCTTCCATTCCAGCTATGAACATTGAACAGTGCTGTGCAGTCAGTGTACGGTACGACTATCCCATGCATCCGACATTATCATCCTCAACGGTTATGCATGCATGCAACAATCTATATGACACAGGATGTGATACATCACTTAGTACCATATCAATATGATTCTTCCCAAATCCCTAGCAGACTAGGAGACTGGATCTTGGTACGTAACTACCGTATCCATGGTTGCAGTTCATCATGTATGGGACCGGACTCGGGGTTGTTTGATGTTCAAGCTTCAGCCTTCCCATAGATTTATTAAAGTTCAATCCTGTGGGGAAAGCTTCCTGCTTCCTGGCGAGGTTCATGAACCGAGATAGATCTACAGCGTACTTGGTGCCTACTGCTCTATAGTTGGTGGCTCTTTGTCTATGTTTACTCCGTATGTGATGATCAATGAACATGAAACATGGCTGTAGATGCTAGATTGGGATTCTAGACTGTTGTGGCTCAGTTGTGGATCTCGCTTACAATTCTCAGTCTTGTTATCATCCTTGGCTGGAAATAGTTGGAATACACTATATAGTGCCGGCGTTGGAGACTGGATATTATTATATATTTTGTGCTAACTGTTGCATTAATATAACCTAATACTCCGTACAATCCGCTATGAATCACGTGGGATCTCGATATCTCGATGCTCGAGAAACAGACCAGTAGGTGGAACTTCGTCGGTTAGGCAGAGTAGGCAGTAAGACAGTGATAATTAATTAAATAATTAACCAATTCATCAACTAATCAATCAATGATTAGTACCGCTCAACAAGCCATATTCTCCTCTCTTCCTCGTCCATTCCATCCAGTTTCTCCTTCTCTGCCCGCTTCACGGCAATATAGGTCTTGACGAAGGATTTGCCCAGTATGTCTCCCAGGTCTTGATCCGCTTCAAGTGCGCTCAGACTCTGGTTGAGGTTCTTGGGCAAGGGTGTTGTGATGCCGAAGGTGGATCGTTGGGCGGGTGATAAGACTGCCGGGTCGACTTTATACATTCATTAATACCATTAGCATCGACTCTTGTGCTCCGTAGTTAGCATGGAGATGTTGCAACTCACCTTCGCAATTCAATAGGGTAAGATCCAGATTCTCTTCAAGTCCCAAATATCCCGCTGCGAACAAAGCGGACATACCCAGGTACATATTGCAGAGACCATCGACCGCTTTCATTTCCCAGTGTCCTGGGGCGATCTTGCGGATGGGAGTTTCACGGTTCTGTGTGCCCCACGCTACCCATTCGCCTCCCGCCCAGATCCCGGGTTTGACGCGATTGTAACTCGCGTCCTGGGGCAGGGTGAAGGCCAGGATGGATGGAAGATGGGAGAGAATCCCTGCTAGGAAGGACCGTTCATGGGTGGCTGGGGTGGTGGAGATGTGTGCATGAGCTGCTGTTCCTAGAGCGGAGGGGTAAGGACGTGGATGTAAGGTAGCGCGGAGGCCGTGGAATTCGGCGACGTCCACGATGATTTGGCGTGCTTTCAGGAGGGTGTCTATTGCGCGTAACGATGGGGAAGGGGGAAGTACGAATTCGAACTGGGAGGGTGCTGATTCGGCGTGGAATTGTTCGATATCGATTCCTATGTCCGAGAGTGTTTCGACGATTTCCTCCAGGATCGGCATGGATTTGTTACGGATCTCTGGAGTTACCTGACACCAGGAGTGTTTTGTCGTGAAGGGGAGGTAGTCGACAATCTCCCTGGTGTGGTTGCTGGGCACGGGCTTGAGGAGGACGACCTCAATCTCAAATCCGCAGAGTATGCCAATCCCGTATTTGACATTGAGCTTGGATACAATGCCTTCTAGAGTTGCGCGTGGACAGCCCTCGAGTGGATTGCCATCTTCTGAGAGCCAGCGTGCCATCACTGTCGCGCTTTTGGAGTTCCGCCCTACATTACGGTAGAGGCTCGACAAGTCGGGACTGAGCTGAAATTGTCCTGTAGCTGTTCCGGCTACACAAGAATCATCCTGGAGAAGACCGGGTGTAGACATGGAGATCCCAAGGCGGCGTTGTCCACGAGCCAGTTTCTCGAATTCACCGATGGGAAACAGGCGTGCTCGTGTAGTGGTCGTATAGTCCAACCACTGCACCCAGATGAACTTCACATCAGGGTTGGATTGGACAAAACGGTCAAGGAGAGATGCTGGTTGCGAGGCCGGTCTTAGGGCTGAGACTGCTGCATGAGTGCCTTTAGATTCAGCAAGGAATCTGCCTGCTGAGGATTTGCTGTTATAGAGTGGCGGTTGGCCCAATCCATATAGCTTGTTCGAGTTATAGAATAGAATATCCGCTGCTGCCTCCATAGCCTGGTCGATAGAATAGTCCCCTTTGGTCACATAATCTACGAGAACCTATTGAGTAGTATTCAGTATTGATCCAAGCCTTCGACCATTGGGCTTCTCCAATTTCAATGTCGCCCAGATTCTGGCAAAACACACCTTCTCTAAAGCTTGCCTAAACTGCCTGTTTGCCAACCAAAAAGTCTCTGGGAAGAAATGCCCGTCTGTACTCCAAAGGATCCTATTTGTTGGTGTAATCTCGAAAGCCTCACGTACGATGCGTTCCTGCGCATCGCGGCTGACCATAGGGAATACCTCCCCCAAATCAAGATAGACATTAGGGTACACGCAAGCAAGATAGCCAGCCTGCCGTGTGTAAGGATATGACGAATGTAGGAGGACAAAGTCGACCTCGGGGTATTTAGCAATGACCGGCTGCAAATATGCCGGATTCGATCGTACTAGATCAATATCTGAATCTCCAAGGCCAGTATGCAGCTGGAGAGGCTTGGAAATCCCGGACTCTCTTCGAGCTTCACTCAGCATCTCGAGGGTCCGTAATACAATCCAGTCATTTAATGGCTTATCCTCAATCCGGAAGGCCGTAGAACCGGGCTGCTGAAGGAGCATGCGAAAACACGACTTGTTCAACTCGTGTAAATCACATAACTTGTCGATTTCCAACCCTGTGCGATAGCAGATAACTGATTTGAATCCCACCACTACCAAATCCTTGATGGCAGACGCGAGTGCATCTGTGAACTGTGAACTGAACCGTGCAAAGGCGGATCTGTCAACCTGGGAAACTTCCTGTGCCCTGTCCCCTGATCTCGACATAGATTCGAGGACCTGTGCTGCCATTGTCTCGATCCTCACAATTCTTTTTGTCTCGGACGCAGTGAACTTATCATGCCAGTGGAATGGCTCGACATCCTCAACAGCCAGCAGATCATCCAGAAGCAAGGTGTGCGTTCCTTCTAAACACTGACGGATTAGCAACTCATAATCGTTCTGCACCAATTGGTGGCGAGCAGCCTTGATCTCATCCCAGTCAGACGGACACCGGTAGAGGTCAGCCAGCTGGTTCGCGGCACGGAGATGTGGCAGTGTCTTCCTCGCGTTTTGCAATGCGACTGAGCCCGCCTCAGATGTGATAGACTCAAATGGGTATTTCAGATAGTCGGTGGCCCTCTCAGCGGACAGAAGATTGTGGGCATGGTTGTCGATCAAAGGGTGTGTCTGGATGAGATGCCTCAATTGCTCCATGCCCGATGGGATTGATGTCTCCGCGGTAGCTAGCATGGTCACCTTCCTTATGACAGCTAATAATGTTTATTGAATAATGGCTGGGTGGAAATGAGTAACCCAAGGAGAGTTGGTGCTTCACAGGAAGATAAGCGTCGGTGTTAATTATCTCCATCTTTCTCCATCAACTGAACTCATCCTCCTAACTTACCCCTCGCATCTTGAAGCCAGACAGTCCATTAAATTCTTATACCATCAATCACTAGCAAGCCAATACCGTGAGCTAATATCCTAGTGATGCAATATACACAGAATAAAATCGCCCTGGCGCTCAGCCCCGCCTCTGCCTGTGATTCCCTTTCCCCTTCAAATGCCCTGATTTCAGTCTGAAGTTGGCTCTTTTTCATCTTATTCTTTTCTCATAATGCATTTTTTGGTACACAGTCCCATAGACTATTACCATCATGTCTCGTGCGCTGGCGAATGCTTCACGACTGGAATCAGAGATTCCTCTGGCCTCCGCAGAGCAGAAGGCGAGATTTCGCTCTGGAAGATCTCGAGTTTGCGGCTCTCCTCTCAATGAAATGTTGTTATCCGACTTACTGCTGAGACTGACCATCGTGCGTCTGGGAAGGCCTGTGTGGCCCGTTGTTTTTGGGCCTCGCATGGTGAATCTGCTCGAGGCCACCCAGAACTATACTGCAGTTGGGGGTTTGCAAAACCTTATTGCGTGCGGTGTTTGGTCATTGGTGTGCATGTTGATGCCGTAAGTGTTCCATGGCCTCTGTGGCCGCCTGCTCTAAGGATAGAATTGCAATTGATCGAACTTCTCTTCCCACTTCGAGAGAAAATCGAAATTTTTCATGGCTGCCGGTTGTTCAGCTCCGCGTTACGAAAAATTAGCACTACTCTATCCTCGCTTCAAGACTGCCGCAATCTCTGTCTGAATACTTTATTGTGGTTGTCCGCCTTGGCCATAATATCTTAAAATCTACGCAAAAGTCAAGCCTTGGGAACCTCAGATATTCCTTGAAAGACTCTGAAATGCTACTTACCAGTCGGAACTCGACACCTGGGCAACTAGTATCAAAGAAGAGGTGCTCTTCCTGATGGCGGAAGGAATTGAGAAAGTGAACTCTCGATCCAGAGCTTTTACAAGCAAGCTTTCCAAATCCGTTTCTCATGAAAGAATTGGTCAATGCAAAGTCTCGGGTGCTAAATTTCTATGCCAAGTATGATCATGTGGCTACATGGAGGCAGATTCGAAGCACAGAAACGACCAAGCCCTTTCGAGATAGTGATATATATATGCGCTGAAGGGCTGAGAAGACTCCTGTACATTCACGTATACCGGGAAGCTAGGGTCTGGGAAGTCGGTTCTCTTGGCTAACATTGTTGATGACCTGAACCTTCATGAGCAAAGAAGCTATTCTGGTGACCTACTTTCTTTTGTCGTCACGATATTTCTGAAAGCTTGAAAGCGCGCACCATCATTAGCTCTCTGGCTCGCCAACTGTAGCAGTCAATCTCCGGCCTTATAAATGCGGCAAAATCGCTTGATAGAATTTCCCAGACCGAAGATATCGAGAGACTTTGATCTTGCTACACAATTCTCGTCCCTCCGAGTACATAGCCTACATTGTGCTCGACGGGCTTGATTCCTAGAAATAGCTCTTCGGAACAGACGCGAGAATATCCTAGACTTACTCCTTTTTATCCGCTTCCATGCAAGCTCTACATATAATGAACGGACACCACCGCAAGAAGCTGGCAGAGAGGGTATGCGTCTGCTATAAAGCTCCTGCTTATTATTCCGAATATGATCCTCTCAAGGAAGGAAGATGGCGAACGAGAAGGACAAAGTGAACATTACCATCGTTTTTCTTGATTCCAGCAGAGTTGATGTTAACATAATAAGTGAACAGGATGATACTCCATTGAAAAGGGCTATAAATCACACGTACATTGCTTCTATTGGCACTCTTCTTTCTTTTAGCAGCCATTGCTCTTAAATCAATATGCTGTTTCAGGGGTTCCGTTCAACGTAAGATTAATCCAAACATCACAAAATAAGAATGGACAGACGGCACTCCATATTGCTTTTTACAATAGAAGAGAGGCCGTTACCAGGCTTCTGTTTGACTTGATGTTCTTTTGATGGTTGGTCGAAATTACACGTGACGTATACTTAGGACGCCACATATTACTAATACAAAACAGCCACATCATGTGATAATACGTGGCTGAAGGATTTGACCAGGGCTTGGCCTCCAGGAGCAGTGCAAAAGCAGCTTTCATCATCGCCGCATCCAGGCATCCGGTTCATTGCAGACTCGTGGATTGTGCCTGAACCCGTCACGCCTCCTGGAAATCCTCCATTTCACTCCTATCCCATCCTCTTGCATCGTCTGTTTGCGTGCTTGCAGTGATTTACGTGTTATATGTGTTAAAAACATCGTATAAGGACTCGTTAGGCACAGTGGGGAAGATTCTTGTTGGCAATAACCTCACTTCGTTTTCTTCTTCGCCCCTTTCGCTGCAGTCTTTGTCTAGTTAAGCCTTTATCAAGGATCCGCGTGTACTTCTCACTCCTCGATTCCTGCGATTCTTAGGGGTCAATACATATCGTTCTCTTTTTCTTCGTCGCGTTTTCGCCATGACGACCGCCGTCGCTGTCGGCACCCCCCTAGCGGATGCTCTAAGCAATGTTATCCAACCGAAACTTGTGGAAATGGGCTGGAGCTCGGAAGGAGGCGACGATTCTGCTTTAACGGAATACGTGATTCTGATGCTGGTCAACGGCAAGACCCAGGAGCAGATCGCCGGGGAACTTTCGAATGATCTTCTCGGTTTGGGAGAAGGGGACACGCAGGCTCTTGATTTTTCTAGGTGGTTGTTTGAACAGGTCGAGTTGCTAAATAAGCAAATAAATGGTGGTGGTGATGCCGGCCCAAGCGTGGATGGAAACGTGTCTGGACAGCCTGGCTCAACGCAGGCAATCCCTTCGCTTACGGATCAGGGAGCTGCTGATTCTCAGCCGGTTGCGATTAACGGCACTGCTCAAGATGATAACGGACATCCGGAGACCGAATCTATGTAAGTTTCCCCTATCATTTCCCCTTTCACCATGGTTTTGCTAGATTCGATACTCATTATAATGTTTTAGACCCACTGGACCTAAAGCGATGCGCAATGGACGGCAAGGTGGTAGAGGGAGAATGCTTAATCAGATCAACAGAGCGTTGGATAGGGGACCTGATACGCCTCTACACCGAATTCGGGGACAACCGGGCGCTGGACGAGTGAATACTCACGGCCGAGATTCCAGAGGGGCTAGGTCTTATCAGAATGGCGGTCGGATGGGTGGTGGCAGAGCAGGGGGTATGGGCATGCCGATACAGTCTGGCACAGCTGCCGGCAATATGATGCAAATGAGTCAGCAGGATCAGATGCATCTCATGGCCCTTCTAGAGGAGCAGGCAAGGATGATGGCGCAGTTTATGCCTGGCATTGTTCCTCCAGCGATTAATCCGGCTTTTCAGCAACAGAACTCCCACCAGCATGGCCGGTCGTTGTTCGAACGCGTGGAGCGGCACGGACCGAAACCGCATGGTTCTTTCGCCCAGCGTGCCGCGCAGCATGGACTATCTGTTCAGCAGCCACATGAAGGAGGAGCTGCCGATGCGGGCGCGGATGCGAAGCCTGAATCAGCCCCTGAACAAGGCGAGCAACAGGATGAAAGCAACACTGATGTCGCCTGCCGCTGGAATTTAAGATGCACCAGACCGGAATGTCCATTCGCACACCAGTCACCTGCTGCCCCCGAGGGCACTCCTATCGACATTACTGACAATTGCCCATTCGGAGCAGCATGCAAAAACAAAAAGTGTACCGCCCGTCATCCGTCGCCTGCGGTTAAGTCAGCTCACCAGGCCGAGGAACTGTGCAAGTTCTTCCCTCACTGCGCAAATCCTCATTGCCACTTCAAACACCCGAGTATGCCACTCTGCCGTAATGGAGCGGATTGCTCTGTTCCTGGCTGCAAATTTACACACACTCAGATACCCTGCAAATTCCACCCTTGTCTCAACCGGAACTGTCCATACAAGCATGTCGAGGGCCAGAAAGGTGCCTTCTCTGATAAAGTATGGACGGCAGATTCTGCACAAAAGAACAAACCCCATGTGAGTGAACGGAAGTTCGTCGCAGACGACGATGGCCCCGAAGAGTTGATCAAGCCTGGCGCCACTTCCACCGAAGGTACTCAGAGCCAGGAGCTCGTGACGTGAGGGATGCTCGATGAATCTCTCTCATTTTTTGCTTGCTTGCACTTCGCCAATTTAATAACGATCAAGATAGTGACGTATTGGGAGGGGGGGAAATATTACAGATTCCCGTTGATTTTTGTCTTCTCTTTCTTTTCCATGTACGGTTTATTATCTGGGCTGGTAGGAAAAAGGCGTTCATAGCGATTGCTTGGTTTTCTTATTTCATAACTCCGACCCTGTAAATAGAGCCCAAGGGTAAGGCCCATTGTGCCAACTGATTTTGAACCATCTACAAGATCAATTTTTATACCCAGGTAGTTTGTTCCTGTAGGACTGCTGTAATAGAAATACGCCGTAATCTTACGGCCTCGGACATACATCATTTCCCCGACCTTAATTTAGTCAATTCCATCTTCCTACATGCTGCCTTTTCTCTGTTGCCTTGCGAGCTGTCCTCTGGCTCCCAACCACTGCAATGCAATTATCATGCGTCTCTAGCCGTGCATCCAGAGGAGTACGGAGACAGTTACTATTTCAACGCATCCGCAATGGCTCAGCATACCGCCGTTCCCTTCACACCCAGCCCTTTGATGCTGCCATCATCGGAGGAGGGATCACCAGCCTGACAGCTGCCTATCGATTGTCGCAGCAGGAGGACTGCAAAAAAGTCACCCTCTATGAGAAATCTGCACGCCCAGGTGGCTTGCTTCAGTCCGAAGTCGTGCCCGTCGATGGCGGAGACGTTGTGTTCGAGTATGGGCCCAGGACGTTGAGGACCGGGCCGCTCTCGTGTCTCCCTCTTGTGAACCTGGTACGGATGCGCAAGCTAGCTTCAATTTGACCTGTGTGTGCTATTACATTACAGTTGGAACGGGGGCCGTTGCTAACAGTTCCTCGTCTACTCTTTTCTCTCCATTTTCAATAAAGGTCTCATCACTGGGTTTAGCGGACGATATCGTCCCCACGAGCAAAAGAGCTGCCGCTTCCACGAACCGTTATATCTACTACCCCGACCACCTTGTGCGTATGCCCGCACCATATCCCGATCAGGGGGCCCTTTCCTTTTTTTGGTCGAGCTTTCGTACGGTGACTACCGAGCCGGTGTTCGAATCCTTTCTTTCTGGCATTTTCGGTGAACTATCCAAGCTGCCCAGGCCACACGTTAGGGATGAATCTGTCGCACGGTTTATCTCACGAAGATTCAATCAGAAGATTGCAGATAATTTGGTTTCGGCCTTGTACCATGGTATTTACGCAGGGGATATCAACGTCTTGAGCGCGAAGGCCTTGCTCGGCCCGTACTGGGATCTGGAGATGAAGGATTCCGGAGTTGCGCTTGGGTTCGTGGATATGAAGAGGCGCGGGAGGAAGTTCAGGTATATGGATGATTTCTTGGCTATGACAGCTTGCATTCGTGGAGTCTCTAAGGAGAACCGAAGGGCAGTACTAGAACGCTTGGCTGGAGCTAGCGTCTTCACCTTCAAAAGGGGGATTGGTCAACTCGCCGAGGCATTGGTCGATAGTATGAAGGAATCAGGAAAGGTTGAAATCATCACGGATGCCAGGGTAAACTCTATCAGTCAGAACACGAAGACTTCGGATTTGACCGTAAGCCCATCCTCGAGTTTCTCGATAGCAGCTTTTCATGGATCCTAAGTTGACATTTATCCACAGATCCGTTTCGGACACAATGACTCTAATTCCCGAGTTCATAACCGTGTAATTGCTACAACACCGGCTCCTGAACTTGCAAAAATTCTCGATACCCGATCTCCAAAAGAAGCGAATCAAAATCATCCCTCGAAAACAGTCAGATCTCTCCAGGAATACGACTATGCAGTCAGCGTCATGATTGTGAATCTTTATTATCCCAGCCCAGACATCATCCCGGTAGAAGGTTTTGGCTACCTCATCCCCCAATCTATCCCGATGGAGCAAAATCCCGAACGCGCACTGGGGGTCATATTTGGCTCCCAGACGAGTATCGGACAGGACACGGCTCCAGGTACGAAAGTCACCGTCATGCTAGGTGGCCACTGGTGGGATGACTGGGAAGAATCAGATCTGCCAGACCACGACACCGCGGTATCCATGGCTCGGTCCCTTCTCGAGAGACACCTCGGCATCAAGGACACACCTTCTGTCGCACGGACAAGGTTACAACGCAATGCCATCCCCCAATACACCGTCGGCCACATGACCCGTATGCAGGAACTATCTAACAACGTCCGCGAAGAGTTCCACCATCGTCTCACCCTCGCTGGAAACTGGTACGGTGATGCCGGTGTCACGGACTGCGTGAAGCAGGCGTATCTCGCCTCGACATATGGCATGGGCGCGAAGCTGTCAGAAGATAATGAGATTCGAATGCTGTACGGCTCCGAACCATGGACCAAGTATGCGTATCGGGAGTGGGATCTGGAAGGCGGTATCGTCACATCGCCGGTGCGGTTCTTTGAACAATCCGAGCCTATGTTGCGAGTTGTGAATGCTTTCCCAGCTATTAGGAGGCGTTAAGTGTATTATGGGATAGGTATCCGTTCTAAGGAGGAAACGTTTATAAAGGAAAGCGAAATGTATCTTATCTGTAATGGAACCTATGTATGTTAATTCCCAGCTCATTATCTGTGATTAATCATAAAAGTTGGCGGATAGAAAAGAAAATTGGCATTTTTTAACATTATATTATCTACCATGTATGAGACTGTAGAGGTTTCAACGAGGCAGTTCCCAGCCACTGTCTTCGGGCGTAGCCTTTGATCTCGCCGTGCGACCAGTATTCTGGAAGACGTAGGCTGCAGCCCCATGCCACAACCAGTTCAGTTCTCGCCCCAGAAGAATAGACAACATAAACTGAAACATCTGCCTGTGTGGTCGTAGATTTGGCGGTGCTATCGGTTTACTGGGATCATGATATCCGAATCGGGACGCGTACCTGGTCTCCGGTCGAGAATATGAGCTAGTTGCTGTATGAGTGTACACTGTCGGATTCAACCACTCAAGTCGGAGCGGTGATGTGTGACACACATGAGGACATTTTCCAGGTTGATCAGACCAGGCAAGAAGGAGGCTGAGTGTGTACTGACAGGCATGGTCTCTCCCGAGAAGGCGGATCCTGGATGGCCGTCAAATAATAGTACGATTTTGCCAATTGAGCTTTGGAAATCAAGCCTTTGCCTTCTCGTTTTCTTCAGTAGGCGCCTTCTTTTCCCCGTTTGAATCGAACCCCAACGACTCAAGTTGCCGAATCAGCTCCTGAATCTTGATAACCTTCTCCAGCTGCTCGGGGAGAAGCGACTCGCCCTTGTCCTTCTTGTCACTTAGTTCGCGCGCCTGCCTCAGTTTCTTCTTCAGATTGCGCGCTTTCTTTTCCTTTTCGGCCTCCAGGTCTACAGGTTCTTCTTGCTTTTCTGTCGGCTGCGGCTGGTTCTCGGACTTCTTTTTATTATTGTTGCCGTCACCGTTGGCAGCAAAAGAGCGCCAGTTGTCGATTGCCTTGACGTCTCTCTCGTTCTTCGTCGCTCGTGCTTCTCTGTTTGTATTTGTTGTTTCGCCTGCATCTGCATCTGTAGCCTTTGCTTTCCTCCTTGCTTCCCTTCGTTTCGCGTTTTTGTTGTTGCTGGTTGTGCTGCTGCTGCCGCCTTTCCCGGTTCGCTCGTCGTCGTTGGTCAAGCCTTCTGCTCCGGGGACTCCAGCCTTGGCTCTGTTTTTCCATGCCTCTGCTGCGCGGGTCCTGTATATTTCGACGTCCTCAGGGGGTCTGTAGCCGGGTCGGACACGGATCTCACGACGTTTGGAGCCATCTGCGCGGAGGGACGAGGGAATGTAGTGTTCACCAGTCACGGCGTCGACTGTTATCCCTGCCGAAGAGACTTGGTTGAGCTTCGCAGGCGGCATTGCTCCGATGTTCGAGAAGCCAGCGGCGTGTATGAGATCGGAGGAGGATGCAAACAGCTCGAGGAGGTAGTGTCTAGGTAAATGTCCTGAGATGAAGGAACGCAATTTTGTTCCCAAGACGGAAACCCGGAGGCTCTGCGCGCACCAGCCAATCACCGCCCCCGGGATTCCCGCAGTGCTTTTCGGCGGGAAACGGACTTGGAAACTTCAACCTCTACCTTGCTGTGAAGCAGTTCTTCGTAAAGCAATCGCTATTCCGCACCGTGTACGCTCCGTTGCTTTGGCCTGTCAAGTCACCTTCCTTCACAATGACTGTGAGCCGTTCTATGTTAACCCGCTAGATAAGGATCAATTGGCTAACCCGTGGTGTTTACGTCGAAATAGTTCGCCTCCGCTATCTACCAGCATGTCCCCTCCCCCATGCGGCATTGCTACTCCTGTCCGTGACGTGGGCTAACCTGAGGTTTTATTTCTGTCTTCCAGGACCTTCATTCGCAAGAATGCCGTCTACCTGACGACCATCTTCGCCGGCGCCTTTGCCTTTGAGATGTGCGTAAACTGTTCTATTTAATATGCTTCTCCTCTCAGTGCCCTGCTCTACGGATTTGGCTGATGACTGTATGAGATAATAGCGCTTTCGATACTGCTTCCAACAAGGTGTGGGACTGTCTCAACCGTGGTGTATGTTATCCGAACCCAAAGAGTCTTACGAGCACTGGAAGAACACGCTGATCTCTAACACGTTTCTGCAGCGTCAATGGAAGGATATCAAGTACCGGTACTTGAACAACGAGGAAGATGAGGAGTAAAGGTGGTCTATTTCCTTAAGCGAGGAGATGCGCGCAACGGAGGCCATACCTCTCGACACCAGCCCATGATATCTCGGCAGAGCTGAAGGAGATAGAGAGAGGATGTAATAATACAGACAATTGTTTATTACATATCCTTTCCATGGTGTCATACTGTACAAAATAGGAACTCGACATATTTATGCGGTAGACGCGAGGCTGCCATTTTTCAATTTCCCCATGCCCCGATCGCGTAAGGTGTGCGTACAGTGCACATGCATGGTATGAGGCAACTGTGATAGCCGGAGGTACACAGGGGATATCCATCGCCAATTAGACACTAAATACAAAGGCAGTCTGCCCTGAGCGCGGTGGCATAGTTAAGCTGCATTTAGACCAGGTAAAGGCCAAAGGCCATCAAGACACTGCACCTTGGCATTCCACATCGCCAAGATGGTGTCTATCTTTGTCCCAACTTCCTTTAACTCCTCCAAGTAACGATTATATATCCAGTCAATGCTCTAGGACCAGTATTCAATGGGAATTTGCCATGTTTTGACCGTGTAGTGGATACGGTACAGTTGGTGCTTGACGTTTCCTCCCCCACCGCTGACTGCAACTGCGGCAATCATTTGTCATGGAGTCTCAGAACTTCCTTCACTGATACAAATCTGCATCATAGGTTTCTCGTTTTTTAAACTCCTTGTCACGCGTCTTTTTCCTTCTTAAAAAGTCTTAGAATTCTCCTTTAAATTTAGCTTCTACGATCCAAAAGAACCTCCCCCATCATTTTCTCCCAGACGAATACACCCCCCCGCCCTTCCTCTATATAGATTCAACAGAAGCTTCACCTCTATCATCTCTGTTTGAACAAGCCGAATGGGAGACCCAGTCATCGAGTGATACGCGATAAGCCATGCTCACGGAATGTGAGAAGATTCTAGGACAGGGCCTTCTTCGCCTCCCTCAGAAACATAACTACCGTTACGGGCCCGAGGCGGAGAAGGATCTCTTAGAGCTTCTTTTCCGCTCTCTTGCAGGTCACAGCGAAGAGCGCCTACGACATCTATTCCCCGATGGTCTTCCGAACGGGCCGTGGAAGCTAGCTGAAGCTCAGGGCGCGAAGGAAGGAGCGGAATACTCGGAGGCTGCGAGGGGAAAGCGATGCGGTCATATTTTCAGAGCAGGAGAAGCTACTTATCACTGCGTAACCTGTGCCGCGGATGATACCTGTGTTCTTTGCAGTCGATGCTTTGATGCCTCCGATCATACTGGTCACCAATACCAGATTTCGCTTTCGTTGGGAAACTGCGGGTGCTGCGACTGCGGTGATGAGGAGGCCTGGAAGCTGCCGTTGTTCTGTGCCATTCATACGGATAGTGAGAGTGCAAAGGGGAAAGAGCGCGCGCGGAATCCCTTGCCGCAAGAATGGGTGGATAGTATCAGACTCACTATTTCCCGGGCAATGGACTACTTCTGCGATGTCATTTCATGTTCGCCTGAGCAGCTAAGACTCCCGAAGACGGAAGAAGGAATCAGGCTCGACGAGGTAGCATCCAGGCTGCATCCAGGGTGGTATGGTGAAGGGGACTTGTCGGATGGAGAGCCTGAATTTGCTGTCGCCCTGTGGAACGACGAGAAACATACCATTAGGGATGTAGCACACCAGGTCAACAGAGCTTGTCAAGAACGGAACAGTTTTGGAAATGCCAGAGCACACGAGACGAATGATATTGGTCGAAGTGTAGTCAAGTATTCCCGAGACGTCCAGAGGCTGCTGGGTGTCTCGAAGATTCTCGAGCAGATCAAGGTCACTGTTACAGTGAGGTCTGCGAGGGATACCTTCAGGGAACAGATGTGCGGCACGATTGTCGAATGGTTTGCAGATATCTCCGGTTGCAGTGTGCTTGATGATAATGAGATCCTGCGCCATGTTATTTGTGAGGAGTTACTGAGTCCCTGGAGACGAGGTAGCGGCGCTTACAATGCGGATATTGGAATGAAGGGTATCGATGATCATCAGAGGTCTGACAATGCGCCGTTTCGAACCGTCATGGTAACCCTCTCGCCTCAAGGTCGAGTGATTCTAGCAGCGGACGACGATGATGATGAGGGCGAGGAGGGAGAAGAGGATGAAGACGAAGGCCTTGCTGGTAACGACGATGAGGAAGACGAGGAATACGTTGATGCCCATGACGATATAGATGATGATGATGTTGAGACAATTCTCCACCGCCTCCGTGAGAGCGTTGATGAAGATGGAGATGTGGCAATGGGTAATGCTGATAATGAGGGCGAGTCTGGATATTCCCATCAGCAACCGCAAGCGCCTCAGGAGGGCCAGCAGACCGAACATGATCGATCCATTCGCCGCGAGCCAGAGACCGGTGGGAATCGTGCTCTGCCTCAAGTTCACATACCCCGAACCCCTTCAGGGTTTGTTCGACCATCCCCGGCAAGAACCCCAAGCTACTGGCTTGTGAGACCTTCTGCTCCTGTGACGGGTGAGGGTATCCCACCCTACGAGGACTTGTGGCAGCGCACCCGTCTTGACTGGATGATCCTTTTCGATCTGCGGCTATGGAAGAAGACTCGGACAGATCTCCGTGATCTTTACATTAGCACAGTGGTCAACATCCCTCAGTTCAAACGGATCATGGGCCTCAGGTTGTCAGTGTTATACACTGCTCTTGCACAGCTGTATCTGATAGCTGATAGAGAGCCGGATCACTCTATTGTTAATCTGTCTCTGCAGCTTCTCACCACTCCTTCAATCACTGAGGAAATCGTCCGGCGTGGCAACTTCCTTACCAAGGTCATGGCCATCCTCTATACATTCCTTACGACAAGGCAGGTAGGCGAACCGTACGAGGTTAATCCAAATGCCACGTTGGCTTTCGATGCCGGATCTGTGACGAACCGACGACTGTACCATTTCTTCTTGGATCTACGGTATCTTCTCCAGTCAGAATACGTACAGTACCATGTACGCACGGAGAAGCAATATCTTCCCCAGTTTCTGGATCTCGTAAAACTTTCCCAGGGAATTTGCCCCAACGTACGCGCCGTGGGAGAGCATGTGGAATATGAAACAGACGCATGGATTAGCGCATCAATCCTGATGCGAGAGATTAATCGACTCTGTCGTCAATTCTGCGAGGCGTTTCGCCATCCTGAGAATGACAACGGAGAGAACCTTCTCAGGGCGATCAAAACAGCAGCTGTAACTGCCATTGTGCATTCGACAGGCGTAGAACGCCAGCGTTTTGATCAGGCTGAAATCAAGGAGTACGTTCGATTCAAGTCCCTACCATGCTTCGATTTCGAGGTCGATCAGAACGGTCAGATCCCCCGTCATCGTGTGGTGAACTTCGTCGTCGAAAAGGGCTCGATTAGTTTCCATCATGCTCTACATTACACTCTATCATGGCTGCTGGAGTGTGGACGAGGCCTGAGCAGTGCCCTGATGCGCGATATCTTACTGGATGCGGCCCAGACTTCAAATGAAAATTATGTTCGCGATCCCTCTCTGACTCCCGATGATTTGCTTCTCTTAATGTTTGATTATCCGCTCAGAGTCTGTGCATGGCTCGCCCAAATGAAAGCCGGAATGTGGGTTCGCAATGGCCTCAGCCTTCGGCATCAAATGTCACAGTACCGTGGGGTCTCGTCTCGCGATTTTGCATACTATCGTGATATTTTTCTGCTCCAAACAGCAATGGTAACGCTAGATCCCAGCAGGGTCCTTGCATCCATCGCCGACCGGTTCGGAATGGTCGACTGGATGACTAGAGACTACGTGCCTCGTGCTGGCTATGAGGATTCCCAGATTGTGGACGTCGCTGAGGAGTTCGTCCACCTACTTGTCATCTTACTCACGGACCGCACCTCCTTGATTGCCATCGATGATAGTACCGCTTTGGCTCGTGAAAACATGAAGCGGGACGTTGCCCACGCACTGTGTTTCAAGGCTCTTTCTTTCTCTGATCTCTCGAGCCGACTCAGCGACAAGCTGCTTGACTCGGATATGTTCCAGGACATTCTTGACGAGGTTGCAAACTTCCGTGCTCCTGAGGGTCTAAATGATACCGGAACCTTTGAGCTGAAATCCGAGTATATTGATCTGATAGATCCTTATAGTGCGCATTACACGAAGAACCAGCGAGATGAAGCGGAGAATATTTACAAAGAATGGATGGCAAAGATGACAGGGAAGAAGCCGTCAGATATTGTCTTTGAGCCAAAATTGCGACCTATCGCCTGGGGTGCCTTTTCTAACTTACCGCTATTCACCAAGACCCTTTTGTTTGCTCAAATCGTGCATCAGTGCCTGGAGTATGCAGTGTCTTCTAAGGATCGCACCCCGAATATCCCAGTTACAAGAGTCGAGACATTTCTCCACATGGTGCTTCATTTAATTCTGTCTGCGGCACTCGAAGATCATGTCATAGACACCCACGGGACGGACGATTCAACGGATTCATTTGTCATCCACGCCCTGACGAAAACTAGGATGACACAAGCAGGGAACTTGACAATAATTGGCCTGCTCGAAAAGATCTCTTCCATGGGTGAATATGCCTCTTGCAGTGCCAAGATTCGTCATATTCTGAAACGGTTCTGGCAGAGGAATCCTCGGGCTTACATGGCTGCAACCTCCTCGCTAAGCTTCCCCTTTGATAGGGTCGATACGGCATCTCCTGCCGTTGATACCAGCGCTGAAAAGGACCTTAAGAAAAAACAAGCACTCGAAAGACAAGCAAGAGTCATGGCTCAGTTCCAGCAACAGCAACAGAACTTCTTGAACAACCAGGGTGACATTGATTGGGGTGAAGAAGATTTCAGTGATCTTGAGTCCGATGCAGAGTCTGCGGCTCCTCAGGCGAAGGTTTGGAAGTTTCCCAGTGGTCCTTGTATCCTGTGTCAGGAAGAGACCAACGATTCGAGGTTCTACGGCACATTTGCTCTTGTCCAAGACAGCGGTATTCTAAGGCAGACCTGTATTCAAGACTCCGATTGGATTCGGGAGGCTCTAAATACGCCTTCTAGCTTGGATAAGTCGGCCGAGCGTTTACGTCCTTTCGGAGTCGCGGGTGAGAACCGCACCACTGTGCGAAAGTTGGATTCTACGGGTGGAGAAGTCATCAGTGAAAAGATTGGACTCAGCAAAGGTTTTGACCCAAGACATACGCTGCGTGGACCGGTTACCACTGGTTGCGGACATATCATGCACTATTCATGCTTCGAAGTCTATTATACCGCCACACGGACAAGACATACCCAGCAAATCGCCAGGCACCACCCGGAACGCTTGGATCGCAACGAATTCGTCTGCCCTCTTTGCAAGGCTCTGGGAAATGCATTTCTTCCCATCACTTGGAAGGGCAAGGAAGTGACATATCCTGGTGCATTGGCTACTTCCATGTCTTTTGGCGAGTTTATGGCTGATGGGATTGAGTCGGCGCTCTCTCAGTTACAGAACTATACAATCCTCATGCACGGCGACCAACCACAGCTACAACAGTATCAAGATGTATTTCTGGACTACCTTTCGAGAACATTGGTTCCTCAATTAGCGTCAAGGATAAGCCAGCTCTTGAACCAGTTCCTAACATCTTCGTTTCCCCCAGCCGCGGCTTTTCGGCCGATTACAAGATTGGCGCTGCCTGGTAATTTCCCAGCTCCCGATGACTCCTTGGCAACGATAGGCTCGCTTCAGGTTTCTGGTTCCGGGGATAGCCCCATGGCGGAGCTTCTCCAGATATACAAGCGGCTTAAGGGAACGCTTGGACTAAATGGAATACCCTCTCTCTTCAATCATGCGTCGGATACACTGAATTCTGATGAATTGGTTCAGTCTGATTCTTTAATTCGAAGCTTTGGATTCAGCATTGCAGCTGTAGAGATTGCCCAGCGAGGCGTTGAATCTGAACCGGGCTCGACCCTGCTGGACAAGATTCCCCAATTGACACTCACTCACCTTCGTGTCTTGGCGGAGACAGCGTTGTCCTATTCTGCAATTGGTTTCCTGCATAGCGTTGGTAGCTTGAAAACTCGAGCCAGCCATGAATTTCAAGAAATGCACCGCCAGAAGCTATGTCAATTATTTTTCGGTCATCCTAGTGTGCGTGGGACACCACTCCTAGATGATTTCCACAGTATCGAGCCATTACTTACGGCAGATACGTTCGTATTTTTGGCCGAATGCTCACTTTCACTTCTGCCCGTTTTCAACGTCGATTTCCGCCACCTTATTCAACTATGTTACGTGGCGGAAATCATTAAGGTCGCTGCTACGTATATTCTGTGGCCCGCGGGCCTGAAGGAGGAGTTAGCTCAACATGGAGATGCTCATTATTTGTTGGATGTCGAACTGTCGGATGGGAGCTACGAGTGCACCAAGCATTTCTTCGATGCCATCGTTGCGGAACTGAGGGCAACCCCATCTCCAGCGAGTGGCTACGTCAAGGATGGTGAGCAGTCTGCAACTCCGGGTGTCATCATAGCATTGAGACGCCTAATTTCGAGCTATGCTTTGACATTCCTTCGTAAGACTATTATCTTACTCCACGTGCAACACGGCGTCGAATTTCCCAACACTGGCGTCACCGAAATGGACATCTCAGAGTTGGACCGTCTTACGGCAATCTTGAAACTCCCGACACTGGATGAGGTCTTTTCTTCGATTGTCACCTCCCGGGAAAACGGCGACCCACTCGCAGCCGTCTTTTCGGGGTGGATCTTTCACTGGGATGCCTCGCGTTCTGGTATCCGCGTTAATGATCATAGACTGGGTTTGAGCTTGCCTCACCCTGGGATCTTCGAGCTTGTGGGTCTGCCGAAATACTATGACAGCTTGATAGAGGAGGCAAATCGGAGACGATGCCCAAATTCGAAGAAGGAACTGAGTGATCCGAGTATATGTCTGTTCTGTGGGGATATATTCTGTTCGCAGGCCGTGTGCTGCACAGATAAAGGAAGCAATTTGGGTGGATGTAACCAGCATCTTCGGAAGTATGTCTTTCTGCCTCTTTTGTGTGCTTGTCTACCTGTCCTTGGAGTTATACTGATCCACTTTTCCATTATAGGTGTGGCAAGAATGTTGGATTGTTCATCAACATCCGAAAATGTGCAGTTCTCTATCTCCACAACAGCAACGGCTCCTGGCATTATGCACCCTATCTCGATCGCCATGGGGAAGTTGATCCGGGTCTCAGGCGAAACCGCCAACTCATCTTGAACCAAAAACGGTACGATCGTCTTCTCCGTGACGTGTGGCTATCCCATGGCATTCCAGCAACAATAAGCAGAAAGTTGGAGGCAGATATTAATAATGGCGGGTGGGAGACGATATGAGCAATTTAGAGAAAGGTTGCCAATAGAAGTCGAAAGTATGAGGATACTTGGACGGCTCATGCGACAGATCATTTCCTTCTTAGCATGACTCGGTTATCTATAACCCATTATTATAGGTCCTCTTTGTATTATTGCCGCTGCTTCTTTTTTCCTTTCTCAATCACCCTTGGGATTAGCTATGACTGCATTTATATACTACTATCTTTATTGTTCTGGTTGATTATGTCTGCTGTGTGCTAGTCAGAGCTTTCTAGGAGACCGAGGCAATGGGATATTTCCAATACCCTGTTTATCTAATTGTCTTGTTCTTTTATGTTCAAGTACATACGTGCTGTACTCTAGAGAAATATATCAGGAAGAGTCTGCCAAGCCATGCCGTCATTCCACTTTTGCTCGTCTCCGCATGATCTGAGCGTTGAAGGCTTAATTCAACCTTTGGATCTGAGATACTGCGAAATATCCCAAAACATGAGCACTTGCTAAGTGCTTTTTCTTTTCTATTTACTGCAATACTGTCAAGTTGCCATGCGACTGTTCCTTCCGTTTCGCCACCTGGACTAGCAATCGAATCTAATAATCGTTCTTGCTGTCAGCCGAGCTTTGCGCTTAATTCTTGTCACGTCGCAAACGAAAGAAAAAAAGAAAAAAAATTATCACCCGAACGAATGATGAATAACGAACAGTTTCGACGGCTAGTCCTTAATGATGCCTCATTGGGGAAGTCGTCCGAAAAGAAGTCCACAAGAGTAGATACAGCCGAAGGACGTGGGAATGGCAATGCTGGCACATCGAGATCCCCCAGTGCTCCCGGTGGTGGATTGCTGGGATCGAGAATGAGATCTAGTATCCCCATGACGCCGTAAGTTCCGGCCTTCCATTGAGTTTTGTAGGATTTCTTTTTTGGGGTGAAAACAAAACTAATCATACACAGTCGCTCAGTTACAGGAGTCGATTTCGCCCGCCAGCTTGCCGAGCACCGCCGCGAACAGACACAACCGCCCTCGAAACGATTCAAGTCCTCTTCAGCGCCGAAAGGAACGAAGCTCCCCTCTGGATACCAGGATCGAGCTCAGTTGCGCAAGTTGGAGGAGGAGAAGGATGATGTCGAGAAGCGGGTGAAGGCGCTTGAGGAAATGAATAAGCTTGGTCAGCTTGATCGAGAGACCTTTGAGAAACTCCGGACTGAGCTTGGGATTGGGGGTGATTTGAAGAGTACACATATGGTTAAGGGGTTGGATTGGAAGTTGTTGAGACGGGTTAAGGCAGGAGAAGATGTGAGCAAGCTTTCTGAAGAGAAGGAGCAGGAACCGCAAGCGGAAGAGGAAGGGGAGAAGGCTACTAGAACCGTTGAGGATATGGATGAGGAGTTTGATCGTGTGCTAGAGGAGAAGGAGAAAGAGCAGGTTATTGTTGCTTCTGCCCCGGGTGGTGAGAAGAAGAAAAAGAAGGGGAATATGGCGCCCCCTCCTCCACTGAAGCGATCTAGGGATGAGATTCTGCGGCAGCTTAAGGCGAGTCGAGCTGCTGGTTCTGGCGCTGGTGCTGGAGGAACGCAGGTGTCACCACCTGCTGAGTCTATGTTGGGATCTAAGTTCAAGAAGGTTGGCGATTCCAAGGCCGAGAAGAAGCGCTGGGTCGAGCAAGATGAACATGGAAGACGAAGGGAGGTTCTACTTGTCACAGACGCAGAGGGGAAGACAAAAAGGAAGGTCAGATGGCTTGATAAACCTGGAGAGTTGAATGGGAACAAGAACAGTGCCGGGTTATTGGTACCGAATAAAGACGCAAAGCCGTTGGGCATGGAGGTGCCTGCAGAGCTTCTTTCGAAAGCTCCAGCGCCTCCTAAAGACGAAGATGAGGATATATTCGAGGGTGTTGGCGCCGACTATAACCCGCTGGCTGGTCTCGAGGAGGATGACTCTTCAGACTCTTCGGGCGAGGATGAGGCGGCCCCTCGAGAACGAGTCGCCGAGAAAGCGCTGGCTGTCGAGGGCGAGAAGAAACTCCCAGCTGCACCATCTCAACCTCGTAATTATTTCTCTACGCCATCAACTACTATCGAGACTACAGAACAACTAGATCGCTCTAACCCGCTCACGAAAGACCCAACCATTCTTGCTGCGTTAAAGCGAGCTGCTGCCTTACGCCAAACCTCGCCCTCAGCCGGAAACGATGATGTTGAGGACGAGGAAGGTGTTGATTCGGAGATATTGCGGCGCAGGAAGAAATTCCTCGAGGAAGCTCGGCGCCGTGAGGCTCAGGACGCGATGGATTTGGATCTCGGGTTTGGGAGCAGTCGTATCGAGGACGAAGAGGATGACGAGGCCGTTCTCTACGAAGGACGCGGTGGGAGTAAGAAGAGGAAGCGTGGGCCTAAAAAGAAGAAGGGCGACAAGGATAGCGCTGCAGATGTGCTGCGCGTGATAGAGGGTAGAAAGAAATCTGGGGAGTAGATAGCATCTCCATGGTTGTATTTTCTAAATATACTCTGCAGCCTGAGGTGTACCTGGAGAACGTGGAACTGCCTCGATTAATAGTCTTTTCTCTGAACGGTCCGTTGACGTCGAAGTATGTAGGTAAATATAGATATATAGATATATTTTTGCCTCTGTCCTTTCAGCTCAACATGCATTCTTTCCTGGCAAACAATGAGCAATGGCGTAGGGCAATTGTTCCCTGTCTTGGTCTTGACTAGGCATCATCGACCACATTCAGTGTTTAAAGATAGCAGCAGCAGAAAGGGAGTCATGAGGGCAGCTCTACCTGAAAAAGGGCAGATTTTCCCGCATCGTCCCTGGACAAACAACGCGATTCATGGCTCGAGTCTGTTCCTCGCAGACCAAGTCGCTATCAGGCCGTGCGCGCAGGACGCCTTCATTCACTCTGGGTCCGCTTCACTCGTTCCTCTCCAACCGTCTTTCTCTCCTTTTTTTCCCTGTCCACGACGCGATTGTACGTAGGTTGGCAGGACAGAAGCTGGCTTAGGGCCGGGGTGGACTCGCAGGGTATAAATTCCTCCTCCCTCCCCCCTTTCTCTTCTTCACATCCTTACCATCCTGCACTCGTCCTGCCTCCTGCCCCCCTCTCCTCACTCATCTTCTCTCATCCTTTCCTTCCCTTCCTTCACCTGCTCATGGTTGTACACTGACTCATTTCTTCTGTCATATCATATCATGTCGTCTCGTCCTTCCCTTCGCATCCACGATCCCACCTTGTCCTTCCCCCTCCATGCGCCGACACGTCAACACGTAGACTCTTAAGACACGACAGTTCCGTCAAGGTAAGGACCAATGCATGTGGGCACTTGCATCTGGCTGCTATGGCCACCAAGGCCGTACAGGATCTGGCAGTTTGGTTGCAGTGTAAGTCCCATCTGTTCGTCTCGAGCAAGAGACACCACCTCCAGGTTCTCATTTTGCAGTCTGACGCGCGTCTCCGCCCTGCAAGCTGCCGTTGTAGATGGAACACCTACTGGAGAAGCACCCCTCTTTAGCATTGCCTTACTAGCCGAATGCAACTACTATGAGGACGAACGTGAAAGTGATTATTTTTTCACACCTTTTCAGGTACGTGGTTCTCCAGTGTGGCCTCATGGCGTATACTGACTGACAACGGACTTTGTTCTTTTATAAGCAAGTTGAATCTGTCCGGCTATACGATGCGCACGCATCAGCCAAGTCGATCAGCAGAACAATCTAAAAAGGTAAGCTTTGGATATCGAGGTTAAACAATCTTTCTGGCGGATATTGCAGGTTTTGCGATGCAGGCGTTGATTTGGCAGGAGTTGTAGTTTGGCCAAGATGACAGTCAAAGATGCATGACAATGATGACTGTACGAGTTATCATAATACGGAATGGAACCTAAAAGTGAAATTATGATTAATGTTTTTTTTTTTTTTTTCGAAAAACAATGGTCTATGAGAGACTGGTTTGTAGGACGAGTAGAATGAAGAAGCAGGAGAGAAGTCGGAGTTGCAGCTCTTTTCCCGCGTCGCACAGGGCCACGTGAGAGGCACACGAAATGACGCTGAGAGCAACCACCGCTGCTGAGCGTCTCATGGCATACTGCTCGAGATCTCAAGTATGTTACTGAGGAAACGGAGAATGGAGAATAAAGTGAAGTTCCTTGATTCTACTTGTTGATCAGCCGCAGCTAACAGCGCGCTAACTAACGATCTGTCATATCTAGCACCCGCAGAAGAGCTAAGAAGGCCCAAAATCGACGAGTCTGTTCGGTTCCTTCTTCCTCTTGATCGTTCAATATGAATAAATAAACAATAATAATGAGATGGACACGACCATCACCATGGAGACGGACTCGCAGTTCTCCTGTCCTGGGCGCAAACAACATTGCCAACGAATCGACGCGTCAGCGCCCGGCAGCCGCCCACCAGCAGAAGGCGTTCCCCCAGATTCTGGATGATTCAAAAGACAGTAGCCCATTTTTGGTTCTGGATTTCGAAGATCCAAGGTTGTCCGGGGCTCGGACTCTCTCGTCAGCCAGAGTTTCTGGGATAAATAATTATCCAGTACAGCGTAAGCCGCGCTCCAGGCACGATACACTGGTACAGTTCCAAAAACGCAGGGGAAAATGCTTATCCTGGCCTTGACTGGCTAGTGTCGTCGTTGTGCCTTGCGCGCGCTTTGCCACCGTCATCATCCCATCTTCAGGTGCTTGTGGCTTTGCTAGTCGTTTCGGAGTTCCCTGGAAGGAGACAATAAAAAGAGGATGGAAAATGAGATTTAAAAAGAAAATACTGAGAGAGTGCATGCGACATAAAGGGCTTCATTGAAATCTTGCTCGTTGCCGCTTTTTTGAATTTGTCGGCAGAGGGCAAAAAAAAAAAAAAAAAAACACTGGGAGCTTGTATAGCTTTTCCATTTCACGAAGATCCACCTTCCTGGAAGTTCCTGCAGACAGTTATTTCATTTACCAGGGATGCTGCTGTCTCACCGGGCCCAATGAATTTATTCGCCCACGTCAATATCAGCCCAACCGGGGAATCGCAAATGCGCAGGACTGGCCTGCATTGGCGGTTCTCCATTTCTCAACGGTCCAGACAGGCCGCATTCCAACCAGGTTGGGTAATCCCCTAATAACATTCTGTGGAAAGTTGCGAAATGGTTTGGACCTGAATCCGGTCTACCCATGGATCCGGAATGATTATGGCATTAGGCTCTACTTGCTCAGCACCCCAAGGTGGCGCCGATTTTGTGTATATATAGCCATGGAACTCATCCTCCATCGCCTCTTATTTCACTTCCTCGTCATCTGTCCTTTGGCAGTCAGTCCTTCTCTTTCCATCGAAACGATCGCAAGTCGATTTACCTGTGCTGAGCCACCAGTCCATTCCTTTAAACAACTCTCATTTACTTTCTTTCCCTCACGCTCCTTATCTGAATTTCAGCTCCCAGTTTGACACTGGACTATATATACCTCAAAAACGACTCAACATCTTGAGACGCAAGATGGTTTCCTTCACCAAGCTCGTCACGGCCGCTCTTCTGAGCACCTCGACCTTCGCAGCTCCCCTCAACATCTTCCAGAAACGCTCTGGCAGCAAGCGTGGCGCTGCATACAAAGAGGCATCCCTCGTCTCTGCTCTGACCAACGGTGGTGCTGTCTCTTGGGCATACAACTGGAACTCAAGCCCAGACGGCGATCTCCCTCCGGGCGTCTCTTTTATCCCTATGCTCTGGGGTCAAAAGTCCCTCGACGGCTGGTCATCGGCTGTCCAGAGTGCACTCTCGTCCGGCAGCAAGTACATTCTCGGCTTCAACGAACCGGACCTGCCCTCTCAGGCTAACATGGCCGTTTCGGATGCGGCCTCTCTCTACCGGGAGAACATCACCCCTTACGCCGACCAGGCGACTCTCATGACCCCAGCCGTGACCAACGGAAACGCACAGAACCAGGGACTAAACTGGATGTCATCTTTCCTTGAATCCTGCAGTGATTGCAAGGCCAGTGTGATGGCTATTCACTGGTACGGAACCGATGCGGACGACTTCAAGAATCACGTCACGAGCGCAGTCACTCTCGCCCAGCAGCATGGAATCCAAGAGGTATGGATCACGGAATTCGGCGTCAACGATATCTCCCAGGCTGCTTCTTTCCTTCTCCAGGTTCTGCCCTGGCTCGACTCCCAGGAGGGAGTTGGTGGTTATGCCTATTTCTACTGCGCTAGCGGATATCTCCTTGACGGTACCGGTCTCAGTGCTAGCGGCCAGGTCTATGCTTCCAGCTAAAGTTGCTTTCCTCATTTCTGTTTTCCTTTTGGGCTTTTTATGATACCAATCTCAAGTGCTGTTCTTGTTCGGACTTGTTGTATCTAAATACTTTAGTACATTAAGTGAAAAAATTTTTTACTGCTAATTTTCTGAGCCGTAGAAAGAAAATACCCACCACAGCAAGCGTTTCAGAAAAGAAAAAAAAGTTTGACAGATTCGATTCTAGACCGCTACATCTCCACATGTGGATATTGTCCAGATGCTGTCCATCGAAGGCACATCGAACGTTAGACGTGGACCGCTGCTGAGGGGCTCCGACCAATAATGCCTTTTGCCGGCATGTAAGCGTGCACTTGAGACGATGTATGGAGTACAGGGAAGAGAGGCATAATATTAAGCATTGTGCTGTGGTTTATCAAGCAGGATTATTGTAATTAGAACTGTCTGGTTCATTTGCCTATTTGCCTGGGAATGTATATATGTACTATGTAGTGTGGATGGACCAAGCAAGGTACCTGACAGACAAGACGCAAGGGGGCTGTCACGGAATGGGAGGAAAGGATTTAATTGGAAACTTGACAATATACATCGTAGATTTTACTTCCAAGCCAGGTGCATCCGTGGAAAGGCTTTGTACGTGGATACATACTACAATGACTTTATGCGGGATGCAAAGATGGACCGAATAATCCGGGCCAGACTAAAAGCGACAACAACCAGGTCCTGCATATGTAAATACATACAATAATAGTTCAGGGTATCCTTTTTAAATGATCAATAAGAAAATGTCGATGATATCCCCCCTCCCGGAGAATGTTACTGACTGATCATCCATGTTCTTGTACGAACAATGAACAGTCCAGGGAAAAGCGGAATCCAATCAACCCAACGCCAACGCAATGCCAATGCCAAGGCCAAGGCCGTCGATAACTAAGCACCGTTGGTGATGGTAGCCTATTCGGGTGCATTCGACAATTCTCCGTTCGGAGTAGTCCCATTCATGTTCACGTTTCCGTCCGCGTCTGTAGAAGTAGGGTTTGCTGGCGTTACTGGGTGATCACCGTTGACAACTGCTGTCGCCGTGGTGGCATGGTTGTCGTCAGCAGCCTCTTCGGGCTCCTTATCTTCGCTGACCTCCTCCCATACTCGGACGGTCCTATCCAGACTACAGCTGGCCATGAGTCGTTTCCCACCTATCGAACACGTGTCGACTCCCAGCACCACATCCGTGTGTGCCTCGATTCGTTGAAGTATCTTCTTGCTGACCACATCCCAGCAAAGCACTGACCCATCCTCGCTCCCACTCACAGCGAAGGCTTCGGGTGGTCCATTGGGGGCACTGTAAACACCGAACCCGCCAGATATGCTGTATTTCCGATTCGTATGGCCCTGATACGTCTTTATGCATCGCCCTTCCACGTAATTCCAGAGACGGACACAGTCGTCCAGCGTCCACGCGAGTACGAATTTCCCGTTGGGAGAGAATTTAACCGCCGTCACCGGCGGATTGTCTTCATGAACTAACGTCCTAAGGCATTGCCCCGTCGCGGTGTCCCACACGCGAATTAAGCCGTCCAACGCGCAGGAAACTATCAGTGTGCCATCGAAAACGACATCAACACCGGCTACAGGGTCCGAGTGTGCAGGGAGAGATCGCATAACCGTCGCAGATCGTACGTCCCAGAGAAATACTGCTTCGTCGTAGGATCCGCTGACTAGCATATTACCCTTCGGCGAGAAGGCAATTTGGTAGACGTAATTATGATGGCCAACGAACGGAACTGGGTGCGCTTTGCCCTGGATAAGAAGGTTAAAGTCAGTTCTGGGAGGGTATGGGCTGATGAATGTTCGACCAGACAAATGGCACCTACCGTCAACACATTCCACAGACGAATTGTCTTGTCATCCGACCCCGAGGCAATAAGCGCATTATCTGGACCCCACGAAATAGTGGAAATCCCGGCCAAGTGGCCTTCGAATGTGTGTATAAGCTTTCCGGATAGTGTGTCCCAGACCTTAACGGCCCCGTCGGCGCCTGGATAAAGATCTATGAGTACAGTGAAATGTAACGATCGCTCACGTGGAAGAAAAAAAAAAAAAAAAAAAGACATACCACCGCTAGCAAGCATCGATCCATCTCGCGAAAATTGAACAGTGGAAACCCCTCGCAGGTGGCCGCGTAGCAGGAATTTCCGTTTGTAATTCAACCGCTCGGGCTTTGGTGGAGGGGGCGGAGGGACAGGAGTCTCTGCTGGAATAGGCGTAGGTTCTGAATGATCTACAGGCTCTTCTTGTGGTGATATCTTCTCCTCGTCGTTTTCTTCTTCAACCGCTCCGTAATCATTGTCGCGATCGTACGGTTCAGCGGATTCGCTTCTGCGGCTGCTCCGCGACAAAGAACGGCGACGACTGCTCGGCCTACCATTCTGCTGGGGAGAAGATTGTCGCGCTTTCCGTCCCCAATAGACATCGGCATCGACGGCTAATTCATCGGAGCTCTCCGATTCACTGAATCTCCTCGGATGAGGGTAGGTCCGCTTGGGCGTGTAGACGGCTTTCTTCACCGTCCAGCTGGTCCTGCGACGCTCAGCCTCCTCATGGTCGGAGGTTGCGGCGAGTTCATCGGAGGAAGACTCTGCTGGGGAACCGGTGTATCCATTATCGAGACGACGGCGCTTGGGTGGATGATCGAAATCATCCATGCTGAGGGCAGGGAAAATGGTTCTGGCCCAGTGCTGTCTTCTCCCAGCTGAATTGCAGCGAAAAGCATTCCTAAGAATCAAGACAAGATCTCCGAACAATCTTGACGTCCGCGAAAAGACGCGGGCAGCTCGTGTTGGCCAATGACGTCGGCGGGCGGTGCGGGCGGTGAGGGAGGGAATACGTAGTTCCCGATCAGGTAATCAGTCAATCTGGCTTCAACTTTGCCTCTTCCGGGAAGCTCTCTGCATGCTGCGGTTTGTTTGCACTTCTTTCTCACCGAACAAAGGCAGAACAGGATTATGGCCTCCGTTACACCCCCTGTCGCTCACGCCTATCCCCCTTCACCTGCCACCCCGTCCCAAATCCGCATCTTGACCCTTAACTGCTGGGGTCTCAAGTTCATCGCCAAGTACCGCCACGAACGCCTCTCAGAGATCGGTCGCCAACTGGCCCTTTCAGACCCCCCGCCGGAGATTGTCGGACTGCAAGAATGCTGGACGCAGAAGGACTACGAAAGCATCCGCGACCAAACCTCGCATATCCTCCCCTACGGCAAGTTCTACTTCGGTGGAATCTTCGGTGCAGGATTGGCTATCCTGTCCAAATGGCCTATTGAAGAGAGCAGCATGGTTGCCTACCCCTTGAACGGGCGGCCAACTGCTTTCTTCCGGGGAGATTGGTTTGTCGGAAAGGGCGTGGCCTGTGCAAGGATCCGGTTCGGCCCAGGCGCGCAGGATGTAGCCGAAGTATTCTGTACGCATCTCCATGCTCCATACGAGAAGGAACCGAACGACTCGTACATCTGTCATCGGACAGCACAGGCATGGGAGATCAGCAAGCTTATGCGTGGCGCTGCGGAACGCGGGCACTTGGTTATCGGATTGGGGGATTTCAACATGATCCCTTCTTCCTTCGCTCATCAGTTGATCCTGGCTCACAGTCCGGTCAAGGATGCCTGGCAGTGTCTCCATCCGGATTCGTCACTGGGAGCTGCGATCGATACCGTTGAACAGAAACGAGGTCGTCCCATGCCCACAGCAAGCTTTAATATCGTCGAAAACGGCACAACCTGTGACTCCGCATTCAACACCTGGCGATGGTCAAAGGCCCTGCAGAAGAAACTTGATAAGGGTGAAAATGTCACGATTGCGGACGACGTGCCTGACCCTCGAGCCAAAAGGCTGGATTATATCTTCGTCGGAGACGGGAGGAATGCTTCCTTTCCTAAACCTAGATGGGCTGTCTCCGAAGCGAGAATGTCCATGACACAACGACATCCTACGCTCCAATGTTCCCTGAGCGATCATTTCGCCGTGGAGGCACTTATAACACGTGTCCCGGATTCTACAGACGCACCGAGCGAAAATAATAATACTAATACTAATACTAATGATAACAGCAACACCCCTCAAGAACCATCCATGCTGACCCCCCTCACCCCGGATACCTACGAGCTCATCCTTGACATGATCCACAAATACGTCCAACGCGAACGCTCCCAACGACGCTGGCGTCTCGCCCATTTCCTCCTCTCCGTTTTCGTCTCTATCGGCTGTTTCATCGGCGTCTGGTGGACAGGACACCATCTGGCCTACGTCGCATTTATTCTGATGATCGTTAGCACGCTGAGTTTCGGGGCTGGCATCCTGGATGGATTGATCGGTGGGTTCTTCGTTTCGAGCGAGTTGAGGGCGCTCAAGGAGTTTGAGTGGGAGGTCAGGAATGCAAAGAGGATTGCGGAGGACTTTGCTGCTGTTGGGGTTAAGGAGAAGATCACCGGTGTATAATATATGGTAATATCTTGGGTCAATCCATTGCTGGCAATGGAGTTTTGGTTTCTGGTTTCAGGGAGTTTTTATGGCTTGTGCATATGCATTTTGGGGCTTGTCGTTATAGATATATGCAGCTCTACAGACTTTTTCTTCCCTCCTATCTTGAAGGTTAATATTCCATGGCACTTCAGAATCTTACTAAGCAGGTAGACTCCGAGATCAGCAACCCGTCGACCTGACACTCAAGACTGCCGTAGTACGCCCTCGCTTGCCCTTTTCCCTCGCGAGCCTCAGCCTGCCTCCTAGACAGACAACCATCTCTTACATTGACAGCGTGGGCCAATTTGTCTCTATTCGCTAGTTTTCCGCACCACTCTGGTGCCTAGATAGCAGTATGTACATACATACCTAACCCAATTTAGAGCAGTGTGTTTCCTGATAGGATGCAGGAAACGGCCGGATGCCTGGGATTTTCTCTTATACCTGTACTTGTACGCTGCTCTCATTGTAATATCAGACTGTACAGATTTACATGTCCACTTCGTTAGAGAAGGATAACTACCAACGATTAAAGTAGAAAGATTCAACGGCAATACTTGATTCAGTTGAAACTAAGACCAAAAAGACAGCATAACATTCATTCCCGGATGCTCATGAAACGACATTCCCTGCATTGTATTTACTCAGCACACTCACGCTTGCGCTGGTCAATGACCTTGAGGGCCTCCTCGGCAGCCTTTACACCGCTGAGGGTCATGGCACCGAAAGTCGGGCCCATACGGTTGGAGCCATCGATCTCTGACAGCTCCATACCACCGATGATGAGACCCTTGGTGACCTCACGGGTGCCCTTGACGATGGCATCCTCGGCCCGATTCATGTCCAGACCGCGCATGCCGCCGAGCTTCTCGATCGTAGCCATGGAGACAAGTCTCTTAGCGGAGAAAGCACCGAACGGGCCGTCGTGGCCAGTGGTGCTGATGACGAGAGGAGCGTTGATGGTATTGGGGTCCATGCAGGAGTGGTCGTCGTGGTGCTGAGCGACCAGGGTCCAGTTCACGACGACACCAGCAATGGTGGGGGGACCAGACTGGGAAGGACGGGTGATCAAGTCCTCAACAGCAGTGGCGTTGAAGAGCTTGACGTTGGGGAAGGAAACAACCTTGGACAGAAGGGTCGAGGTGAACATGGCGGCGTGTCTGACGACAACAAAGTTCGGGTTGCCGGGTTCTTCCTCATAGGGAACGCCCAGGTCGTTCAGGAAGGCGTCGGCAGGCTTACGCAGGACCATGGCAGAGAAGAGCTGGCCACCGAGCCAGGCACCACCGCCTATATTCTTAATCAGTTATGTTTTGACATTTGTGAGTGACATTCGAAAGCCATCAAAGCTACTAACCAGGAGAAACAGCAGCCTCAATGATAGCAATCTTGAGGTCAGGACGAGCCTTGGCCAGCACGTAAGCAGTGCTCAGACCGCAGGAACCAGCACCGATGATGACAATGTCACTCTCAGCGTACTTGTCGAGGTCCTGGAAGTAGCGTCTGGTCATGGCCCGGGAGACCTGGCTCTCACGGATAGGCGCGAACTTGAAGTCATCCCACTTGTTGGCAAAGGCATCGAGCAGCTTAGTCTCGGGAGCATTGCCAGAGACTGCAGAAGTCTCCGTGGCCAACACCTTAGCCTTCAGGGTGGTGATGGGGGTGTCAACGGACTCAACAAAGGCAGCAGGGGGAGACATTGTGACAGTATTCAAGTGACGACTGTAACTTGTTAGCTATTTCCGCATGCAATTAAGCATAGGAAAGTAAGAAGGCATGATCCTTTCGCTGGTGTTATCCAGATCAAGTTATGGCCGTATAATCTCAGAACGAACCCAGGACAATTGCTTGTCCTGGGAACGAACACCGGCCCATGCCCAGAATTTACCTGAGATACCTTGATCACTGAATGATAAACGCAGCCAAAGCGTATCCATGACTTCCATACTGGAGAAGGAGCAGGGAGTGATGTACTTTGGTAGGGTTTGGATGTCCTGGGAGTATTCGATCGTTAGCGGATGCCCAAGATTCCAGGGATATAGGGGTTAGAACCGTACGACTTGTGAAGGCTTGGGAGTGAGATGTCAGTAAGGAACTGGATGACAGAATAAGAGAGAAGAGAAGAAGAGAAAGGAGGGAAAGGCGGATGTCTTTATATGGGAGAATCCGGAAGGGCAGTAATATGACAGCGTCCGTACCTGGCGATGTGTGGGTGCTGTCCAGTACGGTATTGATACGAATCCATACGCCATCCGTAGCTGGGGTATTGTATGAAAACAGCGTTATTACTGTACGATGACAACCCCTCCATCTGCCCCTCCTTCGCTGCGGCCGACAACATCCCGAAGAACTCCACTTTGCTGGAATCCACGAATCTCTTCGGGCAGCAGCTGTTGGTTAACCTTCACGAGTACCCGCTAGCGAGAGTTTCGTAGCGCTAGGCCTTGCAGCAATCATAGAGTCAATGGTCCGGAATGTCTGGTTCTGAGGTCATCTTGACAGCATGCACTGACCGAGTGGTTGATCATGGCTGCAGTTCTGCATACACCAAGCAGCCGAGATGCCAATCATGCAATCGTACCGATAGGGTTGGCACGAAGGAGGGCATCTTGATGTCATACCATTCTCGCCGGTGGAGATAAGAGGTATCCCGTCGCGAGTGAGTCCACCGGCAGATGGGGCTTTCGGTGCATGCAGCCAGGATGTTCATTGCCCTTTACGTGCGATTGGGGTCCAAAACAATGTATCAGCTGTCCGAACACCGGTATCGGTTGAGAAATCTATGGTATGCAAGAACATCATCCCATAATATCCACGCCCACTCGGACTCCGTAGTCTCCCTCGGGCACATGGATCCAGTTCTTCTTTCCAGTCTTCTCGATCTTTTCCCCGGTATCCCGGAGAGAGTCCCGCATTGTCTCTGTTAAAACCGTATCGGTGCCATCCAAGATGATTCTGAGGCAGAGCATATCGTCCCTGCCTTTCTTCTTGGTCACAATATCCCAACGCGTTTCTAACCGCACTCGCCAATTATCCTTTGGGACCAGGCCGGAGGGGTAAACGATCCCTATTAATGACGCTACTCGACCGAGATACTGGCACCACCATCTCTCCTGTGCAGATAGTAACTGGTCCAGACGGTACTGAAACATCTCCTCGGCTGGTGCCAGATCTCCGGACCATCGCTCGCAAAGGATGAGTGCAACAATAGCGCGGTCAACATGTGTAAGGCTGTTTGTTGATGCCAAGATGCCCGTAGTTGTGCTATGGAGGGCAGCCGCCGACCTGGATTCCCTGGGGACTCGAGAATGTGCAAAGAGGAGATTCGAAAGGGCCGCAAGGAGATTCGGAGAGAACGATTCAGGTGGGCATCTGGATGCAATGAGTGAGGACGTCTCCGGGAGTGCTGAGATGAGTAGTTCCTTAATGGCCTCCCTGGATGGCGGAGCATACGGTGATGTAGCAACCAACAAAGGATCTTGAGCCCGGATCTCAGCAGGAAGTTTATCGAAAAGAAACCCTTCTCGTACACCGCCCTGACAGAACTGGATGTTCTTAATCACTGGCAACGCGTCCATTAGGACATTCACGAGCAGTGCGATGGCGGGCATCTGCGATTCTCGCCGCTTCGAGACACCGAATATCTTGACGTCTTTCTTCGAAACGATGTCCATCACTGTAGATGTATCGTAGAATTCTCCCCTGCTTGTTCTGTAACCGTTCACTATGGGAATTGGATAGGCGCCAAATTTAGACTGGCTCATGAGAAGATATCCCCAGCCTCTGAACCCCCCGCCGCAGAGATACAGGTCAAATCCTCCCCGGCGCTCTGCAGCCTGCAGAAGACTCGGTGGCACCTCGAGCTGCCGGTAGGCATGTTGAAAATTATTCTTCATCTCGTCCCTCAACTCCTGTTCCGCTTTAGAACCTTTCCCCTTTCCCCTTCCCTGCACCTGTTCTAGCCTCCTAGTCAACGCTGCAGCGCCGTAAGGAAAGCTAAATGAACCTCGGGGAGAGGTCGTGATGACTCCATCCTTCTCAATCATCCAAGTAATCTGCACACTGCCACCACCCATGTCCATAACCAACCCGGCAACAGAGGCTGAGCTGCTCGCGACTCCCATTGCTCCCAGACGCCCCTCATCTTCCTTGGAAAGTATTCTCACTTCCCATCCCGTGCGATCCTTGATCTGCTTGCGAAATTCTTCTGAATTAGGAGCGGTCCTTGTTGCTTCAGTAGCGAGCACATGCACGTTGTCTGGTGGTACCCCGAAATCGGCACAGATGGTCTTGAAATGCGACAGTCTGGTCACAACCTGCAGCATAGTCGACTTGGGGATCAGCCCTTGCGCCGTTACACCCTCACCATCCGTTCCACTCCCAGTAGTGGAGAACCGGGCATCGTAGAGAGATATACCAGCTCTATCTTGGTAAACTATTGGCATGATTCGAGCTGTAGATGGGCACATGTCAGTGATAGAGAAGCGGATGCCATTACTGTGTTGAACGTCAGTTCCAGTGTATTCATGAATGGTTCCAATCCAACTCACCTCCCCATATCCACAATCCCGTAGAGGTTGGGGTTGATAACATTCTCAATTGCAGACATGGTTTCAGCACCTTTAGAAGCAGAATGTACGGAGTAGTGTTCTTAATAAGGATTGCGCGTGGCGGAGGGAAACCTGCACAGCGGCAATTCTAGGCAGCGGGCACTTCCATGATCTGCACAATGACCCGCACCCCGCGTTTTTAACGAAGGTCGAAAGGCTCAGGTCGCTGAGGAACAATGAAGATGAATCTCTCAGGCAACTCAACTTCCCTCCAGGTTAAGTGACCTCTTGGCACCAAGTCACATGGTGTTTTACCTAACCGAGGCAGTCGTAGGCAGCTGCAGCTTCTAGCTACATTCCAAGATTTCTTTACTGTTCTGTCCAAGCGATAACGCTTGGTAGCTTGCAGATAATTATGCCATGGGTCTTTAGATGGTTAAACTGCGACCCATCAGTGCGCAATGTGAGTGTAAATCGCCCTGTTTCGCTTCTTGTCTCCCCATATAGATATTGTCAACTCCCTTTCTCACTCAGGTCAGTTAGAAGCCACCCTCTAAACCCAACAACGCATCTCCAGCTACTACTGAACTGGGACTAAAGTTATTGTACGCGGGAATTGACCCGCAAATCGAGTACGGATCCGACGAACACCTTTTATTGAGACTGCCTAGCTGATTTAGACATGGTAGTATCGTTGCAGTCCATGGAGCGAATGCACATCGCGTGAAGTCATGGACTGCTACGAACGGGGTTAATTGGCTTCGTGATCTATTGCCGCTTGATCTTCCGCAGACCATGATATATACATGGGGCTATGATTCGAATGGGGGTCACTCGTTGGAAGATATATCCAAGGACCTCATTCGTGATTTACAGGAAAACAGGGCTGTAGCAAGTGTACGGATAACAGCATCTGGTGATTTACAATAGAAAGGGAATCTGAGACTGAGTTCCCCGTCATTGTACAGATACGCGGACGTCCGATCATATTCATTGCGCATAGCCTGGGCGGTTTAATAGTCAAAAATGTAAGTAACCACCTACTAACTGAACATTCAATTGCTAAGCCCATGTTGTAACTAACTACGTGTATATCTGCAGGCTTTGCTCTACTCCGCCTCAGCCCAGGATGGTCCCGAGGAGTATAACGCTATTAGACAGGCGACATACGGAGTATTATTCGCGGGGACACTCGAGCTAGGTCCCAGCACGAGTGGATTAGAGGCTCTCGTGGCGAGTAGTTGTAATTCTGGGATCTCCCAAACGGCCCCGAGGGATCCAATCTTCCAGGAAGCATATTTCACACTCACGTTATTAAGGGAATATGCCCGAATCAGCGGGGATTTTAAAACTGTATACGTTAGTGAAACGGTTCAGGTTGCATCGTCTCAAAATTCCCAGTTAGATGCAAGTGTCTACATCATTTCTGTTTCAAAAATTTTTTGGTTTGATTGCTAATATTGCATCCAACAGACAAGTGTAGCGGAATCGTTGACTAAACTGGAGAGCGCAAATGCAGCTTCCATTTCGATTAATGCCAGTCATGGAAATATGATAAAGTTCGGTTCATCATCGGACGACGGATATTTGAAATTTAAAGACCTTCTTACCGTTATGGCGAGGGATGCTGGAGAAAAGCTTCGCTTAGGGACGAAATAGGATGCCCTCCATATCCATATCCATTCCCACATGATCTTGACCCAAGATAGAATGTGTTTTTTGCAATGTCAACGACGACCAAGCATAATGTCCCTTACTCCCGCCAAAAAATAATACCTTTCTCGTAAAGCCCAGTAATTATCCCAACTCCACGATCTACATCTCGCATAGCCGTCGTGCTCGAGCCAAACTCCCTTTTTGTCACATATACATTCTTCAGACCGGAATCAAGCGTCCACTCAGCCACCCAGCTCGGAGAAGCGCCTATCAAGCAATTGCCCAGATTGCGCGCATCATTGTTTATACACTTGTTTCGACTTTTGATGACCTTCTCTAGGGACGGTGGATGAGGATGTCCCGCGATTAACAGTGTACCTCTCTTGTCCGTGGACAGATTATCCGGCATAAACGGTACATTGATCACACAGAATTCTCGAAGGGAGCGGTCAGGTTGGATGTTGTATAACCTGACGCTAGAGGTGCTGGTTGAGGCCACTGCAAGTGTGGACGCATTTAGAAGGGTGACGCCATTTGCGAATGGGACGTGAGCCACAGGCCGGACTGATGGTGAGGAATCGGAATCGGAATCTCCAGCTGAGAGATTCACGTAGACAAGAGCGCCCCAGGGAATTCCGGCGTACGTTTCTACCTTGGCCAGCCACGGGTTCTCCCTCGCGAGGTAATAGTGGTCATTGCTAACGTACAACTCGTGGTCGCTAAGGGCGGCAATGGCATTTGGCGACCTGAGGAATGGGCTAATGATTGTCCTTGTATGCTTTGCAACTGGCTGAGTAGTGGAGGAGTCGAGGTCTAACGAGAATATCTCTAGTCGTGAGCCGTCATAGTGATGATTGCAAACAAAAAGGGTAGAGCTAGGTCGGTGGTACTCAACGCCGAGAGGATGGAACTCCTTCCCCCCAGGAAAATCAAGCAGTTTAATCGGCGTAAGTTCCTCAGATGATCCAGAGAGTCGACCAGCCGAATGGTGATACCTGTACAGCAGCAGCTCGCCGGGCGGGATCGAAGAAAGATCGGACGCGAATGTCCCCATGACAGTGTTGTACAGGTCTCGTCCAGCATCGCAGCTGAGAATGGCGATGCCATCCTCTTCGACAATCAGGCCATCTTCGCAGTTCCTAATTCGATCGCGGAATTTGACTGAATGGTCCGTCCATGTTCGGATTTCCGTGATTCTCTCCGGTCTGTTTGCAAAGAAGAGCGACAGCACCTGGAGGCGAGCAAAAATATACGGATAAATCGCTGCAAGGATAATAATGCCCTGGTAGTGCTGTTAGTTGAGTGAGGAGAATGATAGGAAATACGAGGAGCAGATGAACGCGACGGCCGTCGTGTTGGATCTTACAATGGCAGATTTCAGCAGAAAAGAGGGATGCGCCATTCCAGCCGGATTTGGTTTCCAATGTTATAGTAAAGCCAAGCTAAGGCCTATTCCGGATGGTGTTTTGGCTCTGTTGAGAGTTCCTATGTTCTATTTGACCCTTCTTCGCATTCATGCATAACACATGATTATTTCTCCGGGATGCCTAAAATCCTGCTTACAGTTATTACATAATTACATAGGCCATTCCTACGGTCGTCGATTGTTCTAACTTCCCCGGTGCAACTACCTCAGACGACGTTGCATTCTACCCCGGATTCGCCCATGGTCAGGGTTCGCCGCCAGGATCGGATGGATCCGAGTCCACAATAATGCAACCTTCCAACAGTGGTTGATGTGGGGGAGAGGCGAGTTCCTCACGCTGTTCTACGGTAGATATGCGGAGTTACTTTGCCGGATATGGAGTGATTGCGGAGGGCTCTTAGGTCGCGTTACCGATTTGCTGCATTATAATTGGCATATGTAGCGCTCTGGGGACCGGTTGTCTCCTTGCACAATGTCACTGGGAGAATGGCAATATAGCTGATTCACTACAGTGGCAAAACAGACGCAAGCAGCTAGTTCATCATGCATATGGACTCGCAGAGATACAGAGACGTACAATTGAAGGAGAAAAAAATGGCGGAGATAAATACTTGCTGTTTCCTCATGTGCTTTGGTGATGACGCAACAGTATCCATCCCGTGAGAGGCATTGCGTTCGTAGGCGCTGCTGCACGCGCATAATAGGACCATCGATTTCGCTAAGCAAATTCTCTATGGAATCCTCGGGACTCATGGGCTTAGTCTGCCCACCAACAGCCAAGACTGGCCGAATGAGGCCTATGTCCATGTGCTCCACAAGTTGCTGCAATCCCACATCAGAGCTGCATTCTTCAACGTCAGCAGCTAAGTTGGCCTTGCCATCAGCTGGCAAATATCGGAATGTGCTGTCGAGGAATCAGGTCGTATCATCACTCTCATGTCTTGGTATGTAAGCAGCAAGTCTTCTCCTGACACTGGCCTGTAAATGGTAGCTGGTGGCATCATTCGGTGCATCATTAAGGGGATAGTCGGACAAAGATCGCTCCATATTGCCAGACAAGAAATGCCAGAAGAGCAAGAAGAATTGGCACAAACAAAGGTTATGATTGATCGACGAAATCAGATTGCTGGACTGGTCATTGATTGAGCAATTGTCTAGTACGGCGTTGCGAGGCGCCTTCCCGGCAAGGACGCCACTGGCTGACTGCTATGTATGAGGAAAAGGTAAATGATCAACGTACGAAGTGTGGATGCAACACTGACAGATTGAGTTATTGATTTCTCGTAATCGTGAGGTTGGATACACAATGAGGAAGGCTAAGATGGGGGAGAACCAGACGAGGACGGATAGGTTGGAGGTCTCTGATGAGGATATACTAAGTATTTCGGACAGATGGATTATCTAATAATCCGGCCTCGGGATCCAGAATATATATGTTCCGGGAGAAGAGACGACCAAGCCCTAGCAACCAACAATATATCGCACAATGGCAGATCATTTCCGCTGGCCCTTGGATGTAAATGAACAATGCTGGCTTTAAAAGCACTATCTGTGTGGGTCAAAGCCCAGATGACAGTATCCCCTTGGAACTGATGTGTGCTCCTTCCCTCTATCAACACTAACTGCATTCTACATCCCCACACCGCAGCCAGTTTAGCATTTGTGGGCTATGGCTTGCAATAGACTCAAGGTGAAAGCCCGGATTGAGGTGGACAGTCCCAAGCTGATTATATAATGTACTTACTTCCAATCTGGATTTAGTGGTACTCTGGACACTGCTAAGAGAGTTCAGTAACATCATACTGACTTGACAGGAGACCTTGTGTGACGTTACCAAAACTGGATACTGTGAGAGGGTCTTATAACTATAGTTTCAATAGGTCTAATCTTACCCATATGTAGACCTGCATGATGGTACCCAGTTTGCCATCTCCTCAGTCAGTGAAAGGTAATACTGAATAGTGAACGGCTCACACTGGCTGCCAAATCAGCCAAACACTCTCCCCAGACTAGCAAGACCTCTCTGCTCGATATCCAGCAAGGGAGAAAGGACGTTCCTTCCCTAAATTTTGCTCAAGTAAGGTTCTATGTACCTCAGTATACAGCAGCAACTTTCACTACGTTTCGATTTAAAGAAAGTAACGTAAGGTGAGCTTCTACTGTAACTTGCCGGTCTCCTCTTCCAGTGGACGGATTTACCCATTTTCCTTCCTACTCACCAAGTTCTCAGTGCCGTTGGCAATGATATCATATTGACTATTCATTTTAAGCCATAGCTCTCATAGCTCCCCAGGAACGAAAATTGCAGTCGTGGAGATGCGGCATGTGAGCCTGGTACTACTGTAACCGTGGCTGGGAGCTTGTGGCCTAGCTCAAATGCTTACAACATCTGGCACTTTGCTTTCAAAGAGCTTGCTAATGAGGCCAAACTAGGCCGTTAACTTAGCTGTTGTGCTTTTGATACGAATGCAATGCCCACTTCCCAATAGCAATTTGTGGCTCCTACCAGAAAGTGGCTACGCCTCATATCCCTTGTTCATTGATCAATTTGAGGCTATTTTCAACCGGAATCAGGGCTAGACATCAACTGCATATGTGATCTACAGATTGACAATAATTCATTGAATGTACAGCTCTGCCCGTCATCTAGACAGAACAACTATGCACCAAGTCAAATGCTCGCTGAAGGAATCACCAGTCTTCTGGTATACCTCCTTCCCTCGGAACCTCCCGAGGAGCTGGAGATCCAAAATTAATTGGTAGAACAAGTACTCTGAGTCGCTCCGGAGCGACTCAATGTCCCCGCACTACGTGAAGACCGAAGCTGTTCGGCGCGTATGCTCTGTTGATTCGTCACAGCTTGCCGAAGATGTCGAGTGACGGGGGCGGGCTCTTACTGTCGAGCTCTGAATCGAGCATCCCAATGGAAACACCCAGGTCGTCATCGTCGTCATCGTCAAGGATCGTGATGTTTGTGATGACACGGCCGTAGAGGACACCGAGATTGTCCTTGTCAAGTTGATCGCGGGGGGTGATGAGCGCACCGAGGCTGACGAGACAGCGGTTCATCTTGGGATAAGAGACAATTTCTGCTCGGTTGCATTAGCAATGGCCTTTTGGTGTCTTGCAGGTAAGCGCAAAGTGCAAGGTAACTGATCCTTCTCTCAACCCAGGATAGCATTCGCGGGATGCTTGGGGGATGAGGTGCGGGTTGATAAAAGAGCAATTCTCGGAAAGGGTAGGTGGGGGTCAGAGAGGTCAAGACGAAAGGGCTTCACTCACTTGCAAAGGCTCCTGAGCTCGGGCCAGAAGAGCAAAAGGCATTGTATCTATCATTGACTAGAGAGTAAACGTCGGGCTGGTCCCACAGGTTGATGGCGCAGACTATCTTGCTGGCGTCGGTAGAAGTACCCCCAGAAGACGTGAAGCTCCAAGACCCGGAAGCGTCACCCCAGTCATTCCAGTCGGTAGCGGAAGAAGGGTTGGCGATACCATACGTGAAGCTGCGCCTTTGAGACCAGCCACCAGTCTCGTCTGTGCCCCATTCCTGAGTGTTTTTAGATCGGTCAGTCCTGGGCGCATATCCATGTTGGGAAGTTTGTGATGTAGCACACAAGGGCAGCGGAGAGGAGGGGAATTGGGCGGGTGTCGCTCATTGAAGGCTCGAAGAGACTCCAGTAAGCTACGGAGGATTGGCACATACAGCATTGGAGATACCGCGTGCTTGAGGGACAGCATACGGGTAGGTGATGATCCGGTTCCAGTTGTTGGCCACAAACCAACTGTCGTTGTCGGTCCAGCCCACCCATTGCGCGGGCTGTTTCGGGTCGATAGCGTATTGGACATTAGTCTGTATGTTACGCAGGAGTTCTGCAGAGGAGAAGAGGGATCAGCTTCATGAGGCTAATTGGACTTAATTTGGGTTAGCAGCTTACTGTTGCAATTTCCCTGTATATTCTGCTGCCACACTGGGGCGCAGAGCAGGGCCGGGGCATTGGGAACGTCGCCGTACCAGTTGCCGCCCTCCTCGACAGACGCTGGGGGAAATTCGTCGCAACTGGTGACATCCAGCGTGGTGCCGATCGTCGTCTTGTACTGCTCGTTCGTGGCGGCGCAGTAGGACCCACCTTTCTTCCCATTTGATAACAGGTCATAGTACGCGGTGTCTAAGCATGTCTCGGAGCGTCGGGTAGTGTCAGTGCCCTCCGACGTGTCGTAAGTGAAGGTAGCACCCGGGTTCAAGTCTAAGTTGCGCCAATTGAGGAAGGTCTGCATGTTCTGGCAGATACCATGGATATTCGTGCTCCCGGGCTTGCTTCCAGTGACCTGAGCTGTCCCAAACCAGTTGCAGTTGATCAGCATGGAGGGGACCCTTGGCGTGCACGCAGAGTCGCTGGAGGAGCCCGAGTCGGAACCCGTGCTGCACGAGTTAGCTGGGCACGCCAGCACGCCGCCCGTGAAGCAGCCCGTGCCGCCCATGTTGGTGTCGCCATCCCCGTCGACACTCGAGCGCTTGTATAGCCATGGCGGGCTTTCTCCCGATAAGTCGCTCGCGCTGCCCCGTTTGGAGAGACTCGGGCGGGACTTGCGCTCCTCCAGCAGATGGTGCCAGTCCTGGCCCGGCAGGCCGTCCAAGTCGCGTTTGGTGGTGGTGATGTTGGTGGACACGATACCGCTCCCGCTGTAGAGCTCGTACTGGCTAGCTGTCGTGTAGAGGTAGGTGGTGGCCATGTTCCAGGCATAGTTGAGAATGTTGGCCTGGCCGCCGAAACCGACGTTATAAAGAAGGTAGGCACCGTAAGTGTACGATGCCGATGCCGATACTCCTGTTGTGTCGCCCGATGCAGACGCCGCGGCCGACGCCATAAAGCGCAGTGTGTTGTTGACGAAACCTGACACGGTCGCTGATGCTAGGCTCGTCGATGATAGGAAGCTGCTTCCACCGATGGTGATGCCGACGCTGGCCTCGGGCGTCACCTTGAAATCGAGCTGTGCGTTGGCCTGCACCGATGCCTCGAACGTGGGCTCTAAGCCCGTTGCCAGTGGCTCGGGCTTGTCGCTGTCGCCTAATTTGTCGTAGACGTCGCTGTCGCTGTCCTGCGGATAGTACATTTCGGAGACACCGAATGTGTAAGACGCGCCCACCGTCATATGGCCATTGAGCGTCACTGTTCCGACGATCTGGCCATAGATGTCAAAAGTTGGACCCACTACAGCGATGCCCTTGATGGCCAGCCCTGGGTATGTCAGGGTGGGTATCAACCGCTGGGGGTCTGAGCTGTAGGTCAGCTTGGCCGAGCCCGTTACTGAAACACCCATATACAGCGACGGCTGCATGCCCAGGTAGGCGTATGTATCAGTGACGGCGGGCGGCACAATAGTACCGCTGAAGTAGTAGGCATAGCTGGTAGCCATGTCAAGCTTGGTGTCAAGATAGATGTTCATCTCCGCGTTAGCCTTGGGGCAGCCGATCGACTGGCTGTACAGCAAGATGTTGGACTCAAGGTCTAAAGGCAGGTCGCCTTGTCCGGTCTTAGTGATGGTCGTTACCCTAGACAGCCAGTCCTTGAGCGTCCCGAACCACCGCTTCACTATGTGTGCATCGTGGTCTAGCGCAACGACGCCGCGGGGGGCGAACGACTGTGTGCCGGCAGCCACCCGCTTGTGGAACTCGGCGGAGCTATTTGCCGCGGGAGTCGACTTCTTTGCAAGGTTGACATGGCGGCGCCAGTCACGATATGGTATATGCCTACGGCCTTCACCGAATGCGGCGCGCTTCTTGACCTTGGCGGCCGAGTCGTCGATGGTCTGCCAGTAGTCCTCGAGGTTAGCGAAGTCAACCCGCATATTGACGGGCTGCTTGGCCGTGTCCTGAATGTCCTGGAAGTTGTAGTCGATGACCAGCTTATACACAGGATTAAGATTATCCTGGGCCGCGCGTTTGCGAATATGGTAGGAGGGCAGCGCGGCCTCCGTGTGGACGACGCGGTCCATTGAAACAACGCGCGCCCAGGGGCCCTCGCCGACGTGCCTTGGGAGCCGGATAATTGTGTCAACGGCGCCCTTGTTGAAGATGCGATTGCACCTGTCCGAGCCCGTCGCGTACCGACAGTACACGTACAGAGTCTCCGATGTGTTGTCAAAGTTGGAGGCCATGACGGTGGCATTATGCGTGACCAGTGACCGCTTGACCAGACGATTGGCTTGCTCCGTCGTGCTGCTATCGCCGCTCTGAACCACCGTGTATGTGTCACCAAAGCTGCTATCGATGGAGCCTGGCGGACCATCAAGCATGACGAAGCCGTATGGGTCCGCCCCATAGTCGGTCGAGCTCGCGCCGCCGTGCCCATCGTCTGAGTAAGCCCAGTCAACGTCCGAGCCCTGAGTGGTGTAGGCATTCTCCCATAAGTCATCGGGGTTGACAGGCCAGTCTGTGCCATTGTCATTGGCGGACTGCGCGGGGTTACAGCAATACCTGAAGCGATCGCTCGTGCCGGCGGGGATCGGATAGGCGTCGCAGCTGATGCTCCCCAAGCTTCCGGGACTGCCAAGCTCTGGCTCATCGGGATCCACAGCAGATGTGTACTCTACCTTTCCTGAAGGGCACTGCTCAGGCACACATAAGGATTTTGGGTCATATGTGTTTTCGTTGTCGGAGAATGTCCAGGAGCAGTTTGAGGGAACGCTGGTGCTGGGACAGCAGTAGGCTTGTGAATACAGTAGCTGATACAGTGTTGGGTCTGAGCTACCCATTGTAGTGGAGCATAAGCTGCTACCGTCGTCGTGGCGCTCTGTCATATACGTATAACCTGACGGGCAACTTGGCGGCTGTTGTTGATCGCGGTACTGACAGCTCGTCCAGAAGCATTGGTCGATCGCACCTGTGCTGTCGCAGCACAGTGAGCGCCCCTTATTGACACCACAGCTCTCGTCGCCATCAGCGTTGTTGTAAGTGTCTGTATTGAGCGCGAACGTAGTGTTGCTGTTGCAAATGCCCGTGCCGCAATCCGTCCACTCGCATCCCGTAGGCATGTGCTTGGTCGGGCAGCAAATGTGACGATACCAGTCTTTAGCACATGTCCCGTTAATCTCATAGCCAGGCGCCTGGATAGGCGCGTGGGCCGTTGACACGGACGTATAACCGCTGGGACAGCTCTGTCCCGGTCCTTGCTCCTGGCTGGAACCGTCGGTGCAAAATTGGGTTACCATGCAGTCCTGGCCCGTAAAAGCGCCATATTCGTTCGCAAGTGCGGCCTGCTCGGCACTCGTGAGATTGCCTCCGCTACTGAGGAGACCCGTCGTGAGGGCGTTATCGCCAAGCAGCGCTGACAATGCAGTGTAAGTAGACGTGTCTAAGTCCAAGGACCAGATCATGAGGCCAGAGATGCAGTGGCCAGTCAAGTACTCCAGCTTGGTTTGCCACGATTCAGCAGTGTCGTAGGAGACCCACTGGTCGCCCCCATAAACCGTGTAGACTGTGGTCGACACTGCATCATAATAGGTCGTCGATTGGCTGACTCGAGAACTACTGATCAATACAACAATCACAAAGAAGGGAAGAGGCGGTCTTACCCTGTGGTATTGATACCTAAGAGCTCTGCCGAAGACACGTCAGTCCATTCTTAGTGCCATCGTGGGAGGTAAATGCATTTTAGCCTCACCTGGGTACATGAGAATACCAGCCGATGCCGAGCATTGACCAGCGGAGCCCGTTGTGGCAAACTCGCAGCTAATTTGGTAGCAATCGTCAGTCTTCATGGTATAGGTGCGGCCATAGAAAGCCATTCCCATCACCACATTGGCAGGGTCAATATTGTTGCGCCACAGAAGGTCGAAACCCTCTTCGATCTCCGTCAAGTTGGTAAGCCCATACATGTAAGGGCCAATGTAGGCGCTTTCGGCGTTCCAGGCGCCATTCATATCATAGCTCATGACGTTGAACCACGACACATATTTCTCCATGGACACGATGTCGAAATGCTGCATGTACCAGTATGAACAGGGCAGCGTGACCGTCAGGTCAAAGTCGTACTCGGCAAATGCCTCCTTCATCTCCTTGACGAGAGAGACGTAATTTTCCTTGTCTGCCGGCGCACCTGATCTGTCCGAGGCCACTGGATACTCCCAGTCTGAAAAATGGTTAGCAAGGTCATTCGCACCGTCGCCGAGGCCTCAAATGCCTACCAATATCAATGCCGTCCAGCCCATACTTGATCAGGTAGCTCACGACGCTGTCGATAAACGTCTTACGGTTGGCCGAGGTTGAAGCCATATCGGAGAAGTAGGTGGCCGTAGCCCCGTCATTGAAATCCCACCCGCCAACCGAGATACTCACACGTAGTCCCAGATGCGAGTCCTTGAGTGCGGCGATCTCGGCAACTTGAGAACCATATGTGCTATCATCAAGTTCCCACTTGTCGTTGAACTGGATAAAGGCAATATTGATGTGTGTGAGGGCCCCTGCAGGAATCTGGGCTGGTTCCATGACATCGCAGGGCCTCTCCAGGGTGCTGAGTGAGTAGTAGCCGATTCTGCGAAGGTTTGAGACGTCCGTACTTGCAGTGCACGAGGGCTCACTATGCGTGATCAGCGAGTGTACGCCATCTCTCGGGGGCTTAACAAGCTCACAAGCTCGACAGCAACTTACTTGACGGGTACGCAACCAGCAGTACAGTTATTGCAAAAGTCCGACGTGGTGCCGCAGAAGCCGTACTGGCTGCAGCAGACATTGAGAGGGCAATCGGCCACATTTCCCCAGGGGCCGCACTGGGCCGTGGCGTTGCAGTTGCTAATACACCCATCGCCACACCATTCGGGTCCAAATCCGCAGCTGAAGTGACACCCCAGGTATCATCAGCATAAGAGGGATGAGTAGGCGCCAGAGATGATCGGCCAAAAGGGGTCATTTTCCTTACGTCCCATACTGGCTACAGCAGCCCTCTTGACACGGTTGGGTGAGCGAACAGGTCGAGCTTTGCTGGCCAACAACTACCCAAGCCAGCAAGAAAACCGCGAGCCATGCGGTCACAATCGTCCGCCACATGGCCACAACGTCAGCGGACCAGCAACCAATTGAGTAGAAGATGAAGCAAGTAAAAGAGTGACTGGTATAAAAAGGAGCGTGTGTTTGGAGATGAAATGAGGGAATAGAAGCGGTTCAAGTCGCTCTTGTTGGAAAGAAATCCTCTTTCCAGTCCAAAAGTGAAGGGGGGCAAGGGATTATCACCTCGTAGATCGAGTGTCCATGGTCCCCAATTTCTCGAAAACGCCGCAGACCACCTCGTTACAGTCTGACAATTCGTGGCGCCGGACCTGCAGGTACCTGCAGCAGGTGTATTGGATCTATAGCAATATCCAACTAGCCTATCAAGGCCAGAGTTCTTATTTAGCGGTAATTACCCTAGCGCACGGGACTGCTTCCGGCAAGATCGGACGCCTAATTGCTTATGTCCAACGACATTGAATTTTTTTTTTTTTTTTTTTTTCCTCGGAGATTGTCCTCCATCAGGCCTCCAACGCAGGTGTTTCATAATCAACCTCGTCCCATCGCTTAGAAAGTTGGTCGGGCTCCCAGTCCTCGCCGTAGCGGCCGCCCTCCCACCAAGCGTGCATGAAATCCTGGCCCGAGCATAGCATCCCATCGGCGGCCTGCAAGTCCTCAGCGCCGTCCAACCGGGAGTAACGTAGAACACGGCCGCGGTCGTCGATATACACGAGCAGCACGTTCCCCGGGCCATCGTTTGCCTCCTTGTCATAGATAAGCACATGGCTCCATTTGGCCGCCAGGTGAAAGATCGACAGAGCATAGTCAAAATTGTCCACGCTGGCCTCGATAGCCTCGTCTCGTGTTTTCCGCTTCCTCTCATTGTACCAAGCAGCAAACCCGGGTGTCTCCTCAACGATTTGCGGGATACGGGTCAGGATATTACGCAGCGACTGTAAACCGTCGTTGGATCCCGCATCGTAAAGCGCGGCCTCGTCGAAGACTGTTCCGTCGTACTCAGCCTCGGAAATCAGCTCGGCCAAGTTTTCTTCCGAGCCTTCACCGTAGAAAGTGCATACGAGACGTGTATAGCTGACTCCCTGGCGGTCCGACGCACTGCGGACCCGAGCGAGGAGATTCTTCTCGTCCTCCGTAATATCATCTTTGCTGAGAGACATCTCCTTGAGTCGCTCCACATACGGCTACAAATCATGCTTAGCCATTGCTCCTGCTCGTAGGATACCTGAGATGGACTAACCATGCGGCCACGCGACCCAAGCTCTAGCCACTTGCTAAAAATCGCCGAGCGCTGTGCATCGTCCGAGATGGCACGGTCAATTCTCCATTGGTCCTAGCAGACAAACCTATTAGTGTCTCACTTCATTTCATGTTTTGAGGGGTTTCTGGATGTGATCACCAGGAGATACAGGTCGGCGGCATGGATTATCACCGTCTCCTGGCCGTAGGAGCGTTTCAGGGCGTAGTCGCTAGGCATTGTGGATTTGTGGACAGAGAGGGGCTGACGGAGGAATAGCGTTGCAATCTTAGTCAATCTTAGTCCCTTTTGTATCTGGGCAGGGTCACTAGGAAAGGTTAATCCAGGAAGAAGTGCGAAGTCAAACTTGGGCTGCGAAGTGGAAGGTGAAAGAGGCAAGTATAATAAAGTTCCCAACTTCCCAAGACAGGAAGTGGGACCCAAGGTGGGGCCAGCCAGCGGCCCCACCTGTGAAGCACTTCATGACTTATATAGTTACAAGGCATGTTACCTTACATACGCACAAAGTTAGAGTAGTGATTCAGACGACGCCACTGTCCCTCACAATTATCCTATTCCCCTCCTGGAAGACAGTGCGCGGCATGATTTAGTGAAGATTTAGTGAATGCAACGTTGAATACAACATGGGTGCAGATTGTAAGGTTGATTGGTACCAGGCCACACACTGTAATTTCGGGCATGAGGCCTGCCCATTGAACCATAAGCTATCACAATGGATGCGGGTCAGGAACATGTCTATCCACTCAACTGTTCATCTATAACACCCAAATCACATCACATTTGTCCCATCTGCTAGGTCGGTCACTCTTTGGCTCAAAAGCCCATCATAACAATTTTGGCATTCATCAGTTGGGACACTGAGAGTACATTCCTTAACCAGTTGTTCATTCAGTCACTCCTGCTTTGGGTCACTCTTTCAGTGCTGTTTCTCTTGATCTAATCCCAGTCAGTCTTTTCTTCCATCATGGAGCTCACAGCATACCCGCATCTCCACACCAGAGCGGCAGCGCTACTCACTTTGGCCGTATTCACTCCTTTCAACCAGGCATATCAACTGTTTGATGTCGCTCCGACCAGCCTTCCAACGATCTGTGGAAATGCTCTGGCCGCCAACATTTCGTGTAATCAGCTCTTCTCTGCCTCGTACATCGCTGGAGGCGGGTATGTCAGCGTAGCTGCTCTCGACGATGTGTGCTCAGCCGACTGCAAAGACTCGCTACTGTCCTTCCAGGCAAATGTAGACGATGCCTGTGGGAACACCACTTATCTCTTCCCCGGCAACGTCTCGCAGACGGTGCAAAACTTCGTCGAGCCCCTCGTCTGGGCATTGGAGGCGGCCTGTATTACGAGCGACTCTACCTACTGCTTGCCCGCCGTGATTGCGGGCAATGTCTCAGACTGCTCTCCGTGCATGTACAAGTACGAGGCAGCCATGCTGGACTCGCCATATGGCCAAGTGCGCTACAGCCCGGACACGTACTCGTCGCTGCTGTCCTCCTGCGGAGTAGCGGCCTCCAGTTACCCGATTACTGATACGGCCGTCGCTACTGTGCTCCCTTCGGTGACGGCGACGACGGTTTCGGCCACAGCCACGGCTACGTGCTCAAGCTACTATTCCGTCAAGTCTGGAGACACATGCCAGTCTATTGCCACGGCCAACTCCATCTCCACGGCGCGATTTATCATCGACAATAACCTGAGCACACTTAACTGCTCGGTTCAGGTAGGTCAGCAGGTTTGCCTGGGCGCAGAGTGCGCCCTGCACGAAGTCCAGGCCAACGACACCTGCTCTTCTATCCTGCAGAACCAAGCCTTTTACCAAGTCCAGCTGACTTCATGGAATCCGTCAGTAAACATCCTTCCTCTGCGAATTGTTTCTTGTAGACTGGCTCTAGATGGGTTTATCTAGTCCCGATTGGAATCCGTTAGGCACCACATATTTGCGATGCCGTGCCTAATACTGATAATCTCATCACTTCTTTTAGCACCCTCTGGACGGACTGTGGTAACCTGGACCGCATGGTAGGAGAATACATCTGCATCTCGTGGGTCTCAGAGCTCTCTTCGACTGCTCAGGATGAACGGGGAACTGATGTGATCTGATTAGCCCCCCGGGAACGTCAAGCTGGAGCGTTCCGAGCACGAACATCACGACAAGCTGGAACGTGTAGGTGGAAATTCCCTTGCTGCAGCATCTATTGAGTCCTCAGATTCGCCGTTTGATCCAGCCTTACTGAGACTGAGCCTAAAGATCTTGGGTCATACCCCCTACGGCCTTCACTACGCTGCCCGCCCAGCCATCGACGTTCCCCGTATTCAATACGTCGGCAATCGCATGGCCAGTCACCACCATCATCCCGACGGTCTCCAACGTCACCTGGAACGAGACACTTGTCCCGCTGTATTTGAACCTAACTCAATACTGTCCCATTACCGCAGATGACTACTCCAACGGCTGGACCATATACGATCTTCCGGAATCTTGCGAGAGTCTCCTGGATGAATACTGTGACCCGGCGGCAAACGCCACCATGCCCGCGTCAACTGTGCTGCCGGCAACGTGTTCGCCAGCTTACTACATGTCCTCTAACACAACAGCTACCACAGCCAGCACAGCCAGCACAGCCAGCGCATCCTCCACATCCGTCTCTAGAGCCCCAGAGCAGACCGGAATTGCGGCTAACTGTAAGTCGTTCTCTCAGTCCAGCATCCTGATTGGGACTTTAGCTTTCAGAGCTGAAAAATATAGGTGATGCATATTATGTCGTCAAGAGTGGTGATTCCTGCGCCGGTATTGTAGCAGAATTCGGCAACTTCACCCTTGCTCAATTCTACAGCTGGAACCCGGCTGTCGGCTCGACCTGCTCATACCTCGATATTGGTGGGTGCTCCCTTCCTTCCCCCTGAACCACGTCCCCACGGCAGCTCACCCAGTGATACAGGTGACGCCGTTTGTATCGGTACCGCGAGCAGCACCTCTGCATCGTCAGCGACGTCAACCGCGACGGCTACCACGGCCTCAAGCACCCTTGAACCAAATACCGACCCCAGCTGCACCAAGTACCACAAGGTAGTCGCTGGAGACAGCTGCGTTGACATCGAGCAGGAATATGGTATTACTGCTGCTGAGGTACGTCTGCGCAAATCGGACGGCCCTTGTATCGTTTACTGATCATATTGACAGTTTCTTGCATGGAACCCGACTGTTGGATCATCGTGTAGTGGGCTCTGGCTCGGCTACCTGGTCTGCGTTGACGCCCCTGCCATTGCAAGCTCTTCCACCACGCCCACTGCAACATCGACATCGACGTCGACGTCGGCGGTCCCGGACGTGGAACCCAGCACCGTCGCTGACTGCACAAAGTATCACCTCGTCGTTAGCGGGGACGACTGCCAGACCATTGAAGCGCAGTATGGTATCACCGCAGCGCAGGTGCGTACTGTCTTTCCATTCCCAAACAAGTGCTTCCTTTGTGATCGATGACTATGGAGCGAATTGAGAACGCAGTGACTAACTTCGAACAGTTCAATGAATGGAACCCATACGTCGGGGCAGGCTGCGAGTCCCTGTGGCTTGGTTATGACGTCTGCGTTGGTGCACCGTCGAGCTAACTAACGAGGTATTAAGAGCAGCCGCATGGCATAGACAGACTGGAACGGCAGATGATAGGATTTATTTTTAATACCTAGCCCAGTGATCAATTGACCGGTCCCGGGCGGGGCGAAGGAAGGCAGGGCAGACCGCACTCGAGTATCGGGGAGAGGAGAGACCGCAGAGGACTCGCAATTTGGCTCCTAGGCAAATACGGTGGAGGACAGTGAATCATATCAGCAGAAAAAGTAACTCACCAACAAAGGGCGCATAGGGGAAGGGTAGCGAGAAAGGAGGAGCGGGAGAGAGAAGTAATAATGAGAAGTTGATGCGGTGATTGAAATATGCACGCTAAATTGCATCACGTGCATGACTTCTGTGTCTTGTCTCTCTTGTACCTCCTCACAGTTTCTTGAAAGCGTGGATGCCTACTTCGTACTCTCACCTGACTTCCACTTCCGTGCGCCACTTCAAGATCATGAGAAAGCGTGGTGGCTTCACGATTTAGCTCATGAGAAAGCGTGGTGGCTTCACGATTTAGCTCTTAAAGAAAGTCAACGAATACAGCGAGCGCACACTCTTGATGAATCATGAACAGGCGTGAGAAGGAAGCAGACGGATTACAGCTGTATACTCTATTGAAAAGCTATACTGAGAAAGCATAAGTCACCATGGATGTAGATATCAGGGTCCAGACTAGCGCCCAGTCAGAATGTGGGAGGAAATGCATGGACCCACCTGCGAGGTGGAGAATGAGTGGAGAAGGGGATGTCGATTAGCCAATATTTTCTGACCTCCTCCGTGCCCTGCTCAGCTGAATTCTGCTCCGGTTGGACGTTGGCTTTAACCTTAAATCTCACGGGCACCAGCGCCCCACAACTGTTGAATAACATCCAGCTTCATACACACATGTCTTTAAGACACTACAATGGAACATGTGCCGAGCAGCAAGAGATCATAGAAACAAGAAGGGCTTCGACCTTGATGTGCCTTGCTTTCAAGATGCTCTCTAACTTGAAGTAATTAATATTGATATTCGGTCAAACACGGGGCCATCCAGTCAAAGAAGTTCATGTAAATCGTCTGATCCTCCCAGAGTAGATATTCAACGTAGTCTTCTTCCGATTGAATGCAGAACCTGACATCTTGCGTTATTTTCCAACCGAGTCATCGTAAACCAGATGGTACTCACTTGCGCCAGTGACGCTCAACAGCGATGCCTTCCAATGTCTTCGGCTTAAAATTGGGAGGGAGCCATCCCAGACTTCGAAAGTGTTCCAGTCTGGCTCGGGTTTCCTCCCAGAGAATGGCATCTGTCCAATACTGGTGCTCATCGGGCCGAGCAGGGGGGACAGGCGCAGGTGCCACGAGCGTGGCCAGTTCAAAAAAAAAAAAAAAAAAAAAAAATAGCAGGATTCGGAAATCTATGATCTAGGGAATAATCACTCTGTGGTCAACCTTGGGGGTTGGAGAACGACAAAGAGAGAGACGGTGATGGTGGGAGGGCACCGAGAGGAGGGACAAGAAGCATCTTATAAATGTGCGACCGTGCTAGGCGAAGAGTGGCCTGCTTGCTGTAAAGGGGAGCCATTTTTGGCGTCGTTGTGGTCGTGAGTGGAAATGAGGAGAACTTGTTGAGGTCCAGCATGAGGATCAAGCCAGGATGATGCTAACAGGGCTTGGCGGGTGCAGAATAGGTGGTTGAGATTGATGGGGCGGTCGAGCGGCGGCCTGCTGGTGGAAGTTACGGGTGGAAAGGCGGCCGTTTCTGGCGCCAGGGGCTGTCATTTTCGGCGTCGATTTCACAGGTCCGTATATTCTAGGTGTAAATTACGTGCACGTATCATATTCATTAGTGGTCTACCGCCAACCTGTTCCCAATGCCTGGAGCTTAGGTGCCAGATCCTCAGCAAGCAATCTGTGAAACTCAACCGAAGGGTGGTACCCATCATGCCAGAAACAGCCGTCCGAGCCCACACAAGTATTATCCCGGAAGCCATAGTAGGTAGGGCGGTCCAGAATCTGGCTCATGAGGCTGTAGGCATCGTATTCAATGACAGTAACCTTGCAATTTTCAGATCCATTAGTAAGAATGCTTGATGTTGCGGCCAGCCATTATACCCACGTCTGAATGGTTTCCTTTGAACTCCTCAATGCTTCGAGACAGCTGCCCATTGTAGATTTTGATGTATGATGTAATGAGCTCTGGCGCCCCAAGCAAGTCAATAATCATTGGACTTCTGGTGGTAGGAGGGACGGAAAGGAACAGGAAGTGTCGGCCGCCATCGCGGTAAATATCTTCGACGGCCTCAAAATAGTGACTGATGATGGTGAAGGAATCGTTGTACGGATCCTCCCGTAGCCATGTATTTCCGATGCTTGATTGCGAAGAAATCATTAGTGATCAGCGAGATAGATACTCACGCATATTCAGATGGCATACTCATTGATTCCGACCCAAAAAGCAAACAGGCTGTTATGACTCCTCCACGGAGTCGAGTTCGCGTAGATATTTTCGAACGCCAGTTTCACCTGGTTGGTCAGGTCCATCATCGGGGCATTGCCGGCGCCGATTAAGGAATTGTTGACGAACGCATTCGGGGTTGCGAAATCATAGGTTAGGATGAGGCTGGAATTCATCTGGGTAGTAAGGTAGCCAACCCAGTTGAGGCCTCCGGAGGATGTGCCATGTCCTGCGTGAGGATGGTGAGCATTGACATACAGCGATAGGGGATTTGGGGATTTAAGGCACGCACCAATCTGGGGGTTGCCCAGCGGGTTCTTAACGGAAGGTTGGGCCAGGAAGAAGTTGAAGTCGGTGGTGGAATAAGAATCACCGCTAGATCCCAGAACAGGCAAGGTTAGATTATCTCTGTTCAAATGACATCATATATGTGCTCAGAAGACACAATTAACGAACGCACAATACAAAAAAATAAGACAGGTCCGTGGCCGACCGAGCCAATGGGGGCAATGCGGCTAGTTTATCACTGAAGGGGAGTATGGATGAGAACAAGACCCAAAACAGCAGGACTGAGGCGGCAGATGCTCCAACCAGATAGTACCAGGAGAACATCTGCCTGGGGAGACGCATGGCGAAGACATATATGATAGTCACGGAGGACTTGGGAGGGAAAGGAAGACAGAGGTTACATACCCAAGGAGAAGGAGCGGCGGGCACGGTCAGTTACCGTTTTGGGAAGGATGGGTCCGCCAGCATCATCGACTTTGCTGATGAGTCAATAGTCAATAATAATCTGGGTTCTGTAACTAACGTAACCGGCAAGCGAGCGGCGCATGTAAGTGTATTCCATATAAAATGACATTTTTTAGAGCTTAATATCTCAAGAACAAAGCATCCAGAGGGCATAGAATTCGAGACATGGGTGAAGCAAAAAATCTCTATATGTGTTTCTCTAGGTTAGTCAAACAACAGCTATATTTTTGGTTATTCTAATGTTCAGGGCCAGAAAAATTAATTAAAAAAAAAAAAAAAAAAAAAAAAAAAACTGCAGGCGTACTTTTAGGGCCAATTCATATATTTATCTTACTGGTATGCTGCTACATCTATTGGTTGTTGAGATATCAAGGTCTTCAAAAGTGTCATTTTATATGGAATACAGAGGTGCGTCGCTCACTTAATGCGCCGCTCGCTTGCCGGTTATGTTAGGCCGAAGAAGGACATAACTAGTTAAATTATCTCGAGATTATTTAAGCTTGTCTGTCGAGCCAATTGTTTGGACACGTGATATACAAGTCACGTCATAGAACTCCTGAAGAGTGGGAAGTTGAAACCTGAAAGTACTTGGCAACGCACTGCAAACAATTACATTATTCTCCATGTCATGCTGATAATAATCCATCATAATTCACGACTATCATTGCCAATTATCATTACTATCTAGTGTTCGTATTACTGTTACGCTGCTTATCGAAGAAATGGATGTTTTCTAGAATCCTCATCTGCCAAGAACACGCTAGCGCAGCATATGGCGCGATATCACATGATGATAAAGCGAAAAAGGGATTCCATTACGCGGAAACAATGTGTACATGCTACAGCGCTGTAGGGCATCCTATCTGCCCCGGTAGGAATGCTTATACGTGCCAGATCAGCTCACCTGCGCCAAACAAATAAGAGTCGGCGGTGGCTTGGCCATGGTGCCTGTGAAGGCCACTCAGTGGCCGCAGCGCTGGAGTTATCAGGCTTATCGCTGGCGTATCCGCCAACCACTCCGGGGCGTCTTATCTACCAAGTTCTTACCCTTTCTCAGCCTGGACGAGGACTGCATCTATCCATCCGCTGCGTCGATGTAACCTCATCCGTCGTGCTTTTATCCGCTTCCGATGCCGTCGGTAGCCTATTTACAGAGGGGCAACCCCTGTCACCCTACCAGCGCCATAAAACATATTTGACGCGCCTCTGCCCCTTCTCAGCTTCACCTTTCCCCTTTCGCAAGACTCTGTGCGCCACAAAGTCTTGTTTGGACCCTTTTTGCTGCTTGACAGCGTGCCTTTAATATACCCCAATCTCTCAACAGTGCCTATCGCGGTATTCTATCATGTCCCTTGAGGGTCCAGGGGGCTTGAGCCCCGAATCCCAGTGGCATGGCCATAGTGACAAGAAGCCCTATCCCGATGGGGCTGAACACGGTCCGGCACACGATGATCCCTTTGGGAGTGAAGAGTACGCTGAAGTCAAGTACAAGACTATGACCTGGTGGTGAGTGCTGAATACGTGGCCAAACGCTGCCCGATTGGCATCCTTGGCTGACATGTACCTTCTCGTTGGGTATTTCAGGCAGGCTGGAATGAGTACGTTGTCTGAGTCTCCAGGCCCTTAGCCCGCTACCCCTTGCGATTCACTCATAGGAATGCCGAGTCGTAGACTAAATAATCTGTCCAGTCATGATCGCCGAGACCATCTCCCTAGGTATCTTGTCTCTACCATCCGCCTTGGCTACACTTGGCATTGTCGGGTGAGTTATTGTTATCTCCCCCACCCGCAAAAGGGTTAGTGGAATGTCTATTCTAATTAGTTTCTTTTTTAGCGGTGAAATTTTGATTGTCGGTTTGGGTATACTAGCAACCTATACCGGATACACGCTGGGGCAGTTCAAGCTTCGATACCCCCATGTCCACAGCATGGCGGACGCCGGTGAGGTCTTGATGGGCCCCTTCGGTCGGGAGGTGCTGGGCACTGCACAATTGCTGTTCCTGATCTTCACTATGGGGAGTCACCTCTTGACCTTCTCCAAGATGTTGAACACCGTCAGCGAACATGGTACCTGCTCCATTGTCTTTGGCATTGTGGGCATGATCTTGAGTTTCATCTGCACTCTTCCTCGAACCCTCAAGAAGGTCTCGTGGATGTCAATTGCCTGTGAGATTTCCCATTCTGGTCACTGGGGAATAATCAGCTAACTCCTGCTTTAGCCTTTATCAGTGTTTTCTCCGCCGTTATGATTACGATGATTTCTATCGGCGTAGAACGGCCTGGGGATGGTCATGTCGATGCAACCACGACAACAAACCTGTACCACGGCTTCCTTGCAGTGACCGATATCGTCTTCGCATATGGTACGTGGTCCTGTTTATCTTGTGGTCATGGACTTGGAACTAATATTTTGTGTCATGATAAGCCGGTCATGTGGCCTTTTTCGGTTTCATTTCAGAGATGAAAGTCCCCGAGGATTATCCAAAGACATTATACTTGCTGCAAATAGTCGACACGGTCATGTATGCCGTCACCGCCGTTGTCATCTATCGCTATGCCGGCAAGGATGTCAAGTCACCCGCACTGGGCTCAGCAGGGCATATCATGAGCAAGGTTGCCTATGGAATTGCCATTCCGACTGTACGTGGTACCACGGGGTTTCCTTTCCTCGATCCTTGTCCCATGTTTGCTCTTCAAGGTTAACCGTTTTGTGTTCTTGTAGATCGTGGTCGCAGGCGTCATCAACGGTCATGTGGCTTGTAAATACGTCTACGTTCGCATGTTCCGGAACACAGACCACATGCACCGTCGCACTTTCTTCTCCGTTGGAGTCTGGATTGCCATTGCATTGGCTCTGTGGGTCATTGCCTGGGTCATTGCTGAGGCTATCCCTGTTTTCAACGACCTATTGAGTTTGATCACCGCTCTTTTCGCTAGTTGGTTTACATGTAGGTTTCCATTATACTCCCATTGTCCTTGCTCTCTCTCTAACAATCGGACTAGACGGATTGAGTGGTCTCTTCTGGCTATTCCTCAACTGGGGACAGTGGCTCTCGTCGCCACGTAAGATCTGCCTCACGATTCTTAACCTACTTGTCTTTGGCATTGGTGGAGCTATAGTAGGTCTTTCACAGCCTTACTCGTTTTGTTCTTTCGAATGGCGACTAATATCGTCTAGTGCGGCCTTGGTCTATACGTCTCCGGAAAGGCTATTCACGACGACAGCTCGGGTGCCAGTTTCTCGTGCGCCAACAACGCTTGATTCTGGACTATATTTCCTCGAATAAATTCGTCGTGTGCAACTGCGGCATCTACTTATAAGATCTCTGGTAATAGTGTGGAGGGTGTACGATATATGATAGATAGGCTACATTGCATGGTTTAAACCGGGTGCATATGAAGGAAATTCGCATATTGGGGTTACAGTTACAGCACAGTATCTTTTGTGTATCAGGATAGCCACTATTTTATCGGTTTAGATGGAAGATAAAATAAAAATGAGGTTACTAAGACAACTCGATCCAAGGTCTTCTACCAAATGATAGTACTCGAAGATAGACACTCAAATACCAGACCTCTCCATCCTCCTCAACACCCCAACTTAAACCCAAAAAGAGGATGCACACGCTTCTCAAATAACCGGCAAGCTCTCCATTAGCCCTCCTATCCCTCTATCTCTCAGGAAAAACAAACCCAAAATCCACATTCCCTTCCCCAACCCAAGCGCAAGCAAATCCCCCTCAAATTCTCGATAGGGCTTCTTCCTCAACCACACCTCAACAGCAACCCCCGTCTCAAACTCCACCCCACGGTCAAGATACCCTATTCCGCAGCGAGATTGTTCAAGCCAAGAAATAAACTAGGTTACAGCGTTCCAGGAGAAGCAGGGAGCGGGTGTGTTCCAGGGCCGTGTCTTGGTCGGATGGTGAGTGGGATTGCAGGGCTTTTTGGTGTCATGTCTATTCATCTGTTGGAGAAGAGTAGTTTTCCTGGCTTTCTGGTGTGTTTGAAGGTTAAGTTTTATCATGATCCAGTCTGTTGGGTGGGGGTGATGGGTTTCATGGACCTTCTTGAGAGTTTGGGTTCTTAGGGTTGTCTCTTCTTTGACTTTGTTGCTGTTGTCGATGCCCTATCGTACAGTTAGGTAATGGATAACCTATAGGTTGGATTTTATTGAAATGAAATGGGTTACTCACATCGTCTTGTGCATGAATTGCAGAATGGGGTATCCGGACTGGGAGAATATGCTTCACCTTTAGTTGCCACCAGGCAATGTTGAGCATTTACGCATCAACAGACCATTTTACCTATGTTCAATGGCAACCTTTCTGGTGTGTGAACCAGCACTGTAGAGCCAAATCATACTTCCCTATACATCGTCTGGAATCCGTCATAGCTGCGGCCTGTTAAAACACAGCGATGACAGGCCATGTAGCCTTCATCACATTTGACCTTGCGGATCTTGCTCTTGCTAATTCGCCCTCTGTCCCCATGCAGAGGATGATAATTTGCAACGGGATACATAGCCCCAGCTGCTACCTTTGTCTTGGGGAACACCTCCAAGTGAGCTGCGACCAAGTTATGCTCGCTATCACCGTGTCTGCTGACTGCTTTGCGCCTTACAGTCTTTGCCGCGACTATGAAGAGCTCCTGGCGAAATGGTTCAAGAGAACGGCAATTGTAACCATATTTTCCTTGTTGTCGACGGGTATAGGATTATAGCTCTGCTTCGCACTGCAGAAAGGCTTGCAAAGAGACCCTAAGGATCCCGGAATAGACTCGATTGATCTCTGTAAGTCCCAAACTAGGGAAAGGATGTGGTCTATAAAATTTTAGGCAGCTGACTGACTCTTTCCACCAGACTATGCGCACAACGTGAATCCAGAGGTTGCAATTGAGGAGGCAATGCGAGCCTGGCTGAGCTGAAGGTGTAAGCATCAGATCTCCCCGTAATAGTAATGACAGACGAACTGAAGCGAGTGATTTGGTGAAGCAGAATAAGGCATATTGGGCTTTCGATGGTTTCCTCCAACACGCTTCGTCGGGCCGCCAAGGTTGCTCCTGTGGCTGCGTTTCAGCCAGAGTATTCTCTCTTCACGCGACATCGACGACAGCGCCGGCACCAACGTCCTGGCTACGCGCCGTGAACTCGGAGTTGCAGTAGTCGCTGCCATTCACCTGGAGCGAGGAATGCTTACTCCTGCCTATATCAGCGATGAATCTGTCGATGACAGTGTCGACATGCGACCACTTATGATGTCGCGTTTCTTGGACGACAACCGGGAGCGCAATGCGAAAGTGGCTGCGCAGGGCCAGGAATTGGCCGACAAGAAAGGCTTCACGGTAGCTCAGCTTGCTCTGTCCTGGCTACTAAAGCAGGAAGATGACATTTTCGTTATCCCAGGTGTGAAGAGGCTCCGATACATGGAGGAGAACCGTGGTGCTGTTGATGTCACTCTGACTGATGAAGAGGAAGCCGAGATCAGGTGGCAGTGTTCCTGCGCAGTTTGCTTCGTATCTGTACCAGGACTCGAAGGAGTTTGAGGTTATATAGTGCGTCTTGGTATCATAATTGGACATTGTTGCAGTGTCGACCCAATTCAGGATCATTCACTGTGCAGCTGTGCTTCTCTGTCTGCCGAGCTTTCTGCCCTCCTTCCTCCTCATCCTCATCGTCACTGGACGCACAAACAGCCATGGAAGCTAGAATGAGACCATCTTCCTATGGTCTTCCTGTGAATAGCCCAGATCATGAGAAATCGTTGCTGATTGTCTCCTTGATGGGCCTGCACAAAGGTGGCGACGTGATGCTCTCCCAACACTTCCGAAAGTCGCTTCCTGACAACGTCCATATCCAAACATGGCATCCATCGGATTCCCTGCTACAATCAATTGCTAGCAAAAGCCCGCGCCGGGACTGTGTGGGCACCATTTACGCTGTCGCAATCCTGGCATACCGATCGGGCTGGTCGGGCCTGATTGTAGCAGATGCTTTGACTTCACGCCAGCTCAGTGGAACTCAGCGTGTGGGCGAAAGTCCGTTGGTTTCGGTCATCATGGTAGCCGTTAAACCAAGTATACCCCTATCATCACCAGACACTTCAGAGAATGATGAAGTTCACGTCTTTCTCGAACGCACGACTGGCGACGAAGGAGAAAACGCAGCACTACTGAAGGCATTGCAAAACCTGGAGGTTTCCGAGCCGTATAGCTACGATTGGTTATACACCATGGGCGATGGTATCTACACTGAAATGGGCCTCGTCCTAAATGATCCAGATCGCCCAGTGTTCTCTGCGGACACGGCGAAACTACTTGGACATGAGGAACTCTCGAACGCCATGACTAAGATTCTACTGCAGCACACGCCCCTTCCCGCGGAGATAGTTCTTCGGACTGTCTCCTATATCCATGATGAACAGCTCAATCCGATGCCTTCATGGCTGGGCATCTTCAGCTTGCAGAATCTGTATTTTGTAGTATTGTTCCCTACTACAGCCGAGGAGCTCAGCACTATGCACTCCACGATACAGAAGGCAGTTAGCTTTCTGCTGGAGACAAAGTCGCGCTATCGGTATGAAATGAACGTCCGATTGATCCCATGGGAGCTCCATCGTGTCGCATCTCGACGTGACTTACTACGCACGTACAGGGAATATCGACAACGACAGCCTGGTCATAACATGCATTTCATTCCTGGGCCCTTCAAATACGATGACGATGATGATGTATACTTTACAAAATTCGGGATCATACGTTTTGAAATCCAGGAGTTAGCAATCGTCTCGTGGGCGACATTGGGCGAAATTCTTGAATATACCTATGGAAGACCCGAGTGCCCGAATTTTGAAATGATATATCCATTCGACAGGCCGTTTCACGTCGACCTTCCACTCTGGCTATCGGCTGATTCGGAGGATGACTCCATACCAGTGTTCTATCTCACCAACAAACTGACAGACGAACAGGACAAGGCAATTCGAGACGAAATGGACAGGGGGGACGATGACCATATCAAAGAGTAAGTGTTCTGCTTTGTATCCTGGAAGAGCGGCAAAGAGGGCCTCGTTGACGGGACTCTGGAAGACATGTGGGAGCTAATGTGGAAAGCATACACATTCCCAGCCCACTCTTGTTCTGAGATTTTCTTCATCGACGGGCAGTCTGGGATCGACCAGACACTTATTATGGCCCAGCCGGAATTTTACCGTGGTGAAGATGACAAGGGACTCTTGAACGATACTCGGGAACCCTACATCATGGGCTTCTGTTACGGTCGAGTTAGGGGTGCATCGGTACGAAATGCCTATACACGCCTTAATAGTGCTGAAGATGTGGGCATTGACGATCTTGCAACTGACCTCAATGTATTCCCAAGACCCGGTTGGCCGGGGAATGGGATATATAAAAATCCAGACTCAGAGCTGGAATAACCAGTCAGAATCATACTTCTATTGGAGCATGGGATCATTTTCATGAAAGAGTGGAGAGAGATAGATCTTCAATCAACATTCATATGGTAATTATTTACTGTGGGTCCAGACGTCTAACATCTACATGCAGTAAAGACCAGCAAGGATGCTTTAGTGTACCAGGCATGTACCATCACGGTCGTAATGCATGTCATTTGCGCTCACAATCAGGGATTATAGTTCACCACAGGAACAACCGTATCCTCCAACCGAACAGCATCAGGATTCGTCTCCTCCACACCAGAATACCGATTCAACCAACCGAAAACCTGTTGGTGCCAAACCAGGCTATTCTCAGGTTTCAATACCCTATAACAAGTCAGTTAGAGGCATAATATATGGAACACAAACACAACGTTCGTGAACTTACCAATGATTTTCATCGGGGAAATTCAAAAACCTGCTCGGTACACCACGCTCCTGGAGGACGTTGAACAGGGCCAGTCCCTCGGAGACGGGGAGACGGTAGTCCTTGTCACTGTGGATGACGAGCTGGGGGGTGCTGAACTGGAGGATGTGTTCTGTGGCAGACGGGTCCCAGCGGAGATAGTTGTCTCTGTTATTCCAGATGGTGCCGTTGAACTATTGAGATATTTTTAGTTTGTATCTCCAAAGTACCTATGTGTGTGAAGGGGTAATATATGCATGCACAGATAGAGTCTTGAATATGTTGAAATACCTCATGCTCGGTAAACCACAGCTCCTCAGTGCTAATCTTCGCATCACCGAAAAACGTTCCGTCATGACTGACTAGAGCCTTGAACTTCCGTCCCAAAGGATTGCCCTGGATCCAGTTCATCATGAAGCCGCCGTAGCTGGCTCCGGCGGCGACGCCGTTGTCGGTGTCGATGAACGGGAAGTTATCGTGGACGTATTGCCACCCTTTCACCAGATCGTCGTATGGGCGACCCCCTATAGAATTCATATGAGTATTCAGTAAGCGTTCATTATCACTGTATCAGAGAGAGAAAAAAGGCTGATTTGAATTCATACCCCAGCTATTCTGGATAGCATCCTGCAGCTCATCACCAAATCCTGAGCTTCCAGTCGGATTAGGTCCAATGACGACGTAGCCCTGGTCAGCGAACGTCTTCAGATTCCATCGTGAGCTCCATGAATCGATAAAGGAAGACTGGGGACCACCGTGGACGTAGAAGAGCAAGGGGTATGTCTTGTTTTTGTCGAAATCCTCGGGGTATATGATCCACGATTGGATCTGGCCACGTTGGTTAGCCTTCATGGGCTTGGATATTAAAGCACAAGACTTCGAATTGACTTACCTTGGTAAAGTTACCATCATAGTAAAACTCATCGACATAATCAGGGCTAAGTCCCTTCAACTCAGGGTCTATCTCGACAGCAGAAGCCACTGTCTTGGTAACTCCCTGCGATGGGGTTGCTGTGTATACGATCCAACTATTCCAAATAGCGCTCCCGGTAACTAGCACAGAGGAATCCGGCAGGAGATAATAGGATGACACAGAGCCGCCATTTGTGAAGTTCTGGGGCTTGAAATCATCTCCCGCATCAACCGGGAAGACGAACAGCCTAGTGCGCCCGCTGTCTTCACTGTTCACAATCAAAGTCTTCCCGTCGGCTGTCCACTTCGCCGTGTCGGGAGATCGGTCCCAGTTCTTCGCCAGGGTGCGAATGGTATCGTTGGAGCCAAGTGTGTACACATACAGGGTGCGACGATCTGACTCGTAGGATATATCCTTCATCTGGAAATAGGCAAGCTTGCTGCTATCTGGGGAGAACTCGGGGCTGCTGGAGTCACCTTCAATTCCAGCAGGTTTTCCAGGGCTCTGAGGACCGTTGATTGCGAATGGCTTCGCTGATCCGTCATGTGGAACCAGGTAGATGTACGAGGATGTGTAGTTTGCCCGTGGAAGATCAGGAGCCTTGCTCTTGAAAGCGACCCATTTTCCGTCTGGGGAGAGGGTGTAGTCGGATGGATTTGAGTCAGGGGGATACGGTGACTCGGCATTCTTGACGCTGTACACCAGGTTCTTCAACTCCCCGCATGAAGCATACTGGCCAGTGGTACCGCTCTTCTTCAGAGTTCCTGAAAATACTGCGTTGAAGGTGGTATCGAGGTAGAAGTCCCAGTGGCGGACGTAGATACTATCGTATATACGAGCAGAGCTCAATGGAGGAGTGGCCAGCTCTTCATTGTATGCTGTGCCATTGGGATAGGACTTGGTATACGCCACGAAATGAACGTCTCCTGATTCAGTAATGACTGATTTGAGGCCAGAGAAGGGGGCCTCCAGTGAAGCGGCCTTGTATCTGCATGATATTAGTATTGAAGTCTTTGATGTTCCTGTTCAATTCGACGAGGACATACCCGTTCTCAAAATCAGAAACAGAAGTAACCCAGAGCTCAACACCTCCCGGAATGTGTGCATTGGTACTGTTGATGTAGAGGATAGTCGAGTCATCGGTTCCCAGCCAGGTAATCTCAGAGACATCACTGTCATTGGTAAGAAGGCTGGTTGAGCCAGTCTTCAAATCCAGCAGACTCCACCAGGACGAAGACTCGTGCTCCTTGAAGGAGTACTTCGAGGTCGAAAACACCGCAACATCCTATAGAATAATGTTAATTATCAGCTCCGATTATCACGGACAGATTCCGATTCCGATGCCAACTTACACCAGACGGGTTAGGAATTGCTTCGCCCCTTCGTGGAGCGCTGAGCAGTTTCCTATACAGCAGGTTTAGTTACACTTCAATCGTTTGACCACTGTGAGCGAGGTCCTACGTACTCCGGGGTGATGGCCCACACAGCAGACGCTGTCGCCAGGAGGGACAGCCAGAGGGGAGCCATGTCGAGTCAACAAGCAGTGACCATGTAGATCAAAGAACAGAACACCCCTGCCAGGGACCGCGAGGTTGTCGGCGCAATTTATGGTGCCTCTTCTCCCGCAGCGCACGTCCGCAACCCCCTGAACATGAGGTTTGGAATCGGCTCTCGACGGGTCAAGCTGGATGCTACATAGAAGGTGGATAGAAGCGGACACTGGCAGACCAGACAAATTACCGCTGCTCGCGAGACCCAGAACAAACAGATCTCAAGTCCCTCCGCGGCTTAGGTTGCATTGCCAAGCACGGAACTCGTAGTGGTAGCATCTCTCATCTTCCCTTTTTCTTGGCCATCCTTAGTGTATTTTCCGCTTGCATTGCGTGACCTGCTTCGAGTAATTATTCCGGATCGATTTGGGAGACAAGGTTAAGTATGTTCATCGTTGTCCCGATCGGCTGACGACAGGTACACAAAAAGCTCGGACGGAGTGATGGCGCGGGAAACAATCGATTCCTTTCTCCGGTTGGGCTTTGTGAGGCATCTAAGCATGGAACAAGGCTTTCTCCAGGCGTACTTGTAGAACCAGTCGTAGTACGATGTGTTGTATGAACTGGTCTAGTCCTTTGCGTTGGAGCAGCGTCCTACAGACGATTGTGTTAGAGATAGAGGACAAGCAAATCCATCCACTATGGAGGATACTGCTGATACTGAGTATTTATAGTTACCAGAGAGCTCATCTTCGCTTCATCGCCTGATGAGGATTACTGGACCCAAGCACCACGTTAAGGTGCAAGCTCGTCGCTGGGGTGTAAGTGGTCAAACATATGGCAATGTATAGTAAGTAGATATAGATCAAATATATGTCAAATATATAGCAAGTAGAAGCGAGATAAATGGCAAATCAACGGCAGATAGATGACTAGTAGATGTAAGTAGATGGCATAGTGCTAGGTGATCATATAATCCCAGCAGAACAACAGCTTAGATAACGTGACCCTTTGTCTGGTTTACATTAATGACCTTGTAATCTTTCCAGAAAATGAAGGTCAAGAGCAACAGGGGCATCATGCACGCGCCAACAATAGCCTGGATACGCGTCGTCTCACCATACGATACATTGATCGCATCACGGGTAGGTGTGCCCATTGGGTAGGTCAGGGCAACGGTCATGTCCGCAAAAATATCCATTGTCATGTTTTTGGCGTCATCTGGCAGGTTCTTGTACAACTGCTTGGGCAGAACGCTGTTCCAGATAGCACCACCGACCGTGGTACCAATGGAAGAAAGGATGGAGCCGACAGCGTTATAGATGGCCAAGACTGGTGCAATTTCGGCCTGCGTAACGGCGGCCATCATCGCTATTTGGGATGTATTTGGAATTATAGCACCACCAATACCGACAAACACCTGGGTCATAGCAATCAGGCCCGGTGCAGTGCCTGGTTTCCGGAAGGCAACAAGGAGAGCGGTGCCGACAATTTCAAATGGCATGGCAACCAGAGTGAGCCACTTGTAACGACCAGTGGCATGGATAGCACTAAGACAGGTTAGCAGGGTGATGGCAGGAGCTGGTGAAGCAGGTAAGCCTCAGTTGGAAAGGATATGTCTTACTAGCCAACCAAGGGGCCAAAGAAGTAGGAAGCAGCGCTGTAAGCGTTGAGGATATAATTGCTGTCCGTGAAATCAACGTTCAACACCACCTGGAGGAAGGTCCCCAGTTGGATATCCCATATGCTGAACTAGTGTCAGAGATTGCAACGATACACCCTAAAAAGGAGGTTTACTTACTCAGTGGTGAAGTACATCATACCATATGCCAGACCTCCAGATATAACATTCCAGCGCTTGAGATACTTCCACGGCAAATATGGAATCGGCGCAAAGAAGCGCTCCCATATATAGAAAACAGGGAGCAGGAGTCCACCGATAATAATCATGACAATGATATGGGCGGAGCGCCAGGCGTTAGCAGCACTGCCTGCCATTGAGAGGGGCAGTAATAGGAGCGTGAAGGCAGCCGTGACAAGGATAACACCAATGACTATACAGTTCACTGAATCAGTTGGAGACATATAGGAAAAGAATTGAGGGATTCATATACCATCAAACTCAACAATATAATGACGGAGGGACTGAAGAGTCGAGCGACCAGAGATAGAAGGAGTGTAAAGACCCATTTCTTTTGCCTTACGCAGATTGATCCAGAGAATGAGGATCATGGGTGCGATGAGGAAGGGGATGAGGATGCAGTAGGTACCGTACGCCCACTGCCAAGTGCTGTGTTCCAGGTACCTGTTTGCAAGCGGAGAGGCGGAGTAGCCATTTGTCAAGAGAGCAAATTGCGATATAGCGACGATGAGCATCCGGTGGCGCAAGGTAGTCATGTCGGCGATGATGACGCTGACAGTGTATCCAAGACCAGCTTTGCCGATGGAATAGAACACGGAAGCAGCCGCATAGGCCTGGATGTTTGGGCTCGTGCATTTGATTATTGCGCCTGTTCATGCGTTAGAACCGACTCTCCCCTAGGTGGGAAGAAGAGAAACGACGCACCAATAATGAAGAAGATGACCATGATAATAAGACCCTGGATCCGACCCCAGATGTTGATGATCTTGCTGATGACGAGGGTTGAAACGGCACCGAAGATATTCTGCAGTAGGTAGATAGTGTTCATCAGCTCATGGGCTGCGAAGCTAGAGGTGATATATCGCTCGAGGTTGGACACTGTATAGTACATCAGGCCGTCGATGTATGTGTATAGGTAGATACTGTGGTGGTTAGCAAGCAGTCGGGATAAACCTGGACCAGACAGAAGAGAACTCACATTGCAAGAAGCAGCCACATATGGCTCTTGGACCACACCGAGGTGATGGCACGGGCAGCTTTGACTCCGTCGAACAGCTCAGACTCGTCCTCCTGCGATGAGGTCCCAGCGTGGGGATCCTTGTCATCATCAGGCAGGACTTCATTTGGGCCAGCCTCGGCCACAATGGCCTCCTCAGTCTGCTTCTGCTTGAACCACTGCATCAGGCCAGGAAATGTCAGATATCAGATCAGATAAGATGTAAAAGATGGCGGGTTACCAGAGTGGTATTTATATGCAGCAACCATTTGGTCTTGCCGTTCCATCGGGTAAATTTTTTCTTTCTTTTTCGGAATGAGCGCCGATGGAAGAGCCTACTACTACTTAGTACTGCTCTAGAATCAGGGCGTCCATGAATGAACCCCGGCAAGTGGGCCAGCCAGTCTCAGATAAGATTAGCCAAGAGGTAGTCGGCTGAAATACGAAGAGGGGGAATGGCTTAACATGTGATGCCTTTATTCATCCGTATTTCATTATTATTATTATATTAATATTACATATAGAATGAACCTTTGGGTGCCGACGACGCCTAAAACGGCAGCTCATGAGGTTTCTGGCGTCGTTGGCACCAGGAACTTCGCCTAAATGGGTAAGGCGCTCATGCCGCTTTAGACTGGCGACGGTGCGGCATCAGACGCGTATCGGTATTACTGTTTTTTTACCCTCAGCCAGCGGGCTCTGCCCCACCTAGGATCCCTGCCTTGCTGAGCCCACATCCTCAGCATAACCTGCTGAGGATGCTAACTGGAGGGTGGAGTCCAAGTCATGAGGGAGGCAAGGGCCCTTGCCCTTGACATTACTGAAAGAGGTTCTTTTGCCTTACAGTGCAGAGAATGAGGTAAAGGAAAAAAGATAAATAGTGCCATGAACTGCTGCTTTCCTTCCACTATCATAACTGCATCCTATTGTAATGGGGGGCGTACGTGCGTTGTTCCCTGCGACAGGAACCGGGTTATGATCGAGGGATCTCAGGAATGGACACACTGAACAATCTAGCAAAACGATATAACGATAAAAGGAAACACAACGACGAAGGAGCCTCGCTCCGCTCTATACAATGACGACGATACTAGTGAAGCAACCTAGAAACCAAAAGAATGCTCTCTTTCCCGTAACTATCTGGGAGGGAACGCTCCATTAAGTACTCCGGCCGTGGGCTCCACCATACATTAGTATGTCGGAGTCGGCGGTTCTACGGTGTTCCAAGATAGTAAATATGGGAGATCCGGAGTTTTGCAGTGCCCCCGGCACACCATATGAAAGGGGAGGACTAAAAGCTAAAGATATAAGTCAAGTCTTTCTGAAGAGTTGCCTGTTGTCAGGGCCCTTGCCATGTAGACCAGGACGAGCACGTGAGCTTCCTTACTTGGATTAGCGTGGCGCGTGGATAGGAGTACGTCGTCCAGCTTCACGTAGATCTCTTCCTTTTTCCTTCCTCTCCATGCTTGAAGTTCTCGTCGATAGCTGCCTAGATAGTCGAATAGCATCCTATTCATCGTCTAGTTGAGTTCCGTGACACCTGTTGACTGTTTACTCATGAATGCAGCAAGAGATTTGTGGTTGAATATGAAGATAATCCAATATTTGACTTACTGTCCCAACTGTTGTCATTGGCAATTGATAACAGCATCTTTATTGTGATAATTAAAGATAAGGTGGATATCTATATTGTGCTGATCCCATCACACTGCAAAGGCATTCAGATAAAAATCAAGAAAAAGAAGTTGGATATTCCAATATTCTGTGAACCTGAACACACTGCAGAAGGTTATTAAACATCTGACACCTAGCTACTGAAGTCACAGATGTGGAGTCACATTATCAAATAAATTAGGATCTAGGCCAGCTAGGCACAGAACCTAACTCAAAAGGTACTCTGCTATGGCACAATCAATGCAATCAACAGTAAGATTCCTACTATATAGACCTTGGACTCTGACTTATCACACTGTGAATAGACAGAGCACTGTTGTTGATTTATAATCAGGTTACAGACCATGAGTCAAATGCTATCAAATATTATTTTAACAAAGTTGTGGACTTTGATACTGCAGCAGCATTTTATAAAAGACTGTCAAATAAGATTGTGCAGAGAGAGCTGCAGTCAGCAACACTTCTAGCAGACAGTACTGCCCCTATCAGCCTAACAGATACACAGTCCTAGAAGATTTCCAATAATCCTGAAGTTTGCCACCTCAGGAAGGCTTGTCAAGATTTGATGTCAAAAATTCATGGAATGGGATATAGAGCCATTAAGGACGTGGCTGGGACAGAAATAAGAGAACAGAAGAGGTAAGCAAATGCAGAGCTGAGCAGCATGCTTACTAACTTGTGAGATAAGGCCAAAGAAAGGAACTGGAAGAGGTATTTTAGGAATACTGACACTGTGATTTTCAACCAACAGTATGATGATGTGCCGGGGGCACTGCCAAACCCCCGATCTCCCATATTTCCTATCTTGGAACACCGTAGAACCGCCGACTCCGACATACTAATGTATGGTGGAGCCCACGGCCGGAGTACTTAATGGAGCGTTCCCTCCCAGATAGTTACGGGAAAGAGAGCATTCTTTTGGTTTCTAGGTTGCTTCACTAGTATCGTCGTCATTGTATAGAGCGGAGCGAGGCTCCTTCATCGTTGTGTTTCCTTTTATCGTTATATTGTTTTGCTAGATTGTTCAGTGTGTCCATTCCTGAGATCCCCTCGATCATAACCCGGTTCCTGTCGCAGGGAACAACGCACGTACGCCCCCCATTACAATGAGAGTGCTGGCCTAGAGAGAAGTAAGTGTCAGAATCAATTACCTTGTCATTACCAGATTCCTGAACAGGCAGAGCTAGTCCACCTCCTGTGCTACTCTGCAATTGCCAAAACAACAGAAGAAGCCCACCATCATTAACTAGCATATATTCACCTTATGGTCCACTGGCAGGGTCAAAAGGAAAGCCCATGTTGAGGGAGACAGGCAGTGATCACAATGCAACATCTGCCAGCTCTGAAGCCACCCAGAACTAAAATTATTACTGAGAGATATGACCTTTTGAGATATGACCATTTGTAATGCCCGTTTTGCCTCTCAGACACATGTCTACCTCTGCCTAACTGGGAAAAGCAGAAGAGCAAGATCAATAAGCTATGGGATCATGTAGAGAATATTCACCAGCAGGAACTTGCAGCATTTGACACTGGCAATCACTGTTGTGGGATATGTGGCATACAGAACATTGATTTTATACCTTCCAATGTGTTGTGTTTCAAAAATCATACCCAGACAGTCCATGGGATCAGGCTACGTCCGTGATGTGTTTCTCTTCCGGCTTCTACCCAATTCAGGACCAATTAACTGGTTAAGAAGTTCCGCCGGTCAGGAACCACGCATTTCCCCATCCTCGTTGGCGATGATGGACATTTATCTGGGTTACTGGACTGGGAATCGACAGGCTGGTATCCAGTATACTGGGAATTTACTATATACCCTCAGTAAGACGATATTCGCACTTATACGATACAATCCTAGGTGAAAGTGGAGTATCGACTAACCGGGGCCGCACTGTACATACATACGTCGTGAAGCGGGTAGCTCAGGTTAGGGGGATTGAGATTTGATATGGAAAAGGTCACGTGGTATGGCGGCTTGGCTCCCTCTCCAACCCCTGAGAATCCGAGCCCCTGATTGTATGTAGAGCAAGTGAGATAGAGAGACAAGATCTGAATGGCATCCGTTCCTTAGTAGGCTACGTACGTGTAGTCGATACAGCTTCATTCTGCCCTTCTTCCCTGAGTTACATGCATATTCCACAACAAGATTCGATAATCCGGACTGTACGAGGCTAACTATATGGATAAGAACTGAATTACGCGAGAAGATGATATAGATAAACTATGTCCACAGAAAGATTATAGAAGGGGGTATTACTTTAGGAACTGAAAGGGACAAGAGGCTGCAGAATAGCTGCTAGCCTCGGATTCATGCAATATGGTCTGTCATAGCTCTAGTCCTCGATATGGACAATAAACTTGATTTAATAATAATGATAATAATAATAAATTATATCCACCATGACAATAGAATGAGTGCTTGCTAAAACTACTCTAGGAGCGTTTCGTCACCGTGTGATGAAATCCCTCCGGAGTTTGTGATGAAGATCGGGTAAATGTCGGCCCGATCTAGCGAGCTCCGAAGAGGTTTCATCACACAGCGATGAAACGCTCTTAGTTAGTTCTAGTAAGCACTCTGCGATAACTTCAATACTATGTATATTCTCTACTGCGCGATACTATCATTATACATCTCGGCTGCCACATAGACCTCGTACGGCTATCCGGACAATCGGCACCGCTGCCCCGAAGCTTCCCCGTTTCAGTTTGCTAGATCGGTCCGATATTCATCCGATATTTATCACTACTTTCATCACGCAGATTCATGGTCGGTTATCACACGCCTGCTGTTGCACCATGAATGCATGGGCTGTGTGTCGCCGTTTTCTCTTCGCCTCGACCCTGACCTGGCGTGACTTTCTCGAACCCTCCCGACCGTCGCCATTCTTGCAGTGATCATCCTCTTTGAAATACCCACATGATGTGGCCTGTTGCTTCCACTCATGCACCTCGCATTTCCGGTTTTCGATGTGAGATTCCCACCTCTCTACGTTTTCCTGCCTAGATCGGGGCTAAAAAGAAGAAAGGCTATTGCTCTTTCTGTCCTTTTGTCTTTTTTCTTCGCAAATGAAAGGGGGGCGTTGGCAAAAGACCTACCCGTCACAATCGAACTTTGTGGACATCATATGGACCAGGATCCCTTTGAATCAGAGAGGAACTAGGAAACTGAGATATGACTTCCCAAGCCAAAGGCAAGCACCTCCCGGCGCTTGCACCTGACCCACGAGGTCATCCGAAGCAACCTTCATCAATGCGTCTCGTCCCGGGGCCATGAAAAAACTCGGTGGCTTGTTTGCCGTGCAAGCAAATAAAAAAAAAAGTGAGTTATTGTCATATCAGAAGAGTTTCTTTGGCAGACAATACCCATTTCAAGCATCTGATCAAGGGCCGGAGGACAAAATGACCACAAAAGGTCCCTCCCCCAAACGTCAATTATGGAACCAAGAGCAAGTAGCTAACTTCTTTGCCCTTGCAGTGTAGTGGACATCCGGCTCCGTGTAAAGCATGCCGAAATACTGATACAGAAGCTGATTGTGTTTTCGATCCGACTCTTGATCTTCGCCGCAAAGTTGCCCAGAGGCGCATGATTGATGAACGGGAGTATTATCGGAACGTGCTGTCTTCTCTGCTGGACGAACTTCGCTCATCGGATGATCAATCAACTTGTCAATTTCATACGCAGCGATGCGTCAATGGGTCGTATTGTCACCGTCCTGGCAGATACATCAATCAGTCTCGATGACTTTAGTTCAATAAACCTGGACAACAACCAGAGCGTGGAAAGTGCCATTCAGAGTTTACTTCCGCCGTCGGCTTCATGCTCGACCAATACATGTTCACGGATAACGCTCGAGAGTCTTGTTGATATACCCCTGTTCCAAGTACCCGCGAAACCTTGGACTAATGTCACTGATGATGACAATCTTGTCTCCCACCTGGTATCTCTATACTTTACATGGGATCATCCGTGCTGGCAGCTGGTGGATCAGAAAGTCTTTCTGTTGCATATGAAAACGGGTGACCTGGGGTCACAATATTGCACACCATTCCTGGTAAATAGTATCTTAGCCATGGCCAACGTATGTCGTCAATGCCGCTCCACCTGGGCTTTGGTACTGACAAATGGCAGGTGTATTCCGATGCCTCAGATGTTTTGGCTATTCCTGGAAATGTAGGTTATTGCGGATTGCACTTTTATATCGAAGCCGACAGGCTTTGGAGAGCCGAAGAAGGTACAATCAGCTTGGCCAACATCCAGGGCTTGGCTATCATGTGTCATGTGTGAGTGGCCCTGAGCACCGTCTTCTAAAGGTTGCAGCTAACTCGATGATAGGTTGAAATGCCAGGGAAAGAATGGAGCTAGCTGGCTGATGCTGAGACAAGCTGTACAGCTCGCGCAGGATTTCGGAATGTTTCAAGGCCCAAGGCTGCACGCGAACTGGAAGGAAATGGATGCTGACATGCAGCGCATTTGTGCAATCACTGCTTGGGGGATCTTCATCATGAATTTGTAAGAGGCCTTCCGCAAATCTGCGCGAACAGCGACTCATTCTGATCAGGGACTTGTCCATGGAACTACACAAGGACGCGAATCTCGAGCCCCCAATGTGCCGGCCTCACACGTCAGGTGACCTTAATGATGATATCTCATGGATCCCTTATCCTCGCTCGAACCAAATCGAATATGCCAACAAGCCGGGGCTTCTTCGTCATGTTGCGACGGAACTCTTCAATCTGACAGAGGTTACTGCGGCTATCCAACAGCTGTTTTTTATGAATGCCTGCCACATGGACGTCAATGATCTCTGGACAAGGACTAATGAGATATTCTCCCGTCTACAGGAATGGCGTCAAAACATGCCAGATATTTTGAAGACCGACGATTATCCTGTCCCGCAAGTACTGTTCCTTCAGTAAGCGCTTCCGACCACCCCCGAGGCTCATAGGGTCATGCTAACCCGCGTAGTCTCAAATATAACAAGGTGGTATTGTCATAGTTCAATGCCTTTCTGGGGCACAGGGGCCTGGATAGCCCATCACATCCAGCTTGTTTTGAACAAATCAGATTAGTTCGCCTTCAATCGGCCAAGGACATCGCCCGATGTTTCCGCATCCTGCGATTATCCTATAAATATAAGCGAATACCCAGCCATATGCTCGAGGCGGCGGGCGCTGGTCTTGTACTGATGGGTGACTTGACAAACGAGGAATCCGGGAACGCGTTTCTTGAACTTTGCCGGGTTGTAGTGGTGTTCGGCAAGCGATTGAAACAGGCCAAGTACATGATTGCAAATTTTAACTCGGTTGCGCATCAATCGGGAATCGTCTTACCGCCAAAAGCAGTGTTGATTCTTGAATCGGGGTGATGACCCCTGTTGCATGCGCTCAAGAAGTTCGATTGTTGCCTTTTTTTTTTTTCTTCTTCTTCTTGGAAATACCCCTAGTTCTAGCAATCACATATCGATTCTTGGGCAATGAAGGAACGGACGGAGGCAGGCACATCAATGCGTCAATATGTCGATACGTCAATACTGTCTGGATTACATTAGCGAGGTTAGTACCATTGACTGGATGGGACCTGTTGGGGGAGTCCAAGGAGTTGGTTGATTATCATGTTGATATGCTTGGAAGGGTATGTAACCAGTTAATACTTACATTTACGTGGCCAGGACGTTACTGTGCTTAAATTGATTCTCGTGCTAGGTTTCAGGGCCACAAGAGCCTGCAGCTGACTGTCTCTGGGTTGTTGCCAGACCAACATGTTGACCTAACGTTACATGTCAGATCGTCACGCCCAGTGCAGAGCGAAGGGCACAAAGATGAAAAGAGGGGTTGAATGGCATTCCAATGTCCCGGACTCGACTGGCGTACTATTTCGAGCTATATTTTGGATCAGACGCCCTTGATAGGACAGGGCTCGTTATCATTCAAATGATCGGACTGACATAGGACTAGGGAGTGATAAAGTGTCGACCACTTACTTCAATTCCACAAAAAGCATCAGTTTTTCCTTCCCCTGCAGAGCGTGAGAAGTTAATGCTTTATAGATTATGACTCTCTTTACTAATGATAATCCTGATATTCTGAAGTACTCCGACTGTGCTGGAAAGAGAAGACGACCTGACCACTTAAGAACTAGTTAGCTCTGTCGTCTTCTCACATTATTGGCCGTCTTTTACTGCGACGCCAGTTTCATTGATATTAATTCACCTTCGTCGGACTCCAAGAAAAAAGTCGAACTCCAAGAAAAAAGTCGAACTCCAAGAAAAAAAAAAAAAAAAAGAAAAGAAAAACGTCATGATTGCTGTATGGTACCATCTTGTAGGAATTGCATCCCGCCTAGGTGGTTGACTCCGGAAATCGCGTTCCAGGACGTTGATCTCAACATGAAATTTCATTCCTGGTAATCTTTCTAGACCAAGAGACATTGCTAGTCGGGTTTAAATTACCTTAGAATTGAATTCTAAAGCTAAGGATTGCCTCCTTTTACCACACCCAGGGTCCTCAGACGCGTCTCTTCCTCATTGCCACTGATCATCATGGTCCATAGTATATCAGCTCGAGTCTTCCTGATCCGTCATGGCGATACGAGTTGGTCTGTTGGCGGCAAGCACATGAGCTTCACAGATGTGCCTATGTCTAGAGAAGAAAGCCAGGTTGAAGAGACTCGAGATTGCTACATAGGAAGGCACAAACTGATCGACCCAGAGAATGTGGCCATGATGCAAGTGCTTCTAACTCTGCTTTGTCAGAATCGTTGCTAATTGAATTGGAATATATTCTAGCTACGTCTGCCCACAACAACGAATCAAACGGACAGTCGAGATCCTCCAGCTGGGCGTTCAGAGCCAACAAAGCTTCCTCGACCGGGATGATCAAAAGAAGACGGTGAGCCCACTGACAGGATCCCAAGGCGCATCCTCAGCACACACACTAGGTAGCTCATCGCTGGCAGTCTCTGCCTCTTTCCTTCTTATATTAAATTTCGTCAGATAGTCTACTAATAGATTCCATTGCTTGAGACCGTCACAGTACGTGCCTCGGTCGGATGAGCATGAATAGAGCATGAACATGGCTATTATTATTTAAATAATAGCCAGGGAAACAAGCAAACGACAACCGAACGAGTTGGTTGAAAGTGACTTCAGACATGGGATGAATGTAGATGAAGGTTGATCTATGTTAAGGGCTAAGCCCGCAGTGCTAATGACTAGCTATCTCACAGAAGATTTCGTTGAAGAGAAGGACGGATGTTCGATCGGACAGCGCTATGTACAAATGTACATCGTGCGGGGTAGGTAGCCTAACCCTTCCGATCATCCCTCCGAATAACATATCGTTTATTCTACAGGCGCAGCCTGTGACATCTAGACACCATGGAGTTTGAATGCTTCATCGCCCGGACCACTATCTTAGCGCCTGAGCAGCATCAAATGACGCCTCCCTGGGAACAATCAAAGCTTGTTCTTCACCATGAACCTGGATGAGTGCACTATAGAGAGGGTGAGTGTCACAGGCTGCGCCTGTAGAATAAATGATATGTTATTCGGAGTGGTTACCTGACTACCTACCCCGCATAACGTACTTTTGTATATAAAAGGCTGTCCGATCGGACATCCGTTCTTCTCTCCTTCAACGAAATCTCTTGTGTTCTAGCTAGTTATTAGCATTGCGGGCTTAGCCCCTAACAGTGAGTCATCACCCAACATCGCGCAGTGCCGCGCAGTTTTGAATCCTTTGAAATCCTTACAATTTACTAGCATAGCCACTAATCATTAGCTATCCTCTTCCAATATTGAACTACTTGGCATCTGCACATAGCCACAAACAGACCATAGATGTTGGATTAGATTACCGCTATTCCTTATGAGGTTCAGCACTCGCCTAGCCTCATCGCCTTTTTATTCGGCTATAAACGGATTAGTCAGCTGGGAGAACTCCTGAATTTCCGGATTCGCTCTTTTTTCTTCATTAGATAGACAGACCTCAATATAACGCTTGTTACTATCATCTCCATCTAGCCTTTTTAGGCGTATTGCCATACGCTGACCCACCAGCCTCAACAATAGAGATATCTCATATGGACCACGTTGAGCCTACAATACCGCTAGGCCACCTCTTAGGAAATTCTGGGTAATGGGGTATTGTATCTAAATGTGGTTGCAGGTCATGTTCCTGCTGAATAATGGTCTTGGCAGATTAAAATGTCACCCATCGCAGTTTCCGAGGTAGCATGATCTTTTGTACAATGTGTACGCGGCTCATGCAAGCTCAAGCCAATTACATAAGCACTTTTACCTCGCGCGAACCCAAAACGACCTTGACTCATCTGCAACCACAACAGTTTTTCCTTGCGTCTTTTCACCCTACTCACATCTTCTCACCTATATCGAATTTCGACATCTATATCGCAGGCAAAGATACTAAGAGTACACAAAATAATATTCAAAAGAAAGATTTGCAGCGGAGATGTTCAGGAATCCCCGACAGGTCGCACCTGACAGCGTTTCTTCAGAATTCAGTCAAATACTCAAGCCTCTACCGGTCATATCATGGGGACAGCTTGCAATGTATCATTTGGGTGTCCCAACTGGGGCAGGCGTAAGTATTTCCTCTCTTATTGTGTCCTGTTCTCACTATCATCGCAGGATCACATGTTTGTTGTCCGAGACGAACATCATCAGACGGCGATTCAGAAGCTCAAAGACTCAGGATTCACTCAAGCCCCTCCTGATCGCCGGGCCGCCCCTGAAATTATGGAGTCTCTCCCAGATCCGCAAGCCGTCCTTGATGAGATTAACAAAGGCTACGAACGCCTAGACCGTTATTGCACGTCATTCCAATTCCCGCCTCACCTTCCGTTCAGCGGGGACCAAATCTTTTTAATCCCCAACTCCTTCGCGCATTTACCACTGGACAATCTCGGCATGCCTTCAAACCTGTCAAGCCAAAGGGCTCAACCAAAGCAATATGAAGTGTATGGCAACTTATTCTATCCGCTTGAAGCGGCATTGGTTGAGAGCTTTGTTAAAGGAGTTATTCATGACATCGAGGAGCTTGGATTTTCGTCTTGGCAGTTGCTACTAAACGCCTGGATATCAATGATGCGGAGCTATCTCGAAGTCAACAATGATATTCTTGATAACTGTGCGGATGAGCGGGCAGTAGAATGGTATAGCACGCACTTTGGTCGGATACACGAGGCCCAGTATGGTGAATGGGACCTCCGGGTTTCAAAACGTCTTGGTTCTGGAAAAGAAATGCCAGTGGACATGAGGGGAAATCCTATCTCCTGATATTTCTACTGCTTGAGGAGGTTGGCGATGAGTTGTAAGACCTGTGACGGCCTGGTCACGTTGGCTGGTTATCACGTGAGGTGTGGTTGTTTGTAATGGATAGGCGCATTTATGGTCGTATTACTAGGTAACCGACCCCTACGGTAACCTTCGGGGTCGCGCGTATTGCGCGACCCTGACAACCACCCGAGCACCCCAGCCACCCGAGCACCGATTTTAGAACTTCGTAGAATTCCAACCCATCAACTTTATCATATAATTCAACCACCACCACCATGCCCAAATTCAATAAAAATTATGAAGATCGAATGCTCAAAGCTATTGACGCGTTAAGCACACAAAATCCCCCAAATATCGCCAAAACTGCACGTGAATATGGAGTTAAACGGCAAACCCTCTCCGCAAGGTGGAAGGGACGGTCCAATCTATGTGAACGACCACCAACCAACACCAGATTATCAGAAGAGCAAGAAAAGGCTCTGTGTCACTATGTTGATACTCTAGAGCAATTAAATATAAAGCCACTTGCACAAATGATCCAATCAAGTGCCAATTCTATTCTGAGATCAACCCATACCAGCCTAGACACCCCTCCACCTACTGTCAGCGAGAAATGGTTAAACTGATGGCTAGGAAGGCATCCTGAATATAAAAGACGTCGCTCTAGAGCTATAGAGCTTGACCACAAGCGTGCAGAGGATCATGAGGTTATTCAGGAGTGGTTTCAGAAGCTCCATCAGACCATCCAGAACCATGGGATATTAAAGGAGGATATCTACAATTTTGATGAGACTGGCTTCAATATCAGTGTTGGTTGTGATCAATGGATTATTACCAGGGACTTCAATATTAATAAGCCTCATATTGGGATGAATTCAAACTGTGAATATGTTACTGTGGTTGAAGCAGTCAATGCAGATGGCTGGACCTGCCCACCACTTATTCTCATGAGTGGTAGCTGTATACTTACAAATTGGTTTGAAGCTGCTGATATTCAACAAGACTATTCAATTGGAGTATCAGAAAATGGCTATATGACTGATACAATTGCCTTCCAATGGATTCAGTCATTCTATCGGCATACTAAAAGATATAGGAAGGGTCAATATACCCTTCTTATATGTGATGGATACGGCTCCCATCTAACACATGAATTTGTTGAATTCTGTGAGAAGACCAATATCATCACCTTCTTCTTACCTCCATATACAAGTCATTTCTTGCAGCCATTGGATGTTGGTGTTTTTCATGCATATAAGCACTGGCATTCAGAAGCAGTTGCAGATGCAACCTACTCAGAATACAGTAAATTTACTAAGGTTGAATTCCTTCATGCCTTAGGGGCAATTCGCAAGAAGACATTCAAAAAGCGTACTATTCGGCATGGATTCCAAAAGACTGGCATCATACCATTCAATCCATCAATTGTACTCAATCAAATGCCTCAACCACATCATCCATCCTCTTCATCCACCAATACCAATGATGTTGATTCCTGGGGCAGTACGCCAAAAAAAGCTGAATGATTTAGGGAGATTGGTGATAGGATATGGGAGATTCATGATATCAACAAGGATCAATTTAATGAGGGCCTAGAGCTGCTTATTCATGGTGGTAGTATGCTAGCATCATATTCAGCTGCTATCGAAGCTGAGCTTGACCGGTATATTAAAGCTGCTAGGGACCGCGCAGCTTGATCACAGGCCTCTAGGCGCAGGATTCGCAAGGGAGGCATAGTATCAAGCTCAGAGCTTGAAGCTATAAATCGAAATACTGCGAATATTAATGAGCAGGCTGAAATAAAGAGGTGGAGGACTAAGTATAAGCGTTGCCTACCAGAGCTGCTGGATGTATGCATTCGACGAGGAATTATTATACGAAGGCAACGACATGCTAGGGCCCAAGCTGAAGAGTAGAGCTTTAGTTTAAATATATTTTGAAGTTAAATACTATAGAATTCGTTGAGATATTGAAGCTAGAAGGGGGGTCTAAAATTGGTGCTCGGGTGGCTGGGGTGCTCGGGTGGTTGTCAGGGTCGCGCAATACGCGCGACCCCGAAGGTTACCGTAGGGGTCGGTTAGGCCTGCCTGTGCCGTGAGATAGGTAGCGAGGGCGGTCTAGGACGGCAGAACCTCACGTGTACTAACAGTTTGCTTTGTTGCTTTGTCGATAAATATGGCGTTACCTCCTTTCTTCCTTCCTCATGTTGATTATTCTCGTCGATAGCTACCTAGGTAGAACCCGTGAGTTGGATGTTCCATTATCCTAGTAGAGTGCCGTGACAAGACCCAGATATTTAAATGAGAAGAATAGAGCGTTAAATAATTCTACAGTGCGTGATTTGTAACTTATGCAATATATATTAGTAGGGTCCGTAGTGTGTACAAACAATTTGGCAGTGGGCATAAAGATTGAGGCCTTCTGTTCCCTTTTTCTTTTTCTTTTTCTTTTCTTTTTCTTTTCTTTTTCCTTTTTTGCTTATTTTTTGAAACAAAAAAAAAAAAAAAAAAAAAATAAGAAAAACTTCTCATCTTGTTTCTTAAACTAATAGATGAATAATGAACGCAGACAGAAAGAACAATGAGTAGAATCAAGGATCAACAACAGTAGAAAGTCAAGCGGAAGCAACAGAGCTAGCAACAGTGTGAGCCTTTCAGACATGGTAGTTTAAACAGTGAGTCACATGGAACAAGTACGTATATCAAAAGCCATGCCACAAGTCGCCTCCATAGCATCTACATAAGCCCCAATTAGTACTTCATTCTGACAAGGACGACAATGGGGCGTACCAGTTGTTGAAGATTGCTGGGCAATTGATCTTTCGCTTTAGGGCCTGTCGCAATCCTGGCAAATTTTTCAGTAGATCTGCCAATGCAGCTTTCAACTCTTCAGTATGACTGAAGTCGAGTTCCGGCGTGCCAGGTACAGTGAAAATGATCAAGCGTTCCACATCACGACTATCACTCTGTGCTTTTGGGCCCTGTCGCTGATACTGTGATAAAATTTTCTCACGCAGAATCCATTCAGGACTGAATGTCTTGACTGGATATCCATTCACAGTCAATGTCCTTCGGCTAGCAGTCTGGAGATCGTACTGAGGCCGCTGTGGCCAGCTTTGGTAATCAAACACTTCAAGTTCCACCAGTTGCTCCTTGCTCCCGGCAAGCGGAGTCTGTAAGCCGGGATGATGTGGCCAAACTGGTTAACCGGACCGAAATCAGATGGAAATGATGTGAGAAGCTGGGTGGTTAGTCGGTCCGCTGTAATCTGGCGCTGATCCACATGGATCACTAAATCCACATCTTCTGTCCTTCGATTTGGGTCATGGGTCAAAAGGCAGACAGCAGCACCACCCATGATTGCATAGTCAATCTGCAATGTATCCAGTCTTTGCGCCAGCGTTGAGGCTATGGACCTTAATTGCTCGGGAGGGAGAAGAGGCATCACGTTGAAAACCTTCTGTAAGTCACTATGAGATGAGGTCACATATTGGAGTAGAGCTTCATAATACAGATTCAGGCTTACCGCAATTGTTCAAAGCGTCAAACAAGGCACTGGATAATGGATTGTTCGTGGATGTGAAAGGTTCTTAGGTTGTCGGTTTACTTTCAACAGTCAAGAATGGATCCGATCCCATACTTATAGATATTGTTGTCCGTTTGCATCATTTGTATCTGCTCAAGATGTTCTGAAATATCCAGCGGCAATTGAAACAAGGGAAGAGCGTCATTGCCATAGTCACCTGGCAAGTGTGAAGGATTGTGGAAGGAGCGAGCGGTGCAAGACTCACTGTAGTGGTTATTCAAATGATGTGATAGGGCACCTTCCCATTTACTCTCGTCGTCTCCGGATAATGTTGACCTCTGTGCGGCGTTCGATAGGTTACTTGCGATACCTGGACTCTGGAACGGGATGAGCCTCGGGTCCTTGAACAAGGTGATGGCGTTAAAATGTGATGAAGTCTGTCTTCTCTTTTGATTATTTCTGGCTCTCTTACCAACATCAGTTAGGAGATTATTCACTACCTCAAGCACATAGAAAGATTCTGGTCCACGCTTGTGGGCCACGACCGCGCGCGAATGGCTAAGATCGATCCTCACACGGTGGACATGCTCCAGCTTCGCGCTCCAAAGGCTTCCAAGGCGGATAAGAAAGCCGTGAAAGGTTTAATTCTCAGCGGCGAGGTTTTCTCTGAGTTCAGTGAGGCCGACCGTGCTGCCATTTGGCATAAACTGCGGTCTTGCGAAGCCTGTGACTGTGTGATCCCTTCCATTCATACCTTCTTCCGTGATATCTCCTATCTCAACGTCTGTGCAGACGCAGTGAAGCGGCTGGCTGTTCTCAACAAGCAGCACCCCACAGTCCAGAAAGCACTGGCCCACAGCTTCCGGCCACGTCGTGCCAACGAGGACTGTCAAATCCAAACATCGGAGACTACATTCCGTGGACAGCCCGGTACGTCTGCTGACCGGAAAGAGACTGGATATCGCCAAATCTGTATGTACGCCATGCGATGGTATCCGGAGATGGCCAAAGACGAACAGAGCCACACTCTCAAGGCCAAACCCACCCGCGCCAAGGCGGACGAGAACGCTATCTATGATATGGCCGTACTTGCGCGGAGACTGGGTTTCCGCTCCAAGCAAATCAAGAACATCTTGAAGCAATCTCCTGATCGGCAAATTGCGCGGACAGCCCTGCTGAAAGCCCGAAGACCTGACCGCTATCATTATGACGATGACATGTTTGAATCTCTCGTTGACCGTATTACGGAGATCTTTTCCCTTGCGATCCCCAGCGACAACCAGCCAGCCGCAGAGCTCATTGTAGGCAGAGCGGTGAAGCTGAAAGATCGGTGTGGGCCTCCTGCGATACAAGCACAGCGGCTGGATCGTCTGCATCTTTTTCTAGATCGATTACATACAGAAATGCCATCGCAGCAGCATGTGTCGTCTTTCTATGTCAGACAATGTGTCTACTATGCCTTCTTCGGTAAACCCTCTGTGCCCCGACCGCACTCGACTACAACCGGAAGGCCCTCATCAGAACTCCCCTCGGATCGTTCCTCACCTTTATTTGTTCCAGATGACTCGCCGCGTGGCGACTTGGAATCGACAGCAGAGGAAGCACTAGCGCGCAGCGACCGGGAAGGACAGCCTACAAGCCACCATCAACTGCGGGAGATACGTAGGGAGCGACGCCGCCAGAGGCGGGAAGAAAGGCAAAATCGACGGCAAGAACGTCGACGAGAGCATGCAGTGGAGCAGGTGCCAGCTGTTTCCCGAAGTTTCTCTCTCCGCGATTCTCCCACAAGCACCATGAGTGATGTTTCTGGGACAATTATAGACAACCAGGAAAGTCCAAGGTCTTCTGGCGTATCAGAAGAAACTGAGTTATGGCCTGAATCCGGGGAAATCGAGCAACAAGCTGAAGAAGGGTCAATTCCTGAGCAGATTGAGCAAGAGCACCTGGAAACAGAAAGTATGGAGCAAGAAGAACAGGGGCAGCTTATGAGAGAGAATGAAGAAAGCGTCGAGCAGGAGCGCCTAGCAAGAGAGGCTGAGGAAAGAGCTGAACAGGAACGCCTAGCACGAGAGGCTGAGGAAAGAGCCGAGCAGGTGCGCCGAGCACGGGAGGCTGAAGAGACTGCTGCAGCACAGAGAGCCGAACAAGAACGGCTGGCAAGAGAGGCAGAAGAAAGAGCTGAGCAGGAACGACTGGCAAGAGAGGCTGAAGAAATTGCTGCTGCAGAGCGGCTAGCTGCGGAAACTGCTGAGCAAGAGCGACTGGCAAAAGAGGCAGAAAGAATGGCTGCAGAAGAAGCTGCTACAGAGAGAGGCCTGAACAAGAACACCCGGCACCAGAGGGAGAAGCCGCTGCACAGTCAAACTTACAGCAGCCTGATAATGAAGGGCAATTACGGCAGGGAACTAGCCACGATGAAGGGGTCACCGCCGAAGATGTCGAGAAACTCCTCGACGGAATGCTTCAGGGCAATCCAGAACAGAAGACAATAGGTAGCCACGACATTCAAGGGCGTGATCTGCTAGTCGAAGGACCGAGTGAAGCTACCGGGAATGCGCACGCCGAAGAAGAACGAGTAGCTAAGGAGCGAGATAATACTCTAGCTCAGTTACAAGAGAAGGCTGAATATAATATAATGCCGTCGGAGAGTCACGAGATACTTGCTGATCCTTCCCGGCCTGTCACTCAACTGGACCTATCCAGCTTGATTGCCAGATGGCGTGAAGGTGCGAGTCAGCTAGACGAAGATGACACACGGCGGCCTCATAGCCGACGTTCGAGACATGGTCAACAATCGCGGCACTCCAAACCTACCGGGCTCAGAAAATCTCGGATGAAGGAAAGATCTACATACCAAGATATCAATCGAACAGGGACCCATGATGCTGCCACATATAAGCAACTGGGATGGGACCCTGAAGCCTCTCTCCCAGGTCCCGTGCCGCCGACGCAGGCGCCACCGCCGCCAGCCAGTGTACCAGTAGCACACTCAACCCGAGAAGGGATAATAGATGTCCATCCTGAGGACCAAACATTGCACCAACCAGTGCGGGAAGTACAAGAGCCGACGTTACCTGCACCGATACCCGAGGAGCATAATGACAGGACGGCAGCGGATGGTAATCGTGTAGGTGGCCCTTTAAACCAGGGCGCCATCCACGCCAATACTCTTGAGAAACCCCTGGAGGGGACTGTCGCACCCCGTACCATGTCTTCCGGTATAGATGGAGCTGGAAACCATCCGTCTTCTGTGGTAATGCCTTACGAGGGCTATGCCGCTTTGGAACCAGCCAAGCGCCAAGAGCTTGCCAGGCAAGGTCATCAAGGAGTCGCGACTGACGTGACAGAGACTGCTGAGGAAACATTGGGACTCGCGCAACAAGAGGAGCAAGAGAGACCAACAGTGGATCGAGCGGATCCAGAGCAAGCCCGGAAGGAGGTGGATGAGAGAGCGGCGGCAGAGAAAGCACTCTTCGAGGAAGATGCTGACCTGCAATAAGAGTCCCAAGGAGCCACAATGAGTTCAGATCGGCAAGAACGCATCATCCCATCTGAAGTCCCGAGCGGCATTAATGCAGAAGACCAGTCACCTTTTCCTGCGGAAATTACATCGGGCCCTCGGGCTGGAGCAGCAACCGTCCAGGATCCAACGACTCATGGAGGCACAGCAGCCGCTCCAAGCCAGACTACTCCGCGCCATGGAAGACGATCCCGGCCACTGGGAATCAAAAAGGCCCGGAATACAGCTAAGCAGCGACGGTCCAAGGAAAACCTTCCTTCCGGCATTGAGCAGACACAGGTCGACAAGCATACTCGCCGTGAACGAGTCGCACAGAAAAAGAGGGCCTCCAAGGTCGTCACGCAGATCGATTTCCGTGCGTGGATAGAAGGAAATCAGACCGTGGCAAATCCACAACCCGAACTAGCTCGTGCAAAACGGCCCCGACCAGTGGATGAGGAAAGCGGGGAGACTGGCCACGGCTCTGCAACCTCTGGCACGGGTTTGACTTCACCAGAGCAGAGGAAAAGGTTACGGCCAAACAGGCCCCGGAAAGGAGAGGAACACGCGCCATCGAATGATGTAAATGAGGTGAACCCTCCACCCTTACCTCCCATGCCAGTTACTGGAGGGGCCTCCTCAGGCTCTCATTGGGATGATATCCAACCTGGCCGGAATGTCACAATTACTTTCCGAGCTTACGAGCGTGGGGAATGGAGAAAGTTAGACGCTGTATCTGTGAATGCCTCTGATCCACGCGAAGCACAAAAACTCGCCGATCACTATGCGCGAGCAGAGGGCCAGAATGCACGATTTTATAACCGTGCCCTCCGAAAGGTCAGTGTCAATCAGTGCGTTCGTGCAGCGATTGATGACGGTACCTTCACCATCCTCATGAGTTTAGGAAGAGAACTGGCTGTGACCCGACAACTGGTGGCTTCGGTCACACGATTGTTTAAGGGTGTCATTGCAAACACGGCATCAGCGACGGACGACAAGGTGTCATAACGTGTAAATTATATTGCTGAATTATACCATGGAGCTGCTGAGAACGTGGTCTGTAGCCTGATAAGGTCGTATACGCGTAGTTTGATGACTGTAATGGTCCCATGCTAACATTGGTCGCCAGTTAGCGATTCAAAGGCCAGAGAGGTCCTGGGACCGTGGTCGCAGGACCTGCACGGTCCGAAGGCCGGGTACCTGGGCACTTAGTGCGAGGGCTCCGGGCTTCTGCCTGCGGTCCTGTGACCCTGGCCATAGGCACAAGGGCCTCAAACACGGGCCCTGCACCCGAGCCCATTGACCAGATCGGTGCTCAAACACAGGTTATGAGCCCGTCTACGATCTCAGACCACGGGCTAATCTCCCTAGGTGTCCGAGGGCTCCGCTGGTCCTGAATCTTACGACATACTACTGGTGCGGTCATCGGTCCCTGCTGTGCTGGACCGGCAAACCATCTTCAACCGGAAGTCCCTCGTGCCTTTGATCCAACTCCATAGTCCCATACACCAGCGCTATCGGCGGGCTTTTTCGATCTGATTTGATCATGCTGTCAGCATAAAACAAAAAATAAATAGGATTGTGGGTGGGCCGGGGAGTTGGGAGGTGGATTCTGAAGATGGACCTTTTCTGAGCACTGGATGCAGCTTTTCGCTTCAACCGAAATCTTTAGATAATTATCATGTCTTTCGTGTGGCCAACCCCGTTACTCCTTCTAACCAATCATCGTCATGATAGTTCCTTTTCAGGCGCCAGTGGCCGCCCATGTTATCTAATCTCATCCTAGACGACAATATCGTCGCGTCCACAAGGCAAGTTCCTTTCTTGATTGGCCATGGCAAAGCCTGCCAGCTCATATATGCAGCTTACCCCGCATGACCTTCGGAAACAACGTTGATTTTTGCGGAAGTGATTGTCAGTATAACCTGCTTGGTAGGGTGGTGAGTCTAGTCCTGTTTGTTGGCTTAGTGAGGCCGGCTGAGGGCAAGGTGTACATCCCGCAGCGGCCTCTACTTTGGTGGTCCTTGCTTTGGACCGCTGCAGGACAGCACGTTTGATTGTTAAAGTATAGTAATAGATCCGGCCTTGATGGGCCATCCGTCAGCAGTCTCGGGTTGACACCCTGAGGGTGGTTGACTGAGATGGCTTCACTGAGAGTAGTACCATACTGTAAGACCTTATTTACGCGGGCCAATAAGGGTCTACCTCAGCAGCCCGGCTCCGACCTCAGTGAGCCATTTCATACATCCTGCATCGATCACCTCGTTTCCACTCATTGTTGGCACTGTGTCCATGCCAGCCTGCGTATAGCAAATACAAAGAGATATCCCTCAACGTGTCCAGCTTCTCAGCGTAACTCTACGTTAAAGATATAAATATATAGGCCTTCCAGCCAAGGTTGCCATTCTAGATCAGAACACAACTTCCTAACACAATTACGCAGATCACATCTCGTCATACAGCGAATGCTCCCCATTTCCGATTATTGATTTTGAAGATGAGACAGCTGAACGGGTTAGTGTCATTATCCCTTAGCGTATCTAGACTAACAACGTCCCAGTGTCTTCGAATCAAAGATTATCGCTTTCGAAGTCGGCCCCAGCCGTAAGATAGTGAAACTTCACTCTGGGCTGCTGAAACCAGGCCAATTTTCCCAGTGTAGCGTCCGAAACACAGGAATTAACGAGGACGACGCAGCCGCGGAATTATATATGATCGATGAGCCCGTTGAAGACATTTTCGCCTACGTTTTCGAATATCTATATACTGGGGACTACACTGTTCTTCTAACAGATGACATTGCTCCTCAGTGCACCGAGAATGACGACTCACAGTCGACCACGCAAGGCCTGAATGTTGAGCTGGAGTGGAATATCTTTGAAAGTTCGGAATCTGTCCAGAAATGGTCCGATTATCTCGTGAGAAGATTAGATCCCCAACCCTCCCTTCCGTCGAACGGAGGCAAGCACCAATATTATCATGGGTGGGACTACAGTAGACCGCTGCTTACTCACGCTCGCCTCAACGACTTCGCCGAACGATATGAATTTTGCGAGTTGCGCGACATTTGTCTCTTCAAGTTGTTGCACATGCTCAATGAATTTCCGCTTCACGAAACCCGAGTCAGGGACATAACACAACTGATACAGTTCGTGTTCCGTGACGGCTGTAGAAAGCCCGAAAACGCGGATAATATCCAAACCCTGATGCTTCATTTTACAATGTGGCATATGAAGCTTTTCGCGCACAACGAGGAGTTTCCGCGACTCTTGCGCGATGTCCCATTGTTTTGCTACCGTTTATTGCAACACATGTGTTCAGTTATCTGGTAGTGTTGCACCATAAAACCTACTCGGAGCCACCCCTTTCTCTTACTTCATTCGTTAACACTTGAGGATCTGCAAATTGGTTCCGACACCATCAGCTCACCAATCACTTGAAGAGCCGCTTAAGGTGCTGGGCAGTCTCTGTTACGTCCACTATTGGTCACGAACTTCTCTGCTCGAGTCGCCATATGGTGGACCTTTCCTTTAACTCCTAAGTTCGTCTTCAGCAAACAATTGATGGGTGTTTGATGAAACTGAATTTGTGCATATAATGAGGAAACGTGGATTTTCTTGTCTACTGGGTTGGTAGAGTGGAGGTCTGGAACCTCATAAGCAATCAATCTAGTTAGCTAGTTAAATAGCTAATTGATGACGTACTGAACCAACACCAGTCAAGAACTGTATAAAGTGGGTGGCAGCTCTAACAAAGACAGTCCCCTGCAGGAGTCGAGTTTTCATTCGTATTCCAAAGGGTGTTATATACAATTCGTTATCTTGTGATGAATACATGCCTTCATGAATTGTCCGAGGTTGATGGCCGTAGCTATCGGTTGGCAATACATAGGTACTACTAAGATCGCGGACAACGTCGGGCCCGGAAAGAGTACCGCGGGTGGCTCATTGGCTCCAATCGTGTCCTATAAACAGAAGAATCGCTAGTGCTTTGTGATGCACCATTCACCCTGTCATTGAGGCTATTGTAGGCCGGCCGACGGCGCTTTGAATGTCCATGGACTGGAGAAGCTTGGTCTCTGGAGTTCTTTAGTCGGCTGTAGTAGATGCTCTGCAGAGTACCTTTTTTCTTATGTGGAAACTGGATGGCGATCTCATTCCACGTATATCCCTCATCCCGTAGCTTAACAAGCTTTCGTTCTTCGTCAGGTGAAAGCGAACCCCGGTTGGAAGGGGGTCGACCAGTTTTCTTTCTATTCTCAGCGGAACAGTCCCGTTCCACCGGGTTATGTACTGGTCTCTTCGCGGGAGCCAACTCAACATTCCCCTGGGACAGCGTCATAGTCTGGAACAGTTGGCCATCGACCACCCGAAAGGTGGAGTAGCCAATGAAGATTGGAATATGTTCAGCTTCGTGAATATCAATAGATAGCGTTGTCTCGCTCAAGCGCCATGGACAATGAGCGTTGGAGGGTGAGTTGGTATTGGTGTTCTCAAAATCAGAACCAGCACATTGAGTGACGGGCTCTTCGGGTCCGCTGCTTGGGTCGGGCTCCCGTAAGCTTCGTATTTCCGCATGCGAAAATTCGACTTGTTTCGTCCGCGGTTGGATGGGGGAGGGAGAGTGCGAAGTGGGTGGTGCTGACATTTGGCCATTGATCGATTGCGCATGTTTTGGAGGCGAAGCGATAGGCTGATTTGTGTCAGAGTCCAGCCCTTTGTTAATAGAATAGCAAGGTGATGCAGCAATTTCTGCGTCTTCACACGGGGTGACCTCCTCGTTGTGAAGCACGGTGGCTTCCAAGTTCACATGGGCAGGAGGTTCAGGACACCTGTCTTGATCTAGCCTAGGGATATGAACACTGTTTGTCTCTCTGCAGGACGAGGGCGATTGACATGCAATTGAACGCGAGCCGATAAACTGATGCCCTTCAGGCGGTTGGTCTGATGGATTAACAGCATCATTCATGTCAGAAGTTTCTTCACAAGGAGTGCCCGGGGCAACCGGGCCATTCTCCTCGAGGTTCTGTTCTTCGGACAATCTGCTCTCTATCCCAGTATCTAGCTCTGCCGGTGTCGTGACATCCACAGCCGAGTTTTGCATGGGCTCGATAGACTCCGAATCTCCCAAAGTATCTGCATTTAAAAGTTGGACTGTTAGTGTCTGGTCGAAACGTGCAGGCAAAACCAATCCATTTCAACCTTACCGTCAACCGGGACATCTAGTTGCATGGTATCATTCGCGGTATCATTCGCATTTGACTGCGCCTCACACGGCTTGAAAGCATGTCGCATATCAATGCCACTTCCACTGGGAAGATTTAGATTGACAGTGTTTGTGCCGGTGATTTCATGAAAACCCTCAGCCAGAGAAACCTCATGAAGATCCGTTCCAGGTAGTGATGGCGGAGACTCGGAAGAAGATATTGGACGCTGAAGTGAATCCCGTACGATCGGCTGTTCATCTTCAAAACTCTGGGTGACAGCTGAATCTTTTTGACTTCCGAGGTTTTCCCGTGGGTAAAAATTCGGCTCAGCTGTGGAAGGGCATCCTTCCCCCGGTATCAGAACGGCATTTTTGGCAGAAGGTATCTCCTTGGAGCTGAAGTGGCCTAGACTATCGGTCTCATTTGGTAAATAAGGGCCAGCTTCTCGCAAATGAATCGCTCGCTGGGGGATGTCCAAGCTGCAACCCTCGTTCGTGTCCGACGGAAGGAAAAGGCCCGCCAGGGGATCAATCTCATCGTGCTGTATGCCACTCATGTCTGGTGAGGACGCGGATGCACAATGAGATACTGCGCGATATTAGCAACTCATTTCAGGGCATCAATTTCTTCGAAAGGGAATACAAACCATCACCGGAAGGACGTTCGCATGCATTGTTATCGCAAGCAAATCTATGATGAGAACGAGCAGAGAACTTGCTGGAAGCTGCTATTCTGTTGCTGGATAGACAGTCCTCATCTCCTATCTGACATGCAATGTCCGGCGCAGAAGTGGAGGTTAGGTGTAGGCTGAATCGCTCCTCCTTTGAAAAACGGGATGGATTGGAATCGGGCTTGTAGAAAAGAACCACTCATACTGCCTTATCTCAGATTCAACAAAAAGTGCGGCAAGAGAATAAATTTGCAAAAGCTGGAATGAAATTATCAAGTCCAATTGAGATTCGAAATAGGAGGCCGGATCTCCGTTTAAATATATCGCAGCGGAAGAAGGTCTTCATCCACACCGTACCCTCGGCTTCAGCTCCCTACGGATCGACATCGGATAGGCCGGGCAGGCAACTCACCGTCGACCAGGAAGGACATCTAAGGACGCCTAGTGCCATATTGCATGGTCGTACGTAACATTCTCCATCGCGTCGCATAACCAGCTGGGGGCTGAATCCTACCCTCTACCCTCGCCTCCGCGCCCAAAACGTTCTCATATAACCGGGTGTGGATCTGCTGAAAATGCCTCCCGGTCACCACCGCAAATAGGTGAGGCAATTCGCGTGCAGGGTTCACCGGGGCTGTGGAAGGACGCATTTCGTTGTTATACCTGAGGCGGCGTCTGAGTGGCTGGCGCACGATGTCATGGCTATGCCATTGGGCCGAAAATCACCAAATGGGGAAGATGTCGAGACTGGCAATCCCACGACGCCTGGTGCATGGCAGCTTCCGTCGCGTCGAATATCAACGAATACGGGTATGTGAGACTGTTGGAATAGAACGGGACCAACGCCTTCGATGTTTCGCTTCACTTGTGGCCGCCATCAAACACAAGCTCGGAAAGAACGGCAAACTATCTCCCCATCAGGCTATCCGGAAGCACCGCGAATGGAAACCGCATCGATCGTCCAGTTTCGGAGACTCCGGGCCAAGACGTCATCAAATCTGCCCAGAATCTGCCCAAAACATGCCAAAAGAAGCGAAGGCCGAGGATTGAATCCACAGGCCAGCACAGCTTCCAATTAGGCCAGCAAAGCGGCACAGACGAACAAATGCCGCGTCATCCTCGTGATTGGCAAAAAAGACCCAGTTCAACTGATTTGGAATGAAACAGCCACCGAGCGGAAATTAGCATCGGGACAGCCTCATTCCAATTATTCAATAGCACACTTTGCCTTCAGTGGAACCACCCGGAAAGCGCCATGGGCATTTCTGCCTGGAGGAAGCACAGCGGACTGATGTTTAGCCATGGCGTCAGAAGGGGTTGGATGTTGCCTTCGACAGTGCCGCAAACGGGAATAGAATCCAATCGATTTGAATCCGGATATCGCAGAAACGGCGAGCCGAATGTAAGCATGGACTGAACGCGTATTCTGCCTTGGGAGCCTAGTCCAAAGCCCAATCGAAGGGCAAAATGGGTCCGTGGTTCCAGGGCGAAAACCGTCGCTGTAGCCCCCAAAGGTCAGGCCTGGGGTGGGGTGGGATGCAGCTCGGCAACCTGTATCACACAGCCCACCTCACAGCCAGGCTGCATGGCGTGGAATCTCCTCCCGGGTGAGCGACGCTGGTAGCCATCCAGGGGTGCGTCCTCAGCGACCGAGAGACGGATGCGGGCTGGCGACAGGAGAATGACCAGGACTGTCGGTGGGGAAGGAGAAACTCGCAGCGCAGGGATCGTCCTCCAGCGGCAAGGTCGGCGTTGGCTGTGCGAGGCAACGGACGCGACGCAGGCCGGGTGGGAATGGTGGTCCAATATCGCGGCGAAGGATGGCTGAGGAGGCGTCGTGAGCCGGCTGAGGTGCGACCTCAGCGAAGGGGGAGGGATGGGAGCAAGACAGAACGTTACCGATACCAGGGCGGCGAACGGCAGCCTTTATAGCGGCGCGGGGGCGGGCGGTGAGGGGCGGCAGTGCCGGTTTTGGCGAGGCCATTTCCGGATGCGGCGGCCCCTAAAGGCAAATAACATTAATAATTTCGGCTTCTTCGTAACTCGCCACTCGGGCTTGAATATCCCACATCCTTGAACAAACATCCTGGTTGAACCACGCATGCATCATCATTGCAGCAGAGCTGACTCCCAGGCGGTCATTGTTATTACTAACTTCGTTTAACTCTGCACCTTTATTCATTGGAGAAGGATGATAGATACATAGGGCTGGCTTCCTTTTGCGTCGCATTGGCCGCATGGAATGGAGCGGTGCAGCGGAGCTTAGACTTTCTGCACAGCTGACGAAGATATATACAGTGAATCATCAAGAATACCTAGGTTAGGGGCTATGTATATCCCGGTTATTGTATCCATCACAACACATATCTGAAAGTAGATCCATAATTCTCCTCCGCAACTGCCACGGGAGCGCCCTTTTCCAACTCTTCGGAATTAATCTGCGTCATCGTCTCTTGCTCCCTGTCTAGACGTCTATTCTCCCACCAAAGGAGCTGTCGGAGACCTAGGGCAAGGAACGTGGTGAAGAACATGAATGCGGCACAGATCCATTGGCCTCGAATATAACGTGGCCCCTCTCTGTCGGGGAATACGTTCGTACCTAGGAATGGGCCGCATTGTCCGATTACGTTGAGGATGACAATGCCCATACCGCGGCGGGTATCGGAGCCCTGGTTGTCTATAGTGGAGTAGGTACTGTCAGTATCTATACAGATGAAAAAAAGGTATATACCGCCAAGATATCAACCCACTCAGAACCCAAGGAAGTATGTTGGCAATGCAAGGGAAGACTCCGCTGGCAGCCAGGAAAACTCCAAAGTAACGGACTCCGATAGTGGTGCAAGTTGCGAGGAGGACATAGCCAACCGCCCCAATAATTGACATGACTATTATTACAAGGCCACGCTGCTGGAGGCGATCGGCAATCCATGAAGTGAAGATAGTCATCAAGAACGAAACAAAGAATGGGGGTGCCGTCAATCCCTGTGCATTAATGGCAGTGAAGCCCATGTCTTTGATAATGGTAGGAAGGAAAACTGGGAGAGAGGAAAAGCTGACATTGCAACTAAAGTACATAAACTGCATGCTTGTTAGCTGCCACTTTTCTGTAAATAGATTCCGGTTCGCTTACCGCTGTAAACCATGCTTTAGGATCCAGCAACGTCAGCAAAATCTCCTTCCAGTCGATACCTTGCACACGCTCCGCATCGCCGGATCTGAGGAGACCCCTGGCTCTTGCAACTGCTTTTTCCTCTTCCGTCAAAAAGTTGGCAGAAGAAGGATGATCGGGCAGGAAAAAGAAAGCGAGAACAGCACCGATGAGTGTTGGAACCCCCTCTACAAGAAAGAGCAAGCGCCAGTTTGCCAACTTGGAATGTCCAGATGTGATACCATAAGCCAGTGCACCGGCGAATGTGTTTGCAAGGGGCGCTGCAGCCAGAAATAAACCACAACGCAAGCCGAGTTCGTGACGACGGTAAAAGAAGGACAACAGGTAAGGGACACCGGGACCATACCCTGCCTCAAAGGCACCGAGCAAGAACCTAAGGGCCATTGCACCCTGCCAATTTTGAACGGCAGCTTGGCAGGTAGCAGCGACACCCCTGTGTCCAGTTAGAACAAGCAGATGGTTACTATAAAGCGTCTAAGGGGACCTACCAGCCAAAAACAACAATGGCAGCCCATACGTGGGGCGGGAGGATTTTCCACATCAACGCTTGAAACTCGAAGACAGTGTAGGAAATGTAGAAGATCGTCAGGAGCCATGAGTAGCGGTTTCCGGTGAGATGAATATCATGCTTCATTCCTGCAATTTTGGCATTTCTGGACCGATGTCAGCACCGCGCCACATGTGAGCGTTTCGCACACCCTTGAGAGTGAGGAGGACAGACCCGATGTTGCTCCTGTCAAGAAAGGCCACAAGATCTAGCTAAATTGTTAGTGATATTTGGTAGATAAATAATAAAGCCTTGTTCAGAATGTACACAAGAATCCGAGAAGCGTCGGGACTCTTAAGTCCAGTTTCCTCACAACTCGCGCTTCCACAGCGGGATCAATCACCGACTCTGCGCGGGTATTCTCAGGCTGCGCTGCAGTCTTCTCGGAGTCTGGAGCAATAGTGGTCTCCACCGCACGTTCAGGCGCAATTTGCGCATCATTCTTCCCAAAGAATCTCATTCTAGACGGTTGATTTCAGAGAGGAAGTGCGTAGGAAGGGGAGTGAAATAAAGAGACAAAGTAAGAGCGGGTTCCAGCATTGGATATTTTGCGAATAGCGCATGACTAGCTAGCTAAGCCAGCACAGGGAAGAAATCGAGTCATGCTTCACCGGGAGGCCTCCCCTTTTGAAGTGAATATGGATAGCCTCCTCGGAATTTGACCGAACCCCATATTAGATCTCCAGACTGTGGGGGAGAAGTGCGGGGAAATATTTAGTATTATTTTGTGCGAAGCCAGGTGGTTACTTTCAGAATGAGAAACGCCATGCGATGTCGATCAGAGATGCTGGTACCAATCATGGCGCTGTGGCGGATGGTGTTTTGTTGTTGAGGTCGAAGCGCATTCACTAACAAGCAGTGATCAGAAGCAAAGCCAAGTTAGGGCACGGGGCTTGGCTCACTTGGGGCTAGCCCTATGCTTGGTCAGCCATTCCTACATGACTAATATTTACGCCTGAGGCATAAATAGCGCACAAGGCCTGCGCCGCCCGTCGTAGCATATCTCGCTGTTCATCTCAATTCTGCCATCTTCAAAATCCGCGTCGCGTCCTCAGCTCCAGCTTGCTAACAGCTTGTCTCTGCCAGACCCCTTTGACTGGGCTTGTTTCTTTTGCTTTAGACCCATTTCCTGTCTATTCCATTTTGCGACTACATTCATATCTCATTCGACGCAATCAACCGCCTCTTTGACAAGATGGACGACCCGGCAAGTCGTGTGCCGGCGCAGTTGGTAAGTTACCACCACACTTGGGGATCCTCATTCATTTCGATGCATTTTGGTATCTTTTCCGGTCGGTGCTGATTTCGCGTCGCATAGCTGCCGCACATGCATCTCGTCTCGCGATATCGGTATCCGTTGATGCATATGCTGCCAACGGATACCGTTGTCGAATACCTCCTCTCTGCGCCCAAAGTCGTCCGCGAATTACAACCGATGCATTGGACGTTTATAGACGGACCCCCGGATGGAACTGTCATGCTGACTTGGCAACCGCTGAATCATCTGGGGACAAATTTCGCCAGCGATGGTTACGTCTGGGCTGATGTTGAACAGTCATTTACGTTTGAAGCCCGTGGATACGTATGCTTGCTTGCGCATTTGGAATATTACTGTATTTTACCTTTACTGACGGGGCTTGGCAGACCGTAGAGATGTTGCTTCACCGGAGTGGATATCATCCTCCGAATGAGGTTGCTGCTATACATTGTCGCAGGCGATACCGTTTGTTACCTCCCAAAGTCCCGAACCCGAGTCTCCCTCCTCCCGATCCGTCTCTGTTTATCGTACACTACTCTAGAGCTCCTCAGTCGGATCACGTTCCAGCAAATCGAATTCCCATTCTGCCGCAAGTGCAGACCATAATAGGCCAACGACGTTTCTTGCAAAGTCACGGGCAGCTTGCTCGAAAGGATTTCATGCTCCACGATCGGAATAGTTGGCCGACGATCAACTTTCCACAGCAGATGGGGATGCAGGGGTTTATGCAGCCTATGGCTGCTTATCCCAATGCAATTGTTGGCCGTCATCCTGGTTCGTTCTACCCCCGTCCCCCATTCCAAGGAACGACTGTTCCAACTGCTGCAGGCCAACCAAAAGCGCCGCGTGGACATCGTGGTTCGACTGCGGCGATGAACGCTGCTGCAGCCGAATTTGCTCTCGAGGATGAGGATGTCTCCACGGGTGACATGATGGACCTCCTCACACCTCGCGAAGTAAGCAAGATGAGATATCAACAGCACCATGAATGGATGGAGGAGATCTTTGCTTCACCTTATGCAATCAGCCAGATCACGCCGGTATCTCTCGGTCTAGGGAGAAAAGGCGAGCTAGAAACACTGACTGCTGGCTTTTTCGACGCACCCGCCGCACCTTCTGCTACCGGTGAACCTAGAGACGCACCGGACGCTTCCAAACTGGAACCCGCTAAGGCAGAGGAGTTTGCGGATCGCGTCGCGAAGAAGGTCGCGGACATGACGGCGGAAATTGAGAAATTGAAGAAACGGCATGCTCGGAGGATGAAAAAGTTTAATCGTACCTCGGCTCTCAAGGAAGCGGAGCTGCGACTTCGGGATGCCGCTGCTGATCCTTCGGATACCGGCGCGGACATTTGGAGACTGGAGGGTCGGGTTTGGATCCCCGAGGAAGGGGGTACTCCTCAGGTTGAAGAACCAGCCAAGTACAAGGTTGACGATGTTGTGAGAGAATTGGAATCGTCTTGGGAGAAGAGGATTGTGCCCGAGCCCAAGATCTCGTGCGTTCAAAAGGGTGGCCTATTGGAGAAGATCGAACCAGAAAACGTCCCGGCGGATCAGACAGATGTGCTCATGGAACAAGCGGATAGCCATTTCCTTGATCAGTTCGGTACACATGTTCAAGGGACACCAACAAGTCAAGGGGCGACGATGCAGGCAGTTGGCACATTGGGTGTTCCATCTGCGCAACCAGGCGCTTCCATTCCTGACTTGGACGTCGATATGGACCTGGGAGGCGCACAGCCATCGAATACAGCGGCCGGAGAAACTGGGGACTGGGTGATGGTGAACAACGAAGGCAATAAGGACCAAGGAGGCGACAAAACTACTGCCCCGGGTGATTCTTCTGGCCTCACGCCGGGCAACCCAGGTAGTGCTGGCGATACCACTGGTCTTGATGGGGGCGCCTTTGACTTTACAAATATTGACACGGCAGGCGACGCGCTGGCAGCATACAGTGAACAAAATGACGGACTGGATCTGGGGGATCTAGATAACTCGGCATTTGGGGACGCATTCCATGCATCAGATAACGAGAACATCCATCATCACGACCCCGATGAGATGTCATAGACATAGTTCCCTTTCTTCCGACGCGTGTATTGTTTAGGTCGTGGTGTTGTCAGGCTTGTCTGTACCATTCTTTCTCCGGGCGTGCATCTTCTATCACCTTTATACTCTATGACTCAAGTAAAATTAGCTGAGGAACTTGTCTTTGTGTCTTCCGTCTTTGCAGTGGATCATTGAGATCTCCGTGCAGTACTGTAATACCTCTCGATAGAAGAAGTTACGCTGTTTTCATACAACAGGCAACACCGACTTGGGAGGATAGTTAATCTTATATTATTCAAATGAAGTATCACCTAAAGCAGACATAATCGACATTTTGTACACACTGTATGCAGTCATGGTGGTGGCACATGATGGCGGTCGATGACAGCTGCAGAAGGCCAACAGCACTCCAGCAGGACAACAATCCGTCATAAGATGGGGAAAGGCAGAGGCACTTGTGATTGTGTCACCTTTACTGTTATTTTGGTTCTGGTTCCATTGCTAACTGATAAAGGGCCGGAGTCCTTTTATTGCCTTTCTTTTTGCAGCTCTTTCTTCCTCTTAGGGTTCTACCGTATATACTCTTTACCAACGTCAACACCAAAACTAGCCATCTTTCTTCATCACTGACTCTCGGTGCTTTCATAGTGAATTCTGGTCCTTGTGTATCGCTTTGTGGTCCTGTGGATAATGGAAATTGTCATGTTTTCTCCTTTGCCCGTCCTTTGTCGCCGTCTGTCTCGTTCATTCGACGACATGATCATTCTTGCATCTTGAGCGAAGCCTTTATCCAGGGTCAGGACAAGTTTCTCGAGTATATATACCGTCAACGTCTTGAGGAATTTGCCTTTAAGCCTCATCAAGAAAGCTTCATCGAGCAGCATATCTGAATCCAGTCTCGTCTCCTACATCAACCCACCATCTCACCATATTCCTGCGAACATCCTTGCATCGGCCTGTCTTCTCTTCTCCGAGTTAATGCTTCAAATACTGCACAGACTGCACTGTCTTATCCATTCATTCATCAAAGACAAGTTGGGTCAGTGATAATCCTCCCAAGATGCCCAGCAGTGAATACATCCACATTGTCGAGCGCTCTCCCCGTTTGGAGATCCGCAGTCCGCTCTCCTCTTCTTTATATTCACCTCTATCCTCGTCATCCCCATTCTATTCACCCTTGTCTCCGTCGTCATCGTCGTCCTTTTCCTTCTCGTATTCATCCCACTCAGATCCCAAAGAAAGAAGAAGTAGTGGCACAACGATCATCTACTCTCCTCACCCTGAGTATCATTCTCACTATTACTTTCCAGGCGATAGGGGCAGGAGGATGTCTTCGTCGTCTTTGTCAAGTTTCAGCATTAGACGCACTCGATCGCGCTCTCGCTCTCGCTCTCGTTCTCGTTCTCGTTCTCGCTCCCGTTCCAATTTCAGTCTTCGTTCGCGGTCGCGGTCGCGCTCAAGGACCAGACGGTTTTCGTTCTCTGCCAGCTCCGGGGATGATAGTAGTCATTATGGCCGTCGTGCTAGTTCCTCTTCTGGCAGTCCGCGGACTCGGTACTACAGATATGGCTCGTCTGTGTTCGACGATGATGACTCTTCTGATGATGATGCTGGTTATGGTCGTCGGGACGGTGTGTCTTATATCGAGCGCGAGCCCAGACGTTATTATCGGGAGTCCAGACGACCGATTTCAAGGAAAGAAAGTATTATGCGGAGAAGTGAGAGCGAGCCGAGGAAAGTGAGGTTTTCTGATACCGCTCGCGTAAGGTATATCTAGGGAGTAATATAACATATTTGTGCTTCTGCATTGAGGATTCGAGAACGCTATTACATTCATTTATTGTTCAGATTCATTTCTTTTAATTTAGCCTTGAAGGTTAGATGGCTGTTATGTTTGGTTATAATCCAGATTGCAGCTGTGAACAATGAATGGAGCCATTCCGCTATTTCTAAGTAGACCCCATTAGCCTATCCTCTAAACACACCGACAAATCAAAAATTTTTGTTCAGAATCAAGTAGATATTGTTAATTCAGAGAGGATCTACGATCTAGTTCAAAAAGTTCAGCTCTGGGATCAACCTTGGGAATTTATCACCTTTAGTCACTGCAAGGATGTGTCCACAGGTATGACCGCAACAGGCCAACGTCCATCATGCCTGTAGATGTCGACGTAAACGATCTGCCCCATTTGAAGAATTTCCAAGGACGATGGAACAAGCGTAATGCCTTGATTGCGCATATGCAGGATTCAAGATCGACGTCTTTCCCAACATCCAGCGTGACGTCATCGGTTCAATGGCCGCGAATCACTTCTGCGAGAGGATCCGGCCCGCGATGGAGGGGATCTCCATCGTGGGCTGTTCGAACGCATACGTATGCGCGCAGCATGCTATAATAAAGCTTTTCCCGTACCTTATACGGAGCGCAGAAACCCTTATTTTCCAGGGACCCCATACCTCGCGGAAAGAGCTACTCGAGAATCCCCAAGGGAAACACCTCGATCCACCCTTTCTTTTGACGAAACCACCGCTCGTCATAGGTCGCAGCCATGTACGTACTGTTTCTCTGACTGAGATCACCTATCCAAAAAGCCAGGTAAATGGCTGACGTTGTTCCTCTTTGAAATATGCTCACGCAGGAACCGGTCATTGTCCATCCGGTCCAAAAGGGACCAGGCGTCATCCAGTCGGCACCGGTTCAGCATGGCCTCGTTCCGCAGTATGCAGCTGCCGGTGTCTAGCAGGAAACTGAATAAACTCATCAAGTCCGAAAATTCAGCCATCGACGCCCACGAAGCCGCCGGTAGAGAACGCATATCCATCGCTGCGCAATTGTCGGACTGGGGTGAATCCACTGAGGATGATGCAGTTTCGGATATTTCGGACAGATTGGGTGTGCTGTTGGCGGAGATCGGGGAGCAGGAAGACGGCTTTTCAATGACTCTTGAAGATTATAGGAATCTTCTCAAACATATTCGGGATACGGAAACTTCTGTCCAGCCGTCGCGGGATCTGACGCTGAAGGTTCTGGACGAGTTGGAGAAACTGAAATACAAGGAGCCCGGGAGCCAAAGGTTGGTTACGTTGGAGCAGGAGTTGGTCAGGGTCGAGGCCCAAAATCTTGTTGCTGAGGCGCAGTTGACCAATGTTGTAAGTGCTGGCATGAGAAAAAAGCATTCTTCTTCTCTTGCTTTCCTTGACCATTGCTAACGTTTCGATCCAAGACGAGAGCAAAGTTCAAGCAGGCTTATGACATTCATCTGGCGGCTGTAATTGAGAGGGCAGAAAAGCAAATCATCCTTGCGCGCCATGCTCGTCGTCTGCTCAACTGTCTTGATGACACTCCTGTTGTCCCTGGTGATCCGCGCCGGCCGTATGAGCATGAGGCTACCACTCGACAGATCCTCGATGATGCCGAAAAGGAACTTAGTTCCTGGGAAAGAACCTGCGAACCTATCCACTCCGGAGCAGCAGGGCTGTCTTCAAACCTCCTGGGCACCGCCAATAACAATGCCCAGCAGGATGTAAAGGAAATAGCTGCTCCTGAGCCTAACGGCTCCGAACGCGGTGCAACTCTGGAGGAGCCACAGCAAACACTGGCAATAGAAAACACCCCTGGCACGGAAGAATACTCGTCTGTCGGGGAAGGCCCATCGAGCACCGTAGAGCATTCTATGGTAGAGACGGTCCAGGAAACCGTGACGACCGAAGTTAATAGAACTGGATAGTGTTACTAGTATTATCAATTTGCCTGCACTTACGGAGATGTATGGTCTCGCAGGGATCGGTGGACAGGCCAGGATATGCATTCTTCGAAGGTATATTAGTATAGTTATGTAACTCATTCGACTGTTTTTCAATTGAGGATGCGAGCAGTAGCAGAATAATCTTTTCTTGTAGCTTCTCGCCTCAAGACGATATTCGTCTAGGCGATGATCACGTGTACAGTGCTGTGACGGAGCTCCAAGCGTCACTTTGGAGCTTCCTTGTCCAGACATCAACAACCACTTCAGTCTCTATCATCCCTGTATAATATTCAAGCCTTCCCCTTATTTGTTTATTCTGTTCGCTCGTCAGTCGCAAAACATGGATAAACTAGTGGCCCAGTACACGCGCCCGCCCCATCAGAATGAGTTCTACTCCGAGCAAGAACAGCGTGCCTTGACAGAGACCCTCCCGCCGCTTACCCTGAAGTTCGATCTTCCACCTTTGGATAATGTGAGTCCCTACAAGCCAGAATATATGTGCTGGCACATATATATTGTGGACTGGGCGTATATGATGTCCCCTTGATCCCTTTGAGGGCCATGTTGAGAATACATCATCAGCTCAGTGAGAAAGGCTGAAAGTTCATTGCTAATGAATTCTCGATTCTTTAATTATATAGTCACCAGCCTTCCTCCGTGCTATGACTGATGACCACTCGAACCCAGATTGTCCCATAAAGCTAGCTCACGGAACGACGACACTCGCTTTTCGCTTCCAGGGTGGAATCGTACGTAATCTGTGACGCGATTTTCCGTGCTCTATGTCTCTTGCTGGTATCAGGACTGATTTTCCTAGATTGTCGCGACAGATTCGAGGGCGTCGGCTGGAGATTGGATTGCCAGCCAGACTGTGAAGAAGGTCATTCCCGTATCGCGGCTGAGTCGCGGTGAGGACAAGCCTACAGATGCTCCGACACCGGGTCTTTTGGCGACCTTGGCCGGAGGTGCGGCGGTATGTCGATAATTTTCAAGTGTTTACAAGCTAGGAGATGCTGACAGGGGAATGTTACCAGGATTGCCAATACTGGTTGCGGTATTTAAGCCAGCAATGCACACTTCACGGCAAGTCGAGGTGTACTTCCGGGTATGGGGAAGACTTAGTTGCTAACTTGATAGACAGAGATCCGACACAAGCGCCGTATTACTGTCGCGGCTGCGTCGAAGATTCTTGCCAATTTGACATACGCTTATAAGGGCATGGGCTTGAGCATGGGAACCATGCTAGCAGGAGTATGTTGCTTATTTTGTCATTTGTTTGTCCCCCTTGTAAAGAAAGATACTGATGTGCTCGTGTTCTAGATGACCCCCCAAGAAGGACCAGCCCTCTACTACATTGACTCGGATGGTACCAGACTCCCCGGGAACCTATTCTGTGTCGGATCCGGTCAGACATTCGCATACGGCGTGCTTGATGCCGAATACCGATACGATTTGTCTTTGGAGGATGCTCTTCAGCTAGGAAGGCGGAGTATTCTGGCCGCCACGCACAGAGACGCGTTCTCCGGTGGTCACATTAACCTGTACCACGTCAAGGAGGAAGGATGGGTCCACCACGGTTTCCAAGACATGAATCCGATTTTCTGGCAGACAAAGTTGGAGAAGGGCGAATTCTCCAATGTTACGTCGGAGTTATAGGTTATTTGTGGCTTGTCTCTAGCCATCACGGGTTTATTTGGCTCTTTTCCAAGCCTCTAATCTGGACTATGCGGACGGAATCGGGTATAGAATGAAATATCGAGTCGATCTCCACCGTATTTCATGAAATCTGTAAGCGCTGCATGTAACTTGGAGTTATCCTTAAGCAGTGAGTGGCTTTGTTATGAGTATATCTACCTAAATAGCCATTCCATGCATTGAGATAAGATGACAGTAGACGTACAACAGGCAAGGAGTCGAAACAGTATATACAGCCCAAAAATAAAAAAAGACACTCGATCAAAACAAGAAGAATAACAGGCATAGAAAAATGTATCTTCTCACGTTCTATAATAAGCAGATCCTTTTTTGCTTTTGTATGCAGCACGCCAATTTTCAAACATCAATCCATCAATTCAATTATCAATCCAGAATTTCATCCGGATACCCATAGCAGCCAATTCAACATCAAGATACCTCAAAACACCCGGCACAGCGACAATAGTCACATTATCACCACCGACAAAGCGTCTTCCATCTCCATCCTCCCAGACTTCGGTACGGGAGTCATCGAAGACAGCCTCCCTCGCGCACCGTCTACAACGCACCACACTAGCCGCCGGCAAGGACGAAGAGGTGAACTGATTTGGCGCCGCTTTGGCAGCAGCAGCGATGGCGCCGGGATTTCGTGCTTTACCGCTCGACCCGACAGCAACCTGCGTCGACAGGAAAGAGCCACAGTCGCGACAGATCCAGGTGCGCATGAAATCAGAGCAGTTCATGAGACGGTCCTGCAGGATGAAAGCGGCTCCGTGGGCGAGGAGAGAGTCACGTTCCATCTCTCCGACACGGATACCGCCTCCCTTGGCACGGCCCTTGACGGGTTGACCGGTCAGTGCGTTGACGGGGCCGGTGGTTCGGACTTGGAATTTGTCGTTCACCATGTGTCGGAGACGTTGGTAGTAAACGACGCCCATGTAGATGTCCGCGGCGAATTCCTTGCCTGTTACACCGGAGTAGAGAGGCTCGTTGCCGTGGTAGTTGTACCCTGCTTTGCGAAGTTGGTGGCCGAAGTAGTCTGCTGCTGTGTTCTCTTCGGAGAATTGGAATGGAGTCGAGTCTTGTGGGTGACCATGGAGTGCACCTGCTTTGCCGGCCATGGATTCAATCATTTGGGCGATTGTCATACCTGAGTGTTTGAGTTAGTTTTTCTTTTCTTTGCCACGTTGATTTGGAAATGAAAATAGAAATAAAACTCACGAGATGGGAACGCGTGAGGGTTGATGATCAGATCGGGCTGCATGCCACTTTCAGAAAAGGGCATGTCAACTGCCGGCCAAAGCTGAGAGCAGACACCTTTCTGTCCGTGACGGGACGAGAACTTGTCGCCGATGACGGGCTTTCTAGGGATGCGATACTTAACGCTGATCGCCTGGCATGGCTCCGTCCCGCTCTCAGCACCAATGATCCGGATGCTCTCAATGTAACCCTCTTCGGAATCCTTGTATTTGATGAAGTGGGTGATCCCGTCGATGTTCACATATGAATCTGACGCTGGATCGTAACGGACGGTGTGCCATGCTGCGACGAGACTGCCCTCTTTCACTCGTGCGCCCACGTGGGGAAGTCCGTCTTCGTCGAGAGTGTTACGCCATTCAGCTTTAATCTCACCACCGGGTGCAAAACCGAAAAGTTTGCTAACTTCACGCCGGGACTTGCTACGTCGGGATTCCTTCTCGTCCAGAGAGTGAATCTTGGTCTTGTAAATCGTACCATGTCCGAATCCGCGTTCATGAGATGATTTGTTGATGATCATAGCGTCATCCATGTCATAGCCGGTGTAGGAAATAATGGCCACAATTGCGTTCATACCGTTGGGATAGTTGTCCAAGCCGTACGCGTTGTAGAGAGGTGGCCGAACAATTGGTGTCTGACCGGTTTGCAGTCGGTACAGCTTGTTGTCTGTGCGATACGCAATCGCGGTGCCTGGGGTACCCATTGCTTGCTTGCTCATCTGGCACTGGTACATGTTACGAGGAGACTGGTTATAGTCCGAGAATGGCGTCATATTGGCGACGATAGAGAGTATATTTGTCGGCGTGAACTCGATGTGGGTCGACACACCGGAGATGAGGTCAGATTCAACACAAGCAATCTCCATGAACGGCTGCTCGAAGGGACCAACGTAGTCGAGTTTCTCCAGAGGCAGATATTTGACAGGTCGGAACATCCGCGCGGCCTGTGAGAACATGTAGATACCCGGGTACTGGCCACTATTGGAATTCGGGACGTATCCGATCTCCAGCTCTAACGGAATACCGTGTGTACGGCTAACCTTCCAGTGCCGCAGGGTATCGGCAATCACCTTTGCCTGCTTTGGCGAGCAGTAGCCAACGATCCTGCCATCCAGCTGGACACTAACACTCTCCTCCAGTGATGCAGATGACTCGGAGCGAACACCGAGCTGGGCCAGTAGCTTAGGCATGCAAGACACATCCAAGTTCCCTGTGGAAACCAAACACTTATGCGCGAGATGGTTTAGCAGACCGCACGGCGCACCATCGGGTGTATGGACGGGGCAAAGGAAACCCCAGCTCTCCGGTAATAGTTTTCGAACGGTGGTAGTCTTTAACTGTGCGAAGAAACTACCTCGATGGATCATTCGGAAATGACTAAGGAATCGGTAGTAGTTGATCTTTTCTGCGATGACTGTGTAACCTGATGTCTGCTGCAAGTCGAGACCGGTGGGACTGACTAGATTTCCCGTGGACAGGAAATATTCCAGTGCACCTCCAATGTTCTCATTTGATCGTCTTACGATCCTGCTCAAGAAAGACTTTTCAAAAGATGGATCTGTAAACTTAGCACCGTTGTTACGAATGCACCAGTCTCTGCAGATGGGCCCGAGAGACCTAAGCCATTCTTCAAGTCTTTCTTTCAAGATCATTCCGTACAGGAAACCACCGAGAAGAATCTCCTGGTTCGAAACTGCGTCAGGGTTATCCGGGGCGCAGTCACCAGCGACAAGTGCATACAGCTTCCGGATCATAAACATGATCATTCTGAACTTGTCATAGTCCTGGGCTTCCGTGACATTTTGGTATCCAAGATGCGGCAACACTATCTTGCGCAGGAATTCGGTACCGACGTCCTCATTAGACATAGTCGCAGGCACTCCCATGACGGGTCTAAATTTTTCACCAAGGTAGGCTCTGGAGGCGGACCGACCATGCAGCTTGTAGCCCTTGTAGGTTCTCAGTAAAAGCTCCACACGATCGGTAATAAAAGTGTTGTTTATGCCCTTTGAAGAAGCACCGCCAACGATGCCTTCGAAAATTTCGCGATCATTTGTCTCCACCAGAGCTTTCAGAATCATCATCACCGGTACAAGGTATTCGTTTTTCCTCCACGAGAAACGGAATGTGACATTTCCATCGCTCAGGTAGTGAAGAACATTTGTTTGAGACGTCTGATCTGGTCGCACTGAACGTATTTGAACACCATACTTGGTGTATGTGTGGCCACGTTTGACGAAAGAGCCACGCACAATTGCCATGGGGAAGTTTCTCTTCGAGACAATGAGCATTCGAATCAGCTTCTCGTTACCGTTGACGATGAAATAACCACCAGCCTCTTCAGATTCTTCCTTATGCTGAACCAGCTCCTCAGGAGTTGCTTTTTCCAAATGGCATCTATTGGTCTGATGATTAGGCGTCAGTACACAGCTCCAAATAGAACAGCGGACTCATTAATGAAATGAGATAATGCTCACCCGCAACATGATTGGAACCTGTCCCAATTCCCGTACGGACTCGCTCCACTCCCCGTTGTTCACCTGGTACTCAAGACGTGCACGCAGTTTACCACGGTAAGTCGCGTGCCTTTCCCGACATTCAGATGGGTATATATTGCGGTTGCTGGTAGTGAACTTGTTCGTCGGCGGCAGAGTGGGCTTCTCGAGGAAGACTTCCTTGATGCGGACATTGAGCCTGTTACGTTTCGGCGGCGGCAGGCCTTGGGCCTGTCGGGTCTTCTTCTGTTGAGATGTCTCCGCATCTCCATCTAGAAAAGTTTTCGTTCCAATATCTTTCAAACCAGCCTCCAGCACCTTGATTCCGTCGAAGAGCGCATTGAACGAGTCAAGATGCGGTCGGAAGGCTTCCGCCAAGGAGGGATATGCGGTATGATCCTTCGGAGGGTGTTTGAATAGACGCTCTCGCCTTAGTACATCATAGCCGACAGACCATTGTGTGTCTGTCGCCGTTGGAGCCATTTTCGTTGTTCTCGAAACCTCCGTCAAGAGATCGATTGGTAGAGTTATCACTAGAGCAGCAGTCGCGAAGCCAGTGCAATGGAATTGACAGGATCAAAGACCCATTCTCACCATATACCGATTCAAAAAGGAGCAGGTATAAGAGCGGCGTGGCTGGAGCGTTACTGACGAAGGCACAACGCCAAAGCGCATGAAGTCCTTTTTTCCTTTGGGCTTTTTTGCTGGAAATTTTTCGAGCTGGAAACTATTCCACGGCCAGGTATCATCACGTGCTGATAGCTCTGAGCAGTCACGGGACCGCGTCACGGGGCAGTTTCAGCCTCAGGCATTTACAGGTGATCCCGTGCATGTCTTCTCTAGAAAAACCGCTGCTTGCTGTTCAGATTATTCAGGGGTCTGCTAGTTTTTCCTCCCGTTAATTATCAGTTAACTAGGCACTTCCTTAGTCAATCTATCCGCCATCCACACGGCAATTTTAGCATTCTCGTTCCAAGGCCAGTGCGAGGATACACGGCGCAGCCGGGTCAAGACCGGCGGGAAGAGCTCCCCTCCAGGTACAGACGTTATTAACGGTCATGCGAGCAAGGAGGCTCAGTTCGAAGCAGTTGAGGCCTCAGAAGAACTAGATGAGGTAGAACAACGCTATCTAGAACCGGTGACGACTCCAACTGCACCCCAAGACGGGCTGGGCTGCCTATGCTGTCCTTCCATCCCGCTTGATCTAGTGCTTGTCCCACGCCGCCTTCTCCATCTCCAACCTTCTACGGATTATCATCGTACATATCTCCGGCCTACGCCCACGCCCGTTTCCAGACAGCTTCGCTTCTCCTGCCGTTCTCTTGCTGAATAGCCATCAAATCCTCCCAGGAGCCCTGTTTTCACACCCCACTTGCAAGTTCACCTTACCCTGGCCGAAGTGTCGATACTCCTCCGCACAAGCCGAGAAAAAACGAAAGAAAAAAAAATTAAAAAAAAGTAAAAATATAAAAAAAGCAAGACAAAACAACAAGAGATCATTCAAATTCGCGCTCTCTCAATTTACCCCCTATCCACACTTCCATATTCTTGTCGACCGTTTGAGGCACAGCTGCCCGTCGTCATGGCAGGAATCTTCAGAACCATCTATGACTGGCTCTTGAGGATGTTCTGGTAAGTGGGCCGCTCTCCCGAAATAACCTCCTCGGCCCGTCCCCACTGAAAGAAGCTTTGGCCGTCGAGGAGGAAGAATACTCATTGTATGAAAATGCAGGGCAACCGAGATGGACGTCACGATGGTCGGTCTGCAGAACGCAGGAAAATCATCGCTACTGCGTGTTCTTGCGGTAAGTGTCCGAACCCTGTTCCAGCAAAGACGGACTATCAACAGTATATCGGGTCAAGCGGTGGTTCGCTGATGCATATTGTTTTATAGGGAGGAGAGTTCACGATAGAGTAAGTATTATCCCTGCACAGGGCTGTAATTGCAGGGACCCTGGCACTGAATCATACCTTGCGACAGTTCTATTCCCACTATCGGCTTCAATACGAAGCGAGTCCAAAAGGGCCATGTTACTTTGAAATGGTCGGTTCTCAATCGTTCATCCCCGTATGACTATTTCTGTATATGTCTGATGCCTCGTTGCAGCTGGGATCTAGGTGGACAGCCACGCTTTCGGCCGATGTGGGAGCGATACTGTCGGGGGGTTAACGCGATCGTGTAAGAACCAGCTGACTGATTATTCCTTGACATGGGCGGAGCCTGCATTGCTAATCATTTTCTTCAATTAGTTATATCGTTGATGCAGCAGACAAGAATGCCCTGCCCGTTGCAACAGAAGAGCTACACGAGCTGATGAGCAAGCCGAATCTTGATGGCATTCCGCTCTTGGTTCTGGGTAACAAGTCAGATCTTCCAAATAAGCTTTCTGTCGACGAGCTTATCAACGCAATGGATCTGAAATCAATAACCCGCCGCGAGGTTAGCTGCTACGGAATCAGTGCAAAGGAGGAAACAAATCTCGACGCTGTTTTGCATTGGTTAATTGCACGGGCCAGCCGGTGAGCCAGACGAGCATTGGCACACAGACACCTTTCTCCCCTTCTCAGAGACCTCGCCCTCACTTATTCCATCTCTCTTGCGATTTGCATCCCTCGTCTCGCATTTTGTAGACGAAATCGGTTTGGCTCGCAGCCTGGATATCTAACGATATTGATGACATGGTTTAGCGGTGAATTGAGCTTTGGTTAGAAATTTATCGAACGCACTGGACATATAGGAATATGGAAGAAATCGAATCGGCGAGGAATTCGACAGCTCTTATGTATGTAGTGTCCGGAGGTGAGGCGACAGCACACAGACCAAGTGATGCGTTGGCCTTGCAGGCGCGGAGACGGGATCTAATCTAGAAGGAGTGACGCCAGCAGCGGTGGCATCTCCCATGGAATGTTGACTGGGTGGTTTTACTGGGTAGGTTGAGTAGTAAATACTAAAGGAGATAAGGATAGTGGAATAGTACTTCGGATGCAGCGGAACAATGGCATGTACGTAGCTTATTCTTCGCTGGTACTGAGTAGATGTGCCGATGTTTTACTGAGCATCGCCACCCTCGTCTCAACGGAAGGCAACTGGTGAATATTAATGCGGCACAAGACTACAAACTACAGCAGTAATGAGGGTATTCAGGAGGAAGAGAAAGAGGGGTGTTTGGGGCATAACTGCGTTCACTCTCTTCCCTAAGAATCCAGCTGCAAGACAAGCGCAGATGATTTGGCATGACGAACTGGGGTAACTGAACAATCGGTTTCGGGCTGAAAACGATTAGCTCAGGCGGGTGCCTGCGCATTAATAGGAGTATGGTATGCCAAGGGGAAATGATGATAAATACTCCATAAATAGGTAATTAAATGCTGTGGAAGAGGTATTATTATTAACCATTTACTCCGTATTAAAGGCAGCCAGGATTCGCTGGCTGCGTCAGCCCCAACCACCCAGTCATCAAGCTCAGCCATCCTCGGCGTCGTCTTATAACAATATCCAGTCCGAACAAAGAACTCTCCTCGCTTATTATTCCTATTCATCCTCTCTACATCACCTATTCTACTCCGTCCTCTCATCTGTCAACGTCACTTCCCAAATTTCTCTCTGTCTGCGACGCTGCGACTCCCATCCGGCCCAGGAACAACTCTGCCCAGGATCTTCAATATTTAGATCACACGATGGGTATCCTCCGTCGAGATGTCTGGTATGTCAAATGCAAAGCATTTGAAAAGCATGGCTTCGCTTGTATTCATCCTGGAACGTGCGCTAACTTGTTTCCTGCATCCATAGTTACGACTACAATTGGTTCGACAACGGCGATGCCTACGATTGCTCGTCCCCCTGGCACGACTGGGGTCGCTGGGTTGCTCTTGGTGTCATCGTCGGCATCGCGATTCTAGCTGCCTTCATTGTTGCGTATGTGCATGATATCTCGTCCCGCTCCTCCTTCGTCATGTCAAAAAGCTCTGCGAAACGACTAACAACTCGTGAACGCGACAGATTTCTCAACGCCCGTCGCCGCCGTCGGTTGGGATACCAGCCTTATCCTGGCACTTCCTGGATGGCTCCGCAAGCTCCTGTGCAGTATACTGCCAACCCGCCGCCGCCCCCTTACGGTTACTATGGTGGTCAACAGCAAGGGATCGAGTTACAGTCACCCCAGAATGTATATCAACCTCCTTCAGGGCCCCCTCCAAAATATGCGATGCCGTGACCCATGCTGGCTGGATAATACGTTGCTATGGCCCAACGTCTTGGGCGTCTTGAGAGGAGCTCAGTCTCCAAACGGATAATTTCCCTTAATTAATTTTCTTACGATTTACCAACGACTCGGATTGCATCACAAGTACTTGGGGTTTGGCGTGTTTTCCTTTTCTCGTTTCTCGTTTCTCGAATAAGATGAAAATTCTATCAGCGGATCGTTCTCTGCTCTGCGCTGCGGATTACTTCACATGTTCCCGGGTTATGTTGCGTAATGAACGGTCTTACTGGTTTTCTCGAGAGTCTCGGACAATCTAGATTAGATATTCAATCACCCTGTGAATGCAGGCGATCTGATCAAGTCCCCAGGGATCTCGCGTATTAGCGAATAGCTGACTGCATGAAGAACAAACCACTTCAGTTAAGGATCATCAGACCATTTTATTAAAGGAACGGTATGGATGATTAATTAATGGCTGCTTATTATGGGCAACATCCCCTCTTCTCTGCTGAGGGTCTGCAACGGTCGGCTGTTACAGCCCTGCTAGAATAAACTCTCTTTACTCCATATTTTTGCCCTGAATTGGGTTTCAAACCAAGATTCTAATAATAAAATAGAGCGAGGAAGAAGATTGCTGCCTTGAAAGGCGATCGTCCGCGACGTTGGTATTATTATTATCAACTGTCCGGTGGCTGTGTATGCTGGAAGCTCTTAAGCTGCTCTACGCTCGTCGCGACCTTTTTAAGGAAACCGAGTCGCCTCTTTCTTCCAGTTGCCTTTTCTTTCCCATTATCTCCTTCAGCCCGAATTCTTCCTTGTTTTGCTATTTGGAGCAGAATTGTTAAAGGGTGCTTTGTGTGACGGATTAATTGCTTTGTGCTTTGTGAGAACGAGCCTTGAAACAGCGCACTAGCATTCTACACCGTGCATTGAGATTGTGTTCCAGCTTGGGTCCAGGAATCAGTGTCGGTATATACCCGCAGCGGCGGTTGCAGTTCCAGTATTTTCAGGGATATATACTCCATACGACCTTGGACGCGACACATCGCCTGTATTTGAAAGTCTCCAATTGTTCATTCCCTAATTGGGAAACAGAGACGGCTTTCCAGCACTATGAGTCCCATATTGCACACTGCATCTGCATTATTATGGCCACGAGATATCAGCCAAGACGTTGATAACGTCAAGCATACCTTTTCCAGCTGGGATACTTGTATGGATAAGAACTATTGCAAGTACGTGGGCGTTGTTCGATGCCATTTCATTTCTGATATTGCACGCGCATGTCTTGCCATGCTGACCTTGAAACCCTCACAGGTGGCCCGTCATCGTCGCGATTATTGTCGGCTCCTTGATAGTCATCTCCATTGTCGCCTGCATTGTTAACTGTATATGCTGTGGCTATCGCTGCTGCACCGGCTGTTGCTCGTGTTGCTGCCCCTCCGGGCGCAGGAGAGAAAGAGCGCCCAAATACCTCGACAATCCAATACCATCAGCACCGTATAGTCATCCCGTCAACACTGCCTATCAATCACCGTACATGCCATCACCGTATAACAATAGATTTGACTATACCCCGAAAGCTGCAGCTGCATCATCACCGGTTCATGACGATTCGCTACCTTCCATGCCCACCTATGATAGCTCAGCCAGACGATACGGCCATTCCACCCGCGACGATATGGAAATGGAACCGCTAGATCAGCCGGGCCTTGTACCACCTGCACGATCAAAATTCGGCAGATCAGGATACATGGAGGTTCCGTCCGATGCGGCCGAGCCTCTACCTGTTCATCAAGGACAGGATCCCTATCATTCCTCCTCTTCTCCCTACGGCGGACAGCAGCACTATACCGATCATCCGCACGAACGTGCCGCTTCTCAGTCCTCAAGGCTATATACCCCTGCTTCAATGTCGACCGCACCACCAACTTATGTGTCTATGCTGGATGAACCAGAGCAGCCGTCGCAGTCGCGTTTCTATAACCAGCACCAGTCTCCGCCTGCTGAGCTTTCTTATGACCCCTATTCTGCTCCGACGGGAGATGAGGGTAGACATCCGTCTATTCTTGTTAGTGGGCGGAAGCCAGCTCCTGGCTCGACGAGGGTTGTCTAGTTCATTGTTGTAGTTGTTATTAGTGCATTTGTTTGCCCGTCTTCCTTGGGCTTTGGTAGGCGGGTTTGGGGCTTTATGTTGATGGGCATGACGTTTTCTCTCTCTTTCCCTGTTTGATGATGGTGATGATGACTCTGTCTTTTGCCATGAAAGTATATATATGCTTTACTCACGCATAGTCTGCCTGCGCTGGTCGTGAGATATGTATAGAACTACTACTACTACTACTACTACTACTACTACTACTACTACTACTACTACTACTACTACTACCACCACGATAAATACCAGACTATTCTGCAACAATAAGGCACCTGGATACCTCCTTGCATTTATATTCGGTCCAGTCCGTAAACGGTGGTTATAATACATATCAGTTCCATTCCATAGATGTACATGTAGAAAAAAAAAAAAAAAAAAATCAGCCTAACGAGAAATCAAACTTCTTAAACGAATCCTTGAAAAGATTCGCATCCGTTTCTTCCTCCTCCTGGGACTGGACATCGTCTTTCCAGCTAATTCGTTTTTCAAGCCCTAGCAGTTTCGCCATGACCCTTCGTCCGAACTGAATGTCGAAACGGAAATCCGGCGTCAGCGGTAATATTAGCACCTTCTCAACTCCCTCTTTTTTCTTCTCCCCTCCCTCCGAGTCCTGACCATCCTCCGACCTCGAGGGCCCCCAAATCCAGACGCGGAAGAAATCGCCCGGCTCGCTGCTTGCATCTTCTGTAGCGTTCGGTTGCTCGAATTTCGGGTACTCCAAATTCTCTGCTTCGACTTTGAATGCAGCTTCTACTAGTCCCTTGCTGACCATGTCTGCCGGTGCGGGGAGGAATTGCCAGTGGACGTGGATGCCGTTGCCCCTGCTCACTTCCCAGGTGACTGCTCCAAGTTTGCCATTGGAACGATGTTGGAGCATTGATTGGAGAGATTCCCGGTATCGCTGCATCTCTGTATACGTGGCTTTGCGGGTTTCTTGCTCGGTTATGAGACTCAGAGTAGGCGAATGTGTCAATGGGATGATCAGCATGTGCCCCGGGAATCCAAGGGACGGGAACGTATCCGCCGTCGATAAGGGACCCTTTGCCGTTGTGAGGTAACATTCATTGCCAATGGAGGTAATTAGATGGGTTGCAATGTTTGGATTTGATAGGCAGAAGAAGCACTGCTCGGGCCCTGGAGGTGGGCCGCGGGCTCGTTTTCGCGGTCGTTGGTAGTCGTCGCCCGTGGAAAATCGGTGATAAGACTGCGACTGAGACGGAAGAGCTTTCCGCTTCGCTTGTGATGCGATAAATGGGGTGGCAGTTGCGCCGACAGGGACGGTGAAGGGTATAGGAGCTTTCGGATCCAATGTGAACGCATACATGTACTTCTGTTTTGAGGTTTTGCTGTACGGGGCGAGACTGACGAAGCGCGTCACCGGTTTAGCATCTGGGCTATCCTCCGAGGGCAGGTGGAAGAAGGGTTCCCTTTCAAAGAAGAAATTGCCTGACGAGGAGATGTGATAGCGAGGCTTCAGTGTCGAGCAGAGATCCGCGAGGCATTGCACCTCTTCTGGTGGCGTTGCGTTCTCTGGCAAAGGAACTTTGGAGCCAGTCCGGATGCCCTTTGGCCATTGGTTGGTAATGAGAATGTCAGCTGTGTGAGCACCATACAATGCTCTGGCTTCGGATTCCGTGAACTCGGGTTTAAACTTGTTATGTGACTTGATGTCTTTCGCTGCAGCCTCAAACCGACCTCCCAGAGCAGCCAGACGAACACCTTCTGAGGTTTTAAGTATACCGCGTTTCCCAAGGTAGTACAAATTCTCGCAAACCTCATCATCTGCTTCAATCTTCTCCACTACCCTGGTGGGAAGAGGCTTATTCCCTAGGGTAAAATAAGTTGGAAGTGGTACAGCAATATTTCCCTGCATAAGCGCAGATATTTCATCCAGTTCATGTTCAGTGGTGCAGTCTCCAAATAGGTCTCCAGCCACAATTGCAAATGAGAAATTCTGCTTGGTATGAAGCTTCGCGAGTTTAGTGAATACATCACGCAGCTCACAGTTGACACTTCCAATAACAACTCTATTACATGTTAGTAAGATGCTCCTATCCAAATACGGCCATATAAACTCACATTTTGGAAGCCATTGTCCCAGCCCTTTCTTGCACCTAAAATGGTATGATGCAAGTTGCGCCAAAGCATGATGATGGAAGGCTTCCGATGGGAACAGGCGAGGAGCTTGGACCACCGTTATATCCACGTGATATGTGTACCTTACCTAATAAAGTTAGATTTATTTTTATTATCTCCGCCCGGCAGAAAACTGTCTGCGCCGATCAACACTTTTTTTTTCTCGGAGGATTCGAAACCTTTGCACGTTAGACACTCAGGTCGAAACGGCGCTGCATTTTGGCCATCAAATCCCATAACTTTTGCGAGATGGTGGCAGCGTCGTCAGCTTCTCGGGTTAAGCCCGTGAAGCGCTTAAAAGGAGGAACAGAGACCACCAAGTCGCATAGATTTGAACCGTTCTCCCAGCGTGTTGCGAAACTAAAGGTCGACCCCATCCATCGCGTGCGCCGACCGAGTTTTGGAGATGAAGGCGATGAGACATCGTCACACTTTAGGTCTGCGTTTGAACATTGGGTTGAGTTGAATTTGTCAGAGAATTTCGTCGCTTTCTCCCGTCAAGTTAACCCACTCTGCGAGAGCTTGGCTCAGATACTATACCATGAAGAGAGGATAATGAGTTTGTTGGTCGAGTTTATTGAGAAAAGAGATTCGCTATGCATGGAACCTTTATTAAGTCTCCTTGCCCAGTTTGCCAGGGATCTCGGTGTCAAATTTGAAAAGCACTTTGGCGCCGCTGTGACTTTGGTAGCTTCCGTTGCTGCGACGCACTCAGATGTCGAAGTGGTCGAGTGGAGTTTCACCTGCCTGGCATGGATCTTTAAATTCTTGTCTCGTCTTCTTGTCCCGGACCTTAGACAGCTCCTGGGGATCATGACTCCATACCTTGGAAAAGAGCGACAGAAACCATTCGTCGCCCGTTTTGCAGCCGAGTCCATGTCGTTTCTCATTCGGAAAGCAGGATTAGTATATTACAAGAATAAGGCTCCTCTTGAACGCGCAGTATCTTTTCTGTTCAATGATCTTCGGGAAACAGCCGCAGAGTCTAAGAACGTGGATACGTATAAGGAAGGTCTCATGGTCATGTTCTCGGATGCTATCAAGGGCGTGAAGGGTGGACTTCATTCCAACGGAACTGATATTCTCAGTTGTGTTCTGGATAATGTACCTGTCGACGACGATTTACAATCCACCTTGGCCCTTGACGTCGCAAGTGGGATAATAGTGAACCTCATCCATCACACCTCGGGCGATACATTTGTGCCTGTTCTCGATGCAGTAGCAGCATGTATTGCAACTCATGTTTTGAAAACCGAAACTCAACATGCGGAACTGTGCTCTCGGCTGATCTTTCTCTGCGTGGCAACCCGCAAGGGGTCAAGAGTGAAGAATTGGAGGGTCATCCACCAGACCCTTTTGTCCTTACTCGAAAAAGCGGCGACTGCTCCAGGTGCATATGATAAATCCTTACCGTTACTCTTCACTACGGTAGCCTATGCATTCCAAACTTCTCCTATGGATGAGGTGCTACCGTTCATGCGCCCTATTATGGACTATATAACTCACGACCACTTCTCGTCCTATTTTATATCGTTTTGTACTCTCTTCGCGGAATGGGGAGTTGAAAGGTTTCATAGTGTCGTCCTTCCCTATTTTCAGAGGTAAGGATATTGGTAAAAAGCAACTTTCGCGTCTTTAATTCTAACAGACTTTATCAGGTTCATTAATTCGTCGTGGTTGGAACATGAACATGAACTTTGTTTGGCCTTGCTTCGGCTGAATCAGGCAGGATGCGTCACATCTGAAACTTCTAGGCCTGGGTACATAACTTGTCCGGCTCCCTGGAAGTTGCACATTCGGGATGTGCTCAGCAATCCGCACCCAGACATCACAGAAATAGCTCTTCTGAACGCATATGCGGAGCTCCCGAAGGCAATTTCATTACTTGCAGAGCCTTCTCTCACACCTTATATGGCTCAGAGTCTACATGACCAACTGTTATCTGCTCTTGGAAATGACGAACTGGAACCTACACCAAGGACCAAATTCCTACTTGGGCGCGGCTTCAGGACTTATGTCGAGCTCGCAATCCAATCCAGAGACGCCGATACGAAACTTTGGGAACACATGAGCTCAGTTGCAGCAAAATATTCTCGTCTTCCTATTTTCCTCGAAGCACTCCTTGCGTATATTTCTTCCTGCCCTGAAACGATTAAGTTCGACGAATCATCTTTGGATGACTTTGTTAATGTTCTGATATCCAATTTATCTGGTCCTTCTCACCTGTCGAGACTACTATCTTTAAAGATCCTGAAGGAGGTCATGGTTCGACTGACTGACGATGATCCTTACCCTATCTCGTTGGCGATAGAGATTGAAGAAAGCCCCTTGACCCTTCAATCCGCGAGGGCCATATCAATGCTGGTTCGCAAACTTGCGATTCTCTATCCGCAGATTGCCTCTCAGTCTTGGATGGCACGTCTCGTCCCACATTTTTGCTTCGGCTTGTTTTCGAAGAAAATGACACCGCTCTGGGATGACGCTGCTGCTGCTTTGAAATCGATTAGTGAGCACGCAGACGGTGAGAGAATTGTATCGGATATCGCCTTACGATGGCTTCAAGAGCAAGGTTCGACTATATCAGATGACAATACGCCGGAAGACAATGACACGATTCCTTTTGCATCCAGGGACTTTCAGTGCCCAAATGCCCTGAAGGTGGAGAGTATTTGCTCTGCCAACTTTCAACTTTCCGATGATCCCCGTACTGCATTGATGCGAAATTTTGAGCAGGCTCATACCTCGTCAGAAACCCTCCCCGTTTCTCCTCGGACTCATTCTTTGCGCGTCTTCGCTGCGGCGCCGAATGTTGCTGAAAAGCACTCACGTCAAATTGTCCCGTTATTTTTATCATGGGCGCTGCATGATGAGGATGATCAAATACCTTCTAGCTCCATCCCGACAGAATCCCACGCAGCTACTGGAACACAACTTTCTTGGGGCTTCAAGGACCGGCTGGCGATGCTTGCAATTTTCGGACAGTTTATAAATCCGAAAGTTCTGTATAAGTCGTCAGAGGTATATGAAGCGCTACTTGGACTCCTCTGTCACGGCAATTCAGAAATTCAAAAATCTTGTCTCAATGCCTTGTTCACTTGGAAATCACCTCATTTACTGCCGTACCAAGAGAATCTGCTTAACCTTTTGGATGAAAAGAGATTTCGCGATGAGATAGCTGTTTTCGTGCATGTGGGGCGCGATGATAGTGTGATTGAAGAAGAGCATAGGGGCGAACTCCTTCCCGTCTTGCTTCGGATTCTTTATGGTCGCATGATCTCTAAAGCTGGCGCAAACTCTGGACAAGCTGGACAGGCTGGGCGACGAAAAGCGATTCTAAGAACGCTCTCGCTTCTGCCCGATCAAGACTTCGAGCTCTTTATGCAGCTAGCATTTGGTCCTCTTGGACAAGTTCAAGTTGTCCAGGCTGGTCACGCTAACGAACAGTCCTTCTCTCAAGAGTTGGCTAGTCCGAGGAGGCAGACTGGTTTATTGAAGATGATTGAAACCGTCTTCGAAGCCCTTCAGAGCCGCATGTACCCGTACGCAGAAAGAGCCCTGAATGTGATTGTATACTGCCTTGTTCGCGCGTGTCGAGCCATTGCGAAAGAGCAGACGGTCGATGATGCTGATTCTGAGGGAGGTCGGATAGTAAATGTGCTCCGTAACATCCGTCAACTCTGCATTCGCTGCCTTGATCTGGTGTTTTCTATTTCTCTGGACAAAGATTGGACACCCTACGTTCGTATCGTCTTTGACGAGGTGATCAACCCCAGGATGGAGAACTTCGCGATTGAGACAGCACAAGGAGTATCAGGGCTTCTTCGCCTCTTCCATACTTGGGCATCCGCCCCTCGATCATGTTTCTATCTTGTACGGCATAACGATATCGTCCTCACAAAGGTCACAGATTGTCTTGGTGTGGACTCAGCCCGCGATGAAGTGAAACTTTTCGTGATGGATGAGATCCTTGTGCCGTTAATTGAACTTTCGAATGGGAAAAATCTAGAGGAACGAGAGAATATGACAGATTTTGCACCTGCTGAAATTCGATCGGAAGTCTTATCCCCTTATACTGAGCACATTCTTTCCCATCTTGGCCGCCTCCTCAAGCGAGGGCCTTCACGTCCAGTTCTGATCTCCGGTGTTCAAACCCTATCTCTTCTCGCACCCTGTGTTGAGTCTTCCCAAGAGACTTCTAGTCTTATCAGCATCACTACATACCTTCTACGCCAGCCGCCGGATCGGGTGTCGCCGAAAACCAAATCTGGATTGCTGCGTATCTTGGAGCACTTCCTTCCCCTCTACGATCCACAGGAAGATACACAGCTCTCTCAACAGGTGTTCGAAGCGATTTGCTCGTTATTCGACTACTTCAGAGATGATCAGAATAGGGAGGTCTTGTCAAGAGTGTTTATAGCCCTTTCTGGGCATGATTCCGAGCTCACTGAGGCGGCTTCTCTATGCGCTGATCTGAACTCTATATCAAGGAAAAGACTTGAAGTTGATTACGAGTGCCGACTTCAAGCCTTTCGAAAAATCAATGAGGAGCTCTGGGACAAGTTTAATGCAAAGCAATGGAGACCCTTACTTTTCAATATGCTCTATCATGTCAAAGACGAAGAGGAACTCGCTATACGATCTAGCGCTTCATTTGGCATAAAACGCTTCATTGAAAAAGCGACTTCTTCAGCGGACCGTGGCAGTGACGAGTTCGAACCAATCTTGATGAAGGTGTTGTTTCCTGCTTTGCAAAACGGAGTCCGACAGAAGTCAGAGCTGGTTCGATCCGAATTCGTTTCTGCACTGGGTTATTTTGTAAATCTAAACCCAACAAGAGCAGCTGTTCAGGACATGCATGTGCTTTTGGTGGGTAATGATGATGAGGCCTCTTTTTTCAACAACATCCTCCATATACAACAACATCGCCGCCTACGTGCTCTGCGCCGTTTGGCCGCCGAAGCATCGAAAGGAAAGCTGCAGGCGTTGAATATCAGCACAATCTTCATTCCTCTCATTGAGCACTTTGTTTTCGACCAAGCCGGTGATGAGGGAGCTCACAATCTAACGGCGGAGGCAGTGGCGACTATCGGAGCTGTAGCGGAATGGATTGATTGGAATCAATTCCGATCTATCTTCCGGAGATACCGTGGCTATATGCAAAGCAAGCCTGAGCTGGAAAAAAATATTATTAGGCTACTCGGTCGCATGTCTGATGCTCTAACGAATGCGGTTAATCAGATGAATAATATGGAGAATGGAGTTGGGGAAGATGAGATGACCGGGGTGGAACTTTCAGAACCCTTGAAGCTGACTCTATCTCGATCAATTCCGTCAACTTCGAAGGTTTCCACGGAACTGACAACCCATTTTATCCCGTTCTTGACCGACTTCATCCATCACAAGGAAGAATCCGAAATGAGCCTCCGCTTGCCGGCAGCGGTCACTGCTGTCAAGCTTCTGAAGCTCCTCCCCGAGGATGATATGGCCATTCGTCTTCAACCTGTTCTTCTCGACGTTTGCAGTATCCTGAAAAGTAAGGTACAGGAATCTCGGGACACTGCTCGAAAAACGCTGAACGACATTGCACTACTTCTGGGGCCAGCATACTTCGGTCACATCCTTAAAGAACTTCGAAACACTCTAGCGCGAGGATATCAGCGTCACGTCCTCTCATTCACCGTCCATTCTATGCTTGTAGCCACCACAGATGATTTCAAGCAAGGGGATCTGGATTACTGTTTAGCGGAACTGACTTCTGTGGTGATGGATGATATCTTCGGGGCTATAGGCCAGGAAAAAGATGCCGAAGAGTACGTGAGCAAAATGAAGGAAGTCAAGAGTAACAAGAGCTTTGATTCCATGGAATTGCTGGCAAAGAATTCAACTGTCAAAAATCTAGCGCATCTCGTCAGGCCTTTGCAGGCGCTGTTGCGCGAAAAGCTTACGACGAGCATTGTTAGAAAGATTGATGAACTCCTGAGACGAATTGGTGTTGGTTTGCTGAGGAACCCCGGTGCCGAAAGTCGCGACCTCCTAGTCTTTTGCTTTGAGGTCATAACCGAGTCCTATAAAGAACCTGCCGATAGTGAGACACGAGTTGCCGGATCTGCTTCCGAGAACCGCTTTCTGGTGAATCTGCAGGGGGCCAAACGCGGCGAAAAGCGAGGCACGACTTCTTCTCATGTGTATAAGTTGATTCGTTTCGCCCTTGACGTCCTTCGGTCAATTTTGAACAAGTACAGTTCTCTTTTAACGCCAGCGAACTTAGCTGGATTTTTACCGATCATTGGGGATGCGTTAGTACAGGCACATGAGGAAGTGAAGGTTTCCGCCCTTCGCCTACTGTCTACCATCATCAAGCTCCCTTTGGCTGAAATTGACGAGAATTCCCATGTCTACCTTACGGAAGCTGTGAAAATCATCAAAGAGTCCCCAAGTACCAACACTGAAATTGCGCAAGCATCACTCAAATTGATCGCGGCCATGATTCGGGAGAGGCATAGCACGAAACTCAGAGATGGACATCTTGCATTCTTGCTAAAACGCCTCATTGAAGACATTGAAGAGCCCGACCGCCAAGGTGTGACGTTCAACTTCATCAGAGCTGTAATGAGTAGGAAATTTGTTGTCCCCGAAATGTACGAACTGGTGGATAACATTGCATCGATGATGGTCACGAACCAGACTCGCTCTGCACGAGATCTGGCACGGGGTGTATACATTCACTTCTTGATTGAATATCCACAAGCGAAGAGCCGATGGACCAAGCAGCTTAGCTTCCTGGCCAAAAACCTCGAATACAAATACCCAGAAGGCCGTCAATCTGTTATGGAAGCGTTGCACATGCTGCTGTCGAAAACCGGTGATGAGCTGGCCCAAGACATTGTAGGTACCTTCTTTTTACCTGTTGTCATTGTCATGGCCAACGATGATGCACCTGAGTGCAGAGAGATGGCAGGCACGCTACTTGGAGAGTTATACAGTCGGGCAGACAGAGAACAAATGAAGACCATTCTCACACCTCTCCGAACTTGGCTCGAGCAGACGGACAACATGCTTCTCAATAACACCGGGCTTCAGGCCATGAGGATCTATTTTGAGGTAGAGAAAACGGAGAAAGAGAAGCAGGCACGCTTCGTCATAGGAGTTCTCCCCGATATTATCCAGCCGATTGTCGAAGAACAGGAGAACGAAAACTGGCAGACGCTGTATTTCTCCCTTCAGCTTTTTACAAAGCTCTGCAAGACGGTCCCTTCGGTTGCCCTCGCCAATGACTGCAGCTCTATTTGGGCGTTGATCCGCAGGTCTCTGCTCTATCCCCATGCTTGGGTTAAGACATGCGCCGCAAATCTCATTGGTTCATGGCTCGCAGACTTGGCCAAGGCAAATGCGGCGGAAGGCTACGGTTCACTTCCTCTCGTTGGATCAGCAGGGTTAGCTCTTGATGGTGAAGCAATGAAACAACTACTTTACGCCAGCATACGCTGTCTTCGAACACCCGGGATCCGTGACGAGCTTGCAGTTCAATCTGTCCGCAACATAATTTTCTTGGGTCGGTGCTGTGCTCAAAATGGACTTGAATTCTCCAAAGCTCAATCGAATGAGCCTGAATCGGACAGTGATGTGGATGGTTATGACGATAGCGAATCAGTCGAAGACGACAAACCCAAAAACTCGGCTAAGTCCGCCGTTCAATACATTTTTCAACAGGTCTCCTCTATTCTACGCAGGGAGACACTCACCACCCGTGCGGAGTATTTAGTACCCAAAACCGCGTCCATGGGTCTCCTCGCAGCTATTTGTCGGCATCTAGAGGTTGAACAGATCAAACCATCTCTACCAACCATCCTTCTTCCTCTTCAACATCTAACAGACTCGTCGATACCGGCTCCGCGTTCGTCGGACGAAGGTTTCCGGAATGCTTACAAGGCTCTTGTTTCCAGCTGCCATGAGATCCTTGATATCATCCAAAACAAGCTGGGCACTACTGAGTACATCGATCAGATGGCTCTTGTCCAGGAATCTATCAAACAGAGGCGTGAAGGCAGACGTGTCAAGAGACGAATTGAGGCCGTTGCAGATCCCGAGAAATACGGGCAGGACAAGAAGCGGAGGAACGAGAGGAAACATGAGAAGCGGAAGGAGAAGGGAATGGAACACCGGGGAAAGAGACGAGGATGGTGAGAGATATTTCATGTTATCGCATCTTTGGCATAGATAGCCGGCGTTTCAGGGGGTTAAAAGTTTATATAGGAATGGGTCAATAGGCAAGTCTTCATACAGCGCAAGGTTTTGCGTCGCCGTTTTCTATGTATGTACAGGTATAGGAGTGTATAGGTGGATATCTTTTCCTAACACAAGATATTATTTTCTCCCTCTGCGATGATCTCGCCCAACAAGTAAAACCAAGCACCTTGAATGTTATACCACAACGAATCCCTCTAAAGAACCCAAACTCCTTCTATTTGTCGACTAGAATGCATTATATTCGAAATCTCCTTGCAGACAGAATTCGTTCGCAATAATTCCTCGAGAACGAGATCACTGAGGATCCGACTTCCTCACAGTCCCATCGTCCCAAAACTCTACATCCCCGTCTAAGTACCCCTTCGTGAGCGCCTTGCCTTCGCGCTGCAGGATATCTTCCAGCGTACTTCGTTGCTCCAGAAAGATGTTAAGATGGTCACTGATGACATGCCGATTTTTGCACGAAGGACAGCGGATCAGCACCGTGCCATGATGATAGCCCTGCTTGGACATGCGGTGCGACGACCGCTCTCCGCAGGGCTTGCATGTGAATGTGATCTGGTATGCGGGTTCTTGTTCGCGACGTGCTCGGTTCTGCTCCTCCTTCGCTGCATCTGAGGCTTGGTCGGATTTTACATCGGTGAGAGGGCGGCAACCATCTGATGTTGACGTGGAGTACTTCTTAATTGATGTGTGTAGAGCGGGTACTTCGGGGGTTCTGAGGAGATATAGACGTGGAGAAGACCGCGGAGGGTGCGCAATCAGTTGGGAGAATGGGCGAGTTCCTGTGCGCAAAGTGGCTATGCCACTGGGAAAGGATTTGCAGGCGCGGAGGCCTTGTGAGAATAAGCGTGTGGATTGCATTGTGGGGGACTCAATAACTGGATCTTAGAGTATAGAGACAGGGCGTGATGATGATTGCGGTGAATGACGGAGGTGAAGAAGCTTCATTCAGTTATGCAGGCGGAGATAGGTTGTTCCAGCTCTTCCACCTCCGCGGCGAAACTGTATAAGAGACAAGACCACTCAAAAAAGTCAGGCCTTGTTGCAGTTATGTCTTTGAATGAATCACAGAAGGAGTCTGTGCATCCTGCTCTTTAGGCGAGCCTGTTTGAGTCATTTCAAATCCTTTCCATTTCCATTCATCCGGTGCTGCCCTTCTCCCCACCTTTACTGTATTCCCCGCGGGTCCTGTCCCACAGCGTGAGAAATGGCAGCCATGAGGGCAAGACAAAAAATCAGAGCTCCGCGGAGGGTATGTTTCATTACATTCTATCCTGCCTTTTTTCTAGAAAAGTATACCACTGGAGTTGTCAGAAACTCTCCACTGTCCTTGTCTCTGGGAACTGACTAGCTTAGAAACCCAAGGCTCTCAGACAAGACACTCTGCTGATCTAACGGTTGTTTATTTCGCTAACTTAAAGTTTGAACCAAATAGGGCCGGGTTGCTGGAAAAAACGAGAATTTGGAGACTATCTGGCCAGTGCTGTCGTCATCCTTGAAGGAGATTCATACGAAGAATGCATCGACACTTTCTTTCGAGGAGCTGTATCGGAATGCCTACCGAATCGTTCTGCTTTCTCAGGGGGATGAGTTGTACAACAGGGTCAAAGACCTTGAAAAGGAATGGCTAGCAAACGAAGTCCAAAAGCGCGTTGCAGCCGCGGTTACACCTACTTTATTGCTGGCGAAGGATCCTACAGACACCCAGGATCAATCCAGTGAGCGGAGGGCCGCAGGGGAGAAGTTCTTGCGTGTACTCAAAGAATCTTGGGAAGATCATCAGTTATGTATGGGCATGATCACCGATGTCCTCATGTACATGGTATGTTGAGTTTACCGATTATTTTTATCGCTACCGCGAACTGGGTTAACATTTGCTTTGGTTATGAAGGATCGAGTTGTCGCTACAGATCTTCGGAAACCTTCAATATACGTGGTATCAATGGCATTGTTCCGGGATTACGTGTTGCGGGCTCGTGTACGTTCTGACGTGAAAACAACAGTCGCCGATGTGCTAGAGTCGACAGTACTTTTCATGATTCAGTTAGAGAGATCGGGACACGTCATTGAGCGGCCGTTGATACGGCATTGTATTTATATGCTTGAAGGCCTCTATGACTCTGACACAGAAGAGGAGTCGTCAAAGCTTTACTTGACCATGTTTGAACCGGCATTCCTAGAGACAAGCAGGATATTTTACCTGGCAGAAGGAAAGCGGCTTCTGGAGACTGCAGATGCTGCTACTTTTTGTCGGATTGTCTTGAACCGCATATCAGAAGAGGCAGAACGGTGTCACTCCACCCTATCGTCCCTCACTGAGCCAAAGATCAAGGAGGTGTTAGATGAGGAGCTCATCGGGAGGAATATAGCTGACGTCGTTGATCTCGAAGGTAGCGGTGTTAAACACATGCTCGACCACGACAAAATTGACGTCCTGAGAAATGTCTACGAGCTCAACTCGAGAGTCGATAAGACAAAAGCGGTTCTTACTGCCACCGTACAGAAGAGAATATATGATATTGGCCAAGAGATTAATGCTGCTTCAATAGCGTTCTCACAAGCTACCCCTGGGGCGCCTAAAACGACGGAGAAGCAGGTCAATGGTGAGAAGAAGTCTTCAGAAAAGGAGAAACCCGTGAATCAACAGACGGCGGCTGCCATCAAATGGGTCGATGAAATTCTAGCACTCAAAAGGAAGTTCGACGACGTCTGGAAGAGAGCCTTTATGTCCGATCAAGGCATGCAGACTTCGATTACCAATAGCTTTTCCAGCTTTATCAATTCGAATGCGAGGTGTTCGGAATACCTCTCTCTGTTTTTCGACGAGAACTTAAAGAAAGGCATTAAGGGTAAGACGGACAGCGAAGTCGATGCCCTTCTTGACAATGGTATTACGCTTTTACGATATGTCAAAGACAAGGATCTTTTTGAAACATACTACAAAAAACACCTCTCCCGGCGTCTCCTAATGAAGCGATCTGCCAGTATGGATGCGGAAAGACAGATCATATCCAAGATGAAACTAGAGGTTGGGAACCAGTTCACGCAGCGGTTAGAGGCCATGTTTAAAGATATGGCAATATCCGATGACCTGACTTCGGGCTATAAAGAACACATTGCACGCTCCAGTGATCCGGATCAGAAACGGGTTGAACTGGAAATCAACGTCCTCACGAGCACGATGTGGCCGATGGAGATTATGTCGAGCTCCAAAGATACTGTGCAGCTTCCCTGCATTTTCCCCAAAGAGGTCGAGAGTGTCAAGCAAAGCTTTGAGCAGTATTACCTCAGCAAACACAACGGACGAAAACTGTCGTGGCAACCCAGTATGGGCACTGCCGATGTCCGAGCAACATTCCAGCGACCGAATGGCAAGGTTGCACGGCATGAACTCAATGTTTCCACCTATGCTATGCTAATATTGGTCCTGTTCAATGGCGTTCCTGACGGCGAGTCCCTGACTTTCGAAGAGATCCAGGCTCGGACACGTATCCCAGACCATGACTTGATACGAAATCTGCAGTCACTCGCAGTCGCTCCTAAGACGCGGGTGCTGAAGAAGGAACCGATGAGCAAGGATGTGAAGCCGACCGACCGGTTCTTCTTTAATAAGGACTTCCAGAGCATGTTCACCAAGGTTCGTATCGGAGTTGTCAGCGGCGGTGCCAACAAAGTGGAGAACACGGACCAGCGGAAAGAGACTGAAAAACGAATGAACGAGGAGCGTGGGGGAAGTATCGAGGCGGCTATTGTGCGGATTATGAAGTAAGTCGCCTTGTGCGAAGCGACGGAGACAACTGGTTACCCTTGGGAGTGCAATGAATTGTTCTCTTCAGATATGCTAACTTCGGCTCCTTGCCTAAACAGACAGCGCAAACGATTGGTCCACTCACAGCTCATGACGGAGGTTCTCTCCCAGCTATCCTCTCGGTTTGTGCCGGATGTCAACATGGTCAAGAAGCGCATCGAGAGCCTGATCGATCGTGAATACCTCGAGCGAGTATCCGAAGAACCACCTACATACGGATATATAGCATGAGATACCATTTTCCGTCCAGCATTATATTCGTTTTGTTTTTGTCTCTCGGCCTTCTCCTTTCAGGATTGATCGGTTGGTTGACTGCGTTGTTTTCATCGTCTCGGTCAAATGCTTCTGCTTCTGCTTCATCATTCGGCGGGGCGTTGGGGTCAGGTCAGCGTGGGTTATGATAGAGTACCACTATGTTTTCTGTAGTTCAGGAACTTACTATTTATTGCATTTGTGCAGTGGAGTTGTATGAGAAATGAGCACTCTGGCTTTTTCAGACTTGGGCATCTCTATTAGTTGATCGGCGACTGGCAATGCAGAGCATGCAGAGTACATATTGAAGCATTCAAACACAATTCGGTTCTCTATTCTTCAGATCATGTCTCATTTGCTATTGATTTGAAAATATTTAGGAATACATACCAATCGTCCAAAACCTCTAAGAAGGAAGAAGAGATAAATCTAGCCTCATGTACGTACACGTGATTATCACACATTAGCAGTTCCCCTGCTACACTACTCTGTATCACTACTTGTGTGATTTGCAAACCAGCTCTTGGCCCAAGCCACTGAGTACCTTCAAAAGAGCTAGATCGCCGGTTTTTTCTCAAAAAGAAAAGAAAAAGAAAAAGAAAAAGGCTCAGCTTCATTAACAGACTGATTTGGATCATTAACAGACTGATTTGGATAAGCAGATTCTGCTGTCTACTTGAAAAATCTACCAACTGCAGCCCTTTCTCCTGCGTTAACCAGACCTATTCTAATTGTCAATATACGTGCAGCAGGTTCTTCTCTACCAGTATGCAAAATATGGAGCAGCAGCAGCAGCAGCAGCATCATGGCTGTGTCCAGTTCTAGTGCTGTTTCTCCCTAATGGTACCGAGGTGACTTTGCTGGACACTTCTTACTGCTGCATTGTAACAACGGCGATCTTCACAAAGAGTGGTTTGGCGATGGTATCCTGACATCTGGCAAAGACGCACTTTTCTGATGGCTACGCTATCCCGTTTCATTCCCTGGCTCAGAGCGTGGGATGTCTGGGCCATCTCCGCACCAGAGTCGCGTCCTTCTGCATACCACAAGTCTCGTCTAACTTTGACCGGAAGATCCTCGCATCCCAAACGACCGTACTTCCCTGGTGTCGCATAACTCACTCACCATTGGGCCTGGCTCATCTTGAATCGCTCACCGTAGGTGGTGGAACGAATCCCGCTGTATTGCTACGTCAGGTCTGGGGCTCCAATCTTTGGTTCCTTTTGATGGACGGTCTCATTGAAGAGCACTTGGTTCACATTACCTACGACGAATTGGCGCAGGTCAAGGTCCCTGGTCCCACCCACGAAGCTGTCTCGGGATACAATCCTGCTGCCTAATGGGTTTTCGCTGAACATGAACCATATCTACAATAATACTCTCTCGGAGGCTGGCATGCTGGACCTCCTGTCGGATTACGAGACTTTGGATGTCATCATCTTGGCTGCATACTGAAGGCGCCATATATTATAGCTTCAACAGGCAAGATGGAATATCCAGAATAGCCAGACTCATTTCTTAATTCGCAGTCAATCCGTCCTTCACGGTCAAGGGAATTGCGGTACACCTAGGAGTCCGGTAGTCTGTCATATGGCTGGGAGGAAACCTTTTAGGACATAACTGAAATGCCTACCAGTCTAGGAGGGTAATAATGTAGAATGATATTTTCACTGCCATGCTCCAATGCTTTCCTCTATATAGATAGACATCATTAGGTAGAAATGAGGCACATATCCAAACACCAACCAGATAGAATAGTAACATAACGCCTGACCAGAGACAGTGGGATATCACATACCATTCCATACACACCACGCATCCATGCATGCACATTAACCAAAAGAGAAAGACAAAAAATAAAAGATAAAAAGCTAAAGAACCTCTACCTCCCCCTTCTCCCAAGCCTTCTTCACTCCCTCCCATCTAACCACCCAAACATCACCCATGCGCATCGTGACCCCCTCCATCTCCTCTTCAATCCCATCCCCCGGCGGCACGATAACCCGTACCTCATCAACGAGACAGCGGACAAACACAGCCTCCTTCGTCTCAGGGCCCTGTATCATGCTCGTTCCACCAGCGTTATCGTCCAGGCGTCTCAGTTGCGGCGGGAAGGAATTCAGGAATGAGGAGCCATAATGCGTTGCGAGGAGACGTTGATGGGAGTTGAGGAACACTGCCTCTTGCGAGGATAGAGGGGTCGTCTGACTTGGGTCTGTTGGGAGGGGAGGAACGGAGTCTTCTGGTTGTTGGTGTTGTGAGTTTGGTTGCGATTGAGATTGCGGCTGTGAATTGCTCCCCTGTGCGGATATCACGAGGAGGTAATGCATGCTGTATTTTGTGAGTTTCGCTAGACGCTGTCTGAGTAGAGAGCGGACGAGGTATTGGGTTCTTGAGAGATCGGTTTGGAGGATTGATAGTTTGAGGTTCAGCGTAGGGTTGTTGTTTGCTGGGGTTGATGCGAGGTCTTCAATGATTTCGATCTTCGATGAATTCCCATGTTAGTTATATAGGATCATGTCTGAAAACAGAACAAAAACACACCTGCCTCCTTATTCTCTCCATCACCCTCTCCATCAATGGCCCGGGCCACGGTAATACCTCCGACACAGCTCTCTCCGCGACCCAAGACCGCGTCAAAAGCTGGTAGTCGAGTGCGGTTGATTCGGGAGAAGAGGCGTCATGGCGGTCGACAGAGGCGAGGATGTCATCGATATCCATGGTAACGGGATTGATGAGTTGGATGCGGACAGTATTGGGATAGAAGATTCCCTTCGCGATTAATAGCAGATGATTATTCTTCGAGGCGGTGCGGAAGCACGCCGCGGAGAAATTCCTGCCTCAGGCCGGAACGCATTCATAACTACAAGACCAACGCTACAACACACGTTCAAGATGGATAGTCAACCGGATTCATAGCCTAAACAAAGGAAACTCGTTATTTTTAGTCTCCGGCTTCCCATCTCCTAACTAACTAAATGCCGTCCGTCGCCAGAGATGCATGCAAATAGTGCTACAAGGCACGTCCTATGTACAGTTCATATGTACAACCAATACCGATGCAAAGGGAGGAACCTCTCAACTCCCTGCCTTCCAACAATGCAATGAAATGCAATATCAACGCGACTTGGTAATGCACAAGAGAGGCTCCCCAGTTCTTCGGTAGATGGATGTCAAGGTGTATTATTAGTAAAGCGGATGGCAAATAATGGGCAATGAAAGGAAGTTCCACAGGAGCAAAAGGATAGGTCATTATCGGAAGAACCATTAGAAGTGTAGATAGTGATCATCCGAGATGAAGATAGGCTCATGACCGGAGAACTGCGTGGAGCTAGATTCGTGGATGAGAGAGATAGGAAATAACGTTCAAGGGAGTGGACGCGACCACCAGTGGTAGCTGACAGACTTGGTCCATCGTGGCCAGGGATCAAAAGCGGGATGAAGAGAGATGCAAATCAAAGCCATCGTTGTCGTCAAGGCTTAGGGTTCGAAAAAAAAAAAAAAAAAAAAAAAAAAAAAAAAAAAAAGAGCTAAAAGGAGACCGATCCGAAAGTGGTCGCATCGAGCAATCATGGCGACAGAGAAATAATCAAAGAGTGGGATATGTCGAAAGAACAAGGGAAGTAGGTGTGAAAGCGCCAAGGGAGGGATTGAAGTTTGCTGAACGCCAATGTCATATCCCAGGACAACCCTGCACTATCACAACTTCCCCAACCATACCAAAACGCAGATTGGTACCAGTCGGGAGATGAACATCCACTTTGGCGAACGCAGCAAAAATGCAGTTGGAGACGCTCAGATAATATGCAAGGAAAATATCAATCCGCTGGACAAAAGAACGACCAAGCGCGGTAAGCCGAATTCAAGCATGACGACATAAAAGGCGATGGCGCCGTGAAAGTCAAAAAGCCAATGAGGCAAAGAATAGTAGAAACGAAAATTCGAAATGAAATAAAATGACTCGTTTTCCATCTTGTCAGTATGAAAGCATCCGTCGTGTAGGAATCCGAGGTGAATCTGAAGGTTCTTTGAATGGTGAGTCCAGTAGCCTGCCGCCTCGGCACCTCCCGGTAGGGCTGTCCTGCATCTGGGGGGAATGGTCACCAAAGGCGAAGGTATGGGCCCGGTCCAATTTGGCTCTCTGTTTCACCTTGCCTAAACCACGTTCACAGGCGAATTCGTGCTCCTTGGAATCCATTTGGACATAATTCTGAGGATAGCAGAGTGACTGATGTTCAGCAAAGAAGGCACGGTAACCCCCATCCAGGATATACAGGTCAGGGTAAGTAAGCACAGGGTACTGATCAACGTTATATGAACGATCGCTATGACGAATATGTCTAGCCATAATAGGTGCCCGGTGGGCGGAATATTCACAATGTAAAATCAATGCGGTTCGCTGTTTAGGAGATGAGAAGAGTTCGGCGGCAAGATGCTCTTTGTCATTGTAATTGATAGCTCCGTTAATGTGGCCACCCTCATACTCGTACTCGAAGCGGCAGTCGATGATCATGACATTATCAAATCGGTCGTTATATTTGCCATTCATGAGGTCTATGAGGATGCTTTTATCAATACGAGGCAAGTTATCAGCCTGATCCTCGGGTATAAAGTGAGGTAGCTGTAGGCTGGGGGTGGTTTCGATGTCGTCGATGGACTGAAGTGGTGCATTTGTGTTGGAATACTTTGCCTCGTCTTCAAAAAGTTCATCCGGATGCTCAAACATGCTCAATGATCGCCGGCACTGCTTGCGGGGACGCATCGTAGGGTAGGAACTCTTGCGGATGCCCGGGGACCCATTGAGGCGATTATGGCTACTGCCATGGCCATGGCCGTGTCCAGAGGACGGCCTGAGTCGCGGATTGGAAATGCCAGAAGAGTGGTGCCTCAATGTGGGCCTCTCTCGTGGCGGGGAGTCGCCAAACATATCTTCTAGGGATGGAGTAGATGTTTTAGAACCTCCACTAGAGAACTTGAATGGCGGCGCTTGGCTCTCCATGGAAGGTCTGGAAATGCTCAACTGGAGGGACTGAGTCTTCATTCGCGCTAGGTTTGCCCTTAGGAAATTGGGACGCCTCCGTCTATAAAGAAATTTGTTATTAGACACCTGAACCAGCTACCAGGGCAGGTTTCCATGTTTTCTGGTTCTCTTACTCGTGCGGGCCATCTTTGGACACTATAGACGGTGAATCCTGCAAAGGGCTTGGGACAGCCGAAGGGGAGGTCATTGACATAGGCGAATCCATGGACTGGTCCAACTCCGGTGACTTTATGTCCGTAGTGGTTTTGGCTACAAACGGAGGCTTGTGCGGTAATGGAGACATGTCCATGGCATCGGAAGCTGGGGCCGGAGAAGATGACGGAAGCGGAGGTGTTGTCATCGCATGTTCTGCTTGGATACATGAGCAATTGAGAGGGACAAAGGAAATGAATGAAAGAAGGTTGAAAAGGGACTACGGAACGCGTGTGTCTTACCACGACCATTTCCGAGTGCAACCCGGTTAGCGAACAAAGACCTTCGGGGCGTTGCAGGTTGCGGGCTGTTTTAAGCGTGAGCAAGTGACATTCTTTGTCTGACGGACAATTTCAAGACGGATAATCTTTGCAAAAGTACCAACCTCTTGTCAATGTGAAAATTCTGAGACAGGTCTGCAGCGAGACTAGCTGATGGAGAGGAAGCGGGGACTTGCTTCAAACTAAAGTAGTCCTGCTGAGACTTGTTCAGAGAGAGATCTTTGAAGTTGAAACCGTTCAACCCAAGGCCTGATACAGAGCCAATCGAGGCATACGCGGTTGGAGTATCGGATCGAAAACAGTGTCCAAATAGGACAGAGGGTGGCTGCATGGCAGCCAACGGAGAGGAGTGTTCCATTGCAGCAGGATTAAACGACAGTCCCAAAACTCAATTGACCCTGAACAACTGGGAGGTAAAGCCCGACAAGATGAGCAGCCGAGAAAGGTCCCTTGGAGAAGTCAAACGGCCGTAACTGCCACTACCTAGTATATCCTTTCAACAATTCCAGTATGGTTCATATGCGAGTAGTTCGGGACTACAAAAATTTTGGTTTCTTTTTTCAACGTTTTTTTATGTTTTTCTTTTTTTTCTTTTTCTTTTTCTTTTCCCTTCCTTTTCGCCCGATTGTGAAGTTACCCAAGACCCGATACGGAAGTACGGCCCACACGGCAAACAGCGTGGAATATCCCAAGGGACCGTGATCGGTGGAATGAAGCCGAGTGTTAGAGATCCATGATGGCTTCAGTCGGATGAGGTGGAGGAATGAAACAGGGACACGGAGGGAGCGGGAAGAGCCTGTCAAAGCGGATGGCAGTGGTTCGTTAGTGAGGTCAAAGGTCATCGAAAAGAGAGTATAGTGACGTTTCTTACCAAGGACAATAGGAAGCAATGCAGGCAGGATTGATGCAGGGAGACTGGACCGGGGAGGAGTGCAGCGTTGCGAGAGAGGGACGAGGAGAGAAAGGGAGAAGAAAGCGAAGAAAGACGAGGCTTAAAGAGGGTAGAATTGAAGCTGAAAGGACGAGCTTGTTGCAAGGGCAACGCAAAGTGGGGAGCATCTCCAGGATGCTGCAGGAGTATCAGGTATCGTTGTATCGAACCCATACGGGTAACCGTATGGTAAAGTAGGGCAAGGCTTGCCCGGACGAGTCATGTGCCATGTCGCTGATCATTGTGATTGTTCACCTCCGAAGTACCTAGTCCGTAGGTAATGTGTACTGCTAGGGCTGCCGCCCGTATCGTACTGTACGTACAGGATCTGGCATACGGCGCCATGCCGCTTCAGGGCTTAGTGCGACTCCAGCCGCCCTCGTTGCTGGGACTCCCGCGTGCTGCGCTAGCCTAGTTTGAGATAGCGCATGCTGACAGTCCTTTAGCTGAAGGCTTCGTCCGTTCGTTTTTGTTTGGCTGGCTGATCGCAGTCCCCCCCGGCCCTTTGTCTCTACGCCGCAGGAGAGCAGCCAGAAAGCACTCGCATGGCCTCCGTTCTGCCCCGTAATCCCGGAAGGGAAAACGCAGCCCAGATACGCAGCAAACACAGAATAGAAAATGCCCTGTTTCCCTGAATAGCACCACGACCCCACCGTGCCGTCATAGTATCAACTAACTGCCTTGTCCAGGTAACTAAACTCAATTCTTGATCGAGACCAGTATTATGTAACCCACTCGGTATCCACTCATGCAGCTGGGCAGTCCAAAGCCAAACTGCGATCAATCGATCAATCAATACCTTCCAGGCTGTGACAGGAGACAGCTCCATTTGAAGCAAGTTACCGCGTCCTGCGCAACAAAGCGTAACTGGTTGTCCAGTTTATGCCCTGATTCGCTCGGAGCTTCTTTTGACTGATAGCTTAATCGCCCTGCTGCAAGCCGGTAGGTGAATCGGTGCCATCACCGATCGGTCTTGGATGAATCAAGACGCATCCACACCGGCTTTTAGTTGATGATATTCCTTGATCTGATTCTAGGGATGAACTTTCTGATAATGGGTAAGATCCGTGCATATTCCCCATTACTATAATGTGGATTGAAGGTAACAAATCCACGTACTACGGACCAGGTACGGAGTGCAGAATACAGCCACAGCTATACCAGGGTAATAATTTGTAATTACTCTCCTGTGCTACGGACTAAAACACCGTGATGCGACTCGGACTATTGTTATTATTTACTATTGCAATCTGCGACGCTGTCTCCTAAGCGCCCTCCGCGACGATCGTACCCGATACAGCTAACTGGACGCAATCCAGCTCGGATGCCACGCGAGAGTGGCCTAATACTCACTGCTATTGATTATCCACTATCTGAGATAACATCCACTAAAAGTCTACCAGCGGCGATGGACTGCAAATCATAGCATTCTCCCCCGTCGGAGTCTGGTCCAGAAGCACATAATGTCTCCGATCTCCTGCCGAACACTTCCAATGATGCTGTGATGCGAGGGCTGTGCTATGTTCGGCAGCATAATAGAACTAGGATAAACTACCTTCTCTGGTACCGCTGGATGCAGATCAGTCACAACACAGCTTACATTGCACATATGCGCCCCTTGTCTCTGCGGGGTCAATTGATCCTTACGGCGCTCATTGGATAGCCTCATGGCGCGTAGAGGTTTCTGCTCACATCCTCGGGCTTGTCTAGATAATCATGATATCATCCAGCGATGAGGATAAAATAATACCTTCATGCATTTACTATTGTGTTGGATGATGTATACAAACTAATAGATGCCCAGACCTTTTTTAAACTCGTGACTCTCATGGTTGAAATAAAAATTGCACGGCTTCTGTAAACAGCCTCACCTCCCCTGTACAGTCTACACCGTAAAGCGGCGTGTCAAGGAATAAGGGATGCATTGACGATCGGCAGGAGTATCAGTAATCCCGCAACTGGCATACACATGCCACTTGACGAAAGACACTCGTCCTTGCACATCTCCATCCAACAAAGCAAAGAATTCACGGGGAACACGCCCGTATTCCATCGCTGAACCCTCTGTACAGCGTACATACGTGGGGGGGTTGAGAGGTTGCGCATGGACGCTTCCTCCTGTATATATTATTGGATTGTGATTCAGTCCCCCACCTCGAGTGACGGATTCATTATCCGAACTGCGAATGTTGTCATCTAGCGGATTGCTGAGGATATGCGAGTCTAATTGATACAATGTAGGAAGGATTTCAACTCCCTGCAGTGATCCAGCAGCAGGAACACATGGGTAGTATTTCAGCCTCCATGCCTCCCGGCACCAAGAAATCATACCGGATTGCGTCCATCCCGGGCGATGGCATTGGGCCTGAGGTCATCTCTGCGGGGATCACAGTCCTGGAGACATTGGCTGCCGCTCTTGGGACCTTTGAGTTGCAGTTTGAGCATTTTGACTGGAGCAGCGAATACTACAAAGCTCATGGGAAATACCTCCCTGACGATGCGCTACAGTCATTGAAGAAGTTCGATGCGATCCTTTTCGGCGCTGTTGGGGCACCAGGTACGTTGCGTGCGAATTGTGATAATCGTATCCTAAGCTCACCTAGGTACTTACTAACTTGCCATCTTCAGACGTTCCGGACCATATTTCGCTTTGGGGTTTGCGATTGGCCATCTGCCAGCCCCTTCAACAGTATGCCAATGTCAGACCTACAAAGGTTATCCGGGGAACCCAGTCTCCCTTACGCAATTGCACCACCGGCGACTTAGACTGGGTCATAATCCGTGAGAACTCAGAAGGCGAGTATGCAGGTCAAGGTGGTCGGAGTCATGTCGGAAAGCCATGGGAAGTATCCACTGAAGTGTCGATATTCACTCGGCATGGCGTCGAGCGTATCATGCAGTTCGCATTTGAAACCGCACGGAGCCGGCCAAAGAAGCATATCACCGTCGTAACCAAGAGTAATGCGCAGAGAAACGGTCTGGTGATGTGGGACGAAGTCGCTGCCGACGTCGCTAAGAAATTCCCAGATGTCACCTGTGACAAGATGCTCGTGGATGCCATGACGACGAGGATGGTATTGAAGCCAGAGTCATTGGATACCATAGTTGCGACGAATCTCGTACGTTACCGGAAGCCTTGATAAAGAGATGAATATCTGAAATACTAATATCACCAACGGTGCAGCACGCCGATATCCTGTCTGATCTTGCCGCAGCCCTGGCAGGATCAATCGGCATAGCCCCGACCAGCAATCTGGATCCTACACGTGAGAATCCATCCATGTTCGAGCCGATCCACGGCTCCGGATTCGATATCGCTGGGAAAGGAATTGGTAGGTTTACCCCTTCTCCCCTGTGTCTGTCAGTCGGTGGTGGCATCACTGACGCAGTGAAGCAAATCCGGTCGCGACATTCTGGACAGCATCCGAGATGCTAGCATGGCTTGGTGAAAAGGAGGCAGCTAAGGAGTTGCTGGACTGTGTGGAAGCGGTCTGTGAAAGGGGTGTCGTGACATCGGATTTGGGTGGTACGAGGACGACTGTTGAAGTCACCAATGCCGTATGCGATGAAATCAGGGCGAGGCCAAAGTAAGGGGCAGGGGTTCCTGTGCTATAGCGGACAGAAAATGATCAGCGCTCGTGTTTTGAAAAATATACGTCATACACCAATGCACGATCCGCAGACTAGCAGCCTCTTGGGACCGTATGACTATGGAACCAGAGGGGACAGAGCCACCGACAATCAACAGGAGTCGTAATAGTTGCAGTAGGAAGTCAAGTCGATGAGGCATCTTCGGTCAGGTGCAGATAAGTTCCCTTATCATATGACGCTAATCCGTTTTTGGCCAAGACGGCTTAAATTTTCTCTTCGAAGCTTTTCGCCGTCATCAACAAGCTCGACGCAAAACATCAATTGCTGTCCGTCATATTGCTCCTGTTTTCTAGTTGAATCCTATCCTTGTATTCCAATAATTTATTTATCTCGTTGCCAAAGATTTTTCTCCCATTGCCCCGAATGGCGCAAAGCCAAGCAGGCTCCAAGAAACGCCGACGCGAGCCGTTCAATGTCGACGTGAGACTGGTTGAGATATACGAAGACCTCGCGAGCGAGAAGGATGAGATTAGACTGAAAGCAGCTCAAGCACTTGTATCCCAATTTACGTCAGATAAGAATCCTACCGAGGAACAGATCAGAAAGGCTTTACAGAGACTCTTTCGTGGGCTGTGCAGTAGTCGGAAAGCCGCTCGAGTCGGATTTTCTATTGCTTTGACGGAGATACTCGCCCAGGTTTTCGTGGCATCTAGGGAACTCTCTGCTTTGAGCGTCTCGGGTGTTCTGGATATCTGGGAGTCACAGTCGAATGCTTCGGGAAGCGAGTCGGGCCAGGTTTGTACTAGTCGTGACCTGCTACTCTCCTAGTGTGTGTTGTCTGACTGGGATGTTTTTCTTCTTCTGCAGGAGCAAAGAGATCATCATTTCGGACGTCTTTTCGGAGCGGAAGCGATTATAAAATCTTTGGTTCTATTCCAATCTAGTGTCCCTTTCACGTGCTGGACTAGGCTCCTAGATCTGGTTTTCGAGCTGGCCAAGAAGAAACCGTGGATCCGTGAAGAGTGTGGATGGATAGTTTATCGTGGAATCTATGATCTATCTACAAAGGATGCCGACTCTAAATACGTGGAAGCGGCTATTGAGAAGTTATGCTCTCACGAATTGGCGCGGACTCCCGAAGGCATTTCTATCTGGGTGGCAGCCATGGACTTGTTTCCAAATATACATTTCCCGTCCCATGTTTGGAAACATAACGATCCCTTGGATCCGAGAGAGAGAGGCACTCTGGCGAAACTTATGAAGGAATCCTCAGCTTCCGAGGGCGAGGCAAAAAACCAAGGGAATGACCCGAAGCCATCGGGCGTCTGGAACTCCAAACTTCACTTCGCTTGGGATGCTGTCTTGACAAGGGTATCTGATGTTACGAAGAAGAAGTCTAAAGATAAAGCGTCAAAGGCGTCCAGACTCAGTTTTGTGGACTTCTGGACTGAAGTTGTTGATAGTAAGTACTAATACATTTCACCCTCCTGGGTGGATTGGGAAAAGCTGACTTAATCTTTCTTCTAGACGGCCTTTTTGCATCTGCCTCGTCCGAGGAACGCAAATACTGGGGATTTCTCCTCCTTGTCAAGGTTCTTAACGAGGCTCCTCCGCAACAGGTTTCCCTTGTATTCACGAAGAACCTTGTGAGGTGTCTCATGAACCAACTTGCCGTAGAGGACAGATATTTGCATCGCATGGCAGTCAAGGCCGCAAAGTCAATCCAGGCCCGCGTATCAAGAGAGCCTGGGTTTGCCGCGGTAGCCGTGAACGGCTTGATGGGCCCATCTGGGTCGATAACTTTCGACCAGATTACAAAAACTAAAACAGTGGAGAAGATTGTAGTTGAGGCAGATGTGAATGCCCTGACGGAGATCATAACACTGTTTGAAAAGTCCATTGAGAATCCCGGGACCACGGACATCAAGGTCGCGGCGTCAAGCCGCCAGTTCCTCGCTGGGCTCCTAGTTTCCATTGTCAGGGCACGCTCATCTACCAGCAATAACACCCAGGAAGATTTTCAGGAGATCCTGGAGAAAATTATGTTGATATTTGTGCGATTTGCCTATTTCACTGGCAAAGGCGATGAGGGTGAGGGCCAATCTACCGTCCGGCCAGTCGTGAGCGAACCTACTCAGGAGCTATTCCGCAACAGGATGAATTCCTGCCTCAACAGTATTATCACTACCCAGAAGTATGCAGCCACTGTGCCATATGCCGTCGTTCGGAAGATCCATGATGCAGTTAAGTCTGAAGTTTTTGGCAAGTGCATCATCCACATGGATAACACCGTTCGAGACTCAGTCAAGACTGCCCTTAAGTCCCTGAAGAAACTCTCAAGCAAGGTTCGTACTCTGGTTTGGCCATTTCACCATTGCTTGTCCCTGTCCTGATACTGATTGCATATACAGGAGAAGAAGGACGGAGGACCCGGCGTTGCAGCTTTCAAGCTTCTCTACTCCCTTACAGTTTTGCAAGTGTATAACGGTGATGCTGATGCCGTGTCTATGCTGGACGAGTTGGAATTCTGCCACGCCAAATTCCTAGGCGACAAAGATAAAGAGTCCAAGTCAAAGAAAGAAGACACATCGGATGCTTCCAACGCATTGGTGGAGATCCTATTGAGTTTTGCATCGAAACCGTCGCAACTATTCCGTCGTATGAGTGAGCAGGTCTTCGGTGCTTTCGCAGACCAAGTCACGGCGGATGGTTTGGATTCATTAGTATCGGTATGTGGATATCTTACAAGGTTCCACTAATGCTGTTGTGACTGACTGTTTTCTCTCAAATATTAGATTCTGGAGGCCAAAGAGAATCTTGCAGGTCAAGAGGAAATGTTCGAACAACAAGATGATGAAGGAGGTGACGAGGACATGATGGACGTCGACGAAGAAGATAGCGATGTTGAAGTCGTCGACCATGACCACGCCGACCATTCACACGATGAAGATGAAGAGGAAGAAAGCAATACCTCGGACGATACAGGCTCAAACGACGAAGAGGATGATGAAGAAGACGATGACGAACTGGCCGCGTTCGAGACCAAGCTCGCCGAAGCCCTAGGAACGCATCGAGCAGACCAGGACCTGAACGCCGAATCCTCAGACTCTGACGCAGACATGAACGATGATGAAATGGAGAACCTAGACGGGCAACTCGCCAAAGTCTTCCAAGCCCGCCGCCAAATCCTGAGTAAGAAAAAGGACAAGAAGGACGCCAAAGAAAACATGGTGAATTTCAAAAATCGCGTTTTGGATCTACTCGAGATCTACGTCAAAAAATGCCACGCCAAGGTCCTCGCTCTCGATCTACTCCTCCCCTTACTACGACTCACGCGGAAGTCAAGCATTAAGCAGATTTCCAACAAAGCCAACTCGGTCCTAAGAGAATACACCAAACTCTGCAAGGGTTCTGCTGTCCCAAGCCTCGAGTCGACCGAGCCAGTCTGGGATTTGCTGAAAGAGATCCACAAGGAGGCAGCGCGGAGCGGTCCTCCAACTCATTCTTCGGGATGCAGCCAGGCCAGTCTGCTCATTGTCAAGGTTCTCGTTGCAAACAACAAGAAGGCTATAGCTGGTGTTGTCGATGTCTACGCTTCCACGCGGAAGGAGCAGTTGACAAGCAAGAGATGCCATGTCCAGCCGTCCTTTTTCACGGACTGGAATAACTGGTGCGTTAATGCGAGCAAGCAGATGAAGGATTGAGCTTGGGTGGATTTGATTTGTTCCTGTCTTTCATTTTTTGGGCAACTATCAAAGTATAGAACAGCCATGCATATTCATATGAGTGGTACCTAGTGGTTATTCGAAGACAATTATAAAAGGCTATAACACCCTGGTGCTATAATACCACTCCTCTGGCTGAAATGTGAGATGTAACACCATTTTCAGCTCCACGACATAAGAAGCATTACACCTTTCGAGAGAGCACGTGAGAAGAAAATCCTGCTTCGTTTTCCCTCAAGGGCATGTTTCAACCAAACGATCTTTTATGGTTGCATGTTGAACACTTAGGCGATTAAAACATGCAGCAATAATATAACTTGAAGTACAGAAAGAAAGGAACCCATTTCATAGTTCAATTATCACCCTCGTCTCCATCCTCAGTATTCTCATCGTCATCAGTATCTTCATATTTCTCGTCATGATTGCCTCCGCCCTCAGTAACCTGTTTTTGATGCAAGCTCCAGCAGGAGATTAGGATCCCCTCTGCTCCAGGGTATAGATGGTCCGCATTCAGCAACGTCCCTGTACTCACGTACTGCTGTCTCTTGCTGCTATATATGCTGGAGGGCCACGTTTACTTTGGATGATGTCCAACGGCAGTTCATCCCGCTGATGATCGCTCACCTGTGGCCTACGCAAAGGCAAATTGTCAAAAGAATAGCTTTTGCAGATATGGATTCAGCTGCAGAGCTATGGCGGTGCTGTTGATTACAAGAATGCTATGGGGATGTCCATACTGATGTATGACAGGAGTAGCCTTTATTTTTCATTATTCTCTGCAAAGTATTTTTTGTAATGCGTTATAGCTAATTAGGCTGCGTTTTATTAGCATAAAAGCCCTCCATATGACCTTGAAGTACTCTGGATGATCTTCCACCATCTCATCCTCTTCCTAGGACCTTGTGCCCAGGGCATCTTCTACTAAGCCGAGGACGCGCTACCATGCCTCCCATTATCCAGGCTGCCACTACCTACGACGCCGCTGACACGCTAGACGTGCTGCTGTCTGAAGGCGTTGATCCTAATCTGCGGCCAGATGTCGATCTGGACGCCCTCCCAAACGAGATTTTTGCTCGTTGTTCTCTACTCCTGGTCTTCTCGTGAGGGTTGCGTTGAGAGCCTTCCGACTGCTGGCGCAGACCCTCACATCCGTGACGGCTGCGGTAACACAGTACCACGGTATCTAGCCGACTGCAGTAACATCAATAGCGATGGCTTGACTGAATCTGGTCTTTACTCTGGCCTTAATATTGAGCTTCGTCATGACGATCGTCGCAGCTCCGCACCAAGGGAGCTGCTTTACATGTTCCTCAAGCGCGGCGTTGATGTCCGGGCGCGTAATAATGAGAGGCTTACGGCAGTACGCATTCTCCTAGACACTGGTCGCACATGGTTGGAAAAAACTCGAATGGTCTTACGGCAGTCTGTCGCATAGATCTCGACCTATACGCGCCCAGGATCAGGCCGACGCTGAGGCCCTATGAATGCTGGACGCTGCACGTTCCGACTGGAATGAGCGTGACAGTGTCGGACAAACTCTGCTACACGCCGTCGCAGCGCATTCCATGGACAGGAGAGCGTGTGGAGGTGTAACTCGTTTCTTGGGTTGATATTGTCATTTGTGTCTTTAACAGAGTGCATCCTTGCCTTGTTCTGTAGATTCTAGCGCAATTTATCATGCAAAACAGAGCCCTCTTGCCCTTCCCTATGCAGATGGTTGGGAGAAGATCTTGGAAAAGTCATGCTCAGTCCAATAAAGCTCCGGGCGCACTCCAGCAAGCTTCCAGACTCCATCAATCTTCCCATACCAGTGTTTAACAGTGCCATAGCCGTGGCCCCGACGTGTGACGCTGGTAAGATCAGGGTTCGCATAGCGCTGGTGTGCTGCGCGAATCTGATAAACAGCAACAATCTCCGTCTCAGACACCCACTCGTATTTGGCAGCACCAAGAAGGTGTTGAGTGTGAACAAGGGGGTCTCCCAGGAGATTGGGAGAGCTCATCATAGAAATGAATTCCTCGGACTTCATGTGTGGGAAGCATTGGTGACCGATGATGCTGTAGTCTACCTGCGTTGGCAATGGAGGGTCAGCTCTAGAAAGGTCCTCCTAGCGACAGATGCACAGTAATACCATCAGGTTTGACGCTAGAATATTGCGAAGCCGATTCCAGTCCTGTCTCAGGTGAGTTAAGTACTGTGGTTAATGGATATGCCGCTTAAGTAGCAAATTGACACCTACCTTTTTGTCGTAGCTATCAGCCCACTCAAAAGCAAGCTGACAGATGGCAATATAATCTGAATCCGGGTATGTCACTTCAATGGCAAGGGAGAAGTCCATGGATCTCTAAGAGCTTCTTTACCTTGGAATTGGATGCTTTCCATCTTCGCAAACACTTGACGTAGCGGGAGCTGCTTTATCCGCGATGCATTTGAGATTTTGTATTAAATGGTGGGAGATGATGGCCATTATATAACCATGCCTAGAGACTGAGTGCCTGTAAGTATGGCTGGCCTGGTTATAAATAATCATCTTAATTTAGGTACATAATCCATTAACCTTATGCAGTCATCAATTTTGATACGGCGCTCGGCGACACGATTGGAAGTCCAATCAGATATGTAAATGGAAATGTAGGGTAAATTGATTTCGAACATTACTGTAGGATCTGGTTTGCCATGTTTCTCCTTGCGGTATTGTGCTTCACATAATCCCATTGATAGAGACTTTCGTCAGTCTATGAAGTATGAATCAGTGGTTCCTATCGCGATATATGGATCACAGAAACAAGGTACCTCCCACCAGCCCGTTTTCTATTTGAATGGCATAGTTAATCGTCAACCTTTAAATGAAGAATGCCAAAGGAACGACCGGCTTTTGAAGTCTCGGTGCATCCAATAAAGAATCAAAGGTCTCCAGCAGAGTCTCAGCTGCGTCCTCAGAGAGAGATGCAAACTAAAGAACCGTGTTAGAACCCTTTGATATATCGGTGCTGGTCTGTTTCTTCCAACACCTCAAATTTCATGCCAACCGCTATTTCCCCCTCATTCCTCGGTGCACCCATCATGCCGAAGACGGGTTTGTATTTCATACCCTCGTCGATACGGCGGTATGACATGAGCGTATCCCAGGGCTGCGTCTTGTTTTTCTGCGCCGTGTTCGGGTCAACATTCGGTACTTGGCAGCGCGTACAGCGGCAGATGATATCCAACACCAATGGTCGTGCTGGGGTAGCCGATGAGGAATCGCCGATACGGACGAGCTTCCATGTGTCCTCGCTCCACGGTACGTTTCCCCGGATGATAATGTTAGGCCGGAAACGTTCGATGGTGATCGGTTTAGTGCCGTTCTCTGCCAACCGGGAATTGAGCTCTGCGAGAGATGCCTCGGACCCGATCAACACGGGATGCACGTCGGGAAAATTGACAGTCTGCGTTCTTCCAAGGATCCTGGGATCTCCGTTCCCTTGCATAACGCGTGGAGTTGGACCTTTGTAGACCAGGCAGACTTTTCGATTCAGGAACTCGGAAAACATCTCGTTCACTTCATCCCCGTACAGATGGCCGTCCGTAAGGGTATCCCAGACTTGGACCTTGGCTAGGGTTGTATTTTCCTTCAACCATTCCTCGGTTGGATGGGAGGGGATCTTCACAACCCTGTCTTTGACTCCTGAGACGCTTAGAAGAAGGAATTCTCCATCGTCATTCAGCCCGGTGTTAATGAGGGTCATCTCGGGGATTTGGCGAATGGTGAGAAACTGCTTGGTTGCCGCGTCGACGAGCATCCAGCGTCTGTCAAGATCAAGGCCTTGGGAACGAAGGGTCGTCTTGGATAGCTTGATCCCCCTGCATGATTTGATAGGATATACCATCAATGAGACAATCTCAGTGGTATCATTATTCTTGGTAATATAGTTGAGTCTGGGTATTTTAACACTCTTGGGTAGGCCTTTGAATACGGGTAGGATAAGCAAGAAGGCCAGAAAGGCTACAGAGAGCACAGCCGGGGCCGTAGGATATTCAAAATCAAGCATGATTACCAATTTCCTGCAACCCCTTCACTAACCAGAATGGTGATTTGAAGTGCAATCAAACGTTCGAGTCAAAAGCGAGATTTGATATCCACCTATTCTGCCGCGTGATACCGCCTGCGTGGGGAGACGAAAGAATCATCATCATCATCATCACAACTTGATAATCGCTCAAATTGCTGGTCGCATGGAGGTGTTGCCCTTCCCGGCATTGCTTGTGCTAGACGACGAGCCTGAAAAGGTTGTATGCGCAGGTCCCTCAGATTCCGCAACGGAGACGCGCGGTCTATTGGCCCCAAGCTAGTATAGTAGCGGTTGCTGGCGGGCTGGCGTAGTTGGCTCCAGCTGATTCATATATCATGATCTCCTCCATTTGGAGTGTGTGGGATGATGCAGATCCCAGAAGGAATAGTTGATGATGTTACATCGCCGGAGTGGTTGGGTCTGCGATGATCGCTCCATCGACACGTCCAGTTGAGTTGGCCAACTCCTTTGTTCCCGCCATGACCTTCCCCTCCCTTTGAAAGCTTGCTCTGCTCGCTCCCCTTTTCTCTACCAGATCCTGTCTGCGCTGGACAGAGCATAAAGACATCGTTCCTGACAGGACGTTTCTGAGATAGAACGCACCATCGCGGAGACTCACCGACGCCTCCCCACACTGTTCTCCATCCACCCCGCAATCGTCATGGGTGACTGCGGCGCCGACGTGGAGCAACCGGCGGCACAGCTAACGTCGGACAGGGGCGTGCCCTCTGCAGAGCCAGATGAAGAAGTCTCGGTGCTTGTGACAGGATTCGGAGTAAGTGGTTACTGTACACCTTGCTTCCTGTGATCATTCAGCTTGTACCTGGAACCTGACGAGCAACCAAGCCTTTCAAAACGAATGCAGTCAATGCCTCGTTCCTGATCGCTTCGTCTCTCCCCTCCTCCTTGAAGATCTCGCCTCCCATCGGTGCCTCATCAGATGGTTCTGTCCCTGCATCTCGTCGAGTTTCAATCCACGTTCATCCCACCCCCATCAAAGTTGCGTATGCAACGGTGCGCAAGACCATTCCAGCAATACTCAAAGACTATGCCAAAGCCCACGGGGGTCGGCAACCTGACATCATAATCCATATTGGTATAGCGGCCACGAGAAACTACTATTCGGTCGAAACCCATGCCCACCGGGATTCGTACTATGTGTCAGACGTCAATGGCAAATTGGCATACGAGGATGGCGAGAAGTTATGGAAGGAATTAGGGCTCCCTGAGGTGTTAGAGCCAGGCCCCTCAACTTCCGGGGCTAAGATTACTACGTCGTCAACTCCTACAACCTCAGAACCGGCGTCGTTGCCGCCACGGGCGACGCAACGGCAGCTCAACCCGTATCCTCCTGAGAACGGTTTCCTCGGAACATGGAAGTCGTTTATCCCTTCGGCAGACCTGCGAATCTCGAAAGACGCTGGTCGGTATCTTTGCGAGTTCATCTTCTACACGAGTCTAGCGCGCGCGTACTTGGAGGGACAGGACCGAAATGTGCTGTTCCTCCACGTTCCGTCGTCATATGCGGACGAGGATATCGAATATGGAAAGGATGTGACGGTGGCACTGATCAAAGCCCTGGTCACCCGTTGGATTTGTTAGTTGAAAGAGATGGTTTCTGTTTTAAGGAGAGGACCTGAAATTCAAAGTCGAGCGATTCTCTCTTGGTCCCTCCAGCACTGCCTCGAGGGCAGCAAACCGAGTCTCTCTCACTTGTCTAAGATGCTCCTCCTGGGTAGCTCCCAGACGCACAAGCTCCGCAACCTAATGTTACAAATATTAGCCAGAAGCTTCACCATTAAGAGAACAATTTATTGAACCTACCTTCTCACGATATCTGCATGTTCAACGTATAGCCAGGACGGTGAATTTGATGTTCTCTCTGTCCATGCCACTTACGTTAACCATTGTCCAAGGAGCCTGCAGTTGCAGTTTCAGTTGTAGGAGTTGCAATACTAGTCGTTCAAGTTGTAGCGGTGGTATGACAAATGTAGCTTAGGCAGTGTTCTTCTTGTTGCAGTTGCATGTTGGTCGCGGTGGTGGTGATGGTGGTGTACTTCAGAGAAGAAGACTATCTTCGGAAGGGGAATGCTCTATACTTCCCTCTTTCCCGCTGGGCACCTTCGCTCAGGTTTCCAAGTGGTATTGCAAGGACGAGTGAATGCATGAGACCTTAGGTACACAATCCCAAAAAAAAAAAAAAAAAAAAAAAAAAAAAAAAAACTATGTTAGAGACACTCCTCCCTGCCAGCCTTAATTGTACGTCGCAATTAACTACCATGGCTGATAATATAGTCAAGTTAGTCAGTCTCTCGTATTTGATTCAACACAGCCCATTCATATATCCATATATCGAGATGGTGCTTACAACGAGGCATAAACCACTACAAGAGGGTAATAGTCTATAGAGGCGTCTGTGACGCCAAGGATTGCCGGCCAGTTTGGCTCAAGTATGGATTCCAGCGTTGATTGATCATGGATCGACCTTTAAGAGCATTACTCCTAGATGGCGCATTGACAGTGTTTCTAATTCTGGCAGGTGAGGTGTCTGGCCCTGAGCCCTAACTGCATTGTGAGGTGGATACTTTAGAATCGCGAGGAAATGCTGCCAGCAGGACTCCGGGTTCGGCACTTTCTGTTAATCTGTCTCATACTCTATAGGCATGGGTGAACATATTTAAGTGAGCTATAACCGGAATAGACAACAGATTGGGAGACTCGGTTGAAGATAGCGTACATGTTTCGAGATGCGCTAGAGAATTTACGGTCCTGTGCACCGTCTTCCCGAGTCCCTAGACTCCCTACTCGCCTCTGTTCCTGAAGATTAACCCAGGACAGGGCAGTGTCCGTGGGGTGTTTCGGGTTGATAACCCAGCCGGACGACTATATAATTTTCCCAGGCACGTGGTTCGCTGCTTCTTGTGATGATGGTAAATATACGGTAAATGTTACAAACGCGCGAGTTGGCGCCTACAGCAGACTCTACACAAGGCAATTGTTCCAAATGCACAATCAGGACCTGAAGAATCTTGGTGCAATAATAATGCCCTTTATGGTCCCTGCTCCAGGCGAGCTCCACTCGATGGAGAACAAAGGCCAGGGCGGGGCGAGTGGTTCGTTCCAGAGATCAATGTGGACTCTCGAGACAACCTGGAAGATGGCGCAATAACCTCAAGCTTCCAGTATCTTGCCGACCGGTACCTGGGAGTCTGGGAATGATGGACCTTCGAGACGATTTCTAGTCTGAGCGCTGCGAGCGGGGTCGGACGGCTAACCCATCCAAAGCAAAGGTTTCCCAACCACCCTCTTGATCTATATATATCCAGACTCACCGCACGACGATTGCTGCTGGCGAGCGGAGACCCATTCTTCCGATTGTAAATATAAATCAACTACTCCCGGATACAGTAGTTTATGGAGTTCGGGAGTCGAGGAACGGAACAGGATCTGCAGCTGGATGAACAGTTTCTGGAAGGAAACCCTGAGGATAAGGTTCAGACCTCGCTTGCGCCTCGAAGAAGAACCGTTGCGCGCGCGGCAGACGGAGCAGATTCGACAGTGCCCAGTGGTGAGGCGGCAGAGGCGCCTCGTCTGGTTCGTCCAGCCTCCAGGAATAAAAAGGCGGTTTTCATTTTCTGTGGAATTTGCATTGACGTCGACGAGCAGGGACATATATAGTATCAGAAACCGGATGATTTGGATCGGGCCCGACAGATCAGCTCACCTATGGTGTTGTTTGGTAGTCAGCATGGACGCTGGTCTAGGTTCCTCTCTGTGCAGCGTAGACGGGCACGACATACCGAGAAGTAGCAGAGAGAGAGGTACAGAGTAGTTGCCAGCAACCGTGAACAGCCAGCTGGAGAGCTTGACGTGTTTCCAGGAAGGTGATTAGAGGGAGGGTGCTGGTGGAACCCCTGGCAGACGGAGTCGCAGAGAGTCGCATGGAGGTGTGATCTCTCTGCCGCTCCCGCTTCCTCTTCCTCCTCCGTCCTTCTCTTCTTCTCTCCCCATTCCATCCCCCAGCCATCTCTCTTCCATCTCCTCCCGGCTGGTCGCCTGTCATTTTCACCCCTTGCTCCCTTTCCTTTGTGTGTTTTGTATGTCCCTGCCAATGACGGGTCCGATCTAGTTCCCCCTGTCGCCATACAGCGGAGCAATGGAGTTCAGAAGCAACCCTTGGATGTGATCCACCCCTTCTTCAGTTCCCTGCTTCCCCCATTGCCTGTCGCATTAACTGGCAGTGTCAGGATTCAGTTGCTTCTTGCTCTCCGATCTCCTACACACTGACGAATCGCCAATTCTCCTTGTCTATTTCCTTGTTCTTTCCCCAGCCTAGGGACTGGTCAACACCACGCGCCTTGTCGCTCACGCGCGAGCCCAATCCTAAGGCTATCCAACTGACCATTTCTTTTCTTTCTTTTCTCCTTTTTCTTTATTTTTCTTTCTTTATTTCTTCTCTTCATCGCACCTTCTTTTTATCTGTTCATTTCGCGCCAGCTCTGGAAGTGCCCAAGAAACGCTCCGCATCATTCTATTGAACCCGGCGCGCCTCCCTCGATTTGCCTCGCTGATCTCAGGACTTACTTGCGGTGTTAGCTACGAGGGCGAAATATAATGCTGGTATAGTGCGCGCATTGAGTTACTCCAAGGAAATAAAGTGCGACAGCCCAAACCATCGATCTTTGCTTGATCAAACCTCCCGACTACGACGTCAAGCAACATCGCAATTCACCATGGCATTTCGACACCAGGGTTCGCGCACCCTACCAAAGAACTTCACGTTCTCATCGGCACATGCAAGAGACCCTAGGACTCCCGAGCGCCCTTCTATCCCGCTGGACTTTCCGCCGCCGCCGCCGCCGCGCCATTCCAGTGCCCGCCTGTCCAGATCGCGAGTGCGCCAGGGGACCGAACTCCTGTTCAGCGCAAGAACCGTTCATGAAAGTTCCAATTCTACCTTTGCTGATATTCCGCTGCCTTCGATTGAAGTACCCCCTCAGCGCGACGCCCCTATGGCCCGGTCGTACACAAGCATGACCCCTATCGACGATGACCGTTTCCTGGCACCTCCGCGTGGGCGCCAGGCCTTTCGCACTCCTCCTGCTCAGATTCGCCCGATGTCTGTGGATTCCAGAGATATATGGCATCACCAAAGTTTTGGGAGCCCTGTCCGACGCCGTGGATCGGTGTGCTCGAATGCCTCCGACTCATCCGTCTCGTCAATCGAAACCTTTGCATCGGCGCAATCTGTGGGTGACAGCTGTACGAGTCCAGATAGCGATATACATGACCCCTTCTTCTATCCCGATCGTCACAGGAAGCAGATTTCAGAACCACCGCCTCCGACGCCGTTGCCTAGGAGGCGACCTTTCAAGGCTCTACTACAGAGGGAACGCTGGACTCCAGAAATGGACAATCATTTGTGGAATACCTACCAGCTTTATTTACAGGATCCGACTATCACCCCTTTCAAGATGACGCCCGGTAGTATTCCTCCACTTGGAGTCACCCACAGAGTCGCGCGCCAAGCAAAGAAATCCTGGGAGAAGAGAAGGCCCAAAACCAGCAGAGCCTGTCTATGTGAATCGAAGGCCGAGCTGAAGGAGCCAATAGATGTGTGTCGCTGCGCCACGCCAACACCGACAACTAACCCACCAAAGCCTCATTGGCCTAATTCCTATGCCTCGACCAGGAGAAGACTCAAACTTCTTTGCAAGCGCAAGTTCTCTATCGCTCCTCATTACCAGAGGATGCTGCAATCCCGCAGTCCGTCGCCGTTTCTCGACGTATTCTCACGTCCTTACCACGAGGTGCCCTATGCTGATAGCTGCAATTCAACGGCCTACGCGACACGCGACCTCGGGGTTTCCCTGGTGTCGAGCATGGTACCGGGGACGCTGTCGCAACTCGCAACAGAAAGCTTACCAAGCGATGACTGGTTTAATACCCCCGTGCAAAATGCTCCACATGACGCTGTTGTCGAGTCTGTACCGAAGGACTCTGTTGCTCTAGGTGACGCTGACTCTATTCCTCGCCTTGGATCACCATTCATCTACCGTACATGGGGTCCTGGAAGTTCCAAGCGCAAAGTAGAGCAGCAACTGCCTAGACCGAGAAGAGGCACTATCCATATAACTGGGTCACGGCTGCAGTCTCCGCGAATAGGTATATATGCTGATACAAGCAGTGAGTTTACCGAGGATCGTCTCCATGCAGAGGTTGGCCCCGGCAAAAACAATGACGCACAGCCTCCCTTGGAAGAAATTCTCCGTCAGGGAAAATTCGACGGCGTTGGACAGGGTTGCGTGCGCATTCGAAACCGCGGAGCTACGACAAGCTCAGTCAAAAGCCTGGATCAAATTTTCTCTCCACCCCCACCCTGCCCTATAGCCGAAAAGTCCACCAGTGCCCCAGTATGGAACATAAGGGGCGAAAACATCAAAAGACTTGGCTCTCCCTTTCAAGTAGAGGGAACACCCCGTTCCGAGTCGTCGGGGAGATTCATCAGACACGCACCTTCGCTTTCTGAACCTTTTGCAGGCCTGTCCGCCAATTTAATGACAAATAGGGAGCCGATTCAACCGCAAGACCGAGAAGCGATGAGTGCACTCCCGTACGACCCGACAGAGGAGGGTATATCGGAGGCAGAGCGAATACGCCGACAGGTGCTGAATATGCCTTATACCCGTAAATAAGCATAGTAACTGGGAGTACGGAGCACTTTATTCATTTTCTTGTGGCCTTGAAATCTGTTTTCAGCAATGGGTGCCAATTTATTTTCGTTCGCATTTTCATTTGATAACGACCTGAACGACTCGCATCCCAGCCTGAAATATTACTTTTGACGACAGATACGGTGTGATGACTCTCTAACGACATGACCCGACGACTCTTTGTTCCTCTTTCTTCGCTTCTGGTGATGAACAAAAACAAAATTCTAAAAAGGAAACAAAAAAAAAAAAGTTGAGAATATCCTTAACCTGCCATTCATCGATATGGTCAAGTCTATTTGCGTGAGAAGATTATACATCTGCTACTCCCTTGATTGCCTTCCAATACGGTGCTTCAATCGGGGTGACATCTGCGAGCTTGACTTGGCCATTCAGCATTGGACAGATGATATGATGACGCCTGAACGGTCGTCGTTGAGCATTTTGCCTACCCATTACATTCTTTGGTCCTTTTTCTTTATTTATTCTTGGCCGCTCGAGATATCAGCTACCTCGGACAAACCCTACGGTCCTTGACAATTCTTGATCGACGCTGCCAAGACTCTATACTTATTCTTCGAGTATATTCCGTCCGACATACGTTCTTTTTTTTTTTTTTTTTTTTTTTTCTTCAATTTCAATCTTCCGGTCCATCTTTTTGCAGCGATAAATGACTGACAAGCAGCAAAACGGACATATATCAACACTCATTTACCTTTTCCTACATTACTTATTCTCCCCTCTGGATTTCCTTTCTCTCCCCCCAAGTTTGCTCACTATATTCATATCATCTCGTCTTGACCCCTGGTTGCCATGCCTTGCAACATGCATATGTATACACATATACACCTGGCCTTATCTATCAATCCTGCCCTGCACTCTACGTGGACATGCTGAAATGAATGACCCATAGATGAGGTGAATGACATACAGGAAGTACATGCTATGATTTATGCGTGAGCATTTTTTGCGATTTTGATTTTCAAGGAACTCGTTGATTTATTGTTTTCCTCTGGATTGTTTTGAATTATCTGACCTGTTACCTTCCTTCTTTCTTTTTGTGGCTAAAAGAAAACATTTGACCATTCCTTTCAAATTTTCACATTTAAATATTGCATTTTACTAGCCGTACAATTGGCAAATGCCGGAGTCGGGCCGCTCGTCGATTACGCCAAGTTATCTTAGAGCTAGCGAGGGATCGCAATTCTAGGTCTCCTTCCTCCCATACCTAGTCTTTAACTATCGAATGCCTATCAACTACCTAGGTACAGCAGTATGTCCGGTTTCAGTCGATGGCCCCAATAGGGCTGGCCCGTTTCATCCGATGCTCCCAATATACAACCTCCCTAATGCTAGTCCTGGCGGTATTATCGTGGAGGCGGAGACGAGAGGGAGAACCGAGGTCCTCCAGTCTGCAATTCTGCGATCTGAATTCTGTGAGTTATCGACCGATGTACTGTATCCGCATTTGGGAAACGTCTCGTACTTGAAGCCGATGTATGTATGAGAATCTATCAGATTTAAGGGATGAAGGGGCGCGGAATGGTGCCAAAGTGGAGATCTACTAGCGCCAGTTAATGTTAATTATCCAAGCCCCACTGCGGGGTAATGACCCATACTTCAACCAAGACTGGTTTAGTTTGCCTGCGAGCATCTGGTTAATTATATCCTCAAGTCAAGCCTTAGGATTTCCCCTAATGAGGGAGCATCAACTGTGATTGAGCTTGGCGCAAGGTAGTGGGAATATCCAGACGGGATGTTATTGAAATCTATTGCTTGGCCCTAATGAACAGATACAGCAAGATATACATCAAAAGAAGATGGATGGGACATAAGAAACAAGTGAAGGGGGGGGTATACAAATCAATCATAATGAACGCATGCCAGAATAAAAACAGCCACCGTTAAAAGGATACCTGCAAGACGACAAAACAAACACTAAGCATACAGAGGTCTCTTTTATCTTTCCAGTTTCTTTTTCCTTTCGGCGAAAATAGCCTCTAATTTCCGGATTTGCAACGAAAGGCTCTTCTTCTCCGCATTGGCAACCAGCCATGCCTCCATTCGTTCCCGGACATGCCGCATGGAGTTGAGGACTGGGAGAACCGTCGAAGCCTGTGGTACCGTATTTTCGTCAACAGATGCATCTCCCTCACGCTCCATCTGAACCCAACGTTCGCACCCGGGATTCAAAAGCAAATCAAAAACATCACTCCATAGCTCACGATCCCAATAGCGTTTGAATGACTCCCGAATCCGGTATGTCCTCTTGGTACTGTCGTGGCTGTTGCCGCTCGCACGCACTGGCATTGTTTCCATATATTTCCCAAAGAGCATGACATGAACTGTTCCCGCAAGGCCGTATAGGTCTATTTGATGCGTCCAGGGACGCATCTCGCGAATCTCGTTGCACTCGTGGTCCTTTGTTTTCCAATCTGCTATGAATTGTACTGCAGGTTTGAAGGCTCGCATGTCGATGGCCCGTCCAAAATCAATTAGCGCAAGACCTTTATTACGCCATCCGCAAGCCCCACGGGGGGAGTAATGTATCTCATTGGGATCCGGGAAACCTTCACTGTCATCTAGGTCGACGAGCGAAGGTACTCCAGACCCAGTGGAGTTCTCGTCAAATCGCACTAGACAGTTGTCCGCCTTGATGTCACCATGTATGATACTGCACGCGTGGAGCGCTTCAATGGTCCGGAATAGCTCCACGGTGAAGAACATGGCCAACGCCTCTTCCATACCTCCTTCCGCATTCCCGTTGTGAACGACATTCGCGAGGTCGAGCAACGTCCCCTGTCCTCGGTAATCCTCCACAAGGAAACTCTCTCCCTTGAAAACATGCAGCTCATGTACGCGGATAATGCTATCGGCTGCACGACTTAGTTCTGGGCGTTGCTTCAGCCTCTGGTGGGCTGCACGAATCATGTAAAATTCCCAGGCGTTTGGCGGTCCAATTTCCATCTTAATCGCCTCAAATGCATGTCGATGAATCGTGTGGTGGGAATCTCTATTATTTCGAGTTGAATTTTCAGATTCTTCTTCGTCGGAGGATGAGTAAGAATCAGGGCTATCGACGCTCTCCACAAGATAGACCGGGGCATATGCGCCAGCCCCAAGCTCGCGTCTTAAAGCATAGCTTCTCTCAGCACCTTTCAAGTCAAGAATGGGTGGCTGAAACGATTCTCCGCTCTTCGGACGTTTGGACATTGCTTTAACAAATCTTTGAATTTCACCAGCATGGCTGCCTGCCTCATCGGCATGGTCGTGGTACCCACGGTAGGACGTTAAAGGCGGATCAAGGGCCGTAATTATCGTTTCACGAATCCTTCGGTCTGTCGGATTGCATTGGAGATCTTGAATTATCGCTTGTGCCTGTTTCCTGTGCTCTGGAGAGAAGATCGACCTGGGGGAACGCGACTTCTTTAGCGTAGGGCTTTGAGAAATATCTTCAGTATAGCGAGTGAAATTATCATCTTCCTCCGATATGCCACCAAGAACAGGGCTAGATAGCAGGAGATCCTCAATGTGAGGCACGCCTGGGGGAGTCTGGCTATTAATGGGCATTAGTTTAGACGGAGTCTTCGCATTGTAAATGCTATTTCTCGCCGCTGTCATAGAAGCAAGCGAATATTCTGTCTGTTCAACAATGGGAGTCATGAAAGGTAAACGGTTCTGAGCGACAATGGCCGGGTCACGATACGGACCCGACGGAGGATCATAGTCCTCAGGCATCTCAGGTACGAATCTTTGTCTTTCCGGCTTCTCGTTTGAAAAATTGTCCACCGCGACGGGGGAAGTAGTCAATTCCCCTGAAACAGCGGGTGGGATGTCGCTGTTGGTGAATTGAGTCCATTCACTGCCTGCAACGCTCTCTGCTCGGGTAGTGTCATCATAACTCCTCTCATCTTCATGTTCCATGATTTGTCTGTGGAATGTAGTCATCTCCTCATCTCCGAAGTCACTGGAAGTTGCAGACACATGCCCTGTTACTGTACTTTCACCGACGCTTGTACAGTCATCGTCCTCGTAGTCGCTGCCACATAGGCTATCTACAGCATCTTCAGTTTCCGCCTTCAGAGGCTGGTTGAAAATGCTATATATCTCATCCGTGGCTGCTCGCGTATGAAAGGTCATTGTCGGCTCAGACGTACTTTTCCGTCGTATTTTGGGCTTTGTTGGAGAATCGAAATTCATTTTAACTAGAAAATTCGGTTAGTCATAAATAGAAAGGACATTTGACGAAATAATGCAAATAAAAAGACAAAGATCGATTGTTTCGTGTTCCTTACTTGTCTGTGTCTCGCCCCTGACTTCAAGCACTTTCATTTTGCGTGGCCTTCCAGATTTGCCCTCACAGCCTTCGTCAGAAACCGATTTCGGATTAACTGGCACTGGCAGTTCTTTCACATGACTGTTTTCAATTCCCTTAGTTGGCTGTGAGACTGCAGATGGGATATTGCCAGACACTTGTTTCAGCGGTACTTTCGTTGAACGCCAGTCCTTCTGCATCCAGCCTCTACTTAATGCTCTAAGCTCCTCGAAGCTCATCTCATTGTTCGAATTCATATAGTCAGGATACACTGCTTCAAGGTTGACGAAGACTCGCTCGCGTCTTCCTGTGCGCGGGTTTATGGCTTCCCTTACACGGTGGTCTGGAACTTGCATTGACTGTGGGTGTAAGGCTTCATTTGATTGTAAATTTTCATTTGACTGAATACACGAAATTCGTAAGCCCAAAAGGAACAGGGTTTATGCCAGCAATTAGTCCTGTGGTCGTAAATATATGCCGAGTCAGAAATAGGATGAGTGAGTAAACAAAAAATTATTGCTTACCTGATCTCTGAAAATCGTCAGTTTCTCAGAAGGCCCAGCCTTCTTCGCGACCTTCAAAGTTTCCCCAACCCAAGGCTTTGCCTCTATCCTATTCTCTTTTCTGCGTTCCGAAAGCGACCCAATACTATCCCACCCCTTTTTCTGGTCAGCAATAGCGGGCTGACCAGGTGATGCTGCATCTGCATCTGAGAATATTGCCATCTTCGGTTTCCCAGACCTAGTCTTTTGAGAGGAGCTGGCCGCAGGAGCCGCTTGTGAAGCTTGCGGATTGGTAGACGAACTTGCCGATGAAGCAAATGGATCGATCTTCGCTGCCAGAGCCGGACGGACGGCCGGTAATGCAGGAGAGGAAGGGCCGGCATCCTGTGTTCGCTGCTCGTATCGTTTTTGAAATTCGCCAAACTTCCGAGCGAGGCGTTCCACCGGTCGCGCCTCTCGCTGGATCCCAAGCATATACACCTCTTCCGCTTGAGCCCATCGCCCTGCGCTTTCAAGCCAAGCGGCAAACTCTTCATAAAACAAAGCCAGCCCTTCCCCGACTTGGTGGCGTGCGAGGAAGGCAAAGACTTCACGCGGCGAATCCGAGAAAAGCCGGATATAGTGTAACCAGAGACGTAAATAGCGAGGATCATTTTTATAATGTGATGATGAAAGAAACGCTTTTGTCGCACGCTCTAATAGGGGGAGAAGTCCAGATTCGGGTGTCGCCTGTGCAGAAGGGTACGCATTGAGAGTCCACTTGACATAGCGATCATAAATATCGAGCGGATCATCCGACTCTCCTATAGCCTGTAGTTCTGTTTCATATTCCTGTCGAATAGCGTCGTTCACAGTCTTGGTTTCGTTCGGTGAGGGTGTGGGCAATAGATCGCCCTTGCCTCCTGGAGAGAAAATACGAGCCAGTTCTTTAGCAGATCGCCCACCCGGTAAGGATTGAATATTTTCTTTCTGTGTCTCAATGATATCGAAGTTGACGGGATCGTTGGAGGCCGCCATGGCGGGCGTTAGTCGCGAGATATGGGAGTTGCCTGCGGTTGGAGACGTGCTTAAGTAGGGAGAATTAGACGGAGGAGAATTAATTGTGTATTATATAACAGGCATGAATCAAATGCATTGGAAGGCCTTTCGTTGTCGTATTGCTGGTCTGGTCGTTCGGAAGGGCCGCTGGGAAGAATGTCAGATGAAAGGATGGAATGTTGACTCTGCAAAACATCCTGTTTTGGTTGCCCTGGTGATAGGTCACGTGTAAGGTATTACTCCTGGGCAAACTTTAAATAGTTTCCAACTGCCACGGAAGGCTAGTATGCCCACATCCTTTACTGCATGGGACTCCGTATTCACATTGCATCTCGCCTATTCTTATTATATAATTGCAGGTCAAAGAATTGTGCAGAAGAGCATGTCTGTATATTTAAATTGATCAATTACTTTTGTGTCTCTAAAGTAGTGTCGAGCCCAACAGTAATGTGCTGACTAAGCAAGAGGTCAACATCCGCCCTTGTCATCACTGTCTTCTCACTTCAGGCTGCAAAGTTTGATTCCCAGACACCAAATAAGGCTTTAAAAGAGCCTCGGAGATCTAGTTTATGAACAGAGAAGGATCACCTGTGTGAAGCATATCGTCCCCCCATATGGATGCCATAATATAATATCCACTGCCTTGTCACAACCATCAATGGCTGCATCGGCATCAACCCGACGGAACTCTTCGAAGGCGGCCGCTGCCTCGAGGGGGAACGGAAGCAAAAGAGGATCCACGCAGATTGATACGGGAGAGCAATCACCCCTGAGACGGTCTAAACGGCTCAAGTCAAGTGACGACCTGGGCTCTCCCGCTCCGTGTCAATCGACTGTGGAGCCAGAGATTGAGAAGAATACCTTGCCGATAGTCGACTCCGAGGAGAAGAAAATAGCAGTCATTTCCTCGGGGCAAGAGGTTAAAGAGGAAGAAGAGGAGAAGGAGGAAGTTTCTGCGATTATTGCCTCGCCCAATAGAAAGGGGAGAGTGGCGAAACAAGAACCTGTGGAAGAAATTGACGAGAAAGGTGAAGGCGAAGAAATCACTAAAGTAGGGTCGAAGACGTCGAAGACATTGAAGACATCGAAGAATCAGAGGATGAAGAAGGAGAGTAAAGAAGTCGTCATTATGCCGTTGGCTGCGAGGACACAGGGTCTACGCATGTTCGTAGGTGCCCATGTCAGTGCTGCAAAAGGTCAGTTCGTATCCGGGTTTAGCTCACCTGTGGTGTCTTTACTGCATCTGACTTTATACTTATAAACGAATCTTTACAGGCGTCTTCAATGCTGTAAACAACAGCGTGCATATTGGGTAAAGCTATCTCCATTGTAAGAGGGTTTGCACAAAATTGCTAATTGAATTAAGAGGGAATGCTTTTGCTCTGTTCCTCAAATCTCAGAGGAAATGGGACAATCCCCCTTTGCAAGATGATCATAGAGACCAGTTTCGCCAATTATGTCGGGAGCAGGCATACGACGCCTCAAAGTCAGTATATATACTCCCTGAACGAAAGTGGAAACTGTCGATTTCCCATGCTAATGACGACGATTCATGGCTAGATACATCCTTCCACACGGCTCCTACCTCGTCAACCTAGCTCAAGGAGATAAAGCCAAAGCAAAACAAGCATATGACTCCTTCCTAGACGATCTTCGCCGCTGTGAAGAACTGGGAATATCACTCTACAATTTCCAGTGAGTCAGCATCAGCTGTATATGCATACCTCTTTGACAAGGCTTACCAATGAAACCCTAGTCCCGGAAGTGCAAACCAATCTAGCCTCTCCGAGGCGCTCGAACGTCTCGCCAAAGCACTCACAAACGCCCTCTCAGCCACATCAACCGTCGTCCCAGTCCTGGAGACGATGTGCGGCCACGGCACGACGATCGGCGGCTCACTTACGGATTTCCAGCAACTACTCCGCCTGATTCCGCAGAAATACCACTCGCGGATCGGCATATGCATCGACACCTGCCACAGTTTCGCGGCTGGGTACGATCTAGCCTCTCCTACGGGATTCAAGCAGTTCATGTCCGAGTTCGAAGACGTTGTTGGCATCCAGTATCTGCGTGCCCTGCATCTGAATGATTCCCGGGCGCCACGGGGAAGCAAGCGGGATCTACACGCGAATATCGGCACGGGCTTCTTAGGGTTACGGGCGTTCCACAATGTGATGAACGAACCACGTTTCGAGGGACTTCCAATGATCCTGGAAACGCCCATCGACAGACCCGTTGAGGAAATCAAGAAAGACACCGCCGTCGCGCATGGCGAGGATGCAAGTGACGAGGATGGTGACAGCTGCTGTGAAAGCGATTCGCAGAAAAAGAAGCAGAAAAAGACGAAACAAAAGTCTAAGAAAGCGACAGCAAGCGTCCTCCCAGACCCAGGAGTATGGGCTCGTGAAATCAAACTGCTGGAATCCCTCATCGGGATGGATCCTGAAGGCGCAGAATTTAAAGCACTCGAGGCCCAGCTTGCGGAGGAGGGACAGGAAATGCGCCAAAAGTATCAGGAGCAGTATGAGCGGAAGCTCGAGGCAGAAGAGAAGCAGAAGAATAAGCTCAAGAACAAGAAAAATGCGGCGGCTGCAAAGGATCAGAAGACGCTAGTTGATATGATGAAAGGTTCTTCCTCGCAGAAACGGAAGACGAGCAGAAGAAGGCAAGATGAGCAAGTCACAGATGAAGGGGAGAATTGACGATATCTCATTCTAGCCGTTTAAATAGGAAAGAAGGGGTTTCTTCCATGTCTGCGACAGGCTTATACTTATGTCCGTCTAAGAAGATGCAATAACGCTTTGTACTTAGCAAAGTCATGTACTATAAAATAATATCTACAACCCTCTCCAAATCGTGTCATAGTTAACTGAAATTAAAATGGGCTGAAATAATTACGAAGCTCGGCCAACGTACGAGAACACTGTAGCATCTTCAGCAGCAACGTGGGATAGTCCCAGCCGACCCCAGAAGCAGCGATGGCCGAGAGACTGGCTTGATCCTCACGGCCAGGACGACCGGGGCCAGTCATGTTCTGTTGGTGTTGATCATCGCCAGTTAGCATGTAGCAGAGCCAAACCTCCCCTTGGAGGGTTGAGGACCAAACATAATTGGCAAAGCATACCGGCTTCATATTAATATCAAACAGCACGAACGCCCCCCCTTCACGCCGTCTCCTTACATCAATACGAATCGGCGCCGTGGTCTTAATCAACTCCGCGACCCCAGCACACTGATCCATCACCTCGCCGTACGCCGGGTCCGCAGCCATCTCCTCGGGACTAACCATCCTCGAATTCTTCGTTACAGCCACGACACCATTGTACGGCGCAATGCCATCGGCATGGTTAAACCGCGTCACAGGCGGCAGGCACCAGTAATGATCATGATGAGCATCCGGAGGGAAAACAGTCAATGTAGCTTCCTCCCCCGCAAGGAACTCCTCAAGCATAACAATAGGCGATTCTAGAAGTAGAGTTTCAACATGGCCCCTCAGTTCCTCGGGGGACCGACAAACCTTCACACCATGACTACCACGACCTCGCACCGGTTTCCCAACGACAGGATATGACGCGCTCGCAACCCCATCGATGACGGACTTTATTACATCCCGGGATCGTGACGGGGATGCAGACGCATCAACCACCCACGATTGAGGAAGTGAGAACGCGCCCGTCTCGCGAAGCTTAGCGTTCAGATAGGCTTTATCGTCGAAGTCCTCGACCAGTCTCGGCGGTTGGCCGATTACGCGGAGCGTGTCGGAGATTGGAGTGAGTTCCGTCGAGGTCTGGAGGGGATGTGAGGAGAAGAGGATCGTGTTGGCCCAGAGGTGGGTGGCGCCGCGTTGGACGGCAGATAGGATGCCATCTTCTGTGTCGGAGAAGCACCAGCCTTCCTGGGAGAAGACGTCCGGTGTTGCACTGGGCGTGATCACACCCACGCCGAGTCGTTGGAGGATGTAGGCGATGTCTGCGCCGGAGTCTTGGTATCCTGGATGTATCTACATCTCAGCAACTTTCATCCACGGATTGGGATTATTAGGTTTATTAGGATTATTACCTCCAGGTTTGCGGGGTTTCCGTATGCCATTGATAACAGGGGGATCGATGTCCTGGAACAGCACTGCAACCACTGGCGACGAAACGGTTCGCGACGAGAAGGCTCGAGAAAGCTGAGAGCGCGCAGCTGCCATGCGACTGCACTGCATCATGGCTTGGTTTTCTCCCCTGAGAATAATAATGGTTGGAGAAATTGGCTCGTCGGGGCTCCAGCAGGAGCAGTTGGACAGGTCGGAGTATGGCCGAGCCAGTTTCTCTGGCCATAGACATACATAGTTGGCTTGAACGGAACCGGTACTTATTATTGCATCTCAGAAGAGAACTAACTCCACGGCCTCAGTTACATTATTAATTGTCATGTTATTAAGAACTGATTGGTGGAAGTTGAGAGAATATCTAGCTATCAACATTACATTATTTCAGTATGTGCTTGGATCATGGAGACAGAAAGCTAGCTAGTCCGCAGCATCGCTAATAAAGATCACATCGACAAGACAGCCCCAGCAGGGAGCTGTTCCCCTCCAAGCACCAATATGGACCAAGAAAATTCTGTGACGAGTCGTAGCCATCCAGAAAAGCTATTTACTGGAGGTCTTATATGAGGTGGTGCAGTTCTCACAGAGGGCATCGGATCGAATTATAGAAAGATATCGCCGTTCGGCACAAAAGAGGCCGTTACGGAGAAGACTTCAGTGAAGGACAGGTCCCGCCGGGGTTTCTCATGCGTGGCCGGAACTCTCGCCTGGTCGGATGGAGAAATCGGGCCTATACGCGAGGGCTAGCACTTCGTTCTGTCTTGGGGAGAGGCTCAATTTCCGCCAGGGAATCAGCCGTCCCTCCGGGACGACTGGGAGACAAGCGCGGTGAAAGCTGTCTATTCTGGTCAATAATGCTGGCCGGAACTGCGAGGCTTTGCATAGCACTGCTGGTTCCACTAGCTCGGGCACGGGCGGAATTCCGACGACTGATCAGCTCGCCTGCAGGAACGATGTTGGCTCCATCTTCCACATGGGAGTCGGTGGAGGGTGGAAGAAGTCCGGTGTCAGCATTCTGTTCAAAGCCCTCACTCCGCGCCGCGATCTCTTCTCGGGATTCGCGGCGCATCTTGGAAAATCTTCATGTAATTGTATGAAGCAATGCTGCTAATAGTGACGATCAGTCCAGAGATGTTGACCGCAGTGAGCTGGTCATGGAACACCACCCCTGCCGCGCTGATCGTCACGACCTCCTTGAAGATACCGCAGATGCTCAAAGTGACGACGGACGAACGTTTCAGGAGAGCAAACTCCGAGGCAATCATGCAAAATGCTAAGATGCCCGGGAAGATAAGGAACCCCACGCCGGCCACGATGCCGTGTGCATTCGCGAGAGCCATAAAGCCATTGAAGATCTCCGCTGGACCTTCAACTGCGAAAGCGATAAGGATAAGAGACAATAACATTACGGGAGTGAGGAAAAAGAGCGTGGAGAAGGGATTCGACGTGGCGGGGTGACGGAGAAGAAGAAACTGTGTCAGACCCCATCGGAAACCGGAAAAGAAGGCAGATGCGATGATCAACGCGAAGCCCACTGCATTGAATGCAGCCTCGCCCGCGACCATCATGACCACGCCGATGGTCATCGTGGCAATGATCAAAATCAACTTGATCGACAGGGTTTCGAGACCGAAAACGAAGGCAAAGAGAAGAACAAAGGCGAGAGCTGACGACTTGCACATGGTCAAGAAGGTGAGTGTGATGAACTTCAAGGACATATTGCCCAGACCGATGTCAAGCGAGGTCGCGATGCCGCACGGCACCAGCCGAGTCAGATAAAAGAACTTGGTGATGATCGGCGGTTGTTCGGCAGGCGCAACATAGCCCATAGCAGGCGAAGGATGTCGAGGACGAAGAGAAGGAAAGGCATAGAGAATGATAGAGGACAACGTGAACTGGACCACCATGTGCATGCTAGTCGTGAACAGGGGGAAGGGGAACACGACGGGATCCTCGACATCCTTCGAGTCAGAGAACATCCATTTATTGTACTATGCCGGGATTCCCACAATGTTAGGACAATGTTTTCTTTCCTCGCCACGAGAAAGGGTTCAACGCTTACAATGGATATGGATAGCGAAAAGAAATACCACAGCCCGATCAGCACAGCATTGACGAGCAACCGTTTAGCGACATTCCGGTCAGCCAGGTTGACGACGGCACCATCCTGACGCGAAGCCTTGACGCCGGCAATGCGGGCGTCCAGCTGCCTCCGCTGCCGTCGTCTTCGATGTCTTTGACGTCGTTGTTTCGCCGTGAGACCAGTCTCCTCGTCATCGTGCAGGTCGTCGTCCGAGCTCCGGTAGTCCATTTCGACACTCTCCGCAAGGGACGACAGGTCGGACAGGGAGTCCGTATCGTCAGCAGGATGCTCCCGTCTGTCTCGGTTCGGATCGGTGTCGTGTGAGTGGTTGAGATGAGAGAAATCGTCGTCCGTGTCCTCGGCCGGGGGATCGGGGGGCGCACGAACTGAACTCCGCCGTCGATGGTGACTTTCAGAAGGGGGCACACCCATAGTGCATGGGTTGAAGAAGGGAATTGATTGGGTTTAAAAGAATGCACGCGCCATTGTATAGCAATTGAACCAAGGGGGTTGTGTTATGTTGTATCCAATAGACGTAGGGGCAGAAAGGAGACACGGAGGTGCAGGACAGGCGCAAAGAACCATACAACAAAACAGGGGAAACACAAAGGAGAGGAGAAAGAACCACTGACAGCAGCAGATGGGGAGAATGGGCGAGTTGGAAGGGCCAGAAATGAAGTCGATGGACGAAAGGGAGCGTGTAGATTGCAGGAGGGGGGAGGAAGAACAGCGAGTCGAGTTAGAGAATGGGCACGTGAGGTCTCCTTCGAGACTCTCTTCTTGTGAATCGCCAATGTTTAATGAATAATAATAATTGTAACAACAACAACAACAACAACAAACTCTCCGCAGTCAGAGGACAACTCACTCCGGCATTCATTATTAATTATTAACTAACCGGCTCCTGTCCTGCTTATGCGAGCATTCCCTCGCCGTTATCCACCGCTACAACAAGGCAGCACCCTCTCCCAGCCGAGACACGCTGTCAATGCTGAAGCACAGCCTTATTGGCGGGGCGGCTTCCCCGGGCTCTCTGGGTATTTCCGAGTAGTAGGTGGTAAGTACGCATTCCCCGACTCTCCAGTGCGATATTATGCATTCTCACGGACGGCATGCTCTTGTTGCCAAGGCTCTGATGCACGTCCGCCAAGGACGCCAGGCCTCTACGCGGTGTTCTCACTTTCTTGCCACTTTCAACAGAGTGTTTCTTTTCTGTGAATCTAAGGAACTTTTTCGCTAATTTATATATCCCGTGTGGTATCTACGTAGTTAAACAACTAACCATCGTCTACTGCGAAGGGCGGGGGGAGGGCCCTCAGGGTGTGTGTTGGTACAAAGGAAAACACTCACTGAACTCCTGACAACAACGCCCAGGAAATGAATGGAAAATGTGATGGCCCCTATATATACATCTCTCTCTCTCTCTCTCTCTCTCTCTAAGCACTGGGAGCTCGGGGCCCCAGCATCCAATCTTCCATTGCGAGCCACTCACTCCAGCGATGCTCTGCAGCCTCGATCTCCGCATCAGATGATCCCTGGAGTGGCCGTAAGAAAGGAATAGTCTCGTGGGGAGGCATGTCGTAGTCCTTTTTCACAGAGGCCCAGCCGCCACTTTTGGCGGCAAACAGGTAGTTCTGACGTTCTTGTTCATGAAGAGGCCCGACTCCTGCCACCCAGTCGTCTCCGAAGAAGCCATGGAGGACACCGGGGAAGTCCATACCGGTAGCGACCAGGCGGCGAACGTAAGGGATCAAGGAAACCGTCGGTGATGAAGGGTTGGCGGTACCTGGAAGAGAGGGGGGTGCGGATTCTGCGGGTACCGAAGATCTCGAGGTGAAGGTCGGATCGGGCTGCTGGAAAGGGAGTTTGATGTTCAGGAAAGAAGACAAGGCCTGGACGGGCCCGCTATGCTGTGCATGGTCTAGAAAGTACCGCTGGCAGCTCTGGTAGCGCGGATACCATTCGAGGATATCAACGTCAAGGCTACCGTCCAACCCGGCGTTGCACGTCTCGGGATGCTCCTCGTTGGCCGCGGATTCGAAGTTGGGACGCGCATCCATAGTCTGTGGGGGGCAGGGGACAGGCTGGGGGGCGATCTGTTCGTCTGTTCCGCGGTTGGTCTCAGCATCGGGTTTCTTTCTATTACATTGCTGCTGATTTTCGCGGAGAGAAGAGGAATTGCTTGCTCCCGGGAGGAAACCCCTACCTCGTCGACGCAGCTGTATAGCGGTAGACACACGAACGACGGTGCGGCGAAAACGGGAAATGACCGAAGAAAGGCTTCTCCCACGGCCACGGTTCAGTTTCATGCAAGGCGCTGGCGGGATAAACATCCCATCTACGGAGTGGGTGGTGGTATCATAAGCTTATAGCGGACCGGTGCCAATCAGCAACCTCCAGGGTCAACAGCCGACAATCTGGCGGGTAGGGGGAATTTGGAAATCTGCCGAGGACCAGATGAAACACAGGGAAGATCACAAGCGTATCCATAAGTTTGTGGAGCAAGGCCGGTTCTGCGTGAAGCGGGAAACATGATCCCGAGACGAAGGGTCACGGAGAGGCAGCGGCGGGGAAGACCCGAACGGCAGAAGGGGAGAGAACAGGGCAGAAGAAAATGGCAAGAAAAATAATCAATGACACGCAGTATCAGCGCGCAAATACCGAGGGGAAGAGGAACAGGCAGGAATGAAGACGGATAATATTCAATATAATAATAAGAAGAAGCGATGCAGCCACTCGGTGCTGCCAGGCACGCCTCACACCAGGGACCGGGCCCCGATCGGCAACAGGCTTGCGCGAACAAACAGCGTGAGACTTGACGGTTGGACAGCACTCGACCGCAGGAGATATGAATCCCAGCAGCTGGATGCCGAGTGCGGTTTGGGCCGTGACTAGGCAGGGCCCGGGATGGCAGTGCGTATTTAGCGGATGGCGATATCCCCGGCAATAATCCAAGAAAAGAAGATTGCCACCCTTCCTGCAACGGCGAGTGGATATAGGATACAGTAGCCACCGTGGAATCTCGGTTTGAGAACGCGCGGGAATTGACTCCTCCGCCGGGGTCGTCAAGACGAACTGCGCTGTCGGGATGTCACCCAGCCCGGCAAGGAGAGGACCGTAAGTAGGTAGATAGTAGGTAAATAGTAGGTAGATAGTAGGTAAATAGTGGGTAGATGATGTACTCCGTGGACGAGGGTGCTATTATTATTGTCCTGTTAATATATATATGTATATATATTAATTAGCACGATCGCTAGCGCTCGCTACCGGAGGTTTTGTGCTCGATCTGTGTGGGGAAACGAGGTGCAAAGGCGCAGGTTCAGCTCCAGCCACATCAAGATGCGCTGCGTTGCTTTGCCTTTGCTTGCTTTCCTTTCCCCCTGCGGCTGATGCCCAGAATAACCACCGCCAAGTCATTGGAGCTCTGATCAATTCCTGTACTTTGTACGCCTGCATATGATGGTATGATGGTGATATCTGTTCATATCTGTCCATATCTGCCCATATCTGTTCTGTCTGGCAGGTCAGACTTGTGACAGGTCGCTGCAGCGTACGCCAGATACCACATCCTTCAGATCTATCCGGCGTCCCCGAGACATTAGCATGCTACTTCGGTGGCAAAAGCTCCAGCTTCACCATGGAGTGGTGACTCCGAGATAGAATTATGCAATGGACAGGATCCAGATGTAATGATCTGCTGTAGGACTTGGCACTATTGTCCGTTGTTAAGCAATTGCGAGCGGGAAATGCGGAAATCCCTGCTCTGATGGGCTTGTATGTAGCAAATGAATGGTCTTCTACCTGTCTGTTCCATTCTCAGCATTATATCATCACTGCATGGTGTATGACTCCATACATGACCCAACTCGGCCCATGTCCGTCTAGTCTTTCCGTAGACGTCCCGACCACTTTCCGGTGGTGCTATTTCCCGTCTGGCGTTTTTCTTTTTCTTTTTCCTTTTCTGTAGAGAATGACGTGTTTAGAAAGGAGCTTGCTTGCATTCATAGATCCAGAGGAGAGAAATGCAAGTGTTCCTGGTCTGACCTGGATGTGGAAATGTTCAATGTGAAAGGATACTCCAGCCTGCACTTGCCTGAGGCACGTCCTTTTTTGTCTTTATTTTCATTTCCTTCACTCCTGCTGGGCGAAGAAGTACAAATTCGGCAATGGGGGCTGCTCTGTGTCGAATCCGCATAGTATTTCACTCTCGTATGCCACGGTTGATCAAGGATGAGGGATGAAGCGCTTAAATAGCTCACTTGTACCCAGCATTGGAATTGAATCCCAGGTCAAGCAGCCCTCGCAACTCACGATGACGGCAGGGAAACTTTTCTCGGGAAAACCTTTCGTAACCCTGGCGACCACGGAGGGATGACCAGAATCACCACCTCTTAGAGTCGTTGATTCCTCGCATGGCGAGACGACGTTGGTCGCATTCAACCCACGGCTATCGATTCATCGTGCGGACCTCGGTCGAAAAGCTCCAGGGACATCCTGGACAGCAAACCAGTCTCGAGCTTTCTTGCAGAAACAGTCCTCAGATATCCTCAGCCTGCGCGTACTCCGGGTGATCGGTTCAGCCCTCCAACTTTGGGCATCACCCTAGAGGCTCCGAAAGAGGGTCCGCACGTGAGGAAAGTACCCGTAGCAGCAAGGGATGCAAGAATCCTGATAGAAATTCGGCCTGGTTTTCCTGTCACTGAACCTGTGGGTCAACTACATTCGTTATCAGGCATACTACTGCCGGAGCGTGAGGAGTTGGAGTATGGCTCCCAGGGAAAAGAAAGAGTGAAGGGAAGCAGGTTTTCAAACCCATTCGTTCACGGGACTGCGCGGATAGAGAGATGTAGATGCTGGTCCAAAACAGAACTGCATTTGCAGAGGGTCAGTGTGCCTGTGCTTCATGAGTTGGTTATATCAGACGACTCCTTCGCGAACGGCCGCCCTACTGTGGGGGTGTTACCCAGTATTCAACGTAAAGCCAAAGCATTTCCTGGTTGATGTTGATGACTATCACTGCCTTATTGCAGCTATAGACCCGAGTAGCATAAACATAGCAATAAATCAGCCCACGCAGTTCACAGGAAGAAACGCCCCTCGATTGACATGTATTTCTATTATCCATTACTTTTAAGTAACAAGGGATATCTTCGGGATGCAATATGGGCGGGTAGTGGCATGGCATGGATGCTGAACTTCTGAGTATCATGATGCTTCCATGCGGGATCGCCGGGGTGCGGAGTGAATTGTCCACGGTCAGGAGTAGTCTGATGTCTCGGTAAGCACATGAAGTAACGATTTCAAACGAACCACTTATTCAATATCTTAAAGGATGATGAGGTACAAGTGTTCAAAATGTCCTATTTTGTATGAGTATCGTCACGGTGCAACCTCCGTGAGCATTCAGAAGCTTAACCACTGCACTAACAAGACTAGGATGTAGAGCCGGAGGCTCTACACTGCTCTCTCATATATATATATATATTATATATGAGGCAGACAGGACAGGCTTAACAGTATCTATCAGCGCCGCTCGGTGGTGGATTACGTTAGGCTACCGTAACCGGTAAGCGAGCGCCCATGTATGTGAGTGAGATGTGTCCATATAAAACGACACTTTTAAGACTATATCTCAACAACCAATAGATGTAGAAGCATACCAATGAGATAAATCTATGAATTGGCTCTAAAAGTATGCCTTTCTTTTTTTTTAATTAATTTTTCTGGCACTGAACACTAGAATAACTAAGATATAGCTGTAATTTATCTAACCTAAGAAACACATATTTATAGAGATTTCTTGCTTCACCCATGTCTTGAATTCTGTGCCCTCTAGATGCTTTGTTCTTGAGACATTAACATCTTACAAAGTGTCATTTTGTCATTCTATATAGAAATACAAAGGTGCGCCGCTCACTTACACGCGCTGCTCGCTTACCGGTTACGTTACTACTCAGTTATTTCCCTCCGCATAATTCTCGTCATCGGACAGAGCCGGTACGTTGGGTGACTGCGCTTTCGTAGCACACACTAAGCACTGGCCCTGCAGGATAACTATGCTTAGTGCAGTACCTTATATGCTGCAGAATGCTCCACCGGGAGTCGACGGAGTTAGTTAAGCTTTCACTGTAATATTAGCTGTGGGGAGATCGGGCTCCAGTTCAGTGGCCGTCCGGAGTGAGGCGATGTCTCCGAGACGGGTATGGAGCTTACTGCAGGACAGGACAATGGACAAAAGGAAAGGCAAAAGAAAAGAAAAAGAAAGGGTCATACGACGCCACGTGACTATATCAGATAAGGGCTCAGTGGGGGATCTTGGCGGGCTTTAAGCGCGTCCCGTGACATTCTTAAGAGCCAGACAGCCAATCAGCGACCATTCAAAGGACGACTGACAGCCGAATCATGGGGCAGGGCGTTATCGGGAGAGGTAATAGCTACAGTCATAGTTATAAAGTAACAGAAAGCCGGAAAAAGCAAGGACTAATCGGGCACATTCTGTGACCTCAAACAATGGCATAACGTCCGAAGTTCGGAGGTGGAATAGGTGGAATAGGCGGGGGGGAAAAGAAGAAGAAAAAAGAAGAAAAAAAAGAAAAAACACCTCTAGATTTCCGCATAAATTGCCCTGCTTCCCGTCTCTGCATTCTTTCATTTCTTCTCCTTCTTCTTCTTCCCGTCTAACTAGCCTCAATTCCCTCTCGCCGGCCTCTTCTCCCTCGGACTACACTACTGCACGCTATATCCAACCTTAGATATCCCGTCTCCACCATGTCCAACATCCCTAGCGAACCCGAGTTCGAGCAGGCCTACAAGGAGCTCGCGGCCACTCTCGAGAACTCGACTCTCTTCGAGAAGATTCCTGAGTACCGCAAGGCTCTGCAGGTCGTCTCCATCCCCGAGCGTGTCATCCAGTTCCGTGTCGTCTGGGAGAACGACAAGGGCGAGGTCGAAGTCAACCGTGGCTATCGTGTGCAGTTCAATTCCGCGCTCGGCCCGTACAAGGGTGGTCTCCGCTTCCACCCGTCGGTCAACCTGTCGATCCTGAAGTTCCTGGGCTTCGAGCAGATCTTCAAGAATGCCCTGACTGGATGTATGTCTATAGTATCCGGGAAGTTTTAAAAAAATGACTAACTGTCTCAGTGAACATGGGTGGTGGCAAGGGCGGTTCCGACTTCGACCCTAAGGGCAAGTCGGATAGCGAAATCCGCCGCTTCTGCGTTGCCTTCATGACCGAGCTCTGCAAGCACATCGGTGCTGATACCGACGTTCCCGCCGGTGATATTGGTGTCACTGGCCGTGAAATCGGTTTCCTGCTCGGCCAGTACAAGAAGATCCGGAACCTATGGGAAGGCGTTCTCACCGGGAAGGGCACCACCTGGGGTGGCAGCTTGATCCGCCCGGAGGCCACCGGATACGGTCTCGTTTACGTGAGTATTCTCTTGCACAGCAGATTTCCCTAACTATCGATGCTAATAATGAAACAAAGTATGTCAACCATATGATTCAACACGCCAGCAACGGCCAGGAGTCCTTCGCAGGCAAGCGCGTCGCCATCTCCGGCTCCGGCAACGTAGCCCAGTACGCCGCACTCAAGGCCATCGAACTCGGCGCGACCGTCGTCTCCCTCTCAGACAGCAAGGGTGCCCTGGTCGTCGACGGCGAAGGCAGCTTCACCCCCGAGGAAATCGCCCTCATCGCCAAGATCAAGGTTGACCGCCAACAGATCTCCAGCATCGCCTCCTCCGCCCCCTTCGCAGGCAAGTTCAAGTACATCCCCGGCGCCCGTCCCTGGGTGCACGTCGGACAAGTCGACGTCGCCCTCCCCTCCGCAACCCAGAACGAAGTTTCCGGCGAGGAAGCCCAGGCTCTCATCGACGCCGGTGCCAAGTTCATCGCCGAGGGTTCCAACATGGGCTGCACCCAGGCCGCTATCGATGTCTTCGAGGCCCACCGTCAGGCTAACCCCGGTGCCGCCGCCATCTGGTACGCACCCGGCAAGGCAGCTAACGCCGGCGGTGTCGCTGTTTCTGGTCTCGAGATGGCCCAGAACTCGGCCCGGCTCACCTGGACCTCTGAGGAGGTCGACAATAAGCTCAAGACTATCATGCAGTCTATCTTCCAGGATGGTCTGAAGACCGCTTTGGAGTTTGCCACCCCGCAGGAGGGTGTGCTTCCTTCTCTCGTGGCTGGTAGCAACATTGCTGGTTTCACCAAGGTTGCTGCTGCTATGAAGGATCATGGCGATTGGTGGTGATTTCTATAATCATCCTTAACGCCACAACATGATATCCGCTTACGACGTACGATAGAAGCGCTGGTTCGTTTACTACTTTTTTGGTTTATATTTCCCATGCCATCTCCTTTTTCTTTTGTATATAGAATGAATAATGTGATTTGGATATTTTGGAACTTTTTTTGGTCAATTTCTAGCACGAGTAGAGATTTGGTATACATGGACATCAACAATCCATTCAACAGCCTTCACATCGGATACATTCACTCGTATGTAAATAAACGACAAACCGCCATGGTGGATATCAGAGACTCGGCTTTCAATCATACACCCGAGCCTAAAGACTCGTAAAATCAGCATTAAAGCAAAGCAATCTCAAAAACCAAGAAAAATAACTCCGCTATTTCCATATCCAGCGCCCTGTATCCCATATTCCACTATTCCCAGCGCAAGATCCCGTTTCCAGTCATTCCCATCTCAGTTCGCCTGTGTTGCCCTTATTCATTCCATTATTCATCAAAAGCTAGTCAAAGTATTGTCAGCAAATAATCAGGCATAAACTTGGACATGCCTTTATGCCTGAAAATGAACGAACGTAAAAGAAAAAATCAAGGAAAGTTCTCCTGTTTCGGTGTAACCCCGGCACAGGACTTTTCCGAACCAACGGCCAGCCATTGCACTTTATGTTCCGACTTTTCATCGGCCGTCTTCTCCTCAGTCTTCTGCTCGGCTTCCTTTTCCTCATCGCTTCCGCCGTCCGTAATCTCGCCCCATCCTGAGCTGCGGCGGCTGATACGGCCATTCGACACGGTCTGGGTGACAACCGGGCCTGTTAGCGGGGTCCCGGAAACACCACCGGAAAGGCTGGCCGCAGTGCTGTCGTTGCGCGCATGCGAATAGTGGCCACTTCTGATACTGGCCCCGTCCAGACCCTGTCTATTTGTATGTAGGCTAGTTCGTTCGCCGGCACCATTTAAGTAAGCAACGCCAGATGACGAATAGACGCTGGCTCGCTCGGTGCTTGCAAGACCAGCTATGCTGGGTCGATTGGGAACTCCGCCGACACTAAACGCCGATGCACTCGACGGTTCAGCAGCATTGCCGCTAAGAATACTCAATGGCAAACTCTCCCGGCTACCGCCAAAAAGCGACGAGGGCGGGAGGGCTCGGATAGACGCATTTGTATCTAGTGAGTTCCTCCGGCGATGCTTCGAAGAAGAAGCTAGAGTAAGAATTGATGCGTTGTCGGTCAATATATTGTTTGCTGTTGCAGTACTGTATGTCGGGTGACCATGGGGTGCAAGGTGGGGTGGGACTGCAGATACCGGGGTAGTCGGGAACTGGTGCGAAAATTGAACCTGCTGTGCCGATGTGCTCTGGGTCGAATTTACGTGTGTCAGACCATGATTGTGATTCTGCGCCACATAAAACTGGTTTGAAGGTGCTGCGGACTGCACGGTAGTCAATGTAGTCGTCATTGACCGTACAGACGGCGCTGGCGATGAGAATGTGCTCCCTTCTCCGCCACCAATGGTGCTTATGCCTCCACCTGCAGTAGTCAGAGTACCCGCCTTCGAGTATACCTCATCTGACCTGCCTGCCTCGCCGTTGGTGCCATTGGTGGACACTGTTGGTGCCGTCGACTTGGTGCTCGTGGCATGAGCATGGCTATCGTAGCCCGAGTATGCGAGGGATGGGGCGCTCTGTGACCGCGACTCTCGTTCATTAAGCTCGTTGGATTCTAGTCTCGACACATTAGGAAATTTGCAATATGCATCATTCATGGAGTCTTCCGTACCCGATAGTGGATAGGGTGTGTGCTTATTGCTGCTCTTCTTGCTCTTATTCCCCGCGTGGCGTTTGTTCGACCAACGGATGGTACCAGACTCGGACGAAGGATTTTTAAGACTGGCAAGCCTCTTCATCCAACTAGAGAAAGCCCGGCGCCGCCCATTTCGATCTGGTTGACAAAGCTAGTTAGAAACCCCAATCTTAGGCGCCAACATTTAACTCCTCCCTCCATGAGTAACGTACCATGTGCCCTGGGCGGTCCTTCAGTCGCAGCCATGTCCCTTCTATAAGCAGGCACCGTTGCTAAAGAACTGTATCGCGTCGACTTGATGGAATACAAAGAACAGTGGGACCACAACCAGGTGAAAACACGGGTCAGAAGTTCTGCCTGATCAGTCAAGCGCCCGAGAGAATGGGGCCGTTTCGTGAAGGAGTATTGCTCGACAGGATAGAATCGAACGTCCTAGTTTCGATTAAGGGTATATAAGCGAATGTGAGAAAGCTTCCTCGAAATCCGACTTTCATAACATTGAAGAGCCGGTGATGGAGTTGGAGTTGGCAGGAGGCATCCAGCAAGAGCAAGGATACCATGCACGTGATGCGTCATGTCAGACAAGCTTCGGAGTTAACAATTCTACGACGCTCTGGAATTGCTACGGACACAGTCTACAGATGTCAACTTCGTCACTTCAGCCGACTCTGTTTCCTGCAGTTGTTTTTTGGAATGGCATCCCAGAAATAGTCGATGCTTGTTACATTCCCCTAGACCCTGTTCCTGGATCGCGTACTGACGATCCCGTCACCCACATTCAACCCCGCATTATCCTCGAATCCGAAAATCAATGCCATTCCCTCCTAAACGGCGAGTCTGAGGCTCATGCAGATGTATATTAAAGATATTCCGCAATGTCCGAGCTAGGGCCGGCGAGACAACCGCCTGCAGGCCGCAGGAGACGACCTCGAGTGCCCGAATCGGAGCGCAAGAGAGCTGTGCGAGCGTACGCCCCTCAGATATTTTGATAATGGCATCATACTGATGGGGAAATAACAACTGGCTGTATTCCTCAATATCAGATGCGTTCCATGCCGACAGAACAAAGAGAAATGTACTAGTTTCTCCCTGCGTCGTTTCCTCTCACTCCGCGCTAACTGGCACATTGGTCCTCTCAGGTGAAGGAGGTTTGCCCTGTATAAGATGCCATCGGTTCAAACGAGTATGTAGCTGTGAAACAGCTCAACAGCAGTGGCAACCAGAACCATATCATGCGCTAGGGTGTCTATAGTCACCTTGTTTCTCATGATAAGGAGAATGTTCGGTCAGCCGCTCATTACGCTGGTTGTTTTAGGTCGGAAGCACCAGAAACCGTGTCAGACAAGGAGCAACAGATGAAGAGAATAATCAGGCATTTTCTTGGTGACAATATTTCATTTGAAGCATGTAATCTGCAGAAGATTGCGGACGAGTTGGAGAAAGATTCCCGAGATGCAGGTGCTCATGTCTCATCTGGACCGGAAAGTCACAACCTGGCAGGGAGCTATTCCCTAGAGCCGCTGTCAACCAGCACGACGCGTGAGTTTTGGACAAGTTACCAACTCGGATAGCTGCAAACAAGACTTTGTAGACTATTCTGGAGAATTCTCCCATTGGAATTTCTCTCTAAGATGCTCCACCGGCGATTGCATGTTTGGATAACGGCGCCCAAGAGAACGAGGTAGCTAACTATGATATCTAGTGCCTCATACCCATGTCCATAATATTCGCAACAACTGAGCCATTGAGATTGAGTTTAACAGCGCATAACATACTAGAATATGCAGAAACATATAGCAACAAGCACAGGCAGATATAAGATATAAGCGCCTTGATAGCAGGCAACTGCAGCCGATCGATCCTCCCTGAGGTGCTTCCGGCCCGCGGCCCGGGTGTCTGAACAGAAACTCTGTGACTGGACTGCAGAGCATTATGATATGAACGTGGTATGATTAATATGATTAATCCTTCAATACCCGTTACCTATCTTCGCATCGTTTGTATGAGACGGCTTTTTCCGTGGTTTCTATAGGCTGAGTTGTATGGCTCTTTGGGATGACGGGGGAGAAGAATGGCTTTAGAGAAAGAAGGGAAGCAAATCAGAATCCATCTATATCTGGCCTCTGCTGCATCTACTCAGGCGGGATATATTGATTTTTATTCCTGCACTTCAACTATCCTCGCAACTATTCCTTTCTTCTCTTCTCATTTTCGACAATCCATACCACAGCACACCTTACTGGTACGCTTCTATAACTTCATACTCGTCGTCTACCATAGCAACGTGAAGCCATGGTTACCAAAGAGAGAACAACCCTCCCTTCTCTTAACAAGGGCCCAACTAGTTGATCCGGTGGAAGGCAAAGTACACCCCAGTGCCTCTGTGCACATCGGCCACGGAGTAATCCAGACGGTATCAATCGACGGCAGCAAACCCATAACAGTGCCAGAGGATACCATGACAGTCGATCTTGAGGGCCGGTATCTGTGTCCTGGGCTGATGGATGCCCACGTCCATATCTCTGCCGTACCTAGAGAGATGGACTTCCGCCACGTCATGGCTATGCCAGAATCTGAATGCCTATTGCGAATGACTCATGTTTGTCGGGATATCGCATTGCCCAGGAATGCGGCGTCACCATGTGCTATGGATCGGACTTGCTGGGCCCCCTTGGGTAAATACCAGAGTGGGGAGTTTGGCTTGCGAGCCAAAGTTTGTCACCGCTGGGAATCCTCCGGAGTGCTACTGTCAACCCGGCCAAGATGATGAGCCAGCCGCAACTGGGCCAGATCAAGGCCGGATTCTTTGCAGATCTCCTGGTGGTCAAGAGTAATCCGCTGGAGGACATTACGGTGTTTGAGCGCTCAGAGACAGAAATACTGCTTATTATAAAGGGTGGCCGGGTGTGTCGCAGTTCATTTGCGTCTTTGACGGGTCTCTTGGAGACGACTCACCGTCTGTAGTGCCACGGGTATGGGTACATACTGTACAGCCTAGAACATATCTGGATGGATTAGATTGTTTTCCGGCCCTCGTGGATGATTGACTCGGTAGAGCAACTGCATCTGTATTATCTTCGGCTCCCGGGTCTCTGTTCCCGGTATGTATATTGCTGGGTTGGTGTTGTAATTGCTTGTGCAGTCTATAGTCGGTGTCTATGTCTGGTCTGGTTGCATATTCTAGTTTGTTTGGTATATACTTATCCATGTCTGATATAAATAATAAATAGACGGCACCGAGCAAGGCACAACCTTCGGGGTATGAATTCTGCTTCGTCTGGCGCCTTTATTCCTCGGTTCTCACCAGTACTCTATCGCATTCCTATAACATGTCTCAACTCTCAGACTACAGCCTTCTCTCCTTCTCTCCTTCGATGTCTACGGCACGCTTGTGGACGGGGAGACGGGCATCGTGGAGGCTCTCCAGCCCTTCACGCGCGAGCAGCTGCTCACCATCTACCACGAACTCGAACGAGACCAGCAACAAAAGACCCCAGACATGCCATACACCCAGGTTCTAACCACAATCCACCCCCAACTCGCCCAACGCCTAGGCCTGCAGCTACCAAGCAGGAAGAAAGCCTGCAATTCGGCACCTCGATCGCCCACTGGCCCGCCTTCCCAGATACCGTGGACGCCCTGAAACGGCTCTCAGAGCACTACAGACTGGTCGTCCTTTCCAACGTGGACCGGGAATCCTTCGCGAAGACAGATGCAGGCAGCCTTCAGGGCTTTCCATTTGATCTGGTCATCACCGCCCAGGATGTGGGGTCCTACAAGCCCGATCTGCGTAACTTCGAGTACATGTTGCATGCTGTTCGGTTGGCCTTTGACGGTATCAGCGCAGATCAGGTGTTGCAGACGGCTCAGTGCCAGTTTCACGATCATCATCCTGCGCGGAAGATGGAGATTAGGTCTGTTTGGATCGTAAGGCCTGTGGCCGTTATGGGGAACAGTGGGAGGAGTGTTTATGATTGGAGGTTCGATACATTGGGGGATATGGCGGATGCGTCGGAGGTTTGAGTGAACAATAACTATACTGCTCTGGAGTCATACTACCCATCCGTGGGATTGTTGCTTGTTGGGCTAGGGGACGTTGGTTTGGAATGCCCATAAACACCGGATATATATCCCGAGTGATATGGTCCACCCGGGTACATGCACCCAGGTGGACAGCAATACAACGAACAAAACAAAAAAAGATGCGAAAGGAAAGGAAGCCAATAAAAGAAAACCAAGACAAGTAAGCCTACCATGAACCTGCATGCTTACGGAGAAATACGACCATATCCAAATCTGACTGTACATGGCATCCCTTCGACGCCTTGCAGAAATGACAAGCCAGTTGCAAAAACGGAGCCTGCGTTTCGCAGATGTAAGTAGCCATCATTTCCATCTAGAAGAACCGGACGCTGAAGAGCTATCTAGGTAGCCGTCACATTCACGGTCGACCAATTCCACGGCATCTACCGTGGAAAGAAATACCATGCATCAGACATGCCGGAGGTGCTAAAACGGACCAAAGAACATGGCTGTGAAAAGGTCATGTTGACCACCATGACCCTTCCAGGCGCACAAGAGAACCACAGGATCGTCAAAGAACACCCAGACACCTGCACCATGACATTAGGGGTGCACCCGTACCATGCAGGGGAGATATACGCAAAGGAAGGCTACCCTTTGGCGAAATCGGACTCGACTACGACTACCTGGATCGCGCGGATAAAGAGACCCAGCAACGCGCATTCCATGATCAACTGTACCTCAGCGTAGAAATACAACTGCCCCTATTCCTCCACGTCCGCAACGCATGCGCGGATTTCATCTCCATCATCAAACCGTACCTCCCCCAGCTTCCGCGAGGCGGACTAGTCCATTCCTTCGCCGGATCAAAAGAGGAGATGCTCCAACTCGTCGACCTGGTCCTGGAGATCAGCGTCAACGGCGTCTGTTTCCACACGGACGAACGGCTAGAGATGGTCCGCCATATCCCACTGGACAGGCTACACCTCGAAACCGACGCGCCCTGATGCGAGGTCTTGATCACGGATAAGAATCGCGCCATATCTTGCGTCGGCTCGGGAGTTTCCCCCTGCGCGGAAACATGGCAAGTCCATTGCGGGACAAATGGTCAAGACGCGAAACGAGAGCTGTACTATTGAAAGGGTAGCTTTGGTCGTTGCAGGGTTGAAGGGGATTTCGGTGGAGGAAGTAGCCGATGCAGCATGGAATAATAGTGTTCATCTATTTGGGTTGGGTGTATCGAAGGACTGATTTTTCCTTCTCATATAAAATAGACCATATGAACAGAATGGACATAATATGGCGGCATGTTAATATTTTAAATCCTCTGTTGACATACCAGTGGCAAATGTAGCAGTACTATATTAATCGAAGCGCAAGTGTTCTCTTCAACAAGAAACGGGCCTGCTGGCCTAATGGCAAGGCGCCTGACTTCGGATCAGGAGATTGCAGGTTCGAGTCCTGCGTAGGTCACCACTTCTTTTTTTGCTTTTTCTTTTTTATCCCGTCATCATTAACCCAACCCTTCGGAAGGCAAAAAACCGGGCCCCTGCTTTCTTTTCTTACTGGCCAGGAAACATCCCATGTACCGTACCGTGCCAAACTAGCCATGGCTCTTCTATTACCTCACGTGATACATAGCGACGGAAATACCTTCTTTCCCTTGCAACTAGTCCTTACTTCATCGACAATTCAACAATTGCGACTCGGTGGAATATCTTCTAGACAAACCTGAACATGAATATGGCTCCATTTTCTACTATTCAGACCCTTCGTTAGGTCATATTTGACGTGACGGAACACCAGTGGTCCTAGGCGATAGCTATCGCCTTGACCACAACTCACCATGAGCACAGTTACTAAGTAACCTTGTTCCGTTTCCCATTTTGAAACTGGACAACCTTTGGATTGTTTGAATACTTCATCATGCCTGGTCATGATGCGAGGATTCAGCCTCTTCCGGCTGATGTGGTGGCAAAGATCAAGTCCTCCACCTCCATCATAAATTTGAACGGGGTCATTTTGGAATTGGTCAAGAATTCATTGGATGCGAATGCACATACGGTTTTTGTCACCGTGGATTTTCCACGGGGGAGTTGTATCGTTGAGGACGATGGTGAGGGGATTTCTCCGGTTGAGTTTGAGGCTGGTGGAGGGCTTGGAAAAGCGCATCGTGAGTTATTCGTGACAAACTTCTTTCACCCGATCAAGTAGGCCACACCACTGACGATGTCTAGACACTTCCAAGTTCCAGTCAGATGACGAGGTCTATGGGCAAAGAGGATTATTTTTGGTATCTTTGGCTGCCCTGTCGCTGCTGACTATTACCTCGCGCCATTCGCGCCACCGTTCTGTGAATTCCATAATCTTTCACCACTCGAAACCTGTTGCTCGGTTGCATCCGGCACCTGCTCACCAGGAGCTTAAATTTAGAAGTCACGGCACTCGTGTTGCTGTAAATGATCTTTTTGGGAATATGCCTGTTCGTGTAAAGAGTCGAGCGTTAACCCTCCAGAAACAGGAAGAACTAGAGAAGGAATGGGATGAGCTTAGGCACCTTCTAGTTGCGGTAATGCTGGCTAATGGAAAACTTACCAAGTTGGTAGTCTTGGACGCTGGAGGCAGGAGAAAGCTGACGATTCGACTGTCTTCCGAGCCGCCATTGGTCTTGAACCGAGGCTCTGTCTGGGACGAGACCTATTTTAAACGGATTCATTCGATTCTTGCTCAAGCGGGGATGATAGACTTTGGGAGCTCGGGCCGTTGGAACACGGTCTCTGCCAACCTCCCTGATATGTCAATCCACGCGGCCATATCTCTTGTTCCCGGCCCTACAAAGAAGGCCCAGTTTATCTCTTTAGGATCAAATCCAGTGTTTGTGCGAAATAACACCAATGCTTTGTATAATGAGGTCAATCGGGTGTTTACCTCATCGGATTTTGGAACGGGCTCTTTTGAATCACCTATTCAGAATACACGCCTGGCAGAGGATGATGGTCAACGTGGTGAACATTTTAGATGGGCGAGTAAGGGAGTCAACAAATGGCCCATGTTCTACATACGGATAAGTACCAACGTTCCTCAGAGAATTAGCGATGATGATTACGATGTGGTCCCGGAGCCAGACAAGTCCCTTCAGCGCATTTTAGATGTTCTTACAGCTATGCTGAACGAGTTTTTGAAACAACATAATCTACGTCCACGTGCCTTAAAGAGGAAGCGAAAGGCGAATGATATCTCTCGAGGGTCTGGGACCGAGGAGCAACGTCTACGGGGATCCTGGAACACTGCATCTTCCGCTTCTGGTGGAAGAATCAATGCCGTCTCCAGCACAGAGGAGGCTCTTGATAGTGTAGTGAAACTTCCTTCTTTTCGAAGACATGCACGGGGTAGCCCTGGCCGGGATTTCGCAACTTGGTCCCGAGTCAAGAGTTCCAGGGAACATGTATTTGACGACACACGATCTTCTGGTGCATCAAAGCGCATTCAAGAGATGGTAGATTTGCCTCATAGGCAATCAGTGGTTGAAGCGGGGGATTCTTCGTACAGCAATGTGTTAACGGCTGCCCCGAAAGACAAAGACGCGCTGGAAGTAGAATCATCTGAGACTTCGACGGACTTAATGATTCCCTGGGCAGATCCGTATACGAGACAAACTGTGTTGATTAATTCGCGGACAGGCCAAACGATGAACCGCAGACATTCGGTGGGCGGACGACCCCAATCCGCCGGCTCCATTCAGACGATACGGCGACTCGACGAAATCAGACGCCCAAGATCCGTGGTGCCACAGTCGCGGAATATCTGGATAGACAACATGCTGCAAAAATGGGAAAACCCGATCTTCAAACGTTCTGAGAGACCGGTGGCGTCAACAGAACCAGAAGCGCAACGGGAGCATATTTATGGCAGGGAGCATCACAGTTGCTCCGGAGACATATTCGGCATGGAGGCGGCCCGTTTTGCAACATCACGAGGCAAATTATGGAGACAAGGCCTGAAAACGGCAGAGGTGATCGCGCAAGTTGATCAGAAGTTCATTCTTGCAAAGATGGGCGCTGTTGGTGGCTACGGCTCAGGAACCGTTTTGGTTCTTATAGACCAGCATGCAGCCGATGAGCGATGTCGGATCGAGCAACTCTTTGAGTCTTTTTTTACCGAGTTCTCCGATGAGTCGAAGACGGTTACTCAAGTTCAGACTACGGAAGTTGAAGAAATCCGCTTTGAAACCGGGCCGGTAGAGACTGTGCTTTTTGGTCGATACCTGGAATATTTGGGGTCATGGGGCATATCCTACAGCATCGAGAGACGCAAACCCGGGTCCCAGGCTGTAGGTGTGGTCCACGTACGTACGCTTCCCACATTGATCGCGGAACGGTGCAGGGCAGAACCAAACCTGGTCGTCGATCTACTCCGGGGAGAGATCTGGAAACGGGAAGAGAGCGGCGAGGGACCATGTCCGACACTCGATAGAACGGGTGCCAGCTGGGTCGAGCGCATCAGCGGGTGTCCGCAGGGGATCGTGGATCTTTTGAATTCGCGGGCGTGCAGGAGCGCTATCATGTTCAATGATGTGTTGGGTATGGAGGAGTGCCGGGGACTGATCTTGAGGTTGGCGAGGTGTAGGTTTCCATTTCAGTGCGCGCATGGCCGTCCTAGTATGGTTCCTATATTGGATATGGTGGAGAGTGATAGGAATGGTGATGATGATGATGATGGCGGTGATTTTGTAGGGGCATTTAGAGAGTGGACTACAATTTAGACATATCCTACTAATTATGAATATTGAAAGCTATAGTTAATATTGAATATATCCACAGCCGTCGATTCATCCATAGGTTACAAGCAGAAAGAAGAACCTCTCAGTCTCATACTCACAGCCCTATAACAACCAAACAAGGCAAGCCAGAATCGAGATCACCAGGATCAAGAGACACCAAAGAGAAAACTACGAGGACAGGATATCCGTGAGCACCTCTATCTTCTCCGTGCACAGGTCTTCGAAGTCGTCTATGCTTACAATCATGTTGATTTCTTTGTTGGCTAGCTTCCAGTAGATAGCACCTCCTAGTCATCAATGCATAGCATTAGGACCAGAAGGGAAGCCAAATATCTGACACACATAAGACCACAAATAAGCAGAAGCCCAAGCAACAGGTACATGTGGTGAGTAAGCCAGATCATCCGCATAATCCCCAGGATGAACATACCAGAAAGACGGGAGGTGAAACATGGATGAACGAGCAGAACCTCTTGCATGGAAGATAAGCACTGGGATTATAGTATTCATTGTTGCTGCTATGAGCATGAGCTTGGGGATGAGGACGAGTATGATCATCACCATCATCATCAATGTCAACCCACCCCCGATTCTCAGGATCAGGGTCTCTAGCTGCACGTTGACGCCGACGTTGACGTTTACGCCCATGCTCACGCTCATCCCCAGCCTTAAACTTCTGAATCTCGCCATGTATCTCTCGTATTTGCAGTTCAAGCCCGACCTCCTCTTCGACGAGGCGGAGTTTCTCGAGGAGGAGCTGTTCAATGGAGCGGTTCTGGAGCTCCTCTCGACTGTAGGTGTTTCGGGTATTGAAGCACGCCATTTCTTCTTTGTATTTCAGGAGGATGTAGATTTCGTAGCCGGTGAGTCCGGTTTCTTTGAGGTTGAATGTGTTGTCCAGGGGCATAGGGTTCCGTTTGTTTCGGGTTCAGGTGGACGGGATGCCCCCTTGAGCTGGCATGAATCGGCTTGAGAAGACTGATAAGACTTCAGGAGGGATCTGGAGATGGATAGAAGAGACCAGAGGACCCGAGGATAGGAGCATGCATGCTTGTGTTTCTCACGTCCATCCACTTGACATGGGATATTCCGTTATGAGCTCCTTGCCCTAATCCAGGAGTACCCCGACAGATAAACAGCTGCAGATTCTCTACTCGAAAATAAAAATGACTGCCTGATGGGTTTACAGACACTTTCAAGCACGAGTCTAAGCAGTCAATTTCTCGGTCGTAGTCCTCCATACTTCATAGACAATTGTGGCCACATCAATCCAGATCAACGCCGCCAACCCTAACATCATTAGATAGCACCAGGAGTACCTGTATGCCGCAGGTGAACAAACCGCAGCAGCTATATTACAACCTACAGGACCTCACAAAGTAGCCGACAGTCTTTCCCAGCAGATACGTCACCCAGACACAGGACAGGCCGAGAAAGATCATGAACGAAGCGGCAATGGCAAGACGAAGCTCGACGAAGAGGGTGTCCAGGTGAGTGAGCACACATGAAACACATGCAACACCCACAATGGCGACAAAAAGCATGCAACACAGCTGGAGATAGGGCGATCCGCGGTATTCGCGTTTGCGCTCGTAGGCCTCGACCTCGAACTCGAAATCGTCATCGCTGATGTCGGAGTAGATGTAATCAAACGCATTCTCGCTGGGACAGTCTGGCTTCAATGTCAGCTTCATCCTCAGGGTTGGCTTTGGCGTTACCCACCGGCTTGGTTCTTCTTGTTCCTGTTACGGCGGCGGCGAGTCCTGTTGCGACGACGACGGGGAACTTCACAGACAACTTTGATGCCCGGCTGAGCCCAGTGCATGTTGCAGGCATGATGTCCGTTGTTGTAGACATCAAACATATTAAGCTGGAACTTCAACTCGCGTTCCAGCTCATGCTTAACCTTGCTTTTCTCCCTACGGAACATCTCCTCGGCGTGTTCCAGGTAGGAATCGCCCAGCTCAGAGTCAGTTTCGTGCAGCCGAGCCATATCGTACTCTTTTCAGTTGATGTTTGAGTAGACTGAGAATAGGGCTCAAGGGCAAGATGTGGGTAGGAAGCAGTGCTCAAAGAGAGAGAGATAGTTGAAAGGAGTGAGAAAGTGGCAAAGACATGAGACGGAGAAGTGAGTATTTATATGTGGATGAAAGAGATACACATACTCATATGAATCCCTCCTCCATTCACTTACAGTCACTCTCTCATGGCATATGCCACTATCAGTCACTGTTTTCTGGTCAGGCGCACAGAAATATCCACTTTTCCATGGGAGTTCCCTTTATTAGACCATCCCTTGCCCTAAGATGACGTGGACTCTTCAACTATCTTCTATGGCCGCTTAGATTACCTGCGCAGACTCCCTGCGCAGACTCTCCATTGCATTATGTACATTCTCAATCTCGAGAAAAACTGTCAAGAGAACAGACGACGACACCCAGGCATAACTATAGCGATATACAAGATAGTAACCACAAGCGCCTTGATATGCAAATACCACCCAAGCACCAGGAGGAAAAGCAGCCCCAGCAGCCCAAGCACCGCCCACACGAGCGAGAAGAGCTTCCTGCGGACAGGGAAATGCACGACCTGGGCAACTGGAATGTCATCGATGACCTCAACGAAATCGTAATCGCTCTGAGTGTTGGCTGTCTGGACGAAGTCGCTCTCAGAATTGGAGTCTGTATCCATGTCGATCCTGACCAGCTCGGAGCCGGAGTATTGGGGGAGATCCTGGGAAGGAGTATACTGTTTCTTGCTATCTTTGGGGGAACCAGGGGGTCTGAAGTCGACGTGCTCTATATGCTCAGCTGTGGAGGAGCTGCAGGAGATGAAGGCGTCTGGGGTGTTGAAGTGCATGTCGGTGATGTTTTGGGATGTTCTGTTCGGATGTCTTGAGGTAGGAAGTTGAAGAAACAGTACAGCGTGGGAGGACATATTTATATCCTGGATTCATTCTCATTAATGTCTTTGTGCATGGATGTTGGATGGATTTCCATTGTTCGTTGTTCCTTTTTCTTTTGTTCGAGCACATAAACATCCAAGCCCTAATTGGAATACCGGAGTCAAACAACAAAATCCCTTGACAAGATCATTGACGGAATCCTTACAAAGAGCCTTCATTACTCACCTAGGGATTGTCTGTTTATTCTCATCCTCTATCATCTTTATTCTTCATTCATGCTTTCGTTGAATTCCTCGTTGAATTCCTAGTTGACTAGGGTAGTCCCTACATTCGTCATCTTGGACTGCTGTTTGAAGGCCTGGTGTTGTCTAGTTTACAAGGCATAGCTGGAAGGAACAGACGTAGATACTTCCATTCTTATATACTATGCAGGAGTACTATTTATTCTGTCTCGAAGAAACCAACTTCTACCAAGACACTGATGGATAGTATCGGTTGAAGTGGGAGGGCATCAGAAAGAGTATGCGTACTGTGCCTACAGAGAACAAAGATGGATTCAAAAGGCTGGATACCTTACCTTACAGCACAAACGCAAATCAATCAATCAATCCCGAAAGAAAAGAAAGAAAAGGATGAAAAAATAGAACAAAAACAAACCCCCAAAACACCCCCCTCAGCACAACCGCCCACGTCTCAGCCCTAAACCCACCGACAGCCCAATGAACCCCCCAATAAACCCCCCAAATACCCAACGGCCACATTCCCATCTCATCGCGCAAGAGTGCACAGGCGAAGAAGGTAAGCACGCTCATGGCATCTGGCCAGTCCGCCGGCATGGACCAGGGTTCGGCGAGGTTTATGGTGGGGTCTGTTAGGACGGAGGTTGTGTCTGAGTGGGGCCACCCATCTACTTCTTCAGTTATCAGGTTTATGTTGTCTGTTTTCTGTTCATATGGCTCATATGGTTCGTATGGTTTATATTGTTGTCCGTGACTGGGGGTGCTGGTGCTGATGGATTCGTCGGAATCCGAATCCGAGAAGTTGGCGCTGAAGGTGACCATTTTCTCTCCTTGCCTAATAGTAGCTACTATTGCAATCAGGTAGCTGAACAGTACTCTTCTCTGCTTGTTGCTGCATCCAGCACAGGGTGGGATGATCTCTCCGTCGTATTTATACCTTCATCCCACTGCCGTCAGCTGTCTTTGTACTGACAACCCAGCCCTAAGCCTAGAAGAGTGGACAATGCACAAAGGAATAGAATACAAACCCTTTCAGCTATTTATAATTTCCTATACAGCATGGATATGTACAATGGCAACTGCCTATCAGCAATACCGACACCAATAGCACGCTTTTGTAACCCGACAGACAACCTTAGGCAAGCAAAAATCATACAGCCACCCCCCGAAAGAAGAGTGAACAACAAAAAGGCACATGTACATCAATGTAGAAAGACCAGATCCAGATGAAACCAACCGAGACAAACCTGAAAACCAATTAGACAACCATCCATAGCACCAGTCCGACCAATAATCATAAATCATGTCATAACTACCAGTACCAGCCGTATACATGGGATACAAACAACCATAACAGACAGGATAGCAAAAACAAAAAAACAAAAAAAGCAAAAACAAAAACAAAAACAACCGGATCAACCCTGCGACGTAATCGACTTGGCCTTGGGATGAGTCCAAGCAAAAAAGTCAAAACGATGACTCTCCAACGAGGGCGTAGTTTCCGCCGGCGGCATCGCAGGTTCCCGCGGCTCGAGAACAAGCGAGCGTCGGTAAAAAGTCTGCATCTCACTACTGGAGCGGACGCGGATCATCTCATCCTGCAGCCAGGTCTGCAGTTCGGAGACTTCGGCAAGACGGTACGGGATCTGGAAGCGCTGGAATTCACTGATGATCTTGGCCGTCTTCATGTATTTGTCGAAGTTGATCACCTCCATCTGGCCGTCACCCTTGCACAGGCTGCGGACGGGCTGGTTGCCCTGGTCGACAAAGGTGAGATCCGTCAGATAGGTACCGACGAAGGGGAGACAGGGAGGGACGTGGTTATGTAGTCTTTGGCGGAGCACGGCGTAGTTGCGGGATACGTCAACGATGCCGCGGAGGCGTTCGAGGATGCTCTTGTGTTTGTGTGGGACTAGCTCCCAGGTGCGGCGGAGGCGGGCGATGGTGGAGGAGTTCAGGGAGCAGATGATGGCCATAAGGGAGTCGTAATTGTTCAGTTCGAGGCAGCGGTTGGCGATCTTGATCCAGTGCTTGACCACGGCCGCTCGTCGCTTGGGCTCTTCCAGTTCCAGGATGGAGTCGGCTACGAGATGGGCCAGGTCAGTCGATAGCGTGGACATGGCCCGGACGTTGACAGCGAGCGAATTCATCTTCTTCATCCACTCCGACGCCAGTAGTTCCTCCGGGAGGATGGAACAGAAGATCCTGGATTCCTTGAGCGTGAACTGCCGCGCCAATTCCAGCGGATCAAAGTCCAGCACGCTGGGCTTCGCCTCGCCGTTCCGCCACAGCCGCAGCAGATTCAACTCTCGCTTTCCGATGACCGGTGTCGGCAGCGGCGTGTCCGGATGCACGTATTGAGCAACGGCCGTGTTGGTCTTGCCCATCGACGACACCAGACGGGGCACCACGGGGCCCCGGACCATCGATACCTTCTCCGCCAGCTCCCGGAGACGCTTCGCCGCGGTGGGGAGATGCTGGCTCAGCTTGGACTGCGTAAAACCAATGATGTAGTCCAAGGCGACGCGGTCGCATTCATGGCGCCAGTGGGACTCCAGCCAGTTCTTGAAGGCGTTGGAGACGCGCAGGCGAACGGGGCCGGCCACATGCGGCGCGTCCCCGATGTAGTCGAAGCGATCTACGAGGCCCTTGGCAAAATCCAGCGGTGTTGTGAACAGACGGAAGGTGAGGTAGAACGCCGAAACGAACATGGAATCGGGCCGCGACTCGTGCGCCGTGAGCTTCTCGATCAATGCACGAAGGCTACCGCCTACCACGTTGCCCTCACGGAAGATCAGCTCATGCGCGTACGTTTTTTGCAGGATGTCCGCCTCGGTCTCATGGTACTCGTCGCCCAGCGTGGATTGACTGGCGCTGGGCTTGAGCGACGGGATCTCGGGAGGAGGTGGGGGAGAAGAACTGCTGCTGCTGTTGTTGTTGTTGTTGTTGTTATCCGGCGTGGTGGCGCGCGTGGAGGTGAGAGAGAGGGCACTCGTTTTCGAGTCACCCAGGTCGCTGTCGAAGGTTTCGATGCTCCCGGTGCTGGTGACTTGCCGTCTCAAAGACTTGTCGGTTGCCGGAGAGGAGACGGGGACAGGAGACGCCTGATCCACCGTGGGTTCGGACGCAGAGGGTGTAGATGGTTCGGCCGGCTCATCAGCGGGTTCGGCAGGGCCGACGTTCTCATCCGCCGGGAGCGGCGGCAGAGGACGCGTCTGCTCGTCTGGAATGGGCAGGAGATTATTACTACTATTATTATTATTATGATCATCATTATTATTTGCAGTGCGCGGCGGCTGGGGAGTCTGTGCGTCGGCAGGATCCTCATCCTGCGGCAGTGGGTCGAGTTCGAAATCTCCGACGCACTCCAGCACCTGGCGAGCTTTGGCCAAGCAGTTCCCGGCGCCCCTGACGCAGTCGGTGGCCGCTTCGACCAGCCGCTTGCCCGCGTCAGGGGTGAAGGCGATGTCGTCGTCGGTCGCGTTGGCGGGTCGAAATGCCTCCCCGGCGGCGTGCACCAGCTGTGCCAGTCGCTGGAACATGGTCTCCTTGGCCTCCTCGAGGTGTTCGCAGTGCTGTTGGAAATCGCGGTCGCAGACGGCCTGGACGACGAGGATCAGGGCGCGGCAGGACTGGACGGACATTTGCGTGGTGACGGTGAGTTCTGTGGAGGAGCGCGGATGCATGTGCAGACCGATAAAGGAGCCGAGGACCCCGAGAAAGGCGTCGTAGGCGCTGTTCAGCTGCTCGGAGGCTAGGTTGTGGTTTCGAGCGGCGCCCGACGGCCCTGAACAGGAGACTCGGTGCGAGGTGGAAATGCGCTTCGTCTGGACGGAGACGGAGCGGGATGGCTGGCTGTTGTTGTCGAGGGGGTCGGTCCGCATAGAAGCGCGACTGGTATCCAACCGGCTGTGCAGCAGTCTCGATTCATTGCGCTCGTCCGGTGAGACGGCGGACTGGATGGTGGTGGCAGGTGTCTCCGAGAGAGGCGTCAGGGGGGCCTCGTATGCACCGCAGTGTTCCAGGGCGGCGATGGTCCTACTCAGCCCGACTTCCTCGTTCCAGACGTCGAGGAACCGGACACCGCGCGTGACGATCTTGAACGCCTTGAGCAGCATGCTGTCCAGGGTGTATTCCAGGTCGTCATCGGCCAGGGGCACGTCGTTGCTGGCATCCTCGTGGAACTTCTTGGCGGTGTTGACCAACGACGAGAGGTCCATAAGCAGAGCCTTTCGGGTCCTTCGGAGGCTGGCATAGCGCTGCATCAAGGGGGAGTCTCGCGTGAGACACTCTGATTTTTCCTGTTTCCATTTCCGTTAGCTCTGGATTTTATGTGTGTGTGTGTGCGCGCGCGCGCGATCGGTCAGTCCTACCAAAAGAAAGCGGACGCCGGCGATCAAGCCGCGCACCAGGTCCTGATTGCCGAAATACGTAGAAGGGTTCCCCCCGCGGATGATATCCCAGAAATCGGTGAGGGCCTGGAGCAAGGGCTGCATGGGCAGCTGGTCGTAGGCCTCGCAGTAGTTGGTGGGCAGCCAGCCGCGGGCGGCCGTGTCGAGCAGCGTGCCATCGGCCCAGCCGTTGGTGTGGACGGAGTGAACGAGGATGATGTCGCCCTGTTCCAGCGGCAGAGTGACGGTGTCTGGGGAGACGTCGCTCGAGGGGTGGAAGGGATCGAAGGCGCGCAGATAGTTGTGGAAGACGTATGGCGAGGGCTCCATCGGCGTGGGCGGAGGAGTGATCTGGGAGGAGTGAGAGAGATTCGCAGTGGATAGAGAGAGACCCTTGACGACCTTCAAGGGAGCAATGTGTGGCTTGAAAGAGGCCATGATTAGGGCATGGCAGTGATGGGAGAGGACAGGAGAACAACACCACGGAGTAAGGACCAGGCACGGGTACACAGTAGTATAATAATAAGATCCAGGAGCACCCAGATCCAGGGATGCCTCCACGCAGCTGCAGCTGCTAGCCAGAGTCTAATCGCGACGGTTTCTCCCAAACTCGGCATTCATCCGCTGCGCACAGCATCCAGACTCCATCGTCGATCCGCCAGTGGTTGCTGCAGGGACGATCTTTTTTCAGGAGTGATCCATAATCATTATCCATCATTCTCGGCTCCTGCAGGGCTTGCCTTTGCCTCCCTGCCCCGTGTATGTCGACTGATGTGCACTGTCTGCCCGGTGATCTTGCGTCTTGATATGAACCCGTCCCTGGAATTGAACCCCTGAACCACATCGTAGTCATCCAACCGTGGTAACGGCGCCCATCGCGCGCCTACACGGGCCAGGGGTAGCCTTTAGGAAGTCCTACTGGTAGCCCGACAATAGAGGATTGTACGAAGTACTTTTCTCGCGGAAACGGATAATGTCTCACTCGGCAACAATAGCATCCCCAATAGCCCGGCTCTCGGATTTCCCCACTGCTGCTGGACTGTCGAGCAGACAGACGCGTCCTGGCCTGCATCGTCTTTGCCGCAGTAAATTAGAATCCAAAAATAACCGACAGGATGCCAAGCCGCTTCCGCGGCAACAACCCAGTTGGGAATGAGTACGGCGTACTGTCTGAAGGATCGAGCGTCTGGAATCACATTATCTGTAGGAATTGACAGGTTGCATAGTGATCCTTCATGCCGTTGCCCATTGCCACTGCTTCTGCCGCTTCCAGTCATTGCTTCTTCCTTCTACGTAGAACTCCATTTGCACGACGGAATGATCCTTCGGGGCAAAATTAAACCTGAAACAACGTCGACAGTCGTCTTGATTCGCCACTGGGGCCGTCTCCTTCGAGGAGCCCGACGGGCTTCTCGGAAGACACCGTGTATAGGGTTCAATAGAAACAATCGACCAGGTCGACCTGTATGCTGCGTGCTGCCGCCCGCATGGCAGTCTGGTCACGTGACCCAACTGCTCATTTCCTGCGATCATAACTGATTGCTGCTACCGAGTCGGCAATAGGGACAGGAGTCTCTGTCGTACGCGCACAGTGCTATTCTGGTCCAGAGGACATAGGAAGGAGATCTAAGCGAGAGGCTCCAGCAGCCCTACCTTCCCAATCGGGCTGTGTGCAGACTCCAGCCCATTCTCCACCAACTCCTCCAGCAGACTAAGAAAGGGATCCGGCTCCGTTTCCGCCGATTCAGATGGAGCTGGAGCAAATGCAGATCCAGATCCAGACCCGTTACCCTCACGACTAGTACTTTCGAACGGGAATGTAGCGTACTGAGGATGCGTACTAGCATGAGGATGCGTATTCGCTGTTAGACCAGCCACGCGGATGTCGAATAAAGTTTGCGGTGGGTAACCGCAGCTCAACGGGCTGGCATTAGCATCGGCATTAGTGCTGCTGCTGTCGATAGCGTGCGATTCATTTGCCAGCCGTGCAGACGCTGTCAATGCGCATGCTGACGTCGGGCACGGTCCGGAGTCCGGTGGGCATGGGCATGGGAATGTTGGTATCCGACTAATATATATACCGTGATCAGCATCGATAGAATGAGCCGGGGAAGGAGAGCTACTCTGTAGCGAGTAACTTGAGAGGAGGTTGACCTACCCGTCCCCCGCCGTCACCCTCACATACTCGCCCTCCAACCGTACTGGATACCGGTCCAGAAAGCGTTCCAGAGGAAAAGCAGAGGACCGCGAGCCCTTCCCACCGCTGCGAACAAGCTCCGCATGGCAGGCGTAGATAGTCTGTAGCATCTCCTGCTGCCACCGCAACCCTGCCCAGAACCCGCGTAGCCAGGACAGGACCGCCATCTCCCTCGCAAGGAACTCGGCGCTGGATGAGAAGACTCCATCATTATCCCCGTTGCTGTCGCTCTTATGATAGAGAACCCCATGCACATGCACCGTCCCCGCAACAAATAGGCAATGCCCCACGAAATCCGGCCACTCCACGCTGCACCCAACACCAGCAGTGCTGGCAAGGCCCACCAACTCCGCAATCGCGTTCGCATGCACGAAGCACAGGTTTGTCACCCCGATCTGCCACGACTGATGCTGTCCCGACCCGCGCAGTTCGACGAGGTCCATCGGTAGAAACGCCCGGTAGAGCAAGCAGTGCACGAGATGGTAGATCAGTTTACTGAGCAGTAGCGTCGTGCTCTCGGGGTGTCCGAATAACGCGCCGAGCGGGGAGAACAGGCACGTGTCCCGCGCGCTTGCGGTCCACGCGTCGAGTTCCTGTCCGATCTTGGAGAGCGTTGAGAGGGCGTGCCAGGGGGGGTTGGAGTCGGCTTTTGCGCCACCGGTTGCTAGGTAGCGGGTTGCTATGCCCAGGATGCGGGTTATATCTATCAGAAGCGTGCATGGGTTGATGCCACTCTGGTGAGCTGTGGACTGGGACTGCGTATTGGCGCTGGCGTGGAAAAGGTCTCCGCCGCCGGTTAAACTGTCTGATGAAGGGAGACGCAGGAGGGCGGCGTGGTCGGCGAGGAGACATGGTCTGTTGGAGTCGCAGGTCATGAACCGGTCCGTGATATACGAGGTCCAGAAGAGACGTCTTCGCAGCTCCCGGTCTGCCAGGGGGATTTCTGCTGGCGACTCACGGTATAGATCCAGGGCGATGACCATCGAAGCGCAGTTTGCTGATCTGTCAGTAGCTTCCCCAGGCTCCCAAGCGAGACAACAGACAGGAGAAACATACAGAAAGTCATATACGCCTTCTTCCCGAGACCATACCCCAGGAAAGCCTGCGACAGCAACAACAGAGTCTGGACACTTTCAATACAGGGATGATCCACATCCACCATCCGTCGAGCCTGGAGTGCATACTCCAAGCCCATCCGCAGCGTCTGCTCAGAGACACCCCCAGAACTCGCCGTGTACCTGTTCCGTCAGCAGAAGAAAGAAAGGAGGAAGAAAGGAGGAAGAAAGGAAGAAAAAGACCAAACCTTATCGTCAAAGCATACACGGCCAAAGACAAACAGCCAGACAACTGTCCCAATCGATGGCCTTGTCTCACGGCGGCTTCATCCAGGATCCAATATGGCTTGCCATGCAACCGGGCAAAGTACAGATCAAGCACGGAGTCAGACAAGACAGCGGCACCCGGACTCGGACTCTGCAATTGCATGTCCGAAAAAGAGAAAGGGTCATATCCACTCCACCAAGACCCCCGAGAAACGCCTCGATGGGTATCGGCATGTTGCGCGAGGGGATCCGAATGCCTCAATTGCGGATTCATGCGGAGAAACTCGTCCTCTCTCCTGGTAGAATCCGTGACGGTGGTGGAGTGCTCCGAATGATTGTTATTGACCCCATGCAACCTCTTCTCTAACCCATCAACCCGTTTGGCAAGAGCTTCAATGACATCCGTTTTCGGACCGCGTTTCTTAGGGACGGCGTCTATCGTAGGTTGTTGTCAGTTGTCGTTCAGGACGAGAGGAGAGGAGAATGGCCAACCATATATACAAGCACAGTCGAATACCCTACACGCCTCGCAGGGTTTCGTCCGGTTACATTTGACCTGGGCAGTGAGCACCACATCGACATCGACATAGGTATAGGAGATGAATAGACCGACCTTCCTCTTCCGACAAGACTTGCAGTTCATCGACTCGCGCGGTTCGAGCGCGCGTCGAGGCGTGAGACGGGTTATTGTTACCCTTGGGCGGGACATCGTCATTCGTGCTCTATTCCTGGACTCTGTTGTCCAAGTAGCTGGTTGAATGAAATGGCATCGTGAGTATTATAACATATTTATTGGCCTCGATCCACCCCACGGAGACACTCCGACTGGGCTTGCGGGGTACGATCCTGTCTATTCCTGTCCTGAAATCCGTATATTAATGCGATCAGACTTCATTCCAGCGTAGCATTTAACCGTCGAGGGTAGGGTAGCATACAATCCACACTCGGTGCCAGATATCCCGAACCTTTCTCAATATGTGCATCTCATCTCTAATCCCATCCGAATCCCTCACGAACAGTATCCATCAAATACCAGAAGCCATGCGTGCAAAATCAATCGGCACATTTTGTCGCACCAGTAACCGCAGCATCTCAACCGTCCACGCATGCACTTCTTCAATCCCATACCCCGTCCAAGCGTAACTCTTCGCCACGCGCAGGGGATCTCGATCCCGATCTCCCTCGCCGCTCTGTCCGTCTCCATCGGTTAAATCGAGATATACCGTTCCCCTTGCTGCCGATGACGATGACTGTAACGGTGCCCTTCCATAATAGCTCGGAAGAGGCTGAACAAGCATCGCCTTCTCCCTCGGCAATGCCGAAGCAATCACAAACGGCTGCTCGATCTGCATATCCACCGATTGTAAACATGTGATGGGCGGTTTCAGCTTCCGTTTCGGTGTAAGATCAGGCAACGGCGACAGATACCGTGTCGCCTTGAAGCCGACTGTATAAATACTCCCGGTACCAAGACTGTGCGGGGCGAAGATGGTCACTGCAGCGTCTGTTTCGGAGTTAGCGATGATGATCGCCGCGCGGTCTTCCTAGGCTGGGTGGGGGCTTAAAATCTTTTGTCAATGTCGCGCGGATGCGCTTCCATGTTGCGTTTTCGCCGACCAGTTTATGTTTCTGCTTCGAGACGGTAATGGTAATGGTCGATAGGGGTAAAGCTATGCGGGAGATCGAGTTCATTGAAGCATTTCCGACAGACAAGGACTGCGGCGTGGATCGCAACGAGCCGACGGCGTACATGTCCCGCTTCGGCAGCTGGCCATTATATGCAGCGCCTGGTTAATTTCAGAGGCAGTCAACTGTCCTGGTGCAGCGATCATGGGCAGCAGAGGATGCGTGACGGGGGAGAAAACTGTATTGAAGGCGCGGGATAACTGGCCCGTCGGACCCATGTTGACAGCTGAGAGCAACGGTATTGATTGCATCGAATTGAAGGAGGAGGAGGAGGAGGAGGAGGATGAATACTTCCCCTTGATGGCTGAACGGAAATACTCAAGTTCATAACCCGCCTCGATCGAGTGTACCATCGCGATCATCTTGACGATGTCCATTTCCATGAACCAGAGAAATCATGAAAAGCAGTCTTGATGATACCATTCCCCTTCTATCGCGCGAGACACCGTCGGATCTCCTCGGGCAACCACAATTCGACATCAATGTACTCAACGCGGACTGGATCGCCCGACGGAGATGCCGGTGGAACAAGTACGGGTCGTCCATGGGAAACTTGGCGTTCTCTTTGATGTATCTCGTTGTGAAGACGATGGGGAGCTCGGTATGTTGTCGAAGGAGCATCATCTGGTGTCCGACGTATTTGAGACTGGGGACGTTGCCATTGCTGCTGTTATTTCTCTCCACCAACAGATCAACCCTGGTCTCAACCGCGTCAGCCCCGACAGAGAGAATATCCAAATTGGGCAACGCAGCACGCACATCTGGGAACGTCGTCGAAATGAAATTCGTCCGATTCTTCCTCCTTAGCTGCTCGTGGGGTCTCGTTTCGCCCAGAATGAAGGACAAGAGCCCGTCGGATCACGGCGTAGAACGGAGCCTTCATTCCACCATTGCTGCTGCTGCTGCTGCTTTTAATAGCGCTGTTAGAATACAGAAACTCATAGTCACATCTCCCCGTGAAGTGTTTCGTCGGGTGCTGATCCGTCGTCCACGCAATGCGTGCTACTTAGGATACACGGAGACGGAGACGCATCATCCACTTGTTGTCTCGGTACATTCTGAGCCAGGATTCCGATAGCAGCCGGATTACAACCATCGTCTCTCTCTGGCGGCGGGAGGGAGGGAGCATCACTCCATGTTCTCCCCGAGTATATCAGCTGCGATCTGGACGATCGTCTCCTGTCCTGAACTGAATACAATGGCAACAGTCCGGTTCTGATGTTCCTGTTGCGTATCTTCCAGAAGCGTCGTCTGCATTATCACGTTGCTGTTGTAGTTGTAGTCATGTACTTTTTATACTTGAAGGAAGATTCAATCCGGAAGAGACAGACGGAGGCTCTTGAGGACAGCAATCGTATATTCGTATATACCTGAAAACCTCGCAGGCATGAATAAGCAAGTTAGTTATCCGTATGAACCCGAGAGAATACGTAGATTAGAAGAAACAGAAAAGAGGACGTACTCTTTCCTGCATAATTATTAAATAGTAAATGTCGACCTACTTCGAGTTGCTTGATGGAATCGAATTTATCCACCAATGATTATTAGCCCTAGACAGATCTGCCGCGGATCACCATAAGCAAGGTGTCTGGTTCATGCTGTGTCTTTATCTCCTTTCTTGCTACTCTCTATGGACAGCATGTAACACGCAAGACTGACGACTTTTATTGACGATAGACCACATATGTATGTACCTTATTAATATACCAAGGACAGGCACAATAAAACAACGCAAAACAGTTCAAAGCAGGGGTATTGTTGGCAAGAAGAAACGAGAAAATCAAAACAGACACCATACAGCTGGCAAGAACATGGCAGAACAATATGTAAATAGTAAAAAAAATACAAACAAGAAGCAAGAGATACGTAAAGGAGGTGGTTACCAAGCCTCGACGTGGCTGGTATCCACCACATGGCATCCGTGAAAGAAGTAAGAAGCATGACTAACACCAGTCCTGCCCCAATCTAAGAATCTAGGTATCGAACGCCATGGTCTCATAAGCTGTCTGTATGCCTGCTGCCGTCAACCAGATAGGGAAGAAGAGAGGAGTAGACGGAACACAACTGCTGTCCTGTGCATAGCCAAACTTCTGCCAGATCACTTCACCAGGAAGCATCTCAGCATCTAATATGCTATGTTCAAAATCCCTTATCATTTCGAGCTCGAAACAAGATCAGTTGGCATGGAGACTGAAGATGCAATAAATCTCAAATCTGCCCTATTGATGCGACACGGCAAGCCCGTTCATGGCCTTTGCAAGTGGTGCCCCTGGAAGAGGCTTCCTGCGCGCATTATTCGCCACTTTCGAAACTCGAGGCGTTCCAAGTATCATGCGAGGTTCCTTCATCAGACTCGTGTCTAGTTTAGCCGGTGCTGAACAAGTGGTTTAAACGTTAGCTGAGATTCATATACAATGGGATTGAAGTAAGCAAACAAGGCAAAAATGAAGACTCACCTCTGGTTACAATGTGTGTATAGTCACCCGAGGGATTCCGCTGGCTCCTGCTGTTTGGGGGGAAAGATGCGCTGGCAGTCCTCCAAAGATGGTCAGAAGTGTCGGAAAGAAAATCCGTGGTAGTCCGTCCAGAGAAAATGGAAGTTCGGCCACGATTGCGTTTAGCTAGGATAATCTCATCGAAGAGTACCATCCTTGGATCTTTTGACTTAGGATTGACCCTTTCTCTGTCACTGATGAATTCATTGAAACCTGGCCGCACGTTAGCGATAAAAACTCTAATCAATTGGCATAAAAGTTGCCGTGTCTCTTTTACCTTGCGTCTGCTGCAGAACGTTGATATAATCTGCATGCTCGTGGGGTAAACTCTTCATGAACGCTTCCAGGTTAAAACTGTAGGTCAAGCCGGCTTTCTTCTTATCTCCAGCTGCCGGCTGCAGAAACCTCTTGTATGTGTAAAACAAGCTTGCAAATGTTCTGACAAACGCTGCGCGGACTTGGTCCGGATGGAACGCAGCTGGGCATACGAGGCAGACCTGAGGAGTGCACCGGCCATGCACAATCGTCTTGCAAGCGGAGCATCTGTACATGCCGTCTTCCGCCCGTTCATCGCAGATGGCACAGACTGTTTTCTCGTCACACGGGTGCAGCTGAAAACCGTGCCCCTCCATCCAGCAGACCCCCTCGGAATTCCGAACAGGCTGCGCGTAGGATTGGGGAACAATCGTCGATGCAGCAATAGTTGACTGCGCATAAACAGAGGGTGCATAGGTGGAAGCTGGAGTATAATCACTGTTCAACGTGGCAAGGGAGAGGTTGGACGCATGGCCTAAGAAGGGGGCACTGGGCCGCCTAGGGCCCGGCATCATGTCCGCACCAAAGGATGAGCTTCTGCGTGACGCAGCATCGAAATGGCCAGAGCGTCTCTCACGCAAGGATGCCTGGAGAGTCAAGCCAGAATCATGCCGGGATCCAGGCGCCATGGAAAACGGTGGGTGGCTGGAGGTCGGCGAGGCGTCCCGCGATGGTGGGGACCCAGCGTGGAAAGCGGAAGAGGTTCCTGGCCTGTCACGGCCTCTGGAAGAATACCCCCTGGCTAGGAGCTGCTCATTACGAGCATGAACGAAGGCGTTGAATATCAGTGGCTGATAGGAATTCGGGGGCACCGCAGCCTGCCCGAACGAGTTGGAATTGACGCTAGTATACTTGGATAGATTCGTCGAAGGCGGTTTTGATACGAAAATGGATGAGTTCTCCGACACAAATGAGTCGAATGGGAAAGACTCAATGGCATAGGCCGGAGGTCCCTTGGGTACTCCATACCGAGTGTGATGGGGCGCCGCGAGTTGCAGAAGCGACATAAGCTTTCTTTTCTGCTGACGCGGCAGTGGAGTAGGCTGGGCAGTGCTTTCGATTATATCGGCATCGAGATCTACCAGGACGAAATCATCCGACGGCAGTTCAACCTTTTCGTATCTCCGCTCGATGCCGACGATGTAAGGACAGGGGGCTTCGAGAGCCTGTATTAATCGCGCCGGAAGCACCGGAATAAGCACTCCCGTCCACTGAATCGGGAATAACAGGTCAACGAGTGCCTTGCTTGCCAAATGTAGCATGGCTGTGTGAGAGGATAGCAAGATAATGCGCGAATCCGTCAGAGCATACTGTCGGGCATGTTAGTCATTCTGAAGTATAGGCACATACTGATATAAACCCTGGTACTTACCTCGAAGAGTATAATGATGTTCGATAATGACAAGGTCCGGAACAGCGCATATAAATCAGTCTGCAAAAAGGAGTCAGTGACGCTCAAATGTGAAAAAAAAAAAAAAAAAAAAAAAAAAGGCGGAGAGCATACATTTCGGGCATTTGGGAGCTCATTGACGGCCTCTTTTCGTGCAAAGAGACGTAGTTCACGCACCGCCAGTTCCACCTGGGTTTTGGACGGTAGAGGACAGAACGCTTCGACGCAGAGATTCATCACATATCGCTCTAGTGGCTGCCAGGCTCCTGTGCGCGGAGAGCTAGGAGGCACCCGCTGAATAGCACCGTCCGTCATGGGGACGATGACGGCCTTCAGCCATTCCTTCCAAAAACTCGTCATGGACCCTTCCCGACCTAGGATGCCATACGCACGGGGGATCCAAAACCCAGTGTCTCCGTCGGTGAGTCCCTCAATCTTAGAGGCCGCGCCGAGTCTCACGGGGCGCAAGAGATCGCTCATCAATGCAATTTTCTCTTCAACGCTACTGATTTCATCCTCCAGCTGTTCTCTGGCATCCGAACCCGACGGCACTGTGGGAAGTTGGGCCAAGAGTTGTGAGAGCTTGGCACGTTCGCTGGCTAGCCTCTCACCCAAACTCGCAGCCAGCTCTCGCTCCTCGTCTGTCATATTGTCCTTGCGCCATTCCTCGCAACACTTTTCTAGCTCCGCTGCAGCACGATGGTTTAGTGGGATCCACACGATCACACATATTGCGTGCAGCTTCGAACCGTTCTCCGTCGTCATTACAAACCCGTGCCAGGTGGATCGCGGCCGTTGGTCCGAAGAGACAATGTTGACATCGTTGGGGAAGGCGAACATGGGAACGTAGTCGGGGAAATGGCCTCGCTGCTTCAATTCCTCCGTCATGCCTTTAGTGGGGTACCGATCGAGCAGGACGGGCTCGAATCTTCGTTTCAACGGATGCATAGTGGGGGAGATCTCGAGAGGTTGTGGGGCAGGGATGACGGAGTTGTAGTTGCTGAGACGGCGTGATGTTCGAACCGACGCTGGGACGGGGTGAATTGTAAGCAACCGACAAGAGGTAGCGAAATGCCCCGAAGAAGGAAATGTATCATACCTTGGCGAGCCAGTGACGGCTGCCACTTCATGCTGTTCATATCCCGAAACGACATGTGACGCCGTACACTTCCAATACTGGATCTAATCAAATTGCTAGACGAGGAAGGTTCTTCGTGGATGATCTTCTGCGCGCGAAACCTCGACTTGGGACGGGAGGGTGAGGGGGAAGTGATAGCGCCAGCGCTGAGACTGAGATCCGACAGAAAGTTCTCCCGCTCAAATGCAAACTTCACCAAAGCCTTGTCGAAGTCGAAGTCTTCGACCAGCGAAGAACCTCTCGGAGACTGGCCCAGCTTGACAGTTAGACTGCTTCGGTTGCTGTGCGAGACATTTTGGTCGGAATCCCCCGAACGGAATGACAGTCGCTGGTTATTGGTGGAGAGCCTGGACAGACGGCGATAGGAGGTCTTTCTGCTACTTGCGGTAGACTTACGCCTGGCATCGTCAGGGGAGATGGTGTCTAGTTGTTCTTCTTCCTCTGCGACCGCGTCCTCCTCGATAGTATCTGCGACGGCGGGGCCACCAGCGGAGGCGGCGTTGTTTGCGCGATATTCATCCCCCAGCCTTTGGAAAACGTCTAGTATCTCGGTTCCATCGACACCAGCTATCCAAAAATAGTCTGCCAGGGGAACGGAGGACAGGCCAGAGGCGGAGGGTGGCATTTTGCAGGGACAGTCGCAGGCAGTTGGTCACTGGGGATCATTCGACGGGGTTTGTGAGAGAACAGGAGTAAGGGTAGAGTGTGGGGAGGAGAAAACGAGCAAGAGGGTCGTCTCATCCAACTCGATGGGATCAATTGACGATGAGATGAGTTCAGATGAAATCAAGACGACCCCAGATCTGCCACCACGGACGCAACGCAGAGGACAGCAGATGGAAGTGTTCCCAAAAGCATGGATGGTCGAGGGAGACGGAAGGACGGACGTGGGAGACAGCGATCGGGGGGTTGCAGCGATGGAGCATGAGTTTGTAAGGGAGTAATAATAACTGGGGGGATGTGCGGGAGAACCATGGAAAGCGGAAAGGGACTAGAGCAGGAACGATAATAATAATCTCGAGGGATAAACGATGGACGGCAGAAGAGCCAAGAGGAGCAGCTGAATCCGACGACGAGAAGTGTTTGGGGAGAACCACCGCGCTTTTGCGGTTAGAGGGGCAGGGGCACGGCCGCGGCACGGGCCATTTGCTCCCTTTTTTTTTTTTTTTTGTATTATCATTTTGCCTTTTTTTACTTTGCTCGTTCATTAATGCTACCGTACAGAGTATAATCTGCCAATATCTGAAGACATGCTGGTTGCAAGAGAAGAACAGAGTACGTCCTCGCACAGTAAAATCAAAATAACAGTCTCTCCCCACTCTCAACGACACGCCCTGCACCAGTGAATGTGGCGCTGGCCAGGCGATCTGATAGGCACCGCTGATCCTCGCCGGCTAAGACATCTCTAGAAGCGAAGGAAAAAAAAAAAAAAAAAAAGAAAAGAAAAGAAAAGAAAAGAAAAGAAAAGTATATATATATGAAAAAAAAAGGAGTCAAGAAATGCTACTTGTCAGCCTGCACGCTTCTTCTACAACTACCCAATCATCGCATCATCGAAATACCCGGCATTCTTCACACCGAGGAGGCCCGTATTAACCTTGCATACTCTGTACAAAGACGGCTGCTTAGTCCTTTGCGCACTGGACACGGAAAATACGGAGCGTCGGGCGTCGATGCTCGCAGTCGTCCTGCAGCCACATCAGTGCTTCTGGGGAGGTCGTCTGTGTGATCTACGCTGTACCTAGTACATCGTACAAGATAATGGAAGGAACAGAGGGAAACAGCACGCTATCCGCGAGTTGGTCAAGATAACAATCCCGATTCCCATATCTGTATCACTTCCCCGACAAGGGTCAGGGTACAACGTACGTCCAATACCAGCTTCACTCCCCTGGTTCCATGCTGGCTGATGAAATCAGAGCCCCGACAGGACAAACAAGTTACAACGGGAATCAATTGATATCAAAATCCCTCTGCATAACCAGGTGCATATGGAACGGTCTACGACTCCATCTAGTTTACAGGTCATGCCCGTGTAGATATCTATAGAACAACAAATATCCGTTCTGTTTGTTCACTATAATTAGACGCAGGCATCCACTCGAGTTGACACTACAGGCAGCCACTTCTAAATATACCCAGCAGGATCGTACCTGTCTACGGTGTAAAACACATAGGAACATACCTACAGTAACGTAACATCCAGAGTCTAGATCCAACCCCGTCTTGAACTAACGCAGCTTATTCTGCAAAGCGTTGTCGGTAGCATGATGCTTGCGACACCGCTCATGCTATGCAGGTACGGTTTCATCTGGAATATCTGAAACGTGGGCTGGCATGTTCCTTTCTCAAAAAAGTTTAAAAAAGAGCAAACAAGATGCGTATTATGCAATACAAACAGTCTGTTTCTAATGGAGGAAGCAACAGTCTCGTGAATATATGGCTGGACTTTATAAGAGGGCATCGCTTCTCGAACTGTCCTCTTCTCCATGGTCCCTGTCCGCTCAATAATCATTACTGGGATAGCCCATCCAATAAAGGGGCTGTGGCGCAATGGCAACGCGTGTGACTCCAGTTATCTGGATTAATCTCAAGATTGCAGGTTCGACTCCTGTCAGCCTCAACGGTTTCTTTTTTTATTTATTTATTTTTTTTATTTATTTATCTCACATAAGTCTTTCATTCTTTTGTCAGGACGATACTGTAATTACTACACTCTGACAGTCCATAATCCATGGAGGTTGTCCACATCTATCTATATCCTAACCGAGTCAGCCGAGCAAGGTCGACGTCCAAGCAGACAACGATAACGATAATAACTCCGCAGAGGGATTAATAAACGTCCACTAAATTAGCCAGCTGCTAGTCTGTTCATTAGACACATGTCTAGCAGACCGTTAGCTTAATTAAGATTCATATGCCCAACTGTTAATCCCGTCCACTAGTACGGGGCGCACTAGACTATCTGGCATCTATTCTACGCTATGTACGTATATATGACAAGAATACTAATGATATTGCCCTGCACCCTTTTCTTCAGCCTGAATTTCCTTATCATACTGCAACTCACCGTTCTGGACCCTAACAGACTTATCGACAGGTTGTCACTGTACCCCGTTTGGGAATGCCGCGTCCAATCTCTGATTGGGACAACCGGAGAACAAACCACGGGTGTTTGTACATGGCGATCTCTTCCCATTGCAGTAACTTGTTACTTATTTAGTTAACATTGCATTGTGAGGTTAATTATTATTATTAACTATTGACGCTTGAGACAAGGCTGTGACGATCAATGGGGGCACTGTAATTGCCCAGCAGCCACGCTACGGGATACTATGCATACATAATACATAATTGGATGCTACATGGATCAGGATATTCGGCTTGTCCATGGATGACTCCGTATTCGTCAGATAAAACCAGATATGACTACAGCATGCAGCGTTCATTCATGGTGATTGATGTAGAAGTGTTGATCGTGTGAGGATGGACAAACAAAGGAGTCTCATCTCACCTAGCAGTCTTGGGGCTGTTTGTGTCTGGGAAGCATTGGCCAGAGGCATCAAGATCAACTTATTTCCACCTATACAACCGCTATTGATTCCGCGCGAAAACGAGCCGATTCTGCATAGAAATATGCTTTATGTTGGCCAAGAAGTTGGAGGAATATGAGATACAGCCAGAGGATATTTATAATATGGATGAGAAGGATTTTCTCATTGGAATGCTGTCCAAAGGCCTCCGGATCTTCTCCAGGCATAAATAAGAGCAGGGAGGCTTCAAACAACGCTTGCAGGTTGGGAATCGCGAGTGGATTACCTCTATTGCTTGCATCTGTGCTGATAGGACTTCTTTGTCCCTAGGCCTAATTTATCAAGCAGTCAACAGCAATATGTCACGGAACTCAACTAGACGATGAATAGGATGCTATTCGACTATCTAGGCAGCTATCGACGAGAACTTCAAGCATGAAGAGGAAGGAAAAAGGAAGAGGTCTACGTGAAGCTGGACGACGTACTCCTATCCACGCGCCACGCTAATCCAAGTAAGGAAGCTCACGTGCTCGTCCTGGTCTACATGGCAAGGGCCCTGACAGTATACAAGACACGTGGTTCCAGGATTTCATTCCTAAAGAGCATGACTGCTTTTTTGCTTTATCACCAAGTGGCTAGACCAATAATAAGCTTGGATTTGCATGGCTGAAGGATATTTTTGACTGACAGACCAAGGATAAGGCCTAAAGGTGCTGGAGGCTCCTAATTCTTGATAGCCATAGATCCCATCTTACAATGAAGTTTATAAACTACTGTGATGCCAATAAGATCCTTCTGATGACCTATCCACCTTATTCAACTCACTCACTGCAGCTACTTGATGCTAGGATCTTCAGTCCTCTGTCTGTTACATACAGCAGTCAGTTGGAGGAGTTTCTACATACTTCTTAAGGCCTCAGTCATATTACAAAATGAGACTTCTTTAGACTCCTTTGGCCAGCTTGGGGAAAGGCATTATCATCAAAAAAATATACTATCTTCATGGAGAACTGTTGGGATATTACCATTGAATCCTGAAGTTGTATTGGCCCAATTTAGGAAAATACTAGACTCTAGACCTTTTTCTAGTGAGTCTTCACGCTCTATCCTACAGGCAAAAGACTGGCGGAAGATTAAAAGACTTCTAAATCAGGTGGTCGCCAATGCGTATGATAAGAACACCAAGAAGTTGAGTTCTATGATACACCACCTCTCTACTGAGAATATACTGCTCAAACTGCGTTGTGAAGGCCTTGAATCAGCACTCCAGAATGAGAAGAAGAAGCATCAACATGGGAAACCTCTGCAGTTTGAATTGCCTCCTCCAGAAGATGGTGGTGCAGTCTTTTATCCCCCCTAATAAGGTTCAGCAAGCCTAGGATTGTCAAAGGCAAAAGGGTGAAGCTATACAACTTGCTAGGACTTCAAAAGAGGAAGCAAAGGCCCATCAGCAGCAAGAGAAGCTAGAGAAGCAACGTTTATTAGAGGAGCGCAAGCGTATTCAGGCATCTAATCGGGAATTGCGCCTCCCAGAGGCTGAGAAAAAGAAGCAGCAGAAGGAGGCGGGTCTACAGCTTCAAAAAGACCTCAATCAGGTGAAGAAGATGGCAAAGAACCCTTCTAGAGCTTCAAATACACAGAGGATTCATCCTACTGAGCCAGTGGCTGCTGAAGTTGTTGAAGAGGTCCCTCTGGTAGTAAATTGTCAAGGCCGGCAAATTCGACTACCGCACCATTTCCGGGTTGAGTAAAGATAGTGAAATTTTCTATATAATGCCTTCTTTAAAACACCAAGAATTTAGAAGATAGTATCTAATGTATGGGGTTCAATTGCTTCATGTTGGGTCTTGTAGTTGGTGGTGAAATCGGGCGGCAGGCGGGAACGGGCGTTAGGTGATCACCCACAGTAATTGTTGGATCACGTGGGATTCTGCCGCATAGGTCCGCCCTCGCCGACCCTTTTCACCACGTAGGCCTATCTAGCTAGTAACCAACAATATATATACATCCATTAAATTCTGCCAGGCAAAACAAGGCGAGCGTGTTTGGCCTCAAATCTCTGTACATTTTCATGGCTAAAAATAAGGATTTAACCCCTACTATGCGATCTCGCATATGTGAGCTTCGTTCAATTGGATGGGACGCAGAATCCATCAGAAATACCCTCAGATTCCTGTTTCCACCATTCGCTATACTATAATCAGTCAAGATGATCGGAAAGATCATATTTCAAAGCCCCGCAGTGACAGGCCTCCAGTTCCATCACCAGAACAAAAAACACATCTTCACCAGCTTGCTATTGAAGATCCACATATAAAGATGTGTGAATTACAGGCTGCAGTAGATTCTACGCCTTCTAAATCTACCGTACCACACCTTTCGCAACCTTGCAACCTTTATATGAAGAAATGGAACAGAGAAAGCAGCCAGAAATTACTGAAGAAAATGCTGCTGAACATCTTGCTTGAGCTCTCTAGTATGCTGATTATACGCCTGAAGATTGGGAATGCGTTAAATGGACTGACGAATGCCCAGTTGAACGTGGTAAAGGCGCACGATCTTTATATACATTTAACAGTCCTTGTTGCCAACCAATTGAGCATGATATTCATGCCATACGCTGTGGGAAAGGTGTAAAGCAGATGTTCTGGACTGGATTTCAGTTTGATAAGTGTACAGGTCTTGTTCCTTTATTGCACGTATTATTAGATGTCTTCTGCATGAAATGGATCTTGAAGTTATGGCATGGCCTCCATATTCGCCTGATACGCAGGAAGCATTGGAGCAGGCCACATCGTGTTTAGGCGATTCTATCTGTAGGTGGTTGATATACCAAATTAGTACTAAACAGGAAGGCAGTGTTCTTAGCGTGGTTTTTCGTGTTGAAAACTTTTGAGCCCCTACTGTAGCTCTTCGAGCTACGTCTTGTCTATCTCCCTGTACCATTAGCCTGACCTGTAGCCTGCCTGTGTGTCCAATCCAATCAATATCTATCTTCTGAACCTGTTTCCTGACCTCCCTGAACCCGCACCCTGGCAGGTTTCCAAGTTCCATTCCAGTCCCATCAAACCCAGTCATTCGGATATGGTGGGTTCATTGGGCAGCATATGACAGACCTTTAGGGACGCACATAACTATTTCTTCTTTCCACAAGATGACTTGACATTTTTTTTATATATACTCATTGGTAAAAAGAGGTGGACCTACCTATCTCTTCACTTCAAAATGCCCAAGCCCGACACTAGCAGGTTTGTCGCCGACAACACCCCTCCTCGTCTTCCAACAGCCTACGTATGCGACAGATGCTGGGTGTCTCTCTTCAACACCGAAGCTTTTGAACGGTGCTGTACTTGGCATCAAAATAATGCGAACTACGAGCAAACGGGGACTGAAACTACCGCCACTGTCTATGAAATTAAACATGCTGTCTGCAATTGGTGTGCTTATATCAAAAATTTTATTTCCGACAGTTGGGCGCCAGAAGATAAGATAACCACATATCTTGCACCAAGCCCAATCCCTTCGGTCACACCGCCCGGCAACAATACTTTCTATCTGAGCATTTCATGCCATTCTGGAATGGAAAAATGGAGAGGAGGCGCCACCCTTTTTCTTCATGCCCTTACCACAGCAGAGGATCCCGCGTCAGACTATGTGACTGCGAGACCGTTGAGGACAGACACTAATAGTAGGGCAGCAAAAATGCAAATCCGAGCATGGCTGAGAGAGTGCAAGGAGCATAAGTGCTGCAGCGCTTTACATGAGGACAGTATCCTTCCTACAAGGGTTATTGAAGTTAGTCCTCTAGGAAGAAGATATGCGCGAGTCGTGGAGTCTAAAAACCTGCGTGGTCTCTATGCTACACTTTCCTACTGTTGGGGGCAAGACGATTTTCCAACTCTCACCAAGGCCAATTACGCACAATTCACCGAAGGATTGGATGAAGAGACTTTACCTCCCACCATCCGTGATGCTCTTGCAACTACTCGCACCTCGTCCATCCCGTACTTGTGGATTGACGCTCTCTGCATAATCCAGGATTCTGAAATGGACAAAGCGAGAGAAATGGCACGAATGAAAGAAATATATGCCTCCTCAATCTTGACGATAGTCGCTGCTGCGGCAGAAAGTGTCTCTAAAGGATTTCTCTATCCTCGTGTGCACCGGGAGATTCTTTACACTATCCCTGTCCGGCTTCAACCTGACGTCTTTGGCACTATGTCTATCAATGACCTAGACGCCGTATGTTATGACGAGCATTGTGAGCCCATTTCAAAAAGAGCCTGGGCTATGCAGGAACAGCTTCTGAGCAATTGTGTGCTCACTTATACAACACGCACTATGATGTGGAGATGTAGGGAAGGCATAAAAAATTTTGGTAACTCCTTATATTTCCCGCATGACATTGACACAGGATATACTGCCCACGTCGAAAAGTACAGCCTTAATCTGCACTCGTTGCTTCTTAGCCAAGAAGAGGCTTGTGCTTATAAAGACAAGGCTTTGAGTTGCTGGCTGCGCCTCGTTACAGCGTATTCAATCAGAGTTACAAGCCTTGAGCGTGACAAATTGAATGCTCTGGCTGGTATCGCCTCTCATTCTTCGTTTTCCCGCGCGCTTGGACCTGGCTACTTTGCTGGATTGTGGCAATACAATCTTGCAAGGCAACTCACATGGCGAACATCAAATTGGCACAGATCACTAGCTAATGGTGAAAACTTCATATTTGAAAGGCCAGGAAGGTATCAGGCTCCTTCTTGGTCTTGGGCAAGTCTCAACGGGGGTACCATACATTTCGATTTCTCCTATGATGAAGATAAGACCATGCCTGAAGTTATATGTGCTATTCTGGATTGCTCAACAATGCCAGCGTTTCCAGAACTGAATCCATTTGGGGAAATACTGTCGGCACAGTTGAGGCTGAGAGCCCCCACTCGAAAGGCCTGGTTCAAACCTTCCACGTCTAATGTTTTGGTGCTCTCTGAACACATCTGTGAAACCGAGGTCGTGGACCTTAAAAATGAAACAATAACTCTTGAGGAAGCTTTGCAAATACATGTGGATGATTTTAGACTGAGACACCCAGACGTGAATATAACCGAGGAGCAGGAGGCTATGCACGGCACGAATTACGGCAATATGTGCGGTACATGTGACGAGACAGCACACCGCGAGTGTTGTTTAGTCTTATGTGTGGCCATTACTTTGGAAGATAAAAGGGATGATGGCGTGAAAGGTCTGCTCCTCATCAAGGAAGAAGATGAGAGAAGGAATGGCTCCGTCTTCAAGAGAATTGGTTTTTTCGAAAGGGGAAAAAATGTTGATTTCAAGAATGACAACAATTTAGAGGTTTCCATCATATAGGGAGCTTCATGCGAACATTGCGCGTGCTTTCTAGGCTATTCACTCTCGCGATACTCCAAGGGGGTTTGAGAGCTCAACTGACCTTCATCCTGACCTGGACATATGTCATCCAAAACCGGGCTTAGGGGCCAGGACACCGCCCGGGTTGGGGCGAACCCATAGTTTACAAGCAGTTACAAGTCCTGCAAGTCGATTCTTAGAGATTACTGGAACGCCTGGAACAGGCTAAGGAAAGAACTCAGAATCAAAAATAGGTCCACCCTGAGTCTCAGGCGGAGATGATCAGGTCAATGGTCCAAGATGCGCAGACGACGATCAGGATGCACCACCGGCTCTTACAAAGCTAGGATCAGAATAATCTCCTTTACTTTGCTGCCAGCAATCTTTCAGCTCTCTGTTCTAACAATGGCCACATCGGAAGTCAGGAACGATTATTGCTTCGCCGTGCCTGTATTTCCAATATCTCAGATCACATGGCTGATCCGAATCTCTGAGCAGTTACACTACCATGTGCTTTTCTTAATGGCGGCTAGTATGGGATTATTTTATTCATCTCATGCTATATTCCGTGAAGCTTCAAATTCCATCCACCTTCCACTTTTAGTGGTCGTTATACTTTGAAATAGCGATTGTGTGTTTTTTTGGGCGTTCCTGCTTCGTCTTGCTCCTCACTCGATTCCTCATCCGACAAACCTTCGAGGGCTTAGCGGCTGGAGATGACCGGAGGCATTGGAGATGCTTTTGCATTCCATGTTGCCTGCATCGGAGCCTGTTCGGGAGCAAGAGTAGTAACCAACCAATATATACCTCCATTACTAGGTGGTGTTGGATCACGTGGGAGTCTGCCGCATAGGTCCGCCCTCGCTGACCCTTTCCACCACGTAGGCCTATCTAGCTAGTAACCAACCAATATGCCTCCATTAGGCGGTGCTTAGATCCATGCCGGAAGCATTCTTCTCCTTTCTCACGGTGTGTCAAGCCTTGGGGTGAGGGACGGCGGCAGGACGTGGACAGGTCCATTGTAATGAGCTACCTACTCTGCTCAGCGCCTATGGCGCTTAGGCCGGATGCGTCAGGGGAGAGCGGTGTGCGAGATCCCAAGAATCACAAGTTGGTTTCTCCTTTCTACGGAGCCTGATCATCATTGGCACAGAGGAAAATGGCCGAGAGCCTGCGACTATTCTTTGCTGTACTTTATAATTATTGCATTAACGAAATAGACTTTTACCGAGGAACAATCTAAAATGACGACATGGCGAACCCCCCGGTATTTATTCATTTATTGAGATTATACTACTTAGGCCACTCACTATGCTCTCCTAGCTGTCGTTGGCTCACAGAGTAGATCAAAGCATACTCCGAGCACCTGGTGAGCACCAAAGTGGAAAAGAAGGCCATAATGCCTCTAGAAAATCAGCTGCATGTTTGTTGCACATGTAGCATGACGTGTGACGCGTCAGAATGTGGAGTAGAGACTGACTGGCTGCCGCATCTCCGAGTTTACACGGACCTGCAGGGGCCTATAGAAAATGTAACGTCGAACTTGCTGCCGAACAATGTTGCTGACTTGCACGAGGGGAGTTATCAGTGCCCCCACAAATGGTCGACAAGGTCAGCGCTGTATGATCAAGTAGTCTTACTCCCCAGACACATCTCTTGGTTGCATGATGGCCGTGTCACTCTATCCCATCCGGTATTCTGTTGTGTCCTTTGGTGTTATCCTCTCACGCTCGCTTCCGGGTGAGAAGGTTGCCGGTAGTAAGAAACCCTCGATCACCCATAACGCCTCGCCATTCAATCGACAGCTGTCCAAGGACAGCCCGACCATCGCGACGCATGTCCTTCTGGAGAGCCTCAAGACCATCCTGCTGACCTTCTTCCTGTTCAACAAGGAATGCAACCTGGAGGACATCTCGCGGGTTCAGCGTAGGAGGCGGTGCATTAGGCCTGCCCGGCTCCTCAAAATCCCAGTTCAATGACTGAGACTTGAATGGAGGCCTGGGATTTAATCTGGTTTGCTATTTATCGAGTCAGCAATGTTACTGTATTCTCCTACGACAAGCAGGGTGACAACGAAGCACTGTACTCACCTCCACAACTACAGCATCATCCCCGACATTCTCAAGCTGCGCCTCAAGAGCAAAGCGAAGGAGTCGCGTTTTCCCATAAGGACCCAATGACTTGTTATCCACTTCCATAGGTGACAGCTCTGACGTCTTCGTCCGGACGCTGAGACAGGGCTGGGCAACGAACTGGTACAATTTCCTGAATGTTCTGACTCTCCCACTTGCAGCCTGGGAATCGCGACCCATGAGGGTCTCCGTATAGCTGACACTCACAGCCAGGATGTGGTTGCCCTCCTCCTTCAAGTCAAAACGGACAATCTTCTGGAGCGACTGTCCCCTCTGCAAGCCTTCCGTTTGGGTCGGGTCGCCCGCCGGCTCAAGTTCTAACGATACTACCTGTGAAGGCGTCTGCATTTCCGCAACAATACGGACAGACGTGACAACTCGTAAGCCCTCATCTTCTGGGAGCTCATTATTCGCGCTGAGGGTACAGGCAAAGGTTTCGCCAACGTAGGCAGATCCAAAGGCGGGCGGAAGCGTAAGCTTTCATACTTAGTTAGTGAAAGTAGCCAACGCCGAAGATGACAATAATGCAGACATTGGGACTGATGATGAATTGACCGTCCGTCTCGTTGGAAGGGTAACTTAATGATGCTTTGGGTGAGATCTTCGTATTTGCTCTAGGAAGCGGGAACTGATGCGAGAATGAGGGCCGTGAGAGCCTGGAAAAGCCGAAAGAGTCAGGAGAGCCAGGAATATCACCAGTCCAAACACCGTTAGCTGGCTTACCGCAATACTGGACGTTGAATCAGCCAGCTGCCGTTGCGTCAGATTCTCCTTCGAGGCATACCTTTTAAAGAGATTGCATGAGGTTCTTTTGGGCCATCAGCGCCCGAGTGAGCTCTTGGACGTGCCATGGAGTATGGACATGAGCTCTTGTCGTTGTCAATGCAGATAGTGACATGGGTTTGCGAGATTCATCATGAACCGTTTCGATGTGACGCGGAAAGCAACCTTATCGCGGCAGACAAACCAGACAAATCATGCAAATGAAGCAAACCTCCGCGGCTCCATACAACATGACGTTGAGAGCTTTCTTTGCAACTGCGCACTCTTAACACTTCCTAGAGCACGATTGTTTCTTTTGATTTACATGCTTTGTATGCTGCATGTAGCCCTCAAGCGTTGTCTTTCAATCTTTTTGGCGCGTCTCATTATGTCAGCATCTACCCGATAACTAGTTAACTTACGCGCCAGATCCTCCGTACCAAAACAACGCCCTGATAAACCGCCACCATCACATTGTGCAGTATTTTACCATTTTACATTGTCCATCTCGATATACAGGCTTTGCTTGGCCATGGCGATAATAGGGCACTCAACCCGCGGCTCGCCGAGCATCTCGAAAACTACACCCGCAGGCGCGACCACAAGCGCGAAAAGAAAGCGAGTTGCCAATGGAGAATCCGACATTATGACAACCCCTACAAAGTCCATGCAGAGATCGAATAATACTGCAGCAGTCTCCTCCGGTTCAGTTGGGGTAATCGATCTGACGCTCGACGATACACCGGTTAAAAAGAAGCCGAGAACGACAAAGGGTAAAACATCTCCTGGAGCACCGACTCCGGAGAAAAGAGCTAGGGTGTTTCGCAAACATCCTCCGAAGAGCTTTCTGGAGCGAAAACACCGTGCAATAACCCAAAGGTTCGTGCTCATGTATTAGAACATCCCTCGATATTATCTGAGCTGATCGTTCATATCTCCAGGATGTGTATTATGAATCATACCGTCACTTACGTGGATGGCGCCCCTGAAATTGCGTTTGATATTGCTGGTTCGGTGGGAAATGTTTATAAGACAGTTATTGGGAAGATACCCTATTGCACTTGTCCAGACAACCAGAAGGGGAATCATTGCAAGCACATCTGTTATGGTATGTCAAGGACGATCTCCTAGCTACATATAAGTCTTCCACGCTGTTTCTAGTCAGATTGCTAACGGGGGATAACGTTTACAGTCCTCATAAATGCTCTCAGAGCACCGGAACATTTGCAGTATCAATTAGCCTTTTTATCAGAGGTAGCCCATCATCTTCGACTTGTTTTAAAACAGGGAAAATTGCTAAGACTTCTTTTCCTCCGCATAGGAACTTCGCCAAATGCACGAGGAATCTCCGCTCAGCAAGGAAAATGCCGAATCAGAGGAGAGCACAGACGGCAACCGAAAGCCGGTCGAAGGCGATTGCCCCATCTGCTTCATGGAATTCGAGCCCGAGAAGGAAGAAATTGTCTGGTGCCGCGCCCGTTGCGGGAATAACATCCACAAGACCTGTTTTGAACAGTGGGCACGTACCCAGCGAGCGCAGGGAGTTCGCTGCGTTTATTGGTAAGGTTCAATGGGCCTTTTTTATACTGGCATGAGCTTGACTAACATGAATTATCTTCTGCGTATACAGTCGGTCTCCATGGGAGGATGAAAAGACAGCTCTTGACATGCAGAGTCTCTTGCATAATGCATCTATCGGTGAGGAAGGCTATGTCAATGTGGCCGATCAATTGGGTCTCTCCCGCCATCGCGGTACGTATTCAACACAATGTCCTATCCCGTGATTTTCTATACAAGTACTGACGATCGTCGTCCGAGGACAGATTATTCGACATATTCTCCGTGGTTGCAATATCGGAGGTCATCATCTTATTATGGACGGGGGAGATGGTATTAACTAATGGCAGTGTTTAGTCAACGAGACTGGTTTTCGGTGGCTATTATTTGCCGTCTTGCTATTTTTGGGAGATTACAATCTTGGATTTTTGGTTACTGGGACTGCCTTTTTGGACCCTTAGCAGGTGGCAATTTGGATTCCACCAGGAGTTGATGGCTTGGAACTTTTTAAGATTTGCCTGCAATAATTTGACATGTCAGTAAACATGGAGACTTGGAACCGATACCCAAACGATGAACAGGCCCTGAGGGCTAGTACATATAGAATTATGCTGTCCATATATTGCTTCACCTTCTGCCTCCACTTAGCAAACCTGATCTCTCCATTGATGAAAACCAGCATAGCCGAGGGTAAACACATACTATACGTACTGTTACCCTGGCCGCCCAGAATCCGAGTCTCACTAAGGTGAAGCCTAATCAACACGGGACAATCACCATTCTTCCTCTGCAGTGCAGTGCATAGGTAGGTACTCAGTACTCCTGCAACTGGAGTTGAGCCTCGTGGGCATCCTCGACTGCGGGAACCAATAAACACCGGTCTCTTACTGAGAACCCCGTACTTCCTCAGGGAATGTGACGTACCGCCCGTGTGTCACCAGGTGCGTATGAGGCATACAAGTGATGTTTACTCTCTATCGGTTTCCGAGGGAAAGAGAGGTGAAAAAAGTAGGCGTCATGAGACACCGCCCATAAATCAAATAAAACGCAATAATTTCATCCACCATCCCTGACAACCCTCTTCCCTCGACGGATGGAAGCGACGCTCACCCCTTCTTCACCCGTCATCCAGGACGGCATACGTTCGGGGTCGACGATGCCCAGTTCTGCGAGTTGACGGATCCCGCTAATGACATCAGTACCCGCAAAGGTAAGAGTTAGGGTAGGCTGAGGGAATGCATTCTCAGTTTTGCTTTCGCTACCTTCATTCTCTTGGCTGGTTGGGGGATCGAGCATCTTGATATCGAGGCGGTCCAACGGTGCCGAAGATAGGGTTCCGGTGGTGCCAAAGCGCGACTGAATGGTTAGTTTACGCCTTTTGGAGACGGGGTCTAATCCAGCATTGGATTCTGCGGGACGTGAGTTGGGTTTGTTTGTTGATTTTGACAGCTGATAGTTTCCGTCTCCTACGGAAGATGAATCGTCGGGGATCGCTTGGGGCTTTCGGCCACTGTAGATGGATGGTGTTATAGATTGTCCATTCATGTAATATTCCTCCGGGGAAACCGTGTTGGAAGGTCTTGGGTCCAATGGGCTTCCTTCTACGACCGCATCGGCAAAGATGCTGAATGCCCCATTTGAGGAGTTTGATCGTCCCGGACCGCGCAGCGCAAGGAGAGCAGGTAAACTCTTCGCCGTGAGCGCCGTTGCCTCAAGTGTGTATCTCTCGTGAGGTCTCGATAGAGCCTTCGGAATAGCGTCCGCCACGATGCCTCTGAGACTGCGCCCATCCATCATTTTAGAGGAAGTAGTCTTAGGTACCACCGATGATGCAAAAGAGGTATAAATGAACGGACAGCTGTCTGGAAAAGCAATATAAATGATCCTAGACGAATCCGTGAACGATTCGGCTGACTGACGCGGATACTGGTACGGAGAATCGGTGACGAATATACGGAGAAAGATGAGCGGCAGCGAAGCAGAGCGAGAGAAATAGTAATGCGCTTTCACCAATGGAGATACTTCCCGCTGAAGATTTTTGAGGAAGGTCGCAGCATGAATGCGAGGGAGACAACCGGCCAAATCTCCATCGCCATATCGATCTCCCATCGTCGTTGATGTCCCGTCCTTGCCCAAGCCGATGCGAGTAAGCTCCAACGCTGTCCAGCGCAGACGTGACGGATGCTCCTCCATATGACACATATCAACCATCGCAAGCTGTCGGAGTGTAATCCCATGTCGCCAGTCACCATCTAGTATGCGATCGATGACTTCGCGTTTCGCGCCCTTTCTATCCCGCAGATCTCGATACGTGCTCCTGACCTCGTCCACGGTCTGGGCCACGGGATACGGGTTGATTTTGTCATCATCATCAGAGGCTCCCTCCTGATCGTGATCGAGATATGGTAAGAATAGGTGTGCATTGCGATCATCAAGCCATTCCAAGACAAGGTCTAGTAGAGCTGGTCGAGATAATTTGCCGAAGATCTTCACGAGAGACGGGGTGGTCGAGGGAATACGGAGACTGTCGGGGAGACTGGAGGTTGTGGGAGCACGTACTGTCTTTGTACGTGCCATTGTGGTTCATAAAGCCTTTATTAAAACATCAATTTGCGTCAGTGGATGAATTTATGGTACTCGATGCCTTCCGTCACTATTATTGTTGAAGGAGCTCCGGAGTTTCTCGACACAAACAAGATACGCATCACGTGTGATAAGGGAAGCCTAATGATGAGGATATACTATTTTGGACAGGTGGATTATCTAATAATCCGGTCCCGGGTTACGGAGTATACATATTCCGGGAGGAGAGGCCACCATACATGTATCCTGGAAGTTGTATATAGGAGAGAGCGATCGAGAGCTCAAGGAGGCGCATCAATTAATGCTTCAAGATGTACTAGAGACGGCAGTATATCGATATAGAGCGTTCACCACGATCCCTACGAATCCTACGGTACCCTTTTAGTATCTGGTGTCCAGACGCCGCACCCCTGATTCACATCACCTAACAACACCATCTAGATACAGTAAAAGAGCATCTGGTCGCTCCAGAACTCCCACCAGTTTCCGGTTCAATTTAGGAAAAGCAACACGGAACGAAGATCCTCCGTGAGAGGGCCAATCTAGCCCTACGGGCCTTTCAAGGCAGGTAATCAAAGCTATAATATTCCTGATCAGGGATTGTGTCGCTTCGTCGGCCTCTGGGACCTGTTCGGCCTCTTGGGTGTCTCCAGCGTATTGAGCCCTGTCTGGGACAGAGTCTATTTCACGCAATGCCAAATGCTCATGATCTGGCTGCTCCTGTTGGATGTTCTCAAACGTCTCCTGCTGCTCTCGCACCTGCTGACGAAGCGCATTCATCTCACGCTGCAGCTCCTCCACCTCCGGTTCTCGCCGGGCTCGACGGCGTGCCCGCGGTTGCCGAACGGGGGGGCGAGAGCGGTGTCATGAGCTGGTGTGCGGACAGCATGGTTTTGTTGGACCAAATCGGCCTGTTGTAGAGCATGTTAGAAAGAGTTGATTGCAGGGGCTCTTCGATTAGTTGCTCTTACCGCAGCCTGCAGGAGAGAGATCACTGCGCATTTGCCAGGCTCATGATGGAGCCTACAGATATGGCACCATCCTTTCCCAGGTGCGTTCCTCACCTTGCCCGCACGATCTCGCCTACCACGACGACCACCTCCGCCCCGGTTGGTGTGGCCCCCACCAGAGCCAGAAGCGGCAGCTGGGTATGGCAGCTGGTAGCCAAGTCATTCCTGTTGTCTGTGTTGCCACCAGACATGTTGAGTCAGTGGAGTCATGGAAATAGATGGAGGATGCAGTTGAAAAGAGAACGAATAAGGGAGAAAAAGAACCTTTGATGCTTCCCTGCAGAGAGAGGTATTCACTGCTATGTTCCCAAATAGGAATGGCACACCCTTTGATTCCACGCAGCAAGGAGAGTACCATAGCAGTGGATTATCTTCAACGGGGAATCCCACCGCCTTTCAATGGAGATTACCGGTGGGATTGAGAAATTGTCTTTTAGAAGCCGTCCATTCTTGGACTGGCAGAGGTGTCTTCCCTAGACGCTGGGAGGCTGCGTCGACCTCTTCTCAAAGCTATAGAACCTTGGCTGCCTGATAGCTAATTTGGAGGATGTTAAAGCTGTTCAGGGTTGCCAACATGGCCATCCTCCATGATTCTCCGCCTATTCTCCAGGTTCTCTCACAAGAATTTCAGACGGTCCTGTGCGATTTTGCTCCTAGACATACTGGAAATATCCGGGGGTCTCTCAGTGACCATGTCCATTATCAGGCTCTTGGTTCGTAGACGACGTACAGATTTCTTATGTGATGTTGGATGTGCAACGGTACCAACCATTATACAGAGTGTTTCTTTGAATCTGCAGGTCTTACAGAATCGCCAATTGAACCATAAAACCCGCAAAATGCCATTTTTGTAGTGGCTTGGACACTCACTGCTGTGGCGACTTTAAGCCCTAATTATGATCTTGAAACAGAGAATGCAAGAGCTGGCCAAAGGACAATCATTCACTGTGGACAAAAACTCTGATGGGGATGCATGGACAATGAATGCGCAGGGCATTTTGTCCATATCTGTCCTTCATTTCTCTTCCTAAGAATGTATATCCATCTTCCTTTCCCTGCCTCTGCTGAAGATCTTATTAGTATACATACACCGCCCCCAAACCAATTTGAGCGGGAGTATTGAGCTAACAAGATACTATGATACCTAACAACCCTTTAGTATCTTATTCAGGCCAACGGGATGCAGTGGAAGTTCAGACTTATCCGAGGCTGAGGCCCAAAGAGGAGACTTTGAGCGTGCGCCATTTCCATTTACGCCAGCATCCAGAAAAGGCGTGGAGAACCGCCAATCCTAGCTGGCATTATGGCTGTGAATCCCTCCCAAGACCAGTCGGCAGAGCCAGATATAGAGGATCGCATGCAGCATTGTTTCATGTCCTCAAATGCCTAGGCCAAAACAATCGAAAGAGTGGCAGCACTCAAAAGACAAAGATAATACTAATCGACACGATGCAAGGGTAGGTCACTACCTAGTATTCCAAGCAAACCCTGCTGACATCTGAGCAGATTCCGAAGATGCTAACCCAAAAGATAGATATATGACTTGCAAAGGACTCTGCAACTGTCCCTTTGTGATTATCTCAGGCACACCGGCTTTGTCATTGCCGACTTCGAATTATGTGATGCTCAGCGGATATTGCATAATGGCATGTCAGTGACACTCCATTCCATTCATCGAGTCTGCCAGACGTAGCTGCAGTCTTGACTGGGTTCTTATCAGAATCGACGATGACTCAAAGGTAGGAGGATACTTGCATTTTAAGACTCGAGAACGATTTCTAAATTATAATAGCTGGATAATTGCATGGTATGCGAAGTGGACCTGCTCTCCATGTAGAAAAAGAGGAGTCTTCCACCCGGGTGTGCGACAGAATCTATCCGAGCCTTACGTTTCGCTACCGTTGTCATGAAGGAGTATTATGACTATTATGACAAGAAGCATAAGACGATCGCCTTTCAGCCAGGTGACAAGGTCTTGCTCCCTTCCCCGATACGGCCCAAGAAATCTTCTAGCCAATACGCTGGCCCGTTTACGTTCAATGCAGAATTGGACGACTGGCATATGAGCTGGATTTCCCTGGCTGACTGATAGCAAACCTCCCGCAACATTCTGCCGTTGAAGCAAAACACAGCCACTGCGCCAAAACAACCTAGTTTCGGCAAGGCATATAACGCAGGATGCGATGTGGATTTCATGACTGCTTACATACGGGAGGGTTAATTAATGTTTAAACTTCAGCACCGCACTAGCAAGAGGGGTAAACATGCTGAATACCAAACTAAGAAATGCGCCAAACGTGGAGGGAATGATGCAATCACGTCAAATGATGCCAGGAAAACGCAAAAGCGTGGGCTGGGATCTATTCTCTGCACGGTTAGCTCCTGCATACTCCTTCCTCATCAGGCATAGCATAGCAACGCTTGTCCGTCGTACGCTGTACGCTGTACGCTGTGCGCTGTGCTGTCCGAAACGCATCAATTCCAGACCACAGTGAGGCTGCAACGGTGTCGGGACTCAGGATTCGGTATGTAATGGATATCACCGCGACGGCGATCATTGTAGGCGAATAACAGGGGGAGTGGGATTGGGTTCCGTGGATGCAACCATTCAACGGCAGATTCATAGAAGCCCAGCATGACGCAGAAACAGAGGTTTATCCATCACGAACAATGAAGCTGCATGAATCGGTTGCTGCTCGTCTCTTTTCTATTTACAAGGTCATTGAAAGCAGCCGAGTGCGCGCAAGCGGAAAACTTGAATGGTGAAGTTAGTAAATCAAATTAGTAAGCAATAAGCATAATCAAAAACGCAGCCAATCAGGATGTCGCGTTGACAGCGCGGGAACCGCGCGAATGGCACCTGCAGCTAGCTGGAAAGTCTATTTGCAGCGTCCAATCAGAGGCAGCCAGTGGTGTTACTGCTGGCGCCCCTTTTTTTCCCGACGGTGCAAACACGCCAAACATCGGATGGCTTCCCGGCAGGAAGGGGCGATTCCCGCGTAGAAAGGAGGAATGGCAAGGGAAAAGGCGTATATTATTATCCTGGCGGACCGTTCGGACGAGCGCTCCGGGGATGGCAAGGCAGGAAAGGTGGTGACGCTCACCCAGAAACACTCTCTGTCGTGCCGACGATCGGAGAGGCAGCCGTGAGTTTGCGGTTATGTCAGCCCACAGTCACTCTGACGAGGGAATGCGCTGTAGATTGATGCAAAGCGAAGGTGCAAAGAGGACGATTTCCAGAAGGAAACCCAGTAGGCTGGATTCCAAGCAATAAGAAGAAGAATAGTCATATTTCTTTTTCTTTCATCCGGAGTGAAAATGTGGTGACTGTCGCTGTTAGTCATTAATAATTGCTCGCCGACCTCGCCCCTCGCGAATAATCAGTCTCCCCACCGTGAAAGACCTCAAAAACTCCACCGTCCCCTCCTCGACTCTCGCCGTCGCTTCTCGACTCGTCTCCCGCCGTTTCCCCTTCCACTCTCGTCGACCCAACCGCCTCTGCGAAAAAAGTCCATTGCGAGCCTGGAGACACGGCATTGTCCACGCATCCAACGGACACTGCGTCCGACACCGCGTCCACTCACTCTGGAGAGAATCGGACAACCTACCGTTCCGCGGACGCCGGCACGCTAGGCCTGTCGAGACGACGTCGATTCCAACTCTCCATACGGACGGAATTTGAGCCATCCTCCCAACTCTACCGGTGACGTCGAATCCCGGCATCCAGGGTCCTACGCAGCGTCGAATCACGCACATCCGCGACCATGTCTATATACAACGGGCGTCGAGCGCCCAACTTCTCGCAGTACCTCGAAGACCTAAACGCTATCCCGTCACCCTACGACCAGGCGCTGCAGCAGCAACAGCAGGATTCCTTCAATGTCGATGCGGAGCTTGCCCTCTTCACCAACACCGAGTTCTTCGATTTCGATAAGTTCGGCGACCTGAACCTGCCTACATTCGATGGCGTGGAGGACAGCTCTATCCCGAGGGACTCCACCAGCACAGAACAGAATCCCGATGTCAAGTTTCTGGACCTGCTCAACGGTAAGTGTGGTTTTCTGGGGTTTCCGTCGATTTTCTATACATTGAAGACCTCTTTTCACCCGGCCTGGAACCATTTTGTCACATGCAGCAGCGAGACACTGCGGCGAGACACGTCCAGCTGCATCATGGACAGAGCTCTTTCCCTGCCCAGCGCTTTGTCCTCCCCGCTGCAGCTGCTATCAATTGCTTTTTCCATGCATAAAATTCCCTGCATTCCCCCCCTCTGATCAGCGCCCTCCTATTGGCCCGCATAGGCGCGAGCCGGAGGGCCTATTACGCCATGACACGTGACCGTCCTCTTCGCGTTGCATCGAAGAGCAACACAGAACACTCCTCTCTGGCTGCTGCCCCTGCCCATTGCCTGCTGCTTTGTGTTCCTTGGCCGACGAGATCGAGGTTCTGCTTGGTGTGCTCTACTGGACTATGTCTGAATCCGTTCTAACTGCCTCTTCTGACAGACGGCTTGGGCGACATTCCTGATTGCCCCACTCCTAATTTCAACACCGCCAACCCTTCCCAGACCATGCAGATGCATCACGCCCCCTTCGACTCTCTCCCGCAACTTCCCAACCCGGCTCTGAGTGTCCCTGCTCCGAGTCAACCCTCGCCGATTACCGCCCAGCCGTCCGCGGCTCCGACTGCAGCTCCGGCTCGTCAGGCCTCCACTCCGGCCCCTGGTTCCGGGCGCAAGCCATCGACCCGGAAGACAGGTCCGTTGTCCGTTGAAGAAGCTGCCCGGATCGCTGCCGAAGAGGACAAGCGTCGTCGAAACACCGCAGCCAGCGCTCGCTTCCGGGTAAAGAAGAAGCTCCGGGAGCAAGCGTTGGAACGAACCGTCAAGGAGACCACCGAGAAGAACAACGCGCTGGAGGCTCGTGTCTCGCAGCTGGAATTGGAGAACCGGTGGCTGAAGAACCTGATCACAGAGAAGAACGGAGGTGATACCGCGGAGGGAATCCAACAGTCCGAGACGGAAATTGCCGAGATGTTCAAGAAGTTCCTGGCCTCACAGAAGCTGGAGGACGAGCGAAGAGCCCTCGAATCTAAGATTGGAGTTGGTACTATCTGAAGTGGATGATGAATTTAATTTTCCTTTGTCAGGGTGGTTTTTTTGGCCTTTTTTTTCCTTTTCTTTTTCTTTTTCTCTTTCTCATATTTCATTGTCTATCTTCATGGTTCATTCAGGCAAAGGGATAACACACAAGACCCTTTGAGCCATTTTATTTCGCCATGTTCATACTCTATGCTGGTTTATTGGGTATTTGATTTCTGCTATCATCTCGCTTTCCCTTCACCTGGGGGCTGCCGTTTGATAGGATGGGGATGACGCTGGACAGATTGGGAGGAAAATGAGTCCATGAATCATGAGGTCGATGTTTTATGGAGCAGCAGGTATCTAAAAGGAACAAAGGTTACGTTATGGTATCTATGCCGCGTGGCTGCAGTTATTAGTTTGTCCCGGTAGAAAGGCAGATTCTTGTCACTGCATAAAGGCAGGCCTTACGCCTTGCCTTGTCTACAGACTGAAGATGTATATATAGCCATGCAACCTGGATTGGTCTCCGGAAGACCAGACATCCACATCTACCAAGATGGCCTTCCCAGGAGGCAAGTACACGCATACCTACCCGGATAGATGGGCCGAACTAAAATAATGATACATACAGCCGAAGCCACAGCAAACAAGAAAACCAAACGAAGAGCCCGAACGCGAGCCAGGGCAAAAGCAAGAGCAAGAGCAAGAGCAAGAGCCGCAGCCGCAGCCGCAGCCCAGGCTCAGGCTCAGGCCCAAACCGAACCACCACCACAGACCCCAGAAGAAGGAAAAGACAAAGGCGAAGACAGCAAAGAAGAGGATTCCTTCGACCCCCAAACAGGAGCCAGATTAACAGAAGAACACAAGCCCCTAACCCGCGAACTGCGCCACGTAGCCCGCGCCTCCATGCCACCCGAGTTCGCGGACGCCAAGAAGATCGTCCGGGAACATATGCAGCTGTTCCTTGGAGAGATTCAGCGCATGGTCAAGTTGGCGCGGCTGATGCTTTGGCTTGTTTTGTTTGTGTTGCTTGGGACGGTTTATTTATACAAGGGTTGCTCATTTTTGGTCTGCTGTTTTGCTTGTGTGCTGAGTTCTTCTGGGGTTTATTGATTGATCAAGACAGTTCGAAAAACGAGGTCTTCCTTCTGCCGGAATACTAATCAGTCACTGTCGTGTTGTGATGCTTAGACCGAGAACAAAGACATCCTTGGATATCTCCTCCATTAACGAACCCGGTCAAGTAGCTGTCACAGGCAGCCGTGAACCAGGGCATCCTCCATCATCTCCTCCAACACCCGCATCGCCGTCTCCTCGCTCCCCACCGCAACAAAAATATGATCATGAAAATAGCCACTGACAACAGTCGTGCTGATGCTCCTCTCCGCAAACCGATTCGTAATGGCAGCCAGCAGCCCGACCGCCTCCAGACTAGAATGCACCGTCAACGACAGCTTCTTGCACGGGAAGACGTAGTCGGCGCACCCGAATCCGTGCGACTCGGCGAGTGTCTTTGATGCGATGATTGTGAGGCCCTCTGGTTCGCGGAAGAGCATTTCTGGCTGCAGGGAGTGCAGGGGGAGAGTGGGTTTCATTGTTGCCAGGAGGGCTTGGAGGCTGCGTTCGCCGGATCCAGGCATGTTGGTTTGGCTTTCGGGATAGATATAGAGTATAGAGGAGTCATGATAGACTGATGCTGGAGTAGTTGAAGGGGTTTATATAGTTCTAGTTACAATTAACCATCCGTGGATACGAGCAAAATAGGCAGGCCGGAGGAGAATGCGTACAAGCAGACAGAATTTAAAACTTGGATAAAAAAGCCCTATTGTAGTTCTGCAACAACGATAATTACAGCCCCAAACAGTAACAAAGGCCTATTTCATATATCAATAAGCCATTACCCTCGAGCTGGCTGATAGTTGGAATAGTACTCACCACATCCAAACCCTCTCACACAAGAAAATGAACAAAAACAGCGCCGCCATCAAGGTCTTCTCAGTATGGGAATTATTCGAGCCCATTCTTCTCCTTCGGGACATGCGGACTCTCCTCCTCTCCCAGCGAGTCTGCCGTATATGGAGAGAGACAATCAGAGAGTCCCGGCCGATCCAGCGAGCCCTATACTTCGAGATCGACGAGACCCCATACTGCCGAACCAAGGATCGCCCATCTACCGACAAAACCCTCTCACTGAAGAAATCACTTGGCCCATCATGCTTGCCTATACAGACTCCGGAAGGACCGTCATCACCGATGGATTTCCGGAAGCTCACTCAAAAGACCGCCAGCTGGCGACGGATGCTACTTACGCAACCCCCGGACGCTACAATTGGAATATGCTTTATTGCCATGGATGATGGTAACGTTGAGCTGCTCAGATGGGGGTGGGAAGCCAAATTAACACCTGGCCCTTTGTGCCTAAACGCGATTGAGTTCCTAGTTATGGACGCATCGTTTCATCCCTCCCATGAGACATGCGTATTCTTCGATGAAGGCTGGATGAACAGATACCCTTCACGTGACAAACCATCGAAGGCTATGCTACCATCGAACCATCCGAGCAATTGTTTTCTAGTTATCCTCGGTCCTCCTGCCCATGATATAAGCCCCGGGCTCTCTCCTCAATATTTAGGCCAAAGTGGACTGTTTGGTTTATTAAGGGAACTGGAAGGACCGGGTAACGGTGCCACCAGCGGTATAATAAGCCTGTCTTTGGTTCGAGGTTGGCCCTTACATTGACGGTGTCGTTCGTCTAGCTAGCAGAATATGGAGATATATGAAGAGGAAATATGTAAAAAGGTATAGATCTGAACTTTCAGTGAAGGAGTCAATCCAGAGGTGAAGGGATTGTTCCAAGTTAGGGTTCGGAAGCCATGTCTTGGAAGTTCGTGCACGAGTCAAGTTGGAATTTTACTTTGCATTTTCTTACCAGAGAAAACTCCTTGGGTCACAAAAAGTCCTGCTTCCTTGCCATCCTCCCAGCATTCGCACTGCCATACACCTTCTGCGGCCGAGCATTCCTAGCAGATGATGCAAACTGGCACCACACCGGCACCACACCATCAATCACCCGTATGTCCGTCCCAACAGCCTCTTCCACAGCAGCCTTCAGCTTTGTCATGGGCACAAGCAGGGGGAGAGGAAGAATGGCTCTACAGTGACAGATATGGCCCCGCTCCGACAGGGTCACTACTGCATCGGATGGCATCCTGTGAACCAGCTACACCCAGACATATTGCAACTCAGGGCCAATGCCTGAGTCTATCTGCCCTATTTGCTCCATTTGCTCCATTTGCTCCATTTGTTTCATTTGTTCCATTTGTTCTGTTTGATGCCGGCTCGCCTATTTCCTTGTACACAAAGCCGTCATCTCTCGAAATACCTCCTGTTCCCCTCCGAGGAATTCTTCGTGTACCTACCATACAGTGAATTCTACATTCAAACATTTACAATGACAAAAGAGTCTACGTCTATTATTGCCCGAGCCTAGCAGTACCCCAGAGAATATCATACAAAACACGTTGTCCCAATCCCAAATTTTATCATTGAATAGTACAGGTATAATACAACCCCCCTCCCCCCAGAGCCAGTCTATTTAATCCACCCCTTAGGTCCACCCCAAGTACCCTTCACCATGTAGTTGAAGTACACCCACGGGAAAAATTCTCTCTTGAGCCAGTAGAACGGACGTTGAGGAACAGCCTGGTCGATTCCGAAGCGCGCGAATGTCTCCTTGGGAACACCGCCGTACTTGAACTCGGCAAGCATGACCTTTCCGTACTCGGTCAGGAGCGGACACGAGGTATATCCATCGTAAATGGAGTCGGGCTTCTTGCCCTCCATTGACTGCAGCAGGTTGTGTACGAGAACCGGGGCTTCCGCCGTGACGGCCGCCGCCGTCTTGGAGGTGGGTAGACTAGAAGCATCGCCGGCGGACCAGACATTGGGGTATTTCTTGTGCTGAGTCGTGCCGTTGTCGACATCGACGAAACCGGCCGCGTCGGCCAAGGCACTCTCCTTGACGAATGTATAGGGGCCCATCTTGGGCACGACGTGTAGCAGGTCAAAGTGTCTCTTGACCTTGTTCTGACCGTCGGGACGAGCGAAGACAGCCGTGTTACCCTCGATGGCGACGAGGTCGTGCTGGAACAGACCCTCCACGCCTCGTTCCTTGCGCAGCTCCTCGAGCTTGGCGCTGTACTTGGGCACGCCGAACATGGTAGGCAGGCCCGTGGCGAAAGTGATATCGATGGGTGAGTTGGCGCGGTCGTCGGCATTGTACCGACCGATGCGCTTCCAGTGGTCCAGTGCGAGCCACATGACTTTCTGCGGAGCGCCTGCGCATTTGAGCACGCCGGCGGGTTGAGTGAAGATGGCCTCGCCCTGGCCGAGTCGGTCGATGGTCCTGAAGACCTTGTCGCAGTAGTCGTAGCCGTAGATGGATGAGACGAGAGAGTCCGGGTTGTCCAGAGCCTGGCGCAGGCCCGCGATGCTGTCGAAGTTGACGCTGATGCCAGGCACAACGACGAGCTGCTCGTAGCCGAGCCTGTCGCCGTTGGCCAGCGTGACCTGGTTCGCTTCGGGGGAGAAAGATCCCACGGCTTCATTGTAAAACTTGAACCGGGGGCTGATCAGGCTCTGCATCGGCTTTCGCAATTCTTCTTTCTTCTTGAGACCGCCGCCGACCAGAGTCCAGCCGGGCTGGTAGTGGTGCCATTTGGCCGGATCAACGATCGCAATGTCATCCTGGACAAACCTGCCCGATCGAAGCAATTGGTGGCTGATGGATAGACCTGCTGAGCCGCCACCGACCACTACGACTTTGTGGTCGCGAGACACAGCGCTCGCCGGTGATGTTGTTGCGAAGTTCCTCTGTGCAGCGACGGCCGAACGCCGCGCGACACCAGCTGCCGACGAAGCACGGCTGCAAAACATGCCTGGCATCGATTGATGAAAATAAGAATAACCTAGTTCAGGTCTGCCAGAGAGAAGAACAAGAGAGTTCTAACGGTGAAGGTCGAAGTTCTCCGTCGCCGGGGATCCTTGTTAAATTATTATTAATTAATGAATGAGGTGATTAATCGGGCCGTCTCGATCGCCGATTGAAATACAAAGAATCAAAGTGGACTCGCCGATGATTTATTCTACTGTTTGACATCATCGTTTCTGCTCTATTTTATGCCAGGGAACTTGCGTGGAATCGGCGATTGTGCGGCCACCATGACGCCCTCCAGCATGCTTTTAAGCACGCCTTATTCCATCCTTTCTTTCCTCGACAATTGCTGCTATTCCCGCTTCCAGCCATGAAGTCCCTTCGTCCTCACCTTATCACCGGCAACCGCAATGCTTTGCGGGCAACAACGGCCGACCTGCTCTGGACGCCGACCACCGCCATCCCAGCCCCAACGCTCCGTAGGCTAAGCATGGGGCCTTGGAATGGGGCTGCATACAGTCCTCAGGGACGCTGTTCACGAAGATCACAGATCTGTCCGCGTACATCTCCCGTTCGTCAAGCCCAGACGCCCCGGGGCGTCAGCAGAGCTCAGGCCCCATACAGCACCGAAGCTGCTCCTGTCGCTGGGAAGCCGGTCGTTCACGACGCGTTTGAAAGCCAAACGGGCACATGGCAGTATGTGGTCGCGGATCCGTCGACATCCGCCGCGGTTATCATTGACCCGGTGTTGGACTACGATCCGGCCACCCAGGTCGTCGCCACGCACTCGGCCGACTCGCTACTCGCATTGGTCAAGGAAAAGGGCTACAGGGTCGACATGATCCTCGAGACGCATGCTCATGCGGACCATTTGACTTCATCGTCGTACCTTCAGAGCCGCCTCGCCCAGGAACAAGGCCAGAAACCCGCCATCGGCATTGGGAAGCGCATCGGGCAGGTGCAAAAAGTCTTTGGCCAGAGATACGGGATCCCGGCAGAGGAATACGTTGGCGTCTTTGACAAGCTCTTTGACGATGAAGAGGTATTTGACGTTGGTACAATTCGAGCCACCGCGATGCACCTTCCCGGGCACACACCAGACCATTTAGGATACAGGATCGGAGGTAAGGATTGCTTCCTGTACTCCCTGCGGTTGACTGTTGCTGGGCTGACAGCCACCCCAGACAATGTATTCTGTGGCGACTCCCTCTTCCACCCAGACATCGGCACGGCACGCTGCGATTTCCCCGGCGGCAGTGCAAGGGATCTCTTCATCTCTGGCCGCAAGCTCCTCAGCCTCCCCGGACATGTAAAGATCTGGACGGGCCATGACTATCCTCCGGACGGACGTGATGCTCCTGTTCCCTGGATGACGGTCCAGGACCACAGGATACTGAACAAATTTCTCAAAGATAACGTCGGCGAGGAGGAGTTTGTGGCTCTACGGAAGGAACGCGACTCGCAGCTCGGAGAGCCGAGATTGCTTCATCAGTCCCTGCAGGTGAATATCCGCGCTGGAAGGCTTCCTAAGCCGACGGAGGGGGGCTTCCGATTTCTTCATCTTCCGTTGAAGTTGAAGGGGGTGAAATGGTAGGTGAATTAGAAATATGGATGGTATGGCAGCGTTACATACTCTCCCTCGTAAAAGTATAAGCATGGCGCAGTCGGACCGCCCTTACGCTCCGTGCCATGCCACTATATAGGGTTTTATACTCATACCAATGTTTCCCCATGGCCCAAGCGCGTGCTTTAATTGCTGCTAAGGTTGTATGAGCAGCCCGAGGAAATGATTCTTGCTATACACCTCATATAGAATTTCGGTTTGCTATTCCGCTGCCTGACGCCAAAAACAGCGGCTTTTCAGCAACTATCATCTGCCGCGCACCGCCAACACAATCCTTAGGCAACATCATGGCTTTCGTTGTTTGCAACACCATTTGCTTCCTCATTCCACAAGGGCACTGAGAATGGCCTCCCCAGCATCCCACCAGCTGAGGGCTAGCTGGAATCTAGCCGCCATGGTTAAAAGGCCCAGTTCCAACGCCTCATTCAACTTTTCTTTCCATCTGGTTGACACCCAAGTCATCAGGATCAGCTCTTCCTTCATTCTTCACTGTCTTTTCTATTTTACCAGGGTCTATCACTACCTCAGACCTCTCGACAGCTTTGCCCTACGGTTAGCATAGGTCTTCAGCCACTCCTCTTCAAAGACAGATGGTCATGGGCTACGCCCAGGCATATATGGCAGCTCAGGTCCAACGCCTGAGCACCCTACCTGCCCTATTTGTACCATTTGTTCTGTTTGTTCTGTTTGTTGCTGGCATGCCGTTGTCTCTCTTCTTCCTCCCAAGAAATCCTTCCTGTACCTAGTACCAGAATGAATTTTATATTCAACCCCTACCCAGATCAATATGGAGCCTACCAGCTTCACGTCGATCCTTTCTTCTCTTCCCTCTTCTCCATGCTTGAAGTTCTCATCGATAGCTGCCTAAATCTCACTGAGGTAGGGTTGTGGGGAAGGCTGCAGAATATTTACTGATCCCTTACCAACTGGCAGATCAGAAGATCCCTGAAGCTATGCACTCCAAGGTTCATTTTCTAGAGACTATGACGGCAGAAGATGAGCTACTGGTTCGATCAGTTCATCCGTCTCCAAGAAGCGCTGACGAAGTTTTTGTTGTCTCAGAACACCAATCTGGCCGGCTTCCTGGCTCGTACCTGCAAGGGAAGCTAACAAAGTCCATCGCACGCATGCAGGCGGTTGAGAGATTCACATCATACCACACGATGCAATGCCGCCATTGGGTGTCATATCTTGACGCATGCCCAAGGTTGTGGCCATCGACGCCCCCAATGCACCCTGACCGAATTAGACCAGTATTTTGAAACCTTTCTCAGTGACCACTGGGCTAATACCGGCGCTTGTTCTGGTTCTTCCTATACTCACACTGTCACTCTCCACGATGAGAGTGTCAGAAGTATGGAAGTCTGGCTTCGACGTTTTCATTCTGCTCTTGACGCAGTGCGTCTGGACTCCATTTCTTTCCGCGGATATATGGCCTATCATCATGGCGAGCGATAAGTACGACTTTGCTCATGCGGAGCTGCAGGTCTACTTTCATTGAAGTGCTAAAATGGAATTATCTTTTCTGGGAGTTGTACATACCCCAACTGCAGTGCATGGCACGTGACTCCGCTGTAATGTCTTAGGGTTCAGTCGAGGAAGTCAAACCAGACTGTTTATATGCAGAGGAAACCGTCAGAAATCTAGAAGTTCCTAGTCTTGTTTTAATGTATTAAATAATGCATGGGCGAATAGTCTGTTTTGTATCTCCTAAATACATGCGTATGCCTCCTACTCCATTCGACTTCCACGTCCACTTACATGCATTACCATATAATAATTAGCGACAATCTAGCATGCCTAACTAAAACTTACCTGACAGGCATTAAAATGAAACTGCCTACTCAGTCAAAAGTCAGATACCAGATGTAGTCTCCTGCTGGACTAAGACTCCATGCTCCAACATTCCAGTAGTCATTCCCTGTTGCAGCAAGTAACCGAAGCTACCGCTATAGAAACACCGTCGTCATCAGCAAACTAACGAAAACCAGCGTGCCCAACGGCAAGAAATGGTAGGTAGTAAGGTGATGAACATGGCCGTGACGAGTAAACAACTCCGAATTTTTCTCCTGCGGAGACGATGATTTGTCTCCATCCGTAGGATCCTGCACAGACACTGACGCCCGCGGGGGATAATGAGGTGGGTTTAGTATATACGCCACAGGTACCCAGTGGTTCGTCACTGTCAGGTAGCATAGATGGAGTAATGGTGGCCAGGCCAGGGAAGTCAGGAGGCGTGTGGCTAGGGTTTCGCTTTTGGGATTGTCGGGAGGGGCTAAAGTCAATGCGTAGAGCGTAGCTCCTACGGTAGCGATGAGGAGGAGGACGCTCTGTACGACACTGCCCTGTCGCAGGTTCCGGTAGAGCTTTTTGTAGAAAGGGGGGATGGTGAGGTGGTTCCATGAATTGGCCGTGCTGCCTGTAACGAAGGATCCTTTGGGTTTGTTTGAGAAGAAATGGAATCGGATGATGGCGTATAGGTGCGCTGGAAAATTCAGACATAAATGAGTTAGCTAATAATTCCTCGTTGAAATATGACTTAGAAGCAAGCATCTTACAAGGCGCCATCCAGCTATTTTCAAGATGAACAAACGGCGACCCTCGAATGCCCGCATGCGCATTCTGCAGCCACCCATATATCCACATCATGGCAATCTGCAAAAGAGCCAGAATCACCTGTACCTTCACTAAAAGCGGCGACGTAGCAGGGATAAGCTGTCCTGAGGTCAAAAGCAGAGGAACAGCCGCATAGCCGAGCATGTTTCCAACCAGCGCTAAAACCATGAAGAATCCCCCGCGAGCGATACTCCACTGAATGTGTCGCGGAAGCGTCTTACTTGTCGGAGGACGTAAAGCAAAAACCTGCTGCGAGTGTCCGATATACCATCTATTCCTCTGAGCAATATGCCCCTCCAGAGATGCGGGGACGAGCCCGAACTGCAACGGCTCCTGTACCTGGACACAGCGATGTCCCAGCCCGTGCAAGATCAGAGAGAGCTGCCAATCCTCCGAGAAGGAGAAAGTAGGATATCCGCCTGCATCATCGACAATAGTCTTACGTCGGAATACTGCACCGGAGCCTGCATCAATCGCACACCCGCGAAGATCAAGCTCTGCATTCTGACACGCATAGAAGTGCAGCCGTGATTGAGACAACGGGTCCCCGGCAGGCAAGTTATCGAAATACTGCCGTGTCGTAACCAGCGACGCCTGTGGGTTCTGCAGCAAATGGGGCAGCGTCGCTCTTAGGAATTCCGGCTGTGGAATCGAGTCTGCGTCTAGAATGGCGCAGTAATCCGGCTGAACCTTTCCCTTCCCCTGTACGTCGAACAGAGCGTAGTTCAAGTTCCCGGCTTTGGCGAATACTCGACCGGACTGCTTCCCACGCGAGTGGTAGAAAAGATGAGGCCATTTCGAGCGAAGACCATTGACAGCACGGTGAAGTTCGCTGGATTCACCATCATCCAGCACCAGGACCCTGAAAGATGACACCGGGTAGTCCAGTGTACAGGCAGCTCGCACGGTGTCCAGGATGACTTCAACCGGTTCACCACAGCATGGAAGCAGGATGTCCACTCGCGGAAGGTTTTCATTCCCACGCAATCGTAGCCTCTTCCGGGGAGTACACTGTGGTCCCCCTCCGGCTGCAACGGTGAGAAGCTGATCACAACGGGACAGGCCTACAGATTTCAATCGGCGTTAATGAAGATTGTCTGTCTACATATTGTAGAGAAGCGATTCCACCAGAATTGAAATGAACCTACGACAAAAGATGCCCTCGACAAGGAGCATCGCCCACATCTGCCATGTTTGTTGCTGTCTGGCGGACAGGATCAGGAGTAACCGGACGGTGAAATAGAGATTGAACGTCCATATTGCTGCTCGGGCCGCCCAGTAGAGGTACCGGCGGTACTTCTGTCCTGAAAGAATGCGCGAGTCCGGCGGCAGTTCCTGGATGTCGTATAAAGCACGATTATGTGCAGGGGAAATCATTTCCGGATGAAAGATTTCTGGGAGGGGAGCCGGATGATCGTCGAGTTGAAGTTGTATCTTGATCTCCTTGAACCCTCTCTCGGGTGACGGACAACGACAACGTCTACTTGCCTCTACTACCTGCTAAAACATCAGGGGATTCGACTGAGGAAACGGCGCGATCTGCTCAAGAAATAGGCCACGCCAAGTTCAGGATGTCCGGAACCCGGATGCCCCTCTAGGCCCCTCTATATCCCCTAAAAATAGATCCGTGCACACTGATCTTTGCGTTTCTAGAATTTACCATTTGAGGATTCTCTCGTCAGGGAATCTGCAGGCTGCACAAGGTGGTCTAGAGCTGCGGCTAAAGCATATGTACGAGTTGTTTGCGATGAAGTGCAATGAAGCAGCCAGAAAGGAGAGGGAAAGAGAGAGAGAGAGAGAGGGTACGGAGTAAAGTGAAGTTTTTGCAAGACAGGATATGCCCTGTATTGCCATAGTTCCATAATGAGGAGCGTTCTGGAAGAACTAGGATTATGGACCATGATCAGCAGGGAACTCGCAGTCTATTGAATGTGGTCCCAGATCTCCAAAGCTCCAGTTGGCGTGTGGCTGTTGAATGTCACCGAGATCATGAATCCTTCTGTGGTTCATATCCACAAACGTTTATCATCCCCATCATCAAGCCCCGTCCTCATTCCCACATGTTCAGTGGAAAGAGCATAGCCTAGTGTTGATTGGAAATGTTTTGCGATGGTCAGCAGGGCCAATGGTGACAATTGTCGTATTGACAGCAGATGAGAGTGACGGTGCAAAGGAGACTTCTTGATCTGCCCCTGACTTTCCTCTAGCATCAAGACCTCGCCTGGAATGGTGATCTTGAACCGTGAAGAGTATTGTTTTTCGTCCTGCTGCATTCAGAGTCAATCTTCAGCATCGTCTTTTGCTTAAATAGAGGATGAAATAGGTTCACGATCTGCATATGCTCCATCTCAACGATTCTCCTTGTCTATCAACATCCTCTTATATAGATCAAACTCGAAGGGAAGCGATTTCAGTAATCGATAGGGTATCTTGTCGGCATACAAAAAGGCGCTGCGTGTGACTGAAAAGCAGCAGGTGGACGTTTCCAGCCAAGCTCCAAAGAGGCAAGGAATCAGAGAGATACCACAGGGACCTGGTGTCAGTATCTCATCGTCGGGTAATCCTATACCATTACCCGTCTTCTTGACTTTCGATAATATCCATTTCAATCCATTCGAGTAGCTCCAGCGATGGAACAAAGAAAGGACAGTTCTTGACAAGAGCGTCAACCAATTCTGTATTTTGCTCGGAGGGACGAGGCCGCAAGTCTAGAGACTCAAGCTGTTTGCAGTCTGCGAGCCTCTCTAATAAGCATTGCCCAACTTCCCAACTGCGGATGGCCACTCTCTTGAGAGTTGGCGCGTGTCGATAAACTAGATAATCTAGTGCCTCGTCCATTCTTGGATCCCACACGCCCCCTCGCACGCTGCGGTCGAATTCCTCTATGACCAGTATCTCAAGAGTCGAGCAGCCAGGCCCAGAAGGCCATCCGTATGCTAAGGCCTCTAGCTCATTGATTCCCATTTCCTGTCCCTTGCCTAGCTCAAGATGTCTTAGTTGGATCTTTCGATGCTGGTCATCTAGTGAGGATAAATGACGAAGTTCCTGGACCCAGTAACAGACCCCGTGAAGGCGGCCATCACCCAGACAAAGAACTTCCAAATTCGCCCCGAACAACCTGAACGCCTCCGCTAACTCATGCTCTGGTATCATGTTTGCGGCGTGGATTCGTAACTCCTTCAAGTTAGTACAGCGACGTGCAATGTCAAGCATTTCTCCAGGATCCAAAGCCACTTCTTGGCCGAGACAGAGGGAATTGAGACGAGGACCAAGCGACGGTCGGATCGTAGCCCAGCACCATGATGCATCTGACAAAATACTGAGCCTGGACAGGTTGGAGATCGCTTCAGAAAAGGGGAAAGGAACCCGAAGAACTGTCGTCCATTCGCTTCCCGGAAGAGGTGTTTGCCAAACAATCTGGCCCGAAGTAGTTTCTTGTATTACCTCAAACTCCTGCTCTCCCGGAGGATCGAACGTTTCCAGCTGCAACGTTCGCAGGTTGGGAAGGAGAGATAGAATCCGAGAAAGAGATGATACGTCTTTCTGCCCAATATAATCTCTCTTGTTGGTATCTTTACAACGGTAGAGGGTAAGTTGGGTGACGGAGGCAGAAAGAGAGGGATTTATACAAAGCTCTTCCATAAGAAAGACGTTTTCGCCACCAAATGACCATAGGAGATTGAGACTGTGCACTTTTGAGGCCAGCTGAGGGTATAGAAGCGCTACATAGCCGAACCTGAATTGACGCAAAGGGCAGTCCAAAGGCCGTGGATCAAACCATAAATGTGGCAGAGCGATCTCTCTCCACGACCTAGAAACTAGGGAAAGGTTGTGCAGGCACTTCCGTAGTGCCTGGGAGTCCAATTGTGAGCAGATTATATGGTCCAGTATTTCAAGGCAGAGCTCTGGCGGAAGCTGAGGGGCATTGGTATTAGCAATGCTAGACCGGGTAGAACCAGAGTCGATATCATCCTCAACTGGTGCAGAGCTCGAGCTTAGTGGATGCCAGCTCAAAAGATCATCTTTTAGCCTATCCAGCGCTCCAAGAGCTGCACGGGTCTCGATTGCTGTCGTTGACAATGCAGGGTCTGAGATGACTTAGAACCTAAAGGATTGCAAGAGGTCGAAGGTACAGCGTACATTTTTCAAGTGCACAATGTACTGTGTGCACAGTTGAGACGATTAGTGAAATTGGCGGATCCATGAATTCCAGCAATCGATTGATGTAGAGAGTAACATTGAGTAGCTGCTTCAACAGCCGCGACTGTCCAGTAGGATCCTTCAATACCGTCGTGGCGAGCTGCAACCAGTGCTGTATAATCACTGGGTCTGTAACTACGCGCCTCGCAGGGACATCATCGGGTTTCGAATGGAAATCAAACATGGTTTGGCTTCAGTGTAAAAATAAAAATGAGATGGATAAAAGAAACTGGATGTTGGCAGCTGATGAAAATGAGGCTCAATTGATGTAATCACGTGGATCTCCTGGCCACTGTATACTTGAATGGCTGGGATAGAATTTGGCATGGAACTTACATGTTTGAGCTGAATACGATGCTGAGACCATATTCGTGTATACAGGTTGAGCTCCTATCTACAAGAGCTCAGTATCTCCATGGGTCATGCAGAGAATTGCCTATTTAGGTAATCCCAGGGGGTTATCAAGGGTCCAAGTTCCATAGAGGAACAATAATTAATCAAGTTGCCATCTCCCTATTTGGAGCAGCGGATTCTGCATGCACCTTTAGACCGCAGCATACAGAAGCAACCGAAATACGAAAAGACATGAGTAGCGGGCATACCATCAATGTATACATTCGACCAGAGCATGATATCATCTTTCAATAGAGAACATAACTCTTTGAGAAGCGCCAACATGGATGTCATGGAAATAGAGAGACATGATTAAATCAAAAGGGAAAGAAAATTTGCAATTCCGTTTGTCGAGGGAAACATTTTCAACCATGATAACCGTGTCGTAAAGTGAAACAATATGCGACCATTAAAAAAAGATGATGATGGTGATGATGATGGTGAAAAGATGACCTTTGAAGGCTTCCAATCTTGCAAGCTCCCCCCGTAAAGACATAAAATCCTTCAATCCTTCATATAGCGTACCGGGGTATTCGTTTTCGACAAAATTCGTGGAATCAGCGATATCATGAACAGTAAATACAGCAGACGCGGCAGTTTAGCCAGACACCGGCTTCTCGCAGCCAATTCGGCCTAACAATGCCTTTCTATCGTTCTGGTCGCCCAACCGGACGCGTCCACGGCCTCGGGTCCGCGGCGATGCACTGGATCGCCTCCACTCCGCGCTTGAGCTGTCAGCCGTGACAGAAGTTCCATTGGACCCGTTCTTGCCGTTGATCTTGCTGTTGATATCGCTCAACTCTTCTTCCTCGTCGTCACTGCGAGGTTCTTCGGCATTTCCAGTTCGGAGGACGCCGATGGCCACGTGGATAATCATTCCAAACCAGAGAAGAGACAGCGAGTGAATGGCCAGGAGGAAGGAAAGGAAGATCCACTTGATAGTGCGATTCATACATATGGGACCATCAATGTTCAGAAATGGGTAGATAAGATGAGCCCATTTGTCCGGGTACCCGTCAGTGGTGAGCATCTCCGCCGTGGTCCCGGAATAACATCCGTACGCCATTTGGGCAGGGACGTTCTTGTAGATGGACCAGCATAACGATAAATAGAGAACATGGCGGGAGGCCAGCCAGGTAACTAACATTACAACGAAGGTGGCAGTGCAAAGTGCTTCGTGCTTCAAGTATTTCAAGATTTTGGCCAGCTGAAGAAAGATAGTCAGTCAACGGAGCCGGGGGAAACAGATGGTGCGCTATCAAGGCGAGGCATACTGGTAGCAAGAAATCCGCAACGTCCATCAGGCAGAGCACCACGTTAGAGACGTTGTAAAATCCGTATATATAAGCGGAGCCAAGAAGTGTACTAGTTATTATATGGTGAGTGAACATTTGGTAATGGTCCTTCCTCTTCTCCTCAATGTTGACCACGATGATTTGCTGCAGCCAGAAAGAAAGCTGTGCCAAGAGATACCACTTCATCGTCCCAGACATACCCCGGGCAGGCCACTGGGCCCAGATTGCCTCGAAATTAAGCCAGTACGAGGAATGAGACCAGAGGTACTGTGGTCAGATGATGTTAGTGCGGATGGAAAGGAGGGAAAAAAGGGGGCGAGCGGCCGAGAAACCCAACGACCAGGAAACAATTGGAGATGCTAACCATTCCAAATGACCAGAAAAACCCGTCGTACATGATCAGCCATCCTTGCTCCCCAAAACGGAGGGCTGCCTTCTTTTTCAAGCCCGCCTTCCGAGCAAGCGGTTGAAGAACCCACTCAATCGCAATGGCGCGCACGGCGGTAAAAGTAACAATCGAGCTGATAACAAAGTAGATATCATTCCAGCCCTGAGTGTAGAGACCCTGAGACGGCTGGTAATAGGACAATTCGAAAAAGGGGGCTGTGTACGTCGAGAGAGAAGGATAGAGGTTATGAACCGCCACCAGCATCGCAAGTATCGTCAGTGAAATGCCTAACACAAAAAATCACAAAGTCAGCTAAATACAGTCCAATTCAGTCGCTCTTCAAACGGATTGCATCTCCCGCAGAGAGCTCCATGTGGCCGGGAGGCATTAAAAGGACCAGATAACGTGTGATTCGTACCAATTTGGTTGCTAACCATCCATTCCTGGAAGGTTGCCTCCTTCCGATGCCCGTCCGATGTTGAAACGCAGACATTAATATCCGACACGGATTGCGGCTGTGGGGACGCGTTCTTCGCCATGGTCAGAGATTTGCCGGATCTTGCAGGATCCTTGCTTGACAAGGGCTATGTAGCGTTGCAAGGACGTGCAAGGAAGAGGTACAATGGATGAAAAGGAGAAGAAATCGAAGATCGAAAGAAATCCAGAGCGATGACGAGTCGCTGGTAGGCGGGCCTTTGGTTGCTCTGCACGACCCGCGGATCCGCGGTGTGGCTGATTGCAATCGGGCGGGACGCGGGAAATAAATACGGGTGAGAGGAGATGGTCTTCTAACAAACGTAATTAAAAGGAAAGAAAAAAGATTTGGCAACGCGGGGCAAGAGAGAAGCTAGACTCGAGCACAGAGGGGCGCGCAGGGTAGAAGAGAGAGCGGGGGAGAAATGAGCAACATCGCATCAAAGCAGCAAAGGAAAGCTTTCATACAACCACTGACCGCGCATACTGGCTACACACTCTCGTTGTCGTTGCGGCCTATTGGTTGCGATGCTGCAGCTCGGCGAGTCAACACGAGCATTTTGATAGATGAAGTCTATGAACAGCGTTCTTCCTACGGAGTCATACCGTACAGGTCGAAGGTTAATCATTAGCATTTGCGCTGTATACATCATATTTCTGCCATATCTTGTCAGCGCCCAAACGGTATCCTCCGTGTCACACTGGCTACGGGCGTTTCTCATCATCCGCGTTTTCCAGGCCAGCCGTAACTCCGTTGACATAGTCGCCAACAGTGGAGTTCAATTTCTCCAAATCAACGCCCCCGTGTCCAGCCATGACTCTGGAAATAGCCCGCACAACATCCTCTTCGTCCCAGACACTGGCCGGCGCCATTATCTTGGCCGGGTCACCGTCCGCGGAGACGACGGCCCGCCAGTATACATCGTCGCGGTCCTTAAGGGCCTTGTCCCGCACCACCGCATTCCGCGTGACGTTTAGTGCATGCAATTTTGCACTGGTATCTCTCAGCGATGAGGTCGTGGCCGCGATCAGTTGGTCAACCTGTTCTCGTTGCAGTGTGGGCGGGGAAAATGACAATCGGTTCGTAGCAGACATGTAGATCAACGCCGCACATACGCAGTCGAATATCGCAAAGGCCAGGGGACGCAATAATGCGACTTGATTATACAGGCTCGAGGGAGGTAGTTGACCCGCTCTTACAGCAACTGGTGCAGATTGAACCGGGTCGTATCTGACAGCGATGTAGAAGTCGACTGCAGCCACAACGAGACCTGCAACGGTAAACTTGGTACGCCACCGTGCTGCCTCCTGACCTGCAAACGGCGCGGATGTGACGAGACCGAGAATGAGCAAATGGAAGAGGTGTGGGAGCAGCGTGTTATACGGCAGATAGTACAAGAGATACGTGCTGGTGTTGTCCAGTGAGCAGAACTGGCATGATGTCAACGCATCCGCTCCAAATCTCAGGTACAACTTCCGGGCCCCAAGAGACGTAAATTTGGACCTGAGCAGATCATCTGCAGGAGTCAAAGTGCCGCCCGGCCGCAGTCGTGCTAGACGAGTGAAGATGATGTCCGTCGGTGTATTGAGGCGCGAGCGAGTCAGGGAGAAGATATTCGGGGGCGGCGCGCGCGGATTGAATGGCAGACTAAGTAGCAGGAAGAAGAGAGTAGTGGAGAAGAGAACATTCAGGGCTCGAGAGGTAATCGATGGAAGAGGACGAGGAGATGGACGTTGTGTGATTGCAGTCCGCAAGCTTCGGAGGAGGTTGATTGCTCGGGGGATCAGAACAGGCGCAAAAAAGATGAGCAGCGACTTGATGCTGCACGCAGTTAGTCAGAAGCAGTTATCGCGTGCGGGAAGAAGTAATACATACGCTGAAAACGAAATCCCAATGTCAGCCATTTTCCAGAGCCGTGGATGTCCTGAAGCATTCTGCAGAGCGGAGCTGCTGCAGCTCCAGTTCAGGAACGGAAACAGAACCAGTAACACAAAGAGCGCGGGACGGGGAGCTTGTTCCGCTCAATACTCTGCTTACCTACTATTATTATCACTACTCTCACTCATACTCCATAGACCATAGATGGATTACTAAATATTGCTAGTTACAGACTCAATTAAAGGGAGACGTTTCAGCAAACTGACACAAGAGTGGCATATCGTCGTCCCAGACTCGACAGAATGAAACAAGTGAAAAGCAAAGGATACGCTCAATTTCCCAACCGACCGACTCCATCCTGACATGCGATAGCGAGAGACATTTAAATAGTACAAGAAGTTCAAATTCATCCCAGCGAAGCTACACCGTACTCTCGCAGGGGTTTAATGAGCTCAGTCCTCGATCAAATATGCCCCGAACACATTGCTGGATGATGAGCCAGGTTAGGCACGGTGACTCCATCGTCCTTGGAGTACTTTGAGGAAGTATCGCTTTTTGCTTCATCCGGCGACGAGATCTTCAATGGCAGTCGGGCGATTCGGGTCCCGCTGCGTATAGACATCGGTCTCCGGACGGAAGAATATGAGCTATCGTTATATGTCGGTAGAGAGTCTTCCCGCTTCACGCTCAGCTGGAACGATCGATAACTGTCGGAGCGGGTGATCACTTTTTGAGGAGCGACAGCGCCGTAAATACGGACATGGCGAGCGCTGACACCGGCACTGCGGTCTGCGAAGATGAAGCTCTGAAAGACAGCGCAAAGGGCCATTAGCTTGTGCACCGGACGAGACGAAAGGCCCTTAGTCTACTTGAGAGAACAGAACTTACGGAAGCCAAGTTGATGGCACTCATGACCAATGCTAGGATTCCTGCGGAGACGATAATCCTCCAAAACGCAAGCCCAAGGCTTTCAGAGGGCCTATTGAGATCGCCCAGAACCACGACCCCGAGTATCATCATCACCGCAGCAAGAGCAACGAATCCTGATTCCTGCCCCAATAGTGGCCAGTTGCGGTCGAAGTAGCGGGTGAAGATGGGAAGCTCGGAGACGATGAGGAAAACTGATTATGGGAACACCGGTTAACACGCTGGTAACATAGGATCAGCGAGTGTCACAATACTTACTGCTGATTACGATTGTCACGGCATGAGTGACAGCTTCGAAAAAGAAAAAGGCGTTCACAGTGGATATTTTGACCAGCATCACCACGCTGGCAGCGATAATGTCAAGCAAGGCGATGATATTCATGACCCGAATGGCATTGAGAATCACGTATCCTGGGCCCGCCAGGGAATCCCTCAAGGAGAGCATTTTGAGATTTGACTTCAGATGGAAGGGAAATAGTTGTCCAGTTGCTGTCGAAGCAGGCAAAGTTCAACACCACGAAGAAAAGAGTAGACACCCAGGAAACTGCCTCGAAAGTAGATTCTGGCAATACAATGGTGCAAGCTTTATATTTTAAAGGCAAAGAAAAGAAAGAATCACAAGCTGACCAGCGGGAACACCGTCTTCGCAGAAGAAATGGCGCCGAAAGAATGGACGAAAGAGAGAAAGAAGATTGCCACGAGGTCAACTCGGGGATTAGAGTAAAGAAGAACGAGAAGAACAAGAAGAAGAACTACAAAGCGAAGGAAGACATCATGAACATAAAGAGAAAAAAGAAAAAGAATGGCATTGTCACCAAAGGGCGTCAAAAGGGTTGGGCGCCAAACAATGAAGCACAAGGTGAATGAGCTAGACAATGTGAAACCACAAAAAAGAGAACATGAAACACAAAGGGAGGCGGCTCTATTATTCAGCCATTGCATGAACTGTTATTTATCACTGCAATTCTTCTTGTTGGTCATTCACGGTTCCCCGGCGCTTCACTTGTCGCCCTTGAAGCGCCATAGAGAAGGACTGGGCAGAGGCACGGCGCATAGCCCAAATCAATTCAAACAGCCTCACAGGATATCCCAGCTCAGTTGCAGGGGAAAATTTGCCTACAGTGGCTATTATTGGGATTCAAATGGCTTGCGATGGCCGATCTCAGCCTCCAAACTCGCCTTTCTTGACGATTGGATCTGACCACATTCTCATCCTCTTTAAGCGCCAGGGTCATCCAACCCAGTTTGGGTTTTTGCATCTGCTAGGGGGAAATAAAACAAAAATTCTTCATATATCCGGACTGCGTCTTGCTGCATCGTCTTCCAGTCCGGCTAATCGGACACCGGCTCCAAAGCCAGGAAGATTATCATGGCATTCATCCAGCTTCTCTGGGAAATATCGCATTGAATCATGGTCAAAAGTACTTTTCTCGAGCCTGTTATTTTGGTTATATCCTGACACAAATCCGCGCCTAATTGAGAAACACTGTCTAAACATAGTCCAATCAATATAATGGACTACGATGCATGTTGTCTAAGCCCCGTCCGACTCAACTCAGCCTTCTGCCAACTGTACTACTTATAACAGTTATGTGTTCTGCCTGCACTCCGCAAGAGCACATCCTCCCATGCAGCCACTTTGGCATGCGCCGAAAAAGGATTCAGTGATGTCACCATGGTATGCATCCTTGTCTGGAGTTAACCCTATTTTTGGTATATTCTGTTAACGGGGTTCTAGCTTGACAACCCGAATTTCTTGCGCACACTGTTTGCAGGATATGAGCCGAATATTGAGTAAGACTCTCAATCCTTCCATATGTGCAGTAACTTGGCTGATAACAAGAACAGTATCGTCGCTGTGCACGGCCTCAACCCTAAAAACAAAGAGGACCGAGCAGGAAGTACCTAGTCATCCGGCGACAAGCCATGGTTGAGAGATTTCCTCCCAAATTAACTACCCCGAGCCAGGGTATTGCTCTTTGGATACAATTGCAACGTTGCGATTCAGTCCTCTGCGGCTGGTGTGCGGGAGCATGCGTATAATCTCTTAACAGGGCTATGGCTGGAAAGAAGGGTCGGAAAACTCATCCTGGAAATCTATAGAACCAACCTGTTGTCTACTACGAATATGAAGGTCTATTTTATTGATAAATATAGGGTCACGAAGATCGACCGATTATATTCATTGCTCATAGTCTGGTGGTATTGTGGTTAAGGAGGTATTCCATACCTGCCTTTGTCTTCATATCCTTTGTTGAACCATCCGCGTAACCAGGGCTGATCTTTCCTAGGCCCTCGTACAAGCCAGACTCAGAAAGAACTACAACTCCATCAGCCCGCGACATTTGGCATAGTATTCTTCGGCACCCCGCATCGAGGGAGTTCCTGGGCGGGTATTGGGGAAGTAATCGCAAAAGTCGTGCGAACCGCTTCCCGAGGTTCAAGCAATACATTTATGAAAGCTTTGAAGAAGGATAGTCTCTATGCCAATGAGCTCTCGGCAAATTCCCAGCAGATACAGGAGAACTACAGATACATAAATTTCATCGAGACGTTGCCATACAAGAAGATTGGACTGGTTAGTTGGATGTCCCTTCTGGTCCCTTTACGAAGCTCATCATTTTCATCAATATCAAGGTCGTCGAAAAGAGATCTGCGGCACTGGGTTCGCCCGCCTCCCGAGAAACAGTAGTCGCTTTGAATGCATCTCATAGCCAAATCTGCAGATTTGCCAGCGAAGACGATGAGGAATATCAACGTGTTTCGCAGCTGATCGCTGATCTGGCGAGTTCAGCAATAGAAGACGTTATGGAGCGGTCCCTGCCTGATAGTCCTAACTATTCAGAGTCCACTATGTTAGAGGATCATCTTGAGGCAGGCTTCTGTAAGATGAACAAAAAAAGATTAGGCTGTTGGAGAACAAACCGCTAATGAGAGAACGTGGTAGTTATGATTCCTTATTCGCGTAACCCTGGCTTCATCAACCGCAAGCCTGTCCTTCAACAACTGAACGATCATCTCACCTTGGCCGGGAACCCCCACAAGTCGTGATTGGCACTCTTCGGGCTTGGAGGTGTCGGGTGCGTCTATTTGACAACGTTTAACTGGCTGGACTGCGTGCTGACAGACCTCAGCAAATCCCAAATAGCAATAGAGTTTGCCTACCGGATTCATTCTGAACGGCCACAGACGTCCATATTTTGGATCCATGCAAGCAGTCCCAACCGTTTCCGCGAAGGATATTATAATATCATCGATGAATGCAATGTTCGTACACCAGATAGTGGAAAATGCGACAAAAGGGCCTTTGTGAAGGATTGGCTGGAGAACGAATGCAGAGAATGGCTGATGATCATTGACAATGCGAATGAAGCCTCGCTCTTCACATCTGGGAAGACACCACAGAGCAAATCGGGCGCAGCAGAATCTTCGATCTTGGATTACCTCCCTCAATGCGACCATGGAACCATTCTAATAACAACGAGGGATCGAGCGGTGGCAGTCAAATTCACAAAATGATCCTTCTCAGATATTATCGAAGTCAAGCCCATGACCGAAACAGAATCAGGGTGAACTTGTTAAACCCGTCATGGCTGGCAGTCCGTCCAATTCAGAGATCGGCAAGCTAGCTGATCTGCTTGATTACTTACCGTTAGCAATGGTACAAGCTGCAGCTTTCATTGAAGAGAACATGATAAGTGTGGGCGAGTATCTGGGGCTGTGTGAAGAGAATCATGATATCCGGATGGATCTCCTCTGTGGGATTTCGAAGCACCGGGGAGAGACTCGGAAGTCCCAAGTGCCGTGGCTACAACCTTAGCCGTTTCTATAAATCAGATCAAGGAAAAACATCCCCAGGCAATTGAAATCTCTCTTATAGCTTTCTTCGACAAGAATGATATCCCCGAGTATTTGATCAGACCCAAGTCAGGCCACCCGTTGGAATTCGCCAGGGCTTTGGGGACTCTGAAGGCATTTTCACTCATCCAGGGTAACGACAAAAGCAAAAGCTATTCCCTTCACCGACTGGTTCAGTTGGTCATACGGAAGTGGCTTCTTACTGCGGACGAATTCAAAGCAAGGGCAATCCGGGCTCTTGAAGTCGTCGACGAAGCATTTCTTGATGCAATATTTGAAAACTGGAAAACATGCGAGGTGTGCCTGCCTCATGCGGAATCAGTTCTCTGATTTATCCCCGAATTGCATGGGAAGCTGTTCAGAACGAAACTCCACATTCAAGAAGACATAGCATACTATCTCTGGACTCAGGGATATTATGACGAGGCCGAGAAGCTGGACCTAATAATACTGGAAGCAAACAAGAATGAATTCGGATTGAGGCATCCAGAGACTTTGGAAAGCATGTGTGCTCTGGCATCAACATATGAAGAACAAGGCCGATTATCAGAAGCGGAAGAACTGGACAAGCATGTACTTCGGGTCCGAAAGGAAGAGAACGGTATCAAAGACATGGGGACTTTGGTCTGCATGGGAAATCTGGCAGGAGTGTATGAAAAACAAGGTAGGTTGGATGAAGCGGAGGCTTTGACACTTGAAGTCCTGAAAAACAGGACAAAAATATTCGGCAGCAACCATGAAGCGACGATTACTAGTATGGCTAAGTCAGGGTCAATCTACTATGAAGCCGAGCAGTACCAAAAAGCAGAGGAGCTAACATTGCAAGCGTGGCACTGGCGAAAAGCGAATTTGGGTCACAGCCATAAAGATACGCTGGCCAGCGGGCATACTCTTGCTATGATCTATGATGGACGGGATGAGCTGGAAAAGGCAGCGGCGCAACATTCAGAGATGCTCGCTTTGAGAGAGGAACAACTAGGTCCCAATCACCCCGAAACATTTTGGACCAAAGTCTATCTTGCAGGCGTATATGAACGCCAACAAAAGCCAGTCGAGGCCCAGGAGCTGATTCTGGAGGTGCTAGAGCGTCAGGAAAGGTACCTCGGACCGTCTCATCCAGACACATTGGCCAGTAAATTGGCTCTTCCCGCTCATACTGGACCACTGATATATTTGATTTGGCAGAAAACCTAGGATTGAAGTGGTTCAAGAAAGGAAACGCAGGTTTGGCGCTGACCATACCAGTACGTTGGAGGCAATGAGAGACCTGGCATGGGCTTTAAAGAGTCAAGGCCGACATGCGGAAGCGATCCAGCTTATGGAAGACGTGGCATGCGCGCAGGACAGGAGCCTGTGGTTCTGATTCCGATCTTCAAGACGCAGTTGAGACGCTGAAACGATGGCATACAGAAATCGACAACTAGGCGGACTTCTCTGGGACTATACGGCGCTGTGTTGAGCGCTTGGAGGTTCTATCCGCCGTTATGTTGTGATTTCTAAATCTGTACGGGTAGGATTGGATGAGAAATGCCTTTGAGTGAATTAGAGATGCCTCTAAGCGCCCTGTGAGCGTTATTCTGTCGTTGCCGTCGTCGAGGAGATCGTAGTGCAACCTTGGCATAAATGTTCCGGGAGAAACTCACAGAAGCACCAAACCTTCATTATATATGAACTACTCCGTAGTCTGCGGTGACGGCGAATTACTACATCCGGTATAGCGCGCCTAATCTGGAAAAGCGCGTCGCTGCCGCTTGGCATCGCGGTGCGTGGTCTATATAGATGGTGTCCTCGCCCGCCTGCCTCTCCTCGTTGCTGTCCCATCCTTCGACACCGTGTCGACTCGAACCAACTTGAGCCATTTTTGCCATTGGGCCGGCCTCTCCGTCCTGGTGCACTTCGCCACCCCCTTTCACCGCAGTGAGCCGTTGCCGTTTCATGTCGCTCCTTGAACCGTCAGCTAATCGATATGTTACCCTTCAACTGAACAGGGAAACTCGATAGGATTCGATGCGGTCGCGAAAATGCGCATACGGCTTTCCCTGACTACCTACATCACAGTCATCGTGAACGACGTTTCCGGGACGGATTGGCAGAGGGTGACATGTGCTGGGTTGATTTCGTGGGCTTGGCTCCGGACATGAGAGGCTGGCAGAATGAGATTGTGATGGATCATACGATGGCAGCATCTTGGGGCCGGTCAGGTCCGCCGATGATCTTCGAGCCACTGGCTAAGCTGAGCCAAGTCATGTCTGATGCCACACGTCGTTCCGTGTGCCTCCTTCTCCAGTGGATGTTTCCCAAGGGTGCTGTGACGCATGCAGCTCGATCGCTGATGTCGTACCTCATGACGGAGGCTTACTTGATGCCGCCGTTGAAGCCCTGACATTTTCATGTACAGGATGGTCGCGCGACCGAGAGCCAGGGAGTCTCCTCTTCAGTATTGACGATATTGACCGAAAACAACACGTGGGCGCAGATCGATCAGCGGCCGATATTGACGGGCTTCCTTCGCGATCTAACTCGCTTTCAATACAGTTGGCGACCGAACGAGACTCGGTCGCGACCCACGCTGAGCGACCAGCTCAGCCGTGATGGCGGAGCAGAGTGCTGCAGGCGAGGATACGTGCCGGTGCTACGATCGGTTCATAGAGATATATCGTCTGGCCAGTCGAGATTTTTGAACCGCCATCTCTTGCTCGAGATCGATGTCTCCAACCTATCTAGACCGTAGCTAGCAATAAATCAGCGACTCCATGACATATTCTCATTTTGTGAAACATGTGAAGATCCCAATGTCTACGGATTCAGCAGAATGGGCACGCCGGGACGTGGAGGTCTGTTTGTTTAGCTGAGGATATGATCGATTCATCTGCCTGTGGTCTTCGCAGCCCCTACTTCCGTTCAAAATCTAACGCTGTGCATGCACACGAATGGGTGAGCAGGGTTGATTACTGTAAGCACTAAAGCAAGAGTAGATAACTCTTGTCCATTCATTGGTGGCTAAACTGACAGGGGTGACCTTGTCCCATGGGATGTTACCCCTCTCATGGGAAGTTCCCACCTGTCCTGGGAAGTTCTCCTCATTATATGGGAAGTTCCCACCTGTTCTGGGAAGTTCTCCCCCGAATATAGGAAGTTCCCACCTGTCCTAAGAAGTTTCCCTACACTCCAACAGAACCCTCTTCGCCCCAAGAGAAGCACCATTTCCCTAGCTGTCTTCTTCCGCCGGAAAATCTTCCGTCAAATTCAGCCCATGACCCACGAGAAGAACCGGATACGAAAGAAATGGAGGGACGCGCACAGAGAGCGGCAGAGAGTGCTTCCTATCCCGAAGAGAATCCAATGGGGTCCATATAATTTGGATTTTCCGACCTTTGACAGCGCAGGCATTCTTGAGCTTCGGAAATTCATACAAGAGTTGGATAACGAAGCGAATTGGGCGAAACCGAGAGAGCATATTATCGCCGATATTATGGAAAGTCTACGTATGTCCAAGACCAAGAGTCCACTGGAGATTATCGCAATGGTACCATCGATTCTCCCAACATCGGACGGGGACTTGTTTCTTTTGAACGATTCGCAGGCTCTGTACGATCGCCTTGAGCAAAAGTTTGAGAAGCCGCTACTTCACCGAGCGTCGCTGTCTGGAAATTCACTCTGTGGTCGCAAACTGACCTTGGATGCGTTCTGGAAGCATCTCCGGGAGCAGCCGAACAAGACGATAGACGTTTACGACTACGCGGTGGTAGAGCCGACTTCGAGAACACGAAGATTGACAGTCCAGGAAGTATTGTTACATTGGGAGCTCCCAACGCAGGAGCGACATGCTCTCAACCTCCTGGAAATCGAGAATAGAATCGGGGACTTCTGCCCAACCGAAATAGTCCAACATGATCTTCACAGCAAACTATCTCTTCTACCTCCGGATAACGTTGGAAAAACCGACTCAAACTGGAAAAATAGTCGAAAAGAATTTTTCCTTCTTAGCGGGGCAAACGCGATATCATCTATCCATGTGGACAATGGAGGTCAGCTAACGTGGATTCTAATCCTCGAAGGTCGGAAGATCTGGTACTTCCCACGTAAACCGACTAGCGATGCTCTCCGGCTGTTGGCTACTACGGGCTCTCAGTGTCCTCGAGGATATGAAGAAGGCTGGGCACGGGTTGAGCTATGCGCGGGGGACCTGTTGTGAGTATACTATGATAGATTATATCGGAGTATCCAGCTGATATCCCTTTCAGAATTATGCCTCCCAGTTGTCCACATGCGGTGTTCACGCCAGATGACTGCCTTGCTGTTGGTGGCCATTTCTACACGGCTGCACACCTTGGTTCAACGCTCCGAGGGCTCAAACTTCAGGAAGACTATCCAGCTATATGCAACGAAGACCTACTTCCCGACTTCTATGATGTTCTCCGTAGCGTTTTCCAGAACGCGCATAGCATCAGCTCGTCTCTACAGCAATCAGAGATCTTGTCATCATCTTGCTTATTCCTGGATGTCCTCGACGTGGCATCCCTGGCCCCTTTGTTCAAAGCTAATAGGCGCAACAGCAACTCTCGTGGCACTACTAATCAACACTCCAAAGTCTTGAAACAACTGGAATCAAAGCTGACTAGCCACGGATGTCTTCCGACAAATCGTCCCCTCTTTCTTGATGCCTTGGAAAGTTTTCAGAGAAAGATTCTAGAAGATTTAGAGGACGAGTCATAAGATCAAGGCCTACATTCAATGTGTTTAGTTTTCTTTCTACTTACGATTGTATGAGAGGATCATCTTCCAGATCCCAAAGACGCGGAATCAAGATGAAGCAAACAGTTAACTTATACTTCAAGTCGGCCAATCTGATATCTTGCGAGCATATTATGCTAGGAATACAAGAATAACTTTATACAGTAACAGTGAATCTCCCTATCTGCCGAGAGTGGAGGGAAGTCCAGTATTCTGAGCGAGCATCAAAGTTGGCCAAAAATAGGGGATGGCCTCTTCCTGTCCTCCTCTCCTCCATAGAAAAAACAATCCCGCTTTTATTTAGAATAATGGCACTTGAAATTTCTTCCAGGGTGATGAAGTTGTCATAGAATAAGCTATGAACCCTGGTATTGTTACCCAGCTCAAAAAAGGCGCGGGATAGCTGGTGAAACCCAGGTTTTCCGTCGGGGGGGAATAACACAAGTTGGTTATCCACTTGGGTGGGGGTAAGCAGGGTCACACCTCCCTTCTCATCGGAATACATCCAGAAGGGAGCTAAGTACTTCTGGATACGCTTGTATATTAGCCTACCGTTGGCAAGCGCGATCATCCCGTGTTCATGGCAATCCTCAAGAGCCAAGCCGATGTGAATATTAGATCCACTAGGAACCATATCAAATCGGTAGAGTCGGTCCCCCAAGTGCCTGGTTAAGGAGTGTTTTTCTGAACCCTCTAGGTCTGACCATTCAAAGTCCACACTAGGCCCCTGGAAATTGGCGTACCAGATGCTTGCTGTGGCTATCATGCAATCTGGGTAGAACCTCTCTGCCGAAAATTGTCGAGTGTAGATAACCTGCCACGAGGCATTTTCTCCTAGTTCGATACAAGCAATGCATCGTACTGAGTATAATACCACCGCGATCTTGTGATATTTGAAGTGTCGCAGTAAGACGGGGTGGTCTTCTTCGGTAGTGGGTTGGCTAACCTGCTCCGCTGATGCCACTAAGGTCTCAATATGCTGAATATCGATGGCGTAGTCCTCGGCCCGACGGGCGTTGTTGTAGACATATATATATCCTGACCGTTGGTAACAAACCAGGTTGTTGTAACACATAAATTGTTCCTCAATTTCAGCGGCAATCTGTCGAATAGAAAATGCACATCCATTCTTGATGGAGGTATCCAGACTAAGGGCGCGGGTGATCGCACCGACAACGCTTAGTCTTCCATCCAAGACGTCTCTAGCTTCCTCAGTGCCGTCTAGATACTTCTGGAGAGAGGTTAGAGAGCGAAACATCTCATAGATTACAAAAACAATACCTCGACGAAGGTGGCGCCGATATCCCTAAAATAACGACAAGTACTGAAAAGATTCACAGAATCTCCTATAGAGGCGTACTCAAGAATATGACACAACAATTCAGGGGGTAGATGGTTCATCGCGAATGGCCTAGAGCATGTTAGCATTGGGAATACGTCTCTAGATGGGAGAAGCAGCTCTTATATTTATATATACCCAGTTACGCAGAATCCGGAATGGAGAAAAGCCAAATCTACCAATGCAATAATGTCAATACTATCCTGGAAATTCATCATTAAAGCCACCTGGTCCACCCAAGCTTGTTGAGCTTCCCGTTTGGATATAGAGGCCGCGTGTACAGGCGAAAGAGCGCTCAATGTCGAACGCTTACTTACCAAGCAGGACCGTGAGAGACACACACGACGGAAAGTCAAACAATCAGTAGCATTCCTTCCCTTAGGAATTCGGTACACTCCTGACGTCGTCATTCTTTATGCGGATGATACTGGCGTTCGAGGTCGGATGGACGTCTTGCTTCAAAATTCAAATGCCAGACGAAAAACATAGAAAGCAAGCCTAGCCATAGTACAAGCATTCATATGAGCGTAAGAAGCAGTGGGGGCATAGTTTTGCGCCTTTGGAGATATACTTGGGTGGTTGGATAAGACTTTTATGATCTCTTTTGGATTTTATAAGTGAGTGGCAAAGATACATGGTAAAGATCCCACTTTCAAAAATTTATTCCAATACCGATGACTCTTCGCATCAAGTGCAGGGCCTGTTACCCGCCACAGAATTGCTAGGTCTGGACAGGCTTGCCATATTCATCAAGGACGATAAAACACTGTTCCCGATCCACATCGAGTATATTCCAGACATTCAAGGGTACTTCTGATCTCGCCCAGTCGAGGGCCAGTTGAAGTGCGACTCGATCATCTTGACTGATAGTTGTAGCTTTGATTTGGGCTGGGCAGAAAACTAGATGGGTCTGCTGAGGATCACTTCGAAAGTGGGCGGCGAACATGATCCGGCGTTGGCTGACGGAATACCCAATATAAGGCCCAAAGAAAGAGAAATCGCGTTGGGTTGAAGTTTCCGCAAGGTCGTAGGTTTTTTGCCCCGGGGCCGTCTCCATATTGGTGGGGTTTGTCGTAGCCTTGTTCTACCTGATTCATAGGTATCGGAGAACTTGTACGCTCGTCTTTCGACAAACCAACATGTCTCCAGAATGCGAGGAAGTCCAGACAGAACATGTTGTCAACAATCTTAGCGCGCAGTAGTATTGATTCGAGTCCGAACTTTTTGGCCAGACATGGCCCCTTTTATAGACTTCCATGGCAAGGGCTGTGGATAACTGAAAACAAACTACCTTAGAGTAGGTGATTTGAGAAGGACCAAACATACACGTATAATTGCTCTACAAATCTGGGAACAAAGCGTATACTGGTCCGCGGACTTATCAGAATGTGTCGATTTCAAAGCACGAGGCACTTGGTTTGAGGAAAACTATTCACAAGATAGACAATCAAAGCTAGCCTAATTTTCCGAATCCTTAAATGTTCAATAATTACTTTCATAATTCATCTCGATCATGAAGGTGGCTCATCTGGGGATCTGGAGACCGTTACTTGAGGAAAGGTAAGGCATTTCTCATGCTTTGTCCGCGCCTGAGCCCTGAGTTCGAGGTCACAGTCGAGTTGTAAAAGCTCCAACCCGGATTTCTCGTGGATCTCACGCTTCCGTCCTGGCCTCTACCTAATCGTAGAAGCCAGGCTTTTGGGTCAGCTTTATAGCCACATAGAGATAATATAAGACACCGCCGCTGTCGGACGCCTACTTACAGAGCAGGTCTGTGTGAGACACGTAGAGAAACTTCGAGCGATTAGTAGCTTTCCAATCTGTCGCGATTCATGACACACCTCGTCTCGTCATTCTCTATGCGCGTGGCTCCTTCGAAAGAAAATGTAATTGAGTATTACACATAGAAGAAAGGCGCCGGCCCATATGAAGAGGACTATATAGCCGAATAAAAAATATGGTTCAGGCATATTCTCCAGCCTCGGTATATTGGTATTCTGTTTGATAAATTTCATGTAGTGATTCAAGTCAAAGGGCTCTTTCGATTTTATAAAGACATTGCTGGGATACAGAAGCATCCCCCCACAGAGCAATGTAGCGAAGTACATCCTCAGAAGGAGATCTGGAATCCCTACCCCATCTTGCTAGGCATATCCTCTTTACCAAAAAGAACCAGGCTATACTCGGGTTTCGCATCGAGTGCTCCCCAATGATTTTCTGGCACCAATAGTTTCACTCTATCAACATACATCTGAAGGCGTTTTCGATCGGCTTCAGAAAGGCGACTAGCGTCGATTTGCAACGGGCAAAAAACAAATCGTAAAGGCTCAGGATCGTTTCGAAAGCGAGCGCGGAACACGAACCCACGAGGGCTTGCAAAATATGAATGATAATCTGTGATATCCGAGATTCCGAACCGAGTCTCTGCGTCGACAACATTGAGGATCCCAGAGCCAGGTTCTCCTTTAAGCGTACTCGGCGGACTCGTAGGGCTAGTGAATTGTTGTACTGATGAGCCAGAGGGCATCCAGTATAGGCAGAACCACATTATATTGACACTTCTTGCTTGCAAGTCGTACAGAGCTATTTGGCCAGATATATGCCCTTTTATAGATTTCCATGGCAAAGTGCATGGGCGACTGTCATGAAATCGTAGGGTACATGATGATAGACCGTGGTCAGATACAACAAGACTTTGTTCCCGTTCAACCTAGATTGGGGTATGTTACATGCAAGAATTCCACCCGGCCTCTGCCACTTCGCCCATAGCTCGCGTAAGTTTAATACAGTCAGAGCCTGCACGGAGCTGGGAAGACACTGGAGATCGCATAACTCCAATACCGGGCGTGTAGGTCAAAGACAAATGAAGGACTTGCTATTGGTCACAGGATTTTTCGGTCTGGACAGGCTTGTCATCTTCATCAAGACCTTGTTCTCTTGACGGGAAGTAAATCCCAGACCTCCAAGGGTACCATGCATCTCGCCGCATCGAGAATTAGTTGGAGTGCGACTCGAGCTCTTGATTCATATTCGCGGCTGTGATTTGGCACGGGCAGGAAACGAAACGGGGAAGTTGAGGTTTACCGCGAAAGTGGGCAGCGACGATAGTTCGGCCTTCAGTGACGGAACAACCAATATATTGTCCAAAAAAGAGATACCGTGCTCAGTCGCAGCTTCCATAAGGTCGTGGCTTTCTTGTTTTAGTTTTGAAGGCTACCAGAATGCGAGGACGTCCAGGCAGAACATGGTATCAACGAACATCGCACACAGCAGTATGGATCCGAGTTTTCTTAGGCACAAGTCGAACCGAGCCATACGGCCAGAAATGGCCCCTTTGTAGATTTCTGTGTTAAATGTTATGGACGTATAGTCGCGATGATCAATCTCGGACAACACCTAACAAGTTTGTATGCTTTGAGGAGGTCCATTAACGCACGTATTCTTGCTCAAAGAATTTGGGGTCAAAGGGCATGCGCAAACCTGGTACATTCATAATATTTGCTACTCTACTACTCGAGACTATGGCGGTAGTGCCCGGAATCATGAGGATGTGTGAGGATGTATCGACTACAGAGATCGAGACTCTTGGTATAAGGAAAACTAGATCACAAGGAGATAATCAAAGCTAGCCTAAGCTTCAGAACGCTCAAATGCATCAATGATGCCCTCCACCGACATGAAGATGTTGAAACTATAGCTGTAGTCGCGACGGCTGACACGCAATTCAATTTCCCCGTCGAGACGGGGATCTACCCGTGTAAGTCTTTGCAGCTGGACCAGCACCAGTCTGTCTTCATTTCCAAGTGGAATCCTGCCAGTCTTTTCCACGCATAGAACAGCCCGTTCCCATTGCCCTTCCGAGCTTTCGGCGTAAGCTTTGTCGCTTAAATTGTTTTGTGCCTCTTCGTACAGCTGCCACCCGTAACTATTTTCGCGGGTAAGGGGTGCGTCGACCACACTCATGATATGGTACATTTCCCCACTGGTGAGCGGCAAGCCGAGCCCGAGATTCCACGCAAGGTCGGTAAGTGGGCGTGTTTTGGGAACGTACAGCCGATACTTGTGGTCGGTTACGACCCGGAAAAATGCTACAGAATATCAGATTTGTCAGAAATCAATGGGATAATGTAACTCACGTTTCTCTGCCTCCATAGTTCGTATATGACGATATGTTCACGGGCTGTTTCTTGTGGACTGTGACGTCGAGGAATGAAGAGGGCCAGAGGATTTGAACGATTATATACAAGAACTTGAGGTTTTCGGAAAATCTCACTATGGCACGGGGCATAAGCCATCTATAATGCATCACTATGTTTAGAATGACAGACAACTAGGCATCCACTTCTCTACTCTATCTAGGACCTGCAAAATGCTCTGGTTGATGTCTGGGGTTTCAGTAAGTGATTGAGTTTTGCTCAGATATGTATGGAAATATAATCAGGTTTTCACCCGCGGACCCCTGTTTTCGAGGGTAGGAATCCCTGCATCTTGATTCCGCGGAATCAAGATGCAGGGGTCAACATCCGTGACCTATGATTTGATTGGATCTCTACAATTAGGCTTCGCCTTCGCTTCTGGACGAAATACTAAGTCAGCGCACACTTGCATGTGTGTTGGATGCGTGGCTTACCAATAGTTAGCAGAGCCGACCAGCCAGTACAATTTGGTGTGATAGGGGGCTTCCAGCCAAATGATTGCCAGATTGACTCAATAAGCCTTCCCGCATAATCGCTTTCCCAAATTGATGCTACGTATAGAATATCTGTATTCACAGAAAAGAGTGGTCTTACCGCACATCCCCCGACTATTTAAAGTCTTCGTAGACTACGGTGTCTTTCAGATCAAACCTGTTCTCATCCGCCCAAGAAACACACATATCATATCAAACCAGGTACGCCCCACACATCCTGCCTTCAAGGATTTGGCTAACTACTTGGATAGCAAAATGTGCTGGCAAAGACGGAAAACCCCTGCCAAATTCCCTGATTGCAAAGGGAAAGACCAGAACAACTGCATCGAATTCGATCCTACCCACGACCATATCCAATGGTGCATCCCAGCCGAGCAGAGAGGCAGCGTGTGCGAGACTGTGACTCCAACAACTGAAACAAGCTCAACCAAGCGTAAACGCAACTGCCCTGCGCACCGCTAAGTCCGAATGTTATTCACATCTTCAGAGGGATGGTGAAGGAAGGGCTTCGATGATAAGCGGCTTCTGATTTGTAACAAGTGTTGATCGGTCACGTGATAACATGATTGTATTTAAAATGGTTATCCCAACCTCCTGAAGCTTGACAAAATCCATCCATTTGTCTTTCGTGTCGTTATGTCCTCCCAGTTCCTTAATCTTCGAGGCGATCCAATCCCCCAGGAGCAGGTCCTTGGATATGGAGGCTCGGCAGTCGTTCTGCTTCAAGAAGGCATTGCCGTCAAAACCCCGTTACGGTATCTTTGGAGCTCGGACTCCGATGTCGAAGTGAACCTTGATACTGTCCGACGCGAACAAGATATCTATCGTCGTTTGCAAAGCGATAAGGATGACCGCTCCAAAGGCATCGTCAGATGTATTGGGTTTTCAGCTGAGTCCACCCAACTGGCTTACATGGCTAATGGCGACCTTCGTGCTTATCTCCAGAAGCACCGGCCGCCTCACGAGCTTCAACTCGCATGGTTTCGGGAGATGGCACGTACACTTTGCTATATACATGACCAACGTGTGCTTGTTGCAGACATCGCTGCTCGAAATTTTCTCCTCGATACAGATCTGTCTGTCAAAATCTGCGATTTCACTGAGGCGTCTCTCCTGCCACTCGAGTGCAATATGGAGACCGTTGACGACAATGGATACACCACACAAATCGACGTCGGCCTCCTTGGAACAGTCATGTACGAAGTTATGACAGGCACAAAGTGTAAGGTCGACCTCTTCGAACACAACTCTCCCGCCGACGGCAGAGCGCATTGGCCGGAGAGGAAATGTCTGCCGAGCACCGAGGGCCTTTGGCTCGATCGGATAGTTGAAGGCTGCTGGGACGGTGAATTTCGCAGCGCGCACAGCCTCCTGCGAGCATTGGATTCCGTCGATCTACATCGTGCCTATCCGGTCGATCACACATGTACGGCTTCCTTCCTTCATTCTATCGAGGAGTACACAAGAGATCAACCAATCACGATCATCATTGGTGTCTTGGGCTTGACAATGTTTACTTTTATGATCGGCAGGCGAGTGTTTCTGGTGCCGTGAGTTTCCTGTTGGCTTTGAAGCATTTTAACAGGCCGTCTATTTGCTCCTAGATAGACCCGTGGAAAGCCCACTTCATCGTCGAGAATACAGTGTATTGATCAAGTTTCCTGCTTCCAGGCTTTGCTTTTTTCGATATAGAACCTCGCAGACCATTCTGGACCGGCCAACGCGGTATAAATATGTCTTGGCTACTAGTAGCTGTCTGTTATAGTAACTTCCCTCGACGCATGTAGCGCTGTTGTTACATGTGTGTTGACACGATCCTTGTCCTAGATCTAGGTGATGTTATTTAGCGTCTCAGTGCTGTCCCACTAAGAAAGTAGCGAAATCCAACCCCGGCGTTTGCGTTCAATCTTCTCTCAAACTACACTTCGCTCCGCGCATAGTGGAAACAAGTATTTGGAGGACGAATTTTGCTTTCGTTCAGGAACATGTAGCCGACTAACGCCTGCACCTTAGGAACACAGAACGCGGTTTCTCAAGTGATCCGCTTCGTTCATGCTCGGACCATCCACTGCTAGTGGAGGGAGAAAAAAAAGTAAAACCAGGGGTGCGTTGGCAACCTCTTTTCTTCCAATGAAAGGAGAGCGGGGTCGCGTCAGCAAACCCCCTAGATCCAGCTGATATGAGGACTCCTTCCGTGCTCCTCGGACTAAACAATCTTTCCTAACATTCTCTCCCCGTCCACATCATGTCGGTTGTTCAAATGGCCTTGGGCTTCATTGATGCGTGTAGCGAAGAAGAAATCCTACAGTGTCGCGAAAAAGCTCTAGATGCCGTTCGGAAGCTAGAGAGGGTTTTAGGTCTTCCTTCGAGAGATATGCCCTCCCCGACGGCTGAGACTCCGTCTATCGATCCACTCGAGAAAAAGTCCGAGAGAATACTCGATAGCATACAGAAAAACCTCACCAGTATCCTCTCCCTCGGTCGCAAAAAGGCGAAGGACGCACTCGAACAACCACCGCTGTTCCGCGAGGACCCCAGAGTTCTCGACGCTCGAATCTACCGTGGCGCCACGAAGAAGACACCAAAGTTGATGTTCCGGACATCACTAGCCATCAGGAATATTAGCATGGACTTCGCAAAGTTTCAAACCAAGAAACGTGGCTGTTCCAGGGTAGCCGAGCAGGTAAAGTGGCTTACATCGAATTCTGACCAGACCCAAGACGAAGCTACCATCGATAAATTCATCGAAGAGAACCATATCGTCGACAGCGACACGTTCAAATGGATGATAATATCTGGCACTAAAATGCTCGTTCTTGAGGAACTTTTGGGGAGTTGTGGTATATCGACTCTGCTGTGGAGATTACCGACCTGGAGTAAATCGCTGAGCTATCCTGCACTGCCAATCTTTCTGGAACTATTTCTGCATATGCCGAAATACGAAAGAATCCGCAGAGCAGCAGAAGATCTGACAAAATGGTACGAAAAATGCCAAAGGCTATACGACAAAAACATAACTCTTCAACAAGCTATGTTCGAGAATCATCCAGCTATACCAACGAGACATCTCCCGGGGTCCATGAGCGATGATAATACGGTTGTTTCAATGGGTGATACGGTGGTCTCAACCAATACAGTCTGGCGAGAAGACCCCTTAGGCCTTTCTGGTACCTGCTCTTGTCACACACATCGTTAGACACCTCTGACGGAGACTCCCAGTGACGAATATGACCGGAGATGAACCTGCAAATGATGAGGACAGTACGGAAGGATGTGAGTCCAGAAATTTCAGCAATCTGTATGCGTTTACTTATTGAACAGGTATACCTACTCCTGCCCTATTCGAGGATGCCAATGTCATGGGGGTCCAAGACATTTGTGCCGTACAAGAGCATCAGTTACATCGATTTTCTCCTCCCAGCCAAAGCCCTGTTGGTCACGCAGATGGATCGCAAACAAACAACTATCGACATCATGACCTCTGTCGGAGACAAAGCGCAAATGCGGATGATATATCCGCGTTACCGATTCGTTATCCTTTAGGCACTGAGCTCCTTCAACCTAGGGAGCTAGTTGACTTGCTGAATGCTCCGATTCACCCTGTGAATTTTGTCGACCCCATAGACACTCCCATCCACCCTAGAGCTATCACCGAGGTGATGGGTTGTCCAACACTTCCTGCAGAGCAAGGGGACTTCTTTTCTCGACCTACCCAACAGTCAGTACAATCCAACTACAACTCTACGACACTACCAACCTTAGAGGTGTCCCTCAATTCAGCAGAGACTGAATATGCAAGAGCAACGTCAACCTTGCCGCGTCTACCTCCAGAGATGAACAGTTACGCCTATCCGACAGCCGACGTCAACATAAACCTTTCTCAAGGCAATTATCCAGCTAGCACCAACCCACAGCTGTTTGCCAATCTGTTCCGGGTTCCACAAGCTTGTCTTTGATGAGGGGTACGTGTGGTTGACGACGGGAGGACTTGGTCGAGTAAATCTCTTTCATGCTGTTGTCTGAGGAACAGTAACAATAAGGCAATCCACGTTGGCGTGAAAATATTTTGATTCCCTAAACCGCATATAGTTGCCAAGTCGGAGCTCCTCCCCCGTGACTCTCACGGGCCCAAATGGGAAGAAGAGGGTATCAAGACCGTCATCCTTTTCGAACGCGACGTCTCCATATAGTCGTAGGAGTGCATATCCATTTCCCTATAGAGGATTTAGCCGTGTTATCAAATGATCCCTCAATAGCGTATGGGTACCTGTTTGAGAAGTCCCAGCGCTGTCAGTAAAGGGCCGCATATCTCGAACCGGTCTTCATCTGTACATCTTGACGAGGAATGGGATCGCGGTTCGGTTTTAGCAGTTTTGAACCACTCCATAACCTTAACCAACTCATCGCGAGCACTTTCGTTCACAGTGTGCACAGCCATAGGACGTGATTTCGCAAGGAGAGTTATCGACGAGTTTCGAGGCCTAGTTTTCGAAAAGTTTAGTCCACGGTTCATCGAAATAGAAGACATAGACTCACTAATGCGCTGAGGACAAAAGAGCTCTATCAGGTAAGATAAAGTCAGACATCGTTTGGGAGAAAGCTCTGAGGGGTAAATGGGACCTCACGAGATGAGTCCCCACTAAAATCCTATATCACGTGGTCCTTCAAGTTCCGTGACGCTTGACTAGTTAGCCGGTATCCAGCTAATTCCGCTAGTTAAAAGTCGGTTTACTTGTTTATAATAAAGTATGGATGGCATAAGAAGTTTTTGATGCCCAAAGAGGGGCATGGTTCGGAAGTGGAAATATATTAATGCGTATAAAGAGGCCATGTGAATAATTAGCCAGGAGAGCGATGAGTAGAAGTAGACACGTCAGCCGCAGGTTACAGCCAACCCTAGGTAGAGATTCTAATGAAGATTAGGTTCCAAAGCTTTTTCCTACTTCTGATGGTATCTATCCTTCCAAAAGATCTTGATGCACGATAGGAACGGCAGAGTAGTTATATCAAACAAATACGTTTTCTAGTACGGGAATACAGCCTTGTCGCTGGCCCGTATTCGTCGCTCGCCCGTTGATCGGTTAATAAATGGGGTGTAATGGGCGCTTGGCACTGTTCATAGGTAGTCACGTAACGAACTCACACCTGGACCTTCTTCAGATGTTACGACGTCCGAGCCCTTGAAGGGTACGGTATATATTTTCACGGCATGCTTTTAACACATCTTCTTGAACCTTCCAGACATCTTATTCGTTCAGTTCGTGTCGAGCTCGTCAAATTTGTCACAATTTCATTTTATCCCACGATTCAACCAAGCAAGATATTCTGTCCACACGTCAACCGCCTGTCGAGACTTGTTTCCGTTAGCCTCTGGAATGTCTTCCCTCTCATACAACACTTACTCGGTTCACTATCTCTTGATCACCATCCACGGGCAAGAGGGAACAACCAATTTCATATCCGGAGGCAAGCCGGTGAATCAAGGCGTCGGCTTCGGTCCTTGACATAGAAGTGATGGCGACTCCTTCGTTCCTCTGGATCAATGTGATCATGCTTGAGACTGCTCTTCCCGAGCGTAGGAATCCGCGACGCTTGAGTAGTTCGGCAATGTCGTCACGACGAACACCTAAATAGGTGTAGTATACCACGAAAGCCCTCTCTTCTTCTGTCCATTCGTATCCACCCATGCCTTCAGACAATGATGCTCTGGTCAGTGGTGCATCACAGGCGGAGGGAGATTCGGATGGTGAGAAAATTGTGCGAGCGAAACAATGTCCTCCATTGTCGGTTGTGCCGGTATGTCAGGGATGTACCGCGTATGCGTTACTGGTATCTCATCTTATTGGTGTCCCAAATCCTTGGATATGCCTTGCTGGGCGGAATCAATAAAAGCACGCAATGTGAAAGCCATGCACTTACCGGTAAGTCGACGACCGGAAAGTAGGGGAGGTATCCGCGAACCATTTCATTGGTATCCAATTCCACGGGTCTGCCATTATTGGAGGAGTGTTATAAGATTACATGAAAATGAGCCACAATTATAGTCTCGAGGAGCACGCAGGGTATCTCGCGTAGTTGACAACCTATATCTCATTGGTTTCCAGACTATCGGGGTCAAAGATAGGGTCCAGATGCCCCGTCTCGCTTCTATGTCCCTCCATACCCCGAAATTAGAGTCCTCGGACAATCGCCGCAGGATAACGTTGAGAACGATCAGCACTTTGTTTTTATAACCTATACAAGCGGTTTTGATAGAGTCTACACTTTGTTTTTATAACCTAGACAAGGGGTTCAGATAGAGTCTACACGTTTATTGTGGTAGGGTTGCGTCGCATACGACCAAAATCATGTGATATCAGCGTTGCCTTATGGAGCAATCAACTAGCTTTCCGTGAGAATCCAAATCGAAAACCCCGAATTCCCTTCCACTTTGGGAAGTCCCGAGCTGGAATTAGAGTTCACGAAGGATCAAACAGGCCTTATACTTGGCAAGGAGAAAGCATCTCCCTCCATATCCCTCCACCAATAATAGAGGCTGCCACGCGGATCTTACAGGCTCTGATAGGACGATCGTGGGGCCGGCGCTTGCATGCTGCTTATAGAGTTTTACGAATATTCCCCGTTGATATTGTCTAACGAGATGGTCTCAGAAAAGGCCCTAAACAGGGAACATAATGGCTAGACGATGTCTTCCAATCACAGTACTCTATGCAAGACACCAAGGCTGAACACGGTGTCAGCTACATTCGAGTAGCTGGCGAAAGACCACTCTGTTCATTAATAACCATTCCACGGTAGAGCTTTGTAGATGTATGGTCTTGTCGGCGAAAGCATGGCCCTGAGGTTATTAACTGAAATCGTGGCCTCATGGGCGTATATGAAGGAACATGCGAGGTTCGTCAGCATTGACAATTGACACATGTTTCTCTCACCAAAATTGACCCTGCACAATGACCAGATGCGAGCACACCTTCTGGCTAGAGCTTAGCCATGAACTGGCAGCGGCTCAGATCGTGTATGGATCAAGGCTCGCTCGATTGGTGAGCGAGCTGCCTCAGCCGTCGGTCCAGTTGCCGCAGGTGGTTTTCTTTATGGGCCACCACCAAAAGAATAAAGCACTGCGGCAACTGTGCAGCAGCAACTACCGAGGCCAGGGTCGCAGTCAGCCGAGCGTCAATATCCGCTCTGATAATCGCACGCTGCAGTCCTTGCAGCCGCGGTTCTTCGCAGATTGCAACCCTTGTCGGTCACTGCTCTCCACACATGAAAGCTTGCGCAACTGTCACGAGGAGAAGACATACTCCGTGGAACTCAAATCCACGGAGCATTCCTTGCAGGACATCATTATTTCACGCCTGATCTTCCTGTTCACCGATGTGGTCTGCATTTTTGCGGATGATGTTGGAGGGTTTGAGGGCACGCGCAGGCTCCTGACAACGTGGGCGGCGATCGGCTCAGCGTCCAGCCTACCACCTGCGGTAAGACCGCGGGTGATTGTGGTGGTCAGCCAGTCCCCAAGTGTCACGGGAAGCGTGATTGATGAAGATGATTTCCTATTCGAATTGCTCCATGCTGGCGATGTTCCTTACTTCTCTGCATTCCGGGATATCCAAGTATCTAGCCTTCCGGCAGAGGAGCTCTCCTCCGATGCCCGCTACATGGCACTAGGAAGTGAGGTTTCCCTGCAGCTCAGAAACTCGCGAGTTGACCGAGAACGGTACCGTTGCCTTTTCTCAGCAACCCATCTCAACGCATTTTTTGAACTTGCAGTGCAAAATATATCCGCCTCGCCATTTGCGCTTTTCGACTTTGTTCGTTCTGCGCGAGAGAGAAATCCCCTTGACGGAGCGTTTGCCTCGCACATTACCAGCTTCCTAAAGGTCGGAAGTCGAACAAGGACTCCATACGATCAAATGGCTTCCCATATTGCCTCTGCAATCCTGATGGACGCTTATCCACCCGGAATGCACCGTACGCTCCCCGTTTTCTCGCGTTATTGGTCTAACGTCTGGTAGATTTTCAGCCTTCGATGGTCTACCGTACATTATATCATGACCCATGTTACACTGGTCTGCGGAAGTTCTACAGCACTGACGCCCTAGCATCAGTCCAGAGCGAACGTATCCAGCAGCACCTATCCCAGTTCTTCGAACACATGGCCTCCAGCCTTGGACCGTCATCCGAGATCCATAAGAATAACCTGAATCAGCAAAGGAAGTTCTGGGCTTGGTCCAAGTCGAACAAAACCTGTCTCTGGTGCCTCCGACGCCACCCTGAACACCCTCAGGCATGTGGACATGGAATATGTGACACCTGCGTGGAGATCTTTGGCGAGCCATCCCTTCACGCTGAGTACGAATACACTGTTCTTCAGTGCATCCTGTGTGGAAACGCGAAAGGTCTGACCGTGAGGCTCAAACCGCCAACCGCAGCGCCACGACTGCTGAGTATCGATGGAGGAGGCCTCCGTGGCATTGTACCACCTACACATCTGGAGATGTTGCAGGAAAACATGGGCCCCGAGCTGCCACTGGCGGATCTGATTGACCTCAAGGTCGGCACCAGTTCCGGCGGGCTGTACGTCATAGCCATGGATATCCTCCGCATGGGGCCATCAGAATTCAAGAGCATATTCCAGGACCTCGCAAAGAAAGTTCTCGGTCCCGACCGACGCAAGGGGAGAATCAGGTCCCTGCTCTCGGATGAGACTTACGACACGAAGACGCTGGAAAATCAGTATAAGGACATCTTTGGATCTACAAGGCGCCTGTTTGATGCACCAGCAAGTCTTCTATCTGCCGGAAAGATGGCAGTCACGACCACTTCCATCAGAGATGGAGCGTTGTTCCTTTTCACAAATTATAATGGGGCAGCACCCCATCGTGCCGACTCTGGTATTCAAAGGTGGCGTCTCATTGGAGTGAAAGCGCTGACCTCCTATAGTTTATGGGCGACTCCGGCCAGATGAAGACTATGGGCCCTACATCTGGCAGATGTAAGCAGAAATTTATACCTCCTGAAGGATCTGCAGTGTTAACATGTCTTTTAGTGCACTGGCTACTTCCGCGGCTCCTCCGTAAGTGGTCCTTCCCAATATGGCTATCCAATGGCTGACCTTCATAGCCTTTTCTCGACCGTGAAGATTCCTGGGTTGGGTGCTTTCCAGGATGGAGGCATGGGGCGAGATAATAACCCAGTTAACATTGCGTTATTTGAGGCGAAACATTTGTGGCCTAGCGTAACTAATCCCGATGTTGTGATTACCCTCGGGACGGGAACCGAAACGTCGTCCCCGAAGATATCCTCCTTTCGAAACGTCCTCCTGGATGGATGGATACCGAGGGTATACCGTTCATACATGAGGAGCTTTGATGGTGGTACTACATGGAAAGAGCTAAAAATGCGGCTAGACAACAAATCGCAGGAAACCTACTACCGATTCGATCAATACTTATCCGGCGGCCTTCCTGCAATGGATGATACAGACTGTATCAATGACCTCTCGCAGCAAGTTCGGACACAGCCAGGGGAGGACCACAGCGGTGCGGCGGTAGCGCTCCTCACAGCGTGCCTTTTCTTCCAGCTTGACAGGATGCCGGTGTATAAGAACGGCCTGTATCATTGTGTTGGCACGATTCGTTGTCGTGCTCCTCCGCGACCTCTAATTGAACGACTGGCTACGGCCCCCGGAAGACAGACATTTTACAAGGACAGGCTGAACCTTGGACTCAGTCTATCAGCCGATGATATCTGCCCCTCATGTCACCGATATTCCTTGCCTGTGCGATTCTTCGTACGCCATTTGGAAGAAAGTATAATGTTATCTTTACGCGTTGGAGAGACACCCCGTCGGTTAAGTGCTTTTCCGAATTGCATGCGATGGTTCATTGAGGAACAGAAGTTAGGTTGCCCCTTTGGATCCCCGAATCATGGCGTTCCATTCCAGGTGGAATGTCCTGACTGTGACGGTAGAAGAACCGCTCGAGGAAGAAAACGGAAGTACATGGACATTTGATCCCCGGCACTGCTCTCCTATGCGAGAGCTTCTTTCTGCAAAGCCTTTTCCAGTTCTTTGATACATTTCTGTAGCGCTCTATTATATTGCAACAGCATGGATTTGAGCAGATCATTTTGTCGCCGCAGATCGTCAATCAAGGTCTCATCTTCGGAGCGAAGGCGTTGCATCTCCCGTAATTCGGCGAGGAGTTTCGGCAGACTAGATTCACTAGCCATGTTGTATGCTTTGATTATGCATAGTTAGCATAATTCGGATACAAAATATATGATCTCACCTAAGGGGTCCTTTCACTTCTAGTTTGTACTCGGTCTTAACGTGGGTTGGCCGCTTTTCTTAATAACAATAAAAGGGAAAGTAGTTGGTGCTTTAATAAAGATAAGTCCCTGTACCCCTGTAAGCGCTATTTTCGGACACCGTCTAGAACTCTGATGGAGCCGCCCAGGGATAGCCATGATTATCAGGCCAAGGGCCACGCTGGGGGGCAGCCACCTGTTAACATAAAAGCCGAAGCATGCCGGTTATCCAACTGATGTCTTTCGCCTCGCAGACAACGATGGAAGGACAGTACGAAGACCCCAGCCAGTTCCTGGAAGGACTCGAGTACCTCCAGCAATATGATCCACTCTGTGATCCTGGCATCGACCCTACACTCCTCCTCTCAGACTCCACAGAAATGTTGAACTTTTTCCCTCCCTTACCATCCTTGGATGGTTCAACCGGCGAAGCCGAGGCGCACGCTTCTGACAAAGAACTGCAAGATATCCGAGCCCAATGTGATGCTTTGAAGAAGGAGTACGTACCCTCGTGTAAAGGTCTGCGCTCCACTGGTTCTAACTGACTCGCAGGATAGAAACTTTGAAAGGGTATGAACCCCGCTTCACCCCACCTTCACACAACACACTTCAAGCTAAGAAATCGCAGCACATTGGACTATCTACGGACTTACCTAGCCAGCATGCATCCCTGGATGCTGGAAGTGACGGATGCATTGGACAAACTCGGGCAGGCACCTCAATCTGCGACGGAGTTGGAGTTCCCCGAGAAGGGGATTTAAGTACGCTGGCAAAGCGCTTCCAATTTGTATATCTTCAGTTTTGTAGCTTCTTTGGACTTCTTCTGCTTCGTCTCTTACCTCAGGAATTATCATATTGTTCACATGTTCTCTATCTACTTAGACAGCTGTCAAGATGTTGATATTAGCGTACGAAGTCCCTTGGGTTTGAGTTTGGACTAATGCACAAGCAAGTGTCGGCCACGCCACAGCGGTTACACCAGCCGCGAGGCCGAACAGGGTAGCTGATTCTCCGAGATGCTCAACTATCATTGGCTGTTGTGAAGCCCGCATGACCCATATCTTTGCTTGTTCGGATACAGCCGCGGTTCCCGATCTAGACCCATACCGTTCGTATGATGTTGCCGCCAACACTGAGACATTTGTTACTTGTCGGGGGGGATATCGACGGAATATTAATGTATATATATATCTATATCTATATATATGACGCTCAGCTGTAGACAAGGCCAGCCGAACTTCCCACCATGAAGCCCAACCTACCCATTATGTGCCTAGCTTGCGTGCCCGACATCGTCCGTTTGGGCGACTTAAACATAGTACGTTGGAAGCTTCCACTTACATGCCAGGCTAGGGCCCTAACATGTTGTCAGACGAACGTGTCCTGCAGGAAAGACGGATACCGCAGCGCTCGGAAATCCGAGCTTCAAAAGCCGATCAACTACCTTGAGAGAAGCTCCGTCATACATGAATTCGAGAGTGGCTGCTCTATCGTGGCTGCTTGGAAAGGATCTGCCATCTATCTATGCCACGAAGTATGTAGCAGACGCCGAAGGCCTTCGCAGCCTGCTAAGCTCATCAATAGGGCCCGGATAAGATCGCCATATCATTTCAAGAGATTGGGAGATTGGCTCACGAGGGGAACCATGCCTGCTGGTCCAGGAACTTTGAGGCACTTATCATGACAGCCCAGAAAATAACGGTACGACTAGAAAGGCCACGTTAATTATCTCAGTACGTGTGTCGGAATAGACAACATCCTCTGATGACATGTACATAAACGAGAGAAACAAGGAAGAGCAGGAGTACGAAGGGCTGGAAGTAAGCAACAAAATCAAAGCATTTTCAATCTAACTCCCTGGACCATGTAGTCATTGATAAAACAACCTGAGGTTTCCGGATCCGAACAACGCAACGGGACATAGAAGCCTTTGAGATGATCACGGTCCTCGGGATCCATGTAGTGCCCAGGAAGCACCTGCTTGCAGTAAGGGCAAGATGGCTCGCATCGTCGGCTTGCCAGACGCTCGTACGCCGACGCTTGGCTTCCTCTAGCGTTCGCAAGGACGGAGTCGTGGAAGAATTTGTTGAAGCAATTGTAGCAGTAAGTGTGACCACAGCCAAGTGCCAGATCAACCACGGCGTGATAACATATCTTGCACTCATATGATGTTTCCTGGGACTGACCTGTACCTTCTTAGTGCTGCGATACGCTGGGGCCAGTTCGTTCCTCACCGTTAGGTATACACTCAATCTGGGCTGGGCTTGCTGGCAGGCTGGTAATGAGCTCAGTTGCATCACTCGTCTCCACAGAGAGCGCATCGACATCAATCGGGTTGTCTGGCTCATTGTCAGTTTATCGTCTCCAGCATGTTAGTACTGCAACAAACCAATGCTGTCACCTGGACGGTGTGAATTATGAGAAAAAACACTGGTGTCGTTCTCCGCGTCACTGAGAGCATCGGCATCAATCGGGGTCTCTGAGAGGTGTTAGGGCACACGATATATAATTGCAAAGCTTCGGCGTACGAATGCTTGACCCGGGAAGAGGATACGACAACGTCGGCAATCCTCCATTATCCTCAGAGGCTTGACGATAATGACCAGGCGGAGCATGAACTTCGGACGGAGCCTCGACTTCCACCAAGACAGGATTGGTCGAGTTGAAAGGTTGGGACTGGGGGGTGAGCCGAATATAGATGGGAATGAAGAGAGACATGATGGCGGTACGAGAGTGAGGTCCTTGGGGTTGAGCAAAGTATGTCGAGAAGTGGTGAAAGCTGACCGCAGCCAGGGACCTCGAAGGGGTATTTATGCTCGCCGTCTTGTACATCTGGGCAAGGCTGAACCAATATCCATGAGGCCTTGCCTCCCCTGAAGGATACCACAGCATCAACGTATGCCTGACCTGATTACTCGGTTGTTGTACACCAATTGATCGGGGCTGGTAGATGGTATTCGAAACAGCGATCCCAACTAGTCGACGGAGCTGAGCGATGAGTACTGCCTTGTGCTATAAATGGTGTGCCATCCCTTGCCGGAACATACTCATCATATCCAACTAACCGGAGGTCACCAGCCTGGATATAATTCTTCGGCTACCAATCACTCCTGGAAGCCTCATAATATGCCCTGCAAGCCGTCGACAAGAGACACAAGGCGTATCATTCTGAGCAGTAGCGTATGGCACCAGATGACCCGCCGAGGATGTAAACGTACCGCCTCGGACACTGGTATAGGCGGCATTCGCCCTGACTTCATGGAGCGTAACTGAGACTCTTTGGCCCATATGATCCAACTGTCTGCATGCCAGCATGACCCATTGGAAAGAACATCGATATGCCCTGCCGTATCAGTCTCACTTAAAGCCCATTTCACATATTGATCAGTGGGATCGAGCTTACGTGTTTCCCGTTCTATACATGAAGCCCCAGACGACTCCCATTCCCATGGTTGGACGGACTGCTCGGCGTGTGTCCGCCAGTAGCTGTTTGCGTGCATATATACTTTCTCGTCCCTAACAAAAACGGATTACTCCTGCTAAGTTATAGCCACAATGTGCTCGATAGTTAACCTGGAGCCGAGTGGCCTAAGTCTGTAGCTCACTGTCGTTTGCACGAAGGGTCAGTGAAGCTGACGGTTTAGTAATAATGTCCATTAGTGTTATACTATACCGGGCATATCGATTGAAATCACTGGACTGGGGACGGCATGCTTAAGTGATGAAGTATAGGTTGTGTTTAACAATCACCTATCAGGAGCTGCTTCCAGGCGCTTGGTTTGAAAGCACGTGCCACGGTAGGGCATAGCGCAGCGTTTATTTGCATCAGCAATGCGAGGGCCACGGTTCTACTTCGTGGCCTATAGAGACGTTAAAATCGGCCAGAGACTCCTAGTAGTAGGGGTCAAGAGAGTTTCTTCCTACCTTCCACAGAAAACTTGCAGCATCTGAGGCATACTCTCTCAAAATGAATCTCCTTTCCTGGATCGCCAAGAAAACCGGGCTCATCGTCGTCCACGTCACGGTTGTCAGGGAGAGCCATGGGCGTATACGTGTCATCCAAAGCACTTTTCCTCACTTTGAGTATAGCTGGATCGTAAGTCAAGAGTTCTCTAATTGATCATCCATGATTATTTACATAGATCATTTCAGAATCATTTCGAAGAACCTGATACTCCGGCCGAACCTGCAAGCGAGGTGGATAAAGAAAGACTATGATCGACAATGGCGTGACCATTTTGACAAGCCGACGAAATTTCTGGGAATAATGATCCATACCCTTGGCTTACTGGCATGTATTTGGTTCCTTTCCTCCCCGCGAGTGAGCATGCGAATGTAAGGTATCAAGGATTATTCTTAAATGCGCGTGTATGATGCGGTACACTATCATTTCTGTCCGTCCAAAGCTTTCGATGCTGCATTCCTAAGGATACTTCTTCCAATGACATCGTACCCAATAGACCAGATCTAGTGCCCTTGCGTTCCGTAGATGCTCTAGGCCTCTAGGAAATATGAAGGGGTATTAGGTCTTACTGTCAAGGGCTACTTATTTGGAACCCAATTATCCCAGCTCTCGAGGTAATGCCAAAGCGATGACCATGAGCTTGCCTAATCTTCTCCCTGTAATGCAGGAGCTTCTGCAGATGGGAAAGCATTCCGACTTTACTATAAAGTGTGATGGAGAAACACTGAAAGCGCACAAGGCGATCGTCTGTCCTCAGTCTCGATATTTTGATGCCGCGTTGAGTGGGGAATTCCAGGTAGGCGGCATTTGCCATTCTGCTGCTATCGCTGACCTGTAGCAGGAAAGCTATCAGAACTGTATCGATCTTTCTGGTCATGACGTTAGGACAATCCGGGATGTGCTATCCTTTTTGTATCTTGGGGATTATGACAAAAATGTTTCCCATGAAGTGGCTGATGGCGACACGGTCACTGAAGATCACGGCGGAGATGGTCTGACCTTAGAGTCCAGCGTCCATAATGGCATCTACAGACATCTTCGCGTATACGTGACCGCAGACATGTTCGGCATTGATAACTTGAAGGAGATCTCGAAGAAGCGCCTGACCCAGTGGATCGAGCAAAAATGGGCCGAGGACTCGTTTCCCATATTAGCAGCGGAAATTCTGCGATCCTCTCCGCCGCACGACGAGCAGCTTTCCGATGTGCTCGCTGACGTGATAGCTAAGAATATCGCATCCCTTATCGCAACGGATCCTATGCTGGAGGTTCTCGAGAACTCCGGACATCTCGCAGTATCGACACTCAAGATGGTCGTCGCCCGCCTTGCCGAATCTGAAGGGGAGCGTGAACGATTGGTTGGTTTCTGTACCAAGGACACATTCGGCCATCATTTGATGAACAAAGTCAACAAGGCTTCTGCATGCAGACACTGCAATGCTGGCTTCTGCCTACGGGTCGAGGAAGGCTCGAAAGGATGGGGTTTGATACGATGTGGCAGGTGCAGAACTAGACACTAAGCGAGCCAGAAACCTGGATGTTCCGCCGTCCTTACTTGGACGGATAGAGAACATAATCCCAGCCTTTCGGGTGTTGTGAATGGGTATCGAATAAAAGTTGTTTGTTCTATGTCTCTTGTGTAGCAATGTAAATAGATAGTGGCGTCCTGACGTTGCGCGCCCAGTGGGAGGTCTGACCTATATTTGCTCATCTACTGGTACGGCTATACTGGGTCAACCACGATTTCGGGCCGTTCGGCTAGCCAACGCTAGCAGAAATCAGGGGCTTGTGCTTTTGTCTTTCGGTTGAAGAAACGGATGTTCCGCCAGTTTGCCTGCCGTTGTTCTCGCACTTGGATGCCATGCGAGCATTTCCTTGGCAAGATCTAGAAACGCCTCGCGCTCTTCACCCTCAAGGAAGAAAGTTGTATCGCCTAGTTTCCGGTCAGGAATAAGGTTCTCGTAGAGAAAGCGTCCTAAGTTGTTTAATGAGCCAGGGAATAAGCGATTTGAGAGGAGTCCGAAGTACCATTGGTATCAAAAAATGGCCCGCAGAAGTACTCTTCCGCAGTACGGCATACTCTGTTGTCTTCTCGTCTCACTGGTTCCGGCCACGAGTACTCTCGCATGAACTGGTACCTTTGTATAACTTCTGGGGGTGGCGGGCCGAGTAAGGCTATCATTTCGGCGATGTGCATTTTAGCATCGTAGCGACCTTGTTGATTATGTATGTGTCGGAATAGCTCTTTGCCTTCGATCATATCCCACAGCTGGTCGGGTATTAGTGGGGGCAATGCCTTTTCAGAGAAACGGGGCGTACCAGAACACCAAGATTCCATACGTCCGCTGGCATTTGCCATCCATTACCCAGTATCACCTCTGGCGCTCGATAGTGGTCTGGCTGAATAGGCCAGACGCCCCAGTCATCATCTTCCTCAAGTCTTGTTGCCAGGCCAAAGTCAACAAGCTGTGGTATACTTTTCAGGTTTTTAAGTGGCCCAAAGTCGTTCCGCGATTGATACACCGATCGGCCCGTAGAATCAATCTTGAAAGCCATCGGTCTTTCAAGCTGGGAACGCATAAAATCAACAAGGACATTCGGATCCTCGAATGAGACCATGATGTTTTCAAGTTTTAAATCTAGGCAGTACTTAGTATCGCTGATGGCCGCCCAGAGACAAAGCATAGACTCACCTGTATGGACCACCCTGCACTCTTTGTGGAGATAATCAAGCCCAGTAAGAAGAGCACGAATGTAGGCTTTAATAAGGGGGAGAGGCATCCTTTTGTCGCCAAAGCGTCGTTGATACATGGACAATGGCTCCCTCATTGGTGGATACACAAGACATGAAAAAGTACCTGCTGGACTCTTAACTTCGAAGGAGTCCAGTAATGTGCGTATGAGCGAGCGACCACGGTGTGACGAGTTCGCCATGGAAACGTGCTCTTCAATTTCACGTTCGTGAGTAGCGAAATCCCCACTTGTGTTAGCAATTTTGAGTGCCACGACGCTCTCTGCTTCCGCGATATGTCTGTACGTCTGTCAGAGGTAAATATTTTCGACTTGAAGTTATCCAAGCCTACCCTTCTAAGTCACGCGCAAGCCATACTGTGGAAGATACGCCCCAGCCAATTTTGACCAACGCCTGATAGCGATCCCCGAGTATCTCTCCGGGCTTTGCTGGATAGAAATACCTGGAGTCGTACACTGGCGAGATCTCTTCATCAACGAGTACGCCGGGCGGTAATGGTGGCCCTGGAGGAGGCATGGGAAACGGTCTTTTGCAAATCAAGGCAGATAGACGAGAAATGGACGGCTTAAGAGCGTTCATTACAATAATACTCCCTGTGAGTTGGCCAGAAAATTTGTATTGATCGATGAAGGTGAAACGGAGGGCAATGAGCCTGAACATGGCTTGGTAACGCAGATCACGTGATAGGCTCATCAGCTGACTGTTCCTGGTACAGCTTATGGCAACAAGATGTCAGCCAATAATATCGACTTGACGTCTCTTTCTGAAAACCAAGGGATCCGATCATATCTTGCAAGCTTAGGCTGTAGACGGAATGGAGGCCTTAAGATTAATGGGTGGAGCTGACGGGCGCTTCAGTAAGTCAGTCAGGATGACTACCTCATTCTCGTGTGATTTCCGTTAGCTGAGAGAATGTATTGGGAACGTCCCGGAGCGTCCCTCCGGCTACTTACAGCCCCAAGGCGCAGAAGTATCCAATGACATGCGAGGGGTCCCTGGATCATTGGAATTTCGAAGCCGCAAATCGCCAAAACTTCAGTAACACCAGGAACATAATGCAGAAGGATCACGACGAGTTTGTCCGAGCGGTGGATGACTCCCTTCGAAATATAAAGGAGCAGGTGCAGAGGGGAAATTTACGCGCTAATCCTGCAGCTGCCAAGTACCTCTTGGAAGAGGGGCATCACGACATCGTATCCAGCGTAACGCATGCGACCCGTCCGGGCGTGAAACAGTTGCTCAGCCGGGGCAAGTTGGGGCGAGAAAGGTAAGCCTGCGAGTATGGGGAGACTGCCGCCTTAGCGCTTACAGGATCCAGCTTATTGGCTCTTGGTGAAACCCGTGATTTACCTAGACAAGGGGTATATGCAAATGTCGCAACCAGTGATACCGACAAATCCACAGTTCGCATTTATATTGGTGCAGCTGCGGGGCCGTACAACTCACCCCGTTCACGAGGAATGGTCGATCTCATCCTACGGCATAAGCGGGAGATACGGAGCAGCAGACCGACCACAGTTTTGCATCATAGAACACTGCGAACTCCCGGCTGGCATGCCCGTTGGACTGTCCTGGTCGCCTTTCCGGAATGTGTCAGTAGGCAGCTCGTACTCATCGCACAGACGGTTATGACCGTTCTCTTCGGGACTTGTCTGAACAAAGCATACGCTGCCTGTCGCCCGGAGTATTTGGCACGTGTTCCGCCTGATTGGGGGCTGAACGAAATGGGTCCACTTGGGCCGGACACCTTAGCGACTTATAATAAGATCGACGACGGGGCGGATCCCGAAGAGACCATGCTTATTCGCGAAAGACTGCACGCTTCTCACGTGGCATTCAGTGCCGTCCACCATGAACGACGACTGAAGCGGGCCAGGAACGGGGGTCCCATCCATGTCAACATCTTGATCCAAAGTGGGGAGATAAAAAGGTTCTTTATCACGCCCATGAAAGCCAGGGACGGCGGCCATGTTGATATCTTGATTCCTTTGCCTATCGGCCTCCATTACGGGCTCCAAGTGTCCCGTTCAGTGAATTTGACGCTAGACCTCAGCACCAGGAATCATCATACCCCGTATGCGGCGAAGTCCATGTACAACAGCGATGCCCGGCGGTTGGGGCTCCTGCTTGAAGGGCACTACGCTGTTGGTCCGCAGAAAGGGAGCAAATTCAGCCACTGGCTCCAGTCGAATATGAGGGCTGGAATTGGGAAGGCTGAAAAGCTGATACAGTTTATATCGAATGAATGTGGGGACATCAACCAGGCCAACATTTCGAAAGGAAGTCGCCCTGACTACGTGGTCTGGAGACAGAACAACTTTGTGAACCAGCCAGAGCCTGAAAGAAGCGAGCTCTCATTGCACCCTGAGCTGAAGTTCAACCACTCTTCGTCAGACACGCCGCCCTATCCGGGCCAGGAAGTAAATGGGATGCTCCGTCAGGTTATTTTGCAGCTTTTGAGAGCCTTGCAAGCCCGGATCATCTCTAAGAAAATACGGGTATGCCCGACTATCTGGCGCTATTTCAAAGGCAGCGATCTAGAGACAATGGCGGATGCTGTCTCCCAGGCCGTCCGCCCCGCCGCTGCCGAACTCCTGGTATCCTCCAAGCCATTCACGCCAGCCAGGTAATGCTGTGAAGACTTTACTACTAATCAACCTTAACTTACAAAGACAGACTTCTCTCCATCGGCGGGAATATTCGTGATCATCAACAGGGCGTCTATGCCGACATCGTCACCAATGAGGACCCGAAATATTTCAGAATCTATGTGGGTTCATCGGCAGCAGTTTCCGACAATCACACAGTCAGGGGCCTCAATAGGAGGATTCGAGACCACCTGTCCTTCATCCGGTCGGAATCGGGTAGGCCCGAGAGCGGTATACCACACTCTGTCGAGGTTAAAAAGCCTGGTTCACGCGCAAATTTCATTATATTAGTTCGGTTCGCAACACCCGTGGACAGACCGGTCGTCCATATTGCAGAGGCCATCATGACAATTCTATTTGCGTCCTGGGACAATAAGACATTCCTGTACCTACGACCAGCATACCTACCAAAGCCCGACGGATGGGGCCTGAACAGCTCGAATCCCATGGATTTCGCAATCCCAGGTCACTACTCCGGCCCGGAATACAGAGAGCAACAGATCCTCAGAGGTCGGAACATGGCCGCGAGGATGCAGGAAAGGAGGGTAGCAGAGGCTAAAGCCGGGGGCGCTGTCCGCGTCGGCGCTTACCACGTGAAGGGCAAGTATTTGGAGTTTAGGTTCAACCTCTGCGGCGAAATCTTTTGTATCCCCACCACCCTCGGCAAATCATTGGGCTTGGACATCTATCGCGTCGTCAACGTCGAATGCGATATCCGGGTCGAGCAGCATCCTTTCGCTTACGCCCAGAGAGCACAGTGGGAAGCCAAGGCAAGGAGACTCGGCATATGTCTGAAAGGAACGTACCAGCGTGGAGAATGCAAAGGTCAAGAGTTCCAGAAATGGATTCAATGTAATTCGGACATGGCCGTTTTGCGCGCGGAGAGGCTCATCGATCTTCTAAGGGATTAATTGCCAATGGCTCTTCGAAGCAGGCTTCTATCAGTCATTTTGCATTGGTAGGGAGAGTTTGTCGTCGAATCCTGTAATTCTCACAACACAATGATGTCAACATTTTCGTGGAGGGGGCGAGAATGGCAAGGGAGTTGGGTAGTCAGGCCGATTCTACCAACAAGCGCCAGGGATAAAGGTATAACGTCAGCCTAGCATGTAAGCGCCTATCACGTGCCGTTGTGATGTGTAGTCGTAGGGAGGGGCTCGCGACTCAATACTCCTAACACCAAACCATCCTCCCTGCCAACAAAAAGGACGACAAAGATGCCGTTTACTTTATGGGATCAAGAAGTGGACGCAGGGTCGTTTTTCATCTTCCAGCGGGTGCGAAGCTTCTACAGGCTGTTTGCTTTTGCTGGTAGCTTAGTCGCCGCCGTCTCTGTCACTGCCCTCTCTCTGCCAGAGTTCCATCCAGCAACATCAACCTTGGCATCAGTTTCCGAAGGTCTGCTATGCAGTTCAACCATCACAAGCACCATTTCGGCGGTTACGGCTGTGATGCTGCTATTTCGATTTGAGGGAGTCGAGCAGGCGACTCGTGGAGACTCGCTGGTGGCTTGGTTACCTCTCGTTTTCCTTGACGTCTCCGTCCTAGAATTCCTCGTCGCTATGGTCTGTTGGTATTGGGACAAAAGCCCATACCGAGGTGCCTTCTTAGTATGCATGCAGTTCATCATGCTGTTATGTATATGCATTACCCTGGCAACGTGGATGTGGTTTTCTATGAAGAACATAACCAAATCGAGTGGAAGGAAAGCTTCTATTATCGACATGAAACCGAATACAGACAACTCATCAAGCCGTGGAACCACGGGACAACGGCAGGCGCACCATTCCTCTACTTAACGAGGCACCGCCCACGGTACGTCAACTCCTAGTTTATTTGCCATTCTCATAGCCGACACAATGCAACCTTCCAGAAGAACCATACCATCCCAGCACCAGCCACCCACAAGGAAAACATTGCCGTCTCCATTCCGCCAGTGGGGTAACTTCTCGTCTTGAATTTGTGCAGGTGGCATTGCGTCGAAAAGATAAGTGATCAGTTTCTTACTCTTGGTAGTTCGCAGGACCCGCACAAGTCTGACGCGATGCGCTACCTTCGTCGGATCGATTGGCGCCACTGGTGCTGTCGTCACAATTGCAGATGATGGGTGCTCATGGCTCGATTCAGTTGCCGCAGAGTTTGAGCATATATGCATGGGTTGTGCAGGCGCTGTGATCTGATCTATGTTCTTCCATAGATGTTTGCTCGACTGCAGGATTCTGCTATAATCATAATGCACGACTGTCTCCACTGAGACGGTGGGCACAGACATCATGGCTCGTCGTAGAGGCTGGAATATGGCACCCACCACATCTGGAGTCACGGCAAGGATGACATAATCGAAGAGCTCTTCGTGCGTTTGGAGGCTGTGTACGTCTGTCCAGGAGATCTGGGCCTTGTTTCCGATGGTCGTCACACCTGTGACCTTGGCTCCAAACCTTGTCTTGATGCCCGCAGAAAGCTTTTCTTCGACCTGATGGATACCTCCAGCAACGGTAAAATGGGGTTTTCCATACGTCCGTTTCTCGTATTCCAAGATATCAGTCGCTGGAAATCTCAGCAAGGCGTCATGGGTACACGTCGTCACGCTCGACATCAACGGAAGCAGGTATTTCTTGGTGTAGTACCGCGGCAACTGGATTCTTTCGATATACTCCTCAAGCGACTCTACTTCGCCAGATTGGTCGTGGGTTTTGGGCGCTATCAGAAAGCAGCAAGCGGTAAACCAGAGGTAACAAGCTGCTAAGTAGCATAGCTCCCAGATCCACACTCCAAGTCGGTACTTATCCGGCCGTAAAGGGGGAAATCTATGGTTGTTGGAGGAGTGGATATAGTAGGGTGTGGCCATTGCGGAACCGTCTTCTGGGAGGGTAGAAAGAGGATAGATGAATTTCGGCGACGCGAACTTCAATCCGAGGTACTCATACATGAGCTTCAGGTTATTATAGTAACCACCAGCAAACGCACGCATTGGTAGATCGATGCGGCCTTGCGTATGAGTTGCAGGTTGTTGTTCTGCGGGTGTGTGGGAGGCGGAATCGAGTGACAGGCGATCTTGCTGATTTGAAAGCCAGTGTCAGAAATGGGTGCAGACTATTCAAACATATCATTCCGTACCATTTCGAAGACTTCCACATCATATCTCTCCTGGCTGTCCCTCGCAAGTAGATACGCGGATGTCAGACCAGCCAATCCGGAGCCAACGACAGCTACTGTCTTCTTCGCATGGCTTTGTTTTGACATGGCGTTCGTAGCCCGACAAGGCACAGCTTGTCGCATGAAAGAGTATCCGCAAGATAGGAACGCTCCGGGGGCTTTGTCCAGCGACGTCGTTCAAGCGAGACCCACGATATTCAATCCGCCACATGAGTGAGCGGACCTCGGTACGGCGCGGTCACGTTACCAAATACGAACTGGAGCGGACTTCCAACCAAAGTGGAATAGCGCGGTCGAATTACCTTCAATCGAATCATGAAGCGTCGACAAGCGTTACCAAAAACGATCGTGAGTGCGCAACAGGATGGGAGGTATGCAAATATAATAATCAATGTATTTCCCAAAAATTCTGTGATTCTATAGAGAAATCTTGTGTACCATATCCAAGTGAAGCTTATACTTGGAGAGGGCGTAGAAGACCTCCTCGCATCCGGGATAATCACATGTACGCCCTTTTGGAAATTTCTGTTTCAAGTTGTGCGTTTCGAAGTGCCTCTGCAGCGTATCTTTCCGGGCATAGATGTACCGTCTTGCGCGCGAATGCAAGCCAGGACGACCAAGGCATACTGGACACTCAAGTCCACTTTTGCTCTCAAGCGGAAGGCTATCTGATATTTCCGGACATATGGCCATTTCAGGCGAAGGTTCACGAAAATTGATGCGTTTCTGCAGTGTTTTCGGTACCTCCAGGTGATAGAGGGCCAGTCGCATCTCAAGGGAGCGGATACGATCCTCAAGCAGCTCGGCGTCACTGATCTTATCCACATCCCGATTCTTGAATTCAAGGTCAGCAAGAGCTTTCCTCTCCGGAACAACATGGGATACGTCGGGCTCGAAGGTAAGGGGTTGTCCCTTGTAGTTTCCCTCGACGATGCGGTTTCCGACATGCTTGAAGAAATTGTCATGCTGCTCATCTTTGGCAGCTTTATGTAACTTCTTTCTTCTCGCTCTCACCTGACTCTGGGCCCTTTCAAATTCGGAGTATAGCGTGGTCCCTCGAGCCTTGTGCAGCTGATGGTACTGTGCGATCAAATCGCGCCGGAGTTGGTCCCGCTTGCGCTTCAGTTCAGTGAGCTCAGTGAGTTGCTCGATCTCTTGTTTCTTCTCATCACTCAAGTGTTGCGGCACAGACGCGTCTCAGGTCAGACTCGAGGTTGTTGCTAGTTTAATTAAAGCGTCTCTGGTAGGGGTACCCATAAAGGCAGATTGGGTGTCGTCTTGGACCTGAACATAGTACGCAAATGTGTGGCTCCGGCTATGGCCCATGATAACATTTCTGGAGTGTTCATCCAAGTGCCCTTCCCAGCCATTAGTACCTGCATAATTTTCTCTTTTTTTTGGATGGACGACTTACTGAAGTTTGCAGCAGCCCCTTTGCGATATTTATATAAAGAACCGGGGTCCTTGGATCCGTCTGACTTGCTTGTAGCCACTTCATCTTCCTGGAGCTTTTTATAGGGCAAGCCACTTGTTGGATGTGTAATCCACCGCCCTTCTGCATCCTTTATCGCACGACGAAATACCGGGATCTCTTGGACTTCCTCCTTGAAATGAATAGGGGTGCTGAGTCGGTGGTTTGGCACGTGGGTGTAGCGCCAGATATCCCTCGGCTTCTTGATATACTGGCTAGCAAAGGCATCATCGCGAAAGGCAAATTCCAAGATATCTTGAATGACACATAGTCCAAGGTTGTCATTCCTTTCGGTATACGTAAAGACCGGGCTGGTACGGGTTAGCAAAGTGTATGAGAACGGGGTAGGAGACTTACGCGACACCCTTGTTTCTTTTGCCTTTGTTAAGCCGGTGCTTAACCCTCATAAGAAGCGTCTGACATGCCAGGTTCTCCGGGTGCTTCACCATGTAAAGCTCGATATCCTTCCATTTTAGGGAGTCGGGGCGCCTCATATAACCCTCAGACTCAACCAGAGTCCTGGGCCGTGCGGACGTCGACGACATCATCTTCCTAAGGCAACTGTGTTGGTGTCGACACCGAACAGTCGCGAAATGCACGCTCGTCAGCGCCATGATGTGGTACGTCTTGTACAGGAGGTCGTCAATATTGATAGGCGGCTGCGTCTTTGCCCCCATATCCAGTTCGTACTCGTCAGTAAGAGTGGTGCATACCAGCTAACTAAGTTAGTTTCTAGCATTCATGATCGATGGGTGGTAACCTGCCCTTGTCATCCTGCGTCTGAGGTCGTAAGGGAAGAGGCGGTCCATCTCTTCGCACCAGAAGATCCGGAAGTCTCGGGCGAAGACCAAGAACCCAGATTGATACTTCATATTGTGCTCATTGAGATACCAGCGCAGGAAGCCTTCGATTAGCCTCAGTGTGATGTTTTTGATCCAGTGTTCGTATTTTGGCGGGTTTAATTTGGACGAGAATCTGGAATGAACACCGAATCAGCGAAGGCATTCGCATAAAGAGAAAAGAAAATACTTTTGGAAATTTCGCTTCACATGGAGGATGCGCTTCTTTGTTGGTTCCGCGAGAATGCCCTCCGTTTTATTATCTGGCTGCTGGACAAAGGCGTTCCAATCGACGTCCTCGGGCAACTTCTTGGTTTGAGGCATCTTGAGTAAATGGCGCATGTGAAAACGTTCTAGGAGACAGAAGTAGCAGAAACCCCAGGATTGTACGACTTTCTATGAACAAAGGCACATTGAATCACGAATCTACGAGGCTACATCCGGGGCATATATGTTCTTGACTACTAATATGGTGTACGCGCCAAGTGTAGGAAAGCACGTTGATATCTGTAACCACAGAAATGGCTCTAAACCAAACTTGGTATAGCCTGCCCGGAGCGTTCAGGGCACCAACCCGCAGCGCGGAAAGAACACGCTTTTGTGGCTAAAGACCACGCACAACCATGGCCTTTCCGCCGTCACCGACAATTAACCGACCCCTACGGTAACCTTCGGGGTCGCGCGTATTGCGCGACCCTGACAACCACCCGAGCACCCCAGCCACCCGAGCACCGATTTTAGAACTTCGTAGAATTCCAACCCATCAACTTTATCATATAATTCAACCACCACCACCATGCCCAAATTCAATAAAAATTATGAAGATCGAATGCTCAAAGCTATTGACGCGTTAAGCACACAAAATCCCCCAAATATCGCCAAAACTGCACGTGAATATGGAGTTAAACGGCAAACCCTCTCCGCAAGGTGGAAGGGACGGTCCAATCTATGTGAACGACCACCAACCAACACCAGATTATCAGAAGAGCAAGAAAAGGCTCTGTGTCACTATGTTGATACTCTAGAGCAATTAAATATAAAGCCACTTGCACAAATGATCCAATCAAGTGCCAATTCTATTCTGAAATCAACCCATACCAGCCTAGACACCCCTCCACCTACTGTCAGCAAGAAATGGTTAAACTGATGGCTAGGAAGGCATCCTGAATATAAAAGACGTCGCTCTAGAGCTATAGAGCTTGACCGCAAGCGTGCAGAGGATCGTGAGGTTATTCAGGAGTGGTTTCAGAAGCTCCATCAGACCATCCAGAACCATAGGATATTAAAGGAGGATATCTACAATTTTGATGAGACTGGCTTCAATATCGGTGTTGGTCATGATCAATGGATTATTACCAGGGACTTCAATATTAATAAGCCTCATATTGGGATGAATTCAAACTGTGAATATGTTACTGTGGTTGAAGCAGTCAATGCAGATGGCTGGACCTGCCCACCACTTATTCTCATGAGTGGTAGCTGTATACTTACAAATTGGTTTGAAGCTGCTGATATTCAACAAGACTATTCAATTGGAGTATCAGAAAATGGCTATATGACTGATACAATTGCCTTCCAATGGATTCAGTCATTCTATCGGCATACTAAAAGATATAGGAAGGGTCAATATACCCTTCTTATATGTGATGGATACGGCTCCCATCTAACACATGAATTTGTTGAATTCTGTGAGAAGACCAATATCATCACCTTCTTCTTACCTCCATATACAAGTCATTTCTTGCAGCCATTGGATGTTGGTGTTTTTCATGCATGTAAGCACTGGCATTCAGAAGCAGTTGCAGATGCAACCTACTCAGAATACAGTAAATTTACTAAGGTTGAATTCCTTCATGCCTTAGGGGCAATTCGCAAGAAGACATTCAAAAAGCGTACTATTTGGCATGGATTCCAAAAGACTGGCATCATACCATTCAATCCATCAATTGTACTCAATCAAATGCCTCAACCACATCATCCATCCTCTTCATCCACCAATACCAATGATGTTGATTCCTGGGGCAGTACGCCAAAAAAAAGCTGAATGATTTAGGGAGATTGGTGATAGGATATGGGAGATTCATGATATCAACAAGGATCAATTTAATGAGGGCCTAGAGCTGCTTATTCATGGTGGTAGTATGCTAGCATCATATTCAGCTGCTATCGAAGCTGAGCTTGACCGGTATATTAAAGCTGCTAGGGACCGCGCAGCTTGATCACAGGCCTCTAGGCGCAGGATTCGCAAGGGAGGCATAGTATCAAGCTCAGAGCTTGAAGCTATAAATCGAAATACTGCGAATATTAATGAGCAGGCTGAAATAAAGAGGTGGAGGACTAAGTATAAGCGTTGCCTACCAGAGCTGCTGGATGTGTGCATTCGACGAGGAATTATTATACGAAGGCAACGACATGCTAGGGCCCAAGCTGAAGAGTAGAGCTTTAGTTTAAATATATTTTGAAGTTAAATACTATAGAATTCGTTGAGATATTGAAGCTAGAAGGGGGGTCTAAAATTGGTGCTCGGGTGGCTGGGGTGCTCGGGTGGTTGTCAGGGTCGCGCAATACGCGCGACCCCGAAGGTTACCGTAGGGGTCGGTTACTCCGTAGTAATCCCTTGTTTGCATTTCTCTCTTTTCCCAACAGCACACAGAACACGGTTCTCCTGCAAAGACATACTTCCAGTATCACCCCTAATAAAGAGACATTACACATTCGCGAATTCCTTCCAGCAAATATGACTCGTGGAAACCAGAGAGATCACGATCGCAAAAGGGCTCGCGAGAAGGCAGACAAGTTGAACAAAGTATGGTGTATCACCCTTTTCCCCGAACACATCATGTACGGCATTATTCCACCAGGATATACTGACACCGTCTCCTAAATAGACTAAGACTACCATGTCCGGGTCCGAGTTCCAACGCGCTAAAGAGAACGCCGCTGCTATTATGCGGGAGAAGCAAAGGAAGGGTACGTCCATCCTCCACCTGGTTCATCTTACTTCGCCCTGGAAAAAAACCAGATATCAGGAGTACAATGCCATTGTTTTTTCCCCCGACTGTTTGCATCTTCTCCTCGTACTCACACTGACATTCTTTGTTTCCACCGGATAGCCGATGAACGCAAGGCGGCTGAAGCCGCAGGAGCTGGGAAAAAATAACCATTCCTCCGTGGCCCTTCCTCTCTTCCAGATCACCAGTATCGCGCGCCGAGAATTCTCCTTCCTTTTGCGTTGAGTGACCTCTGCATCGGTGACATTGTGTATTCGTGTTTGCGGTCTTGTTTCGTCCTTGGTTAACCACATCCCGAATACCCCGGTAAAGGAATAGCATATATATAGCGTGCTGGTGTATCCGTGTGCTAGGGAGAGTGCTACAATAAGGCGATTGCAGGTGTCATTACATCCCCCCTGCAGGCTCTATTGGGAACTTCCATGAGAGTAGGGTGACATGTTGACGGTTCCTGTCTCTTCCATTTTCAGCGGGCGCTTACTTGAGTTTCGTGTTTTCTCCATTGGGTACCTAAAAACCCGTGGGGCAGGAGTTTTGAAAAGATACGAGCAACGAATCCCCTTGTTCAATGATCCATATTCGTTTTCTTCAAAAGACCTCTGCTATCTAGAAAGAGTAGATTTACTGTAGGCTGTGACGTGACCAATTTCTCACCGATGTTTTATGTAGTATTGCATTCATTGTGGATATGCTCATTGTTCATTATAAATTATTTGACTGCACCCGTGCCTACTCTATCGCCAGCGGCCCAAAAGGCCTTTGCTCTGGCCAGCCATGCCTTCCATGGCTCCTCCGACAGGCAAACGCTGTTGATGGTTCTATGTTGTGTGCTGAGACCAACAGACCCCGACCCTTTGTTTAGCAGAGTATCTTCGATGGTCTTCACCAAACCAAAGCTCCTCGCACCCAGGTCAACAAACGTCCAGAGACTCTCATCTTGCCAACCAACATCGAGAGCAAATCGGACCACACTGTTAATGCTATCGGTACGGACGCCCTGATCTGGAATGGCTTCTAAAAGCCAAAGTGCAAACATCCAGCCTGAGATATCCCGTGGATGGGCAAGACACCAGTCCAGCATCAGATTGAGGGCTGATCGAGCTAACTGGGCCGAAATGTCCCCAGGTTCCTCGATGGCACCGGAAAGAATACCATGAAGCTGCCTCATATACGAGAATGCATAATAATTTCTCGGATGCAGTTCCCCTGCCCGCAGGACAACGGACAATTCAGATTGGAGGAGCTCTTGGATATCTTCAGAGCTTAGAGCATTTCCTGACACAACGGAATGTATCGAGGCCCACTTCCTAACTCGGATAAACTGCGTAAACACCCACAGACGATGGTACCACAGAGTCGGGGATTTCGTGTGTCGTTGCAGTGGAGAACAAAGGAATGTTGCCAGAAGTGTAAGTTCGGTCCTGAGCAGTCTCGCAACCCTGTCGCGCTCTGCATTGTCCACACTCGCTGAATCAATGCTCCGAATCAGAGATGCTAACCGCCTCTTCCTCCAATTGCATGCCGTGAGATGCTCACAGTCAAAGAGCAGAATGATCTCAGAAACGACCGAGATGGGAAAATCCACCTCCCCGTGTTCACCATCCAGAGAAATAGTATCCTTTTGAGTCTCGAGGAAATATTCTGAGACAATGTCCCTATCTGACATCAAAATAAGCTTGTCGAAGAATATCCGCCTAGCGACAGTGAACGCTTGCACTAGTGCCTTCTTGGTGATGCCTATCGAGCGTCCATCTTGTACGAGAGAGCCGCAACTGAGTGCGAGCGCGGGCTGTAGGATCTCAATTTCGAGTACTTCGTTTTTGATCTGTCTTGTAGAGAAGATGTGTGCAACTTGTTTGAACAATGCATATTCGGGGCTTGACATTGGGCAGCAATGGTTGTGCCTTGGCGAAGTGTGAAGAGCTGAGTATCGTCTGGTCGGGGGTGGGACAACGTCATATTATTCCGGCTTGGTGGATGCTAATTGCTTTTCTAACTCTCCGCGGTTTGCAAGGAGATATCCATTTATTTCATCCATTCCAGAAAGAGGAACTCATTGCGCATTCCACGCCCATTCCGGCGCAGTTCTATCCGTCTCAACGCAAGTAGGTCCTCGGGCTTGGGTGCGGCTCAGAGAAAAGCTCGAAACCTACCTCTGCGATCACCTTCATTTCTCTCTCCATCAAAGCCAGCAGCACACTTCTTCGCTACCATCATGCCGTCTCTTATCCTCACAGTTCTCTTTGTCCATATTGCGATCTATCTGATCAATACTATCGGTGCGACTACCATCGATGCCTTGGTATGTTTCCGTCTTTCTGTTCCGTCTTTCTGTTCCGTCTTTCTGTTCTGTCTTCCATCTACCACATTCTGCCACGTCCCGCAACTCCATGGTGTTCTGCCTGCGAATTTAAATTCAAGATTCTCTCATCTCTCTTCCCTGTCATTGTAATGCTAATTTTTTGAACACTAGCTATGGATTCTCTACCTCAAATTCCCCACTTCGATCTCCGCGAACGCGCGTGAGCAAAACCGTCTGAAGCGCGAGGTTCTCCAGTTGAAGCGTGAAATGAACAATACGAGCTCCCAGGATGAATTCGCTAAATGGGCTAAATTGAGAAGGCGTCATGACAAGACTATGGAGGAGTATGAGTCCATAAGTACGTCCGCTGTTTTCTTCCTTGCACCAGGTCTATTACGACCGATATAACCCCTCCCGTTGGAGGCTGACGGGTGGAACTCTGGGAATTGTATAGACAAGACTATCACCTCCCAGAAGACCTCCTTCGACTGGACCGTTAAGATCATCCGATGGCTCAGCACGGTCGGTTTAAAGATCTTCATCCAATTCTACTATACGAAAGTGCCCGTTTTTGAGCTCCCGCCCGACTGGTTCCCATACTACCTTGAATGGATTTTGGCCTTTCCGCGTGCCCCCATGGGATCTGTTAGTGTGCAAATTTGGAGCGGTGTTTGTGCGGCGTCTATTGCTCTCATTGCGGAAGTTGTTACATCCACATTTCAGCAAGTGAAAACCGGGCTCACTAAGTCGCCTGAGGCCGAGGCTAAGAAGACGCAATGAGAAAAGAGGAAATAAAAGTTAACCGACCCCTACGGTAACCTTCGGGGTCGCGCGTATTGCGCGACCCTGACAACCACCCGAGCACCCCAGCCACCCGAGCACCAATTTTAGACCCCCCTTCTAGCTTCAATATCTCAACGAATTCTATAGTATTTAACTTCAAAATATATTTAAACTAAAGCTCTACTCTTCAGCTTGGGCCCTAGCATGTCGTTGCCTTCGTATAATAATTCCTCGTCGAATGCACACATCCAGCAGCTCTGGTAGGCAACGCTTATACTTAGTCCTCCACCTCTTTATTTCAGCCTGCTCATTAATATTCGCAGTATTTCGATTTATAGCTTCAAGCTCTGAGCTTGATACTATGCCTCCCTTGCGAATCCTGCGCCTAGAGGCCTGTGATCAAGCTGCGCGGTCCCTAGCAGCTTTAATATACCGGTCAAGCTCAGCTTCGATAGCAGCTGAATATGATGCTAGCATACTACCACCATGAATAAGCAGCTCTAGGCCCTCATTAAATTGATCCTTGTTGATATCATGAATCTCCCATATCCTATCACCAATCTCCCTAAATCATTCAGCTTTTTTTTGGCGTACTGCCCCAGGAATCAACATCATTGGTATTGGTGGATGAAGAGGATGGATGATGTGGTTGAGGCATTTGATTGAGTACAATTGATGGATTGAATGGTATGATGCCAGTCTTTTGGAATCCATGCCAAATAGTACGCTTTTTGAATGTCTTCTTGCGAATTGCCCCTAAGGCATGAAGGAATTCAACCTTAGTAAATTTACTGTATTCTGAGTAGGTTGCATCTGCAACTGCTTCTGAATGCCAGTGCTTACATGCATGAAAAACACCAACATCCAATGGCTGCAAGAAATGACTTGTATATGGAGGTAAGAAGAAGGTGATGATATTGGTCTTCTCACAGAATTCAACAAATTCATGTGTTAGATGGGAGCCGTATCCATCACATATAAGAAGGGTATATTGACCCTTCCTATATCTTTTAGTATGCCGATAGAATGACTGAATCCATTGGAAGGCAATTGTATCAGTCATATAGCCATTTTCTGATACTCCAATTGAATAGTCTTGTTGAATATCAGCAGCTTCAAACCAATTTGTAAGTATACAGCTACCACTCATGAGAATAAGTGGTGGGCAGGTCCAGCCATCTGCATTGACTGCTTCAACCACAGTAACATATTCACAGTTTGAATTCATCCCAATATGAGGCTTATTAATATTGAAGTCCCTGGTAATAATCCATTGATCATGACCAACACCGATATTGAAGCCAGTCTCATCAAAATTGTAGATATCCTCCTTTAATATCCTATGGTTCTGGATGGTCTGATGGAGCTTCTGAAACCACTCCTGAATAACCTCACGATCCTCTGCACGCTTGCGGTCAAGCTCTATAGCTCTAGAGCGACGTCTTTTATATTCAGGATGCCTTCCTAGCCATCAGTTTAACCATTTCTTGCTGACAGTAGGTGGAGGGGTGTCTAGGCTGGTATGGGTTGATTTCAGAATAGAATTGGCACTTGATTGGATCATTTGTGCAAGTGGCTTTATATTTAATTGCTCTAGAGTATCAACATAGTGACACAGAGCCTTTTCTTGCTCTTCTGATAATCTGGTGTTGGTTGGTGGTCGTTCACATAGATTGGACCGTCCCTTCCACCTTGCGGAGAGGGTTTGCCGTTTAACTCCATATTCACGTGCAGTTTTGGCGATATTTGGGGGATTTTGTGTGCTTAACGCGTCAATAGCTTTGAGCATTCGATCTTCATAATTTTTATTGAATTTGGGCATGGTGGTGGTGGTTGAATTATATGATAAAGTTGATGGGTTGGAATTCTACGAAGTTCTAAAATCGGTGCTCGGGTGGCTGGGGTGCTCGGGTGGTTGTCAGGGTCGCGCAATACGCGCGACCCCGAAGGTTACCGTAGGGGTCGGTTATCTCGTTAATATACAACTACTTGGAAATATCACGAAGGTGGAACATTGTTCATTGTTTTCTCGACTTTATTTAAATACACCCGTGGACCGGAAGAATTACCGACAGGGAAAAAAGCAACACTAGTTTCCATGTTCATCAGATATGAAAAACAATCGTTTATCGTCAAGGACGCCATGCCGTAGCTGGCATCTCGGGGCTTGACTCTATGATTGGTATATCATCACGCGAACGGAGGTGATCATATGAATTTGAGACAAAAAAAAAAAATAGGAGGGAGTCTGGCCCCTTCGACAGGGCTTCTGTGACAACATCATCACCGCTTTGCCATAAGCTACAGACTCAAAAAAGGAAGTGAACTCCTCGCCTCAAGAATGAGCCCCATTGAGTTACCCATATACCAAAAGATACAAGGGCAATCGCATGACTATCCAACCACGACGAAAAGCAACCCCAATTACACCCCCCTCCTCTCAGCTGATACCACCATTGTTTCCACCTTGCGGCGTCGGGTAACAGACCGGAAAGGAAGGGGTAGGAGGGGCAGGTAAGCCGCTATCAAACTGCTTTTATGGCGGCGCGTTTCCGCATTGCCTGACAAGTAGACCAAATAATTATCCCCCCGAAAGGAAATAATCTATTTGGGCAGGGTGTCCGGGGACTTTCTCCCAAAGCATATGAGAAAGAGTTTAGAACTCTGTGTGTGAGCTTTGAATGCGATTCTTTGAGCGAGGAGTTGGGGAGAAGAGGAAAAGAAAAAGAAAGGAAAATAATTTGTGATTGATTTTTTCCGTGGCGAGTCTGTTTGCGGTTAGCGCTATCACGTGAGGTGGATCCTTCCATGTTGGATCACGTGTGATTATGCCGCATAGGTCCGCCCTCGCTGACCCTTTTCACCACGTAGGCCTATCTAGCTAGTAACCAACGATATATATCTCCATTATTCCATGGTATTGTTTTTCCACTCATAAATAATACATTTGTTTAGATGATACGGACTAGAATTGCATGCAAATTCTGATTGTAAGACTGAGTGTCTATAAGTACACTGTACAATTTTAGAAGCCTTCAAATCGCCTATAAGAACCAATACTATGATAACAATACGCATACGGGAGGTAAGAATTGAACAAAGAAAGTCCCGATTGTTGCAGGTAGTAAACGGTCATCAACCACAATCCTATGCCTTAACCCTGTTCTTCTTATTCTTGGGCTTTTCAACCTTCTTGGTTTTCCCTTCGGCTTCATTCGCCGGCGCCGCTTTGGACTCTGTGGTCTCCTTCGCAATCACCTTCTTGGCTCCCTCCTCCTTGGGCGTGCCCTGTTCGCCTGTTTTGCTGGCCTTTCTCTCCTTTTTATCATCCTTGGCCTTCTTGGATTTCTTGTCCTTCTTGGACTCCTTCGGAGTATCGTCGGGCTCCTTTTCTTTACCAGTCTCCTTTGGCGGGGCTTCGACAGCTTTCACGAATTCCTCTGGTGCCGACTGGGCTGCCTCGATCTCCTTGGTCTCCTTAGCAGGGAGTTCGTTGACATGTGTCAACTTGGGAAGATCGAATTCGTATCCCAGTACTTCCTTCAATTTCTCGACCTTGGCATTTCGCCTCTTCTGTTCTTGTGAAATGCTCTTCGACCATTTGTCGCGAGTTTTGCCTGCATCAAGTCGCTTCTTCTCAATCCGGTTCCAAGGAGTTTTCTTGAATCGTCGATCGGCTCCCTTCCAAAGCTCGGGGTGAACTTGTTCCTGAGGCACGAACTTGCACTTGAGAATGTGGCCGTACATCAAATAGTTATCCATGGTCTCCGCAACGATCTTGGCGACGGAGGTCGAAGCAAATTCGATGAAAGCGTAATGCTTGGAGCGGCCAGTCACGCGGTTACGGGAGAGACGAAGACGGGTAATGTCACCGAATTGGGAGAAATAAGCGCGCATCTGGTGTTCGTAGAAACCATGGGGGATACGTCTGACAGAAGTTGGATGTTAGCTGGTAGACCAAGGCAGTAAGACAAAAAAGAAAGGCAGCTTTACCCAATGTATACGGTGCCGGGCTGTTCGACTGCTCCATCCGATTTTTTCTGCTTCTTCAAAAGTTTGCGCTTGACCTTCTTGGAGTCCGGGATGTTGGGCACTGGTTGACTCGGATCGTATCCTTCATCCTCGGAATCGTCTTCGTCGCCGCTGCTCTCGAAGCCCTTGAGGAGTGCAACGGTCTGGTCATCCTCGGCCCCATCTTCATCCGATTCAGAACCCGAGAGAGACTCGTCATCCTTTTCGACAACTTCGTCTGCCTTCTTGTCTTTCCCATTGGCTTTGTTCTTGCCTTTCTCGGCCTTTGCAGCCTGCTCCTTCAGAGCAGCGCTGGATGCCTTGTCATCCTTCTTGGCCTTCTTACCACCGGAAATAGCCTTCTCGGTCTTCTTCTTTTCCTCCACAGGAGCCTCCTTGATATCCGTGTCTTCATCATCACTGAGGAAGTCAGCAGCGCGCTTGCGAGGCTTAACCTGTCTTGCTGGCTCGCCATTGAGCTTCAACGAGGCGGAAGAAACATCCTCCCTTGTATCCTCAGAAGAGGCTGCCTTGTTCTTCTTCTTCAGAATGGATTTGGGTGTCTTTTTCGCAGTCTCCTCCGCAACGACTTCGACCTTCTTCGATTTCTTCGCAGGAGCATCGCTGACCGCGGTTGCGGCTGTTGCATTGTTAGTAAACAAAATAGAACCCAGGAAAAGAATAAATGTATGTAATTACCCTTGCGCTTCTTCTCTTTCTTGTCAGGCGCCATACTCTCTGTATTTTTTCTTGAACTTGGAAAGTCGAATGTACGGAATCTGAGTAGGCGTGCTCCAACAAAAAACTTCGGGAAACTTTTTTCTCCGTCTGTCGAGACAAAACGCTAAAGCGGTGAGCTTCCAGCTCCGCTTTCCGCTCCGCAGTGCGACACTGAAGCCTAGAATATCAAAGTACAATCACCTAGAAGATCCTTTTATTTCAATTTATTTCTCTCCTTCGAAGTTATTTCCCGTTGCGGTGCCATGGGAAAGAACAGAAATGCAAACAGGCCACTGACACATGCGGAAATATGGGACGACTCTGCTCTTGTCCGATCTTGGGATGAGGCTGTCGAGGAATACAAGGCTCGTACAGTATTCAACGTTTACATGATGTCTGGGAGTTATTACTAATGCACGCAGAACAGCTCTATCACAGTATTCATGCCAGAGGGGAGGACGTCGAAGACGTTCTGAGGAAGGCAGAAGAAGCGGAACTTACAGAGAGCAAGACCCAGAACCAGCATGACGACCAAGATCAAGAACTTGATTATGAGCCTGTTGGCGAGGAAGAAGTCCCCGATGCAGATGTAACAGATGTATGTACTTCGTGATAGTTGTTTCTTATTTCCCCCAGCTTCAAATTTTCCATGTTTAGCTGACTGGTACCAGGCAGTGCAGCCAGAAACGGATCCTCACCAGGAACCTCATCCTGGCGAGAAGGCTGGCGGTCCTGAAATCGGACCAAGCCTTTCCGGTCCAGGAGCAGCTTCTATGCCTCATGCAATTTTGACACAAGGTAAGGATTCATCTACGGGGTTGTTTTACACCATATTATCCCGGTTTACGTTTTTGGCAAGCTCTAGACGAGGAGCAATTGAACTCCAGGTTGACTGGCATTATAGTTCAAGACGAAAGCCTGAAGAATCTCATGATGGCTTGGTATTTTGCTGGATACTACACCGGTCTTCACGAGGGACAGCAACGAGCGCAGCAAAATGTAGCTGCTAATAACAACAATGGCAATACAGGATCATAAATCAATCGGTTTTGATAGTTAACAAAGGAAAGAAACTTTTTACACGCCTGGATAATCAAACCCGTCTTCGATTATCCATGAAGTTCAACCGGGAAAGATGTGTTCATGCCAAGCGGCTCGCTTTCGTTGGGATTTCAGACCTCGGGCTCGCAAATGACCACATGAGTTCCACCATGGCAAATTATAAGTCGCTTCGGATTGCGAGGAAGAGTGACCTCGTCGGAGGAACAGCTGCATCGACAGCTTGGAATTGGCATCTTAGCATTGGGACACATGAGATTATAACTTGGGTTTTGGCGGGTTCCAACAGTGTCTAGCATATCCTTAAGGAATACGAATAACGCAGAACGCTTTCTTACGCTACTGCCTTCACACATCGTTAATGTCTACCAAAGTTATACCGATAAGCCAACCTTGCAGGTAGACAAAGCCACGACTATGTACGGAGTAAATCCAGTCTAGGTAATTGCAATGTATCTCCCTACTTTGACACGTACAGCCCCATTCTGAAATCAAAGGCAGACGCAACACGAGGAAGAAGTCAATAGGCCAGACTAAGTCCAACCTGTCTCACTCTTGGCATGATTTTGACCTCGAATATCATGGGAATTGACGGACGAGACTTCGATAATGCCTGACTACTATTGTTTTGCAGAATAGGTCGAAGAGCTGAAAAGAGGTTAGTCCTTTGAAAGGTGGTTTAAGCAGCGTAATTCCACATTTGGATCCTTGTTTGGTTAGTTGAAGCAGAGCAAATCTCTTAACGGTCACCCTGAAACTCATCTTCACCCGCATTAAGGCGAAGATCGTCCAGTTGGAGTCTCAAAAGAGACAACAAACTATGTGTGCACAAGGCTAAATAGCCATGAAATAAAAGATAGTGAGGCAAAAAAGGATGTAAGCTCTAAAGCGAACCCAACCACCCCATAATCAACTTTTGGGAAAGAATTTTTCCCAAGAGGGGTAGATGGCGGGATTAGAACGAGCCATGCATCATTCTGGGTCTCTGACTAAAATTTGCAGAAGGAATTTGTGGGAAGATGGGAAGCATCATCCGTCCATCGACAAGGGTATGTTGGAGACCGCGTTGATAGTTGAAGAAGGAAAAGGAAAAGAGCAGGCGAGGCAAAGGGAAAATTTATTTGGGCTGTGGAGTGGAGCTGCGTTGATTAGTAATATTTTTGCTGTCGGAGTTTGTCATCAAATGAATAAGAATTCATAGTTAACTATCTGAGATTCATCAACAATTAATTATATATACACCTATTCATTCATTGAAACAGGAAAATGCAGAACTAGAAACGAGCAAGAACCCTCTCTGGGATACCCGACTGCGCATATTTATCGCTATGAGTCTTGCTCAGGACTGACTTGGCCTGCTCGGCCGTGAAACCCTTCGCCTCGACAGCTGGGTTGTATCCTAGCCCGGTGATCTTTGCGACAACATCCGATGGCACAGCAGTCGCAACCTTTCCATCTGCCCGTTTGTACACTGCAATAACAGCGGCACCTCCCAGGCCTAAATTGTGCTGCAGGGCAGCATCAGTGCCGCTGACTAGTCGATTATTGGCCCAGCCACGCAGGTGCCAGACGAGCTCCGCACACTGCGCAATGCCCGTAGCCCCCAGAGGATGGCCCTTGGAGATGAGACCTCCAGACGGATTGATAACCATCTTTCCGCCGTAAGTGATGTCGCCGCGGCGGACCATCTCGTGCGCCTTTCCAGGCTCGGAGAGCTCTAGGGCATCGATAGTTATCATCTCGTTGGCTGAGAAACAATCGTGCAATTCGCACACCTTGATGTCCTTGATATTCACGCCGGCTTCGGCGACGACTTCCCGGCATGCATTACGAACCATTTCAAATCCCATCATGTCGATAGCGCTGCGGTCAAAGACGGAGCGTGCGTCCGTGACTAGTTTCTGGCCTGCAATCTGGATTGCTTGGCTCTTGAGGTGCGGCCGGGCGTCCAGGAATGCTTGAGAGACAATGACGGCTGCAGCGCCTCCATCGGATGTCGGACAGCATTGCAGTTTTGTGAGGGGTTTATGGACCATGGGAGATTTGATGATCTGTTCAAGGGTGTATTCGTCCTGGAATTGTGAGTATGGGTTCCGTTTTGAATGCTCGTGGTTGACGCGTGCGATCTCAGCGAAATCTTCCAGCTTCGCTCCGTATCTATTAGATCATCGAGTCAGCCATCTCTTTTCCCCATCCATTTTCTTCAACTGAGGGTGCGCTTTACTTTTCCATGTACTCCTGTCCAGCATTACCAAACAGCTGAGCGGCAATGGGAGCCTTCTCAATCCCCTTCGTCTCCGACATCATAACAGTAAACAACTCCAAGGGATTTGCCCGATCATGGAAGTACGAAGCAAGGCTACCGGGATTCATCTTCTCGAACCCGATAACGAGCACACAATCCGCCGCGCCATAAGACACCAGATTCCTGGCCATAACTAGCCCCGTAGACCCTGTCGAGCAGTTGTTATTGACATTGTAAATAGGAATCTCCGTCAGACCGAACTGGTAGAACACTCGCTGGCCGCTGGTGCTATCCCCGTAGACGTAACATGCCACGCCTTGGTCAACATCGTCGTAGTTGATGTGCGCATCCAGCATAGCCTTGACCCCTGCTTCGAAACCAAGCTCCGTATAGTCGACTTTCCCACGGGGTTTGATGAATTTGGTCATCCCGACGCCTAGGACGTAGGCGGGGCCGGCTTGCTTGGTAGGCATTTTGAATGGGTATGTTCTGTGGTCAGTGGGTAGTCGAGAAGGGATTATAGCATAGTGGTCATAGATTATATAGGGCAGACCACACCACCAGGATCTACAAGTCGCAAATGCGGGATGACTGTGGAGAAGATGCCGAGGTCGAGGGAAAATAGCGGCTTTCACAGCCGACTTGAACCCGAGAATCCTCTGCTTAGAGAAGCATGAATCGATAGTTAGCTTCAACTGCATTTTCCATGCTGGATTCTCGAAATGCTTTGCTTGTAGAACACTAGGACTTGGTGAAGAGGAGCTCCAGTCAAGATCTAGTGTTCTCCTTAAAGCCTGTCTGCTGCTGAAGAGGATCCCTTCTTTCACATGCCAATAGCCTCATGATATTTTTGAATTCACATAACATATTAGTATTCTGTGAGAGTTTAGTGAGATAATAAGTTTGTGTATTCCAGTTATGCGTATCGACAGGCAGTTGCGGCAGTTACAGCAGTGCCAGGAGAGTTCAACAGTCAAATTCCCATCTGCTGCTGCGTAGTAGACAATGGCAGACAGAGAAACGTCCGGGTTCTGATTAGAACCTGGTGTCTTCTCTGCTACCCTCCTTCCTATTGCCTGATATGCTTTGCCATAGCTCAGCTGTCAGTGTTATCATGGTCGCGTATCCTTCCCATCTTGAGCTCTACTCAGATTACTAGAGCCGTGAACATCTGTCTATGACTGTTTCAAGTTTCGGGCCAATATCCCTCCATGGAACTGGATCCACATTGAGAAGCTCCCTGACATACCATGGTCGGAGCTGATCATTGTTCGCGAATAGGCATGCTCCAATCATATGGAATCAGCCGTTGACGCATATTAAAGATATAAGATATAGTACATTGATTCGTTCTTCATATCACGAATACTCTCATCATGGGTTAAGCAGTCATGGCCAGAGCATTCGGTGTTCGCGAACATGGTTGGACGAGCTCATAAAGACACTCTTTCTCCCTGTTCTCTCGCAGATTATGTTTCTGCAGAAGAGGAAGCTCGGACGAAACCACATTTTCGCATTCAAACTGCGCGTTTTCTTTCGGTGTCTCCGGTGTCCACAGCCAACATCGGCCGTTGCAGGCCATCGAAACGGAGACAATGACCGGGTCCTGATAGGGTGGAAGAAGTCAACGCCACATCTGCTGCCCGGTACTATTATTAAGACGCTTCAGCAAAACAGCTTCAATAGTCTGTGACGTAGACGGATACCTACTGGATAGGATTCTCTCCGGCGCGTCCTGGGGCGGGGTCGAGATGACAGGACTGGCTGCACGGCGGATTTGCCTCCATAGCTAATTCTGCATTTGTACATAAACTTTTTGACGTAGATGCAGTTGGGATGCGAGGTTCTTCCTAACGGAGGACAGCAAGCCGCTGCACAGAGCAGTATACTGCTGTACAGGAAGCACAACGCGTCCATTTGCTTCCAATGTTCGATGGACCGCGTCGACGTCACTGGACATTGCCCCTAAACCCATTTGAGCACTGCAATCCACTGCACTTGTTCCACACTCGGCTTAGAGCATTGCTCTTTCTCTTCCTCTCACTCAACACTACATGCATTGGGCTCTCCCTGACTCATGTGCATTGAAACTGTCTTTGTTTGGGTGTAAGTGGGTGTGCTTCCTTGCCAATGTTGTCTGCTCCATCCTGCAATCCGCTAACGGTGTTGTTTTTTTAACCCTTAGGTTTAAATTTGTGTTCATAGTCACCCTTGGCATTCCTGCGCATTGTGAAAACAGATCTGCCAGCTGTCGCTATATATATATATAACGGCATTGAAAAAGCATACGTATTTATCTCAGGAAAGGGATTGTTGCATATCTACTGGCCTGTCTATTTTCTGGGCCTGAATTCTGTTTCTGCCGCCGGCCTGCTCACTATCAGCTTCAATTCACTCGAGACAACCCCTCCACAGGCACAGCCTCGGATTCTTCAAGAACAAAGGTGTCATTGGAACGTTCTTGACAAGTCTTCATGGATAACTGTGGGACGCAGAACGGTCTACTCTCATATTGAGAGGCCAGTTTGCGTTCCATAGGGTTCCCCAGCCTGCCTTCACAGACAGTGGTATTCATCCACACAGGAAAAGCGAGAATTCCCCTTAGCAAGGATATACTCCGCGCGAAAACCCCAAAACTATACCAGAAATCTCCTCCAGATGAAACGGCCTTAGGGATGACTCTTGACGAACCCACCGAACATGCGCCTTTCCCCCCCACTCCTTCCCACCAGCCGCCTTTCGTGAAGCCAGCCACCAATACGTGGATGATGGACGAGAGGACACGCAACAGACTTTTGAAGAAATATGACACCCAGGTGGCATCTGCAGTTTCAACGGTTTGTGCAACTCTTTCAGTGGTGAGTAGCTTTTTGATCTGGCGTTCCTGAGTCTCGACAAATTCCAGACAGACTACATTTGACGAGAGATCTTAATGTTGACATTGACCGAATCATCTGCTTTCTTTTAGACGCCTTTGGACAATGTGAAGACTCGAATGCAATCGTAGGTCTTCGTTCTCGCGACGCGTTTTCTCTGCCTCGTTCCTGACTCACGTATAGACATAATTTCTCGAACGCATTCCAATGTATTCGGTATATCCGGCGTAATGAAGGATATCGCGGATTTATCGCTGGTAAGCGGATGTTACGAACTTAGAGTTGCATTCTCGTTTACGATATCGCTAATTCACATCGTCAGGAGCTCTGCCTCCGTTGGCAACCGTCACTACTGTCCGTGTCCTGAATTTCTCGACATACAACGTAGCCAAGTCCGCCATCTCCGACTTCATAACGAACATCACGGGCAAGTCGCCTCTGGAGAACCAAAATAAGCCAGGAAGCAGCCCAACTCTAGCGAGTCTGGCCACCTTCACTGCCGCTGGAATGATTGCGGGCATTGTGTCTACTCCTATTGCCTGTAAGATTTCTTACCAACATATTCAACGTATCTGGGACTGACTGTCGCATGATGACGCCTTTAGGTCCATTTGAACTTGCAAAAAATGTTGTGCAGACCTCTGTGTTGATGGCAAACCGCGCTATGGCATCTCCTGGCGCTGCTGCAGACCCGTCGCTACGCAATAAACCGCGCCTTAATACCATTGACGCTTTCAAACAGATCGTTGCCCGTCATGGATTCCGTGGACTGTACACGGCGTTCCATCTCCATGCTATGCGCGACATGATCGGTACTGGCATTTACTTCTCGGTGTACGAGACGGTCAAGCAACTCGCTGCCAAGGAACTTGGACAGGGTCACCTTCCGTTAGGCGGCCCCATGATCGCCGGGGCAATCTGTAGCACCGTTCCCTGGTTCTGTGTAAGTGAAGCATGATTTGGATCTCACCTTATTTCTTATCAATGAGTTGCTCATTGATGTGTCTCTCCACAGACCTATCCTCTTGATACGAGGAAGACCCGCGCTCAAAGCGTCCTTCTGGGCAAAACCAACGAAGTTGGTGAAGCGTCGGCGGCCGTTGCCAAAGCGAGCATGTACAAAGGCCTGCCCACCCTCCTTATTCGCACTGGTGTCAACAACATGATCCTTTTGAGCCTTTACGAATACATAAAAATTAGGATCAGTCAGCTAGAGACTTAGGGCGAACATTGGTGGAGGTAAAATGTCCATCTTCGAAGTTGACGAAAGATACATTCGGTCTTTGGCGCAAACGGATGATTGGGGTGATTTTGCGGATTACATCTTTTTTTTAAACTTGCGGCTTGGGTTTAGGTCTCCATTTCATGCGTACATACATTGCAAGCAAATATGAATAGCAATGAGAAATAAGCACTTTATCTATGTATTTAATGCCTGAGGCAGAAACTCTATGCCTTACGTGTTGCTAGGCGGCGGGGTTTAAAGCTGGGGCTTTTTACCGTCAACAAAAGCAGCGTTCAACTGCTACATCATAGCTCTCTCCCCTGAGACCGGTCGCGGAATCGCTTGGAGGAACTGCAATGGCATCGTATGTTCTTTTCTTGATACATCCCAACTACTCCTGAGTTCTTTACAAAAGATCTGCCACTAATGGATTGATCGATCGCATAGCAATATCCTGCAGATTCCGTTTCGACGCACTCACAATGTCTCCCTTTCCGATGCGATCACCCAATATATCTCTGAGAAATATGATCAGCGTCCAGATATGTTTGCGGATGATCTCTTGATCATTGATCGTCTGCGCGTCGAGGCTATCAATGTTCAAGAACCACACGTCAGTGGCATCAGCCGGCTTGTCACATATGCAGCACAGTTGAAATGGTTGGGTGGGAAGTTCCCGGTGGACGTGAGTGCTGGAATCGCCAATTCGATGCCCTTGATATGAAATTCGGCAACCCTAACTTTTCCTAGGTTGGAGTCGACTTTTCGTGGTATCCCGCATTCGGATTCAATACATCAAGACCCAGTAAGTGGATGGGGAAGAAGGGTGTGTGAACAAGTATGCATTAACGATGAGTGTTTTGCTCTGTAGTCTCGCAGAATAATCTTCGCTTTGAGCTTGCTAATATAATATTTAATATCGCCGCATTATACTCGCAGTTGGCCTTCTCTCTCAACCGGACTACCTCCGATGGACTCAAACAAGCCTGCAACTACTTCTGCCAAGCTGCGGGCACATTAGCTCATCTTCGGACAGAAATTATGTCTGACCTCCGCGCGTCTCCTCCGGAGGATATGGACGATATGACGCTCCAGAGTTTGGAACAACTTCTGCTCGCGCAGGCACAGGAGTGTTTCTGGCAGAAGGCTATTAAGGATGGGCTAAAGGACGCCTCGATAGCGCGGCTGGCTGCGAAAGTTTCAGACTTCTATGGTGATGCTAGTGAGTTTGCAGTCAAGTCCAATGCTATCAGTGTCGACTGGATCCACCACATGACTGCGAAGCATCACCATTTCGCTGCTGCGGCGCAGTACCGCCAATCTCTAGACTGTCTGGAGAAGCGCAAGTACGGTGAGGAGGTTGCCCGCTTGAGGGACAGTTTGTCTTGTGTCAATGAAGCCTTGAAGGAATCCCGTTGGATCAGTCGAGTCGTGCTGGGAGACTTGAACGGTCTAAAAGCCCGCGTGTCGGAAGACTTAAAACGCGCAGACAAAGACAACGATGTTATTTATCTGCAGGCAGTGCCGCCAAAGTCGGAGCTGAAAAGTATCGACCGCGCGAGTATGGTAGTGGCCAAAGCACCGTCCCAGGTCACAGATGCTATTTCCATGCTTGGGGACAATGGACCTCTGGGCCAACCGCTCTTCTCCAAGCTTGTGCCATATGCAGTCCATATTGCTGCTAGTATATATTCTGATCGCCGTGACCGGTTGGTCAATGAGACCATTATCGGTGAATTGGAGTCCATGACGGATAAACTTCGAGAGTAAGATCCTTCCTCTGCACTGTGGTTATTCATTCATGGAGCATACTAACACCCAAATATAGTCTCTTATCATCGCTAAATTTGCCTGGTTCTTTACAAGCCCTTGAAAAGCCACTCGGACTGCCGCCGACCCTTGTATCCCATGCGGAAGAAATGCGACAACAGGACGGCCTAAACCGATTACGGAGGTCATTATCAGATACTGCCAAAGTCAAAGCCAACGATAAGGCTGTATACAACGAAGGGGTAGAAATATTGGCTGCAGAAAAAGCCGAAGACGACGCCGCGCGAAAGAAGTACGGAACGGATAGGTGGGATAGAGAGCCATCGGAGACCGCGGCTAAGAAAGTCTACAACACAGCGAATGAAATAAATGGTTACTTCACCTCTGCTCAGAGCAGCGATGAGCTTGTGGAGGGGAAGTTGAAGGATTTCGAGCCCATCTTCAAGGTTCTTACTGGTACCAACAGAGACCTAGAGACGTACGTTCCCAGCAGTAGAAGGGCTGCTATCACGCCAGAGGTTGAGCGGGAATCGAATCAGCTCAGGAACTGTCTAAACGAAGTGAGCTGGGTAGAAGGTAAACGGAAAAGGAGGATACAAACATTGAAGGAGAAGGCTAGATCCGATGATATCAGTAAGTTGCCAAATCATAAGTAGTACACTACGACCATGTCAGGAAATCTGCTAACAGCAGGGACGCCAGACTCCGCGCTTCTCAAAGAAACTGCGCGTCTAGAACGAGAATTTCCCATGCAACCAATCCAGGCGAGCCAGTTTGAAGACCTGTTCGAACAGCGACTGCATCTATATGACTCGGATTTGGAGCTGCTAGCACAAGAACGAAACGAGCAAGATCAGATTGCCGAGAAGGTGCGCGAAGCCAACCACGCCTTCAACAAGGCGCGCATGGGTGACTCTTCAACCAAGGAGCGAGAGAGGGCCCTTCAGGAGCTGGAGAATGGATACTTGAAGTACAAGGAAATTATCTCCAATATTGAGGTAGGAAGGAAGTTTTACAATGATCTAGCGAAGATCGTTGGACGGTTCAGGGATGAATGCAAAGTCGTCGTGCACCAGCGCAGAATGGAAGCAAGTCAGATGGAAGCGTATGCTTACCCCTTTCATGACAGATCAGGTCGTTTAGCTAACAGACAGCAAAATGAACAGCGAGATCTCCAATATCTCCGCTATGGCAACCCTTAACATTTCTCAAGCCCATCTCCGGCCTCAAACCCAACACTCCACAAGCCATAATAACTCGGCTTATATTCGGAGCCAACCACAACCACAACCAGTGCTACAGCCTCAGCCTCAACCTCCCATGCAACAACCGATACAGCCACAGGAACAGCGGCAACCCTCACGCCCTCACGCGACAGAGGAGCCCCTTACGGCTCCCCAACCGACCCGCGCCCCTGTTCCACCACCACAGGTCCCAGCGCCGGGTCTATGGTCCCCAGAGATAGGAATCCGGTTTGGTGGCCCAGCTCCTCCTCCATCCCAGGGCCAGATTGCTGGGAGAGGACAGGGACAAGTTTCTGGCAAATGGGATCCGAATCAGGGGATAAGATTCTCTTGATATGTTTTTCGTTTATCGTTTCCCAGTTACGCGTTTTGGAATGCATTGCATGCTTTTCACTTGATATATAAGGTGTGCTTTTTTCACTGAGTCTTGCATTGTATTATTACTATCCGACTATAGTATATGTTCTGCATTATCGTCAAAAGATGACGAAGTTGTGTTTTCCGGACAAAATCACCGCTATAAATTAATTGTTTATTGTCTGAGAGCGTGGGACATTCTCTTGTGTTCAGAATCCCAATCACTGTTCTTATGTCTTGAAGTCTGGATCATATCCAGATTCGATGTGCCGAAGGGAGCAAAAGAAAAGTTGGTGACCGAGCTGATATGTCTGTATCCAGACCATACGCGCGAGCTGTACGCCGGTCCATTGGCTGGACATGATGCCACTAGAACGCATTCTAGTTATGTAAATCTGGGTCCTATCATGACTGACCTCGCGAAGCAAACCGTCTGGCATTCTCACTCGAGTTGCTTGGAGACTTGCATTCGTGGGACAGCTAGGCCAATTGTATTGCCTGCATGACTGCGTTATTATTAGGAATATGCAGTCGCCGAAGGAGAGATCAGAGAAAATGAAATCCCCAGAGAAATCTAAGAGTCCAGCTAGATATCAGAGATCACTAGTTCATGTTTGGCCACCACTATTCCTTAATTTTGCCAGCGCAGACATTATGCCTTCGCTCATTTCTTCGGGTTGACCTCCTTGGATGCGACTGGAATCTTCCGCTTCTGCCAGAATCATGGCCTCCTCGTCATCTTTGTGAGAAATACTAGCAGCATTCGTATTCGCACTTGCAGTCGAATCCAGGGTTTGCCTCTCAGGCGCTTTCTTCCCCTTCGCCCTTTCGACCCTGAAATCTTCCCGGACAGCATTGCACCATTGTCGAACTTTTCTCTCCCCCCACCCTGGCACAGAGCTAATTTGCTCCGGCTGCGCATTGATGGCATTCTGCAAGCTGCCAAAGGTCGATATCAGACTCGCCGCGTCCGACTTGTTAATATTTCGCGGAGTTGTGACAAACTCAACAAGCGATTCCTTATAAGACTGCGCCTGCTGGGTACGGATAGCAGTCGGTTGTGCATTCTCAGATGATTTGAATAGCTCTAGGTAATGCGCCGCCTCGGGCGCAGACCAACAAAGTATCAATGTAAGATTGTTGATAATCGACGTCTTCGAAAGCTCTTTCAGGCTCTCCTCGTGGTTCGGAATATCGACCATGATCAGGATAATGCGGAGATTGTATTTATGTCCGAGTAATCGGATCCGGGAATAGATGTATTCCGGATGCAGACGGTGGTATTTCAGGGAGAGGAAAAGAGCGCAGGTGGTGTTCCCGAGGACGTAGTCGGCTGGGATATCTGCGAATTCCCAGGGAAGAAGCTTGACATGGTTGAGGATTGGGTTGCCTTTCTGCCGGGAGGAGACGAGGATTGCAGATGGGCTGTTTCTGGTTGGGAGAGCTTGTGGCTTGGGTTGTTGGACTTTCTTCGGTGGTTGTGGTTGTTGGCGGGAAGGGGCTGCTGTTGACGTGGAGGATTGAGGAGGTGCGTTCTGTTTGTTGTTCAGCAACGAGCTGAAGTCTGCATCTTCTCCAAATTCATTGTCCATTGTGTCTGAGGAGAGTATGCTCTGTTGAGAGTAGCTGTAGCTGTAGATGCAAGGAAGTATATGAGCTGATGTAATTAGTGCTCGAAATGTCTCACCGCCTGGATACCACTCTATTTTCTGCCGCCGATTTTTTAAAAAAGTCCCAGAGGATTCTGCTCATTACGATCACTTCCTCAGTCACATAACAACAAAATGGCTGAACCAAATAAAAAAAGGCGTCTCTCAGGAGATGGGGGAAGCAATAGCGACCCCAATATGGATGCCCCTAAAATGGAAAAAACAGAAGCCAATTCCCCACAAAAGTCAACATCCACATCTCAACCCCGGAGAACTCTCTTCGTCCGATCCCTGGCACCCTCTATTACCACCGAGAAACTAGCAGAATATTTCTCCCAGTCCTACATCGTCAAGCATGCGATTGTCGTTACGGATTCAGAAACCAAACAGTCCAAAGGCTACGGCTTCGTTACGTTCGCCGATATCGAAGATGCGCAGGGCGCCCTGGAGGAATTCAACAAGTCCGAGCTAGACGGGAAGAAGATCAAGGTTGAATACGCAGAGCCTAGGCATCGAGAAGTTGACGAGGATCTTGGCAAGAGCTTGCCTTCATCATCTACGGCGCTGAAGCAGAAGCTCAAGGAGGAGAAGGAGCAGCGGCGAGCAGCGACGCAACCACCCAAGCTGATCGTCAGAAACTTGCCGTGGAGTATTAAAGAGCCCGATGATCTTGCCGCGCTGTTTCGGAGTTTTGGCAAGATCAAGCAGGCGACTCTTCCGAAGAAGGGGACGAAGCTTGCTGGGTTTGGTTTTGTGGTGTTGAGGGGGAAGAAGAATGCCGAGAAGGCATTGGAAGCTGTCAATGGGAAGGAGGTGGATGGGAGGACGTTGGCGGTTGATTGGGCTGTCGAGAAGGGTGTTTGGGAGAATCTGAAGAACTCTGCCGTTGAAGAAGCGGGCAGTGAGAAGGGAGATGAAGAGGAGAAGCCGAAGAACGAGGGCGAGGAAGAGGAAGATGGCTCTGATGTTGACATGGAGGATGCTTCTTCTAACGATGAGGATGCCTCTGATAATGAGGAAATGGAAGATGGGGATGAGGACGAGGAAGATGATGATGATGACGATGACGAAGAAGACGAAAGAAATGCCTCTACCATATTCATTCGGAATCTACCCTTTACTTGCACAGATGAGATGCTCTACGATCACTTCAGTCAATTCGGACGACTACGCTATGCAAGGATCGTCGTGGACCCGGAAACCGAGCGCCCTCGAGGAACCGGATTCGTATGCTTTGTGAAGGCCGAAGATGCCGCGTCATGTGTCCGAGGTGCTCCCGAACAGACGGATCCAGCAGCCAAAGAAAAAGACAAAAAGAGCAAAGGACCTCTTGCACATAAGCAGTCTATCTTGCAGAATGAAACGGCCGATCCCACGGGACGATATACGCTGGATGGACGCGTGCTGCTGGTTGCACGAGCAGTAAGCCGGAAGCAGGCTGCCAAACTCGAGGAAGAAGGAGTCTCACGACGCCTTGTCCGGGATAAGGATAAGCGGCGCCTCTTTCTTCTTTCCGAGGGGACCGTCCCTTCGAACTCCCCTCTATACCAGAAACTCTCCCCGACTGAGATCAAGATGAGAGAGGACAGCTTCAAGCAGCGACAGAATTTCATCAAGAAGAATCCCACTCTACACCTAAGTCTCACTCGTCTCTCAATCCGCAACATTCCGCGACACGTATCGTCAAAGGATCTGAAGGCGCTTGCTCGGGAAGCCGTTGTTGGGTTCGCCAAGGATGTCACGGCTGGCCTGCGCCAACCGCTGTCCAAGGAGGAACTTGCGCGATCCGCCGACGAGATGAGGGAGGCAGTGAAAGAACGAAAAGAGAAAGGCAAGGGTATAGTTAGACAAGCTAAAGTCGTGTTTGAGAGTCGCGAGGGCAGCAAAGTCAACGAGAAAAGCGGTGCAGGCCGCAGCCGTGGCTACGGTTTCATTGAGTACTACACTCATCGCCACGCGCTGATGGGGCTGAGATGGCTTAATGGGCACGCAGTCAAGCCTCCTACGACTCCCATAGATGGTGCCACCGAGAAGACGAAGCGGCTTATTGTCGAGTTCGCTATTGAAAACGCGCAGGTTGTCAAACGCCGGAAGGAAGCGGAGGCTAAAGCGCGCAGTCATGAGAAGGGAAGCCGGAATAAAGATGTTCAGGATAAATCTTCAGCCACGAAGGACGACGCATCGACGTCACCGGCTAGAGGAAAGAAGAGGAAGAGGTCAGAAGCAGGCAGCGACGGGAAGAAGGTCAACGGGGAGGAGGGAGACTCAGAGGAGCGAAATAAGGTCGCGAAACGAAACCGGATCATTGCGAAGAAGCGAATGCAGCGAAAAGCACGGAAGGGAAAGGCATGACAACATATATTAGGTAGATAGCAGGGCTTTCATGGATATAATAGACAATTGTACTACGTCGCATTGTAGTCGATGGTCTCCTATCATTCATCTGATAGGCATTGCTTTCCTATGGGTATAACAACACAACACGACCTAATAAAGAATGATCCATAACACCTCATAAACCCAAGCCCGCGGTATTTCCATCCGATGCACCTCTAGCAATGTGACTAATTGCTCGAGATTGATCTCACAAATTCGTCGCATTCTCCACCTTCCCAACAATATTGTACCGTTTACTGAAATACGTAAACCAATCCTCCAACACGCCCTTATCCTTCTCGTCCAAATCGTACCAATCCGGTCTGCAATCCTCCGGCTTCAGAGATGAGAGTGCAAGAGCCCTCGAAGAATCCTTGCCGGTGAATACTGAGTGCATCGTCAGCTTCTCCTTCCCTAGTACCGACTCAAACACCCAAACAGAAAACGCACCATGATATGAACCATTGACATGATATGCACTGTTCCTGGATACGTCGAAGATGATCCCCTTGATAGCGACGTAGATGGGGCGATTTGGGTCGGTGCCTGTCAGTCGTAAATTAATCATTGTGGTCAGCGGGGATAAGGAATTGTTGACTGGTCAAGGATATATCGACGACAAGAGTCCTTGGGAGGAAGAAAATAAAGCAAACAGAGACAAAGGAACCCAAGGAAAAGGATGTATATACCATCGCACTTGGACAGTTCCTCGACGCTAATCGGGTCGTACTTGGGAGGATCAAGCTTGACGGGTTGCTTTGGCTCGAAGCTCTTCTTTTCGGTCATTGCGATTGCGGGCGTTCGGCAAGCTTTCTGTATGTTTGTGCGTGTAGTTCGGGAATTGGTGAGTTATGTCTGACAAAATGGATTCGTTGTCTTATGAAGAGAGTGAAGGACCCTTGCGATCTGTTTAGAAAGAAGAGGGATAGCTAATTTGTAGGGGAAGTTTTTGTCTGCTGAAAGAAGCCGAGGAACGCGGGGTAGTACCGCGGAAGGGCCGACGATGATGTATTATTTTGGTGCATGATATTGTTCTGCCACCTAATCAAATGACATGCTTGATTTATTATTCTGCTATATTGGAGGGATCACTACTTAGTGTAATGTCAGGGGGAATACAATTCCTTGATCAAGAGAAGAGCATGTCCGGTAGTGCCGAGGTCTGATTCTCTTGCTGTGACAGAAGAATAACAGAAAGCCATGCTATGCAATGATTATGTAGGATGTATCTATAGCTGTAAAAATACACCAGTGCGCCAGAATAAATCCAATTGAGAAAGAAAGAAAGAAAAAAAACCCCTCACTTCTCTTTACCATCAGTAGTATCCGAAGTGCCCCTCAACTGAGCCATCCTCAACTGATTCCTCTTCCCCAGCACGCGCAGTGTATTCTTCTTCTCAATCTCCGTCATCTGCTCCCAATTCGCAATGCGGGAGAGACTTCCATCCTGGTTGACAACTAGGGGGCCCAGATGGTCGAGTTTCACGCTGGAACTGCCCGAGCTTAGATCGAGTTTGTTTGTGTCCGCGGAGGAAGAGGACGAAGCTTCTGGGAGAGCGAGTGGGGTGGATGTAGATGTAGATGTGGAGTTTGGGGGTTCGGTTTTGTTCTCTGGTGTGTTGGATGGTTCGGTCATGGTGGAGGTTGGGTGGTGATTGTAGGGTATGGAGGAGTATGATGCCAGTTGCGGTTTGCAGATGCTTGGGTTCAGATTCGTTAGCTGTCGTGGATATGGATGTGCTTGTGCGAGGACGCGGGCTGAAATCGACAGCAGGCTCAGACCGAGGAGAGCAGTGCGGCGGATGAGACGATGCGACATGATCTCTGTTCTTCTGTCTGGTTAATATATATATGGGTATAAATACAAAGATCTGTGTCCACTGTCGGATCAGATATGATTAAGCGACCTAAAACGGCATTGTTCCAGACGGTTCTAGAAGCTTGATGTTATCTATAGTGGAAGTAAATATGAATAACAATCACAACAGCAGCATATAGATTCATATACAATGTTTGTTGCCTCTAGTTAGCACACAAAAGTCCATATACTGTCATGAGAATCAAGGCCAGAATACTAGAAGGGAGAAATCCATAGCTACATATAGCGGCTAGTGTGTTATTCTTGTCTTGAGAGAGGAGGGCACACTTACCCAGCTGGCAACAATGCCACGCAGTTAAACAAGTGAAAGCCATGAAAAGTCATTGGGAAAACACGGGAGACAAAGGAGCGATAGAAGATAGCATAAAGAGGGTCTCAGAGCAATGCGTACAGATTGGGGGGAGTTTAGATATCATTGTTACCCCCCAGACACGCAGTAGGCCTTGTCCTCGTAAGCATTGGCATGGCCCATTCCATTCTCAACCATCCTCTCCAGATACTATCATGATCTAAGCGCAGGCATCCAGTGCCACAGATGTCTCCGTGTTCAACCTTATCGATGTACTTATAGATGGCTCCAGAGGTGGTAGCTTGTTGGGCGGTAGTATCCCGATTGCGGCCTGAGGCATACAGGGCATACTCGACAATCCTCTCTCTTCCTATCAAACGGTCGTGGTATTAAGTAGTGATATTCCTCGGGGAAAGATGCTGTAGATTGTCATTGCTGCCTCAACGGTAATGCTCAAGATCATCGTCCTCCTCAGCGTCCATCGAGACTCGGGGTTTCAACCTAATGTCATCCGAACCTTGGACATTCCAATGGCGAAAGAGAGCGTCGAAGTCCTTGAGTTCATTGGATTCATGCCAGGTGCTGCAAGACTCATCTATGACAGATATCTCAACCGCCCTAATCCGGACCAAAATCCTGATGATCGCATCGCGTATGTTTCTGGTCATATCGCCGCTCTGAAGTCATCGCGACATGGAGGCACATGTGATGCGATTGCCGTCTGGCAGGGAGGCCACTCAATGGATGTTACCTTCAAAACGATACAATCGATGGGCTGGCTGAGGAGATTCGGGGAAAGATGCGCTTAATTATTAAAATGGTGTCTAGCATGTTACTCAAGTCGACAATTGCACGCTCACCCGCACCCCACGGCCATGGCCTAAAATGGCCTTACTTGTGGCTATTTCCGGCAGCTCATGTGCCGTCTGCTGCTTTAATTGAGTACTATTAAAACTAACAACAATAATAATAACCATCTGATATCTTCGTCACAGCGGCGAGCAAGTGACTATATTTCAAGTGAAGACATGGCCGCTGTAAGTCATCGAAACCACCAATTGGCCTATGGATTCGACATACAAGTTAGCAACTATCCGGTCACATACAGCAAAGCAACATACCGACGCGGTGACTTCCTTCCCAACTCCCTTGATGCTATGCCACCAACCTTTCGGTATAAACAGCCCATCACCTGGCCCAAGTTGGGCTTCGTATCCATTCTTTTCCTGAGAGGAAGAATCTGGGCCATTCGCATCATCTGAATCGTTCCAAACCACCTGATCCAGAAATTCCCTCTCCTTCCCCTGCATCATTTCTTCTCCACGGAATACAGCAGCCTCCCGATTTCCAGCTCTTCTCAGTTTCCTCCTGACGAATGCGAATAACGCTAATCCATCATCCGGAGTTAACAGCCGCACCCTTTTCTGTCCCGCAAGCTGAACGAATAGGTTCGGATTCGGATCGCGATGCAGAGGTGTATACGTTGGCGGTAACCCCATCCAGATATTTGTATCGTAAACATCGCCCTTCCCTGCCTGCGACACCAGACTCGGCGTTGGGAGGTCATCGCGCAGAGCCTGGGGAAGGTCTAGAAGCTGGCATTGGGCAAGGTAGAGACGCATCGGTGACTCGTGAGTCGTTTGCTGTATCCATTGCAGAAAGACACTTAGAGGTGCATGGAACCTTCTGAAGCTATGGTCATCATCCTCGGCATTGTTGCCGTTCGCAGGATATGGAGGCAATTCAGTGAGTTCTAATGGTACAAACACATCCGCACCATGTTTGTGTAGATATTCCACCTTCAACCGAGATATATTATTACCGGACGAGAAGAAGCTGGAGGAATCGGCAGCCTGAAACCAACGCTCGAAAGCCGGGATCCCTCGAAAATAACCGCGTGGAAGGATCGCTGGGCGTTCTGGAACGAAGCAGTTCTCGCGAAAGCTATCTAAGCTGGCATCGTCAAGGACATCGAGAGGATGATACCGGAACGGCGAAGCAAGCGTTGCGGAGTGGACGGTGTACAATGTTCGTATCGATGTCGAAGATGGTAATGGTATTGTCCGTGTCTTACGGTTGCCATATGCCCTGAACCAGCAGGGCAATTGATCCCAGACACGGAATCTATTGGGACTGATTATGCATCGCTGTAGCTGCATTCAGGTATGAGCAGTGTTGTAGACTGCAGGAGATGTTTGATTTCGAAGAGTTCGGATGTTTGGCAGAATCTCGTCGATCGTTGCTACATCTGGCCCTGGACGAGCTAACCCTTTATCGGTTAGATTGTATATCCTCCATTCTTGCCCTAAGAGAGCCGTTGAAGGGTCCCATTGCATTCTAGTAGGACAGTTGCAAAGACTATTTGCATATGCAAGTCATGTCAGGCGTGGTACCGGTGATATAGCCTTGCATAATACTGGTTCTCCCCCGTTGAGCTTTGCTTTCGGATTATTGAAGTACACGCGCCACTACCCTATCTCATTAGGCTGAATACATATACGACAGTCAGGAGGCAGTCTCTTTATGCTCAAAGCCAAGAGGAGCAAATTAGAATGGTAATATAATGAATACTTAACTTAGTTAACTAGTTGACTATTTGAGTGAGGACCTCAAAGTCCGGTCTCCCATACCACGAGCCAAGGTACAGGAAACGGAGCAGAAAGCGGCACATGACGATGACTCGAACTGAATTATTAGCTAAATGTGATTTTCTCTTACTTCATAGTAAGTTTGCTGTACTATCTACTTCTTTACGTTCTTGGTCTGGTAATACAATGTCTTCGTGTTACCCTTCTGTAAAACGCTCTTGGTGATCAGAGCCCTCAGATAAAATGGTATATGTTCGTTCCATGATGAGCCGGCTATTTTCTAGTTACTCTTCTGATGATAATCTTCCTACATACCTTAACACCAGTCTTTTTCAACTTATCCCATCTGGAACTCCTCATATGACGAAGCAAGTGATGACGATCCAGAGGCGGTGTGGATATACCGCGGACGCCTATACTTTCTACCCCGTTCTCATCATCGGGGCAGGCGAGTCCGGAATTGCAACGGGATGTAGATTGAAAGAAGCGCTTGGATTTGACCAATTCCGCATCTTTGACAGACAGTCGGGAATTGGTGGGACTTGGTGGATCAACCGGTATCCAGGAGTTGCTTGCGATATGTACGCCATCATAACCATGCTTCTCCTCTCCTTGTCTGTCTGGGTGCTTTGCTAAAACCAGGATCTATCCTCGCAGACCGGCCCTTTTTTATTCTTTTTCATTTGCCAGGAAAAAGGACTGGACTGCATTTTACCCATCCGGCCAAGAGATCGCAGAGTATCTGGTTTGCGTCTGTCAGAAATTCCAGATCGTAGACAAGATACAGCTCAATACAGAAGTTAGAGAATTGCGCTGGCTTGCGGATGCGGAAGAGTGGCAAGTCACGCTGTCCCACCTGGTCCCCGGTGCTGGGGATTTGTCTCAGCATGAACGAGGTTGCAGAGTAGCAGCGAACGGCGAGGGCAGTGTCTATGTGTCAACGGAAATCATCCGCGCAAAGATCGTAGTCAGTGGCGCAGGGGGTCTCGTTGAGCCGAGAGCGTGGCCAGAAGAGATACCAGGAATAGAGAATTTCGAAGGAGATGTCATCCACACTGCCAGGTGGAGCGAACAGGCTGATCTGAAGGCGAAGGATGTGATTGTGATCGGTTCCGGCTGCAGCGCCGCGCAGGTGGTTCCAGAATTGATATCCTCACGTATCGATGCCAAATCGGTAACCCAACTGATGCGCACGCCTCCATGGGTTCAACCAGATTTGATTCCGCAGATATTACTGCCGACGTGGGAACGGTATTCCCCGGCGCTGATGCGCAATGTACCTGGACTTGCCCATCTTCTCAGAGCCGTCATATTTTGGGTCGCAGAGTTAGACTTCTTCCAGATGTTCTTGGAGAACGGTTTCGCCCACCGTCGACGGGCAGCGATTGAGAAGCAGTTCACGAATAACATGCGGGCTAACACGCCTGTTAAATACCACGACATCTTGGCTCCCAAGTACAGTCTAGGCTGTAAGCGCCGCATTATAAGCAACGACTGGTACCGAAGCCTACAATCCTCAAAGGTTGAACTAACGACGTTACCACTCATCAGCGTTCAGTCGAAGAGCGTTACCCTCGGTCCCCGGGAGCAGAGTCGACCACCACACCAGACCAACGGTAATGTGCAGATAGGCGAAGTGAGGCAGGTACCAGCAGATGCCATCATCCTCGCGAACGGATATCAGTCAAACAAGTTCCTTCACCCACTTCAAGTGATAGGTAAAAATAGCAAACCCCTCCAAGAGATTTGGGACGAGCGAGGCGGAGCACAGGCCTATTTAGGAATTGCTATGGACCAATTCCCCAATTTCTTCATGATTTTTGGGCCTAATATGTCTACCGGACATTCCAGTGTGATATTCGCGTCGGAGAACGCAATCAACTACTCCCTGAAATTTATAAAACCGATATTAGACGGGCACATTAGCACATACGAGGTGACCGAGGAAGCTGAGCGGAATTGGACAAGCAAGATTCAGAATGCGCTTCAGAAAACCGTCTTTAAACGGGGTGGGTGTCTGAGCTGGTATGAGACTGAAGGGGGTTGGAACAGTTCCACCTATCCGTAAGCCTTGTCTGTTGATCTGCAGTGGACGAGACCTTTTGACTAACTCGGGATTTCTATATAGATTCTCCCAGATTGACTTTTATCTGAGGTGCACGTTCCCCGTGTGGCGGCACTGGACAGCAAAGTACACCCCAAAGGGCTTGCGAATGCGACGGTTCCGAACGGCATTCAAGCGCCTCATCCTGGCATTGATACTCACTGGCCTCGTGCATGTAGGAGTGGACATTCGTCAGCAAGGAGCCGGGAGCTGGAGGAGAACGATCAACGCTGCTGGGAACATGGTAGAATGGGCGTTTCAACGCTCTTCACGATGGATACAGCACACGTAGCCAAGTCGATAGTTCATGTTATTTTCGGTCAGTAATCAGATATTCATTCAGTGAATGCAATAATCCATGCTGTAGAGTGAGATCTTGGAATCGTCGTCAGCATCACTGCCTTCCCTCGGGACATGGACGTAGACGACCCCGCAGAGGAATTTCTCCGCACTCACCACGGCGACAGCAGTGCAGAACAGCAACATTCCCACCCAGCTGCGTCGACAAATGCTGACAAGATGGCTTCAGAATCGCCCACGGTTGATGACAGTAGCATGACGCCTCAGCCAGCGGCAAATGGACAAGCTGCTGCGCCAACGAACGGCGCAAAGAGAAGTGCGGAACCGAGCAGCGGAACGCACACGCGCTCAAAGCGGAATCGCTACATCTCCATCGCCTGGTATGGTCAATTTTCTTCTTGTTGTCTTATAATAGTCTGTGGTCCGATGGAATCTGCTTTGGGCCCGATCCCGTCTCCCCTCTTGTGCTTCATCTTCCTTGCCAGAAGGCTAATCCACCACCAGCAACGAGTGCAAGCGACGCAAGATCAAGTGCAATGGACAAGTGCCCTGCCAGCGATGTGGTCACCTCAAACTCGAATGTATGCTACTGGCCGGCATGATATGCTATCCTTCGTGATTGTCGCTGAATTTCACCTCTCGTGATAGGTCGATATGCCCCCAATTGCTGCAATAACAATTTCAAGGACTCCGAGTATGTTGCTATTAATTCCCGGCTCTTCTTCCATTGGTCTGGCGCTTCCAATACTGACTGTCTGTCTTGCGCCACAGGGAGTTCCGTTCGATGCAACAGCAGATTGCCACCCTCCAAGAACAAGTCAACACTCTATTTACCAACTTGAATGATTTGCGGACCCAGAAACCCCCGGCTCTTTCACCCACCCTCGATGGATACTCCCACCATGGCCCGCAATCGATCTACACACCTATATACTCTGATCCACACGGGCCCAGTACAACACAGCCGCGCTTTCATGGCCCCACGAGCTCTGCATTCAACTTTGACGTCGCGAGGTCTAGTCTACAGACTATGGGGATTGCGGAGGATGGAATAGCTTCCAATGAGACCACAGTACATGCGTCGCCTGCCCAGTCTCCCCCGCAGCCAGCACCAGCCCTTCCCCCAGTGCATCCTACTAAGGATCCGATATGGACTATTAAACGGGAAGAAGCGTTGCGACTATTGGAGGTATACGAGGAAGAAATCGGCATTATGTATCCATTTTTTGATATAAAAACGATTTCGGATCAGACTAGCCTGCTTTATATGTTTATGGAGGCCGCTCTTAGGACAGGATTTGCGCAGCGTGGACTGCCTGGGGCAGATGGTCTTCAAGATGATAATACGAATCTGTTGAAGATGATCCTAGCAGTAACGCTGGTCGTTGAGGGCGGTGGTCAGAGTGAGCTTGGCCAGCGTTTATTCATGACAGTGAAGCCGGTGATAGAGTCGAAAATCTGGAGCCCGCCTGATATCAAGACGGTGAAGCTCTTTGCCGTGGGAGTACGTACATACCGGATTTATTTGTCCATATACATATCCATACTGTACGTTCGTTTCTAACATGCTGGAACAACAGGCGACTTATCATTTCCATACCGGCGATGATGTTATGGCTTACCGACTGATTGGCATCGCAGCACGTATGTGTCTCGAGATGGGTCTGCATCGGCGAGATGCCATAATGAGGTCCTTTCCCGAAGAGCAGCAGTGGAGCGATATCAACAGAACTTTCTGGTCGATCTATCTCCTGGACAGACGTTGGAGCTTTGGCACTGGCTTGCCATTTGTGATTCAAGATGACGATATTGATCCCAATCTAGAGGAGCCGGTTAGTCTGCAACTCCTTTTGTTCATGGTCACGTCTCTGAACTTCCGCGCTACAGGATCTATCACTACCGTACGTACGTTGTATGGTTCCCTATAGTCGCATTGCCTCGAAAATCTGGTACTCCGGGCTTGGGTCTGAAGGGATCACCGATGCTAGGCGAGATGTGATTGGTTATCTCGACTATCAAGTTCTTCAGTGGTATAAACAAATACCAAAAGAGTTGAAGCTGTATCTGGCCGACTCTCCAAAGTCTGGAGAGTCGGTTAGCAGAGGCCTTCGACGACTCCGGGTGGTTTTGTACCTGCGCATGAACCAGCTACGGATTCTGATTTATCGGCCGGTCCTGCACTCAGCAGCAAACATCGCCCAAGACAAGGCCCATGCCCAGACTGTCGTTGATGTTGCTAAGGATACAGTGCGGCTGCTCACAAGACTGAATCAAACATCGGATATATATCGGACCCAGCAAGCATGCTTTAACTACTTCCTCGTCGCTGCATTGGCCGTTCTCTTTCTTGCCGTCTGCCACGCGCCTGCAGAATTCAACAGACAGGTGCGCGATGAATTTTACTTGGCCCTGGACCTGATAAGGGGGTTTAGCACCAAGTCCTATGTGTCCAAGAGACTTTGGAACACCATCAAGGGGCTTAGGAAGATTGGTGAGAAACTGGGAGTCCTGGTACCACGTCCTGTTCCTCCCAACTCGAACGACGATCATTCCAACGCAGCGGTCGCCATGGCTGGTTTGGCCGGCCACCCTATCGAGGGTCTCTCGGTATACGGGGCCGTAAATGGGGTCAACGGACTCGGAAACAGCCCTCTGGACGGGATGCAGATAAGTCAGGAGTTAACCAACTTATTTGAAGCTGCTGGCGGAATCGGCAACTTTCTTATGCTGAATACATCACACGAGAATACGGGTCCTGCTACGACTGGCAGTATCGATGGGTTTGCTGAGCCGACAGCAGGGCTGCATAGCATGGCGGAGGGACTCGCCGGAATGACGGATGGCGAAGGCGAGCTGTCGAGAGTTATCAGGGACTTATTCTGATTTCAACAATGACCCATCGTAGCATCTGTGCTAGTATCTAGACGAGCATCTATACGGAGTCGTAGGATTAAAATTGGCTTGGACAGCATATGGTCACGTGCCAATAGAAGCAGACGATCCTCGCAAGCATTTAATCAACCCACAGTCCAAAGAGAGCCAAACCAGGCATGGAATTCTGCAGAGGAAAATGTTAAACATCCTGTGTGTCGTTTGAAGCCATCCTATTTTTTTGTCACCCGTCTATCTAGATCCCTTTCATCTTCATATAATTTTTAATACTCTTAAGCGACCTCAGTCTCGGGTGCCGGGCGCACGAACTCAGTACTCCCTCCCCACGCGTCCCACACGGAGAGGCTCGAAATATGCCCATGGTACTGTGATTGACACCAGTGACGTTGAAACTCATCTCTGGCTAGTACTCCTGTGGATGGACGTCGCGTTGAGGGCAAGTTCCGTCGACAAGAAGCGCGGGACAGTCTGAGGTCGTCTAAGCCTTGCAGCGCACAACATCACCAGCAGTCGCATCCTCCTCTGGCTTATCGCATAGGAACCCCTCCAGAAAACCCACGACAACGTCAATCCCTTTCCCGCCTCCTTCGCAACCACGCTCATCGGGGACAACGAGTGAGACAGAATCATTTGCTTACTCTTATTTATAATTTTTTATTTCTAGTCCGGGGAATCCATAATCCATCCAACCCCCGTCCCCCACCCTCCTCCAATCACGGCTACCTCAGCTCGGCAACCGTGTCGAGAGAGACAGCTTCGGCGCTGGCCGACGGCTTGGAGAGGCTAGACTTACATGAACTGTCTGTATCGACGCCCTCCTCGTCCGAGTCCAGTTTGTTCGATATGTCGTCGTCGGAAGGCGCGCCCGAGTCATGGATCTCCTCGTTCTGCTCGCTGATGGGCCACGAGTTTTTTGCCGAGGTGTCGGAAGACTTCATCGAGGATGACTTCAACCTGACGGGTCTCCAGTCGCAAGTGCCGATGTACAAGAAGGCCCTCGAGATGATTCTCGATGTGGAACCGGAAGATGAGGATGAAGACAGCGAAGAGGAAGAGGAGGAGGAAGAGGATGAAATTCTGGGCGATGAGAGACCTCCGGGGTACCGCAGGGCTGGCGATCGGCGGCACACGCGCGTTGCGAGCGACCTGAGTGTCATTGAAAGCTCTGCCGAATTGCTCTACGGTCTCATCCATCAGCGGTATATCACTTCGCGGCCCGGGATTCAGCAGATGCTCGAGAAGTACGAGATGCAGCACTTCGGGTTCTGCCCGCGAGCGAATTGTAATGGATGCAAAGTCCTCCCTGTGGGACGCTCCGACACCCCAGGACAGGATACGGTCAAACTGTTCTGTCCCTCATGCCAGGATATCTACACCCCTCCTAACAGTCGATTCCACTCGGTTGACGGTGCATTCTTCGGTACGACTTTTGGCTGTCTGTTTTTCATGACCTTCCCCGATCTTGACGTGAGCCCGCGCCTGGAGAACTCCTTATCCCCCCCATCGCCGCCTAACCGGAACCAATCTCGCTCATCCTCCCTGACCTCGCAAGGAGCCCTCACACAGCAGTCGTCTGTAACAGGTTCTTCAGCACCTAACCAGCCGACAGAGATCAACGGCGTGCGGACAGTTAACTTCTGCCCCAGTCTCGGACCAGGTAAGATCTATGAGCAGCGGATCTACGGATTTCGGGTTTCAGAGCTTTCCCGAGCTGGTCCGCGCATGAGATGGCTCCGGATGAAACCGACAGATATCACGGAACTGGACGAGTCGACAATATATCATAATTCCGTACGTCAACGTCAAATGAACCGCCGGCACCTGCAACCGGGGGAGACCGAAGCCGGGAATGACGGAGACACGGACATGACCAATGTCCCGACAGGATCATCGCAGTCACCTGGTGGGAGGAGGAAACTTGCACCAATGCGAAGGCGTAAACAGGGCACGACTAATGCGGATCAGATGAGCATAAATGGGGGGTGATAATATGCGCGGAGGAGACCGTTTGGCCAGAGCATCTAGAAGTGTTTTCCAAATCTACAGGGAGGAGTATGCAATACAAAGCAGTCCAACACAGTGCAATCCAAAATAACAACAGCAATGACAATGGAAAGTTTGGATTAGAACTTGACATTGTTCCCTTGTTGTCCTCCACCTTTGCAGACACATTTACCTAGTACCCTGTCAACAGTAATGTGAATGCATGAGTCCAGCCTGATTACTTCCTTGGACTTGTTCAGTCACCTTCTCATTTTCATCCTTTTTTTTTCTTTAATGTCTTTCATGTCAACCATGCCTGTCTGTTTGTGTTCATTCCAGTCTACTTATTTTATTTATTTATTTATTTTTCTGTGTTTCATTGTTTAGTCAAATGAATGTGCTAGAGCCAATTTCTGTACTTTCTGGGTAGCTTTTCTAGGCCACTGTATAGTGCATTCATTGTACCTGCATAGAAGTATCCGAAGCAGTTCATATAACTGTAAGAAAAGAAATCCATAACCGATCTTTTTCGATTCAAGTTGTCCTGTCATATGACATGTTCTAAGTAAACAATAAATTAGAGACATAAACAGGTCATACTATGGGCATGATAGTAGTAAGTAATAATATAAATATGATAGTATCTACGACATGAAGAGAACCTAAATAGTAATCATTTCATCCAAAACCATCCAAAACTTTGATCAAAACAGGAAAACCGAACCCTGATTCAGCTAAGACAGACGGATAATTAACACAGACAGCTATATGGCATCAACGCTGTAAGGGCAAAATCCCAATCCCAAGTTTCGTACTGAAACGAAAAAGAAATCGAACGGGATCAAACGAACGGCGAAGAGCCCCCCGCAAACCTCTGGTCTGAATCAGGGGTTAATGGGTACGCTATGAGGGAAGTTTCTGAAGGCGAAGGCGGCGAGGAGGAAAGGGGCCCGCCGTTACCGACGATGGGGAAAGCTAGGGTCTATAATTCCTATCACGTTAGCCATCGTTACAAGGTCAAAAGTGTTCATAGGATGGGAAAAATAACGTACAGGAACATCAGAGACAGAACGCGTCCGCCCAGAAGACGATGAAGAAGATGGCGAAGAAGAGGAAGAAGAGTGCCAATCCAGACTGGGAATAGGAGGATACTCTATACTGAACGGACCAAAGGCATCCTCTGTCGTGTTTTCATGGGGAAATAACCCGTGACCCGGATGATGTAGACTGCCATCATGGGTATGGCCCTTCATCGAGTCCGGTGGGAGCCCACCCGGAACCATTAACGATGATGATGAGGAGGAGGATGAGGAAGATGGGGGTAGGACAGAGACGAAATGCTGATGTTCGGAGGCGTTCCAGGCAAAATCGTTATAGCTGTTCGGGATGTAGTGGTGAGGGGTGACTGGTACTACCGGGGTATATACGGGTTGGAGGTATCCGTCCAAGGGAGGGTAAGAAGAAGGAGGGTAGGCGAATACTGGCGGCGGGGAAGTAGAGAGTTGTCTGGTACATTGCTGGGAGAACATTGAAGGAGGATAGGGATCGTAGGGTGAAGGAGAGGAGAGATCGTGAGCGCGCTGACGGGCTGAGGGGGAGCGCTGCTGTTGTTGCTGCTGCTTTGTGCGGGATCTGGTCGATGTAGATGTGGATGTAGCTGTCGTTGTCTTTGTCTTTGGGGTCTTTTTGGAAGGCTGACTCTGCTCTTGTGCATTGGAAAAAGCAGCGTCTGAGCCAGCCTTTCTCTCCAGATCTTCGAGACGGCGCTTTAACTTCTTTCCTGTAGTTTTCCTTGAGTCAGAATGGGGTTCAAGAGACCCTCGTCCGGGCTACTAACGGTAGTTGCGCTGGGCAATGCGGTTCTGGATACGGCGCCGTTCAGCAAGATCAGAGATCTGAGTCCAGTCCTCATCGGGATTTGCATGGGGACTGAAGGCGCTGCTGGTAGACTGCGACCAAGTGCCTCTGGGGACGGCAGACAGCAGGGTCTGGGAACGGTCCATTGTGGATGTATGTAAAACAGGATAGAAATGCAGATGATGTACCAAGAGCAAAGGGAGTATTGACTCTTAAGAGCGCGTAGGGCCGAACTGTGCATGAAGAAAGACCAAAGTTACCAAGCGTTTGGGATTGGTAGGGCGATTATATACCTTACATCGACGGCCTAAATCTCAGATGCCCGGAGGGATTTAAAACAAAAATAGAGGCACGTAGCATGAGCATGCCAAACTGTAATTTCCAGAAAGCGCCGATCGCGATTATTATTTTTGTTTTTATTATTTCGTGCTGAGCCTTCAAGGCAGCCCAGGACGATTAATTGCTGCATCTATGAGAGCTGACGCTAGGACCCGCGCTAGCCGCTTTGGGCACCCGATTCGAGGCTGAGTTTTGGTTATTGTGAAGTTTAACGGTCAGACAGTTGGCGCTAGTAATTTACCGAGTGCGCCATATTCATCGCTCCCACGTGATCTTGTAGAGCCGCATCTGTACTCAACGGTCTATCCCTGCCTCCTCTACGCTGCGCATCGACTCCATTTACAAAAGCAGAGTGCGTACGCGTTGACATACAGTATTATCCTGCTGTCAACTCTGCACTCTGCACTCTGCATACTGCACGCCGTACGCCGTACGCTGTACAGTACACTTGATCGCCAATCCCAAAAATCTATTATTATCAGCGCCAGAGTGGGCAGGCTTACGGTTTCAACAGCAGAAGGTCCAGAGGCTCTGCAACCACCGCAGCAAATCAAGCCTTGCACACTCCGAGATGGAGTCGGGCCCGTGCCCTGAACGCAACCCACCGTTACGCTTCCCGCGAGCCCATACACCCACACGTCACTTCCCTCGGGGAAGTTTGGCGGCCTAAATCAAGCCATGCCGCGCCAATTGGATTATCTGGACCGGTTCTGCATGTGTCGTTTTTGCCTAGAGCAATCTCGGTTGGAAGTTAGCCCGACCATCCAGACAACTTAGTAGGCTATCCTGTCCAGTATTCTATTCTCTGATCACACGTGAAACGACGGATTCTCGACGGATTCTCGTCTGGTCTGGCCATGAAGGGCGCTGTACGTATGCACGCGGATTGCCTGCATTTAAATCCGCGGCGTGGGCTGCCTATTGTCTCAGTCCTCAGTGTCCGCCAAGGCCCTAAGAACCGCCGGTTTTCACCGTGTCACCATAATCTCCAGCCAGTGGGACTGGGCGACTTGCGTCGAAACGGCCGACCTTTCAAGCTCTTTTGACTACTTCTTGGCCCGGACATCATTCCTTGGCACGACAAAGAGATCATGATGAGCAATTCGATGATGGCACGTCGATACAGCTGCTGTTCCTGCCATTTACGGCATTTTACACTGTAAATCTTAACCAATGGAAGCGACAACCGTATGACAAATCGAATAAATTAAATAGTTAGTCAATTGCCCGGACGCAAACTGATAGGTTCTGACTAATTGGTTTACGATGGAAATAACCATAATTATTAACCTCCATACAACCGGAAACTGCTGGCCTAAGCCCGTGAAAGAAAGGAAGTGTAGGGCTGAGATGCATCGTTTCAGCCTGTATTTCCATGGAAATTCTTCAGCTTACGTCCGTTTCGGGATTTGACTGGCTCCATACGACGCAGCACCAGTATAGGGCGTGCCCAGCCTTATGGGCCTAGAATCTGCTCCGGAAAACAAATCAAGGATCTGACCTACATACCTTTCTTCTCCCGGTGATACGGGCGCTGGTATGACAGTCAGCCTTGTGTGCAGCTAACAAGTAGAACTACAGGATTGGGCAGAAGGGCAGACACGTTTCCAATAATAATGACTACGGTAGCATCGAGGCGTTGCGCCGTGCTGAGTTAAACCATCATCGTGCATGCCAGAAGGAGTATAATACGGCGCTCTATGCAGATACCATAATCCTTCTGGGGCTGAGCAAGTGAGCCGCACGGAGAGCCTGCATGGTCTATCATGGGCTTTGGTTCTTGTTCACCGCTCGTACTTCGGATCAGCTGTGCAACTTCTCCCACTAAACCCTGTTCTGGGCCAATTAGAGCCCCCCAGGGCCCTAGCCAACCTTGTTTTCCACATCCGGGGCAGTGGTTCCTAGCGGTGTGAGGCGTATGGACGGCCTGAATACGCTATGAATCTTTGACCGCTTTACTGAGGCGTTACCAGTATCGGCTAGTACAAATGGATCTGGAGTATAGGTATAATATATTAAAATACCGTGATATGTATTTTCACTGCTTGGTATTCAGTCTGATATTGTAGTCATCTGGTTCATGCTGGACTGCTAATAAGGCGGAGCTGGGGTTTACTGATGGCAAACATGCTTATTGACTGCTGTTGTGGCTGTGCACCTTCAGTGTGATCTGGAAAGAGATTCTTTATCAAATTAGAGCCAGCTAAATGCTCTTGGATTGGTTTCAAAATAAAATCCATTGATGGCTTACTCCGTGAATTTCTTTCCAAGGGACGTTATCTTCCTCGCTCGACACAGCTTAAGCCTTCGTTCTTCTGTCCACCATCTCCAGCGTTTCCCTTCCCCCTTGGTATTGCTAGTAAGACTCATGATGCGAGCTGGATCAAATAACCGACAGGTTATTCCAAATAGAAAGAAGAGGATCAGCGCTGAGGGCTGGGCTCCTGGATGAGAGGCTGACTTGTAGAAGCGAGTCAGTCAGTTGCGAATTGGTCCCTAAGCCCGCATACTGCGCGAGTTGAAGCAAAATATTGCAGGCAGCAATAAAGAATGCGAGCAGTTATTAAGCAGATAGGAGATGCAGGCTTGAGAAAATCTCAGACATTGACAGAAATCCCGCCCCAGTCACTCATCCAGCAAAGAGCGCCACCAGGATGAGTGGTTGGAAATAGCGCAGTAATTAGAGGCTAATGCAGAAGGCTTCACGCCCCTTGCAAGGATGCGAAGTGAAGGGGAAGAAAGTACCGTTTTATCCTATGATGTTCTACCAATAGCAAAGCTTTGAGTTTATCCTAGCTTCAGCCATGGCAATAAATAATACAAGAAATACAGATGTCAGAAGAGACAGAACAAAATTTCACACCCATACATCACGGGTAGAATCACAGCATCACTTAAACAGCCTGCCCAGCAGGCCGTTGGTAATACTACTCGCAATACGCCCTGACAACGCGCTGTTGGCAAACGTAGACGCCTGGCTGAATTGATCGCATCGCGAGAACGCCACAGTATTGGTAATAGTCAGAATGAGAGCGATCACTACATCAAAAGAATGGACTACCTTAGCAACTCCTCCACAGAAATAATATTGACAATGAACGAGCGAGGAAGAAAACTCACCGACCAAACTGAGCCAAATAAGGCTCGCCTGGAAAAGGGCCACGAATGCTAACCCGATCCAGAGTGCAGGTGTGATATACAGACTCAACCAGAAGAATCTTTTGTCGGTAGCCCTGATGATGCGAATATTGGGATCGGAGGACTCGAAGACCCAGTGGGAATCACCAGTGGCCGTGTTGACTTCATTCCACCAGCGAAGACCGACTAATCGGCGACCGGCAATGTTCTTCAGATAGTAGAAGTCGGCGGAGAGGAGCAGGAGAGTCAGGATGAAGACGAGAACACTGTTTCATCGAATATCAGATTGATGGCCACTTGATCATGATGAACACTTGTTAAGGACGTACAAATTCCCAATGAATAGCAATCCGAAAAGATACATCAACAGAGACCCTGTCATCCATATGAGTTAGCTTGCATATTTTCACTGTCATGGAAATGATAAACAATGGCTGCACAAACCGACTCGGAAACCTAGGAAGCAGAGCAGGGTAATCGGATGGGCGCTAAGGCGCCAGTTCAATTCTCCCTGCTGGGGATGGTCCATGGTGAAGGGTAGTTAAGGTCCTCGGCAAGGAAATAAAGAAAAACAATTAATTAGAACAAGCTCCTTCTAGCTAGATAATAGGCAATCTGAGCCGTCAGCACTGGGCATCATGCAGGATGTCCCTGTTCCAAGAGAGAGAAACAGGACACGCGGAGGTCCGATATGAGGAAGGCGGTGATGACGGGCAGAATACGGTCTGACGACAATCCTTTTCAGGTAATATTAAATGCTCAGATGCCTTGGAGACAGGATTCATAAGCCGTAGAGCTTGAAAACAAGGTAAGCTCATGTGTTGTAATTGAGATATCGCAAGGAACGATCGAAATCAGAGCTAGTAGAACTGAGAGGTTGATTATCAGTACTAACAACCACAACTGGAACCTTGCCGCAGCCGCGGATCTACTTCTGCTTCAAGAATGCGGAGATAATTAATTATTGCAACTCCCTGCTTGTCTCCTGGTCCACTCATCAATTCATATAACCAATTCTATTTAACAAACTATATCTACAAGAAAACGCCTCTTATCAAAAGGATGGCAGCAAGAAACACACTCCGTCGAGCCCTTCTCTACGGTAAGTATACTAGCAGCGGCTGGACGAAGCTCTCCCCGCACTGTCGTCATTCCCCAGATCTCAACCACGCATAACCTTTTCAACATCGTCAATGAAAATAAATCACAGTGCTAATATCGACATGCAGTCCCTGGATCCTCACAGCGTTTCCTCGACAAGTCCCGCTCATTAACCGCCGACTGCGTCACATATGACCTGGAGGACAGCGTAACTCCGCACAAGAAAGACGAAGCGCGCTCTTTAGTACGCAGAGCTCTGGACCAGAAGAAACCAGAAGGATTCCGAGAACGCGCCGTCCGTATCAATTCCGTAGACAGTGGATTGGCATTGAGAGATTTGAATGAAATCGTATGCTTGAACGTTTTATGTTGCTTTTTTTTTTTTTCAGGCAAATTCCCTCCATTACTAACAGAACCGAACGAGATCTAGTTGAAATCCCCCAATCTAACCACCATCGTCATCCCCAAAGTCAACACCCCCTCTGACCTCACCTTCGTCACAGACGTAGTCAAACATACTCTCTCCCAACAAGATCACGATAGGCCACCAATATCCCTCCTGGCCCTAATTGAATCCGCAAAATCCCTCACAAACCTCAACCAAATATGCACCGCGTCACCACTACTGCAGGGCCTGATATTCGCCGCTGAAGACTTCGCCCTCGACCTCAGCCTCACCCGGACGCCGTCGTTGACGGAGTTTCTCTTCGCGCGGTCTGCCATTGTCACTGCTACCCGGGCTGCTGAGCTCCCCTCTGCTATCGACTTGGTGTGTACTGCGTATCGGTCTTCTGGTGCTGATAGTAGTAGTGCGATGGATGTGCTGGAGGCAGAGTGTCGTGGTGGGAAACAGTTGGGGTTTAATGGGAAGCAGTGTATCCATCCATCTCAGGTAGAGACGGCGCAGAGGGTTTTTGGGCCGGAGGAGAAAGAGGTTGAGTGGGCGGTGCGCGTGGTGGTGGCCGACGAGAAGGCTGCTGCGGAGGGGAGAGGGGCATGGACGTTAGATGGAAAGATGATCGATATTCCTGTTGCGGAGAAGGCGAGGGCCATTATGAGGAAAGCTGGGGAATGTGGTTTCAATATTCCTGATTTGAGAGAAAGGTGGAAGCATCAGGGGCCCGAGTAAACTTCGGTTGGTTCTACATCTATGGCAGGGAATTCTTGCCAGGAGCCTTTTACGCATAATACATATAAATGGAGAAGAGAGAAACGAAACATATCTTCATATCGTGCTTATATATCAAGGCGATGCTACTTCCCCTAACAATGGTCCTAAAAAAGGACCGCTTACGCTTTCCAACTCCAATACTCTCCTGTAGCGGCGCACCTACTAAATAGTAGGGCGTTTGTGTCTTGGGCTTGGGCAAACCAGGTGGACGGAATTCTCCCCAAGAGAACAAACATGTCGGTTTAGCTCTTGTCGAGATCCTCCCGTTTCAACAGTTGAATCTTGCCTACTGACAATACAGACTGGCTATTTCCTGTATCTGCACCGTCATTCCCGTCTCCGTTTGCTTCCAGATCTTTGGCGAGTGTCTTATCATAACTTGTGGGATCAATACCAAGAATCCCACCTACGTAGCCCCCTCTTTCCCCAGGGACGCTGAACTCTCGGAAAAGATACCTCCACTCGTTAAGCCAGGCTTTAACCGCCTTTCCAATTTTATCCTTGCCGTTCTTGGAGTGGTGCCCGGTGCCCGTGATGGTGTAGACAACCCGGCGGCCTTCGCGAGCGTGTTTAAGGAGGATCTTCTCGAGGTATTCAATCGCCTCTTCGGGATGAAGGCCATGCAAATCGACATAAAGCTCTTCGGACAGATCATCAAGTCCAGAGTTCGTCAGGTGTTTGTTGCGTTCTTCGTACAGCTGACGAGCAGCTTCGCGATGACATTTGCGCATGGCCTCGTTCTCTGCCTGGCCCCGGAGAGACAGTGCCTTTGCGGCCCTGGCATCGTTACGATTCCAGGCTTGGGCAGCGCTTCCCAATCTTTTGTCAGCTGTGATAAATAGGATCAGTAAACAAACGGGAATCCCCTACCTTTGCAAAAACTTATTCCTCACTGTGCCATGGCGAATGGCTTCCGTGCGATACTTGATATACTGTTGGTTCGCCCTTGAGCCAGTTTCAAGCCAAGGGATATTCCTCGGCGCCGGAATGGACTGGGCGGCTGCAGTGTTTTCGCGGCTCTTAACTCCTTCTTTACTAGCCTTGTTTACAGGCTTTCCTTTATTGCCTGCCGGAGATGGAGACATGCGTACAACATCAGCTAAGGAAGTAGGAAGGCTCTTTTTACTTGAGTTGCCATCACGGGCATTGTGCGCGGCTCGCTTGCCGTGTTGCTTCTTCCCCGAGCCCTTCGCACTTACGGCACCGAGGGAAGGGAATGCATCGGGATCGTCCACAGAAAGAGCTGAGGCGTTCAGGTCCCTGTTTTGGTGTCGACTGGTTTGCCGGGACTGCGGACGAGATATGTGGGGAATTCCTCCATTTCGTCTGCCAGACCCCAGTTGGAATTGTTGCGAGGTTTTGTTTCCTTGTACGCTCAAGTGAGGATACTTGCCAAAGTATTGGGCTGTCCACTGGTCGTTTGCGCCAGTCGTCGACTGCAGCGGGGGGAATGCTTCTGCTGCGTTCTCTATGTAGGTTGGTTGAAAGCTGGCAGATGCCGTATTTTGCGCTCCGCCATCATTTATGTTGATATTGGAGATGAGTGCCGAAGGGTCATGCGAAAAGGGACAACCGTCACCCGCAAGGCAGTTGCCCATCATCCAGTATCTAGAAAGTCAGCATCAGAATATTCGTTAGCTCCTCGCCACGAGTGAATCAAAACTCACTTGCAAAGGTGATTTGTTAAATCGTGACTAAAACGACAATCCGCACGGAGACATTGTCCCGTAGAAAGCCAATATTTACAGACCACAGGGCTCCGACTGGGACCGGACGGAGTCACTGAACGCGGCTGGTCCACAGCCATTGACTTCCCGACGAGGATGCGACCATCATCGGGCTGTTGCGAGCCATCTGTACCCTGGCCCTGCGAAAGCGAGGCAATGGTTGCGCCAAGGTCATAGCTGTTAGCCTCAAGTGCAGCCTCAATTTCTTCATTGGTTCTCTTATCGCCCAGAACGGTGCGTAGAATGTCATGCGGGCTCATGTCAGGAACGAACTCCGGAGCTGTGGCACTGAGACTACCATGGACACTATGTCCCGTTGAAGATGTAACACTGTTCGCGTCATCCGCAACTAGCCAATCTACGTTATTATCGCTGCCAAAATCTCCATAGGCATCTGGTGCCTGGCTGTGATCGGAGAACTCGTATGCGTTTAAACTGGGCGAGTGCGGAATTGGCTGTGCAAAGGCAAGTCGCGGAGAAGGACGTGGAGAAGTGAAAGGTGACACCGTGGACGACAAAGGACCGCGACTCAACCCCCCGCGCGAATTTGGGAGCCAGGTGCCACTTCCGGGACTGGTTCCCAGGTTCGAATGGTGAGATAAGGGGGTGGAGGAACGCGCCATTTGCCACGGCGCAGGCGATGAACGGCGAATCACTGTATGTCGAGGAGGAGGGGGAGAGGAGTCCGGCAGAACACGGTTTCTATGCCGCCAGAGAACATCGAGTACGGCGTTTTCCAGCAATGAGCCAGATAAAGTCGTCTTCTCGCGCAGGAACTCCTCTACTCTCTCGGCTTGGTCTTCCTCATCAATAGATTCGTCTTGAAGGACTTGAAGACAGTCCTCGACAAGCTCTTCTGAAACCATGTTGAAGATGCTACTTGGCCAATCGACGGCTAGGCGAAGAGTAGTAAACAGCGTCGGTTACTGACTTTCCAAGTCAGAAAAAGGGAGAGAAAACTAGGATCGTAATAAAAAGCGACGTGCTGTATTCCGGTGTCAAATGCCCCAACGCATTGTATATAAGGAGGATAAAGTGTCAAAATAAGATCTTTAAAGGGTAGGGGGATGGCCGCCCGCGCGCGTGTTGTCGTAATGATAGTCGTGGACTCAAGCACAAGTGAAATCACATCATCATGGGCCACGAGAGGGCGTATTCGCCTGCGACAAACTGAGAGATGTTAATATAATTCCGGGTACAGATGGGCGTGAACGCGGGGAGGACCAATATAAGGGTGAGGACGATGAAACAGGAGAGAAGAGGGAGAGGGGATTACTCGGGGGATGGCAGTGAGATGGAGGGACGTGGCCTCTATTCGGGCCAGAAAGCCCAATACAAGCTGCACCAGATGGCAATCAGATCCAACAATGAGGACAGCGAGCGAGAGTAATGAAGAAGATCTGTGTCTGCCTAGGAGAGCTCTGAAGCTCAAGGGGGAAGACGGGGATGTGGGGGATCTGGGCTGCTTTTATCACTGCCAACGACCACGACCACCACCACAACAATAACAGCAGCAAAGAGAACAACAGGAGATGATTCCGTACCTGAGGGAATACGCCAGCGTCAATCACTGGACAGACCGTGGACACGAATGGACGGCAATCATACAGAAGGAAGAGGATGCGCGTGGCCGAGTGTCGCTGTCCAGACTGGAGCGGAATGGAATGCGTGGTGGCCTTTTACACTTTACATCGGAGATAACGCCAACCGCCGCTCAATGCTTACTTGCATCTTGCTCTGCGTTATTATATTAAACCAGGCTGCCAGCAGCCACGGTTTCTGCAATCGCCCAGCATCCTCTCCTTCCTCATCTTCCCTCCATCTTTCTATCAGGGCTGCTTTCGCCCTCGCTGGTAGGCACACACAGCACAGGAGGAGCTGAGCTTCCTCGGAATCGTCGAGTCTGCAGCTCCAGCTGTGCTAGGCCTCCACAATCGGAAGCAGGTCGATCCTCTCTGCTTTAGAAATCGTTCGTTCACCCCTCCAGACCAAATCTTATCTTTCGTCCATGATGCCCGCCGATTATGCGTCAACTGCCCGGGCCCTATCCGTCTCCTCTTCTCCCGTCTCTTCAGGTCGCCTTTCGCCCTCGAATGTCAGCGTTCGCCCACCATGGTCCCGTTCAAGGCGAAGTTCCGCTTTGTCGGTCGAAGAGGCTCTTACCATGAGAGATAAAATCATCAATTATGCGACCGGGCTTTCCCGACGGATACAAGGGACTTGGCGGAAAATGAGCGTTTGGCAGAAGGTCGCAGCAGTTGCAGTTCTTATTCTGGCCTCTGCACTCGGGTTTGCTTTCCTGTTTTTTACCGGGAAGGTCTTTATCTGGTTGGGACCAATGGCCGAGAAATGGGAAAAGTCGAACATGGCCTACTTTGTTCTGTGGTTGTGCGTGTTCTTCGTCTCTTTTCCACCGTTAGTCGGATGGTCTACGTTTGGCACTGTTGCGGGTTTCTTATTTGGAGTATGGAAGGGGTAAGTTTACCCAATGGTCTCCCTGTATCCTCCCGAGGACTGTCTACTGATGCTCCTTTTCTTTTTGGAACTACAGCTGGCTTCTATATGCTAGCGCAACAGTCCTAGGTTCAATCTCTTCCTTTATCGTATCACGAACCATCCTGTCCAAACTTGTTGCCCGTCTCATGGAACATGACAAGAGATTTGCAGCACTTTCCTTGACTTTGAAATATGATGGGCTTAAATTGCTCTGCATGATTCGGTTGTGCCCCTTGCCGTACTCGATATGCAACGGTGCTGTTTCAACCTTCCCGACCGTCCGTCCGTTGACATATGGACTTGCAACGGCGTTGATCTCCCCGAAGTTGCTCGTACCCGCGTTTATCGGCAGCAGGGTGCGTATCCTGATTGAAAAAGGCGAGGAAATGAGCACCGCCTCCAAAGCCGTCAATGTCTGTAGCATTATCGTTACTATTGCGATCGGGGTTTTTACAGGGTATTATATATACAATAGGTAGCTATTTACGACATCCTCCCCCCTATGCTGTCCTACAAGCTAACTCATTCTGTTTCTCAGAACCTTGGCTCGAGCGAAGGAACTTGAAGATAAAGAACGTGCTGATATTCGACGGTCACTCCAAGCTGACCACGCTGCACATCGCCCACACGCGGCTTTCTCGGAGGACCCAGATGTCAATAATGCTGCCACCATCCTCGCCCGTGATGAAGAAGAACAGATTGGATTTGCGGGTGAAATGGAAGACAATGTTGACCTGGCCCTCGAAGAAGACAGTGCCAGCGACAGTGCGAGGCGACCGTATCGTGATGAATTCACTGATAATGAGTCCGACGTCTTCAAGGACGGTGATGACATGGACGGTGATGACATGGACGGTGAGACATATGGGCTGCACTCGCATGTCAGGAGAGCCCTGTAAACTGGGGTCAGCTCAATACGCCTAATACCTTTACGCTTATTGATTATATTGATCTAAATCTAGTGTTTACGCCCATTTCGTATGATACTTCACAGCTTCTGTATTGGTAATGTGAGCTTTCGATGGGATGGCGGCGCATTCTGGCGTTATAGTCTGGCAAAAGTCTTATTCACGCAAATTAAACTCTAGATGATTATGCTTATAGATTGACTGTCATAATAATCCTCATAATCCTCAATGGACTCTTTCCTCCCTATTGCTGTACCTCTTGTCCCTCGATAAACGGATGACTAAGTGAATATGCTTACGTGATCACATCCTGACTTCCCCCTCAAATGAACTAAGTAAGACCTGGCAGTGTACAAGGCTGTTTCTTTCTATGCTGAGGAAGCTGCTTGCTCTATTCAGACATTGAAAGAGACATTCAATTTTTATTTATGGTCTCACTCTTGATCCCATGTGTTGACATTGGTTTGTTAACTGATTTGTCTTTATGTCCGGATTGAAGGATTAAGAAGGCAAGTTCACATTCAGTCTCTTATATCTACATCTTTGAGAATTCTGTACTCATTATGTTTGATCGATGCGCTTTTTGATATGATCTTTTACTGATTATCTTAGCAGGACTAGCTGGAAAATTATACAGCATTAAACTCTCTTGAAGCCTCGACGTTCGAGTCATATGTTCCACCATGGACAGGTGGATATCTTGAGATTTGATACGAGCGTTGAGATTGACATGAAAAGAACGATCTTTCAAGAATTCCCCGAATAAGGACCCTGAAATAAGAAAAACCAAAACAAAAGGGGCTTGATTTGGTAGACATATTTTCATGAAGACTATCTGCCTCACAACCCTAGGCTGGAAAGAATGGAAGCTGCGGTATCCATTGGAACGCAGGATGTCGGCAGTCATCCGATAGAGCCGCTACCGTTAGATATATGCTCAACGGCCGATAAGAAGATCGAGTGCAATAGACAATCATCTATGTTGCTGTCGCCGGATAGGAGTTTGAACGAAAACGGATGTTCGCAGGAGCCCCCGAGGAAACGTCTGCGGAAGCTTGCTCCGGGCGATTCTCTGGCTGTAGATGTCGCTGGGAATAGCTCACAGTGCAGTGATCATATATCTCATGGAGCGAATCAGAGCACGCCGAATGCCTCTGTGACCCCTTCTTCCTTATTCTCGACCTTCACTCAGAAGAAGTCGGTCTCTCCCCCTTCTACGCTCCACGGTGAATCGTCTTTTGCGTCTTCAATGGGGGCGAAGTCTGGAAATAATACGCCTGATTTCTCGAAATACCGTCCCAGGTCATCGATTCCTTCACGACTCTCTGCTGCAATGTACGGCCACCAGTGTGTGGCTGCGGCTTATGCGTCCAGGCTAAATCCATATGCACTTCATAGAAGGGAGCAGGAAGCGTTGCAGGATTATTTATGTCATCTTCATGTTACGGTCTACTTAAGTATACGAAATGGGATCCTTCGATTGTGGACCCGAAACCCAATGGTCAGCGTTAGCAAGGAAGAAGCTCTCGGTTGCGCTAAGGACTATCGTTGGATGAATCTGGCTTCATTTGCTTATGAATGGCTGGTTCGAAATGGGTATATCAATTTTGGCTGTGTTGAGATTCCCATGCCCTTTGCCCCTACTAAACGCAGCCGGCGGAAGGATGGCCCTACCATCGTCATAATAGGTGCTGGGATGGCCGGCTTAGGTTGTGCACGGCATCTAAATGGTCTATTCCAACATTACTCTGACTCTTCCATCTCTCCTCGCGTTGTCGTACTGGAAGGAAGGCGGAGGATTGGCGGCAGAATATACTCGCATCCCCTACAAAGTCTTCAGTCGAAAAACCTACCTCCTGGTGTCTATCCAAAAGCCGAGATGGGTGCGCAGATCGTGGTCGGTTTTGGCCGTGGCAACCCGTTGGATCAGATCGTCCGATGCCAATTGGGTTTGCCATACCATTTGCTGCGCGACATCTCAACTATATATGACATAGACGGATCACCGGTAGATGAAGCTCAAGATTCAATGAACGAGACGCTTTATAATGATGTACTAGACCGGTCTGGATTGTATCGCCATAAGGCCGTCATCGTACCGACTGCTGAAGGCGATCGAGAGTTGCTTGATTTAGGCCGTGAGGTATCAATGGATGACGGTCTGACCGTAAGGCAGTATGAAGAAGCGAGAGCAGCGGGGACAATTGACCTGCTATTTCCCGCAAAACGGCTTCGTCGAGGCGTTGGACACAAAACTGCGGATATTCGACCCCCTGCTGCTCCCGGGGCAGACTCTGGCCTTCCAGAGGAGCACCCGGCGGCCTTTGCGTGTCGGACCATGGGCTGGAAGTTGAATGATGGGGTTTCTTTGAACGACGCCTTGAATTTGGATGCTGTTGCGAAAGCTTCAGAAACGCAGACACTAGGCGCTGTCATGGATGAAGGGGTCAGACAGTACCAGCGAATGCTTCCTTTGGCTCCAAAGGATATGCGATTAATCAATTGGCATTTTGCAAATTTGGAGTATGCAAATGCCGCGAATGTGGGTAAGCTCAGTCTTTCTGGGTGGGATCAGGACATGGGCAACGAGTTCGAGGGCGAGCACTCCCAGATCATAGGTGGCTTCCAGCAGGTGCCTTACGGGCTATGGTCTTTGCCTACAAAACTTGACGTCCGGACAAATAAGACTGTCTCAAAAATATCCTATGACTCGACCGGCTCGGGCAAACGCAAAACTGTGGTTCACTGTGACGACGGGGAGAGTTTTGTAGCAGACAAGGTGGTCTTCACTGCCTCTCTGGGCGTTTTGAAGCACCAGGCTGTGCAGTTTGACCCCCCTCTTCCGGATTGGAAAGTGGGGGCTATCGAACGGCTTGGGTTCGGCCTGATGAACAAAGTCATCTTGGTATTCGAAGAGCCGTTCTGGGACACCGGACGGGACATGTTTGGGCTTCTACGCGAGCCAAAGAACAGGGATAGCATGGTTCAGGAGGATTATTCCGCGAATCGTGGCAGATTCTACCTGTTTTGGAATTGCTTGAAGACTACCGGTCTTCCAGTCCTGATAGCCCTGATGGCTGGCGATGCGGCACATCAAGCAGAATGTACGCCAGACGCTGAAATCATCACCGAAGTCATCAGCCAACTTCGAAACATCTTCAAGCACGTTGCCGTTCCCGACCCGCTAGAGACTATTATTAGCAGATGGGCAACCGACAAGCTCACTCGAGGCAGCTACTCCTTCGTTGCTGCCCAAGCACGTCCTGGCGACTACGACTTGATGGCACAACCAGTTGGTAACCTGCATTTTGCCGGAGAAGCCACCTGTGGCACTCACCCGGCCACTGTCCATGGCGCGTACCTTTCAGGACTCCGCGCCGCATCGGAGGTGATTGAATCAATCGTCGGCCCCATTGAAATCCCTCAACCGCTTGTCCCAGAGAAAACAAAGCAGACAGGCCCCAACAACCCCGGAAACGCCGCGGTATCTGCTAATGGACAAATGGGAAAAGAATCATCAGCGCCAACCACCATTCCCCCGGGAGGAACCCCAATCCCAGCCCAATCGAACAACTCGCAACCAAAAGATGCAGCCCTAAGACAGGCATACGAACAGGAAATGTGGGCAGCCGTCTACGCAGAACTAGGCCCACCTGAACCCCGACCCGCCAGAACCGGACTAAACGCCTTCCTCCTCTACCAGAAAGACTACTGGCAAAAAGCCAGAGAGCAGAGCGATGAAGCCCGACGCGAAGCCACGAAGAACCCCAACGCCAAGGCCGCCCGAGACGAGGTCCGCCACACCCTAGGCCTGATGTGGCGACAGGCCAGCAAGGAGGAGAAGAGGCCATATATCGAGCAGACGGAGGCTAATCGACAGATGAATGCGGAGGTATGGGGACAATGGAAACTGAGGATGGCGGAATGGGAGAAGCGGGCGAAGGAGTGTAAGGAGCGGTGGTGCGCTACGCATCCTTTTGAGGCGTGGACGCCTGGTTCCGTTCGTCGTACGAGGGCAAGTGTGGTCTGAGTGTTGATTCCCTCCTACAAGTCATGCCAAGGAAGAGGGGGTATTGAAATGGAGGAAAGCGAGCTATTAACTATCAGCTATTCGTCTATCATCCTTCTCACTGAGTTCGTTTGCTGTCCCATTTTTTTAATGTGCCGCCATTGTCCTAGTATTTATATAGATAGGAATTTCACTTCCATTATTTACTTAACCGACCCCTACGGTAACCTTCGGGGTCGCGCGTATTGCGCGACCCTGACAACCACCCGAGCACCCCAGCCACCCGAGCACCGATTTTAGAACTTCGTAGAATTCCAACCCATCAACTTTATCATATAATTCAACCACCACCACCATGCCCAAATTCAATAAAAATTATGAAGATCGAATGCTCAAAGCTATTGACGCGTTAAGCACACAAAATCCCCCAAATATCGCCAAAACTGCACGTGAATATGGAGTTAAACGGCAAACCCTCTCCGCAAGGTGGAAGGGACGGTCCAATCTATGTGAACGACCACCAACCAACACCAGATTATCAGAAGAGCAAGAAAAGGCTCTGTGTCACTATGTTGATACTCTAGAGCAATTAAATATAAAGCCACTTGCACAAATGATCCAATCAAGTGCCAATTCTATTCTGAGATCAACCCATACCAGCCTAGACACCCCTCCACCTACTGTCAGCGAGAAATGGTTAAACCGATGGCTAGGAAGGCATCCTGAATATAAAAGACGTCGCTCTAGAGCTATAGAGCTTGACCGCAAGCGTGCAGAGGATCGTGAGGTTATTCAGGAGTGGTTTCAGAAGCTCCATCAGACCATCCAGAACCATGGGATATTAAAGGAGGATATCTACAATTTTGATGAGACTGGCTTCAATATCGGTGTTGGTCGTGATCAATGGATTATTACCAGGGACTTCAATATTAATAAGCCTCATATTGGGATGAATTCAAACCGTGAATATGTTACTGTGGTTGAAGCAGTCAATGCAGATGGCTGGACCTGCCCACCACTTATTCTCATGAGTGGTAGCTGTATACTTACAAATTGGTTTGAAGCTGCTGATATTCAACAAGACTATTCAATTGGAGTATCAGAAAATGGCTATATGACTGATACAATTGCCTTCCAATGGATTCAGTCATTCTATCGGCATACTAAAAGATATAGGAAGGGTCAATATACCCTTCTTATATGTGATGGATACGGCTCCCATCTAACACATGAATTTGTTGAATTCTGTGAGAAGACCAATATCATCACCTTCTTCTTACCTCCACATACAAGTCATTTCTTGCAGCCATTGGATGTTGGTGTTTTTCATGCATATAAGCACTGGCATTCAGAAGCAGTTGCAGATGCAACCTACTCAGGATGCAGTAAATTTACTAAGGTTGAATTCCTTCATGCCTTAGGAGCAATTCGCAAGAAGACATTCAAAAAGCGTACTATTCGGCATGGATTCCAAAAGACTGGCATTATACCATTCAATCCATCAATTGTACTCAATCAAATGCCTCAACCACATCGTCCATCCTCTTCATCCACCAATACCAATGATGTTGATTCCTGGGGCAGTACGCCAAAAAAAAGCTGAACGATTTAGGGAGATTGGTGATAGGATATGGGAGATTCATGATATCAACAAGGATCAATTTAATGAGGGCCTAGAGCTGCTTATTCGTGGTGGTAGTATGCTAGCATCATATTCAGCTGCTATCGAAGCTGAGCTTGACCGGTATATTAAAGCTGCTAGGGACCGCGCAGCTCGATCACAGGCCTCTAGGCGCAGGATTCGCAAGGGAGGCATAGTATCAAGCTCAGAGCTTGAAGCTATAAATCGAAATACTGCGAATATTAATGAGCAGGCTGAAATAAAGAGGTGGAGGACTAAGTATAAGCGTTGCCTACCAGAGCTGCTGGATGTGTGCATTCGACGAGGAATTATTATACGAAGGCAACGACATGCTAGGGCCCAAGCTGAAGAGTAGAGCTTTAGTTTAAATATATTTTGAAGTTAAATACTATAGAATTCGTTGAGATATTGAAGCTAGAAGGGGGGTCTAAAATTGGTGCTCGGGTGGTTGTCAGGGTCGCGCAATACGCGCGACCCCGAAGGTTACCGTAGGGGTCGGTTAACTAAAGCTTGCGTTGAAACTGGAAAAAACAAAACCCTAGTTTATTTTAATTCTATCAAAAAGCCAAATATCCATTCTAGCCGGATCTACTGCTCATTTCACTTCCAATCCTATTCTATCTATTCTTCTTTCTGTTGTTTGAGTTTGGTCCATTCCATATTTGTCCTGCCTGCCCTGTCTTGTCTATGGTTTCTGTCTTGCCTGTATATCATTCCCAATTTATCACACAGGAATAATTCTAGCGCTGAACGCACAGGGAAAGACTAATAGATATATAAAAAGAAAAAAGGAAAGAAGAGAGGCACGATATTCGCTCTAGTCTATTGTAATAAATAACCCATCATCATCACATTATTGGTAATGGCAGAAGTATAAAAAAAGGATGGATGGCAAGTGATAACAAAAAAAAAAGTGCATAATGGACAACACCAAGACCAACAGATAACTGATTCTTTCAGAAAAAAATCTAGACGTGATTTATGACCGCAACAAGGTGAAAGGTAAGTGATTAGAGGAGAGGGTTGGATTTGTACTCGGGAACGGCAGCGCTGGCATCATTGTCGGTTTTGACGCCTGTCTCCTGAGCGGCGGGTTGGATGGCGGACTTCTCGACACTTATGCCCTTCAGGTTCTCCTCCTCAACGTTGTCGGCTTCGGAGAGGAATCTCTCTGCTTCCAGAGCCGCGATACAGCCGGATCCTGGTACAGGGTTAATCAAATGCTCAAGATATAAAAGTCGAGAGAAACTCCTGGGACATACCTGCACTGGTGATAGCTTGCCTGTAACGCTTGTCCTGAACATCACCGCAAGCGAAGACGCCTTCGAGGCTGGTGTAGCTAGTACCCGGCTTCGTGATAATGTAGCCATCCTCGTCGAGGTCAATCTGACCCTTGACCAATGCGGTGGCGGGATCGTGGCCAACAGCGTAGAACAGACCATTGGCCTCGACGACCTCCTCCTGGCCAGTGACGGTGTCCTTGACTTTCAAATGGGTCATCAGACCATTACGTTTTGCCTCACCAAGCACCTCCACAGCAACGGAGTTGAAGCGGACGGTAACTTTGGGGTGGCTGAGCAGACGGTTAGCCATGGCTTTGCTGGCCCGCAGCTTGTCTCGACGAACGAGAACAGTAACGTTGCTACCGTACTTGGCCAGGAACATGGCCTCCTCGGCAGCAGAGTCTCCACCTCCAATCACGTAGAGGGGCTTGTTGCGGAAGATGGGCACGGCTCCGTCACAGACGGCACACGCGCTGATTCCGTTTTGCCAGTACTTCTCCTCACCGGGCAGGTTGAGACGACGGGCATTGGCGCCAGTTGCAATGATGACGGCATCGGCAGTGTGAGCCGGTTCATTGTCGGGGCCATCGTTCCATTCCGTCCACAGCTTGAACGGTCTCTGTGACAGGTCGACTTTCGAGATGGTCTCTGTGATGATCTCAGTGCCGAACCGGGCGGATTGCTTGCGCATGTTCTCCATCAGCTCTGCTCCACCGATTCCATCGGGGAAACCGGGGAAGTTCTCAATGTCAGTGGTTGTGGTGAGCTGACCGCCGGCAGCGGTGCCGTTAGCGAGCATGCCCTCATAGAGAACTGGTTTGAGCTCCGCTCGCGAAAGATAGATGGCGGCTGTGTGTGCAGCGGGGCCGGAGCCAATGACTAAATACCATAAGTACAAGGCAAGCAAATATTAACAATGCAGACAACAATGGGAGGGAGACTTACTGACTACTTTGGTGTGTACCATTCTGGAGGCAGAGCCAGGGTTGACGCGCAACGGCGTCGATATAGAATGCGGAAGAGCAGCGGCGGATGGAGAAGACTTCTGGTGAAGCGAGGAAGTAGCCGCAGCAGTCAACCCAAGCGAGGATCGCAGAGAGGAGAGGGGGAAACGGCGAAACGTGGAGGAAAACAACTTGACGGAGGGGGAGGGAACGGGTAGAGAGGGGTTCTATGGTGTTCTAATATACGTCCCACCGGCGACGGAACCACTGCAGCACGCGAGAGGGCCAACGAGGAGTAGACGAGCAGAGAATGGATCTGGTTTGCTGATGCAGCTGTTTTGATAATGATGATTATCGAGATCCGAGGAAGAGACGCTCTTTCAACTGCTGTTTCTTAAATTCTTAGGAATCAGAGCCTGTCGAGACCCGGTCACGTGGGTCTGCTTAGAAAGCGACGCGGCCTCGACCTTCACGAAAGTTTTGAAACACTCAAGAAGCAATTGCAGAACGCTGACTGATGAGAACCGTCGCCCTGTCCAGAAAGTTCCTGAGATGAAAAGACCTATGCCTGCTTATGTACATCCTGTCCTTCCCTACTGGCACATTCCACCGGTCCAGTCCTGTCCAGCACGTAATGAATAATAATACTCTCCCTCCTGCCATTACATCCTCTGAAACCACCTTTTCTTCGGCCCTCGGCCCTCCGGTCCTGTATTCTCGATGCTGCCCTCTGGTTGCTCCGGGGGGATCACTTCCTCAGGGAACGACTCATCGTCTTCGTCGCTTCCAGGGTAGCCCTCATAGTTGGCACCATGTTCGACTTGCGGATCGCCCGCGTCTACCCCTTCGTCATCGCTGAATCTTTCTTCATCCGTGGTGCCAGTGTTTTTATTTCTGCCCACTCCCAGCCATTTGGTCCAGCTCCGTCTCTTGGGAGCCTTGGCTGGCGGAGTGGTCGCGACGGGGACGTGGCTGGCATCAGGTTCGGTATGAACGGGGGGCTCGTCATACCATAGCATAGGTACAAGCAGTTTGTAGGGATACGTAATACCAGACGGGTCCCCGGGGTTGATCTCCAGGTTTAGAGTAATGGCCAATCCTCCTTCTAGGTTAATCGGGGCTCCCACTCCACCCTTCCCTTGTCTGGCGGCCCTCTTCGCTGCTTTCAAGCTGACATCCGTTGGTCGGCGGAGGAAGGGGTTCGGGCGTTGGCCAGGCGGTTGAGGGAAGTAACTATCTCCTGTCTCGGGCGGTGGAAATGGTCCATCCATGCTCATCCGTCGACGGTTAGCTCCTCCAAGGTTGAATTCCCTCGTAGGAGGGCGGCTACTACGTTGTGAAAGGCGTCGCAGGAGGCCACCACCCGAACGACTATCACCTCGCGTTAGGGACATGGTCCTCTGTAGCTTTGCTGGACGAGGCTCTTCGACGTTTGGTTCCACCAATGATCCTGGTGTCGCAGGTGGCGTTGACCCTGACAGCCTATTAGGAAGTGTTGCGAATATCATTCTATGTGTCTGCACTTACCTGGTTGATATGGCCTGATAGAACACCAGTTCCGCCTTGGTAACAGTCGCTTGTTATTCCGGGGCTTTCCATCGACATCTTGACTGAAGATGGGAATGATGTCTTCTTCCGTATCGGCATCCATGTGATGCACCTTGTTGCGTGTATTCAGCATGTCTGCGATCATGTCCGACTCTGGTACGTCAGCAATCGCCGATGAGATGACGTTCGGCATGTATCGATAATCTCTGTCCTTCCGTATGTCAAGCTTCGGGCTCGAGTAGAATCGCCCGATTGCTGCCAAATGGACATCTCCGCTGCAATACCTCTGGTCAGAAAACATGTCTTCGCTATTTCAAGACCCTCTGCATTGGCTATAATTTACCTTAAAATTGTAACCCGTATGGATTTCTCTGCTGCCAAGTCCTGAAGGTCCTCGATCAACCATCCTCGTTCCGGCTTGAGATGCTTTGCCGTCCAGTGGTCATCGAAAATCTCAACTCGACCGCCATACTTGTTGAGGAAGCCTCCGAATATTCCGGCCTTCCCTAGTGACTTACGGCTGTTCAAAATGTTCTTAACCATCGCCTGCAAACAAAGAAAAAGAAACTCTGTTAGACATCGTTTTTGATGATTAGGCAACAGGGGCCCTTGCACATACCACTCTGGGATAGATGATCGGAATGCTTGACACCACAATTAAATGCTTTATCTCTCCCTTCACAATCTCCCGGTGGCATCGATCCCAGATGAGATCACAGGTCTCTTCGGTGAGAACTTCATTGCTCTGTGAAGATCCTGTCAGCAATCTCCTAATTAACCAATAGCTCGAACCGTTTTTCACTCACTATTCTTTCCGTCCGACAATCCAATGCTAGCAAAGTAATGTCTTTTCCGAGTGGCATGAAAAGATTTCGACTCTTTTGCTTGATATAAGGACCCGGTTGAGCTCCAAGGACCCAGCTGGGCTCATCTGCCTCAGTCTCCTCCAGAACGCTCTGGTGCTGGAACAGCAGGTAATACTTGAATGCGATTCTTCCCAGACCGGAGATCACAGAAGTCCTCATAAATTCATCGGGATACGAGCCAAACCCTTCAATAAGCTCATGGTCATTCCACATGTTGACCATAGGGATCTGCGAGTTCGCTAGAGAGTAGAGACCCTGGGAGAACCAGATCGAGTAACGCTCGAGGTAATAGTTCTCTAGATCGGCTCTGAACTCAGGGCTGAATGTTGCATTATACTTCTCATGAATATTTTTGGTCTTGACCCATTCCTGGAAGAAGACAGACTCTGATATGACGCTGTCGTTAAAGATCTGGTCGCCTCCACCTATCATGACGTGGAACGGGCGGGTCTGATGCTCATTGAGGATGTCTCGCCAGAGAGGGTCCGGACCACAGAACTTGTTGGAGTCGGCAGATAACCCAAATCCGTTACAAGTGTAAAACGCAATGTTCATAGACTGACCACTTGCAGGCACCCAGAATCCCAGGGCTGGGCCCTGGTTGATGCGGTATGCCACACGCCGCTGTTCTGATCCCAGTTCTACTTCGATGCTGAATCTCCAGAAAGTAACATCTCTGTCCGGATCAGCGTACAAACGAATGCCCGGGATTTCTTTGTATAACCCCGCGGTTTCTCCATCGCATGGGTGAATTCTATTGGTGGGAGTCGACTGTTGGTTATTGTCGTTACTAAATTCAACCCTACTTGGCGACTGTTCGTAGAGACCGTCGTCATTCTCCACGAACGAAAGATCAACGTCCTCTTCAGTGTCGTCCACAGGTTTGACATACAATGGCCTCCCATCTCGACCGACTTTCATGAGACCTGCTGTCGGATCCACGTACTCAAAAGCGAGCTGGCTTTGGACTTCTGAAGGTGGAGGTGGAAGAATATCCATCGGTTGGGAGAACAGTCTCAGTCTAGGCGATGGCTCGTACGATGATAGGGAATCTTTCGTGACTATCATGACGCTGCCTCTCCATGTTGCCTTTTCAATTGGACCATTGGGCCCGTCTATCTTCACTCGTTTCATTCCAGCGTACCGGAGCAATGGTCCGCATTTTAAGAATATCTGTGGTCGGAAGCGCTCGTTCACTGCATGACAAACATATCGTTAGTATGGATAGATACAGCATGTGCAAACACTCATGCAAAAGATCTTACATGTTGTCTGCTGGGCAGGCTTCTGGTAATTCTTCGGGAGGGATCGACTCTCCCGGCGATTCGCGCTTCCTCCAAGACTCCACCAAGCTTTACTTCTTTCAAGATCAATATCCTGAAAGTCAAAATCGGGGTTGCATAACCTGGCCACGGGAGCATTCTTCCACTCCGAAAGCGGCGGTGGTGTCGGTGGTGGTACATTGAATGAGACAGACTGCTTCTTCGGCTTCGGCTTCGCGCCTTGTCCATCATTGGTATCTTGAGGCACAGCGTTGTCAGCATTTGTACCTTTGTTCAAGTCAGAGCCAATAGCTGCGAAGTCACGTTCTGCAACGTTCATAGAAGAAGCGCCCGTTCTCTGCGGCTGAAAGCTAACATTTCTGTTAGGTCCTTTGTCCTGGATAACTTGTTGTATTGGTCTATCTGGAAAACTCTGAGGATCCCACTTCGGTAGTGACTGTGAATTTTCAGTGTTTACTGCAGCCGCCATGATAGTGGCTGGCTTTCGAGCAGGCATCGCACCTGTGGCGTATGTTGGATTTCCGGCCCCTACTGGCCGCCTGGGAATTTGGTTTCCAGTTTCTACCTGTGGCAGATGATGTTCGGCAGTAGCAAATTGAGGCTGTGTGGCAGGAGTGACTGCGGCATACCCGACGCTTAGTCGCCGTGGTTTATTCTGAGTGCTGTTGGGCTTGTGCGCATGTCTCTGAGGACCGAGCTCGGGAAATCCGCCTGCTGTAGAATAACTTCTAGTATGCAATTGCTTGGGTGCTTGCATGCCACCTTTCGGCGGCATGGTTGTCTGTCCGCGACTCGCCATCCGGTTGGGAATTGTCGGTTCTGGAACTCTAGGTTGAGATTTCGGGGTATCGCTGACAAGTCTCTCCTGAGGTTGCGACATGTGCTCACGCTTGTTGTTGTCTGCTTCCTGGCGTGCTAATCGTTCTTTGAGACGCTTCTCTGCTTCCTGGACACGCGCTCGTTTCTCTTCCTTGCTCATACCACCCAAGGTCACTTCAAGCTTCTGGAGGGGAGATCTGTCTGAAGCCCAGTCACGCCGCTCTTTCCCAGATTGCTCTGTGCTATTTGCACCTGTGGGGGAGGCCGGACCCATAGACTCAAAGGGCGATGATAACTTCCTGAAGTCCTGTGCTGGAATAAAAGGCTCTGAGACATTTGTGATAGGAAGATTGGCCAAAGGAGGGTTCGTGGAACGCCTTCTCTGAGTGTAATACTCTTGCACCGGAGAAATACGTTCGTCAATCACGCCTACATTCAACGCAGCAGGAAGATCTTTCGCTCTCGTGGAGAATGAACGAGATACATCACTGCTGGAATTCTGAGCAGCACTTCCTCTGTAGAAGATAGACGGGGCACGTGGAGCTTCTGGATTTCCGTTTTCATCTTGGCCCATGACAGCTGAGCTGATGTCAGAGTCATTTGAGAAGGTCCTTGCCATCCCATTGCTTGCTATTTGCTGCAGCGGCGCAGAAGTCCCATTTGGGACGCCCGGCGATCTTCGAGACGTTGCCGCAGCCATATTTCAGATATCCCTATTTTCTGCAAGTCTTGTAGCGTTTGGGTCATATGTCGACACCCGGCAGAAGTTCGTCACTCGACATTCAGTGTTGTGCTGATATTGTCACCTATAGGAGACCAGAGTCAATTCAAGGCCCAGCTCGAAAGGCCAGGAAGTGAGGAATAATACATCCTTGGAGGGATGGAAAGAATAAGAGGATTCTGGAGACCTACGGCTAGACAGGTCGGGCAGTAGTACGCTCGGAGATCCGCACTTTTTGGCCGATTATCTTCGAGGTTGAGTCTGCCAGGATTTTATTGAAAGAGCATGGTTGTAGCGGAATGATTGCTAAATATGCCCCTGAGCAAACGGACAAAGAAATCGCGAATCTCGGTTGGCTTCAAAACGATTCGGAAATTGTGGTGAGGTATCGCAGCAGGCTGTGTCGGTGAATCTTCGATGGAACACGGCGCTCGATGGGGAAAGGGCAACAAACAGTAAGGGACAGAAATTCCGTCGGGGAAAAAAGAAAGACACAATGTGGGAAATTCAGCAAGGGGGAATAATTAGCACAGGCTGTTGGAAGCTGCAGCAGCAATGCAGCGTATATCAGAGCTGTTTGATATCCCGGTGGCTGGTCGCAAGCCGCGCGGGGGCTCTTCTGCGCGGGTAGCATGCACCTACTGGACTGTCCTGGTCGTTCATTCGATCTTTTGCTTTCGTTTTCCCTTTTGTTTTCTAATAATACTTTGATTACCGGTGATGCAGCAGGTGAAAACCTGTCGATTCACCAACGTCATGAAGTCCAGCGTACAGCGCTGCTCCGGCACCCGATGAGCTGGTTTCACAGATCTGCAGTTGGAGCCCAACATGACGCAGTGAGAGTTCTGCAAGCGATTACTGCTCTTCGAGGAGACTTTTCAGCTGTTTCCAGCCGTCTTTGCATCTTGTGATGGGGTGTCTGTTTTATCTATTTCTTTCCATCTGCTGCGCAAGCCAGACAGCAACATAAAATGCAGCTAAATCTGTTCGACTGACGGAGCACATTGTGAAAGAAACTATTCCGAGTACTATTACTGGCAGAGCTTACTGATCACATTTATCTAGCACCATTCAAACGGCCGTCAGTCTAGTTCTGTGGGTCAACTGCCGTTCCACCTCTTTGACGGCCTCCGCAAGTCTTTAGAATAGCCTCCGTCACCAGAAGTGACACATCACAAACCTGAATTGAAACCTGGACCGTACCCACGGAGATGTGTTTATTCGGCATATTACATTGCTGCTATGATCCCCCGACAATGACAATGCCATTAGAGTTATCTAACGGACGGGTCCGACTATAGGATTCCTTGGGTTATCAAATTCCAAAGCTGAGGATGCCATCTTGGTCCTGTCGAACTATCTAAGACACTATCACTAGTTGACTATTGCCTCTGTTACACGGTCGCTCATACATATCGGCCCCGTCATCCTATTAAATCCCTGATAAAGACAAGAAGAATTCGTGAGCCCGGTTGTAAGCCATGAAGGGCAAGTATCTACTGGACAGGACTCCTCTCCTTCGAGGGACATCCGGTCCTCAGCTCCGCTTTGGTATAGATTTCCATGTACCTTGGAAATGTTTTGCAGCGTCTTTAGTTTGACTTTATAAGACTTGAGTAAGTTCTTCACGCTCCATGTGCGTTTCCGTATTGGCTTTTGAATCTCGATACTTGGATTGCAGCTTCATGACGGCCCGGGCCGTACAGCGGGTCGTATTCTGGATAAATGTCTTACACTAGGATCACTAGCAAGTACGTAGGTCTATTATAAATAGTCAAGGTAGCTGTATATTTATCAAGGAAATCAAGATTATTCCGTTGGAAAAACATGCTAGATAATAACAGATACTGCTAAACAGAGCCCAATGACCTGGTTCCTAGCATCACCATTCCTGACAAGATGAACCTCACTGGCATAACCATGTCCTCTTGCACATGAACACCTGTTTCTGAGCAACAAGATCAACATCTTATCTACTATCTAAACTTTCTAGATGAGACTTCATAGACCAGATAAAGTCTGGGCTGAGCAGTCGTTTAATGCTCTGCATCCGCAAACATGAAGTAGTTCCCGTTGCATATCTTAACTGACCAGCAGGAAGTCTTCAAATGATGACAAGATTAGCGTTCTCCCAGGTCCCTCTCGGAAAGCAGAGTTCCAGCATATAGAGTACTCAATAAATACTCTTGGATGTCGGAGATATCTGCAGCATAGGCATGTCCTTAAATGCCCGGGGAAATCAGCTATAATCCTTTCCACGCGGCTACCTTGCCATCTGACTGTTGAAACAATAAAGTTTTCTTCACCTGAACGCCCAATGAACAGAGACAGGATGATTAAGGTACACGAAGGAAGTATTTAAGTCACCGAAATGACAGATCAATATATTCCCAGAGACCTGAATCAGGCCTCTACCACTAGTTAGTAGCTTACGTGGCCTCTTTACACAGCCATGTTTCCATTAGTTAGTAAACGGGTTTAGAGAGGGAGAGAGAGAGAGGGAAGATATGGCAGAGAGGGATGTCTCAATATATGAGACCATCTGCGAATTAGTCGTAGGTAGAGGTTTGTTGGAGGCGAAAAAGGACAATTGTCGGGCATGACTCGTGACCCGAAACTCGGGCGACTTTGGCTCCAGGAGACACCAAGAAATCTCTCCGCAAGACAAAGAAATCACCACTCGCCATTTCCCACCGCGCGCTGCGGTGGTCAGTACAAATATTTCACGGTTGAAAAGTCCCGGCTGCCCTGTTCATTGTTCTTTATTCTCGTATCTGTCTTTGCATCCATTTCTCTCACGAACCCATTGTTCTGTCCATCGAGTGGTCCGGTACCGTTCCATGGCAAAATACGACATAGATCATTTCTCGCCATAATAAAGAGGCGTTCAGTCTCCTGTTTCTGTTTTCAAACATGCGGATTGCTAAAGGCATAGTCGCCGCTTTCTATCTATGTAGCGCGACCTCGGCTACCCTACGTCCTTCCTATGAAACTCGCGATTTCTTCGCTCTTCACCTCGATGAAATCACGTCTCCGTCCCAGGTTGCTCAGGCACTCGGTGCCCGTTACGAGGGCCAAATAGGGGAACTTTCTGATCATCACAAATTTTCTTTGCCCGAGAATAAGCGATCGGACCTGGATGCACTGTTGGAGGACCTGCGGGCCAGGAAGAAACTCCGACGGCGTAGGGGAGATGATGCCACATCGATACTTGGCAAGAGGGACGATGTGTTGGATGGCATACTCTGGTCGCAGAAGCTAACCGCGAAACAGCGATTGTACAAGAGAGTTCTACCGCCACTGTCGACGACGCTGGATTCTAGGAACTATCCCCAAGAAACTCAGACTGCGAATCCTGAAACTGTCCAATATCGACAACAAGTCGCTTCTTCTCTTGGCATTGCAGATCCAATATTTAACGAGCAGTGGCATCTAGTCAACACCTTCCAGCCAGGGCATGATCTTAACGTGACGGGCGTCTGGCTAGAAGGGGTTACTGGAGAGGGCGTCATCTCTGCTGTTGTCGATGATGGGTTGGATATGTACAGCGATGACCTCAAGCCAAACTACGATGCTGAGGGTTCATACGATTTCAACGATAAGACGGAAGAACCTAGGCCCCAATTGGAAGATGACAAGCATGGCACGAGATGCTCAGGAGAGATTGCCGCGGCCAAGAACGATGTGTGTGGACTGGGAGTCGCATATGGCAGCAAAGTGTCGGGTGTACGAATTTTATCAAAACCCATAAATGACGCCGATGAGGCGGCAGCTGTCAACTATGCTTTCCAACACAATGACATCTACTCGTGCTCATGGGGACCCATGGACAACGGCGAAACCATGGAGGCTCCTGGGATTTTGGTCAAGCGCGCTCTTGTCAATGGAGTGCAGAACGGCCGAAATGGCAAAGGCTCGCTATTCTTCTTCGCCGCCGGTAACGGAGGGACTTGGGATGACAACTGCAATTTTGACGGATATACCAACAGTATATACAGTATCTCTGTTGGCGCAATTGACCACCGAGGTGGCCGTCCTGCTTATTCGGAATCATGCTCTGCACAAATGGTCGTGACATACAGCAGTGGCGCAGGCGAGGCTATTCATACTACCGACGTCGGCCATTCCAAGTGCTCTTCTATTCATGGTGGGACTTCAGCCGCCGGTCCCTTGGCTGCTGGCGTAATGGCCCTCGCTCTTAGCGTTCGACCAGAATTGACTTGGCGTGATGCTCAGTATCTGTTCATGGAGACAGCCATCCCTGTTCACGAAGATGATGGAAGCTGGCAAAATACCAAGATCGGAAAGAAATTCAGTCATGATTGGGGCTACGGCAAAATAGATGCATATGCCCTGGTTCAAAAGGCGAGGACCTGGGATTTGGTAAAACCGCAGGCTTGGTACCACTCTCCGTGGTTACGAGTGGAACGTGATATCCCTGAGGGCAACGAAGGACTCGCTAGTTCATTCGACGTGACAGAAGACATGATGAAGGGAGCAAATCTTGCTAGGCTGGAACACGTTACCGTTACCATGAATGTTAACCACTCGCGTCGTGGTGATCTGAGCGTCGAATTACGCAGCCCTGAAGGAATTGTCAGCTATCTAAGTACGGCAAGGAGAAACGACAACGAAGCTGCGGGATATGTCGATTGGACTTTCATGTCCGTTGCTCATTGGTAAGTTGGAACTCAATTCCGCAGTCTTGGCTTATACCTCTGACCTCACAAATGCAGGGGCGAGTCGGGTATTGGAACATGGACAGTGGTTGTGAAAGATATCAAGGTCAACGAGTTTAACGGAACTTTCACTGACTGGCGGCTTAACCTCTGGGGTGAGGCCATCGACGGAATGAACCAACCGCTTCATCCTATGCCAGAAGAAGAAGATGATGACCACAGCTACGAAAATGCGGCTGTTGTAACCACCAGTGTGGAACCGGGACCAACGATGACTGAGCCACCTTCTAGTTCTCCCACTGAACATGTCGACCGCCCTGTCAATGAAAAGCCTTCGCCAACAGAAGCCCCAGTCACCGCCACACCCACAGCTTCTGAGACTGCGAGCGCAACGGCGACAGCTACTACGGCATCAGACAGCTTTTTACCATCATTTTTCCCAACATTTGGCGCTTCCAAGCGAACCCAAGCTTGGATTTATGCCTCCTTCGGATTGATGATTTTCTTCTGTATCGGACTAGGAGTCTACTTCTATGTCCAGCGGCGGAAGCGCCTTCGGACTATCCCTCGTGATGACTACGAGTTTGAGATGATCCAGGATGGAGACGAACAGCAAGCGTTCAACGGCCGTTCCAGGCGTACACAACGCCGAGGAGGCGAGCTGTACAATGCCTTTGCAGAGGAAAGCGACGAGGAACTGGAATTGCTCAATGATGATGACGAGGAATTATATAGAGATCACTCCGCAAGCGATTCCCGGCAGTTCAGGGAGGACAATAATGACCGCTTGGAGAAATCTTGATTGGTTGGGAAAGGCGCTAGAAGAAGCACTGTGTTTATTTGGTTCATCTATTGCATCTACACTGTGATTTATTAATATTAATAGAGTAATGAAATAGCCCGCAGACGGTCTTTGTCAGAGTGAATAGGTTCAGTGAGTCCACTGTTACTGTGTATGCTGTAGTGTTAAGGTCGTTGGCTGCGTGGTGTTATGCAGGCTTTGTTGCTGTATGACGCTGCTCTCCTTTCTCCGAGTCCTCGACCACTATCGTTCCTCCGCACCTCCATCCATCGACGCCGATCAATCAAGACGCTCCACTACCACCAGCCTTCCATCTGATACTCACTGGAATTCAACACAGAAAGGCTTGTGGAGTGGTCTATTTTGATTTCTACCCCGTTTGTCGCACCTTCCAACACCTCGACGAGTCTGCGGGACGCGCAACGCCCTGCCTCCCCAATGGACCATCAGCACGACGACTTCGACAGCGTTTCCTGGCGACATGATCCAGACAGCGATATCTCGCGTCCCACGACCGCTGGTACGGATGCAGAGGATACCCAAGAGCACACCCACGATGTCAATGGCAAGCGGAGACTAAGCTCAGCAGCACAAGAAGAGCTCCAAACAGGGCCTTTGGCTGACGCTGTCGACGCGGGTATGGGGGATGGGGTGCTTGAATGCCGAGTGGATTCGCCCCTGAAAGAGAATGATGGTACCAAAGATGCATTTATATCATATTTAGTTACGACACATGTAAGTTGTTATGCTTTTGCTTGACCCTCCCGAACCTCGTCCCAGCTCGCTGCCTTGCGGGACGTCGGAGAGACTGTTCATATCGCTAACCCTCGCCATGTCAGACCGACTTTAAATCTTTCCAAAAACCCGAGTTCTCGGTTCGCAGACGATTTACAGACTTCTATTTCCTATATAAGATGCTCTACCGGGATTATCCCGCCTGCGCTGTGCCGCCGCTGCCGGACAAACACAAGATGGAGTATGTACGAGGAGACAGGTTTGGATCAGAGTTTACCACTCGACGGGCGTGGTCATTGCATCGATTCTTGAAGCGCCTTACGCTACATCCAGTACTCCGCCGCGCTCCCTTACTGGCTGTATTCCTCGAGTCGCCGGACTGGAATGCGCATATGCGACTGCGATCAGCTCGCACAAACAGCACATCGGATGGCAGCGGCCCGAGCATTTTTGACAATTTTACAGATACGTTTGTAAATGCTTTTACGAAGGTCCACAAGCCTGATCGCCGGTTCATCGAGGTCCGGGAAAAGGCAGACAAACTGGACGAAGACTTAAACCATGTCGAGAAGATAGTTGCTAGGGTTGCGCGCCGTGAAGCCGATCTCGAATCAGACTACAACGATCTTGCGACTCAATTCCGGAAACTAGTCCCTCTCGAGCCCGACGTGGAGGTGCCGCTGCAGATATTCGCAGCGTCCGTGGATGAAACAGCCCGGGGATTCAAAACACTCAAGGATCACACGGACCAGAACTACCTGGGCTCCCTCCGCGATATGGAAGCCTATATAATCTCTCTCAAATCTCTCCTCAAAACGCGCGAGCAAAAGCAGCTCGATTTTGAAGCCTTGGTTGACTACCGCAACAAAGCAGTTGCCGAGCGCGACTCCCTTGCGAACAACCCGTCATCCTACTACGCCTCGAACCCGCTCACCTCATCTCCCGCTTCGTTCATTCGCTCCAAAATGGAGGATATGCGCGGTGTGGACCACGAACAGTCACGTCGGGAACGTGTTCGGAAGCTTGAACTCCGAATCGACGAGCTTACGCGAGAAGTCGAATCGGCCAAAACTACGTCGGAGATGTTTGACGAAGAGGTCGTACGCGAAGTCGGTGACTTCGAACGGATCAAGGCAGTAGAATTCCGCGATACGCTGGGCGCTCTTGCGGAGAAGCACGTTGACTTCTATCAAGGCGTGCTAAATACATGGGAGCGGTTTATCGCCGAGATGGAAGGCGAGGTTGAGGGTAACCAGGACGGGCCTGGTGCGCCTGAATCCGACATCAAGGATGGCGCAGTGACGAAGTGATCCATTTCAGGTTTATTTGCTATTTCAGGGAGCAGGCTACTCGGTGGGAATAATGGGGAACGATCGACTCGATTTCTCTTCATTTTCATCTTCATCTTCCGTTGGTGCGGTTTTTCTGATGATATCTATAGTTTACAGTATGATCTATTTTTCATATCTGCAGTACGGGTAAATAGGCTCTGGAATCTATTGGTAATGCTGCTTTCGACAGCTCTTTGCAAGTAACGCAACGTACCTAGTAGCATCGCCGCTAGGGCCGTGTTTGCCTCGTTTGCATCGATGGCCCAACTGCATTGCGTCGGTCCGAACAATCAACAATCAACTCGGTGCATCGAAGCATGTCCTCCAGCTTTAGATAGCTCCAATGCGACCAATTTCTGCATCTGTCCTTCGGCCGTACGTCTGCCCTTCCTGCCGGCATGGCGCCCTTTCGGGTCGCAGGAGATTTGCCTCAACATCCGGCCAGATCCCCGACATCTACGATGTGGTCTGTGTCGGTGGAGGTCCAGCCGGCCTAGGGTTGTTGGCAGCTCTCAGTATGAACAAAACACTGCACCAATTCATGCTGGTTTTAATTGTATATACGCTGACTTAGTATTATAGGAGCGTCACCGGTTACGTCCAAGCTCAAGGTCGCCCTCATTGAGAGCCAGGATCTCGTTAAAGCCCGGAATTGGAATCTCGAATCCGACAAGTTCTCCAACCGAGTCAGCAGTCTGACGCCCTCGTCCGTGAAGTTTCTACAAAAGATAGGAGCCTGGGATTTTCTAGATATCGATCGTGTTCAGAAATATCAAGAGATGCAGGTCTGGGATGGCGAGACGGGGTCCAAGATATCCTTCGACTGGTCGACGGAAACTTCTTCGTCCGAGGGTCTGCGCACAGTAGCGACTATGACGGAGAATGCGAATCTTGTTCGTGCTCTCTTAAAGCAAATTGAGGCGTCCAGGGAGGATAATCTTTCCATTCTGTCGAATTCAAAGGTCGTGTCTATCGAGAATGGCTCTGATCATGCCGACGGCCCCGATTTATCCGCCTGGCCCGTTGTTTCTGTGTCCCCGTCAGGACCCGGGACAGCGACATCCCAGACCCCGTTGCGGCTTGCGGCTAGGCTCCTAGTTGGTGCTGATGGCATCAACAGCCCTGTTCGTTCGTTTGCCAGCATCTCGACAAGTGGGTGGGATTACAATAGGCACGGGGTAGTTGCGACGCTGTCCCTGTCTGAGTTGGACCTTGCTCCGTTCTCCGTGGGAGCGAGAACCGCGTATCAACGGTTTCTGCCGTCTCTGGGTGGGCCGATTGCTCTGCTCCCTCTCCCTAATAACCATGCCACCTTGGTATGGTCGACCACTGTTGAAAACGCGGCATATCTCAAGTCATTACCGCCTAAGGCATTCATTGCTATGGTCAACGCAGGCTTCCGACTCTCTATGGCTGATCTCAAATATATGATGCGCCTGGAAGTCCCATCTTCATCTATCTCGTCTGGGAAGGAAACTCCCCACGAGGATGAACTTTCCTGGCGCCTTCAACACACACCTCAGCCCCCTCACATTCCACCCCTCGTCACCGGCGTCCAGGAAGGCACTGTGGCCTCTTTCCCCCTTCGCTTCAGGCACACGTCCTCGTATATTTCACCTCGAGTCGCCCTCGTCGGCGATGCAGCTCACGTTGTCCATCCTCTGGGTGGACAGGGCCTTAATTTGGGAATGGGTGATGTGGCTTCCCTCTCCAGCACGATTGAATACGCGGTGAATCACGGTATGGATATTGGTGATATTCTCACCCTTGAGCGGTACCTGGCTGAACGCTACGCTGTCAATGCCAAGGTCGGCGGCATGTGCGATCTGCTGCATAAGCTCTACAACGTCCCCGGTCAGGGACCTGTGGCTTGGGGTCGGAGCTTGGGATTGGATATAATTGATCGGTTACCTCTTGTTAAGGGGTTCTTGATGAAGCAGGCGGAGGGCGCGGCTTAGATCGACGTCCATTGGGTTATACGCTTCTAACTCTGCTCTCTTCTTCTGTATAATTTTATGTATTTGTCGAGACAGACCGGGCGATCTGCTTTGCTGTAGGATTAAGAAAAGAAATTTTAAAAAACTTTACTTTCTCGCATCATGACATAGGCACTAATTATCCATGATAGTGTCTGCAGTATACTCATGTGCTCCATATGAAGTCAATGTTGATGATCAGTCATTGCCAGGGAATGGGAGGGGAGGATAGGAAAGATACCATACGTTCTCAGTGCTCGAGAGCTCCAGGTAAAGTGCCTTAATTTTCCCCTGGAATTGGTGTGATTGGTATTATTCCATCTGGCTGATGATGAATACCAGATTGAGCCGAGCTTCTTCACTTTTACAAGGAAGAGACACCGGTGAAGGACTGTCTCTGAAGATGACCTTCAGCCGCCAGCGCCACTGATGTCCTTCGCCCACGATCTTTACGATGAATGCATCATGTTCGATAGCTTGCGATGCAGCAGAACTACCTCAGCGACGTTTCAGTCAAGGACGGCGCGAGGTAATGCATTTCAAAATCAACTTGCTCACACTTTATGACGACAGGGCCAGTCTCTAGAACTAATATGGAATGGGTATTCTGCGTATCAACTTTTCCCCTTCTCCGAATATTGTCTTGTTGACGCTATATTTTTTATAATCACTTCTTCGCTCGGCTTGCTATGACAATATCAAGGAAATTGAAGGCGTTCTCTATGGTTTTTCAAAGAAATCGGGGGAAGGAAACCAAGGAAACAGGACGAAAGAAAACCCAAAAAAAAAATATCCCATTTAAATACCCGCGTCCGCTGTCTTCGCGGTGGTGTCAGCTTTCACATCTACACCCTCTAGCTTCTGCGCGAGACCCGCAACAGCCTCAGAATCGGTGGATGTGCCGGAATTCTTCCGAGCTAATCGAGCCTTTACTTCGGGGATGAGTGAGGTGAGGTCGACCAGAACACCTTCTTTCTCCGGGTGGCCCTCTTCAAGGCCGAGTTCCTTGATTTTCACCTTGCCAGCGGCTAGCTCGTCGTCACCGAGTATTACAGCGAAGGGGACGCTAGCTTGTTCCGCAGCCTTGAACTGGGCGGGAAGTTTGGGTTTGATCTTGTAGGAGAATTCGGCCTGGTTGGGTTCCTGTTAGTGCGGGTTCGGAACAACGAATCACTAATCAATCCCCCGATTTTGGAGGCTGCTCACCTTAATACCTGCACTCCATAGCTTCTTGCAGATATCCATGCGTTCCTTCAACAGGCCGTTGAAGCCCTTCCCGCCAAATGCCATGACGTAGACGTCAACCTCGCTACTGCGCAGCGCATCCGCGCTCTTCTCGCGTTCCAGGCGAGCTTTGGTAATGGAGAAAATGCGGTCGACGCCAAACGAGACACCGACGCAGGGAATCTGAGCCTTGCTCAGGAACATGCCGACCAGGTTGTCATAGCGGCCGCCAGCAGCTACACTACCCACTCCGACCGTGGGGTCATTTGATCGGTCATCCTCATCCAAGTTGGTACTCTTCTTGGACTTCTCCTTCTTCCCGGATTTCTGTAGTGTCTTGACCTCCGTTGCATTGGAGTCGACGGCCGGTGCCGAACCCTCCGTTACAATCTCGTAGATGACACCAGTGTAGTAGTCAAGTCCTCGGGCCAAGGACATGTCGAAGGATATCTTGTCCAACACCCCAAAGGCATCTAGATATTCCATGAGCAGGGCCATGTCATCCAGACCGGCCTTGGCAGAGGCATTCGCGGTGAGAGTCTCGTCTTTCAGGAGTTTCTCCAGTAAATCCCGTGCGCCCTTCTGCATGACATATGTTTCGATTTTGTCGGCTACTGCACCATCGAGTCCCTTGTCCTCGACCATCTCCTTCCGCACATCCGCCCAGGGCATCTTGTCCAGTTTGTCGACAGCGCTGGAAATAGGTCGGATCTTGTCCTGGGGCACACCGCAGACCTCGAAGACACCGTCGAGGATCTTTCTATGGTTGATCTTGATCGTATAGCGGCCATCCCATCCGAGCTCCTCGAAGACCTCTGCGACGATTCTGAGGACCTCCGCGTCGGGGACCATAGGGTCGAAAGTGCCTGCGATATCGAAATCGCACTGGTAGAACTCACGCATGCGACCCTTATTGACGGCCGGCTGATCTCGTCGATAGACCTTGGCGATGTGGTAGCGTTTCATGCTGCGCACGTCGGGGTTCATGGCGAGCCAGCGGGCAAAGGGAACGGTAAGATCGTAACGGAGGGAGCAGATTTCACCACCCTGATCCTGGAGGTCGTAGATGAGTTTTGAGTCTTCGCCATACTTGCCAGCGAGGATCTCGCGCAGCTCGAAGACAGGCGTGTCCAGTGCCATGCCACCATGACGCTTGAACACACTGGCGATGGTGGTGAAAATGCGGTCGCGGAGGAGGGCATCAGAGCCAGACCAGTCCTTGGTACCCTTGGGGGTTTTGAGATTGAATGAAACCTTCTCCTTCGGCGCCATTGTGTCTACCAGGATGTGAGAGCGAGGGCGATCGTAGGAAGAGACTGAAGAGTATTTGCGATTCAAGTCGTGGTGGGGGGTGTTGATAGTGGGGTCATAGATCTCGTTGAGGGTTTTCGGGCAGAGAATTCGAGCGGACGGGACGGCCGCCAGCCGACAGGACGGTAGGACGATGGACGAATACGCGATTGCTCGTCTTGCAGAGAGCAGGAGGCCGGACGGGACAGCAGAATTCATGCACGGAGGATAGACTGGAAGAACGAGGGAAGAAAGTCGAGGATTATACCATATCAGCCAGGCACGGCAGCATTCTGCCTCTTCTTTTGAGTCATTTCCGGCTGCAATTGGAGCTCTGGTAGGTCACAAAAAGGGAATGTTTTTCCGGTCCCCGGGAGATTAGGGCTTCCGCGTAGGGTTCTGTGTATTTTTTTTTTCGGTAATGATGATACATAAGAGTACCGTACTGTGTACTGAAAAGTTGCGCGCCTCAGGCAACCACGTGATACCCATCACTTAACATGACTCCGAACATCCGGATCCGACCGACTGGGATCTGCTTATCTAAGCGCGCTTTCTGCTGCACGGCGGCTCCACGTGGCTGGGATAGGAGGAATCAGGACACTGTACTCCGTACTCGGTACACAGCCAGGCAGACATGCAGCGCAGCAGAGGCATGCAACGGGCGACTGAGGAGGGATAAGCTCTCGTCCGACTGGCCGCCCTTGTGTGGATTCTTCCGCCAATACATATGATATAGGCGACGGAGATAACGGACCCGTATGTACGTGCTCGCTACGCGGCCTACGCCGTATATCCCGCGTGTGGCATATTGTGGCAGTGCCCAGATCGGGCTAGAGATGAATACGGGTTACTAATAATATTAATATGTTCTAGCACGGGGGAATTCATTAAATCAAAATCTCCTGGACGCTTCTACTGCATTTCTAGCGCCTGCAGCCAATCGACAGATTATACGGAGCAGCAAATCATCGCGTTCACGAATGCCTGCCAACCATAGAGCAGATTCTCATGCAACCCAGGGAACGAAGTTTCCTGGGAGCAATTATATAATAATATTATTGACTGCAAGTGTCACTGTTGGGGCCTCTCTGGCGTCTGCGCACTAGGAAAGGAAAGCCACCGTTTTGCCTCCTGTGGGGGGAACTCTTGTGTGCTGGGGCTGCTCCAATGCCTGTTGGGAGAGTCCCCGAAGTGTTCCTGGATGGATGGGAAAGTCTGTCTGTCCTTGAGAGTCTCACAGGAGCGGAGAGAAAGGCGCGTTATTATTAATAGCAGGAGCCGTAGCATCGAGCCGTACATCACGGCTGCTACAGTCGTAGTATGGGCGCAGTCAGTGAACCTTGACGTGGGCAGGCCGTCTTCGTCTAACTTCTCTCTTCCTCCATCTTCGCGGCATCACCAGATAGCGAGACAGACCATGCCAGGCATAAAACCCACGTCTCGCGTCCATTATTTAATATTGTATCCACTGCCGATAAGTGCTTGCTGAAACTAACCGCCACGCTCACCACCCACGGCCTGCGTTTCCCTGCCCGCCTTCCAGCAAACTTACGCACGTCCTCACTCACTTCTCCTCCCGCCATTCCTCTCTCGCATCGCCCTGCATCTCTTGTCCATCTATATTTTCACTCCCTCGCATCTTGGCCCCTGCAACTTCCCGGGCCTTGTCTTTCCCTTCTTCCAAGTAATTCATTCCCAGATCCTTTCGCGTTGCCCTACGCTGTACTTCCTTCGTTCCACGTTAGCCTGTTCTCATTCCATCTCCGAGGCCGCTCTCCTCCAACCCCTGCTTCCACGGAACAGGCCCTGTCGCAGATACAGCAGCATTTCCAATCTAGACATCGTGTCCAATCCGTCGTTGTGTTCATACCCATCTCGTTTGTAGTCGTACCTGGCTGTCCGCTTTGTCGGTTCCTCGCCGAGCCCCCCAGCGGGCGCCGTCTTGCCCACCTGCCCAGATGCGGTTGAACGGGACTGTTTGAGATTGAGCTACTCGGTGTGGCAACCATGGGGTCGTTCTTGAAGAGTTTCAGAAGCAATGCGGTATGTGCTCTGCTTCCCTTTGCCTATCGGTGCTGTAGCACTGCATTGCCATGCACTACACTACCATCTGTGAAAGTCCCCCTCGCGCGACGCTCACAGGTACAATGACGATGTGCTCATTATCCATTCTTTTTCTTGTTCTCTAGGCTATCTCACAGGCTGCTGCCGCGCCAGCACCTTCAAAGAAAGATCAAAATGAGCCTCCTATGACCCCTCTAGAGAAACTACTGCTGGACATGGGCCCAATTCGAGGCGACGGCAGTGACAAGTTTTATGGAATGGAAAATGTGAGTCTCAACTGTTGATGCTCGCGAGTCATTGATAATCTGTGTCTGTTTCTAATCACTTTCCCTGCATCGCTAGTACGGCAACACATGGTGAGTCCCGGCACAGTACACCCTGGATCGGCATGAGCGAACTGGCTTGGTTAATATTTTGCAGTTATTGCAATTCTATACTACAGTGCCTCTATTACTCTGTCCCATTTCGAGAAGCTGTTGTCAACTACCCAATGCGCACCCCGGTCAAGAGTCTGGAAGCGGCATTGGCCCAAAACCTCAGGTACCAGAACCCCAACGCCTTCTACGAAGCGGAGCAGGCGGCAAATAAACAACGCACTGCCAACGGTCCCTCCTCCGCCCGCAGTGCTGGCGTGCCCCCGACCCAACCACAGAAACCCGAGGACAAGGACTCGCCCGAATATAAAAAGAAAATGGCTCTGCAGACACTTCCGCTTTTGGAGACGACGAACAATGCGGAGAGTTACGGCATGTCCGAGTCCTTGTTTACCGCTTTGAAGGATATCTTTGAGTCTGTCGCCGCTAGTCAGTCGCGGGTGGGTGTGGTCCGGCCTCAGCAATTTCTCGAGGTTCTCAGACGAGAGCACGAAATGTTCCGCACGGCGATGCATCAGGATGCTCATGAGTTTTTGAATATTCTGCTCAATGAGGTCGTTTCAAACGTCGAAGCTGAAGCAGGGAAGCTTCCTCCCGTTGAAAATGGATTGCCCCAGAGCAAAAGTGCTGATTCACTTGAACACTACACAACCAGCACCGGGTCCAAGACTCCCAGCACTACACGATGGGTGCATGAACTGTTTGAAGGAACATTGACATCGGAAACGCAGTGTCTGACCTGCGAAAACGTATCGCAGAGGGATGAGATATTTCTGGATCTCTCTGTGGACTTGGAGCAGCATTCGTCGGTGACGTCTTGTCTGAGGAAATTTTCAGCAGAAGAGGTGCTTTGCGAAAGAAACAAGTTCCACTGTGACAACTGCGGAGGCCTTCAAGAGGCGGAGAAGCGAATGAAGATCAAGCGTGCACCACGCATACTGGCCCTTCACCTCAAGCGTTTCAAATACACCGAGGACTTGCAGAGACTTCAGAAGCTGTTCCACCGGGTTGTATATCCTTACCATCTCCGCCTGTTCAATACCACAGACGATACAGAAGACCCGGATCGTCTATATGAATTATACGCGGTGGTAGTACATATTGGTGGTGGGCCGTATCATGGCCACTACGTTGCCATTATCAAGACGCAAGATCGTGGCTGGCTATTATTTGATGACGAAATGGTGGAACCCGTGGATAAGAATTATGTTCTTAACTTCTTCGGTGATCGGCCAGGATTGGCTTGCGCCTATGTCCTTTTTTACCAGGAGACCACCCTCGAGGCTGTTGAGAAGGAGCAGGAAATGGAGAATGCCCCACCGCCTGTAGGCTCTGCTGAAACAAACGGTTTCTCACCGGGTCCGAACGGTCAACATCGACCGGTTGGCCTGACGCATGCTCATAGTGCAGCACAACTTCCTCACCGTGAGGACGTCAATTTGGCAACGCTTAGGCGAAGTCCTACGACGCCAGTCCTTTATTCTGCTCCGGAGCATCCAGAGCCGGCTGTGGCTCCTGCTTCACCCGTATCACCTACTCCTCCCGTCCCGCCAATTCCGTCTAGGCCGACTTCATCTTCGACACCTCTTAGCCGTACAAGGAGCAACATACAATCAAGGTTCCATCCCCCAAAGGAAGATAAAGAGCGAAAAGCAGCAGAAAGGGAAAAGGAGAAGAATGAGAAGCTACGGCGAAAGGAAGTCGATGCAAGAAGCAAGGAAAACCAGAGGCGGGAGGAAGCCCAACTGAAGGCAGCAATTGAAGCGAGCAGGGCATCAAAGGCCGAAGAAGATCGCCGCCACAATTCGTTCGAGTACAACAGGACTGACACTTTCAAAAAGTCGAATAACCTATTCAGGCGTAGCAGCAAAAGCATCAGCCATGTCCTGACCAAGGAGAAAGGAAGACAGTCAATGGAGCAACTCATTGAGAAGCCTGAGCCAACAGAGAAACCAGTAACCAATGGACGCGTCTATGAGAACCATAGCCGTGATCATGACCATGACCCTGACCAGCAGCATCATCATCATCACCATTTACATTTGCACAAACGAAGAAACACTGCAAAGGAAGGAGACAAAAATGAGCATGGAGGGCATAAGTGGAGAAACTTCAGTCTCAAGAGGAAGTCCTTTGGCATCCTCTCATAACTGTGCCTTGTACAGTCATTGCCTTTGGACAGGTTCTTGCGTGTTCTGCAATGTCAGGCGCAATGTATTATCAGCTACTCTTCGTGATCTTGTTTTCTTTCGATCTTTTTGTTTATTTTTTCTGCTCTAACCTGATACCATATACGCGCATATTCTCGAAAACTTAGTGGCCGCTTGATTTCTATCGGGATATTTATGACATTTGGGTGCGCATCTTTACTTTTCTGTGATACCCAAATTTTGGGTCACGTTCGGTTCAGGAGCATGGCGTTCTGGGGATCCTTCTTTCTTTTTTTCCTCGGCTTTTCGAATACAGGGAATTGGAGGATATGGGGTTCCGATTCATTGCGAGAAGGGAAAAGAAACTACTGTCAACGGCGCTTATGACTCATTTGATCCACATTCTTTGTCTTCCATGTCCCTTTTTTAACTTCTTCTCAGACGACCGTGTTTTGACATATAATGTACAATTTACATGGTCTCAAGGGACGACGGCGATGGATCTTGAGGGTATTCATTTGATTTACTCATAATCTTTTCTTTTTCTTTTCTTTTTTTTTTTTTTTCATCACTTTTGCATGTACAGTACAAAATGCCCTCTAGACGGTAGACTATTGGGATCTCGTGTGCAAACACATACGGATATGGTATACTACGGATTTTGAGATATTCTAGAAATATGCTTTTTTTTTTCAGTGTACCCTGCAAATGAATGCGCGACATGAGGCTGAACTAAACGGAAATTGACTATTGGAACTCCGAGTGGAAGCAGGAAAGAAACCAACTAGACCGCACACATATTACAACATATAGCATTACAGCATGAATGGGCAGAACGCATCATCCCAGAACCAGCTCATAAATGATGACCACGGTATTTATCACAATTAGGGGTACTGCGCATGAAGAGGGAAAATGAATGATTAGCCCACTTTCTACCTTCTGGTAAACATGACTCGAACCCGGAATGATACGTATACATACTTCTCATAACTGTCCGAACGCTCGCGATCAGATTCACCGTCTTCGCCTTGACGCTGGTACTGTCATACGTCGACCCGAAGGATGGATCGGACTGTGTGCGGCCCCAACCGACTAACAGGCGCACGGGAGCGGTCAGTTATTTCGTTTCATCTTCTCTTTCCCTCCTAGTCCTAGGATAGATGAAGGGGGTAAGAATGGCGGGACGTACTTCTGGCGAGAAAACGGTCTTCGGAGAGGACTGCGATGGCATTGATGATGAGGATGATGACTGGGATGCGCGCGTGACGTAGTGCGATTAGCTTTGGTCCCTTTTTTTTTTTTTTTCTTGGATGAGGAATAGAGACGGCAGGCAGCTTACCGTAGACAAGTTTTCCGAGACCGAAGAGGAACATGTTGGTAAGGTTGGGAGAAGTTGAATTGGAGTATTCTATTGTAACGGTTGTTGACAGCTTTCTTCAGATGCGGAGTGCGGAAACCTCCGACAACGACGGAGATGGCTTTAATATAGGTATATCGACAAGACAACATGGAGAGAATAGTCGGTACGTTCATTCACCCTGTCTGCTCTACAGAATTCATTTGCACAAATGCCTTAAACTAATCAGGTTCTATATGATCAATCCCTGAAGAGTCGTTGCTTCTCCTGTCCATCCCTGCTCTGATCCTCGTCCACCTCGCCGTCGCTCCCTACACCAAGGTCGAGGAGTCCTTCCACATCCAGGCGGTCCATGATATCCTGTCATATGGGATTCCCACGGAGAATGTTACGCAATACCTTCAGTCCCACTATGACCATTTCTCGTTCCCAGGAGCCGTACCGAGGACGTTCATTGGAGCTGTTGTTCTGGCTGGGATATCGAGACCGGTGGCATGGCTGAATAGCAATGTTGATCGGCAGGTTTTGGGTATGTTTGTTGTTATTTTCTCTCCAGAAAACTACCGTGGTTCTAATAGGCAATGGGAATATGTAGCACGAGCTATCCTCGGGTTGTTCAATGGCGTTGCGCTCCTTTCGTATGCGACTGCTGTCCGGCGGGCTTTCGGGCGTTCAACGTCCATCTGGTACCTGGCTTTCCAGGCCAGTCAGTTCCATGTCATTTATTATGCTTCGAGAACTCTATCGAATATGTTCGCGTTTGGGATCTGTGGGTTCTGTCCTTTTGTTCTTTGAGCTCTCCAGCCACGATGTCAAGCTGATTGATTGATCGGTCTAGCTACGCTGGCGATGAGATTGCTTCTTCCAGAACCTATCCCGCGCGAAACTTACAAGAAGAGATGTTGTCTCTCCTTATTTCTACTCACAGTCGCGGGTATTGTATTTCGATCGGAAATTGCTCTTTTGTTGGCCGCGCATACTTTATTCCTCCTCTTCACCAAACGCATCGGCATTCAACGTGAGATTATACCTGCGGGCATAGCGGGCCTTCTGGTTGGCCTCACTTCTACCATTCTCGTCGATTCCTTCTTCTGGCAGCAGTTTCCGTTGTGGCCCGAATTCGCCGCATTCAAGTTCAATGTCATCTCTGGCCAGGCGTCCGCTTGGGGCACGAATCCGTGGCATTTCTATTTCTTGAATGCCGGTCCCCGTCTCCTGCTTAACCCGTTCACCTACTTGGTTGGGATTCCACTCTCCCTGATTTACCCCTCTACACGGTTTGCATCGCTGCAACTCCTCGTCCCGTCCTTGGTCTTCGTGGCTGTTTACAGTATCCAGCCTCACAAGGAGTGGCGGTTCATCGTATACATCATACCTCCCCTAACCGCATCCTCCGCATTAGGAGCTTCATACATCTGGACTCACCGGACTAAGTCTCTCATATACCGCCTGCTATCACTGTGCATGATCCTTTCCACAATCGCTGCCTTCTCCCTTTCATCGTTCGTCCTCCTCCCCGCTTCAGCAGCGAACTATCCCGGCGCGCATGCTCTTCGACTCCTTCATCATTCTCATGCGCATAACTCCTCGCAGCCCGAAATCTCTGTTTACCTAGGTAACCTCGCATGTCAGACTGGCGTGACGAGATTCGTTCAGATCCCTTCTTCCTCTATCGCCGTTGAAGGGCATTTTCCCACTTCTTCCGATGGCAATTCGTCAATCTGGAAATACGACAAAACAGAAGACGAGCATACGAAATCCTCCGCATCATTCTGGGAGAAATTCGACTACGCACTCGTTGAGCCTGGAAGCGACGATGAAAAGTCCCTCGCTACCTCCGACTCTCCCTGGGAAGATGCTGATGTCGTACGCGGTTTCGCGGGTGTGACTGTTCTTCGGCCCAACCATACCGATGATGAAAAGGAACACGGACAGGTTGAGGAGAAGATCGTCGAGACGGTCTTTGGTTCTGGGGGTTGAGAGCTTGGAAAGTCGGTGGGGGGTTTATAAGACGGGCTTTAACTCGGGGTTGGTGGGTGGATGTTAGGATGGAGCCTAAGATTAAGATTATGCGACGGGTTCATTAAATTTCGCTCTTACTGTTTTGCTTTTTGGTTATAGTAGGCTCTCATTAACCAAAATGAAAAGAGGGCGTTAATTTCCACATATCACCTGGGGAACAAATTCTGGATTAGATAGAGATAGTATGGAATTCCGAATACTCTCACCGTCTGAGCGGAAGGAATACTATTGTATCACGGCTAGAGCAGAGGACCAGTATAAACGAAAATGGGTATTATTTAATTCATGTCAGTATACGGAGTAAAAAGAAAGAAGATAAACATTCTCAGACAGGCACGATGATATCAGAAAATATCATCATTGCCAGCATTATTCTCCAATCGATCCAATCTCGTTTCCAAATCCCTCACCCAAGGTTCGACAACCTCAATATTGCTCTTCATGGCTGCCTCGCTTTGGCTCATCTTTTCCTCTACGACTCTCAATCCCTCGTGCCATTGCTCGATCTCCTTGGTCATCTCCGCTTGACGCCGTTCCACGGCGTCCAGGGATTCCGCAGCCTGCGCGGCCCCGGCGTGGATGGCACGGAGGGAACGTAACCGTTCCAGGACCCCGGGAAGGATGGGGTGGAGGGATTGTATGGTCGGCAGGGTGGCGTAAAGTGCCTGGATCTTGGAGGCTTGTTCATCGCGTTGGGCAGCGGCCGGGTCGGTAGCTGGGTCTTGCGAGGATGCCACAGGATCATCGTCGACTGCAGGGGCTGCGATGCGGGCCTTTACAGCATCATTGGCACGTTTGCGTGCGAACTCGAGCGCTTCCGCATCGGCCGTTAGTTTTCTAACCCGCGAGGCCAGGGCCTCCAGATGTGGAGTCGTCAAGGGAGGTGCGGAACCTGGGGCCTGGGCGGCTGAACCGGGAGCCGGGCCGACTAGAATGCTCGTGAGGGTAGAAAGACGGGAGGTTAAAAGATCCAGGGTCGGGAGAACAGGATGAAGAGCGGATTTGGAGATAGTATCGATGATGAGTGGATTGGACGAGCTGGAGATGCCCATGGCAGCCTCTACAAGGGCGAGTCGGCTATCGAAGGCGGCAGCGTGCGTCAAGATTCCCGCGGAAGTAGATGGCATTTTTGCATTGGTTGTTGAATTATCCGACTCCTTCTTGGGATCAGCAAGGGAGCGAGATTCAAGCCTTCGAGACAATGCGGTAGCCGCGGATTGCGGTTCTCCAGAACCCCGTGTGGAAGCGTGCAGATTATCCAACGCGCGACTCAGTTCTAGCACACCATCATCCATGGTCACGTCAGCTTCGCTCTGATTCGCATCAGCGTTTCGAGCAGCCAGATCATCTTTCAATTCTTCAACCTCCCTCCGGAGCCGGGCCAGTTTCCTCTCCACTGTCTCCTCCTCACTGTCGCTGGCATCACCAGCATACCCGGAACCACCATCTCCCCTTCGTCGTCGGCGGTTTCGGTTCCTGTATGCTTTGCGCTTTACAGCAATACTATCGGAGAAATTGACATCGCGCGCATCAACGGTAGCTCCTAGGAAATGGGCGCGTGCTTCGTCCGCGTTAATGCCATGACGGTCAATGTCTGAGTCGGAACCGACTTCGTCGTCTGTGTCAAAGATAGTACGCGCGGTAGTGGTCTAGAGCAGAAGAGTCAGGTCATGAGACAAAGTTCCTTTCAAGACAGACCTACTGGTAGAGTCGAAGCTTCGTCGGTCAGATCTGGGGTTTCGTAAACATCGGGGGCAAGGTCCTGTCGCGATCAGCGGGAGTTGGCGGTCGGCGGCGAGAATGGCAGCTCCACTCACCAGGTCAGGAAGACCTGCGTATTTCTTGTTGAAGGCCATGATCCTGAAGAGAAACGAAGTCCGTTGGAGTGACGGAGGAAGTTACGCGGTGGATCGCCATGGATTGTTTCTTTGTTGGCTGTCGGGCACGTGAAAGGGGTGCACCGCCTTGCAGAGTGTACAACAACGCACTCAGTGTTCTATGTCTATTATGTGCCCGAAGACTCCTGTTAAAAAACTTAATCTACTTCCATGGCCTGGAAAGGCATGCATGTATACATGCACGGAGCCGGGGGTTCTATATTGGATATCAACAAGTCCCAAGCCATGCGGTTATGTCCTCCGCGTGGTGCATAGAATCAAGGCCATTTGGACAGAGAACAAGCTCAACGAGTCGTACAACACTCGCATAACGCCGTACGGTCATCGCTCTGCAATATAATGAGACGATTGCAATATTCATGGATGCTGTCATGTCTGTCACGTCCGTCACACGTCGTTTCAGGGTAGCTCCGACGTCATGCAGAAAGACTGTTTGGCTCCATGTCTGGATCCAATGATTTGATAACCATGGAGCTGAGACGGTCTTCTTGGCTCTTACTAGAATTCAGACGGAAGGTGGTATCAAGGACATGGATGGGCCGGCAGTCGACGGCGAGTTTCCCACGGCTGTGTCAGAAGAAGCCAGAGAATCGCATGTGAAAGAACGGTGTCAAGACCAAGTCCGAGTCCGATTCCCCGCAGTTGAAGGGCATTAATATTGGCATTGTTGATGATGATGATGGTGATGTTATTGTTGTTCTTGGAGTTCGGTGCAGACCTCGACAGTCTCCTAACAGCACCGTAGTGTACCTCTACCTAGTAGACCCTTGTCAAAGAGACCCTTGACAATGCCACGAGGCAGGATGCACGTAATAACAGGGAAGCAGCGGTGAACCGGTATACTTCTGGGGAATTATGGTAGGTGTAATTATTAGCTGCTCACACATGTGCAGGGACGCTGCAGGGAGCCTCGGAAGTGTGTCACACTTTCTGCCTTCCTATATAACCCCATCCGCTCTTCCTACACACATCCATATCCACGTTCACCTGCACAAGATCCCTGTGCTGTCTTCCTCTCCTTCCGTCTATTCTACAGCTCCTCGCATCACATCCACAGCCCATCATCCATCATGGCTACCCCCGCGAACAAGACCATCAAGAATCTCAATGGAAGCTGGACGATGGTATGCTCTCCACGCCACAGCTTCTCGTACCACTTAGTTCCTGACACTCGATCATCCCGCAGGATAAATCCCTCTCCACTCCCACAGAGAATATCTTCAAACTGGTAAGCGTCCCTTCTTTCTCTTCCCGCCCACTCATGCTAACCTCACTGCCCCGCCACAGCAAGGACTGGGCTGGGTCCTCCGTAAAGCCATCGGCGTCGCAACCATAACTCTCCACATCCACACGTACCCTGACACCGAAGACAGCAAGATCCTGCATGTCGACGTCGACCAGACCGTCACCGGTGGCTTAAAGGGCACAACCGAGATCCGCGTCACGGACGGCAAGGAACGAGACCACAAGGACCACATCTTCGGCAGCAACAAGGGAGAGTCGTTTCTGATCCGTGCTGCAAAGGGAGATGACGGCAAGACCCGCCCCAAGTTCCAGGTCCGGAGCAAGGTCGGCAACGAGGCCGATGATGCCAAGGTAGCCAAGTTCCTGCGCGGTGAGATCCTGGCCGATGGGTCGCCATCAGAGGGATTCCTCGTGGACGATGAAGGCGAGGAGTATGGTGAGGGTGAGGGTCTTTATTTGCACAGCTGGGTCGTGAACTTGGATAGTGGCTGGACTGCTGAGCAGGTGCGTTTTAAAGCCCTACAGAATACATTAGGCCGTTGAGACTAATTTAATATTTACAGATCTGGGGCTTCGAGATCGTCAACGGCGAGCGCCGCTATGCTCGTCGCGTTGCTGTCGTCAAGGACGGCAAGTATGAATTGGCCCGGCTGGTGTACTCGTATGTGGAAAACTAAACTAGAAGTTTGAACCTCGTTCGTTCCTATTGCCTTCTTTCCCTAAAGCATTAGATCTCGCTTGCGCTACTTCTCCCTTGTGATTCCCCTCTGATGATATCATCATGTGGCTTTTTTGCTATTTCCCAAGACTGGCCTCCTAGCCCGAGTGTCTTAGCCTTTGATAGGCACTATTATTAATGGTATTCTTTGGCTAATAGCCATGAAACGAGATAGCTTGTTTCCATGTAATGCGTTGTAGTAGAACAGTAGTCGAAGCTTAACTATTGGATATCATATCAAATTGGTTGACACTACCTAGTAATATCTATATGCCACATACATGCCCAACAAAGGGTAGGAAAATAAATAAACGCAATTAGATAGATCTTTAATCTGTCCAGTCATATACTCGGTACTCTTTTCCCTTTTTTTTTTCTTTTATTTGGTCCAACCATACATATACCATTCTACCCAGTTTCTACTGGTTAGTCGGCATCACCACGCTGGCCTTGGTGTTAATCGCATCCTCACTCTTCCAGAGGCTCGTCACCGTCTTCTGCTGCGTGTAGAACTGCAGCCCGGGCTTGCCGTAGAACGTATTCGCACCACCACCAGCGATACTCTTCTTGTTGCCCGTGAAGGAGAACATGGGCAGCGGCACGGGGATGGGGACGTTGATACCGAGCTGGCCGGCTTCGAGGTCTTTCTGGAACCGGGATGCTGTGGAGCCGGAGCGGGTGAAGATGGCAGCGCCGTTACCGTATTCGTTGGAGTTGATGAGGTTGATGGCGTCGTCGAGGGTGTCGACGTTGAGGCAGACGAGGACGGGGCCGAAGATTTCTTCCTTGTAGCAGGTCATGTCTGGGGTGACGTTGGTGATAATGGTAGGTCCGACCTGTGGCATAGGGTTAGTTCCACCGACACTCTGCGTTGAAAGAGGAGGGGGGAAACGATGCGACTTACAAAGTTGCCGTTGGGATATTTCTCGGGCTTGTATCCCCTTCCATCGAGAAGGATGGTGGCACCCTCTTTTTCTGCGCTGGCAATCAAATCCTCGATGCGCTTTTTGCTCTGAGGACTAATGACTGGTCCAAGATCGGCGCCGGCCTCGAATCCAGCGTTGACGTTGAGGGCCTTGGCTCGCTCTGCGATCTCCGGCAGCCACTCCTTCGTTTCACCGACCAAAACAAGGGTGCTCAATGCCATGCAGCGCTGGCCGGCGGCACCAAATGCGGCACCGACAATGGAGTTCAAGGCGTGGTTCTTGTTGCAGTCTGGAAGGACAGCTGCGTGGTTCTTGGCACCCAGGTTGGCCTGGACACGCTTGCCGTTGGCAGAGCCTCGAGTGTAGATGTATTCACCAGCTCGGTTACTGCCGACAAAGCTGATTGCCTTGATGGCGGGCTCATCAAGGATAAAGTCAACAGCCCTTGCAGAACCGTGAATGATGTTGACCACTCCGGGGGGGAAGCCTGCTTCCTTAGCCAGCTCTGCGAGAATCATCGCTGCACCTGGGTCACGTTCTGACGGCTTCAGAACCAAGCAGTTACCAGTAACGGTAGCAATGGGAATACACCAGAGGGGAATCATGGCCGGGAAGTCTTAGAGATTATTAGCGTCTTTCTTTTCTCGCAATCAACTACTCCGACGAAGCTGGAACGAACTCACTGAATGGGCAAATAGCCGCAACAACACCCAATGGCTCCCGGTAGCTCCTAGTCTCCATATCCTTGGCAACCTCCAGAACCTCACCCGTAATCTGGGTGGTAATTCCACATGCGGTCTCAGCAACCTGCAGACCACGGAGAACATCACCCCTGGCATCGGGGAAGGTCTTACCCTGCTCGAGGGTGATGGAGGCAGCCAGACGGTCCCAATGGGTTCGAATGAGGCTGACGAACTTGAACAGAACCTGCTGCCTGTGGATGATGCTCGTGGCTCTCCATGCAGGGAACGCCTTCTGGGCCGACTCGACGGCGGCGCGCAGCTCCTCGTCAGTGCTCTGGGGCACTCTAGTCACGAGGTTGTTGGTGGCTGGATCGTGCAGATCGATCCATTCAGTGGCCTTTGACGAAACGAACTCATTGTCAATGAAATTTGTTGTGTCAATGGGGTTGGCAATGGGATCGTGGGTGGTCGGGTATTCGGTGGCAGTAGAGGCGGCGCTAGTGGTTCCTGCGGGGCTGAGGTGTTTGGCGGTGGCATGCAGTCTGCGAGTAGCGACGAGGGGGGTCGATGTGCGGAGAGTAGAAGAAGACGATAGATCCTGGGCTGTTGATGCTGCAGGGGACCTGGATGAGACAGTAGAGAGAGAGCGTGAGGCTGCCGTTGCAGCGGACGTAGCTCTGGCTGCGGTGATGCGGGGAGAAGCGTGGAGAGCGGGGAGGGAACGGGCAATCGACCGGCGGGCAGCCATGGTGTGGCAGAGCATAGACGATACGACAATGAACGAAATCGGTCTGAATGAGAGGAGATGGAAGAAACGGTAAAACCTCTGGGAAATAGGAAGATAAGTAGGTTGACGACTCTGTACAGTTAGTGACTCCTCCGCTGCAATATCAATAGATAGCAAGTCAAGCGGAGAACCAGCATTGCCGAGCACGGACCGGCAACCGCACCGACCTGCCTGTTCGGGGCTGTAGCCGAGGGCTTTGGGTATCCTAATAGTCCTACGCTGAGGCTGCTCGCTGCCCTCGAGCTGCAGGATGATGGTGAGTCTAGGACCGAGTACGCTGTATGCTACGGAGCATTTCTCTCATTTACAGCAAACTGCATTCTATCATCATCCTCATCCTCATCCTCATCCTCAGCGCAGCAGAACTGCAACCAGCACCGTTTAGGAAAGTGTTCCCGCCTATCGATTGTCCACTGAGTCCACTCTGCTCCATAGATACTCTCGAGATGCTCCATCTCGCCAAGGACTGCCGGTTCTGGCCAGACTGGCAGGTATCAATTCTACAACACCTAACCAGGCATGGAAGGGGGAACAGAAATGGCGCAAATTGGCTAAACTAAGGTCTTTAATATCTCATAATTGTGACAGTGTCCTTCAACGGCCCTTATTCCATCTGTTTTCAGGGCAAAAAACTTCAAATAGACAGAATGTTAGAATGTTACAATGATATCACTCTCGCCCTTTTTTTCTCAACCGCCTAGAAATATCTAAACATCTACTCTGCCGACCCCTTGCTGCGCTTGGTAGCCTCCCCCTTGCCGGTATCAGCGGAGGAGCTGACAGCCTCGGCCTTCTTCTCCTTCTCCTTGGCAGCTTCAGCGGCCTCCTTGCCCTTCTTAGCAGGCTCCGGTGCCGGTGTGCTGGCTCCAACGGCCACAACAACAAAGATAGTCAAGAACAGGAGGATAGCACCGAAACCACCGGCCACTTCGGGCATCTCTTTCACGGCGTGAATGGGGTCCGCCTTGGCGAGGAGAATGAATTGGTCGACCTTCTCCCGGACAAAGGTGACGGGGTCCTCACGGAAACCGACGCTGGGTGCGATCTTCTCCTCGTCCTTGGGCTTAGTGGCCTCCTCTGCGGCCGCTTCAATGGGGCGCTTGATGTCAAAGGTCTCCTTGCGGAGCTTCTCAGCATCCTCAACAGAGTGGCCAATATAGATGTTGTCAAACAGGATGTCATTCTGCATAGTCCAGATCTCGAAACCGATCTATAAACAAGTCAGCATCCGCCACTGTGAAAAAATGGAATGGATACTTACAGCACCCATGGGCTCAAAGTTAGACGGAGTCTTGTCCTCGAAGTAGCTCGGGTTGGCGATCTTGCGAGGCTTCCACGGTCCCTTGTAGGCGGGGTTATCGATGAGAGGAGCGGTCCACTTGCCCTTGTAGTCAGGGTTCTTCTTCATCGGCGGCGACCATGGGCCACATCCAGAGGCCTCCTGACACTTGGGGTTGGGGACGGTAGGGGGGATCCAGTCGCCATCTTCCTCGTCATCCCAGTCTTCTGGCTTCTCAGCCTCGGGGTCAGGAATGCTGGTAGGCTCGTCCTCAAGCCAGTCCTCGGGCTTGGTAGCCTCCTCATCCACAATCTCAAACGGAGCATCCTCGTCCCAATCCTCGGGCTTCGTGGCCTCCGGGTCGGGAATCTTAGGCTCGTCAACCCAGTCACTCGGTTTCTTGTCCTTGGGATCGTCAATCTCCTTGGCAGGGTTGACAGGTGGGTTGAAGTCCTCAAGCAGAGTACCGTTCTTGATTGCTTCACCGTCGATCAAGATCTGGAAGGATTGATCCGGCTTAACAATGAGGGTGTAGAGCGAAGTAAGCTTTGAGGTACGGGCGGTCGGGGGAGTTTTCAGGTGCTTCTCCTCGTACTCGCCAGTCTTGGGATTCTTGTGGCGGAAGATAAAGTGAACCTAGGGAAAAGAGTCAGACCGGGAGTTTATATGTTTGTCAAGACGGCAGCCTGCGCCTTACCTTGTTGGTAGCACCGCACTTGTCAGGGCCAAACATGATGACGTAGGGAGTAGCGTTGGAGAATTCCTCGGCGTGAAGTTTCTTGTTCTCCTGGAGGAGCTTCAAGTAGGCGCCGCCACAAACGAGGGAGTCTTGGGGTAAACTGTCAGCACGGCATCAAGACCCTCAATTGAAGGAATGGCAGCTTACTCTGAGGCTTGACCTCGTACTGAACCACCAATGTCTTTCCCTTGTTATCAATCTTCTTGGGGAACTTAGCAGAAATAGCGTGGTGGGCAGCGACATTCTTCACGACGAGACCCTTGTCGCCCTCAATGCCGGGGAACACGGTAGGCTCTTCAACAGACCAGGTACCGACGTAAGCCCAGTCTTCCTCCGACTTTGAATCCTGCTTCTTAGCATGCGAAGGGACCCATCTGGACTCCCAATCATCGGTGAACTGCTCAAGGAAAGGAGCTTTGAGGGTGGTGGGCTAAACAGGAAGCTAGGTTAGCTATGACGAACCACGAACAACGGACAATAGACGAGTTGTGGGAAGAGGAGCACGCATGACGTACAGTAAAAGTGGGCCTCTCAACCACAGAGGTGGAATCAGGAGTCTCAGGCTCCTCAGCGTGAGCATAGCCCAGCAGAGTGGCCGATGAGACCAGCGCGGAGGTCAGGACTGAGTTGAAGCGCATGGTGGAACTGGGTAGCCAACAACAGGACAAATGGCTAGTTGAGCCTCCGTGAAGGAGAAGAGGGAAAGGTGAAAGGATGAACAGTCAAGGCTGGAAGGGAGAAAGGAAGAAGAGGACAGCTGTAGCACCAAACGGTATAAGTAGGTCGTGATGCGTGCAGAAGTTCAAGGTGGCCTCTTCTGCGGATGCGGTAAGCTTAGGTTCTGACTGGCCAGCCACAATTCTCCAATGTTCGATGGGCGGCACTGGCCCTGAGCTGTTAGTTAATGCTACTGTGCTTCACTGCTAGACACCAGTGATTGTTCTCCTGCTTACAATGGCAATTTCTCTGTGCGTGGACCTGCAGCAGAGACGTCGGTAAGGCAGAAGATGAATGGCAGAATGTCCAACTGTACAGGCTGTGATTGCGCAAGATCCCGTTGCTATCCCCGCCAGCTTGATTGGAGAGGGAAAAAAAAATATAGAACACCCCTCTTAATAGAACCACAACTGCGCCCTCTCTCCCACTGGATTCGCTATTGCAATCCTTGGTTCATCCTAGTAGAGAAGCTATCCATTTTGTCTCATACAACTAACCTCTTCTACATCGCACTGCGCTTGTCTGCAGATTGTCAAGAGTAGTTTCTCACCCACTGCCAACATGGTTCCTGTTCCAGACAAGGAGATCCAAAAGGACAACAATGACCATCTGGTTCAGTCGTCGGACCCTGAGCATCCTGCGAACTTGATTCCTACGCTCTGTCGCCGATTCTACAAGTGGGGTTGGGTCACTGGTACTGGCGGAGGGGTATGTCCCTATTCCCAATTCCCCCCAAAACACAGAAGCAGCCTCTGACTGACAGAATCCTATTCGAAAAGACCTCCATCCGTCGCGATGATCACATCTTCATTGCGCCTTCTGGCGTTCAGAAAGAGTTGATGAAATCGGAAAACATCTTCGTCCTGCAGTTTCCCACCCCCAAGTATCCCCCCGAGGAGCGCAAGTATATCCGCAAGCCTCTTGAGCTGAAGCCATCCGCGTGTACGCCTCTGTTCCTTGCTGCGTTCGAACGTGGTGCGGGCTGCTGTATCCACACTCACTCCCAGTGGGCTGTTCTGGTCACACTGCTTGTGGAACGTGAGAAGGGTCCGGACGCTTGCTTCGAGATCAGCAACATCGAACAAATCAAGGGCATCCCCCGCGGCAAGGGCAAAGGCATGCTGGGATTCCACGATACCCTGAAGATCCCCATCATCGAGAACACCGCATTCGAGGAGGATTTGACAGGAAGTCTGGAAAAAGCCATGGATCAGTACCCTGACACTTATGCGGTCCTAGTGAGACGGCATGGAATGTAAGTCTCGCTTTCTGGTCTGTTGTTTGAGATCGCGGTTTGTCGCTAATCAATAATAGTTACGTCTGGGGAGACAATGTCGCCAAAGCAAAGACGCAGTGTGAGAGTTTGGACTATTTGTTCCAACTAGCCGTAGAGATGCACAAGCTGGGTCTTCCATGGGTCAAATAATAACTAGATAAATCATGACTTGTGTGATGCTTCTTTTGAATTCTCTGTTAGCCCAAGATGTTTATACTCTAGTAGGAACTTGCTGATGTGAACATGCGATGCTGCATTCAATGATCAATATGGACATAAAAAATAAATAAAGCGAAAATTTTTTAAATCTGTAGCAGTTCGATTTCTTTTTTGGCTGGAATCGAGTACCTTGTGAGATGGTGCCATGACTCCATAATCGTGGCGGACGTAGCTAACTCCCTGTCTTGAAGCGGGATCACCTGTCCAACTGCAGGTTTGCTTCGGCTCCCCGAGTTGAGACCGATTTCCTGCCAACTCCCCCGGCCTCAGTCAGCGCATCACATAACCTGACCGGATCTTCCTTTTAAAATATAACAGAATAGATCGCATTCAGGTCTACAAGGAATAATGGACCTCGATGCTGGAGACTCTCCGTGGGGCGGTAAGTCCACAGTTACCTACTATGTTTACCCCAAGGCAGTGCTCTAATCAAAGGAGAACAGATGTGCCATCACGGTCAGGCACAAGCCATATTTCAGAGCCTTCTGAAGAACACGGTACGCTTTTTCAAGCCCCTCCTCTCTTATCCGCCTGCTTCCCATTAGCGGTGATCTCATATATCCCTCTATCGCAGGACAATCGGCGCAGTCATCCAGTCTGGGCGCCGCCCGTTCGCCGGTACGAGGAGCCCGACGAGGTCATCGCAAGATTAGTGCGCAGGCGACAAAATTGGAAGCTGTTGATGACAGTGTTGATCCACTTGGTCCGCTTGGAGAGAGCTCGTCATTCGACCAGCAGGCACCTACACCTCCTCAGAAAGAACCTCTCGCGCAGCGCAATGCTCCTCCGACGTCGTCGTCTAGGCCCTCCACGGCTGGACTGTCGGATTCTGTCGCTTTGGAAGAAGATGGAGCTGGGATAAGGGGTCCTCCGCCCGTACAACCTCCTACAGATGCAGAAGGGCAGAAGAGGCAGCCACAACCTAGCATTAGCGTGGAACAGGCCGCAAGGCCAACTTTCTATATTACTGTTGGTGACCCGCACAAAGTCGGGGATCTAACGAGCAGCCATATTGTATACCAAGTCAGGACCAAGGTATTATCTACTGATCATTCTCAACTGAGTGCTCTACGACGAAAACTGACACAGACTGGTAGACAACTTCGAAGGCATACCGACAACCGGAATTTGCGGTTGGCCGCCGATACCGCGATTTCCTTTGGTTGTATAACTCACTCCACAACAACAACCCGGGCGTTGTCGTGCCACCCCCACCCGAGAAGCAAGCGGTCGGTCGATTTGATACGAATTTCGTCGAGTCTAGAAGAGCAGCTCTGGAGCGCATGTTGAATAAAATTGCGGCGCATCCCATTCTACATCATGATGCGGATCTCAAGATCTTTCTGGAGAGCGAATCTTTCAACCTCGATATCAAGAACAAGGAGAACCGGGAGCCCGACCTAGGCCAGAGCAAGGGGGTGCTCAGCTCTTTTGGTATTTCGGTAGGTGGTGGTGGGAAGTTTGTGGAACACGATGATGTAAGTCATTTTATGAAATATCAATTTGACATATGTCTGATTGCACTTCGCAGTGGTTCCATGATCGTAAGATCTACCTAGACGCGCTGGAAAATCAACTGAAAGGATTGATGAAGGCTATCGATACTGTGGTGGCACAGCGAAAGGGTCTCGCAGAAGCTGCAGGCGATTTTTCTGCTTCCCTCCATGCGCTAGCATCCGTTGAGCTATCCCCCGCCCTATCTAGCCCGTTGGATGGACTCTCCGATCTCCAGCTACGCATTCGAGAACTATACGAGCGACAGGCACAACAAGATGTCCTCACCCTAGGCATTACGATTGACGAATACATCCGACTGATTGGAAGCGTGAAGACAGCCTTCTCTCAACGACAGAAGGCCTTTCACAGCTGGCATGCAGCTGAGTCAGAGTTGCAAAAGCGAAAGCACACGCAAGAGAAGCTTCTTCGACAGGGCAAGACTCAGCAGGACCGCCTCAACCAGATCAATGCGGATGTCGCGGATGCGGAGAGGAAGGTACACCAGGCAAGACTTCTCTTCGAGGACATGGGTAAGTTGATGCGGAACGAACTGCAGAGATTCGAGAAGGAAAAGGTTGAGGATTTCAAATCCGGAGTCGAAACCTTCCTGGAGAGCGCAGTCGAAGCTCAGAAGGAGGTGAGTTGGCAACCCCGATACACCCTTTTCCAGATTTCGGACGAGTCTAACCTATTTAATTTCTAGTTGATTGAACTGTGGGAGACCTTCCTCTTGCAGCTTGACACAGACGTGGAAGGCAATCCACTCTATCCTCCTGCTCCTGCATCCGAGACTGCATCTGCACCAGCCTCGGAGAATCCGGAAGCTACTATGGTATCTCCGACAGAGCAGGAAGCCTAAATCAGCTTGATTCTTTCCCCCTATTCTCTTTTCCTCTTCCGTCCTCTCTGTATATGTAAATGCAGCAATTGATTTATCACTTATGCGGTATACCACCTATTATGATCTCGTACGGGCTGTGTAAGTTGTCACGGCTCAGACAGCTCTTGTCGAGCGACTTCGTTATAGACAGGAACACTGTTATTGATCACTTTGAAACTGTCCTCTATGATATCCTCCTAGAGAAAAGATACAATTGATGCACTTGCTATATAATGACCTCAACTGCTAGATCTGGAACCTCGGTAATAGTTGCTTGGCCAAATACCGATGTGACCTGCCACATTTTTGTGATGATTCATGATTGACCATAGACGCTAGAGTCATAGACACAAAAGGTCTGGGGCCAAATAGGCTTTGAACAATCGAGGTCAGCATGGGCATAGCACATATCAATGAATTCAAATAATTCAAGTGTTTAGATGGATCATCTGCATGTATTTTTGTTCTACTGCGCAGTGCATAAAGGCTGTTCTCTGGTAAATGTGGGCGTTATCTATGATAAGTAGTCGATCAATGCACTTAGCTTCAGGGATAACCAATCCTGCAAGGGCTATAGCCTATAAATAACTGCACTGTCATGTACATGCATGCTGTTTGTGCTTTGGGGTCAGATTATTTGCATCCCCAGGATCAGAAACCGTCGTCTACTTCGTCCAGCGCTGGGGTCATCATACTCGGAGATGAAACACTGACATCGACTGGAATCGAATGAAATCAAATGAAGAAGTGGACTCGCCACCATGGAACCGGGTTATAATAATAATGAAAGAGAACTGCCTGGACCACGTCCAAGGGGTCTCCAACATGCCCACTTTCCGCCTGCCGAGCCCCCCTTCTGCAGAATTAAATTATGGCTTGAGCTCGTTTAATAGACAGCTGCATGCGTCTCTCTCTCTTCTCACGTCCTCCTTCCCCTCCTCCCTGAGTTCCGACGCACCGCAACCCTGCTCGTTCTACCAAAAGGGGATCAGACCTCCAGCACAGAGAGATGCATGAGACCTGAACACGCAAGGCGCATATCGATACGCACTTCCGTCGATGCCCACGGCTCCCACAGGGACATGGAGATGATCACGGGGTCGGCAGCCTTCATCGCTGCTGCACCGAGTATCTCTCCCTCCGACCGTCATTCCACCACCAGCTCAACCGCCACCGCGCTGGGGGATTCCTCCTCGTCCATCTCTTCCTCGATCACAGACTACGCTTCGTACCCGTTGATCCGTCGCAATGACCGCACATACTTCAGAGACCCGGAGAATGCATACCCGTTACCGTGCGACTTCGCAGAGATCCATCGCCAGACACTGCGCTCGCTGATGCTCTTCCGTGTCTTCGGTGGCCCATTCTGCGCTACCAATCTAGTAGACAACCCCCCCAAACGAGTTCTGGAACTCGCATGCGGTTCGGGGTTGTGGTCCAATGTGTGTCATGACTTCTTCGCGCGTCGCGGCCATCCCGACATTTCCTTCACTGGAATCGATATTCTTCCTCTGGCTCCTGACCTGCGTAAGCAGGGGATGGACTGGCAGTTCAAGCGGCTCGATCTACGTAAATATCGCCGCCTTCCTTTCCCCGATGAATCCTTTGACTTTGTCTTCATCAAAGACACGGGGATGTGTGCTGACAGCCCCGCCCAACAGGCGGGTGCTCTAACGGAGCCCTTACGGGTGCTGAAACGGGGAGGCACCCTCGAGATATGGGATTCAGATCTGGTCTTCCGATCCTTGCTTCCCAACCCCGCGCCAGCTCGCAAACTTGTTTCGAGGGACCAAGAGATTGCCGATGCGACAGCCACCTATACGTTTTCGCCGGCGACCCCGTTCACCAAGGCACAGAATAAATACCTGCAGGACTATAACTCTTGGGTGCAATCCGCCTTCGACCGTCGTGGCCTCTCCGTGCTGCCTTGTGCGACGATCGGCATGTCCTTTACGTCGCAATTGGATGCTTTTGAGAGCTTCGACTGTCGTCGGATTGCGATCCCACTGGGCGATATACGCTGGGAGAAAGACGGACAGAACAAAGACTCGTCCGGCCGTTCGCACAGAACCCTGGCTGCAGAACAGTCTGCGATTCGACACACGACTCTTCTCACGGTCATTCAGATGATTGAGGGCATGGAACCCATTCTCATGGAAGCCAGTGGGAAGAGCGCGGATGAATGGGAAAGGTGGTGGGCAGCCATGACGGCTGACTTACTCCAAAAGGGAGGCCCAGCCAGTGGAGAGTGTCTGGAAGTGGGCGCCTGGTGGGGGAAGAAAAAGTAACGACGATATTTGAAATTCTACTTGGACTTTTACAAGAGAAATGAATTAGCAGGAGAAGGAAACAAGGAAAAGGACAATAGCAACGTTAGGTGTTTGGAAGGGCGAAACAATCATGCACACTTGATATTGGTGATACCCCGAGTCGATTTATTTTTCTCTCATTATGTCTTTGTTTTCTGTCATGTTTGTATATTTGACCATGAATATGCCAGAAGGATATGTTACTATGTCACTAACAGGTTAATAATGTACAATTATCCATAGCGCTTCTTCAATGTGCGATACCGTCTTAGGTAGTATCTGGTTCAATCATCAGCTTAGGAATGACAAGAATGTTAGATCCTAGGACCTACAATGCTTCGATTTCTAGGCACAATCAGCATATCAGCATATACTTCACTCTTGTTTCTTCTTTCGGAAAAGGAGAAAGGAGAGGAAAGGAAAATAAAATACAGACCCTTCTTCACAAATTTCGCCCTCTCAATCCCCCTTTGAATCTGCCCTTCATCACTAAGATGCGCCTGGCTCAAAAATGCACGATGCAGTCTATTCCTAAAGTACTCGTATCCTAGGGGGTATTCACGGCCCAGCCAGAGGAGTTCTAGTTGGATGTGATTTGAATGTTATTCTGTGCTCCGTATGCACTAATAATAAACAGCACGCCGGGCGGAAGTGGAGCTTCAATATTTCAATTACCGGAGAAGTACCTTTGTAGATGTGTATCACCTGTTGACGGAGGGCGGGATTCGTCATGACTGTTCCACGCGGGCATATGTTGGTAAAATGGAGTCTAGGAGATGCTCGAAGCAGAAGCAACAGTGACGTCTGTTGGATGTTCTAGATGATCATGTTTCTTGCGGGGTTAACCGATGCTTCTTCGAGGTCTGCTTACATCATGTCCATGTATCTAACTAACTACTAGTTAACTATCTAACTACCTAACCCTGCCAATTGACGGGGTATGCTCCTATTAATTACTACTCAGGTATGTCCAGCGCTGTACATACACATAACTAAATAGGTAGAGATATACAATGGCACTCCCGCAACCTCTCCGTCGAGGATTCACCTCTCTCTCCCTCCCCCGATCCTCACGTCTCCTCTCCACAACAACAACTACTACTACTACCAAGATCACCCAAGATGCCTATTCGAATGGCCGAATTGCATCGACACAACCGCACACGGTCGACCCTCGCTGGCTCATGATAATAAAGAGACGGATAGGCCGATGCATGATGTTCGGGTTGAAACCGCACCAGGTCCGCGAGGCCGGAGAGATACTCCGCCAACTTGCGTGGAACTGGCGCGAGCTGGTTGCTGGGAGTGAGGGTTATTTGACGGATGTGAAGAGGAGGGCTTCGTTCCGTCATAATGTTGTTTGGGGGGAGATGGTATCATGACATCTATTTCGAAATTTATCGACACATGCAGTCTGCTAATGTTGCTTTTGTTGTCAATTAGGATGCCATGGTATGTATCCACTCTTCTTCGAGAACTTCTTGGTCCAAGCTAACAGTTCACAGGGTATAGTGCTTCGATCCAAATCCCATCTTCACCCAGTTACGACTAAGCCTAACGGGTCTATCTTGCCTAAAACCCAGGACATGTCAATAATGTCACTTATGTCAGATACGCGGAGACGGCACGAGTCAACTTTGTGCGCAATCTCGCTATGCACGTCGATCCAGCCCATAAATCCGACTGGATGAATCTGGTTAACTCGACAGGGATCGGGCTGATTCTGAGGAGTATCAAGATTGACTATAAATTTGTGAATACTTCTTGCTCACTCGTCCTCCCTTCTCATAATCACTAATACTGTTCACAGCCAATGAAGTGGCCGGACAAAGTCACCGTCTACCAGAAACTAGTCCAGGACCCTTCCATGTCCTCTGATTCCGCCTTCAAACTAGATGTCATGATTCTGTCCGAGGCGCGCCAGCGCCCTGCTGCGCGCTGCCATGAAGATACCGTCATGTACGACTACAGATTGGCGCAGAAGATGTCGGCGCTACCGCCATTTGTCATGGAGCAGTTCAAGGCCATGTGGGAGCTGCAGGAGGAGGCAAAGAGGGTATGGCAGCAGCGGATCGTGGAGATTGAAGAGGGTGTTCGGAAGCTGGAGGTGGAGAGTTGGGACCGGGAGGATGCTGTTGAGGATATGGGGTCTGCATCTAGATGAGTGACTATTTATTATTCCAAGTTCTTATCGCGTTGAAACAGTATATATCCATGATACATTATTGCAGCAAGTGGTAGGGCTGTTCGCTTGAGCCTTTTACTGTTTTGCGTCAATCAGCTAAACATATCCTACAATATCATAAATAGGTTCATGCTTTGATGTATCGTCTTATATTAGATGACTTTCGAGGTGAGGGTAGCAGGGAAGGAGACGCCTTTATGGTAGAGTGTTCATGTCAGATAGTAGGTTTATCAACCATCACCTAGTCGGTATACCACATCTCATCCTCTTTCGAGGTATTCGTAGGCGAACTGCAGTTCCAGGCCCCTGTGTATCTATCGTTGAACCGGGAGACTGTGACTCAAGCTGAAGACAGCCAGTTTTCTTCCAGGGCATCAAAAAGCTTGTTGGAATGCGAATTCTCAGCAGAAACTGAGGTAGGCTGTTTCGATAATTCTGGAAATGCTATTAAGACGTATATTGTTATGGATCTTGTCGATCTGACTGGACTAAGCCAATGTACGAGGATCATCATGGGATCCTTGAAGCATACCCTACAATATCTCCACAGTAAAGGAATTCTGAAAGAAGGTGTCAATGTCATTTTCCTAGACCACGTTGAAAGCATGTACAGATGGGATCTCTGACTGTGTGAACAGGTAGGCTTCCTTGGCAAGGCAGGATTTCTTGTTATAGCTTAACAGTGTTGTCAGACCAGGAGCCCCAGAGTATTGAAAGTATGTGCGCAACAATTCGCATTTCAACAAGGGCTGGGGAGTATCGGGACTGACTGTTCTGGGCAATTTGGAGGTACAACTCTTTCTCTGTATCAATTTTGAGCTGACTTTCGCTCCTGACGAGCAACAATGCAGGGTGAATTAGAAATCAGTGAAATGGCGAGCTAAGGCATCTGCATTTGTTGGGGGACTGGTAGACTTGCGAAGTAGATAATTTTGTCTTCTGGCGCCAGGAAATAGTCCATATATTATGTGATATCAAGTAGTGTATTGCCTTCTGTTATTGTCACGGAGCTCCATTAGTGGATAAATAGGACTCTATTCAGCTATTTAGGCAGCTGTCGACGAGAACTTCAACCACGGAGAGGAAGGGAAAAAGGAAAGGATCTACGTGAAGCCGGTAGGCGTGCTGCCTAATTTGTTAGGGTTTATTCAGATATACAATAAGAAAGGTTGGAAAAATAATAATATAAATATCGCGTTCTACTGTCTGGACCTTCCGTCCGTTGAGCTCTGCGTGTCACTATAAAATAAAAGAAACTACCACATCGCACTCTTGATTACTATTGGAGTTATATAGGGATAAAAACAGAAATATTATTATTAGCAGCATCGTTAATAGAGGTACAATAACCATAATTAACAAAAGAAAAAAAAGTCTTTTTTATAGCATGTCCTGGTTTCGATCCAGGGACCTCCGGGTTATGAGCCCGGCGCTCTTCCCCTGAGCTAACATGCTGGAATTGTTGGATTATTGTTTTTTTATATGTTAGAAAAACTTTGTCTAAAATTGTGCAAAACGGTCCCATCAATAGTTATGCAGCGTAGCCGCAGTATTCAATCACATGATCGCGTTAGGGCGAAGGCACGGACGCATTGCCGTACTTCAGTACAGTGGGACTCTGCTAATGGCCGATTCAAGAGGGTCCATGTCTGGAATGGTAGGTGAAAGCGACTTTGCCTGGTAGAGGGAAGGCCTCAGAGATGAAAGAGAGTCCCCAAAGTCCTTCAAGCCGCAATGATACCTAACCTTCTCCAGGGCTTCTGAGGTCCTGCTGCTTGTTATAGCGGCTGAATGGCAATAAAATTCATGGAGTCCCTTCACACTGCCAGTTCAGCCTACTACCCTGCATATAGAGTATGTAGAGTATGGACTATTCTCAATAATGATGAATGTATCCCTGGAGCTTCGTGAGGATTGCCTTAATTGAATAACTGATGCCCAGGGATATACAGCACATAAAACTGCTAGATAGTGTCGACGTCGGACCACAGAAATTGACTCAACGACTTAAATATATTAACAATAATCGAGAAGAGGGTAAACACTCCTCTTGCGCCCACCACCCATAATGGTACAAAAAGAACCAATTCAAATTCATCGATCGGGACCCTGTCACGGATAGATCCCCTTGAACGAAGGTGCCATAAATTCAGAACGAAAACAATCATTTCTTCTTCTTCTTAGACGGACTCTCTTGCTCCATCTCCTGCCCAAACGAACTAATCAAATCCAAAAGATTATCCTCCTCCTCTTCAAGAGCGCTCTGCTCCGCTGCCTCCTTAGCCTTCGCATCTGCACTGGCCTTCTTATCCTTAGCATCAGATGAAGTAGCAGCCGCCTCGGAAGCAGTAGTGTTGGCATCCCAGCTGCGTCCGAATTTCGCTCTGAAGGCGGCAAGTCGACCAGCCTCATCTTCTTCGATATTCATAAGTTTGTTGGATGACGGGTTCCAGAGAAGAGAGTTGCGGGTGTCTCGCGTGGATCGGTACACGGGGGCCGGGGATGTGGTGCGGTGCGTGAACGTGCTTCCATCAGAGAGGGTTATGAGCTGTGTGAAGGTGTAAGGCCTCTTAGGTCGGCGGAGGAGCGTTGCGTGTCGGCATTGGGAGCAGATGAATGTCGTCGCGGGTTTGATGGTGGATGATGTTGCTGTCGCCGTGAGGCGGGTGTAGTTCATTGACAATTGTAATGACATCGTTATGGAAGTTGATCTTGACATCGACATTGGTTCGTGTGCACTCTGTTTACCCCGATAGACCTGGAAGAAGAGATGTAGATTTGTCGAATGCAGTGATCGAAAGATTTCACGGCGAAAGCGGCATATTATGTAAGCAACCCGGAGGTCTCCATCTTTTTTTGGAAAGACGCGATACGTCAGGACGACTTCTTCTACCTCGAGCTTCCAATTAACCCGCCATGGATGCTGGTTGAGGCCAAGAATGAATCCGGAGTCATTGTCTGGTCTTCTTTATAATATTCTGTGCCAGTTCTAGGCTACTCTTCGAGCTTGCGAGCTGCTTTGATTCCCGGTCGGCGGGATGAAGCTCCCATACAGCTGTCTGGGGCATTTTGCAAGCCGGAGTATGCTGTCCAAGCAATCGCAGGGTAGTTATTCTAATTCTTTGTTACCTCTTACAATACTCAAGGAATTCTTCTATTAACAAATTTGCTTGAATGATAGCACCCTCTAGCGTCAATTCTCTGTATACCGGGATCATCCGTTTCCATGCTATCCGAATCTATACTCTACAACGTCCGTGGCAACGCAGAACAATCAGTAGCTGCGCAACAGCAACAGCAACAACACAGAAACAATCAGAACCAGAAACAAACACAAAGGCAGATACCACCCCCCGACAAAATGACCCCTCAACACCCTCTCTATCCGACCAAGTCCGTCTTCTCATGCGACAAGTCCCCTACCCCGTCGCCATCATAACAGCCACAGATCCCCACGCCCATCCCGAAAGAGCCTTCCGCGGCATGACCGTCTCCTCATTCAACACCGTCTCACTCAACCCGGACCCCGTGGTGTCGTTCAACGTGAGACGGCCCTCGGAGACCCTCAATGCCATCTTGTCCTCTGGACGGTTTCTCGTCCATTTGCTAGCGCCCAGCGATGCGACAGCGGCACTGGCCCGAGATTTTTCTAGGGGGAATAATCATCTTTCTATTTTGGCGGGGGAGGGACCGTTTGAGTTTGCCCACCATTACTCTTCTGATTTGAATGGTGAAGTCGAAGGTGAAATTGAAACAGCGAGACCGTTGCCTGTTCTTAGGAGGAAGGGACAGGGACGGGGGTATTCTGAATTGGAGTCCTTCCCTTTCGTGTTCGAATGTAGATTACATCCTCAGAGGGTTGAGGTTCATGATCACACCATCGTTCTTGGAAAGGTCGTCAGGACGCTAAGGGAACAGCGTCATCATTTAATCGTCAGCGATGGCGGTGATGACAGCAGCAGCAGCAGGAACGATTCTCATCAGACGAAGGGTGAAAATGCTCCTCCCGAGTCTCTATGTTTGACGTACGCGAATACCCGATTTTGGAAGATGGGTCATGAAATATGAGGTTCATGTTCGTTAGTACGGCAGTCTATAGGGATACGTATATAGACTTTGACACAAAAAGAAAATAAGAGACACTTAATGCTACAAATAAGACATAGAAAAACCCATGGTTAGCTAGTAGGGTATTTGGAGAGATATCTTCTAGAGGTCGTGACTGAGGGTCTGGCTTCCCTGTCTGCCAAGGGACATGGTCATATGTTGGTGATCGATCATGTGGTCTCAGTCCTAATTAGACCTGTTTCTCACTGCTGAACATAAGAGCTTACGGAGGATGCTGTATTTACTCAAGATGAAAAATAAAGTGTCTCTTTATTTTTTGAGAGGAAAAGACTCAAACAGACAGGGTACATGCCTACTAAATATTAATAACAGTATCATTCGAACTAACAGCGAAGTAAATCGAGTAGGAAGAACACGGAGTATTCCGTACTCTTGTAGTAATTCCATGCCGCTTATTAACTATTCCCGAATCAAGATCGTCGCAATCATGACTCGCCAGCTGTGGCACGGCACACGACATTGCTTAGAAGGCGGCAGCAATGGCAGCAATAGCAACCGCACCACCAAGAGTGTAGCCAATGTGGGCACGGTCAGCAGCGCCGTTGAAGAGGGGAGAGGTCGGGGTAGGGACAGCAGGAGTGCTCGCGCCACCGGTGGGAGAAACGACAGGAGTCGAGCTGGCGCCGGGAGTGCCCGCTGGGGGAGGGACGGCAGAGCTGGAGGCGGTGGGAACAACAGCGCTGGAGGAAGAAGGAGAGCCGCCAGCACCGCCAGTTGGGGCAGCAGTAGAAGTAGAACCACCGGCAGAGCTGCTGGAAGATGCAGAGCAGCTGTCGGCGTTCTTGGCGTCTTGGTAGGCATTAATACCCTTCTGGATGGCATCGGTGATACCAGCGGCAAGATTCTGGGCGATACTAGCCAGGCTCTCGGGGACCTTGGAGACAATGGTGTCGGACAGGTCCTTAGCAGCATCATACTGCTTCTTAAGAGCGTCCTGGGTGGCTGGGACGGCGCAAGCCTTCTCGACCTGGTCCTTCTTGGCGTTCAGGTCGTCAATGGTGGTCTTGACCACATCAGTAAGGTCGTTGACGGGGCCTGGCAAGGAAAGAGCATCGCTGGTGCTCAGTTCACCTGAGCCCTTGATCGTATTGACACCGTCGTTGATGGTAGACACGACATCATCGGAGGCAGACAGTACGCTGTCAATGGCGCCACCATTCCAGCCCTTGATGGCCGTGTCCAGGGACTGAACCTTGCCCTGGACGGCAGAGAGGACGCTGGTCACAGCAGCAACATCGCGCTCAACGAGAGAAGGCTGGCGTGCAGTCTTGGTGGGAGTAGCCATGGCACCAGCGGCCAGGCCGAGAGTGAGCAAAGTAGTAAACTTCATGGTGACTGTCGAGTCTGAGGACTGTTCTGTGGAAAGCTGGTATATTGTATGGAGTAGAGAAACGAGGACGTGGAGAAACGAGTGCTTGAGCTGAAGAAGCAGCAAGTGGCAGTCAAAAGGAATGTCTTGATCGGTTCTGTTCTTCTGGACAACCTCGAGGATTTGGCATCTTTTAAATGAACGACTGAAGCACAAGCTCACATGTCCGGAAATGATGCAGCCGAGGAGACGTTAGTCCAGGGACGATAATCAACACACATGGCGTCTCTTTGTAATAGCATGTTAGAAATGTGATGATGATGCTATGACCTGGGACAGCTACAGGGATAGCTGCGTACTTTGCCTATCGCCGGTCAGATTGATCTTGGGGGGTGGGTGGAATCCATGTTCACCTTGTGCTCGGACTTAGCTGATTATTGGACACTATAAACAGTCCCTAGTACTAATTTAATGCTGGAAGACTCGAGAGCCGAGCTGTATTGCTTTGTTCCATCCAGGCCGGACAGACCGGGTCTTGCAGGTTGAAGCGATCTGGCATGCGTCTGGCCAGGGGCATTGGTTAGCAGCAATGGATAATAATTGACTTTCATGGCGTTACCCCTTTCTAATTAATTTGGCACGGCTTGTGCGTATGGTGAAGCGGTAGGATTGGTGCTGATGGAGATGAATACGGTGATTGATTGATTGATTGCATTATTTAACGTCTGAAAGAGATGAAGATGGTGAGAATGGACGAAAATGAACGAGAGAATGACCTCGGGAGCTGACAGCATCACATGATCCAGAAGCCCTGATGATAATGGATAGGCGCATGTATGGTCATATTACTAGGTAGGCCTGCCTGTGCCGTGAGATAGGTAGCGAGGGCGGTCTAGGACGGCAGAACCTCACGTGTACTAACACCCCCCCACGCACGAGCAGCCTACAAACTATGGAATCAATCTAAATACAGAAATCGGCCTCTATTCGGGCCTTCAAATGAGTGAATATATGCAAAAATAAACAGAGGAATGAAGGTTCTGCTTTAGCCAATCGAATGCCGTATATCAAAATAGAAAATATATCCAAAATGGGGGAGATATACGCGGCTTAGCTTATGCCAGTGAGTTGTAGGAAATGGTCAAATTGTTCAGTTCGGAGAGGTTTGGTCAGGCCGTCTGCTGCTTGTTCTTTGGTAGGGCAGGCCTGGAGTTTAACAATACCGTCTTGGATCTTCTCCCGAACGTAATGGTAACGTATATCGATGTGTTTGGATCTCTTGGTGGTGAGCTCAGCTTCAGCCATGGCGTGTGCACCTTGATTATCGATATGGAGAGTAATTGGTGGGCATTCAGTAGGGAGTACGTTGAGCTCGTTGATGAGGTTCCGGAGCCAAAGGGCATCTCGGCTGGCTTCACTTAGAGCCATATACTCAGCTTCGTTGGAGCTAAGTGCAACGGACGTTTGCTTGCGGCTTTTCCAGGCAATTGGGGCCCCGGCAAGCAGAAATATATATCCAGATACTGACCGGCGATTGCCTGTCAGTTGACCACCCCAATCAGAATCAGTATAACATCTGGGCATGAGGAGGTCAGATGTAATGGGTTCCGTGGCCTTATGGTAGGTAATTTGTCGGTTAATGGAGCCTTTAAGGTAGCGTATAGCGTGTATAAGGGCACGCCATGCCTTTTGGGTAGGTTTGGCGTGATATTGGGATAGTACGCCAACTGTCCGGCTAAGATCAGGTCGGGTTTTGGTGGCTAGCCAAGTAAGGCAGCCTACACCACGTTGATATTCTTTGATGTTCACTGTAGGGTCTGGGTCATCATCAATTATTAAACTAGGATCCATGGGGATCCCAACAGGGTGTGCTTGTGCTTGGCCAAAAGAGGCAACAACGTCTTCAGCATAATTGGCCTGGGAGAGAGTATATGTGGTCTTGGATTGAGAGGTGGCCATGCCAAGGTATTTGGTAGAGTTTCCAACTTCTTTTATGTCAAATTTAGCAGAAAGAGACTCCATAAACCAAGTGGCATCATTCTCATGCTTAGCATAGACTTTGAAGTCATCCACATGGGTAGTCACATAGAGTTGGGTCCGGGTGGTATGGATCCAGAGACCAGAGTCGTATTCGGAGCTTTTGAAGCCGATTTGTCGTAAGAAAGCATTTAGTGTATCATACCAGATACGGGCAGATGGGATCAGTCCATAGAGGGACTGGCGGAGTTCACAAACCAGGTCTCCAGAGCCTTCTTTGAATCCCTGAACTTGGGTCATAAAGACACGTTTATCTGTGGGCATTTTTCCATTTAGGAAAGCAAGGATGGCATCTGCCTTTCGAGTATGCCAGCCAAGTAGAGTGGCCAGTGCCGTAAGGGTTCTAGTGGTATTTTCATCTACCACTGGGGCGTATGGTTCCATGAAGTCCTTGTCAAGTAGATTTCCACGGATCACCCAGCGAGCTTTAACTTGGTAGTCCCTTGTAATAGGGGTACCAGGGATTTCTTTCTTTTTGTATACCCACCGGCCAGGGATGACCTTGGTCCCTGGTGGTAGGTCAGAGCAGGCGGATAAGTTGCCAGCAGCCTTTTTCTTTGAGTTGGTTGACTTCTTTTTGCATGGCTGCTTGCCACTTGGTGGCATCAGGATGAGATATAGCCTGCTTATAGGAAGTAGGCGTGTCATCTTCAGACAAAGGAGTAGTTGAAGTGGTGAGATAGGCTAGGGACATGCCTTTGGCGGGTCGAAGCCATATTTCCTGGTCTTCATCTTCAACAGGTTGGTTTGTATCTTCTTTATTAGGAGTACTTGGATCTTCAGGAACAGTAGCTTGTGGAGGTGTAGTTATGGGATCCTCATATTCTTCATCAAATATAGTGTCATTGGTTGAAAAAATGGCGTCTGTTTTAGGGTCCCACACTCTATATTGTTGGCTACTGATTTGGCCGATCATGAAGCAGCATTTAGAATGGGAATCGAACTTGTTTATAGGCTTATCTGAGCCATGTCGATGAACCCAGACAGGGCAGCCCCAACGTCGGTATTTGTTGATACTAGTTGGTGAGTTGGTCCAGGCAGCCAGAGGCGATTTATATGGGCTTGGGCTGATTTTGGTGTTGGTATTGACCCCCCCAGGGATAGGTGAATTGAATAGGACTGTGGATGTTGGGAGGCGGTTTGTTATATCTGATGCATATTTTAAAGCATCAACCCAAAATCGCTGTGGTATATGGGGAGCGTCAAGCATTAATGTCTGGGCACGGTCAAAGAGTATGCGTATGCTGCGCTCACTGACACCGTTTTGCCAAGGGGAATATGGAGAACTTGGTTGCCATTCAATGCCTTCCTGACGGTAGGTTTTCTGCCATTCAGCTGAACAGAATTCATTGTCAGAGACAATATAGGCTGGGGCAGGGAAATGGTGATTCTTCATTTGTTGTAGCCAACCCCGAAATGCATCAATTGCAGCAGATCTTTCAGTTAGGTAGTGGATCCAACGGTAACGTGTAGCGTCATCAGTAATAAGCATCACATATTTGGCTCCTGTACGTGAAGGTAGAGGCGTATCTAGCTTCTCTATATCTAGTGTTCGGCCGCCACCAGCAAGGTCTATGTGGACTCGGGCTAGTGGTGCAGTCATACGGGATCTTGGTGTTTTGCTGTATTGGCGAGTTTGCTTGCCCTGGATGCAGGCTTCACAAAGTGGTAGTTCTTTGGAACCTTTGATTTCAATGTCTGATGTAGGATCTGCGGCAAGGCGTAAAAGATCCTGCTGGTTTAAATGGCATAGACGGCGATGCCATGTCATAATTGGTAGAGCTGTTTTGGAGCTCTTAGTCTTTGGGGATGTTGTAGGTTTCTTTCTGGGAGGGTCCCCTGGTCGGTTGGCCTCTTTGCCAGACCGGGTGGTGACAAAGGCATAGGAGCTCTCGTCGGGAGAAATGCAATCTGATAGGATGAATACATTGTTGGTATTCAAAATGGCTTCAAATTCTGCACCAGAAGAGGTTGTGATTTGTGCTACTTGAGAGCTGGAAGGGAATTCGATACGAAAACCTTGTTTGAGAAGCATTCCCATGGAGATTAAGTTGGAATTGAAGGATGGAACATGTCGTACATCCCTAAGGATCAAGGATCCGGTTCCAATATCAATGACGACGGTGCCAATACCATGAGGTTTGGAAATCTTCCCTTGAGCATCTTCAATATAATCTGCTGGAGTAAGGTCCTCCTTTCTCAATGTTTTATAGGACGTGAAGAAAGCTTGATGGGGTGTAACATGGAATGAAGCACAGCTATCAAGATACCATGAAGCTTGGAGAGATTGGGCTGATTTAGCAATGGCTGTTTTTGCGGCTGAAGAAGTCCATGGTACCAGTTCATTGGTTTCTGCTTCAGAGAATGAAGCAGTGGAAGATTCTTTAGCAGTGTGTAAAGCACGAATAGCTTCAATAGTATTTTTATTGGCTCGGCGCCAATGCTCAGAGGCTTTCTCAGGGTTCTTGTAGAGGCAAGGCATTGGGTGGAAATGGCCACACCAATCACAACGGGTCTTTGGTTTGCGTGAGTCCTGGTCCTGAGGTTTATATTTAGTGTTGGAACTTGAGGCGGAAGAGCTAGCAATGGGGTTAGATGCTTGTTTGGAATAGCTTCGTCCGGATAGATTCTCTCGTCGTCCTCCGTGTTGGGAGCGGGATTCACGGGCTTGGGTGCCCATACGGATAGAGAGTTGAGCTTGAATGGTAGGTAGGTCCAGATTGATGACAGGGCCTTGTCCAGTTGAGTATACTTCATCAAGTTTACTCTTAATGAATGCTTTGTTCCATTCGCGGAGGCCTATAAAAAATAGGTCATGAATAAGGTTGTCGAATGAAGCTTCTTTTATAGCATGAAGGCGGTCTACTATCCTAGTAAACGCAGATTGGTAGGATAGGTAGTCATTGTCTTTTATATAGAGCTCCTTGAGCTCTTTTATGAGAAGCATTCGTTCTTCACCAGTAGAACGTCCGAAAAAGGTAGCAGTTCGGTCCCATAAACCATGGGCTGATAGGTCATATGTGTTGCCCAATTTGTCAATGGCTTGGGCAGTCATAGCATGAAGCATTCGGGCTCTCATGACAGTGGCTTTGCAATGCCATACTTCAGCATCATAAGCTGAGTATCCTGCTGGAGGTATATCCTGATGCAAGACTGTACTAGCGTTCAGGACATTGGCTTCTCTTTGAATGGCTGAACTCCAGGGGTCGTAATTATCATGAGACAGTGTGATTCGGCATCGGTCTGGTAGGAGCGCTTTAACTTGAGCTTGTACATGATCAAAAGGATCTTTTTGTACTGGATTTGAGGCTGGAATAGCTGTATTATTTTGAATATGATTGTAGGGAGTAGCGTTATGCCGGACTGTAGGAGTGGAGGATTGGGATTGATGGCGTTCAAGGGCATTAAAACGAGTCATGAACTGGTCCATCTGCTTCTGCATTTGCTCCTGCATCTGCTTCTGCATTTGTTCCTGCATCTGCTTCTGCATTTGTTCCTGCATCTGTTCCTGCATCTGCTGGAACAGAGCTGTGATGTCTGGTGTGGATGCCATGGTGTTGGCTGTAGTAGAGCTTTGAGCTCTAGGGGCAGTTGGGGTGTCCATTTCTTCAGAGATTACTGAGGAGGCGGAGGAGCCTATATCTGATGAAGGATCTGTGGATTCTGGCTGACGACGGTGACGTCTAGCGGTGGTAGGGGGCGTTCGAGGCACCACCATTTTGGATGGGATCGATCGAAGGATCCTGGGGTTCAGGGGCCGATTGTTGGCGGTCCTGGTGTTCAGAGTCGCTTAGAAGCGCTCGATTTCTGGTTTGACCAATGAGAGGTCACAATTTAGCCTATCTGAAAGGCTTTTTTAAGCTCAATATCGTAGAGCTAAAACGGGCTCATAACCTAATGGATAGGCGCATGTATGGTCATATTACTAGGTAGGCCTGCCTGTGCCGTGAGATAGGTAGCGAGGGCGGTCTAGGACGGCAGAACCTCACGTGTACTAACAGATGAAACATGAACAATGAAAGCGCAAAGCAGAAAGCAGAAAGCAGGAGAAAGACAAGGCCTTGAACTTAGCCCTGTACACTGTCATCAGAATCTCGGCCCGCCCCCGGATTTGCAAGTGTCCTTTTCCATTTCCCCAGTGGCGTCGAATTCCCCGCACTTCTAGACCGTGCTGTAGTACTGTACAGCCGGCTCATGCAACGTAGTCACATCACATCTTCCCTTCATGATCGTCGCTGTCCAATTTCCCGGCCTTCCTTCTATTTGTCAGGGATCATCAGTCTCCTTTCTCTCTCTCTATAGCCATGTCATGTCGAGAAGCACAAGCAACCCCGTGGCCCTGCCTCGGTATATGGACTGCAATGAACCTGAATGTTTCTGTTGGCGCATTGTCCCGGTACTTCCGGCATGCAGGACGGTTAAGGACATACGACGTACTCGCCATATGCTCAGCGCACACACGCACGGGCACTGGCTCTGTGGAATGTGTGGCGTTCTGGTGTAGACCTCCCGATCCTTATAGGTATCCGTACCTGACAGGATGATGGGAGTCAAATTAAGGGGGTGCCGTGCTTCGTATAATCCTTGACAATAGTGATCCTTCGTCTATGGAGCATCTATCTGATTTGAAGGGCCTAACTAGTAGCTACGCTAGCTGGCCTCGAGCCAGCCGAGAAACATTAATCAGAATGCAACATGTAAGATTGCGTTCTTTACTGGTTGCTACTGGATTTTGTGTTCTAAAAAAAAAAAGAGAGAAAACCCCAATATAAAGCCTTACAGCATACACGATGCTAAACCAGTTGCCATCGTGATATTTAATATCCATAGCATGCATTAGCGGTTGGGCTTAGGCTGGCTGGCCAAGATCTGGGCGATGTCGACCAGTCCCGCATCAAGGGTCTATTTGGTCTCTGAAGGTGGTGGCCATCGGCCTAGTAATAATAGCTCTAGTAATTATTATAGCATTGAGAGATCCCAGGCATCATTCGTTCTCTGCCAGTCTTCTACTGCTGTCAAATTCTGATGGTAGTAGTTTCTCTAGATAGAGACACAGAGTAGAAAACGATCAAGAGTAACAGCAAAGGGGACTCGCTCGGAGTATTAGGATTAGGGCTCAGTTCCAGTCATTCGTTTTTGCTGTTAGACCTAGGCGTTGGTCAGCTTTGACTGCGGTATTTAGTGTCTTGGTTCTCACACACACACACACACACACACACTCTCTCTCTCTCTCTCTCTCTCTCTCTCTCTCTCTCTCTCTCTCTCTCTCTCTCTCTCTCTCTCTCTCTCTCTCTCTCTCTCTCTCTTCTCTTCTTGCTCACTGTCTCCCCATCAGCGGCCTTTTCCTTGACATTTATTCCTGCGTCCAGAAATGTTCCTATGAGCTTATGAGTTCCCCCCATACATTGTGCATTATGATTTGTAATTTGACCGCCATAGCTTGTTGTAGTGCTATTACGAAATAGGGTTTGAACCAGAAGACTGTTCGAGAGAGATTGAACTTCTTTTTTGGATTGACTGAGCTTGCTAATTCACATCTTCCCATGCTCTTAGGTGCAATGTACCAGGAACCCGATCTGGGCTAAGAGGCACTGACCCGAGGAAACAACAGAGACAAATTGAGACTGGTCACGAAATACTACAATTTTTCTGAAGAGGTCACACATCTTCTGAGTCTTTAATTCAAGCTCCCTTTGCCGCGGAGAGAACATGGGCTGCCGCTTCCGCTACCACTGCCACTCCCACTGCCACTTCCATGGCTTCCAGTACGCTGAAACGGACTGGAAACAGGCCGGAAGCTCATATTAAACGAACTGTTGCCATCAGAACCGGTGCTGCCTCTTTTATCCGTATCTGGCTCCGACGAATCAACCTGTAATGATGGTAGTCGGATCATATCCATGGCATCCAAGTGAAACTGACCACTTCGCGTAGAGCGGTTAGAGAGGGAACGAACCCGATGGATAGAATCCGGGCTGAAATACGACGAGGTCGACGAGAGATGCTGCAGATACGACGGCTGTTGTGCTGGGCTGGCAGAGAGAGAAGATCCGGCACCAACCGGGGAAGAAGTGGATTGAAGTGGGCTAGACTTGAGAGCAGTGAAGCTCAATCCGAGGAGAGATCTACCACTGGGAGCGGTTGTTGTCAGTCCTGTCGAAAGAATGCCAGTGCTCTCGGGAAGGGGATTGGTTCCAGGCAGATCGCCTTCCGGGGTAAGCGGGCCGGTATCCATGAGTAGTTGCTGCTGTTGCTGCTGCCGCTGCTGATGAATCGCCTGTTCGATAGCAGCCGCTTGCTGCCAGAGTTGATTGGTCCGCAACTGGTACTCTTGGATAGACTGGCTGAAGCTTGCAAACTGCTCATGGAAGCTCGCTTCAAGCTTGGCGTGATCCTGCTCTCTTGCAAACTGTTCCGCAGCACGACGCTCCCGTTCGTTAAGACCCTGTGCGTTAGCAGACACGATTCGCTCATACTGCTCGTTAAGTCGTGTTCTGCGACTCTGGAGGCGTTCCCGTCTCTGCGTCGTGGAATGTAGTTCCGACTCCAACGAGGATAGTTCACGGGCAACCGAAGTCTTTGCGGCTAGAAGATCCTCTTTAGCCGAGTTGAGACGTTCCAATTCGCTTTCGAAATAGGCTTTCTCAGTTGACCATTTCTCCAGTTCCTCGTCAGGGGCGGTGTCTAAGTTGTTCAGTTGACGTTCCAATTCGGCAGTCATCTCTTCAGTCTGCTTAATGGTACGCTCGAGCTGCAACGAGCGCTGCCTCTGTCTGTTTTCGTCGGTGCCACTACGAAGGCGGTGGTTGTAATTGTCCAGCTCTTTCCGGATCTTGGAAATGGCAAGCTTGTGGTCATTCTTGGCCTTCTTCAGACGAGAGCGTTTCTCATTCAGCTTGACCTCTGCATTGACGATGGAATTTTTCAGCGTCGTGGTGGGCGATGATGGTCGATAGGAGGGCTGCGGGGGAGTCGACACCGACGATACGACTGCTTAAAATGATTAGTCGATGAAACTGATCAGGGAAGCCAAGCAAGAAGAACCGTTCAATTTACCTTGTTCCGCGTCAGTCGTCGCGGGAGTCTTGACGCTCATGACGCAGATTTCATCATCAGTATCGCTCCGTAAAAAGGAACAGGTATAGGCACAATTCGGAGCAAGGCCAGAAATCTCGCCCCGCCACTGGACAGCATTGGTCCCGTTAGGCGCATCCTGCACTTTGCACATGGTAACCGTCGTCCAAAGGGCTCCATTGACACAGACGTAGAAAGGTGCCATCTCCTCACCCCCGAGACGCCCAGCCCCACAAGCCCCCGAAGCCGTGGGATCATCTGCGGTGCCAAAATCGGCTGCGGCAAACTTGATGGAGGAGCCGTCGACGTTGGTGATCCAAACAAGACCATCGTCCAAAGTAACCCCTTGGAGATCGTCTTCGGTCATGGGAAGACCTCGCGCAGTCTTAGACAGAGCCTTGGAATGTTCGTACTCTCTCATAATAGTAATTTTCATGTTAGCGAGTGCAGCCCAAAAAGGCTGGCGACTCCGGACTTGATTTGCCTGTCTGCGGCGTCTCTTGGCCGAAGTCAGTCGATCCCTGCCGTCTTTCATGACCGACGGCGCTAGCACCTGCCCATCATTACATACATAGAACGAGACGCTAGCTGCAGATTCGAACGCGGAATCGATTTGCGTCTGCGAACCCGCAGACGCCTCTGTATCTACACGTTTCCCGGATCGAGACGGAGCGGGTGATCGGTTCTTGGCCATAGATCGTCTGGCTATGGCGGTTCCCGCCTGGGCCAAGATGTGAACGGCAAGAAGGCTTCTTATCCAACTGGGAGAAGTCTGCGGTTCGGTGCTTCGAAGTTCGGCCGGGATGAGATGCGAATATTGAGACAACAAATCTGGAGAAACAAATTTTGCGGAAAGAAGATGATTTAAAACGAAATCCTGTATGCCTTTACTGCGAACGAGATGTAGGACGAGAACGATGCCGACACAAAGAGTATTGACCCCGCTGTTCTTCCCCGAACCGCCTCCGCCCAGCGTGATGGCGACTTGAACGTGTGCTAGATCCAAAGCGAAATTCTGCGCCCACGTCCACATGAAAAGGCCCCAGAAGAACAAACAGAAGCCATCCATGGCGATCATGGTGCTCAGCGACGGTGTTCCGGCAGGGCCTTGGAAGATGTCGAAATTGGACGTCAACGAGCCCGAGGAAGCACCGGATGGGGGCAAGAAGGTTAGGGACGCGAAAAGAAACTGGACGCAGGTAAGGACCATCGGCGGCAGCTGCAGGAGGAAGATCAGGATGGCGATGGTGTCGTACATGGGGCAAGACCTGAGAATGGTGGAGGCTAGCTGCAGCGGGTTGACAGAGGCATTCGAGCCCGACTTCTTGGAGCCGTTGGACGATTTTTCCGAGCGACGAGAAGCGTGGGCGGCCAGAAGGCCATTTTGGGGCGCGGCCCCGTTTGAGTTCCCAAGCAGCATGTCCGCATTTCCTTTGCCGTAGCCGTTGACATACCCTCGTGCGTTGCCCTCCAGCCTGGCATCATTCGCTTGTCCGTTCACCTTTGTCACCGTGGACGACGCACCAGCGGGATCGGACGAGAGGCGGGAGGCGCAGTACGACAAGTTGGACTGAGATGAGGAACCGGAAGCGGAGGCAGAAGAGGCAGACTTGGCGGAGGCGTTCCCATTCAGGTGGCCGTTCGATTTCTGCTTATTCAGTTTCTTGCCGGCGCCGTTGAGGCCATTCTCGTGCCGATTGTTGTGATTCTTCCTGGGGGTGGATGATGGGCGTGGCATCGACGAGGAAGCCAGATAGCCGGGTCCGAGTCAGTTTGGCAGAAGGAAGCCAAAGACTTGGACCAGGCGAGAGAAGGATAGGAACGGAGACAGCGTGCTTGGGGTGGGGAGGAGAGCGAAAAGGTGGGTTGTAGGGGCAGTAGTGACCTCGGAAAAGAGGGATGACGAGAGGGGCCGCAGCAGTCGAGCGATAGAAATATCTGTTCCGGCCCAGGTGAAAGTGGGTAAGGCTGAGTGAGCAGGGCGACGAGAGGGCAGAGAAACGAGCAGAGGAGGGAGAGGAAGGCCCAAGGGAGAGGCAAGGTCAGGGTGGGCAAAGGGAAGAAGGAAAATGAATGAGGCGTCCAGGATCGTGGATGAGGATGATTATTTTTTTTCTTTTCTTTTTCTTGGCTATTCACAAGACGCGAGAGACAGAGGTTTGGGAGGAGTTTTTGGCCGGAGAAGAAGAATTCAGAGAAAGCTGGAAGACACGGAACGAGCAGGATGCCTTTCTGCCTCAGGCATCAAATTCTGATACACTTGATGTCAGAACCAGTATTAACTAATTACTATTAACTGTTCATAGTCTAGTCGACTGACTGCAGAATCATTCACTCTACTCTTACAGATCAATTGTCAGCACATACACACTCGCTGAGTTTTACTCTTTCTCTCGAGAGCAGAATCGTAATCAACTCTCCAGGCGGGGACCGATCTGCAGCTAACAATCTGCATTCCCGGTCTGGTTGGCGCTTGGCGCTGCATCAATTCCCGCATATGCTCAAGCCATCCCGTCTATGCTTTTTTGCGTGAACCTACCGGTGGAATGTGTTTCTCTCCAGAGTACGATGTACAGTAGGAGTGGATGCTGTTCATGGATGATAATGATAGACCACAAGAACAGTAGCACCGTCGGTTGGTCGGCCAAATTCCGGGGTGACTATAAGTATAAGATGCAGTTAGTTGTCCGCAGCATAGACACTCCGTACAGGCAATTCCGGGCGAGCCTGTAAGGCCCGATTGGGCCTGGAATCGAGCACTCTCTGGCTCTTACTCGCTAGCTTCACGATCGTCGACTTGCCCAAGTCATCATTCCATTCTTTCCTTCCTGCCGGTTGGCCTCGTGCTGCAGACAGCCGGCTTGAGCTTAAGCTCACCATGCAGTTATCGATACATAGATAGATACTCCGTAGACTGTACAGAGTACTCCCGCCGCGAACGCATACTCTTGATAGTTGAAAGCCAAGCAAGTAATAGTAGTTTCTTATCTTCGGGAATCGGCAGCATTTAGAGTAATCACGTGAACCTTTATACTCGAGTCCTGTTGAAGATGTCCAACATCAACCGAATCCGGCTTACCATTGTGAAAGAAGAGGGCAAATCCCAATGAGGATGGGCGAAACTCCCAAGCTATTAGGGTTACAGATGTATTTTATTGTAGGCACTCATTCTGTACACCTCCGAATCCAGGGACGACTTAACAGACAGAACGAGAACGAAGTCTATCAAAACGATTCACCATAGAGAATCGACATCAATCGAAGAAAAGCTGGAAAGAAGGGGAAGGATAAGAAGGGTGGATGAGCTCTACGGTCTTTTTATGCCCGCTTAGGGAGACATCCTTCGAGTCGAGCCATTATAGGATGGCTAGGTGATGGAGATATAGGACAGCGATATGTAGGGATGATAGAAGCGAGTAGGAAGAATATGAAATAAAGATCAAAGTAAGAGGCGCTCTTCTTTTACTCTCAGTTGAACGGCATTCACCGTCGGGTATATCCACTGACACGTACTCTCTCTCCAAGGAGCTCGTCAGCATTGAGCTTCTCATGGATCTATTGATTATGATGGTCAATTCTAGGTGCGCTACCGAGAAGACTGGATGGATTCGCCACGTCGACTTCGTACGCCAGCACAGTTTTTAGGCTGCCCTGAAGCCGCAGCAAACACTTGTCTCCTCTCCCCCTCCAAAAGCAATCGCATTATACTGAAGGTCATATGTAGCCTTCGCATGTAGTACAGAGTTCCATGCTCCAGCGACCCTTTCTGGGCTGTAGGGATCAAGATCTGTTATCTCTTCCTGGGTACTGACTGTCGTGGAATACCAAATCTGTGTGAAAGCCCTGGGCAGCTCTAACATTTCATGTCTGGCGGTGATACCTTAGTGTACTGTGTTCATTAGCTGCATACTCTATCACCCACTTCGCTTGCGCTGCCGTAGCCATCGCAGGACCCATTCAACAAGTATACCCAGGTCCTGGGATATCTCTAACACCCGCTCCATTTTCTTTCGCATCTCCAGCACCTCCCGTCTGCTGGCACCATTATCCTCTGTCTCGGGGGTTTCACCACCTGCAGATAACTCCTCCTCCCCTAATCCCGCTGTGTCGACGATGGAGATACGGCCGTTGAGCCTAATCTCAAAACTGACGGAAATTACGTCCAACCAGAGCAATTTCGTATCCATAGTCGATTTGTCGCCGGTACTATCATCGTCAGGAGCAGTAAATAGTAGCATAATAACAGGTGCTTGACCCAGCTGCGTTCGCAGAGTAATATCGATTTTAACATCTCGACCTGCATTATGCGCTTCACTGTCTTTAGAGCTGGTCAAAAGAGAGTTGAGCTTGTCTTCATTGGGGTCATCGTTGCTGAGAATTGTAAGGCGACTCTGATTATTCAGAGGCTTTGGTTTCCGAGTTTGCTGAACACCAGGGGGGCTCTTCGACTCTGTCACGCCAGAGTTCTTCTTCCCCGTTCCACTTCCGTCTGCAGGATTAAAAATCTTCTGAATGAAACTTGCCAGCAAGGCATACTGGCGCAAAATCTGAGTAGACAAGATTAGCATTATCCCTGTCCTTATGTGTAAGGGCTGGTCATACCGGAATGATATCGGCAAGCTGCCGCGGATGCGAAAATGGAATGTCATGCAATGTCCGGCCGGCAACAGACTCGAATGCCTGGAAAGAGTAACTGTGACGCTTTGTCAACGGCTTTCCAGAAGAATCAAATGTATTTACAGCGATCCCGTTTTTATTAGTAGGCTGGGTGAATTCTTCGAACGTAGTCTCTGTTAAAGACAACGGTGACCACCCGGGAACCAGTAGACTGTCGTAAGTAACCATCTTAAAATCCTGTGGTAATTGGCTATCCAGCAGCCTGTAAATATCAGAAGCCACTAAAACTGGGACGTCAAGAGGAGGCTCTACCCTAGCAACGAACCGGCGATTCGGCGTTGGGGACCCGAGAATGCCTGGGCCGAGAGCCATAGGATCATGCTGGTTTTCATTCATCGAAGATAAGGTCGACGGCGGGTCAGCCCAATTGACAAGGGTGACCTCTGGCTGCGCAGTTTCATGCGAAGAGGATGGCTCATTAGAGCCCACGGTCGTGAGCACATCGGAATTCACCCAATTTTTCGAGATGCGAAGCGGAGGATAGCCCTCTTCGCACTCTATCATAACACCCCAGGTTCTATGCTGGTGTTCTAGCTCCTCGTTGTGAATCTGGCCAGATGGTTGATCGATGGCCATGGCATCGGGAGATGTTCGTTTTTGCTTTGCATCTAAAACAGATGCTCTCTCCACCCAATAATCCAAGCCAAATCCGATTCGTCCTCCCTTGTGAAGACACGGTCGACCAACACTGCCGCTGCAGAGATGCCCGTAGTCCCCTGTATACTTTATGTGCTTACTCTCCTCCTCCCATATGCGCTTTAAACTAGCACATAGATCTTCAATAGCTTCGAAGCAGTTAACTTCTTGGCTGAGTCTATCGAGCTTAGCAAGCCATTTGAGATTTTCATGAAACCCATTCATTGGTTTCCACTGTCCTCGTTCTCGTTCCTCCGGCGACTGTACAAGATCGCGCCTCAATACAGCCGTAGCCCCCTCTCGCCGTTGACCTTCTGTAGCTTCGGGAGTTGCATATTTCAGACTGACATCTTTTACGGTATCCTGCCCCGGATAGAACTCAATTTCGAGGTCAACGAAATTCCCAGCGATACTGAGGTTGTCTTCCTGCCATATTGACTCGAAGCCTTCGAGCTGGCCAAGTCGTTCGACACCTTCCCTGCATACACCTCTTCCAGAGATGCGAGAGCGTAACAGCTGTAAGATCTCCTCTATGTGCCTTCTTCGCTCCTCATCACTATCCCGGGACGTCCCCAGCTTGAGTCCGTGCATCCCCAATGCATGGATGTCATTTTCATTCATACCAGGTCCCACTAAGCCGTCGTGAGCGGCGGGGGAAGGAGTAGTCCCAGAATAAGCTCCGAGTGCTAATAAAGCCGACGGAGAACTGAAAGTGACCGGATCATCAATTGCTGTAGGCACAGTAAGAGGTGTAGCATACTGCTGTGACGTGCCTAGCTGCTGATTGTGGACGTGCGCACCCGAAGCAGATGGAGTTCTTGTCGTCGAAGGGGACTTATGGGACAATGGCCGGGCCATAGGCACGGTGGACGGGTGGGGTGAGGCAGCTAGGTGTGTTGGGGTTGTCCCAGGGTGATGCTTGGAAGACGGAGTCGCCATGGTGGTAGGTGCCCGACGTTCTGTCAAGGCCACCAAGCAATCACCAGCGTACTACTTCCGTAAAGTACCAGTGCCACGTAGGAATAACACAAGGATATTCAAGCCAGGGAGACTTTGTTTAGAGTGCGCAATCCGGTTATTGAGCCCCAGCGCATTGCCTTTGAGACATAGAACCAGAAATAATTAACGAAAGAATGCGAGAGATAGTGAAAGAAAAATAGCCTCCATCCTATGAATCCTCCAAAATCAAAAGCAGAAGAACCAACCAGGCAGAATTGCAGTCGCTAGCTCCATCCATGACAGCTCACAACAATGAAGCCGTTGCGACGGTCGAAACGCGAGCAAAGCGCGATCGGAATCACATGAGTTTGCATTGTTTGTCTCCTGTCGTCATAGCTCCGGGCCCAAAAATTATTATGATTACGGACGGGAATGAGACAGCCAACTTCTGATATACCCTTCGTTGCTTTGTTTTTTAGTTGATTCCTATATATTGGACTAATAAGATGGTCGCAATAACCCTTGCTGCCCGACAAGTCTTACGACTCCCCAGGTGGATCCAAATCCGCTCCGTGTCTACTCTAGAGAACAACCCTTACATAGTAAGTCCGGCACTTTGCTTTAGTACTATTATTCTACCTGACTTCTACCATGCTGATTGCTTTGCTCGTTCCCAGTATGTATTTCCAAACGAAAAATCCCCAAATAAAAACCATCTTCTATCGCTATTACCATCGGAACCGCCGAAACCTGACCTAGCAATTGGCGTCACAACAAGACTACCACCCACCCCGGAATCCTTTACGGAGAACCCGACCTTCTTAAAGACATTACAAGAAGTTCTTTCCAAACATGCACACGAGGACCCAGATGCCATATCCCAGGCACAAGTTATGGTCTCCACATCCGGCTCGAATATGGTCTTCGGGGGCGTTCTGACTGGTTCGCGCCGTGGCCGAAAGCGACAACCCGGGAGTGATTTCAGCAGCGGAGCCAGCGGCCAAGGTGGCGCCGGTTCTGCTGGAAGAGGAGGCTGGATTCATATCTCCGACAGCAGGCGACCTCCCGAGTATGGCAGGATTGCATGGTAAAATAGCAACGACTTTTTCAGATTATGGCTGGGACGACATTCGCTGACTTGCAACAGGCCTGAGGATATCTTTGGAAGTCTCGAAGTCGATGGAGAAGGGAACTTTGTTGGAGAAAATGGAAATTACCAGCCAAGTGGTATGCCCAATTATTTCGTTCCTTTATATCTTATTATCCCGAAATTGCTGAATCTTCCTCGTGCTAACTGTTAACAGGCACCTACAGGACTGTGACTCGAGACGGAATGTAAGTTCTTTCAGTTCAATGTGCATGGTCGATGCTAACTAAAGGATCATAGCCTTGGTTTGAGTCCCTTCCTCAGAGAAAAACTAGTGCAAAAACTGCGCCAACAGGAGAGTCAATGAGAATTGCTCCTGAAGATGAACGAATCCATAGCATATTGTACTGTACTGCAATGTAATACCAGATGCCACCTTTGACAGTGCATATTCACACATTTTCTTGAAAGTCGCAGACATTATCAAGGCTGGCTGCCTGAATTTTGAAAGTCATAACGTGTTGGGAGTTTAGAATCGTCACTTAATTTCACGGAAGAAAGCCTTTTAGCATCATTACACCTTGAAAAAGCTTGTAATCTTTTGTGGGCTGTTCCCTGTCTTCTTTTCATCCTTCTTTTTCAAGGATGGACTCGCGCGTGCGGCGCTGTGTGTGGTGCTACCTGAAAAGGCTGCAGGAGGCTTGGGAGGTAACTTCAATCCTCCGTGCGTCTTCCCTGGCGACAATGCACCAGTTGTATCTTGCAGTTTCCGCCTTTTATATTCATCCACCGGGACCTCTTCACGATCCTGAGGAGGATGCTCCCTCTTGATGCCTTCTACCGGCACGGGGGCATTGTCTTCGCTCCACTCAGTATCTTCCGTTGCTCTATTTTCGTCGCTCTCGTGGACAACTTTTAGTTCATGGAGATCTGAATCTACCTTTTCTGGGGATTTGGGTTTTGACTTGGATTCCTCATTGTCCTTTTTAGTCGGAGCAGGGGCATCCTTTCCATTTTGTTTCTTCGCATTGGCAAAAAAGTTTGCAATGTTGCTTTTATTTTCCTTGTTGTTGATAGGGAGTATGAAATCTGGAGAGTTGTTGCCCACTTTTCCGACTTCTTTGGGAACTGCGTAACATTCAAGTTCGCCTTCGTACGGCTCCAGGACGGATTGGAGATCCTTGGACCACGTCGTCCGCGTGGGATCCAGCCATATTTTCATTTCTTTACTTCCAGGGTCGAGTATGACTGGCATTCGGTCGTGGAGGAATTTCAAATAGGAATTTGACGAGGTGGTGATGATGGTATATGTATAAAGCTTCTCATCAGATCCTATCCCGTTGCAGCATCGTTTAACCTCGTATGTCAGTTTGTCTGTTGTTAACTTAAAATTATACGTAGAGGAGACATGAGGATTACCTTCATACGTGACGCAATCCCAGAGACCTGCAAGGCACATCAAGCCTCCGTCCTTCCGTTTGACGAAATGAGGAATCTTCTCCTTTCCACCAGGCCCCTTCTTCAGCCATTCATAAAATCCCTGACAAATGACAACGCACCTCTTCCGTCTCTTCATCGTTGTCCACATGCCCCTGTCTTCTATCAGAGAATCATCTCGGCAGTTGATCGTCCGCATGAGAGAGCCATAGTCCGGCTGACGTTTGGTCCAGAAGGGAACTAGGCCCCATTTCATGCTCTGGAGCTTATGTTTAAGCTTCTTTTCTTGCACGTGATCCTGATGAGCTTCCTCCATCTGTTCCTCGGATGGCTCATGCGCTATTTCGGCGTCCTGCACGCCCGCATCGATGTAGCCGTGGTCAGAAGTGTTGGTGCGATAGACGACACCGTAGTTGCCTGGAGCGAAGTTGAATGTTTCTCTCACTTCGGAATCTTCGGGCGCTTCATCGACAGGCATACCCTGATATTGGAGACGTTGTTGGATGGTACGAACGCGCTGTAGACAGGCCACAAGTTAGCATGTGCGGAGTGCTGCTATATGTGAAGAGATTAGACAGCATGGCATACATACAACACCAAGGGCATATCGTCCACACATTTTGGGATCAAGACTAGATGCCACCGCAAGGGATTATTGACTGCAGAGTGTAGTTAGTTATGAAGAGTTGTAGATACTAGATACATCTGCGTTGTCTAGATGGTATGCTCGACGTCATACGCGGAGATGCTGCTCGGAGCTCAGGCCAAACTAACCTTTTTCCAACCATCCTTCTATTCTGCAAAACCTCCTCCCTTCTCTCTACCCTCTTTCTGGGCTTTGTAGCCCCAATTTATCCATTAATTTTGTCTTTCCCGTTTCATTGAATATACATTCGATTCAAGAACACACGCAAATACGATCATAGAAACCCCCTTCACTATGTTCAATGCAGCATCTCGGCGCGCATGCGCCTCTACCTCGAAACCTCTACAATTCCTCCACCATCGATCTCTATCGCGATCGCTTTCAAGCGCTAATAGACCAATTACGCATTTGCAAGGACACGGCAAACAAATTCTCTCTCTGTTCCTATCGCGGCAACCACCCATCCAGACCCGACATGCTTCATACGCCCCGCAGCTTAAACGCGGCTTCCGGAAAGCCTCGAAGAGACATCCCTTTATCTTGTCGCTGGGCATCATAGTCGCACTTGGGTCAGTTTCTACGCTGGCATACGTTATATATGATCAAGTCATGGTCAAGGGCCCGCATTATAGCAGGTACCCTGGGCCGGTCGTGAAAGAGCTCAAAACTGCAGTGTGGTATACCGATGTCGACTTGAATCCTACCCTGGCCCTACAATCATACAGGAAAGCTTTGAAACTGGCTATCGGGCTAGGAATGCATCCATTCTCCGATGAGGTAATGGGTATCAAATTCCAGGTTGCGGCGATGTTGGAGAAGGCTGGCCTGGTAGCGCCTGCGGTCGAAGTGTTGGAGCGGACGAAAGCAGAAACCATGCATTGGATAGAAACGAGCAGGAAGAGAGCATGGGATGCTACAAAGAAGGTGAAGAATGAGAATGAGGCCGAAAAGGACGCCATTAAAATCGACGATCCAGAGTTTCTAGAAACCCAAAAGAAGGAGGAAGAGAACGCCAAGCTTGAAGAGCGCATGCGAAGAAAGGCTCTGAAAAGAATGGTTGGAGTACAGCTGAAACTGGCAGAATTGTACGCGAGCGATTACATCCAGGATGACAAGAAGGCCGAGGAGGCCTTAGTCTCCGGTGTTGAACTGTGTCTCACGGAACTACAACGCCGACAGAGCCTGGGACTGCCCCTTGGCGGTGCGGCGTCTGCCAATGATGATAGTTGGCTGAGCCTGGCTGAGATGGCAACGAGTTTCGTTGGTCTTGCCTCAAATTACACGAACCAGGAGCGACATGCACTTGCACTGCCGCTGTACCTTCGCGCTCTGGACATGATCCGGGCGGAGGAAGGTGACACACCAACCTGCAAGCAGGTGGTACTCCTCAATGACGTTGCGAGCGCGATGGCAGGACAGGCGCAGACACTGAAAGCTTCATCTAAGCCGATAGAAAAGGGGCAGACGGCACCTTCTCGCGAGCAGGCCATCGACGCTGCCAAGCAATGGGCGCAGAAAGCTATTGATGTCGCTGCCAAAGTCCAGCCTCCCGTCAGAGACCAGGACTGCGATACTTCCTGTGTCGCGGCTAAATACAACCTCGGGGAACTCGCAGAGATGTTGAACCGGCCGGACGAAGCTGGAAGGTTCTATATGGAGGCTGAAAATCTTGCTCGCGGAATTGGATTCGATGAAGGCGTTACCATGGCGGAGACGGCATTGAAGAGACTTTGGTCCAAGTAGGAGACAGTGAAAGAGTACTTCGGGCACAGTTCGCCATTTTGGCCTAATTAACACAGGCGATTTTGGGCCGCTAACCCTTTATTAGCAATGGTAACATACTACCTGCATCGTCCGTGTTACATATTCACCGGAAGTTGAATCGAATACCACATACAGATATTGGATCATTCTTTCTATTACCTCTCACCTTTATCATCTTCCAACTCTCAATCATCGGGCCAGAGTAAGTTCACAAACCCATTCAGGTATAGGCAGATACAATGAAATTTCTTGATCGGATGTGCCCTGCATGGTTTCCTTCCTGTAAGAGCTGAATTGGTTCCTTACAGCCAGTATATCGATCCCGATGACAGAAAGACGAAGAGCGGAAACACCTACTACTCCATTTATATCCTTGGAAAGCGTTTAGATTGAACGCATGTGATGCATTCATGTTCGAGCAAGATATAGATCTCTAGAGGAAACAGACTACATTGCCTGAGAACGGTCATAGACAGACAAGATCCCTTCAATAGTTCTAGAATAGAAAAACAGGAAAGAGAACAAGCTCCAAGGGAAGAGGAATCCAGTTAAAAAGATGGAATTAAAAGAAAAATTTCGATGCCATGATAAAACGGTATAAGAACATTGCACGCTATCCTTCTCAAAGACACCAGACATTCGATTCTTTGTATAGCGGAAAAAAAGATATCGAGTTTAAGTTAGAAATGTTCAGAAAAAACCCTGAGCCCGGAAAACAAAAGCCGGTTTTCTTTCTCGTCCGTGTTTTGTTCCCAGTTCAGAGTTACTTCATTGCTCGTGGCTCATACATCCCAACTAATAAATGCCTGCGGCTCTTCTCTTGATTTTCATCTTTTTTTATTTGGGTTCCCCTTTTATAAAACATTTAATTTTTACCTCTCCTCCGTCAATCACTCACCCTCAATCTATGCCCTAGACATAACGCCCCAAGCACGGATCTTGTTGTCAGTGTAACCAGCGAACAGAGTCTGGCCATCAGCGCTCCAGGCCAAAGAGACACACTCGGGCTCACGGCTCTTCTTGCCCTTCTCAATGTACTCGGGCTTGAGCTCATCAACCTTGCTCTTCTTCTCGAGGTCGAAGATGGTGATGCTGGTGCTAGTGGCGGCGCAGAGCCAGTAGCGGTTGGGAGAGAAAACGAGGGCGTGGATCTCATCACCGGCGTGGAGAGAGTAGAGGTGCTTGGACTCGTTAAGATCCCAGAGCATGGTGGTGCCGTCCTTACCACCGGACGCGCAGAGCGAACCGTCAGGGGAGATGGTGACAGTGTTGATGTAACCGGTATGACCAATGTGGTCAGTCTGGAGACGGCAGGAAGCGAGCTCCCAGACCTGAAAGTAAAAAACCGCCGTTAGCATAATCGTTTCACGCTAACCGTCTTCATGCAAATATGATAATGAAAACCAAATTGGGTAATATAATTTCCATCAGGCATGTGGTGAATTTTTGTCTCATGGCCCAAACAGGGCTCTGAAGTAGCAAATACGTAGAATATGCAAACATCATTTGGGAGGATTCTGCGGAGGGTATTCTTCGCTTTTTGTTTTTTGGAGATCTTCATGCATACCTTCACGAGCTTATCCCAGCCAGCGGAAACAATGACGGGGTTCTGGGGGTTAGGGCTGAAGCGCACGCAGGAAACCCAGTCGGTGTGGCCCTTGTCGGTGATGGTGAACTTGCAGTCACCGAGGGTGTTCCACAGCTTGATGGTGCGGTCACGAGAACCGGAGACGATCTGACGGTTGTCGGCGGAGAAGGAGACGGAAAGGACATCGTTGGTGTGGCCAACGAAGGTACGGGTGGTGGTTCCGCTGGCGAGTTCCCAGAGACGGAGACTCTTGTCCCAAGAGGAGGACAGAGCGTAGGCACCATCAGAGGAGATGACCTGACACGCAGAACAACCAGTCAGCCAATTCCCCTCTTAAAAAAAAAAGTTTAATCCAAAATATTTGACTCAGTTGCTGCATACACAGTCGGAGACAATGTGAGAGTGGCCCTCGAGGCTGCGCTTGGGGTAACCGTAGGCCTGCTCGTCGCGGGTGAGGTTCCAGATGATCAGGGTCTTGTCGCGGCTGCCAGAGAGCAGCATGTTGGGGCTATCATGCGAACGCAAAAAATGTCAGAATCCCGTTCTTTTCAAGTAACACAGTCGACCATTTTGTCGGCAACTGCATAAGCTTTTTTTTCGGTTCAATTTTCCTTACTTCTCGAGAGAGGTTGCCAGGCAGGTAACCCAGCCATTGTGACCCTCGAGGGTTCCGCGAAGGACCAGCTGCTCAGCCATGATGGGTGTCTGGAGACGATGGAAGGAGCCGCGAGAGGTGAGAGGAGGAGGAGGATGAACGCGGGCGGAGCAATGTCGTTGACTCTGGGCCTGGAATAAAATCGCGATCTCGAGGAGGAGCAGCAATCGACGGCTGCGTGCCCGGCTAAGCCCTAAACGGATGTGTCGCCCGTTGTGTGGGCAGAGCCCTAGAGTCTAAGCGAATAGTCACGTGATACATATCTGGAGCTACATATGTACTTTTTTTTCTATCCACGTTCAAGGCCTTCCCTTTTCGTTTTAGTGCTCAGGTCTTGGCACATTTGCGCACTGAGTAGATCCGAGCATCCCCAGGGCCTGAGTGATTACTAAACAGACACTGAGCATCACCCTGAACACCCTCATGAAAGTGCGAGAGGGAAAGTCTGTGGTGATAGAATAAAAAGTACATATAGTTACATCCATACAATGACCAGTGCGCCCAAACAGGCATATTAATGAAAGAGCAGATACTATATCCAAAACCAGGACTTATCCAAGGCCTATTCAAATATACATCCCACTTATACAGGGCACGAAACAGATCGAAAAGGTGTATTGTACATGTCCAAGGACAAAAGCAAAGCAAATATCAAACGGCTCATCGCTCTTTTGAACGATGCTTTATGGAGACTTCGTGTAGAAGGAGATCTCACGATCTGAAGACCTGAACATTCGGCATCCTCCCAAGACCCCCACCCGACCTTCTGTCCTTCGCAGCATGGAATCCAGTAGCGCTATTATCACGCACATGCTTCCTCAGCAAGGACAATATCTCAGAATCGACCCACCGCGAAGGAACAGGCCGGTACGCAGCCTTGAAAGCACCCACAGTCTGCTTCCACTCTCCGCTCTTCGCACCCGTCTGCTTCCAGGTTTCCGTCAGGGTATCCTCCTCAGGCGTAGTAGTGCCTGGTTCTGGCGGATCCTGCGTGGCCCAGTAGTAAATGTCCCAGTCATTTTCGTCGAGGAATCGGTCATATTCTTGTAACTGCTCCGGTCTCATCTTGGATAGATGGACATCGGCGAATGTAGAAAGGAGGAGATCGGATTCAAGGATTCCTCGCTTTCGGCTTTGATCTAAGCATATCAGTCAGCATGGCACCCCGTGGCGAGAGAGAAAAGCCGGAAAAGAAAAGTAAGACATAGTACATACACAACAACCGAGCTCTCATAGTCGCCGGATCCTCTCCCACCCGGCGAAGAGGCTCGACCTTGAACGAAATACCCTCCATCTCACCAACCCCAAGCTCAGGCTTCTGTTCACCGGGCTGCTGTCTACCTCCCGTGAAATGCTCAACCTTGCCCGGGTACGGATCCGCGGGCTTATAGTTCGGGTCGACGGAACTGAGGAGTTCAGGAGGAGAGTTCTTGTCACCCACTTTCGGGAAGTCATTGGTCATTGTAGATGTCGTATTAGGCATATAGGGATTCGGAGTCTTCTTCGTCTGATCCTGACGGTACTCCGGGGCCGTAGACGGTGCCCGGTTCTTACTGTCATCTGGACGGATGGAGGTGGCTCCGAAAGAGCGGACGAGTGCCGTGCGCGGAATAGAGGTGGCAGAAGGCCGTAGGAGGCGAGTGATCAGTCTTGGAGCCGTCATTTTGCTTATCTTTTCCTCGCTCGAGAGGCGATATGGGAGGGATTGGGGGAAACGATGGTTGGAAATGTCGCAGGAATGCAGCGATGATATGAATCTTTGCTATTGCCGAGGCTGACATCATAGGTGTTTGCATGGTTTGCATCATGTGTTGAGCACATTTGTCCAATAATGTGTCTTCCAAACTGATCCATACATGTTTCTTAATGCATTACACTGTAGATATGTTATACTCTACTTCATCTCTTTGTGAGTCTGCTTTGCAGAGTTCAAATGGAGAATCCAATACGCAAGGTTGGCAGTCACTATGCGCGAAGAAAACAATTAGACATTTTCATGGGTGTCATAAAATATAAGCTGTTTAACAATACAATATGCCGTGAATGATAGATATCCGGAAAAGACATGAAGTCGAAGGACACTGAAAAAAAGCTCAAGTCATTCAACTCCGCATTTCGAACATAAGAAGGGATTGATTGATTGATTGGAAATCCATCGAGCTGCGTTTTCCCAAAGACAAGAAATGCAATCCATCTAGATAAGATGCTTAGACCTAGAAGAATCAATTAACAATTTTTCATGTTGACAGAGGTCAAAAAGAGGGGAAAAGGTTTGAAAATACCTAAAGTAAGCCCTCAGGTAAACAACCTGCCAAGCCCCCAACCCGACCAGCATTCCCATTGTCCCGAATGCAAACCATTTAACACGCTCATTAGTACTCTCATTGGTATCCCGCAGTCTCTGCTCACGAGCTCGGAGATATTCCATTTCCTCGACAATCTCGCCAACCAATTCCTCGATGCGCCGAAGATCCGTCTCGACGGGCTTGAGCTTTTCCTGAGCTTGAATGGTGGACCAGTCACGCGCATCGGCGCCGATGTCGATATCGAGTTCAATAGAGCGGTGAAGATTAGCACCATTGTCTGCACGTTAAATTGGAGCGGTCAGAAACAAGAACCAAGGACGGCAGTGCAAGCGGAGACTTACGTCGCGAAACAAGCTGATTCTCAAAACAGACATCGAAAGAAGTATCCGCAGGAGACGTAAACGCCTGTCTCTTCTCGCCGACAATATCTTTCGGGTGACCATGTTCGTTCCCTAGGGAGTCCTTGACCTATTTATCCCGCCCGACACAATTGATCAGCCATTTGAGTTTGACAGAAAACAAACCCAAAAAGCAATAAAATAAACGGACAAAAAGAGAGGATAAGAAAACCATACATGCATATTAACAACTTGTCCATCCCCCTTATTTCCGCTAACGATAGCCGTCACAACAACAAGCTGCCCACTCGACACGAAATTCCGTACACAGCGTTCATTCTTCCCGGATGCAGCGGGGAGGTCGAATTTCAGTGCCGAAGCGACCTGAATGAGGAGAAGGAGCAGGGAGCAGACCGCGGTGGTGAGACGGACGGAGGACCTCATGGTGGTGCGCAAGTTGTATGTAGATTGATTGCCAGCGTGTCGTCAACAAGGTTGAAAACGGGTTGGTTGAGGGAAGTCGGCGCAACCTCTCGAGGTGCTGTAAGTTCGACCGTCACTGCTACAGCGTGCTGGTCTCCGGTCTTTCTCTCACCACTCGTACTATTATTATCGTTTAATAGTACTTTGGTTTGCTGCTGTGGTTACTGCGCTTCCTTGCTGCGAAAGGGGTCGGTTGTTTAATGGGGATTAATGATGTTCCGGAGACCCCGTCAGCTGTTTACCCTAAGGCTACAACTGCAACTCAGGCATATTTATAACTCAATCACAATTAAATGAAGTATACGGATACAGGAAATATACTCATATAAAGCATGCATATCATTACCATGTACAAAGATGGAAACCAATATTCAACAGATCCCTCTCATTCATAGGGTCCAATTCCTAAAACTTCATGTGCAGCTGTGCATCCACTAGCCCAACTCCAATAGTATCTATCTGCAAATCAGTAGAAGGGGAATGTAAATCTGAATGACAAGCTAACAGCGAGAGAGAAAAAAAAAAAAAAAAGAAAAAAAAAGAGGAAAACTAGAGAGAGTGCTGAGTAGAGTTGGCTCTTCATCAGGAGTCAGCTGAATATGCACCATGGAAACTCATTAGAGGGGCACGTTCACGAAAAAAAAAGAAGGAAAAAAAAAAAAAAAAAAGAAAAGAAAATAGGAACATATGACAGGGACCAGGAGAAAAGACACAAGATTTGACGCTGATAAGAAAACAAAGAGAATGTCGGATTTGAATAGGTTGAAGAGGAAAGAGACAAGAAAAGAGAGACAGAGATTAAAATCAGTAAAGAGAGTAAGCAATGTCATAACGCGTACTGGTCCAGTATTGAAAAAAACAGGGGATAACTCCTATAAGGAAAGAAGATTCGGATATTTACAACGGTACCAGAAAAGGAAGATAAAAAGGTCACCAGGCGTCCCTTTTTATTTTTTTTTATATCTTTTTTTTTTCACAAGCCCAGATCAAAAAATGAAAGGGTAATGTAATGGGGGGTGGAGGATGAGGCAATGCCAAAATACCAAATCCAAAGGGAAAGAGGAGGACAGAATCAATATACTCAAGCCTCCACCTTCTTCCGACGGCCGAAGAACCTGGAAAAAGGACTCGAGCTAGAATCCTTTACCTTTCCACCAGTCATGGCAACATAGGCTCGAGGCGGAGGAGGGCCTGTGCTTTTGAGGAGACCAGTCAACGCACCGGTCTCTGTCTGCCTCCGTGTTGGGTTCATCGTTTGGCTACGAGGGCCGGCGAAACCCGGATTACGCTCAGAGCCAACTTTGGTAGAATAGGTTGATTGCCCCGAGCTATCAGCAAAGGAGCGCAAGGAGGCCTTGGAACTTTTCAAAGTAGGAATCCTATCCAAGGAAGTCTTGCTCATAAGCCGAGATCTCATGGAAGGCGCACCCAGGGACGTGCCGGATCTAGGGTTTTCGGCCAATGCCGTGCTTCCCCATAGGGATTGAGGGGATTCTTCTTGGCCAGGAGGGCCAGGAACGCTGCGCAAGAAATCCATCAGGCTTTCCTGTTTACGCTTCGGTCTCCGTGTTCCCAAAAGCTCATCAAGATCATCATCCTCTTCGTCTTCTTCGAAATCAACAATATAGGGGTCCCGCGCTTGGAGGTGCCTCCGAGACGGTCGAGTCTCGATGTGCGCATCTCCTGGAACTGATGTGCGTCTGACAATGCTAGCCTGTGAACTAGCTCGGTCTACCGAATCCAGAAGCCCTGTATTTGAACTGAATGAAGTGTGAGATCTGTTTGCTATAGACCGTCCATCTTGAATACTATCCCTTCCATTGTTGCTAGATCCAAGCTCTGAGTGATCAGAGTCCGCGGTATCCTGGAAAGGTGCTACCGCTCGAGGTATACGATGTGCGCCCACGGTTGGTGGACCAGTTCGAATGAAATCGATCAGGTCCGAGGTTTCCCCTCCTGTTCCAGACGCGGCTGACCGTGCTTGCAGTCGTGAACCAGGACTTCTGGATTCAGGTATATCGCGACCAGCTAGCTTCCCCGATACCTCAGACGACGTATTGGAAAAATTGCGCTGAGCTGGCCGCTGGGCAAGTGGCTGAGCAACTTCTCCCTGGTTCTGAGGAGCATTTTTAGAAAGAGCAGGTCCCGTAGATCTCAGGAATTCCACGATATCAGAGGTTGATCCAGAGACTGGCCTAGCATCTCTGGGTTGCAATTGAGACATCCGAGGATTTTTCGATGCGGCTACTTCGATAGGTTGGGGTCTGGGCACAACTGGTTTCTGTTTGGGTATGTCAGCTGACTTGGACTCTGCAACCGGCGGTAAGCTCGCCGCTCCTGCAAATGGGGCCGGGGGGGTCTTTGGCTGTTTTGGATCCTCTCTAGGGGCCGTGTTCCTCAAGAAATCAGCCAATCCCGCTGTAGTCGAACGGGCCGGTTGCTCGGGTTCCTAGTACATGCAGTCAGTCACTGGGAGCTCATCAAACTTCCGCAAACGCACCGCACTCACTTCAATATCCCTCATATTCTTCGGAGTCAATGTAAAATGCAAGGTTTCATCGCTATGAATCAATTTGTCCAAATCAGACTTGTTTCCTGGTGAATCACTAGTTCCTGCCGACATGCGACTCGTTTCGGAAGATGCACGTAGACGGGGAGAAGCAGGGTCACCCTGCGGCCGGCCGATGGGGCTTTTCAATTTTCCCCGAACCGGAGAAGCTGGTGCTCCGGCAGTCAGTGGACGCCTGTCAAAACTGTCCGATCCACGAGACACTGAGTAGTTGGATGAGCTGGTCGATAATGACGTTTGCCTCGAAAGCCTCTGGACAGCTGCCCGTTCCGTTCCAGGGGATGCTATGGAACCCGACCGTCTGTGGCCATGTTGCGACGCGTTTGACATCCTCGAGGCTGCTCTAGGTTGAGATGGTGGGCGCTGAGAACCCTCGTTCTCATCCCTATTTAAGAATGCCGCCGTAGGACTCTCCGCGGGCCGAGAAACCGTGCGAGATGCAGTCGATGGCCGGGGGCTTTGTGGGACTTGGGCAAGGCCCTTGGGCCATGTATGAGTTGTGCCATCATTGGGAGCTGATAGAGCGGTAATTGGGGGTTTGGCTTCGGAGGGAGAGACAATGACTGGTTGACGCGTAGTAGAGTCGGATACCTCAGTGTCCAGTTCTTGCCTCGATAATCGACCCTCGGGAAGTTCGCCCGCCCGTGTAGCAGACATCCCCTCTTTATGAGGCAGGTAATTACTAGAATATTGTTCTTGTGGTTGGAACGCTGATGTTTCATCCTTCACGGCGGCTTCCGGTGCCTTAGATCGCTGCTCTTGTTGAACGCTCCGTGATAGCTCCAGAGGCTCGACTCCATCGGGTTGGCTGATAGCTACACCCTCACATGCAACCCGGCCAGACGGTTCCACGGTGGCTTCGCGCGCCGTGTCAAGATCTCGATATCCCTTTTCTTGGCGTTTGGGATCTTGCTTTTCAGACGGGCTGGATTCCAGTGGCGCTAAGGTGACGGAAATTCCTGTTTCACGTTGGACAGACTCAGATGGTTCATCACGCTCAGGCATCGTATCCAAATGCTTCTGTTCTAAGGCTTGGGTGCGAGGTTGGTGAATAGTTCCTGGGTCCAGGGTTAACGAACCTGAGGGGTTGTAAGCATCATTAGGAAATGACCTGGACCGGGTGTGGCGAACGGGTTTGGCAACTTGGGGACTCGAAGCATTAGTGGGAGAACTAGAGTTGGAAGATCCCGACTTGTGAGACGCTGAAGACGAAGAGAACACCATCAAGCTTCGGGGGCGCACTTTGTGGGCGACAACGGCTTCCAGTGTCACGGCCTCGAAATCGGCATCGTTTAAAAGCCAGGGCGTTCCAAATTCCTTGACTTGGACGTCGGTTTGATCCTGAGCTTCGACGGTTGGGGAAGGTGGCAGGGGAATAGAAGATGGGTCTGGTTCACAAGTATGTGCAGTCTCGCTGTCCCTTCTGCTGAGATCAAAGGTGTAACGGCGGTATGCACGAGGTCGAATGGATTCCCTGGAAAGCGTCCGGGACAGTTTGGCAGGTCGGATTCGTCTCCTCCATGTCCGCCACATTCTCCCAAGGGTCGCGTTCAAAGCCAATTTCTCCATGTCTGTCTCTTCCAGCACAAACCGAGTGTGTTGTCCTGATGGAGAAGCTCTTTGTTCATCAAACATATCGCTATTTTCTGCAGATAACCGTGTTCGGGCTGCTTCGCCGGCAACAGCCAAGGCCTGCTCGGCAATGTGTTCGATAATGGCAGTGAGGAAAACCGCCGTGGTAGGCGCCACTGTCACTGAGGCAGTGAATCTGCTAGGAAAGCCATCGCATTCTCCCAGAGCATCCTGTTCGATATACTCATCTTCATCCTCCTCCTCCAAGTCGCCCAGTCTCGTATAAATCATGCACCGAAGGCGGGTCAACTTCCAAGCACGAATAAGGTCAAATCCTCCCTCCGGTTGTCGACTACCGTTGAGTTCAGGCTCGCCATCCAGGTCACCAACACTACCGACATATTCAGTCAATTCGGAATCTGCGACAGACACGACTTCTCTCGCGAGTCGAGGTTTTAGGACGTCTGATATAGCGGGTCGGATACAGCTGAGCTTGGTCGACTTAGCCGTGGCTAATACGTTGAAGAGAAGATGATCCAGGAATCCATTGAGCAATGCAAGGGCCTCTGGCGTGACCTGCGCATTCTCGTCACTGGGAGCATCGTATCCGTCCTTCGTCGTGATGATCTCTGATGCGGCGGAGAGCGAGACAAATGCAGGCGGTGGAATCACGGGCGGTGGCGAGAGGAGGCTAACGCGCGAGATGTGAGAGTGGTCGCTGGAGAGACTGACACTCCGCGAGCGAGGAATCGCCACGAAGTCTGACGGATGGAAGACTCTATTTGGCGGCATCGTCCACTAGCGACCGGGATGGCATATATATGGTAAGAGAGTGTTGGTTTTTGTATATATCGTGCCTCCTTGTTATTATTGAGAGGTAGGGGGAAAGGCTTTTGTTCGAAAAGAATGAACCGGGGAAACCGATAGACTAGTACACCATCCTAGAGCGCGGAATCTGCCTGGTCAACATTTAAACGGACACCGGGAGGACAGGAATAGGGGGGACTGGGGATATCGAAAGGGACAAACAAGGCGTGAAGATTGTCTTTTCAAGAGTCGAGGACAACACCGTCGACCAAGAGCTGAAAACAAGACATAAATGACAACGCATCTATCTCTTTTCAAGCGTACCTGTACAACTAACAACGATGGTGATTATGCTTGGGAGCAGCAGCACTCATCTCGTCCAGGGAACGGATGGAGAAAGTAAGCAATGTCAACCTAAGGCGCGTCGGCAGCGAGCCTGAGGAGAAACCAGGACGGGAAGCAAAGCAGTGGTTCAGGGGAGAGGCGAGTGGAGAAGGGAAGAATTTGGGATGGGTGGATTATGGGGAGAGGACGACGATGATGATTATTATTATGAAGATAGAAGTGCCGCAGCAGATAGGAAATTTTTTTAATAAGGATGCGTCAATTGAAAGGGACTCGATGATATGTTTTGACCGATCTACTTAATTCCATGCATCGTAAGACGCGGACGGTTCGAGGCTGGACAGGGCGCAGGGATCGGGAGCGGATTGGGATTCAGACTACGGAGTACACGCTGCTGATCCATGGAGATTATTATTCCTGTCTGATCCTCCTGCGGTGTTCCGTATAGTTACAGTGTTGGCACAACGCCCTGACCGACGATGCTATGTCCACGGCACAGTGTACAGTGTATACGGAGTACGAGCATGCATGAATACACAGCAAACCGACAACAACAACAACAATAGCTAGCTGGCATTGAGCAGGGGGACAAACTCAATGGACAATTTCAAATACGCTTCAATTGCAGCTGCTGGCCCACTCGAGAGCATCAGCGGAGACGCTCCGTCGCTATAATATGAATAGTATACATCAACCCGTGGAACGCTGCAGCTGTGATCGTAACGGTTCCACGTTTTGATTGTCCTAACAGCCCCAAAAGTCAATTTATAATCCCAAGACCCGCTCAGATCCAGGGACTGATCGCACAGCAGTCAACGTCAGATGCACGCTCCACGACCACTTTGAAGTTTGTACGGCGCTGCAATATGATGTGTCCTGTAACTACAGTGTTATATCTATTCACCTCGGCCATCTCATCACAATGTCAGTCCATGTCGCACACAAAATCTGAAATCACCATGCAATGGCTAGAAACTATTGATGGCACCATCGGTTAGCGCAATCCTTTCGGCATGGATGGTTCCTATCATTCTTGCTTATTATTATTCTAGATAACAAGAGGAACCTGTGGGCCCTGGACCCTTCTCCGCACTCAGACGGAGGATTTAGGGCATAACCCTCCATAGTTTCTATATGAACGCTTCGATCAAGACAATAACCCGGTTGAGTATATGCTAGGACTACGATGGGCCTTCCTAAAAAATAGGTACTTCAAGACAATGTTCTCGTCGGTTAATTTAACCAGCTATTATATTACAAAGTAATCTTTCATGAAGACATGTCCTCGGTGGCCTCGATCCAGGGTCCTGTTAGCAATATCGCATCCACGCGACCATATACTAGTCTCTGTATGTGAATAAAGTATGAATTTCTATATTCAACTGTAAAATGTAGCTACATGTGGTATTACCAAGGCAAGGCATTGAGTCCAACAATATCACGGCAGTCTATGTAAACGGATGTGTTAGGGGCATTTAATACCCTATTTGCATAGTACTGTTGATCTTTAAAAAGCCACGAAAGGTTGAGAGAGCTCTGTAAAGGTTTGACAACGTACTCAAGTACTAGTTTTTTTTTTGGGCAATCTCATGTGAAGCTCCTCGATCCTCAAGATCCTCAAGATCCTCCAAGCGGTATGTGTAAGGCCGCAAAGTCAGCAGCCTTAGGCCATATAAGATCACGTGTACTTAGCACTTAGGGTGAGGTGGATCAGGGGTGCGGCATCCGGATATCAAATACTACAAGGAAACCGTAGGATTCATAGGATTCGTAGTGAGCGCTCTATATCAATATACTACCGTCTCTAGCACATTGTGAAGCTATTAATTGACATGCTTAATGCTTGAAGTTCTTCGTATGCGGATTCAGGGAAAACCTCCTGGAACATGCATATTCTTTTTTCCATTCTAGGACTTTATTCATTTGCCTAAAGACACTAAGTAGACGTTGACGACCGGCCATTGATCACGTGCTGAAATTCTCACTGGAGTTCCACGTGACCGCATTTGCTGAAGACAACGACAGCTCAGAGCGGGTTGTCCCTGGATAGCAATGTATTGCTTCGGCTCCTTTTCTTCAATTTACGTCTCCATGTAAATGCCTGACAACAGTTAATATGACTTTTTCCTTGACTCGTATCCCTGATTGCATCTAACGAATATATGTCAACTGTTTATTTGGGACGTTGGTGGAGTACTACAGTTCCGTCCCGTCTACTATTTTCTTTCGTTCGCCTTTCCCCTCCGAATATTCATTGAATCACCAGCTATCTATATAGCCGGGAAAATGTTTTCGTCACTCAAGTCGCTCGGCTCTAATATACTGACAAACTACCAAATCTCCCCAAGCCCGACAGTGATTGCTGGCCCTTGGAAGATCCATAATGGAAAGAAGAAATCCACTGGCACCACTGCGTCTATCTTCATCTTTGAGAGAAAATCCCTGGAGCCACGGGTGAATGGGCTGGGCGGTCGCTCCAGTTCTTCGACGAAGAAGTTGCACGATGCAGTTGTTGAGAGACTTAAGCGCGAGGCCAGCAATTTAGCACGACTCAGACATCCGTCCATTCTGCAGGTTCTTGAGCCGGTAGAGGAGACGCGACACGGTGGGCTCATGTTTGCGACTGAACAAGTTATGACTTCTCTTGCTGGCCTCTTGCATGAGAAAGACGAGCAGGAAACTTCTTCAAGAATTGGCGCGAGGCCTAGTCGCTACGTGGTAGAGGACTCCGACGGACGACGGAGAAGGAGGGATCTCGAGATCGATGAACTTGAAATCCAAAAGGGTCTTTTGCAAGTGGCTAAAGGCCTCGAATTTCTTCATGAGTCTGCCGGCCTAGTTCATGGGAACCTTAATCCGGAAGCCATTTTCATCAACGCTAAATCTGACTGGAAGATTGCAGGGCTTGGGTTTGCTGGCCCTCCTGATTCTTCTGAACCTCAGTCATCCCTACCGCCACTGGCTTTATCTGAGGTTCTCTATCAAGATCCGAAACTGCCCACATCAGTCCAATTGAACCTCGACTACACGTCCCCAGACTTTGTCCTAGATTCTAACGTATCAACATCTGCCGATTTATTTTCTCTTGGGCTGGTGATTATAGCCCTCTATAATTCTCCACATGTCTCTCCGCTTCAAGCACATTCAAGCGTCAATACTTACAAGAAACTGCTTAGCACTCCTTCTACCACTCCATCGCAAAGCAATAACTTCCTCTCCTCCGGGCCTATCCCCAAGGATATTCTCTCGCATGTCCTACCCAGGTTGATAACGAGACGACCTGCTCAGCGCATAAATGCGAGGGAATTCCAGCAATCACAGTACTTTGATAACATTCTGATATCGACTATTCGCTTCCTGGAGTCCTTGCCGGCCAAGAACCCGAACGAAAAATCCCAGTTTATGCGTGGTCTACAACGCGTGCTGCCGGAATTTCCCGTTTCCGTTCTCGAAAGGAAAATTTTAGGCGTACTACTGGAAGAGGTGAAAGATCGTGAGCTTCTGCCGCTCATACTGCAGAACGTTTTTGCGATCCTGAAGCGAATTCCTAGCGGGCGCCGTATATTTCCTGAAAAAGTAATCCCTCGTCTCAAGGACATATTCCCAGCTGGTTCGGCGAAACCAGCAGCCCAGGAGCGCGATTCCAAGAAGGATGCTGGTCTCATGGTCGTGCTTGAAAATATGAGCGTTGTGACGGACAATTGTTCTGGCAAGGATCTCAAAGACGGTATGTTTACTATAAGAAAGGGACAGGGAGAAGAAATGATTGTGCTGATTACAGCTCAGATATCCTTCCACTAATCCGACTGGCATTGGACTCACCCACCCATTCACTGGCGGATGCCGCCATCAAGTGCTTGCCCGTGATACTCCCTATCCTCGATTTCAGCACTGTGAAAAATGAAATATTCCCTCCCATCGCTTCAACATTCAGCAGGACCAATAGCCTCGCCATCAAAATTCGCTGTTTAGAGGCTTTTGCTGTACTTTGTGGCGGCTCCGTGGACGAAGAAACCAGGGCTGAGGATGATTTAACAGGAGTGATCCAAGACAACAAAACCCAGTCCAGCAGATCCTCGATTCTTGACAAATATACCATTCAAGAGAAACTTGTACCTTCTCTGAAAGCGATCAAAACAAAAGAGCCTGCTGTGATGATGGCTACCTTGAAAGTGTTTAGAGAGATCGGCAAGGTTGCTGATACAGACTTTCTTGCTTTGGAAGTCCTTCCAATTCTCTGGGCTTTTAGCATGGGGCCGCTTCTTAATGTCCGCCAGTTTGGGGAATTTATGGGGCTCATAAAAACTCTCTCCACAAAAGTCGAACAGGAGCAGACGAGAAAGTTGCAGGAGCTTTCTTCTGGGGGCGATTCTACTGGGCTAGGGAATGGGGTAGCCTCTTCTAAGGCTCCTGGAGCTTCTAGCAATTCAGACGTGGGCAACGCAAGGGATGATTTTGAGCGCCTTGTCCTTGGGAAAACTTCCACAACGTCGAGTAGTAACGACATCGACCCATTAGGTGGTCTGGGCTCGGAGGCGATGATTTCCAAACATCCAACGCAGGCTATGACTCCTGCATTATCCTGGACTTTAAGTACTCCTGGAACAACCAGCAAAACGGGCAGCTTAGGTGCAGTACGTGTGTCGTCGACACAGTCCAATCTTAACTTCCGTTCTGTGACACCCGACTACAATTCAAGTTCCTTTCCGACTCTCGAACCTGCTCACAGGCAAAAGTCGCCTGTCTCTCAGCTTACAGCATTTCAACAGCAGTCAAGCTCGATCTGGGATGCTCCGCGCACCGTGGCCGGCCAACAGAACAATTCGTCATTGGCAGGTATGACGACTATGAGGCCTTCTTCCAATGCTTCTATGGCCGCCCAACCTCCCCAGCGGACGGCCAACTATTCTGCATTTTCCATTCCTCCCCCTCCTGCGTCGAATTCGACTATATTTGCCGGCTCGAGTATATCCACTGCTGGTCAAGTACCATTTGGGTCAAATATTGCCCCAAATGCATTTTCAAGCAACACTTATTCTCAACCGTCGCAAGGATCACAGAAGCAGGGTCTGGATAAGTATGAAAGTTTGCTATGATTATGTGGGACCTTCCATAGCGCCTTCTTATTGGATACCCAAGTTCATGATATGAATTATTATTGCAACTGTATTAATATTAATTGAAATTTTGTACATCTAAAGGACTTGTTACGATCATAATCCTGGAGTATGAGAATCAGGATGAACCCAGCCAACAGTAAAGACTGTTACTTGGAGATTAACTTGGTGATGGGTATTGCAGCTGGACGTATGTCTCAGCATGACTTTACTATAATGAATTTGAATGTTACCTTCTTGGTGAATTCAATGATGCACGGGTGGAGTGTTTTACTAGTATAAAATTCAGCTACCTCAATCTAAGTATACCACGTCCTCTGGCCTCTCCTTCCTCCAGGTCATCGTTACTATCACCATTGATTAGCTCTCATCTACAACTCTCACGACATCTCCATAATGACCACTGCAAGTAACATTAACTCTTCCCCATCCCGTAGACAGAATTCTAACGTTGACTTGAGAGTACACTCTCTGCAAAGGCTCTGAGCACCTCGCCGGTTGGCAATGCCCTCGAGATTATCATGATCCAGGACAAGCTTTGGGTAAGAATACATAGCAACTTCATTTCATCCCTGTGATATATCTTGATAGTATATCCCTTCTTCTTGGGGAATCATATTGTTCTTCAAATGAAACTTTTTCGATGGTTGCCGTGATACCTTGGTGTACTAACACCGCCTGGGCGATAATACTAGAGGGGTATATTTTTTAGCGGTGCGGCTCAGGGAAATTAAGACCGTGCGTCTGCCATATCACGTTTATACCCACTACAAATTGAAGCATCCCCTGAATTATTTATTAAATTCTTGGTGTCATTTCATATTATTATTATTAGATTTGACGGACATCCAACGCTCTTCGAGATTTTGACACATCCACAATGGGAAATGATCCACGTCTAGGAACATCCTCAACTCACTCGCTCCACTCTTTACAAGAAGGTGAAGATGACCTCCCACCCTCGTACACAGACGTAATCACAGAAGCCGAAATCGAAACCGACCGCACCGTCATCCCAACTCCAAGTAACAGAAATAATGGCAACAGAGACATCTTAACGGAAGACGACTACTTTGTCCCCGGTGCCAAACGCGTAAACGACAAGCGAACGATCTCGCTCTCGCCGAATCTCTGCCTGGATAATCGCGTGCTGCACAATATAATCTCGGAACAGGCAAAGCTTCCTCCACGTCCGTTTTTGGTTGTCGAGGGGACGCACCAGGAGACGCGGAATAACGACAGTAATAACAATAAGAACGGGAGTCAGAAGGAGAACGTTGTTGATTTTCGGTTTCGGGTTGATTTAACTTCTGTTTTGAAGCGGTCGGAGGGTTGGCATGCTGTTTCTGTTGTTGAGGATGCGGATGGGAGGGAGGCCTTTCGAGGGGGACGGTTGAGGTCGAGGGAGTCTGGGGTGATGCGGGGAGAGATTCATAGGAGTGCTGATGCTGTTGATGATGGTAATAATGTTGAGAATGCGGCATTCATCCAATTTGAGGATGAGGATCAAGATCAAGATGGCTCGAAACCGGGCCTGATGGGCTGGTGTGAGCGGTTCTGCAATGATCCTGCACCTGTCAAGTCGTATGTTTCCCCCCCTAATGGCCTATAGTGTATGTGTTCTACGGTGTACATCTAACAGACCAGGTTCACTCTCACCCGCAAAATGCACGGATTGGACGTGAACGTGCTACGAACGTCGCTGGCATCGCAGATCCGCGAGCTCAACTACCGCGGACATATAAATATCTGGCTGTGCCTTGCGCACAGCGAGCTGACGGTCTACTCGCCACACTGGATCAACCGACTCCGCCACAACAGCTTCGTTTGGTGGACGTGTGTTATCATGCAGCTCTGGATCCTGACATGGCCGATCATCTGGCTGCTGGAACGACGGTACGGGGTGATCGAATCGACGTGGTATGCATCGCTGCCGGACGAGTGTCCGCTGATAACAGGGCGCACTCGACGGCGGCACGCCCAGGGGCGCAGCGAGGCTCAGCTGGCTGCGTTCTGGGCCCCAGCCGTGAAACTGGCAGCGTGGCATCGACGCAAGGACGGGGAGGTGTTGACGGAGGAGGAGGCGCAGCGGCTGCAGGGACTGCGGACGGAGCAAGTGGTGAGCCTTGCCGTTGGGGAATCGGCGGCGGAGAGGGAGCGGCGGGAACGGGTGGATCGAGGCGATGGGACGTTTGCGGATTCTGTGGTGGGATTGGTAAGGGGGGTCAGCGAGGTGAGGCAAAACTGGAACATGGCGATGGGCTGGGGGGGAGATTCATGATTATTTTTACTCTCCTGCTATATACATACTACATTATAATAGTCTGCACTCTCTATTCGGCTTAAATGAATATCCCATGCAAGAACCTCTACCTAGGCAGTATTTCTGTTGAAGGTGAGTGCCTACAGAGTTTGAAAATAAAAGTCATCAAAGTGTGTCATGCCAACCCCGTCCAGCCAATGCGATGTCCACGATAAGGAAGTCTGGTATCAATACATGATTGGACCGGCGCCAAATGCCTCATGCTATTTTATTTGTTTTTTTTTTTTTGGTTGTTTTCCTCTCCCTACCTACTTCCGAGCACAGAGAATTATTATTAAATACAGAAAAAAATTCTTAGAAAAAAGCATTAATACGATACTGTCCAAGTGACTCGGTTAGAGCGGTTGTTTTAACCGTAATGAAGTGGAATAAAAAGATCAAAAAAATAATATCCCAAAATAGCAACGCTAAAAAAAAAGACGCCGGTGTCGGGGCGTGTTACACACTCCGGATTACTCAGCCTTTGCCACGGCCGGATGGGAATGCGGAGGGCAGTCCATTTGCTATTAATTCTTATGATCATTATTATTATTATTATGGGTTCAACCGATGTGGTTGGGAGTATTGTAGGACTATGATACTGTGGGAGTACTGCAGAAGGTACATTGAAGAAGTTCATATCAGCGGGGCATATCGGAGGGGCATCTGCCGCCGCGAATCACCGGGATGCAATTATCAGGAACACTTCTTTGCCTGTTCAATTGGGAAGTCAATTGACTGAGTCGATTAATATCATATACGAAGATGGATCTCTTCCAGATAGACACACTAGTATTCTTGCACCGGTAGCTTCGATAGAGTGTCTATATGATGCGGAATACTAGATATCCTATCAGTATGCCCCGCACATGAACTCCCGAAAGAGACAGCTCTACCGGTCAACTGCTGCCTCTGATATGATTCCCGGTCTGGCGTGGGGTTCTCTCTGTTATTCTGTTACAGTGTTCAGAAAAAGTAAAGAAGACGCGCGAGTCCAGCGATAATCATTTGCGATTCTTTTGGGTAATTATCAGCCTGCAGTCTGTGGCAGGATGCTGCACAGGCATTCAGCTCAGCAACAGGCCAGGAATATGCATGTATTATTCGAATTAGAATTAGAATTAGAATAGAATTGCAGTGAACCGTGCTGAGTCCTGACAAGTCGAAGGTGGGCTGCTATCGCTTTCCGCCGACTAGGTTTCGCCCCCCTCGCTTCTCTGCTTAAAAAGACTCCCTTCCCGTCTCTCTCTCTTTCCTCCATCTCCTTTTCTCCCTCTTGTGCCAGCTTCAAGTTCTTCTCTTCCTGTCTGCTCCCTCCCTCTCTTTTCTTACCTGTCCTATCCTTCTTGTCTCCTCTGCTGCCTCTCGTCCAGGACCGTCCCTGTCCTGTCACTCTTATCGGCCTCCGCCACCAGTCACAACTACGCCTGTTTTGTCTTAACTGTTATTACTCCCTCACATATCCTTCATCATGGTATGTTATCTCCTTCGTGCAATGGAATATGTTTCCGGAGAAGAAAAAAAATTGCTATTCTACTGTCCTAGCTGCTGACTCACTCGCTCCTCCAGTCTGATCGTCACGTTAACGTCTCCAACACGGAGAATGTGCGTTCCCGCTCCACAAACCCACCCTCTGACTCACTCTCCTTGTCTCGAGAGAATTTCTCCGTACTGATTGTGCCTACAACAAATAGCTCCGCAAGTACATGACCCTTGACCAGCGAGGCAAGGTTCAGGCTGAGTACATCTGGATCGACGCTGCCAGTAACGTGCGCTCCAAGACCAAGGTATGCAACTCCGTCGTCACCCGATCCATCTTGTACCGCTTTCCTCCTGCTTTTCAATTGTCACACCCGCTTTTGGGGTCTTCGGGTGTAGCGCATTTCCGGATCTCAGGAAGATCTGTGCTCCCTCTCTTACCCCCCCAAAAAAACCTTTCTGATCATCCCTGTCATTCCCTCGGAGCCTCTTGCGCACGGAGGATGGCTCCTGCATCAACCTGAATCACGTGTTGTTCCTCTTTTGTTTCTTTTTTCCTTTTTCTTTTTTTTTTTTTTTAACCATTTTCACCTGCTGACAAAATTACCACTTTTAGACCCTCTCCAAGGCTGTCAAGTCTGTCGATGAGCTGCCCGAGTGGAACTTTGACGGCTCCTCTACCGGACAGGCTCCCGGTGACAACTCCGACGTCTACCTGCGCCCCGTCGCCATCTACCCGGACCCCTTCCGTCTCGGTGACAACATCCTCGTTCTCTGTGAGACCTGGGACTCCGATGGCACTCCCAACAAGTATAACTACCGTCACGAGGCTGCTAGGTTGATGGAGGCACACGCCAAGGAGGAGTTTTGGTTCGGTTTGGAGCAGGAGTACACTCTCCTTGACAGCGACAACTGGCCCTATGGCTGGCCCAAGAACGGTTTCCCCGGTTCCCAGGGTCCCTACTACTGCGGTGTCGGCTCCGGCAAGGTCTACTGCCGTGACATCGTCGAGGCTCACTACCGCGCTTGCCTGTATGCCGGCATCAACATTTCCGGTATCAACGCCGAGGTCATGCCCTCCCAGTGGGAGTACCAGGTTGGCCCCTGCACTGGTATTGAGAGTACGTTCTAAGAACAGACAAAACAAAAAGAAAAAAGGGTTGCTAACAGTTCTTAGTGGGTGACCAGCTCTGGCTCTCTCGTTTCCTCCTGTACCGCGTTGCTGAAGAATTCGGCGTCAGAATCTCATTCGACCCCAAGCCCATCAAGGGTGACTGGAACGGAGCTGGTCTCCACACCAACGTCTCGTTCAACGCCACCCGTGCTGAGGGTGGTATGAAGGCCATCGAGGCTTCCATGAAGAAGCTGGAGGCTCGCCACTTCGAGCACATTGCCGTCTACGGTGAGGGCAACGAGGAGCGTCTCACCGGCCGTCACGAGACTGGCAGCATCGACAAGTTCAGCTATGGTGTCGCCGACCGTGGTGGCAGCATCCGTATCCCTCGCCAGGTTGCTAAGGATGGCAAGGGCTACTTTGAGGACCGTCGCCCTGCTAGCAACGCTGACCCATACCAGATTACCGGCATTATTGTCGAGACTGTAAGTGTCTTCAACCGATTATAAAATATATATATGCATTTAACTAATTCTATCCAGCTCTGTGGTGGCGTATAAACTTCAAAACGAAATCCAACATAGATATGAGATGAAGACAAAAAATTGTGAAAGCATTTGGTCTTAGCACGTGTATACCCTCTGGCGTCAACTGGGAGTAGAACAGAGAGAGCGCGGCCTGGCAAGAGTTGAGGTAGCATAGATATTATTTCTCTCTTCATTCGTTTCGCGTCATAATTGTTATGGGAATTTTGGTTCTTCATGCCAGAGCTTGTCTTGAGTTCGTTCCCTTGGTTGCGGCGGCCTGATAGTCTTCTTAACTGCAGTTCTGAGGGTTGAATGTTACGCCTTTCGATGTCCGGCTATTTCTTCCAATTGTAATGTAGAGGAAGCAGTCTCGGACATCAGATAGCCTCGGCGCCGGGCTTCGGATTGAGTTTCTCGGCATTCTGATTCTGCAGCCGATCAGGAACGACGGCAGTTGTTTCTGTGGACGTTCAAGACTGGAATGGAATATTTAGTTGCTTCAATGATTGTGCGTCGAGTCATTCCCGGATGACTCATTCGTGTGAAAAGCCAACTCGAGCGGAAAAAATAAAGGAAAGAAAAATCAACAATCCACAGCATGTCCACGGACACAATGCACGATCAAACAGTCAAAGATGAGCCATCCAAAGCCATCCAAGAACGCATATACACACGCAGAGAGAACCATGAGGCCGAAACAGGTGCTGAGCCGGATGAAGCCAGTATCAACCGCGTATACAGGTAGTGTACCATTCTTTACGCTTGATGAAAATCAACCCAACTAACATGAACAAAAAAGGAAACTGGACCTTCGCATCATCCCCGCCTTCTGGGTCCTCTACTTCCTCTGCTCAGCCATCCGCTCTAACGTAGGGCTGGCCCAAACCATGAACGCAAACGTGCATCACGACCTAGGCTCCGTCCTGCACCTGACGCCTCACCAGGTCTCGACAGGTCTAGCACTATTCTACGTGTGCTACGTCGTGTTTGATCTCCCCTCGAACCTAGCCATGCTGAGACTCAGTCCGCATGTGTGGATGAGCCGGATCGTGGTTAGTGTGGGCGTTATCGGGGCTTGCATGGCTGCCATGAGAGCAGCGTGGAGCTTTTATCTCCTTCGTCTCCTGCTTGGTATCGTTATTGCGGGCATGTGGCCTGGTATGACCTATTATCTTTCCCTCTTTTACCCCCCGTCCCAGATGGGGAAAAGGACGGGTCAGTATTACACCGCTGCACAGGTTTCTGCTGCTGTCGTGGGGTTGGTCTCGGCCGGGTTTCAGAAGATGGATGGTGAGCGTGGTCTTGTCGGGTTTCGGTGGATGTTTCTTGTTTACGGGGTTGTTACTGTTATCATTGGGGTTGGGCTGCTGTGGTGGTTGCCGGATCGGCCTGTTCCTCCTGCTAGTTTCCAGCAGCAACATGGTCAGGATGGAGAAGAAGAAGAGGAGGAGGGGAAAAGGTCTCGCGGGAAATATATCTATTTCCTACGGAAATTCTGGCCGAAAAGCCCCCCCGCTCTGGCTGGGAGAGATGCGGAAATCCACTACCACGACCTGCGCCGCGTGTATCATCGCTCCCGGTGGACGTTCTCAGACCTGCTCGCCGTTTTTGCGGACTGGCGTCTTTGGCCGCTCGTGATTATGTATTTCGGCGTCGTGGGCGTCGGGATCGGGGTACAGAGCTACAGTACTGTGATTATCAAGGCAACGGATTCGTCGTTGACGGGTGTGGAATTGAGTCTTCTTTCTGCTCCGATATGGATAGTAAGCCCTCTTTCCTCCTACCTGTGTAACACCTACACATTATCAACATATCCATATACACCTACAAATATACGTATATATGCGCAAGTTTAAGCTAACTGAAGAAGATGGACCTCATCGCCATCCTCCTAATAACCCCCCTCTCAGACCGCTTCCACCACAACCGCCCCCTTTTCTTCACCATCCCGGTCCTGATACAAATAACTGGCCTCCTCCTAACTACCTACGCAGGTACAGAATCAAACCCCTGGCCCCGCTACGGCGGCCTGCTCATCGTCGGCTTCGGTCTCGGCCCCACAGTCCCCATAACCATGACCTGGACCACGGAGATCTTCCAGCCGCGACACGGCGAGGTGGGTGTTGCCGCAGCTTCGGCTGTTGTCTCTGGTTTGGGGAATCTCGGGAGTATTCTGACTACTTATGCATTGTATTCGGGGTGGGAGAGTGATTATCTTGCGCCTGGACGGAGGAAGTATCGGAAGAGTAATTTGGTAATGGTTGGGATTTTGGGAGGAAGTGTTCTTGCTGCTTTGATTATGGGGGTTTTGGTTAGGGTTTTTGATCATGCTCCTGCTCATACTAATGACAATAATACTAATACTGACGATAATGGGAATGATGTGGATGGGGCGGCGAAGAGACTTGCTAGTCAGAGGGGATTCTCTAGGAGGAAAATGTGATGTCTTTTACATAGTATTAATGGGGAGAGTATAGACAATTGAATCTTGATAGGAGAATAATTGATAATCTGATTCATTCCTAATTCCAAAGTTCCTACCTACTAGATACCAGTCTATACTGACAGAAAACTCTGTATTAGATAGAAAAAGGAGGGGTATATGGCTGTTGATATATAAACACGGCGACAACAAATATCCATAATAGCAGTCGCATAATACTGCGTTGCAAAAGAACCATTTCATGCTCCCAAGCCGGTGTTAGAGAAAAACATGACACATATGACAAAAAAGCATCTAGCCCAGGAAGAACTAGAGAGAAAGAGAAGATAACAGAACAAGCTCATTAGAAATAATATAATGCTTGCTCGACTCTTCATCTTCCTCGGTATCATCAAGATAATTCAATTATACGGACGAGTCCGATCCGGTTGCATGCTCCACATGAGAATTCTTCGAGTGCTCGACATGGTCGTCGGGGGACACGGCCTTGTGAGCCCTCGAGGCCTTCTCCTGGGAGACGTGGCTGAAGCGCCGTCTGTGCTCGTCCGTCTCTTCGTAGTTGATGAGAAGCTCTCCGTTCTTGCCGTAGCGACGGGGCTCTTCGCGAGCGACGCGTACGAGGTCGAAGATCGACGTTGTCTTGTGGAAAATGGTGTCCATCTCCTCAAGAGAGCGATATGCGGTCTCGGGGTAGAAGAAGTACACGACAGGGAAGATCACAAAGTTGCTATTGAGAGTGATGCCCAGTTAGTTCTCATCATTCCTATTGCTGTGTCAAGAGATACTCAAACTTACATAACAGCGAAGATGACATAAGTCTTGTACCCAATATGAGTGAAAGCAGGAGGGGAAATCATGACGACCGTGAAGTTGAATAGCCAGTTCGCGGAAGTCGACAGTGCATTGGCAGGAGCACGGATACGCAGTGGAACCTGGACAATCAGTCAGTTTCTCCAACGTTCTCAAAGACTCATATATGAACTTGGGGAGGCTCACGATTTCTGCGGGATACAACCAGGTCATGCCTAGCCAACCCCAGGCGAAGAAAGTATTGAAGAAGAACAGGAAAAAGGCGGCAGCAGCGGCAGCATGCGTGTTATCTTCAGCAGCAAAATGGACACAGATAGCCAGGGCCACCATGCCAACACACATGCCAGCCGCACCGATCAACATCAATGGACGGCGGCCTACCTTCTCAATGATGAAGATAGGAAGGAGCGAGGCAATGAAATATTCTGTTCCATTTAGAGCGGCGAGTAGACGGGATAGGAAAGAGCTCATGTGGAGGTATTCTTGGAAAATATTGGCCGCATAGTAAGTGATGAGGTTGATTCCAGAAATCTGCTGGAACATCTGGTTTACATAGGCCAACACGACACGGTGGAAGTGACGATTCTCATCCATGGTGAACAGATCACGGAAGGTCACGCCCTCTGTCAACAGAACGGTATCCTTAATAGCAGTGAACTCTGAGCGGACGTAGGGGTCGTCAGCAGGCTTGTCCAAGATTGCAGACAGGACTTCAGTAGCCTCATCTTCATAGCCCTTGAAAATGAGCCAACGCGGCGACTCGGGGAGGAACATGACGAAGCCGAGGATGATCAAGGCGAAGAAAATCTGGAAGGCGATGGGGAATCTCCACGAGGCCGAGTTGGGGTCGACAAAGTGCATGCCGAAATCAATCCAATAGCTGATTGTGATACCTGCAGTGATCAAGGAGCCTTCCATCATGACAAGCTGACCACGACGATGGGACTTAGAACACTCAGACTGCCACGTGGGCACGGTTGATGTATTTAGACCGTTTCCAACACCAGTTATGACACGGGCAGCGATTAGTTGGCCAAGTTTGAAAGGAGTGCACTGGATAATAGCTCCGACAACCATAATCGCGGAGCCCAAGAAGATAGTCCTCCGACGTCCGAGAGTGTTTCCAACGAAGATGCAGACGATGGCACCGACAAAACAACCCAGATTGTATGACGCCGTCATGATACCTGGGCAAAATATCAGTACTGGCCGTTGAAATACTACGAGAAGGAAACTGACCTTGGATAACGGAATGGTGATAGTTGCCCTTGTACTCCGGGTTTATCTCATCTGTGGTGTCAATGGATGGAAAGCGCTCAATCCATGATCTCAATGTTAAAAGACTCCCCAGAACACCCTGATCATAGCCGAAAAGCCTGAAAACCAGTAAGCTTCATTGCATTCTGAACACGGTCGAGGTGGGAACCTCAAATGCATACAAGAAATCAAGACCGGCAATGAAACCGATAGCAATATTGAGGTTTGTACCTCGAAGCCCGAGGTATGAACGAGCCTGACTCATCGTGGAAGTGTCTCTTCTTCAATCTCAAGAGGTAGCTAGTCCGTATAAAGAGGAAGGGACAGATTAAGACATCCGGCCGCGGAGAAGACTTGTGTCCAGTTGAGTCTTCGCGACATTCACGATTGGCAGGGTTAGAAGAGAACGAAAAAAAGGAAAAGATCAGGAAAAAGGCCAGGATGGGTTGCAGGGGGTTTAAAAAGAGCCGCTCCCTCTTAGGCATCATCAAGCCACTGTGCACCGTCATCTGCATCCCACCACAACACGACATAGATGAGGAGGGCCGTAATTAGCGCTACATCCTGGTCCATGTGTGACGACGGATGATTGGTGATCTTTCACCCACGATCCCCACGCTGGGGAATGACCATGGAGAAGGAGTCTCATCCCCATATTCTGTGACGGAGAAATAAAGGAAGGAACCGTAAACGAGACATCTCCCCATGCGCGCGGCCAAAGTTTCCCAAATGATCGTCGGGGGGTGTGGAGAAGCAGGCCAGCAGATTTTATTCGGGACTGGCTGAACCTTGTTGGGAGTTGCCAGTGATTGGAGAAATTGGGGAAAGCTGAGGTATTTCGCCGGGGAGAAGAAGAAGAAGAAATCGGAGAACGACGCAGATGGCGCTCCTAGACCCTGTCGCGTGTCTAACCTGTTTGGGAGAAGCCGACCTTGGCCATGCGCGCTCAGGGAGCCATAAGCCTTGTTTGTTTTGCTTGTTGCGACAGGGCTTGCTTTCAACGGCCCAACCATCTGGCGCAGGTGCGCGATCTGGGCGCAGTGCCCTGGCTTGTTCCGGTTAAGACGAGGTGAGCACATCTTGGTTTTTCTTGTCAGTCTTGTCGGTCTTGTCATGCATGCCGCAAGCCACTGTCATCATCGGGGCTTTGTGGGCAGATAGGGAGCCGAAGGGCGTGGGAATGCCTGGGGAACGATGACCCTTGGACCCTCGGGTGAATTTTGTGCCCGATGGCTCCTGAGAATGATGATAATAATTTTGGCATTATTATCCGACGGTCTCCTGAAATATTATTGGCTCGATATGATATGGATATCATTATGCTATCTGATGTTAATTACTGACGGGAACGGTTAACCGCGAGTCGAGCCTTTGCCCGGCCGGGATGTCGAGAGTCAATCAACGATAATAATATTAGGCCGGATCCCATTCGGGAAAGACGAGCGGAATAGTCATCAAGCAGTTATTTCACTACCAACAATCAGACCACAATGGTTGATTATTAGATGAAGTCCACACTGCTCAGTAGTCGCAGTAGTACCGTGTCGTAGCATTTTTGTCAGCATAGCCCATGTGCAGAGTCAACAGGCCCGAATCCTGGCAGTGCATACCTCACTCGGGACCGGAAGGGACCCGTACCAGCAGATGGCATCGTATGCCATGCATAGAGTATGCAGCCTCGACGGGGGACGTGGGGAATCACCGGGGATGTTGCATTACGGATGGCGATGACGCGTGGGCGGAAACGGGGATTCTCCGCCCTCTCAGAAAAGGAAACTAGCATCCCGCATTATATCACGTGATCGGCTACGACCGAAAGCTTATGCTGTACCGTACCGTATAGTATGGTGACATTCCTCCCCTTCGGGACTAGCCGTATCTTTGCCCTGCCCACCGCGCGGCATCTCCATTTTGGGCAACTCCGACCCCCTGAGTGCCTGGTCATTACGAACGCTGATCGCATGTCACCCAGAAAACCCCGGATTCTGCTGCGGCGATGCACGCCTCCTTCGCTGCCCTTTTCTGGGGTAAAATATGGAGTACATACTAGATATTGTCTCTGTATGGCCCTCCCACCCTTCCCAGAAGCGGGCGGAAAACTCCCAGTGCATATGCCCAGAGCCCGTACGGCCTCGAGCAACAAATGCTTGATCGTCCCAACTTGGGCTTTGCTCCGGCCAAGGCCTTAGGAAACTTAAAATGCGTACTTGGCATCAACTAACGTGACATACTGCATCTGCTTCATTCATACTCCCGTGCGATGTAAACCACGGCACGCTGTTCAGCGTTATAATGTGGGTGTCATTGGCCGGTCCATCGATCGGATCTGACCAACATCGCCGCTATGCTGCATCGTACGAGACTATTATCAATGTATCATAACGTGCATCGCGTTCCGGCCTCGGCTCATTACCCTCTCTCAACTCTACGGGAAAGGATCGTCAACTAGAACCTGCCATTCAAATTGCAAAGCTGAGCCACTTCCAACTCCTGCCTCTGTCGATAACTGGATTATTCTTGGCACTCTGAGATTCCGGGGCCCTCATTTCCGAGTTCCGATTCTTCGCCGGCCCTTGGGAGGTTGACTCAGTTTTGCCGAGATTAATCCTGCCTGATCTGAGAAGGAGTATAGGACCAGGAAGAAAAACATGATACGATCGTACGTATGATAGAGGCAGATCCAACGATGAGCATCGACGTGTTAGTAGCGAGCGAAAGGGGGCGGTCACTGAAGTCTTGGACGCTTTCGGTAACAACCCAGTTTGCTTGATGCCAATCATCCCGCAATTTCGCTCAAGTCATTCCCGTGTTCCACACGCACGCACGCACAAACACACACACAGAGAGAGAGAGAGAGAGAGTAAGAATCCGAACGAACGGGAAGATCATGAATTCCCTTTGCCTACCAACCAGCCGCGTCGGGAAACCATCCCCCGCCGCCACCAAACCCGTCGTCTCTGGCCATACCCCGGTTGTCTCCGGTACCCCAGTCGCCGGTTGCAGTCGGCTCGTCTTCAGCTTCGGCAGGCTTAGGGCAGCGTTTCACCGTGTGGCCCACTAATAATTACAATGCCGTCAGTGGCACTCAAGAACTAAATACATGCATACATGCATGTGAGGATCGGACTCACTTTCACCGCAACTGTTGCACTTCACCTTCGACCAGTCCTTCGCCTTAGGACAGTCGCGGCTGAAGTGTCCAACTGTTATTTGTTGATGTTAAAGGTTAACTTGCCAGTTCAACAGCGTGTCGGCCTACGAGCTTGGTCTTCTTACCTTCATCACAATTGCGGCAGGTCACAGACGAGACATCACGCGGTTTGTCACAGTCTCTCGCGATATGGTCCTCAGAACTGCGTTGCTATAAGCGAGTGTGCTTTGATAACCAAAATAACTTCGGTCGATTACTTACCCGCAGTTACGGCAGGTCCTGGGGGCACTAGCGTGTGGGCAGTCCTTTGCGAAGTGTCCGACTGTCGTAGATACGTCAGATGGCAGGTCTGCGAGGCCCGCTGCGTAACCCACTCTCTCAAGGGCATTTCATACCTTCGTTGCATTTCCTACACTCCACTCCGGCCGCAGAGCGGGGCTCGGTGCACTCCGACGCTTTATGCTCGGGAGATCTTCGGGATCATCAGCGATGTCTAGCCGTCACTTGAGCTTTCGGACATGGAAGAGGATACTTACCCGCAGTTGCGGCAGACATATTTGTCGCGGCGTGGTTCGGGACAGTCGCGGGCACGATGTCCGACGTTGTCGCAATTGACACACTTGACCTCGACACGCTCAATGACGGCCCGTTCTTCCTTGCAGCCTCTCACAGTATGGCCCATTTCTACCGATTATTTTGGTCAGAATTGGATGTTATTTCCACTGACAGTGTCTTTTAGCCCTTACCACCGCAGTTGCTGCACTTGGGAATCTGACGGTCGTATGGAAGACCTGCTTCCTCCAGACGTTTGAGATTATCCTCAACGGAAACAGGCCAGCGCTCTCGGAGATTCGCACGCTGAGGCTTGGGGCTAAAGAAGAACCCGACCACATACTTGCAGTCTAATTTGCCCTGAAGATTGATAATGCTCAGGCTTTCTCCAACCGGTTTCTCCTGTAGAGGAGATCAAACTATCAATATTGTGATTTTGTTCACTAATGGACAGTGTTCCCGCTTACCATAGCGATGAGATAGATTTTGAAGTCTTCCCCCCGCATTTTTTTTTCAATGTCGACAAAAGTCGCATCTGGAACAGCCTTGGAGTAAATCTTGAGTCCCTAATTCTTGGTCAGCACGTACTACTCACATTGAGGTAACAGTATTTTAGCCATACCTCACGGAAATCTTCAAGGTCCTTCTCGTCGCTGGCCGCCTTGAGGAGAGCCCATGCCTCCTCGGGAAGCTTGTCTGGGATATGGTTCAAGTCGAACTTGCGATTTTCCTTACAATCCATAGTCTTGTGGCCTTTTGGAGAAAGTTCCGTCAGTCTAATTTCCAATTATTGTTATTATTACTATTTTGTCCATGGTCCTTTCTTTTTCGTACCTTCTTTCTTGCAGTTCTTACACACATCAGGGAGTCTCTCTGGACATTCAGCAGCGGGATGACCTTCCTGGTTGCAGATGCGGCAAGGGCCCTTAAAAACGCGAGGCTTGGTACACTCGACCTTGGTATGACTGGTACTTTTCAGTATCACATATCGAGCAAGGAGCTATATTTTCGGTTATATGACTTACTTACCCTTCTTCACCACAATTGAAGCACGCCATAGGCTTGCGAGGCTCGGGGCAGTCGCGCGCGAAATGTCCCTCGTTACCGCAGCTAAATATATATGAGAAGGGAAGAAAATATACGCGTCGATGAGTAGGTACTTACTTGCGGCACTTGTCATTGCCTTGCATTTCGTTGGCAGAGGCAGGGTCATAGTCGGCATTACCATTTTTCAAGCCTGGTTCTTCAGTTAGTTTCTGGCTAGACTAAGGAGAGGCAGAAGAGAGCTCCTATTATGATTGAAACATGTGTGGAATATTCATGCACACAGACACAGCCGAAGGGGAATGCTGTTGCTTTACTCGGTCAAGGTGCCAGAAACATACCGGAGTCGTTGGTATCCCAGGCAGGGGCATCATCCTCTTTCCAACAGGAGCCGCCGCCCTCAGCCTCCCATACAGCTCCGCTAGCAGACCAGCCCGACATGATGACGGCTCAAGGGAAGTAAAGTTTCTAGGCAAGACAGTGATCAGCAAACGTTCAAGCCGGTATGATCTGTTACCAAGAGGGCTGAGATGCGAAAGCGAATGATGAAGAATGCACAGTCTGGCACAGTTGTGTGGACAGATAGACAGACAGACAAGACATCCACAGAATCGCAGACTCAAGAGGGGAAGGAGACAGGAAATGAACGCTTACAGAGCGTGTTTGTTTTCCAGAAGAGATACTCCAGGTGCTAGTTCCCTTTCCAGCCACAGCTTTGGGTTGGAACAGCCTCAAGAGGTCCTTGACGAAATGGTCAAGGAAGAAAGGAGGGAACGCAGCTGGTTGAAACAGCAAGGCAACAGGTCGAGAGGAAAAGGCTTTGATAGGGGAGAAAAAGCTGGAGGGAAAATGGAGAGATATGCGTCTGTCCTCTTTGTGTGGGATGGTGGGTGCCAGACAGCGCGTTTGCATTTTGCCTCTTCATTCACTGTGCGTCCTCACATTAGCCCAAGGAGGGTTTGAGACCTATTTCTTTGGATCTTGAAGCTACTTCTGAATTTTCATCGTCTAGGTCCACATTTTTAAGAGGTATTCTTGAATCTAGATACGTTATATTATAGATTGAACGCTTTTCCTTCGGCCTTTGAACCCCCCCCATCTTCAACTATCTGATATTGGTCGGTAAGGGAACAAAAACCTGCTGTCAGTACTTCCCACGCTGAAAGCAAGTAGTTTTAATTTTAGTTCAGCAAGCATCAGCCTTAAAGAAGTCTCCTGTATAGTTTATACAGGGTTGTTGCGTTGATATGCATCTCTCCTCATGACAGTAGCATGGACTGATCATGGTCGTGGAAGACAGCATATGATTTTCAAGCTTAGAACAAGTAAAAGCAAAGAGACATTCTAAACGGCATTTTTAAACAGATGAACGTAAATTTAGGAGCAATATTGACCATAGTAGACCACTGAAGGCAATTTTGATGCGCCAATCTGCATTGTATAGAACTTACAATATGTCATTTCGGTTTACAGTACTCCATTATCTTTCCTGGAGATTTTGCGATACTTGGCATAGGTATTTTTAAAGTCAATAAACAGTATTGCATGCAACAGGGTTGTATTAGGGTGCACAAATCTTGGTAGGGAGGAAAGAGAGCGTCAAACAAGTTATTATTACTGAAGTAGCCACAATGTTACATTTGTCATATATGGGATATTTAATGTCATATAGTTCAATACAACAGACTTCCATGCTGAAATCTCATTACGAAGTACTTGAAAGGGAAGCGTATGGAATGATAGTACAGATGAAGATGGAAAGAGGAATTAATATTGTATCTACTTTTTATTTCTCTTCTCATTCCATACATGGTTCTCTTCAGAAGCAAAGGTAGTAAAGCTACTCTGTACATGGGCAAAACAGATCATCGAAAGTCTACTGCACATGCAAATGAACAGATGCATAGCACCAATATTTTTTTCCCAACTTAATGTCCAATGAAGAGAACGCCTTATAAATATATCAAATTCTCGCTCGTAATCTCAGATTTGTCGTCATCATAATTTTATTTTAGTCCCCTGCCTCTCCTCTTTGGGCATACCTCAATTGTGGGTATAGAGGCACCAGTTTTCAAGCGCGTAAGCAATGCCTCCCGCAAAGAAGCTGATTTCATCATCTCCAATGTCGACATTGCCCTTCGCCAACCTTTCTGAAAGGAGGTGCTCAATCTTGCCCAATAGGGCTTCTGCACACCTTTGAATAGCCTCCGGCGCGGGGTCTGATTGGTGTTCTAGTGCCAGTTTTTCTTCACGCAAGGTCACAAGTTCATCGAACTCTTCCTTGACAACTAGATTGGGGAATATACCGATCACGTGGCGTAGCACCTGGTCGAGGTAGACACCGCTGGCACTGTCGCTGTTTTCGTCAAAGAACGGCGAGCGAAGTCGTCCACGCCGACAGTCAATCACACGACGGCGAAGATGTGATCGACATTCATCCGGAATCCCATTCATTCCATTCATGTAAGCAACGAAAAGGCGTTTATCCAGGTCAATAATGTCGCGCGTGTGTTCCTCGAGTTCTTCCACGATGGCGCTATCAATGTCATGGTAAGTACCGTAGCTTGTGTTCACTGGATCATCTTTCAAAAGTCGAAAATTTCCAGAATTTCGCGCAATCTCCATCATCTCATGGAAGGTCATTTCAGGCGCAGTGTCCTCCTGCTCCTCCTGGAGAGCAGGCGGGTCAATATAGCTCACATTAGAGTCGAATCGGACACTTGATTCAAAACCGATGAATGACTCGTCGATCGACTTGTCAGCGTTAGTGTGAGAGTGTACCATTTTGGATCTCTCGTCCCAACTCGGGACATAGTAAAGGTCGTCGTCCTCTTCATCTTCTGAGAAAGTTTCAGCATCTACTATAGAAATGTCGGACTCATAATCGTATGAGTCTGAGCCATATCCAGACTCCGATCCAGAATCCTCTCCACCGACTTCGTAAGGTTTCTTGAAAATAGAGTTCAGGAATGGAGGGAGAGATGATGCAGCGGCAGATATAAAAGACGGGACGGCTGACGAGCGTGCAGCAGTGGAAACGTTCGAGGTAACTGAAGTTCCATCTGAAGAGTAGCAGCTGTCTTGGGAAAGCGAGATATCGAGGTTAGAAAAATGAGATGACAGAGACTCCCAGGACTCCTTTTTAACACTCTGTTTGTCCATTTTGACGGGATTCCACTGGCGGTTCGGATATACAAAGCAACTTTCAAGGTGTCGGTTCGAAGAGAAGGAAAATATGCCAAATTCCAGTTCACTATCAGGGAATCATGCGGTGATAGTCGCTTTCAACAATTGGTGGAGAATAACTTCACTCTCCCTCTGCGGTTGCAGTATTGTTTAATTCAGAAAGACCCAAGATTGTTCAACTTTTAAACCCTGTACGTAAGAGGATTTTACTCGAAAATATATGGCTTCAAAGGCCTTCAAGGAATAGGTAAAAGAGCCCATGGTGAACTCGAGTGTGGATCGAAATCCCGCTCAGGGGAAAGTCGAGATGACCCTAACGATGGGAACGTAGATAGCCATGGTTTCAATACCGTTCCGTGGTTTTAAACGTTAAAATCGTAGACCGCACAAGACTGATGATGGCAGAGTATGCAGAAGCAATTCTCTTGGTTGAGTCCAGAAGAATATCGAGGTTCTGGATATTTTCTTGCTTTCAAAGGAAGGCTGTATCTGAACGCGTTTACTTTGCAATACATAGAGGGATCCGGACCAAGTTTGTGTGGTTCGAAAGCACAGAAGCCGAAAAGTCTTCACCCCACTTGAAGACCACGCGACTCGTAGTATTGTCAGACGAAGGTCAATTCGGAGACAATCAGATGATGCCAACAACTTCAGCCTGCTTCGACAGCGAGATGTCCGTTGGATGACAGGAAGCTGGCGTAAATGTGAAGAGAACCGGTTTTAGGGATATGTGGTGACTAACTGCCGGATGATGGAGGGGCAAGACTGTATATGACTGCAGTTCCCCCTGAAACAAAGACGGCAAAGAGGTGGGAAGGAGATGACGTGGCCGTAGAGAGATGGTAAAGAGACTTCCAAGAAAAGAAGTGAAGCACACTCCAGATCAGCAGAGCAGGCCAAGCGCGGTGGTATAGCGCTGTAATCCGTGGAGGAAGAGGAATTGCCTTCGTGTTGTCATCATCAGGTCGCCTGACTTCGCGGGAATATGTTATTCCGGGTGTTTCTGTTAGACCCAACTTGCTTATATTATCTCTATCTAGGTTAACTAGTCTAGCTATTTTAGTATATCAGGCCAAGCGAGGGCGGTCTACTATAGCAGAACGCACATGACCTCTAACACCTCCCCACGCACGAGCTAGCCTGACTGCAAAAAATGGTGCTAAATTACAGTGGGGGTGCAAAAATGTTAGCACCCTCTTTCGCGCTAAAACAACCGCTTTCCTATTTGGTAATACTGCCAGGCAAAATAATAAGTCGCATTCGCGTGTTTTAGTAAATATTCAACTATCCCATCATCTTTATAATGCCTGGTAAAGAACTCCATCCTACACTGCGTGCGCAGATATGCGAACTTCATTCAATTGGCTGGGGCTATAAGCGAATTCATGCAAAGCATCCTGAAGCCTCAATATCTACTATTCGCTATACCATTCTCAAGCAAAGAGTACGTGAAAAATATGCAACTTCACCTCGCAGTGGTCGTCCAAAAATCCTTTCTACAGAAGAGGAAAAGGACCTCCTAGAACTTGCTAGCCAGGATCCTCATATAAAGATGCGTGAATTACGAGCTAGTATTGAAAATCGTGTCTCTCTTGATACTATCCGTCGACTTCTTCGTGAACATAATATGCGAAAATGGCGACAAAAGAAACAACCTGAAATCACCACAGAAAATGCTGCCAAACGACTTGCTTAGGCTCGTCAGTAGCTTATTCAACTAGCTAAGCCACTCTACGGGTACATTGAATCTTGAAGAGGTGGTGTAGCTCCTAGGGGTTTGTCTACCTAGGGGCTCGGGACGGAATAACATAAGCAGGATGAAGAGTTGCAGAATGAAGTTTGTAGACTGGCCTGCAAACTTCTAGTTGCTTGCTGTTGGTATTAGCTGAGGGTATCCGAAGCCCTATATCGGGCCTAGCCCGTCACAATTTGGAAGGGAATCCACTCAATTGGGAAAGAGGATTTCCTCTATATCTACCCAACAGTCCACCAACAGGCTTTATCTTCATCAAATATCCAAAGTGGCTTTGCAGCAACTGGCCTAATTCCTTTTTTTCCAGAGAGAGTTCTTCAAAAACTCAATATCCAACTGAAGACATCAACACCACCATCTACATCAAACAGCAATCGGTCTTTTGGCATAGAGAAAACACCAGCAAATATATATCAGCTTGAACAGCAGAAGAGGCAGATTGAATATCATAAGGATGTTGTATCTCCATCTATTGTGGATGAAGCTGTTCAAAAAGTGATTAAAGGTGCTGAGATAATTATGCAGAATGCTGTCTTATTACAACACCAAATCAGTCAGCTTCAATTAGAGATTCAATATAGAAAGAGGAGGCAAAAGAGGACCAAACACTTTATTCAAAATAGAGGAAGTTTAACTGTTGCTGAAGGTAGAGAGAAGATTGAAGGAGAAAAGATTCTCCAAGAGGATTGACAACCTAGGCAGCGTCGGCCACCAACATGTAGTAATTGTAATATATTAGGACATACTAGGGTCCAATGTCCTAGTAAATTGATATAGACTATTTTTCAATGAAAACATTGTATGTGCTAGATGACTCTCAATTCCTGATGTGAATTAGAGTCATCTCGTCACACACCAAGCTCGGTGGCTGTGCTAATTCCAGACGGATTGCCAGGCTCTATTGTCCTTCAGCAGGTGTAACTATACTGCTGCGTGCCCGAATTGCGATTGGGATTCTCGTTTCTTTTTTTAAACTCCACCCCTAATTTTTTCGGTTTCTCTATTTTGATTATTTGGATCTCGATCTTATTGCTGTTATATAAATAGACCGCGATATTTCCCTCCGGTCTTTGACACCGGGGGTCCGTGTCGACAATGACATCTCTATTTACGGTTCAGGGGGCAGATTCTCCGTGTGCAGACCATTCGTAAGACGCTCTCTATGTTACAAATTTAGCATCTGCACTGGTGTGTTTGAAACGGTCCTAATAGAAGAGGTGATCCTCAGGGCTTTAGCACTCCTTCGCCGTGTCCCTGCATGATCTGAAACGAAACTCGGAAACCAGAACAAAGGAAAGAAGCCCCATGGGACTCTGTATATCAATACGGACTGTGGATTGTCTTCGTTATTGAGATTTAAAACGGTCCTTGAAGACGATGACAGCTCTCTATGGTTGGCTAGTCAACGTTCCGTCTCATGGGCAAAGAACAAAGAAATGTGCGCCCATTAGTGTTTGCAGCATTCAACCCACTCCTTCTGCAAGGATATCTAAATGTGCGAGACGCACAGTCAACCGATACAAGCTGTTTTAGAGACTAGCCTAAGGATATGAACTGGCCAGTGTCGATCGATATGCTTTGTTGAAGACATGCGGTGGCAAGACAATTATAGAAAACTGGTAAGATGTGAAATGAGAATTTCATTGAACGGTGGCTGCAGACTACAGTGAGTTTTCGAAGCAGACCACAAGAGGCTTGGATACCTAAATCCTATGGAAGTCGTCCAACCGTCGTCCCGACGCATGAGATATCCAGCCCGACAAGGCACCCCCTTGCCTATGCCAAAGGTCTACATGTGCCTAGGTGGGAATTCGTTACCTGCTAGCCATGGCGACTTGATCATGATTCGCCATTTACCGATGAGGAAGTAGAGTTATGACGATTTATACACATTTGCGTTCGTGAGATCGAAAGGTGTTTGGCCATCACTTCCTTGTCTTGCGTGGTCGTCTGGAAGCCAAAAGCCCATCATGTACGTCATGATTTGTTAGGGTCATTGCTGTCAACAAGGAATGAGTCCCACTCGCTTAGCTCTCATCTGTCCTGCTGATGCGGTTTGCACAATTTCAGGTCTGGACACGATTTACCTTTACTAGCCGGCCATTCACATGTGGTATGTCCGGGATCCACGAACGTTAGAGGGAGAGCATCTAAGCAGCAGAATTCTTATAGACCCTGTTGTCTGTCACCGGATGGACTGGAAGATTCTCAATCCATTCGTCTGTACTGGCAGTCTATGCCACCGTCTTACTGTTCGTCTTGAATGCATGTTCCATCCTATCTTTAGAGCAGATACAACACCTTCTGAAACTCGCCAGGCTAGTAGCTTATCTGCAACAAAGGATCATCTAGCAGTTCATCTTGTTCGCTTTCGTTGGGTCTACGGGGTTCCTTTAATTATCTCGTGTGCAAGCTGTGCCTACCTAGGAGACAAGAGTACCTTTATTACTTCAGCTCTTGACCTCACTGGTATTCAGTTATATTCCCCGGGAATCATCTTTGATCAGCCGTCCCGAAGCTACATTGACGCTGCGAACGGATAGCAGAGCCAATAAGATGGTCCTCCAGCGTCTTGGTCACTCGTTCAAGAACTCGCATATGGACTCCGGCAACGTTAATGGCGAAAGAGGTGTATTTTCGGATCAGCCCCTTCCCTCAAGCCCATTGACAGGGCGATGTGGCGAGCATCCTCTCATTGTCTCACCTAAACGGCATGGCCAGGATTTACAAACCTGGCGCAAAGGGCCATGCTATCTGCGGCAGGAACAAGATCCAGTCTCGCCCCCCGAGCAAAGCTCTGGCCCGCATGACTCTGTTCATACTGGTGTCTCAGATCCCAATATAGATGTTTCACCATTACCGGGGGGAGTTCTCGAGTCATTGTCCGAGTCTCCATCGTCTCCGCTGTCGAAGCCAAGCTGGGGGACCTCCAAAAAGGCTATAATCACTCTGGAATCCATCTATCTTCGGGAACAAGATGCTTGTAACCGGCTACAAAAGAGAAGTTCCTCTCCCAGCTCCCCGCAGCTGCAGAGAAACACAATGGCACACTCTGAGGCGTGGACTGAGCGGTTCCCAAATTTCAACTTTCACAGTATGGAAGAGCGGCTGCCATTATCTTCCGCATCCTGTGATGCTGCTGTGAAGCAAGAGAATATGCCCACAAGCGATCCTATGCAACTGCGTCTCTTCGCCTATTCCCAGTCAACAGACGGGCTACGTGGTGATCCAGCAGGAGTCGTGCCTCACTGCGATTCAGACGCCTTCAACCAGACTCCTATCGTTTCTATACCGCAGCTTCCAACCAGGTACCACACAGGGGAGCAACGACAGATGTATTTGGATCACCGGAGTCTTTCGGCGTTTTCCGCAACAGATCCGCCATCTGCCAACGACTTCTTCCCCTCCCCGCATTCATCAGATCTTGGATCCTCGCCATCGTGGCATCCTGATGAGACCCTCAGCACGTCCAGTCTCCCATTCACCTCCAATCTCCATAGCCACGATGCTGTGGCCTGGTGGTCGTCTGTGCCTTCTCGGTTCGCACAGGTGCAGGCTCCATTCCAGCCGGCAGTCTTATCACCGGCTCCCCAGAGACCAGTTCAGTATCTCAGCAGCCAAAACGAAGCGCTGGAAGAAAGATCCATTATGCAGTTTGGCTCTTTTGACATGTCCACCGCAGTGGACTCCTTGATTCCATCACCTAGCTTACTACCGACCACCACGGCTGCTACCGAACAGCAACGACAACAAAGTCCCTCTTATTACAGCCCCCAATCCGCCCACGAGAGATTTCCAGGGTCTCCTTATTTCAGCCCATCTCAGGCCCATCACGGAGCACATTCGCCTGCGATGAGCACGCCACCGAGGAGTGCATCGATTCCTCGTACTGTTGGAACTACCCACCGTCGAAACAGGTCTCGGAAATTGTCCATGCAATCCTGCGGTGGCCCACGACCGGCTAAGATTACAGGTAACGAGCAGCCTGCAAGTCCTAATAGCCCTGGTCGGGCTCTTACGATATCATTTGTGAACTTTACTCCGGAAGACAGTCACAAGATCCTGTCTGGAGTGGCTCCTAGTGGGAGCTCCAAAACGAAAGCCAGGCGAGAGCAAGAAGCGCGGGAGAGACGGCGAAGACTAGGCGAGGCTGCATTGAAAGCAGTGAAACAAGCCGGTGGAGATATCAGAGCCCTCGAGGCCGCACTCTGCTAAACATGCCTGTCTGTGTTTTCCTGTTTTATTTATTCATTTTTCTTCCTGGCTCTCTTTGCTCTTGTGTTAATGTGTGCCATCAGGATGGGTTATGAAGGGGATTCCTGCATTTCTGTCTCGGCTAGACGGTGTTCGGCGCCTGTGGTTGTTTCTGATCTTCGATTTACTGTACTATATGCTCTAAATACTGTTTCTAGAAGTATCTAACTGTCCAAACCTCGGCAGCTCTGTGAAGGTTAACTTTGCGATAGCACTGTTTCCTTGTTTTTGATGGAACACATCACAATCACGTAGCTGCTATGCGATTAATACCTGCAAGGCTGGTGGCGTCTAAGACATAGTAAAAATGAACCATGTAGACCAGAGTGTTACAACTGAGGATAATAATAGTAGTGCTAATTATTGTCTCTTGGATCATGATGAAAGAGAGTGCAGGATGGCGATGATGTCGAGGACAAAGCCAAGCGTCGTATCGATAAGCATCGCGGCGATCAGGCACGCGCGCTCTTTGTTTCCAACCCAGACCGCGTTCGCCTTCTCCTCCTGTCTCGCTCTCGAGCATCCTTCGACCACCCTGGCCATGGAAAAGCAGGGAAGGGCTTCTTTGCCTCCCTACCGCCCTGCCGAGGCTCTTCCGTTTGAACTCGCCCAGCATTGTGGCATCTACTTTGAGGAAAAGCTCTGTTTGTTCTGCCCTTCTCTTGCCATTTACTTTTCCAAGCTGGACCAGCTAACACTTCCCCTACGTTTGCTTTGCCGCAGATACCCAAGCGCTGAATCTGCTATCGAACATCTTGGTCTCTGGTGCTCCCGCCTGGAGCCGTGCCTTTGTACCTTCATCCGCACATCTTGCGATTGCAGTAACCCTTCTAGTCCATCCGACGACCACTACACGAGCCAAGACAGCAGAAGAAAAAGAAGCGCCCTCCGCAGCCTTACGGCTTCTGCGACTGGTCAATACCTATGTTGGCTCTATCTCAGCGAGATTCGATGTCGCGTTCTCGTTCACCCATTTCGTTTCATCACGCCATGGTACCCGGAGGCGAGTAACTGAGGAGGAGGAATTGTCCAATGAACTACAGGATGATGGGATGAAACCGATCGACTCTACTCTGGCCCAGTCAGCGTCACTGTGGTCTCGTGCAGAGGACTTTTGGCATGTGGTTGGGTGGGCCTTCAATTGCTCTGTTCTTCACCCTGAAAGATGGGAAAGATGGCATCTGTGGCTTCAATTCATGTGCGAGGTTCTGGAGGATGACTGGAAAGAACGATTAAGGCGGTTTGAAGATGCTATGGCAGAAGATACGGATCCCACCGCAAGCCGCCAGGTGCAGCATGAGCAGATTCTCAAAGAGAGCTTGATATTCAGATATCTCACTTCGGGCAGCGTCGGGTACGGACGAAGTCGCAGGATTCTAAGAGCTATTCTTGCCGATGGGAGTCCAAGCTCCGTGAATGAGTTCCATGAGGTGTTCAAGAACGAGCTGAAGATGCCAAAAAAAGAGACGGAAAACCTGAAGAAAAGAGCGGCACAGGTTAATATTGATGAAGATCAATACGGCGATTACCTGTCGAATGAGGATGATGACGGGTCCGAGGATTCTGCCGAAATCAAAAAAGAAGATGCTCTGAGGAAGTCGAAACGCTCGAAGAAAACCCCACGCAAACCTGATTCAGACGCAGATACTGGACTGGACTCCCCGGGAAGTTTGCAGCTTGACGGCAGTGTTTCTTCTCTCGGAGGCTTTACCTCCCTCGCTCTTCGTCAGCGCCTTATGTCTCTTCTGTCTAACGTCTCGGACCATTTACCTACAAGCTTTATTGCTCTGGAAGACCTTTACCACCTTTTTGTGGAGAATATCCGCCATCTTTCGCTTCCAGCTTTCCATGCCTTCATCTCTCCGTCTACACTCCCGCACTTTTCCCCTGAAGCCCAAACCACCCTCTGCGAGTTCATGCTCTTCCACCTGCGTGAGAGTTCGGCTCCCGACAGCGGCGAAGAATATCTGAACCAGGAAAAGCTAGAGAAATGTTTCCTACCTTACGCAGCGAGCAGCACCGGGGTCATTGATAACACCAAAATGTCAATTGCCCTGGAGTCCTTACTGGTTCTTCTGGCAGAAGGTGACCTTCTCGAGGTCACCCCGGAACTGAAAAAGGCCGTCGAAGAGGGCATAGCTGCTCGAGCTGCAAAAGCTCAGACTGACAATAGAAAAAACCGCAAGGTGGATAATATTGCATATAGCTGGTTGATGGAGAGTGCGGAACGGTTAATGTTCCTGGTCAATTCGCTCTTGGTGTGAAGACTCGCACGGTTGTGTTTTCATGACGGTAATTGCCTGAAAGCAGATTCCTCCACAGAAAGAAACAGCTCCTTGGTCAAGTCATACGGGCTGTGTGTTCTGCCATCGGCTCTTTAAATGTCCTATGGGACGCTCTCCGTGTCAAGAGATGAGCAACTGCTCCACTTTATGGGGAACATGAAGAATTCTCCCGGTATGGAAAAAGGCCGATCATTGTTGACAGCGGCTCGACGCTATTTTTTGATGGGGCTATACTACAGTCCTATATACATATCCCTGGGCTAATAATGAATTAAGGCCTTATGAAGACAATGTGACACTTTGACTGATCAGAACTCACTCTTCAGTACCTTAGGAATACACTACGGTTTATCCTGTACCCAAGGATAGACCGGGCACACAATGGATACGAAGCTCTGAAATGTGGAATAATATCCCCTTGGCTCTATACAAACGGGTTATGTTATGGCAACAGCTTCCTTTTGGTACCTACATATGTATGGTTAATTTGGCTTCTCGCTGTTGAAAAGATACCAGATATATCCATTCAGTTTCTTTGTCTATGACTCTCTTCATATGGCTAGACATGCATTCTCGTACGTACGTCAGTATCTAAAATATCTACCTACCACCTTGCCATTTATGGAGAATGGAATAAACGAGAAGACTGACAAGACGATACAAAGAACAGCAAGAAATAAAAGATGACGTCAACACATAAGGGGGGAAACGGGGGAATCATCATAGAAAGTCAAAAAGGCAAGAAAGACAAAGTGAAGGCGAATAAACAGCTATGGCTACAGAAAATAAGCAACAAGGATCACATGCTGTGATATCGACTGAACTTGGAAGAGCCCATCCCTAGAGTGGAGGCTTAGGCCCAATAATCTGGCGCTTCACTCCAAATCCCAGTCCAGGACCACCTCGATTCTGATTGTCGCCGCCAAGATAGCCATATTGGTGGACATCCCAGGCTCCTCCGCCAGGACCTGTGCCTATGGGATCCTTGAGACCTTTTGCCGCGGCCGCCTTGACCTGTTTTTGGTTCTCCTCCCATTCGCGCTGGCGTTCACGTTCGCGTTCCATTTCGCGCTCAAGAAGGGATTTAGATGCCCATCCTCCTGCACGGGTCTTCTGTTGAGATGCTATTCGGCGTTCATTCTCCCTGTCGACTTCGGCTGTCGTCGAGTAATCCTGTGGACGGTGGGTGGCCGGTTTCGCTGGCGCCGGGGCAGGGTTTGATGAGAGGAAGCGGTCCACGCGGTTCTCTCGGCCTCTACTGGCGTATTCTGCTGGGTCTGGGAGCGGCCGCGGCGACGTAGGCTCCGGTAGTGGTCGGGGCGGCTTAGGAGGGGGAACTTCAGTCGGGTCGGGGAGAGGACGAGGTGGTTTAGGCGGAGCAGCTGGCTCAGAGGCAACGTTCGCGTCCTGGTGCTTCTGCCATTCCCCCCGAAGAAGTCGCCGTTCTTCCTCAAGGGAGGATAGGTCATAGCTTGGTTTAGCAGGTACTGGTCGCGGACGACTGGGGCTGCGGTTCTCTTTCTCATGGAGTCCCTGTCGCTGGAGCTCGAACTCACGTTCTCGCTCCTTTGCAAGTTCGAGCTCGCGCTCAAGTTCCTTGATGCGCTGTTTCTCCTTGGACTCGGCCAGCGATATGCTCGGAGACGTCGTTTGGCTGGCGCGATATTGACTGAGGAACTGGCCATTGAGGCGAGCATCACTAATGCCTCGGCTTTGTTTCCTTTCATTTTCCAGCCTTTCCTCAACTGCTTTTTCTTCGGCAACTCGACGCTGCTCGTCTTCCTCCCACCTGCGTTGTTCCTCGGCCCATCGCTTGCTTTCTTCCTCCATCTCACGGCGCTCTTTTTCCCTTAAATGAGCTGTCTGTTCGGCCCATAGGCGCTCCTCCTCCGCTTTGGCATGTTTCTCTTCCTCCTCCCGTTCTCTCTGCCGTGCCTGTTCAGCCTCTTCAGCTTCCAAGCGTCGCCTTGCTTCTTCTTCCCGCCTGCGGTTCTCTTTTTCTGCCAAACTGGGAACTCTCGGCGCAGCAGAGGTGATCTGTCGACGGGCCCCAAAAGTGACACCTTGATTCCCTTGAGTTGCGCCGCCCATGTAGCCATATTGGTGGATATTCCAGGCGGGCATCGTCGTATACTCATCCGACGGCTTACTCCAAGTACTAACGGGAGCCTTTGGGGATTTCTTGGTAGCAGAAGAACCAGATAATGTTGAAGTTGCGCTAGAGCCCGTAATATCGGTGCCTATGAAACCGCCCTTGCTTTTTACGCCAATTGTGCGAGGGAACCTGCTAGGTTTAAGGGCATTTGCCCTTCTGCTAAATGCCGCAATACATTGCAACACCTGCAGGGGATCTTTGGATTCGTAGAGATCGACCGTAAGGAAAACGTCGTGAGGCGGAAGGCTGAGCGGAGGGATTTGACAGGCTCGAAGGAAGTTGGATATGTTCTCCATTTGCACAAATGGCATTGACGATTGTTTATACTTGACTCCAGGTGAAACAGCAAGGTTCACTAGTCTAGAAATGAGATGAATGGTTAGTGATGTCGGTTACAGGATGCATGGGAGCTCTGGGCGCATATCCTCGGGGACTCACTTGCACAAGGCAACTCCATCCTTCAAAGCATCAATCAGATCGCCGGGAGGCAGCCTCTCACGAAGCGTTTCTTCAATCCAATTCCTGACTTCAGCCGCAGCATCCGGGGTATATTTAGACAGGCGCAGATTGCGCAAGTCCTTATCCAACGACGAGACTGAAGCCATTTCCCGTATTGTTTTGAGCTCAGTCTATACGCATGTAGACTCGAGTTGCAGAAAGGGGAAGACAGAGAATAAAGGTGTCCAATCCGCGTATTGCCCAGCCCTTCTGGCTATTAGATTGATGTCGACAAGTGGCAGAAACGATGCGAACTAGGCAGATATCGGGTATACATCAGCAGGCTGACAGGAAGCCAGTCTTCAAGGAACAGAACGAGTGTGGATCCGTAGCAAGGTGAAATTGGCAATCCGTGAGTGCTGAGAGCAGACGGGGGCGATCGAAGATGAACGCAATATTTATACTGATGGAGAGGAGGAGGAAGTGGTGACAAATTGCGAGAGTGGCATTCTTAAATTGGATGCGCAGTGACCCGCCGCCGATGACGTTGGCTTCTTCTGCGACACCAGCCGTTAGGCTTCAACCTTTTTTGCTCGGCGTTGTTACGGAGCACTCTTCACCAGAACGCCACATCTTCTATCCTATCCTTCTGCTTCCTTTGAGGATACTCGCCTGGATCCAATGAGTCCGGTGAACAGTCTCTGGTTCAAGTGGAAGAGCCTTCGATTACCGTGGCGAAGATCGTTCCTGGTCGGTATGACTGACTGTCTTTGTTGGCCTTCTGGGTGTTTCACTGCCATTGACTGACGCTGACATTGTTACAGGGACTGATCTGTCTGGTAACACCTATTGGGAATTTAAAGACGCTTTGAATGCGAAACGGCTTCGGCGCATAGTCAAGTACAAACCTGGTACTCACTACGCAGACGTTAAGGTTTCCCGTGAGTTACGTCGACGTTTCTACTGTCGGTTGCTTTGCTAACAGCCTGCGTCTTATATCTGCAGCTCTATGGCATCAGTGGCTCCGACATGTTCGCCCAGATCCTCCGTCCCTTCAAGAGCAGCAGCAAAATGTTATCCGCCAGGTTCAAATAAAGCATCTGGCCCGACTAGCCGATGAGCGTTGGGCAAGCAAACCGTCATTCCTCGATAAGCCTCAATCCCAGCACCCGGTGCCTGCAACAAACTCCAGTGATGCAACAGTCAATGCATCTCAAGACCTCACTGCTCATACAAAAGAATCTCCCAGCTCTACGGTTCCGGGAAATCGCACAGAGCGCGAAAACAAGGTACAAGGAGACAGGGCCAATAAAGATCCCTGGGCCAAAGCAAAGGGTGCTCCCAGTGAAAACTGGCAGCCAGAATCATGGACACCAGCTGCTTCACGGAGATAAGAGCTTTTCATTGGGTTATATTTCTGCCATACAGCTCAGTATGCAAGGTTTTCTTCTCTCCCTTGGCTGGCAATCCTCTTGATACAAACTTTCTAACCCAGCTTAGCCAGAAGCACTAAGCGATAGGATTGTCAAATTTAGTATGCGTTATCAAATACCTCTCACGCTCCGGTTACACCTCTCATCTTGCAAAAAGTTATTTCTACATTATTAGATTCTTCTGCTACATGTCATAAATGGTTTGGGGTTTTAGGCCTATATATTCTATTACTGCATGTAACTGGTGGACTTTGTGCTGGTCCATCTATGCATTGCATCTATATGATTCTTTTGAATGTCTGCCATCTATATTGTAAGGAAATATGCATGGTCTAGTTGTTAAAACACACAGCTTTGATCTACTAATAGAACACCAAGTCTGACCTCTGGCACTTTTCTCTTGTTTTGTTTCCTTTTTTGGACAGAAGATCCCAAAGGATCTATGTTTATTTACTCTACACAAATAGAGCAGCAGCTGTCAAAGTTCCTCCAACTCCAACTAGCTCGGAAATCCCCTCTGCACCCTTCTGTCAAACTTGTTGACGCGCTCAATTCTAGGCTTGTTCCAGAGAGGCCTTACTTAGGTTGCTAAGGATCAGCCGGAATGGCTACATAGCACTTGGATCTTCACAGCCGAGAACCAGGTCATCTATTGATATGTAAAGTCATCAATAATTCATACAAAGCATACTCCCATGTCTTTCTCACAATGCACAATCGACCAGTATAGACTCTCAGCGCCGTCTAGGATCCTAGCGAGAGAGAGTAAGGGAAGAAACGTCAGACTACCCATCAGTGAAGGGTCGCGTCAATCTACCGGGACTTCTCAAACTCAACGGAGCTGTAGCAAGTGAACTGTAATCCACATTGTCGCTGACGGGGAATTTTCCAGGGTAACTCGCGGCAGATACGATCTTTTGCAAACTATCCAGTTCGAGAGCGGGCAAATCTTCTCGAGACGAGTAACTCGAGTTCGACAAGGCAAAATCCAATTGATCTTCGGATAGTATTGAAAATTCACGGCTCAAGGGGCTGAAGAGTGACATCCCCGGTACCAGCTCTGTGTATCGCAGCGCCGACGCTGCAGCGCACTGCGGAGCGCCCGAGAAGTGGGACCCCGTTTCAATGTCAGCGAAAGAACCCATATCCTCGGCGGTCGAGGAATGTGTGGATTCACTGTCAAAATTATCGGGGACAGCCGTAGAGCTTTGGGGTTGGGTTCTGGCGAAGATTTCCCGTTGATTCAGTGCCTTTGCTTGACGATTCGTTGAGGTGAATAGTCCATTCAGAGATAACGGTCCGGCGGAGCTCTCATGGTGAAAAGCAGCTGTGATATCTGAGCAAGATGGACGATACTCTGTGATGGTGCCATTGGGTCGTCGGTAGAATATTTCAGGTGTAGACTCCATGATGGATACGAGGATGTTCACAACGCATCGCTCCTTTCGATCGGTTGCTCTTCTGATAAGCCGTGGAGGCGATTTATTTCTTAAAACGAATTTAAAGACAGAGGCGACAGCACGCAGGGCTTTCAAGGCCATCAAAGCAATCAACAGGAGGAGGACCTGCCGTAAACTGATGGCAATGGGACGGTTATAGAGACGGTCATTGAGGACCATTCTGCATTCCGTCGTCGCGTGCAAGACGGGAAGTCGATTCGCAGCTCTCTGCAATTATCACACAGAATGAGATAGTTCCAAATCTGGCGTCACCAGGTCGACCTCAATCTTTGTTACTTCGCCTGTTGAAGCAGCGTGTGCTGGGAGAGAGGCATAGGGAAAGAGCCGGTCACTCTTTCCATGCTTCTTGCCTGTTGACGTACACTGAGGAATATATAGTAGCACATTAGTTTCATCAGTCAAAACTACGTTTTTCTCAGCAAATTCGACACGATTTTCCTTGGTTTCTGTCCATCTGGTGGTGATGACTGGAACTGGTAGTGTCGACTCGGAAGTCGAGACATGCTGAGGCCGAACTGTTATCGTCGCCTTTTCTCCACGCCATTTCCTGCATCTCAACTTCATCCCAAGGTCACCCACAGCCTGCAGTTCGCATCGGCATCTGACCCCTAGATTAATGAGTCTACCCTCCAGCCAGTCATTTCTGGGTTCCCTGTCGCGTACAATGTCTGCAGTCGAGGGATATGCACTCCGTCAGCGGAGATTTGCGCCGCTGAGTCCAGCCAAGAATACGTTGTCGAACGCACCCCCTTTAAAAGGGATCGTTTTTGATGTTGATGGAACTTTATGGTGAGATTGAGAACAAGAAAAACTAATTGATTGGATCGTCCATCCAGTGTATTTATTGTTTCTCCGATGGAAGGAAACCATGGCTAACGCGTGAGTTGAAAGCTTGCCGCAGCACTACATGTTCTCGGAAATGCGGTATGTGACCTGGAAGGACAAAGCCAGGGGAATTCGCCCTTTCTGACACAACAGGAGTCTTCCAGGGCAGCGCTGGGCATCGACAAGAAAGTCGATATTCTACACCATATTCGACAACTCCCAACTGTCGAACAGCGCAATGTTGCAACCGCTAAGATCCGGGCCATAGAGCGAGAGGCAATGCGACATCAACAGCCTCAACCTGGTCTCGTCCAGCTTATGGATTATCTTCAGTCTCGTGGAGTAAGGAGAGCCTTGTGTACGCGCAATTTCGAGTACGTTTGCCTTACCTGGCTTATGAGGTGTAATGGCTGGGAGTTAACCCACATCATGAGCTCTACAGAACACCAGTGAAACACCTCATTCAGAATCACCTCCCTACTCATGTCTTTCTACCTATCATCACCCGTGATACTCCCAATTTGCTCCCTAAGCCAGACCCGGATGGGATCCTGCACATTGCAAAGAAATGGGGGCTTGATAATCGAGCAGACAATCTCATCATGGTAAGTAGGATCTCCCTTATATCTTGCTTCTCTCATTAATGTCTGGCCCTCTAGGTTGGTGACAGCATCGATGATATGACAGCTGGACACACCGCCGGCGCCGCAACTGTGTTGCTCTTAAACGACAAAAACGGCCATCTGAAGAACCACGAACATACAGATCTGTGCATCGAACGTCTAGATGATCTCATTGAGATTCTGGAGACCGGCTTCGTTGGACACCGGGGTGGTGATAAGGCGCCTACCATGGAGCAGCAGGGGTAGATCTTGAAACCATCATGGCTGCTAGGATATGAAGCGTATCCCTTCTTAGATACCATGGTATTCTACAACGGTTATGTGGGCGAATATAGAACTTGAATAGACCCATATATCAGAGACCTTTCTCATTTGAGCAGTCCCAGGGCTTTCATTATTTGTCATGTCATGAATGCTTATACAAAACTTCTGAGAGGCATATCTCTTTCTAGCTAGCAATCAGTGTTCCGGCATTGCAATGTCGCGATAGATGGCTGTCCACGATTGCGCGTTTGAAGGAACAGGCAGTCCTCCTTTCTCGCTGCACGGTATGGAGTAGTTGTCACCACCGATGCCATGTGCGTATGCGTGCGGTTATCTAACTTGGGCCGACGAAACCGACCTCCGAGACTGCGGCCTGGATTTGGGCCCGAGTATCGAATAATGTCAACCATGCGTGGCCAAATAACGTAGGGTATAGCCGGCTGGGGAATCTCCGTCTCTTCAAAGTCTAAACCTGTCCCAGTTCTTCTTCGCCGAACTAGGCATTGGGCGGTAGGAGTCTCTATTATCGCCTCGTCTGTTTCTACCACCTCGTCCACTGCCTCGTGCGTTACGAGCAGGAGGCCCTGATCGGCCTTGTGGGGGGCCATTGGATGCTGGCTGCCAGCTGTCCTTTCCTCGCATCCTTCCAGGGCGCGGGTCGTTCGCAAAGGAATCCTGACGATCACGATAATCCTGGCGTGGGTTTCGAGAATTCCCCGGTCCAGCTAGATCCCTATTTCTGCCGATGCCACCGTCAAACCGAATGCTTCCACGATTCGGTTTGCGGCCAACACGTTGGAGCTTATTTGGATGTGCCATCATGTCATCGCTGTCAGGGGATGGTGAACGGAAATCAGCTCGACCCCGGATCCTCAAAGAGCGCTGATTATTTCTCTTATCCTTCTTCTTGCTAGGAACGACGGCATTAGTATTGGTTATCATGTCAGGGTCAAATCCATTCAATGTCCATGATGATGATATCATTGGCCTTGGAAGAGATGGACAGTCTCCGATCAGATGGCGATTGCTGGTGCAATGGGAGCAAGAAATAGAAACGAGCACAGGGCCTGGAGACTTGCTTCGTTGTGGGAGCTTCCACATAACGTCGCAATCGAGCTCCAGGTGCTCATTGGATCCACAGAGATCGCAAGGGACTTCGGATGCCGAGCTTTTCAGTGGCGAAGAGCACTGCTGCTCATCATGACCTCGCTCACGACATCTTTGGCACCGTCTCCATGAAGGGCAAAAGCTACTTTGGTGTTTGTTCCAAGCACCACAATGTACACACTGAGGATCGTTAGTTAGTACTGGTAGAAAGGGTCTGTTGCTTAATAAACAAAGAAAACGCACCTCCTTGGAAGGACACACTTCGGCAAGGTGGCCCTCCTGCAAGCATTCAGTACAGGCAATTGGCAAGCTGAGATCTATGTCACGGGCTTCATGGCCATAGTATATAAACTTAGCTTGGGTCTCAAAATCTTCGGAATTAAGATCAGCAAGCGCGACTGGCGCAGCAGGATATTTCCGGGAAGAGTAGTGAAGAGCATCCTCTTTCGACTGTGATAGGGCTGCATCAAGGGGGCCATCGCCATTGGAAGGCCCTCCTGCAGGGGTGGATAGCGGTCGGGGCTTACGATAATCTCCGTCCGCAGATGGATGGCCGTCTTCTGAGTCATGGGAGCCGACGTTTAGCATGATAGAATTATCAGCTTCTTGTTCTTCATCTCCTTCTGAGTCTTCTGAAGTGGTGTCGGAGTCGTCTGATTCACTCGGAAGTCTTCTTATATCGATATCGTTGATTTCTCCCTCCTCGACATCTCTCTTTCCAGCAATGTCATTTTCATCATTTGCGCTGGATTCTGATGCGCTGCTACTTCGCCAATATTTCCCATTGACTGCGACGAACTGCGACTGCCACGGGAATCTTCCCTTGCCATCATCTGCGTTTGTCAGTGGCTCTGTTTCGTTTCGGCTCTCTCTACTCCCATCATCTGGTGTAACGTCAATCCTCGTTGGTGAGCCATCTTCTTCTTCGTTTGGGGGATCGGCATTGGCTGAATCAAGCCCATCATTGTCGCTTGGGGAATCCGAACCCGAGCTTGATGTGCTGTCCGGGTCTACCTCCAACACGCCTGTGGCACTGAATGTGGCCCCTTGAGGGACAAAGTCCCGGACATCTCGACCAGTGGAATCTTTCCCCTTAATCCTCCGTCTCTTAGCCGGATTCGCCTGTTTCCTGTCCTGAGAACTGCGTCGCGACGAGTTGTTCGAACCAGTATTGCTTGCGCGAGCACGTGGGAGGCCGACGGACGCGGTTCGAGAGTCTTTCTCATCACCCGATGAATCAGGCATAGCGTCAGGGATTATATAGGGCTATAGGTAGGAGGAAAGAGAGCAGCTAGGTATTTCTCGTAGGATATCGCTGCCGTGAAATAGATCGCAAAAAAATGTTTTATGGCGGGCAAGAACTGACCAAAACCGTGTCGGAGGATTCTAGCAGGCTCAGGCTATCAAATAATCTAGTGTGCCACGAAGCTGCTCATTGCCAGCTTTTGATGATTATCGATGCAAGCGCGTCTGGCAAGCCCGCTGCGATGATGAAATGGACGTTGTCCGTTTGTGCAGTAAATCAGCTGCCGCGCACGTGACTTACCAGACGACAGCTTTTGGAAGCCCTTTTGTCCGCGCGGCCAAATTGGATTCCTGTGGTTCGCTCCAAACTGTCTTTCTCTCCTCTTGTTCTCGAACATTCAAGACCCGGCGTGTCCGGTCGTTTCGTCCTTTCTGCATATTATTCCCTTGTCGCCGCCTTTTCTTTTAGTAGCTCCGGGCGAGTTCCCGTGACCAAACCGCAGATCTCACGGTCGGACAACCTTTCTTCTTCTCTTCTCCCAGACCTTTTGGACTTCCGAAATTGAGTGTCTCTCTTTCATAGCTGAAACTCGGATCTCTCTGCCTCTTCCTAACCTAATTTTTATCATACTAATCTTCTCTCGATTACAAATACCAGTCTTTCGACCGTACTCTTCCCGAACTCCTCTCTTTGGACATCGGTTTTCTTCCCCTTTCCTTATATTTTACCGGCAACACCGCCAAAGTGTCTTCCCTCCTTATCCCCCGTACTATCTCCTTCCCTCCGGAAGTTGACGCCGGTCATGATCGGCTAGTCCCGGAGTCGAAGATGAGACACAGCAAGTCCGGAAGACGGAGGAGGTCCAGTAGCATTATCTACCAGGAGCCTCCGGAGTCAATCGAACATTGCAGTGACCAGTCTGCACTTCCAAATCTGAATGCTAACTGGGTCAATGCCAAAGGTGGGTCTATTGTCTCCTTGCTGGATATGGTGATAAAACAGGCAAAAGAACATGGGAAAAAACTGACATTCTTCGGTCTGTTCCTCTTGTAGGTGCATGGACCATCCACTTCGTCTTGATTATCGCACTGAAAATCTTCTACGACATCATCCCTGGGGTGTCCCAGGAGATGTCATGGACCCTCACCAACATAAGCTACATGTTCGGCTCATTCATTATGTTTCATTGGGTGCGGGGTATCCCTTTTGAGTTCAATGCTGGTGCCTATGACAATCTCAACATGTGGGAGCAAATCGACAATGGGGATCAGTATACCCCGACCAAGAAGTTTCTGCTCTGCGTGCCTATTCTCCTGTTTCTCCTCAGTACCCATTATACGCATTACGACCTGACATACTTCTCGATCAATTTCCTAGCCACCTTGGGGGTCGTCATTCCTAAGCTTCCATTTGTATGTCTACCCTTTCCCGCAAGGGCCCAAGATGATCATTTGCATACGTCGTATCTCAGCTAACTCTCAATGCGCAGTCACACCGCTTGCGAATAGGTCTATTCGACGAGCCGGAAGAGTGATACATATCGTTTTGTTTTCTTTCATTAATATTTTCTAACCGTTGTGCTCCGCTTAGCGTTTTAATCCCCCATTCTTCTTGTCTACGCTCATTACCCCGCTTATTCATTATCGGTGAATGTGGTTGAAGGCAATGGGCGTTCGTTAGTTTTGTCGGAGAATCGTCTCCGTAGATCAGGTCCTGCGAGCATTTTGTGTTCTTTCTCTTCCCTTGCCTTTTTTGCTGTTCCAGTTTCGAGTCTTGATATTCCCTGCATCAGAGGGTCGTGTATTTGGACCGGTTTGCTGTCCTGTGACTTATACAGTCGTGTTCTATCTTTCCTAATGGGTTTTTCTTTAATGGTGAAAAGTAGCATATAGCCATATCAATGCAATCGTGTCGCCAGACTAGCAGATCACACCTAGTGAGCAAGTGACTGTGGAATTATCATGTCTGCCTAGTCAATTTCGATGTTCCGCGATCATGCTACCGTGCTCCATAGCATATTACCCTAACAAGCCATTGCATCATAGCGTGTATCGCCAATGCAGCAGGACGGACGCCTATGCAGACCTCGGCATATTACATGATATGCAGCGGCTGACGTAGACCATGTTGCCCCCGGCCAATGACTGGCCCGTGTCAGCCCAAGAAGCGGGTGTGACATTGACGCTTATGTACCGTGATGGAGGCAGGGTGTAGAGTGTGTCCTCAGTCACGGCTATCTCCATAGCAGGTATATGTTCTATGACGAAGATTACTACGGTTATTATTGATGGATAATATGATCTGAAGTAAGCTACCTAGATGCTAATATCACCATAAATTGGAAGGGTGAAATGGAAATGAACGGTCCACCAAGTGGACCAATAACGAAAAAAATAGGGCGCCCAAAGTACCGACTGGCGTGGAGTAGGTAATAATGAAATGCCGGATCTCCGCAAATTGCTCGAATAATTGGAATCGCTAATAAAAACGAAAGGGAAAGGGGCTAGTTAGCGAATGGCAAAAATTATAAATTCTAAAAAACAAATCAAGACGGGTCGCTCTATGGCGCCGCTGGGAGTCGAACCCAGGTCGAGACGGGACTTGTGTTTAACCACAACGTCGCATGATAACCCCTACACTACGGCACCTTGATCTGCTTGGGGACCGGTGGGTCCAGCTAAGCGATATATAAACGAGGTTGTTTCCTGTCCCACTTTTGCTAGATTCTATTTCTGTGTACGGAGTAGTATTCGCAGATACATCATTATTCTCCTTCATATCCTTCAACAGAGAGCTGGTAACATAACGTGTCTAGGTCTCATCTAGATCAGACAGCTCCATTCATTGGAGGATGTCGGCTGATCATACAATGGAACTGGTATATAGTGGCTGCTCCCGTGGCTTCCAAGAATACACATGGAAGTTTCGCGGTCCAGGTGTACTCTATGGAATTCTCAAAGACCATGGGACAAATGAATCATGTAAGAGTGCCCAATTCTCGTCTATGAGCTGGTGCATATGAGAATCTTGCCAATGAGCTGCATTCCCGAGAGCCCTGTCAACACCCTGGCGCTAAGCCCCATCACTGTTGACCTCTCTTGCTCTCCAAAAATTTATAGATAGAAATATGAGAACCTGTGAAAATGACGCCAAAAAACTACCGCTACCGAGGCCAGAAACTGCTGCCTTTCCACCTGTAACTTCCAGCAGCAGCAGCGGATTGCTCCCACCGCCCGTTGTAGCAACCAGATAGCTGCCGCCTTTAGACGCTCATTCTTCACCCTAGCTTGATGCAAGCAACTTTTGGGACGGAGCACCATTCTGATCAACGCCGTGTTCTATCATTTGCCTTCATAAGGTGCTGCCCAGTTGTCTTTTACAGGTGCTCACTAGATCCTTATCGCGAGCGTTTTTAGGCCAACTACAATTGGGCCTCACTAGTCTTCTCTAGAATCTACTATCTAGTACCTGCCATACACCTGTCATACATCTGCTCTTGGGTGTACCTTCTCTTGCAAACCACCGTGATGCCTACTTGGTCGGGGAGATTTACCAACTTGTTGACCAGTCCAAGTTCAAGTTCATCTCATTCTCCACCCATAACGACACATTGAACCGGAGGGAAGAGGGCCATAATGACATTCAGACCATGTCAATTTGTAAGCCCAATGGGACGATTCAGATGTCACGGTGAAGCAGGGTCTTGTGTGTCATCAACTTCTGCAGTCGATTTGAAGACACTACCTCGTTCTGGTCGACCACGCAAGCTTACTGAGGAGGATCGAGATCAGTTGTATGATGTTATCTCTACGGAGCCATGCGTCAAATACCAAGATCTGATGGATGAGGTTGATAATACGGTCAAAAAGGAATCAATACGCCGCCTCGTGAACGAGATGGGTCTCCGGAAATGGCGCCAGCTTTCTCAGCCAGCTTTATCTCGCCGCTGCAGCGGCCTGGAGATGTTCATCACAGTCAGGATGTTTGCGTGTGGATATCCATCGCTATATCCGCTGGTAGACCTACCTTGGCGGCGTAGCACTCCGTGCAGGCAGATTGCAGGCGCAAGGGCTTTCGAGCGCCCAACATGGTGATCACTCTGGCGGACAACGTCCGTACAGTGCAACGCAGTTGCAGGAGAGCACTCTAATCAACATATATCGGCCAGATGCTTGACCGCCGTCTCGTGGTACAATTTGGCTGTTCCGAGGCAGGTGGTGAGACGACGATTGTGTGTTCGTATTGGAGAAGAGAGAAGAATCAGGTACAGTAAAAGTCTTGTATGTTCTTGGCTGGCTTCGGCACACCGAGATGCCAGTCTTCTGTCGGGAAGTATGGGCCTTAGGTGGGAGTTGTTAGAAGGACCCCAAGATGAGGCTAACTAGCTACCAAGGTTCCACCCGCACATCATGAATTGGGGCCTCAGGCATACAGAATTTCTTCGATAACTAACCAAGGGATTTTTCACAGCAGGTCAAAAGTGGCTGTATTGATACTGAAGACATTCCATTGCCAGACATTCCTGAAGATTGCAGGGCCAGATTCAAGAAGGTTATGGAAATGTATGACTTCACTTTTCTTGCATAGTTACAAGGTTACAAGGCACTGCTGACAGCAGAATAGCTGGGATAAGGACACCTCAAAGTACAAGGTCGTAGACTCGATTGAATCGGATGATGACTTGGGTGGACATGTATTCGTTGTTCGTGACATATTGGTATGTACAGAGAATATATCGACAAGAGACAAAATCTCATCTTAATGCAGATTGGAAATCCAAAAAGTCGACTACATACATCGATAGTAACACGATACAAGACACAGCTAGGACAACCAACTCAGCGAGTTTGACCCCATCAACAGTCCTCACTGCCGCCCGAGTCTTCACGAAGACCAGTGGTTAGTTTCTGTACAAAGGCTACACGCACGTTTTACCCCTTCATATTCATCCTTACGCGCGCCTTCGAGCTTCTCGTAACCGGTATCCGCTACTCGGCCCCGTGACGCCTGCCTGGAAGAAGCCAGCGGCAACACTCCTAAGGGAAGCAGGCACATCCTTACTATTCTATTCGCAACCATACCCTTTCACGGACAGGACAGGCATCATAACAATTAAAAGCCTCGTTGCAGTGGGTGTGCCACCCAATATTACTATTAATTACAGGGAAACTCCTTGTGGACGGATTTCTCACCAAGTCCCATGAACTATCAGATGTGTCCTTGCCCGCATTCCTCACTGGATACTGGTGGAACCGCATGAAGGAGGTACTATCAGACTAGACACCAACAGAGGAGGGGATTAAAAAAAGTCTATGAAATAGAAGTGGTTCTGGATACAGATTGATGGGATTGTAAGAGATGCCAAAGTGCATACTCATGGATATACTATTAACTATAGCTCGACACTGTTAGGGCACGGCTACGGTGGAGCCGGAGCGGGTATGAGCCGATTGGCTTAATGACTGGCCCACTTATGCCTTATATAGGGCCAATCATGTCGCAGCCCTGCAATCTGGAGCTCTTCCAGGTTGCTGGTGGCCTACAGGCAAGACAAATACAGAAAAACCTGATTATAATTTGGACAGGCACTTCTTTTGCTGAATAACTGTAGGTTTGTGAGGAGAACTGGAGATGAGTACCCAGGACAAGCTTGACAAGGTCAGATATTCAGTCCGTGACATAATGTAACCACCCCGTAACTAATAAGAATTCCCATAAGAGCAGGATGAGTGCTATAGGACACAGTCTAACAGTAACAGTAATCTGTAAAAGCCCCTAAAATTATTCTTGAGCCTCATGATGCATGGACTCTCTGAGTTCCTAGATGTCTAAATTAAGAAGGAAAGTTAGATCTGTATCCCAGCTTGATAAAGGAAGAACGTACCACACACCACACCTTGGTCCTCGAGGAAGAGGCAATCATAAACCCCATTCATCACTGCTTCATATAAACAACAACAATAATGTGTAAGGGTTCGAATATAAAATTCATTTTCGTACTAAATACACGAAGGATTCCTTGTGAGGAAGAAGAAGGGCATTCCAGCAACAAACAGAACAAATGAAGCAAAGAGACAGACAGAAAAAATGGTATAAAAGGGAAAGCAGAGTTGTCATATGCCTGGGCGTAGCCCATGACATAATGTATGTATGCCACATATAACTATTATATGGAGAAGTCCATTAGGCCTTTCTCAGATGAACTACTTCTGGATTCCACCAAGTTGCTTTGACTGCTTGTTTGTATCGATGGATCTGTTGAATCCCATTGAGCAAAAAAAGGCTTGTCATGACATTTTAAAAAGATGATTATGGCTGTAAGAGATAAGGTAAGAGGTATGAATAAAAGGCGAGATGCATGTATTAAAGTGGCCTTTTATATATACTCTCATAGCTGAATTCACCGTTACTCCTATTCACTCTAGAGTGGCAAATGATTTCTAGTCATGCATCGGTAAGAAGTACCGTGAATAGATCAGATCATATTTGGCATATACTCCTGATGGGACTGGTACAACAGACATGCATTTTATCTGATAGTGAGTTTCAGGACAGCCCAAATGGAAATCAAGCCTGAGTCGTGTCCATTCGCTGGTACTAGTATCCTGTAGACAATCCCTATGAAGCACTTGTGTAACAGCCTGTAGGCAGACGAAGATTTACTAGAACCATGAATGTTGTTTCTATCCTTACTTCAGTAATATCTGTGCTGATCGAGATCATAAATATCCACAGTGTCATCGTAACTGCAAGCAGCAAGGGCTGGAAGGAATCATAATAATGTGCATCGTAAAAGGAAGAATGGTAAAATCATCATCATGATAGACAAAATTATGTGTATAGCAAAAAATGCATATACATGCCGTATTCTTTTCAATATAAACAAGGGTAAAGGAAGTAGAAGGTGGGATTTGATGTTTCACATAGCACAAGCAGAGAAGAAATAACGCTTGATCGTAATAGATGACGACGAAAAAAAAATCAATAGACAACAGGCAAAGACCAGAGCAGAAACAGAATGGTATTTATCATGAAATTAAGATTGATGTCATGAGCACAATTCCGAAATAACTGCAGATATACATGCATTAGATGACGGCTTGACGAGAGAGACAGAAGAAGAATCTTCTTTCTTTTGGGTATCAAGTTCCCGAAAAGAAAACGGGCAACAACAACAAAAAAAAAAAAAAAAAAAAAAAAAAAAAAAAAATTAGTAATCGTCATCAACGCTTTGTACGGGACTTCCTCAATAGCGAGTCCTCTTCGAGTGTCCGGGGCTGTACTGATTGCCGCCGGCGGAAGTAAGAGGACGAGGGCCAGTAGGTTTTCGGAGAGGAGGTGTGGAGCGCATGGCAGAACTCTAAACGGCGGGCGTCGGTTAACTTCAAACACATTCCAAAAATCAAGGATAACATCATGAAGCATCATATACGTACCCGTGAAACAACACGATCCACATAACTGGATCCCTCATCTTCATTGACCTTGGGAGGCCGCTCCGGAACAAGCGGGCCATCGTCCCTGAGCTTAGGTGGCCTTGGGGGAGGAGGCGTCTTGCCAGTTCGAGAGGTAGCTTCCGAATAGCCAGCATCAGAAATTGGAGATAGGTGGCCTCCGTTGCTGTACCGATTTTGAGCGGCACTAGCAGGGCCGACCAGACTGGGGTTGGAACCCCACTGATCTGACGTGGGCGACACTGGACTTCTAAAGTCATAAGCCTGCGACTCCAATTGAGACTGGTAGCGCCCGGACGGGCCCTGTCGAGGCTGCGGGTGCTGGAGATTTAAACTATCCCGGTGAGCTCGATACTTGGGAGTCTCCGAGACCTGCGATGGAACCAGAGGCGACGGAGGCCGATTCTCTTGTTGTTGCCGCTGATCATCCAAGGTGTGCGTCGACCGCAGTCTGTCGTCACCATGAGGGTCATAAAAGCTCGTCTTGTACTGGTCTTGAGCGAGGTCCGATCCTGAACGTGACATGTCAGAGTAAGGGAGGTCCTTACGAGGCGGCTGCGCGCTGTTGCGAGTATTATCTGCCGAAGATGTCGTAGTCTTAGACCAGCGAGATATCTTGGGGAAGAAAGACGAGCTGCTTGATTTGTGTTTCCGAGCTTTCTCGGAAGTCTTCGGCGTCGTCTCGTTGCTTGCCGAGCCTGAATTCAGCGCGATCTTGGGGGGAGTATTGAGAGGTGCCGATTCCGCCCTTGCATGGCGCGCTATGTACTGCCCGCTCGATGGATTCGAAAACTGTCCTCCCCCCCCTTCGAGTTCCATATCCTCATCTACTTCATGGACGGTGCTGACACGATGCGCAGAATCCCTTCGTATGCCACGAGAGTCGGCAAGCGGACGTGAAGAATTAGAGAAGTATCCAGACTGGTTTCCCGGGGACGACGTCGACGTGCCAGCTCGGCCTTCCGGCTCGTAGCCCTCTGGATCTACACTTGCAGCCTGAGGAGCGCTGCGAGTGGCTCTATCTCCTTCCTGAACAGCTCGTAGGGCCTCGACTTCTTCTAGTAACTGCTCCAGCATCTCCTCAATCTTGGTGAGATCGTTGGAAGACTTCAGGGTTAATCCTTTCAGAGCGCGCTTGAAAACATTCCGCCGTTTCGTACGCAAATCTTCGCCTTCTTCTGACCCGAGTTGACGCATGGTCCGCGATCCACTAGGGGGAAGAGGCCTGGGACCCCCAATAAGTTTTTGTGTCTGCTCGTGCTGTTTGCCCGATGTTTCCATGATAAGTCCATCCTGGTGAGCAATGAACTTCTTCATTTCCTCAAAGGAATTGCGCATTTCTGCCGCGCTTCGGACAAGGGTTACCAGGATCTCGGTGTCTCGGGCATTCCGTTGAGCATCGCGAACGGTAAGCTTGATCAACAGTCAGTCAAGAATAGCAATATACATGAAAGGAACATGCCACTTACATGATCCATAAGCGCAACGATGTCCTTGGATTTGATTCTCTCGATACCTCTTCCTGTGGCGCTGTCATACAAGGGTGAGGGAATCCCATGAGAGTACCCGCTGAGGTTTCTCTGGTGGGAAGTTGCTCCGAAAAGATCATCCTCGATTGGGTTATCGAACAGAGATACGGGATTTGCGTTGAGACCACCGAGGCCCTTGCTTGCAGGCTGTGGTGAGCCGATACTCGGCGAAAGTGGATTAGCAGCAGAGACATAGCCCTCATCTTTTGCCCCTGGCGGAGTTGCAAACAGCTGTTCACCCATGTAATCGTCCGGCTGATTGAAGAAACCATTGGAGTCATAAGTAGCTCTGCGGACTGTATTGGAATAGCCGTGGTAATCGTAACCCATCTGATCATTAGCTAATTCATGATCGTCGGGGTAAGGAAGCTGATTAGCTTTCGCAGACGTTGGATCGTACGACCAAGGAACTTGGGCCCCATGAGGCATCCCGCCGATTGGTCCCTGGATAATGGAAGGGTTGGTATTGATTTCGGACTCGGTCTCAGGGCTATGACCGGCTTCGTGATCGGGGCTCTCGTCATAACTCACGTGAACTGGAGCCTGGTGTTCTGGTTCTTCCTGATTTTCAATCGACTGCGCGACGCTCTGTGGAGGCGAAGTGGTATCTATCCTCTTAGGAAGCGAGATGGCACCAGGACTAGCAGCATCCTGGCGCTGTTTCGTAGGAGCTTCCTGAAGAGAAGTATGCTGCTCTCTCATCGTGTCTTCCCTGGGCTGAGGGGTGCGACTGGCCGATTGGGATTCTTGATTACCAAGGTCAGGCTGCGACCGGTTCGCTGGTACCTTGGAGACATTTGATGTAACCACGGAGGGATCAAGGAGAGACGCCACTGCTGATTCAACCGCCAGCGGTTGGAAGAACTTCGGATTTGCACCACGGACATCCGCGACATGCTGACCTTGGTTAACCTTTTGCAGGTAATCGACCTCACTGTCGTCTACATGGTGAGCGTCTCTCAGGTCGATTCTGCTTCCTTCCCTAGCTTCGGAATCTTGCCATCCTCTGCTGCCTTGCGAGGGCCTGGGCGACTCCTCGTAACCGAGACCAAGTCCAGGTTCGTCCTTCGCAAGCTCGCTCCGACTGTCCATGCTGGGGCCCAGCCTTGTTGATCTTGCAAGGTCTGTACTGGGTGCTGAAGACAGAGACTCAATTGACAGATGCGGCTCCAGCCGCCTCTCTCCTTCGGAATCCGCGTGTCCTTGTGGCACTTCGGGATGCCCCGTCTGAGTGTCTTCAGTCCTACCACTAGCAACACTCTGAATCGGGCTAAGAGTCCGTCGTCTGTTTGAGAAATCCGAGTGTTCATCTGGGGTTCCATGGAACCCCGGATCGACACCAAGTAGATTGGCTGCGGCTGCCTCTGCGACATCCCCCGAACCAAGCGTTGAGTCGCTCATGGGCGAGGGGCTATGTTCACGTAAGTCATGATCGGAGGCATCATGAAAAGATAAATTGTGACTCGACATATTGCTGTGATGGAATCCCAGAGGCGAGCGATGTGAGACACGTGAACTGGGACTGGGAGATGCGTTCTGAGCTGGAGATCCACGGGCCACATCCCTTACTCTGGTATCTCTGGCAGGTGTTGATGGCTCCGCGGTCTTTTCAGAAAGAAGCGAGTCTCTGGTTAAGCCCGAGTCAATTTCGCTATTCAGCGGCATTGGAGGCACGTTGTGTTTCTGGAAGACTAGCTCGGTTTCGTTGACACCCAGCTCGGTCTCATTAGGAGTCCCCGTTCCGCTCCGTGAAGCTCGGCTTCTCCCGTGGTCTAAGGTGGATTCAGAGTCATGGCGCGAAAGAGCAGCTGCCGTAAGAGCCGTGCCAACCCTTCCAGCCGCCTCTGCATCCCGGAGACTCTTGCTCTTCTGTCGTCGTAAAAGATCCTTCTCAGTAAGATCGGGTCGAGAACCTCGTTTGACAAAAGTCAACCCAGCATCCTTACTGGGTTTACGGTCTTTGGTTCCCAGTGATCGATCGGTGGATGTGTGTCTAGTCACATCAGGGGCACTGGAATGCTTCGACAAGCGTCGCCCTAGCTCCCCTTTGGACGAGGCGGTTGCCAAGGGGCGAGGCGCCAGGTCCCGTTCGAACTTGGATGTGTTGGTAAGGACCTTCTGATCTTTCTTCAACTCCTTCAGCTCTGGTAAAATTAGCCTCCGGATTGCGTCTTCCACAGTCTCCAGCAATTTTGGATTGTTGAGAGATGACTTGGAGGACCGGTAAGAGTTCTGGTCCGCTGAACGTTGGTGAGAGGATGTGACTGATGCGCTGAGCAGGCTCGAATCCGGACTGCTTAGTTCAATTTCACGGTGACGGTTGACCTTTCGTCTGGGGGCTTTGGTATCCTCTTCCATGAATAGGTCTTTGCTTCCGCCTCTGTTCTTTCCCGAACGCCTATGCTTGCTGATTGAGATATCCCGTGGCTCACTGCTGAGCTTTTCAGCCACACGGTGTGCGATCCGTTCTTTACTCAAGCTACGGCTTCGCTGCCTAGACGGGGTTTTGAGAAAATCCTTGGACGCACGGGTCGCTTCTTCTCTGCCCAAGCTCTGACTGCGCTTGTGTCGCAAGAGTGAGGAAGTGGCATCTAACATGCTGTCTGGGGGCATGGTAGATATTTCAGACGCCTGGTTGACATATCTCAGGTCTGAAAGCTCGCTGCCTCGGTCACGATCCATGAGCTCGATCTCCACCGGCGGACGAGGTGACGCGTGAAGATCTTCGACGGAGAGGGAGGATGTGGAACTCTGGGCATCACCTCCCGCCAGCTGTTTCTGTTTCGAGGGGGGAGACCCGAGGGAAATGCGACGTGTGAAAACGGGTCTCTGGGACCCGACCGATTCAGAGATCTGGACAGTGTCCTTCTGGTCCCTGGATTTTCGCGCACCGGAGGGCGTGACGCGGACGCGGACACTGGGTCGCGAAGTAAGGGAACTGGAACCCTTCCCTCCCTCGAAGTACTCGATCAGGAGGGAGGTGTGGGAGTTCTGTGAGGGCGACAGCTTGGAAGAGCCTTCCCTGTCACGACGCTGGCGCTGGAGAGGGATTGTGACGGCTTTTCCGTCCTCTGGGATGGAATATGACGTCCTGTCTGTACGTCGAGAAATGTCAGTTTCCAGATCAGTTGGGGTAACGCTGGTGCCGACGAGGGAATCAGTCGGTGCGGGCAGGATTGGTCTGCGGGAGTCGACGCCCATCACGTAGGGGAGGCTTCAGACAGAAAAGGGCATACTCGTGACGGGATCCGACAGATCTAGGTTACTGTGATGAGATGAAGGGGCGATGTTTTCTTTTTTTCTGGGATGCAAGATAAGGAGCAATCGCAAGGATCCGGCCTGGGGACTGACACTGTTTCCCTCGGCGCTTTCGGTGAATGCAGGCCCCGTTGGAGAGTGGTTGAGATGAGATCGCAGGGTACGAAGAGCCAATGGGTTGAGATGTACCGCTACAAGAGAGAATAGGAAGAGATGGACAGAGGAATTCTCCTCCAGGAAGAAAGGAGGAGTTGGGTTCAGCTGCAGCGATGCGTCGCAGCAATTATCGATGAACACGATGGCTGACGGGGCCGATAGGCCAATGGGAGGTGCAGACGACGTTGGACAGGGAAGGGGTAGTATGTAGAGTCAAAAACAGGAGGAGATGTGAGGTTGAGACAAGGAGGCACAAGTGACCAGGGCAATAGGAATAGAATAGGAACACTCTGTAGGAGCAGAAAAGAAGAAAGGCAAAGAAAAGGACGATGGACTGCGAAAAAAAGAGGCTGGTGATACTTCGAGGTCGCACAGTTGGCCTTCGGAAGGGCGATCGACAAACTGCTCTCCCACTGGGCATCGCCGCTGCTGCTAATGCATGCCGGCCACATCTTCCCAGCCTTCGTCTTTTTTAGAATCACAACCCAATATCACCGGCATTAATATTGCTATTATTACTCTACTTATTGTCGGTAAACGCGCCGTGCAGCATGTCTGGCACCAGAGTGGCTACCTGAGGAATCCTACTACAGCGTACGGAGTATATACGGAGTATTAGTACCTACCAGTTGGAAGTGCCGTACTCTCTGTGCATGGGCAGAAATGATCCGAAGTTGCTCGCAAGCCCAATCCACCGAATACTGGCCGTACAATAATGCTAATGCCTGCCTTCTATCTGCTTATCGTGCATGTCGTCTTAATGTTCTCATCCCTAGATGCATGTAAGAGTCGGTTAAGGAGCCTCTGCAAGGGGAATTTGCGTAACAGCTACACCTAACAAAAAATAAAATAAAACAGATAATCCACTGCCATACGTTGAACCGGCCTTGTCTAGAACGGGAAAATAAAATTAAAACAAGCCAACCAAATGCATTTCCATCTACATTGGCAGATGGGTTTCACTCCTTTTGGATCTTCCTAATATCACATGACTATATATGCTATCGGCACGTGACTAGAGTAATTTTTGTTCGCAAAAACTGATGTTCCGGCAAGTTACTGTACGGCAGAAAAAAAAAAGTCAAAAAAATACAAGCAGACAGGAGTCTATCGGGGATAGATTCACAACATTGCGGGAGATCTATTGATCATATTTATTTATTATTCATATCCTCTTCTTTGCCAATTCACACTCTGGTTCCTTTCCCAGGAAAGCCTTGACGTCTAATGAAAGACAAGATGCCGATTACGGTGGACTCGGCGAAGTCCATCTCGAAGAAGAGAAAGCGAAAGCACGGTGGAAATGCGCGAACCGGTCCCGAGAACAATGGCGATGTCGCAGATTCAGTCGCAAAAAATGGAACGGAGTCTGTCGGGTCCTCGCTACCGGCGACTGATCTGAACAAGAAGGACTCTGCTGTCTCTATCCAGAAGAAAGCGAAGGCGGAGAAGTCATCTAAGAAACGGAAGGTGGAACACTCTAGCAGCGAGGAGGAAGAGGAAGAAGCAGAAAAGGACGTTTCAGATGTCTCCGACCGTGATGAGGAGGATGAGAATGAGGCTGATAGTGATGAGGGTGAAACACATGCGAATGAACATACGCAAGAAACGACAACACCACAGGCCGCAGATCTTCCCTCGTTGGATTCAGTGCGCCTCCCACAGACGGATAATGAACCTCATAAGTTCACAGAATTGAATCTTTCGGAGAAGACCATGAAAGGTATCCAGGATATGGGCTTCGAGACCATGACTGAGATCCAGCGACGTGCAATCCCTCCATTGCTTGCTGGACGGGATGTGCTGGGTGCGGCCAAGACTGGATCCGGAAAGACTTTGTCATTTTTGATACCCGCGGTTGAAATGCTTAGTGCGCTGCGGTTCAAACCGAGAAATGGTATGTTACTGGTCCTCTTTTTTTGTTTACCGTTGTGGAAGAAATCAATTTTGACTAACTGGCTCGTCTACGAAGGTACCGGTGTCATCGTTGTCTCCCCTACACGAGAACTTGCCTTGCAGATTTTCGGTGTTGCCCGAGAGATTATGGCCCATCACTCTCAGACATACGGCATAGTCATCGGAGGAGCAAACCGACGAGCAGAGGCGGAGAAACTTTCCAAGGGTGTCAACCTCCTTATTGCGACTCCGGGACGTCTACTTGACCATCTGCAGAACACGCAAGGCTTTGTGTTCAAAAATCTGAAGACGCTTGTCATTGACGAGGCGGACCGAATTCTCGAAGTTGGTTTTGAGGACGAGATGCGCCAGATTGTGAAAATCTTGCCTGCTGAGGAGAGACAGACGATGCTGTTCTCCGCCACCCAGACCACCAAAGTCGAAGACTTGGCACGGATATCCCTACGTCCAGGTCCACTATATATCAACGTAGACCATACAAAGGAGCACAGCACTGTGGAGGGTTTGGAACAGGGTTACGTGATCTGCGAGGCGGACAAGCGATTCTTGCTACTTTTCTCCTTCCTGAAGCGCAACCTGAAGAAGAAGATTATTGTCTTCTTTTCGAGCTGCAACTGCGTCAAATATCATGCGGAACTACTCAACTATATTGATCTACCGGTGCTTGACCTGCACGGTAAGCAGAAGCAACAGAAACGGACAAATACTTTCTTCGAGTTCTGCAACGCGAAGCAAGGGACATTAATCTGTACCGATGTTGCTGCTAGAGGTCTAGATGTTAGTTTACCCATGTTTTTGAGTCCGATTTATCCTCGATGTCTAACTATTCTTCCATAGATTCCTGCTGTGGACTGGATCATCCAGTTTGACCCTCCAGATGACCCCCGTGACTACATCCACCGAGTTGGCCGGACGGCGCGTGGTGCCAATAGCAAGGGCCGCAGCTTGATGTTCTTGCAGCCGTCGGAGGTAGGATTCCTGAAACACTTGAAAGAGGCGCGAGTCCCTGTGGTCGAATTCGAGTTTCCTGCGAGCAAGATCGTCAACGTCCAATCTCAGCTCGAGAAGCTTATTGGCCAGAACTACTATCTGAACAAGGTAAGCAGCTATTCTCCCTCGTTGAAGGTTGGACTTCGCAATACAAGTGCACTAACACGAGTGAATACAGTCCGCTAAAGACGGCTACCGTTCATACCTTCAGGCATACGCCTCACATTCCCTCCGCTCAGTCTTCGACGTACACAAACTCGATCTAGTCAAAGTTGCCAAGGGCTTTGGTTTCTCGACTCCTCCACGCATCGATATCCAGCTTGGCGCGAGCCTTAGCCGTGACAAGAAACAGCAACAAGCTCGGCGGAGCTACGGTAGCCAACCGAAGACGAAGGGGCTGAAGTTCAAGCGGAAGCATGACGATGAATAGGGTGTAGATATGTGTAAAGGGATATAGAAAAAAAGAAAGAAAGAAATACAGGGTAATACTTTTTTCTTCCCCGTCAACTGTCATTTGCGCGCGTTTTACCCTTTTGTTGTCTGGGATTTTTTGGAGTTTTCCCATTTCCCCTCACCCTGCAGAATACTGTACATCATAGCACCTGTTTATCTATAAGAAGCTAGCATGCACACGAGTATTACATACTAGGGGATTTCTCTACCATTAAAAGGCAAGCCAGGCTCTCGAGTAAATAATTCTGTATCTACTTTGCTATGAAGTTTCCCATCACGTGATTATAGGGCTACAAGCAAGTTAGGGCTAGGTCCACCTAGGCAACATCCTGGTCCTTATGGATTGACGTTGGGAGTCTACATAGGTCATCAGCAGAATACAAGTACAATGTATGAAAGACTAGTGGGAAAGTGAGATGTGATAAACAGATTACCACTTCACCCACTTCAATGTCTAGATAATAACACTTGCAATTATATATCATTGTCCATTCCTAGGGGATTGTGCTATCCTCCCACATAATGCCAGCCGACAGGGAATCTATTCCTGATCAGGCACAGCAAGTGTGCATTTCATGTAAGATACAGAAGAGGGAATGCAATGGACTTCAGATGGGATGTTTTAGTCAGTTATTATTATTTATATTTTTTTTTTTTTTTTTTTTTCCCTGATTATAATCCTGCCTGTTCGTTTCTCTGATATCTGACCATCGATAGGCGTTTACCTCCAGCTCCTGGAGGCACAAGAAGCAATGAATAAGTCTGATCGGATCGATTTCAGGGTATTTCCATTTCCGTTCAGAGATCTACATCATCATTATTATTGCAGGTAACATATCGAGAGATCAGAATGAGGGAAGCGGCTTGGCTGGTTCCTGTTATGCTTAAAAGGTTAAAAGGCCGTGATATCACATCCCTGACGTCTTCATACTTCTGATCATACTTCTGAAGACGGCCTGCGAGGCGCCAGTATACTTTTGTATACTCCGGACGTACTAGCATAGCCATGGGAAGAAAGTGTTGACGCCATGATCACTACCTAAACCGACCGACTCACGACAGAGTCGATCATAATTGTCGCCCGGCCGCCAGTCAGAATGCGCACTTTTTAACAGTTGAAAGCCCCCCACAGTCATCGTGCTGCGAACTATTTTTAGCAGTGTTGATCACCATGGGTCTTGCGTGTCGCAGGCTCAGGTAAGGGAAAGGATGAGACGGGATCACTGTCGCTGTTCTGCTAGGCGTGCAGTGAGAATTGTGCTTTAAGGTACGGGTACGAACCAGATCATAGATCGCGAGGGGCCCGCGTCTCATTCACTGAACCAGCCAGGCGCCCACGTTGTTTCCAGGGAACGGCGTTGTGCAGGACCAAGTGCAGTGTTCCCAGATGGCACGGCATACAGTATTACAGCTATCACAGCCGTGAATGTGCAATGTACGTACTCCATAATGCGGTTTCACAGGTGAAGATCAACTGGCAAGATCCACGGACGGATTCAGGTTGTCGTGCTGTCTCCTGCTGCTGGAAGAGCCGGAAGAGGCTTGTCGCCTCAGAGGACGCGTGTGCAGGATGACCACTCTTTGATTCCTCCATTCTCTTTCACATTATTTTATTATCCTTCTGTCTCTCTCTCTCTTTTTTCTCTGTTCCTTATTATTATTATCATCAAGTGCTAATCTTAAAATAGCCCATATTAAAATTAAATGTGAGTCTGCCGAGTGCATCCGTCACGCACAGCCTCATCTCCTGTCTCTGCAAAGCACCCTCTGCGCTGTCTTCCTCATCCTAACCGCTGCAGGCTGTCGTCTCCTCTGGACAGCGGTAGGCGTCCATAATCATCAATCCTATTTCCTCCTCGATCCTTCTATCGCTCCATCGTCCTTCGCTCGCTCCATCCCCACCCCATCTCCCTGAGCCGAACCGGGGAAACCAACCAGGCCAGATCTCGGCCAGACCGCCCGGCTTACTGTCCTGTCTCACTTCTCGTCTCGCCTCCCCCTTTCTTCCACCTCCACCACAACCTCGTCGTCCCGCTTGCTCGCCCTCGTCGCTCCTTCAATTCCGTCATCGTTGACGCCTGCGCTCGCTTGAACTTCGATTCTTTCAGCCTCTTTCGTCCTTTGCAACATTCCCACCCGTCGCCACTCGTTGATCTGCCCCATTATTATCCCGCTTCTTGAAGAAGTCGGTGCACGAAAACCACCAACCGCCTTCGCTGGTGCAGTCCCATGCCGCTGTGAATCGCCATCGTTCGTTCTCTCGTTCCGTCACTTGAATACGGAAGGCTTCCACTGGTTCTGGGACTTCTGTTCCATGCGAGCGACTCTCTGCGCTTAATCCTTCCCCCGTGCTGCCGGTGCTCAGGAGTACTGTCTTTCTCTTCAGTACGGCCATCCCCCCTCTTCTTCCGACGTCGAGCATATGGTGGCCTTCCACCGCACCCTCTCTGCGATGCGATTATTCCCGCTTTTCGTCTGGGCCTTCCTGGTCCTCTTCTCCCCCGCATCCGCTACCAGACTGATCCGCTCGAACTCCCTCAATCTCTGTCAGCAGAGCACGAATTTCACCGCGACTTACTTCAGTGCCATATTTACACCCAACAACAGGTCTCTTCTCTTCAACTTCGATGCAGTCTCGCAGATCACTGGCTACGTGACGGCCGATCTGACCCTCACCGTCTATGGCTACGAAGCGTACAAGAAGTCTCTGAACCCGTGTGAATACACGGATATGTCAGGGCTGTGTCCTATGAACGCCGGCAAACTTGAGCTTACAAACAGTCCCATTGACGTGCCGGCGGACGTCATCGATGATATTCCTGGTAAGCTCGTCCAATCTTCATCGGTATTCGTCTTGACCCCCTCCTAACACATGCTCTCTCGCCCTGTTTTCAAGGTATTGCCTATACCGTCCCCGATCTTGACGCTAAGATCCGTGTCGTTATTAAGAAAAATGACACCAACGAGCCGATCACTTGTGTTGAGGCGAACCTATCCAACGGCAAAACCGTCTACCAGCCCGGTGTTTCATGGGCCACTGCCGTGATAGCTGGCTTGGGTATGGCTGCCTCTGCCATTACCTCCGGCCTGGGGTACTCCAACACGGCCGCTCACGTGGCGTCCGGTGCCCTCTCCCTCTTCAGCTTCATGCAGACCCAGGCTATCTTTGGCATGACCTCCGTGGCCATGCCTCCGATCGTGGAAGCTTGGACTCAGAATTTCCAGTGGAGCATGGGTATCATCCGTATTGGCTTCCTTCAGACCATCTGTACCTGGTACCAACGCTCAACTGGAGGAACCGCTTCGACCCTTCTATCTGAGCTCTCGACGACATCCGTAGAAGTGCTGAAGCACAAAAAGAGGTCCTTGGCCTCGGCTGCGGAGTCGATTAGTGGGACTCTTGTCAAAAGACTTGCCGACGAGGGAAAGGCTACTTCGGGCAACGCTGTCGTCCGCGGTATCGCCCGTGTCGGTTTCAAAGCCGGGATTGAAGAAACGAATATCTTCATGACCGGATTGATTTTTTTTGTCGTCTTCGTCTGTGGCGTAATGCTCCTTGTTGCTGGGTTCAAGGGTATCTGCGAGCTTCTCGCTAAAGCTGGGAAGATGCAAACAGACAAGTTCCAAGAATTTAGGAATGGATGGAAGGTTGTGATGAGAGGGATCTTGTTCCGACTGTCCTTGGTTGCCTTCCCTCAAATGACTGTCCTTGGTTTGTGGGAGCTCACCCGGCGCGACTCCCCTGCCGAAGTCCTTCTCGCTATCGTCATGTTCCTGTCGGTTTTCGTGTCCCTGTGTTGGGCAGCCGTGAAGGTCATCCTTTTGGCAAGACGATCTATGGCCATGCACAAGAATCCCGCCTACATTCTATACTCGGATCCGGCCTGTCTGAACAAATGGGGTTTCCTGTATGTTCAGTACCGGGCTACCGCGTACTACTTTCTCCTTCCCGTGCTGGCCTATATTCTCATAAAGGGCATGTTTGTCGCGCTCAGCCAGCCAGCACCCGTGGTGCAGACGATCGCTTTTGTCGTTATCGAGACCGCAATGCTCATTGCCGTCTGCGTTCTCCGACCCTGGATGGACAAGAAGACCAACGCCTACAATATCGCCATTGCCGTGGTTAACTTTGTCAATGCCATTCTCCTCCTATTCTTCTCCAATGTTTTCCACCAGCCCGGTATCGTGACGGGCGTCATGGGCGTTGTCTTTTTCGTGTACAATGCAGTCCTCTCACTTATCCTTATTATTCTTGTCCTCGTCGCGTCCGTGTATGCTGTCGTGTCCAAGAACCCCGATACGCGTTACCAGCCAATGAGGGATGATCGGAGCTCTTTCATGAAGTCGCAGGGCCAGTTCACGACTGAATTGGACGCACTGGGTGCTACCGCTCGGGGCGAAGAGAAGACCACGTACAAGTCTAACTTGTTCGATGAAGACAGCTCGTCTTTCTCCAGCGGAAATGGCGCTACCCTTGGCCGTGGCCACCATTCCACATCTCCTGTGGCATCACATCACCAACCAGTCTCTCCTGTTGATACGTCGGTGCCACTATTCCCCAGTGACTCTGCTCCTCGCCGGTCTCCATCACCATACAATAACAATGCTGCCTACCCCACAGATTACCGCCAAAGATCGCCCGTTTCACGAGTTGATAACAGTCCATCGCCTTGGGGCGGATCTACAGTCACTTCGCAAGTTCCCCCTTACAGGGCTCAGAACAATACAAGTCCGTGGCAGAGAGGGGCCGGGTACGAGCACTGAAGTGGTTTCCGCGAAACCACCTTGGTACTTCAAATAATTTTTTCCTTTCTTTTTTTTTTTTTTTTTTTTTCTTTTGAGATGACGACATGGCTTACCGTGGGACTGGCTTTTCCTTGTATGGCCCGTCCTCACTTTTCCGAGTTTTTGATTTCTTCATTTTATTCAGCTCGAAACTTATCCGAGCATCCGCACAATTCGCGGCGGGCAGTCTCTCTCTATCTCTCTTTTGCAATTCCCTCCCTTTTTATATGTATTGTGACATATTTGAGATTTTTTTTCTTTACTGTCCTATATTGGGATCTGTTTCCGTCCTCTTCAGGATTTACTTTTATTTTCCTCTTTCACCTTTTATATCATCATGCTTGGGCGTTGTAATGCATGAATCGTTATCTCCGGGAATGGATTTATTCCTGCGCCGCGGGACTTGTGGGTTGAAAACTGTATCATTGCGAAAGAGAGGTTATATTCTTTACCTTTTGTACGCGTGTATCTTTTTTCTTTATCCAACGTCCCCTGAAAACAAATGTACAGTTTTTTTCGAGTTATTCGTTAGGTACTGGGAAAGGCAGCTTAATGGTATTATTCACTTTTGCCGGCGTCTGAGGACGTGTGGTGTTAGGATTGAGTCTCGTACTGTCTAGTGTGTGGAACGTAAAATCTATGAACCGTGCTCCCTGAAGGCAATTGAACAGAGCCTTTTGGACTAGCATGCGAACGCCGCATCAAAGCTCTCATTCATTCCTTTTTAGATTCAGTAAAAATCTGGTTGGTATATGATTTGAACAAGGAACTGGAAACATGGAAAAATAAAAAAAGGCACCAATCCCACTCCGTTAATAGCCACAAAAGAGAAACAATGCAAGCAAGCTCATTTCTTCTCCCCCAAACTAGGCGGAGGCCCCGAAAGATTCGGCGGAGCACCCGGCGCACCACCAGGTGGAGGCGGAAGACCCGCGCCGCCAACGGGACTGGGACTGAAACCCGCTGGACCAGACTGGCCCGGAACCGGCATGGGAGGGAATCCAGCAGCGCCAGGAGGCGGGATTGGGAAGTTCGGAGGAGGGACGAAACCACCCGGTGGCGGGGGAGGGAACGCTTGGGCACCGGGGGGCATGTTTGGGAGGGGTGGTGGAGGGAAGCCTGCTACCGAGGGGGTGCCGGGGGCTTGTGAGGTAGCGAAGGGAGGAGGAGGGGGGAAAGGCAGGCCGCGGGCACCGGGGGCTATTGTTGTTGTCAAACGTCAATTCTTTGTTTTTCTTTAATCTATAGAGAGAGGAGGGGGGAGGTAACGTACGCGGTGGCATTCCTGGAGGTACAGCAACACCAGGAGGTGCACCGAATGGAGGAGGAGGTAGTTGACCAGGTCGGCCTAGAATTGGTTGATATTGGTTAAATCCTGCGTTTTCGTCCAAAGATAGTCAAAACATACCCGGAATGCCGTATGGGGGAGGAAACGCTCCAGGGACCATGGCAGGATTGGGAAGAGTCTGCCCCTCGGCGGCGTACGAGGACGTTATGGAATCGATAACAGATTGTGCCTTTTCCTGTCCAATCTCTGGTTTTCGAAGAAGTATGTGAGTATGTATATCACCTGGGAGCTTAAGATGGGGACGAGACGGGTGGTCCTTCACATACGTTGATAATACTCCAGCACGTTCCTCAGATGATTCCTACCCGCATTGTGTGCCTTACGCACGCTCATCGAGTCATGCGTGAGGTAGACATCGCAGTAGTCGCCTACGATTGACAGCAGAGTCAGCGGTAAGCTCTGCCAGAGTCCCAAGGATAGCGCAGAAGATTTGCGAAGCCACCTATCTTCCCACCCGTACGGGTAGCAATGTTGACGAAAGGGAAGGGGGAAAGCCTACAGAAGAGTGCAGTAAAATGTCAGCATTACTCGCCTGTTCAAATGTAAACTGGGGGAGTAGACTTATATTTTGGCATCCTGGCTTGCAGACGACTTTCCAAAAGAAGAGTGCGCAGGGATCCTCCCGGAGTCAAATTTCAGCGCTCGAGGGCGCGCGTCGTTCGGTCTGATGGCAGCGTAGAAGCGAGCAAATAGCCGCGTATACGGGTATAAAACGTATGAAACGACGCAAGACCGCAAAGCGAAGATGGAATTGAGTACTCGAATTGCTTGAAGCCGGCAAACATCTTGAAGGGAAGCTCGAAGTATCGCGACGGTAAGGAGACTGGATTGGTAGGCGGTATTTACTGGCAGAATATGCATGATGACTGATGCTTGATCGTATTATCACGTGATCGTTATATAGGAGTTGTGCCGAACGCAAAGCATGATCCATCCAAATCAAGACAAACTATGCCGTGGCAGGCAATTGAATCCTAGAGAACGATGCAACGGCCATTCTGAAGCTGAGGTAGAGGCATGACTTGACAGTATGACCTGAGCGCAGATACGAATACGAGAAGAATATTCGAGAACGGGGCCTCGCTTACAAAATGAGAGATTGATTAACTATATGGATCATGTGGTCATGGCAGGTAACAACGGTCACGGGATAGTCATGGAGACTTGAGAGCGCAGAGTCAGATCACCTAGGTGCTTTGGGCTAGTATCCGGCAGGACGCAAGAGGAACAGGACCTCCGCATGCGCGATTTCTCAAGGGACCTTGAAAGCCGACACTGAACAGCGGGGTAAGAAGTGGAGTGATCTCAAGGACCGGGAAACCATTATTCATGTTTTCATGATGTATACATATTACAGCGGGCACGGTGTCTTTAGCTAATACTACGTGGCATGTACGTAGCTGCACCCACGGATGTACATTATAAACTGCTACAGTGGAGCGGGTACTATCATTACTGTTACCTGTAAACCTGGAGTTGGAAAAGCACCTTCCTGTCCTGGAATAGACTGCGCACGTGAAATGTTTGCGGGGAAAGAAAATCCGGGGAAGACCCACTGGTAACGAAAACGGACTAGCCAGAGAAATTTTTCAAGCCAGTGGCGATGCCCACAGGCCGGTGGGGCCTGCAAATTTTGCATTTTAAAATTTTCGTTTCTTTTTTTCCAGCTTGTGACTTGCATGATCTCATACCTCCTTCACTTGCTGCTGTTTTTATTGCGCGGGCCGGGTCAGGGGCAAGATTCTCGGCAATTCGGTATGAAATCTGCATAAATAACGACCGTCCATGTGGTGATTGCTGCCAAGAATAGACAATTATTACCTGTATACCGAGTACACCGCATACAACACAATCAGGTCATGGATTGCGCCCATGATGCCACGGTCGTCATCCTGCATGTCGTCATCCGTGCAGATCGCGAGCTGTCCTGCAGGGGCTAACGGGTACGGGAGATCTCCCAGTGCTGTACTCTAGAGTCTACCTACATCCTCAACAGTATCGAGACTCCAACATAACAGTAAATAATAACAACAGTGCCACTCTCACCGAAACAAATAGTCCTCGGCAAGTGCAAACGGCTGAAACGAGTCCAGAACAGCTCGTGACCGGCAAACAGTTTTCATTATTCACAGCCGCGGCTTCGGATTGGCTTCCGGGGAATTTCTGTTACGTGAAGCAGTGTGGTATTCTGGCCAATGGTGAAGTCGGATACCGGCACCAGGCGGCCTGTTTGGGCATAGGGCTTGCTAGTTCAGGCCCCACTGGGGGGGTGTTGTAGCGTGTGACCCATGGAAGGTCATTTTTGCAGTGCCTGGACAATAACACTAAAATGGAACACTGCAAATTCTGATGGTGCAATTCCTTGCGACATATGGCCTCGCTATGAATCATCGCCTGCTATATAAAGCTTTCCCCGCCATGGCTCTTTTTCCCATTCCTCATCTATACAGGAATCATCTCCAATACACCGTGATACAACTACTACTACATCTACACCTACATCCACGTCTACGTCACATCCACAATGCCGGCCACAGCAACATACCGTCTCGTTGAACCTCACCCGTCCGTCCCTCACAACGGCCGTCCAGCCATCCATACCTCTCGCGGCGGCGCTGGGAATGTCATCAGCCTGAAGAACACCAAAACCACCGATTCTCAGACGGCCACAGGCCCTGCTTCTCTCACCCGTCTCGACTCACACGTCCCCCGCACATTCAAGTCCGGCCGCGGCGGTGCAGGCAACGTCCACAGCAGCAGTGAGCGTGCCATCTTCAGCTTCGACGAGGAACTCGAGCGTGAGTTCCGTCGTGCTGCTCCCGTTTACCACGTGGGTCGCGGTGGTGCAGGAAACATGATCCACGAAAGCAGCTCCAACCATCACAACAGCTACGATCTTTCGAGAAAGTACTCTACCAGCAGCAGCGGTACCACCGCTTCCACTGAATCTGCCGCTGACCGTGCCTGGGAGAAGGCCCGCTCCACTCTTGAAAAGGGCTGGGAGAAGCTAAAGAACGTCGCATAACGATCGCCGCTATTCCGATACATCATCCCTCTTTTTCGCTTCTCGTAACCGGTAGACGCCCGGTTTTTATGAATTACGACTTACGAAACCACAAAAAAGTTCTTGTTTCTTTCATTTCGGTCATTGGGAGCGGGAGGTTCAAATCTGGAATTTCTTATGAAACAATTATAATTGCATAATACCTGTCATTCCTATAACAGGAATAAAATGAAAACAAACCTCAATGCGGGGAGGAAATACGAAGAGTAGCCCTGGTGGCCTGAACTCCAAAAAAAAAAAAAAACGAAAGGGATGTTTATTTCAACATCAGCACCACTGGGTTGCCCCCCTTTTGCGTGATTTATTGCCTACTGCAGTCAATATATATATTTTTATGGCTATGACATGGCACACATACTAGTTCCACCACTAAATATACTAAATGTAAACTATACTGTCTATAGGTGCAGGAATCCAATCGTTTAAAGACCTTGCAGGAAAGATCGTCATTGTTCCCAAATAGTAGTTCAGTCCAGTATGTTCATTGACAGGCAGAAGACAAGACATTCTGGATTCCCAAAGACAGAAGATCCTAGAAAGGACACAATCTAGAACTATACCCTCAGTGATACAATTCTATGCAAGCTTGCAATTAATAGTCTTATTGCTAATACAAGTGTTGCTAATACGAGCAAATATAAATTATCCTCAGAAGATACATGCAAGATTCAAGGAGTTGGTGTGTTGGGGGGTATCAAAGTTGGTTGATTCTTCTGTCTGTTGTTTTCAGCTGATGGATGCCCATTTTGAGAATTTGGTTGGCCTTTTTGACCTTTCTTTCATCTCTCGCCATGCTGACCCAAGTGGAAAGTTGAACCTCCATCCATCAAGAGGAAGTTGGTATCAATCAGGAAGGTTGTTTCTTTGTTGGAGTCTTCTTTCTTCTTTCGTTCTTTCAGAAATGAAAAAACCGCCTGTTATATCATAAGTCTAGTCTAAGGACACTTTCTATGAATGACCTCTGGGTCTTCATGCCATTCCTCCATGCTAACCCACATCTAAATCAGACATATCAGCAAATGCGTCTAACAGGCCATAACCAGAAGGGGGAAGGGGAATCCTAATCCTACCTTCCTAAATGTACTCAACCCCGCAAGAATACCTCCTCCGATCCATGTGGTATACTTCCGCTCCGCGGGCGCTGAGATTCGGACCTTCATCTCTTCAAAGGCCAGTTTCTTGATTTCACGTACGAGTCGATCGGGGAAGTTCTTGCACAGTGTTGAGCCTCCCGAGAGAACGATGTTCGAATATAGCGACTTGCGCAAATCTAGATCCGTTCGGACAATGGCATCCTGCACGATCTGGTGGACGCCGGGGTATTCGAGACCGATGAGATCGGGGTTGAAAAGAACTTCGGGGGCTTTGTAACGTTCCTGTCCGATCTGCGACAGTGGTTTAGTGAGTTGGAAGAGTATATGTTTGGCCTCGTCTCCTCGACTTGGATAGAGACCGCTGAAGATCGAGGAGAGAAGACACTTCACTTACCTTGATCTTATGCCCGTCGGGCAAGAAATAGTCCACAGCATTATTCTCCGTTTTTCGATAAGTAGTCATCCAATCTTTCTCTTCCCGCTTGGGATCCAGCGAGACGTAACAGGCCTTCTCCTTGATCATCCGTACAACCTCCTTTTCCGCACTGGTATGCATGACTGTCCCGTTCTTTCGTAGCAGCAACTGTAGCTGTTCAGTAACATCCCGACCGGCGACGTCAATCCTCCGTATGCTATTCGGTATGGCGAATCCCTCAAACACCGGCACGGCATGCGAGACCCCATCCCCTGAATCCAACACGACACCAGTCGTCCGCCCAGACGCGTACAGCGACAGTATAGCCTGAATGGACAGGTACAGCGCGGGCACATTAAACGTCTCAAACATGATCTGGGCCGCGATATCCCTGTTCTTGCGTGGATTGAGTGGCGGCTCCGTGAGCAGCACGGGATGCTCCTCGGGGAGCGTCTTGAGCTCGTTCTCGTACACGTAGTGCCATATCTTCTCCATATCATCCCAATCCGTCACTATCCCATGTTCCAGTGGATAACGAATCTTGAGTAACCCCCGTAACTCCTGCGCTCGTTGTCCGATGAACACATCCCCTTCCAGACCGCCCGCCATGACCCGGGGGTGTTTCGGTCTCCCGACAAACGATGGAAAGTAACATGATGGAATTTCTTCTCCTGCGAACCCGGCTCGAATCGTACCGCTGCCATTGTCTATGACAATAGGGACATTGTGGAGGGTGGTTTCGGCCATTGCGAGAACCTGCGCGTCGAAGGTGATGGAGGCAGAGGCGCGAAACGGAGTTGGAAATGGCGCCTCTGCGGCCTTTTTTTTCCTTTTTCTTTAATTCTCTGGACTCAGGGAGGGCTATCGATAACGTGAACGTGTCATTAATGCTAAACCACAAGATGAGAGGGTGAGAATGCGAAAGACAGATGTTCCTTGAGCAATTCGGTGTCTCCTTTGGAGTTGACTTCTTTGTCAACACGGAGATTGAAGCTTGGACCACCCATTATGCGCTTATATACAACAATGCAGGTTGAGACGAATACTCTTCTTCATCCTTTAGAACTGGTCATTGCTCTATTGCTACATAAATAGAATCTATGGGAAAAAGCACAAGCTGATACTGTTCCATGTAAAGACATCCTAATCCAAGCACTGCGAAATCGTCGACTATGGTCCAGGTGCTTCAAGAACGATGGGACCCTGGTTAATCGGGGCAATTATGTATATAAATAGAAGTTTGAAAGCACCAAGCTTTTAATCCAAATATCCAAGACGTAATACGGTTCCATCATGGTCACTGGCTAGCGTTCTCCCGGTGAACGCTTCGAAGACAACCAACCTCAGTAACGGACTTGAGGGCGCAAAGAACCAAGAAAATACGGTCAATCAAGGAAGCCCATCTCGTCGGCAATCACACTAGCTAGTGTCGGCCGATCCTTTTGTTTTTCATCGCGACTGGGTGGCCACGCCGACATGCGCTCACGTAGGGACTCGGCTTGGCCTATAGCGGCGGAAATGTCCCTGGCACCACATATCAGCAAAAGGTAGGTGTATATCAATCAAACATAAGAAACATACTTGTAATGACTAGCCACAACATAACCCTGTCTCTGTAGTTCTTGGGCCAGTTCTTCCTGGTGGTTATCTTTGAGAGTAGGATTTGGGACGACCACAAGAGGCACGCCCAGTCGTAGAGCCTCGAGGATGCTCCCAGAGCCTTATACCATGCATAATTTTACCATGTCAGCGTTTGGGTAATCTTAAAGAGCTCAAATATCGAGTCTGCACACCTGCATGGCTAATGATCATCCCGGATGCGTCTTCCTTGGTCAGGCGCATCTCCTGCTCGAGACCAGCTTGGTTGAAGTCAAACCCGTCAATCTGAATACCGTGACGTCCTGCCGTCCCGGGAGGGTGGTTAAGGAGGAAGTTCTCAAAGATGGACCGGCTATCCTTGCCATACTGAATACGTAAATGGGTATATTCAAATTTTTGGAGTGCAGACAAGAAAGATTCATCCAGAACAAATGAAATAAGAGAGCCAAAAGACGCTGTCGCCCCGACTGTCACGAAGCACCGCTTCGTGTGTCTGCGGGGGTCCGAAGCTTGGGATTGGGATGGCATTGTTAGGCTTGCTATCCTCGGTTAAGACTTTTTACGTTGGTGAACTGCCCAAAGCTGAGAATCATATCAGCTTATAGCTGAGACCGATCAAAGGGCGACGGAGGCATCCTTTTTTTGTCCGTCTGGCTTCGTGTGTCGTAGTAAATTGTAATTGATAGACGGACGCGTCGAGAGACCTCGGGTCTGTCCTTTCCCGATGCGGCTTAGCGCCAAGAGCATGTGCGCCGAAGATGAACATCGACTTCCGCAAAAGAACAATCCTTTGATGAAGAACAGCTGTAACTCAGTCTCCCCGCCATGGCCTCCGCAGCGCGATCTCTGAGCCGGTCGGCTCTCTTCCTGGCCCGGAGAGGGTCCCCACGAACGAATGGAGTGTTTCCGCCTGCAATTTCAATTCCCTGCCGTACCTTTTCGGCGTCGTCGTTCAACCTTTTGCCGGAAGATCCCCCGGTTCGCCCTCCTCCCAGAGACCCCCGACCGGAAGATCTACCCCCAATGCCAGAGTATTCTCCGGATCTGCTTAGCAAAGACGAGCGCTCCATGTACGATATGCTGTCTCCGCAGGAGAGAGCGCTTTTCGACGAACAAAACCGCAGAATCGTGGAGAATTTCAATGATCCGGCTAAGCGGGCGGCAATATTTTCGGACATCGACAAGAAAGTCGCTCAGATAGAGAGGGAGGAGCCCATGAGGTTTGAGGATGTCCGGGACCGGTCCCGTGGGTTCTGGTCGGAAGAGGAAGATGACGAGTTCGCCCTCGTCGAGGATGGCGACGAAGAGTTTAACGACGATGAAATCACCTCCATGGCTCATGCTGAACTTGAATTGCATCGCGAAATGCGAGAATACGCTAGAATTGCTGCATGGGATATGCCATTGTTAAACAGTGAGTGCCACAACATGCACATGTTCTGAATGATAACTAGGTCGAACACTAACACCGTATGTAGATCTTGCAAAACCATTTACACTCCCCCCTGAAACACATATTCTCCGCTTTAGATACACCACATATCTGGGCGAGCAGCATCCCGCAGAGCCCAAGGTCGTTGTGGAACTTACTTCCAAAGATCTTACCCCCAAGCACCTCTCTGAAGCCCAGCGTCAGACCTTTCTCAAGCTAGTCGGCCCACGCTATAACCCGGACACAGATATTGTACGAATGTCGTGCGAGAAATTCCCGAACCGCGCCCAGAACAAGCGGTATCTGGCTGATCTCGTAAATACATTGATCAAAGAGGCCAAAGAAGGCGACTCGTTCGCCGACGTCCCGCTCGACCTCCGCCATCACAAACCCAAACCTAAGCTTCGTTTCCCTGAATCTTGGAATATGACTGAGGAACGAAAGAAAGAACTGGAAACCAAGCGAGTTGCAAAACAAATCCGTGCGCAAGAGCGGCCGGCAATCATCGATGGCAATGCCATTATTGCAGAGGCTGCCAAAACTCTGCCGGCCTTAAATCCTGCTTTAAGGCAACCTACTGAAGAACGTGTTCCTGTTCGTGTCGGGAAGAATAAAGCCCCGAAGAAGTTGGAGAGGAGGTGATACGGTTTGCGAGTAGCGTGGGGAGACCGGCTCGTTCAAATAGATAGATTCTAATTTCTTTCGAGGCGGACTGTATTATATGGTCTCTTTCTTGTCATGTCCTGTCTTATATTCTGGTATCTAAAATTATACGAAGTCAGCCTTTCCTATCTTCTGAACACCTCGATGGATAGGCCCGAAACAGCAAGTATGATAAATTGAAACCCAACTGTTAATCTCATTTATTTAGTGCCTAGGTATTTATTTAAACAACAGAAGACAAACCCAGATGGCACAAGGAAAAGAAGACAAGCCGGACTTGAAAAAAACCGCGGTATATCCAGCATAATACCCACGAATAAATACAAATTCTTCTGATCTGTTCCATATCCCAATTACATCATTCAAACATCCTTACTCTTTTTCAAGCCTGGGCCCTGGAAAGTAAATAAGTTCTGGGTAAGTATATCAACGGGTCCAAAGTCCAACAAGGAGTAGAAATCAGTAGGGGAAATCAGAACCCTTGGAGAAAAAGGAAAAGAAGAAAAAGCATGCCAACAGAAAGAAAAAGACAAGAAGAGAAAGAAACAATCATGTCGAGAACAGATTAATAGAACAAAGTCATCACCATATGTAGATAGGTAGTCGATCGTTTTGACTCCAAGTCATTAGTAAAAAACCAGTCACAGAACAGACGATTTTTGATATCTTTTTTTTTTTTTTTTTCAAAATTAATTTTGCTTTCTCCTCCTTCGCTGATAGCCAGTAAAGTTTATATTTATCGCAATTTGTACTGGTTGTCTGCTCATGGAGGTTTTTCTTCGCACATGTTGACGTCAATTCTGAAAGTTGGAAAAGGAAAGAGAAGAATCCCCGGACGAGGGTTATTACCAACCCCTAGTTACTGTCTGAGGTATAGTACGTATTAGTAGTAGTAGTTCATTGAAGTTACTTGCCACGGCCAGCAGCACCCAGGTTGATCAATTCACCGTGAAGGGGTTCAGCGGACCTCTTCCGGTTACCCTTTCTGGTAGTACCGATGGAATTAGGCCGGGCCCTATTTCCAAGAGTACGGGGAAAGCCAGAAGAGGCCTTTTTCACCGATCCAGAAGAGCTGGATGACTGGGAATGGATAGAGGGGGTCGCCATGCGCGTGGGGGGATCAGAGTGCACGTCACCGTTGCCGAGGACAGGGCCAGCCAGGGGGCTAGTCATCTGGGTGCTACTCTTGGATATAATGGAAGCGGGACTGGACAAGGTAGCGACGCTGCTGTGTCTGTTCTTGAAAGATGCGACGTCGATTGCATTCTGGTCCAAGGGTTCGGGGATGGCTGGTGAGCGAGGCTGATAGAGACGGCGAGACCGGGGTTGCTGCGGCTGCTGCTGTCTCTTGTTGCGGATCTGGCAGGAGGTCGAATCAAGGGGACTCGGAAGAAGATCCGGAGTTCCAGAAACAGGAGATGGCACGAGAGACTGAAGACTGCGTACCAGGCCTTCACGGTGAGCCCTATCTGCTTCTTCTGCGGCAGTGGCTGGGGCAGTAGAGTAGGTCGATTCCCCGCCGATGGGATCTAGGTTAGGGTAATCATGCAGGGGATCAAACGACAGAAGGTCGATCTTTTTGGTGGGGCCGTTCTGCTGGCTGGGAACTTGTTTCGTGGCCTGCTTGTGAGAAGGGTAAACCTTTGGAAAATTTGCAGTGCCATAAGAGGGACGAGTCTGCGCCTGGGTGGTATTGATGGCGGGTTGATGCTCAGCCTGAGGATATTCGCCGACGGGCTCCTGCTTCAAAGCCAGGTCGGTTCCACGGGCAGCAGCAGAAGCAGAACTCACTGGTTCGTGTACCCCCGAACGAGACGGATACTGGATAGCCTTGAAGGCCCCACGACTAGGCACATCCGAGTCTTTCCAGTGCTGACCGTGGGCGGAATGGGCGCGAGAGCTCTGGTGTCCGGCCGGGAGCAGGCTAGGAAGACCATACTTCTCACGATACCAACGAGGAATATCACGAAGGCCAAGTTTCTCCAGCATGGCTGGGTCAGTGGGCATTTCATGTTTGTATAGGCAGCCTGTAAACTCTGTTATTACTTTCTTCTTCTTCTTCTTCTTCCCCCCCAAGGAGAGACTGGTAGATACTTGCCTTGCTGCTGATAGTCACATTCACCGTGACGGATCCAGTAAGAACAGAATTCTTTCTTCGTATTATAGTGAGGACCCTAGATTGTATATATGAGCATATATCCCCTCAGTCCCTTTTTTGGGAAGTCGAGAGAAATATTCTTACCTGTCTTCCAGTATGAGAAGCCAACCAAGCACCAGCAGCAGGATTCGACATAACCCAATTCTGGGAAAGACCCTGCTGGATAAGAGCGTGCAAAGCTAGACGCTGACTAGCCGGTATAGTGTCATCGGTCACAACCTTCAAGAGAGAGTTCTGCAGCTCAACGTCCCTAGGGACGTGCTGAGCGGACTGGTGGCCGTTGGACGCACGCGAGGTGCCAGGCGAGACGCCATCGACCACGTAGAACTGAGCTCTCGGACTGACAGTTCCCAGGCTCGTCATTCCCTGAGTCTCACTAGGAGACAGGACACGAGGGACACCGCGAATGGTGACGTGCGCGGGAAGCTCGTCGAGCGCGATCATGGGAGTCAAGGTGCCATTAGGACGGGAACAGAAGAACTGAGGACGGATAGGAGAAGCCATCTTGCCCTCAGCTTGGGAGAGTGAAAACGAAGAAAGCAAAGAGAAGAAGAGAGGGTATAGGATACTAGAGTAGAGATATCTGAAGTGATATAGACGTGGGAATATGAAGAAGAACAGCAGTAGGAGTGAGAGACAGGAGAGAGTGTGAGAGAGGAAACAAGAGAAAAGCCACAAAGACAGAGAGAAGAAAATTATCTCTTCACTGGACTGGCAAGGGAAAGAAATTGCATCAAGAGAGCAGTGCCTGGCAGTGCGCATTCACTGACGCATCGAGGTGGGGATAGGAGGGAGGGTCCAGGACAGCCAGAACTGGCAGGGAAATGGGTAGACGAGAGCAGGCTATGGATTCCACAGAGGGAACGGTCAAGATGGGCAATTATGATAGGAAAAGCAAGGGAGCGTCCATTAGAGAGAAGAGAGTTGCTGTACAAGCTTCCTGAAGAGGATATATCCGAAGAGAGAGGAAGAACTATACAACTAAGCAACAAGAAATATAGAAAATAAAAAGAAATAAACCTGAAATAACCAAAAGAACCCATGCAGAGACTTGCATAACAAAAAGAAGAGGAACAACAGGCTTTGCATTGTTTATGTATCGACAGCAGCAAGCGTCCCGTTGTTTGCCAGACCCTGCCTTTGCCCAGTACAACCTCCTGCTGCTCGGTTAACTGCAGCAAACGCCTTCTATTCCGTTTCCTTTCTGTCTTCTGTCGTTTCCATCTGCCCCTCCATGCATATTGACCTGTCATCTACGTCCCCTCTCGATTTCTAAACGGAACAAAAATGCGCAGGGCCGCCCACGACAAGCGCGTCTGCTGGCAAGCTGAGAGCTGGACGACTGCACAATGCAAAGAGAGAGTGTGTCAATAAACGGAAGTATGACTGCTAGATGTGTTAGGTGAGTCTGTCTATACTTTCATCCTTCTGTCAATCGAAGTAATATCCATCTAGGAACGCACAATTAACCATGGCTGACAACAAAGAAAGGCAAGAAAGCGACCAAGTCTCGTCGAAACTCCCAGTCAAGCCCGCCCAGTACGCCAACTGAACGAGGCATAATAGTAATCTAGAAGAAGCTGCAAATATACATGAACTATCTACGTCTATCTGAGATATTACGAGACGAGTCGAGGGAAGCTAGAGTCAGCCCTAAACGAAACGAGGAACGCCCTCAACTTCCGCTACATCGCAGAGGAATAAACCAAGATTGCTGCAGGAGGCTCGGAACCTAAAAAGTATACGCGCCCTGCATAACGTTTCCAGATCCTAGCTCGAGTGAAACATCTTGCTGTTTCACATCATCGCGTGGCCGAGGATACGTCCGTGATGTCGGCTCCATTTAAAAAGATTGCTACGGAAAAGTAATAAACTGTAGAATCCTCAAAGCTGCATTTCAAGGACGCGGCCCTTCATTCTGCGAACAAAAAAACTGGTGAGCATCGGAGGATGCTCTTCTAAATCTATACCTGTGCCAATACACCACCAGCCTCCAACCTTAAGCGCCGCAATCCCCAACCCCATCGAATACAAAAAAACAACGCCCAAGTTCGCCTAGTATGATGACAATTCCTTTATCGCTTTAGATATTTGTCTTTCAGAATAGATGAGTCAAGACAGAAGCAGTTCATACGAGATGTATTCCGTCAAAGCATAATCACACGCGCATCAATCTAGCGCTGGCGGGGATGGTCTCAAAACCTGTTTTCTCTGCATCTGCGTGGGGCGATCGTTGGCCAGATTAATGACTGTCCTAGTTTGCTGTCCAGCAGCAGTAGCAGTGGCTGATGGCATTGCCAGACGATTTAGCTGTGCATTGTGGCTGTATCCATGGACTCTAGTGCTGGCATGGAAGGCGGCAGACGCTCCTTGTTGCCCAGAAGTAGCTACCGTGGCCATTGGTACTGCTTGTTGATATTGCTGCCCATCTTGCGACGAGGCTAGAGGGTTCTTTATTATTGTATTCGGGTCATATTCATACTTATTGATAAGATTTGAAAGTCGACCTAGTCTCTGAGGCATTGCAATAGATGCTGTTCCCGGATGCTGCTGCATGTTCTGGACAAGACCATACAGACCGCCGGGCGTAGGATTCACCGTGGAGTATGCAAGTGGAGGGTCAGTTGCGGTAGTTGCTGGCAATGGCTGCGCAGGCCTGTGTTGCTCCTGGGTCTGGACTGGTGCTGCATTCTGACTAGGACCCGGTTGCCTAGCTATTGACTGTGCTTGCTCATCTGGCTGCGGTCGATTCCTCGCAGCTGCAGCCTCCTTCGCCGCCATTCTCCTCCGGGTTGCAAGATTATGACGAACACCATACAAGTACTTTCTGGCAGCATCAACGATCTCTTTTGACTCATTGCTTCTTTTCAAAGCGTCAAGCATCTTGGTGACTTGGCGATCTGAATGCAGATGTGGACAAGTACGTGAGTAACCAAAGTGTGCAAGGCCGCAGAGACCGCAATGCTCGACACCCGCCAGTTTCAATCGGCAATAACCGACAGGATGGCGCTCATTGCAGGCTATACAAGGAGCATCAGGAAGACGCTGTTCGATGTTGCTATTTAAGGCTGGAATAGACACCTTGCTGGGTGATGGAGCACGTTTGAATGACTGCACTGTTCCTTGGTCAGCACTGTGCTTACTCACCACATTATCCTTTATCTGCGTAGGTGCTTTTTCTTCCAACTGATCCGAGGCCATACTGGCGTCTTCTGCAACCGTATCTGATTCTTCACCTGCTTGGAATTCCTCATCATCACTTCTATCCCTCCGGCGCTTTTTGGACCTTTTCGGGTTTAAAGAAGTTTCGTCGGCTCCAGTTGTGGAATAATCAACTGTATTTCGCTTCCGCTTTCCTCTACCAAGGGTCTCACTCCTCAGCCTAGCTTCTTCTGCCGCTGCTTGTTCACGCTCCTGTAGGATTTTCTCCCAAACGGTTGAGCTGGGTGGCAAAGGCTCCTTGTCCGGGTCTTCCAGTTGATCCTCCAGAGCAGAATTGTCATTAGCCCACACCCTAGCAAAGCTAAATTGAGATTCCCCGTTGTCGTCTGCCGGCTTTTCTTGTTCAATTTGACTGCGATCCAGAAGCTTTTCGACAGATTGGTCATCATAATGGACGTCTTCAGAATCATCATCCTCAAACAAGGCCTGAGCTCCATGACGCAGAATGGATTCCAAATCTACTACATCGTCTTCGTCAATTTTCTCAATGAGGACATGATCAAGGGCCATCTTCTTTTTGCCAATCTGAATGATTTTCTCTTCAGCGCTGGCACGAGTCATCAGCTGGAAAACAAGGACCCTTTTCTTTTGCCCGATTCGATGTGCACGGGATAGAGCTTGCATATCTTGATGGGGATTGAAATCCGGATCCATTATGATAACAGTATCTGCGCTCGCAAGGTTGATTCCGACACCCCCTGATCGTGTGGAAAGAAGAAAGGCGAAATAATGCGAGTCTTCAGTATTGAACGCATCAATTTCCTTTTGTTTCTCCAATGATGACATAGATCCGTCAAGGCGGCGATATAACAGCCCAAGTCCTTCCAGAAAATCTTCCACTATGTCCAAATTTTCTAAGAACTGACTGAAAATGAGAACTCGATGACCACGCTCTTTCAGCTTCGGCAGCATCAATTCTAGTAATTGAAGCTTGCCCGACGCTTCCACAAGATGGCGATGGGATGTAGCGGCGTCAGTGGTCCTCTCTTCTATTGCCCTGCTGTAGACAAATGGATGGCACAAGCATTTTCGAAGTTGAATCAAAATGTTGTTGAGGTTATGTCGTTCAGTCCGCTTCACATTACCAGACTGGAAGATAGCCTTGATCAGATGGGGATTTTTTGCTAGGATGGATTTGTATAGTTTCTTTTGTACAACAGACATTGAAACGGGCAAAATGATCCGAACCAAGGGAGGTAGGAAGTCGAGAACCTGCAGTTTCGTACGCCTCAGGAAGAATGGCCGGATCATACCGTGAAGTTCTTGAATATTATCTTTCGTGAGAGTTCCATATTGAGTCTCCAAGGTTTCAGCGTCTTTCGTGGGATCACAGAACTGAATAAGATTAAAAAGTTCCCGCGTGTTGTTTTGTAAAGGGGTACCCGTTAGGAGGAGTCTGAGAGGGAACTTCATCCGTGAGAGAGACATGTAGAGCAAGCTCTTATCGTTTTTCAAACGTTGTCCTTCATCAACAACAAGTCCCGCCCAGGGTATTCTTGCCAACATCTTCCTAGAAGCTTCATCAACCATTGTCTCATAAGAGGCAACCACAACATGACATGCAAGATCTTTGCTGCCATCCGCAAACATTTCATACTCATTAGCCAGCTTTCTGGCGCTTTGGGATCCAAAATAAGTGACGACTCGAATAGACGGGGCCCAAGATCGTATTTCCCTCCTCCAGTTTGGACATGTTGGGTTAGGGGCAACAACCAGGAACGGCCAACATCTATGGTATTGAATCAAGGTTGCAAATAGACCAATAACTTGGATAGTCTTCCCAAGCCCCATCTCATCAGCCAGAATGGCATTTTGCTGCTTAAACCACATGTAATAAAGCCAATTCAAACCTTCTTTTTGATAATCCATAATTTTGCCGCCCGTCATGTTCTCAGGTTGTTTGTCCAAGACCAGTGTTGATTTGAAGTCTTGTTTCCGGACTTCCACAAGATGCTTCCTGAGGCTCTCTGCATTTGGGGGATGAATATAATCACGCCGGGCCCAGTCATTATATGCAGCCTTGAAATCGTTCCATCGTTCGACATCACTGGGATCTGGAGGTGACTCCCAAACTGAATCTTCGTAAGATAGACCCTTATATTTCACGTATGCTTCCCGGACCTTATTCACGCGGGCTAGGTCTCCCTCGAGACTTCGCTCCTTGGAAGTATCTGAGAAGCGAACATCGAAGACGATGTCCACTCGAAGAAATTCTTCTGGGATAGCTTCCTCAGTAGTCATAAAGGGACTCCAGTTCTTTGTCGACCTGAAGAAAGCCCGTCGCATTGCACCATTTGCTGTTCCCCAGACCCAGGAACCAGGCATCCATGTGGTGCGGTAATAAGACTTTCCTTTCCACTTGATGAGATACTCCTTATCGTCTTCTTTAAGGGTATCTGCAGTGGAGCCAGGGGGAAGAGTACGGAGATTTTTAGGTCGCCATGCAGCTATCGCGTCAATCTCTCCTGAAGCTGAAGAACAATCATGACATTGCCAACTGCGTGAATATTCTTCAAACCGCGTACGCATGAGATCCCGGGGTACCAGCAATTCAACAGTCTTTGGAGGAAGATGTTCAAAATGAAATCCTCTATGGCACTTGGCGCATCTGAAGAGAAGATTCTTCACGTTATTAATCTGGGATTTATCAACGAGCGTAACAGGATCTTTGCTTTCATTCTTTAGACGTAGCTGTTGTTCTTGACGTGGTGTTAGGCGTTCTCTGAGAGGATTGGACATGTCCCCAGGACTGGTGCATACAGCGCAGCAGCCCTGGTGCGGAAAAAGATGATTTTTGGCATGAAGAAGCCCAATACAACGACGGCACTGAAGAACAAACTGGCCCTCAGCTACTTTAGTAACCAGATGGTCCCTTGATGAGCGGGGGCCCAAGCAAGTTTGGTGGTAGGCACTGGTGCACCCTTGGCAAAAGACCAGCGGCCCCTTTGCATAGTCATCGCCAGGTGCATAGCATGTTTCACACGCATTCCGATGATGAAGTCTAAACCAATCGTCTCGTGGGATCCTTTGGAATGTTTCCTTTGCGCCAAAAAATCTCTCTTTTCGACGGCCCTCACTCTCATGTTCGGAGATATCATCTTCAAGCCTCTCACGCAGATTATGTCTCAAAACATTTCTCTTCCTGGTTGAAAAGCGTGAACCTCTCCGTGCATCATCGTCATACATGATATTCTCCCTGGGTCTTAACTGGCGCCTTCGGCTCAGACTTGAAACGAGCTCATCACTACTCGTGGTCTCCTCACTCTCGTTCTCAAAAAATGCCGTAAAATGGCCTCGTCTGATGTTCAAACGTTGCGTCCTGCGGGGCCGATCTGAAGAGGAAGATAAATACCGGTCGGTATCAGAAGGCTCGGAAGCGTACATAGAAGCATTAGGTGAAGAACTGCTAGAATATCCATGTGCATAAAAGTATTCTAAAGCCTGTCTGGCGTTGTTGAGGATACGAAAATGGTCGAGTGGGATCTAGAGAGTGGCATAAATTAGTGCTCAAGACCATATGAAAGTTAACTCCCTGGGTTACTTACCGTTTGTATCTCGCCACTCTTCAATTTGACTCGATACATGGTCCCCTGATTCTTGACTGAGGTCTCACTGATGATGCATCGGACATCGTGATGCCCAGGCAGAAATTCATATTCGTGGGGGTTTGATATTGCCGGGATCTCAACTGTGGCTAACTTCTGCCCTAATTGCGCTTGTGCGGTGTCAGAAGCATCGTCGTTATGGGACTTCTGGCTGTTCGTGATTTTGGAATTGTCGACCTCGTGAAAGAGGTTCTCCGTCTGAGAATGCTCGACAGGTTGCGCCGGTGCAGTCAAGGAGCCCTGGAATTCCTGCAGAGGCTCTGTTACCTGCGCATCCGCATCATCTATCTGCGTGGGGGAATCCATCACAACAGAGACAGATGCTAGGGAAGGAAGAGGAAATTCAAATTAGATCAAGGATGGTTCCGGATACGGACATACGCGGCGACGCGAACTCGAGGAGACAAATATATCGGCATACAAAGGAGTGTCAAATTCAGTGTAGAGAATCCATTGGGGGATCATCTTGTGGAGCCATCGTCACAGAACAAAAAGGACTAATGCCTCAAAGTGGTGATTGGAAAGTCAGGTTAAGAAGAGAGCAGAGTATAATATCAATCAGTGAATTACGCGTGGCCACGTGATAAACGCGGCGGAGACAGTCGGGACAACATTAATCCTAATTTATCTTATCTTCCACGAAGTCAATTCGGACTTCATTCTACCTTCATGAGGGTACTGAAGGTAACGCTCAGTGCGTATTTATCACAGGTGAGACTGCCTGTATATAGCCTGGCCTGCCTAGTGTCCAATTCAATTTATACAGTTACCTGAACCTGCACCTTGGACGCTTCAGGAGCTGGAGCTGGGAAGGGAATCAGATCGGTGGTCTGGGAACAACCTGCTCTGGCTCTCTGTTTTGGACACATTTTTAGAACCCATTTGCGGAGATTGAGTTGCCAGGCTCCTGAGGAGATATATCTAGTTCTTGAGAAAATATTTCTTGCTTCTGGAGCAACCAGCGCTGTTCCCACAATAAGGACAGATCCTAGGAGGGGCCAGGTCCCTTCCTAAGAAATTAAGAACTCTGTCCACATGATAATTTACTTTGACATGACCTTGTCCACTACTGAAGATAAAAGAACAACGTCCTATTCTCATTGCTTACATAGCTCTGCTTTGTCTGTGATCTACACCCACATGATATATCACTATGACTTCAAAAGAATCATCTCATCAACAATAGGATCCATTAATTACCTGTGGTATCATTAATCCAAATTCACATCGCACCTGCATTGGAACTATCCAGAAAGGGCATCCATGCCAAAACTGGGTATCTTCACGGATCCGCAAGGATACCTTTTACCAAATAAGAGTCCTTGGTCTGATTCCTATTGATGAGTGTTCTATACTGAAACTCCAAGCGATTGCCGGGCTCCTGCCATAGAGGCGGCACCAAGACCAGCCGATTCAGCCGGGTTAGCAGTGGTATGATTATATCATACACACTCAGCCCTGGAAGCCTGCAAGCCTGCTCTCATACACTCATCTGAGCAGCACCGGGTCATGGAACAGAATGCAGGTCCAGATACTCACTTGAGTACGGATGCCACCGCAGCATTTTACCCCAGCCTCTCTCAAAATCCACTGACTGTCTGTCAAGCCAAACTGTATCGGTTGCTATGGTTTGCAACAACCAGATCGAAATACCAAGGCTTTGGCATTTCAGTGCTTGTTGGGCAGGCATTGAGCCAGCTTGGTAGTTAGAGCTTCACTGGCTTTTTTGCCGCCATAACACCATCTTGGAATGCCTAGGCGCCTATCCTAGGAGCAAGTCTGTTTCTGAGAGCCTAGAGTTTACTCCCCAGATCTAGAGAAAGGGAACGCCTGACTAGTCCTTTGGAGATGGAACTTAAGCAATGAAGTGGTCAAGACCCCTAGAGCTGGGTGCATTTTATTGGGGCTACATCTTACTCACCACTCACCTTGGTGCTCATCCTATGCTCAGCGTGTGCTCAGCGAGCAAAAAGCGGCGAGGTGGGAAAGGCCTTCGACCCTATCAAGAAAAAAAGTACATATGCTTTAGTGGGTCAAAATATATCATACTTTTAGACCACAGTCAGATGGTGGCCCGCTTGTGGATTACGTTATGAGCGTCACATTTTGTGTCTTAATAATGGATGTCCGCGGATTCCGTTGATGAGTCTTTTTCTGTAGATATTTACAGTCGATCCCAATCCCAAGAAACGCATGCTCGTAGACTTCCTAGGTATTCATGGCCATACTCTGATTTTATTGTATTTGCAACGTTGTGCATTTCAACTGCCTTGCTGCCTGAACACCCAGTCCTCTTGGGGTCAATAGATCGTTCAGAATCATGGCCATCCATCCTATTGTTTCCCACTGGGGAAGAAGGGATTATTCTAAAAAGCCTCCCTTTCTCCGACTTCGAAGCGCAAAATGGTTCATTGTGATGGTAGTATTCTGCATGACCTTTTCTGTAAGCATGTTGTGCTCGCTCCCGCTGGCTTGGGGAGTTGGTGGCTGATGTTGTGTATACTCGGTGGAGGATATCTTTTTATATGGCCTTGTGAGCTTCACCTGTTTCTCCTTTCCCATGGTGATATACTGTTTACAGTTGGTTCAAAGGTGGTGCCGGTGATTCCTCGTGCGCTTCAACAGAGAGTCGGGGTCTCAAGCGATGAAGGTATAGTATAGAACTGGAGATCCTTGATCTTTTTCTCTGAGACTGTACCTCGATATTCTAGATTGATAATTTCCATAGCTCAAAGTTGGACATCAATTCTTCTCGCTGTGTACGGCGCATCACTGCTGGTGTTTTCTTGTAAGTTAAATGCCCTATGTTTTGCATGAGTTCTGTCGTGCTCACTATAGCACTCTCTCTCAGCATTCTTTGGCTTTATCTCCGATCATATGCGTTCTCGCCAGCTCTTATTAGTCCTCGGCCTTGTAACGTTTGCCGGTTCAACCGCTATGCTCTGCGTAGGGACATCCATTGGATTGTTCGTCGCTGGACGCATCTTCCAAGGCATGTCGGCCGCGATAGTATGGACGGCAGGTCTGGCGCTGCTCGCCGACAACGTGGAGAAAGAAGAACTGGGTAAATGCTTAGGCTTTATCAGCATGTCCATGAGCGCTGGAACGTTTCTGGGCCCACTGTTGGGAGGTGTTGTCTATGATCATGGTGGCTACTATGCTGTTTACGCCATGGCATTCGCACTGATCACCTTCGACCTTCTCCTTCGACTCGTGTTGATCGAGAGGAGTGTAGCGCGGAAGTATCTCGCTGCTGCCGATCGATATAGCAATGTGGAATTGCAGAGCGACATTCCAAGGGGAGATGGGTTTTCTGTCCCCCAGCCCCAGTGTATCGACGATCAAATCACAACACGGGTGAGGTCTCCAACGATGATCTGGCTTCTTGGATCGCGTCGACTTTTAGTTGCACTCTTTGCTGCCATGGTTTTCGGGACTATGCTAACGAGTTTCGATGCTGTATGTGTGATTTCGTTCTTTCTCTCCTTTCCAAGCACAAAGAACTCTGATGATGTATAAAACTTTCGCTGACATATCTCAAGGTACTCCCCCTTTTCGTTATGGAAACATTCGACTGGTCCTCCACAGGAAGCGGTCTCATATTCCTTACAATCTTCATCCCTTCTCTCCTGGGACCTTTCATCGGTTGAGTGCCCCTTGTCCTCTTGGCTCCCATGATACATGATACTTCTTTTTTGCTGACGATATACACCCGACCAGGCCATTTGACAGATAAACACGGCCCAAAGCGTTTCGCCGCGAGCGGTTTCTTCTTCGCTTTACCATTCTACGTCCTCCTCCGGCTGACGACGCACAAGAGCCTACGACAAGAGGTTCTCCTATGCGCACTGATTAGTCTAATCGGGCTCTGTATAGCCCTTATCAACACACCTATCTTTGCCGAAATCGTCCACATCGTCTACGAGAAGGAGAGACAGCGTCCAGGAATCTTTGGGGAAGCAGGTGCTATGGCGCAGGCATATGCGCTCTTCAACGTCGCTTTCGCTGCAGGCACCATCGCGGGGCCGCTTATGGCTGGATATATAAAAGAGCATGCGGGCTGGGGGACGATGGGCTGGAGTCTTGGTGTTATAAGTGCCGCGACGAGTATTCCGGTGTTTCTGGTCACGGGGGGTTGGGTTGGGACTTGGAATCGACGAAGAGCTGACTAGGCAAGATTGAACTGGATGAACATGGGATGGACATTCTGTGGTGAGGATAGGTATACACTGGTCTATCTCTCTATTCTTTCATGAAAGCATGGACAACGTAAAGGGGTAATGCTTGAACAATCAAAGGAAAGACAGACAGGCTGATGGAGTGCTACCTGGAAATCCTACAGCTTCATGGGCACTGGCCCAAACTGAAGATTCCCAATATCAAACACCTATACATGAAAGACCCCGAGTCAGCATTACGGATCAAGTCGATGAAACAAAGGACTCACCGCATAAATCCCCTTCAAAAAGGCTCCCCCAAACACATCAAAACCAAGGGAGCCCCTGCTCTGAATCCCTCCATACAGATACCCAGGCTCAACATCTACATCAGCAAAGCCAAGGTCCCCCTTCCGCACGACAAACTGCCTCTCACCCACACCCAATGAGACGGTGGGAAGTCTCTCCTCCGTAATATTGGAGGGGAAGATATACCCCTGGCTCGCGTAGTTATATGTAGCCCCAGGAATAGCATCGTAGATAGCCTGGCAGATGCTGTCGTCGACGAGGACAAGAGGGGTGCCGGTGTCGATGATGGCCTTGTTTCCAGATCTATCCAGCTTCTTCCCGTTGATCGTTGCGGAGGGGGAATTAAGCTCCCAGAAGCCGTTGCTGTTGTCTATGGGCGTATAGTAGATTTCCTCTTGAGCAGTGGTTGCCTCGTCAATGAAACCAAAGGTATAGAAGGGTTCCAGCTCCTGCTTGTTCGGCCATGATCCCAGCAGCGCAGTGAACAGTTGAGTGGGTTTGCATATTTCAGCTTCCCTATCCTTAGAGAGCATGCTCTGGACGGGAGTTCTGATGGTGTCAGGTTTTCCGAATCCCAGCCCGAGAATGCCATCGTACATACTGTTGACGAGCTCGGGGGATATGGTGTCCGCTAGCTGGACGGACTGGTCCTTGATCACCAGCCCGCCAAGGTCGACAGTATCCGTGCCAATGATTCCGGACACGGAGGATCCATCGGTGTAACTAATCCTCCAAGTCGAAAGGGGATCGGAGGTCTTGAAAGAGTCGGATTTGGAGGCGTCAAAGATCTTGTGATCCTGATGCTGCTGGGCTAGGATATCGCTAGGGAGTTTCGTTGACCAGACCTGTTTGGCATCAGCAATCGCATCCATAAGAAATAATAAATAGTAGACTCACCCAGAAATCCCCAAGCCCAGTATCAACGCCCAGTCTCACCCTCTGCGCAGGACTCCCGACCCCAACTTCGACAAGATGTTCGAATTCATTCTGCACATCCTCTGCTCCCGCCCTTTCAGTATCAGAGGCATCTTCACTTCCTCCTATTTTCTTCTGCAAAACCTGTCGCACAGTCGCTCTACCACCGACCGCCGTGTGAGACCCAGGCTTCCCGGTCTGGTGGACCGTGTGTCCGATAAAGTACGGCCCTGGTTTGGTTGGACGGAAATGGTACTTGCGAATCAAGTGGACATAGGACCTGAGGCCAGATTTCTGGTAGTGGGGATTTGGGATGAGGGGGAGTTTAGACGGCATTTCCAGTCTCTGGGATGCTTTGCTCTGCTTGGAATATGGGATATGATGAATGCACGAAGGGGAGACGGTCTAAATAGATCGCGACCAGCAGACGGTGTTCCGACGGGATGTGGGCAGTGTCGAGAGCTCTGTTTCACGTTGTTCAAGCAGGGAACGCTGAATGCAACGTCAAACGTTCTGTCGTCCATGACGTAGGATCTTCAGAGATACCTGATGGGCGCTCTGGACGCCAAATCCGCCGACTGTGCTGTGTCTCGATGTTGATGTTCCATGTGTCCCTAAGACATATTCTTTGGCTTCGGATATCTTTGGATTCTTCGAAGACCTCAGTACCAAAGAAAAGAGAAATCCTAAATTATCATGAAGATATTTTCTTATATTCTCAACAATTTTGCCTGTAGTTTATTTCTGAGTGGAATAGTAATGCATTTCTCCAAAGTCTTGCCTACGCCGTACAAGTCGATTCGACAACAGCCACGGACCTACTGTCTAACGAGAACAACTGCATGGGCTATTTATATTGTTCATTCATTATTATTAGATGCTCGCCAGACACCCCAAGAGCCAAGACTGGAATATGAGGGAACATGGCTTGAGATCGCTCGTATTCGCTAGCGGCGCACGGCTGAACGCGAGGCTGACACAGATAGATCGGTAGGCGTTGCGTATCTATAGCCTGTAGCCAGGAGACTCACAAGCATGAATATATCCAGTAGTTTGAGAGGCTTGTTGTCGGGGTATATATGCTGCGTAGGATCCTGTAAACCGCACCGCAGCCGAGCGGGCAGGTCAGTCGCTCTCGACATCCGCTGTCCGAACAGAAAATGCGCAAGTTCCTGCAGCAAGAGCTTCAGGAGCTCCAGCGGAAGCTCCAGCTGGATCATCGGCAGGAAAAGCGCCAGCCTCCTCCTCCGCCTCCTCCAGGGACTCGGCCGTTGCGTCGTCTTCCTCCGAATCCGTATCAGAATAAGGCCCCTGCAGCAGCGACAGCAATACCGCTGGCCTCGTCGCCAGATCCATATACGGTCCGATATCATAACCAGACCCAGACACAGGGACCAGCATCACCCCCACAGAATTCTGAGCCTGCACCGGCACCGCCGCCGGTCCTATATCGACAGACACCTCCCCCCGTCCCGAACGCAGCAACCAGACCCTTGAAATGTACCGGATTAGAACGCCTGCTGAGCAAGTACACGCAGTTCTACCTGCTCAAGGGTACTGAATCCTTCCACGTATGCAACAACTGCTACCAATCTCGATTCGCGAACCACCCAGCACTCGCCCGTGAATTCGTACCGTACCACTCCATCAACGACGACGAGCGATGCATCTGTGCATTCGCCCTACCCAGTACCGTGGCTATTCTCAATTCACAATGCGTGCCATACAGCACCATGCGGCCCCTTGTTGAGGTCGACTCGTTCCGCTCAACGCGTGCACCCTGTGATGGATCGCCCGTTTCGACCCCCGGACCGTGCTACATGGCAAGAAATAAAACGATCCCGTTGTTCTGCGTGTGTGCGACTTGCTTTGAACTTTTCTTCCGTCGTACTGTCTTCGAGGACCGGTTTGAGCGAATCCCTGACGGCACGCAAGGTGGTTCGGCGAAATGGACCTGTGATATGATCATGCCTTACTTTCGGAGGCTTGTCATCACGGCTTTGTCGAGTGCAGCGCCGGACTTTGCCACGTTTGCTCGCCTGGCAGATGATCGTCTGGTGACTCCTCCATGTCCGGGTGCTGGGAAACCAATCACCCAGTTCTCGCCTAAAGCACCTGGGATTGTGTACTCGGCTGCGAGTGGGAAGACGGGGAGGGTCTGTTTTGCTTGCTACTGTGACATCCTGGCGAATACAGCACTGGAAAATGAGTTCGTACCAACGAGGATCAAGCCGGACCAGGCGGGGAAGATTGACTGCGATCTAGCAACCATGTACTCCAAATCGGCCATGACGGCGGCGGTTCAGCGAGAGGGTATTGAGTTCTGGAGGAGTATTGTGCGAATGAGCCGAGCCGGCACCTGTCGAGGCAAGCGAGGCATAGACGAAGAAGATCTTATGAAGGAGAGACAGGAAAAGGGTTACCTTGCAGACTGGTATCATGTCACAGCCGCCCCGGGCGTAGAGGTCTGTCCAAGCTGTTACTGGCTCCGGGTAAAGGTCGTCAGTGCCGAACATATGTTCACTCCCATCATCCGGCCGCTGGTCCCTGGCGTCATACGGATGTGTTTCATGACCAATTCGAATGTCCCCCCGAATATCTCGACGGACAACTGCGACAACTTTGCCGACAGCATCACCTGGCGCGGGGAGCGTCTCTCGCGGGCTCTGCTCTGTGGTTACGAAGGTGGAGACTGGAACGCCCTCGTCACCGTCGCAACAACCATGGAGAGCGAGCCACCACCGTGTGGCGGGAACGCGCGAGGTTTCAAACGACCCAGTGGAAGGAGATGGATCGGCCGACGCAGTCCCAACCCGGCCGACCCAAACGACTGTACTTTGGTATTCTGCGAGGAATGCTATTCACGCGCCGTCAAGGACAGGCCGTACGCCGCGCTCTTCAGCGAGGATATCACCGACGCGGCATATGCCGAAGCTGGAACAGACGGCTTCATGTGCCACATATACACAAATAGGGCGCGAGGAATGCTTCGAACAGCAGCTCAGCAGGGAGACCTCTCCAGCTTCGCTAGGTGGTGGCGTCACAGAGAGGAGCTCCGCAAGAAATGCGATGCATGGAAACCGGTTGTGGTAGAGCTGCTGAAGCAGCAGGCGTTATTCATAGCTTCAGGCGGGTTTATGCAAATGGCTTCCGGGCTTTCTCATTCATGCCAGACGGCTCAGGCCACGATGCAGCATTTTCAGCAACCGTCCTTGCAGGGAGTGGCCCAGATGACAGCCTTAAACGAGATCGAGTCTGCTGCTGTTGTCGAGGCCGCGATGAGTGACCCGGGAGTTCGTTGGGGGAATGATAATGTAAGATCATCTTTTGGATATTTCACACAGGGGCTTTCCACTGACATTATTCTGTTTCAAAGGTTGGATTCAGTCACTGGACGGAAGCATCGGCGCAGGCCCAGCAAGACTGGCAAAATGCCACTCGGGGAGTAGGCTTCAACAACACCACAGGTCCAAGCAGTCACGTATTACCTATTGGAGGAATGGGCATGGGCACAGGCTTCGATCACGTCAGAACATGGAGGATATTGGAGCAAGCGAGAGCTGACGAGGCAGCTTTCCTTGCAGTCGAGTAAGTATCATGGAATGTAGTTCTCGATGAAGCATCATCGAGGGAGGATAGGAACGAACACATCTTTCTATGCTAAAACGGTTTTCAAGAACTGGATAGATAATCATCTCTGCCATTGCCACATAGTTACAGTGTCATCGCAGCCAGGGAGACGCTGTGCGTGTTCAGCAAGGCTAGACAATCTATTGCGCTTGCATACTTCAGCGTGATTCTGTCTATGCCACACAGTAAGCAAACCGGGAGATCTTCATGTCATTTCACTGAAAGAAAGGCATCCTCTATCTGTATCGGTTCAGCAACGCCGGACTTACACAATCCAATTGAACCCTTTTGTCATAGCCGAAGAACCCCTTCTCATCCAAACTTAAAATACGAGAAAAAAGAAAGCAAAATAACAATTATTACATGAATATAAATGAGCGCGAGACAAGATGACCAGAAAAGCAATCATTTCTTCCGGCTTTTCGACTTTGTTGCAGCATTGGACGAGACACTGGCTGCTCTCGAGGTCGCTGTTGACGTGGCTTTGCTATTAGAGCCTTTCACAGCTTTGACCTGCTTATTCTGTGGAAATATACGTGTAAGCTATTCCGTTCGTTTCCACGTCAGTAGCAGAATCCCCAGGAGTTCAAACTTACCACTGCCCCATTCTTGCTCTTCTTCTTGGCAGGCGCTTCTACTTCATCGTTCTCCACGTCGTCGTCGTCATCACGGTCGCGGCCACGGCCCTTGCCTGTCTCGCCGTTAGTTTTTGCGTCCGCCTCGAACTCCTTGGCGACTGTGTTCAAAAGAGTGGTGCACCGGCGACCAATCTCGACGGGTGTTCGGCTGAGGAAAAACCAGTCGAAGCGGAAGAGTGGCGAATCCCGGATCTCTTCCCGGATCTTCTCGTAGAGTCCATCGCCATCCACCCCGTACTTGTCAAGCATCACCAACAGAAACCGGTCTTCCTCTTCTGTATACACTTTCTTGTTCGTCGTGGAAACGGTGTAGTTGATTTTGAGCTGCTGGAGAGGAACGCGGTACTGCTTGACTTTCTGGCGAAGCATTTCCCGCTGACGGTTCATCTTCCGCAGCTTTTCCTCCCCTTGTTCGATGACACGGATGTACTTAGGATAATCCTGAATTTCAGTGTACCTCTTCCAGAATACCTGCGCGTACTCTTTAACTTCATAGGGCTCTTTGCTGTCGACCTCCGTGGCAATCCCAACGTAGTCTGTGCGCCCAAACTTCGCGGATCCATTCACGAATTGTTGGAAGTCACGCCGGATCCAGTTTGAGAAACCTTGCTCAGACATTCGGGCTTTCTCTGCTTGTTCCTCTTCTGTCAGAGGGATAGCGTTATCGATTTCCTGCTGTTCCAAGTCCCGCTCGGCTTCACGTTCACTCAGTTCCTCCTCAGGACCTTCAGGAAGCGGTACTTTGTGCTCAATTTGTTTGTGAAAATAAGCCAACTCTTTCTCCTGTAACTCTTGAAGACGAGGCGGGAAAAACTGCCAGTCGTGAATTGGTATTTGTTTCGGAGGACGCGGGCCCTTGGGCTTGGGATCGGCTGTTCTTCCGCCAGTAGAGAGAGCCTGACGATAGTATTTGTCAATTGAATAGAATTGTTCCTTCCGCTCGCGCTTGGTTGGGTTGATCCAGTTAAAGCCAATATCCTTCTTACGGTCGGTAAAGTCCTGGCCGTTCCATTCATAGGCATTTTCCGAACTAAACTTCTGGAGGTCATCGATACCCAGTTTCTCATACTTCTTGTTCAATTCCGCCGTTCGTTCTTCACCCTTGCGCAATATATCGTCAATGTCACTTTCGGTTATGTCATTGCTACGGGCAAGCGTTCCTGTTGCGCCTTTGGTATTGAAGACGTTCGCAGCACCATGTTGAATCATGCCGAGGAGCTCATCCTTGGAGGCCGCACCCTTGGTCTGCTGCTGAGCCCGACCTTGTTGGATAACAAGCTGGTCCAACCGAAGCTTCTGAGCAGCGCGTTCCAGTACTTTCTCTTCAATTGCATTCTCCGTGACAAACCTGAACACCATCACTTGTTTCGTCTGACCAATACGGTGCGCCCGGTCCATGGCCTGAAGGTCCGCCTGAGGATTCCAGTCGCTGTCATAAAGCACGACAATATCGGCAGTAGTCAAGTTGATACCGAGACCTCCCGCTCTTGTCGTGAGAAGAAAGATGAACTTATCAGAACCTGGTCTGTTGTACTCATCAATAGCAGCGATACGATCCTCATGGGCCGTGGTACCGTCGATACGGCAGTACTTGTATTCTCGGAATACACAGTAGTCCTCCAGGATATCGAGGACGCGACTCATCTGCGAGAAAATAAGCACTCGACTACCCTGCGCCTTCATACGTCGCAGAATCTTGTCTAAAATAACCATTTTCCCGGAGTTATCGACGAGGTGTTCATCTGTGGTATATGGAGGACCAGGCTCGGCACCTTCGAACAGGTAAGGGTGGTTGCAGCATTTTCGAAGTTGCATGACAATGTTGAGAAGTCGAGTTTTCGACTCGCGCTTTCCAGCAGCTCCATTCACCGCGTCAATATCTTTCTCAAGGATCTTCTGGTACCATTTGACCTGCATTTCAGACATGGGGACGAACAAGTTGATTTCTTTTTTGGGAAGCAAGCTCTTTTCCACGTCGCTTTTTACACGGCGAAGTAGGAACGGTCGTAATACACGATGCAGCTGCTGGACAACAGTATCCTGGTCGGTATCTTGAGATTTGAACCACTGGTCGAAAGCCTCAGAGTCGCCGAAGACATCTGGAAGCAGGAAGTTGAGTAGAGCCCAGAGTTCGTGAAGGTTGTTCTGAAGAGGGGTACCAGTGATTAGCAACCGATTGCGAGAGTTGAAGACACGGATTATCTGAGCCAAGGAGGACTCCTCATTCTTAATGCGATGGGCTTCATCAATAATGATATACTCCCAAGCAAATTTCTTGAGGTGCGACTTTTCTCGGAGAATCATCTCGTAGCTGGTGATGCAAACGTCGAATTTCTCATCGACCAGGCGTTCGTTGATCAACCGATGTCTCTCCTCCTTGTCACCCTGGAGAACAAGTACATTGACATCGGGCGTCCACTTCTCAAATTCCCGATTCCAGTTGTCTAGGGTCGATTTAGGGACTGCGATCAGGTGTGGTCCGGTGATGTTGCAAACGTGTCGCAAGTACCCAAGGAAAGAAATGGTCTGCAAGGTTTTGCCCAGACCCATCTCATCTGCGAGGATACCAGAAATACCATTCTCGTGTAGCGAAACAAGCCAGTTTAGACCCGCAATCTGATAGTCGCGCATTTCACCATTGATAAATGGAGGAGACTCTCTGAAGACAGTCCGGGTTTCACCGCCGTCCCTTTCGTCCCTCAGCAGCTCAGCGTCTTCCTCTTGTTCCGTCCTGCGGCGCCTGTCGACGTTGGCGCCACCTGTTCGCGAAGAGCCCTTCTTGGCTCTCGCTTCTTGATCTGCATTCTGGCGGTCAATCTCTTTCAGGATCTCCTTGACCTGCGGGTTGGGATTCGTTTCGATGAAATGGCGGAACAGGTCAGTCAGTCCGAGAAGATAGCGAAATCTCCGAATAGAATCATCTTCCTGTAAATCGCGGTTTATTGCGCATCAGCAAAAAGCAACCAAACATAGAAAGAGACATGTAGACATAATTGTGTTATACCTTAGACTCGTCGAGACGACCATGCTTTTTACCCAAAAGATTCTTTCTTAACAGGAGTGCTTCTGACCTCCTTCTACGCCCGTCCACCGCAATAGCATCGCCTGCAACACTGCTTGCCGTGGTATTAGGGTTTGTGTCTGAATCCTGAAGTAGAAGTCACATCAGCATGCCACTCCGCCAAGGGAGGATTGATAAGTTCATCATTACCGTATAGTCTGGAGTGTCCTGATAACCCTATGCCGGGAAGATTCAGCAAATGATTTCAAGCCAGAGCGGTTAAGGGTAGCGTTGAGTGAATGTAATGTGCGCACGCCGTGGGGGTGTGACTGAAGGGTATATATAACCTACCGTCATCTGCGCATCCGCACTATCAACAGGTACCGAGGTGACCTGCTCCTCATTTGCATCCGTCATCGGTGTATCTGCCTGAGAAGGCGGGTCGGAGTTGGGAGCTAAGGATTGTGAGACCGCCATATCCTCGTTCAGCGCACCTAGCTCACGGTGGGTGCTCCAATACAGTTGGTCGGGACACGCGAGATGATCTGGACGTGATGAAATCCGATGAAGCTTGACCTTTTGATTAATTGGTGGCCAGACCGGAGGGATGGAGGGAAACGGTAGTAGCGAGGAGCCGGACGAGAACAGGGGAGAGTTCTTTGTCGCGCTGATGGCAAAATCCAGGCGAAATAGGAAACCCATGCGCGCGCCCTTCGCTGCACGACGGCCTCAATAGCGGTCATTTTCGACGTCGATTTCACAGGTCCTCACATTCTACCTGTAATCCACAACCGAGCGTTCCACACAACCGAGACCTCACGCGTTTTGATCATGCCTAAAAAATTGAAGCAGTTCAACCACCCACCATGCCTCCAAAAATGCACCAAAATCCCAAAGATTCTATTGAGAAAGAGAGACGGGTCTTACTTGCTATAGCAGCCGTCAAAAACCATGAAATACCCTCAATTCGCGAAGCAGCACGTATTTTCAATATATCTCATACAACCCTACGCCGCCGACTTAATGGCAGTCTATGTCGCAGTGAAACACGCGCCAATGGCCATAAATTAACTTCAAGTGAGGAGGAATCTCTTGTGCAATGGATCCTCTCTATGGACCGACGTGGAGCAGCCCCCCGACGATCCCATGTACAAGAAATGGCCAATATTATACTCTCCAAGCGTGGTACAACACCCATTCAGACATTTGGGGTAAACTGGGTCTACAACCTTGTTAAACGACATGATGAGCTCAAAACAATATATTCTCAGCGATATAATCACCAGCGTGCAAAGTGTGAAGACCCTAAGATTATTAGGGAGTGGTTTGACCGTGTACAAATTACCATTATGCAACATGGAATTGTACAGGAGGATATCTACAATTTTGATGAAACTGGCTTTGCAATGGGTCTAGTAGCTACTGCTGAGGTAGTTACTAGAGCTGAAATGGTTGGTAAACCTTTTCTTGTACAACCAGGCAACCAGGAATGGGTCACAACAATTGAATGTATCAACTCTTCCGGATGGGTGCTTCCACCCTGCATTATTTTCAAGGGAAAGACGCACGTCCAGGGATGGTATGAAGATGAGGATTTACCACATGATTGGAGGATTGAAGTCAGTGAGAATGGATGGACAACTGATGAAATTGGGCTCCGCTGGCTTAAAAATGTCTTTATCCCATCCACTGAGGCACGTACAACTGGGAGATATCGCCTACTTGTCTTGGATGGCCATGGAAGCCATTTAACTCCCAAGTTTGATGAGATATGCAGCCAAAACAACATTATACCAATCTGCATGCCTCCACATTCATCACATCTTTTACAGCCTCTTCATTTGGCATGCCTTTCCCCATTGAAACAGGCATATGGGAGGTTGGTAGAGAATAAGATGCGGCTTGGCTTTAACCACATTGATAAAATTGATTTCCTAGAGGCATACTCCTATGCCCATACAGATATATTTAAGCCACAAACCATTCGCAATGGCTTCACAGCAACTGGCTTAATTCCATTCAATCCAGAAAGGGTGCTTTCGCAGCTTAACATACAACTTGAGACACCCACATCACCAGGCGGCCGATCAACCAATTCAGCACCAAAGACACCTCGCAACCTCCATCAATTACAGAAGAAGGATCATAGACAAAGTCCTTTATCTCTTGCTGAGACACGATTGAAGAAGACTTATAAAGGATTTGAAATGGCACTAAATGAGGTCATTCTTCTTGCGAAAGAAGTCCACGATTTACGTGCTGCTCATGAGAAGCAGCTACAAAAAAGGAAGCAATCTAGGCGGCAGATAGCTACTGCAGAGGGCCTATCTATGCAAGAAGGCCAGCAGCTTCTACAGCATGAGAATGAGGACCAAGAAGCTCCGAATGCTCAACCTACTGAACCAGCACCAGCTGCAGTTGAGCAGCGTATACGGGCACCACCACGGTGCAGTGATTGCCATATTATTGGACATAGGCGATTGCAATGTCCTAGTCGCCATAGGAACTAGTTTTTTTAATAATATATATGCTTTGGGGAGGTCAAAGTATATCGTACTTCCTAGACCATGGTATAGGGGGAACCCCCGGTTGTGGATTGCGTTAGCAGTAGAATCATAATACATATCATAGCATTCTATTGATTCCCACTGCCTAGCTCTCGTTCACTTTTGCTTTATCTGCTAAATAGATTTCTGTCTGTTCCATTCTTTATTTGAAAGAGAGATATTGAATAGTTGCAATGTCCAGAAGACAGCATATCAAAAGTCAATAAAATTGTGAATTACCCACATATAAACTCTGTACATTACGCTGTATATACAAAATTAAATTAAAGTTTAGACACTCCTTTGACGGCAGGCACCTCACACGTCGGAAATGCGTTCCTCGACGTCTTATCCATCACCACCGTCGACGGAGGCACCCACAAGGCCGGATTCTTCTCGAAGAAATGCGACGCGCGCATCATCACACCCACCGGTTCGGCGGGCATGATAGGGAAGTCCTCTGTGCGTGGAAAATGCGTCAATCCAAATTGAATGTAGCAGACAATATCCGTATTCTCGATTGATTCGTTCCGGTTCGCCCAATCCACGATTGTTGGGTTATGCGGGTGGTTCAATTCACCTGTGGACTGGCACACGTAGTCTCCAGCTGGGTATAATTCGTAGTCTCGGTAGGGTAGGACCCAGAGCGATTTGGTTGCGAATCCAGCTCGTTTATGTACGACACTGCCTGGTTTCGGGAGGAGACCGGGACACTGGTTGTTGATGATCTTGTATCCGACGGGCTTCTTGGATGCTGGGTTAAGTTTTCTGGGGTTAACAATGTCCCACGCTCTGCTCGTCTCGTGGCAGTAGTTGACAGCCCCTTCCAGAGATGTTCGGAGAGGAGTCTTTTTGGCATAGAAAGCGTTGCCGAATGGGTTGGCCTCTGAGCCCACTGGGTCATCTGAAGGGACGGCGTCGGTTTGTATGACTGAGTTGTTGTTACCGTCGATCTCGGGGTCGACTCGTAGAGAGAAGATATGTTGGTGATTCTGTGCGTCGATATTCCTGGCAATATTTGTGCCGTATGGCTCAGCCTTCTCTGACGGGTGTAGGCAATAAGTATTTAGCATGCCGGTGAGTTTCATCTCCAGCTTATATGTGCCGTCGAGCGTGAAGATGTGGTAGAAGGCATAGTCGTAGTTGGCCGCTGTGATGATCTGAGAGATGATGAGCTTGCGGTCTCTGGCAGAGATGGAGGAGTTATCGCGGAAGTCGGTATGCTTGTACAGGATGCCGTTATCTTCTTCGTGGATGCACACAGCATTTTTGATGACTGATGCGTCACCCTTCGAGGTGGAGAGCACAGCGTCCAAATAGTGGATGGCGCCCTTGCAATCACATCCCAGCTCGAGTGAGTTTGTCATCAGACCCGTACCGTACTCCCCGACGTCAAATGCGTGTTTCTTGTGGTGTGGCGGCTTGGGACAGCCGTACGGAACAACCATCTCAACAACACTTATGCGGTTGAACAATGTCCGTTCCCGGTTCTCATAGGGATCGTGTACCCGCACATCCGACAGGACAATACCTTCGCGGTAGTTGAATCCAATGTGCATCTTGAACGCAGCCCACTCGATCTCATTGCCATTCATCCGGAATGACACGCCCTGTGACTGGGTAATATCTACTGGCTTGAGACGATCTGCTCGATATCCATCCTGGATAAACTCTGGGAGATAGTTGTGCTCGTCCAGCGGCACGGGGGTCCGCTCCCCATTTACCCGCCGCACATCGACGGAAAGAATCTCTTCGGTCTCGGTATCGGCCACGACTACAAAGTCCAGCGGATGGGCATACTGGTTATCATACTTGGAAGATCGATAGTATGCCAGTGCCTGCTGCAACCTCCTCTCATAGCCCCAGCGGTGGTCAATCCCAATAGCCCATGCATCGAAGTAGACTTTGGACATGTCTGTGATGCCAATTTCCCGGCACACTTCAATAACGCGGGGATCCGTCCGGGCCACACGCTCGATGATATCCAGATCCTCCAGTGTCAGTGTTGGCATAACATCTTTCACGTCTTTCCAAAATTCGACCTGTTTGGTGATCAGGTTGACAACGACCTCGGATACCTTGGCCGTTCCCTTTTCTAAGACGATAGCGAAAGCACGTCGGTCAGGACGGGGCGCAAGGCCTTTCCGGAATGCTTGGTACTCGGCTTTTAAGGGTTCGCGGAGGGTGATGCAATTGAACTTGAGCTGTTTTGGATGAGCATATTTGCGGATAATTGAGGCAGCGAGAGGAATTTCTTCAATGGAAAGTTGATCTGTGGGTTGTCAGTTCATGTCCACCAGGTGGATGAGGGACTGAATGTCTGTACCTAACGGATGGGGCTCCGCAAGAGGAGCTTTTCGAGCAGCACAACAGGCCATGATAAAGATGAGACGAACTTGAAGTGATCTGTTGAATTGACCTTCACAACCTCGTCGTGAGGCTTCGTGAAGCTATTTATCCTCCCATCGACCCTCGGTGCATCCGCATGGACATGCTCCATTTGGAAGGTATAACAATGTTGCTGAGATTCCAGCCCGATTCTGACGACTTCCATCCCGAGTGAGCACACTGTCATATCTCTCGAGTATCATCTAATCGTTGTAGATAAAACCAAAGCAGAGATAGGCCATACAGCTCGTCTGCCGCCCTTCCCCACAGATGTATCCCCATCGGGTAAGTCGACGCGAGTCCAAGCGTGCGCCAGGAAACACTCTGGCCACATCTAAATGAAGCGGCGCAAATCACGAACCTCATCGACTTCCTGTCGAACGGACAGCAGGGCCAATCGGCGGCATAATCCGCATCGACTTGCTCCTCTGGGTTGCGGTGCCTTGGATGCCTTATCAGGACTCCGCGGACTCCATTTTAAGCATTGACGTTGGATATTTCTAGACGGTTTCTTCGCGGACTGTGAAGGGCTAATGCCTTTTTGGAATCTTTTTTTTTTTATAAGGCGCATGGAGATCGACGTTGAATGAGGGTTGTAGCGTGGGTATGATGGTAGTGTACGTCGTGGAAAGAGTTAGCTCGTCATGAAGCAGTTGCGTGTTTGGTCCCTGCAGCCGACCATAGACCTACATTATTCTTACCGATACGTAATAACGCCCTGCTAACGACGCTATTTCCACACATTCCACGTGTATCGGAGTACATCCGACCGCACTGTGGATATCCCTGGGCAAAACAGTAACCCCGTGGCTATAGGTAATAATACCTCATCAGTACACCCAGCTAGTTATCTCCCGACACAACGTAATCGAGCCTCTTCGCGCGGTTCCAGCATCACAAGTCTACCGTTCAACCATACCCATCCCACCATCATGGGCTTAATTCGCGGACTCTTCAAAACAGCCACCATTGGTGGCACAGCGGCGGTCGGCACCTTCTTCTGGGCCACACGCAACGATACCTTCGTCCCTCTCGCACCCTCTGACCCCATCTTCCACTCGGCCAGCTTCAACAAATACAACCCCTCAAAGAACCCGACTACGCACGATCTCTACATTCGCAAGGTCCCATTGTCGCAGATTAACCCGAGCTTACTGGAAAAGAAGGGGAAACTGGTGGAGGCGTTCTGTGCCGGCGTTTGGGGTGGTTGGGGTACGTCACTCTGGGGTTGATTAAAACAGAAACCTTGATACATAAAGATCAACTCTATGGAGTTGGTGGAATCTTCTTGTGGATATTTTCCACTGACAGCCTAATTCGGACTAGGATATGCCATTCAACGTGCATATTTAGCTAGGAAATACCAGGGTCCCGACACCGCGCACCAGCTCTGGACTCCCGACCAATTGCTCTCCTCGACGTATGAAGTTGGTACTCAAATTACAGACCATTTTGAGGTTGTTGAGAAGACTCCCGAGCGCATTGTGGTGAGATGCGGCGATTCGCCCCGCAAACGCGATGTTCGTGAATCGGACGGTCTGTTTGAAATGTCCGCCGTGGTTAAGCCGGATGAAGGCGTTGCAGAGTTCGGTGTCAAGAGCTGCTTCTTCCAGGGTCTTGGGAAGGCCGAGTCTCAGCCCATGCCGGAGCACATTGCCTGGTTACATTATCAATATGCAAAGTTATGGTTGGAGACGGCCATCAGGAACGTTCTTAGGTGAGATGGGTGTTAATGGATGTATATGGTGGTGAGATACCTAATACAGATGAGTGGGCGTCTGAGATCTTCCCCAACTCTCCCTGTACATGCCCTATCTATTAATTGACTGATGGTTTGATGCTACTTGTCCTTCCCGGAAGGACGTATGGCTTTCCTGAGCTGCTCAACAGCCCAGTTTATTCCGATGTCGCCGTATATCACTTGTAGCTCACTCCAGGGAAAGGCAAGGGAGAATTCTGAGGGCAAAATTATAGAATTAATGGACAAAGCCTGAATTTTGATTTTGTCGGACATGACGTGTGCTAGTTGGGATTCCCCTTTCATGAATACGGACCTCCCCTCTTTGTTAATTCACTTGATATACTACTTTGCCTCTAGAGCTAATATAAATATCCCTTCCGTGATTTCTTCTTCCTACTTATTCTCTCCATTCTCTTTCATTTATCTGTCTACTGGACAGTCTCTGCATACTTCAACAGGCCTCTTCTGCATTATGCCCAATATGGCCACGTCCAACAGCTCTGATATCCTCCGCCTGGTGGACCAGGTCAAAGCTGCTGCCGACAAGAACTATACTGACTCTAGCCCGGAGACCCATGCTGATCTTCTCAAGAAGATTAATGACCTGAAGCTCGCTGTTGAGACTCCTACTGAGACGGTTCTGAGAATCATCTATCAGGTTAGTATATAGGCCCGTCCTGAGCCACGTTTTCTGGTGATATATGAAGATTAACACATAATGTAAATGATTTAGCCTCCCCAGAATGCCGCCCTGCGCATAGTAACCGATCTGGGCATTTTCGATCACCTGGTAGAGGCAGGTAAGCATGGCCATGGTGTCTCTGCCGCCGAATTGACCAATGATACAGGCGCTGCTGAGGATCTCATCGGTAAGTGGCATCTTTTCTAAGTTCTGCTCACGTTAAATGCTAGATATGCATGCTGATCATCTTTCAAAAGCTCGCCTCATGCGTGTTATGGCCTCGCTGGGCCTCTGCAGCTCTCCCGAGTCTGGTGTATACATTGCCAACAGCAAAACCAGTATCATGACCGAGCCTACCGGTAAGGACGGGGTTAGATGCATGTACGTATTTCGTGTGTATATATTTCTCTATCGGCTGTTGTACACCATATCATTTTGTGTTTGACGGGGTTACACATATGGCTATGGGATACCAAAGTCCAGCATATGCTAACATATATAAACTGTAACAGCTATGACCTCACCCTTCCCACTCTCTCGAAACTTCCGGCATTTTTGAAATTTACAAACTACGTGAATCCTACTGAATACTTGCGCTCTCCAATGGCGTACGCGGTTGGACAGAGCCAGTTTGAGTGGCTGGCAGACCACAAAAAACAACAGAGCTGGTTCAACTCCTACATGGCTAGTCGCCGGGAGGGCAAACAGAATTGGTTTGACATTTACCCTGTCAACAGAGTCATTCAGGAGGCCGCTAGATTCGACGATGTTCATACCCGTCACCATAGCCATGGCCATGAAAATGGAGGTGAAGAGGCTGAGCACCACGACAAGACACCGCACAGGAACGAAGAAAAGGTATTCCTAGTTGATATCGGCGGGAACCAGGGCCACGATCTGGTCAAACTCCGGAAACGTCTTGGTTCTGAATTTCGTGCGAAACTTGTGTTGCAGGACCTACCTTCTGTTCTTGAGTCGTCTTCGAATACCGATGGGATTGAGAAGATGGCATATAGCTTCTTGGAACCACAGCCTGTCAAAGGTATGTATCACCCACCCTTTCAATTCCGTTACTATATGTAGTGGTAGGAGCTGATACCAGACATAACAGGAGCGTACATCTACTTCTTCCGCTCTATCTTCCATGACTGGCCTGACGATACGTGCCGCAAGATCCTCCTCAATACCAAATCTGCCATGGATCCCGTGCATTCGCGGATTATCATCGTCGATTTTGTTCTCTCGGACACGGACACCCCTCTTATCCAGTCGTCTATGGATATTCAGATGATGAGCATCGGAGCAGGAGTGGAGCGATCAGAACGTCAATGGAAGGAATTACTACAGAGCGCTGGATTTGTGATTCGAGGGATCTGGAACTTCAGTCCTGGAATGGAGTCAGTAATCGAGGCTGCCCCTGATGAGGGTTCTACAAGTGAAACGCCAGAGCAAGACGAGAAGAAAGAACCGCATCAGAAGAATGCGGTGGCTAATTTTGGAGCAGGGATCAATTCTGTTCAGGCCCAGGTGGAAACTCTTTGGCTACAGCGGGCTTTCGGCGTTGGGCGTCCTTAGGTTATTGGATTTCGGAGCTGATATTGACCTGGACACGTTCATGTTTCTGTTTGGAGAGACATCTTGAGATAGTCATATAGTTAAAGCAAATACCATTCGGTGGAAATTAAAGAGTGAATTTAAGCCTTGCCAGAATCGTACGCACACCCGACTTTCCCACTTAAATAGACTCGTCATGTCACTCTCTACGTGCCTCCTACAGCGTACAACTCAATACAAACCACCAGAATCCATCGTGCAGCAACTGGAAGTGGCGTTTGTGGGAAAAGTGAGTGAGTGGCACTGAGGAGTGACGCAAATATTCACACAAATCCTACGGGCAAAAAGATGACTCAGTTACGTTGCCATCCCCGGACAGCAATGCCGGCATGCGCTATCAGCGGGGGGAGAGAGGGAGAGAGGATGTCTCTGTAATAATCCTCTCTGCAGATATGCAGTAATGACTGGGCTCAGCAGACGATGCGACTTCGGTTCCAGTTCTATCCTAGGGCTCGTGAACAGCGGGTGAGTGCGTCGCATGTAACCCTTCGCCAGCCTCGTAGGGAGTTCTTCAAGGCAGCCATCATCAACTTCTGCCTTCTTCAAGTCCTCTTCTTCTCCCTCTTCTGCTACCTTTACGGGACGCTCTATCGTGAGAGTACCCATATCCATAACCTGCGCATTGTCTACGTCGACTATGACGGCGGTATCGTCGGCCAGTCTGTCCGCAACGCCTACAACACTCTACGTGGACGAGGCTTTCCGACTTTGATCGAACGCTCTCCGGCGGATTTCCCATCGCCTGGTGACATCAGAAGGACCGTTTGCCATATTCAATACTGGGCTGCCGTGTATACAGCACGCGGTGCATCCGATCGACTCGCTACAGCGCTGTTGGTCGGGGGTTCAACAGCTGCAGACTTCAATAAGTCGGATGTGCTGTTCTATATCTGGAATGAGGCTCGATATCCTGCGGTGGTTGACTCAACTATCTCGAATAATCTGAAGACCTTGTCGTCTACAGCGACTGCCGCGTACGCACGGGCAAACAGTTCCGGTGTCCTTGGGACCCTAAGGTCTCCTGAATCCCTGTCTTTATATGCAGATCCCTGGAAAATTGTGGGAATCAACCTGCAACGCACGGCACAGGGTTCGCGTCTGATCTACAACACAATTGCCGTCATCCTGATATTTGTCCAGGAGTTCTGCTACCTGGGCATCATCAATGGCCTCTATAGCCAATTCAAGCTCTACAACCGCCTCTACCCGACGCGGGTCATCTTAGTCCGCGTTATCCTGTCTGCCCTTTTTACCTTCTCCGGCTCGTTATTCTCTATCGTGGCCCTCTGGGCATTCCGTGCCGGCTGGCATGTCAATGCAAACCAGTTCGTGCTGAACTGGATGATCCTCTGGCTCTTCGCCCACCTCAATTTCCTGACGCTCGACTTCTTCACTGTGTGGCTCCCGCCATTCTACACCCCCTTAGCCCTGATCTCATGGGCCATCCTCAACATCGCCAGCATTCTGTTCCCCTACGAACTCAGCCCTGGGTTCTTCAAGTGGTCCTACGTTCTACCAGCCCACTCGCTTTACCAGACGGAGATCGACATCTGGTCTAGAGGCTGCAATCCGCAGCTCTGGTACACGCTTCCGGTTATGTTCACTATCGAGATCACCAGCCTCACGCTGAGTTCTATCGGCGTCTACCGGAGATGCCACTACGCGAGGGTTATCGAGGAAGCGGAGGAAATAGCCATGCAGCAGCGACTTGCAGCCGCCATGGCTGGGCAGCCAGTACCACAAGCGCCACCCGGAGAAGAGCATATAACCAGAGAGCCAACGTACCCGGGGATAGCTCCGACCGCGACGGAGGAACAGCTTATGAAGGAGGATGAGGCGCTGGCGCGAGAACGGACCAGAAGCTCTAATGTTTATTATGGGCCGTCGTTCGGGTTGGCTCTTACTCGGAGTACTCGGACACAGGGATGGTAGGTTTTTTTCCTTTTTTTTTTTTTTTTTTTTTTTTTTTTTTGGTTTCATGTAATGGCATTGATATTGGACATTGTACATAGTAGTGTTGGCATACTGTAGATTTTGCATTCTTACTATAAACACGGATTGCATCATATCCAGCAGGCATTTTGCTAGATACGATTTTCTATTTATTTAGATCAGCACTAGCACTAAACATAAAGTAGTTACTTTTGTGACAGTTAGCAGGGCACTGGAAACAGCCCTCGTTGGATCGCGCCGAAATGATACCCTCCATTGGATTTTTGTTCTCGCTCCAGGCTCCAACCGATGTACATGGTACCACATCAAAGGAGTCTCTACGCAAGATGTTTCATACTCAATGAAGGTTGAAGGCAGCAAGAGGCTGGACCTCTTTAGTTTGCGTCTCTGTCTAAAATCTGTACCATCCCAGCATCACAGAGAAACAGGCTGTTAGCAGCCGCGAATTCTATCCCGCTACAAAGATGTCAACGTTGGACCACAGAGCTTCTTACCAAGCTGGAGCAAAGAGGATTGGCGCTCTTGGGGACTGTTTGCTCCCGATTGATTTATTGTCTCCCTTTGTCAAGTTTATCTGTACTTTGTCTGGTTTTACATTGCTTCTTTTGGCAATTGAGAAAAGATATCTTACCTTCCAGGCCAGGCTCATGTTGACTAGCTACGAAGCTTGTACACTGTCTACTCCACGTGTTTTATATGCAATATCTCGCGAAACGATATTATGGACATGGATCATAACGGCATTTTCCAGCGGATAAGAAGGTAAGGTCTTCTCCACCACATTCTCACTAAACCACCCACTCTCCCAGTCTGGATAGCACAACGCCTTAATATACTCCCAGGACTCCGGAAAGAACCCCGCCATTTGCCAATCAATAATGCCATGGTCTAGGGTGGCCAGATCGGTGGTGTTGACCTATTCGGTGGTGGGTTACGTTAGTTAACTGACTTGGCATCTTCGCCACGGGCCAAAGCGAAGGCGACGATTGCCTCCCCGACACCAGAACCTGAACATATCACCGCAACACCAGACCCCAAGTAGAGGATATCACGCCTCTCGCCACAAATCAGAGACGACTACACCGAATGGGAATGCTTCACCCATCCTGACCCAGATGAGGAAGATCCTCCGACTCTGGATGAAATACAGATTCTGCGGGAATTCGCCGAGCGTTACGGCACTCCTGTACCTGAGGTATGGCCGCCAGCATGTGACCCTGGCACGTCTTAGGTGCCAGCAGATTGAGCAAGTAGGGCACAGGGCTAGGGCTGAGGGCAGGCAGCTGCCCTCGCCTCTTTGCTTCTTCTTCTCCTCGTGTACGATATTCCTAGACAGTACGGCCAAATAGCGAGTTGCTTTCCTCTTCTCATCCTATTATAGCTGATCGTCACAATAGCCCAATTAGGGCTGACATGGGACTTGAAAGTGAAAATAGGAAACAACAGGCAGTTATTCTGCCAAGTGTCACAGTTGAATGAGCACCTAGCCGTATTCTCCTTCGGTATATTATAGGCAGTAATATGAAAATGACGTGCAGCAGTTTTATGGAGATACTATCTTAAGCTTTCCCAGGAGTACCAAGAAGGTAATGTTTCCATAACAACATCATAGTTGGCCCCAAAGAAAAAGGGGATGGAGAAACACTCTGTACTAGATGTGTTCACTACCTGATTGTGACGACCCGTCCCATAAGGCCGCCAGGTCCTGATGAGGATATACTATTTTGGACAGGTGGATTATCTAATAATCCGACCCTCGGGATGCGGAGTATATATGTTCCGGAGGAAAGATGACCATACCCAAGTATCCCGGATCCTGTATATAGGAGCTCGAGCGAGCAAGCAGGCGATTAAGCGCATCAATTAGAGCTTCACGATGTACTAGAGACGGCAGTATATCGGTATAGAGCGTTCACCACGATCCCCACGAATCCTACGGTATCCTTTTAGTATCCGGTATCCAGACGCCGCACCCCTGATCCACATCATAAACTAATGGAGGTATATCTCGTTGGTTACTAGCTAGATAGGCCTACGTGGTGAAAAGGGTCAGCGAGGGCGGACCTATGCGGCAGAATCCCACGTGATCCAACATAAACGGGCAGAGCACACGTGACGTCTAACAGTAAACTTACGTTACATAGGAAATGATTAGTGAACTTTTTTTGGCACTGCTTTTCTTCACCGCCTGGGATGCAACCAATACAAACAGAATGATATGACGCCATCCGCTGCAGTGACAGGCAGAATGGCTCCGCCTTCCAAACTTGGCAATGCAGTATTCTGGAGTCAAATTTCCAGGCCTCATTGAGATGATATCCTCTATCCAACACATTGATTATTGCACTTCCTGCTCCTTATAAATCCCAATCTAGAGCTTTAAGATGAGCGTCGTCCAGAGCGTTACTCGCTCGGCTTCTCGCAGCCTCAGAGCTGCCGCAAAGGCCAAGAGACACATCCCAGCAAGCACCATCTCGGGGAGAAGCCAATTTCAAATCACAGCGTCAGCTCATCAGAACAGATCATTGCACACCAACACAGATCGAAATTCCTCACACGTGGCGTCGGTAACAGCAACAGCAGCAGGAGCGAGCCATCCCGAGTCATCATGTCCTAAAGATTCCTCGAATCCCGCTCTCTCTTTCCCTTGTCTCGATGCACAAGATGCCAAATCCGCTCTCCTCTCCGCTGGATCCCTCCAGTCCGGTCCCGAGCCTTCATATACCACCGGTTACCACGAGAAATACTCCTGTAGCGAACCATTATTATTAGATTGGGGCGGGGTATTGCCTGAATTTGACATTGCATATGAGACTTGGGGCCAGTTGAATGTGGACAAGAGCAATGCGATTCTCCTCCACACGGGACTGTCCGCGTCGAGCCATGCACGCAGTACCGAAAAGAACCCTAAACCGGGGTGGTGGGAGAAATTCATCGGACCCGGTCGCCCTGTCGACACGGATAAGTATTTCGTGATCTGCACCAATGTCATTGGTGGTTGTTATGGGAGTACGGGGCCGTCATCGATTGATCCCTCCGATGGGAAGAGATATGCGACTCGCTTCCCTATTTTGACGCTGGAGGATATGGTGAGGGCGCAGTTTCGATTGCTGGACTTCCTGGGTATTCAGCGGTTATATGCGTCTATTGGATCGAGTATGGGCGGGATGCAGAGTCTTGCTGCGGGTGTTTTGTTTCCGGAACGTGTGGGCAAGATCGTGAGTATTAGTGGTTGCGCGCGGAGTCATCCATACAGTATTGCAATGAGGCATACGCAGCGGCAGATCTTGATGATGGATCCTAAATGGGCACGAGGATTCTACTACGGCTCCATCCCACCGCATTCGGGGATGAAGCTTGCCCGCGAAGTCGCCACGGTGACGTACAGGAGTGGACCGGAGTGGGAGAAGCGATTCGGACGGAAGCGTGCTGATCCTGGGAAACCACCGGCCCTGTGTCCAGATTTCTTGATCGAGACTTACCTCGACCATGCAGGAGAGAAGTTCTGTCTTGAATACGACCCGAACAGCCTCCTCTATGTCTCCAAGGCCATGGATCTATTCGACCTTGGATACGCCCATCAGGCAGAGACCCGGAAGCGAAGAGCTGAATATGAAAGCAAGATTGCCCAAGGTGGGAAGAATATCCAATACGACAACGCCGCCTGCAGCCTTACACTACCGGAGAAACCCTATGAGGAGCAACCCTCGGTAACAGCGACAGTGCCAGAGACTGTATCTGGCGATGCGGGAACCAAATCTGGACAAGCGGGCTACCCACTATCGTCTGATCTCGTTGCAGGCCTCGCACCACTGAAGAACCATCATGTCCTGGTCTTAGGCGTTGCAAGCGACAGTCTTTTCCCTGCGTGGCAGCAGAGAGAAATTGCAGAGACACTCCGCGCAGTGGGTAACAAGACCGTGGAACATATTGAACTAGGGGAGGATGTATCGTTGTTTGGGCATGATACATTTTTGCTGGATTTAAAGAATATTGGGGGTGCAGTTGAGAAGTTTCTGCGCTGAGCGTTTTTTCTCCCACTTGCAGATTCTTTCTGTTAGCGTTTTTCTTACACCTTCATTTATTAGAATTGGCGATTACGTGACTATCATGGCGTTTCAAGGATTAATTCATGAGTCTCCATTTTGTTAAATCCAAGCTTGTACAGTGTGCTCATATTTGCCGTTAGACACAAATCATTAATAGGTCATGTGCGAAGCAATATCTAGTTGTGACCCTTGAATCCAGCTAAGGCCGGATTCCATAATCTTGAGTAGGATTTTGCTTTTAATCTCCAGCATCTTCTTTTTGCATGGTTCCGATGTCAAGCTTGCTTCTTACCCAGAATATCTGCGTCTACTCCAGTTCTGAAATCTTATCTGATGTCTAGATGCTTGACATTTCTCCCTACCAAGCTGACGTGTATGGTTCCATAAGTGGAAATATGCTATCATCTCCTAGGGCCCATTCGAAGTCCTCTAAGAACTGATCATCGAAGAGTGGCTCCGACCGTTCCACTTGACATACCGGTGCATGTGCCGTAGCGCCCACATGCTCACGGCTGTTTTCAACTCCTGTTGTTCCTATCGTTAGCGTAAACGGTACACTCGGCTCAGACTGAAATCGACAAACCATCCGGCTCCCACTGAGACACGAGCATAGCCCGGTATTGAGCGTCAAATTCGTCTCGCCACCACCACACCGCATCAAGCACCGGACTGAGGACTAGTCGGCTACGGATGCGAAGCGTCGTGTATTCGCTGCCATCCGACTTCCGGAATGCCTTGGTGCTATGCCAGAGCTGGTTCAGTATTACCACTGTTTTTGCAGCTAAATCTGTGCTGCCCACCGACATCTGCTTCGCGAGATTGATGCCCTTGAAGAGACACGATTTGGCTCGCTCAGCATCAATGCCACGAGACGCCGAGCTCTTTAAGATTCGAAGTAGCGAGACTAATGCAATTAGGACTCCAAAACTGACATACATCGGAGCCGTTGATATGGCATTCAGCCGTCTACCCAGTCCTTCTGCCTGTTCAACGACCGCGCAGGCCGTGTTAACGATTCGCGGGAGACAGCCAGTAGAAACTAATGTATGGTTCTTGAAAAAATGCAGGGCCAGGATACTCATACGGCAGTAGGTAGTGTGGAGTTTGTCGTCCTCTGGAAGATTGGTTAGTTTCATAGATTTGGAGCACTCTAATCTTTCTGTTATATGTATTAACCGAGGGATAAGGAGGAATGGATAGACACACCAGAGATCACTTGCGCCTCAAGATCATTGGCCTGGCTCTCAAAATTTCGAAGCAAAATATCCAAGGCTCGTTCTTGATCCGCAGACATATTTCGCATCCCGTTCTCAAGGGCTGCCGCACTGCATTTAGCGACGATCTCCTGGCACTTTACTTTGAGCAGCAAAGATGGGTCAATTTTATGAAAAAGAACCTGTTTTTCACCAGGGTCTTGTTCAAAATTAACAAGAGGATTGGCACATTGCCCCTTGCAAACGCAGGTCCTGTTGCTAACCTCAGTAAATAGTAAAACAATACTCGGAATTCCTATGGCAGAACGTACAGTTTATACACAATAATGCAGTGCGCCCACAGTTCTGACCGCCGAATCATGTCTGCCTCTGATAGTGCAGGAATTTTAACCCTTGAGAACTCATGACTAGACATGGGAATGTGTAGTGCATTCTGCATGGCGATATGCAGCAACATCCCGCTCAAGGGAAACGTAATATCAGGATAGTTCACATCCTTTGGGAACGGCCAAGTTAGCATAAGCAAGAGACCCTTGATATTGTGCCAAGGTGCGGCTGTTGATGCAACTGTGAGCAGTGCCATTTCCGAAATGCTTTGTCGCAAGGCTGTTAGTAATGTCGGGTTTTGAGAATAATTTCTGCACGCAACACCGATAACCGTCCAGAAGAGAAAAGGTGATTGGGCATAGTATGAATTTGGAGAGGTATGGGGGTCAAAAAGAGGTAGGAATCGTGCATAGTGGTTAAAAAATCTTCATAATGAGTTAGTACCTTGGGAGAGAACGGGAAATAATGGAATCTGCATGCAACACACAGTTGAAAGATATCGTCGACTTCCTCGCCTGTCAGGGTGACCCCATTCAGAGTCCGAGAGGTAGTGGGTTCTGTATTGCGCCTGACGGTAGCCGTCTCGACCCTAGCCTCCTGAGAGCTCGAATAAGCATGTGGCAATGGGTAAGCAGAGACTGAAGGCAGATGTACTGCAGCTGGCCCATTGCTGGTGGGATGTTCACCCAACTCTGCGGCAGCCGTCAACATGGCCATAGGAGAGGAGTGAATATTCTCGGAAGACTGTGAAGCTCGCAGTTTCCGTCTCAATTCTTCTGCCTCCTGTTGAAGATTCGAGAGGCGTCTATTATCATGGTTAAAGAATCATGACACCACAAACAGACAGTGGGACGGGAGACAAACTGGCGTTTATTCTCTCGCTTGAAAGGATCGGAGATGACGCATCGTGCATTGACTTTGACACATCTGGAGCACGGGCGACTAAGATCGAGATAGGCGTCGCATTTGGCCTGTTACTTTGTATGTTAGACGGAGAGCCACCGGAAACGGCCCAATTTGGATGATTCAACGGACCTTCTGCTGTCTGCATTCCGTGCAGGCCTTTTTGCCACGTTTTGACGGACTATATAGGATCATCAGGTCAGTCGGATCTTTCTTGTCTGTCTTGATCATTCTTCTTGTCTGTTTTGTCTTGCTTTATGCATCTGTACCTTCGCCCTGAAGTGGTCAATGCACGACCGGACAGGACGGGACTCGATAGAAATACGCGACACTGCAGAAACTTACGGCTTGGATGATGAGTCCATTTCCGAAACTGATGAATGTGCCGTAATATCAGAGCTACAGAAAAGCTAGAGAGTGATGGACGAGGCACTTGGACTTCAGTCCTGGGGAGAGTCACGGGACCATGGCCGGAGTCAGGTGCCAACTGGCCAGTGTGTTGGTGCCTTGCAGCCTGAGGAATGAATCTGACCAAGCACTTGCCAAGCAGTCTTGTTTTCTTTGTTTGTGACAGAAAGAAATCATTTTAAACCCCCACTGTATCTGCAGGTCCCAGTGTTGCTGACTGGAAGTATGCAGTGACAGTTCTTCTCTTAATCTGCTCGTTGGCGTCTTCGGCTAAACCGGCAGAATTATATTATTAAGTCGACTCGATAAGCACAAGCACGGTGCTCGCGTGTTCTATGCCCTTTTAAAATGTCACCCTGATAATATTTAAGGACCATTTTATCGCCGTTGTCGTCATGGCCTAGCTTTCTCTCTACGCACTTACCCAAGGTCCAGATTGAATCTCGGAAAATACCTATAATAAGGCTAAGACCTTCACATTGAGGAACTCCAGCTTACCGGTGCCTAAGCTGCTTGTGCGCCCTTTTTTTTTTTTCCAGCCTCGCCATTCGTCGTTGATGGGATCAAGTTCTACCCCTCGTGGACAGCATCCAGCAGGAGATCATAGTATCGATAATGTAGTCCTCCGCCAAGACGCAGATGAGACTTCAATCCAGGAAGGGGCCGACCGCCATCACTTCAGCTCTATTATCGAGCTTGGCGGTGATGCCCCTTCTATCGATAGCAAAGATTCCGATATTATGACGGTTATCTACCATGGCAATTCGGAAGAACAAGTTAACGGCCATCGACGATTCCCTTCTGTCAGTGAAGACGGTGACAATGGTGACGACGATGACAAGTCGGAACAAGGAGATGGCGGATCCTCTTCAGATGAGAAGCCGGTAACCTGGAGTTCACTGCCCAAAAAGGGCCAGCTCGCTATCCTGACATGCGCTCGTCTATCAGAGCCTCTTGCCCAGACATCTTTGCAGGCGTACATATTTTATCAGCTGAAATCCTTTGATCCGTCTCTGCCTGACTCGACTATTTCCTCCCAAGCAGGTATCCTGCAGGGTAGCTTCACAGCGGCACAGTTTCTAACTGCCGTCTGGTGGGGGCGACTGGCGGATGCGGAATGGATGGGGAGGAAGAAAGTTCTGCTCATCGGGTTGCTGGGAACATGCATCTCGTGTTTAGGCTTTGGGTTTTCCAGGTCGTTTGTGTCAGCGGCTGTGTTTCGGACTTTGGGCGGAGCGCTGAATAGCAATGTTGGGGTAATGAGGACTATGATTGCGGAGATTATCGAGGAGAAGAAGTAAGTTGCAGCCTTTTTTTTTTAAAGGGCGAAGAATCACCCGTTTACTGAGATCATTCCAGGTACCAATCTCGAGCTTTCCTATTGCTGCCGATGTGCTTCAACATTGGAGTTATCATCGGCCCCATCTTAGGAGGTGTCTTGGCCGACCCTGTGAATAGCTATCCTCATATATTCGGACCGGGTTCATGGCTCGGAGGCAAGGATGGCGTACAATGGATGCAGCATTGGCCCTACGCATTGCCCAATGTCCTGAGTGGAGTATACATATTCATCTCCTGGATGGCTTTGTTCCTTGGACTCGAGGAGGTAGGTTACTCTGGGCTGTATGCAATTCAGTATGTTAACATCAAAGCCAGACTCATCATCTTGCACGATACCGAAGTGATTGGGGGCGGGAGCTTGGGGAAACACTAGCACGCTTTTTCACACCGCGACGACTTAGGCATTATCGCCCTCTAACCGACATCCCTGACGATGCTTCAGTAGATCTTGAACGGAGTGTAGCTCCAAGTTCAACTCAGTCCGGTGTCACTCGTCCTCCCGGTTCGAAACGCCCTGGTTTCCGACAGATCTGGACTTCGAATATCCTCCTGACCCTCCTGGCTCACTTCCTCCTTGCTTTCCACACCAGCGCTTTCAATGCTATGATATTTGTCTTTCTGCCGACACCAAGAGCCCCCGAAGGCTCCCGACACGGCTTCTTCCACTTCAGCGGTGGCCTTGGTTTACCCTCTGCTCGAGTTGGTCTTGCGACGGCCGTAATCGGCTTTATTGGTCTACCATTACAGATTTTCCTCTACCCACGCATTCAATCGCGCCTTGGGACCCTGAAGTCATTTCGAACTTTCCTTCCATTCTCTCCAATGGCGTATGTTCTGATGCCGTTTCTCGTGCTTATTCCGAACCTACCCTGGCTGGTATGGCCTGTATTTACTGCGGTTATCGGGTTGCAGGTTGTATCCAGGACATTTTCACTCCCCGCGGCTATCATTCTCGTTAATAACTGTGTTACGGATCCGTCGATCCTGGGTACTGTCCACGGAGTAGCGCAGAGTATCTCGAGCGCGGCACGTACCCTGGGACCGTTTGTAGGAGGATGGGGCCTTGGGATGGGACTACGCTACAATATGGTTGGTGGCGTGTGGTGGGTAATGGCCGTAGAGGCTTTACTAGGCTGGTGTCTATTGTGGGCAATATATGAAGGAAAGGGCATTGAAAAGAAAAAGGACGAGGAGGAAGAGGGTGGGGGTGGCCGGTAATCTTTTTTGATGGAGATACGCATTGGACTGCCATTTACATTCAGATGATATACGTGAGATGATGTACGATCTACGATCCGAAATTTGACTCTGCGAACATTGAAAATAGAAATGCTATACTGAATGTATAGGAAACACCAAATCAAAACAAATTAAATCTGAAAAGGCCATCAACTTATCGACTCAATCCCACCTCAATCATCGTGAAGGAACGGGGAAGTATCAATCAAGCACCAACAGCAGGCGATATAAATGCCTTGATGGCTTTTTGGACATCGCCCTCGTTCGCCTTCAAGAGCTCCGTCGCTTTGATCTTATTGAGATCCAGCTGATCCACCTAGTATGATCAGTCGACAGCCATTATAATGCATACATAAGTAAGATAGAACATTACCAAAAGCCCGACATCCTCCGCAGCGACTTTAACTGTCGCCTTCTTCCCGTCCTGGCCGCCGGAGATCTCCAAGCGACTCATCGCCTCCCCTAACACCTCCCGATCGGTGGAAGACGACGAAGCTACTGCACCCGGCTGGTCCCCACTCATATCAGTTGTGACTGTATTTAGGGACTCAAGGGCAGCAGCCGCCTTCTGGTCCTCTTTGCTCTTGGGGGGTTGTGGCTGCGGCTCATTGGTGGCAGAGGGGATGTCGTCGGACATTTTGCTTTTGCTTTCTTACGCCCAGGGAAATCAATCACAGGTGGGAGATGGAGTTGAATGTAACGTCTGAGGACAAGACAGCTGTCAACAAAGCCAAGACAATGGTTCCTGGTGATGATAAGGATGGGATGGTGATCAATGACGTTGAAGAGGTTAAGAGCGCAGTACAAGTGATTACCCAGATAGGAATAGCGTGCAGATATCGATGTGTGAGTCAGATGATGGAGCTAACCGCTTTCAGAATTTTCTGGTCGAGGACAAAAAAAGGCGTCTTTCAGCATTAATAAAGCCTGCATTCTCAATGAAAATTATGGATGCTTGAACTTCCCCGGACAATGCTGGGATAGTGCCATTGTGACTTTGTTATTTGGAATGTGCCGTCATGCTTAACCCTGGTGGTATATAAATCAATCTCTGTGTCCTGTGAGCTGCTGTGAATCCTTTCTTTTCTCCCCAGCCTACACCTCTTTCAACAACGGCCATTTCTGCTGCTAAGACCTATCAACTAGTAGTGCTATACATCAAACCAAACCCCGCTGTATCCAGCATACTCCTACCTGTAGAGGCCTATTCACTTGCCCTATTCAGTTACCCTTGTACAACGATAATCGCAGATCGATATGGCTGCTGATTGGTCTCCAGATTGTATGTACCACCCTTCGGTTAACATTGCCTGTTTTTTATGAGTGTCTTGCTGACTTGTGTTCTTTACAGCCTGGTCCTCGAAGCCAATTAAGCAGGACGTCGTCTACGAGAATGAGGATGGCCTCAAAGACGCCGTTGCAAAGCTCTCCAAGCTTCCCCCACTAGTTACGCCTAAGGAGGTATGTGCCCGGGTTTCTCATGCCAGTTGACTATGCAATGCACTAATCATATATACAGATTCTTAAACTCAAAGAACATCTTAAGGATGTGGCTCTTGGGAAGGCCTTTTTACTTCAGGGTGGTGATTGTGCCGAGTTATTCGACTATTGCAACCCCAAAAATATCGAGGCGAAAATCAAATTGATCTTACAGATGAGCCTGGTTCTCATTTGGGGTATGTTCTCTGGAATCCCCTTGTGTTAATTATCTATACTAACTGTTAATAGGAGCCAACCGACCAGTTGTCCGCATTGCCCGTATCGCAGGGCAGTTCGCAAAGTGAGTACTGTCAATATTATTATATCGTGGCAGCCTTATATGACTGTCCAGGCCTAAGTGACATTCTTGTTTATCTGTTTTTTTCAAGAAGAATCATGCTAATGTTTCTCCCACAGGCCCCGCTCCAGCGCAACTGAGGTCGTCAACGGCGTTGAAATGCCTTCTTTTCGAGGCGACAATGTCAATGGCTTCGCAGCTACCCTAGAGTCCCGCAAGCCAGATCCCTCCCGTCTGGTTGCGGCCTACTTCCACTCTGCTGCCACATTGAACTATATCCGTGCCTCCCTATCTTCTGGGCTGGCTGATCTCCATTCCCCCCTGGACTGGGGCCTTGGCCATGTCATCACTCCAAGCATCAAGGAGAAATACGAACGGATCGTTACCCGCGTCAAGGATGCGATCCGATTCATGCACACTGTGGGCATTGACACAGACCGAGGCGTGGAGACGGTCGAAATCTTCACCTCCCACGAAGGCCTCGCGTTGGAATATGAGCAAGCCCTTACCCGTATGCTCCCACCACCCAAGGACCCCAAGACCTTATTTTATGAATCCATTCTGACACCTCCCCTTACACTTTCAGACCCCTCTCCCCGGGCTTCTGAACGGGGTTTCTACGACACCTCTGCCCACTTCCTGTGGATTGGTGACCGCACCCGCCAGCTCGACGGCGCTCACGTCGAGTTCTTCCGCGGCATCCAGAACCCAATCGGCATTAAAATCGGCCCGACCATGAAACCTGACGAGCTCGTCGACCTCTTGAACATTGTGAATCCGAACAAGGAGATCGGTAAGGTCACCCTCATCTCCCGCTACGGTGCTGCAAAGATAGCCTCTCTCCTCCCTGCGCACATCGCTGCCGTGCAAGCCTCCGGCCACGTCCCCGTTTGGCAGGCGGATCCTATGCATGGCAACACCAAATCGACATCATCGGGTGTCAAGACCCGCCATTTCGAAGACATACTTTCCGAACTCCGTCAGGCGTTGGAGATTCATCGTGCCGCAGGTTCTTTCCTGGGCGGTGTTCATTTGGAACTCACCGGTGAAGCTGTTACGGAGTGCTGTGGCGGTGCTGGCGGCCTTACTGAACAGGATTTGGGTGAGAGGTACGAGACCTTTTGCGATCCTAGACTCAATGAGAAGCAGGCGCTTGAGCTTGCCTTTCTCGTTGCAGGATTCTATCGTGACATCGAGGAATCCCAGGAGGTCAATTCTATTTAGGTGTTACTTTCCCAGGTGGACACGTTTATTTTTGGTTATCTTCTGACAGACAACTGTGGATGAGATGTTGGATGATAGATGTGATAGAAGATGGTTCTGTACATCTTTTTTCGGTAAGTGAAGATTGAGCGCTGGAAAAAGTAAAAGACAATAGATTGTTTTCAGAAATCCATGCCGATTTAGATAGATAGTTCTTCTCCCAATTAATTAACTACTTAGTAACTGCTACTACTGTATTTGGCTTGGGTGACATCTTTGGCTGTTGTTTGGTATTGCTTGGGGCTCCCTAAATGCAAGAATGAGCAATGAAGTCGGACTATACTGTAGGTAGGCATAGCATTATCATCAGTGAAGACATTGAACTTATGCCTACCTACAATATGACTTCATTGTTCATTCTTGCATTTAAGTGAACACAGACGTCTTACTCTGGCATTTACGTGCGACTCCCAAGAACCCGATACGAGGTAGTTTTCTTCAAGGGTCAAGGAGGCTGATCTCTCCTATCGACCTAAACGATTACCGGACGGCCATTCGAAACAATGGCCGACGTTTGTTGAGGCGGGGGATTCGGAGAGTAATAGTAATAATAAATTTGGCAATAATATGAGGTGGCTTTCAGTATTGGGTGATGAAGAGCAGCTCTGAACTCTACTACTTACTAGATGCTACTTAGGTGTCATGGTGTCCTTCTAGCTTAATAGAAAGACCAACAAACATAAAATTTTACCTTGTCATTATATTCTTCTGATTCATCCAAGGTACGCACTATTTATAGTGCTGTGGTATAAAGGCATCATTTGAGAAAGCCAGGATACCGTCTTAGTGATGTGCCATGTCTTCCTCTTTGGAATTGTTGTATTACCCTCCTTGTTGTCGCCGTGTACCGGAGTTTTTCCAAAACAAAGACCAAGGCTTCTAGTATATAGTGGCTAGCCTTTGCTTTCCAAGAAAGTCGCTAGACCTTTCGGAAGACAGGGAATGGTACTAAGGCATGAAAGCCGATATCCATAATTACCAACTGCAGGAAATAACCGAGCTATACAATGTTATACACCCGCTTCGCAATGACGAACGACGCAAAAGCAAAGACGAAAAGCCCGGCAGTAACTGCATTTGTTAGCTGATAGTGTCCTTCAGATAGACAGGTTATCCAGTAGCGAACTTACTCGACCAAAACCACCAGAGATTATCTACATCTTGGCCAGGGACTTTAACGTTCATCCCCCACATTCCACAGATTATATTCATCGGAAGCACGATTGTACCCAATACAGTCAGTTTGCCTAAAACGTCCGCTGTCTGCTCCTGACGCTCATTCATTAGGATATTGATCTGAGCGAGGTAGTTGGAGTGAGCTCGGGATAGAATGCTGCAGATAAGTCAGTAATGTTTGTATTATGGGGAGAACACGAGTGCAAACGAGAATCTCAACGCTCAACACTTACGTTTCGTAGTGAGTTAAGTTACTCGTCATCGTCAGAATGTGATCTTGGATGTCACCGAGATACAGTCCGATCTCAGACTTAGGCGCAACCTCCCATTGCTCATTACATCGTTTCGCAAAACCCTTGACTACATCGGCCTTGTTGCTCAGTAGTCGGTACATTCCCATGACCTTCTTGCGGCATTCGCCCACCCTTCTCAGCATTTCCCCCGGAGAAAAGGAATCCGGAACACCACTGCGGGATTGGTTATCTTCCTTATCAGGGGAATGCATCTGCATGATGAACTCATCGATTTCGTCTACCTCCTGCTCGATGGATTGAATGAGCGGACCGAAGACATCCGTAATGTCGTCGATGAGAGCGTACGAAATCCAATCGGAACTGAGAATCAGATAGTCCATTAACTGCCGGATGCGCCTGCGCACGTTGGCCGGATGTGGTGTCGGTGAGAAATGGAAGGATAGCACTCCTTCACGGAAAACCACGACATACATGTTGACTGGCTCCAGGTAATTCTCCTTATTCGGGTCCTGCTCAAAGGTGCGGTAGTTGACGAAATAGTACTTGCGGAACAGCTCAACCTTTTCCCGTGCCTCCTGCATCATGATATCTTCTGCCGTCAGGGCATGTATGCCAAATGCCTTGGCAATCACTCGCATTTCCGCGTCCGTTGGGCAGAGAACGTCTAGCCAAAAAGTCGGCCGTGGCCCGTAGCGCTTCGGTTTGGTAGGCTGCTGAGTGGGCGCGGGGGAATTGGACGGCGTCCGGCGTTGTCCAGGTTGTCCAGGCAAGGCTTCACTAATCACGGATAACGTACGTTGTTGTCCTTTGGCACTATCAATCCTGCTCAAGGGTGCTGCTGCATTGAACCCATTCCCATTGTGATTGTTACTGTTGTTATTATCACTGGCATTCGCACCATCCATGTTGCCATTCGATGGATACGGCTCGTCTTCTTCATCAGAAGAATCCTCCACTTCTGGGGGATCGGGGATGAATAGCTCTCGAAAACTGGTCCCAGGCTGTACGAGCTCTGAAATTGTCTGGGAATGAATGGTGCTTGGGAACTCCTCGTTGAAGTAAGTAAACCGGTATGGCACTTCATCCTCTTCACGTCTCCAGGTCCGAAATTGAGGACGTAACCTACCGTCAATGAGCATGGGCTCACTGATCTTTTTTACACGGAGATCCCCGCTGCGTTCCTCCTTCTCTTCACGGCTCCACTCCTCTAGGACTGATAGATCCGGCCACTCCCTCTGTCTCCTTCGCCGGCGATCTGTGGTTGACTGTTCCCGGGACGTTCTTGCGGTGTCTTCCTCCGCCAGCTCGGACATAACTTCAGTCGGAAAACATACATCTTCCTCAACCGGTAGAGAAACCGTCTTCCGTCGCCGGAGAGAGTCTTGTGGTTGAAGTTCCGGCGAAGACCCGGTAGAAGGTGGAGAAGGCTTTGGCCGGCTACCGTCCATATCAATCACCGCATCATGAAGTCGATTAATGGAGCTTTTCCGATCTAGCGATTTTGCCGTTGAAAAATCAAACTCTGCACCGGTAACCACCGCATCATCATAGTTTTTGCTGGGACCAAGATGCGGTGAGCCCGGAATAGACGGAGGGTTGTTGACATCGTAGTCACGGTCCTGACCAGTGAGGGTAGGGCTCTTAGTGCCATCTCGGGGCGAGAATCGAGATGAAGCAGTCGACACGGACGACTTTCGCGATCGAAATGTAAAGGGATTCATGCGGTTTTCCGATCCATAACGGGTAAAGCTGCCACTGTGTCCAGTCGAGGGCCGTATCAGCGGTGTACGATCGTCCACTTCATCTACTGCCTCTTCGTCTTCTTCCTCCTTGCGATTCCTTGGTGTGGACTGACGATTACGGTCCGCTGAGCGGAGAGCTGCTGTAAGAGAGCTTGGGCGGAATGACTGTGCAAGACGGCTTTCTCTCCGGGGCATTGTCGTGTGATTCCTGGAGCGTCCAAACATGTAGTGTTGTTAGCGGTCTGCAGGGCATCGTAGATAAGACATCAAGAAAACCGAGAAACAACCAACCGATGATCCAGTAAATTGTCACTCTCTAGGCTTGTTGTGCTCAAATTCCCCCCAAGCTCGTAGGGCGTCAGCGACGGTTTCGATACAGGGTGCTCACTCGATGTCTGTTGGCCGCTTGCTCCTGCTTCAGTATCCTCCTGAGATTCAGCGGGAACCGGTGGAGTCACCAAGAACGACGGTCGTCGATTGCGCCGTTTGCGATTACGATGCTTTCTCCGCTTAGCTGACTTTTTGCTACCATCTTGACCAGACGCTGGTGCATCTGAGACCCCATCCTGTGTGGTAGACACCTGAGGAGCTGGAGGGTGTTCGTTCCCACGACGAGACGTGCCCGATTTTCGCGATGGAGAACCAGGCAGCTGTGGGGAGACCTGGCCTGTCGAAGGAGTGAGAGCTGGTTCCATAATTGCGGACCAGAGAGGGGGTATATGGATGCTCTTCGAAAAGTTATGGGAATCGCCGATAGCCGTCAATGCATCCGATCACTGGTTCAAGGTTCATACGATCGCAATAGGCCAGCCTGGACAGACCTCAGCATGGTCAGGAATCCGTCAAGGCGCCTTGTATACGGTGCAGCGAGGCTAGGGATGATGTTGCAGCAGCGCTGGGAAAAGTGGGAACGGCAAGAGTGGCGGTAATAGAACATGAGGCGATAAGGACTAGTCTCGACACACCTAGGTCAATTGCCAGGGAGGCCGCACAGGTTAAATATTGAAATTTCTCCGTGAAAAGGGAGGGGAAGAAAAAAGGAAAGGGAGTAACTGGAGAGTAGAAAGGAACAAGAACAAGAGAGCAAGAAGGGGATGGAGGAGGTTGGTGAGAGTTTGCCGAACAGCATGAAGTCATGCCGCCTCCGATCTGCAGATTGCATTCTTGTGGATTCGTCTATGCAGGATGCTGCAGATAGATATTATTATTATGACACAGTAATGCAGAGTAACTAATAATAATGTTTGACGAATTCAGTTAGTTACACCACAGAGTTTGCTTCCATCCGTCAGTGCATGCATGCGTAGATGCAGAAAGGCCAATATAAGCCCAAGTAAAAGTTTATCAAAGGGCAGGCTCGACAGCCATCCGTATATTCTTCCTTTCTCCCAATTAAACTGCACTGATTTTCCTACAGGCGCCCTCCATTCTACTTTGACGCACTCTTTGAAGCAAGGAAGAGGGTATTGACTCTATCACCCACAGAGCGGGTGGCAGCAAAGACGGTTTCCTTTCTCCAACCATGGAACCATGGCAATTATTCCACTATCCCTTGGAATCCATCCACGGTCGACAGGCAGAGCGGTGCTATAGACACCTCTGGCCCTATCCAGAGCTGCAATGAAGCTATCCACTGCAGGCGGTTGGTAGACTACCTCTGCACACACTTCTTCCCAATCGTCGGCCAGATCTTTGCCTGATACCACTCTGCTCTATCCTGCGCTGAAATCTCACCCATCTCAGTGCCCTCCGTCTCATCCACCCCAAATGCAACCACTGCTCGTCCCAACCGGTGCTCTGTCGGCTGCACGATGAAATAGACATGGGCATTCGAAGGACACCATGTAGCGGCGGGCATATTGGGCGTCGGGGAACTGGTAAGCGGCGGATATTGATGTATGGATTCCATCGTCGAGGATAGGACGGTGAGCTGCAGTCAGGGAGACCAGCAGAGGGAGGAGGGCCGCAAAGAGATGCATCGTGACTCTACCCGGGGTATGGTTTTCGGGAATATGCGATACAGGGGCCTGGGACCAGGGTATGCGAGCCAAGTCCGCTTTATATTACTGCTTCATGCTTGTGGGAAGAGCACCCTGAAGGTGGATGTCTTGGCAGCGCAGTACATGAGCATTCAATTTCCGAGTGAGATGACAGCAGAAGTGCTCAACAGCCCAGTAAGTATCTAGATCTGGGAACTACCACGTCTCTTGGCGGCATTACGGAGAATTTGGCGAACCTTGGGGGAGAGGACCTTTGGGGACAAGTCTTGGCTTTGATATTTGGAGATGAGACGACAGGTGAGATGGCCATATCCTGTAAATTCTCCTGAGAGCCATTCCTGGATAGTTTGATGTTAGTCACTCCGAGGAGAAGAGGGGGTTTGCTTAGGGTTAGAGATATCAACGAATCCAGCCCGCCATAGTATTTAACAGCTAAATGGGTGCCTGGAACAATCAATATCGTATCAGTAATGTTAGGAACCCGGTTGTCTTGCCGCACAACACCCGTGCCCGATTCCTGCGGTTGATAGCTTGGTCCATGAGTAGAATCAGACGCTTAGAACTCATCCATCCCAGCTGAGATCGCATATATCTTTTAGCATCGCGTAAAGCTTACGCGAGCCGTCGGACAAGCTTAACCATGCACAAGAATGGCTTCGTCCCCTGCACGATCCCGTCAGTCTTGTTACAGGCTGAGATAAACCAGAGGGAAAGGAGTGTTTTTGAGCAATGTGCGTGAACTGCCTTGGATACTTCACGCAATGGCTCAAGGCCACTGCAGAAAATCTGCTCATCGGCTCATCACAGCCCATATATTCAGGCAACGCCAGTACTCGACAGCAAAGCATTTGAGGTAAAACCGAGCTGTTGATGTCGTATCGAAACTCGCGCAGACCAATCCAGGAGGCTAGGGTTAGCTGGAGAAGAATTTCCGACGCCTATACTCGCCTGGAAGCAAAGAGGCCGTACACAGTTCAGGCATGCGTCTGCGCCCAACTGTTCTTCTTCCCGAAACAGACTCAACATTCCATCCAGGGTGATTATGGAGATGCACTGATTATTTGCGGGGAAGAGAAGCCTTTTCACGCCCCGACCAGGATTATTATTGCCTGACGTGCCAATAATCGGGGTGTCGCCAACATTTACAAGGCGAGCCAGTATCCCGACATACAAGTGGGAGGTTGCATAGCATCCATGATTGTCAATTGAAGGCATGGCTCCGTCGACGCTGGCAATTGCTCATCGTATGTTCACATTCATGGACCGCGGCTTCAACTTCAAATCGAAGGCCCTCTCACTGCCCACAAAGGTCGCGATGCAGCAGTTCGTTTGCACGCCCGTCTTCCTCACCTAACCTTCACCGCGCAATCCCTGCTATCCGGGGCTTCTGTTCTCAATACACTGCAACGATTGAGAATTTCCTTGCCATAAGTCTCGCCGACGGCGTCGCAGTCTGGACGGTTGTGGCCGTGGTGAATTTCTGGTGGATTCCACCGCAGTCTCGGGGTCCCTTTATCGGATGCATTGCGGCGGGATGGCGAACATATTTGAGTTGGATCAATCAAAGCCCGCAGCAGCTATGGAGGCAGCATAGGGTATCGATGTACAGAGCACGAGCAATTTGTAGAATGGATCTCCGCATCGTCAGACGCTGTAGCTGTAGCCGGCTGCAAGGATTTGTTAACTAGTTAATCCGTGCGCCGTGCGGGGAAACAAAAGCTGCGAGACCAAAGCCGAAGTTGGTCTCCATCTCGCCTTTCCTTACTCGTCGCGCCCTTCCAGCAATTCAATTTCTGCTCTGTTCTTCGAGGACTGCTTCCTGGACGGATGTATTCCGATCTTCCAGGCTACGTAATAGCAGCTCTCTGCGACAATGATGTTTCATCGTGGCGTGGTGTGATCAGAACACTGGATGAAGTCAAGTTGAACTCTCGTTTTTTACTTGATTTGCAATGAATCGATCGTTACGAATACGGAATCTCAGACAGTACACTCCTGGAGTCTCCTATGGCCGCTATGGCCAAATACAGGTCTCATTCCAACCATCTCATGAAGCGCGTGTCGAGGGCTTGTCTGCACTGCAGACAGAGGAAGTCAAAGTGTGATCTGTGAGCCATCGCCAACCCATGAACTTTTGCTACTGCAGTATCTTCTATCCGTTTGTCTTCATCGTTTGATTTCCCTTAGTTGACGGGGATTCCATGCATCCATGCTAGACAGCATCGTTGCTGACACTAAGCAGCGACAGTTCAGGCAGTCCCGGAGCTCCTCCGTGTCAACGTTGTATACGAGAAAACCGCGAATGTGTCCTCGGTGGTTCCAACAGGGGTGGTCGCCGTATTCGCAAGAACAAAATAAACAATATCACTCCAAATATAAGTGCGTCTCTTCAGAATCCGGAGGACCTAATCTCCACACCATCCAACTTGAGCCGACACCCCCGTTCATCGCAAGCCACATATACTCGCCCCATTGTCTTCTTGCCTCCCGATCTTCCGTCAGCTACATCAGAAACAGTGGAGGAATATGATGCTGTTTCTATCGGCTCGGTTCCGCGAAATCCATCCGATGCCTGGCAGTGTCTAACGGGCCTCGCGAAGAGAGACGCTGACCGTGCTGGATCGGAAGGACTTCCAGATCAAATGCGCTCGATGTCCGGTGGCATTTCACCATTGAACGCGCTCCATAATGGCACTGTGGACGATATTCACAACAATAGTGGTATCAATGCGTATAGGTTGGTACAAAAACGTTGGCTCGATTCGGAAACCGTGTGGCAGTTGGTGGGACATTACCGCGATAATTTCCATCCCTATCTTCCTTTGGTCCCACGAAAATACTTCGATCGCAATGCTTTGGATTCGTTCGCTACCAATGAGCAACACCTGCTCACCGCCGTGCTGACGATTGCTTCCAAGGATCTGGTTGACCGGCCGGAGATCCACGGACACTGCTCCACATACATGCATGAGCTGATATCTGGAATTGCTGCCGGTGCCGACTGCGACGTTGAGGCTGTCGAGGCTCTCCTGCTGCTTGCTGAGTGGGAACCCCAAGGGTTACGCCCGCGCATCGAGCGCGTTGGGCGAGGCGAGGAAGACAGAGCGGCTTGGATGCACGTCGGGCTTGCGTTACGGTCTGGGTATTTCCTTGGGTTAGATAGGACGTCGTTTCGCGGCGATTCCTCTGGAGATGCGGAGACGGATGCTCGCAAACGACTAGCCTGGACCAGCTGCTACGTCTCCGACAGACTAATATCCGTACGCATTGGGCGCGCCTTCTGGTCGCGAGGACCAGGTCCAATGACGGGTCTTGTCAGCCAGGATTTTCCATCTCTGCAGCCTGTCAATGACGGTGACGAAGACTATGCGAAGATCTTCCAAGCCACGTTAGACCTTACCCAACTGTATGGTAATGTCCACGATGTGCTATACTCAGGGATGCGCACAAGCAATCAGATGATGCTTATGGGGGATTATGTCAAATATGTTGATGATTTCCGGGCTGCCTTGTTACGTTGGAAGTCAAACTGGGGCTCGCTAGCATGTATGTCGAAATGCCAAAGATATAGTAGAGAACCGTGCATATCTTGTTCCTTGCTGATGTCCCATAGGTTCCCCCCATATGCGAATGACGCTACAGATGTCCTATGAGTATCTTCGCCTATATACCAACGCATTCGCGTTCCAGGCTACCATCTCTCAATCACTAGTGTCAAAGCCCAAAACCAGTGTTCAGTCGCAGAGGGAGCATTTGCGTCAGGTATTCAACAACGTCGCATCCATGCAAGATGCTCGCTTCATCTATGAGTCTGTAGATGCTGCAAAGGTATATCTGAATACACTCGTCGGCTCTGTTGACCCTGAAAAGCACTTGCGTTTCATGCCCCTCCGGTTCTATCTGTAAGGAAGATCATACCGACAGCATTAATAAATCATCAGTTCTGACATCTCACCAGATATGGCATTTATGCTGCCGTGTTTCTCTACAAGGTAAGACAAATACGAAACTTCTCCCCCGACTCTCAGACACAGCGGTGCTAAATAACCCACCATACAGGCTCGTTCGTTCGGCGTCATGCTTCATTCCGAAGAAATACAAGTCCAAGATCTCATAACTAGAACAACGCAAGTCCTCAGACGCGCCAGCGCAGGCCCAGACGACATTGGATCCCGCTACTCCCGTCTCCTAGAACTCCTCTGGAAACCTAAATCCCTCCCGGCTACATCTTCATCTTCATCTTCCACCTTGCGACCTCAGCAGGCCACGACTTGTACCACGACCGACCTCCAAATACAGAAGAATCCTTCTTCTCCAAATCCCATCCCCGACCATGACCCTACTAATAGCTACGTTCATTTTAGTCCGGCGAATGATTTCTCCTGGCTGGATCTCGAGGCAGTCAGTGACTTTGTCTCGGGGGATCAGATTCCCGGAGCAGGTGGTATGCTGGAGCCTGATATCTTTAGGAATCTGGAGTTGTATAATTCAAATCAAACTGGGCAGGATGGTTCGCAGTCTTGGCTGACGCCGACGTGGTTTGGGGATACGACTAGTAACCTTTTGTTCTAGCTTGTCAGTTATTTTGGTTGACTTAATATATCATTGTGAAGACCTCCTAGCTAAGCCCCGTGAACAGGGGCCGTTGAGTAGCCAATATTGCACTCGCGTTACTCCAAAGCATAAGCATTTATTCACTAAGGTATCTATTTATCTAGCTACGATGCGGCAATATTTCTCGTTGACCATCCTTCAAAGATGGCCAACGCGGTCTCAAAGAAATACATATATATTTCTCTGCTGCCTTCAGTTATATTTACATTTGGCTATGGCATGGTATGGCATGGCACAGCTTGACAAGTTCCGGGGCCGAATGACTCTGAACACAAGAGCATCTGGCCACTTAGTAAACAAAGTAGTTCTGTGTCAGGGGTAATTCTGTCGCTGGCTCAGCATCGCAGTGTATGCCATCTGCTTCGACCCTCTGGGCAGTGAAAAAATACATCAGCTTTGAGAGGCCACTTTAGTACAAGAGGCCCAAACGGGCTCACTCGAAGATAATGGGAAGTAAAACTGGTTCTCGAGGAGGGAGAGGAACTCACATAACTTTCCGGGTCGACTCTCATCTTCGGCATGACGTCGTTATATTTCATGTCCTTCTTGCTCACATTCCGACAATTCTTAACCGCCTCGACTCGTTTCTTCAGACCATATGACTGAACAATGCCCGAGTCGATCGATACCTGAGAGACAAACATGATGGATGTGCTCGGTACGAATGCCTATGGGGGTGTCAGTGTCCATATCAGCAAACACGAGTGACTCAGAAGATAGCCGAAGGAAAAAGGGAAATATCTCTTACCCCGAATTGTGGTCGGACAATGATCGGTTCAACAGTCGGGATGGATGCATTGGGGTCACCCTGAACAGAAGATATTAGGAAGGGGATGGTTCTCGTTTCACCCGAGAAGATAAAGGGAGTCGAAGGGTCATACCATCTGCGAAGTGACTATCATTCCGCTCTTAAGAACCTGGTCAGGCTTCGTGCCAAAGGAACTGAAATTCCACATGACAAGGTCCGCCACCTTGCCCACTTCAACACTTCCAATCAGATGAGACATGCCCTGCGCAATGGCCGGATTGATTGTATATTTGCTGATATACCGCTTAACCCGGAAGTTGTCAGCGTCTGTTCCTTCGTCTTCTTTCAATACTCCTCGCTGATTCTTGTTCTTATGCGCCGTATTCCATGTCCGCAGGATAACTTCACCACAACGGCCCATGGCTTGCGAGTCAGATGACATCATGCTAATTGCTCCAAGATCGTGCAGAACGTCTTCGGCGGCGATGGTTTCTGCGCGGATACGACTCTCCGCAAAGGCTACGTCCTCAGGGATGTTCTTTGACAAGTGATGGCACACCATCAACATATCAAGATGCTCATCAAGAGTATTGACTGTGAATGGACGTGTTGGATTGGTGCTGCTCGGTAGAACATTGGGATGTTCAACAACCCGAATAATGTCGGGGGCATGGCCGCCACCTGCTCCTTCGGTATGGTAGGTATGGATTGTGCGGTCCTTGAAGGCGCCGATAGTCTGTTCCACAAACCCAGACTCGTTAAGTGTGTCGGTATGAATCATGCACTGCACATCATACTTGTCACACACGTCAAGACATGTATCAATGGCAGCGGGTGTTGAGCCCCAGTCCTCGTGCAATTTCAATCCGGCGGCCCCTGCAAGGCATTGTTCTTCAATGCTCACTCTGCCGCTATCATTTCCTTTTCCAGTGATACCAACATTGATCGGAAAACTGTCGCAAGCCTGAATCATTTTACGAAGATTATCTGGACCCGGAGTGCAGGTGGTAGCATTTGTGCCGGTAGATGGACCGGTTCCACCCCCCAGAAACGTGGTGATTCCAGAGGATAATGCCTCATTTACTTGTTGAGGACAGATGAAATGGATATGAGTATCGAGGCCGCCTGCAGTCACGATTTTGTTCTCTCCGGCTATAACGTCGGTAGATGAGCCGATAACCAGGTTCGGATGCACACCATCCATGACATCTGGATTCCCTGCTTTACCAATACCCACAATAATCCCTTCTTTGATGCCAATATCAGCCTTGTATATTCCAGTCCAGTCGACAATCAGAGCATTCGTAATGATAGTGTCCACGCATTCAGATGCGGATCTTCCACTGGCTTGGCCCATTCCTTCTCGCAGGGACTTGCCACCTCCGAAAGTGCATTCGTCTCCATATACGGTGAGATCTTTCTCTACCTTGATCCAGAGATTGGTCAACCCTAGTCTCACCAGATCACCGGTGCTAGGGCCGAATGCCCGGGCGTATGCCTCTCGCTCCATTGAGAAGGGGCTGATGAAGGCGCCATCCCCGGCAGGTTCAGGGACATGAGCGAAACCCGCAGCTTGCAGCCGCTGTAATATCTCGTCCGCACGACTAAGGTCCAGTTTACCCGATGCGATCGCATTGCCTCCACGGATGACCTTGTTCCCTCCAATCTCCACTAGCGTCACGGTCTTGGTGTCACCAGGCTCAAATCGCACAGATGTTCCGGCTGGAATATCCAGGCGATATCCATACGCTCTAATACGATCAAAATACAACTTGGGGTTAGTCTCGACGAAATGATAATGCGACCCAACCTAGAGACAGTTAAGTCAGAGCTTAGGAGATAGTCCCCAAACGAGAAGAATCAGATCTTCAACGGGAAAAACGTACCTGAATTGGACGATCTCCTTTGCTCATAATTTTTAGTTTGATTCTCTTCCGGCCGTCGTTCAGAGTAATCCTGCCCTTCTTTACCGGTATTACAGCGCCTGGCGCCTTTTCCGGCTTGTAGTCTTCAGGGTTCGGATCCGGGAAAGCATCTGCCGGTGGTATAGGAAGGAAACTACCGTAGAGTGCCTTCTCTAGATCCCCATCGTCACTGCTGATCGGGTGATGTACTGTCACCAAGTATGTACCAGAAGGAAAGGTTCCCTCTACCTGGAGCTCAACTAGAGTCGATACTACAGATGGTAGAACATGACGGCGGCCAAGCATGGTCTTTCCAATAGACATCAGATCTGCCACTGAGAAATTTCCATCGCGGATGAGCTGTGATATACATAAGTTTGATCAGAGAGTGCGAATTGTCAACGTAAATGCGCGACTGGCTTACTTCTTGTAAATTAGATGAGATCAGAGCCTACTTGATGCATCAGCGATTGACCTTGAGTCTGAACACTCCTCATTTTTCTGCTTTCCAGGAACAAGACAAATGATAGAAACTCCATACCGCAGCCTCAGCATGGTTGAGTCGGACCCCACGGGCAAGGCGTCGTTGGGCCAAAAAGCCAAGCTGGGAGATAGCAAGCTTGTCAATCTGTAGTACGCAGCCTGTTAGCTTCATATCCTGGAAATCCCAGTCGATTAGATCCGCTTGATGCATACCTCCTTGGGAATCAGCTGCATCTTCGGAGCTGCTCCACAATACAGCAGGGCTTGGCGGGCGAGTCTAGAATTGAAGGCGGCCACCAATGACTAAGGAACCGTGGAGGAGAGTAGATTTCGATGTATAAGCAGCAAAAAGAGGACCGAGAAGATGTACCAATGGAGGAGGTTGAGGTGATAATTCCCAGCGCAGAGGGTCAAACAATTGTCCAACGCCAAACATGCGAAAGAGGGGCAGCTCAGGGAGATACGAGTTAATCGGAGATAAGCATCCTTACGTAATCCCCGATTGCGGTCCATGAAGAGCAAAATGCAGATTGATACTTCGTACATGAGATGAGATATAGCTCTATAAACACCAATACCAGGAATATTCAATCTACCACTATGTACGCAAATGGCGGTCGATGATCCTTGCCGCAGCCAAACACTTCTCATCCTGAAACCGCGGCGTGATGAGCTGCAGAGCGCACGGTGCGCCATCCGTAGCATCGGGTGCATCTATATATGTCATCAGCATCGAATCGTGTACCTCTCCCGGGTTCATAAACTTACAAGAAGGCTGAACGTTGTCCTTGAGTTCGAGTGGCTCGGGGTCGGCCTCTTTCGACGAAACGCCATACGGAATGATGACGGCAGGATGCTATTGTTCATCAGTATGCAACCGAAGAGGGGAGAGAGACGATGAATAAAAGGACACAACTCACATCAACCAGGTTCCACATAACCGTATATGGTGGCCACCCGAAGGTATCATGAGGCACGGCCGTGTTCTGCGCACCCGGTGCAAGAAGCACGTCCAGCTTCTTCTCAACCCAGACCTTTCTCCAGGCATCGATTACATTCTGTCGCGCGTGATAAAGCCGGTCGATCTTCTCAAACACGTCCAGGTCGTCTGCTACAGGCATTGGGCCTGTGAACATGGGCGATGAGAACTGCGCGACTGATTTGACAAGTGGTTCGCCGGAGGCCATTATTGCGCTTTCGTCATGCGGACCGTATACGAAGTACTGGAATGCGAGACGGCTTGTGTATGCCGTGTCTCTTTCCGGGGTGTTTTCGAGACGGACGATGCGGTGGCCTTTCTTTTCTAACGTCGTCACTGCTGATTCGATCGCGCGACGAACCGGTGGGTGTAGGGGGAATTGCGGATCCTCTGGAAGTACGCCTATGGTGAGAGTTTGGTCCTGTTCAATGTCAACGGGGGGAGTCCAGGGAGCCGCGAATGCAGTGGAGTCGTATTTCCATGGCTCTGCACCGAGGACGGTTGACATGAACAGTTCGAGGTCGTCGAAGGAATTGGCTATCGGCCCTGCTGATGGTTTCAGACCGGGCACGCCCTCCATGGCTCCCCCGGAGACGCCGCCGGCGAAGGGGACACGGTCGATGCTGGGCTTAAACCCATATACACCGCAGCAGAGAGATGGGATGCGGATTGAGCCTGCAATATCGGTACCGACGCCCAGGATGGAACCGCGGAATGCGACGAGGGCTCCTTCGCCGCCGGAAGATCCGCCAGCGGTAAGGCTGGTGTTGTGCGGGTTCAGGGTGCGACCAAAGATGTTGTTTTCCGAGTCACCAGTCTAGCAACCATCAGTTTAGTGCCTGCATTTATCTCTGCATTATTGCGATCAAAAGACGTACCATCATTGTCTGCGGGATATTGGTCTTAACGTACAGCACCGCACCCAGGTCAAGCAGCAAATCAACCAGCGCCGAATTGGACTTTGCGGGCTCATGTTCGAGGAACGACACGTATCCAACGGTAGATTGGACACCTTCGACACAGAAACTATCCTTGATACTCACAGGCAGACCGTGCAAGGGACCAAGGACTTTCCCTTCTGTCTGGCGATAGTCGTCGAGGTATTTCGCTCGTTCCAGGGCGCGGGAGAAGAACGTTTCCGTCAAACAGGACGTCTAACCTTCGTCAATTCTCGGGCTAGGGCCTACGCTATGATTACACAGATACACTGAATAAGAACATACCAACTGCTGTGCGATGGCGGCGCGCTTACAGAACGCCGTCGTGACTTCCAGGGAACTCAGTTCTCCCGCGGCCAGTTTGCCGACCAGCTGCGTCGCCGTGTAGTTCTCTGTGACGTCGAGTTCGGAGTCGGACAGCAGACCGCTGCGTCTGGGAATATCGGCGGCGATGAGTCGCTCGCCGGTTGGGGAGGAGAGGTTCAGTGACTGCAGGAGGGCATCGGGGAGACGCCATTCAGGGGGGATGTTGTCGGCGCATTGTTGGCGTTTGCGAGCAACGAGGGTCTGCCAGGATGCCATTGTGATTGTTGGAGGTAGCTATGCATTCCATAATCCGTGTATCTGCTTCGCACTCGTATTTATAATGTCTGCGCCCGCTGATGCAGAGTTGCAACGATGGAGAGTCACGATAAGTTCATGCGTCGACATACCAGAAAAGGAAACCCCTCGGCTGGATGATAACAGTGGGGTACTTCGTGAGTTGTATGAAGAAGATGATCATAATGATAGCTATTTACATGCTGTATCACGATAATACTAAATAATAGTACCGAATGAGAAACTATAGCCGCCTCACCATCACATCCTCCGGCTTAACCCCGGGGAAGTTCGTGAGATGGTACGCATCAATGAGAATCCGATCCCCCTCGCAGCTCATCACTCCCACACACACCAGCCCGTTCAACCAGTTATACGGTCCGGGACCAGCCTCAAGACGCAGATGCGAGAAGAACTCAACCTCATCCTGAGTCACAGTTGGCGGTGGGCGAAAGGTCGGATCTGCCTCGACCTTTTTGGCATATTCTGTTCCAGGACCGGGTCGGTAGAGGCCATGCGCGCGGATGTAGATGTAGTGGTTGTCTTTGGTGCGGACGGTGTATCTGGCGTCGAGGGTCATGGACTATCCATTGTTTTGGTGTTATCGTCAGAATGAAAACGTGGTACGGGGTAATATAGAGAGAGAGGTCAAAAAAAAAAAAAAAAAAAAAAAAAAAAAAAAAAAAAAACGAACGTGTGTCCCTTCAATAACGGTAGCCCAATCTGCGCCTCCCAAGGGCAAGACTTCGCCCTCGATTTCCGGGCCCTTGACTGTCCCAGATACTACATTGGCGATGCTTCGGATCACGCCGGTGCCATGCGGCGCGCCGACATCGATTTCCTTGGGGTCAATGTCGCATTCCAGACGGTACAGGAAGGACAAATGCGGCCGGCGCATCGGGGGGCTGTTAGGGTACAAGGCGTTTCCGGGGGAGTCCATGTTGGGTGTCTGTGCAATAGCAGCTGTAGGGAGTGAATAGAAGGGATCCAAGATATCTCGATTCTATAGCCATGCATACTGTCTATAAATATACAGCTTTAGGTAGAACTTATCAGCCGTTCTCGCATGGACTTGCTCGTTGAGACTGCAGACTCCGAATGCAGAAGGCCGTCCCCCGCGTCCGCGGATCCCGCTATAGCAGTATTAAAGACAATGCATGTTGGAAGATAAACCAGGTATTTAATCCCACTATTACTACTACTGGCAATCAATCCAATGCAACTTAAGCATCCTGTCGCAGAACCACCATGTCCTTTGTAGGCGCCCTGCTCTCAGACCCCTCCATCCCCCTCTCTGTCCGCCAGGCTGCTCTCGCCCGAGCCGTGACTGACCCTGGCATTCCTGATCCCCGCAACTCCACGAAGAGCTTCTGGCTCAAAGATCCCCATCCCAAGCTCGCACGGCTTCAGTCAAACACGCTCCCGTCTGAGGCGGAGGTGGTCATCATTGGCTCGGGCATATCGGGCACTTCGATCGCCAAGACCATCCTGGAAGCACAGGCCACGAGCAAAAGCAAAGGCAAAAGCAGGATCCCCAAGGTTGTCATCCTAGAAGCCAGAGATGTCTGCAGCGGTGCCACCGGTCGTAATGGCGGTCACTTGCTGGAGACCGCGGACGAGTTCGGCGAATATGTCGATCGCTTCGGATTGGAAGCCGCTCGCAAGCTAATGCGGTTTCGTCTCGCCCATCTGCCGGAAATCCTCGCGGTGGTAGACCAGCTGGGGCTCACGGCGGAGACGCAGGCGCGCAAGGTGCAGTTTCTCAGTGCGTATTTTGACGATGAGACTTGGAAGGAGGCATTGGAGAGACTCGCCCGCTTCAAGGAAGGCTTGCCGGCCGAGTCTGCAGAATGGGTGGCCTACGAGGGGGACAAGATCCCAAAGGTGAGCACTATCCTGCTGGCTGGCTGTATATCGTCGGGAAACTAATAGATGAATCCGTCCAGAAATTCCTCATCCCCACTGCCAAAGGCATCGTCGCCGGTCCTGCAGGCGCGATATGGCCGTATAAACTTGTCACGGCCCTCCTGGATAGGCTCACGCGCGAGTATCCCAACGAGTTCCTCATCGAAACCAACACCCCGGTCACTGCGATTTCCAGAAACGATGGCAGTGGCGGCAGCAAACTCAAGTACGCAATCACCACCTCGCGCGGCACCATCCATGCCAAACACATCATCCACTCCACCAATGCCCACGCTGCACATCTCCTCCCGGGTCTCCGAGGCCGAATCTATCCTATCCGCGGCCAAATGTCGGCGCAGGCCCCAGGACAAAAGTTCCCGGACCATTCCCGGCAGCATTCCTGGCTGTTCACCTACGAGCGCGGGTTCGACTACCTAACGCAACTGCCCAAGGGGCCGTCATCGAACAACGAAATGATGTTCGGCGGCGGCTTTGCGCAGGGGAAAGGCAGCGGAATCGATGATCTCGGCATCGCGACAGACTCGGAGCTGAGCCTGTACTGCGATATCCACCTCTCCGGAGCGATGAGCGCCGTGTTCTCGCGGGAGAACTGGGGCGCCGTGCCCAGCGACAGCCCCGCCGTCAAGATGATGTGGACGGGGAATATGGGGTTCAGCGCCGACGGGCTTCCGTGGGTTGGGAAAGTCGGCGCGTCTGTGACGGGGCGAGGTGAAGATGCTCGCAATGCCCAAGCTGGCGCAGAGTGGATATCAGCTGCCTTCTCCGGCGAAGGTATGGTCCATGCCTGGCTCTGCGGGAAGGCTGTGGCCAGGATGCTCCTGGCGGACGAAGGGGTGGTTTCCCCTGAAGAGCTTGCCAAGGACCGGTCGTGGTTCCCAGAGCAGATGCTCGTCACGGAGAAGCGGGTTAGGGAGGCTGTCCTTCCGGGGGTGGAAAAGAGTATCACTGCGAAGATATAGTTATATGAAGTTGAATATGATAACTGGGATATGTATATACATGTATGCATGCACGGCTGATCCTCGGGCTCGGTTAGAGTTTTCGCCACCTTTCTTGCCTTGACTGAAGGTCAAAGTCAGTCAAGGAGATGAGGGCATTGCGCATGGCTGCATAATCCACGAAGCTGTCCGCATTCTATTGCCATTACTCTATTATCGAGGGAGAATCAGGAGACTGCCAGATCAGATTTGCCGGAGGGGAGTAGCAATAAGAACAATATCGAACTGCGTCCCCACTTGCTCGGCCAATTTAAACTCCTTTTTTTATCTCGGCGTCGCTCCTTCACCTCTTTCCATCCTCCTCACCCACGACCCTTCTATCATCGTACTTTGTGTCGACTAGTAACTATCTATCGCATGTAACTAATGAGTCCATAAGCTGGCTTATTCCCGTCTGCCAGCTCCGACGCATTTTTCCGTCTCCAGGCCGCAACATGCCATCCCTGACGGGCGAGAGCGGCGATGTGGCCTCCGAACATAGTAGTATGCTTGTTTTCCCTGCCATTTCTTCTTTTTTCTTTTATTTATTTATTTCTTTTTTCTTTTTTCTTTTGCTGGTTTTTGGTCATTCAGACCTGCTCTGCTTCCTCATGCCCATACCGGAACTGACCAACATCCCAGATCTGCAACCGATTGTGGGCACTGGCCTCAGGGTCCCGTCCCTTCAAAAGATTCTGCCATCGCATGGAAGAGCACCTCCTTCTGTGATAGAAAGCAACATTCCCAAGCAGCATAAGGCGCCAGTGCCCAAGGCCATGGCTCGGCCGCCAGCTCACCAGTCGGCCTCTGCACCGCTGCTCATCAGTCAGGCTCCTGTCAAATCAGATTCTCGCGCGCAGGATGAGAAAGATCAAGCGGTTCTTACAAGACATGGAGAGGAGGACATTCACAGTAGTCTTTTCGCCCAGGTGTATGACTGGCTTCAATTTGAAAAATCGAGGCGTAATGCTCACAAAATGAAGGTAGCCACCCCTTCGACTGACGGCGCTGAAGATGGAGACGGATTTCATTCCCTTGAACGGACTACCTCGCAAAGCTCCGAAACTTCAGCTGCACTGGGCAAGCTGGAGAACATCCTCCTTCAGTATGCGGAGAAACGGCAGGAACGGCATGTCGCCCGTCGTCGCCATTACATCAAGGGGCTGCGACGTGGATCCGTCTCCGAATCCGACCATCCGGATGTTGACGCCGAGCCACCCGCCGTTGATGCGTTCCTGGACAATACAAAGACGCTTGGCTACACCGGTGGTGCTGCGGACGGCAAGGAGGACGAGAGCAGCGCCGGCTCCGGGCAAGCGAAGGACAAAGAACACTGGCTTAAATTCAAAACCGACATTCTTCGCATTGTTCTGACCCTGCGGATCAAGGGCTGGCGGAGGGTGTCCATGGAAGATGCCGGGGATCTTGACGTTGTCCGGCTTAGCGGTGCGCTTACCAACGCTGTATATGTTGTCGCGCCTCCCCCGAGTCCATCTGTCCCGAAGACTGAAAACAGTTCGCCAACATTGGTTCCCAGAAAGCCACCTCCGTAAGTGATATTTTGATGTTTAGATTTTTGACAATAAACTGACTCGCTCCCTTCTAGAAAACTTCTGCTGCGTATCTATGGCCCGCAAGTGGAACATTTGATCGATAGGGAGAAGGAGCTCCAAGTGCTTCGTCGCTTGGGCCGGAAGAACATCGGGCCCCGAGTACTTGGAACGTTCAAAAACGGTCGCTTTGAGCAGTACTTCCACGCTCGTCCTTTAAAACCAGAAGATCTGCGGGTTCCCGAGACCTACAAGCAGATTGCAAAACGCATGCGCGAATTGCACGAAGGTGTAGAGCTCCAAGAACAAGAGCGAGAAGACGGCCCCATTGTCTTCAAGAACTGGGACAAATGGGTCGACCGATGTGACCAAGTGGTCAATTGGCTTGACCAGGAAATCCAATCGAACCAAAACGAGTCAAAAGCACAAACCGAGCCTTGGCGCCGACGGGGGTTTGTCTGTGGAGTCCCGTGGCCTGTGTTCAGAAAGGCCGTTGAAAATTACAGAAAATGGCTTATTGCCAGCTGTGGAGGAGCAGATGAGATTAAGCGCCAGCTTGTGTTCGCGCACAATGATGTGAGTGGTGTTTCCATCATTCTACATTCCCTGGTCCCTCTGATGTACCCGACTGACATGCGCAGACACAATACGGCAACCTCCTTCGGCTGGAACCGACAGTGGATTCGCCTTTACTCACCCCTGCAAATGAACATAAACAACTGATAGTTATCGATTTCGAATACGCGTCGGCCAATACTCCTGGATTTGAATTTGCCAATCACTTTGTAAGTGCCACCTCCCTTGGAAATTGACCGGTTGTATCTCTTGTTTTAACCGAAGAATGCCAGACTGAATGGGGCTACAACTATCATGACCCAGAAAGGCCCTGGGCTTTCAATGGCAAACGCTACCCCAAACCAGAAGAGCAGCATCGTTTTATCACCGAATATCTCAAGCACAAACCCGGAGTGAGCGCCGCCTCCCCATTCACTACGCCACATATGCAGGCTGCATCTGGCATCACACCACGTCTTGCTCCGTTGGACTTGGATGCAGAAATGATCACCAATACCGATCAACGTCCACCAGTGTCCAACGAGTCTGATAATGTCCGCGAAGACGGCCTGGAGGCGGACATTCAGTTTTTCATGCGGCAGACCAGGCTTTGGAGGGTCTTCAATTCCGCCCAGTGGGTTGCATGGGGTATCGTACAGGCGAAAGTCGCCGGAATGGAGCAGGGTATAGAAGGAATGACGAAAGAGGCGGAGGCAGAGACAGATGGGGGAAAGGAGTCACCCAAACCGACAGCTGACGCCGTGTCTTCCCCGGTTGACTCCAGTTCCGGTGTCGATGGCGAGGACGAATTCGATTACCTTGCGTATGCGCAGGACAGGGCTATATTCTTCTGGGCTGATGTGCTCACCCTTGGCCTGGTCAAGGAAGATGAGCTGCCCTCTGAGTTGGTTGAATGTGCCAAGGCTCGCGCTTTCGCTTACTGATGCATGGTTGATCAATTGATTATCCAGCATTCCAGTTGGTGACATATCTATTGCATTCCGTGATTATATGTTACCACCTGCCATGACTTGGTACTGTACTGTACTATGTGGCATGGACAGGGCATTCTTTTTCGATGTACAGTATTTATGATTGATGATGGATGCAGCGCACTCGTTATGACTGGTTCCATTCCCTAGTATCTCCACTGCAATCAGTATAACTAGAGCTAGAGGTTCAGGAGGTACTTCATTCTGGACAGTTCGTATGATGAAATCATGTAACGCAATCCACAAGCGAGCGGCACACAATATCTACTTACCCTGGATTTGCTCTATGGGACCCCTTCTCCAAAAAAAAGTCATGTCACAAAAGACGGCACATTCAGCATGGAAATTCCGCCCTTAAACCAGCCATTATAATTCCATAGAAAGCAATTAGATAGCAATGGCATGATTTGCAGATATATATCAACATCCATGCCTCAACCAGGACTCCATCTTCATGGGAATATGCATATCGCCTTTGGAACCCCATATCCGCACATGGCGGAGAGTTGTTTTAGCATTTGAGAGCTTAAATTCTTCACGCCTATCATTCGGTTGATGGTATAATCTCTGGTTGCTACACTGCTTCGACTTCCTCATATGTGCCTTTGAAATAGTTGTTGGATTGCACGGATAGATGGGCGGCTTTGAACAGCTTGGGAAAGTTCACTCATTTAATATGCTTACTCTGCTCAATAAGATCAAGAAGATGTTGTTGCTCTTCAAGAGACATAGTTTTTGGTCTCCCACTTCGTGAAATAGATTTCTGGTTATTTCTCTCGTTTTGTTTCTTGATGGTGTGGTGTACCGAATAGTTGAAAGAGGAATATCAGGATATTTTGAATGGATTTTTGGATAGCTCCATCCAATATCCCTAAGCTCGCAGAGCATAGCCCGTAAGGTAGAGGATAGTTCTTTTGAACGAGGCATTTTGTACGAGAAAATCATATGTAGAGAGCATCTATCGCGTTGTTTATTTGAAGTAGTGACCGGCTTCATACTTTCTTAATATAGAAGGTGGCAATACTAGCGAGTGGGGGGTTTTGGGTGCAAATACTTTTTGTCAGACGAGGGCGGTCTAACTAATGGATAGCATAACTATGTATGGTCGTATTACCAACTAGGCATGCATGTGCTGTGAGATAGGTCGCGAGGGCGGTCTAGGACGGCAGAACCTCAAGTGGTACTAACACTAACTGTTGGATCACGTGGGATTCTGCCGCATAGGTCCGCCCTCGCTGACCCTTTTCACCACGTAGGCCTATCTAGCTAGTGACCAACCAAGGATACACCTCCATTACTAACTGCGCAGAACCCACGTGACCTCGAACATCTACGCCTATATGGCTAACGGGGGCTAAACCTAACTAGGAGCTGGATTGGTTGAAACATTGATGAGTTCTTTCTTTTTGGGATTTGTACATTACACTGCATTTATTGGTGGAGTTGATAGCAGCATGGTCTGCCTGTGCTTGTGCTTTCAGATGATGGCATTTAGCAATTCAGCCTCACTGCAAAAAAAAAAAAAAAAAAAAAAAAAAAAAAAAGGGGGATTTAGGTCACCTATTGTTATGGCTCTACACACAGCTCTATATATGCAATTATTTCTATCAAAATAACGTGTCCATCAAAATAACACTTCCGATATCTTTTTTTCTGCCAAGGATATAAATAAACTGTAGATGCTCATCTCTACCACCCCATGGACTCGACTCCTATGTTACATCCCCCGATTAAACTCAACCTGTCCATCCTTACCACCACGCTCCCAGAATTCCTCTTCAAGCGTATGCGCCTTCACGGCCTGCCTTTGTGGAAAAGCCGCCAGAGCCAATGGCAGCGCAAATAGAGACGTCGCCAGAATCAAACCCAGATTAACAGGGAGGACCATTCGTGGCCGTGACTTTAGCCACTCCGTCTTCTCCAGCTTGACGAGGATCAACGGTGGCAAGACCATGATTGGCGTAGCATTCAAGACACGGCTAACGGCCGTCTCACCGACGGCGAGCGTCGCCGCCTTTTTACTCTTGCCTAGGCTTTCGACCGGTTCACCGGTTTCTTCACGTTTCTTCTTCTCCGCCTCCGAGAGAACGGGGAAGACGTCTATTCCCTGGCGAATTTCCTCGCCGCGCATGAGGAGGACGTTGAGTGCCGTCGCGCTGGCGACGGCTGCGAAGGGGACGAGACGGCCCAGGATGAGTTTCGTGTTGGGGGAGACACGTTTAAGCCTAGGCACGACTGCATTGAGACCCAGTGCTACGGAACAAGAAGCGGATACTGCCATGACGTATGATTGGGCCATTTGTGAGACGGAGAGAGGGGTGGATTTATTTGCATTTGCACTGTTGATTGCCACGTTGAGGGATTGGTTGGCAATTTGCCAGAGGAGTGTGCCGGTAGTCTGGATAGAGCATTGTGTTAAGATGTTCCGGATCTAGAGTAAAATTGTAAATAAAAGTCATCATACCTTCAGCCCTGGCGTAAGCATACCAGCCGTTACGACCAAGTTCGAAAGAACGTAGCATGACATGCGGAACGGAAGAAAGACAGGTTCTCCAGTATCTAATACCACTCATTAAAAACCATCCAATATCAACCCTAGCAAAAGGACAGAACCCAATGGCTCGGAGCAAGAACATACCAGGATGCAATGTCGAATCCACAATCTTCTTCGCCTTCCATAGTTCCGGTGACATTGTAGGAACCAGTCCTTGCTTATATTGTGAAATGAGGCGTTTAGCATTTTCTAATCCGGCAGATGAAACAAAAAGCATCCTATTCAATTCAAGAGCTCAAACGATCAGTAATGTTTTCATGGACGCTGGAGAAAAAGCAATTGACACATGTAAAGATGCTCAACCCTCTCACCTCGGATCTGAAATGTCAGCAGCATGCCTCACTCTTCCCCAGTAAGTATTCAAGTCATATTGCGACACAGGGAGGTCCCTGTTCCCCGGAAGAGAAGCCGACATCTCTGGTTTCGGGGGGTTTTTTTTGGTCTTCTTGCTTGCTGGTTGGGAATAGGACGGTATATAAGCAATTGAAAAAATCAAAGCTCTGCAATCAAAACCACAAACGAAAAGGAAAAACAGAAAGCAAAGAGCACGCTTGAAGCAGAACTCGACACGAAGGAGAGCTGTCGTCGTGACTCAGAAGTTGTGCGAAAAAGAAGCTGGCCGGGAGAAGATACCGAACGGCGCTGATAGCGGAGGCGGTGAGCTGATAAGGGCTGGAGATAGTGGCCGTCGGACCGCCTTGATAGTTACATCCCGGAGGGCCTTCTATCGTAATCGGACACAGAGCTGCAAACGCTGGCATCATCATCACCATCAATTTTAATCGGGAATCCAATAGATTTAGAGGTAATATGAGACTAACGCTATTTTCTAGGACACCTCGTCCGATTACAAGTCCTACATGTCGGAGGCCTTCGTTGTTGCGGATATGATTTATCGAGTCCAGCCGTTCGGCACTACCGAAAGACACAATAGTTGAGGAAGACTCACTTGACTCTCTTGTCTTCAAGATGTTCTTCTAGTTCCGCCAACAGTGCTTGATCTGTCACTATATTTTTCTTGCCTGAAAAAGCCATTTCGTTGTACTGTTCCCAAGTGATTTTGGTAATCAACAAGGACTGGGGAAGAGCAAGAAGATGGGCATAAGAGATGGCATCGGTCTTTTTGGAAAGGTATAGGGAAAGGTCAAGATCCTCCTGCCTCCCATGGTTGACGTCGTCATTCACATTCAGCTGGATAATTAGGTATTCCGAATGTATACCACCCTCATCACCACTCTAGGAAGCGGCTCCTGTCAAGACCAGGACCACTGGAGAGATTGACACACGAGGATGAACTCAAGAGAAGTAGAGATCTTATTAGGCTTAACAGGAGTGCAGATTAGCAGCAAGTCCTCCCCTGACATTGACCTGGAAATGGTAGACGGTACATTGCTTGGCGCGTTTCCATAAGTATTGCGGGGAGCGCACAAGGGAAGTCCAGTGGGGAGTCAGATGGAGACTATGGAGGCCTATGTAGGAGCGGTTCGTGGTTCCCATGGTTCAGCTTCTTCCTAGTTGGATTTAGCGCCTATTAGTCAGCATAGCATGGATAGTTTGCCTGAGGCCTATCTTGGACAACCGACTCAGCGAGTTCGACTCCCGTCAGCATCGCACAAGTCGTAGTGTCTCTTTTTGGGGGGCACGAGGGGTACGGCAGGCGATGGCGATCAAACTCCAATAACCAAATTTGGGTTTTTAGAATCGACAGAATCAGTAAGCGTGATGCTATTATTATGTGACACTATTTTTAGTTCCATACATAAATCAATTTAGGCTACTGGTCTGATTTAGCGGTCTACAGCGTATACAATGCCATACGCCATGCATGTATTTACACCTAGATTCTCAAGGACAACCCGATACTAATGATTATTCTTGTATTCAAAGTGCAAAGGAGGTAGTAAGTAAAGTAACTAGGTAGTATCCAACAGCAACGACAGACAAACTGACAGACATGCGTACTCCGTGCCACTGCATTCAATGCATCGCTGTATTTGTTGCCGAAACGAATCTCCAGAAAAAATGGAAAACCAGAATATGGGCCTTTTTCACAGGAAAAAAAAAAAAAAAGATAACAGCTCAACTGTAAATACGAATGTAGATGTAGCGAGAGAGCCTTCCAGAGACACATCCGAATCGTCGTATACTCCTTAATTCAATTCCGGAAAGAAAGAAACAAACACATCGCTAAGAGCAGAAAGCCAAAATCGTCCACAGATAAGACATGACTAAGACTTGGGAATATTCTCCTTCGAAGGATCCTCTGAATCCTCTCTTTTCGGACATTTCCTCCGCTTCCCCTTCGGAGGCGCCTCAAGCTGGGTACGTTTAAAGGTAACCGTCCGCGTAATGACCTGTCGCACACTCACAGGTGTTGGTCCAGCGCTCCACGGACTGTCCGAATACCGCAGTTTCCAAGTCGATGGCGAAAACGGGGACCGAATACTCGTTGCACTTCTGGGAGAGTCTACTGCTGTGGGACTCAACTTCAGGGAGGGCGGGATGCGTAGATGCCGCAAACCGCGGCCACGGCTCTTGTCATTGCCGGCGCCAGCAGGAAGAGGAGCAGTGCATGGGGTTGGAGGGGGCAGGGGAGACGTGACGGATCTCAAGGACCCCGAGCCGAGCGAGAATGATCCGCTGACCGCGCTGCTTGGCTGCGATGCCGACCAGGTAGTAGCGTTGCTGCTGTTGCCATCTCTGGTCCTCTCGATCTGGAGACTAGGGAAGCTGGCGCCTGCGCTCAGTGGGGAGAAGACCGGGGTGAGAGCCTTGAGGAACTCCGTGTAGGCTACCGGCGGGGTGATGGGAGTGGACTGGCCCTCTGGACTTTTCAGCATGTTGGCTGAATGGGGGCCAGCTCCTGGGCCACCATCGTGAATCTCCGAGGGGAATGTAGAATTCTTTGGGGTTTTCAGGGGAGGCAGGACTGGCTTTGCGGGCGCCATGGTGGTGGCCGCTGGTAAGGAAGACCAGACCAGACCAGACCACGAAGAAACGGGTAAAATAGTCGGCCGTCAAGAAGAACGAGAGACCGGTACAGGATAATTCAAGACGACAGCTGTAGGAAACAAGTAGAAAGGAAACAGGAGCGATCGAGAAGGGCCTGAGCCGCCTATATCAGGCCCCGCGCGTGGTAATAAATGGACGCGAAGCGCAATGCCGACAGGAGGAGTCGGAGTGCAGCCTAAGAATAGAGCACAGCGGCAGTGCAAAGAAGTAGAAGAACCAACAGGAAGCGAAAAGGGCTGATCTACCCAGATGGAAGCAAGAGGATGCCTTCTTGCTACGCGCCCTGTGCCCGGAAACAGTCTAGTGTGCGGGTTCACGATGCAGCTGCGCGGCAACAGCAGCGGCAACAGTCAAATCAGCCGGGCGGTACTCTGCACTCGTGTGTGACGGGAATGCGAGGCGCTAGATCCAAATGGCTCGTCTTAGCAGCTGCTGTTCTAGATGTCTTGTGTACGCGTTGGTTGAGGCTTCTGGTTTGTGTGTGGGAGGAAATTGGAAGCCATGATGATGGTGGACGGGGGAACATCGCCTTTTATGTCTTCGCGTCTCCAGAAGACGCGCCTCTTATTCTTCGCCATGCATCGACGGGTCAATCGTCCCACAGCTTGCTCGATGCCCAATCCCTCGCGAATCATCACGGGCAATATCCATCTTTCTGACATCTGCCCCAGATAACCCCCGCGACAGCGCGCGGACTCCATCTCCTCTGTGCGACATGCAATGTGCCAGCCAGTGGGCAGGTATAGGAGGTGATTCTGCAACAGCTCAGCTATCGGCAACGAAAGACTCCAAGCACATTGGCAACACCTCCTGCATGCATCGCTATATCCAATGGCGGCAGTGGAATCAATGAGAATGACCCGACACGGGGCGTTTCAACCCCCTATTTTTGCTGCTTGAAACACGATTGACACTGTACCTGGCTGCGCATGTCTATTTATAGTTTGTTATACGGTTAGACAAGGTTGTATGCAGCTTTGTTTTGTCTCTGCTGTGGTTAGTCTGCATGGATTGGGATGTGTCCATTGGAGCTTGGTCCATTGGTTCTCGCAGACGCGGAGGTAGTACTTGATGGATCTAGCCTGGCCGCTGCTTCAGATTCGCTTCAGCTAGGAGAAAGAAAGCGTAGGTTTCATTTTCGTTTATTCGGGTTGAAATGTGTAGCTAGCTACTCGATACAGATGCATCAATTAACAAAGTCAACATCGAGGTTTTCTGTCAACCATAGCCACCAATCTCCATCCCTATGCTTGCGACAAAGAATCAAAGCCCGTAAGTAACCACGGATGGGTAAGTTGCAGGAATACCGAAGATAGAGAAATATAATGAATGAAGTCCACCTGGCATCCCAATCGCTAGTGAACGGGTATATCCTGCGCCTAGTTTCCATGTGCAATGCAGCGAAGGGTAAGTTAAAATAAAATAGAAAGAGGAAGAAGAAAAGAAAACCAAGTGCAATGCGTATAAAGCACAAGTAATGGCTATCCCTGCCCGGCAGGACAAAAGCGAAGTGGCATCGAAAACTTTCCCAGAAAGCCTAGATAGATGCACACGTATCGGCGGTAAATATCAAGACGAAGAAGAAGAAACAGAAAACCGAGTTACAATGGTACAGCGTACAGCGTACATGGGGTATGTATGTAAATGGATCGTCAGTCACTGTGGACACCAGGCCTTACGCATAGAATATGATACTGGGAAAGACAGAATAGCTCCTCCGGGAAAACATTAGATCAAAAGATAGTGCCAGCCGTTTTGTTGCATGACATCACGCCAGTGGATGTTTGGCCTCCTGGCTCTCTGTGACCAGTCAGAGGATGTCGTGCTTTCCAAAGAGGAATGTCGTTCATGCTTGGGGGTCGGACTTCCTGACGGGGAGATCTCAGGTGAACCCGAAGACCGGGTGAGCAAATCCGCAGATGCCGGCTTGTCGTTCAGTCTCCAGAGCTCCTCGAGAAGGCGATACATCCGCCCAAAGCTGCCGAGATCTGCGTGGTCGCCCAGCGAAGCCGCTCGGTCAGCCAGGACGGTGCGGAAGTGGCAGCAAGGGGTCGAGAAGACGCCGGTGATGAATAACGGCCAGACCAGGGAGCGGTCAAACCCGTTGGGACCGGACGGGATGCACTGGAGGGTGTCTGCCATTGCGGAAATGAGGTTGAGACTGCTCAACTGGTACCGGTCAAACCCCGGGACGAGGCTGCAGAGGTAGATCCGGGCCGCGATGCGGAAGACGGTGGTCATGTTCTTGGTCAGGATGTCTGGGCGGATGGCATTCTCGGTCAGGGAGTAAGGGCTCTCCAATGTCGTGTCGGAGGGTTCGGTGAACTCCAGCTGCTGTCCCAGTGCGGAAACATGGCTGCAGACAGTCATGTCATCGATGCGGCCTTCGCTCTTCAGGGCGTCTAGGCATGCAATCTCGGAGATCAGATACATGACGCGGTCGTCGCAGCCGGTGAGCTCGCGGAGGCCGGACGCTGCACCCTGCATGTGCTTGGAGCGGTAGACGTGGGCGAACTGCGGCGTCTTCCCGATCATCGTGGAGCCGAGAATGTCAATCCACGAGGTCAGAGTCATGCTGAATGGCGGTAATGTATATGGATTGCTGCTGTTGAGCTCCGCGCTGGGGAGATCGAGCTTGGTCACCAGGTTCGAGACGGCTTGGAAGTGGTCGAACCAGGGGATATCGGGGAGGTAGTCATCGGAAGGGCCGACGGAGCATTGGAACAGGATCATGGCGAGAGCGGCATCGAGGATCTCTTCGTGCTTGGTATCTTGGCCCAGGGCCTCGCAGAGCCGGGAGATCGCTTCGTAGCGATGCCGCATAATGTCGCCGTCGATCTGCTCCCCAACCAGCCCCTTGGTCGTCTTGAGGTGGATGGCAGCAATGCTGAGACAGCAATGGAGGTAGCACTTGTTGGTCTCCAGCGCGCGCAGTATCATCTGGTTGCGCGTATGCCCGTGCTGATAGAGGTTCAGGACGGGGAAGACCAGGCGCGAGACATCGCAAACGAAGTGGTCGAGGAGGTGCTGATCCTGGTCGCTCACGTCGACGCTGGCCTGGATTGTCGACGTCGTCTGCGCAATGGCAGGATCAATCGGCGTCGGATCCACTCCACCCACGCGGTCAACGTCACCCAAACCGGCCACTGGAACAAAATCCTCGTCGCAAAACAAGTGGTCCTCCGGGAAGGTGGGCAGAGGCGCGTCGAAGTGCGGCGGCGCAAACGTGCTAAATGTCGAGACTGTGGAGTCATGCCGCATGGGCACGTCGTTCACGAAAGTATGGCGCTCGGTCTTGACATCAACCTCATACGGCGCATAGGAAACATAGCCCAGATGCGGCGCGGGGATGTGAGAGGGAAAGATATCGAAATGCCCCGGGAAACCAGCGCGACTGAAATCGGGGGACACAGAAGCATCATACGGGTCATATTTGCGCTCTGCAACGGCGAATGAGACCAGCGTCGAGCCACGCCCGCAAGGGACTTGGGAGTTCTCACCTGGATGCAGGCCACGCCTCTCCTCCATCTTCGTCTGTTTGATCCGGCTCTTGATCTGTTCCTTTTGGATTTTGCGCTGCTCAGCGATCCCCCACCACATGGGCCGCTTGTATTCACATTGCACGCAAAGATTCAGACAGGCTGTGCACGATGGATGTTTCTCGTCGCATTTCTTCCTGCGGAGGCGGCATGTAAAGCAACCTAGATACGGGCGAGAGGGCATGGTTCAGCGCCGGAGGGCCAGGGTATATCCTTGCAGAAGACCATCATACTCACCAGAGCGCGACCGCTTGTGCTTTGTTATCTTCTTCTTTGCGTGGGAAGGCTCGGCCTTCTCCCTTGTCGAGGGCCTCGACGAAGCGGCGGCCTTGTCCGCCTTGACCACGACGGATTTCTTGCTGGGGACAGGCATTGGGCAGAGGGAATGGGAGTGACCGGGTCTCAAGCCGATATGCAATGGCCTTTGCTCTGCGCACAGCGAAGAGGAAACGAGCGGGTGTATAAATGGACGCGAGACCGAACCAGCAGTCTCGTCTAATCGAATGCGAATGGCAACGAGGAAATCACAGCACCAATGTGACTGACGATCCAGATACTCCGTGCTGCCGTAGCTGATGGATCTCCCTGGAGACGAACAGGTAGGATCTTTATAGCAAAAAGGCCGCTAATTAACAGGCAATATGAAGAGCATCTGCTTCTATTTTGGGCCACACGAGGCATGGCACGGCGGCAACGCCGAATGGTTGCGAGGGCTGAACGCCAGGCCGGAGCACATTAACATCATTAATGCAGGCTAATTTTGGGTCCTTAGTCTGGATGCCAGCCTGCCAATGTGATGCCATTGTGCAGCCCGAGTCGAGGAATGGGACGACGGACGGAATGCATGCATGCATGTCCTCGATCTCCAGGATGTCTATTTGGCCAGCGGCTGCAGAGCAGCGCAAACCTTGCGACAGCTAGCGCCGTGCTCTGCAGGCATCCCTGCAAGGCCCACCCTGCAAGGTAGCACAGGTAACGGCAGAGGGGCTGGTCTTGGTGAGCATCTGCATGGTGCTACCGTCATCTCTTGTCCCTCCGAGGCATCGTCGACGCTGCATCCGTGTTTGCCATATGAGCGCTGGACCGGGATGCGCGTCGCGCAGAACAAGCCAGTTCCGTTGCGTGTGTTCCCTGCACTGCCCATGAATGAATCCAAGGCGAACCTTTGCTTCAGAGGCGTCGGGGACATCCGGGTGCTGCGTCCATCGAATTTGCCAGCCAAGCGCGGCAATGCAACCTGGTGTGACTGAGGTTTCTTGCACGCGCGGGAAAAGCAATCACTGTGACAAGAAGCTGGCACATTGCAGCCACAAGCATCCATTGGCTCGCAGCACAGAAGACAGCGCCTGGTCCGTGTCTCTGAGCAAGCTGCCAAGCTTTCAGCGGTGCGTTATAAGTGGTGTTCTGCAGGTGAGCCCTCCGAAGGTTGAAGCTAAGATGTGATAAGATGCTGCATGTCGCATTGGCAATTGGCAATTGGCAAAACTGGGCCCTAACCGCCGGACGAGAATAATATCGGTTAATTATAGACAAAGGCAGGGAAAGACTGGTAATTACTGTTCTTTGACTGTTCTCCGTGGGGGTTGGCTCGGGAGTTGGCTCTCTCTCTTTCTCACAAAGAAGGACACGCTAATAATAAGCTAAATAGTAAAAATAACAACCGTGCTATCATTGCTTGTTGCTGGAATCAGTGCGAGACAGCGTATGAAGCAATATAATGCATTCCTCTGACAAATTAGGTCTTCGATTGTCTTATATTGCAATAGAGCGTTGGACGTTGACCTGCCGATTATGCTGTCCACCGGACGATCCCCGGCAGCTCCGCGCGACAGCGCCCCAGTAAATTATTTCAGGAGGAGTTTCCTCATGCAGATATCGAAAGCCAACATGCGGCTCGCTGGCTTGTTGATGTCTGCATTGAAATGGTTGGTTTCCCGGCGAGGGTGGGCAAGGACGAAGTCAACCAGCCTTGAACCGCCGTGGAAATGAAATGCCGTCGGCCCAATACAACCACAACGGCTTCTATTTCTCTGGATTATTTCTCTGGGTCGTTTCTTGCGTCGTTTCCCCGGATCATTTCTCTGGATTGACGTCCGCACACAGAAAAATGCGAGAGCGCTGCGTCATTCTCGACGATTTCATCATTGCCGACGTCATGGCTCGGCATGATGAACCACAGTCGGCTCCCAGTGAAGGGAACAGAGACAATCAGAATAGTTTTGAAGGGAACAGAGACAATCAGAATAGTTTTCAAGCGGAAAACAAGTGACTTTTTTTGTTTATACTTATTCGGTTATTCCTGTTTCAATGGCCACCGGCGACAATGGCCCGGGTAGAGACGAGACTGTATGTTGTTGCTCGATATTAACGCCCATGTTAGGTGCCAAAGCCACTGACTAGCACTTGAGTCGGGGGATCAAGGCGAGCTCCATGCCGGGGAGAATCAATATGAGAACGAGAAAGAGGTACTTTGCAGTATATATCCACCATTTTCTAGCCAGATAACCCTGCTGATAATGGAACAAAGGTCGTCTTCTACCCCGAATGCAGCGAGGCTGAACAATGCTCCCGCACCTCCATTAATAAAGAGGATCCAAAGGCCCTCACCAAAGCATCCAGCGGGGCGACGGCTTGCTTTGTGCATTCCCTTATTGCGGATGCGTGGATGTGCCAGCCGGATGGCCTCACGGATAAAGTGACTGCCCAAACTCCCAACAAACTCTCAACCGGGGAAGAAAAGAGGCTTCTAACTCAGGTGCTGACGGTTGATGAAAGGGCAATAGAACCATATGCGCCGTCGGCCGTGGTAAAGGAAGACTTGACCAGCCCGACAACTACCCACCGCTTTCTCGAGAATTGTGCAAGAAAGAGCTGACGGAGATGGGCTGGAATGTGCACGTGCTCTCCAAGAAGCTGTCCTCTATGCGCCTTAAACTCGCAGCCCGGCATATCTTCATTGTCATCAAGGTGAGGGATAAGAGCCTGGTGAAACTCGCAAGGGAGCTTACGCGATGGCTCATCTCTGCCGACCGCGATGTGCCGTATATCGTCTACGTCGAGGACCTGTTTCGGAACGAGCCCGACTTCGCCATTGAACAGCTGCAGCAGGAGGAACCATCCGCGATAGGACGGTTGAAGTTCTGGAATGCGAACGAGGTGAGAGACCGTCCGCATGTCTTTGACTTTGTCCTCACGCTGGGAGGTGATGGTACTGTGCTCCACGCAAACTGGCTCTTCCAGTATATCGTTCCTCCGGTTCTGTCGTTTTCCTTGGGCTCGCTTGGTTTCCTCACTAGGTTCGGCTTTGAACGCTATGCTGAGATAATCTCGTTGCTCGAGAAAGAGGGCGTCGCCGTCAGTTTATGGTCCCGATTCGAATGTACCATCATGCGAACCAAGGCGTACGCGGGCGGCTCTGGCTCACCGGTCCAGGAACGGTATTTGGTCGAAGAACTGAGTAGAGACCATTTAAATAGAGAGACCCATGACCCGGAGAAGGTATATGAGATTCTGAACGACGTCGTTGTCGATCGTGGGCCGAATCCGAGTATGCCTCCGCTCTCCCTCTTCAGACGGATACGACAGACTAGCTAACACAACCCCTATAGCAATGAGCCAAATCGACCTCTTCGGCGACGATGATTATCTCACTACTGTTCTAGCCGACGGCGTCTGCGTCGCTACACCAACCGGTTCAACAGCGTACAGCCTTGCCGCCGGCGGCTCGCTGTGCCACCCAGAGAACCCCATCATGCTTGTAACTGCCATCTGTCCGCACACTTTATCCTTTCGGCCTATCGTGCTACCTGACACTATCCTGCTGCGGATGGGTGTGCCGTATAGTGCGCGATCGGGCGCGTGGGTGAGCTTTGACGGCCGTGAGAGGTAAGGTTGCTTACTTGAATATAGCCCTACTTTGTGTTTCTCCTCCGTTCCCTTCATTGATACCAGTTTAACAGAGTCGAATTACACCCGGGGGACTATGTGAGTGTCTCTGCGTCTCGGTTCCCATTTCCAAGTGTTAGGCCGCCTGAACAGCACGGCGAGGGATGGGTACATAATATCTCGAAGGCGCTGAATTGGAACTCGCGGCAGAGACAGAAGGGCTATACCTAGATGATTACCATCAGAGTACTCTGTAAAATGAAGCCGCTACCCATGATGATCATAGAAATACCTCATGTTTATCCTTCTGTGCTTTTAGTCTCGTAGATCCTATACTTTACACTGCTTTTTCCTGCCCAACCCTAACTATATACCAGGCAAGACGAACAAAACGGAAATGTCAATAGGGGTGGGAAAGAAACGTAAAGAACACATAAATGACTGGTATAGCTTAATCCAGTCGCCCCGACTTCCTCACCCCCTCCAACAGCTCAAGATACGTATCTGTTGTCCTCTTCCAAAGCCGGGCCCCCACCTCTTCTACTCTACCTATACGCGTCTTCAGATAAGAGCCCCAACTATCCTTTTCGATATCATCCAGCAGCACCCTGCCCGGTGGGAATCGACTAGACCTTTCCCCAGCAGCAGGAGCAGCATAACCCGTCATGGGCGCGCTCAGTCGGTACTTCCACACCGCCTCTCCATCCACGTACAGCGAGTACGTCAATACGGAACAGGGGACAGTAACAGTGGACACCGGTGAAAGAGTATTGCCCGAGGCATCCTCTATCTCCTCCTCATATGTGGAGATATCGATCAGACCAAATTTGGTATTCCCGTCCGGTGCGTATTTGATGGAGACGTCCTCGTCGTCCGTCTGGCGGTACGTGCGGATGGGGAGGTAGAACATGCTCAGTGGACCGACACTAAACTCGTGCACGCCCTCGCCTGCAGTCAAGGGGGATGTGTCATCCGGGGAAGGGTGGAGCAAGGGATCCGGGAAGCGGGTGGCGGCGAATTCGTGTCTGTCTCCGCTGAGGAGGACGACGCGGACGCCGACGTCGCGCTCGGCACGCCACATTGCTTCGAAGACGGTGCGGCGTTCTCGTAGGAAGCCGCCCCAGGTGTCTGTTGTGCCGACATGCCAGTTCTTGGTGAAGGGGACGCTTGACGAAATGATCTTCCACCGGACTTCGGCGGGTTCAGGACGCGCGAGGTACGTGAGGAGTGATTGTAACTGTGCGGAGCCGAGGATAGTGGAGTTGGGCCGTGCTGGCTCTGAGCGGTAGGTGCGAGTGTCGAGCATGAAGAATGATGCAGGGCCATGGATAAAGGAGAAGTATGTCGTGTTCTCCCGCTTGGCGAAGGGGAGAGGCGGAATTGGAGGGTTTACGCTGACGTGGTAATGGACGAAAGGGTCAGCTGCTGCAGGGTATGGGGATGTCAAGTTGCCCTTGGCCCAGTCGTTTTCAATCTCGTGGTCATCGAGTGTATGGAGCCAGGGAAGGCTGATGGCAGGGTTGTCCTGGGGGACGTTCCAGGAAGGCGACGAATAAATTCGCCGGTATTCGCTCCGGTAATGCGACTTGGAGGACCCGAAGCGCTCTGGAACATCGATGTAGATAAAATCACCTAGAAACAACATGAAGGAGGGCCGTAGATAGGCTGGAAGTTTGGCTATGGCGGCCGACATCGTCTCGATACCAGGGATCCGCAACGGGTGCGAGAACGGGTTGTATGGGAAGTTGGGTTTCATACAACTTGACGTCAAAAAGGAAAGCCTGCTTGCACCATCGGTACCCGGAAAAGGCGCGGTAATAAAGCTCCCCGTCAAGTTGTTCGAAAGAGAATATCGATACTTTGTGAAGGGCTTCAAGTCTCTCAGAATCACAGGCACGGTGAAGTCCGTCGAGTCGTCTGTCTGGTAGATGATCCCGTCCTCAATCCACTTCCCCGAATCCTCTCCTGCCACCTCTTGGTAGTAGACAACCAGGGGAAGTTGAGCTGGATCCGGCTCGCGAACAAGCAGGCTCGCCGTTGTAGGTGAGACATATCCAACGCGCGAAAAGGCGAGCTTGCCACTGGGGTAGAACAGGACTCCCCGTCCAAGAAAGTCGAGAGCCAACAACGCGAGAAGAACGTTTATACAGGCAGTACAAACAGTAACTTTTGGCCATGAAACGGAGGGCAGTCCGGTCAGGAGTGTCACTAGAGCCGCACCCCTCGATCCTGTCCGCTTTGTTTCTGGCTTCGAGGCTTCTCCGGCCTCGTCGTCAATAGACCGTTGAAGGAGAGACCGCACGGAGGTTATGTACACCGCGAAGGCAGTGAAAATGACCGGAGCCAAGTGATGGCCAGGGATCTGGAGACTCATCAGCCGGTCAATCCTCTTCGATAGAATGGCGATGAGTGCATACCCATCGCAGGAAAATGAACGTTGTGATCCTGACGGTCGCCGAGCTGACGATGGCGGCAGTACGCTGAAGGGAGACCATAGCTTCCCAGGGGAACCAAATGGATTCGATGGTTGTACAAGAAATCCGATAACCATGTCAATGCAGAAAGCAACGGAGAAAGCAATCTCATCGATCGATACATGAACCTCGAGGCGATGATGTCAGTGAGGAGCTCTTACTAAGACATAAATAATTGTGAACTTCACTAAATAGTTAGGCGGGTGGGATAGAGTTCCACCAGCAACGTCCCATCAACTAAGGAACAGCTTTTAATGCAGCAGTGCATACGCCATACTCCTCATAGAAACCAGTACTTGTGATAAATCATCAAGGCTAGACCATAGCAGGTGGAGAGAATCCAATTTATGCATAATAACGCCTTCAAAATGATTCCGTGTGCAAGGCAAGGTGGGAGCCACGCTGGATGTTCGTCCGTGCTTCTTCACTTTCAGAAGTTAATCTGTTCCGGTGACAGGCTCTCTAGATCGCAGTCTTGTCCAAACTGGGACCAATTCATGGAGAAGACCATTACCAACTCAGCAAGGCCTGCCAGAGTCAAAGCCAGCGCCAAACCGGCCCAAAGGCCGTACAGTCCATATCCCAGTTTGAACGCAAGGAAAATCCCGATGGGAGTGGCAATACCTGAGGGCCTTGTCAGTTTAGGACGAATTGAATGGGTGGCAGACAAGGAACGGTAAGGGAATTTTTGGACTACTCACAGTAGTAAGCCAGCATGTTGACCACTGCCGCTATACTCACCTTCCCAACGGCTCTCAGAACGCCGGCATTGGCAGCTTGTAGACCGTCGGAGATCTGGAATGCAGCAACGCATGGGAAGACAGCAACAGCGAGTGATACTATGTTCGGATCGTCCTTTTAGACAGTGAGCGTTTTTGTCTTGGACAGGAGCTCATTATGACATACCGTGAAAAGGAGGGCGATTTGTCGACCGAAAAGAAGAAGCCCGGCCATCACCACGAGTCCGGTGCTTGCAGCAATCACAGAGGCAGCACGAGCGGCAATGTCTGCCTGTTTAACGTTGCCAGCGCCCAGCAAGCTCGCAACACGATTTGTCGTGGCGATGCCTGCTCCGAAGGGGAAGAGAGACAGCAAGGAATCAGTAGACATGATGATGGACTGCGCAGATGCAGAACTCTGCCCCATTGACCCTGCGGCTAGGGCAATTATTTCAAATGCCCACCATTCAGCTCCAACGCTGACAATTCCCAGGAGGACAGTCTTGGTGAAGCCCCGGAGGTCTTGCAAGCATTCTCTAGACCAACCACGCCATGCCTCTGAAGCATCTGAGAATCGGATATAAGCTAGCGCTGAGAGAGCGCATAACCAGTACATGCTTCCGGTTGCACAGGCGCCACCGGTAAGACCCCAGCCAAAAGTATGGACAAAGAGATAGCTTGTAGGGATGTTGAGTATGGATGCCACTAGCAAAATGAGCGTTCCTGGGGTACGAATTTCTAACATGGCTCGGTTAGTTGGGCATTCATCCTGCTGAACTATTATGCGAAAGTGATATCGAGTGAAACAGGGAGGGGAAAGGAATCAAGACAACAGCACCACTATACCTTGACACTGAAGATACTTCTTTAATGCTTCAAAAAGGATGTATCCGATAGCAAAAGGAGTGAGAGCACGCAGGAACGTCTGCGTGCCATACGCCAATTCAGCAGGGTGGCCGAAATATAAAAGGAAAGAAGCGCTGAAATACCAGAACCCGGCAATAGGCATAAAGAGGATGCCTGTGGAAACGAGATATTTCTGGAGCAAGATTCCGATTTCGCCAATATGGCCTCCTTTCGTGAATGACATGGATCCCAGAGGGTCTACTCACGTCAGCGCTTGGTCGTGTCAACTTTCCAGTGGTTTACGTAGTAGGGATGCAGACCAATTGCAGTTGTACCCCCTATTGCAAGAAGCCATCCTGTGCCTGTGGCGATCATATATGAGAAGGCGACAATGGAGAGTTCAACAGATCCCTGTGCGGCGATTAGTGACTCCAAAGGACCAGAGAAGTGACACTGTCGAAACGCACCAACCGGCCAACGATGAAGATACTTGCGAGCTGAAGACTCTGTTGGAGCACGTAGCCGGCAGCAATCTTTTTTCAATAACATTAGACTTGTATGTGCTATAATATGATGGTTGTAAATGAGTACCCACTGGACATGACGAAACCGCAAGCACTCTTGCTTCCTTCAGTACTAAACAAGAAACTTTCATTTAGAACTCTGATGAGGAGTAAGATACAGACAATAGTACTGTAGCCAGTATAGCGCATATTTCATGATCTGCCACCGAAGCTGGTCGACATGCTTACCGTCCATTTCTGTTTGATAGAAGGGCTGCTCGTCTGTCAGACAACGTGTGCTGCGAGGTATCCCTAGTCCGCTTGTCCTTCTCCCCAAAAAAAAAAAAAAAAAAAAAAAAAAAAACAGAGGAGCCGTTGATTTAATTGCCTTCAGTCTGCTCCATATGATGAAATATATGGCTGATAGCTAACAGTGCAAGTCAGGGCAAAACCGTCCTGAAACACCTAGCAAGTGGATCATCTGCTATTGTTAGGTGCTGCACAGGATAGAGGAACTTCCAACACAATATAATCAATTACTCTATCGCCGGATTGCGTAAATGATGATTTCCCAGACTCACAGCCTGCGAGTTATGCATCATGTTGAGCCATTTAGATCAGCCGAGATGGGTGTGCAGATGGGCCGAGGAGTGCCATGATGATGATGAAACCAGAGGACGACGGACAGTGTAAAGGACAAGCAGGGATCATCCTGACCAATTGGATATATATATCACAAAGACGAGCAGAGGCAAAAGTAATGGATCCAGACTTGGGTGTGAGTTCATGCAGTCGATGAATAGAGTCAATAGAGACAATATCATAAATCGGCGAACAAAGAACTACACCCGGGAGAAGAAACAAAGCTGTGGCACCGTCAGAGTTTCCCCAGACAAACTGCTACTCCTACTCAGCCTGGTTTCCCGATGTTTTCTTTGCTGAGCTCTGGGATTGAGTAGATCCTAGCTATTCCTCTGCTATTTCTGGCAATGACTTCTGATGAGACCAGATGCGGTCATGCTGTTAGCTGGTCGGACACCACCACATCCAAAAGCTCATCCATGAGCCCAGCTAATGGCCTCACGACCTTTCTCGTCCCGTACAATGACTTGCTATGATATTTCCGCCAGCCTGCACTGCGCCTATGGACCGTCAATAATGTCCTAGAGCTGCTAGTATCTGGTACCGTGTGCATTGGCTTTCAATCACATTCACTGCGTCAGACTGGATGGCCGGTCCGAAAAAGAATATCCCTGGCTTACCCTATGTGCTGTCCAGCAAGAACGCACGGCTTATCACCGTGCCGCAATTTGGCTTGCTCGCTGCATGGTGCTCTATCTGTGGGCGATGATGGTCTTTGAGGATTCGAGAATGGAACTTTATTGCGCCGACCTAGGAGTGCTCCCATTGTACGTATATAGGCAGGCTATTTTTCGCGACGGATTTAACTAGTGGTTCCATGGACAGCAACCCGGGCGAAATGATGGGCTCCGTTGGTTGAATAGAATGTCTATTTCGATTCTTTTTGGCATTCCATGTTGACTAACCCATTGGTTTCGAGCCAAATTGGTCCATTCATAGCTACCCCTGTTCGCTTTGGCAAGACCTCTTATTCAGTCAAACCATCAGTTGGATGTACCTACTACTCGGACTACGTCTCTTCCCAGATGCCTACTAATACGGTCAAGCGTCGATACAAAATGTACAAGTATATAATTCGTCTTTATATCGGAGAGAGAGAAGAGCCTCGCGCTGGTCTCTCTTGGGATAACAAGTATCGCAAACGTACAACACCGAAATAAACTAATAGACACATCAACGCCCCTGATTCATCATGGCTCTTAATGCGTCAATGAGATTGTTTATCGCGGGTTGAGTTCCCATCACTTCCTGCGCGGCAGTAAGGACGTCTTTCATGCCCATACTTAGTGACATCTGCGCCGCCCATTGCCACGGTTTCTCTCGCCCTCCAGGTAGAGCATTAAAGTACTCCCAGCCCATAACCCCTCCAAAATTCGGGAACTGTTCAATCAGGAGGGCCAGAGCCGGTCCGATCTTTTCATGAGCCACGTACCCCTGCGAGCCATTGGAAGGGTTAGTCAACAGCCCACAGACCACCCGATTAGGAGCCCATCCCTGCGTGATCATGAGGGCATACAACCGTGGATCCTCAGCAGGACCCCAACCATTGTAGAACTGGGTATTGTACCAGCTGATTTTCGACGCACGCTGTTGCTCTAGAAGACGATAGTCGAAGCCAGAGAGATTACCGATCCCCAGAAGTGCCACGGCAACTGGTGCGAGCGTAATAATGAATTCGTCTCCCAGGTCCGACTTGAGCCGGTCAATAAGCCGGATGATGCCAGGTAGCGACATGGGCTCTTCCACGTCGAGATCCAAGCCCTCCAGTCCGTGTCGGCGAATTACAGCCAATAAGGGCCGGTAGTAACGTTCAAATTGATCCTCGTTACCGTCTAAGCGTACAAACGAGCCTGGAGCCGCTCCTCCTAGCATTCCCATCACCTTGACGCCGCTCTGCTTAACCTGGGGAACTTCCGCCCATAGCGGGTCGTGGTGGGGGCTATCTGGCGGGTCATCATTGAGCGTGATTTTCTCCGGATCTTCATTCAGGTGAAATGCTGCGATGATAACGTGTGTGACCCCTGTATTATTCATTGTCAACGGCAGCAGAGAGACATAATCGCCTCTGTCTGGACGGAGGGTTTGGTGGTAATAGACTATCCGGCGCTCCTGCCGCGCAGCCTGTCGCCAGGTCACTGGAGGCATCGCAGTAAAGAATAGTGAAGAAGAACGGGCTAATATAACGATTGAGGCCTCTGGTATGAATATGGCAACCCGCGCGTCTCAGACCGCGGAGGCTAGTTTACTCAGTATTAACGAGGCTGCCCCGCCCATGCCTTCAAATCGACCTATGCCAATTGAATTGAGGCAATTCTGCAGAGATTTGTCCGAATTTATGGCACAGAACAACTGCAGGCACTCTGGAATATAAAAATAAATGTTGAAAAGAGAAATTGAGCCACCAAATCCGAGAATATCGTAAAGAAGGCGCATCCTGGACCTTCGAGCGTCCAAACTGCCATTTCGGTGATTATGCTGACTAAGCATTAGGCAAACGTGATGAGTGGATTAGTCACGTGGTTTAATGATTTGATTAGTCAGTGAATTTTAGCACCGTCAATAGTTACAGGCCATGGGGTGTACACAGCTCGCGTGAGCTGATGAAGACTCTGACCATGGAGCCATGGAGTCATGGACCTGGGTGTAGGCAACTGTTACAATTCTATCTACGTATTTCGGGACATTAGTGCTTTTCGAAGACTTGAGAAAATGAACGCTGAGTGCGGATAGACAGGTGACCATGCAATGTGCAAATATTCCTTGAGTCGGGTACAGAAGGCCAAAAGCACGCTCTGTATGCTGTACAATATCTAGTTGGTATGCTGAGATTTAAATATACTTGTAGGGGTTCATAATCCCATTCTTGGTATAATAGTCAGCAATACTCTTTGAAACGGATGCAGAAAGCCGGAATAAATAAACCTACCGGATCATATAGATTCTTGAGCTGCTTCATCAGCTTTACCATCGTCTCATTCTGGCTGTAACCGATAAACTCCTTCTTGGCCACACCCAGACCGTGTTCAGCGCTGATACTTCCGTTCCGTTTCTGGATCCATTCATACACCCACGGCTCAATGGCCTTTTCGACATCCTTGTTGTATTGCCTCACAGCGACATTGAGATGCATGTTCGAGTCGCCCATGTGGCCGTATCCGACGACGGAGTGCACGGGGAACGAGTCATCATCACCCACAAAGCCGAGCTTGGTGAGTCGCTCCCGACAGTCCTCCACCACCTGGTACAATTCTGGAAGCGGGATCGACACATCGTATTTGTAGGTTCCGCCGAGATGGCTCAGTGATTCCGTAATACCCTCACGCCAGCTCCAGATGGTTTGGAATTGTGTCTCGTCCTGGGCCAGCACTCCGTCGGCAACGATTCCCTCGCCCATAATGTACTCCAAGAAGGATTCCAGTTTCGCCATATCGTGCTCTCCGTCAGAACCACTGGTTTCTACCAGACAGTAGAAGGGGTAATCGCCCTCCACCGGCTTCTTCTTCCCGGATACCTGATGGACCAGTTGCTGGGTACGGCCATCCATCAGTTCGAAAGCAGAGAGAATTTCCGAAAGGCGGCCTCTGGCCGCTGAGAAGGCTTGAAGAGCCTGATCATAACTCTCCAGGCCAAAATAGGCCACATTTACAGCCTTCGGGCGGGAGGGACACAAAATCGATACCCCGGTGATGATGCCAAGGGTACCTTCAGAGCCGATAAAAAGTTGCTTGAGATCATAGCCGGTGTTGTTCTTCCGGAGCGTAGAAAGCGCATCCACGATGGTTCCATCCGGCAGAACAGCCTCGAGACCAAGTACAGTCCCATGAAGACTGCCATAGCGAAGCAGTCGTAGTCCTCCCGCATTGGTAGCCACGTTGCCTCCTATATGACACGAGCCCTTAGCGCCCAAGTCCAGCGGGAAGAGATGCTCCCTCTCCGCCAGGTACTGATCTGCCACCTCAAGGATGACACCAGCATCTGCAACGAGCACTCCAGACCTCTCATCGAAAGAACGAATCTTGTTCATGCGCGACGTATTGAGGACAATCTCGTCGAAGACCGGTACCGATCCACCCACCAGACCCGTATTACCGCCCTGCGGCACGACGGCCAATTTCCTCTCATTGCAGTACTTCAGGATCTTGCTCACCTCCTCCTTGTTCTGTGGCTTGAGGACGAGCGTTGTGTGGCCGCGGTATTTCCTCATCCAGTCGCTGTTGAAAGGCTCGATGTCGTCCGCAGCGTCGGCAGTCACGCCGTCGATGACAGCGGATTCCGCGCCCAGCAAGTCCTTGAAGAACTTTACATCCTCCGCCGTGACTTGGGCGAAATTGGGGTTTCGCTTGATGTTGGGGTATGCGTCGCTGGTGAACTTAACCTGCTTCTTCGTCGCGTCGGCTCCGACAGCGGAGGTCGTGGTAAAGGTGCGCGTAGCAGCGGCGACGGCTAAAGTCGCATTGGGAATCGATAACGGTCGGACCAGACAGCGTAGTGTTGGCACACGGGCCCGTCGAAGAACACAGGGAACACCTCTTGAGGCCATGGTGTGGTGGTTAAAAGGTGGGAGGAGATGGTGACAGGAAAGATGAAGAGAAATGACATCAGGAAGGCTTTTTCTGTTGGCGCTGCGGCTTCGGGGATTTTGGTTCGCTTATCTTTCTTCGTCTTCCCATCAATTTTTTAATATCTTTGTTATCCGGAGAGTTTCCTTCTTGACTCTCTGTAACTGAACTGACGGTCCATATAACATCGTCCTGTTCGAAGAAACTGGATCGGATGCTGCTTTGTGGCTACGTATCCTACCATCTACTGAGAGAGAATGCTTGGATGTTCAAACTGACGTGGACAGACTAGATGCTAACATCCGATACAACAAACAAGCTGGAAATCTTCTTTAAGATAGTCTACTCCTTTTTGCTTCTATCCGACCACCTCTTCATCTCTCTCTAGTCAAATCTTGGCGCTGCGGATATTTCTTCAGGGTCTAGCAGGAAGCACCAATGTCAGCAAGAGCTCATACATAAGATGGTAATCTGAGAGAGACTCACCTGTCTTGTGTGCCATGATGTACTTCTTCGTCTGGATCATATCATGCTGGAACCGAGTGATCAGTTCCTGGTGACGGACTCTCACCCTTTCATTCCGCAAGGCAGCGCCATTGACAGCAGCGATAGCCACATGGAATCTTGACACGCGGTTGACAAGCATCATGTCAAAGGGTGTGGTCGTGCTCCCTTCCTCAGAATATCCTTCAACAGTGACATTTTCAAGATTCGGGCGCCCAAATAGCAGTCCCTGCAGCGAGATTGGGTATCCATGGTAATTAAAGTGGATGGGTCTATTCTCGGTAAAGAGGTTGTTGAATGCCTCTTCACCCAGTGCATGCGGGTGGGAGCCCTCTTTGTCGAGAATCATGAGATCCGTCACGTTAACGACCCGTACGCGAAGCTCGGGGATGAGTCGTCGCAGAATTGCTGCCGCGTGGATCACTTCAAAAGTCACTTCTACTCCGATGCCAACGAGGACTACATCCGGGTCAAGGCCGTCGTCTGTGCTGCAGAATTTCCAGACTGATGCTCCTGCCATGCAGTGCTGGTCGGCTTCTTCCGCGGTTAGCAGAACCGGTGTGGGCTGTTTCGCGCCTACCATTAGGTTGACGTGGTTCTTGGATCTCAGACAGTGGTGCAGAGTTGATAGGAACGTGTTGGCGTCAGGTGGTAGGTATACTCGCGCTGCGTTTTTCTTCAACTTTAGCACTGCGTCAATGAACGACGGATTCTGATGTGAGAACCCATTGTGCTCCTGTCGAGTCCATGTGCTGGTTTCGATGTAATTGATACTGGATACGCTGCAGTGCCAATTTGTCTCTAGGGCCTAAGAGTATCCTGTGGGCAAATGACTAAAAAAGGTAACCAAGAGGAACAGGGCATACCATTTTTTGGAACTTAGCATATTGCACCATCATCGTGTGAACAATTCCAAGGAAGCTCTCATAAGAGGGAAATAGGGCCACACGACCCGTCAAGGTATACCCCTGCATGAACGCCTGGCACATATGCTCACTGAGCACCTCAATGACCCGGCCTCCTTTAGCGCGGCAGTACTGATCCCACTGGCAATTTCTCCCAGTATGTTTCAGCGTGTCTTCCAACTTGTTACTCTCCAGCTCGTCAGGTGAGAAGATTCGCACGCTGTGCGGATTCTGAACCAGCACCTTGTCAAGAAATCCACCTGACAATTTCATGGAGCTTTGTTCGGTGCCCTTCTCTACACTAAATTCTTTCCAAGATGGCAGTTTGGGTGGTATATAGGTCTTATAGGTCTCCGGGCGTTGTCCCATCTTCTTAGGGTCTGGAGGGATAATCGACTTGATCTCATCAATGGCGTCGCCGGATTCATTAAACAGTTCCTCCGGTCTATACGAAGTTAGCCAGCTCTGTAAAGCTTGAAGTTCTTCTTTATCCTTCTTGGCATTCGGGAGAGGAACTTGGTGCGAGCTGTATGAGCCTTCGATGAATTTCCCATGGACTTCCTTGGGTCCTGACCATCCCTGGTGCGGAAAGGTCATGTTAATTCTCCATTACCACATTTATGCGCGTTGCATTTGTATTGAAATTCCGTACCTTGGGTGTCCGCAAAATAATCAACGGCCATCGTGGCTTCGTGATCGGATTCCCAGAACGAGCTGCCTGTTGAATCCTACGGATTTCTGAAATCGCCCAAGCCATGGAGCAGTGCAGGTCGCTGTCAATGTCGTCAAGGTCTTCAACAAAACGAACCTGGTACCCGTATCCTGTGAAGAGGGTGACGAGTTCCTTTTTGTCCATGCAGCCGAAAATGGTTCGCTCGCTGATCTTGAATCCATTCACATGCAGGATTGGAAGGACAGCTCCTGACTCAGCTGGATCAATATACTTAATTGCATGCCAGCTCCTGTGTTTGAATTATTCCTAGTTAGCGCTAATGACTTCTGCAGGCCTTGGATGAGGTAATACTGGGGAGGGGACAAAACTAACGTGGCTGTAGGGCCAGTTTCGGCTTCACCATCGCCAACGATACAAGTCACAATCAGGTCTGGGTTATCCATAACGGCACCAAAGGAGACGCCCAAAGCGTATCCCAGCTCTCCCCCTTCATGAATCGCACCGGGCGTCTCAGAATTGATATGACTTTGAGAAAAAGTTAGCAGATTGAACTATGACTTAGGCTTGGGAGCCCTACCTTGGAAGTCCAGCAGGCGTGCTGAATGTCGAAATGAGTTCATTTAGACCATCGGCATTCTGCATATACTGTGGGAAGAATCTCGCCAGAGAGCCTTCTAACCATAAGGAAGCAAGAATACCAGGGGCTCCATGTCCTGGTCCGACGACCAATACCATGTCAAGATCTTGTTGTTTGATCAGGTAATTCAGATGTGCATATATCAAGATCAAACCAGGGCATGTTCCCCAATGGCCTTTTCAAAACAAAAGAGAGAAGCATAAGCAAGGAAAAAATCCGACCTCAAAGGGGCCATGCGGTCAATGCTCACCGAGTAACCTAGGCTTTATATCATTTGGCTCTATGGCTCGCTTCAACAATGTGTTGTCTTTAAGAAAGATCATCGCTGTGAATCGGTCAGTTTCGGAAATTCAAGCCCGATCATGGCCTCGAAGAATCTCACCAGCGGCTATATAGCATGCTGCCCTACGGAACTTGGCTATCGCATTGCTAGAATCCTGGTCTAATTTGATCCGCTCTAGCTTCACCTGCAAGTCCTCCACGGAATCCGGAAGGTGAGATGGCATGGGATCCGGATTCGGACGGTCGATATGTTGTCCAGGCATGGTTGGTCAATTTTTGTGGAAACTATACAAGGTTTGATAGAATGTCTGGCAACAATCTCCACCTGGAAGAAATGCAACAAAACTGCGTCTCTTTACTTCTCCGAGAAAGGACTCAAATATCGAGATCGATGGTTAGAGCGTCTTCTAAATACCATTTCTTTTTTTGCTGATCGTTGATTCCTACGTCACATTGAATCGCCGTGACGTCATAATGCAATGCGCACGCTGGACACCGAGGCGACAAAATGCGCTGAAGAGCTCATTGAGAATACAAGACAAGTCTCAAATCTGACTTGCGGGGAACAAGCTTGCTTTCTCATTGCCTTGAAGAGACTCGCGTCACGATGCCCAAGTCAATTCTTTCAGTCAATGCCGGTTCGTCCTCGGTAAAGCTCACCTTCTATACTACCGACAATCCACCGAAGGAGATAGCCAATGCCTCTGTATCTGGCCTCACGGCTCCGCCTCCAGTCTTAAAGTATAGCCGTGGTGGTGAAAAGCACAAGGAGAAGCTAAATGTCGAGCTGAAACACCCTCCAGACGCATTCAAGTTTCTTCTCAAGCGCTGTATCAGTGATCCCCAGCTTTCTGAGGTGGCCAGTGCTGAAGACCTAGAATATATCTGCCACAGGGTTGTGCATGGAGGAGACTATGCAGGGGCGGTTGTGATAACCGATGATACATATGGCCATCTCAAAGACATGGAAGAACTTGCTCCTCTGTATGATCTTCCTGTCCTCACTGCCCCCGATACCCACTTATTGGTGATCTGACCTGATCGTCCCTCTTTCTGTATAAAACAGGCACAATTTCTCTGCGCTGGAAATAGTCAGGGTATGCAAAAAGGAGCTTCCGCATATCAAAAGTGTCACGTTTTTCGATACCACCTTCCACAGGACGCTGCCTGATTACATCAAGACGTACCCGCTTGACCCCAGAATCAGCCGGGAGAAGGGGCTTCGCAAATATGGATTCCACGGAATCAGCTACTCCTTCATTCTGCGTTCCGTTTCAGAGTTCCTGGGTAAGCCAGCTGAGAAGACGAACTTGATCACCATGCATATTGGGAGTGGTGCATCGATATGCGCCATCAAAGATGGCAAATCTCTCGATACATCGTAAGTGCAGGCAGAATGCAATGCTTACTTGCCAAGTGTGATCGAGATGACTGACTGGGGTAATGGTAGTATGGGACTTACGCCCCTCGCTGGATTGCCTGGTGCAACGCGAAGCGGAAGTGTCGACCCATCGTAAGCGTATATTGATGTTGTTTTTTTGTCTTGCTTTTCTTTGATTGTTTTAACGTATTCATTTGCCCTATCTTCTAGGCTGATTTTCCACGTTACGGAAGAACCTGGTAAATTGATCTCCGCAGGTGAACAGGAAGGCCAACATAGAAACATTACAATGGTAAAGTACACCTATAGAATTCTAGGGCTGTCCTGTCGTGCCACTTACATCCACCAAACAGGCCGAAGCCATCCTCAACAAATCAGCCGGCTGGAAAGTCCTAACGGGAACGGCAAACTTCGCAGAGATCGCAGTCGAAAACCCACCGACGCAAAACCACAAACTGGCTTTTGACATCATTGTCGACCGTATCCTCGGATACATTGGCAGCTACTTTGTGAAACTGGGGGGCCGGGTCGATGCCCTGGTCTTTGCCGGTGGCGTTGGCGAGAACAGTGCTCTGCTTCGCAAGAGGTTGGTCGAGGAGAGTCAATGTTTGGGGTTCGCCATCGATGAGTCTGCAAACGACAAGGGACCTGCCAAGGAGTCTGTAACGGAGATATCCAAGGAACCGGGAAAGAATCCGCGGGTGTTGATCTGCCAAACCGATGAGCAGGTAAGATGGTCAATTGGTTGCATTCGAGGTATGCATAGGCTAATATTGTTGGAAACGACAGTTTGAAATGGCACATCGATGTGTTTGCTCGAAGCTTGAAAAGGCTTCGATTTAGCTTTTGGGGGTTGACGCTTCGTGTTAGATGTCACCATATAAAATGGAATTTCTAGAACCAGCCACATTTCCTTTCCCCTTCTGGATGCCCGTGCGTTCATGAGGGCGCTCAGAGGAGTGCTCACTGAGTATTCTACATCACAAGAGCACTCACCTGAGCACTTATGACTTGTTGATGGGGGTCAAACGCGCTGAGCTGGTTGATCCAACTAGGGAGGCCCGGAGTCGGGCAATTGAGACCAATAACTTTAGGTAGATATAGTGTAGCGATTTATGATCTGTGTAGGTTCACGATCTTGAGGCCGACGGTCCAGGGAGATTGAGAGCCAGCTGGGTCGCCAGTTGGCGGTGCGAGGGCCAAGGTGGATTGAACACCGCTCGGGCTCTACGTCCCTGCATTGATATCCTCACTAGCCCCAATTGATGGCCATGGGTCCCATTGCCTGTACCTCTGTTATAATATTCATAGCTTATTATTCTCTGCCTGCTACACCATGTTACCTGGCATACACTCCAGCTCTTTTTCAGCTTCCCGGCCTTAGATATTCTCCTGCTCCCCAACAGAGGAATTAGAAAACTGAATACAATATAGGAGATCTCTTCACTTCCTATTTCTGTTCTGTAGATAGGATAGCTGCAACCGCTGCTTCAGTGATCTACAAGCTAGAATGACAGTTAATAGGTCCTTACACACTAGGGCAAACAGGCATTCAGTAACTTTGCAGACCCGTAAGGAGCATGATGTGGATCAGGGGTGCGCCGTCTGGATACCAGATACTAAAAGGATACCGTAGGATTCGTAGGGATCGTGGTGAACGCTCTATATCGATATACTGCCGTCTCTAGTACATCGTGAAGCTCTTATATACAGGATCTGGGATACTCGGGTATGGTCATCTTTTCTCCCGGAACATATATACTCCGGATACGGAGGTCGGATTATTAGATAATCCACCTGTCCGGAATAACTAGTAACTATATCCTCATTAGAGCATATGGCGGCATTAAGTATTTTGCCATTTCAGGCGGATTGGTGTTCTGTATCATTCTAAGGGAGGTTCCAGTGAATGAATGTTATGGACTGAATATGGAATTCAATTGTGTGCTAGATACATGAAGGATTCCTTAAGAAAAGGAAAGAGGGAAGACAACAGCATTGTGCACAAGCAAAAAGTGGATTATATATTGTGCTTATCGCTGAAGATAGCTCCACTGGGATAATGTTGCTGAGGTGTGCGGAGCCAGATATTAGGTCTTATGCTTGCGAGTATTAGTGACATTCTGGTTATATATACATAATTGCAATCCGTTCCGGCATACTACATGGAGCTTTATTGCATTCGGTAGTAATAGATAATAATTTACGGTGAGAGTAGCAGCGTTTAATATAGACGATGGTACCAGAGGAGACAACCTTGTATATAATTAATTGTATATAAGATGCAGAGCCTGCTTCTTCCTTCCAACAACCGATTACAGCTTTGGCTTCTCGGGCTGGGCCGCCAAGTCAGGCAGCAAGACATCACGAAGCTCAAGCGCTGCCTGGCTGATATAGTAGCTCATCTTCTCCGCGCCGAGGCGTTTGCAGACAATGTTGAAGTTGAGGCTATATATATTCGTTAGTATGCTTCCTTTTGTCCGCCATATGCAAGTGTACTCACCTGTTTTCATTGATCATATATGCAATTCCGAATCCATCATCAATAACCTGACTCCATCCGTATCCGTCAAAGTACTCGGAGCTCAATTGGCTGGTCGACAGGTACCAGGAGCCACTGTAGGCGTAGGCTGGGTCCTGGTACAGAGCAGGTACGGGCTCGCCCTCGCGGAGGGTTTTCTTCAGACCAAACAGATGGCGGTCAACGCCCCGTCCATCGCTGGCATCAAGGATGTACTTGGTGTGCTGGGCGATCGCGGCGCGGAAGAGCTTAACGACCTCCTCGCGTGGAACGGAGGGGTCGTGGAAGGCCTTGCAGAAGGCAACGCTCTCGTCAGACACGGTACGCGTGGTCTCCGTGCGTCCTTCTTGGAATTTCCGCGTTGTGGCGGATTCGTATGTGGGACGGTTCTTGCCGTACATCTTGTAGTAGGCCAGTTGAATGATCATCTGGATGTAGGCATCAGGGCTGCACTTGAACTTCTTGATGAGGCCCTTGCCGTAGCCCTGGAAGGACTGGACGCGGAGCTCATGAGCACCGATCTCATTGCGGTGGAATTTGAGTGCGGCGTTGATGCTCTCCTCAACTTCCCGGCTGACGACGAAGTTGATGGGCTTCGGGTCAGGGAGGTTGGAGCGGACAGACTTGGGGGAGAGGTCGATACGATTGTTGAAGATAAGGTTGTTGATGTAGTCATTCAGACGGTGTGTTGGTGTGCCGTCCATCATGCTGTGCTCGCCCATAAACCCAGCAGTAGCATTGTCGTTGATGATGAACTGCAGCGGCTTGTCGAACCACCGGTTGCAGCCGTCACCGTGCCAGTACTGGTGAGCCCGCTCCTCCAGCGTTACGGGTTTGGCGTCGTCCAGGGAGATCAAGAATCCAGCCGATTCGATATCACGCAAGGCCTGCGCGTTGGCTGGGTCGGCCGCCAGCAGCTGCTTCCGGGCGCTGGTCCAGAAGTCGCGGTTGGCAGCGGTCAGCACACCGACGGGAGGCGCAGTCTGTGCGACCTCGTAAATGCGCTCGAACTGCTTCTGGAACTCGGAGGTATTGAGAGGCTGGCCGTCAAGGACGAGGGGAACTTTGAAGAACTGGTTCTGGCGAACGACCACGATGTGCTGGTTGTCCTTGTGAGAGTATCTCTGCGGGTAATCGGCGCCTTCGGCTGGAATACGGCAGCAATTGAACATGTACTCGTACGAGCTCATGGCCATTGGCTGTCCGCGCATATACTCCGGCTCCAACGACCCGTCATCGACCTGACGCTTGAAGTCAAGCGCGGCGGTGGTAATGGCGGCGGCACGCTGGGCGGGATTCCGCCGCCGGCGATCATCCTTGTATGAGTAGAAGTAGGAAACATAGGGGACTACGGGGTCCCGGTAGCCCAGGTAGGCAGCGTAGTTCCACCACTCGGTAAGCCAGTTCTTGTGCTTGGGGTCTGCAGCACGGGCCAGCAATCGCTGCTGCAAGAGCTCACCCTGGCCACCAGGGCGGACGAATTCTTCAACAGCCTTCTTGGTGTGCTCGAACTCGGATGCCGAGAGGAGGGGGTGTACGGATTTGAGGTAGCGACGGCCGGTCTCTTCGAGGGAGGGCACAGGGAGGCGGGGGAGGGAGTCTTCGAAGCGGAGCATCTTGCCCTTGGACAGATCTTCGGTATATCCTGATGAAATGAGCATATGTCTCCTACAAAGGCAGAAATGGCATATCGCTATATCGCGTCAACCAACGTACCCTCGGGGACCGACGAAGCCTTCCGGCGGGGAGCCATGGTGGGGATCTGTTATCAGAAGACATCAATGCACTGCTTTGTTTTTCTCCGCGCGCCACCCCATGGGGTCTTACAGTGGTTCTAGCGAAAACAGACACAGAAGGGGAGATGCGCTGCCGTGCGAGTATCGAGGGAAGACGGCTTCGAGCAGAAGCCGAGAACATGCCGCAGATCGATGGTATGGGCGGAGGAGGAGGGGGGGAGGGAGGGAAGAGGCAGAGGAAGGATATATCAGCGGTCACAAGCAGGGAAGAGAAAGCACAGGATGAAAGGAAAACGCGAGATGAAGTAGGAGGAGATAATAATATGAATGGAGATTCCAAAAGCAGCGAAAGCCGACCAAGGTGTAGCCTCGGCTAGATGGAAATCGCGGAGGGTGTGTTCTGTACGGTAACTTACTTGACAATACGCTATGACACCCCGCAATAACACCGTTTACCCTGTAAATAACCCTACAGAACGCGTATTTCGCATACCGGACCGACAGCCTCACCGAGAGCTTGCATCTGACGGCCTCGGCTCATCCACGGCGTCAAAAAGCTTGCGGAATTCCAGATCATGATGCCGATTCTATTTACTGTCTGTCTATCGAGGAGCCTCAGTTGATTCAGTCTGGAGTACAGTTCTACTTTCTAACGGCGTGACGGATGAATCTCCCTTCCCCCGCACTTCTCCGGGGTGTATGCAATGCATGTCATCTCTTCGGTGCTGGTGAACCAGTCGGGTCCATCCATGATATGTCATAGTCGGCCATGGATCGCCTCTCGGGTTGGGGAAGTCCGTATGTGTCGGAAACAGGGAAGTTGGAACGAAACAGCTAATACTGACTTTCATGACGGGTAGGCTGTTCTATCGTGCTAGCTGCAAAATTGGCGGGCAATAGCCGTCAGCGCGTCTGTAACTTGCTGCACCGAATCTGCCTCGACCCATTCTTCGCTGGCATGCAAGCCTTTGCCCCGCGGTCCCCAGAGAACGGTAGGGATTCCCTCAGCGGCAAGCAGTGCACAGTCCGTCCAGTAGGACGCTCCGCAGAAGTTCGCCTTTTCGCCAAGAGATTCGCTGACGATGTCTCCAACCCGCGCGCAGAAGGGATGCTCCGCCGGTATATCAAACGGAGGTCGTTGGAATACGACCCTCAAGTCATACTTGAACCCGGACACGTCATGGACAAGCTTGTCTAGTAAGCTCTGCACTTCTTGTCGTACGGTCTCCGCTGTTTCACCGGCCACGGTGCGGCGCTCTAGCACCACAGAGCATAGGGCTGGGTAGGAGGAAGCCTCTTCGCCTCCTTTGATGATCGAGCAGTGCACGCTCCCTGGTCCGGTTCGAGGATCCCCGGGGGATTGATGGAGACGTTCGGCATACCGATCGAGCTCCACCAGGAGATATCCAGCCTTGGAAATGGCGTCGGTTCCAAGGTCTGGGCGGGATCCATGCGCTGCCACCCCGTGGATGTCTACTTGGAGCCACACAAAGCCCTTGTGCGCGTTGATGATGTCGAGGTCAGTCGGCTCATTGACAATCGCCCCGTCAGCACGCCAGCCAGCGTTCAGTACTTGCTCCGTACCCAGACTTCCATCTTCCTCATCCGCAACAGCGGCTAGGATGACATCGCCCTTGAGGCCGAGTGTTTTGGCATTTGCCAGTGCAATCATCGCCGCAGCCAACCCGCCTTTCATATCGCCCGCGCCACGACCATATATTTTTCCGTCTACGAGCTTTCCACTCAGCGGATCGCCCTCGTATCCAACCAGCGTTACCGTGTCAATATGCCCGTTGAACATGAGGCTTTCCCCCCCGCCGGAACCCTTCACCCTTCCCACAATCGAGGGCCTCCCCTTTGTCGGCTCGATCCAGTGACTTTCTATACCTCGGTGCGCCAGCCATGCTGCAATATATTGGGCAATAGCTGTCTCACCCGGACCTGGCAATGTCCCCATTGAAGGACTGGCTGAATTGATTTGGACCAACTGTTGGGTCAAGGTAACAGCATCATCCGCGAACACACTCAGGGGAGTATCGTAGTCCCGGCGACCTTCTGTAGAGAGAAGCACCACTACTGAATCCCGGGTGAGGCCCAACGTCGTCTTGTCGGCAGCAGTGAGCCGGCGGACAGCCGCCAGGGAAGCAGATCCACATGGCCCTGCAGAAATGCCCATTGCCTGCAGGTCAAGGGACGCCACATGAGACTCGTAGTCAGAGATAGTCAAGCTTGCATCTACACCGGATTGAAGCAATGGCCAAGAGATAGAGGAGACCGTACCGCAGTTCAAGCCTGCCATGATGGTCCCGGCGGTCTGCTCGGGACCCTTCTCGCCCCGTACCAGACTCTTCCACAGACAGGCAGCTGTATCAGGCTCCACTGTTAGAACACTTGTGGTGTTCCTTTCCCTCTTAAAGTGCTCCACCGCCGCTTGTGCAAGAGATCCCACTCCTACCGGGGTGACAACGAGATCTACTTGCTCGTCCTTCAACTGGTCATCTATTTCACGCATCATGGCCAGATAACCGTTGGTGATCCACTGGAGTGTCGTTAGCCTGCACGTCATCCGGGTAAGGGTACTCTGGTCTCTTACCCGGGGAATATCTTCATACCCGTCAAACGCAAAGTCTTGGATGAGTATTCCCGCATTCTGTTGCGCCGCAGCCTGTGCCTCGGCCACCGCATCATCATAATTTCCCGCTGAAACCGTAACCTTTGCCCCTTCTCCCTCGATCAACTCGATAGTAGCAGCGTGCGTATTCGCCGGCACATAGATCTCCACAGGGATCTCAAGATCCGAACCCATCCGAGCAACAGCCCGACCATGGTTCCCATCCGTCGCCGCGAACAGACTCAATGGGCGCGAGGCAGATGCCAGGGCTTTCTTCATAGAGACGATGTCCGTGTGCAGGGCAAGGCCGAGTTCGCGAGCAACAGCCCGAAATACAGCCCAGGAGGCACCGAGGATCTTGAACGACGGCAACGAGAATCGATTGCTCTCATCTTTCAGATAGACTGCCTGCACACCCAGTTCCTTGGCTACTTCATCTAGCCTTACCAGCCTTGTTGGTCCGTATCCTGGTAATTGCTGGTGGAACCGGTTGATCAAGTTCAGCGATGTCGCGGGGGGTTCGGCAGTCCATGTTTTGGCGTTGGGGTTGAAGTATACCGGTCGACGAGGAGCCATGGGGAGGAGAGTTATACTGTAGGCGCTCTAATGCACACTGTCTCGCTTTTCGCTGATATTCCATCAGGATGAGAGCTCCATTTAAGTAAGATTTGTGTGTGTGTGTCCCATCGTGCGCCCTCTCGGTACAGCAATCCGGGTGTTTCTTCCGAAGAGAACGTACTTCCCAAAGGATGATGGGAATCAGGACGGTTTATGGACTCATAACTTCTGCCAGTGTCTACTTCCAACGTACATCTGCTCTAAGCTACGCTCTCTACAAGATTTTCCTGTTCTGTCTGGACCTTGCCTTGCTGTGCTGGCACCTATGCCACGTCCCAACGTGTACGTCCACACCCTTCGCAGGCCATTCCCATAGTACTTGGGCTGCAGAACTTCCCGCCGTACATGAACCTTGTGTGTCAGAAATTCGAATAGGTCGTCACTATCTAGAGCGATGAGGGTGTATTGGCTGCGCTTCCCGTGTTGAAGCAGCCGTGATTCGCGAATGCGACGAACTTAGCAGCAGCAACGGAAGCAGCGACATTATCTCTTCAGTAGAAAGCATCCATTTCGTAAACCCACGGTCATGGAGTTTAAACGGCTCGGTTTGCCGCGACGCACGGTCGGCGTGGCTAACGGGAACGTGCTGAGATGGAATGCCTGCAGATGCCAACAGGGCAAGGGGGCGAATGAGAGGCAAAAGCAGGATGCTGATGAAGGAACCCATCGTCGCCTCGCCGTACTTGCATCCATGTGAAGGTGGAAAGCGATCAGATTGGATGCTGATGGACAGTGAAGGGTTTTGCCCCTCCAGGAGAGTTAATATTGTTCCCTACCTGAGGTAAATTCTGTGGCTCCGACGGGAATGCCTAATTATAAAACTGTTGGTCCCTCTTCTTTCCCTTCTCTCAACCTCTGCGTCCGTCTCTGTTCACTCCTTTCCCCCCCATTTCGTGGCCAATCTCCTCTCTTCGGGGCCTGCGCTGTGTCATGTAGGCTGGCTATCGTCGCTTTGGTTTCCTACTTCGCTTTTTTCAATCGAGCTGCTGGATCTCTTGCCTCGGATATCCGGCTCGCGGCCACACGGACATCGGTTTTCTTCCCCTCCTGCGCCGGACTACAGTCAAAAACAACAGCAATAGGCGGCTGAATTGAGTTGTCCTAATGACTTGGACCGCTCCCTCTATGACTGTCAACTCGTCGGAAGCCGTCTCAACGGCATGTTGGGCCCCCGCTGGGGAGACAACCTTGCTTCGCGACAGGCGGCACAGGCATTCGTTCCATTCCACGAGGAAATTATCCGTCGACTACGATGCGGACGCCATCTTTCTTAGGGTGAGCAACATCTTGGCTGTTTTGCTGTCCCCTTGGTACCGGTTCCCTTCCTAACAGCGACCCTCGCACGGCTAGGTCGAGCTTTTTCTTGCCGAACTTGAAAGACGACTCCATAGGCTCGAAGAGTACGGGAAATTGCACATGCAACGGTTTGACATGAGCTTGCAAACGGGGTATGCAACACTGGAAGCCGTTAGGGACGCCTGTTCATATGCGTCCGGTGAGCTTATGGGTGGTGGCAAGACACGAGCCAGGATGCTGGTGGAGACGCTGGAAGACCGGTACAATGAAGCTCTGGCGACAAAGGATACTCTGGAGCAAAAAGCCCAGGCTGGTATCCGCTTGATGGAGTCCTTCTTGTCGGAGCTGGAGGCGCGGGTTCACTCCAGGTGGGATCGTGGTATCTCTGGTGCCATTGACGATGGATGGAAAGCGGTCGACTCGGGCCTTGTGCATGCCCGCGAAGTGGTGGATGAGGGCATGGAGCATGCCCGGCGCGCAAAGGAAGCACTTCGTGAGAGCATTGACCGCGCTATTTTCCTGGCCAAGGAGAACCGGCTGATAACCTACGCGGACCTTCCTCACCCATGGCGGATTAACCCCCATATCACCAAGGGCTACCGATTCTCGACCACCAAATTGGAATGCTTCACGTCTGTCTTCACGTTGAACAACGAGCTGGTCAATATCTGGTCGCACTTCATTGGTCTCATCATCGTCCTGAGCACAGCCTTCTACTTCTACCCACTCAATCCCAACTTCTACCTGAGCACCAACACGGACGTGGCAATCGCTGCAGTGTTCTTCTTTGCTGCCTGCAAGTGCCTGGTCTGCAGTACCCTTTGGCACACGATGAACAGCATCTCCTCGCAGTCGCTCATGGAGCGATTTGCCTGCGTTGATTACACGGGTATCTCCTTCCTTGTTGCTGCGTCGATCGTGACAACAGAATACACCGCCTTTTACTGTGAACCCGTCTCGCGATGGACATATATTCTTCTCACCATGTCCCTGGGAGTTGGCGGTGTCATCCTTCCCTGGCATCCGACCTTCAACCGTGCGGACTTGGCCTGGGCTCGTGTTGCGTTCTATGTCTCTCTTGCACTCACTGGATTTGCGCCTCTGGCACAGCTGACGTACACTCGGGGACTTGCCTGGTGTGTATATTTCTACGCACCTATTACGAAGAGCATCCTTGTTTACTTCGCTGGGGCATGCATCTACGCTTCTCAGATTCCCGAGCGGTGGCGTCCGGGGCTATTTGATTACTTTGGGGGTAGCCACAATATCTGGCATCTGGCTGTGTTGGGTGGGATTTTGTTCCATTACCATGCGATGCAGGATCTGTTCGCTGGTGCCTTTCAGAGGGCGCAGGGAGAATGCCGCAACATAGCCCTGTAGGAAGCCTTCTTTCTCTGCTTCGATCTTTCGAGAAAGAAGTCTCAATTCAACTTCAAGTATTGCTGAGATGCGCGCCACTTTCGTTGGGCTTCCTAGATGCATTAGGCCTATGCAGTTGGGACTGTCTTGCTATCCGCAAGATTGTCAACTATACCATGCATACTCTTTCTAGACGGGCTTTGCTCTTGTGGTGTATATAGTTCAACCAATAGACAATTTCATGAGCAGGCTTATTTTCCAGGAAATAAAAGATAGGCTTAGAATATTCACCGAGAGCAATGCGAGGGGCTGAGAACATCACATGCGACAAAGCGTCACATTCCCATGAAACCGGTTTCTCTCAGACAGAGACAGGGGTTCAAGGAAGGATGCTCGCCAAGTGTCTACTCCGTACTGTTCATTGACGCTCATCGGCCGAGAACCAGGATAATCGGCCGTGATTATATTTGACAGGAGAACATTACTCGCATAGCTGCAGCCCTAAGACGCAAGTTGTATTTTTATTATTGAATTCACTATTCGCTCTACTATGTACTCTGTAGTATGTAGTATTGCGATTTGCGGCAGCCCAATTCAACATGTTAGGTTTACAACCCTATCCCTGTGTGACGTCAACCCCCGCGGAACTTGAACTTTTTCTTTCTCCCCATATTCTCCGTATTATTCAGGATTCATTAATTGCCCAAACAAAGCCAGTAAGTTTAGCATCCCATGATTCGTCTGTTGCTGTTTCCTATCAACATACTTTTAATATTGATATTTTCTTTTCTGCCTTGTCCAGTAACTTACTGTTGGGTTTTAGGGAATTCCTCTCATCGGGCTATATTATTTCACATGTGATTGATCGTCATGGGCAACGAAGAGTCGAGTATGATCGACCAGAAGACGCCCCCGAGGGTCCTGGAGAATCGCAGTATTGAAGCCGTGGCGAATTATATCCTAGAGAATGACATTAGGCGGATTGTTGTTATGGTGTGTTTATTTTACCTGGCAGCACACGTTTTGTGTTGTCTTGCTCTCGGATATCAGGCTTATGGGTTACAAAACAGGTGGGAGCAGGCATCAGTACTTCGGCAGGCATTCCTGATTTCCGTTCCCCAGACACAGGCATCTACTCCAACCTGGCGCATTTGGAGCTGCCGGACCCGGAGGCTGTCTTCAGCATTACTTTCTTCCGAGAGAATCCCAGGCCGTTCTACGCGCTGGCCCGCGAGCTATACCCGGGTCGATACCGGCCAACCATTGCGCACTCATTCATCAAGCTTCTCCATGACAAGGGGCGACTACTGAAACATTTCACGCAGAATATCGACTGTCTTGAGCGCGAGGCAGGGCTGCCTGGGGACGCGATCATTGAGGCTCACGGGAGCTTCGCGACGCAGCGCTGCATCGACTGCGGAGTGGAGTACCCTGAGAAGGAGATGAAAGAAGCCATCATGGAAGGAAAAGTACCCTACTGTCCACGCTGTAACGGGATTGTCAAGCCGGATATTGTCTTCTTCGGTGAGGGCCTTCCCGAGGAGTTTATCGTGAACCGGGGCCTGCCAGAGGAGGCTGATCTTTGTATCGTCATGGGGAGCAGTCTATCCGTGTACCCCTTTGCCAGTCTCCCGGGCTTCGTGAGGGAAGGGGTGCCGCGGGTGCTCATCAATATGGACCGTGCGGGCTCGTTGGGATCGCGACCGGATGATGTGCTTCTCCTGGGAGACTGTGATGCGGGAGTCAGAAGGTTTGCCAAGGCGCTGGGTTGGTTGGACGAGCTGGAAGCCCTGTGGGAGCAGACGAATCCAAGCAAGGAGGCGCGCGAGGCAGAAAACGCTCCGCTGCCTGATCGCGACCGGCGGTTGCAGGATGAGGTGGAACGGCTCACGAATGAAGTCGACCGCACACTGACTCTGGCGGACATAAGTCGGCGACGGCTGGAGCAGCAATTGGAGGAGAAGGGGCCCCGTGCTCCTGCTGCTCCTCCCCTGCCCAGTACGGAGGATGAGAGTCGTGGAGGGCTGGGGCATGTTTTCCCGCATCTGGTACGGAAGCCATCGTCGTGACGGATATTCCAGTAGTGTTTTGGAGTATTGCTATTCTTTACGATTGATGGAATTCACGCAGCCTACGTATGATCTATAGAGTGAACACAGTAATAGTACAGACACCAGAGTACTATAGTAGTAATTCCCGACGTCGTTCCGAGCTCCGGGCCTCGGTCCAAGCGCGATAAGCGTCCTCCGTAATAGAACATAGCTGGCTATACAAGGTTTAATCAGATGCTCGCTATTATTATTTTTATTATTCTTCTCCCCCTTCCCCTAAAGACGGCAATAAAATGTCACCGGCTCGAGAATTTGATCAGATTGCTTGACAGTTACCTTCCGCCGTTAGCCCAGACGCTCTGTAATAGAACACCATGGCAGACTCCGACCGTCCTGCAGAAGAACGCTCCGCAGCCGCCTCGATAAGCCCCGCCAAAAAATCACCGGAAATAACTTCGTCCAGAAGCAGACGGCCGATTCCTTTGCGACAGCTTCTCGCTATCCTCGCGGCGAGTGATACTACTATTTATCGCTTGAATAAGTATTTTCTCCAATAGTACATTCCCCTTACTCGTTGCGATCGAAGTCATGGCTAAGAAACCGTTCTCTTAACGTAGACTACTCTCAACATCCTCCGGCCAGGAAACAGCCCTCGCTACGATCGAATATGTCGCACAAATCCTCCATCACTTCCTTACATCTACGCCATGGACCGCCATAAGAGCACGTCTAGAGCAGCTGAATCTATCCAGAGCCTTCTCTAATAGGTCCGGGGCCGACGCAACCTCAACGTCAACATCAACAGCTAAACCACGTCTCCTCGCCCTCTCCTCCCTCATCTCAGAAACACGCTACAACATCCGTCTATTCGGCCTCATCCCGCTATGGATGTGGGGATCCAATACAATCAAATCGCCCCCGTCGGACCGGCTAGTTCGCAGCCTGACCCTTCTCCAGGTCGTGGTGAACATGCTCTACCAAGCACTGGAGAACGTCGCCTATCTCGCGTCCAAGGGGATTGTGTCGAAACGTTTCGTCGACAGATACGGGGGTATCGATAAGTGGTATCTATGGAGTACGCGGATGTGGTTCGGACATATCATCTTGCAGTTTGTGAAGTTGTGGAGACAGCATGTTCTGAGAAAGGAGAAGGAGGAGGAGAAAGGGACCGATGCCCAAGTTGACAAAGAGGCCGCTGACAACGCTAGGAGGCGGGAAATCCGCGCTTGGAAGAAGAGCCTCGTGAGCAATGTGCTCTGGGCACCGCTATGTCTCCATTGGAGTCTGGAGAAGGGACTGGGGATTCCCGGCTCCGTGACCAGCTCCGTCAGCTTCCTGGCTGGTGCTTGGGATCTGTGCGATTCGTGGAATGTAACTGCCCTGTCATGATTTTTGTTGTTCTTCTTTTTCATCTCCTATTCCTCCTCCCTCGCTTTTAACCCTCTGTCACAATCTCTCTTCTGGTGGTTTTTCTTTTAACGGATACATTATATACCAGGTTGATTTGGCGTGGATATAGACCATTCCCCTTTCTGTCACATTCTGAAGAAGAAAAAGAAGATTATACAGTACAGTACACTTGAAGGAAGAATTATCCTTCCTATCTGAGTGGACAGTCGAGACGAACCGTATCTGCATTACATTGCATGGCGCCAATTGGCTTATTTCAGCTTGCGCGATCATCGACAAATCCACAGAATACATAGACGTTTTTTTTTTTTTTTTTCCTTGCATTCGTATGCCATTCCGAGTTCTTTCCGTCCTCAGTCACCAATGTCTTTGGCGTATTTGATACCTTGCAGGTGCCCATTATAGGTTCGTTTCATGTTCCTCATTTCTTGGTTCTTGTTGTGCTTTGGTTTTCCTGCAACTTTGGATAAGAGGGATCTGCCAAGGATGATAGAGAGCGTCGCTAGGAAATAAAATGCTAGTTGAAGCCCCTCGGAGATTTAAACAGTGTTACCGGGGAATGATTAGACAAGTTTCACGGGACAGAGAAACAACGTCTAGTTTCAGGATAGGGTCTCTCCCCCAGGTCGTTCATCTGGAATCCACATATACCTCTTCTCTATTCCTCGTGAATCTCATCCACAACCTCTTCTTCCTCATCGTCTGCTTTCTCATCTTCTCGCTTCCTCTTCTTCTCCATCCCATCGGGACCCTTGATCCCCTTGGCCTTAGCGAACAGAGAATCGAGCTTCTGCTGGCCCTTTTCATGTTCCTCAACCCTTACCTTTTCACCCGCTAGTACGGGAGGCAAGCCCTGAATACGTCGTTTGACGTCGTCGAGTAGTTCCATTTCCCGTTCACGCTGCCCCTTGACTGTCGGGATGGACCACGACTTCGACGTGGCCCCCTTGTGTGCGAGCTTATACTTGGATCCGGTGAGATGCGTCTCGTACGTATTGGCATCCATTTTCTTGACGTACTGCGCATGAGACAGCATTGTAAGCCTATGGCAATTGCAAGGTGGATGTGTATGGTTCACCTGATGCGCAACGATATACCAATGGTACTCCGTTCCCACAGGCGCACCGCTCCCCTTGGGCGCATTCCTGGCCCGCCTCTTATGCGTTCTGTAATCGATCTTCCACAGGTCAGGCTCCATCTTCGTCTCCTTCCACACCCCCTGGTCGTAGTTCCAGGTGTGTGACCCCCCAATTGCCATCCCGGAATATACCTGTCCGTTATAGGTTTTGAGGGCATCGTACCCACCCGCGTATGCTCGTTTGCCGCCCGATGAAGGGGCTCCAGATACTTCCTCTTCATCCATTAACGCCAGATCGATGGATCTCACGCTGGGTGGTGTAGATATATTGCTTGCATTGCCGGTTAGATCTTCCTCAGTTGGTGTTTCTGGGGGGTCTTCTCTGCTTTGATTCTTGGGTGTAGGAACAGGAGCTGCAGAGGAAACTTTGCTGCGTTTAGACCTAGGCGGCATGTTTGTGAGGTATCTCTTGTTTTTCTTGGTGAGATGCTTGGATGAATAAAGCTACATGCTTTTGGTAACTATGTAACTAGTTAACTTAGTTATGGTATGCCTATGACATAATACACTAGCAATCAAGCATAGGATATAGGTGGCGCCGCCATTAAAAGCGGGTCCGCTGCATTCGGGTAGGCAATTTATGGATAATCCTATTGCGGCGGATGGAATTTTAATGCGGCTTAGAACTGCTATCACTTATATAGTATAGTCTGTCAGTAAATTCAGCACTGTCACAGTTGTTTGGGCTGCATATCTCATCAAATTTAGGAGTTAGATGGCTTCCATGACCATCTAGGATGAGTAGGAGATATTCCCCAGTTGAGCCCTAGCCCTGTGCCCTACTTGCTCAATCTGCTGCACCTTCTAAGGCGTGCCAGGGTCACATGCTGACGGTCATACCTCAGATACGGTCGTCACAGATAGCTATGCAGACAATAATAATCCTGCTAAATATTGGATAGTCGCAACTCTTGGGGTAAACCACATTGGCACATATCAAGGATCCATGCTGAAAGAGTAGATTCTTCTGTCACTGGCGGCTTTCTGCAGTTTGCTATAGTATTTGTACAGGCAGATACCCCCTTTAACTGTCACAGAACTCAACTAGACGATGAATAGGATGCTATTCAACTATCTAGGCAGCTATCGACGAGAACTTCAAGCATGGAGAGGAGGGAAAAAGGAAGAGATCTACGTGAAGCTGGACGGCGTATTCCTATCCACGCGCCACGCTAATCCAAATAAGGAAACTCACGTGCTCGTCCTGGTCTACATGGCAAGGGCCCTGACATTAACTGTCTTTGGAGAGTTTTTGTATTGACATCAAATGCAGCCTCAACCTTTGGGATAGACGATATCGACCCTTTGTAAATGCATTAAGGGCTAAGAAAATTCGCCCTTCATAAGATTTATCTTCTATGGCAATAATGTGGGTGGTAGAAGGAGATCAATAGTAGTCCAGGTGAAAGACTGATCTATCCTATTACTAATTATATACAACGGTGCTTATGTGAACAAATATAGCAACTTGTGTAATATTCACACTTGCCTGAAACACCAGGGTAAACACAGTGTGGATGGGAACATTTATGGGCTGCTTCAAAAACCTTGGATACATCATTTTCTGACATGCCTTTCTCCGCCAAGAGATTTTCATAAAGCTCCAAAGACTTCATACGTTCGTCCAGGTCTTTGCTGAGACTGTCCCCAACATAAGCCAGCACTAGGCCATTAGGCTGTTGGATGGTGTAGCCTCCGTTCGCAGTCTCGAGATCGACATCCGGGTGGGAGGTAACGAATTCTCGGAGGTCATTTTCGGTGTCCAGGACCGTGGCGCCCTCAGGTAGAGGGACATTATAGCGAGTGGCGGCTGCATAAGCCGTCGAGACTAGGCTGATGAGAAATAGCTTGCGCAGGGCTGCAGTGGGAGACATTTTTCAGGAAGTAGGACAAGAGACTCAAAAAAGAAGTCGGTGGGTGTTCTTAGGTTTCTTCGTTCTCTCTTTTCTTCCTGATATCCAAGACAAGATAGAGCGATGTACGATATACTGGTTCCATTCAGGAGAAACAGGCAACTTAAATACTTTACAGCTTCGTTAGATTGCTTCGGATTCACCCTTCATCCCATCATACCACGTCCAGCTACATCTCACTGCCATGCAAGCCGAAGTAGAATCCCTGTTCCCAGGATTATTACCAAAATGCATCTGCAGATGATGGTGTTTGTATATCCCTCACCTAAGCTGCATACTCATCTGTCAGCTTCTCGCCCGCTGCAATCTTCGCTTCCAACTCGGCGTTTCTGCGGTCGATCTCCTCACACATTTCGTCCGATGCCACGCCGACGACGGTGCCATCCGGGTTCTTTGCATAGTAGCCGTTATTCTCAGGATAGAAAATGGCGTACTGATTCTCCCTTTGGACTTTGGCAGCTTGATCAAGGGTGGTGAAGACGTAGACACCCTTGGGGATTGGGTCCTTGTAGCGAGCGGTTGACATTTCAAGGATCCTTCCCAATGGCAGATGCGGATGCAGAGACAGAGACTGAGGGCGAAATGAGTGATAGACAGCGTAAGAAGGAGGTGCAAAGGACAGACATCACTCCATCGATGCCATTTATAAGACGGTGTTTGCGTCTATGGATGTAATGTCATGCAAGCCCAACAGGCGTTTTATTGGCTACGTTTCAGGGAACAGAAAGCTTGACTCGTGCATGGGAAGACGCTGTGATATATATATATATGTATACATATATACATACTATTCCGATAGTGCACATGCGTAAGCCTCGGCGCACCACATTATTCCACTATTCGAATCCTTTATGCGAGCCGCGTAAGCTATGGATATTGAGTCACCGGAAATAGGAGCTTCCAGATGCACTGGGATCCTGTAGAGCGTGTCGGGAGCGAAAGTTCCGGCCCGCTGAGGCCGCATGATTCCTTACTTTGTAGGGTCTGCATCGTCCGCCCCGCACTGCCATGACGTGGTGTATATTGAGCGGGCAATCATCGGAAGCGGTAGCTTTCTAGCAAGATGTTTCCCGCAGTTGTGATGAGTGGCTGGTATAGCTGCCACATTGTGAGGCCTGTGTCTTGGAGGAGGTCATGCAGGTTAGGGCTGAATCCAGAGTAGCACAGATACAGCTATGATGGTGGATTGCCTACCCTATAGTTAGGGATAAGGAAGAGTCCTTACGTTTCAGGTAGCTTCCATCCGATATTTAACTACTAGGCCTGGGACCCAATCCGGTCTTATGCATAGATCATATCCAAAGTGCGCGCCTGCGCAATGCTATCCGCAGGCGAGATATACACACCAGCCCTTCACCCGATTAATGAACTGCTCCAGCATAATGGTGAAGTAATGATGGCAGGTCGGCCAGTACGACTTGCCGGGCTGATCCTTGCCCATCTCCTGAAAGGTAGATAATATACCTTCGTAGTCTCCTTCCTCATAAATCTCTTCACATTCGTCGACGTTTGATCGCCTCAAAACTCGTCGAACATGAAATTGATAAAGGCCACTTTGCGCGTCCAGGTTACCTTGCTCCCTTCTGCTAGCTTCTCTTCCCCGGGGGCAATGATAGGCCAATGCATCACCGTTATTTGACCAGACTTGCCACGAATTCTCCGCAAATTGTTGATGGGCCAAGACGTAGTTCACGTTCGGACAGATATGTTCTCGCGTCAGTCGGACACGCAGGTTATGCCAAAGGGATTTGCCAAACCACTACCACCTACTTGACCTGCGTCGATGAAGTTGGCCGTCACACGCGTGGCGGCCAAATTGACATTCGGCAGAAGGCATGCCGATGATATCCGGTCCCTGTCTGCCTCAGCTCTAAGGTCACGAGCGGCACGTGCCGTGCTGCAGATCACAGGGACGACGGTTTTGCAGAGCACGATACTCGATAGGAGAAGATACAAGTGATCTATAGTTAATTAATCCTGAAGGAAAGGGCATGTCACAGACAAAGCTGTAGCGACTGTTCTCTTTCGATTGCCACGAGGCAATCATGTACTTGAACCGAGTCTATCTGTCGATGCCAACACTGCATGATAATATTTCCACAAGTGACAGAGGACAAATCAGGGAACTTGTCAACTTCATAAAGTCTCTCAACCTCACCACTAGCTACTTCCTCGTGGGGATAAGAACTGGTCATTATAAAGTAGATCAACGACCCTAGACCGAATATATCATCCCCAGATACTGGAGGAACATTCCAGTCATAGCCGGGAGGTCGAAATCTTATCGCCGGGGTAGCTGATGGGCCTGAACCGCAGAGAGATGCACCGCCAAAGTCAGCAATTTTTAAATCGAGATGAGAGTCTAGGAGAAAGTTTCTTGGTGAGAGGTCGCAGTGTATAACGTCCAGGTCATGAAGGACCGTTAGTGCTTCGGCAGCCTGCCTACTCCATCGAATGCGAAGTTGAAGAGTTATGTTCTGATGATTCTGCCGGATGTAGTCTCTGAGATTTCCGTTCTCTAGATACTCCAGCGTTAGACAGCATGTTTCTTCGTCCCAGCAGATTAATCTGGGCACGCGTGGATGATCTCCGATCATTGTATATACTCGGGCCTCGACACGCATGTTCCGGCGGTGATCCTGTTCCTCAGGTGGGCAGTACGGATTTGGAATGGGTGTCTTCATGACAGCGCCCGATGGTAATCGTTCAAGGATGGCAGTTCCCCCCAGGCTAAAATCTCCCTCTTGGTGACATATATGACTTCCCCATGACGTGATTGTGGATAGTTGATAGATTCAGCGGAAACACCTAGATACTAGCGTAAACGAGAACTTCGGACACGCAGCTCCGTAAGCCATATTGGTATCATGAACAAAGTTCTGCCGGATTCTCCAGTAGGTGGCCACAGGACCCACTCCATCTTCCAACGAGGTATAGTGTATTACACGAAATTCAATAACGACGTCTTCCCGATATATTTCTGGCTGTCTCTCGGACAGACCTCAAGCCAGGCAAGTTCCCACGTTTATGTACATCAAATCAAAGTGATGCGGCTGCGGATTCCTCAGGGAAATTTGGTAAATATTCTGTCACCTCATGGGAGAGGCTTAGCTTAGGCCCTTTTGGGGCTCTGGTCACGGGCGCACATTCGGGCTCGTTGATTCGTTGACTAGGCGGAAGCCCAGCCTCCAGTATCCAGACAGCGCATGTTAGAAACAATCGCTGATTGCCTTCAGTTCAGCAGACATCACGAACTGGGACAAGTGATGTTAAGACAAGCATTCCTTCAGTCTTCAATCTGACTGAAACCGAGATCCTTCCCCCATCAGCAGCTTCGATGCGTGAAAAGTACCACCAGTGGCACTTTGAATTCCATCCGTGCAAACGCGTCTAGAGCCCAGTGTCGAACAATGACAGAAACAGTAACTTTTAGAAACACTTGTTCGTGCCTTCAACTCTGTGTTTCACTTAGATGTCACTGATGAAGGAGCAGCCTCAAAAACAGTGATTCCTGACAAGCTGTTCAAATATACGTCGGGTCGATGGTTGGTCAATGAAGAACACCAACTCGCACAGCATTTTGTTAAGTTCGACGTTGACAAACTCTGTTATATGGCTGCATCTCTCTTCAGTAAAGAGGCTAGATGTGTGTGTATTGGCAAGGTGGAAGGAAACTACAATCAAGCTTTTCTCCTTACAATGGATGATGGGAATGAAGTCATAGCCAAAATACCTTGCCCCAATGCTGGGCCTCCATTATACACTACGGCTTCCGAGGTTGCGACTTTAAAATTTTGTAAGTCCGTCCTATGATGCTTTTTTGTTCATGTTCATGTTCCTTATTCAACAGTGCGATCACATACAACTCTTCACATCCTGGCAGTCCTTGCTTGGAGCTTGAAGTCGGATAATCACGTAGGTGCAGAGTATATCATCATGGAAAAAATCTCTGGGGTGCCCTTGGCTGAAATACGGGAGACAATGAGTCCCTTAGAACGCTACAAAGTGATTGATCAGATTGTCGATATGGAAAAGGAACTTGAGAGCTTGGAATTTCCAGCATACGGGAGCATCTATTTGCGAGATAAGGGGTTCGATGAGTTCCAAAGCTGCCCTCTTCCTTCCGTTCGTGATCCCGCCGAGTTGTTTTGCGTTGGTCCATCTTGTAATTGAGGCTCGTGTCATGGGGACTCTGGTACGTCTATCAGATACGCAGGGCCCTGTAAGTCTTCATACACTTACTAGAACTATACCTTGCCCACCAGCTCTCTGACATTGATCACAGGGACGTCTTTCAGTGAGCTTGCAGATTCGATACCTCAGCGGGAGTTGGACCTTATTAGAGATTGTCCGTCTGAAGTGAAGTGCCTTCTTAGAAGTTTTGATGAGTCACAGACGATTGACGAATATGGCATCCTACTACAAAAGGCATCGAGCATACTCCCTATATTGTCGCATGATCCTCGCGTTACTAAGGTATCAAGGCCTTCTCTGTGGCACGCAGATCTTCACCTTGGCAATATTTTGGTGTCTCCGGAGGATCCCACTACTATTAGAGGAATTATTGATTGGCAATCATGCCATATCACACCTCTATTTGTACAAGCTCATTTCCCCGACTTTCTGAAGCCACCGAAGGACTACGTCCCAGGCACGGACATTCCGACTCTGCCAGAGAATTTCGACAAACTGAGCTCCCAGGAACAAACACAAGCTGCACAAAATAAGGAGTTGGCAACCCTCTCAAAGTACTACAAAATGGCTACCCTCGGGCGCAACAAGAGCGTCTACGATGCCTTGAAACTTGATCGGAGGCTGTGGGAGCCCTTTACATGCTGCCAGTTATTTTCTGATGGCAGCCTCGTTCCTCTACGTAATTGTCTAATACGTATTTCTCAGGATTGGGATCATTTAGGGCTGTCTGGGCAGTGTCCCTTTGTGTTTACGCAAGAGGAACTGAAAAGGCACGACGACCAGATGAAGCAATATGAAGACAGGCTTTATTTATGGGAGCTTGCGAAAGACCAGCTGCATACGGACAATACAAGCTGGGTTCCAATAGAGCGGTGGGAAGCAACAAAAAAAAATCAATCAGGATTTATTTGACATGTTCATTGAAACAATGAGTAAAGAACTCTCACTGGAGGTGGCTGCGAAGAAATGGCCTTTTCCGCCTGAAAATATATGATCTGTCTTCCGACATTCAGAGATTTTTCTTCGCTTGCTCAAGCAATTCTGATATGACGCGTTTTCCTTCTTCTGGCTGATCTTCTTCTGGCACGTTTCGGTTGATTTGCGCAGTAGCAAGCTTTCCATGCGGGTTCTTTTTCAGCCAATCTCTGAGTCCCTCGCTTTTCGCCTGACTGTTCACTTGGAGATACACATTGTAGTGTAGTGCCGTGAGGTTATTCAGGAGTGGTTTCAGAAGCTCCATCAGACCATCCAGAACCATGGGATATTAAAGGAGGACATCTACAATTTTGATGAGACTGGCTTCAATATCGGTGTTGGTCGTGATCAATGGATTATTACCAGGGACTTCAATATTAATAAGCCTCATATTGGGATGAATTTAAACTGTGAATATGTTACTGTGGTTGAAGCAGTCAATGCAGATAGCTGGACCTGCCCACCACTTATTCTCATGAGTGGTAGCTGTATACTTACAAATTGGTTTGAAACTGCTGATATTCTACAAGACTATTCAATTGGAGTATCAGAAAATAGCTATATAACTGATACAATTGCTTTCCAATGGATTCAGTCATTCTATCAGCATACTAAAAGATATAGGAAGGGTCAATATACCTTTCTTATATGTGATGGATATGGCTCCCATCTAACACATGAATTTGTTGAATTCTGTGAAAAGACCAATATCATCACCTTCTTACCTCTACATACAAGTCATTTCTTGCAGCCATTGGATGTTGGTGATTTTTATATATATAAGCACTAGTATTTAGAAGCAATTGCAGATGCAACTTACTTAGGATGCAGTAAATTTACTAAGGTTGAATTCCTTCATGCCTTAGGGGCAATTCACAAGAAGATATTCAAAAAGTGTACTATTCAGCATGGATTTCAAAAGACTAGCATCATACCATTCAATCCATCAATTGTACTCAATCAAATGCCTTAACCACATCATCCATCCTCTTCATCCACCAATACCAATGATGTTGATTCCTGGGGCAGTACGCCAAAAAAAGCTGAATGATTTAGGGAGATTGGTGATAGGATATAGGAGATTTATGATATCAACAAGGATCAATTTAATGAGGGCCTAGAGCTGCTTATTCATGGTGGTAGTATGCTAGCATCATATTCAGCTGCTATCGAAGCTGAGTGTCACGGAACTCAACTAGACGATGAATAGGATGCTATTCAGCTATCTAGGCAGCTATCGACGAGAACTTCAAGCATGGAGAGGAAGGAAAAAAGGAAGAGATCTACGTGAAGCTGGACGACGTACTCCTATCCACGCGCCACGCTAATCCAAGTAAGGAAGCTCACGTGCTCGTCCTGGTCTACATGGCAAGGGCCCTGACACTGAGCTTGACCGGTATATTGAAGCTGCTAGGGACCGCGCAGCTCGATCACAGGCCTCTAGGCGCAGGATTCGCAAGGGAGGCATAGCTTCAAGCTCAGAGCTTGAAGCTATAAATTGAAATACTGCGAATATTAATGAGCAGGCTGAAATAAAGAGGTGGAGGACTAAGTATAAGCGTTGCCTACCAGAGCTGCTGGATGTGTGCATTCGACGAGGAATTATTATACGAAGGCAACGACATGCTAGGGCCCAAGCTGAAGAGTAGAGCTTTAGTTTAAATATATTTTGAAGTTAAATACTATAGAATTCGTTGAGATATTGAAGCTAGAAGGGGGGGGTCTAAAATTGGTGCTCGGGTGGCTGGGGTGCTCGGGTGGTTGTCAGGGTCGCGCAATACGCGCGACCCCGAAGGTTACCGTAGGGGTCGGTTAGCTAGTTACCAACCAACAATACACCTCCATTACCATTTCTCATTGAAACTGAAACATCGAACCGTTGGACAACAGATCAAGAGCTTGTCGTCCGTCATCGTGCCTGGCTCATCTCCGGTCTCTTTTAATCGTTCCAGGTCCGCTTGATGTTCCAACTCGCGGATAGTGATGAAGTCGATACCAGCATCATTTTTCCAGCTATCATGCACGCGAGGGCGACTATAATTTGGTTCCATTTCTGAGAAGAAACCAGCGTCAATCGCGACACGACTATTGATCGAGAATCGGATCGGCCTGTTATCTTTCATCCGAAACGCTGTTCCGTTGCAGTGACGGAGGTGAACTCCAGCAGAATTTTGGGAATCGTTGTCAATCAGACTACAGAACTTGCGACCACATTGGATGAGACGGTCCAAGGGTCTCTTTTATATCCAGCTCAACCTATGCCTGTACGTTCCCCCAGGGCAGAGTCCCTTGTATTGGCTAATCTGGACTTATTCCACCTCCCTGCCCCTTGATAACCAGCTTGGCCTCCGTTCTCCAATCCCAAGCCCTGGATATCAGCGGCACACCTCGCAGAGTGTGTTTGCATCATCCATTCCTACTCCATCCAAGGAATGAGTAAATCACATGCGTGAAACACAGTCGGCAATCCAACCCTGGAAGATCATCTGGATCGATCGTGATCGGTCAATGCGGCTGAAACTTCCTCCAATTTGTTGGCACCAAACCACACCTCTTCCTTGTCTCTCTCTCGCAATCGGATTCTCTAGTCACGAGGACCTTCTATTCCATGCCTCTCGCATGAGATGGAGACGTAACAGACGATGCGCCACTGCCAGTTGGCTGAGACGGAGATAGGGGTGCCAATGATGCCTTGTCAGCCTCAAGCCATATGACATTTTTTCAATTGGCAACATCCGACATCCACGAGCTGATAATTGAGAATTGTATGACAAGTTCCGCGTCCCACAAGACATGCTGCGTCCCAGGCGGCAAGCCCAGGTCAAACTAGTGCTGCATTTCACATTTGACTGCCAATAAATGCTATCCATATCATTTGAAGCAGAACCAGGATCCAACACAGTTCAGCTGCGGATGTCTTCTGGGATCCCGTGGTGAAACCCGCACATCCAGGTGCTGTCGATCAAGTTCATCAGTCTCATCAATTCACCTGGATTGATTTGCCAAGTGGTATCGATCGCAACTTGCAACCTGAAGGCGTAATGGCGCCCATCATGTTCATGGGCTCCAACCGCAGCTGAGACGATTGCATGATGGCACAACGGTCCAGACACAGGAGAAGCTGCCCCATCCCCCCACAATCATCATCCAACTCCCAACAGTTAATACACTGAGAAGTCTTCGAATTGGCTGTCCCAAGAAAGTGACAGACGGGTCAGATGTTGCAATGATGGCGTGGCAGATCAAAAAAAGGCTGGCACGGAGCAGCCGGTGGAGTTCTTGCTGCGTGATTTTCAGGCGGCCGTGCAGGGGGCTCAGGTCGCCTTGCCGCAGCTGCGACAGCAGCAGGAAATGAGAGTCCAAAAAAAAAGGAAGTTGGGAGGTGAATGAGGGAGGAAGCGTTGGAACGACACACTTCGCGGTTTATATAGATCGCAGCGTCGGCGGAGTGACGCCATACCGGATCGGGGCCGGCACGGCGGGCGCGAGACCCGATCTGGATGCGCTAAACCCAACGAGGTCGCACCAAACCCGATCGGGGCGGTTCCTGTTTCTCCCGAGGGGGCGGCCGGTTCCCGCGACGGGCGGTGCAAATGGAAAATTTACAAAAGAAAATAATAAATATATAACACTGCCAAGCATTCAGCCAAGATGCATCTTCATCTCCGTGTGGACGGGCAGCCGTATGGACGGCGCAGAGCCGGTCAGGAGCTCCCCTGTGCGACCTCGGGATGGGTTTGGGTTCTTCCTACTCTTGTCACAGCTGTTGATGATGGAATATTGTAAATTATTCATGAACACCCCGCTGATGTGGATTGGTTTTGGCCTTCCCCTCCCTCGACCGCTCGAGTGCTAGTCAAGTGTATCCGGTGTAGAAATGGCCATGATCCGACGCACGCTGGAGTGATCCAACCCTGTAAACCCGCACACATGCACGGAGAGAGATACTAATTCATCATTCTGCACGCTGTAACCAGTGCTGCAAGGAAGACGACGTAACCATTGAACCTTAACCAGCAGAATAATAATCATCGATATTAGACGGGTCAACAAGGGACCTGTAGATCCCGTGGTGTCAGATACGAATAAATACGCTGGAGCTTCGGTACCGCGCATTGCTGAAACACGGCTAGCATGACGGCGGTATAATATTTATTGATGAACGACCAACCCGCTCACATGGAAACTCAGTCCATCAAATGTATTGTTTATGGACTGATATGACAAACAGCTAGGCAGAAGAAAAGCAGGTGGCATGGTTTGATATGCAGTACGGAATGCTGGTATCGACTAGTATCTCCTGGTAAGGGATGGAATCTCGCTGCCTTGGCGGTGCGAAATGTAATTGTACAGGCATCTGTATTCATAACTATTCATACCTATTCATAAATATTCATAATTATTCACAACTGTTCATAACTGTCAGCATGAGAGTCGTCCTGAATCCGCAATACGTATTCCGTACATGTTTGTCGGTTCAGCCCTACATAGAGGTACGTACCTTACTCCATAATTTCTGTACCGCGGTATAAAGTTCGTATGCGGTACTCCGTAGTATAAACGATTTATGCCAGTCCTCTGTGTACGTGGTTCGATGGAATGGCTGACAGTGAGTTATCAGTCGTCCGATAATCTATGACTTGTAATAGGCAATAGGCAGCAGGTAATAATAAATCACTCGGAAGAAGTATCCTGCAGCATCCGAAGTAGGAAAGAGGTGCTGGAAGAGGGGAACTGGCGGTGTCGCCGGTATGGCTGGCTCCGCTCCGCCCCATCGAAAGTTCTGCATACCAGGTGACTGCTCCACGCAGAAATGCCAAAAAAGCGCCCTGACTGAACAGGCGGTCTCTGCGGAGCAAGACTCCGGATGTTGGGAGTTAATCATTTTGGTAGAATCGTCATATCCATGGATGCTGCAAGCCAGAGCTAGCTGACCGGATATAACCAGGCCGGCGGGCTGTTCAATGTGCCGAACCAGTTACTAAGTAGTTGACTAGTTAAAATCCGGATTAGTCATTTCGGTCTCGGACGGTGTTAGAGTATACATCCGAGGCAGCCATGCCTTCTCCGGCATAGCTTCCTCGGAGACGGACCATCGACTTGATGGAGTCAGCGGAGGCGGAGGAATCGCCAGCCTTATGGGTGGTTACGGTAATATTACCATATGGCCTGGACTCACTTGACCCACCACAGCGTCACTCTCGGCACTTGCACCGACTGTTCGTCGATCCTGCTGTATTATGGAGCAACTTAGTCAGCGGATCTCTGAACAGCGAACAGCGCCGTCCCTGGTTTGCCGCCCGTAAAATACCGTCCACCTGGTTCCATTGTTTCTATTTCTGAATAATACCAGAATAATCATCCTATAATGCCCTGGCTATATGGGCAAATTTTTCTCTTTTTCTCTTCTGTTCTCTTTCGATAACATGGTAAACGACAAAATAATGCTCGTATATCTTCTCCCTCCAGATCCTTGATTATCCTTGATTCTTACCAGCAAAGCGTTGGCTGCACCTAACCGCATCCTCCGTATCATTCCTGCGCTCCGTCCCCTCCGTGCACTGTACCTGGTATGTACATACCCTGCATCTGCACGTCCGTGCTGCCTCCTTCAAGTGCTTCATCCTCCCTTCCAATCCCTCACCCAGTTTCTCCTTTGTTTATCCTTCTCCTTTTCATCCTTGCGTTTTCCCTGCGTTCAAGTGGACCTTGTTCGGTACGTTCGTTACTCACCTGTCAGTGGCAGGCAGACCTATCACCTTCCATACTCGCATCCTTCGCTCGTTTTCATCTTCCCCGTCCGAAGTTCGCCTCGCCTCTGCAAACCCCGGTCCCTTCGTTTTCGTCCGCTATATTCCCCGGCTGCGCTGTTTATATTCTCTCCCCTTCCGTTCTATTCTACTCCACCTTCGCTGGACGACTCCTCCCCACAGTCACAGCCACAACCACGACTGCTGCCTCTGGGAGGTAGGAGGAAGCTCTCTCGTCCTGCGTCGCATCCATCATTGATCTAGAGTCTTCGGTCGGAGGGATCACTTTTCCTTTCCCTTGTTTGATTATTCCAACCCACAGAATCATCGACCTAGCAGCATTGGATTACCACCCGGCTGTTTTGGCACTCCTAGTCTGTACGCTACCTGCTTAGGTATGCTCCTGAATCTCGGCCTGACAGCAGACGCTGCTGCAGCCCATGACAACGAGTATTCTACCTTGCGGCCAGACACACAGCTTGCCTCTCCTGCCCCAAATCCGACTTCCCCACGCTTCTCCTTCGCTGCGATCCCTTCCATGGCAATTGGTGCTCTCTACAACAGATACACTTCCATTGACGCTCCCCAGGAGCCACGAAAGGTATACCTGCGCAGCATGTCGGAGAATGTAGCAGGTGCGTCGTCGTTGAGCGATGAGGAATCCCCAGCAGCTGCATTGGACCTCGCTCGACCTATTGCTGCCCGTCGCCGCTCCACCGGGAAGTCATTGTCAAGGCCCAGGACGTCATATCAACTTGCCCACCCGCCCTTACATCAACGTCACAAGTGCTTGAGGATGCGACCAAGGGTCCTCCTCCAATTGCAGCAGACCTCCCAGACACCTCGTCCCATTCCCATGTTGGATGTGCTGCCGTCATCCGGCTATCGACCTCTACTGGCTCACAAGTTTCCTTCTATCTTTCGGGGAAAGAGTGGGCTAGGCCTCCAAGACTTGATCATCGTCAAGAGTGAGTTGTTTGAGTCAACTGTGTCGGGTATCCTGGATAGAAGTTGGGCCTCGGACGACGAAGGGAGCGATATCCGGGAGGTGATCGCCACGATTTGTCAGATCTTCAAGGATGATGCCCGGGCCAAGGGAAAAGTGGAGATTTGCCTGAACCACGGCCCCACGTGGGAAGCGACTCCTCTTCCCAATGGGTCCTATGAGTTCGTTGCCAATACGCCAAATGGTGTGCAGACCTTGCGATGGGTGCTGCGTGCTAAGAATCGGCGGTTATCGGCCCCCCCAGGCTCGTTGCCACCGGAGGACAGTAAGAGGTTCACGTTTAGCGTGATTGATCCCAGTACTCGCCGTCACCCGGTCATAGCCACCATGACTCGCAACCGGATTGAGGTGTATGATGAATACTCTAAGCCTGCCCCTCCTGGCACCGCACCTGTGAAGTCCATGTCCTCTATGTCGGTCGTCAGCGATTCTTCCGAGCTTGACGCCCCATTGAGTGGAAATGTAATAGAGACGGACGACGATCTCCGTACCTTGATTGTCATCACAGGGATTTGGGTGGCCTTTCGAGAAGGCTGGTCTCGCAACTTCAGCTATAATGGCTCCTCTCTCAACTCCTCGCAGTTGACATCCAAGAATGGCTCATCGGCAACTGCCAGCCGTGATAGAACCGCGTCGCTTGCCGAAAGACCCAGTGGAGCACCTTCGGATGGAGGGAAGAAGAGTCCCAAGTCAAGGAACTATGGCAGCTTGTCTAAACGTTCCAATTCCACCGGTGCCGCCTACATCGAACGGGCAAACCGACGGAGCACCTCTGTAGTTGGCAATCGAACGAAGCGGAGCAGCATGCTTTCCAACTATAGCGATCAGAAGCCTAATGGGAATGGGAATGACGCCTGGAATGCGGCGGCTAGTCCCATCTCCTCTCCCCGGAACACTATCGACCTAGGCACCCGTCCCCGACTTACCAAAGTTGATTTCGAATCGGCGACACCTGTCGTACAGCTGGAACGCGGTCTTAATGGATCCTCTCGGCAGGCGCGCCAGTCGCAGCCACAGCCGGCGGAGACATCCCAAGAAAAGACCGTTAAGATGTCCAATGGTCAAGGCGCAGAACTCAGTCCACCAAAGGGCAAGCGACGGCACCGGCTCAGCGGACTGTTTGATTTCTTTGCCAAAAAAGGTGGGCATCACTGAGTGAATGCCAATTTTGATTCTCTCTCCTGGTGAGATGATTGAGACACATTTGATCTTCAGCCCAAGCAGTTGACGTTGGTGGCGAACATTCCAACATTTTTGTTGTATTCAAAAAAGCTTGTCGCTCTTCCTCTCTTCCCATTCTTCTGTTCCTTTCTGACTCTCCCCGTTGAGCCGGCTGTCATGATTCCTCCGGGATCGGTAAACTTTTGGTCTTGTTTTATTAATGTCATTTATGGTGAAGCTGTATATGCAAAGGGAGTCTGGTGGGATCTGTCGGAGCGATTTCTGAATTACTACTTTCTTGTACATATAATATATATATGATCCTCTGAAGCAAGAGTTAACCAGTAGAAAAAGAAATGAAGTATGATCACATTCAACCGCCATAGGATGGAGCTGGACACTCACGCCGCAATCATCCGTGGCAGCAGGGCGTCTGTGAAATTCCACAATATCGCTGAACTATGCGAGATCACCGCTGCCCCCGTATACCACGTGTTTCGATAGCCCTGCAACGCCTCCAGGTCTCGATAAAACCCGTCACGGATGGAATCGGCATCGACCACCAATTTGAACGGCGTATGGCTGTTGAAGGCCAAGAACTGCGGCACTGCAGACCCATTCGCATGCACTGTTCCCTGCAACCGACGGATCACCGCCGTGACATCGTCCTTCACAGCAGCCTCCTCCATGGCATACGGACTGCCGTACCAGATATAGAATATCCCCGGGACTTTCGTCTCCGTGACCTGGTAGGGCGCCGGGAGCTTGGGGATATTGGAAAGCGTTACCGCATTGGCGTTGCAGAATCGATATCCGGACGGGAGTCCGGTGTTGTTGACCAGCATGGTGTAATACCCACTGTAATCCCAGCGCGAGAAGAGACTGGATTCTCGGTCCGTCAGGTCGAACGGCTTCATGTTGTCCAGGAGGGGCGGGATGCTGACGAGGAGCTTTGAGGCGACGACCAGTTTGTTCCCGGTGGGAGTCCGCACCACGAGCCTCACTCCCGTGCCGTTGACCGGCCGACTGGCGGCAACGACCTGGGATGAGAACAGAACATCCGTGCCTAGCACCGCGGACGCCCTGGCGTATATCTCGCCATTGCTATGGACGCCTCTCACGTCGCCCCCGTTCAGGGCGTCGATGAACGACGCGTCGAAGATCTTGAACACGTTGACCGTCAACTGATCCAACACATTGGACAGTCCTTGCGCACCGAAGTAGACATTGTACCCGACGTCCTCGAGGTGATATTCTTCCAGGAACTCCGCGAACGGTAACAGAAGGTCCCCAGGAACGGGACTGGGCAGGCCCCAGCTGTACTCCAGATACGGGTATTTCTGAAGCTGCTCGAGATACGCCGTATAGTTGCTGCTGGAGGTCACGGTAAGCCGCTGCCCCGTCTGGAAATCCGCGTAGACATCCGTCCGCTGGTCGCCTGTGTATTGTGTCGTCGGGACGCCCAGATGAGCCAGATAGTCCCGCGTCACGGAGATATTCCAGAACGCCTGGACGCCATAGTCAATCGTGGTCCCCGTTGCCGGGTCGGTGTACGTGTTGGTATGGCCCCCGAGGACTGCCTCCTTCTCCACGAGCACCACGCTTTGCCCGCATTTGCGCAGATTGATGGCGCCGTACGTGCCCGATGAGCCGCCTCCGATTACTGCGACATTACGAGTAATGACATCCTTGCTGGCGTAGTGACTGGAGTCGAATATATCCTGGCCATTGGCGGGCTGGATGGCCAAATGCACCAGACTGAGGGATGCGGACAAGCCGAGAAGACGATTCATTGCAGCAGAATTCCAATGGAGGTCATGCCCACCAAGTTGCCCTCAGAAGTATCGAGGCTGTATATATTCTCTTCCATTCCGTCACGCGTAAGGTTTTCTCGTGTTTCCGTCACGCGTAAGATCCTCTCGTGCTCATCATGTGGATGGGATGGAAGTTCCGGACTCAACGTTGCATCGTCGGAGTGAAGAAGAAACCAATTGGGACAAAAGAGCATGGTTCATTTTGATTCTTCAGCCACCAGGATGATGCTGAATCCTTTTTACCGGATCTTGCTTACTACCGGCGCAACTTTTTTGCAGGTGGTTTCGGACGGAATATCTGCTTCGGATTATTTCTTGCTTTGGACGCTAGCATATCATCCGTGCATGTTTGACCAAGTGAATAAATAATACAGCCTGAATGAACTGCCCGAGCTTCTACGGCGGACAATGGCAGGGCCATCGTTGCGACTACATCACAAAGGTAGCTTCAGACATCCAGCTTGTTGATCTAGCTAGGAGTCAGCTAGTTGTCTATGATATGCTAACTAGGAAGAAGCTGAACCATGGGAACCACCAACGGCTTATATATGAGCACGGAGTCGACGGCCAAACCCACAGTCCTTCTTGATGATATCCGAAGCCCGTTCGGCGATGGCATACACAGTAGCCATGATCGCGGCGCTGACCTGCATCGGCATGACACTGGCATCAACAACACGAAGACGCCGAACCCCTTTCACTCGCAGCTTCTCATCTACCACCTGTCCCATCGCGCAGGTCCCCAAAGCATGGTGATAGGGCACGATGTGATTGCGAACGAACTGGCGAGCCTCGTCCATATTCGAAAGGTCGAGTCCAGCAGGCGGACTCACCCGCCTACGAACTTTCCCGTTGAGCAACGTCGAGCGGAAGACTCGATCTGCAAAGACTATGCCAGCAGCAAGAACATCGACATCCACCGGATGGGAAAGAAATCCCGGATCGATCGCCGGCGCGTCCATTGGATTCGAGGTCCGCACGTGCACACTCCCGCGCGATAGAGGATACATGTTGCTGACGACGATGGAGTAGCATGCGCTGTAGCCGACGGGGGGACCCGACATGATCTTGGCGCAGCTTGCGTAACCTGCTGCGGTATTGAAATACGCAGGGGTGCCGATGAACTGGATGTCTGCGGACCAGCGGTTTTGCATCCGTGCGGCGACAGCCTCCTGCTGCCGGCGTTGGTAGCTCGCGTTCTGCTGAGACAGTCTGCCGCTCACACTAGGAGCGTCGAAGATACGTGCCATGGTGGCGTCGACCTGAGTCTCGGTGGATAGTGACGAGTATGGAGTAAAGCCCATCAGACTGACCGATCCAGACAGGGCCCCGGAATGGTTTTTGGCGTAGAGGCTCTGATGCTCTTCTAGCAGAGCGGGATCCTTGAACAAAGAGTCCACCGACATGATTCCGTCTGCACATTCATAAGACACAGCTGACATGGTGTGTTCTTGTAAATTGCTGCCCACGTCGGTGTTGGCCACTCTACAAGCAATCCCAGCGCCTTCGAGGACGCTCGGATCTCCAATTCCAGAAAGCTCCAGGAGCTGGGGACTCTGGACAGATCCAGCGCTGAGAATCACTTCTCTTCTAGCTGACACGGCGTAGCGGGCTCCCGCGTGGTGCAGTTCAACTCCTTCCGCGACGGGTATTCCGTCTGAAGCATCGGAGAGTAAGATGCGGCACACCTGTGCGTTTTCTAGGACCTTCAGATTTGGGCGTCCCATAACGGGGGCGTAGTAGCCGCTGACCGCATAGCTCCGGACTGGCGTGCTGGTTCTGTCTAATGTGAACAAGGACCTATAGAATCCCAGATGGGCACCGCTATAGGGCTCCGCCGGCCGCTGCAGACGAGCGGCCTCATCGAACGCAGCCAAGAGTGATTCTTCTATGGGCGCTTGCCAGGGACCTATCGAAGTATGGATTGGCCCGCCGGTGCCATGAACTTTCGGGCTGACTGGACAACTTGCACTGGGCTCGATGGGCTCCAAGTTCTCGCTTCTTTTGAAGTACGGTAGCAGTTCAGACCATGTCCATCCTTTGACACCCAGCTTGTTGGCCCAGTCATCAATGTCTTCGGCCGATGGTCGGTTGTAAGACATGAAGTTGATTCCACTCGAGCCGCCCAGCATTCTGCCTCGTGGGATATGATACGCTTTCGCATTGGCGCCAGCCTGGGAGAGATCAATACCGGCTCATCATGACATCGTGAGGTCTCGCACCTGTGGGATGCTCTCGAAATTCCAGTCATAGCCGGGATCGCCCAGCATCTGACCCGGTCCGGTAGGAAGGTCGACCTTGGGATCCCCCAGCCTAAGAGACCCAGCTTCGATTACCCCAACTTGGATGCCTGGCTCCTCGGAAAGACGAGCGGCGAGGACGAGACCGGCAGTTCCACCGCCGACGATAAGAAAGTCAAATGGGGTTTGGATGAAATCGATGACCTTGACTGTGGCCATGATTTGCAAGGGCTTGTCTGTCAGATATTCGATTCCGGAGAAGTACAGAGTTCGGCTGATGGCTCTATGTGACGGAGACAGTCCTGGTTCTTATACGAAACGACGTACAAACGTCCGGTCTGGACAAGGCTATACATTTATTCCATCGGAGTGAATATTTCCCCGGCATGCTAACATGGAGGAACATGACTACGGTGGTTCTGATCTATCTACAGAACCAACTTGACCTTGAGCTTGTCGCCCTGGAGAATCTCCTCCTTCCGAGCCATCAACTCTGCTACATCCCAGTTGGCACTCAAATAGCGTCCGGCCAGCCAGGACTGTTTCTCCTGCGTCAACCAGACAATCGTGTCGGCGCACAATTCCGGCGAATCCACCAACTTTGCCTTGGTGTCTTCGGGCAAGTTGGACGCCAACTCGGTATCCACGGCGCCTGGGTGAATGGCAAAGGCCAAAACGCCCTGGGCTGCGTACTCCACACAAGTGAACTGCGTCAAGCGCAGCATCGCCAATTTCCCGGTTTGATAGGCCGAGGCACCAGGCCGGGTCAGGTGGGCGCCGATGGAGTTCATATTGACAATGGTCTTTTCGCCGCCCTTCAAAAGAAGAGGCAGCATGGCCCTCGTCATGAGGTACGTGCCCTTGAGGTTGACCTCCCACGTCGCCCACCAGGACTTGGGATCCGTCTCCGCAAGCGGGACCCATTTTTCGACCCGGCCGGCATTATTCACCAGGATGTCGAGACGGCCGAACGCCCGTTCGACCCTGGCGGCTGCATCGGCCACACTCTGCTCATCCGCGACATCCAGTGTCAGCTTGAGGACCTGCGGCGGCGGATGGCCCGCGGACTTCGCGGCGTCGAGCACCGCCGTCTCAGCGGCGTCGAGGGAGGATCGTGCTCCGAGCGCAAGGGAGGGCGCGCCGGCTTGAGCGAATGCAACCGCTGTCACGCGGCCGATGCCCTTCGATGCGCCGGTCACGAAGACGGCTCGTCCATGCTGCTTACACTTGGCCGCTGTGATGGTTGGATAGGTGTCATTGTGAGTCTTGGAGATCCAAGTAAATCCTATTTGTGTCGAACGTTAACGATCTGTTCCCTGGTACGCACTGGACAAGGAGGCGAGGTCTACCAGCGGACGGTGGAAAGGCCATGATGCTCGTTGGGTTGCAATGTGGGGTGGATGGTCATTGGCATGGCACGCATGTTTCCATGTGTCTTATATAAAGCCGCTTACGGTGCATAGGTCGTGGTTCCTGCTGGAAACAACCGAATATTTCCGTCTGGAATATCTTGACGTGGGGAGGAAATATATTTCGGAGAATACCATGATGGTCGTGTCAACTTCATGCCATTTCTAGGCCATGGAGGATTCGGATAAAAGATATCCGAGTGAGATATTCCGCCATCACACTCGGAGAAACTCTGGCCTGGATGGAATAAAGAAACACGACGCAAGACCGCCCATTTGAATGGAGCCAATTGATAGGTTCGTCCACCATGGAACGACTGGGTACATCGAATGATTGCGATGGCACAAAGCGCGGGGGATAAAGAGGTTCGTTGGGACACGGGCATATAAAAAGCTGCCTCAAGCAGATGGACCTGGCTCGATCCTCAGTACAATCATCGTTCAACCACCACCCCGATTTTTAACACTCCATTCTCGGCATCATGTCTGCTATCCCTCCTGCTGGCACCCCTGTAGGGCTCGAGATCCCCGCCAAGGACGTGGCTCGCGGTAAGTCGTCCCGGCTGCATATGTTAATCAATTATCCGACAACGCAACCTAAGACGAGCGCCCCGCAGGATCTGCATTCTACAAGGAGGTCTTCAACTGGACTTTTGCTCCCTCCACTCTGGGTTTTCCCGCGCACAAGCTTCAAACCTTCGAAGTCCCCGGCGGCGTTTTCCCCATCGGAGGCGCCATGCGTCTGGCGGAAGAAATCCCGGCCGGTACGGGCGCCACCAAGCTCTACCTCTACGTGAACGACATCGGTGCTGCGATGGAGGTGGGTGGCCCATGCCCTGACACGAGAGGCTGATCGGCTAATGAAGGGTAGGCCATTGAAAAGCACGGCGGCAAGAAGGCGAGCGATGTTATCCCCGAAGGCAACAAGGGGCTGTTCCAGTATTTCGAGGACAGCGAGGGCAACAACTATGCAATCTACACTTACAAGTGAATGACTGGAAGCGGTGCTGTGGAGACATGTTTATGAGATGGAAGCGCGAGACTGTGAGGGACCTGGAAGCATGCTGTCTTGTAGACGCAGAGAGAAAAATTCACGCCAGAAGGGGCTCAATATCGATGACCTACTATGTTTCTGTTCCCAGACCAGCACGTAGATCGGCCCAAATCCTTCCACAAGCCTACAGTACAATGCAAGGATGCTGCGGGTTTACATTTCAAAGCAGGGAGATAGTAGCCGGTTCGGAGTAAAACGCGCACCGTGGAGATCTCCCGGAGGCATGTCTGCTTGCTCCTGACCAGATTGTATCCTTCAGTTCCGTCGTCCGGCTCGCTGGGGACCTTGTCTCTTCCACCAAATCCACATCTCATGTCTCTATAACCCATGCACCATCCTGAGACTTTATCAGGCAAGATTACCAGAACCACATGAAGCACCATGGCCGAAGCAGCAGCCAGAATCCTAGAAGCCCTCCCTGCAGTTTGCGAATATCGCTGGTCCTGCAAGGACGCCTCCAAGCGCTTCACAGTGGTGAACCCTGCGACAGGAGAGCCCATCACTGTCGTTCAGGCCGGAAATCTCGACACGGTGCAAGGGGCCATCCAGGCGTCGCACAGGGCGTTCGAGTCGTGGCGATGGAAGACTCGCCAGGAGCGGTCACTCTATCTCCTGCAGGCGGCCGATGAGCTTCAGAAGCACAGCCATGAATTGGCCGTCCTGTTGTGCCTTGAGAACGGGAAACCCGTCAAAGACGCGTCCTTTGATGTTGGGTTTCTGGTGCAGGTGTTTCGGTACTTCGGATCAATTGTCGACAAGCTACCGTCGGAATTCTTCGACCAGGGTAGCATCTACTCCAGCGTGATCTACGAGCCCCATGGAGTGTGCGTGGGCATCCTGCCGTTCAACTGGCCGCCGGTCCACGCCGGGGGCAAACTGGCGCCTTGTCTGGCGGCGGGCAACACCATGGTGCTGAAGCCCGGCGAGCAGGCCCCGCTGACACTGATGCGCATCGTTGAGATCTTGCAGTCCGTCTTCCCCGCCGACGTCGTCCAGGCAGTTCCGGGACTGGGTCCGGAGATACCGCAGGCCCTGATAAACCATCCGCTTGTCAAGATGGTCTCGTTGACAGGATCCACGGCATCGGGCTCCCAGGCTGCCCAAACGGCCGCGGTGACCCTGACCCCCACGGTGCTCGAGCTAGGCGGGAAGAATGCCTTCGTGGTCTTTGAGGACGCCGACCTGGAGTTGGTCGTGCGCGACGCCATCGATGGCGCTTTCTTCAACAAGGGCGAATCGTGCACCGCCGCATCGCGGATTCTGGTGCACAAAGATCTTTACCCGACGCTTGTCAGTCGCCTGACGGCTGCCGTGAAGAAACTGCGAACGGGCGACGGCCTCGACGAGACGACACACATCGGCCCGGTGGTCTCGCGGGAGCGCCAGCAGGAGGTCCTGTCGTACATCGAGCAAGGCAAACGCGAGGGGGCGACTCTAGCTGCGCAAGGAGACCCGCCCACGGCGGGCCGTCTGTCGGGAGGGTTCTTCGTCCCTCCTACGCTGTTTACCGACGTGACAGCAGACATGACCATTGCACAGAGGGAGATCTTTGGGCCCGTCGTTACCGTCGGTTCTTTTGAAACGGAGGAGGAAGCCGTGAAGACCGTCAACTCCTCCCAATACGGACTTTTTGCAGGGGTATACTCCAGCGACTTCACCCGCGCTATGCGTGTGACTCGGAAATTGGACGTGGGCGTTGTGTTGGTCAACAACTACTTCCGCGCCCTCTTGGGGACGCCATTCGGAGGCGTCAAGGACAGTGGATATGGTAGGGAGCACTGGATTGGTACCTTGAGGGAATGGAGCCGGGTCAAAAACGTTCGCTTCCCCAGTGGACTGAGTCCTATCCCAGCTTGGGGGGGCGCAGTCGATGTATGCAAGTTGTAGCAATCTCTGATGGACAGCGGGAATACCCGCCTACCAAGATGATCAGAGTTCGAAGCGAGCGACCAAGCGTGCATATATTCCCCTTCCATTGCACGATGCAGATGCAAGTTCTGTAACATCGCGTAGCAGGTAAGCACTAGTGCACACCTGGGCGGCGCCGAAGGACACGTAGTACACCGGCGCGCTTTTCTTGGCAGCATCTAGATCTCACATTCCCCAGAGCTCATCCATCATACTAGCTCCATCTATAAAGTCCGCAAAGTCAGTGCCAGGCGTCGGCTGCATCCACTGCCAGTGATTGGAAGGATATTGCTCCCTTGGCTCAAGTCGTCGCGTGATGCTCTCTCACGAGATGGCCTCCACCGCACATCGACAGCCCTCCCGGCCCACGACGAGACAGCGACAACGGACAGGAAGAGCGTGCGAGGAATGCCGGCGACGCAAACTACGCTGTGACGGACAGCAACCGCGGTGCGGAGTTTGTGTGGATTCGGGTGTAACCTGCGAGGTCAACAGCCAACGGCGGCCTAGGGGCCCGAAGAAAGGCTACCTGACGGCGTTGAGGAATCGAGTCGGTATATCTGCGATGCCTCCAGACTGTTATGGCGCGGGTGTTAATTGAGATTTATCCCAGCGATGCTCGAGACGCGTCTGCCGGCCCAGCATCTCGTTGGGCCCTTGTCCGAGTTCAACCCATTGTCAACTCCCCTGACCAACGACCATCATGATGGCTGCAGTGTCTCCAGCGCGTCGAGCCGTTCCGACTCGAATCCGCCTCCAACGGTCTCCGAGCCAGACATGTCATTGCCGAACACGACGACGAGTGTCAGTTCGGCTCCGTCGTTCGCGACGTGCAGCAAGGACATCGGTGGAGCTGAACCGATAACGGAATTGGTGCAGGCAGAATTGTAAGTGGCGCGAGCCCCCTCGTTGGCAAGGTATGGCTGATGGTCGTGTCAGAAACCAACTGTACTTTGATCGAGTTCACCCGTCCATCCAGATACTTCACCAGCGTCGTTATCTAGGCTGGGCCAGAAATGCCGCGAAGAAGACATCTCGCCGATGTCTGCAGTACGCGGTATGGACGCTGGCGTCCCTCCTTTCCGCGCAATTCCAACATCTTCAAGACTCCTTCTACCAGGAAACAAAGCGGACGTTGGAATTCTCCTACCTGTCGGGCGACTCGAATGCCCCGGTTGACACGGAAGAGATCCAAGCATGGATCTTGATCGCAACGTATGAGTCAATGCGGACTTTCCATCGCTCTGCGTGGATGAGTGCCGGACGCGCGTTTCGTCTGGTGCAGTTAATGCGACTTCATGAAATCGACAGTCCTACGAAACCCCCAGTGCCCGAGGCTGACCTGGTCGAGACAGAGGAAAAGCGCCGGGTGTTCTGGATGGCCTATTTCTTGGACCACCTGCTCAGCATGCGTAATAATTGGCCGATCACCTTGAACGAGCATGTGGTAAGGCTCCGATGTCTTTCCTACACAGTGAGTTTGAAATAGATCAATCGAATCTGACCGAATACTTCATGACCAGATCTGCACCCGTCTTCCAGCCCCGGACATGGAATTCCAGAGCGGTCAGCCGGTGCTAGGTGCCTTCCTGTCGGAAGCGATCATGGACGTTATGCCGCAGACAACATCGCCATTCAACGAATGCGTGATCCTAGCTACCATCTGCGGCCGCAGCCTGTTTCACGCTCAGCAATACAGTGTTCGCTTTGTGTACGGCGAGTTGGCTCCCAACTGGACCGATCAGCACCAGTGGCTGGACAACGTCCTTACCAACCGGCTTCAGATTCTCTCCCAGTACTACCCATCGCCAACCCAAATCTGCGATCCAATGCTCTCGTTCGCACACATCATGGGACAGGCGAGTGTGATTCATCTCTACAAGGGTATGGCATCGGTGGTGTGGGCAGTCGACGACGGAGCTTGGGTGGTGGAATATCAACGGCGCGCCCTAAGTGCAGCGCAGGAGATCGTCAAGCTAGCAAAAGGGCTGACAGAGTTCAACTTCTTCAAGGTATGCCACACTGCATCACTGCCCTGCAATGACTGAAGCGTGACTATCCCATTCGCATCGCGGAGGTACCTAACTAGGAAACGCGCAGGTCCATCCCCTCATGCCCATCCCATTGTTGCTCTGCGCCGAATTTCTATACAGTAATCGAGGATCGGATGCGGCATTTAACTCTCTGCTTCAAGAGCTCCTGCAGATTTTCCGTCAACTCAAAAATGCCAACGATCCAAGTCGAAGTTATATACATTTATTAGAGCTCTCATGTACCACAGCGTCGATGAGCTTGGTAAGAGAACACTCTAATGCACCATGATTGTATATATATGGGTCCTATGATGATGTACTGGTCAAAATGAATAAATGATTGCGTTCATAAGGTTGGTTATCATTGGCATGGCTTCTACTTATGTTCATTTTCCGCTGAAAGTATATAGCATCTCCGGAATTCCACTTCCTGAGGAAGAGACCAGTAGAGAGCAGCAGATCGCTACGATTACTTTACTTTGAGATTGTAAGTGGTGGTTGTGCGCTCCAACATATGTTCCTCCACAGTGAGAGTATCTTCCTCGTCCCAATTCTGCCCAACGCGATCCAGCGGCCTTAGCCTGTAGTCCAGGTTGCCATCGAAGAAAAACACTACACTGTAACGATCGGTCAGATTCTGGTTGATGACGCGGTGAATGCTACTCTTGTAATGACCCCTGGTGATTCTGCTCATCATATCTCCCAGGTTGACCACGTAAGCGTCTTTGTTCGGAGGAACTCCAATCCACTCCCCCGTTTCGCAGTCCTGAACCTCAAGCCCGGAATGATCATCTTGCAAGAGAAGCGTGATGGCTCCAAAGTCCGTATGCGCACTACTGCCCAGCTGGCGACCCTTGGCCACATCCGGTGCGGGAGCGGGCGGATAATGGAGCAGTCGAAGTGGGCATGCAGGATCGTTTTCCTTGAACTCATCGAAGACATGGGGCCCGTACGGCAATGTGGCCGCGACAAGGTCCAACACTACCCAGCACAGCTTCAGCATGGCCTGGTAGTATTCTTCAATGGGGCGGCGGAAGTTTGCCTCCGGCAGCAGCTCGCTCGGCGGCCATGCGTTCTGTCCCATGAAGAACCGCTGGCTCGCCACTCGTGGATCGTCGAGGGGAATGTCTTTCCCGGCAATGAAGCCTTCTTTTAGGTCTGGGAGGACTCCCAGTTCGTACGACTGCGAGGCCATGGGGTCGTACCCTCGGAAGCCGACGTTCCTGCAGCGTGATTTGACGTCGGAGGGAAGCGCGAAGAACTTGGCCGCTGCGGCGAAGACGGACTGCTGCAGTGCTGGGGAAATCCCATGCCCGAGGAGTTGGAAGAACCCTGTAGAGGTGCACGCAGCTCGCACATCGTCGATTACTTTGCGCGCGGCATCGCTGTTTGGGTCCTGCAGATACGGACTGATATCAACAGCCGGGAGATAGAAAGATGACTTGGTTGAGATGGGCATTCTATTGAGCTGTTCGGAAATACGCTTCAGGCTATGGAAGGAGCCAAAAAGCGAGCCGGGTCTAGTGCAGTGGTCGCTTGCTATATAGGGTCAGCTAGCATGCCACGCCACTTTCTGGCCATCACCAGCCGAAATGGTTGATGGGGATACATGCTAGAATGGGTTGATCCTGTCGGAGAAACGCCTGAGAGCAATATACCGGTAGGACAAGCGGCATGCAAGTGAGATGGGAAAAGCTATCGGATATTCTCTATCGGAAAATCCTTCATCGGAGCGAGCATTGACGATTCGAAAATAGCAACTAGTGTCTAGTGGCATTGGGGCTTGGTGTTTACCTTGCCTCATGAAAGGGCAGACAGGGCTTCGCTCACTGGCCTTGCTCTATATCTCCCCCCTATACATCCTTGAACGGCTTCCTCTAAAGCTTTCCGCGCCTGATACTCTCGTTGTCCGGGGCAGCTTCATTGTTCCCACTGAGCCTTTGTACCCTTCTATCACCATGGTCCAGACGAATTTAGAGGTGGTCGATGACACTTTACATCTGCCCCGAATCCTCTGTCTTCATGGAGGAGGGTCTAATGCTGCCATCTTCCAAGCCCAATGTCGCCGACTCATTGCCCAGCTACGATCCGAATTTCGCTTCGTCTTTGCACAGGCACCGTTCTTGTCTGATGCTGAGCCCAATGTGATGTCAGTGTACAGTCAATGGGGCCCGTTCAGACGTTGGCTTCGCTGGTGCCCGGACCACCCTGAAATCCGGCCGGAAGACGCTATCCGAGCGATTGATGACTGTCTGGAGGATGTGAAACGCCAAGACGACGCAAAGGGTGCCACAGGAGCGTGGGTTGGATTGCTTGGATTTAGTCAAGGCGCGAAGATGTGCGCCAGTCTCCTCTACCGCCAACAAATCCGCCAGGAACTACGGGGACGATCGTTCGCCGGTTCAGACTACCGTTTTGGAGTTCTACTGGCTGGCCGTGCGCCGCTGGTATCCTTGGATCCGGACCTGGATCTGAATTCTTCTTTGCCTGATGTGTCGCAGATCACGGATGCGAAGTACCACGGTCCGAGCCAGGACGTTCTACGCATTCCCACCGTGCATGTACACGGGATGCGAGATCCCCACGTGGACCTTCACCGTCAGCTGTTTGAAGAGTTCTGTGCTCCGGAAAGCAGGAGACTAGTAGAGTGGGATGGTGACCATCGGGTTCCGCTGAAGTACAATGATGTCTCGCTCGTTGCGTATCAGATTCGAGAACTTGCAACGCAGACGGGTGCTCCCTAGTCATCAGAACTGCGTTGAACTTTGTTGCTCCGTGGGTTAGATTATGCAGACACTGTTTGTTTTGGTGTCACGGGCGTTAGAGAGAAATAAATAGGGACTATCTTGTACAGCTGGTGTCGCTTTATTAACGACTCTTGCATGATGATCTCTGCCCTAGTCGCAGGCACACTCATAGTTAATTGTAATCCACCACTCACCCGCCAGTTTTCCTCCAAGCGCATCTGCTATATTGATTTGAAGACTCCATTTCTAACCATAACAATATTTATATGCAAAAACTTAATTCGCAGCACAATCAGGGCCTTGACTCCTTCTATGCCCAAGAATATTACAGTCACTGCAGCGAAATCTGCGTCGTACAAGTGATTGAGAGGCACGAAGCCCAGCCCGGACTGGAGTAGCAATAACAGGCTGAGATGCTTCAACTTGACTCTCTATAAGTGCCTGAGCTTCTTCCCTGGTAAGGCTTGGCCCATGAGAATAACGAGATATCTGGGATCTAGATCGTTGACTATTTACACTGATGCTGACTAATATGGGCTATCCTAAATAGGAAGGAGATAAACAGTGAGAGCCACCAACATCTATAGATCTGTCATGGGTTCAGCGCCGATCACATGCTTCTTACCAACTTCCCTTTTTTCTTCAGCCAGTGCTTTTGTACTTTCTCTTCTCCAGCGATTCCTTCGTATACATAAGTGCCACCCAATTGAACAAAGTTGCGTCCAACCTCTTACATGATCCAGTATCCACTTGGCAAGTGATTCCTCTTCAAATTCTGAAAGTTTGAGTCCATTTGCAAAAGGAATTTTGCAGTTGCAGCATGATTGATATGGGGATTTTCCCATTTTTTAAATCAGAAATGGCTAATAAGACTCGACCCTCGTGCTCAGCGAGATTATTTAAAGGTCCATCGCGAATTGGTGGCATTATGGCGCGTCGAATTGTATGGAATCAATATAGTGGACGTTTTTTCCGAGTATGGTATATCCGGCGACCACTATGCACCATGAATAGATGCAACCTTACACCCTTGTCAGATGCAAGATTACTCTATATAAGCTGGCATGCCGATGTGATTCGCAACCACTCATTTGAACTTGGCTAAAGATCGGCAAACAGTATTCTTGAAGAAAGGACGTGCGCCGACACGCATTCTGGTCCAAGCTCGTACAGCAGGGTTGGGGACCGTCCGTACTTCTACACGCTAGCCTACATCTCATCAACGCCTGTTGTTGGAGGCAGAAGCTAGGCGCTGAGGTGCAAGCTTTCGGGATTATTTATCGGAGTAACTTCATCCTTGCGAAGTAAATCCTTCAGGATCTGTACTTCCGCAGCCCATATCATCTATGAAGCCCGTATAGCGGAAGCACAAGCGAGCGGGACGGCTGGCGAATACCAACATCTGAGAATATCCGACACAAGCAAGAAGAGTGGGGAGGGGCGCGAGGTAACTGTCCGGAATAATGTTCTGCTGTGGATTTTCAGTTCAGCCTCACAGGCAGGTGCAGTGGGCACTCCATCAGACTCATATATAGTTGCTACTATCCACGAGATCAGCAAACGGTCTCGCATGGCAGTATATACCGTGTTTGTGTGATATACCTACCAGTACCCTATCATTTTCAATACGATTTCCCATCGGTCAGCTTCAACGTGACCAAGGACGGCAGTTTCAATTGCGGCTATAAGTTATGATTGACTCAACTTCGCACTCAAATCTGAGATCAAAGGCGTTTATATTCGGCCCGCAGGATTTGTCTTTCGATGTCAGGTCCTTCAACAAGCTTCACAGCCAGCTCCAAAATCACCAATGGGTTCTTGATGCGCTCGCCAGCCTGCCAAAGCTTTGGGACAACTTTGCCGCCAGTGACCAAAAGGTACAGCAATCCAACACTGGGAAGCTGCTTGAGAACTTGAATGCATGGATTTCCAGTGGGGTAGCCCCAGAGGAGGCATTTCCTTTGCCAAATGTGCTTCTTTCCCCGCTCGTGGTCATAGGACAGTTGGTTGAATACATGACTTTTCTCAAAGCGGCATTCCCAGACCTAGGAAAGAAACATGACCTGCCCATATCAATTAAGGAAGATACGGAGACCTTCGGCCTCTGCACCGGCACCCTGTGTGCTTTTGCAGTAGCCTGCTCTTCCAACATAGCCGATATTCAACATTACGGCGCGGTAGCTGCGAGACTGGCGATGTTGGTTGGAGCCATCGTCGATACCGAAGAGGTACTATCTGATCCGGAAGGAAAGTCAGTGAGTTTTTCAGCGTCGTGGAATAGCGCCGAATTCAGTGACTCATTCACCCACGTTCTCGAGACATTCCCTGATGTACGTCCTCACAATTCGCACCAAGACCAGAGCAAACGCTAACCATCGTTCTACAGGCATATGTGTCTGTCATCGTTGACCAGAGACGTGCGACGTTGACGGCGTCGAAGAAGACGGCGCCAGCTATTATTGAGCGGTTGAAACAAGAAGGCGCTCATGTCACGTCAATTGCGCTTTCGGGACGATTCCACTGGAAGAAGCATCAGGATGCCGTATCGAGTCTCATTCAGTTTTGTGGACTTGATCCAGACTTGCAATTGGCTGATGCGACGAAGATGTTACTGCCTAGTCGATCCAGCTCCGATGGGCAATATATCACTACTGGAAAACTCCACGAGCTAGCTTTGCGGGCAATTCTCTTGGAACAGTCTGAGTGGTACAAGACATGCCGCATTTCCTACTTGTCAAAGTTCATCATGGACGATGCAGCGGTGATTTGTTTCGGGCCGGAGAGGTGCATGCCACCAACGCTTGCACGAAAACTTGGTCCACGCCTGACATACGTATCCGAGATTGATATCTCATCGTCACGAGTACCCGGGCAGCTTCTCGGTGGAACGCAAAAGCTGAACCTCACAGACCTACCCGATGAGCGCATCGCTGTTATTGGAATGGCGTGTCGGCTACCGGGTGCCGAAGACCACGAGGGATTCTGGGAGATCCTGAAAACGGGTCAGTCGCAGCATAGAGAGGTGCCCGAAGATCGGTTCGGCATGGCGACGGCCTGGCGAGAAGCGGACAAACGCAAATGGTACGGGAATTTCATCGACAATTACGACACCTTCGATCATAAATTCTTCAAGAAGAGTCCCCGAGAAATGGCATCCACGGACCCTCAACACCGCCTGATGTTGCAGGTAGCATATCAGGCCGTCGAACAATCCGGGTACTTCAGAAATAATGGTACGAATCGGCGCATTGGATGCTTCATGGGTGTCGGCAATGTCGATTACGAGGACAACATTGCGTGTTACCCTGCCAATGCGTATTCGGCTACCGGCAACCTGAAGAGTTTTCTTGCTGGCAAGATTAGCCACCATTTCGGCTGGACAGGACCTAGTCTGACACTTGACACGGCATGCTCGTCATCCAGTGTGGCTATTCACCAGGCATGCCGTTCCATCCTTAGCGGGGAATGTAACGGGGCACTCGCCGGAGGTGTCAACGTTATAACGAGTCCCAACTGGTATCATAACCTAGCCGGCGCATCTTTCCTCAGCCCTACTGGTCAATGCAAGCCGTTTGACGCTAAGGGGGATGGGTACTGCAGAGGTGAAGGTGTTGGTGCCGTGTTTTTGAAACGGCTTTCCTCTGCAATCGCAGATGGTGACCAGGTATTTGGTGTGATCGCGAGTACGAAGGTTTATCAAAATCAGAATTGTACTGCAATCACTGTTCCTAACGCAATATCTCTGTCGGAGCTCTTTACGGATGTCGTGCGTCAAGCAAGGCTTGAGCCTAAGGACATTACTCTTGTTGAGGCACACGGAACAGGAACTGCAGTCGGGGACCCAGCTGAATACGATGGCATTCGAGCTGTCTTTGGAGGCCCTATACGCTCCGATGTTCTGTCGCTAGGATCCGTGAAGGGCCTTGTCGGTCACACCGAATGCGCTTCAGGTGTGGTCTCTTTGATAAAGACCCTCCTTATGATCCAGCAAGGCTTTATCCCACCCCAGGCCAGCTTTTCAAGCATCAACCCTTCACTCAATGCAAAGGCTGAGGAAAAAATAGAGATCTCGACCCGTTTAAAGCCTTGGGATGCACCTTTCAGAGCTGCACTCATCAACAACTACGGTGCTTCCGGGTCCAATGCCTCCATGGTTGTTACGCAACCACCAAATCTGACGGAGACCCCCTCGACACCGTTGCCAGGGAAAAGCTATCCATTCTGGATCAGTGCATTTGACCAACAGAGCCTTCAAAGTTACGTTCGGAGGTTGCGCCAATTTCTCGAAAAACATGCGGCAGACAAAAACCTAAGCGTCGCAAACTTGTCTTTCCAAGTTGCTTGTCAATCAAACTGGTCTCTTCCCCAAGCCCTGGTATTCAGTGCCAGCACAAAGGAGGAGCTGAATAGGGCCCTTGCATCTTTTGAGAAAGGCAGCACGGATTTCCCATCTGTCCAGCTTCCGGATCCGAAGCCCGTCATCCTATGCTTTGGAGGGCAAGTTTCCACCTATGTTGGTTTGGATCAAGAGGTCTATAACAGCACTGCGATTTTGAGACATTACTTAGATCAGTGCGATGCCATGTGCCTTTCGCTAGGCCTGCAAAGTATCTACCCGGCTATTTTCCAACGGTCCCCAATCGAGGATATTGTTCAGCTTCAAACAGCGCTGTTTGCGATGCAGTATTCCTGCGCCAAGGCATGGATAGATAGCGGACTGAAGGTTGCCTCGGTCGTCGGGCACAGCTTTGGTGAGTTGATAGCTCTATGTGTCTCCAATGCTGTATCGTTGAAGGATGCTGTCAAGATGATTTCCGGTCGAGCCCGCCTTATTAAGGAGCGCTGGGGCGCTGACAAGGGGTCCATGATCGCTGTCGAGGCGGACCTTTCCGATGTGGAAGCTTTGTTGGCCAAGGTGAAATCACAGATGGGATCTGAAACGGGACTTGCAATCGCCTGCTATAATGCATCAAAAAGCTTCACATTGGCTGGGCCCACGAAAGACGTGGACCATGCCGAGAACTTGCTGAAAAATGACCCAGACTTCTCAGGAATAAGATATAAAAGACTGAACGTCACCAACGCCTTCCATTCGGTTCTCGTTGACGCGTTGATTGATGACCTAGAGAGTCTGGGACAAGGTATCAGGTTCAAGGAGCCGACGATTAAGCTTGAAAGAGCAACAGAGCAAGAGTCCACCAGCACATTAAATGCCAATTATGTGGCCACCCACATGAGAAAGCCAGTTTTCTTTGCCCAGGCAGTCAAGAGGTTGTCAGACAAATTCCCTGTTGCCATTTGGTTAGAGGCCGGATCGAACTCCACCATCACGGCCATGGCAAGCCGGGCTCTGGGTACATCAAACTCCTCTTTCCAGGCCGTCAACATTACTAGCGAGGGTGCATTCCGGTTCCTCTGCGACACGACCGTGAAACTCTGGAAGGAAGGCCAGAAAGTCAGCTTCTGGGCTCATCACCGCCTGCAGACACCTATGTATACTCCAGTCCTATTACCCCCGTATCAATTCGAGAAGTCGAGGCACTGGATGGATCTGAAGGTACCCCCGAAGCCCGAAGCTTCTGTGCAGGTGGCAGAGCAGACAGCAATTATCGAGGCACCGAAGGGCCTGACGACTTTCGTTGGTTATCAAGACGCATCCCAGCGCTCTGTGAGGTTCAGAGTAAATGTCACGACAGAAAAGTTTAACCGTCTCCTGTCCGGCCATATCATGGCAAATGCCGCTGCTGTCTGTCCCGGTATGTTCCAGGTTGAGATAGCCCTTGATGCTTTGACGAGTCTTCGACCAGAGTTCCAGGCCCGTAGCTTTATCCCAGAGCTACATGACCTAAGGCATTATCAACCGCTTGTCAGAGACGAATCCCGGGCAGTCTGGATCGAAGCTCACTGTCCCAACGCGGAAGGCCTCGTCTGGAATTGGAAGTTGACTGCAAGTGACGATAAGGGAAGTGGTTCTGTAACCCATACTTCGGGAACAATCACATTCCAAGCGGCGGACAGTGTGCAAGTCAAGTCCGAGTTCGAGAAACTTAGACGTCTGATCGGCCGAAAGCGCTGTTTGCAACTCCTTGACAGCAACGTGGCAGACGATATCCTGCAGGGTCGCAACATCTACCGTGCCTTTACGGAAGTGATTGATTACAAAGAAATTTATCGCCATGTCACCAAGATCGCTGGCAGGGATAACGAGTCTGCAGGAAGGGTCATAAAAACATACGACGGAGAGACCTGGCTCGACACAGTCTTGACCGACTGCTTCTGCCAAGTGGCGGGTATCTTCGTGAATCTCATGACCACTAAGATTGATTTGTCTGAGAGAGGAATTTTCATCTGCGACGGAATTGATCGGTGGTTGCGAGCACCTAATGCAGGTTCAAACAACACTCCTTCGCAGGTTTATGAGGTCTTTGCTCTACACCATTGCGAATCGGATTCAAAGTATCTCAGCGATGTTTTTGCTTTTGATGCTCGTGAGGGGTCACTTGTCGAAGTTGCTCTTGGTATTAGTTATCAGAAAGTCTCAATCTCCGGTATACGCAGGGTACTGTCGAAGGGCATGCCAGCTGGGCTTCAACCACAAGTCCCTACTTCCCCTGCTGCAGTAGCCGCCATCAAGACAGTAAGTCCTCCTCCAGTGGCAGATTCTCCATTGGTGGATGGTTCGTCTACTGCGGTAAGCGGCACACCTCCGACAAAGAAAGCGCCAAAGGCACCCAGTGTAGATATCACTGGGAAGATGCGGGAGATCATATGCAATTTATCCGGTCTTGAACCTGACGAGGTCAAGGATGACTCCGATTTAGTCGAACTTGGAATCGATTCGCTGATGAGCATGGAGCTGGCCCGAGAGGTTGATTTGGCTTTCAAGACCACTATAGACGTCACTCAGTTGATTGATGTGACTGACTTCCGCAGTCTGGTGGAATGTATGCAGAGAATCCTGGGCATTGACAATCAGGAGGACAACACATACCTAGCTGAAGGCCTCAACGGACATGAAGGAGTTGTTACTAATGGAAATGCCTATCACGTCAACGGCACTAATGGTGTCGTTAATGGTAACGGTGTCTTGTTTCCTGAGCTAGGGGGTTCCATCCTCCCAAAATCAGCAATCCTGGACGCCTTCCGTATTGCAAAAGAGGCCACTGATGACTTCATCTTGAATGGTCAACTTGGAACATACTACAATGAGGTCATGCCAAGATCGACTGAGCTCTGCGTTGCCCATATCGTCAATGCTTTTGAACAGCTTGGGTGTCCGATACGCAGTGCAGCAGCATATCAGAGGCTTGAGCGTGTTCCGTACCTTCCAAAGCATGAACGATTCATGAACTTGATTTACGGTCTTCTCGAGGAGGCCAGATTAATTGATATCAACGGATCTGAAATCACACGAACGTCTGTGCCTGTTTCGACGAAATCCGTGGAAACAATGCTGGAAGAATTACTTCACGACGAGCCTCTCCATGCGGCTGAGCACAAGCTCACATCCCTGACAGGGTCCAAGTTTGCAGACTGCATCACTGGCAAGGAGGATGGGCTTCAATTGATCTTTGGGTCACCCGAGGGCAGAGAAATTGTCACTGATGTCTATGCCAAATCTCCTATCAATGCGGTATGGATCCAGCAGGCGGAATTTTTCCTCGAACAGCTTGTGAAAAGGCTGCCCAATACTGGTGAGCCGCTGCGCATTCTGGAAATGGGAGCTGGCACGGGAGGAACAACCGTGAAAATGCTTCCGCTGTTGGAGCGTCTAGGTGTGCCTGTCGAATACACAATGACGGATCTATCGTCCTCGTTGATTGCCGCAGCTCGCAAACGATTCAAGAAATATCCGTTCATGAAATTCAAAGTGGTGAACATCGAGTCTCCACCGGATCCACAACTGGTACATAGCCAGCATATCATTCTGGCTACAAATTGTGTGCATGCGACCCGGAACCTGGAAATCTCAACGAGAAATATCCACCGTATTCTGCGACCAGACGGATTCCTACTTCTGTTAGAGATGACCGAACAGGTACCTTGGGTCGATTTTATTTTCGGCTTGCTAGAAGGATGGTGGTTATTCGAAGACGGTCGGCGACATGCACTTCAACCCGCAACGCACTGGAAGAAAATCCTCACCTCCGTTGGATATGGTCATGTCGATTGGACTGAAGGTACTCGGCCAGAAGCCAATATTCAGCGCCTGATCATTGCTCTTGCATCCGAACCCAGGTATGATCATACGCCCCAATCACTCCAGCCGCCGGTGCAGGTCCCATTGACAGACATCGCAGGGCGCCAAGAGATCATTGATACATACATCCGTGAATATACTGAGGACTTCCGCGCACTCCCCATCCCAGGTATACAGCAAGCCGTTATGCCCGCTCCCACAGGACACTGTGTGCTTGTTACTGGTGCCACGGGAAGTCTCGGCTCCCACGTTGTGGGCTATCTCTCGAGGCTTCCTAATGTCCACACGGTGGTCTGTCTGAATCGACGGAGTACTGTGCCCGCCACCATTCGTCAAGAGGAGGCTTTAAAGGTCCGGGGAATCTCGCTTGACGACAATTCTCGGTCGAAGTTGGTAGTTCTCGAAGTAGAGACAGCAAAGCCATTGCTTGGGCTGCCAGTGGAAACCTACCAGAAGCTCGTGAATACCGCAACGCATATTGTTCACAGCGCTTGGCCAATGAGTCTTACCAGACCGATCCGAGGCTATGAGAGTCAGTTCAAGGTGATGCAGAACCTCATCAATCTCGCACGAGAGGTAGCCGCATGGCGGCCGGTACCATTCAAGTTCAGCTTCCAATTCATCTCATCGATAGGGGTAGTCGGCTACTATCCACTTCGCTACGGGGAAATCATTGCTCCGGAAGAGACTATGACCGCAGATTCCGTCCTGCCAGTTGGATATGCCGAAGCAAAGCTAGTCTGCGAGCGCATGCTGGACGAGACGCTGCATCAATATCCAGATAGGTTCAGACCAATGGCAGTAAGGATTGCCCAAATTGCTGGCTCAACAAGCAACGGGCACTGGAATCCAGTCGAGCATTTTGCATTCCTAATTAAATCGTCTCAGACGTTGAAAGCGCTTCCGGACTTTGATGGTAGCCTCTCGTGGTGTCCGGTCGACGACGTTTCCGCGACACTGGGCGAATTATTGATTTCTAACACAACGCCCTATTCGATCTACCATATCGAGAATCCGTCAAGGCAACAATGGCGGAAAATGGTGAAAACGCTGGCCCAGTCACTTGACATCCCACGAGACGGTATTATTCCTTTCGATCAATGGATTGAACGAGTCCGAAATTCCTCGGCCTCAATCAACGACAACCCGGCCAGGCAATTGCTGGAGTTCTTCGACCAGCATTTCATCCGAATGTCATGTGGTAATTTGATACTAGATACGACTAAGACGAGAGAGCATTCAGCGACTTTGCGGGAAAGGGGTCCTGTAGGCCCAGGTTTGGTGGAGAAATACATTTCTGCATGGAAGACCATGGGATTTCTAGATTAAGAGCGTGATGTTAGTTTGGAGTATGTGATGGGTCAGTCACGGTGCTACAATAATGAAAATGTTTTCTTTTTCTTTTTCTTTTTTTTTTTTTTTTTTTTTTTCATTTAATGAAACGATATAATAATGGTGTTCTAATAAGAACGACATCTGGCTCGGTCAGCCCAGAAAGTACATATTTTTTAATAAACCAAACAAGTAATTTCAGGCTATTGGAACTCCCATCTCACCCGGGAGCATACTCGCCATCTACCCAGGTTCCATATGGTTAACCCTCCGCTTACCATTTTGGACTAAAGCGACTCAAAGCCCGAATCTTCGCCCCATAGAAATAGAAGATAACGGGGATCGGGATCATCGCAATAGAAAGAAAGCCGAGCAGGGACGTGGCCCAGTCCACTCCCAACTTATGGTACATAGCCGTCGCAAAGAGAGGGAACGCAGCACCTACCTTTTACGTAGTTAGTAATGGTGTATCGCCGGAGCCAGTTGTGCACTTACCGCGCTGCGAATGAGAGTGTTGGCCGACATGGCCGAATTAGCAACCACCAGATATACGTCAATCAGATAGTTCAGGCCTTGCATCCAGATCATCAAAATCCCCATTCCGATAGGCGCCCCTGCAATGGCTTGTGGCGCCCACGAAATACTCGGGCTCGATGTCCATCCAAACCAGAATAGCCCGATTGGCAGGAGAATAGCCGCAACAATCATGGGGGGAAGACGATCTTCCGGTACGACGGACCCATTCTGTAGCTTGGGAGCGTACCACAGGCGTGTCGCGATGGTGACCAGGAGGCAGCCCATAAGGACCCCGACTAGGATCCCTAGGAAAGGTAAGGCTGCAATTCCCAAGGACTTCCAATTCCGGACCTCGCGGAAAGCAATTGGGTATGCCACGAAGAAGAGGTATAAGATTCCATAGATAAGGGAGATATAGATTGTCATGCAGACGAGGATCGGCTCCAAGAAAAGCATCTGAATTGGACGGAAGAGATATTTCGTCAGGATTTCACCAAACGTCGGTGTATTCTCATCCAGGCGGGAGTGATAGGCCCAGATACGCGTCTCTTTACGGAGGCGGCTGGCACGGCGCTGGAGGAGGACCGGGTGGTATGTCTCGGGAAGGGTGAGGAAGGCGATTATGCCGAAGAATGAAGCTGGGATCATAGTGATCCAGGCAGTCCACCGCCATCCCAGAGATGAGTCGACGATGAAGCCCCCACTGCTCATGTCGTGATTAGCACGCGTCCAGACCCCATTTACCAATGTTATCATTGTATTCACGTACATGATCGGTCCAAATATCGGCCCAACGAAGGTAGCCGCGGAAAATAAAGAGATGGCAATCGCGCGCTCCACTGGACCCCAAAAGTCCGCCAGAGCACCGGGAATGATTGCGAGGGCGGAGGTGCCGAAGAAACCCAGAAAGAAACGGGCAAGCATCAAGGTCTCGAGGTTCTGGGCAACCGCCACAGGAACTTGGAAGATGATAAAGATGGCATACCCAATGTAGAGCGGCTTCAGTCGGCCATATAACTCAGACATGGGCCCCCAGACCAGCGGTCCCACCGTAAAGCCCTCATGTCAATGTCAGCATAACGGCTCTGCCTTCATCGCGGGGTTATCTGTTTTTTACTCACCAGGACGGTCAAACTGGTTCCCAACGTCATGACCTCAACTGAAACATGAAACTCTTTGGAAGTGATCCCAGCAGCAGCACTGAAGACGCTGCTGGAGAAGGTTACCCAGATGGTCAATGTGCTGAAGATGCAAGTGATGAGCGATTTCTTCCATAGGGGAAAGTTCATAGGCAGTTCTGGGTCGTTAGGCCCATCCCATTCCACCAAGTAAATATCCACGGCAGTGGGCTTCTCGCCAGATGGCTGATCTCGAGCATTCTCTAAATCTGTGCCAGAAGCGTCGGTGGAAACTGGGGCGTCAATTTCTTCCTTCATCTCTGGATGATAGCTCGTGTTTCGATGGTGGTGGTACGGTGACCTTGTGACGAGATTCCAATGCCAGAAATCGAAAAGAGCTCGACATGATATAGATAGTGCGAGAAAGAGTCATTTTCACTGCAATGATCCCGGAGGCCGAGCAGACTCATCAAAACACATTCACTTGCTAGAATGAGCATTCATCTGTAGAGCGTAGGATCATTTATCCGAAGCTGGGCTCAGTCTAGAAACTGTTTTCCCGAGCCGAGAAATAGATTATCCGAGACCATATCGATCACTTGGTCGAAACCGCAACTTCAAAGGTCAATATAAATCCTATGTCTCTTGCTTTTGGGATAAGTTCCTGGTTATCAGACTGTGATGATATACATTGAGGCAACACCGGAGAGTCAAGGGAGCATATAGTATTGGTAGTATGTAGAGGTGGGCACGTGTACATAGCTCGCATGAGCTGCTGTGAAGTCTCACGCGAGCCGCACATCGTGCACGTGACTGCCAAGACTATTAGTAAGCCGCAACAGCTCGCGCGACCTCTTTAAATACTATACACTGATACCTGAAATTTGTTTTCCTTACCTTCTCTACTCCTTGTCTACAATTGAAATCAGTTATAAACCAGTTGTTATACCTCTTCCAGAATGGACCTCAGTCAGCCCTTCATCTCCCTGGATGATGATATTCCTGAAATGGTGGTATTGTAAAGGGGGGCGTACGTGCGTTGCTCCCTGCGACAGGAACCGGGTTGTGATCGAGGGATCTCAGGAATGGACACACTGAACAATCTAGCAAAACGATATAACGATAAAAGGAAACACAACAACGAAGGAGCCTCGCTCCGCTCTATACGATGATAACGATACTAGTGAAGCAACCTAGAAACCAAAAGAATGCTCAATTTCTCGTAACTATCTGGGAGGGAACCCTCCATTAGTATGTCGGAGACCGCGGCTCTACGGTGTTCTAAGATAGGAAATATGGGAGATCCGGGGTTTCGCAGTGCCCCGGCACAGCCCTTAATGCATTTAGAAAGGGTCAATATCCATCTATCCCGAAGGTTGCAGGTGCCTTTGATGTCAACACAAAAACTCCCCAAAGACGGCTAAAAGGGGTCTCTGCCTGTACAAATACTATAGCAAACTGCAAAGCTATCAGCGACTGCAGAATCTACTCTTTCAGCGTGAATTCTTGATATGTCAAACCTACCAGCTAGGTACCTAGGTACCTAGGTAGCATTCCAATACGGTTGGAGCAGCGCCAAGCCTCCTAGTGTAACGGGCTGGTATAGAATTCATTGTATGCTAGATACACGAAGAATTCCTTGAGAAAGGGCAGAGAACAAGGAAGGATTTTTGAAGCGACGACGGCCTTCCAAGAAAACAGGCGAGCTGGCAACAAACAGGACAAACAGAACAAATAGGACAGACAGAATACTCAGGCATTGGCCCTGAGTTTAGCCATATGCCTGGGCGCTAGCCGATGACAGCGCCATACTGCAGTATAACCATCGTGATCACCGTGCAACCCAAAATAGAACTGGTTATTGGATACCAATAGCCTCCAGGCCATTCCGGAAGGCCTGGGCACCTTCTTAGGAGCAAGTTTGTTCCTGAGAGCCCAGAACCTTACTCCCAGATCTAGAGGAGCCTTAACATACAAGGGCAATCCATAGAATGACCTCAGGGTTGCTGTGCAATGGCGTAGCTCATCTACAGGCTAGAATGGAGATGATTGGACGCATTTGATCATACAGGCAAAACGGGCAGATGCTAGGCCTTTTTTTTTTTTTTTTCGTGGGAGAGAAACTGAGACAATAACATGGTCAAAAGCCCGAGAGCTGGTGCATTTTATTGAGGCTCTATCCTGCCCGCTGCTCAATCCAACAGAAACAACTCAGGCCACTCAGGGTATGCTTAGATCTACTTGGTGAGAGAAAGGTGCAAAATGTGCAAAATGTGCAAAAGGTGCCAAATGTGCCAAGACTCGAGCACTAAAACGGAAAGGTAAGGCCTTCAACGTTGATAGAAAAAAGTACATATGTACGGAGTACGGCGGGGTGACGCTGACGGCAATGACGTCGTCTCGCAAAAGCGATCCATAATCCACGATGGATATCCATCATGACAGGTTTTCCCCTGCGAGGTACGCATCGATGCGTACCTGCCAAGTCAAAATCGTTTGAATGTCCTTCGAGCCATCGGTAGAGAGCAGAAAGAGACAAATTAGCCGATGATTTCTCCCGAGATTCTAGCATTAGTGCGTGACTCATAGGATTTACTATCTCCTCACCGGGTTCATTTCTTCTTCATATCGTCTTGTCTTATCTCACAGCGTACGTACTACGCAGTGGGAGCGGGTATATCTCTTCTATTCTGAAGATCGATTGTTGAACGGTTCCATTATTCCACTGGCGTTGTGTACGACTGCCTGAGCAACGGTGCTTCCTACATACCAATCAATATGCCTCCTATCATCCATTGCGTCCGCCACGCCCAGGTATGAAGCAACATTAATTGTCAATCATATCGAAAACGAGAGACTTAATATATTCTATCAATCCAGGCAATCCACAATCTCTCTGTCGCAAACCACGTTATCCCCGATCCCATCCTCACAGATCTGGGCAACGAACAATGCCGCAAGCTCCGTGAGAAGTTTCCTTACCATTCCGACGTGGAATTGGTCGTCTCCTCGCCCCTGCGTCGCACGATCGCCACAAGCCTCCAGGGCTTCGAGCCCGTCTTCCAGTCGCGGGAGGGGCTGAAGTTGATCGTTCATCCGGATCTCCAGGAGACGAGCGATGTTCCCTGTGATACGGGGAGTAATCCGGAGGTTTTGAGGGAGGAGATTGAGAAGGGTGGGCTTCCGGTTGATTTGGGGTTGCTGTTTGATGGGTGGAACAGTAAGGTTGGTTTTCCCCCGCTTCCCCTGGCCCTGGTGGCTATCATTCTAACCTGACATAGAAAGGACCGTATGCGCCTACCAACAAGGAGATCAAGAATCGAGCCCGTGCTGCCCGTCGGTGGCTGAAGGCACGGCCGGAAAAGGTGATTGTTGTCGTTACCCATGGTGGATTCTTGCACTATTTCACCGAGGACTGGGAGGATAGCAGTGAATACCAGGGTATGGTCGTCCATCCTTTACATGGTCCTACTACGACTTTGTTTACTCACACTCGTTCGAAGGGACCGGCTGGGCCAATACCGAATTCCGCACGTTCGAGTTTGCCGATGTCGAGCATAAAGATGATCTGGAAGGCTACGGGTTGGACGGTGACAACGCTACGTTGATCGAGACGGTTGAATCTCGCCGACGTCGTGGGAAGGATGGCACAACACCCAGCCGTGAGCAGCAGAAGGTTCTGTACAAGCTTGGGGTTCAGGGCTGGGATAACCAGGGCCTCGCGCTTAGTGTAGCTGAGAGAGAGAAGACCAAGGTGCCTCAAGGCGAGGAGGTTGGTGGACAGCGGATATGAAGAACGTTCCATAGACTGGTTCTATGCCTTCCTCTTTCTCCTTCTGTGTATGACTTGGATTTCATTTGGATAAACTGACAGCTTCGCAGAGTGAAGAACTAGAATAGATTTGCCTGTGAATCCGAGGCTGAGAATCTCCTGCTCAAAGGATCATGTAGATCTCCATCTAGGTAACTATCAATTCAGCTGTAGGATCGTTAGGAGTAACTTGAAACGACATTGATAGACGACGACTAATGCAGCGCGGCACTCCAGGCAATAATAATATCTGTAGGCAACGATATTATATTGTTACCATTAAGACAGCCGTGGCTCACATCTGCGCTGCATGTTGTCGCGTTGTTGATTGCCTCCATCTCGATGACAGTAACAGGCACAAAGCAAGCAGTCAGCAATGCGTAATCTCGATGCTGGATTCTCCATTGAAAAAGAATAGCAGAGGACGTACAGCGTAAATGCTAGGAAGAACTCCTGAATCCTGATGCCTGAATTGAGAAAAAGTCTAGTCCCCTGCAGTGCTGCACCGCCATACCGAGATCCGCTGCAACTCCTGTTTTAAAACCCCTCCGGATAAAGCAATTGACGAATAATGTTTCGCAGAACACTGCAGAAGGATGGATGCTGTGCACGAGGGAGATTTGGACGGGTTTGGATCGTCGCTATGGAGTACTCCAGGACCTTATAGTAATATACTCCGCTTTCCGCAGGCGTGCATAGTACATACATCCTGCGCACTGCGTTGCTCGGCTTACTCGCTATTTTTAGACAGACTCCGGCGGAACCAGAGCAGAGAAGCAACGCTGCCCTCGTTGTGTTACTTAAGTCATTGCCTTTCCTCACACAGACGGGTTTCGATGGAGGTTTAGGTATTTTCATGACGGCTCAAATGTCAACATCGATTGCTCGAGACTGATTCAAGACTGTTACCGTGCGTTCACTGTTCGTCTGCTGCTGTTGTCGCAAGATGATCGATGAGAATCTACCCAGTACGTCATCGCCGTCCGTCTTGGAGAGAATACGAAGTCCCGAATTCACACGGGTCAAACGTCGAGTACTTGCTAACATCAACAACCGCAGCCTTCTACCTAAACAAAGCCAACAAGCGTCGGGAGAATAACACCATCTACTTCACCTACCGTGGGAGCGACCCCGAACCCGCCTATTCCTTGCGCTACCCCGACCTCTCGTCCCCGCAGTCCAAGAACCGCTATGCCGCCGCCCTGTTCGATCCCTATGTCCCCAGTATCGTCTACGGAGAGGTCCTGCTGATCCCGGAATGGACTCGACCGACCTTGTCCGCTGAAGCAATCCGCCAGAATGGAGGCATCCCGCCCCCGCCGGAACCCATCCTCCCATCCCAGTTTACCATCCAGCTCTACAATCCTGACCAGCAGGTAACAGTGCATTACAAGCCCAAGTCGTGGAATTCGCCTGCAACCTGGGCTTTCGAGATGCCCCAGCGCTCATTCCGTCAGCCGTCGAGCTCGAAGCTGGATCGCACGCAAAGCGACCCCGCCGTGTCCGAGTACACGCCGAAGTTGAAATTCAGCTGGCGTAGGGATGGGAAGTTGACCAAGGATCTCTCCTGTCTCCTGTCAGGGATGACAACAACCTCCCTTGTAGAGCCGAAGACGAAGAGGAAGGAGCCTGATATCACGATCTCGTTCTTCCGGAGTCTGCGGGAGATCACGCTGTATGAGCCTAATCTCTACCGGGTGGAGATGGAGGACTTCAAGGGACTGGAATTGGTTCTTATGCTGGGCGCAGTCGTCATCCGGGACGTCTATTTCAGTCCGCTCAGAGAGGCCTTTAATGTTTCTGATCCGCCGACCGGTGCTGGCAAGGTGAAGGACGCTGCTGCAAAGCCAGCAGCGACCAGCCCTACAGGATCATCTCCACTGGACGGACCAGTGGCGTCTGGCGCATTGAATGGAGGCCCTTCCCCCAAACCGGATCGTCCGCAGAGACCTCATATCACAATCCCACAGGAGAAACCACAACGACCGCCGTCGCCCGTGGACATACGGTCGCAGGAGGAAATCCAAGCCGAGAAAGTCCGTATGCAACAGCGAAGGGAATGGGCGGCGCAGGAGGAACAGCGTCGCACGCGAAAATTGCTAGAAGCGGAAGAGAAGGCCAGACGCCGGCGACAGGTGGAAGTCGACAAGGAGACGAAACGACTGCAGAAGCTCTACGGCGAGGAAGAGCGGAGAGTCCTGGAGCAGCAGCGACTACAGCATTCATCACCAGGAAAACCGGCTACTCCGCCGCGCAGCAGTCAGAACAACTGTCTCCAGCAGCCTCAGCCTCAGCATCAGATATACCGGCACCACAACTCAGCGTCCGTAGCGCATCTCAACTCTTCGAGTCCCTATCTGCAAGGGCCGTTATCGCACTCCTCCGTCCAGCTCTTCCAACCGCCACACTTGGCTGCGTCGATGCACAGCAACGGCAATGGATTGACGCCGCAGATGAAAAAGAAAAGCAGTTTCTTTGGATTTCGGAAGTCTCCCGACGAGGCTAAACTTAGCAAAAAGCGGAGTTCCATGTTTTGATGATCATTTAGTTTGTTTTCTTCATTGCGGCTGGTGTATGGTGTTTACGGTGTATGCAGTGGGTTAACAATACCCAACCGCTCTGGGAGCATGGAATGTGGTACGAAGCCATGATGGCCTTCCCTTTAATGGAAGAACAGCAGATATATACATTGCACAGAGTAGACCGATCCAGAAGGATGCAGGGGCTGGCCATCAGCCCTGCAAGCTGGGCATGCAACCCTTCCAACCCGGTAACCTAACCTTCGAGGCAGAAGACCAAATTATTATTCGGCATGTCTGCATGCACGCTCAAATGCCTAATAATAAACCCCCGCATCCATGCACAGTCACATGGCTCCAGCAGCTGCAGGGTGGCTGAGTCCAACACGATGCTCCTTGCAGCCCAATCCAATGCGTGGGATGCACATACAGCGTTCCAGCGTGAGCCATATCGTCACCACCATCATCTGTGCCCGCTTGGCGCAGTGGGTCTGCACTGTTCAAGCCAGGTATATCCATCTCGAAAGTCGGCATGTGCTTCCAGGTCCTGCTTCCAGGTCCGGCTCCTTGGGCATCCGGATGCAGCTTTGCATGATTATCTGGTGGAGAGAAGAGAAGGGAAGTTGATCATCGTCCCTGAAAGAAAAGAACTCACACTAGAGCACCTGCTGTACCGAATAACGAATGGAGAAGGAAAGGGGAGACGCGAGTTGCTTCAATAGTACGGAATTAGGCTGCCGTCTGAGCGTGGAAAGTTTCCCTCAGGCAGACACAACAGCTCCTTCAATCCAGATCTCATAGTACTTGCGCGTTATACTCTGTGTGGCAGCATTCATAAAGTAAATATAGACTCGCCTCGCATTCCCCGTTTCCCCTCGGACCAGTCAAACCAGACCAGGCCGGATCGGGAGAGACACAGAAGCCACAGCTATGCGGCGTAGCGCTGGCGAAACTGCCGATCTGACGGCTGCTCTAGGGTGAATACGAATAACTTATAACCGACCCCTACGGTAACCTTCGGGGTCGCGCAATACGCGCGACCCCGAAGGTTACCGTAGGGGTCGGTTAATCTCATTATTACTAACTCCCGCCTTATGAGGTCAGCTCGTCCCGCATGCTTTTCCCTTCAACTCCTCTCCTCTCCCCTCTGCTTGAGCGGAATGCAGACTGACAACAACTCGTCGCTCCATCGACATCCCTCATCCCATCGTCCTTCTTCCTGCGAGCCATGTTGGCTCATCCCATCAGCCATGTGACAGCAGCAACAACATCCGCATCACCATCACCATCGCACCCCAGCCCGGTCCGCGAGACTTCTTCTGAACCTGACTCCGACTCCGACTCCGACTCCGGGCCATCGCGCACGTCAGGAGTTGCCGTCATCGCTGCCGCCGCCTCATCCTCGACAGTGGAGATGGATGCCTCGGATTCCGAAATGACAGATGCGCCGGAGGATGAAGGGGGCGTCGCTATCGGCCCCTACTTGGACCCGCACTATCACAGCATGGAGGCCATCATGCAGCAGCTGGGTGATGCAACGGGGCACACATCCATCGATTCAACTGCGTCGGACAACAATGACGATGACGACGACGACGACGACATGGCAGATCAGCATCGCCGCCATGTATACTCGGGTGAGGAACTGCCGGTATCTGGTGTTGAATCATCGTCTGCTCCATGGGGCCTGCATGATATCCTCGATGGCTATGGTCACGTCCACTCGAACTTGTCTGATGTCGATGTCGATGATTTCTACCGAGCCTTTAACTACGACGCCTTGCCCCAGCTTCCGGGCACCTCTGCGACACCTGGTCACGACGATCATGCTTACTCCTACGATGATGACTCGACCGCTGGTCTGGGCGCAGATGACCACTTTCCTGCTTCTGTCGTACATGGAACAAGTATGTTTATTCCCTCATGCGTATCGTCGTATTGATCAATAGACTGACGTGGGTGGTCTAGCGTCTGAACGAAATCTCACGGTCGACCAGTTTATTGACCAATGGCTTATCCAATCATCCTCCACACACCTTCGGTACTTTCTTCCACCTAAACCATCCATTCCGCAACGCTACGGCTTGGCCCTTTTGAACTGGGCGCCTCCTCCGAGGATACTTCGGCCCAGTCGGTACCCCGATGCATCCTACGATATCCAACAGATCCCGTGGTGGGAAGTTATGCGCGTCAAGAGACCCCAGGTCCGGGCCTTGCGCGACGCCTGTTATACGTCATATCATAATCTGGAGTACTCCCCTGGAGTAAGACGTGTCTCGTACCTTGGTCAAATGGCTCCGCCTGGTCCGCTGACGATGACTTGTCTAGTTTGCGCAACGACTCCCAGACGACGAGACTTTCTTTCGGGGCAAGTCCATGCACACGAAGCACAGGGCAACCATCGAACACTTTCAGCTTCGGAATCTCATGTCGGTCGTCTCACACAACACCGTGGAATTTGCTCATGAGTCAAAACTGTATTCCTGGGTCCCCGGCTACGATGATCTGGTCTGCTTGATTGATCTTTCCAAACCATCCGTGGAATCCTGCTTCCAGTGCCCCGTCAAGATCTCCACAATGAGCTCCCGCCACGGCGTCTCGATTGCTGGTGGCTTCTGCGGCGAATATGCATTGCGTGCAGCAGGCACGGACGAGCCAGCTGCGGAGGGCTACGTGACGAAGGATTTCAATGGCATCACAACCCACATCGACATCGTCAAACACCGGACCAGTCGGTCTCCTACGGCGATCGTTGCTTCCAATGACAAGCACCTGCGGGTTCTGGACTGCGAGTCCAACCAGTTTGTGGCGGATTATGCCCTCTTCTGCGCGGTCAACTGCACCGCTACGTCACCCGACGGTCGCCTTCGTGCAGTCGTCGGCGACTCCCCGGACGCATGGGTCATCGAAGCCGACACCGGACGACCTGTCCATCCGCTCCGTGGCCACCGTGATTTCGGATTCGCTTGTGCCTGGTCCCCGGACATGCGTCACATCGCGACCGGTAATCAGGACAAAACCGTGATCATCTGGGATGCGCGCACCTGGCGCATCCTCAAGACGATCGAATCCGACGTGGCAGGCTACCGATCCCTCCGATTCTCCCCCGTCGGTGGGGGTCCTCCGACGTTACTGTTGTGCGAACCCGCGGACCGGATCGCCATTGTCGACGCACAGACGTACCAAAGTCGACAGGTCCATGATTTCTTCGGGGAGATCGGGGGCGCCGATTACACGCCCGATGGCGGGGCTATCTGGGTGGCCAACACCGATCAGCATTTCGGGGGGTTCATGGAGTATGAACGATGGCAGTGGGGGAAGAGACTTGGTCTCAGTGATCTGCCGAATGAGTGGTTACCGGAGTCGGAGTTGGAGAATGATGAGCGATGCGTTCTGAGCGCACGAGAGAGACAGATGAGATTCTGCAGGAATCTAACCGATGAAGAACATGATGAGTTGTTGCTAGCCTGACATTACCCTTTTTCCTCTTCTTTTCTTCTTTTCACCCCCTACTTATCGATTACCTATTGATCTCTTATTCGTGTCATTTTGTCATCTCATACATTGCACATTGCATGTTTCCCGTACTGTACATATTTCGGATCGATGGCGTTTACATCAGCGACAGATATCATATTGGGCGTGGGTGCATCATCCGGGGTAACAAGTGGTCTGTCTGTGTATCAGCTTTCATGTATTTATTTTTATTATTTTTTTTTTCTCGATTCACTCATCTTCTGGTGCCTTAACTATATAGCGTGATGCAGTGAAACATACATATGTATAGATGGGTACTCATTGTACCTAGTTCTTAAACTCGATCTCTCTATACTTGATCAACTCGAAGCTTTTCCTTTCTTGAATATATGCTGTACTTAAAGTGTTAGCTACTTTAGCTTATATATACCATGTAAAAAGAGATAAAGGACATCTTTAAATCATGATGAATGTCTTTTTAGATAGATTTTATTTCTAGAAAAGATCTCTGAACATTACACTGATTTTACCCTTAACAATTTCTATATCCCATAATCAATAAAAAGAAATTGCGACCACTGGAGATACATGCCAAAAACAAGTAATAAGAAATGTACAAGTCAGCGACATAGTACTTTTTTGGGCCCCTAATAACAATATCTATATTTTAGAATGCATTCACATCCACACCTACCTGAACCAACGCCTCAAGAATCCGATGGTTCCCTCTTTCCGCAGCAACCTGTAACGGAGCCATCCCTCTCTTATCCTTCAGTGTCGGACTCGCCCCCGAGTTCCCCGAAGCCGCAGCGAGATGTAAGGCGGATTTGGACGAGAGGGAGGAACCGCACGGGGAGTGGGAGTGACCTTGGGATTGGGACTCTGCTGGAGGAGAAATGTAGGATTGCAGGAGACTGCAATTATGTGGTGTCGCGCTATCTGGGGCATCCAGGGAGGGTTGCGGTCTACATTTGTTGTGAGAGCGATGGATGATTCTGGGGGTATTCTGCAGTCATGGTGACAACTTCTCGCTCATAGTAAAGAAATAGCTGCACCATCTCTGCAATGTCTGCTCTTTCTTTGATAGTCGTCCAAGATCTCAGCAGAGCCGTTGAGCTATATTTACATCTGCTCTATGCTCTAGAAGTAGCTGTACTACTTCTACAATACCCTTCCAAGAGGAAATTGTCAGGGCATTGCCATAATATGCAGACTATGGGTATTTATGTCTGCTCCATGGTCAAGAAGTAGTTGCACCATTCTTCTGTTTCCTGGAGAGGAGGCAGCAGCAACAAAGGCACCCCCATATTTGTCAAAAAACGGACTTTCTGAAATCCGAGCATTGACATCTGCACCATTGTCAAGAAGAAGTTGTGCTGCTTCTATATTTCCTGCCTTAGCAGCAGCGGCCAGTGCGCTTCCACAATTCTGGCCATTGACGTCAGCTCCATGATTAAGAAGCATCTGTATTACTTCCGTAATGCGAGCACCTGTGGATTCCCTGTTCGGGTTAGTTTTGCCGCTTTCGGTATGGTCACCCCGTACGCCGTCCCGTAAACATCGCCCTGGACCTGGTGGTCTGTTTACCTAGGGGCAGAATAACATGGGTCCGTGGTCATGTGATGATGAGTAGGGCGGTGAATAGTGGCAGAATGAAGTTTGTAGACTGCAACTTCTAATTGCTCGCTGTTGATGCTGGCTGAGGCTATCCGAAGCCCTATATCGGGCCTAGGCCGTCACAGAGCCCATCAGAGAGGGGAGGTAGTGAGTGTAGAGGTAGGAGGGCTGCACACTTACAGCAGGACTGTAGCTTAGCCAACACCTAGGCAAATGCCATCGCACATAATATCAAGACCTTGAACGAAAGAACTTCAAACACCAAAAATTCTTGTTGAGCCATCTAACTACACGGGTCTAACAGTCTATTTCACGTCAGCAGAGCTGATGCTGAAGTCTGAACTTTCCCGGGGTTCCCCCAGTACAGTAGTAGTACTACACAGGTGCTGGGCAGTTAAACAGCAGCTTGCTTCTGGAAGTTACAGGTGGAAAGGTGGCCGTTTCTGGCCTCAGTTGTGGTCATTTTTAGCATCGTTTTCGCAGGTCCTCATAATTTGATAGTTTGTTATGTGGCCTGCATGCACTTACATTATCATTAATGTTAACTAATTATCCTTGTGCATCAGTCAGTTATTCCCTGCTGCATGCATATCCAGTCAGCTGATTCTACATTGTACATTATTATTAATGCATAATACTAGAACAAAAAAAAGTAAATAAAACTATACCGAATATGGTATAGTGTTAATCCCAACCGGCCGAATATGTGCATCGGATCCGAGATTCTACCGTCTTCGGCCGGAATCTAACCGCATCAGGTAGTATTGTCGTCGTTTTGCGTGGGATCAGGTTGTTTAACCGATTGCCAAGTGGAGGTTGCGTTCATTGATTATTCAATTAGATAGATGACTAGTTTTTCTTCTTTTTTGTTTTCCTGTTTTTTTTCTCTTTCTTCCTATCTCTATTTTTTCCCCTTTGCTTTCTGGTTGTGTTTGCTGGTTTTTCTGGTTTCAACTCTTGCATTGCTGTCGGGTGTCTCTTCTTTGCCCTGTTGGGGATACACTGGTACAGAGTCTGACTTCGTCAGCCCCTTTTATGGAATACTCTTGAGAAAAATTATTTAAATCATGGAATCGGATTCAATCGATACTATGATGAAATTTCAAACTCGCGCACTGACTTGGCCGTTATATTGACCACCCTCGAGAAACACCTTGCTCAAACATGAATACCGATGAAAATATCAGAAATGAAAACAAAAGGATAACAAACAGGATATCTATGCCACTAATTTGAACAATTCCAGTCGCGCCTTGTTGACCTCGTCCGGCTCTCCCGTCTCCAACTCCCGCAGCATCCCACTAGCCACATCATATATCAGACCATGCACGCACAGACCGCGCTCTTGAATAGCATCCAACACGGCGCTCTTCTGCTTCAATACCTTGACCCCAGCCAATACGTTCAGTTCGGTCAGCTTCAGTGCCCGCTCCTCAGTTGAAAGAGACTGGAGAGTGTCCAGATGTTGTTCACGAATCTGTCGCAGTGGGAGCAGCCATGGGTCCAGAATCCCAAGCTGCTTATTTCCTAGTGCAGCCGCCACGCCTCCGCAGCTAGTGTGTCCGCACAGAACGATGTGCTTGACTTTAAGTTGTTTTACGGCATATTCAATGACGGCAGACGAGCTGAGATCGGTTGGGTGAAGGATGTTGGCGATATTCCTGTGGACGAAGACATCGCCAGGCTTCAGGCCAAGGAGCGTCGTCTCAGGGCATCGTGAGTCGGAGCATCCGATCCACACAATTTCAGGACTTTGGCCGGTCGCAAGGGTTGGGAAGAGATCTGGATGCTCTTGGGCTGTTTTTGTCGCCCACTCCTTGTTCTGAGTCAGAACAGTCGCCAACCGATCTGGGTGGTAAGAATTCGAAGAAGCGAATGGAGACATGATGGTCGCGCCTGCAGATGATGCAGCGGTTGATGAAAGGGGGCGGCAAGAAGTTGTGAGATTCCCTGAAAGGTTGTGGTGATGGTGACAATTATTGTGGCTCGCCTGAAGCCGTTGTGGAGAGTGGGTTGCGATAGCCGAGGAAATGCGATGATGACAATCGCGGAATTCTCTTGTGGAATGAAAAGAGCGACTGAACTTCTGAATCACTACCCTCGCAAAGTTCATGCCAAATTACACAAATGGTTTGCGATGCGTCTAGTATGCCGGTGTAACGGAGGAATGGTTGAGTCAGAAAGAAAAAAGAACGAAAGGGTTTTCTGCGGTCTGTGTGGGACAGCCAAGGAAGCAGAAGAAGGAGGGTGCAATGTAAGCAAGGCTCGCACTTGAGACCAGCACAACAGGATTGTCTTCTGTTGGTTGTTTCAAGATCTGATGTGGATGGATAGATGATGGTTTGGGGTGAACAGTGGAAGTGGTGCTAACATGCAGAGTCAACAAAATCAATTTTTGGCGGGAGGCCCTTTGCCAAGCCAACCGGAAGCGGAACCAGCTCCGTTGAACATCAGAAAATGACACATCGAAATGGTTTCAATGACTGGTATATTCTATGTCTGCAAGAAAAGAAAAAGCAGACATCTGGCTGTTATTGATCTGATTTCTCTGAGGGTCCAGGCTGAAAAGAAAGAGACTAGCCAAGCAGTGCAGTACAGCGTAAATATCCAAGGGGAGCTTAATTCCGTGTAATTCTTTTCCTGATAATTCTAGCATATTAAACTATTCTATCCCTGCGAGAAAAAACGAAAAATATGTACTTCAGGAAAGAGGAATTTAATTCTCCACAATATTCATGCAAGATGTAGATATGTAATTACAGCGTAGATGCCAGATTCGCGGTGTGCGCATATGGCCCGTTACGCCCTCCGTTGTTCAGAGGTAGAGAACTTCACGGGCTAAAGGATCATTTGTTGATTTCTCTGCATACCAAGGAACACTCCTCAGTCAATCCTTGACTATACTTTCCGCTATTGTGCGGAGAAAAGGATATGCGTGGATGTCTAATTCAAGCTGCTACATGTTCATGTCGTCTAGGTGCGCCAGCATGTGATAAAAGCCTTGAAGTGATGCATGCAAGGCAATTTCCAAATCTATCAAGCATGTACTCCGTAGTAGTCGTAGTAAGAGTACAAATGGCAGAAGCATATGGAATCGATTCATCCCTCCCAACAAGCAGCAGACCGTGACACCTGTGGCTCCATACCGATTAACCCGAGTCAAAGTAGATATGCGTACATGGCTCATGAGAAAACAAAGACGTATCATAATGCAGACAGTAGAGAGTGGAGAGAACAGACAACTGCAGGACGAACCAAAGAAACAAAATTCATTAGCAAGAAAAGTACTTGACCAGAACAGAACAAGCTTCCCAGCAACTTGTGTATCCATTATTACGGAGTAAAATCATTCAATTCAGAACCTGTCCCCCCAGAGCCCGACAATCGCCATGGCAAGGGCAGTCCCCGTAAGCCACGATCTTGTTCTCTGAAGTAGACGTTCCTTCTCCATTTCCTTCTGTACGCTCTCACCGTTAACCTTATCCTCCGCCTCGACGACAACGATGTCATCTTCTTTCTTCGGAGAGGTGGTCTTCGCCGGAAGACAGCCGCTAGGAAGCAGCTGGGTATCCCGGACCAAGCTGAGAAACCACTCTTTCAACCCGATGTCCCGGTGGAACCAGAAGTCGACGCCGTACGAGCCCAAGGTCGAGACCATGGACACCCAGAGCAGGTAGGGATGTTTGCGGTGGGCTGGGGAGACGAAGAAAGCGATCAGGACGCAGCCGTTGGCGATGTTGGCGAGCCGGAGGGCGTGTTTGCGGCTTAACCGCTTGATCTCGTCGAGGCAGCGGGCGGCGGTGGAGGAGGTTGGGAGGTGTTGCAGGGAGGGAATGGTGATGTTGGCGGAGGAGTAGGAAAGGCCCTATAGTCGAAAAGTTGGTTAGCCATGAACAAAAGAGGGAGAGAGCTATTCGTCTCATCTCGCATGTATGGCCCCGGATAGGAATAGAAAGCTGAACTCAGACCCAGCCATGACTTCGTCAAATAATGCATACCGTCAAGAGGCCGAGAGACACTGTCCCGACGAACTTTGTAAGTGTAATTGGGCACACCATTGTGGGTGATGGACTTTTTCTGGACCTTTTCTGGACTTTTTCTGAAGGAGCAAAGACTGTAGCGGGACGTCGGATACAGTCCACGCGAAGGCAGTCCAGTCCGGATCAGTGATTGCAGATACGGAATCCCGGCGAGATTGAACGTGTTGATGTGCGAAAGGTGAAGGACGGACAGACGGCGCGAATCGGAAGATGGCAGGGATGGAAGTAATCGGTCGACTGGGGAAGTCAACGGAAGTGACGTCGAATTGAAACTGACTCGGCTACCGACCTTAGTTATCCCTTCATTGATTAAGTCATGGATTATTACTGCTACTCTCGGTTCGAGGAACATGGATGAGGATTCCGCTATTCTTGCCTGCATTCTTGCTTAGTATTCAGGAATATGCCGGTCGCGACAGGTTTCTGTTTCTTTTATCCACACGGAGTCGAGTGAACTCCAGAATACTCCGTACCAGCAGGGGATTCATTCTCTGCAAGAGCACAATATAAAAGGATATAGGCCGTGTCATTCAAGTCCTGATTGAGGCTGAGAACACTTTTTTCCATGACTACAGGCGTTGTCTCGTGAAGATATCATTTCCCGAGGCTGTTTCTGCCGCGGCCGAAATCCGTCATGGCGTCGATTGCTTTATGGGACGACCGCCCTCCATCAACACAAACAGCCACGGTAGCTTTATAAAGGCCAATCTCAAACAGGTCCATTCTCTTCTCGACCTGCTGCCTCTTCGGAAATTTATCCAGGATGTCCACCCCCAAGTCAGATTACGTCAGTGACGACTGGAAGGACGGCTTGTTCAGTGAGTCTTCGATCTTTTATTCTCCTCAAGCAAAGCGAATTCTAATTGCCAATCTCGTCGAGTTAGAAAATAAGGTCGTCTTCTGTACCGGTGGTGCGGGCACCATCTGCAGCGCTCAAGTCCGTGCCCTGGTCCATCTAGGTGCAGATGCCTGCATCGTGGGGAGAAACGTCGAGAAGACAGAACGTGCTGCCAAGGACATTGCGAGTGTTAGAGCCGGCGCGAGAGTCATCGGTATTGGCGCGGTGGATGTGCGGAAATATGACAGTCTGAAGGACGCTGCTGAGCGCTGCATTAAGGAGTTGGGTGGCATTGACTTTGTGATGTGTGTGCTGTTTTCTCTTCTGAATCGTTTCGCCCATTTGGACAGGGATGGTCTAGATTGTTAACGTCCACGTTCACGCCCACAGTGCAGGCGCGGCAGGAAACTTCCTTGCGTCGATCAACCAACTTTCCGTGAACGCCTTCAAGTCAGTGATGGACATCGATGTCCTGGGCTCCTACAACACCGTCAAGGCCACCATTCCGTACCTCGTTGAATCAGCGAAGAAACACAAAGTTGATTCCAAAACCCGTGAGCTTCTCCCATCTCCTTGATTGTCAATGGTATTTCTTAACGGAACTCCATTTCTACTTCCAGTCCAGCCTTCCCCTGCCGGCACAGGTGGAAGAATCATCTTCGTCAGTGCCACGCTCCACTACAGAGGATCACCCTTCCAGACGCATGTGGCTGTCGCCAAAGCCGGAGTGGATGCGCTGTCGAACAATGTGGCTATCGAATTTGGCCCTCTGGGAGTAACTTCCAATGTCATTGCTCCTGGACCGATTGCACAAACGGAGGTTAGCCTTTCTATCCCTCTTTCCCCCTCCTCCCTTTCGATGCTATTTCAAATGGTGAACTGCGTCGGTAGCGTGCTAATTCACACGACAAAAGGGTCTCGAACGTCTCCTCCCGCCGGATGTCAAAGAAATGTACACCAAATCGCAACCACTTGGTCGGCTGGGATCTGTCAGAGACATCGCCGATGCGACGGTATATCTCTTGTCGAACACTGGAAGCTATGTAAATGGACAATTATTAGTTGGTATGTTCAGGGTGGATCATATTGTTTATGCTCCCTGCAGCCGACGGACGACTAACTGGAATGATTAATCCTACAGTTGACGGTGGCTCCTGGCGCACCAGCGGCGATTTCTCGTACCCGGACTTCTTGTTGGCAGGAGGAGAATTTGAAGGAGTGAAGGGGAAGAAATCGAAACTTTGACTGACTCTTTGCTGGCCGATTGATCATATACCCCGGGCTTGATCTCACCTCTTGAGGTACCAACTCTAAATTTACATTCCTTATCTTATATTAATTCTCATAGTAAATCCCATGTCAGAATTAAGAGTCGACCAATTATTATAGAGTAGAACTGGAGAACTGGGTATTTCCACTCTGCGACACTGGACTGCGGGGATAGACCAAGGCTGTGATACCTTCTGAAGAGACCCAGGAGACGCATGTGATGCAATAGGAGAACGCATTATTATTATTGATTGACATGAATCGACCCATATGGGAGGGGAACACAGAGAGTCCAGATGTCTGTGCCAAGTGCTAAGCTCTGCAACTACTCCGCATCCCCAGACAATCTTCGGCGACAGACGTGCTCTGAACCAGACTGAACCAGACGCTGGGTTGGCCCTCACTTTGGCTGTAATGCATGTTGATGCATTTGTTGAGATTGCGGTCAATCTATATTATTATGCTACGATGTTGTCCTCTTCATGTGCTGCGAGCATGTTGTCGGGTAAACCTCTGTCACGCAGAGCACTGCAGCTGCTCAACCGAGGCATCCAAGGCCCCTGTGATTGTTGAACGCTGGATCATAATTAATAGACTGCGTCTCCTCCAGCGGCCTTATACCGGGTCTCTTCTGGTGTCGTCCTGTTTGGCTCGATTTCCCCATAATCGCCCTCTTCCGCCCTTCCGAAGCTCTTTTCTTGACATCATTTCCCGGTTCCAGGAACACCACCCATCAAAGCTTGCCTCGCGGCGCGCGCGTCCTTCCTGGCACGTTTCCTTTGTCGTGCACATTTGCCTGGCTTGAGAAGACCGTTACGAGGAACATTGTCGTATATAATATCCGGCGTTACATGATGCCGCCTTTGACGGCTTTGGCTGGTAACGTTTGATTGAAACACCGCCCATAGCTCCCCAGTGATCATTCTTTCTAACTTTGGTCCTTTGCGTCCCAGGTATCCCCCTCAAAGTCGCCATTCCCGCTGCTGCAACGACTCTAGCCTACCTGAACGCCAGATGGTCCGTGTCGCACGATGTGGCTCTCGGTCGGGCCTTCGCTCATACAGTCTTGCAGCCGGCGTTGGCCGAACGTAATGATCGCCTGAACCTCTTTTACCTCCTGGAGTACTACGCTCTCAGCCCGAAGCTAGCCAACAACACCTGGATTGTATACAATGGCCGCAGTTGGACGTTCCACGAGGGGTACGAGATGGTATTACGCTATGGCCACTGGCTCAAGACGGTTCACGGGGTTAAGCCCAAGGAGATCGTGGCCATGGACTTTATGAACTCGTCGACCTTCATCTTCTTGATGTTCGGTCTCTGGAGTATCGGTGCCGTGCCCGCCTTTATCAACTACAACTTGAGTGGCAAGCCTCTGACGCACTCGGTGAAGGCGTCCACCGCAAGGTTGCTGTTCGTCGATGAGGATGTTCGGGAGTGCTTCCCGCAGGAACAGCTGGATATCTTTACGTCTCCGGATTTCCATGAGGACAAGGGTCCGATGACTGTCGTCTTCTTTACCCCAGATCTGGAGGCGCAGATTCTGCAGACGCAGCCGGTCCGTGAGGATGACAGAGCGCGACAGGGCGTCATCCGCCGCGACATGGCCATCTTGATCTACACCAGCGGCACAACGGGCTTGCCCAAACCCGCTATTGTCAGCTGGGCCAAGTGTTACGCCGGCGGTTATTTTTCCGGCTCTTATATGGGTTTGAAACAGTCCGATCGATTCTACACGGTAAGCTCCGTTCATCATCTCTTCGTTTCCTACGTTCATTGCTGACGATTCGAGGACAGTGTATGCCTCTCTACCATTCATCCGCCACGCTCATGTGCTTCTGTGCTTGTTTAACGGTCGGATGCACATGTATCATCGGCCGGAAATTTTCTGCCCGTAATTTCTGGAAAGAGGTCCGCGAGAATGATGCGACTGCGGTTCAATACGTCGGTGAAACCATGCGCTATCTTCTTGCCGTCCCTCCCGAGGTCGATCCCGTGACGGGCGAGGATCTTGACAAGAAGCACAATGTACGAATTATCTTTGGCAACGGACTACGCCCGGACGTCTGGAATAAGGTCAAGGAGCGTTTCAATATCCCAACTGTATGCGAATTCTACGCATCTACAGAGGGTAGCTCGGCCACGTGGAACTTATCATCGAACAGCCACAGTGCGGGTGCTATTGGTAGGAATGGCGCCATCGCCAGATTTGTCTTCGAACGTCGCCATGCCATTGTTGCTGTAGACCATGAGAGTCAGCAGCCCTGGCGGGATCCCAAGACGGGGCTTTGCAAGGCGGTGCCTCGGGGAGAACCGGGCGAGCTGCTGCTTGCTCTCGATGCCAAGGACACTGAAGCCATGTTCCAGGGTTACTTCAAGAACAACAAGGCGACAGAAGACAAGATCATCCGCGATGTATTAACCAAGGGTGACGCCTATTTCCGCACTGGCGATATGATTCGGTGGGACAGCAATGGTCTGTGGTACTTCTCTGATCGCATGGGCGATACCTTCCGGTGGAGGAGTGAGAATGTGTAAGTGGCTATAACCTGTCGGCCTGTTGCATCTATACTAATGGCAATAATTTCTAGTTCCACGAGTGAAGTTGCTGAAGTACTGGGAGCGCACCCTGAAGTGCACGAGGCCAACGTCTACGGCGTTGCCTTACCTCACCACGACGGGCGTGCTGGATGCGCTGCCATCGTCTTTAGACATCAGGCCCAGAATACAGACCCTTCGTCAGGGGTCATTGACCCGTCACCCCAGGTGCTTGGTGACGTTGCATCCTACGCATTGAAGAACCTGCCCAAATACGCGGTGCCCATCTTCCTGCGCGTGACGCCAGAGATGCAGGCGACGGGGAATAACAAGCAACAGAAGCATGTCCTGCAAAAGGAAGGCGTGGATCCTTCCAAGGTGAATGCCAAAGACAAGCTATATTGGCTTCGGGGTGCTACGTATGTGCCATTCCAGCAGAAGGACTGGGAGAGGTTGAATGCCGGGCAGGTCAGGCTTTGATTCCTATCTGTTTGAAAATTGTGTCTTTCTTCTTCCCCTTCCTTTTGTCCTAGAACCAACCCTGTTCCTGAACGCAACTGCGTGTAATACCCCGTATTATTCGTAGATCTCTTGTTATATAATAACTATAGAAGAGTGGACATTGCTCTCTGCGCATGTTGCTTTTGCTTAAAGTATCTGCCCTGTGTATATTCATGGGATATGATTGACCCATCTGATTGCCAGCGAGGTAAGATGCAACTTTGGCAGGCAATGTAGAGGGAGATATCCATGTATCTATTCTCATTATGATTCAAAAAAACTGAATGCAGCTCCATTCATGTCTTGGCATGTCTTGATGCACTTCCTCCCTCAACATTTGCTTCCATGGACTTCAGATAAGTTTTCGATAAATTCCATCTGGCTTTCTCTTGTTATAATTACCCGCATTGTCTTGTTCTGTCGAATACCATGCTCAGTCAGTCAATCACAATGAGTCGCTGCAAAGCTTTGTCACGAGAATCAGCACAATCTGATCTGTTTCTTCCTTTGTTCGAGTTCGCAATGCACGCAATAAGATGAAAGAAGTAAAGAAAGAGAGATAGGGCCATGCTGGGTAACCGTTGTTTATTATGTCCTTCCAAAACAATGGGTGGATCGGGGTATGGATATATAAATATGGGATGGTATCTTCTCGTCCAATTCTTCTGGGTAAGTATTTTGATTCCTCGAAAACCATACTATTTAATTATTCTGATTTATTTCTCTTTATTCTCATCTCATCTAGCCTCGCTTTATTCATAGTTGTCTAGTTTTCATTGCGCATGCGTCGATCTAATCGACTTCCAAGAACTACCGGTAGGATTATATTTCCGGTTGTTATATTAATACACTCTGCCAGATCGAAAATAAGTAATCATAACCATGGCTCGCCACTTGAACAGCCTTCCAAGCATGGATAGGGAAGGAGATTCGAATATGGACTCATCTCAGATGTCCCAATTGAGCCTGGAAGATCTATCGGAACAGGTAAGAATATACCTCACGTACAGCAAACCCCAGTAAGGAAAAGAAAGGGAAATTGACTGACATCAACAGGACCTGTTGAAACTGGCAACACTCCTATTCGAACGAGCCCGACGGGAAGAGGACTGCAATAGCCTAACCGGCGGCAACGAGCTGGACCTTGGAGCAGTGCGCGAGATACACGACATAAAACGGGACTGGGAAGCGATGAAAAAAAGCAACAGTGAGTGCAGGCGGGAACTCCGCGTACTGAAGGGTGCCATTAAGGCCGCAGAGAACAGATGCAAGGAGCTCCAAAAAGAGAAATCCGCGAATTACAGCCAGATCGAGGATCTGCAGAAGGTGGTCACCAATCTACACCGGGAAAAGGAGTGGCTTGCGGCGGAGATGGAGGATATGATGCAGTCTGACAAGAAGCGGCAGCAGGAGGCAGAGATGCAGGCTCGAGAGATTCAGGAGTTGAAACGGTCTTACCAGGAAACCCTGCGGAAGTATCAGAAGAACGAGGCGTATATCCGGAGAGCGGAGGAGGAGTACGAGCGGCTGGACAAAGAGGGCGCCACGGGCAAGAGGCGTATGAACGCTCTGCTCCATCAGGAGAAGAAGCTGCAGAAACTAATCAATGATAGAGACAAGCAGGTCAGGGACCTTCGACAGAAATGCCGATCACTCATCGACAAGATTAGATGGTTGGAGCAGGACAGGAATGCGTGTCGGATGGGCTGGGCGACGTTCGAGGTGGAGGAGAGCGGACGCAATCTGAGGGATGAGAACCGGATGCTGAAGACGAAGCTGGTAAGTGCCCTAGAGATGATGCGTCAAACTGAAGCAGCCTTTACAAAGCTGAGCAACGAAGCTGCTGTTCACCATGCCCTGTCGCAAGCAGCTGGATTATCCACCGACGGTGAGCCTCAGCCGCAGCAGCCAGTGTCGGCCGAGCTGGAAATGATCGATCTTCCCCGGGAGGCGACTTCTACGGAGATCACGATGCTGGATGCAGCAGATACAGAACCAGATAAACTGCAGCTTTATCTGGAGCGCATTATGCGGCCAGAAGACGACTGCGTCGACGACGCTGCCTCGGACTTGGACGCTTCCATCACTGCCCATTCTGCTAGGGCTGGTGCGATGGGCTCACCACGACTACCAATGCCCAAGATGTCGATGCCACGATATCTCCAGGGGGGTAAGCAGTCTGCCCCAGCACCAGAACCGATGGATGTCCATGCTGACCCGGCGCTGATACAATCGGAGTGGATAAGAATGATAATGAAAGAGCATGAGCGCAACGGAACAACGCCGCCGTCGTGGGAAGAATTGTCCGGGCTCCAGGTTGCTGAACCGTCTCGAAAACGAGCAAAATGCGGTTCGATGGATCCAGAAGACCTGTGTCTACCTGCACCCATCGGACAATTGGATCTTTGCAATTCCTGCGGACGTGCCGGTCTACCTCCTGGCGCCAATTACAGTACCACATTGTCTCCAACATCATACCAATCGCCCCTGAAGCGATCTCGTATGGAAACACTGCAACCAGTGAAGCTAACCAGGCCAACGAAAAACAATGTAAAACGCCAGAACGAGAAGGTGAAGCTCAAGCTGGACCGGATACCGAACCCGAAGCCGATCCAATGCGACCATTCGTCGGAGTCGTCGCACTCAACGGTGAGGCCGCTCTCCCCCATCATCACCACAGGAGACTTCCCGCCAATGCCAAGATTAGAAGATGATTGCAGGCTGCTCCAGACCTTCCGTAACGTGGTCCAGAAGACGCAGCGAAAGCATCCGCAGGGCTGGTGGCCTGTCGTTCTGGGAAGTGTTGCTCTTCTGACGCTGTACTCGTGGTACATCGTCAAGTCGATCCTGGAAACCAGTAGGTGGATGAGGGCAAATGATGTGCCGGCGAATGTCCTGATGGCACTGCAGGAGAAGCGATTGACTGAGATTCAGTGGGTGCAGACGTTGGATTATCGGATGGCGCAATGGTTGGATATTGATAGGGTTGCACTTGGGTAGGTTGACCTTTGCCAAGTAATTCATATCAAACATTTATCATTGCTCGGCCTTGTTTAAACAAAGCTATTATGAATTTTACGCTACATTCTCCAATGGCTATTCTTCAAACCAGATGAACTAAACTGGGTGAACTTGCGTACGATAGGGAGATGCTGAGACGCTGAGACGTGGCCGTCCTGGCTCTGGAAGGGAGGCGAACAGCCCATTTATCCCATCTATGCCGTCTTGATCATCCTTCGAATGCCGTACTTCGTCTGCACCTCCAGGTTACCGCCAGCGTTAATGCCGATGTCTTTCTTGTCTTTCTTGTTAGGGTTGCAGAGGTTTCTACCCAATCCGGAAGTTAGTGGGGCCCAGCCGAATGGGGTGATGTCCCGATTAGGCAACTAACTACTCTGGGGACGCCACTCACAGGTGAAACTGAATGGAGAAATGACCAGATACGGACTGAGGAGAGGGCCTGAGGCCTGAAGCTGAACGGAAACCCTGTAACAAGCTTCCGGAGGCGCTGGATGCGCCTTTGACAACTCTGGCCCAGTGGATCTATTGCCGTCTACCATCTGATTCTGATTGTCCCTGCTTTACAGATGCTAGATCACAGAGGTTATTATTAAACAAGGGACTCGCTGCTTAGCTGAATAATTATGCGTCAACTCGAGCGTTATGCTGTCTTGGTCTTACAGAGCTGGTTCCAGCAAAGAAACCCAGGGGCAGCGCATGCAGCGTGTTCGTCATGGGAATAGTGGAGAATCATGGCAATTCCATAAAATATCGCATGGAAGATGGAAGACGTCCATATGCTGGATGTCGAAGACAGCATGCTATTATTTCCGATCCGAGAATTAATACAGGGATGCTGTCCACATACGGGCAGTTTGAATCCAGAGTCAAGCATGGAATGGCCTGCTGAAAGTTATTTCTCCTCAGGACAACGACTCCAGGAACAACGACCACCAGAAACGTCAGTGGACAATGTATCAATGCTTCCGAAGACAAAAATCGAACAGATACATGTTGCATGTTGGACACGTATCTACTATAGGGTTATAGGGTTGCTGTAGATAATTTCCTTGGCGGGGTACTCCGTATACTTTACTAGTCAGCTTCCCGTCTTTTTTCTTTCTTTTTTCTTTTTTCTTCTTTCTTTTTTTTCCAATTTGCCTTTCCTACTGAAGCGCTGTACAGTGTATAGTCTCGCCTTCGCAGAAACAAAAAGAAAAGAACCATTTCATGTCTCTTCATAGATCTCCTGCTTTCTAATTATCGGACTCTTTGTCCCCGTGGCTCCATCTCCTCGCATCACAGCATATCTGCTGCGGCGACGCATCACTCCCCCGCCCTGTATGGCGCTCACCCCGGTCGACACCACGCTCCAAGTGCCCCCTCCTGACCCTGTCAAAGAGCCTCCTGAGGTTGCCGTTACGCCCTGCGATCCTTGGCCTGCGCCGTATTATTTCGAAGGTGGTCTGCGGAGGGTTAAGCCGTACCACTATACTTACAACACCTACTGCAAGGAACGATGGCGCGACAGACGGCTGGTAGATATCTTCGTGTCTGAGTTCAGGGATCGTCCGCCAGAGTACTATGTGGGTTGTTTCCTATTGCTGTTTTTAAACGACGATGCTGACATGGTGGTGTCGCTAGAGACAAGCAATTGAGGCGGGCCAGGTTGCGGTTGACGGCAAGCCAGCAGGTCCGGAGACCATCATCAGAAACGGCCAAGTCATTTCTCATACCCTCCATCGACACGAACCACCCGTCACCGGTCTCCCAATTGGCGTCATTCACGAAGACGATGACCTGCTTGTCATTGACAAACCGGCCGGTGTGCCGGTCCACTCGGCTGGAAGATATCATTACAACTCGATCGTGGAGATCCTGCGCTCGGAACGCGGCCACCAGTTTCACCCCCGGCCGTGCAACCGGCTCGATCGCCTGACGTCCGGCGTCATGTTTATCGGGAAGCATCCCAAGGCTGCGGAGGCGATGTCTGTCAAGCTGAAACAACGCACGCTGCAGAAGGAGTACGTGGCTCGCGTCAAGGGCAAATTCCCGGACGGCGTGGTTGTCTGTGACCGGCCCATCATGCAGGTTAGCCCCAAGCTGGGATTGAATCGGGTACGCGCAACGGGGAAAGAGGCAACGACCAAATTCCGACGACTGGCGTATTATCCTCCGCACCAACATTCCAAGGACTCGTCTCATACTACCCAAGATGACGACTCTACCGGGAACGGTGAGAAGACATCCGGAGCTGCCACACCTCCTGCGCTCGCCAATGAAGACGAGGGCTACAGCATTGTCCACTGCCTCCCTTTAACAGGTCGGACGCATCAGATCCGTGTCCACCTTCAGTTCCTGGGCCATCCGATCTCCAATGATCCCATCTACTCGAACAGACGTGTCTTTGGGCCGGATCTTGGAAAACACGAAGACACCGCAGATCGGGACAATGAAATCATCGACCGGCTGTCAACAATGGGCAAGACAGAGGTTGCCGATCCAGGAACTTACCGTACACATCTCACAGCAGCACCTTCAGTGCCGCCGGGAACGGACCCTGCCATCATCGAGCAGATCATGTCGCGAGAGCACGAGGCTGCCGTGCACGAATACCACAAGCGCAAGGGCGAAAGGCTATCCGGTGAAAAATGCGATGTTTGCGGCACAGAACTCTACACTGACCCGGGCGCCCATGAACTGGGTATCTTCCTCCATGCAGTCGCGTATGCCGATAATGGCGGGGACTGGAAGTACCAGAGTAAGATGCCATCCTGGGCCCTGCCTCCGGAAGGCATGGACGGTCCACGGGAGACGCCGGATTGGGTTCCAGCGGCAGAAGGCGAGGAAATTGTCATCGGTGATGGAACCATGCCGCCGGGGTTAGGTGGTGATGATGTTGACGGGCCATCCCATAAGGAAATGCCGGCTCTTGTTCGGGGCGTTGGTCTGGTAGATATCTCCTCAGCAAGGAGACAGCCAAATGCCAGCCTAGAACAGGCACAGGAACAGCAAGAAGATCAGTATACAGCTGCATAAACCTGCGCGTATCATTTGTTGACAAGTTCACGGATTCTTTTGAATTAGTTCTGTCTACTCATAGGGCATAGCCAGGCGATCTCATCCCATCTTCCAGCTATAAATTTACGAGTGTAAACTTTACGAACTAGACTGTCCTTACTACTTAGGTACCATGATATCATGATACCGTCCTTAGTGTAGTGTTCGACCCCCGTCAACATGAACTACTCCCTGATGATCACCCTGGCATCTAGAAAGGGAAATTCTCTGTGATGCTAGAACAAAAAGTCTGCAGATATCGTGGCATATGAGATTTTTATACGTCCCACGTTGGAGTTCTTCCTACTAGTTGTCACGATCAAGTGCCTAAGTAGATAATATATATGCCTTAGGCATCACTCTACTTATCTTATCTATGATGGTGGCCTAAAGAAGGATAGGCCTCCCGCACAAGATCTCTTGGCATCCCATGACGTGGCGGGATCTTAGTCGGACCGAACCTTACCCATGTTGCCTTCAAAGTCACGTGCGTTCGCACCTCCCTAGTTAGTTGAGCATCGCTCCGCCTACCCCTTTTAGAAATCAACCATCTTCCTACTAGTCGTCAACCCAAAGCATCCTCATCCCGCGTGCAAGGAACTCCAATGGCAGCTGTGGCCGTCAGCTTGTTAAATAGCTCAATCATCTCGCTCAAGATTGAAAATACTACTTCTGAGGTATCGTGCGCCTTAGCTTCCTCCCCCATATACTATAGAACACAACTGTCACTATGCCCATGGCAATGGCCAGAGAAGCATAAACCCAGAGCATATTGGGATTCTTATACAAGGGGCTGAGTGCAATGCTCAACGACGAACCCACCGCGCCAGTGAAGCTGAACAGTGCCTGCAGGCAACACGCTCTTCATACTGCCCGGTGCCATGGTGAAAGCCAGCTCATAGCCCGCTGGCGAGGATGATATCTCTGAAAAGGCCTCCAGCGCATATATGGGAATTTGCAACCAGACGCTGACGGAATTGGGGATGGTGCCGCCATCCGACGCCGGGCAGAGCAGGGGGAACTCATAGCAAGGTCCCGAGTTATAAATAAGTTACTGCACGATGGCAGCCATGGTCATGGCGAGAGCCTCGAGCGCGAAACCGCACACAAGGCGCGTGACGGCCGTGAAGGCGAAGCCGGAACGCCGCAGCCAGGAGAAGAGGAAACGGTCGACGATGGGGATGAAAATGATGGTGATGATGGGGTTGGCATTGTACATCATGTCGTTGGGAACGCCGGCAGTGTGCATTTGAGCAGCCTGCGAGAAGGCATCAAGACGATGCAGCTGTCCAAGAGAGCCACCGACGACTTTGTGCAGTCTCAGACACGGGAAATCGCCAGTGTGGTATTTTAGGAGCGGGTGTACCAAGATGGACGGTGATCCGGAGCACGATATTACCTTGTATCTGGTAGATCCAGCTGAGATAGATTTGAAGAAGCTTCATGAGGGCTGGTGGAGTGTACCTTGACCCTAAACTAATGACTTTTACACAATACCTTCAATTCTGATGCCTGTAGATAGAAGAATTGTGACTTTAGGGCCCGAATATAGAACTGCCACCGTACTATAAAGACGTATAATGGTGGAGGTAGCACACAGAGGTACCATGAGAGACCGAAAAGGAAGTTCCAAAAGAATCAGTAGACAACCAAAGCCATAAATATCAACCGATCAATCAAGGGAGCAATGTAGATCAACAAGATCAGGGCATTGTCAGAACAACATTCAGAGTGTCATGGACAACGCCCAGGCACATCGCAAACCCAGGACAACGCCTGAGTGCCCTACCTGCTCTATTTGTTCCATTTGTTCTGTTTGTCCTATTTATCCCATTTGTTCTGTTTGTTGCCGGCTCGCCTATTTCCTTCCTTGTATACAAAGCCGCTGTCTCTTGAAAATACCTCCTGTTCTCTTCCTCTCAAGGAATTCTTCGTATATCTAGCATACAATGAATTCTATATTCAACCCATTACAGGTGACAGCCGTGGTCTTTTCACCAAATGGGAAACTGATTGCCTCAGCCTCTCATGATAAGACCGCCCAGCAGCACTGTGGGATGCCAGTTCTGGCCTGGTCTGCTAGACCATCAGCATTGACACAGTGGTAAAAGCATGAAATTTTCCCTGCATAGTGGATACTTAGAAACAGATTGCGGAGTATTCAATGTTGGATCTGTCTATTCTGGTAATGTTCAGCAGATACAGTCTAGCAGCTTCCTCCTGAATACTGTGCTACAGGCCCGCATACGGCAGCAGTGGGAATGACGCCGACATGTTGATGACGAACACATCAGATCTCAACGGGCAGTCCACGCCATTACATCACTAGACAACGTGCGCGTTTACTCTGGGCGTTCGAAGACTTTCCTACCAGCCATTGTTTCTTGGGAACCTGTATCAGACAAATGCATGTCAACACCAGACGGGACCTAAGGTCCCAAGGCGCGGCCACTGTGGCGGCTGCTGGCTGCAAGAAGCAGGCAGATGCCTCATATTCACCAACCGGTACTGTGCAGACCGTCATGGCTGGCCCACCGTTGTTGTGGAGGTCGGGCTATCAGAATCCTGCCGGAAACTGGAAGAAGACGTGAAGTGGTGGCTCACGGAGTCGGAGGGCCGAGTCCAAACAGCGGTGGCAGTCAGCATTGAAACGAGAGGGGTTCCCCAGCTGACAGTCGAGAGGTGGGAGATGCCGACCGGCACAGACACAGGCACAGGTGTGCCCGTGAAAGCCAGTTCTGTGACCACGGTCCAGTAACAGGATGGGGATATCAGGGTGGACGGCGAAGAGCTAATCATAGGATTCCGGCAGCTCTTCCTTCGCCACCCTGCGCCGGGCCAGGGAGATATTGTGTTTGTCCATGACGACCTGGAGGAATTGGCAGACTGCGTCTGGACGGCGTTTGGGTCTAAATTGCGTTGGGAACTGCTATTTCCAGCATCATAGGGTTACGGGTGTCTGCTTCTATTGCTCCTACTGTCGCCCTAGCTCTCTCGTTCAACTCCGCTGTGTGCTATTTTCTCTTTCAAAGATACCCATCCTGCTTCGTCGGAAGTGACTTATTACATAGTACCTAGGTACACTAGCTGAGAAGAAATTTTATAGAAAGAGGTGGTTCTTATCACAGGCTTGTTGCATCTATTCTGGCGGAGTTTTAGTGGTAGTACTATATCGTCTTCTTGGTGACCTGTTTGGGCTGTTCGCTTCTCTGAATAGTTGGAAGAGGGGATCCTGGTGGATTAATGCCATATACATTGACTCTTATACAGACTCGCATAGATCAAATCGGTTCTATCTACAGCAGATACAGTAGTATCATTGCTCCTGTCTGCAGTCTACTCCATGTATCGGCCGACGACACATCCCAAAACCCCCCAAAGGAAGGAGAGGTGGCAAGGTTCGTCCCTTCAGCAAGATGCAGGGTATAAAAAGCCTATATAGTGACACATATAACATATATATGTACAAAAAACCGGAAACCAGCAGAGTGGCGTAGTGGATGGATTGATAGATAAATGAGTGAAGATATAACAATAATAGCTCAACTCACCAACCGACCAACAAGCCCCAAACCTACTACTCTACCACCCCAAATAGACAGAGGACGGACCCATTTCTTTAACCTTCCAGAAAAACCTAAACCACCATAACCATAACCTAGGTGATGAAATAGTTAAAAGAGTGCGATCCCAATATCCAACCAAGCAGCCAAAGTAATGCAACGCCATCATATGCTCGCCGCGTGAGTGAGTCTCTCTCACTCTACAGGGGTATAAAGTATAATGCCTCTCTGTTTCTTTTTTAGACCCGAAATCAAACAGGTCAATGAATTTGCAGAAGGGAAAGAAAAAGAAATTCACAGAAAACAAAAACATCTTAGTCTTTCGGTGGTGGAGGTGAAAACCAAGTCCCATCCTTGAGCCAAACACCGGCACCGCCATAGTTTCCAGATTCGGCTCCTTTCAAATACGCAAATCGGAAAAATAGATCTTCGGGTTCCTCGTCTTCTTCTGCGATATCTGAAACCCCGACCATGTCAGGATCTGCGCTTTCTATCGTGGGACCGTGAATAAGCTCCAGGCCCCTGTGTCCGTGACGGTGCCAGGTGAACTCTCCCGACTTGTCTTCATCGAGATATCCTTTCCAGCGCTCAACATCGTTGACGAGAACAGACACTCCGTCCACACCGAGATCCTGCATACGCTCGTGCTCCCATAGATTGAACGTAATGTTGCCGTTGCCGCGGTAGGTCCAGCCATTGTCATTGCCAGGCAGGGAAATCAAAACCGATGCGTTAGTGATGTTGGGGTAAGCGGCTCCCCACCAACCATGTCCAACAGGAGACTCTCCGAGAGCTGCGGGGGTCTCAATGATAGATGCGAAACCCCATCTTCCCACGCCATTCACAAAAAGGCCTAGCAGCAATCCCTGATAGATCAGTGATGGACGCGTTGGGAAGGCAGTACCGTGCATGAGCAGAATGGCAAGGATGTAGTGGTGAATCCGGAGACGAAGATCCGGGAGGGAAAGCAGAACTATGAGGGTGAGGCCCATGGAACAATAAACTTTGAGGTAGTGCGGCATCAGGCCCCCGCAGCGGATGTGCCAGGCTTGACCAAGTATGATTGATAGCACAATCGGAACCACCAGGCATAACGCCAATTTGGCACCCGGTTGCTGCTGTATGTCATGGGGCGTTAACCGCTGCAATGGGATCCATTTCGCAAAGGTGTAGTTGTTCAGCGCCCCGATGAATGCGAGCGGTAGGTAGAGGAACGTCTTGGTCAGTTGGTATATCGGGGCTGAAAGCGGCTGCAGCAGCGGGCGCGCACAGAAGCGATACAGAACATATACGATGAATGACGCTGGCAACAACCGAGAGAGGAAGATGGAGACAAGATCGGCAAGGTACATGGTCGGAGGAGGATCGGAAACGAGCGCGACATGGGATATGAGGATGAAAAAGGTGCTGAAAAAAAGAACGGCCGGCGAAGAGGAGAAGAGCCAAAGGAGAACGATTGCAGCAACCGTGACCCCCAGGAGCGGCCATCTCGGATCTTGAGGGCAGGTGGCCTGCGACGAAGACAATTTGACAAAGCTGAAGGACTTGGGAAAAGTTGATGGGAACCCAACAGACTGTATCCCATTCTGCTTAACCGCCGGGTATGAGTGCGAGGCTCCTTCAAGCTTTACAACGCCGCAACCACCATTGATTTTCGAGACGACACCAGCATGGATGGCGGCTTGACAGATAAAGCTATCCGCTCGGTAGATAGCCTTCGAGGACGATTCACGGGGTCCTCCAACAACAAGCCCTTGGTAATTGTAGGTGTGATTACCGACGACGTGGGGTTCGAGCAAGATGGTCGCATCGCATTCCGCGGGACAACGGAAGGCAAGGTGTGAGGAGGAAAATGGGCGGCATTCGTTGCCGTTGAGACCACAGTTGTTTCTATAAGGATTTCCCAGTTGCGTTAGCTGTGTTCCACATGACAGGATAAATACAGGACAATGCAGATAAGGCATACCTGGACGAAGACCAATAGGTCGAAGTGCAAGACAGGGTCTGCGGTCGTCCATATCCTTCAATGTAGCCCGACGTCCGCGCATGGAACATAACGAGAAACCAGGGCAGAAACCAGGAAACGTATAATAGCAGCAGCAGCACGATCTTATGCCATCGTTTCGGGAAGAGCCTGTTCAGGTAATGGGCTGGAAGTTCCTGCAGTCGCGGGAATAACGGCTTCAGCAGCAATGTACGAGGCGGAACAGGACCCTTCACCCAGCGAACAACAGCCCAGCCAGCCTTTCGGAATGGCAGCGGCATCCATCCCCAGCGAAATGACTTTGATGACTCGCGTAGCCAGACGGGGAAGACGGTGGTGTCCTGGTACTCCGGAAGAGGGTCGTCGGTAGCATCGGGATCGCGCTGTTGGTCGTCCGGAGGAGGGACATACACCCCGGACTCCTCGTCTCGAGGCTGTTCGAACATTCTGTAAGACAAACTTCACGGTAGTGAGGAGAGAGAGAAGGACAGGCGCAGACAAAATAATGATGAGGCAAGAAACGACAGAAGGCACAGGTAACCAAACAAGTGGCTACACCGCAAGTTCCGGAGGCTTTTCTCGGAAAGATTGACGCAGATGGTGCAGCACAGAGCAAAGCGAAATCAACGGGACTTTGGCTCTTAATGAATGCTGTCCAGCGACAGCATCGTGGGAGTCCGGGATACGGCGCTTAGATCGGGGAGATGACAAGGGGAGAAGAGACGAAGAGTGGCAGAGTGGATGGAAATGCCATAGAACACGCTCGAGAACAGGAACGCAGGCGGATCGTGTCCAATGAAAGGATATTGCCAAGGACACTGTCAGAAGACGTTCATTGACAGGACAAGGCTCGAAGTCTATGATGCTGGCATTATTATATGGTCGTTCTCTGAAACATCTCGCCACCGGATGCAGGTGTTGGAAATTCCTGCTGCCTACCATCCTCCACCGGCCAAGAACAGCATCACCATCACCATCATCGTCATCATCGCCCGAATTCCCCGCCAGATAACGGCCTCGGTTACAATGGACAGACCGCTTGATTGATAAGAAAGCCTGTTTATAGCGCCGAACTCCCCCAATCCTGCTTATCAATGCGACGCTGTGGTGCAGGGCGCCGTGCTCGTTATCTCCCATCACCAACAAGGATGAGCCAGATCTTCCTCTTCACCCTGTCCCTTGCTCTTCCAGTCCGTTGATCAGTCTGGGCGTGCCTCATCCACGCCTCAGGAGATCTAGCAACCATGGCCCTTCCGCCTCCTCGCGACTTGTCGCATCACTTCTCCTACGTTACTAAGAACCGCCAGGCCAGCAGCGTCAAGGGGTTCTACAAATACTACGCGATTCCGGGAATCCATAATCTCGCTGGTGGTATGTGGTCCTCTGTGGCCGTTGTGTTTGCTTGAGGGTTTTCTTCTGACATCCTGCTGTCTCCTCCAGGTCTACCACATGTCTCGTATTTCCCCTACGATGCCCTCGAGGGCGTCGTGGCCCATCCCCATCGCTTCCAGCCTAGCATTGCGTCATCCCAGCACGACAATGAGAATGATGGAGTTGCGACCAGCCGCACCCCGGTGGTTTCGGAACGGGTTACGGTGCCCAAGGAGAGTGGCATAGCCAGTCCGCTGAAGGAAATCGACCTGCTCACTGCTCTGCAATACGGCACCGCGGAGGGATATCCTCCCCTCCGGTGGTTTCTTCGCGAATTCGTTCGGAATCATCTCCATCCAAATGTTCCATATGCAGGGGGCCCAGAGGTAATTCTGTCGTGCGGTGCAACGGATGGGCTTTCCAAGGCGCTCGAGACCTTCTCCAATGTCTGGAACCCAGATAGGGATTGGATTCGCCAGCGGGAAGGTATTCTGTGTGAAGAGTATACATATATGAATGCCATCCAGACCGCCAAACCCAGGGGTCTCAACATTGTCTCCGTTGCCATCGACAGTCAGGGCATGCTGGCATCCGGTAAAGGTGGATTGGCCGATGTTCTGGACAACTGGGACTTCCGTAAAGGTCGTCGTCCGCATTTATTGTATACTATAACGTGAGTCGCCTGCCAAATAGGTTTTCTCGTCATTCATCTGAGTTGACAATATCTCGTCACCAATCAGGATCGGTCAGAATCCCACCGGTGGCAACCTCTCAGTGGAACGCAGAAAGGAAATCTACGCCATCTGTCAGAAATACGACATTGTCATCATTGAAGATGACCCTTACTGGAATCTGCAGTATCCATCGGCTTCCGCAATGGAGGCCCGTTCCCGTGGCATTGACCCCGTAGAACCGACTCTGTACTCGCGCAACTACAACGCGGGGGGGAAATCATCGGGGTTCGAATACCTGGACTCTCTTGTACCGTCATATCTCTCTGTCGACACGGACGGTCGGGTCGTGCGCCTGGACACTTTCTCCAAGACTGTAGCTCCAGGAGCTCGTTTGGGCTGGATAACGGCGCAGCCCGCAGTCGTTGAGAGAATCACGCGTATCACAGAGTCCTCGACCCAGCAGCCATCCGGCTTCGTCCAGTCCCTGATCGCGGCGCTCCTCATGGGACCACAGGCGAAGGACGAGTCAAGCGCAACTAAGAAAGAATATACAGGTTGGCAGATGGAAGGCTGGGTGCGCTGGCTTGAGGGGCTCCGCGGCGGTTACGAGCGACGCATGCAGTCCATGTGCTCTATTCTTGAAGAGGGCAAGTATTCTATCCGGGACACCTCTTATCACCCTGCTGCTGCGGCCACCGGCACTACCGACTCTTGGGAAGTCGTCGACAAAGTGCTCATGTACGACTTCTCATGGCCCCGAGGCGGCATGTTTGTCTGGGTAAAGATACAGTTGGACACACATCCGCTATTCGCGAAATTCCCCCCCGAGAAACTCTCCCACGCGCTGTGGGTGCACTTGACACAGAAGCCGTACCTGTGCCTTGTCGCACCAGGCTCGATGTTTTCTCCTACCTCCCAGTCTCTGGAGGCTAGCTGGCAGTACTTCCGACTGTGCTTTGCGCCGATGCCGGCGGAGGATGTTACGGACATATCGAAGCGGTTGGTGGAAGGATTCCGGTCGTTCTGGCAGAAGACAGATCTGGACGATGTTGACGATGATGCGGTGGATACGGATGCTCTCCAGGAGCTGCGGATATGGTAACTTTTGCATGTTGTTTCTTGGTTTTGACATGATTTGACCCCTGACGGGCCTATTGGATGCAAGATGCTAGTATATACTTTTATGTCCTACCATTCCCGTAATTGCGCGAGTCGAAGAACCGCCAGAGAGGCATAATAAAACGGCTCAAGCAATGAGAACTGCAGATGCTGAGAATGCCACTGTTCCGGCCGCGGCCAATGGCAGCTGCAGGGCGCCCTCGCAGCTGTGACGATCAGCTCGCCCGGCGGCTATCGCTGTCTTGTGCATTCTGCAGACGGCAGTGTGTTAATATCTGTCCGCCAGCTGTGATCTGTTCTCTTTCTTTTCTGTCTGGATTCTTCTCACCAAATCTCTCGAACATGCCAGAGTCCTGTCTTGTATGTCGCACCACTGCTTGCTGCATGGCACCTCGTACCAGGGCCACTTCGCTCCGTCTATCACCAGCATTATCCTGTGCAACCCCTCATCGTCGACGCTAGTTCTGCAGGCTGCCATCACCCGTCACATCTGCAGCCCCGCCGTCCTCTCCATTGGCGGTTGGCCGGCTGTGACTGTCTTGCGCGTCTCCCGGTCTACTTTCGTCCCATCTTGCGCTGTACAGCTACATCTATCTCCCTCATAATGCGCCTCGACTCCCCTGTCCCAGACGAGCCACCAGTGATCCAACCTCTGAACTTCGACAGAAGGAACGGCTTCTCTTCAACAGCAGCAATGGGCCAGCCAAGTGCTGTGCCCACTCCACCCTTGCCATACCCGGACGACGACCAAACGCAGCCCATTCAAGTCCCAAGTAGCACGAATGGCTCAATCCCGCAGTCACTGAAGTCGGGCCCTGGCCGTGTCGCAAGCCCTTCGAAGAATACAAGGGCAGGGTCCCCATCTCAGGGCAGTGTTACCTCTGCGCAGACTCTGTTCAATTATCCGCGCCCACAGAAGAAACAGGCTACTTTGGCCGAGAGGCGAGGAGCCGTTCCCAAACCGCTGCCCAACTCCACGGGGTCGGTTTCGCCGGACAAGGAGCCGTATTGGAGGAATTACCAACGAGCTGCAACGGGCCCGGTTGCCGGCCCCCAGCCCGATGCGAATTCCCATTCAGGGTCCCAGCAGCAGTTTTGGCCACCGCCAAGGGCCTCCACAGGTCCTGCTGCAACAAAGGTGGCCGCGCAGAACTACTTAGCACCGGACAACTCCATCAACCGGAACAGCTCCCTGATGTCAATCTCCACGACACGCGCTGAACGCGGTTCTCCACCACCACCAGAAACCCCTGTAGTTGGCCCTGATGACCAACTGGACATCGGAGCCCGATTCACTGCCGCCAGGATTACAGGCTCCCATGCCCTAGGGGGACTGCAGGCACAAAACGCTGCTGCGCAGCGAAGAGCAGGACCATATGCTGGTCAACAACCTAGAAACCAGCCACCGCTGCAGCGGCCGTGGACGCCAACTGAAGAGCCAGGGTCCCAACCGCATGGGCCACCGACTGTTTACCAAGGCCCTGGGGTTGTGGCCGCGGAGAACCAAGTCACAAATCTTCAAGGTCAGACCAACCACCAGGCTTCCCGGACGGCACAGTTAACCGCCATCCCGCAAAATGCTCTGGAGCGTGAAATGGAAAGGATGCATATCGCTTCATCGCCTCCCCCCTCGTATTCTAGTGTGTCTACCCCGACGGTTTCCGAGGCGTTTCAAAATGAGAAGCAGCGTCTCGCGGCGTCGATGACGCAAAACGGACCTACACATCCCGCGCTGGCGGCATCAACTGCTACAACGGTCGCCCCCCAGGATCATCCTGCTTTTGCCAATGGTCCGAGACAACTGATCGCTGATCAGTCACGCCCAGCTTCTGTTCAACATGGCCATCCTACCGTGCAGCAGGCTCAGTTCCAATCCCCCCCCGCATCAGCGGGACTGCCTCCTTCCCCCCCCCCTCTTCCAGAGGGCTGGATCGCGCATCTTGACTCAAATTCAGGCCAGTACTACTATATTCACCTGCCGACCCAAGCAACACAGTGGGAGTTTCCAAAGGGCCCCACACCGTTGAATCTCACCGAAGTGCCTTTGTCCCCAGTAGGAAGCGTATATAGTGCACACCCCCTAAAATCACCAGGCATATCGGCATTTAGCAAGCCCTTAATGACCCCAGGGCCCATGTCTCCAGGGCCAATGTCTCCCGGCGGTGACAGCCTGCAGTCACCAATAGTTGCTGGATTCATGGGGCTGCCGCCTAGCAGTGGTGTAGATCTGTATAGAGTTGCGCCTATGAATGGTGTATACTTCGGTCCATACCTGCGGTACACTAACATGGATTTGGAGCGTGGCCTCTGGCTAGGCTCGATTCTTCTAGTGACGGACGCTGCACAGCCTCCTACCATCCATATCCACCAGAGTGTCGACCTGTCTCCGAACCCTAGGCAACTGAAACCGGCTAGCATTGCTGTCCACCAGCGGTGGACATTTTACAAGTACGACATCGACTTGCAGATGGAGGACTTTGGGGCCGCGAAATGGACCTATGCTGTCACGTCACACTTGGGATGCACTCGCTATGAATTCCTTGTTGCTGGACGGTATGAAAACAACTGGCGTTTAATTGCAACTTCGAATAATGACTTCTCGCTCAATGTTAACGCTAACGAACGGTCGCGACTCGGGGGTGTTGGTTATATGTGGAAGGACATCGTCCAGAAACACGATGAGATTGGAGGGTTCCATGCACAGCTGTGTTTAGGCGGGCAGATATATGCTGATCGAATGTGGAAGGAAATCCCATCTCTTAAGCAGTGGCTTGCAACGAGCGGGAAGGAAACAAGGAAGAATGCTCCGTGGACGGCAGCCCATGAGGAAGATGTCTCGCACGCTTATTTCCACTACTATACAAGCCACTTTGATCAGCCTCATCTAAGGGAGGCATTTGCGCAGATTCCATATCTTTGCCAGATTGACGACCATGACATGTGAGCACAACCAAGTTGCTACTTGGACAGCCAGAAGGCTGCAGTGCAGAGTGAACTAACGGATGTAGTTTTGACGGTTTCGGGTCCTATCCCGAACACATGCAATTCTCCAATATGTTCAAAAACATCGGCCGCATTGGCGTTCAAATGTATCTTCTCTTTCAACACCATACGACGTTGGACATTCTCCGCAAGTCCAGTACTGATACCGATTTGTTCACCATTACGGGAACCGGCTGGCACTTTGTCAAGTACCTAGGGCCTGCGGTAGCTGTCGTGGGCGTTGACTGTCGATCAGAGCGTAATCCTCACCAGGTAATAGCCGGTCCAACATACCAAGGCCTGTTTCCTAAAGTGGTGTTGCTGCCGCCCTCGGTACAGCACTGTATATGGATGATATCTACGCCCCTGATCTATCCACGGTTAGAAACTGCAGAGCATCTTGCACAGACGGTAGCTACGGGAAAAAGGGCCGTGACCGGCGCATACAATGTGCTAGGGAAGGTCACCAGCTCCGTTGCCGGTGTGATAGGGGCTAAGGAAGCAGTGGGCTCTGGATTTGACTCGGTTAAGCGTGTCGTCGGGAAATCTGGTCTCATGGGTGGGTTATTAAGTCCATTCGGGGAGCTGGGTGTCCTTGACGAGTTGAGGGACCAATGGACGCATGAATCTAAGGTGGCTAATACGATTCCCGTTTCCTTTATATATATACCTTTGACTCTGCACAAGTTGGACAGATATGGAGACATACTAACTTACTTTTTCGGTGCCTGTTTCCATAGGACCTTGAAAGAACATACCTTATCCGCACGCTTCAGGGCATTGCACATCAGAAGTCGCTCAGGATGACCTTCCTCTCCGGCAATGTCAATGTCTGCGGGGCAGGCATGGTGTATGATCCTGCTCATCCACTGGACCATAAAACGATGTACCAGATCATCGCGTCACCGGTTGTGAATAATCCACCGCCATCATATATGCTCCGGCTCCTTCACGGCAGCGAGAAACAGCTATACATCCCAGCTAATGGGCAACGGTCAACTCCCACCAAACCGTCAGACACCAAAGAAGAGATGCTGGACGTTTTCCAGATGGATATGAATGGACAACCGCGCGAGCAGCGGAGGTTAATGGGACGAAGGAACTATGTTGCCATCGTTGCCTATGATCCGGATGCTGTCAGTGCAGCATACGGCCGCACGGATACCGGCCAGGGCAGCGGCAAATTGAGTCTCTCAGTGGACTTTATGGTGCAGGGAGACGGTACTTACGGAAATGTGGTCAAGTATGGGCCTGTAGTAATACCAAGATTGGCGCAAGGGAAATAGTGTACCTGGAATTATATTTTAGTTATATATGTTCGATGTACATGTCTCCTGCTGCTCTGCATGAAAGCACCGTAACAATGTTCCGACAATATGATATCGCGTCCCCACAGATCCCCACCGACCCACCGGCTCATGTGCCGCGGCTGCTAGTCAGTCGCTGCAAACCTTGTTGCACTACGCAGCAGCTTCTTCCCCAAAATTGGCCCAGCTCACCGTTTTTCCTCCCGCAAGCTTCCTCCTCCCGGAGCAAATTTCTGCCTCCTTTCGCTCTGGCCTGTGTATAATAATATACCATATTGCTAGCATTATATCATTACTCGTCAGCCCCTTCTAGCAGTTGTTTTCCATCCGAACCCTCGTTCTGATTGATCGGTTATCTTTTCCCGCAACCCTCCTCCATCGCGGCTCACAGTCGTGTGGTTGACTAAGACAGTGTCACGCATTGGCGCCCGACGACCGCCGTCCGGCTCTCCATGCCCAATTTTCGATGATGGATTTCCAGAAGCACATCCGGAACAAATCTCTGCCTCGTCCGTCGCCCCTGGGAACTTCGCGCGATCCAGCACGTCCGGGTCCTCCACCTCGCCCATACGAACCGTCGCCATCGTTCCTCGGCGGTCCCCTGTCGAAGCCATCCTACGAGTTATCCAGTTATCAAGACCACGAGATGCCACGCCCGCATGGTTATAGCTTCTCGTCTCCTTACCTTCGCGACAGCGCATTGTCTCGTTCACCGTACGCGTCTCTCCGCGCCGACGCGACAAATGGCTACCCCTCACAGTCGGGGAGTCCTGTGCTACTCCATCGACATGTCAATGATGGGGGATTGAAGGATCATAATGGTGTGGTTTATCGCGATGGTAGGGATATCCTTGTCGTTTTTCTCTTCCTTTGTTTTCGTTCCCGTTCCCTTGCATTCTCCCATTTGCCTTTTGTTTTTTCTTTTTTTTTTTTTTTTTTTCTTCCTTCTCTTTCTTTATTGGATGAAGGTATATCCCGTGGCCATTGGTAAACACAGGGCAATACCGGGAGGCCATCTGGCTATGCGCGTACCTTGCACTGTCACGGTGGAGGAGACCAGCGCAAACGGGCGCATCGTCATCTGCGTGATTACTCAACAAAGTGTCGGTGGCGCCTGATCGGCCAGGGCAGCCGCCCCGGGAGCGCTAGTCCGCTTGCAGATTAGCGGCATATTTTGCGGCCTTACTGCATGCGGGCTAGCCCGTGCCGAAGTCACGGGTGATTATTCCCATGTATTTCCCCTTCCGCTTGCATAATCATCAGCACGTCGCAACTCCAGCCCAGCTGGGCCTCGTGCCAGCCCCGCGTCCCCCATCCTCCATTCCTCCCTCATTGTCCGCTGTCGCCCCTGCTGCTTGTAGGACACGCCTACATGACATGTCTTCAAGCTATCCTGTCCATCGCGCTTCTCAGGGCAACAGTGCCAGTTCTCTGTTTTCGAGCGGTATGCATTCATGACGCTGTGCAGAGTCCCGGGTTCAGCCGCCTCCCGGAGCAGAGCTGGACAAGGGCACTCATGTTACCTTGCTTTTTTTTTAATAAGCTGCTTTGATTTTCTGCTTTGGATTTTCGTTTTATCCCAGGTTTTCTATCTAAAGAGAGCTATGCTGACCCGTTCTCCGGTTTTGTGCACAGTACCTCCCCAGGACCAACCTGCCGCGTCTTCTTCGCTAGGGAATCGTCAGATGCCTCCGCCATCTCCTCCCCCGCTACTCTCGTCCCGGGGTCAACCCGCGAGTGCTCCACAGCCATCTCCTTCCTTTCTGACCCGTGAAATCCCGACCAATCCAGGTCATCGCCCGGGGAGCAGCATGTCTATATCCTCCATGCTAGGCTCTGACAATGACCGGCTACCGCGCGACACGGGCACATCGCTCTTTTCCCGCCCTTCGATATCGTCTCTTTTCGGCCCTGCGCCTCCATCATCTGCTTCGGCCGCAATGTCACCGCCGTCTGCCCCTGCGAGACCAAGCTCCCTTGACTATCCTCTCTTCCATCGATCGCAAACTCCGGATAAACCTTTCCCAAAGAACCAGTCTGGGCGGGCCTATAGGTCAGGCTCCAGCAGCGGGCTTCCGGGTCCGCTCTCTGAGCAGCACAAGTTTGGTGGATTATCTCGAACACAACCTCCGTCGCAGTATCCAGAAAGGCACAGCCCTCGTACATCGTCCTCGGAAACTCCGTACATTGAATCCCGCAGATTAAGCATAAGCGGGCCTATTCCGCGACCCAATAGCCAACCGCAGCACATCGATTCTTCGATGAAGACACCAGGCTACAGCCCGCTCACTCGCCCGGGGCAAGGCCATCCGGAAGGGCCCTTGGGCCGGTCGCAACGGTCTGGTTCTTTCGTCGGCCTTGAAACGCACCCCAGCCGGTTTGGTTCTTTGTTTCTGGAACGTCAAACCGAGGAGCAGGTGCACCGAGAACGGGAGAGAACTCTCACACGCGAGTCGGACTTGAAGCCTCCTCACGCGCCGTTGCGTTTTGGTTCACAATACATGGAAAGGGAGGCGACAGACCGCCTGCCTAATACTGTAGCAGCCTGGGATCTCGGTCGTTCGCAGCCTCCGTCGCCGGAATCGAAACGCTTCCCCGTCACCGAAGCTGGGTCCGGGTTTGGATTCGGTGCTATCCAAAGCTATACCAAATCCCTCGGGTCATCGCAAGTGGGGGCTTCGAGACAGCCATCTTTGTCTATGCAGTCGCGACAAGACCCATCAACATCCGAACCACCGCATCTCAGCAAAGTCCAATCGCAGCCTCGTCTGTTTTCCACTACCTCCGCTTCGACAATGGGTCAACCTTCCTTTAGCCTCTCTGCTCCTGACGATCATCGGCGCAAAGGAAGTGATGAATTGCTGCAGCACAGGAATCTGCTTGGAGTCGGGGTGGAAAGTAAACGGGGCGGTCGGGCCTCGCCACTCCCACAAGCCGTACAAGGTGCGCAGGCTCAGATTGTCGGGCCAGCTGCAGAACCAAGCATCAAGAATGAGCTAGGCCGCGTGTTTTCCGGAATTGGCAGTGGTCTAGGAGGGGTCAATGCGACAGCTTCTGGAAACGGCTCATCTACACCCATGGCTGCGAGTCCATTTAAGCGTGACAGCATCGCAGGGCGGTCGACAGTCAGTGAGACGGCGACAGATGATGCGAAGATCGTCCGCCCTGCGTCTGCAACAGGGAAACGACAGAGGAAGTTGTGCGATGATGATAGTCAGCTGGAGGGCGAAAACGCGGCCGATCTACGGTCTGGGGTGGCTGCGCGTGGAAGAAGAGGACGTCATGTTCATTACCACCACCACCAGTACGCTCCTCCCCCCACGCCAGCTTCCTTTATGCCCTCTTTTCCACATGAAAGAAGTTCTGCCCATTCTGACATTCAACGCAGCCACCATCATCACCGGCATAATCTTCAGGAGGATGCCACTATCGTCAATGCGCCTCCACGAGCGCCTTCTTCCATGAATTTCTTCCATCGCACGTCAACCCCGTCGGAGGGCGTTCCCCTGTCGGGAGCCGCGCTCGGGCACCACCATCACCACCACCACCATCATCATCACCCACCCCCGCGGTCTCTTGCTTCTTCGGCCGCTGCTATGCCAGTTCTGCGTGAACCCAGGACAATTGTCAACATCGAACCTTTACTGGCAAGTGTGGTTCATCTCCCACGTCATCATCTGGGTTCAACTTTGTACGCACCGCATATTGGGGTACCGACGGAGAAGGAGAGTCTGGAAAGCGCCAAATTTGGATACACGACCACACCACAACCGATCCCGCGGTTTGATGGCAAGGAGAATTGTACGTTCACTGTACGCGTGCCCCGGTTTCGAATCGACGCGAGCCATCGTGAAGAGATCTGCGCGCGTCGAGCGCTCTGGGGAACCGGTGTATACACAGACGACTCGGACCCGGTGGCTGCAGCCATACATTCTGGATTCATACGTGGCGCGTGGGGCGAGGATGTGGATACGAACATGCTCGACCTGGAAATCAGAGACTCATACCAACATGCTCCTCAGGGAGAGACTGCGGCCTCAGGCTCCAAGTCTGGCGATGCAAAACCTCGTATACCTCCAATTCCTCCGCCGGATAAGGACCTTCATATTACGCTGCTTATCCTGCCAAAGCTAGAACGCTACGAGAGCAGCGTGCTGTTTGGGATCAAGTCACGCTCCTGGGGTGGTACGCACGACGGGGTGAGTTTCAAGGTCTTGCGGATTGATTGGGTCGATGAGGGCGTTGGTCGAGGTGAAGAGCGTGGCGGAGAGGCACGGCGGAAACGTCTGCGGAATATGATGCGGACAGGCCGAATCTGTACTGGACCTGGATTGGTGAAACTGCAGCAGCTACGTGGAAACGCAGTTCAGATCCACGGTCCGAAAACGAACATGGACGATAATCGATCGGTTGTGCAAATGCAGACTGTATCATGATTCTTTTCCCTCTTTTTTCCTTGTTTCCGGGTTCTCTTGTCTTTTATGTGTAGCGCTGCTATTGGGTTAATAGTTTTGGATTCTTTTGTACAGTCAGCCGGCTGTGTTAAATGCCGGAAACCCTGACCGTTTAGTTTTTGGTTATAGATCTTTTCGCTGTGCTTCCCGTTGATGATGCATAGCATTAGTGGCAATGGCTGCGCGTGCCAATTTCTCATGTTCACATCTGTCCAGTTCTCATTTACCTGATTCCAGTATATTGTCAGACATGATTCCCTTGACTCATCTGCTACGACCTCATGTTTTTTAAAATCATGGTTGGACGGCTGCAGTTAATGGGCCATATTGCACTTTTTGCAGGTGATACTGCAATACCTAGTAGACTTTTCCTATCAACTTCCCCAAACCCAATAATTATACCACCAGTTGGTCTTCCACTTGCTGGAAATCTTATCGAGATCGTCGATGTAGAATCTCCAAGCTTACTCGCTTTCCTAAACGGTACAGGCAGCAGCCTGGCTGATGCCCAGAAAGAACCGGACCGTGCTTGGAAGTCAGATGGATTATTACTCTACGGAGTAATACGGTTCTATCTACGCTCCCTTTTTTTTTGCCATTATCTAGTTTCACTCCTCAGCTGGATTCACTGACTACAGAGTACAGTCACGTCGATACGTATTGACATATCAGTCAGTCAGAATTGGTACTCCGTACCCTTCCTCCCTAGGTCATCTCAGCCAGTACCCCCGACCAATACTCAAATACATCGCCGGCTCCTCCCTGATAAATGAAGATCCCTGGCCCGTTCTCGCCGACTTCCCGGTGCCCAGCATAACGGTCCGCGATACCTGCCCGGATCCCTGACGGCGACCATAATCACGCACACGAGACATCTCGATATCGACATAGACAGCAGGGCCTTCCTGCCCAGACGATGATATCGTTATCCTCCTTGGCTTTCCCCTGTTACCGTCGTCACCGCTTGCACAAAGACGCTCGAGACCGATGAAACCGAGACCGGGATCGAAACTGATCAGAATGATGGCTTGGTGATCTCCCATGTCGCCATCCTGGTTCACGGAATAGATCACGGACCGCTCGTCTGCGACGGCACGGACATTCCCAGCTCGTTTCGCAGGGCAGAGGAGTTTGTCAAGCTTCCTTGGGGCGTCTTCGGGGGGCCACATCCAGATACCGCGGGAGACGAAACGCTCCTCGCTGCGTTCAATGGGTTGGCCCTTCTGGCCTGTTATTTCGGGCTTGAAGATGGTTCCCGGTTCGCCTTCTTCGCCGTCATAGTCGATTGGGCTCTTACGCTTCCGGGATACGGTTCTGAAACGGAGACGGTCCCTGGGCACGGCATGTGGGTTGTTGGGGTCTGCGCGGGGGTCGTTGACGATGTCGACGAAGGCCAGTGCCGGCAAGTGGTAGGTGCGGTATTTGGTTTTGGCGAGAATGAACTCGCGGTCCTGGTTCTGGTTTTGGCTGGGTTTGTCTTTTACTTTGTATTCCGTGTGGTAGTATCGGCGGAGTCGTTTCCGGGGCGGGGCATAGGTGGCTTTGTTCGATGAGTCGAGTGTTCTTCTCAGCGGTTCGTCAGGGAGTTCGGATGTTGTCGAGTCCTGGTAGTATTGATAGATGTCCAGGTGCTCCTTGTTCCCGAACATCTCCTCGGGGGTTGGAAGGGGTTGGGAGTAGTAGGTACGACGGTTCTCGCTGCCGCCGCCTTGCCATTCTCGACGGCATTCGAGGATGATCGGGCGGCCCGTGGCCTCGTCTTTGCGGAGAGAGAAGTCGTTCCACGAATCGTTGATGGGGCCTTCGCGATGCTGCCGACGCCAGACGTATTGGAGTTTGACTTCACCGTTATCCCTGCAGGGTGGGATGCAGAACCAGGTGTAGAAGGAGGTCCAGTCAACCTCCTCCTCTTCGAACTGGAGGACGTTAGACACTCCGTACAGGGTATCCCGGTACATTTCAAAGGAGACTGTTTGGCCGATATCGTCGCCTGCGAATTGATCCATTACGATTGGCTTCTGCGTGACGTGCTGCCCTGTTCGCAAATCCACGCAGGAGATCGCCCACCGGGCGTACTGAGACCATCTTCCGTATCCGGTGACGGAGTGAGTGCCGTAGTACAGGTACGAGCCGTTGTGACGGACAAACAACTTCTCGGTCGACGAGAGCCGCGTCTTCAATCGCAAGCGGCCCGTTCTTGACCCTGTGGCTGTCCTCCGCTGCACGTCCACAGCGATGAGCCAGGGTTGCTCCAGCTCCACCAGGAAGGCCAGGATCCCCTCGTTAAAATTTAGGAGCGTCAAACGTGCCGAGTCCCTGTTGAACGGAGCCGCTCGAAAAATGCGGCTGAGCAGGTTATCGATATCGACTACCCGCTCGACGCGAGCAGCGTTATGCACGTCCAGGATGCGCAGTTCGTCGTTACAGACATAACACAGACATCCGTCGTTGTACAGAAATGCAGTCCCATACGCCAACATGGAGACCAGGTACGGCTGGGCCGTAGCAAAAGCTTCTTTGATATCAAACAGACGTCCAATTGCCCTTCGATACCCAGATTTGGATCTGAACGCTTCGCGCCCTTCCTTTGTATGTAGTTCATGAGCCTGGAGAAAAAAGAAGAAAAGAAAAGAAAAAATGTCAGTCTCCTTGTACTTCCAGGCTTACATGGCCTTTTTTGTTTCTGGTGGTGGTTTGCGTTGGTATTTACTTCTATTGCCTTTTTTGCCATTGATTCATCACGCATCATGGCATTGAGAGCCCTGTTGACTCTGCTGAGATTGATAAAATCCTCACAGTCAAGACTGGAGACGATCTGGTAGAGCACATCATAGGGTATGGAGTCGAGACTCCGGCTATGATGTGACATGACAGATGTAGCGGTTGGTCGTGTGAGGCGTAGAGATGGTATCGAAGTAGAGAGGGTAGGTAGGAAACATGAAATAGGCATATATGAGCGTGGATTGAGCCTGGCAGGGAGAAGCAAAGAGAAGGAAGAGCAGAAGCAGCAGACGTAGGAGTTTATAATAGAAGAAAGTGAGGCGGATGATAGATAAACCTGCGGTGATCTAGCAGAGTTCCATGGACGCAATGGCAAGCATTGACTCGAATGAAAACAACAGAAAGATCAGCAGTGGCAAACCAAGTCAACAACGACAGCAGTTTAGTCTTGACGATAGGATCGGTTTCGGGCCCGTTCTGTGTAGAGTAGCTGGTAACCGAAGAGAGACATCCCATGTCAGAGCAGAGAAGGGAAGAAGAGATGATGATAATTGCATATGCCAAGCAGGGAACAGCACTCAAGAGCCCCAGAGAGTATCCAGAGAGTATCCATCTTTTTATCCGCCACTAAATATAGGAGCATGGGAGTTGAGGCTCTAAAAATTGAGGCTCTTTCTTTTTCCCCTTCCCAAACAGGTCAGGCTGTGGTTTTGAGACTGCGCCAGGAGGGGTCCATTCTCAACGCCATCCACGGTTACTAGGGAGCAATAAGCTTCGCTGTAAGATCATCATGGAGACCCTAGAGAAAATTCTCCAATTGGAGTTAGAGCAACCGAAACAAGGCTGCCTGTCCTATCGGCACGTAACTCTTGTAGGACAGGCCAGGCTGGGGAACGAACGAGTCTGAGTAGCAAATGCGCATGATGAGAAAAAGCCTCTCTGCAGAGCCGCATACTAATTAGCTGCGGAGATGACGGAGTAGAGCACTTCTATTCCGTGGTAAATAATAAACTCCATTCTCACGGAAGAAACGAGGAATCCGGGAGAATAGTAATCAACTGTCGCGGGCGGTTAGCTGTCAGCCTGTCTCATGATTGCTCACGATGAGCAAATGAGAGAAAGCAAACACACTGTATTAGTTCTATTCGGCATAACCACTGTAATTATGAACTGCCAGGAAAGGAATGCGATGGACGGCCGAGCGGCCTGACCGTCCAGGCAACCAACCGAGGCCTACACGTGACTCGGGCCATTTCGACGCGCAGACGAGGCGCAACCAGACGGAGCAGTGAATATCCTTGTCAACGCTGCCTCTCCAACCCGGAGATTCCAATTCGCCCTCCCCCGCAGGCCCTGACGAGGCACGGAAGATGAGCGAACTCCTCGACTCGGTCCATAATGAGGAGCTGGCTGACGAAATTGCAGCGATCAACGCCATCTATGGACCTGACACGTTGACCGTCACTGCCACCAAGGGCAGCGGTACGGCCTCTACAGAAGCACCGTATACTCTCGATTTGGGCAGCTCCAGGGCCTTGGATACACTAGCCACGACTGCAACTCTCCAAATACCCAACCACCCCCACCTGTCGTTCGTTGTTGGCTTTGACCCCGCGTACCCCGATACCCCGCCGAGGATTGTCGGGACGGCATCTACTTCGTCTCGCGGCGAGGGTAAGATCGCCGTGGAGGTCCTGGAGGATATAATAGGGCGAATTCACCAGCCTGGTCTAGTCTGTTTATTCGAAGTCATTAGTGATGCTGCGGAAGCGTTTGAGGAGCTGAGCATTGGCGGGAAGAACGATAGCAGCGACAAGAACGATAATGGGGGAGACGAAGAGGTGGCAGCTACCGATTCGGTCGAACTGCCGACTGAGAGCTTTGCAGCCTTGTCACTCCGAGATACCTTCGGACTGGACGCCCCCCCTGACTGGATCCTGTCGGATGTGGTGACGGAGAAGAAATCTGTCTTTGTCGGGCGTGCTGCCAGTGTCAGTTCGGTCGAGCAGGCACAAGCCTTTATAGATTATCTCCTGTCGACGGATAAGAAGGTTGCTGCTGCGACACACAATATCACTTCGTGGCGTATAAGACAGAAGAAACGGCCTGGTGATAGTGAGAAAGGCGAGTCCGCCAGTGAGATAATCTTCGAGGACTGCGATGATGATGGGGAGTCAGCTGCTGGGGGACGGTTACTACATCTCATGCAGCTGATGGATGTGTGGAACGTGGTTCTTGTGGTCACACGGTGGTATGGCGGGATTCATCTAGGGCCTGATCGATTCCGAATCATCAATGCCGTGGGACGAGATGCTCTGGTCAAGGGTAGGTTCAATCAGGAGGGATCTGCGGAGAGCAATCAGGGCAATGAAAAGGGAAAGAAGAAAGGGAAAAAGTGAAGTATTCGCGAAGGTCTTATGACTTGGAACAGGGCTTCTGACGTGGTGAACGAGGCGGCTGATCCGTTCATTTGCCTGGAGCCCTTGGCTCCTGGAGATCATCCAGTCTGGGTTGGACCATAGGAAGCATCCCAACTCCTGGAGTTCATGCGGCGGCAGCAGCCATCTGGACAATGAATGGTCTGTAATAGGTCAAGGTCGAACCCGACTCAAGTCCCTATGATATGGAGAACGTCACTCGAGACATCACCCTCCGCGATAGAGATTTGGTGGCTTGCACCTGGTCAAGCTTCCAGCTTTGAACCGAGACCCTGGCCGCGCTTGGTTTTTGAACGTTGGATTTCCCATTCGGGAAGAATCCAAGGACTATTATATTAAATCCAGATAGTGCTTTATGAGTCTAAAAGCTCATGGTTTTGTGCCTAGAATTTTGGGAAGGCAGCAGTCTATTCAATTATTCATGATCTTGCATTGTTCCTATATCTTGGTTTTTAGGTTATCTTGGTTGCATACTGGGGATAGTAACAGCGAACGGTGTTGGTCAATATAGATGAAATAGCCAGAGAGTATGGAATCGGACAGCTTCAACCCATCACTCTGCCATTGATCCATTTTGGCGAAATCAACCTCCCACCACCACTCCTGAATCTTCTTTCTCGCTAAACGAGTCCGTATATGGATATGCAGCGGGTCATGGCGGCCTTATCTTCAGCCTCTCCACTCGGGCTCTGCCGGGCAATATGTACGAAGCTATGAGATAGAGCTCTATGTGTCATGCTTGGGATATCCTGCGACGTCTCAGCTGGAGACCTTAGCAGAATTCTTACTTAACTACTGGGCCTCCCAGCGGACAAAGACCCAGTGTCAGCACTCTGAGAAGCAGGGGTTTGCTATTTATAGCGGAAACGGAGGTCATTCCACAAAGCCAAATCGCCTGGTGGGCGGGATTTCCGAGAGAGATCAGAGTTTACGCAAACCCGGGCAATATGGCCACTGCCAAGAAAGACCAGCGGCTGGCCCTGAGTCCAGAATCCAGTACCCAGTGCGCCCGTCCTGAGCCCGGAGAGATTGGGGCGCCGTCAGGATGAGAAGGAGGATGTGCGCATACCATACGTCTGTGGCGGCAACGAGGGATCAACAATGGATAATCAAGAGTAATTAAGGATTATCCCATCGCCGGAGGACATGTCAAATGCGTCTCAAATAGCCGATGCGAGTCTTAGCTGGATTAGCTCGCTGGAGCTTATGGGCCAGCGTGAGAAGGTAATAATTAATTAAATCTAGTTGTCGTCAACCTGTCGATCGTGGAGGTTTCTCGACGCTCGCTTCGCTTCTCCCTCCATCCTTTCTTCTCTCTCTCCGCCATCACTTCTTCTTCCTCTCGGTCTCTAGCTGTGTTTCTTTGTATGGACAGCTGTTAGGTTCGGTGCCTGTCCTGTCCCTACCCTCACCGAATTATCTTCTTCGTGCACCTCCAGCCCATGCCGATTCGCCGCTGCGCCATCGTTTGCTTCTATGCTTCCCGGTCGTTCGTTGTATAAATACCTGATGGCAGCATGCGACCTCAAAAACTTGCTATCCTGTTGGTAATCGGAATCCTTACGTTTCTTTCCCTCCTCCTCCTTAGGAACCCGGCGCCTCCCAACGGAACCATCGATAGGAAAAAACCCAGTCCACTTGCCACCGCCCAACGCAATGCCGATGGCTCATACCCCCCCGAGAAAGTCCATCCGATCGCGAGATTCGTCCATAATGCGGAAAAGGAGTTTGAGGAAGTCTGCTCACGCCAGTCCAAGACATTGAAGGAAGCCGTCAAGAATTACCGTCGCAGATATGGGATGCATCCGCCGCCGAACTTTGACAAATGGTTCGAGTTTGCCCAATCCCGGAACGTGCAGTTGATCGATGAATTCGACACCATCTACCACTCCCTATTGCCCTTCTGGGCCGTGCCGCCGAAGGTCATCCGGGCCCGTGCTCGGGAAGCCATGGGCTTTGACAATGCCGTGTTCGGGTTGATGATCCGTGATGGCAAGGTTACATTCAGCGATGGAGGCGGAGAGGGAGTCAGTTGGCTGCGCGAGGCTACCGAAGGCATGATGAGTAGCTTTGTTCAGTTTTTGCCCGACATGGACCTGGTGTTTAATACCCATGATGAGCCCCGCGTGGTGATCCCTAGTGAAGACCTTCAGCGCTTGGTGGACATTGCCAAGAACGAGGCTATTCCGGCCGCGGCTCAGCTGCGCACGCCGATGAATCGCTGGTCGGAAAGGCCGTTGGACTTGAATCGGGGGGATCGTGTCCAGGAAGTGCGTACCACTCGCTTCAATCGATTTGCGCATCAACCTACCTGGACCCATTCGCGGATTTCCTGCCCCGTCGGCACACCCGCTCGTTCTCTCGATGAAGAGCCTGAGGACGACGTTGAACCTTACGCATATGGTGAACTCGGTTTTATTTATAATTCCACCTCCTTCTCTGACATTTGCCTCACACCGTCCCTCCAGTACACCTACGGTTTCTTCGATCGTCCGAATGCCTTCGATATCGTACACGATCTCTTTCCCATTTTCTCACAAAGCAAAATCTCTAGTTTTCAGGATATCATATTCCCTAGCCCCTGGTATTGGGCTCATAAAGTCCCGTACGACGAGACTAAGGACTTCCCTTGGGACTCCAAGGAAAATCGGTTATACTGGAGGGGCTCAACCACCGGTGGGTTCTCTCGAGCTGGTGGCTGGCGACGGCAGCATCGACAGATCTTTGTCCAGAAAGTCAATGCTCTGGACAATGCAGTGGTGCTTTCGAAAAAAGACAGGAGCCCCTGGAAGCCCCAAGAAGTAGCCCGCAGTGACTATAGAGGATTGTTTGACGTCAAGTTCACATTCATCGGACAATGTGATCCTGATGACTGCGCTGCGCAGCAGGAGTTCTTTGAGGTGGCCGAGCATGCCGACCAGCAGGAAGCATGGGCTTCCAAGTTCCTGGTGGACATTGACGGAAACGCGTTCAGCGGTCGATTCTACGCCTTTCTATTCAGTAATAGTCTGGTCTTCAAGATCGCACTCTTCCGCGAGTGGCATGACGAGTGGCTCAAGCCGTGGGTGCACTATATTCCCTGGGGCCTGAAGGGCAAGGAATACGTTGAGAGCGTTCGATATTTTGCCTCAGAAGATGAAGGCAAGGCAGCTGCGCCGCGAATAGCGCAGCAAGGGCAGGCTTGGGCCCAGAAGGTCCTACGGAACGAGGACCTTGAAGTTTGGTTCTTCAGGTTACTGTTAGAGTAGGTGTTCTCTTGTTCCTTCCATCTACTATCAAGGGACCAAACAGTGCTAACTTGAATGCATAGGTATGGTCGTCTAGTAGACGATAATAGAGAGCAGTTGGGTTTTGTCCCTTGAGTTCTTGCACTGCGACCTTCGTTTCCCTGGTATATCATCGGCGTTGGCTTGGAAGTATCTTCTTTTATTCTTTTGTACATATGTATTCTGCATCATTTGTTATATTTCCTTTCTTCTCGACGTCATCCAATTCTCGACGACATCACGCCCGCTATCGACTTTTCTCCTGTTCTCACGTCATACTCGGCACTCCCCCTCTGTGTTACCATCTTGAATTGATTTATTGGCATTTACTTGGACTTTGATATAGCTTCTTTGGCTGCTTGCTTCTTTCCTCCTTGTCGGACGGGAGGCTTCCCAGTTTCTATATATCATATGCATATACATGGCTTGGTTTGGTTTCAAATTTATTGGTCTTCACCCGGACAGTCTATCTGATTTAGCTTAAACGACTATGGCGCTGTCTCCATCAAGAAATTTGAACGCTGTTATCATCGGCTACATGCCTATGTGCTTCCCCGCTTCCGCTCAAACAGAGGTCATACGAGGATCGCCCTCTCAGCGTTCCAGGCAGCCCGTGTCTTCCAGGCTGCACCGGGCTACCAGCTCTTCCAGAACCAGGTATGCAACCAGTCGTATTATTTCGCGCGCTTTGACTGCATCCAGACCGATGCAGACGTGTCAATGCTCCAGGAACACGTGATCCCCCTTTTGAATAGGGGTTGAACTGCATCTGTTCCTCTCCTTTGCCTCGAGACAAGCAACCATGGATCGACGTATAGTTGCCCCTGTTCCTATACTTACGAACAGATCCGTGAGAAAATCCCGCGTTCCACCGCTTATTCCTCGACTCCTGTTACAGTTGACCAGATTAACCCTCCAATTGAGAAGGTTGTCACGAAATGTGGTGGCTCTATCGAGTATCTCGGTGGTCATTCTGTTATTGCCCTCTTCTCTTCCGAAAGAATTGCCATGAAGATGTCTTTCAAAGCCGGCGGCTCTCATTTGAGTCATGAGCGGAATTTTTGATGTAGATGTTGGCTATGAGCCATATGTACATCGATGAAAGGGGAGGGGGCACACGGGGCATAGCTGGTCCGGAAACAGAGCAATTCGTCTTGGGGTCGATCATCCGGTATATCACCCGAGGGTATGAGCTTTATCATGATCTAGATGGGCCAGCTCGAGTCAATCGGCTATGCGACAGCCATTTTCCAGACATGCAATCTGACGATCCAATTGATAACATCATATACAACTGCTGGTTTATCAAGTTTGAGATAATGGCAGGCCTATTACAAGAGGTTCAGACACTTGCTGCGAAACATGGAATTTCGGATGATACCCGATCAATTTCCGCTACGGAGTATCTTTCAAAGAAGGAGCTATGCAATCGCTGCTATACTCTGCTACTAGAAGATGACACGCCAGAGTCGACTATTGCCACTTCAGAATTGCCTCTCGCTATTTTTTACTTGAGGAAAGGTGTCAATCATGTTTCTGGTTGATCAGCGATCATGGTAACAGCCATTGCTGACTCTAGCCTACTTCTTGCAACTAGGGTTTGTAGTCAAAACCCTATAATACACATTCCAATAAACCACTATGGAGTAAGTCAGTAGAATAACCCCCAACCCTCCCCCCGAGTGTCCAGAATGAAACGGTAACAGGTGGGAGCAGATCCTGCTTGAAATAAGATGATGCCTCTCATTATTCTATTTGAAGGATGATGTCAATGTCAACACACTGTTTCCAGCCTGTCGGTTATAACAGTTACAGCCATTGTTATGACCGGTGCAATGTCCATGTAACACATAGCTAATTGACGACTCTGGAAAACAGTTAGTTCTAGAGGAAGAGGATCAATTTGTGGTATTGTATACTGAAAATTTCCCGTGGCCAGTCTTTATTGTGAGACTATATGTGGCCTCGTAATTCGTGGCCTTGCGAAGAGGTATACAGTGCGCAACGGAGAAATTGGGACTGAGGCTGTGTTTTGAGCGATATGGATTCAGCTTTTCTCTGAATAGTTGACAGCCACCAAATCATCGTGTGATTGATGAGAACCAGGTGCGTTTGGGAGAAATGTGCTCTATATAAATATGGCACACCACTATCAATGTCATTTTGACCAGCCTCATGGATGCAGGCATATATATTCCAGATATCAGTGCCACAATCTGCACCCAGTGCATGCAAAAGTGGGACAATGAACTCATCTCAGGGCCCGCATCTACTCTGCACTATGCATGAAATTCTTTCCTGTTGGCAATAAACTGGCGCGTTATAAGGAGCCTGAGGTGGGGGCCTTTCCATCCCCTGTCAGTACCAGGCAAAGAAATCAGGTCAGGGCGTTTAGGCAGCAATCTGCTAGTGGCTAAGTCACTATACAGTCATCCGCAGTTGCATTGCATTGCATTGGTCCAAGATGAATGTCAGTTAAGAGTATGGTGTTATCAGTTGTCGGATGAGGGGTTTGCATGTCTCCAACTAGTCTTGTCGTTTTGATGTCTGTCGGAGCCTCGCAGGCACCAGGTTGTGCTTATGCGCTAGTCTCAATTCCTCAATTAATATCCATGGAGTCGGAGAATCCTTCGCAAGAAAACTTTTCATAGAATGATATACCAGCGTTCACAGTTATCCGAGCCCTGGGAACGGAGTTACGGATATAGGATATATAGGGTATACGGACATACGGATATACGGATATACAGGAGCAAGCCCTAGGTAGCCAGTGCAGGGCAACGAGGATGTCATGATAATTAATCAATTAATCAATGTAACCGACCCCGAAGGTTACCGTAGGGGTCGGTTATCGTGCATACATAAAGCGAAATAAGGTAAAATGTATGAACCGATCGCCAAGTCCCTTCCTGATTCAAACTTAACCAAGTACAATGAAACTAGGGCATGGTAGGTGTTTACCTCACTTTACCTCACTCCCCTAGCTGTAGACAACACCGTATGGAATAACGGTGCTCTGATGGATGTATGATGTGGCAAACCACCGTCAGTCAACTTGGGCATCTCCAATTGCCATTTTTTAACCTGGTGAAGTTGTACATGGGGCTGCGGAATCACTTCGCCACGGCATTCGGATATCCGGTTTTACTGAGAAATGTAGAATTACCAATACCTCCTCGACTGACTCTACATGGATATATGCGGTGACATAACCAGTCGTCATCGGCCATAACATCTACAGTGACGGTACATAAAGCGTCCTGAGTAACGTAGTATTGAAGGAAGAAAGCACTCTCTGTCCACTCGTGGCCGACGATGGAGACTCTACGAGACAGCCTGTTTGGCAAGTTGGTACGGCTATCCAGTGGTTGCAGATATTTTCAGTATCCAGAGGAGCAGGATGCATCTATCTGGCCGGAATATCTCAAGCCTGAAACGGACAGAATGAAGCAGGAGGTCTCCACGCTGGACGGGGACCTGGAGGATTTGGAGGTGGCCGGTCTTTATACGGTTATGTCTGAAGCTTCGGCTTCAGCTCGATCCAGACGCGCGTCCATGAGGCCAATACACGAGCGTAAAAGCGAGAAGGAGTATTTGGCGATTAGCTGGAGAGGATCCAGTGACCCTGAGGTCTCGTCTCAGTTCCCTGCTGGGAAGAAATGAGTGAAAATGAACATCCGAGCTGACAGTACACAGAACCCCCAGAATTGGAGCGTTAAAAAGAAAACGTTGGTCAGCTTCTTGATCTGGCTTCTCACCTTTGCCGTCTACCTTGGCTCTTCGATCTATACGCCTGGTATCCCTGGTGTTTCGGAGCAGTTTGGCGTGAGCCGAGTTGCGGCTACGCTTGGCTTGACCTTGTTTGTGCTTGGTTATGGACTAGGTTTGTCTCTTCTTTCTCCTTTCTCCTTTGTGCTTTCTTTGAAAACGATGAAAATCTGACCTCTCAGGCCCAATGGTCTGGTCTCCTCTGTCGGAGATTCCAATGATCGGCCGCAGCCCAACATATCTCCTTACGCTGTTGGTCTTCGTCTTCTTTGAATTCGCCGTTATATATGCCAGGAACTTCGGAATGCTGCTGGCCTTTCGTTTTCTCACTGGCTTCGTTGGCTCGCCTGCCCTGGCAACCGGTGCAGCCTCCATGGGCGATATCTGGAGCCCCATGGTGCGCGACTATATGATTGCCGTCTGGGGCATGTTCGCTATCTCAGCACCTGTGTTGGGTCCCATGCTGGGTGGTTTTGCCTTCTCCGCCATGGGCTGGACCTGGACTATCTGGCAGCTGCTCTGGATTTCGGGGTTTGCTTTTGTTCTGCTGTTCTTCTTCCTGCCGGAGACCTATGCACCCAATATCCTCGCTCGACGCGCGCGTAGGGTTCGCCGCATCACCGGCAATTCGCAGTACCAGTCTGAATCCGAGATCGAGACCAAAGAAATCAGGCCTATGGACATCCTCTTTGAGAGTCTTATCCGCCCATTCGAGCTGTGCTTCCTCGAGCCCATCGTCCTCTTCATAAACCTCTACATCGCCCTCATCTACGGAATCCTATACATCTGGTTCGAGGCGTTCCCGATCATCTTCGAAGACATCCACGGCTTCAACCCAGGCGAGGGCGGGCTCTCCTTCATGGGTATCTTCGTCGGAACCTGCCTCGTCATCCCCGTATACTTCTACTGGAAATACCGCTGGCAAAGTGCGCACTTCGACAAGCAAGGGAACATCGCGCCGGAGCAACAGATGCCGCCCGCCTGCGTGGGCGCCATCGCGCTCCCTATATCCCTGTTCTGGTTCGGCTGGACCGGAAACTTTGCCAGCGTGCACTGGATCGTCCCTATCATCGCGTCCATATTCTTCGCTGTCGGCGGGTGTCTGATTTTCAACTGTAGTTTCTGCTACTTGGCGCATGCGTATCCGCGGTACGCAGCGTCGGCGATGGCGGGGAATGACTTTCTGCGGTCATCGTTTGGCGCTGGGTTTCCGCTGTTTGCGACGGCCATGTTTCGCAATTTGGGGGTTGGATGGGCCTGTACGCTGCTTGGGTGTCTGACCGTGTTGTTTATGCCGGTTCCGTTTATTCTATTCTATCGGGGGAGAAGGATTCGGATGGCGAGTCGGTTCGCCCGGCATGATATATAGGGATTGAGCTGGCATTGAATAGACTCTGTTTTTATACTAGTTAACTGTAGGTTAAGTGTAAGCAGTATACGCACTGCATTATCCGGGCAACATCATGGTTCATATAGAGCCAAGGACACGTTAGAGACCCGGTGAAGCTTTCGATATTTCTCCCTTGGTTCATATTTTGCCCAGGAAGAGCAAGTGATAATCAGGACAAGACAGAAATTGCATTGATCGACCGAAAAATGAAAGAGAAAGACCATCTTTCCCGCTCACTCATGCCACCCTGGCGCTCGTTTGACCCCGGTCTGTCCTTCAGTCACATAATAATACTCCGTCAACTCCGGTAGAACCGGACATGCAGCGCGTTTGCGGTTGCAAAGGGTGGTAAGAACTTCAGAGTGCCGACGTGGTTTCTCCAAAGACGGACGTTATAGAACTCCGCAGGCTACAACTTGTGTTGAAAAAGCTGTCTACTGCTCTGTAGTGCTCCTCGTCGGAAGGCCGAAGAAGTAGTAAGTTGTGCCTCGAGGCTTTCCTAGGCTCAGCTTCCCTTCAATCGGCGGGTTCTTCTCCCCGTCTCCTAAACCAAAGGTGATGCTGCATTTGTTCGCATACGCATACGAAACTGAGTCTATTATATGAGGATAATGGTTGTGGTGTCGCGTATGGTGCAGACATAATCGACATCTTCCTGGGTATAAAGGAGGAAAACCCCGAGACGTCGATACAGAACATCAGATCCATGTCGTATACCGGTCTCCTCGGCCAGGAAGCAGAGGACGTGAGGCTCCAACTCGCCATCCAAGCCCCGTGAGTAGTCTTTTTTGAATGGGATGCAGGCAACCTTTTTGCCTTCCGGGAAGTCAATGTCCAAAGAATCGGGGTAAAGCCACACAGCAAACTGGACATTACCGTTCACTAGGACGCGGTTCCCATGTTCAAGGTAGTGGCAGATTGCCACAAAAATGGCGCCTCTTAGTTTGATGTACCCGTCCAACATATTGACCATCGCATCTGGCCCCCGCGTGGTTATATGGACATCCACGAGCCTGACGAGAAATTCTGTGGAAGGCGATAGACCGGTTAGTCTGACCGGGCCATCTACCGAAGCCCAGGACCAGGACGGGGCTCGATAGTCTGCACTTATGCGTGCCCGCGGCTCGAAGACACGCCAGTCCAACGATTCAAGCAGACGTGATTTCCACCAGCCCGCGACGTATTCGTCGCCAGTGATGTCGTGGAAGAGCTTCGCGACGCCGGCTATAGCGAACATTTTGTCCGAAGCCTTTGTCAAATCGCATCGAGAGTATTGCTTAACAATATCGTTCCACAGATTAAACACGTGGAGAGGCATCCGTGGCCGAGAGTGAGAGCCGTCCGTGGACATGTAGTTGAACAGCGAGTCCATTTTCTTGTCCGACCAATGGGCCGGAATGCCATGAGGGAAGCACTCGCATTTATGCTCGCTGAAGCACTCCCATAGGATTTGATCCTTTCCGAAATAGAGGACGCGGGGGGCTAAGAATCGTTCTTGAAAGAACCATCCTCGGTTGTGTAGAGGGCCATCGGAAAGCTGCCGGTCCCAGTAGCCCTTTTCGAAGATGTAGTGAAGGGACGGCCTATCTGCAAACAACGAGCTTCGGACCATGCGAGGCCGTATGCTCTCGATTTCCCTGCGGTGGAATATGCTCTCTTCCGGGCTATTGGACGCCAAGGCCGCGATGTTGCACGCCGAGTTAGCATACACGTATCTCATTTTCGACGCTTCAGCTTCCCAATCTTCGACGGAGTCTTGTATGATGCATAGGGAATCAATCCAGACATATCGGATGTGAAATGCTCGAGCTACCGTGGCGAAATCCCGGAACAACGGTGGCAGCTCGCAGATTGGCGCACCTTGGCGGAATCGAGCCAGGTTTGAGGACAGAAGGATGAGCTTCGGGTTGGATCCCCAGCGGTAGCTGAGAGTCATATACGACAAGGATGCTGGCGAAAGGGCCTCCTCGTCAACGACGCGGAGAAACCAGTCTGTATCGCCATCACAGCCAACATCAATCAGACGCGTAGGGATCTGATTCAGACCGAAGGCAGCTATCCGGCGGCATAGCGTATGGGTAGAATAGCAATGCTGGAACCATCCGTTTGCTGTCATTAACGTGCTTGCAGAAGAGGTGCTCAGCTTGAAGTCGGACGGCGTGAAATATGGGCCATACTGCTTGTCTTGATATGAATTAGATTGGCAAATAGGCCATTGTCATGGAACAAGCGATACTGACCATCGACAGGAATGAGGCGAAACCTCAGCTCGTCTACCTCGCTCTTTAACGGGTCTTTATAGAGAACATTCAGTCGCACAACACTCTCCTCGCCCTGATATTTGGCAACGCGATACCGCAACGGTTCCCAGGTCTCTCGTGAGGCATTCGACCACGCGTGTCGGTGTCTCTCGGTTAAGTTCCATATAGTCGAGCAGACAGCGCAGCCTTGTTGGCTTGCCTGCCGAAAAGCGCGCAGTGTTTGACCGGCTGGCGTGAAATAAACCGACCCTGGATCACGCTCAGAACACACACCCGGTTCGGGACAGAGAACGCTCCGGCACGTTGAGCAGACGTCGCCTGCAGGTGCCATGGCTCCGGAAGGCGTATAGACAGACAGACGGAGGGATTGAAGCTGCTGGCGTGGCTGGTGCTGGACGCGGGGTATTTGGCCACGTATCTGGCGGTTGGAGACCTGGGAGGTTCCAGCCATCGCGCGTCTATATATGTTTCATCCATATTGCTAAGCGCGATGGGCAGCGCGAGGATATTCAGTCGCTGGGTTTGGGGGCATACAAGTAAGTGTGGATTGTCGGGCGTCTAATCTGTAGCCACGTGAAGAGACTCCATCAACACATTAATTACTATGAACTCAAGTCACGGCTTCAAAGAGAAATCATGGTCATGCCGACCCTGCAGATAGTCATAATCCTCATCCACCCACTCCACGCTCGAGGCATCCACATACTCCCAGCGGTCCACCTGCTCCTTCAAGCTCCGCGGCAGCAGAACCTTCTGGTCGCTCCGGTACCAGTGCGGGAAGAGGATAGTGACCAGCATAATCCTCGGCTCGTCCATGCGATTCGGCATCCCAGCATGCCACAGCCGCATATCCCGAATGATCAGACTGCCCTTGGGAAGTGACGGCTGGATCCCCGGGGAGATCTTCCTTCGCTCCTCCAGCAGATCCGCGCGGACCTGCTTGTACTGGCTGTTCCGGTCGATGTTGTCGCGTGTCGCGTCGACGTGACTCCCCAGCCAGACCTCCGTGGCGCCGTTCTCGGGGCTCGTGTCCACCAGATTGATGTTGATCGCGTAGCCCCATGGGATCTGCGGGAAGTCAAAGTCCACGTCGATATGCACCGGCTGGCGGTTGTCTGCCTTGAAGGCTGTGTTGGCGCTGTACAACCGCAGCGACGGGTGGGGGCCGAACATGCATTGGACGGCCTGTAAGGCGAACGGGTTCGCGAGGACGTCCTGGAAGACGAAGTCTTTCTCCAGCGTTGGTTCCTGCTGGATGTTTCCCGTCGTGGAGCCGAAGTTGCGATGTGTCGAGGCTTTGTCGTACAGCGTCTTGGCTTCCGGGACCATGCGCGCGTTCAGCTTGTCCAGGTGCTCCGTGGAGACGGCGTTCTTGAGAACGACGATGCCGTCGCGGTGCAGGGCTTCGATTGCATGTTGCAGGTTGTGCGACTCGAACTGTTGTGTTGCGAGCTCCTCGGGGGAGAGGGTGATGAGTGTTACCTGGGGCTCGACCATGTTGCTCGTTCTGCGTCCCTTGGTCTATTTTCTCCTGTGCCGCTCCTCTACTGGGTCTACTCTCCTGGACCCATGGCTTATTTATCATGTCTACAACAGCGCAAGCCGCACAGGTGTTCTCGGAGGATTCAGCGGGTTCTCCGGGCGATACGATCGGCGCCCGTTTGGGTTAGTTGAAGTCTAACTGTTATTATTGCCCGATGCGGAACCGCGACGTCTACGAGCAATTGGCGGGAGATATGGCTGGATTTCCAGATGTCGAGATTCAGATATCCTCCATTACAGGTACAGGGACAGGCACTCTGCAGCGCAGTGTCTCGAGCTAGAACAAACTCCGACTCTTATTCTTGCTGCTTCGAGCATATCGCGCTATCTGCGAAGGCATGTTATCATGGGAATAAGCATTATGGAGGCCATATAACGGGGCCCTCATCCGTCCCGGATGAAGCATTTGTCCACATCATTAGTACTACGTGCGGGCTATTTCATCGATCATCCGAATCACCTTACCATCATGGACCCCGCCAAGACGCCGGAGAAAAGCGTGGAGCCGCGTGGTGTATCCACGGACGAGAAAGAGGGTTCAATCAAAGACCTCGACGGCACGCTCCTGTGGGAATCGGAGCAATCCCTCCTGTACACGCAGTCCCAGCACCGCCTGGGCTTCTGGGAGGCCGTGAAACTGTACAAATCCGCCCTGAGCTGGTCGTTCATGGTCAACATCTCTGTTATTCTGAATGGATTCGACGCCGCGCTGAGCGGGAGCGTGGTTGGCCTGGAGCCGTTCAAGAAACAGTTCGGGTACCTCTATAATGGCGAGTATGTCGTCAAGGCTTCGTGGAATGGAGCGTTCAACTACGCCAATAGTATTGGAAGTGTTCTCGGCGCGTTGACTGCAGGATGGATTTACGATCGCTTCGGGCCGAAACTCACGCTGGCTGCTTGCTCCATTGGGTCCATTGCGTTTATATTCATGGAGTTCTTCGCCGCGACGCCTGTCGTTATCTTCCTGGGGGAGTTGTTCAATGGGTGTGTCATCGCGTTTTATCCCATCATGGCCTCGGCGTATATCGGCGAAGTATGCCCGCTTGTGCTCCGAGGCGTTGCTGGTTCACTGGTCAACCTAGGGTTCGTCGTTGGCCAGCTCATCGCATCTGGTTTGCTCAAGGGCACGAACAGTCTCACGACGAAATGGTCCTATAAAATCCCCTACGCGGCTCAATGGGTCCCTGCTGTTCTGATCCTGGCCTTCGTCTTCTTCTGCCCCAACTCCCCCTGGTGGCTCTGCAGAAAGGGTCGATATGAAGAGGCCGAGAAGGATCTCAAACGTCTTGCCTCGTCAAAGGTAGACGTTGCCCCAACACTGGCGAACATCAAATACACCCTCCGTCTCGAGGCGCAGCTAGAGAAGCGACAACATAACTACCTGGACTGCTTCCGCGGGCCGGACCTCCGCCGTCTCATCATCGCCGTCATGGTCTACAGTATCCAACCACTCTCCGGACAGGTATTGTACGTCAACTATGCCGTCCAGTTTTTCGAAATGGCCGGTCTAAACACGGCAGATGCCTTCTCCATGAACCTGGGCTTAACCGCCATCGGGTTCGTGGGCACAATAGTCGCGTGGCTGTTCATCTCCAACATCGGTCGACGACTGATCTACATCGTCGGCACGGCACTGATCGCCCTGATTCTTCTGCTCATCGGCATCCTAGACGTTGTCCCTCACTCCACAGGCTCCAGCTCAGGAGCAGGCGTGGTATGGGGCCAAAGCGCCCTCCTCCTCATCTGTTTACTTGTGTACGACTTCACCATCGGCCCAGTGTGCTTCACCATCCTCTGTGAAATCGCGTCCGTCCAACTGCGCAGCATGACCATCGGACTAGCAACGGTCGCCTGCTCGATCTGGAATATCATATTCGCCGTCGCCATCCCCTACGCTATGGATGCGGATGAGGGGAACTGGAAGGGGAAGCTTGGTTTTCTGTTTGCGGGTATTGCGGCTTTGTGTACAGTTTGGTGCTTTTTTTGTTTGCCCGAGACCAAGGATAGGACGTTCGAGGAGTTGGACATTTTGTTTGAGGAGAGGGTGGATAGTAGGAAGTTTAAGTCGCATCCTATTACGAGGGATGGGGAGGTTAGTGCTGAGATTGTGCTGGTTTAACCTGGGTAGATTTATTCTTCTACTTGGCTTTATGAGATGGTTTTGTTCCATGGGCCATATATATGTGTATGCAAGTGATGAAATTGTTATACTGTAGTTTCCGATGAATGGTCTTGACAGGAGTCCTTGAAGACTCTTAGAGACAGGACATGAACAAACAATTTGTCTGATATACACATCAAAGGCACTAATCCGACATCAACCACTCCGGAACAGCATCCTCATCCTCTGGATCCTCCGACAACAACGAAACCGCCTCAACACTGCCATCCGATGATCTCCCGTCGGCATTCGGCGACGGTGGTCGCGAGAGTACCTCGACACTACCCTGTTTCGAGTGTTCACCCGTTGACGACTCTATTAGGATCGGATTCTCAGATACACCCGTGACCCCCGTTGGAGCGGTTTCTTGTGGTTGCCCTGTTTCTTTTTCTGGTGTTCCCATACCTTTCTGGATTGGGACATCGCCATGTAAGTGCGCGCTTGCTCTGTCATTCTGATTTGAATCGCAAGTCTTTCTCTTGTCACTTGGAGTGACGACCAGTGTATAACGGGATCGACTTTGCGAAGGTCTTCCGGGTGAGTGGCTGGTCCCAGCGACGTTTCTTATATCAAGCCCTAAGGGCTTGGGCTCTGCTGTGTTCTCCATCGACTCGTCAGCCATGAATCCTCCACCCATGGTCTCATCCTCTGGAATGGGCTGGGGAGAGATATCTCCACCTGGAGCGCCCTGTCCGAAAACCACACTGGCCGTTCCTTGTTCAGGTTCAGGGAAGAAGCCGCCAGCGTTCTCTTCAGATTCCTCCTCGCCCATGATAGACCCAGTTTCGCCCTCAACTGCGTAGCCCTTGACCCTCTCTGCAATCCGAAGTTTGAGTAAAAATAGTTTCCATAACCGAAGGGCTTCGGCAGACTTGTATTCCAGTTCAGATTGCAACCGCTCATCCTCAAGACCATGGATGACTTCCTCCAGAGCATCACGGAACTCCTCAGCTATGACCACGCCTTCGAATATGGCAGTCCCATGCCGCCCCTTAAAATTGAAACCTGTTACCGCTTCTGCGTAGTCTATGCCAAGGATTCGGGCAGCCTGCACAGCATCACCGTGTTTAATGTGAACAGCACCTTGCGGAACCATGCTGGGTACGTATACGTCCAGATTGCCATACATGTTCTTTGGTATCCGGCCATCGACGACAGGTGGTGGCTTGTAGGGTTCTGTCTGAAAATATGCATACAGTGGTGTCCGCGCAGTCTCATCGTCAGCTTCTCCATCTTCATTGACGTTTGGCGCTTTGATTCTGTTAGCCCGAACATGCTTGAGAGGCTGCTCGCCCACTTTGATATCTCGCCCCAGACGATACCACCCGTTTGCGCTCCGAAGAGGATGCACATTCGCACGACGGTAAACCGGTTCCAGGGACTGTTTTTTCGACCCCGACTTATTGACCCCGACTTGCCCGATTGCACGTTTGGGAAAGATGGCCTCGTTCCAACGAAGGTGCCGCTCCAGAGCGTAGACTGGGTGGTCCTTGAAATCCTGCACATTCCGCGGCATGGGCTCAGCCGCCGACTTGGCAGTTAGTTCGCTGATTTCTATCTCGTCTCGGTCCTCCATAAATGGTTTCTCATAGAACTTTAGCGTTCGTGCCCACCACATTTCCCCATCTTTGGTACTCTCTACCCGTAACTTGCGGGTCTTCGCGTTGAATGCTTTGACGTATCGCCGAGTCACATCTCTTGCCGAGGCGTCTTCCTCAAAGGCAACTACATAACTCATGATATTGTAAGGATCACTAGCTGGTGGCTCCAGTTTAAGAGGTTTCGCCAGAGTTTTCGTCGCTAGAGGGTCGACTGGGATCCATTTTTGAACTGCCTCGTTGAACGCCTCTACCCAGAACACGGGATATGAGGATTCGCGGAAACATGGATTTGTTCCTTGAAAAGTCAACATCTCTGAAAAACATTGGATGCGTAAAAGACTAACCTGGACGCGCGGTGGTCTGCTTAGGCTGTGGAGGGGTGATTTGAGGCTGACCGAATCTCCGGATCCTTGAACGAGCCGGTGTAGAACCAGAGCGTACCTGTTCATCAGGAGAACTCTCATGATCATCCGACGAAATGATTATTTGCCGAGATTCCGGTACGGCAACTGCATCCTTCACTCCTCCGGAGAATGGTAGTGGCTGTAACGAACAGACCAACCTCGCATCCACGCCTACAGATCTCAACAGAGCACAGAACAATTGAGCACCGAAATCACGAGACCCCTGTAACGTTCTTGCTTGGCTGCAGAAGTCATCCTTCGATAGGATCACCTCCGCATTGGAAATTATCGTTTCCGCTTTCTGTTTCAAGGAGTTCGGGTCATTTGCCCAGTGAGGCCGCCTCATTCCCGGGTTCGTCACCTTGAAACGTTTAATGAATATGTCACTAGCCTGATTCAACCCATCGATAAACGTGGTAGACCTGGTAAATTGCGGCTTTTCCTTTGACGGGTTCAATAAAGCAACAATATGCCTTGGCAACGTTCGCTTGAGGTAGGCCTGTAAACCCTCATCGTTGCAGTAGAGGTTGCGCAGCTGGACATGACCAAGAAGACATAAAAGATGGACTTTATGAATGGATAATCGCAGCTTCTTTTCGGCCGCGGAAACCAGTCTTCGCTTTGGAATAATTGTCCTCCCTTTAACACTCTGTTGCTGACCAAGAGTGATCTGGAGCGGTTCCTCATTCCCAGAGAATCTGGAAGCCATCACGCCAGGAGTCTGTTGGATTTCAACATCTTCCCATTCCATATCGGATTCATCAGTAGCGGCTGAGTCGTAAACCGTTTGTATTTGTACTTCTCTGACCTCGTCTTTGTTGATAGCAGGAATAGGCTCGGGCCCAGAATTTGCTCGAGTGGCATTTGACTTCTCCTCGACTTTCCGTCGCTTAACAGGATGGTCATTTTCGGATTGACTGTTTTCTCGGGCCTCAGCTTCCGCCAGCATCTCCCGGTAGACCTCCGGGATTTCATCATCATCATCATCATCCTCGCGTTGAATTCGGCGCCTGGGGTGACGACCTCCGCTTGCGGCAGACGAGCGGGCACGTAAAGAACGACGCGCCATTCTGAGCCTTCTTGAAGTTGAAGCTTTATTATAAGATAGGTATCTCCTAGTCGTTTGGTTTTATCCGCATGATATGTGCGATTCGATTTGTCTCCGTGAACAGTTTGTAGAGAGATTCAGATTCCATCGCTAGGGTCTGGTTTTACAGGTTATTCGAACCGGGGCAAAGGGAGATAGTGATTGACGGAAAGAATATCTCCGGCTGGAGGGCCAGATCAATTAATTCATGCATGCGGATTTGAAGGAAAACATTGCTATATTCAAGGATGATGCAGGCTGCTGCTAACTTCCGGAATTGGCTAGTGCGAGTTGTTTCCGGAAGAAGTGGTGTTCCGGTTCCAGTATTCCTGATGATGTCACCTGATATTACGACAGCATCCACGACAGAAGTTCAAGTGCCTCAACATTGAGCCAGAATTGCGGATTGCGTGTACATGGATGGATATCCCAGGCTACGTCACATATGGCTTGATGGATAATGTTATGTTCTATTGAGATACACACAACAGGGAACGATTGTTTCAAAGAGCCCAACAAATCTACATTCACTCGTCATGTCATCCAGTACAATCTGCGCAACAATGACCAAATAACACCATTTTCCAGTCCAAAAGTAATAGCAATCACAAATACAGTTGAAGCAACTCCAAAGATCCGATGCTGGTGTGCTGATGAATTCGGTACCGAGAACAACAACAATGCTGGCCACGACGGCAATAGGACAAGAGGAAGAAAACAACGGTAAAGAAAGAACCAAACACGGGTGGGTGATTAGGGAGGGGATATCATGTAAAGGGTGATCTATGTGAATGGATATTTCCAAGGACAACATTTGAAGAGATACAAATTCGCTGAAAGATACAGGCAAAAGCACAAAGGAAACACTGGTGGTATCGGGAATATTAAAACGGGGTGAAGCTTTTGGCCAACAAAGAAAAACGCGTGGACGAATGGAAAAAGAGAGGGAAGATCTAGAAACTGAAGAGCCCGCTTCGTTTCTTTCCAAACGGATACACCACCATGGCAGCCAGGAACAGACCCACGGTGAACGCTATAGCGATCTGGACCATACCGTATCCGATATCCAAGACAACGGTAGAATGTTGTTCCTTGGTCATGTTCATCGCGGCATCCATGAAGCCTTGGGTGCCGTTCGTGACGATGGTATAAGGGTTGTGGTCTTTGGTCAGCTCTTCCGCGGATGCAATTCCCGCCACCAGGGAGCCGCTCGCGGCCAGGCCGGAGGGGACAAGGACAAAGATGGCGGGAAGCATCGCGGCGGCCGCGACCCCGTGTCGTAACCGGCTGTAGAGGTTCCCGAGCACGCCGATGATGAAGGCTCCCATGGCGCCCGGGAGGGAGATTTGAGCGTAGGTGGAGAAGCGTTTCGAGCTGAAATAGTTGACGACGTATCCCGCCATGGAGATGGTGAGCATCGCAGGCATTTGTTTCCATTTGGCCTGGTTGATGACGCACAGACAGAAGGTGAAGGCAACGACGAACGGGAAATGCCGAACATATTCGTTCGGGATTACGTTGGGGCAGGTGTAGTCAGTGGTAGCCGTGGGGTCTATCAGTCCATAGAGGGCGGTCCCGATGGTGATACCGAATCCAAGGAAAAGGGAATAGATGATTGCGTACACCAGACGGACCGAGCCAGCGACAATATTGCGTGACTGGAGTTCCAGACTGGCACACAGCATGGTATAGCCGGGCAGGATGAGGGCAATCGAGGACTGGGCCAGGGATGAGAAACAGAAGAGATGTGTTCCTCCGTAGGTGATGCTGCCGAATGCCCGGGCCAGGAAGGAGGTCAGGACCGCCGCCGAGATTTCAAAGATGTTCGAGTAGATGTTGGAACGCGGGGACAAGACGAGCTGGAGCGCCCCCACCAGGCACCCCAGCAGGAAGGCAATGGGCATGTCGATGGGTCGTGCCTGGAATGCAAAGGGCCCGACCATCGCGCAGGCGAAGCCATGCATCAAGATCTGGATCCAGGTGCTGAACCGCTTCTTCCGCTTCATGACCTCCTCCAAACGCTGGATGGCCTCCTCGACACCAATCACATCGTGGATGACCTCCTTGTAAATCTCGTGGACATCCGCCATCTTGCCTAGGTCACAGCCCTGGATGGACCGGACCAGGTTCATCTCGGTGGTGTGGGTGGATGCATCGCCGAAGGAGACGATCATACAACCGGGGATATAGAGACACTGCATATCGATCTCCAGCACCCGAGCGGTCATGGTCATGTACTCCTCGAGACGATGCGTCGGGGCACCGACTCGGATCAGGGCCCGGCAGAGGCGCAGAAGGTACTTCTGGCGTGACAGGATCTCGGCGATGTGGACGGTGATGCGGATCTCATCCTCCAGCTTGGGCCGCCCCAGGCGCCTTCCGATGGAACTGTTGCTCCGGGAATGTTTGAGCGTGGGGACGGGCGAATGCTTGGCCGTCGAGACCAGCGACGCGGTGGACTGGCGGGGAGACTTGTCATACCATTTCCGTGGCCGCTGGGGTTTCCAGCCCGGGTCGGGCGACAACCCCCGGCTGCTGACATCCCCCGAGCTCGACTGCCGGGAGTGCATCCGACGGCCACGGTCATAGGCGCTGTGGGAGGGCTGATCGTACAGCTTGAGCAGGGACGACAGGATGCCACCCCGGTAATGCGTTGGCGGTTCCACATACGTGTCGGGGTCGGCCTCCCCCATCGGAGTGACCTGGCCCGACCGCAGCGAGGGCGAACGGGCACGGACCCGAGTCAAAAGCCCTGGATCTCGGCGGGCCATCTGGCGCACGAGGCGGTGGGCCTCGGAGGTGCGGGAGCGTCGGGGGCCCGTCGCGTCCTCTTCGTCTTCATCATCGTCCTCTTCGTCGACGGTGGCATGCAAGCCCTGCTTCTCCGGGAGGCTGATCATGGGGATGTCCTCGCCGTAGTCCGAGGGAGGCCCGGAGGGAGTCGAGGCCACCGAGGACGGCAGGCTGTATCGGGGACTCAGGCCGGAGTTCCCGGACGTGGGACGGCTCAGCAGCGACGCGAGCCTCTGAGCCCGCTCGCGGGCGTACTGGATCGCCCGGCCCTTGTCCGGGTGGGCTTCATCCTCCCAGACAATGGCGGGCGGGCTGGTTCGCGGGGGGCCGACGGTGATGCCCGGGGCGGGGCCTGGCGCGTCGACGCTCGTGTCCACCAAGGGATACCGGTGGTCCTTCTCGGACGAGGCGGCTCGCGCAGCGGGCACCGGCTTCTGGGGCATGTCCTGGGTGGGCGTCTGAGCGTCCGGCAGGATCGCATATGGATGGTCGGCCGCCTCCGACCCGCTCACATTGAACTTGACACGGTTTGCGGATTTCAGGATGCCTGGAGCCCGGGGCTTGGCAGCATGCGCACCCGCGGTAGGGGTTGTTTGGTCGTTGGGGAGTTCACTGGGCGTGGACAGGGGGGGCGTGTACGGCTCCAATGGAGATCGCCGGTCTTGCGGTGCATCCCCCGGGCTGCAACGCCTGGAGGACGCGATGGGGAGATCGAAATAACCCCCTGCCATCGTCTCTTTTCCGTAACGGGAAGATAGGGCAGCAAGGAGCCAAGCGGGAGAGGTGGTTTTAGAATGTCAAAAGGACACCCAAGAGAACAAGCGAGGATGGCTGGCACTGTAAGAGGGAAGGGGGGAGGGGCGTGGATGCTAATGGGACGAGGCAAAACCGGGTAGCAGAGTCAGACTCGACTGTTACATGACCAGGAAGCCAGGGGCGAGGATGCAGCTCACCGAGTTGGAGCCGGCGTCGAGGGAAGCAGGGAATGATCCGGGGAGTGACCGGGTGTAGCAGTATCTGCAGTCAACCGTCCGGCGGAAGAACAGGCACGACAGGTCACGGACGCATGATGATGGGATGTGTGACCCTGGCAGCAGCGGATTCCAGGAAGAGTCGGGGGAATATATGTGGAAAGAGATGGGACAGGGCGTGAAGGATGTAACCCAGGTGACCCTGACGGACACAAACACGGATGGATAGAATAGACGCGGAGACGAAGAAGAGAGGAGGAGGGGGGGGAGAGAGACGAGGGAAGAAGCGAGAGAGATATGGAAGGGGATGCTCTGGTTTTATTCCCCCTTCAGCTGATGCTATCTCTGTCTCTCTCTGTCTCTCTCCGCTTCTCTGGCTCTCTCCCCCTCTCCGGTAGATCCTGCTCGAGTGGATAGGATTTTCGAATTATCCGGATTGGGCAATTCGCCACCCATGGAGAGCGGGATTTCCCACTGCAATCCACCACGAGGTCACGCCGACGGAACCGTAGAGATGGCCAGTTTCAGCGTTTTTTCTTTTGGGCCCCACCGGGGGAGTGTCTGGACAGGTCGACGGCCGCAGTCAGTGTGTACACTGTACGCTGTCCAGTGTAGAGAGCAGGGAGACACCGCACATCGGCAGCAAGGAGGACGCAGTGGGAGTCGGAGCCGATCTGGAACGTCCGAGATAAGGCCTGGGGTCTTATTTTTCTGTCTTTTTTGCCTTTTTGCCTTTTTGCCTTTTTATATCGTGTTTATTTTTAACTTTTATAGCCACGGTGGAAACCATATCCTCATATCGCTCCAACCACCACAGCTGCATTATGCAGATGAGACAGCGGTTACGAATCAGCCCACGACATCCCAGGTAACACGCTGATCCTGCAGGACAGGAGGTGCACGTTTTTAATGGAGGTGTATCGTTGGTTGGTTACTAGCTAGATAGGCCTACGTGGTGAAAAGGGTCAGCGAGGGCGGACCTATGCGGCAGAATCCCACGTGATCCAACAGTTTTTGCGTCCCTGATCAGCAGGCATTCTGATACATACTGCTCCGTCCATATATTGCATATCATGGATATGCAGCTAGTGAGCTGCACAGAGCACCCGGGGATCCAGGAAGGGAGGCCATTGTTTCTGTCGCGCGCCGATCCAGAACCAGCGCCAGTCGTGCCATGGATGTGCCTGATCCACCGAACAAGCTTATCCGCTGGCGTTCGCATAATCAATGCGTCTGCCTTGCGATGGTTTGGGTATGAATCATCCCTTTTTTTGTCTGCCCCACTGGACGCGTACATGACTCCGTGCGACACGCCCATTGCCCAGAAAGGGCCGCCGTGTGAAGCATGATATTTCCACGCCGATATATCTCTGACGGTCGGTACTGTGTCTACGCGGACAACGTACACCTGGTCCTTCTCGCACGCAGATGAAACTAACGCAACCAACGGAACTAACCCAAACAGGCTAACGCCCGAACTAGCCCCGTTCGATTTCCGGCGGAAAACCCTTCGGATCATGTGTCATGCTCATGCTCGTTCTAGATCTGGTTCTTCTCGCGAGTCTCTGCAGGAAATATATCAATTCTGTCCTATCACCCGTGCACGTTCTCGTGAACCCTCGGGGGTTGGTGGAACGTGAACAGTCCAGTCCAGTCCTCGGGCTACTGCGATAGTTCATCCGACCGGCTGTTCGGCCCGTCCATTCCACGGTGTTAATGGTTGATGTTTCCTGGCTATCGGTATCGGGACGCTGCTTAATCCATTGCTGCCCGATGGGGGAGATAGCACGTGCAGGATAGACCCTCATGTTCTAGAACTTTTTTTTGGTTGCCCTCGCTGCTGATATGCTAAATGTCAGATGTGATGAATACCAGCACGGCTTACATCGGATTTATTCATGTCATATCATCTCTTCTGCAGATTACCCAATTCTACTACCCCATCGAAGAATCACACCTGTATGGACAGTTCCTGCACATACTAGGGTCCCGAAGGACCCGGAGTAATACCTTGCTTCGGAGTCCGCCAAACGGCCATGCTGCTACGCTGCATATCTCATCGAAACGTAGCATTCATTAGCTATCACTTGTCATTTATCTACCTGGCTACAATCGACGCGATACCGTCGACTCAGCACAGCCAAGACTAATACGGTGTGGGAAGGTAGCTCAGCTACGTATCCCTCCATCCGGATCCTCCGTAAAGAACGCAGGAAACAGATGAATAAAATAAATTAATTAAGATCATCCATCCATGCCTTCCGCCAGGAGCTATGGCCAACCCGGAAAAATTTTCAATCTAGATACTACCTACCTAAGTAATCAATGTCCTCACATTTTTAGTCCACCCTGCGTAGACTGATAGAAATTCCCCTGAAACAAGGCGAATATCCAGGGCGGTTCTGCTAAATGGAGATATAAAAATAACGCACAAGTGTACCTCGTGCCCTGTTGCACCTTGCCACCCGAGCAGGAACACCCGGGAAGAAAGAAAAGGGGCGGGTTCACATTCGCGTTGATCTTGATCTTGCGCGTGATATCTCCACTTTCCAGGGAGAGGCCCGACGTCGCAACCAGCATGGAAGTGTGTGCTGGGGACGTGGCGTGTGATTCTGTCCTTGCATAGCGCGTGTTGCATGTACACTGTGGTATGTACTGTGTATCAGGTATCATTAGTGCTTCGGGTGGAAAAATCGAGATAAGAGAGGGGACTGGTCATCTATTGTACAACACGGTGTATATGTACAGGCTTCTGTCCATGCTGCAAAAATGTAAAAATACAGGGTTCGGGATAGAAAAAACACCTCAAGGGTATATCAAAAAATATCCATCAAAGGAAGGTGGACGGGGAGTAAGAATCAGGCTGACGCAGCGCTGGCTTCCGGGTCCAAAGACCCAGACCCAGCTTCATCCTGCGTATTCATGCTGAGCTTTCGTACGTCCCAGTTCTCACCGTCTGCCCAGTCTTTCTTCTCCCCAAGCACGCACACGGCCCGACGAGACCCATCGACCAGGAATTTCTGGGCGGCTTCATTAACATCTTTGGCCGTGACATCCAGAACTTGCTCCCTCCAGCGCTGATCCATATCGTGCGTGATGCCACTCATGAAGTAGCGCGCCCCTTCTTCATCAACACTCACAGGGGCATCCAGGGCCTGGAAGATACCCAGCTTCGCCTCCTCGAGTTCCTGTTCAGACCACGTGCGGTCCCTGGCAAAAATGCCACTCTTCCCAAAAACGTTGAGGGAATTCACCGGGTTGGGGTCCCGGTAACTGGAAAAGGTAAAAAGCCCCTTGACGGGTCCGTTGCTGGCACCTGCGCCATATGCACCCCCTTTTTCCCGGATCTCCGGGTGCAGATATTTATGCGTAAGGAGCTGGGATAGGACGCTGAGCGGCGCGCTCGATGGATCGACGAATGGAACAGTCTGCAAAGCCTGTCCAGAATAGTATACTTTATAGGGCAGATCATAGAAAGTCTTGTTGAAGGCCGGCTTGAATACTGTACCCTCAGCGACCGATACGGGTGATGCCGTTTGAGGCAATCCACCCAACCACTTTTGTAGCACTGATTCATTCTGGGCTGCGCTGTTCTGTTCACAAACTATGCGGACGCGAGTATTAGATGACCTAGAGATGGCAAAGGATTGAATAAGACGAAGTTTCTGAATGAGCTCGTCAAGGCGTTCCTTGGAGCTCTCGGCATCGCGAAGAAGGTTCGCCGTAGCCTGCAACTGCGCAAGGCCGGATTGCTGCTCTTGCACCCAGAAGCCGCGAGAGAGGCTAGCCGCTGCAGCATTGACTGCATATCGATGACCGACCCCGGCTACAGAATCGAGAGCTCCGTTTGTCGTCAACCGCAAAAGCTCCTGGATTTTACTCGGCGCAGAAGCACTGTTGAAATCCGTCTCGGTGATAAGAGTCGAGAGAATATCAAGCATAGCAGGCACATTTTGGTCAAGAGCGAACCCAGAAAACTGCAGGCCCTCGTTGAATCTACCCAACTCTGTCGGCGATGAGGAAAGGAATGTTGACGTCGAGACTCCGCCAGTCTTTAGTTTAATCAAATCCTCCCACTGTTCCATCGACTTATTAGCTGTGCCGAGACGCATCACGCAGTCATTGAACAGCGGCATCAGTAGACGCAGATCATCAGGAAGGTCCTCAAAGCCATTCAGGGCCTGGAAGTATGTGAGGCCGTTCGTGGGAGCCTCACGCCAGACAACATCAACGCCATCAACCTTCGATTCACGTACGGGCTTGAATTCCTTTTGCCTTGATATATCCTTGACGTGTACAGAAGGCAAGCAGCTCAGATCAGAGTGCTGTGCATCTTCTTGGATCTTCAGTAACCGTAGTTCTTCCTCCTCGAGCTTAGAAACTGCGCTTTCGATAGATCCATGCTGCTCAATGAGCTGGGAAATCTTCCGTTCCTTGCGGATATTTTCCTTCTCGTCTAGTTCGGCGTTGAAAGTAGGAGATCCGGCCATTGTAAACGTCAAGCACTTATCGTTCATAAGATACTTCTGCATCAACGACTCGAGATATCCACCCTGTGCATATCTCCTTTTGAACTCGTCGATGACCTCGTTCCAAGCAAGCTCCTTCATGGGATCTGTTCCATTAAACCACGACGAAATCGTCTTCTCCATGACACCAAGTCCAAAATTGGCCGTCTTGTGTCTCAGCGCGAGCTCCAGTTGATGGAGGAACCCTTGCACCTTTTCATCGCTAAATCCAGTTGCAAGCGACTCCCGGAAGACATTCTGAATGGTATCTTTAACGGTTTGGACTTCTTCCTCACGGACGCCAGTTATTCCCACTGAAAAAATAGGGATTTTCCCCGACGTGTCTAGGCCCGTGTTTGGAGTGAAGGAGGATCCCAATCCACTTTCAATCAAAGCCCGATACACAGGCGAGCCATAGCCATCCAAAAGAAGGGAAGACAGTATTCCAGCGGAAAACGCCTCAACCACATCAGACGAATCTCCCATATACCAGGACGTCGATGTTTTAAATTGTCTATCCTCACTGGCAAATGTATCAATGGGCCCAGGGACTGTAACATTCACAGGACCATGGCTGAGGTCAAGGGGCAGTTTCACCTCCTTATCAGCCTTGCCCATGTCGAACCCATCTAGAACGTCGCCTATCTGTTTCAGATGGTCGCCAAGCGGCATGTCACCATATGTGACTATTTTGGCATTGCTAGGATGGTAATTTCGTTTAGAAAACTCAACCAGTTGCTTGTGAGTCAAGTCTGTAATATATTCCGGGTCTCCCCCGGAGTTATTGATTGCGGGAAAGATGCTCTCCTTGAATCTGATGTAGTACAGATAATTCGCGTCCGACATCTGCCCTTTCATTTCATTGTAAACAACACCTTTGAAGACAATATCTCCCAGTCGTTGTTTTTCATCTGCTTCTCCATCGCGAGTCTGCAGGGCATGTGGGTCCTCGGGGCCAAGTCTCCATCCTTCTTGTTTAAAGTCTTCCTTTTTAAGTAGAGGATGCAGTGTGGCGTCAAGGTAGACGGATAGCAGGTTCTGGAAATCTTGTCGATTGGTCGTGGCAAATGGATAGGTAGTGTGGTCAGAAGAGGTGAAAGCGTTCATGAAATTGGAAAGGGATCGGGGGAGCATCTTGAAGAAAGGGTCGCGAATGGGGTATCTATAGAATCAAGAAGAGTTAGTATCCATTCGTATAAGTTTGAAAGACAATCAACGCGGATGATGTACTTTTCGCTACCACAAAGAGTCGTGTGCTCTAGAATATGGGGAACACCAGTGGAATCTGGAGGATTTGTCTTGAAACCTATACCAAAAACATTATTTCTATCTTCCCTTGCGACATGCAAGTAGTCTGCATTTGTTTTGTCATGATTCAACAGCACAGCTGTCAAGTGTAGCTCAGGAACGTGCTTCTTCTCGCAAACGGTGAACCCTTGGAGCTTCTCTCCAACATTCGGAAAGTTCTCAAGGTTCGTCACTGTTGAGGCATGTCGTTTCAGGACAGAACCCCAGGGCCTAGTTAATCGGGCACGACCAGGGAGTTGCAAACTGGGGAGCCGGGCCTTGCCTCCCGTCAATGATGAACGCAGCATAATGGCACACAAAGCAAATAAACAAATCGGTATAGTGTCACAATGGTTAAAATGCAAACCCTTAAAGTTCAACAGATGGTAGTTTGTTCCCGAGCTCAGTTGATGGAGATCTGCGAGACCGCCACTCTGAGCGCGGAAGTCCGGATCAGACCTGGTCCTTTCGTGTAACAAATTTACCACAAGTGAGCCCGTAACCCTTATGAAGAAAATTCTGTTCCTCAAAATGCGGTCGAGGGGATTGGGGTGAGATTTTGGGCGAAGCTCGCAGTGCTTGATCTTTTTTGCTTAATCAATCGAACGCCGAGACCGTGACTAGATATTCCACGCTAATCCCAAACGGGTAACGCCACCCACATCTGTAAGGTTGGTTCCAAGTTCCAACTGTACCAGAGACGTGATTCAAAATGTAGGCTGTCTTATATTTCACTGACAATGCTCATGCAATAAATGCTTTGGTTCATATAATCGAAGATCACGACCGTGTACAGATGCCCACTATGTATGTCCATGAATATGCTATTATACTGAAGCAGGAATCTTATAAACCACTGACAAGGAAGCTCCCCAGGCTACCCACTGTCAACCCAGCGACAAGCATCAAACTCATAAATCCTCCGGCTGCCTCCCTCTCATCCTCATCAACCCACGATGCAGCACCCATCATGCAAGAGCTGCCAATGTACCCATTCGTCAATCCAAATAGCAATTGCACAATAAACAGGTAGAAGAAATCGCTTTCAACAACTGCTCCCATCCCACGAATATTGCAGAGAAGATACAGTGGAATGAAGACGAACCGGGAGACAGAGAGTGCAAAGACAAGTCCGGGACGACGATGGGACAGGGATAATGAAGGTACAGCAACAACGACTCTACCAAGAAGATCGCCTAGATTCCAGAGGAGGAAAGCGAGGGGGATGAAGACCGATGAGTCGAAGAGTCGGGACTTTGTTGAAGCATGGACGGACTGGATCTTTGCCGTGAAGACAGGGAAGACCATTGTCACTGCAAAACAGGTAAAGACTGCGAGTGCGAGCCAGCGGAGCTTTCGGAACAGGGTTGCGAGGGGGATTGATTTGTGAACACGAGTGGTGTCTATGCCATTCTCATCATCGTGGGTATGGTTCTCGAAGGTGAGTTGTTGCTCCTCTGGGGAGACGTCGTGAAGTTTTCCATCCATCAAATGAGATGTCCGTTTCAAGAGATGCAAGAATGCAAACAGCGTGAGTACTAAAATAATCGTGGCGGTCATAAAGTAGATGAATGCCGATATGGGTGATTCTGTTGGTGGCTTAGGTGGACCATCATCGTTATTGTTTCCCTGGCCATCATTGCCATTTCCATCCTCCGGAACGGCCAACACAGATAGGATCTGCACAATGCACGGTAGCACGCCTGCGACACCTTGTCCGGCCATAATGGCCTGGGTATATTCCTCCCTCCCAAATATGGAAACGTAGGCAAACACGCCGTTCTGGTTAATCCCCGTGGCTAGACTAGTCCCGAAGACCATGAGCATCAGGAACACAAAGTATACGCCCACGGAGACGGCATTCACGATAATTGTAGAGAATGCCAAGAGACTGAAAACAACGATATTAATGATCAATGAAACGAGAATTCGTCGAGGATAAGATGCATCTTTCTGCAACTTCGCCAGGATGAAGACAGAGCCCAGATTGGTGACAGTCGATACGGAAAGGATAGACGATTGGTAGTGGTTTGCGGCCCAGTCATTGGATTGGAAACGACGAGAGAAGTATGGTGCTGCCGCAAGGAACATATTCCTAATTCCATCATTCTTGTTAGATGCAACGTATAGTTATGTACTGGGCAGAGTGGCTTCATGCAGATGAGCGGATCATGTTCGTGATCCGCACAACTGAGATATAATACATACCATGCCCAAAGCATTGACACCCCGAGTAATAGGAACACGGAGTATTCGAATCGGGAGAAGGGAGCACCTGCTGGGCTCTTCTTACTCCTCGCTAATCTGGCATCAGCATCACCTGCGTTGACATCGCCGGTGGCTATTGGTTCGTAACGATCTCGGGGAGCGAAGACTCGCCGTAAACGATTCATCTTGCTGTCACTGTATTGGGTTCCCTTCTTCTGAGGATGATGAAAGAGATAGAGGTACACACCATCACCATCACCATCAGAGAAGGGAGATGGAATGACGGCATCAGTGAGCGCATCCAGATAAGAATCACGTGGGATGAAACCATCCGGCTTAGTTAACTAACGTATTTCCCGGTCGAGCGGGCCACCTCATCAAATTTCTACGCGTTTTACTGCTTCAACTAATTCAACCACCAACCATGCCTCCAAAAGTGCGTCAAAATTCAAGAAATTCAGCTGAAAAAGAGGGAAATATCTTACTTGCTATTTCTGATTTAGAAAAGCAGGAAATTTGCAATATTCGCGAAGCAGCATGTGTTTATAATATCCCATGTACAACCCTCCAGCGACGACTTAATGGACTCACTTCACGCGCAGAAACACGCACCAATGGCCATAAATTGACTCAAAATGAAGAGGAATCCTTTGTATGATAGATTCTATCACTAGATCAACGTGGAGCAGGCCCCCAACCATCCCAAATACAAGAAATGGCCAAAATTCTTCTTGCAGAGCGTGGTACAACACCTATCCAATCAATTGGAAAGAATTGGATCTCTAGCTTCATTAAACAGTGTGATGAAATGAAAACATGCTATTCTCAATGCTATGATTATTGACAAGCGAAATGTGAAGATCCCAAAATCATCAAGGAGTGGTTTGATCATGTACAAATTACTATAATGCAACATGGGATTGTACAGGAGGATATCTACAATTTTAATGAGACTGGCTTTGCTATGGGCCTAGTAGCTACTGCTGTAAAGGGGGGCGTACGTGCGTTGTTCCCTGCAACATGAACCGGGTTGTGATCGAGGGATCTCAGGAATGGACACCCTGAACGATCTAGTAAGGAAATGATATAACAAAAGAAACACAACAACAATGGAGCCTCGCTCCTATGTGACAACATTGACAAAAACAATACTAGTGAAGCAACCTAGAAACCAAAAGAATGCTCAATTTCTCGTAACTATCAGGGAGGGAACTCTCCATTAGTATGTCGGAGACCGCGGCTCTACGGTGTTCTGAGATAGGAAATATGGGAGATCCGGGGTTTCGCGGTGCCCCCGACACACCACCAATTGAATCATAAGATTGCAAAGCTACAGAGAAGTCTGAATAAAAAGAGACAGCTATCTAGCAGTCCTATGTCTCATCTTCAACATCTTGAGAAGGCTGCGCAGACTGCAATGAATATGAATATTCTTCTTCACCAAGAGATCAAGTCTGTACGGGCAGAGAATGAGAGAAAGATGAAAAAGAAAAAAAAAAAGCACGGAAGCAGACTGCTATAGGTATAGATACTATTCTCTCTGTACAGGAAGGTCAGAGGCATGTTCAACAGCTGAATACACAGGCTCAAGAGGTTGAGGCCCAGGTTAAGGAGTCTGTATCTAGGTCTCGCCAGCGTGCTCCACAACACTGCAGTGGCTGTGGGACTATTGGTCATACAATAAGGCGTTGCCCTACTAAATATCTACTCAGTTGGTTAGCTAGATAGTTGAATTAAATGGTGTTGGTGGTTGAGAACCTCATAGATTGTAGTGGTTGCGGAGAAAATGGGCCGCTCGCCCGTGGAATACGTTAGTTAAGATATTATATAAAGGCACTAAACTAAATAGGTCAGCGTGGTTGGCACATTTCATCTAGGAAGGCGGAATATATGGGCAGAATTCGGGACCATGCTGAGGGATTTTGGAACCACGGCGAGCTGGCACCCGGTTTGGGGCCCTATCCGTCCGATCACCCTTAATTTATTCGACTAGGAATTATTCAAGAGCAAGATTATGTTTGGAAGATTACGATATCTTTTCCATCGGCCATCTGAGTCTTTTCAGATTCTCTCAGACCTACATCTAGAGGTTGGCCGACAGTATTCATCCTACGAAATTCCAGTTAATGCCAGATTTCTCATTCTTGCGGGCGACATTGGCCGGTTGGTCGACTATGATGACTATCGTAGTTTCCTACAAAAACAGACAGATAGATTTCAGTTGGTATTTCTCATTCTCGGGAATCATGAATTCTACGCTGGGTCGTTTACAGCTGGAGTGGAGAAAGCTAAACAACTTCAGCGGGAGCCTTCTTTGAGCGGACGCCTAGTTGTACTCCATCGGCAACGGTATGATGTACCAGGCTGTTATACCACCATTCTGGGATGTACTCTTTGGTCCAAAGTGCCTTTTGAGGCAAGGGAAATAGTCGAATCCAAAGTCAAGGACTTCCAGAAAATCGACGACTGGACAGTTGACAACCATAACGCAACGCATGATTCGGAACTTGCATGGTTACTGAAAGAAATACAGTCCATACGTCAGGAGAATGAAACGGCGAGAGCGCAGGCCCCAAAAAGAACTATTCTTGTTGTGACGCATCATGCACCTTCTCTCAGGGGAACATCGAGCCAGAAAACGCGCAGAATACTTGGAGATTCGCTTTTGGGACTGATATTCTATCACAAATGCCGAGCGAAGTAAAATCCTGGGTGTTCGGGCACACACACTATAGCACTGATTTCAAGGAAGGAGGCATAAGACTTGTTAGCAATCAACGGGGATATGCACTTCCTTGGAAAAACATCGATAGCAAGTTTGACGCTGGGAAGGTTATACGAGTGCCATGAGATTCAGGTGCTTATTGGTATGTACTCTATCGTCTAGTTGACAATGACCGAATAATAATGATCAAATGACCCTTTGCGTTTTGCTCTCTTGAACCCACGACCTCGACACATCGTTCAAAGAAGGTGCTAAACCCCTGACTGGGATTTTCTTCTAAGATTTCCAATTTCGTTTAATAAAAGCCTTTAGCTCAGCGAAAACCTCCTCGATTGGATTTAAATCGGGCGAGTATGGCGGCAAGTATACCGATTTAACACCTGCGTTGGCGCATATCTGCTCAATCCGATCGGAATGATGGAATGATGCATTGTCCATAACTAGGACAGACTTTGGTTCTGGCCATTTCCCACGATGTTGGAGCAGTTGTTCGATGAAATCTTCAAAGACTGCGGCATCGGTCGAGCCCTGGAAGGCACGAGACAGCACAATCCCATCCTGAGCGTCTGCAGGCAGAATCTGATATCTCCGGTCACGGTGAAATTTGGCCACTTGAGTCGGCGTCACGCCAAGTGGTGACCATCCAGTTCGTCCGAAGCCTATTCGTGGATCACATCCAGACTCGTCTACAAAGACTAGCTGAAACGAGTGGAAGTCTGAATATCATGGTTATAAGAATCCCGCAGGTCCGGGTTGCGCTCTTTCGCTTTGTTTTGAGCTGTCTTTGTTTGAGCTGTCTTTGTTGACCAACCAATACACTTGAGAGCTCTGCTAATGGTGCACCTCGGCACCTGTAAGTGGAACTCATCCCATAGGAAGACGGCCATTTCATCTAGGTATAAGCCAGGCTTTCCAGGATGCGGTCACAGAGGGCATTTAGCATCGAAGAGGTGAGCACACGCCGCCGGCCAGCGCGAATCAGAGGTGATCCGGCATCATCGAACACTCGTAGGTTCGAGTGGATATTATAAACTGACTGACGGCTGCACTCAGCTGCCTTGGCAATCTCAGATATAGTGAACGGTTTATCATCCTTGAGCATATCACAGATAAGCTGTACTTTTGACAATGCTAGCCTTGGTGCCATTCTGACTACAACGGTCGGAATGGCCCTCTGAAAGTGCTAGGAACACTCGAGTGTCACAGATGATAGATACATTACACAACGGTACTGAGAATGTTCGAGAATCTCTATCATGTGACTTCAAGTTACCGTACATGTAAGATTTCATTACCATAGTTTATCCAAAGTTAGCTAACCTTATTCATAATGATATGGCGTCTTGGCATACCCGTCCCGAAAAAACTGCAAGTGTTGAATTGTCAAACTGATTTTGCAACCCACTGTATTAGCCTCCCTCAAGGATCTTCTTCCAGCTCCCTACTACATACTGCCCTGCTACATAATTCATAGGCTTGCCTCCATCTTAGTCCGTGCTTCAGAAGTACGTACTCGCCGCGAGGTATTAAAAGATTGCCTCTCTGGATTCGCGACTTCAAGCAGAGATAGAATCTGTCTGTGGCATCTGCACAACTCATACAGCCAGCACCAGTAACTGCCCTTATTCACGCCTTGCGCAATTTTATTCAAAACGCCATCACTGCTGGGATAGCAGGGGTTCTCATATGTCAAATCGATCAACTAAAATTGCAGTAGATATGTTAATTTTGACAATTATCCAGTAGTTTTACAACATGTATGCCAAGGCGTCGTTGTGTTTGCCGCCATATGGGCACATGATCTGGTGATGACCTAAGTTGTGTCATTCTTTCATGACATTGCGCTGTAACTGGGGATATTTCATCAACATCGGTCAAATATCTCTCATCTATGGATCCAACACCCGAGCTTAAGCTCCAAGAACACATTGGAAATCACCGAGGTGCCTGCTTCGCCGCCTGCTTCGCCACCTGGCTCCATTTATCTGCATTCCGCTTCATCAAGACAAGCACAATACCGCTCAAGAAGCAGAGGATGCAGGCGATGGTGAACAGCCATCCGGTTCCAATGGCATTGATAAGCGGCTGCGTAATGATAGCAGCCACACATGCCAGCGAGTTTCGGAAAAGATTGTTCACTGCAACGCCGGTGCTGGAGCTTTTCGGGACAAACTCAGTCAGCATCGTTGTCGCGACGTTGGAAACCATCATCATTCCGAAACCGTAGAAAAAAGTGGAGAGGCACTATTGGTTTCTCATTGTTAGTAAATTGCGGGATTCTAAAGGAGAGTGCGGAGGGGATGCTTCTTGTGGTTCATACCGGGACAAGCCAGAAAACATGCTTGTCGGCAGTCCAGCCAAACCAGAGCATGGCAGCAGGGAAGAGCACGGCAGCAAGCCATACATTCTCGTTCATCCGATCAACCGGTCGCACGATGAGGTTGCCTTGTTCGTCGTATCTGCCCTGTCTGATGGCTTCCCGGCGCATCACGTAGTCAGTCCAGCAACCACCCAGGACAGAGCCCAGAATGGAACCCAGAGCGCTGGGTATATATATGAGACCGACGATCATGGTGGAAAACGAGTAGGGTTCGTTTGAGAAAACCGACTGCACAGAAATATTGACCAGGTAATAGCTACCAAAGGCAATACCGGTGTAGCAGCAGGTCGCCAGAATAGGTCTGTGTTTGAGCAACACGACAGAGCGCAGAGGAGCCAATGATAATGCCACTATTTTACATATTCTAGCCTGGATTTGAGAAGACAGGCTCTTCTTCTCAGATTCATCCGCCATATCCCGCGTGGTCGTCGCTGTCTTTGGCTTCAAGCTCGATGTTTCAGGAAGGAAAAACAGCATGAGAAAGAACATAAGCGTGCCATAGATAACCATGAACCACTGCGTACTGCGCCATCCCCATCTGATTGCCAGGGCGCCCCCGATAATGGGTGAGACGAGAGGCCCCAGCGTCGGTCCCAGAAAGAAGATTCCCATGGCTTGTCCTCTTTCCTTGGGGGGCCAGATATCGGCTACTGATCCGGCGCCGACTGATTGCACAGAGGCACAGGCGCCGCCGGCCAGAACTCGCATGACTATGAACATATCAATGGACACGCTGACGGCTGCGAGGATGTTGAAGATGGCCAGCAGGAAGAATGAAGTTAGGTAGGTCGCACGACGGCCTGAGGATTCCGACAGGTAAGACCACCAAAGCGGGCAGAATGCCACGGAGAGAGAATAGAACGCGACGGACAGATTGACCTTGGTTTGTGATGTGTGGAAGTGTCTTGCAATGGATAGAAGGACAGCTGAAGAGCCTGTCTGTCAGCTTTCTCGGGGTACAGGTTGCGTTATCCACTGCCGGTCAAACAGAAATGCACTTACGCATTAGAATAGTGCTCCCCATTGGCGATGCAAGCCCACCCAGAGATATAATTGTGGTCAGAAACCATCTTGTCCGGTGAGAGTATTCTTTCGCATCAGCAGTGGGAGGAATCAAGACCAAGAAGCCCAGAAAGCCCCGAGGCTTGGGCTCTGAGGGCCCTGTGACGGATGGCAGTGTATAATTCTTCTCAGAGAGAATATCTGCTGTCTCTATCGTAGGAGGATCTCTTTGAACGGCATGTTCTATGTCTGTATCAATTGTTGGTTTCTGGACGGGCGATAGTCCAGGCATCTCGTCCGTCCCTGTCCCGCAGTGCGGCAGTCGCCAACTACTTCAAAATGACCTCGAAATCGGCTCTGATAATGGGAATCCATCGGGTCTCTTTTCATTTAAATATCCCGGTTCCTATATTCAAGTTGGCCTTCACCGATCTGACGTCCGTCCAACTCCATCCCAAGTCCGACGTGCTGACCCGAAGCCCGAGCAACCCCGTCGAAGTCCGCGTCTTACGGGGATATTGTTGCCTGTGTTTTTCAACTTATTTATACCTGCTACTAAGCCCTGGTAAACAAGTCTTTGCACAGTCGAAACGACTAGACAGTTTCGCGGGGGGGGTTCGACGCAGCTTCAATGCTTTTAGGGTTGCTGGTTAGGGCTGACAAGCCTCGGTTGAGCAAAACCACTTAACTACTACTACGACCACAGCGCAGCAGTGTCTCTGAAAGGCCGATACGATGACATCAAACAGGGTGTTTAAATCATTTAGGATTGCCCTGGTGACCAGCAGTATCCGTCAACCTCGTCTAAACCCTTACATTACCGCCGATGTGCACCAGGCGCTCACCAACCTCAAAATCAGCCCGATCCTACCAGACAACAACCATAACAATATCTCCCTTGAGATCGTCGACATCGCGGAACAGGGTCTACCACTACATGATGAACCCGTCGTCCCATCCTTACACCCCGCCTATAACCCAGCACCTCACTATATCCACGCACATACGCGCGCGCCTGGTCTATCAAAATCCGCCAATTCGACGCCTTCATCTTCGTCACCTCGCAGTACAACTCGTCCGTACCGGCCAGTTTAAAGAATACCCTGGACTATCTTTACCACGGGTGGAAGGGGAAGCCCGCGGCTGTTGTCTCCTACGGGGGTCGTGGGGGTGGGAAGTGTGCCGATCATCTGCTAACGGGGATTATTCCGGGGCTGAGGATGAAGCCGGTGCTAAATACGGTTGCGTTGAAGACTTCCGTGGGGTTGTTGGAGGAGACGGTTAAACTGGGGAGGATTAGTGATGGGCTGGTTGGGGAATGGAGATGGGGTGGCGTGGAGGAGGCTGTTTTGGGAGCTTGTCGATGCGTTGGAGGCGTCAGCATAGTTTTGAATAATATTGATCAGCATCACGGAGTAGTAGTGAGGCAAGGAAAATAAATAGATTGTACGACCTACATGCATGCTTCATATCAATGCTCGACATTGAGTACGCGTCCCTTGCATTTGCGACTATTATCGCCGATCTTCAGTCCTGGGTTCACTGTAATTTAGGAAGTAATACTAATAATAATAACATACTTGATACATCTACGGAGTGCTGATCGCATCATCATATTGATTAGGTGATTGTATTCCTTTTTCTGCGAATCTATGTACATAACGTATATAGCCATCTTCTTTACTTTTTTTTACCCCTTTCCCCAATGAACGACATGTCAATAGTGCCGTTGAAGGCATGAAACTAAAAGTCGGTGTAGAAGACTAGTGGGAGCCCGACTTAAGTCAAGAAATATTTGGGCCCCTCTCCACCTTGAGGAGTTTGCCAATTGATGTCTTGGGTAGGGACCTTAATATCACAAGTCTTGCAGTGAATACAGCTGTACAGGTGTTAGTGCCCATATAGGTCTAGCAGTCCTCAAAGATAAAAGAACTATTGCTAAATCGGAAACACGGGAGAACGGGGGAGGGGGGAACGTACTTTTGAGAATTGATCTGGAAACGGACACCATGCTTCTTGGAAGGATCCTCAACATACTCATACACACCTGCGGGACAGAATCGATTTTCGATGCCCTTGTATTTGGGCCAGGCAGCATCGGTGTGCTTGTCCCAGTCCGCCACTTGAAGATGTACGGGCTCGTCTTCCTCATGGTTGGTACCAGTTCGCATCACGCTCGTCATTATATCAAAGCTGATCTTGCCATCTGGCTTAGGGTACTCAATCTTCTGACACTCTGCGGCCGTTTTGGTAGCCCCAGGGTCTGTGTGGCCGTGTCTGAAGGTCCACGGCTCCCGCCCGCGGAGGACGAAGGCTGCCAATCCTGAGTAGGCAAGGCCACCCCAGAGGCCGAGAGGGCTGTTGAACGAGGGTCGCATGTTGCGCACCTCGCGCAGTTCCTTCCAGATCGAGGACTTCCTAAGGGCCTCTTCATAGCTGTACAAGAAAACCGATCCCTTGTCGTCGCCCCGCAATGCTGCGAATGCCGATTCTGCCGCGAGAATTCCGGACTTCATGGCTGTATGAGTACCTTTGATCTTTGGCACGTTCAAGAACCCAGCCGAGTCGCCAATGAGAGCACCTCCAGGGAAAGCACACTTCGGAATGGATTGAAAGCCGCCCTCATTTAGCGCCCTGGCGGCGTACGAGATGCATTTCCCGCCTTCAAGGACTTCTTTATAGATAGGATGGTGCTTCATCTTCTGAAATTCCTGGTACGGCGATAGCCACGGGTTGGGGTAGTCTAGACCAACGACCAACCCTATGCTGACCATATTATCGCCAAAATGGTACATCCAGCCACCGCCGTATGTGTTTCTTGGCAAAGGATAACCGAGGGAATGGGTGATCTCTCCCGGTCTGAACTTCTCCGGCTGAACCTCCCAGACCTCCTTGATACCCAGTCCGTACGTCTGAGGTTGGCTGTCTCTTCTGAGATCGTACTTCTTGACGACTTGTTTGGTCAAGCTTCCGTGGCATCCCTCTGCCAGCAGGGTGACGCGAGCATGGAATTCCATTCCCCGTTCGAAGGTCTCCTTAGGCTGGCCATTTCGATCCAACCCCAGATCGTTCGTCGCAATACCAAGCACAGAGCCATCGTTCTTGTAGAGCACCTCACTAGCGGCAAAGCCAGGGTAGACCTCGACGCCAAGCTCTTCGGCACGTTCACCCAGCCACTTGACCAATTGACTCAAGCTGACAATATAATTTCCATGATTGTGCATTTGGGGTGGTGCCGGTAGAGGGAATGATGAATTTCGGGTGAGGAAGCGCATTCTGTCAACTTTGGCCGGGGTCGCATGTTCAAATCGAGAGGGGTTGTCTTCGGACAACCAGTCCGGTAAAAGCTCGTTCAGTGCAGTCGGCTGCAGTACATTGCCCGAGACAATGTGGTCTCCCAGTTCTCCTGCCTTTTCCAATACAATGACGCGAAATTCCTCGTTGCCCGCCTCATTGGCGAGCTGCTTCAGTCGGATGGCCGCTGCAAGACCGGCGGGGCCTAATTTTTGGTAATTTTCCGCATCAGCGAGCTGGGCACTACAAGGAGATCCAATAAGTAACGACGTTCTTACCGCCACCTACAATACAGACATCGACTTCGTCGGATTCCCGATCTAGCGTACGAGGATCGAAGCTCCCATCTTCAGTCGTAAATGTCCTTGCGGAAGACCGTGAAAAAGGTCGGACCTGATTCTGTGCATGTGTTATGCGGAGGTAGGCTGCGCGACGGGTAACCCGGCGTCCAGCGACCGAGAGTGCGCTGGCCGGACCTGCACGAGCAGGGTTTGCGACGGTCGACAATGATGAGTTGACACCGGGAAGCCGCACGGAAACCGGGCGCAATTCGCGGCGCAGCAGTGGCAGAACAGCGCCCTTGGAAGCCATTGTTCTGCGAGGGGGGAACAAGCAAGAAAGGCCGGGGGCTAGGTGACAGGGAAGCACATCAGCAGCAGAAGTAGATAACGTTATTGAGTCACAGTGCCGGTCCGGGTCGGTTCTTGGAAAGAAGAAACACACCGAGGCTAGGTGAGAGTATCCGTCAGGCCAATAGGCACGGCGGTAATGGCATCTGCGGTATCCGATTGGGACAGCCGGTGCGGAGTCGTCCGTGTTGAACAGTGGCGACAAGCTCAGGAATGGGGGTATCGACGCGGCAGATAACAGGGTGTCGCTGGTGTTCTTTTTATTCCGGGATCAGAGAGAACGGAGCATTCGATGGTGATTGTAAATGATGCTGCAATGCGTGCAGAACAGTGTGCTTGCATTGTTTCCTAAAACGGACACGGCCTGGCCTGGATTAGTCATCTACAAGTGATGCGGCAGTATACCGATACACCGCTTCCCGAAAATGGCCTAACTAGTTAACTAGTGTTTTCTGTTAGAGGTCATGTGTATTCTGCCATATTAGACCGCCCTCGCTTGGCCTGACACTAAAATAGCTAGACCAACCTAGATAGAGACAATACAAGCAAGTTGATCTAACATTTTCACCGAAGGAGATGACTAAGCAACCGCTCATCTAATGGAGGTATATCCTTGGTTGGTTACTAGCTAGATAGGCCTACATGGTGAAAAGGGTCTGCGAGGGCGGACCTATGCGGCAGAATCCCACGTGATCCAACAGTAGGAACCGGGTAGGTAGGCGGTGGGGGCACGATTACCAGGTGAAACCCTCCACGGCCGATTTGCTGCCCGCGTACAAAGCGTGGCCGGCGATCCCAATCCCCGCGGCGATGGATGACATCAGGATCAACGTTCCGCGGGGACGAATGTGAAGAAGTGCGTTCTTGGCGACGAAGAACTGCGCGCGCGTGTTGAGGTCGAAGACCTGGTTGAAGTCGCCCAGTGTCGTGGTTGTCAGGGGCGCGAACTTCTCCGTGCCGGAATTGGAGACGACGATGTCGAGGTATTGGAATTCGTCGATGACTTTGCAGAAGAGCGCGTCTATCTCTTCCACCTGTGTAAGGTCTGCTTGGATTGCCACGGCCCGCACGCCGTAGGATTCGATTTCTTTGACCAGCTTCTCGGCGGAGTTGGGGCTGTGGGCATAGTTGACGGCGACTGAGGCGCCCTTTTTGGCGAGTTCCAATGCTATTCCAGCGCCGATGCCCCGTCCGCCACCGGTTACCAGGGCGAATTTTCCTGCCAGGGGCTTGTAGTTGGAGTCCATGGTGTGGTGAATAGGATATAGGATGATACGAGAGAACTAAGGGGGGTAGAGACGATGAATACTGTGAGGAGAACACAATTTATATGCTTGTATTCCTGCCATTTCCAACTCTACTGTCTGTTGGGAGTCCAGAAAGCTGACGTGGAACCAGACCCCGGCATGAGACATCGGAGGATAAACAACCTTGAATGCCAGGGAAACCATGGCATTTCCAAGCTGAAGACCCATGCTTTAAACCCCGGTTGGACCGTGTCTCGGATGATAAGATGGATGCTGGTTCAAAGCAGGATTGGTGCTATAGATATCAGCGCATAGGGTTGGTGTTTTCCCTGATGTACCTCGTATTTCCACGATGGGCCTGTCGATTGATATGTCATCTCTGTCTGTCATCCCGTTTTATATCAAGGCTGTCATCAGGGCATTGAATACGGATGCAGACTGACCGTTCTCGCCTTGCTTATCAGAATCCTCCACCTCCCTACTTACCTCTACCTCTCTCCATGGAGGTCTCCAGGAAACGTCGCTACAGCATGCTTTACAAAGCGCAAGACGAACACAGTCCACCCCGTGGGTATCACCAGGTCGCGGTGGTCATCATCCTGTGTATGTCCCACTTGCTCACGCAGGCTGGCCTGGGACAGGCTATTGCTCCACTGTACATCATCGCCGGCGACCTGAACCCCAGGTCGCCCGGAGAACTGCGATGGTACGCGGCCGCATACAGCTTGACCGCGGGCACCTTCATCCTGATCGCGGGCCGCCTTGGTGACATGTACGGTAACCGTCTCATGGTGATTGTCGGATATGTCTGGTTCGCTGTATGGTCGTTGGTCGCTGGCTTCGGCGTCTATGGCGGACATATCCTTTTCATCGTCTCGCGGGCACTGCAAGGTATCGGGCCTGCGATTCTGCTGCCCAACTCGCTCGCGATACTGGGAAAGGTATACCCTCCCGGCTGGAAGAAGAATGTCGTCTTCTGTGTCTTTGGTGCATTGGCTCCGAACGGGTTTGTGCTGGGCGCTCTGTTCTCGAGCATCTTCGCCGAGCTCGCTTGGTGGCCGTGGGCGTACTGGGTCATGGCCATCGTGTGTGTTGTCCTGTCTATCCTGACATACCTGGTCGTTCCAGCCCCAGCATCCCTTTCCACTGCAGATAGGGGTGTCCTGGATATCTTCGGTTCCATCACCGGGGTGGCGGGACTGGTCGTGTTTAACATCGCCTGGAATCAAGGCCCCAGCGTCGGCTGGCAAAATGCATACACGTACATCCTTCTCATCATCGGAGTCGTGCTTTTCACCCTGTTCTTCCTCATAGAATCCCGCGTTAAACACCCCGTCGTGCCGGTGAAGGCGTTCAACCTCGACACCATCCTCCTCCTCGGCTGCATTGGATGCGGCTGGTCGAGCTTCGGCATCTGGCTCTTCTACAGCTGGGAGTTGTCCTTGGAACTCAGACATTACAGGCCGCTCAGCGTCGCAGCCCAGTTCGTCCCTGTCGGCATATCCGGTATTCTGGCTGCGGCTTCGGTGCCGTTCCTGATGCGCCGGTTCGGCCCACAGTATATCATGCTGTTGGCCATGACGGCGTTCACGGTTGGCTCTGTCCTGATAGCAACGGCACCGGTGAACCAGGTTTACTGGGCGCAGACTTTTGTATCTATCATCGTCATGCCGTGGGGCATGGTATATGTTCCAGCGTCCACCTGGCTCGGAGACTTGCTGACCTACATGCACAGGACCTTTCATTCCCCTCCGCCAACCTCATCCTAAGCAACTCCACCCCGCGAGAGCACCAGGGGGTCGCGGCCTCGCTGGTCAACACAGTAATCAACTACTCAATCGCCATCGGACTCGGCGTTGCAGGGACCGTCGAGTCGCAGGTGAATAGGGACGGGAGGGACGTTCTACGTGGCTTTCGAGGCGCTTATTACGCGGGAATTGGCCTGGCCGCAACGAGCCTGATCGTCTCGTTGGTTTTTGTGGTTACGAGATTTCGGAGGGTGGAGGTCAGTCAGCTCAAGACAGCTGATAGCAGCCATAATAGTAGTACGACTGAGGTTGGGTCCGGGACTGAGATCGGCTGATCGTTCTTTTGTCACTGCCTAAGTAATTCTGTCTGGTTCAGGTGTCTACTCGGTTATGACAGGTTAATGATACTGTTCTTGGTAGACGGATTACCAGGAAATCCAGAACAATCCCTTGCTTTGCATCCAAGCAGATATTATACTATCCACCCCTTTCGGGAATGTGGCATCCTTTGCTACATGCAAGTTGGCAGCGCATCGGCAGATTATTCCTCCCCAGCCATCTTCATCCTGACCAGTAGATACTAGATTCCAGGCCACTGTCTCACGAAAGCAGGTCTCTGCAATGTCGGTTCGGTAACTCCACTACTGACTACTCTGGATGTATCACACGGAACGTGCGGATTGATTGCGCCTACTATCGGCAGCTCTGTTCTAAACCCAACTGCCGTGACATCTCCCAGCCCTAAGAACAACCACAGCCCAAAGCCAACCCCCCAAACAATATCGTTCACAGCCTCGAAATACTCAACAGTGTCCGTGCCCAAGTCTGCGACATTCATACGCCTATATTCAGTCATGTAGGTGGAGTATTAGGCCCATCTTGATCGGCTGGTTGATCGCGGATAGCATCTGCTCGATTATTCGAATAGACGTGTAAAATCTGCCGAAAAATGTCTGCTAATTTATCGAATTCAGTTGTTGAAATGTAGACTAAATGAGCCTGCATGACACCGGTATATAACATTGGGCGAACTGCCCGACTGGACGTTGCTTGTTCAGCATCGATCAAATCGAACCCCAGAAGCTCCCAACAGTCAACCTTCAGTCCCAGATCATATCTGGAGAACAACCCGTGTCTCTGTCCTTCGAGGGTTCGCTCGGGCAATCTTCTCAGATCCCTCATGATCCCATGGAGGGAAGCCGCAGAGCTTGCTGAATACAGGACGATGAATTCCGTAGGGGCCTTGGGATATGAAGTTCAAAAAATTCCGATCTGGCCAACCATAATTCATCCTGAATCTAGTCTGAATGATCAAATATAAAGGCGATTCATAGCCGGTGATCATAGGCGTGTCTTTGTAGATCAAAGGTCAAGCGAGGTGCACTACCCATAGATGGACTACCAGCGGCCAATTGCAGTATTATCACAGGTGAATAATCATTAATCTATATACACTACTCCATAACCTATTTATGTACATCCCATGGATATGTGTAACGTAACGCCCATTATTAACCGTCCATACAAATTGGCATTGGGAATCATCACGTTGAAGTTGAGCTCAGTGCAGTGGCGAATCTCTTGACAGCCGTTCAAAAGGAAAGAAAAGAGACAAAAAAAAAAAAAAAAAAAAAGACCAATGCTAGTCCCGCCCCGTGTCCTGCTTTTATTCCATCCCCAGATAAACCATTCACATGCAGAACAGAAAATCAAGATTTCGATATATTTTCTTGTTGGTGCGGTGTTAGATGTGTGAGGGATAGCTCGGCCATTATTTGGTTGTAGATGTCGTTGGTATATTCGGGTTCCAGGGAACGCAGCAAGCTCTTATTCCAGAGGCTTGTTCAAATGGTAGGTAGGTAGGTGGAAGCGAGTTCTGATTAAACTGCAGAGGGCTCTTGCAAACTTTCGTCGCTCACCACCGATGTTGCCGGCGATGCGAGACCTGAAATCACGGAAGAAGTCCCCGCAATCCCACTGCCTAGCGCCGAATCAGCATTCATCGCATCGTCAAGGGTAGCCGCGCCCGTAAACCGCAACGGCTGCTGCGTCGTTGGCTTGGCGGAGCTAGCCATGAGTTCATCGATGCCCGGCTTCTCGGGTACGTGTACGTCAAGGGCCGTGGCGTTGTCGAGACTCTCCATGGCGAATTCAAGGAAGGTGGCATCTTTCTTGCTCACGCTGAGCGTCCAGCGATATTCGCATAGGCGGATCCGGTAGAATTCTGCTTCCTCCCTCGTGGGTGCGGTGATGCGCAGGAGGATACCAAACGAGCCGATAAGCGCAAAGTTGGTGCGTGCGGCGGCTGGCCAGAAAGATCGCAGATGGGCCTGGCGGAGGCGGTTCACGAAGTCCATGGTGGAGATGAGACGGGTCTTTGCGGCGGAGCGGCAGATGTGAGAGAGATAGGAGTCGGCGGTTTCGGGGGTGATGGAGCGGATGATGCAGCGGTGCAGGGTGATTTCGGTGGCAAAGTACGCGAGGTGCAGGGTGCCATTACGGGCGGTCTCCTTGGTGGTCGAGTCAAACAGCTCGTTGGTCGCATCCATCTTCAACTGTGCCGGGAGGGCCGAAAACCACTCCTTCAGACGGATCTGTACCGGCTTGGCCTTGTCCAGGATCATCCGCGTGCGGAAGTTCCCCGCCGCCTTGAAATCCTCGATGGACTGCAACGTGTAGAACCGGTCAAGAATATCGGCGAGGATGGTGGTGAGAGCGACCATATGGCAAAAGAGCAGAGGGCCGTGACCCACGGTGTCGTCCTGCCGGGGGTCTGGGTGAAAGGCGTCGACGAAATCCTGTTCCACCAAGTCCTGGACGGTCCAGTTGGACGCGAAGATGTGAGACGGACGGCCATGGACGAGCGACGACCACTTATCCTGCATGTACAGCGCCCACGCCAGCCGTTTCCGGAGACCCTTTTCCCACGTCTCCATCTTCCAGTTCGAACAGTCCTGATGCAGCCCTAGTTCGAACCCCGCTGTGATCAGCTGACCGTTCAGCGCGGACGTATTCAGAGAAGACTTCTGCATCAGGAGTAGACCGGCCTGGATGGTTGAGATACTCGCATACGGCAAGGACTCGGTGAGTAGTCGTAGCGCGGTGGTTTCGAGACGGCCGACCTCCAACCGGCGTACCATCTGCGAACCGGATCCCACGTCCACGAATCTCGACGCCAGAACATACACCGACGCCAGTAGCAGGGGCGGTAGATTGTTCCTCGTACGGTACGACTGGCGAAAGGCGGCCTCCATGAGGACGGGAAACGTCGGGTGGACATGCTCAAAGAATTTCTCGATCAACGTTGAGCCGTAGGGGGCAACCATGCCCTCAATGGCATCCAAGGAGACGGAATGCGGATCGCCCCAGGATTCCGCGTCAGCCATGCGCATAAACGTGCCGTCGTCGCTGAATTTCCGGACTTTGGAGGTGGACACGAGGCCCTCATCGTTGTGATCTAGCGGTAGATGGTCCAGCAGGGCCGGTTCCAATTCGGTAGTCATGCCGATGTGTTTGGTGGACCGGCACCACATGCCGGATGCCGACTGCTTCGAGCCGCTGGACTCGGGGGTGTCTGTTTTGGATACAGGAGTGGTGACTGTGGATATTCTGCGAAGGCCATTAGCCCCGTGACCGTCGCACCTGGCCGAGATCACGATCGACGTTCAATGTGACAGGGACCATGGACCGTTCCCGATGTCATGTTCGCATACCTTTTGACGGACTCCACATCCTCCGAAACAACGTCGTCCAGCTTTCGCTTCCTCGGGTGAGGCTCGCCAGACTTGGGGGAGGTAGCACCGCCGGACAGGGTAAACGTACAGTCCTGGCGATGAAAGTCACACGAGTAGCACTTGTTGACCATTTCGTTCATAGCACACCTACTCTTTCTGCGGAGACAGGCGTCGCAGGCTGATCCATCCCTGCCGGGAGTATGGGACACGGGGGAGATGACAAGGGAGAAGTCGGAGGGAGACACAGAGCCCATGGGCTGGGCGCGGCGGCCAAGGGGACGACGGGGGGAGTTATGAGGGAGCAGATCCGACACTGACGGCGAGGTAACAGCAGCCGTGGCCGTGGAGGACGGCTGGACGGTGATAACCGTGGCCATTTGGGGTTTAAGACGCGAGATATGGCGATGGAGATAAGATAGACCAAGCGATGAATAATGGAGTGATTGGGATTATGTCCTGGCAGTCCGTACGGAAGGTCCAAGAACGTCGTCCAGTTCAACGGCCAGCACTGCACGGCGACATGTACGAACCGCAGAGACGAGGCTTATCGGGATTCCGTTGATGGAAAGTTCTGTCTGGTGATAGCGGTGCGACGATGCTATGTACGATGGGTGCTCCGTAGGTACTGTCCTGGATGACGATTAGATGATGATTCCTGTCCACTGTCGGAGTACAAACGTGAAGCTCACTTTTATCTACCTAGGTATCTCCAGGATTACGCCGGTTGCGCATTCGCATTGCCTAAGAGAAACGCGCGCCTTCCGGTTCTCCCCTTGCGCGCTGGTTTCCAAGACGTAACAGATACCAGCGCAATGCACAAAGACGGCCATTCCTGCTGTTCGTCCCCAGGAACCGCCAGCCAGCGAGATAAGCCTCCGCCGCCTGATTGGGTCGCGTGCGCCTGTTCTTCCGGGTGTGCTGACGACGGTTCAAATCAATTCCAATTACGTACGAATTTCCTCGGACCCGGACATCGCACGGAGGACTGCACTGCGTAGTAGGGGACTTGTCCGGAGGATGCGCAGGGAGGACACTGGCACTCCCCGGAAGAGGGAAAGCAGGGTTCAGCATCGCCAAAGCGCCTACCCGCAGTATCACGAGCGGGATCGTATAACAAAAGTTAGAACTGCCGGACCGTGATCTTGTTTCTCTGCGGGAAAAAGAACTAGGCCACGCGGGTTCCCCAGAACCCCCTAAGCCTTTCCGGGGTTAGCGCATGGGTTGATGGAACTTCCCTGTTTGGTTAGTCCCTCCCCATCCTGCTTTTAGACAGGAAATCCCCAGCTGTCGCTCAAGGTTATGAGATGCATACTACGCCGTTGGTAGTATCCGGTCCCCATCCAACAACCGCATATTGCTTCAATGCAACTGGGGAATATCCTCAAGGAACCCCACAGTTCTCACATCACCAGCCGACCAGGGTCCAATATGGGTCGTCCGAGACACATGGAAGACCTTGAGGCTACACCACGTACGGCGTGCCAGCAACCTGCACAGCACACTGTAGTACTCCGCAGGCGACGATGAAGAGCTATTACATATGTACAGAGGTTCTTCATCTGTACAGAATAAGCATAGTTACCTGGACGCAAGGCCTGGCTGACTCATCAGTGAAGAAGCAGGTGACCAGCGGCACATGCACAGTCAGGCACATCGTCACATCCAGGCCTTTATTATGATTACCCCTGCCGAGTCCTCATCACATTTTCAGCACTCTCCATGCGGTGTCGTCAAATGTCTCTACATCACCCACCTTGATCCAGGGAACTAGACGCCAGTCTGATTGATGTTCACCAGAGCGAAGGTGCCAGACTGGTGCTCTCAGGATTATGGTTATGGTCACTGTGCCTCGCAGCAGTCGAAGATTAATAATTACCGGTGGACGGGGAACTATTTGACCCAGGCCAGCTGTGGAGATGGCAGAGCAATATTATTGCCATCCAGGAGCTCCCTCGTCGTCGTTCCAGTCTGATCCGAGACAGACTCCTTCGGGGCAGTTGTTACCGTCACAAGACGGATCGAAATATGAAGGGACACCACCGCCGCTGCCTCAGCATCCCGCATTTTATGCTCCCTTTGCAGATGACGGCGGAACAGTATCAAGTTACCACCACCAGCATCAGGGTATCGTTCATCAGCAACCTTATGAAGCATCTGATCCAACTTCCCCGGATCCGGTTGCGTGCCCGGAACCCTCATCTCTATCACAGAAAAAACTCCGTCCGGTAACAGTCGCACCAGATGCGGATCCCCTGGGAGGTCTCCATTCTCCCATTTTCCCCCAAACAGCGATGATAAACCCCGCTGCTCGCGATGCCGACGACAATGATATAACGAGCACAATGACACATCGACCAGGCCAGATCGCCCACCCAACTCAATTGGTACGCGGCGGGACATGGAGTTATTCGTTGTGCGACTGTTCAAGGATATCAACTTGTTGTTTAGGAATTCTGTGCCCGTGCGTCTTGTACGGGAAGATTAATTATCGTTTGTCCATGAAGAGGACGAGGCAGGAGCCGACGGATCTTTTGGGGTACCGGTTCTATAATGGGTCTTGTACGGCTATGGCGGTGCTTTGTGGATGTCAATGTAAGTCGGACTTCATTTTCATTTCATTTCCCCACGGGGAATTAACTTGGTGATGCAGTCTTGTTGATTTCTCTTGCCAGGGCTTCTTGTTACCATCCAACGCGCCCGGACAAGGGGTGCGTATGGCATCAAAGGTGATGTCGTCTCTGATTGTGCCCAAGCGACATGTTGCACCTGCTGCGTGCTGATTCAGGAGGAAAACGAGATTGTGAAGCGCGGGGAGGAGCGCAGGAATCTCGCTGCTAGTGCTGCCCGGTCTATTCCGGTCTCTCCTTACACAGTGCCCGAGCGGATGGTTTATACACAACCTCTGACGGGATGATAATCCTGCCAAGAGCTAGTTTAATGGAGCTATGTATATATTGAGTATGGCTCATGCTCAGTAACTGTAATATTTTGATGGCTATTCGACATCGGTTTTATATATGTGCATATCCTTATTCTTTCTTCCTCTCCTTCGCCAAGGCATTACTTTCCCTAAGAAATCTCATGGCCGACTATCCTGGGCCATATCAAGAACGCAGTGTCGGTGACACTGAAGACTTTGTACCCTACCATGGCTTCGAGTAAATTCGTGAACAAGAAATCGTTAGGAAGAGGGGAGCAATTCCGATAAGATTGACAACCTGTGTTGTAGCCAACTTCAACGTAGCTTCGTGGCAATAGACCTCTGCCTGCCTGTTAAGCCTGTGCTCCTGATGGCAGATCCACAAAGGTTATCAACAGAGAAGTCCAAATTCTCTGCAGGAGGGTTGAGACCTGGCAAAGCAGTCACAATGGGAGTGCTCATCCAAGCTGGTTGTATATCAGCTCTACGCTGTAATGACAACGAGGACAGGTTGTCGGAGTCCGAAGCGCTCTCATAGCACCTATCCGGCTGTTGTAACACAACCAGGAAGGCCCACAAGGCTAGCCACAAGGCCGGGGCCAACTGACGAGGTTCCGGACGCGTCGCAGGGTCAGTCACTGTATTTGGCAGAAAACAGAAAAACTCCAGGTCAGAGTTCTTCCTCAACTATCGCCCTAGATGCCTAGCCTTCAGGTCCAGGAATCCTGCTTCCTCGATTTCCAACTTCCCCGCTAGACAGTCTAGTTGTCGATTGCTCGACGTCTTGACCCTGGTCTTGCGCCTCGATAATGCTGGAGTGCTCCCCGGACCCGTCACTACTCTCGTCGATTGTCAAAGAACGCCTTGTCCGGTCATTGTTTGAATAGTCAAGCGGCTGGCAAGGCCCAAAGCCAGGCCCCACAAGTGCTGCTGCCTCGGGGTCATAGTGTAGTTCATAACTGCCGTCGAATCCTTCCTCATCCCCCTGCCTGGTCCATGGGGCGGAAGACCGTGGTTGTGATGGAATAACATTCACGGGTAGCTCAGCGCGACGAGATGGTGCTGGGTGATGACTGAGCGATGGTTCACGACGATCGGTATCCTCAAACCACTCTGGTGACCATGCCTGCTGGTCTCGACGTCGGGCTGGAATAACGGTAACAGGTAACGAGGTGTTTGGTTCATATCGTCCAGACCCTGACTGACCGAATACGTTCAGAGCACGGAATGGGTGTGAACTCCTCGGCTCATCTACTTCATCTTCCGACAAGTCAGACTGCTTTACCGCCGTGGCCTGTTCTTCTGCCTGCGCAAACGCAACCTCCCTTGGCGGAGAAGCGTGCCGTTTCCTGAACGGGTTTACAAGAGACAACCATCGGTTGTCTTTGCGGATAACCGGAACAGGGTCCTCTGTGCCATGCGGTGGTGACAGTCCATCCCCATTGACCGAATCTACCTGTCGATTCTCTGAAATTACCGACATCTCTTTAGATCCGTCCATTTCCGCCTCTTCTTCTTCCATTTGAGGCATGATGACGGGAGGGCTCGGGCTGGACACTGGATGGTAACGGACGTTGTACACTGTGCTAGCACTAGTAGTGTCAGTCCGGCTAACTGGCGTCGCCACGACTGGCGGAGGAGCAGGGTGGGCTGCCATCGTGTGTGATAATCCGGAGACTGCGGCATGCCGGATACGATTACCACCTTGCAGACCAACGCGAGCACGTAGAGGACGGCGAGACAACTTCCTCTCTTCGTTCCTCCCGGAAGACATAGCGGTATCCCCTCCACCACCGTTATTTCCATTCCCGTAAGGCTGTCGTGGCCAATCGACTTCTTCGGAGGGCGTCACTTCCAACATCTCGTCACCGTCGAAAATCTCCCTTCCCAGAATGCCATCCTTCCTCTCGTCTCGCTCCAACGCCTCTATTCTCTCTACCCACTCCCAAACGACCACGCTTGCTGCAGCTGATCCAACCCATCTAACATAGGTACCCCATCCGGCCACGCCGGGTTTTGCAATGTCCAACACGAAGAATACCACAGGGATAAGGATCGAGCAGAGGGATAACAAAGCCACCATGCATATATTCCTCATTTTCGGATGGAAGAAAGCGAATCTGTGTTTTGAGAGCGAGTAGAAGATGACCCAGGCAGCATAGAGAAGGTTAAGGGCTAGTTCGAAAAGGTAACTTAATGCGGGTATCGCATCGTCATAGAGTCTTGGGTGGGTGGAATCGCTTCGCACCAGAAAGTTGTCCAGGCAACTGAACACTGTATCGAGTACGATCAATGCAAAACCAGCCCATTTGATCATAATCTTCTCCTTATGTCGAGGAAACAACCGGATTAGGGTCTGAACTTGAGCAAGCCAGAGGAAAGTACTGGAGATGACTCGAACAATGCGAAGCTCTGTCCCATCAATTACCGTCTGCGAAATTTCCTCGGCATCCGAATAGCCGTAATCGTACTGCTCTTCAGCCACCTTAAATGAGTCCACGGTTGCAATCGTTAAGGAAATCGCTACCAGTATCGCCGCGACCTTCTGCAGCCAGGGTCGACCACCAACCCCTACCACCGAAGAATTACCACTGTAAGACCTAGCGATCATCCCATGACGACTCAAGAAATTCGCACCACCACCGGGCCCCCCGACGTAGAACGTTCGCGGTGTAATCAGAAGGATGATAACGAGAAGATAGCTGATGACCGTGGTGCAGCCGATGACATACAGCTGAGGGGCAGCGGAAGAGTAGAATGGATCACGAGTATCAAGCACGGCGGAAGAATGCGAATGTGACGTCTCGCTCGGCGCACCCGTACACACGCGCTCGAAGACGGCATTTTGAGAGAGGGTGAGTGTGTACGAGGTATTGAGATAGATATACCCTACAAAGACAGAATAGATCAGGATCACCTAGTTCAAGAGCACCGTAGGGATGCAGGTACACCGAACGCTTAACTTACCGTTGCTAGGAAGTAAAACCGGTGTGCACCCCTGCTCGTATACCGGAGTGCTGGTGGTCGTCGGTCTTGTAGCCCATATTTGGCGAGGAGTAATAGGGGCAACGTCCCCCGTTATTGTCGAGGTCATGAGTCTGGACAAGTCATATATGCGATGCAATCACCAGAATAAACGTGTTATGATCTTTTCGAATCCGTGCAATACAGTCCTCAACCGCCCATTTTCGTAGTTAGAGTTGCGCGGTCCGAGGCGTCAGCCGGTGGAGATGGTACAATATCGGGTCAAATCGTGAACACGGGCGACGGTCGACAGAAAATTAAGGCGGGTTTGTCTTTAAGGATAGTAAGCAACGAACGAAAGGGTCCGTAAACATGCGTATATACAGCAGTAGCGCGACAGGAGACCTCGAGGATGAAGGTTCTGGCCAGCGCTGGGCAGAAAACGAGGTTAGCGGAGGGAAGATGATCCGGAGGCAAGATCTGCTGCATAGTCACTGTCAGTGCTGTGCGCTTAAAGTGTGCACTGTACGGAGGACAGTCAAAGGGATTTCCTCTGGCTGCATCGACGATGTACATGGATTGCAGAGCAATAATCCACGCTGGTTGCTTCTGTTTCTGATTTGTGAAGTCTCGTACAACTCCGTAGATATATCATTCCATCATAGAGAAAGTGGTCAGTCGGATCCACTATTTCCACTTTAAGCTACCGAACTGCATAATCTCATCTGCCAATTCCACCATCCTTTCGGCATTCCTTTTGCTTTCGAGATCCAGCAATTGAAATCTTTCTGGAAGCTTGCGACCTCTCGGGGTGCTATCACTACTGAGCAGAGAAACTGGGTGTGAAGGAGGTATCGATCAAGATGCCTGTTGATCTGTCCTTGTACTTGGTAACCGATTCAACCCCACCCATTCTCAAGGGTCAGGATCTGTGCCAGGTCGTTGAGGAAGCTCTTAAAGGAGGTTAGGGAAACTGCCACTGCTGGCTAGTCACCTCATGCACTAATAACGGACATCAGGCGTTACAATCGTCCAGTATAGAGACAAGACCAGCGACACGGGTGTTTTGATAGAAACAGCCAAAAAGCTGCATAAGATCACCCGTGCCTATGACGTTCCCTTGCTCATAAATGACAGAGTCGATGTTGCAGTGGCTGTCGGAGCAGAAGGTGTTCATCTTGGACAAGATGATATGAGTACGGCAGAACCCGCTCCCCTCCTCAGAGAATGAAACTGGACCTGACAGACCAGCAGACATCTCCGAAGCAAAGAAGATACTCCCAGAAAATGCTATTATTGGTATTACTGTTGCCTCTATTGAGGAGGCTAAGAAGGCCGTTGAAGAGGGTGCTGACTATCTCGGTATTGGGACGGTGTATGCCACGGCCACGTAAGTTATGGCCATTTGAAATACAGGGGAGAGTCTATCTTCAATGGATCATTCGTTCTGACGTCTTGCAGCAAGACCAACACGAAAGGCATCATCGGCACTGCCGGCACTAAAGCTATCCTGGAAGCCATCTCAGACGATCGCCCAGTGGGAACAGTCTGCATTGGCGGGATCAATCAGTCGAACGTTCAGCGAGTCCTCTATCAGTCCAAGGCATCTAAGAAAGGGCTTGATGGTGTTGCAGTTGTCAGCGCTATCATTGGAGCAGAAGATCCAAAGGAAGCCGCTACCACATTTGTGAAGCACATCCGCTCCGTTCCTGCATTTGCAACGACTCCCAGAGCTCCTCGACCAGACGAAATTGCCACTTTGATTCGAGAAGTGCCTGAAATCGCACAAAAAGTCGCAGCGCGACGCCCTCTGGTACACAGCATGATCAACCATGTTGTAGCCAACTTTGTTGCTAATGTTACTCTTGCTATGTGAGTGCTCTACCCTTGGTATCGTCATCGTCTGCTGACCATACCATCAATAGTGGAGCTTCTCCAATTATGTCATTGTATGGAGATGAAGCTGCAGATTTGGCTCTTAATGATGGCTCCCTTGTGATCAACATGGGTACTTTGAACGAAGAGAGTGTCTCAAACTATCTCAAAGGTATAAGAGCTTATAATGAGCGCGGAAGACCTATTACATTTGACCCAGTCGGTGCTGCTGCCACCTATATTCGGCGGGATGCTGTGAAGCAGCTCATGAGCGGAGGATACTTTGACCTCATCAAGGGGAACGAGGGAGAAATCAGACAGGTCTTTGGAGATAGCGCTGCGACGCAACGAGGGGTTGATAGCGGGCCAAGCACGCTTGCAGCTATAGAAAAGGCTCAACTTGTCAGAAACCTGGCCCGGAGAGAGCGTAAGTAGTCAAGATACCTATTCCTTCCAGTGCTGCTCTTGCTAATTCAACCAATGAAGGAAACATCGTGCTCATGACAGGAGCTGTTGACTATCTCAGTGACGGAGAACGTATACTTGCAATCCACAATGGACATGGATATCTTGGATCTGTTACAGGGGTATGTTGACTCTCGGGAGCAAAAGAACATGAAGTCCTGCTATGCCTTTTACTCACGATAGATACTGACTGGTATATGAATTGCAGACCGGTTGTGCAGTAGGCGCCATATCGAGCTGCTTCTTGACAGTGCATCCAACGGACAAGCTTCTTGCAGTACTTGCAGGGTTGCTCATGTATGAGATTGCGGCTGAGAATGCGGCTTCAAAGGACCACGTTCATGGACCAGGGAGTTTTGTCCCTGCCTTTCTGGACGAATTGTATGCTATCCACCGGGCGTCTGACCAGGGAGAGTATTCCTGGGTTTCAGGTCGCGCAAAGGTTGAAGAGATTCGCGTATAGGAAAATGTATACATACGGAGGCCTGAATAGCTTACATGCGCATGTGAATGCCCTGTTTTTTAAGGCTGCAATTTATTCATTAGTCATCAATGTCACGTGTAAATTGGCTGTCTCTGTTGGATCACGTAGGATTCTGCCGCATAGGTCCGCCCTCGCTGACCCTTTTCACCACGTAGGCCTATCTAGCTAGTAACTAACCAACGATACACCTCCATTGTCTCACCGCTGTCAGTTCCGCCTACGAAACTTGCTCCTTACGGCGGTTTCTATTCTTGGGGGCAAAAAGGCCACCCTTCATTTCTCCAATTCCTTTCGTTCTTTTCTTCAGTCACCGACTTAACTATTTATAATGAGGGTCTCCTACTTTAGCTCCTCAATTGTGCTGTTCCTCCTTTCATCCGTTTCAGCTGTCATTGCAGAATCGTCGTTTCCTGAGCCTACCCTTATACCGCGTGCCACTGACCTCGATGCTGTCGTTTCCCATCTAGAGGCGGCTCTCAGCTCCCCTAAAGCTGCGCCCAAGGGAACACTCGATGCACCAGTAGATGGAAAAGATGGAAAACCACATAGCGGTCCATGGGTGGAAACTGGTGCAGAGAGGGAGCGCAAAAAGGCGAAGGAAGCCAGCAGTCCAGACGGAAATGTCAAGTTCGACCAGGAGGTTACCTTACTGGAGCATATCGGCCCTGATGGTGATCCAATTCCTTATTCGAATGACGGCGTGATGGATGATCCGGACAGATTGGGGCCCAAAGAAGGAACTCAAGGGACCAATGGCGGAGTATCAGAGAAGCAGAAGGAGGGCAAATCGTCTAAGGAGAAGATCCCTGATAGCCCCAAGGAGGCGCGTCCTCTGCCACAGAGTGAGGTAAAGAAGGTTCCCATAGGGGATGAGCGTGTGGGTGAAAAAGACACTCTCGGGGTCCTCAAGGTATGTCAGAGAGACATGTTCACGGCCCTCTTATTTTCTTGTTAATGACTATGAGACTGATGTAGCGGTTGAAGAAACCAGATGATCTTCCAGAAAAGCCTCATGACATTCCTCATCCCAAGTCTCCAGCCAAGAGTGATATCGACCAGCTTGATGCCATGGATATTCCTGGAACAGCCAAACAACCAACTCCCATGTCAAAAAAGGATGCCGATTCTGAAGGAGTTGTCGGCGGTTCCCTTCACTCACTTATCTTTTCATTCACCATGATAATATTCTCCGAGATTGGCGACAAGACATTCCTTGTGGCGGCTCTCATGGCAATGAGACATCCACGTCTGGTTGTCTTCTCCGCTGCTTTCAGTGCCTTAATTGCCATGACTGTTCTTTCAGCTGTGCTAGGGCACACAGTCCCTACGCTGATCCCGAAGTCATTCACCAAGTTGTTGGCAGCTGGGTTGTTCCTCATCTTCGGACTGAAGATGCTCAAAGAGGGACGAGAAATGTCCCCAGACGAAGGGGTCGGAGAGGAAATGAAGGAGGTGGAAATGGAACTAGAAGAGAAAGAGCACTATATGAACCGCCGGAGGTCCTCTATCACACCTCACTCTCTGGAGGCTGGTCGTGCACGCAGACCGAAGCCTCGTTCAACAAATCGTCTTCCCTCTCCTCCGGAAAGTCCCTCGTCTTCTTCGCGTGGTTCCTCCCCAGGACGCGGTAGTAGATGGAGCAGTGTCACTGATGGATTAAGAAATCTCTTCTCGCTATTACTCAGTCCTGCTTGGGTCCAAACGTTTGTAATGACCTTCCTTGGCGAATGGGGCGATCGCAGCCAGATTGCAACAATTGCCATGGCTGCCGGACAGGACTATTGGTGGGTAACTATCGGTGCAATCTCAGGACATGGTATATGCACCGCTGCTGCAGTGATTGGAGGACGGGCTATTGCTGGAAAAGTCAGCATGCGAGTTGGTATGTGCTTCTCCCATTGCGCATTTGTTTTTGAACTTACAATTGACGTCGATCCAACAGTAACATTGGGAGGTGCTGTCATGTTCCTCATCTTTGGCCTGATATATCTAATCGAAGCCATCTACTAGATTATATTTATCTTAAGTCATTTTGTGGGAGGGTACGGGAGTTATTAGGTCCAAGGAAAGAGAGCGGTTGTAAACTTATGCTGTAACAATACACCTATAATCGAAGCCAGTAGCTTTTCTTTCTACTATACAACGGATATTATTTGAATGGTCTATTATGCGGGACAGTACGTCCGGCATTTGTCCAGTTGAGGCTCGGGGAGCTCCATTAGTACCTTCGTTTTGCGAGACATATCTGCTGCACGTTCTGGAGATGTCATAGCTACCGTCTGTCTCTTAATGCACTTACGAAGTTCCTCATCGCCTCTTCCTCCAAATACAGCGCAATGTCGAACCCCCCATCATCCACTCGGGGATGAATACCATCAAAGCCTGGGCGTCTGCCAGGGAATGTGCGATTTTGACTCCGATTGCATATCCGCCCGTGGAGAAGAAGTTGATCTGTACCAGCATCCCTGGGAGACCCTTGTAGTAACGGAGATTATGCCATGCAAGCGGCGTTTGCGAGATCAGGGCATTCTGCGGGAAATCATCCCCGATCCAAAAAGCAGAGCCAGACGCTCGCTCTTCTGGACAAGGGGCCAAAGATTCAACGGGGAAGTCGTGGTAGACGACAGCCCACTCGACGCCTGGGTCCGTGTCGGTTCCATACCGGATTATAGGTCGATTGAATCGCTCTGTATGTCACCCTCCCGGTGCCCATTGTAGCTGACCGGCCCATCGAGGAAAAGAATCCAACGTTTCCACGAAGCAGGTCTGAAGGCGTCTCACAAAGTCCTCTGTCTATATTCCGTCGGGGACAGAATCGTAGACCCAGATCGCTCCTGTTGGAGAAAAACTGGCGACAGTTCGCATCGAGGATCGAGGGAGATACAGAGGTCTCCGTTCCCAATGGCTGAGAGGAGAAGAGACGGGTTGTTTCTCGTGTACTTTGGCCCGCAACCATTGCGCTGACTGAGGAATAATAAAGACGACGGAAAGTCGGGAATCTATAGAGAATTGCGGTGGATGTACGGGGTGTGACGAATAATATATAGACATGATAACGCAGGAATCCTGACTGTTCTTCCAGACATTACTGGATCTCTTGTTCCTAGGAATGCGTCTGTCATCATCGTGTCGGGCGACTAAAACGGACTGGTGTCTTGCCGAAGCAGCGAGAAACAGCGCCTACCAAGTAAACTACGGGAGATTGGATTGGAATTATTTTGACCCTAATCCTTACCAATGATTATTTTGATATCAATTGGTTCATACAGATAACGTGTAATGTTGACTGAGACGATGTGGAAGATGAGGGCAAAAAAGAAAAAGAAATAGGGTTCGCGCGGATCACTTGTTCTATCACGTGTATTGTGCCAGTCCTGACCGCCCTGTGTCCTTTTACGGAAATATTCTTCTTGACCAATATCAAAACATCGTACAACCCAAAGCATCATGGATGATAGACTCAATCCTATAAGAGTCCGCGGGCGCAGGAAGAAGCGTGTTGCTCCAGACAATAGCAATCATCCCGATACACAGCCGAAGCGCAGAGGGAGACCCCTCCTGCCTCCAGGTTATGTATCCAAATCCAAGTCCTCCAAACGAATCCGTCTCTTTGCGCAGACAGCAAAACCCACTGCAAAGGATTCCGGGAAAAGATTATCAAGGCTCGAGACTCTACCCGTGGAAATATTGGAGAAGATCTTCTTGTATTCCTTGAACGTGAATCTGCCTCGTGTCTCGCCTTCCATAGCAGCTGCTGTGACCAGTGAACGGATCTATAGGGTGTTGATCCTCCTGGCATTCTGGGATGATTCTGATGATCTCCGTGACGATTACAGAGGTGGTGCTTATCATGAGACTCGGATAAGCCGCGGATATGATGAGATTATTTCCAGGATCCTCCATCCGCTGGGACGTGAGTACACGCCTCTTCCATTTGAGGAGAGGAAGAGACTGCAGTCGTCCATTCTCCGGTGCAGATGGTGCACCTTTGAAAGAATCAGGAGACAGCTTCCGAATCTGGCCAGATTGATCGTTAGACGACGATGGATTAATACTGGATTCGAAATGGAGGATGGCCAGTTGGAAGTCCTGGAGGATAATCTCGCCCATCTAGGCGATGATGATGATGAACTTGGGAGTTACATATTCACAGGCGCTGTGCCTGGTCTAGATGATGCAAATGAGCCTTCACATCGCGATGCACTTACCATCAGCCAATCCGGAATATCAATATCCTGCGCCTCCACTCAAAGCCTATTCCCTCTTCTCAGCGTGAAAGATTTCCCCCCTTCACTCCTGCGAGGTGATATAAGCGGCGACCAGTACCAAGGCTTCACCGAGTCTCACTCGACATTCCTACAGAACCTTCGGATACTAGCCGCCTTTAATAGGATGTCCCCTTCTCACGTCCGACTCCTACGACAGGAAAACGCGGAAAAAATCACCTTCCCCCGAGAAGCTTTACAACAGGGCATCCACAATGCGCTCGTCACGGAAAATGCCCCGGTCCTCTCCACCCTTCTTAAATTGGATGAATTCTACTTCCGAAGTTTGCACACCCCCGACGATGATACACAACGTCGAAATGGAATTGAATTTGAAACCCCCCTCTACACTATCCCGGCGGACCATTTCCGTACTGCCGCCAGGGTATGCCGAGAAATTATCGATCGTCGTGGTGGTGATCATAGAAATAGCACGAGGTTATTCCGTGTTCTCCTCCACGCGAGCGCCGAGTCGCTTCCGGCTGATGACCCTGAAATTACACAGTTCGCCATGGATGTTGGCGGTTCTCTTGGGAGCTGGTTGCTGGATCTGATGATGGAGTTGCCGCATCTGGTTGCCCACGCTAGAGAGAACCCTGGAGGAAGTATGTTCTACTTATGGAGCCCTCAAGGAGGGATGGCAGGGAGGTATGTTCAGGAGATTTCTGAGGGGCGTGATGGCATGGGATGTGTTTTGTAATGACTGTAGCTTTAAAGATACCCCATTTAGTAAGATTTGTTTAGAATTAAATTATTATCTATTGCTGAATTCCATGTTTCTTTTTTCTTTTCTTTTCTCTTTCTTTGGTTATAGACACTACCGTGATGCAAGCTCTAAACAACTCCCTGGATCAGTTCACAGGTTTCTCAGAAGTCTAATAATCCCTCTCACCCATCCGCCAAACGTAATCTGATACCCTGTTTCAACAACTCCCTTGCACATCTCCCACGCCCCGGTCCCATTTTGTCTCATATCGTCTCCTTTCTGAATTGGATAGTCCACCCTAGGAGGAATCCTGGTAGCCATCAATCTTGGAAAGCGATCCGCACACACTGCTTTGATATTACTCACACCACGCAGTCCCTCTTCGCCAGCAAACCGGCCGTATCCGGACCCCTTGACACCGCCAAAGGGCAGTTGCACGGCGTAGTAGCTTCCAAAGTCATTTATAGCAACCATACCAGCCCTGATACCTGAGACGCAAGCAGAGACATCTTTCTGGTTGTATCCAAATACACTAGCACCGAGAGCATAGTCGGTGGAATTGGCAATTGCGATGGCATGAGAGACAGAGTCGGCTCTCATGAGGACAAATACTGGAGCGAAGAGCTCGACCTGCGCGATCCGCATGGAGGGAGTTACATCCGCAAGCAGCGTGGGAGTAAAGAAATGGCCGTGTGGGTGTTTGGGGTGACTGTATCTCTTTCCTCCGCAAACAAGACGTGCTCCTTGTTTCACTGCATCTTCAATGAGTGATTCCAGTCGGTCGAAGGATGCGGGGGATATCATGGCGCCTACGTCCGGTGTCGTTGGTTTCTCGCCGGACTTTATAGCAGAATCTAGTAAGATCGAACCAAGCCGGAGGGCTTTGATCCGCGGGGTGATAATGTCAAGAAGCTTTTCGTATACCCCTGGAAGTGCAATGACCCGCTCGACACCAATACAGTTCTGCCCGGCCGACTGGAAGACGCCGCGCATGAGAATAGACGCGATAGCTGGCAATTCCTTTACCGTGCTAGCATCGTCGAGGATGACAGACGGGTCCTTACCCCCCAATTCAACCGTCACTGGTATCAATGCTTTAGCTGCCGATTCGCACACCTTATGCGCAACAGGTTTTGATCCGATGAAAGTCAACTGGGAGATATCAGGATGAGAGGTCAATACATCTGCAACATTAGGGAGACAGATAACAGTCTGTACAAGGTCTCGCGAGTGGCCACAGCTGGAAAGTGCCCCCCTAACGACCTCCAAGAAATAGGCCGTACACCACGCCGTTTGCTCCGATGGCTTCACAACAATGCCGTTTCCAGCAAATATCGCACTAATGACGGGCGAGATGAAGTTGTGAAAGGGATAGTTCCATGAGACACAAGCCGAGACCACACCGAGTGGCTCGTAGGTGACCATGTTCTTTTTGTACATCATGAGAAAATTAGTCGGTCGACGTTCGGGCGCCAACGCTTTCTCGCCGTGGTCGATGGTCCATTTCAGCTTTTCGGTCGTCACAAGAATCTCTCCAAAAGAAGCGTCGACTTTTGTCTTTCCAGAATCCAAACAGCAAGCCGTGACGATGTCATCCTGGTGGTCGAGAACGTATCTAGTAGAAAAGCCGAAGAAGATCAGCATTGATCATCCGATGACGACAAAAGTGAAGAGATACAAAAAGCAGACCTACTTCAGCAATGTCTTCAATACCTTCCTCCTCTCTGAAAAGGTTGTCCTCGCCCACTCAACCTGCGCCTTCTTCGCCGCCTGCACGGCCCGATCAATCCCTTCTGCTGTCGCGGGTCTGGTGCCATTCCCCAATACCCTCCCGTCGGCAGGACAGTAACTCATAATAAGATCCTGGCTCCATTGCTGGATATTTTGCCCGTCAGCAAACAAACAGACCCGTAATCAAATGAAGGGACAGCCAGTCAAGCAGGAAAACTCACCCCGCGAACCTGGCCTTCGAGTATTTTCTTCTCCTCCCCCTGCACGTCGTCCCACTTCTTCCCTGTCCAGTTTGATCGCACTTCAGCCGGAATTGGTACATTGAACGTCACGGGAGCTTCTTTTTGGCCCAGAATAAAGCTGTAGCCTAGGAAGACGGCGATCGCGGAGATGAGGGCGGCACCGAGCCATTGTGGGCTGATGTTGAGGGATTCAGCGTTGCCCTCCATTGACGCGGCATGCGGAGGTGAATCCGTAGAAAGAATGACAGGAGAGATGGAGCAGTCGGTGGCAGAGAGAGGCAATTGAGCTTCATGGACGAAGGGACATGGGACAGAGGCGGAGCTATTGTTTTCTCTCTCGGTGACCCCTTCTCTTATCGGGAATCTACAATGCCGATAAGGCCACTCTGCAGTCCCTCACGTGCTGTTCTCCATAACAATCAATCCTTTCTATCTGCAGCGCCGTTGCATTGAAGAATTCTTGCTCCCATTTTCTTTCTATCTAGCCACACGAGACAGACATACAGGAAATTTCCAACTCAAACTACAGGTCTAATGTGCAGAATTCTGGGCCACCGCAGCAAAGTCCAAGATTACTCCGTAATCGTGGTAGACGCCAATCCGATCATGCAATCCCCCTCAGTTTCCTCCCAGACCGCCAGAATCAAAGCATCATGATCATGCATCCCGATCGACATCTGTCTTATTTCCCGACAAGTGCCGGTCGGCTATCCCCTCTTATACCCCTTCTTATGCCCACAGGTCTTTCTGCACCGCCCTTCCTCTTCCCCGTCCTGGTCACCAAGTGATCGATTACACAGCCATCTTCCCAGCCAGCGGCGGACTGTCCAGTGATCGCCCGACATCTAGGACACGACTTTCCATGCAGGATGAAAAGCTGATGGAGGGAATACTTAAGATGGTCCGGGATCCTCACCTCAAGATGACTAAACGCCGTCACCTCGGTCGCCTTGTCAGGGATCCAGCCCAGCCACTTGCAGATGCGAAATATATGGGTATCAACAGCAAAACATGGGCGCTGGAGACAGAATAAGATCACACATGCGGCTGTCTTGGGACCGATACCTGGATACTTGACAAGCTCCATCATGGCCTCTTCCTTGGTAAGCTCGTGGAGGTGATTGAGAGAGAGGACGTTCTGGTCCGCACATGCTATTTCATATTGCCCCCTGGCGGTATCGGGTTCCTTGCTGGATGGTCTGTTGGATAGTTCAGCTTGAAGGAAGAGTTCTCTCCGCTCCTGATTCTCCTTGTATACCATGTCGAGGATTGCCTTGAGATGTTTGCTCTTGATATCCGCCAGCCCGCCACTCTTCATTGCCTCATAGACGTCCTTGGTCGGTGCTTGGCGGACAGCATCCCAATTCACGCTGCCCTGGCCGATTCCTTCCTTGAGGATCCCAAACTTCTGAACCAAGCCGTTGAAGGACATGGCGGAATTTCTACCCGTGGTAGCACCGCTGAGCAAGGTCCTGATTAGAGCATCAAGAACAGAAGGCACTTCACCGCACCCAGTAACAGTGAGAGACGGCTCGGGGATGGTAGCTGGAGGGCTGATTTCTCCATGTACGCTTGACAGGAGTCTATTGACTTCCTCGCATTCTTCCCGCGTGGGATGGAGCCATTCTGGAAATGGGCTGAACCCTGGAGTGAGGCCGTATGGGTTGGTTTTCTTTTTCTTTTTCCCTGTCAGCTCTTCTAGTGTTTCCGTAGCTTTGTCAACGGTAGTCTGGATGTCATTTGCAAGCTTTTCTAGTTCTTCTTCCTTGACGGCATGAGGCTTCTCGGACTTAATAACAACAGAGGGGTTCAAATTGGAACGGTAAGCCATCGCGACTTTTCCCAAGTTGTGTGGGAGCTCAACGATGCCATTGGGGAGCGAGTCATCTTCATTTATCTTGCGCCTTTTCGGGGTAGCTCTGCCCTTGCTGGCGCATCTGGAGGTGTTCCCTGGCTTTCCTGAATTGTCATCTCCATGTCTAGTTCGCTTTTTGGCAGTGATGGTTGCCTTGCGCTGGACAGTCTGCATCCCGGTTGCAAGTAGAGCAGCCTCCCGTGCCATAGAACGTGTGGTGCGGAGTTCCATGCCGGCTCATAGATTAATTAACAGATCAAGAGGATAAAACGGGCGATTATAATCCAGAAAATAAATCGAGGAATGGATGAAGGGGCGGTTTGGATGCAAGAATCTTTCTGATAGAAAAGTTTGCTGGTCTTCCATGGATGATTCCGTCGTTGCCTGGAGCGAGCCTTGTATTATTCATTCTCCTGTCCTGTCTGCACACTACCTGTCTTGGTTCTCTGTTATTCAGTTAATATGACCCAGTCGCTCCCTTTCGGACGGCTTGATTAGGAGGCCTCAGCTTTAAATGCGTGCCAGGGACGGCTTTGGCGACTATCAGGGGAAACCTTCCCACAGCCGACGGTCACTGTCCAGCTGCTGCTCGAATCCTGCATTCTCCATTGGAAGGCGTTGGTTGACGGATGCATGCCGCCTGCATTAGGCAAGGAAACGGGATTCTGTCTCATCACCACGTTGCTGGGATGATTATTGCCAGGTTTTCAGTCGTAATATCTGCGGTTGCAAAAGTACGAAGCGCTATACGATGCTTGCCCACTGGTATAATACTAATGATGATGATGATGATAACCCACACAGAGACTGCGTGTTGCCTCCACCCCTCCTGCATATCTGATCAGACACCTTCAGCTCTACGGAAATATGGCTGGGAAGGAGATACCAGTTGATGATGGTCAGTCAGCTCCCATCTGAAACCTATAGCCACTGACTGCAACTGACACACATGTCCCATCCATCTTTAAGAAACCTCCAGCCAGGCGGCTATGTAGAGTTCTTTGACGCCGATTTTTGCTAGGGTCTGATGATGGCAGTTTCAAAGAAACACATGAAATGTATATAAATTCTGTTGAAGCAATCCGAGCAGCAGATAAAATGGCCAAAATTGAAGGAATGGGCCAAAGAAGCTGGATTTGTGAATATCAAAGACCATGTGTTCAAGTTCCGCACGGACCTTGGCCAAAGGATCCTAAATTGGTGAGTATTACAGTCCCAGAACTCCTCACTTATGTAGCTGATATCTTTGTATAGAAAGAGCTTGGTGCTTGGAACCAGCTTCAGGCCATGGAGGGCTTAGAAGGTTGGACTATGGCCCCATTCTGTCGAGTGCTTGGCTGGTCCCTAGAAGAAGTCCAGGTGCATCTGGCTGGGGCACAGAAAGATTACTGCGATCCAAATATCCATGCATATATACCTCTGTAAGTCTGCTGGGCAATCTTTTCGTTAATTGCGCATCTCTGACTGCGGTTGGCGTCTCAGATATCTCATGTATGGCCAGAAGCCGAATCCAGAGGATAAAGGGGAGGAAGGGGAGAAAGAGACTAGCACTGAGTGAACGTTGCAGGAACAATCTGAAGTATAATGATCAGGTTTAGTACATATTTTTGGAACCTGCGTGTACATATCATGACTGACGACGAATAACAAGCATTTCATCTGATATTTATCATTTCTCATATTTCAATCCCCTCCCTATAAAGAAATGAGTCGCTGCAGCCTAGCGTCAATGATACTAATACTGTCCCGGATTCATTCGTAATGGGCATTTTCGAAGGACAAACGCTCGAAAGGCAGTACATGACGCATTCCAAGAGAACTATCCAAATTCAGTTCATCGGTGCCATTACATGCAGACATCATTCATTCAGACTCTATTCGAAGGTCTTTTCCTTTTCTTCCTTCGGTTTCTGGCCGTATACGACATACCTGGTTCCCACAATGGTCAGTACCGAGTACAATTATGTGGAAAATCTTCGTCCCTTCACCAATGGCAGCCAACTTACAGCAACACGTATCCATGGAGATCTGGGTTCTGGATATCCTTGCGTGCTTTGGCAAGATGCACCTGCACTTCCTCCGGAGACCATCCAAGTACGCGAGTGAACAGCCCCATGGTCCATGCTTCAATGCCTTCCAGTGCTTGGATCTGGTGCCAGGCACCCAGTTCTTTCTAATAGAAAGAGCAGATGTTATTAGCAAGCATGACCGGTCGCGGAAATTGAGAGACCCAAGAAAAGGATGCCAATGGAAGTGCTTGAACCGGTCAAAGGATTCCAGGGGCACTACTCACCAATGTAGGATCCTTTGGCCAGGGACCACTTGGAATTTTAAGTCTTCGCTCCTTGATATTCACAAACCCAGCATCTTCTGCCCAGGCTTTTAATTTTGGCCCTGGGCATGGTTCTTGCCCTAATATGTTAGCTGCGCGGATATATTCAGCAGCATTGATATACATGTCATGGGTCTCCTTCACAGAGCCATCATCAGAACGGTAATTAAAGTCAAAATCAAGAAATTCAAAATATCCTCCAGGCTTGAGGTGTCTTTGAGATGGAATTAGCATATATCGCACAAATTAGGCCAGGACAGAGATGTGGACCGTACTCGAATGTCTGCTGAAACAACCGGGGCCAGCTCTTCACTGCTGAGGACATGTACCGGGAGTGAATGAAGTCAAAAGGGGTTTTGAAAGCCCAGTCACTTTCTATGTCATCAACTTCGAATTGCACGTTGGGGGGAACCCTAAGGCCGTGAGAAAGTCAAGAACAATCAACGACGTATTTTATAATACGCACATGGAAGGCTGGATTGGACTCAGATCATTTCCAATAACCTATTGATGATCGCCCCTTCTGTCAGACTGTAAAAAAAGCAACACAGAGAGGCATCGAACAGGTTTACCTGAGCAGAGGGCAGCATATCCCCTATACAATACACCAGACAAGTCAGCTGCTTAACAATGGATGGTTCCCATGTATAAATAAGCCTACTTACCTACATCGATTGCCCACTGCCCTGTCCCGCAGCCCAGATCAAGGATCCGCTGTGGATGATCGCCTATAGGGGCCAGGAACAGCTTCCCATCCAATGCCAGTATAAAGAGATATGAGAGGATATCCATGCGATCCTGCTCTTTCTCATCATTCGGCATGAGGTACCGTCCGTCACGGAAAGCGTGATATCTACGTCCATGCTCGAAACGGTACTTGAGAACGCTGGATTTGAGGGAGGTAGTGTCGCTCCCGCTGGATCATATCTTCAGCTTAGCTTCATGGTATCCCGTTTTAATCATTGGAGAGGCTTCTCCTTACGCATCGCTGAAGGTCGAGTCCAATTCAGAGATCTGGTTGCAATCATTGTCAAGATCCGTCAATATCGAGAAGATTTAGGTCAAGATATATCATACCGTATCATCGACGATGATCGGAGCGTTCCCTGCAATTTGAACTGGTCAGCACTCTAGCTGCTCAAATCTTGCCCTCAGACTTCTGCTAACCCTCTTCAGCTGTTGCATCGGCCATTATTCTGCTGGAAGGGGAGTCGGGGATGAGAGATACAAAGAAACACGGCGTAGGAAAGCAGATACGTGTATGTAAATTGGCTTATGGTATGGGACCGAAGAGCCTACATGCAGCACGTAGAGGGTTCCATGAATTTATAGTCTCCTGGCACATTATCTTCCTAGTGGGGGTCTTCACAAAAGTACCTGATGGCATGTCAATCCTTGACTTTGGATACGACATTGTCGCTGCAGGTTCCGTGTTGGTTGCAACGCTAGCTGATGTATCCTTCAATTTTGAGGCATATATAATAGTGCACGACCGAACTTGGTGGTATATATTATTATGAAGAAATACCCGGCTCTGCTATACGTGACAGTCTCATGCTTTCATGCTTTTCTTTCGAAGAGACGAACCGGAGGTCACCATTGTGTCAGGGCAGTACGATGATTTTCACAAAGCATACATCGGATTCCATTCCAGACCGACTATTGCTGGGCAGAAGAAGCTTTTTGAACTGGGATTCATTCTCCAACATTCTGCGGTCAAGGCATTGGGGTAGATCTCCGCCACCAAGACACGGAGATGGCAATGGCTGCAGCCGGAGCTGACGCCGCGACCACTTAGTTGGTACTAGTGCGAAAGCGAGGTGACTCTGGCTCGCAAGGGTCGTAGGATATTAGTGTTGCCCAGGGGTTCAATAAGCTGTATTTTCCATCGGCTCGTGAGTTGTCTTGGGTTTATACGGCTGTGCATGGAGGAGCATCGGGTCTCTTCCTTAAGCTGATGAATGGAACTTCATGACCACTGTCACCAATCTGACAGAAATGCAATCGCCAGGCCATTCCCGGATCCCAAGGCCTGAGGAAAAGAACGCAGGGCAAACCGAATGGAATGTTGAGCAGTTGGAAGACGTAATGATAACAAACATCCGTAAGGACTCCCTCTGTGACTGAGGCAAAGAAGGAAGCTTTCCTGGTTGAAGGTTCTCCAGAACGATTTCCTATAAGCAAATCTCCAAATTTCATGCATGGAAAATTGCAAAAACAAGGGTATTTTTACTCGTTCTGCAGCATCTTTCCGGTGTTCATTTCCATGAGATATCCGGGGTGTTTGCGCGGAGCGCATACTGCACCATGGATCGACGCTGAATGGACCTCGGATGCTGCGACAGCCTTCACATTCATTCTGGAAAAGCTCCGACTTCCCACTGGCTTCACTGTGACCAGAATGGCTTGACATCCAGATAGATTGATCTCCCATGGAAGCATCATGACAGACAGTACATGGGTGATATTGTAGCCGTCTGGATCTGAAGATTGTTCCTTCTCTCCTTTCCCTTCCTTCCCCGCCCGACTCCTCCGTCTTTCCCCCGCGCTCCCCTCTCTGTCGACCTCACATAAACCATGCTTCATTTCCGCACAGAAGGCTTCAACGGCTGCGGTGTTAAGTATTCGCCGTTCTTTGACAATCGTCTGGCCGTCGCCGCGTCGGCGAATTTTGGACTCGTGGGAAATGGCCGGCTGTATATCCTAGAGCTCACCCCGGATGGGATTGTTCCCTTGAAATGGTACGTTTCGCTGGAGGGATCTTTCTTTTCCGTTTTGGTTTCTTCATTCTGACTGTCTCTTGTACGCTGGTAGGTACACGACGCAAGACTCCCTCTACGATCTCGCCTGGTCGGAAATCCACGAGAACCAAGTCCTCACAGCGTCCGGTGACGGCAGCATCAAGCTCTTCGACTCTACTCTCGACGACTTCCCCATCCAGAACTGGAAGGAGCACAATCGAGAAGTCTTCAGCGTGAACTGGAACCTCGTATCGAAAGACCGCTTCAGTTCCAGCAGCTGGGATGGCACCGTTCGGATCTGGTCACCACATCGTCCCCATTCCTTGCTCACCTTGCCTACACACAGCTGCACGTATTCAGCTGCCTTCTCGCCTCATTCCCCAGATATCATATCCTGCGTGACATCCGATTCTCAAGTCCGCGTGTTCGACCTTCGCACCCCTGCTTCTGCCTCCAATCATCTCATCCTTCAAATCCCGATCCATGCCACCCCAGCAAGTACTCTCACGTCCGGGCCAGTACCAGTCCCTTCCACGCCTCCATCAGAAGCTCTCACGCATGACTGGAATAAGTACCGCCCCTCGATACTAGCCACGGCGGGAGTCGACCGCACCATCCGCACCTTCGATATCCGCGCACCCCAACAAGGACCCGTGGCTACCATGCTTGGGCATAATTACGCCATTCGCAAAGTTGTCTGGTCTCCCCATCTCTCCAACATGCTCCTCAGCGCCAGCTATGATATGACCTGTCGTGTATGGAGCGATGGTTCTGACGCCAGTGCCATCGGGGATAATGACACCATGCGCGCCGGCCCCGTTGGCCCGGTCATGGGAATGGAATTGGGCCGGATGAGCCAACATACCGAGTTTGTTATGGGTGTTGATTGGTGTCTGTTTGGCAGTGAAGGGTGGTGTGCCAGTGCAGGTTGGGATGAGAGTCTGTACGTTTGGGATGTAAGAGCAGTGGTCAGATAGATAGCTGCTGAGGGTAATCTTTTTAACTGGCATGATTAATGCACGACTGGAATGAGATTTTTTTTTAAAAAAAAACCTATCTGGGAGCATTACGTTGGAAGTTTGAGAAATCCGCTGGAATTGGCCAGGCATTTAGATATCTGCTCTACGATTACAATTATGCTTCGGTGTTCTACATCATCCCAGATTCAACATTTGATTTACTCTCATACCAGCGAATGTCAGCTGTATTCTGTATAGTGCTTTGAAGCTCAAGGTTAGAAAGAGGGCCAAGTTCTATGAATTTATTTTTATGACTGTGCCGGATCGTATATCAGGCGCTTATAATAAAACCACAAGACGGGCCAGTTCCAGATTTCCCAATGGTATCTCATGCCACATTATTTCCAGCCAGAAGAGCTTAGGAAGAAACCTGATCAATCCATCTCATAACCGCTGGTTTGCCCTAGAAACCCCTTCAAGGGCAATATCGCCGATGTCATCACCAAGAAAGCGCAATGGCTTGCCAGAGCCTAACGACGCTCGGTTAATTGAAAGCATTGCTCTGTTATAACCGCCCAATCCAAAAGAAATCATCATCACTCGTTTCTGCTCGTTGTGTAAGCAGGGAGGGAACCATCCCAAAGGACAGTGAACAGCGAATCTATCTTCCCGCCAGCCTCGCTTCCACCTTTTGCCTCTCCGCCTCCCTCATCCTTGCAATCTCTTCCCGACTAGCATCATACCTCGCATGCACCTGGTTAAAGGGATTCTCTTCACTCTTTTCGAACTCCTTCCGACAAAGCTCGACCCGCTGCTGCTTCCTCAGTCCAGGCTTCTCTTTCTCGATCTCGGGTAACCTTCTCGCCTCGTATGCTGCATACGCAGCTCTGAATCTCCGCTCCGGATGGCGGTCAACCTTTGTAGAATCACCAGCACTAGTAAGGGAGAGGGCGTCCAGCGCGTTGTCGATGCCCGATGCATTGAGAGTGGCGCCTTTGCGACTGGCGGGTTCATCGAGCTGTGAGAGATCCAGGCCTCGAGATTTCTTTGCGGGGGCTTTCGCGTTCCCCTTGCCTTTTGATGGGAGAGAGGCTTCTTCGGCGGCGAGGAGGGCTTCGCGTTCAGCTTTCTTTCGGGCAGCTTCGGCTTTTTTGGCTTCTGCTTCTTCCCTATTGTTTGGTGACAAAATAATTAGTATCTATATTAAAAAAAAAAGAACTGACTCGTACACCAGGTAGACTAAACGAAAAGACTCACTTCTTAGCACTACTTTTTGCACCCTTCGCCCACTGCTTGTCTTCGTCTGCCGCTCGCTTGGCGTCTTCTGCTGCCTTCTTCTGGGCTGCTGCTTCCGCTTTCTGTCATGTTTCAAGATGCATAATCATTAGCTATCTCTGTTCTGCCTTGTATTGTTCAGCTAAATAAAATAAGGCGGGGGCGGGGTTCAGCAATAGATATATGCATAAATACAACTTACGCGGGCGTTTCCAGCAGCTTTCTTGGAATTCTCTCCAAGCTTCTTCGCCATTTTGCCTATGATATTGTTATAAGACCCGAGGGTTAAAAAAGATGAGCGATAAAACAACGAGTTCGTGTGATCAGGATGATGGAGGATGGAACTGGAGCTCTTCCAATCAGGCGATGACTAAGATCATCTTAAAGCATAACGTAATCCACCACCGAGTGGGCCACCTTAGACCATGGCCCAAAAGGACAGGGGACAGTGTCCTCCCAAAAGCACATATATTTATAAAAACTAGTTTCTATAGCGATTAGGACATTGTGATCACTTATGTCCAATAATATGGCAATCACTACACTGTGGTGGTGCCTGTACATGCTGCTCAACTGCAGCCGGTGCTGGTTCAATAGGTTGAGCATTTGGAGCTTCTTGGACCTCAGTCTCATGCTGTAGAAGCTGTTGGCCTTCCTTAATGGAAAATTGCTTGTGCTGTACGCCTTCACAGGCTGGGCTATTTCAGACTCAAAGAGATAAAAGCAGTTGCAGTCCGCAACGGACTTGGGAACCATGCGTAGGACATCGTTGTCTCCAGCTTCATCCCCCAGGACAATGATGACGAGATGTCCTCACAGCTGGATTTCGGTCATCGCAATGTTAGACCCTGCGAAGAAACCGCGGACCAAGCTGCAAATTAGGTGGACTGCCAGTTCATTATCCCTGAAATCAGGGTGGGTTCTAATCTGTGAGCGACTTGGACGGTGGATGGGAACGATGGAGCCCAGATCATTGGGTCCGAAGTGAGATAGCATGGTACACCTGCGATCTTCTTTGGCTATGGCTTGGTGGCATTAAGTCAATCCGGCCAAAATGGTTTACCAGGACGACTTCGTCAAAGTCAACTCTCTCGGCACCGGGAGAAATATCAAGGAGTCTGGTGCTCCCCCGTTCGATGAATTTTGAACGGTCCTGATGCAGATCAAATGGCAGGATAATCTCATCATGAGACCTTCTCGGCTGTGGAAAACAAAGACGGACTGCTTGAGGATGATGAGAGGTCCGTTTGGGAGTGTCGAGTGACGAAAAAGAAGAGACTTGAGAGCATTCACGCGTTGCCAAGAGAATCTGTCTGCCTGGACAACAGAGACTGTCCTACCTCCTCCAGAGAAGACCTTCACAGCATCTCCATTGTATCAAAAAGGAACGTCTAACGTCCTTCTATAATCAACAGTCTTGCTGTCCATTGCAAAGAACGGCAGGGAAAATATCCAGGGGCCACATTTTTGGCTTTCTGCAGAATGGACACGACGCGCAGGTTAGTTGGCATGCCAGGCTGTACCACCACATTTGCTGACCATGAGCAGGAAGAAATGCTTGTTATTTATAGGAAAATGGGAATAATAACAACGAGAATAATAATAGTCCCTGGATCTGGATGATCAATCATGCCCATCGCTGCCAAAAATAGCCGCCAGTGAGATCGTGCTGAGATCGGGAGACTCCAAGACATCTTGTTTTCCTCTCGTATCCAACCTCGCCCTTTCTTCCGTCCTGTTCTTGCTCCTCTTCCCTTTCCATCTCGTCTCGATTCCTCGACGGTCGCTTCATCCAGTATTTGTTAGCTTCTTTGGCTGCGTCCGATTTTTCATTTTCCCCTCCTCGCAAGTCGTTCGCTTCCATCCTCCTTCCTCCTCACCTTCCCAGGGGGTCTGTGTTTTCAACCTTCTTGGATCGATCTGTCGGGATTTTTCAGCTCGTTTAGTGGTCTATCCGGTCAGGAACAGCTGCGATACCTGTTATTTTATCGATTAAATCTATCCGTCCATTCGTATTCCTTCGTTCCTGCGACAAGTTTTGCCGTAATCGGTTCTCGATTAAAGAAAACTACTTGAAACGAGACGCATCCTACGCTATATGTATATATATCGCTATTTTCTCTGAAACGACAATTCGGCGATTCCTAGTTCCTGATTCGACTTTTGTTGAGCCTCATACTTTCGTTTCACTGCAATGCGTTCGTTTTCTCCCTCTAGCGTGATTTGCACGCTGCTACTTCTGAGTGCGGTCTCACCGACTGGAGCATGGAATCCACACGGCATGCTGGGGGATCTTGCAGTATTCGATAGACGAGCGGGTAAGTGATATGCTATTCTCATTCCCAAGTCTTGCTCTCCTGACGCTTCTTTCTATCCAGACTCTACGAACACTGATACGACAGCAACTACTGCTGCGGCCCTTACGACAAATACCGCACAAGCAACTACCGCATCCGACGCGTCTACGGCTTCTGACCAGACGACTGCTGGAACAAACTCCGCCTCGGGAACCGATACCGCTACTACGACTGGCACTGGCACAAACTCGGGGAGTACAGGAACAAAGACCGGTACGGGGACGCAGACCGGCAAGACCACTGGCACTGGAAAGTCAAGCAAAACAACTGCTACCAGCTCTATTTCGATTGATCCCCGAGATCCTCCCGGTGGAGTGTCGATGCTGACACCTTCCACGGGCTCAACCACCTATTACAAGATCGGTCAATATGTGACTTTTGCATGGAACTACACGTCGCTCCAAGTGACACCGTCCGCGATCAACGTCATCGCCTCCTGCAGCCAGAACCAGGGAACTTGGACCCTTGCAAGCAATATGACCGTCAAAGAGACTGGGAAGGTCGTGTGGGATACGAATGGCACGAAGACGACTCCATTGCTGACCGCGTCATATACTCTGATCATCTACGATGCAGACTCGTCCGTAGAGGATCTGACAGCTGACCCTGGACATCTCAGCTCGCAGAACCGTCTTATTTTTGGGATGTATCAGCCGCAGCCCTATACTCCGTTGAATGGTAGGATACATTTGCCTTGCTCCTTCCCTATCTTATCTCCTTCACGAGTTTATAGAAGAGTAAACTAAGACCTTCATTACAGAGTTCGTTTGTGTCACTTGCAACGGTGCGTTTTCGGCTTTGGAGAAGAATGCCCTCGCTTTTGCAGCGGGCATGGTCACTATTACGGTTCTGAGTTTTACCTGGTTTGCGGGTGATTTTGGAGTCTTCTCAACCTGACCATTTCCCCTCGCCTTTTCCTTAATCAATCTCATTTCGGTTGGGTATATTCCTCACCTATTGCATCAAAACGATAGCGGGCTATTTATTCACCTTGGTTAATATATTTACGATATGCAAAGCAAGGCACCGGTTGGCGTTCATTTTGGGATATACTCATCTTTATTTCGAAATAATTTGTCTTATTTCTGTTTGTCGTCTTGCCATTTTGGCTTCACGCTATGGGCTACTATTTGTCACGACGGATTACTTTAACTTCTAATTGAAGGAGCTAAAGGAAAATGGAGTCAGCATGTCAATTTGATATCTTTTTAATTCTGTTACATTTATCGCAGGATATGGAAAGCAGATTTTTGTTACTTTGTATTGCATTTGAACAGTCCCATAAATCATAATAAAATCATCAACATATCTTGTTTCCAGAGTAACCTGCAGTATATCTGCCTGTTACCAGTATCAGTCTACGCTTCTGCTTTATTTCACTTGCGACTGATCGGCCAATTATAGAATGGAAAGGACTTTTGGTATTCGATTTCCTATTAAACCATACTAGATGCAATTGCGATAAAAGGTTGCTTTACTTCTGCTTAGAAGGTGATACGATGTATATTTAGACAACATTTTGATCCCAAAGACTCCGCACCGTCACTGCATCCACCCACTTCCCACCGGTATTATCCTCCTGGACCACGAACCCGATCTCCTTCTTCTGCCCGGGAGTCAGGACGAACGCATTTTTCTCGAAATACCCAACCACGCCGGCCGGGTAGTCTAGCCACGTGTACAGTGAGACGCCCGATTTAGCTTCTACGGTGAAAGTCCCCGAGGACGGGTCGTAGGTTAGTTCAAGACCGGGGTCAACGATGTCCAGGTCCCTGGGGAAGATAGGGCTGAAGTAGTTCAGGTGCAGGAAAGACGCCGGGATAGAGTTGGGGAGGGATCCCCGCGCTGAGAGGGAGAGGATGAGGATGGAGTTCGAGTTAGTGGTAAGGTTTGCGCTGCTGCTCTGAAGATTGGTGCTGTAAATCTTTGTGGTGTTGAGAGCGCCGACCTGAAATGTAATCGATGCTGGTGTATCTGCGTTATTGGAGAGGGAGTTCCCCGATAGGTCCAGCCAGGTGAGTTCTACTGTTCCCGTTGCGGATTCCCACAGGTCGGATGTTACGTATATCTCCAGCTCGCCGGTGGAGGAGTCCCAAAAGGGGGAGACGATGATCGGTTGGTATATATCCTGGGCGACGTAGTGGAGGACCTTCCATCGGCCGTCGTACTCTATCCCAGCCCATGAGGGGGCTTGCCAGATATCCTCTAGCTGCCAGTAAAGGGAGCCGAGTTGGCGCTCAGGCCCTCCGCTCCCACGACGGTAGAATTGGATCTGGGATTTGTAGAAATCGGCCTGGAAAAGCTGTGTCGCGTGGCACCAGGCGCTAAAGTTGGCGACGGGGTCTGCTTTGTTGGGAATGGGATAATACTGCTCCACCGCTGTTGTCATTTCTCCCATCCCGCGGGCTGAGTTGTTGAGGCTATCCGTACTCGGCCCTCCCGTCGGGTAGTGGTGGTTTCGGTGCATGATGACGCTGCTGTTGAATTCCAGATCGGCGGGATTGACGGCTTGCTGCCAGGTTTGAAGGCTCGGCATGCTTTGGAAGCCGAACTCTCCTGAGAAGCGCGCAACAGGGTACTGATGGTAATTGAAAGCAACGCTGGCATCGTAGTTGTAGTATTCTGTATTGCCATTATATGTCCCAGGGGTGATGTTCCACTGGTATCGTTCTTCCATGGGTACAGGCGCAGATAGATTAATGGATAAATAGCCTTGCGTCGTGCTGCTGGGGGTATATGAGATGGAGCGTGTATTCTCATACACCAGAGGCAGTATCAGGCTGATGTATAGCTTCTCATATTCCGCTTGATACTTCTCATAATCCCCCGGGGCTGCCAGTTTGACTAGCAGAAGCATCAGCACCTCGATCTCATTTCCGCCAGCCCACAGTGCAAGAGAAGGATGGTGATTCACGCGTCGGACATTGTAAACGACTTCGGCTGCGACGTTTTCCAAAAATGCATCGTCCACGGGATATAGTGCATCACTAAACTCAAACTCGCTCCACAAGAGAATGCCTCTCTCGTCCGCCAGATCGTAAATGAAGTCGTGGAGGTAAACCCCGGATGACCAAACGCGGAGCATGTTCTGGTTCCCGGCCACGACCGCATCAAACAGCCGCGCCATTTTAGCCTCCGTGGCTCGCGGCCAGAAAGCATCGGGGGGGATGAGATTGGAGCCTTTTGCGTAGAATGTGTGGCCATTCACTTCAAAATGCCAGTTGGATTCGGGTGCAATGCCCTGTGCGCGCTGAGCTTCCGTAACATTCCGCTGATTGAGGAAGATTGTGCGGAATCCTGTCCTCTTTGTAACTTGGGCGAGTGATTGTTCTTGATTATCGCCAATCGTGATGGTGATATTGTAAAGATTCTGATCTCCAAGTCCATTTGGCCACCAGAGGTTTGGGGTGACTCCATCTAGAACTATGACACCGGTGACAGAGTTCCCAGACACGGTTATATTACCCAGATTTCGCAAGGTGAGAGTCTCGCCTGACTTGGTGTCTTTGATCTCTATCGACGCAGACAGCTCACGCGGAAGGGTACCTAGGAAGTCAATGCTAGCATTAACGACCCAGGGCTGGTCCTGATCCGGGGGGAGGTAATTGATCTGCCCCTTCCGATAAATATCCAGGTCTGTATTCAGGACATGTATACTATTGGCCTTTTCGAATTGCACGATACGCGCTGGCTTCCAAGGCCCGGCGGGCGCAAATGCTGGGCCCCAGTCCCAGCCAAAATCAGACTGCTGCTTGCGCATGAACCATCGGTTGGGGAACTCATATGTCAGTTGCACGGGGAATTCTACAAGAGAGAACAAACCATCGTTAGAATCAATTTCCATTTGGGAAAGGGAACAAGGAGAGGGAAAGGGGAGCTCAAACTTGGTGAGCTGGGATCCTCGGCAATTGCATCCACTATCTTTGGGGCACTGCCAAAGTTGATGCTTAACACAGGATCCTTTTGGCAGTTCTTCAGAACTTGAGAGACATCGAAAGCGTACTGACGGAACTGGTTGTCCGTGGACGCGATTTGTTGCCCGCAGAATTCTATGGTTGCGAAGGTGTCCAGTCTATCAAACACGAGCCAGGTCGACTGGAAGTCTTCTGGCCTATTTGATGTCAGAGAGACGATCTTGATAAACTTGGTTGAGATTGATGCACGACCACCTACAAGTCCCGGATCGGATCGCTGGTGTAAGTCCAATTGGATTCGGCAATCCAGCGAAGATTGTACTCATTCAGGCCGCGATATCTTGTGGAGTCTCGTCAATTGACCCATACTCTCTGGTATGAGATGCGTAAATCACTCACGGATCATCTGCAATGACCTATTAGATGTGCTAGGCACTTGGTCCCTTGTGGTCGCATAGCAAAACACCACTCACCGATCACGCCGGCCTCGAATAGATCCAGATGGACCTGGGAAGGAAGACGGCCAGGCACAGTCCGGTTCAAAGCTCCACCGCTGAGAGTCCATTTCTCACTGCCCAAATCGCGGACATGCTGGCCCAGTACAGCAGGTAGGGCGAACGTCAGTACGGCTAATGTTGTCTCTCCTGCGAAGCGCATAGCGAAATTGCAACGTCACTGCCACCGTTTATGAGAATTTATCGAAAGAAACGGCATACCTTCGGGGGAAATAAGCCATGACTATATCGAGAAGTGCGCCACGCTCCTCAGGGGGGCTGTTCCTTTCAGCTCTGCTTGTGATTCCCACCGGGATGCTTTCCGGTTTGGGAAGATTTGGGCCTGTTCTGCAGATCCGGGGTTCATAAGGGTTCATAATAACTAGTTAGTTAATAAAATTGCCGATGAATAATAATAATTTAGGAACCAAGATGGACTCTGGTTACCTGATAATAATAGTGTATCAAGGCATAAACCACATAATCGGTAAGGGAGCCGGCCACCTTCCGTGCAGGATACAGCTCAGTGTACCTGCGAAAGGGTTCCTGTAGTAGGTCTTGGCACCAAGGTGCTTATTAATGTTATGTAAACTGACCCCATTGCCTTTTTGGATTAGTCGGTATAGCATTGAAGTTAGGTGTTTTCTTTTTTCCCACATACCCTTCTTCTAATCACACACTAAGAACTAATAGTGGTAAGAGGTAGTGGTAAGAGGTAAGCATGTGAAATCTATTTTGGGTGGTAATTAAAACGATTTTATGCCTAAGCCTAGTTCGGAAATTTAGCCTGATTACTAATTTAGTGGGGTCCCATTTCTGCTGGGATACACCTAGCTAACATCCCGCAAACCTTAAAGCGGCAGGCAAATATCCACTTCGGGTATCAAAATAAATCGCAAAAAAAAAGTGCACCCCACAACACAGCGACAACGACAACCACCACCACCGCAACCAGCTCGTCATGGCTCCAGCACTCTGCGTCAACTGCCAAAATGCGCGGGCGCTCATCATCAGACCGAAAAACCGCCACAAAATGTGCAAGGCCTGCTTTCTAGAGGTTTTCGAGCGCGAAATCCACGAGACCATCACCTCCACCTCACTCTTCCACCCCGGCGAGCGTGTCGCCATCGGCGCCAGCGGAGGTAAAGACAGCACCGTGCTTGCATCGGTCCTGAAAACCCTTAACGAACGATATAACTACGGCCTCGATCTGGTGCTCCTGTCCATCGATGAAGGTATCAAGGGATACCGCGATGATAGCCTGGAAACCGTGAAACGGAACGCGGTGCAATACGATATGCCCCTTGAGATCGTCAGCTACGGCGATCTGTACGGTTGGACGATGGACCAGGTCGTTGCACAGATCGGAAAGAAGGGGAACTGTACGTACTGCGGGGTGTTTCGGCGACAGGCGCTTGACCGGGGCGCCGCGAGGCTGGGGATCAAACACGTTATCACGGGTCATAATGCGGATGACGTTGCGGAGACAGTGATGATGAATCTTCTGAGAGGGGATTTGCCTCGTCTTTCGAGGGGCACCAGCATCGTTACAGACTCTGCGGCGTCGGATATTAAAAGGAGTAAACCGCTCAAATATGCCTACGAGAAGGAGATTGTTCTCTACGCTCATCATAAGAAGCTGGATTACTTTAGTACCGAGTGCATTTACTCCCCAGAGGCCTTTCGGGGGAGTGCGCGTACCCTCATCAAAGATTTGGAGAAAATCCGGCCGAGCTCTATCCTCGATATTGTTAGGAGTGGGGAAGATCTGGCTGCGCTAGTACCCAAGGAAATCAGCTTGAGTGGGAAGCGGGTTTCACCGGCAGCGGTGGAAGAAGATTCGACTGCGAGCTGTGGAAGCCAGAATGGTCGTTCCAGTGGCGGGGAAATGGCAGAGATGGAAAAGAAACTGGCGGAGGATGAAGCGGCTAGGTTCCTAGAGACTGAGATAAAGGTCCGACCTACTCTCTCACAGGAGTCGTCCTCTGTAGAAGCTGTGCCGCTCAAGAAGGCGGCGTACAAGGGGAGGCAGCCTAAGCAGTTGAAAGTGCAGACCATGCGCAAGTGCGAGCGATGTGGTTACATTTCGAGCCAGAAGATCTGCAAAGCCTGTGCACTCCTGGAAGGTCTGAATAAGAATAGACCCAGGACTGCTATCGAAGTGGGAATTGGTGCTGAGGATGAAGAGAGCAGCACGACGTTGATGAGGCAGATGGAACATGTCCAATTGACAACTTCATAGTCAGCGGAACATCGCCAGTTCTATTTCTGGGCCTGCAGTTCCCAACCATAGCTATCGTTGTCACTACCTATTCGTGAGATCTGGGTGCCATACTCATGGACCCTGCGTGACGACATGCAATGGCCACCAGCGTCCTTCGAAAGCGAGGCAATCAGCTCGCGACCAAAGGACAGGCCGATGCCGATGCTACTCGCTCTAAGCATGAGAACCTTACCCGTCTATTGCACCAGGCATTTGGGGTCGACTCTTTTATAAGAGAGTGGCCGGACCAGGCCGGACGGAAATACCCTCTCTAATGGCTCGACCCTGGAAGCAGTAGCTGGTCCGTCCCTAACCCTAGAACCTGAACGAGCTCAAAGATTTTTTCAAGATGATGAGCACGTAATGATATATCCAATCTATTATACACAAGTATTTCGTTCGTCAAAGTACAGCCAAAATGATAGTAGTATGATGCATATTCATAGCTAGAAGGGCTGTTTATGCCCTTCCGTCCATCCTCCCTGTTGCAATGGATGGAAACCAAGGAGGCGCAAGGACATATAAGTGTCCCAGTGTCTCCAATCTGAGTTCTGTGAGAATGTATCGACAGGGATAGTTGACTCCAAGACATACAAGCTGTTCCGTTCAGATGGGTCTATCCCCTGTATATGCGTCGGTTTCGATTCAATGAAAACTGGGGACAGGAAGCGTACCAGGTATCACGTAGACATTAAACACTGTGAACTCCCAACAGGATCCCCCTGAAAACTCCCAACACCATTCCATCTACCCAACAAAAAACAACATTCACTTCACTTCACTTCTCTTCCTTCCCAAGAACCGGCAAATCCAACCCAACCCTCCTAGCAGTCAACCTAATCTTCTCCTCCTCATCCAAGTTCATACCGGGATTATACCGCTCGAGAAGCGCAGCATACGACCTTTGCGCACGGGCATAATGTGCAAACTGTGCAGCCTCCGCGATGCGGATCTCCCGCTCTAACGCTGCCTGTTCCGGTTCTGGAGTTTCGGGGATGGGGGCGCGGAAGACTTCGCGGATGCGCTGGTGCAGCGGGGACGGGCGGGAGAGTGGGCGGGAGGGAAGTTCGCGGAGGATAGCGCGGTAGGTTGAGCGGACTTGTTGGGATAAGGAGGGCATTTTTATTTTCTTTTTTTCGGGTTTGTTTTGAGGAGATGGTGGTATTTGTCGTTGGTAAGATGAGGTCTATCACCGCCGGTCCTCAGATGTCAACTGTGATCAATCACGTGATCGTACTATTTCGAGGTATGGCCATTTGTTGGTACATAATTCTTTGGAACGTTTAGTGGATGCCTTCCCCTTGCTGAATTGGGGGCTGTCATGGAGTTTTTTCCTAGTTAAGTTCGTTAGATTAAGTGCTGCTCAGTTAGCATACGGCCTGGTAGTGATCCTCCGCTCACTGTGCCTGTGCAGCGCTAAGGATATAAGAATCTCTCCTCCAACCTTCCTTTCCAATATTCTGCACTCACTCAGTCGGCTCGTCACCCTTCGCCTCCTTGCTTCCTTGGCTCTCCCGTCCTGATGCCATGAAACGATACGGTAACAGTCCTTTGCCGACTGATCCTACTAACTCTCGGCTGTTGAAAAGATATAAAAAACCAACAGCATTGCCATAAGATATAACCCTGGGATTGGTAGGAGACACAGCCCTAAGTCGAGGCGCGGGTGACGGGTATCGACAGGATGGCTTGGTCTTATTTACTCTGACCCGCCAAAGTAGCAGCGTAGGATGACTTAGAATTCATAGGGAGACTTGCTGTTAGTTGGATTCCCGAAGGATTCCCTGGTAGGGTAAGAGAAAAGAGCGTAAATCAGCACCCTCAGCGCCAAAACACCACCCATGGCTCACCGTCGTTTTCCAACATTCTAAAAACCTCCAGCCTTGGAATGGGCCCATAATTTTACTTCGCCATTCCTGTTCGCTGAGATACCTGTAACTACACGCATAATTTGCATAATTGGAGGAGAGGACAAAACATCAAGGTCCCGTTATGCATCCAACCAGGGTCAGAACCACTACTAAGCCACTATATCGGTGCTGATTGTGGGAGCGGGGCGGGATATCTTGAGCTAACTTTGTATCACGCTGATATTGTTGGGCGAAAAGGTCATCAGGATCAGGAGTGCATGTGCGGTGCCCAGCATATGAGAACTAAGCATAAGCAAAAAAAGCCTGGAATGGAGAACACGGGCATCTAACAGTCACCAGTTTTAGGTATTGATTTTCTCCCCCTTCCGCTCCACATACTGTCTACTGACGGGATCAAATCACAGAGGGTCGAAGTACATTCCCAAGGGACAGCAGGATTTAGGTTTTCTCCACAAGTCAAGGCATGCAACAAGCGCCGGATTTCACATTTCGAGGGTATTTACAACTCTACATCCGAGGATTTGTGGAGCATGTGTCAGCCATACGGAGAGGCACTACTTACTAGGTGGTCGACTAGTATATCTCTAGGAGTACACTGATCCCTACCCGATGTTCCGACGAAAAATGTTCCCCTTCTCGTGCGAATGGAGAGTCAAGTTCCACCGTCAAAGGGCCCCTGCTGCGCGGACGTTCCTAGGGCTTCGGGTGGTGCGGTCTTGGCATTTTTAACACTGACTGCAAGCACCTTTTATTTTATTTTTTATTTTATTTTCCCCCCCTCTCTTCTAATATTATAGTCCGCATTTGCTTCTAATTAGGTTACGCTTATCTTGTTTCTTTATAAATATATATCGTTGGCAGAATGCGGCTATACCATCCACTATCAACAGCAGTGCCCGAGCAAGCCCTTGGAAGTTCCGTGCTTCCGGCTCCGTCGTGGAAATAAGGTGCAAGCCAAGACAGCGGGAGGCTTGGTTGGCGGTCGCCACAGAGCCTTGAGATGCTGCTCATCGGATGCATCCCCGGGAACGCTGCGCCCCGTCCAGTACTTCCGCTCGGCGGCTATTTGGTGCCCACGTCAGGAGATGAAGGCTCCTCGGGCCCTAGATCGGCAGACAACAAGGCAAATCATGAAACGCAACCTGGGCTGTGTTGGACTGGGTACCGGGTTCCCTCCAGGTGATGTTGGAGAACCAACATGATTATTTTTATCTGACTCTATGAGTGGTTCCGACTGCCTAACCTTGGACACGAAGGAGGGGTTGGAATAGGACAGAGCCTCTGCTACCCTATTGAAAGAGGAAGGGGAAAGATGGAAACACTTGGCGATGTAGTTAGGCTATCCATCTTCCTCTCGTCGGAGAATAAAGACGACCCTGTCCCGCGAATCCATCGGTCGCCCCGTAGACAGGGTTCCCCGTGTCCTTCGAGAAAGTGACACGCGGGGAACATCGGAGTGGCCGCTACAGACAATAAATTAATAAAGTATACTGTATGAAATCTTGGACGATGCACAACGTATGTCAAGTACGTGGGTAGTTCGAATGACGTACATGTTCTTATCCTGCGGAGGGACTTTGATAAACGGCGCGTACGGGTCCGCTTCGTGCTCACCCATCGTGGGCTTGAATTCAAGTTGATGTTAATTGAAGTTCTAGTATGGACGACTTCATGAGTAAATGGGAAGGTCAGTCCATCAAAGTTTTGACTTGTTGAGTGCTCCGCGGGGCAGTGCAAGCAGTATCAGGCTTGGCGTATATATTTATGCAGAATCAACCGCCTGTAACGTTGCTGATTGTGCCCGCAATTCTGTTGGAAGCAAGCGGATCGCAACGTTGGACATGGATAGCTGATCATGTCCTTGGTAACCTGGATGCGTTGATCAAGTAGCTTGTCTTCGTCAAAGTTCTCTGCATCAGACCCGTAAAAGTTTTCCACCAGGCGTGCCCGCTCGGCAAATACATAATTTGGAGTAGGCAGTTCCCAGCTTTCATCGCCAGAGTTTTCATCATCAGAGACTTCATCAGACCCGCTGAGCCTGCTGAGGAGTTGCTTTATCTGTCTGTCAACTTCTAATACGGGTGCATTTTGGAAATGGTCCTTTCTAGCTGCCTCTCGTATATCAGTTGCTAACCTCTTTCGAAGTTTAGCTGTTTCTTTTTTGACATTCTCATGATTTTGATAGAGGTGCGGGAAGAGCTGTCGGGCATTTTGAATGGTGCCAGCCAGGGATCGCATCTCTGCCATGAGCTCTCTCTTCTCTCGTCTAAGCTGCAGAACACCTGGAATGTTGGCAGATAGCGCGCTTGTGCGTCTAAAGTGTTCTTGTCCTTTGTTCATCGTGGAATCCTGCGTTCGGCTGGGAAAGGACCCTCAAGAAACTATGTCACCATTAGCCTAACCTCTCCAGGCACAGAAGAAATACTCATACTCGCCGCATCTGTTTATAGACATCTTCATTGACTCAGTGACGGGCAAACAGCTTCAAATACGGACGAAGGCGGCGCCACTACTCATCATAAGACTGCAGCAGTTTCTCTCGTGACGTTTTGACCATCCAGTTGAAAAAGTTCATGTAGATTGCTTGGTCCTCCAGAAGGTAGTCCACGTAGTCCTCATTTGATTGAAGGCAAAACCTATTCTCATGAGTTATTCTCTGCGCACGACGCCTTTTTCTGAGAATCATCATACTTACTTTCGTCAGTAGCGTTCGATGGCAGCAATACCTAGTAGAGTCTTGAGTTTGAAGTTTGGAGGTAACCATCCAAGACACAGAAATGTTCCAGCCTGGCTTGAGTTTCCTCACAAAGAATGGGATCGGTCCAGTATTGGTGCTCATCACCCTGAGCCGACCGAATGAGTGCAGGTGCCATTTGGAAAAGCCAGGATGAATGACTGAGGGTGGAATCTGGAAACACAGGCTACAAGGTTCGCAAGGTCGATTTGCGGTTTGGGAGTTGGAGAAGAGAGAACTGGGAAAATGTGAGGACACTGAGAGAGTGAGAGAGGAGGGAGGGGAGGGAGTATCTTATAGGCGCCCAGCCTGGCAGGGCGAAGGGGAGGGCACGTGGATCGGTCTGCAAAGGGGAGCCATTTTCGGCGTCGTTTTGGTCGCAGGTGGAATCTTGAGGGCATGACTTGAACAAGCGCCAAACACATCGGGGTAGTTAGTTATAGAGAGGATGATAACTAACAACGCTAGGCGGCTATGATATTCAGAAGGAATCATTACTTCAACACTACAATACGGAGTTCTGGCCAACCTGCGTTGTTCAATCCCCTCCGCGATGAGGTTTCAGCCAGAATCAGGGTCCTAATACACCTACCGTGCCCAGTAGAGGCATCGCAGATAACAAGACGATTAATTCATTTAGTCATACACATGTCGTCAATGGCACGCTGTACATGTAAAATAAAGCTGCCAACCAAGCACTACCAACTCACTCCCGATTCCTCCCAAACTCCTCCCTCTTATCATCCTGTCCAAAGTCATGCGTGTGACACAGGGTCAGATGGTCCAGCTGGTCAACAAACTCGGCTGCAATCTCAGTGCCGCTTTCGGCCTCGAGTTGCCGAATGCGCGCCTCGGATTCCTTGGGGAACTTGATCTTCATGGGGGAACGGTACCAGTCGGCAAAGTAAATCAGGTTCAGCATCACACGGACCTGGTCTGCAGTCCGATTGGGCATACCGGCATGCCACAATCGCATATCACGGATGATGAGACCCCCCTTTTTGATTGTCGGTTGCACGGGAGGTGCTGTTTTGGCACGTTCCTCAAGCAGGTGAGTGAAGATGCCGTTCATTCCGTTTTGGTCGGCAAATCTGGTAGTCAGGTGGGTTCCGGGCCAGCATTCCGTTGAACCGTTCTCCGGTGAGCAGTCGATGAGAACTGTGTTCACTGCGAGCGCGAAACAGGCACGAGGATGTTGATAGTGTACATCCGAATGCACTGGCTGGCGGGACTCGCCGGGGAAGTTCGTATTGGCCTTGTGGTAGCGGAGGACGGGCTTTGGTCCCAGGACAGCCTTGCACACGGCAATGGCGAATGGATTGGCTTGAATGTCTGAGAGAATGTACTCAGGTTCGGGAATCATGTGTTGCAGGATGTTCTGTGCCTTCTTGCTGTAGTTGAACTGCGTATTGCTGTCTTCACGCAGTTGTCTGGCTTCCTTGGTCATCCTCCCATTGAGAAAGTCCAATGACTTCTCGGAGACAGCATTATCAAGGACAACAACGCCATCTTCAGCAAGAGCAACTACTGCCTTTTCGATATTCTGACGAGACATCGTCCGAGAGGCACGCTCATCATCGCTGATAGGAACGTGGGTTACGTTCCGCGGTTCGAGAATTGCCGGCATAATATTAAATGGAACAACGAAGGTTAGGTTCCTCTATGGAGAAGCAGAAGCAGTATGCAGTAATTATGAAAGAGTTGTCAGTAGTCTTTTAATCACCCGGGTGATGCCTGTCTGGCTAAGTATATATACCGCTTTTGAAGCGTCCAGGTGATTCTGACTGTGTCATCGTACTATCGGCTCCGGCTTCCGGCAGCGAACCTGGATGACATTATTCTCCCCCTCCCAGGCAGTGGGACTGTTCGACCTGCCACTTTGAGTAGAGAGCAATATCAAAAGCGAGACTGCTGCTTGCAGAGGGCATGTGATTGCCCGATCGGGAAGAAACGCCGACGCTCACCGCCTTTAGGGCTATCCCCGCACTAACCTGATTCAGCAACGGCAACAGTGCACAGTTGCTGATTGGTGGACTGCTCCTTATCGCTTCGGTTGGCGCAGCCTCCCAGACGCGCAGTTTCCTTCACAGAATTGGAACTCGTCCATAGATTTGCTCTCGTAACGCTCCAACAACTATGTCGGCGTCTTCATAGCTTTCCTTCCAGCAATTCTCCATTATCGGGCCAACGTCGATGTTGCGGAGTGAAGGAAACCCCTCCGGCGCATATCTTGCCTCGACTTCATCACCGTCCAATTTCTCAAAGGGCAGTCTCCATGCCATTATCTCATAAGTAGCTGATCCTCAGGCAAAAAGCCCCCTTTCTGATTATTGGTCGATCTTGAAAAGCCCCCGGAGAGATATACCGAATTTCCTTATAGACTGCTATATCGAACTGATCCACCGAAATCTCCGATTTTGACATGGAAGTCGGGGAAGAGTGCGTGTATCCCAGGATGGATTTTTTGCAGACAAAAGCGCTGCAAGATCTCTGGGTATTTCCAAAGACGCTTAGATCACATCTCTTCGCTGGCTGGTGCTTCTTCGAGTGGTTCTGGGATGCTGGCTCGTATTTGGCCACCCTTCCATACCTCATAGCTTTCGAGAACTGTGCATGTAGGTGCACGACGCACAATAGCATGCACCGATGCCAATAATTGACCACCACATACGAACGAGATGCGCTTGGAACTGACTGTCATGGTATTGCTCCGTAGATATTCCTAGGGGTGGTCGACAGCAGGACCAGATTGGTGAGGTTGTCTGTTCAGAAAGCAAATGAGATCCGAGTCTGGGGAATGAATAACAGATGTCTACGTAGCTGCATTGCAAGCGGATTCTAGACAGCGACAGTGATAGCATAGCCTGCTTTAGGCATGCTTAGGCATCTCTTGCTTACACAACTCGTTGCTGTCACTGTCAGGGCTATACCACCCGACATGATGCATGCTGCACGGATAGACCAATTCCACCTAACCTTCCATCCTCAGCTCAGCCACAGACTTCCATCAGCACCTTCTCTTCCACGATACAACTAGATTGTAGTCTATTCGTATTCAGTATGCAAATAACCATGCAAGCGAGCTCGGAATGCAGGGGTCATCACAGATGACTTATCTTCGGCAGAGCTGTTGCAGTAATTCGTACTTTTGCACGGGAGTACATACGTATAACTGCCGGGTGGAAGTTTGAGAGAGGCGGACGGATTTCTGCTCCGCTGAACTTTACTCTCATATTTGCTAGTTATACTTTATGCATTGGAAATATCTTTTCTGGGGAATGTGGGGTTCAATTCTCAATTCTGTCTTGACGTTTGAGTATGGTAGGCTGTTTTGTTCACATACTGCTGTAAGTCATGCCAATTGCTCGTAGTGGCGATGATTTAATGAATAGGCTGGAAAGAATATAGAGAAAATCAATCTTCGTGCAGGTGAGAGGAATGGACGGGATATATAGCGAGGTGCACTCCATACATATAAATAGAAATAAAAGCCATCCAAAATCCAATTTCCAAATAATAGCCAGCAATAAACAAGGAAAACTTTTGGGTAACCGCAAATATCAGAACAATCTTGGTCTGTCGCCATTCAAAAGACATCCCACCGAATCATCATCATATGGATCTATGCAGCCTCCCAGTTCGTCTTGAAGCTGCCGGCCCAATATAGCCATCCGTTCTTGGAAGTCGGCTAGATCTTGCGGTCCGAGATGCTGCACTTCCCCCTGGCTGATTTGTTCTGGAGCTACTTCCAGTGATAAGATGCCATTTTGGACGTTGGTCGAGGGGAGAAATTGGTGATGGTTTCCCGGGTCTTTGCCATTTCCGTTGATGTTACCCCTGTTCCCATCGTCGGATTCTTTATCCCGTCGCGGGTCTGGGACGACATCAGATTGATCGTCTGTTGTTTCTTGGTATGATGGCTTTCTTCTGGTCTCCTGACATGAATGGATATGCCACGATAGCTTACCTGAATGCACGTGTGTCGATGTTGTAGAGCTCTCCGAAGCGAACGTTGCTGGTGGATTTCCCTCTGGCTCAGGAGTGTAGCAACTCATATCGGATGGAGTTTCTGTGACACAGTTAGCCTTACTCTGTTCCCTGTTGTTCTCAGCAGCACAGCACGCACTTACCTGCCTCCTGGTTGTCAGAATTGTCTTCTTCGTTCTCCCACAGTGAACTGTATCTGCTTATAAAGCGTGCTATTCGTTTCGAGTCCACCTCCTGCCCGCCGACTCGAAATGCTATACGTTTCCCCCGCGCGGCTCGCTTCTTCTGTTTGCGAATCATGAACTGGACTTCTTTCGCCTTGATGTTTTTCAGACCCCCCAAACGGCTAGACGGTCTTTGTACTGCTTTTCCCTGGCTTGAGAGTTAGGCACAGCTACATTTCATGTCTTGGTGGGGTTGACTGATGCAGAAAGAAAAGGGGAAAGTAGATTGTTGTTTGTTTTATACAAGATACAAGGAAAGGCAAAATGATCAATCCGGACTGGCCCCATGCCCTTCTTTTTCCTCGGAAACCCTTGACCGATAAAAAGCAAAGGACGAAACTAATAGGCCAGATGGTTGAAATAACGTGATAATTAATGATTGTGCAAATGGCAGAGGGGGGGCGCAAATAAAAGAGCCAGGAAATCGGGAAGAAGTACGAGGCGACGAAATTATATTTTTCTTCCATATACTTTCTGACGTCTCTCAATTTCATCTGGTCGTTGCGATAAAGTTTCCTAATGATTGAACGGAACTGCTGCCAATCTTCAGATCGGCCGGGACGGAAGACGGCTGGGGTGATAGGGGTGACAGTGAGGCGGCAGACGACGAGGGAGGCACCGATTCCTTCATATTTGGATGTAGCAAGAGGTACGAAGTAAACGATCACGGTTGGCTAGGCCGACCGAGACAGTTGATTGATTCGCCGGGAGGAATAAACTCCTGATTATAATGCTTCATAGGTCGAGCAGAATGAGAAGTGGAAGTAGTACGCCTTGGACTGGTCAACATTGATGAACACTAGGCATAATAATGGCTGAGAGAGACCTGCTCGTGTACGGAGACACATATCAAGCTATAAAATTGGAAGTAGAGAAAAAAGGGATGTTCGGACGGAGCTTACTGTCACCCTAAAGCGCGCCATTTCATCTCTGACGCCCTCTGCGCCCTTCTGCCCTTTTCGTGTTGCACTGACTCTATCGCAGGCACAGTCTGTGCATGTCCCCGGCTTGGTCAATCAAGGAGGGTCAGGCAATTGATTTGCGTACTACCAATCCATTACCCCGTAGGAGACTGGGATGCGTTAGAGGGTTGAGCTGGCGCGAATTTCACGCGGCTAGCGATTAGCACTGTTCTCCATGGCTGTGCCGGCCACTAGACCTCTTGTTCCCCGCGCCTATCAATGCCATACAAATGCGCTAGCTGGTGGTCTACGCCGTAGAGGCCAGCCCGGGCCACGGGCCGCTTCATTTTCTCATTTCATTTGTCCTTGGTGATCCGCGGTGTGAATGGATGAGCATTGATGGATTTGGACTCATCCTCCCGCTGACAAGTCTTCTCGTCTTGGAGAAAATGGGTGGGGATTATGCATGATCATCATCCGTGGCAGGAAGTTGAGTGCGCCACAATGCGGACTATCCGGCCGGTGCATGATATAGTTTGCGCGCGAAGATCATGAAACTGGCTTTGCCCCTCGCTTCGCGCGGTTACAGCAGGTCGGCAGCCAATCCAAGAGGCCAACTTGCATATACCCAATTTGCATATGCGCTACATATGCAGGTGCATTAGTGCCAACGGTAGTTCATCTACCGCCGCAGTTGTAGATAATGCATCGGACGGGAAGCTCCTTGCATCCGACAGAGAGCTCTGATCACAGACAGGAACGAACATGAAGATCATGTTGCCAGTGCGAGCAGTCCGACTCCGTAGTTATTATTTCAGTCTGGTTAGCAATCCTTCCGCTGCGCTAGCTTGGAAGGTTTGCCGGTCACTGATCGCGTCCGTTGATTATGGTTGGTAGATATCGTGAGACGGAAATAAGAAAAGAAGGGCATCAATGCACTCCCAGGCTGAGAAAGCAGCCTCAAGCCAACCAAATCAGAAATCCGATTCGGGACCATGATGATAGGTTATAACGGCTGACCGAGAACGCAGTGCCCGACTGCTCCGCAGGATTTGTAAGGAGACTTCCCTGCAACGCGCTCAATAGCTTGCCTTAGTTGAAAGAGCTGGAACGTTCTATTAGAATCTTAGCCACAAACAGGGAGAACCGGGAAGACGGCTGCGATGAGTACGTGGAAAAGCCTCGACTAAAGGACTATGTTTGGAATATGAAGCTGGGATTGAAACGGTTGCTCGGCTCTTATTCTTCGGTTCTATTTGTTACTTAGCTACATTCCGGTGCGGACTCGATCTGGGCCTTCTGTTCTTGTGTGGGGAGCAATGGGTCAGCGGTATAAATAGCATAGCATCTTTATGCTACCTGGATGCTTATTTTTAGATTTTAGTGGATAGCTGGTGCCATGGTAAGACTAACTTTCAGCCTTGCTGCTGCGAACCTAGATATCTTACGGGTCAATCAAGATCAACATCAAGATCAGCAGGCATACAAGACCTCCACAGAAGTTCTCCCGGGCGGTAAATGAATCCAGAATTGAAAGCCCAGTGGTATCCAAAATTGATTAAGTATTTGCGTATAGAAGTTCGCCCATATGGCATCCATATATAGGTTATATCATCTCTTTTCATGACACAGCAGTATATTCTATATCAGACTGCGGCCCCCGGCCATTCCTCCTCCTGCGGCCATACTTGCGTAAGGCCCTGTCGCCCGTAGTGGGAACCGGCTTCTCCAACCGCCAGGCCCAAAGCAACCAATCCTCCAACGGGAGTAGGATAATCCAAATCCGGTTGCACAGGAAAGAGAGAGCGGTGGTGAACATGGCAACGGTCGCATCCATCCAGTAGTGATTCGCAGTTGCAACAATCACGCTTAGTACGAGCAAAGGGTAGAAGATGCCCGCAGCTACTAGTAAGAAATCCGTCCACGTCAGCCTCATGCGATTCTTGCCGAAAACACGTTGCAGAATGCCAGAGTGCCAGATAAATGTGCTCCCGATGCAGAAGGCATAGGTGAAATGAAGACTGGGCATGGCGGCGAGCTGGTTCACGTTCTTCCCGCCGACCCAGACACTCTCCGCATGCTCCTGTCGCACAGTATCATGGAACCCGAAGGACTCTGGCAACAGCCGTGGTGGCATACACGGCCAGAAACAGAAGGTTATAAAAGCGCTGAAATTGCCCAGGGTCATGGTGCGTCGAACGGCTGCGAAACTGGCATGGTCCGGGGCCATGTAGTAATACCAGGACAAGAAAGCCACGGTGCCGGGGATATGGACAAGCGAGTATATCCGATTGAAAAAGGTCATAATGCTGGGATGATTGGCGAGGAGGAACCATTGGAAGTCGGCTTCTCGGATAGGATAGAACCATTTGATAATGGGGGTTTCGTGTTCCGTGTGGAGCACCCAAATGCCATGTTCCTGGGCCACTTCGACGACAGAGATATCCGGTGGGGAAAGCGCTTGGGCCGTGGCCTTTGTGCAGGCGTAGAAAAGGTAGTTCAGTACCCAGTAGAACATTTCGACCAGGAAAGGGAATCGCTGCAGGATTCGGCTGTGGATGTGTTTCGCGAAGCGCGCAGAGTTGGGGGTTTTGACGGTAAGGCCGAGACAGTTGCGGGCCTTGGGGGACTTGGTATCAACATCAGATGACAGGGATTCGCCCCTGAAGAATGGGACTCGTTCCTCGCTGGCACCTAGCCTCTCATCTTCTTCCGAGCTGTCTCCCAGCTCAATGCGCTTCGGATTCGAGTTTTTCCGTAGAATGCTGAAACCCCGGCGGCGGTTGAAATATAATGAGGCGAACATGATACTCAGGACAATCTGTCAGAGTCGAGAAAAAACCCCCGGTTAGAATCAAACGAAGCTCAAGGGTCAACGGGGAGGTCGAGGTCAGCTTACAATGGGTTCAACCCAGGTGTGGGATTGAAACTGCGGTTTACCCAGGTAGGGCTTGTCCGCAGAGGTTGTGTTAGAATCCATGGCGAAGGTGGATGGAGTATAGATAGCGACCAGATGGTTTATACGGTCATTAAATCGATGGAGAAAGCAACGAGAGACGGAGATGATGAGTATAGCGACGAGAGACCGCTACAGTCCAGTCACGCGACAGCTGAGAGAGGGTCGAGAACTGCCAGGACTGAAGAGTCCAGGGTGCGCAGAACGAAGTCAAACCCGGCGGTAAGGAAACGGCAGCAAGCAGAGGGGATGGGGAGAGCGAAAAGAAGACTTTTTGACAGCGCTCCTGAACTCCTGAGCCGCAGGAAGAAAAACAATCAGCCATGGCGATGTCTTGCTGGCCCGCAGCCCCATTCGGACTTGGCGGAAATCCCGGAGGTGGAACGGTATACGTATTACTGCGTATTACCCCTTCCCACTGCCTGGGTCTGCACAAATTGGTTATGTAAATTACCGGCCGCTGCAAGGAGCAGCGCAGAGAATCTGCCAAGACAAATGCCAAGATTTTCTAATGAGGAACACGTCGCCCTGCGCCCGATGATTGGCCATTCTCACCCCCTTCCGCCAATGGCAAGTCTCCTGACTCATTTCCATTTTAGTCCAATGTCCGATGCCGAGATATGCATTCTTAGTCATCATGTTCTCACTCTGTGAGTGGCTGGACCATGGGTTTGGCTTCCAAGCCCCCAAGCCACGCATAATACAACTTCCTGCCACCTTTGTATCCACGCCAAGTACTACATAGCACATACATAGGGGGATAGATAATAATAGACCGCTCCCATGGCTCCACTGGCGTCGATGTATAAGCATTCAGGGACAAGGCCTTATCCGTTCGAGACTGCGGAGGTACGAGGATATCCGATTCCGAGTGCAGGTAAGCTGCATAACCATCTATACTCCATACGCGGACGGGTATCGATAATAAGCCCGGGTCCCGAAGAAAGCATCATCCGGGCGTCATCATTACTCGAGCATTATCACCGTCCACGGTCATTGTTAACTCAATGCTGAATTTTAGAATAAGCTAGGGTTGGTATTCCAAAATTCTCTGGCCGGCTTTATCTTTACTCAATATCCCCACTGCCCACACAATCAGTGTACGCCTACACTGGTTGCGTCGCCTTGAGAAAAGACGTGGCTATTAGCCGTGTGCCGGTGAAGTCGTAGGAGGCCGTCAATCATGTGAAACCTTCGCTTTGTTCTTAAGAAAATCCAAAATCAACTCACTCCCTTCAATCGACGACATGCGGGCATGGTGTCCCCAATTTTGTGCAGCATACTAGCCGGTCTCTAAACTCGCCGCGCGTCTGACAGAACCCACTCTCAAAGATGCCGAATGAGAGAGGTAGGTAACACAGATTTTTGTGATGTCGGCCTCTGCATCTGGAAACCAATGGTTCTGTGTTCGCTCGAAGTATTCCTGCGTTGTATAGTGGACTAACCGGATAATGCCGTTTCCTTTGTCAATCGTGACTAATCCAGCACATACTGAAACCATAAGCTCAATTGGTGAGAAGTTATCTTCGTCAATCTCAAACACGCCAACTTCCACTGCAAGTGCATGCTGAAGTTCAAAAGTAGTCAACGGCCTCTTTGTGCAGGTGATCCAGGATATAACTTGCTTGGCAAGTGCTTTCTGCTCTTTACGCTGTCCTTCGATTCGTCCAATTGCGTCCTCGTAGGCATAATCATATGCATCGGACCCTGTCGGTAGCATTTTCAGAGCGGTCCGGATAGCTTTGGGCGATGTCTTCCCAACCAAGGAATCAAGGTGAAGTTGTGCCAGCAGGAACCTAGCAAATTCAGTGCGTTTCATACAGAGCAGGCAAAGACACATACATTCCGTCAACCGCCTTAACAATTTCAGTCTTGATTTCTTCCTGCAGTTCAAGATTGTCGGAGACAAACCCTGGTAGCTGCGATAAATGATTGTCTAGATATCTCCGTACATCATCACTGCTTGCACGGATCTCTATTGATACGCTCCCTTTGAACTTCGTCATAATCTCTGGAACGAATCTCGAAGTCGCAAAGATGTTTGCTCCGCATTCGGCTTGGAGGATAAATATCTCAGATAGGAATTTGGTTCGGCAGCTGTCAAATACTTGGCATTCATCAAGTGCATCGACGATAACGAAGAGTCTCGAATAAAGGGCAGCAACAGAGCGGAGAACTTTCGAGATTTCGTCGAATGATGGTCTCGTCTGTTTCTTGCTGTGGTGGTCATAGAGCTTTTTCACACTGTCTGGCAGCGAAGACCGCTCTTGGATTACCTGCTTCAGTAGACTTGCGAGGAAGTGCTCGGTTTTCTGTTCGTCCCATCGCCGGAAGTTGCAGTATATATACGCTATACCGGTACTAGCATCACTTTGAAACTTATTTCAGAGCTCGTTGATTACAATTGCTGTAAGAATTGTCTTCCCAGCTCCGGGAATGCCGGGGCAGAACAATGTCTGGTTGCTTCTCTTCAGCCAAGTTTGATACTCGTCCGAGTCTAGGAGCCATTGACCACTTCCGGGCTGTCGCCTTTTGAGGAAGTCGCTCTGTTGAGGACCATAGCTGATTGGCGTAAGCTACTCCAGGATTCTCTCCTCCTCTTGACTGTGTTGATGATGGATGACATTGTTAACTTCCTCTTGAATGTCTGCTAGCACTACAACTTGTTAGCAACTTTCGTGTTATCGTTTTGGAAGTTTCGTTCCGATCGAGAGGCTACTGCGCTCAGGTCGCTTAGTGGACTAGAAATCACTAGCTTGAGAATGTATTTCATTGCTGTCCTCTCCAATCTAACGTTGCAGGGATGGTAGAGTAGTTCTACTTACAGCTTTCCATTTTGGCCCATGTTTGCAGCGCAGCCACCTTTCTAGGCTTCACAATATGAAGCAGCTCTCTTGTGTATGCAGCAGCCGCAAGTGCTGCATATTTGTGCCACACATCATTTTTGTGCGAATCCGAATAATCGCAGATTCCCCGAATCACCAAACAGGGGAAGCTATTCATCAAGCCACCAGCTTCCATTTCAAAGCACAGTACATTTACTGCAATGGAAAAGGGACAGTATTGTTTCCGCTGGGAGAGACCACCACAGAGTAGATTGTTGAACAAGGCCAAAAACGGCATGCACTAGCCGATGTATAAAGGATAATGTACAATCACAGAATTGTGATCAGGGGGCAGCAGCGGGTACATCAACAGCATCGACCGGGCGCTTTTGCGGTGGAGGACGCGAGGGAGCACCTTCTTCCGCATCACAGACAGCAATCACCGCATTTATTGCAGCAATTCGGCGTTCAGTTTCTTTCTCGACTGTCAGCCCCGGGGAAGCAGAACGGTCAACAGAGGAGCCAGAAATGGCTCCCCTCCGCCAGGAGGGTGACGGAGGGTGAGCGAGGAGGGCACTGCGGCGGCTGCGGCACGAATGGAGACCGGTCGATCCATGGGTCCAGGCACCAGGTACGACCAACACGAAGCACGGGTGGCAGTAAACAGGGTCGGCCGTGGGCTTTAACACACGTGACGCCAAGACCAGCCACGGTGAGCCAGCGGCCGTTTCTGGCCTCCCATTCACCGTGTCATGCATATTTGTAGTTATCCTCAGATTTAGTATTATGGTATAATATATCACTATTAGCCTCAAGGCAATATATAAAAATAAGAAAAAGAGACACCCTTGCTCTCGCCAAAAACCACACGGTATAGTAACAATAAATCGTTGTGAAACCAGCCCACATAAGAAAGAACAGAACCGATCAAATCAACCCAAACCAGGGACAAAAACACAAAAACACTCTACCACCCATCATATCATAAGCAAAATCAAACTAACGATCTATAATGAAATACCCTCCATATCACGCATGATGACCGACATCTCAGCTCGTTTCGCTGCTTCGGCGACAAGGGAAAAATCTTGTAGGAAGGGTTTTGTTGCTGCTGGCCCGCCCAGACCATGTATTTTGTGGGGGTAATAGTCTTCAGAAGCTTGTGGATATGTCTGTGTCTGTGTTTTCGGTTGGGCATCTGTCTGTTTTTGCCTGCTATCGGAGGAGGGAGCTTGGTTGACAGCCTGTGAGTGGGTGAATCCGACTGTTGTTGCTGAAGCCATGTTCATGTCGCTGATGGTATTCTGGGATTGTTGCGATGCCATTTCAGTGACTCCGGGGTTCACGGTTCCCAAAATCAATGGAATAAAAATTGTTCGAGGTTCCGGCCCGGCGGGGGTGCGGTTCGTCCGTTCGCCTTAAAAAAGAAGAAGAAAAAAGGAAAAAGAAAAACTTGTATATGTAGATGGGTATTGTGTTCTCCGCCTGCTGACCACTCCCGTCAAATGGAGTCTTGAGGGTTTTGATAGGTAGGGAAGTAGGTGGGAAAGGGTTGCTTGTTTTTGGGACTCGACGGATCGGAATATTTCGTGAGCAGATGTATATATTATATGTAACGCAGCTAAAATGGCCTGATGCCGGTGAGGCGCACAAGCGTTTCAGGTCTCACTGAGAGATTTTTAAGCTTCCACAGAGAAAGACAGTGGTGCGATGGGAGGAGGTAAGGGGCGGACGGGACGGAACAAGGAGAAATGATCCTTCACACTGCGGGATGACGTCCAGGAGTGAGGTTATAATGCCGTTATCAAGACTGAGCAAGGAGGCTTAATTAAACGCTTCACCGGTGATGTTAGCCACTAGTCGAGATCGAGGCTGAGGTGAAAATCGGGCAATTGAAGCAGTTCAGTGCGAAATATAGCCAGCCAGATAATATGTACGCCGAATTCTGAATGGAACTGGGGCATCACAAGTATTTATTACCTGGGCGAATAGAGCAATGATGCTGACTTGGGCTTCGTTGGAACGCCGAGCATTACCCGAACCAGCCTGATCGCTGTATCTCCACGGTCTCCATGCGGGGATTCCGGTACAGCGTTCATGGGAACTGGAGGCTGTCGTTGGACAGAATTACCGGTCTGTCACGGGACTGTAACGTTGCCGGAGATGCCTCGGCTTTCGGAAGACATAATCATGTGACATGGTGGGATGGCTCTGTTATCGGGACACGCTAGTCCCTTTTCGGTTACTGTCAAGTCATTATCAGCGAACACGCCTCGGCGCGATTTTTTTTTGCTGCCATCTGTCTGCCTTGTTTGACAGTATTTCCTACTAGCGATCTCGCCATCATGCCTGAGCCTGAAGACCTCGGTTTTAGCGGTCTTTTCCAAGACCCAGAAGGCTTCTACGAGCCGGAAAAACAACCCACCTTTGCGGAGCACCATATGCTCTCCGGCCAGACTCTCCGCGTACGGCTCGTTGGTAGCCATCCACTCTACGTACGGACTCGTTGACCTCCCATATCCACCGTTTCCCCTTTATTCTGGCAACTATATTATATTGGTGATATTGATCTCCACACTGACCGACTTTGGAGGGAGATCTATTATGGAACGCCGGCCGCATAAGCTCCCTCTACATCGAAGAGAAAGCCCGTGATCTCGTCGAAGGGAAAGATGTTTTGGAGATCGGAGCTGCAGCTGGGGTTCCTAGTATAGTAAGCGCGATCAAGGGAGCTCGCACCGTGATCATGACGGACTATCCTGACCTGGACCTGGTTCAAAACATGCGCGAAAACGCTTCGTCTGCGGCATCTATGATTCCTGCGCAAACTTCTCTTCACGTTGAAGGCTACAAATGGGGGGCCCCGGTAGAACCTCTCTTTGCCTATCTTCCGTCAGGAGCAACAGGTTTTGACCTGCTCATCATGGCGGATGTCATCTACAGTCACCGCGAGCATGAAAACCTGATCAAAACTATGCAACAAACATTGAAAAAGTCGCCTGATGCTGTCGCTCTTGTTGTCTTTACTCCCTATCAGCCTTGGCTCCTACCCAAAATCGCAAATTTCTTTCCTCTGGCAGAAGAGAGTGGTTTCCAGGTGACTAAAGTCTTCGAACAAATGGTCGACAAGGTTCTATTTGAGAATGACCCAGGTGTATGTTTCCGTATTGATCCCGAATAGTCCCGTAAGCCCGTGCTAATTTTTTACAGGATGAAACGCTCAGACGGACAGCCTTTGGTTATGAGATTGGGTGGGCCAAGGAGCAATTATAGGAAGCCGGGAGTAGGAAAATAAAACTAGATTGTGGAAGCGCATAGGACTGCTCCTTGTTTGTCTATATTTTGGCGGTTGGGAACGGTTCTCCAAGCCGAGAATTCTAGTTTTACGATGTTATGCCCAAAAAATGTTTATATGTATATGTGTCCAAAAAATAGAACTTCTAATGTTATTCAATAAACTTTCCGTGTCTCGCAAAGACCTGAAGAGTTACAGCCATCGGGATGCCGATAAGTCTGACATCCCGAGTCACATGTTCTCCGCCCCGCAACCCCGCGAGACGATCAAGCAAAATTTCCCAAACCATCGCGCCGTACTCGTCCCAGCCAGATCCACCATCATGCCTGTAAGTAGGTCTCTCGAAGTCTTGTACGCATTTTTATATGACCTTCGGTTGACAGCCCAATCAATAAAAAGCTTATTATCTTGACCGGCTATCCCTGTTCTGGTCTCACGTACCGTGGGAAGCAACTGGCATCTCTGTTGGAGGCTTCCCAAGATGAATTCCTTGCTTCTACAGCAAATGCCGCATCAAAACTCCGGTACAAAATTCACCTAGTGCCCACACATGATTCGTCACATCCACGGACGGTCTATGATAATGCCCGAACGGAGAAGGAGGCGCGTGGCGTCGCTTATGCACGGGCAAAGCGTGCGCTGGGCCGGGACAGCATCGTGATTCTCGATGGAATGAACTATATCAAGGGTTGGAGGTATCAGCTATGGTGTGAGGCCAAAGCTGCAGGGACAACTTGCTGCGTGGTATGCGACCAAACTTGAATAAATGAATGCGATGTGGTTTGAGATAGCTAACTGGGAGCTTGCTTAGGTACATGTTGGCACTCCGATCGACCAATGCGTCGCAAACAACGAAGCCCGTTTACAACGTCGGAACAGAGAAGAGCAGGCACAACAAAATACGAGGGAAGGAGATCCAAATAATAGATGTGCCTCATCGCCGGAGGCCACAACATCAGCGAATGCTGCGATCTGCGAGCGGAAAGAGGAGGATAACGAAGAACCGTACCCTCCCGAACTGCTCAATAACCTAATATTTCGCTACGAAGAACCAAGCACCCACAGCCGCTGGGATAAGCCTCTTTTCACGGTTCCCTGGTCCGATGCAGAACCTCCCACCGCGGACATCTGGACCGCGCTCACTGGAACAAGCCTTCCTTCAGCGTCCACTGCTCCGGCACAGACACCGGTATCGAACCTCACCGCCTCCCTAGCATCTACAACGCTTTCCAGTACTGCCAGTATAGCTACTAGAGGGACATCGACCACCCAGAAAGGCACCCTTTCAAGACCAAGGGTCAAACAGCACCAAGCCACCATTCAAGCTCCAGCCTCGGATCCAACCGCACTATACAGTATAGAGAAACGTACATCGGCCATCGTCTCCGCGATTCGCAACTTCACGCTTTCGAATCCGTCCGCTGAGGCAGCGCTTGCGCAAAGTCCCAGTCCTGATCGGATCACAATTCCTGTCCCAGAGGCCTCGGAGGTGGTTGTTATCCCCGCTGATATCGCCGTTAGCGGAACTACAGACGAGCTGGCAGGAGCTGGAGGGATCTTGGCACTCCCGCGTCTGCAGCGTTTGAGACGGCAATGGATAGGGCTGAACAGGGCATATGTGGGTCACAATAGAGCAGGTCCGGGATTGCTCACGTTGGATCAGGTAGGGGATGCATTTGTGAGGTTTCTTAATGCCGATTTTGCAGGTGAGCATTAGTGTATACGTGATGTATAGCATATGAGAACAATGTGGAGTTCAATTTGTTATGCTACAATTTGGTATCGAATACGCGACAAGCCGATCGTAATTCAAAGGCGTCAGACCGTAAATAATGCTCTTGAGGATGGTATTACCTGTGTCAGCCGGCAGGAGCCAGCCTTGTCTGCTAACGCTGACCGCATGCGCAATGATCCGTTGAATGTGCTGCTCCCTCCACTAACCGTTGAGGTATTGGATCCGCTTGATAAGACACATCAGGAAAAAAGCGCACTGCATGCATCTGTAGCAAGATGGATCGAAGAAACATCCAGGTCGCCCCTACCTTATCGGGCAAGTTGGGGCTAAGCAGGAAACCCCGGACCGGACCTCGGCCTGAGGGTCGAGGATTTCCTAATGTGGAAATGGGGCCCCGCAATTCTCCTCGGCCTTCTCCTCTTTCTTGGTCTCGCCTCCTCATTCTCCCCACGGTGTATACAGTCCACGCTTCCTCATCCCATCCAATTCCTCATTTCATTCTGGTATCACCCACTGGTGCATGCAATACACCCCTGTTTTCCGAGATCCCTGGCTCTGACTAGATTCATCACCGGGAAACCCTCAAAATCTGGAACTTCTTCCCCGCATCTGCCACCACCATGGTAGTTCCCGCTGTCCGAGTGGCCCCTTCGGCTGCAAACAGAGCTCTGGGCCTCCTCCGGACTGTCCAGTATACACATCCTCCAAACTGCCCTTGCCACTCAAATCCCAATCATCACCATCATCACCGGTCGACGTCCCTGGCGGACAATGTCCGACGTCATCTGGCAAGCCCTGTTGACGCCTCCCGACAGAAGGAGTATGCTTTCGAAATGGCTGCCTCTAGTATCCGGTTCGGTCCTGGAGTCACCAAGGAAGTCGGAATGGATTTCAAGAATCTAGGGGTGAACCGCGTGTGCATTGTGACCGACCAGAATGTCGCCAAGCTCGACGCCATGAAACAAGCCGTAGAGGGGTTGAGCCGGGAAGGAATCGAGTTCACTGTGTTTGACAAGGTGAGGGTGGAGCCCAAAGATAGCTCGTATGTGAATTATTTCCCATTGAAAGACGAAATGCGCGGGATATTGTGCTCTGACGGCAGAGCAGGGTCAAGGAAGCTATTGCATTTGCCAAACCTTACAATCCAGATGCTTACTTGGCTGTCGGTGAGTGTGCACCCTGCGACGGTGGCCGGGCCCAAAACCATTAACGTTGAAAACTTCCAGGGGGCGGCTCTGTCATTGACACCGCGAAGCTGATGAACCTGTATACTGCCTACCCGGAGGCGGACTTCCTTGATTTCGTGAACGCACCGCTAGGTAAAGGTCTTCCGGTGGATAAGAAACTGAAGCCGCTTGTGGCAGTCCCAACGACAGCAGGCACAGGCTCGGAGACCACAGGTACGGCAATCTTTGATCTGGTTTCCAAGAAAGCGAAAACGGGAGTGGCCCACCGTAATCTGAAGCCTACGTTGGGTATCTGTGATCCTCTCAACACGCGCACCATGCCTTCCGCTGTGCATGCATCCTCCGGTCTGGATGTCCTCTGTCATTCCCTGGAGTCGTGGACTGCCATTCCGTTCAACGAACGAATTCCTCGCCCGACGAACCCGATCAATCGACCGGCATATCAGGGTGCCAACCCCATCTCCGATATATTCTCACTGCAGGCCCTTCGCAGCACGGTTAAGTACCTTCCGCGCGCGGTCAAGGATCCCGACGACTACGAGGCGCAGTCCCAGATGCTTCTGGCGGCCACACTCGCCGGTGTAGGGTTTGGGAATGCTGGCGTCCATCTCTGCCATGGCATGAGCTACCCAATCTCCAGTCAAAACCCAGGGTACAAACATGCCGGCTACGCTGTCGATCACACGATCGTGCCGCACGGAGTCTCGGTCGCGATCACGGCACCGGCGGTCTTCCGATTCACAGCCGCATCCAATCCCGATCGGCATCTGGCCGCAGCCGAAGCATTTGGCGTAGATATCTCCAATATCAAGCGTGAAAGTGCCGGTGAGGTTCTCGGGGAGGCGATCACGGAATTCCTCATCAAACTAGGCGACCAGCCACGGGGCCTCAAGGCTCTCGGATTCAAGGAGTCCGACATTGATGGACTGGTAGAAGGGACCATCCCCCAGAAACGGGTTTTGATGCTGGCACCAACGTTAAGCGAGGAGCTGGAGGCAGAGAAACAGGAGTTGCGGAAGTTGCTTGAACAGTCGATGGAGTATTAGATTGACTGGCCGGGCGTTACCGTCAAAAAAGCTTCTTTTGGCTCTTGAACTTTTTGGCATGTACATAGCATTGGATCCGAATGATTTTCGGACAGCGTCTGATTGGCAAAGATTTTCGGCCGACGATTCTTAGGTTTTGTGCCTTCTTGGCTCTTGGTTACTACCAAAGTCTACCACTGCTACTATTATTGATATGTTCGGCTTCTCACCGAACCAACCGATTGAGCCCGAATGTAGCCCTGATCCGTTTCCTTTATACGGCAGCGGGGAGCTTTGCTTGTCCATTCCTTGGAATCTCCCAACTCCTCCGGGGCGCCACAGTGGATCGACAACAGGGACCTGATTGCTTGACGTTATAAAACCCAGGCAATGAGTCAGACCATTAGCGATTTTTTTCGTCGATTTCCTTATCCCACTGCATCGGGAGATGTGATAGGGTAGGGTCAATGTACGCGCAACGAGACACTAGCGCTCTCGACTCTCGTGGTTGTCTCCATCCGCCCCTCAACTCTATCATGTCACCAGGTCCAGGGCAGTTTGAGCCGGCCGACGTGCGTATGTATATACTCGCCAACGTCCCTTCTTTAGCGGCATCTCGAGGAAGTTCGTTCCAGTCAACGATCAATCAAGTCGGCAACGAGAACCCAGCATGTGGGACAGCAGTAGTGTTATCACTTACAGCAACACCAACAAGGTGACCCTCCGGCAACGTCTGTGCTTGGTTACCTGGGGCTGGTTTACCATCTCCATGAGCACCGGCGGCCTCTCTATTCTCCTCTATAACCAACCTCATCAGTTTACGGGGCTCAAAACAATCGGCAAGGTCTTCTACATAATGAACCTGGTCGTCTTTCTCTTCATCTGTTCGTGCTTGACACTCCGGTTCACCGCAAACCGGTCAGCCCTGCGCGAATCCTTCCAGAGCCCTACTGAATCCTACTTCATCGGCACCTTCATGTTGGCCATCGCAACCATCCTGATGGGTGCTGCTGATTACGGCTCACCCTCCTGTGGACCGTGGCTGCAGGTGGCGCTCCGTGTGCTCTTCTGGATCTATCTGGCCGTCTCGTTCATCGCAGCCATCGGCCTCAATATATGCCACTTTCACTTCCGAATGGGCATGAAGGAGAAAATGGCCATCGTGCGCGTGCTCCCTTACTTCCCGACCATGCTTGGCGGCACGGTTGCGTCCGTACTCGCGCAGCACCAGCCGCCGAAACACGCCATTACCATGACAATCGCCGGCATCACGATGCAGGGACTTGGCTTCCTGGTCTCCCTCTTCGTCTACTCCGAGTACATCTACAATCTCAGCCGAGACGGCCTCCCAGACCCGGCCATCCGCCCGGAAATGTTCATCGCCGTCGGCCCCCTAAGCTTCACCGCCATTGCCTTCATCGGCGCAGCGTCGGTCGCACAGCAGCTGTTCCCAGCGCACTACATCGAGGCTGCCAAGACCGTGAACACGGCAGACGTCGCCATGGTTCTGGCCGCTTTCTCATCGATTTTCATGTGGCTTCTGGCTTTCTTCTTCTTCTCCCTCGCCATCATGTCGTTGCTCGCTATCTACCGCTCGCTGCATTTCTCGCTCGTCTGGTGGAGCTGCATATTCCCCAATACGGGGTTCATCATCGCTACTATCCGAATCGGCACCGTCCTCCATTCCCCGGGTATCCTCTGGGTGTCGAGTGCCATGACCATCGTGCTGGTCGCGGCCTGGTTTATCGTCGGCGGACTCACCGTTTGGTCGACGTTTGCGCGGCGATTACTCTGGCCTTCGGACAAGGAGAAATGAATTTTTTTTTTTACGGCTAGTATAAAATATAACACATCGATAACGTCATGATGGAGTTCGGGAAAAGGTTGGAAAGAAAAAGAATCGGGATACCGAATAACGATATTATGACAATGTATGCTATGATAGAACTAGAACGATTAAACCAGCATTAGACAGAATTAATACTAATTATAATACGAAAAACGAATAGGAAATGAAATACATTGCCACTCGGGTAACTGATCAAGAAAGCATCGGTCAGTCCCGACCGAACCCTGACAACGCCATTCAAGCACAGAACAGGGCCAGGAACAGATTTGGCGGTGGACTACGTGATATTTCTTTATTTTTGTTATGTTACAGTTCTAGATGAGGCCGCTGAGTCATGCAATCTATGATCTGTGATAGCGTTGTTTCTTCTGGTTTCAGAATCAGGGCTATCGAATAACCAAGTATCCACAGGGATACGATTATGCTTTAGAAAGGCGAGTGAGATAGGAGAGCGAGATGCGGCCGTAGTTGAATTACTAGCAATGTACCCTCACACATAGTGGTATAGTATAGTATGCTATCTACAGCCTTCCCCTTAGACGCTCCTGTTCCTGTATCCGCTTGACCAGCTTCCAAGTTCCCAGAGCAATAGGCACAGTCAGCTTTGCATACTCCGCTGCAAATGCACTACTAGCCTGTCTGAGTGCATATCGCGCCGCGATTCCCTGGACAATCACAGAAAACCGGAAAGAGAAGAAAGCATCCCCCCACGGCAAGTCGGATGTTGGGTCCCAGCCGGCTATCTCTGCGTACCATTGAACACACTCTTCGCGCGTGGGGATACCAGGGATCCCGCCGGGCTGGAACTGGGCGATCTTATGTTCAGGGCCATCGAGAAAATAGGGACTCGTCAGGTTGCAAAGGTCTGACAGTGGATGTCCGATGGTGGCCATCTCCCAGTCCAGGATGCCGATGACTCGTGGTTCCGTCTTGTGAAAGACTAGATTATCAATTTTGTAGTCGCCGTGCACCAGGCTGGATCGGTCCTGCGGCTGTGTGGGCTTGTGCAGGAAGAACTTCACTACCTCTTCGATATGTGGCAGTTCCCCAACAGGGACCTTGGTGTCTACGTCAGCTGCCTGCGCTTGTGCGTGAGAAACACCTGACAAGGTCGCAATTTGTCGGTCGTAATATCCGTTTGGTTTCCCGAACTTTTCTAGCCCGACTAACTTGGGCACGACTTGGTGGAACTTGGCTAATGTGCGGATCGCATCGCGCCACCTATGAAACAAAACGGATATCTGGTAAGCCCATGGTTTCCCAAAATCAAACAAGGCTAGTCAAAGAGACCCATCATACAGTTCTTTTCGTTCCTCTGGACTAATCCCCGGCATGGCAGAGTTTGTGATCATCCGCCCATCCAGGAATTCCATAATGTAGAACGGTGTGCCGATAACAGCATCATCTTCACACAGGCAGTAGACTTTGGGAACGGGCACATCGGTCTTCTCCAGTGCATGTAGGATCCTGTATTCACGATCCACCCTGTGCGCCGTCTTGGATAGGAGCTTGCCTGGGGGCTTCTTGCGCAAGACGAATCGCTGCCCGTCCGTCGCGGTGAGTTGGTAGGTAGGGTTCGATTGGCCGAATCCAAACTGCACCCAGATTAGAAACAACGTGGTACTTGGTTTCATATCCTAGAATGCGGGCGAGAAACCTGCCTGTTTCACGTCCAACGGTGTCTTGATCACTGGCACGTTCTTGTTGATATACTTCTCCAAAGACGGGATGTCTATGGGTTGGCGTAACGGTCCCGCCATCTTCACAAGCAGTGCCCTTCAACAGGAAATAGCTTCAGGTACGCTTACAGCTATCTTTGCGATGAGGAGTTGGGGGATAAATCGCTGATATAATGCTTGGGAAAGCAGGGATTCCGTTACCGTCCCCCATGGGGGAGCCGAGCTGCAACCGAGGTATAATCTCACTGTTGATTATTGTTATTTTTACTGCAAAATCCCGAGCATGCTGCAGCGCTGGGCTGTCTCGTCTGCCGTATCTCTGTCCGCACGTGAGAAGCATCTTAGTGGCCTCAGGCACTGAGGCAGCTTCGCTCCTGAGAATATAGGCGGCATCAGGCAGAAGAGGATCAAGTGCACATCTATAACCATTATGTATTTTTCTATGTTTCTATCTTCCATTTTATCTTTCACGCGCTATACACGGTATCAATCCAAGAAACAGCATTAAAATATACATAGCCCAACATGAGGATACATATCAATGTGTCCATGTGCCCTTCATATCTTACTCACGATTATATAAAACCTAACATTTACCATGTCGTGTCTCCTAGGCCCAGTCGATTTACAGCTTCAATCGGAACAGGTTTGAAATCATCTCTCTGGCGGTGATCCGCGTGGTGGCCCACAATGTCGGGAAATCAAGAGTGCTCGTAAAGGTATCAGCGTACCCGAAGAAAAGCATGGGAGGGATCCAGCCCCGGGCGTATTCCAGCGCGAAACACGACGACTCCATCTTGTACTGTTTGACCTCTCCTCGGCGGAGGTGATGGACGCTGCCTTGTGGGTACACCTCCGGCTCGAATTCCCCGGGGACGTAAGCGAGTTGGGTTCCCTGGAGGATGTTGAAGTAGTCGTCCGCAGTGTGGCGTCCAGTGTGGCCTTCAGTTCCAATGGCAGTACCTGCGAAGATCGAAGAGCGTTAGCGGGAAGCGTCGCGTAAAGAAAAGGCTTTTTTGAAAAAAAAAAAAAAAAAAAAGCCAAGAGGATCATACTCACCAAAGATAATCAGATACTCAGTGATACTGGCATGAATGACATACATAGCGCCCATGGCACCACCAGCGTTGTTAAACACCCACTCCTGATCCTTGTTCACATAGGCACCCGTCTCCCTCTGGTCCAATTCGTCGACGATGAAGCTGACGACGGCCTTGGTATCATTGCCGTGCGTGCTGATGGCTCTCTGGGAAAGATCGTGCAGGTATTCCGGCTCGAAGATGTAGAATTGATCCAAGCGGGCATTGAGATAAGAGTAAAGTGCGGTGAACAGGGCCAGGACGATTGCGACAAGACCGAGCTTGTGGATGCCGCAAGAGCAATTCTTGGCTCCGGAGCGTGGTTTAGAGCCCATGATGAATTTATTTACGAACTCAGTTGACTCGGAGAATAAAGCGAGACCAATTGGGGTGGGTGGAAGAATGAAGGAAGGGAAATACGAAGAAAATGAAATGGACTGTTGAGAGATTGTCGGGACCGACGCCGAACGGATCATGTCAGCGAGTTTATTTGGATTGCAACTATTAATAATAGAGCTACTCCACAGCAGCATCCTCAGCTCCAGTACATCATTAATTTACTATCTTTTACCCTGTACACTATTACTGTCTAAGTGTGTACATTATTTACCTAGAAGTATAATCGTAGCTTTCCAAGGAATCCCAGCAATCCCATGTTTCTGAAATCCTGGCTCAACTAATAGATAAACGGCGATACGGCTGATAAAATATGCAATGCCTTGTTGTTGGATCACGTGGGATTCTGCCGCATAGGTCCGCCCTCGCTGACCCTTTTCACCACGTAGGCCTATCTAGCTAGTTACCAACGAGATATACCTCCATTACTTGTTGACTTAGAGGTCACGTGTTCCTAGTACGCTTAGTTAGCTAGCTGCCACCCCTGAGCTCCAGAGCTCAACTAACTATTCAATACTCTCATTTAAGTCATTATGCCTGTAAGGTAGAGGGCTATATATAGCTCAGCCAGAGGAAGTACCGGAACAGAAAAGCCTTCGCCACATCTCAAAATCTCTAAGCCCTAAAGTGTATACAAAACACATAGAACGTACCTGACGGTGTATTGGGAGAAAAAGGAAAGCCTAGCCGGATCTGGGAATCCAATCTCTACGAAGAAAGGGCTGATTGCATCAAAAGGTATCTTCATTCCATCGGCCTCTTTCCCCAAACTAATTCATCTTGTTTCCAGGCGAAGCGCAAGGAGAACAAACGATGTTCGTCTATCTCGCAACGCCTCTCGGCTGTGCCAGTTTCCGGAATGTATTTATATGCAATGGTGCTACGGACACGTTTCTAGATAAACTCCGCCAGAACAGGTGTTCCTGTGGGTTCTCCGTCATATTTTGGCCATCTCAAGCTCCAAGTTCCACGTGAAGGAAAGAGTTTCCCAGCGAATCTGTCGTAGCGATAGACAATCCGCTCCAGCCAGGTGAGTCCGGGATCCATCCAAATCTATGTCTAATTATGGATAATAACTTAGGCTGCACGCTGACTAAGATAGCGGATCACAAATGGGCCTTTATAAGGAGAATTTTTTCTCATAGTACAAGTGGACGAGGAAACTCGTTTAAGAAAGGAATCCGCGATCGGGACCAAGAATGCGTTGTCACTGGTCTTCCAAACAGAATCACACCTTTAGATTTCCGGAGTGGTTTCGAAAGCCTCTCATGTCTTGAACCGGTGAATTAAGTACAACTTCGACAGATGGATTGCTGATATGGATTAGCGCAATGGCGCATCGAAAACCAACTCCCGCCAGAATGGGGTCCTGTTGCGTGGTGATCTGCATACGGTATTTGACAGCAATCTTGCCTTAACTAACACTGATGTTTGAGTGATTCCGCAGGAAATAGTGTCGTTTCCCCCCTAACTTGTGTTTTGAGGACGGCTATAAGATCACAGAATGCGGTCTAGATACCTTCAGTATCGATGGAAGGATACTAGATCCTGTCTGTCGAGACCCAACAGACCCGCATCGGGTTTCTGATGAGTTACTCCTGTGGCGCTTTAGACAGTCAGAACTAGCGAACATGAGGAAAGCAGGTGAACCTTGTTTGAGTATGACTTTCCACCTGACACAGACATGGTGAGAGAGATACGAGAGGGGCCCTGTGTGCATGAGAGGTTTGAGATGGAGCTCGGGTCCCGGCTACGCAATATTGAGGTCTGGAGAGTAGAGGAGGACGAGGACAAGCAATCACCGAGGGAAATGCACAATGATGTCTACGATACAGCTGTCATGGATAGACTCTGTTGGCAGTGGTGGGGATGTTTGTCGTGATTTACGGCATCCCGGCCTCATCAACTGCGCAGTGGCTTTCGACAGTCTTTTCTTTCTTTATTATTATTTTTTATTATGTCTACACTAGCCTTTAGGCGTCGGAGACGTCCGTGGAAATAAGGCGCGCGTATTTCACCAGGAGGTTTCATCTCGGGCTACGCCTGCTGACGCTGGTCGCAGTCATCCCTGAACCTGAAACGGGAGAACTGCCCGAACTTTGAAAATCCCGGACAGAGAGCCGTGGCTGGTAGTTAGGTGGGATGCGAGGGGTCGGTTCTATATTTGGAGTGGATGAGCTGAGTTGGCTTCGATCAGGATGGTCTGCAGCCGCCACGCCTAAGAAAACTCGTAATTAGCAGCTGCAGGGAGCAGTGATGATATGGATATCCTGATCACTGCGCAGATTCAGAAACAACATACCATGCAGGAAAGACGAGGAACTTGGCTACAGCTACGAGTAATGCTATAAGCGCTGGGGGATTCCTTGGGTCGCCGGCGCCTAACAAGAGGATCTGGAGGTAAGCAAGGGAGCAGACTAGATTGGTCCATCGGGAAATGGAAGAAGGATCCTCGTGGCTAAAAAAAAGTGCCACAGATGAAGCTACGGAACTACCAAGCTGTTGTTCTGGATCCTCGCTGCCAACTCTCACCAGCGGGTTTGGCGCTGGGCGGCTTTCGGGGCGATAAACCAACTCACGACGCGTTTCGCCTCGCATCATGGAGACCAACAGACCTTCGCGCCCAATCCGTTTCACTCTGCCATGACCGCGCTGCTTCAAGGCCTGTCCTTCTTGAAACGTCTTCTGGGACTGCCGCTACCATACACCCGACTCTCCCATCGTCCTCTGGGATGGCGAATCATCTCGTCCAGCATTTCTCGCCCCTCGCAGGCCTCAACTCGACTCGCGCGCCAAATGCCCCATAGCTCGAAATAGACTCTCCCATGACCGTCTCCGTGACTGTTTAGGCCATGCGTGGCCAGCCGCTGATGGTTGGATATATAGAGACAGTCCCGTCGCCTCCAGAATGCTTCACAGAGTCGCCAGATGTGCCATTGTCTTGTTTTCTCATCCTGTCCCTTCTGCTTTCTTACATTCCCATCTAGAATCGCTTTTGGTTTCTCTCTTTGACCATCTGGTTTATTGTCCAGGATTACTGTCTCCGTGGAAAACCTGTTCCTTACGGCTGATTTTTCTTTGTTTCTCTAACGGAATAATAGCATTGTCTGTCGTCGTCAAGGAAAGCAGGACTTCTTTGACCCTTTGAAATCTCCTGCTGGCCAGGACTTTACTGCTGCTTTTATCATCGAAAACGTTTTCTTTCACATCCTTTTGCTTGCGCAAGACGAGCCAGAGAAGGGCTATTGTATAGCATATATTTGTCTTTTTGAATCCCTTGTTTCATTATCTGTTTAACTATACCCATTGTTTCCTCTGCGATCCCTGGAATTTTCCTGAGATATAACCCCAGCACTTTTCCCCATTCCGTTTCTGCGGCAGTCTTCCTCAGTTGTCGGTCATTTTGGGTCCATAGCTACCTTTTCGATTTCGAGACGTGTTTAACCATACTCAAATTTCCAAGATACCCAACTGGCAGCAAACATCCACAGGGACAAGAAATGACGGACTTCTTATCGATCAACAGGACGGCTCTGGAAAGATTCGTTCTTTCCAGCACTTCAACGCCGGATATGGTCATATTCCTGGCCAAACAGGCAGAAGATGTCATCACCTGTGACCCCAATGTGACCGCAGCCGGATCTGCAAGCCAGGATACTTTGAACGCTCCCCTACCATCTCTGAGAGGGTTCATTGCTTCTATCATCATTCAGTCGCAAGTGCCCGTGTCAACGCTTATGACATCGGCCGTGTACCTGAAGCGTCTGCGTCAACGCCTCCCGCCAGATGCTAAGGGGATGCGATGTACTGCCCATCGTATCTTCCTCGCATGTCTCATCTTAGCCGCCAAGAACGTGAATGATTCCTGTCCCCTGAACCGCCACTGGGCCCGTTTTAGCCGTGTTAGGGCAAACAAGGACTTCGGGTTCACCATCAAAGATATCAACCTGATGGAGCGACAGCTCCTCTACCTGCTCAGTTGGGACGTTCGTATCAAAGAAGACGACCTGCTTGAGGTGTTGGAGCCCTTTCTGGCCCCCATCCGTGAGGAAATCCAGCTCAATCTCGCCCGGGTAGAATGGTATGTGCAATCGCCCGATCCTCCTCTCCTTCCTCTGCTTCTTCCCCCATCCCTTTTGATCTTACCCCTAAACAACATGCCGACATTCTTCATATCTACATACTGACCGTAATTATCATTAGGCGTCAACTCCAAGCCTCCGGGGAACTCGTCGCCAAACATCCCCACGAGCAGAAGCAGACTACCCAAGACCATGTCGGAATCGTCATCTCAACAAGTCATCTTCCCGACTGCAACTCATCCCCAAGCTCAGACGGCGATGATTACAGCTATTCCTACCGTCGAAGCATGTCAACTTCTCCTCCGTCCGTCACCGACCTACCTCCGTTATCCCGCGCACCTTCTATGTCGTTGGACTCTCGTTCCTCAAGCCTTTCTCCTAGCTTCCAGGACACGCCTTGCAATATGAGTACTGCCTCGTTTAGCAGTGAGCGCGAGCTCATTCTGGCTGATGACGTTCGCAGCCCGGCCACGCATTCTGAGAAGCCCCTAGAGGAGGTTCGAAAACAGCCAAGAAAGAAACTAAAACTCTCTGCTGCTGGCAGTGGGGGGTTTGTAGCCCGATTCTTTGTTTCCGCTGCTGGCTCAATGGGAGAAAGGATCGGTCGAGGCAGTAGACATGGACGTGGACATCAGTAGCGCATTATCACGCTTGTCTAACCTATTATGTCCTCAACAGCTGAGTATATAATGGTTTTGGGTATAATAGGATGAGGGCTTTTTTTGACTATATGAATTGTCCAGTTACATAGAGCTCATGTCTCTCATGCCGCCCATTTGTGTGTTAGCACTCCAATCTCTGCAACCGGAGTTTAATGCCGTAATAGTGAGAGCGCTAGTCGATCAAAGGATATTAATTACTTCTGTTGCGATGCAATCAGACCATGTACAATGAACTCTCACTGTTCCGTAGCACGCTAGTAATCAAAGACGGATCCGGGGTCCAGTTCATTCTCCATATTCATTGCTTCAACTTTATAGGAATAAGGGTTGTTTCATTTAAGGCTGTCTATGGCTCCATGGGTGCACTGCCCCAGGCACTTTCACGGTCTGCCTGTGCCTTTGTTCGTGCCGAGAGTATAAATTTCTCAGACCATCATACGATCCTTCAATATTCATCTTTGCAAAATCGGTCTCTTTTCTATACCTATCTTCTGCAAGCACCAATGTCGTTATGGAAGTGTATTACGACGGAAGGGCTCCACCAGATCTCGGATGCGGAGGCGGTTCGTCTCTTTGGAACATCGTTCCAAACAGAGCTCGATCATCTCAAGCATGCCAATACCACCGTTGAGGCTGGGATGAAAGAAGCCGCTGGCTCTCTAGGAAATGGGAAACAGACACCATCGAGATTCCTCTTCGGGAATGATTTCGATGAAGTCAACCGGACGCTCGTCAGCATGTTGGCCCTCAGATGGGTTCTCGCAGATGACTATTCGTCTTTCATAGCCGGCCAGGCTGGTTCTTCCAGGCAGCAGAAGCTTACGCGGGAATCTTTCAGACATTTGAGGCAATATTTTTCTCAGCGACTGCCGGATAATGACTCTATCTACGCGTTACTTGTGGCGACGGTTATCGATGATATTGGGAAAGATCCTCGTCTTGCTGATATTCTTGCAAAAAAGAGAAACAACGGTTCAGCTGCCAGCGATTATCATCATGCCAACCACTCGGAAATTGTTCTGGAGTCTGCAAAGGCTGGGATCATACCAGCGTTGGAAAATCTTTCGTCGCCTACTAATCGCGCTGCTATCCTCCAGTCTCTGGAGATTGGAGGGAAACTCAACGTCGCCCAGTTGGTACAAGGCGAAGACGCACCGGCAAGCCTAGCCATTCTACGCACGATAGCTTATGGACCTGGTTTCCACATGCGAGCTATGGTGACTATCTTAGACGTGGCAGGTGCCGGAGCTCACAGGGATGCCCGGGGTTGTATTGTGATGACTGAATCCGTCTACCAAGCGTACATGTCGACTATCGAGATTATGGAAGGGTTCATAAACGGATCCATACCATCCGAGAGAGAATGCTATGATCGTGTCCTTCGTGCGCGCGGGGAAACTCTACACAAGAAAGGATTTGATCATCTGTCGACTGAGTCTGATGAGGAACGGGCACTCCTCCGACTCCTTTGCATGGGTCGTGTTGACACGAAGGAATTGGCAGACTGTTTCAGAAGTGCCTTCATGGATATACCGCCGATCTCAAGAAAAGATCTAGTTCAGGGAATGAGCGTCGATGGGTTGGGTGATGGTGTTGCAATCGTGCCATACTACGCACCTGGGTTGTTGGCAGAGGTAATGCGGTGTGCTGGCAAGATGGATGATGACTCTGACAGAAGAATAAAAGCACTATCGGCATTCCTGCAGTTCCTAGCTAGGGTGTTTGCCAGCTCGAAACGCCAGCTGGGAACGATGGGGGCTGTTCTTGAACGAGATTTATCTTTTGCCCAAGATGTCATCAAGAGTCGCCATTTTGTCAATGACCCATCTATCCTCATGCACGTTGAGTTACCGTGGTAACAATGTCAGAAATTATGACTATATATGTTTATACTCTCTGCTTGGCTCTTGTTATCGTGGCTTTATGGTCACTGCTATATGTGATGAATGTGTTTTTTGCTCTTTAGTGATGAAACATGGAGTTCTGAGACAGAAACAATGTCTCGCTTGCCTGTATGTAACTCATCAAGCTTCAATAACAACATTTACTACTGGTCTATTCCCTTTCAAATTTCATTCTCGGAGAGAGATTCTGTTGTTGGTACATTGGTTGGGTATCAATACATGATGAACTGCCAATAATGATACATAGTATACAATGCTGTACTTTTGTGCCGCATGGGAACAACATCGTTTCTTTCTTTACTTACTTCCCTTCTCCTGCTTGTTCCCGTTTCTCTCCCTTTGCTTGTCTATTTTCTCCTGCGGCATTCGAGGTATCGCTGAAGATATCTCTACTGGAACAAGGAGGAATTTCTCCATCAGCAACGCGGCGGCAACACTCACATTGAGGCTGTCAACCCTGGCTGGATCAGATGCCACTCCCGGAACAGGATTCCTGACCCAGGGGATGCTCACGATCGCATCCGCATGGTTCTTAATATGGTTGCTAAGACCGGTACCCTCACTGCCCAGCATGAGCACACTGGGTGATTGGGTAAGCGGGCTGGCAGTATGATCATTGCTATCATTTGAAGGATGCGGGTCAACGTATGTCGTTCCAAGTCCCGGGGCATCAGCCGCGTAGAACCTCCAACCATTGGCCTTGGATTGTTTGATAAACTCCACTTCATTGTTGACCTTAAGAAGCGTCATGTTCTCCGCTGCTCCAGCGGAGGATTTGATTGCCACGGGTGATAGAGGCGCTGAGTTTCGACCAGCAAAAAGAACAGCGTCAATCCCAAGGTAATATGCGGATCGGACAATTGCACCTAGATTCCCGGGATCCAGGATCCCGTCAAGCAGAAGAGCGACAGGGTACCTATTCTGCTTCCATTGGCTGCTGCGGAGAATTGGGATCCTGTTATTCGTACCATTCACTGCTGCTTCTTCTCGTGATTGGGGAGCTAACTCCATACGGAAGAAATCATCTGGTGGATCCGCTACACCATGGAAGCTTCTCACAGGTAGCAGCGGCAAGGGGGAAGCTTCAAGAACGCAGCCGTTATGCGGCCGACCTTCGCACACCTTGTCAAGCAATCTGTCCCATTCCCCGAAGGCCATTTTTACCGGCACGCCCTTGACAAGCGCAAGTTTCCGCAGTGCAATTTTCTGGAAACCGAGTAATTCATCCGCACCCTGGTATATATACAGCTTGTATAATTTGCGCCGACTGCATCGCAGCGCCGCCTCGACAGCATTCGTTCCGTAGATGAACTCCGATGCAGGATGTGTCAGAGGCATAGACTCGGGACATTTCACGAATGTCTTCACATGCTCTGGCGCCTCATCTGAAAACTTGTGCGTTCTTGGTCCCCTCCGATTCTTTCTCGGTCGGATTTTAAACGGTCTCGGCCCTTCGGAGGACTCAGAACGTGTGTTGCGGTCACTATGTTCTGGTTTCCCAGATCTTAAGGATGATCTATTTGGACGAAAGCCGCGACCACTAGAGGAATCACTCGGAGAAGTGGAGGACTCTAGTGAACGGGACTTGCGAATGCCGCGCTCTATAGCGGAGGTCAAGGAGGCGTGCCGGACGGAGATCTTAGGTGCTAGTATCTGGCGACATATTCGGGCACCAGCGAGGGTACTGGGGACTGACATTGTAGGGCAAGTCAAGGGAAGTACTCCAGAGCAATGGTCTCTTTCGGGGAAGAAGAAGCACAAAGCATGGACGGCGTCAACTTTTTGATCATCGAAGCTGAAGCTTTCTTGCTTAGTCATACTTCGTGATGAGTCAGCGGACATTCTCCCCCCCAGAGTCGTTTCTCCCGGCTTCATCCCTCTCCACGACCTCACGCCCTTGTTCTCTCCCCCATCGTCTGTCGGGCCTACTCCTGCTGGTCCTGACGCACCCATTTTGGCTTGTGTTCCGCCCCTGGAAGCTGAACAGCTTTGTCTTCTGAGACCTCTCCCCCAGCTGGTCTTGGCTACGCGCCTAACGACTGTAGGCGAAGCATCAGTGTCGATGACCTCACCAACCAGCCTGTTTCTGTATCAGTTGGCTGTCTGAGACGGAGAGTCTAGCATTTGCGCCTTGCATCTAAAAACAGAAATACCGTCTTGGTGATCAAAGAACACTGTGCGTCCTCTCCCCTGTTACTCTTTCAACCCCCCACCTCTCCTTAGCGTCCTCCGAGGACTTCCCATATCCCCCCTATCCCTTTCTTTCACTTTCGCTCCCTTTGTTTTTAATGTCAATCCAACCCGTTCATAGTAACTACTAAATTTTATTGACCTCATTATCTGACTCGCTCCAGAACCATTATCTTACTACTCTTTCACTAGCGACCACAGTTTCCGTTGTGCCGCCTTGTACCCCGCCCCCCTTCCAGCTTTCTTGCATCGAACGTGGTAGCATCTGCAGCATCATTTTCAATAACATGGCAGCGAGCTCGTTTCCGGGTGTCAACCCATTTCTTAAAATCGGTGTGCCTGGCGAGAATAACCCTGGTTTTCAGAAGATATCTGAGGAGGACTTTGATGTGACGTCACCAACCGACCCAACCTTTCGCAGTGCCAATTCAGGCGCTTCTCAGTCTGCATCCAGTCACAACAGGGATGCATTTGCCGAGAACAACCAGAGTAGCCGAGAGAGGCAGCGTATTTTATTTGGAGCAAGTCCTTTTGGACCAGAATCGCCGGAGGAGAACGCTGTCAGCGACGATGTTGATGTTCCCGGCGGCTTCCCAGAGTCGCGTCCAACCGGCGGTCCCAACCAGGGCTTCCCCAACAACTATGCCCTGGGACGGCGTACCTCTGTCTCTGCAGAGTCTTTGAATCCGACGTCGGCCACTGCGGATAGCTGGTCGCCCCCCTTTCATCCCAAGACAGAAGAACAGGTCTCTCGGTTGAAGGCTGCTGTCAGCGCCAATTTCTTGTTTTCTCACTTGGATGATGACCAGTTCAAAACAGTTCTGGATGCATTAGTCGAGAAACCAATCCCAGCAAAGGATATCAAGGTCGTTACACAGGGTGATGCCGGTGACTTTTTCTATATAGTGGAAGAAGGGCACTTCGATGTGTACATCAACCCATTAGGCACTGTCCAGCAGGGACCAGACGGACTGGGCAACAAAGTAAGCTCGATTGGGCCCGGAGGCTCCTTTGGGGAGCTGGCTCTTATGTACAATGCACCGCGAGCGGCCACGGTGATTTCGGTCGATGCGAAGAGCACACTATGGGCTTTGGACCGCGTCACCTTCCGCCGCATACTCATGGATTCAGCATCCCAGCGCCGTCGGATGTATGAAGCTTTCCTGGAAGAAGTGCCGTTGCTAGCATCCTTCAAACAATATGAGCGTGCAAAGATCGCGGACGCTCTGGACGCGAGCAAGTTCTCTGCCGGTTCAACCATCATTGCAGAAGGTGACCCTGGCGACGCTTTCTACCTTCTGGAGTCGGGAGAAGCCCAGGCATTTAAGAATGGCGTAGACAGGCCAGTCAAATCGTACAAGCGGGGTGACTACTTTGGAGAGCTTGCATTGCTGGACGAGAAGCCCCGAGCAGCTACCGTGGTTGCCAAGACAGATGTCAAAGTGGCAAGGCTTGGTCGCGACGGGTTCAAGAGACTACTTGGGCCTGTTGAGGAGATCATGAGGAGGACTGAATACGAAAGGGAGCCGACTCCCACTTAACGTGGTCTTTTATAGCAGTTATCATTATTATCTCTTTTGGGTTTCCCTTTCCTTTGTTGAAACATACGGTGTCATGAGAAGTAGAATATTCCGGGGAGATCGATGTTTGTTATCCTGTCCGTGCCACTGATGCAGCATTTATGCACCTTTGGTATGGGCTTGGGTCTGCTGTTCTCCGTCATTTGTGTTGTACTGTGGATGCGGCTGGTTTTGGCATTGTCCGTTGGAGTCACTCACTACGTGGGGTTGTGTTTTTTCTGTTTTCCTCCCTTTTACTTTTGTTGCCAGTGTTTTAAAATGGAATCATAGGATTGAGCGTTAATTGGATAGGGCAATTGATGAGTTGACATCTGCCTCCGTCGAGGGATCTGTCCTATACCATAGTACCCCGCAGATTCCAATCCAATCCAGAGCATACGAAGCATCCGAGAAGAAGAAAAAAAATAATTAAGAACGAGCAACGACCAAATCGCTCCTCAAAACCCACTTCTCCCCACCCGTCACTACCATACCCTCATGCAGGAGACACCTTTCTCCATGGCGATGCAGCAATGCCAACCCCGTCTCCGGCGCAAATGCAACAGGGGCAGGATTGCGATTCTCCCGAGTCGGCTCGGGATAGAAGACTGTCTCCCCGCCCTCGCAGGAGGAGAGGTAAATGAGGAGTGTCCATGTTGTGCGAGCGGGGACGGTTTTATTTGACTCTGTTGGGAAGAGGAGGGTGTTTGAATCATCGTCTTATTTATATCATTTGGTTAGATGCTTTTAAACAATCATAGAAGTAACAGTACTCCATGTTGGACATCATATATTCTTCGTACAGTGTAGTGCATATGTATTCTTATATATACAAGCGATAGGTAGAATAGTAGATGGGGGATTGAATACTTACAATGCTTCGCAAAAAACTGCCCCTTGGAATACCGATAAACGCGAATATTTGGATTCAACCCCAGAGGTTCACCACCAAACAAGACCCTGGCATTCCTCTTCCTTTTCCTGCGGATCTGCTCTTCATTTCCATTTCCACCTTCATCTTTATCCTCCCGGTTCACCCTGTCGACCCCAGTCTCTTTATTGTCACCGTCAATATTCCTCTCATCCTCCTCCTCAAGATACCTCCCCACAACATCCTGCAACCCACCCACCTCCCAGAGCATCCTCGCGAACCGCCCATCCTCCACCTGGAACCGATCATTGACGCGCACTGCCTCCCCGCGTTTTGGTTTAGAAGGGGTCGTGATCAGCGGGAGGGAGGAGAGAAAGTGAATGTAATTCTTGCATAGTGCGGGCAGGAAGAAGTTTCTGATTAGGTAGATCTGGTTGGGGATTGCGGGGGTGATGGAGAGGGAGGTGGATGGGAGAAGGGGGCGGAGGGAAGGCCAGGGTGGTGTCTGTTGGGGTTGGCTTTTTGGGGGGTTGGTTTTGTTTGGTTGTTGTTGTTGTTGTTTCTGGGGTTTCGATTTTGATTTGGGGGGCATTTTGGTTGTTGATTCTGGAGTTGGACAGATGAAGATGAAGATGAAGATATTCGGAGAAGTCATTCATTTGTCCGGCAGTATTCCCTTCACCGCCCAGTATAATAACCCTACCTATCCTGTATAGAAGTACATGTTGTTATGGCTACAGTATTATGACCTAAAACCGGACAATATGAACGAAACACTGCAAATTAACGAAGTTCTAAATAAATGCAAAATAACAGACAAAAATTCCTAACTATTAGTGACCCAGAATGCGTGCGTAGTTCGGAACAAACAGGAAATCTATACAAAATGCCTCTCATCCAACTTCATAACATATGCGTATGCTTCAACCCAATCATAAATTCCTCTGTGTCTCTGTGGCTCGTTGAGAAGACCGCAAAGCAGCTCTTGTACGGCGACGTTGGGGATCCGTCTTTCTTCGTCGACCGGGTCCGCTATGTCGTTGGCTTTGGGAGGATTCAAGGAGCTGTAGCTGGGATTCACATTCTCTTGCAGTGTAGGATTGTTTAGCGCCGAGGTCTCGCATCTAGTCATGGAGGCCTTGTGATCAGCAAATACGTTCGGAGAAATAGGAAAAGTGAAGAAAAGCGTTTTACTAAAATGCTCTAGTTTTGTCTGCGTACCTTTTGAGCGATGATTTCATATTTCTCTCTCTCTAGATCATCACGAGCTCTTAAAAGCAGCCGGATCTAATTGACACCTTGCATGTTCAGCGTCGCCTATGATCCAACATCTGAAGAAGTAGACAGCAGTAATGGGCACGTACTCACATCATCCTCATCCCAGCGGGCCTGGCGTTCCTTTCGCCTCCGCGTCATCCGCATCTGGAGACTTGCTTCCGCGGCATCCTTGTTGAACCTCTCGCGGTACCTTTCCCGGATTGTCTTCCAGGACATACCTTGATCTCGGAGAGACTCCACAAACGCATTCTCTTCCTCGGCCTGCGGATCTCTTCGCCGTCGTCCGGATGCACGTGCTCGTTGCTGCTCCAGGTCATACTGGCGACGCTCCTCTTCCAACCGTTGAAGGCCCTCTGGATGAGGGCGGATCAGAACTGGCGTCTCTCGGATCGGCGGTGTGCTTCTCGCGCTCCGGCGTGTCCTCCTTGCAGGTTGCCGCTGAGGTGAATGAGTGGTTTCCCTCGTGTCATAAACTACGTTTGCTGGGGCCAGTTCCAGTCCAGCTGTAGCTGCCATCGGGTAGTTACTTGGAAACGGGCCCGAGAGACCAAGCCCGGATTGAGGGAGGGCCGCCTCACCCACTCCATACTGATACTCCTGCGAATGGTGACTGAGTACAGGGCTTAGTCTTGTGTCCCCAAAAGAGCTACCAGGGAGACTGATGGGTGTTAAGAGGCCCGGTGCTGAAAACGCTGCAGTACAGTACGAATAGTTGTAAGGCGTCTATTCTCAGCCAGCCGCCGTCAGTACATATGCTTCGGGTCATTTTTAGATTCTCAAACATACCGCCCCAGTCCGTGGCCACTCCGATGGCATATTCTCAAGGTATTCGTCCATCTCAGGGTTTTCGGAGCCACCAAAAAAAGACATCGCGTCCACAAATCCACCCGGGCCTTGAATAAACATCAAGCACGCTGATAGGGTCGATGGAGATAGGGCGCTTGGTACAAGGGGGTATGGCAGAATGTGAAACGCTCAGTGAAGGAGGGTCTCTATAGAAGGAGGAGCGAAAGGTACAGCGGCAAGCAAGTGACCAACGAGCGCGTATGATTTTTGATATGCCAATTCTACCTAGGATAAGGGGGGAGAATAATATGCAAATGTTTCCCAAGCTAAGGTGACTATACTAGGGATCTTTTTGAAAAAGACCGCAAAGGGAGAAGGAAAGGACCTTTTATGAAAGCACTGCCCTTGGCCATACAGGTGACTCGAAGCCATCAAGCAATGGGCCGAAAAGCCTCGCGAGGCATACAAGTTGGCCTCCTCATCATTCCCCAAGAGCTCGAAGAGATGGGCAGATACCGTGGAGAATAGCTGTGCCGCATGGGACATTCCTCCATCGTAGAAGACTCATGACCGCCTGTGCTTAAGCGCCTGGTTGTTTGAATGATTGGCAATAACGGCAAGCTAGGCGTTGCCTATCGATGGCAATGAATATCCCAGAGAGCAACCTAGAGGTCGGGTTCGGAATTCTCAAGGCCCGCTTCAATGCAAGTCAAGGCGTGATGCATGGGAATAAAATCCCCCGCAGTTCTGGACCGAAGATTGGGAGGAGATGCTGCGAGAGCTGTTGAGTACGCAAGAGACCTGTTAAATCTTGGGGCCAAATGACAGCAACTGGGTTAGCGCGCTCCGGTCGAAATGACAGGCGAAGAGCTAACGGGAAGATGGGTGAAATGATAATGGGCGAGACCATACGCAGCAGACACGGGACAAACAACGCATGCGGGTACGCGAGAGAAGCCCCGGGAGATCGTCAAAGCTGCATTCACCCAGAAAGAGTTGGCAAGGACGGCGAAAGGTTCATGATAAAGTCCCTTAGAGCACTGGGTCCATATCTGGAATGACTGCAGTATCCATAGGTTTGTAGGAAAAGCAGAATTGTGTTCATGGTAGAGCCGAGGCCAATCGAACGGGTAGAGGCTGTGGAAAACGCCGGAGAGTCGCGATTGGGACTGCGACCCCGATGGACTCAGTTCTCTGAGCAGAGGCTCATCTTCGATAAGGGTTTTTCTTCTAAGCGCTTCTCTACTGCAGCTTTGGATCCGTTGTAGAGCTTGTTGGCGCAAAGGCTGAAAAGCCACCACAGTAAGGTGGAGAGAGATGTTTCCTTGGCCGCAGATCCGGGTGATTTGTCCTGAAAGTACTTCGAGTGGAGAGGATATCATCTCCGCGTCAAACCATTCGACGTTGAGTCTTGGGAAAATGGCAGATTTGGTTCTGAGATGACGTCGGAGGGTAAAGTTATTGCGGCGCAGAAGCATGGTACTGTTGAAGACTCATTTGTCATGTGTGCAGACAAGACAACGTGTCACGTAAGAACGCTGGCAGCTAAGCGCCATGATCCCGACTGGGGAAAGATTGCAAAGAGGCACTGCAAAAGGAGGCTGCAATCATCAATGCGCCACGGTGGGGCTGAAGTGATCGCTGGCGCTTAAAAGAGCAGACGAAGGAATGTCCATTGAAGTAGATAATGGTTGTTACCCGTGGAATCCTTTCAGTCGTGAGGGCTAACTGCCGCCCTTGGAGGCTGATCATAGGCACCATGAGGCCGTAGTAGAATGCAAATGCCAACAAACATCATCTATCATCTGGAGGGCAGAAAATCGAAGGCAAAAACATTCCGGTACCCCGGTTAACCGTCTTTCAAGAGGCATTTCCATCCTCTTATCAGCAATCTTCGTGCCGAGCAAGCCACTGGATCCACGGTGAATGAACCATTCGCATGGAACGCAGAGATCATGTAGTCTCCTCCTTCGTGAATACATCAGCCGGTTCCTGAGAGGTATGGTTTTCATGGACATGTCTAACCCTCGTGGATCGCATCCGTCAATTCTCTGACCTGGTGCACTTGTTTCCTATCACTTCCGCAGGTTCTGGGCCAGGGAGGGCTCAAGCCACCACAGCAGCTGCAAATTCATTGTTCTTGCAGGGCCTTATCTCCAATCTGGTTTTTCGCCGATGTCGTACAGGATCAATGCCCGGTTGTGCATGATGCATCCAGTTCCTTTGATCCAGTGGCAGCTCTTCTCCCTCCGGAAGTGCCCCGAGGGCATAGAACGTACCAGCGAGCCTCCACCTGCAGCCTCCGAGCAGTATCCCTCCTACCCCCCCCCTTCCTCCCCATTGTATATGATGATAAGTCACAGAGGTCCTGGTTCTTTACCGGTCCACCCAGATATGGTTTCAGCGGAAAGTCTGGTAAGTATATTCATGGAGTTCCGGGTAAATGCAAGATATTCGTCTGATTCATCATCCCCTTGATGAAAAGGTGAGCAAAGTCTTCAGCACCAAGCCTGTAGGGATATATCGGGGGTGGGGATACAGTGAGCTATAAGAACCTAGATTGCATTATACTTTGTGGCCATGGAGCTTCGATAATGAGAGAGTTCATGAATAGGACTTCTGCCTGGGACAGTTACTATCCTGTTAGCTCAAATACTTTTGACATACCCGTCTACGTCCTTCGAGATGCCACTCCAGTAATTCTCCGCTCTAGAAGTGCCGTTTTCTTTTCCTGGCCCGAATGCAGCGTGCAAGCTTCGTCGTACCGATGCTAGAGAAGCTCCTCAAGGCACATATGGCTAGTTGCTTGGCGATGGAACAATGAGCGTTTATGCTTCACGCCAATACGCCTGACTGAGAACCCTCTGTGTGGTCAAAGCACGCGAGAACAGTCAGCGCGTCTCTCTTCTGCAACCGCGTCAAGATGGAAAGCAAATTGGTCGCATAGTCTGAGATCGTATCATAAATGCGCATAATATAAATCCATCTAAATGCTGTTAATTATCGAAAGGAGTGTGCATACTTTGCAATGAGAATGAATTGTCAATCTCTGATAAATCCAGGCGCCCTGATGTACGCTCACGTGAGTAAATATAACGCAGAAAATTGTTCTGCTACACGGACTCCAAACTCGCACGTTAAATTCATTAAACTGGAACAGGCTCTTGAAGAAATAAATCAATAGTAGTAACAAATGTAGGGCATGGGGCTTTTGTGGGACGGTTGAGTGCATCTGAGAATACAGAGTACAGCATAGACGTGGAGAAATAATCATTCTCTACCATCATGATGATGGGGAAACACCATTAACCATGTTCGCCCTTGTCCCGGCCGCAGGCTCAGGGCCCTCAGAGACCAAGGTCCAATCTCGAACACACCCCTTCCAGTCTGCAATCCGGCCTTCGCGCACGGGGACCACCACAACACGGACGTTATTGTCGATGGAAGAAATGGACGTTCTCTGGCCAGACGGTTGTCGCTGCTGGCCAAACAGTCCTTGTTCTTCTTCGAACGTGTTATTCTCCAGATGTCTCGCCTTGCACCACGCCTCTTCCTCTGAACCGGATTCCAGAAAGCGCGCGGTGCCCGTGATTGTTGTGGAGATACTGGAGAGCGCACTCGTATTCAGATCCAGAAGGAAGCTAGCCAGAGATGAACGAGTAGCAGCAGGTGGCGGGGAACCATCGCGCTGGCCGCCGGGGTTTGGAGCGCGAGTCGGAGGTCGGTGGGATACCCAGTCATGGACCAAAAGAGATACGCGCGGATTAGATAAGAGGTGGTTCGTCTTGCGCGAGTCCGGATTTGTAGTCATAATAATCGTTGGCTGAGGATCAAACGGGGTGGAAGGAAGATAGGTGTAGGACATGAGGGACACATGCGGCGTTAGGCCGTCACATGTTGCTAGATGTAGCTATGAGTTCAAGCATTAGAATTCCAACATATACACAAGCCAGCAAAGGAATAAGAGGTAGCAGGATGGTAACGAAACCTACAAATCGCGAGTTTTTGAGACACGAGATGACCTCGGACGGCAGCGAGGTTGCGATATGTGGGTGGGTGGTGTTGGCGGAGGCCTCATAGGAAAGAGGGGGATTGAGAGAGTCCGACATGATGCATAGATAGTCTTGAAGCAATTGAGAAGCAATCCAGGAATGCAGATCAGCAGCAGCAGCAAGGACGTCGTCGCATTAAATCGAGATGCGATGCTTGCAGGGCGGGCATAATCGTATTGGGCGTGGCGGTGGCACGTGTATGCTTACATAACTTGTGGCTGGTTCTGTGGCCGGTGGGTTCACTTAAGCCACTGACGTCATGAGATCTACTCCATTAATTATTACTCAGCAATCTTATTGCTCCATAGAACATACTATACATAGTACATCCACTGAGTTGACAATCCTATTGATGTAGCCATGAGCATTGCTACTGAAGGTAGCATGGAGCTGCAGTGGACAATGAAATCACTGATCGACAGGTCTTCCCAAGTACTTATAGCAAGACTGTTTGCATGCACTGAAAAACTTTTGTAGCAATACATGTTCTTTTATTCCACATCCTGCTGAAGCTTCCCCGCATTTTTTTGTCCCAGAATCATCACCAGCTACTTTCGGCCTGAACTGTGCTCAGACTCCTGTTGATGGTACTGCACTGCGCATGCAATGAAACCATAGACTGTCCTCTTCTGCTGTGTCACAATCTGCTCTCTCCTCCCTTCCCTCTCTCTCTGCCCCTCTCCTCCCCTTTCCTTTCCATCCTCTCTCTCATCACCCCCCATCTCTTATCTATCCCCATCATCCCCTTCAGCTTCGCTGGACTCTTCCAGCTCTTCCTTGTTCTCCCCTTCTATATTTCTCGTACACTTCCCACCATGTTTGCACTGCGTTTCGCGCGTCCCGCTTCTTCCCTTGTCCGACCCTTCAGCTCTTCCTCCGTTGTCCATCGCGTTCCCTCCATCCGAGATATCACGCCGGACTCCGCTTCTGAGTTTGATCTGCGCCAGAAGGAGTTCCGTGAGAATCTGGACATGGCTCGTAAGAAAAAAGAACAGCAAGAGAGTCAGTCTGTTGACACCACCACTTCTGCCTCTGCCTCTTTCTCCGCTTCGTCTCGTGAGTACAATGCTGCTCCCGCCGCTCCCTCCAGGAGCGACGTGAGCGATCAATATCGTGCTGTTCTTGACGCTGCCGAGAATCTCGACCAGCAGGGACTGAGCTTACTCTTGTCGCATCGCGCTCTAGGAGAACAATCGGAAGCTGGTGAATCAACCAAACGCGGTCCCTTGTCATCGCTCATCTACGGGACGAAAGAAGCTCGGCAGCACGAACATGACATTGAACGCTCCTTCTCTGAAGTCCTCGCCCGTGGCAAGTACGTCCACTCCATCGTCTTCCACGATGTCAAGCCCGACAAGGTACCTGAATATGTGGAGGCTGTTGGCCAGTGGTACCCTCGTATCGCGTCCATGGAGGAGAACAAGGTGAATTTGGTGGGAAGCTGGCGCACCCAGGTGGGCGACAATGATACCTTTGGTACTTGATTCAAACAATCCATTTTACCTCCTAGTTTGTTGGTTCTTACGTTCCGTGCTAATACTCTTATGATACCTTTTTTTAAGTTCACATATGGGAATATCAACGCTACACCGGTTACCACGCATCACTCCACGCCATCTCTCAACTCCCAGACTTCCCGGAATATGACCGGAAGATTAAGTCACTTATTAGCAGCAAAAGAACGTCCCTTATGCAGGAATTCTCATTCTGGCCAACAACCCCTCCGCGTCGCCTTGGCGGTATCTTCGAGCTTCGCTCCTACACCCTTCACCCCGGAAATCTCCTGGAGTGGGAGGCGCACTGGCGCCGCGGTCTCAAGGCTCGTCGGGAGGTCATGGAAGGCGTCGGAGCCTGGTTTGTCCAGATTGGTGACCTGAACATGGTCCACCACCTCTGGCAGTTCGCAAACCTGGAGGAGCGCAAGATTCGTCGCGAGCAGTCCTGGAACATTGAAGGTTGGGCGGAGACTGTCCATAAGACCGTCCCACTTATCCAGCACATGCAAAGCAGGATTCTGGTACCCATGCCGTGGAGTCCTGTTGGTTAGGAACTTCCTCGGACTGGTCTCTAGCGTGTGAAGCAGGTCTATTTACTCGACAGCGCAATTCTCAAACGACGTAAGACTCGAAACGACACATAACTTGGTCTGTTAACGGGGCTGAGTAGACGGAGTTGGGGATATGGGATTTTCTTGTGAATAAACAAACACATGGTACACGTGCAACCCATCAGTCTTCCAGGGGTCATCTGGGGAGAGCATACTTTATTTCGGCAGTGTTACATACCACCGCATTTCCAGAGTTAGTGGAATCATTCATATCTGATCAAATAGATAGAGATCTTTGAGTGTAATGGTAGACTAGACTGTTGGCATTTTTTTGGAGCTGTATGCCGTCGGTTAGAACTACACCGTTATATGGTCGGTGTAGTGCGGAAGTTGTATATATCAAGCTTGATGCTATATACGTATGTAGTATGGACTAGCAAAGCTATATGCATAGTAGTGCATGGATATTAGTGTAGATCCCATATTCGGTCGAGAAAATAGCCATCGATGTACTCCGCAAACAAAGAAGGGATAAGGACTACTTAGATTCTTGCAAACTAAGCCCTCTCCAGGCTGCCTACGTTCCTGCTATGGAGAACTCGGCAAGAACAGTACCATATAGAAATAAAGACAAATACCCGAATTTCAAATCATAACTAATAACTCCCCAAGTCGTGAGGTCATTAATCACATACCCCATTCATTCCATCCCAATGCCACCGTCGTCAACAATAACAATAGCCAAAACCATAACCATAACCATAACGATGCATCACACTGTAATGTAGCCTTCCCAGTAAGTCCAGAGGAGGGTGCTGTCGTTTCATAATAATCACATGCCATAGACATGATATTTGCTCATAATCCATAACCAATGTTCGCCATGAACCCAAAATTGGGGTGAGCAAACACAGCACTGAACAACAATAAAAACACCAAAAACACCAAAACCACCGACATAATGACAGTACGTGGAACAGAAACGAAAGAAGTCGAGTTCAACACAATTCCTGGTCGATATCCACGAGTGAAGAACGCTGGAACCATCGACGCCACCCAGGGCGATCCTGGGGAGGCCTCGGCTCCAATGAAATGTGGATTGAATGAAAGGAGGATCTCAGCTTTCAAGAAACCAAAAAAAATATCGACCCCACCCAAGATTCACATCTTCGCTATCGACACCTGCTTAACTTGCTAATTAGAAGGTCAAGCACGTACATGGGCCCTTCTACCAACTGGGTTATGATAGCTATCATAGGCATGACGAGAGTATCCATTATATCCATAAGGACCGTCATCTGGCCCAACGACACGAGAAATTCTGGGATCTTTTTCCTTAGTAAGTTGCTCAAACTCACCAAAGTGCATCTTAGACGACTTTGAGCGAGAGTCATAACGAGAAGCTTCCGATGGATAAACATAGGCGGTGCTGCTTCTGGATGATTTTGTTGAAGATCGGGCTGACCCGGGGGTGCGCTCTTGACGCACAGGAGAATAGCTTCTTTGATGCCTCGAGGGCATAGAAGGTTTGTCGGCTTCTAGCACGATTGTCTCCTGCTCAACAACCTTGTAGCAGCGCTTCGAGGACACCTTTGGTGGACTTGTTTCGGGTGCCACATCAGGTGTACCAGGACTCGAATATCCCGAGTCATGTCTTTCTAAACCACTTCGCGCCTTTGACGATCTCGTAGGGGGAGTATCGTGGGGGAGGGTAGTCTCATCGACCATGCCGTACAAGCCATGATGTGCCCGTCCAAAACGTTGCCATGTTGTTCGGCCATAGGACGTGGCAGACCGCGGAAGGGACGGCCGAGACGACGATCTATGCCTCGCTGAGGGGGAAGTGGATTCCTGATGTGTTGGAGGGACCTTCGGCTCGAAGCTCGGAGCTTGAGATTCGAGATGTTCATACGAGCTGTTGCGTGAAGTTGAAGGTCGCACACCTTCCCTGGATCGAGCAGATGGTCGAGAGCGCCGTGAAGTCATCTCTGGTTCCCCGGTCTCGAACACGTGATGGCGAGGGGGAGAGCGGGATGCACGTGGCTGTCGGTCGACCTCAATTTTGGTGCGCCGGATGTGATCGCAAGCATTGGCCAGCTTGTCCCTATAGTCATGCCTATCGTATCCATCCGTATATTCATCGTCATCATACCGCCGGGTCTCCTGTTTGCGGGATGGTTCTGTTGCGGCCCTGCGAAGTGATGGAAGTTCAGCTTTTGCGGAGTCTGAGTGTGTCTTTCTGGACCCTGACGGCCGCTTCACCCTAATATATACTGAAGCACTAGAATCGGAAGCATCATCCTCATCGTCCTCATCATCATAGTGAGCGGTGCGTTCATACTTCTCCGATGCCTCCCGCTGTCGCTCCTTAGTACGGGTCTTGGCGCGGTCGGAATAATATGCCCTGCTACTCTCGCGAGTGGTTTGCTTGGGCATTTCGAAACTGCTGGCACCGGGCGCGGGATACGTCCTTGTTCGCCTCTTTCCATCCATACCGAACTTGGATCGCTGGCGCTTCCCGGCTTCATCATACTCCCGGAAGGATGGCCAAGGCTCTTCGGCGAGAGGCACGTCTTCCTCAGCCGAAGCCGCGTCGGCCGGCGCTCTCTCCTCATAATAGCGCCCGTTCCAGTATTCACGAGTAGTAGTGCGCGGAGAAGAGTACGGGGAGGAGCCAGTCGCACCTGCGCTCCGTTCCCGCACCTCCCTTCTCAGCTCGGCCAGACGGTCATATTTTTGCCTGGTCGCGTCATCAGAGAGGAGCTCATACGCCTGCTGCACCTTCTGGAACTCATCCTGAGCCTTCTCCCGTTGCGACTCGTCCAGAACCTTATCCGGGTGGCATTTTAGCACGCGCTTCCGGTGGGCCGCTTTGATTTCAGATAGGGTGGCACCTTTCGAGACACCTAACACGGCATATGGATCGATATCGGGAAACGAACTCATTATTTAAGGAAGGAGCTGCTAAGCTAGGGTCGCAAGACATACGATGCCTGTGATAGGGATCGAACCGACGAGGAACGTAGCGAAACACGGGGGCGGAGAATTGGGATAGGATATCGGAAGAAAGCAATGCTGCTATTATGACAGGTGTGATGATCTCAGATATAAACGACAGTCGGACCCGTCCTTGAGGGAGAGTTTGGAAAGGATGGAAGTAGATGGAATGAGCACGGGGCCGGTTAATTCAGTCAATTCACACACTGGATTGCCTGGATTCAGCAGCGCGAGGGCAAGGACGTAAGAAAAGTTATGGCGAAACGTGAGCACGACGGTGAAACGACGGGAGATGAGGACAGACGGGCAAGGGAAGGGAGCGAGAGGGTGAGAATAAGCGTCTGGGAATGGATGGGATAGCGGAGAGGAGAGTATCACACCTCGCCTTGATACACGACGTATCGCCCGTACCGTACGCAGTGCAGCCCCCTGCGGATCCCGCCGCCATTGGCGCACATCGGGGTAATTGCCATACGAAAAATTACCGAACCTTAACCTGGCAAGATTCCTCGCTGCGCCACAGCTTCACCGTCACCGTCTCATGGCTCTGCCTCAGGTACCTGATCAAGGCATGCACAACGCTACGTGCAGAATGTTGGTATCAGGTAATGCTCACTCAGTCTTCTGAGTACTGGAGAGTGTGCGTTTAACCTTGTCTGGGGGCGTCAGGGGCCATACCAGGCTGATTGCGAGAGTTTCTCTGCAGTTCTGGAAGACTGAATAGCCTGTGGCCAATCATGCCGGTACTACTGGACGCAGGGCGAACCCCGCAGAGCGCCTGAATCCTGCGTTGTCCGCAGTACAGCGTAGTACTGCGAGGGATCCAGCTGGCAGGACAGTAGGGAGACATCCACCGTTATCACCGCCATACTCGGTCATCCCCATCATCCCCATCATCATCATCATCATCATCATCATCATCATCATCATCATCATGAATCACCCTGTCCTCATCCTGCGAATGGCTGCGCAATGATGCCACTCCTCTTGCCCCATGGTGGCTTCGGCGCTTCGTTCACGAATCGGCCCGCGAGCTGTGGACCGGGCACTGGAATCATCTATTCTTAGTTGCCGTGCGCAGCGGCAATGGAAGTAGATAATTTTACAATGTATCTCATTCAGGTGCTTGGGCTCCTGAAGACTTACAGCATAGTATTATTATTGTAATACATAGCTGTTGCCGGGTGGATTCATGCACATGGATACCCTTTATCTGGATCAGGAACAGGTACAGAGTACGGATACGTACGACGTACAGCATCACACATCCGCTTTACGGGTCTGTCCCGTGTCAACCCATGGATATCTGTGCAATTAGACATCATTGCGTCAAAGTGCTTGCTCCACCTCCGGAAACCTAGGCTCTCCGGTCGCCACAGCGCAATCAGTTGCCGTGGACAACGGACAACACCAGCTGGCCCACCTCCGTCGGACAGTATTATTCATTATTCTACCCCTCACTTGGCGGGGATGAAGGATGAATGGCCCTTATTAATTAATACCGTGGGATCAATATCAAATTATCATTAGAGGACGTGCGAAACACACGGTTCAGACGGTGACCTGATGCAGCTGGACAACTCAACCGCCCTGTTCCCTGTCTATCGATTGGCCGGTAAATGCCTCCATTTATTGGGTGCCATCTGGTGCTGTCCTGTCCAATGCCGTCCGTGATCTGTCAGTTCTGATGCCCCTTCGCCTGTCACACCGAGGGGCTTCAGACAATATACCCCCGTGGCGGATGATTGGAGGGCCGGCAAGTCATCTGCATATTATCTACGCTGTGCTATCATCTGCTCCGTGTTTGTGAGGACCGGGCATACCATCGGTGAAGGTAGAGTTGTCAAACCAGAAGATAATACGACCGGGTCCTGCTTCTCGGGATGTATCGTCATCGTCTGCAGCCAAAAGATCATTGCTACCACGGAGGATGCAGGAAGCCATGTTTGCGATCTGCAGAAGATGATCGGGGACGTACATGCTGCCATGATTGTCATATGACCTGCCTGGTACCGGGGGAATAAATTATCACCAGATTGAAAGGTGACCGATGGAAGACGGGAGGTGGTTTTTGGGAGAGAAGCAAAGCTCTTCTTTATTGCCATCGAGCAGATATTAATTCAGAAGGAGATGGAACAGGATGGGGACGGGGCGTTGAAGCCATGCAGTATCGACGCCACGCGGCTATCTGTGGGAATCGAGAATCAACCAAGCGCTACCCAGTGAATATCAGCTACTCTCTGTTGCTTTATGCTGTCGCTGTAATATCCAGCAAGCCAAAACACAGCTATTTCGGACCGTCCTACAGATAGAACTGGCCAATTTAGGGGCATTCAGCTGAGAGAGAGGTAGGTAGGTGCCCTGTCCCTTGCAAAAACACCCACATCGCTTCAACAAAGCGCTACTCCTAACCACAGGATTCGATGATTACTCCTTAGATGCGGACAGGTTTAATAAACCATCAGCTTCCGAAACACATTATGCTCCAGCATGTGTACATACCACGGGAACGAGGTGAGTGCCTATGTGGATTACTCCTCCACATCGTCGTAGTCCTTGGTTGCATTTGATGAAATTGCATTTCCAGATATAGCATGTAGTAATTACCCGTGATCTATCGATCTATCATGATATGTAGTCATATGCGCAAGCATCTGGTGAGGATGTCTGTGCCTGTCTGTGCCAACATAGGCTGTATGGCTAGTCAGGTTGAGGTTGATGTCAGTCTGCAATGGGACGAAGTTGTATAGATATATATCATTAGACAGACAGTTCAAGGACAAGAGTGCCACAGAGCATATCTACACGGCTCTACATGCACACCATACTGATCATCTACTGCATCGCAGACATCTTTGTAGATGCTAGCTGGATACCATTTAGATAGCCTTCGATCGGAGTTTGATCCCGCGCAGACCAGCAGCAAATAAATACCCCGAGAAATTCTCCGTCTCAGTTCATCATCGGTTCATCATCGAACCGCAAATGAGACACGATCCACCACAGACTCACGGCAGACACATTATTTGCAGAGGCTGGTTGTAGTCAAGATGACGGTCCATCAGACGGATCCATGGGAATGGGAATTGGAGGGGTAAATCAGCAGATTCAACTCAACAAGGACAAGGACAGCTCATCAACTTTTCTCCGCAGGCACGGCATCCCCGCGTATATCAAGAAGTGAATTGCCCGGTCCCAAAAACCCAGATCTTGATTCTTCTCTCATCCTTGGTGAAAGCTCTCTTTTCCTACTCCTCCAGCGCCCTACGGAGACTGTACAGCACCAGCCATGGCAGATACTAGCAAAGTCCACAGAGCCTGGTGGAAGGAAGCATCTGTTTACCAGATCTGGCCCGCTTCGTTCAAAGACTCCAACAATGACGGTATCGGCGATATCCCGGGAATCATCTCCAAGTTGGATTACATCAAGAAGCTGGGTGTAGATATCGTCTGGCTCTGCCCCTCTTACAAATCGCCCCAGGTCGACATGGGATATGATATTGCCGACTACAAGGCCATCGCCCCCGAATATGGCACGGTCGCAGATGTCGAGAATCTGATCAAGGGATGCCATGAGCGCGGCATGAAACTGCTCATGGACTTGGTGGTGAACCATACCAGTGACCAGCATGAATGGTTCAAGCAATCACGGAGCTCCAAGGATAACCCATACCGGAATTGGTATGTCTGGAAGCCCCCCAGGTATGATGAACAGGGGAACAGACATCCTCCGAACAACTGGATTTCTCATTTTCAAGGTACGTAACGTCTTCGCGATCAGCGCCCTTGGAAAGGAGGGGGAAGACAGGATCTAATTTAGGGAAACAGGCAGCGCGTGGCAGTATGATGAATTGACTGGCGAATACTACCTCCACCTATATGCAACGGAACAGCCAGATCTTAACTGGGAGCATCCTCCAGTGCGCGATGCTGTGCATGATATTATGCATTTCTGGCTCGACAAGGGGTGTGATGGTTTCCGGATGGACGTCATCAACTTCATCAGCAAAGATCAGCGCTTCCCAGACGCCCCCGTCAAGGACCCGCGGAGCATCTGGCAGTGGGCTGATAAGTACTACGCAAATGGGCCCCGGCTGCACGAATATCTACAAGGCCTGGGTGATATTCTGAAGAAGTACGACGCTTTCAGCGTGGGCGAGATGCCATTCGTGCGGGACACGAATGAGGTGCTGAAAGCAGTCCGATACGATCGCGGAGAGATCAACATGATCTTCAATTTTGAGCATGTCGACATTGATCACGGCGAGTTTGACAAGTTCGAGCCGGGAAGATGGAAGCTCACAGACCTCAAATCCTTCTTCGAGAGGTGGCAAAAGTTTATGTACGAGAATGGCGGCTGGAACGCGCTGTACTGGGAGAACCATGACCAGCCACGGTCCATCGACCGATACACCGGTGCGCGGGAAGAGGACCGTGTCATCGCATCCAAGATGCTGGCCACGTTCCTGCCACTTCAATCCGGCACCCCATTTGTCTACCAGGGCCAGGAGATCGGTATGAGAAACGTGCCAATCTCGTGGGGCATCGAGGAGTACAAGGACATCGACTGCCTCAACCACTGGCACGGGCTAGTCAAGGCGAAGCCGTTCGACACGGAAGCCCAGAGAATCGCCAAGCAGGAATACCAGAAGAAGTCCCGAGACAACGGCCGCACCCCCGTGCAGTGGTCTCCAGAACCCAACGCTGGATTCACGGCACCGGGCGTCAAGCCATGGATGTCCATCAACCCAGACTATGTGAAGTGTAACGCGGAACAAGAACTGAGGGACCCCAACTCGACCTTCAACTACTGGTCTTCTGTGCTCGCATTGCGCAAGAAGTATCTCGACATCTTCGTGTACGGCAACTATGAGATGGTCGACCGAGACAGCCAGGAGGTATTCGCGTACACGCGTCAGTACGAAGACCAGAAAGCGTTGGTCCTTTGCAACTGGACGGCCAAGCCGCTATCGTGGGACGCCGAGAAGAATGGCGTGGGCAAGGTCAAGGAGGTATTGCTGAGCAGCTATGAGGAGACAGGGACGGCGAAGGAACGATTCGGTTCTGGTGCATGGTCTCTTCGGCCGTACGAGGCAGCGGTGTTGCTTTTGGACGCATGAAATGTTGATTAAAGAGTTAGATATAACCATGAGAACTGAAATCTCGAATCCGTACTTGAAACTACGCTGACCAACGAAGATACGAGTACGCAAACATGTGAGTCCAAGTAAAGTGTCACACGGAGCATCGCTGAACCTGTTGGCATAATATTCATAAATCAATAAAGGTATCGTTGAGCCTACGTGCTGGATCTGAACCCGCTTGAACAGTGCATCTCGTAGACCATATTGTACGTTCCAATAATGAGAAGGATCGACCCTAGCTGAGTATATCTCGGGATGCAAGGACCGAATCCCATCAAAGTACCGAGCGAAGAGGGCTTTGCAGGACAGTCTATGATAGTTAGAAAGGAGGTCGTGTGGCATAGCCATTGATATTTCATGCAGGTTCTTCATCTGAGCGAGAATCCCAACAAGATCTTTCGCTATGCTGACCCAATTCCGGTAGTCTTGCCACAAGACCATATCAGAGAAGTAGATATTCTTGATCGTGTGCAGGATCCCAGCGAAAGCTCCTTACGGAGTTTAATTGCATCCGTGCAGGTCATGTCGATGGTGAATACGTTCTTCTTGTACAGACAGTCCAGGGCAAGCGAGTAGATGGAACGACAGACACGACAGACACGAGACGGTCACCTTGGGCGTAATCCTGTATTTCCTGGGTCGGCCATAGTAGTCATTGTCGCAACAGATAATTTTCAGACCTTCAGTGACACATATCATGAGTTGGATCTCAACGGGGAGGCGTAAGAGACTCTGGGACGAGGAGATCTGGGCACCCGTGGGTTCTGTGGGCCGATGACGTTTTTTGATTGGCGGTCGATTGGCAGGTTAATCGGCAGTAGAAGGCCATAGAGAAAAGCTACCAGAGAATGGAGCATATTATGTATATATTCTTTTAAGTCCTGGCTGCTTTGCTGTGTTGCTTAGATTCCTCGAGTCTTTATTTCTTTCATTCCTTGAGTCTTTGTTAAATTTATTTATGGATTCTGCATGGTTTAGAGAAGAAGGCGGTGGGACCAGCGGTGAAGCACGTGCGCCGCAGAATGGATCTGCGTTGTTCATGTTGGGGCTCACCGGCCCATTCCTTTCCGCCGGCAGAAAAAAGGATGAAAGGAATCGCAAAGAAAAGTTCCATCTTCGATACGGTGCGCCCGTGGTGCGGTCTGCATAGAGGGTTATTTTATCTCTCTGCTCCTCTGCAATCTCTGCAATTGCACTGCTTGCTTCATTTTGCTTCTTATACCCGTTTGCTTTCGCCGTCGCCACTGGTTTCCCCCCTTCTCCCTTGATTCACCGCCGGAATCCCGCAAAGTGACAGGAGATTTAAGGAAGTCAAAATGGTCTATATTCGCCAGCACCAATTGCCCAATCTTCGGACGTATCGCTATGCTGGGGTAGACCACTCACTCATGAGTCGGTATATTCTCAAGCCCTTCTACAGCAACTATGTGATCCATTGTTTTCCCATGGGCATGGCGTAGGTGGTTTCAATTTTCTTCGCTCTTTCACATGCACCCCACCACTAACATTGCCTGTCGTTCCCTAGGCCCAATGCCGTAAGTACTACATCCTGAAGAGACTGCTGTCCCTGCCAGCGTGACGATAACCAGGATGGTATGGCTGTAGATCACTCTCACTGGTTTCTTGTTTGTGGTGATCAATTTCCTCACCATGCTATGGTACAACCCGACGCTTGACCGAGACTGTCCGTCCTGGGTCTACGCTAGTTGGGCGCTAGGGCTTTGGCTCTATCAAACATTTGATGCAGTAGATGGAATGCAAGCGTATGTTTCTTTGCCAATAGCCTCAAATGTGCGCTGTTAACGTTGCGATCTAGGCGGAGAACAAAGCAAAGTGGTCCGTTGGGAGAGCTTTTCGATCATAGTAAGCAAAGCTTCTCCGGTGATGCTGACAGCATCCGGTGCTAATATCCTGTTCCTGTAGGTGTCGACGCATGCAACACTGGCCTGGGTGTCTTGATCTTTGCAGCTGCGATGAACCTTGGCCAGACCTGGGCCACTATTTTGACTCTTTTCGGCTGTGCGTCGTTACCCAAACCAACAATTATTGATTGGAAGATTGCTAACCTCAGTAGCAACCATGACCTTCTATGTTCAGACCTGGGATGAGTACTACACCCAAGTTCTGACACTCGGAATCGTCTCTGGCCCCGTTGAAGGTGTCTTGACTCTGTGCGTTGTATTCGCCTTTACCTCGTATAAAGGTGGTGCTAGCTTCTGGCATAGTCCGATGCTGGAGACGGTTGGCATCCCGAAATTTGACCCAATTCCAGACTGGGTTTACAAGATGCCATTCACGCAATGGTATATGGTTTACGGCGCCATCATGCTCTTTTTCGCTACCGGTTCAAGTATCGTGCATGTCATGAGTATCCGCCGGCAACGCGGCCAGGATCCCTTCAAACCACTGTATGGTCTTCTCCCACTTGTTGCAGTCTGGACACTCATTCCGGCCTATCTATATCTGCAACCCATAATCCTAACGCAACACGTTATTCCCTTTACTCTATATGTCGGCCTGCTCAACGCATACTCTGTGGGACGGATGATTGTCGCTCACTTGATCAAATCTGAATTTCCTTACCACAATGTGCTCCTTTGGCCAATTGCGTTCGGAGTGGTTGACAGTGCAGCATCTGCTTTCGGCATCTGGAACAGCATGGTTGGAAACGAGATCGGCCAAGTGGTGTTCGTTTACTTGTGTCTTGGATTGGCGCTGGGTGTTTACGGAACTTTCGTGGTATGATAATTTGCTTGATTATCACTTGACTGTGGATGGTAACTGATCAATGGGCAGTACGATGTTGTGACTACGATCTGCGACTTTAACGACATATGGTGCTTGACGATCAAGCACCCCTTCCCAGCAGAACGGGATGAACAGAACGGAGACGCCAAGCGCGTCTTGAAGAAAATGACGTAACGGAAATGACAACGCTTTAGAACGATGTATTTTTTGTGGCGTACTGTTTGGTTTCGCGTCATTGGCGTGGAAGTGGTTGGCATGGCTCAAACTCGGTTAAAAGCTTTACTTTGTTCAATAAATAGCGTTGAGAATTCCTTTTGGATTTGTTTCATGAGCACACGCATGATCTGGCTCGGCAGGCCCTTGTCCAGGCTTATAGCCAGGTGCAAGGGAGCAGGAGCGTGGAAGTTCGGCTCTTCCCTGCCCTTCTTCTGGGGTCCCTCCAGGGTGCCGTGTTCGCCTCGACTGTAGATTATTGAGGGAAGACGCAACTAATGTGAGAAAAAGAGCATCGAATGAAGTCGTAAAGAAGTGGTGTACGTTGTCTTCATGATCTGATCTCTGCTGCATGAGGCTTTCATCTCGGCAGGATGCCTTGGACGTCGACCTGGGTGCGGGGAGCGTAGAACGGCTTCTGGAAGAAGGGCCGTCTATTCCAGGTAGTTAACTGGCTAGTTATTGACTAACCATCCAACTTACTCCGTAGCTATCTCTGGAACCAGCGGGGATATTTCCAGCGCGTTCCTGGAGTAGATACATCCATCCATACCCCTGGCGGTCAGGTGGATATCAATAATACCACGAGTGTCGAAAGAACAAGACACGGCCAATGCATCCGTGACAACGTATTTGTTGGGGTCTGTGGCGTGCATTTCGAGGCAGAGGGGACATCGTGTTCGCGAAGTGGCTGCAGACCTGGACAGGTCCAGATGCTTCAACGCTCCCACGTGAGACAGCTTAATCGGGCATAATGTGTTCACGCGACCAGCCCGGATGGAGAGGTAATTTTGGCGACGCAAGGATCGGATATTCCTGGACTGTGCATACCCCGTGTTACAACTTAGCAGAGGCAAAAGAAACAACCGGTCAGCCGACAACATGAAAGACAGCATTCTGGAACGTGGCGATCTGGAAGGTGGGATTTCTCCGCGAAAGGAGCATGCTTATTGAAGTTTCCTCTAGCTTATTTATTTTTATCCTCCCAGCTGACCGACGCTGCAGATCGGGCCCTCGGAAATTCCCAACTCGGCAAGCAGCTTGAGCATCGCTGGATATGCTCCGTAGTACAGCACTGTGAAGTCCACGCAGGCGTGGAGCTCTCCAGAATAGACTCTCTGTCTTCCATCCTGGTCCGACCCCGCATGCTATAGTCCCCAAGACTATGTTATACGCTGTGAACGTGCGTCCTTGCAGACGGACGTGCAGCATCTACACGACCCTGATAACGGCCTACTCTCTAACCAGCCAAGCAGTCAGGACCAGTCGTTGGCCCAGGAGTATCAACACCCCTGTCCCTTTTGCTTCCAGAAGATTCTTCCAGATGAGCCCAGGCAATTCCGCTTCATGTCTCTGCACACAGTGCACAGAGTGTCCATGTTCTCGGCCCTCTGGCTCAATTATCCGCTCAGCTATTGCCCGGCCATTTGCTGGACCAGACAACATCTGCATGCATAATGCCTCTTCGGACCCGAGGACATGCCGAAGAATGGAAGAAAAGAGAAGAAGAAAAATGAAAAAGTTGTTCTGTCGTCGTGACCTTCTCCCCGGCAGTATCGGATTTCCCAAATAAGGAAACCGAGCAAGATCCGGTATACATTAGCAACCAAAAAAAAAAAAAAAAAAAAAAAAAAGAAAAATCTCAGACTCACTGGACACGGTTTAATGAAATGTGGCTCCGAGGATCATGATTATGCGTATTCTGGGGGGTTTTGCCAGCAGCTGACTCCATTTCGCTGTAGTGATGTAAGTAGGAAGTAGGTAGAGTGTAACAGAGCATCTGTACGGAGTAACAGTAGTTACTATGATAATTACATCAAGCTCGCATAGAATAACGGGAATACCCTGGAATATACAATGGGTTTGTAATGGTTCCAGTGTGCTCTACTCATGGTCGTCATCATTATTGCTGCAGTTTGATGTCAGCGCCATGGATACAACAGACTGTTCCTCTGCTGTAGTACTATTGCAGCATGTATCATGCAGCAGGAATTGCAAATAATAATAGAATAGACTATGAAATTAAAATACACGACGATCTGGGGCAAATCTAGACCCGTCTGCTGCTCCGCCAGCTCCGTTCTCACGATGCATCAACTCTCGCCAACTGCCAACTGTCGTTTCTTCCGTATTAGGCGTTTCCAATGTGTCCATGTGAGCAGCTCCTGGCCCCCCTAGATTGCCATTCAACGTTTTCCTGCCACCGGCCGCGCGTTGCTTTGCACCCATGGATGCCTATTTAAGGGTCGCCCATCTCACGATGCTGGTCTCTTGGATATTCTCAGCATCTGTCTTTTCCAAAAGGTCTTAAACATCCATTCTCACCGTCTATCATTGACTTTCGAGACTGCTACTTAAAAGACTCTCCTCTCCCTATTTATCCACCCACCATCTAATCATTCCTGCTCTCACATCTACAATGTCCGTTTCCATCGAGACCACTGTAGTGCCCCAGGCAACTCCTACTTCCCAGAAGGAGGTTGCGCTAGGAACAAAGAACAGGCTCCCCGAGTTCAGTCTCGCGGGGAAAGTTATCTGCGTCTCCGGGGCCGCTCGTGGCCTGGGTCTCACTCAAGCTGAAGCGCTCTTGGAGGCCGGTGCCAAAGTCTACGCCCTTGACCGTCTGCCAGAACCTGTACGTTAGTTGTTTGCTCAAAGACATACCTGTTTTGGTTTGCTTTTCAGCTCAGCACTAACAGTTAGCCCTTGCCCAAATACGCACAGGATTCCAGCTTCTACCACATCCAACAGCGTGCCATTGAGGAGCTGGGTACAGAACTGCACTACCGCCGCATAGATGTGCGGGACAGTGAGCTCCTTGAAACTGTCATCCAGGAGATCGCGGACAGAGAGGGCCGCATGGACGGTCTCGTGGCCGCCGCTGGCATCCAACAGGAGGTGCCTGCCCTCGAGATGTCGGCCAAGGACGCCAATACCATGTTCGAAATCAACATCACGGGTGCCATGATGACCGCTCGGGCCGTTGCCAAGCAGATGATCCGCTTTGGAAATGGGGGGAGCATTGTCATGATTGCTAGCATGAGCGGTACCATTGCGAACAAGGTGGGCCTTTTGACACTGTCTACTCCTGCCACCCGCATATCACCGGCAACACTCGGTTCTACTTCCACTTTCTATGATTGAATAGTATCTGCCTATCGGGCTCTCGACCTTCTGGGACTGCACCGCTGACGTGTTTTATCTCACAGGGCCTCATCTGCGCCGCCTACAACGCTAGCAAGGCGGGTGTCCTCCAGCTTGGCCGCAACCTCGCTGCTGAATGGGGCACGTACGGTATCCGCGTGAACACCATCTCCCCAGGCTACATCGTCACCGCCATGGTGGAGGATCTGTTCGTCAAGTACCCCGAGCGTCGGGAGAGCTGGCCCAAGCAGAACATGCTTGGCCGTCTCTCGTCACCCCAGGAGTACCGTGGCGCCGCCGTCTTCCTCCTCAGTGACGCCAGCAGCTTCATGACGGGCAGCGATCTCCGGATTGATGGTGGTCATGCCGCGTGGTAATTGACGTTATTTCTTTGTGGTTTTCTTTGGGTTTCCTTTGTCCTTTTCTTCACACTTTACAGATCCGTCCGGCTCTTTTTCGTTTTCTTCTGTAATTTATTCGCATGGCGTTTCAGTGTCAGGAAGCAAACAGCAAGCGAGCGTGGTCTTGGTCTAGTCAGTTCTGGTCTTGATGCGTCGTTATGTTGGCATTGTCGCCATTGTTATGATTGATGGGGTGGGATTGCATAAAATAGAGATCAATGAATCTAATCAAATGAGCACTTGACAACGTTTTTCTTCGGGCTGGTATGAACTTGGGAGATGTTCAATGAACTTCCAGAAATAACTATCCCAACTTCAAAGGAATACGAGGATATCCCCTATAATCAGCCATTGGCCAGCCCGCACGAAATATGCAAGTCGCAGCATGCACTCCTCTGTAGTTTGTACCCCATACACCAGCCAGCGCGAACGAAAGATCCCAGCAGATTACTTGAGACGGGGGCTATATTCATCGCGCGAATCGGGACATCCGGAAAACACAGCCTTACACACGGCTCATTTATATACTAACGTTACCCCGTACTTTTTTAATTGAAAGAACGGATAAAACGGCGGAAATGAAGATACAAAAAAAAAAAAAAAAAAAAAAAAAAAACGGATTATTATAATCAATGCATGGTCGGCTGACACGGTCTGTCCTGCCCGGCTTGAAATCGTGACTGGATTTCTTGTCTTTCTTTCCTTTCGGTTGTACTTGCAGGTAGCTTCATCTTTTTCTTGGGGATGCATGGGACGGGCTGGTGGCAAGGGACTTGGCTTTGCACAGACACTATACTTGGTTGATTATTATGGCCATTGTTATTATTATTCAATATCCCGTGTCATTGACATCAGCCTTGAATCAAATCGCCATCATCGGTAGTATCCGCCAAAAGTGCAGAGTACCTGAATTCTTCGATTAGAATCCTGACTGCTTCCACGTCACCCGCCGAAGCTGCGTGTTATATGGAGAGCAGGGGATATGTTGCTCCTCGGGGTTGCGTAAAATCGACGGTATTCGTGTCACTCTGGTGACATATTTTCGTGCATTGATTTGTTGGTAGAATGAAGGCAACCTTGTAACGTTGGCTTGGGGAGCATTCTATGTTTAGGAAGTGGATAATGTCATTTTATATTTCCAATTATGAGGCGGACTGACTGTTGCATGGACGAGATCGTGTAAATTTACTTGCAGCATTGAGCACGGTATTATCCTTAAATCCATTAGCCCTAAGTACGCAGATGATACTATAAGAACCGGACTTTTTGTCTTCATTGTGGGCATTAGTATTGCAGCCTTTCGTCTGCCGATACCCATGAGGCAGAAAACAACACAAATAGCATACGAGACACGATAGAAAAACAGGGTGAAATTCTCGAAGGGAAACAAACATACAAATAAGCCAGACAAAGGAGGGAACAATGAGTTTAATCAAAGCAGAGACTGAAAGAAGTGGCAGATGCTATCCATTACATAGAGCAAATAAACCACACATCTTCTGATGAAGCCCGTTGTTTGGGCGGAGATCCCCAGAGCACTCTGTCAAACGTGTATATATATGAAGATGAAGACCCTGATGCCGGTGTCCAGGCCATTTAGATGCCACCCATTTCACCCCCCGGGCACTTGTATACAAAACCTGAATAGTCACCCTCAATAACCTCAGTGATACTGCAAAGCAATGTGCAACTATACCTACCACCACTACCCTAGATGCGGACACATCGCTAGGTGGACGGCAGACAGCTGCACCAGGTTTACTGACGTGCTCTGCCAGAAGTCAGGTTCTCCCGAGAAGACTTCATGTATGGACATTAATTATAAGCTTGATGTTTTATCCACGAATCTTCCCCATGACTGTCTGCAGTGCGAGGTGGAGTTTCCGACGAACAGGGAGAAAGCTGACAATCATTCTTCTATTCTGTTTGTCGAGGGCACAAACATAGAGACAGCGAACCCTATCCTTGAGCTGGAGGCGAGAATGGTGTTCCCAGTTGATGGGAAGAGTAAGAAGAACCAGAACTGTTTTGTAGGGATGGTTCTGGTTCCCCAATATCGGGTTCCGTTTGCCGATGTCCCATCGTTCACGGGTGGTTTGCTGTCGAATCGAGGCATTGAAATCAGTGATACCTATAATTCGAACATGAACATGTACAACGGCGATAATTGGCAACCAGACGTGAATTATCTTGATTCAACGTGGAACATCATCAATGCCCTTCGCGCTTGGGGTGGCACCGCGCCCCCCCGTTCTGATAGAGGCTGGCGGTTGGGTTCACAGCATAATCCAACCTCCCACGAGCCCGAAGTGGAGGAAGCCGACACTGACCATGGCTATGACGCTGATTCAGAGGAAACTGAAGCTGAAGCGGACGCACAGCGCCACGCCAATGCCTCGCAGGCAGACCCAGTCGATCCTAGTACTTCTGACGAGGATTCCGACAGCAGCTCAGACGACTCAATCGCCGACTCGGGGGCAAACGAAAATGCAGACCCGTTATTCCGCTGGCCAGGGCCACCTCTGATCCCCTCGGACTCCAGCTCAGAAATGGGACTCGTCCGCACTCCGCCCATCCGTACCGCGAGCCCAATAATGATGGGCATTCCCGCTGTACCAGTGGAGCCAGAGATGCCTTATTTCGTCGACGTTGTCAACAGGCAAACTGAGACTTCTGCCTCGGACACCGAGAAGGATACAGATACCGATGGCGATGGTGATCGTCAACCCCTCCAATCTCCTCTACTTCCCCGTCGGGTTAATAATGTACTGGAGGTTCTGTTTCCAGAACATCGATACCCGGGTTTGCGAGTTTATATTGGTCTTTTCTGTCGGACGTTGCAGCGGCTTCTTGGATAAAGTGTACAGATGGGGTTGTAGATGTCGATAGCTAAAATAGACTAGTGCAGAGCGCCAAGCCTCAGACTCAGAGCCGATCACAACACCACGCACAACCGTCCACGTCGGTTCCCTCCAGCACCAGTACAAGCATCACACGTGGCTGGGCGACCTGTAGCTCCTGGTATTACTGTTATTACTGTTATTACATATAATCTAGGCAAAGTGGAATGACTGTCTATTTATTTTATTTTTTTTTGTGTGTATTTTTTTTGTCCGTCCGAGAAATGCCTCGGGATTTTTACGTACTCTAACCACCATACCTGGAATAGACATTACCATTACAGACATTGCCAACTTGATAGCTAGCTCATGGGTGCCGACTTTTTCTAACTGATTTCATGTTGGGATGGAGGGCATAATACTCGATGATGATCCTGTCCTCCCTGCACCCAAATTTGAGATTGCGCTGTTCGTCGCCGCCAGCAAAGGGTATGAATCCATCGTCAAGCTCTTGCTGGAAACGCCCGGCGTGAATCTGGACTGTAAGGACGATGAGGAGCGCACTCCACTTTCTATAGCAGCGGGTGAAGGGCATGAGAAGGTGGTTGATCTTCTCCTGACCAGTGGAGGCGTTGACCCTAATTCAAAGGATTCGAAAGTCGGTCAATCCCCCCTTTGCTGGGCGGCCAAAAACGGGCACGAGGGTGTTGTGGGTCGACTGCTCAAGTGCGGCGATGTCGATCTCAATCTTTCGGACTCCGAGGGACACACGCCACTGTACTGGGCCGTCGAGAAGGGACACAAGAATGTAGTCCTGCAGCTGCTCGAGGGAAAAGCGGATCCTAATATCAAGGGTCCCGGTGGCCGCACCCCCTTGCTGTGGGCTGCCGAGCAAGGACACGAGGAAATCGTCACGTTGCTTCTCCGGTCTGGGAACGCTAACGCAGACGACGCAGACGATGGTGGCCGTACACCGCTGTGGTGGGCGGCTCGCAATGGCCATCTACCCGTGGTGAGACTGCTGGTTCGACATGGCGCCAACAAGGAGGCACACCCTTCTGTCAATACTGAAGGGCCACACGGCACGCCCTTGTATCAGGCCGGTCGAAAGGGCCACGTCGACGTGGTCAAGTATCTGGTGAAAAAGGGTGCGGATATCAACTCGCCGTATGGCAAGAATGGCCTGCCGCTGCTGCTGGCACTGATCATGTTTGACAGGAGTAAACGCGGGCTGAAGATGCTACAGCTGTTGCTTCGAAAAGGAGCCGATGTCAATATCAAGGACAGCAATTCCGGTCAAACCAGCTTATATATGACCACGGAAGATGGGGAGGTGGAGCTGACTACATATCTCCTGAAGATGGGTGCTCAGCCGAACCTGGCAGCGAATGATGGCACGACACCATTGCACCAAGCGGTGCGGAATGACCATGAGGAGTTGGTGGAATTGCTACTGTTGAACGGCGCGGATTCCGAGGCGCAGGATGGACACGGCGACACGCCTCTTCACATCGCCGCATCGAATGGCCGCAGGAAGCTGGTCAATCTGTTCCTGGAGAAGGGCACGGATATCAACGTGACGAACAATTCCGGGGAGACCCCGTTGCACAAGGCTGTCGCTCAGGGGCGTCGGAAAATGGTGGAATTTCTGATCCAGAAGGGCGCAAATATCGAGCTGCAGGATGACTACGGACAGACTGCTCTGCACAAGGCCGTTTCCGCCAAAAACCACGTACTGCGCGTGCTGGTCAACAGAAAGGCGGATATTTCTGTGAAGGACATGCATGGGCAGACTGCGCTGCATCTGGCAGCGGCGGCAGGACTGAAGGACGACGTGCACTTCCTGCTCAGCCATGGAGCGGCGGCTGACGTGAAGGACAACAAGGGACAGACTGTCAGAGAGGTGGCTACCAAGGCGGGACAGATAGAAGTGGAGGAGCTGTTGAATTCGATGAGCTTAGTAGTTCGGACTGAGCTGTCGGATTCCGAGTCAGACGTCTGACATCTGACTTTGTCGATTCAGGGTATGGCCATAGATCTATTCAGACTACGTATTGTCTTGGGGTCCCGCAAGTACATCGGCATACCCGGGATGTAACCCAGGGAATATCAAAGCCAATTGTTCGTTGCCTGATGCCTTGGGGCCTTGGGAAGCTGGCCGCCAACTTTAACGGACGCCGGTTGCCCGTTTGGGTAAATGATGAAGAGTGGGCGGCGATGGCGCCATTCGTGATTGTCGGCCGTGAGATCCATTGACTTAAAATTATTATTATCTATGAAGCGGATACAATAGCGGGTACAGTAGAGTGCACACAGTATACAGATCATGGCATTCGTGGTGGAGAAAGTCGGCCGATTCGGGGTTGTTGTTCGGGATCTGTCCAGATGTCAGACTGAGATGGATCAATTATTATTCTATTACTGTCAGTGCAGAGGAAGTAGAGCGATTGCGTGATTTGATTCTGGGATGTTGCACGGTACACCCTGCGCGCCCGGCTGTGGGGAATGTATATCATCAGTATGTACGAAAGGCATCATATAATACTAAAGCTGTCCCCTCCATCAACCCCTCTTTCTTCCCCCCCATCCCTCTCTCTCTCTCTCTCTCTCTCTCTCTCTCTCTCTCCCTCTCTTCTCCGTCGCTTCTAGCCTTCAGCCGCTCTCGTCCTTCGCAATGGCTCAGGAACGTGCTCCGTAAGTAATTGCTCTCTCTGTGCTCCTGATGACGATGTCCTGACACCACTCTGCTCAGTCTTCGCCTTGGCTCTACTGCCCCCGACTTCACTGCTGAGACCTCCAACGGACCCATTACCTTCCACGAGTTCATTGGCAACAGCTGGACCATCCTGTTCTCTCACCCTGTACGCACGCAATCTTCGTCCCGCAGAAATATGCGATGCGCCTGTCGCAGAGAAAACTGACGCAGTGTCGCCGCATCAGGATGACTTCACCCCCATTTGCACCACTGAGCTCGGTGCTTTCGCTAAGCTCGAGCCTGAGTTCGCTGCTCGCGGCGTGAAGCTCATTGGCCTGGTACGTCATGTTCCGGAATCACCAAGCGTTGCGTACTAATTGATTGGCCCTATCCAGAGCGCCAACAATGTCGAATCCCACCACGCTTGGATCAAGGACATCGACGAGGTAACCGGATCCAAGCTCACTTTCCCCATCATCTCCGACCCGGAGCGCAAGGTCGCCCACCTGTACGACATGGTTGACTACCAGGATACCACCAACGTCGACTCCAAGGGTACGCTTTCATCTTTATCTTTGGAGGCTTGGCACGTGTTCGAATATCTGCTAACTAATTCCCAACCAGGCATCGCTCTCACCATCCGCTCCGTCTTCATCATCGACCCCAACAAGAAGATCCGTCTCATCCTGACCTACCCCGCCTCCACCGGCCGTAACACCGCCGAGGTCCTCCGTGTCATCGACGCCCTCCAGACCACCGACAAGCACGCCGTCACTACCCCCATCAACTGGCTCCCAGGTGATGACGTCGTTATCCCTCCTCCTATTTCCACCGAGGATGCCCAGAAGAGGTTCGGTGACGTTCGCGTTGTCAAGCCGTGAGTTTTCCCGCTTTCCTTAGCGGTATTCAATACTGATTGTTTCTGAATAGTTACCTCCGCTTCACGAACCTCAAAAGGGATTAAATGCGGCTGGAGCCAGAGTGTGGAGTTTAGAACGGAGACATGAAGTGATGCGGATTGACGTCAAGATTTAGTTCTTTTTTTCCCCTTTTCTTTCTTTCTTTTGATACCTAAAGAACAGTTCGTCCCTTTTTAACAGAGCTAGTGGCAATATTTCCTAGCATTTCAATCAACCGATGACATGGATACCCATATTGATTGTCCACGGTACGATAGGGCATTGGTTGCGTAGGGCGGACCATCAAGACTAAGGACGCTGTGAATAAGTAACATGAAATTTGCTCGTTCTTATCTGAAATCGCGCAATTTCTCCCTTGCTGAATATTTGCATCGGTTATTCTGGAAAAAGCAAAGAAAAAGAGGCCGTCGGGGAACGTTAGATAAGCATAGCCAGTTGGTGTTAGTTAACTAGTTAACTAACTAGTTATAGTCTTCGACGACCTCGAACCGATCATTCCGTAATTTATTAAAAATCGACAGAAAAACCCATCTCGAAAACTTCCGGAAGCTATAGTTATTAGACGCTTCCAGCAAACACATGAAAAGTGGTCGACAGTCCCTGTCGATTATCTCAAATCTCCGAAGCCCGCCGTTGGCTGGCAGACGTCGATCTGTCCCTTTTTTTCCTCTCTACGGCAGGCGATAGCGATCCTATCTCTCTTCTCTCGAGTCTCCATCAATCGAACCCACCTCCTTTCTCCGCATTTGCAGGTGGAATACACGGCCTCCCATTCCACTTGGAAGTCCTCATACCCAGTTGCATTGGGTACCGACCGCCACGGCTGTCTTTGGCCTATCCTCCTTCGAAACGGGTTTTCGCTTCTCCCTTTCTCTCCCCCCCTCCTGGGGAGGCGGAAGTTACAGAGATACGAATACCTAACTAGCCGTTGATTTTCAGCTGGCTGTCGCCCGGACCCTTCCGCAATCCTTGTCCTTGTCCTTGTCCTTGCCTCTTTCGTGCGTCCGTGATTTGTGAGGAGAACACTCTTCGATGCGATAGTAGCGGTCTGTCGTGAATGCAATAGGACGTTTATTGGTCTCCGTGGATACTCGGCTTATCTTGAGAGCGCCGACTTCGCGTTCGTCAGTTAGATCATAAGGGTAAAACGGAAGGAAGGGGGAAAAGAGAGACAGAAAGATAGCTGGGACTGAATTTACAAGATGACGTCCAGGAGTCAATCTAGCCTGGCTTTTGTGGATATGGCCAAGGAGGAATCTTCCGCTCCCCCGTCTGCCGCTTCTGGGGGCCCTTTCTCCTTCAATCCCCAGCAGACTTCTTCATCGGGTGGAATGAATTTATCGGGGTTGGTATGCAATGTTCGTCGGACGACAGGGAAGGAGCCACATCCGTTGGTGGGTGCCACGACCACCATCTTGGGTGATAAGTTATATGTCTTTGGCGGCCGTGTGCTCTCTAGGAGCCGTCCCAAGTTGACATCTAATTTGTACGAATTGGATCTGATACAGCGGCACTGGACAAAAATTGAAGCGACCGGGGATATCCCCCCCCCTCGTTACTTTCACAGCGTATGTGCCCTGGGCGACAGCAAGTTGGTTTGCTATGGAGGCATGTCCCCGACAATATCCAGCACATCGCAGGAGCAAGCAAATGGGAACGCCCCAAGTCAAGAGACACAGCCGGAGGTCATGGTCATGTCTGACATACATATATTTGACATTCCGTCACGAACATGGACCCAAGTTTCTGCAAACGACTCACCGCAGGGGCGGTACGCCCATTGTGCAACAATCCTACCCTCGAGTGCCTGCTTCACGTCCGCCCATGCTCCATTGTCCGCCATACATCATAACCCCGCATCCGACCAACCGCATCAGGGCTCAATTGGCGTGGATATTGATAGCTTTGGTGGGGCAGAAATGGTGATTGTCGGTGGACAGGACAGTTCGAACCATTACATTGAACAGATCAGTGTGTTTAATCTTCGCAGCTTAAAGTGGACCAACACCAGCCCTCTGGGAAGAAGCTGCGGTGCTTATCGGAGTGTTGTAGCTCCTCTGATTGGGATGGACGTCTCCGAGATTGGATCAACTTCGGTCGACAAGGAAGCCCATGAACCAATAGAGCCGTCGCAGGTCAACGGTTTTCCCATGCTGATATACTCCAACTACAACTTCCTGGACGTCAAATTGGAGCTGCAGATCCGATTGCCGGATGGTCGACTAATCGAAAAGCCCATGCACAGTCAGACCTCCCCTCCGGGACTGAGATTCCCCCACGGCGGCATCATAAACGGACATTTTGTCGTCAGCGGTACCTATCTCACCTCTTCGAAGCAAGAGTATGCGCTGTGGTCGTTGGACCTCAAGTCCCTCACCTGGAGTCGGATTGACGTTGGGGGCTCTGTCTTCAGCCAGGGCAGTTGGAATCGCGGTGTCCTGTGGCCCAGAAGAAGCACCTTTGTGATCCTCGGCCACCGGAAACGGAGCCTCGTCGAAGATTACAATCACCGCCGGATCAACTTCTCTCATGTGTGTATGGTGGAATTGGAAGCATTCGGGCTATACGACAACCCATGCAGGACCTCCCCCACTTCTGGATATGTGTCGTACAGTGCGCCACCAGCTCCCGCATCCCTTCAACAAAAGCTCACACAGATGACATCTGGTGGGCGGCCGTTTACCTCTGCATCGGACGAACTAGGGAAATTCGCGTTGTCCCTTCCCGAGATGGCAGATATGGAGCTCCAGGCAGTTGATGGACAGCGGATAGCTGTAAATTCGCGGATCCTAAGCCGAAGATGGGGTCCTTATTTCATCCAGCTTCTGAGGGAGTCGTCTGATAGTGCATCTGATTCTGCCACTTTTCGCCCGGGAGCGAATATTTATGCGAGCCGCATCTCCAGCCTCACCATCAGACCCTCCATTGACGACCGTTATTCAAGCGGTGCTCCCACCCTAACCAGTAACTCCCAAGGCGCATTGAAGTCGTCTCTGGCGAATCTCGAGTTACCGTCTGCCCACAGCTTACCTCCTACGTCACGACCTCGCGTGCTCTATCTTCCCCATACCTTCCTGACCCTGCAGGTTTTTGTCCACTACCTCTACACGTCGTCACTGCCGCCTGCTGGTTCTCCACTGTGCACGCCACAGATTCTCTGCTCACTTCTTCAGATCGCACGACCATACAAAGTGGATGGCCTTCTCGAGGCTACGGTTGAACGCCTCCACCAGGTTCTTGATGGTAGGAACGCCGCCGCTGTCTTCAATGCGGCTGCCATGGCCGCAGGAGGCGGTAGAGGCACGGGATTTGCCGGCGGACTTAGTGGCACGCTCGAGGTACTCCATGGAGCACACGGAGCGGCAGAATATTCAACGGCCTCCACGGAGGAAGACGCTTCGCAGCACAGTGTGTTCGTCTCCGACTCGTCCGACACGGAACATGGCACGTCTTCTTTTTCAATTAACAGCAGCAGCGATGCCAGTGTGGTCGCTAACTCCTCCCTTGGACGATCCAATTCCCGAGGCGTGCCACTTACCATCAACACAAACCTCTCCAACCGCAGCCAGCGCAGTATAACTAGTTTCGATAGCAATCAGTCCCATGATAGAGACCATGACTCGGTCCACACACCCAGCACAGCAACTTCCGTGTCGACAAGTGCTAGCTTCAGTCAATCAGACTCGGAAGTTGGGCAGACGACACCGAGTAGCGACCACCCCCTCCGTTCGCGGCATCGACGATGCAACGCCGACGCCCAGATTCATAGAGAAGACTGGGAGATTTGGGCTGGGGATCTCAGCAGCGTGATCGGGCTGCAAAAGAGAGGGCTTCGGGGCCTCATGGAAGGACGGAGATTGAGGGAGCGCGGGACGAAGCCGCCTAGTACCAGTACCGCAGGGACCGGGGTAGGGATGTTTCACCAGAGCCAGAGCTCTTTTGATGACCATAGCAGCGCCTCAAATGGGGGTTAATTGGATTGGCTTATTTTTCTTAGGTGCCGTTATGCGGTTCATAGTTCATGATTTGAGATACCATTTTGTTTGATTCGACTTTCTCTTAACCATCTCCAGAATTCGTAAGTGCCAAAAGCTGGTTAATGCCATTTCCGTATGTGCTTTTTATTCCACCAACGTCGAAGGCTTTTCCCTTTCCGTTTTGGTGCTCACCCCCGCCACTGAGTAGATCTGGGGGAGCAGCCTGAGCTGGATGAGTGCTGACTGAGTAGTTAGTAATATAGAGCCTAGGAGTTAACCAGTTATCTACGCCATGCTAACTAGGAAGGAGCTGCACCATGGAGACCACGAACAAGGAAGTATTCTTGCCGTTGAATTTTATAATGGATTTAAGATTCTGTTTCTGGGTGAAGAACAGGCCGTATTCCATACCTTGGATTCTTATCGGATAAGCTACGAGACAACAGAAACACATACAGTACGCTGATCACTTTTAAATACTTGGACTTCAGTAAGTACCACAAGCTGTGCATTCTAACAAGACAGCACAGTCGACGTGGATCCGCGTCTAAGGTCAAATCCAGGTGTTGGAGAATCATCATAATCATTGGTGGATCTGTTAGACTCAATATCCGATACCAAAAACATCCTGCTAGTGCGTCCCAATTGTCATCCTCATTTTTGTCAATATCAAAGGTTCTGCGGCGGCGGTAAGGGCACACACTCGATGGATCACCCACTGGAACTGAAGTATGGAGAAAGAAGGTAGGGGGAGAGTCTCTGGGTCTTCTGATGTAGAGTGACACTGGGGAGTGACATTGGGGAGCAGATTCATAGTTCAACTCAGGGACTGTACCTGTACCCCATGAAGGATTGGACTGTGTAGGTTGACTTTTAATAGTACTTTTCATAGCTAAATCTATGGAAGAGGATTCTTTTCATAAATAACTAGGAGATATTGTGGGCATATTCACAGTAGAAAGACATTCCCTCATTGTAAGAGGGTCAGCTCCTCGGTTGACAGAACGGAGCGACTCTTTCGGGGCGGGTTGGAGCATGTGCGGATCGTCATAATTGATGCTGTCATTACTGATGGCAGCGTAGCTTCACAATCCAAGACCTGTTGACTTTCAGACTCATCTTGGCCAACTTAGACAGAGTGTCGTTCCAAGAAGGTTGAATGCTCAGCCTGGTTTACTCCGTAATTCTCGGCTGGGTAAGCTAATTACGTTACGACTAGCCCGTCTGGGAAATACAAGCATGACCCAGAAAACTCACTTGCTTTGCCTTCTTTTTTTTTTCTCCCATCAGTTTCAATCCTCGTTTCAGTTTCTTGCACTTTTGTTATAATCTCACCCTGGGCTTATGATAGAGGTTTCGTTACTACTCCGTTGCTTTATGCCGGGTTTTACCTGGCCAAACCATGCCTCACATACAGTGACTGGCCAAATACCCGAACCCCCGTGCGGCGCATCCACGGTTACGCCGATTATGGGGCATTCTCCACAAATATCTGAGACAGTTCCCGACCTTATTGTAGCTGGGTCGGGGCTACCTACAATAATCAAACCAAAGTTCTAACTGTCGAGGCCAGTTGGCCCAACTGGCCTCTTGCTGTCAAGACACCACGTACATGGGTGATCCCAATGGCCGATCGAGTGGCTGGTAATTCCCGCCGGTCGAACATTCCACGATCACACAAGACGAACCAGCCAGTGTGTGATCACTCCAGACCTCCGGAATGAATAGCCAGTAGACTAGGTTCACAGAGAGCAGCAGCTAGCGAGGCTGACAAAAAAAAAATAAAAAAAAGAGAGAACATTTCTTTGTTGATATTCCACTATAGGACCAACGTGATAATAGTACTAGGTACTGGGGCACTGTGGAGCTGAAAGTATATAACGACGATATACTGGTCATATTTTAGGGCGTTTCTGGGGGCGTATATCAACTATTGATTAATAGACATCTTCAGTTTTACCTCAATTGCAGACCTTCGTCCAGCACTAAAGCTGTCATGGTATATTCGTCCATTATACATATGCCAAATTGCGGTGCGGAGATTTCGGCCGCAGTAGAAGAAGAGTTCTTTGGTCAATTGTTTGTAGTATTTATGATGTACGAACAGCGGACATGCCGCGAAAACCTCGCCACAATGTCCTCAATACAGTCTACATCGCTTTGAGTTCTTACTTGATGTTTGCCTGAGGTTGATCTAAGATCTAATCTAATTGAGGTTACAGTTTTTGCCAGAGTACGGAGTAGCATGGCAGTAGAAGCATTTCGAAATAGAACTGTCATCTCTAGTCCCACAGCATGAAATTAACATGATAAAATTCATAATATATAATTTGACTTATTCACGGATACAATTACCCGTAAATTCCTGTCTAGACTAGTAATAATATTCTTCAAAACTGGGAGATATACTGTCACCCGCCGCACCAGTTTGGCCCTTCCCATCACCCGAAAGAGAACGCTGAGTATCCGGCTCAAAACACGGAATAGCAGTGAACTCGCCCAATTCCTGTGGAAAGTTCGACACGAAATGGTCCAGTCCGAAATGTGGTATCTGCGCTAGTTGATTTGACGGTGAGAAATCAGATGATGTCGCTAGGTCAGCGCTCACGACGTCCGCATCCATGGCGTCGTTGTTGCTGTCCATGTCCACGCCCATCGTTGGCGTAGACAGGACTTGAGGCATGTCGCTTGGGGCGGCATGTTGTTCGTGAAATGTGAAAGTCCCCGGTGAAACGGGTCCGGATTTCCAGAGCATTTCCCAATTCTTGAACCGGTCGTATCCCGACTCAGCGGAGCCGGTGTTGCTCTGATTTTGCGTCGCGCTCCACACTTCCAGACGGCGAATTGCGCGCTCCAGCGCCTCGATAATGCTCACTGCGGATTGGGCAGAGCCGACACCCATTGACATGATTTTTATCAACCCCATTCCTTGCTCTAATGACACGCGGAGCCGTTCGGTTCTTTTCGTGAGACTCTGCGCTAGGATCACTAGAAGGGCCGCGCGGCAGGAGCTGAATTCAGTAAAGGAAGCACGTGCCAGTCCAGTTTCGTCACAAAGAAGTTGACATAGATCGATGATCTCGAGTGCAGCTTCGACGCAATCCGTAACCAGTGTTGAGCGGTGTTTGGAGAGTCCTGAGGACGTCTTAAACGGCGACCCAATAGAAGCCTGGCTATTGATGCCTCTCATATTGCTAAATAGAAACGGTCGTCCAATAAAGATCCTCGTCAGGCAGTAATCCAGTTTCAGATGCACGTTTGAACGAAATAACGGACCGGACGGAGTCAGGTCTCTGCAGTCCGTCTCCTCTGGTAATGATGCCCACCAGTCAAAGAGATGTTTTCGGAAAGTGAGCAGTTTCTCAAGACATTCCTGTTGTCGAACCCCCCTTTGACATTTTCGTAAGGATGAGCTTATCCAGTGTCAGCTTGTTTAGCGGCGAGTAGATTAGGTCAGGTCTCATACATTTCATTGGCCAGTTGTCCCATCTTCAAAGTCAGCGTGATGAGGGACACCATGTTCATATGGTTAGAGGGCTGACCGTGCGGCTTCAATGCCGGAAAATCAACTGGTAGCGCAGCATCAACGTCCGAGTCAGACAATGAGGCAGGCCTGCCGTGAAGTATGCTAATTCGTCTGGGACTCTGTGAGCCATCGGAACCCAATGAAAAAGAAGATGGGGAAATCACATACTTCTCTATAGTGTATGCCGTCCAAAACACTCGATTTCGTACCTCCAACATTCGAGAAGAAAAACCCTCACCGTGGTATCTACGATGCATGCCGTTCTGGATGGCCATTTTAAGAGCCAGTCCGAAGTAGGTGTAAGATAGACCAGAGGTATCAAGCGGTAACAAGTATGTACCGATAAGTAAACAAGCCTGTACACTGCGTACCGATGCCGTAGCAATGATATCTGGAAGGAGCTTTGATGCAAATTGATAGAACGTGAGACCAACCTCATCCTCTGAGAACCGATGGCCATCACCAATTGAGGAACCAGAGGAGAGCCTGTTGACAGGAGTACTAGATTCCATATGTGCAAACTGTGTCCCCACGGCTAGAACCATTAGGATCGAACAGACAGCACCGGCATCTTTGGACGAAAGGCTCGCGGGATTTGTGTAGCACGTGTCCAGCTTATCGCGAAGCCAGTTTTCTTCCACATAAAAGTTGTTTGTCTGAGCATACTTGAAGAAAATCTGGACTAGGAAATCTGAAACGTAACGGGGCGGAAGACATGTAATCGCAGCCGATACAAGGGACGAGCCTGACTGTAGCTGTGTAGCACACCATCGTTCCTCAAACGGTTCTGCCTCTGTTGAATCCTTCGAGAATCAGCAGGGGTGGAAGTAGTAGCGAAGAATTAGAAGATATATACCTCCGGGGCTGCAGTTTTCATCCATTCGTCAATTTTTCTTCTAATCTTCATGGAAAAGTTGAGATAGGAAAACTCCCCCGAATATTCTGTGAACAGCCAATTAAGAACAAGTCAGACAATGCCTGTTACAGATCAACCCAGCCAAGCAACGAAGGGACTTACGAGTCGTATTGTCCGGCAAGGCCTTGATGGTGAAGTCCTCATCGTCAATTGCCAGGTCCTCCAAATCATCAATATTGACATGGGTGTCAGGACTGCCTGTACCATGACCACGATTCCGATGTTTATTCTTCAATTCTTCCGCGGCCCTCCGTAGCGAATGAATATCGAAAGAAAGATTGGGGACGTAATAAGACAGGATCTGTTCCATGTAGTGAAGTCGTTCGGTCTCCGCAAGATCATGTCGACTCAGGCTCCCGGCTCGCTCCAAAAGGCTACAGCATGACAAGTCAGCCAGGTGTAACAGATAATCGCTTTAGATGAGCTGTCAGGATAAAAGGGAAGGAACTCACGACACCGACGGAGATCGGGAAGAGCTCTTATCTCCATGATCCGCGACACTATTGAAAACGCATTGCCTGCGATACCGAAGACACCGTCGACAGGGAACCCCGCCTTCACACTTCTCCTTGACTCTTCGACATCCGTCACATCTGCAGCTTCGTTAACCATACTTCCGCTGGACCGCGATCCCGGGAGGCTTACGCTCTTACGGCTCTTTTGCGGTGTTCCTCTGCGACACGTGGGCGTTTCTGCTGTCCGGTAGTTGGGACCGGCTGCTCCATGGCAGTAATAAACAGCCTCGGGGGTTAGTCTGTTGAAATTGGAGATTCCGCCGCATGAAGAGGGGCATATCAACGGGAGGCCTGGGATGTTCTGTTGGAATCTTCATTGCCGTGGTTATCATTGATAAGCGTCTCACTTGCACTGCAGACAAACAGTGCAAACACAGCTCCGCAATTACCCGTATTTACGGTACAGGGTTTAACCGCTTCACGCGCGGCCTCGATAGGTTCATGTCTACGGAGTAACCACTTGTATAGCGTCGTTTCTAACATGCCAGTAGTAATTGCTCAAAGCACGATGCGTCTAGTTTTAGTTAGGAAGAAACCGCTACGAAGTCGGTGGCGGGATGTAATGGGGTATGCTTCGCTTGTAGGATTACCGTACGGAGAAGCTGACATGCGATGTATACCACTGGGATTTGGCCTATTGTGATATTACATATAATGTGCTATTATTATATCTGAGTATTAATGCGGCTGGATATACGATCTTTACATGATATTTCGTTGGGCTAGAATCAAGTTGTCTTTGGCGTCGGCGGATGCTATGGGTCAAGAGAACTCAACTTGGTAAGGTACATTTTCAGCCCTAACTGTTCCCGAACTGCTAGCATCTCAGATGCCAATTAATGCTCTTCGTGAGGTAATAAGAAGGTAATAAATGAATAAATTATCGGCTTCCGATACGGCGGAAATCTGTTCCTTCGAATATGGGTTCCGCCATTCTTGGAGGCGAGCATCGTCATATTTGGCTCAAACACCTATATCTATAGTGATTCGCCCTGCGTGGCAACGCATGGGAAAGATGAGCGGCTGTTAAAAAGGGCAATTGTCTTTCATTGAGCCAGATCCCGGATTACAAGGATGTTCCATATGAGAAGTCTGTTGCTTCGAAAGCCATTTCATCCTGGGTCGCAAGTTCTACGTGCTCCCGTACTCGCCGGTAAGCGTGCATTAAGGCTCAAGGAACACCGCAAGCCCCCCTTTTTAAACCTAGTTCCAAAATATCGATTATTCTCGGCAGATTCGACACTGCAAAAGCACAACATGGCGTCGAAACGCGAAGTGGACGCTTCCTTTGCCTACAAGCCCATGGTCCTGGATATGAACCGGGAATGGTGGCGGGAAATCATCATATACGAGATCTATGTGCAGTCATTCCAGGACAGTAACGGCGATGGGATTGGCGACCTTCGTGGTATTATCCAGCGACTTGATTACCTGAAGGACCTTGGTGTGGATATGCTTTGGTTAACTCCCATCTATGAGTCGCCTCTGGAGGATCAGGGCTATGACATCTCCGACTTCAAGGCAATCAACCCTATGTACGGGACTATGAAAGACTGGGAGTATCTCATTGCAGAGGTCCACAGGAGGGGAATGAAGTTAATGATGGACATGGTGTTCAACCATACCAGTTCCCAGGTATTCAATTCCGCACATGCGCTTGATACATGCCAGATCGTTTGCTAATCCTGTCGGTTGACTAGCATAAATGGTTCCTGGAATCAAAGTCAAGCCGGGACAATCCAAAGAGAAACTGGTATTTTTGGCGAAAGGGCAAGATTGGCAAAAATGGCGAGAAACTTCCTCCGAACAATTGGGAGTGCCTGTTTGGAGGTTGGTTTCACTGCCGCCAAATCGGATATCTCCAGCTGACGAATCTCAGGCCGCGCATGGAAATATGACGAAACCACTGATGAATGGTGTAAGTCGATAATGAAGCTACTGCAGAGCGCTCAGATTGGGATCCATCAATTGACCCGTTGTTCTGCCAGACCTGCATCTATTTGCCGAGTCTCAGCCTGATCTCAACTGGGATAATCCAGAAGTTCGTGCCGCCGTGCATGATATTGTTGACTTCTGGGGTTCCAAAGGAACAGACGGGTTCCGGGTAGGTGATAGAATACTCACAGTCGGAATTCCCAGGCTAATAAAGAGGAAACGGATAGTTTGATGTCATCAATCTTGTTTCCAAGGTTCCTGGACTCCCGGACGCTCCTATCAGAGTCCCAGATCAATTTGAGCAACCTGCTGTTGAAATGTTCACGAATGGGTAAATATGCCCTACCTAGTTACTCTTCGCTATATCGGTATGGATGCTGATCCATTTTAGCCCGAAGGTCCATGAGTATATCCACGAACTGAACCGGAAGGTTCTTCAAAAATACACAAACTGCACTGTTGGTGAAATGCCATGCGGTGTAAATGAATATGAGGCGAGTTTATACGCTGCCAAGGAAAGCCAGGAACTGTCCATGGTGTTCCAGTTCGACCACATGGATCTAGATGGCCAGAATGGCGATAAATGGACACCTAGGAAATGGGAGCTCTGGGAATTTGAGAAGGTGATCCGGATCTGGCAGCAGCACATGCTCGGAAATAATGGTATATCCTAATTCTCACTGTGTATGGTGTATCTTGGACCAGTAAACTGACCATTCTCATATAGGATGGAGTTCTATATACTTTGAAAACCACGATCAGGCTCGAAGCGTTTCTCGATTTGGAAACCCTGACCCGAAGTACCGAGCTGTATCTGCAAAGATGCTAGCAACCCTCCAGCTTTCTCTGCGAGGCACTGTGTTTTTGTACCAGGGGCAAGAGCTGGGTACGCCTCATCCACAAAAATGGAAGATCGAAGACTATCCAGACGTGGAGACGCAGAACTACTACAACGCGTAAGTGATTTTTATATGTCTCTTACTACTAGCAGTCACTCACGGTGTACATTCTTATAGTCAATATAAAAAACGCAAGGACCAGGATCCCTCAAGAGAGCCGGACATGTCCGATGTGATGCACGTAATCAGACTGAAGGGCCGAGACAACGCGCGCACCCCGATGATGTGGGATGAATCCCCAAATTCAGGCTTCACGGCGCAGGGAGTGAAACCGTGGATCAAATTCAACGATGAATACCCAGACATTGTCATTTCGAAGCAAGAAAAGGATCCCGACTCGACTCTGAACTACTACAAAAAATTGGCAAACATCCGGAAACAACACCCGGTCATGGTAATGTTTCCCCTTCCCCTACAATGCAATTAATGATGAGAAGGGAACCCATTCTGACAGACGTGCATTCAGTCTTATGGGACCTACGTTCCAGTCAATCCTACTCATCCCAAGGTTCTTTCGTTCCTCCGGAACCAAGGGCCGTGGCGTAACCTCGTTATCTGCAACTGGTCGACGGACGATCTTGAATTTGATATCCCAGATGAAATCAACACGGACCTTGCAGTTCTGGTCATTGCCAACTACGACGTCAAAGAAGATGTTCTCGATCATAAGCTCAAGCTGCGGCCTTATGAGGCCAGGATATATACCCTGCGGAACTAAGGATAAGAAGAGAAGCAAAGAGGCAGGGCATAGCTTGTTGGGTTTGTTTATTGCCCGGCAGAGAAATATATACAGCCTTTGGAACAATTGTAGATATTGCAATTGCAAATTGAATGCATCATTCTGGACAGCGTGGAAGTCATCCGGAACAAATGACTGATAGATGAAGTTGTTACTTCCTACGTCACTATACCTACCATAACTACCAAAACACCAGTGCGGAGGGCTTGCTCCGAATAAAAGTAATGAATTTGCTTTCATACTCCTATTTCTGACCTCCGTTCTCAAAATCCAGGCCAGACTCCTTCCTGATAGCTCCGTAGACGGCAGCGACATCTCCCTTCTCCCCACGCTCAGCCTTCACCTCTTTCAAATACGCATCAGCCACCTCGACACTGCGCAGCCTCATCCCCGAATCCTTTGCGACCGTCATTGCATGCCGCAGATCCTTCCGCGCAAGGTCAACCGCGAACAATGGCTCCTCACGCTGGTAATAGTCCCCTGATAACATCCGTGTCGCGTAACCCGCAACAGGGCCCGGGAAGAATGCATTAACCCATTGCTGGTACACGTCGGTGCCCAGTCCGGACTTTTCAGCAACAACCAGCGCCTCCCCCAGAGTCTCCACCATGTTCAGGATGAACGTGTTCCCGAGGACCTTGAGCAGACTCGCCCTGCCAACATCCTGGCCGCTCATGTCGATGATCCCTCTGGCTGTAACACCAGTCAGGTATGGCGTTATCTTCTTGACAGATTCAACAGGCCCCGCCGGAACAACAACTAGTTGTCCCGCATCCGCGGCAGCCGGGGCCCCGAACACAGGACAAGCCACGAAGGCCGCATCCCGCGCCGCGAGCAGTTTCTGGACCTTCCGCGTTGTGTCCGGGTGAACGGTCGAGCAGTCTACGACAGTCTTGGAGGAGATATCGCCTGATTCCTCAGAGATAATGGCATTAATTACCGATTCCACGGCTGCATCGTCGCCGACACAGACGAAGATGATGGAGGCCGATTTCACGGCGTCGGAGACGGTGGAGGCGACGGTGACTTTGCCCTTTTCCAAGGTCGAGGAGAAGGCAGTGGCTTTGGAGATTGTACGGTTGTAAAGAATTAGGTTTGACTGCGGACCTTTCTGGATGAGGTTTTTGACTATTCCCTGTGGGATTGATCTGGTTCAGCTCTGCGTGTCCGGGATTATTATCCAAGAGTGTCAAAGCTTTATGACATCAGAGAACTCACCCGTCCAATATTTCCCAGTCCTATCCAAGCAAGTGTTTCGGCCATTTTTGCGATTTCGGAGATAACAATTCAACAACCTTGGTGCGTTTGAAGGGAGGTGTACGCCGTGTCTTCGAATTTACCAAGTCATAGTCGGCGGAGAGCCGATGCGGGGTTGTATTATAAATCAAGTCACAGATATCATTCATTTCTTCGTAGAAACATCTCTAGGCGTGAAATATATACAGCAGGCCAGAATTTCATTATTCTGGCGATTGAATGCAATTTAAAAACTGAAAAGCCCACTCCGCCGTTTTCCATACGGATAAACCAGCAACGCCGCAATAAACAACCCAATGGTGATCCCAATAGCGACCTGGATCATCCCAAACCCCAAACTGTAGACGGATCCGTTAGCAGGAAGACCAGCTGCGGGGGAGGAAGAAGAAGCGCCGGCTCCTTTGGAAACATTGTCGCGGATTTCATTGGCGGACTCAATCCCCGAAATGAGTGAACCTGATGACGCGAGACCGGACGGCACCAGGACGAAGATTCCCGGCAGGATGGCCGTCGCCGCGTGCCCATGCCACAGGCGGCTATAGAGGTTGCCTAGGACGCCAATGGTGAAGGCACCTACAGTGTTCGCGACCTGGGAATTGGAGCCAAGTCGCCTTGTGGTGAAGTAATTGGAGATGTAGCCTGAGAGGCCAATAATGAGCATGGGAGGTGATTGTTTCCATTTGCCTTGGTTAATGACAACTATGCAGAAAAGCATAAGAGTGACGAAGAGGAAGTGGGACAAATAGGGGTTTGTGAATGCACCCTGGTGATCTTTGGGGCAACTGATGTCGGACGTGGCGTTGCCATCCATGAGGCCGTAGATAGTGGTTCCGACTGTGATTCCGTAGCCCAGGAACAGGGAGTAGATGATGGCATATACCATTCGAATGGAACCGGCAACAATCTGGTGCGACTGTAGCTCAAGACTGCTCATGAGCACAAGAAAACCAGGGAGGATGAGCGCTATGGACGACTGGGCTATGGCAGAGAAGCAGAAGAGATATTGTGGCTTTCCATCCACCACCTTGCGCGGGATGCTTCCCCAGGCACGCGACAGGAAGGAGGTCAGAATGGTTGCGGCTACTTCGAAGATATTGGAATACAGGGCGGAGTTGGGGGCGATGATAAACCGCATAAGTCCCAGGATCAGGCCATGTAAGAAGATGATGGGCATGTCAATCGGCCGCGCACTGAACGCGAAGGGCCCGACAAGCGCACTGGCCACGCCGTATACAAAAACTAGAATCCATTTGTTGTATCTTGGCTTTTTGTTCATGATCAAGTCTAGTTCTTGGATCGCTTCTTCAACTCCAATGATATCATGCACAACATTCTTATACACGCTGTGGGTGTCAGACAAGCGCGCTAGATCGACCCCTTGGGCCACTCGGACCAATTTGACCTCGGTAGTGCGCGTCCCCGGGTCATCAAAAGACATGATCATGCAGCCGGGCAAGTACAAATACTGGCTCTCAACTTCTAGGACCCGGGATGTCATTTGCATGTATTCTTCCAGACGATGAGTCGGAGCGCCAAATTTCATCAATGACTTGCAGAGCTGTATTATGTATCGTTGGCGCGAAATGACTTCGGCAATATGTATAGTTAATCTGATTTCATCCTCCAGTCTCTCTTGCCGGTCCTTTCGTCTCCCACGTCGCTTTGAGGCCGCAGCCATCGCTTCACCCCCTGCAGGCGTGCTTGCTCCACTCATGTTCCCTGCCGTGCCAACCAACGTGGAGGCCGACTGATTCGGGGGCTTTTTGTACCATTTTAACTTCTCCTTCTTTGGAGTTATAGTGCCGGATGGCGCCTCGCTTGGTGATGGACTGCGCCGGCTTTCTCCTCTTTGTCGTTGATCTTGATTCTTTCTGACCAACTGGGACAGTATTCCACCGCCACCAGAACGATTGTGTGGCCCAGAACTGGAATCCGGACTACGTTGTCTTCCAGAACCCTCCTCACTAGACTTCGAATCACTTTTCGAATCGTTTTTCAAACCACCTGATTTTGAAGGAGTATTTGAACTTCTGCCACGATGTCGAGAGTATTCGTCTTGAGTGATGCCACTGATGAGATTATTGGCTTCGGCCCGGGAATTTTCCTTTTGCTGTTTTTTTTCTCTATCAATTTTGTCTTTCTTGTCCGGGACAAGGCCCAAGGGCATCTCACCACCTGGAGACAAGTCGGAGTGATAAGCACCCGGTCGCAGTTCGTCTCCTCCGTATTCCTCGCGACCTAAAAGGTTCAGCAGCTGGATCCCTTTTTCCTTGAAGGCTAGATAAGCAGATTTCAGTTTCTCTTTAGCCGTTTTCGGGACAGCTTTCGCGGGATTGAGCTCAGCGAGCTTGCTCTCCTTTTTAGGTTCCCCATCAGCTTGTGCTGGGGGTTGTTCCGTTCTCTCATTTATGGGAGTGTCGGTAACATCCGCTGGTTCATGTGAATATGGTGCTGATGGAGGATGCGCCATACCTTCCTTCTTGATCTTTTCGCGTTCCGATTTCTCCTCCTCTGGACTAGGAGGCGGCTCGTGAAACTCTTGATTCGATCTAAAATGCACACGAGGCACGGTAGGTGGTCCGCGTTGCTGAGTGATGTCCTCCTCTTCATTATGGCCATCTTCCGAGTGCTCCTGTTTCTCCTGGGACTGAAAACTATCCAGCGATTCGTCGCTGCTGCTGTGTTCTTCCGACATACGGGAAGGAACAGAGAGTTAGAGGCACCGAAACACTGTCTCAAACTAGAAAAGGGCTCTTTTGTGTAAGCCTCGCAACGTCTAGGCGCCCGGGTGTGGAAGAAACGCGAACGATGACAGATTTCCAAAGAATTGTGTTCTCTAGAGGTATGAATCTCTTAGAGCGAAAATAAATATTCAACAGCTGCCGCCCTTCGATTGAGCCTCTCCCAGATTACTAGAAGTCCCCAGAAAATTCAGCGGGTTCGAGACAGTGTGTCAGTAGTCGGTTGCAGGATATAGAGCCATAGCAAATGAGTAGTCGTTCTATTCATGTTTGACGATAGAGAGGCGAGTTAGCTATCTGCCACCATTACTCTTGAGCATTCTGTTATAGCGACGTCATCTAGAGATGAGTCCGCCACAATGACCACAGAGATAGAATCGTCAGTGTTATCCGGATGAATCAAGATCAGAAGCTCTGACAGTTTTCCCTCGGACGAGGCGATAGCATGTGTAGACGACAGCTTTGTAGCTCGATAGGATTACTGTAAATCATTTGGATCTGTGATATCTCAGTCTCAAGACAAACAGTTAGTTCTTTTATTCTAATTTCTTGGGCAAACGGGGCAGTATTCTTCCATGATGACGCTGTAAGCCTGAACCGTGGTTCAAGAAAGAGCCTCGGTAAGGATGATTTCTAATTGCCCACCTTCTCAGAATCTATAACCACAAGGAAACATTCCATTCTCATTCTGTACACAGTGTTCCCTCAGCCCTCAGAGGTGACTACCAGAATGTGTAGTGCATTCGGCATCGGAAAAACTGTGCTATAGGGCAGAGTGTAGTAATAAGTTGGCCACTGTATTCGCATGAGAGTATTTAGAACCAGAATATCTTGACGGCAAGCGATTCTTAAGCTCAGGACTGATGCAAGTGGGCACAGGAACAAGCTTTGACGCTATTTGGGTGCGATCTAACTTGCATGTATGTCGTAGATGGCAGAACCCTGGTCTGCAATGAAGTATGGGTCGAAGAAACACCTCTGCATGAGTATCCTGATAGGGAAGTCAATTTATCGATGCTTAAGACGGTCCAATACCTGATCCAGCACATCTAGTTTTGTTAATCGTCGCGTGAATTCCTCCACGCGATTCTTTATGAGACTGATATCTTTTTTCATATTCTCGATATCATCCAACACTCGCTCAATGTCTGTGAATTTAGATTGCAGCTCGCTTTCCTCACGGAGCTGGTTTGTCATCACTTGGAAGAGTTCATCAAGACTATGACCGATCACGGAAGGGGATTCATCATCTTTCCTTTGGCGTTTTGATTGTGACTGAGGACCAGATGGCTCGGTATCGGAGGAAATTGGTGATTCGGCGGTTCGCTTCTGGGGCCAGCTAGCCACGAGGTTGTCTCGAGCCTCCTCCATAGCCTTGATACTATCGAGATGTGAAATCCATTCATCTAGCGCATCACAGAGGCTTGGACTGCCATTGTATTCCTCTCCAGATTTTCTCTCACTGAGCCATATACGGTGCTCGTCAGTCAGCTGCAACACCCTTTTCTGAGCCGTCTGCCAGTTGAATGCGTCTCGTCCAGTTTCAAGGCAGAAGTGATCAGCAATGAGTGTCCAGAAACGCTTGCTTCCACGTTGTGAGATGCAGGAGCCCTTAAATCGTATGCATGTCCTTATGAGCTTGACTAAACAGGCAGTCGTCATCTTTTTGGCGCGCCTTCGTGGGGGTTGACTGCCCGGTGTTGAGTAACTCTGAGTGGCTGGCGTATCCTCAACCGACGGTTGTACGGAGATAGCACCATTGGCAGCAGGTGTGGCTGTAAAAGGTGTTGCATGCAAGGCATTCGGGAATAAGGGAAGTGAGGGTGTTGGAGGAGCAGGAGCAGAAGACGCTGTAGCAGTAGTCGGTAGGTGTGTCTGTGTTGTAATGATTGGTTGCCAACGTAAAGGCTGACTCCGTATTGGAGTCTGAGAAGAGTTGGCCGACATCTGGGAAGATATTTGCGTTGAACAGTGATGGTTCTGGACAGTAAAACGCGACTACAGCCGTTGGGAAGACGTGTAGTAGTCCGTACAGGAGTTTAATTTTCGGATTGGAGTTCCAAACCGGCTGATCAGGTGCATGGGCTAAGCCCAATACGGCAGTCGGTGATCTTGTCCTTCCTAGGCAGGTCGATAACAGGCCTCGGTAATACTAAATAAGAATAGTACGAGTCGCACCGACAACGAGGTGTAAACACCGCCAACTCGACGTCATGATAATAACGAGCCTTCTCAGTAATAGTATTGTATCAATAGTAAGGCTACTCAGGCACGAAGTGTCGTCTGCTATATTTCTTATTGTCTCTTCTACTGTTCATGTATTCTATAGCCCTCTTCTCAAGGCTGCACAGCAGTCCCATTTCTTCACTGTGATCCCCCCCGTCTCAATGCAATATCCAACGTGCCACAAACACGTGCTTGCATATGCATGTCGGGTTTAAATCGCAGCCATGGTGCTCCTGACTCAATCTACCGTGTCTGTGATCCTGTCGTCAGGAGTGGTGTGCATGTTCACCTTTCTCCTGTTCCTGTCGGGATATATCCTCCAACAGCAATCCGTGCGAAATATCCAAGTCGCCCTGAAACCTTCTCCGCCTCCCATCCGCGATCAGATCGCAATTGCAAAGCGAGGACTGTCGCATGAACTGGGGCATAACTGGGACAATGACCAGGAGACTCCTCTCTCCAGTTTCCCCTTAGATCAGGGAAATGAACCATCATCATCTTCAGATCAGTATATCGCAAACAAGGGAAATTATGCTTATCTCCAACTCATCTCCAACCCGGACCCCTCTGACATCTGCTCCGCTATCCTATTCTTCAAAACCCTCGCAACAAATGGCACGGCAATCCAGGACCGTCTATTCATGTACCCTGCAGAATGGGACAGAATGGCATACTCCTCCACTGTCAATCATGACCACAGCAACAAGAACAAGAAGAATAAGAATAAAAACAAAAACAACGCAGCTCCGATAAATCTTACAAAATCCATCTCTAAAGCCCTCTCCCTTCTCCGCGCCGCCAGCGTGGAATATGACATCTGGCTCCTCCCTATCGACATGTCCCTGGCCACCTCGGCCGGATACAAACTAACGGACACGAAACTGCTCCGACTGGGCCAGATCCAGTTCATGCAGTACGACAGTGTCCTTTATGTCCGGACTCCGGGCATTATACTCGACATTGAACTGCTAGATTCGGTGCTTCTTTCTCGTCCCCTACCGATGAGGCATGACAAAACCCGAATTGAATCGTATGCCAACGAGGCCTGGATCCCAATGCCTCTTCGCCCGGACCGTGATGAATCTTTGCCGCCCGTGTATTTAATCGCTGTGAATAATGTGGGCGGTCGTGTCGAGGCGCGTGGACACATTCCTAACGTTGGTCTTCCAGGATTTGGGGAACTGATTACTGGCCCATGGGAATTCGATAGCACCCGTGACCAAGGTGATAGAGGCCACTCAGTCGATGGAAAAGGGAATGAGAATGGGCAACAGCAACGGCAAGGTCAACAGCCAGGCTATGTTTACTTTGAGCGAGATTACGATGGCCATGTTAGTTGGAAGAATAACCCACTATTTGGGACATGGAGGGCGCAGCAGTATGGAGTCTGCGAAGGGTTGGATCTAGATGATGTTCCATTATGAGAAATTATAACGGTCTACAGCTCAGGCAGCAGGGCTGCTAGCTTCGCAACTTATATAAACAGTTTATTTAGTTTGTTATATATATACTGTACAGTATCTATATCCTTTGCACCCTTTAGGAATGACTCTGCCTCGAATTGCTTTCTGATGCATTATATTTGGGAGCCCAGATGCTAGCCCGTCACATCTGGCTCTGGAATAATGTAATCCCTAGCAAATACAACCGACCATGTCTCCAAAGACTGGAGATCAACTGAACAATCCACTTGAGCAAAGGCACTATTAGATGGGTCACGTGTCTCACCGGTGCACGCTCAAGTCCGACGTCGGCGATTACTCCGAGCTTTATCTGCTGGGAACTTCGAATCGCTGAATTACTCATTTAACACCCTCCTTACCATTGTCAACGCCCTTTACCGCTGCATCTGCATAGGAGCATCCCTGGTGTTGTCTGAGTCATTTGATTCGAAAGTCGTTGTATATCTTTCTCCAGCTTACGCCCCTTGTTGGTCTCAACCGCAGATATAACACCGCTTAACCTTTTCCCCTTTGTTTGATTCAGTTCCTACTTCTCTCCCCGTGGCATCCGACCCTTCTAGGAACCTGTCATGAAGTCTTTTCGGCAATTGGCTCGCAGTAGAGCGTTAACTGGCCTTGTTGCACCCCGTACATCGTCATGCCAGACTATTGCGGCTTCCCGGCTATGGAGGAGAAGCTTCAGTGCCACTCCTGCTGCAGCTTCAAAATTGGCGGAACTAGATCCCTCGAAGCTAACAGTTACGAAGACTGCGGCCCCAAAGGAACTTTTACCACCTCAAGAGCTTATCTTTGGAAAGAACTTCACCGGTATGTATCGCTTCCTTTTTCTCCGCCTCGTTGCAACCCGTTCAATCACTGATTATTCGCACCTTTTCCCATTTCAGATCACATGCTCTCTATCGAATGGACAGCCGAAGATGGATGGGGTACTCCTCAGATCATTCCGTATCAAACCCTCAATCTGGATCCCGCCACCTGTGTTTTTCACTACGCGTTTGAATGTTTCGAGGGAATGAAGGCTTATAAGGATGACAAGGGTAAGATCCGGCTATTCCGGCCGGACAAGAACATGGAGCGTTTGAATAAGTCGACCTCGAGCATTGCTCTGCCCACGGTGGATGGAGAAGCCTTGACTAAGCTGATTGGGGAGCTTGTGAAGTTGGACAGTAAATTCATTCCCAAGTCAGTAGAATCCCTCTGCACAGGGTTGACATAGGTTGTTGACGTTCAGCTAGCGCACGGGGATACTCATTATATCTTCGACCGACCGTGATCGGTACTCAAAAGACACTAGGTGTCGGGCCTCCACGCTCTGCACTTCTTTTTGTCATTGCTAGCCCCGTCGGTCCGTACTACGCGACTGGCTTCAAGGCTGTTTCATTGGAGGCCACCAACTATGCAGTTCGAGCTTGGCCTGGTGGTGTTGGTGACAAGAAACTGGGTGCAAACTACGCTCCATGTGTTGTTCCCCAATTGAAAGCTGCATCTCGGGGATTCCAGCAGAACTTATGGTTGTTCGGAAAAGAAGACTACATCACAGAGGTTGGCACAATGAACCTCTTTGTTGCTCTGAAAGATAAGGAGACTGGTCAGAAGGAGCTGGTGACTGCTCCCTTGGATGGAACAATTCTGGAGGGTGTCACAAGAGACTCAGTCTTAGGGCTAGCAAGAGAGAGATTGGTACCAGAGGGATGGAAGGTCTCCGAACGAAAGATCACGATGCCGGCAGTCGCGGAAGCAGCTGAGGAGGGGAGGTTGATTGAGGTGTTTGGAACTGGAACGGCAGCAGTTGTCAGTCCTGTCCGAAGTATCAGCTATAAGGGCAAGTTGGTGAATTGCGGATTGAAGGATAATGAAGAGGCTGGAGAAATTGCTCTGAAGATGAAGAACTGGATCGAAGGAATCCAGTACGGTGATGAGGATCATCCATGGGGGTAAGTCCTTTTTTTTGGTTGGGATGATTTCACCCAGGAAGAACGATGCTGACATTTTTCACAGTTACAAATTATAGATGAAAACGACATCTTACATAAATAAAGTCCTTGCTTCCCGTTTCTCCCTTTTTGCCTGCTTTTTTGATTCTGCCCTTTGGCTCCTGCATTTTATAAGCTGATTGAGGAGCGAGAAGATTGTTCCATATGAAATTTTTCATTGCTTTTCTAAGGGTTTCCCCGCCAGCAGTTGATTGACAAACAAGCAGGAACTGCTTAGTACAATGCCACCGGCCTCACCATCAAAAGTGCAAGCAACTCTAGGTGACTTTCCAGATTGGCAGACGCTCAGCAAAACTGTAGACAAATGATATCAGCTAGGGCCCAGACCCTAATGCTCACTCCATTGGGCTAGTTCGTACATAAATTATAGTTCCACGTGATATAGACATCCGTCAGCTGTTGATGGGGTCCAGTTGGTTGTTCTAGTTAGGAAGGCCCGGAGTCGAGCAACATTGGAGGTGTATCTTGTGTTGAATCCCTATCTAGGTGCCCGAACCAGCTCTGCTAGGCCAGGCGAGGGCGGTCTAACTGGGCAGAACACGCGTGACCTCTAGTTAACACTACATTATGCTGACTAACTGGGAGCTGAGCCACCAACATCAGCTTGGGTGTCCGCAGGTCGCATTCATCAACAGCTATTCCTCATCCCATCATCCGTCGGACTGATACCTCCATGAATGAATTCATTTCTTCTTAACAGGGCCATTGGGTCCATCAGTCCATCCGCATTCCATGTAGCGCAAACTTCCCACTTGACTCAGCTCCTCGAACCGGCTCCGGGAATCCGATTCTCCAGTCGTAAGGGCCCTGTCATACCAGATGGTACCGACACTATCAACTCAGAGGTAGAGGTATTCGCCCACCAAGCTGGCGTAAATGTGCTGGCTATTGATCACTATGAGGGACGATAGTAGGTTTAAGAATCTTTCTACCTACCTCCTTCATTCCTTGCTAAACGTTGAACGAATAGCATGGTATCCGGAGGTGCTGATCCCTCAATTCACCTGTGGGATCTTGAGAGCAGAGGCTCTGAGTTGAATCATATCCACAGATCGGTCGCTTATATCAATAAGGCATCGCATGAGGCAGCCCATACACATGCCATTACATCTATCTCGATATACCCGTTCGATCCGACTCCGTCTACCATTCTGACAACATCGCACGATGGCACACTAAAGCTCTCTGCACTGGAGCCGCCTTCCATCACACCCGTACATACCTTCCGGCTCGAGTGCACACCGTATTCACATTCGTTTTCCTCCCACCCCTCATCAACCCTGCTCATCGCCGTGGGTACATCGGAGAAGTTGGTACGACTGTTGGATCTACGTTCTGGTCTATCTACACACTCCCTAGCAGGACACAGCTCTTCGGTCCTGTCCGTATCTTGGGCCCCGCACAAGCCGCATATTCTGGCATCAGCGTCTACAGATAACCGGGTGATCCTGTTCGATGTACGCAGGGGAGGACATAATTCTGCTATTGCCACGTTGGACATGGATGATGCGGTCGGCATAATCCCCTCTGAATTGGCGCCAAAGTCATATCGCAGTCGTCCACCGTTCTCCCTGCATGCTCGAGCGCATAATGGCGCCGTGACCGGTGTACGATGGACGTCCAATGGCTCGCACTTGGTTACCGTGGGCCAAGACGCACGCATTCGCGTCTGGGATGCGTCGACAGGCGCCAATACACTCGCGCACTTCGGTCCGAGGGTTCGAAACAATGTGTCGTCTCATCTGGCAGAGCGAGCACCATTGATAATACCTCAGGGAGTAATGGCCCCGGGTCATGAGACATTGCTGTGGGCAAACTTTAATGACCGCGATGACCGGGGTGAGATATTCATGTTTGAACTCCGTGAAGGGACCATTGTCAAACTTCTGAAGGTCCCCGGGCTTCTTGGTGCTGGAAAACAGCAGTTTAGAGGGCGGTCCACTGCTCTAAGCGCAGCGCGTATCAATGCTCTGGCTTGGCGGGGGAATGGGGCATCAGGAGAGGGACTGGAATTATTCTCAGCGCACGGCGATGGGACCATCCGAGGTTGGGTGTCAAGGGAGCCGGAGGGGGAATCTGATGAGGCGGAAGAGGAAGAACAGGCGGATCGGAAACGCAAACGGGATGTGCTGGACGAGATCTATCGGGGGTTTATGGAAGGAATGCCATGATTCATTGTCTTCGAATTTACGGACTATACATATTTCCTTCATGAAAGGCGAAAGCCCTATTGTCTATTTGGTCTATGCACAACCACGTGATCTTGATGCGGAGTAGGAGGAGAAATGCGGGGAATCGAGGGTGAGGGGAACAGCCGGTGCGGGGAAGATAGTCGTCAGCGTCGCCGTTGATGACTTGAATCTTTTGAAAGCGGCCCCCCTGGTCGCCGATACTACGCTGTGCATCAGCCTTCACGAAGCGCAGGGGCAGGAGCCCAAAACAACCAAGCGACACTGATTCCCAGCTTCAACGCTGCCGCAACCCACAGGACCACGGCCATACCTCCCCTGGTACGACTCAGCCAGCCCCCAATGATGGCCCCGATCAGCAGCATGACCACGCCTCCAATGCGGCGGTTCCGCTTAGCATTCTTGCTCGGATGGCTGAGCAACCCGGGATCCGACGCGATATCGTAGTAGACGCTGGTCAGCACTACGCCCGGGATCTCATTGTAGCCCAGGATCCTCGTCGAATTAATCGACCCCGCCGACTGGAAAGCCAGGAGTGTAATCGGAATTAGGCTGAGTAGCGGTCTGTCAAAGGTGTAAGTGGCATGTTCCTGTCGTTGGATCAAGTCGGCCTGGATCAGACACGCGGCAACCACGATGAGAAGGCCCTGGATGGCGAACGAGATGCACAGAGTTCCACGGCGACAGGGGCCCAGTTTCCGCGTCAGCTGGCTGAAGGCCACGGCACCCGTCAGAAAAGAGGCAATGGAGACAAGCGATCGAAGCCATCCCCAGGGAGTAGTTCCGACGGGTTGATGGGATGCACCCAGGCCCAGCACGATGGTATTTCCTGCAGTCGTCAGAAAGAAAAACAGTAGCAATTAAAGACGTCGCTACCTACCTGTTTGCATGGCAAGGAAACACGCCCACGCATTAAAGGCGCAGCTATCACACAGTCCGGTATTCAAACATAAAAGTAGACACACGCGATCCGCAAAGGCCGTATTGATTCCCTCGGTCCATTTCTTGGAAAATCCGACTTTGGGTCGTGCCTCCGAAGGCGACCGTGATTCGAGGTCCAATGGTTGTTCCATTTCGAACATTGTTCTGCGGAAAGCAAACCACTTGGAGAGAGTGAAAGGGGCATGTATTGATATTAATAGAGGTCGTAGGAAATCGCGCAATATTACTAATAACTAATCCAAGCTGGATGAATCACATCGGTTAAGCCGGAAGACTAGGCGCTTGGGCCCCCAGGTCGTATTCGCAACTTTCAGCTGTCCCGGTAGCTGGTAGGATATAGGATTATATTCTTTTCCATGTAGTCTGCAGTCTTGATTCGGTGGGCTGTAGGACTGTGAACAAACAGGTTTCAGCCCTGTAGGGCTTATGATAATCAATGCCATATCCATCGCGGATAATAATAGCCAGGAAATGAAATAATGCACATCTGCCGGGGTCTTGCCGTAAGCAGCAATATCTCCTGTCCTTGTCCGATTCTTCGGGATCTGTTAGTCATCGAAGCTGCAAGGGCGCAAGGCAGTTTTGATGCCTGAGGTGGAAAGGTATATATATATATTTCCCCATTGCTCTGCATCACATGACCGGAAACTACAATCTACTGTCTGTAGAACAACTGGCCAACTGGCGATACAAGAATAGAGACATGTAATCGCCTGGCTGGCCGTTTATTTGTGAGTAGTAAAGTCTGGGTTCGGCAATGCATCTCGACAGTCGGCGTTTGGAGGTTCGAATACCCCGATAGTTATACCAACAGATCTGGCCTAGTCATCATAGTAACCAAGAAGAATGGTTATACGAAGGAGAAATAAATAATCGAAGTGAGAATACAACGATCGATGAACCTCGGCTCATCGCCACCGACGAAAAGCAGTTCGGGCCGCGGGAGTACCGCCGACAGCGAAAGGCATGTGAGATATTATTAAGGCCTCGTCTTCCCACGGCGTCAAGGATCTCTTCTTTCTTTTCCTCAATTAGACATATATCCCCGTCGTGCCTGTTTTCATTTTTTCTTCTTCTATTCTCAGTCGGTGCATTCGTTCTCCTTGTCCACTCCGCTCCGGTTGGAAATTTTCGCGGTTCTTTTTTTCGCTCTTCGACCTCTTTCGGCCGACAAAATGGCCAGCAAACCAGGGGATTACGACGCCGTGCGCAAGGATATTGCTGCCCAGTTGAAGAAGCCCGGCTATGACGATGGGAGCGCGGCGCCGGTGTTTGTGAGATTGGCATGGTATGTTTTCTTGCTGTTGTGTCTGCCGTCCTCAGTCTTCAGTCTTCAGCCAGACAGCTCATTAACCATGTCGTCCGAACAGGCACTCCGCAGGCACATACGACAAGGAGACAGACACGGGCGGTTCCAACGGCGCCGGCATGCGCTATGAAGCCGAAGGCGGCGACCCCGCCAACGCAGGACTCCAACACGGCCGCGCGTTTCTCGAACCCGTCAAGGAACGACACCCGTGGATCACATACTCTGATCTCTGGACGCTGGCCGGTGTCGTGGCCATCAAGGAAGCCGGCGGCCCCGACGTCCCCTGGCAACCAGGCCGGACGGATCTCGTCAACGACTCCAAGGTGCCTCCGCGCGGTCGTCTGCCGGACGGAGCCCAGGGCGCCGACCACGTCCGTCACGTCTTCTACCGCATGGGCTTCAACGATCAGGAGATCGTCGCCCTGGTCGGCGGCCACAATCTCGGCCGGTGCCATGCGGACCGCTCCGGATTTCAGGGCCCCTGGGTGAACAACCCGACCCGCTTCTCGAATCAGTTCTATAAGCTCTTGCTCAAGCTGGAATGGAAGCCCAAGACACTTGATAATGGCATCAAGCAGTTTGTCTTCGTGGATCCGGATTTCCCCGATGACGAACCGCTCATGATGCTGCCCACGGATGTTGCGTTGGCGACTGATCCGTCCTTCAGGTCGTGGGTGGAGAAATACGCCGAGGACCGCGATCTGTTCTACGACCACTTCTCCAAGGCTTTCGCCAAGCTGATCGAGTTGGGTATCCGTCGTGATGAGACGGGTAAGATCGTCAACACTGATAATGTCCTGGGTGGGTATGTTTCCGCGCCCAAGAAGAGTAATACCCCTACTGGACCGGCGAAGGCGAAGCTATAGTTAGCATGTTTGACTTTTGCTTTGATTCCCCTTTTTGTATAGATATTCCAGAATGCGAGCCATAGAAATATAATGGTTGATATTGAAGAGATTTCAAATCCGGGGTAAAAATGCGGGGAAGTTCCGAGTTAAATAAGTGATCCTACGATACAACTGCTTGTTTTAGCTTTGATGAATTCAAGTAATTATTAATAATATGAATCCGGAAATGCGGCAGTAACACTATTTCTAATCCCCGTTACGGAATCATTTCCATCGCCTTCAGTGGAGTCCAGGGATCGTGTTCTTGCAGGATTAGCTGGTTCTGTCTCTGCATATTTACCATCCGGGTGATAGACGCGCGAGCAGAGTTCAACACCTCCGAGCTGGGATTCAGGACACGTTCATAGAATAGCAGCGGCAAATCGTTGACATTCTGCCACCATTCCGCGGGAACACGGTCTTCTGGGTATGCGGGAGGAATGCCTCCGACGATGAGACCCAGGTTTACTTGGCTGTCGTACATCCGGATCTCGCCTTGGTCTCGCTCCCCTCGCTCAGAGTCGGTCCAGTACACTCGACGATGCGTGCCCTTGGAGTATATTCCTCCGATCCAGCGGTAGGTGGCTGTTTGGATCTGTCCGTGCTGGTCGCAATATGAAAAAGTCACATTTCCGGTATGTCTTCTTATGCGCATCGGGTCACCCGGGGAGACGACGAGGCGCATTGGTAGCTGGATGACAGTTCTACAGAAAGCTTGTTTGCCACATCCTGTACAGTAGTCCACGGGGGCGAAGTAACGAGCAAGAAGCTCCTCCATAGACACACCGTTTATGTCTTCACGTCCTGATGGTGCGGCAAAGGTAGAGGACTGTTCGAAAATCTCCACGTCGGGCCTGCAGTCACAGCCCCCCAAAACGTCGCGGTGGGAGAAGTGAAACTGGGCAAAGTTTTCCGTACAACATAACCACATGCTTAATAAGGCGTTAGGATCTGGAACGTGGACACATTTTGAAAGAATCTCCCAAAAGAGATCTCGCATGTCAGCGCTAACCTGTGCGGAGTAGACGTCCCAGTTCATGCCTATCGCGTCGATGAACGCTTGTTCGAATTTCTGGAAGCGATTTTCCCATCCATCAGTGCGGTCGATTACGGTCAAGCCAGCGTCAAGGAACATGCCAGCCACGATTATGGCATCGACTGTAGAAGAAGAGCCCCGGTACACAGGTCCACGCCCGCAATAATGGTACAGCGTCCCCTGCGGATCGAACTGATCAACATCCCCCGATAGGGCCACCCGAGAGGTTGCAGAGAATGACCCAACCACTGCTTTCAGTAGATCATGCGGAGTTGTTGCTGTTAGTGAAGGACGTGCGAGTCGCGAGAAAGCGCTCGGGTGCCGCTCCAGGGATTTATATGCAAAGCGCATGACCGCACGCTCGATAGCTTCAACCACTGTCGTATCCAAGGCGGAATCAATACATGCTTCTTCGTTGTTGTCAATAGTCGCCACATCCATAGCATCCGGCTGCCAGGGAACTGGCACAACTTTGGGAGTTCCAACCCCTAACGCGCATTCAGTCAGCCCTACTGCTTTGCCCAAGTTACTTGCGGGAAAGTTCGAGAAGCTCGAAGGAAGGAGCCCTTCAACTAACCAGGGTGGGAAGTAGAATTGCTGCACATAGAGGTCGGAAATGTCGCTGGGTATGTCAGGAGGTCGAAGATAACCTATGATGAGGCGCGAATGGGCAGGGTGAGGAGGATCAGGATAGAACCGGGATATAGGCAGTGGCCGTGGCTCGAGCCGCTGGTTTAACAATCTAGGTCCAGCATCACGTTCGAAGTCCACAAGCTCAGCGAGTGACTGCGGCCGGTGACCAGGCTCTTGATAGTAAATGAGTTTTTGAAGAGCCTTCAAGCGTTTTCCATTTGTAATTGTGCCTTGGATTCCATGATCAATTCCCCAGAAATGGAAGGTCAATAGACTGTCTAATTCCGTTCGCCGGAACCGGTTCAAGCACCTCATCTCGCCCTCCCCCAGCATAGACCAATCCTCGGGTGGCTCAGGTAGACTATTCAGCCGGTAGGGCTGATATCGAAGCTTAGGGGTGCTGGTGTCCATCTGGCTGGTCTCACGACCCCTCTGTGAAACCTTTTGATTGGAGTTTGTTAGAATGACGAAGGATTTAATGAAAGGATGCAGTGATATACGAAAAGAACCGCGTTGGCATTAGACTAACAAGCAAGAATCTAGGTAAGGAATATCACGAAGCAGGTAGAACAGCAAAAGGCAGGGTTGGAAGAAGAATGGTAGGAAGGAAAGGAACCCATCAGTTGAGAAAGTGAAGCCATCTATATAGGCCAACAAAGTGGACCATAGCGTGAAGCCAAAGTGGGATTCGAGGAATACTCCTCTATTAAACAAAGAAAGCGCTTTGTTCTGTAGCCAGAAAGACACCAGCAGGACCTCAAAGGAACATTGGCCAGAAAGAGATGAAGCGGCAAAAACGGAAGGGATAAATCCCTCTTCCATATGCCATTTATCACAAGGAATAGCATCTCTAGATTCCTGGAAGAGGGTAGACTCCGTCATTGGAGTGTCCTTGGAGCCCCGTAAACCGCAAGGGTGTCGCTCTCGGATGACTCCTGCATCTATTCATTAGGGCAAACCGGCAGTTGAAGCAGGCAATGCGCTAGTAGTCACGGTGAGAATCTGCCTCAAGATTTGTATGTACTAGATAGGGCCGAAGAAGCATTCTGTCGCTGTGTGTCGACAGGGAATGGAAAATGAGCCAAGCATTCTGAGATAACTCGAACAAAGGAGCAGGGGCCAAGGCTTTGAGGACATGTCCTTTGTCATGCGCGCATTGGAAGAACCCGATAAACAGTCGGTTCCCGAAGGAAGGAGGACAATGGGCTTGAATAGGCACTTCAGATTCTAGCCCGTGATGGATATGGAGAATGACGGTCATCATTCAGTATGCCGCAGTGTAGAATGTGCGGAAGCAGAAGCCCAGGACATCACTTGTCAGTAGCATGTCTCTAACAGCTCCCAGCTTCTGTGTTTGATATTGGAATTCCCCGATCGGGAAACAAGAGGAGTTAAATCTACAAATCCCCAATAGCTGTCTTGTCTTATCAAGGAATCAATCTGTATATTTTTGGGAAGCTTTATTCTCAACAATATGTGTATATGCCTCTCTTGCTGCGTGACGTGTTGTTTGTCAAGTATTGTGGCGGTTTCTGATGTTGTCGACAAGACCCTACAATCTATCTATAGGGTTCCCTGGAGCAGAAGCTGTGTTTTCTGTGGGGGTTAGAACTGACGAAGATGGAAATGGCTGCTCCTTGAGGGTCTGATTGGTGAGCTTCGATGATTCCCGACGCCGTTTAAGCTGGGCTTGCACCAAACCAACTATGGGAGTCACAGGTGGTACAGCCCTCTTTTCACCAATTCCCGCCACCGGCCCAGACGCAGGGTCTTCATCCTGCGGTAGTTCTTCGACCAGTTTCTTCATGTGGTCCTTATTCTCAACCCGTCGGGTCAGGTATAGCTTGCCTCCTGTCTCGCGGCGTGTAAGGCGGCGCTTCCGAATGTTTTCGATTTGTTCCTTGTATGCAGTCTCATAGATGTCAAAGTCTGCAGCACCTGGGGATTCACTCACTATTGGAGTATGATCCACTGAGAGTCCAGGACCTGGGGTTTGTAGGGTTCCATCTTCCCAACTGTCTGGCTCCTCAAAGACACCGTCAGGAGTGGAATCAATTGCCTCACTAAACGTGCCAGTAAATGTAGAGGGCCCAATAAAAAGATACAGATGCTCTTCCTCCAAAGGATCCCTGGCATGTCCACGGGTTCCTCCCTCAACGCTATGTTTCGTGGCGGCTGAACTCGCTCTTGATAAGGGAGCTTTAGGGGATGATGATGAAGAAGCCCCAAAATTCTGCCGGTTGTCCGAATCTTGTCTGGTAGGCACGCTGTCAGGGCCTGGTGGCTGGTCTTCATCTTGTTCTTTAAGATGTTGGTCATGATAGCCACTCAAGACGAAATCGCGCTCCGGATGCTCTCTATTGTACATGTTTAGACTTTGACTCTTATTAAAGGCCGAAGCTCCAATTGCAGCAAAGCTCTCTTCCGGCTCCATCTCAAGAGGAGGTTGGACGAAATGGGCTTCATAATCTTGACCCAGAATACTTTGCATTGGCGGATCTGCTTTGTCTGGACCAAGAAGTCTTTTGAATTGCTTAACAGCTTTCATCTGCAGCAAAGCGTCAGCTCTAGTTGTTCCTGTATACAAAACAATGCACTGACATACCACAGTAAGAATACGACCTATATTCATTGTGATTGCGGAATTCATCTCTTCCTCTGTAGGGAGTCCGATGATCTCTGCGGTATTTTCTTCCTCTGGTAGTAGTGGATCCATGCCATTTTTGGTCACCCAGGGGTGTTCCTGTCATTCTATAAGCCGCGAACTCCTGTGGACCAATAATTATCAACTCACCCGTAGCTCTGGCATAGTAATCCTTTGAACCGGGTCCTTTTCCAGGATCCTATACATCAAGTCCTTGAAATTCTCGTCTGTTTCACCTTCGCAGACAACAGGGTCACTTCTAATGGCCTCGTAGAGATCAAAGATGCTCTGCCTTTCGAAGGGTAGTCTTCCATAACGTAGACAATATAGTGTGACGCCCATTGACCATATATCTGCTGCCCTACCAGAGACGTCTCCATGTTTTGCAACACATAGCTCTGGTGGAAGGAATGCCGGAGATCCAGCAGATTTGGCAGTGTACATGTTTGAATCCTTCTCAAACATTTCGGACACACCAAAGTCAACGACCTTTAGCACGTCATCACCGGTCAACAGGCAGTTGTCGGGTTTGATATCCCGATGGACAATGCCCTGAGCATGCAAGTATTCTATACCCAAAATCAGGTCCCGGAACCAACAGCGGCATCTCTCATCGTCGTAGGGATCGGCTCTCTCATCCAGTCCAACCTTCATTATCACTCCCTTTTTACACATCTCCATGACCATATATAAAGAATCTTCCGTCGGATCATCCAGAACCTCTATGAGTGACACGAGGTTACTGTGGTTCAACTTCTTCATAATTGCTATCTCTTGTTTGATCAGATGAAAGGCATTGCCTTCTTCTCCCGGGCAGCTTTCAGAGGGATGTCGGTGAAGCGGGGAATTAAAACCAGACCCAGGACGCCTGGAGCCTCGAGTGCGGCGCAGGACGTACGATTGTGCTCTTTTACGAAGTCGCGATTTGGAGAATTCTTTTACAGCCTGGTGCAAATTACTGTCAGTAAACAGCCAGCACTCCCTCCTTCGCCACCATAGAACTTCTCAAGGGGGAATAGGGGAGATCCTCACATATTCATTTCCAAACTGGTCAACGGCAAGATGCACCGCCCCGAACGATCCCCGTCCGATTTCCTGCTTTATCACATACTGGTTGATCTTGTGTTCAGCTGTGCCGTCATCTTGACTGGTGTAGTATTCCGAGTGAGCGTCGAGCGTTTCCTATTTCCCTAATCGTCAGCGGCTGCCTGCCAGGAAATCCCCAAAAAGCCAACCGACCTTGACCGGACGTCGAACGATGGGATTCCGACGATGGTGCCGTTGCGGACTGTCATATATAGGGGCCGACCTAGAGGGATAGAGCGCGTGCAACATCAGCATGAATTCAATTCCGGACATATGTGTTCATTCGCTTGTTCAAAACGGTATGACTGAGGAAATAATGGGAAGATTGAAGCATACGCGTATCGAGCTGGTCTCTTGCGTTGGAAAAAAGGCCTCCGGTCGAAAGCCCCGTAAGGCGGACGTTGGACGGAATCTGGATAAGGAGATTCTTCCTGCCCCGGGGTTTTGTCGGCCATTGAACCGAGAGGGGCCGTCGATATCGAAGGATAAGAAACTGGGTTGGAACGAGGAAAGAATTCGATCAATCTACCCCCTAGAATCTATACACGCTCGAAGGTTAGGGTCGGGTGTGGGGTACAGTATATATGAGGGGCGTAGGGAGTCACGGAGAATTTGAACGGGGAGGCGCGTGCATCGAGGATGTATAGTACGCACCTGCCAGATTCTTGGGCCGGGATTGTTATTAGATGCCTCTTGAACTAGGCTGCCCGGGAGACATCAGGAGAGGATAATAAGAATCAGCAAGGACGCCATTTGATGTGCAGTGCAAGTGCTCAGCAACCGCGGCGGTGGATTCTGTGCGCGGCTAGATCGAGATATGCCGATATCTACCCGTCCCCGTGACCCGAAATGGTCCCACCGCCCACGTGATTCTATCTGTTTCGTCCTAACTGCAAGTTCAGAGAACAAGCAGCTCGCATGGACGAACCAATAATGATACCAGAAGATTTCCCGGCCGTTGGCGATACAGATCCATCACATCGCTTCTCTGATGGACCGCTGGGGTGGACACGAAGACTTGTGCAGCGCTGCATTATCAGCACAGAGTCCTCTGTGCGAGCTCGCTGGATACCAAGCTAAACCCAAAAGGAGGAGTTTTGCACTCACATGATTGACAGGATGCAAGATAGTGGCACGCACCGCAGCCGTTGCAGGTACGCTGTCATCCTCTACCTAGAGTTACTATTACAGCGATTAAAGTATAGAATGAATTGTCTTGTGTTAAATTATACAGTGCTGAACTATCTGTAAAACCCAGCGAAGATTGTGTATGTACACTGTACAGTTCCCCCAAATACAGGTGTCATAACCCCCCATCAGTGCCTGTGCGAAGAGGTTCTAAACACTCAGGTTCCTGTCTATCCCGTGCGGGTAGACATCCTAGAGTTCCGGGAAAGTAACATCTCTTCCCAGAGACCGCGCCACCCAGTATCCCAGTGCCTGTCGAGCGATGTTGTTGTTTGACCAGTTGCGGTTGGGATGTACCCGGTGGCCCAAGAGGACGAAGAATGTGTTCGATGGCCTATCAATCACAATCGTTGTCCCTGTGAATCCTGTGTGACCTCCCGTCTGCATACTAGCCATGGGCCCAGAGAAGTAGTATTGGTTCAGTTCGAATCCGATCGAATGCTCGTCTCCCGGGAAATCGACGTTGAAGTTGGTGAACATCAATTCAATCGTTTCCGGCTTAAGTATCTGGATCCCGTTGTATGTTCCGTTGTTCAGAATCATCTGGCAAAACTTGGCTAGATCCGGAGCCGTGGAGAACAATCCCGCATGGCCGCTGACGCCGGCAAGTGACCATGCGTTTTCATCGTGGACTGTCCCATGTACGGGCTGAGGCCGCTGAGGCTCGACAGGACCTTGCCCTTGGACTTCCAACTCGTATTCCGTGGGGGCAATTCGCGGGTAGAAAGGAAAGAGGGGACCCTCGACGTCACCGCGATTGTAGAAGGTACTGGTCATGCCGAGAGGCGCAGTGATAGAATAGATGAGAAGATCAAGTGGGACCCCCGAAATCTTTTCCAGGAGGAATCCCGTATTGATGAAATTCAGGTCCGAATATGTATAAGTCGTTCCAGGTGCGTTGGCCAATGGATACCGGATGGCTGTTTCTCTGCGCTCCTCGAGCGTCGCATTATACCACAGGCCAGGTTCTGGGTCTGGAGGAAAGCCACTCGTGTGCGTCAATAGCATGAGTACAGTGACGTTCTCTTTCCCATTTGCTGCAAATTCGGGCATATACGATGCAACGGTCTTCTTGTAATCAAGCAGGCCATCTTCGATGAGTCGCAATGCCGCTGTTGCAGTGAATACCTTGGTTAAGCTGGCCATGTCGTATATGGTGTCAATGAATGCAGTGGTCTGTTCGTCTTCTGGAAGCAGTGTTCCATTGGCATCTGCATATAGCATTGCTTTTCCGAATGCAAACTCGCTGACGATTGCCGAATCATGTCCAACCACCACAGATCCACCAGGTTGAATGGGATGTTCCTCGTAGTTTGTATAGTACAAATAATTTGCCGAGCGCGTGTAATCGGAGATGTTCTTCTCCATTAGCCGCAGAGGTTCTGGGAGAAGCCCAACGGACTCAGGGGGCGCATATCGCAATGTCTGACCAAGACACGAGAGGGACCAGAAGGACAGCGAGAATAAAGTAGGAAGAACATGGCGATTGAAGGAAGCCATGGTGCAGGAGCCAGCCCGGAGATCTGCAATGAGAATGTCAAGCGTGTCCTTGCATCTTCTCATACAGTCACACGGAGTATTTATAGGCTATGCAGATATTTGTCAATGCTTGGTTTGCTTGATTCAACCTCCATCGACCGGAGAGAGCACAGTCGCTGTTGCAACGCTGTGGAGAGTCCAACCATACACATGGTTACTTTTGTCCGAAGCCTTATCGGATCTGCAGCGTTAATTAACAATCACGCTGCACGGCGAATTGCCAGTGATATCATTTGCCTTGGTGGTCTCATTCTTGAGATACCACCTCGTTTACGGAGTGTTGGCTGGTATATTCGACTTGCTGCTATGTGATCTGTGTTGATAGCCGAAATTTTCATCCTTCGCGGTTGCATTGTTTTGGTTTACACGGTACGGAGAGTTGCCGCAAACTCAATTACATGAATCTCTGCAGACCCAGCTCTGCGTCTGGAACAGATCTATGCTTGCCGAGGTCTAGGAGTGACAGCATCATTGACGGATAGATTGCTCGTCCAACCGAAATACGCAGGCCAAACAGCGAGTAGTGCTAACCAAGTGCCCAGTGGAAAATGATCATGAAAAATAGATATCGCCAGAAGGATCAACCGCGCGGTCTTCTAAAATACTCCAAGAAAACACCCTAAATACAGTCGTCAATAGTCGGTCAAATGTAATTTCTTCCCCACAACTCTCCGTTTCGCGGGCTTTTCTCCGCGTTCCCGTTCGGCCGATACTCCCTTGAGAGCATGCAGTAGCATTCCGGCATCGAAGAAACCATCTGTTCTCACTATTAGCCAAGAGGAACAACAACAACAACAAAAGATGACGGAAACAGAATCAAAAGGGACAGTAGTAACTTACATCCACCCATACCATCGTCATCTAACTCCCCACTGTCTGTTGTCGGTGTTTCTGTTCCACGCTGCGACACAATCCGTCCTCGACGGGGTTCGGTCTGGAACCGCTCCGCGAGCTGTTCCATCTCACGCGCCCGGCTAGTTCTTGGGCTGCGCACTCGGTGGTTGGTCGACCGTAGGAGTTTCCGGATCTCCAGAAGGTATGATTCGAGGCTATACATCAACCGACCTGTTTGTCTGTGCTTGGAGGACGCGCAGAATGAGATGGATTCATCCTTGATGATATATCCGATGCCGAAGCCGTCGGCAGACGTTGGCCCAAAACCAAAGTGTCGCAGCGACGGGTTGCCGCAGTTCGATGTTGATAGGATAGTGTTATTGATTTTGTCCCACCCGGAGTCGCTGAAAATGGTAGGTGTCGGAACAGTTGTAGCGATTCGGGCTCCGTTAAGGCCGTTAGACCCGTTGGAGAGGTATCCATCATCAGAAGGGGCCGAGGAAGGTTTCAAGGAGGGGGTAAGATTAGAGGCAACACCACTTTCAGCTGGACTAGAGGAGTAGCCATTTGAAGTGGTTACTTCACTGCTGTTTGAGGAGAAAAGTCCCTCTTCGAAGGAACGCTGCCAGAGGCAATACAGCGCGTAGAGGTGTCGATCCTGGCCCTGACCCTTGGAGCAATCCTTGGTTGTGGCGGAATGTCTTTGAGTTGCTTTCCTGAGCGCCTCTACCTTCAGCTCCGCTGGGTTGTCGCCCCAGAATATTTTGACAAAATCCAATGCCTCATCTGTGACCGACCTGATCGCCTCGGTTCGACCATGAAGGAAAGTCTTGGTCATAGCCGGTTCATATGTGTTCTCCACTCGCCCGTAGAGCCCGTAGTAGGCAGCTTGGAGGGCCATTTGGACGAAGGCATCTGGGGAAAGTCCCATGGATGTGATGAAGTTCTTCCCATACCCCTCAAAATCTAGAACCTCGAATTCGTGCTGCTGCAGGAGGTCAGCAAGGTGAGACTCGGCGAATCGCAGGGCTGTGCTGAGCTCCGGCGTCATGTCCCATTCCAGTTTCCGAGGCGTGGTGCTAACGTTGCCGAAGCTTCGGGGGTCACGTTTGGACGGATCCGGGCTGGATGTCACCCACATACTAGGTGCTTGGCCGTTGATAGACCGAGCGAAACGAAGGATGGTATCTGTGTAGATATCACTGGCAAACCGAAGCACCGTGTGGCCGTCGACACCGGTATGCTCAAAATTGATGCCGGCACTGCCGTTTTTGCACACAATGATCTGGAGTTTGTCATACCATCGATTGGTACAAGTTCCCGACTGCACACCTTTGACAACCTCGTTAGTACCACCGACCATATTTGCGCAGAGTTGTGCCGTCGTGGATGGCTCCGTGTAGTCCAGACAGAGGACAAAAAGCGCCGTATCGACAATGTCCAAGCATTCGGCATTGTTTGAGCCTTCATCCTTCGTCAGGATATCTCGCAAACCAGACCACACTTTGCGGTTCTCTGTGCTGAGTACGCCGATTGCGCCTTTTGCAGCCTCTTGGATTGGAGTGTGCTGGGCATCGTCGACGATAACCTGGAGATTGAGCGAAATATCTTTCTCGGTCATGATCAGGTCATTGTTATCGTCCAGTACATCAAACCAATAGAATTGACCTCGGCACAGAACTACAATGTGCTTCGCAGTGGGGTCGTGGCGGATGAAACATCCATTCTCGGTAGGAACACGAGCTGTCCCGAATAACCGGGAATATTGAGACATGCAGAGTGGTGTACCCCTAACTGTGTCAGGTGGCAGTTCCTCGCGACGGACAGCCCGAACAAAGTTCAAGGCAGACACGACGAGTGACGCTGCCCTGGTCACCTGGTCATTCCGCGCAGGCGTCGGGTCATCTTCCAGCAGGAAGAATGGATTGAGGTTAAGAACAACAGCTAATCCGCAGGTTAGAGAACAAGATCATTACAGGATACCGCGACAAACATCACTTACGGTTATCGTAGTTCAGGTACGAGTCATACCCTGCGAGACAAATTAGTCCTGAGATTGACACCACGAGGGATTTAAGAGGACATTCTAATGAAACGAGAGAACTGGGGGCTTGAAAACTGACAGAACTGCTCTATGTAGCTTGTCTGAGACGAGGCATAATTCTTTAGCTTCTCCTGAAGTACAGGACCATCTGTCCTAAGAAATTCATCCACAGCGGCCTTGGTATCTTCACGTTCACTCGGGGTCTGAAGAGGACGCAAAGCGTCGAGATACTTTCTGCAAGAGCTCTCAAGATCTGGGATGGGCAATTTTGGAAGAAGAGGTTGGTTTGCAAATGTCAACTTCTTCTCCTTTGGTGTTTGTCCCGGCACAGCAGGGGGCATGCTGGTAACCATTCCAACCGGTCGGGAAGCCACTGGAGGTGTGCAGTCATTCGCCGGCATCGGATCTTTGCGGGAATTGCTGCTGGGATGCTCCATTGAACTGGGGGACTTTGGTGTTGTTAAAAAACGGACTGCCATAGAGGAATATGACATGGTTGTCAGCAAAGGGCTTCTAGTCGGTCGCTCCAGGCTATGTGGGATGGCCTATGTAGATTGCTTTAAATGACAGGCAAGAACAGTGGGGATTGAGAGGAGACGTAAAGCCGTGCGGTAGAAGTAGTGGCAATCGTGTAGGCAGTATGGTGGCATTGATCGATTTACCGTCTCCACAATCAGACTGTAGAGTACGAGAGGAGAAAAGCGGGAGTATGAAGTCACAGAAAAAGATGTCCGTCTGGGGGAAGAAAGCACAAGAACAGGGGAAGTACGAGTATGGAGGGACGAACGGAGTTCAAATACTTGGAAGGGACATGGGGTCTGGGAAATCAAATGCGGATACCCCGCCGTTCTGGGGAATCAATTGGGCATGGGTGCTGGGGTTGCCTGCCATGATGATACTGATCAAGACGTACAATCACAAGGCATTCGGGCCTAAGGGTGAAAAATAACGCGGAGGAACGGGGGAGGGGCGGTGCTCACAGAGTATGATTGGAGAGGACAGACTTAGCACTGCTTGAAACACAGAGGTCCTTCTTTCTGCAGATGTGTACGTCCGAGGCTATCAAGCCCAGAGGGTATCGGGGGAACGGATTAGTTTTTGTTGGTAGCTGTGGATAACACAGAGCAATATGCCAGTCTGCATCCTGAGTCAGCCAGAGGTCTCATACGTCGTGGGAAAGACAGCATATGCCATGGGAGAGCGAGAAAATCGCCACCCCCAGACGAGACCTGGTTTCCTTGATTGGATGTATGTACCCTTCGCGGTTAGTCCTCAGTCCGATGGCAATTTACCGGACGAAGGCAAAGGAAAGTGCTCAAAGGCGTTTTCACATCCAGCTGCAGTGGAGGACGGATGTGGCAGAGAAAGATCCATAGCAACGCAGGCCATGCATACGTACATTATTGTTCTCCGCAAAGAATAATAGCAGTGATAAAGGATAATACCGAGTAGGTATGAATACTGACGACGACACTGGCTGGGAGGCTGAAGGGCCTATGCCCAGGATGCGAAGATATGTCCAATCAGACAAGACATTTATTTGAGCTTTATCCAGGATACTTGATGATCTTCGTGATGATGTTATTGTACCGTCTGTCCGCAGAGCAGGTACATGATAACCAAAGCTTGCGATTCGCCTCTTGCCTCGTGTCGTCGAAGTGGAGGCGCCCTTCTGCCAGTCTGGGCGCGGAGAAACGGCGGAGAATACCCGGAGAACTGGAGAAAGTCTGGGAATGATGAAACTGCAGCGAATAATGACGTTCGGGCGAAGGGAGATTTGCGGGTGAGCACTGAGAATTTAGCAACACTGGAGCAGCGACGATTAGTGAAGAAGCCCAGACGTGCCGCAACTCTATCGACTCTTAGCATCACGTGATATCCTGGTCTTCGTTGAAGCCTGCAGCGATGCGTCTTCCTCGCCAACCCGACAAGGACGGAGTAGATGGTCCATACAGCTGTACGGCTGGTGCGCTGTACAGTCGACAGCCCTCCTTCCACGCCGTCTTTATCCGTCCGAGCGTGGATGACATACCCGTGGGGAGATGGACTCCATGCGGAAGGGCTGCTTGCTGTAAATGGCTCAACCGCGTGAAACTCGGAACCGGTTGGAGAAAGCTCGGTATGGTTAGACCTATATTAAGGTTCTTACTTTATTTAGTCTGTTAAGGAGTGCGAGACCGAGACTTGAGCCGAGTTAATCCTCTTTACGACACACCTCGCTCTCTACATAATGGAACCTCGGCATCATAGCGTCATAGATCAAATATGGATGGAGGTCCCATCTCTGTGATCGCCAGGAGGCTTTCTCCCACGGCGTTCGTGACACGGAAGCCCTGAATAACGGAAAGGACTACATGTAGTGTGGGCATGTGTAAAATAAGTTCGCGGATATCTATGACGCGGAAATAGATGACCAAAATGACAGCTCACTCGAACCATCGTCATGACTGGAAATCTCAAGCACACGCCACATACAGGTCGCATCTCATCGGAGAAGCTTAGCCTTTTTCATCATCAAATCGTGTCTGCTTTTGGCATTGGATTGATTGATACCTACAGTGTTCCTTCTAGCATTACCTATTCCTTGCAGCGGACACCGCGTATGTCTTCTGCATCTCATTTCTCTCCCAGATATACTCTTTCAATGACTCTGGTACCTGCGCATCGCTCGTCAATCCACTAGCCACCGGTGCATCCAGATGCTCGTACAAGGGAACGACCCCAGTCCAAACAGGTTCCTCACGGTCAGGTCCGTCCTTTTCCACATCGCGCGGTTGGATCCCCGGGATTCCGCTGCGCGTTTTCAGAGAGCCTTTCTGGACGTCCACGCGGACGACTGTCACCAGGGACACCTGGAAGGAGGACACGGGATTCACCTCTTCCCAACGGCCAGCGACGATATGGTTCGTCACCTGTCTCATGATGTCTCGTTTCTGATCTCTGTCCGTCACTAGAGAGCAGGCGCCGTGGATAACTGAGGACCGGTAGTTGAAAGTGTGGCCGTTGGGGGCGGAAGAGAGGACCAGACCGTCGACTGTTGTTATCAATACGGTGCCTCTAGTACAGTTCACTCCGTATATGTTATGAAATAGTATAGGATATGGAAATCATACCTTTGGTGGCCGTGATGCATACCCGGAGGGGATCCGTCGCTTCCCGGCCCTCACTCGCACGACTCCGCACCAGTTCCATCAATCTCGTACTCGGGTGACCGTGCAGATAGACTGCTGCATTTTCATTTCCGCCGTCGCCCTCTACTCGAAACAAGGCAATCATAGGCAGACATTGCGGTAGTCCTTCATCCACGTACGAAACATGAGCGAAAAAGCTATCGGAGAAGATAGCAGCCACGGCATTCACGTCATACGTGGCACGCTCAGACTGTCTGCGAAGGGTCGACGGTTCCATGATTTCTCTTCTCGATTTCGAGCTATACGGTCCAATCGAGGTCTCATCAATTACAACGTAGGCTGCTAGCTTATATCTAACAATGACAGTCGTCGAGATGACGGAAATGCTCCGTTGCAGATAGCCAAGATAGCAACTTTTTAAGGTTCGCAACGCATCCAACCGCATTTCTATTCACAGCCGGTAGCGAAAATGCTTGTTCTCCAAATCCGTCATATCCTCAAATCCCTCTCGAGCTTCATCTTCGTCCTGCGCATGGTATCCCATGCGATCCCGATTACGGTTCTGGACGAAGCAGGTGGCCATGTACACCATCTGCAGCACTACGCAGGCCGCATAGCAGGTCTCAAGCCCTTTGATGGCGGACATGTAGCGCGGAGCTTCTCTTGGGAAGAACAGGTGTGGACCGGCAATATTACCAGCGCAATAGAATCTGAGAGAGTTAGGAATAAGACTCTCTCAAACAGTTTTCGCCGGAAACACTCACAGGAAATACAACGCGATGACGAAACCTCGCTTAGTATGTCCAGCGACATTCATCCCGACGATGGTCCAGCTGAGAACAACCGGGGATCCCAGGAAATTCTGGATCCACGCGCAGGCGACCAGATTATAGCGATTCTGGGTACTAATAGTCATAATTCCAGCGAGCCCAACAATCCCTGGAATGCATCCCACTATGGCGAGTTAGCGTCAATCACAGCAGACAAGATCATCACAAGTTCAACGTACAAATCATCGTCACGCCAGTCATATTCTTAAAGGTAGATATGTACCCCAAGATAATACAGCTCACAACTTCCACCGCACCGCCGGGCATCTGCAACAGAGTCGAGCGGATGGGGGAGAACCCGAAACCCTTGATCAGAGCGCTCATGAAGTTCGTGACACTGCCGTTGAGTATCCCGTAGGAGATGCCCATCAGCAGCATGAGGTATGTTTTAGGATCCAGAAGCGCTTCTTTGACCTGGTACATCAGGAACCGGGGGTGTTGCACGCCGGTTCTATTCTTCGAGATTCTCCAGACGGCGACGATGCGTTCATAGTCGGTTAGGATTCTTGCATTGTGTGGCCCGTCTGGGAGGTATAGAAAGATGACGGCAGCCCATATGAACGTCAGGGCGCCGACTACCTACGGAGTCCTATTAATGAGGGATACTACGAAAGGGAGAGATGAATAGTTATGATATGGCAAGCTGCTTACCAAGAAAATGAGCTTCCAGTTCGCAATATCCGCCTGGTCAGCATGTCCCAATCCCCAAGAAAGCAGTGCACCCAGAATATTCGAGACGCCATTCACGGAAATCCAGAATGAGGTGCGCAGTGGCTGCTCACTGCGCGTCCACAGCATGGAGGTCAATAACACCCAAGCCGGGGAGACGCAAGCCTCGACTAGACCCAGGAAGAAGCGAATGGCGAAGAACCCGGAGAAGTTGAATACGGTGGCTTGGAGCATGCAGAGAATGCCCCAGACGAACATGATGGACCCGACAAACTTGCCGACGGCGAAACGCTGCAGAGCTAGATTGGAGGGATAGGCACCGACGAGCCAGCCAAAGTAAAGAGCCGAAGCGACCCACGAGTAGTCGTCTCCTATCATATGGGTGTCCTTCTGAAGACCGTAAGCATTGGCGTAGTTAAGACTGCTCAAGGATCAATCAGCTCTCTGAACCATTTTCTTGACGGGTGATGGACCACGAGAAGTCTATGGGTCTTACGTCTGCTTGTCAAGAAAAGAAAGCATGTAAGTCGTCATCATCTATGGTGTTCCTCATATCAGCGATGCTCCACGCTGTAATAGTAGGGTTAAGCCAGATCCATACCATAGGAAGCACCACAAAGTCTAGCTTTCTGCGGACCTTGACGGCGTCTCTCTCCAACTGGGCCGGGTCATACTGCAATGACTGCTCAAACACTCTACCTGCGACGTCGACGTGGATCTGGTCTGCAGTCGTCAGCTGAGTGACTTCTGGTGTCTGACTCTTTTCGATATCGGCCATAATTGTCCAAACTAGTTCGTATACTAGTGAGCCTTGATATTTCGATTGGAAATATGATGATGATATTATAAAAACCCCCGTCTCGTTTCCTTCGAGTCCATCGGATACATACACATGTGAACTTCATCGCGACTTTATACCCCGCACTATCTTTCCTCTTTCATATCAACAGGATGCCCTATAGCCAAGCTGCAAAGATAGCATGAACCTCAAAAAATCCAGATCTGCGGCCAGTACGAGGACATTCCCTCTGATAAGAGCGTTGAGCCTGAGGAGGCTGGATTATGATCTTCCCAGCCGGACGATGTTCAACAGGGATTCTCGCCATTTCCGCCATACAAAGCTATCTTGGCTATCAGCGTCCAATCGCTTCAAGGGGGAGCTGTCTCATCTTCGCCTATCCCGGTCAAACTAAACCCCGCTTCGATCAAGAGGTTAATTGCTGTTGCTATCGGACTGCCGATATGCGCTGCTCTGTGATGCTGTATGCTATCAGATCCAGGGTTCTCCACCTCGGACATCCTCCTTGGATACTGTTTTTGAACTCTGCGCGGAATAACGACGCAGGTAAGAAAACAATACTCCATAGTTGCTGCATGTGTTTCGCGCATTTGTTGATTATTCTTTGCTTGAATTGCGTTGTTGGCTGTGCTGGAAATTGAATAGGAAGACACATATATATATGTATATACAACCCATTTGGGACCTCCAGTAGTGCTTCTCAATTTAATCCTTGCACTCCTCGCCTTATCCACAAATCCGTTCTTCCCAAGAACATATCAGAAGTTGTTAGTGCTGTGAAATAAAGAAGGAAAGAAAAAAGATGCCCGCCCGTCTATGGACCGAAATCCACTTCGCCAAAAAGGCAGAACAGGAATCCCGGATCCCCGCAGAATGGAAATTATCTCCCGAGTTCCTGGCTTCGCATAATGACGCGGTTGATCTGCGTCCCCTTGCTGCCCTGAGCGGAATCCTCACGGAGAAGGATCTGGAGATCACGGACGGGAAATACGATGCGACGGGTCTGGCGGAGAAGATTGCCAGTGGTACCTACTCGGCGGAGGAGGTGGTGACGGCGTTCTGTAAGCGGGCGGCCATTGCACAGCAGATGTGTAATTGTTTGACGGAGATCATGTTTCTGAACGCAATTGAAGCGGCGAGGAAGTTAGATGAGGAGAAGAAGAGGACGGGGAAAACAGTAGGTCCGTTGCATGGGATCCCAATGACTTTCAAGGTGGGTGGTACAGGGCCTTCCATTTATTATTTCCAGTCACAATCTGAGAATGAAGTATGCTGATTTTGGTCGGCTTGTGAAAAGGAATGTTTCCATGTCAAGGGCTACGATGCTAGCGATGGCTATATCTCCAGGGCTTTTGACCCATCCACCTACGACAGCTACCTGATTGAGCTTGTCCGCGAGGCTGGAGCGGTGGTGATTGCAAAGACGAACACGCCGCAGACGATGCTAGTAGCCGAAGCGCATAATAACGTCTTTGGACAAACGAGGAATCCAGTCGTCTCGCATCTGACTTGCGGAGGGAGCAGTGGAGGGGAAGGGGCAGTTCTGGCATTCCGAGGCAGCGCGATTGGTATTGGGACTGATGTAGGAGGGTCTATTCGGTGAGTGGAATAGAACCCATTCGGGATCCCTACCTTGGACAACAAGGAGCCGGAGAAGCTGACCACAACTAGCGTCCCTGCAGCTGCTAATGGAATATACGGCTTCAAACCCTCTTTTGGAATTCTTCCCATGCTGGGGTACGCCGCCTCCAACTGGGTTGGCATGAACACTGGAATTCCAGCTGTGTGCGGTCCTATGACAAATTCTGCCCGCGATCTCAACCTTCTCTGTACCGTGGTCCGCGAGAAGAAACCATGGCTAGGCGACCCAGCTTTGATTCCACAGATCTTTGAGCATGAGCTGTCTGATCGTCGTCCGATCGTGGGTGTCATCCATAAGAGTGGATTGACACCACATCCACCAGTTGAACGAGGCATAAAAGAAGCAGCTGACAAACTAGCCCAGGCTGGTTATGAAGTTAAAGAATTTACACCAGTTGATTTTGCGGAGATCCGCAAGGTCACAGCCGAAATGTTCACGCTTGATGGACTGTCATATCCCAAACAAGAGTTAAGCAAGGCGGGGGAGCCAGTGGTGGAATCTGTGAGGAAAATTGGCTTCTGGGATAGACAGCCCAAGAAGCCCGAGGAAATGTGGAGCTTGAATGCACAGAAGTTGAAGATGCAGAAGCAGATGCTGGACCGATGGCAGGAGGCCAAGGTGGACATCGTGCTGTGTCCAGCTGGGCCACATACAGCAGTGAAGCCATCAGACTGGTCGAATGACCAATATACGGTAGCATGGAACGCAATGGATGTTAGTGAATGCTGGCTTTGTCGGCTCAAGGAACGAGACAGTTTGACAGTTTGCTGACAATGCATCCAATGACATAGTACCCGGCTGTTATTGTTCCTTTCTCGACCGCAGATCCAGAGAAAGACCCGAAGAGGACCGAGTTCTCGCCTCTCTCAGAAACAGATGCGCAGATCCAGGCATTGTGTGAGTGGTGTTGCTAATCCCTGGTGCCGAATAGGCCCTGCTAACAGATGCAGACGATCCTCAGCTAATAGCAGGGGCCCCGGTAGCCCTGCAGTTCGTGGGACCTCGACTAAGCGACAGACAGCTGCTGAAGGACGTAGAGTTGATCGATCGAGTGCTGCGTGGTTAGACGGACAATCTGCATATAAGCACTCCAATAAATATAGACATTCATGGATACCTTGATACACTCAGCATCGATATTCTGTGATCGGCCAAGAATCCAACAAACAGCATATTTCTGTATATCCAGTCCAAGCAATCCTCTCGATTCAAAGTTCCGTAGAAGCCAGTTGCATCAACACAATCGTTATCGTCGACGGTGGAACCACTTCAACGAGAACGCAGCGTATATCTATGCCATTGCAAATGACCCGAGCCCACTGGGACCGATAATAATGCCCGTCGCTGATACGTCTGTCATCCCACATCGGTTGCATAACCCGAGTGCTCGCGAAACCATCCTCCTCGTTCACGGTGGCTTCTCCAGCGCGAAGGAATAGGACGGGGTGGTGTCAATCTTGACGGACGCGGGCTACTATCTGCTTATCCCCGGCCTCCCAGGCCATGGAGACTCCGTTCACATTCATCCCTTCGAGGTGGAAGACATTGCCCGTCTCCTGGTACTGTTGATTGAGACCGAAGCCCGTGAAGGAGCCGCCCATGTGGCCAGCTCAGCATTGGCTCCCATGTTGCTGCCTGTCTTGCTGCGCAATACCCTCTGCGAGTGCGGTCCCTGGTGGCATCCGGCTTTCAATCTTTTCACCCCGAATATAAGGACTCCATTCATGCCGCCATTGGTCTACCTGGTGCAGCGCGGTAGCGGGCTGGTCCAAAGCCCTGACGCAGAGTGGCGACAACTATGTGATGGCCAGGTATCCCTGGCCGTCACGCGTAGCATCCTCAACACCTTGCATCGAGGAATTTAGAACCGATTCCAGTCCGCATATTGGTCATCGCTGCTTCCAACGCAGGTGTCTCAGCGGACAGTGTTGATCATTCACGACGAATGGTTAACATGATAACCCCGAACAAGGGCAGCAAGCTGGCCCAGCATCGCCAAATGCGCCATATCTGGAACGTGGACGCCCCGGAGCTCTTTGCAGAAATAATGTGGTGTTGGATTTGCCTGTGAACCGTTACCCGCAGGGGTTGAGGAACTTTGATATGTAACATGGTATAGGTATATGCATTGGCCGTCTGTTATATTCGACTCCTACTGTATATACCTCGCATGTAGGTAGACCGTCATGGATAGATACATTCTCGTTTGCTTGTGCCGTTGTATCGCACTTAAGAGCATGTGGCGGGAAGCAGACTCGCATCAAGTCCGACACAGCGTCGCTGTGATTCCGAGAAGTTATTAAAGGGGTCCTGGCGGTCTCTAGTAAACAGAAGAGAAGCAAGAAGCAATGGATACAACATGTTCTCACCCGGAGTACAAGACAGGAGGCATGTCCCCAGAAGCTGTCCAGGCTGCGACGGGCGCCCAGTTCGGCGGGGGAGCGTCTTCGATTGCCTCTCCCCTGTAAGAATGGATCATCGTCCTCGTCTTTCCTTTTCCCCGGCCTCACCTCATTTCTTTGTACTGCCACCATCTTAATTTATCCCATGGCCATCATCGCAATCTCCAAGCATCGCCAATGAATCATGTCCTCCAGCACTCCTCCTCTCAAGCGATCGTCGCACGAAGCCGGCCTGGACTCCCCCGGGCGTCGCGACAGCATCCCCGATTTCAGTGAACGGCCCCTTCCGAAGATCTCCAAAGCCCGCGCCTGTGAGATGCCATGTCTAGGGGAATAATGTGGCCAGCCTATAGACGCTAATCAGAAGCCCGTTTCAGGCGCCGAGTGCAAACGCCATAAGATTCGCTGCGAGATCAAGCCTGGTGAAAAGAGCTGCGCAAAATGCCTTCGAGGTGGGCTCAAGTGCGTCGTCAACGACTTTTCGCAGAAATTCGTCGACGATGACGGGGTGTAAGTCCTAATGCCGTGCTCTTAATTCCACCGGCCTTCTCCTTTCTGATGTGGTGATGTGGTGACTGACTGGTCCTGTCGTTTATTCCACCGTACCAGCTGGAAATCCCATGCGGCAGCCACAATTCAACAGCTTCAAGCAGCCGTGTCGCATCTCCTCCGTCAAACTGGACTACCTGAGCTTTCCACCTACCCCTCTGGCGACAATCGAAATGTACCCAGTCCCGCCACATCCAATCACACCCAGCGACGGTCGCTCGATGAGTCGCATCCAGCTGCCACGCCTGTAGCCCAGAATGGCCCGGGGATCGCAATGGATATAACTCGAGAGGCGTCCCAGGAGCCAGATTTCCAAGGCCCAGACCTTGTGCCAGCTCCAATGCGAAGCCTCTACGAAGTGACGAAACTACGAAATCTGCGGAATAATCCGGGACAGAAACCGAAACAGACGCTCCTGGAGGAGGATTTCATCTCCCGGGGCATAATTTCCATCCATGAAGCGGAAGAGCTCTTTGCGTATTTCAGCCGGACCATGAACCAGCTCCTCTGGGGCGGCATCATTCTGGTGCACCGCGACCTCACGTCAGTACGCCGAGCGTCGACTTTACTTTCAGCTGCCGTCCTCACCGTCGCTGCTCTGCATATCCCGAACCGAACGGCGACCTTGAACCGATGCTACAGCGAGTATGTAACCCTCGTGTCTAACATGTCGCTGGCGCGCTCCCATACCCTGGACGACATCCGCGGTCTTTGTATTGGGGCTTTTTGGCTACCGGAGCTTAGCTGGAAGCTTTCGGGGCATGCGGTACGAATCGCAACGGAGATGGGGCTCCATCAAAGTTACCAGAAGCTGATGCGCGGTCATCGTGATCAGTACGAGCGTGCGCAGCTCTGGTACCTTCTCTACGTATGCGACCATCATTTCAGCATCGCATATGGTCGGCCTCCAGTCATTCACGAAGATGTGGCTATCAAAAACTACGAGACCTTCCTTCAATCGCCTTTGGTTATACCAGGAGACATCCGCCTAATGGCGCAGGTCGCCCTGTTCATGATCTTGACCGAGGCGTATCGGATATTTGGATCAGATACAGAGCGCGCCCTAACAGAGGAGGATTTTGGTCAGCTGCGAGTATACAATGTCGCCGTCGACCAGTGGCGGCTTCTCTGGCAACCCCGATCAGGTGTGTTTGACCTCTGCCCCCCTACGATGACGCCTTTCTGACTCTATCTACTCGACAATAGCGGACAGTCCGTATGTGCGTACATACCCCTCCAAAGGAGTGGTGCTGCACTATCACTTTGCCAAGTTTCAACTCAACTCGCTCTCACTCCGGGCCCTTTCACCGTCGAACACCCCCGTCTTCTCCATGGACCGCAAAGAGTCTGCCAACATCGCCATCTCTTCAGCAATGGCTTGTCTCAATCTGGTCCTTGAAGAGCCCGATATTCGAGATGCCATTGTTGGCGTCCCCATCTTCACGCACACCATGGTCACCTTCTCGGCCCTCTTTCTCCTCAAAGTGGCGGTGAACTGGAACTCAGCCTATTTCAGCATCGATGGGCGCCAGGTGCGTCGCCTCGTCCAGCGGGTGATCGATTTGATGAACTGCGTCTCCGCTGGGGAAAGACATCTGACTAGGCATATTGCACGGGGCTTGGGGAAAATTCTGGAGCGGTTCGACGCGTGGGAGACGGCGTGGCATCAACCTATTGCGGGCGGAGCAGGAGTGGACGATGGCACCGTTAACCGCAACGGCCGCGACATTCAGGATGGAGCGAACGCTCTGGCGCAGGTCTGTCCTCCACCGGATCTCATCTACGACATGGTAGGCACGTACGGGTTCGGGTTGGATGAGAGCCTGCTGGATCCGAGCCTGACGAATTTCGAGTTTTGGGGACAATAAAGGTCTTTTCTTTTGTTTATTTATTTATTTTATTTTTTATTTTTTATTTCTTTTTCAGCTTTGGATAGATACCCTGCGATGAACCGCTTATACATGGACACATGATTCTGTTTCTAATGCTCGTTCGATGCCGAGTGCTGATAGATAAACCGTCGCAGGTGTATTGTTTCACATCAGCGCATTTGACAAGAGTATTGTTCCAGATTAACACCAAAATATGTCATCAGGAGATGCACCCGTCATTACAAGCAAATGGCCGCATAGTGCACACGGCTCAAGGCAGATTGAACGAGAAAGTTGTCCTGTCAAGAGTTGGTTCTTGGACCTGGAGAATGATCGGAAGACGAAGGACTGCCATTTCCGACTTGGACTAAGCTGCACCTGGGGTCCGGACGGCTCTGTCACATTCCAAGCCTTAACGTTACAAGCAAGCGAACCCCATGACTCGACAGGAGCTCGTCTCTGCGGGTTTGCAGGGGAGTGTTTTCGTTCCAGGCGCCACGGCATTACACACTAGACCCATAGAAAGGAATTTAAAGGCGAATTCCAGTGCTCCTCCGCACGCCGTGCCCATCAAATATTATTGCCATTGGCAATCGAGGATGATTAGGCTCCTTCCGCTAAGGGCTTAGGGCAGCAGCATAGCCGACATGGTGTCAACTACGCTTACTTCGCATGGCTTGGCTGACACTGTCGAAAAAAATTGAAATCCGGCTTGACGGAATACGAACCAACTGTTTCGTCATTTGTTTCTCCTTTGGTCGCCAGAGAAGCCTTCCTTGACTGCTGCGATAGGAGTTCTCCGTGCAAATACTGCGTAGGGTGGTATTACATCGCCAGTGGGGTAGGTAGAAACGGCCGAACAAGTGGGGAGGGAGCATGCTGTGCCTGTTGAAACTTGACTGGGGACATGCAGCAGGGTGAAAGGTGCAGTTGGCCAGAGATGTGTCACTTCGGGGCTGCTATTATTATTATTTGTGCTGATGTTGGTCTTGTTCAGTGGATGCATGTCTGAGCGAGACAAGGTCTATTAATACATCCATAATATTTTTAGTCTGATTACATTTCATAATTATCCAGCAGAAAGCAGAAATGCGACTTACTCCGTACGGAATAATTACTACGGCTACTACTACTACTACTACTACTGCTACTACTAGCAGGCCCGTGGGGCGTTGTGTATGCCGTAGACAAAGGACAGGCTTTCTTTTTTCCCTTCTCCTTTTTCTCCCCGTCCGCCAACCTTGCGGCTCTCCGGTCTCTCTACCGGCGGAGGTCTCTTCAGTCGCCCCCCTTGTGATATATATATATATATATATATACACATATATATACATACACATGTACCCTGGATGCGTTGGTGGTAATTATCATCCCCTTCCTCTGCTCAGAAGCCGAGATGCTGACGCGATGAGTTGAGTTCCGCAGAGCTGTCTGTCTCCTGATTTTTGTTCACGATGGCTTCCCAACCTCTCGACCATCCTCCCCCTCCAGCTCCAGCCCATCTCCGCTCCCCTACGCCCCTACATCCTCCCATAGATGTCCCTCCACTCCCGCCAGTACAAGACCGGGGCCCCAGGACGCCGACCTGGGAATCTTCCCTGGCCCTGCGACGGAAACATTCTCCCGCGTCTCCACCCCCGATTGACCCAGATCCCCGGATTCAGAGCTCGCCCGTCTCCCCCGTGCGAGTCGACGCCATCCTGGCCCTCCCGGAGGCGTCCAGTGCTACCATCGAAGATCCCCCGGCTGGCTTCCAGAATGCCCCAACTCCGCCGGCTCCTGTCGCTGTCGGGAGCCGGGTGAACGAAGAAGACTCCGAAACGGCACTGCCTCCACGGAGAGACCCTGTCCCGCGTGCTCGGGCCGGGCAGCACACTCCGGTCAGCAGCGGCTCTTGGTCTGTTGTTGATGCTCAGAGTGGTGTTGGTACTGTCGGTACCCCCGGGGAACAGCCGCCATCATCCCAGCACGGTGAACCCCGTGCTACTGCGCCGGAAGGCTCGTCGCAAGGTAGTATTGCGAGCGCGGCGGAGACATTCGAGGACTTTGAGCCTCTGCATTACCACCACCAACCCTACCAGACTTCCAAAGGGGCGTCGAAATCGCCGGACAATGGCGCGGGTTCTGGGTCGGGCAACCGTCTGAACGTGACGCGTTCTGGAATCTATCGACCGGCTTCTGTCTACTCCCTCTTGTCTGACCGCCAGTCGCCGCAGCTCTCACCCTATTTGAAACCCCGAAACTCACCCGATGCCCGCCCGGTATCGTTCGTCGACCTTCTCAACACTCCCTATCCGCAACCCGCTCCTGCACCGGCCCAGTCGGGGACCACCGCCTATCTCCGATCATCGCTGGGCAATTATGCCTCATTGCTCAGCCACCAGCAGACGTTTAACATGTACCTAGCAAACGTGAAGAAGACCGACGACCCAGCCGTTCAGTACGAGTTCGCTGTGTTCTTGGTGAATTCCATGCATGAGATGCCCCCGGAGGAGCTCCATGACGGCAGTACGTCGGGAGACACTGAAGCGGACTCGGAGATTACGCGGGCTCGGCTCTTGAAAGAGGCCAAATCCATTCTCCAGCGGCTGGCGGACCGCAGTTATCCATTCGCGCAGTACTATCTCGGCGACGGTTATGCGTCCGGGTTGTTTGGGAAGGATGTCGACTACGGCCATGCCTTCCCCCTGTTCCTGGCCGCCAGCAAACATGGCCACGTTGAAGCATGTTACCGTACTGCCCTTTGCTATGAGTTCGGTTGGGGCTGCCGGATCGACGCGGCCAGGGCCGAGAAGTTCTACCGCTACGCAGCATCTAAGAATCATCCCGGCGCCATGCTGCGTATGGCCAAGGCCTGTCTGGCGGGACACATGGGTCTGGGGAAACGGTACCGGGAAGGCGTCAAGTGGCTGAAGCGCGCTGCGGAATCCGCAGATACACAGTATAACTCAGGGCCCTACGAACTGGGCCTGCTACACGAGACGGGATTCGGGGATGATGTCTTCCCCGACCCGTCCTACGCGGCGCAACTCTTTACCAAGTCGGCCGATCTGGGGAATTTCGAGGCGTCTTTCCGCATGGGGGATGCCTATGAACACGGGAAGTTGAACTGCCCGCGGGATCCCGCGCTGAGCATCCACTTCTACACAGGCGCTGCTCAGGGTGGACACCCATTGGCCATGATGGCACTGTGTGCATGGTACCTCGTCGGGGCGGAACCCGTTCTGGAGAAGGATGAAGGCGAAGCATATGAATGGGCCAAGAGGGCCGCAGGGCTTGGTATGCAGGCCGTTTTTCTTTTCCGTGGATCTTGTATGAACTGGTAACTAAATGTTTGAACGATCAGGGCTCGCTAAAGCACAATACGCTGTTGGTTATTTCACGGAAATGGGCATTGGCTGCCGTCGTGACCCTCTGGAGGCCAACGTTTGGTATGTGAAAGCAGCCGACCAGGGCGACGAGCGAGCGATACACCGGCTTGCAGCAATCCGGGCCGCTGCCGAAGGGGCCAACCCGAAACGGGCAGCGGCGGGTGCTGTAGCTCGACACAGGAAGCAGAAAGGTAGGGTTGTGGGTTGTGTTTCAGAATGTCGCGTCTTTTTTCCGCTGTTGAAGAGGGCTAACTTTCCACGAAGAAGAAAACGCAGCTGGAAAGTCGAAACGATTCGGATTATTCTAGTACATAAACATGCATATCCACACGGTACATACAACTGACGACATGACACAAACAGCGTTATTCGATTAGACGCGAGAACGGGGAAAAAGGGGGGAGGCGAATCTCATATACTGCTAATATTCCCTTTTTTTTTTTTTTTTTTTTTTTTTTGAATATTCATGCATTCAAGGATCATGTTCTGGGTTTAATGCATAATTAACATCGGGCATAATATCTAGCTGGGTACATTTGAACATGTTTGTCTCTGTCTGGATTTCATGGTTCGGAGTTTGAAGAGATACCAACGCTGCAGTCTTGGTTAATTATTTTTTTGGCATGGTTGGGTTGTGTACTTGGAAAAGAACGAGCATACAAGAATGAACCGTTGTTCTATAGGGATAGTTTCGACGCATATGGTGTAATTGCAGTTGGGAGTCAGGGCAGGGAGGATATACTACGGACTCATGTCGCACACGGTAGAGTGAGTGCTTCCTGTGACACTCGTCAGGTCAGACAGAAACCAGCAGTGCCTTTGATATAGCCAGGATGATAGGACAGGAAATGCCTATTTACAGGGAGCTCCATATCAGTGTGGTGTCAATACCCGGTGGAGTTTGCTTTGACCCTATTATAACCATCTTCTGCAATGGCTCATCAATAGTTTCCCGGCCACAGAATCCGAAGCACATCACGTCCAGGGCCCTGGACAGACGCTGGAAAAATCAGAACGTGTCATCTGAAGCGAAGCATGGAAAAACACTTCCCTGGTTCTGGAGGCTTCCGATCTCCTGATGCCTTGGCCGGACGCGAGTCAGGACCCCGCGAGGAGCACCCAGCGTCTGTGAGACGCACTCTGAGATTCCGTGATTGGGCCTGCATGAGCTGGTCGCCATGGCCATATCCATAATACCTATAGTCCGACCATGATGGACGGGCCTCTGCTGGACCTGGGGCGTCAGTGGCTTCTCAGCGAGATAGTACATGCACCATGGAGCTTCGTCGCGCGTCAAAGCATCTGATCCCCAACCTCCCGCATTCGCCACTCTCTCCCCCCCGCATTTCCCTTGTTATGATCATGACTGCTGCATTATTATTATAAGAAGAAGATCCGTCGAGCTGCTGCCGGTGCAATTGGAACATCTCCCGCCCTGCTTCTCTCGGCCCGCTCCAGAGGCTCTCCAGCATCACCTTCCTTGTTCCTCCATCCTTCCTTCTTCTCTTCACCACTACCCTGCTTTGAGGAATAAACAGAAACATGGCCAGTGACGAGAATGGCTCAGAGCCCCCCAAGCGAGATGTCCATAACCATGTGTTCTTTGAAATCGCGACCGAGGTTGCTAACCGGGGTGCGATGCTATTCCTCCCCTCCCCCAGATTCATGCAGCACACAGGCCACTGACGTAAACGGGTGATTGATTAGTCGGTGGCATTTACTCCGTCTTGAAGTCCAAAGCGCCTGTGACAACTGCAGAATATGGCGAACGGTATACCCTGATTGGACCTCTGAACCGGGCCTCAGTGCGCATCTCCCGTCTCCATCACCCTCGCCAACGGGCCATCGTGCAATCGCTGACTTGATTTTGCACTTCGTCCAGGCTGCCGTCGAGGTCGAGGAATTGACTCCCTCGAACCCGCATATGCTGGAAACAATCACCTCCATGCGAGAGCGAGGCATTGACCTGATCTACGGCCGCTGGCTCATCGAAGGCGCTCCTCGAGTCGTCCTCATCGACACCGGGACGGGATACAGATACCTGGATGAGTGGAAGGGAGATCTGTGGAACACGTCTGGCATCCCGTCACCTGCTGCGGACCACGAGACCAATGAGGCCATTGTGTTCGGTTATCTGGTGGCATGGTTTCTAGGAGAAGTCTGCTGCTTTCCCTGGGTTTGCTCTTGTTGAACTGATGCTGACGGATTTGGCTCAGTATATTGCCCATGAGCGGCACCGTGCCGTCGTCGCGCAATTCCACGAGTGGTTGGCAGGCGTTGCTCTGCCGCTGACCAAGAAGCGCCACATGGATCTGACGACCATTTTCACCACCCATGCAACCTTGCTGGGCCGATACCTCTGCGCCGGTTCGGTTGATTTCTACAACAACCTACAGTACTTCGACGTAGATGCAGAGGCCGGGAAAAGAGGCATCTACCACCGGTACTGCATAGAGCGGGCCGCAGCACACAGCGCGGACGTCTTTACGACCGTTTCCCACATCACGGCGTTTGAAAGTGAGAATCTGCTCAAGCGAAAACCAGATGGGGTGTTGCCCAACGGGCTGAATGTCAAGAAGTTCTCTGCAGTGCATGAGTTCCAGAATCTGCACCAGCAGGCCAAGGAGAAGATCAATGCTTTTGTCCAGGGGCATTTTTACGGCCACAACGACTTCGATCTGGATAACACCCTATATTTCTTCACAGCCGGCCGGTACGAGTTCCGAAACAAGGGCGTTGATATGTTCATCGAGGGTTTAGCCCGCTTGAATCACCGCCTCAAGGTCAACGGGTCCAAAGTTACCGTCGTGGCATTCATCATTATGCCTGCGCAGACATCGTCACTCACGGTCGAGGCGCTCAAGGGCCAGGCTGTGGTGAAATCACTGCGGGAGACCGTCGAGATGATAGAAAAGGACATTGGGAGGCGCATCTACGAGCGCAGCCTGGCGTGGAAGGAAGGCGACAATATGCCGGATGAGAAGGACCTCATTACAAGTCAGGACCGCGTCCTGCTGCGACGCCGGCTCTTTGCTATGAAGCGGCATGGACTCCCTCCCATTGTCACTCACAACATGGTCAATGATGCCGAGGATCCCATTTTGAATCAACTGCGCCGCGTTCAACTCTTTAACCACTCATCAGACCGCGTAAAGGTTGTCTTCCATCCGGAGTTTCTCAACTCCTCCAATCCCGTCCTGCCCCTTGATTACGATGACTTTGTGCGTGGCACGCATCTGGGGGTGTTCCCATCCTATTATGAGCCTTGGGGTTATACGCCAGCAGAATGCACCGTCATGGGCGTCCCCAGCATCACAACCAACCTCTCTGGATTCGGCTGTTACATGGATGAATTAATCGAGAATTCCTCTGACTACGGAATATATATTGTGGATCGTCGAACAAAGGGAGTGGATGATTCAGTAAATCAATTAACCGATTTCATGTTTGACTTTACAATGAAGAGCCGACGACAGCGAATCAACCAACGAAACAGAACAGAGCGCTTGAGTGATCTGCTGGACTGGAAGCGAATGGGTCTGGAATATGTCAAGGCTCGTCAACTGGCCCTGCGAAGAGGTATATTCTTTTTTGCCCCCCTCCCCCCCCGTCGGACATGCTCGGACTAACCACGATGGTTGCAGCCTATCCATCATCCTTTGACGGTGCCCAGGATTTCTATGATATAATCGGAGGAACAGAGCAGAAGCTCTCACGGCCATTGTCTGTGCCAGGATCTCCGAGGGACCGCTCAGGGGTGATGACTCCAGGAGATTTTGCATCACTCCAGGAAGGTCGGGAAGGGCTGAGCACGGAAGACTATGTCGCATGGCGACTACCGTATGTGCCGAACTAAACTCCCGATGTGGATTTAGAATTCATGCTAATTTACCATGACGAAATGACAGTGAAGAGGAAGAGCCGGACGATTATTACTACCCACTGACTCTACGGACGAAGAGTGCGGCGGATCGCACTGCTTCGCCGTTGGACAGCGTATCCGTTAACGGGGGTGCTCAGAAACAGTGACAGCCCTAGGAGGATGCATCTGCACAGCATAGCGTACGACTTATTTCCCGATGCTTCAACTTCCGATATTTTCGAGTTTATAATTCGAGCATTCCATAGAAATAGCACCTTCATTTCTTTATCTTTGTCGATGATGACTACTACTACATGAGAAAGAAGATTAGCTAGCTTTTTAGCGCGCACATGGGCAATCATTTAATATACCCAGGATACACGTTGGATGTTCAGTTCTATACCTCAGGTATTGGCTATAGTAGGTAAAAATTAAAGCATTTCTTTCCTGCCTCATCCAGCTTTCCCTTCGCTAGTTTAGCTCCCACAGCTGAGCCCTAGTTGACCACTTGTACGTACTCAAGTCGTCGGGCTATTTCCAGCGGCATAATCAAGAACCTGAACTATACTGTAGATACTAGAAAGATATGAAGACTATGCTGGAATGGTTTAGATAGAATCAAGAGTACGTTAGGAGGCATGGAGTGCGTATATTGAACGGCTAAGACGCTCTATTAGTATTAATTAGTTATTCTATAAATGCGCAACAATGGAAACTCCTCTCTCCTAGCCCGAACCCGTAAAACAAAAGCTTTTCTGCGGCAGATAATTATATATACCAAAGCCCCAAAAGCACCTCATGCTGGGGCCGATTCAATACCCTTTTCCCATCCAAGACGCCGAAAAAGACAGACACAAACCGAAATCGAACCTCCCACCAGTATTGAATCCGGCTGACGGCAATTGTGACACCATCAGTCAGGATCATAATGGGGATCAAACATATTAGTTAATTTCTGCTTATAGTCGCCACAGTTTACCTGCACAATTTTCTGCTTCCCACCATCCTCGATGATCAGGGCTGTGAGCTTCCCGCCTTTGTAGCAACCAGTGTCAAGGCCCTTGGTATATGTCTTCAGTTGAAGAGAAGAAGCAGAATCATGTCCGTAGATGACAGTTGTGAGTCCTGCCTTGGGATTCTGGGGGGAGCTCTTTTTGAGTTTGGAGTAGAGAATGGATTGGTACTTGTTGAATAACTAAAACGGAATAGTTAGCAGCATGGACCATACAAGTATAGTCTGGAAATAAACCGACCTTTGTCCAAGGTGTTCCGTCCGATGATGAGCTTGGTAAATGATTATCCAAATCAATGGTCCGCATTGTCATCACACCCGAGGGATCTTGCTTTTCATTCTCAACGCCAGGCACCAATCCACCATGTACTACAACGACATTGCCCATTCCTTTGATTTGTCCGATATTAAGAATGACAGGGCATCTTTCCAGCCACCGTGCCTGCTCATTGCTCAACTGCCTAGCTAGCTTGCATTCTTTGGAGTTGCATCCAGTGAAGTTGCCGCCCTCCTCGTTTTCTTCTGTCGTATTATCTTCCAGTTCGCCTTTTGCATACATTGCGCGACGTACGAGGAGGATCCTGTCTTCATGGTTTCCGCGGACGCAGGAGGCCGAGTGTTTTCTGGCAAGGTCGACTACACCTGTGCTATCGGGGCCCTTGTTGATCATGTCGCCGGTGAAGATCAGATGATCGCCATTTTCGCGGTCGAAGGATACCTTTTCTAATAATTGGCCCACTGTCATTTCAAAGAGAGGATGACGTCAGAAATCGGCTGTTCAAGACAGAAATAAAGGGGGGATAAAATACATTCAGAATTACATCCATGTACATCTCCCACAAAAACCAACCTCTTCCGCCGGCTTCCTGCCACAGCCAGATCCGCTGGTAACAGCGCCGGATTCAAAGTCCCAATCTTAACGAGGTCGCCGAACTTGGGAAGCGAATTCGACCCAAACCACCCTCCTACCACATCCTTGAGTTCTGGGTCCAGCGAATCCGCCAACAATGCATTCTCCTCAAGCTGTGGGGTCACAAACATCTTCCAGAAGCACCAGAAGAAGAGCAGACATATCAGACCGAGAGGCACGTAGCGCCGAACTTTGGGAGCGGCCATTGTCAAGAGGATCAGTCGAGCCCATTGTGGCATCTCATTTTCTGAGGATGGATGATCATGGCGATATTTTGGATTGGTTTGCCATTCATTCTTCACGTAATCGATGAGAGGTCGAGAGTACCTTGCAGATCCAAATGCGGATGAATCTTGCGGGTTGTAATAGATGTCGGGAGGATACGTAGGGGAGGATGAGTCGTTATCGTCGAGACTATCATCAGAAAGATCGCTGTCGGTGTCAGGGTATCGCATAACCATTGTTGCCTCGTGTGTTTTCCCGTCCCTTGTCGACACTGATGGGATAGAGAGAGATCCCAAGCTGGGATAGTCGAATACGCGGGAACGATGTCATCGTCTGCAACTCCCGGCTTAAAAATAAAGTGGATTTGGAAACTCTACGGTCACATGACTCTCTACGTGAGGGGGATTCTTACCTCCTCCTCCTTTTCATAAATTCATATTCAAGGCATTCTTCTTTCTCCCTTTCTGACTTGCATTGCGATAGCTCAAGTAGCTGTCCTGCGTCCCCTATTTTATATTCTCTCTGGAATCAATCCAGGGGATATTCACATCATGGATATCTACACTGTACAAGCAGAGCTGGCAAAGTACTACCTTTCTTCGCCAACATGACTGGCAATGTTTCTTCCTGCCAGGGAGTAGTCCTCATCAGTTCTGTCGCTGAATGAGCATTCAAGTTACTTCTGTTGTTACTCTACTTCTCCGCAGGGTCCAAGGCCAGTCTAGCTGTCCCCAAAGCAAATGCTACTGCGCAGGGAATAGAGCCGTCTCCTTTCGTGTTTGATCTTCATATTCCTAGTCTCTCTCTCGGATCGTAAGCTAAACCTTAATATGATAGTAAATCATAGACATTCCTGCTCCATAATTCCCCCGAACTTGCCATAGATACATGTCGATCACCGTGGTTGAACTTGCGAGCATCTTCCCTCTCTCTCTTTCCCTCTCCCCAGACAAAAAAATACCACACACTCCATTCAAGTCAAAAGTCATTTGAAGATGCTCGCCATGCTTTCCCTCTGCATCCTCTGCTCCGCTGTTTTCGTCGCTGCTCTCCCCCAGAAACTCTCAGTCAGACAAGCATTGCAGCCTTTCGAGTTGCAAAGTGTGACATCATACCTGCTCAGCCAGCAGTACACCATCGAATTCAACTTTACCGATCCCAATACTGGAAACCGGGCAATTTGCCAGACTGCATGGTACATCTGCTATGTTTTACGTGCATTGCTATGAATATCAATATGTATTTTGACTAATTGTTACTGCTCAGGGCCGAGAACACTGCAGCTCCCAGTTACGCTCTAGGCTGCAGCGACTCTACATTCGGTTTCAAGTTGGACCCATTTGTTGGCGTGAACAATTTCACCCTTGACCTCTATCACTGGGCTAATAGCCTTGCTGGCTCTGCATATCTGTATGGAAGTGTCCCGTGGGAACCACCGAGTGGCCCCCTTTCATGTGTTGTTCCACAAGCCGGTGAGGGCGTATGCTCGGCTAAATCGGTCTCGGTCTCAGTTTCGGTCATGTAAGATGAGGAGTAGAATTCACAGGTCATAGTTCCAGTATCTAAACCCCAAGAACTATTGAGTTTATTTTTTTTTTTTTAAAAAAAAAAAAAAAAAAAAAACGATTCCTATTTCGATGAGATGGGCGTTTGAGCAAGATAATGTATGATAATAACAGGGAGACCGCCTTTCCTCCTAGTTTGACGTTGGAAGACATTGTCTTCGTAAAGTTCAAAGCGCAATATTTGGTTCAAATGGCCATATTCCTCGATCCATAAAGCTGGATTTGATCGTATGGTGCTTGAAGGTGCTTCTTCGAGCCCCAGAGAGATGGTAAAGGAACTCGCGCTCATCAGGTTCATGTATGCCCAAACAGGAAAGTGAGTCGATTGCCTTCCCTTGAGAATGCTTATATTGCTGAGATAGGCTGGCAAATGGCTAAAGAATATGAGTAGTATGTGCAGGAAAGCAATATAAGATTATACGATTTTTCTCACAGAATTCATCCTATCCGAGACAAAGGTGTGTAAAGTTGAAGCAGAATACCTGCTAGCAGCCCATACTGCATCTCAAGCCTGTCTTCATCCATTGATGTCTGGTTTGTGAGAAATCGCATCACAGAAACTTCATTTACAACTTCCTCCTCAGGGCAAAAAAAGGCACTGGGCTGCAAAACTCGTACAACAGTGGCACGGTTTTGATACTTCAACCATAATGAGATGTTGTAAGAGTCTTTTTTGAGGATGGAAAACTCGGTTGCATTGCATCTGTTTTGCATTACATCTGTTGTGCTTAAGGATAAAGTCTGCAATCGGTCTCAAGATGTCAAGTTCAAGAAATTGAACTAGCCAATTGTCAGGCATCTCCTCAGCCTGTTAGCAGCCCATGTCGTCAGGGAACATTTGAAATTGCACAGTTGCGTCGTAAGCTGTATGGATAATGTGAAAGAAATTAGGCATGCTTCATGTCCTTGGAAAGAGTGATGTTAACCTAAGTAACATGCTGGAGACTAGTTACTTTTTAGCCTCAACAAGTGAATAGGGCTTTGGGGGGCTATCACACGACTCCTTCCTCGCCCGATGATATTTGTCAATGAGGCTTGGACCAAAAAGGAGAGATCCCGATTTGGTCACTTCCTGGATCAACAACATTCGAGAGACCCCTAGTGGCTGGTAGATTCCCCTCCAGCTATTTTATTTTCCCGACTGTTTATAGTGATGGATTGTTTTCCTTCATCTTGGCCAACAGCTTATGCGCTGTCTTAGTTCGGCCACGTCAGGCGTATACGCTGTGAGCATGAACTCTCCATTAGAGTTTCTTGTGACGCTCTGTCCTTGAGGAATATTTTCCAGCCATTACACGCTTGCACAGCCCTGGAGACCAGCAAGGCTCAACCGCTGTTCGCAACGCAACGCAAAAGAAAGGGGGGCAAAAGGAGGGCAAAAGGAGGTGAGCCAGAATGACTGACAGACGTGCATGAGCAAGCACAGAATAATGAGGGCAGCAGATGGGGAGGATGCAGAGGTGGGAGAAGGAAGGTGTGGGAACAGGGTAAGGTTGGTTCTTATAGCTCTGGGGCAGCAGTGGTAATGGAGGTATATCTCGTTGGTTACTAGCTAGATAGGCCTACGTGGTGAAAAGGGTCAGCGAGGGCGGACCTATGCGGCAGAATCCCACGTGATCCAACAAATATGGCATAATGCACGTGACCTCTAACAATGTGACATGCGGGTGCTATACCAAAGATGGCAAACTAACCATAACAGGTAATTCACAGGTTCTTACATTACCATAACTATACCAAACAAAAAAAAGCAGTGGCATTAGATATTTAACCAACAAGTGCCCAGATTTCCATAAGCAAGGCCAACAATATGCATCAAACCTCTCATCGCTTTCCCATCAGTAGAGACGTCAAAGTTTCGCCCTCTGAACCCTGTGAACTCCTTGTACTCCCGTCATGCCTCCTGTAGCCATTCCGCAATCCATGTGCTCTTTTTATGCTATATAACCGCTGTCGTCCATTCCCTGGCCTTTGTAGACAATCTATCGCCCAAGTCATGGTTAACAGCGACTCCCAGCTCTGTTGACTTTGATCAACAATGGCCGACCTCGTCCTCTGGGAGAAGCGCTCAGTGACAGCTAGCTGCAAGGCTCTGCCCGTCGCATCGCGAATTGGACGCGCCAGGGCCGGGCTGCACGCCAGGAGTCTGGTGAGAAGCCTCATCCGGAAGACAGTAGGTCGACTCTCTGTTTTCAAGGGCGACAGACTCGGGGTCGAAATCAACCAAAGAATCAAAGGAAAATGCTGATAGATCTCCTCCGTCGAGAACATCAAAGATGAACCCGTCTTCAGGGAATGAAGAATCTGGCATAGGGGATGAATCACTGTCGAATAGGCGGCGGAAGTCATCGTCAGAAAGAGGAGCTGCAATGTCATTTGCAGCGTAAGGTTGAATGCTTGATCCGGCGTCAAAGAGCGAGAGGCCACTTCCTTCTCCTTCAAGTCCAGCGACTGACACTGCAGGTCACACAACATCACTGCAGGATGTTGTGTCATGTCGGGGGACTCTGCCAGAGAGGAGGGCTGAAGGGTAGATGAGGGATCGGTAACAGGTGGAGCAGGGAAGGGAATCTGCTCCAGGCAAATATCATCCCCTTCTTGTTTGAACAGTGTTGTTGTAAGAGTAGGGGAATCAGAGACCTCGGAATTCAGATTTGGTGTACTTCCGCGAGATACATGGATCTCTGCAGACAACTGAGCGACTTGCTGGCTAAGACGGTTGTTCTCAGCCTCTATCTGCCTTAAACGTTGCAGGAGGAACTGATTCTGTTGTTCAATCACGACTTTCTCATTCTCCAACTTCTCCATCTCAAGCCTCTTCCGCTCGCGCGAGGTCTGAGCTGCTGCACGATTTCGAAGGACCCGTTCAATGCGACGCTGTTCCTTCTCATCTTCAGTCTTGGCTCGTTTCCTGTGTATCCGTTAGATGGACTGAAAACTCCGGTGAAACCTGGTCCTTTTTTTCTTTTCTAGCATACCTTGGAGGTAAATTCGTTTTAGGTGTTGGTAGCTCCTGACCCCATGACTTTCTCTTCTTGATTGGTTTCTTCTCCTCTGGCTTTTTCTCGACTGGTTTCTGTCCAGAAAGTTCCAGCGAAGTGGCCGAGGGTGAGATGGTCAGCGGTAGCACCTCCGTGGCCGGGGTGCCAGGAGAGGAGGCCATAGAAAATGTATCTTCCATTGGAACGGAATCGCTAAATAAGGTAGATATCGGTTGCTTCTTCCCTTGTGTTGGTAAATTGTGATGATTTTTGCTATTCTTCGAGGATTAAGAAAAAAGCAGTAAGTAATGGGCTGTCGTGGAATGAGACAGTCCTGATGAGGATGCCTGCTTGCCCATTCACGATGCGAGAGGCCACGCTGTCATCACGATGACGACTGGAGTCAGGCTCCAGGATATATCTCAGAGTGTCGACTATACCGATGGAGAAATGAAAAGAGGCCAGGTGTCCAGAAGTATGGCAGCTGGTCGCAACTTGGTAGGAGGAGTGAGTCTTGTAAACAGGACAGCGTGGTCACATCCGCCTTTGTCAGCCAGGCAGACATGTAGGTCACGTGAGTTCTGTCACTTCTGGCCGCTCTCGCTTACCCACCTCTAGTTAAAATATAAATCTTGACATATTCATGGCTCAATTGGCTACCAGAGCTCGCGCTGAACACGGAGAACAAAAGATAAAAGATAAAGAAAGAAATGATACTGGAAAGGGAATCTAGCGAAGAACCAGGAAATCGAAATGCTTGGGTAGACAGTTATGCTTCGCTCCATTTATCTCAGATAGACCGCTATTCGCAGCTAGTCGGCCACCTAGATAGTTTCCGAAGATACGGCAGAACAGCCGGGCGAAGATTTAGCCTACAGAGCGTAATTAATTAATACCTTCTCGTACGGCGCTCGATGATGTCTCCGCATGCTACATATGTACTATTATTGTCTTCGATAAACAGATCAGAAGACCGTTGCAGACCCTCTAACGTAATGTCACCAATTCCTCAGCACTGGTAGGATGAATAGCAATGCAGCTGTCGAAATCCTGCTTCGTCGCACCCATCTTGATGGCCACACCAAATCCCTGGAGCATCTCGCCAACGCCCAATCCCAAGATGTGGAGACCGACAATTTTCTCCTCCGGCCCAACGCAAACGATTTTCATCTCAGTCGGGAACTTCTTCTTCTCCTCCGCTGGTAGCGGGTCGTAGTACATGGCGGTGAACCGGGTGCGATAGATCTTGACCTTGTCATTTCCAAAACGCTCCCGGGCCTCGGGCTCTGTGAGGCCGGTCGTGCCTACTTCCGGATGGGAGAAGACGACAGTTGGGATGTTCTCGTATGAGATCTTGGCGGATTTAAGTTCAGGTGGCCCGAAGAGACGACTGCTAAGCTGACGCCCGGCGGCGATGGCAACTAATACCATTGTTAGTTTCAAGGGTATAAGGTGTGCGGAATATTCAAATGCATGGAGGCAAAGGGTGTAGATACTTACCAGGAGTTAGTTCTGCATGTCCAGTAACATCACCAAGAGCATAGATGCCATTGACTGAAGTATTCTGGTACTCATCTGCAATGATATGTCCAGCACGGTTCAGCTTGACACCGGGGATGGTAAGGTTCAAGCCCTCGACTTCGGGTGCCCGGCCAATAGCCCACAGCAGTTCATTGACTTCGATTTCTGTGCCATCATTCTTGATCAGTCTGAGCAGTTTGTCTTTGCCCTTCCCATCACGCAACAGCTGGACTTCCTTGAAGCCATCAAAATGCTTGTGAAGGTGCACGCCGCTCGCCTCGTATCGTTCCGTCATCGTCTTCTGGATCATTGGGTCGAATTTCCGCAGGAACGTATCGCCCCGTAGGAACATATGTGTTTCAACACCAACAGCAGCCATGACACCTGCTAACTCAACGGCAATGTACCCAGCCCCGACAACAGCGAACTTGGGAGGAAGCTCCTCCATATCATTAAAAAAGCCATCGCTGGTAATACCGTATTCTGCCCCCTTTACATTGGGAACAATAGGTCTTCCACCAGTAGCAATCAGGATATGAGGAGCCGAGTATCTAACCTTCCCTGAGCCATCGGCAAGGTCCACCTCAATAGTCTTTGGTTCCACAAAACTGGCCTTTCCGTGCACAAGGTCAATTCCCTCCCGGCCCCAGTTTCTCTCGTAAGCACCATTGAGGCGCTTGACTACCGAGTCACGGAGTTTCTTGAAGTGTGTATAGTCGAACTTGACGTGTTCCGGGAAATCGTAACCGTAATGTCTGCCGACCTCAATTGTTTCATTGATCGTCGCAAAGTTCCATGTCATCTTCTTTGGGACACATCTGTGGCAGAACTTCCATTTAGCAACAAAGGCAGAGAACAGTGGGCAGCTTTAAGAGAAGACTTGGCAATATAATCTATACCAAAGGAACACATACCCAACATTAACGCATGTCCCTCCAGCAGCTCCCCTTTCGATGATCAATGTCTTCGCTCCATACCATCCTGCGGCTCTGCGAGCGCTCCCACTGCCACCACTGCCGCCCCCAATGACAATGTAATCGTATTGCTTAGTCTCCACGGGTGGCATTGTGTCTGTAGCACCGCTGCTATTGCTGTTCTGAACTGCCGCTAGAGCTGAGAAATGCCTTGAAACAGTGGCTAGACGAGACCCTACAGAGCCAGTATCCAAAGGACGTCTGAGATCCAGTTTTCGGCTCGCGCTGCCGGTAATCGGTCGGTTTGTAGAAATTGTGTATATGTTACTTCGGGGATATGCGAATTGGAGAGAATGCGGAATGGATGAGGTGATATTTATAAGCCTGCTCCTGGATGCACGGAGGGGGGCGATATGGGAGGAGTGAGAGAGCATTGGAGGGGAGGATTATTGTTTTTACAGAGCTGGACTGGGACGATGAGGGGGCTCTCAGGACCAGCTTAATAATGATAATGCATGGAAGATGCGAAATAGGCCCAGATGATGCCAGCGGATGACTAAGGCTTAGGCTAACTTGAGATGACTAATGCATCTGTCATCGGAGGCAAATATAACTAAGACATGCTTGCCGAATGTACAATGTATAGTAGTATATCTTCATCTAGATAAGGTCTATATAATATATTACAATTGCAGAGTGTCCCACTCAAGGCCATCCTCCTTGACCCCACCTTCTGAGTAATTCTTCTGCGAATGTTTCTCAAACTCTTTTGATGGCGACCAAACCACATCCCAGATATGTGAATTGAATACAGCCCCCGGTTGAAGGGTCCCCATTCGGAAGTCGAGATACTCTCCGTCAGCACCACCGATTTCTGATGGAAGACGTATGTAATGGCGGACCGAGTCTGGGATTTCCTCCTTAACATGGCTGATTATGAGGAGGGCCTGGTTGTCTGAGAGACCCGCAAAGCGAATGGGGGTGTCATGATCCCTGTCAGTGCTCCCAGTGCTGCCGGCAGATGTCTCTCCGTATTCAAGGAACTGGATACATTTGTCCCGGAGGGAGGCGGACATGCTGGAGAAGGCTTCGTCTAAGATGACAATGTCTGGTCGGTGGACCAGTGTGCGGAGGAAAAGGACGAGACGCTGCTGGCTGGTAGTCAGGGACCCAAATGTGAGAATGTCTGCATAGTCGACATCGTAGTCGGCAGGTGTATACAAGTGTTTTCCATGTTTGCCAGCGATGTCGGGGAACTCTTTACTGTCATGGAGAGCAATTTTTGGGGGCGCTTCGTTGAGAGAGTCAAGATCGGCTTTGAAGAAGCGAAGCATGGCGCTGATGTCGAGGTCGCGATCATGGTTCAGTTTTGGTTTTGACAGGAAGGTCTCGGCAAAAGAGGACTCAAGCGCTTGACGCACTGTCAATTGTCGGGGGAAGAAGGCATGGATCTCAGGCGACGAGTGGCCGAGGCGGGATTGGAGCTCAAAGACGGAGATGCCTGGTTTGCCAGGTTCAGGGAGTCGTGAACGACCAAAGAGTCTAATTGGGAGGGCATAGGCTTGAGGGTGGTCTGAAGTAACCAGTGACAATAAGGTGGTCTTGCCTGATCCATTGGGGCCAATAATCACCCAGCGCTGCCCACGACGGACTGTCCAGTGTAGACCAGGCTGGGGCTCCCCATTGACCTTCTGCTGCCAGTTTCCAAGCACCACCTTTTCACCGTACTCTACCTTGACTCCATCCATTTGGACCAGAGGTTCTCCGTCTCCTCGGAGAACTTCCGGCCCAGTACCCCGTTCCCTGGGTGTTAATTTCAAATCCCGTAGGAGCTGTTCGTCGATTATCCCCGCTTTTAGATTCTTTTTTGCTTCCCGTAAGATCTCCTTTTCGTCTTTGGTGAGTGTTGGCCTCTTCTTTTGGCCGAGATGCCTCCATACATTCAACGTCTTTGAAACGTTTGACCTTTCACCCTGGAGGAGGATGTGTCCTGAATTCCCGATGATAAGGAGATGAGTGATCCAATCCGGAACATCGTCCTGCGGCCGCAAGCCAAGGATCAGATGAGGCGAGCATTTCTCGGCCAGACGGCCGAGCACACCAGAGATGCTCCTGGTCGTGGCTGGGTCAAGTCCCACTGGCATCACGTCAGGAAAAAGTTGCAACGGTCAGTAACAGTACAACTTACTGAAGGGTTCATCCAGAAGCAGTAGTTCCGGCTTTCCCAGTAACGCTTTTGCAATCCGGGCCCGTCGTGTCTGACCGTTGCTGAGGTTGGCGACTGGCATATCAAGAAGGCTTTCCAGATGCAAGTCAGAGATGACCTGCGCAAGGAACTTTTCGTCATGAACGGTTCCCTCCTCCTCCCCTTCCAGTGGATTCAGTGATGTCTGTCCCTTGAGGTATTGACGGACGGTCCAATCTGTCTCTTCTCGAAAACTCTCGTAGCGGGCGCTCAGGTATGCGCCGCGGGTGCCCCCGATAGCACCAGAGCCTTCTCCCCTGAATCCGATATACTGGATAGCATTCCCCACAAATCGTAGGCGTGGATCCTTGACGGCAATCTCGTCTGTGAGGAGGTAGGGATAGCTGCGCGCGGTGGGTGGAATGCAGATAAACTGACCGCGGAGAATGTCCAGCAGGTCAGTCCTATGTAGGGAACCGATTACTGCCCAGTGCTGCAGAAAATTCTCCTTCCCCGGATCAGCAGTGCCTGCGGATGGGAGGAGAAAGCTGAAATTCTGGAAGAGAGGGTGATTGACGCCTTTGACGGAGTCATTCTCAGCGGGATAGTCTCGGTAAAAAGAACCGTCCTTGATGCGGATCAATGGGGGTGATGTGGACACATATCGAAAGTGAGAATTTGACAGGCGACAGACAGGCGAGGCTCTTAGCAACCGCAAGCACGAAGCAGGTCGTCGGAGCATCCTGAGTTGGAGCTGTACATCCTACAGCATACAGGCACTGGCAGTCATGCGGAGGGACGGGAGCGATTGCACGGGTTATTTCCGTGTATTAGTCATCAAGACATGTCTAACTAATCAACACGTGGACACCAATATGCGCTTCCTATTTTCTTGATGGGGATGATTGAATTCGCTGGGTTGGTTGACTAGCTAGAAACGCCCGTAATCGGGCGACGTAGGTTAAGTTAACTAATACTTAACCAGCTGACATAGGAGAGCCAACATATTTTGGCGCCGAAGAACCTCGTCCATTGTCGTGAGCCTTCATCCACCGCATCACATCGATTGCGCACTCAGACGCTGCGCCGTACACCGTACACCGCGATAATACATATACGAGCTTTTTCCTGGATTGTCTGATTTCAGTCGCCACTGTAACTACTAACAAGAAGCTGCGCAGGCAATTAATTGAACGGCTATTCAGTCAATTCCCGATGGCCGGAAGACATCCGATGTGGAACGGAAGGATCAATCTTACTGGCACGATTTCCTCTCCCCCACGCTTTTCAATGGCCGATGTAGATGTGAAGCATCGCGGGGTTTCATTGACTTCTTCAGCATTGGGTCTTTCTTCCTGACCGTCAATGTCAATGTCTACTGCATCTCCAGCTTTGCATTCATTGCGTTCTTAATCGACAGTATAAACAGGATTAATTGGGTTGTCACCATGACTACTTCTACTATCTCTTCAAAAGCGCTAGTCTTGCATGGCCCAAAAGATCTTCGACTAGTACGTTTTTTAGATCATAGTGGCTACGAGATGCTAGTAACTAATACAGCACCGTCAAATTTTAGGAACAGAAACAAGTCCCTGCACCTACAAGCACAGAACTGCAAGTCTCGGTCCGCGGAACAGGAATCTGCGGATCAGACCTCCATTATTATTCCCACGGCCGCAATGGTGATTTCGTTGTCCGGGAACCAATGGTCCTGGGACATGAGTCTTGGGGAGTTGTAACAGGTATTGGGCCCAATGTGGCAGAAGGGCGCTTCAAAATTGGTGATCGGGTGGCCCTTGAGGTTGGATTTCCCTGCCGCGAATGCCCACTTTGCAGGCAAGGTCGCTATAATATCTGCTCTCGTCTACGGTTTAGAAGCAGCGCGAAGACGTTCCCTCATCTGGATGGGACATTGGTGGAGCTGACGAATCATCCGGCGGAACTATGCCATCCACTACCCTCAACAGTGTCTGATGTGGGTGGTGCGCTCCTGGAGCCGTTGGCAGTATGTTTACATGGGATCCGACGATCGAAACCACCAACAAAGGAAGAAGTAGAACTCACAAAAGCAGCTGGTGGCCACGGGGAAAAGGAAACCGCGGCGTTAGTGTTCGGCGCTGGCGCCGTAGGGTTACTTCTTGCTGCCGCGTTGGCGACGTCAGAGAACTTCACATCGATTGTCGTGGCAGATATTGATGCAGGGAGGCTTGGGATTACAAAAGCATTAAATCTGGGCCTAAAGACTGTTCTTATTCCTCAGAATCCTCTGGGGAAGGATAAATCAGCTGCCACCCCGCCTCCAGCAGATGCTCCGCACGCTGAACAGGTTGCATACGCACTGCAAACCGCACAGGGGCTTGCTACGATCTTGAAAGAGTCAGCGGGCGCTCTTCATGGGTTTAGCCGCGTCTATGACTGCACAGGTGTTCCGGCTTGTGTGCAGGCTGGTATCTATGCTGCTGCAGCGGGAGGAACGCTCGTGCAGATTGGTATGGGGAATCCGGTCCAGACTTTACCCATCGGTGCTGCAGCGCTCCGGGAGGTGGATATTATCGGTGTGTTCCGATATGATGGGCAGGCGTATCCAGCGGCGATAGCCTTGATGGCGAGCGGGAAGTTAAGTTGTGTTGAAGAGAAGGTAGTCACTCATTGGCTGAAGCTTGAAGAGGGTAATCGTGCCTTTACATTAGCTGGGAAGGGAGTAGACGAGGAGGGAAAGCCGGTTGTAAAGGTTGTTATTGAAGCTTGAGGAACTATATACAGCACGGGTGTGGGCGTCTTGTTCCATTCGACAGGAACTTGGGACTATCTACCCTTAACTATCCTTTCAAATTGACAGTTGTCCATCATCTCTGTTATCCGGATCCACAATGCTGTCAGGCATGACGTGAATTGGCACCAGGATTGGTTTTGCACATTGCCGGTAATTTGTAACTGAGCGCGTGTTGAAGAGTCCACCGCAGCATGTACATCCACACTGCTAAGATCGAAGGGAACCGGATGAGGTCGTCACCGGTAAGGCCGGTCTGTCTGCATACCTGATGCCAAGAGCAGTGCAACTCTACCAACGAGATCAAGCTCTGTTCCCTTGGGACAGACAAGGCGATTGCCTCACTGGCAGAGGAGCAACGGAGACATCCTCCGTACATCCAATGGATAACGGGGCTGCCAACAAACCTTAAACCCTTGATTGCTGCTTTTTGTGCATGGATGCATAGGCTCTACGGATGTTTGCTTCTGCTAGTTTTCATGCTTCATCTCCTTCCCTTCGCTGCGAGATGCTGTCGGTTAACCGGAATATGATGATATCTCCAGCATCCACATCTTGAAAGAGGGCTATTCGATACCATCATAGGGCTCCACATGCGCTGGATATCCCAGGCCTAGAATCACGGCGGCAGTTCAGAGAACAACAACCACGGCAATTAAAAATAGCTAAAAAGACCCAGAGCCGTCCTCCCATTAGCTGAAGTAGAAGAGCAGAAGAATGCCGTCGAAAGATCTCTTCGCATCTTGCGTAGCCCCATTTGCCGGCTCAAGCGGTCATCCGGTGACATCAAAAGACGCATGTCTACCCTACGTCATACAAGTACAACACGGTGTGCGCAATGCTCGAAAGCACCGGAACGGCACATGTCACACTTACAAGGTAGTGACACATCTCGCGCAGATTGACTGGGAATTGGACTGGGGGGTGTAGAGGGGTTGATTGCCGAGAGTGACAGACCTGGACACACAACGCAGCACGCGCAGTTACTTTCCAAAAAGATCTCGAGGACGAGTTTTGATGCCGCTAGGGAATACGACGCACTCACTCTCACTGTAGCGCAGGTGCTGGAGTACAGTGCCACAAGGCAATCGGATTTCGGTATAAAGCAGGAGGTCCCGGGTTTTGGGTCGGCTCGCTGCATTCATTGCCTTGTGTCATATATATTCCATATTACCGATACGGGTGCTTTATATTCTTCCTTTCAGCTGGCAAGCTATTACCGCAGCTTGTGATATACATAGCATCGAGGGAGAAAGAGAGAGGGAAAAGGAAAAGCACAAAGGAACGCACCCAAGTACATCGAGCATCACCGACAACTTCAACTTCACCGCACATGTCCGCCCATACTGCCTTTCCCCGCGAAGATGAAATCACAAAACGCGGCTACTCGACCTGGTTTGCAAATCAGACTGTCTTCCTGACGGGCTCCACGGGATCCCTGGGTGGTTGTCTACTATACAAACTGGCTGTCCAGCTCCCAACACGCAAGATCTTCCTTCTAATCCGGGGCTCTCCGCAGCGAGCCATCGACAAGTGGATGCAAAGTATGCCGGACCAGACGCAGGCCATTCTCAACACGAAAAGAATCCATTTCATCATTGGAGATATATCAAAGCCGGGTCTAGGGATCAGCACTGCCGACCTGCAAACCCTGTGCGAGGAAGTCACTTTAGTCATTCACGCGGCAGCCAATATTGTTCTGGATGCAGACATCCGCGACTCCATGCGCAATAACTGCCTGCCTTGTCTGGAACTGGCCAGGACGGTGCTTCGTTTTCGCAAGATGAAGCTGCTCGTCCAGATCTCCACAGCCTATGTAAATAGTTTCTTGCCAGACGGCCACGTCAATGAGAAGCTGTATGATATTTCGGATAACAGCGAGGATCCCGAGGAAGAACTCGCCGGTATCATGGCTGGGAATCCTTCGCCGTATGCGTCCCGGTTTGCCTCACCATACGCCTATGCGAAGCATCTAATGGAGCGCTTGCTGATGAAGCGGTACCCGCTTCTCCCCTTGTTGCTGGTCAGACCAACCATCTTTGGACCCGCCGTGAGAGACCCGTACCCGTTGTATGGGCCCGAGAACTCGACCCCGCTGAACAAGTTTGCGCAATTCTTCCTCGCCGATAATGGAGCAAAGCAGATCTGGCATGCTACAGAGGGATACAAGACCGGTGCGAATGTCTTGGATGAGACGCCGGTGGATTTTGTGGCGAATGCTTGTCTGCTGCATGCTGCGGCCCGAACAACGGGAATCGTCCATGTTGGCGCTGAACTGTTCATAAGGCGCACCTTTGACGAGTTCATTAGTATGACGTATGCCTCTGCCCCTCCAGAATTTCGCAAGGACATGCCCACTATCATCTTCACAGAGGATCGGAGCGTGTCGCAGTGCTTTCTTGCTGAGCTGGTCAAGGTCAGTACACGCAACTGGTTGTTCGACTGCAGTCGGTCACACTGGTTGAAACAGGTAGCCGGGCCATTGAGCTTAGATACATGTCGACCAGAGGTCGAAAAATTGGCGTCTATTCGAATGCAGCAGATTTTCAGTCGGAATAAGCAAGGACGAGCGAAGCTGTAATGTTTTATACTATGCTGGAGCGTGACGGAGGTCCCTTTCTGTCGGATAATTCTGCTGGTTCTGTTTGTCTTTATTATTGTTGATTTGCCATTCATGTTGCCATTGGGAAGATTCCTATTGACAGACAGCACCTGCTGTTGGCATGAATATTTGGTTGTATTTAGATGGTTTAGCAGTTCTCGTCCATTCCCGCATCAAAGCAGTTAATGATATTTTAAGTCGACCAGAGTGTAGCCATATATGTATTCCATCACGCCGAAATCCGGGAAAGGTAGAGTGAAAAGATATCGAAGCAGCTTAGCACCGAGTGCGCCGGCTTGGATGTCAGGGCTCTCGCAATGGGAACCATATCAGGACAAATCGGTAGACTAAGCTGCTGTAAAGATACATTCTGTTGCATCAAGCCAAGAAGACTGTTGGCAGCAGGGAAATGCTACATCCCATTATTGAATGACGTCCCTCCAGCCATTTTATCAAATTCCATGCAGTTAGTAAGACCGCACACCTTAAAGACCCCCTTTGCGCTTTCCTTTGCCTCATCAACTGTGACATCTCCGGTGCTTTTCAACTCTGCAAAGGTTTCGTTAACGCTATGGAGCACCGACACCAGTGCCAGACCAGGGTGAATCACGATCTGAAAGCCTAGCTCCTTTGCCTTCGCTGCCGATACCTTTGGTGTCACCCCCCCAGGAACTATGTTTAGCAGAACAGGCGTTGGTGTCAGGTCGGCACAGACTTGTCGACACTGCTCGATAGACGTTGGGCCTTCCAGGAATGCTACATCGGCTCCAATTTCAACGGCCTTTTTGAGCCGTCGAATCGATGCGTCGTATCCCGAGGACTGTAGGGAGTCTGTTCGTGCAATCAAAACGATATCGCCGCCACATGTGCGCCTCATTTCATCCCTTGCCAGCACTGCAGCTCGGATACGTGAATAGAATACATCTTCATCAACCAGCTCCTTGCCGGTGAGATGCCCGCATCTCTTTGTTTGGACTTGGTCCTCAAGATGCAATCCGGCGATGCCAGCAGCGATGTATGATTTGACTGTTCGTCCCACCATGATTGGTCCTCCATAACCTGTGTCTGCGTCTGCAATGAGCGGTATACTCCGATCTAGTGACGCGATCATGCTGGCGTTGTCGAGCATGTCGTTTAATGTCACTATTCCAAGGTCTGGCATACCCAGACGTGAAGCAGCGGTGCCAGCACCAGTCTGTCACGGAACATACGAAGTCAAAAGGGGACATGCCCCTCAATGAGCCGGGAGTTCGACGTACCATGTATAGACACTCAAATCCTTGTTGCAATGCAATCCGTGCTGTCAGTCCATCGTATACACCAGGACATACTATGATGTCATCTCTGGCAAGGAGGTTTCGAAGCCGCGTTGCAGCACTCTGCGGATTATGGCTACTTCTTTGGTGTTCCATAATTGTTAGTACTCGAGAAATTGAGTACAGCTTAAAGGAAGATGCAAGGATCGGATGTTTTCGCAATTCTAATATCTCGATGAGCCCGCTATATGTCCGAGCAGTCAATGCCGGATGCGGCAGGTTTTCCGGAGCAGGCCCGATATCGCGTCTCACCTGTAGATAAGATTTATTAGCTCTTATCTACAATCTAATGACTAATCAGAACCAGCCCAAACTAGGAAGGAGATTAAATCACAGGCATGACCGTCGACACTTTCCATGCTTTCTTCTTTCATTCTCCCCTCCCTCTCATTTTTGTTTGCGACACAGGGATCCTGGATCTTCATCTTCTAAGCAGAGATCCTGCTAGCGATGACTGATCTCCTTTCCTGCTGCCGAGCGGGGTCTTTGCTGCGGTCATCTTCCAGGCTTCCCCGCAGTTGCTGGACCTCAGCGACAGTGGCCAGTGACCAGACAGTCATTTCACATCGCCGGCAGCGCAGCACCAACACAGCAGAGGCATTCAAACAGAGTAGAGCAAAGAATTATTTTCCATCGACCTACCCCCCGCCGTTAATATCCCAGGAGTCCAGGCTCGATCCTCCCTCCCATGAACAAGTTCCTTCACAGAGAATATCGGCACTGAAATCGGCGAAGCCCTTTTCTGATTTTCTGACGGATACTTTCAACCGCCAGCATGACTACCTCAGAATCAGTCTCACGGAGCGCTGCAATCTGCGGTGTCTGTATTGCATGCCCGAGGAAGGGGTACCTCTCTCGCCACCCGATTATCTTTTGACAACTCCAGAGATCGTTTATCTGTCGTCTCTATTTGTATCGCAAGGTGTAACGAAGATTCGCTTAACGGGCGGGGAGCCGACCGTCCGCAAAGACATTCTACCACTCATGCAGAGAATTGGCGATCTCCGACGCCGGGGACTTCGAGAACTATGTTTGACAACTAATGGGATTTCTCTCTATCGCAAACTCGACGCTATGGCTGAAGCTGGTTTGACGGGAATAAACTTGAGTCTGGATACTCTTGATCCATTCCAGTACCAGATCATGACGAGGAGGAAAGGATTTGACGCTGTAATGAAAAGCATTGACAGGATACTTGAAATGAACAAGTTAGGAGCTGGAATCAAGTTGAAGGTCAACTGCGTCGTGATGCGCGGGTTGAATGACCGGGAGATCATCTCGTTTGTGGAACTGGGACGCGAGAAGCCGATCGAGGTACGCTTCATCGAGTACATGCCTTTTGACGGAAACAAGTGGAGTCAGGGCAAGATGCTTTCATATCGGGAGATGCTGGCTGTCATCCGTGAAAAGTATCCAACTTTGGAGAAGATTACAGACCGTAAAAACGACACAAGCAAGACATATCAGGTTCCCGGTTTTGAGGGTCGCGTCGGCTTTATAACTAGCATGACCCATAACTTCTGCGGCACATGCAATCGGTTGCGCATCACATCGGATGGAAATCTGAAGGTCTGCCTATTTGGCAATTCCGAGGTGTCTTTGCGTGATATTATCCGGAAGGCGAATTCAGGCCAGCCAATCGACGACACCGCGATGCAGGATCTACGATTACTGGAGTCCGTGGAGACGGCATCTCGGATGAACGATGAGGGACTCCCGGTCGGGGAGCACGAACAGGAAATCCTTGATGTCATTGGGCTTGCTGTGAAGCGTAAGAAGGCGAAACACGCTGGCATGGGAGAATTGGAGAATATGAAGAATCGGCCGATGATTCTTATTGGTGGGTGAGAGTGTTGCTTGTCTTCTGTCCTTTATATCTTTCCAGGGAATTGATTTTGCATATATATGACATGTTGGTAACGATTCCGGATCTTTCATGAATTCATGGTACATTTCTATTCTTGGCGAAATGGACATAGCATGACCGGGTTTGTTGGACTACTGGGCGCATACTGATGGGCATGGCTTATAGATAGGCAACCGATGAACATTAATACAGCACCATTTGGACCAGAGCATTATCCTCCTAGTCAAACTTCAATTCCTCGAAGATTCCCAAAGAGCGCATGGTTACGAATCTCAACGCACATTCTCCATGCCGCTTCAACGGGTGCATCTCCTGGGCCTCAGATACGTTACTACCACAACGGACACGGCGAGAGGAAGTCTTCCAGCCCCGAAACTGAACTTAAAATGTCCGATGAGAAGGAAGACAACGCAAGCCCATCAGATATTTCCCTTCCAACTACCTCGGATCATGAACTTCCACATCTCACGCCCTCCAAGAAAGTCCATATGACGCAAATAACCGCGAAACCAGTCACGGAAAGACTCGCAACCGCAACTTGTCTCGTGTACTTCTCCAATCCTAAACCATGGCAAGTCCTCCGCCAGGGTCAAGGAATACACAGTCACAAAGGTGACGTCTTCAGCGTCGCCCGAATCGCGGGCATCATGGCGGCAAAGAAAACCCCAGACATAGTCCCACTCTGTCACCCTGGTATCGGGATTACAGGAGTCGAGGTTGACGTGAATCTTCTTGATCCCGCAAAGGATGAGTACTTCCATGGAGCTATGAGGGTAGTGGCGACTGTGAGCTGTCTTGGTCGCACGGGAGTTGAAATGGAAGCCATGACGGCTACTGTGAGTGCAGCGCTGACGGTCTACGACATGCTCAAGGCTGTGGATAAGGGAATGGTGATTGGGGATGTGCGGCTGTTGGAAAAGAAGGGCGGCAAGAGTGGACATTGGATTCGCGAGAGGGAGGTCAGTAGAGGAGATGGTAGGTAGCCGCATGGTATACTCCGTATTGAACAGGAACTCTCACGGACTTTTGGACGATATCACCTTTTGTGCGAAGTACGAACTACATGAACACAACGGACCTAGTTGTATAGTCGTCTCTTTGGGGCTAAAAAGTTGAAGAATCTGCATGGAGTAAACCATAAGAGATGTACATGAATCAACTACACCCATAACACCCCAAACTGTACTGGCTGCCCAAAAAAAAAAGACCCGTTAAACGTAAACCAAATTCTGCAGTGCGCAACCAGGTATATAGCTATATGTAATATCAAAAAGCCGCTTCCTTCTCGTGCCTATAGCCTGACCCTAAACCCAAATATGGACAGGGCGCGGACGATGCCTCGCAGTGTGCTCATGATCATCACTAGTACCACCGTTATTATGATTAACATTCTGAACAGACGCAGCGGATGTAGCAGTGATGAAGCTGTTCGCACCTTCGAAACGATTAAGGAGTGAGGCCATTATTTCCCGATACGAGTTCATCTGTGAGAGCTTGAAGCGTTGGATTTTGCCGCTTGCTGTGCGTGGGATTTCTTCAACGAAGATCACCCCGCCGTCGAGGGCTTTGTAGCTTGCTAGTCGGCTGCGGGAGAAGTTGTATACTTCCTCCGCGGTGAGCTTTTGGGCTTGCGGTGTTTTAGCACGGACGACGAAGGCTCGGGGCACTTCGCTGGTGCCGTCGCGAGAGGTTACGCCTATTACAGCGGCATCTTCGATGAAGGGGTGGGTAAGGAGGACGCTTTCGAGTTCTGCAGGGGGTACTTGCCAGCTGTTTTCATAGTTGGATTAGTTTACGTGCTGATCAAGGAGAGAAAACAGAAAGGAAGAGAATGATTTAACGGACTCACCCTCGAACTTTGATTAGCTCCTTCGTCCGTCCAACGATATAATAATATCCGTCCCGGACATATGCGACGTCCCCTGTCCTGAACCAGCCATGCTGGTCTTTGGCGTCGTCTCGCCCCTTGTATCCGAGGAGCAAGCCGGGCCCACGCACATGAAGCTCTCCAACAACGTCTTCACTGGCAACATGCCTGCCCTGGCTGTCAACGAGACACACCTCGTACCCCGGCGTGACCCTTCCGATGGACCCAAAATGGCCCTGTTCTGGGTACCGGCACTGGAAAGCGATCCCTGCCTCTGTCATACCCCAGAGTTGACACGCGCTGGCGTCCTGTTCGAGGAGGGCACGGAACTGCTGCATGGCATCCGCATCGATCGGGGCACCGGCCACAGCGACATAGCGTAGAGACGAGAAATGCTCCTTCACGGGAAAGGAGGCAGAGACGCTGTAGCGGTTATATGTATGGATCATAGCAGGAACCATGTAGGTTTCGGAGATCTGGTATCGAGACACGCATCGGGCGAAAGCCTCGATGTCAAACCGGGATAGCACATACAACGGATGCCCATATCGGATCGGAGAGATATGTGCGAAAAGCGCACCAAAGAGATGGAACATGGGCAATGACATGAGTCGAGTGACCTGATATGGAACACTGTAGGTGCAGCTGAGATGCTGTGACACGATGGCGCTGTGCGACAGGATTGCGGCTTTGGGAAGACCGCCTGTACCGCTGGTCGTATACAGGGCCGCAGGGGTCGTCCTTGCGGTAACCTCGTCGTTGAACCTGGTCCAGTCGCTCTCTCCATGGCACAGAAGTTCCACAAATTCCAGAGGATTCTCTCCAGGTTCCTTCTCTGCCACGATCCCACTTACTCCGTTCTGCAATGGCTGCAAGGGTTCCTTCTCCGGGGCGCTTGATGGGAAAAACCGAGCTAGAAGATCCGACACGGACTCCAACACACAGACCCGGCTGGGACGTATTCCCCGACCAGCGGAGACATCAAGAACAACGGGCAGAACATCGCGCGAGGTAACGATCAGCTTAGGCTCTCCGAGGCTAATGATGTGTTCAAGCTCGTGGGGCTGATTTCGGTGGTTGGAGCCCATATACACCCCCCCTGCACCGATTATAGCAAAGAAGAGAGCCGGATAGAGGACCTGTATGACGTTGATGTGAAGAGTAAGCCATCTAATTTAGAATCGCACGAGGGTCTGGATGATGACATACGCAGTTGCCCAGGTTGACCAGCACGCAGTCCCCCTTCTGCACATTATGCGCCTTGAGCCCGGCAATCAAAGACCGTACGAGCAGCCTGAACTGGCGAGCGTTGAGAGAGCATGAAGTGTCAACAGCATCGACGTAGAGAGGCCGAAGGCCGTCGTCGGGTAGAGGCAAGGCGTCAAAGGCGAAGCTTAATAAGTCGGTAGTAGGCCCATTGACGCCCGAAGCGTCGGAGGTCGCAGTCTGCATGGTTGCAATATTTGGAACTGGTCAGCGTTGTTTAATGCTGTTCTTCTGTCGACAGAATGCAGACATGCAGAGAGAGCACCCTGGTCCCTGAATATATACTCGTCCCCGGAGAAGCAGCGGCCGGCATGATTCCAAATTCCTTTTCAGACCATGATTATTATTACTATTGACCCCCCATCGACAATGGCCTCGACGGGGATTTGGAATAGCGGCGATCTGAGGCTGTGCGAGCATCAATGATATATTTATTTATTCACTTCTCTTTGTTCCCCGTCACTATTGATGCCAAGCCTGCACCGTGATAGATCGACTTTGCTGTGGCGCTCGCTGCTTGCTGGCACCACCTTCTGGCCCGCGCACGCTGGATCAAAGACCCTGAATGTTGAATTGGATGTATTGTAGGTCGACTCAATAGCCACAGGGGCTTTATTCGTCAATAGCGTGTTCTGATGTGTACAGAGCAGATGGAAAAATATCCTCGGAAGAGGATATCACAAAATACTGGATATGGGAATCAACAACTTCCGTATGAGGAAGTTCGTGTCATTTCTTTGCCACAGTACTCCATATACGAGGCGAAATATTATATATCCTTCTTTCTTTGAGGTAGCTGTACAGGTTCGATTCCCCATCTCAAATGCCCTGCCTAGATCTTCTTCCAGAAATCCTCGATGAGCCGGGCGACCTCCGGCACTCGCTGTCTCACAAGCCCATGTCCAACCTGCGGAACAACAGCAACATTCTGCATCCCAACACTATACAAGTCCTGCGCGGTGCACACGTCGTCCAGCTCTCCTAGGATAGACAGACTTTTAATGTTCTTCTTCGCCGCTTCAGCAAATTCCGCATGTCTATCCAGGACGCCACCGTCTCTGAAAATACCGACCACGCTTGCTGTGTGCCCCTCATGCTCTCTCACTTGCCAGTCTCGAACTGCCTCTGCAACTACTTCACCTTGTCCAACTCTCTCCTTCCAATCCAAAGGGACGGTCAATTGACCTCCTTCCAGGAACTCAAAGATCCACGCTTGTGCCGACTCCTCCGATCCCTCGCCGCCGCGCAAGTAGCTCCTCTGCAACTCGTCGAATTGCGTGGCGCGCAATAGACCCGCCGGCGCAACCAGCACCATGGACGCGACGCGTTCGGGGTATGCGGCCGCGAAAGTCGCAGTTGTTGACCCGCCAAACGAATAACCCACGAAATGGGCATCTTCCCACCCAAGCTGCTCCATCAAGGCCTCCAGCAATTCATGAAAGATCGCTGGTCTGTGTGCCACAAATGGTGTGTCTGTGAGCCCGTGGCCCCACAGGTCAACAAGGACAAGTTGAGCATATGGGAACCGTGAAGACAGCGCGCTTGCCAATGGCTGTAGGCCAAGTGCAGGTGTCTGGACGCCATGCACAAAAAGCACGCGGGATATTGGCCTTGCCTCGTCTGTAGGCGTGGGAGACGAGGGCGACAGCTTGTAATATGCCGCTCTGCCGTTCGGCGTCTGCAGGTATGATGCTGGTGGCAGTAGCTGGCCAAAGGTTGCGACGAAGGCAGCTTCAGATGGAGCTCGGATTGGCCGCAGCGCGTCGCTAGACTCTGCTGTCCCAGGACGAGGTAGCACAATTGAAGGGTTCCGCATCTTGTTATACTGCGTAGGTGGAAACTTGAAAGACACTGGAGACTGCCAAGGCTGCAGAGGATAGTGTGGATAAGCCAGATCGTCACGTCTCCCATTCTGTGGGATTCTGTGGAGGCTTACGGTGATAATTCAAAGTGATCCATTTGATGATCAGACTGAATGCAAACAGTAAGCAGTAATATAGATGCTGCAACTCCGAGCCTTCAATCGATGTCAAAACCAAGAAACCCACCAATGCTCAGATCGCCTCTGGTCCTTGCATACGGACATCAAATAATGCCTGTGGCTGAACTTCCGCTTGCGTTCAAGCCAGCTTGGCTTGCATCGGAGACGGAGACTCGTGTCACTTTCTTTGATTTTATTTACGGCTATGTCGCAGGCTTGCATGGATATCTTACATTCGTACAGTGGCGGTCTAGTAAACGAGGCAAAAGCAGCAAGGGACACTGAAATAGAACACAGACAGCAAATATTTTTTCTAAAAAAATTAAATACATAGTAATTGGTATCTATTCCTCTCCCATTGTCATGCAGCTGCAGCTGCAGCAAGCTCCCTCTGCTTCTCCTGGAGTGCCGAGAAATTTCTCTGCATCGCCCGAGTAGTAAATTCCTCCCCAGTAACAACGGGATACTTCTTCTTGGGGCCCTGGATAATGGCATCCTTGCACGGTTGGTTGAAGAAGGCAATACTGTATCGTTCACCGAAGTAATCCCCTTCCTCACTCGGGGCCTTGACGCGATGAAAGGTCGACTTGAATCGATCATCCGACCAAGACATGAGAAGATCACCAATGTTGCAGACGATATCGCCCGTCTTGGGCTTGACGGGCGTCCATTCGTCGCCAATGCCGAATTCCGTAACCACCTCGCGCCCGGGGCAGATCTCAAGACCACTCTCGCCATCCTTTTGGAAGAGAAGCGTCAGAAACCCCCAGTCAGCGTGTGCGCCTGCACGGTGGTAGACCGGTCTATCCTTGTCGTTTGGGTCGGGTTCTGGGAGGGCAAAGTAGTGTAGCAGTCGCATGGTAGTTTGTGAGTTCGTCCGAGTCACATCGTGATATCTGATGAAGTAGTCATCCGGGAATCCAAGTCCCCGTGCGAAACACCGCATCAGCTTCTCCGACACGCCTTGAACGTGATGCATGAAGCCCAATGACGTCTCCTTGAACTTGAACCCGGCCATCTGTTCGTCTGTTATCCAAACACCGTCCATGTTTTCGCCGAACTGCAGCTGGTAGGATTCCTTGGTGTCCGGTTGGCCTGTTGACGGCCGAATCTGCGAGTTCTTCTCCCATCCCACGTTCCTCGCGGACCAGGGGACGGTGGCTTTGATTTCATCCGGGAGATCAAAGAACCGCCGAGAAGCGTCAAACATGGCCTCGATCTCGTCTTTGGGGATGTCGTGGTCGGTTATGCTGAAGAAGCCAACATTTTCGGACGCGGCAACGAGTTCTCTGGTGATCTCGTCGATGCGGGACGAGTAATCTCGTAGGGAGATCTGCGGGACCTCCCGAGCGACGTATTTCGTTTTCGTGGTCATTTTGGTTTCTGTTGTTCTGTTGTTCTGTTGTTGTTCTCTTTGGCTGTCTTTGTCCTGGCCACCTCGCCGTCTCAGCGACAGCGAATCCGAATATAAATAATCACGACGTAGAGCGTGCCCCGCAAGGACAATCCACGGCCGACGGTGATTCTCATCGGTAGCAGCCGATAGGAACGGCCGCCTCCTGAATTATCCTTGTTATTATTGCCCTCATCCCGTTGCTGGGAGATGGATCTGTATGCTCGGCCGAGCTGATAACCACGGCATCGATAAGCGCCCTCAGAACCAATGGAGTACAGATGGAAAAGGCTTCGGCCGTTGCGTGTCGTGACGGCTTTCTATCGCTAGGATTCAGAGCAATTGAAGAATACCATCGGCCGAAGAGCCTTGAACGCCAAGAGAGGTTGCCATGCTTCGGGGAAGCCTAACCGTAGCAAGGACGGACGAAGGCTTGTTGCGCTAGTCATCTTAGACTCAAAGCCTTATACCTACTATTCTATTGAAATCGAAGTCGACCTAGTTAGCTAACTAGCTAACTATTGCTTTGCATTATCTAATCATACCAAATAGCATTCATCCCAAATCCCGGCTCTGGGATGTCCACCCGAGCCACTCGAGCAAGCAATTCGTCTTGGAAGCGGTACATTTCCACAAACCCTTGCTGGTCATCACAGAGCGCTAACCACTCATCACTGAAATCACAGGGACTAACTGCATTTGAGTGGCCACCGCTGGTGGAGGTAGGATTGATGAACAACTGCCGTTCCACGTTGCCATGCGGCCCCAGCTTGTAGGCACTGATGTAGCCTGTGTAGTCAAACCCATTCCCACGGGAGGTAGCAAAGAGATACTTGCCACTGCGGTTTGTAAAGACAACGTCGCCACGGTATTTGTTGCGAGGGGGGAGACCTGGTGAGGATTATGTTAGTGTTATATATATACGAATAACTCGAATTGAGACTTACCTGGTGGAATCAGAGGATAAGTCATATGGGTGAAGACAGGGACATGACGTTTCTCATCGATCACATAGACAGCTAGCCGATTACCAGCCTCCATCAGCACGTACAGATACTTCCCACTAGGATGGATCTCCATCCATCGCGGATGGTCATCAGGGGAAGGAGCGTCAATGCAATCAACTAGTGCCAGCTGGCCTGTTTCTGGGTCTTTTTTATGCGTCCAGATTTTGTTGGCTTGGAGATCAGCCGAGTATAGATATGTCTCGGAGGGGTCAAAGACCATGCCATGCACACCCGAGTCAGGAGCATACTCGTAATTCTGGATATTGGAAGCAAGAGAACCATCTGATTTTACAGAAAAAGTATTGCCATAGCCAGCGTATTTGTAGAAGGGATTGCCATAGACATTGTACGGCGGTTTGCGTGCCGCCAAAACAAAGATGGCACGGGTGTTGGAGTCGGCATTTGGGGCCAGAGCTGGCAGGAAATGGTCAGAAAAAAAAAAAAAAAAAAAGGTTAAAATGCAGCATATACGTACGATGGCCACCTAGCGGATGGGATTCTTGATGGATAATTTCTGTTGGACTTCTAACAGCGAAGCTGTTCCACTTCTTCATAGCCGCGCCATAGATTGTCTTCTTGTCATGCTGGAATCGAAACATGAGTCAGAAATTGACTGCTAATGTACAATGCATCCTCTGCTAACTTACGGAAAAGGTCATCCAGGAAATAGGCTCCGCTTCAGGAATGTCTGTCTTATGCAGGAGAGTGAGTGTGAGGGCCTCATCATCAAACTGAACTGTATAGATGCGGCCTGGGGGAGTCCAGGTGCCGACCATAAGATGGTGCTTCATGATGGAAGGCGATAGGAGTCAAGAAAAGTCAAGACAGAAAGAAATGTTCTGGGTTGCAGCAGTCCATCCATGCCTTCTAATATCTTCCTGGATAATATCCAACATCCCCGCGAAAAGTCATTCCCGGCGGCCGACCATCGCGGCTTTTCCCCCGCTGAAGATCCCGATTTCTCTTCCCGAAGAAACTGACATAACTAATAATCCTGACTTACGTTAGAGATACACCTGTACAACAGAGCTGCACAGGGATTGGCTTCAGTTTACGTATAGAATATAGAATATGAGGACCTGTGAAATTGACGCGCTGAAAATGACCGCTACCAAGGCCAGAAACGGCCGCCTTTCCACCCGTAACATCCAGCGGTAGCACCACTATTCTGCACCTCCCAAGACTTCTTCAGTCACTCTCCTGAGCTGATCTAGGCGCTCAATTTCACCGAGTTGTTCTCCCTGTTTATACTCACAACTAAAACGATGCCAGAAATGGCTCCCCTCCCTCTTTGCACAGCCTCATCGCTCGCATATAAAACGCCACCTTTTCTTCCATTTCCCTTGGTGTCCTCACACCCTTCAATCCTTGCATCATATCACCATGGCCCTTCCAACCCTCAAGTCAACCTTTCTGTGTATTCCTTACAGAAAACAGCCCCCGCAACCTGGAATTAGGTTATCTCAATGGCAACCCCTCCCTTGCCCTCTGCTCGGCCTGGTAAGCACCAATACTGGACTGACCCCATCCTCTGTGGGGAGACAAGAGCCAGACTGGAACATTTTTACAGCCTCAGATGGCTCCCCCTAAACTTCAATCTAAAGACACTCCAAGGAATTGCTATCATTAAATAATATTAGCAGAAGTAAGCATTACCTTAGGTCAAGAAAGCCTGGTGCTGTGACGACCATATTGTGACGACCATACCTGAGGTATGACCGTCAGCATGTGACCCTGGCACTGGCACGTCTTAGAAGGTGCCAACAGAGTGAGCAAGTAGGGCACAGGGCTAGGGCTGAGGGCAGGCTGCTGCCCTCGCCTCTTTGCTTCTTCTTCTCCTCGTGTACGATATTCCAAGACAGTACGGCCAAATAGCGAGTTGCTTTCCTCTTTTCATCCCATTATAGCTCATCGTCACATACTAAAGCGAAGAGCCTACGAGTAGCCAGAGTGAGTGCTAAAAGGCTCTCTGGGATAATTCAAGGAACCCCAGCATCAAAACATCTTCAAACTAATAAAATTATATTAGTAATTCGTTTCGGGCAGTCACCGTCCGGGTTACAGCTCAGCTGACCCCGGAAAAACCTCGTGGTAGGTACAGATTCGGAGCGAATCATATCAGTTGACATCAACCAGGCTGTCATTCAATGGGATTTGCATTTTCCATCAAAACAAATGAGTCGACTTTGCTTAGATCTGAGGCATCGATCACTTCAACCTTTCGGTAGTTTTCAGAAAAGAAAATGTGGTAGAGGTGGCCCTGAAACTCTAGAGAAGATATTAGTTATGCTATAAGTGGGCGACGGCAGAATTACCTGGACGGGATTTCTGTGGCGGTTTATCAGTGAAGTCGAGAACAATATACTGCTCCATCTTCCCTTCTTTGATCATGGTGAAATATTGTCCATTCGGTTCAGACTTTTCCATGTGTTGCAAAAGCCGATCACGATCTCTCAGAAGTTCTAATCACCACTTCTTCTGGGCGACTAGGAAGTCAATTGTCCCACCGTTGGTGCCTGCCTTGGTCATAAACTCGGGAGACATGACAACATGACCATCTAGCAAAGGGAACAGGCAGCAGTAGAACTCTTTCTGGTATTGATCTTCTAGGGGCGAGGAATTTCCTGCCAGAGAGCGTGGGGCATCTGATAGCTGACGAGGTTGGAAACGTTTAATAGCATCGAGTGCCAATTGTAGGGGAGAGTCATAATTAAGTTCATTGTCAGGACATTTCTCCGTGAAAAGACACTGGCAATACCTAGATTATTGTGTTAACAAGATGCATGAAGCAATTTATAGATTATGCGCCTACCAACGGTGGATTTGGCTTGCGAAGACAAAGTGTATATCACCATCTGATTTCTCTGCGTGGAGCCATCCATTTGCCCAGATGTTTCCAAGAGCTTGTTTCCATTCTTCACTCTTTTTCTCAAAGCTAGACCCATAGATGCCGTCACAGGCAATAGCTTCCTTCAGGACACTGGCGGGACCATGCTTTTGTATTATCCAGGGTGGAGGTAGGCCCCTGGCAAATGGAAGATTTTCTATGATTCTGAAGAATTTTATGGGATCGCTGAAGAGAGCCTTACTTGTTGTTGACCAATCAATAGGTTGACAACTCCGCACAATGCCAGAAGCGTCTAACGTGGAAAGCATTAAAATTAGTAGATTGGTCGGCAATACGTTCAGACTCAGGCCCAGGACAAGGCTTACGGGTACGCCATTCAGAACATGCGTGAGAGATGTAATCAACCCTACATGTCCGTTGCTGCTCCGGAAGAATTCTTGCTTCAAGTCTTGCGTCAGAATAGGTCTACAGTTTGGTATGATAGTTTGTGCATATCGTTCTACGACCTCATTAGCCTCATCTGCATCGAGCAGCAGACCAACAGGTCTCCAAGGCCACGTCACATTCTCATCTGGTCTGAGCGATATCTGCTGTTCAGCGCCGAAAACCATAGGCGTCTTCACATATTTCTCCTGTTCGAAGCCGGTAAACCCCCTGGTCGGAGAGCCGTAAGACATGAAGAGAACGATGTACACCTGGGACGCTGGTTCGACGGCTTTGAACAGGTCGGCCCATAACTCGTCGTCCCAAAAAGATTGTTGGGCCTCGTCGAGAAAGAGATACCCCCTATGTGTCAGCCAACAGCGGCCATGAATACCAGTTTGTTTCTCGAGATACGCAGCCCAGCCATTTGCACTACAAACCGATTCCATCTTCCAACCGGACAGGACGTATATGGGAGTCGCCGGGTCACATTCGAACAATTTATTAACCATCAGATTCATGATAGTCGTTTTACCTGAAGCAGGGGTCCCGTTAACTCGGATAATGTGGAAGCTTTTCACTCGAGCAATGAGTTCGTCGACCAACTTATTTCGGGAAACAACGTGAGATCCAATGCCTGTGAGAATTAGTATTGATCATGCCATACGTTTCAACAGCGAATTGCTTACCTATAGGTTGAAAGATCTGGGCTGGTGGAAAGCTGGAACTAGGAGGATTGAGGGTGGCTGTGGGGTGAGATTAGCTGTGAATCATTAAGGGCGTGAGAAACTAACGGTAGCCAAGGTGAAGGGACATAGGATGCGAGCATTTATCACATGCTGTCTGATCCGTCAACTCGTCGAAGTGAGAAATGAAGGACCCCGAGGTGCATGTGCACCGGAGGAGCCCAGTTTCGTTTCGCCAAAAACAAGACCCCATGGTGATGAGTAACTTGGGTTTGTTGATTGCGGTAGAGGATGGTGTCGCGATTCTACAGGAAGAAGGCGAGGAGGAAGGAGCAACAGGGGATTGAGGTATAGATGAGGGATTGGGGATATGTACGTTCGTCATCGTGTCAGTGAGGGAATCCCTTGAACTGCTTGTCAACCATCCCATTTTCTGAGAGTTGGAGGTCTTATCACAATCGAGTCCCTCTACCACAAGTCAGGGCAGCGGTTAGCAGTGATCTTGTTATTCTCTTGGGCAAGTTCAAGACCTGCTGGAATAACTTACTTAGCGTTTAACTCTTCTGTTCATAAAGTAGGTCTATTCAGAGAGATACTAATTCACAAACAAGGACTCTTCCAGTTGAAAAGGGTAAAAGCAATAAGCCAGTGTGCGATATGAAGCGAGTTGTTGTTGGCTCTCCTCGACTTCTCGAGACTACAAGATTATTCAGCGGCAAGGAATTGAAAGGGAGCTTCCCGCGCAAGTTTTATTCCATCCGTGACGTCAGAAAGGTGGGAACAATAACGTTATCAACCACCGAGCCGGCAGTTTTTCATGCCTTCATGGGTAATTTGGAGCTTTTTGACCACCAAAGCCATGAAATTTGCCTAACTAAATATGTAAAATAACAGCTATTTACTAGGGCAATTTCTTATAGTATGCCCAATTATCCCACAGCCACTGCAGCGTTGCGGAGCTCGTCAACTAGGCACAGGAGCAGATTCCTCAGGTTGCTCATTTAAGCTGCGTATCAAGCTGCTGAACCCGAATTTGACCCTCCTGTACAGATAAAAGGGTATCATTGCCTAGTATAGCACGCCGTCTTGCTTTTTTCTTATATGTCCACTCATTTTCAGCTTGTAAACTTCTTGCATAGAACGCGTCAGCGAGACAGTGTTGTCAGTTTGGAAAATTCACAGGCAGATGGAAATCCAGACAGCTATGCCCAGGAGAGAATGAAATGGAGTGGGAAGAGAAGGTTGGGAGAGTTGGAAGGATGGAGAGACAAAGGCCAAGAAGTGAAAGCGTTTGAATAGACATTAGGAGTTGTGGTAAGGTTCAAGTAGAGGCTCTTGAAAACTCTTAGTAACTACTCGTGCAGTAGCTACTAGACCCATAGCAAAGCCAGTCTCATCAAAATTGTAGATATCCTCTATTGCAATCCCATGCTGTATTATAGTAATTTGTACACGATCAAACCACTCCCTAATAACTTTAGGGTCTTCACATTTAGCACGTCGATAATCATATCGTCTTGAGAAGCGTGTTTTCAGCTGATCTTGTCGATTGATCAAGTTGTATACCCATTTCTCTCCAACAGATTGAATTGGTGTAGTACCACGCCGAGCAAGTAGAATATTGGCCATTTCCCGTACATGCAAAGGTCGGGGAGGTGCTCCACGTCAATATAGTGAGGGAATCCATTGTATAAGTGATTCCTCTTCATTTTGAGTCATCTTATGGTTGTTGCACGTTTTTCTGCTCGAAAAATGTGGCTATTTAGTCGTCTTCGAAGTGTTGTACGCGGAACATTGTAAACACGTGCTGCTTCTGAAATACTGCAGATTTCTTGCTTTTTTAAAGCATATATAGCAAGTAGGACCCTTCCACCTTGCTCAATTAAATCTTTTGAAATTTAACGCGCTTTTGGAGGCATGGTTGGTGGTTGAACTGAGTGAGGTTTTTGACCACGGTCAAAACGCGGAGAGGTGGCCGCTCGCTTACCGGATACGTTACAGGATTAATCCAATTCTTCAGTGATGGCTTGAACGTTGTTCCGTCTCCCATTTTTATCCCTTCTATGTACAACTATATCGTGCATATTTTTTTTTTAAAAAAAAAATAAAAATAAAAAAAAATAAAAAAAACCAAAACGCACCATTTTCACATCTATCCATGGACGCATTGCCGCTGAAAGCAAAATCATATATAGAATCCAATTACTCCGCACCTCGGTCCTTCACATTCATCAGTATTTCCTTCGTCTCATCATGTAGCCCATCTAAACCGTGGAACCCTTCCTCAACAACCCATTTCTGACCATTGATGTTGTGAAGGACATGGCAACTCTTCCCAACAACCAGCAGGCCAGGTGGCCTGGACCCTTCCGCTTCAAACGCCATACACACATACTCAAGGGTAGAGCGAATCACTCGCTGGTCAGGACACGAAGCCCGTTCAATAATCGCGCACGGGGTATCCTTCGGCCAGAGTATCCTGGAACTCGAACTGTCGTTCACAGTATCTGTTGGTTGTGTTGTCAAAGACTCCACAAGTGAGGACAACCGGTGTAGTGCCATCAGGAAGACCACTGTCTGAGTAGACACATAGCTAGGAGGTTCTGGAGCAGCGCCCTTCCTGCCAGTACCAGTGCAGATGAGTACCTGGTCAGAGACACCCCGATGAGTCACTGGAATGTCTGCAAAGAGTGAAGCGCTCAGTGCGCTGGTTATTCCGGGTAGAACCACAGGTGTAAATCCTTCCGCCTGGAAAAAGTCGAATTCTTCTCCTCCACGCCCGTAGAGGTATGGGTCACCCTGCTTTAGTCGGAGCACCTGTCGCCCTTGGCGCAACGCTTTCAGGCCCATCTGGAGAAATTCCTCCTGGGCCTGGTCCGCATTACCAGGAAATTTGCGTGCAATGTGCACTTCAGTCCTGCGAGGTATAAGATCCAGAACAGGCGCAGGGACAAGCTTATCAGCGAGGATAATATCGGCGTTTTGAATGGCGTTGTATGTTGCTCGAGTAACCAAATCCGGATTTCCTGGGCCTGAGCCAGTGAGGACGATCTTCCCCTTTCTGGAAAGCTTTTTCACACCATTGAGGCCTTCTGTATCCCCTTTCCCTGATGAGTAAGCGGTAAGAATCTCCTCGATCTCCGTATTTGTGATAGCAGCCAGTTTCCGAAGCGGCCAATATTCGCATATCTGGGAGAGCCAGCGTATTCGTCTTGTCTTGGAAGTTGAGGTATCATCTTCCTTCACCAATGTGTTAAACGTATGTTTCTGGCCAACTGAGTCGTCTTCCTCCCCCTCCAAATTCGAGTAACACAATCCAGCGGCGTTGTCTTCTTTCCATAGGCTCTTTCTCACTGCGCCTAGCTTGTCGATTGCCGCTCCAAGGTTTGGCGGTAGTGATGAAGCAATCTCTCTCTTTATCCTAGAGGCAAGCTTGCAGCCACGCCCAGATGTCGTGATCCCAATATGAAGAGGACCATCCGAGTATGTGGCAAGTAAAGTAAAAGTACAAAGCCCGGGAGCGTCAGACACATTGACAGGAATCCTCATCCTACGACAAAGGCCCGAAATGTGCGCTTCTGGAGGGTAAATGATTAACTAGGTGTTCCTGAACATGGACAGAAGATACATACTTAGTGGATGATCCCCTTCTAGGGTGACAAACACCGTATCCACAACACGATCGACCTCGTCTCGCCCCAAAGTGGTTAAATCATCGTCACGAAATTCTCTGCGTATCCATTGCGCGGAGCCGTTAGTGATGCTCTCAGATAATGTGTAATGCAAATCTCCAGTATCTGGTGCAATGATGATAGGCTTCGCTCCAACTTCAAGGCTCTTGATACAACGAGCCGCCGCAAGAGGATTCGCACCGACGATTAAATGCACCTGTGATTCTGCACTCCATGCTGCGAGAAGAGGTGCATATCCTGGGGCAGACGAGGAGTCTCTCATTGCTTGTTCTCCAGAAATTCCCTTCTCTGGTTTGTGCTTAAATCTTGAAAGGCAGCTGGTCCGGTACTTATTGCTTCTCGTGCAAAAAAGACCTTCCGCGGAAAAACCTGATTGATATAGCAAGTTGGAGAGAGCAAGATCCAATTGCAGTAGCAGGGCTTGATAAGCCTACGAAACAGTTTCACTGACAGACCGGCCGCGGAAAAGCATGCCTATGAGCAACATTGCACTGGAAGAACACTGTACGCTTTGTAGATATGCTTTTCTTCTGCCAAATCCCGGCTATTGCGTGATCAACGTGCCGCTTACCTAATCCACACAGGTTGAGAGCGTAAACTTGGGTGGGTTAATTACTCCGGTATGTAACTACTCTCTAAAAGCGAATCGCAATGGAAGGGGCGTGATGGAGCAACCATGGCGACGGGCTGGAGATGAAGATGATCGTGGGAATAGATTACTCCTTTATTTAGGTAGATTATGGCGAGAACTGGAGAGTCAAAGCCAGGCAAGAAGAGTCAATCGATAAGCTTGAGAATTGTGAAGGGCAGAAGGTCACATGATATACCGCCATGGGGTTGCACCGCTCGCTTGCATATGCTTGGCACACACATCTTTCTGCACAATGGGATAAATGTTACTAATGCTGAATAATGCATGGTTACGCTGCTTGGACTGCTGACTCATTAAGTTACATTCCGCTCCTATTATTGATTCGACAATCTACTTCTACTTGCCACACATGTAAGCGGCCAGTTCAGGCAAGACCTTCTCCTTGTCCTGCATATGCACCTGGGCGATTAACAGTAGATTAATATATGCTAGAAGTACACGTATATAGCATATGCGGCAAACTTTTTCACTCGGAGTTCAATGTGGCGTGCCAAGTGGACACTTCCCCGCCAAGAGCCCGCAGCTCAAAATCTTATGAGCAAGGAACCGTGGTATGCACACGGACGTATACTGCAAATGGGCACAACCGCACCTGTCCCTGAAACATCCCCTGGATGGGTCTCTCCAGGCATTGCGTGAAGTCTCTCCGTAGTTCTAGACTTGTACTAATGGTTATCACTTTCGTCGAGTCGGTCAAGATAAAATTTGAAGGGGGCCATGGACACAGCGTGCTTCCCGGAGATCTCTACTAGCGTCGTCAGCCGTGGATAGAAGAAGCCCCATCCATGGCACTAGATAGAGTACGCCACCACCGGCGTGAAGGTTATCTGTGTGGATCGCCCTAGAACTAAACTATTATTCCACTATAGGTAAAAATAGAGCATTATGGGGCCTGCTCCATATCTGGGCTTTATCCCATCTGGTCAGGATCGATGCTGGACGCTCTTCGTCGAGCACTGTCGATAATATGTCCTTGCGCAGACCGTCTCATCGCTGTGGTACCGTTGAGTAGCAGCTGGACGCGAGCCGTGGACGTGAAACGGGCAGCAGGTGTGGAGCAGCAACAGTCCACGGTACGCCCCATGATTGGACACTAGTCCAAGTCGAGATCTGTTTATGTCAGCGATCTGCCTGTTCGGCGCTGCCCTGTGCGTCCTCATCTCGCTTCGCTATCTTGTCCTCCCTCGATCCTTTTTCTGTCTTTTCTTCCTTTTGTCTCCTTTCTCGACAGCGTCTTCTTCCAATGTCGACTGTTTCTATTCCTGTTGCCTGTCCCTTTCAATTGCCTCCCTGATTTCCCGTCTGATCTGTCTTTGCATTCCTACTTCTTTTCTTACATCCCGCTTGATTCTGTTCGTCAGGTCATCCCTTCTCTTGGTATCCTAATACTAGATTGTTTTGTTCCCCATTGTTCATTCCCATCATTCGTTAAAACTACCTTGCTTTCTGTCCCGGCGACGGAATGTCCACTCCTTTGGAGTCTCCTGCCAAGGAGCATCCTTCCACGCAGCAGCCCGCTGCCTATGACGACCAACAGACGTTTGTCAATGATAACCCTACTGAAAATGGCGATAATCGCAAGCTCAAAGTCGATACTACTCACTCCAATAACGCGGATGAGCTCCGTTCGCCCTCTCGTGACCGAGAGAGGGCCTTACGCCTGGGCGATGATCTAGCCGTGTTAGAAGCGGAACGCGAGGCGTCTCGCTCCCTTCACGATGAAGAAGGTACAGCAGAGGAGCCTGGCGAGAAAGGTTCTTTTTCCAGTCGATCCCACTCCCGACATGTCGACGAGTTTGATGAGGTGACAAACCCCCTGCATGAGAAGGCCGCAGCCTTCAATCCTCCGGAAAACCCCACTACCGACTTCGCCAAATTCGTCAAGAGGATCCACAATTCGAGCTTCATCATTCGCTATGCTACATATATTATCCCTGTCGTCGTTCTTCTGCTTATCCCGCTTCTCGTTGGCGCGTTGAAATTCAAAGATGCCAACGTTGGTGGCGTACGTTTGCTCTGGTTTTCCGTCTGGCTGGAAATATTTTGGTTGACTCTGTGGGCTGGGAGAGTATGCTTTGACCCTCCTTCTGTTTTCGAGCTTGCCTGCTAACAACCTCGCCCGCTGACTAGGTTGTCGCCAAATGCATACCCCCGGCCGTTGGCATTCTCGCCAGTGTCTTCACAAACAACGCGAAGAAATGGCGAGACATGGCAGAGCAGCTGGAGTTCCCAGCGACGCTTTTCTTCTGGTGGCTTGGTGTCGAGATCTCTTTCCTTCCAACCATGATCAACCACCATGTGGACGGTGGTGGTACTCGCCACTGGGAGAGGACTGTCAACAAAATCATCGTTTCCATCTTTGTCTGGACCATTCTCAACCTCGTTGAAAAGGTCATGATCCAACTCATCGCCATGAACTTTCATCTACGTACCTATTCCGACCGCATTGAGGTAAATAAGTTCCAAATTGGTAGCTTGACCAAACTCTACGCCTACTCCACAGCCAAGCTTGGCGACAAGGACGAAGATTTTGAAGAGAAGAGAAACGGATCGGAAAGCGGTGGCATGAAGACTCCGATGCAGTATGCGGGATTGGCTCAAAAGATGGCGAGGGGAGCCTTGAACAAGGTCGGCGATGTTGCTGGTGCTGTCGCGGCTGACTTCACCGGTCGCAAGGCCAATAAGAGCACCCACCCACATCAGGTTGTTTTAACTCTCCTACGCACCCCATCTGGAAGTCAGGTCCTGGCTCGACGGCTATACCGTACTTTCGTCCGGAAGGGTCAGGAAGTCATCTTGGCGGACGACTTGAAGATCGTCTTCGACAACGAAGAGGAGGCTGAGGCCGCCTTTATCATGTTCGACAAGGACCTGAATGGAGACATCTCCATGGAAGAGCTGGAAGCCGTCTGCGTCGAAGTGGGCCGGGAGCGGAAAGCGATTACTGCGTCTCTGAAGGATCTCGATTCAGTCGTCTCGAAGCTCGACCATGTTTTTGATGTTCTGGTGTTTGTCATTGTCGTCATGGTGTTCCTGTCCTTGATCTCGACCTCCGCTTCTGGGGTGCTCACGTCTGCCGGTTCCTTCATTCTTGGTCTGTCATGGCTTTTCTCCGCCACTGCCCAGGAATTCCTACAGTCTATCGTCTTTGTCTTTGTTAAGCACCCATTCGACGTCGGCGACCGTGTAACCATCTACGGCAACTCTGGTGACACCGGCCGTGGTGATGACTACTTCGTCAAGCAGGTTTCTCTCCTCTATACCGAGTTCAAAAAGATGCAGGGCCACATCGTCCAGGCTCCTAACAGTTACTTGAATACTCTGTTTATCCTTAACCAGCGCCGCTCGGGTGCCCTGGCAGAGGCCGTTCCAGTCATAATCAAGTATGGCACCACGCTTGAACAGATGGAGGCCCTTCGCCAACGTCTGCTCGAGTTCGTCCGCTCCGAAAATCGCGAATTCCAAAACATGATTCTCACTGAGCTCCGAGAGGTCACGGAAAACTTCTCCGTGACGCTCAACGTGGTCTTCTTCTACAAATCTAACTGGCAGAATGAGGGCCTGCGCCTGCAACGGCGCAACAAGTTTATTTGCATGTTGATGGTCGCCCTGCAAGAGATCGGTATCGAAGGACCACGCATGAACCTCCAGGGTGCCGCTGTCGACATCCCCTTCCACGTCACTTACAACGGTATACCATCCGGTACTTCTGCTGGCCCTTCAGGAAACAATGGCTTTACTCCCGCCACCCCTGTGGGTGGTGACATGGATACCATTCCCGAAGAATCAGGCCAAGGCAGCGCCCTGCGTTCCCACCCGTCAATCCTTCGCAAGGGCATGCATACGGCGGCCGCTCGCGCTCGCGGCGAATCAATCGCCTCCCACAAGCACGTCGACTTCTCTCTAGGCATGCGAAACGTGTCCTCAGCGGACGTCATGGGCGACGTCTTTGACGACCGCGGCGTGAGCAAGGTGGACGACGTTATCCTTTCTGCCAACCGCGAGGCCGAGGATCTCCGTCGCCAGAGGCTCGCCGAGGAAAGAGAGGCAGAGGAGGAGAGAAGTCGCAGTTCTATGTCGAAATCGCACAGGCGTGGATCCAATCTCTCTTCGCATCCGGGTGCCTCCGAGGGCCGTCGCTCCATGGATACCCACAGTCATCGCTCAGTGGACGCTCCTAGCCATCGCAGTCTCTCAATTGTCCATCCTAACCGTTTTTTGCGCACACGCACCAGTCCTGATATCGAGCAAGGCTCCTTTGACTCTGGTGCTCCGGGTTCGTCAGATATGCCAAAGCATATGTACGTTGCTGCCAGCCCCAGTCGGCAGTCATGATCTGAAATGATTTTCCACACTTTCTTATTTAAACCTTCGCTCTATTTATTTTGTCTTAAGACTTTTGGGATTTATTTTGGCCATTTGTGTCTACAACTCCCACGCTTCCAGTATTTTTATCGATTCTGTGAGTATGGCGTGTGTACCCATAGGGTTAACAAATGGTAATAAATCCGATATTCATAACTAGACTTAGTCTGATCCAAGTTTCCTGGATAGTTTCTCCCTAAAAGGAGTTCGATTCGAATATCGAGCTCTCTCTTCGAGATATTCTTCTTCGCTTGGTATGACGTTATTTGCGTTTATGGAGATCTTTCCTTTTCATGCTCAATGATGTCTGCGATGTTCTCGGAGTCGACCGGGTGAGAATAGTTGTCCTCAATGAGTACTTTGCCTTCCTTGTATCGTTGATTCCCTCTGAAACGGTCGAGCTCCCTAACTGGATAAAGACAGCCACTCTGTCGCCTTCACAATTTGCAATAATATAATAGTGTAATGAGCTTTGATCACCATTTCGGACCGCATGAGTGTGCTGTTGTATACGCCATCGAAGGTTGTTTGGCTGGCTAACATAAAATCGCAAATGTTTTGGGTCTTGATCACCAGTAATAAAGTTCAGGTAGCCACTGCTACGTGAGTCTTGAATATGGTTTGCAGCTTGATTTTTAAGTATTCCAAAGTAAAAGTTGAAGTGCTGGCCTGGCATACACTTCACGGGTCACGGCCCTGCCTTTGAGCTCCTGGACCGCAGGCTCAACAGAGGCAGGTATGGCTTTTTGATCGAATCTGCCCCCCCCCAACAGGCTTCAATTTGTCTATATGGAGTATGGCATAATTTATCAACTTTGTCGGCGACGTAGTCAACCTTCTTGGGCAAATGTCGGACTAGCAAGTCTAGATGCAGGCACAGAATTGCGAATGTTGTTAGGTTCCAAGAAATAACTTCTTCAGGCAAGCAAATAATCTCACGCTATTCCCTTCTTTCTCTTTCTCTTTTTATTTAAAAACCTTAGAGTAGTTGAGCGAAACGAAATTCTTAACTACATGGGCAATATCAGTCCATTTATTGTCAGCTTCAGCCAGGGAAACACTGGATGAAAGACAGAAAAAGAAAGTACTAATTAACTCCGCGGATATGGTTATCAATTATGTTAATGGAAGAACTCCACAATAAGGACAGGATGGGAGAGTGGTTAATCCGCGAGACTTGAATACCTCCGTCATACATGGAGTGCCAAGATCATCTCGTCCCTTTGGGGTCGTCAGTTCGAATCTGGCTCCTGTCGTATTGACTTTTTTTATATTAAGTCAGAATAATATATGACTGGCATCGCTCTTAAAGAAACGAGAACGGTACATGGTTTTTGCAGTATCTTTCTATGGTTAATCGTAACAAGTACTGGATCTTCCAGTTTACTAGTTATTGGAATGACAACTTAACAAACGTAGGACTGGAATTTTAGAAATGCGCGGTTTGAAGTGCTCAGAAAGACAATAGAGAGTCCGAGGCGGCGAAGCAGATATGCCACATGTGCAGTGTGATTTGAAAGGAGCTGGATATGCCCAATCTCTACCAATTCAGATGCCGCGGGCCGCGGGCGTCTGATGAGTTCTATAAATCAAAGAGATCGCGGAGAATCTCCTTTTCCATTCCTGACGTCAAGCCGGGAACCACTCCAAGATATCCTATCCATCACTTGTCCTCAGTCCTGACGGTTAATTGCTTGCAGTTGATTGCCGGAACGAATGGCGGCCATTGAACTCTTCAAATACCCCATCTCCTCTCCAGCCGATACGTCGCCACTGCAATGCCTCGAGGACGAGGGTTACAGTGCTTCCGATATCATTGCAGTGATCGGAAAGACCGAAGGGAATGGTTGCGTCAATGACTTCTCACGAACGTTAAGTGCACATGTCTGGGAATCGAAAATCCCTTCATCCGCTGTGACCGTGTTCTCAGGGGGAACGGAAGGAGTCCTCTGTCCCCATGTTACATTTCTAGTTCGAGCAAGACAACAGACTGGTCTGCTTGCCTGCTCAGGGCAAACACGAGAATTCCGACCTCATGAAGTTGGTACAAACGTCCAGAGCCGGGAGGTTGCTCGCACGATCTCCGAGATGATCGATAAAGCTGGGATCACGAAAGAGTCTGTGCATCTGGTCCTCATTAAATGCCCTCTTCTCACGTCCACGGCTATCGACTCAATCCGGAAAGCTGGACAGAGTCCTGTTACTACAGACACCTACGAGTCAATGGCATTTTCTCGGTATGCTAGTGCGGTGGGGATCGCGCTGGCTTTGGATGAAATTCAACCAGACATGGTATCGGCGGCGCTACAGTCTCCGGAAGAAGGAGCAGTGTGGAGCTCTCGAGCCAGTTGTAGCTCCGGCGCAGAGCTCAACAACTGTCATATTATGCTTCTAGCTTCTGATCCCCGGGAAACAAAAGGTCGACTGCGAGCTACGTCAGGATACATGAAGGATGCAATGGACGCCGGTACTTTGCTGGGCATACTGAACAAGATCCGCCAGGAAAAGGGGGAAGTAGTCCAAGTATTCGCTAAAGCGGAGGCTGACCCTTCAGGGTCTATCAGAGGACTTCGACATACTATGAACACCGACAGCGACATTCACAGCACGCGGCATGCGCGCGCGGCAGTTGGGGGATTGGTAGCAGGACTGGTGGGAGATTCGGCAGTGTACATAAGCGGAGGTGGAGAAGGACAAGGTCCCCCGGGAGGAGGAAGTCTCTGTGTCATTTATTCATGCCCGTAGCTGGGAATGTCCCCGTAGTGAATTGGAGAACTTGGAAGAGACTTGGTGAATTGCCGACCGTTGCAGCGTATTCGCGTGGCTCGCCGACAACGCGCATCGTCGCGTCCAACCCGTAAACAGAAACCATTCGCCAGTTCCTCCACGTTTCAGCTGCGATACTCCCTGCGCTTGGGCATTCTTGCATTAGGGGGTGACGGAGCATCATCTCGCATAATTAATTGGTATTTTATCCTGGACTGACCATCATAATCAACCATGGACAATGAAGTCCCTCTTCCCCCGCCACCCCGGATCCGCCATCGCTCTCCGACAGCCAAACAAGCACGGCAGTCTGACGCGTCACTTCCATCCTCGAACTCCATTTCTCGCTCGCGCACCTCCTACCAGTTCCCTGCACGGTTTGACGACCGCTCAAGCCAACCATCGAGTGATCCAGCCTTCTTCTCGAGCGACGACATCCCCGCGTCTGGGTTGGAGAATTACGACAATGCGCCCTCATCTACAGCGGCTAGTCGCAAACGGCGATATCAAGGGACTTGGTGGGGAGAGATGGTCTTCAATCTGAAAAGGAAGAGAGCAGACTTCAAGGATAAACGATTTGTGGACAGCGGCGTGTGGATGGGCAGCGATGAGTCTCTCAGAGATAGCCCATCAGAGGATATGCTCTGGGAAGGACAGCCTGGTTCAAAGAATGAGCATTGGCCTGTAGCAGCGCAGAGTCGCGCTGTCTTCAAGGGCATTGAAGAACCAGAGGAACACAAAGTTGCGCGGGCAATTGTTCTGGAATGCCTGGAGAAAGGACAGGATAGTGTCGACCTGAGGTACGTGGGTGTTGCTTTGCTTCTCTTCTCCCTGCCATCAATGGCCCTTGCTAGCCTTGTTGACATTTCTCTTTTCCTTTAGCAATAGCTATCTACGAACCGTTCCCCCGGGCCTTCTGGGACCTTTGCAGCATCTAACAAAGGTGCCAATAGTGGAACCCCCGATCACAGAAGACCTCTATAGTTCATTGCAGCCGTTCCTTCGTCTATTTCTCTCAGGCAATGCCCTCACCGCGCTGTCAAGAGAACTATTCGAGCTACGAACTCTGAAAGTGCTCAGCCTGCGGAACAACAAACTCTCTCGAATCCCGCCTGCTATTCGAAATCTGACAGACCTGCAAGAACTCAACATCTCCGTCAATCGATTACAGTACCTTCCGTGGGAGCTGCTTTGGCTCATCAGAAAGGGTGACTTGAGGCATCTGGTAGTGCGCCCAAATCCGCTTGCGCAGATGGAGGATACTCCTGTTGCTTTATGGCATTATGAGAATAATGGCGAGGAAGGGATCCCCTTGAACGGAAATACCAACGATCTGAAGCTCTTTAAATACGAAGGACCGCCCCCAGAGGAAGCATGGGCCCCGATACATATTGCTACTGGACCCGTGCAGCGATTCAGCATGGAAGGATTCCCCATCCCTTCTGCTGGGACGCGGCATTCGAACAGGAATAACATGTCTGCGGCTAATCAAACACAGTCACGCGTTCCGTCTTTGCGTGAAGTTGCCCTCTTGACTCTGAGCAGATCCCCGTACTTTGACCAGATCTCTGATTCCGAGATCGCCACTTTTCCGGCACTGATAGCTCGCTTACTCTGGAAGGCCCGAGAGGTCAGAAATGCTGCTGGCCAAAGTTGCTCCGTGTGCCATCGCAGCTTCGTGGTTCCTCGTGCAGAGTGGATTGAGTGGTGGGATTGCAGCACGTATGAGAACGGATTGAAGAGGCCCCGTTACTCGGGAGAGTCACTTCGTCCTTTGCCATTTCAAAGATTCGGTTGTAGCTGGGCATGTGTTCCCAGTCAGGAGGAAGAGTGACCAACGAGGGACATTGGATTTATACCTTGTTCGATTTGCATCGATGTTTTTGTTCCGACTTGGAACTAACGAGGCCTTTTGCATATTTCCCCATGTTCAGCTGGGTTGTTTGTTCGTTCTTCATGTGCCTTGCATCTCCGGTGTTCATCTACTGCTAGATACATAACCATGCATAATTAGACCAATAGCTATCATATCCCATCATATGGAAATATCAATTAAATAGGGGAACTGGATGAAGGATTCTCAGGCAGCAACGAGCTCGGTTTCTGCCGGGATGTCCAAAACCCGAGCATTATGAAGTGTAAAAGCCCTGTATCTTTCGCGTAAAGACATCATGGATTTTCTTTTCTATCAGTTAAAAAAAGGGTGTAATAGGTAATTGAAGAAATGATCTCTGCAAAGACATCGTCACTTCCATTACTCTACCGGGGTTTCCCAGACACGGGAATTTATACCTGGTCACCCACCCTTCGTCATGAAGCTCGAAGCCCGTCTACGCTTTGCCAACATCGCCTACACACCTGAAGCAGGATCCATCTTTAAAGCCCCCGTGGCAAACTCCCATACATCAGTCTTTCTAGTCTGGAAGCGGCAATCCCTACCGTCCTCCCAGACTCGACCTTGATAGTCCATCGACTCGTCGAGGACAATGTCCTACCCAACCTGAATGAGAAGTTATCACCCGTCAATAGGGCGCGTGTTTTAACCATTCGTGCCCTGCTAGAAAACAGGCTTTATTTCGTGCAGGTTAGTTGAATCGTTGAAACATTGCCCCCTTCAAAGTTTATCCGAAATCACCTAACGAGTCCGCAGGTCTACGAAACGCTAGAACGACAACTACTACACCATGCGCTCAAAGGTTCTTGCTGCTCTCTCGTATCCAATGTAAATAGCCGTCAGCTTTCTCGCCCATCGCGGCGCCATGCAGACTTTCCATGGACGGGGCATTGCGCGCTACACGGACGAGGAGAGAGCTGCGTTGCGTCTAGAGGTGTGGGATAATGTAAATGCATTGGTCGCAGAGGCACGTCGTGTCAGGATGTAGATGTAGATGCAGATGCTCCATTCTGGGTATTGGGGATGAGCGGTCCTACCGAAGCTGACGCGACCTTGTTCGGGTTCATTGCTTCTTGTATGACCTGTGACGCGTATGTACACTGCACCACTTTTGTTCAGGATGGATTCATTGCTAATGCGCTGGTACTACTAGTGGTCCCGACTCGCGGAGTGTTATTGAGAGCTTTCCTGTGCTGATGGATTATGCGAAGCGTATCCATGACAAGTATTCCCAGATTATGAGTTCCGGGAACTATCGTGAAGTATTCGTCGAACTTTCCCTTGGATCTTTATCTGTTCTCGTCTTCTCTCTCTATGCTCGAGGTTTCCGTCCACAGCTGCGAAGTAGTAAATAATAGCTATTCCATTTAACCTATAGTCTTCTCATCGAGTCCATGACGTACTATACAGCAGTTCAGATGCATCTCTATCACGATTCACGAGAAATGCCTTCAAGATGTACCACCCATGTGAATTTTGCCAGCAAATTTGAAAATCATAGATGAAAAAAACAAGTAGCCCCAGTGGCCCATTTGAAATCTAGCATTGAAAAGGCAGTCAGTTTTTAGGTCATCCTATCTCGAGCATGGTAATTGACTTTCCAGGAAGTCGGATCGGATATATCAACACCATCAGTGGCTGTCATCTTTAGAACACGGCACGAAGGGGTCAAGAACGGTTTGGCAGTCATCTGGACTCCTTTAGTTGAACTTGAATGCCAATCACCTGCGTCTGCAGATGAGGAGCGTTGTGACTGCGAAGATAGAGAGGAGGGCCGTTGAGAATGAGAATACTGAGGACTCTGATGATCCTGCAAACCAGTAGTGCGCTGGTGAGAGCATGGCCCCCAAGAAGCTCGATGCACAAGATATTTGGGTCTTTTCGTAGAATATAAATCTATATCATCACCGTTGTCGGAACCTGCGATAGAAGACCTGCCAGTAGGGTACGTCGGAGGAATGGAACTAGCTCTGATTCCAGGTTGGACACCTTTTTCCTGAACTTCCGGGGAAAATGTGTTCAATGGAATTTGGGGACATGAATTCTCAAAAGAGGAGTATTTGCGTGCAATCCTCGGTTTGCGGGCTGGACAGCTTCCAGACTGACAGCCTGCTTCCAATTTTAATTTTTTCTGTTCTTGGTTATACGAACCTCTTCTTCTTTGAGTCATTCGGCCTCTCCTTCCATTCGTATCAATGGAGGTGATGTGACGATGTACGAAAGTACAGTTAGTTACTGGGTCGGCCTCAGTTGGATAGAATGCGACCCGTGCACGCATAGTCTGGATGGCGGAATCGAGAGCAAGCTCGATCGCCAAGTGATTCCTGATACGCCCAAGTTTAGGCCATGTAGCACGTTCGCCCCCAAGACAGGCCTGGAGCATGAAGCCAGTGGTTGGGTTCTTGAGCATTAAAGGAAAGCTCGTGTATGGGATCTCAGGGAAGATGGTGATGTCACCAAAGTATTTTTGATTCATAACAGACACTGCTTTCGTCAAGAATGTTGGGAATATCCCCAGATCTGAGAATACTGTCATCCGGTAGAGTGCTTCATCTTTAGCAAGATGGGTAATGGTGTGTAGCCATCCAGTTTTCGGCGGAGCATTTCGATCGGCAGTAGTATTGCCACTGGAACATTCATCCTTGGAGAGGAAAGGGAGCACATGTGGGTTGACTTGTGATACGATAAAATGATTTACATTGAACATCTCTGACAAGCGGCTCATGGGCAGGTCGCTCTCCACAGATCCATCGATGTATTGTTTATGAAGGTCATTCCAGGGAACAGGTTCCCCTGTAAGTGGATCCTTAGCCATCAGAACATAAGGCGAAAATACGAGTGGAACAGAGCAAGACACGGCTCTTCGTAGGAGGTCAGCGTTATATTACCCGGAAAGAAAAAAGAGGAAAGAGGACTTACACAGCGGACCAAATGAGCACATTCGGAGCGGTTATATAATTCAAGAGTCGAGGGAGCTCGTAAATACTAGCACTGGAGACACAAATGTTAAGGATCCTCCGTGTTCTGTTATAGGCTTCTTGAAATGTGATATCGCCCAACCAGCTCCGCATAGCCCTAGCTAGATGGGAGCTATCAACCCAGGATCCGTATTTGAGAAAACGCGCGGCTTTCTGGAAGATGTTGTCCTCATGACCAGTTTCGTTGAAGACAGCAAAGTCCCCATCAGCAAATGTATGCAGAAGCCCAGGAAGTTCTTCTTCAGTACGGGTGCAAAAGATGGCACAAACGACACTACCAGCGGAAGAACCGGAAAGGATGCGCGGCAGCAGCTTCGCTTCCCAGAGCGCCTTGAGCACCCCTATGTGACTCATGCCAAATGTTGCTCCACCTGAAAAAAGAAGGGCACTTCTTCCAAATGCTTGCCGGGCAGCCAAAAGCTGATCCTGAATGTATTTTAGCTCCAAAGCATCGCACCGTTTCCTTTCACTCAGTTCAACCATTGTCGATATTGTGTCGACGGCGGCCGTAATATACTGGTCAATGAGGCTTTTAGTGCCGACATGAGAATGGCTATATAGACTCGCATTGCTCATATTCCCTAAATCACGACTCAGGGAAGTGCGGACCAAGTAAAGCATCCGGCTCACATCACAGCTCACACGGGCTTCTTCCAGCTGCCTGAGGCGCTGTTGAACAAGGCGAGGGCTGTATTCGGCACTCTCGAACGTTTGCTTCCAAATACCATTGTTCTCCAATTCATCCAGTTCACACGCGCAGCTAAGCCACTCTTCATACAACACAGCCTATGGGGACCAATAATCAGACAATATGAACATCGTCGCGCAAGCATATAGGCCCCCTGCGGTTGAAGAAAATGAAAGAGTAGAGAAAGCAAGAAGAAAGAGGAACAGACTATGCACTTACATTTCTCATGCGCAAGTATAGAATCTTCTTGCGCTCTTCAATCTCCACCTGTTTCTTCCTTTCATCCCTCGACAACCCATCGCGATATGCATATAATGTGTCCACTGCCCAGCTCAGCGAATCTCGGACGATAGAAGATACGGACGAGGCGACCGCTGAATCTTGTATCGAATGGCAATCTATCAGGTATTCCCGTTTGAACAATGTTTTCTTGTCTTCAAGCCGATTACCTGCTTCACGTTTCGAGTAGGCTATAGCTGAATCGTCACGAAATGGCACGGTAGGCATGTGTGTCCTCGGCATTTTAGGGCCCAAGGTATCAGCCCACCGGGGGAAGAGAGGGATCGAGGGAATGCAGAAAGTCAAGACCCGGTGTGCACGGAGGGCATATAACAGAACAAAGACAGCCACAACAAAGAATGACAGGAATGAAGAATAGGAGGGAATGACTGCGACTGATAGCCTGCATAGAGTGGAGGAGGCAGTAAATAGGAGGGGAAGATACACGGGGCCGCCGTGCGGGATTAAGATCGACGTCACGAGGGCCACTTGACTTGGTGGGATTGCCCTTTTGGGCACGGATTGGGGCAAACCCCAGGATCTGGCTGCCGCCGAGACGCGTTAAGACGTTTTAAGTGGCGGATCGTGCAAGACCCTGGCTTATATAATCCGGGGTGACGTCGGTCGTGTGGCACGTGAAGATCCCAGATATCATGCGCGGGTTAGAATGATACGGAGTCTGCAAGGACCAACATGGGAGGAATGCGAGGAGCGAGAACTATCGTGCTGAGATGAATCTGAACATCGCCAATCTCTACCACTAGTCATGGCTTTATTCCGTAGTACGTCGGGGCCTTCGTCCTGGGCGTGTGGGAGCCTGATATTTCGCTCGCTGGCTAGTATAAATCCTTTGGCTAAACGTCACGCGCAAGCCCTATATCCCGTTTCGATGACTCACATGCGAGAAACACGATTTTCCGTCGTGTCGGCCTTCCGAATAGATGGTGGATCCGCAACCGTCGTTTTCTTTCACACCATAGGCCCGAGCATCATTCGATAAGCAAACAGTCTGCTCTGCCAAGAGTAATATCCTGGTAGTCATCCGCGGCGATGGAGACAGGCACGTATGCGGTAGTTAATATCTGCAATGCTGACAGAGTCTTCGCAGAATGCAACACACCAGAGCATGCTTCCATTCTGAACCACGATTGGCCCGATTCCGCTTTAGTCGCATGATATGTAGGTCGTAAAGGGCGTACTGTGTGTTCTCACATCACATCTACTATCGATCTGCTGTCTAACAGAGTCCAAGAATTTCCCAATTGGTGTTACTCGGACTGTCGTGCCTTCAGCTGCTTGACTCAGCATCCATTCGCGCAGCTCACTGGCATCCCGGCGTCTTGCGACTCACTCGGCGGACAACTTTGTAGTCTTCTCGGAGCGGTCCTCGCTGTCTTTGTCGTAACCTGTTTCCCAGAGCATCCGTCACGTGCATATGATTCTAGAATCCTCAACTTCTGCAACGGGCAAGGTTGGTATTCCTTGGATCGTGCCTTTGTACTCAGTTAGACTGCATTTCCCCGAGCTTGATAGAATCCAGTTCTCCTGGTCTTGACTGACACGGATAGCCGTGGCCTATTCCATGCACAACTGATCTCTGTTGCAGCCATCCTATACGCTTCTTAGCAGCATCTTCCCCGCACCGTCATATCCATTGATTCGTGTCTTCAAAGCTATTTGTCTTCGCTGCTCTGAATTGGCCGAGAATGCCATTTTTCAGTACGAAATTAACCGCATGCATAGCCGTCTTGGGGATTTGATACAAGAAGATCGTAATCATATAACGGAATAATATCGAGCTCTGTAGCCTTGCAAGAACGCGGTAGGCGCTGAGCAGCCGTTTCGAGTCTTTCAACGCCTTTTGAAGTGGATGGAAGACTTAAAAGATAACATTCCGTATCGGGCGGTTTCGGTTTCTCATTGTCACGTGCCACTACAGGCCAGCAAAGTGCTTATGCGGGGGTGATGGTTTAGACGTGGTTGTATTCATAAAGGGGTCGCTAATGTAGATCACGTGACTACTAAACACACCCCCCTAGATCGTACCTTTGTACGAGCTATATACAGAATTGAAGCAAAAGCAGTTACCATAATAGGAGATAAGCAAATAGGAAAGCAGGCAGGGCAAGATATAGCAAATTAGAGCCCAAATAAAAGGAAAATAAGCTCAGATAAGGTGTGAACGAGGCTGAAGCACTATGTCAGGGTATACACCCCCCGACATTTGAAGCTGTCAGCTGTGGGCTAATATCCGTGAGGTTAAGAAGCCTCATGAAGTTCTCATGTTTTTGGCGTGTAAGCTTCTTAGTCAAGCCATCAGCCGGCATTTGACTGGTAGGAATCCACTGAATGTGAATCTCACCACGTTGAGCTCGTTGGCGGAGCCAATGTTGGTGGATATCCACATGTTTAAGCTTAGTATTAAGCATAGGTGCAGATTTGCTAATAAGAGCGACAGTTTGCTGATTATCACACTTTAAAGTTATCTGATGTCCAGGGTTGAATCTGACTTGCGTAAAGAATCGTTCCCACCAGCAGGCCTCGCTGGCTGCGTGGGAAAGGGATAGTAGTTCAGCTTCTGTAGTGGACTTGGTGACAGTTCGCTACCGATTGGAGCACCAATCGATTGGGCCACCAAATAGGGAGAATATATAACCTTCTGTAGAGGTCCGGCCAGGAGCATCAGCATAAGAGGCATCACTAGAGGCTTCTAGGATATGGATCTGTGGATTGGATTCTGATCCCATGGAGCCGGACCCATACTGTATAGCATGTCCCTTAGTAGTATTCAGGTATGTGATGATGTGGTCAGCTTCAGCAAGGTGAGCTTCTGATGGGTTGGTAAGGTGACTCGCTAAGATGCTGACTGAAGCAGCAATATCAGGATGGGTTGCAACAGCAATATAAATGAGGGATCCTATACAGTGTTGGTAGCCATATATAGACATGGGTGTTGCTTTGCCGTCAAATGGTCCAATGGTAGAGCCGGAGAGAGGTGTATGGACCTTCCTCAACGGGTTTATATTGTAGTCATGGGCCATTTTATCAATATAGGCATCTTGGCAGAGCCATACAGTTCAATTGGTTCGATCTCATAAAACGCGGATGTTGAGGAACCAACGTATATCACCAAGAACACGCATTTCAAAGCGGGTGCAGAGGTAATAAATCAATTTGCAGCGTAGCTCGCGGCTTTGGTGATCTTTTCGTGAAAGGATGACAATGTCATCAACATATATAAAAAGAAGTAGGTCCTGATGGGCAAACAGGCATTGGTCTTCCAGGATGGGGGACAGACCATATTCTAGGCAGGCACTGGTAAATTCGCGTTGCCAAAGCAGAGGTGAGCGACGTAAGCCATAGAGAGCTTTTCTTAGGCGCAGGCATGGCTTCTGATTGGTTAAATCAGAATGGGCAGGCACCTGGAGCTCAGGAAATTCCATAAATCCGTCAGGCAGTTCACAGTAGACCTCTTCGTCCATTGGACTCTGGCAAAAAGCATTAACACCATCTAATTGAGTGGAGTCAAGGTCAAAATGAGCCATTATCGCCATTAGGAAGCGGAACGTGCGTGCAGCCAGGGTAGTGGCTTGAGTATCTAGACCATTGAATGGCTGTAGATCACCCCGTACACAGATTCGGGCTTTGAACTTGGTGAGATAGCTGTCATCATCAAATTTGTAGGTAAATACCCACCGCAGTGGTATTACTGGCTTTCCAGTAGGTCTAGGCGTCAGCTCATACGTGCCATTCTTATGGATGGTAGTCCATTCAAGTTTAGCTGCACGGAGAAAGTCCTCATAGTGTGGATGGTGTAGTAGAGCTGCCCAGTTCTTTGGTGCAGGTGGTAATTGGTCACGGTGAAGCTGAGAGGTTGGTCTAAGCTTATCATCATTAAGCTTAACCAAACTATCTGCGTCAGGCCGGGTGGCGAATGACGCGGCACTAAACCCAGCAAATATGCCTTGTAGACATTCCGGAGATTGGTTGACCATGGTGAGATGAGCTTGGGCACAGGCAGATGGCTTCTGAACCCGTTTAGTAGTTATAATATTCTCAACAGATACAGCACCAGTATCGTGAGCTAGTGATGTTGTAGTAGGATCTTCACGCTGGCGTGGGTGAGTCTCAATGAGGAGTGGATTGAGGTCCTCAACTAGCTGATGAGATAGGAGATCCTCATCTGGTATAGGCTCTGGTAATGGGACAGCAGTTGCTATATCAGCAGGGGCTGGTTCAGGCACTATATCTGGTGTAGAGTGCCTAGTATCCTGTCCCTGGGGCATGGATTCAATATCCTGTTCCGGAACTGGCTCAGGCGTGGGATTAGGGGTAGGCCAGGCTAATGGTGCAGAGGATTTTGAGATGATGGTGTCATCTATGATTGGTTCAACCATAGCATCTGGAGTAGGTTCAGTCATTGGCATTGGGGCAGTCAGGTCTTCAGTGTCAGAAATCGTGATATCTGGCAATTCTGATTCAGTGATTCTGATTGGCTCGTTAAGTGGCTCAGTATAGAAGCTGGTCTCGTCAAATTTAACATCTCTCGTACGGATGATCTGATTGGCCCAATTCGGAACCCAAATCCGGTAGACGTTGGTAGATTCATATCCAACTAAATAGCCTACAAAGGCTCGCGGTTGAAGCTTTGGAATTTTGCCAACCTTATCACGTTCAGGTTCAACATGGACATAGGCTCGGCAGCCGTAGGCAACGGTATGCCGAAGAGTAATTGCTGATTCTGGGATCCGGTATGGTTTGTTATCCTCAATCAAGTGTTTCTGAAGCAATTGCATTGGAGACAACCAATTAAGAGCTGCAGTTGGGGTCCGGTTTAGAAGATATACAGCGGCTCGTTCTGTTTCAACCCAAAGTTTAGTAGGTAGGTTAGCATGGATCTGCATAGTCCTGGCTTTATCCATTATAACACGTCCAGCACGCTCAGCAATGCCGTTTTGACCATGGAGGTATTCTGATGAGTTCTCAAACTTAATGCCAGCTTGCTCTAGCTGCATTTTGGTTGCAATTTTGAGGTGTTCCATATCTGTAAAGATGATAGCAACATCGTATCCAAACTGACGTTTTATTTGATTGACAAATATTGGTATAGCTTTGCTCAAGGTGTCTTTTCCAAAACCATCATAGAATAGGTGAAGCCGTAGATAATCATCAACAGCATGGGCGGTCCACCTTGATCCATTTATTGCAGATTCATCCTGGATGCTATCAACGTGGATCCGATGGAATGGGTAGGTGGAACGTTCTCTAGGAATCCGTGATATCTGGCGGGTTGATTTCCCTTGTAAGCAAGCAGAGCAGAGCTTTGGAACTCGAGTTGATTGGTCAATGATCTTAACACCATGCAAGTCAGTAAGCTTATCCAGAACCTTGTGGCTAGGGTGGCCTAATCGTAGGTGCCAGATATCTAGCGTTGCAGGGTTCTCACGGGGAAGCTTAGAAATGTGAGGATATTGTCGTTTTGTCATCATGGCAGTAGCTAGCGCCATGGGCACAGACTTCCGGTGTTCTAGAACCCAGAAGGGGCCGATTCGAGGTGTTGCTGCTAGCGGCTGACCAGTAGAGCTGTATAAAATCTGATTTCGGCTGTCCCAGTGAGCATTAGCTGCATCAGCTTGGGGCATGGAAAATAGATTAGTATGGAATCCAGGGCAGTAGAGCGTGTTTTTGAGGTCAATTCGGGTAATCTGATTGGTGACTGGATGATGGGCAAGCACATAGGTCGTTCCAATTCCTTCATATGTAGATTGTGTGTCTCCCACCTTCATGCTGCCAGTGATCATAGTGAATTCCGTAAACCGGGACTTGTTATTAGATACATGGCATGTAGTGGCAGTATCAAGCACCCAACTATTCTTGAATTCAGTATCGGCATGAGCACTCATGGCTATTAATGAATTGGTGGAATGCTGTCCAAATAAGCTTCATGTAGCCTTAGAATTTGGACCACAGGTGGCAAAGGATGCAGCTGCTATTGCTGGGACCTGCAGCTCATCATCATCAAGCTCATGGACTGTGAGGTTGGCTGCTTCTGACTGCTTCTTGGCACGTCTGGCATGCCGAGCAATGGATCGGTCCATCTGTTCACGGAGCTTGGGATCCTTCCTTTTCTCCTCAAATATAGCACGGATTTTGGGGTCCTCAACCCAACCACGGGTCCGTACAGCTGGGACAAGATATTGGCAGAGTCCCCACCAATGCCGTTGGCCGCAGATACAGGTTGGTGGTGTCCTTTTGGAGCTAGTAAATTGGTCTCCAGTATCTGCTGGTTTGCCATTTAAGGTAGGCACAGTGGCATATGCAGCTGTTCGGCGGACTGTTTCCTTCCCATGGAGCCGGTAGTGCTCTGAGAAGTCATCTAGGAGCTGATCAAATGTTGTACGGTGTTCTGGGGGTAACCGGCGCTCTCGCTGTAGATTATTCTCTGCAGAGGATGCGTATGATTCATCAATTTGGGTGTTTGCTCGTATAAAGTCAGAATAGAGCTGGTGAGCTTGATTAAGTTTGAGCTCATAGAGGTCAGGGGCAAGATCCCGCCATTGGTTGATCCAGTTTTGAATGGATCCAGTTGGTTTGAGCTTAAGCTGGTCATACTTCCATAGTACGTCAGCTATACAGTCATCTGTAGTTGGAGCAACCGTATCCTTGAGTTTTTTGAGAGCTTGTCGGATAGATGGGGTCTGCCCACTACCAAATCCGGCAATTCGTGTATGTCGATCAGAAATAGATGAGATAAACCAGCGGGTAAATAAGTCAATTGCATGCTGCTCATCTCTCCATGCTTGGTAATCATATTGATATTCAAATTTGGCGTCATCGTATTCTTCAGTTTTTGGGTAATTCGCTCTCCGGGGCAGCAGAGGCTTAGGGAGAGGTCTTCGAGCTGTTTTCTTGGTGTCTGTAGCAGCTATAGTTTCAAAGCTTGCTGTGTCTGTGTCTGTAGGTATAGGAGGATCTGTAGGATCCAATAGATCTGGGTTGATGATATCCCATATTCGTAAGGCTGAGGCCTCGGTGCAGGCTTTGGTGAACCACGCCTTCCAATCAGAATCCTTGTTGAGTCTGATGTTGTTGACGATGTTAGCATTAGCCATGATGTCTAGCTAGATGCTCTGGGGGTAGGAGGACAACCGGGTTGGTTGAAGCTTCGGAGCGTCGTTGCGGTAGGCTGAGTATTTTGGTCCGCTGGAAGATGGTCCAGAACTATCGGATTAGAAATTTTGGTTCAGCCAATCAAATACCGTCTTTTGACACTTCTTTTGAGCTTATTCTGACGCGTGTTGACCCTCAAATTGAGATAGCCGGGCTCATAACTGATGGGTTAGACGTGGTTGTATTCATAAAGGGGTCGGTGGAGTCGGTCCCTATCTAGCTAATGGAGATCACGTGACTACTCAACAGGGGGTTATGTTATCGTGCTGTCGAAGCACCGGTTGATGTCTCGCTTAAAGCCATGGTTCCGTCTAGAGATGATCCTCTCGGATATAAAAGTGTGTATTATCTAGCGAATGGCTGTGGATATGTCTACACGGCATGATAGCCTTTAATGAGTTTCAATGCTACTGTCTCCGTTGCAGCAATGGCGGTGATGGGCCACGCATGGTCCAAGAGCCAAGTGGATTTTGCCTGTAGCATTCGCAAATCATTGCCATTGTCCTTCTGTGCTGCCTGTGATTATGCTAAGACGGGTGCAAAAGTACAGACTTTATATTTAAGGGCGCTTAACAACTGTACCAGTGTCTAGAAAGTATTGCTCTTCTCTTGCTGTTGCATTTTTCATACGTTATACACATTGATTTAAGCAATATGCCTGATGCTCCTGCTACCAACAGTCCTCTCGGAGTTGAGGTGAGCGTTTCCTGGTATATCGAGCCATCTCTTAGCGCTTTGCTGACTCGATTCTGTCTTCAGCAGGAGAACAATGGCAATGTTTCCACCTATGCCGGATCGTGCTGCCCTCAGTCTTATCCTCTAGCCACACCTGACTTCCATACGTAGGGTAAGTGATGCAAGTTACATGGGCTCTGTAACATCGAGTATTCTCAATTACAAGTATGGATCCATAATCGTGCCAGACGACGGATTGAAGCTCAACTATTCAGATATGAAAATGGCCGCCGATACCACACGTTTCGTGAAGGCGAATACTTCCTAGTGATACTTTGACATCGTGATACACTCTGTCTGAGGTTTGGTCTCTGACTTACGACAAAAGCCGAATGATGACATAGAACAGGATGGGTTGGACCTGGTATGTGTTTCCCTCGGACCAGCTTTTTCTGGTACTGGTTTAATACCCAACAGTCTCATCATGTCTATCGACTGTTGCTCGGTGGCGAACTGCAGCTTGCACCGATTAAGGACCCCAAGAGAGTATTAGATATCGGAACCGGTACTGGAATCTGGGATATGATTTTCCGGAGTATAGTTCCTTCTTCTGTTTGTTGGTAACTAATTGTTAACGGCGTATTCAGCGAACATCCTGATGCTGAAATCATCAGTAGCTCTCTCCCCTAACAATAGGATTGAATCCGTGCTGATGAACTTAGGAAATGACCTGAGTGCTATTCAACCAACTTGGTATTTTTAACCTTCCAACAGTATTTTGTGGTCAGTGTTCTAATAGAAAATTTAGGCTCCCACCTAATTGCCGACTTGAAATCGACGATTTCGAACATCACTGGGAATACACCAATCCATATGACTTTATTCATGGTCGGGAGCTTGAAGGCTGTATTCAAGATCATGATAGACTTTTCAGGCAAGCTTTCAAGAATTTGGTGCCTGGTGGCTATTTTGAGATGGCATCTATAGAGATTTCTATTAATTCAGATGATGGTACACATTTGGAGGCCAAAAACTGGCTACACTTGCGTGACCTTATTATTGCGGCTTCTGAGAAGTTTGGGAAGTCTTTGAAGACTGTTGCAACATAGAAAGAGAGGATGATGAGGGCTGGGTTTGAAGATGTCCAGGAGGAGGTTTTCAAGGTAATCCTAGCCTATCTACATGCAACTAGCCCAAGCTAAAAGATCATTATAGCTCCCTCAGAGTCCTTGGTCAGAGGACCCGAGGCTTAAAGAGCTTGGGCGCTACCATCAAGTCAATGTCCTGGAATCCCTAGACCCATACTCATATGCTCTCTTAACTCGTGTTATGTGTTGGCCAAAAGTTCAAATTGACGTCTTGCAGCTGTACGGAATGAGATTAAGGACCCATGAGCTTACTGCTATGTAGCTACATCAAAATGATGGATCCAATGTAAAGCTGGCTTATTATTTATCCAGCCATTATCTGATACTGCAATCTTATAATCATATGCAATTGTTATATGTACCAGTCCTCCATATGCTGCTTTCCTAGTAACATAATAAATGGTGGTGATACCCAACCATTTGCCGCAATAGATTTGACAATGGTGATTGATATTTGAGATGAAGAACTAGGGATGTTAGCTGCAGCTTCAGGATAGGCTATGAGGACAGACTTATTCTTCCCTTGGCCAAGCCAGAAGCCAGTTTTATCAAAATTATAAAGATTCTGTGGTTTAATCTTATGAAGCTCAAGTTGTATCTTCAGACAATTGAACCACGTCTCTATAATACCAATATCCTCAGCAACAAGGCATTTAGGATCCTTTGGCTTCTGCTTGACTTGTTTACATTCAGGACCAAGTCAGCGAATGAAGTTATATGGCCGGTTTTTTCCAACATTGGGAGCTTCTGGATTTGACTGTTTAATTATTAAATTTGCACAATTTCAGAGCAAATCAACTGTTGGAGGCACCCCCATTTCATCTAGCCATTTGATCCATGATAAGCAGCTGTTTTCTGCTCAATATAAAGAGAGGTCCAGCACGGTTTCTGCGTGTTGATCGTGAGGGTCCTCCCTGAACGCGTCGGAGGAGCCATCGGTAGGAGACACCCCTTTCCTTGGCCAATTTGGGGATTGATTTTGCTTTTCCACTTTGGTAGGCATCTACTACTGTGCTGGAGGCACTGCGAAACCCCGGATCTCCCATATTTCCTATCTTAGAACACCGTAGAGCCGCGGTCTCCGACATACTAATGGAGGGTTCCCTCCCAGATACGAGAAATTGAGCATTCTTTTGGTTTCTAGATTGCTTCACTAGTATCGTTATCATTGTACAGAGCGGAGCGAGGCTCCTTTGTTGTTGTGTTTCCTTTTATCGTTATATCGTTTTGCCAGATTGTTCAGTGTGTCCATTCCTGAGATCCCTCGATCACAACCCGGTTCCTGTCGCAGGGAACAACGCACGTACGCCCCCCTTTACACCATGCCTCCAAAAGTGTATCAAAATTCAAGAAATTTAGCTGAGAAAGAGGGAAAGATCTTACGTGCTATTTCTGCTTTAGAAAAGCAGGAAATTTGCAATATTCGCGAAGCGGCACGTGTTTATAATATCCCTCGTACAACCCTCCAGCAACGACTTAATGGAATCACTTCAAGCGCAGAAACACGCGTCAATGGCCATAAATTGACTCAAAACGAAGAGGAATCCCTTGTACAATGGATTCTATCGCTAGATCAACGTGGAGCAGGCCCCCGACCATCCCAAATACAAGAAATGGCCAATATTCTTCTTGCAGAGCGTGGTACAACACCTATCCAATCAATTGGAAAGAATTGGGTCTCTAGCTTCATTAAATGGCGTGATGAAATGAAAACACGCTATTCTCGATGCTATGATTATTGATGAGCGAAATGTGAAGATCCTAAAATCATCAAGGAGTGGTTTGATCGTGTACAAATCACTATAATGCAACATGGGATTGTACAGGAAGATATCTACAATTTTGATAAGACTGGCTTTGCTATGGGTCTAGTAGCTACTGCTCGAGTAGTTACTAGAGCTGATTATTATGGAAAAGCCTCTCTTGTACAGCCAGGCAATCGGGAATGGGTTACTTCAATTGAGTGTATCAACTCTACTGGTTGGGCACTTCCTCCATGCATTATCTTCAAGGGGAAGGTCCATATAGAGGGTTGGTATCAAGATTTCAAGCTCCCGCGTGATAGCAGAATTGAAGTTAGTCCTAATGGATGGACCTCTGATGAGATAGGCCTTCACTGGCTTAAAAATCTCTTCATTCCTGCTACTTCTAGTCGTATGACTGGGAAATACTGTCTTCTAGTCATGGATGGCCATGGCAGCCATCTTACGCCTCAATTTGATCAGATATGCAGTGAGAATAATATTATTCCTATCTGTATGCCTGCTCATTCTTCCCACAAGCTTCAACCTTTGGATGTGGGCTGTTTTGTGCCTTTAAAAAAGGCATATGGGACTTTGGTGGAGCAGAAAGCACGCTTAGGAATCGATCATATTGATAAGCTTGATTTCCTAAAGGCCTTTCCACATGCTCGCGAATGTGCTTTGCAAGCAGAAACTATTCGAAATAGCTTCGCAGGTGCTGGATTAGTTCCATTTGATCCAGATAGGGTGTTTAGCAAGTTAGACATCCGACTAAAGACCCCTACACCACCACCTAGTCGGTCAACTAATTCAGCACCTAAAACACCATATACTACTAGGCAGCTGGAGAAGCAGGCATCAGCTGCAAAGAAACTGCTTAGGGAACGTGCTCACAGCCCTTTACCTTTGCAGAATTGCGATTGGACAAGATTATTAAAGGTCATGAATTGACACTTAATGAGCTTGTTCTTGCACGTGAAGAAATACGCAAATTTCGCGCTAATAATGAATGGAAAGGTCAAAAGCAAAAGCGCTCTACTAGGCAGCTAGCTATTCCAGAGGGCTCAGCGATTCAGGAGGGTTTAGAGCGATTTCAGCGTGAGAATGAGGTTGTTGAAGGTCAAGATATGCTTCCTATAGATCCAGCACTTTCTGCAGTTGGACCACGCGTACGAGCTCCACCACAGTGTTCTAATTGTCATATTCAGGGACATACTAGAGTTAGATGTCCTAATCCCCTTAGCAATTAGGTTTTGTATAAAAATGCAATTGTTTGGCTGGTAGAGGCTCTAGTATTTAGCCCGCGGGCAGGAATTAGCAGGAGGTGGCCCGCTCGACCGGGAAATAAGTTAGGGCATCTTTGAGGTTGCTTATATCAGCAATCCAACAGCACTAGCAGAAACTAGACCTGATTAGGATCACTATGATACTAGTCTGCTTTCCTAATATGGCCTAGTTAGGGAGCTAGACCTAGGGCCAAAATGGACGTTGGCGGTAGGTCTGGACCCACTTCTCAAACCTTATTTATATGTGGCGGTACCTACCGCCATGTCTGGAATATGACTTAGGGTTCCTCTTAGGGTTCCTCTTAGGGTCCTCACTGGGCTCTGCAATTAAGGCCGCAACCCCCTACCCGGCGGCGGGGAGTTTGGACCATAATCGATGCACAAAAGGCAGTATCAAAGTACCCCTACTTAATAAGGGATGGCCACTAAGTGTGCCGTGGCATCCTTCGAAAGACAGCTCATTAGATCACGGGCCGTCATAGTACTCCATAACCGCATCAATCCAACGCCACAACCGCCCATCTGCTACAAACCGCGGATTCATCTTGGCCACAAATGCCACCTTATGCGCTACTGCCAGTCTCTTGACACCGACTGCAGCGAAGTACTCCTTCTCCCGCCGACATACCTCACTTTCAGATTCGTCATCAGCTGCTAGCTTGTCAGCCAATGCGTGTGCATCGTGGGTCACGGCTCGTGCTGCCAATATAACCGGTAGGCTATTAGTGTCGTCGTTGTCATCTCCAGGGGTTAGCGGTTCCTGAGAAAGCACATAGAGTGCCTTGAGGTGATTGTAGTCTTGTAAAGCATCCAGGTTCACCAGGCGCATGAAATGTGGGATCATCTCACCAACCTTCCAGTGGCTGGACTTGATTGCATAGTTACCAGTCTTCCTATTCTCGATTTCGAAGCCGGAGCGGTATGCATTTACCAGGGACAAATCCAATACCAAGTCCCTAGGATGTGGTAGTCCCGGAGTAGCAACCAGCTGAGCCGGAGGAACAGTGGAGGAAAATGCCCAGTCAATGACAGAAGTGATATTCAAGTCATCATCAACAAAAAGGTTCTGGAGGCTAATGTCATGGTGATAAAGGGGGAAGCCAGATACTGACTGGCTGACACAGCGAACCATATGAGGTATGATAGAGTCCCGCAAGAAGTCACTCGCGAGGCAATACTGCAATCGATTTATGCTGGAGTCCACTATTCCCCCAAGGGTCGCGAAGTCATTCCAGCGATCCGTAGCAGCATAGTACTTGGCGAAGCTGGAGTACTCTTGCGGGACAGGAATAGGCGCACGGAGGATATGGTGTTCCATTGGAAGCTGTTCAGCATGTAGATGAAGGGCTGCGGCAAGGGAGGAGTAATAGTCTGTTTCGTTGTGAAATGGACCGCGCGGGATATCCTCTATCATTTCCCGGTCTTGTAGAATATGCCCGGGAGAAAGGCATTCGTCGATATAGTAACCTTGGTCACCTTCCAAGAGGGATCCGATTGTCGGAAAGCGGAGACCAAACAACTGACAAGCGTAGCATCCAAGCTGTTGCATGATTTTTTTTTTCTCTTCCTCTGTCAAAGCCCGTGCTGGTGTCGCAGAATCGTTCAGCCCAGGGACTTCATGATCATTTGTCCGCCAGCGATACCTAGCAAGGGGATGGCCAGTGGCTTTGCTCATCAGGATATACGGAATTCCTATCTCATTCTCATAGGTGGGGCTTCATAGTCGTTAGCTCAACAGACTGCACTGGGGCTTCCAAGATATACCTATAATGAAAAACCTCTGGTACAGGAATAGATGTGTGTTCTCGGACATATTTCAGAGTCGCGGCCTCGCTGGCTAGAAGGCGCCCGGTGGTACCTTGGGTGAGGGTATAGATTGAGCAGGGAGCCCGGAACACCCACTCAACGCCATCATCGAACTCAAGAAATATTGCCCAGTTTAAGGCGCCTGTTTTGGGGGTTTGAGAGTCGTTGCAAGTACATGGCCGCCCCCGGAGCCGCTCTGCTAACTGAAGAAGGTTTTCAAGTTGAAAGTAGGCATGGAAGAAGACATTCCTCTTTCGGCGCGCAGCAGACATCTTAATAGACATTTCAGATCTGGGACAGGGTCAGTCCTTTTCCAGCTAGTTTCCGAAGAGATTCTCCAACATGATGGGTAGGGGGAAAAGACCGCAGGTCGTGGACGGGCAATATAAACAAGCACATAACCTGCAGCACTGGCGTTGCTTCTCTGGCCTTGTTTGCAGCAGTGAAGGGGTGCTATGATGTGGTGGCATTGTGAGCCACGCACAGAAGCAGCCAATCATATATTACATGCACGCCCCTATTACCTGAAGTTTCACCTTCCCCAGTCATCGACCTGTCAGGTTGTTGAATACGCCCGTAGCTAGAGAAGGTGAGACGCTGGCACAACGAGATTATACAGGATGAAATGGGAACTCAGCATCGTACTTCTGCGCGAGATTTGGGTCACACTGGAAATGACCAGGTTCACTTGTTGTCCAGCCAGGAATTGCGGCTTCCGCCTGAAACAATTAAGCGCGCGCAAGCAATGTCCATATCATTGGTATTTATTTTCGAAGAGGACCATGGTCACCTCTGAATCACGGGGTTGGGTCTTAAAGTTTGGTTCTGAACTATCAGGATCGGTATAGACGATCTCCAGGAGCACAATGACGACTCAATATAACTCACAATGTATGGGCAATGCGGATATTAGGTGTCACTTGTCCAACCAAATGTAGGGTAAGGGGCTACCTCTTGCTGCACTAAGCCTTGAGCAGGAGACCCTAGATTTCACATCACACGCAGTTATTGTATCAAGGATAACCCAGACAGATACTGTTGAGAATATCAACCAAAAATAACAGCATGAAGGATGTCAGATGTTGGAAAGACATATAAGGTTACAAGACCGTAGGCCACTTTCTTGCTAGTGTATGGACAATATGCTAACTGAGTGATAAGCGAACGATTTCGAATGGAGTAGGGGGACAGTCCACGAGAGTACTACCAGCACATGTCTTCATTATGTACGTAAACATACTTGTCCGAGGTTTGCAATAATCTCACCCTTTTCCAGGTGCAGGATGAATATGACGGCAAGATATATAGAGTCTACGTCCAATATATTCGCAAAAGAGCTAGCTGGGACTAAACGGGCCAGAAATAGGTCGAGACCTCGTACTCATATGGAGCAGCCACAGATCAGATACTTGCGATTATATCTGCCGTATCGATTCTGTACGAGAAGCTTTGGTATTTCCCAGCAACTCTGTGGTTGATCGATGGATGCAGTGTCGGGGTATTCAAGACTGCAAGACTGAACAAGCAAAGTAAGGGTAGTGGTGCAGCAGGACAATATCTGCTAGTACCACCTGGCAGAACTACAATGAGAGGAAAACACGCTTTCAAGATGAAGTATGTTCAGAAATAGGTCGAATGCAAATTCCATTAGCGGTCTGATTGTTGGCTGAAGATTGTAACTGGTGCCCTGACGTATGGTCCTATTCAACCATCTCCATTTTCGCAGAGTGCTGTGAAGCAGCCAAATGCATTACGTCTCAATTGAACGCCTTGAGCAGTAGTTGAAGAAGCCCAGTTTTCAGAGGGTTAAATTAAATTATTCACCTTGGGGAACACAAAAGCTGCGCTGTACAGATACAGCGATTCTTAGGTGTTACTTCCGCGCTTGGGATAATGCGAATTATTTCTGTCTCACGATTAATGATTAGAGCGGAATCGAATTGTCAGAGGGTGTTAAATTCCCGCAGTGGACGACGCAAATTGATTTTAGACGGCGGAGCTGAAAGCTGTTAAGATCCTCCAACGGCTCGTCGCAAGCTTAGAACCTATGGATCCAACGATGCCAAGGCGAAATAAGAGATCGACGAAGTTTCAATTTAACAAATTCTCGACTAGGCCGTTATAGATATATTGATGAGCCAAGACGGGAGAACAAAAGCGGCAGTCTCCCATCAGGATCAGGTAGCACACCTGTCCCGAAGAGAGTATCGTGGAGATCCTGGTGTTTGTTCGACAGGAAGAGGAATGCTGCTTGCCCCTCCTGACTGGGCTCGGTCCTCAGCATGAAGATCATCAGCCGCAGCTGCATGGAGAGTCGAGTCACAGCCAGGTAGAGCTGTCACAAGCATAAAATCCATAATTCCATACAATGCTGAGAATAACGGGTTATTGAAGTTTCAGCTTAACAAAGACTGGACCAGGTGGAACGTTGTGTCTTGTTGTAGACATACCAATGAGCTAAGATGTGAAAACAAGAATGACAGCCGAATTTCATCAGGGTTGAGTAGCACGCCTAGCTCGAAGGGAGTACCGCTGGCATCCCGCTGGTTTTTCTGCAGGAAGAGGAACGTTGCCTGTCTCTGGTGACCTGGCCCGGTCATCAGCCGCAAATGGACGGCGCTTGGAGCGCAGGTGGGCCTCGGAAATTTGGTTTCCAAAACGTTTCAGCTCGGCATAATAGATCCGCTGTAGCGTACCTTTCTTTCTTCCAGGGAACCGGCCGGCAATGTCGTTCCATATATGTCCTTCTCTCAGTCCCACGAGACGCCGTTTCTGTTTCAGCGAAAGAGGACGGCAATGAGGAGCGCTAGGACTAGCAGCAACATCGTCAGACTTTATGGCTTTCGTCATGCGGCGGCCGTGCGGTTTCACCCCCTCAATTATCACTGGGATGCTAATATCACCTTGATCCAGTGTAATAGTTTGGAAAAGACGACCGTCAACCACCTGGTAAGTAGAATATCCCACCGTCACTGGGATACACCCAGCCTTGCGGATATCAATCGATAGAGTAGTTCCATTCAATCGCCATGGCCCATACTCATGGGAGCTGGAGTGGGTAATTCCTCGTTTGATGCCTGCTGTTTCTTCATCAGCTTCCACGGGAACACACAGTTTTTGGAGACTGTGTATTTCTGATCTCCACATGCGAAAACTGTAGCCATTTAGGTTGTTGAGGCTGGATTGTATCATGCGATGAGGGCTGTGTCTGCTGGTTGCAGGTTGTGGGTACACTATGGCCTGTAGTGTGTGTAGGACCAGCATCCCCTGCCTCATCAGAAAAGCATATATGAGACCCAGCTTCAGCATCTTTGTTCGTCAGCCCATCCGAAATAATTCCTGACTATTGGCTCAGACGCCTCAATGCCATGTAGCTCTGGCTGATGTCATTTATCTGCGTTTCTGTAGCTGGTGGAGGTGAGACAGACATCGGTAATGCCTCAAAACGAGGAGTATCTGTGTCACACATGATCTCAACTGAGGGAGATCGACGGCCAATATCCCTGCCGACAGACTTGGGATGGGCAGTGTCGGCCAAACCAGGGGAACTACAGGTCCATGATTGTGGACGAACTAAGCCTCTCTCTGGCGATTCACCACCTCCGGCTGTACATTATCCGTTGCAAGTCTTGAGCCAATGTGAAATGGAAAGGTCACGTGTTATGGCGGCTTGGCTCCCTCTCTGACCCCTGAGAATCCGAGCCCCTGATTATATGTAGAGAGAGACACAGAAGAGAATGGCATCTGTTCCTTAGTAGGCTACGTACGTGTAGTCCATACAGCTTCATCTGCCCTTCTTCCCTGAGCTACATGCATATTCCACAACAGATACAATTTAAATGAATCCAGGGGAATTCAGGGGAAACACAGATGTCTTTGGGTGAGTGTACATTCTATGTGTATAAGAAGTTGTGGAGGAGAATCACATTGCATGCTGAAGGTGATTGTGTTGGATCAACTTGCTTGTATTGTATCTATCTAGGTTGGTCTAGCTATTTTAGTGTGTCAGGCCAAGCGAGGGCGGTCTAATATGGCAGAATACACGTGACCTCTAACACCTCCCCACGCACGAGCTAGCCTGACAGCAAAAAAATAGTGCTAAATTACATAGTAAAAGATGATCGTTGAAATGCGCTTCAATAGGATCCGGTTCCTTCAGCCAATGAGAGGCGTTGAATCAGAATTCTCAGTGTTGCAAGGTAGCAAACGTCCCTTCATCCCAATTAGCTTGAGAAAAGTAGTGAACCGGTCATTGCGCAGAGGCTTAGTTAAACCATCAGCTGCCATTTCATTCGTATGGCAAGCTTTTATTTCAATGACGCCCTCATGGATCTTTTCGCGTACGTAGTGAAAGCGGATATCGATGTGCTTGGAGCGTTTGGTAGTGAGGTCAGAAGCAATTAGTTGTAACGCCCCTTGATTGTCAACTAGTAGAGGAACTGGTGGAAAAGGCTGTTCTTCATCAGGGGAGATAACTTCGAGTTCTTTAATGATGTTTCGTATCCAAACGGCATCTCTAGTAGCTTCACTAGCAGCCATGTTTTCAGCTTCATTGCTAGACAAGGCAACAGAGGTTTGGCATTGACTGCGCCAGGCAATTGGTGCACCAGCAAGTATTAGGATGTATCCAGATACAGAGCGTCGATTTCCAGTAAGGGGACCACCCCAATCAGAATCAGAGTAGAGCACTGGCATTAGGTCTTGATTGGTGATAGGGTCAACAGAACCGCGGTAGGTGATCTGTTGATTAATGGTTCCTTTGAGATATCGTAGGGCGTGTTTCAGAGCTGCCCAAGCCTTCTTTGTTGGTTTAGAGTTCCACTGTGATAGAACACCAACTGTACGACTAAGGTCAGGATGAGTTTTAGTTGCCAACCAGGCAAGGCATCCAACACCACGTTGGTATTCCTTAACGTTGATAGTGGGATCAGGGTCATCATCAATAATCAAGCCTGGATCCATTGGGAGCTGTACCGGATGGGCATCAGATAATCCAAAAGAGGTAACAAGGTCCTCAGCATACTCAGATTGGCTGAGACTTAGTGTTTTGGCTTGTTGGTTGTATTTAACGTTGACACCAAGATATCTCTTCATTTCTCCAAGGTCCTTGATATCAAAGTGTTTAGCAAGGGTATCCATAAACCAATCAGCATCGTCGGCTGTGGCTGCAATGACTTTGAAATCATCAACATAGGTGGTAACGTAGAGATTTTTTCGAGTTTGGTGTATCCATAAGCCAGAGTCATAATTGGAGCATTTGAAACCAAATTCCTTCAATGAAACAGATAGAGTATCATACCATATTCGGGCTGAAGGGGTGAGGCCGTAGAGAGCTTGGATGAGCTCACAAACATACTGGCCCTTTTGACCAGTTTCATAGCCAAGTGGTTGAGTCATGTAGACAGGCTTGTCAGGGGGTAATTTACCATTTAGATAGGCAAGTACAGCATCTCCTTGACGGATGTGCCAACCATGAATGGCAGTAAGTGCAAATAGTAGTTTTGAAGTTGATTCAGTGATGACTGGGGCATAGCATTCCATATAATCTTTGTCAAGAAGGTTTCCGTGTATAACCCAGCGTGCTTTGGCAAGATAGCCATTGCTGTCTGGTAGTTCCTTCTTTTTATACACCCATTGACCAGGTGTGATTTTTGTAGAAGGAGGAAGATCAGCACGTTTAACCAAACGCCAGCAGCCTTTTTCATGAAGCTGGTTAATCTCTTAATCCATTGCAGCTTGCCATCTATCTCTATCTTTATGATTCATTGCCTCTCAGTATGAAGTTGGCGTGTCATCAGGTAGGTAGGGATTTTTGGATCGTATGGCAGCAGCAAAACTGAAATTGCTAGTTGGAATCATCCAGTCATCAGACATAGATATTGGTTCGCAATTGGATTGTATCAGGTCTGGAGGATCAACTGTAGTTGGGAGATTATCTGGATGAATGGTATCAACAACTAGAGGAGTTGAAGAATGATTATTAGCTTCAGTATCATAATTTTCATCAAAAGTTACATCTGAGCTGTTGAAGATAGTATCTTTTTCAGGATCCTAAATCCAGTAAATGTTATGGGCAACATAACCAATCAGGTAGCAACGTTTAGCACGAGAATCAAGCTTATGAGTTGGTTTCTCAGTGCCATGAAGGTGAACCCAAACTGGGCAGCCCCAACGGCGATAAGATGTAAAATCAGCTGGGGCGTTGAACCAAGCTCCTAAGGGATGACGGTGAGGGGAAGGTTTGATCATAGTATTTGTATCAACTCCCCCAGGGACATTTGAATTGTATAGTGGCGTTGAAGTTGGTAAAAGATTGGTAAGCCATGTAGCTGCATTGATAGCATCACTCCAAAAACAGTGAGGGATATGAGGAGCATCTAGCATTAAAGCACAGCTTCTTTCAAAGATAATTTGAATAGCTCATTCACTGACACCATCTTGCCAAGGGGAATAAGGATTAGCTGGCTGCCAATCTATACCCTCAGTTTGGTACAGCTTTTGCCATTCATTGGAATTAAATTCATTGTCAGATATTAGGAAAGCAGGTGAGGTGAATCCCATGTTTTTAATGAGCTGCAACCAGGTCTTGAATGCTTGAATTGCATTACTTTTGGCTTCAAGGAAATAGACCCATCTGTAATGTGTAGCGTCATCTGTGATTATCATCACATATCTGGCTCCTATACGGGAAGGAGTGATTTCATCATTCATTGAGTCTGGATCTAGTGTATGACCGCCACCAGCAATATCAATGTGAACACGCGATAATGGCTTGGTGTAGCGTACACGAGGCTTTTTGCTGTAGGACTGAGTTTGTTTAGCTTGACAGCAGGTGTTGCAAAAAGGTAGCTCTTTAGAGCCTTGTATGGCAACGCAGGAGTAGGGATCTCGTGCTAGCCGAAGAAGGTTAGCTTGGTTAAGGTGACAAAGACACCGATGCCATTCCATCATGGTTAATGGTATCTTTTTGGGTTGATGGGTAGTAACGGGGGTGTCTTCTTTATCATGAGATATAGAAGCAAAAGCATATGCTGTTTTGGGAGCAGGTTCAGCATTTGGGTTGTAATCTAGCAAATAGCATTGTGGGAATGTGTAGATGCTAGTTTTTGAGCATAGGGGGGCTTCAAATTCAGTGCCATCTGGAGAGATGATGATCATTGCATCAGAAGGGGCAAATTGAAGCTGATATCCTTGTTTTCTCAGGGTTCCCAATGATATGATGTTGGATGAGAATGAAGGATTGTATCTCACGTCTCTCAATACCAATGGTTGGTCATTTATTTCAATGACAACAGTGCCGATTCCAGTATGAAAGGATTGGCCACCAGTGGCATTCTCAACGATGTCCTTGGGTTTGATTTCTGCTCTAGAAACGGGTGTAAATTCAATAAAGGCATCACGATTGGGGGTAGTATGGTAGGATGCGCAACTGTCAAGTAGCCATGGTGCTCCAATTGAAACAGGCATAGCTGTTTTGGCATGGGCTGATTTTGAGCTTGAAGCACCAAATAGTATAAGATCCTTGTTCTGGATATCAATGGTTTTGTTGATGTGTGGACTCCTTTGATAGAGCTTTAGTATATGCTGATTCTTTTCTTTCCACCACTCTGGGGCTTTATCTGGATCAGCATAGTAGCATTGATTGCTAGGATGGTGACGGTGACACCAATTGCAAAGGGGGGTGTCTGGGGTTTTTGTTTTGTCATTTTTGGGTTTGTTGGTTGGTTTATAAGATCCGTGGTTGCTAGTGGCTTGCTTAGCAGTGTAGGTTTCCTTGGTTGATTTTTGGTCCTTCTTTTCTCGATTTCTGGTGCCAGCACGAAGGGTTAACTGCTTCATGAAATCATTGAGGTCAAGATCCTTAATTGCTCCCTGACCGGTGCTATAGAATTCATCAAGTTTTGATTTAACAAAATGACGATTCCAATCACCAAGTCCGCGGATGAATAGATCATGATAGACATCATCTGGTAGGGGGCATTGAATGTGGGATAGACGGGTCTGGAGCTTTTTGAAATGCTCCTGGTACGTAAAATAGTCATTATCTTTAATCTGAAGATCAAAGAGCTGTGTGCGGATCGTCAGGCGTTCTTTAGCACGAGATCGACCCCAAAGTTGGGTGGCTTCAGCCCAGATATGCGCGGCCGTATTATCTGGTAGCATACCAATCTGTTCACGAGCTTTTGGTGTCATTGAATTCACCATACGAGCACGTAGCAGTTTTGATTTCTTGGTCCAAATTGTAGAAAGACAAATATCATAAGCTTCTGGTGGAGCTATTTGATAAAGGATTTTGACTGCATCTATCAATTCAGCATCACTAGTGATGGCTGTTCGCCAGTCATCATAATTATCACCATTCAGGGTAACTTTGCACCAATCTGTCCATATCTCTTTAATCTCTTTGGTAAGCTGTTTGATTTCGAGCTGTAGAGAGTTGTAGAGGTCTGTTGTGGTATCCTGAGGTGGTGCAGCATTTTGCTGTTGTCGATGAAGCTCAAGAACTTGCTCTTGCATGAGTTGTTGGCGTTCATCCATTGCTTGCATCCTCTGTAGCATCATCAAGAAGGCTTGATTCATGTCCAAAGGAGCTGCCGGTTGATTTTGTTGGTTCTGTTCCTGCTGACCGTTCTGGGACCGCGGGAGGGGGGTAGGGGTATCCGCCATGTTGAAGGCTTCAGTATCGAGAGTAGAAGCTCGTCTAGCTGTATTTGGAGGCGTAGATGGTTCAGTTGATTCCATCCTTAGTTGGGGTTTAATGTTTCAAAGACACGATCCCCGTATCTATCATCCAAGTGATAGATTCGTTAGAAAGGTTGGTGTATCTATCATCCAAGTGACAGATTCGTTAGAAAGGTTGGTGTATCTATCATCCAAGTGACAGATTCTTTAGAAGATTTCTGGTTCTGCCAATCAGGAGAGCGGATTTGGCTCGTCCTAAACGACTTAATATCTTCTTTTTTGGAAGCTCTCGATCGTAGCGAGCGCGAGGGCTCATAACCTGTTGGATCAACTTGCTTGTATTGTCTCTATCTAGGTTGGTCTAGCTATTTTAGTGTGTCAGGCCAAGCGAGGGCGGTCTAATATGGCAGAATACACGTGACCTCTAACACAGTTATCTTAGTAATCCGTGAGTTGCTGGGGCTGTGGTGTGCATCAGGTGATGGGCCAGTGATGCCTTTTTCAGCACCCTCTGAGGCTGAAAATAGCAGCTCCGGTCCAAATGAAAATTCACAAGCAGTAATAATTTAGACTGGTTGTGGTGGTTGCTTATATTGGAGAGTTGCTAATATCGGAGTTTACTATATAATACGTACATTCTACCTAACCGACCCCTACGGTAACCTTCGGGGTCGCGCGTATTGCGCGACCCTGACAACCACCCGAGCACCCCAGCCACCCGAGCACCGATTTTAGAACTTCGTAGAATTCCAACCCATCAACTTTATCATATAATTCAACCACCACCACCATGCCCAAATTCAATAAAAATTATGAAGATCGAATGCTCAAAGCTATTGACGCGTTAAGCACACAAAATCCCCCAAATATCGCCAAAACTGCACGTGAATATGGAGTTAAACGGCAAACCCTCTCCGCAAGGTGGAAGGGACGGTCCAATCTATGTGAACGACCACCAACCAACACCAGATTATCAGAAGAGCAAGAAAAGGCTCTGTGTCACTATGTTGATACTCTAGAGCAATTAAATATAAAGCCACTTGCACAAATGATCCAATCAAGTGCCAATTCTATTCTGAAATCAACCCATACCAGCCTAGACACCCCTCCACCTACTGTCAGCGAGAAATGGTTAAACCGATGGCTAGGAAGGCATCCTGAATATAAAAGACGTCGCTCTAGAGCTATAGAGCTTGACCGCAAGCGTGCAGAGGATCGTGAGGTTATTCAGGAGTGGTTTCAGAAGCTCCATCAGACCATCCAGAACCATGGGATATTAAAGGAGGATATCTACAATTTTGATGAGACTGGCTTCAATATCGGTGTTGGTCGTGATCAATGGATTATTACCAGGGACTTCAATATTAATAAGCCTCATATTGGGATGAATTCAAACCGTGAATATGTTACTGTGGTTGAAGCAGTCAATGCAGATGGCTGGACCTGCCCACCACTTATTCTCATGAGTGGTAGCTGTATACTTACAAATTGGTTTGAAGCTGCTGATATTCAACAAGACTATTCAATTGGAGTATCAGAAAATGGTTATATGACTGATACAATTGCCTTCCAATGGATTCAGTCATTCTATCGGCATACTAAAAGATATAGGAAGGGTCAATATACCCTTCTTATATGTGATGGATACGGCTCCCATCTAACACATGAATTTGTTGAATTCTGTGAGAAGACCAATATCATCACCTTCTTCTTACCTCCATATACAAGTCATTTCTTGCAGCCATTGGATGTTGGTGTTTTTCATGCATGTAAGCACTGGCATTCAGAAGCAGTTGCAGATGCAACCTACTCAGAATACAGTAAATTTACTAAGGTTGAATTCCTTCATGCCTTAGGGGCAATTCCAAGAAGACATTCAAAAAGCGTACTATTCGGCATGGATTCCAAAAGACTGGCATCATACCATTCAATCCATCAATTGTACTCAATCAAATGCCTCAACCACATCATCCATCCTCTTCATCCACCAATACCAATGATGTTGATTCCTGGGGCAGTACGCCAAAAAAAAAGCTGAATGATTTAGGGAGATTGGTGATAGGATATGGGAGATTCATGATATCAACAAGGATCAATTTAATGAGGGCCTAGAGCTGCTTATTCATGGTGGTAGTATGCTAGCATCATATTCAGCTGCTATCGAAGCTGAGCTTGACCGGTATATTAAAGCTGCTAGGGACCGCGCAGCTTGATCACAGGCCTCTAGGCGCAGGATTCGCAAGGGAGGCATAGTATCAAGCTCAGAGCTTGAAGCTATAAATCGAAATACTGCGAATATTAATGAGCAGGCTGAAATAAAGAGGTGGAGGACTAAGTATAAGCGTTGCCTACCAGAGCTGCTGGATGTATGCATTCGACGAGGAATTATTATACGAAGGCAACGACATGCTAGGGCCCAAGCTGAAGAGTAGAGCTTTAGTTTAAATATATTTTGAAGTTAAATACTATAGAATTCGTTGAGATATTGAAGCTAGAAGGGGGGTCTAAAATTGGTGCTCGGGTGGCTGGGGTGCTCGGGTGGTTGTCAGGGTCGCGCAATACGCGCGACCCCGAAGGTTACCGTAGGGGTCGGTTACTCCGCATCTCCACGAACATCGAAGAAAAATCGCAGACGGGGTACCCCGTGACCGCATGTCACGTGTCACTCACCGAGTTCCGCTCGCGGCTTGACTGCAGGCTGAGCTCACACCGCAAGGCCTCACACATGCAGATGGCTGAGATGGCTGGATCGAAGGAACATGAAGACACGATCCTTCGCCCCAGATCTGCAGAGTTTATACCGGACGGATGGAATTTCCCGTTTCAGAGGGGCCAGCATGATGTAATGCTGTTCGCCGCACATTATTATTTTTTTTTTTCTGGCGATCAGCAGTTAAAACTGGCGGTGACCCTCCCCCCATCCACCCCGCCACAGCAAATCCTTCCATCATCTTGCAATTGCCATTCAGTCAATTCATCCGATCACAATGGCAGCCCTCAAGCTCAACAGCAAGAACCTGTCGCAGATTTCGGCGGCAGGTAAGACACTGGTCAAGATCCCTACCTACCAGCGTGGTGGCGCTGTCAAGGAGGGAATCGTCCACGTTGGCGTCGGCGGTTTCCATCGAGCTCACCTGGCTTTCTATATCGACCGGTTGATGCAGAAGCATGGTGTTACTGACTATGCAATTTGTGGAGTTGGATTACAGCCGTTCGACGCCGCCATGCGCGATGCCTTGGGATCGCAGGACTACCTCTACACCCTAGTTGAACGCTCGGCCAAGGGAAGCTTTGCCCACGTTATCGGCAGCATCAACTCCTACCTCTTCGCACCCGATGATCGCGAGGCTGTCATTGCCAAGATGGCGCACCCTGATACGCATATTGTGTCTCTCACCATCACTGAGAGCGGTTACTACTACAATGAGAACACCCACGAGCTGCAAAGCGAGCACCCCGATATCCAATTCGACCTCGACCCGGCCAACGAGAAGGCACCACGCACCACTTTTGGCTTCCTCTATGCCGCCCTGTCACAGCGCCGCCAGCAAGGACTCAAGCCCTTCACCGTCATGTCGTGCGATAACATGCAGAAGAACGGCTCCATCACTCGCCACATGCTCGAGTCGTTTGCACGCCTACGTAACCCCGAGATGGCGAAGTGGATTAACGAGCAAGGCGCCTTCCCCAACGCCATGGTCGACCGTATCACACCTCAGACGAAAGCCACGGACAAAACGGCTCTCGCAGAGCACTTTGGCATCGAGGATGCATGGCCAGTTGTCACGGAGCCCTTCTCGCAGTGGGTTATCGAGGACCAGTTCTCCGACGGCCGCCCTCCGTTTGAGAAGGCCGGTGTTCAGGTCGTCAAGAATGTCCACGACGTCGAGCAGTTTGAGAAGCACAAACTGCGCCTTCTCAACGGCAGCCACTCGGCCCTGGGTTACCCAGGTCAACTGGCGGGTTTCAAATACGTCCACGAGGTCATGGAGAACCCGCTGTTCCGCAAGTTCGTGTGGCAGATGATGCACGAGGAGGTGAAGCCACTCTTGCCCGAGATTCCGGGCGTCAACATTGATGAGTACATCAACACGCTCGTCGAGCGCTTCTCCAACCCAACCATCATGGACCAGCTGCCTCGCATCTGCCTCAACGCTTCTGGCAAGATTCCACAGTTCATCATGCCGTCGATTGCCGAGGCGATCTGGGTCACTGGCCCGTTTCGCCGCCTGTGCTTCGTCGCGGCTGCCTGGTTCCATTACATCAACGGCGTCGACGACAACGGCAAGACGTTCGAGGTCGACGACCCTATGCGCGAGGAGCTGCAGGCCAAGGCTCGCGCTGGTGGCACCAACCCGGCGGAGTTGCTTAGCATCAAGAGCCTGTTCGGCGACGACTTGCGCGGTGACAAGAGGTTCATCCAGGAGGTCACTACGGCTATGGAAGACATTGCCCGGGACGGTGTCCTGAAGACGCTTCCCAAGTACATTAACTAATGGCCACGGCCCGGAGCTGTTGGATTGGTGAAAAGGGCACATACAGTTGTATCTATGAGCGATGCCTTAATGGTTTCTTTACATTTGTTGATTGTACAAGAAAAGCACAATGGAGATAGATGATGATAGACCAAAAACCCTAATTTTCACTTCATTGCATGTCCTAACATTCTCGCCATGATACTCCGTACAGGTCTGTACAGGTCTGTGATTCATTCCTAACAGATCACTTCGTATTACGCTTAACTCCCTTGCTGCTGCTGCATGTCCTTGTGTACGTAGTACGTTGGTTAGCGAGCAGAAGAAGGGGATCCGACGGTGTAAAATCCAATTGAATTCTGTGTGGACGCCGATGCCAACCTCTGACGGCGGATGACCCCGTGGAGCGTGTGATCGCGTGAATACGAAGCGGCGTCTCCGACAAACCCGAAGCCGTACAGTCGGAAAGAGCCGAACGCCTTCGGGTTAACCGTTATCAATGCGGAGTTTCGAGAAAAAGAAAAAAAAAAAAAAGCGGCAGGAACGCGGGCCGAACTGCCAATAATCCCGCAAATGCCCAAGCTCCGACACGCCGGCACGGCCATTTATTTTACTGGCCGGACACAAAGACGGGTCTAGACTCGATTATTACATACAGGTATTATGCTTTCGGGGTCAGCTGACTGAGGAAAATCGCGCAGAACATATTGTTGCTCCGACAGACATCCTGGTCGTGACCTCTTTTCGGAATTTAGCGCGTTAAGCGTCTGCCAACTGACTAGGTCTATCCCCGGGAAGCTTGAGCCAACAGTTTCGTAGGTCTTCCCACCCTTAGCAGTAAGATATTGCACCAGCTCATAATTATCATCAACATCGTCTTCCACCTGTAATGAATTGCCAACCCCCTGCAGGAAATAGCGAAGCTGTAGGAGACGCTATATGCATTGAGTTGTCACGAGATACACGAGTATCTTTGCTCCAGCACGTACCAAGCGTGTTCCACGCAATAGCGGCCTTTTCCGTCGTAGACTTATGCTGGTTCACATTGTATACATTATTATTGCATATCTCTTGGTCTGCCTCTTTCTCTGGCAATGTGTGTTCCATCTCAGGATAGTTTGCAGTCCGAAAGAAATGACGTAGTAAGTACTGGACAACCTTCCTTGCGAACTCTACGAATACTCGAGCCCTCCTTCATCGCTATCCTTATTCCGTTCGCCCTCTGTCGTCTAGGTTTTCCCGTGGTTCCAGCACGAAAGGTTGTCGAAGGAAAAGCCGGACAATCCCCGAACGAGGACATAAAATTCCAAAGGACTGACGGACACTCATCAAGAAATAAACATGAGCACTCAATCGATCACTGACAAACCTCGCCGAGATGGAACCGATGCAGTGCGCAACCCTCGAAAGCTCTAGCTAGGCCTAGGCCGATGCCGCAGGGCCTGCTGCAAGTATTGCCCAGACAAATTGCCAACCTCTTGCGTGGACTCATCCTGGATGTCGCATCTTTTGCAGTATATGCTTCTAAAACTTCGGCCATCCGCCTATGCTCACACTGGAGAAGGCTCTGCTCTGGGAATCTATTCAATGAGTCAGGAGGTCGAATGAAGCTTGATGGATGCGCGAAACGCAGCCGGACTCACCGGTGTCCCAGGAACGTCCATCGATCATGAACCACACTCTACCACTGCATCCACCTTTTATGGCTGCAGTGCTTGATCTGACCCTCCCACTCAGTGACAGAACTTTGAGAATATGCTTGGACGTGGCTGCTTCTCGGGTATCGGCTTTGAGCATCACGCGGTGAGGCAATCCGAAGCTAATAATCAAAACAATTCTAATGCTGCCCGAACTACCCCTAATCGACCCCGGATCGGTAGAGTAGGGGTCGGTTACCGTCTGACTTTGACTACTGTAAGTGGTTAACTAACTACCTGTGCCAAGCACACCTCCATGTCTCTCAGTCAAAACCGTTTGCTTATATAACACAAATAGGTCATGTGATCGGTACGTCTGTAACCTCGGTTCGGGGCGAGAGGCGGAGAAAAGAAGATGCCGCGGAGAAGATGGTTGGAGCCATCTCCTCACCACCACAGTTTTCTCTTTGCTTTTCTATTATTCCCTCGCCGGGCGGGCATTCTGTTTTTCTTCTCTTATTCTTCTTCCGGTACTCTGTATCTTTCACATAAAAAATGGCGCCACGAGCAGCAGTCCTGTTTTCCAGAAGAGCAGCCGCTTTCCCCGCATCCCGAAGACCATTCAGCTCCGCACGGTCTCTATGTAAGGAGATCCAAGATGCTTATATCTTAAGTGCTGCACGCACGCCTACAGCCAAGGTTTGCCTGTTTAACTGTATCCTTGATATCAATATGTTAACTTACTGAGTCTGGTTAGTTTAATGGATCTTTCACTTCTGTTCCCGCCCCGGTCTTGGGCGGCGTTGCCATCAAGTCGGCTATCGGCAAATCCAACGTCCCCGTTGAGAAGATCACGGATGTGTACATGGGAAATGTACTTCAAGGTGCTGTGGGTCAGGCTCCTGCTCGTCAAGCATCTATCTTTGCCGGTCTATCTCCAACTGTCGAATCGGTAACTGTGAACAAGGTGTGCGCTTCAGGTCTGAAGGCGGTGGTGCTGGCTGCGCAGAACATCCAGTTGGGATTGGCAGAGGCGCAGGTAGCTGGAGGAATGGAAAACATGTCCCGGGTGCCATACTATCTTCCACGCTCGAGCCAATTGCCGCCGTTTGGAGATGTCAAATTGGAGGACGGCCTGATCAAGGACGGTCTCTGGGACGTCTACAACCAGTTCCACATGGGTATCTGTGCTGAGACCACGGCGAAGAAGCATAATATATCTCGAGAGGATCAAGATGACTATGCTATCCAATCGTATGAGCGCGCTCAGCAAGCTTGGAAGGAAAACAAGTTCGCAGAAGAGATTGCCCCTGTGACTGTGAAGGGTAAGAAGGGGGATACGATTATTGAGCGTGATGAAGGATTTGAGAACTTGAAGGCAGATAAGTTGAGGACCTTGAAACCGGCCTTCTTGCGTGATGGCACTGGAACTGTGACAGCCGGTAATGCATCTACTATGAATGATGGAGCATCCGCGCTGGTTCTGGGTAATAGGGATATTGCACGCGAGTTTGGCAATGGCAATCGTGCATTAGCACGCCTTGTCTCCCATGCTGATGCAGCCATTGATCCTGTGGACTTCCCGGTGGCACCAGCCAAGGCAGTGCCGATTGCATTGGAGAGAGCCGGTATTACTAAGGATCAGGTTGCTGTCTGGGAGTTCAACGAGGCATTTGCTGCTGTCATCAAGGCCAATGAGAAGGTTAGTATCCGTTACGCAACAGTACAGGAAATGAATTCAGCTAACGCTCCTCAGATCCTTGGACTACATAACGCCCGGGTAAATCCTCTTGGAGGCGCTATCTCCCTGGGACATGCTCTTGGCAGCTCGGGTTCTCGGATTCTCGTCACGCTTCTTCACCAGTTGCAACCGGGCGAGTATGGTGTGGCGGCAATTTGCAACGGTGGTGGTGCAGCCAGTGCAGTGGTAGTCCAGAAGCTGGACAAGGTCGAGTAGATGGCTAAAGAATTGATTGTATGGGCTAATATCTTCAATTGGCTCCTATGGGTTTGATTCGCATGGATGTATATGTTGGTCTAGCGATAATTTATAGTGTCATCTTTGGGACTCAATCCCTGTGCTCAAATTGGATTGGATTCATTCCAATTTTTAGAACGCTAGCCGCCATTTATCATCTGATACCAATATTGTCCCCGTCCAACAGTGGTGTCAAGAATGGCTCTGACGTCGTGACCGTCCCTAGCGAGCACGGCGTTCATCGCGACCCGCGACCAAAATGTTTCTTGCAATCATCTTATCCCTAAGGGACTTCAGCTCAGCTATTCTTGCTTCTCTAATTTCTATTACCTCTTCTCTTCCTGCAGATATACTGTTCTATCCGCTGTGCTACAATACGCAATCTACCCTTTTGCATACTCTGACGGCATGGCGGCCCAGCAGACAGGAAATCGAAGCTGACTGCCAATTCGAGTTCGTATCAAATGAAGCTGCAAACCTCGCCGATGGATGCTGGAATTAAATTCCGTCGTTGGGGAATTTATTGCTAATTACAGGGGCAGCTGCACTCATCTCCTGAAGACTGTGAGACTGCTCTGGGCCATTCTCCAGACTTTTAACTCATTCAGACAGCTCGCTTTCAATGAGGCCTTTTTCCATGTTGATACCTTCCACAAGCTACCCAACGTTGCACAAAAAGGGCGTCTTATTTCCCACGAAGAGCCAGTGATGGGCTTTTGAATCTTTCGCCATGGGAAGTGGAAGATATAGTCTACATACTACAGTTCCTTTTGCCAGAGTTAGTACTTATTTAAGGAAGGTAGATGATGATGGACTCGAGTGGTACAGACTTTAGTTTTCGACTCTTCTCAAAGACAGACGGATATCGCTTTCCTGGTTTCAATTCTGTAAACAGATTTCCCAAATGGGACCCAAAGAAGACTTCTTGGAGGATATATTATCTGTAATGAACCGCTTCACTGCAAATGGGTTTTCGTTTCCTGCATCTGTAACCAGGCGCCTTTGAGCTAGAGAAATAATTAGAGTTCCCATGATAAACTCATCTTCAATATGGAGTAGTGGCACTTTATACGATAGTAATTTGAGGTGGCTATAGGCATTGAATCTCAAGATGTAATGTATAATCATCTTCCGAACTGGATTGAAAGAAAAACCACTGTTCTATAGTGTTTTATTCCGTGATCTGTGAGCCAGATAGGCCAGTTTCCAATTCCGGCATATGGAAGTTAGCAGACAGAAAGGTCGAACGTATATCCCTTGGACATGATTGTAAGCCAGGTAAGTGAAGAATCATAGTGTCTACGGGTTTTAGGACTTTCTTTTCGTATACACCCTTTCGTATATACTGACTGAATTTGAATTTCGAACAATCCCCGAGTAAAAGGTGCATACAATGTACTCCAGTTAAGTAGATATGATAGGAAAGACGAATAGCCAAGATTATTCCCTTGGCTTTCGCCCATACACACAAACTACGCCCATGTATATGGATGACACGATGGTCAAAAGCAGCTTCTCTTGATGGATAATGACCGCTCTCATCTTATATATGAATTCATTGCATTCTGTTAAAAGAAGCATGTTATCTTATACTGCTTTCCTCCTCATACTACACACTTCCTACAGCCTCTTCATGGCAATGCATTTAAGCACAATAAGCATTACCATGGGAAGGCAATCAATTCGTTGGCCCGTTTAGGTGTATGGGAGGTTGACAAGCGGGAATTCCTTTTTCAACTGAATGATGTTTGATTGAACATATTCAAACACCATACAATTAAATCCAGCTCTATGGATCAAGGAATATGGCCATTTAATCCAGAGCTAGTGCTTGAAACTCTTAGAGAACAATGCTTTCCTACTGGACCAGAGTTTAGGATTTATGATGGCAAATCAACACTACCTCCCCATCCTTTATCCTCAGTATCTCCGCCTACTACTGTTGACCAGCTACAAGTTTCCATTAATAAAGCTCAGAAGACAATGGATAAGATGACTGATGAAGTCCATAATATTATGGATGACCACCTACGGGACAGATTGCACTGGATTTTTACAGGAGGTCTTATTTATGCTCAACTAGCTGCCCAACACCAACATGAGATTAAGCAGCTCCAGGCCAACCAACGCCATACAAGGTAGAAAACCAAAAGATCCATACAAACAGGGGGTGTTTCAGCAGTAAAGGATGCTAATAGCCATATTAAGCTAAAGTGTTGGAGAAATGCAAAAAGATATCAGATGGCTTCAATGAGACCAGAAGATATTGGAAAGGGAAAAGGAGCAATTAAGCAACCAACCACCACTAAATATTGGTGCAGATCAGAATATAGCATCTTTGGCCCTAGGTGAAGATGGTTAACCACTATTTTTTTGTAGATACTGTAAAGGGGGGCGTACGTGGGTTGTTCCCTGCGACAGGAACCGGGTTGTGATCAATGGATCTCAGGGACAATGCCGCCATACCACGCGGCACTGAACGATCTTAGCGAGAAAACGATATAACGATAAAAGGAAACACAACGACAAAGGAGCCTCGCTCCGCTCTGTACAATGACAACGATACTAGTGAAGAAACCTAGAAACCAAAAGAATGCTCAATTTCTCGTAACTATCTGGGAGGGAATCCTCCATTAAGTACTCTCCGGCCGCGGGCTCCACCATACATTAGTATGTCGGAGACCGCGGCTCTACAGTGTTCTAAGATAGGAAATATGGGAGATCCGGGGTTTCGCAGTGCCCCCGGAACAATACCCTATAAATTGGACGGTTAGACAAAATGGTCAGATGATCGAAAGAATAAACTTCAAGCTACTGACCCTCCGAACTTCTGACCCATATTTATCGTCAATTTTGATCTTGGTCAGTTTTTGGTAGTAACCACGAAGGTTCTTCTAGTCAGTATTCAACAAGCTAGGCTTGTGAATGCCCTTGTTACGTCGACTGTTCTTTCCTTACTCAAGTTTGAGGGACCAGCCCAAGAACCGATACAGGTCGTTGTTCGACGCCTGGAGTAGGGCCTCTTCAGGATCCCACCATTTTTGCACATTGGGCTCTAGTCTTATTTTGCTTAAGTAAAAGCAGCTAAATCTACTATATATAAAGCTATTCTACTCTAGTATTAGATGAGTGAGCTTTATATAGTAAATAAGAGGTAAAAAATAAAAGTGCACAGCCCCTAGATCTTTTATTACTATAGGAGGGGTCCTAATAGGGGTTGAAGGCCAGCAACTTGCTTAAGAAGTTATATAGATGATGGAGCCTATTCCTAAGAAAAAGCATGCACTACCATAATATAGTAACTGCCATTAAATTAGGCATATTAGAACTAGCTACTGTAATAGATAATTTGATTCTTTTATATATAGAAATGGCTTCATTTTGATTATATAGTAGTAAGATATCTCATGGGTTTTGACTGCAGCTAAAGTCATATTCAGGTGGCTTGCTTGGTGTTGTGGCTTGCTCAGTGTCTGATTATGTTACTGTCACGGAACTCAACTAGACGATGAATAGGATGCTATTCAGCTATCTAGGCAGCTATCGACGAGAACTTCAAGCATGAAGAGGAAGGAAAAAAGGAAGAGATCTACGTGAAGCTGGACGACGTACTCCTATCCATGCGCCACGCTAATCCAAGTAAGGAAGCTCACGTGCTCGTCCTGGTCTACATGGCAAGAGCCCTGACAGTTACTAGATAGGATAATATTCATTGCAATAGGAGTAGAGCCTTTAAATTATATAAGAATAGGGGGTAGGTTAGTAGCTGCCCTCAGCTTAAAAATCTCTTTATCACCTTCCTGCTCAATATGGAATTATGAAGACGGTATATATATAACCAAAAATGCTGTTTTATATACCCAACTTGCAACGAAACATTTTGGTACTTCCACGTCTGGCTTAATTTTGATCCACATATGGCTTACTTCCGAAACTGTCAAAAAAAGGAATCATAAAAATACCTAGCTTCGTCTCTTTATCCTAATTTGCGCCCCAGAAGGCGGCATCAGCGCCTCAGCCATCCACCGATTTGCAGGTCTCTGTCCCTTATACTCGGCCGGAAACTCGACGTCATAATTCATCAGAAGATAGGCAACAATCATCTTGATTTCAAAGTCTACCAGGAACCTACCCGGACACGAATGGCCTCCATGCCCAAAGGGCAGATGCTCGGGCGAAGTCGACACAAAGCTCAGATGACTCGCGCTAGACCTGCCTTTCGTGTCTTTCGGGGCCTGCTCGCGGATCCGAGAGAACCGGAAGGGATCATACTCGAAAGGATCTCCGAAAGCTTCGGGATCGCATTGGAGCGGACGACCCAGGAAGGAGACGTATGCGCCTTTGGGCAGCTCGATTCCATCTTCTGTTTTGATGCCCTCGACTAGGACCTTGCGGAAGACCCCCCGGTTGGTGTTTGAATATAGACGCATGGTTTCACGCGCCACACTGTCGGATTTGATCATCTGCGCGACTTTGTATTTGGTCCATTTGGTGCCGCTGTTGGGGCCGATGACATCGTTCACTTCGTCTCGGAGGACGGAGATGGTATTGTATTGCGGGTCTGAGCTGACGATGTTGAGGATCATGTTTGTTACAAGCAGGGTTGTCTGATGCACAGCTGCGAAGTTGGCAAAACACAGCCGTCTGGACATGCTGGGGAGGTCGTGCAGTTCGCCTGGTCGTTCTCTCTGGGCGTAACAGAGCATTTGCTGGAAGAGATCCTGCGGTTCTTCGCTGGCGGGCATTCCCGCACTGTTTTGCTGGCTCAATGCCTGCACCCGCTGGTGGTAGATAGGCTCTACTTGTTTCTTGACCTGTTCGATGCTCCGACGGAGTTTCATCGTGATTAACGGGCCAACAATTGGGCGCAGAAGACGCGGAGTCGCGCCGGTCAGACCGCCGTTCATCACTATCCCATCATTGACTTCCCAGCAGGCTCGAAGGTACGCTTCGTTGCGGCCTGTCGCTCTCCAGTGAGAAAGGGATACTTCAGTAAGAAAGGAGAAACTTACAGAGCGGAAATCCGACGGTAAATCGACTTGCTGCGGCCATAATGACCATTCGAATTGTCTCCAACAAATCGACTTCCTTCCATGACTCGGTATCACATCCAATATATTTATCAAATGCATACTTTAGTTCCTCGTTCATACCATCGCAGACTGCCTCCAGCTTGGAATTGATATCCGACTTGACAAGCATACAAGGCCAGGGATCGCTTTTGTATTTTTCATGGCCAAGTGAGTACTTCAGCTGAACAAGTTCCAGGACCGCGTCGGCGTGACTGAGTTCCTTTTCAGGACGGGCCATGATATCCCGCATTGCGCTTTGAGGCAAGACGATGTCGCGGCGAAATCCAAGACCCGGGAGAAGGACTGTCTTGCCACTTTTGGTGTACTGGACTTCAGGTCAGTATCGCTGTCAACAGTGGTGTAAAAGAACGCACGTTCTCATATGTTTCTCTGTATAGAGCCTCGCAGTCTTTATAGTACCTCCACCTCGTTCGCCAGCTGAACGTTCTTTTCCCATCAGGCTCACCAGCTAGTGGGAGGTTGGCAGGATATTGGATGGCAAAGAATGCTTGATAGATAAGCAAAGCGCATCCTACTAAAGCAGGAAGCATCAGTGAAGCCCATGCCTCACATCCTTCGGCAAAGGACTGGGAGAAAGTAGAAGCTCCCATAGTTTTTCTTTGAAGCGGGACTGTCGGTGCTGCTTGTATTGGATCCTACTTTGTTCAGATACCGATTCTTCGGGTAGAATGAAAGTCTTTGGGAACTCGTATGAGGGTAGTGGCAGGGATATTTAGCCCCATAATACCAAACTAGACCTAGTACATCTAACTGAAAGCTGGCTTTTGCTAAAAAGAATATCATTCATAATGATTTCCGGTATCCCGCGACCAAATCCTGGCCGATAACAGCGTCGGTGAGGGATGCATGACCGGGACTGGCAGTAATCCACTCCCATGCATGACAAGGCTTCATCGAATAATACCGTGTGTCAATGAAATGACAATGTCGGCAGAGGAGATCGGTTCTCTAATTACTACTAATTCCTAATCGAGATAAAAGCCGGCGCGCTGTTCTGGTTACTCCTAACCACGAGAATGAGAACATAGGATTGGATGTTTTACATTCTTTGCTCCAGAGTGATCAATGAAGTTACATATTGCCATCAACTGCGATCGTGTCCATTCATTTCTGATATGGAAAAGGTCACGTGGTATGGCGGCTTGGCTCCCTCTCTGACCCCTGAGAATCCGGGCCCCTGATTGTATGTAGAGAGAGATAGAACAGAATGGCATCCGTTCCTTAGCAGGCTACGTACGTGTAGTCGATACAGCCTCATTCTGCCTTTCTTCCCTGAGTTACATGCATATTCCACAACATTTCTTAATACACCACCAGTATAGACTCCTCTCACAAGTGGGCTGATTCAGCATATAAATATGCTCTATACTTTGAGCTTCTTCGTCGCAAAATACACGAATACGATATACAGCCGGAAGATATCTATAATATGGATGAGAAGGGGTTTCTTATTGGGGTTCTTGCCAAAGGCAAGAGAATCTTCTCAAAGCAACAATACAAGAAGGAGGGGCTCAAGCAACGCTTGCAGGATGGTAATCAGGAGTGGATTACTACAATTGCTTGCATTTGTGCTGATGGGACCTTGCTGTCTCCAGGCCTAATTTATCAGGCTGTGTCATCAAAGCTTCAAGATTCCTGGCTTCAGGATTTCAAAGCTATAGACCACCAGTGTTCTTTTGCCTCTTCAACTTCTGGTTGGACCAATGACTGTAAAGGGGGGCATACGTGCGTTGTTTCCTGCGACAGGAACCGGGTTGTGATCGAAGGATCTCAGGGATGGACACACTGAACGATCTGGTAATGAAACGATATAACGATAAAAGGAAACACAACGACAAAGGAGCCTCGTTCCGCTCTGTACGACGATAACGATACTAGTGAAGCAACCTAGAAACCAAAAGAATGCTCAATTTCTCGTAACTATCTGGGAGGGAACCCTCCATTAGCATGTCGGAGACCGCGGCTCTACGGTGTTCTAAGATAGGAAATATGGGAAATCCGGGGTTTTGCAGTGCCCCGGCACACTGTGAAGAGCATAAGATCCATTTAATGACTTATCCACCTCATTCCACGCATTCCTTGCAGCCACTTGATGTTGGGATCTTTGGGCCTTTATCAATGGCATATAGCAATGAATTAGAGCAATTCTCGCATGCCAGCCAAGGCCTAAGCCATATTACTAAACTGGATTTCTTCCGCCTATTTTGGCCAGCTTGGAAAAAGGCTTTATCTTTAAAAAATATTATATCTTCATGGAAATCAGTTGGGATCAGCCCATGGGACCCAGAGATCGTTTTGACCCGATTCACCAAAGAAAATGATGACCGGCCATCATCTAGTGAGTCCTCTCGCTCAATACTAGGTGCTGAAGACTGGAGGAAGATTGAGAGGCTTCTTAAGGCTATTGTCACTGATGTTTAGAGGATGGCCATGCAGTATTTTACTCCCCAAAAAAGATCCAGCAAGCACGGGATCTTCAAGCTGAGAAGTGTGATGACCATACGTGATGACCATATCAGAGCGGATTGAACAAGTAGGGCACAGGGCTAGGGCTGAGGGCAAGCAGTTGCCCTCGCCTCCTATTTTCCTCCCCACCATGTCTTCACCCTCTTTCCTTTCCTTCTTCTTCTCCTCATGTACGATATTCTTAGACAAGTACAGCCAAATAGCGAGTTGCTTCCTTCTTCTTCTCATCCTATTATAGCTGATCGTCACAAGAAGGACCAAGCTATACAGCTCACTAAGGCTTCAAAAGAGGAAGAGAAGCTCCGCCAGCAGCAATAGAAGGAAAGGAAGAGGCAGTTAGTTGAAGAAAGGAAGAGAATCCAGGCATCTAATAGAGAAATACGTCTTCGTGAAGCAGAGGAAAAGAAGCGCCAAAAGGAGGAGATGCGGCTTGCTAAGGAGGCTAGTTTACAGCTTCAAAATGACTTTAATATTGCCAAAAAGGGCAAGAAGAAGCTATCGGCAACCTCAAAAGCAAAGAACTCAGGAGATCTAGTGCCTCCAGAGGCTGAGACTGCTGGTGAAGCCCCTGCAGCACTAAATCGTCGAGGCAGACCAATCCGCCTACCACAACGCTTCCGCGAATAAAAAATCCCATATATAGCTTTATTAGAGCCTCAATATCAAAACACCAAAAGATTTCTATATAATATCATCTGTATGTGGTTGAATAGCTTCAAATTCGATATTGGTGTGGTGGTTGAATTCGGGCGTCAGGTGATCAACTACGGTATGAAAGGCTTATCTACGCCAAATGTAAGGGACAATTTGGTGCCTAAAACAAAAGTACGTGCATACTCCGACTATCTAGATCCTACGACCCACCAACCCACATGCTTAGCCCATGCTTAGCGCTTACTATTTGCACAGACCCGTAACTCGTGCTTTGACTGCACCGTCACCTTCCTTGGGAAAGGCGAAGCCCCGTGTATGGTATACAGCAATATCTTTCTCACTCGTTTCCAATAGCTCCATATCCAAGGATGTTGCAACCCTTGCAATACCGAGGTAGAGCTTTGCATATGCTAAGCTAGAGAAAAAGAATTAGCAACACTACCACACTGGTCGGGTTGCGGTTATGGAAAATCATACTTGATACCGAGACATCCTCTGCTGCCCTTGCTGAAGCTGACCATGTATTTGTCGAGGCTGACGCCATCTTGTGCAGCCTTGACCCAACGCTCGGGATCGAAGGCTTGAGGATTTGGGAATACGGAAGCGTCATTGTTGACCAGGTAGGTTGACTGGCTGACCGGTGTCTACTTTGGTGTTAATAGGGGGCCCGTGGGAAGGATGGGTGGAACCAAGCTTACTCCTGGTGGAATTACGAAACCGTTGTATTGCAGAGCTTCATGTGGGGAGATTCTTGGAATGCGCACGACTAAACCGTACGCAAGGCGAATTGCTTCCTGGACGACGCCTCTCTGTAGCACGCGTCAGTAAGTTATCGGCAGATGAATCATGGGAATCGCACCATATAGGGCACGGCCTCAAGCTCTGTCGTGGTCCATTGTTGACCATCCGACTTTGTAGTAGCCTGCAATTCTTTCCGCAGCTTCATCAGCACATCCTTATTATTGAGTAGGTGGAACAGGGCGATGGCGAGTGTCCTAGCAGTGGTGTCAATCCCGGCAAAAATGATGGTTTCACCCTCATCCAACAGACGATCCAGTGTTTTCTCCGCGTTGGGGACATTGGGATCCGTCAATGCGCTCACAATGACAGACTTGGATCTTGCTTCTTTCATGGCCTTTTTCTCTTCATCAGGCTTGTTGAGGTAGTTCAAAACCATCTTTTTGTTAGCCTCCCGCGCCGACACGACCTCAGGGAAGTTCGGGTTAATCAACCCGAGGATTGGCAACGGGAGGTTCTTGAGTGTAGTTGCGGGGACTGGCAGGAAGCGCGTGAGGTTGTACAGATTCAACAACACAGTCAGTGCGTCCTTGAGTCCGTACTTGAAGTCCTTGCTGCCAATGTAGTTTGCATGAGACCCATAGAAGTGGTAGGTGACAACATCCGCAGTGAAGGCAGAAAAGGCACACGTCATGTCAACGGTGCTTCCATTTGCTTCGGCAAGACGCGAGATCAATGCATCCAGACGCTCGTGAATGACCGGCTCGATGTCCGCAATGGCCCTTTTAGAAAAATACGGATTCACAATGGCGCGACGTTTGCGATGGAGGTCGTGGTCGAGAGTGGAGATGGTGGAATGCGGGAATGTATACCCAGACACGGCTGACAGTTCTTTATTAACCTTGCGGCCACTTCCAGCGTAGATGGTGCTAAAGTATTCCGGATCGTGGATATGCAAAGATCTTGAGTTGATGCGAACAATCGGCCCTTTGGGAGTGGTCAGCATGTCTAGGATTCTGGGTGGTTTGAAATGGCCACTGTACCGTATTTTTGGTGCATCTTCTCAATTTCCCAGAGATAAGTGCCATCTCTAATGACATCGTAGTAAAACTCGTAGAAAGACCATATGGCTGCCCGTTTGGGGCCGGGAAAGTTGCGCAACGGATGAAAATACAGATCGTAGATACATCGGGCGACTACAGATATAGCAAACACACCAAAGGCTGCACCGATGACCGCCGGAAAAGAGAGGTCTTGGAATAGCATGATCACGACTTCACACCGTCCGATATGATGAGAAAGAGGTGGACAAATGCGAATATCGAGTTGCGGGCAGTTGGGAAGAAGAAGTTTGTCTGGCCTACGAGGAGACCTTTACATGTGGCATAAAGGTCCTTGGTCCTTGGCTCCTCCTAAGGCCTGCAGAGTAGATACAGGTGGAACTATGACTCCAGCTCATGCATATGGCTAACCTGCATTTGGCCCCAATTGTTATTACCAGCTTTTCACCCTTGGACAACGCCGTAGTATTTTTGCACCACCGAGATGCAGCGCATTAATTTCTCACTTGCGTGCGTTGGTGAGGCCTACTACCTAGTTTAGCTCATGTACCTACTCATGTCCGCGCAGTTGAGTCCGATGTTCGGCATCCGGCTGGAAGACAGGGCGCTGGGGGGTTCATCTTGCTAGTATGTTGGAGTACTATCAAGCCGAGAATGATCTATCTCGCGTTTCGCTTCTCACCTCATCCACCTCGTCGACTACGGCGTGGACATGTGGGGCGGTAATGTTGATACACTGGAGCGTGGATGGACGGAATCGTTGCCGTCACACAGTCTCACCTTTCCCCTCGCCCATCTCGTGGGAAAGAATGA